AGTAGACTCACTTGTCTAGGCTTCGCTATGTTTATTCTTAATCTCAAACTCTACCTGGTCCTAATCAGTCTGACACTGATTCTCCCAAGGTATCGCTATCTCGATTGGCGTAACCCATACTTATGGTTACTCCTTAACGTACTTAAACTTAACTTAACTATTATATGTATCCGAGGATTCCTTACGAAAGTCCTCCCTCGTAGGACAGCCCTCGCTCGCGCGGTGATGCCCTCCAAGGGTTACCCGACCCTCACATCCTAGCTTCCTAGGACCTTCACGTGAGGCTCGTCATGTGTCTTGGGTGTAAGGATGTTCCAATAGTTGTACAAAACTACTTTGTATAACAGAGTTGTTGTATAATGTTCCACCAGTCCTTGATTACCCCTTCAGGTATCATGTCGCCCTTCCAACGATTATATAGACAAACTATAGGATAATAAACATCGAGTGAAGAAAGAAAAAAATATCATGTCGGCTGGGGCACTCTCCCAGTAATTACATCCAATACCTGGCAAAGATACCTTAATCTCCCCACCGGCCGGTGGGCGAGCTTCTGGCAAAACTTTATGCAGGTATGAATAAGTTGTTTCAACATCGACTATCTTTCCCGTCCACCGGAAGGATGGACGACTGTGAAGTCAGGGGATGGGTATCGTGGTTTAAAGCTACTTGTAATGAGGAGTTTTAACCAATTGTGGAGTTAAGGTTTGTATTTGTAAGAAATTAAAATAAATAGGTAAGTGGTAACACTTACCCAAGTCTTGAACCCGATAGGGAACAAAGGGGGTTTTTATCTAGGACTTATATAGTAGTATATAATAATTGATTTCCTCCATGGTTTAAAAAAAAAAAAAAAAAAAAAAAAAGCAACTCAGACTGCGCTTGAACCCTTGCGAGTCTTCAAGTTCGGGTCTTTTGTGCCCGTCCACGACTCCTCATTGTACGTACAGATTGGCTGCAAATTATGCCTTACACCAGTAAATTCCCAACGAATTCAACACCACCTTTATCAAAGTTGTATGGTGTCCAACACATGGTGGAAGATGCTTGATGGACCCGGAGAGTTATCTCTCGGAGTCCTCGTAGCACCTTCCAACTATGACTTCTCATATTTAGAACTTATCAATACGTTCGTGCAAGTGGTTAGAAGGGAGTATGGTAGACGATGTCTGATAGAGGGGGATCTCCCCCCACTCTTGGAACTGAATCTACCGCATGCTCTCGCTCTAGTCCAGTACAGCGTATGATGGCTCTAAGGTGAAGGAGTCTTCGCTTATTAGCTTGGCATTTAGTTATTAACCCCGCGTTTTGACACGGGGTTGATCGCAGTAGGACCTTTTACCAGGATTGGAGGCCCTGAGTAATTGGCCCCCCTACTGGATGATCTTCTGGGCTAATAAATATGTATTTATATAAGTTTTTGCTGTTTACGTAGGTAGACATCTTTTTTATATGATAAATACATACGATACTTGAAAAAAAAAAAAAGCCACCCAACGCTAGGCCTGGAGATCCGAATGTTGGGCCCCCCCTATAACAAACGATACAAGTAACAAGGTTCCTAAGTATGTATTTATATACGTTTTTGATGTTTACATAAGTAGACATTCCTTTTTATATGATAAATACATATTGATAGATGAAAAAAATCGCCCTACGGGTAACCTTTCCGGATTCCTCATTCTCCCTAATACGGCACTCTTTAAGACATTTTTGAAACATTACCACATTTACAGGGATTATAAATACATCACCATTTTCCCTGGGATATGTGAAGAGAAGGACAAGATATATCTAATCATCTTGATAGTTATCTGGGCCTTCCCTTGAATCTCCAAGCAACATCCTTATCTTCGCAGTTCCAATCACACGTATCCACACGTGATATCTTTCTGTATAGATAATACTACATCAAAAACCATCTACCTGCTAATCCTAGTGCCTAGTAACCCCACGGTTCTAACTTTGTAGGAACAATAGTTTACAAAAAATAAGTTTAGGAAATCTATAGCAGAACGAACACTTGAAATCAATTCTAAATAATCTTCCGCCAAAGTAGAATATAACGCCAGGACTGGAGACCCTGATGTTGGTTCCCCCTATAACAAACGAAGCAGGTGACAGGGTTCCTAAATATGATCAATAGTTTTTTTTTTATTATTGTTCCATTTTATATCAGCTCAATATACAGGATACTAACTTTCTTGTTGCTCTGTATTTTCCCAAACCGTCAATGAGTATACTAAGCCTGGAACTGTACATTGATTCTTATTAGTTTTGCACCACTTCCTTTCTCGAAGTTAGTGGGCATATCCATGGTTTAGGGGTAGCCATTGGCTAGATACGCTTTCTCTATTTTACATGTTAGGTCAAAAAAATTATAATGGGTGTACGGATGTCGTAGAGTTTCTTTTGTGCTGAAAATTAAAAAACTAGACATTTTGCATTTTCTTATCTTGATAATTGTATGACGGTTTAAAAAAGGCTACGCAGCCAAAGTGAATGGATTATATTTCTCTTCAAGTTTTGATACAGTTTACGTAAGGCGAACAATGAATCTCAGGAAAATTTTGAAATAAGACTGTTACCCAATTATTGTTACATGTTTACGTACTGAATATTAGAAAGGGTAAATCAACTACCTTTTAAATTCTCTGCTATCAACTTAGTCTATATTGCTGCTAAAATTGGCATTAGAATTGTCCTATAATTTCTATCACGCATCCTTTCTGTTGTGAAGTTGAAAATTTTGATTGTTATTAATATATATACGTCGGTATAGTAGTATTTTGCGAAAAATAAAGAAATAAAACAACTAATTATCCGACTTCAGTTCATTTACAATATTCTAGTAGCAGTATTCTAAACAATAAATAACGATAGGACTATTTATTAGACCAAAATATCTGGCTTTTTATCTTATACGTAGTACGTAGTTCTATTATTTATTTCTAAATGTCGAACCGGGAGAAGTTTTGATAAACTATACTAATCTTAATTTTTCATTCTCTTGTCTGAAAATTTGTATTCAACCATTATTGAGAAATAAAATCGCTTGGGCTTTAGACAATATTATCGTTCAATAGAATTCTCTAATCTGTTTTTTTATCCAGTCAAATGCACTCTGGTGAAAAGGATATGGTAAACCATTTTTTGCATACTTCAATATATGTTGACTCAATGTTGCTAAAAAACAGACTGAGAAGAGCCCAGGTTGTTCGTAGTTCATTGATGAAAAGAAGGGAATCTATAACAGGTCTTGGTAATTGCAGCCGTCTCGGTAACGATATGGGAACCGTTAGGTGAATCACCAAGAAAATCCCGCGTCCATCTATGCTCTAGCATCATTCTTATATAATTTATAAACGGTTCTACGTTCACATACTTCAACATATCTACGAAGGGCTTCTTTAGAGCTTATATGGGTTGCTGCTGGTCAAATTGTTCAAAAATGGAGTTATATCCTTCTCATGGCCATCTTCTAGTTTATGACCAAGTGTAGACAGATCTGTTGATAGGTTGGAAATCAGTGGCCCCAAAGCAGCGAAATAATTCTTGCATTTAGTTATATCTGTTTGTTTTCATGGGAGGTATCAAACTATAATAAGTCTAAATGTCTATCTATCCTATTTAATTATAGTTTTTTTTTTTCATCTATGATTATATATCAGCAAAAAAGGGCATCCAGTAGAGGGGCCGCTTACTTAGGGTCTCCAGTCCTGGCAAAAGGTCCTACTGCGATCAACCTCGTGTCAAAACGCGGGGTCAAAACTAAATTACAAGCAAATAAGCGAAGACTTCTTCATATTAGAACCATCATACACTGTATTGGACAAGAGTGAGAGCATGCGGTAGATTCGATTCCGAGAGTGGAGGAAGATCCCCCTCTATCAGACATCGTCTACCATACTCCCTTCTAACCACTTGAACTAACGTATTCATAAGTTCTAAATATGAGAAGTCATGGTTGGAGGGTGCCACGAGGACTTCGAGAGATAACTCCCCGGGCCCATCTAGCATCTTCCACCATGTGTTGTACACTATAAAACCTTGATAAAGGTGGTGTTGAATTCGTTGGTTACTTACTGGTGTATGGCATAATTTGCAGCCAATCTGTACGTCCAGTGAGGAGTCGTGGACGGGCACAAAAGACCCGAACTTGAAGACAGGGTTCAAGCGCAGTCTGAGTTGCTATTCATACCTGCATAAAGTTTTGCCAGAAGCTCACCCGACGATCTCTACATAGGCGGGAAGTAACATGACAACAGTTGACTCACTTGTCTGGGCTTCGCTATGTTTATTCTTAATCTCATAATCTACCTTGTCCTAATCTGTCTGACACTGATTCTCCCAAGGTATCGCTATCTCGATTGGCGTAACCCATTCTTATGGGTACTCCTTAAAGTACTTAAACTTAACTTAACTATTATATCTATCCGAGGATTCCTTACGGAAGTCCTCCCTCGTAGGACAACATTCGCTTGCGTGGTGATGCCCTCCAAGGGTTACCCGACCCTCACATCCTAGCTTCTTACGTACTTCACGTGAGGCTCGTCATGTGCATTGGGTGTAAGGATGTTCCAATAGTTGTACAAAACTACTTTGTATCATAATTGAACAGAATTGGGCGGTTGGTGTAGTGGTTAACATTTTCGCCTTCCAAGCGGGAGACACGGGTTCGATTCCCGTACCGCTCAAAATTTTTTGCACCTATTTCTCCTTCAACTTCCCACCGAGTTGTGACATAAGATAAGGCCAGTTCAGACCCCCCAGCCATCCTTAGATTATCCAGGTAATTTGCAAGTCAGTCCACTGTCGTTGCACATCTCATATTATAAAATAGACCCGATTCATCTTGAGAGTAGTATCGAATGTAGACCATCCGAAAACACAGTACATGATTTGGAGGGTACCTTGGAGGCTCGGATACAAAAATTACTTCATAGCACTTAATTATAAGATTTGCGCGATCCCAAATTGAAGGATATTTATTTTATTTTTAGGATTCTTTTAGATTATAAACACTGAATGGATGCATATCTTTCTCGAAAATTTTACTATGTGTACTGCAAGTGAGTCCAACTGTTTGTATGAACTTCTTGACAATTAGTTATACAGGTTCTGAATAACAATATAGCATCCCTCAAATATCACCGACAACAGATGCCAATATGTTTGATTAGAAATTTCTAAACTATTGTATTGAATTAATTATAAACAAATAGTTAAAGCGATTGCAAAAATCGAAGAACAGAATAAATGGTTTTTAGAAGAAGTTAAAATTAAAATTCATAATTTCATCAAAACAAAATGGCAAAGAAAGTAACAATAATACTTACAATCGACAGCGATTTGATAGTAATTGCTGAACCATCGGTGATGAACGATAGAGTATTAGGGACTGAGCCTGAGGTTGCCGATGTGAATCCAGAGCCAGATCCAGATCCTGAACTGGAACCAGAACCAGAGCCAGAGCCAGATCCTGAACTGGAACCAGAACCAGAGCCAGATCCAGAGCCAGATCCAGAGCCAGATCCAGATCCAGAGCCAGAGCCAGAGCCAGAGCCAGAGCCAGAGCCAGAGCCAGAGCCAGAGCCAGAGCCAGAGCCAGAGCCAGATCCAGAGCCAGAGCCATTACCGGTTCCAGAGCCAGAGCCATTACCGGTTCCAGAGCCAGTGCCAGTACCAGTACGAGTGCCAGTACCAGTTTCAGTGCCAGTGCCGGTTTCAGTGCCAGTACCAGTACCAGTACCAGTGCCAGTACCAGTACCAGTGCCAGTACCGGTTTCAGTGCCAGTGCCGGTTTCAGTGCCAGTGCCAGTTTCAGTGCCAGTGCCAGTTTCAGTGCCAGTACCAGTACCAGTGCCAGTACCAGTACCAGTGCCAGTACCGGTTTCAGTGCCAGTGCCGGTTTCAGTGCCAGTTCCAGTTCCAGTACCAGTTCCAGTGCCAGTGCCAGCTCCAGTACCAGTGCCAGTGCCAGTACCTGTGCCAGTGCCAGTGCCAGTACCAGTGCCAGTGCCAGTGCCAGTGCCAGTACCCGTGCCAGTGCCAGTGCCAGTGCCAGTACCAGTGCCAGTGCCAGTGCCTGTGCCAGTACCCGTGCCAGTGCCAGTTCCAGTTCCTGTACCTGTGCCAGTGCCAGTACCTGTGCCAGTGCCAGTGCCAGTGCCAGTACCAGTGCCAGTTCCAGTACCTGTGCCAGTGCCAGTTCCAGTTCCAGTTCCTGTACCGGTTCCAGTGCCAGTGGAAGAAGCACCATCAGTAGATGAAGCAGAGTCGGTCGATGAAACAGCACCAGTGGAGGAGGCAGCACCAGTGGAGGAGGCAGCACCAGTGGAGGAGGCAGTATCAGCAGATGAGGCAGCACCAGTGGAGGAGGCAGTATCAGCAGATGAGGCAGTGTCGGTCGATGAGGCAGCACCAGTGGAGGAGGCAGTGTCGGTCGATGAAGCAGAGTCAGTAGATGAAGCAGTGTCGGTCGATGAAGCAGTGTCGGTCGATGAAACCGCACCAGTGGAGGAGGCAGTATCAGTTGATGAGGCAGTGTCGGTCGATGAGGCAGCACCAGTGGAGGAGGAAGCATCAGTAGATGAGGCGGAGTCGGTCGATGAAACAGCACCAGTGGAGGAGGCAGTGTCGGTCGATGAAGCAGAGTCAGTAGATGAAGCAGTGTCGGTCGATGAAGCAGTGTCGGTCGATGAAACCGCACCAGTGGAGGAGGCAGTATCAGTTGATGAGGCAGTGTCGGTCGATGAGGCAGCACCAGTGGAGGAGGAAGCATCAGTAGATGAGGCGGAGTCGGTCGATGAAACAGCACCAGTGGATGAGGCAGAATCAGTAGATGAAGCAGAATCAGTAGATGAAGCAGTGTCGGTCGATGAAGCAGTGTCGGTCGATGAAGCAGTGTCAGTAGATGAAGCAGTGTCAGTAGATGAAGCAGCACTAGTGGAGGAGGCACCATCGGTAGATGAAGCGATTGTACTGGAGGGTAAAGCTGAACTTGAGCTAGAAGGAAGGGGGATTGTTGGGACAGATTTACAAGACGTACATCCAGTCGACGGAGTACTAGAACCTGGAATGGGGCCGTTGTATATGACCCCACCATTGATAACAATTCCAATGAGACCACCAAAGTTGACGGTTTGAGTGGAGAAAAGTGCAGAGTTGTATCCGAGACCAATGTTGAATTCTTGTGATAACTGCAATGGGAATATACCAGTTGAAAGTGTCAATATCCCAGTTGCTGCATTATAGTTTCTACCGGTGATAGGTAAACTGAGTCCAATAACATTGCCGTTTCCAAATCCAGCAACCAAGAATGTTTGTGAAAACGAGAGTGATTCAACCCTCAACATAGAGGAACTGTCAGAAAGGTAAATGGTCTGGTCAGGGCTAAAGGAGAGAAGTGAGTTTGCAATCCACATGGTGGATGATATACCCACGTCAATACATCCTGAACCACCAACTGCTGTGCTCTGTGTCCATGACTCGTTGATCAAACAAATTTGTCCATCGTTGGTAATACCGAAACCAGTTGTTCCTAGGGTTGCAGAAACAGTTGTTCTCTCTGACAGGGAAAGCACAATACTTGCTCCTGCTCTGTTGTTCCAGTTTGCAGCAAGAATGTTGAAAACAGGGTCGAGCAAACCTCCAATGCTTTGAAACCAAATGTCACCACTGTTATCGAAAGTGTTAACAACAATATCAAAGTTGGGAGCGGTAAGGCCATTGTCGGTGGAGAATACAACGTCTCCAGTGTTTGTAAAGCTCAGAAGGACGTTTGCAAACGTAATTGACAAAGAAATGAGTTGACTATTCGTTGTAATGAATAATTGGCCTGCATTGTTGAGGTCACCAACGAAGATTTCTGTAATTCCGTTTACAATTGACCAGTAAACACCAGAATTGATGACAACATCGCCAACCAAAAGAACGGTTCCTTCCGTAACCGTATTCTGAGTAATTGTCTGTGAATTCACAGACAGAAGAGATAACAAGCAAGCAGCTAAAGTCTTTAAATTGAACCGCATGATTGATGTAGAATGGAAGAATAATAATCTATTGCATTCCCAAGAGATTTCAGTTGGGTTTTTATAGCCAAGCTGGGATCGCCTTAGCTGCAGATTGAATGTTGATTAATGAGAGTAGTGAGCATGGATATTTTCTTTGTTCTGCATTAATAAAACTGTATACATACATGGATTGTAGTTCTGCAGTCTACAATGGTCATGCACTACTTGGCGTTGAAGCACAGATTCTATTTTATCCGCTCCAATCTTCAACATTCGTGCATAACATCGTAATAAGGATCAAGAGACTAAGTACAATCGTCATCTTCCCTTCTCTTTCGAACTATCATGAAGTCTTTATTCTTTTGCAAGCTTTGGGTAGATGTTTGAGTGGATGTATCAAACAGGTTAAATTTAATTCAATAATTGAAAAATGTTTTATGGGAGGTAAAACGTAGAAGAAATTACAAAGAGTATCACGGTGTCACCATTGTCTTGAGTTTGCCGCCTTGGAAGGATTTCTCGTATGTCTATTGATTATCATAGAATATGCGGTAGTGCACTCAATGTGTATTGTTCGCGCACTTCAAACAAACGGCCACATCTTGCACATTCAGCCTGACAGGACATGCATTTTATACACCATGCATAAGAATGGTCAAGTCAAAACTACTTTCAGGAAGAGCTTATCCCCTCTTAGTAGACACACAAAAAATATTTACGGTTGTCATACTTAACTGTGCATTAAAGCATCTTTGAAGCGTTTATATATCCTATTTTTTTGGAACACAGTTTACGATATACAGATGTGGAATTCAAATTTCCAACTTTAGATTTGCTTAATTCGCTTATATGGAAAATACTGGGCTAATATGTACGAATTTAAGCCCCATGCAAGCTATATACACACCAGTAGTTTTCAACAACTATGCTGATATAAATTGAAAGAAGGGGAAGACCACAGAATCCATTAGCAAATCACCAAGATAGTTGACCTCTATATATACATTTGTAGACTCCATGTCTTGAATCGATTTATGCCAAAAATTCTACGAAAGTAATTGATACTCAGCATTTGTGTCACCAACTGGGGTGATAAAAACTGCCTTTCTCTATGAATCCACCCGATTATACCTATATACGAAATACCGTTCCTTTTCTGTTTTAGTTTTTTAATTTTTGCAACTCGTGATGGGTTCTCTTTAGAAATATCCGTTCCAAGAAAACTGCAATATTCAAACAGTTGGCCGTTAGTTTGAACAAGACTACCTTTTGCTCTCCAAAATGTTCTTACTCGGAAATCTCATTACAACTTCCATATTTAGACTCCTTTTAATTTGATAAATACTGTAGAGTACGGAAACTTCAAATCATTACAAAGCATTAATTTCTTCCTTCACCCTCGGAAAGAGAAAAGATTCGTTTCGAACGTGCGGCGTTCTGAACCTTCTTATTTATGCAAGATAAATTCATACGGCTACATAATATTGTGCGTCACCTGTATACAAGACCATTTTTATTTTGTGGGGTATGAGTAGATTAATACATCAAATCATTTTACCAGCTTTTATTATTATTATGAGTAGCTTATGAGACATAAAAAAGTCAAATCAGTATGGATACAAAATGTATCGGCTATTGAAATGTTCTATATGTGAGAAAAAAGAAAACGATATCTGGAGTGAGATTTACTCATGGGAAGATTCTTATGTAAGATCCATCTCCACATGCGCACACAAAAAATATAATTTAATGCTCCTTCCTAATTCAATGATTGCTGCCGTACGATCGATATTACTCTGTTAACGGGGCAAATTTCAGACCTCATTTACAAGTTCGTAAATTCTTACTTTTGGAACTATGGCTTACCCGGAATATGATTGTACGCCATTAGACGCGACAAGTAAAAATATGGAGTACATATATAAAATATTTTCGATTGTTTACATTAAAAATAAATAGTCTCTAAAAATATAGTCCGTAAGTATCAGTTTTCAAAAACAAACCTCAAAAAGTCATTTTTAACGAAAAGTAACTACCTGGTAAGGAAACTCACATCAATACGTATTTTTTACTCAAAAGGAAAAAATTTACGCAGTGGCGACAGTATAAATCCATTTAGCACATGTAATCGTCTGTATATTAATTTAAATTACCAGCTAGTATATCAAAAGTGGAATCCAAACGAAATTGAAATTTATTTCCCCAAATAAGACCTACTAAGTGGGGTTTATATGAACAAGATTTAGTCTGTGTATGCAAAACATGGATTAATGCGTGAGAAAAACACTCCAAATCAGATAACAGCTCCATGAGGACGGTTCTCTTTTCATATAATACGTCTCTCTAAAGGTTATACAGACGTGGACGAAATATACCTACTTTCGGGTGTCTTATTCATCGAGATTCCCGATTCTTTGTCTTTTACTTTAAAGAATTAAACCTGTTCCCCGTATCTGCGGAGAGAAAAAAAACAAATTTATTATGTATGCGCAGAATACCAAATACATATGTACAGACATCAAATAATTCGAGACCCGCATGTTCCCCTTTTACAATTAATTTTGTCACATAAACTATAATATTACGGGGAAGAGAAAATCAAATATATTAGAAAAAGTGGGATTACAAGTGCTGGTCAACTATGTACTAAAATAATACAAGACGACGATACGACAAGTGCTTTCGTAAAGGATTATTAAGGTTTTTCTCTTATATTCAGGACTTGCTGCATCTCGTGCTAAATTATGTATGTTTCCGTTTCTGAACAATGAAAGGGTTTAGTGGTCTCTACCTGATATAAACGACAAATCAGTGACCACCATTCCTAAATATTTTTAGATATTAATACAGTATGTAGTTTTAGATGATTACTTCCACTTACAAGCAATAGTAGTGTTATAGTCAGAATTAACTATGGATACAGTTACCTCCTAACTATACGTTGATTCTTTCGAGAATGACGACAGACTTCAACAGCGTTAAGGACCACTTTAATTCCCGATTCGCGAGATCACAGCTTGGTTACGTTGTTCAAATTAACAAATAATAAAATAAGTATGATAATAAACCATGAGAGGTTCTCAAAGTTCACAAGTTTCCCTCTTGCACAAAAAGTTTACTATATGGCAATTATAAAATGCATATACAAGAGAGGGTTATATAGCCAAAAAAAAACCAACTATAATATCGAGTGAAGAATGAAAAAACACGCCTGCATATCACGTGAATCTAAATGTTAAACTTTTTACATGCCACTTTATACTTCTTTCTTTACTCAATATTATATTTTCCCACTCCATCCCACTTCCATAGTATGCAGCACATTAGCAGGGAATCTGGAGAGGATTGATCTCAACGAGTCTCAGCCTACATCTGAGAATACTGAGACCATATCCTCACAAAAGTTATAAAAATTCATCAGTTAGGTTTAACAGCACCCCTATATGCACTCCCAATGAATTTGTTCAAGTCATTCTTTTAAGTTATAGGATATATATTAGTGTAATTTTTTTCAGGAAGCTATTATCTAACTTATGTGTTATTGAGAATTATAGTAATATCCACCACTATCCTTCTTCTAACTCTTCTTTCGTAGCTTAACCATCTTCCTTTCTTTATAATCTAATCTCCTCGTCTAGCATTCCGTATGTATCTAATCATCGCCATCTTTCGGTAAAACATTCCACCGAGCTTAATAATTCTATGCTCGTATTCCTGTGATCGTATTTTTTAACCGATCACGTGTTCAGTTCTGTTTATATCACTCAACACATTCCCCAAGTTTAACAGACCCAGGATGTTAGAAGGAGAATCACTCCCACTTACATTCAGTGATCTACGATGCTCGGCTCGAATACAGCTACGTATAATGTGAGCTACCCTATTCTAGGGCCGTGGAGTAAGGACCTTTAAGGTATTTTGTTAATCTTCTGCTGGTATGACTAGGTGCCAGGATCAGAGACACTGGTATTACCCCCCTACAAGATCACAATACACCTGGGCTTATATACATATATAAATATCTGGGTGCAATAGATAGCTACACAAAGTAAACACAAATAGAGACGAAAAGTTAAGTGAGTAAGAAGAAGAACTCTAGTTGTTACTACTTTAATTAATAATGTACATTTGTTTTATATACAGTATAATTGAAGCCTCCTAACAATAACGCAAGTAGTAGGCACAAATACAAAGAAATACCATTGAAATCTTAGAATACTCAAAAAAACAAGTTGTGTTCTCAAACAACACTTTTGGTCTGTATGTTCCCATTATTCATATATAAGTTTGGCTACACAAAAAGAGAAAGAGTATGCACTAAATGACGAGTATTGACTTACAGCTGATGTAAATGTGGTAGTAATTGGATTACATGTCCCATGCTAGTTCCATACTTAAGGAATGAGAAAATAAGGCTTGTACTTTATTTACATCATTCCATATCTTTAATCTTTTCTTCACCTTTCACGTTACTTCTTTTCGTCCCAAAACATTCAATTCTATACTTAAATGTTAGAATACAAGGCGATGGATGGACAAAGATATAATCTTCATTAACTACATTGATTATTTATCACCCTTTCTGGCTTCTAAACTGACTACCTAATTAGTAAATTATGATGGTTTATGGAAGGTGTTATATGAAGGATTCGATATATCACGTGGAAGTAGTTATATGGAGGAAAAGATGAGTAACTTGCGAACCAGAGTCTTTGGCGCGATGCAGTGGTGGTGAGACACGGAATGCAAAAGGCGCATGACTTGTTGAAGCAAGGCGCCTACACGGAACTGGGAGTGGAACTGGGAGCGAAATTAGGAGGGGAATTAGGAGCGGAATTGGGGGCAATAGATGAGCTTCGGGAAAATTTTGCAGCAAATTTTACCGCTGATCTCAGCTATAAATTCAGGCTAGTTCTCGGTTGGAGAATTGATGTGTTAGAAGAATGAGAGTAAAATACTAAGTATTTAGAGAGTATTAAATTTGCTAATAGTTTCACAGTAAAACAATCATTTACAACGAAGCTGAAGCATCTAGAATATATAATAGAACTTATATTTATTAAAGCGTAGTACAGCCTGAACATCCACGTGACTACAATCACCTGCATTCCTGTACAAATTCCATCAAATTAGATCCTGCATATCAAATAGCACACACAGGATCGGATTCTAACCTCATACTTAAAAATACTATTTCTTAGTATAAAAAATCTTAGAGCATATATGAATAGTTAAAAGGTATGATAAAAGCAAATGTAAATGTAGGATTTTTTTTCAGAGGGTGGTTGAAAAACACTCTGAAAACAATGGAAATCATCCTTCCATCCATAGTTTGATGGATAAATACATATTGTATATACCCAAAGAGTGATAAACGGACCGCTAAGACACTTATCTACGTTGTAACAAAACGGATACTAGGGCATAACTATTTTAACTGATAACAGAGCTCAATAAGAATAATTATTCGATCACACTTGTTAGAAGGGATATACTTACTATCATATCTGAGTCTTGTTCAAGTGGGCGAGCAGCCATATTAACACTCTTTTGTTAGGTAATGTCAGGGCGGTTACTACCTTTTTGAGAACGTCAGGTTATCCTTGATAATTCCACGACTATTTGTATTAGAGGTGGCCAAAGGGGACGCGTACAGAGCCGAGAGGCAAGGAAAAGGGGTTATGGAGAGAGAGACCCCTCTTAAACTTTAATTAATTTGTCCAAACTCGGTAGAACAATGGCCCTACCGATAATTTTGGGGCAGGATAGTGGCACTCCTCTCAGAGGATAAGAAGCGCCACTCCCTCTTTTCTCTACATAGGTGAAATAGCTCACCAAGCTATTTAACTAATACTATTTTCTTATTCCAACCTCATTAAAGATAAAACCTAACATCTTTCATGCAGTAGGTAGTAAAAGAAAGGAAGAAGAGTCACTATCTGTCATGAGATTTTATATTTTCAGTGTCATTTTTATTCTTTTTAGATGTATTATTTAAACTAATAGATATAAGGAGCAACTAGATAACTCTTTGTGCGAACATAATTGTTACTGACCTTACCTAAATTTTACTTCGTATATGACTTAGTTTGAACAACTACGGCACTAATTGGGGAAATTTAAAGAGAAATTGTTTCCCGATAACATTATAACATTAGTGTCATAGTGATAATTTCTGACCCCTTCCCCAAGATTTGCTCTTGATATGAAGCAAAACTGACAGTATATAACACATGAAGTGTCTTTCCACATTGTTTGAAATCCAAGACAGTGTGTCGATTAAATGGTTGAATATACAATACACATAACACACACACACCACTTACTTCTAGTATTCACCAATATGATATTCAGGTAACCACCAAATTTGTATGAAGATATGCTTGATTCTCTATAGGGATATCTAATTAATAAAAGTATCAGAATCAATGGCATATTTAGCTCTTTTAAGAAGAGCCTATGGAATAAATGTGTCTATATTAAACAAAATTCCCTATACTTCAATCATAAGTCAGCCATGAATTAAAGGTCTAATAGTGACCATGTTCGCCGTAGTGGGATAGTGCTATGAATTTTACCCATTCGGTGGGAATTTATGGCGCTGTTAATTTTCATTCATACTAAAGTTTAATTCTATAGGATGTTCTCGTATCCTAGGTTTAACCAACGGATTTCAGGTTTAGTACATTGAAAACGACGACGACTATAAAGTCCGCAGAAAGATCTAACTCCCCTCTACTAATTATTTCAATGCAATTTTTTTATTTCTTATGCACAGAGTTAAAAATGTTAGGCAATCTTCTCTGTTTCCCGACTATCAATATATGAAAAAAGAGAGAAATACATTTTAGATTTGCAAATCATTTCAATGCTAGATTTCAATAGTACTAGATACTTGCATTGATCTAATACGAATATACAATTTTTATAGATTTTAATTCTAGAAATAAACTGTTGCACATCTGTTAAATAGTAAAGCAAGGAAACAAGAGACAGATACAAAGTGTGCGTAAACTTGGTAAAATAATCATATCTAGATTAAATTGAACAAATATCATACCTATCCAACGACATGTCCGGATTCAAATAGACATTTATTTTTTTATTTACTATTTTTCCCCTGTTGAAGTTCTAAGTTTTAGGGATGACATTTGGAAACAAAAGAATGAAATCCGTATGAAAGTATGAGTACTCACAACATGTTCGCCAGACCGTGGGAAGAATATTTTTTAAAACGGAAAATGAATTTATCGCGACTTGCAGTCCCCTACGAAACATAGGTAATATTTTTTTTATGCGCTGCAAGGCAAATGACCATGATACATGCTTGCGCAGAAAAATTTATATACATTCCCTAATCTTCTGTGTAAACAATATTTTTTGCATCCTCTGAACCCCTTATGTGTACGCACATTCTTCTTGATATATTCTATTATAAACAACGCATTTTTATTAGTTTATAGCTGATATACAAGGGTCAACGTTTTCCACATTTAGAAATAAAGAAAAGGACAATTAGGGTATCCATGTAAACTGACTTCTCCGCCGTGCGGGGATAGCTTTTTTAAAAGAAATAACCAGGAAGCACATACCATATACGTATATGCGTACATATAGGGAATCTGAATCCCTACACAATTTTGGTGTACGATTAATGTACGAATAGGCGTCATGTACTTGGTGGTCTATTGTAATCACGTGCAGAGCGCATTAACCTGCTAATAGTTTTTGCGCAATTTCCTTGCTTGTACTTCCAAGCTAATTAGTGATTGATCTCTGTAAATCCACCTATTTCCTGATATGTACAAGCAAGAGTTACAATTATTAAGTATAATATATGGGTCAGAAATATTCAAATTTAGCATTAGATCTACTATTATAGAATAAGATTATTGCTCATGCAGTTGGTGCGTCCTCACAAAGAAATAGATAGATCTTGCATGAAGTCTCTTCAAAATTAAGAATCTCGCACCAGATGCCTTAAGTATTTTTCAAACGTTTCGCACCAGAATACATATCATTTTCTCCTTGGGATATATTATTGTATTAACAGAATGCAATAAGAGGATAATAACAAAATAGAATTTGGCGCAGAACGTATTTCTTCCGCCTTATAAGAGTGTATTTCCTGCATACATAGATATTTTTTACCTGTACAGAAATCACATAATTCATCATGCATTTGTTCGATTATGTAAAGGTTCGCGATTTGCTGACTGTGAAAGTCTACTAAGGCAGTGGATATTATGCACATGTTATGAAAAACATGCGAGAAATCAGTAATGTCAATTCAGAATGGAGGTGAAACATACAATATGAATTATCAAGTAAATCATATCTATACTATTAAATTGTTTCTCATTTTATATACTTTAATTTGGACACAAATACTTTTTCTTGATTCGATTTTGATATACGGGAGAACGCATTAAAAATTTGCTTGCGAATACGCCATGCCTTATTGTGGACTTTAAATTTGTAGATCGATGTCTATCAAGGCCACGTCCAAAGCTGGTCCAAAGCTGGTAAATCCAATTCCTAATCGGTAAGTAGCAAACTACATATTGGCTCGAAGATGCAATGAAAATTTGCTGGCGAATACTCCATGCGTTATTGCGGACATCAAATTCATAGATCGTCCAACAAATTTCAATCAAAGCCAAGAATATCCAAAGCTGGTAAATCCAATTCCTAATCGGTAAGTAGCAAACTACATATTCGCTCGTAAAAAAACATGAGAGTTGTTAAAAATATTTTTATGTACGCATAAGCAATAGTACCATTTTTTCTCTTTTCGTTATTACGTTTCTTGTATCGGCCCCTCTTATGCATAATTAAAACTCATATCATGTCGGTTGAATGTGCAAGTGCAAGGTCTGGACTATTGTTAGAATTGCGCAAACAATAAGCTTAGAATTCACCCCGCGTATTCTATGACAATCAAAATATATCGAATTTCTCAATGTCGTAAACTCTACTCATACGATGACACCCATTGTAAAGTCATACAAAGTCAGCATCTAAACAGCATTTTTCACTCACTCAAATATCTTGACCCATTCGGAATAGGTATTCAAATACCTGCCAAAAAAATCATAAAAGATGTACATAATCAATACTACCCCCGCAAAAGCGCCGAAGAATTTAGTGCTTAACCCACGGGGCTCGTTGGATATATTATGCACGGGTGTGGCATAGAAGTGTGGAGAAACTAGAATCTGCAAACCTCAACACTAACCACTGCATTGCCAAGATTTTCTGCAGAACCACCGTAGTCTCAATAATGCAACACAACAATAGTCAGACTAAATTCACTAAAACAACATACAATTTGCAGCTAAGGCGATTCAAGCTTGGCTATAAAAACCCAACTGAAATCTCTTAGCAGTTTTGGATTTGTCTAGTATTGATCCTTCTGAATCTACTCAATTTACTGTTAAGTTGGATACTGAAGGTAAAATACATTTGAGAGCTACATTCATGCCTGAATACATCAGACCAAAATTGGACGCTACTAGTGGATTGCCTATTGATTTGGCAGCCGTTGGTGCTGTTCCATTGAAGGCCGTTGGTGGTGTTGCTAATATTGCCACAGGTGTTGTTGGTGGTGGTGTTGGTTTGGCTGCAGATGGTGTTACCAAGGGTGGTTCGTTCATTAAGGGCTTTGGTAGAAGTTCCAAGAAGAAGTCACCATCCAAATCTAGTTCCAATGGGGGCCAGCGTGAAGCTAATAGTGATGAATTCTCAGACCTTGCTTCTCACCAAACACGTCAAACATCCCAAACTAACGCTACTTCGGAGAGTAATAAGGCTACTGAAGAAGATCCAGATAAATTGATGAGTGATATCCAATCTATGCAATCAGAACAACCATCTATTGTTCATGCTGTTCCTAATGTCAACCCTGACCTCTTGCCACCAGCGCAAAGACCAAATGTTGGACATTCGCGTTCTACTAGTGATGCTAGTAGTTTTGTTGGTTCCAATGGTAATGGAAGTGGGGCTATTCCTGGTAGAGTACACATCATTTCTGGTAGTGGCTTTTCCAGTAATGCTGCAGAAGTTAAGATTTCATTAAAATCGGGTTCAAAAGAAAAGGATTTACTTAAAACAAGACAATTAAAAGCTGATAAGGAAAAGAGATTTAATTGGAATGAATCAATTCCATTCAAGGCAACTTCAGACTCCATTCTTGAATTCCACGTCAGAGAAAAGCACACATTTGGTAAGAGTGCCGACCTTGGAACTGGCTCCTTGCCATTGGCGTTAGCTATAAACCAACAAGAAAATATTCCTATCACAGTTGGATCTGGTACCATTCTTGTTAATGTTAGATATATTCCTATAAAATGATGAAAAGGTTTATAGAGTCTATGTATTATTCATTGTATTTGTTTATGAGATTATTTAATTGTAGAAGAAAACCATTGGGTATATAATATCGTTAATCTATATATATATATATATTTGAATGTTTATTTAATTTTAGCAACATAACCAATAGTTAAAGGTTGCAACCATTAAATCAACATATACATCCTATGCGTGGCGCGTGACGGGAGCCATGTGATCTCTAGGGTAGCAATGCACTTGTGCCCACATTTACTACTAGTCGCGCAAATGCACTACCTTGTGCAAACCGTTCCCAGACTTACATTTACGCGGGATTTCAATTTGATGTGACTGCTTTGGCATTCGCCAAATCGCACGACCCACTGTGCACTCCGGAAATTCTTTTCTAGTATACGCTCCACTGTGAAAAATAAAACAAAAAAAATGCCATAGATTATTATTCTTCTCCTTCATCAAACATGCGGTTGAATTTAAAGACTTTAGCTGCTTGCTTGTTATCTCTTCTGTCTGTGAATTCACAGACAATTACTGAGAATACGGTTACTGAAGGAACCGTTCTTTTGATTGGCGATGTTGTAATCAATTCTGGTGTTTACTGGTCAATTGTAAACGGACTTACAGAAACCTTCCTTGGTGACCTCAACAATGCCGGCCAGTTATTCATTACTACGAATAGTCGCCTTATTTCTTTGTCAATTACCTTTGCAAACGTCCTTCTGAGCTTTACAAACACTGGAGACGTTGTATTCTCCACCGACAATGGCCTTACCGCTCCCAACTTTGATATTGTTGTTAACACTTTCGATAACAGTGGTAACGTTTGGTTTCAAAGCATTGGAGGTTTGCTCGACCCTGTTTTCAACATTCTTGCTGCAAACTGGAACAACAGAGCAGGAGCAAGTATTGTGCTTTCCCTGTCAGAGAGAACAACTGTTTCTGCAACCCTAGGAACAACTGGTTTCGGTATTACCAACGATGGACAAATTTGTTTGATCAACGAGTCATGGACACAGAGCACAGCAGTTGGTGGTTCAGGATGTATTGACGTGGGTATATCATCCACCATGTGGATTGCAAACTCACTTCTCTCCTTTAGCCCTGACCAGACCATTTACCTTTCTGACAGTTCCTCTATGTTGAGGGTTGAATCACTCTCGTTTTCACAAACATTCTTGGTTGCTGGATTTGGAAACGGCAATGTTATTGGACTCAGTTTACCTATCACCGGTAGAAACTATAATGCAGCAACTGGGATATTGACACTTTCAACTGGTATATTCCCATTGCAGTTATCACAAGAATTCAACATTGGTCTCGGATACAACTCTGCACTTTTCTCCACTCAAACCGTCAACTTTGGTGGTCTCATTGGAATTGTTATCAATGGTGGGGTCATATACAACGGCCCCATTCCAGGTTCTAGTACTCCGTCGACTGGATGTACGTCTTGTAAATCTGTCCCAACAATCCCCCTTCCTTCTAGCTCAAGTTCAGCTTTACCCTCCAGTACAATCGCTTCATCTACCGATGGTGCTTCATCTACCGATGGTGCTTCATCTACCGATGGTGCCTCTTCTAGTGAATCTCCTACATCAAGTGCCGCTACTTCATCAAGTGCTGCCTCTTCTAGTGAATCTCCTTCCTCAAGTGCTGCTGCTTCATCAAGTGATGCTGCTTCATCAAGCGCAGCTGCTTCATCAAGTGCTGCATCTTCTAGTGAATCTCCTACATCAAGTGCCGCTACTTCATCAAGTGCTGCATCTTCTAGTGAGTCTCCTTCCTCAACTGCTGCATCTTCTAGTGAATCTCCTTCCTCAAGTGCCGCTGTTTCATCAAGTGATGCTGCATCTTCTAGTGAATCTCCTTCTTCAAGTGCTGCCTCTTCTAGCGAATCTCCTTCTTCAAGTGCTGCTGTTTCATCAAGTGCTGTTTCATCAAGTGCAGCTGCTTCATCAAGTGCAGCTGTTTCATCAAGTGCTGTTTCATCAAGTGCAGCTGCTTCATCAAGTGCAGCTGCTTCATCAAGTGCTGTATCTTCTAGTGAATCTCCTTCTTCAAGTGCCGCTGCTTCATCAAGTGATGCTGCTTCATCAAGCGCTGCTGCTTCATCAAGTGCTGCTGCTTCATCAAGCGCTGCTGCTTCATCAAGTGCTGCCTCTTCTAGTGAATCTCCTTCTTCAAGTGCTGCCTCTTCTAGCGAATCTCCTTCTTCAAGTGCTGCTGTTTCATCAAGTGCAGCTGCTTCATCAAGTGCTGTATCTTCTAGTGAATCTCCTTCTTCAAGTGCCGCTGCTTCATCAAGTGCCGCTGCTTCATCAAGTGATGCTGCTTCATCAAGTGCTGCTGCTTCATCAAGCGCTGCTGCTTCATCAAGTGCTGCCTCTTCTAGTGAATCTCCTTCTTCAAGTGCTGCCTCTTCTAGCGAATTTCCTTCTTCAAGTGCTGCTGCTTCATCAAGTGCTGCTTCATCAAGTGCAGCTGCTTCATCAAGTGCTGTATCTTCTAGTGAATCTCCTTCTTCAAGTGCCGCTGCTTCATCAAGTGATGCTGCTTCATCAAGTGCTGTATCTTCTAGTGAATCTCCTTCTTCAAGTGCCGCTGCTTCATCAAGTGATGCTGCTTCATCAAGTGATGCTGCTTCATCAAGTGCTGCATCTTCTAGTGAGTCTCCTTCCTCAACTGCTGCATCTTCTAGTGAATCTCCTTATTCAAGTGCTGCCTCTTCTAGCGAATCTCCTTCTTCAAGTGCTGCTGCTTCATCAAGTGCTGCTTCATCAAGTGCAGCTGCTTCATCAAGTGCTGTATCTTCTAGTGAATCTCCTTCTTCAAGTGCCGCTGCTTCATCAAGTGCCGCTGCTTCATCAAGTGATGCTGCTTCATCAAGCGCTGCTGCTTCTTCAAGTGCTGCTGTTTCATCAAGTGCAGCTGCTTCATCAAGTGCTGTATCTTCTAGTGAATCTCCTTCTTCAAGTGCCGCTGCTTCATCAGGTGCCGCTGCTTCATCAAGTGATGCTGCTTCATCAAGCGCTGCTGCTTCTTCAAGTGCTGCTGTTTCATCAAGTGCAGCTGCTTCATCAAGTGCTGTATCTTCTAGTGAATCTCCTTCTTCAAGTGCCGCTGCTTCATCAGGTGCCGCTGCTTCATCAAGTGATGCTGCTTCATCAAGCGCTGCTGCTTCTTCAAGTGCTGCTGTTTCATCAAGTGCAGCTGCTTCATCAAGTGCTGTATCTTCTAGTGAATCTCCTTCTTCAAGTGCCGCTGCTTCATCAAGTGATGCTGCTTCATCAAGCGCTGCTGCTTCATCAAGTGCTGCTGCTTCATCAAGTGCTGCCTCTTCTAGTGAATCTCCTTCTTCAAGTGATGTTGTACCATCTACAGATGGTGCATCTTCTGGTAATGGTGCTTCATCCACCAGTACGGCTTCTTCATCTAGTCCTACATATTCCACCAATGGAGATTCTTCAAGTGGCGTAGCTTCTATTACCAGTACTACATCATCCATAGGTACTGTTAGTGGTACTGAAACCAGAATTTCTAGTAGTACGCACACTGGTACTGACTCCGGCTCTAATGGATCAGGATCAGGTTCTTCTGGCTCCGGCTCTTCTGGTTCTGGCTCCGGCTCTTCTGGTTCTGGCTCCGGCTCTTCTGGTTCTGGCTCCGGCTCTTCTGGTTCTGGCTCCGGCTCTTCTGGTTCTGGCTCCTCTGGTTCTGGCTCCTCTGGTTCCGGCTCTTCTGGTTCTGGCTCCTCTGGTTCTGGCTCCTCTGGTTCTGGAACTGACTCCGGCTCCTCTGGTTCCGGCTCTTCTGGTTCTGGCTCTTCTGGTTCTGGAACTGACTCCGGCTCCTCTGGTTCTGGAACTGACTCCGGCTCTAATGGATCAGGATCAGGTTCTTCTGGATCTTCTGGCTCTTCTAGCTCTGGCTACGGCTCTTCTGGTTCTGGCTCTTCTGGTTCTGGCTCCTCTGGTTCTGGCTCTTCTGGTTCTGGCTCTTCTGGTTCTGGAACTGACTCCGGCTCCTCTGGTTCTGGAACTGACTCCGGCTCTAATGGATCAGGATCAGGATTAGGATCTTCTGGATCCGGCTCTTCTGGTTCTGGCTCTTCTGGTTCTGGCTCTTCTGGTTCTGGAACTGACTCCGGCTCCTCTGGTTCTGGAACTGACTCCGGCTCTAATGGATCAGGATTAGGATCTTCTGGATCCGGCTCTTCTGGTTCTGGCTCTTCTAGCTCTGGCTCCGGCTCCTCTGGTTCCGGCTCTTCTGGTTCTGGCTCCTCTGGTTCTGGCTCCTCTGGTTCTGGAACTGACTCCGGCTCTAATGGATCAGGATTAGGATCTTCTGGATCCGGCTCTTCTGGTTCTGGCTCTTCTAGCTCTGGCTCCGGCTCCTCTGGTTCCGGCTCTTCTGGTTCTGGCTCCTCTGGTTCTGGCTCCTCTGGTTCTGGAACTGACTCCGGCTCTAATGGATCAGGATTAGGATCTTCTGGATCCGGCTCTTCTGGTTCTGGCTCTTCTGGTTCTGGCTCCTCTGGTTCTGGAACTGACTCCGGCTCCTCTGGTTCTGGAACTGACTCCGGCTCCTCTGGTTCCGGCTCTTCTGGTTCTGGCTCTTCTGGTTCTGGAACTGACTCCGGCTCCTCTGGTTCTGGAACTGACTCCGGCTCTAATGGATCAGGATCAGGTTCTTCTGGCTCCGGCTCCTCCGGCTCCTCTGGTTCTGGCTCCTCTGGTTCTGGCTCCTCTGGTTCTGGAACTGACTCCGGCTCTAATGGATCAGGATCAGGTTCTTCTGGCTCCGGCTCTTCTGGTTCTGGCTCCGGCTCTTCTGGTTCTGGCTCCTCTGGTTCTGGCTCTTCTGGTTCTGGCTCTTCTGGTTCTGGCTCTTCTGGTTCTGGCTCTTCTGGTTCTGGCTCTTCTGACTCCGGCTCCTCTGGTTCTGGAACTGACTCCGGCTCCTCTGGTTCCGGCTCTTCTGGTTCTGGCTCTTCTGGTTCTGGAACTGACTCCGGCTCTAATGGATCAGGATCAGGTTCTTCTGGATCTTCTGGCTCTTCTAGCTCTTCTGGCTCAGGAACGGGATCTGGTTCTGCTGGTTCGGGCTCTGGTTCAGGTTCCGCTACTACAGTGTTATCTCCAAATACTGCGTCATTCGTCACAGATGGTTCTGCAGTGAGTATTAAATCACTGTCGATTTTGAGTCTTGTTGTTACCTTCCTTGCCATTTTGTTATAATGAAATAAAGGACAGCTGACCTCATGTTGAACAAGGTTTCAAGTTAATTTTACTTCTTCAGATATCCATTTTTGTTTCGGTACTTCGATATTTTATATTTGCTTTAGCTATATGTTTATTAATTGAATACATAAAGTTTAGAATTTTACTATCAAACAATATCGTAATTTTAATCTCTTTGGGACAAAGCGATATGCATTATCTCCTCGTCACGTGTAAAAACATGGAGAGTACCTAATTGTAGGAATTGTGCAGGCGGTTTTCCTTATATACACTAGGGGCATTTTACCCGTGTGTGTTGTCATCATTATTGTTGAGATCCCAGGAAAGTAGCAAGAGTTGGGTATTATATGAAGTCGACGATCCATATTTTGCACTCTAACGGTGTTATACAACTGTCCCAAAAAGTCTTTTACCATTGTATATGTAAGGTCTAGCGACGACCAAACATTTTTATATTGGTGTATGTGTTGCAATAGACTCTACTTTTCTTGAATGGACATGAACAATTAACTTACCCTGATTCTCAATCCTTGTAACCTGGGTGCAACTATTTAGATTATAGAAACGGCAATTGAGGATGGCCGAATAGTCATAGTAGAACCAACCGCTCTCCAGTAAAAAGTGATATTTGAATGGGGACTAAGCAGAAATAACCCGATCCCTCTATGAAGTTCTAGAAAGAACAATATTTCAACGAGATTCTCCTTAATTCATTTATTTAAAGAGGCAAATTTGTTGTCTATATATTGTATCATAACAATAATACAACATGTTTAAATTTTGGTATCAAAAAAGTCTTACTTAGAGGGAAGTGTGAATGTAGGAGACATGCATGGGAGCAATAACTCACCCCGAATGAAGGGATCGTACCCGGAGTTACGAAATGGGTACGTTGATCTAAGGTATTAATTCCAAAATCTATTTGCGACATGTCGCTCCTTGTTCGGCGATGTGAATGTACGCAAAATCTAAAAAAATAGAGTGAAATTCGTTACAACTTCATAGTAGGATGTTGTGAAATTCCACTTTTAGGATATATGACACTATAAAATACTGCTGAATATTCAAGTATTCAAGTGCAAAGCGGCGAACATACGTGAATTGGAATATAAACGGCTCACCTTAAATTGATTCCAGCCCCTCTTATATGATGATTATTTGAGAAACTGACAGAGTTTCTTACATTAATACTCGCAAGTATTAACAACATCCCTAAGGCTTGAACAGGAAAAAAACTGAGCGGTACGGGAATCGAACCCGTGTCTCCCGCTTGGAAGGCGAAAATGTTAACCACTACACCAACCGCCCAATTAATGAAGTATTTTATACAAAATGAGTTTGTACAACTATTGGAACATCCTTACACCTGGCACCTGACGGGCCTCACGTGAAGGACCTAGGTGAGCCACTGATATGTGTGAGGGTCGGGTAACCCTTGGGGGGCATCACCGAGCGAGCGAGTGCTGTCCTACGAGGGAGGACTTCAGTAAGGAATCCTCAGATAAATATAATAGTTAAGTTAAGTTTAAGTACGTTAAGGAGTAACCATAGGTATGAGTTACGCTAATCGAGATAGCGATACCTTGGGAGAATCAGTGTCAGACTAATTAGGACTAGTAGAGTTTGAGATTAAGAATAAACATAGCGAAGCCTAGACAAGTGAGTCGACGGCTGTCCTGTTACTTCTACTTCCCGCCTGTATAGAGATCTGTCTAAGAGTATCAATGAACTCACTATAACAGAAAATTGTTAAAATTAGTACTTCAGGTAGTATAGACAGCACGTGAAATATATCACGCGACAAGAGGAGGTTATATAACAATATATAGCCAACTATTATATAGATATATTATAGGATAATAAACATTGACTGAAAAGAAAAAAGTGATCTGCACCTAAAGAGATAGTGGAAGGATGATACACACAGAGTTTGCATTTACAGATAGCCATGCTCAAACGACGATAATAAAAAGGATTCAGTCTACGTGACCGACGTGTTCGTTATATACTTAATTTTGAACATATTGGATCCTAGACAATCAGTCTATATGTCTTCCAACTACTATCCATAAGAGAGGAAGACTGTGTCTAGGATCAAAGAACTTTCAATAACAAAAATTTGTAATACCTCATCTAATTTTGGGACTATTGGATGTATGAATTCAATTGCCTGGTCCATGTTTGGTGACAAAATAGCATAAATAGTTCCAAAATGGTCGACTACTGACTAATACAATTTTGGCCAGTGTGATATAATCATATTGAAATGTTGTTAAAGTATTGATCCAAATGCCTCGGAAAAGTGTATAAATAAGGTGTCAGGCTTAATTATTGTATGTATAAATTTAATGAAGTATCAAACTTCGAAAAGAAAAATTCAACTCATAATGATGAAAAGGTAATATACAATTCCGAGGAATACAGTAAATCTGTCGAAATTCCGCTTGTCCAGAAAAAAAATACGCGGAGGATAATAAAGCACCTTTGGTTGGTATTTTCTAAAAAATTAGATTTAGAAATGTGCCAGCGCTAAAAAAAAAAATCGTAAACCCATGTGAGCCTAAATCATTAGCATAAAGGGTAAACCCGTGCCAGTTCTTGTGTGTTTCACTGATGGTTACTCTTATTTTTTCACTCTGCAGTTACGAGATGACAAATTTGTGTCAGTAGTCAACGGGTAGCTAAGCGCTTTGTTATACGACAAGACAGTGGCATCCAATCGCCTTTTCCATGTTTCCATAAGAGTTACTAAACATTTAAAGCGGGGAGCAATTTTTTCCACTCTATATTGCTATAATATCTTGGTATCAAAAGACAATATGTTTGTTCCTCGGATTGATTATATGATCCAGCTGCTAAAATATAACACGCACTACAGGAAAAGTCTTTTTTTTGCAGTATTTTAATATGCTCATTTGCATAGTAGTACTTACACCCACACATTTGTGACTCTGTATTATAAAATATTTTGTGGTGTGTTTGACTAATTATTTCTGCAACAAAGCATGGCATTTTAAGGTTCCAATTTAGGCCGCATAAAAATACATGCATTTAAAATTTGAACCATCGTGGAATCCATCTGAGCTCGCATAATATTTTGACCATTGAACGAATATAACTACAAGTAATTTTTTATTGTGTATTTTTTCAAAGCATCTATAGTGGATATTGAGATATTTATTTTCAAGCTTCAACAAAGTCACCTACCATATCGGGAGCGTAGAACGATTAGGTGAATAATGTAACGAAAATATTTTTAAATAAGAATCTCAATTAAAATTTCGTCTATATCGTACTTTTCGGGTAACTGTATTACGGCAGTTTATGGAATACAATGTCTAGCGCGTATTATTTAGTACAACAATTCAACAAACAGTGTTCTCTGCAGTAATAAGCGCCCGCGAAATTGAAGAAGAAACAGAAAGTAGAGGAAGTTCAAAGATTCATGTAGATAAATTCTCTACCAAGTAGACGTTGGCGGAGGAGCTTACGTATTGTTGCATTTCGAGATTTATTAAATTAATCCCCAATAACGATTAAACATTGAAATAATTTAAAGTTATTAAGAAATAAAAATATCCATTTCAATCGTAAACCATGTATGTACAATTCATTTATCTAAACTGCCTTAACACATCTGAAACGGGTTATTCAGATACAAACATAAGCCCAGTATATTTTTATTTAATATTTCGGTCAACGCAATGCTCACTCTGACTTAATTAAATGTACCATGAGACCCCACAGACTCCCTTTGAAAGGAAGAGTGTAACTTTTTTTTTTTCGCTATTAATTCGAAAATTGTGGTAAATCAGTTACATCTTTATGTGAGACGTGAAAAAGACAATGAATCAATATATCGTGTATTTTATCCGTTGAAAACACATGACCTTAAGTCATTGTTCAATTTTTCCCAAAATAGGACTGGGAACATGTCAACACAAAGCTTAAGAGAAACAGGAATACATTAGTATCCATTGTTAAGAAACATACAAGTAAAAGTGATGCAATGAATGGGATTTTACAATTACTAAGATGTCCCTGAATATTTCACCATTTTTTTATTGCTTGAGAAAGACTACGTGGTATAGTCGATGTTTCAACATTTGTATTAAGGAACGTCTGAACTTCACAGTCTATTGGACTAATTGTTTCCAAATGAAAAAAAAAAGTTTATGCAAGAGGAAATACCCGTGGCATGTTACTGAATTAAAGTATTCAATCTGCAGCAATCACACTAGCGGTAAAGTAAATAACTATACGACTCAGTGCTTCTAAAATATCAACTAAAAATGGGTGGTAACCAAATAACTCATTTGCAGCTGTATAGCAAAAGTAGGGGTATATAAACTCTTGCAAGAACTATTCGGAAAACAAATTCCTATAAAAAATCATTAACCATGCGATTCAGCTTTAAGTCATTGGCAGTTTGCTTTTTATCTCTCCAGGCTGTCAAATCGCAGACAATTACCCTGAATACGGTGACAGTTGGGACCGTACAACTAGTTGGTGATGTTGTCATTTATCCTGGTGTTTACTGGTCCATTGTAAATGGTCTTGTGGAAATATTTTTGGGGGATCTTAACAATGCTGGCCAGTTATTTATTACTACCAATGACCCACTTCTTTCTTTGTCTATTAGCTTTGCCAATGCTCTTCTGAGTTTCACGAATTCTGGAGATATTGTGTTTTCCACTAGAAATGGTCTTACTCCACCAGACTTTAATATTGTTGTTCAACAATTTGAAAATACTGGTAATATTTGGTTCGAAAGTATTGGAAGTCTTCTCAATCCCATCTATGATATTATTGCCCCAATTTGGGACAACAGACAAGGTGCAACAATTGTATTTTCTCTGTCTACTAGGTCTGAAATTGCAATTTTCTTAGGAGTAGCGGGTGGAACATTGACAAATGATGGGCAAATTTGCTTGATCAACGAGGGATGGCAACAGGATACGGCTATTTCTGGATCGGGCTGCATTGATGTGGGAATATCATCTACTATGTGGGTCTTTAATTCGCTACTTCCATTTAGTCAAGATCAAAAAGTATATCTTTCTTCAAGCTCGTCAAAATTAAGAGTTGAATCACTCTCTTTATCACAAACATTCTTGGTTGCAGGATATGGGAACAACAACATTATTGGACTGAGTTTACCCCTAACTTCATATACCTATAATATAGGTACTGGAGTCTTGACTATTTCGACTACTTTCTTGTTATCACAACAATTCAAGATTGGTCTCGGTTACAATCCAGCCCTTTTCTCGATTCAAACTGTCAATTTCGGTGGTCTCATTGGTATTGTAATTAACGGTGGTGTGGCCTATAATGGTCCAATACCACAGGGTAGTACACCAATCACAGGTTGTACGCCATGTAAATCTGTGCCAACCATCCCTCTTCCATCTGGATCTAGCTCTAGTGCATCAACTAGCGCTACTGAATCCTCTAGTGCTCCTCCATCCTCCAGTGCTGCTGAATCATCTAGTGCTGCCGCATCCTCTAGTGCTGCCGAATTCTCTAGTGCTGCTGAATCATCTAGTGTTGCCGCATCCTCTAGTGCTGCGGCATCCTCTAGTGCTGCTGAATCATCTAGTGCTACTGAGTCCTCTAATGCTGCCGCATCATCTAGTGCTGCTGAATCCTCTAGTGCTACTGAGTCCTCTAGTGTTGCCGCATCCTCTAGTGCTGCTGAATCATCTAGTGCTGCTGAATCATCTAGTGGTGCCGAATCCTCTAGTGCTGCCGAATCCTCTAGTGCTGCCGCATCCTCTAGTGCTGCCGCATCCTCTAGTGCTGCCGCATCCTCTAGTGCTGCTGAATCATCTAGTGCTACTGAATCCTCTAGTGCTGCCGCATCATCTAGTGCTGCTGAATCCTCTAGTGCTACTGAGTCCTCTAGTGCTACTGAGTCCTCTAGTGCTGCCGCATCATCTAGTGATGCTGAATCATCTAGTGCTGCCGAATCCTCTAGTGCTGCCGCATCCTCTAGTGCTGCCGCATCCTCTAGTGCTGCCGCATCCTCTAGTGCTGCCGCATCATCTAGTGATGCTGAATCATCTAGTGTTGCCGCATCCTCTAGTGCTGCCGCATCATCTAGTGATGCTGAATCATCTAGTGTTGCCGCATCCTCTAGTGCTGCTGAATCATCTAGTGGTGCCGAATCCTCTAGTGCTGCTGAATCATCTAGTGCTACTGAGTCCTCTAATGCTGCCGCATCATCTAGTGATGCTGAATCATCTAGTGGTGCCGAATCCTCTAGTGCTGCCGCATCCTCTAGTGCTGCCGCATCCTCTAGTGCTGCCGCATCCTCTAGTGCTGCCGCATCCTCTAGTGCTGCCGCATCCTCTAGTGCTGCCGCATCCTCTAGTGCTGCCGCATCCTCTAGTGCTGCCGCATCCTCTAGTGCTGCTGAATCCTCTAGTGCTACTGAGTCCTCTAATGCTGCCGCATCATCTAGTGCTGCTGAATCCTCTAGTGCTGCTGAATCATCTAGTGGTGCCGAATCCTCTAGTGTTGCTCCATCATCAAGTATTGTAGACAGTGGATCTGGAACTGGTTCTGTCATTGACAATGGTAGCGGATCTGGTACTGGCACGGGCAATGGATCTGGTACTGACGGCACTACTGGTTCAGGATCGGGCTCCTCTGGATCTGGATCAGGGTCAGAATCGTCAGGCTCCGGCTCCACTGGCTCCACTGGATCAGGATCAGGGACAGGATCGTCAGGCTCCGGCTCCACTGGCTCCACTGGATCAGGATCAGGATCAGGATCAGGATCAGGATCAGGGTCAGAATCGTCAGGCTCCGGCTCCACTGGCTCCACTGGCTCTGGCACTGGTTCAGGATCAGGATCAGGGTCAGGGTCAGAATCGTCAGGCTCCGGCTCCACTGGCTCCACTGGCTCTAGCACTGGTTCAGGATCAGGATCTTCAGGCTCCGGCTCCACTGGCTCCACTGGATCAGGATCAGGATCAGGATCAGGATCAGGATCAGGATCAGGATCGTCAGGCTCCGGCTCCACTGGCTCCACTGGCTCTAGCACTGGTTCAGGATCAGGATCTTCAGGCTCCGGCTCCACTGGCTCCACTGGATCAGGATCAGGGTCAGAATCGTCAGGCTCCGGCTCCACTGGCTCCACTGGCTCTAGCACTGGTTCAGGATCAGGATCTTCAGGCTCCGGCTCCACTGGCTCCACTGGATCAGGATCAGGATCAGGATCAGGACCAGGACCAGGATCTTCAGGGTCAGGCTCGGGGTCAGGCTCTAGCACTTCTGGTTTCGGGCTAAGCTCCGTGTCTGTTACTGCGGATGGTGCTGCCGGTCACATGCGGTCACTGTCAACTTTGAGTATCCTTATTACGATCCTTGCATTTATGTTCTGATTATTACCGCCTACCCCTTTGACTGTGTATTTCTTATTTCTATTCCTTTTTTTCGATTTCTAAGCTTTTTATATTACTTTTTGGTATGTATGATAATTTAATATACATAATGGACGTAATCATAATAAAAAAACGAAACTATAGTATTCTATAAGCTTATAATACATTGTAAAATATTTGTGGTAGTATTTAAGTTTTATTAGATTTTCATTATCTTTGACGATTCTCAAAATTAATACTACAAACTTTTATAAGCTGAGTTTTCTTTGATTTTTCAAAATATTTCATACATTTAGTATGTCTCTATGCAATAACGGTATGAACTATATAACGACCATCATTTGACTACGGGAATGAGTCTCAAGCGGTCTTTCATATCGGGATGGAATAGAGTGAGAATTAACTATAGGACATGGTGACGGATACCTAAATGAATTGATGTGATTGTGTATTTAGTCTTGTATTGGTATATGTAGAGTTAGATTCCAAAATTTACGTAGTATTTAAGTTCCTCAAATACTATCTACGTCCTCTACCAACGGATCGGTTCCTACCTCATATATTTTGAATTTCAGATCAAATCCTTTATAGAGACATAAATATTCTCTCTTGGGCGTCATCAATATATGATAAACACAACAGAATATTAACAGCCTGAAACAGTAGAACTCGTCAAAGAACCCTGTTTGTTTTTAAAGTTTTAGCCGGATTTCAAGAATATGTAAAAAAAAACCAGGCCACGCAAGATGCAGAATACATTTTCAAACATACCCAGTGCTTAATATAAGCACACTTTGAACTGCATTACCAGTTGTGCATTTATGCTTAAAAATCCATCATATTAAACTTGAAACAAAAAATTGAGCGGTACGGGAATCGAACCCGTGTCTCCCGCTTGGAAGGCGAAAATGTTAACCACTACACCAACCGCCCATTTAATAAAATTTGTTAACTATTGTTCCTACAAAGGTAGTATCGTGGGGTTTACTAGGCACTAGGATTAGCACGTAGATGGGCTTGGTGTAGTATTATCTATACAGAAAGGTATCACGTGTGGAAGCGTGCGACTGGAACTGCGAAGGTAAGGATGTAGCTTGGGGATTCAAGGGAAGGCCCAGATAATTATGAAGATGATTAGATCTAGCTTGTCCTTGTCTTCACATAATCCCAAAGAAAAGGGGATGTATTTATAATCCCTGTAAATGTGGTATGTTTCAGAAAGGTTCTTGGTAATTACCACATTAGGTTTTCGTATAGGAACAAGGCTCCCGAGGGTGTTACCCGGAAGGGCGACATGATACCTAAAGGGGTAATCAAGGACTGGTGGAACATTATACAACAAAATTTGTGCTGCAAAGTATTTCTGTTCAACTAGCGGAACATCCTTACACCCAAGGCACATGACCTCACGTGATGAATCTCGGGTCGAGAGCTCCACCAAGCCACTGCACAAGAGAACGATGACACCTACTTCTCCACCACGGAGTGTGCCTGGATACAGGTCTGGTTCGCCATTGCGGTACCAAAGCCATCTACCCAGTCACTTCCTCCCCTCGAAATACCCACCGCCTTCACAGCAACCGAACAATCCCAGTTGCTTGAAGCTCCACTACCATCCTCCTTACCAGAATTCATGCAAGGTGACTCTGCGCTTGTCACAGAAGCCACCTTCAAGAGCCGCCACAGGCAAATTCAATTGAAGCAGCATATTATTCCTCAAGGATGGGAAACGGACCTTTCAATTGGTTCTGCTAGCTGGAAAAAATTCTGGAATCAACTCAACAAAATCAAACTCAAACATCCCGAGGGAGGTGAAGAAATCCACCGGTTCAACCTAGGACACCGTTCTCACGGTAATACGGCAACAGTCCGACTCAGTTCCACCACAACACTACCACAAAGACGGCGCCTTGTCACTCAAATACACTCCACGGGTAATAATGTGGATTATGTCAATTCTCGATGTGTCGCTTGCTTGACAGAAATGCCAAGCGAAGCCACTATCACCTACTCCACCATATGTACTCGGATTGCAGGGTTTCGCGCCAAATATGGGATCAACTATCACGTGACTCACTCAATCTACTAATTAAATTATTAGTTGCAAACTCGACATTGTCAATTCTACAATCTTTAAATGTAAATCGTTACCTCCAAGCTATCCGTCGTTTCTTTCGAGAACGACGACAGATTTCAACAGCGTTAAGGAAAACCTTAACGATTCGCGATATCACAGCTTGGGTTACGTTGGTTAAATTAACAATTAAATAAATAATTATGACATAACCTGCAAGAGGTTTTCAAAGTTCACACTTTTTCTTCTTGCTCAAAAGGTTTATTATATGGCAACTATGAAATGGATATACAAGAGAAGGTTATATAGCCAATATGACCAACAATTATATAGATATATTATAGGATAATAAACATCGAATGAAGAAAAAAAAAACAAAAAAACGTGAAGGTCATAGGAGCTAGGATTAATCATATGGAATCACATCAGCAGCGGGGTCTATACCTGGACGCGAATCAACTGTAGATTCAAATTCAATTATGAAAATCTGACCAGACCATAATCTTCAATTTGATCGCTGATCGCTTTCGGAATCTCAGGGGGGGGGGGGCGACAACTCCATCAATGGTTACTTAGTTACCCTATCTAGATCATCCAAAGAGATACTATAAATACCAATCTGGTAATCCTTTCGATGAGATTACAAAATTCATTGTAGAAACAAAGAGTGTAATCTTTCCAAACGACACCAGCAAGAGTCTGACTAGGAAAATCAATATACCGAGCAAGGTCAAGGGCTAATTTATGAGTATAACCTGAAATAATAGCAAACACAGGAAAAAACTCAATGTTATTAAGCTTAATTGGACTGCTTTATTGCCTGATAGTTTGAGTTCACCTCTAGCCAGAAAAGTCTAATACGAAATTTCGGCATTTGAGCTACAAAATACTAATAAAATGCGCCTCGGCACCATTGTCAGCGTGAGAAATAACATTATTTCCTTCAATAAAAACTGGAACATTTAACCTCTCCGTAGGTAACTCAGGATTGATGTCAACAAGAAACAGCATATCCTCGAGCTGTCCAGAGGTCTTCAACTTCATCCTCACGAACCCGTTCATCAAAAGCTCTTTCCGTGGAGCAAGTGACTTTGCCACCTTAATACTTGATGTCTGTTTTTGGATTTGAATTTTTCCAATTGTGTTGGAAAAGTTTTGTTTTTCATGTTTTTATATATTCTGAATTATCTGAAGGCATGTATTATATGGATCTCCATTAATAGAAATACCAGTGATATTTATTTCACAGCCACTTTGAGCCATAGCATTTTTACAGTCCTGTACAAATTCTATTAGCAGTACACCTATATACAAGGTCACGGGAAAGCAAGAATATGGGATCAGTACACAACATAGGATTTTTAAGGAAAATTACATCTTTCGGGTTACACTGTGTGCACTCCCACATATCACGTGTATGTTCCATTTCTTTATATATTCTACTATGCCTTTATTGTTTCCATATATTAATACATTTCTTCTTCAATCTATGTTTCCCAATTCTACCATTATACACCTGTAACCGTTATTAGCTACATTTGCTACTACTATAGAGTAAGCAGGGATAAGAATAGGGCTAATGTTCTTTCAATTTTGTTATGATAAGTACTTCGTAATATCTAACGGAGGCTTCTACACAGTATCTTTTAGACAGGCTTTTCATAGTTTTTAGACGATAAATACATAATGATAGATGAATAAAAAACAGTCAAGTAACAACCCAGCAACTAGGTTTATTAGAGGAATTTCTGCTGTACAACAACAGAAGATTAAATAGCCAATACATCTAAATAGATAGACAAATTAAAGGCGGCATAATACCCACTAATTTGTTCAAAAATACCAACATATATAAACCCTCTCTCACTATACCGTATATTAATGGCACGGTTGAAATGCATACTCTTATAGGCAATATAGCCAACAAGTATACGAACAAGTTGTTTATTGTATAAAGAATGAAAAAAAATAAATGTATTAGGCAGAAAAATGTTACTCCCACAGCGTATTATTGGAACTACTATCAAGTTATTACACCTGCGAAACATATACCAGTAGAATACCACTTCATCGCAAGAATGGGAATAGTTTTTCCAGCCAAGTAGTTATTTTTGTTTCTGTTTACTACGAACATATTGGGTAAAAGATATCTTCAGAAATAAATAATTCAGTAGTCAGTCATCAAGTAGTATGGAAATGGAACACGGTATACTCGATACGAGGGAGTTTTTATAAATGATTCTCTTTTATACTAAAAAGTGAGTCCAATCAAAGACGCATCTATAAAAACTAGATGACAGTTAGTGCATATTGAAAATTAGAGAACAAGAAGCAAATGCTAAATATATCATTCACCCCCAGTAGCATGAGAGCAGAATGGAATCCACTCGAAAGATATAGTTATGTAAGTATGGATTTCGTGATTTGAAGCTACTTGCGACGAGGAGTTTTGAATTAGTTGTGGTTGGAAAGTCCGATATGAGATACTAGCTATATTCAAAATCTCAAATAAAATATGCTAGCCTGAAAGAGTTTACCAGATAATCTTCCAGTTGTGTAGTATATTCTATTAGATTTCGGTGTTTTAAGAAAGTGGATATTTTTTTCTTACGAGAAAGCCAGGTATTAAAGATCTCATTCTGGCTCTGAAAAGCCAATACAAGGCCAACATGGCAACAACATCAAACGCAATGTAAGCACAGAATAACCCAAAATTTCTCCAGATATGCGAGTGATCCCAACCTAAATTTTTCAAAAATGAATTAGCACTCGAGTATGCACAGTAGCCGCAATTTTCAGTGGCTGAGGGGTTCGTCAAGTATCCTCCAGTTTGCTTTGCAAATGTACCTGCGTATTCCTGACAAGTCTTTCCACTCGGGGGATTAAAATGGGTCAATTCCTTCAAGATACAAACAGCTTTCCCATCGTACAAAATTGAAGCTAATAAGTTTTCGATGAAATAAGTGTAAGGACTTGCTTTGTACATAAAGGTCCAAAAACCAGGCATGAATCTCACTGGTTGCACAACACCACTAAAGGCCACAATAAATGAATAAAAGAAGGACACTAGAACAGCTGCAGATGGAATATCTGGGGCCACATAAAGAATCATCAAACCAAATGAAACATAATACATTTGGAAAAAGATGCCGAAAGTTAAATAGAAGACACCAGAGTGATAGCCAGAAGAACTCGCTTGAGTTGGGAAATACAACGATACAAACATGAGAACAGCTCCAAAAAAGCAGTATGGCAATTCATTGAGAAATTGCGACAAGATCATCGATGACCAATGATAGGAGTGGGTCATCCTTTCTCTCGTTTCATATAATTCCCGGCTAAATATTGCTTGTTCTTGAAGTTGGTTAATCAGTGGAGCAGCCACGACAACCACTAAAAATGACAAGAAAATAGCGTTTTGCATACCAGTAATGCTTGATTTCAATCCAAAGAATGTGAACCCAATGAATAGTCCAGAAATTGTCATAAGACTTAGCTTAGCCCAAATATATCCAGGATTTCTGTAGAATGTAGAGGCATTTCTACGAAGTACCATGAGAAGTTGATATGTCCATGGTGTAACATATTCGGAAATACTTCCTTGAGACTTAGGTCTAGAATACTCCTCGAGGAGCCTGTCGCCTTCAATAATTGTCTTTTGCCTTTCACCAGATTCTAACCAGATATGGCCCCAGTGATTATCTACTATTGCTGTGGAATCAGCCCCAATAACCTCAAGAATAAATTCAGCCGGGTTCTCATTATAATGACACTCTCTTGAACCGTACTTCTTGAAATATTCCAATAACGTTCTGGAATGAACACCAATATCACCGAAGTATACTGTTTGGCCACCTTTCTTTAATAATAGTAAGCGATCAAATATTTCGAATAAGGAAGCTGAAGGCTGATGCATAGTACATATTATAGATAAACCAGCATTAGTCAAATCTCGTAACATCTTAATAATAGCCCAAGCAGATTGTGAATCCAATCCAGAAGTTGGTTCATTCAAATATAGTACCGATGGTTTGGTTACCAATTCAATTGCAATACTTAACTTTTTCCTTTGCTCAAGGTTGAGACCACAACCAGATTGACCAACAAGAGCATCTGCATACTCTACCATGTCCATCGAATATATGATCTTTTCAACATATTCCAACTTTTCTCGCTCTGACACCGTATTTGGTCTACGAAGTAGAGCAGAGAAGTTAAGCGATTCTCTCACCGTAGCCTCGCTAATATGCATATCTTGTTGTTGCACATAACCAATTCTTCTGGTCAAATCAGTATCAAATGGCTCTCCATTAACCAGTACTTCACCAGAACCAATAGCAACTCTTCTTGCCAAAATCGATAACAAAGTAGTCTTCTCAATATCAGATTCACCCATAAGAGCTGTTAAAGTCCCAGGGACACAATATCCAGACACCGCATCCAACACGGTTCTTTTGGCACCGTCGAGTGAAATGGAACATGTAATATCTTTCCAAACAAGCAAATCATTTGATTTCAAATCTTCGAAAACTGCTGTGACATGCCCATTTTTTTCTAAAGAATTAGGAATGGCAGAGACAGTAGAATCAAGTTTTTGTTCCGGCAAAACAATGGTATCAGGAACTTTACCTCTAAGGAAGATCAAACGATCGCCAGTCACAATGATGGGCTTAACAAACGAAACAGCTATTGCGTTGACCAAGAAGAACAATATATAGAAGCCAAGAAGAATACCCAAATTTCTCCAAACGTGAGAAAACTTGAATGTGAGCGCAGCTTCAAGATATGCATCACCGGAAACCCAACTTTGACCTGGAACTGATCCAATAAATGAACAAACTTGTTCACCAGCACTCACATCTTGAAATCCTGGACCGTTGGGAACGAGATGTGGTGCATCACATTGCATCTTTCTGCCATGGAATTCAATTGCAATCATTGCTTCAAACCCATAAAGTAGAGGGTTGATATAAGATACCCACTTAAGCCAAGGGTGCATAGAGGGTCCTTGGATTATTGACGAATACAGAAAAAGCGCAAGCATTAACAATCCTGCCATTGTATTAGCAGCAGCAACAGTCTTATTCAATGCAGAAACTGCCCTAAATAAGGAAGATATTGTTAAATTTAAAAGGAACACGAATAAGAAAAAGATGAAGAATTTACAAACGTCTCTTGCTAGATTCGCCAAATTGTAGATCACAATGACGAAAAGAAAAGTCACAATAAGAGCAACTGGAATAGAGGAGACAGTTACGGCCAATGCATCAAAGGAAAGATAGTACATGGAGTTGTTTCTTTGTTTCATTAATATCAGACGGGTATTGAAAGATGACGGAACTTCAGCCAAACTAATTAATGAAACATAAAGGGCAGCGAAGAAACAAACTCCACTTCGAGAGAATGAACCTGATGCATCATCGGTGGTATTGTAACATGAAGATCCGACAATAAACCCTTGTGCCAATGCAGAAATGACCTGAATTATAAGGCACATATTATCTCCCTTAATCGCCTGAAAGCGTCTTCTAATGCATATTTTTAGCTGTTCGATAAAATTAATAGTGTATTTTGAAGTACTTCTGAAGTACTTCTTTCATTTCTTAACACATTCATGGTTTGTCTTACATCCAGCCTCATTTATGAACGCTTTGTACTCAAACATTTCCTGTCTAAGATTTTTATATTCTGTCGATTTTAGCCAATAGTCTTCAAACTCTTCAGCAGTATGAGGGACCTTACTTTCATATCCCGGGCGTGGGAACCTGCCTATTGGATCTGTAACAGCATTTAGGAAATCAGTGGTAGATTGCCTAGGTGGGCACTCCCAGCCCATGGTCTCAAAGAATTGCTTTGCCCTTTCTATTGGACCAAAATAAATTTGGCGACCCAAGTATAAAATGGTCACTTTATCAAAAGTTTTATATATATCTTCACCACCTTGATAAATGGTAACAAATGCAGTAGTTTTAAATAAGTTTGTGAAAGTACGAATTACTTTTGCGCATTCAAATGCACTGGAAGCGTCCAATCCTTTAGTTGCGTTATCCCAACAGTAGAAAGAGGCTTGACAAGCTAAAGCTTCAGCGATAGATATTTTTTTTCTTTCACCTCGGGAGACTCCAGGAACAAGCTCATTTCCCACCTTGGTCTCATAAGTATGGCGCAACCCTAGTAAAGTTGCCAAAATGTCCTTAATTGTATCAATTAACGGGTCATGATTGTTACCGTCAATAAATGTATTTGGAATCTTACATGAAATAGCAAACTTTAATGTTTGTTCCACGGTTAAATGGGGCATATGAACATCCAATTCCGGACTATAGATAAGTTCAGACTTAAAATTTTTAAGCATTTCCGATTGTAAAATTCCATCGTAACGAATATCTCCACTTGTTGAAATGAATGAATCTAAATCAGTTCCACTCAATTTTTTCAATAAACTCAGACATCCCGAACCGGGCCTTCCTAAAACCAAAACCATTTCACCTTGTTTGGCAAGTCCGTTAATCCCTCTAAGAATATAATGATTTGGAATTCGAGTTTGTGCCCGTGCTCGGCGGATAGCACTAAGTGGTCCTTGAAATATGTCACCAATAGTAGAAGCGACATCAAATGTTTTATCCTTTCCTTGAACTTCTACATCCTCGAAGACTATTCCAGTCTTGCAAAAAACATTGGTATTTTGATCAGAAGTGAGCCCCTTATCAAAGAGTTTAGTATCGTCTGCAAATCAGCGTTGGTGGGATCTACCTTAAGCTCACCATCTGTAATCGTTCTTGGAAACGCTTCTCTAGAAACTTTTAGTAGTCCATTAAGAACGCTTTCATGGTTGGGAATAGTCATCAACAAATTTGATTGTCTTTCCTCTTTGAATTTGTTCTCACTGTAATTACGGTCGAAACTGGATGAACTTGACAACACTCTAATGGGCCTTCTCGATTGTTTTTGTCCGCTACCAGAATTAAACTTTACTTTAGAGTAAACATTAAGTAATAATGGAAAGAAGGGAACCTTATCCAAAATTTTGCGAGTTGTATAATAACTTTTTTGTAGATTTAATGTAGTCAAATACTTAGAGTGGGATATGTATACCAGCTGTATGGTATAGCTTCGTGCGGCTCGGCGGTACCTTTCTTTCTATGTGGAACGTATTAGCAATAAACTAACCCTTTTTTAATCTTTAGAAAATTTCAGTAGCTGAAATGAAAATGACATCCTTACATACTCTATATAAATATAATAAGTGGTATCTAATTAATAATACATTCATCTGAACTACTACACCTTGAATTGACTTTTTAATTGTTGAATTCCTGCATTTACTAATCTGTTAGTAAAAGAATGTGATGTCTAGATATTCAGCCGCACCCCTGCATCGGGAAAAGTTGTGGATGATGGGCCGACACATATTTACAAGTTCAGTGTGTCCGATACGATTGCTGCACATCATAATTGATATATTTCCTTTACTTCCTTCTTTTTATTTTTACATCAACTTCTTCTTTAATAACCCGTTTCAGCCCTCCAACAGTAATTTCCTCTTTTATTTCTGCTTTTAAGATAGATTTTTCATTTCCAGTGGTAGTTTGATTTATCCCGTTATTCAAATCAACAAGGTCAGAAGTGAAAAGCACAGATTGGGCCCACCCTGCGTATGGCCCAAATATTTCTTTGAAAAATAATCTTATTTGATCATAAGATTGCTTATTCATAGTCTTTAAGTCTCTTTTCCCTTTGAACTTGTAATCACGAACAGCAATCTGATACACATGTGTATCCACTGGCACCACGTCATGTTTATCCAAAGCCATTAAGCAGATGCAATCAGCGACCTTGGGACCAACCCCAGTCAATTGTAATAAAAAGTTATGCGATTCTTCATATGATTTGGTACGTAGCGTGTTCAATTCATTTAAAGTAGCATTGGAAGTTGAATCACTAAGCATGAGTGCTGTTCGATATATATACTTTGCACGGTAACCAAAACCCATATCACGTAGCTTTGTCTCAACAGAAGGAGAAGAAGAAAGTCTTTGTGCACTGGGGAACGTATAGTATGCAACTCCATCGTATGTGTTGATAAAATCTCCAAATTCTGAACATAAACTATCACACATTTTCGAAATCCGTTTCACATTATTATTCGACGAGCATATAAATGAAATAGTTGTTTCCCAAGGATCCTGCCTAAGGATGCGAATACCCGTAAACGCGTCAAATGGTGATATCTTATTTGCTCGCTTATATTTAGAATCTTGTTCAGTCCAATGTTCGTAGAGCTTGGTGAGATTTGTTGAAAGGTTGAAATAATCGTTTATGAATGAAAGTGTTTCTCTTTCCAAATCCACTGGTTTTCTTTCTTGGTTCTTGGCCATGAGCCAAGAGTAATGTATATGTGTTTCATCTTGCTTGAGAAGAATAATTCTATCACTAATTGTGAAAGCCCATGTGTTGTTAATATTTTTCCACCTGAATGTCTGGCCACATCTGAGAACTCTTGCCAACGAGAGCTCTTTAGGAGAGATTGATATCTTTCTCCATACAATATCAGCGGTCATAGTACCTATAAAAATTTATATTGGTAGTATGTTTGATCAAGATCATTTTTTCTATCAAAATCTGAAAATGTATTGAGACTTTGATCTTTGACGCGTAATTTTTTTTGTGTCTTTGCTTATCAATCGGATTTTAGTACAATAGTGATTCTCTTAATATTCAACTTATCTATATCGGATAGATTATCAATATGGATACTTGTCCTATATGCTTCAAACAGTTCCCGCTGGACGGGCTTGAGCTTCATGTGAATGGATGTTTAGACTCTTTGGAGGTTACAGAAGAAGTGGCGTCTGAAGAGAAGGATAATAACCCAGAGACATCAGAAGACGTGATGATTGTAGGGTCAAGTAAGAATAACAGTCAGCCCAAAAATGCATTTGCTGCGTTAGGGTTGAAAATGGACTCTTCAGAAAGGAAAAAGGGGAGTACCAGGGCAACAAAGGCCGGGAAGTCTCTGTCTACATTGACAAGTTTATTGATTGCAGAGAAGAAACTTCAAGGTTATGGGAAGGGTGATAAGAAGAAGAAGAAGAACAAAATCAAGGAAGAGATTAAAGAAATGGAAGATAAAGAAAGGAATAATAAGAGGGAGAGAGTTATACCTAAGGAAGAAAAATCTTCCGATAATGTGGCAAAAATTCGAAAGGTTGACAATGCTCCGCCGCTTATTCGTCCTCCCATCAATAAAGTTGAAACTTCCTTGAAAAAAGTAGTCAAACCTGCCACTGTAGAAGAAGAAAGTATAGCTCAATTGAGCCGCGAGGCAAGATTACCTTTAGCTCAACGGCTCAGACCTAAAACTTTGGATGACTTTTATGGACAAGAAAAATTGGTGGGACCTCAGGGATTACTTCGAAATATGATAGAGGCGGATAATATCCCATCATTTATACTTTGGGGTGTCCCCGGAGTTGGGAAAACTTCGTTAGCAAGAATAATTGCTCTGATGACCCAGGGTAAGTTTATAGAAATTTCTGGAGTAGATGCAAACTCGAAGAGATTGAAAGAAGTGTTTGTACTTGCTGAAAACGAGAAAAGGCTCACGGGTCGGAAAACTATTCTCTTTATAGACGAGATTCATAGGTTTAACAAGGCTGTACAAGACCTTTTATTGCCAGTGATTGAAAAAGGTGTTGCCACAGTTATTGGAGCAACAACAGAGAACCCTTCGTTCAATTTGAATAATGCCTTGTTGTCAAGAATGCACACATTCACCATGGAACCCATGTCAATGGAGTCCACTGTTAAGGTGATAAATAGGGGACTTAGATTGGTTAATCGGACAAGAAATTTGGTACACAATTTACATTTGATTAATTTGAAACGTGACGCGATTGATTATATAGCAAAATTGAGTACTGGGGACTCAAGAGTAGCACTTAATATCTTAGAGTCAATCCATGCATACTTATCAGGATTGAAATACTCTCAATTTGATAAACTTGAAGAAGGAGAGAAGGGGATAAAAATTCCAGGTAAACTAGGGGTCATCACCGTATCATACGAGAATCTAAAGCCATTGTTAAGCACTAGAAATTATCATCAAATGTATGATAAACATGGAGAATCCCATTATGATACCATTAGTGCATTCCATAAATCTGTTAGAGGGTGTGATGCAGACGCATCGATTTTTTATCTTGTTAAGATGCTCAGTGGTGGCGAAGATCCTCTTTTCATTGCCAGAAGGATGATTGTCATTGCAAGTGAAGACATTGGGTTAAGAGACAGTTCATGTCTACCATTTGCTATTGCTGTTAAAGATGCGTTAGAATTTGTTGGGATGCCTGAGGGAGAAATAATTTTGGCACATTGTGCAGCAAAATTAGCTCGAGCTTCAAAATCAACAAAATCTTACCGAGCGTTAAGAAATGCACAATCACTTTTCCAGTCGAAGCCCGAACTTAATGGAATACCGATCCCTATACATTTAAGAAACGCACCTACAGGATTAATGAAAGAATTGGGATATGGTGAAGATTATAAATATCCTCCAAATTTCGAACAAGGAAAAGTGAAACAAACATATCTCCCGAAGGAAGTTGCGGGGACAAAATTCTTGGAGCCAACCCATTTAGGAACTGTTGCTGATCCGGATGTACCCGAAACCGAATTAGAACAAGCAAGACAAGAAGAGGAAGATTATGCAAAATTTAAAGAGATGAGAAAATTATTTATGAAGGAAAGACATTCATATGATGAATTTTTATCAAAGGCAGATCAACCTGAATTTTTCGATGGTGAAGAAAAGGATCAATACTCTGATGATCCTGATTGTACTAATAATTTTGAATGTTCATATGACGAATTTTTGGATAAGGATGCACAGCCTCAATATTGGGATGCAGAAGCAGAAGATACTCATCATTATGATCCTGAATATCCTATATTTTATAGTGAAGATGAACAATTGAATGAATGAAATCCGTTAGATTTGCATATAAGCTTATAAACTGATAAGGAGGAAATTCTACCTCGGAGTGTATATAGCAATGATAAAGACATTAATAAGAGAATCACTATGAAGAGATTATAAATTGATGATTTTAATTTTAATTCAAGTATTAAACTTTTGTAATGTGCGGGCGCTTTGCATTGGCGGTAGTAAGTAGATATTTAGAGGATAATTTGAGTTTCTTGATAGAGTACTGACCATATTAGGAATTGATTGATTTACCGCAATGTTTCAATGAAACTGCAATTAACGTTGATGAACAACAACATCAAATTGAGAGAATAGACGACACACACTTTGTGTCTGTTATGGGGGCAGACTCGAATGAGAATAATGATACAGAGGATCTTACTAGAGAAAAGTACAGGTCCATAATAGAAATTGAACTTAATTATCCGCAAGCTAAAACTTTCCGTCCATCATATAATATCCCACCAACTGGAACGTCAGTTATTGTGTACCAAGCAAAGCCACTGAATGACCAGGTACATTACAGATATGTTATCGAGTCCCTGACATTTGGATTGGTACCTCTGTGGGCCAAGCCAACCGATCCGGAGCCTGTACAGAGAGATGGGAAGCCTGGACCTCCATATTCTAAAGAACTTCAACGACATGAAGGTCGTCAATTCAATTGTAGGAAAGAGTCATTAGGAAAGGGGAATGCCCTTCCTACATGGAATAGTCATAAGCGGAAGACCAGGTGTGTGGTCCCCATCCAGGGGTACTTTGAGTGGCAAAAGACGAAAACCGATAAGATCCCACATTTTGTTCATTCTACTAAATCATCTATAATATATTTAGCTGGATTATATTCTCATAACCGGAATTATCCATTAGAAAATCCTAAAGATGAGTATTTTTCTTCCTTCCTGATTGTCACTGGACCTGCTCGACACGAAGATTCCAAAGATTTAGCATGGTTACATGGAAGAAAGCCAATGATGCTTGTTCCTGGATCCAAGGAATGGTACGAATGGCTAGATCCAACTAAGGATTGGGATGACAGTTTGTTGGACACTGTATTGGATACTGTGAACAACAAGGCTTTCCATGATATTGAAGCATATACCGTGGGAAGGTCGGTGGGGAATACAACCAGTGAAGGTGAACAATTACTTAAACGAGAGAATTATCAATCGCAAAAGTCGATAACTCTGTTTTTCCAGAAAAGTCCAACCAAGAGACCACATGTTACAGAAGAAATGAAATCTGAATTAAATAAAAGGCCAAAATTAAAAGTTAAAAAGGAAGAGTCTGATATATTTTCTGCTTTAAGGAAACAAAGTGTAAAGAAGGAGACTTAGAAAAATAGACAAGGAAATCGACCATAAGGGAAAGAGGAGATGAGGAAATTAATATCAAAATTTACAAAAAGAAAGCTATATGTAATTAGAATGATCTGTTGGCAAAATATCATTCAGTATATATCGTGTAAGTATGTATGGAGGGGGTACACAATTAGAACTACTGTTATCGTACACGTGACCTTCGTCCCTTTACCAATTTTTATTCTTATTTTTTTTTGTATTCAAATTTTTTGCGAATATCAAAGTGAGAGGAAAATTGCAATAGAACGATTTGAATTTACAGTTCAACTACAAACCATAAAAAAATGTTGTCTCAAAAAGTAGTTGGAAGCTTGAGAGTGAGTGTCGCACGAGCCCCATTCATGGCTGGTGTGCGTCATAAGTCGGACAATGCCGGCGAAGCTTCGTACTCTGAACAACCACTTTATTTGAATCCTCATGCTTGGCAAGGATTACCAGCTGATAGAATCTTTGAATTACATGAGTTGAGAAAGACTGCCTTAGGTAAGAAGTATGTTCCTAATGATGATGAAAGAAGAGCCATTTTGTCTACTGTGACCGAATTAGGTGCCAAGACCAAGCCTGAATTGGAATACGTCTATGCACTTGATCACTTCAAAGAAAGACACATGAACAATACACCAGTTAACTTGAGAGGGTTACCACCACAAAAGACCGGGATTCAAGTGATTAAACAAGGTGAAACTCCACATCAACAAAGAAAGATAGATATTTTGAATACCGTCAGTGCATATGAAATGCCTTTGTTAGCTAAATTCCGTCAAGAATATAAGCCAGTTTCCAACAAGGAAGCACCTATTACATTAAGATTCAGTGATGATTTTAGTGAAGAATCAAGTTCTTTCAACCGTAAGGTTACCTTGTCTTGTAACCTTGCTGATTTAGAATTGAATGAACAACAACAAAGAAAATTTAAGATTTTATCGGGTCAAAGATTTAACCATGAAACAAATGAAATCAAAATTGCCTCAGATGCTTACCCTGAAGCTACTCAAAACGCTAGATGGTTGGCTGAAACTTTTGAAAAGCTTTTGACACATGCCAAGGATTTAACTGACGATTTAGCCGACGTGCCCATTGACACACGTCACACACAAGCTCAAGCTCTGTACAGAAAGAAGGCTCAAAAGCACGAGTTTCCAGAAGCTTGGAAGAGACCTCAAGATGCCCCAGCATCAAAGTTCCAGATTGTTCAAAAGCTTGTAGAGAAGGTTAAGGATCAAAAGGATAAGGAGTACATGAAGCTGTTTACTCCTTAGAATAGTATGTCATGCTATTATCTGTATATATGTAAATAAAAGGCAGTAGAAAGATTTTAATAATTGTAGAAATGATAGACATACCTGATATATATATACACACACACACACACACACAAATTGACTACATACGAGCTAGCCATATAACATAAAATGGTTTATATGTAAGACATAAAAAAAAACTATAGAATATAATACATTAACATAGATCATTAAGTATTTTTATAATTCGATATCAGCAATATTTCCAATCATACTTACATTTCATATTTCCTCCACTATTTGCCTATGTTTGATTCTCAACTATGCAGTCCATTCATTTTACTCAACTACTATTTATTTATAAAGTCAAACAATCTCATGACACAAAGTCAAGATCTATATTTGTGAACAAAATTTGAGACCCCATTGAATATCTATACATTGTACTTATCAAAAGATACATCAGTGCAAAGTATCAAGCTATCACCCACAATTTGCACTAGCTACATATCTATATATATAGAGAGAGAGATTGAGAAACATATTTGTTTTGAATAGATAAAATAATTAGATAGAGTGCGGTTATGCCACTTCCTGAACGACACTCAGCATCTACTACTCTTGATGATATCATCACAGAACTCAAACTTTCATATGACTCATCTGTTGGGTTACTTGACGGGAGTTATGTACAGAAAATACCCAAGGCAAATGTGTTACTGAATCTTAATAAATTATTGAAAAACTTCGCTAGTCAGCTTCAACTGGTTGAACAGACAGACGCGGTTGTATTGAGAAAGATTAAGCGAGAGCTTTCTGGATCAGAAGGTGCTGATATTGAAGACGATGAAGATATGGACACAAACGCGGATGGCGTAGAAAATAAGTCCGGAGAAGAAGAAGATGATGATGAAAGTGATGATGAAGAAGATACAAGAAATAATAGTATAATCACAACTAATAACAATGAAGATGATGAGATGGGTGAAAGTGATCTAGGTGACGAAAATAGAAGCGGCTGGGATTCAGGAAAGAAACGTGGTGCAAGTAAGCTTCTTGCTAATGATCATCGAGAGAATGGAGCTCAACAGGATGGAGAGGAAGACGACGATGATGATGAGGATGACGTAGGATTATCCAAAAGACGCAAACTCAACTCACACATTAATATCGAAACTCTGGACGATACGGCTGCAATTTCAAACGGTAAAGGTACAGAAGATGACGCAAAAGACCCTCCAATAAATAGCAAGGATGATGCTGTGCCACCAGTACAACAAGGATCGTTCACTCAAGATAACGATACAAGATTGAAGAACCCCAAGTCTGAGTTTGTTACCTCACAAACATTGCCCGCCAAGGCAATTGCACAATTGGGGTTATTTTCCGAGGATAACAATGGCCTTGAGACTCATGGAAAAGAATATCTCAAAAAGAAGTACGGGGTGGCCTCGTACCCTCAACTGGACTTATACGATTTACTTCCAGGACCAATTCCAGATTTAGATTTCTCCAAGAACAAACCTCCCACCAATCAAGTTCAATTCACCACATTCCAAACTTATATCGAGTCTTTCTTCAGATTATTTGTTCCTGAAGATATAGATTTTTTAAGAGAAAAGCATATACTCCCAGCAGGATTTGACAAGAGTTATGATCCTAATGTCACCCCCTTTGTGATGCCTAAATTGGGGCCCTTTTATGCCGAGGCTTGGGCGGCTGAGGATGCAACTTTAGGCTCAAAATTGAACTCTCCAGGGTATAGCCATGGAGTTGATTCATATATCCCTAAGGGATCCATTGATAATTTATCTGATGACAAATTATACACTGAAGAAGTTTCATGTGGACCTCTTTCGAGTAGACTTTTGTCTGCCATTTTATGTAATAATGACGAAGGTATGGATGCAGCTACTACAAACACTTCTATGGATGATGTCAAAGAGGAAAGCGAAGATGTCGAAAACATTCCAGTGCCCAATAATTCCCAAGATTTGGATGTTGCTACACAATTGAATATATCAGATGCATATAAACTCGATTCTGAAAAAAGTGATTTCCATTCAATAGAGGAAAGACTTAAGCGGGAGCTCAAATATATTGGGATTTTCATGAATTTGCCGAAATCCGATAACAAAGAAGGTAAGAAGGGCAATTCTCATTCACGGAAGGGTAGCACAGTCAATCCAAGTGAAAATATTGTCGATAACGATGATTGGATTAAAAATCGAGAAGATGATGAAGTTTGTGCGGAAATAAGAGCATTGCAAAAAGAATTACAAGAAGCATCGGCACGTAATAGAAAACACAAGAAGAAGTTAATACCGATTGTGGAAGACCAAATTGCGTATCAAGAATACTGTACTATTTTGGATGATTTGGATAAACAAGTTGACCAGGCGTATATCAAGAGACTCCGTGTAAAGAATAAGAAGAAGAAGACTGAAGTTTCACCTGCAGTAACTCAACTCACCGTAAATAGTGGGCTTCTTACGCTTATGGATAAGCGGAAGAAATGGGTGAATAACATTGGTAAGCTTTTCAAGTCTCCTGAACTCATGAAAAGGGCTCCAACTGAGTCTATTTTGGAGGGAAATGTGGATTCTGATGATGAAGGAGATGACGATGTGGAGCATGTCGATGCCGCAGAAAATATCATTGCAGATAAATAGGATATACATATATTAATTTTACGGACACTAAAAATAATTTTCTTTGTAGCACAATTCTATACTCATTGGCACTTTATATTATCTATTTCTTAACTATGTACATTCTGATAAATACCTATAAAGACATCCCCTTAGTGAGGTCTTTAAGACTTGGGAGTGACTTCACATTTCCCAATGCAGAAACCGCGATTGGCTTATCCTTGAGTCTATAGTTTGCCCAATCTACCACATCCTTCCTTGTAATGGCTTCAATTCTTTCAAAAACTTCTCCTGGTGATAATCTGAATCCAGTGTTGACCAATTGTCTGCCTATATCTTCAGCAATTGCGGTGGAGTCGTCCAACGCCAAAACCAAGGAGGCCTTCAATTGCGCCTTTGATCTTTCAACTTCATCTTCAGTAATATCTCCAGACTTCAAACGGGCCCATTCCTTCAACACAGCATTTGTGAAAAGCAGAAGGTCAGTATCTCTTTCAGCAACAAAGTATACCCCCATAAGACCAGTATCAGCGTATGATGTGGTGTATGCCATGTATGAATTAACGATTGGGGTCTTTCCTGGACCACCAGTTGCGGCAGTGATTGCCAAAGGGGAAGGTGAGTTTGATCCAACACCAATAGATCTATCCCAGGTACCGACTAACCCGTTCGCCACAGAAGCAGTAAAGAAGTCAGGAGCAGACCAACTCACACCTTCAACGGCTAAAGCTACATATGTTTGTGGAAGGCCATCATCTTGAATTTTGACTTCATTTCCGTAGAAAACTGGTAAGTCTCCACCACTCTGGTGGAATGGTTCGGTACTTTTCTTGATATTTCCAAAATATTGCTTAGCTTGTTTTACTAAATCTTCATGATCGATAGAACCGACACCAATGACAGCCATTCTGTCTCCCTTGTAGTTAGTGGAAATATAATTTACTAAATCATCTCTGTTGATTATCTTGATGAGTTCACGAGGACCCAAAATGGTTCTACCCAAATCTTGATTCTTATAAGTGACTGCATGTAAATGGTCAAATACGACTTCATCATACATTTTATCGACTTCATCACTCTCTTGTAAAATGACATGTCTTTCACTTTGAATAGCTCGAGGTTCTAACTTTGACTTTGTAAGCAAATCACTCAAAATTTCAACATTTTGGGAAATATCTCTTTTAAGACATTTGGTATAATAAACGGTATTTTCACGGGATGTATAGGCATTGATTTGGGATCCCATGTTCTCTACTTCAAGTTCAAGGTTCAACTGGGTTCTCTTTTGGGTTCCCTTGAAGGCCAAATGTTCTAAGAAGTGAGCAGTACCACTACTTTTAGGGCTATCGGCTCTTGACCCAGCATTAATCCATACACCTACAGTGGCGGTTTTAGTACCTGGCATAATTTCACTGGCAACAGTTAATCCATTATCAAGCACCGTAGTTTGAAATCTAGATGAAGCAATAGCGTCTGCGGACGTTTGGAAGAAACGCTTCAATGGGGCCTGACGAAGAGCCGTCAAATTTCTAAGCATCTTGGATTGTATTGATAAATAAAAATAAAAATAATGAAATTAGAAAGTTACTCCTTTAGTTTGATATATTAAAGTTCCTTAGTTATTGAGATAGTCTAGACTTCATGTCGCGGGCAAAAAAAAACGACATTTTTGCGACATGTAGTATTTAGTAGGCCAATCACTTTTACATCCCTAGTGAATAATGTAAGCATGAATAGGTATAGATGCATATGGTAGTGTGAAATAAATAGTCAATGGATCATATTTTCTTTATCCAAGAAGTTGTCCCCATCTCAACGAAGTGTAAAGTCCAAAAGGAGTTATCTTAATTGTCAGAGAAATACAATAATTCTTGATTAAATATATATTTGTACGGTAGATTCTAAGTATATTGAAGAATGTTATTTTCTCTAAAATATTTTCGAATGCTAGCTTTATTATATAGGCACTTGAATAATTTGTAATCCAAAAATAGAAGTACCTACTCATAAAAATACTTTTCTGATTTTTGATTTTTGCAACCGATTTCAACAGCAACAGCACCTTTATTTTTGTTTGTACTTTTGAATCTTTTTTTTTTCTTTCCTTCACTTATCACCAAAATTTCGCATACATCCCAATGGAAAAAATTGAAAAATTGAAAACATCTCCCATTTAAACAGTGCATTTTCAACCACACACATCTCAATTATGAACCTTGATACTGTTGAATTAGAATCTCAATTGGTTCCTGGAATCAATCCAGATGAAGTGTTGCATACTCCATTGCCACAGGCAAACCTTACGCAAAAGGCCAGTGTTTTAAATTATCATAATTATCAACTTACAGTCAATAGTAAACACAAACAATCCGACACTATTAAGTACTTCACCAAATTCAAACAATTTTCCATTTCAAGATCGTCACTTAATAGATGGATTTCGAATGAAGCTAAGATCAGGGAAGATGCGCTTAAATTATCCAGTAAGTCTAGATCACTCACAAAAGTAAGGAAAAGTCAAAAGCCTTCAATGGTTCATATTGCACAATTTTTTGAAGATAATAAACATATTATGAAATGTTTGGAAATGTATTATATTCAAAATTTGCTTGTCCAACCAAATGACACTCCATTGGACAAAGAGATTGCTGGGAAATTCAATGAGTTTAAAATATTATTTGGAGAACATGATTCAGTTGTCAATGGGACTCTCATTGATAATGAATCATGGCCACAAACGTTTAAAAATAATATTAAATATCAAGTAGATGCAATTCAAGATAATCTTACTGAACAAGGAATAATTCACAAGGCTTCAAAGATTTTGATTCAAGAGAAAGAAAGATTACAAAAGATTTTTGCCAATTATGATCATAATAACATTTATCAATTTAATGATATAATATTTGATATTGACACTTTATATGGACTTGCCGAGTTGAATGGTTTAGAGAATATTGATCCTAATTTCAATGAGAATGAATTTATGAACGGTGAGATTCGTAAAGAAGCAACAATTTCTCTTGGAGTTATTGGAAATGTTACTGGCACAGATTTCCCATCCCCATTGATTATTACTAATTTGATAGGGAATTCTGTTGGGAATAATTCCCAAAATATTAATGAGTTCTACTATGATCCTGAAGGATTAAACCGTAGAGAAATTTTCAGGGAATATTTACATAAATGGGATACAAAGTTATCTTCTGAAAACCGCCAAGTTGCGCTTTTATTAGATACTCATTGGAGTCACCTAGGACTAGGAGAATATCGGTTGCAGAGATTCCATAGTATTAAATTGGTATTTATAAGTTCGAGATATGATCAAACCACGTCGTATTATCATAGACTGCAATTAAGGTTGCCATTTTCCATAGGATTTGAAAGACTTTTGAAATATCAATTAAAGATGAGATTATTTAATAAGTTTTATAAAGACACAAGAGTTGTTTCAAGCAGAATTGAAGCATTCAATGATGCAATTGGAATAATAAACAATTTTAAAATCAATTATGATTTATTAATTGATAGTATTAAAAATGATAAAGTTTTAGGGGTATTTTATCGACTTGGATTTGATGGATCAAGATTATTTGAACCGTTATACCCAAATAATAGTACTAATAATGCTAATAGAGACAATCCTAATATATCGCCACACTTGGAGGACCCGACCCAATTTCAACATGAATATCAAAGACAAGCAGGCATGCCAGAAAATGATGATATGGAAGATCCTAGATCAAGGAATTTGTATGGAAGATTAACTACATTTGTTAGACCATTAATTCCTGAAGAATTGAAATCAAAATTACAATTTTCAGATACTACTAGGAAACTTATTATTAAAAGTTATGAACAAGAACTTTATCAATTTGTTAAAAATATCACCAGAGCTACGATTAAACTTAATCCAAAGCAAGAATTTGATAGCTCTCAATTACAAGCGAATCTTTTAAGAGAATTTACTAAGGGTAAAAACGAAAGGAAACACAATAAAAAGTATTCAGTTCATGCTATTGTTGAATATGTTAGATCAACTATGAGATATGAACAACATCAAGTACAAATTCGAGAAATTTATAAACATGAACCAAATGATATTTTGAAGAGAGATATAGAGATTGATAGAAGACTTTTGAATGAAGTGCAACCATTTTTATACAAGGCAGTTATGAGAGGAAATTCAAATGAACTGAATACTTCAATTTCTGAGAATACATTTCAATTGTTTAATAGATTTTATGCCTCATATGTCAATGATACTGCTATAATTAACACGAAACAGAAATACACAGGAGCATCCAGACGTCGTCGCAGTCCTTCCCCAAGACTACTTGAAGCTGATTTAAGTAATCAAGCATCTAAAAGATTGAAGCTGAACAAATATATTACCGAGAGTGATAAGAGTGAGGATGAACGTGACATTCAACATTCGGAGATAACGTTTTCGCCACCACCACCCACTGAGCATTTAATTGACAGAAATAATTTAGTTACACCTACAGAAGCAGAAACTGCAGCAGCAGCAGCTGCTGCACAAGCAGTTGACGATGCCAATAAATTTGTAACCACATTCAGTCTGGATTCAGAAGAAGAATACTCGATGATTCCGGAACAGAAGATTTAGGTTTATATTTTGAATTGCTGCATAGTTTATATATACAATAATAGAAAATGATACACTAACAAAAACCCCGTTTTTTTCCGCGAATCCCGGGGTCATCCATTTAATTTCTTTTTTTTTTTTTTTTTTGAATGAAATTCTCTTTTCTGTCTGTCACAAGATAAAAGCTGTGAAATCCTACACAGAAGGAAATCCGTTTATATTATAAAGGGAAATATAATTTCACTAAATTTTTTTTAGAGTGAATAGATCCTTTCACAACAAATAATTGTAATGAAGCTCTTTGAAAGCACACATGCCTTTGAGTACTCCTGGGAACAGGTTACAGCAGCCAATTGGCAAAAATACCCTAATGAACTTGCGACACACGTTGTTTCCGTTGATGTATTGAACAGAAGTATTGATGTTGAAAAGAAGACATTGAGAACTGAAAGATTGATTGGTTGTAAACAATCGATTCCTCTGTGGCTCCGATTCATTGTAGGAGGAGAAGAATATTCATACGTGCGAGAAGTTAGTGAAGTCGACCTTGTTAATAAAACCTTGGTTATGAAATCAAGTAATTTAACGATGAATCATCTTCTTTTAGTTAATGAAACGGTGATTTATAAACCAGATTCAGAATTACCAAATTCTAGAACATCATTTAAACAAGAAGCTGAAATCACCGCATTTGGTTCTATTACTAGAATTTGTGACAAATTAGAAGAATGGTCAGTGGAAAGATTTGGACAAAATGCCAGTAAGGGGAAATTAGGATTTGAATCAGTTTTAAAAGTATTAACCGAAAAATGGGAAGAATCGGAAACATTTGTTTCAGAAGTTAGTGACTCCATTATCAAGGATATTAGTGAAGTTGGAGATAAGACTCACGGAGTTTTACAAGAGGTTACCAAATTGGGGAACGTATTCAAAAGAGATTAGAGTTTAATCCCATTGTATGCATCGAGTTCCCGAATATTTATTATACATTTCATGATTATACGATTGATTGATGATTAAACATTTATGGTTATTTTTTTATCTTTAAAAATTTCGTTTTAAAAGAGTTTCAGAATAACCCACATTTGCAATTTTACAGCATTTCATTTTTAGTTCCACGAGAAAAGAGGTACTTTACCATCTTTTAACATCTTTATTCTTACCATTATTACGCATATCCATATAGATTATTTATTACATTTATTGAATCACTTGTACATAGAAGAATTTATCAGTTTTTAATATAAATTTCACACTTGTAAGTATTTTTAAACGAAAATTAAAAATCAATTTTTATTATCATGGTTGTATTTAGTGGTATTTTTTTGATGATCTTTTTCTTTTTTGTGATTTGAAATAAAACAAAAATTAAAAACCACCTGCATGCAGTATCCATCTCATCTCATACTAAAAAAAAGGTAGTGTTACATAGACGGTAACAACGGATTGAATAGTTGAAGTATATCGGGGAGGAAATATAAAGGTAGTAGTAGGTGACTTGATATTAGAAACCCCAGTATGAACGAGGCCGAACACAGAGAAGAGGGACCGGCTTTGAAAAAGCAAAAAAGAATAGGGGTAGAGAATACTGATGAAGAGGTTAAGTCAACCATTTGTAAAACCGAGGATGATGCACTTGAGAAGTTCTTTCTGTCATTACAGAATGAGATTAAACTAGAGAATGACGAGCTTGATGCTGAGATTAATAATGCATTGCTGAATCTCAGCGAATATGACGAAACGAAAACTACCACCAACAAGAAAAACAATAATACTACCAATGGTACGAGTACCGGAGTTAGCGGTACAACTACATCGTCGCCTGAAGATCTATCACCTTTTGATTCACCAAGAGCAATGACTTCAAGTAGTGAATCTTCACTTGAAGATGAACTTTTCAAGAGTAGTGGATCAGAAAGTACTAAAATAGAACAACCCACAGCAAACATAGATACGGTTGTTAATATCAAACAAAGCATGAAAGATACAAGTAGATTACTTTCGACGTTCACTACATTGAAAACAACATATCTCAAGCTTTGTAAGGAATTTAACTACCTTTTAACGAAATTCAATGACAACGAAAAAATTAAAATTGAGCTCATTCATGAAAACAATGAACTTAGAAACTTGTTGACACAAATCATCAAGGAAAGGGAACTTGAACGGAAATCAAAGTCCGTGACACCTCCCCAAAATCTGCATTATTAGACAGCATACCTTTAGTCAGAGGCACAAGAAAACATATACATATATAGCATAAGACAACTTATACATAGTCACATTATTTATTAATCGAGTAGAAGGGTTAGAATATGAGCGATAGTACCTGATTGCGCCAAAAGGTGCTATCTGGGCTGTAAATATAGTTAAATACTTTTCAATGATTACTTCTGTTTGAAGTTGACGAAATATGGGTTGCAAAAAACCCAAAGAGTGCGAACTTTTGTTTGGTATTCTAATTTTGTGTTCAAATTAAATGCAACGTACACGCGTTTTGGATCACGAGTTTGATGTTTGTATTCAATATATATAAAATAAATAAGATATGTATATAAATATATATACATTGTATAGATATATTATTGGAGAAATAAAGGGGGAAAGAAATGAACTCTAAACAGTCGGAACTCGTAGAAAGATACCAAGAAAGTCAGCTCCAGAAAAAGGAAAACCCTGATGAGTTTGAATCTGACAGTGATGACGAGTTAATGGAATTATTGGAAGAGGAAGAAGAAGCAGCATTTTCAAAATATAGAGAGGCAAGACTTCAACAATTAAGTGAAGAATTTAAAAAGGTGGATGATGCGCACGGTACCGAGATGGGCGAATTGAAATTCATACATGATGAAAAGGAAGTCATGGATATAGTGACCAGATCTGAACATGTCATAATTCATTTTCAACAACCTGAATTTGCTAAATGTAAAATAATGAATGAAAGACTAACTGTTCTTGCTGAGAAACATTTGACTGTCAAATTCATATATGTCAATGCCTCAGAGACTCCATTTCTTGTTACAAAGCTTGGGATTAAGGTTTTACCATTCGTTGTAGGATACATAGGAGGGAAAGAAGCTCTTCGAGTGGTTGGATTTGAGAAATTAGGTAATGATCCAAATACTTTTAATGTAGAAGTTTTGGAACAATTACTTTATGTGCATGGGATTATTAATAGAAGAACCATAAATTTCGGATCTATTAAACAGAAAACTAAAGCTGTTACCGAAGATTCTGACGATGACCTTGATTTATAATTATCAACAACAAAATAACCATTGAATGAAACTTTTTGATCTGTTTATAGGTTGGAATTCTTGAGAATCATTATCATTATCTTTAATTGAGTTGTATCGCCGGCCCAAGTTTGTATATAAACGATCCCTATCCAATCCTAAACGTTTTCTATTTTCTAGGACCGCATCACCAATCATAACTGGTGTTCAAATAGTTGTTTGATTACGTGTTACACCTCAATTTATATTATTGCTATATTATACTGGGGAAGGTGGTAAGATGGCTGGTGGGTGTTGAGGTGTTTCACCCCACGCGCCAATTAAAAATGGGGTTGCATATAGATGAAGTTATATTTATAGAAAAAATTCCTTTAATAAAGGGTATAGGACATATCATTAGAATAATAAGGAGATCTTTGTAGATAAGCAAGTAGAAAATATGAAAGACACAAACCGCTTCACAGTATAATACAACCGATATAACTGCATACTTTCCCCCAATTGATTAATTTTAGCAATAGAAACGAGTAAGTAAATTACATTCTTATCGATTTTAGATATTTCTTTTAGTAACCAAATTATCACTAGCTACTAAACAATTTGATTCTACCCAATATTCGATTTAAGATTATGCTGCAATTACTGATAAGGAACTCTAAAGAATAAAAAAAATTAAACAAAAAAGGATAGCCTCAACTAGGGCTCAAGCCCCAATACACGTGACCACAGAAGAATGCTCGATATTATTTTGCCCTCGTTTTTTTTTTTTTTTCTCTTTTTTTTTCCGCTCACCAGGCAGACAGACGCAAAGTCAACCTGGTCGGGAATTTTTTTACATTTATTCTTCTCTTTTTCACCATCGGTAAGAAAGAAGCATCTTTTTGCAGACAAGCCAATATGCAAATTTTCGTCAAGACCTTAACCGGTAAGACTATTACCCTCGAGGTTGAATCCTCGGACACTATTGACAATGTCAAGTCCAAGATCCAAGACAAGGAAGGAATTCCACCTGACCAACAAAGATTGATCTTTGCTGGTAAGCAATTGGAAGATGGCAGAACTCTTTCTGACTACAACATCCAAAAGGAATCTACCTTGCACTTGGTCTTAAGATTGAGAGGTGGTGGTAAGAAGAGAAAGAAGAAGGTCTACACTACCCCAAAGAAGATCAAGCACAAGCACAGAAAGAACAAGTTGGCTGTCTTGAACTACTACAAGGTTGACAACGACGGAAAGGTCGAAAGATTGAGAAGAGAATGTCCTCAAGCTACCTGTGGTGCCGGTGTCTTCATGGCTAACATGAAGGACAGAAAGTACTGTGGTAAGTGTCACATCACCTTCAAGGCTACTTAAATGTTTAGTATATAATATTTATATTGAATAATGACATTAGTCTAAAACCAAATCATTAATTGTAGAGACATGAACGAATATTCAGCATATATAATTTGTAATTCCCTTGAAGTTCTTAGTATTTGTAATGTCTCTGGAATCCTACATATACATAAAAAACTAATAATATTCTTATTGTAGTTACCCAAATTAGCATACAGGATCAAAATATACGCGAGAACATAGTTGGAACTAAACAATAATCAAACTGTAAACAGTTAAACTACATCCATTGAATCACTTAAATCTACACGATATGAGTTTTTCATTATACGATTTAGATGAGGATATCAGAAAGCTTCTCAATCTAGATAATTTTCTAGGAGGACATACTGTTAATGATTTTATTGAAGAACTCAGTAAAGATCATTTTCTTAAAGGAGCTGAAGTTAACAAGTTGGAATATTTAGATCCCAAACCATATATTCGTACGTTTGAATCGACTCTCCGTGAACTAAAGAGACTCAACGAGGATGGAGAGACACGTAAACGACACGTTGAACGAGAAGTGGAGGAATATGAATTGAAACATAGTGAGAATGTGATTGCCCTTTCATCTAAAGTTGATAGAATTACAGAGAGTTTTACCAATTTAGATTCTAAAATCTCCTCAGTAACAACCAAAATTGACCCATTGGGTAGATCGTTAAATAAGATCACCAATTCAAGAGATAGATCCACTGAAACCATCTTTCTTATCCGAGCATATCATGGATTTTATACCAAGGAAAGATACGAACCACTTGAGAAACTTAAAAGTAGTAACATTTATGAAGATCGAGTGAAATGTGCTAAAACTATTGTAGATTTGCTTACATTGGCCAAGAAAATTGCATCTCCAGAACTTGCAAAGGCAAATCATTGTGTCAATGTAATTGAAAAATTTAGTGAAACTTTTGAAAAGGAATTGTTAATAAAGTTTGATGTTTATTTTGAAGATGATCAATTCGATAAGATGAGAGAAATTGCCAGTATATTACATCAATTCAACGGAGGTGCCACTGTAGTGCAACTATTTGTTAATAAGCACGATTTCATGCTTGATTCGGACAATACTGAAGATAGTACCATGCTTGATAATGAAGCCATTTGGACTAAACTTTCAGATCCAAGCTTTGGAGAGAATGCCAAGGATGAGTCAACCGAACAACTTCTTAATCGTCTTCGAATGGCAATTAAGGCTCAGGCCAGAATTGTACAACAAGTCTTTGAAGATCCAACCCCAGTACTTAAGATTTTCATACAGCGTATCTATGCTCAAATCATTCAAAATAAAATCAGTGCATTACTTCAGTACTCACTTTCAGTGGGCACTTTGGCACATGTAAGAATTTTGCACTCGCTTTATGTGTTGGTGGGAGACTTCACGCGGGAAGTGAAGGAGTTCCTCCAAACCAATGATTTGAATCAAGATGATGAGTTGGGATCGATTTTGGACCAATGTAATTATGATTTATTCATTGAATATACTTCAGAAACTACATACTTCTCACGTGAAAAGAAGAACCTTGAAGAAACAATTTATGATATTGTACAAAAATACACATCATTTCATGAGACCCAATTGGCAGCTAAAAGTCTTACTACAAAGTTAGAAAATTTGGATAATATAGAATATAACTCAGAAAAATTGAAACGAGATCAAAATAGTGGGAGACCATTGCTGGAAGGAGTTCAAGATAGATTTAGTTTCCATTTCCTGGAAAGAAAACGATTATCACAATTTACAAACTTTATGAAAACTAAACTCTCTGAGAAGACACCCCCAAGATCATCACAAGATTTGTTTAATGATCGTGAATACGTTGAAAAATACTCCAAACTTAACATTGGTATAGTAGAAGTTGTTGTCAAGTCTGCCATTGAATCCATTGCACGTGTTTTAGAGTTGACTCCAAATAAGGCGCCTGATTTTCTGTTGGAAATATTGGAAATTTTATTATTTGATTTTGGGAAATTATACATTGGAGCAAGTTTAGAAGTTGCATTCGAAGGTGCTAAACAAGAGAATTTACACTCAAGATCAGGAACAGTACAAACATTTTCTTTATCATATTTACAGTCATTTGGAGTCACCAGTGAAGTTTTATATTTGATATCTTCATGCATTAAAAAGATCATCTTACCATGTGCTGTGAATAGTCCTAACGTAAGGAAAAGAATGTATAACCTTACCAATAGTTATGTATCGCGGTGCGAGACTTCACTTAATTTAATTACCACAGAATCTCTTGAAATGGTGGCCAATCGGATTGCATTTCTTTTGTTAAAGCAAAGGAAGAAGGATTTCGTTATGGATACGATTACTGAAGAAGACACTGAAGCATGTGAAGAGGTGGCTTTATTCTTGAATGAAATATATGAAAAAATTGTTAATCATTTAAATAATGCCAACTTGAGAAATTATTTAATCAAGATTGGGATGAACTTTTTAAATCAACTTTTAGAACATTATAAGAAATTCCCCGTTAATTCCACTGGAGGGATTATTCTTACTAAGGATGTTATTAGATATCAATCCATCATAGATGAATGGAAGATTTCAGAATTATCAGAACAATTCCAATTGCTTAAAGAAATTGCTAATCTTTTCACCGTGCACCCTGATTTGATCAATTCATTGGTGACAGAAGGGCAACTTGCCAACCTCAAACCATATACTATTAGACAATATGTTTCCAAGCGAACAGACTTCAACCCCAGCTATATAGAGAGGTTTTTTAGTTTGAAGTAAACCCCACAAACCAGTAGTACCCCTATAGAATTTATATGGCTAATTATGTCAAGTCACAAATTTCATACAAGCTATATTTTTATTGAAAATTTCCATATGTAATAATTATATATTTACAACTCCATTAAGTGTTAGTGCCGTAAACTCCAAACAAATAGAAGATGATACACAAGGCAACAAAAGTGTTGATGGCAAAAGCTAAGACATCCCTCTTAATTTCAATTCCTTCAACAATGGCCTTTTGTAATCTTGGAGCAAACTTCCAACGAGATTCGGAACTTGGCAGGTCTTCCTTAATCTTACTTCCACCAAGTGGAATCTTATTAACAAGTGAAACAAGAACCTTTGGAGCAATGAAAATCAAGGCAAGGAAAAGAATCAGACCGCCAATAAAGAAAATATAAGAATAAAGGGCAAAATATGGACTTGGCATGTAACACATCTTAGTTTTGTAACTTGGAGGAGAGTCTTTGGTCTGTCTCTTACCAGCTTCATATGGATTATGTAATGATAAAAGTTGAATGGCTGGATATTTAACACCACAAGTCATAGAGGCAGTTTTAACAGAAATTTCTTCTGCTTCTTTTTCAAACCCATCAAAAGTGTATTTATGCTTGATATGACAGTAATCGTGGTCATCTCCGGAGAAAATAACCGAAGGTTCAATCATTGCTAAAACTTTTTGTGAGACGTCATGGTCAAGAACAGTTTGGTATTGCTTACCAGCCTGTAATGGGAATGGGTCACCTTTTTCACGAAGTGGACCGCAAAGTTGTTTTTGATTGTCACGATAAAGTGGAACATGACTAAACAAAATACGTGGCATTTGAGGGTTTAATTTAAGATCAATGGTACGTAAAAATTCCTTAGCATCGGCATTGATAGCATTATCCTTGTGCGAAAGAGAAATTGTATCAACAAGAACAATCAGATGGTTCCCAATTTCAATATAATCATTTGGTTCACCAAAAAAGGCAGAAAATCTATCTCTCACCTTTTTATCAATTTCTTGGAATCCAATGTCATGGTTACCTGGAATAGATCTAATAGAACGACGGTTAGGCTTTTGAGGGAAAATTCTGTTGAATCTCTTATATTCTTCAACCCATTCAGCGTCTTTCCATTCACGTCCACCATCAAAAAGATCACCAAGGAAAATGGTAGTATCTGGGTCGATGTATGATTGCATAAATTTGTAATTACGGTGCAAGAAATTGTCACTAATACGAGTAATGAAGTGGTTGAAGACCCATGGTTTCTCTGGATAAGTGTGAGCATCCACAAGTTGTGGGTCGGCAATGATGGCAATTCTATGAGGTTTAGCATGCTTCCCCCACTTTTCCCAATTATTCCATTGACACGATTTCATGGCACTACATGGAACAGAACGTTCAAAATGGTGAATAAGCACGATCCAAAACAAAAGAATTGATAAAAGAGCCTTCCAATGAAGCTTTGAGAACAATATTTCAGACCAACGTGCTACTAATGCTTCCTTTGAAGTTGTACTGTGGCTACTTAAAGCAGGTTTTGGGGTGAAGGCACTGGGTGTGATACCAGTAGCAGCTGGTATATCACTAGCAGGAACCTCATCTTCCAGTTTCTCCTTTCTTCTGTAACTCATGACACAAGATGAAGTAAAAGAAAATGATGATGGCTTGTAAGGGAAAGAAATTTTTAAATGGAAATTTGTAATGGTGTCCTCTTGATAGCAAGACTTGGCGCGTTCTCAATTTGTGTCGCGCTAGCGTGCACACTGAACCAACACATCTACAAAAAGTACGTGCTGGCATTAGGCGGGGGAGTGGAACGACCAGATGGTCTGATAAAAAAAAATGGTGGATGGGTGGCAGGATGTTTCTGTCGAACGATTAACTTTGGTAGGTTGTTTCTACTGTTTCAAAGGTAGGACCATCTGCATAGACCATGGCCATTGAATGCAAGATGTAGATTTATTACGTCGTAAATTACAATGTGGGACATGCGCATTCTTCTGTGAGCGAAAAAAAGCATCTGTACCGAAACCAACTTGAAATTAGGGATACTCTATGTATGGTAGAAAATAAAGCAAAATATTTTTTAAAGGTAATCATAAAGATCATATCCTTGGTCGTCATCTTTTAAATATGCCACCTACTATATTCCTTACACGTGTAATGGGTTATAAATCAACCACAAGAGCATTTATAAATATATGGTTTAGGTATGTATAGAGTAGACACCATATCCCTTTTGTCAAGGGTGTGTCAATATTTTTCTAGGCTCTCTGAACTCAAATATTCGCACACCAAAAATTAATTGTGGAGAAGACCTAAAATTCACAATTCATTCGCACGAGTTTCGCACGATATTGATTTCGCACAGTATTTCAATCTTCATATTATCTAGATACGAACCTTTTGTTTCCACAAGAGAATAAAATTGAATGAAATTTACCTTAAATCCAATAATTTAAGCATAGATGGCTGAAAGGAAACTACGATCGAAAGATGAACGTAAAACGCCAAATGCTGCATTGTTCAACTTTGAAAATATCAACCGCTTACTCTACAGAGACCAAACTATTCCAATTATAACGAAAAAGGTGAATGACAACTTGTATAGATACACGGGTACCACAACACATCCACACACTACAAACAAGACGAGAGATGTAGTGATACGTGAGATTCTTGTTCCTCGGAAATCAAAGGGTAAGGAGGATATTCTCAATGACCAAGTGTATGAGACTTTCCATCGACGGATGAAGAAGGAGGAACGTAAGATGGGGAGTCTGGATCGTCTTAGAATCCTTTCAGAGGTGGACACTTTACAGACCCTGTTACTGCTTCTTGGACAGTACGATTGGGTACGTCACTTACCGGGGATCACTCAGATCCGCGATCCTCATAATTATCAAGAACTTGAATACAAGCGCGTATTGACAATGTATGAGATACGACGGTTACTTCGGAAATATGAAAGTTGGAAAAAACGTGATGATGAATTACTTGCAGACGTACGCGATTTCCATCTGGGTAGAGAGGCTCCAGGGCCGGGGACTCCTCGGGAGGAGTTCTACGTACCATTGGATGAACTTAAACGAGAACGTAATGCCCAACGTAGGAAAAAGTATGGACTGACAATAACGCTTAAGCTCAACAATGGCCTTGCCTTGGTTATAGATCCAATCTTGCCACCCAAATTCATTAAGGTGGCTATGAGTGGTCTGACAAATAGTCTGAAAAGGGGATCTGTAGAGCCTTTGGCCAGTGATTTACAGACTGTAGATACCGATCACTCGGAGACGGATATCAACAACACTGTTACCACAGAAGAATCCACTATTGCATTTGGGGCAAAGGTTCCCGAGTTAAAACAACATATATTCACAATACCGCTGTACTGGAGGCTGCAGTCCAATGCATGGAAACACGCCCGTACAGAACTCCGAGCTGACATCGAGGCACAGAAAGAAAGTCTAAACAAGTAGAATTAGGAGAATACACATACTAATATTGAGACATATTTTCAGCTAAGACACATGAGACACATATGACGTAGCGCCTCATTATTATCACATCTCATTGTCTACGTAGATTAGATAAGTAAACTTTTATATTTTTATTACTAATTAGTGACTTCTTCAAGTTGTTCGAAGAAAGTTGTGATGAGTCGAACCTGAGTTTCTGTACTTGTTAAATCATTATCAAGGGCGACGGTATCGAGTACAAATTCATCCATTCTAACTATTTTAGGAGGTTGCCTAAGTTCGGCATCCACTCTTGATGGGTTGAACGAATCTAATTGGATTTGACTAATACCATATGAACTAACTATGTAATTCCGGAAGCAAATCATAATGAGCAATGTTTGTGACATGAGAAGAAGGCGTTGCGCTTCTAAATCATTTGGCGATAGTTTATCCTCCTTAAATTCCTCCACCAGTTCAGAAAGATCAAGACCTCGTTTACGAATAGTCTGATCAATGCTATGCACAAGAAGAAAAACATCTTCGAGTACAGAATACCGTACGGTTCCCAAATTCAATACAGTATACATAACTAGGTCTCGTTGAAACTTGGCATTGTCGATGTCGTCTTCATCTTGTAACAAAAAGATTTTGCTAAGAGCAACAATGAATTTCTTCCTCGATGTCCGGTTATATGCCACGATGGAATATATATTTTTCAAAAAGAATCGCTCTTTTGACAATCGAACATTGTTGCCATTTAAGCAATGGAGACGGAATTGGGTAGCTATCTTAATGGCTTCGACATAACTCGAACCCGTGAGTGATTCATGACGTTCCACTAGTTCTTGATGCATAGACATGGCGATAAGCTTCACATATCTGTTTGAAGTCGATTCCAATGCAATAATCAGGGGAATACAAATTTTTGGATTCGCATAACCCAGCTTTACAACATGCTGCAAGTACTGAATTGGTATAATTGACAAATTTCCCTCATCATAAAAGCAAAGAGGAAGAATGGAACGAATATACCTTTGAATTATAGCGGTACAAATTCCGTCATTAACATAGGTTTTAGTTTTGTGGCCGTGAAACACAGCCACATCCAATTTGACATCTTTAGATAGCTTGGCCAGAACTCCATTCCTTTTCTTTGTCTCGAGATCTTCCTTCTCCAAAAATTCTATGATTCCTTGAATGATCACTACCTTTGTATCAATATTTCCAGCCTCAAATTCTCTATCCAAAACCTTCAAAATAGCCTCTGACGTGTATAAAGTTGGGTGCGATGCACATATGCCTAATATATTCTTTATGGAGGTCATTCTAAGGACTGGGTCCATCCCTTGAGTGGAGCAGAAAAAAAGTAAAACTTTCGTGATAAGACTTACTACTGTTTCATTTTGTTTAAGGCCAACATTTGCCTGTAAAAACATTTTCCTATTCTCTTCAAACAGACAATATGCCCCAAAACTTTCAATAAGGTGAAGCAATTTCCTTAATTTTGGATCTGATTTGAGCCATCCTTCGCGCTTAGCTTTACTGATGAACGGTCTAATATGATTAAGGCACATTATAGATGCATTTGCAATCTTAACAGTACTCCCATTCATCAGACTTATTCTCCAGAGACATGGCATTGCCTCAGAGAGCTCTCGAGCATTAAACTTTGTCAAACGACGCAATAATGAAGTTTCGATTGAAATAAGCAAATCTTTACGCAACACCGAAAGTTCTTTCACCACAAATTTGAGTGTCTGTAAAATATATAACATTATTGGTTGTCCATTAGTTTTTTCGTCGACTAGATATGGTTGTAATGCAACCAATTGATCTTGAGACATTAATTTCCCATCACATTTGACTAGCGTTGATATTAACATCATACATTTTTCCAGTATATTCAAATCAAAACCATCCACTACCTTATCCAAAGCGGTTTCTATCATTTGCTTCAACTTAAATTTATCACTGACAAATTCAACGAATCTTTCAAATAATTCTTTTGAATTGCCATTGGAAATAACCTCAATTATTACGGGCACATTATTCCCTTTACTGAACCATAATTCCAATAGGTAGGATTTTACCATCTCCACGATTACTTCTTCTTCATCATCCAACCTTTTCAACATCTGGACGGAAATATTCGCTTGAATGAGACAATCTCCACTATTCATATACATTTCTTTGGCCAACTTTATAACTCTCTTACGAACTTGAATACTCGAATCTGCCATTCTCTCGCAAATTGGCTGATAGAATTGTTGTATGATATCGCGGTTAGTCCCCATGTATTTACTCACAAGATCAATCACTGAATCTCTGACCATTGGCGATGAATCAGAAAACTTATTAATAAAGGATTCCTTGATTGCTGAAGACATTAATAAACTTCTATCAATATCAACAAGTGATGATAAAATCTTGAGTGCCCTACTCCTCGATTTCACCTTGGAACTGTCCAAAGATTGAACGAGAATCCTAATAAACCCATCATATTGTTGAAATAGATCTTGCTTCAACAAAATCTGTCCATATAGATTGATAGAATCATAATCTTCAATTGAATGGTTTAAAACGATAGCATCATTCGCAAGTATATCCAATAACACCTCGTAAACGGATGTGGGGTTAATCCCAATCTGTGAGTCATCTAATTCAGACCCCAATGCTTCAAGTCCAGTACCGATATCATTCTCATTCCTATTTTCTAGTATAGGTAATAATTGACAAAAGTATTTTAACAATAAGAACCTAAATGCTGGTGCAAAAAACTTATTTTTATTCACTTGAATTTGTACATATTCCAATGTCGGAAGTGCAAATTCATCAAATATATTTCCATCTTCTTCATGTTTCCTTAACATTAAAATCTTTATTGCTATTGACCCAGCCATTTCCAAGACGTAAGTTTCTACTATCGCCGGATATGACCCAGAAGTCTCAACAGCTCGCATAAATGATCGCATAATTGATGAAAGGAGAGTTTCTGAAGCTGGCCATTCAGGGAATGGAAGTACATATAACAAATCTTCTAAAAGACCTTCCATAGACGTCTTATGAGCTTGATCTGGGTTCTTACTAAGCTTTGTCACCAATACTGATGCAATATCGTTGGCAGTCGTAACAGCTTGATTTTGTAATTGTAGTAAATCTTCATTGAGATTCTTCCGCTTACTTGATTTTTCTATCAGATCCCCACTGATACACTCTTGTGAAGCTTTAGAAAATTTCGACAAATCGAAAGATTGTATTAAATTCAATAACAAAGCTGAAACCATATGAATAGAGGCACCTCTGTAAAGCTTATATTGACGGATAGAGGTGGTGGTGGTTGTAAAATTTGACAAAACTTCTTCAAGAATGAAATGCCGCTGATCCGGGTGCTGTTTGAAGATGGTGCATAGAAGTGTACTAGCATTGAATCGAAGGGATTCCATAGCCAAATGATTACCTAATTTAGACAGAGTTGAATAAATGGCATGAATGGATAGATATTCCAAACGTGTGAGGATTTGTTCATCCACGTTATTATGCAAAATATATTCTGAAAGTATACTTAAATTAAGCCCCACATCAGACACAAGACTTCCAAAAGTCACAATATCCTCAGAAACTACTTCAGTTAAGTTGTAAGTTAGATCTATCACCGCTCGAAGATATTCATCAACAAAAAGTTGCTTATCAGATCTTGTTTGTAAGATGAATAGAATATTCCTAGATGCCATCAATGAGTTAAATGCAATATCAAGAAAATGGGGAGATTTCGAATGTGTATTTGTTAAATCAAGAACCTCGGATATGTTCGCAAAGCAAACACTTTGTATTTTTTGAAGATGTTCAAGTGGGAAATTTTGGAACATTGGTTTATTCATGATTCGATAAAGTTTATCCAGAAGTGACATTAGCCATGTAGTAGATAAGATACTACGGCCATCCAATGGTGTCCACATTGTTACATCATCGGACGACAATTTTTGTACCAATGATATTAATTCCTCCATTGCTCTTTCGGTAAGTTCATCAGTCTCTAAAAACGTCAGTTTCTTTACTGATTCTTCGATAGTGATATCAAAACCAGATGTATCAATTTCATCGAAACGACGTTTTAAATTCGGGCTTTGATCATCACTCTTCTCAATCTTTGAAATATTTGATTCAATGAATATGTCATTTGTAGTATCCACCTTCTCAATTTTAAGAGAATCATCTATGGTAGTTACAATTCCTTCCATTTCATCATGAATTACTAAACGTTCTCTCGGTATCTTTCTTTCCATTGTATTGCTTGGAATTGCTACATCAACCATTTTTTCAAATATCTCACTTTCTAAAGGTAATAAGTCTATTTGTGGTTTGAGACTATTATCCCCGCACAAACTCATACCTTTGAATTGTAAATCATCAAGCTCTGAATCCTCGTATGCTATGAACTCGTTGACTATCTCCTCTATTATATCTGTATGCTGGGTAGGCAGTTGGTTAATGACGTCTTTAAATTGATTGAACATTGAGTTTGGGTTTCGATCGACTATGTCTGTCTCTGAAGTTACAGTATCAATATTTATCGATGCCAATAGCGGGGCAATTAATTGAGTGGGTACTAGACAAACAAATGGAGCCGCTGCAAGACCTTGCTCTAATGATATTTCAGGGATTCTATGGAGATCATCTTTAGATGTTTCGTGGATGTTAACGGGACCCGCATTGTTCAATGGAGAAGCAGTATTCGAATGATCTTGATGTGAAAAGACAAGTTGGCCCAGGTGCTGCATATCCATACCCGATGTCGCCATGCAGCTTATATATATAATATAGATATATATATATATCCCTTTATGAAGTATGTAGAATGGAAGTATATTATTTGTAGATCAGATGGTTTCAGCTATATCCATATTCGCGCCTCTGGGGAACGCGTAAAAAATGGTGAAGCTGATGCGATAAGTTTAAATACGTTTAACGTGAGAAATTGTTTACAGCAGAATGTTACCTGTAAGGATACCCTTTGGGGACTTCGTAGGAGAGAATGAATAAAATTGAATTACTGACCAATACTCACGATTTTTTGTAATTTGACGAGAGAGAGAGAGAGAGAGAGAGAGACTAAGTACGACTGTAAGAAGGAGTATACAAGCATAAACCCTAATTTACATGAATTGTATTATATGCTATTATTAAATATCCTATTATTCTTTTGCTTCTTCTTTTGCTTCTCTTCTTCTGCTAGTTTACATTGTTGGAAATGCCAGGAGAGGGGCAACCTTCTCCATTCGTAAATCACCAGGATCGTACGGGTCAGTCATGCGCATTAATGTGATACCATTTGGTTTGGATATCCAGTTGATATAAAGGTTCTTGATGAGCGATTGTGTATCAAACACATTTACAAAATTTGAGTGTTTACGGCCCCAAACATTGTTGAGATACTCACGAGTGGTAAGGTTCCAACCTGTGAGACAAAGATGAAGTCCCCAAAGTAGGGTTGGGTACACAAGGCTCACTGTACCATAGAGTGCAAGGAAGAACCCTACGGGGTATTTGTAGATAGAATCACCAAAGTCATCGAGTAATGGGTCATTCATAAATTTGTAGTGTACGACTTGAATGAAGGAAAGCGCCAGCAAGAGGATACTTGTGAGAGATGAACATGCTAGGAACCATAAAAAGTAACGGTAGTTGCGTATCCCAACGCAATTATTAAGAAAGACACAATGATGGTCATGATTAACAACACATACATTGCACACAGTGCAATGTGATGCTCTAGGAGGTCTCCATATGTGACAAGTTCCACAGTATTTCACGAGAACTCCAGGGGAGTTGGAAGAAGTCTCACGATTTTTTGTGAATGTAGGAACCACTTGACTTGTTGTATCTTTTGATTTATGTGGGAGTGATATTGAATTTGAATATTCCTCTGGAACCACCTTCGCTATAAACAGATGAGTTACAGGATCCACATTCAATGGGAGATGGATATTTCTCGGTAAGACGCCAGGGTCACAGGTAGATGCCTTGAAGAAGAGAGCTAATGTAACACACCAAAGATAGGTGAATATAATCACTGGTGCAGGAGAAACGTTTTCCCAAACCCATTGCGCCTCGTACACCCAAAAGAGTACTGCTGGAAGAACTATGAGTACACCAGTAATCAAATTCAAGGGCCGTTGCTTGACCGTACGAAGCCTCCCACCACAGAAGTAGAGTGTACGCATATCTTCATGCTTCTGGACCTGATAGTTTTTCTTTGTTGTGTAATTAAGTCCAGGATCAGTGATAAGCCAATTATAAATGAAACGATGAATCAAAGGAGGCAGTGCCGAATTGTCTTGTTCAACATGTTCAATTACGGGAGATAGTACCTCTGGATTGTCTATTTGATCAGTCTGGCTCATCAGGTTTACATCTATTGGTGTTGGCTCAGGCATGATGGGCGCCACCAAAAAAGAACTGCTACATATTTCTCATTTATTCTCCACTATTGATGTTCGCATTTTAGAATTTTGAGTGTAGTAGTCAAATTTCTAAAAGTTTTGTGAATAGGTACATCTACATTAAATATACACTAAGGATATGTTCTCGATAGCCAGATCGAGTGTAGTGGCAAGGCACGGTATTGCCCGTGGTATCACAGTCAATGCCCGTCCTTCGTTTAATAGAGGACTCAAGCTTAATGCAGCACAGTTGGGTGCTGCTAAAGGATGGGGTACAGTCTTCAACATTTTTGCTGGAGCTTATCTTGGAGGGGTTATTGTATGTTGTGGGCTGTTATACTGGCTTTATCAAGATGCAAACGAGCGTCAACCCATACCATTTGAGCTTCGTTTCAAAGATCAAATTACTGCTGTCGAAGCCATCAATAAAGATGATGTCTTGAGAAGTCCTCAATATGCCGTAAAGCATTATAAGAAATTATTAACGGAACTATACTTACAAAACTCCTCGGGGCAAGAATCTTCTGAGGCTACCGATTCAGATGGCTCATCTTCATTTGTTGTGCCAGTTATTCCTGCCGAAGTTCTTCTTAAAGAGAAATCTAATGGATTCGCTAATTTTTATATCGATATTGTATTAAGGTACTCCAGAGCGCTCTTATCACGAGGTCAATCCGATGCATCTGTTACAATGCTTCGTAAGATCATTGACGATGAAGAAATCTTTTACCGCATTGGTAATGCCGAATCTTTGGCTCAAGGTTGTAGAATTCTTTCACGTCTTGAAACCGACCCACATGTTAAAGTGGCTTACTTGATGCATGCTTTGGATATGTTAACCAGAACACATCCAACTTTAAGATATGATAACCATTACATGATCCAAGATAATTCGAGGCTTACCAATGAATTTATCTCTTGTTTGAATGGATTAGCATTTGCATATGCTAAGGCATCGAAATCAGCTCCTAAACGGGAACAACAAGATCTCTTAACTGACTCATTAAACATTTATCTTGCTAACCTTAAAATGATCACATCAGTAGAAGAAAAAATTGCTTCTAATGAATTGTCAGAACGTCATTTCCCTTTGTTTACTGCAGACCCCCTTACTCTTAAAATGTCTATTGCTGAAATTAAAGCTCATATCAGTGAGATCATATGGGCCAAGGGATATAAGCAAAATGCCATTGGTTGGGGCGAAGAAGTGGTAGATGTGGTATTCTACGAGTACAATAACACTAGCCGTGCAGCCCCAATTCTTATTAACACATTACGGAATTTAGTTAATATGTATGGTTCTATGAAAGATACTGTGAATCAAGAACGTTGTCAACGAATGTTGACAGGCTTGGAGATTTATGAACATGACCCACAGCTGTGGCATGATACTACATTAGCCCGTTTTAGTAAAATCATCTACAACAAGGGGCCCTTGGGGATCCTTGAAAAGGCTATCAATGAAAGATATGGAGCTCCAAAACCAGTACCAAATTTGGAAGAATTTGAAGAATTGGATGACTAATAAGAGTATTTAAACAACATTGATGGAAATTTGTATAAATATTCCTTTCTTGACATATACACAAACCATATGTGTATATGAACTTTAAATGGCCATAAGCATCATTGATTCTATTGACTCACGTGACGATCTTCTTCTACCTGTATATAACTTTTTTAAGTATTAATTCGACCAATAAGCGCGACTTCAAGTGTAATTCGTGGGGAGTAGACAAAAACGAGTGCATAGACCTCTCAAATTGTATACACAAATTAAAGATTATCTTTGTCTAGGACAGATAAATCCATTTGCATATCATTTATACATATAACAGCTATCATGTTAGCCTTATCACGTGTGGGATTATCCTCCAGAGCTGCCGTCAGACCAGCCATGCTTATCCGTGGTTTTAAGACTATTCCGCAACCTCCGGGACATATTGTTGGAACTGTCAATGATGCCTACGTTCCCCCACCACCTTCCAAGAGTGCTGGATCTTACCATTGGACCTCCGAAAGAATCGTTGCTGTCGGTATGGTTCCTCTTGTGTTGGCACCATTCCTTACTGGAACCCTGTCAGTTCTCGACTCATCATTAGCAGCTGCTCTTTTGTACCATTGTCATGCCGGATTCCAATCTTGTATCATTGATTATATTCCAAAGAGAGTCTACGGCCCTTACCACAACTATGCCGTTTACTTGTTGACCTTTGGTACCGGTGTTGCCGGTTACGGTTTGTACGAGATCGAGAGCAAGGAGGAGACCGGTCTCTCCACTATTCTTTCCAAGCTCTGGAACGCTTAAGTTGGGTCCACCAGGTGGTGGTAATCATATAGTAGAATACACGAGAAATTAACAAGAATAGTCAAAATATCTAATTTTGGTTGTACTGGATGTAGTTAACGTAGGCGAGCCCCATGGTACTAATCAAAAATAATGTCAATTACAGCACCGAAACTACCCAGAGAGATGGGTATTTTAGTAAAGTGAATATACAGAAAAACGATTGACCTCTTTCATTTAGATTCACATATTTGTTGTTAGGTCAAAGACATTCTATTAAAATTTGGTGAATGTCAAAATCTAAATAATCATACTCTACATCTCAAGCATTCTTGGACTTGTCATTAGCTTTTATTTCTATATACACCTATCCTGTAGGGTTTTCGTTATCATGTCTATTCTTTTCAAATTCTTTTTGTATTGGCATTATGTTCATTTCTAACCATTTCTCCAATTTTGCATAGGATGTTCCTGCATTCCTAGGGATATCTTCTTCGGTCAATACCACTAGTTGTATATCTTCAGAATTATAACAATCACGAAGATGAATTGTCTTCATTACATTTACTCTACTGCCCCAGTCATCGAGCTTAACATCAATTAAACAATCGTCCACCATGCTGAAAAAGATACTTTCAAGTAAATGGCACTCCATTGCACTTGTAAGAGATCCATAATGTTCAATGGCTGTTTGTAATTGATACTTAGATTCCATTTCATCAAGCAGAATTGTTTTACCTTCATGATCTGCAGTCATTGAAAGAATTGTCAACTTTATAAGTTTTAGAAGTAGTTCCTTTTCAAGCTCCAAGAACTTCAGTTTATATTTTAGATAATGTGAATAATTGCCAAATGCAAATAATTCAATGGTATTAAGTAGTCGAATATCAACTGATGGTAAAGATTGTTCTATTTTGGAGTTTCCCACTTGTTTTAAAAGCTGATAGTAGTTGTATTGTGTCTCGTTTTGGAGTTGTCCAATCACATGGTGGTGTATGTCGGACATCGTATACTGTTCAAAAGAGTGTGTTCGGTAATTGAATGATTGAGTGAAACTAATTAATTGCTTTGATTTGCTGTCAGCATGTGTGTAAATAAAATCTCGCAAGAATCCCCGGATTTAAAAGAACAGTTTTCCTTTTAAAATAAAATAAAAAAAAAATAAAAATAAAAATAAAAAAGATCACGTTATCACCCTGTAAGCTCTGGGAACAATTCTTTAATAAGAATGTCAATTGACTTTATGGTCAAAAGTTTGTTTAAATCATGGTATGAAAAGGTTTTTATACTTGACTGGTTTATATGGAATGATACTGAATTCAACTTAATATTATTCATAATTTGTTGAAGTTTCTCATGTTCATTCATATTCTCATTTTCTTTAATTCCATTCTCCTTTGCTCTTTCATTGTCTTCCATTTGTTGTTCCTTATCATCTTCAAATAATCCAATTCTTATACTTTCAACAACAGATGAAATGTTCTTATCCAGATTAATTTCCAGAGATTTCAAATATTGTTGAATTTTATCTCTAACTAAATATTCAATAGTATCCTTCCATCCATGAACGTATGACTTCAATGATAGTAAAGCTCCAACAAGTAGAGGTTTCCTGTTTGAGAAGTTTGTAATTATGTCAAATAATTTGAAGATTGGACTATCATATATTAAATAATTTGAATATTTAAGTGATTTGGTATTATCACTTTTCATTAAAATATTCAGTATAAATCCAACAGTTTCATTATATATTATTGGAATTTTCTTTAAAATCAGACTTTGTTTATCCTTGTTTCCATTATTCTTGTTATTCTTCCTTTCTTTTAATTTGCATAATAGTAAATTAATTCGATTCAATATAAATTCAGGGTCTGATACTTTATTAACAATTTTATATAGAATCAAATCAGATAAAATTGAAATTAGTAATCCTTCAACAATGGGGGAACTAATTGGATTGTTTTTAGAACCATCAAATAAACAATTCAATATATTTTTACAGAGTATTCGGTAATATATCAAATCCCCATCTTGAAACATTATATGTTTAGATACAGTATACGAGTTAATAATAATTTTATCAATAGAATTTGGAAGTTCTTGTTCTTGCTCTTTTTCTTTTTCTTGTTCTTGTACTTCTTGATCAAATTCTTCTTGTCTTGATTCCAATATCTCAAAATCTTTCAAATGTCCATTAAATTGATGTACAAGTTGATTTATAATATCAATTACATCCAAGTCGCCAGATCTTCTAACGATTTCCTTGATTATAAAGCACATATTCGAATATATTTCATTAATAAATTCCATATTATCAATATTTAACTTGTTAATATACCATGATATAACAAACTTATTTAATATTAATGCAATGAAAATATGTAATTCATAATTTGAAAGTGGATAATCTGGTATTAGAACTGGTAAATGTTCCATTAATTGTTTAGATGATACTCTTTTCAATAAATTTTGATTTCTAGGAACGAAAAGTTTACACAAGAGTTTGAATTCGTCACTTTCATTCAATTTATTCTTGTTATGATCTTTTGATCTTTTCTTAATAGTGGAGTTACCATATGAACGACCAAATTGTGCTGAGATTCGTTTCCTATTAGAAATCGAACCAGGTCGTCTCCTTTCCATTTTACTATGATTGATTGAACTACTCTTCAATCTAATATCATATTCTGATTTTTTTTTAGAATATAATTAATTTTGTTATCCATATCAATTCACTCTGCAGGCTTTTAGATCTCTATATATTTTTTTGGGTCTTTTTTCTTCTATATACATCTGTTTCTCTTCATTACATATATCACATCATCATGAGGTTTGTAAGGTTTAATAGTACCTGTACTAAATTCCTACCATTGATAGAAAATTATAAAACTCTTCGTCATATTCATTTCCCCGGTATTACACCATTTAATAAAGGTCAACAAATTCAATCTGCTATAGTTAATGCAAATTTAGATTTTAAGAAACTTGAAGCAAAGATTATTCGTCAACAAAAGGAAATCCAAACTCTGGGCTATTCTTTGCTGGATTATGAAGATGAACTTATAAATAAAGTTCTTAAAATGAAACCTTTCCCAACTTTATTAACTTTTGAATTTGAAAATGTTTATACTGGTGGAAAGAAGTTAAAACAAGATCCAAAACTTGAAGAAAAAATTGCTGGATTTGAAGCATTGGGTTGTAAATATCATCAACTTGAAAGAGGTGGACAAACAACTTGGCATGGTTCAGGTCAATTAGTAGCCTATTTGATTTTAGATCTTAAAAAATTTCAAGATTTAACTGTGAAATGTTTTGTTGATTCTGTTTTACTTCGAGCTATTCAAGTAACCTTAGATAAAAACTTTGGATTAAAAGGTTTATTAAATGAAAATCCAGGTATCTGGATGGCTCCTAATGATCTTAAAATTGCTTCAGTTGGTTGTAACATTCAACGTGCCATTACTTCTTATGGAATTTCTTTGAATGTCAATCCAGATTTGAAATTCTTAAATACTTATACAATGTGTGGTCTTCCAGGTACTCGTGCTACTTCTATTAAAGAAATGGCTCCTGGGTTTGATCCTACTGTAAAAGAGGTATCTTTTGAATATGCCAAAGAAATCGCTAGAAGATTGAATATTGATACTGTTGAGCATATGAGTGGTGAAGAAATGGAGGTGTAAATAAATAATTATATGTAAATAAGGAAATAGATTTAAAGGTATAAAATATGTATAGAAGCATTACGAGACTCTGATATTGTATTAATCTTATTTCTATTACTTTTATTAAACTTATCCCATTAGTCTAATTTAATCGCCATTTTTTCTCCTTTTCTTTTATTTTGGACTGAATACTATTCTGGTGTGCCCTTTACGTCTCACATAGAAGACTTAAGAAGTTAGTTTTTCCACTTTATAATTACTTTATTGCGGAGGTAATGAAGGAATCATACTTAATCTTTGTTGTAAATTTAGTCTTGAAAGACTATATTTAAGCCTTTCCTTTTTGTTTTGTAATAATTTCAACCGTGCAACCTTCAGTTCATCTCCACTACCTTTAACTACTCTCCCTCTGAAGGTCACCCCTCTTCCTATGGAATCTCTCGAACTTCCTTGGAACGTTTCTAATCTGACTTGTTGTAAATCAACTTTACTCACTAAATTCATTTTCTTCCTTTCCAATTTACTAACTTCATTTTGTACTTTGGTTATAATATTGCTTATTTGTGGTTCAACTTCTTTTCTAACATTTTGTTTGGCATTCTCGAGATCCAGCTCAGGAACTAATCCAAATACTTTTGAAATTGAAAGAACTTTTTGTAATCTTGAAAGATCATGAGCTGCCTCGTCAAGAGTTTTAAAGGATTCATCTAAAAGATTGACTGAAGCACTCAATGACTCTACACAGCTAGCAAGGCTATTATATGGAGCCATATTATAATTATGGATTACTTGATGATTCTATTAAATTGGAGATGTATTTTAAGCTTTGTTTATGTTTTTGTTTTAGTGAGGTGTCGATCACGTGATGATATGATTTGATCAATATAAGAAAAAATAGGAATGACATTTTTAATACTTTCTTAGAGTAAGTGGCATATATATATATATATATATTATAATTGAAGTCAATATTGAAATACCATCTTAATCTATTCAATGTACTCTGATTATGAAATTATTAAATATATAATCATTCTTTTAGACTGTCATTGTGTATTCACTACTAAATTCCTCTCACACAGATATCCAGTAATTAAACCTTTTATCTTAAAATAAAAGTCATATTCCCGATTAACCATTCAAGTATCTCTATAGTATACATTCACTTCTCACTTTAAATATAAAAATCAGTTATAAAAATTTTGCAGCAATAAGGTAAGTTAAAGCTTCGATTCTCCCTGTATACGTTCCGTCACATTAACCGAAATAGCACAAAATCAAAAAAAGTTTATGATATGTGGAGGGTTTTGGATATTGTACAACTTTCTTAATCTATGCATGTATTGAACGGAGGCCCAAAAAAAAAAAAAAGAGAATAAAAAGTAGTCAAACAAAGCATGATGATAGATTCACGTCTTAGCATAGAGAAAAAGAATACTCAGATGTCATCACCACAATTAAATGGAGGTCCTAGTAGACCGGTTCTTCTAGGAAGTAATAGCACCAATAGTCTTCACCAACATAGTAATCATAATCAACCACATCATAATCATAATAATCATAATGGAGGACGTAAGAGATCGAATTCAAGATCGCAAGTGGTATCATTACCACAACTTCCTCAATCGAATACATCAAGTAATTCAAATGAACATCCTGATAAAAGATCACAAATGCAATATATTGTAACATTGATCCCATTAAATGATACATTTATCAAAAAGAATTTATTAGTACCATATTTCCCAGAAACTTTAAAGTTAGGTAGACCAGCTGGATCAAAAGTTAAACCGGAAATCAATAATGGATATTTTGATTCTAGAGTTCTTAGTAGAAATCATGCGGCCATATTTGTTGATCCATCAAATGGTAAACTTATGATTAAAGATTTAGGCTCATCAAACGGAACATTTGTAAATGAATTGAAAATTGGACTGGATCCAATTGAATTGAAAATTGGGGATATCATATATTTAGGATTCAATATTGAAGTTGATACAAGTCATAAAAAGATTAGTGCCAAAATTGAAAATATTAATATGATGCCTAATTATTTAAAGACTGGGGATATTTCAACTCTAGTTTTATCATCACCAACTTCTTCAGCCTCTTCAGCTTCCGCTTCTGCATTGGCAAGGTCTAAAGGGGTAGATAGCCCGGAATATAAGCATTATACGTTTATTCAAAGTATATTTAGTAATGCTTCCAATGAACCAAATAATGAACCTCCAATTTCATTTGATAATGCAATCTTTGGCGATATTAACCCAAACTTAGAAGGAAGTCTACTTGGACTTAACCCCAAGGGAGGATGTGGGATATTCAATAATTCTCAAATTACAAATTCAGTAAGTCTTGAACAAACCATAAATTTATTGGCTACAAATCTTAGTAAAGTTAAACAACAGAACTCAACATTAAAATCCCTTGAAGATTTCATATTAAAATATCAATCAAGATTGAATGAAATGAATCAAAATTACATTACAGATCAATTTGAGAAAACTGTACAACAGTACCAACAAAAGATTTCTGAAGAATCTCAATCAACTAATAAGATTAAACTGGAATATGAAAAATATAGAATTAAAAGTAACCTGAAAGTTTCACAATTAGAGAAGGAAATGAAATTATTACAAAGTGAAACTGATTCATTAAAACTGCAACTTAAAGCTAGTAAGCTTGCTATAAGAAATGCAGACATGGAAAGTAGAGATCTCGTTGCAACACAAGCTAGTCTGAATTCAAATTCAAATTCAAACTCGAATGTTTCTAATTCTTTACCACTGCAAGTTATTGCTCAAGAACCTATCCAAGAATCTATAGATATGGAAGTTGGTAGAGAACCACTGAAAATCCAAGCTGTTGGAGTTACACCTCCAGTCTCTGATGAAGAAGAAGAAGATATTCCCTCGCATCAAGGTCAACAAGAAGAAGACCCACAATCTCATAACCAAGTGTCAACTGCACCCGTGGAGAATAATAAAGAAGAGCTGCCATTCCTGGAAAGCTCCACTATTTCGACTGGAACTGACAGGGAAATTGATAATGAAAAATTGAAAACTACTACCACTGACATTCCTATTGAAACAGCTTTAAAACCATTGCTTGGATTTCAACCATTCAATCTAATAATAATTCTGGTTGTTTCGGTTATGATCATATCACTCGTATTATCATTCCTAAATGGCTCTAAATTTACCATTGGGAAATACTCCCCAGAAATTGTTGAGGAATATATTGATTAGAATTCAAACGGGTGAACGCCACTAATGAGATTAACCAGATCATTGTTCAAATTGTTCTCATTTCTAAGATAGGAGCTAAAAAGGTTGTTCTGAATCATCTAAAAAAGAATTACAAGTGTGGTTTGTTGTCATAAGAATAATCTAGAAGCGACACACCAGCAATCCTTATCCTTATTTTCTAAAAGATTATATAAATACATAATTAAAATCACATTAATAATTCTAATAGTTTATCATGTTGGAGTGAAAGAAATGTTTCGCTAGTTTTGCAACCTCTCGGATCGTACCCAATTGGAGGTGTTAATTGTATACCGTATTAAATTGTTATGCAGGATTTTCAGAAACATATGATTTTAAGTTAAACGAACTTTTGAATCAAACCAATACATTTTACTACTTACTACTTTCTAATAAATTGATAATGTTGACAAGGGTAGGACTTTCTGGTCCTCTTGTTTCAAGACAGTTTGGACAAGTAGGTCAAAAGCGGAATTTTTTCCTTACATATGGAATTGCTTCAGTTGTTGGCTCACTCATTTTCAATGAAAATAATCGTTTAGCAGATAAGATGGAAAATGGACAACTTCATTACAAAGATGCCAATTCTGTTTTCAATAGTGCAGCATTGGAAGAGAAGAATAGATTATTCCACAGAGCACCACCTCAATATCCTGGTCATGTCCCTCTCTATGGGTTTGAAAAGGCACTTATGGTTTTAGGACTGTCAATCGGTGCTTATTTCCATCCTGAAAGAAATGAATTCATTGTTGGATTAGGAGAATCGACCGCCATTCCATCAGTATTGAAAAAGTTACAGAAACAAATGTTGGATGATTCAACTGGTCGTAAGATCTTGAGAGAACGTCCAAGGATTACATCTACATCATTAGATTTGGATTACCTTCGTCTGTTACCAGAAAATACTGTAGGTAATACATACATCCGTTGGTTGGATAGAGAAGGGGTCAGTCCAGATACTCGGGTTCCTGTCAAGTATATTGATGATGAAGAATTGGCTTATATTTATCAAAGATATCGTGAATGTCATGATTTCTATCATGCCATTACTGGATTACCAATCATTATTGAAGGGGAAATTGCAGTCAAAGTACTTGAATTTATGAATATTGGTATCCCAATGTCTGGATTGGGGGCTCTTTTCGCTCCCTTAAGATTAAAACCAAGTCAAAAAGATCGTCTTTATAACATATATTACCCATGGGCATTTAAAAGTGGTCTCAATTCAAAGCCATTAATCAATGTTTATTGGGAAAATATTTTGGATCGTGATATCGATGAAGTTAGACGTGAACTTGGTGTTGAACAACCTCCTGATTTACGTAACCTCCGTAAAGATTATTTCGAAAAATTAAAGAAATCTAAAAAGTTATGACCCCATATTAATGAGATATGTTTATAGATAGAATACATATCATGAGAATGAACAAATAGGTATTATGTGTATTTCCATTGTGTATATGAAACTTGTAAAACCGGTTCCCCACTACGCGCATAGTAAATGGTCTACACTCTATGACCTTTATATTTTTTATTTAAAGCAATCTACATATATAATCAATCTACTCTCTACTCACCCTGAAAGATCTTAATATTTTTTTAATGAATATTTTAGACTTTAAATTTCGTATATATTTTATAGGCTGTGTACATGTTAGATGTGACCTTTTATTATTTTCGCGGTGATAGCAAACATTCTACAGCAACAATATCTCAAAACAGATAGTCACAGTGTACCAAATTTTTAAAAGATCGCATATATATGTTGTAATCAAAACATATTCTTGTAAACTAACGTTACATATTTAATCCATATTGAAGTTATGTCGTCTATATTATATCGTTACTTTTTAAAAAAAGTAAGTATTCAAACTATGTATCAGCCGTATCGGAGATATCAAAATTAAAGTGGCCCTATCCTCATGATATACTAACTTCAGACAAATCTTGACAGTGTATTAAAAATTGGACCTGATGAAGATCCATATTTTGAAGAGATTCCAAGTGAAGATTTACATTTTTACCAACGTCAAGGAGCAAAAAGAAAGAGAAAACTGCCACTAATTGTTCCTGCCAAGGATTTGAAAGTCTTGGAATCCGTTAAGCGTAAGGCATATCGATTAGATTTACAATTGAGTATTTGTGGATTAAGATTAGGATGGGCGGCAATTATTGGATTTATCCCATGGGCGGGTACCATTATTTGTGCATTACTTGCCATGCAAGTGGTAAATCGTGCGGGGGATATTGAAGGAGGATTACCTCCAGCCATAAGACTGAAAATGTTGGCCAATGTGACGTTTGATTTTGCCATTGGACTTATTCCAGTAGTTGGTGATTTTATCAACGTTTTGTATCGTTGTAATCTGAGAAATTTTATAATCTTGGAGAAGTATTTGGTGGAAAAGTATACCAGAGAAGCACAGGGATTAAAACCAAGGATGGATAAATTAGAAAGAGAAATTGCATAAATAGGACAGTTTAATAAATAAGAACTATCGGTAATTGAGTTGTTATTATGTACTATAGTTTGATATTTTGATCATTATGGATATAAAAGTAGTACTAGCAGTGGTAGCGATTTAGTAGTATTAAAAAGTTCACTCTTAATTGGCTTAAAAAAGGTCATAAATACAATAAATAACATCCCTAATTATTATTCTATTCCCTATATCTATTTATTTCTTTATTGTACATGATATTTACACATTGATACCTTTGAAAGCAATTTCCAAAACATGTAATCTCTCCTTAAAATCATCAACAAAGTTACTCATTTGGTCTAGCTTCATCAATTCCAATTCAAGTTCATCACAAGATCGAAGAATTGTGTCTACATCTTTCAATTTCTTATCCAATTGTAATTGCTTATCAAGGTATTCAATTTCAATTGTATCCCTTTTACTACAAACTGATTGATATGTAAGTTCTGATAAATTGGTTACATGGTCATTAATCCGGTATAATAAGTAGTCGAATCGGACCGCCAACTCACGAAGACCAAGAGGATCCTCATCTTCTACTTCTGACATGACTCAAAGAAAAAGGAGTCCTACCTACTGATCCTTATTCATATGGCTTGTCCATGTTAACATGTTGCTGCATACAATATTCCATGAGTATTCAATCCCGTTAAATTGAAGTAGGCGCACGACCGAGCATATTGATTAGAACGAAAAGTAACGAATAACGAGAGTGATCAGTAGTTATTTTAATTCCATTTGCTATTCAGGGTTTAGATCAACATGTCGAGCTCATCTTCTAGCTCATACTCGTTGTCAAAGATCAACCCAAAACTTTTACGTAGAATTTGTATGTATTAATTCGAAATTGAGTTGAATCCCGAAGCTCGGGATCGAGGGGTTCTGACCATCATATCTCATTACAGTTTGAAGAGATATTTGAATGATTTAGAATGAATTTTGCTCTTACCAATGACGGCCAAAATTATTGGCTCTCTATGGTATTGCCTGAAGGTGGGGTTTGGAAACAAAACTATCCCATTGGCCTGATGGGTTCAGTGTCCATTGAATTGTTCTCATGACTTTACTTCAACCCCACCCCCTTTCAAGTTACATGGAATTATTCTACAAATTGTGTGGACAAAATTGATAAAGCTCAATGGTTCAATTCACTACTTATATCATTTCCTAAGCCAAATTACTAACAATACAGATAGAGCATGTCGACCAACTCTCAATGAACCTAACTTGTCACTTAATTTAGAAATCTGTGACTACGTCAATGCCAAGCAAGGTTCCACGCCTCGTGAAGCAGCTATTGCAGTTGCTAAGCTTATCTCTCAACGTGACCCCCAAACTTCAGAATTAGCTGTTGCTCTTTTGGATAACCTTGTTAAAAACTGTGGATATCCATTTCAACTTCAAGTTTCTCGTAAGGAATTTTTAAATGAATTAGTTAAAAGATTTCCTGAACGTCCTCCTCCTCGTTATTCTAGAGTTCAACGTTTAGTTCTTGCCCAAATCGAAGAATGGCACCAAACGATTTGCAGAACTTCTAAGTACAAGGAAGATTTTGGATATATTCGAGACATGCACCGGTTATTATCTCATAAGGGATATGTTTTCCCAGAAGTTAAGGTTGAAGATGTTGCAGTTTTAAATCCTTCTGATAATTTACAATCCTTGGAAGAATTACAAAAGGAAGAAGCAATTGTTCATAGTGCTAAATTGCAAGAATTGATTAGAAGAGGACGTCCTCAAGATTTACAAGAAGCTAATAGATTGATGAAAATCATGGCTGGGTTTAAAGATGATAGCACTCGTGAAAACAAAAAGCAAATAACTGATGATTTATCACGATTAAAGAGAAAGGCTGAAATTTTAGCAGAAATGCTTAATAATATTGAAGCAAGTGGAGGAAAAGTTGATGAACTGGAGGCTACAATTGAATTGTATCTGGCAATTAAAAGTTCTCAAAAGAAAATCACCAAGATAATTGAAGAAGAAAATTCTAGTGAATCCACTGAATCAGTTGGTGAATTGTTAGGTTTGAATGATATAATTAATTCTGTCATTCTGAAATTTGAATTATTAAAGGCTGGAGATATTGAGCTGGCTTCAAAGGTTGTCATTGGTGGAAGCACCAATTCAACTGGTGGTGCTGAACTTAATTTGATTGATTTCGATGATGATGAACCAGTTGGTGGAGAAAAGGATCAATCTGGTTATAATGATTTATTGAGTGACTTATCAAACCTTGCGTTTACATCTGACTATTCAAACTCCGCAGGAAATAATGTCAACAATCCTACAAATTTGTTTGGTTCAGGTGGTTCAATCTCACTTGGAAACTCCTTGGGTCAAAATTTTAAACAACCTCAACCACAAAAGAGTGTGAATCTGACTTCTTCAAACTTTGATCTTTTGGCTGATTTAAATTCTCCCTCCCCTCAACTTCAATCAAATACGCAAGCATCTGCTGCTGCATCCAATTCTTTAGATCCATTTGGATTCAATTTCCCATCCTCAACCCCTTCTCAAGTGCAAACATCATCATTTACTTCCCCAAATTCTAGTACTTCTCCTTCAAAAACTATCCCAATTAATCAGTCTGCAGTTCTCAAGATTGAATTTGATTTGGCTGGTGACGATACTAACGTGATTGGTAAGGCTAGATTTTCCAATGTTCAATCACAACCCCTTAATCAATTTAAATTTCTTATTGCTGTTCCAAAATCATGTCGTTTAACTTTGAAGCCACAATCAAGTGACGTTTTATATGGATATGGAGGTCAAACTATTACTCAAGAATTCTCAATTGAAAATAGTTTACAAAAACAACTCAAAGTGAAATGGAAGGCTGAATATGTCTTGGCAGGTGAAAAGAGGGAAGAAACTGGTGTAAGTGTTTTGGCTTAAGAATGAATTTAGAGACATTTGGTTTAACCAAATAATATTTAGGGCCACTGTGTGGCTCCCTTAGCTTTGAGAAGATAGTTTCAGTAGATATAAACTTTGTATTAAAAATCATTAAATTGTGAATTAGAAAAGAATGTATTAAAATTTTTATCTCTTTTTCAAGTTTTCAATCCATGGGTAGTAATGAAATGGTTTCATTTATTATGCTACAATGCAAAGTTAAAAAAGAACTTATATTGAATCCAACCAGTAGAAATAAAAGAATGTGAAAGATAATTAACAAATAGTCTTAAGGCTTAACCAAAGAGTCACTAATAACTAAAATGATACCATTGTCAACAAATATAGTATCAAGAACTTTGTTCGAGTTGACAAATGTTTCCCCGTTGATCCGCGAGAATTGTACGGAATTCTTATTGAAAGAATGGGTAGTCAACTCCAAATCTTCATTAGAGTTTAAGAATACTGGCCAATCTTTAACTTCACCATTAGTTGGAATTATATGAGATTGTACAAATGAGCTAAGATTGGATGCGATGTTTTCATCTTCATTTGCACCATCAACCGGTAATGGGAATTCCCAAGGTTTTAAGCCCCCGAGGTTGTGAGAAATAGCATGATCGGTAGGTGCTACAACCACAAGGAAATCTTGAAGGTCATCTGTAGCAAGAGCAATCTTCTTTTGGTCTCTGATATAATTAGCAAAAATAGAGATATCTTTATTTTGAGCCAAGGCAGTTTGAAGCAAGATAGATTCAGGTTCAGTAAGTTTCTCTTCTTCATGGGCCATCAAGACTCCTTGAACGTTTTTCCCCATGATTTCTTGAATTTGCTCTGGAGTTGACTCTTCGAGTAAAGAAACAAATTGTTCAACTGACAATCCTCTTTTAGCAGCATGGACTCCAAATTCCTTCTCGAAAGCCTGTCTGAACTTGTCGAGATTGGCAACGTTCTTGGCTGATACTAAAGCTAGCAAGGAAAGGGTGAATAAGGTTGTAACTTTCATATTAATGATCACAGTGATTTAAATAGTGTGGTAAATTAATAACTACAAAAATGAATGATAGCAAAAAGATACCAAAAATTCGCGAAAATGCGCAGTACTCGAGCGGGTAAAAGGGGTATATTGTTTTGAAATAATATTGAAAAGGCGGGGGATTATGGTCTAAGAAATAGAATAGTAGCTTCTATAAGGATAAACGATTAGGCATAGTTCACTTCATCCGACTACCAAGGAATGGTCATCAGAAGGAATGAGCTGGCTATGTGGACTATCTAACTAACAATCGATACTATGCTGCAAAAGAGAATACCGAGAACTGTATCTATATAAGAACTATGCTTCAATAAATTAGATAGGTATATTCTAATTAATATTTATAGGTCATTTAATCCAAATCATTTGTAATGTCTATTTTATTCAAACTAGACCTTAACTTCTCTCAATACGCCTACCAAGAATTGCAAATTCAATAAAGACCCTATCATAGAGATAAACCTTTAGTTATATACAATATTTTAAGACAATTTCCATTTCTACTTTCTACAATTCCAATTGGAAATAAATTAATAATTAAATGTATTCAAGACTAGCATGAGAGAAAATAAAAGTTACAATGTGAAAACAAAAAGGGCGCCAAAGCGTCCAACCTTTTGGAAAAAGTAGTCAACGCAATGGCAGCTTTTATAGCGCACCTAGTAGAAGGCAACACCGACGGCCATGAAAGAAGCAATGAGAGCAGTCAATCTAGAAGCAGCGTTGGAGCTACCATCGTTCTTCTTGGAAGAAGAAGTATGGGTGGAGGTGGCACTGGAGGAAGAGGAAGAACCAGTTTCAGAGGAAGAGTCGGAAGCAATCTTGGTACCGGAAGAGGAGGTAGAGTCCTTAGCACCGGAACAGAGTTCGTTACCTTCAACAGTGAATTTGTTAGCCTTGTCAAAAGCAGAACAAGACAATTCACCAGTAGAGGTCAAGTTGAAACCACCAGAAACTCTGTTCAAAGAGTCAAAGGTACCGTTGTTGAACTTACCATCCAAAGTTACAGTACCAGCAATGGTGGTCAAGTTTGGGAAACCGTCAAAGTTGGACAATTGAGAGTTGTCCAGGATGACAAGAGCACCACCAAGCTTGGTAAGTGCTGGGAAGTCAAGTTCTTCCAAGTTATCGTTCTTGTTAATGGTAAGAGACTTTCCGATAGAGGTAAGCTTCTTGAATTCAATCTTGTCAATAGAGTTGGAAGTCAAGGTAAGAGAGTCATTAACAGAGGTCAAGTTAGCAGCAGAAAGGGAGTTAATGGATTGGAAGTAAACTTGGTTAGCGGTAGTCAACTTGTCCAATGAAACATCAACCTTTTCGGCGTTGTAAGAAATGGAGATCAAGTTAGTGACGGATTGAAGACCAGAGTCAATAGTTTCAATGTCCTTGTTGTTGTTAACGTTGAAAATAGCCAATTCGTAAACATTGATACCTTCCAAAGAGATCAAAGCAGTGTCGGAAACGGTAATGTTTTCAGCGGAGGTGATACCGGCAGTTAAACCAGTCTTTTCCAAAGCTGGTAAAGCGTTAAGAACAAGAGTACCAACAGTGGTCAATTGAGCCAAGTTCAAAGTGGCCAAAATGGTGTTACCGTCAAGGTTCAAAGTACCAGAGACAAGTTGAAGAGTTGGAGCGTTCAAGACGACGGCTTGGGTAGCGTTAATAATGTCAAGAGAACCGTAGATTTGTTCAACACCGGTCAATTCAACATTACCGAAGGCTGGACCATAGATAGTGATGTCACCAACAGCGGTGGCACAGGCAGCGACTTGAGCAACTTCATCGGAAGCAGTGGCGGTGAAGTCTGAGAAGGAACAAGCCTTGGTGACTGCTGGGGTGGCAGTGGTTAAAGTGGAGTCTAGAATTAATTAGTATGATATTCAAGATTGTTCGTCTTTGACGAGGAGAGAGAAAGAGAGGGGGGTGTGGGGGATAATCAAAGAGCAATCAAACAATTCTCGAACAATTCTGGGCCAAATTAATGACAAGAAGAATAAAGGACATTTGAAGTATCAATAGCTCGTATGAGAGTCTTTCTTCTATACATTTCCAAATATGATATGTAGAACATACTACCAAGAGTTGCTTTGACAATCAATAGACGAAAACACCACAGAAGAAATAATCCTCAACTAACAAGGCTTCAAGTTATTGGCTCGAGCAGGTGGGTACTAGGAGCACACTTGACCCTCCAATAGGTCATAAAGGGCTTTATTCTTAAAGGATCATAAAAATTGGGCAAGAATTCTTCGAGGGGGGGAATTTTTATATCCCTCAATCGAGTTAAAGATTAGACGATCACCATGATGATTATTGATACATACTGTTACTGGTGTTGGCAGCGAGAGTGGAGCCGGCGAGGGCGGCAACAGCCAAAACGTTCCTGAATTGCATTGTGAGAGTGACTAGCGAAAGGAAGTAGTAAACGGATCAAAACAAAAAAAAAATAGTCCTTTGAATCAGAGAAAGGGGCGCCGTATTTATGGAAATTACGCCTCGAGGGTGAAAATTTTGGCCCGACGAAATCCGAGGGTCCTGTATGCGCATTATTGTGGTGGTTTTATTACATTTTGGAGAACAAAACCGCTGATTTCCGGGGGTTGCGAGTTAGAGTGCGGCGACCAGCCAGCCATCATAAGATAATAATATGATCTGAATGATCCAGGGTCTTGTCATGTGTATTGTGGGGATGAAAAAAGAGCTATTGTGTTCACATTAATAAGAGGAGTAGGAGTAGAGGGTATGCAAATCCACCCCTAAGTACGACTGTTATATTATCTGAAGTATAAAATACATTTTATAGTAGACTGTGAGACGTGCGTGTAGAGAACTGGAGAATGTAAAAGGTCAACCACTATAAACCATGAATTACTTCCTTATACTACTTGAATCTAATATTAGATAGAAACACTCTCTATGTCCATACTTATATCGATGATGTATGACTGCTAAACTCTACCTTCAGATCTATAAATATTATTTTCTAACCCAATTCAAATACAATCTCCCCTTTTTCTTACATACCTAATGGAACCTAAATTAAACTAAACAACCTACAACCTACCGTGTCAATATCCCCCAAATCGAACGTGCTGCTCCAGGGTCTATTTGCTATGTCTTGGCGTATTCATCCCAAGTATATATTCATTATGTATACCCTTTGAAACGATGTGAGTTCTTTCTCGTCGTCTACCTTTTTAGGTAATTAGTCAACAAAAATAATCCATCGCACAGATATTATTCGAGTATATAATCAACAAACTGCTGGTGTTGCTGTCACGAATGCTTGTTTGAACCTGCAGATATGATGATACATGGTTCCATAGTGGGGAATTACAATAAATGTTCATCCACTCGAGGCTATGTTGTTAATTCCGGTCTAACACTTTACCCTCGGAAATCACACCTGTCAAATGAGGGATCTTTCCCGTGTGTGTTGAGGATATGCAAAAAATATGTACATACGATTGTTTATTTATTATTTCCACTAATTCTTTCTGACGACTATTGTGCGTGATAAGATATGCATCATCCTATATTGAGAATTGTATCCATTCTAATCTCCTTCAAGTTCTGGAATAGAGGACACTCATTCCGCAAAGCTTGTATTAAAGCTTAAAAGTTTTTCTTTATTATTTTTTACTCTGATTCAAATAATCCGGACGCAGAGTTTCCAATTATAGAATACCTTTTGGGAAAGTTGCGCTATTTAGAAATCGGCGAACCAGTTAAAAAAGTTCGAGAGTAAGTCGTGATTTCCGGGATCCGTCGTTTTTGTGATGCATATTTCAATGGTACAATGTGTACAGAACATAGATAGATTACCTAAGAACGCATTAACACGTGCACTTCCTGATTGAGTAAAAATTCATGAAATCCGGCCGACAAGCCCCAAAAGCTCTCTTGTTACATTTCCTTCGGTTGAAACATAATCTTAGAGACTAGAATCGCACGTTTTAAATCGCCATATTAGATAAGGACATAGAAATTTCTTTTTCAAAGAAAAAGCTTATCATCTGTATGTATCTCTGTAGAATAATTATTTTAAAACATTATTGAAATGGCAACTAACTCTTCTGCAATAAACTACACTCCTTCATTCTACTTCTGTTGTTTTGTAAATACAATTTTATAATTTTAACATATATAAATCTAAGCTTTGTCAGCCAATTCTTCCAACAACTTAAAGTTACGTTGTTCGATAGAACCATTGCCTGGAAGTCTAGTAGAACCAATCAAGTAGTTATCAACTTCTCTAGCACATTGTCTACCTTCTTGGATACCCCAAACAACCAAAGATTGACCTCTTCTACAGTCACCAGCAGTAAACAAGTTTTCGTCATTCACACGGTAACTTGAAGGTTCAACAGTGGTAATAGTACCTCTCTTAGTCTTTTCAACCTCAAGGTTATCAGCATCAGGACCAAGGAAACCCATAGACAACAAAACAACGTCAGCAGCAAAGAATTCTTCACTGCCTGGAACTTCGGCCATTTGCCATGCTCCAGAATCAGAACGCTTCCATTCAACTCTGACAGTCTTGATACCCTTGACATTACCTTCACCATCGGAAACGAATTCCTTGGACAAAATAGAGTATTCTCTTGGATCCTTACCATAGTGTGCAGCGACTTCAGTATGACCGTAATCAACTCTGAACACTCTTGGCCATTGTGGCCATGGGTTATCCTTTGGTCTAGCATTTGGTGGAGTTGGTAATAACTCGAAGTTAGTAACAGACTTAGCACCGTGTCTAGTAGAAGTACCCAAACAATCGTTACCAGTGTCACCACCACCAATAACAATAACGTCCTTTCCTTCCAAAGTCTTGCGGACTTCCTCTAATTCACTGTCCAACAAGGCCTTGGTGTTCTTGTGGAGCAATTGCATAGCAAAGTTAATGTTGTTCAATTCACGACCTGGAATCTTCAAATCTCTTGGAATAGTAGATCCAACAGCAAAGACAACAGCATCATTGGAAGCCTTCAATTCTGAAACAGTAATGTCTTCACCAATAGTAGTATTGCAGACGAACTTGATACCTTCAGCAGCCAACAAGTCAGTTCTACGCTTGACAATACCTTTATCCAACTTCATGTTAGGGATACCGTACATCAATAAACCACCAGGTCTGTCACTTCTTTCGTAAACAGTAACCAGGTGACCTGCACGGTTCAATTGGTCAGCAGTAGCCAAACCAGCTGGACCAGATCCAATAACAGCGACAGTCTTACCTGTTCTAACAGTTGGAGGGTTAGGCTTAATCCAACCTTGTTCAAAACCGTGGTCAATAATAGCACATTCAACGGACTTGATGTTGACTGGGTCTTCGTTAATACCCAAGACACAAGCACCGTTACATGGAGCTGGACAAATTCTACCAGTAAATTCTGGGAAGTTATTGGTCATCATCAAACGTTGAAGAGCATCATACCAACGGTCTTGGAAAACTAACTCATTCCACTTAGGAATAACGTTAGAAATAGGACAACCAGTATCGGAAGTACAGAATGGGACACCACAATCCATACATCTGGCTGTTTCATACTTCAATTCATCCTTGGAGAGTCTCAGAGTCATTTCATTCCAATCGTTGGTTCTTTCCTTGGCTGGTCTGTACTTTTCATTTCTACGCTTGTACTTCATGAAACCCTTAACCTTGTCAAGTTTGGCCACAGCCTTCTTTTCCAAGGTGATATCAGTGATGGTATCTTCAAGATCTAAAACCTTTGGTTCAGCCTTGGAAGGACGGTGAATGTGGCCCTTCTTAATCTTAGCAGCTTCACCGTTTGTAACATCAGCTTCTGGATCTTCCTTGATAGCCTTCAAGAAGGAGTTCAATTCATTCTTCTTGGCTTCAGCCTTCTTAGCCTTTTCGGTTTCAAGAACCTTCTTGTAGTCGTAAGGTAAAACCTTAACGAAACGTGGCAAGATACGGTTAAAGTCATTCAAAATGTTGTCGGCAATAGCAGACTTGGTGTAATGACGGTGGTCTTCAATCAAACCACGGAGGAAAGCAATTTCTTCGGTCTCGGTAACTTGAGACAATTCAACAGTGGTTTGGTTACACTTGTCTGCGAAGTCTTGAGCCATGTCAAGAACATAAGCGATACCACCCAACATACCAGCGGCAAAGTTACGACCAGTTGAACCCAAAATAACGACTCTACCACCAGACATGTACTCACAACCATGGTCACCAGTACCTTCTGCGACAATAGTAGCACCGGAGTTTCTAACAGCGAATCTTTCGGCGGCAATACCTCTAACGAAAGCAGTACCAGAAGTAGAGCCAAAGAAAGCAGTGTTACCAGCAATGATTTGGTCTTCAGCCTTAAACTTAGATGCGGTTGGTGGGTAGACGATAATACGACCACCACTCAAACCCTTACCAATGTAATCATTGGCGTCACCTTCTAATTCCAAGGTGATACCTGGAGCCAAAAAGGCACCGAAAGATTGACCTGCAGAACCCTTGGCATTGACATGAATAGTATCATGAGGTAAACCAACTTCACCAAAGATCTTTGAAACACGGTAGGACAAAGTAGTACCAACGGAACGGTCAGTGTTTACAACGTCACACTCGATAGTGACTGGTAATCCCTTAGCTAAGGTCAATTCAGACTCATCGATAAGCTTGTTGTCAATTCTGATGTGCAACTTGTGGTCTTGCTTACGGACACAGTGAGTGTCAACACCAGGACGAATAGTATGAGCTGGAGTCAAAATTGGAGACAAATCAAGGTTAGCAGTCTTTGTGTTTCTCAAATCATCTCTAACTCTCAACTTTTCGGCACGACCCACCATCTCAGCGATGGTACGGAAACCCAATTGAGCCATAATGGCACGCAAATCTTGGGCCAAGTAGTAGAAGAAGTTAATAACAGATTCTGGAGTACCCTTGAACTTCTTTCTCAACTCTGGGTCTTGGGTGGCAATACCAACAGCACAAGTGTTCAAATGACAACGTCTAAGCATGATACAACCCATAGCAATCAATGGAGTAGTAGCAAAACCCCATTCTTCAGCACCTAACAAACAAGCAACAGCGATATCTCTTCCGGTACGGATTTGACCATCAGTTTGCAAGACAACACGACCTCTCAAATCGTTCAAAACAAGAGTTTGATGGGATTCAGCCAAACCAAGTTCCCATGGCAAACCAGCGTACTTAATAGAAGTCCACTTGGCGGCACCAGTACCACCATCACCACCAGAAACCAAAATATTTTCGGAACCAGCCTTGGCGACACCAGCAGCGACAATACCAACACCAACTTCAGAAACAAGCTTAACAGAAGTTCTGGCTCTTGGATTGGCACACTTCAAGTCGTACAACAATTGTTTCAAATCTTCAATGGAATAAATATCATGATGTGGTGGTGGGGAAATCAAACCAACACCTGGAGTAGAGTGTCTAGTCTTACCAATTTCTGGAGAGACTTTTTCACCAGGTAATTCACCACCTTCACCAGGCTTAGCACCTTGAGCCATCTTAATTTGTAATTCATCAGCATCAGACAAGTAGTGAGAAGTAACACCGAAACGACCAGAAGCAATTTGCTTGATAGCAGATCTCATGGTGTCACCGTTTTCATTTACAGTGGAACGGGCAGCATCTTCACCACCTTCACCAGTGTTAGACTTACCACCCAAACGGTTCATGGCAACAGCAATGGTAGAATGGGCTTCCATAGAAATGGAACCATAAGACATGGCACCGGTAAAGAAACGACGAACGATTTCTGTCCATGGTTCAACTTGATCAATTGGAACAGCTTGGGAGTTTTCATAATCAAAGTCAAGCATACCTCTCAAGGTACAGTTCTTAATAGCTTCGTATTCCTTCTTGGCATAAGCATCATAAGCCTTTTCATTCTTGTTACGAACAGCATCTTGAATAGAAGCAATGGCAGATGGATCATTGATATGGGCATCTCCACCATCTCTCCAGTGATATTCACCGGTTTCGGATAAACCAGCTGGCTTGGTGGTGCTTCTGTCTGGGTAACCACGTTCATGCATGGAGAAGGCGTCCTGCGCAATGTACTCAAAAGTGACACCCTTAATACGAGATGCAGTTCCAGCAAAACAACGGTCAATAACAGAGTTATCAACACCCAAAGCTTCGAAAATTTGAGCACCCTTGTAAGAGGCTAAAGTGGAAATACCCATCTTAGACATAACCTTCAAAATACCAGCATCGACAGCATACTTATAGTTCTTGAAAATATCTTTGTTGGCAATTTCTTTCTTGAATAAGTTTTCATTGTTCATTCTAACCAAAGTTTCAATGGCCAAGTAAGGGTTGATACCATCAGCACCGTAACCTACGAGACAACAGACGTGGTGGACTTCTCTAGCTTCAGCGGTTTCGACAAGAATGGCAACCTTGGCACGTTGCTTTTGTCTAACCAAATGGTGATGAACGGCACCAGTAGCAAGCAAGGCAGAAATTGGTAATCTGTCAGCACTGGTGGCACGGTCGGTCAAAATAATAATTTGGTTGTCATCGGCAAGAGCCTTCAGAGCATCCTGACAAACACGATCAATGGTTTCGATATATCCTGGAATACCTTGCAGCTTTTCAAAAGTGATATCAATTTCAGCAACAGACCACTTTGGATAAACCTTTTCAATGTTCTTGAGGGCAGTCAATTCTTGGGTAGACAAGACTGGAGACTTCAATAACAAACGGTTACATTGGTCTGGCTTCATTTCCAAAAGGTTACCTTGAGGTCCAACGTAACATTCTAAGGACATGACAATCTCTTCACGAATAGGATCGATAGGAGGGTTGGTAACTTGGGCAAAAAGTTGACGGAAGTAGTCATACAAAAGCTTTGGTTGTTCAGAAATACAAGCTAATGCATTGTCATTACCCATAGAACCAAGAGCTTCCTTACCTTCGGCCATTGGTGCTAAAATAAGAGAAACTTGTTCATGGGAGTAACCAAATGCGGAAAGACGTGCATCAGTTTGAACAGTGACATCAGAAGGAACTTGAGAGAGTTCAACGTCCAAGTCAACGCCCCTGGCAGTCAACTTAGCGTTCAAGTCGTTCATTTCAATCATGTTAGCCATAACCCAAGACTTAAAGTCGAATCTAGAAGCAACATTCTTCTTTAATTCACGGTCATCGACAATACGACCTTCCTTGGTATCAACAAGCAACATTCTACCTGGTTGCAAACGTCCCTTTTGCAAAATCTTTTCAGGTTCAACATCAATGACACCGACTTCAGAAGCACAAATCATTCTGTCGTCATCAGTAATGTAGTAACGACAAGGTCTTAAACCGTTACGGTCCAAGTTAGCACCACAGTAACGACCATCGGCAAAGGTGAATAATGCAGGACCATCCCAAGGTTCCATCAACATGGCAGCCCATTCGTAAAAGGCTCTTTTCTTTGGGTCAATGTTCTTGTCATTTTGCCAAGCTTCTGGAATCAACATCATAACGGCTTCTGGTAAAGACAAGACACCATTAATGACAAGTAATTCCAAAACGTTATCAAAGGCTGCAGAATCAGAACCACCTTCTTCAATGATTGGATACAATTTGTCCAATTCTTCGCCAAATAATTTGGAAGACATAACACCTTCCTTGGCACGCATCCAGTTCTTGTTACCACGTAAAGTGTTAATTTCACCGTTATGTGCGGCCCATCTAAGTGGCTGAGCTCTATCCCAAGATGGGAAAGTATTTGTGGAGAAACGGGAATGGACAAGAGCAAAATGAGCTTCAAATTCAGAGTTTACCAAATCATGGTAGTAAGCGTAAACTTGGTTAGGGGCCAATTGACCCTTGTATACAATGGTCTTGTTAGATAATGAACAAATGTAAAACCAATTGTGCAATCCAATGGTGTGGGTAGATTGCTTTCTCAAGATAAACATCTTTTTTTCAAAATCACGTTGATATTTGGATTCGAATTCAGCTTCAGAAATTTCATTAGCTGGAGATGATCCAGATCCAAAAGTTTCAGCCAACACAATGGCTGGTTGCAAAATCAAAGGTTCTCTAGAAAGAGAAGCAGGACCTAAAATTGAAGAATCATGTGGAACTTTACGCCATCCCAAAACACGTAAGCCTAAAGAAGTGGCAATACTTTCAAATGTCTTTTTAGATTTTTCAAAAATGGCTTCATCCTTCTTGAAAAAGACGTTACCAGTACCATATTGGCCCAAAGCTGGTAAATCAACTTGACAATGGTAAGCAAATTCACGCACCAAAAACTTATGAGGTAAAGAGGATAACAACCCAGCACCATCCCCATCTTTTGGGTTCAATTCACCACCTCTGTGTGTCATATTACACAACAAGTTTCTACAGTCAGAGACAATTTTGTGGGACGCCTGGCCCTTGATGTGACATGTGAAACCGACACCACATGCATCTTTTTCATACTCTGGGTTGTATAAACCCTTTGGAGTGGGCAAAGTGGAAGCCCATGACTTGTTTTCTGGTGTTTCATCATAGTTGTAGATATTGGTTGCGAACTCTTCCTGTGGAAGGTAGGAGGTCATTCTAGCTGTATGTTTTGTTAGTATAAACAAGATGAAAATGAAAAAGAATGCGCTGTTCTAGTTAAATCCGACGAATTTTTGCTTGGTAGATTTTTTAGAATCAATGTGCGGCTTTACATGATTTTGAATCACTTTGCGCGCCCGATTCCGGCCAATAAGAGAATAGCTCAAGGTCACCAAGCCTCTAAAAAATCAATTCGTTTGTATATCTAAAGTGTTCATTTCAGATAATGGTCATCGTTAACAATGGGAAAACTCGAGCCATCTGGATCGCTATTTGAACATTGCAAAAAAAAAACATGTACTCACCTAAAATTAATCTTTCTCCGTTTATAGTTTTGTCTGAACTTCTTTTTTTTTAAAATATTTTATACACGCCCGGAACCTTCAAGTTTTAATCTCTTTCTAACCTGGAAAGAAACAATACAAGAATAGTAAAAGAGTAGACAAAAACCTAGAGATGAAAGAGAATAAGAAGAAGAATTGTATTGGAAAAAAATTTTCTTGATTACTTTTCACAATCAAATACAACACCCCCGCCAATTCAATCGAAACTGCATAGCTTTCCCCTTTAAGGCCGAGTGCGATTCTGATTCCATGCGTATTGTGCAGTACCCTGGAACCAAGAGCTAAGGAATTGGCCAATCACAATTCGCACTCCTAGTCTTATCTTTCAGTTATGGTAACAATTTTGTGTAAAATTGTTCCAGATACGCCCTCTTGAACCAATTACGGCCGCGAAGAAGGTGCTTATTCAACAGTAACCTGCAATAATTTCGGCCCGGTGGAGACACATGTGAGAGGGGAAAATAATGTACAGAAAAAAATTGAGTCATACCAGTGGCCCGGTTAGAGTATATTTGTCGGATATATGCGAGATAGAATAAGAGGAAGTACATAGTAAGACAATAGATCAATATGTTATCGGTTATTTTTTTTTTATGCTAGACTGATGGTACCTTGATTATTTATAATAGAAGAGACATCAATATATTCTATTTATTGTTCCCATAGTAATTATGTGTATATAGTGTTCATACGTCATGAACTGTATATGACGCTCCTAGGTTGTATTTTTTCGCTCTTTATCGGTATCTCTTTCTTTAAGAATTCCGCACTGTATCCATGAAAATATATTTTCCGTAAGTATCCGTAGGCAGGTTGCAATTGGAAATTTACTAAATTTTATGAATCAAGAAGTACTTTTAAGGGGTATAGAAGACTGTCTTTTTGATGGGCGTAGCATTTAGTGTGTGACAAGTAATTCTCATGATTTTTTAACTACAATAAGGAAAATGAGGTTGAGGGAAGTTTTTGCCTTTTTGGGTAAACCATTAAACATATAGACTCAAATACTCCTATTTTAAGCATATAATGTGCTAAAAAGAGTATTTACGAGAGAATTTCTCGTTGCAACTTCGTTGGTAACCTGAAATCTTTAACTTTGTAATTACTTAAAGTTGCAACCTTCTCAAGAAAGAAATCTTCTCCCCTGATTTCTTTGTCAACTCTTTGTAGTTAAATAGCACCTAACATGAGTCCTACCTTTTTGTTTGTATTCAGCATTAATTATTCATAGTAATCTTAATACGCACCGCAATTTTGTATTGGTATAGATTAATTCTAAACCCCACAGTGCTTAAATCCCCTATTCTTTTTTCAATTTCTCAGTCACATTTTATAGACAAGTTTGAATGGATTAAAAAATGATATTGGTCATATTCTTTTCTCCTATCTACTCTCTTGCACAAGCTCTCACTTATAACTTCCATAAATACTTCCCCACTAATCAATTTATTTCAGTACGATAAATAATTTGTAGATTTTTGGTACAGTTTCTAGTACAAGTTTTATTCTTTGGGTGTATGGGTTGTGATGTTCCAAAAAGATATGTAGTTTTTTTTTTTTATATATAGTTACACTTTTTAGCTCAAGTTGACTTGTTTAAATGTAAATAATATTGCTCATTTGATCAACATAGAGAGTGTATCGTATCAAGAGCTTCTGAAGATGGCAAATTTTCATTTTTAATTAATTTATTTTCCACTGAGGCAGAATTTTTTTAAAATATATATTTGTAGAACTTTTTATTTAAATTAATGTACGATTTAAGTGGTAAATCATAAATAGCCAAATTATCTAATAAACAAATCTTTCATCAAGTATACCAAGAGATATCATAGTTAAGAACTAACTGCAATGATATTTATACCAGAAAGTCTTATAAAAAGATAGGAACTGAGACTTAGAAGATTCACCAAGCTAGTAAATGACACATCCATAGACATACACGATGTATAATCTTTACCTTTATATCTCCCTTATTCTCTACAACTTCTCTGAACTCACTTTTTCCTAGAGCATTCGTTAAATATAATTTGGTGAATTAAACAGATTTTTCATCAATCGTTTGGTTCCTCGCCATAAACCTAATGTTAATTTCTCTTTCAACAGAATCCTTTTTATCTCAACCACCTATATAGAGCCAACAAATCCTTAAATATACAAATGCATATACTTTAATCTTACTACCATCTCTATAACCTTTGGTGCTTGTTCTTGATGCCAATTTTGCAGCCTGATCAATTCTTACCTGCAGAGCCTCATCCCACCTCTTTGTGTCATTTTGTAAATCTAATGCTAAAGGTGTGTAGTAAATATTAAACATACAAGTAGTCCATTTGCTAGTATATTTTATAGACTTTAACCAACCATGTCATCAATGGAGGTAGATCAAGAGGGTAGTTCAGCCCAACTAGGATTCCGTCAGATGGCTTTCCCTCCTGATGTTTTGGCCAGAATAGCGCCTGATGTATCACTTCAAAGACATCTTGCCATAGGTCTTAGACCATCTCTTCGTGGATTTAATGAATTTAAACCAGTAGAAATCTCCGAAGGTGGTCTTAACGCCAGTGGACAGAATACCGTGGCTGGACTGGCCATTGTGAAAAGTGGAGATACACGTGTAGTATGTGGTATTACCCTTGGTGTTGTGGAGGAAAATACCGTTGATCAACTCTTGGAGAATGAGGCAACAAACCAAGAAACAGATGGAAGCCTCTCCAATTACACTTCTGTATACCCAGTAGTTGAGATTGCACGTGGACGTTCTGGAGCACCTACAGATGAGGAAATGATCCTTTCACAAAAACTTTACGAAACTATACTACACAATCGTTTGGTCCACCAAGACGACCTTAAGATCATCGTTGGTACCCTGGTGGACGGAGAAGTGATCTATCCAGACAGCAGCTCCCCACTTCTTGACTCAGATCTTGGTGAATTAATCTCAAAGCCAAAGAAAAACTGGTCGTACGTTTTATATGCCCACATTAAAGTATTCTCTCGTGCAGGCCCACTCTTTGACTTGTGCTACTCCGCCCTTGTGAACGCTTTACAAAACACACGTTTACCAAGAGCCTTTGTTGATGACAAGGCTACTGACATCAAGATACCTGTACGTAGTCGTGGAAATTTCGGTCACTTGAAGGAATCATACAACTTACTTCTTGACCAAACCATTCTGGCCTCGTTGCCAGTCCATGGACGTTTACTGTCTTCCAGTTTCGGTGTAGTAAGCTACGAAGCTGAAGATTCAAACGAGCCGGTCTCCATCTTACTTGCAGATCTCGAAGGTGAGGCAGAGGAATCTTGCGCAGAATCCAAAATAAACGTAATTGCATCAAATGACGGTGAGCTTAGACATGTCAGCATTGTTGGTGGAGGTGCACTCATTACCAAGCAAGTTTTGAAAGATGCTCTTGATATTTCACGCATGAGGGGAAGTAATTAGGTAGGTTTACGTATTAATGCATATAAAGTTCTAGTAGTATTATAATCTATATTAGCTCCATATCTAGGAAAACAAGTGAAGAAAAGATCTTGGTACGGAGAACAAATGGCACGGGGTGTAGTAATTACATCTACCAGATTTTCACTCGATTGGATGTGATTGATTTTCACCGGGAACCTCATCCTCCAACGGAACAGGCTCACTTTGGATAGAATTGCTGGGCACATCGCTCGAGGAATTTTCATCGCTTGAACCAAGTGGAGAGTTCAATACACTCTCAACTGTCGAATTAGATGGGCGGATACCCACAGGTCGATTATCCCGGGTAATAAGTCGTTGCTTGCGGTGTAAGGCACTATTGATATCTTCATTGCGTAACTCACTTGGGTCAATGGAAGATCTAGATTTCTTGGTGGACCCGCTGCTGGACGAAGACGAGGAAGATGGACCTGGAATACTTCCAGTATCGTCTTTAGTCACTGCAGACTCCTCGTCGTCAACCACTGCAGAATCCTCACCTTCACCGGTGTTCTCACTCTCTATAAGTTTTCTTTTTGCTTCTTCCAAATCATGTTCATTAAAGCGGTAGATATCAATCTGTTCCTTCAATTTCAATATATTTTCCTTGACTTGTTCCACTTCTTGCGCAAATGATTCACGTCCAGCATCAATAAGCAGTTGGAGCTTATCTCCCCCTAAATCAGTACCTCGTTTTCTATAAAACAAAAGGTAAGCTGCACCAGTAACGCATTCTGTTGGGTCTGCTACTTTAGTCACACGCGAGTCATTAAAATAGTACCATTCATCATCTCGGAAATTCTTTGCATATGCGGTATAGTGCCCACCACCAAGTCCACCGTAGTGGTTATCTACGGCAATCAAATCATACTTCAGGTCATTATCTTGAACAAACTCGGACATATCAAGAGGTTCATTGACAGGAAAGTCAACGACCATATCTATCTTATCGCTAAACAGACGGGCACTCTCGAATCGTTTTAAATGAATTGTCAAGATATCACCGGTTGCCCATAATTGAATGGTTTTGGTGGCTTGTTTGTGGTCTTTACATTTTGGACAATACCATAAGTCTTGGTCACCCAAAACTTCTGGTGTACTAAAAGCACGCAAACAATCATATAATGATACAGTGGAGTTTTGTTCTGCCTTGAGCTTCCTCTTACTCTCTTCAACCTCAGGATTCGAAATTATTGTCGGGTGGGACCAACTATGCTCTGCATCATCATCTCCAAATTCACGGACGTACGAGTCATGATCCCACTGACAAACAAGAGTCATTTTATCACCTATTTCACCTGTTGATGAGGCCGAAGTGTTTGGTACATCTGTTGTGACTGGGAGTTCATGAACAGAGTCAAACAACAGTCCCAAGTTTTCTTCGCATTCTGTATCTTCGTCCAGAAGCAGCAGCAGTGGTTGTGGGGTCCCTGGAAATCTATTTTCCACAACGATGAATTCATCCTGTTCCAAATCTTGTTGAGTTTGTTCCGAAGCCACTATCCGAGGAAACAAATCCGTCAAATTAGGAAGGTTGTTCAAATTGGCACGGTTATGGGGGATATGAATGAGGCGCGATGTTGGTCTCGAGAGGACAGATTTTCTTTCGGCATAATATTTGATTGAAAATAGATCACCATCGTCCATGGGAACATCAAGAATTTCAGTACTTTCTGGAACCGCAGAAGGCTCTGGCACTTCAGATGTTTCAATGTTAGCCACATCTTGCATTTCCAGTTCCCTCTGGTCAATTTCCACTGATTCACCACTTTTCAATATCTTTGTGCTTTCTATTAATTTATCTTTTATTGTCTCAAAACATTTCATATCATTCTCTTTCAATACAACAAAGAGTGGCACTCCAAAGGATCGAGCGACATTATATGACTTATCCGAATCCATTACCAGGTGAATTACAGGAACTATCACATCTGTCTCTGGATTGTGTGGGATGTGATAGATAGCAACTTCGTCATTCTCAGATATGATTTCACTAATAGGATAAAATCTGATCTTGTCGTAGCTTGATTGGAAATCTTTATAAAAGAAATTATTAAAAATTTCAAAGAGAAAGAGTGACGAGGAATCAAACCCCAAACGGAGGCTCAAATATGCAATAAGTTCATCGTAATTAGAGGTCTTACTAAGTTCAACTTCAAACTTCAGAAGCTTCCCACCTGAAGCCAAATCCACAACTGTAAATGTATGATACCATTTCTTATTCACTGGGAGTGGTAATGTCAAATCATTAAAAGGATCAAACGTAATAGACGACTTGTTACAATCAGGACATACAAGAGTAGACTGATACAATCCAGTAAACAAGTCTATAATAACGGAATCATTGCGATGTTTATGCTGCGACCAACATGTTTGAGCAAGACGAGCTACACATAATGGATCTCCGACTTCAGCATCAGTTAATTCTGGTTTTTCACAATACGGTTTATCATAGATTCGATTTAAATCTTCATGAAGTGCATCAAGTAACCACAGGAGAAATTCCTGAGAATCTTGTTGTTGGTATCCTTGGAAAAGAGACGAGTAATGACCAATGGTATACTTGAAGTCCCTCGGGGAAACAGAAAGATTAGAAGGATTGGACAGAGTAGTACTTGGACCATTATTCAACCCATCAAGAGGACTAGAAAATAATTTATGAAGTAAGGCTCCAAACACTTTCGCAATTTGACCTTTGAATCCCAAAGGGTTAGAATCGTTTAATTCTGACTCAAAAACTTTGTAGAAGAAGTACTCGTTAACTTCAGGTATATGTAATAAACATTGGAGTGCCGAGTTCATATAGCATGTATTTCCTAAGTTGGCAAGTCCTAGATTTCCACCAGCTGACTGTGAAATCGAAGATGTTTTCGAGTCTAGGGACTTAAAATATGTATCTGTAGGAAATGTATAAGGGATTGAGGACGATGCCAGAGACTCAACAAGGACATGGTAAAATGGTGATGTCAAACCTTGATCTTTAAGTCTTTGTCCATATCGGGTTTGAAGAACAAGCTGTTTCTTGGGAATGTCATTGACAAAGGTAGAGAGAGATATTGAGTTTGGGAGAAGATCAATATCTTCTGAAGTGATAAACCAAACACGAAACTGGCGGGGCTTTTGAGGTGCCCGTAAAATCTTCCTTTGAATTGCATCGAATAGATCATTGAATGTGGACGTAGTTGACATATGAACTCCATGACGAGGGATACTGTTCGTTGTATGCCTGTGAGAAATATTTTGACCATAGTTGGTATCCTTTTTCGTCAATGTATGAACTTGGAAAAAGCTAGGGAATCGTTCAACTTCCTTATGACCTGTTTCTGGGTTCACAATAATCGCACGCGAAACGGGTTCACCACGAACTTCAAACCAGTCTACCAACAATTGAAAAACAGGAGGCAGAACATTGTATGTATCAACAGGTTCATCATTCTCGGGGTACAAATTGCCCTGTCTATCGACAATAGAAGACAAATCAAGTGCGCCCACTTCCAGACGAAGTTCGTCGAATGTTTCTACGGCGAGATTCATCACATCTTCAAGGAAATCTCTAGGGATTAAATACCACTTGTCTCCTTCTTTTGTAGGTTCAGTAGATCCACGAGCAAGCAATTGCGCCAACTCTTTACGTCTTGTTATAAGATCTTGATTAGGAATTACGATTGTATCTGAGAGTGGAGATGCCGCAGAATTACCTCCGGTACTTTCAGCCAGCTCACCATCATCGTCGCGTTCATTATCCTCCACACTTGTCTGAACGGTAGATGGCGGCGTGTGGTCGGAAGAGCTCATTGGAGAGTTAGTTGCAGTTAGAGTAGGTGTCGTGGAAACGTTTTTATTTTCACTTTGGTCTTGTTGAATCTGGTCTTCCATATTGTTTTTCTGAAGACCCTTAAAATTTTGGTAAATTTATTCCAAATTATCTATTTAAATGCACAGACACAGTTTGATATATCTCCCTGCTAAGACACGCTATCTCACTCACGGTCTTGCTTAGTGTGGGGGGATACAAGTTGTTGTAATGCGTAGGATTAGCGTCCATTTTTTGTTGTTTTGGACTCTCCTGCATTCGGTTGCGATATCGATCTAAATTGTGGAGCAGTCCTCTTGTATATGTAGATATCAAAGTACAAAACTACACCCACAATCCTATCTATCTACTGAATACAAAAATTGGAATTGAAGCTCGTTATGGAACTCCCATCAACACTGGACTCAATTAATTCGTTGGCTCGTGAGTCAGCGGACGATCCAGATGTTGATACTATTGAATTTCTTTGTACGGTGGCGCTTTCTAATCATACGCTTAATCGTGACCTTTTACTCAATTGGCAAGTTGAACTCTCCGATATTTCACAAGATCATATCACGTTAAGCTCAGTTGCCAATGAGTTAGTTCTTGTACAGCATAAAACATTCTTAGGAGATGAAAATGGGCCTACACGTGAGTGTTTCCGGGACCTCTTTAATAGATTGAACAACCTTGACGATGAGGTTTACCATGACCTTAAGTCAATAATTTTAGAAGTACTTATTCACGTTGCTCAGAAGTCTGTATGGAATCGTGTTGAACTCCATAAATTGCAATTACATGAAGTGGCGATTGAATTTTTACTTGAAGAAAAATTACAACAACAAACACCACAATTATCGCGTCTAGTAGTTTGTTTACTAGAACTTGGCTGCTCAATCTTACTTTTGCGTAGAATAATTGTGCCATTATACAACAAAGAGACCTCACCAAGACTTAAACTTGCGCTTTCCGAATTATTGAACCAAATATTTACCCGTTACCCTTCCCAGGCAAGCTTTCTTTTGATACAAATAGGAAGGCTGTTTTCAGGTCAACCAGGGGGTCCACTGTTGCCAGTATCTCTGCCAGTAGCACTCCCAGTCTTTCGTGAATTTCAAGGGAAAACTTTCACTGCACAGTTTTGGTTCCGGATTGAAAAACCTTATGGAGAAGAAGACGAAGAAGACGAAGAAGAAGAAGAGAACAAAGTGCCACTCTTTCTGCTAGCAGCTAGCTCGGGTCACGAATCAAGTTTATTTGTAGAGATCTCAAATCACCAAATTACGATTGTACTAAGGGGAGACAAGTCAGGTGCACGTATGCAATTCTCATTTAATCAGTTGTTACGTCACAGACGAAAGAGGACTCAATCGGGTCAAACAAGTTTCCAACATCCAACTAGACAGGGAAATTCCAATGTAGAAGGTTCAAGCCTGGAATTCGCTCACATCTCATTAACATATGACACATATAAAAACCTCAACCTTTTTGTTGATGGGGAATACAGTGAATCCATGCCATGCCCGGAGATTTACCGAGTTATGCATACATGGAATAAAGTATACATTGGAGGAGATAACCAGACAGTTTCAGACATTGATCTGACTACTCGTACAGAGCTTATCATACGCCAACTCACAGTGCTAAATCAACGATTATCACCAGCATGGATTAGTCTTATCTATAACTTAGGTATGGAATACCTTTGGGACTACAAAGATTTTACCGAAGACAATATATTCAACTTATTAAACCAATTACTGTTCAAAGCAATTACAAATTTGGCTTTAAAAGTCCGCGAGCTTCGTGGGAATCACCAACCCAATTCCACCCCAACTTCAACTATACTCCGTAAACCACATCACCAGAACAATACCAGTGTGATGATTGACCGATCTCGCATTGCACAATACCTTTTAACTGATAGAATTCAACAGGAAGATGTGGTATTTGACACATGTGGGAATGCACTCGTGCAACATATTATAGTCGATATTTCGAACACCATTCACGGTGCATTTTTTAGCATAGGAGGGACTGGACTTCTTCTCCGCTTAATCGAGTTGCATTCAACTAAGCACTACTCAAGTACATATGGTGATCTGGTTCTATACAAGATTCTAACCTTACTATTTACTCTCTTGAATAGTAACTGGAGATTAGCACGAGAGTTTGAGGATATTAATGGATACGGAGTACTACTTGTACTTCTCACACAGTACAAAGAGCGGGTAAATCCTGATCTTGAGCTTTCATTGGGTACAGATCCAAATGCCCCAAAAGTGTCCGTTTTACAACTTCTTCTCCGCAATGCTGGATACTCAATTGACTCTCCCCATGACTCATTGGTGATTAATCCGACTTTGTACAAGACTCTCGTACTTAATTTTGAACTATACTCACAATCTCCACTGGAATTTGCAACACTTTTGGGCCATTTCCGTGGATTATTGACCTTGAGCAAATATCAACAAGTTAATGCATTAGAGCTTGTACGATTGAAAGTAGTAAATCGCTTCATTCAATTTTTGAAAACCGAAACGTACGTTGCTCCAGATGAGAAGCTCCTAGAGGCGTTTCAAACAATTATGGAAGGAGAAACTTCAGTTGAAACAATACGTTCTGTCTCTCTCTTCATTATATTTCTGCTTTATTCCAAACAAGAGAGAAATGTTGAGCTTGGAGTTATGGGCACAAAAGTGCTCACTTCTATACTTTGTGATAATGGATCGTCTGTGAAAGTGCTCAAAAAGTTTTCTCGATCTATAACTATACATTGGATTCTTCTTCTTTTGAGTTACAGAGAGACTGGTGGAAATATTCACCTGGCCGAGATTACAAAATGTGGTATCAGACTACTTGTTAAACTACTTCGAGTTCTTGGACCACATATTATTCGTCGGTTTTTTCAAGTAAACCACGGGTCAGATATACTCACACACTTCCTCAAGGACTTGTGGCATGATGATAAAATTATATCCTTAATTTACTTAGCTGCATTTGGAGAAACCCGCTGTGACAAACCCATTACCAAGATCTTGTCAAGTTCGCTGCTTCAATTGTTAATGCCAGAGTTTCTCATGGTGCTTTGTAATCTAGCCTTGATATCGACATATCTGTTGAATTTAGAACGAAGCCGGAGTCAAGTTTCCAGTCCAATCCGTGGCACCCCAATTTCTGCCAACAATTCTGCATCTTCAACTACTAAAACATTGAATGTGGTTAATTTTCTCAACTTATACATTGAGATAATACAGTCTGGTATTGAAGATCCTAGACTTGTAGAGCATTATCGGAAGAAAGAATGGCTTGATCGCACATTTGAGTTGGCGGGCCACCTCAAAATCTTGAACCAAAAACAGCCCGTAAGCTCTATTCTTCCTTCCAATGTATATGGTTCCATCTATGACAAACTTATCAATACACTTGCAAGCATCTTCATTAGCGAGATACTTAACACTCAAAGATTCTTTAAGATATTTTCCAGCTTGAGTGATTTCACCAAAAAACTTGCTCTTCATACAATTTTCCCCAAGATATTTCAGCATGTTAACCAATTCACCAATGTCCTGCAATTTATATTTAACGAGAAAGAGTTTATGGATGCAACTGTGGAGCTTCTTAACTTTTATATAGTTGAGTTTATACATCAGGGATACCTGGTTGACTTCGATGACCTCGATGTGTTCATCACTTGTGCGTTGTCAGTTTTGGAAATAGGCGCAGACAGACAAAGCTCCGGCTCAAAGAGGCTCAAGAGTAGATTAGGAGATGTTATAATAGGATGGGTAGCAGCCGCAAACATTCCTGAAACCCAGATGACTCCACCATCATCTCCAATAGTGTCCACCCTACCATCAACCCCACCTTCAAAAGGGTTAATGAATCCAGGGTCACCTAATGAATTGATACCACTGAGCCATGTACCAGTTTTACAACCAGTTTCAGCTCTTCTTTATAGACTGGTGCTAATCCTTCAACCAGAAGTGCTTTCAGACCAAAATTTGAGTGACCTTATTTCAGTTCTTCTCGGGAACTTCCTCAAGATGGATGTGACTCAACAAAAATCTGCATCTGATCTTTTATTTAACTTCTTGAGGACGTCTTACCTCGTGCGGCAAGATAGTTTTGCTACCGTTGTTAAGTTCTTGTCAGCATCGGATAATCATGAATCAAGTTCTCTCTTTCTTCACTTTTTCCTGGATACAATCATTACTCGAAATGATGAAGAAACATCAAGGTTCCTTCAACGACATCCTACTATACCTAAAATTCTTACAAGAAACTTTCAAATGATTATGGGAAAGGTAAACGAAAAGTCACATGTCAGTATCATGAATATGATAAGCGCTATGGCCGACGGAGGAGGCACTACATCGAACGTATTTATCCTGACCTTCGAACGTGATTGTGAACTGCTCAAGGTGCATATTATTAATGGTGAGATTGTAAAATTTAACAGGGGAGCACAGGATCAACATGAAGCTACTCTGCATTGTGTGTCAACGTATAACGCTCTTAAATTTGAAATATCGAGACTTACCAAAACCGAAGATTATCTTGACAATGCTCAATTTGTCTTGGACTACATTGAAGGTTCTGACCGTATACGAAAGCGAATGGTGATAGAAGATCAATTAGCCGAGTCAGAAAAGCTTTCATACAATATTGCAGTACCAGTGCGATTACAAGATAGCAATACGAATGATTTATTTTCTGTGGATGAAATAGAATATGAAGCAAGTGAAAGAATTTCTTCTATGAGTATTAAGGATTTCCCTCTAGATGACGTTGATATTGATGGTACAGAGAGCTTTGAATTGGTAGATTCTGAGGGCAACCCTGAGTCAGAACTGGCTACATCCTCATCTGTAGAAGACAAAAATAGAAAGGTGGTCCGTAGTTTGTACATGGGAGACCGCATAGTGAATCTTTGGAATATTAGTCAAATCAATGGTCTAGCCCCCATTGAAAGTTTGTTGATCTTAGGTCAGTCTCACTTGTATATAATTGAGAACTATTTCCACCGTCAGGACAATGGTGGTGGTGTGGTTGACATAAACGATGCACCACTCGAACTTCGAGACCCATACTTACAATTGGTCAATTCACAAACAGGTAGTATCAGTGGACTGCCAACTTCGCATCACCGGAAGGCCTGGAGCTTGGAAAATTTGGGAAGTATCTCGAAGAGACAATTTTTGCTTCGAGATGTAGCATTAGAGATGTTTTTTAGTGACGGTGCTAGTATTCTAATTACTTGCTTATCTTCGAAGGAAAGAGATGCAATATATTCAACATTAGGAGCATATGCCAAGGGTCAAGGGTTGGATTCCGACCTTGCTCTGGCACTTCAAAGTGCACGGAGTGTCGTGGATGGTGTAATTAGCACTGGGAACTCTAATGGCTTTGCAGCTAAAGTGGCATCTGCATTTAGTTCAGCCAATGTGGCTGTAGCTACGGGAACTTCCTCATTCTTTGCCTCTGCATTAGAGATTGCCACCACGAAGTGGAAAATGGGACAGATGTCCAACTTCTATTACTTGATGATAATTAATACGCTTGCAGGACGAACGTTTAATGACTTAACTCAATATCCCGTTTTCCCTTGGGTTATAGCGGACTATACAAGTGACACATTGGACCTTTCTGACCCAAAATCGTTCCGTGATTTATCAAAACCGATGGGCGCCCAAACTCCCGACAGGGCAGCTCAATTTAGAGAGAGGTATGAGGCTTTAGATAGCTTCGATCAACCAGATAATCCAGCGTTCCATTACGGTACACATTATTCTTCAGCTATGATTGTTACGTCATTCCTAATCAGACTCAAGCCATATGTCCAATCATACTTACTTCTACAAGGTGGGAAGTTTGACCATGCAGATCGTTTGTTTAACTCCATTGAACGTGCTTGGAAGTCTGCATCACAAGACAACACGACAGATGTACGAGAACTTACTCCAGAGTTCTTCTATCTCCCCGAATTTTTGGTCAATAACAATAACTTTGAATTTGGGAAACTGCAACATACAGGTGAGGTTATGAATGATGTTTCTCTTCCTCCGTGGGCACATGGTGATCCCAAGGTTTTTGTGGAAATGAATCGCCAGGCATTGGAGAGCCCATACGTGTCACAAAATCTTCACTCATGGATAGACCTTGTGTTTGGTTACAAACAACTGGGACCAGAAGCTGTCAATGCATTGAATGTATTTCACCATTTGTCATATAATGGTGCTATCAACTTGGACAATATTAAAGATGAAATGGAAAAAAGAGCAGTTATCGGAACCATAAACAATTTTGGTCAAACTCCAGTGAGAATGTTTTCTCGTCCCCATGTTGTCCGTGAGATTTTGAATTTACCTAATCTTTATTTAACTATACCCGATTCTCCAGAAACTCCAGTATTTTCACTCGTATTTGAGTCTAAGATGAGAGTACCGATTAAAAAGATCGAGATTCTGCTGAAGACAAGGAAAATCATTGGTCGCCCAGGTTTCGTGGTTTCTGAAGATGACCTTTTGATTAGGAAGGCTTCATGGGGCAATGGATCGTTGATCATCAACACAACAGTGTTCTTAAATATTCACCTGGCAGCTGTAGTAAGTATGCTACAAGTAGGGAATAGAACATTTTTGACTGGACTGGAAGATGGTGTCATCAATGTGTGGCGGTGTTACCTGCGTCACAAAGCTGGTCATTCAACATCCCGAGCTGTAGGGACGTCTGCTACTGTTAGTTTAGAAAACTACGGGATTTTACGTGGTCATTTCAGTTCAGTGAGTGACCTCCGCTTTAGCTCTTCTTTCAAAGTGGCTCTTAGCCGTGATATCGATGGCGTAGTGATGCTATGGGACTTGGCTAGATTTAAGTTTATTAGAAGAATCACTCAGGGCAATGTGCAACACATTGCCATTTCTAATGATACTGGCACGATAGCTGTGATATGCGACGACAATCATTTAGAACTTTATACCATTAATGGAGAACTCATTTACCGAGTTCACACGGGTCTTGGTGATATAACCAGTCTCTGTTTTGGTAGTGTTAGTGGAGCAGCCGTTACGGACTATAAAAGGACCGCACTCAATAGCCATGTTTACTGGTCATGCGAAATCATTGGCATTGGATATGGACATGGTAAAAAGGATGATGTCGAGAATGATGTAGCAAGAATTGACATCTACGAGTTCAGCTGTGGTCTTGGTTGGACTTTGAAACTTTTGAGAAGTTTAGATTTGTCCAATTCAGGTGTACATGATCCTACAACTATTGAGATACGGAAACAAGTAGATACTGATTCCGATGAAAAGTTATCACGTGGTAGTCTCTATTTACTCGTTGGTGATTCCACTGGAAGGATATATCTGTGGAAGTAGATTTAAGAATATATGGTTAGTATGTTTGTAAAATCGTCGAAATGGTAACAAAAAAAACACATGTGATCAAACAGTGTAGGTTCTGTTGTTTAAGGCCATTGTATTTAAACAAGCATCACATGATTGTTTAATGCTGAATCTTCAAATATTATGATGACAGGCACCAAATTCACCAATATCTCTATTAGTGAAAGTATTATCCTCTGTTCCATAGTTATAAATAGAATACTACGATTTAGGAAAACTGTCGAAATAGTTTACCAGTCATATTGTATGTGAATATATTTTTAGTCGACGTTACAGCAGAAGAGGTACAATGCTATAGCTTACTTCCATTCTATACGTGAGTACAATTTCCATAAAATATACAAGAGGCTTAGAATCGAATCCGAATACTAGATGCGGTAGTTTTAGGGAACACGTTATAAAATCAAAAAGTAAAAAATAAAAAAGCGGCCTCATGGTAACTCCGGCCGCCTGTGCGTTAAAATACCTTGTACACAATCTCGCACTAAAAAAACGCAAAGGTCGAATAGGTGTAGAGTTCACAAACGAATTAATTCACATAGCCAGTACTTGATAAAAATAGCTTCAGACACCACTGTTCATACTCCGCACTTGCAACAGTCATACGCTTACGTTTTAACTTCACAATGGCTGGATTTGCGGATACACTCTATGCGGCCATACCGCCGATTCCGACTCGGACCGTACTCACATGTTTAGTATGGTATATGGTGTCCTCAATTACGTCTCAACTTTCAAAAGTAATCTTGTTAAGATCACCATACCCATTATTTCTCAGCCTGTGTCAATTCTTGATTGGTGCTGCTCTATCCTTTTTGTTGATAGCCTTTTCTCAACACTTCCCAGCTATTGCTGCACAATATCTTCCTCGTGGAAGTGTTCCAGTAGATGCACCTGAACGGCCCATATTTACAAAGGGGATGTTTTTACAAATCCTCCCCTTGGGAGTTTTCCAGTTTGTGGGAAAGTTCTTTCTGTTGAATGCCACATCGTTGATTTCTCTTGCAGCAGTCTCCAGTATCAAGGCCCTTTCTCCTCTCATGGTTGTTGCAGGTTATCGGGTGTTTTATGGGGTAAAGCTTCCACTGGTAACCTATCTTCTGCTTACTCCGTTGGTCCTCGGGGTTGTTTTAATGATAGCTCTGGATTCCATTCATAAGAGATCTGCTGACCCAATTGATCAGGTAGACTTGGCCAATACTAATACAGAAGGTAAAGCTGACTCCTTAGATTCTCGTTATGAATTGCATGAAATTGTTAGCCAGTTCATATATTCACTTGATTTTAACCAAATCAAGGGATTAACATGCTGTCTTTTAAGTGCTGTGGTGTTTGCCGGTCAAAACATCTACTCAAAACAATTGGTAACTTGGGATGCAACTCCAAACACACACCCAGCATCTCTTGTACTTAGTACCACCATTTCTAGACCAGGTACTCCATTGGAAAATGGCAAGAGTCCTTATGAACTTCAGTTCAATCACTCTCAACAACAATTACATGCCTCTTATCCCTCTCAACCATATTACAACAGTCCCACAGATAAAAAGATGAGACAAAGAACTAATTCAATTAGATTACCATATTCCTCGTCAGATCTTCAATTAGATGATAAGTTCCAAAAAGTTGAACTACAACATATGCCATATAGTCAAGCAGTTCAACAAAATAATCAAATGTTAGGGACGAAATCCGGGAAACCCGATAAAATGACGATTATCCTCTACATTTCAATCATTGGGTTCATATGTTCCTTTGGTGGGTTTCTTACTAATGAGTTACCTCAGATTAGAAGAGGTTTCAATTTGACTGAGATTGAGCAAATCTCAACAAATGATACTACTATTTATACTTCAACTGAAGCAATTAGTGTGGTAATTTTAGTATTTCTTGATTCATTATCCCATTTTGCTCAAACATTACTTGCATTCCATTTACTTGGACTGATCCCAGCACTTTCATATTCAGTAGCTTCAATGATGAAAAGAATTGTGCTCATTACGGTTAGTATCTTATTGGCAATTGGCGTTCAACATGATGCTACTAGTTCATGGTTGGGTAGAATTACAACTGAACAGGCTTTTGGGTTGATTCTAATTGCATTCGGATTGTATTGTTACGATAAATGGGGGTCGACTGCTCTTAAGGGTCTGAGTATGCATAAATAGAGAAGAAAAGTAGCAAAAAATTTATAGTTAATAGGAAAATTATTCTATAATACAGATGAAGAAAACAGCATTTGAAAAGAGAGAAGCTTACAATACGAAAAATTAAAAATGTTTGGAAAGGCTAGAATGCATAGTTAGAATGTAGCCAGAGTACCCGAAAGTACCCCAACCCTGCAACTACGCCCGCATTTTCCTTGACTACCCGAGTCAAACGTCGTCCAAAACAACAAGTTGCCTCGAACTCCGTTCAACCTGACTAGTTCACTCTTGTATGTGTTGTAGAGAGCAGCAGCCGTAGAAATCGAGCTTAAAGCTCAAACTGATGCCCTACAATAATACACATACGTGTACAATAGAGAAAAAGAAGAGAAACCAAAAAAAATTTTAAACGAATTAGCACTTAAATACAAAGAAAAAAACAAGGTCGTGCGAGGGCGAAAGTTATCCATAAGAATTTAGGGCACAAGAGAGGCAACACAGTTACTCTAAACTAAACAAAATACAATATTAATGAATTTAACATTAATATTATATAATCATATATATGAGGCAGTTGACTATATAGGTTCTTGTAGGATTGAGTCTTCTTTATTTCCTTTTCAGTAGTATCACGTATTGTGTGTTAATTAAGTAATTCAGTTGCTAGAAAGTGATTGAGTAGCTAGTAAACCAATAAGAAGATATAAAGGTGCTAGTATTGTTGAATATACATTCACAAACTCTATTTCTAACAATTATATCAACATGTATATGTATGTGTATTAATATGATATGCCCTTTCTATTCCATTTTTAATCTTTGAACCCGTGACTTCTCCTCCACACATTTCTCACTCAAATTGAAGAGTTTCGAAATTGGGTGTTAATTAGTAACCAACCAGTTTATTCATAACCAAATATGTTTAAATTTGTTGTATTGTATGCTCTTTTAGCATGCTGTATGGCAAGCACTTTACCTAGTCTTTCTGGCAAAATAATAGGGATTCCCGAAGAATTGAATACTCTTCAACGAGAATCAAAAACAACACCGCAAATATTGAATGGATTGAATTATCAATCACGGTTCAAGTTGCTGTTGATCCCTCTTACCGATGGACAAGACTCTCGCCAGGGTGTTTTAGAGAGAAATTATGGATTCAAATTTGATCTGTTGGCTCCAGGTGAGTACCAATTGATAGTAAATTCACATGATTTCTTGTTGAATCTGGAGAGATTCAGAGTCTTTGTGGAAGATACAGAAAGGGACCAACAAATAGAAGATGACGAACAAACCCCAATTCAACAAATCAAGGTTTATCAAGAAAAATTAATAAAGGAGTCATATAATGTATCATCTGGACAAATAATTACCAAAGAAACTCCACTTGTCATTGAAATAAAAGGTTACAAAGAATATTATGAAATTCGCCTGGGAAGTATTTGGGATATGGTGATGAATAGTCCATTTGGATTCATCTTTGCGAATAAGGTGTACACTATTTTATTCACCATTTGTTCAGGAATAATTGTGACCCCATATATTCTTCTGTATGTTGCACCTGAGTTTGCCAATCAATTTGAAGAGGTACAACAAAGGGTCAACGAAGGAAGACAAGGTCAAACTATCCAAAACAGAGACGTACCACAAGGACGTCTTGCTCCTTCGGCTGCCAAACCTGGTTCAGGACTTAGACAAAGAAAATAATTAAATAATTAAATATATATATTTCTATATTTTCATATATCATATTATTGATGAATGTATGTCCTATACTTTTACATTCAATTTTAATCCAACAATGAAGTACCGACTTGTAGCAATTGATATTGTTCCCAATATAACCAAAATCCCACAGAATACTACAAATATGTCGTAATTTTTTTTAGAACCATTACCAATTATTGCTGCAGCCATGGGAAACCCAAATAAATTACCAATACTGACGATCGCATACATCATTCCAAAACGTTCACCGAATTGTCTATGAGGAGTGATCAGACCTAAACAGACTGGAGTTAAAGATAAAATCAGGGCCGAGAAAAACCCACACACAGCAGCAAATACCCATAGAACTGAATGATGATTACCAAATGGGAGCCAGATTAAAAATACCGATAGACAAACTCCAGTGAGCATTAAAAGCATGACATTGAAATGCCCAATAATATCAGAAAAATGACCAGGAATCCAACGACCTGGGATTCCTGTGGCATTGAAAACAGTCAATAAAAGGTATGAATCCGATTCCGATGCTCCTTGGGATATGGCATAAGTGGCAAAATAAGTAACAATAAGCATGAGAGCAAGTTCTTCTAAAAATATTCCAACCGTCAAAAAAGTATATTTCATATCAAGGAAATGTGAAAAGTCCAAGTAACGAACATCACCTCCAAAAAAGAGTTGTTTGAATTTCTTACCAGTGGATTTTTCATGAGAAGCTTCTGGGTCTAGGTCAATTCCATCGTTAGAACTATCACCCGGTGAAGGGTTGGAACCACGAATGGTTCGTCCTTTGGCAAGAAGTATAGCTATAATCATACAACCTAGACAAAGTAACGCTAAAGTTCTAATTGCCCATGAAAAGCCAACCTTGGGGTATAATCCTCTTAACAATAATGGGATAACAATCCCTCCCACTGATCCACCGGTGGTAGCTAATCCAGTAGCTCTTCCACGCTTTAAATAAAACCATTGACTGACAACTGCAACCAATGGAGTGAAGCATAGTGCAAGACCTATACCAACACATATGGACAAGGAAAGAATAAACTGCCAGACATTTTGACTGTTTGCAACTGCCAAAAGCCCACCAACGGTAAGTATTGCACCTCCTACAAGAGGTACAGTCGGTCCGTGAGTATCAAAGTACGGACCCACAAAAATACTAAAGGAGTATGAAATACAAAATAAAATTGAAAAGATCCAAGCCACTGTCAGCGAATGTACATCTTTCAATTGATTTTGGGAAAGGTAAGCTTGAATTGCACCAATAGAATTAAGTAATCCAAAGCATACTGTCAATCCTAGAAATGAGCCGAAAAGAACAAAGTATGCCTTAATACCACCATCAGGAAAATCTTCAATAATTTCCAGATCATTTTCATCTTGAACTGTGATATCCTCTATAATTGGTACGGTAGTGGATGGGAAAGATCCCCTTCTTGGTCCAGGTTCTGCATTCGATCTTGATTCGAGAACTGATTCCATAAATATATATTTGTATTTATAAAAGGTTTATTATGTATTCCATGAAAATGAATTACAAATACCACTTCTGAACGAATCTAGAAGGCAAAATACTCCAATAAAATAGTCTATAAATCGTTCATTAGCTTTTTATGTGCTAAAACACCCAGTAATTAAATTATTGAGATACATTGACACTTAATGCAACAATTGCGCGCTTATTCGTAATTTTTAGCGGAAAATATACATAAGATCCCGCCTTACCAAAAGAAAAATTCCGCTCCATAAAATTATTTATTATATATTATAAGAGAGGGTTAGAGTGGAAATAATACTTGACACGTAGATGGAGTACTATTCTGAGTTTGTTTTATTTCATTTGTCTCTTCATTTGCAACTGCAAAACTGTATCTTTTCTTTTTTTTTTTTTTTTGGTGGGTATTTAGAAAGTCTACATTCTCTTTAGTTTAAGTGTATTTATCTATCATTTAATGTTTTCATTGATTCATACATCTTGTGAATTAATTATATTTTTACATTCAATTTGAATCCAACAAGACAGTATCTACTGGCTGCCCAACTGATACTACCTGTAACCGCTAATAAGCCACAAAATACCACAAACATGTCATAATTATGCTTAGATCCATCACCAATTATTGCAGCAGCCATTGGAAACCCAAATAAATTTCCAATACTTACAAAGAAATACATCATACCAAATCTTTCCCCAAACTTATTTACTGGAGTAATCAGACCCAAACAAACTGGAGTTAACGATAAAATCAGTGCTGAGAAAAATCCACAAATAGCAGCAAACGCCCAAAGCGCCTGAGGATGGGCTCCAAAAGGTAACCAAACTATAAATATTGACAAACATACCCCTGTAAGCATCAATAACATTACATTGAAATGACCAATTATATCAGAAAAGTATCCTGGAAGCCATCTACCAGGAATTCCTGTTGCATTGAACACAGTAAGCATAAGATATGAATCTGATTCTGAAACACCTTGAGTTATTGCATATGTTGCAAAATAAGTAACAATTAACATAAGTGCGAATTCTTCAAGAAATACACCTCCAATTAAAAATGAATACTTCCAATCAAGTAAATTTGAAAAATCAAAATATCTTACATCACTCCCAGTTAGAAAATGTGTAACTTTCTTTCTCGTAGATGTTGGCGGTAAATGTTCTAAATCATCTACTTGTCTCTCACTAGTTGATGATGAAAGAAATCGGCCCTTAGCAAGAACTATTGAAACAATAATACAACCGAAACTGAAAAATCCCAAGATTCTTATGGCCCAAGCAAAACCTACCTTGGGATATAAACCTCTCAACATCAAAGGAATAACAATTCCTCCAACTGAACCGCCAGTGGTAGCTAATCCAGTAGCTCTTCCACGTTTTAAATAAAACCATTGGCTCACGACTCCAATCAATGGAGTAATACATAATGCATTTCCAACACCAACACAAATTGATAACCCTAGAATGAACTGCCAGACTTTATCGCACGAAGCTACGGCCATAAAACCACCCGATATAAGGAGTAGTCCACCAATAAGCGGGATTTTGGGTCCCCTAGCGTCGAAAAATGGTCCAACGAATATCCCAAATGAATAAGCAAGACAAAAAAATATGGAAAATATCCATGAAACAGTCAGAGATTTGACGCCTTTTAATTGATTTTGCGAAAGGTACGCTTGAATAGCCCCTACGGAGTTGAGCATACCAAAGCTCGCGGTTAATCCAAGGAAGGATCCCACTAGAACAAAGTTGGCCCTTAAACCTCCATCAGGAAATTCGTCATCATTATCCAGAACAACAACAAGTTCCGAAGTCGCTGGTTCTTTGGAAGAAACCTCATGACGAGTCATTCTCAGCATACCTGATATCTGAACAGGAAGAGTATAACATCTAGTGTTCTAATTGTTTGTAGTTTCAAAACATATTCTACCTATGTATGGATGTTCGTTCCATTCCACCGTAAATTTCATACGGCGGAAAATGAAGCCTCGGGGTTCCGATTACGAACGGTTGCAACATTTCGCGGAATGATAAATTTTGTAACATTGCGGATTAATTAATAAGAATACCCTAATTTGGAATGGAACAGCACTTCTTCTAATTTCATCTTCAATTTGACGCCTCGAAGGTAACTATCATCAAATTTTCTCTGCATATATATATCATATTTACATAGATAAGCTGTGTACTACTAGAAAAAAAAAATGCAATTTGTAAATCAAAAATTTCTTTTATTTTTAACTCGTAAAAGATAATCTAAACCATATATATATATATAAAATTAAAATGTTATACTAATCATTTTCAGCATATTTTTCCATTTTAGCCTTTTCAGTATAGTTAGAACCTTCTTTACTATACGAAGGACTTGGGTTATTCCATCCATTGACAAAATCAAAGTCTGTTTTAGCCCAATGAGCAAATGGATAACTTGGGATTGTCTTCAAAGGTGTATCATCCAGAATCAAACCTTTATCCTTTTGACGTTGGATTAATTCATCCAAGTATCCAGCAATGTGGTCTCTAAAGAGTTCAAAGTTCTTGTATTTGAGGATATCTTCTGGACCTTCGTATAAAATTTTACGAAGAAGAGATGGGATAAGCGGTTCATCTTTCATTTCTTCAATAGAATAGAAAATTGGATGATTAGTGAAAATAACAGCACCAGATTTTGGAAGTTTACGAAGAGTTTGTCTTTCAACTCTAATATTAAAGTCTTTTGGATCCATGGACTTAATATCAGCTTCAATATTTGGGTTGAATTTAGGAAGTTGATAGACGTTATTAAGTTTCAACTTATGATCCCAAGAAATATACCAAGAAGCTCTCTCCACAGGATCATTAGGGGTAAGTCTTTCAAACCATCTTTCCATAGATCTCTTCAATTTTTCTTTGTAGTATGGAACTCCTTCATGAATAACATCCAAATGTCTACCGATCTTTTCATGTATACCGAATGATCCACCAGGGAAAGGTACAGCAGCAGCAACCAAGTAATGTAAATCATCTTTTGGATTTTTCATAACAATATAGAAATCTTCCTTTGCCATATTAGAAACATAGAGAAGTGGGTGCTCTTTAAGTGGCATAGTCATATCTAAAGTTTCTTCAGTCATTTCGTTGTAAACAATCTTACCCCCTTCGCCTCTATCTTCAACAAGAGTGAAGAGTAATGGATAACGGGTAAGCATGTGATCAGTAACCATTTGCATAAGTTCCACTGAAGGTTCATATCCTTCTGGAAGCCAATCAATATTTTCACGGCCATATTTCATCCAAATACGCTTCTTTTCTTGGATATAACGCCAGTAATATTTGTCCATGTCCAACCAGTGGTTCATTTCCAAACGGAAGATTGACATTGTTTGATGATATGGCCATCTGAAAGGTCTCCATGGTCTATCATCATAATTTTTAACCTGTTCTGGAGTGATCATCAAAGGAGTTGGAGGAGCCAAAGGTTCATTCGAACTATATGATGATTTACGGGACAGTGAAGGGGTTGATGGTGGAGTTGTTCCAAAGTATTTCCTATAATTTTGAATTGGTTTTGCAAATATTGATGGATAATATTTAGGTCCAACCACCAAAGCAGTTACCAATAGAACCAAAAGTCCTATTTGAATCATTGTGTTTCCAAGTAGTGTTTGTTTTTATGTAAATACAAAGTATATGGAATATATTTAGAATCTCCTTCTTTATAATTTCATTTCATTCATTGGTTTTTATATAAGTATTCACTTTGCACCCAAATCGCTTATCAGTTCATTCGGGATATCTCTACCGTAATAGGAAGGTATTTGGCAACCTGCATACAATTTATTCTCTCATATGTAGGTTATCAACTAGGGAAAAATCACCGACAAATATCGATCTATTTTATTGAATAAATATGGAGCAATCACTTGAATATGATCTCCGAGGAGGTTAGCCCACTGACATGTTCGTTTAATATAACTTAAATGGGAAGCTAGTCTATATTTTGCTCTGTTTAGACACGACTAATGTCTCGACTCATATAATTTTTTGACGTAGTACATATATAATTGGAAACCAGACATTTTGTAAATATGGATGGACTTGTCACTTTTTGCTTTTCATGTCAAATTTTATAAATAATTTAAATTATGAATGTTACATTTTTGCACCATTCTTCTTTGCTTCATTTTGTCGTTTCTCATTTTACAAATATTTTTTTTTTTTGCTTAAGTTTTGAAATGCCCCTTGTCAACATAGCCCCCAAGTTACTCATTTACTCCAAACCAGTAAATAATTATAATACATATCTTCATATGGAAGAAACATATTGAAAGAAGGTAGCATAATTCTCTATATATAGTCTGTAAATAACTTCTTTTTTCTTCATATTTACAGTTATACATAGAAAAATATCCATTTCACTGTGGATCTGTCAAGGTAGTTTCTATTACTAGTTTATAGTATCTTACTATACCTAATACTAGAGCATTCATTTCTGAACTTCATATTCTCCTACAATAGAATTCTACATTCAATTACACATCTCTTTTTATAAATGTACATTTTTTATATGTGAGTTGTCACCGGAGCGACAGAGGAAGAAGATAGTATTTCACAAAGTTTATCATTAATAAAACCCCTTATTAGCAGAAAACATGAGAAATGTAATGTAAGATGGCGGTATGTCTTAAATAATAATAATGTATAACCTGGCGAAATTACAATCTTCTACCACGTCTACCACCCTTTCTTCTGGTGGAGTCAGATGGGACTGGGGTAACATCTTCGATTCTACCGATTCTCAATCCGGATCTGGCCAAGGCTCTCAAAGCAGATTGACCACCTGGACCTGGGGTCTTGGTCTTAGTACCACCGGTAGCTCTCAACTTAACGTGGACAGCGGTAATACCAACTTCCTTACACTTTTGAGCGACATCTTGAGCGGCCAACATGGCGGCGTATGGAGAGGATTCGTCTCTGTCAGCCTTGACCTTCATACCACCAGTAACTCTGGCGATGGTTTCCTTACCGGAAAGATCAGTAACGTGAACGAAGGTATCGTTGAAAGAAGCAAAGATACGGGCGACACCAAAAACTTGGGAGCCATCTCTAACAGGAGCTAGAATATTGTTAGTAACTTGAATTAACAAGATTATAAAAGACAATAAAAGTTCACACAATGTAAAAGTAAAAGGCAAAGAACAAAAAAAAAACTTAATTCTGGAAAAGACCCACAGAGTCTCTATAGAGAGATGCCCTGATCTGTTAGCTCGGCCATCAAAATATGGCTTATGGGCCAGTGGGGGATGCTCATTAGCTACAATGATTATGCCTTGATTTAACCTATCAACTTCGGTCTAGTTCAAAATTTTCTTTCTTTCATGAGTTCAGATTGAAATCCTTTTCAACCATGCAACTAAAAGACATCATAAAATTGATATTCATTCAGAGCTGGTCTTCACATTCGCTCGCGTGCTTCATTGCCTTGCGGTTTAAGAGCTTATTAGCTTGTTTTACATACCAGAAGCAGACATTATGGATATGGATACGTGATGCTATATGAGGGTCAAAGTATGATTGTAATTTTTATTAAGCTAACTTTTTTTCACCTCACGCACCAAACTGAGAGAACAATTTTTTTTTTTTCGTTGATTGAATATTTTTTTTGCACTCCACACGCCAGGGGCTCAGCCCTAAACGTCACGTGCCAACACACAATCTTAACTATGAAGTATCAAGTAAATAAACCCTTATAACGGTTATTATACATAGAGTATATCCTATAGACAAACGAAGTAGCAAGGCCTATCTATATGATATGCTTAATGTTATGTCATTGGTAGATATAGAAGTCAAATGTAAATTAACATACGTAGTAGTATATTGAGAATGTATGGTAGTTCTATTAATTTTCTAGTCTACATCTGGATCTACAATAGTAATGATAATCTATAGTACTTGTATTAATGATACATTTAGTAAACGAAACCCAAGATCTTACCAGAGACGTGCTTTCTTCTGGCTTCTTCGTGGTCCATAATACCAGCAGAGGTGGTCAAGATAACGAAACCGAATTGTCTGGCTGGCAACAAGTTGTCAGTCCATCTTTCGATGTCACCAATCTTAACGTTGAATCTTGGGGAGATAACACCACACTTGTTCAATCTACCGTTCAATTGAACGACGATCTTACCAGATCTGTGGTCATCGATGTATTCGAATTCACCAATGTAACCGTGCTTTTGCATGACAGTCAAGAACTTGACAATGACCTTGGAAGATGGTCTGATCAAGACTTGACGCTTACCGGTCTTTTCGGCGTTGTTAATGGCGTTTAAAGCATCAGCTAAGACGGAGGTTCTGGTCATTTTGGCTAGTTGTTCGTAAAAGAAGAGTAAAAGAAGCAAAAAGTTGAAATTTTTCAGTCAAGAAAGATTTGTTCGCGTAGTCTCCATCCGATCACCCACCAGGAATGGGGAAACGAAGAGAAAAAAAAAAAGATGATAGTATCCTGTATATAGACAAGGAGAAAAACTCAAACCATAGTGTAGCAGAAAAAAAAAAATCAGGATTTTAAAAAGACAGTCACAAATTATGAATGAAAACTCTATGGTCTGCCTCGATATGCAGGAATTCAACCAAGTTTTTTTTTTTTTTTAGAGAAAATTTAACCATGTTCGCAACCAGCAATTGGTTTTGTGCAACTTTATTCGTTTCGAGTGGTGAGCGTAAGTGAAAATTTGAACTTCACGATAATTCTGTTTGAGCTTTCTTCTACAAAGTAACTAAAAGATGCCTGTATGTACTATATGAACAGGGCAATATGTGTAACATATCAGTCGGGATCGATACTGAGTGTCCATAGATACTTGATGGATGATATATTGTATTAATTGATGACATTCATGAAGTGGCAAAAGGAGAATGGTGGTTGATGAGCCATCTAACAATAATAATCCATATTAAAAAAATTTCACCCATCAGAATAATAGAATGGATCCCACTGAAGTTATACACACGTTGTCTAGAAATAAACACTTAATCTTGTTGAATTATTTACTAACATTTTACAGTCCCAAAAGTCTTTCAAGACCAAGCAAAAGTTAGCTAAGGCCAGCAACCAAAACAGACCATTGCCACAATGGATCAGACTTAGAACTGACAACAAGATCAGATACAACGCTAAGAGAAGACACTGGAGAAGAACTAAGTTGGGAATCTAAGCAGCTACACAAGTTATTGGTTTATATATTACGCTGGATCTGTCTATTTTAGAAGATTTTTATAATTTTTAGCATGCTTAATTGATAAGTTTCTGTATAACAGATGTAGATTAAAGGAGTAATCGTAGATTAAAATATTGAACCTAGGATGATATTGGGGTATTAAGCACAGAATTAATTTTCTCGCGAGATTAAACGTATGATGGAAGATAATAGTAACGTTATCAAATAAACAACTAAAGTACTTCTAGTATAAATACAGTCAATTTATATTTTGACTTAGTTCTCTCCTATTAATCAATTAAGTCGATAAATATATAATGTATGTATGATTCTAAACTTCTTCTTCAAAAACAGTTTCAATAGGCTTTTCCATAAATGAAGCATGAGAGAAAACAGAAACACCAGAAGAACCAATCAACCACATCATGGTGGAGATAGGACTGGCAAAAATACATAAAGGAACAGCAACAACCAACAAACCAGTGTACAATTGAGATGTGTTGAATCTACCAACTGGTAAGACTAAGTCTTCACCATTCAATTTGCTGATTCCAAATAAACCACCACCAACGAGAAGAATAACAAACAACAATAAGGTGTTTGTGATCAAGGCATATACACTCAATAATCCAACAATAGCAACATAGTTGGCAGAGAAGTAACCCAAGTTGTATGAAACCCTGCTTTGGACTTCACCAAAGTTTGCAGGCTTAGAGAGTCTTCTGACATCGAAAAATTCTTGAGGAGGACGCAACTTGGATACAGAAGACAGTAATGTCCCAATATTGGAACGAATAGAGTCAAGACTCAAACGTTCAGGTATTTGTGCAAGCTATAACACTGTTAGTATGAGGAAGGCAAACCTAGAAAAACAGAATTGATTCAAGAAGTAAACCCCTTAACAACGGGAATACACCCTTCGGTAACTGGCCCATGATCTCAATTATATATACATACGGATGTGTAAGGGAAGTTGAAAGACATTGTTGGGATATATTGAAGAAATTAAACAAGTGTATAACACGTATTCCTTTGTTATTTTTTAAAGGGCTTGGTTCAAATTTAAAATGTTGACGTGTTTCATGGATCTGAAAGTCACGTGACACAATTAAATATATAGAAAGATACAATAGGAAATGTGTAAAAATAGAATATAGTTGATATGGGGGTATAATATGATATAGATGAACATATGGATCTATTTAGGAAAGGGTAAAATTATTAACATTTACCTTATTTGTTCTCTAAATATCATACTGGAGATATAATTCGGTTACAATGTGATTTACCATCTGGCAGTTAAAAATAGTTTGGTGAGCGCTTTTTCTTATAGACAAAAATCATATGGCAGTTTTAAGTGCTAACACTCATACTATAGATGAATAATGACCTGGATTTTACTTACAATTTATTTATTATGATTTCTTTATGCAAATATTTCTAATTTTTTTTATATGTTTTTACTTAATATGCTATTTTTAGTGTTACATCTAAAGTCCCAAATCCTTCTTAACCATAGCTTTACAAATAGGATGGTAGCTTGATTCAAACTTGCGGAAGTAGGTAATAGCACGTTCATGGTCAACCTTGTTTAACAAGACATAACCTGGTCTAACGAACTTCATTCTTCCGACAGTACCTAACCATTCACCCAATTGATCGTAGTATACAGTGTTTTGACCAGTAACTTGAACAACAAACCATCTGAACAATACTTCAGCATTTTGAGATTCAGAGTAGCTCTTGTAAATTTCACTCATTGCCTTTAATGCATCTTGATTTTCAGACCATTTAAAGTCTTCACGTTTGTTAAGGGAAACTAAAGTATCCAAAAATACAACTGATTGGTTAGAGTTGAAATCAACAATATCATTTGCTGAGAAAGTTTCATTGAAAGAAGCATTAGATTTGACAGCATTATACCATTTGTCAGCTAATCCATAACATTGATCAGCCAATGAGGTATCAAATTTAGGTGTTATTGGTGGCATACCTGGCTTGTATAACCAAGATTCCCAATCAATGGTGTCAAGTTGTTCCTTTTGCTTGGCAAAGAAAGCATATAAGGTATCCAAGAATTGGTAAGTATCCAAAGACTTATACTTGAAAGTGTTGAAATAATGAGGAATGAAAGCATCAAAGACTTCCTTACCACCTACAACTTGTTCAATGTGGAATAACAAGTTGAATCCCTTTTCATATGGAACAGTAGAAAAGGCATCATCTGGATCAGAACCATCCTTCAAGTTTTGAACCAAAGTAGAGTAACGGGTAGCACCATCTCCCATAGCCTTGATAGAGTGTTCTAAATCACTCCATCCAACAATGGCACTGAAATGTCTGGTTGGTTCACCATGGATGGCACCTTGGATTCTTCTTTCCAAGTAAACGGTCCAACCTTCATTCAACCAGAAATGTTCCCAAGAACAATTGGTAACCAAGTTACCAGACCAAGAATGTGCCAATTCATGGGCCAAGACATCAACATTAGCTCTATCTCCCAGAATCAAGGTAGGGGTAGCAAATGTTACGTTTGGATTTTCCATACCTCCATATGGGAATGATGCTGGCAAAACAAGAGCATCATATTGGTCCCATTCGTAAGGGAAGATCAATTTTTCAGCGGTTTGAAGGAAAGATTCCATATCATGTTCAAATTCATGTTGGCAAGCATTAATGTTTTGAGGTTCACAGTAGACATGAGATCTTGGACCAATAGGAGCACTAGTGATGTCACCGGATGCAATAGCTACCAAGTAGGCTGGGATAGGAATTGGTTGGTTGAACTTGTAAAGGTTTCCTTCGGTACCAGTAGGTCTTCCGGACATGAGAGATGGATATGGACTGGTGACTTGCATGGTGTATGGGGACTTGAAAGCTGGAGTGTCAAAACAGGCAAACAAACTTCTGGCGTGGATGGCTTGACATTGAGAGAAAAGGTATGGGGCCTTCTTACCATCAGTGGCTTCTTTGTCGATAAATTGAAGTGCAGTACACTTGTCGGTGGTAGAGGAGCCGACTTCCAAAGTGAGTTTAGCTCCTGGGCTAACCTTGGATGGAAGTTCGATCTCAATAGCAGAGCCAAGTGGCTCGCTGCGTGGGAGTACCTTAAAACTTGTCACAGATGTACCATCAACCTTGACAAAAGTTATATCTAAGAAGGAGGAATCCAAAACAACTTGAGAAGTTTCATTCACAACTTCAAGGTTGTAGGTAACAGAACCGGTAACAACCTTCTTGTCGAAGTTAACATCAAAACGAAGATCTGATGGTGTATCAACCTTAAAGTTGAAGTAGTTGGAGAGAGTAGAAGGATCAACTTCTGGGGATTGAGCCGGTCTTTTGGAGGCAATAAGTGCAGATAAACGTTCACCAAACATCTTGTTTGTATATATTAAGGAATGCAAACTACAAATAAGGAGAAATGTTTTTAAAAAAAAAACACTAATTAGATTAGCGGGTCTTTAGCTATTCTTTGAGATAAAACGCAACAAAAAGCTGTCATACTATTCCGAGCCGTGCCTGCACAGTGAAATGCCGTGAAGCCGTTTGGCCGTTGGGTATAAAACGGACGGCGATAAAGATCCCGAGCCATTTAAAACCAACAAAGCTGACACCTGCAACCCTGCAGGGGGTTTGATCGTGTCTGTCAATGTAAATAAAATTACCATCCTTTTCAGATTGCAACCTGTAAATACTCAAAAGACTCCTAAATCCCCTCAAAAAAAAAATAAAAGATTCATCTTAACGCAAAAGTTAAAATTTATTCATATAGGAAGCCATCTGGCATGCAGGATTTTTTTATATAGATCGTCCCTATGAACTTTAATAACTCCTATAAACATCCAAATAATAATAATTATAATAATGATACACTGAGAGGAACGGTGAGGGTAAGATTTAGAAGATTTTAGTAGTTTAGGAATTTAGTAAGATTGACAGGTATGGTTAATTGCTACGACTACCAAGGTTGAGATTTGTATATAACTTTATTCCTTTAGACTTCTTTCTGAATTGTAATTAGAAGTATTGTAAAGAGTTGACAACACGTAATACATAGTAGATAAATTTTAGAACTCACGACTAGGTCTGGGGAGTTAATCAAGAAAGAAAAGGATTGGTCAAGAAAAACAAGGCTGAAAAGCTGAATAGAAAATAAAATAGAGATTGGAATTCCTAATATAGAAAACAATATCCAAAATCCTATATACATGCTGCCATTTACTCTTGTAGACAATTTATAAATATTGTGAATCTGTGATCATCTTTTGGTACATAGAGATTTTGGGTACACTTCGTAGTGTAATTTTATTTTCAAGGCGGGTGTTCACATACAGTGAGGAGGAGTTTCTCAACAAATTATCACTAGGTGTAAAAATAGTATACATAAATAGATACTATTGAATATATTTATGCCACAAGGAAATATAATCAGTTTATATTAAGAGAGCTAATATTCCTCGAGGAATATATCTTACTTGTGTGTGGTCTTTTTATATACCTATAATGTGTTCCCCCTGCATCGGTACAATCATAAAGTGAAGATCATGCACCTGCATATGTTTGATATACGAAACTTCGTTTCTTGTTGCGGAATAGTAAAATGCTGCCCCATACTTTGCATTTCAAACGAAAAGGGCCAAGAGAAGTGAAACCTGCAAGTGTTCATTCTTCATGCAGCCAAATTTCTATAATTTTATTCTATTTGAATTCGGCTAAGGAAAGAGTTACTCTATTAAATATGAAGAGTGCTAGATAGACCACACATTGCTAATAAACAGACGTACTACAAGATTCGTATGGCCAGGTTAGACTACAGTGTTTTTTGTTCTTTTAAAACGTGTCTTTTTCAATTCTAAATCGTGTTTCATACAACGACATATCAATCTAGGGAGTTTCTTTTTTTTTTTAGAAATTATAGAGCCGCTTGGACTACTTACATTCCTCTACTATGCCAATCTGTAACCATCTTATCATGGGAATGGCACAGTGCTCGCGACCTAGACGAAGCTGGTATTAGAAGTAGATGTATGCCACTGGATCAGTTTCTTATAGTTAACACTTGTAACTAAATGTCACTTTCTATGTATTCAGAAACCATATATCGTATACCGTCTGGTGACTCTGGTCACGAATCAGACCATAACTCCACCTTGCATTTCCGCCCTTATGATTTCAAATATGATTCCGATTCTTCTACAACCAGCGATGTGGAGCAAATAAATAAAGATGACGAAATACCCGAGCGTTTAGATATTAGAAGATCAGACTTTATAAGGTCAACTGTAGCATTTCAGCTCAAGAAAGAAGGTATGAAATCTATAAAACCATCGGTGAAAGTTCGAAATCGAACGCAGGAGAATGAATTAGAGTCAAATAATTTAAAAATTGCTTGCCAAAAGGAAATTGAACCAAAACCACCAAAGATGGCTATATCACAGATAGAAGTTCCAACTACTCCACCTATAAATCCCACCCCTCCATTACCACCTCCCAAGGACTTCCCTCGCACTGTATTATTTGACTTTAAATCTGGTCCAGTTTCGTCTAACAAACTTTCTGAATGCGAGTCTACTTTATCACTTCACAAACCATTTATAGAGACATCCAGTAAGGCAAATGCAAAAGATAAAGTCTCCATACAAAGAAACTATAGTAGTAATAGTAGCAGCAACGACTACATTAGTGATCGAAATAGTTACACCAGTGACCATAATAGAGATATCAAACAGACTCAGGATACGGCTTATGTAACTGCGAGTAAAACCTACAAGAGTCATCGTAAGGCAAACTCTCTTCCAGAGCCTGATCTTGATAATCATAAGCTGGCTAAGGTGGCGAAAGAACTGGATAATGAAATACTCTTGAGGTCTCAAACTCAAAGACCAAAATCATTACCCAAGCCTCAAACTCGATTCTCTGGCCAAATCAAATCACCTCTTGTTCCACCAACTCCTCAAAATGCAGCTTCTAATAAAAGTTCGAGTCCCAACTTGAAAATCAATGTTACAACCCCACCAATGCTAAGAAGGAACATCTGTGAGCTGGTAACAAGGTCACCCAGGCCACCAGAACAGGATATTACTTCGCTAGCTAGAACCACCTTTGCAATACAATTGAGAAATGGTGGAGATCACAAGGAGGCACTGTATCACCTCAAACTTGCCGCAAGACCTCCAAACAATTATCCACATGCTATGTATCTATATGCTATGGCTTTAAGATCTGGTCTAGGGGTGGATATGAACAAAGCCAAATCGCTCAAATGGCTTTTACGGTGTATATTGGTTTGTGAAAACTCAACCAGTAACGATTTTGTCTCCAAATTGGCTAATTTACACACGAGTGATATGCTCCTAGCAATGAATCATACATTAAAGGCAGAGGATAGAATTGATCCTAATGTCCTCTATGAGTATTATTCAAAATTTCTGGTTAGTGAATTAGCGGAAATTGTGGAATCTACCAAGAAAAATGAAAAGATTGAAGCATTGACATTACATGAAGTTGGAAATTGTTTGATCTATGGATGGGGAGTTTCCGCAAAAGATGAAGAGAGTGGGATGATGTATTTGGAAAAGGCATCAACAATGGGAAGTGACAAATCAATGGTACAATTAGGAGAAATTTGGAAATCAAAATCAAAAGCAAAATATTATAAGAAAGATTTTTTTAATGCTGCTGCTTGGTTAAGACTTGGAGAATTGTTTGGCCAAAAATCAGAGAAGAATAAGTGGATTTACAGCCAAAAGTATATCGAGAAGAATTAAGAATTAATTGATAATAGCTTAATTTTCAAATGGAATTTCAGTGTTGACATACACATCGTCCTTAATTTCCTAACTTTTTAGTTCCTGTTTGAATTTGCAATCATTATTTATGGAAAATATAGTATATAATTATTAGTATTGTTGTTGTTTATAGAATTAATATTAATGAACCAAGTACAATGAATAGATATTTTAATTCACCTTAAGCTGTCAAATTGATACAATGTATTTTTTTTAATAAAATCTATAATCGAGAAATCTAAATGCAACATGAAACCAAAATAAAAGGTTTTAAGGCGGGTCCTGACATATGCGCGAGGGGCGGCCATTCTTACAATGCAATCTGTACCATATGACCCAATAACTTCCAGCTCCACAATGAAATTTACGATAATTCGTATATATTGACTCTGACAAGTTATACTGCTACTTCTACTTACTCCCATTCTTTTACTAATACTACTAATACATCTTTATGATACATTATATATACAATGAGTATATAATCTGTATTCAATCTGAACATTACATAAAGTAGTATTTTATTTTATTGGTATGATCCTAAGACTTTCCTCAACTATTTACCCGCTTGCATTACAACCTTCCACTTAATAGAAAAACCAACAAAAGGTAATGAAAAGCTCAAAACTTCATTCAATTCTATTATGCAACATGATTTTTCTTCATTTCTCATAAATTCTTTTTTTAGCGCTCGCTAATCTGAATTGGGAGTGTATCCAGTGAGTGTGTAGTACAGTAATGACAACTTTAACCCCCCCTTACCAACGTTAATTTAACTACCCTCTTTTTATATTTCATGACCTCGACAACAAGCAGTCCATGATAATATATTCCATTTTTACCTTCAATACCTACCCTACCCTTGATAAATAATATTTGCAGCCAATAACTGAAAGGCTGGTTAGTTTAAATTTATTATTATCATATTATATTTTATTTTTTCCACCGGACTCCGTATATTTAAGATTTGAAGGGCGGCTTCATCCATTCCTTCTTGTGACATCAACCCGTAACCTCGAAACGCCCTAATACATTCTGGGCACAGTGCTCGCGACCATCCGAAATGAATGGTAGACAAGATGAATTTACAAATGATTTAAGTTACTCTCCTTTACATCAACTAGAACGACAAATGGCTCTTTCGACCAGCTCTAGATCTAGAAATGTATCATCTGAAGGGTCCGGCCAGGCGGCCAGGTCTAAATCTGGGTCTCGTTCTGGTCTAAACTTAAAGTCTCAGAAGCAAACAAATCCAGTAGGATCTGTTTCAGGCTCAATTAGAAGTCAAACTGATGGTGAAAGTATCTATTCATTTGAGCTGGTGAGTACCAATGGACGCCTTTTAGATCGGTTAGGAATAGAAAGTGATTATACGTACGATGATGGAGATGAAGACGAAGAAGGTACCGATTGGAACCGCCGAGCAAGTACTTACTCGGTACAGTCTACAGGTAGACTTTTAGACCGTCTTGGCCTTGAAGATGATAAAACAAATTCATCTGGCCTGTCTCTTCATCAACAATTACAACAAATTGGAAGAAGAGTTTCGCATTTAGGGACCCAAAGGAATAAACCGATGACCGCTGCGTCGAGAGTAGGTGTTCAAAGGGCTCCATCTGCGCCTCTTCTGTCAACAACTAGATATGGAGCACCAACACAAACACAACCTCAACAGAAACACTTCACACCACCACAATCATCTGAATACAACGTTGGACAAGTCTCCGGTAACACAGTAGCTGCAACCGATAACCAGTCGATCTGGTCACTTCATGCAGACATGGCTTCATTAGAGTCAGTGGCCACAATCTCACAAATAGTATCGATTCATTCCAATGAATCAAATTGGTCTTCAGGGACCAGTGGTAGCAGTGAAGCTAGTGCACATACCATACATGGAATAACCACCCCTACTCCGCCTGAAACTCCAAAGGGACATCGTAAGACAAACTCTCTCCCAGAACCAGATTTAGATGAATTGGCCTTCGACGCATCGGAAGATGGAAAACATATCGAAAATGAAGATGAAGATGACGAGGACGAGTTTCGATTCACATCTGCATCTACATCTCCAATCCCCAACTCCCCTGTGCAAGTATCTTCCCAAACTCATTCTCGGACTCCTTCGAACCCACCCCCTCCATTACCATACCATCTGCCCTCGTCTTTCAATTCAGGTCACTTACCCACCACGTCACCAACTCCCCGCAGAATTTTATCTGAACCAATAACCTCACCTAACAAGTTCCCGAAGCAGGATATGTCTCCACCAGCACGAACTGCGCTAGCTATCCAACTCAGACAAAATGGTAATCATCGAGAGGCCCTGTATCAGCTTCAACTTGCCGCCAACACACCTAACAATTATCCACATGCTATGTTCTTGTATGCAATGGCATTACGATTTGGTCAAGGTGTACGTTTAAATGAATCTAACTCACTTAAATGGCTTATGCGATGTCTTCTAGTTAGTCAAAATGATGCAAATGATGCCTATGCGGCCAAATTAGCCAACGTTCTGCCCGAGGATATGATATTGGTGATGAACCGTTCACTTCAAGCTGAAGATGAGGTTGATCCTGGGAATCTCTATGAATACTACTCGAAACTCCCAGCGCCACAATTAGGCAAAATTGTAGCTACTATCAAGGCCAATCAAAATATTGGAGCATCCGCCTTTCACGAAGTTGGAAATTGTTTAATTAACGGCTGGGGACTTCCAAATAAGGATGAGATGCTTGGGATGACGTACTTGGCAAAGGCGGCTTCCATGGGGAGTTTCGTCTCTATGGCGCAATTGGGGGAACTTTGGAGTTCAAAGTCTAAACATCATAAAAAGGACTACTTCAAAGCATCAGCATGGCTCAGACTTAGTGAGTTATTTGGTCAAAAATCCATTGGGAATAGTTGGATCTACAAGGACAAATACATGTATCATAAAAAGTAGCATTTACCAGGAAATTTATACATCATTCATATATATATATATATATACAAAAATATATATCATATTTTAAAGCACATGGTGATTATAATCGTTTATGTTAGACTAGACCCCATCTCCATTCTCTCTCTCCTTAAGACCAGACTTCAATAAATACACAAACTTCCGCAGATTATCACTTGCAATGATTTCCATCATTTCTCGTACACAACTGAACATATATCCACCCACATCTTGTAAATCAGAGTAAATTCCAATTGGGAGATAAAAAGAATCTGTGCCAGGAACGATACTAGTCTTGGTGGTGGAATTTGAATTATTTGGGATATCGTTTAACCGTTTTGCCCAAGTTTTTGGGAAATACTTTGCACTCAACCCTGATTGATGGTATTGTTCTGCTAATCTGAACTCAACTGAAATATATTCCGAATTACTAATTTGAGTTCTTTGAAGTTCAATGATTTTGTTTGTAAGTTCAATGATGTTCCCACCATCAGATCGTTTGTTCATGTACAGTTGGACAGTTCTGTTCAATATGGAATTGATCCTTTTTAGTACAACGGCTCGAGTAAGATGAAGTATACCAATCAATAATTCCCATTGTGGGTCTGATGCTGGGGTTGTTTTGATTAGTTTGATTAAATCCATACAGTCCTGCATTAGTATTGACCAGTACCGTTCCAGTGGTAATGCCTTAGTAGCAAGTTTAACTTTCTCTTCATAATCACATGAAATAATATATAAAAGAATAGAATCAAATCTTACAATTATAGCCATGATTGGCTTCTCAAGAGTAACCAATTCCTTTGCTCGTTGTTTTGTTTCTCGAGCAAGTTGCACCCAGTAGTTTTTACGATGAATTAATTTATTCTTTTGTTCTTCTTCGTTGGATGTAGTGGCCAGAAGACCTGCTTCTTTGATGGGGTCACTTTTTGGTTTACTATTTGTATTGGTAGAACTGGTTGTAATACCCAATCCTGCCATTGGCCTTGTGGTACGTTTGGTTGGCGATTTAGGTGGAGGGACTGAGATTTGAACAATAAATTTTGGTGTTGGATTGTTTAAACTTCTCTTAACTGTGACCAACAGAGATGAATTTGATTGTGTGTTTGATTGTGTGTATGGAACTGGAATTGATTGAGCTGATTTATTCTGAATCAATGGAGGTGATGGGGATTCAGAATCTCGTGGAGTAGATGTTAGACCAACTCCAACAGATCTAGCTCTTTTAGGGGCTGGCAGTTGCAATTCTCGACTGGATCTCGATTCAAAAATTGAAGGTAAAGTAGGGGAAAGCATGGATAATGGTACGTCATCATCATACGCAGTAGTTGTAGTTGATGTAGTCGAACTTATAGAAGAGGTATCACTAGGGTTATTAAGTGAGCTTGGAAGTGAAGGCGATAAAGGTGGAGGGAGTAATCCATTGTCCTGATATGATGCCAACATGTCATCCAAATTCCAAGGGATCGGAGTTATTGAATGAGATGCCATTGAGCTATTAACGACAGTATTTTTCCTTTTCAATTTAGAACCGGCAGATGGTTGATTAGGCTTAGGTGACGAAAATACAGAGCTTGTACGTGGGTATGGACTTGCTGATTGGACTTTTCTAGGGTTTTGAGATGGCTGCAAGGATTTTTTTAACGAATTCTGAGTACTTGAACTTTGATACCCTCCACTTGAAAATTTAGAGTTCTGAACTGGTGTTCCAACCGAGCTAGTATTTCTCATGTAATTGTTAGAATTTGTCATTCCTGTAGGTCCAATTGGAGTTCCATTATGTATATTTTGTGATTCATTATTTGTATTTGATATACCATTATTAGTATTTTTGGTCATTGTACCTTTACCACTGCCAGGTACTATCCCATTTCCAACCCCTTTCCTTAACCCTGTAGATCTTTTCTTGGGACCACCAACAGGATCTCGGTCAAATATAGCAGATTTCATCCTTAGATGTGGGAAAAAAACTATTTGATATATTTCAAATATTGTTTTGTTCTCCTTTATGGCGTTGTTTAACTGGGGGGGCTTTCACCTAAGAAATCCATAAATTACACAAAACCGTCTGATTCTACAAAATGTTAATATGAAATAGAAGAGGGTGAGTGAATTATATACATATATGTATAGGAGAATATAATTAATATCGTCGATGGCAGGGCTATATAATGAAGTTCAACCAGCTCTCACGAAGAATAAGAAGAAGAAGCAAAATGTGATATCAGATGAAGGAGGTAGTGGTGTAAATATCGAAGGAAGAGGAGGAGTAGGAGTAGGAGGAGGGGCAGATACTAACAATAATAGTACAAACAAGAATAATAGTAGTAATAACACTCCTAAAGATAACAGTTCTAGTACTGACTGGCCAGAATCGCTTGAATTATTTGTACAGAATAGTTTTAGTGAGGCAATGAAACTTTCAACTGAGCAACAAACTATTTTCCATGAACAATTGGGTAGCATTGTTACAATGGCCAAGTCACAGAATTTATTATGGGAGAATGATTGGAGTAGGCAAACACTACCAATAATACAAGGGAGTAATGAACAGATCAAGTTGGTAGGACCACCAAACAGGGGGAAGCGAGGGAGAGACGACAAAGTTCCCATTAGTATTCCCCCTAGTCTTCCCACTAGTCTCCCCCGGATACCCAAAGCTACAGGATTGGAAACACCTCCACCTCATATTGCTCGTGTAAGTACACCTGTGGAAAGGGTTAGTAGTCCCATAGGACTGGGAGTTAGCCCAGGGGGAGCAGATTATGATTCTAGAGAAAGGAAAAGACAAAGAATGGAAAGATTTGGTACAGAATCACCCAAGCCAAAATATGGTTATCAACCACCAAGGAGTAACAATGGACCTTCAGGTGTGGTGGGTACTTGTTTAGACTTAGAAAAACATTACCTTCGTCTCACATCGGAACCTGACCCTTCCAGAGTGAGACCTTTAGAGATTCTCAAAGCATCCTTAATTCATATCCTTGAAAAACATGAATTTTCTCCTGAGCAGTATTCATACAAACTGTACCTTAATAACCAATTCAAATCAATCCGTCAAGATTTAACCGTACAGCACATCAAGAATGATTTCACCATCGAGGTGTACGAGGTACACGCACGTGTAGCCATCGAGAATAATGACTTGGGTGAATTTAATCAATGTCAATCACAATTGAAATATTTATATAGATTGAAACGAGACATGGGCGGTCTTGTTGACGACAAATTCATGAATCTGGAATTAGAATTTCTTTCTTATAGAATTCTTTATATGCTTATGACCGGTAATCATTCAGAGATTTATAAAATGAAGTTAGAACTTTATTCAGATACGACAGAACTTCCTAAACGTCAACGAGTAAGGCTATTCAAATGTGTGGAAGCTCTTTTCGATCTTCAAGGATATTTGATCCAAGGGAATTATTATCATTTTTTCCGAATCTATCGGTTTTTACAATCCAAGCTGTACATGCGACTTGCATGTCACTTAATGGAACATTTCCTTGTTGAGAAGCAGAGACTTAAATCACTAGCTATTATCTCCAGAAGTTATCGTAAGATTGGACTTTTGTATTTAACTGAGATTTTAAATTTTAGTACTGATGCCAATGGCCCAGACAATATTTTAGGATTTTTAGAGAAACATAAGCTAACAGTTTACGTACAAGGGAACGAATTGGATTGTGTTCAATCACGTGGATCATTGCAAAATATGGTTGTGCAACAAGGGTTCAAGAAGATAGACATCAAGGGTCAAATATAGAGAATGAGTGAACCATAAACTCTCTATATTTTTTCTTTAAAGAGAAGGTTTTTATGCCCAATCAAGATCATTTCTTGGAGAATTTTTGGGCTGGAAGTCTTCATATAGGGGTTTAAGAGTAAGAATTTGTTCAGCTAAGTTTCAACATCATTTTTTGATGACCATTATAAATAATGAATTTCTCTATTAACTAATATATCTTCTTTTAAATGTCAAGAGAGGTTCTAGTTAACTTCACATATGGAGAACAATTATTAAGATTCTGACAGATGTATATTTAGTGATATCTATACATATATATATATGCCTCTATCTTTACAAAAAATACATACCCGGTACTACTGAACAGATAAATCTCATGTGGTTTATAATCCTGGAGCGATAGCCATGATGGAGAAATTGTGTTTGTTCTTTTCATCAGTGTTGTTCATATAAAATTGAACTTTTTCAACCACTTTTGGATCATCCAAAATATGTGGTGCATCTGACAGTTTACCCAAGTCTATTGGACCGTTCCTGCGGCCGTCAAGCTCATATAAGTGGCCATCATGCGGGGATTTGATGAATGTAACAAAGTGCAAATCAACACTATCCTGAGCACTTGGTGCTGCAGTTTGGCCCTGAACACCATAATTTGAATCGAGTTGAATATCAGACTCCAAATTCTCTACTAAGCGTGATACATCTTCTACAGATGAATATTTCGTAATTTGACGAAGAAGACTATCTTTCAAAATCAGGCTTGAAATGATAAAGTCTTGAGGTAAGTTAGCCAAAATGTGGAGCAAAGCATAGAGTCCACAAGCATTTCCAATAGTTTGCTTAAACCATTTAATATCAGTAGTCTTTTCGTTGGCATATGCGGCTGTACTTGGTGAGTCTACAGCATCGGTTTGGCGCCTATATGCCTCGTATGTCTCGGTCAACGGGAATAACATGATGATGGCGTAAACTGGTTGCGGAATAAAGCTGAGTAAATCTGGGTCTGTCAATGAATACAAATCATGGAATTGAAGTACTGGGGATAAACCCAACTTGTAGGAAAGTTCATTAAAGATGTCAGGGTTCGATTCAAGTGGTATAACACGTTTTTCTGACGACATAATGTAATTAAAAAGATCTGATGAATAATGTATGGGTCGAGTTTTCGAGAATTTGCTCACTTGAAATAGTTTGAGATTTGAGAAAAAGGTGGGGACAATTTCATATGTAGGAAAAATCCTCTAATGGCCCCATAAAACCTATCAAGTTTTAAATTCAGGCGGGTGTATAGCAGATATATAAGAGAGGGATGTATAGCTTCTAGTAGATTGTTGAGTGTGAAGGTTTTTAATGCTGATATGTGTGTTTTATGTTGTTTGTTTTTTTAGAGAAAGCTGAGTAGGAAATCATTTTTTGAGTCCAAATATATATAATGTATGTTTAATGTAGAAGATGGGGGATAAAATATATTTATACCCAATATCAAGTATTGGCCCAAAACTTAGCTCAGGGAGTCAATTCAGCATTTTAAATGCCATATTATGGAAGTAGGAATAATACCCCTTTTAAATAGTTGTGATAATGTTCCAACAAATATTTCGCAGCCATGTTAATCCTCCCACTTTCACCGTATAAAAGTTTATGGAATATTAAGGTAGAGGTATGGATGGGAAATCATATAGTGAGGTATCTAATTGATAAACCAACAAGATAGTCATTACCGAGCCGCTTCATTCATTTGAAGCTACTCGTCGTCTTTATAAACCAGGCTCTTGCAATACTCCACTTTATTTATTTTGCCTACAATCATTCAACATTTTCTAGATTCAGAAGGAAACGTTAGAAAATAATGACCTCATAAATCTTATGGATCTAATTTCATCTTGAATTTAAGCACAGTTGCACAATAACGCTGAAATTAGCAAGAATAGCCAGAATATTTAATTCTTTCTAAATTTATGAAACACGGAATATTTCAAATTAGTCTTAACAATATGAAATGGAAAGATGACTGAAATCTAAACATTATTGACTATATAAACGTTAAGATCTATGCTAAATAGCATTGAAAAACTTGAAATTTTAACGGATTGTGAAAATTTGATGCGATTTAAACACCCATATATTTTAAACCAATATGAAACAGGTCCCTTGGCCCAGTTGGTTAAGGCGTGGTGCTAATAACGCCAAGATCAGCAGTTCGATCCTGCTAGGGACCATTTGTTTTTTGATTCTTTTTTTTTGCGCTCGTTAGAAAGGTTTAAAAATTAAATTTTGCAGCTTATCGCATAATAAGCCTCCCCCATAACAATGAACATTTATTTTTATTATTCGTTTATTAATTATATTATATATCATAGATGTCCATCAAACAAATGAGAAATATTAAGAAGTTTGAAAGACATGGTAAAGTAGGAGTGCAAGAACAGCAACAGTAAAAACAAACAGATATTTACTAAGTTAAAAAAAGGGACATGGGAATCATTAGGTACACATAACAAGTGAAGATAACTTCAGAAAAAAAATAAAACGGCAAAATGGTAAATGATGCAACTTGAAGTTCACAAATCCTTTTCAAATTAGTTTAAAAGAAACTCAACTCTTTATTTATTCAGAAATAAAGGTAGCTTCATTAAATGCAATTCCCTTTTCAGAAGATTTACCTTCAACTTCAACTTCAAAATCGTTACAGAATTGATAAATAAATGGTTTAGCACCAGATACACCACTAACAATGTTTTTAACAAATTGAGGGATTTCAGCCATAACATCAACTCTTTCAACAAGAACTTCTAAATCACCTTTAACTGAAGCCTTTACAGAAGGATCGGAAGATTTATCACCATTATATTTGAATTCAATGGCCTTTGGAACTGGCCATCCAACTTCATCTATGGTTGGTTCCAAATGAAGGACATCATTATTGATAGAACAAGTTAAGATTTTATCATTGGAAGTTAAAATTCCAATATTTACCTTTGTATTACCATAAGAAGGAGGAGTAGTAAATTCCATTTGAACTGCACTGTAGTTTTCACTTTGGAAATTAAGAAAGTTCCAAGCTTTGGCAGCATGATGGGGTTTCATACCTTGTAAAGCCATTACAAACATAGTTAAACCTTCAATTTCAATAACTTTATCTCCCAGTTTAATAGTACCATTGACTTTACATCTTGGCCAGAATAAATGACGCATTGAACCCCATGGATTTAAAGCATCTTCACCATAATGAGTGGTACCATCTTTACCAAAAATAACACCTGGAACTAATCTTGAAACGGTTAATTCTACAATTGAATCAGGATTTACTGATGATTTCAAAGTATAAGTTAAATTATCTTCAGATAATTCAATAGAAAGACCTTGAGCATAAAAGTTTGATCCTTCAGTTCTAAAATCTTCCAATTTTGTTGAAGTCCAAATATTTTCCTCAATTGGCTTACCATTATGATGGTTGAATAATCTAAAGGTAAATTGAGCAGTAGTATGAACACCCATAAGATTAGAATGAATCACTTGAGCAAATCCAACAATACCAGTTTTTAAACAAGTAAAGTAAAAGGTTTGGGTTTCTACATTTGTATAATCTGGAGATTTCCATGCAAAATCTTGTACAGTAGTTTCTTGATAAACTTCATCATTTTCTCCAATAGAATCAATAACAGTTTGAACTGCTTCTCTTCCATATTCTGGTTCTGCAGTACCTGCTACAGCAGAGAGTCCAGATTGTACCCACTTAAACATATTTGTTGAATCGAGTTAGATAATAGATTTTATTTTCTTTATTCTAATAGTCCCTTTTTTTATAATTTAAAAAAATAAAACAAGTAAAGTTCCAAAGAATAATGATTTAAAGGAGAGAAGAGAACGGCAAATAATTCTAAAATAAATAAAAATGTAGTAAAATAATTCAGGGAAGAAACCTTGAAAATCCAGCCCGCTTTTGTGGAACTTTAGGGTTCATTGTGTGTAGGTGTTTGTGTGTGTATGCGCGTAGTTAACCTGGTGTATGTGTGATGTCCTCCGTACTGAATGCAGGCCGCAATCCAATTGACAAAGAAGAAAAAAAAAAAAATAGAGCAAAAATAAACTTAATCATATGACCAAAAAGTACGCGGGAATTTAAAAGATGAATCAACCCTTAGCCTGCACAATGATCCTGATTGATCCTGATTATAATCCTTTTTTTTAAAAAATTATTTTTTTTCGCTTTTTAATCATATGACTAAAGAATTGAATTGGTTACCGGATTGTTGGCCCGGACTGCATCTATAAAACCCTTGGAACCATTTCTAAATTTAACGTGGAATGATGATTGATAATTTGTATCATACATAAATGGTCACTCCTATATGAGAGAGATGACCGAAGGTAAGGTGATGGCCTGCTATACTCGTTAAAAGCGTACCTCAGTATGGTATTTTGATGATGCTAACATTATTATACAGATCTTCAAGGTAGTAACGTAAAAAATAAGGTAAAGATGCCAATTTATAACACACAATATGAATTCCTTTTTTTTTTAAAGGGAGGCTTTTGTAACCAGAGCCGCGCATATTGAATATGATTAAAAAGCCGAATATTGTTGTAAACTGGGTATATATTACCTTAGAGATATTGAATGATTATTATGAAGGGACGGGTGTATGAATCGCGAGCCTACTTAAATTCAATACAATTTAATAATATTAAAAAAATGAAACGGTAATAATATTTTATAGTTATTTTAGACACTTGGACACAAGTGTTACCTAAGACACGTGTACGCGTGTATTTCAATGACTTAGTACTGATTTCATCAAACACCACCAACATATATCGTCATCTACAGTCTATTTTTGAGGTCAGTAACTCCTTCACCCCCGCAACTGTGTAATATCCCTTACAACCTCCTGCCATTTATTTTATTTTTCTTTTCATTTCTTTTTCCCTAATATTATTATTTTTAAACCTGTTTTATTTTAATTTTTTTTTTTTTTTAATTTTTGTGATTTCGTCTCTTTCCTGGTTTAGACTAAAATTTCCGCCCGTTTCGTTTCCGGATACGAATGATCTAGAGTAAAATTAGGATTTGTACACATTCTTTCGATTCAAGTATCAAACCGCGAGGTGGGAGACGAAAGACAAGAAAAAAATTATTTTAAAATTGTACCAAAGACTCTTGGAAGGTCCAGACTCTTCAATTACTATTTAGCAGTGTTACCTTTTAATTAACGTCTCCGCACTGTTCGCTAATCACCGTATTTTCAGTGTGCAACTTTAGTACTGCGTGAGGCTTTAGGTTTTTTTTTACCCACCCAGATAGTCTTCTGATATATCCCAACCACAATTACTAAGACCATTAATTAGAATTGAATTTTTTTTTTTCTCTTCATTAACTTCATTCTAGAGACTTTATCAAATGTCTAGCCCCAGTGTTGCTAAACTTGAACCGGTTAGGCAGTTGGGAGTAACAAATCCAATTTCGATAAAGTTGACTACAGATCTTGTGAAACAATTAAGATCTTGTGCTGAACAAGGACTCAATGCCCGTTTAATAGTTAAAGATGGAATTTATGTAAGTATAGCTAGAACATTCCTCGAAGTTGAATAATTTCAATAAGTTGATACTAACAAAATTTTTCCCAATAGTCAATTAAAGTTCTTCAATCAATTTATCCCTGCGCATCAACTTTGGAAACTTCTCGAATAGATATTTACCAAAAGCCCCAACAGACGTATTATGGACGGATTTCAACCAGACTTAATGTTATTACAGACCCTAGATCCATCAAGGATTATATGAGAGTTGCTAGAACTTCGTCACCGATCCCCACCATAAGTAATCAACCCCTCCTTCCAAGTAAGGGTCAACAGTCGACCCCTAAGCCTAAGGCTGCCACTGAGGTTATAACCACTCCATATGCTGCCAATGTTCCAAATAAGATCACCAGGCTCTTATACCTTCTTGCATTAGGTCCAATGACCAAGACCAATATTTCATTGAGAACACAACTTTCAGAAACAGACCTTGAACCACTACTTTCCACTCATGCACAACCATATAATCCAAACGATTCATTTATTATAGATGATATTTTCCCTAATGGAGGGATCATCAATGATGATGACGAATCTGTACCATATATACTCAAGGATAAGAGTTATAAAGATCTTAGACCATGGGAATGGCAGTTTTATTCTGATGAGGAAAGAAATTTGATCATTCATAATATCCATAATGCATTAACAAGATTGGGATTTCTGGAAACTCATCCATTAAGAAGAAAAATTTGCGATAAACCGGGCCCAACTAATTCAACGACGAATGCTATTGATACATCCTTGAAAAAATCTACATTAGGAGGAGGGATTCTTACTGGACTGAGTAAAAAATCCCCCATTAGAAAGGCATCACCTAAACCAATTGGTGGGGTTACACAAACTAATATTTCAAATGATACCAATGTCATTAATTTAACATCCAACAATATCAATAATATTGGTGGATCACCTTTAAAAAACAATAAACGGAAACTGAGTTCATCATCATCATCATCAGATGATGAAAAATTACCAAATAAGAAGAGACCTACTCGTAAGGGATTATCTAAAAATTCAATTAATGAATCTGGAACTAATCTTAGAACAGGCATTCATAACACTAATCAAATAACCACGGGACATGTATCTGATTCATCTACTTCACCGTCATCAATTAATGAAGAACTGGAACCAGAAAGAATCAATCTGAATCAATATACCTCTGGTAGATTGGCATCACCACACATTGCATTAGCAGAGTCGAAGGACCTGAAAAAATTACAATTTTATAACAATTTAGCTTTAAAATTCAAATTAAAGTATAAAGAGTATGAAGAATTATACAAACAACTTCAAAACAATTCAAATAAGTCGAATGGAGAAAAGAAGAACGTTACTAGACTTTTCGAACTTCATAATCAATTATCTGAATGGAAACGTAAATTATGGGATTTTGAGAATCAAAGTAAACTCAAACTGGATATTATGACTTTACAAAAGCATCGTAAACCCGTGGGGAAGAGCCAAAGTGAGAGTCCTTCCATGACTCCAGTGGCTCGTAAACGGACAGCTCCACCAGAACCACGACTTCCAATGAAGCCAGCATTATTCCAAAGATCTTTAGATTATTAAATATATAAAAACAGATAAAATAAACAATCAAGACATGGAGAGAGGTATGTAAATGGGAGAATTAACAGATAAAGTTGGATACAGAAAGTATATCAATTCTGACCAAGGGAAAATTTAAGCTGGAATATGAATGCAATTTATATCAAACAATGTATAATATTTTTTTTTTAGCAGAAAGAACACTTTTACAAGGGTGATACCTTGGCAATCTTTCGAACTTACTGATCGAATTTACAATTAGATGAAGCTAATAAATTTAGTTGAAACGGATTTGCATCACGTAGACGAAATTACTTAGACCAACTCATAATCTCGAAAAGACTTTAAATATATCATATACCTATAACATTGATATATATCTGCTTTTCATGTAGTTCATGTATTCCTTCAATATTTGGTGAGATATTTTGTGTTTTGCCATTTTTGTTTCGGTTAGTCGCGAAGTATCAACGTTGATAAAAAAATATTGAAATAGGAGATAGAGGACTACTTAGTTCTAGCATTGTGATCAAATATGACCAGTGATACAGAACATCCAACGTCTGAGATCGGAGAGGCTGATCTTGTAGAGACTCCAGGAACCATTGATGGAGGAAGTGCCGAACCTACAGTCGAGCCTGAGACTACTGGTGAAGGTGCTACGAGTGCAAGCACTGCTAATTCTAAAAAGAAAAAGGTGCCACCAAAGGCATCAGCAGAAGTTTTACAAAGACGTAGAGAAGGTAGAATCAAGGCAGCTGCCACCATTGCTAATAATTTGAAGAAAACCGGAATTGGTCGGTTTGAAGAAGAGAATGGATTTCTGCTTACCAGTGTTAAACAAATTCCATTAATTAATCAAAAGAATTATTTTGCAGACTATTTGAAAAAGGATGAACAAGTTTCATTTATTAGAAATTGGAGAAGTGAAAAACTTATGCAAGCAAACAATAATAATAAATTGAAAAAAGCTCTTAAGAAGGAAGATACTGATACACCATCAGGAGAAGTTCGTAATTTTGAAGATTTCAATTTAGGAGACATTGAGGAAGAGATGAATAGAAAGGCAGCAGCAGCAGCGGCTGCCTTAGACGACGAGGAAGATGAAGATGAAGAAGAAAACGAAGTGGAAGGAGAAGGAGACGTCGAAGAAGAGATTAGTGAAGAAAAGGCAAGATTGGGATTTGATACGATTGTAATACAACCTGGTTCTTCAAACGTTAGAATTGGTAGAGCTACAGATGCCTTTCCTAGAACGGTTCCAGCAGTTATTGCTGTTAGAAAACACACCAAAGAAGCCAAGAGCACAACTCCACATGTCAATTATCCAATTAGAACTATACAAGAAGATGGTAGTGTATTCTTTCTGGAAAACTTCGATCAAGTTAAAGATGTTGTAACTAAGGATTTTAAGGCAAGAATGAAATATTATAAACGTAGAATCTTACCAAATTCAAGAGAATCAGCTGCCAACTACAACAAAAGACAAGAACCAGAAAGAATTCCTGACCATAATGATCCATATAAAAAGGAATGGTTAGATTCAAATGAAACGAAAACTCAAGAATTTTTCGTTGGAGATGAAGCATTAAAATTACCAATTAAAGAACAATCTGGATCAATTTGGAAGTTAAGATTCCCCATTGTAAATGGGAATTTCAGTGAATCAGAAGATTATGAATCACCACAAGAAGTACTTGGAGATTTGGCACATATTGTCGAAACTACATTAGCATCCATGGATGTCAGTAATTTCACAAATCTTAAAGTTTTACTTGTAATTCCAGATTTATATGATAAAGTATACGTTGAAAACTGGTGTGATATGTTATTTAAACAATTAAATTTCAGTAAAGTTGCCATTATACAAGAATCTGTTGCAGCTACATTTGGTGCAGGGGCACAATCTGCATGTGTTGTTGACGTTGGAGCACAAACCACTACCATTTCATGTGTTGATGAAGGACTTATTATTAATGATTCAAGAATTGTTTTAAATTATGGAGGTGATCATATTACTGAAACTTTTATGAAACTTTTATTACAACTGCTGTTCCCATATCATGATATTAATTTGAAAAGTTTTAATGATGATTGGGAATTAGCTGAACTTTTAAAGAAAAATTATGTTACATTCCTGGATGCTGACATTGCTGTACAACTTTATAATTTTTATAAACGGAAACCAGATGAATTAACTATCAAATATGAATTCAAAGTATTTGACGAAGTCATGATTGCACCTTTGGGACTTTTCTATCCATCATTATTTGAAATTGAAAATGATAAACCAAGGAAAAGAATTTTATTCCCAACATCAACTGATCAATATTCAGGTAAACCAAATAATCCATATTCAAAAGCTCAAGAAAATTTAACAAATGATTTAATTCATGCCGATATGGCTGATGATCAATTATTATTACAAATGGTTGATGAAAAAATTAGATTAAAACTTGCTAATCCATACCTGAAACCTAAACCAACAAAGACATCAACAAATGATCAACAAAAGTATCATAAAGTATTGGCTCCTTTAGAAAAGGCTATAATTGAATCTATTACCAATGCTGGGGTTGCAACAGATTTCACCAGAGTTAAAAGATTATATGATAATTTACTTATTGTTGGTGGAGGTTTTGCCAAAATCCCATCATTTGATCTTTTATTAACCGATAGAATTAATATTTGGAGACCTAAATTTTTATCTTCATCTTCAATGGATGAAATATTAGAATATGTTACTATTGAAAGAACCAAAAATGATTTAAAGAAAAAGGAATTGATAACTCAATACAAGGAGAAAAAGTTAAAGGAACGTTCAGCAAATGCCAATGGAGCCACCACCAGTTCTGATACTGGTACTGCCTCTAGCACTGCGGCCACGTCTACCACCCCTGCTACAACAGCCGTCACTTCTGCTGGTACTGAAGAAAAAGATGATAATTTGGAAGACATTCAATTAGATAAACAGGAACTTGCAGAAATCGAAGCAATGACTCAACTCGAATTAGATTTAGATTATATTGATCTGATAAGTGATAAGGGCCAATTATTGCTGGTGAATGTTTTACCTCCACCTCGTGAATTTGATCCAGAAGTTTTAACTTGGAAGGGTGGTAGTGTTTATGCTCGGTTAAAAGTTATTAGTGAGATGTGGATTACTGAAAATGATTGGGATTTACTTGAAAGTAGATGTTTATATTACAAGAGTTTGTTCAATTATTAGAAATTGATGCAAATATTAAAAGAATTAGACGATAGGATTTAAAATTATTGAATTTAAGTAGAACTAGAGTCATATGAAGATAGCCACTCTAATTAAAGATTTAGTACCGGATATAAATGTCCTGCAGGTAATTTAGCTAGGAAGAATAAAGTCCCGAACTGAATAGCTGAATTTACATCTAGAGAATGGGGTTTATTTTAAATATTTTCATATAGATACTCCAATTTGAGTACTTGAAGTATTTTGAGAGCTAAAAAGGAACAGATAAATATTAATTTTATTTTGTAAAACCCATTTTCTTGTACGAACTAAAATAAGTTCAGCTACCCCTCTTGTACAGCGCCGTGCTTGTGAAAATGAAAGATTGAAAACGAGATGACATAATATTGTAAAAAAAAAAAACACTATATAGAGAAAGATCCCACGATTTAGTTCCTCCGCTCATGATCTTGAAAATAAAAACTACACTACTACGAATAAATAATTGTTAAAAGTGTACCTATGAAATTTCCGATTGTATTTTAGTCTATTTTGCATCCATCATAACCTAAAGAGACATTCCGAAAAACCCCGACCCCGGAGCTCGGTAATAAAAAACACGTTGCGAAGGAAGAGGGGTCAAACTGAGCAAAAAAAAAAAAAAAAAAACAAGCCAACCATAGTTCTCTAAAGTTATATATTGCTTTGCAAATAATAAATTCCAATCATTCCATGTAGCATACTTGTGGTCTCTTGTGTAATGTAGTTATATAAAAAAAGTGTATAAATTGTATTAAATCATCTAATTTGGAATTCAAATTCAAGTGAAGGAAAGTGTTTGTCCGATTCTATTTGAAATCCGATTTTGTACAACCACCGGTATGTGCTCGAAAAACCCAACCCCACCTGCAGGACGGCCCAGCGACGCCCGGGTTGTTTCTCATTTCAATTTTTACAAATTGTCCAGTTTACTTCAAATCATTAACTTCAGTCAGCGCCGACATCTATCTACTAAATCATGTTGAACAGACAAATTGCCAGAGGTTTTGCCAGCACTAGCCGTGCCAGCAACTACGCTTCCACCATTCAAAACTTGAAGGTTACCAAGGACACCAAGGTTATCTTCCAGGGGTTCACCGGTAAGCAAGCTACTTTCCACGCCGAACAAGCCATTGCTTACGGTACTCAAGTTGTTGGTGGTACTAATCCAAAGAAGGCCGGTACCACTCACTTGGATAGACCAGTTTTCGCTTCCGTTAAGGATGCTATCAAGGAAACTGGTGCTTCTGCCACTGGTATTTTCGTTCCACCATCAATTGCAGCTGCTGCCATTGAAGAAGCCATTGAAGCTGAAATTTCTCTTGCTGTTGCCATCACTGAAGGTATCCCACAACATGACATGGTCAGAATTGCCCAAATCTTGAAGACTCAAAGCAAGACCAGATTAGTTGGTCCAAACTGTCCAGGTATTATTGCTCCAGATCAATGTAAGATTGGTATTATGCCATCCAGTATCCACAAGAGAGGTAGAGTTGGTGTTATTTCCAGATCCGGTACCTTGACTTATGAAGCTGTTGCCCAAACCACCAAGGTTGGTCTTGGTCAATCTTTGGTCATTGGTATGGGTGGTGACCCATTTCCAGGTACCAACTTTATCGATGCTTTGACTTTGTTCTTGGCTGATAAGGAAACCGAAGGTATCATTTTGATTGGTGAAATCGGTGGTACTGCTGAAGAAGAAGCTGCTGAATTCTTGAAGCAACACAACTTGACTAGACCAGAAGGTCCAAAGCCAGTTGTTTCCTTCATTGCTGGTGTTTCTGCCCCACCAGGTAGAAGAATGGGTCACGCTGGTGCCATTGTTGCCGGTGGTAAGGGTGATGCCAAGTCTAAGATTGCTGCTTTGCAAAGTGCTGGTGTCATTGTTGAACCATCTCCAGCTAGATTGGGTAACTCTTTGTTGCAAGAATTCAAGAACAAGGGTCTTTTGTAAACATGATACAAAGCTAATAGCAAACTTATGATTGAGTAGATTTTAGAAGGCTTTAGGGAATTTAGAAAATGATACTATTAAATTCATTATTTAATTTTCCTTTGTAACCACCTAAATTTTTCATCTCTATTTCATGTAATTTGTTATACTTATTCCTATCTACTATTATATTATATACATATCCATATTGAATTACTTGTAAGCAGAAATCAAGAGAAGGTAGAATGATAGATTAGAGTTAGTCAAGTAACAAGGAATCAGCTCTTGCACTACCTTCATTAGTGGGGAAGGAATTAAATATATGTTTCCATGGAATTCGGGGCATTCATAGAATTAATCACAGGTTTCAGTAGCCTTAAAGTGGCTTGCCCTTGAATTCCGAATTCCACTGACAAGCGTAAAAGTATTATTGATTGTTTATGGCACAGTGGTCACAAGACAAAGAATACTTTCAATCAAGACTAATGGAAACTCAAATTGTACTTAAATAAGCTATAATGAAAGAATTAAGGTACAAAAAGAAGAATAACTGGGTTTCATGATCTTTTATATATAAGAATTCTCAGGTCCATACATACTTGACTTTAAGTTATTCTAGTCTGTTGAAGTAGTTCTCTAGTTTCAACTTTCAATACTTAAATACACAACTAGAAAAGATATTTATATGGAAACATTTCTTTAACTTAAAATCATAAACTAGTTATAAACATTTTGGTGATACGTGCATCGAGCCATTAGTAGTAAATTAGATCTTGTTCTGTTCTTTTCTGATCCTTGATTTCATCTTTTTAGGGTTTGACAGCATTCTTTCTTTGTTTTTTTTTTTTTGATTTCTTTTGTGTGTAGTTTTGTGGTTGCAAAATTGTGGGTGCAAAAGGATATATATATGGACCCAAAATAATTGGAAGTTAATACTTACTATTAAATAAACTTTTCCTATCCAAATTCTTCGATAGAGTCTTTAGAACTCATATTCTAACCATCCATAGATTAAGAGAAAAGTAGAAGTTAAATGGCGATAGTCGAAGAAATATACAACACAAATATCCCCGAAGGCCAATCCATGATGATTGCCTTGCTCAATTTTCCCTTTAATTCATCAATAGAAATCAAGTCTGGTATGTCCATTTCCATAGTTCAGGATTCCTCTTGTGTCTATTTATCTGCTGTGACCACCCAACATGATTATGTTAAGGCTTTGGATTGGATTACCATCCGCTCATTCGATACGATACGTATCTCTACAACTTGGCATTTAGGTATATCTTTATATTTTAATCCAGAGGATCATAAGGCAAAAGATTCTATATATTTAAGGCCGGGAAAATATCTAAACGTCATTGCAGCCTTTTCCTTGAATGATTTATTATCTTTTAAAGCAGAGGTCTCTACACCAGATTCCCCAGGTATCATTATAGACATGGCTCTGGGATGTTACATTGATATCACCAACTCGGAGGAGAATATAAGAATAGTTGGAAAATGTCGTATAAAGTTATCCTCAGCCACTATTTTTCAATATTACACCCATAGAGCCCGTATTTGGTATGTGTGGTGCATCCATCGTGTATGTAAGTTTTTGAGGTATTCTTGTACGTCAACAGTTAAAAACGGTAGGTTCACGTTGAATAGATCAACCCGTCACTTGATCATACCAGCTTCGATTTTGCTGTGCATAGCCTCTTATGCAATTCTTATTGTGACTACGGTATATTTCCGATTATCTGAGTTTAATGGAATTGAGGGATGTGTTATAGGAGTATCCTTCACTATATTTTTAGCATCTGGGGGTCTTTGGTTACTATTTAATAGTGAAGAGAATACCGATGACGATATCTTTGTGCTAAGAAGTGTTCTCTTTTACAGCATAGTTGGATTCGCCGTGTGGAGTATTTGTTTTTTGTTGATGGTGATATTTTCAGCGAGAGCACAAAAGGCATACTTGGAAGTAAAATGTATCAATAACTTGCTAGCGAAACTTCATCTTATTACGGATTCAAGAGTAGGGGCCATTGCAAACAAATTTTAAAAGGAGTGACATGGGTCCAAAGTTTGAACCATGTTTGAGGATCAGTAGCGGTTGGAAGCATGTGGGAAATTGAGTGAAAAATCCCAGCAATCAGGGAGGATCCAGGTAAAGAAAGCAAAGGGAGTGAGAAATTGGCTAGCTGCAATATACTATATCAGTGCTGAAATTACTTTTAAATTTTATGTTGAAATGATAAACGATAATATTTGAATGTATATCTATCATTAACAAATACACGTACTCGGGGCAGTTCTGGGCAATCAATTAGATGACGATAGAAGGTCAGGTGAAGAGGGAGAATTTTTTGAAATATATCAATGAGGTTCCTGTAATAGCCAAAATATTGAAACGGCACTTATAAACCCTATTAGGAAATCGGTGAACACTTGAGCACTATTCTAAAAACGTGCAATTAGAGAAACTTGGCAACTTTAGTATCTCCGAATTCTGGTATATATTCTCACATGATCTATTTGTTGGAGTGTTAGTTTAAAGGTTTTCAATACAAGCTACTAACAACATGTGCTTTCCGACGATAAAAATTAGTTGTCAGAACATTCTCTTTGCTGCACAATTTACTCTATCGTTGTTTATCTTCAAGGCTATTTCGAAAAGTTTGAAATGCTATCAGCAGGCTAAATCGAGAGAGGAACTATATATGTGTCACAATGGAAGAAGTTGGCCATTTGAAGCTGGCTTTATGCTTCTATACTACACGAGTTGCGTCGGTGGTATTATCTATTTTGCATATTTATTCAAGCTGGAGCGTTCTGGAAATAGGAGTGATTCTGTGATTTATTCTGATTCTGACTATTTTTATGATTGGTATATATGCCTCCCGTCAGTATTTATCATTCCACTGCTTGTAATATGTCCAATTGTTGCAACAATATTTTATCTATGCATATTTCTTTAAATCAGTAAATATAGAAAAGATAAATCATGACTATACTCTGGGATACAAATTTACTCCAGCGCTGTTACTAAGAATCAAAGTAGTGAACATTGTAAGAAAAGTACTGTAAGAAGTTCGTACTGTGCAACTGATAAGAGAAGGTGGTGGTGAAAGATTTCGCAACTTTAAAACCTCCAAAAAATAAAATAAAAAAAAAAAGGAATTATGTACAAGATCCGTGCAGCCAATATAATTACAAATCCGTTCCGCACGGATTCTTCTTTGAAAGAGTAGAGTTTGCAGTAATCCTCTGAGGATCCAACGGTGTCCTTTAGAGTGACTAGTTGGGTATTAGAGATTGGAATGTAAATACTACAAAGGTAAAGGTATCAAACTACCCTCGATGGAGCAAAATACGGTTGCTTATTTCTCAATATTGAAGTAGAGCTTTATTATCGTACTGAGTTTTTAAGTATTCACTAAAACTGCTTTCAAATTGATATTATTATGAATTATTAGTGATTAGCACATTTTTAGTACTCTTACCACTTATTTAAATCATAACGATATACTTTGGATGTACAAAAGTTATTTGCAGTCTATGATAATATGCAATTCCAATTCACTATAGGAGAGATGACATCAAGATGGTCATCCAATTCATACACATTGCTGATCTAAATCTTATAAGAAATTTAATGAACTATTATGCTATACTCTATTATTTCGAACTTGTGGGTATTTATTGATCTTGATATTTATGGATAACTGAATATATATTGATCCGCACACGACTCAAATGATATTTTTTTTTCGAATTCAACTCTTCAAATTCTACAAATTTCAACAATTCAATCTATAAAGAGTTCAATTAAAGATCAATACAATAAACAAATATGTTTAGAAACCTTGGGAGATTACCAGTGCAGTTCCGTGCTGCATCTGTTGTCCAAGTGGCGGCACCTTTAAGACAATTTTCAATGTCTCCAATCTGTTTGAAAACCAACACATCCACCAGAACTAAGGAAAATGTTCATGATTTAGAAACATTTTTGACTCTTATAGGTCGTAACTGTGTGGAACATGTAGAGTTGTTTGATAACGATTTACAGAAGTTTTTAGGAACAAAGAGCGCTGAAATGAAGAAACTTGGTCTCGATATACAAACAAGAAAATATATGTTGAGATGGATCAACAAATTTGTTAATGATTTGGAACCATTAAGAGAACATGTCAAGGGGAAGAAGAAGAACGGTGGTGAGCGTAAAGCACGTGAAGTCTTGGCCAAGAGAAATGCTGCCAAGAGAAGTGAGGAAGCCCAAAAATATAAGGAAGAACAACTTGAGTTGGAAAAGTCTGGTGAAAGAGTATTTTAAACCCATTCAAGATGAATGGAAAAAGTCAAAAGGCCAACTTATTTTGAAAAGGTCACAGGAAAATTGGACTGGATTACCAGTTTATGACTTGTTGTATATAGCGTAATAGATTGCGATAACGTATAAAGATCGACATTGATGTAAAGAGAAGGACTATGTAGGATTACATAAGTGGTTGAAATTGCTGATAAGAGTGTTGGCGATATACGAGAAGGTTTTGACTTACATGGAGATTGTTTGCAGTTGCAGTCGTAGTTGTATTTGTCGTTGTAGTCATTCCCGTTGTGTGTATGATAATTACTGAAAGTTGAAAAAATTTCTTAACTTAATTATAGAGAGCTAAGGTATCGTTTATATCAAGATTATTCCCTCTCAGAGGAACTAAATCTTGATTTTCATGCCATTAGAGAGTAGTTTGAACTATTCTTTCCCTTTCTTTCTCTATCTCTCTCTCTCTCTCTCTCTGTCCATATGTAACATATTATCTGCAGTCCGAATGGGAAAAGTGCGCCACGTAACTCCGATTCAACAATTCAATCTTTAAAGGAATACAACAATTTTCTCCTTTCTTTTTGTTTATCTACTACTTTCACATGCCCGATATGAAGCTTATCACATCTTTCTTGCTTGTGTTATCCGCACTCTTTTACTTTGTCTCTACTACTAGAGCTGCCAAGGAATTGCCAGAAAACCCACCATTTACCAGTAAGGTTTACTTTGATGTCGTTGAAGATGATAAGCCAATTGGTAGAATTGTCATTGGATTATTTGGTACCATTGTTCCAAAGACTGCTGAAAACTTCAGACAATTAGCTGTCAGTGATGACCCAAAGTTTGGTTACCAAGGATCCATTTTCCACAGAATCATTCCAAACTTTATGTTGCAAGGTGGTGATTTTGAAACTGGTAAGGGATACGGTGGTAAATCTATTTATGGTGGTAAGTTTGAAGATGAAAACTTCACCTTGAAGCACGACAGACCATACAGATTGTCCATGGCTAACGCTGGTAAGAACACCAATGGCTCTCAATTCTTTATCACCACTGTTGTCACCAGTTGGTTAAACAATGCTCATGTTGTCTTTGGTGAAGTTGTTGAAGGTTTCGATGTTGTTGACTACATGGAAAAGGTTAAGACTTCCAGAGGTGATGTCCCTGTCAAGAGATTACTGATCATCAAGTCTGGGGAATTAGAATTAGAAGCTGAAGAAGAAGTTGTCAAGGATGAACTTTAAGTAGTTGAAATAAATTAGAATGTTTAATATTAATGTAGCAAAGTGTGCCTTTTTTTTGTTTCAACTTAACTACATATTGAAATTAAATTGCATTAAATAAAGTCTTCACGATCTATTCGATACTTAAAAACTATCATATGCTAAAGGTGGAAAATATGAAGTATACACTCGACATTTCCTTCCATATTAATTGTTATTCAGCCCTCTTGGAGCCGTTTGTTCGGTCAATTCTTACCATTGAGGTTGGAAATGGAACTTCCAATGGCAGACTACCCATTTCAAGCATTGTTTCTTTCCCTATACTTTGAATATATAATTGGAACTTCGGTACCTCATAGGAGAAATCTTGTTTATGAATCCCCTAGTTATTATCTTTAAAGCTCTTTTAGAGTAATTGATTCTTTCTTATCTCTCTTTTTTTCTTAATTATTTACTCATCGTCATCTTCAAGATTTATCTTTAGATCCATTCTTTCAACTGTACTGCCTTTACCATACAATGGGATGTCATCAAGATATGTCCCCTGTTCAGCCAGATTCATCACTGAGCTCAAAAGTCCATCAAATGTACTTGACAGGATTTTATTGATAGTACTATTATTTGCAATATTTGGATTTATAACCGTATTAATATTAGTGTTTGAAGCGGAGTTGGTAGCCGCATTATTGCCCCCAATATTACCTCCAGTGCCAATACTTGGAGTCATTATCATTGGGGTTGCAGTGTTAGCCACTGTGTTGGCCACTGTGTTTGTATTTGTCATGGTCACAGACTGATCAATATTCGATCGATCATTAATACTTGGATATGAATGACCACCATATCCAACATCATAATTACTTAATTTATTTAATAGATCTAAAGAGGATTTCACAGATCGAATTGATGACAATAACCTTGACGATAAGATGTCGTATACTTTTGGTGCTTGATAAATATTTGCACCAATTATATAATAATCTTGTTGAACAATGGTTGAAGTTGGACTTAATCTATTTTGTTTACGAATGATCCAAAAGCCCGGTTCTTTGACATGCACTATAGCAAATTCGATCCCCACCATTTCTAATAATTTGCTCTCAATATATGTTTGAGGATGTACATTTAAGGGAACCGTTTGGAATTGTAATTGCATTTTAATAACTTGATTATTTGATGTTCTATCATAAAATGGAGATTCAGAGAAATAATCTAATACATTTTGTGTATGGAGACCGAATTGTTGAATCCATTCAGGACTCTTCCATTGAATTTCATCAAGCGGTTCACTTTTAGCCATTTATGATCAAAATTGTTATGTAAATAGATGTATTTACTGTTTGGAACTGTATCAAGAAAGCCTAAGAATTCATATTGATAGAGAATTCTTGTAGACTGCCTAATTGGGATATTTGTGATTCAAATCATATCTACACTAAAAAAATAAATTTTGAATCTTTCTTCATCAAAATCTACATTCTTGGCCACCTTCAATGCTAATGCTAATTCTATTTATAAATCGTACATCTATTGTCTAAGTCTAATATTAATTGAATTAATTCAAATTCATTTTGTTCCAAAAAAAAATTCTATGGAATAACGACATCATTTGGATTTAATGTTGGAAGAAATTTTTCAAGTTCTTCAGCCAACCATTCAGCTTCCTTGTGCATGACTTCCTCAGTTCTGTTAGATCTCTGGGAATCTTCTGGAATTTGATCTTTAAATTTTGCAGCCAGTGCTAAAAAATTTGACTTTCTAATTTGAAATTCTTCAGCATATTTCTCAAAATCTATAGCTTCTATTTTACCATAAAGTTCATCACCATGACCATCTGTTTTATATCTGGGCAAAATATGAGTGTGGAGGTGAGGCACTGATTGACCCAGCTCTGGTCCATCTTGGATAGATATATTAAGTGAATCTGCTTTATAAACATGCATAATAAATCTATGAATTACTTGGAGCACCTGCATGTAGTCAATGGATTCCTCAGGGGATAAGTCTGATAATCTTGGGGTATTTGTTCGCAAAGGAACCACTAAGACATGACCACGCACCAATGGCCTAAGATTTACCACAGCGTAAGTATGCTTAGATTTATAGAACACTTGCTTCGTAACATTGAACTTTGAAAAATAGATCTCTGACATTTTCTGATCAATATTTGATTGACAATGGTTTAACTGATTGAAAATGAATGCTAGTATAAACGTTTAGCAATTAGAAATTGAGATCCAATCCATTTGAGTTGGGGCACGACTTTTCATTTTAAGGGAGTAGTTTGAACCTTGTATTATTTGCAGCAAGCTGACAAAACGTGTATAAATTTTAAAAATGATACCGGAAAGTGATACTGGGTAACTAGGAGTTATTATTATTTTTAATCCACATCTCTTATTCAAAGTTATGCATATATCTCCAAAGATTTATGGAAAAGTAAACTTCGTCATTAATATTGTGGATACTGTAATATTCGTATGATCAACACATATATATTTTTCTTTTTTCTTTCATTTTCAGATATATATATTAAGCTTCCACCATGAATATCATCAATATCCTATTCCACTACATTGCTTTATAAATGATTTAAGTAAAGTTTCAAATGCCGTTTGAAATTGGATTTTCATATGCAAATTAGCTCAAAAAGCAAAGCCGAAGCCGGTTCGCGCCGCGTATCCGCGTTTTTTACTGACATTTCGAAGATAAGAATTTTGGGAATTCAATTAAGCCACTGTGGCATTGAACAATCAATTGTCAACTAACTACATCCCCTCTCCAAGTTAAACCTAAACCTTTATATTGTATAGCCCTCGATTCTACTGTCTACAATCAAATATTTTCAATTATTTAAATATTATTCTCTAAAAATAGAACGTATTTCTCTTACTTGTTAACCTTACCGAAGTATTCCTTGGAAGAAGCAACTTCTGGCTTAATGGTTTCAGAACCTGGTTGCCAGTTAGCTGGGCAAACTTCACCGTACTTTTCAGTGAATTGGAAAGCTTCAACCAATCTCAAGGATTCTTCAACAGAACGACCAACTGGCAAATCGTTGATAGTAATTTGTCTCAAAGTACCCTTTGGATCAATGAGGAAAATACCTCTGAGGGCAACACCTTCTTCTTCAAGCAAAACACCGTAGTCCTTGGAAAGAGAGTGGTTAGTGTCAGCAATCAATGGAATGTTGATTGGACCTAAACCACCATCCTTTCTGGCAACGTTGGTCCAGGCAAGGAGAGAGTATTCAGAGTCAGTAGAAGCGAAAAGAACTTCAGTGTCCTTGTCGGTGAACTTCTTGACAGCTTCAGAGTAAGCAATGATTTCAGTTGGGCAAACAAAAGTGAAAGCCAATGGGATGAAGGCAAGAAGAACCCATTTACCCTTGTATTGTTCCAAGGAGACTTCTTCAAAGACACCGTCAATGACAGCAGTCTTCTTGAAAGTTGGGGCTGGTTTTTGAATTAAAGCGACCATTGTATATGTGAATTAAAAATTTAAAATTTGATAAGTATTAATGAATAATAATAATTTTAATATTTTGATAAACTCGAGATTAAGTATTTCTTATATAGATTTGGCTGGATTGTCATTACTGTGGCCGAGAACTTCTAGAAGAGCCGCTAATTACTAAGGGTAATTACCCGGATTTTGCGATCGTTTTAGTTTACTACACGCATTTTTATTTTATATACTGATTTGGTGGCGTCATAAATTATCAATTTAACATTATTCGAAATAGGGGGTAAGTTTGATTTCAATTGTTCCAATTGAAATTATGTACGTGTAGTTTCAACCATGAATCTAGATACATACAATCGTAACTTAAGCAATGTTGAGGTTTTTTCAATCTATATAATTTGAATAAAAAATTGTTTGTAGGAAAGTCTTTGTCCCGGTTTTTACCCTTTTAGGTGTGGCGGACTGTGGCTCCCGACCAATAGGCAGGAAAGGTGTTTTTTTTTATGTATACTCCTACCTCGGATAACTACCAAGATTGTAGATCATTCTCGAACTTTACACAAAAGAGGAAGGTGAATCCGGTACTCCAAAAAAAAAAAGCTGGAGGCATAGTATGCAAAATATAGTTTGAATATAAGGTAAAGTTACAATATCTCCACTGGAATTTTCACCTGAATAATAGCTTTTGTTTACTTGAAGTGTTACGTCATGCGTAGTTAATAATAAGTTAAGTTGCAACATGTGAATTTTACATGTCTGTCCATCATTTGTTTCACCTCTCAAAGTAATATATACTGGTAAATCGCAAAGTTATTGAAGGGTATCAAATCTTTGTGCTAATATTCTGTTGTAAATTGTAAATTGATATAAGGAATTACGTAATTTAATTTGTAAATTTGATAGAAGTTGTAGGTTGACGAAAGTTGCAGGTTGATGGCTAGTGCAATTAATGATCTGTACCTATTCTATATACATCCAAAAGAAAATCTTTAAAAAAAAAAGGGGGGGAGGGTTAACTTCTAAACATACCCAAATGACCTAAGTATGCACAATTTAAAATTGGAAGTATATATATCATTGCAGCCACATGGTTTTATAGATATATAGAGTTTCTCAAATAATTTTTAAAGTGAAAAGTATCTTATTTTCACAAAATAGTGTATTTCGGTCGTATTTTATGCAATTTCAAATTATTTTCAAGTCGGAATAAGGTATTTTTTAATGCAAACCGACCCGGTTGTAAAGAAGTGAGAGGATGTTCGTGTTTTGTTTTCTGCCCCTCAATTGTATTTTAGTCATTAATTCTTCATTGAATAATGGTTTTTTACAACCATTGAGCAAACTACTCAATTAGAATATAAGCTATTTTTCAAAATGTAAAATCCTATGCTCAACTTTCTTAAATATTAAACCCATGTTATTATTGGTGTAGCTTCTTCTCTGAAGTACGAGAAATTTCTTATCAAGTAATTTCCTTATATGAAAGTGCTAAGCGGGGGGTGGGAAAATTATCTTTTGTGTAAGAAAACTTTCACCCCCTGTTTTCTTTTAACTCTTTTTTCATAGGAAGAAAAGATATGATCATATTCAAATTATTCACTTTATTTAAGGAATAGCAGCTCTGTTAGGGCTATCTAGTGAAGATATCGTTCAATATGTGTTATGGTAAATCCACTCAACAGTAAGATCAAATAGATAGTTCGCTTACTAGCGATTGAACCCTGCAGCCCATCAGATCTTCAGCCGCACTTTTGTTTGATGCACAGAATTTATTTTATTTCTTTCCCCCTCAAGTTGATCTGAAGATTACCAGTGAAATAGCTTAGAATAATCTGCCATTTATCAATCAAATGTTCAAAATTCTTCACAATGATCTCATCAAATCTAAATCACATATCTCTACACATATTATTTTGAAATAGCTTCAAAGTTTAAATACACTTCTTGTATCTTTTCTATTTCTTCCTCCGCCGCCACTCCAATTACTTCTGTAAACACCCTCACTCCCCGGATATATGCATGATTGAAACATTTACTACGACCGGATTTCAATTTTGACCGATACTGACCAACCCCCCTTGATTGTAAATGAACAGAAATCTCAATTGAATTATAAATATCCATGTCCCATTCCCTCTTTTTTACTCATACCCACAAAAAGGGAATTGTCAAATTTTTACTATACAAGCTTCTAGTATTATTTCTTTCCCCCTTATTGCACTGGTACATCTATCTAAAGAAGGCAGTAATCTTTTTTTGTTAAAGCTATAAGTAATCTCTTATGACTCAATTCTTTGACAGCTATCCAGGTGGTCTGTTTTCTCCAGTCACTGACGACGATGATTACACTAGTAATTTTGCAAACCATGACTTCTCTTGTGAAGAAGATGATTATTTTTCTTCTTCTTATTCTAGTGATAAAAATGTTACAGAAGTTTCACCTTCAGCTATTCACTTGGATACTATACTTCTTTCAGAAGATGAATCTTTCCCACTGCCTACAAGTACAGTATTTTCATTTGAAAACGACGAAGAACTGAGATTTATATTTGATGAATGTACTTGGTCTCCTTCAAATCCTTTGAATGAAGATTGTAAAATTAGTGACACTTCACAAACAGATATTCCAATGATACCAAAAGAAGTGAAAAGAAGAAGAAGGACAAGGAAGAACGTTGTGAAGAAGATTCTATCAAAAAAGAAGAAGATACTGAAAAATATTCGATCAAGAAAGTACAGAGGGAAATATGTTGTGAAGATCAAATACCCCGCAGTAAAGAGCACGACATCATCTGGAAAGGTACAAGTCTTAAGTAGAAGATCAATTAAAACATTGAAAGATATGAAAAAGGAACCTAGATATCAAAAGGCACGTGATGATTCCAAGGATGAATTAATAGAATCTGAACGCATGTCGCTTAAAATCTTAACAGGATCTAAAGTCGATCGATACTATTCAAGAATAAATATTAAAGAACTATCAAGGATTCTTGGATTAGATCATTTTCAATTATCATTAACAGCTAAATTAGAATCGATTATACTTCAGATGTTTGAACAATGGTGCGGATTTAAATTAGGGTTTGAAACTTGGGTTAGAGATACCACAAAGGATCAAAGAACTCAATATCTTGATAATCTTCATGGGTACACAAGTGAATGGTACCCTGAAATCACCAAAGATCAACTAGAAATTATAATTAGAAGAGGTACATATTGTGCAATGCAGAGTAGATTAAGGAAATTCAGAAGATCAAATGTGCAGAAAGATTGACGGGGGAGAAAAAATATATTTTCTGAATTGTGACATCTGTCAGTCTTATGTCAAATGTTGCAAAATTGTGGCATTTGCATCAAATGCGGAAATAATTTTAACTATCTAATAAAACTATAAATTATCAGATCTGTGCTTAGTCATTGTGGCTTTCTCTTAGAATATAAATTTGATCCAATTTCACTTCAAATATGATGAGACACGTATCCTGTAGAAGAACTCAAAATCATCAATTCTAAGACATGACTATCACCATTCCTTGGTTTATCCCACATCTTCGTCATGTTGAGGACCACAACAGTGAAAAAAGTTTTGAATCATCTTCTATTGAATCTGAGCAAGAAATTAGGGAATATAGAGATGAAGCAAATAGACCATGGTATAAGTTTTTCGACGAATATGAATACAGATATACCGATAAGCAAACCAATGAACATCGTTGGTGGAATTGGTTTGAAAAGGGTACATCTGATGCAGAGAAAAAACTTGTTTGGAAACTTTATATTTTGGTTGGGTTTTACTCCTTTTTAGGGTATTGGATTAAATATCTCGATTCTTCAAATCTTAATAATGCATACGTCAGTGGGTTGAAAGGTGATATAGGAATGAAGGGAAATGATCTTATTGATACTCAAGTATTATTCTTAGTTGGTGGTGTTATTTTTGAACTTCCATGGCTTTTCTTACTTCCAAGAGTTCCAATTACTTATGTTTTATTTGCATGTGAATTTGCTTGGAGTATTTTAACTCTTGCACTTTATAAGGTGACCGATGTGGCAACATTAAAGGCTTTGAGATTTTTAATCGGGTGTTGTGAAGCAGCATATTTTCCTTGTGTTCATTATCTCTTTCTGGTTTGGTTCAAGAGTACTGAAGTTGGAAGAATTGGAGGTATTTTTTATATTGGTCAATTCTTAGGAATTTTAACTTCAGGATTATTACAAGGAGCCGCTTCAAAGCTTCATGGGTTGAAAGGATGGCAATGGATGTTTTTGATCGATGGGTTAATTTCTCTTGCAGTTGCAATTATTGGATTATTTAGTCTTCCAGGAACCCCAACCAATTGTTATTCAATTTGGTTAACTGACGATGAAATTAGACTAGCTAGGAAAAGAATGAGAGAGAATCATACAGATATTAGTCCCACTGTTAAATCATTTTTCCATTGGCCAACTTGGAAAAACATTCTTACTTCATGGCATTTCTGGCTACTTCTGTTAGCGCAAATGTGTGGATTTAATACAAATAGTGCATCTTCCGGTTCGTTTGCTCTTTGGCTTCTGTCATTAGATAGATACTCTATCGCGAAGTTGAATAACTTGACCACAATCCCTCCTGCTTTGGGTATTCTTTGGATTATTCTCGTATGTGGAGGTGCGGATCTTACCCGTAAAAGATTTTTGTGCATCATTTTTTCACAATTTATGAACTTTGTTGCCAATACTATTTTAGCAACTTGGCATGTTAGTGAGACTGCTAAATGGGCTGGGTTCCTGTTGACCTATTTTTCATGGTCTCAGAGTTCAGTTTTCAATCCATTGATAAATGATATTCTTCGTCATGATGCTAATCAAAAATCTATCGAATGGATGATTATCTACATATTAGGGTTGCAATCTAATGCATGGATTTCCAGATTGGTTTTCCCAACAACTGACGCTCCTAGATTTAAGAGGGGGTTTGCATCATGTGCTGGGTTTAGTATCGCATTCAATTTAATTCTTCTGGTTGCATATTTCTTTTACAAAAGAGATGAGCGTAAGAATGCACTTCGGAATGGAATTTACATTTATAATAGTGCAAAGGGAGAAATTCCCCCTATAGATCTGAAAGTTGCATTAAATCGCGATGACGAAGATGAAGAATTGGAAGGATCAGAAAAAGATGAAAAACATATTCAAACAAAGATTGAAGTTAGGGAATCAACTCTTTAAACATGAATGGCTATAATTGAATAAAGTACGTAGAAGATATTAAGAAACTTAAATGTAAATTAGTTATTTTAATAAAATTAGTTTATTATAATACAGTAGTCAGGGCTTCCTTTCATTGCACCACATATCACTCCACTGTGCGCGCCGCATCGTGATTGTTACCTTTGTGGATTATATTGCTATTGAACCCTCATAAGTCGTGTACACAACGGAAAAGTCAACCCCGGTTTCCTTGAAGCTGGAGACAATCAATCCGAACGATACAATACATTCCGTAAAAGTATTTTATTCTTTTATTAACAGACTCAATCCTATAGGTGGGAGTTTGTATATAATGGGAAATAATACTTCAACTACACGAAAATCCACCGCCGGAGTACGCCATAGTAGTGCCGGAGGTGTAAGAAAGGCGCTGCTGCTTCGCAAGGAAACAGATTTGGACGAGGAGTTTAGTGATTTAATATTACACGAAGTAACAAAGCAACATGCCCAACAACAACATCAACAACAGGTCCAGGGTGACTTCCCGCTTCAACAGCAAGTTCCATCTCAAAGTGAACCATACAACCCACATCAACCGAATTTGACCCAGTCAGTGTTGAGACCAGTTACTGAAGTAAATGTTGCACCAGTAAGCTCTACAATTAATGATGTATATGGCAAGTTTTCTTCGAAAAGACTGGTTGAACCAGTCATACCTGAGGGTAAAAGAAGAAGAAATAGTTCGATACCGTATAAACAATTTCTGAATGACCTTATTGAAGATGAATACAATGAATTAAATGATGGGTTGTTAGAAACTGACGCCACTGAGTTAAGTAGAAATATCTTACCAAATAGTGGAGATGGGGTAATGGGGGATATTGAGATGGAAGGAGTCGAAGAGAACTCACTGAATGGTATTGTTAATAAACCTGGAAATTCAGATATGGAACTCTCACCAACTCCAGACTTCAGTAGCGTTGATTTCACCAAACTTGCACCTGCGGGACAAGAACGTATTGCACAGGCAACAACCCCTTCCATATCAACTTCGTCATCCACCACGCCACAACTAATCCCTGTGGAAATTAAATGGGTGAATGTTTCTAAAGAGAATATTCAAAAGATTTCAATTATTGGATCATTTTCCAATTGGAGAGATGTTATCAGATTAAAACCCGCCCCAGAACACCCTAATGAATACGTAACATCTATTCATCTTCCGTTGGGGGTTCATAAGCTTTTGTATATCATTAATAATGAGTATCGAGTTCTGGATCAACTTCCCACTGCAACAGATCAAGAGGGGATTTTTTTCAATTGGTTTGAAGTTTTAGATGAAGTCCATTTATTCAATCATTCTCAGAATCAACATACCCACATTGGTGCATCTACTGATTATGATGCCAATATCATTGCTCCTAATAATGGTGCCACTCAAACCGCAGGTCGGTATGAAGTTGATAGAATCAATAAGAAATCTACCAGCTTTTTGACTCAACAAACCAAAAATCAAGAACAACCAGAAACTGAACATGTAGAATTCCAGCATATTGAGGACCATCCAATGACACCACCACCGCCACCACCACAGGCTCCACACTCGACCATGATGGTTCCAGAATCAGAGGAAACTCCAACGTATGTTTCATATCAAGATCAAAAAACTGGCTCGTTCTTCAACGATATAGTACAACAAAAACTCAACTATTCAAGTGAAATACCTGAAATGTTTGTAAATTATGATTATTTCAAAAATAAAAGTTCTGATTATCAATTACCAGAACCTCCACAACTTCCAGCTCATTTGAATAATGTTTTATTAAATAAGATGTCAGCAAACCACGCGATTAATAACCCACCTCATATGATCCGCAAAGGCTCTCATCCGCCACAACCTCAATTGAATTCAAATGATTTTTTCAAGCAACCCCATGCTTCATTCCATGATGGAGGTAGCGGGCAAAACAAAAGACCGCCACTTCGTAGAGCTGATAGTTCGTATTATGCTTCGAATCAAGAGGCGTATCATTTATCTATTCCTAACCATGTTATTCTTAATCATCTTATGACAACTTCAATTCGCAATGATGTGTTGACGGTTGCATGTATTACTAGATACTCAGGGAAGTTTGTTACTCAAATTATGCACTCCCCCGCTGATCCTTAGCTTGAGTCATTGCCACCAATTATTATTATTATTATTATTATTATTATTTCTTTTTTATACCTATCGATACACGTATATATACATATATTTATATGATAGGTAATGTAACACGTGTACAAATGACTATGTAGTATAAGAAAAATATTCTAAGAAAATAAAAACAAATACAACAACAATCTAGGACGACAATTATCCAGTGGGGAGGAATACTCGTAACTGTTATATCTTCAGCGAAAGGCACTCAATTCTATAAGTACCATAGAGTATCAGATTTCTTTTTTTTTTTTGCAACATTTTTTGCTTTTTCTTCTCATTTAATTTTAATTTGCAACTATTTTATTGATGATCTGTCACGTGCAACATGAATTACGGAGAGGACGGGATTAACACTATGTTTCACAGAAGGACAACATGATGTTTGATATGTGTTTCAAGATAATTCTAATATCTAAATTAAAAATTCAGAAGTAATTCAAAATAAATTAAGAGATCTTCATACACATTACCAATATTGATAATTTATATAAAACTCCTGGGAAAGATTACTAAACACAAAGAAGGTGATCAAAAATAAAGATGTCTTGGAATGGAATTAAAAAGGCAATCAATAGGGCAGGTACCCAGGTGATGATGAAAGTTGGTCAGATTGATGCAACTGTAGACTTGGAGTTTGAGTTTGAAAAGAAAAGATTCCGTACAATGGAGGAAAAATCCAATAAATTACAACTGGAACTTAAACATTATTTATCAACACTTCGAAATCTTACTACAGCACAATTGAATGTATCAGACGTATTAAGTACCTTCTATGGAGATGGTGCTGAACAATCAGTATCGAAAGAATATCATATGGTGATGGAGAAATTAAATAAGGAAACATTACAAGAACTTGAACAACCCTATTCCCAAACAGTACTTAATCCGATAGCTCGTTTCAATCTGTACTATATAGAGATAAACGAGGCAATTAAGAAGAGAAACCATAAGCAATTAGATTATGACACAATGAAATCTAAAGTGCAAAAATTGATGGATAATCCTGGTACTGATGAAATATATGAGAAAAAATTGGAAGAATCACAACGTCAATTGGAAAACACTGAAGTTATTTATAATAATATCAACCTGCAATTGAAACAAGAACTTCCACGCCTTGTTAATCTCCGGATTCCATTTTTAGATCCTTCATTTGAATCATTTGTAAAACTTCAACTCAAGTTTTTCTCTGATAGTTATCAAGAACTCAATGGGATCCAGAGTAAACTTGACGCACAAACACGACAAGAATATATAGAAGGGAAATTGGATAATAAGATTGATGATGTTTTGTTGAAGATGAGGGAATTAAATATTACGGGTATGTAATGATCGAAATACAAGATAAGGGTAACATTTAACAGCGTAGAGTAAATAAATAAGTAGATAAGGGAATGTATATAATAAAGAGGTAGGGATATGCGTTAATTAATTATGTGAATAAAGTGTATTTACAATTGAATAGTACCGAACATACACCCGACTCCTGTATATTGAGCAAAGGAGATAGAGAAGAAAACTGTGGTTAGATATCCGAGAAATGCATGAATATGGCAAGATATTTTATCTTTTAGTTAGTTGAGGTGAATGTAATAAACAACTTAATTAGGGGGTATGCGACACAATTGCAAAAGGAATGTGTGTGTGTGTGTTTGTGTTTTTTTTAAAGAAGCAACAAAAAGTGCAATATGCAAAATCCCCTCTATATGAAGAATGATAGAGCTGAATGTTTCTATGTTTACAATGGTTTGAATTCAAATGTATCTGATAAATCGGGTTTATGATGAACACTTTTAGCGTATTTAGCGAGCTATATTTGTGCGCAATTAAGACAATCAAATATGACGTAGTTTTACATAGACGATTCTTTTCACTTTTTTTTTTTGACACATCTTCTTGAACAACATCATTTGACATTGCGGAATCTACGGAGGTATTCTATTGCATCTACTTGATTTCAAACCCGCCAACGAAGATAGAAACATGTCATTTTCGCATATTCGTTTTGCAACACCTGATGAGATTCAACCTCTTAACAGGGAACGTGCCTTCCTCAAGAAAGAGGTAAAAAATAAAAACCAACACCCTGCAGTACTAGATCCTTCTCTTTTCTATATTGATTTCTCCAGAAAGAGCGGGACCTTACGTACACGCCGTATGTTTCATTAGGGGGAGAGCTTAATATTATACCATAGATTACCTATTAGATTTCTTTTTACAAACAGCCCCCCAATTTACAGAAGAGTCAGTGCACTATAATATATGGCTGTAAATGTTTCGGAAAACAATTTCACATATTTCGGGGCGTAGCGGAAGCTTCCAACTGGACGAAATCCGACCAGCATTTGACGAACATTTTTGGACTTGGTATCTGGATAGTTATTCTAGATTACCATCTCCTGGAGATGGACTGAACTTACTTAGTGGAGGCTCGCTGAAGGTCTCACAAGATATCTTACCGTTTGACTCCAAGAAATACACTGCATCTTCCACTGCTGTGGTGACATTAAGGAAATATTTTGAACAACTTAAGCTTTCGGTACCGTCGGTTAACCAGGCAGTGGCAATGTTGAAATCTCCTTTTGCACACGGTGACCCTCTTAAGGCATTCCAACTAGTCAGATACTTCCAACTCAGTTCGGAAGGGCTTTTCATCACAAATGAAAACAAGGATAAATGTGGACTCCCGATTAATTACGTCGGGGCTGAGAATTGGGAAAATGTCATGTGTTATCTTGATGCCCTTTTATTTTCAATGTTTGCCAACCTAGAATCATTTGAGCCAATTCTCTTTATATCGAACCAACATCCAGAGTATCTTGTGGATCAATTATCGGCACTTTTGCGTTTGTATGTTAATCTTTTACGATCTGGTAATTTAATCACTACAGACATCACCATGAGACTTTGCGAAGTACTTATGAAATTAGGGTTCAATGAGGCAATGTCCCATAAACAGCAGGACTGTGCGGCACTCTTTGAGTTTTTGACTGAAACTTTACTGATGCCTCTTTTGACATTTAAAATTGATATTAAACACGACGGGAAATTTAATAAAGACGATGATCAAAAGTATTCTAGAGAAAGAATCTTGTTTGTTAGTATTCCAGATGAATTAGAACAAGAGGAGTTCCATGAAAAACTTGAAGAGGTCAAGAGGAAGGAAAGAGAGAAAGAAAGGGAATTGAGCCCAGGCACGGAAGACTCTGAAAAGGGGAACAGCACCAAAGAAAATGGAAGCCCTGCTGATGATTTATCGGAGAAAACAGCCAAAGAAACGTCTGAAAAGGAAGTACATACCCCTAGCGACATTGAAGATAATTCTATTCTTCTTGAAGAATGTCTTGAACATTATTTTAATAATTCTATCAGTGTTCGAAGAGAACTTGAAAGAAGGGCAACTTTAGAATCTCTAAGGATGGGAGGCAGTATTCCCGGAGGAGGCACAGGTGATGTCGATGCAATCCCTGAAAATGTAGAGCATTCTCCACAAACACCTTCAGATAAGGAAAAACCAACAATGGAGGTGTTTGAGTCAATGAGAAATAGAAGCAACAGTACTAGTAGCTTTTCCAGACAAAGAATTGGATCTAATGTAAGAACTAGATCTTCGACTCTTTCAATATGGTCACTCGACAATGAAGCCAAGTCAAATCTTACAGGTGCCAATGCTGGTGTTGCATCAAGCAAAGAAGTAAGTTTACCAGCTTGGATGTTTTTGAGACTCCTTCCATTTTATACAGATGATAATGAAATCAATAATATCAATGGGAGAGCTCACTCCATTGCTCAAACCTCAAAAGAATTTGTCAATAGAAGACCAATTCTCCCTATTTGTTTGAAAAGATATTCATTCAACAACTCCAGCAGTAGCAAATCTCAAAGAAGAGTGATAATTCCTCCTATTATCAACCTTCCAAACTTTGTTGCAGATGATACCCACGATGTAGCTTCAGGAAGTTATAAACTTATTTTGGAGAGTGCTGTGTGTCATAGAGGAACATCGATATCTCTGGGACATTTTGTTTCAGTTATTCGTAAGGATACCAATAATGTGACCGACTTATCTGAGGAAGATGCACATAACGCTGTTTGGTATTTGTATGATGATATGAAGAAGAAGTCTAGAGTGGTGGAAAAACTGTTTAAGGAGATTTTTGATACTGAATGGCCTTATATGTTGTTTTATCGGTTGGTAGCTAGCGATGAAGTTATGGCAAGTCTGAACAATTCTAATACTTCCTTGAATATGGTACCCCCTCAAGGATTCAGAGCCAAATATTGGAAGGATGAAACACTTTCACCAATCTTATCTGCGGGACATTCAGCCAGTGGTGATGAAGTTGATACACCATTGAAGAAGATTGTCAGTGAAGCTAGTAGCGCCTCTAGTATTCCTATACCCGATATCTCTCCGATTGATGCAAGATATGTTGACATCCGAAATAAATATTTTTGGTATGTCATAGATGGCGAAAAGAACTATTACAAAGAGTTATCTATCCCATCTCGAAGTGGTACTAGAGAACCTAGTATTACCATCAGTCCTCAATTCAGACGAAATAGTCAATGGAGTGATACTAGTATGAATAACTTCAACTTGGAGAATGTCGCAGCGGCAAAGAGCCATATGGAAGAGACAGAGACTAAAGTTCAAGCGATTTCGTTGAACGAAACTCCTTCAACTCCTCTGAAATGGTCCAGATTGAAGACAAAGAAGTCTCCATCTGGCTTGTCGTCCCCTCAAGAGAATCCAGTTTCTATTTCACAAACAATATCTCCCGTTAGACTAGAGGAAGCTTTAAATGATGAAAAGAAACACCACCACCATCACCACCACATGTTTTCTAAACGCTCCAAGAAGAAGGAAGATGAATACAGAAAAGAGAAATGCTGCATAGTTTAAACCCACATCCAATATATTTATATTAGACTCCAGATTCATTGCATTTTGCATACGTTCAACCATTTTTAATCTATTGGTATACGATATTTGTTTTTATTTTAATTATTTAATAGATCTATAAACGCATCATCAATCACACACGTAGATTTGACCACTAAGTCCGGCCACTATAGTTTTACTAGGCTCCAGAGGATGAGCCTGTAGACAAGTGATGGGTAACTTATCTATCTTAGTTTTATTCACAACTCTGCATGATTTCCAATCCCAACAGTATATAAAACCACGCGAATCTCCACTGTAGATATACTTACCATCGGCAGAGAACCCTACGTCTATCCCATACCCTGCAACATTATGGCCCTGAAAGACCTTCTTTGAGGAAAATTTAAATTTTCCATGGCCCTGGATCACCTGGATCGTATTATCCATTGATTGAAGAGCAATGAATTGGCCATCAGGTGGGAGAAGAGCAGCTGCAGGCATAGAGTGCAGCGATGGATCTGCAATCACTTTGACTGGAATGTTAACCTGCCATTCCCAGAACCTTACAGACTTATCGTCCGCGGTGGACATAAATTTGGTTGAATCATCTACCACTGTGAGTGAATTTATCGCACCTATATGATGAGTATAAGTTTGGATTGGTACATTTGGTTCAGTGATAGATGTATCATAATGTTCAATCTTATGATTGGCAAGCCCAACTATGAATTGTAATTCATTATGTGGGTTGAATATAGCCACGTTGGGTGTAGATTTCATTTTATACTTTGAGATAATTTCTCCAGATTCTGTATCCCATAAGATGACCCATTTATCGTATGAACAGCTTAGAAATCGAGTCCCAGTTGAATCAAAAGATATATCTCGAACAGCTTGAGTATGTCCATAATACCCACGAAGTAACTTTTTATGACGATAAACGTCCCAAAGAAAAATCTTAGAGTCATTCCCACAAGAAAGTAATAAATGTGAACTTTTAGGTGACAATTGAAGTTTAGTGACACCACCTTCATGGATTTTTGAGTACTTGAACGTGATTCGTTTGGAGGCATAGCATGTTTTAGGGAACTTATGCATAAGAACACTTTGTGGTGGATCCATAAAATTAGTTGTAGTTGGAACAAAGAGTTCTGTAAATGATCGTGGTTCAGATTCAGATTCAGATTCAGATTCAAATTCAGAATCTACCGAATGATCATTAGATATATTAGAATTCAATTTTATATCTTCTTGTTGAATTTCCTCTTCCTCCAGGGAGTCTTGATACCCTGCCCAGGGGCCCAAATAATCATCATCTTCTACATTACCCTTTTGTTTACGTCTCTTTTTAAGTTTTTTAGCTGCATCATTGTTTGATTTTGATGACCGTTTTGTTAATGTTTCATATATAGAAACATCTTGGAATTGCTTTTGATAATTTCCAGAAAATGAATTAATGGTTGGTTCAATATTCGAGTTGATTAAAGTATCTCGATGAACTACTTGTGGTGCTGGATCTAAAGATGATACGGGAAGAATCGGTATTTCAACCCCACTTGGCTTCAATTGAACTTCAGCATCAGAATCACCACTTGAATCCGAAGAATATCCTGGAACCAAGGACATAGAAGTTCTTTTAGTTGTATATGTTGCCTTTTTTTGCTTCAAGTTGGATTATCTATTATCATCACATTTAAGTCTGTGCACTCATCATCGCGAATTTAATAAAATCTTTATAAAAAATATATATCCATATAAGCTTCTATATATTCTCTTAATAAGTGACATAGATAAATAATGGCCAAGAGAAGAGTAACAGACGAAGATTCCGACATTGACGTGAGTTCCACCGACTCCGAAAATGAAATGGAAGTTGGAGTTGATGGTGAAGCTGTTAACGAGGGAGGAGAAGAGGAAGAAACTGTGAATGTTGATTTTGATTACTTTGATTTAAACCCAGATGTAGACTTCCATGCCACCAAGACTTTCTTGAAACAACTCTTGGGGGATGATGCTAACGATTTTGATATTTCTGGACTTGCTGACTTGATTTTAACCAAGAATTCAGTTGGTACCACCATTAAGACTGATGGTCAAGAAAGTGATCCATTTGCTATTTTATCTGTCATTAACCTTAGTGAAAACTTGACCAAGCCTTGTATCAAGACTTTGATCGATTATGTATTGAAGAAGACTTCTAAAAATACTGAATTCAACTTGATCTTGCGTAAGTTGCTTAGTGCAAAGGGTAACTCCACCAAGGATACTTCCAAGGACTTTAAGGTTGGTTTGGTCTTTAGTGAAAGAATGATCAATATGCCAGTTGAAGTTGTTCCTCCAATGTATAAGATGCTTTTCGAAGAAATGGAACGTGCTGAAGATTCTCATGATAAATACGAATTTGATTACTTTTTAGTGATTTCTAAAATTTACCGTCTTGTTGCGGCAAATGAACAAGAAGAACAATCCAATAGCAAATCTAAAAAGAAGAAGACTAGTGGAGGTGCTGATGTTGGTGTGGAAATGGATTATTTCCACTATGAAGATCTTGTCTTGGAAGAAAATGCAATGTATAAGGGATATTATGATTACTCTCAAGTTAAACAAGAGACTGATTCTAGAAGAGTTTTCACTGAATATGGTATTGATCCTAAATTAAGTTTAATCTTGTTGGATAAGGAAAGCTTGGCCAAGTCTGTTCCACAGATGGAGGAAAAATTCCCACCATTTTAAAGAAAGGAAACGATGAATTTAAACATATGTATAATACTAAAAACAAATAAATAGACTATAAACATGAAGTGCTTGCAACGTTTATTGGATTTAGGATTTTTAAAAATGAACTCGTAAAGTAAGGGTAAAGTTTTTACAGTAGATCAAGCAAAATTTATCTGCACTCGTTTTCATCTTTTTTTATATATATTGAATGAAGTAGAAATAAAGGCAATACCCTCTTTCGATGGGTATGGGTCCATATGTTGTTCCCCAACAATATACTTCTTGTCTTCTTTCACCTAACCTTCCTGATTATATATGTCTTCATATTTGCAACACCTTAATATTGTACACCCACACGACCCGATATTTTTTTTTACTTTTTTTCTGTCGAAATTTTTCACACACGATCCCGAAGACTTTCAGATTAATAACATTTAAAGGATATATATACTACTAGAATATATATAGAAATATCTAGTTAGGATGGCTCCACCACACAAGAACCACCACCAACGTCCAGAGAACGTCTTAAAGCGTGCTGAGGACTTGATCGCTGTCGGTCAACCAGATGCTGCTTTGGAAGCTCTTTATGAGTTGATCACCGCTAAGAGATCTCGTTACTCCCCAGTGGAAGAATTGGAACCAATCGGATTGTTGCTCATTGAACTTGCTGTTGACTTACGTAAGGGTAAGTTGGCCAAGGATGCCTTGCACCAATATAAGAAGAATGTTCAAAACACTGAAAATGGTTTAGAATCCGTTCAAGTTGTGGTTAGAAAGTTTGTTCAATTAGCTGAAAAGAAGTTGGATGAAGCTCAAACTAAGGCTGACACCAAGAACGACCAAGATGAAGGTGAAGATGACTTGGATGCTGCGCAATCTCCAGAATCTATTTTACTTTCTGCTGTTTCTAACGCTGACAGTGCTGACCGTACTGAACGTGAATTGGTTACTCCATGGTTAAGATTCCTTTGGGAAGCTCTTCGTGCTACCTTGGATATCTTGAGAAACAACTCCAAGTTGGAAGTTACTTACTCTGCTATTGTTAACCAAGCTTTCCAATTTTGTTTGAAGTTTGGCCGTAAGGCTGAATTCAGAAGATTATGTGAATTGTTAAGAACTCACATGCAATCTCTTACTACTCAACAACCACAAAAGCCAACTTACACTAGTCAAAACGCCATTGATTTATCTGACAGTGAAACCGTTCAACGTTATTTGGATCAAAGATTCTCCCAATTGAACATTTCCGTTAAATTAGAATTATGGCAAGAATCTTTCAGATCAGTTGATGACGTTCACACTTTGATCACTGCATCTAAGAAGGCTCCAAAGCCAGTTATGATGGCCAACTATTATGAAAACTTGGCTAGAATCTTTGCTGTCAGTGACAATGCTTTGTTCCATGCTGCTGCTTGGAATAAGTTTTTCAACTTGTATTCTCAATCTCCAAATGCTACTGATGAAGAATTAAGCCATTATGCATCCATTTTAGTTTTATCTACTTTGGCTATTCCTCAAAAGTCTGCTACCAATGAAACCATTGTTGATGACCAAAGAGCCAAGAATGCTAAGCTTTCATCTCTTTTGAACTTGAACCATGTTCCAACTAGAGACTCTTTATTGAAGTCTATCTTGAACAGATCTATCTTGTCATTTGTTGACCCTTCAGTTAAGACTTTATTCAAGGTTTTAGAAGAAGGTTGCTTCCACCCATTAACCATCAAGCAACAAGTTTCTGATGTTTTCAAGGTTATTTCTGAAGATAAGGATTACAAGCCATACATCATTACTTTGACTGAAGTTATCTTGATCAGATTATTCCAACAAGTTAGTCAAGTTTATGAAACTGTCAAGTTGGACTTTTTAGTTTCTCTTGGTATTTTTGAAGGTACTGAATACACTTTACTGCCATTGGAAGTTGAAAAGTTGATTGTTACCGCTGCTAAGGATGGTCATTTGACTTTAACCATTGACCATGAAACTGATGTTGTTGTTTTCAAGTCTGATCCATTTGAAGATTCATTCACTGAACCAGCTACCAACCTTGAAACCAAGTTACAAATCTCTCCAGCTGAGCTTGTTAGAACTCAATTATCTAAGTTGGCTGCCACTTTAGCTAGTACCACCAAGATCATTGATCCAGAATATGAATCTCGTTTACAATACAACCGTGAGTTGGCTTTACAAAATGCTTATGCCAACATGGTTGCTGAACAAGAAGCTTATGCCAACAGAAAGGTCATTATGGAAGAACGTAAGCGTCTTGCCGATAAGTTGAAGCGTGAACAAGAAGAAGAAGCCGCCAAGTTGAGAGCTGAAAAGTTGATCGCTGAACAAAAGGCTGAACAAGAAAGAATGATTGCTGAACAAGAAAGAAGAAACGCTGAAAAGTTGGAAAGAGAAAGAGAAGCAGTCAGACAACAAGAAAAGAAGAAGATTGCTGAAGAAATCAACGCCAAGGGTATTATTAAGATTGACTTGAACAATTTGGATGACTTGGATACTGACAAGTTGAGAAACATGCAAATTGAACAATTGAGTAAGGATAAGAAGTTATTAGAAGAACGTTTGAAATCTTTGTCTAAGAAGGTTGATCACACTGAAAGAGCCTTCAGAAGATTTGAATTACAATACTTAGAAAAGGATGCTGAAGCTCAAAAATCCGAAGACTTGAAGGATTACGAAACCATGAAGAACGCTAAGATTGCCAAGGCCAAGAAGGAACACGAAGAAGCCTTAGCATTGAAGGGCCGTTTGGTTAGAGTTGTTCCAGACTTTGCTGCTTTCAAGTCTATTATTGATGAAAAGAACTCCTCCAAGTTGGAAGAATTGAAGAAGAGAGCCGCTAAGGAACTTGAACAAGCCAAGAAGGAAAGACTTGAAAGAGTCAAGGCTCAACGTCTTGATGAATTAAGATACCAAAAGGAACAAGAATTCATTGCCAACGAAGAAGCTGAAAGAAAAAGAAAGCAAGCCGAACAAATGGCCAAGTTGAAGGAAGAAATGAGACTTCAAAAGGAAAAGGATGCCGAAGCTTTGAAGAAGAGAGCTGCCATGGAAGCCGAACTTGCTGCCAGGCAAGGCGGAGCAGGTGGTGCTTACAGACCACCATCTGCCTCTAACCCAAGAGTTCCAGCTGCTGCTCCATCCCCAGCTCCAGCCGCTGCTGCTCCAGCCAAGCAATTGACTTTTGCTGAAAAGATGAGATTGAAGAGAGAAGGTAAGCTTCAATAGGTGTGATAGACTTTTATAGTTGAAATAAGAAGAATTGAAATAGAGAAAATTGTACACCATTTTAAATGATTTATAAATATTTGGGGATGAATGTAGTTATTTCTGGAAATAATGTTATAGAAGGAGCCTTCATTATACGTATAATATCCGTTTTTATCTGACTTGTTGTTCAATATCATTTTTTCTGTTTTTTTGCACTAGAACGAACTACCAGTTTTTTTGTTCATGGATTTTGAAAGGTGGGGCAAACTTTTGAAATATCTCTTTCTACAGAAACACTTAAAATGCCCACAATTACAGTCATTGGATCACTCAATTATGACCTTGTCACTTATACGGATAAGGTTCCAGAAGGGGGAGAAACCTTCCAGGCCAATTCGTTTGAAAACCATCTTGGTGGAAAAGGACTTAACGAAGCACTTGCTTCTGCAAGATTATTGAAAGATACCTCTGTAAACAAAGTCAGAATGGTTGGAAATATTGGTGAAGACTCATTTGGTAAAGAGCTCAAGCAAGCACTTCTTGACGCAAATGTCGACACTCAATTTGTACAAACACTCCCAAATCAATCTTCTGGGGTTGCGGTTATTTTAGTGGAAGAACAAACAGGAGAAAACCGAATTTTAATCACTGCTGGAGCTAACGGAGAATTGAAACCCACCGATAGTGATTATAATAAGATTTTCCCTAAAGATCAGGTTTCTAAAGGTGATTTCGTTATACTTCAAAATGAATACCCAGATACCGTAAAGTCGATTGAATGGATTAAGGCTAACCGTCCTTCAATTAATATCGCCTACAATCCTTCACCATTCAAACCAGAGCTTATAACATCTGATGTGTTATCAAAAATTGATCTCTTAATTTTGAATGAAGGTGAAGCATTAGATGTAGCCAGACAAATGGGTCATAGTGTAGATAAGGACCTTGATATTGTCACACAAGCAAAAGAATTGGCTGAACAGCTTTCTCGTTCAATTAATAAGGACAATATACAAACGATTGTGATTACCCTTGGGAGCAAAGGGTCTGTATTTACCAGTGGCGGGTCCACGCCTAGCTTCACAAAGTCAAGAACTGTGGACAAAGTTGTAGACACCACTGGTGCTGGAGATACCTTTTTCGGAGGTGTTACTGTTGAATTAAGTCTTGGGAAAACTATTGATGAAGCCATTGAATTTGCAACATGTGCAAGTAGTATAACCATCAGAAGTAAAGGTGCAGCTGAAAGTATTCCAACCTTCTTACAAGTGTCAAATGAACTTGGTATCTAAGACACTAATCAATTTATTTCCTTTCTTTTCTTTCATATTAAATATGTATATATATATATTATTCTAATAGTAGATAAATAAGATTGTTTTTTTTTGTATATAAAAGTCACTTAGTTTCGAACCATTTAAGCCTTTCTTGAACGGACTTGAGAGTTTACAGAGGTATCAATCTTTTGACTACCAGAAACATGAACGTATTCATTGACTTGAGCAGCAACACCACCAGAGACGGACTTCACTCTCTTGGATCTAACAGAACCCTTTCTCTTATAGACATCGATGTAGAAGGCAATGAATAAGACCAAGTAAGAAGATAAGATTGCACAACCAGAGTAAGCAGCCAACATGGAACCAGCACAATCACCACAGACTGGCAAAGCTTTAGTCCAAGAAGAAAAGTAAGTAAAGACAACTTTTTGGTAAGTGGCAAAGTAGACAAATCCTAAATCCAAAATAAATTGAATAATTTGGAATCTAGTGACCCATTCCTTCCACCATACTCTAATACCTCTTGCAGCCAAAAAGTAGTACCAGTACATAACAACGTGAACACCGAGGTTAAGGGTGATTGGGACCCAAGAGATAGGGGTCAAGCCAATAAGTTGAGTGTAACAAAGTAAAGCGGTAGCACCATGATGGTAGGTGTGAAGGAAAGTCAACTTCTTTTGCTTTACCACCAAGAATACAGTATCAATGAATTCACAAAATTTGGTCAAATAGTTGAGGTAGTAAAGACAAACAAGAGGTTGAGTCCAAGCATTTTGGTTACAGATAGCATAGAAAAGACCATGGTGATAAATCATAGGAATCAATTGTTCAGCCATAAGGACCAAAAGAGTGAGGGACAATGTGGTAAGGAAAAGGTTATGGATTTGAAAAAGACCATTCAAGACAAATGGCTTGATTTGGAACTTTTTGAAAATGAAATCACCACCAAAGATGACCAAGTAATAGGTCAGAATGGCCACGATTACTGGTGGGAGGGTAGAAAGTGGGAGTTCACCAGCAACAAATGCAAACTCTGATGGAACAAAGGCACCAGCTGACGCGGTTGAAACAAGAGCGTCAAACTTTGGCCATAAGGCGACACCGAACGGATGGTCGAACGAAGGGATAGGTAACGAAGACATGGTCGCTTTTACCAGTGATACTTCTGAGTTTGAGGATTCAGATAGAAAAGAAAGAGTACGAGTGTCTTTATTTTTTTATTTTTTTTGATATTTATTTTTTTGTGAACTTCCGTGATACCCTTTATATCAACTACAATGTGAGTGAAAAGAGTGAAGCAAACCGTTTATGACACTAAACGCGGTATTCTGTTTACATAGAAATTTTGTGCAGGGAGATGAATGAAATGAAATTAAATAGGGGAAAAATTTACAAAGGAAGGAAACACGAGGGATATGTGCGGGGAGATCTTATAAGCTTTCCAATGAAGAGTATATGACCAACTTACTTTTTGAATAAATGAAGTGTGAGGACAGATACATTGGAGGAGACTAATAGTATTCTTCAGCAAATTATAATAATATTCTTTTTTTTTTTTTTTTTTTCACAGTGATTTGTACCGAGGCATTAAAGTGAAAAATTTACAAAGGTGATGGAAATGGAAGATAAGTTTAAAATGAAGAAAGTACTAAAAAAATAAAAAATAAAACTGAAGACAAAAAATGAAAGAAAAAATAAAGATGAAGGTTTGGCAGTATGTGCAGTACTTGTATGAGAGAGAGAATGTGTAGTAGTAGATAGATATATGTAGAGTAAGTTCAAACAATTATTCTTTTAAAGTGAAGATATTTGAAATGTCATCAAGTTCTGAATACGATTCAGAATCTTCATCATCAGAGGAAGAATTGCAAAAGCCAATTTTTATATCAAAGAAAAATAAAAACAAGACTCAAAATGAGATACTAAAGGGAGAAGATGTAGTTGTTACAAAACGTGACATTACTATGCAAAAGATTGAACAAAATATCAAGACACAAGAAGATATATACGATGAAAATGATGATTTTGACGGGATTGACGACACAGATGACGTAGATGTAGAAGCAGAGTATCTTGCGTGGAAGGAGCGCGAGAAACAACGACGTATAGAAGAGAGAATAAGATTGAAAGAAGTTGAAGATGAGAAAAATGAAAGAGTAAGACGCGCAATAAATGAAGAACAAATTGATGAGAAACCAATTCAATTGGAACAACTGAAAAAATTGGGGGCATTTTTCCAAGGAGAAGATACGGAAAAGTTTCTTAAACGAGATTATTCCAAGATTGAGGACTCTACTGATCATTCAAGACCAACCAGGTTTAAAAAGTAAAGGAAAAAAATAAAAAGAGTTATGTCGTCATTAGTGCCGCTACCACAAAGTCTTGTTCCTGTTTTAGAACCATACTTCCCCACAGATGAGAAACATCATCAGACAAATAGGCCATTTGTCACCTTGACATATGCCCAATCCATTGATGCTCGTATTGCTGCAGCACCAGGAACTCAAACTAAAATATCTCACCAAGAAACTAAAACCATGACACATTACATACGGTCGAGACACCAAGCCATCATGGTTGGTATTGGCACTGTGCTTGCAGATGATCCAAAACTTAATTGTAGGTATCCGGGAGCATTAGAATCGCCTAGACCTATTGTGCTTGATCCTCATGGGAAATGGGAATATCATACTTCTCAACTTCAAACTGTTTGTGAAAACGGATTGGGACTAGCTCCTTACATAGTCGTTGATTCAAACACAACTATACTGGAGAAGGATAGAGAAGTTGTGCTACAACAGGGTGGACTTATAGTGAAGATTCCTATAATTGGAGAACTGGTTCAACTGGTTTGGACCTCATTATTTGAGGAATTGGTACGGTTAAATATTAAATCAATTATGATCGAAGGAGGTGCGACCATCATTAACGATTTGCTTTTGCATACAGAATTTGTAGACAGTTTGATCATTACAATTGGCCCAGTTTTTCTTGGTAAATCAGGAGTTGAAGTGAGTCCATCAGCATCAGTTAACTTTAAAAACGTTAAGTGGTGGACTGGTGTACAAGATAGTGTTATGTGCGCAACCCCTTAATTATACAATATATATATATATAAATAAATCTACAGTATTATTCAACTGGTTGATTATGGCCAGAAAAAACACTGTACCTTTCAATCTTGCTTTTCGGTTTCTTTCGGTTTTTCAAATTTACACTTTATTTTATTTTGTCCTATAATACACTGACACTACAAACAGATTCTGTACGAGGCATAACGACCTGAGGTCTCAGATCTCCGGATGATCTTGACAACTTCACCTCTCTTCAATCCCAAGTAACGAGCAACTGGGTCTTCACGTTGGATTCTGGGTAATTGAGATTCCTTCAATCTGTATCTGTTCAATAATTCCTTCTTTTCGTCACGAGACAACTTGATATGTTTTGGAACCAATTCATGGTGAGTAATGTTAACCACCAAGTCACTTTCTTGGAAAGTTTCGATGGATGCTGGAGAAACAGTTGGAATCAACTTGTTGGCACTAGGAGTGATATTGGCTTGGTAAATGAATATACCGGTACTGAAGTTCTTTTCACTAATGTGGATACAGAAATTTCTCATGGTCTTGATACCAACAGAAGATTCATCACAGAATTCAACCCATAAAGATCCTAAATCTGGGAACTTTTCTAAGGATTCAGAAGTTGGGTTCGCCTGGAAACACATCAACTTTCTTTGTGGGACGTTCATACTGTCACAGATCTTAGATCTGAACTCGTCCAAGGACATATCGATTTCCTCTTGGGTGATGTAATAACCCTAAAAACATTTGTTAGTAAAAGAAAAACAAAAAAGAAATAAAGAAATAAAGAAATATCAATCATCTCTCACTCCAAGTCTGAAGACACATACTCTATCTCTGACCATCTCCTTGATGGTCTTGAAGGATCTCCACAAACGAGAAATTGTTCTATCAGTGTCTTCCATCTTGTTTCCAGTGTATTGTCGAGCTATTTCAAGTATTAAGTTTGTCAAGTTTTAATCAAATTTTAAATTTTCTATGAAGTTCAAAATTTCTAAAATTCTCATCTCTTTGGTCACGTGGCAAAAAAAGAATGATATAGAAACTTTTGATAACAAGAGAATCTCCAAATGGTTGTTGAGAAGTATCATGAATCAAATGTCGAAAAAGCTTCAAAAAGAATATAAACTTAAATAACAAATGACTTGATAATCAGTTCTTTCTATACATGAAGATTTACGTTCTTCTTTTTACCATTTTTTTCTTTTCAATTTCCCTAATATTCTACACTCTTCATCTTATTGGGTTATCCAATTCTCTATATATAAGCTATATACCCATTCTTTTACTTATCTTTTTTTATCTTTCATATAACTTGATTTAATAATAATTATCTATTTTTCATTCTTGGTTCTGTGTAGTATCAGGGTATCCTTTATTCATCATCAAATTTTCTTCTAAATGTCAACGTTATATCTGCGCTACTTTTCCACAATTTGGTTTTGATTGTTTGAAGGGTAAGGTTATTTGCAAGTACTTCTCCTTTACATTCTAATACTAACCATTTTGTAGTTGGTTCATGATCCTTCATTTCAGAAGTTCTAGATTCAAATTTTTCTGTAAGATAAGATAAAATCTTACCAACTCTAAGCATATGATGCGATGAAAGTTTAATACAACTTTCACTAATAGGTAATTTCTTAATTCTTTTACCAACCCTACCACCAATTTTTTTGGTATTAGGTAATTGTGAATAATCATATTCAACTAATTGAAATGAGATTTTTGGTCCTTCCTTGGTTGGGAAAAAATCGTATAATATTGGTTGACCAATCCATTTAGGTAAATAAAGTCTCAAGTTATTAATGAGTTCCTTATTAACATTGGGATCTCCAAATTGCAACTTGTTGATATCTTCAAATTGGAAACTACACAAGTCTCGAAGATTCCCAAGTTCAGATGAATGTTCAGATATAATAATCAAAAGGTTTTGAGGGAATCTTTTCGGGTAAATAAGTGGTTTATAAACGTCGAAAATTAATTTCGATTCATCAACCGGGGCACTTGGATGAATGATTCGATTTTTAGATTCATACATAGGATCATTCGAGTAAATGTTGAGAAGTGAGTCAACAACTTTAGTCTTGCTAGTATTGTACTTCTCTCCGTATTTTAGTTTATTGATTTGAAGTAATTTCATAATTGAATCATCATAATTAAATGAATTATTTTGTTTGGAAATTTCTTCAGGAATAAATGAAATCATTTCCCCAACATCAGTAGATACTCCATTCAAACTATTATTTGATGAATCAAGCATACTGTTTGAAGCTGATACCACAGGACTGGCCGTTAACAGTGCCAGCTGTTTCTGTTGTTGCTGCTGTTGTGCTTGAGAAATGCTCGTTTTAGATGACTTCCTACCAAACATCTTGATTCGTTTGAGTGTACTAGAAGATGTGTTATTATTCAAGTTTGATTCTTCATTCAACTCTTCATCATTTGTATGAATACTACTATTTGAAAGTCCAGAGATTTTTTTCCCCAAATTTTTCAGTTTAATTGTTTTTAATTCTTGTCTTAATTGATTATCAAACTCCCATTCAAACAATGCATACTGATGAAATATGGAATTAAGGAAAATTCTTGATAGATAAAATCTATCATCAAATGTAACTTTTACTTTTGAATTCTTCTTCCCTTCAACATTATCCAGATGTGTGTAATCTAAAAATGGATAATTTGAAATCAATTCATCATAATATATCCGTACGTTATCAAATGTAGATTCTCGAATGATAACAAGAAGTTTACCAGCTTTAATTTCAACCTCACACCAATTATTAAGTGTGTCCATTGTTTGATATTGATTGAAAATATCATCCATATATTTTGTTCTCTTTTCAATCAATTTACTTTGATTCTGAAAATCCTCCTCATTTGGAAAGCTTTTAAGTTCTCTGCAAATAAAAAGATCCCAAATCTTGATATCTCCATTCATATAAAGAACAACCATGTGTCTTTTATTATTGAAAAGTCGTTTGGCAATAATACTTTTTAGTGATATGGGGAATCGATCAAATGGTGACTTATTAAATGGAACCATTGTTATGTGATCCAGTGGAATAGGATTTAATAGAATATCAATTTTTAATTTATATATTGAAGCTCCATCTTCATTATTATCAATAGAATCACCGTCTTCTGTATCATCAACTTCACTGACAAATTCTTGAGAAGGTCCTCCATTAATACTAAGAAACATGGAGTAATATTCATAATCATCGTCAATTGCTATTTCACCATCAATATTATGAATCAGAAGTGGGTAATTATTATTTGCAGCTGAGATTGAGGATTGTATATCGACATGGCTATCCATTGATAAATGACTAACCAAATCATAGAAGTCTGAATTTAAATCATTAGCTTCTGGCGCATTCCCAACGTCCGAAGTATCATCTGCCATACCATTATTATATTCTGCACAAGAGCGAAGAAATTGATATCTCGACAAATTTACAGTATCAGGAACATGATACCTATCAAAGGACATGCTATTTGATGCAAACACAGCACAATCATCCGAGGCAATATCAAGTCCACTTCCTCCTTCAACGCACAAAGATATGATTCCTGAATCAGCCTTTGCCACAAATGTCAGAATACCTAATTTTTCATCAATGAAAAATTTATCTGTACTGGAGTAAGTTTCATATCCTGAGAAAAATTCACTCTGGTCACGCTTAGAGTTGTTAGCAGAGAGATATGATAAGTCTGTCTTGATAATATTCCCACATCTATCACCAGAATAGAAACTATTGAAATTGGAGTTATTACCAGCGGAAGCCAATGACCACACAGCATCATCATGGATTTCAAAGGTTTGAAGAACTTTATGGTTTCTAAGATCCCACAACTTAATGGTTGTATCTGAAGACCCACTCAATATGAAATTATCATTCATCATAAGACATCTGATATTGTCTTGATGTCCAATCAACTTCTTTACAAATGAAGATCTCTTATCAAACAAGTTGATGGTATTATTTGGGCCTCCAGCAGCTATTAAATTGGTGTCAACACTGGCAAGAGAATAGACTGAACAAGGTACGGATGTGCTATTCAGAGCCTTATTCTCGAATTGTGCTACTTCATTTAATGTATTCAAATCCCATATGACTATTTTCCCATCTAAACCAGCACTAACGATTTTGTTTTCATTAGCAACAGATGACAATTTCTTAACATAATCAGTATGAACATTATAGAACTTGTGAACTTTAATTGAAAAGTTGGAATTCAGTTGTAAATCTTCATCTTCATTATCAAGTTGGATATATTTTAATGATAAATCTGATGAACATGAAACCAATCCCATATTGTTATTGACCAACGATAAATCATTGACCCAATCAAAGTGCACATTGTATGAGTTTGACACTGTGTAATCGTTAGTTGTTGGTGTCATATATCCTAGTTTGCTCGAACATATCGACGTCTCCAACTTGAGCATCTGTTCATCAAGACTTTGATCTTCCACTTGTTCTATCCCCAGTGTAAATTGGAACAGATTTGAGTGAGATACGGGGAACGTCACCTGTGACGGTGTCCATATTTTAACTGCTCCATCTCTTCCGGCGGTATATAACTTCCTCGTGGTTTGTGAATATTGTGCAGCATTGATTGGTAGAATGTGATTTTCATTGTTGTTCGAGTCTCCGAGCACGTACGAAAGTCCTCGTTGTGACTTCGACATCCCTGTTCATGCAATGGATTTCAGGATGGCTTTGAATCTATAGATAAAGAGTGAGAGTTTAAGTCAATTGATAAAATTAGAAAACAAAAAAAAACTTGTACTTCAGCTTTCTTTATCAGTTAAGTTCGTTCTCACTCTCTCTCAGTCTCTAATATTACTTTCTTTTTTTTTTTTTTTTTTTTTTTTTTACTCCGATTTTTTGCTCGTTTGTGGGTTACTGCGGTGGTCGAATAGGGGTGCTAATGTTCTATATCTTCACTGTAGATAAAGAAAGAATTCAGAAATAAATTTTACCTTGCAGCAAAGAAAAAAAATGACAAAAAGAGTAGGAATTGTAAATCAATTGAGGTATACATAAAACTTGATGTGTGATAATGTCCTCTCCTTACGTAATTTACAATATTATATTACCCCGGGTCCAGAATCCAGATCTACCTACAAACTAAGTAAATCAAAAAAAAAATAAAAAATTAATAATAATCCAGTGACGTTCAGTACGGACAGTTAAAGGATGTTGCGCTAGTGGTGGAAAAAATAGGTGGTGTAGTGGATCAGTCTTTTTCTCTTTATCTACAATGGTGCCCAATTTCTGCACGGCTCCACCACCTTCAGCTTATAAAATAAGGTTTTTCCCTCCATTCTGAAACAAAAAGTAGCGTCAGTAAGTGGATGTACATCCGATCTAACCTATAAGTATATCGCTTGAAGTGCAAACAAAGACATATAGTAGTTTCTTCTATAGATTTATTGTAGGTTTGTTTTATTTTCTGCGAGTGAATGATATTAATCATTATACTTGTTTTTTACAAATCCATTATCTTCAGAGTTCCCCTCCTATTTATTTTACTCCTCTCCCGCGAAGAAATTATTCTGTATACAGGATATGGTAGTGTGTAACTTTGTAATTTTTATTTACTTTTTTTTTTTATTTTTGTTTTGGTAAATCACAATTAAAACTTGATTATTACTATCATTGAACATGGCTGAATCAGAAATTGCGGCACATTTGAAGGCTCTGGTGTACTTGGCAGTTTCCAATATGGTTGAACTGGAACTCAAGGATAAAGCAGCTGCCACTCCTACGTTCATTGCCTCACTTGTGGAATTGGTATTCAACCAAATAATTGGATTAGGAAATGACTTAGAACAATTTGCCCACCATGCTGGTAGAGACATTGTATCTCCACCGGACGTTTTCATGATCACGAGAAAAAACAAACATTTGACAGAGGCACTTCATAAATTTTACAAATCATTGTAAATGGGTAGTTTTTCGGTTTTCAATCCCCTTACAATTTGTTTAGATTTGTTTATTTATTTATTTTTTTTTGCCATTCTCCTTCGCTTCAGGCTTGGGCGCGCCCTTATACCTAATTAGGAAGTCTACGCACTCCTGTCAGTAATTTACCTGAAATGGGAAAACCTGCATGGCGATCTTACACACCCAGCCATTTGCTTTCGCGTTTAAAGTTTTAAAAAAAATAGCGACGCGATTTAATCAAACCATAAAAGAGAAGAGTTGTTTTGAATTATTAAACATAACTGCTTCTTATACTCATCCCCAAGATATATAGATAAACCATGGTAGTTGTGCGAAAGAGAGGACAAGATGAAAGCTTATCCCCAAGAACCAGAAAGCAAGCACGTACTTTCTTTGCATCACCACCAGTGACCCCAGATAAAACAAGAATCAAAGATCTCACAAACATCCTTACCAACAATAATTTTGGAGTGAAAAATCTTGCTTTTAACACACCACCTACATCTCCCACCAAGCCAAAAAACACCTCGATATATTCACAAGCCAAGGCACTTTTCCAAAGAAGTAGTTCTCAGGAAGGTTCGGGTACTTTTCTTGTTGGTAGAGAAGAAGAAGCTGCACAATTAAATAAATTTCTTTGTGATAACATTATATCTGGTGCCTCTAACAGTTTGTATATATCAGGGCCACCAGGTACTGGAAAAACAGCACAATGTAACTTGTCTTTCAAACATCTTGGACAACAATATGGGAATCAAATTAAAATTGTTAGAATTAATTGTATGGCAGTCTTTAAACCAGAGAACATTTTCCATGAAATATATTGTTTATTAGATACTTCGAAACTTTCGATGTCCTACGGGAAAAAGAAAACTTCCAAAGATCTTTTAGAATATTTAACAACTAAGCAAGAAAACCCTGGACCTAAAACGGTAATTTTACTTCTTGATGAATTGGATTATCTTATTACTAAAGATCAGCAAGTTCTTTTCCAATTATTTAACTTTGTCTCCGTTCAATTGGAAACAAAATTAATAATTGTTAGTATATCAAATGCATTGGATTTAACTGATAAATTCTTACCTAGATTGAAAAGTAATAATCTTAGTCCAGAAGCACTTCAATTTCTTCCATATTCATCAGAACAAATTAAAAAAATTTGTATTGAAAAATTGAAGAGTTTAAATAAAATAGAAGAAGAGAATGGAGATGATGATGATAAAGAAAATAACTACGGTACAGTTAAACCTGTAAATGGTAATAGTATACCAATAATACATCCAGCTGCAATTCAATTATGTTGCAAAAAATCAGCATCAGTTACTGGAGATCTTCGTAAAGCATTTGATATTTGTTATAAAGGTATTGAAATGGTTGAGAATGGACTTCGTAAAACTGAAACAATTGAAAAAATAAATTCATATAATATAACAAATGCACCAAAAGTGCTCATATCACACATTGCAAAAGTGTGTGCATCATCATTTGGAGAAAACGTTTCTACACGTTTAACAAACCTAAACTTACTACAAAAGGCAATCTTATGTAGTCTAGTCAATCTCCAAACCATGCGTAGTGGAGATACATTTACCGTCAATCAATTCTATGACCATTACAGTTGCAATTCAACTGAACAAACTGATAGACTTCTAGGGAAATTGAAGAAGGTTGAATTTCTTGAAGTTGTTGGGGCACTTGAGTCTGTTTCGGTGATTGCCTTATCAAGTACTATTCAACATCAAGAAACTTCAGGTAAACATATCCGTGCTAGTGTTCTGTACATGGATGTATCAAAAGCTGTCACTGATATTGGAGTGCTTCAAAGAATTCTTAATAAAACATAGAAATATAAACATATATACATACTGCATACATACTTTTTTTTCCTTAATCTTAATCATTATGTAAGCTAGCCAAACAGAAAATAGAAAGAATAAAAAAAAAAAATTAAAAAACATAATAATTCCAGAGGTAAATTATACACAGGATATGAAAGGAAAAAAAAAAAATCTTTAAAAATCTCTGGAAGCGCACTCAGTGTAATAAAAAAATATATATAAATATCTATATACATATACCTATACACATTAATTTGAAACATTGTGATAGAACTGTAGTTTTTACAGCACGAAAAACGTTGGGAACACAAGAATCACGTTTTAATATAGCTGATATTCTTGTCAAGTGCCTGCCAATCCCATAATCCTGGACGTCAATCACCGGGCTCTTTACATAGGGAGAGCACCATAGTGGGTTAAGAATTATAAGAAACCCCACTTGACAGATATAAGTTTTAAATTTATTTTCATAACAGAGAACATCGCTGATTGTGACAACGAATCATCTGTATATTGCGGCAGAAGCGGAGACTGATCCCTGAGAGCAAAGTGATCTATTGATATAGGGAGGGTGTTTTAGTGTTCTTCAATTTTTTTTTTCTTTTGCCTTTAGAATTTTTCTAAAGCGAAGTAAGCACATAATCCAGCCATCAATAACATGTCATCATCATCAGGTAGAGGACCAACGCCTCCCACGAATAATAGTCGATATAGCGAATACGAGCATTATGATTATGACTATTCCAAGAATGGTGGTTCATCATCTAACGTAGGAGGTTCTAAGCGACCTCCAAAGAAACAGCAATTTCATCTGGGTACAAGTGGAACCTCTTCCAGACGGGACTTCACTAAATCATCATTACCCGGTTCTTCATCGCTCACACACTCTATGAATGGGCCCAGCGACGACTACTCCGGGTCTGTAAATCAAAACTCGGGTCGTAGATTTGGCCTGAACAGAGGCGGAGCATATGGGTCATATGGAGGAGGTGGTGGAGGAAATCACTACTCTGGCGACAGATATGGATACAATAAGCCATGGAGATCTGGATCTGGATCTGGATCTGTTTCTGGGTCTGGTCCATCTGGGTCTGGGTCTGGATCTGGGCCATCTGGTGTACATGAAGTTTCTGGCGTTGCGAACTCTTCACCACAATCATACAATGTACGCCTGTCCATGAATGGCAATCATAACAATAACTATAGAAGTGATAACTCAGTTCGAGATATACGAGATAGTACTGGCGGTGCTATACTGCCTTCGTTTGGCGGTAATAGTGGCGGTGAGTATAGAAAGGATAGATATGATTCTTATTCCGGGAACAACAATAATAACCTCAACAATAATGTGAACAACTCATCTAGAAGCTCTCTTTCCAATTCCGTGTCCTCGAGACCACCTTTTCAATCAAAAGACCGTCTGAGACTTAATACATTCCACGTCGGCGGAGGCCAAGGAAGTGGAAATTTGCTGACTAGCGGAGGAAAGAGAAGTGATACCTACTACCCTTCACGCAACTACAACTCCCTCAATCAACCTTCATTCAATGGAAAGCAATTAGACAGATACTCCAATAATAAATATCGTGGTTCGTCATCGTTTAAAAAGGGGAAAAGAGGATATGGAGATGACATTGATAACGCATATGATCAAAGACGAGATTATCGTAACTATCAACATGGGTACTCTGAAACTTCAACAGAGGAATATCATAAAACATCCTACGACAATAACGTCCATAGGTTCAAAACTAACAATAAAGATACCAATACTGATAATAGCGGTGGTAGCAGTGCCGTTGATCCTAACAGTACATATGAAAGTATACATGAAAAGGATATTAATTCAAGTTTGAAGGAAGGAGATATTTCTAAGAATAGTGAAGAGGGGCAAGAAGATGACGAGGAAGAAGAAGATGTGACTCGAAGCACAAGAAATCGTAACATTCTTGATGATGCGGATGAGGATGAAGATGAAGAGGAAGAGGAAGAGGATGAGGTGGATGATGAAGAAAGTACTCCAAAGCCTGAAATCAAACTAGAGGATGAAAAGGTCAAAGCGGAACAAAATATTCAATCCGTTGATGTATCGAATGAAGTGTGCTACGCAAATGGGTGTAACTTTCCTCTCAACTATCTCGATACGAAGTACCTTGAACTCCAAGAAGAGTTTGAAACTTTGGAGAAACATGAGGAAAAATATTCAATGGTTATGAAGTATTCTGTTGAAAAGCCCACTTTAGATTTCAAAGAACATGCATTTTATATTCAAAACATCAAGGCGTACATAAACCACAAGAAAGATTTTCTTTCTACGCAATTGAATAAGAATGCAATTGCAATGAAACAGAAGAAGCTTTCGCTTTGGAACAAAATGAACAACGATGAGAAGAAATGGAAAGTCAAAAGTATCAATATGGATCAACAATTATCAATTATTCATTCTGCTGATGATGAGATGAGGAAAGAATTGGACTCTATTGATATCAGAGCGAAACATGACACATTACCGGAAGCAACTACTGGAGCTGCTGCCGATGACCATTCGAGCGTTGGCGCGCAATCAGGTGTAGGAAATGGAGGGCTTCCAGTATCTGGTGGTGGACGTCGTAATCGTAGACATGGAGACCTCGTGACAACTGAGGCAGAATTTCAAGAAATTCTTCAATCCTTGGGAAGAGAACAGGCAGAAGACCCCATGGTAAAGGCTGAACATGTTGCTGCTAAGATACCAGATTTTATCTTGGATCCAATACAAAGAAACTACGTGAAATATATGGACTCCAATAATATAGTGCAGGATAAGGATGTTTGGTCTAGACGAATCCATAGTGATTTTGATGATAACTTTTCAGCTGAAGAACATGAGCTATTTACTGAGGGTTTCTGTATCAATCCCAAACGATTCGGGGCTATTTCAAGACACATGGGTGGTTTGCGTAGCGCAGAAGAATGTGTGGTACATTATTATGTTTCCAAGAAAGATGTTAACTATAAGCAATTGGTATCGCAGTACAAAAAGAAAGCTAATAAGAAAAATAATCGTCGTAAAAATGCCAAACCAAGATCTGTTTCACTGTCTAATACTCCAATTTCCACTCCAGCTACAGACAGTGTGAATGAAGAAATTGCTGTGGATACGTCAGCACAAGTGAAGACTTCTGAAGAATTATTCACAGAAACTGGAAGACGTAAGCGTGCCGCAGCACCAACTACATTTGATACCAAGCATGAGAAGAGTGAGAAGAAGGATATTACTGACGAGCAACCAAAGAAAAAGGTCAAGAAGTCGAAGCCTGAAGGGGAAGATCACGCTGTGGATGAGAAACATGATATTATTGTTCCTGAAGCAACAACTACTTCTGCCGTTGCGGATGAAACTACGCTAACCACGGACTCTTCTCAGCCTCTGTCCGTTCCTCCTAAGACTCCACTTGTTCCAGTGGTATCAACTGCTGAAACTATCGAAAATAGTTCTATTGAAGAAACTCCAGTCGAGGATGGGAATCTGACAAACAAAATTGAAAGTTCATCAGCCCCTATTCCAATTCAAGATACGGCTACCGACAATGAAACTTTTCAAGATAGTCACACATTTTATGATGGTAGAGAGGATAAGAGAAGAGCAATCACCAGTTATTGGAGTATTACAGAAGCCACAGTCTTCCCTGAGCTATTAGCGGAACATGGAACGAAATGGACCACAATAGCCGATAAACTAGCTACTAAAACGGCTACTATGGTGAGAAACTATTTCCAAAGAAATGCTGAAAAACAGAACTGGGGAGAAGTGGTTCGTATTGCTGATGCTAGATCTGAAGCTAAGTTTGCAGCAGTGATTGGAACTAAGAACGACATTGGTGAGCCTATCTCCAATCCATCGCCTTCTTACTCATATCATGGGTATCCTGAATCCCAAGCGCAAACTACTGCCATCGTGTCTACTCCTGGTATTGCTATAGGCACTTTCCAACATAATAATTCTCATCCGCCAGTAGTCGGTGCTGTTGTGGATAAACAACCATCTCAAGTCCCACCTGCGAGTATTAATAAGGGTGGTCATTCAATCACTTCTCTTTTACTGAACGATGAAATAACCACCCCAACTGTTACATATCAATCTTTCAAGCAACCAGAACAAAAACAGGTTTTGACTGACACTCAACCAGTCATAACTACACATAAACCACCTACTTCTCCACCACAAAGATCGTCAATTATGAGTTTATTGAACTCGGACAGTAGTCCGGCAAAACCTACAAATATTGTTTCCAATGGACCAACTATGCCACGCAAAACTACCTTGACATCATTACTCAACTCCCCACAGTCTACTGTATACGAGGGTCCATCTGGACATGGACTAAGCAATTTACTCTCCGCAACCGAAGTTTCTCCACCCCCATACACTGGGCCAAAGTGAGCTAAAAGAGGAAAACAAAAACTTCATAAAAATATCATCTACAACACAGAACCTTTGTACTATATTCATTCAGCTAGGAAGTGAAAATCAAATCAAATATGTATCATAGCAATGAGGAGTCGTCAATTGATATTCCTACCCTCATAATAACTGTAATATAATAATTATAATAACATCATTATGTAAACCCCACCCCCACTTAAGGATACTCTCAAATTTAAATTTGTGTCACTTTGATTCACTTGCATAATTCAACAGTTGTGCTAGTTTTGTTTTTTTGTTTTTTTCTGATTTTTTCTTATGAGAATTTTGTGTTCTTTTTTTTGCGTGCACCACTCAAGAAATTTTTCAAATGTATTGGAAATACTTTGTATAACAGGTGCAACTAAAAAGGAATAGATAGACGTATAAATTACTGTAGAATCATGTCATTAAGAGCGATTCAGAGCCTTTATGGGTCACGGATTGCTGTGAGATGTTTCTCACGCTCAGTGGTACATTGCCAAGAGATAGGCGGAGCAACCGGAGGAGAATCCGGTGTCAACACAAACACTAGTCAAGAATCTAAAAACGACACTGAATCTGGAAGACCATTAATTCCTAAATCACTTCTTAAAACAGAAAGAGGTGCTGGGCTTATTATCCTGGGTGATTTGGGTACCGGTGTTGTATCTAACCCACAATTAGACAGATTGAGAGTGGTGCCTACCCTTCCAACTTTCTATGGTGGTAACCCAATCCATGAACAAAATCTTAATCATCTTAATGCGGTGTTGAGAAAATATATAAATCTTCCAACCACAGTTGTAGACGCAAAGGCTCAAGCGGAAAGAAAGTTTATCTCTTACGAGGAGTATAAGGAAAGACTTCAGGCCGGTACTAGATTAAAGCCTATTCATCACAAGGAATTAACCAGCATATTACATCGTTTGAGAAGTATCGAACCACAATTAATGCCAGTTGAAGTTCTTGAAACTTTGGACGAGTTCACCAAGGCCTCCAATGTGTTGGCCCAAAAGGCCCAGAAGGCCCCAACTCTTGATGAAATGGGGAGATCTGTCACTGATGGAAGAAGAAAGACTTCCAAGGCTAGAGTTTTCTTGACCAAGGGTACTGGTGAAGTTATAGTTAATGGTAAGCCATTCATGGAATATTTCCCACGTATTGACCACCGTTCAAGAATCAACTACCCATTCCAAGTTGTTTCCCAAGAAGGTCAATTCAACATCTTTGCTGAAGTTGTAGGTGGAGGTATTTCCGGTCAATGTGAAGCTGTCATGTATGGTGTTGCCAAGGGTTTGGTTGTTCACAATCCATTATTCAAGACAAGATTGCATTCCGCTGGACTTATGACCAGAGACACAAGAAAGGTTGAAAGAAAGAAACCTGGTAAGCTTAAGGCCAGAAAGATGCCTGCCTGGGTCAAGCGTTAGAGTGGGGTGTTTTGGTTCTATTATTATTACTATTTCTTTCCAAGTCACTACACATGTACATACAGATATCATAAAACGTAAATATAATATTGTTTAATTGTAAGAATCATAATTATTCTAATCTCTAAATTGATCTAAATATTGTAAAACGGATTCTAATTCTCCCTTTTCATATTTAGGAATCTTACCTTGGAACAGATTTCCTCTACCACCACCTTTGATATTTGATAATCTCTTTTTAATCTCACTTGCAATCTCTTCTGTACGTGGACCAAATATTTTTACTGATCCACCCGTACCAGAAGGATAATCCCCATTCAAAATGGTCACAGTATGAATTTTATCCAAGTCAACACCAGAACCTTTGTTTGTGTTTACCAAAGTAGTTAATTCCTTTTGTAATAATGTCATATACTCTTGGTTGTTATCGGGTCTATAAGAGTATTCCACCTTTTCATTTTCAGAAGTTGCTGATTTGAACTCTTCAAAGAATGCTTTTGCTTCAGTACCTGCAATATCTTTCAATAAACCAGATTCACGTGACAATGCCTTCTTATAATTAGCATTCAATTGTGTGATTTTTTCAGTAACTTCTTCAGATTGACAAGAAAGTAAACTTCCTGCTCCCTTGACAATTTTATTCAGTTCAACTAAATATTTATAAACTCTTGAACCACAAAGGAAAAAAAGTTTGGAATTACCGCCTCTAATATTAGTCTGATGAAGTAAAGAAATTGCCTGAATTTGCAGTGTACATGTGAGATGTGTTCCACAACATGGGTTTGCATCCAATTCACCAATTTTAACAATTCTAACTATACCTTTAGATAAATCATAATCATCTGGAATGTGAGAAGTATCAATTTCTCCCCCATGAGAATCTGGAGTGACGACGCCAATTGGAAGGGCATCAAAAATTAAATCATTCACCTTCTTGTTGACTTCTGCTAACACGTTATCATCCACTTTTTTAGGAAGTTCAATATAATTGAGTTTACCATTTTCTCCCATGGCCCAACTCAATGTCTCAAGGTTATAGGTATCAAAAACGGCAGAAAGAAGATGTTGACCCGTGTGTTGTTGCATGTAGTCCAAACGCTTTTCCCAGTCGACTTTTAAAGTCACAGGAGTACCCGGTTCAATAGGACTGGTGGTAATATGCTTAGCAGAAAGTTTATCTCTGAGGACTTTAGATACAGTGATTACACTTTCATCAGGCAAGATGATAGATCCACTATCAGATGGTTGACCACCACCTTCAGGAAACAAAATAGTATCCTCGAATTCAATAGCATAATTGGCTTGCTTTGGTTGATCATCAAGACTAAGTGTTGAGATATCTTTCTTACCTTTAGCCTTTTTCGATTTTTCACTTACTTCAGGAGCTGGCACGTATTCCAAGCAAGAAACTACAACTGTTTTGAAACTTTTCAAAAATGAGTTCTTTTGGCATGCAAGAGCACCCACAATAGAAGAAGATGTCATATTTGTAATAAGTTTATGGGTATCAAACAAAGCAAGAATTAATGACTAATTAAAAAAAATCAAGTCTTATCAGTCCCTCATTTTGTGTCAAGACAAACCAATATATGTGCAGGTCGAGTGATACATTTGGGTTTGGGTTTGGGTTTAAAAATCATTTAGTATATGATGATACTGTTTGTTTCAATAGAAAATCCCCCCCCCCCCATATATAAATATGACAAGGTTTGAAGTTACTCCGGAATTGAAATCTTTAATCACCAAATCAACCTTAAATGCGGAAATAATAGATAAACTTGTCTCTTCAGATCATATCTCTCATCAAAATTTAGTAACTTTTTACAAAACATGTAAACCAACAGATTCCTTATTACAATTGATTAAAACGACAAAAGTTTATATCCCATCAACCGTTCCTGAAAAGAAACCTCAATCTAAAGAATTCATAAAAAATATGGAAATGCTAAGGTTAAAGGCAAAGGAAGATGAATATCAAAAATTAATTAACCCTACACCTGAAATGCAGACTTTATATGAACAAACCTCAGATTCAAAGCAATCACCAGCACAAATGCATAAAGAATTGAAAAATCAACTAACAACAATATTGAATGTATTTATCAGTGTGGCCAGTGTGATGTATGCCGTCTGGTACTGGACAAACTCATCTATGAGAATACAAACAAGTTACCGAGTTTTACTTTCTTTGTTTTTTGGGATTCTTGTACTTGTGGCAGAAGTTGTCGTTTATATGGGGTACATAAATAAGGTTGAAGAAGCACGTAAAAAGGAGAGACAAACAAAGGAAGTGAAAACTTTTCTCAAGCAATTGGATTAATAGATATATATGTATATATACTATGATCCAGAAACGGATGCAAAAGGTGGAGCTGGAGGTAACTCTTTTAAAATATTAGTAACAACTTTATTATTTTTAGTTGGGATCTTCAGAATTCTTTCCTCTTCTTCCAATTGTAAAGTTTTATAATACATCCATTTGAATAAAATGCATGTAATTCCCACAAACTTAAAATCTGGCCATAAAGTCTTGACAAATTCAATGGTACAATCTTGATTACATTGCCAAAGCATAAAATCGCTCAACCTAGTGTGGCCACTAGTTCGAATCAAAAGATCTAATGGTGGTGAGTCTGGTCCCATATACATAGCATCATGCAAAGTTTGCATATTAATATCATTTTTTGATTCAATTTGATGATTTTTGTACATTTCCACTATTGTTTTCATTGAGTGTGTGATTTCATCTCTTGAAGTGTATGGGAAACAAACATTCAACACTCTAATTGTATCATTTAAATTACTTTTAGTTTCAATTTGTTCCAAATCAGTTAAAATATCTTGAGGAATTAAACTTTTATTGCCAATAATACGAATTTTCACTCGATTTAATTGAGCGAATGAAGTTTCATTCTGGACTAATAATGAGAGTTTATCACGTAGTAAAGTAAAAATTGTATCAACTTCCGCTTGAGATCTATTAAAGTTCTCAATGGAAAATGCATAGATTGTAATTGTGTTTATACCAACTCTATAACAAACATCAAGAACCTATATTGATTGTTAGTAAGAATGTATTCTATATCTATTTTTTGCCTTTGAATACATACATGAATCAAAGATTCTGCGCCAGCATTGTGGCCATCTTTCAAGGGTAAGTTGTTATTCTTTGCATAAGTTCTATTCCCATCCATGATTAATGCGACGTGTCTAGGAACTGGGGCTGTTTTCATAATACTAATAATAAAATCCTTAACAAAGCCAGTTGCATACGATAAGACTGGGAAGCTGCCAAGCGTGTTCAATAAAATATTCAAAGATGACAGATACATTTTAAATATAGAGTAAGGAAAGGATTGTAAGATACCAAGAGGAATTATTTAAAAATTAAATAGTTTTGGGGAATCCCCCTTATGGCTGCAAAAACGTAAAACCGCTTTTTTTCAACAATTTTTTAGGGGGTGAGGGAAATAAAAATTATAAATTTGGCTGTAAAAATCACATAAATAGAAAAATGTGAATAGTTGTAATACATTTCAGTATAAAATATTTAGCTGTTCTAACTAATAGGAAGCAGAGGACATAAAAATAAAACATATCATTGATTTTCTTCCAAGTATATATAAAATAAATCTTCTAAATTGTCATTTCTGATGATAAAATGATTATTTTCTTGGTCACGAATATTTTTCTTCTTTTTTTCCTTCGAAAAAGCATTTTATTCTATATAATACCTTAGAACTTTCTACAACTTCCTTATCTATTCATTAGTATAGGTATTGGTTATTGAAATGTGTTTCACTTTCAAAAAATTTAATCCATTTACAGATTTCCTGTAGTGTCAATATTTTGGAATCACTTTTGTGTCCACCTGCATATACTACACGCACCTTAATGTTTGTATTTACGTTTATCTAGATTGATCTATATTAAATTGATCCAATTAAATATACCATCAAAGTACCTAACCCCATCATGTCCACCTATAGAGGATCGAAGAATGCCTCGAGCACAGCTTCCGGTGCCTCAAACCCACCAAGTGACGCTCTCATCTCTGAATCAAGAAAGCGCCAATCTAAACGTGATGACGCTATTAGACGGAAAATTGAAAATGATTTGAGTAAGAAGAAGAGAAGTAGCACTCGTACTAATAGAAACAAGAAGGGTGCACCAGGAACTGTCTTGTCATTGAACCCATCCGAACCAATTATCTGCAAGCCATCTTCTACAGTGTACGAAGTCTCTCAATTGATGACTGCAAAGAGAGAAAATTGTATTTTGGTGGTTAGTGATGTGGGTGAACTCTTGGGTATTTTCACTGCTAAGGATTTAGCATTTAGAATCGTTGGTTCAGGATTAAATGCCAATAATGTTACTATTGATCAGATTATGACCCCTGATCCAATGTGTGCCAATTCAAATACCCCAGCATCAGAAGCCTTGAACTTGATGGTTCATAAGGGATTTAGACATCTACCTGTTTTAGATGATAATAACCAAATCGTAGGTGTTTTAGACATTACTAAATGTTATGCCCAACAAATGGAGAAGTTGGAAAGAATGCATGCATCATCAAAGAAATTATATGAAGCTTTGGATTCTGTTCATTCTGAAATTGGAATGTCTCAACAACCATTACATATTTTCCAATATTTTGAAAATTTGAAGAGTAAAATGAATGGACCTACCTTGAGTTCAGTTTTAGATGGTACAACTACTCCTGTTTATTCTAATGTTAAGGCCTCAGTGTATGATGCTACTGTTTTAATGAAGGAAAATCATACCACAGCTGTTTTGGTCAAAGATAATAATGAAGATGTTACTGGTATTTTCACATCTAAGGATGTTGTTCTTAGAGTTATTGCCGCAGGATTAGATCCAAAAAAATGTTCTGTTGTTAGAGTAATGACCCCACAACCAGATGTTGCGAGTCAAAACTTATCAATTCAAGAAGCTTTACGTAAAATGTTTGACGGTCATTATTTAAATTTGCCAGTGGTCGGAGATGAAGCAGAAATTGTTGGTATTGTAGATGTATTAAAATTGACATATACAACTTTGAATCAAATTAAGGTGATTGAAGAAAATGAAACTGCTGAAAGTAACCCAGCCATTGGTTCGGGAGCTGGTGATCATAATGAAGGACCTGCCTGGAACAAGTTCTGGACTTCTTTAGATAACGATGACACTGAGTCGCTTAATTCCGATTCAATTGGTGGAGCTGCAGCTCCAGATGTAACTCCACTGGAATTCCACTCTTTCAACATTGATAGCATTAAACCATCGGATTCTGTCTCATACATTAATTCACCAACAAGAAATCCATTAAATCGGTCCAAATCTATTGGGAATATTGACTCTCAAATTCCATTCACATTTAAATTTAAATCACCTGCTATAGAAGGAAGAGTTCATAGAATCTCAATCCAACCTTCTGAAGGGATCTCTAAACTTCGTGAGTTGATAGATAGTAAGCTTCATGAAAAGGATTTAACTTTTTTGAAAGGAGCATATGAAGATGAAATATATGCTATCAGTTATATTGATGACGAAGGAGATGTTGTGTCCATTACCAGTGATCATGATCTTGTGGAATGTGTGAGAATTAACAAACAATTACAGAATGATAAGGCAGATTTGTACATTCATAACCCACATGAACCAGCACCAGTAGAAGAAGCAAGAATCCGTGGAGGTAGACCAACTTCATCAACTTCATCTTCAAGTAACAATGGATCCTCTAATGAGCTTATCAAGGGAATACCGAACGAAGTGTTGATTCCAGGTGCTTTAGGTGTGTTGGCTACTTCTATAATCATTGGTCTTGTTCTTGGAAGAAAATAAGTTAATATTGTTTATTTATACTTTTGTAACCGAGCTTTTATATTTACAGGATGTATTGATTGCTATATAAATATGTATATGAATTCTTGAAATGAACTCAAACATTTCTTTATAATATTTATGCGGAAGCTTCGGCTTTCTTTGCCTCTTGTACGAGTTTGGCAAATGCCTTTTCTTGTTGTTGAGAGTTAAGTTCTTCATTAAGGTAGACGTTACCAGCGGTGAAATCTTCTGGACGCAAGGCAATAGCGTTAGGGTTTCTTTCGTTAGTGTATCTGATTGAGACTAACTCAGATAATTGGGAATGTAAGAGTTCCAAGTTGTGGGATTTAGAAAAGATGTAATCACTAATATCAAAACCCAACTTTTGTTGCAAAGATTTGGCAAGGTTGAAACGGAGTTGTAAGTCATTCAATTCAACAGAGGCAAAGTCCGCCACTTGTGCAGCACCACTGACTTCGGTGTAGGATTGAGTGATAACATCTTTCAATAATTCTGGTGAATACTTGGCTTCAATGTCTTGTTTCTTTACTATTTGAGATTTCCATTGTTCAATTTTGAATCCTGGCATGTCGGTTTCCATGTTGAAATGCTTGAAATCTGGGGAATTTTCTTTGGTCAAAAATACAATCTTGGAATCTTTCTTGTAGACATCTTCTTCTGGAGATGAGGCTTCAACAGCATTCTTTTCAGCAAGTTGGTCGTTTCTTTGTTCAAGAGTCTTTCTATCCCTAAAGAGATCTGTTATGAATGGTCTAGTTGAAGTGTATGAGAACAACCGTATGTTAGAGCGGCTGGCGGTCAAACCGAGCTGGCGGGTTATAGGGCTCAACATTGTTTGTGGGGGTTTATAATGAATTGGGAGATATGGTCGAGTTGAAACTCTTTTTCTTTTGTTGATTCTGTGTAACTCCAAAAAAAAAAAAAAGTAAGAGTGAAAGAAAAAAAAAAGATTGAAATTTTCGCAATTTACCCGGATTGGAACTTACCTTGTTTTTTTGGAGTGAGATTCTTTCAATATGAGGTACTCAAGATAAGACTATACGTCGATTGGATTATGTATACATATATTCTTACGTTTATTGGCAGATATGACTTGGAATATTCTTGATATTAATTTAATGACATTCTTTATTCTCTATTCCTCTTGATTTTTTTTTGTCGTATTTACAAGTGATAATCATTACAATGATACAATTTTACATGCATATGAACCATGTTTGTATAGAGGCTACTCTAATATCAAATCCCAGCATTTCACTCACAATAAGAATAGAATCCCGATTAAAATTCACCTAACCACACTTCACTCTTTTTTTCTGTAATTCTTTAAAGAATACATACCATCAGCAGTTTATTTTTCTTAGCTCTTAATTCTTTATCTATAATTTCTTTTTCTTTTTTTTTTTTTAAGTTGAGTACTTCTTAGACTTATCTGATTGAAACAATTTACGGAATATCTCATTCATTGAAATATACCCGGTCTCTAGTTCGCACCATGACCATTGCAAACCAGCTCACCAACTCCAACCCAAAGACCGTTAGAATATTTGTCATTAGACACGGTCAAACAGATCATAATGTTAAAAAGATCCTTCAAGGACATCGTGATATCGATATCAATGAGAATGGAGAACAACAAGCCAAAAAAGTTGGTGAACGATTCAAGACTGTACCATTAGATGGGTTTATTACTTCTGATTTGATCCGTTGTCGTAAAACGGCAGATGAAATCCTTGTGTACCAACCAGAGTTGAACCCGAAGGTGAAGGTAACTGAAGACTTAAGAGAAAGAAATATGGGACCAGTTGAGGGAATGTACATCCAAGATGCCATTGCCAAATATAGTGAAAACTTTAGAAATTTAGGAGAAAAGGAAGAGCAACTTGTTGAACGAGTTGGGAGACAATGGGACGATATTATAGATGAGAGTATAGAAAAGGGATACCAAAACTATGGATTTTGTACCCACGGGGGTGTGATCACTACATTCACAAATTACCTTCATAGATCAGGCTACACTCTTAGTACTAATTTAACAGCGGACAAATTGAAAGTTCCATTTAATACTTCCGTGACCGTTATAGATATTGACAAAGAATCAAGAGCTGGTCATATTCAATTATTTGGGGATACTGCCCATTTGGGAGCACAATTAGAAGTTAAAGACCAAAATGTACGTTAGAAAGAGATAAATTACATTGTTTTTTTATGTGTTAAAGTTATAGATTTAATATAAAGTGTAAAGCAAATTAAAATAAATAGTATATAAACGAGATCTATAGGTGACATTACAATAAGAACTTTATTGTATTGAATTAAAGTTTGTTTTTTTAAACGAGAAAGTCTTGCTTATCCATGGTGTTACTTCTGGAAAAGGAGGCATATCTTTGGAAAGGATCACTTCTTTCTAATTCATATTCAGGATTGGAAACCTTCTTGGCAGCTCTTCTTTTATAAATTCTCTTGGCCCATTTCCAAGTTTCACATCCCAATAAGAACAAGAGGGAAAATCCAAAAGCAACACCCCATTCCCAATCAATAGGAGCGTGTAAAAAGACCTTAGAATTAATGACTGGAATGTAAATTACTGGGAAAACAGAAATGAATCCACCAACAATAGACCAGAAAAGAAATTGGTTGTCCCACAAGTCAATTGCAGTTTGTCTCCACCAAGGGTTTTCCAGATCTGGACGCATGTAGAAAAGCGAATTTGTAGGATGAATACATTGCCAAGCTAAGATAAGAGCACACCATGTCATCGTTGCAAATGATGCCGATCTTCCTCTGAATACCAAGTTACAGGTAGCATTATCCGAAGCATTACAATCGTGCCCAAGGTTACCATCTCCATTTCCGTACACAACAACAATAAAACAACAGAGACAACTGACAGCCATAACCAAACCATAAGCTAACATATCAATGATAACTTCGTAAGTGAAAATAGTGCTATTTGGAGGTTGAGTTAAAATATCGTCTGCAGCCTTTTCTTGACCCAAACCCATGGCAGGGAAACAAGAAGTAACCACAAGAACCCATAAAACTTCAACAGGAGACAAGGGGAAAACAGAGTATCCAGAATCATCCATAAAGGCTAAACCAATCATCAAGTATAAAGCTTGGGCAACATTTTCAGCCAACAATTGTAAGACGAACTTTTGAATATTAGCAGACATACGACGACCTTCTTCAATAGCATTCAAGATTGATGCAAAATTATCATCAGTCAAAACAATATCAGAAGCATCCTTAGCAACATCAGAACCATTAAGACCCATGGCAATACCAACGTCAGCCTTTTTTAACGAAGGAGAATCATTGACACCATCACCAGTCATAGCAGCAAACTTATCTCTACGATGTAAAGCTTCAATCATACGAACCTTGGTTTGAGGAGCACATCTAGCGATAACCAAGGGCAACACTGGCAATTGATCAATTTCAGCATCAGTCAAGGCATCAAATTCATTTGCAGTCATGCACATGGCTTTAACAACATCCTCACTATAATGGTACAAGTTATGTGGAATGATTCCAACTTCTTGAGCAATTGCCTTCGCAGTTCCTGGATGATCACCGGTTAACATGTGAACATTGATTCCTGCTTTATGACATTTCTTGACCGAACCAGCAGTTTCATTTCTTGGTGGATCGTAAATACCAACTAAACCTAAAAATGTCAATCCAGTTTCAATAGATTCTCTATCAGAAATATCTTCACTTGACTCGTCATAGCTTCTTTGAGCAAATGCCAATACTCTCAATCCTTGAGATGACAAGGCATTCATGTTTTCTTCAATTTTAGCTTTGTCATCTTCAGTTAACAGAATGACTCTCGATGAACCTTCTTCGTCACCATACCAATTCTTACAGCATCCCAATACTCTCTCAACAGCACCTTTTGTATAAACGGTAGTAGTGTTGGATTCTTTGTGCTTGTACACCGCAGACATTCTTTTAATGGAAGAATCAAAGGGGAACTCAGCCAAATGATCATAGTTAGATGCAATAGACTCTCTAGACAAATCCAATCTAGTGGTGAAAACTTGAATGGCAATTTCTGTGGCATCACCATGAGCCTTCCATACAAGTTCTCCAGTTTCTTCATCCTTAGCTTGGTTAATGGTTGCAATATTAGCTAAAGTTGCAGTATACAACCATTTTGAAAAGTTATCTGGAATTGGGTTTGGAACTCTTGAAGTGAAGTCAATTTCTTCATCAGTTTCCTTGATGAACAATGGAGAGTGTGGAGCGTATGCTAAGTCACCAACAGTAGGGTTAAATGGCTCATTTGAGTTTTCAACGGAATAAGTTCCAACAGTTGGGATCCAAACTTTCTTGGCAATCATCTTACCCTGAGTCAAAGTACCAGTCTTATCGGAACAAATGTCATTGATACCTCCCAAAGCTTCTAAAGAATCCAACTTTCTAACAATAACATTCTTCATAACCATAACTTGGGCGCCAACAGCCATGGTAATTGTCAAGACAACAATCAAAGCAGAAGGAATCATGGACAATGCTACACAAATAGCATATATAGCAACCTCCTTATTAACTCTCATCTTTTGAGAGGCCATGACAACAATTGCAAAGATAACTGCAACGAAAAACAAGAAAATAGCTAACCAGGCCAATTTTCTTTGCAATGGAGTACCAACATTTGTTCCTAAAATATTACAAATAATATCCTTCACAGTACCAAATGCAGCTCTAGAGTATTCTCTCTTCTTAGGTTTTCTATCACCAGATTTATCAACTTTTCTAATAATAGAATCATTACCTCTGAGAGATTTTGCAATTTTTCCGATCTCAGTTTCTAAACTAGTGGCAATAACAATTCCCGAAGCTCTACCTTTAGAAACAACCGAACTACTATAAGCAAGATTCAATCTATCACCAACTGGGATAGGAACAGAATGATCTTTGTAAACATCTTCATGGACCTTAGCAACTGGTAAAGATTCACCAGTTAATAAAGCTTCATCAGTTTCCAAGTTCATACTGTCAATTAATCTCAAATCAGCAGGAATGGTGTCACCAACCTTAATATGAACAATATCACCTGGTACAACTTCTTCAGCTGGAATGGTGACATCATCACCATCTCTGGTAACTCTAGCTGTAGGAGAACTTAATGATCTTAATGAACCCATAGTCTTTTCAGCCTTGTATTCTTGAACGAATCCAACAGAAATGTTAATGAATACAACAAATGCAATGACACCACCAGAAATCCAATCTTTAATGGCTAATGCGATAATCATGGAGATAATAAGAACTAAAATCATTGCATTGAAAACTTGATGTGCAATAATTTTAGTGTATGAAATGCTATCACCATCTCCTAAAGAGTTCCCACCGTAAACACCAAGTAACTCTTTGGCTTTAGAACTAGTTAATCCATTAGAAGCATCAGTATTAAATGTTTGAAGACATTCTTTAATGGTAAGTCTATATGGAAGGACTCCTTGTTCTGAGTTATTTTGTCTCTTTTCTTGTACCGAAACTGAATCATCACTTTTAGCTGAAGTCTGAACTACATCCTTCTTATTTGAATGGATAGTTGAGTTGCTCGAACTAGTCATGAGATATTCTTTAATTTGGCTTCTCTTTCTTTGTTTTAAAACTCTACTGTGTAAATATAAAGCTATTCAATGTACTATGTATCAATCTGAATTTAGAAGTTAATAGTAATGAATGAAAGATGTCTATAATTCTTTTATTCTTATAAGTAGAAAAGTTAAAAATGATTCAGAATGCGGGGGGGGGGGATTCAGTCTTCTTAAATAAACCTGACATCGGTCAATGGCGCAACTTTGATATTCAATGCATCACAATATTTCTTACCATGTACGTCTTTGCTGTTGTGTTGCAAACTTAATATTGCCGAAATTTTCAATTCCGGTCGCAGCCAAGAAGGCCAAGAATAGAATTCCGGTCAAAAATTGGCAGCACTTTTTAACCCTTGGCACGGATTAACCACACTTTTATTTTTATTTCCTTCTCAATACTAAAATTCTAAATAATTTCTACAATAGATAAGAGATTAGATTGATAACCGATTCTTTAGTTCCGTTTATTTCAAGATTTTTAATCCAAAAAAACCTCAAGTTTTCGATCATACCACAGGGGGTCATGCTGTTAATTATTCTCAATTAGGAATGATCTCTCACATTTTTCTAATTGTTCGTAAAATGGCTTTCCTGCGCATGGCGAGAAAAGGTGCGGAGCTTATCTATTTGGACCGAGGGCTCGTGACTACCATATCTTCCGTTTCTACATTGTACAATCTTGGCAAGATAGACACACATGACCGCCAAGACACGTGCCCTCAGGGCACGTGTGGAGTGTGCCACATTTTTAGGAGAGCGACACCAGATCTCCGATGGAAGTAAGACATATATATTAAAGAGGATAGTACCATAAAGAAAGTAAGAATGAAACGGCTAATACCGTTTGTAGAAAATATTAAAATATCAACAATAATGGTGGAGTTAAAAGGTGTAATGTGAGATTTTTGTTTGTGTTTTTTTTTCTTTTTTTTTTTTTTATATATGCATTTATTTTTGAATTCTGGGGCTCATAGATATGCATATCTTCTGAAGTAAAACTTCGGCGATTCTATGGATTAAAATAGAACATCACTTTTGATTATTAATGCCGAGCTATCCTTCCATATATGACAGAGATTGCAAAAGAATTCAAGGATTATAAAATGAAATGTAATTTAAATAATGTGATATTATAAGGGGTTGCTCAATAAAGAGGTAATAATTACGATATGCGGACTACTTTTCTTTTACAACTTGAGCAGAAGAAGAAAACCAACTTTTTCTTGGGTGACAGAGAAAGTTTGGAGTAAGAAACCTACGGTGGGGTCTCTTCTAATGGTCTTGTGAGTTATTTACAAGAATTTTGATTGCTTGTATGCAGTCAAGCCCAAAAATTTCTCTTATACAATAATACAAGAAAAAGAGTGAGGAGTAAGCACAACAGATAGTTTTGACACTATAGTAGCACCTTGGTGATTCACTTTTTGAGTTTCTTCTTATAGAAGAGGACAGAAATATCTATTCTTACGGTAATATTACGGTATCACAGGTAAGAATGTGCTTAAAGTAGTTTCCATTGAGTTCTGACTTGCAATTTATGAAGGGATAGTTAGCTAGTGTATTGCCAATCATCTCCCTCTGCATATCCTTATTGACAGGACGAGCCTTGGGGAAATATTCGTAATTATACAACGTTAACATATTTCTCATTGTTGCGCATATCTGAACTTGATAATTTCCCCATTATGGAGCCGGAAGTGTTAATTAGCTTTAAATGGCGCAAACCTTCCAGCCAAAGGCTAGGGAGAACAATTTGAATTCTATAAATTTCTTTTTAGTAGATAATTGTAGATGGTCTCTTAAATATCAATTAAACTTATCTTGAAATAAATATCATTACATATTAAAATACATAGATACTTGGATATGCATACAAACCAGTGGTACAGTGTTCCGCGCTGATCAAAATTTGTTACACAATTTCTCAAACTCAACTTTCATTTTTAAATAAGTGGAGAAGGAATACTTAAACGATGGCCGATTCGGATCAATCTATGCTTCTGGCAATAGAGAATGGATATTATAGACAGGCTCAACAGCTCCTTCAAAAGAAATTGAAGAAATACCCCACCAAAAGTTATTACCATGCCTTGAACAATTTGATTCAATTTAAGCAAGGGAAGGAACAAGAAGCTATACAAGAGTCATTGAAATTGAAGGCTAAAATCCCTAGTGACCCTAAAACACTCGAGATTTTAACTGAAATTTTCAGCAGCGCTGGTCTTCCAAACGAAGCCACTCAAGTGTACGAAAATGCAGTGAAAAAATATCCAACTTATGATTTGATTAATAGTTGGTTTGAGATCTCACTTAAAAGATATGATATTCGTTCAGTTCAAAAGGCATCTATGTCTCTCCAAAGAACAAGACCAAGTCGTACTCATAGTTTGTGGGCATCTTTTGGGTATCTTTTAGTTTGTGAATTGCCTGATAGTAGCGATACTGAAAAATCATTGTACCCAAAAATTGCCTTGAAGCTTGTGGAAGCCTTGAAGCCATTAAAGACAGAACAAGAAGTCTATCTTTATAGCAGATTGCTTATAAAATCCGAACAATATAGTGAAGCTATTGAAGCCATTGAATTGTTTTCTAAGGGTAAGAAATTTGATTTGGAACTTCAAATTCTTTTGTTATCGTCATTGAATAAGTTAGAATCTTGGGATAAATTATCTATTTACAGTTCACAAATCTTATTCAAAGATCAACTAGATGATTTTGATACCTGGAAATATCTCATTAAGTCACAAGTTAAACTTGGTGTTTCCGAAGAGGATATTTTAAAGCAATTGACAACTATTAATTCAAGAAATTCTACATTGGCCCATGTATCATATGCTGAAGAAATTCAACTGAATGAAAAGTTTGGAAAGTATATGGCATCATATTATGATTCTTTCAAGCATAAGTTGTGTTGCTTTAACGATTTGAAATATTTCTGTTCTTTACCATCTTTCAACAAGACTGAATTCTTGAACCATCTCGATAAAACAACTCAAGAAATCTTGGAAAACTCACAATTCACTGAAACAGAATTAAATATTTTGGTCAATAATCAAAAATTTAAATCATTGTTATCACCTGGGAAAGATTTTATTAATGAAAATTTCCAATATTATCAAAAGTTCAAAAGTATTCTTACTAAGAAGGTAGACACTGATTATTTTGCAGGAAATGAATTTATTTTGATGAATGTTGAAAAAATCTTGAATGGAGAATTAAATGAAGATTCAAATTTAGTTGAAAATGCTTACAAGTGTTTAATAATTTTGGAGGCTTCTGCTGTCAAGGACAAACATGAATTCAGATTAAAGTTATGGATTATGAAATTATATTCATTTTTGAACTGTCATTCTCAAACATTGATTAATTTCAAGAGTTTAAAAATTAAAATGATCCAGAACGATACTCTTGGCTATTATTTGGGTACTCGATTAGCTACATTATTACCCGGGCAAGACGCTATTCAACATATGACTGATGTTCAGAAATTCTATCTCACTGCTCATGAAGAAATCATGCAAAGTTTACAACGTGGTTTCGATAATATTGCCCTAAACAAATTAAGAGGAATTATTGATTTTGGTAGAAGAATTGATAAATCATTATATAAAATGTTGAACTTGTTAGAATTGTTGAAAGCTGCGAAATTATATGGTAATAATCAATTAATTTCATATACATTAGAAGTTCTAAAGCAAGAAAATCTTGTTGATCTAAATGAGGATTTGTTTGATAATCGTGACTTTACAAGTCAATGGAAATTTGGCTCAAATGAATTTAATGATTCAATATCAAATAACTTACAAATTGGCCCAATTCAAAAGACTGAATATGTGAAAATGAATGTTTTACGTGAAATAATTCTTAGTGAAACAAACGATATCAGAGTTAAGGTCTTAGTTTCGAAATTGAATAAGGTTATTTCTGGAAAGGGTAACACTCAATTAACCAACTCAGAAAGCTGGATATTTAAATTATATTTAGCAGTTTTCAAAGTTTTCCTGGTTAATCCAGATAATGATGCTGATTTCAATTTCTTGATTAAGAATTTTAACCTTAATATTATTAAGAATAAGTTTTTCAATAACTCTTCATATTTAACATGGGAGGTTAACCATAAAATCATTTCAATTCTGGAACTTATAAGAAATGTGATTGCATACACAAATCTGCACCATTTACCTAAAAAGTATTCACCAAAGGTTGCTGATTTCAAGAAAGCTCTTCGTGCGTTAGCAGATGATTTGGTTGAATTTAAACAAGAAATTGGTATCGCTGAGAGGAAAGAATTTGACAAGGTGGAAGAATCAATTAAAAAGTTTTTCGCTACCAATAAGGATGTTGGTGTGGAAATTGGGTCAAATATGGTCCAACAAACCCTTGACAAAATTAAGGTATCCTTGAAAGAATCTTCATTGATTAGGGCAAGACCTTAGAATAGGCACAATGACCAACCGAAACTAGACGATATGTCGTACCAGTCCAAACACAACAATCCTTCCGGGTTCACTTTCCACAGTTCCTCTATTAAACTTTTAATGCGTGGGATACTATGATGGCTTGGAAGTTGTTCTTGATATTCCTCTAGTAGACCCATTAACTTCACTCTGTCACATTCAAATACGCAGCATACACCAGCGATTAAAAATGGATATTTGATAGAACTTTTAATTTTAGACCTTATAAGAAACTTCAACAAGTTTATGATCTTGTAAAGTAATATTTGTACTTCAGGGATTGTAGGGGGGTATCTTCTTACCGCCACGCGTAAATATATTTGTGAGGCAAATTGGAATAATTCATACAATGATAAATGAGTTTCTAAATATTTCTTGGGAATCAAATCCAAATCTTCTGGTCTTGGTTTAGATACTGTCATTTTAGCATCCAATTCTCCGGCCAATGCCACTATTCTATTCATTTCAGAAGTTGTTTTCCAATTATTGATTTTTCCTGGATCCTCCAATAGTTTATATTTTTGTCTAGCTTCGACTCCTAGATTAATCGCTTCTGCTAAGAGCGAAAGGATTGGCTTGAGACATCCTTGAAGGGTATCTACACCTTGGAATTGATTCATAAGGAGGCTCGAAGGGAATATAGTTTTCCTTTCATTGGCCATGGACGATAGAATGTCATAATGAATGAACTTTATCGCTAAACATTTTTCTTCTAGCAGAATATTTGTAGGGACTGAGCTTATTAGATCTTGGTAAAGGCCCATATCTTTCATCACCGCAAGAGCCATATCAAAATATATTTTCCAGTTCTTGACATCTCCCGTACAGACTTCCGCATCTACTAAGATGAGATAACTTGCAAGATAGTAAATATACTCACTTCTCGTTGGTTTAACTTTGAGATCAGTTTTGATCAATTCTAAAGTTTCTCTTAAATTAATCCTTCGATACACCCCTTCCATACTCCCACCAATGGACATGCCACCCCATGTGAGGATTGCATTGAGAACACATCGATTTTTTGATGCCATATCCACAAGTAGCCCTAAAAAGAAATTGTTTGAGTTGCCCACAATAGACATTGTTTGAGCAATTATCAAATACTTTCCAAATACAACCTTCTTACGATCGTCTAAAAGGGGCAACACTTTCTCTTTATTGGGTATATTCCATTGAATTTCATCATTATCTCTCCATTTTATGTCAAGCGAAGCAGTAGAAGATCTGCGATCCGGCGTAGTATCCATGACAGGTACTGGCGCCAGTTTATTTATCGAAGATCTTTTCGAATGATTTCCTGAATGAAACTCCTGTATTCTTGGAATATTTCCAGTTGAGCTGGTTGATGATTTCCGATCAGAAGTGGTAGCAGTGGTGGTAGCTGCAGCGGCATTTGTAGTTGTTGCAAGAACTGGTTCTGATAAAGGATTTATATTTGAGGTCACGGGTATTACTGGCCCTAGTGTATAGCTAGATTCCGTATCATCTTCTATGATTAGAGTACTTCCAGTTAAGGTCTCAATCGATATTGAATCCTTACTGCGTTGATCCGATTTAATCTCGAAACTATTGGACAGTACATTATCTTGTCTTATATGATCGGTCATTTTATCCTTTTTAGAGGTGGCCCTTTCTGGCCAAATACACAGAGACTTGCGTAATACACACAACCCACAGTTAGGCTTTACTTCATCACATTTCTTCCTGGTTGATAATGTTAGTATATATAAGGTAATAAAATCGCTTAGCCTCATATATTTATCGATAACTTACTTTTTCTTTCGGCAGGATAGACAACCTGCTCTGGATCTTGCACTTGCACCTACAAATGAGAATTTTGTCACTTTACTCCCATTCTCGACAGATCTGATTCCAATTGCCTGATCCATTGGCTAGATGAGATATTTGTTAAAATTACCTTTTGTTGTTTTCAATCCGATTTAGTTCTGTATATATTTATTGGACCGATTTGCGATAACAGGGGGAACTTTATCTGACGAATCTATAAAGGCGAATATGGCTGCACATAAATAGTCTCTTATTACTCTACATGTATCACATTAATCTCTATAATTGCATTATATTCGTAAATTCTTAGTCTATGATATTCGTAAATTCTTTGTACTTTTGATTCTTGTTTTCTTTTCTAGGATCCCAATCCTATGCTTTTACTCATATCTTCAAAATGTTTAGTTCCAATATTCAACAAGTATTTTCTTTGTGCCAATTCAGATGCATTGTTATTCTGTTTGAATTCAGCCTTGGCATATGCTAATAATTCATTTCTTTGATGTGTCTTGTAAGCAGCTCTCACTACATTACGATAAAGTTTAAATACCTCTTTTCTAAATAACCATTCATCAAGCGAAAGAAAATCTTTAACTGGTCTTCTCTTTAAAAGCCTAGAGCTCGTCCAAAGAGATCTTTGAAACACACACATATTCGTAAGGTTTGAAATATTTAATGAACTTGAATTTGGCCAATGTCTCACATCTGTTTCAACTCCCAAAAAATGAGAAAATTTATCACATTTTCTCACAATTCCACTACGTTCTTTGTTGTTGAGCTATAAATTATTATTATTATTATTATTAATATTATTATTACTTAATGCTATGCTATGTGGGTGATACTTTGTTAAGTACACTGGGAAGTAATCCCTGGAATCTCCATCTCCATCTAAGTTTTTGTTGGATATTTTGAAGCCATTCTTTATCAGATTCGTTTGATTTGGTAGGTTCGAGTAAAACTTTGTCTGCAGGGATGTCTGATAAATTTTGTAATTTATCAATAAGACCTTTAGAAAATGCAACTTTTACTCTTTTGGGTGATTCATTGACCTTGGGAATAGATGATGAACTTGATGACGTGCTACCACTCGCCATACTTCTCTTATTATTATTTGTTGAATATTTTTTTTGGATATCTTTGAATATTTGAATGATTCTTTCATTAGAATTTTCTAGAATTTCTAATCCTCTTTTATTTGTCAAGGGATCCTTTGAATCTTCGGTTTTCTCTATAGAATCTTCAATATCATTTTGATATTCCAGTTCATCATTATTTTGAAATAATTCATTATAGAATTGTTCATAGTTCTCAACACATTCCCAACAGACAAACTCTTCATATTTATTACATGTAGTTGTTGTATCTTGATCTTTTTCATGGTCTCCGCTTTCATGGTCCCCTCCTCCTCCTCCTCCTCCTCCATTTAAATTGTGGTTCCCCTTCATTTGTCTTTTATTGATGATTGCACTCAACTCATATAATGGTTTTTCACATAAATCACAATAATTTAAAGTATCAGTTCCGGGAATTTTCCCAAATACTTCTTCCATTCTTTCTAAAGTAGTTGAAGATTTAGAAGTAAAGCCCATATTCAGAGATCCTTGATAGATCCCTCCAGACTTATCAGTAATACTATGCGTAAGGTTTGAATTACCCCTGGAATTCCGCACCATCAGTCCATCTATAGTAGAGGTTGTTGATACAGAAACTCCAGATATGCTATAATTATCATCATTCTGAGAAAATAACTTCAGCTTAAAAGTAGCCAAAGATTTCTTTCTTTGTAAATGTTGTTGATTTAATTTGATCAGATATCCATTATTTGAAGAATTTGAATTCAGTAAATTTCTCCCGTTTGATGACATGTAATCCTCTACTAATACTATGGGATCTTCACTTTCATCTTCCTCGAAAAAGCTTTCATCTTCAGTAATTTCTGGTACCATAATCTCATATTCTTCTTGTGGGGTGGGGGCATTCGAGCTAGTGGATCCTCTCAGGTTTAACGATTGCTCAGACCCATGCAGTGGTTCTCCGAGAACTTGTGGGCGGTGTCTCGTACGAGGTGGTGGTGGTAAGGGTAATGAAGTCAAAGTTGTATCGTCAATAAGATCAAGTTTAGACGGTTGGTATATTAACGTGTTATTTCTTCTTGATGCAAATGACAGTTGTCTTGACAACCTAGATACAGATCTTTCGTCTGGACAGGTATCTTCTAATTCAACTCCCTTAGTATGAATCATAGTTGATCGATAACTTCGATTAGTTTCGTTTGGAATTAATGTGCTTATTGGAAAATAGTTATTGCTCCATAAATATGTGTTATAGATATATATGGTCTATGTGTTGCTATTGACGCACAGGGAAATAATAATCGGGTCACGTAGCGCAATGAAAATCTTTCTACCAAGTTAGATGGAAGGGAAATAAGGTACTATAAGATCGGAAAACTTTTGATTGCTTTCTTTCAATATATTATCTTTCAAATATTAAATATCTATTATATTAGTATGTTACCAAAAAATAAATATTGAGTGTATATATATATATATATATATATATCTGGATCACACTAGGAAATATGTTGTGTCTCGCCTTAGAGATTCATTTACACATAAGGAAATATCCCAAAAATAAAACAAAAATAAAAAAAAAAATAAACACTTTACCAAGGTACCAAACTAGAAAACAGTTTCAGAACGCGCGCGCCGACACACGAAACCACCCAACCAAAGTTGTGGTGTGCGTGAACCCCTCTTGTACTTTCTACACGGCATCAGTTTGTACAATAATTTTACAAAAAAAAAAAACTCTTAACTAACTATAACTAAAAGATGTAGGTCGAACGACACGAGAGAAGTTAACTAATTTTACTTTCTCTGAATTTGAAAAGTGGCTGTCATTTTTGGTTGCACATTTAGTAGCTGCTCAGCAATTTTATTCTTCGTGGAGTTAGGTGCTAGTTGGGGAGCTAGTGACTATCTCAATAACGGCTATTCCGCACAAGAATGCAAGGCATTAATTTGCAGTGTGTAGTTACCAAAAAGGTAAATTTCCCCAAATAAATACTTAGCCGGTTTTCATTTTGTGGTGCTACAATATTTTGACACGCTGCAGGATAGGCGTTTCTAGTTCCGTTATTTTCCGTGGATGCAAAATGCCATAGTAAATAAAAAGGAACTACAATGGAGGGCTACAAAAAAAAAATTGCTCTATTCGTAGTATTCATTAATGGGGAATATATAAGGCGTTTACCAACCAAAAGCCTCAGTATGAAGATAAATCTCTTCAATAGGGTATGGACGGCTGTTCATGTCACTGTTAAAGACCAAGGTTTGAAGAGAAGACACCCCGCTTCCAACAGATTTACGCATGGAACCACTTCCTGATGAAACAAACATTGTTTTTCTATTCAAATACTTTTCTGAATCCAAGACAATTTGTTCGATATTTGGTTTTAAGTAATGAATATTGATTCCCATAGGAAATGTTGATCTTGAATCATAACTGGAATCTATACATTTTTCTGTTTCAGCTGGCGAATCAATTGTTCCTGTTTTATCACTTGGGATTTCTTTACGGTTAGCAACGTAAATATCAATAGTGACATAATCACCAGCGATGGATACGGCTTGTTCGAGCTGTTCACGTATCCAATCAATATGTTCCTCATGACGAATGATCCACACAAAGTGGATATCCTTAGGGATAAAAGCAGTACCAGCTTCGATTGATTTTGCAATATGTTGCGTAACATGTGTAAGGAATGGAAGACATACAGTGACACCACTCCCGCTGCTAATAAGAGAGAGATTATCAAAGGACAATGGATCTCTTACAGTTCCGCCATATGGACCATCCAAGAATACTTTCTTTTTCAAAGTGATTGACTCGTCCAATTCCTTATATAACTTCCCTGTTAATCCCTTTTTTGGAACGATTATGAATCTCAATTCATTTGAGTCTGCTGAAACGGTACTTGGGACACTACAGATGGAAAATGGATGATTATCTAAAATTCTTGAACCAGCAAAACGGAGATAACAATGTTGACCCGGATTCCATTTCATGTCAGCAACGTTAGTAACAACAACTTCGTAAGTACCCTTTGGTAATTTGGTTAAAGTTGCAGGTCTTGGTTTTAAGAAGAGTGCACTTGGTCTAAAGGCTGTCTTAACAAGAGCTCTATAAATCAATTGAGTGGCCCAGAATGCCAATGCTCCCCACATATAACGTTGCATATCTAAGGCATTGTTAATGTGCCATACCAATGTTGCAAAATAGGCAATACCACACATCCAATGAAGGTGTAAGAACCCTTCATAAATTCTGGAGCGGAACCAAGAGTTTCCACCAACACATAACACCACAAGTAATACAAATGGTGGGTACCCACTCCAATAATCTTTTGATGAAAATGTTTCAGCTAAGAAAGAAGCACCACCCTCTGCCATTGCTTGATACATAAAAGGTACGACATGTATAATACTAAGAATAAGAGTGATGATCCCGGCCCATTGATGGAATCCATTAAGTTTTTCATATGAGATACCAGTCAATAGAGTAATCATGTTTGATTTTCCTGATAATACATAAAGGAAGGGTGTAATGGCTGTTGCCATGACACCAGCACGGATTGCAAGTGGAGGAGTACCAAACCCACTACATCCTCTATACCAGTAATGAGGAATGAAACAATAACACGCAAGGTATGCAGTAGAGGCAATGACAAACAAAAGTGAACCTAACGATGTTGGGAGTGCAAGAACTCTACATATATAACTATTGATAGGTTTGTAACCTATATAACGGCCATATGAAGTCAGCACCGCTACCAATGAAGATATTAAAGATGGATTCAAGGATTTTTGGTGCGATTTCAAGTACACCTTATCAGAAGAACGGTACCAGATATTTTTTATGCATGCTATGAATATAACCACGACCCCAAAATAGACCGTAAACTTGGCATAATTTGCTTGGTAATACCATGAAACAGCACTTTGCAGAGCCTTTCCCGCTTGCATATAGGCAGCGCTGGACAGGTCTTTAATACAGTCCATCCCATCAAAGGAGACTCCTCTTTTGAACAACTTCAGCATTGTTAACAATTAAAGCTATAGGTATGTCAAAGATATCACGAAATATGATTTCAATTGAAAAAATAGGAGGAAATGTAGAGTTATAAGCAAGTAATATATGTGATTGAAAATGAGCAAATTTTGGTTGCAGAATTTGCTCATTTGATTTTTATCCGTCATTCACGTGACATGTCAAATGGAAATTTGAGCAAATTATTCTTCATTTAGTAACCACTATACATCAGTTCATTATTAAAGCCGTTTCTAACGTCAAAGTATTTGCTCTTATTTAGTGACAGGTATTATTAATTATTACTAATATATGATTGATCCGAAATTTACATCCAATAGAAAGTGGAGAGATTTGTATTCATTAATGTAAAAATAGCAGCACCTTTATATAAGCACTGTGGTTTAATAATATTGTCAAACAACGTTTTACCATACTAGTGTAAAGTTACGTATTTATATATCTACTAAATCTTGTAAAAAATAAATCTTAAGTGTATGAATATTTAATAGTCTATATTTTTCAATAGTTTTACCAGCCAAAGGCTTCAGTATGAAGGTAGATCTCTTCAATGGGGTAAGTGCGGTTATCTAAATCACTATTGAAAACCATGGTTTGAAGTGATGACACCCCACTCCCAACAGATCTACGCATTGAATCGCTTCCAGAAGAAACGAACATTGATTTCCTCCTCAAGTACTTTTCTGAACCCAAGACAATTTCCTTTACGTCTGGCTTTGTAAAGAAGACATTGATTCCCTCGGCGTTGATTGATTTAGAATCTTGATTAGATTCGATTTTCTTTTCATCAGTAGAGCTTTCATGAATTTGTGTATGTTCTGACTCTTTACGATTAGAAACATAAATATCAACAGTTACGTGATCTGCTGCAATTGATACAGCTTGTTCGATTTCTTCACGAAACCAATCGATATGCTCTTCATATCTAACTATCCATACAAAGTGAATATCTTTAGGAATAAACTGAGTTCCATTCTCGATAGATTTAGCGATATGTTGAGTAACATAAGTGAGAAATGGGATGCATACAGTAACACCACTTCCACTACTAATAAGGGAAATGTTGTTGAAGGCCAATGGATCTCTAGTTGTTCCTCCATATGGACCATCCAAGAACACCTTCTTCTTCAAAGTAATGGATTCATTTAATTCTTCGTACAACTTTCCAGTCAAACCCCTTTTAGGTATAATAATGAATTTCAATTCGTTGGCGTCCTTGTTTGTTGCGCATGGAATACTACTAATTGAGAATGGATGGTTATCCAATACTCTTGAACCAGCAAATCGAAGGAAACAGTGTTGGCCCGGATTCCATTTCATGTCAGCAACGTTAGTAACCACAACTTCGAAAGTACCCCTTGGTAATTTGGTTAAAGTTGCAGGTCTTGGTTTTAAGAAGAGTGCACTTGGTCTAAAGGCTGTCTTAACAAGAGCTCTATAAATCAATTGAGTGGCCCAGAATGCCAATGCTCCCCACATGTAACGTTGCATATCTAAGGCATTGTCAATATGCCACACCAATGTTGCAAAATAGGCAATACCACACATCCAATGAATATGTAAGAACCATTCGTATACTCGAGAACGAATCCAAGAATTACCACCAACACACAATATGACAAGCAAAACGAATGGAGGGTATCCACTCCAGAAATACTTTGAATCAAATGTTTCAGCCAAAAATGAGGTACCACCTTCAGCCAAAGCTTGGTACATGAAAGGTACACAATGAACAATTGACAAAACTAGGGTTGAAACCCCTGCCCATTGGTGAAATCCATTGAGCTTTTCGTATGAAATTCCAGTTAAAAGAGTAATCATGTTTGATTTTCCTGATAATACATAGACAAATGGGGTCATTGCTGTGGCCATAACACCGGCGCGAATAGCTAGTGGTGGAGATCCAAACCCACTACATCCTCGATACCAAAAGTGTGGAATAAAACAATAACAAGCAATATACGCAGTGGATGCAATAATGAATAAGAGTGAACCAAGTGAAGTTGGAAGGGCTAACCATTTGCACAAGTAGGCATTTATAGGTTGGTATCCAATGTAGCGACCGTATGAAATTATCACAGAGACAAATGATTTGAAAAGTGAAGGATTTGTCGAAGTTTGGGCATTCTTCAAATATGAATTATCATAGAAACGAAACCATATATTCTTGAGGCAGGCAATAAATATCACTACTGCACCGAAATAAATTGTGAATTTAGCATATGAAGCTTGGTGAGCCCAAGGAATTTCACTTTGCAGACTCATTCCAGCTTCCATAAAAGCGTGTGTGGTTTGGTCTGCATAACAATCCATTCCTTCAAAGGTAACACCCCTCTTAAATAATCCTAGCATTATTTATCCTTACTAAGTTATATAATACAAAGCAATAGAGCCAAATGTATCAGCCGTTCGCCAACTTATATATTGTTCAAATGAGCAAATTTAGAGTTGCAAAATTTTATTCATGCACGATAATCCCAACGCCAATACATTTTTCATGCTTGATCTTGGCCATGAGCAGTTTTAAAGGGAAAATTTTGCAAACCGAGATTGACTCAGAGGTTATCGAGCAATGCATAATTGTTTCTTATTCGTCTGTGTACCTCTGACACGTTTAGACACGTTTCGGGCACTATATGTATTTTTTTTGATTCCATTATCAATTTGCATACCAATGACTAAATTTTATTACATTTTGGGGAGTGAAATGTTGTACACAATTTTCGATTTGGGTTTGAAAGTACATACTTGACCTACAAAACACAAATAGAATTAATATGTATCTTGGATGCTAATTTGATTACAGTATGTTTTTCAGAGTTTGAACAGCACGTTGTTCGATAAATTTAAAGTGCTCATTTTAGCCGAGGTTACCAAATAGGAAAGTAGGACCTCCCCGAAAAAGTGGTTGCGAAATCCTACGATCGTTATCATTGAACAACAAATAATTATTAGGGTATTATACATATTACGTAGAAGGAATTCGGGATTACCACCCGAATCCTTCAGAATGGAGGAAAATTTCTTCAATAGGAGAGCTTCTTTCCGTGTCATTATTTAACACAAGGCTTTGGAGTGAAGAAACTCCACTAGCCACAGAACCACGTATGGATTCACTTCCAGATGATACAAACATAGCTCTTCTTCTTAAGTAACGTGCTGAGCTCAACACAATATCTGTGACTTTGGGCTTTTCGTAGTGAATATAAATGCCGTCTGAAAATTTTTTCTTTTCTCCAAAGTTCAGCGTATTACCACTTGATGAAGTAGCACTTATTATATTCCCACTAGGAAACTTTCTGCGAGAGGTGATATAAATATCTATAGTTACATAATCGCCTGCAATAGTTACAGCTTGCTCAAGCTCATCGCGAATCCAATCAATATGCTCCTCATGACGGATTATCCACACAAAGTGAATATCTTTTGGAATGAATTCAGTACCATTTGCAATTGATTGAGCGATATGTTGAGTAACATAAGTAAGAAATGGGATACAAACAGTCACTCCACTTCCACTACTAATGAGAGAAAGGTTGTTGAATGCTAATGGATCTCGCACAGTCCCACCGTATGGGCCATCCAAATACACTTTCTTCTTCAGGATGATGGTGCTTTCTAATTCTTTATGCAATTTCCCTGTAAACCCCTTCCGAGGAACAATTATGAATCTCAATTTGTTTGAGTCAGTTGAAGTGGTACATGGGATACTACTGATTGAAAATGGATGGTTATCCAATATTCTAGAACCAGTGAATCTAAGGAAACAATGTTGCCCGGCTTTCCATTCCATATCAGCAACATTAGTCACGACGACTTCATAACTATCTTTAGGTAACATTGTTACGATTGCTGGTCTTGGCTTTAAGAAGAGTGCATTTGGCTTGAAGGTTGTCTTAACAAGAGCTCTATAAATCAATTGTGTTGACCAGAATGCTAAAGCACCCCACATATAACGCTGCATATTCAAAACTTTATGGATGTGCCACACTAAGGTTGCAAAATATGCAATTCCACACATCCAATGAAGATGTAAGAATCCTTCGTAAACTCTTGCACGGAACCATGAATTACCACCAAGACATAAAAGAACAAGTAAAATAAATGGGGGGTACCCACTCCAGAAAGCTTCCGAAGAAAATGTTTCTGCTAAGAATGTAGAACCGCCTTCAAGTAAAGCTTGGTATACAAATGGGATACAATGTACAAGAACAAGAGCAAGGGTCATAACTCCACTCCATCTATGAAACCCATTTAGCTTCTCGTACGAAATCCCTGTCAAAAGGGTGATTACATTTGATTTCCCAGATAATATGTAAATGAATGGTGTCATTGCAGCTGCCATTACACCTGCACGAACGCAAATGGGAGGCCTTCCAAATCCACTACATCCTCTAAGCCAATATGATGGAACAAAGCAATAACAAGCAAGGTACGCAGTGGATGCTAATATAAATAATAAAGAGCCAACGGAAGTAGGGAGACCCAATAGAGTGCAAATTTTGCTGTTAATGGGCTTATAACCAATGTAACGACTATTAGAAACGAGAGTCGCAACGAATGATTCTAAAAATGATAAAGATTTTGTTTGCTGACCATTATTTCTATATCTACTATCAGCAACCTGAAACCAGATATTCTTGATGCATGCAGCAAGAATTATACCAGCACCGAAAAATATGGTATAATTCCCGAAACTTACTTGCAGTGGTCCAGGCATTGCGGTTTGCAGCCTCATTGCTGCTTCCTGGAATTCTACAGATGTCCGGTTTGCATAACAGTCAACTCCTTCAAATATAACATTTCTTTTGAAGAATTGCAACATTATTTTCTAGTATTGGTGCGAAAATGTAAAATCTAGATCAAAACTGTAACACTTGTGCACTTTGAACTTGTTCTATTTTTTGTGATGGTGTGTTGTTAATAGAACAAAACAGATACAGAAAAATCTTGGAAAGCTAGGAACCAAGATTTTCATGGGATACTTGAGACCTATTTATGGTGCAAATAACGAAAACCATCCGATTGCTAGTCAGTTGTGCCATACGATGTGGATAATGTTTATTTTTGAAGTTTCAGATACGAGAATGAACCTGCCTTCCGCAACTTCTGTTGCATCCACATTTTAGCTGCAAGGTTTCACCAGAAAGAATTGAAATTTTGCTTGGCAAGCTGGTTCCCAAAATTGATGGCCTTCTTTTTATGTTGTACTACTCTTTGACAAGCTATATTGCATACTTAATTCTAGTCCTTATTACCACAGGGTTCAAGAAATAATGTTCTATCTCAAATATTGAGGAATTTGAGGATTTGTACTTTTACTACAGTTGCAAAATTTGTTGGCAAAGAGGCGCGCATGTAAGCAACCACCCGCCTTAAAATAAACATTTATAGATTGTTTGCCCTACGAGACTAAAAAGCTCGCTTGTATTGTTGTTTTTCGTTTATACTTAATTTCAATCAACTATATTCACTATTTATAGTTTTATTTACTATTATGCAACGAACATCTGTTAAACAATATAAAATCGGGTAAAAGTTATTCCATCTACGTAGATACTTACTCATATTCTTTCCTGAAACTCCATCTGATTCTAAATGTTACTACAAGCTTTATTTATAGGATGCGGTTGTTTTTTATTATATTTTTAATGTCTAAAAAAAGACTATGCAACTCTCAGTGTAGCACTGGCTATACTATTTCTAGCACTAATGAGACTATGATGAGAAACATCATCATCGGTATCGTTTACCCAGTCAAGTATATCTCTAAAAATACGCTTGGAAATAGCTCTATCCATTTCACGTTCTTGCTCTTGCATTTTTGTGCAAAGAACCTCACAAACTTCAATAAGGGTTGTAATTCCTCTTAATTCTTGTCTTCTTTTAAACTCTATTATCGGCATGAAGTTGGTGAGTTGATCAACAAATCTTAGCTCCAATACTGATAAATTTGGAAAGTAGTTACTATGAAGAATTAAAGGAATAGATTGGTTTGTTATTTGGGTGCAATTATTAAGTGATAATCTTTCCACTGAGCGATTGCATACAATAGCAATTTCCCAAAGTACCTTATCAGTAATATTACATCCAGCTAATCCAATTGTGTTAAGATTAGGATTATTCCTCACTAATAATGATAAACTATTGTCAGTGATAAGGTGTCCCTTCTTTTTTCTCCCAAAATTGACACTTGTCAATCTTTTACAATATTTCCCAATGCTGTACACACCTGAATCTGAGATCAACTCACAAGCCCGTACGTCAAGTACTTCAAGATGACGGCACTTTTTGGAAACATGGATTAAAAGACTATCATCCATAACTTTTGAACCAGTCACAACAAATTTTTTAATGTTGAACCCATTTTCAAACATAGATAATGATGGGAGTAATTTAGGACACATGTAGAATTCAACCCATTCCAAGTTCTTGTAGCCAATTTGTTTGTTGACAACGTCGAGAGCGGCTGACTTGGTCAGGTATAATTTGTGGAATACTACCATGGAAGGGTTTGGCCTCAGTTCCGGGGATACGGTTGATTTAGAATGTGTTTGTATGTAGTTTTGGAAAAGTGGCTCAGAACTGAAGAAGAATTTAGATTGGATTATTTCTTTGGTGATTTCATGAAATAATCTGTTAACCATGAGACAGTTGTACAAGATTCCATGTTCTTGCACTGACGACTGTGACCGTTTGTCTTTCATGGCAGCCTCAGCATCCTCGGAGTTTCCGTAGATTAACATTGCATGTTTAAGTGAAAGTGGTTTCCTTCTAATTGTTGTACCTTCTTGTGGAATTATAGTACTTTGGAGATCAGCAAATTTGATGATTTTATGAACAATTTCAGGGATTTCAAATATAGATGGCTGTTGTGTTTGTTGTATTTGTTGATGGTAAAGCAATTGTTCCTGTTGTTCTTTGATTTCTTGTTGTTGATCGAAGAAATATGCCTTACTTTTCTTTGCTGAGTTTGACAAGATGAAAGGAAAATCGTGAAGTTTATTTGAGTTGTATAAAGGAGAGGTATTTGGAGTACTCTGTTCTGTATCTGGAAGAGACTCTAAGTCTGAGTCAGAACCGGATGAATTGAGAGGAGAATTCACATACGAATCCTCACTGAAACTAAACTCTTGTTCACTGAATTCAGTTTCATACAGCATATGATGTGTTTGAATGGAAAGTGGGGTAGATGCAAGTAAAGATGATTTTGGGGATGCCCTCCTCCTTCTATGGAATCGTTTGACGGAAGGGGATCTTGTAAGTTGTGTTGGTAGCCTCGTACAAGATTTTGATCTCTTGATATTGTTGATATTGTGGTGGTAAGCACTATTTTCCTCGTCAGTTTCGTAAGATGTTGGTCTAACGAATGAATTGTATTCGTACATGGGCTCATCTTCGTATGGTAATGGAGCGGTTTTGTTAATAGATGTCATTATAATGCAATGTGGTAAAAGAGAAAGTATGGTTTAATTAAATGAGTGACAACCACAATGAAAGTGAAAAATGCAAAGAATATTAGTGATAATGCAATGAAGTAATGGAATGGGTGTCAGGGAAGATGGGTGTGGATGATTATGTTTTCTAATTAGTCCCTAGTCAATTTCTTTCAATATCCCATATATACCCTCCAAATGTTGCAAAGAGTGGCTTAACAATTTGGGAAGTAAACGTCAAACCCTTTCAATGAATGAATGAAGTAATTATATGTATATATATATATGGAAGAAGAGTTCGTCAAAAGAAAGAATCTGTAAGTGGCCTAATGAGCCAGCCATGATGTAAATTGCCCCTGGTGATTTCCGCTTGTATACTGGTGTGGGTATTCCTTTGCAGTGCTGGTAAATACCTATAGAGGAAGATGGCTGGGTTTTATATACAGGAAATGTTCGGTATGTTAATTGTATGCAGGTTTACATAGTAACTTTATTGCATCAAATCTCGTAAATTTCAGGTTAATGCTGGTAAAAATTACGCATTGAGAATCGAAGGATTCTATGGAATGTTAGCAAGCTGTACAGCAAGTTAGGTACAAGGGGTTAGTCCAATGAGCCCCGAATAGAACTCAGACGAGTGTTGGTTTAATCGTGTAGCAGTTAGTAGCTCTAGTTGTAATGTTGGTATCAAGTGTGAAATTTACAACCGATATTTTCTACATGCATGAAGACTCTAACGCATATTAAAAGTTTCGTACTTGAAAAATTATGCTGGAATGAAGTAAAAAATATAGGAAAAGGCCAGGCATTACCATATGTAAGTAAAGTTAGCAATATACTCTAGCGAGAAAATTCATTGTTCCAACTTTTTTAGCATGAGATAGATACAAAAATGACGCGAATAATAAGTCCCCAAATTTAGTGTATCTTATTTTTAACTTATAACCAGTATATCTGAAACAGTGAACAGTTCTGCTCTGGTATGTTAAATAATAAAGCTGGAACCTGAAAGAATAATTATCCCAAACATCTAAATTTAGATATCCAATTATCTTTTTTGTGTTAACACATTAGAATTAAGCCTGGTTGGAATGCCTGTTTTCCATTTTGTGTGGTTGTAAGACTGATACTTGCAGTTTAAGTAAAAAAAAAAAAAAAAAAAATGCAGTATATTGACAATAAAACAAAATATTTACGGCATACTACTACATGTCAAAATAGAATGATGGCCAGTAACTCGGTAATAGCGCAGAAACTATGTATACGTGCATATCAGTAAGGCTAAATTCATGACAAATCTGCCGGTATACCATTAGAAAGATACTCTCCGTATCAATCTATTAACCATTTATTTCTCAGTTCACTTCCAAAATGGTGGTATTCCTTGTACAGAAGAAGTGGCAAAAAACACACTCACTCACATTTAGAAGGGGGGTAGAAAAGTTCTATGGCACAATATTTCTCGGAAGGAATGTATTCCAAGAAAACTGCCTAGTAGCAGAGAACGTCCGAGACCGTTGCTAGGACAACTAAATAATTTTAAATAAAAAATAAAATACACCAAAGCCTCTATTCGGACAAAGTTACAATATTTGACACACACACAATAATTATTTTTAAACAGTACAAGCGCATTTTAACACATTAAAAGAAGCCATTGGGTATCAATGGAGAAGAGAGTAGCTGATAACTTAATCAGCAAGTTGGGTACGTGTGCTCATTTATAGCAACAAGTATAAAGTAGTTGTATAGTCAATCTCGTCATAATATGGCCGTAGACGAAATCACAAATACAATGATACCTTTACATCCATACAGACTTACGTACGGCCAACGTGCATTCATAAGATTAACATGCAATCAATAAGCACTCGAAGAAGTACCACCATTGCCACACAAATACTTTTACCACCTGCTAGATCCCTTTGTACCTATCAACATCATTATGAAGTGAAGCCGCAAATCTTCTTGTGTGAATCTCGCCCGAGTGTTGCGCGAGATTTTATGCGGCACACGGTTCTGGAAACTAATTGCAATAAGATATACTCAAAGCAAGCCGAATTAATTTTCCGTTACTTACTAAGCTAGTATTTGTGGCTTGACGCAAAAAAATAAATACCTTCACATGTAGTTATTGGCCCCAATGAATTTCTTCAAATAGTGTTGAATTCCCGCAATTTTCGCTAATGTATTTAGTATTTAACTTCGTTTTTGTATATCCTGTATATATAAAAACGAGTTGCGCACATTAAATAATTTTGCAACTTTTTAAATCTTTTTTGTTCAATTACCTTTTTAAACTTCCATTCATTATTGAAACCATTCTCTTTGTGATTGTTTATCTTTCCCTATATTTTTGCAGTGCACTAAATGTCGCTTCACGGTGATAGTTTGACATCAAAATAAAGCTTGAAGTTGTTGGGGTTTAGGTTTAATAGGTCAAAAGTCGATCTTCCATCTACCAGAGAAAGAATTGGCTGCGAATGACAATGAATAATTAAGCCACATCCATAATTTAATAGCATCAAATTTTGTTCTTACCGACTGAAGTGGTCTTTGAAAGAAAACACTTCTGGGTTTAACGAACTCCAAGAGTTTTTTTATTCCTATATCTGGCTACCAAGAGAAAATAAAGTCCGGTTTTTGCGTCGCATGTGCCCAATACGCTAGTAGGAAATGCGGAAATAGTCCAAATTTGGTAGTGACATATAAAAAATAATGAGAAGTGCATTGTTTAGGAAGGTTCTCCATTGTAATTGAACATATACGAAACATCCAATACAAATATACGTATATTAATGTTGCCCATAATATGACGGTTAGAGAAATACTAAGAATCAAGATAAAAAATATTTTGTCTCTCTGTACTTTCAATATCATCTTTGGGGTAAGACATGAGGGGTTATTTTTCTTGTCCTTAACATTATTGGTGAGATAAATACTTGTGATACTTTCATTTTGTTGCTTTAAAATGGGTCCAAAATACCCAAGAAGTCTCTCATTGAAAGATTTCTATAGTGCATTGGTGGGGCTTATTGAAAATTGTGTACTTCAAAAATAACTAATACATAAATACTAAAGTATGGAAAGCGAATACACAGCCATTCATGGCTTGATGCAATTACTTAAAGCTCAAAACAATTCTCCTGCTGATGGTACTGGTATTATGGTTCTTGTTGATCAAGCACATAATTTACTTGGTAGAAATATTCCGCCAGTTCTCACTGAGTATACTTTGGGACTTCAGCCTGCTTTATTTGGAGGATATCCCGATAAATCAGATATTGTCCCTTCAGCAATTTTTGTAGCATCATTTTTAATTTTGATGTTTGGACATTTATTTATCTTCTTCAAAAATTATTCGAGAGGTCATTATTTCTATATCTCTTTGAGTTGGGTAGTCTATTGTATGATGCGTATCGTTGGATTTGCATTAAGAATCGTTTGGGCAAAGGATATTACAAATACAAGAATTGGTATTACAAGTGAAATATTTTTGATTCTCCCTTCAGAAGTTATTGTATCATTTAATTTAATCTTAGCTCAACGTATTTTCACTTGGAGACATCCAGTTGGTGGATCAAGAAAATTATTTTGGGGAGTTATGATTCAACTTTATGTTGTTGTTGTCTTGGTGATTGTTATGACTATTATATTCCAATCATTTCCAAGTATTTATTTACTTTCTCCATCGATGTATGTCAAATATCAAAAGGTTGTTCAAGCTTCATCAATTCTTATTATCCTTTATTCATTGACCGCCATAGCTTTGTTGGCATTAGCGTATTTTTTCAAGCCTACAAAGAAAGATGAAAATTTATACACTTATCAACCGTGGTGGATTGAAAGTTTCAGTCCTTTTTACTTCGTCAAAAAGGGAGCTGCGAATGAAGCAGCTGCAACATTTATGAAAAGAACACGTAACCATAGACATGCCATTAGAGTTATAGCTGCTACCCACCACCATCACAACATGGTTGAAGGATTATCGAATGATAGAGGTGGATTATCACATAACTATTCGTTGGCAATTATTCTTGTTACTACACTTTTCATTTTCATTGGATCGGTTGGTAGAGCTGTTGCATTGTTTGAAAACAAATATAAAAAGGATCAAGGTGCTATATGTCACCCAGTCGTAATGTACATATGCTGGGGGTTGTTGGAGGTTATAATTAATTTATTGTACCTCATAGGTAGAGTTGATTTGAGATTCTACAGACCTGATAGACTTCCACTTGATGTTCGCTCTATCATCACAGCTGAACAATCCTTATACCAATCTGAAACCGGTACAATGAGTGAATATGATGTTGACTCTGGATCAAACTCCCAAGAATACAAACAAGAAAAAGTACATAAAGAAACTGATAGTGAATTCGTGTTTTAATGCATATGCTGCAAAAACTTTAACAATTAATACATACATTACACAAAACGAAATTAAAATTCGTAGCATAGATAAGATATATCGAACCCTTCTGTGAGATACGGATGATTTTCCTAAAATGGTATTTTTCGACTTGGTACCAATTTCATTTCATTTCATCTAATTTGATTGTTGGGGATATGAACAAATTTAACGTTTCAGAAGAGGCTGAGAGAGAAGAGAAGATCAGAGTTCTATATCGAAAATCTAAACCTACCTAACTTAACTTTTAATTTGTATCTAAGTAATTTCCATGAACAATTTTGAGGTCGTATTTTATTTCTTTTTCTCATGTTGTTGTGTCTCGATGTGGTCCGCTTTTATTCTAGTTTTTCCGTAATATTCCGGGACAGCAAATAGAGTACAGCCTCGCACGTGATGACTGGTACTCAATTTGACTACACAACGTACTAATCAGAACAATACTACATTTAGAAATTGCATATGATTTGTATATAGAACCCCTCTCACTAGAGCCATATCTTTGTACAACCAGGGCAGATTGCTTTCGTATAGCCGCACGGACCTTCTATTGCATTCACATTCTTTTGTCTTGTCACCTTTGTTTTTTTCTTTTTCCCTGCCTTTTTTTTTTTTTCGTTTTTTCTTCTCCTTCTCCGAGAAGACACGATTGGAATCCGATATCAATACAAGGGTCATCCAACGGCATTTAGGAAACTTTCAGGAGTAATTACATAACCAAAATCTTTTTTTTTTTTTAGAGTACAACATATAAACATTATTAAGCTTTCTGGTAGACTACATAAGTTTCCATTGAAGTTATTTTATATAGTCTCAATATGGTTAAGAAATCATCATCTCAGAATAAGCAAACGGCGCTATTCGATATCCGGTTAAAGAATTTGGACCATGATGTCTTAGTATTAAAAGGAACTGAAAATGAAGCGGCCTCAGTACTTTTGGTTGGGAAGATTGCCATATCATTGAATGAGCCATTACACATCAAGAAGCTCAGTTTACGTCTTTATTCCACTATTCAATTGGATTGGACTGAACAATACCAAACTAGTAAAGGGGTCATTCCTAAGCCGATGAAATTCTCGAAAAAGATTTATGAACATAACTGGGATCACAATGAACTTAAAAAGGAACTATCTGCACTTACAGAAGGTAATTCTACCTCACCTGCACTTTCAAGGCAGCAATCTACGACTTCATTAAAGAATTTAGGTCATTCATTCAGATCGAAATCATCAACTAATCTTCATCTTTCGTCCTTACATCAATTTTCATCTTCAAACTTATCATCTTTAAGTGGTTCATCTACAAACTTGAGCGGTCTTAACGGTGCCAATGGTAATTCTGGTTCCGGTGGTACACTCCCACCAGGGAATCATGAAATCCCATTCAGTGCTATTCTTCCTGGTAATATCCCTGAATCCGTAGAAGGTTTACCTGGTGGTTCAGTTGTGTATAAGCTTGAAGCTACCATTGAAAGAGGGAAGTTCCATAATAATTTAGTATCCAAGAAGCATTTAAGAGTGGTTAGAACATTGACTACAGATGCAGTGGAATTGTCCGAAACTGTTGCGGTTGACAATACGTGGCCGAAAAAGGTTGAATACTCATTAAATGTCCCATCAAAGGCAATTGCAATCGGATCAACTACCCCAATTAGTTTTATGCTAGTACCCCTTTTAAAGGGATTACGGTTAGGTGACATTAAGATTCAACTTCTTGAATATTATTCTTATGTCGGATACTTGCCTCCTCCACATAACGGGGAAAGAATCTTAGCAGAGAAGACTATCCCAAAGCCTAGTGAAGATGATCCAAATTTCCAAATGGATAGATGGGAGGTTGACTCATATATCAGGGTTCCAGATACTCTTTCTAAATGCACTCAAGATTGTGATATTGAAACTCATTTGAAAGTTAGACATAAATTAAAATTCGTCATTGGATTAGTAAATCCTGATGGTCACGTATCTGAATTGAGAGCCTCATTACCAATCCAACTTTTCATTTCTCCATTTATCTGTATTAGAGCTAAATATGATGCTGAGGAAAGCGAAAACAATTCAATTGATGCTTCCTCCCCTCAGGGTTCAGTCACTGGAAGAGGTTACGATGGAGGTGATGACGAAGAACTCTTGTTTGCCTCGGACTTACATAGTGGTAGTCATACCAGTTTAAATCATCTCGGTGGAGATCTGAGCTCCATTGCTCCCGCAAACGGTTCTGGTACTGGTACTGGGCTCGGTACTGCAGGGTCTAGTGTTACTTCTTTTGCGGGGTTTATGGCCCCTCCTTTATATGAAAAGCATGTTTATGACAGACTCTGGTCTGATGTATCCCCAGTTGATTCCCCTATCAACTCGGGAACAGCAACTCCTCGTTCGAACGATAGGTCATTCCACAATTTGCATAACAATAATGTTCAACAACAATTTTCAATGTCACCATTGGATACTAATCAATTGAGTGAAAATTTGCGTCAACTTAGTCTACAACGTCAACTTCAAGAAAGTCAAGAGGCTGGATCCACACCATCAGGACGAAATAGAGCTGTGTTCAATTTAGATGGAGAACAATCTGGTCCTGGTCCTTCTGAAGCAGGAGATTATTTCTCAGCAGTGAGACAAGGTGCTTCGGCCCCCACATCTGAAAATTACCCTAATGCGTTACTGTCACCTGGAATTACTTCACCTCCAATTCACCTATCAAGAGCAGGCTCGGAAAATCTTTTAAATCCTTCGATTATGGCTAAAGTGCCTTCATATACTCAGGCTATGCGTTCAGATCTTCAAGAGGAACCATTGTCTCCTGCGTATGAACCACCATTACCTGGATCCAACATCAATCTTCAAGAGTTGAGTAGACGCTTAGAGGAACATCAACCACGACAAGGTGGACCTCAATACATGAGTTCCAGTCTTGGGCATTCGCGCAGTAAACTGTTGTTATCCCGAGGTTCAAGTTCTATTAATTTAAAGGGTCTTGGACATAATTCAAGAAATTCATCTGCTGGTTCATCACCATCAAATTCTCGGAATGTTTCTTACACCAATTTATCTGCCAATCAAGGTTTATCTCGCTCTCCTTCAAAGAGATCGGTGAATAGCAATTCATCTACTTCATTTTCGTTAACTCCACTTTCAGGATCTTCAGCTCCTCAAAAACAATCTGAGAGCGTTCCTGAAACTTCACAACATGCAACACTTCCAGCATTGGTTCAACTTTCTGGAAGTGCCTCTGACAGATCTGCTCTTGTTAAAAATAATTCTCATAGTGGTGTTCCTAAGAAGTCAGCTTCAAGTTTAAGCTTACAAAACATGCCTTTCTTGCATAAAAAGCATGGCAAGGGTTAATTCATTTCAACATTTTTGTTTTTAGAATTCGCAAGATAAATATAAAATACAATCATACATTAAAATCATTCTTCTAGATCATTCAATTTCGATAAATTTCGCTAGTTAACAATAAATCCCTAACTATATAAATCATCTTCCTCTTCTTGGCCGAAAGCAGCAGCATTTTCATTACCACCAGTGGTACCAGAAGGAGCATCAACTCCATTTGCATTTTCAGAGAATCTAAAGTTGGTAAATTGACCTCTAGATGCTTGTATTTGTTGAGCATAGGCTTCGTAACGACGTAAGTCGGCATCTGAAACAGAACGTTTAGCTGTCTTCATAGCTTCTTCAAAGTGAGCTCTTGTAATGAATGGAACTGGGTCTTCTTCTTCTTCTTCCTCTTGTTCAGCTGCACCACCTTCTTCCTTAACTTCGGTCATTTCAACATCTTCAGTCTTAACAGGGTTCTTGCTTTCCTTTTCCTTTTGCAATCTGATGTTTGCTTCAATGGAATCCTTAATAGCAAACTTAGCAGATCTTTGTACAATGTAAGACAAATCGGCACCAGAGAATCCATTGGTATGCTTGGCAATTTCTATCAAGTCTAAACCTGGTTCTAATGGAGTATTACGCAATTGAGCTTGTAAGATAGATAATCTAGCGGTTTCATCTGGCAATGGAACATAAATCAATTGATCCAATCTACCAGGTCTCAATAAGGCTGGATCGATTTGATCTGGTCTGTTAGTGGCACCAATAACGAAGACATTCTTCTTGGCGTTCATACCATCCATTTCGGTCAACAATTGGTTAACAACACGATCGGATGCACCACCAGCGTCACCGTTAGATCCACCTCTAGCCTTAGCAATAGAATCCAATTCATCTAAAAAGACAACGGTTGGAGCAGCTGCTCTAGCCTTATCGAAAATATCACGAATGTTAGATTCAGATTCACCATACCACATACTCAACAATTCGGGACCCTTGACAGAAATAAAGTTAGCAGAAACTTCAGTGGCAACAGCCTTAGCTAACAAAGTCTTACCAGTACCTGGTGGACCAAAGAATAAAACACCCTTGGAAGGAGCCAAACCAAACTTTTGGTATTGATCTGGGTGTAAGACTGGGTATTCGACAGTTTCCTTCAATTCGTTCTTGATGGTATCCAATCCACCAATATCGTCCCAGGTAACATTGACGTTTTCTACTACGGTTTCTCTCAATGCAGATGGGTTAGAGTTACCCAAGGCAAATCTAAAGTTCTCCATGGTAACTCCCAAGGAATCAAGGATTTCAGCATCAATAGTTTCTTCTTCTAAATCAATAAGATCCATCTTTTCACGAATTTGTTGCATAGCAGCTTCAGAACATAAGGATGCGATATCGGCACCAACGAAACCATGAGTTTCAGAAGCAATAGCTTCTAAATCAACACCATCACACAACTTCATGTTCTTGGTGTGAATTCTCAAAATTTCCAAACGTCCTGCAGCATCTGGAACACCAATATCAACTTCTCTGTCAAATCTACCAAATCTTCTCAAGGCTGGGTCGATAGAGTTTGGTCTGTTGGTAGCAGCAATGACAACAACGTTTGATCTTGCCTTCATACCATCCATCAAAGTCAATAATTGGGAAACGACTCTTCTTTCAACTTCACCATTAGTCTTGTCTCTCTTTGGAGCAATAGAATCAATTTCATCGATGAAAATAATAGATGGAGAATTCTTTTCAGCTTCTTCAAAGGCCTTTCTCAAATTAGATTCAGATTCACCAGCCATTTTGGACATAATTTCAGGACCATTAATCAAAAAGAAAAAGGCACCTGTTTCATTAGCAACTGCTCTGGCCATGACAGTCTTACCAGTACCTGGAGGACCGTACATTAAAATACCCTTTGGTGGCTTAATACCAATGGACTTGAACAATTGTGGGTGACGTAATGGCAATTCAACCAATTCTCTGATTTGAGCCATTTGCTTCTTACATCCACCAATATCATCATAACCAACTTCATTCAAATTATTTTCTTCATCTTCACGATTGATTGGTTCGCCCTCACAATGGATAATAGTATCTTGTGCGACAATGGCAATTTCTTCAGGGTCAACTTCAACAACCTTGAATTCAACTTGTCTCATACCACCTCTTACAGTGAAAAGGTCACCTTTTCTAACTGGTCTATAGGCTTCAACGAAATAAGGCTTCAAGTAAACATCAAAGAGAGAACCTGTGATACCTTCAACAGTATCAGCAATTGGCAAGACGGAGATTCTGTTGGCATATTTAATATCTGGACAAGGGTGAACAGAAACAATGTCACCTAATCTAACTCTCAAGTTATTACGAACACATCTGTTGATTCTAGCAACACCATCTTCCATATCGTCATCAGCCAAAACAATCAACACCGTGTCCTTTCTCTTCTTACCCTTGACAAGGACGGTATCACCACGAAACAATTGTAAGAGCTCCATGGTGTTTGAAGACATGGTTATAACGGAATTGTCATCATTGACGGCGTCATCGACAAGAAGGGCGTTATCCTTCTTCTTTCTTCTGAGAATTGCGGTGGCGGTTTTGTCTTCGGTGGATTCAGCGCCACTGGCATCCAACAAGGTCTTCTTTTCTTTCTTATCAACCATTTTAGTGTTCAATTATATAAACCCTAGAATTGTAATTAATAAAATTATAGAAAGGGGAAAGGGGAAAAAGAATAAAATAGCAACAAGAAAACAAAATTGATTTCAAATTACAGATTCAATCGAGTGAATTGAAATTGAGAACACCGATTGTGTGTGTGTATCAAACTAAATCTCACTTTTTTGGTTAAAATGAGCACAAAACAGGGGACTGATAAACGGGCTTCTTGAGAATAAATACGTCTTATAATGTTTAGATAGTATCAATTTGTAGGTAATCGAACTATGTAATGGAATGATCGAAGCTCTTAGCTCTGTTCTTCGTTCTTTTAAGGGCAACTACTCTACTATTAAATACATTTATCTACATCTATTATATAGTTTTTGGTCTGGAAGATAAAAGAATCGTATAGAACAATGTGCACTAAATATTTGCCACCGCGATTATGATGAATGAGGGGGGAGGGGGGGCAAAAAAAACAAATTTATAGGGAAAGACAAACCTCACAAGATAAAATATTATATTGCTTTGTGTAATTATGTAGAGAATTAAGTTAAGAGGTTAGATAAATTCATAATAACTAAGATGTATAGGTATAAATAGATGAATTGAACTTATTGAATTAATAATAAATTCATAATAAACTTCAATTTCTTAGTTCTACATTTATCTTTTATTTAACGGCGCCTATTCAAATAATCGTGGGGGGTAAACATTTGTGTGTTGTAGTAATCTTTTCTATACAGGTCTTGGTACTCATAAGTGGGAGGAGATCGGACTTTGGGTCAATCACGTGGTTTATGTGGGTTGTCCTGATTTCCAATTGGAATCCAATTTAAAACAATTCTCAATATATTGAATATTTACATTCATACTTACTTATAGGAAAAGAACAAATATCAAAAGATATATAATGTCAGCTTGTATTTTCTGTAAAATCATCAAGGGAGAAATCCCTTCTTTCAAATTGATTGAAACAAAATTTTCTTACTCATTTTTAGACATTCAACCAACTGCTGAAGCTCATTGTTTGGTAATTCCAAAGCACCATGGTGCTAAATTGCACAATATTCCTGATGAATATTTGGCCGATATTTTACCAGTAGTTAAGAAACTTACCAAGGTTTTGGAATTGGACGTCAATAATACCCCTGAAGGAGAAGGATACAATGTGTTACAAAACAACGGACGTATTGCTCACCAAGAAGTTGATCATGTTCATTTCCATTTGATCCCAAAGAAGGATAGTAAGACTGGTTTGGGTGTTGAATGGCCTGCTCAAGAAACTAATTTCGAAAAATTGGGTCAATTACATAAACAACTTCAATCTCGTTTAGCTGAGTATGATGAAAAGTTATAAACAAAATTGCAAGACAAATACAAAAAAATGATTAACGAATGAATAAACAACTGGTGATTCAAACCTGCCTGTAGCAATATGAAGAGATGTAGTGCTTGTTCATTTAATTTAGAATATTCCTCCTATGAATCCCCCGATATATCCAATGAAATAGCTGCTAAACCAAGTAACTGTCTGAGCTCCAAATGGGAAATAACTAAGGGTATAATAAGCAACTGCAAATATTTCAACCACACTAGCCAAGATAGTTAAAATTGTACTTTTAAGGACTACCAGACAATATATGGTGGATAATACAGACCCAAAAAAGACACTGGTGAAGATGATTCTGTCCAGTGATATCAAATGACGAGTGTAAGAATAAGGTCCCTGAAGTATTCCAAATGAACATACAAATAACAATGATCCCAATGACCATAATAAACCAAATTTTCTAGGTTTCAATGCAAGTACAGGGAAAAGGAAGAAACATACTACAAAGCAAAGCAATGAACCTCCAAGACAACATAAAAACCCCAAAAGCTTTTCGAATCTTGAAAGCTTGAACCATGACGGTTCTTCCGTGGCAGTAGCTCCGCCGTTATAGGTGGGAAGGGAAGTGTATAAGTCATTGGCTCCTGTTTTGACATAATCTGACCATTCTGATAATGCTGGGAATCCACTTGATGTTTGAGCTCCGCCACCGGTGGTTCTAGTTGTCCAACTAGAGAATTGTTGTCTGAATGAATTTTCGGCTTCTGACATTGTCTTATACAATATATTTAGGAAGCTAATAGTACTGAGGTAAAAAGAATATGCATGTGTTATTCCTCTCCACGATAACTTTTGTATGTTTTGCCTTCAAATGTGCGCATTCTACAACAAATCGTTAAAATGTTAAAATCATCACGTGCATAAAGTATATATATTTATAACCTCCTATGATCTCTCTCACACACACACTCTCTCTCTCTAAGTAATATATACCTATATATATTTATATATATATTAAAACTAATTGAAATCTTATTTAACATTGTAAACGTCATCAATAAAATCCGAATTTGTTTGGAAAAAATCATCTGGATCAAAATTCGAACTTCCAGCTGCATTACTATTGTCAATATTTATCGTTGGAGTAGTTTCTGAAATTGGATTTGATATTTGATATCCCAAATCATCGGTATTAATTTGTTGTTTAATGTATTCAGGATTATAATTATCCTTGTTATTACTAATATTACTATTGTTGTTATGGTTATTGTTGTACAGTCTATTGTTGGATCCCAAATTTGATTCTGAAATGGTTGACGAGGCAATTGTTGAATTTGTCGAATTGAATTGAATTCCATTTAATCGATCTTCTAATTCTTTGATTTCTTCTTCTAATCTTTCTCGTGTACTCTTTTGTTGTTCAAGTACATATTCAAGATGTGCCACATAATCAACTGATTTGTTTAAAATGGTACTTTTATTTGGTTTGGATTCTTTAGCCTTAACGTTGGAAATTAATTCATTTACTTCTCGGGAATTATATTGTGAATTCCTTTGAAGAGTTTGAACTGCAACAAGTTGAGGGTTTAATAATGATGGTGGCACTAATAGTCCTAGTTGTTTTATCCTTTCTTTAATCAAATCTCTACGACGTCTTTCCACTGCATTATGAAACTCTCTACGTCTTTTCAATTTCTCTTCTTTAGTCATTTGTCTTGATGAATTTGAACTTGGTGAAGTGCTTACTCTTCCTGTTGGTGGTGAAAGTAATTGAGAATCATTAATAGATCCGACTGTATTGGATTGTGGGATAGAAATACCTCCAGATGGATTATTCGGCAGAACAATATTAATTCCAGTAAATTCAGGAGGAGAATTAAGGTATGAACCAGCTCCACCTCCCCCTCCTCCTAAAACATTTATTCCCCCGTTATTTCCATATGATGGCGAACGAAGTAAATCTGCTGAGTTGAGGTTGTTTTGAGGTGACATATAAGCACTAGGTGAAAGATATCCAGTCATATCAACTCCTCCAACATTATTTTGATTACTATTGTTACCGAATGGAATACTAATGCTCCCATGTCTTGAACCTAAAGGTGTATTGATATTATCATCTCCTTCAGCTATTGGATTAAGTCCATTATAATTGAGTCCACCCTTGGTGGGAGGGGAGAAATACTGAGGATTAAGGAATGAGCTTCCAGAATCTTGCGCAGATCCACCACCTCCATTGATTGTACTACTCGGAGATATAAGTTCATCCAAGTTTGTCGTATTCAGTGGATTTATGTATCCTGCTTGGAAGTGCAGAGACAGTGGCAGACCCAAGTTGGGCAGTAACAGTTGAAACGCATTAAACTGTTGTTGCAATGGTTGTTGTTGGGAAGCATTCTGTGGATAAGATGCACTGGTATATAATTCCTCCATTTGTGGGTCATAAGATAACCCAAAAGTATTGGCTTCATTAGAATAACTTGTAGTTGGACTTAAAAAGTCATCCCTAGGATCTGAATAGAAATTGGCATTGCCATAACCATCATTACTTACTGTCTGTGATAGTCCGCTCATTCCAAAATGCATTGGGTCCAAGTCGCCAGCGAAATTGGAGTTTTCTGAAGAACCAGTATTAGGTCCAGTTCCAGCAGAATTACTGTTTGGGCGCGAGGATGGTGTTTGGTCTTGAGAGTTGGTCCCAAAGTCGGGATTGTCTCTTAAAAACTCGTCCATACTGTTGCAATGGGGTTCTGTATTCCGTTGTGGTGGAGTCCGAGCTCAAAGTAGTGCACAATAAGGCAATTATATAGGTTTGATAAGGAAGCTCTTTTGAGTTTGTTACCCCCACCGCAGGGATAATTGTTTTTGTAAGAATTCACTTGTGTGCAGCGCACGACCATTTAAGGGTTCCTTTTTGGTATTTTTAAGCTTTTAAAAAGGTCAGAATAAAATAAAAATAACTACCCTGTGAACTTCACAAAAACTTATGTGTATTGTTACAATTATATATACATACCTATATATTTATATTATACATATGTGTCTGATATATTATTTCTTCTGAATTTTTTTTAAAGATGAAATGCATTATCAATAAGATTTACAAATGTCAGTAAACTTCCATGTCGATTAATCCATTCATTTTTAAGAAAAGATCTTCTGGTTGCATGTGGCGGTGGCAATGGTGGCAATGGTTTACTGTTGGATGATATCATTTTCTCATTCATAGTCTGTCTATCATTCGCAAATTTGATCGATAATCTTGCCATTTCAAAAGCAGTCTCAAGTGACATCGGATCTGTTTGTATACCAATTTCGGCTGTTCGTTTTTCCTTTGCAACCTCACTCACCTTTTCAGTTGACTTATCATCGGTACTCTGCTGTGGAATGTTTTTGTTGTTATTAGTACCAGTTGGTAACGAAGACAATCCATTTCTCAATTTTTCAATATTTGATTTTCTGGCTGCAAATATTCTCTTCATCTTGTTCCATACTCTACCAGTACTGTAGCGTTTTCTTCCTTTGCTCAAAGTTGTCAGTCTACTTAATGTATCTTCAATTTTGGTGACATACCTTCTTTCGTCTATTCCTTTAATAGATATTTGGGGTATCTCTGGTTTATACTGTATGTTATTAGTTTGCCCTTCTGGTGTAGATATCAGAATAGCCAGTTCATCACTCTTTTTTTCGAACAGAACTAAGCTTGGAACGCTTTGAAACCCTAAATCATTATTCGAATGCGACCTTAACGAGTTAATTGATATTAAATCTTCATCTGTTTTCCATAAATTTGCATTACTATGATTAGGAGGTTGTCCTGGTGTTCCGTATTGAGCGTTTGCGATATCTGTAGATAATGTATTTCGATTCAGACGAAGAACAGAATCTTGTCCATCATGTCGTCTTTTTTTAAGTAGTCTCCTTAATTTTTCATTCGAAGGTGGTGGTGGAACTGCTTGGGTCCCCTCTGGCCCTAAAACATCAAAATATTCGTCAAGTACAGTAGAATACTGTGAAATATCTGGGCTATTATCTTCTGCTATCGGTGTATAAAATAACAGATCTGCAGACCCAGAATTAGTTCTATTAGTCGAAGAATATATGGTAGTTTCACGAGTAGTGATAGCCTTCCATGTAGATCTGCCTGGTGGTGTTCTAGGTAGTTGAGGTAAATCCTTATTGGAGTTTGTAGTTATTTCTTGAATTGGTGTTTCTTCAGTGATATCAATAACTCTACTCGACTTGCTTCTTTGAGAAGACGTAACTAAATCTTTTCTATTTATGGGACCATTATTTCTTCTGGGGGAAACTTGTGTAAATGTATGTGTTATTGTTGGCAGATCAGGATTCACTTTGTGTACTTGTGTATAGTTCTTCAACTCTTTTAATATTTTTGATATGTCCTCAGTGCACTTCAATAATTCGACATCTGCAGGTGAAGTGGGGGCTTCAATGTGAGGTTGAGGAAGAAATACCAATTCTCTGTCGGTATTCCCACCACCAGTTTCATTTTTCACGGTTATATCCCTGACGGGATTATCAAACCGAGCAATTAAGGATTTAACAGCTGGCATTTCGTGAGCTTTAGGATGCTGCAAAAGATTAACTAGATGCGTGTTTCACTTGCTTATACTTTCAAATTTGGAGAATTAACGCCTTTATACATTTTCTATAAAACCTTATATGCTAGTCAGATAGATATTCATTCTGATATGTTTACACTAACTCGCAGCAAAATACATAGAATGTGGTGTTCATTAGAAGTTCTCTATTTTGCGGTCTTCCTCTTTGCTAAAAGCTTCTTCTTGACATGCTTCTTCATTTTAGTTTTTCTCTTTTCCAGCTTTGCTGACTTTGCTGCTTCCTTTCTAGCCTTCTTTTCTTCTTTATCTTCATGCTTCTTACCCTTTAAAATAGTTTCTCTTTCCTTCCAGACCTTTTTGGGTTTGCTTTCCGAAGAAGAATCTTCATCTGATGAGTACTCTTCCTCGTCACTATCGTATTCCTCGTCGTCGCTGTCTTCATCTTCTTCTTCTTCATCCTCATTGTTAACTTGATCATTTTCTTCGTTAGTGTGACCTTCTTTCCCCACCAAATCTTTCAATGTGTTAACTTTCCCTTCGGTAAATTTTTGGAAATCTCTCTCTTCCAAGTGATTTAATGATCTAACTAAATGAAGTGATCTAAACACTTCATCCTCAATTTCATCTTCGTTGTCCACATCACTCTTTAATGGAAGCTTTTCCAAATACTTGGCTAATTCAGCGTCACTGTTATCTATTAATTCTAATGCCTTATTTTCTTCGGTGATGTATTTGAAAAGATGTCTTTCTGGGTATACATTGATCTTCTTTCTTGAAAAAAAATCATTCACATTTTTAATGTCCATTCTTAAGAAATCCAAAGCCATTGGATGTTCTGGTTCCACGGATTGGGAAACATCAATAATATAAAGCTTCTCGTTATGCACAATCGAGTTATATTCACTCAAATCGGCATGAACAAGACGACATTCTTGGTACATTCTACGCATGTAATACAACATTTGGTGGTAGTAATACACAATGTCATCCACATCTTTGAAAGGATGATCTCTTAACTTAGGTGAAGGTTGTCCAGCGCCCTTGGTTAAATATTCCATCACCAATACATGCGAACGAAGTTCTACCGGTTCAGGACATGGAATCCCATTTATATATAATCTCTTCAAGTTACGAAATTCCTTTTCGGCCCAAACTTTTACCATCTTTCTTGGATTACTTTGATTCTTGGTGTTTCTAAATCTAAATTCCCCATCAACATACCTTTCTCTATCTTTAAAAACCAAAATAGATGTCTTATAAATCTTCACGGCGTATTCACGCGAGTTCACCTCCAAGTCTTCGTGGTCTCCATGATATACGTTGGCTTCCTTACCTGTACTGATACACCCATTAATTCTTGATATAACTCCCTTATTGATAATCTTGGCAAGAAATCTCATCGTTCTTGGATCTAATACTTGTTCCACAGTAGCTCGGTTAGCTCTGTCCTTGTTGATCTTAGGTCCCTTCTTAATATCATCAGTTTTGATCTTATGCGCATACTTGGCCACAATCTCTTCTTTGTCCCTGATGGTTCTCCCCATCTTTGGAGCTGCTGTGGAGGTGGATGATTTTGGATCTTTTCTCATCGATGAGCTACTGCTCATCTCATCTTCATTTTCTTCTTCAAATTCAGATTCAGAATCGGTATCAGAATCAGTATCGGACTCGTTGGAAATTTCCCAGTCTTCAACTTTACGTTGAAGGTTCTCTATCTCAGTCATATCTAGATCTATTCCTTCTACTAGTTTATTGTTTAAATAGGTCTAGTTCAATTTTTTTTTTTCCTCTTTCTTCTTTTGTACTTTGAGACTTTTGATCCCACAACCACTATTGTATACATACTAACTTTTTTTTTTTTTTTCTAAAGAACATTTTCTTTCTCTTTACCCCTATCCAACCTACCAGTTTAAATCGCCTTTAAACATGTCGTTGTCACAACTGTTGGTTCCATTCCTTCCTCTGGTACGTTGACATTTTACTTTGCCCGGCTTTTCTCGCTATCTCACCACTAACAAAATCCGTTTAGAAATTCGTTGGATACTTGCCCCTTTACATAGGTGTAGAGCTTATTTTAGGTATAGCCATTCTTAATAAAGTTTCTGGGGCTTATGGTATTGTATCAATCTTCACTGGACACCCAATAAATTTCTGGCAATGGCTTTATAATATGCTTGCCATCATAGTGTTACCAATATACATCTCCGCACTTTCTCATCTTCAAACAAGACCTCTGAATGTCCGTAAGGTATCATTAGCTTGTTTGATATTTGTGGCTGATACAATCATTGGTGTATTTTATACCATTTATTTTGTTTCATTTTGGTTTAGTCATGAAGATAATGTTCCTGCTGAAGAATCTGTTCAACCTTTAACTTCTCAATCTGCATCTGAAGCTAGAGAATTGTTTGTTACTTCGAGTACTACCCTTATTATTACCTTCATTCGTTTTTATTTCACTTTGGTAATTATTTCATTCACTAGAGCATTGTTGAAACAAAATGCTAGTCAAAGACTCGTTGCTGAAGATGAAGAAGAAGCCATTAATCAACCAGGAAAGTTGGCTAAGATGAAGAAGTTTATTCTTGGGTGGGAAATCAGAGCTACTGAATACCTCGGTGATTTATTTAGATAGAATGCATAGTACACAAGGACTTAAAATTATTTAATGTCTAATGAGATTTAATAAAATTTTCAATGAATGAAATATAAAGAGGTGGAACTAATATCTTGGTTGGAATGTAGGGTGAGTGATAGTCTGTTAATATAATAGTATCAAAGTTGTTGTATAATTGATGGTTCAATTGGTGGTAATTGCTTCATAATGTAGCATAACTAGTTTTTACTTACTAGTTGCTAGATGTTGGTATTCTCCTACAATATCTAACACTACACGTATTCTACCCCCAATGCTTTATTTCCGTATTTGATTTGCTATTCATTCCATGTAAAATTACATCTAAATAAAATTATTGTGATTGGGGTCTGTATGTATAACCATATCGGCATGACCGCACAAAACATTCCTTTTTGTTTTAATTTCTCTTTAATCAACCATTGCAAAAGTATCTATCAGTATGGGTCAATCCACTTCTATATCTGGTTCTATTACTGAAAATAGTAGCCAGAATGCTTCTACTACCCCTACAACTTCATCGGGGATAGGATATAAGCTTGAACTGTTCACTAAATCAGAATTGATTGAATTATTCTATAAGACAAGTGTATTCTCTCTCGGTCCTATCGAAATGAAATCCTTACTTACAAGACTCAATTGTACATCCCTTGAAAACCAGCCAATTACTGTTTCTGATATGGCAGGTCTATTTGAACTTCCAAACCTTGATTCAAGTACTTCCCAATATGGTGAATCATTGAAATTGCTATTCAAATCATTTAGAATATTTGGTAAATTCCCCTTTATTCAAGATTCCATAAGTATTACTGAACAACCACTAACCACTAATGGATTAATAAACTCTATCTACTTCCATTCTGGGAGATATTCTAGCACAATACCGAATTATGACTATTTAAAATTGATATTCATATCGTTAGTAATAGCAAGCAAAGAAGATAATGTCGAATCAACAGAAAAAAATCCTTCACAAAAACCATTTGTTTCAGAAACTCTTCTAGATGATGAGGAACAATATGTTGTAGAAGTAGGTAAGGAATCACCTAATCTAGTCAATTGGCAATCTTTTAATTGTATTAAAAGGTTTGATGATTTGGACGTTCAAAGTTTGAAACTTCCTTCGGAAACACTTGTCACAATTATTACATTATTTTTAATTCTACTGGTCATTGATCGAAAGAATTATACTGAATCAATATGTTTGGAGCTTCCGAATTGGTCACAATATGAAGTATATGCTAAATCACTTGTTAAATTTATTGATTTAAATTTATCAAGTCTGATATCTTTTGATCAATTTAAATTAGGAATAATGAATGGATTCCCTAATTTTTTAGAAAATGGATTTAAAATGTTATTTACCAGACTTTTAATAGGTGGAGAAGTTACAAGTAAAACACCCAAAGCGACATCTCAACAAGAAGAAGAGGAAAGAGGAGAAGTGGATCAAAAGAAGAATATTAATAATAAACATTTAAAGAAATTTCCAAAATTTATTGAATCGAGACTTATTAATAAGAGTTCACTTTCATTATTTAATGCAATTTTCGAAATTAGTGGGATTCAAATAACTAAACAAAATCTTATAAAATTATATTCTGGATCAGAAGCAGGATTTTCAATTAGATCACTTGAACTGAAAATATTTAAATGGCAGGCTCCAACTATATTTTTAGTATCGGGTAAACGACTTAAAAATAAAACTCTTACATCGAACAAGAGATATCAACAATTTTCAGAAGAATATCCAAGATTTTTTAGAAATTTAAAAGATTCTAAAAGGGATTGGCAATTAGATAATGATCAGATTACATATGCAGTAATCATTAATCAACCATGGAAAAGTTCAAATAAGAATAATTTTGGAGATGAAAAATGTACAATTGTATCCATATCTCCAAGATATGACATTTATACTAGTGTTCCTAGTTCCATTCATATGGGACGACTGATTTATTTTAATAATTTGGGACTTGGACTTGGATTTGGGAATGATCAACCAATTAATAAAAACGGAATTAAAAAGTACTTACCAGGAGATACATCCCTTACAATTGAAGCAAACCTTGAATTTGCGACATTTAGACATATTCTGACACCTACATCAAATACAACTAGATATTTCCAAAAATCTAAACAGGCTCAAATTCATCATGAAGATTTTGAAGATCGATTTATGATTACTGATCTTGAAGTTTGGGGTATTGGTTCTACCAAGGAACTTGAAGAACAACAAAAACAATGGGATTGGGAAAACAAACAAGCAGAAGCTAGGCAGAGTGTTAATTTGAAAAATATGGGAGAGGAAAGGGCATTTCTTGAAATGGTTGGACTTGTTGGGAATCATGGTGGAAGTGGAGGGTCTGTGTAATAGAACTAGAACCATTAACAGACATGCATGTACTTCTTTTTTTTTCCATCTTTTTTTTTTCTATAGCATTTTATTTTTTTTATTTTTTTTAGTGCGAGAGAGAGTTTAGAGATGTGAAGGTCATCGCCATTAACTAGTTCATCGATAACTTTTAATAAACGTATAAACTATGGGTAAAGAAGCTAAAGGAAAGAGAGGCGGAGAGAACTCAGCTGAGAACTCAAAGCCTATAACGTCGGACTCCAGATTTTCATCTGTGCACAATGATCCAAGATTTCGTTTACCAAATGTTAAAAGCTTCAAAGTTAAGGTTGATGATAGATTCAGCAAGAAGGAGCTTAGTAAATTGAACGTTGGTGCTACCGGTAAGAGTGTCAAAATTGATAGATATGGTAGAAAGTTGAAGGATGATAAGAAGGGTAAGGATTTTGATAAGTATTATGAAGAAGAATCTGGGGATGAAGAATCTGAAGAATCTGAAGATGAAGATATTGTTGAAGAAAAGGTATCCAAGGTAGCTGGTGAATCCGGATCTGAATCTGAGTCTGAATCCGAATCTGAATCTGAGGTCGAAGCTGCAGTTGAAGGTTTGGACCGTGCTAGAGGAGAAGGCTTGAAATCATCTGACGATGATGCTTCTTCTTCCGATTCAGATTCCGAATCTGAAATTGAATTCGAAGAAGAAGAATCTGAAATAGAACTTGAAGAAGGTAAACCAGAAGAAGGTGATCCTTCAAGTGGTTTTGCTGTTGTTAACATGGATTGGGACAATCTTAGAGCTGTTGATTTGATGGCTACATTTATTTCGTTTGTACCAGCTGGGGGTAAAATTTTGTCGATTAACATTTATCCATCTGAATTTGGTAAGGAACAGATGCAAAAGGAAGAAGTGGAAGGACCTCCAAGAGATCTTTTCAAAAAGAAGAGTGCTCAAAAGGTTGAAGAAATTGAAGAGTCTGATTCTGATTCTGATTCAGAACTCGATGTCAATAATCCTGAAGATTTGAAGAGAGCTGCCAAGAAGTTGTATGAAGAAGACGATGGAGAAGTTGACTATGATAGTAAAGCCTTGCGTAGATACCAATTGCAAAGATTGAGATATTTTTATGCAGTTGTCAAGTGTGACTCTGTGAGTACTGCCAAGAATATCTATGATAGTTGTGATGGATCTGAATTTGAATCCACTGCCAATATTTTCGATTTGAGATATGTTCCTGAAGGAATGGAATTTGATGAAAGTGAAGCTAAGGACACTTGTACTAAGATTCCATCTAATTATAAGCCAAACTCCACCTTTGTCACAGATGCCTTACAACATTCTAAGGTTAAATTGACTTGGGATGAAACTCCAAAGGAAAGACTCACATTAGCTTCTAAATCATTTTCTCAGAAGGAAATTGATGAAATGGACTTTAAAGCCTATTTAGCTTCTGATAGTGATGGAAGTGATGGTGAAGAGGAATCTTCTGACATGAAGAACAAATACCAAAACTTATTAGGAGGTAAGTTCAAGAGTGTTAAGAACCCAGAAGATGATGAAGGAGCTGTTGATATGGAAATCACTTTCAACCCTGGTCTTGATGAACAAGCTGCTAAGAAGCAAGCTGAAGCTGAACAAGAAGAATCTACCATCGCCGCATATAAACGTAAAGAAAAGGAACGTCGTAAGAAGAGACTTGAAAAGTTCAAGAGTCAAAATGAAGATGAAAATGAAGGAGAAGAAGACCAAGCTCAACAAGGAAAGGGTGCTAAAAATAATAAGAACAATAAGAAGAATAATAATAAGAAGAAGGGATTAGAAATTGACGAGAAGTCCAAGGCTGAATTGGAGCTTGTGATGATGAATGAAGATGATGATGACCATAAGCATTTTAGTATGAAGGATGTTATCAAGGCTGAAAAGCAAAAAAATAGAAAGAATGGTAAAGGTAAAAAGCGTAACATTGACGAAGAAATGGTTCAAGACAATTTTGTTCCTGATTTGAATGATTCTCGTTTTAATGAAGTCTTTGAAAACCATGACTTTGCCATTGATCCTACAAATAGTGAGTTTAAGAAAACTAATACTATGAAACAAATTTTGAACGAAAGATCAAAGAGAAGAAAGGTTCCTGTCACGGGAAAGAAGAATTCAGGTAAGGGAGGATCTGGTGCTCCAATCAGCTCCTTGGTAGACAAGATTAAGAAGAAGCACCAAAAATAGTAATTTAGCTATATAGATATTCGTATGTACATATACACAAAAGAAAATAAAGCATTACTGGATCACTATCAATAGTGTTTGTATATTTGGCGTAACAGGGTTTTTTTTTAGAAGTATTTATTTTTTGTACAACTTTATTATTTTTTTTTTTCATTTTCGTTTGCGTTTGCTTTTTTTTTCGTGAACTGGGGTCCAACTGGTCGTGTTCTACTCAAGTTTATTGACACGCGTTCTACACCGAAAAGTTGAAATCACTACAACACAAGAAGAAAAACAAGAACTACTTTAGCACTCTATCTGACATTGAAACGAACAATATGCTTAGATCTGTAGCTGTGTTACTATTCATGTGCATCACACAAGTGTGTGGTTTGCACTTCTACTTGAAGACCGGAGAAATGCGTTGTTTCTATGAAGAATTACCAAAGGATACTTTGGTGGTTGGAAAGATTGACGTTACTGAACATAATGAACATACTGGTGGATATGTTAAGAACTCCAACTTGGTTTTAGAACTCACTATTGATGAAACTTTTGACAACAACCATAGAGTCGTCTCTCAAAAGTCGTTCCCTAGTGGTACTTTAACCTTCACTTCCTTGGACTCTGGTGAACACAAAATCTGTTTGAAGCCATCTTACAAGGATGGTACTGTAGGCAAGGGCCACCGTATTTTCTTCGATCTTGCATTGGGCTCCGCTCACGACTACATTGACTCTAAGTCTACCCACAAGGTTGATTCCTTGACCAGAAAGGTTCAACTGTTGAACAAGAAGCTTGAAGAAATCCACTGGGAACAAGAAACTATGAGAGAAAGAGAAGCTGCCTTCAGGGACTCTTCAGAATCTACCAACGCTAGAGTTGTTAAGTGGACTATTGTCCAAATTTTGGTTCTTGTTGGAACATGTTTCTACCAATTACGTCACTTGAAGAGTTTCTTTGTTAAGCAAAAGATTGTATAATTGCAGTACATAATATATATGTATATGTATATATGTGAGTGTGTATAAAAGCATAAAAGATGAAATAAAATTAAGATATGTAGTACATTAAAGTCACTAAGCTACCCAGTACCAAATTTTTTGGATGATACCTTCTGGCTTTCTTTCGATGTCATTTGCAGCCTCATCTTCAATTAAGTCCAAACCAGTGAACAAGTCAATTTTCTCAATTGGGATTATCCATTCCTTAACACCATTGACATAGTAATTGTAAATTCTATGCCCAAAGTAAAGCACTACTGATACAGGGAGTGTGATATAGGCTGCAATAAAATCAGAAGCATTGAAGTCAAAGAAGACAGCATAACCATTTGTTAAAGTTAATATGGAGATGAAACCAATCACATAATAAGTACCATATGGTTGTAAAATAGTTTTGTGTGTAACTCGATCGCCAAGTCCATGATATTCAATAGCCTTTCTCCATCTTAAATAGGCAAATGCCACGGTTAACCAGGTTAAGAATCCTGAAATGGTACAAATATTTGAGAGCCAAGTGAAAACATTGGAAGAAGCAGAAGAAACGTTCAAATAAGCCAATAACCCAAGAAGTGAAGATGCCCCCACTGCATAATATGGTACACCCATTCTATTCACTCTTGTGAAAATATTTGGAGCTTGTCCATTTAATGCCAAACTGTACAAGTTTCTGGAAGCGGAATATAAGAAAGAATTACCAGCGGAAGCAGCAGAAGTCAAAATAATGGCATTAATAATATGGTCCAAGACATTAATGCCTGCAAGTTGGATACCAATTACAAAAGGCGATGCACCAGCGTCTGAACCACCTTTCATTAAACGAGCATTGTTGTAAGGAACAATTACACCGATAATCAATGTACCGCAGACATAGAAAAATGCCAATCTATAGATGAATCTATTAGTTGCCTTGGGAATATTTCTACGAGGTGCAACAGACTCTGCACCACAAACTGAAACTAATTCAGGAGCTCCTATAAAAGCATATCCAGATTTAACTAGAGCAGTCCACATCGTCAAGAATCTACCAGTATTCCCACTTACCAAGTGCTCAGTAAAAGCGCCTGGATGTTTCCAATATCTGAATCCAAGTCTGTCATGAGTGGGGGCACCTCCAAAGAAGATGACAACTCCAACAATAATCAAACCAGAGAGTCCAATAAATTTCAAGCAAGCAAACCAAAATTCTGCCTCACCAAAATATTTGACAGAAGTCATATTCAAAAATATAATAATAGCTAAAAATATTGTAATCCATACACCGATATTGACTTTAACTTTCCAATAATCAACCACTATGGCTGCTGCAGTTACTTCTGCCGCGACCAAAATTGCAAAATTATACCAATAATTCCACCCTGTAGCAAATCCAAGCGATGGATCAAGGTAATTCCCCACAAATGCTTGTGGACCATTACCAGGTAGAGGTAAGAAAGTTGTCATTTCACTAAGTATATTCATGACAAAATACATTATCGTACACATGATAACATACGAAATAAACAAAGCAGCAGGTCCGCAAGTAGATAAAGTTAAACCTGTACCAACGAAAAGAGAGGTACCGATGCAACCTCCTAATGCGATGAGTTGAACATGTCTAGACTTCAAACCCCTCTCAAGTGTTTTAGGGTCAAATGGCTCGGACGAATCGTCTGGTGAAAGTGGGTTACCGTCTTTATCGTAGCTTAAGATTTGAGAGTTTAAGATTGAAAGCCCATAGTGAGCTGAGCTAGAACGATAGATACCTGTCTTGTTTGACTTGACAGTATAGAATTCCTTTTCACTCATAGTCCTTGTGAAGCAATTATCTGACTCTAAGCATCAAAAATCATATTCCGATCCATGCCTTTTATATCTATATTCATCAACAGCTGTTATGTTTGGGAATTCCTTATCTACTTTCCTGGTTCTACAGTATTTTCCATTAGAGTATACTAATTACAACAAGCATCCTGAGAAATGGGGCTTAAACTATATAGGCGAATATAGATTACCGGTCATTCCTTCCTCCAATCCCGATAAGATATTTCCCGTCTCATGCACTCATAGATAAATTTTTTATCGAACGGCAATGGATCCCCGGCGATAAACGAAGTATACTCCGAGATCTGGAAAAAAAAAATCATTTGGAAGCATGAAAAATCTGAAGTGCAAGGAAAGGACCTACATTCAAGTTAGTACAAATAATAAAATTTACATACGTATTTCGTATTTACTGTGTTAATCTAAGAACTTTGCTGGTATACTGGCCTATCTTGAGATCCAAAAAATAAAGTAGTTTTGCAGGACCAAAAAACCAATTTAAAAAAAATAAAATACATGGTCCCTAGCAGGATCGAACTGCTGATCTTGGCGTTATTAGCACCACGCCTTAACCAACTGGGCCAAGGGACCTGTTTTTGATTACTGTTTTTCAAGTAGCTTTTAAGAAAGCAGATTTTGGGACCAATTTTTAATTTTTGTATGGCTAATATATCATTCCACGGGGGCGGGTTAGCTCTTTAGAGAACATATCTTGTAAACATTTACTTCGTATAAGTGGTACTCTTGATTTGAGAGGTTTAATTGATAATGAAGTTAGATTATTCTGGGAGATAAGGAAAAAAAAAGTGGAGAAACCATCTCTATCCATCTTTGGTGCATGCTTTTCGGAGTCCGCATTACTGATAGCGCTTAATTAACTTAATACAGAATGGTAATGTAGCTGATTAACCCAGAATCTCTCTCAAATGCAAAAAAAAACAATAACAAAATAATTATAACTTGTCGCTTATCTCGATTCGGTGATGATGGCGCGTAATTTTCCGTTTACAGGAAACAAACAGATGCAGCTTATCTGACACATTCTGTAATTCTTAACATCTATTAGATAGCAAACTTTACTTTCGTGTGAGATACAACGTGGATTTGCGTATCAATCTAAATTCCCCGAAAAAATACGATTATGGAATACTTATTGATTACTCATCTCTTGGCCAGTGGATCTCTCAATTTTCACCTACTTGTCCACTATTTTCCCTGCTCTAGTTATTCTATGTGAAAGTTTGGTCCTTTCTCATCCATTCTATTCTTCTTGTTGATATAACGTAAATCTACAACATGTTTCACTTCAATATATGGAGAAAAATTTCATAACAAATATATATCTTTTACTGATTTTCGTGTGATTTTAAATTTTAATAGGTAATAAACTAAAAATTAAAATTTCTGCAATGAATTATATATAAAATCATATATATATTGGAGGTAATAGGTGAAACAAATAATAGGCTAAGTAAAATTGACTTTAATCTTAAAAACTGTAGCATTAGTTGATTTCAAACGAAATAGTGATCTTTCAATATATTATTCTGTCTCAAGTCACATGTGCGAGATTAAAAAATATTTAGTTTGTATGTAAAATAGGTTCCGTTGAATACGGATCTAAATATAATTGCAAAAACATGACATCTCCAAGCGTTGAAGATCTTGAAAAGAGGATCCGAGATCTTGAGCTTGAGAATTCTCGACTTCGTGGTGAATGCTCTTCCAATCCAGTAGAAAATCAAGATATTAAAGAAGACGATGAGCTGCACCTTTCACTTGCAGAGTACAAACGATACGGACGTCAAATGATTGTACCTGAGTTTGGAGCTCTCGAAGGACAGAAGCTACTCAAGAAATCATCAGTTTTAGTCATTGGAGCTGGTGGGTTAGGCTGTCCTGCATTGTTATATATTTCCGCCGCAGGTGTAGGAACTATAGGTATATTGGATGATGATGTGGTTGATGTCAGTAATTTGCATAGACAAGTGTTACATACTACAGAGTCAGTAGGGTTACCAAAAGTTGAATCTGCCAGAAGATACATCACCAAGCTTAACCCATTTGTAAAAGTGGAGACATATATTACACGAATTTCAAATGAAAATGCATTTGACATCATTCTGAAGTATGACCTCATCCTTGATTGTACTGATAACCCAGCCACCCGGTATTTGATCAATGACGTTTCAGTCTTGTGTGGTAAAACTATTGTTAGTGGCTCCGGATTGAAGTCTGATGGACAGTTATCGATTTTAAACTATCAGAACCAGGGCCCATGTTATCGCTGCTTTTATCCAAAACCACCATCCCCAAACTCTGTCACTTCTTGTAAGGATGGGGGTGTTTTAGGCCCTGCTATCGGTTTAGTTGGTGTGACTATGGCTTTGGAAGCTATCAAGGTACTCACAGGCTTCTATGGTGATAATTTCAAGCCATTTCTTTCAATGTACACTGGATATCCACAGCAAGTACTTCGAGTATTTAAAATGAGGAACAAGCAAAAGACTTGCGCTGTATGTGGTGAAAATCCATCTATAACTCAAGACTTAATAACTAGAAATGCCATAGACTATGTTGAGTTTTGCGGTAAGGTCAATGCTAATGTGTTAACTCCAGAACAGCGGATTACTGTGCATGAGTATAAACAATCTTTAGATGGTGCTAATAACTCAAGTATACTATTGGACGTACGTCCAAAGGAACAGTTTTCAATTATTTCGCTTCCAGCAGCTATAAATATTCCTTGGGATCCTACATTGGCTAAGTTAGATGACATTGATTCGTATTTACCTACCGGTTTTGATAAAGAAACTGACACTATTCATATTATATGTCGATATGGGAATGATTCACAACTCGCAACGGCAAAACTTATAGAGCTTGGATTCAAAAATGTTAAAGATATCAAGGGTGGGATCAACAAATGGAGCGAGGAAATAGATAATACAGTACCAATATATTGAACTTGGTGAATTCAAAATTTAGAAAAAAATACATAGTATACAAATTTATGCAGATATATTACTGATGGAATTTTGGATCCAATCTTTCCAAAACTATTAACCCGGAAACTGTAGCAGCAGTGTATACGGAACTAGCATCAAGATTTTCATTCCACGCAACAGCAGATATACTAACCTCTGGGGGTGCAATATATAACTTGGTTGTCCTATCAGCCACCGTCGGTACAAGATCACCAGAAATGTGTATTTCTGACCCATGCTTCGACAATTTCCAGAGTAATAATGGGGTAATGACTTTAGTAGATGTTTTCCCTCCTTGAAGAATCTTTCTAGCAATATTAACCACATGAACCTCTCCAATTGACGATCCACAAAGGGCCAATGGGTGATTTAAAATTTCTGAAGTATGATAGGATGTGACAGTTCCGTCCACTTTCATAATTAAAGTTGGCTTTTCATGTAAATGTCTTGCAAACGAATAATTTAATGAATCTTGAGAATCAGTTGAAACAATGAGTTTCAAACTTTTATTGTATATTGGTTTTATTAAGGAATTGGTAGTCCAAGATCCAATACTTCCATGTTGAAAGTCTTCATATTCCAATGCAAAGCATTGACTTCCAGTGGAATTCACCACTAAAGTAAAATGATTAGGATCGGTTTCACCCACCACTACACTTGATATAGCAGCTTCCGTGAGAGATATCACATAAGATGGGATTGTTATGTCACTCTCCTCTTGTGAAACGTCACCCGAATATAGATATGGTAATATAAATTCTGCAATTGATCCATTTGATAAACCAACGAAAATCTTTCCATGACCTAAAAAATCGTAGCACGTTATCGATACAGTACTATCTAAAGTATCACTGATACCATAACTTAACGAGGTTTGTAATATATTTGCCAATTCTGGTTGATTAGGATAAGTATTTTTGTTGATCTTTAAAACGTGGAGCTTCCCATCTGAAAATGTCCCGCATAACACTCCCAAAATATCATCGTCTGATGTACCATGAGTCCATTTACTTGGAATCCACCCTATGTCAGAACTTATACCAATTGACGTTGTAAGAAGGAATTTATATAGACTGAAATGATTCTGATGAGAATCAAATCTCCAAATTTGAATACCATGTTTTAAATCAGAATTGAGTTGACTATTTTTAGATTCCAAAAGAGATATTTTGTGGTCATTTATAGTAGATTCTATTCCATTAGCACTTCGTATAACTGTAGTGGCCAAGTAATGATATCTTTCATCTTCAGATACACCAGGCAACCATTTCATAGATGTCACATGTCCTCCGGCATTTAAAAATAAACCATTTCTAGCAATTGAATCATTCAACTTCAAATATTCACCAAAATTAAGCTTGGTAGAAATTTCTTTTGGGCCCTGTTGCAAAGATAATTTAATTTCTGACCCACCTTTAAGTCCAAATAAATTCAGAAACTGCTCTTCATTAACTGTTTCCAAAAGGAGAGGTGGGATACTCCCACTGCTCACATCGGGTAACAGCTTCAAAGTATGAGGGTCTTTGGATGTATTTTCTTTCAATTGATCTTCTGAAAGGTAAAACATTTTATCTTGCCATTGTGACTTATATCTCATACTTTGTTGATAGTATTCTTCGTTATGGCCATAATTAAGTAAGAATCTTTGTTTAAATGGGAAATCTCTAGTCCCACCCTTTGCCTGCGAGGTTGCTGAAGCCTTCAGAGGATCTGTAGTTACCATTGCAGACTTGGTGGGGGCCTTTTTTTTCGGTCCTGCTGCCTTTTTAATTGATGGTGATTTCTTCGGTTTAGGAGGAGGAGAAGGTTCTGAAAATGAGCTCCCATCATCTTCATCGTTTCCAATCATATACTCTTCAGCAACAATTTCAGGGTCATCAGCTTGGACATAATCTTCATCCATGATAAATAGGTTATATAAGGATTACAATGAGTTAAGAAAATATTATTGAAAGAATTACTGATTAGTTTGTTTACCTTATAATCAAAAAATAAATAGAACCCAAAATCAAAAAATAAAAAGTAAAGTGCGCAAAGATTGTTAGATCTTTCAGTTTATCAACATAATACACAGTCGTTAGATATCAAGGTCACTTTTAAGGAAAATGCTGGACTTGCCCGCGAGTGAAAGCAATGTAAGCGAGTACTATAGTGCCACTGAGAAATTAGCCGATGAAGAATATTCGTCTGAAGATCTCGCTATAGTAGATTCTAGTTTGATAAAGATCAACACAATTGTAAGAGCTCCACAGTCGTCAGAAGTTATTGTAATCACTGACCTGGAGACCGAGGATGCAAACGAAGAGGCCGATATTGTTGACGTGCAATCTGATTTTGAAAACGAGCTATTGAAAACGGGGTTCTCTTCTCAAACTCTTGCGAGTGCTCACCCAACAACACCCCCACAGGACAATCAATCTCTGGCAATGGGAAACATTTCAGAACAAAAGGAGGATCTTTTACAAGAAGATAAGAAGTTGAGCATAGATATACCCCCACCAAGTACGAATATAGAAGAACAATTACACACACCATTGCATGATGTACAAATGGACGAGAAGATTGAGGAGGAGAAATTACCTCATGAAACATCCAAACAAACAATAAAAACCTCACCAAACGCATCAACTTCAAAGTCTAACTCTCTATCCCCTAAGAGTGCTAAAAAGAAAAGACCTCATGCTTTAATGGATGATTTTTTCGCTATAGGAAATCCTGAAGAAACTAAAAAGAAGAAGAAAAAGTCCAAGAGAAAATCAGTACACGAAGAAGTAAACGTGAAACCTGAAGAACCAATGAATTTGACACCACAACCATCTGTAGACCTTGATGGCTCTAAGACGGAGGCTACTATAAAAAAACCTTCAGTAAGTACGCGAACAAGATCTTTAAGACTGGATAACATCGAGGAAAACAAGGTAAAGGACACTCACAAGAATAACACTCACAAGAATAATATAGTTCTTGACGATGAAGATGATGACGATCTAACCCTTGATCTAGAAATTTATAAACCATCTTCACCGCAACTGACATCAAGTGCATACCAATTCTCGGATGCAAATGAAAGTAAACGTGTGTACAATTTGAGTCTTATACTGGAACTTGATCAAACTTCTGAATCATACTATGAAAATGAATTACAAGTGCAAGGAACGATTAAGTTTTCTCATATATTGGATATTACTTTGACAAATATCAATAAGGGTAGCAGTATCGAATACCACCCAGAGGATGTTTCATTAATTTGGGTGGAAGGACGAACAGAAATCAAACCATTTTTTAAACCAAGTACTTTGAGAATTGAACCAGAAGCAACATTTCTTTCTCCAGATGACAATGTTAAAGTCCCACCAACTAAAATCAAAATACTACTTATTCCTAGAGTTACTGCATCAAGCTTTTTAACTTCATACCCTCAATATTTTCATATGATGAGTGCAACTAGTCAATATCTTGTAGAAGATGCAAGGAAAACACTAGCTGCTACTAGTGATATTGATATCAGTGATGTAGAAAGCGATAATGATAATGAAATATCAAATGAAATGGAAGCAACAACTCAAGTTACCGACGAGCAACCCCAAGGTGAATATTTTGTTATTGGGCTAAAAGGTAAAGATAACAAAAGGATTGAAGTTCTGGTATGCCCAACCACACCTATTATCAAAGTATTGGAATACTTTTTGAAGAAGAAGAATATTGATTCTAATTCAGTGGATCTAGGTTCAGTAAAACTTATCTTTGATGACGAAGAGCTCGATATCGACCTGAAAATTGAGGATACTGAATTGGAAGAAGATTTTGAAGTTCAAGTGGTTTTATGACTTTGTAAATAATGTAATAATAATAATACTATTAATAATAACTATGATTATAATTTAAAAATTTATTATATTGTTAAGCTCACTCTCACTAAGTCCTAAAAGGGTACTTTAGGTATCTCCCTTGAAGGTTGTTCCTTAAATATACCCGTCGTAGCAGTTCATGGCTGCAAAGAGACGTCACGTGACGACATGATAAAATTAGTAAACCCATTAAATTATCATGAGTGTGTTTAAAACTGAGGAATAACTAACTAAATTCTATAGATATAAGATAGGAAGACTTGATTATTTAATTGAAATGGCGATAAATAAAAATCTAAGGTCAAAATATGCAAAAAATTAAAAAAAAAGCTTTAAATAATCACGCTTATTAAACCATCAGATTTTTAAGCTAATAAGAAGCGCAAATGGTTTAGTGGTAAAATCCAACGTTGCCATCGTTGGGCCCCCGGTTCGATTCCGGGTTTGCGCAAACTTTTTTTTTGCATATTTTGTACTACAGAGCACCTACCCAATTGTATCCTTTACTTCTGTATTAGCTAACTACATTTATATATAATAAGGGTATGAAGTTTGTATAATGCTATATTTTTTGAATTCTTACTTATATCCATTTCTTATGCCTGAAAAACTGTACAGTGAGAAGTCCAATCACTAAGAAGAAACCTGCTCCAACATTTTGACTGGCTAATAAATTGTCAGATTCCATGATTTTTACTGTGGAACTATTATTTAAAGGTGAAGCGTCTATATCTTGATGCAAAAACACATTGTTTTCTAGTTGTCTTCTGAAGTTTCCTACATTATTCGGAGCTGTTGGTGTGGATGATGGTGTTTTTGTTGTTGTGACAGTAACAGGCACAACGTTTTGTGAGGTTGGCGTACTTTCATTAGAGGCCGTCGACGTTGACGGGGATGTAGTAGTTGAGACCAGAACATTTCCTATATCACACCAACCATTTACCGGAATACAGTTAATGTATTTGCACCATTTGCAATTACTACTATTATCAGATGGCGTTGAGCGGAAAAAGTTCTTGATGAGAGTACCCAAGAATGCACCTGCCAATGCAAGTGCTGCAATTCTTACTGCAAACCACATATATACTCTGGAATGAATTTTCTCATTCCAATTATGCTTTGGATTCCAATTATCGAGAAATTGTTGCCACGTAGATGCTGAACCGTCATAGACGATAATACTATCGATATAGGTAATACATGGATCTGGAAGTAGGATAAGGGCCATGAGCACCCCCATGGCAAACCCTCCAATGTGACTAAAATTGTCCATGCCTGGTAAGAGTCCAAGAACCAATGATACCACAATTTCAGCACACATAATGAGAATGAATAGTCCATATCTTTTAGTTCCATACATATTAGTGTTTTTCTTCCCGCAATACATAAACATCACAATATTTGTAGCTACTATACCAAAAAGTGATCCAGATGCACCTGTTGATGCAATGCCCGCGGGTGTGTAATTGGCACCAAGTAAAAACCCTGCAATTCCACTGGACATATATATAATTGCATACTTCAACACTCCGATGCTACGTTCTATACTTGCCCCCATGGTGACTTGTAAAAGCAAGTTGAACAATATATGAAGAAAGCCCGCGTGTAGAAATATTGGAGTTATTATTCTGTACCATTGATGAGGTAAATAGATATTCCCCTCTTGTGGGATACTTGACATCCCACATAATTGAGGTAATGAACAAACATTTGTATCCGCAGTAGTCGAGTTGGCACATGGGAATTGAATAGTGGCATCATCAGTAATCCCAATATACTGTTGCATGCATGGAACATAACGTGCACCCATATTGATTAGAACGTAAGTGGAAGGTCCCAACATTGGATTGAAATATGGTTGTGTTTGAAAAGGAGAACCAGTAAGAATACCCATCTTAGCTAGCTCAGCAATGAACACACAAACTTGAATGATGGTCACAATCATGGTAAAATATGGCCATTTCGTATAATGGAACCGTGGCCGTCTAGTAATAAGTTTTCTTCTTTGACGCTCATTGTCTCGTTGCCTATTGAATTCAGAAGAATTCTCTCTAAATCCATCCTTGGGGAAATTTACATCTCCATCGTTCAGAGCATGGTTTAAATCTGAGAATGGATCAGGTCGATCGCTACTTCGGTATGGAATGTCGTCCATGTCTGATTCAAAGGGGTTCATAGGATTTGAATTTATAATCGCTTCGCCCTTTGCAGGGGTTTGAGGTGCAGGGGTTTCAGGGAGTGGTCTGGATGGAAGGGGTCTGTCTGTATTGGTATAAAAGTTGTCCAACTCATAGGAGTCTTGAAGAGGATAATTTTTCCCCGTGGGAGGGTAATATGAATCAGCAACAATTGTGGCAGGACTTGCTCTTTTGGAACTGCTCCTACTTATGTTAAACGAAGGATATGGTAACGGTTCAGGTCCCATAGACTCACGGCCATAAGTAAGTGGAGATGGTGGCTGATGTGGATATTGTGATCTTGGTCCATTTGGAGGCACATACGCATTATATGGGGTATACGGGGTATAAGGTACATCTCCCTTGGGGACAGGCTTGGGCTTTGTAAAACCCTCAAAGTTGAAAGTTGATGAATTATCATCAAATTCCCGGGACAGCTTTCTCGGCGCCGAATCCGAATTAGTCGAATACATGTATGTATGTACTTTAATTCAGTAAGTTGTAACCTCAGTACACACCCAAATTTAAGGGGGTTAAAAGAATGGAAGCGTGAAGTTGGAGGCCAGAAAGGAAAGTGGAGATGCGTTCTTTCGCAAACCTGATTCGCCAATAAGTAGATTAAGTTATCTAAAATCAATCAGTTCAAAAAGATTTTTGTTTCAGAAAAATCTCTTCTTGTGTGACTGTGTAAGAAAGTTCCAGCCGAGAGATTTTCAGTGGGGCTTTAATGCAAACCACGTTGAACTAAAGTAAACCCAGTAAAGAAATACTGAAAAAACAGTTTATAAATAGCAAAATTATCACAGGTAGAAGCACTATCCTTTTGAGGCTGCAGTGATCGAAAGATATTCGAACTGCACAAAGAACCTATAATGACTCGTGTACCTTCTTTTTTAGCGTGCAACGGCAGAGGTTGTAACACGCATAAAAGTGAAGTACCACCAAAGAGAAAAGAGAAAAAAAAAAAAAACAGAAGAAAAAGGCACCACAAAGGTGGATTCTATATGCACACATACGTCACTGAAACATAATCAATTTGTTACAAAGATTACACAACAATAGGAAAAGATCAGTGTTTGTAGAAAATATGGCATGTGTAAACTTGTGATATGAAACGGAAACAGTTTGCATTTGAAGATTGTTCCCCTCCTCTTTTGGACAGTGATTTGAAGGTTTAAGATATACTTGTCTGCAAGGACGTTAGTGAGGCTGAGTAACCCCTTACTAAGTTGTGGTGGTTGGCGTATTCCCTTTGTTGTACAGGAGTGTACCGGGACTATGTGTGCATGCAAACCCCTACTTATAATGGTATAGCGACTTTGTATCAAGCGAGATTGAAGAGATAAATGTAGATTCGAGGTATGGAACGGAGGAATTGAATAAGAATAATAATGTATGTATATGACGGATGGTGATATGAAATATAAGGAAAGAGAATAAGGAAGATGTATCATTTTGACTTGTTGATTCTCGTTCCTTAATCTTACTTGTTTGATTTTTGGTATATTTATAATTTGAGAAATTTGGTGGTATTTTTACTAAATTAAAGCCTTCTCATGAATTTACTAATTGTTACAATTTACTACAATATATCCGGGGGGGGGGGGGGGGGGGGGGTGGTGATTCCTTGTCTCTTTTAAAAATGTTTAATTAATACGTAGTATACAATTATTCCTTGAATAAAATGCTGTTGGCCAATGGGTCGGCCTTCAAGACTTGGTTTCTCTTCTTAATCTTTCTATCCAAGGCAGCTTCGGCTCTAGATTTGGCTTGTTCAGCATTTTGTTGCTTCAATTGTGCTCTGACAAAGTTTGGAGAAACGTATTCCTTGTTTTCATAAATCTTTGGTCCTCCAAAGGAACCTTCTAAAATAGTAATTAAAGTTAATACAAATCTTGGACCGATTTCAATCAAAGATAATTCATCAACTTCAGAATCTTCAACTTCCTTATGAGTAAGATTTTCATTGATTTGATAGTTACGAACCCAAATCTTGTTGTCTACAATAGAAAAGGTCATTACATGATCAACAAAAGGCTTGGACTTTCTAGCTTGTGGAGGTACACCAAAGGAATGAACAAACAATTCCTTCATCAACTTATAATGGTCAGTAGTTTCAAAACTCTTGTCAAAACTTAATACTGGTCTAGAACCTTTCAAACAGTTACCAGTGAAATTTAATTCATCTAATGTGTGCAAATTTTGAACATGAAACTTTAAAGTTGGACCATTTGGAGGTTTAGATAACCACAAGTACAAATCTTGATGCTTTCTAGCTTCGAAAAAGCAAATGTTGTTACAGTTGTATAACTCAGCAACTTCATTTAATTGATACAAGTTTTTCTTGGAATCAAACTTTGGTTCCTTTCTAGCATGAGGTAATAAATTAAGTAAATCAGAAATGAGATGACGATGTCTATAAGTAACACCACGGGATGATATCACGAGAAGACGTTGTCTATTTATGTGCTTGGTCTTCTCGGAAGACTCCTTGGATGACTTGGATTGTAAAGCCTTGTAAATAGCAGACATGGTTTCCTAATGATATTGAAAAAGGTTTTAACAAAGAAATGAGATGAGCTTTAAAATAGTTGTATCTTTAAAGGGCGCGCACCCAGTGAAAAATATCAAAAAATTATAAAAAAAATCTCATCGGCAGCGTGTATGCAGGCACCGCCAAACCATATTATAAATGAGAAAAGTATATTAAGTGTCTGAGATTGAGAATCATTTAAAAGTATAGATTGAATAAAGAATTTCAATAACTTAAATATGTGTTAATAATTAATTATTAAGATTATATCTATAAATATACGCTTACAAATATTTCCCATTATCTTCATATGAACATTTTTTATTCTATTTTAAAAGAGATTTACACACAATAAATATCAAATGTAAAGTGGTGTTAATTATACATACAAGAAATTAATAGACCAATCTAACATTTATTTTTGTCAATTTGCTTCTCTCTATTATTTATCATTTCTCGTTTATAACTTTTTTTTAGGATGTAGTTGTGGGGTGTGTCGGTGAGGATTTAAGTGAGCTTAGTGCTTGGCTTCAGAGTGCTTAGCCAAAAATTCGTTAACAAACTTTTCTTCTTCTGGAGAAGTAGCATTGACAGATGGATGCTTTGGTGGAGCAGCTCCCCATGGCTTTGGAGCAATTACAAAGGCAACAGCACCCAAAGTGGCCAAGGCCAATTGGTGGGATGGAACAGATCTGCCGAGGATAGTGTATGCGGAACCCATTATTGAATATATAATAATTTGTAATGTACAAAAAGTATGAATGTATATATGGATTTTGATAGTTTTCTCCCATTCTCATATTATTTCTTGTTAGTTCGAAACGGGATTTAATTGGGTGGAAACAGTGACACAAACAGGTTCTGTATATGCAGGTGACTTGTTTTTTTTTTATATTTATTTATCTATTTATTTATTTTTATTTTGTTGTAACTTCAATTATTTATATGGGGCTAATTAAGCAAAACTATATAGGTACTAAATTGCAATTTATTGTAGATTAAAAGGAGTAAGATTTCATAATAGTCAATTAACTTGATGTATGTTTCTCTAATAAATATATAGATAAACTGTTCACTATAAATGTTATTGTACTGACGTGCGCGTACCATAGATTAAGTGACATGGATTCAAGCTTAGAATCATAGATCTAATGAAAAGGGTATTTCATACATAGTTATTTAACTTTTGCAGGTCAAAAGTATATACGAGTTGAAGGTCAAGAGATGGTAGATTATGGCGTTTCCTATAGATTCAATCCAATTAGTATCGCATTTGAGATTACTGTTTGCTGCCACAAATGATAGTGTAGCTACACGACGAATGATAAAACCATTTGTAATTCCTGGGATTGATAATACCCAGAATGAAATGATTCGTAATTCATTAAAGCCCGAATCTCCTCCTATAACCTTTGATATTGCTAGACATATCAATAAAAGTTATAACGAAAGAATTGCCTTGAATTCAAAGTCAACGCGTACCGCCAGAAAGAAGAACCGAACAGGGGGGAATGGAGGGCATCAAAGAAGAAAGAGCAAGAAAAGTATAAAAATTGAAGAAGAAGAGGAAGAAGAGGAAGAAGAAGAAGAAAAGGAAAAAGAAGATGTAGACCATGCCAAACCCGATACTGCTCCAAAGTCTCCAAAACCTTCTACAGATCCTGAAAAGGTTGAAAGTCCTAACACTCCCAATAAACCCATTACAACAAGTACAACCAAGAAACGAGCAAGTGGTATTGTACGATTACTTCGAAGGAAGCCAGCTGAACCTACTGATGGGAATCTTGAATTAATTGAGGAAGAGAACACAAATGATCATGTCATTGATGATGTCGACGAGGCACATGAAGGTCGTAGCGTATCGAAGGCGAATGACTATGAGGACGATCATGTATCTATAGATAGTGACTTTGGAGTTCCAGTAAATTCCAAAGGACAAGTAGTCCGCAACTTTAGTTTCCCTGAAGAAAAAAGGATAACTTCACGTAGTGAATCGAATGTTGGTGACACCACGGTTGACACGGGTATAAATGATGAACAAGAGGAAGATGAATTTGAAGATGACGATGACTTTTATTATGTAGAGGATGAACGAGAGTATTCTGCAGAAATATATGATGATTCGGAAGCGGATGGAGTTCATGATGATGAAGCCGGACTTGAAGATGAGCTTGCAGTCGATGATGAAGATGATGATGACGACGAAGAAGAAGATGACGACGAGGATGAAGAAGATGATGACGACGATGATGATATCATAGATGCTTCTTCTACAGATTCTGCATTCACTGATATTGAAGCCGACTCCATGTTAGATGATACATCAGTTCTTTTGGATTCCTTCAACGAGCCTGGATACTCTTTTGAAAACCAAACTGCAAACATTGGAAGTTTCCGTATCGATTCAGGAAAGTTAAAAAAGAAAAAGGCGTCATTTGGTACACAATCCCTCTCTTCAAGAATCATTCTGGATAATTTGAAGTCTGTCCCTTCACAAACAATTCTTTCATCCACCTTTAGTGTTGCACCTAAGGATAATGAAGAACCAAGAACCCCAGTGAGACGGAAGATTGGGAATAATAATGGCGCATTAAATTTTGACAGAATCGAACCTGCTAAACCATTTGCTACTCACTCCACATTGCAATCCAACTTGAGTGCACTTATTAATTCAAAACACACTTCTGTTAATGCAAATCCATTGAACTATTTCCTATTTGCCAATTCTGATTTTTCTCCATCCAGTAGAGTGAAAAAGATATATCTCAACATATTCAATCCTCCCAAGGTGATTCCAATTTTGAAAAACATTGAATTGAATAATAATACTTCCATTGTGGATTGTATTGGATATTCCTTATTAAAGTTGCATCAATCTGGAGATCTCAGTAAAATCTCGGATATAGAGAAGGATAGATGTAACCCCAATCATTGGCGGTTAGAAATGGTTGATGAAGATGGAGAATCATATGGATCATTTGGAATCTTGTCTAGAACAAGGTTAATATCATCTTACAATGATATTACTGATATTGCATTGTGTAGGGTATCTGATGCTGAAGAAATAAAGCGGAATGAAGAACAAACGCCATTATCTTTAGAATTTAGACAAAGCTTAGAAGGTGAGACTTCTAAATTACAAAATATTGATCAAGAACCCGTGGTGATGGCAAGAAATAACAGTACCAGCGATATGGAACTCAAGATTTTCAATGGATCTAGTTTGAGAAGTTCAACTCATATCGTATCTACTTCTAAGACTATTGGACAGTTATTGGAAGACTATTGTTCAGAGCATGGTTTAGATCACCGGAAGTATAGATTTGAATGTATCCAATATTCTCAGAAGCTTCATGGAACAAGTACATTACTTGAAGGGAACTTTTTATCACAAAAGAGGGAAGATGTATCTGTACCAGGAAGATTATTGAAACCATCTGATGTGGTTGGTAATTTGGAATCTGGAACTTTGGAATTAGTATCGCTGCTGAATCTTCCTGTTGCACATTACGATAATTTTGGAATTACTGGTGCTCCAAATACATTAGTTTTGAACTCGGGAATTACACCCACATCTAACTCCACATATAAACTTAATTATATTGGACAGAATGAGGATGCTAATAAATTCTCATTAGATCTACAAGATTCAAAGAAAACATCATCGGATTCAACTATTCGTCAATCATCAACTTCGGCCGGAGTAAATTCATCAGTTGTATCAGAAAGATGGAATACAGCAGAGAATATTAAACGTACCTTGATTGCCAATAAGTACTTGGAAAATATTATGAATGGAACCAATCCTCATCTTCCTACAAATATCAACACTATATACTTCAAATGGAAAGTTTGGAGGAAAAAGCCTACGATTCTTAATAAGATTGAAAAATCTTTAGTCATCGATGGAGATTATATTCATCTCACTCCATCTGATGATGTAGTGTTCAAAAAGAATCTTACTGACTCTCCTTCATTTCATGGACATGGAAGTTCGACTCACCATAACCAGAGCAACCACCACCATTATCTACACCATTACAACTATTCTAACTACTATAATAACCTGATGATGAAAACCTCATCATTCCATGTTACCCAAATAGCGAAATTGAAACAATATAAGGATAGTAAAAACCCCACCCATTTCAAAATTGTGACCAAAAAATTAGCAGAGTCTACAACATCAACAAATACCACTGAAAATTCCGCTTCGTTACCATCTTCTCGTGAAAAGGTGCTGGTTAAGAGATACGATTTAGAAGCTGTTTCTATTGCTGAATGTGATGAAATCATTCAAAAGATTAAGTGGGTCATACAAGTGTACAACTCCAACATGAATTGATGTACTGCATGACAATCTAAGAGAACATTTCAGAATTCATTTTCTGTTCTTTTTTTTTTTCCCCTTTCAATTATGTGCATATCGCATCGAGAAGAGATTGAGATGCCAATATATATTTATATACATACATAAGTATATTTAAATAATTAACATAGTATCTAACATGGCACCATCATTGTCACTGAACTGGAAGGCTCTCCAGTCTAAGTTGGGAGGTGCATCTAAAAATGCTAAGGTAACTAAGCCTGCTATTAAGAAGGTAAAGGCTACTGCCAAAGTCATCCCTACTACTAAAACTGTACCACCAGTAGCCGTTGTTTCCACTCCAGAAGTGACAGTTAACAGAGAGGGTTCAGCAATAGAGCTGGCCCTTTGGAACAACGAGAGAGAAGTGACCGCTGAGGATATCAAAACTGCTCCACTTAGACAAGGAAGAAATGACGGACGAAAACGAGATTCAGGTAAATATCTTGCAATGGATTGTGAGTTTGTTGGTATTGGTGCTGAAGGGAAAGAATCAGCCCTTGCACGTATCTCTATTGTTAACTTCTATGGACACGTTGTCTTTGACAAGTTTGTCAAACCAAAGGAAAAGGTTGTAGATTGGCGTACATGGGTTAGTGGGGTCACACCTAAGCATATGAATGATGCCATAACTTTTGAAGAGGCACAGAACACAGCAGCAGACTTGTTGAATAACAAGATCTTGGTAGGACATGCTATTAGTCACGATTTGGATGCGCTTCTCTTGTCGCATCCTCGTTATTTGATTAGAGACACATCTAGTTATAAACCATTTAGAGAAATCGCCAAGGGAAGAACTCCAAGTTTGAAGAACTTGTCACTGCATTTCCTAAAAGTAGACATTCAAGGAGGGTCCCATTCATCTGTCGAAGATGCAAGAGCTACAATGTTGCTCTTCCGCTTATACAAAAAGGATTTTGAAGAGTCCATGAGACCACACTTTAGAAAGTAATCAAGCCCCACTTTAGTTCAAATTTGCATACATACTTCCCCTAGTCAGGGTTTAGAGAATAAAATAATTATAGAATAGCATTGAAAAGAAATAAATTACATACTACACTTGAATATTTTAATATATCGTTCATATTAAAGCACATTTAATCTTCTAACTGTTGACCTTCAACATACAGACATGCCGCTCTATAAACCATTTCTTGAAGATATCTAACCGAGGTAAACATAGTCTTGGATGTATCTGGAATCTTTGAGAGGTTACAATGGCGTAAGCAAGTGAGATTGTTTGTGACCAAAAGTTCCTCGACTTGAGTTGAAGAAGTCTCACTGCAGTAGGTTTTATCTTTGATTACAGACATAAGGATTTCTGCCACATTTTCAACAATTTCAATCGAATTATTATTGAGAAGTGTTTGCTCGAATGGAGTTCTGAGAATGTGATAAACCAAGTAGGCAACATTCTTGTCCTTGTAAAATAATTCTCTGTATAAATTCAAGAAATTACTCTTGAAGACATTATCCACCGAATCGGATTTGTAAAAATAAGCGGCTAATATGAGTGTAAACTTTGCATCATCTGTATTCAGTAAGAAGAATTCAAGAACATTTTCAGGTGATTTTCCAGGAGTATAATTAAATCCAATCTCTTCACAATAAGCAGCGAATGAAGGTTCAGAAGATGAGAAATACACAAATGAAAAGAACGATTGCAAGCAAAGCGAACTTTGATTGGCTCCCAGTTTCACACGGTTGACAACAAACTTTTTCAAACAATCCAATGAAATGTGTTTAATAGAAGGTATTTTCAACCCTTTACAAAGGACGACAAATACATATGTTGACAAGTTGCCGACGGTGAATCGAACATTCTCACCGGCTTCGAAATCAGAAATGTATGGCTCCAAGTACAGTCGGGTCGAGAATATTTTTGCAGCACATGTTGTTCCTTGCAAGTCAGAGCAAACATTCAGAAGAGTGTTTGTAAGGGTGTTTATTGCAGGAGGGTAAAGCACGATATTGTCCATGATTGCAAGACAAAGTTGTGGCCAAACGAGGAATTGGGGCAATACTGACTTTTCATTTAACCCTTCACTTAATCGGGATACACTGACAACTTGAGAAGTGAATGTGGTGAGAGAATCAATCTTCTCGCGACTGGTGAGTCTCAACACTCTCAGTGCAAGCGAATCGCTTACCCCTGCCTTGGATAAGAAACCAACAATCAATATCGCTCTACTTTGATACACTGAAGATTTGGTGAATGCGATGCTGATTGCACGGGTACTCCAATTGGATCTCCATTTGGCAAGGTTGTTGGAGTTTGTTCCCATGACAGTCAGGAATTCATAAAGATGCTCACACAAAATTTCAAATGCAGTTGCCCTATTAAAGATTTGAGAAGCATCCTTGCTTTGCGTTTCGCGAGAGAGCCCAAACAAGAGGTGAGCACGTTGTCCCGATAAATAATGAAGTGTCTTGTTAATGATTTGCTCTTCTTCTTCAGACAAATCTGGTTTGTGTAAAAATGATTGAACTGTATTTATAGCAAGTCTTTGGAGATCAGTGCCAACATCAATTGAAGAATGACTAACAAGTAGCGCGCAAAAGAAGAACACATCTGCCAAATACATGGTAGAATAAGAATATGAATCGAAGAATATAGCAGAACAAATCTTTATCAAAACTGATATCTCAACTGCTTTACTTTGAGCAGCAACAATAGATCCTTCATGATTGGAATCACCAACTGCAGTAATTAATCGCGAGATTAACTCTCCGCAAACATCCATGGATGGAGATACAACAGCAATGACAAAAGACCATTCAGGGCCTTCGTTTCTATTATCGATAGCAAAGGCAACTATTTCATCAACCAAAACCATAGTTAACCTACCTTCGCCGAAAAGCTTCTTCCAAATGTAATCATTGATGTAAGGAATCAGGTGTCTATCCATAGCAGAAATTCTGCACAACAGCCGAATGATATCAACCGTTCGGGATGGTCCACGTTCTCTATCAGCTAGATATATATATTCGCACACATTGTCAATCCAAGGTGAGATATACATAATTGCCAGTACTCTATGTTCCTTTGGTAACTTATCGTAGTAATCAAAGAAAGCACGGAAAAATCTGTATGTAAGTTCTGGCTTGAGATCAGCCAATTGACGAGAAGTGTTGACAATAAATTCAGTTGTATTCGTAGGGAACGCAATATTCTTAGCATGTAAGCATGATATTCCCATGTCTAAACCAAAGTAGCTGGATAATGCAGCAAACAAAAACGCAGCAGATGAACGAACATCCTCATTTGTACTTAAAAGTGATTGAAAAACTGTATTATAAAGACGACAGAACCATAATAATGGCACGGTGGTTGTGTCTAGAGTCTCCTTTTGCTCTTCACCATAGAAATCATGCTGCTGACCGGAAGTTGCAAAATAGAGGAATCGAAGAATCTCAGATTTTTTTGGCGTTCTGAGAATCAACGGATGCGAATCCCTGAAATAAATGGTAAATTCGGAATCTCCAGCATCAGAATCATCAGGAGATGATTCACATTTAACAACCTCCGTTAATTTCTTCACCAAATTTGGGTAAAATGCATTAGTTTCACACAATTTTTCTTCGTAACTGAATCTTTCCTCAGAACATACTTGTATGAACTTCCGGCCAATTTTGAGTGTTACAGGGACGAACCTCCCCAACTCTGTGTCAAACAACATATTTTCATGGAAAGACACCCTAGCATCGTGTAAAATTGACATAGTACTACTACTAAGTCCTAAACTGCTCATTGTGTCGGGCTTGTCGGTAAGTCCAAAAGTGTAAATCTTTCCACGATGCAGACTATGATCTCCACTTCTAAAATATCTAATGCTCATCATAACCTCATTAGTCTTGAACAATGGAATGTTGAAATAATAAAATTTGACGCAATTTTTCAAGAATTGTTCCGGCGCAAAGACTTTCAATAAAACAATAAAATTTTCACACATTGCAGATGTTACTTCAGATTCAGTCAAATCGTATACGACATAAAACTTATTGTCCCAAACTTGAAGACATGTTTCGAACATTCGATAAAGTAAAAGTTCCTCGTCATTGTTGTAAGTGTAGTATAATGGTTCAAAGTTGACCACAACGGTTGGAGTTCCATCCTCAAAAATAGTTGTATGAACAAGGGGAACATCTGTAGGTATGTCTCCGTACTTCAAAGCCAGCTTACTCATAAAATCAACAAAGTTTGGATTCGATCCTAAATCATTATTTTTGATAGTTGGAATTAACTGGAGAGCAACTAAAGACTTGGGCTGCCCTAAGATGGATAAAATCTTATCCATCTTACGGAATCTGTCAATACGACGAGTCAATCCTTTGTTGTCCAGAAGATCGCAGAATATGTATTTGCTTTTGATATTGACGAAGTAATGGTAGAAAAATTTATGCAAGTAACGGAACTCTGCTAATGGTGGTTGCTCAACTTGATCAAATGGATATTCTTCAATTGTAGAGCCGACTTCGCAAGTATCCGCCCTTGAGAATTTACGCAAGAATTCGAAAATCATTCCATTAAACTCCATCAATTCATCTTGTTTATTGGCTAATCTGGGCCATTTCAACAGACTAATAGACCCATTTGCAATATTTTGGATAACCTTTACAAGTTGCATCAACGTACGTTTTACCTTAGGGTTTGGAACTGGGATATTCAAAAATACATCCAGCAGCACAATAGAAGGACAGAGGAATCTCAAAAACAAATACGACCCCACTGCGATAATAGAGTCGTCTTCATTCTTTGATTTCACACAACTATAGATCTCCCGACAAATAAATTTAAAGGACTTTGGAGCAAATTCTGTAGATTCTGAAATTGCCGTTACGAGCTTACGCAAATACTTCACAAATAAATCCGCATCTTTGTCGTCAATGTCCGACTTTTCATCTGAATTTGAAACCTTCTCAACTTCAAGAATGACATTTTCTTCATTAAGTTCACGAATAAAAGATCCAAGTGTTTGTTCAAGGTATTTTGAACCATAATCCCTTGCAAAATTAGACAACAATCTCGTCAAAGTACTATTCCGTCTAAAAATATCTGACAGTCTAGATACCAAATCGATTTCGTCATATAAAAGAGTGTGGATCAATTTGTCTAATCTTTTAGTGTGACCGAACACTGCAAATAAAGAAGATGCCAATAAGTTATGTTCATTGGTTGACGCAACTTTAGCTGCAGCTCCGCAAATGTCATCAAATTCTGTAAATTCAAAACAAATTCCATCTGGGAATTCTAACTTTTCTTCGGTATACTTTCTTTTAGCAAACATTTCAGCGAAAACATTTAAGAATATAGCTCGAATCTTTTCATTCTCATGGAATCCTAATGGAAGAACAAATTGCATCCCGATATCAGTATCAACTTGAAGAATGTTAGTGATACATCTAAGGATGTTCTCCGTCACAAGATGAATCTTGTACTTGGACTTCACTGAATGGGAGTCCGTCGAATACTTTTGAAGGATTTTATATAATATTGAGAAATAATTTGTAAATGCAATATCCTTTGCCTTCTTAACATCTTTATCTTTGGTTCCTTCTGCAATCTCTAAACTCAAATTTTCAAGTTGAAGAGAAAGACTCTTTGATGATTCTGTTGCAAGATCAACGTTCAAATACATAGTTTCCATTTCTTTATTTGCTCTTCTTCCTGGTCTAGTTTCGTAGCTTCCATCATCGATAGATTTTAGAGAGGATGCAGCAATTGATGAATTTTCATCATGAATTTGTTCCTCGATTGCTTCATCATAAAAGACGGCCTGCAGAAGCCATTCAAGGGTGGCCCGAGCAATACCGTTACGTAATCTGAAGGCACCTCGAAGCCCTACACGTTCTTTGTCTGACTCTATAATTGTCCCTAATTTGCAGAAACGAATTTTCAACCTCAAAGTAGCGGATAGGTCCTGGACTTTATTAACAAATCGAATAATAAGCTCACTAATAGTTGGTAAAAGGGCAACTAGAATAAAGGATCCCTCATTTTTCACTGCTATCATTGAAGTCATTACTGCAAGGACTTGCTCAATGAACAAGATTCTTTCTTCCGTATCCACAACCTTATCATCCAAGTAATTCCGAATGATATCAATCAATTTTGTACAAGTCAATTGATAAACTGTTGGATGTGATTCGTTGGATAATGCATCTTTCACAATGACTCGAATGACAAGATCATTGGAAGTTAATAACATAATACATTTTTCAAAGAAATTGTATACACATTCATACACTCTGTCTCTTTCTAAGGAGTTATCAGCTAAGAATTCTCCAGATATCAATGAACCACTCATGGAAACCAAGAATCCAGTAAAATGTCGGAAAACCAAATTTTCATCATCCATGTTATTCCTTGCTTCTAACATTTCTGCCCAACGTCCATATATCACTAACCACACGTCGAATATAGTTTGCGAAGGTGCGAAGTCTCTCATGAGTGTACGGAATTTCTTATGAAGCGAAACAAACCCAGTGAACACACTATCATCATTCATAATTTGGACAAATTTGTTGAATAAATTCTTATTGTAGCAACCATCTAAAAGTGATCCCATAGATTCGACGCCCTTTACATACAAGCGCATCGATTCCTTGGCAACATTGTAAAATTGTATGTCATGAGTACAGAGAGAAAGAAGTAATATTTTCTCCAATGAATGACAGACGAATGTCCCAGTTTCAATTCTGTATGTCTCATTTAGTTCAGAAAATGCCTTAATGAACACCTTATTGCTTAGATGGTTTAATCTGTTCTCCAAAAACTTATTCAAGAAAAGGAAACTTGATTGAAATTTAGGATCCGTCAAGGATAATTGTAAACATAATTCACTTGTGTAATGGATGATATAGTTTGAGGTCAAGTAGTTCGTAAGCAAAACAGGTTCGAGATCCTTTTCGCTCAATTCCAGGTGGAATTCTTCCGACACCAAAGACATTGATAATGAACAAGCTGCGTCGACGAGGATATCATTATTACTATGTAATGCACATTTAAATGGTAATGTCACATCCTGTGATAGTTTTTGAATTCGAGCATAGATGAATTCCGAGCTACCCTTTTGTAAAAACTCCAAGTCAATAAAATATACTTCTGGAACTGGTATGAAAATGTAAAAAAGTTCAGACAATACTTCTTCAGTATTTTCCGCCAACTTTTGACGCGTAGATGCAGATGAAGACAGAGATACTGTCATTCCCAGTACTGACTTGTCATCAATGGCAGAGTCAATCATATGTCGAGTGGAAGAAATGCCCGGTGGTGGAGATTCTGGACGAGAGCTCACGGGTTCCAAGCTATTTTTTCTTGATGCCATAGATGTTTGGGAAGATCTTCTAGTGTATTTACTGTTACCACCACCACTATAGACACTATTATTCTCTGTGGGATCCATTTGATTTAATATTTTAGTTGCACCGACTATCATTCCCTTTAACGAAGTTTTCAATCTTTTCATCAAGGAATCAAATTCAACTTGTGTTTTCTTTAATTCAGATAAACCCTTTACTACCTTAACTAAGATTTTCATTTCACTAAGATTTCCCAGTGATTGGTAGTATTTTTGAATCAATAATGGGATGTACTTTTCTGCGTTTATTAACACGGCCACGACATTTAAATTGATAACCAAGTTGTCAAACAAGGTTCGTGCATCCTTGGATGTAAACGATACTTGTAATTTGTGAAGACTTTCGTAGGTGCTGTCAAGATATTTCAAACAAAATTGGTAGACCGGATGATCTGAACGCTCCTTGGGGAGTCTTGCAGCTAAGTAAAAGATGTGAATAAGTGAATCAAAACTATCCAAATTTGTCAACGCATGAGATTCCTTGACAATATCATTAAGAAACCGTAGTCGTTTGTTGAATGCGAGTTTCAATTTATTTGGAGAATCAAAAAACTCATCTATATCTGATAAACATAAGATAACAAGCCAAGCTTGAACCATGGAACTGGTACCCAAATGTTTCCGATTTTCAAATATTGTACTAACATAATCAAATAATACTTTGCAAGAATCTTCTAATGGACTATTTGCATTTACTAATCCAAGGTAATCCTCTGGCCTCAGGAAACATTGATCTTTGATGGTGTTCGTGTAATATATAAGCACCACTTGTCTCCATGTGTTTGATTTTATATATGGAAGAAATTGAGTCATGTCGTTCGCAAGTCCTTGCAGTACAACTTCATCATAAAATACAAACTCGAAAAGAGGAGCATATTTAGCTATCATCTCCTTTGGAACATTGCGTCCATTACGAGAATAGACCATAAGTTTTGAGCCAATAAAATTATAATAATCAGGAGGGTTTGCGACGGCCATATATTTAAGAAGAACTTGGCAATAATTGTCAATATCTTGTATGTGTCTTTCTTGACGAGTGAGACCTTCTTCATCTTCATCGATGGAATCATCGAAAAGGATTTCAAATGAAGAACTACCTGTACTAGCAGGGTCGGTCATGACGGACTCCGTTGGTCCTTGTGATTGGTTGCGAATCAACATTGCCTCTTCAATAGCAGGGGGTCTTTTCACCAATGCGAGAGTTTTCCTTGTCATTTGGGTAGACAAAAGTGTAATTATAGTTTCTATACATGATGGTAGAATTGATGGGTCCAACTTTGCTGGTGGAATAAAATGATAAAACAGGGCAAAGTTAAATGGTCGAGAATAATCTAGGTTCGTATTCTTTCTCTGGCGATCGGATTCATTGTGCTTCAGGACCCAAGTACGATTAACAAACTCGAATAGAAGCTTAAGGACTATAAGGGTTGAACTAATGGAATTTTCATCACGTTCTCGTAAGTCTGTACCGCCTGCCTCATCATTAATAGTGTCAAGAATCCCACAAAAGGTGTAAAGTATATTCCCTGCAATTTCTACTGAGTCTCCTCCAAGGAGAATCTTTCTTGTTACCAAAAACTGTGGATTTAGTTCAACTTCTGAAATGGTGTAACCAGTTCTATTAGGTAAGAATGATTCTATTCTATGGCCCAATGCCTCTACAAATTCCTTCGACATGATTGACTGTGTCTCTAAGGCAGCAATGGGAGGGAATTGTGGGGGTATGTTAGATGGACTGGGATGTTGTTGTGAAAAGCACTGGTGTGTGGTTGGTGCTTTCTTTTCTTTTTTAGAATTGTATGAATTTCTTTAATGTGTATGGCGCCAATTTATTTAGGTTATTTTTACCTATTAGTAGTAGTATTCCTTACTACCTGGCTTGTGTATTCAATTCTAAGTGGGCCAAACTCAATTATTAAACACAACACCACGGTTATTATTGATATGAAATTAAGAAACTATGGAGAAATGAATGATTTACTATGATCAGAAGTATAGAAGTTTTACTTTAGATACTTGAAAATTTCTTTTTTTTGTTTCCTGAACATACACAAAGTCAAATGGTCTCTATTTAGATAAGAATATTAAACAGGGGAAAAAAGTGCGTATAGCACTAAAAAAAAATAATGACAATAATAAATAGCTGAGAATAATACTGATGATGTGGGTGATGACAGGGTAGGGGGGACGGAAAGATTTACGGTGAACCCTTTGTATGGTGGGTGATATAATTGTGAGGCGCGTAACTTTTGTTTAAAAGTTCTATCGTAAATACTTGTGTATCATGTGCGGTATTTTCTAGTCAACGTTTTTCCCAGAAAAATACTTTGTTTCTCTACTAAATTTGTAACAAATTTGGATATATGCAAAAGCAACTATCGGGGTACAACGCAGCATGAGGCGGTCACCACACCAGAATCGGCCCATTGCATCGCCGAGATGATGGATTCCTCGAGATCAAATTGTTGGTCAACATATTTTGATTATATGACAGTACCCACGTTTGTTTGAAGCTCTATTCATCATGTGTTGTGTAATTGTTATTCTTTTAAGGCTAAGCCAACTTTAAACAATAATGAGTAAATTAATAATAGAATGGAGGACCCCTTGGAGGTTTGAGGTTAAAAAAAAAAAAAGAAAGAAAAAAAATGCACTAAAAAAAAGGTTAGTTATTAATTCTCGGAAGTACGACCAATTGTTTAAATCCGGAGTTGTCTAATTGTACTTACGATTGTCCGAAAGGTCGTAAAAAGAGTATTTTACTATTTATTTTAATATTTATCTAGTTTCTGTGTCCGAAGATTTGAAGTAATCACTCAACAGATATGTAACGGGCCAAAGTCTCACCAGAGATGCAAAGGAGCTAAAACTTCGGGCCAGAGATCCACTAAATGCACGCGGTAACGGTGGAGAATTGGGGATTGTTGCAGATTTTCGCGACTTTGAAGCATGGACTCTCCAAGAACTCATGCGAGTTGCAACAATCTCATTTACGGTATCCGGGCGAATTACAATGTTTCTATCATTATTCGGGGTAATCCCTGTAAATATTGGTGATGTGTATGCGTCGTGTGTATGCTGATCCCAGCTATTACTTGATTCTGGTTTCAATGACATGCTAGTTGAAGGTTTTTCTTTCGATTTAAAACTACCTCGTGAAAAGTATGTCTTGTAAAGCGTAGTAATCCTTTTTGAAGGTTCATCTGACTCTAAAAGATTAACCAATTCTTCACTTTTGTTTTTCTTGTGCCGCCTTCTAAAGATCTTATTGCAAAGTCTTTTAAATTGATTATCGGATTTGGTTATTATTGGTACTAATGGTGCTATTTCCGGTCCCTCAAGCGAAATATCATTAATTTCAATCAATGTTTCTTCCTGATTTAGTAGGATTAAAGATGGTTGTTTCAAAGCATACATTACCCGCCGTTAATGTAGACAATACATTATTGAATGTAAATTAAATTTTGTAAATTTGTAAATGAGAGAGAGGTTTACAAAAGGAGAAAAAATACACATACTGAAATGAATAAGAAAAATAAATAAGCATAATCAAAAGGCTATTTTACTTGGTAGGTTATAATGTTGAGATTTCGCTTAGAATTCTCTATGCTATCGATAAAGATATTATTCATGTTTGTAAATTAATGATATATATTTAGCAAAAATTTTAGAAAATAAAAAGATAAAAATCTATTTTTTAGATTCTTGAAACATTTGGAATGAATACAATGTAAAGATCTAGCTTCATATCATGGTACATAGCTAAGCAACTTGTATTTAATTATCGAACCATCAGTCGGCTTTAAATCGGAAATAAGACTTGCGCATGCCACTGCCAATCTCTGATAAACTACAGATGAACACATTCCTACAATTCATATCTCAACCCGAAACTACTACTTCAAGTTCTTCAAATCACTTATTTCTATTACCCACGTGAATCATTATATCCTTCTATTTTTTCACACAGAATTCACACCCGAATATACTATTATCTATACAAATACAATCTATTTTTGGTGTACACTCCATTTATTTCTTTTTTTTCCTGTTCCGTTTCGGTTCTCTTCTCTCCTTTTTTTTTTTTCATTATTATTATAGAATCCCTTAGTTCCTTTAAGCGATAGGCAACCCACTGTACAGTACAATAGAATATATACATTCAAAGTCAAAACCCTCCTACACCTCCAAGTCTGATGAAGCAACCATCTTCTGAATGCCCCAATTAATCTCATAGTCCACTCTTTATAAAATGAAGAGTGAAACCTCTTACTCAGGTAATACCCCCTCCATCTTTTAGTGGTTTATTACCTTTTCTACCAAAAAAATGTCCAAACCGCTTTATTTCTACTTATTTTTATCTTTAATTTGTTTTTCTATTATTATTAATATTATTTCTGGGTACTACTGGTTGCGGTACTGTATATTATATCCTGTATGCTGTCGACACCACCCTATATACCCACAACTGAACAGAACAACGCCTACTAAAGTTTTTGATCCCAATTATTACGGCCAAAGACCCCAAGTTATAAACTACCCAACAACTAGACACGTTGGTATTGCCGCTTCATACACCCTGGGAACCAATTGAAACAATTGAAGGCTCTTATAACAAACTCTGAACCACCCTCTCACCCAATATTTCTACAACTTCTCCTGTTTGCGATAACCCGTCGTGTAACCGAGACATATCAGAATACATACAGAGAGACCACCAGATTTTACCCAATTTATAACCTACCAATTTGGGGTAATGTATTATTATTAAGCATCAATAAATACATTCATACATCAAATTTGAATATCAAAGTTGGTAATTCTTAACGAATATTTTATAAATTTATTATGTCCCATCCACTTCATGAGCATATTACGAGTAGTCCTCAAGGTAACAGTCTCCTGGATCTAGCAAATGATTTGGACAGCATCTACAATACGTATGCAACACATACCAACAATGGATCTGTAGAAACCTTGGACTCCGAAAGGGATCAACCTTTCCATCGTCGTCAACAACTTCATCACAATCATCCACAACAATTTGATTCATCTAGACTTCTGTCTATTGGAATATTGGACTTGGATAATCATAGCAATCCTGAAGAGAACTCACAATCATCCTTTGATTTTAATCCCAATTCCTTGGTACGTCCGCTGGCTGTTACAAACTCTTCATTAAATGTTCTATACAATTCATCTCTGGACGATAAGGATGTCAATAGAAGCGGCCATGAAAACAATGGCAGTGCCAATAACACCAGCTCATATAGCAACATTCATATCAACGATAGTAGCTATAACAATAGTAGTGTTGAAGACGTTCATGCTCAACCTTTAGATGAGGGAGAAAGAACAGGTGATGAATCTTGGGCTGCAGTTAAGAAAGTGGTGAATCCAAAGGATCCATTGAATTATAAAATTCTTAGACGGTCCGTTCTGGATTTTAAGTTTGGTAAGTCACTTGGTGAAGGGTCCTATTCAACTGTTGTCCTTGCCACTGATAAACATACAAATATCAAATATGCTGTCAAAATTCTTGACAAAAGACATATCATAAAGGAGAAAAAGGTTAAGTATGTCAACATTGAAAAGCATGCTTTGAATCGATTAACTGATCGTATGGGAATCATTTCATTATATTTCACTTTTCAAGATAAACTGTCTCTTTATTTTGTTTTAGATTATGCATCAAACGGTGAACTTTTAACTCTTATCAAGAAATATGGTACCCTTAACGAAGAGTGTACCCGGTATTATGGAGCTCAACTTTTAGATGGGATTAAATACATGCATGATAACGGTGTAATTCATAGAGACATCAAACCAGAAAATATTTTATTAGATAGCAAGATGAGACTTCAAATCACTGATTTTGGTACTGCAAGACTTTTAGAAAAGAAGAATAAGGGCGATTCGGAAGATTATCCAGTCGATGTACGTGCAAAATCATTTGTTGGCACTGCAGAATATGTTTCCCCAGAACTTTTAGAAAGCAAATACTGTGGGAAGCCTGGTGACATATGGGCTTTTGGATGTATTATTTATCAAATGATCGCAGGTAAGCCGGCATTCAAAGGTCTGAATGAATATCAAACATTCCAAAAGATTACCAAGTTGCAATATGCATTTAGCGCAGGATTTCCCATGGTAATTAGAGATTTAATTAAACTGATTTTGGTATTGCAACCTTCTAAAAGAGCAACAATACAGGCGATTCAAAATCATTATTTCTTTGAGTCCGTTAAGTGGGATGATTTTGATCTGATATGGATGTCTCCTCATCCTGAAATTGGGCCATACAAGATGAATGCCAAATCTATGACAAAAGTTCCACAAATCTCCAAAAATAATTCTCTGGCATCTGTAGCCACAGTCAATGCAGGCGGTGTCAAGAAATTGGCAGCCAAGAAGACAACCAATGGAGAAAATGGGAAAAGGATGCCAAGTGGCACTACAGGAACTCCAACTGCGCCTTCTACTTCATCTCCCGCGGGAACTTCTGCGACTGGTTTAAATCCTGCAAGTGTAGCTGCATTTGTATTGAATAAGGATCTTGGTGATGATGAAGCTGTGCTTCCACTGGATGTTAGGAAAACACCAAAACCAAGTGCCGACGGTCGGGTCAAGAGTCGCCCGGCTGCTGATTATATTCCAGGTACAAACATTTTAAGACCTACTGTAAATTCGAAGGCAATCCGAACTCTTACTTCCTCATCGAAGAAACTGCAGAAGGAAACAAAACCTAAGAGTAAAATCATTGAGGTTAGTCCTATTACCCCAATTGAATTGGCTTGGTCTAGCTACTTGCAACATGAAGATGAAAGAATTATGAAAATTGGACCGGTTATTGCTCATAAACAATCAACAGATGTATTTGAGAGAAGGAACAAAGGCTTGTTGATTGACTCTCCCTTGGGATTTTCCAACAAAGTCGGTGGAAGCGTGAGATCAAACAATAGTAGCTTATTAACACAGGTTGTGAATGGAGCTACTGGAGGTCTAAGAGGACAACATATGCATAATGTAAATGAAAGCAGCGATCAAGAAGGTGAAGAGTACGCTATTATTGACCATCATCACGATGGCAGTAGTACAACCACAGAAGAGCCATCAACTGCAACTAGAGAAAAGAGTACAATGGGATCTATCAAAACTAGTAGATCATCCTTATTCAAAAAGCTTTTACTTCCACATTCATCGGAAAAAGATGATGGTAATGATTCATCTTCAGTATCTTCTTCATCTTCTTCGATAACCCATCCATTGGACAAACTGAAAACATGTACTATGTTAATTACTACTCATGGAAGAGTTCTTTTATTCCTTAGGGATGACAGTCAAACAAATTATAAACTTGTCACCGAAATCAATATTGTGTACCCTTTCATTCAGTTTAAAGAGGTCATATCTACAGGCGCCACAAGCAAATTTCTGCTGAAGGTAGTACCAAGTACCGGCGTATTTGCAATTGAATCTTATTCTACAACATTTTCATTTGAAGTGGAAAAATTTGATGTGAATTTATGGACTGAAACATTAGCAAAGGCAAAAAATAACCAATATGAACGAGTATTGGCTGAGCTGCAAGCTGCATCTTCTACGATATCCTCAACATCATCTGGTGGTCCTAGTCTTGATGCCCCGATCGCATTTACAAGTCGTTCAGCTCCTGTTTCAAGGGCTTCTAAGACTGGTACAATTCCAGCTAGGGGTACTCAACTGCCTAGTACTCCTTCGAGTTCAAGTCCTCAATCCAAAACTAAAAGTCCAGAAGTTAAACATCAAAGTATGTTTAGCAATCGGATGTCTAAGTCTGTTAAACGGAAACCTCCTCCTTCTCCAGTCTCATCTTCTGGGGGGTTAAACATGTCTACAGGTCTTGGAACTCAGAATGGAACTATTGAAAATGGAATGCTACATGCGGCTCAAATGGCAGTGTCGTCAAATAAGGCAGCACATCCTCAACAACGGCCTGAGTATAAACAAAGATCAAGTTTCTCTAAGGAAGATGGCAGCAGGGCCGCCAATATAGTTAAGAATCTAGGTCAAACTCAGGCAATCACATCCTTAAACTCTAAATTTCTTTCAAGAAGTCAGCGAAAGAAATAAATTATATACATATATAAACAAAATGAATCAAAAAATCTACATTTATCAACATATAAAAGTGATAGTAGTAGTAGTAGTAGTAGTAGTATTAGCGATAATGCATAGATAACGAACATACCCCAAAATAAAAGGAAGTCACGTGCTCACATTATATCATCACTAATTGTTATTTCTATATATTGTGAGAGTTATACACAGGCTTCAATAATTCTTCAACCCACCATTAAAAATGAAAAAGCTTTTTCAAGTCTTACATCATTGTGGTTTTACCTGCATTTAAGTCACAGTCACAGTCACGGTGCGCGTAATTTGAAAACTGTGCGCGTTAAGACCAGTATGGTATTTTGCGACTGTGCGCACGCCCATTACCCGGCCCACGTCTTCCCAATCGAGCGTAGTGGTTGGTGACACAAAGATATCATCAATAGTGTGCGCGATGTTGTCTGAATTAGTTAGGTTGATTAAAATTTTTCAGTTGGAACTCTATTACACTCCTAATTATAATCAACAGCAGAAATGGCCAAGTTTATCAAAGCAGGAAAAGTTGGTATGTATACCCGCTCTAGCCAGACGACATAGATCGTTCATTGTACATTGGTAGTAGATTGTGCTGAAATGTTGAAATTGAAATAGAAAAAAAAAACTGTGATGTGGTATCCAGTACCCCTTAAATAGCCATTTGGGGAACTGTGGAATGGATTCAAGAAGGGGATAAATGAATGGAGAAGACTCTGGAGTATCATGTAGACCGATAGTTGTACTTTCCAAGACCACACTGAATTATGATATTGAATAGAAGAAATTTTTATGACCCGAAGAGTATTAGAACAGTCTTGAAAAGAGCCATCTACTACCAAAGATTGAACCCAATTTGAATAAATTACTAACATTATTTAGCTATTGTCGTCCGCGGTCGTTACGCCGGTAAGAAGGTTGTCATTGTGAAGCCTCACGATGAAGGTACCAAGGCTCACCCATTCCCACACGCCATCGTTGCTGGTATCGAACGTTACCCATTGAAGGTCACCAAGAACTTGGGTGCTAAGAAGACTGCCAAGAGAACCAAGGTTAAGCCTTTCGTTAAATTAGTCAACTACAACCACTTGATGCCAACCAGATACTCCTTGGATGTCGAATCTTTCAAGGCCTCTGTCACTTCTGAATCTTTGGAAGAACCATCCCAAAGAGAAGAAGCCAAGAAGGTTGTCAAGAAGGCTTTCGAAGAAAGACACCAAGCCGGTAAGAACAAGTGGTTCTTCACCAAGCTCGCCTTTTAAATATGTGTATTATAAGGGGTAAAATAGTTATTATTTTTGTTGTTTTTCTTGCATGGGTTTAAATAAACAATAATTTACGATCAATTAAAACTATAGAATTGTAGAGCAGTAATGTTACACATTTAGCAGTGTTTTATATTACGTACAATGTTGGCCGTAGCCTTGACTCTTAAAAAAAATCGTCATATATGCAGATCGTGTTTCCAGGTGACTATTATTTTTTTGACACAAAGGAGGATATAAAGTAACCAACAACTCCTAGTATTAGATAACAAATATTATAACAAAATATTATAGATATGTCTGACAAGGTTGAAGATAAAGTAGCTGAATTGAATATTGCTCCTGCCGAGCAAGTCATTACTCCTTGGGACGTTGAAGGAGCAGTTGTAGATGGTGAAGCTCAAGCCATCGATTATGACAAGTTAATTAAAGATTTTGGTACTAAGGCTATCACTCCCGAATTTTTGGAAAGATTTGTTGCTGTTACTGGTCGTGAACCACATCCATTTTTGAAGAGAGGTGTCTTCTTCTCTGAAAGAGATTTGGGTCGTATCTTGGACTTGTATGAACAAGGTAAGCCATTCTTCTTGTATACTGGTAGAGGTCCATCTGCTGGTATGCATTTGGGTCACATGGTTCCATTCGAATTCACCAAATGGCTTCAAGATGTTTTCGATGCTCCTTTAGTTATTGAACTTACTGACGATGAAAAGTTTTTATTCAAGCAAAAGTTGACCATTGAAGACGTTAAGAAGTTTGCCAGAGAAAATGCAAAGGATATTATTGCAGTTGGTTTCAAGCCAGAAAACACCTTCATTTTCTCTGACTTGGAATACATGGGTAAGGGGTTCTATGAAAATGTTGTTAGAACATCTAGACAAATTACCACCACTACTGCCAAGAAAGTGTTTGGTTTCACTGATATGGATTGTATTGGGAAAATTCATTTTGCTAGTATTCAAATTTCTGCTGCTTTCCCATCGTCATTCCCAGATGTCTTGGGATTACCTGATAAGACTCCTTGTTTAATTCCTTGTGCTATTGATCAAGATCCATACTTTAGAGTTTGTCGTGATGTTGCTGACAAGTTGAAATACACCAAGCCTTCATTGATTCATGCAAAGTTTTTCCCTGCCTTGCAAGGATCCACCACTAAAATGTCTGCTTCTGACACCAATTCTGCTATCTATATGGATGACACTGCCAATATTATCAAGAAGAAGATAAATAAGCATGCATTCTCTGGTGGTAGAGCCACTATGGAAGAACATAGAGAACTTGGTGGTAACCCTGACGTTGATGTTGCCTACCAATACATGTCATTTTTCACTGATGATGATGAAAAATTAAAGGAATGGGAATCTGGTTACAAGAAGGGTGAAATCTTATCTGGAGAAATGAAGAAGGAATGTATTTCTGTCTTGCAAGAATTTGTTGCTGGTTTCCAAGAAAGAAAGGCTGCAGTTACTGATGAAATTGTCTCCAAGTTCATGACCCCACATCAACTTGTGTTTGGACAAAAGGAAAGATTAGTTCCTGTCAAGGTTAAGGAAGAAAAGAAATAGATATCTGCATTTAATTTGAAAGTTATAGACAAAAATGATTAATTGTAAAGACATTTTGTATAGGATAATATACGTCTACTAATTAGATTGTATTGTTAGCTACTTATAAATGGTAATGATGTGTATATCTAATTGTATCACAGAATCAAACTTTATGCTTTGTAGTTTTTGAAGAAGATTTAGTATCTAATTTCAAACTTACATATTTAGTTACAAGGTCACATCCTCATATACCACTTGGAAGTCTAACTATTTCATCATTTTCTTGTGTCAATCATGTATTGTTGTTAACACCATTTGTATCGGAATGTTTGTCTCATGCTATTATTATTTTTTTTTACAATACCTGTTTAACATTTGCCAACACAAACATCAATTTATCAAAATCATCTTTCTCATTTACATCACCTTTCCCAAACCAACGAGATCCAATTGACAATATAAGACTCTTTGGTTGAGGAGTTGACAACATAAGCTTCCCGATCTGAGTAGCGACGATTTCCAATTTAATGTTGTTAACCTCCCCCATAAGAACAACAGGCTCGATTCCAGAGTCGGTATTATCTATGTCATTACCCAAATCTTGACGTACGCTTGAAACTGTAGATAATGGGATATCAAATGTTGTATCCATAGCTCCATTTACTTGCACATTCACAATGGTTTTGTCATTAAGATGCACTGCGGTGAACGTTAACTCATCTTCCGAATTGTTGTATTTTGCCACTACTGTCTTTGTAAATTGAGTTGAATCCATTATATAACAACCTTCTAGTGGTAAATTAATATAGCTATCATACTTTATATGGTATACTTGAAAATCATATGAATGGTTGTGTGCCCTTGTACTGAAAATTGTTACAATTTTCAAATATATTAACAGAGCCTTGAAAGGTCAGTCAAGAAAATAAGAAAACAAATGTCCATATTATAAAATCGTGTAAATATGTAGAGAGAGCGATAAAGAGAAAATGATGGAGAGTATATTTATCTATTAAATCTATCTATTCTCCAATAATAGAGAGATAAATTTCATTTTGTTGAATATTTGCTTTCTTTCGAAGGAAAATCTTACTTATCAATCTCCAATCTCATATCAACTACTATTCTACAATTTATCATTTATCACCTCCATCAGAATTGGAATTGGAAATTCCTTGTCTATTAAAAGAATAAAATTTCATTGGTAACATTAGCCACATATGTGTCATAAGTTAGTAATTCATGTGTAAGGCCCAGACTATATACAGTCCGGCATTAAAATCATTTGTCAAACAGAGAGGTCCATTGCATGACTTTTCGATTTCTGGGGGTGCCGTTCATACATACCTTTTATTTATATATATATAGATTTATAGAAATTTTCTAAAATAATACTGGTAATATTTCTGGTATTTCTTTACTCTACTAATAACAATAACAAACAACTATAATATCATATAATGTCTGCAATTTTCAGTACTGTGCCTGAGGCTATAGAAGCATTTAAAAATGGTGAATTTTTGGTGGTGATGGATGATGAAGACAGAGAAAATGAAGGTGATTTGATTATAGCTGCCGAGTTGGTAACCCAAGAAAAGATGGCCTTTTTAGTACGTCACTCTTCTGGTTATGTATGTGTTCCATTGTCCACTGAAAGAGCTGACAAGTTGGATCTTCCTCCAATGATCCCAAACAAGAGTGATAGACATGGTACTGCTTACACCGTGACTTGCGACTATGCACACGGTACCACAACTGGTATCTCGGCCCATGACAGAGCTTTAACTGCTAGAAGTTTGGCAAGCGCCAGCTCCGCACCTGATGATTTTATCAAGCCGGGTCACATTCTTCCATTGAGAGCTGTTCCAGGTTTATTGAAGAAAAGACGTGGGCACACTGAAGCCGCTGTTCAGCTCTGTGAGCTTGCCGGCTTACAACCCGCTGGTGCCATCTGTGAGTTGGTCAGAGACGACGATGGGTTGATGATGAGACTCGATGACTGTGTGGAGTTTGCAAAGAAGTTCAACATCAAGCTCGTCACAATTGAACAACTTGTCAAGCACATAAGCTAGTCACCAAAATTTATATACATATATATATATATATATATACATGAACGATAGAATAAGATTCCAGTGTAAGCTACAATTAGTGATAATAATAATATAATATTTACTAATTCTATATGGTACATTCTAGTGGTTTTATTTCAACACTAATTGAGCCTTTCTCTTACCAGTGACCTCGTCCTTGATCGACTTAACATCAACACGAACCTTGTCAAAGACACCAACTACACGTTTCTTTCCTGCAAAGTCGGTGAACAGTAACTCATACTTTTCTTCATCAAATTCAGCACTGTTAATGTCACCCAATACATCCAACTTGATCAACCCTTCAACACCAAACTTTGGTACAAGTACAACAATACCATTATTGAAGCACTTAATCACATACCCTTCTTGTTCTGATTCGTTATTACGCATGACTTGTCCAACATAGTATTCAATACTGGCTCTTCCAGCAAATTGAGCATTTCTGTGTCTCTTGTTAATATTTTTCACAATCAAATCCATTTTACTCTTGTCTCTATGACTCAAATCCAAGTTCTCATATCCAATGGCACCTGCAAGTTGACGATGGGCAACAACATCACAGTATCTTCTGATAGGAGATGTGAAATGAGTATAAATATCCACAGCCAAACCATAATGTCTGAATTCAGGATATCCATAACTACCAGATGGGAAATACTCAGCGGCCATCATACAACGAGTGGACATGATACGTAATAAAGTGTTAAAGTAAGGATCCTTCGTGTCCACACAACGATCCAATGAGTCAGCCAACGACTTCGAAGATTCAAGTGAAATGTTCATACCTGGCTTTCTTACGGCTAACATTTCATTCAAAGTTTCGAAATTGGTAGCAGGTGGTGGAGCATGTCTTCTCAACATAGCAGTTTGGGGGTAAGCATCATAAATCTTACGAGCAACAGAAATGTTGGCAAACAACATGAATTCTTCAACCAAGGAGTTGGTTTCAAGAAGTTTCTTAATCTCAACTTCACCAGGGTCCAGAGTTTCTGAATCCATATGAACCTTGACTTCTGGAGAGGCCAAGTTCAATGCACCAGCATCTAATCTCTTTTGCTTTAATTTCTTGGAAAGCTTTAATAAAACTCTCATAGATTGAGTAAGTTCATCATTTTGCAGTGGGTCATCAATACGGTTTTGCGCCCTCTCGTATGAAAATGCTTCACGAGATTTGATAACTGACTTCATGTAATCAATATTGACAATATTGGCATTTTCATCCAATTCCCATATCACAGAGAAGGCGAAACGTTCCACATATGGTTTCAAGGAGCACAAATTGGTACCTAAAAGCATTGGTAACATATCGATTCTCTTATCCACAAGATAAACAGAAGTACCTCTGGAGGCACCTTCGTTGTCCAATGCAGTGTTGGCCTTCACGAAATGACCCACATCAGCGATATGAACACCAACTTCATAGTTACCATTGGGTAAAACTTTGGCATGTAAGGCATCATCGATATCCACACATCCAGGTGGATCGATGGAACAAACCAACTTATCTCTCAAATCTTTACGCTTAGGTCCAAAATCTTCTGGGACTGTCCAGTTTGAACCTTCTGCTGGTAAACAATCCAAGACACTCTTGGAAAATGGTCTATATTCAACATTATGTTCTAACAAAAGTGCTTCGGTTTCTGCTTCAGCACTCTCGATTTCACCCAAGCATCTCACAAAATGACCCTGTGGATACTTAGAAGTAGATGGCCATGAATCAACCGCAACGACAATTCTTTGACCAAGTAACTCCTTCGCCTTTCTAGTACGAATTCTAAGCTTTGGTAACACTTTATCCATCAAAATGACAAAACAACTCTTGGCAGAGTTACCAGAGTCATGATCTTGAGACACAGATGTAGGAGCAATTTGTCCAACATAGTATCTCCATGATCTTCGAACAATACCTACAACCTTGGCAGTTGGTTGAAGCTTGTTATTGTCAGTGGTGCCTTCAGCAATGGCCAGGGATGCCTTAATGGCATCTTGTGCAAGAACTCTTCTCTCCTTATCAGAAATAATGCTTGTTTCTTCTTGATCTTCTTCTTCAGCGTTATCATCAGCACCAACGGTGCTTTCTTCAACAATAGTGGTGGAAGGTTCTCTCCATTTGTCCTTAGGAAGAAGTTCTACGATCACAGAGTCACCATTGAAAGCTCTGTTCAAGTTACGAGTCCCCAAAATTAAAAGAGGCTTCTTAAATGCAGCAACTTGCACTGAACCTTCTAAAAAGTTATAGGTGGAAATATTCAACATACCTTGGTATAAAGTACCATTCTTGACACCTCCCATGATACGTGAGTTGTTGTAATACTCTGGGTATGAAGTTTCCTTGATATTGTCAAAGGAAGATGTCTCGGTAGGGATTAAATCTCTCAAAACATCAGCATTTGGTAAGTCTTCGACGTACTCTGATAAAGTCATTGAATCAATTCCTTCTGCCTTAGCCTTTGAAAGATTATCTTTATCGTTCGTAATAAATAAAATCCTTACTGGGGTAGTGGAGTTATTGTTAGTGTTAAGGTGCAAGTTATACCATTCAGCCACCTTTCTAATGGCCCTATCATTATAATCATTACTAGATTCATCTTTCATTCTGGATACATGTGTAGCTTCATTGAATTCATTGTGGAAGACAACAAATCTCTTTTCATCAGACTTAACTAAAGACCGAATTCTTTGGTATATTGGGAAAGATCTATTCTTAACTTCTTCCAATACTGTTTGAGGAACGATCACATCGAAAAAACAATCAATATTTTCTACAAGATCAATCGCATGCAAAATGATGTTTGTATCTAACACAACATAATGAGGAGACCCACTATTAAGTTTCAAAGGAGATTCTGAAAGAATAAATTGTGGTAATTCACCGTTAGCATCAGGCTTCAAAACAAGTTGACACTTGTTACACAATTTAGAGTAACATGGGATGTCATTACGAAGATAATGTTCTCGAACTATTTTGGTGGCACCTCCATTACGTGACCGAACAAACACTTTCGAAGTGACAGTAAGACCACTGGAAAGTCTTTTTCTCTCGGCGATCATTATTATAGATTTAAACAACAGTTATCAACCAAGAATTATTCTATTGGATATTTATAATTGCCTTCCTTTAATTTTATATATATATATTCCTAAAAATTACATAAGGACATGAAATCTTAAAAACCCATCGCAAAATAAAATCCGGTATATAGTGTCTTATGCATGTGTGCTTACATAATGTATTTACAATGTACTATGATTTATAAAGTAACCTTTATTTATTTTAATTCTAGATATAGATATAGACATAGATATTTAATGTTTCTTACCATGATTCTTCTTGTCTTCTTCAAGAATCTTAATAATTCTGTGTAAGTCAGCACCTCTAACACGATCAACTTCTTCACCATTTCTAAAGAAAACAAAAGTTGGCATAGCAGTGATATTGTTGAGTTGAGCCAAGGACTTAGATTCATCTACATCAACCTTGTAGAAACGAGCGTCTGGGTACTTTTCTGGGAAAGTTTCGTAGGTAGGAGCAATTGCCTTACATGGGCCACACCAAGTTGCAAAGAAGTCAACGACGACTAAACCTTCGTACTCGAGAGCAGTGTCGAATTCACCTTTAGTCTTTAAGATTTGAACCATTTTATATGATTTTTATTATTATTATTTGTTGTTGTATTAGTAGAAGTAGTAGAAACTGCTGAACTTAAACAGAATTCTTTTTTTCCTAAAAAATTGGGAATAAGTATTGCAATTTATATGTCATTACGTAGCCGCGCCACAGTTTGTTCCTGACTCAGTTTTTTTTTTTTGTCCCTCGTTTTTACTAATCTAAGAACTCATACACACCTAATTTACCAACGAAGGAGCCACGATTATTCATATTGGAACTGATAAAAGTATGACAATTAAAGTCTTTTTTTAGCTTTAAAGTTTCTTCAATTCATTGAGGTATATGAGTCACCTCGAGATACTGTACCTTTGATTGGCGAAATCAGTCCTTTTATTCGCAATTGCCAAAAAGCACGAGATTATCCGATTAATTACGCAGCCTAAATTACATTTTGAGAATTTAATGCTTGTTGGCGTATGAGATAAGGATGGAAAAATCTTTTTTTTACATCACATTTAAAGTATATTAGTAGGTATTGGTATGAAAAAGATGACCAAAGGGCAGATTATTGTACGGTTGTAAACTCTACCAAACATACGGCAATGTATAGCTCGATTCGCATGACTGATTCCTGATTCCATCTGTTTCCAAGTTTTGGTCGCAAAAAGTTGTCGTAAAAACATCTACAATTTTCGAATTTGGATTTCGAATACACATTTCCATTTCGTACTTTCCTTCTTAGAGTTAATATTATCAAATATGATAAGTCGATAGAATTGGTTTTTGTGTGTTAGGTTTTCCTTGTTTATAGAGAGTTAATAAGGTGTTTATTAGACAGAGAGTTTTGAAAAGGTTGTAAATATTCTGACATCTATTTGAATTGTTCATATGCGGAATTTCCAATCACCGTGATTTATTTAGCTTTTCAATAAAGAGTCATATTTGCATCCAAATCTGGGGCATAGATATTGATAACGAACTTACATTAAGAGAATTTCTTGAGGGGCTACGGAGTATTGCAGTAGGATTGTATTTCCTTTTTTTTTTTTCTCATACCTATACTTTCCTGAACTCCTATGTTTAGATACTTATTCAATTTGAATTATTAATTGTTAATATTGCACTTTAACTTGACTTCAAGTAGTAGCTTCACTAGATAGTTGCGAAATTATGGAACCTTTATTAAAAATTGTAATACATTGTGATGATAAATTATACATGTATTGATCACTCGTACCCCAATATTCTTTTAAAATTAGTTGCTAGGACATCCTACTTTTATAGTATTATACCTCTCCTGGATATATAATTATGGGCCAAGACTTCAGGGGTCTAATCCAGTTTTAAAAGGGGTCGAAGGAGTGACGGAGGGCAAGTGAACGTGACACACACTTTTTGGAAAAAAATGTCACTATTAATATACATTCACACAACATGTACTATACTTTTATATGCTATATGGGATGTTTATCAATCAAATTCTTGAACTTTAGCTCGAACAAGGTCACTGGTGCTTCTAAACCAATGTTACAAAGACTTTTTTGATCATTTTTGAGCTTTTCGATTCACTATTATTGACCTAATATTTTTAAACAAACATCAAATACGGGCGTGTGGTCTAGTGGTATGATTCTCGCTTTGGGTAACAGCTTGAAAGAGTTGATTTCTTCAAATATGCGAGAGGCCCTGGGTTCAATTCCCAGCTCGCCCCTTTTTTTTATTTTTTTGTGCCGGTGAACTCGTAGCTTCTCCACCATCATTGTCTACATCGGTCCCAAATAACAACTCCCACTACATAATAATAATATAATAGTAATATAATAATAATAATATCTCTCTTCTTCAAAAAAAACATTTCCTATAAAATACTCATTTTGCAACTTCTGAGTATATTGGAAGAGAGTCTTCATTTTGGGTGTCATGTGACTGAACGTGTTGTTGGTCTTGTGTAGGTGGTGGTCCTGGTGGTGGTGCATACATATGGTCTCCTGTACTGTTGGTAGGTGGTGGTGGTCCGGCAGGTGCCTTGAAATCTCCTCCAGGGGGTGGTCCAGAAGGTGCTTTGAAATCGCCTGCAGGGGGTGGTCCAGAAGGTGCTTTGAAATCGCCTCCTGGTGGTGGCCCGGATGGACGCTGATAGTCGACTGATTGGCTCGCATGACCTCCGTATCCCACTAGTTGAACACCTTTAAACGTGAACGGAACAGTCACTTCGAGATATTCAGGTTTACCATCGACTGTAGAAGCAATTCCAACAATATACACCAAGGCACCACCTCTTCTAGCAATCTGGTTGCAATGCAATGGAAAATCGGCACTATATGCATCAATAGGAATATCAATCATATGACCAGTAATATCTTCAACCAATTCCATCTCTTTCTGAAAGGAACGGGTAGTGGAGTTGAATTTAAACTCTGTTCCAACATCAAAGGCTATATTAAGTCTTCGGTTCTTATAGATGGATTGTCTTGAACTAACACCCACATCACGACCAGCGCAAATGGTTTTGATATACGGGAAATTGACTTCAATATCAAGAGATTTAATGAAAAACTCACCCAACTTTGAAGAGGCCTTGCATGCAAGTTGAAATGGTGGATAACTTAAAGATCCTCCTTGGTATTCAAATAAAAAGGTCGTTGGTGGGATAAAAATGGTTTGACCGGGAATAATCAGTGTATACGGCTCGCTTGGTCGAATCCCAAGTCTCAATGGAATATCAAATGGTCCCTTGCTACTTTTAGAGCTATTACTTCCGTTGCTACTGCTGCTACTGCTAAAAATCAGTCTCAACAGTTTAGATTTCTTCGTCACAGTACCCATTGGTACCGCAAATTGCCCATTCGGATCATCTTCAAATAATTTATTCTTACCCTTAAAAATATGTTCTCCAAATGAAAAAGGTCTCTTGATATCGCCAGTTGCAGGGTTAAATCCATTATCTATTGGTTGTACAACAAACTTTTCTTGAAAGAAAATATTTCCAGAAATAATCAGTTCGACAGAAACTTCTACTTGATATGTAATACTTGCACTCATGATATTTTGACGAGTTTCACACTTGATTTCATCTAAAGATGAAGGAAGTGGTTCCAATCGACCACATGTTTCACAGTGAGACTCAACTGGAATCTGAAACAGATATTCATAATGCATATTTGCATCTCTTTGGAAATTATAAGGTGTACCCCGCGCTTGAAGGGCAGGATGAACTTCCTTTAAGAAAATATGTTTCTCCTTCCATGTACGAGCATCTCTATGTTTACTCTCAGCAAATGTAGTTTCGCAGAACCCCAACAATGCCACCTGCATTTGATCCATGGCGACAGGTTCATACACACTGACGTCGAAATATCCCTTAATCTCTTGGCCAGGATAAAACACACGATCATTGATCCCAGGATTTATACCATTCCCTGAATCAATGACAATTAATAGATCATATTTAGAAGACATCCCTGATTATATGTAGTATACAAAATTTGATAATTGTTGCTTTCACTTAAATACTTATGTAAAGTTAAATATCGTGGCGTATCCAATTTTTTTAAGATTTACGAAATCTTTCACACTGCGCCGCGTACGCATAAATGACCCCCCCCCCCCCTACAATACCTACCACATAAGTACTATTTTATCAAGTTATAATTAGTACAATTACTACATTAATCCAATTCAAGTCTTAAGAAGCTAATAAAATTCTAATAACTTTATAAAGAGATTTGCCTAATGTTCACCCTCGTTTAAAAGTGAATATTGACGCAAAAGTATACAATCACCTCCTCTTTCCGGATCTAAACCATAAGTGTAAAAATACCCTTCAGAAGTTACCACTTGAATGTGTAATAATTGTAATGATAACAACTCTTTATTTTCCATAAAGTTTTCACGGTTAGGAGTACCATTGGATGATCCATCACCAGCTGCAATATATGCTTGAGGAACAAGATCTTCTTGTAATTCATTACTTAACACAGCAATTGACTTGACGTCCTTACCAATGGTGGCAATCTTTAATGACGCAAAATGACGTGTAGGTTCCAAAATGGAAGAAAATCTAGAAGGAAGAAAATCTCCCATTTTTTGTGCTGCCTTCCGACCAAGAGTTTGAGATGATCTTCTAATTAATCTAGCCATAGATATTCTTGCCAGGTCCACTATTGGTTCTGTTTTAGGCTCTCCTCTTTGATCCTCACTACTTACAATAGAAAGATTGGAATTTATACTGGCAAATGAATTGCTTGATCCTTGTGAAAGTTTTCTTTGCTTATTTGGTACAATCTCTATTGATCCATTATCTGCATCCACATCTGCATCACTATCATCTCCATCATCTCTAATCTCACCATCTTCTTCTTCGTCATCTTCTTCTTCCTCTTCTTCGTCTACTTCTCCAGATTCATCTCCGTTACCATCCTTGTTGGCTTTCTTTATCTTTTGTTGTTTTTGTTCTAATTCTTCACTTACTTCAGTGATGGTAGAATATTCTGTATTGAGCTTAATCTTTTTGTTAGCTCTTTTCAAATTATGTTTATTCACCAAGGCTTCATCCTCTCCAAGTCGAAATATATGAACAGTTTCACTTGCACTAGTAGCAACCACATACCGATTATCTTGACTAAAACTAAGGGAATAAATCCTGGTTGGGTAAGTACCCCTTCTAAATTGGAATAATTTCACTCCTGAATCTACTGAAAACACTCTAATAATTGTTCCCTTATCTGAAGCAGTAGCTAAAAGTGTTCCATCCTGTGAAAGACAAATGGCTGCCAATGTAGATTTATGAGCCTCAATCACAGAAAGAGGCTGTAATGTGGACACATTGAAGATAATCACATCTCCAACCCGGTTTGGAGTATTACTCACCGATTGAATGTTATTACTGATTGAATTAGACCCGCCATTGGTATTGATTCCAGTGGCAAGTAATGAATCATGAATAATAGTCTTAGGTGGCGAAGGATAAGCCAAAAAACAACTTCCTCTCCCATCACAATCTTCTGAAGAAAGTGTCCCCAACCCATTAATATTAGGACTTGTTTCAATCGTATGCAAAAGTTTCATGGTTGAAATATCATAAATATAAATTTGTTCTTCTAAAAGTACAATCATTCGAGCTCGAGTAAGTTTAACTCTCAAGATAGTCGATGGGAAGGTCAAGTCACATATGGTGGAGTTTCTCTTCGTGTTTATTATACGAAGTTTCCTTGGTGATGACCCTGGTTCATCCCCCAATCCTACAACGGCAACAAGCGATGTACAATACAACATCTCCACTATACCAATCGATTCTTCCTTCCGATGGAAACATCGGCCCAAGGATGACTTGCAATTGAAGATTTTGTATCCATTATTCAAACCAACCGCAATACAACTAGAATCCTGGTTAAACGTAATATAATTGACGGTATCTTCAGTTCCAGGAGGGCCGTGCGTTCGATAAAGCGAATGGTTGCTACTTGTATCCGATAGCGCATTGTTGTGGTAGTCTGTCGGTACAGGGATGCTCAACCCGGCACCATCGGCGTCGTACATTCCCTTGTTTTTAAGCATGATGTGTTGACAATTGTCACTATTCCTTAAATTCCCCCGTAATCTTTTGACGTGTGTTTTGAAGATTATTAAAGTGTACAAATCAAAAAAAAAAAAGAACAAAGATAAATTATCCCCGTATATGCAGTCGACTGGGGCAAATTGGTTTAAATTGGTCAGCAAAATTGATTTTAAGCCATTGTAAAAAAAAAAAAACTAGTTCAAAGTTACATCATCATAGACTAAAGTCAATTAATAGCAGCGATGCAATCAATTCCTTAGTATGTACTACTAGAACCTAAATATTATTTTATTTTATACTTATATTGCAAAAGAATTTGCAGCTTATAGTTCTCTACACATTTATTTTCTTTATCTTTCTAAATACAATTGTTCTACAAATGCTTGAAAACCGTTTAAAAAAAATCGTATTTTTTTTTTTTGGCTTTTTATTTTCCTTTTTTTTTTGGTATATTATATGGTCACGTGTATTCCTTATGAGTTTATTCAATAGGAATTTGTTTGATTAACCAAGTTGTAAATTTGTCGATCATTTCAATTGTGATTTGATGACCAATATGTTCTTGTGTGAAACTTTGAGAGTCAGTATTGTTCAAACTGTACATATCAACCCACAGTCTAGATAATTCAGCGGGAACCAATTTATCATCAGCTCCAAAACTGGCAAACATTTTAACTCCAGAGTTTGAAAGGTTTTCGAAAATGTTAATATCTTGTTTACTAACATGCTTATGAAGGGCCTTTGGATAAAAATCTCTTCTTTGTTCTTCATCAAGTCCCAATTCCTCATAATTGAAATAAAACTTCTTCTTGTAATCTTGATCATCAATTTTTTGGAGACGATTGAGTAAAAGAGTACTTAAATCACTACATCCAACCATTGGGTTAATTACTTGGGCAAGTTTTGGGTATTTTGAGGCAAATCTAATTGATGTATGAGCACCTAATGAAACACCACTGATAATATTAAAGAATTTAACTCTATTTTCATCCTCAGCTTCCTTTTCATCACTTGGTGGTAAATGATGGTCCACATTCAAATGGGCTTGGAGAGAGTCCATTATCAACTTGGTTTCCTCAACATAGGAATCAATCATGGATATCATGTCCAAAGCATGAGTAACATTACCTTCTTCCCAACTAGTATTTCTCTCAACTTGAACACATCTAGAACCATGATTAGGGGCATCCCAAGCAACACAAACTAATGGTGTTGACAACTTGGATTTGGAATAATAATCTTGTAAAATATTGTATGCAATTGACTCACCAAAAGTATGATCATGATCTCCTCTAGGTTGAAGAATATATGCCACGTTTATGTGGTACTCCTTCGATTTATTGGAAGCAACGTACTTCTCTACTGCATCTGCATTGTACAAGTAAACTTCAAGTCCTCCAATAAACACTTTTTGTTCGGTAAATTGACCCTTTTCGTATGAAACTTTCTTCATTTTATATACTTATTTTTAAAAAAATACTTACTATAGAAGTTATACATTGTTCATTTTTTGAGGTCATATATTCATTCGTAATTGTGGGGTCATGTCATGCAGGATCGCATCCCTACACCCAATAAAATTTTCTCATGCTTTATTTTTTTTTTTTTTGTGGTCTCTAATGATATTTGTATGTACCCTAGACTCTTAGTAGTCATAAAAATGGAACTGTTATTCAGCCTTCTAACTTATAAGACAAAAACCTATATGAAAGAAATAAGGGCTACCCACTTTTTAGTCCTTGAATTGATACAATTTTAGGCATTTCTTACAAATAGTATCTTGTATTTCTATTAAAATTATTTCTATTAACATTTACAAATTTGACTGCAAAAATTATTTAGAATCTCTAAGTTTTACATTCTCCGCTGCTTTTGTAATTGCTTCAATCACTTGATCTCTATCTGGATGGAATGCCCAGCCATATTGACGATCCAATACCAACAAGAGCAAGATCAAATGCCCCTTCTTCAATAAGTTCATTGGCTAATTCAGCCCTATTTAACCTACCGACTCAAGCAACCAAAGCACGGACACCTACCAGGTTTTTAATAGCCCTAGCTAAGTTTGCATGGAGTGCTTCCTTAAACCCTCTAGCGCTTTGATTGTAATTGTTTCCACCTGAAGAGACATCAATAAGATCAATACCCTTTTCAACGACAACATCTACCAACTTGATAGAATCCTCAATGGTCCAAGCCAATGGATCGTCAGGTGTATTTTCCGAAGCAGAAATTCTTAAAAAGACTGGGAAATCAGCAGGAACGTTAGCCTTGATAGAGTCAATGACCTCAAGTAAAAATCTAATTCTATTCTCAAAGGATTCACCATATTTATCAGTTCTCTTGTTAGAAATTTCGGAAAGAAATTGATTAATCAAATATCCATGAGCGGCATGAATTTCAATAGCATCGAATCCAGAAATTTCAACAGCTCTTTTAGCTGCAGATCCAATATCAGCAATGATTCTTTCAATTTCAGCAACAGATAATTCCTTTGGAACAACAAGTGATCCACCATCTCTATATTGAATTGGAGATGGAGCAAAAACTTTATCAGGCCATCCACCTTCTTCCTTAGTTGATGCATTTTCCAAATGAACCCATGGAGGAACTACATTCGATTTACGTCCACCATGCCCAAGTTGAATCACAATGTATTGATTTTGTGTACGAGCGAGGTCAACTACTTCCTTCAATTTTAATGCTTGCTCATCATTGAACAATCCCAAATCATTAACGGTAAGAGCACCTTCTGGTGATACAGTGGTAGCTTCCACAATAGTTATACCTGGACCTCTGAGCAAAAAAACCTCCATAATGTACCAAGTGAAATGGCGTAGCTTCAAACTTATAGTTTGCAGATGATTGACACATAGGAGAAACACCAATTCTATTTTGAAGAGTTAAGCCTTTAATTTTCAATGGTTGAAAAATCTTTGGAATAGCGTTTCCTTCTGGTTGAGGCTCTAAAGCTTGGCCGGCTGTAACCGAAGCTTGGGGAATGAATAAGGAACTTGCTTGGCAGGAATTTTAGGGGCGTGGATGCTCATAATAATGTGTGATGAAGAGTAAAGGTTATTAATATAAAAATCAATCAAAGTTGTGGTGAATTGCTCGCTTTATAACTTTGAAACTAACTATTGAACATTCGGAGTTAACTCCTAAATAAACCATACAATGAATCAATGCTCGCCATAACTATTTGTCATGCATACGAAAAGTCGCCACTTGGGATACCACTCAAAGTCCTGGGATCGGCAATCATCTTGTAAATAATCGAACTACATTTTAGTTTATCCGCTCCGTAAACTTTAATCTTCCGTAGGATTTAGTTTTTACGCACTTCGATTTGACATCTGCATATGTCAAATACTCAAATACTCAAATCAAATGCATAATTGGAGTCGGAGTTTAATAAATCGTCACATTTTCTATTGATATATGTATTATGATGTAGTACATATATTTATCCTTGATCTCTCACATAGGAGGACATTTAGATTCCCTCAATAGTATTGACTCGATCGGTGATTCATTTTTCCTTTCAATTCGGGATTAGAGAAGCTGCAAAAAATGGATTACTAATACAAAACGTGCGTATTTCTTAGCTAGCATGCCAAAAATAGCTCCAATTGCAAATAATTTCCAAAGAGGAAAGAGCCATATCTATTCATTGTAAAGATTTTTTAACATATTAAACTAATGGAAGGGGCTGATGAATATTTTCTTAAATTTTTGTTGAAATTTTATTGGCAAATAGGAGGGTTAGATGTGGCGTTTGGGGTTTTCCTCTTGTATTATTGTTTCGAGTCCGACTTCTCAAACTCGGACAGAGATAGGAGATAATTACTGATATGGAGGTAAAAGTATCCGTTAGTAAGTTCCGAACGATTATGAAAATTTCGCATTAGTAAACTGATGTGTAAAATTTTCAGATAGTATGGAATCTTTTTTTAACATCCTTCATTCCTTCGGGTGCAAAAAGTATCATAAGTCACAGACAGAGAATTCCTATAGTTCAAAAACAAAACGTATAGTAATTCGGAACTTCACTCAAAAAATAATTGATAATATCTACGCCAGTTAAACTTTAATGTGGTCCTGTAACCAATAGATAAAGTTGATAAGCTAGGCTAAATGCATTTTTGAAGGTTCTTTAACCATCACTGAATAACTCATCAATTGATTCGTAACCAGATGTACTAACTTTGGGGATATCAAAGGATACTTGGTGTTCATCAACATCAGAAGCCTGGATTTCTTCTTCAGAGGACGATAACACTTCATATACTTCAGGTAAACTCCGGGCACCTTCAGTTGGTGACTTGACAGCGGATGCATGATGGTGGTGCTTTGCTGTAATGAAATGTTCACGCCATTGTAAGTAACCTTCATCTGTAATATATCCACATCCAAGCACAGGACATATCAAGACTTGTTTCTTCAGCAGACAACCGGCAGGAATGTTTTCGCAATGTAATTCAAATTCATGTTTAGAAAGGAAAGGCTTTTTACAAAAAGTCCCGCCTGGTAATGGCGAATTACAAATTATGGGCTCACCTGTAGGTGTAAATGGAAGGGGTGGAGTTTCCCAGAGAATAGGGAAGTCTTCATTAAGCCTTGATATAGTTTTTGTATCCAAAAATACAGTAGAATATTCTGTTCCTGCCACTGGATTTATCATTTGATACCCAGCAATGTAGAGGTCACTAGAGTGTTCGTCAAGTAAATGCAGTTGGTACTGCGATTTATACAGAGCACGGTAGTGACACTGAGGAATAGCGCATGTATAGATGGGTTTCTTTGTATTGTTTATCAATAGGTTCGACGCAATCAGATAAATTTCATCAAATTCACCACTCCTATCCTCCATAATCGGTGTATCTGGGATTGTTTTATCCATAAAAGAATCGTTAGAAACTTCATCTAGAGACTCAACAATATGGATAGGTTCAGGATCTTCGTCCTCCGAATCTTTGACATCAGAACCACTGTCGCTGAATAAATACAGAGGCTTTGGCATGTTTGAATCATAATCGCTATCACTTACATCTGCCACTATAAATTCATCTAGTGATCCAAATGATTCGTTCAAAGAAGGTAGATGTAGGGGCATAGTTCGGATAGGTATATCTTCTGAATCAGGTTTCATTTTACTAGACTCTGAATTATAGTCTGCCAGTTTCCCTCTTGGCAGACCATTCTCTCTAGTTGAAATTGGAGGTACAGAAATTGTAGGATGTTTCTGACCAAGTTTTGCCTTTTTGGAAGGCGATGGTGTTAATAGAAGAATATTATCATCACAATCTTTTGATTGGTGAGATATAGGGTCTGGCTGAAGATCGGGTTTATTTATATGGATGCCTTCTGTGACATTTGCCTTTTCTATAACATTACTTTGTGGTATTAGTCTCTTACGACGTATTTCATTCTGTTCTTGCTTGCGAGCGGTTACGGTTTGTTCCTTCCAGTCAAATGTAGCTGACCAGATATTGGAATCTGGCCCGTGATGACTACGGGAATTGCCGCCTGCACCACCGGGCCCCAAGGACCGTAGATGGCCATTGTCAACAATTATTGCACCAGTGGCTAAATCAAGCACATCACTTTCCTTTTCATCGTCTATTTTAGAATAACGATCAATAATTTCTGCCCAAGTTGACTTGAACCTTTGTGTACTCTCCTCTTTCAATTGTCGTAGTTCATCGTGTAGCTCCAATTCCGGAGTCTCTAAGTAAGCGGGAAGTTGACTTATCCTCTCTCGTATACTTTTCTTCTCATCATCTGGTTTTCGCGGACTATGTATGGGACTATTTGCAAGCTTTGAAACCTCCAATTGTGGAGCTCTAGCCACTGGGGATAAAATATCATATCGGATATCCATATCATCCGGAGCTCTGCACAATAAGAAGTATCTTAGTTTTATGTGAGTTCGGTTTGTCTATGTTCGCGATAAAAGGTAAACAGACAAATAATTTGGAAAAGGATATGGTAAAAACTACCACATCCATCGAGAAAATGATCCAACTAATTTATTCTTTTTTAATTCAATAGAAGATGATCAAATGTGTCATGCATATGATGAATTTTCTTAACTCTATTCAAAAATTCCTATGAATTAACTGCTTTAATGGACTTCAATTTATTTTGGTTAATCTGGCGTGATACGAACTTTGAAATATATCAACTTTCACAAATGATATTATTTTATTTTAATATTGTTAGGGTTACTTCTTATTTTCTTAGTATAAACCAGTTTATGATAAATGCATGTAACTTTATGTCAGATCACTAAAATAGGCAATAAATATAGTTGGAGCACTAAACTCTAATTTAGTACCACATAGGAACACTCACCACAATAGTACAAATTACAGAAAATATTTAACTATATTGTATTTAAATTATTTAGAGTCTCTAAGTTTTACATTCTCTGCCGCTTTAGTAATCGCTTCAACAACCTGATCTCTATCTGGATGGAATGCCCAGCCATATTGACGAGATCCATGTACTCTAACCCCAAGGTCTTCGGCCCATTGATTAACAAGTCCAGGGTTTTTCAAGAATCCAACACCAACAAGAGCAAGGTCAAATGCCCCTTCTTCAATAAGGCCGTTGGCCAACTCTGCTCTATTTAATTTTCCAACACACGCAACTAAAGCACGGTCACCGACCAGCTTCTTAATTGCCCTAGCTAACTCAGCATGCAAAGCCTCCTTGGGACCTCTTGCATTTTGGTTGGAGTTGTTTCCACCTGAAGAGACATCAATTACATCAATACCCTTTTCAATGACAACATCTACCAACTTGATAGAGTCCTCAATGGTCCAAGCCAATGGATCGTCAGGTGTATTTTCCGAAGCAGAAATTCTTAAAAAGACTGGGAAATCGGCAGGAACGTTAGCCTTGATAGAGTCAATGACCTCAAGTAAAAATCTAATTCTATTCTCAAAGGATCCACCATATTTATCGGTTCTCTTGTTAGAAATTTCAGAAAGAAATTCATTAATTAAGTATCCATGGGCACCGTGAATTTCAATAGCATCGAATCCAGAAATTTCAACAGCTCTTTTAGCTGCAGATCCAAAATCACCAACAATTCTTTCAATTTCAGTAACAGATAATTCCTTTGGAACAACAAGCGATCCACCATCTCTATATGCGATGGGGGATGGAGCAACAACTTTATCGGGCCACCCACCTTCCTCCTTGGTAGATGCCTTTTCTAAATGTACATAGGCAGCCTGACCATTAGCCTTACGACCACCATGAGCAAGTTGAACTGCAATATTCTGATTCTGTGTATGAGCAAAATCGACAATCTCCTTCAACTTTAAAGCCTGTCCATCATTAAAAATGGCTAAATCTTGGGGAGAAAGACCACCTTCGGGAGAGACAGACGTCGCTTCGATAATGGTAATACCAGGTCCCCTAAGTAGGAAACTTCCATAATGTATCAAATGAAATGGAGTTGATTCAAACTTTGTATTAGCGGAGTACATACACATTGGTGACACTCCAATTCTATTTTGAAGGTTCAACCCCTTAATTTTTAATGGTTGAAAAATCTTTGGTACATTCTTATCTTCAGGTTGTGGATCTAAAGCTTGACCTGCAATTACAGTTGCTTTAGGAATGAAGTATGGAACTTCTTTAGCTGGGGTGACTGGGGCGTGGATACTCATATTTTTAATGAAGTAATATGCTTACAATCCAATCATAAAATTCAAGGATTTCAATGGGAATTATATACTCCTACAGAATATATACGCTTATAAATTACACATGAATTTGTAAATAATAACTATTTTGATTATGTGATTTACACAGTGAAACAAACGGATATAACGGCGTATTTCACACCACACGTGATCTAGCCACATGGTTTTACGATTCTACCTAGAAAATCATACTAAACCCTGGCTTGCTGGCATTGATGGCGATCACGTGATACAAAGATAACCATGTTGCATTACTAATTACTAATCGAAAGCAAAACCTTACATGAGAGAATTTCCCATTAACAAGTGTAAGGGATATGATTAATTTATATTTGTAGTGACGAATAGTTAAAATTTTAGCTTGTTTCATTGTTGAATGAATATTAAAGTTTGTAATTCTATAAAACTGTAAATATCTAATAATCAGTAATCAAATTGAATATAGCATTGGTATGCAAATTTACAAATTCTTTCTTTTTTCTTCTACCATGGATTTTGCATCATCAATGGCTTTCAATATTTGGGGATAATCAGGATTTGATGCCCAAGCGTATTGACGAGCTCCATCAATTTCAACCCCTAATTCAGTTGCAAATTTATGAACCACACCGGGGTTTTCCAAAAATTGGGTACCAATTAAGGCGAGGTCAAATGCACCTTCTTCGAGTAGTTGATTGACTAGTTCTGATCTGTTTAATTTCCCAACACACGCAACTAAAGCACGGTCACCGATCAGCTTCTTAATTGCCCTAGCTAACTCAGCATGTAATGCCTCCTTGGGACCTCTTGCATTTTGGTTGGAGTTGTTTCCACCTGAAGAGACATCAATAAGATCAATTCCCTTTTCAACGACAACATCTGCCAACTTGATAGAATCCTCAATGGTCCAAGCCAATGGATCATCAATGGTATTTTCAGATGCAGAAATTCTTAAAAAGACTGGGAATTCAGAAGGGACATTTGATTTCACGGAGCCAATAACTTCAAGTAAAAATCTAATTCTATTCTCAAAGGATCCACCATATTTATCAGTTCTTTTGTTAGAAATTTCGGAAAGAAATTCATTAATCAAGTATCCATGGGCACCGTGAATTTCAATAGCATCGAATCCAGAAATTTCAACAGCTCTTTTAGCTGCAGATCCAAAATCAGCAATGATTCTTTCAATTTCAGCAACAGATAATTCCTTTGGAACAACAAGTGATCCACCATCTCTATATTGAATTGGAGATGGTGCAACAACTTTATCAGGCCATCCACCGTCTTCCTTTTCAGCAATGTATTCCAAATGAACATATCCTGCAAGACCACTAGATTTACGGCCGCCATGGCCAATTTGAATAGCAATATTTTGATTCTGGGTATGGGCAAAATCAACAATATCTTTCAATTTCAATGCTTGTTCATCGTTAAAAATGGCTAAATCTTGAGGAGAAAGTCCACCTTCGGGAGAAACAGAGGTGGATTCAACAAAAGTGATTGCTGGACCTCTGAGAAGTAACAGGCCATAATGTACGAGATGAAATGGAGTCACTTCAAAATTTTTATTGGCAGAATACATACACATTGGTGATACTCCAATTCTATTTTGAAATTTTAACCCCTTGACCTTCAATGGTTGGAAAGCCTTTGGTAGAGTTTGGACTGTCTTTTCATAGGATTGAGAAACTATCGCCTTGCCAGAGATAACTGGGACTTTTGGAATGAAGTATGGTACTCCTGGAGCTGGTGTGACGAGATCGTGCACTCCCATATTGTTCTGATTTTGTAGAAATATGAAGCTTGCCATATTCTAGAGCACTTTTATTTAAATATTTATATGGTATTTTTGCTGATTAATGTATGTATAGCTGCAAAATCATATCAGCACTGATTTTTACAGCTGCAACAGCAACTACTGAATTGAGTATTTATTCCCGATAATAGTTTATAAAATTATATAAGTACCGGATATACCTGAATCAATAGTCAACAAGAATTGCTGACAATTCCAAATATTTTACAGTACGCCACGCATATTTCTAGCATTCACGCATTAACGTGAGATAAACGCGCCGTAGTATCATTAAAAATTTAACTAGTAACTAGTATACATGCAAGGACTCTTAAAACTAAGATTAAAAGATTAACATCGGAAAAGCACAAGTCAATTCCCTCATCACTATCGAATAATTCTATTCTTTGGGAAGGTGTCCAATACCAGAATTCAATAAGGCATTAATTGTAGCGATTTTATTATGTTCTGCTAACTCCTTATTCGACACAGTACCCAGTCTATGAATACGATGGTCTGAACCGTCTGGATGTCTCTGGACTGATTTCTTATCTTTACCACCAGCTTCACCTCGACCCTCGTCCACTGTACCATCCTCCACACTTCTTTCCCCATGTTCTAATTCTTCTAGTTCTTCTTGTTCCTCGTCTTCTTCTTCTTCTTCTTCTTCTTCTTCTTCTTCGTCATCTTCATCATCTTCCTCATCATCTTCAACCTCTGGTTCTCCCAATTTCTGAACCACAAAATGTACTACTTCTCTCCATGACCTCATTCCTCCCATAGCAATATTTCCATCCACATCCACACATTTCTCAACCGGTTTCAATATACTCATATTTGGATAAGTTTCTTGTAAGGCAGCTAATTGTCTCTTTGTAATTGGGTGTGAATACATTGAATTTGTGAGGGCAAGAGCTGCAATGATAGATTTAGGTGATAACAAATTATTGGTCAACACTGTATTATCGTTCCCCACACCGGAAGTGGAAGAGTTATTTCCATTATTTGCAGCATTTGGAGGAAGAGGAAGTGGCCAAACATGTAACATATCTGTAAGTAAATTATCAGATAATCCATTGATCATCTTAGCCATTGTATTGGCAGAGAGTGGAGCAATCAATAAGACATCAGTCCATTTCTGTAATTCAAATGCCAACAGGTATTTCGATAACAAATTCGGAGTTAATTTTGTTGATTTAATCGAGAGAGGTAATTCTTTGTTGGTAAAGTATTTCCAACCATCATCATGAAACCAAACTTTCACGCCTAAGGCTTCAAACTTATGCAATTTTTCAGATAAAAACCATTGAGCAGATTTAGTTAAGATCACTTGGATCTCTAATTTATCATGAGTGTAAAATTCAAAGAGTTTTTCAATAATCAAGAGAATATTTTTGTGAACAGATATACATCCAGTAATGGCTATTAATAAATGTTTCTTTTCATTAACTGTAGTTGGAGGACTGAAACCGTCCATTGGAACATCCGATTGAAAATGATGACCAGCTTCTTCATCTGGCTGAGGAGATGTATAACTTGATGACGTAGGACTAGCAGTTCGGTGACGGGTAACTTCAATAAGTTTTTTGTCCGAATTGTTGTTATTAACATATCTCAATGAGCTTACTCTTGAAAGTGGAGGAGACAGAACGTTATGAAGAAGGCCACCATTAGGAGATTTTAATGTACTATCTAAGTTTGTACCATGGGAAATAAAAGGCGGGGAGTTTGGAGCACTGGAAAGGATACTAACAGGACTATCACGGTTTGGTAAAGTTGTAGTATTTGCCAATGTCAAGTCATCCCCTAGGATACCATGTTTAATCGGACTTATGAAATCCTCTTGTACTAGAAAGGCTGCATGTTCAGGTTGGTGAGCATTAGAATTAGGGGCATTTGTGGTTGTTGATGGTACTTGCGGACTTCCACGAGATAAATTGGCAGTTGACAAACATGATTTCAAGTTAGGGTCTGCCTTGACAGATAACGAAGGAAGAAGTTTCTCAGAATCTGTTTTCTTCGCCACTTGGCTTTTTCTTGGTACTGGTGATGCAATCGTGTGTTGTTCGTTAGACATCTTTGGGTGAGGGGATCAAGTCAGTTTACACGATAAGTAAAGAGGGAAAAATATCACGCGATAATAACAATTGAACAAGAAGGTCTTATGATGTATTAAACTTGTAGTTGAATTCAATGGGCGTTTCAAAATATATATGGTATGTACTATAGATATATGTATAAATATAGTTTTGTTATGTTAATCGCAACTAAGTGATTACTAAAGTGTATTGGTGTCCCGTGACGTGCGAAATCATGTGGTTGAGAATTTTGATAAGCGATTGTCATAACACATACAAAAACTATTAAAACGATATCGGCACTAAAATTCTTCTATGGTTTTGTATATTAAGGGGATGCATCTCCCTCTTCTTTCTGCTCTCTATCAGTGGCATACATATCCCAAGTTGATGAAATGAACTGATTAAGAAACAAACCCAAAATACAAAGAAGGAAAATAGAGGCTATGAAGTATAACCAGCCTCAAAATCTTACTATTCATGTACATAGTATGAGAAGATAATTACTCATAAACGTTAGTATATAGTAGTCTAATATTCAATTGAACTAGTAGTTGCAATTATGCCTCGTATTTCACTTGCAGTTGAAAAAAAAAAGTAGAACAATAAAAAATTGCATGTGCGGCAAATTGTGGGGGAAAGAACGTGACACTGATACCACCATATAACCATTAGAGCTCATTATAGCAGAGATTTAATCACCAGTACGAATACCACATCTCCCACCAAATGCATAATCACTAGATGAAAATAAAAGGATTAACTATGGAAGTAAACATCTTTACACCAGATTCAATCCAAAATTAGATAGCCTTTCACAAGCTCGGAAAGAGATTTTCTCCCCTCTATTAAATATCGCACATGATTGATATTATCTCCGACATAAAAAAACCGCTATATCATCATCATTGCCCCAGTTTTTTTTTTGCCTTCAACCCCTTTTTATTGCAGATTTATAAAATATATCTAACCTAAGAAATGGCACCAACAAAGTCAAATTCAAAGAAATCTCCCGTTGGGGAAACCACACTTCTCTTGGACAAGAGCGAAATTAAAGCTGACACAACAAAACGTGGAGCAGTTGCAGCTCCAGCCAAGGTTTCTCCATCCACAACTTCGCCATTGAAGTATACGGAAATAAAGGACATTGGTCCTGCAGTAGAGAAACTTAGGGATTCATTCCATCAAACACAGAAGACTCACTCAATTCAATACAGATTGAACCAATTACGTAATGTTTATTTTGCATTGAAAGATCATACCGATGAAATTTGCGATGCCTTGTATAAAGATTTCCGTAGGGTTCCTGAGGAAACTAAAGGTTTAGAAATTGCTGGTGGACTCAATGAACTCTTACATACCATTGCATCTTTATACAAATGGAGTAAGCCTGACCCAATCAAGGACCTCCCAGTTTCCATGACTGGTACCCCAGCTTACATTGAAAAGATCCCATTAGGAGTTGTATTGATTATTTCTCCATTCAATTATCCATTTTTGTTATCCTTATCAGCAGTAGTTGGTGCACTTGCCGCAGGAAATGCTGTCGTGCTCAAGCAAAGTGAAATGACTCCACATTTTTCTCAATTGTTTACTGATCTCTTGACAAAGGCTTTGGATGATGATATTTTCTTTGCTGTGAATGGTGGTATTGCCGAAACTACAGAAACATTGAACCAAAAGTTTGATAAGATCATGTACACAGGTAATAACATGGTTGGAACCATTGTGGCCAAGAAGGCTGCAGAAACTTTAACACCTGTTATTTTGGAATTGGGTGGAAAATCACCTGCATTTGTCTTGGAGGATGTCAAGGAAAATGATTTACATACCATCGCCAGTAGAATCGCTTGGGGTAGATTTACGAATTGTGGACAAACATGTGTTGCAGTTGATTATGTTTTAGTTCATGAATCTAAACACAAATCTCTTCTTCGTGAGCTTAAGAAGGTGGTCGAAACGGAATTTTACCCTGGTATTAACAAAGATGACCCTAATTATACACACCTTATTCATGACAGAGCTTACCAGAATTTGGTCAAAAGATTGGACGCATCCAAGGGTGAAGTTGTTATTGGAGGTGAGAGAGATGCCCTGACCAGATACATCGCCCCTACTGTTATTGATAACGTTTCTTGGGATGATCTGACTATGGAGGTTGAACTTTTCGGTCCTCTCTTACCAATCATTCCATACACAGACTTGAAGGAAGCGGTGACAAGTCTTGTAAAGCGTCACGATACCCCATTGGCACAATATGTATTTACCAGTAACGCTTCTCGTGCGAATAATCCCCAGATTGATTATATCTTGAAAGCTGTGAGATCTGGTGGGCTCATTATTAATGATGTCTTGTTACACGTTGGACTTGCAAACGCTCCATTTGGAGGTATTGGGCAATCTGGTCATGGTGCATACCATGGAGAATATTCTTTCCGTAATTTTTCACATGAAAGAACAACTTTAGAAATTGCCTTATGGAAGGAAAGTACTTTAACTGCTAGATATCCTCCATTTAACGAGAATAAGGCAAATTTGGTAGGGACATCGCTTACTTTTTACGGTGGGAAGACCTGGTTTGGTCGTACAGGAGATGTCAGACTTACTGGTCCCAACCCAGTATGGTCTCTCTACAGTGGTATTGTTGGAGTATTTGCTCTTGGTTATTACTTATATGCTGCCCTGTAGATCTTTTATTCAATGTATGCAATATTTCTATTTATTATTTTATTTCGTAATTTCATGAGGATATGTATCCTGATATGTGTGTATTTGATCAAACCTGTGACCATTTGTGTATTTGAAGGACATAATGTAGTATGTTTCTGATTTTTTTTTTTACATATTTTCATTGTAGCTTTCTACTTCTGCATTTCTCCACTGGCCATCAAACTACCTACATAATCTTGCAAATATTGATTTTCATGCTTATATCTTTCACAGAGCCTTTTGGTATCTCTAATATTTGTTATGAGTGTAGATATTTTATTCTTTAAAGCAAGTATTTCTTCTACAGTTTTCTCTTTATTAGGTGTCTCCTTTTGGGTTAAATCACCTTCCCCCACTTCATGAGATTTAGATTCATCAGCCTCAACTTGAATTAACTGCAGAACTTCAATTGTACTATTATCTGACATAATTCTTTTTGAATAACAAATTTATGTTGTTGTGTTCAAAACAAAGCTAATTGTAACTTTGTTGAGAATAAAAAGACGAATTTCATACTCGGTCACGTGTCATACCACCCATATATTCATATATTGTTTCTATATAGATGGGTGTACATATTTAATTTTAAAATTTCAATCCTTCAATATTTGTATTCAATAATATTAATTTTGAATATATATATACCATTTCTGCTAAGTTATAGTTACTCTTTTCCCTCTTTTGCATGTCTTATAGTACTAATTAATCAATCTTTGCCACATTTGTAAAATGAAGTGAATGACACAAAACTTGATACCTGCGCACAGCAAAGTCTGTTTTGAGACGTCATTCCAATTTCGTTGTGTTTTACAACAAAGGGTCATTACAATTACAGTAATTGGAACTGAATAGAAATAGACTACTTAACAGTTGGATTTGTTTGCTTTGTTGAATTTTTTATCAAGTTTCTAAGTTGGTTTATCGTACTACGGTATTTTTTTTTTTCTAGAAAAATAAGTGTTTCCCCGTTTTGATTGGTTTTCAATAATCAAAAGTTTTTGAAACATCTGCCTGATACCAACTTGTAGGGAATTATAAATCACGATTCCACATCTCATTACACCCATTTTAAGATAATTTAATTGCAAAAGCATGTCTTGGGAAGGATTTAAGAAGGCAGTTGTTAGAGCCGGTGCATCCGTCACAGTTAAGGATGTAGACAAGACTGTTGATAAGGACTTTGATATTGAAGAAAGAAGATACAAAACCTTGAAAACAGCTGGTCAAAACTTGCAAAAATCTTCAAAGGGTTATTTGGACTCCTTAAGAGCAGTGACGGCGTCTCAAGTGACAATTGCTGAAACTGTATCTAATTTGTATGAAGAATCCAAGCAAGGAGGTGGTACTTTATACTCTCAAGTTGGAAGTTATTATTTACAATGTGTTAGAGATTTTGATGAAGAAACAGTGAAACAAGTGGATGGACCATTTAGAGAAACCATCTTGGACCCAGTTACAAAGTTTGCTAATTATTTTGCAGAAATTGATGAAGCCATCAAGAAGAGAACACATAAAAAGACTGATTATGATCAATGTAAAGCAAAAGTGCGGAAATTAATTGATAAACCAGCCAAAGATGCTGGTAAATTACCAGCAGCAGAAAAGGAACTTACAATTGCCAAGTCAATCTTTGAAGATTTAAATGAGCAATTAAAGGCTGAATTACCTCTTTTAATTTCCCTTAGAGTTCCATTTTATGATCCATCTTTTGAAAGTTTGGTTAAAATTCAACTTCGTTTCTGTACTGATGGATATGCTCGTTTAGCACAAGTTCAACAATATCTTGATGCCGCCTCTCGGGACGATTACGCCAATGGACTCCTTGATGGAAAGATTGATGACCTTCTTGTTCAAATGAACAGTTTAAACATTGCTACATTGGGTCAAAAGTAGAGAGAATGAGGGAGTAAATGTAGATAATATACGTGGCAAAATTTCATATGGAGCAGTTTTACTCTGTAGTGTTTGTTTTTTTACTTTTATTCACAAGATTGACAAATCTTCTTTTAGATTAGTGTTTAGTTAATGTATTGGTCTGCATTACCAAATATTAATATGGACGCTTAATAAAGCCTTTTAATCCTATTTCTATATAAAGCCGATCCCGTCGAAAGCCTCAAGGCTTTCAGGCATTTGCAACCGACCTGAGGGTTAAACATTATTCCGATTTAATTTCAGTACAGTATTCAACCTATACACCCGCCTACTGAGCAATTTCGATCACTAAACTTATCTTGAATTAGAAATAAGTACGTGAGAGAAATTTATGTACATGAACAGATTTAAGTCAATGGGCATCAATGCTCATGGTGCGCGGCTCTATTCGTTTCCAGAATCGATACAACGCTAAATAAACCCTTTAATCCCTTTTAGGACCTTTTTTTTTTTGTTTTCTGTTTGAAGTTTTTTTTTTTTTTTTTTTTTACCTCTCCTTTTTGAAGATCCACAAAGGTCAAATTTGGTGTAACCTTTTTCGAGACTCAACGGGACCTTTTATTGAACTCAAGGTTGAATTTTAATCTTTTTAGATGATTGATGCCAACAAGAACATGAAGACCATGTATATATATATACATATATATAGAATTGAAACTAAAAAGGAATTCAAATGAAACACAATAGACGGAATTTATCTAAATCGTAAAATGATGTAATTAGAGAAGACAAAAAAAAGTTACAAAATTGAAAATGAAAATACACCAAATAAAATAATATTTCTGTAAAAAAAAAAAAAAAAATAAGAGTTGAAGTGTAAGAGTTATAACTTTTGTGTGAACCATTTACACACAACAATATTTTTTGTTCATAAATCAACTACAGAGAACCAACAGGAGGAATTTGTTCTCATCTACACATATTGCAACTCTATCTATACTCAGTAGTTGGTGATTGCTTTTTTTTCCTTTGGCGCGGTGATACTTTTGCCAGACTTATTGTTCACTTTACATCATCAAGACTCGCAAGTGTCTCACAAACGCTGCCCAACAAGCGCTACAAACGGCGGCTAATCACCATGGCACCGACCATTCTGACTTCAGATGTGCGTAAAATGTACTCACAGATGGCCAAGACGGTCATTAACTTTATTTTGGCACACCCCAGATCGGTAATCCTTGTGCCGTCCATTGTCGTGTTTTTGATCTCCTACAATGTAATATATGATTTTTTGATAAAATCAGTTAATGACCAACTTCAGTGGCTTCTCAACGGTAAGATCACATACTCACAGACCAGACTCCCGGACCTTATACAGAACTTGGAAACGTTAGATTGGATACACTCAAAATATACCCTCACAAAGATATCGTTATCGACAACGACAAAAGATGTGTTCACTTACTCACTTATCAATAGCATTGATACCTTTCAAACACAACTTTTTGAGAGAATTGATCCATCACAAGGAGCTGTGGTGTCACCACTCTCGTTCTGGCCAACGCCACATGTCGATGTCTCTGGCGTCTTCTCTAAATATGATGAACAAGTTTATCTTGGTAACATCATGACATTCATCAACTCTGGAGACTCTGAACAGTTGAACACATACTTTTTGAAAGAAATTTCCAAGTCTAACAGTTTGATAACATATGCCAATTCCTTTATATTATATGTTATCAACACCACCAACAGCGAAGGCACAACTCGCCTACTTGACTTTTTGAGTGAATATTCAGACCCAAACCTACACGTGGAGGATGTAATATCAACGTCAAATCCCAAGAGTGTCACTGACTTTGTACGATCAATTTTGTATGAAGCCAAGGGTGACCACTATGTACATGGTATTTGTCTGTTTCTTGTTAATTCAAGTTATTTCAGAGTTGTATCGTATATTTTATTTTTTGGATATGTGTCGTTGTGCATCTTAAACCAATATAAAGTCAGGTCAAAAATTGGTCTTCTTATTGGCTGGTTCGTCGAGGTTTTAATCTCTTCATGTTCGGCATTGGCAGCCACCAGTTATCTTTCAGGAAGACTGTGGAAGTCCATGTATGCCCCACTGACAGACTTGGCAACTTTTTCCTACGTATTCGTCATACTGTTAATAAGCTCTAACAATATGCTTACTATCCTTAGCTATTTATCCGGAGAAACTTGGTATTGTGAGGGAGAAAATTTGTTGAGAATACGTCTATTCAAATTTTTCTTAGGAATAGATCCAGTTGAATACTCAACTTTGACAACTTTCAGAAGAATGTATCCACGATTTTCATCATGGTGTCCTGTTTCAATTGGAATTTGTAAAGTGATAGATGTAATACATTCTATACTTTTCATACCGCCAACTACAAAGTATTTACTTTTGAATTTGTTTGAATTATTTATTTTGAGATTTGTATTATCTCATGTTACCCTTATAATATATCAAGAGAAGTTAGGAGCATATATCAGTCAAAAGGTTAATGATTTTGTGCTTGCAATTGCTGTTGCATTGGTAATAGATCACTTATTACAACTAACCTATTTGGTTAGCATCATTACAGTAGATTTAAAAAGGTTTGAATTTACTGATTTGATCAATACCCATACAGTTTCCAGTTCACCTTCTTCTACACAAACGAATGGAGATGACTCAACAGAAAATGACACTTCTTACCGTATGTTACCAAACTTTTTGACATCGACACCGTTCCAGACGAATACATCACCCAATGAAGAATTATTTGGAGTTAATTTATTCTCATCCAAATTGCTTAAGCTTTCGCAAGATCCTTCACTTCGACCTAAACGGTCTTCATTCCGTCACAAGCTTGGCCAAGCTCTTTTAAAGTTTAAGAATCCTCTCCCTCTGATCCATTTTTTCATTGTTACCACTGCCATTCAAGTGGCTTTATTTATAGGGACTACATTTAGTTGGTCATTAATGGTTCCACACGGATTAGTTGGCGATGAAAGTGGAATATATGACGTTCAAGTCGAGGTAATTCGCAATGAATTTGATATGATTTATTATCTCGAATTATTGTCCGTACTTATGATCATTGTTGCCAGTGCAGGGTTGACTTTTAAATTTGCTCATTCTGGACTGGGAGAAGAAGTTCAAAGATCGGATTCCATTGATAGTGAATTTGAACTTGAAGACGAATCAACAAGATATTTTAATTCTATTGATTTATTTGAGAATGGGCATAAATTGGATGTTTTGAAAGTTTGTACCAATTCTAGCAGTCCCTTCATTGTAACAGTTGGGTTGGATCATAAGATTTTCATTTGGTCTCCTTTGCATAAACCCAAGGCTCCTGCTCCAATAAATATTTCTGCCAAAATTTCGGATACCACTGCAAATACACAAATCGGGAAGGAATTTTGGCCAGTGAATCATTTAAACATCAGCAATGACGGTAATTACACTGTTTTGATTGATTATAGGCATTCACTTGTCAAATGTTACGAAAGAAAATTACTTCAATACATCTGGGAGATAAATTTACCAACAGAAATCACACAGGGGGTTCCCAAGAAGTTTAAGATTCTTGAGTCGTTCTTTAGAAGAAGAACTGTTCCTGGATATTTAACTAGAAAAATACTTCAAAAGAAAAAGGAAGATAAAAGAAAATCACGAAAAAGAACAGGAAGTGTCTCTTCCACTACATCCACTCTATTATCATTCAATGGTAATTATGAAGCTCCACAATTTGTATCAACCTCGAAAAATGACATTTTTGGAATTAGTGAAGGAAGTGAAACCTCAACTACTCTGAAACGTGAAGAAAAGGAACAACTATCAAAAGATGATTTCATTATGATTTTAGAATCAGGTTTAATATATGCCATAGCTTGTTCTGATGGTAGTTATAAGACTTGCGATATATTTGAAACGATTTATGAAGCCGATGAAAGAATTGGATTGAAACTTAATTCGGTTACTAAGTTGTCCACACCAAGAGTTACGGATAGAATTATTTGTCATGTTAATAATTGTGACATTATTGTGGTATCATTATTGAATAATAACTTTAGTATCAAAAAGCTCAAAATTCAACAAGGATTTTACAACAAAGGTCTGGCAATGGTAGCTCCTTTGATGAGAGCAGACTCATTTAGAGATACTAATGATTTTAAATCAATATGCGAAACTCCTCAAATGTCGATTATTCCTGAAACTGGGAACTCAGTCACGCCAATCACAAGCGGCTTTCAATTGAATAAAGCGGTTATCGTTACAGTTGAATTTGTTGGTATGATTGTTAGAGTAAGAGATTTGGGAGCAGAACTCATTGATATTCAGACGGGTGTACTTTTGAAAACATTTTGCATTGGTCATTTTAAACCTAATTCGTTTAGGGTGTCACATCCAGAACCTACGTATTGTAAGTTTTGTGGATGTGCATCCATTCAATCATTCTCATTGATATATCAAGACCAGGACAGTGATACCTTGATCATGCATACATTTAAGATTGATACTAAAAAGTCAAAAAATAACATTTGTTTAAGAGTGGAAAGAGATCCTAGAGAAATTAGATGTCTTGGATTTAATGCGGTTACTGAGCATCAACATTGGTTTGATAATATAGAAAGATGGGAAATGACTGATATTAACATGATTATTGGTATTAGGAAACGTGCACAAACCGTGACTTTACCCACTGAAGATGGAATTCCTGCAAGAAATCGTCATTTTTCTTCAATTACAGAAGGTAGCGGATTAAGTTCACTTAGGTTAAGGGGAAATAAATCAAAGAAAAATACTGCAACTCCCGAATTAACCTTAGATGATATATGGGAAGGATTCATAATTACAGCAAATGATGGGAACTTGATGAACTACAGAATTCCTTCTAAGAATGCACTGGAACTCTCACTAAGCGTCAATAAAGTCCTTTGTATGGAAAAGTTTGGATATAAGTCAGTTGTAATTACTTTTGGAAATTTCATCCAAGTTTTATATCTTGGCAGTGATAAACTCATTGAAAAGGATCTTTATTATTCGGGTGCAAATACAGGAATTGCCTCAGCATTACCATCTACTGATGTGAATGTTGGTGTAAACAATGAATTATTATTCATTAACAAGAGAAGAATGCATCGCGAAAGATCACAGAGAATTAGGTAATTCAATTACATATAACATTGCATGGAAGTATAAGGCCGAATATCTATAGAGTAATAATAAACATAATAATAAAAAAAAAGGAATAAAAAAATTCTATTTTAAGTGCGTTATACATGAGAATTAAAGCCCGCATCATGGGAACCACGATTATTATACATAAAAACTTCTCTGTATAGACTCGTAAGCGCTAAACGCCTAAGAATTCCATTCAAACGGTCGGACAAAAGGGTGCAAAAAAATGTGGCGCTGTACGGGGGCTAGAATTATTTTTGTTTGTCATCGGGTGTTCATTTAAAAATGCCGCTAAATGGCAAAGTCCGCGCGTTTTTGAATATTTTAGGGAGAAAGTCGGATCATTATCTGCATATGGTGGTCATCTTTTATGCGATTAAAGTCGGGTCTTACCGTTAAAGTTACCCGGCAATATATTTTCTGTATAATATAATAATAGTACTTTGTTGCTATAAATCGTATAATATCGCTTTTTATTTTAACAATTGTAGATAACTTTTATTATTATATTTATTATACCATTGATTAGACAAGATGAAGATCCTCTCCGACGAAGAAAAGAACGCTCACTGGAACGTTGTCCTTAAAGAAGGTGCTAAGGGATGTGTAGTTGGTGCTGCCATATCTGTTGGTTTATTTGCATTCGTTAAGCATAGACATCCAGTTAGGTATAGATCTATGAGTGGTTCTATCAAGGCTGCCATGTTTGCTATGCCAACCATCTCCATGGGTGCTTTTTTCGCTGATGAAGGTTCTGTTGATTTTGATAGACACGTTTACCAATCCGATTACCTTAAGCAAAGGGAAGAGGAAGAACTTGCACAATGGAACAAGCTCTCTACGGGAGATAAGGCATTTTCAAAGTTGAATGACAACAAATATAAGGTTATTATTGGTGCTTGGGCTGCATCTTTGTACGGATCTTGGAAGTTGGTTGATAGAGACACAATTATGACCAAGTCACAAAAGGCAGTCCAAGCTCGTGTATACGCACAAGCCATTACCGTCGTTTTACTCTTGGGTACTATCTTAATGTCAATGCATGAAGCTGAATTGAAGAAGGATCAACCAGCACCTGTCCCAGAATGGAAGAGATTCTTAGAAGAACAAGAAAGTAAGAAGCGTGAAGAAGCCAATTAGAATCGATAAATCAACTGATGAATATATGTATGTAAATAGTTAGAAAAGGGAAAAAAAAGGAAATAATTAGAGAATTTTCTGTAAGCATTATTTACCCACACGTCGTTTAAATCTCCAAAAATGACTCCTAGCCATCTGGTGGAGAACGTATGCACATATTGGTCCCTTGCACGGCTGGATAGAGCCGCTTTGGATTGGCTGAATTAAGATACCGTTCTTTGAATAATGAAGTAAAAAAAAAGAATTGATTTCGCCCAGGATCGAACTGGGGACGTTCTGCGTGTTAAGCAGATGCCATAACCTACTAGACCACGAAACCATTTCTGAAATTGAAATTTATTTTTGGCTTTATGAGTAGCTGGTAGGGATTTCCCGCCGGTGGAAATTTAACCCATAAGAAGGTCTAAAATGAGTTCTTTTGAATCTATAACTTTAAATATTATATTAAAGTTCTTTTGTAGTTAGTTTGATAATAATCGTATTAATAAGTATTTTAGGAAAATTACATGCTCTTGTCACCTATATGTGCCGGATGGATCTAGTAACATGGAATTCTCTCTCATACAAGTGAAATAATAACACTTCACGTGTTATGTAGTGTTTTCCTTTTGAGAATTGGTTATCAATGAATATAAATTTGATTTAAGATAATATATTCATTTTAATAACTTTGTAGAATAGATACTCAACGAAACTCATATTCAGTTTATTAAATAGTACACATAAGTTTCATCCAAATTACAATCAAGTGGCTCCAGCCTATAGGTCTTGAATCACTTCTTATAAAAATAAGTAAATCAGTATTAGTTTAAGACTCCTATCCATTTCATTTGCAATTCTCAATTTTAAATCCCCATAAAATTTAAGCAACTGATCATTTTGTTGTCTCCACATATTTCTACCTGCAGTATTAGCACAAAAACATGTGCAAAGTTAAGAGAAATGTTCAAATTAGCCTCCATTCTTAATAATGATTCCGTTCATATTGCTTTTGATATTCTCTCTGTCACTATACAAACTGGTTTTATTTAAATTAATTAGAGGACATGCCTAAAGGAATACTCCGGGCTGAGTTTGAGCCTTCTGAGGCGTCTCTCCTTACCAACACCCCAACGTCCACATTGCTAGCTGAATTCCCAATCCTTGCATCTGCACTTTCCAATATTTTTCCATATCTTCTTCTAATGGATAACTTTCTTGAGATCATAACTTGGACCAATGACGATCCATATCAAAATTTCCTCTTGGTTGTCATTTATTCAACTGTGGTAATGTATTGGCATTTAGTCAGTTTGTTGGTGTTACCACTTTTAATGGCACTAACATTCAGTGTACTTGTATGGTCAATTAGTTCTGTGATAAATGATACAAAATATAACGAAAAGCCAACAATCGATGAAGTACTTCATAGTCTTCACAATATCACAGTAAGATTTGAGCTTCTATTAAGACCCATTCAACATTTCCCAGTATCCAAAAAAAACATATTAACAGCATTGACATCCACTGCAATTGTCACGCCAATTCACGTATTCCTTGTGAGGACCTTTCTAAACCCACAGCGGTACTTGTGGATTTCTGGGGTATTTGTTTTAACGTATCATTCCCCTTGGTCATTTTCAGTGAGAAGACTTCTTTGGAGATCTGTTTATATTCGTATTATTGCTTTTTATATCACTGGTTTGGATATTAAATTGGATAGACGAAATCAGAATCATCACCTTCCAGTATCCCGAATTCATAGTCCAACCACTAGCGATGTTGAAGATGGTGGAAATTCAATTCATTCTTCAAAATATGTACAACTTTTAAGTGATTTCAAAATCCTTAAAAAGGTAGTTGTATCACCTACTCAACTAAGACAAATTGTATTGTTTGAAATATTAGAGAATGAAAGAAGATGGTTAGGATTAGGCTGGGCTAAACTATTATTACCAAGTGAAAGACCTAATTTCTGTTATCAACAATCTATGATGAGCTCTCCGCATGTTCTGGATGCCTCGTCCGAAGTTTCCGATGCTTTCCCATTCCCTGTATTTGATATTGATTTATATACATATCTGTGGGATTGGTTAGATGATAGATGGACAGTTGACAGTGAATATAACAAGGGTAAAGATCCCGAAGGGTGGATTTATTATGATAATAACTGGGGTACACCAGCATTTGTTGATGGTATTACGAAGTACACTAGGTCCCGTAAATGGGTACGAAAGGCAGTTTTAATCATTGATAAAAGAGATTCGGTACAGGACGAATAACCACAATAAATTTAAAATATTTACATTGAAATTTATTGGAATAAACATTTGACATTTAGATGGTTTAATTAATCGTTGTAGAAGAATAATAGCAGTAAACCTATACATAAATTGAAGATTTGTTCGTACCAAACATGTGAATCAATTGAGTTGACAAAGAATTGGGACTCAAAATTTATCTGGAGATGTTGGGTGCAATTATATACATATACAATTGTAAGAATTTTCTACTTTTTATAAACGTTAATCACAAACTCATACAAAATTAAAAATTTGAAGGAATATGAAGTGGAATATTTGTTAGTAAACAAGTCAATAGATATCAATAATTATGTTTGATTCATAATTTGCAAAGATATTCCCTTTTCTAAACTGTATGTTTAGTGTAGATCACAAATAAGGAAATTTATCTTGTACAGTATCCCCCCTATCAAATATTTATGTGGAGTGCATATCCGTATTTATCCTGTACGTAGCAATTTTGAGATGAGAAAAAATCATGAGAAGAGGTGCTTAGTTCAAAAGAATATTAATACTTCCATCTGTAGCTCTTTAGTTAATACTATCTATCACGATAACATGAGTGCCTCAGCAAATAAAGAATTTAAAGACATACCCACAAAATATATCGACCCACTCGCACCTAAGGATGTTGGTGAGGGATACCGTGTGAATGGTAAGGAATGGAAAATCAAGAAAGATGCCTTTCGTGTGAAAACTATTGGTGTTACTAAATTAAGCACATTCCAATTACGTGAACAAAAGAGACTTGAAGAAAAGCAATACAAGACCCGTTTGAATGACTTGAAGAAGGAAAAGGATGATACCAAGCAAGCACGTATAGCCGACTTGAAGAGAAGAAGAGAAATCAAGGAAGAAAAGGAAAGATACACAAAGATGGCTGAAAAGATGCATGCCAAGAAGGTGGAACGTATGAGAAAGAGAGAAAAGAGAAACAAGTTGTTGAAGGAACGTTAAGTGTATACGTTCTGATATTAGCTTTGAAATGGTGGTGGTGGTTGGATACTAGTCAGTCTAAGACTCTAGTTGCATTGGCATAAATGATAGAAAAAAGAGAAAAAAAGAAAGAAAAACAAATGCATGGAAATATTTTGAAAAGAAACAGCCTTAGGAAATTACTTTTTTTTTGTTGACTCTTAATTGAACGTTCCTTTCATTCGATATCTCCATAAATTGTATTTAGAGAAAAGAAAAGAATGAATAACGGGGAGGATATGTGTTGATTGTAGTAAACTCTATACTTGTTAATAAATATTGTATTGTCACGTGCACGCGATGCTTGAATATTCTTCTTTGGGATGCAGGTGCGAATTACCCGGATTTTTGACGATGAGTATAAATACCTGGGAAATTCCCCCAATTTTGGAAATTAAAAATAGGGACCTGTGTATTGGTGTTTTTTTTTTATTTTTTCACATTTTACAGTTTTTTTTTTTATTAAGGCTGCAAAATAAAATATATATAGATATAGGGTTGGGATACATTTATTTGTTTTCTCGCATTTACAAAATACATATAAGCACAAGCAAACTCTAAATAATATGGATTCATTGAAGCTTCCAACTAATCCAGCTGCGGCTAAAACTTTCACTGATTCCAAGTCATTGTTGTTCCCTGGTGGGCTTGATGGCGAAGGCAAACCCAAGGGAGAAATTGGCCAACAAATTAGTGATAATGGCATTCAAGCGAAAACAGAGCTTCGTGGCAATGATTCAATTGTCGAACCACGTCAAGAAGAAGATAATGGAGCCACGTCGGGTATTGTTCCCACACTTCAAAATATCGTTGCCACTGTCAACCTTGATTGTCGTTTAGACTTGAAGACCATTGCATTACATGCTAGAAATGCAGAATACAACCCTAAGCGTTTTGCTGCCGTCATTATGCGTATCAGAGAACCAAAAACAACGGCACTTATCTTTGCATCTGGTAAAATGGTAGTTACTGGTGCAAAATCAGAAGATGATTCAAAATTGGCATCTAGAAAATATGCTAGAATCATTCAAAAATTGGGGTTCGATGCAAAGTTTACCGACTTTAAAATCCAGAATATCGTAGGCTCTTGTGATGTGAAGTTTCCAATTAGACTCGAAGGATTGGCATTTTCTCATGGTACTTTCTCGTCGTATGAACCAGAATTATTCCCTGGTTTAATCTATAGAATGGTTAAACCTAAAATTGTCTTGTTAATTTTCGTCTCCGGAAAAATTGTTTTGACTGGTGCTAAACAAAGAGAAGAGATTTATGCTGCTTTCGAAGCAATTTACCCTGTGTTGAGTGAATTCCGAAAGTCATAAACGAAGAAACGTAATCTTTATCATATTATCATCCATCCATTTTCAACCCCAAAGTAAAAAAAAGAGAACGGGGTATATGTATTTTTAGCTGATTAGCGGCATTGTGAGGTTGTTTTCTTTTTTTTTTACCTCGTATTATAACTCTCACTTCCCTCACTTGTGGGTTCATAGAATAATAAACGCAAATTATAAATGATACTTGTAGATCATTATTTTTAAGAGGTTTTCTTCGCCCATTCAAAGAAGTTACATCTATAATCTCCAATAGTTTCGGTATTGGAAGTGTCTACTGAGTTCATACCAACTTGATTTCTAGCACAACACCAAAACTTTTTTCCCCTTGTCTTGATATTGTTCAAACTAGTCTTCAATTGACATGGTTCTCCATGTAGACAATTCGGTTCTTGTCCGTATATCAAGTTAGAAAGTGAAGTAATTGAAATTGGCAGTGACCCAGTCGCCAATTGTTGTTTATCTTCCGTAGGTTCTTCATTTGTTGTTGGTGATTCAATGGTTGTAGTTGTTGTTGGGTCCTTGAAGAAAAAATTGGATATAGATGTTTGCAGCGCAGATTGTTTTGACTTTTTACGACTAACATATTCTAACTTCCTCTTTTTCTGCGGTTGTGAATCAACAACGTCAACATTCGTAATAGGTTTTTTAGGTTCAGGGTTTGATTTCAAAGTCATGAAATGTTGTAATATATCCGTATGTCTAACAAGCTTAAAATGTGACTTAGCTTCAAATTTTAAAGTGATACAATTTCCTGAAGAATTCAAAACCTCATCAGATAGTTTAAAGTCGGTAAATACCGGACAATGGTCCGAACCATTAACTAATGGCCAAATATCAGCCAGTTCGACATTTTCAAGAAGCTCCTTGGAGCTCGCTAGTATAAGATCGATCCTTGATCCATAATTCGATTGTCTGGCACTGGTCATTGTGTTCCACACAGTGTACATTCCTAATCTTCTACCCTGAATATATCTCGTTGTATCATGGAAGAACTGTTTATCTGTTTTATGTAGTCCACTTAATGTGGGTACCGTAAATCGGTTAAGAAGTTCTCGAGCAGGCTTTGATGTTTTAAATTCAATACAAGCATTCATATTTGATACTTCAAAAATTTCAGGTGAAGATACTGGCTTCACCAATTTTGATTTCATTAATTCTTGAATGGTGTCTGCATGATCAATAAGATCAAGGCTGACATTAATATCACCCATGAGAATAACATCTTTTCCATGTATATGCTTCAAATCGTAACAACGTTGGAGAAGAAGTGAAAGGAACTCCATTCTAAATTCTTCACCCTTTTCAGTACCCATAGAGTTTGCAGGACAATACACTGAAACAACCACAATTTTTCCTCCCAACTCAACGAATATAGTTCTACCTTCACTATCTATTTCTAAAGATCTCTCCTTGGAAATGGTCTTTTGCTTTGGGTAACCACCAATAGGGGACTCGCTTTCTCGATATGGTACGCCTGAGCCCCCATCGGTTCCTCCTCCACCATTTGTTAGCCATCCAGTTATCCCTTCTTCAGCTTTTATCACTGAAAGTCTCTTGTGTACAAATAACCCAACCCCAGAGTATCCTCTCTTTGATTTCGGTAATGATATAAATGACCGATAATTTTCCAAGTTACCAATATTTATTGATGATATGTTAGATGGAGAAAGCTTCAATTCTTGTAATGATATTACATCAGCATTCATTAATTCAAATGCTCTATCATAATTTTGTTGTGTATTGTTCCATGGATAATAATTAAATAACGTTTTGGTTCCATTTACATTGAAAGAAACAAATCGAGTTGTCTTGTCAACTTTCGGAGAGAAAAGAGCTTCATAAGTGATTCCATTCTTGTTCTCTTGTACATTGACTATGTTCTCTGATGGGGACGGGGGTCTCATTCCACAGAAGTATCATCCGATGTTACATTCAAGATAGCCGATTGATTTACCTTTTGTGACAATATGGAGTACTACCAAAATAGTCTCAAAAAATAAAAAATAAAAAATAAAATAAATAATAAAAATACAAAAAGAGAACGAGAAATGATTCAATATTAGAAAAAAATTAGAAGGGAGAGACATGAATTCAATTCGCTTTAAACTTTAGATAATAGAATATTACGAAGTTAATTCAAATGAAGTGAAAAGAAGGATGATTCGTATATAAGGTTGAGGCTTAAGCGTCTACTGGGAGACCAAATATATATATATATATATATAGGTATGTCACTTAGAGTACAGTGTAGTAGTCAGTATTGTATACGGTAAAGGAGCTCTATAGGCACGTTTCAGTTGTTTAATCTCATGGGATGCAATGCATATGGTGATAAATCAACCAATAACTAGTATTTTCTAATCCCTGTAGAATTCATAGAATGAACCGGCCCATGCAAGATGCGAGATTCTGTATCAAAAAGCTCGGTCGTATGCAGACCAGGCCCTCCGTAAGCTTCCGTAACTAAATGTTTTGGGGAGCTGTATGCAGACTGGGTACACATACTTTCTTGATACAACAACAATGGTCATCATAATTGTAGCTCACAACGCTCACAGAGGTTTGAAAGCATGACAAAGCATTGATCCACCAAATGGATGCTTCTAAACCGGTCTAAACAATATCTGCATCCACCTAGTTAACTGAATTCGGGTTTAACCTGTGGACGCCGCCTTAGTGGTCGCGGGTGAAAAAGGTACGAATTTTGCCCAAAAGGGTAGAAGAAACACGATTTTAAAATACAAAGAAAATTTCGGAAAACGCGTCAAATTTTTTTGCGCGCGCAAATATGCATACTCTTCTAGACATAGAGTTTGAATTAAGATACAAGAACGGGACGAATATACAATAAACGTAGGACCAACTCGAGACAGAGGAAAAAAATAATCTTACAAACTAAAGACGTTGGAAAAACTCTACAAGTTCTTTTTTATTGCCCACCAAGAGACTTTCCATATTATTTTGTAATATCCCAGGTGCTTAATAAAGCCTAATCCCGCTCGTCAAACCACATACCACACGGAAAGCAATTTACAAGAAAAGTTTACCTACCTATTTCTGTTAACTGAAACATCTAACTTTAACCATTTGTATACTACCAGTTATCACGTATGATTGACGCGGATACCTTCTTGAGGAACTCTCCATTCCAAGCTACGCATGGACCAAATCAATCATTGGACAACACAACTCCAGAACTTTTGAAGTTTTCACTCCAAGAACAACATAGAAACAAACTTCGAGAACTCAAGGATAATCACCATGATCTTCCCAATTTAAATCTACTCCACTCACAATTTCTTCAAGACTCATTCAATAATCATCTTCAAAAATCTTTAGATGAGGGAACGGTGCTGTTTGATGAATCGGGGTTGTCAGAGTTTCTGCCTCCTTCATCTGTATCATCACATTCGGAGTTGAACAATGTAGGGAAACCCAATTACCTTAATCTCAAGGTTTTAATTGAGAACTCGGTGTTTGATACAAAGAATATCAATAAAGATTCAATCCTTTCATTGACAGCTTTGAAACAACTCAAATTACGTATTCTGGATAAAAAGGAACTTAAACAATATCTCAAATCTAAACATTCTATTTCCCAAGAGTTTATGTCATCAATGATATTAAATCCTTCTACTTCAGATGAGATAGAATTGGATAGTACATTACTTTTGAAGATTATAAAACTGAATCATTCATTACTGCAACAACTTACAGAAGTTAGTGATGAATTAGAAAGTCTTACCACTAAATTAAATAATCATAACATGGCATGTATGGTTTTGGGATATGTTGAGGATATAAAAATAACGTCATTGTCCATGACAAACTTACTGCAATATCAAAATAATTTCCATCCTACTTCCACTGCAGCATCACCACTCAAAGATCACACAAATAATACTATACTTCCACCATCTACTAGTGGGGCAATTTCTCCCTCTAGATCTGTGTTCAACAACATGCAACAACATAATAAGGCATTTGATACCCTTTTTGCCCACATTGCCTCTATTGCAGCTCTGAGAAACATTGTTTTGCCAAGCCCACCAATGGATGATGATCTTGCTTCAAGAACAACTTGGGCTCTGGGTTGTATAGATGCTATTTTGGCTTCTTCTCCAGCTGCTAATCCAATGACTAAATCAACTCCAGAAACTCCAAATGAAAAAACTTTGCTGACACCAATCACTGAATACTATCTTCATGAATCTTCACTTGCATCCACCTCGTCTCCTGTACGAAGTAGTGGTAATGGGAATGATAAGCAACTTCTTTTAGATTATAAGACTGCGTTGAATGATTTACGATTCTCTCATCAATACCTTACTAAAGAATTTGAATATTCTCGTCAACAATCATTCAAAATTATTCAAGAATTTAGAAAAAAGAATGCAATTCTTGAAAAGGAAATAAATAGAGTTAAAGAAAATCAAACTAGTACTGATAGTTCAACCTTTTCCAATCCTGAATTGCTTGCGACTAAGGAAAGAGAAATATCCAAACTTAGAAAGGAGTTAAATGCATTGAAAATTGATCAAATGGGAATGAAACTGACTTCAACAATGTCACCTCCATTCAATTCAAGTACTCTATCACTTTCTCCACGCCATGAGCAATATGATCTGGATGATGATGTACGCCTGCAATCAAGTCGAATGTCTCCAAGACCATCATCATCAGGAACTAGTAACGGTATCCTTCGAAAAGAATTTAAAAAAATCGTTGGCAACATTCAAGATCAATACGAAGTAGAGCTTGAAGAAGAAAGATTACGAAGACGTAAACTTGAAGAACAACTTAAACAGTTGCAAGTAAACTAGATGATAGATAAATAAGATGCCTTTGTGCTATATGTAAATTATGATGACCGAAATAGACGACCATTAAAATGGATTTATTTATTAGAAATTGGCAGTAGGTTAGAAGTAGTTTCACATCTTTATGATAAATGGTTATAAGATGAATCTCTGTACTTGGCATTTGTATGATGTAATGATGGAGATTACACACCTTTGTATAATTGTTTTCTTTTTTTTGCTTTTTGGTTTTTTGCAACGCGTATCGCAAGACGACTAAGTGAGTGGCATTCATATTTCATCCCTAATAAATGACAAGAAAATATGACATCAGCATCACCAAAGAAAACAGTATATAGCTTCATACGACCGTCAGATGAAGAAACCGAGAAAAGAAATCTTTTAGAGAGATATTTCCAATCTGAACGTGCTGAAGTATCCGTGAACAGTTTGATCTCGGCATCTGATTACTTTCTTGCAAAGGCACATGAATTAGTATTAACCACAAATGAAGATAGTGGTCGGCAAGTATATTGCAAGATGGTTAAGATATCTATTCAAGCGCTACTTATATTGCTTAACCGGTATAAGCAATCTTTGAATCCAAAGTTTGAACTGATCATTTGTTTCAAACTTGCAAGAATTTATTTCTCTGAGACTGATAATATCAATAGGGCGGAGGATTATGTTAATCGAGCGATTTCGATAGCCTCTAGGAACAATTTGGTTCAAATTAAGTTTGTTAGTGAGTTCCTAGGGGCTCTAATCCTTCAGGCTACGAATTCTCCATTAATATCAAATTATCTTGATGAACGTATCAGTTCATTAAGAAGTATGAAGATGTACAGGTTAGCAAATTTATTCACGATATTGAAGATAAATTACTTGATGGTTATGGATAGTGCTACTGGATTAGTTGTTCTTCAATCTTTATGCCGAGATCCTGAAATAGATGTGGGGACAAAGGCTTTGAGTTTTTTATACCAAGCTAGTATACATTTATATCGAGGATCTCCTAAAATAGCCTTGGAACTCTTAGAACAAACACAAGTTATGGATTCCCCTTTAAACTTCCCGATACAATTAAAGGCTATGTATTATCTCCAAAAGCTTTTAGTATTGGTGCAAACAAATCAACTGAAACTTTCAAAAGTAGTCATGAAAGAAATTGGGAAGTTTTTATTAGAACAACAAGAGAAAGGATGGAAAAGTTGGAATGAAGATGGTACTTTTCAAATACTGTTTCCAATAGAAAATATTTCAAACATTTCATATCGAGTATCATGGTTGAATTCAGATGAATTTGTGGTTATCTTTTACTTTCTTACAGGGGTCAGCATGTTAAACAATGGTAAAAATAAATCTTTGAAAGTGTTTAACAGGTGCTTACAAATTATCAATTCACAATTAAGTCAATTAACTGATGATAAGATATCTGAGAGAAATTTTTCCAGTACAGAGTTATCAAAAAAGAAGCTTAAATTTACGTATATGAAGTATTCAGTACATTACTATCAAATTCTACAAAACTTTATGAATAATGATTTTACATCAAGTTGTTGGAAACCTTTAGAAGAGTTTTTGGAAAAAGTTAATACAAATCAATTTAATGACGAAGAATGGACTTGCTATCAATTACTTGTTCCAAACATTCTTTATCTTTTCGCTCTTTACCATCAACATTCAGGAGATTTGCAAAAAGCAAAGAAGTATTACATTAAAGTTCGGGATTATACCTCAGAAATTTCTCGAGAGCGTAAAAGTGCGTCAATATCGTTTGATCAAAGTTCACTTGGGGTTGGAGGATATTCATTTCAAGCGTGCGGACAGCATAATGAGTTGTATGTATATTCCTCGCTTCATCTCTTAATATTAACTGAGTATGAGCTTAATTTGTCTACAAATATTGAGCTTGATAATGTCCACAAGATGCGTCAAATAATATACAAGGAATTAAGTGAAACATTTACAACAGCTCGTACAACTACATCCAATAGTTTTAATGACAGCTTTGTAAACTCAAGTACTCTATTATCTGTATTTTATCAACTATTGATTAGTGTCTACAATAAGGAAGGAACTAATCGATTCGATATTGAGAAACTTCAAGTATTTGATACTGAAGAGTTTTCATCAGACTTCCCTGTGGTTGCGGGACTTGCCTACTATGTTTCCTTACTTGGAACGACAAGTTTAAATCACAGAGATAAATACCTAAAAATGTGTGTGGATATCTTGGAAAAGGCGTCAAATTCTGATAATGGTAAAGTATTGAAAATATTTGCCCAAAGAGAATTACTACAAGAATGCATTCGTACTGGCGAGAAAGATAGGGCAATTATCCTTCAACTTCAATTACAAACTTTAATAGAGGAATTGAAAGTCAATTTACCTGTACTTTCAATAAATAATGAAATATAAGAATAAATATTATGGGATCAATATTAAACGATAATCTACAATAAAGTTTTCAATTTTTCCTTTCTCTTATTAACAATAAATGTACAGATGTGATGTGAATGATATAGCGGGCCTACTTCTTAGACTTCTTCTTCTTTTCAGACTTTTCTTCATCGTCTTCAGCCTTTCTCTTCTTGTCCTTCTTTTCTTTCTTTTCCTTCTTTTCCTTCTTTTCCTTCTTCTCCTTCTTTTCCTTCTTTTCCTTCTTTTCTTCTTCTTCTTCAGCAGGAGTTTCAACTTCTTCGATCAACTTCTTCTTTGGCAATTGAACTTCTGGAGCAACCAACTTAGATTCTGGGACAGCAGGAGCTGGGGTTTCATCATGGTCCTTGTATTCTTGCTTCCAAGTTTCTGGGGTGTTTTCATTAGCTCTTCCGAACTTATCCAACTTACCGTCAGCCTTCAATTGCTTCTTCTTTTGAGCAACTGGACCCAATCCCCATCTTCTTGGGTAAGTGTCACGTTCCATAATACATCTCTTGACCTTAGCAACCACACCGTGGTCACAACCTTGCAAGTCTACGGTGGTCATTTGAGCGATGGCAATGGCAATGGCTTCACCCTTGGTGGTGATCAAAACAACTTCGTCATACAATTCAATACCTTCTTCATAACGCAACAAACCTGGAATCATCAACTTAGCACCGTAACAAACAGAGTTAACGGCAGAGTCCTTGACAACAATTCTCTTATAACCAACCAAGAGAGTTTCCAAAGGTTGAATGATCTTTCTCAAGTAAGATTCATCTCTAGTGTTGTCATAAACGTATTGAGCGTCCAAGACATCGTGTAAAGTAACTAAGTTATCATTTTCACCCATGGCACCAGAACGAACACGACGCAATTCTTGCATGTGACCACCAACACCCAACAACATACCCAAATGAACACACAAAGTTCTCATATAGGTACCGGCTTCACAGGAAGCCCAAAAGACACCAAGACCTCTCTTGTTGTCAAATTCAATCAAGTTAGAGTCATAGATAGTTCTAACTCTCAATTGTCTCTTGACAGCGGAAATCAAAGGTGGTCTTTGGAAAAGAGCACCGGTCAAGTTTTCCAAGGATCTACCCATGTCCTTAGCGTCCTTCAACTCTTCGTGAAGACGAACGATACAGACATACTCCTTACCAGCACCTTGCTGGGACTTAACAAGTCTGGTGGCACGATCAATACAAACAATCAAACAACCAGTAACCTTAGGATCCAAAGTACCAGAGTGACCAGTCTTTTCGGATCTCAAGATACGCTTGATCCAAGCAACGACTTCATGGGAAGAAGGGTTGGATGGCTTGTCCAAGTTGATGACACCAGAAGAAACATAAGATTTTAAATCTCTCTTCAATGGAGAACATCCAGATGGAATAGGGGTGTAATGTCCACTTCTGACAAGCAATTTGTCGTAGTTCTTCAACAACAAAGGCCATTCGGAAGTGTCATTCGATGGAGCGACAGCCTCTGGCTTGATAACGTACTCGTCGGACATCTTTTGTGGTGGGATTAATGTGGTCCTTAATGAGAAAGTTAATCTCTTCTCTTCTCTTTTTCCTTGATAAAGAGAATTTTTTTCACATCGCAAGTGTATGCAGGTTAGAGCTGTTCTTTTTTTTTTTCCAGATTTTGTGTCATAAAAATGTAGTGTCCTGTTTTTTTCTGTTTCATTTTGTTTTGTTTTGATTTCTCATGAATTAGTAGGACTATTTTTGCAGCATTCAATAACTACTACTATGCTTTATGATTATTCTTTATTTTATCAAGTTAATTATCTATGAAAATATACTTAACGTTAATTTTATTCTTTCTTTTTCGTTCATGAATCTAAAAGTTCTATTTAATTAAATCATCTATTACAATTTACATCATTCCCATGATATTCTTGTAATGTAACATGTTGTAATCCTTTTTGCTTTCATGAAAGATTCATTACACTCGCAATTTCAATCTTCATAAGTTCTAACCAGAAAGCCTCTCTTGCTAATGAACGTACTGTGCGAACAGCTGAATCCATATTCGAATCTTTAATGAGCTCTCCTTCTGTACGGAAATTCCCACCGATTAAATCTATAGTATCTTTAGTGGCCTTTATATCTGCCACAACCTCATAAAGCTGATTTACAAGCGCCAGATCTGGTGTGATAAGTGAATCGAGAGCCACCTTGGTTTGTGATGAAACATGAATGTTTTCCCCTTCAGATGTATTCACCTCTTCCAATGTAGATAGTTCTTGATTTAATTTAGTTACATTGGAGTTTTGTTGCAGAAGGTATTTTATATGTCCCATAAGATTCTCGCTATTAGCAACTGCTTGTTGATGATGATGGCTTAATTGCAGATAAAGAGCCTCAATTTTTAATTTATTAGTGTTTGCGAGAGCAATGCTTGACTCTTCGTTTGCAAGAGTTGTTTTAATCTTTTCTTGAATACATGCAGTAAGTTCTGGAGGAATGGAAATAGGTATAGATTCTCGGTCTTCGTCAATAAGATCAATAACATCTTTTTGTGGTTCTTCATTCTTCAAAGTTTTAGTCTTATTCAAAGGTTGAGTATGAGTTTTAGGAATTACATTTTGATAAGGTTGTGATTGAGGCGGTGGTTTCAGATATGACTGTTGAACTTGTGGATTTGGTGGAAGTTGATATCTTTGATGTGGAATCTGTGGTTGATAATTTATCGTACTCATGCTTTCATTAATGACCGGATTCCCTTGAGATATACCTTGCTGATATTGGCCGGTGGTGTGAGGAGTTATGACTCGTTCAATTGGCGTTGGTAATGGTAATGGGGATTGGTATTTGAGAGGTACTTCTCTAGTTGATCCAGGTAAAACTTTAGGAGGTTTAACTGGGAGTGGGGGTCCTGTAATTTGAGGTGACACCCTTAGATTAGCCATTGAAGATTGAGATGGTTGTACAAGATGATATTGTGGTGGCACAGTAGGATGGTCTTGTGTATTTGTAGAGATATTTGCCTGAGGATTTACAACTGGACAATCTCTATCAAATACAAATTGAAGTATTTTAACAAGTTCTAAAATGTTAAACTTACGGCCATTTGTACTTTGTGGCTTACACTCACGATACCAATCCGATAAAAATGGATGATAGAACCGACCCAGACTATCAACATGATTCCCTGGTTTTATCTTCAAATCATTGTTTGCCTCAGGTACAATATAAACTAATGGTACGCCACTGTTGTCACTTTCTCCACCAACTTCAGTTCCATAGGGATAATTTAGTGGGATCCAAATTTGAACTGGAACATTCATCTGTGAAGTGCTCACAGTGGGAATAGAGCCAAATATATTGAGTAAAAGAGTCAGTTTGCCACTACTATGAGATGTGTATACACTGGTTCTAATCTTCAATCTCAAGTTCTTACCAAAATGGACTTGAAGAAGTTGATACAAATGCGTATATGTAAGCTGTTTGTATGTATACTGCGGTTGCACTACATTATATAGCCAATTGGATATCAGGGTAGGTAGTTCAGCCATTATTATTAGGGTTAATAATTCCTCAGATCGAAGTCTTTGAAGTTGTAAGTCTGATCTAGGGAGATTCTAAAGTGTGCATTTAGTGTATGTAGGATTTCTGCATATAATTTATCAAGATAAAAAAACAGCAAAATTAAAAACAGCAATGGTTGGAAATTATTATGAAAATGAAACGTCTATAATCGAAAGAAGTATTGAATGTCTTGTTAATCCATAGAAATTTGATTCAAAATTGACATCCAATGTTTTCTCATCTATAACTTGTAAATTCAAATGCTAGAATTTCTGTGATTCAAACAGATACGTAATTGGTCAGGTTTGTGTAACATAGTGCACATGACTTTAAATTAATCATAAACGATCAAAATCCATTTTCCTTAATCTCTTGGTCTTATCAATCACTATATCAATCACCATGAGCGGGTAAGTATATTTAAGATTCCAATGGATGGGTGAATTAATGGTTTCTGGAAACCAGACTGATGATGTCGTCTAATTACGCTAGAGTGAACCATTTCTTCTTCTTTGTTTTAAGCTGAGAGGTAAGGTGGACACACATTTGTTACCCGACCATTCTTTTTTTTTAATCATTTATCGTTAATGCTAACATCTACAGGTACACTGTTATTCTTGTATTTCTCTTGACTGCTGCTTTATCAACATTAGCATGGATTTTTGCTCCTAAGCAAAACCAAACAGTCTGGCGTTCGTCCGTCATTTTGGGCTTGTCTATGTGCTACTTGATGTGGGCTATTACTTACTTGGCCCAACTTCATCCACTTGAAGCCCCAAGAAGGTCAAACTTAAGACCTGAGAAGAAGTAAGCTACTGGAACTAAATCGCTATATATCTTCAGAACGGTCCTACTTCATATTGTTAGACTTTTCTTTAATATTCTATGAGCGTAAATCAAAAACAAAAATTAAACAGAGGACCTCCTCGCCCCGCACTACTTCAATTAACTACAACTACAATACATGCCCTACTGAGCCTGTCATTATTGATTTTTTTTAATGGCTATCTTATGGGCCCGGCCCCTTTTCCTTTTTAATTCTTATCATAAAATAAAAACTTTGAATTTATAGATGAAATATTACGATAAATCTCGAAGATTACTGTAGGTACTTCCAAATTTATGAACTTAGTAACATACTTTTTATTCAAATCTAAATTTTATTTGTGATTATTACTATTGGCATTTACCAGCCCTAAATTAACGGGTCAATGTGTCCTACCTATAAAAAAAGAATTGAGAATCCGGGTAACTTTTTTGCTTATATTTGTTCTTTTTTTTCCTCAATATAAAAAAAAAAAATTTATCATTAACTTTTTCTTTTCTTTACATTCAATACTCTATATCTAGTGAATATCAATAATACATAGTATTCATTTTACACAGTTTTGTATGAACTCTCTATTCTCTCAACCTTTTAACACTCCTGATTCTGCCCCAGTTTCCCAATGCACTATGGATTTATGGGTTCTGTTTATGGAGAAAATCAAGCCGGGAAATGGGACACGGACACTTTTTGATACATCCGTCTGTGAACTGTTTCCCGGATCGTGTGGGTGGCTGGCCCTTGCGTGACGAGCAAGTTCTTAGGGATTTGTGCGTCTGGCTAGTCTCCACTACATTTGTAACTTTTCTGTATGTATATATTTTTTCTCAAGTTCTTAATGTATACTTGTCATTACATACAGGATGAACTAAGTTTAATATTATTCCCCTTTTCGTACATATACGCACATTTACCTTTTTATCCTCCAGCTATCTCTGCATTGAATATTTTCTTGACCTACATTAATAAATTCTCTATCGAACAAATGTTGTAATGCTTGACAGATACAAAAAGAAAAAAAAAAAGAACATAATGATGTCATTGTGCCACAATAACGTTGAAACCCTTTTTATAAATTTTCTAATGGTTCTTGAATTCCCTAAAATACATGATTAAATTTTATGATCGGTACCTCTGGCTAATTATGATATGCATTAAGAGGTTCCTTAAAGTACGACGGGAAACTTTGGGAATTTAAGGGTATACCAAGAAAAAGTCGGTAGTATGTCATGTGACATCACGAACTCAGCCGCATCTTAAATTTAAAAATATAAAACTGGGGCACATGCCAGTTGCAATGCGATTTCCAATGACATTGCCTCCATTGTAAAATGTTTCCAAATAGTAGTACAAAAAATGAAGTTGAGAACTTAGAGACGATATCTGTTGTATCAAACTCGCAAAACCTAGATCCAAGTACTAATTTGAAGCGTAATCTCAAAGATAAGCATATATCCTTGATTGCATTGGCAGGAATTATTGGACCTGGTATTTTAGTTGGTGCAGGTCTTGCTCTTCGAAATGGAGGACCAGCAAGTTTGATTATTGGGTTTGGGTTTGTAGGATTAGTTGCTTTCAGTATGATGCAATCTCTAGGGGAACTTTCTACTCTTTACCCTACTGGAGGGGCATTTTCCACATATGGTAATAAGTTTGTTGATCCAGCATTTGGAGGTACAGTTGGTTGGAATTATGTAATTATTTGGATCGCTGTTCTTGCAAATGAATATAATACGGTAGCTGCTATCTTACAATTTTGGGGACCAGAGGTTCCTCTTTATGGATATATTCTTATCTTCTGGTTTGCATTCCTTGCATTCCAATTCTTGGGAGTGAAAGCTTTTGGGGAAGCTGAATATTGGTTGGCATTGTTTAAAATTGTTGCATTAATTGCATTCTATATTTTCTCCATTATTTATGTATCAGGTGGTGTGAAGGGAAGACCAAAATTTGGCTTTCAATATTGGAATGATCCAGGTGCATTCTCAAACGGGTTCAAAGGAGTTGCAAATGTGTTTGTATTTTCCTCTACATTTTACGCTGGTACAGAGTCTATTGCTGTTGCGGCAAGTGAAACCAGAAATCCCTCAAAGGCTATTCCAAGGGCAATTCGACAAACATTTTGGAGAATTTTGTTTATCTACATGGGGGTTGCAATTACATATGGGTTAACAGTTCCATATAATGACGTCTCGTTAACTAAAGGTAGTAAAACCTTAAAATCCCCTATCACCATTGCATTGGTTCGTGCTGGTTGGGCAAATGCTGGTCATTTAGTAAATGCAGTGATTCTCGTGACGTGTATTTCTGCTATCAATAGCTCGATTTATATTGGTTCAAGAACAATTGTTAGTTTGGCTGCAGAAGGTTCAGCTCCATCATTTTTGAAAAGAGTAAATAAACATGGGGTCCCATATGCCGCAGTCATTTTAATGAACTTGTTTGGTTTATTATCTCTCATGAATATAAGTACAGGGGCTGCTGAAGCGTATAATTACATTGTTAATTTATCGGGTGTTGCTGTATTTATAGTGTGGGGCGCTGTATCATACATGCACTTTCGTTTCAGAAAGGCATGGAAACTACAAGGTAGATCTGTTAATGAACTCCCTTTCAAGTCGTTATGGTTTCCTTGGTTGACATGGTTTGGGCTTGTCTTTAACATTTTCTTGGGTTTAATTCAAGGGTGGTCTTATTTCAAACCATTTGACGCAGGGAATTTTGTTGATGCTTACATTTTGATTCCGGTGTTTATTATTATTTTTGCATTATTGAAGGTGATCAACAAGACAAAGTGGGTAGACTTGAATGAAGTTGATTTGGATGAAGGGAGAAGAAGTGACATGGATTATGCGATTGAAGATTAAAGGGAAGGGTTGATTTTATTAATGAAATAATACTTTGGAGATTAAGAATTATGTAGCTGTGCATAGAATTTCATCTTGTAGTTGGGTAATTTTTCTATTCTTCTAACTTATAATTAGTTTGTATTTATTTGCCACATTTTGTACCTCAGTGTTCGCACTCTTTGTTATCTTTTGGTTGATTGTTATGTACTCTGATAACTCATTATTAGGATGTGTTTCAGATACAAGCTTCGGTATCATGGTTTTGATTATTGCGCTTAATATTATACATTTATAAAGTTCTTTTCTCTTGTTATTTATTGGGAGCCCCCTCAATAAGAAAAGAGGTTATATTTTTTACAATATAACTGAGTTCAAATATTTATACACATGAATTCCAAAATTTGCAGTGTTTTCATAACAGAATTGCTTATTATTTTACAACATCTATCTTTCTGTTTACTTTACCTACCAACATTACTGGCACTTTTCATATCTTGGATATCATTGATCAATAATTATAGGTATTTCATGACCAAATATCTCTAGACACAACATGGTGTACTATACCAAATTAATTTCCTAATTCTCATATATGTTTTTTATACAGGTTTCACACAAACTTAAACTATTTTTAGTCTTAGAAATGCGTTTCAAATATAATTTTAGCAGCCAAATAAAACGGGAAAAATGATAAATGTAGGAACCCCTAACATTTGTCCCTTTAATTTTTATATTGCTAATACTCTTTTGGATCTGACCGTATGATAGTCGGAAAATTTCAATAGAGTTAAGAAATTTGAAAACGTAACAATTAAGACCTAGGTGTAGTATCAATAGAGATTTATTTGTTGAATTATGGTCCTTAGGGTTACTGACAGATCCACTTCCGTACAAAATGAATGTATACGGTACAAAAACAAGCACCTGTATAATGTGAATGTTCCAGGTTTCAAATCAATTTCTCGAGTTTGTGTTTATTTAGTTTGTGTTTATTTAGTTTGTGTTTTTATTTCCTTCTCAAGTTCACAAGAATTTACATTTGTCTATTGAGGTCAATGGTTGTTGGATATGGGATTATGGGATTATGGGTTTATGGGTTTATGGGTTTATGGGTTTATGGGTTTATGGGTTTATGGGTTTATGGGATTATGGGTTTATGGGATTATGGGATTATGGGATTATGGGATTATGGGTTTATGGGTTTATGGGATTATGGGATTATGGGATTATGGGATTATGGGTTTATGGGATTATGGGATTATGGGATTATGGGTTTATGGGTTTATGGGTTTATGGGTTTTACCCTGCACTCCATGCCGACCGCGAGGGTCCTCACCGGTGTGTGCTATACACCCGCCAAGGGTCTGGCTGGTTTGTAGATGCACTACCCAAGTCTCTATGGGTAGTGCGTGTGTGTATTTAACTGGGGTCGGCCGCTACGGTCGGACCATTTTTTGATGTTCCCCGCCTACCCTCCTCTCTTGTTCCATAACCCAGTTTCTTAATGTTTCTACCAACTGAACCATGAATATACATTACTCTTAACGTATACTTCGTCGTGGTCTGTTTTAGTTATCTGTGGAGTTATTGTGTTGTAAATTCAAAATGTGTGTTGCAAAAGGTCGTGCATTGTCCATTTCTAAAAATACTTTTTAACACATTTACAAAAGGTTGGTTTCAGATTATGCACATCCTCAACTGCGTGCACAATCTGAATATTTAGCCTTGGCTGCAAACAATAATAAAAAATAAATTATTTTCTTCCCTTCACCTTTCTTGGATTTGTGTATGTACCAGGTCTGAAGTATTAGAAAATACAATGTCCACGCATGACAGCTATTGCGCTTGTCTGGACAGAATTGAACTGACAATTGAAGTTCAATTGGTCAATGGTCAAATGATTTGATCCACGTGTGTACAGGGAAGTTTATCAACTAACCAGTCTGCCAGCTGCTAGCCTTCTGGTACATAATATGTAGCACACACATTTGGATGTTCAATGGGAAGGAGTTCATTTCGAGATCAAGCGAACAACTAGTTGTCCTACTGTAGAGGTAGACCCCAGAGTCACACATACACAACCTGGACAATCCCAAGGAGGTACATGCTACACAACAGCTGGCCAAGGGGCTAGCTGGTCACCCTCAGATCACGCCCATACCTCAATGTATGGACGCCTCATTGGGCGCTTACAAATAGACCTACAAATCAAAATAGACCACGTTTACTCTACCCTGGCAACCCGACTTCCTGTCCCGAGCTAGTATATCCACACTATATGTTTATGTCTTTAGAATGGAGTAATGCACGTCGACTAAAGTAACACATAGCGCAAGTGAGTCAACGAATAAGTTCAGCATCGAAGCATCAATCTCGGCAACAACCAATACCGGCGAGCTGAGCTAGTACAACCAAGCAGGTAACAGCCAGTATTCCATCCAAAAATATAGATGTATAGTACTAACTCTTCAAGAATCGATGTCAAGGTTCACTACAACGATAATCGACAATCACATATCTGCAACTGTGTAATGGCAATTTATAGACCACCAATGACCAGGTGGATAAAACCAAAACACCGCGTTAAGCATAGCACTTGAGAGAATTCACAGGTTTCTGTGGCCAGGCTTTCAAGGACACTAATTAAACTGCAAATTGGTCTAAGGATGAATCATAAGATTTGTTAGTGAAGTTAAATAAAATATAAAATTCGAAGAAGAATAAAAACTTATGGAGAGTATCAATTCAGAATACATGGATATTCTAAAAAGGAAAAGGAAAAATTATGAGACTCACCGAAGGAACAAAATAAGTTGTATACTGATCTTATTGTACTTTTTCTGAAAATATGACAACTCTCTTAAGTAATCGCCAAAACTTCCCCACAAACCAAGTGTCCACAAACCAAATGTCCACAGACCAAATGTCCACAAACCAAGTATCCACAAGTCAAAACCAAAATATACATCAATGACCTCCCTACAATATACAGGTCTTATCCGTATTTTACGGATCAATAAATGACCTCACGAACTTATCTTAGTTACAAATATGAGTTGCAAATGGTATTGATAACTAGATCTCCTTGATCTCATGCGACTTAATTTTGCAGTAATTTTCGAGAATGATAAAACATACTCTGTGACCAACTTAGCCTAAGTTTAAAAATCTTTTTAGCCCTGCTATACATCTGGGTAGTAAAGCAAATTCCCAGACATTGTTTGACTTTCAGTATATGTGCTGTAAAGAAATTGTTCTATGGCCTTCCATAAAATGTCGTGCCATGTTCATATTCTGAGCCTATCTACAGCACTCTCCGCTTTCTCTTTCCAGACTTGTGGTTTACCATATTTTGGATTATGGTAATTCTTGGATATATAAGGCTTATCGATATGGGGCTCGCTTTAATCGGCGTGTAAGGTGTCGTATGTCATTTATAACTCAAAATAGTTACAACTTCTATTTTTCTTCGGAGATATATTGTCTGCAGTTCTAATAAAGAAGACATCTACTCTCTACTCGACATAGATACAAAACAACTCATTTATTTTAAAATAAGCAAATATTACGTATTTTTGACAGGGAAGTTGGTACCACTTAAAAATGATCAGCATCCCTTATGTGGGTGTATCAAAAACAAGAGCTGCTGGTGAAGACATTTGACTTAAATCATGAAGATAAAAGGTCACAGAGGAGGGAAGTGCGGTCTTAGTAAATTTATGAATTTTATATACGTAACGCGGTACTGTACTATACTATTTACTATATTTATAGACGCGTAGCATTTTGGGGTTTGTCTCCTGCATTGGCTTTTTTTTCGATTGTGTTTTTTGATATAGTGAATTTGTAGTTATTCTCTCCCCTTCCTGCCCCGCCTCTTACTGCTTCAATAATATCAATGACCATACGCACCTTTTTGTGGTTATAATTTGTGGGCTCATTGCCACATAATTTGGGAAACTGGGATCTTGATCACTCCTTGACCTCGTGTCCATTCTTTCTTTTTCTTGTTGTTTTACATTAAGTCCAATATGCTCTACTACTCCGAGGTCAGTTTCTGTTTCTTTCTAGCACATCTTGCCGAGTTGATAATTAAATTGACCATCCACTGTCTATCCATAATCTTAAAATCCTCCGTCCAATTTGCTGCAAAAGGTCGTTCTTCAACCATATTGGGGTGCAGAAATACGGAAAGATCCGATCTCCGCACTTATTTTTTACTGCAACACATGTATCGCTGAAAGTTACAAAACCAACGTCCTACTACTAGCAATGTCTGGAGATGAACTTTCTATAATACCGAATCTAGGTGAATGGGACGGGATTGTTGTAAAGTTGTACTAATTGGATATCATACGTTTAGCCGTATTACGAAGAAAGAGTTCACTGAGTCAAAGGTGTCAGATCATTGTTTTATAATATCGCGCATTCAGTTGTCCAACGCGAAAAAAATATTTTTCGATGGAACGTTGGCTAAAAAATAAATGTTGCTACACTGGTACCTCCCGCCCCTGCCGGGTTTGTGGCGATCAAATTTTACGTTTTCAAATTTTGTTTGGCGGCCTGTCCAATTCAAGACCTACTAATATGGGTCTCGTTGTATTCGGCTTGTTCACAGCACAACATGTCAAGTAAAATGAAGTCCAAAGGGGCGCAGATGGATACCAATTTTGATATTCTAGTTTTGCAAAAAAATTCTTTTCCAATTTATAAACAGGGTTTTGAAATGAATCACCAAACATAAACCTTATCCCTAGTCTCCCATATTTTCTGCAATAATTATGCACCAGAAAAAGTACCACATTTGCAGCTTTTTTTACCGCCATTTTTGGAAACCTGAAACATCCGCACTTTTTACAAAATTTCCCATTAATTGAAGATGTAGTAGATCTTTTAGATCTAGTGTAACCACCCTCAAATACATGTTTATATATCCCAAGTGAACCCGTGTTGGAACTCTATTAGATCACCTTTCAAATGGTAAAATTGGTAATTCGACTGTGTTATATTTTTTTACAAGTCTCTAAATATTGAACCCCTTATCTCAACACAAATACAAGACTACACATCTATTAAAAAGTACAGTATTTACATGCTTCAAACGGGGGAAGTCGGTACTAGGACTATCTACAGTATAATTCTCTATGGATAAATCCAGATGAAAAGAACTACATGGTAATAACTACGGAATTACAAAGCAACAGTGGTTCATTGGGGGTGCCAAAATTCTAGTCCGGTGCTAGTCATTCCAAAGGGTATGGGCCCACTATCAATGGTGTATAGGTACCAGGGTATTGTTCTCTTTATTCATTTATGTTTCTCTGTGCTTTGACCTTGTAAATACGTAGGGCTCTGGAGACAAGTTCTAGAGACAGCTTCTCAATATAGCCATGTTGTTCTGCTCGCATATCTCGTTGAAATGCCATACCCTTGTCATCGCAAATAGCATCTCTTACTGATTACCTGAATTATTTGATTATTATTTCTGTAGTCTACTGTGTATTGTAATCTTTCAATGTCTGTGTATACTTAAATGGACATTGTTGTTCGGAATATATTATACACGTCTGTTGTACGACGCGTATAATTCTCTATAGTTGATATGTGGATTCATGGATAACCCCCATTTTGCCACCCTAGTATTCTCAACAAAATGAATGACCATATGCACCCTTTTTGTGGTTAATTTCATGTAACTTGGTTGCCAATTCAAATTGTTGGGGTTGTCGAATTGAAACATAATATCTCCTTGATCTCGTGCCATTTCTTCCTTTTTAAGAAATTTAAGTATTTCTTCGAGTATAGTCTAATATCATCATGTACTGAGTTTCCCCATTTCTCTACGATCTCTAATCGTGTTGATAATTATATTTACAACACAATATATATCCCAAATTTTTAAATTCCCCCCTTCAATGTGCTGCAAAAGATTTGTTACAGAAAGTCGTGTGTTGTCCATATCTACACTCCGCATTTATTTTTTACTGCAGCATATTTATCGCCGAAAAATGTACGTCATACTACTATAGACGGGATTCATAAGCAATGTGTTCCACTTTATATCTGGTATATTTAGTGTAAGAAGTAGAACTACTCTCAAGTAGTATTGGTATAAAAAATCGGTAGAATATACAATAAAAGAGGTCGTCACTCAGGGGAGTTGTTTTAAACTATCGCATATTCCTTCATATTAGCCGAAAAAATAATTTACGAGGGAGCAGTTGGCTGCCAAAAAATAAATGTGGCCCCCCTCCTTCCTCCTGCTCCTTCCAGGTTTGTGGCAAACGATTTTTAAGTCATCATATTTTGTTTGACGGCCTGTCCAAAGCAGGACCTACCAATATGGGTCTCGTTGTATTCGGCTTCTTCAGAACACAACATGTCAAGTAAAATGAAGACTAAATCGGCCCAAATGGCTACCATATCTGATTATCTAGTTTTGCAACAGCTTCTGCTCCACTATCTAAGATCTTTTCAAGATCCACAAAACCTAATTTATATATTAAGTAAGATATTTTTTAGCCACAATATTGGTGCAATGTCAAAATGGTACCACCTCTTGACTGCGATTTTGGGGGGAAATTTCAGCTGCAGTTTTAGTTGAAATCCCCCTTATCTCTAACCAAAAGAGACAATTAATTATTAAAATATGCAATTTCAGCTTAATTTAAACGGGGGAAATTAGTACTGGTACTATCAAAGATATGGTGAGTTACCATATATAAATGTGATTGATAGTATTACTCGTTAGTAGTTTTATTCAAATACAGACTTGTACCAAAGGGAGGGAGGTGGCGAACCTGTTGTACACAAGTAACTGCGTAAGCTAGCACCCCCTTTGAATGAATATTTTTTCTGCAGGGATATTTTGACTGCAGCATTAATTGAAAGCCCCTTGTTCCCTCCCAAATACACAGACACATTGGAGTTTTAGATTATACAATTTTGGCTTGTTTTAAACGGGGGAAGTTGGTACTGGTACTATAAAAAGTATGTTGAGTGTCTATAAAAAATGTGGTTGATAGTATCAACTCTTTCGCTGTACTAATTCCAATAACATTGAAGGGGGGAAGGTGGAAGCTTCTGGTACGGCTGCAATAAACTTACTGCGCATATTAGGGGGGGGTGCAAATTGTGCACCCCATACACTGTAATTATGCATGGTAACAGGGTAGTACCCCATACTAATATTTCTTTTGTTTGTGGTCACCTCTGTTGTTTGTGGTCTTGGCTTTGAAAAATATTTAAGGACAGCCAATTCCCACTTTTCCCCAAAATACTTTTTCACTTTTCTATCACTCTTTTCTTCTCTCAGATTTATTTTCCTCAATTCAAAATCCAAATACTGTGAGTAGCCCGCTCCCCGCCTCTTCTTTCATTATTGATACAGCTTTACTATACTAACAACAATATAGGACACCAGTAAGGTCTTTGGTTAACAGTGACGTGTTTTTATTTCCGTTGTTGATCAGTTTTAGTTGTCATTGTGAATTGTTGAAGTAGATTGACATCTTTCTCTGTCGGTGGTAGTTGATGCATTGATATTTAACTGTTTGTGTTCTACGATTCTTAACTTGTTTAAGCGTTGGAAAATTTTCTGAATACATCCCATGGATGTGCTGTTCAGCAACCTTTAATTTAATTTGCATCTACACCACTAATCAGAAAGGTGGTTGATTTAAATTTACTATGAATTTTGACTTCTGTTCTTGGTTGGCTACAGCAGTTGCTTTGTGTCAGTGTTGACATTTGGCTTACACCAACGTTGAACTATGTTGTTGGTCGTTTTTAATTACTGTTACTTAGTGGATCCCTTTACTTATGTTAACCTTTGTTGTTGTTATTGTTGGTCGTTGGTTATCATTGTTCTTCGTGGAGCTCTCACATATGTTGAACTTTGTTGTTGGTTGTCGTTAGTCGTTGGTTATCATTATTGTTCTTCGTGGATCCCTCTCACTCATGTTGAACTCTGTTGTTGGTTACTGTTGGTCATTGGTTATCGGTCTTATCATTCTTCGTGGATCGCTCTCACTCATGTTGACCTTTGTTGTTGGTTGTTGTTGGTTGTTGTTGGTCGTTGGTTATCATTATTGTTCTTCGTGGATCCCTCTCACTTATGTTGACCTTTGTTGTTGGTTACTGTTGGTCGTTGGTTATCATTATTGTTCTTCGTGGTTCCCTCTCACATATGTTGAACTTTGTTGTTGGTTGTTGTTAGTCGTTGGTTATCATCATTGTTCTTCGTGGATCCCTCTCACTCATGTTGAACTCTGTTGTTGGTTACTGTTGGTCATTGGTTATCGGTCTTATCATTCTTCGTGGATCCCTCTCACTCATGTTGACCTTTGTTGTTGGTTGTTGTTGGTCGTTGGTTATCATCATTGTTCTTCGTGGATCCCTCTCACTCATGTTGAACTCTGTTGTTGGTTACTGTTGGTCATTGGTTATCGGTCTTATCATTCTTCGTGGTTCCCTCTCACTCATGTTGACCTTTGTTGTTGGTTGTTGTTAGTCGTTGGTTATCATTATTGTTCTTCGTGGATCCCTCTCACTTATGTTGACCTTTGTTGTTGGTTACTGTTGGTCGTTGGTTATCATTATTGTTCTTCGTGGTTCCCTCTCACATATGTTGAACTTTGTTGTTGGTTGTCGTTAGTCGTTGGTTATCATTATTGTTCTTCGTGGATCCCTCTCACTCATGTTGAACTCTGTTGTTGGTTACTGTTGGTCATTGGTTATCGGTCTTATCATTCTTCGTGGTTCCCTCTCACTCATGTTGACCTTTGTTGTTGGTTGTTGTTAGTCGTTGGTTATCATTATTGTTCTTCGTGGATCCCTCTCACTTATGTTGACCTTTGTTGTTGGTTACTGTTGGTCGTTGGTTATCATTATTGTTCTTCGTGGTTCCCTCTCACATATGTTGAACTTTGTTGTTGGTTGTCGTTAGTCGTTGGTTATCATTATTGTTCTTCGTGGATCCCTCTCACTCATGTTGAACTCTGTTGTTGGTTACTGTTGGTCATTGGTTATCGGTCTTATCATTCTTCGTGGATCGCTCTCACTCATGTTGACCTTTGTTGTTGGTTGTTGTTGGTTGTTGTTGGTCGTTGGTTATCATTATTGTTCTTCGTGGATCCCTCTCACTTATGTTGACCTTTGTTGTTGGTTACTGTTGGTCGTTGGTTATCATTATTGTTCTTCGTGGTTCCCTCTCACATATGTTGAACTTTGTTGTTGGTTGTTGTTAGTCGTTGATTATTGGTCTTATCATTCTTCGTGGATCCCTCTCACTCATGTTGACCTTTGTTGTTGGTTGTTGTTAGTCGTTGGTTATCATCATTGTTCTTCGTGGATCCCTCTCACTCATGTTGAACTCTGTTGTTGGTTACTGTTGGTCGTTGGTTATCATCATTGTTCTTCGTGGATCCCTCTCACTCATGTTGAACTCTGTTGTTGGTTACTGTTGGTCATTGGTTATCGGTCTTATCATTCTTCGTGGATCGCTCTCACTTATGTTGACCTTTGTTGTTGATTGTTGTTAGTCGTTGGTTATTGGTCTTATTATTTTGTGGATCCCTCTCACTTTTGTGACCTTTGTTGTTGGTTCTTGTTTGTTGTGGTTCCTTAATCCTATTGGTACGAGAATTTATTATGGTTAGCTGACTTATATCGACCTGCACTTGTGAGATATAGTAACCTTCTGGGAACTCTGCAATTATCTCATGCTTTCATTCGCCGTTTGATGAACTTGGAAGTATGGCGTACTGTTATAAGGTACATATTTAGTTCGGGACAGGACGTCGGGCTGCCAGGGTAGAGTACACACGGTCCAATTTGATCTGTAGGTATATTTGTAAGCGCCCAATGAGGCGTCCATACATTGAGGTATGGGCGTAGTCTGAGGGTGTGCGGCACGTGCTGGGGTGGGTCTCCAGAGCCGGTCTGCTAGTGTGCGGACGTCACTCGGATCCACTTTTACGAGTGGAGATCGAGTCGATGGCCAGCACTAGATTCTGACTCTGGGCGCTACTTCACCTATGTGCCGTACACGTATCAGCCTTGCTGGGTGACTAGCTAGCCATTTGGCCAGGTAGTGTGTAGCATGCACTGGGGCAGCCCTTCTAGGGGTTGGTCTGGTAGTGCATGGGTGTCGCTGGGGTCCACCACTACGGTTGGACCACTAGTTGATGACCTGCACTCCACACCACCTCTCCTTGAAGGACGCCCAAGGGTGTATGTCACTGAGGTCCATCACTACGGTCAGACCTAATCTTAATGTGGTTTTGAATTCAATAGGATATATTTGTAATAGATCTAGCATTCAGTTTCCTAAAATATTAGGATAATAATAATAAAATTGAACAGCTTATCTAATATGTACTGTATATACTAATTATCTAGTCTTCCTTATAGGAAATGTCTTCTGCCTTTGAAATCGACATGAACTCGAATTTGACGTCATATTCGACCTCTTTCCCCCGCCAAACATGTAGAGATTTCCTGCATATGTCAGATCTAAGGACTGCATAATACTTAAATAGGTTTAGTCCTGTAGGTAACACAAAAGTAGATGCAGGAGAGCTATAATATCCTGTATAATGTCATTTCTAACAGAACTAAAATCAAATTTGTAGGCAATAAAATATTGGGCAGAGAGCTTTCCTGTATATTGATTAAATTATTGGCTTGAAGTCCTTCATGTTATCATATACCTGCATATATACCATGCATCATGCAGGATAGTCATAGGCAATTGCAACCTGAACAGGTTGGGAAAATGTCTTTGATACTAAGCAGAATATTTAGACTGGAAACGTCCTAATAAACCAATATATATGTTCCTAGACGTCTCAGGGACCAATTCCAAGTATTAGAAAGTTAATAGAACGAAAATTGAGTATTTTGCACTTCCCCCTGAAAGCAAAACTGAATTTCTACATGCTCACTGATTCCACAGAATCGCTCTCTTTCCCGATTCTATCACCACCAGCGATGTAGTACAGCCTATTACGAAGCGCAGTGATGATTTGAAGTCATTTACGTGGTGTTCGCAGCATCTCCTCCCAACCCAAGGGTCAAGAGTTTATCCGAGACCATGTAGCTTTCGGACGCACACGAGCAGCTGCAGCATATATACCGTGGACCGCGAGTAACCGACGGGATTAAGGTGGCTCTAAAGCTTAATCTCGGCCTCCCAAGGGTTTTTTGACGCATAAATCACGGACTTACTAACATATATGCAACCCCGGAAATCGATCCCGGAATTGATTATGCATATGTGCATTTCGGAAGTGGGATATGGGTTTAAGGCATACGAATATGGACTGATGTGCATATCGGAAGAATATCATGCATACGGAGAAATACCAATCATATACCCCGCCTAAAGCGGGGTGATCAGGGGCCTAGCTAGTACACTTTAAAAATTGTTGTACTAAATTTAGTCCAAATGACGAGCTAGCGTTCTCCACAATCTACCAGAGGGCCCACTAAATAGATACTGGCATGAAAAAGTGTGAAATCGGCCAATCACGCCCCCAGTAAAGAGTGAAAATTAGGCTGGGTGTTAGGATGTTCAAAAGTGGGTGTCCGGATGTTAAGAGTTTTGTGCCCTGAATTTCAAGTTACACAAAATGGACATTTTTTAACGCTTCATATCTCGACAACCGCTCGATGGATCCGGTTCATTTTAAGCCCAGAGAGCATTAACCACGCCACGACATTACCCTAGCTTCAGATAAGCGCTCACATTAAAATTGAGCGAGATATGAGCATGGCACATTTTCAGTCTCCCCCGGATCTCAAAATTTTGTCTTCAAAATTAGTGTAAAAATCCAAATATCAGGGTCATTTTTGAATTCCGGTCGAAACATCCAGACACCACTTTTTTTACAATCGACTCCAAATATTCGATAGCGATATCTCGACAACCGCTCGATGGATCCGGTTCATTTTAAGCCCAGAGAGCATTAACCACGCCACGACATTACCCTAGCTTCAGATAAGCGCTCACATTAAAATTGAGCGAGATATGAGCATGGCACATTTTCAGTCTCCCCCGGATCTCAAAATTTTGTCTTCAAAATTAGTGTAAAAATCCAAATATCAGGGTCATTTTTGAATTCCGGTCGAAACATCCAGACACCACTTTTTTTACAATCGACTCCAAATATTCGATAGCGATATCTCGACAACCGCTCGATGGATCCGGTTGATTTTATGCCCAGAGGGCATTAACCACGCCACGACATTACCCTAGCTTCAAATAAGCGCTCACATTAAAATTGAGCGAGATATGAGCATGGCACATTTTCAGTCTCCCCCGGATCTCAAAATTTTGTCTTCAAAATTAGTGTAAAAATCCAAATATCAGGGTCATTTTTTGAATTCCGGTCGAAACATCCAGACACCACTTTTTTTACAATCGACTCCAAATATTCGATAGCGATATCTCGACAACCGCTCGATGGATCCGGTTCATTTTAAGCCCAGAGAGCATTAACCACGCCACGACATTACCCTAGCTTCAGATAAGCGCTCACATTAAAATTGAGCGAGATATGAGCATGGCACATTTTCAGTCTCCCCCGGATCTCAAAATTTTGTCTTCAAAATTAGTGTAAAAATCCAAATATCAGGGTCATTTTTTGAATTCCGGTCGAAACATCCAGACACCACTTTTTTTACAATCGACTCCAAATATTCGATAGCGATATCTCGACAACCGCTCGATGGATCCGGTTCATTTTAAGCCCAGAGAGCATTAACCACGCCACGACATTACCCTAGCTTCAGATAAGCGCTCACATTAAAATTGAGCGAGATATGAGCATGGCACATTTTCAGTCTCCCCCGGATCTCAAAATTTTGTCTTCAAAATTAGTGTAAAAATCCAAATATCAGGGTCATTTTTGAATTCCGGTCGAAACATCCAGACACCACTTTTTTTACAATCGACTCCAAATATTCGATAGCGATATCTCGACAACCGCTCGATGGATCCGGTTCATTTTAAGCCCAGAGAGCATTAACCACGCCACGACATTACCCTAGCTTCAAATAAGCGCTCACATTAAAATTGAGCGAGATATGAGCATGGCACATTTTCAGTCTCCCCCGGATCTCAAAATTTTGTCTTCAAAATTAGTGTAAAAATCCAAATATCAGGGTCATTTTTGAATTCCGGTCGAAACATCCAGACACCACTTTTTTTACAATCGACTCCAAATATTCGATAGCGATATCTCGACAACCGCTCGATGGATCCGGTTGATTTTATGCCCAGAGGGCATTAACCACGCCACGACATTACCCTAGCTTCAAATAAGCGCTCACATTAAAATTGAGCGAGATATGAGCATGGCACATTTTCAGTCTCCCCCGGATCTCAAAATTTTGTCTTCAAAATTAGTGTAAAAATCCAAATATCAGGGTCATTTTTGAATTCCGGTCGAAACATCCAGACACCACTTTTTTTACAATCGACTCCAAATATTCGATAGCGATATCTCGACAACCGCTCGATGGATCCGGTTGATTTTATGCCCAGAGGGCATTAACCACGCCACGACATTACCCTAGCTTCAAATAAGCGCTCACATTAAAATTGAGCGAGATATGAGCATGGCACATTTTCAGTCTCCCCCGGATCTCAAAATTTTGTCTTCAAAATTAGTGTAAAAATCCAAATATCAGGGTCATTTTTTGAATTCCGGTCGAAACATCCAGACACCACTTTTTTTACAATCGACTCCAAATATTCGATAGCGATATCTCGACAACCGCTCGATGGATCCGGTTGATTTTATGCCCAGAGGGCATTAACCACGCCACGACATTACCCTAGCTTCAGATAAGCGCTCACATTAAAACTGGGAAAGTAGTGTGCCCCTCAAATGTGGTCCAGTTTTGTGTAACTTGAAATTCAGGGCACAAAATCCTTAACATCCGGACACCCACTTTTGAACATCCTAACACCCAGCCTAATTTCCACTCTTTACTGGGGGCGTGATTGGCCGATTTCACACTTTTTCATGCCAGTATCTATTTAGTGGGCCCTCTGGTAGATTGTGGAGTACGCTAGCTTGTCATTTGGACTAAATTTAGTACAACAATTTTTAAAGTGTACTAGCTAGGCCCCTGATCACCCCGCTTTAGGCGGGGTATATGATTGGTATTTCTCCGTATGCATGATATTCTTCCGATATGCACATCAGTCCATATTCGTATGCCTTAAACCCATATTCCACTTCCGAAATGCACATATGCATAATCAATTCCGGGATCGATTTCCGGGGTTGCATATATGTTAGTAAGTCCGTGATTTATGCGTCAAAAAACCGTTGGGAGACCTAAATTAAGCTTTAGAGCGACCTTAATCCCGTCGGTTAATCCCGGTCCACGGTAAACATGCTGCAGCTACTCGTATGCGTCCGAAAGCTTCATGGTCTCGGATAAACTCCTGACCCTTGGGTTGGGAGGAGGTGTTGCAAACACCACGTAAATGGCTTCAAAGCGTCAGAGCACTTCTTCTTTGGCTATAATTCATCACTAGTGGTTGAAATCTTCAGTTGATCAATTTTTAATGCGTAATAGCTAGGCCCCTGATCACCCCGCTTTAGGCGGGGTATATGATTGGTATTTCTCCGTATGCATGATATTCTTCCGATATGCACATCAGTCCATATTCGTATGCCTTAAACCCATATCCCACTTCCGAAATGCACATATGCATAATCAATTCCGGGATCGATTTCCGGGGTTGCATATATGTTAGTAAGTCCGTGATTTATGCGTCAAAAAACCCTTGGGAGGCCGAGATTAAGCTTTAGAGCCACCTTAATCCCGTCGGTTACTCGCGGTCCACGGTATATATGCTGCAGCTGCTCGTGTGCGTCCGAAAGCTACATGGTCTCGGATAAACTCTTGACCCTTGGGTTGGGAGGAGATGCTGCGAACACCACGTAAATGACTTCAAATCATCACTGCGCTTCGTAATAGGCTGTACTACATCGCTGGTGGTGATAGAATCGGGAAAGAGAGCGATTCTGTGGAATCAGTGAGCATGTAGAAATTCAGTTTTGCTTTCAGGGGGAAGTGCAAAATACTCAATTTTCGTTCTATTAACTTTCTAATACTTGGAATTGGTCCCTGAGACGTCTAGGAACATATATATTGGTTTATTAGGACGTTTCCAGTCTAAATATTCTGCTTAGTATCAAAGACATTTTCCCAACCTGTTCAGGTTGCAATTGCCTATGACTATCCTGCATGATGCATGGTATATATGCAGGTATATGATAACATGAAGGACTTCAAGCCAATAATTTAATCAATATACAGGAAAGCTCTCTGCCCAATATTTTATTGCCTACAAATTTGATTTTAGTTCTGTTAGAAATGACATTATACAGGATATTATAGCTCTCCTGCATCTACTTTTGTGTTACCTACAGGACTAAACCTATTTAAGTATTATGCAGTCCTTAGATCTGACATATGCAGGAAATCTCTACATGTTTGGCGGGGGAAAGAGGTCGAATATGACGTCAAATTCGAGTTCATGTCGATTTCAAAGGCAGAAGACATTTCCTATAAGGAAGACTAGATAATTAGTATATACAGTACATATTAGATAAGCTGTTCAATTTTATTATTATTATCCTAATATTTTAGGAAACTGAATGCTAGATCTATTACAAATATATCCTATTGAATTCAAAACCACATTAAGATTAGGTCTGACCGTAGTGATGGACCTCAGTGACATACACCCTTGGGCGTCCTTCAAGGAGAGGTGGTGTGGAGTGCAGGTCATCAACTAGTGGTCCAACCGTAGTGGTGGACCCCAGCGACACCCATGCACTACCAGACCAACCCCTAGAAGGGCTGCCCCAGTGCATGCTACACACTACCTGGCCAAATGGCTAGCTAGTCACCCAGCAAGGCTGATACGTGTACGGCACATAGGTGAAGTAGCGCCCAGAGTCAGAATCTAGTGCTGGCCATCGACTCGATCTCCACTCGTAAAAGTGGATCCGAGTGACGTCCGCACACTAGCAGACCGGCTCTGGAGACCCACCCCAGCACGTGCCGCACACCCTCAGACTACGCCCATACCTCAATGTATGGACGCCTCATTGGGCGCTTACAAATATACCTACAGATCAAATTGGACCGTGTGTACTCTACCCTGGCAGCCCGACGTCCTGTCCCGAACTAAATATGTACCTTATAACAGTACGCCATACTTCCAAGTTCATCAAACGGCGAATGAAAGCATGAGATAATTGCAGAGTTCCCAGAAGGTTACTATATCTCACAAGTGCAGGTCGATATAAGTCAGCTAACCATAATAAATTCTCGTACCAATAGGATTAAGGAACCACAACAAACAAGAACCAACAACAAAGGTCACAAAAGTGAGAGGGATCCACGAAGAACAATGATGATAACCAACGACCAACAACAACCAACAACAAAGGTCAACATGAGTGAGAGGGATCCACGAAGAATGATAAGACCGATAACCAATGACCAACAGTAACCAACAACAGAGTTCAACATGAGTGAGAGGGATCCACGAAGAACAATGATGATAACCAACGACCAACAGTAACCAACAACAGAGTTCAACATGAGTGAGAGGGATCCACGAAGAACAATGATGATAACCAACGACTAACAACAACCAACAACAAAGGTCAACATGAGTGAGAGGGATCCACGAAGAATGATAAGACCAATAATCAACGACTAACAACAACCAACAACAAAGTTCAACATATGTGAGAGGGAACCACGAAGAACAATAATGATAACCAACGACCAACAGTAACCAACAACAAAGGTCAACATAAGTGAGAGGGATCCACGAAGAACAATAATGATAACCAACGACTAACAACAACCAACAACAAAGGTCAACATGAGTGAGAGGGAACCACGAAGAATGATAAGACCGATAACCAATGACCAACAGTAACCAACAACAGAGTTCAACATGAGTGAGAGGGATCCACGAAGAACAATGATGATAACCAACGACCAACAACAACCAACAACAAAGGTCAACATGAGTGAGAGGGATCCACGAAGAATGATAAGACCGATAACCAATGACCAACAGTAACCAACAACAGAGTTCAACATGAGTGAGAGGGATCCACGAAGAACAATGATGATAACCAACGACTAACAACAACCAACAACAAAGTTCAACATATGTGAGAGGGAACCACGAAGAACAATAATGATAACCAACGACCAACAGTAACCAACAACAAAGGTCAACATAAGTGAGAGGGATCCACGAAGAACAATAATGATAACCAACGACCAACAACAACCAACAACAACCAACAACAAAGGTCAACATGAGTGAGAGCGATCCACGAAGAATGATAAGACCGATAACCAATGACCAACAACAGAGTTCAACATGAGTGAGAGGGATCCACGAAGAACAATAATGATAACCAACGACTAACGACAACCAACAACAAAGTTCAACATATGTGAGAGCTCCACGAAGAACAATGATAACCAACGACCAACAATAACAACAACAAAGGTTAACATAAGTAAAGGGATCCACTAAGTAACAGTAATTAAAAACGACCAACAACATAGTTCAACGTTGGTGTAAGCCAAATGTCAACACTGACACAAAGCAACTGCTGTAGCCAACCAAGAACAGAAGTCAAAATTCATAGTAAATTTAAATCAACCACCTTTCTGATTAGTGGTGTAGATGCAAATTAAATTAAAGGTTGCTGAACAGCACATCCATGGGATGTATTCAGAAAATTTTCCAACGCTTAAACAAGTTAAGAATCGTAGAACACAAACAGTTAAATATCAATGCATCAACTACCACCGACAGAGAAAGATGTCAATCTACTTCAACAATTCACAATGACAACTAAAACTGATCAACAACGGAAATAAAAACACGTCACTGTTAACCAAAGACCTTACTGGTGTCCTATATTGTTGTTAGTATAGTAAAGCTGTATCAATAATGAAAGAAGAGGCGGGGAGCGGGCTACTCACAGTATTTGGATTTTGAATTGAGGAAAATAAATCTGAGAGAAGAAAAGAGTGATAGAAAAGTGAAAAAGTATTTTGGGGAAAAGTGGGAATTGGCTGTCCTTAAATATTTTTCAAAGCCAAGACCACAAACAACAGAGGTGACCACAAACAAAAGAAATATTAGTATGGGGTACTACCCTGTTACCATGCATAATTACAGTGTATGGGGTGCACAATTTGCACCCCCCCTAATATGAGCAGTAAGTTTATTGCAGCCGTACCAGAAGCTTCCACCTTCCCCCCTTCAATGTTATTGGAATTAGTACAGCGAAAGAGTTGATACTATCAACCACATTTTTTATAGACACTCAACATACTTTTTATAGTACCAGTACCAACTTCCCCCGTTTAAAACAAGCCAAAATTGTATAATCTAAAACTCCAATGTGTCTGTGTATTTGGGAGGGAACAAGGGGCTTTCAATTAATGCTGCAGTCAAAATATCCCTGCAGAAAAAATATTCATTCAAAGGGGGTGCTAGCTTACGCAGTTACTTGTGTACAACAGGTTCGCCACCTCCCTCCCTTTGGTACAAGTCTGTATTTGAATAAAACTACTAACGAGTAATACTATCAATCACATTTATATATGGTAACTCACCATATCTTTGATAGTACCAGTACTAATTTCCCCCGTTTAAATTAAGCTGAAATTGCATATTTTAATAATTAATTGTCTCTTTTGGTTAGAGATAAGGGGGATTTCAACTAAAACTGCAGCTGAAATTTCCCCCCAAAATCGCAGTCAAGAGGTGGTACCATTTTGACATTGCACCAATATTGTGGCTAAAAAATATCTTACTTAATATATAAATTAGGTTTTGTGGATCTTGAAAAGATCTTAGATAGTGGAGCAGAAGCTGTTGCAAAACTAGATAATCAGATATGGTAGCCATTTGGGCCGATTTAGTCTTCATTTTACTTGACATGTTGTGTTCTGAAGAAGCCGAATACAACGAGACCCATATTGGTAGGTCCTGCTTTGGACAGGCCGTCAAACAAAATATGATGACTTAAAAATCGTTTGCCACAAACCTGGAAGGAGCAGGAGGAAGGAGGGGGGCCACATTTATTTTTTGGCAGCCAACTGCTCCCTCGTAAATTATTTTTTCGGCTAATATGAAGGAATATGCGATAGTTTAAAACAACTCCCCTGAGTGACGACCTCTTTTATTGTATATTCTACCGATTTTTTATACCAATACTACTTGAGAGTAGTTCTACTTCTTACACTAAATATACCAGATATAAAGTGGAACACATTGCTTATGAATCCCGTCTATAGTAGTATGACGTACATTTTTCGGCGATAAATATGCTGCAGTAAAAAATAAATGCGGAGTGTAGATATGGACAACACACGACTTTCTGTAACAAATCTTTTGCAGCACATTGAAGGGGGGAATTTAAAAATTTGGGATATATATTGTGTTGTAAATATAATTATCAACACGATTAGAGATCGTAGAGAAATGGGGAAACTCAGTACATGATGATATTAGACTATACTCGAAGAAATACTTAAATTTCTTAAAAAGGAAGAAATGGCACGAGATCAAGGAGATATTATGTTTCAATTCGACAACCCCAACAATTTGAATTGGCAACCAAGTTACATGAAATTAACCACAAAAAGGGTGCATATGGTCATTCATTTTGTTGAGAATACTAGGGTGGCAAAATGGGGGTTATCCATGAATCCACATATCAACTATAGAGAATTATACGCGTCGTACAACAGACGTGTATAATATATTCCGAACAACAATGTCCATTTAAGTATACACAGACATTGAAAGATTACAATACACAGTAGACTACAGAAATAATAATCAAATAATTCAGGTAATCAGTAAGAGATGCTATTTGCGATGACAAGGGTATGGCATTTCAACGAGATATGCGAGCAGAACAACATGGCTATATTGAGAAGCTGTCTCTAGAACTTGTCTCCAGAGCCCTACGTATTTACAAGGTCAAAGCACAGAGAAACATAAATGAATAAAGAGAACAATACCCTGGTACCTATACACCATTGATAGTGGGCCCATACCCTTTGGAATGACTAGCACCGGACTAGAATTTTGGCACCCCCAATGAACCACTGTTGCTTTGTAATTCCGTAGTTATTACCATGTAGTTCTTTTCATCTGGATTTATCCATAGAGAATTATACTGTAGATAGTCCTAGTACCGACTTCCCCCGTTTGAAGCATGTAAATACTGTACTTTTTAATAGATGTGTAGTCTTGTATTTGTGTTGAGATAAGGGGTTCAATATTTAGAGACTTGTAAAAAAATATAACACAGTCGAATTACCAATTTTACCATTTGAAAGGTGATCTAATAGAGTTCCAACACGGGTTCACTTGGGATATATAAACATGTATTTGAGGGTGGTTACACTAGATCTAAAAGATCTACTACATCTTCAATTAATGGGAAATTTTGTAAAAAGTGCGGATGTTTCAGGTTTCCAAAAATGGCGGTAAAAAAAGCTGCAAATGTGGTACTTTTTCTGGTGCATAATTATTGCAGAAAATATGGGAGACTAGGGATAAGGTTTATGTTTGGTGATTCATTTCAAAACCCTGTTTATAAATTGGAAAAGAATTTTTTTGCAAAACTAGAATATCAAAATTGGTATCCATCTGCGCCCCTTTGGACTTCATTTTACTTGACATGTTGTGCTGTGAACAAGCCGAATACAACGAGACCCATATTAGTAGGTCTTGAATTGGACAGGCCGCCAAACAAAATTTGAAAACGTAAAATTTGATCGCCACAAACCCGGCAGGGGCGGGAGGTACCAGTGTAGCAACATTTATTTTTTAGCCAACGTTCCATCGAAAAATATTTTTTTCGCGTTGGACAACTGAATGCGCGATATTATAAAACAATGATCTGACACCTTTGACTCAGTGAACTCTTTCTTCGTAATACGGCTAAACGTATGATATCCAATTAGTACAACTTTACAACAATCCCGTCCCATTCACCTAGATTCGGTATTATAGAAAGTTCATCTCCAGACATTGCTAGTAGTAGGACGTTGGTTTTGTAACTTTCAGCGATACATGTGTTGCAGTAAAAAATAAGTGCGGAGATCGGATCTTTCCGTATTTCTGCACCCCAATATGGTTGAAGAACGACCTTTTGCAGCAAATTGGACGGAGGATTTTAAGATTATGGATAGACAGTGGATGGTCAATTTAATTATCAACTCGGCAAGATGTGCTAGAAAGAAACAGAAACTGACCTCGGAGTAGTAGAGCATATTGGACTTAATGTAAAACAACAAGAAAAAGAAAGAATGGACACGAGGTCAAGGAGTGATCAAGATCCCAGTTTCCCAAATTATGTGGCAATGAGCCCACAAATTATAACCACAAAAAGGTGCGTATGGTCATTGATATTATTGAAGCAGTAAGAGGCGGGGCAGGAAGGGGAGAGAATAACTACAAATTCACTATATCAAAAAACACAATCGAAAAAAAAGCCAATGCAGGAGACAAACCCCAAAATGCTACGCGTCTATAAATATAGTAAATAGTATAGTACAGTACCGCGTTACGTATATAAAATTCATAAATTTACTAAGACCGCACTTCCCTCTTCTGTGATATTTTATGGACGGCCATAGAAGGTAGCTAAGCAGAGCACAATATCTAGTCATTCTTTATAATCTAGATAAATAAAGGCGGTATAAAGATTCTCAAACTTAGGGTAAGCTGGCCACTGAGGATTTTTTATTATACTCTAAGAATAATACAAAAAGAATGTCACGAGATCATAGAATCAAGTTCTCCAAAACATGAACGCATATTTGCATCTAAGAAAAGAAAAAAGTACTTGTAGTATTGATACAATATATACGGAAGAGACCTATATGACATATGGGGTCGTTGTTTATTTTGGTTTTGAGTTTGTGGACTGGGTTTGTGGATTCTCAATCATGGCATACATTTAAAATTAGTCTCAAGATCAGGACAATACTCCTTCTGTTCCTTTGGTGAGTTTCAGCTACTTCTTTCTTATCACCTTTTTAGAATTTTTTCTCTCTGATGCTCCCCGTAAGTTTTTAGTCTTTTTTCATATGTGTGTAAAATTTATCAATACATATGATGATACAGAGATTATAATATCCATAAATCGAATTCATTTCCAGATGTCAATTTGAGTGTCCTTGATTGTTTGATTGCGTAGAGCTATTCATATTCAAGTGTGACATTGTTCAATCAGTCTTATTTGAGTTGTTTAACTCTCTTCGAAAGCTCTTCTAAATAAAAGTCACTCACTTCGTTTTCTGGACCTAATTGTCTACTTGAATCACAAAGTTTAAACAAATACTCAGAATTTGAACCACTTGGACCTACACTATTTCCAATTTAGTCGATGGGCTTCATCTACCTGGCCATTGGTGGTTTATCCCAGAACACACTTGCGCCTTTGTGACTGATTATCGATACAGTGAAACTTGAATCAACTAAATAATTGTAGAAGGCTTGGTAATATTGATTTTCATTTGAGCTCAATTGAATTGGGGTAGTCGTTAACAACTGCGCTTGTACCAGCTCAACTTGTGGTTAGGTGTATTTATTGGAACTTCGTCATGGGCGATTACCGAGTTTGCTGCTTCGATGATGTATTACTGTCAGCACATATTGATATGCGTGACTTGAGCTGTCGTTTCGTAACACAATCTCAGAGTCAAGGAAATTAAATAGAGTGTATATATTTTTGTGGAGCAGAAGTCGGGCTGCCAGGATAAATATACCCATGGTCCATTTTGATCTGTAGGTGTATTTGTAAGCGCCCAATGAGACATCCATACATTGAAGTATGGGCGGAGTCTGAGGGTGTGCGGCACGTGCTGGGGTGTGTCTCCAAAGCCGATCTGCTAGTGTGCGGACGTCACACGGGTCCACTTTTACGGGGGATATCTAGTCGATGGCAAGCACTAGATTCTGGCTCTGGACGCTACTTCACCTATGCGCCGTACACGTATCAGCCTTGCTGGGTGACTAGCTAGCCATTTGGCCGGGTAGTGTGTAGCATGCACTGGGAAATCCCTTGGTTGATCCAGTAGTGCATGTGTGTCGCTGGGGTCCATCTGGTGTAGTTGTGACTGCTGCTCCACAAGCTAATTCAATATACAAGTCTGTAGGTGTATCTTATTAACTTCCAGAAGCTTATCTTCTTTGTGCCTAATAATTCTTGAAAGAAGTTGCAGGTAGAGGTCAAGCTTCTCTTATTAGTTTATATGAATGGCTGAATGGTGTAGTTAACGCTCCTGATGGTTGGTCATATCATGCAAAGGGGCTCTGGATCACTGTTCCCGATGAGGATGAACCTTCGATAACTGAGCACTAGTTGATAATAATACATATAAGATAATATGACTGTAGTATGTAATCTACACTGCTGTCACTACATTGAACTTCAATTGTCATTTGTCTATTGCCATTCTCTCAAGACAAGCTCATTGAGTAATCACCGTCTGAGTAGCTAATTAAAAATATATATTATGTATTTTCTTACACTTTTGAATAATCTAAGAAAGGTGTATAGAAAGGGTGTGTTAAAATTAATTATTTTTTACACCTTTTGGCAACCAAGACATAAAATTTACATTTTACGCACAATTATGTAATGTTGCGTAATTTGAAACTAAACCTTTCGGAACTGTGGTAAAAAATACTATTGAAATGAACACCACACGACCTCTTGCGACACACTTCATACATTTCCTGGAGTTAACGTACATTCCAGTATATTCACTGATATACCATATGCAGACCGCGAAAGGGAATATGATATGAAATTTCAATGTTAGTCAGACCGTCAACCCGGTGGCTTATGTACTGTAGAGTTCCTACCTATGGATGTACTACAGAAGATAAGTGATAGGGTGGGCACATCAGCAAGGGGACCAACAATAGCGGCCGACTTCGGCAATTCACACGCGCTACCAGGGGAGATTGACTATTAATTATTACTCCTTGTTTTATTTATGGTCTCCTCTAGTGATTATGGTATAAATGGGGCGGAATTAGAACTGGTAACCCGACGTCCTATAGGGAAGTACGGATACACACTCTTGATAAACAACTACCCCAACTCTTGTCATCTTTCAGGCCAGGAAGTACGGTGCAGATCCGAGTTCATCCCACGTACCACAGATAACCAAGGCTTTCAATCTACCCACGAACATCCTTGAAATCCGACTCAGGGACCCCCATAAAATCAGTACTAGTTGATAATCTTCGATAAATTAAAAACTATACTACTTTGTGGCTGACCAGTATGAAAATAAAAGATATGTCAAATTCAAAACTTTGCTAAGTTTGAGACCATATTTTTGGTAAAGCTTTGCAAATTGATCTGATCCTTCGGTCCTAAATTCATGACATCATTAATTGTACCGAAGTTACTTGTTCCAGACTTGTTTAAATGTATTGTTACTAGGAGCAACGTGCCGGTTATTCTGCAATTGCAACCATTATCAGCTGTATGGAGGGCCCAACTAAGTATTTCAAGTTTTTTTTGGATAACACTCATAATTGTTCACAAGATGTCTAAAAAGAGTCGTTTCTCTAGTTGCCCCTTCAATCACCCTAAACCTATTTGATAGCTCCTAATTTTTGGGACCATCTTGAACGAATTTTTTGACTTTTTTTTATATCTCTATTTCATTTTTACATTTGAAACTATACCCTTTTTTTTAATTTCACAATGAATTATATGATTCCCATGTTTCACAATCTAAATTATTCAAAGCAATCTTAATAATTTAATATGCACTGGCTATGAATATCCCAGATTTCCTTTTGGCACAATACCAATTTTTTGTGTCTATAATTTTAGTAAAGAATATGTTTTCCCTCTTTTATTATCCAACTATAGCATACTCAGATTAACGGATTAATTGTGAAGCCCAATACGTTTACATCTTAGCTTGGGGGGTAAATTACCACTGTGGTACAATTATGATTTCGGCAAAAATCAAAGATAAAAAACTCCTTAAAATTCCTTTTTTTTGTGATTTTTGTGATTGTGGTTTTTAATAAATAAAATACTAACTAAAATGAAAGTAAAAAAAACCAAGACCCTCCAAAATTTGGATATCCTTAAGGTGATATGATGCCACAAACCGGTATTTTAACTGATCTTATAATGCTACCTGCACAAACGAGATCTTACGAATAAGTTCCACAAGTATTTTATGGATGGCCTCATATAGACCATAGTCACTGAAGGATTTATCAATGGAAACAAGAAGCAAATAACATAGTCTGGTGGTGCGATACTTCCCTTGTAGTCTAAATTCTAATTAAAGTTAATTTCTCATATACCCCGGATTTATATAGGATTTATTGATATGTGTTGACACTGGGTTTACTAGAAATTGTACATAACTGCTGGAGGGTGGTTTTGCATTCAGCCTGTACTACGCTTAATATTTGTATATTGTAAATTGTATATTGTAAATGCTTAGCTTCGTTGTAAAGAATAACTCTTTACGGAGATCCTCAACAAGTTTGTTACCCTCTTCTACTTTTTTCTGCTATATCTAATACTTCCCAGGTAATAGATGCTTCTGTTTTATACTGAGAAACAATAAGTAAAGTTATTATTGTAATCCCTTACTTTCGCCAAAATGGCTTTCAATTGACCCATAGATATTAGTTTCCTCTCCCCTCCTTGGGCGGCTTACAGATCGCGGGTACCGCCCTGCATTCTCCAGTAGAACGATATTTCTGTTCGATTGTTTATACACTACCGGTGTGACTTTACGGGCGAAACCTCCCCATGCTGCCTCGTGTCCCCTCGCGCAGAAAACTGTGGTTTATTCTCACATGTCCATTTTCATCTTCAGATCCTTATTATCATCACCTTCATATAATACCCTCTCAAACCAGCATAGAGATTCTTTCATACAACACCTCTCATAAACCAATATTTTCTGCATATAAATAATTTATTACTTCATTCAATGTTTTAGCCGCTCGTGATCTAAATTATTTCTAAGGTTGTACCTTTTTCGATATTTATGTTGACTTCTCATTAGATTATCTAGTCTTATATTTACCAAGGTCTTCAATCACATAGTATAATCTTTCCTATAATCACGATAGGGTAGGTTCCTAACCTATTATTCACCTCGCCAATTTATCTCAAGATGGAGGGTGTCCTGATAGCAACAATTAACCCTTACTATGTGAAGATTCACTCTTGAGAATTGGGTATCTAAGTCAACAATATGCAGAATTATCCAGAAATACTTGACACCCGTACACCCATGTTAATTATCCTATTGTTGGTTGCACTTTTCACAACTAATACTCTAATGTTTACTTGGGACATTCGTTATACAGTATATAATATAATATTCTCCTTTAATCTCGTATTGTTGGGTGTAAAATTAGTGATTTCAAATTGACCCAATTCAATTATTTGTGTGTAACTAAGATATTATATTTTCATATATTGCAGTGAAATAGTTGCATTATAGGAAATGTCAAGAATTGTATTTTAAGTCTAGAACTCATCAGTTAAAACCATCAACTATCAACTATCAATGCTTATTGAGTATCGTACATACTTCATTATACAAATGTTCCTTGCCAAACCAAAAAAAAAAAGAATTTGTACGATCTCGACTATAGGGAAAAAAGTATACAATGCGATCTAGATAAAAGTAATAACTACCAATAAGATAAATACGAATCAATATTTGTGGGCTATTATGTCGTTAGGCTTGAATTTTAGTGCTACATAGTTCTGTTAAAGGTTTAATATGATTTGTGTTAAAGATCTATTTTGTAGAACGCAGACCAAGCTCTAGTATGTACAATACTCTAAGTAGCACAACTTTTAAAGAAATACAATAAAGTAGAAGGGAATTGCTCTCACATTATGAAATACGTGTCCCATATGGTACTAGATTATCTATATAATCCCTACGAACTACGCTACCAACAACTTCTGTATGAACAAAGGGTTATTTTAAAAATGCAACTTCAAATTGAAAATAACGGCCCTAATAGAGTCTACCACAAAGCATTTCATGTTCCATATGAGGAAATCAAGAGCCTATGAATCTTGAGTACATATGTGTTCCAAAAAAGACCATTAATAGAATCCACATTAACTTATCTACAATTCACATAAAATGCCTCCTTACCTTTCCATTAATTCTGAATAATCCAATAATAAACGAATTTATTTCCTAATATACATACGATATAATAATCAAGTAGCTAAATAATACACGAGAAAACTGAAACTAAATTGCCTAGTTAGCAGCAGAAGAGTACTTGGTGACGGCTCTGGTACCTTCAGAGACAGCATGCTTAGCCAATTCACCTGGTAAGATCAATCTCACAGCAGTTTGAATTTCTCTGGCAGAGATGGTAGACTTCTTGTTGTAGGCAGCCAACTTGGAAGCTTCACCAGCAATTCTTTCAAAGATATCGTTGACAAAGGAGTTCATAATGGACATAGCCTTTTGGGAGATACCAGTGTCTGGATGAGTTTGCTTCAAAACCTTGTAGATGTAAGAGGAGTAAGTTTCCTTTCTAGTCTTGGATCTCTTCTTTGGTTCAGAAGAAGCGGTCTTCTTGGCAGCTGGCTTCTTTTCAGCTGGAGCTTTGGAGGCGGGTTTCTTTTCAGCTTTTGGGGCCATTATGTATAGTAAATAAGATAGTTGAAAAAAAAACAGAAATAAAGGACATCATTCAACTCTATGGTAATTATCAGTGCTTATATATAAAGGAACTCGAAGAAGTCTTATCTTTGTGGCAGTAGCGCTTTGATTTGTTGTTGTTTTGAAATTGTGCACTCAAGGAACGCTCAAGGACTGTAGAACGCGTCATTATACTCAGATATTCGCAGTATATCTAATAATTACGCGTGCACTATTTTGGTACATGGTGCAATTCTGAAAATTACATCGCGTTCTAGTAAATATAATACCAGAAATATACGTGATTTAATACAAAATGTAAACATTTAATATCGAATATGGCTTGAACAGATGCCGGACTGAAAACATAACAAAACAAAGGGTAATAATACTGCGAAATAAATTACATATCTATATATATAATACTCCAAACATCTCTTCGTCTTTATTAGTTTTTCGTCTCTTTTTGGTTCTTATAACTTTTTAAAAACAGATATAATAATAAAATAATACAATGTCCGGTGGTAAAGGTAAATCTGGCTCTTCTGAAAAGGCCTCCACTTCTAGATCTTCCAAGGCTGGTTTGTCCTTCCCAGTCGGTAGAGTTCACAGACTCTTGAGAAAGGGTAACTATGCTCAAAGAGTTGGTTCCGGTGCCCCAGTCTACTTGACTGCCGTATTAGAATATTTGGCTGCTGAAATTTTGGAATTAGCCGGTAATGCTGCTAGAGATAACAAGAAGTCTAGAATCATCCCAAGACACTTGCAATTGGCCATCAGAAATGATGAAGAATTGAACAAATTGCTCGGTCATGTCACTATTGCTCAAGGTGGTGTTTTGCCAAACATTCACCAAAATTTGTTGCCTAAGAAGTCTGGTAAGCCAGGTAAGGCCTCCCAAGAATTGTAAGCGAAGAGCACTTATCGTTTATTTCTTTGTGTGTATTATAAGGTTTTGATATATGTATACTAGTTGATATGGGTTTCTATTTAATGTAACTGCTTATTTATCACGTGCCATTTTGTAATATGTATTTATATCATTGATAAGATTTTCTGGAGAAAATGAGGAGATAAAAAAAATACTTTTAAATTTATTTCTTTCTTCAATATTATCATGTCTATTCAATTAAAGAGTACCAGAAATCGTAAGATCAAGCTTGCGGCTTCTGCTGGAGCTGTACTCGTGGGAGTTACATATGTTATATTAACAACTTTTCCACATTTAAAAACTTCTATTTACAACATTTTTACTGGTACTGAACTGCAACCATCCAATGATAATGAACCAATAGAGCTCAGAGATTCCGACGAGTCAAACTATGAAGAATCTGACTATGACTCAGAATCAGAAGCTGAAGTTCGACCTGAAGTTGAAGTTGAAGCTTCTAATGGTTCTATTGATGTGCTGGAAAGTTTGGTCAATGTTGAAAAATGGTCAGATGATAATTTAAAAAGTTGGCTCAGCGAAGTAAGTATCAAATTAGGTGGAGCTATTATCAATAGAAGTCCGGGTACAATTTTTAATTGTATTTTACTCAATGTATATAAAATTGCCTTCGATTGATTTCAATGCTTCAAATTTTACAGTATACTAACACATATAGAAAGATATCACACCTCCGTCCAATGCTTCTCATAATAACCTTGTTTCCCTTGTTAACTCAATTAAAGAAAATTCTACTTAGTTACGATTTGATTGTGAATTTGAATTTGACTAAGATAGTTGCCACCATAATATTGTACGTCCAAAAACTTGTAAAATAGTTTTGGATTTGTCTTGTGATATTATGTCCCGAGAGGGGAAAATGACCTCAATGATATTTCAACTAAAGAATTTTATAATTACGAGATATATACATGACTAATAACTTCTATATGTATACTATATATTTCTGTCTATACACCATGTATTTTTCTATTTATACAATTAGTTTTTTTTCCGCCCTCTCCAAGTTGACCATTCATTAATTCCCTTTTCAAAGTGTTTCCTAGAAAGTCCAACAGTTTGTGAAGGAAGATATGCGAACTTGCATCCAATAGTCTCCACATCTTTATTTCTACTTTCATCATCGAATAGGATAAATTCGCCGTCTCGCAATTCATCTTCTAAATTTAATTCTTTGGCAGCTTTCATAATGTGTTTAGTTTTAGACCCTTGACCCCATTGGAGCGACAGAAAGTATTTTATCGCAGGTTTACCTCCCACATGAAAAAGTGAAAGTAACTCTTTTGCAACTTTAGGAGTAGCGGTTCTACTTGCCCCAACAACGGTTATCCCTTGGTCTGCAAGTTCAAGAATGATGGATTCCACTTCAGGATACAATGATAATTCCTCTCCGTATTTATCCCTAACTCTAGATTTTGAGAGTGGTTTGAACGGCATACTAACATGCGTATCGCACCAGCATGGCCAGATTGTGTAGTCCAAGTCTAGTACAACCACAGTAGGATATTCTTGCATGGAGATTGTTCTACATTGTAATAATACTACGTTGCTTAACATTAAAATCAATTTCTAATCTACAAAAGTAATGACCAGGGCTCAAATGCCCATCCAAAAAAGAGCTAGATAATATGGAATCGATTGAAATGGAGGATAGATAGTGTCCGTTTCTTAAGATAGAAGGTTACTACCAATGTATTTAATGAGTCCACTATATATTGAGATACTGTATCTCATCTGAAAACTAAAAGACAGGGCATTCTTATTTATAAAGTTAAATCCTGATCTATATGTAGTACGAAACACTTGTACGTGCCTCAAGGTTAGCAGAAGAACATTTCATTTAAGTGTGAAGCGTGAGCTCATTGTTTGTGGCAATTTAACGTTACAAATGGATATTCGTACAAAGAGGGGTCATACTTTTTCCGATAAGGGAATCTAGGGGAGGGACTGCACTCAGTTAATGTCCGCGGAGTTTCACATTCATTGTTAATCGTGACCACCTTAGATAACAGAGAGATGTACAAATTATTCACGGGCATGGAACTAGTTAAAATTCAATGTGAATATACCAAGTATAATAGAAAGTATATTAGATTTTTATAAAATATATTACATTAATACAATTATTAGCTATTTTTCTGATAGTGTCAAAAGTTGTATGATTGAATTTTTTTTCTCCACAATAACGTTTAATCTTGCTTTGTAAATCACACGACCAGTGAAGTGGGATATCATATATTTGCCCCCCTTTCCTCTTCACTGTGTAAGTTAATGGCAACTTTTCTAACCACCTCTACTAATCATCATGTCCACAATTAAACATGTGTCACTTAGAGTGTGGCCCTCGCGTAATATCAATGACAAAAATGAACTCTCTTCTGAGAAAGTTAATCCCCATGTGGTACACTTTGATATTTCTCTCCTGGAACTTAGTAAGTATGTAACATCAAAGGAGACTTTTACTACTTTTCTTTCAAGCCAGTCTCATGCAATCTTAGACGATCCAAATTGTATTCACATTCAACGAAAGTCGAAGAAACATAAGGACTACGTTGCATTGGAAACAGAAGAAGATTTCAAGTCAATGGCAAGGAGTTTACAAGTAAAAAATCTGTTGAAACTACTTGTGACAGTGAAAAAAACTAATGTAAAATCCGGTGCCGAGAGTTCTGAATGTTCAAACTCAATTAATAGCGAACGTGATCCTGAGAATAACAAGAGAAAATCGGGAGAAGAGGTACAGGGTAAGACGTTCTTCCTTGAAATTGGGGAGGTTATGTTGCAAAGTGTTTTTGAACACTTGCAAGAGATGGCAGTCACTCAGTTAAACAGAAAAGAGTTTACAAAGGAAGATGAAGTAGGCAAGTACGCTACTACCAAAACTTCTGATTCACCTCCAGGTTCAACAAATGCATCTCTGATTGTACACAGAAACATTGCGTGTGATTCTTGTTCCCCTGATGAATTCCGTCCAATTGTAGGAACAAGATACAAATGTTTGATTTGTAAAAACTTTGACTTGTGTGAAAATTGTGAGGGAATGAAAATTGAAGTGGCTGGCCACAATAATTCTCATGTAATGGCTAAAATTTTGACTCCAGAACAAGGCGAGCTCCTTCAAAAGAATATTGCACCATCTACCCAGAAAGCAGGACCTGTCCATAGTAATGTTGTTTGTGATTCTTGTTCCTCAATTCATGGAAGTACAAAGAGTATTGTTGGGATTAGATACAAGTGTTTAGTTTGTGAAGATTTTGATTTATGTGAAGAATGTGAAGCGCAAAATGTCGAAAAGCCTACTACTTTAGGATTCCACACCGTTTCACATCCAATGATCAAAATCTCTAACCCTGAGCAAGCCAACTCTCTTAGAGCGGGTTCTCTTAAGAACACTCCTCCTCCTAAATATCTGTACCAAGCCGATGACATCGTATTTGATATTCCATTGGGAAGTTGTTCGTTGGCAAACAAAGACAAGCTTGAGAGTTTATTAAAGAATGCTGATATTGAACAATTTTTCAAACATGTTGATTCTTATATTGAAGATTCTCGCAAATATAACAATTTACTCTCCATGATTCCAGGAACCAACACGGATGCAAAGTATTCAACCATCATTAGTAAGATTAAAGAACAACCAGAAGATGCCGCAAAACCTAGTTCTGAGGAAAATGATAGTAGTATTGATGATGGGAATGTTTTGGTTCATGTTACAAAGTCAAAACCTTCATTTGTTGGATTCAAAATATCGAATAACTCTTCGTTTAACATCAATGGGAAGGACTTGGAGTTTGAAATTTTGAATGGGTCTAATAGTCAATGTATCGAAGTTCCAAGTTCGCATGATATTTCACCTGGTAAAAGTAGATCATTTAATTTGTCTTCGAACGAAGGTGTTCAAAATTTTTCCATTGTTGATAACACAAGATTGAGGATTCCTACAGCCAACCCGAACGTTTACATGGAAGGGAACCTTCTTGAAACGGGTGTATCTATTTTGAATCCAATCCACCGGGAGAAGAATATCCAGTCGTCTTTGCCTACAAGTTCGGGATCGATTCATGCGACTTTATCTATAAAATCTAAGGGTTTGGCGCAAATTCTTGTTACAAATAATTCTTCTCTCCCCATCGACTGCAAGGATTTAAGATTTGAAGTTATTAATTGTTTCCAACAACCAGTTTGCAGTTTGTGGGTTAGTAAGAGACATCCAATCTTACCAGCCAGATCATCGAGATTTAACATCTCACTTAGCAGTGCTCATCTCAAGTATCCATTTATTCTTACCATCAAGAATAAATGTATCTTTGGTGAATGCGAGATGAGTTTTAAAAAATTGGATGGGGTTTTCCAAATTCAAAAGGTTGATAATTATACAGAAGTCCAATCGGATGATATGGAAGATGTTTTGGACATTAGCAATCCCGCACAAGATGAAACTGATAATATGGAAATCTCAGAATATGACGGGAAGACTACGGAAGAATTTACTGATGAAAAGAAAACTAACGAGCTGGATTTGAAAGTTGATTTATCAAACAAGCAGTCTGAAACTTCAAGAGAGGCGTCACCTGAGACAGAAACGGATTTGGACGTGATGGAAAAAACGTTAGGGAATTCTGAACTGTCGGACGAAAAAGAAGTCACCCCAGGATCAATCCATTCTATGGTATTACCTATGTTGCCAAAGGAAATTTTTAACTCAACAGACTTAAAGAAATTATCGTCTTCGGAGTACATTGATGCCAAGTCTACATTGAACGAAGAAGCTAAGGATGATGAAACAAACTATGAAGCTGAGTATGATATTATTAGTACAGATGCAGGGGAGGATTTCGGTTCAGATTATGAAATTTTGTCACCAGTTACAAGTAATCTGCAACCTTGAAGAGGTGGTTTTGTATGGTTGGTGGGTTTTTTTTTAACATTTTTATAGGTTTATATGGTAATGGTATTTTTGTTTTTTAGATGTTGTGTAGGAATTAATTTGATATTTTTTCCATTACACGACGTGTACGCCGCGGTTTTGAAATTGTAAAACTCTCTGTTTGTGGATTTTACTTTGTGGACTACCTATTCTGAATACTATACATTACTACACAATACATGAGAGGACAATCTACCAAATCAGTCGGTGCTACTGTAGCTTCGAGAGAAGGAGCACCTGAGAGTGAAGGTGAGTGGATTTGAATTTTTTTTTTGATAGCCTTTCGAATAGAAGACTGATTTACTAACATTCATAGAACAGAGATTTAAACAGAAATGCAAAGAGTTAAAGAAGAGGATAAATGAGGTGGAAGAAAGTAATGAGATTGCCACACTTGCATTAAGCAGAACTAAGACAGCTATTCGTCGTTTGCGTCTTGAATATGCCATTTTGTTGGAAAGGTTAGAGGAACGTGCCATAGTACCTGCTTTTGACGGAGAAGATATGCAATTTCCTCCTACCCCCATTGTACTTGATGAGTCATTAACTAACAACTCCAAGCTGGTGAAGGGGGGAGCAGCGAAGAAAAATGGAAGAAAAATTGGTGGACGATCAGGATCCACATTATCAGGATCTAATGCTACAACAGGAAAAACTGGTAAAATTCGTGATCCTGATTTACCGAAAAGACCTACAAATGCTTATTTAATCTTCTGTGAGATGGAAAAGGATAGAATAAGACAAGAGTTGGAAGCAAAAAATCCTGGCGTGGTGAATGACTTATCGAGAACTTTAACTGAAGCTTGGAAAAACTTGGATGATGAACTGAGAAAACCGTACTATAAACTTTATGAAGATGACAAGGATAGATACCAGAGAGAGATGGCTGTGTATAATCTGAAAAAGGATGACGAGACTGAATCTGCATTGAAACTGCCTGCCAAGAAGCAGAAACTCGAGAGTCCAAAGGAAATGGAAACTGATACAGTTATTCAACAACAATTGAACTCTGATATAGATACACCAGCAAGTGAATTGAACGAAATTGAAGAAAATGTTACTGAACTGGTTGAAAAATCAGATAAAGAAGCTGCTTCGCATAATGAAAGAGACGGTCAGGAACTGGAACCTATATAACTTGATGCGGACAGACTATTTAACCAATATAAATATACGGGAATACACAGTACTTTAAGTTTTTTAATATTGCACTAACTTTATATACATTTATTTGTTTAAGAAAATTTATTTCTCTTTGTTTTATAATAACCATTGTCATCCTTCTCGTGCTTTCTCTTTTCTCTAAATCTTTCGTGCTTTCTCATCTTTCTTTTTGCTGCCACATCAGGGGCGGTGATGTTTAATTGAGCACGCTTTGTTCTTCTGTCTTGACGTCTCTTATCGACAGTTTGCTTCACAAGAGTATAAATCTTAGTATATTCTGTAACTCCTAGCTTATTTTCAATCATCAGATTACATTCTGTCGACAAGTTAACCAATTCAGCTTCGGCTTCACTGTTGTTTGGGTTGAGGTCGTTGAAGTTGTACATTCCCAACATGAATCTTTCAGCAGCAACTGGTAATTTTTCCTCGGGAATAATTTGAACTAACATAGCTGCAAGTTGAATACTTGACTTCTTTGACACAAATGAGTCTCTGTAATTGTTTTCCTGTCTCATAATGGCACTCACTCTTGCAACAAGATAGTCCATTGCAAATTTGTATTTCACCAGTTCTTCTTCGTCCTGAGATTCGCTCTTGAATTCATAAATTGTTTGGTTCTTCTCCCATCTCATGGCAATGATGACCAAATTTTTGACGATTTGACCCCCTAAGGCTTCAGAAATAGAAGGAGCACCAAGTTGATGTAATAATCTATATGCAACAGTTTGAATCTCATAAGCTGTTAAAGTGAACTCAATCGAATCTAAGTTTGATAACAACATTCCAACCAAACGACTAGCAATGAGACGAACCCAAGAATGTGGATAAAGAAGAGATTCTAAGACAGCTGCCCAAATTGAAGCGTACGCACTTCCAAAAATAGAATCCTTTAACGTACTTGCAAGTGTTGACAATACGGATAAAGTCGAGTATACAAGTTCCCATTCAACATCAGTATTGTTCTCACTATCACTCTTAGAAGCAATTAAAATTTCTTGAATTCTGGCGAGTGCCAATTTGTCCATTGTTGTGCTCTTTCCAAAGCCAAATTCTGCAGCATATAATTTGTATACTTGAAGTCCACATCTTTGAAGTAAACGGTTATCATCTTGGGATAACCAAACTGAACAGTACTTTTCAATCTGGGTCAAGTTTTCATGGCCAAGTTTTTTGAACATACTACCAAGTAATGCGGCAGCCATTTCACGACACTTAGAAGAGTCGTCACTAACCACGACATTAGCCAATCCAATGAAGAAAGAAGAAGCCAATTTGCCAAGTAACTCAGATCCTGATTTGAAGATAATCAAATGAAGCAATTCCATAACAGACAGTCTACCATCTTGAGTCGCATAGCTTAAATTATTAAGCAAAAATTTGAATTGCTTTTCCAATCTTCCTCTACCTTGATCATATTCCATTAAGAATTGGAAGTATGCACTTCTGGACATATCTCTAATTTCTTTAGCGTGGTTCACAATCATGATCTTCGAAACCTTATCCATGGTATCATAAACCTCTGGAATCAATACATGTTGGGAAAGAACTGCCTTTAGGAATGCAAAAGCCAACCCTTGTCTGTTAGGCTCTTCCAAATCTGGTTGAATTCTCACTAATAAGTAACTGATGGCAGTTTCTTTCAACTTAATATCAGACTTGTGTCTAATTACGGTGGCAAGGAATTTCAAACAAGCTTGACATAACTCTGAGTTAGTTGAAGGACAATCCTTAACGATATTGAGAGCACGTCTTGAACACGACTTGAAGGTATTATCAATTTCTTGTGAGAATGGTAACTTAATAACCAAATTCAATACTCTTAAGCATGAAATTATTACTCCTTCATTATTAGACTGAAGTCCACTTTCCAACAACGGAATAAATCCTTCAAGATTTGTCACGGTTAACAATGATTCATGACGTGTGATCGCAGTTCTCAACAAATCAAATGAAAACTTCTGTAAAGTTGTGATATACGAGGCATATTCAACTTGTGTCTTTTGCGGCTTGGCGTTAAGTTTGACAAGGAAGTGTCCCGAAGTATCATTCTTCTTCGATTTATTATCTCTATACCCATCCCGCTTATCCAAAAGCCCAGTCGATTGCTCATGAAGTTCGTAACACAACTGAAGAATGGCATGTGACGAAGCCTCATTATTGTGATTCAAACCTAATGCATATCTTCTCAACAATTCATCCAATTTATTTTGCACCTTCAATGATACATTTTCTTGTAAAAGCATTTTCACTGGCGAGACCAAAGTACGGAAACTTTTCAAGGATATATTAGCAGAAAGTAATTCTCCACTGTCAAAACTCTTGTTAAATTTGACTTCCTTCATCTTACTGGTGTAACCTTCAGCATCCTTTTCTTGACCAGCAGCACCAAAAATATCTTCCATGATAACGTTGACGACCATTTCAGCAGACTCATCCAAATCAGAATGGCTTAAAGACTCTTGCATCGTAACTAATAAGGTATGCACGGTAAAACTCAAAACATGGATTTGAGAACCTCTAGATAACGAAGTTTTCAATTCTTGCAAGATAAACTTGAAGTACTTAGCACCAAGGGTAGTTGCAATTCTTCCCAAACTCTTACGAACTGCATCTCTAAGCTCTTCGGACCTAGATCTAATAACTTGACAAGTACTGGTTAAAATACCTGGTAATTGTGATTCAACCAAGTCGTCGGAAATACAAGTGACTAAGTTGGTCAATGCTTCTGATAATCTAATACGTGACACGATAGTTTCATCGTCTCTAATAGCCAAAACTTTAGCGATTTGTGGGAACAATTCTTGAGTGACATAAGAGTCAAATTCCGCAACATTGGTTGGTCTATTCTTCATAACATCTAATGTGGTATCAGTTTCCATGTCATCAACATCGCTAGATTCCGAAGCACCATTGGAATCCATCAATGATCTTGAAAGAGCAACAATTAAGGCAACATGATCTCTTAATGATTCTGGCTTGCTCTTCTTCAAGTTTGAAACATATCTTCTGAACAAAGCTTTAAATTGATTCCAACTGATACAACGGGCTAAGAAACTAATGGTATCCACAGTTTCGTTTGCAATATTTCTCAACTTCTCGTCGGTACATAGAGCATAATGTTCGATTATTGGTAAGATATAATGTGAGATACTTCCATCAGACAATTGATTACGATATTCTCTCAATCTCTTAATAGCTCTTTGACGACGATGTAATTGAATATGATTAACATTATGGAAAAAATTAGCTTCCTCATCATTGTGAAATAAAAGAACTTTCATGTCATCAAGTTCATCAAAATATTTCAGATGTTGCACAACGTGGGCTAGGACACTGATATACTCAGTTTGAATGACTTCGGTTGATTTTCTCAATCCAGTTCTAATATTTGGCAATACAGTGTCTTTGAACATATGAATATGTTCTTTAGCAACATCAAATGAGTCCATTTCCGAGAAAGAATCCACAAATCTGTTTAACGTATAAGTGGCATTTGTTCTAATAGCAAGTTCCAATTCATCATTAATAAAGTAGAGAGCACAATTCAATATTGGGAGCCATTGAGTAGTGGTAAATTTAGAGTACATCTCATCGTTAATCTTTTTGAAACTATCCAAACGTTTCTCGAAATCTGGTTCTTCCATTCTTTTATTAGAAAATGCATTCAAACCTTGAAGAATATCAGCAACGATATCAAGATGCTCAAAACGATTTCCAAAACTTCGGAAAACGGTGACCAAAGTATCACGAACCTTTCTTTCGGAAAAGAGTCTAAAAGATTTGGAACATGTTTGGTATAACGCATCCACATCTGCAAATGAACAGTCATAATTGTCAATCAACGATGACAAGGATTTCAAAATATTCACCTTATTTCTAATGTCCACTTGAGCATGTGGCTTATCTAAAGCTTTAGCCAATGATTCAATAAGAGCACCTCTTGTAGAATTATCATCCACATAATCTTGCTCAAGTAATAACAATAAGATATCAACAGCCTTAGTGTTAACGTCACGATTTGCCGATCTATCAATAATCGCAGGAAGAGTTTTCAACAAAACAGTCACAATATGAGCAAGTAAAGAATAGTATTCATCGTCAATTGCTTGTTTTTGCAAAGCGGAGTACGCAAATTCTAAAACAGTTAACAAGACAACATCCTTTGAATTCTCATTTTCAAGTAAAGATAAGATCGATTCAACAGCCGAGTAGTTATCAACATACAAAAACTTAACAAGATTAGGGAATGCAATCCAACCTGTCATGACCTTCATCAAAGATGATGTCTGTTGCAAATTCTCAGGAGCAAACTTGGCAAGTCTTGGCTTCACAATATAGCTGTGAATAACGTTGATGTATTTATCCCACTGGAATTGTTCTCCCAACAAGGTGAACAATTCACTTAAACTCCTCATACCAACTTGTCTAACATTTCTGGCAGACTTCTCAATTTTCTGATCTTCCTCCGCAATAGATTCCGCATCAATCTGTCTTTGAGCAATAATTAACGAGTATACTAATGGTTCTATAGTTGTCAGAAGGACTTCCAGGTACTTAGAACCTAAGACACCGTATACGTCACTCAATAATTTAACAAAACCATTGATTCTTCTCATGGTCGTGATTGTAACGTTGCTGTCAAATTGTGGTTGTTCACCTGAGAATAATTGATGATAACCAATTCTTTCAGAACCTAAATTCAAGAAGCTAGTGATATCATCCGGAGATAAATTTGGTAAAACAGTAATCACGGCGAATTTTCTACCAGTTTGACTATTACTCTTTGGCGAACTTTGAGCACGTCCAAATAAGATACGTAAAACAATTGGCATCAAGACAGATAAATCCTGGTCTTCAATTTTTGAGTCAGTATCTTTGGTAATAAACTTAGCAATTTCATCTCTGAAAATAGTATTATCTAACAAATTCAACAAATTATCTCTGTATTTATTAAGAGTTCCAATTTTCCAGTTCAAAATAACCTCCAAAGCCATCTTTTGTACTGGTGCCTGTTTGTTACAAAGTAATTTCAACATATGTTGATAGAATTCTTCACTAGCATAAATTTTCTTCAAGTTCTTGAACTTTGAGAATAAGCCAACTAAGGAATTACGGTCTTTCAAATTCCAAACAGCTGCGACATCAACATCCAGTCCCGATTCAGCTTCGTCATCATCTTCTTCTTCAACGTCCAGCTTGTGCAAGACAAGTGGAACTAAAATATCAGAATGAGCCTCAGCAATCAGTGGGACAGCGGCAAGAGCTTGGAGAGATTGAGATCTCATAATTTCACTAAATGTGGTTTCTCCTCTAGCAGCTTCCGCATGTGCCAAAAGTGAAATAGTGACAACCGCATACTTTTCAAAATATGTTTTATTGACATAGTGGAAACTTCCAGTGATTCTGGTATCATGAGGTAACCAAGTGATTAACGGACTAAAACCATTTTCTCTCTCTTCAGCAAAACCTGAGAATAAGGATGGTGGGCCATAATTCTTTTCTTGGGTATCAAAGTTCAAGTTCATAAAGTATGAACTTAGGTTCCAAATTTCTTTGGAGCATAAGTGTGATATAAGAGGTAAAGCTTCAAAAACGGCGAGCCAACAAGGTTGAAATTTATTAGTCAACAAACCAAACATGTATCTTGTTATGAAAATAGTTTCAAGTTCTGTTGCTTTTATCAATTTCTTGAATTCGATTGCCATATTTCGTATTCTCAGAGCTAAATCTCTACCAGTGTTAAGCGAGAGTGGAATCTCTTCAATTATACGAATATCAGAGAAAACAACTGGTACTTCCTTTTTCAAAACCTCGTGAATTTTAATCGCCAACTTGATAGAATTATAACGCGCCTCATGATTTGATAACTTCAAGTTGTTTGAAATTTGCATCAAAATATCATCGAAGTTCTCTTCCAATACATGCACTTTTGAAGCGTCAATATCCTTAACCAAATTTTCCATGGCTAAAAGGAAAGTTGGAGATTCTTGGAACTTTGAAAAGTTTGTCACAACAATATCTAAGACTTCTGAAGTATAGGCAGGGTTATTTTTGATTTGAAGCAAAAGTAAATCAACAATAGTAGCTGCAATATCCTCACTAAAATTGCATCTAAAAGTAAATGAAGAATTGGAAAATTGAGCTAAGACACCAATCAAAAATTTGTACATTTCTTCAGATTGATTGGTAGTCTCACTATATCTCAATGCTAGAAGTCTCCAATACATTTCTGATAAATCTTCTGGAGAGTTGATTGACTTGTAGTTTAATTGCTTTTGAACCAATTCTTGAGTTTGTACAGGGATTCTGATATCACTAGCATGTTTACTTCTCAATACAAAGTATGACAATCTTTGAATATCGGAATCCAGCGAGCTATGAGTATTTACAAACTCTTGGACATGTTTGGAGAGTCCAAAGTTTGTCATTGTTGGTCCACAAATATCCATACTAGTATCAACAAAGCAATAAAAGTATTTGCCGCTATCTAACAGGGCAACAGCTTCAAGCAATTTGAGATGATTTCTTGTAAGGTCTTGAACACTGCAATTACGGAATATGATAACGACGAGATAAACAACCGAGTCCAGCAAAGTGGTACAACTGTATTTCTTGGTAATAATTAAGGAGAGAAAACCTTCAAGCGTGGAAAGTAATGGAGTCCATGAAGTTATTTTCTTACCGGATTCAGCAAATGCAAGGGTGGTCAAAAATTGTGAAATGCAAATGAGTGAAACTTCATCTATAATATCCGAACTGAGAAGTTTACTCAAGTGTGTAGTAGCAAGTTTATAAAACTTGTCACAAGCTTCAATTGAACCATGATTTAAAATACTAAGAATGATATCACAAACAATTGAAACGTGCTTAGCACAGGAGGATGGGTCACGGGAGAGAGTGTTTTCCAAAAGTTTTGAAAACACCATAGGGGCCTTTGAGTGGAATGCACCACGTGTGCTCTTCATACCTTCACTGTACATGACAACCAACGACTGACAGTATGCATCGTTTTCTTTAACCAGCAGTTCTTCAGAATTGAAAGAAAATGCAATTATGGCATCAAGAGAATTTTCCTTCAGTTTCCTTACCAAAAATGAAAGGGCCTCAGCACAATATCTAGATATATACTTCTTAGTAGTCAACTTAAGCAATGGGGATAAGACTTTAAATGTTGGTAACAAGTCGTTTGCAAGAGATTTACTCAAATATTTGAAAGTGAAGGCCATGCAGTTGAAGGACCATTCCAATACATTTGATGAGTTTCTGTTGTTTTGCGAATCATTTGGATTTGTGGCGGTAGCTACCTCCATAAGCAATTCAAGAGTACGAATGTAGAACGGTTCAATAAAGTCCGGCCCGAGATCATGGATGAATTGAGATAAAAGCTCGAGAAGAGGTTGGATGGAGTACACATCATTCAATTGAATATGAGTATAAAGTGCGTCGTAAATTGTATTTTGATGGTACAAGATTTGTGGCAATGTTTGGGAATGTATCTCTACCTTGTCTAAAAACTCAGTAAAGTTACCACTAACATTAATCTCCTTCCAATGCTCCAAAGTTGAGAGGAAATGAGAAGTTTCAGCATCATCATGAGCTCTTTTGGATAGACTGAGATGAGGGTCAATTTTGATAGAGTCCACTCGTTCTCTAAACGACTGAAACGCATGTCTACGAGCTGATTGCGTTGTCTTCTTACCTGGTGGTGCTTTTCCCATGGTAATATATGAAGGGTACAGTATCAGTTTGAAACGTTTACTAGATCTGCTTCTTTTACCACAAAAAAAATAATCAAGAGCTCATCTTGTCAAAATGGGACACAAAGAATTTCAAAATCACATGCAGGACCATATTATTTTTCTTCTATAGCAAACAATATAATAATAACATTTATATACAAGGAAGTTAGACATTACCTATATTTTTCTAACAGGGACTCCATAAACACCTCTCCTACTCATATTGTTGTTTAATCAGGTACTATTCCTAGTACTCAATAAAGATTGAAATGTTAGAGCCTCATTATGCGCACGTGACATCCCATCCTGCATATGCACTCGTGAGAGACGGGTTTTAAGATTTAATGTAGAGACTGATATACGGGCATTACAGTTTGTTAATATTGGGAATCACTATATTGAGAACAAAATTAAATAAATTTTATACTTTGGAACAAAATATTGGTCAAATACCATGGAGTCGACACCATTATTGAGTGAAAACCCCCTTGAGTATCTGCATCAACTTTCTAAGGCATCGAAGGGGACCGTGAGTCCCACTTCTAATGCTCCGCATGTTAAAGCACCTTCGAAGATACCTCAATCGTCCAAGATTGGACTACAAAGAACTAGTCGTACAACCCAGAAGCTTAAATTACTTCCAGAAGATCCAAATCTCGAACCTGATGAAATTGAACTGGGGAATGAAGTATATTCACAAGTTGGTCGTATCAAGGATGCTCCCGCTAGGAAAGATGCCGAGACATTAGGAAAGATGCACCGAGATATGCTTCCAAGAGTAACGGCATACTGCACATGTGGGTCATACAAGATGAAGGAGTTATTGAGATGGCTCAAGGATAGGAAAAGAATCCATAATACAAGTCCCAAGCTTTTTGACGAATGTTTATACACCCCCTTCACATATAAGGACTGGAGAAATGGGCATGAAAGTCCCGGAGACATACAGCACCAATTCATCAGGCTTGCAGATGATGGAGGAGAAATTGATATTGGTAAGAAGAATGATTTATTCATTTTTGATTATGGTGTGGTTATCATGTGGGGATACACAGTTAAGGAAGAACAAGCATTTTTAGAGGATTTAGCTCGCTTTGAGAGTGAGAAGTTATCAGCTGAAGATGTTCAGATTGAAGAGTTCAACTATTATATCACGAAATCGTACCAACCTCGTATTTATAATGATTTCATCACTCTTAGAGATGATTCTAATTATATGTTGAAGCTTTCAATATCGCATGCACTTGCACAGAGTGTAAAAATCTCACTTTTTGAAGAATTGGTAGATAATACTATAGAAGATACACAGGATATACCGCTGCAAATTGCCCACACAGGTAAAGTTGAAATGAATAGAGATGAAATCATGAAATCCATAGGAGAATTATTCATCTTAAGAATAAATATAAATTTACATGGTTCTGTTTTGGACTCTCCAGAACTAATGTGGGCAGAGCCGCATTTGGAACCAATTTACCAAGCAACTAGAGGTTATCTAGAAATAAACCAAAGAGTAGAATTACTTAACCAGAGATTAGAGGTTATTTCCGACCTTTTACAGATGCTTAAGGAACAATTAGGGCATTCACATGAAGAGAATTTGGAATTTATAGTTGTTGTACTTGTTGGGGTTGAAGTTTTGGTTAGTATTATCAATATTGTTATTGATATTCTTACATATTGAGTGCTCTAGAATTTCAATTTATTTCCGTATGAGGTCATACAATCCCGTAATAGAGAAGAATTTTCAAACCATACGTAGCAAACTAACTCGTAAAATACGATTATTACCTTAATATTAGGGTAAAATATTATTCCCCTGCTTGTTTCGCATTCCTGCTGCTACATTGGTGAGATAGAGCGCGGAAAACCCCCCAAAAAAAGTCATTTGTGAAAGTCATGAAAAACAATTCATTTGCCACAAACACTCGCCACATATTTTTTGGTTTTCCGCCACAAAAAAAACTTTCTCATTCTCGTTGGATTAACATATATTACATAACTGATGAGGTAGGTCAATACTGATAGTTCTAGTGACTTCAGACTCAATTAAGATTACATGCAGCAAACGTGGCGGAGCTCTGTTTACTACTACAAAAGCTTAAAAGTGCAGTAATCGTTAAATATTTTTTCTCACCTTTTTATTTTTCTCACCTTTTTATTTTTTATAAAAATCGAATTATTGCTCACTTTTTTGAGAAAAATGAGAATCCTTGTGGCAAGTGAGGTCGTGTGTGTCGGAAGCAATCAATCCTTTCTGTTCAGGCGTGGCGAATGACTTGATTTCATTATTTACTTGCCACGATTAGCAGCCATTTTCATATTAGTATTAAATCTAGAATCTAATATAAGGGTTTACTTTAGAAATTTGCATATAATTTATTAATCAATACTCTTTCAGAGATCCAGGAAACCCTTATGATCAATTTGAGCTCATCAAGTTATTATCAACTATCAAGAACGTAAACTATAATTTCTTGAAACTAAGTTCAACTAGTCTCAACTGTTGTGTTACTGGAGAATCACGATGTCCACCAACGTACGAGCTGGTAACAGTAAGAGTACATTCAAGACCCGTCGATCGACTCCGACCCTTATACGAACATCCAAACTTTCAAGTGAATACCTTCGTGAAAAGTTGATCCCAGAGAATGTTCGAGTGAAATTACTGTACACCTCGGATTTGAATTCTATGACAGAGAATTGGTTAGAGGAAGAAATTCAAAACCAACGACGATTGGTTAAGTTCAAGTTTTCGAAAAAATCCATATCACATTTTGAAATATCATTTGATTCAATTAATGCTTCTGAGTTTGATCATACTCTCCCTATAATCTCATGTATATACTGGAGAGAGAGAAACACACATATTGTCACTTCAGTAGATATCGTTTTGATACTTGAATATTTGATTGAGCAAAGTTTTTCTGTTGAAGAAAAGAATAGAATTAGAAGAAATCTTCAAAACTTGAAACCATATACAATTACTCGTAATAATAAGGATGAAGAGCGCTTTTTTGCACATTTGATGAAAATGGAGAACCCAAGACCTAGAAATATCGAAAAGGACTTGAAAGTGTTTCAGTGGAAAGATTTACTCACTGCTGTTGAGAGAGTGGTTTCAAAGTATTCACCAAATTTTAAAAAAGTTCAAGAGAAATCACTTCCAAAGAGTTTAAAAGATATTATTCATGCAGAAAATGATGAAGATCCAAATATTGAGTCTGAGAATGCACCCTTCTTACCAAATGAAAGACTCAAAGTATTAAAGAAACAATTGCAATTGGATCAACTTGGTCTGCTGAGTGGGAAATTAAAACATACTTTATTTCAGCATGCAATTAAACCAACTGCTCCGATTCCCATCTTACCCAACATAGAGGACAACAAAAGTCGCGATAGTAACAATATCGTAGATACTAAATCACCTAAACAACTGTCATATGCTAATCAAGTTACCATGGAACAGGTCCTCAATGGTACCTCAGAACCTCAAATTAGCCCTACAGATGCTGATTCTAGACTGGATTCAGGATCAGTGTTAGTAAGATGTCAAATGAAGAATTATCTCAGACACCTCAAAGTACTCACCTGGAACAAATAGATCCTGAAAAGTCAAATTTTAACAGAGAAATATGCAACAGTATGCTAGGCGGTCAAAAGACTATTTCAAGTCAACAATATTTCCAATATCCTGCCATGTCACAATTATATAGTAAAACTCTGGAAAGACATAGTGAGTTTAAAGCACCAGATAAGCATCTTCAAACAGGACCTAATATTTCAGCGAAAACAACGTTACCCTCACTTTCTAGCATTATACCCGAATATTTACCGCAGCAGGTACATTCCGGTGCGCCACCGTATCCATCTCCATTCGCGATGCCGCAACTACAAACAACACCTCAGCACTCAACATACCCACCTTCAAGAATGCAGTCACAAGATGAACAAGTATATCAAGAGAACAGCTTCGACCACAAAGAGACTAAGCAGCAAACTTCCTCCGGTGAAGTTTCCTATGTCTTTTTCCAAATCAGAGACATGACTGCAAAATAAAAAAAAAAAAATTAAGCCGAGAAGTTATCCATAATTCACTAGCCACAAGTGCGCGAAAGTGTTCTTTTACATAATCCATTTAATATTTACATATATAGAGTTATCAACGTCTATTTGTTCTATTTCTTTTCCAACTGTTTGACAGTGTCCAGGAAACTAGGAGTACTTGTGAAAACTGCCCCCTTTTCGGTGATTGTAACATAATTTAAGTAATCAGCAGCATTTCTTTGTAGATTCTTTTCAGTTGAGAGCAATGACTCTGTCACTGGTAATTCTCTAGCAATTTCGTTTTCATGAACGTTTACATTTACGTCACTGGTTTGCAATAAAAGCGTTCTAGGTCCAATAACTTTAAGGTAATCGCCATTTCCAACAAGAAGATTGTATGTTGAAATTTTGGTGAATGTTGCCAATGATGTTAATTTGTTCCACCATTTTTTCACTGATGTTAAGTAACTATTATTGGAGGTACTTGATGGAAGTGGGGATGGTTTATTGGAAGAATCATCTGTTAATTTAACTGAATATTTGACAATGAAATTTTGTAAATCATGTGGACCATTCACTGTTGCTGCTAATAAATTTTTTTTATTTATTAAGATTTCTTCTCCTTCAATCAAATTGACCAGATAAACTTCTCCATTTCCAACAACCCCCACAGTACCTCTTCCAGTCAACAAGGTGAAACCTGCATCCTTCCAACTGAACAATCCCGTGGGAGTGTTTGGAGGTATTTTATTGGCCAGTGCAAGTTTTTTGGAGATTGTTTTAGGAACGTTATGAAACGATACTCCTAAGGATGGACCCGCGTAAACCTGTAAGGCATCCTTTGGAAGAACTGCCCAATCATTAGACCCATCCAAGTGTATAACGCTAAATGATTTACGTATGAAAGCCCTAGACCAGAACAGTGATGTGGAAGACGAAACTAATATTGAGTATGGATTTGTTGAAACAAATTTCTGGAATTGAAATGATCGTCCTCCAAATAAGAATGCCTTGAAAGGGCTGAGGAATTCTAATTGGGCTCTAATAGAAGATATAGATGTACCATTGGAGCTATATATAGACAACAACGCACCCTTCTTGAGGTTGATTGGATATGAAGGTGGAGAATGAACAGTTAGCACAGTCGATGGTTGACCCAATATTTGGAACTCTGCAGCTTCGCGCTGTTCTGATGATTGAACAAGACTTGGTGCGGATGTTACAGTCGGCAAGGTGGCAGATACACTGCCTGGTACCACAGCCGATTGTGATATAGAAATATATCTCACAAATCTAAGCATGATTATTTGCAATAATTGTTAAATATGATCGAGGTTATGGCTCGTTCTTTACATACTAACTCAATTGGTTATAACATAATTGAGCAAAGGCACGACTTTTTAGTTGATTAAATCTATATTTAAGGGTGTGATTTAATGAATAAAATATGTTAGGTAAAGTGATAATTACTATATGAGAAGTATAATTTACCATCTACCTTGCTTCTAGTATTTCATTCTTCACCGAAAGTTGAACAGGGGGACCAAAAATTCCAAAATTTGAAAATAAGGTAATTTTCTATTTAAACACTAAGGTTTTCAAAATTGGTTAGCAGATGCTCTAGTGGCGCAGAGGTTAGCGCTTCGTGCTTATAGCCGTATTACGACGATTTGGTTATACCATAAGTCACGGTCGTGTGAGGAACGCGACGGTCGTGGGTTCAAACCCCTCCTGGAGCATTTGTCTCTTTTTTTTCTATTCTCAGAAAAAAAAAAGTTGAGAAGAAAACTACGGCTCATCCGATACATTATTACACTTTAACGGGAATAGATACTTTATCTTATAGTTGGAGCTAATTATACATTGTATATATACTTGTAAGCTATATAATCTCATCAGTTTTTCTTTCAACAATTTGATTCATAGGGCTTACACATCATTTTCCACTAGAGAACTTTAATCCTTCTTTTTCTTGGAAAAGGATACTCCAGCTTTCATAAATTTCAAAAACCGGTCTCCGTATTCCTTTGCAGGGAGTGCAGATATAGTACTTCTTGGATGACTTAGAGATCTCCAAAATGTCTCAAGTTTCTTTTTCACAGAATAGTTAGTTAAACAGTCAATGATACCAAGATAATAAATCTCGTTCATTGGTGTATCATCTTCAGCAGTCGACCGAATTCCTCCATCATGACCGTAAAACACATACTGTGATCTACCAGGGAACACATTTGTAGGTAGATCATTTATTCGATCAATATCTCTGGGGTTTGTTGATATCAAGTCAACTTTATTGGTAGATTTTGGATCAAATACAGATAGTCTTTGAGCCATTTCTTCTGAATTTCCCCTTTTAACATCATGAACTCCTAATAATAAGGAATAGTCCATAACATTAATCTTCTTTAATAATTTTACATCTGATTCCAATTGATCAAAGAATAATTTCCGTTTAGCAGGACCAAATTTAATAGTGTCATGTCTTTCCAACCAGTTAAGATCCTTGAGAGTATACTGCGAAAGATCAGACTCATTTGGTGGAATTTGAGTAATTCTACCCCATGTAGAACCTTTTAAATCATACTTCACATGAATGTCTCTATGAGGAGGGAATAAGTTATTCATTACAAGAAAATGAACTTTCCTACTTCCATTCTTTAATGGCATCTTGACTCGATGTAAACCATAAAATTGAGAAATCAAAGTATTAGGGTTAGATTTGACATGTTCATAATAATCCTTCAAGATTTTGCGTAATTGTTTATGCTCAGCATGATGAATAGTTTTAATAATAAAGCGATAATCTCTTGAATAATAGAAAAATGACCCACTTTTACCTGGAGACCCCAATTCAGACAATATATATTTTCCTGTAATTGATACCAAATAATCTGCTGGGTCTAACCCAAAAAGAGATCTTAATTCACGGAAAACTTCAGGACAATAATCTTTAAATTTAAAATCATATTTGGAACTAGGGGTCAATTCACTACCATCCATATTGAATGATAATTTTTTCGAGGTAGTAAAGTCATCATCATTTAATTTTTTCATTATTCCAGAACATCTTGAAACTGCTACTCGAATCCCAGTTAACATATTATAGGCCATCACAAAATTTTCATGACCTTCACTAATTTTATTTCCAACTAAAACTTTTTCATCTTCCAAAAATTCCTTTCTTTTCCTTTTCATATTCCTACGAAGAGCAATTGAATTTCTCATTCTATTGAGTTCTGAGTTTGTAGAATCCTGTCTACTATAGTTATCAATGCTAGTTCTTGCACGAGATCTTAATACAAATTGTTGTCCTGTAGAAGTGAATGTGTTTTTTGTTGTGGGACGGGATGTATGATCCAATGAATATCTTGCACCTTGTTGTGCTGCGGAAATTGAAGGTTCATTACTCGTAGATGTTTCAAATGCTTGACTTGGAGTAGTGTGTCTTCTATTGTTAGAAAGGGCGATCGATGAAGGTATAGCAAAGGGATGACTAGTTGGATTTTTCTCAACACTACCAGCAACAGTATTATTTTCCACAGCATTCATATCATTAGAATGAGGAATACTGTTAATACGGGTATTGTAAGTTGTTTTTGTATCAATAGTTTGAAGAGGGTCTAGGTCATGCATATGGTTCGAAGTATCACCCTTGTTCTTTGTTTTGTCAATAGCGTTTCCCTGGTGTAAAATATATTGAAAGGTTTTCTGGGTAGAATCTCCAGCTTCAAGAGTGTGTTCTTGTTGATATCTATTTTCTGTAGGTTGATCTATTGAGCTAGGAGATGTTTCATTTGTGTCCTCCGAGGTTTCCGACGGAGTTACCTTAAATGAAGTTGGACTTGATGGAGAAATTGTGTTTGTGGATGATTTATGCGATTTATGAAGTGATGGCGGAGATAGTTCTCCATTGATTGATGTCATTGGTGAATGATCAGAAGTGATTTTATTTTTAGCGTTCAAATTTTCAAGTGACAATTCATGAACTTTCGAATTGGTAAATGACAGGTCGGCTGGCTGTTGGCTGGAAATTATCATGGGAGTGGCGTTGTCTATACAATAGCTATTCTCAAGATAAAATGTATCAATAAATTACTTTAATCCTCGTCCTTGCCGATACCTAAACACAAGCAATTTTGTTTTTCTTTTTTTATTAGTAAAAAAAAGAGATGTGTAGAAATGGAAAAATATACACACACACTCTTTTACACACAACAATAGTTTCCACACGCAATTTATCTAAATGTGGAATGGAAGTATTTGTGTAAAGATATATTCTCTGGAAAGATGTCTTTTCAAAATAATGGGTGATGGTTAAGATTCTGTTGTAATGTCACTACTTCGCTACCGATAGTTTACTGATGGACTGTATCATTCAGCCGAGCATATATCTCCCTCTTTTGCTTTGTACCATTTTCCCCAAATAAGGGGTGAAGCTCACGCGAATGTATGTATGATTTAAAAAATAAAAAAAAGAAATAGGAATGAAGGAGTGAGCATTTCCAGACAGGAAAGGTTAGAAAGAGAGAGGCTGTGAAAAAACAAACAAAGGAGTGATGTAGTTACTACATTAGTGTGAGAATGACTTCGGTTAAGTGTATGATTCTCTAGCGATAATTATCCGCATATTTGAATAGTCTATTTTCGTTTGCACTTACTTGTTTTATCCGGATTAAATCACTAAGCTTATCTCACGTTTCTTACAGTCACCCATGTACACTGGCACATTTAGTAATATTAATAATAGTAGTTAAAATCATAATAAAAACATCTAATTCGAGTATATCTACAGTCTTACAGGAAACCAAGAGAAGAATATTTGACGCCAAGAGATATGCTTAATATATTTTAAGCTTTCTTTCTCTTTCATTAATTACCGTTATAAAATTACATAGTAATGTTAGTCTTACTAGTAGGAGCTGGATTTTAGACTGAAGGCGGAAAAAAAAAGACTGTGTGCTAAATTTAGTGGTAGTATTTGCCACAATCTGAGTGCGGTATCGGAGAGCCGTTCCAATCGGAAAGACAGACAGAAAAAAAAAAAAAAGATGGTTTAAAGATAACGTTAAGGTACGTTGGACAGAAATATTTTTACATTCCTTTTCCTTTAACTCAAAACCATGGCATTAGGATCCCTTCTCAACGTTTTCAAGAGCAAGGATGCAAAAATAGAAGCAGAGCTCTTGGCTCAAGGCTTTGAAAAATCGGAATGTGATTTTGATTGTGGAACTTGTTCCACCAAGTTTCCAAATTCAGTCAAGATCCAAGATGATTCTGAAGGATCTCTTTGGGAAACTTCCAAGCCATATGGTCTTCAAGTAATTATTCCTACCGGGAAGACCGACTGGCCCCATGATGCGTATCTGGAGGAGGGGAAGCTTCCCAATATTGTATCCAATTGGGCGGAAAAGTCTGCCGAGAAATTTCCTGGCTTGGGAAGTGCCACCAACATTAAAGTTTCAGTATCTTCTTTATGTACACCTGAATTGAATTCAGGCAATGAAGAACATGCTAACCAAACTAGAGGAGACCTCTTATTATTGCCCTTCTTTGTGTGGGTGAGGAACGTGACCGTTGAAGATGTCGCTCAAGTATTGGATGAAGTTATCCCCATTCTTCTTGATCTTCGTGACAAGAAAAGTGACACCATTATAGAGAAAATAGATAATTTCCCAGAAGTAACATTTGAAATCTCCAAATTTCAATCTTATATTTTCTTGTGTTCCCATAGAACAAGAGATAAGTTATGTGGAATCACCGCACCAATCATGAAGAAGGAGATGGAAATTCATTTGAGAGATTTAGATTTACATAGAGATGAAGGTGACGACCGTGAGGGTGGGGTTCAAGTGAGCTATGTTAACCATATTGGTGGCCATAAGTATGGAGCTAATGTCATTATTTACTTGAGAAAATCTGGTAAGAATATTTGGCTTGGAAGATGTCGTCCTAATAATGTTCAACCAATCATTGACGAATGTATTTTAGGAGACGGGAAAGTGTGGCCAGAGAAGTTACGTCTTACTCAAAGACACAATCCTATCGAGTGGTAGATTAATATGTTTCCATTTCTTTTTCTAATTATATTTATTATATAAATTTATATCTTTGATGTATTATATGAACAGTTTTAAAACGTTAAGTCTTTTCTCCATAGAGTCCACGGTCTTTTCTTGTATATTTCTTGAGTTTGTGGTAATGATTTTGGTTAATCTTTTTATTTCTCTTGGAATAAACTCTTCTTCTCCATTGATTATTTTGTTTGTAAGTTTACGATAATATGGAATCATCAGAAGATCATCAGTTGGTTTAACGATTTCAGAACGTTCTGTAACTTTTGAATTGGAAATCTTGACAAAATTATCAATTTGTTTAAGAAATTCAATTCTAGAGGCAATATCTTGGCCTAAAACTTGATGTTGAATAAGATTATCCAAATGAGCAATTCTACCAGCATTTTCATCAAATCTTCCATCCAAGGAACGATGCAATCCGGTCTTTTCATTAATGAACTGAACAAACAGCTCAACGGTACGTTCTCCAACATATGCTTCTGGTCTTCTCAATCCATCAGAGTCAACCTTGGATGGATCAAAATATAAAATGGTTGGGAACAGCTGGACACCAAATTGTTTCATTAATTTTTCTGCAGAAACATCGGTAGTGACAACTTCAACCAATTGGATGACTTCTCCATCATTACCATAGATTCTGTTGGCCAACTTTTGCCAAATTGGCTTAACTTTTACACAATGTCCACACCACAGAGCAGTGAAAACAACCATGGATTTAGCAGTTGGTGCCTTCAACACTTGTTCTTCAAATGTCTCGTCATCCAATTCCAACACCTTTGAAGGCTCGGCCTCTTCTTCTGGCAGTGGGAGTCTTATGTTAGCAAGCAGCTGAACAAAATTACTTAAAGATTGTAAATCTCTACTACCTTCAAATTCAATTGGTTCATCATTCCCATGGTACATTTGAATCATTGGGAATCCTGGAATCTTATATTTCTTTGAAGTTTTTCTTCCATCCTTATCACCATTGATTTTTAAGATTTGAACCTTATCAAAATCAGCGAAAAGTTCTCCCAACTGTTCATAGATTGGTTCAAACAGTTTACAATGTCTACACCAATCAGCATAATAATCAACTAAAGACCACTTGTCAGATTGAATAACCAAGCTGTCAAAGTTATTATCGTTAACACTGGCAACTGAAGCAAGTACTGATGCCACCTGGGTTAATATTATCAAGAAATTTAACTTCATTATTAACGATATTAATGAAAGAAAATATTACAAATCAAAGTTGGAAACCTTATAATGGAAATTTTGTGCTGATAGTACATAATCGAACAAATGTGCAGGATTTCAGATTTTGACAACATATCATCAAAAGATAAATATGCTGCAAATAAATATTGAGGGTATACGTAGTCAGTTTAGCTATTTCTGTATAGTCTCTTATTCTAATGGACTCTACAAGGGGGATAAATTAAAATCAAAAAGATGAAAAGAAAAAAAGAAACAAAAACAAGGAATACAACAAAAGAAATGAGATATTAATAAAAAACTCTCTACAAAGTGTAAAATTAATCTAAGATTTCTTCTTTGTAAGTTAATATTAGACTAAGAGGATAAAAAAAAAGAATTTCAATTAATATATCCTGACATATATAAATACCTCTCAAATTAAATATGAAAGTGATTACCAGGTAATGGTAATGAGTGAACAACAACATACGAGTTGGTCTTGTCTGCCACACCGGCAAATGCGTTATACCATCCCAAGAATGCAGTGATTACACCAACGACGCCCCCGGCCCGCGTGACGCCTTCCTTCCCAGTCAATGAGCCTATCCCAAGTAAAATGAATGTTAAACACAAAAATGCAAATAATGCAAAAAACATAACGGTAGACTTTGAAGTAGTTAATACAAACATAAATGTAACTATAGCCCAACCGATGAGATAAAACCCAACTGCATTTTCAAACATTTGTGGGTCTTCATAAGCAGCGGCAATGCCAAAACTTTCGATATAGATGGCAGAAAATGAGAGCCAGAAACTACCATATGAAGCTAAGGCAGTACCACCAAAAGTGTTACCAATAGCCAACTCCCATACACCTGCAAGAAATTGGATTGCACCTCCATAAATACAAGCGGCCGATACTACCACGTTGGGGATTGTAATACCCATAGCCTTGGCATTATACATGGATAAGACGAACGTAGTGAATGCAAACGCAGAAAGTCCGAGAGGAGCTGGATTGGCAAATTGGTTGGTCGGGTATGGTTGAACACCAGGATTCATAGTACCACCGAAGGCCGCCATAAGCTCATGTTTAAGATATTTCTTATTACCCAAAATTACATATTCCAGGTTATCTCCATGATGAGTGACATATCCGATAGGGACGTCCGGAGTGCTGTGAAGACTGGACTGTGTGGATGCTTTAGATTCTGCCATATTGAATTTTGATGTGTTTAAAGAATTACTCTTTGCAAAATTCCGGAATTTCGTATAAGAGCGAACACGCGGTTTTAAAAGAGTCAAACAGCTATATCCGAAATGTGTAAAAAATGCCCTCCATATTTACGTGATAGCCTGACGCCGGTCGGCTCACAAGAACTCCGAAGAGAACCTTAATAAAAAAAATTTTATGCATTCACGATAATAATTGGTGAGGCGCATGTCATTTGTTTCACCTTGTTTGTTTTTTAATTTTTATTGTTCCAAGTTAAATCTTGGGGGTCTCTTGTTGGACAATCTTCGATTGTGTTGTCGGGGAAGGTCATGAGAGCAAAATAGAGTAAAATAAGACCAAAAAGGGGCACCACGAGGGCCCTTTTCAATGTTGATCAGGGTCGTAGTGTGACGTCAAAGAAGTAATCGGCGCGGGGCTTACCCCACTCAGATAATTTGCACAATTTGCACAAAACCGTTTTCGGTCTCAGTGAAATGTCGGTTCATTACCCAACATACGGTTATTTTTAAGATTACTGCATGACATTGAAATAATGTTTGAAACCTAATATCTTATATTAATTGTGGAGTAGGTGATTTCAATGACTGGCCTAATTGTTTTTAACTGATATCGTTTAATAAATCCACTTTCACTTAATATCTGAGTGGTAGTTGAAGTAAAGAAAAAAAATTAAAAAATAAAAATACCTTACACATGTTGTCTTATTATTTAACAATAGAGCTATATTGTGAAAGATGTTACGCCCATCTTGTACTGACGCTTGTACCTCTAAGATACATGGTGGGAGAGAGAGTATGAAAGAACCTCTTCGACGAATGTAGTATATTAAAACTCGATAGTTGCATCTTTAACTTGGTAGAATTGTACACAAAGCTGGATATATGAAATAATTAACCAATAATTAATCAATATTGATCTTCTTCAATATTTCATATTCACAGTTGACTTATTTTTTGGATTAGTTCAAGGTAAGATGTAATTGACAGTCTGACGATAATAAAACGTAATGAAATGATAAAATTTTATTATTATTTTAATAAATTATTTGCTGTGCTTCTAATGGATTTCTTCAAAAGAACTACATAGATGAATAAATTTATTCTAAATTATTTAGTGCAACTACTGATGACACAATAAGAATATATATAAAGGTGAGAGGGCACCGTACACTGGTAACTGACACCTAATGTGACAGAAAGTATAATTTGTCGACATAAAACACTCTAAAAAGTTTAAATTCAAAATTTACATATTCAAAAAGAATATAAATACATATTTTGCAATACTAAACGATACCTTAGTACAAGAACATGATATGTCAAACTCTAATTACAAGTAAATCGATGCTTATATTACGAATTTTGGCAAAAATAAAATTTCGGATTTGACCGAAATCTGATACTTCCGGTGAAATTAAAAAAAATATTTTTCAAGAAATGGTTTCGTGGTCTAGTAGGTTATGGCATCTGCTTAACACGCAGAACGTCCCCAGTTCGATCCTGGGCGAAATCAATTCTTTTTTTTTTTCATTTGTTCACTCTCGTCACGTTAGAAACAAATATCGTATTTACATACGTTTTTTTTTTAAACATTCTATACTTAGGCATGAATATTGATTACTCACCCTATCACCCGACTCAATTCTAATTTTTTTTTTACAATTTACTAGACCAATCATGATTTTTGCAAGAAACTTATCATCAACAACTAAAAGATTATCCACTTCAGTGACATTTTTCACCAAGGAAACTTGTCAATTATGTACCAACGCTAAGGTTGTCTTGAATAAAACCCTTGAGAGTCCGCAACTCATCAAAAAGGACATAAATTTAGAAGTCATAGATATAATGAAGCCAGAGAATTCCAAATGGTTTGATGTGTATTGTTACGATGTTCCTGTGCTACATGTTGATAGACCCGAACAAAAGAAACCAACCAAATTTATGCATTATTTCTACGAGGATAAACTTTTAGATGAACTTAATCGTTAGTTCTACACTGGTCTTGCTCACATATAAAATTCTATAAGATATACTTTAGATACTGTGGATAATACTAAATCAATTTTCGATATTTGTTTTTCACATATGGAATTGGTAATGAATAATTTTCTTCATTACTCATTCTGCTCAGCTTAGAAATCTTCCTTTTACGTATATTTTGGTTACTGGTAGTCAATTTTTCTCCTACTGATTCCTTTTGTAGCCCCATATTATAATCTATAGCATCGAGGATTGCAATATTTATACTCGATGGTAATTCTTGAATCAGATCATTAGCCATCAGGTTATGTGATTCTGCAGGGGTTTTGAAATCGCTTTTCCCTTTGATATAATTCTTTAACTCTTCAATTCTTACTTTATGAACTGAAACTTCATTATGTGAAGTTTCCATTAAACTTCTATTATATTGACATTCTTCCAGAAAGTATTTAAATTCTCTTTCATATAATACTTTTTCAGATTGAAGTGAATTAACTTCACATTCCAAATCTCGAACTCTGTTTAGTAATTCATTTACCTGATTTTTATATTCTGAAGATTTCAGTTGTAATAACTCATTTTGTCGCTTCTTGGTAGCACATTCTAGTCTTGAACGAACTAGGTTTATTTTCAATTGAAAACATGTTGTTTCAAGGTTTTTGATTTTCTCAGTCCAGCGCCCACTGGCGGTAGCTGGATCTTCACACAGAGTGGCATCTGTACGACCAGTTACATTTGATTGGCTTTGTGCCGAAGCTAAAGTACCAGATATCAGAGAGTTGGTGCTATAGAATTTGTCATGTTTTAAATTTGCAACCAGGGGCACTTTATACTTATTAGAAAGAATAGATTGTTGCATTTGAGATAAAGACACCAGGGACGGGAATGAGTCTAAGAATGGGTTATTAGATTTTTGGACAGACTCATTAGCTATCGATTTTTGTTGGTATTCCATTATTTAAACTAGCTATATAAATATGATTTTTGGCAACCACTTTTTGTTTTTTTTTACTGTTATACCACATTTTTGTTTTGCAGCAGAGGAAATCTCTGCGAAGCGAATTAGGGCGGGAATAAGAAAACGATAAGATAAACAAATGGTCAAAGCAAGATATTAAAAATAATGGAGGGAAGTAGAAACTGAACAACTAATCAGAGACATAGTAAAATGGAGGTAACAAATGGAAGTTCATTTGAGATACAGAAAGATAACTGCCATTTCGACGTTATTTTATCACATTTTTTCATATTCGTACTTCTCCCTTAAATATCGTTAAAAGCTAATTTTTGTCAATTTCTTACCTTGAATAATTTTACATCAAAACCACTACAACCATAGGTTTAGAGCTTGTTGCAAAACTATTATTAACACATTTTTTTCTAAGGGGCTTACTTGCACAGGCAATAAAATTTGACACCCACACGAATACTTGTTAGTGCGGAGATAACAGGAAATAATCCACCAGGGAGGGGAATTTGGGGATATATAAAAAAGAAGGATACTTACTGGTTAAGTAGCCCAATACACAAACCAAACAATGCCAGAGAGACAAAAGACCGCTTTAATAACTGGGGCATCGTCAGGAATTGGCTTTGCCACTGCAATTGAATTCGCCAAGCGTGGCTACAAGGTTTATGCAGTTGCTAGAAGATTAGAACCAATGCAAGAATTAAAAGACAAATACGGAATCACTATTTTCAAATTGGATGTTCTGTCATTAGACAGTGTTAAAGAGGCTAAAAAGTTTCTCACTGAAGATACTTCGGGATATTTGGATGTTTTATTTAACAACGCTGGCCAATCATGTACATTCCCCGCTATTGATGTTACTGATGAATGGTTTACTCAATGTTTCGAAGTTAATGTCTTTGGACCCATGAGATTAGTTCGAGAACTTGCACCATTGTTGATCAATGCCAAGGGAGTCATCGGATTCACTGGTTCGGTTTCGGGTTTGGTTCCATTTCCATTTTCATGTACCTATTCGTCCACAAAAGCTGCAATCCATCAATATGCAGCAACTTTAAGACTTGAAATGAAGCCATTTGGGGTTAGAGTGATCAATGTTATTACAGGTGCTGTGAAGTCAGATATTGAAGACAAAAGACCTTTACCAGCTACTTCTATTTGGAAAATCCCCGAGATTGAGGAGGCTCTAGTCCTTAGAAGACAAATGGCAAAGAGAAACAATCCTATGGAAGCAGATGTATACGCCAAGAAAGTGGCCGATGATTTTGAATACCTGTCAGCTTTGAACGTCTATAGAGGAACCAAGGCATCGTACCTTGGCCATCTTCTTGAATGGTGTCCTCGATTCATTGTGGAATGGGGACTAATTAGACAATTTAAACTTGGTGATGTCTACAGAATATTATCAGAAAAGTACTCCAAAGAACATATTGATTGAATATATAAGCACATATAACATATATATATCCCAGTTTCGTATTAATATATTGAATTTTAATTTTTTTCAATTTTATTGTTTTCAATTTAATTTTAAATTCAAGCGAAAGAAGTGAAAGAAACAGTAACAACGCAAACAATGATATTAGATCATTAACTCGTGATTAATATCAATGTCATCAATTGAAGGTACCACCTGTGGTAAACCGGTTTCAATTGATTGTTTGACTGCTTCTATACACAACAAAGCACGAAGTGCATCTTCTCCACTACATTTGACAACCAGCTCTTTCCCAAGAACCAAGTTAACAAAATGATCTAATTGTAAATCAAATGGTTTAGGCTTCTCCAAAGAGTTTTTAGATTTATTAAATAAAAGATTCCCATCTTTCATATTTGGAGATGGAGAAGGAGTAGGCATACCAAACATAATTTGATCTTCTTCCTCTTCAACTTCTCTACGCAGTTCATGATGCATTTTAAGTTGCTCATCTTGAACTGGATTAAGCCATGATCTAGAAGATTCTTGATTTTGATGATAGAGTTGAAGATCTGGTACCGATAAGGTACCATGACTTCCAAACACTCTGTAGAACCCAGCAGCAGTTTCATTGAATGGTACAGTTGGGTTTTCACCAGTACCTGCTTCAAACAGGAATGGTGAAGTAACATTATCAGAGCAAATGAAAGTACCACAAATTCCATTAGCAAATCTCAAGGTAAGGACTGCTCCTTCATCGACAGCTTCATGGTAGGATTCTTCCAGAAGTTGTGAAGCTCTCTGTTTGAGAAGTAACTCAGCATATACTCTTTGAACTGGACCGAAAAGATATTGCAAATTATCCAAATCATGGATCAAGTTAATTAAAAGAGCTCCTCCACCCAAAGCCTTTGAAGACCTCCAGGGTTTTTCTTCAAAATAATCATCTGGCTTTCTAAGGGTCCAAGTTCCTTGAACAGCAATTACTTGTCCCAATTTGGAAAGGTTTTCCTTGGTAGAAATAATATATGGATTAAATCTTCTATGATGACCAACAAGTAATTTAACATTGACACTGTTACAATAATCAATGAGAGTTTTCGAATCAGAAGCATTTGGACTCAATGGCTTTTCAACCAATAAATGGACCCCCTTAGAGGCCAAGTGTAACCCAAGTGGGACGTGGGTATGGTTTGGAGTGGCAATAATGGCAGCATCCGGATACTTGACATTATATGCATCACAATATTCAAACATTTCTGTCAAGTTTTTATAGAGAGGGACTCCAAATGATTCAGCAACAGAAGGTCCCTTGGCAGAATGATCGACAATGGCATAGAGACGAGCATTTGGTCTATTGACAACATGGGAAGCGTGACGTGGGCCGATTAAACCTGCTCCTATAACAATAATTGAAACACAGTCGGTGTACATGCTATGCTTACCAGTGAGTAAGAACAGCGAAAAGTGACGGGGTAAAAAAAGGAAAAAAGGTATAAAATGAGACTTGTCGAGGCTCAATTAAGTGTTTTCAAAAGGGAGGAGATGTTTAGTTAATAACTGGCTAATTGACTGAACAGATTAATTATAAGTGAAGAACAGAATAGTAAAAAAGGAAAAGAAAGAAAGAAAGAAAGAGTAAAAAGAAAAACAAAAAAATCATTAAATCAAATGTCGAGGTTTGAATCAATAAGCTCGTACCGTTTACAAAAAATAAAACCTTGGGTTTCTTAGCATAAGGAATTTTACTCTGCCTGTTTGTTGCAAAGATAAGGAGTTGGGGCATTCTTTTTCTCTTTATGTACAGGATCAGAACTTATCGGCGGGGGTTTGTGTTTTCTGGCGCAGCTAATTTGAAATTAGAATAATGTGCCATTATTATCAGGTCATGAATTGACCAACAAGGGGAGAGGGAGGGGGTCAAAACCCTGTTTACAATACCCCACCACACGAAAAATACCTCAATGGTATCGAGTTTACCCTATAGATAATTTCGATTTCTTGTATTAGAGAAATAAAGTACTTAGTTCCGATACGGAGATAATTTTAAGAAAAAACAACAAGAAAATCCTCGGCAGATCTTAAAATGGCACACAAAAAAAAATAAAAAAAAAAGCTTATCTTATCTTGCCATCAAGAAAGAAGTGATAACAAAACTTTCGCTCCCAAGAAAAGGAGCAAATTTATTTACAACACGAATGCCACAATATTCTCAAATTTCTTAACCTACACGAAGATGGGGTTTGACTGCCATGTTTACATCAATAACAAGCGTGTGAGTAATATCAAATACACTGTAGATAGCCAAAATGCAAGTTATTAATTAGAACTTTGTTCTGAACCTTCTCCTTCGCCACATTTACCCCTTTTTGTTTTACTTTGCATTGTTTGGTTCTATAATTATTGTACGCGTTAAATTAAAAATAATGTAGAGAATCTCCCCATTTTGAAACCGTTACGGTGCTTCTGTATAACACGTGGAACAGATCCACATTGCGAGTAGGTTTGCCGTCTACAAATGTATGGATGACTTTTTCCCACGTGCGGCGAAATGAACGGAAACTAGTTCCCGCATCAATTTGTCTTTTGACGTCATAGCTCATCACTGAGGATTCACACAGGATTCGTATTACATTGTAACCATTTAACGTCATGTAACAAGAGTTGAATTCTTTGAATTCGAATATCAGGGCCCTTTACCTCCATTTACATTTTCAGTTTTGTCTTCTTAGCTCCTATATCTTCTTGGAAAAGATGTACTATATGGTCAACTACCCCCCATCCATATCCATTTGCAAATCGACGCCGCACAACAATGTTATTATGGGCATCTGGAGGGAGATGTACAAGAACTTTTCTCCAAGTTAGACCATCATGATATTTTTGCGCAATTTTCACTTGCTTTTCAGCCTTACTATCATGATACTTGAATAGAATCTCTCCTATTCTATTACGACGACTAACATGTGTTGTTTGTGGAATATTCAGGAAACTGTAAAACTTATCATGGAAAATAATACTGGGCCGAGATTCTGGATTTATGACATACTTCGGAGACGGAATCGGACACAAAAGAGTGTTTAAAGCCGATTCTATCGCCGATGCCTTGGGCGGGATATTCAATTGTGGGTAGTATTCACCATCACTTGATACGTCTCTTGATTCGTTTGTAGGTGTACTACTAATATTTGCATCATTTTCTTTCTCCAAAGGATCAATACCCTTGGCACTAATCATCATAAACTTCCTTTCACGTCTTGATATTTTCCGTTTAGTCTTTTTACTTGGCTTTATGTTAACATTGAGTGCCATTAATTCCAAGTATTTAGAAATGTGAGATTTCGGTTTGAAAGATTTTTTACCTTCCTTCAATTTACTAGTCTGTGTATCTTCATCATCATTTGGCACTTCTCCAATTGAAATTTGATTTTCTCCCGCATCATCTACTTCTTCTCCGACCTGCCCTCCTCCAACGGTTTCAACATCTTCCTCATCATGCTCACTATCAGACAATTGAGACTGTCTACCATCTTTTTCATCCTTTGTAGTATTATGTACACCTTTCTTTTCTTCAGCCTTAATACCTCCTACATCACCCAATGCTTCCCAATCCAAATATAATAAGGAACTCGTTCTTAAGGGGACTATCCCATCATTAACAGCATTAGCATAGAGGGTAAGATGAGAAAATTGTTTCAAAAACAGTTGAAGTGGATCATTTGGCAAAGTTTCAAGTAACGGTTTAAAATTATCTCTAGGTAAATAATGGTAATTATGATGATGACCCTTAGTATTAGTCAGTGCCCTACTCATTTTAATATCCTTTATAGTGGGGATTTTCTTCAGAAGAGTCAAATCTCGTCCTGTTTTCCCCAATGCACCGATATCTAAAAACCAGGAAATCCAGAAACTCATTTCATTAAGTACCCCCAACAATGGGGTGGCCATACATATGAGATGTTCTGGTATGATACTTTGCTTGCGGAAATAATCTTCACCTTCTGACCATAAAATATACTTCATGGCGTACAATTGAACGACTCCCCCCAACGAATGCCCTATAAATGATATCTTATCAATAGAATATTGCTTTTGAAGCTCAGGAATGATTTCCAAAACATATTCTGCCACTGCTATCCCCAATCGTTTAACTCCTCTTTCAGTATGTCCCGCATTCCCCAGATATCCTCTCACCAACACATTTTGTCCCAGGTTAGATTCGATTTCCTCTTTCAAATAAAGCATGTCTGCATACGTATTGGAGAATATACCATGTGTGATGATTATCAAATGAACGGGAGATTTCGGATCTGGAGGTTTAGTGTTCCATAGTTCTTTTGCAGTCTTCTTGGTAACTTCCAACAGAGGGTTTAGTGACGTTGCAAGCTTTGGAATTGAATCTCTACTATATTTATTATTAAGACCGCCTTCACTGTGATTGGAGGAATACGTGGGAGAAAACCCACTTGCCAACCGTGTGAAAGGCATAGTCCCTGAGTTCAATGGTCCATGATTGACCTTTTTCATGATATCTAAATTGTCACCCACCATAAAATCGTACTCTATATATGTGTAGGTGGTGATGACAATCTGTGATATTATATCGATCGACCACTCGTACACATTCGATCCTCCTGCTAAAGTTTCCCTTAAGGAATTACTATTAAGAATAAGTGGAACATTGAAAGTTTGGCCAGGTTTGATTTCATTGTCGAAAACTACTTCTTGTGAGTCCATATCATTTTGTGGGACATACTCCTTCTTGTGCTGATAATTGCAAGGTACCACATGACAATATAATGTAAATGGTCCATTCAAAAGATGTATTGCTCTTATAGATGCATTCTCAGTGTTCTTTAGTCGGAAATAAACCGGAGCTGTTCGGGCGGTAACTCCGGCACTTCCAGTATCACCAACATCCAAATCTGTATGGGTATACCTTACTACATATCGTGTCACACCACCAAGCTGAAGTGAATCCTTATCTCTGTACCATATATCACGATTCATACCCAGTAGAATCAGAAATAAATGAATAAAATATATACTTTTGTTATGTATATATTTCTATTTTGCGTATCGCGCATGTGATGCTATTTTTCCTTCCATACACTGTCAATGTCTATACCCCACAAACAATATAGAGCATTCCTGTCAATAAAGATTGTAGTGTTGTACTATATCTGTGGAATGTACCCAGTCATGTATATTATCGTACATAATGAGCACCTCTCATATCATAACCCAACTCTGTTTATCGTCTAATTCATATAAGTTGTCCCTAAACAAATTCCAGCCTAATGAATTAAAAAAAAAAAAACCCAATAAAATAAAAGCCGTCTCTAAGAATTTTAGTACATCAAATGTTCGAACCGTATATCCACCATGTTTTAACTTAAAATAAGGTACGACCCTTTTTTTTTCTTTTTTTTTTTTGCTAGGTTAATTTACTAGACGAAGGTATAGTCCAAATTATGCCAAACTGTATAGTATTGGTTGGTGTTCGAGGATGTGGGAAGTCAAGTTTGGGACTTATGGCTCTGTCGATGTTGGAGTACGTCTATGTCGATGCTGAACGATGTGTCTCGGAGTGCCTTCACATGACAGACTCCGAGTATCTCCAAAGCCACACCACCGAAGAATATCAAGAACTCGAGTACCGACTCATTGTATCAGCAGTAGAAGAGCAAATTGCCAAGAAACAGAATATGGTGGTTGTACTACCAGCAATTGCCATAGAAAACCAACCCTTGTTAGATTATTTTGTTCGGCAGATTGCAACGCCGTACTTAATTCACATTGTGAGAGAGGAAGCAAAAGTTTTGGAATATTTAGAATACCTGGAACCTTTCGAAAAGGGTAAAGAGCTCTTGCGGAAAATGCTACCAAGATACAGTGCCGTGGCAAACTATGTCTATTTCAATATGCATTCAGACCCTTCCTTTATAGAAAATAAGTATATTATTATCCGTGATCGACAGACCAAGTTCCCAACCTTGGCACTTAAGGCTGCAGAACTAGATTTTGTTCTGTACTTGGAGTTTCTTACTGGAATTGAACGCCGAGTACACACAAACCTATCGTTCCGAAACAAGTATACTACAGCAATTCAAGTGAATTTCCCAAATTTACATATCCAAGATATATTGTACAATGCCAGTGATGTAGTGGCAGGATGTGATGCGGTTGATCTCCAGATCGATGCCATTGCCTTGATGGAATCTGGTTCATTGAATGATATCGAAGATCAAATCAGTAGACTAGTGGCAAACATTAGAAGAGGGGCTGAATTACCAATAATTTTCAATCTTCAAAATTCGTTGACCGATATTTATCAATTTATGCAAACTCGACATCAAGCTAAATCAGATGAAAAATTTGATATTATGGATTTCCATGTATTTTATTTGAATTTCTTGGGAATAGCTACCAGGTTAGGACTAGCTTACGTGGCGTTGGATCTAAGTTTATGTTGCAATGGTGTCAAATATAGCTCAGAGGGTACTAGAGATGATATAATGGTTACCAATGATACCACTAACGAAATGGTGACACTTGTGAAGGATTTTTTAAGAAAATGTGGTAAGACCATTGTGATGGGAATATATCATTCATTAGACCCCAAAATTTGGGATTCTAACTATGGAGGGGTTAAAATAATGGAATTCGCTCATGAATTAGGAATTACCATGATGAGAATAACGTCAAAGGCTCTTGATTTAACTGATAATTTGAAATGTTGGAACTTTATTAAATATATGATGACTGAATATCCAGACATTCTACTTACTGCATTTAATACTGGAGAATTGGGGAAATTATCTAAGATTTTGAACCGAGTATTAACTCCGGTTCATATTGATTTAAATAAAGATTTGAACATTCCAATAGAGAGTAATGATTGGATTGTTAACAGTGATGTTCAAAGATCACTTTTCCGTGCATTTATAGTTCCAGGCTCATCCTTCCATGTTACTGGTGCCAATTCACTGAATAATCTCATGCCTGCGGTACACCAACAAACATATAGTGAATTGGGCCTTCCACATTCGTTTAGTAGTTATGAAAGCACTTCTATATCTGGATTGGCAGCTTTAATCAAATCCCCAAATTTTGGAGGGGCATCTATCCTACCACCGTTTACGCGAGAAGCTCTTCATTTTGCAGATTCAACTTCAACTCATGCTAGAGCAATTGGGTTCGTTAACACCTTGGTGACGGAGCGTCATTGGACAAATCCAACCAAATTAGTAAGAATAAAAGGTTATAACACTGATTGGATTGTCGTGTCTCAAATTTTGAGAAGTTCATTATCACCGGTCAATACTGCTATTAGAGAAAAGACTGCCTTGATTATTGGATCTTGTGGAGTTAGTAGAGCTTCCATCTATGCATTAATCAGATTAAATTATAAAAACGTCTTGGTGTATGATACAAAATATACTACCGCCAAGAGTATTGCTGATGAGTTTAATAATTTACAAGAAACTACCAATGGAAATTCATTCAAAACAACCAACGTGATTGCCTTAACTAAGAAATCATTCAACCAAGTAGAATTAGCTGAAGGATGTGCATATCCTGTTGTCATCATTGAAGGGAAATGTACAGCAGACCCGAAGACGGGAAAACCTCCATTAGCAATCGAGATCCCCTCTGGTTGGTTCAAAAACGAAACTGGTGGTGTTGCAATGCAAACTTCAATCGATTTATTAATCAGTCCGATGTTAGATACGGCATTTGAGTTACAAGATAAAGGATGGATAGGTGCATGTGGGTTGAATTATCTCTACTGCCAATCATGTACCCAGTTTGAATTGTTTGTGAATAAACCTGCTCCAAGACATCTCATGAAAAAGTTTTTATTGGATGTGTATCAGAAATCAACAAGGTCATTATAGAAAATGGTCTAGATAAATATATATGTATATATATATATTAAATCATTCTAATTTTATTATTCGGTCTTTTTAGTTGGCGAGATTGGCTTAGGGGACGGTTTCCACAACAAAGATACACTCTTGTATAATAACCACGAAATACCTACACCTAAAATAAGCCAAGTCCAATAGTTGATCTCACTTGGGTTACCAGTTCCTCTTGGGATGTTAATATCTAATGTCTTTGGGGAATGGTCAATGTGATAGAATACAGTATCATCAGTGAAATATGATTGAAAACTACCAGTATTGTAAGCAAGTGCTGAAGTATAGTCAAATGGAGAAGCCAGAAGAGCTTCGCTGTCCTTGGGGACAGTGCAAGCGTAGAAGATTGATGGAGTATTGATGGTCTGGGTGATAGTATCATTTTCACCAGCCTTTGCTGGTAATTGATAACGGGAATGCAAAGTAAAATCCAAATCACTTTCAGATTCAAGTTCAAGTAATGCTTCAACACCCCAACTATTGATTTTATAGGCAGGTGCTTCTAAATCCGAGTTTCCAAATAATGTAATTAATGAAACATTTTTAGGTAATTGATACTTGTCAACAAAGAAAGATTTTTGCAAAGATTGATAATAAAACAATTTACATTCTTCAATATCAAGACCATCTCCAAGTTGAGGGGATTGTAATGTATCATTGAAACGAATTTGCAAAGTAGGATGTAAACCCACAGGGTCTTCAAGTGCCACAGAGTACGAAGCTGAGGTAAAGTGTCTATGTCTTGGTTTAACATGAAATAAAGTTTTATGGAGTTTGTCGTCGGAGGTAGAATCAAGAGGATCAATTATAAATCTGACTCCAGATAACGTAAGGTCATCTTCCAGAGAAATGCCCTCATCTAACAAGAAAATACCAATTTCTTGCTTTGTAGAAGATTCTTCATTGATTGACTTAAACACAGTTGATTCTGTTTCTTGAAGTTCATTTATAGATGACGAATCTGGGATTACAGAAGAGAATACAACTCCATCAGGTTTCATGATAATATCAATGTTACTACCAAGGGCTGATAAGGTATTCAAACTTGACACATCAGCAGCCTTATCATTTTGTAACCAATGAGTCTTGACATTTTCAATTAACTTGGCAGGGATTTCAGTAGCAGGTCTAGAAATGTATACCGAATTGGTAGTGATAACAAATTGATCAGGAGAAATTCTTTCACCGAGGATTTTGGTCAATAATAAACATAAATCTGGCCAAAAGTTTTCAATATGAGCGTCTTTTTGTGGAGCTGCATGGATATGGAAACCTAATTGCTGAGTTGATGGTTCACGGAAAATTGGAGATACATTTGAAGAGCCATCCAGCCATTGGAACCGGAGCAATTTGATTGAACGAGGAAGCACAGTGTTACTTGGAATCAGGATCTTATCTTCTCTTGGATAACCTTCAAGTACTGGTAATTCCAAGAAATTTTCAGAAACAGATTTGATAACATTATCATTGGAAGATGTTGGGTTGAAGTAAGTTATTCTGTGTTTAGACTGTGCCATGGTTATATTAGTTATAGTATATAGATTGAACGGTAGCAATGAGTTATATGTCAAAAAAAAAGAGCGTTGAAAGTATTGAGCTTTTTTTTTCTAAAATTAAAGTATCTAAATCAAGTGCCACACTAGTAGATGGCACATGTATGAGATTAGAGAAAATACACAAACGTACTGATTGCAACAAAGCCTCAAGTTTTTGAAGAAAAAAAAAAAGAGTGAAGCTAAAAAAAAAAAGAATGAAGTATATTCAAAGAGTGGAAGGATAAGGGAGTAGTCATGCACGAGACAGTAACATTATCACTTTCTCACCTGGCAAACCATGTCACCACACACTTATACAATAACCAAGAGTCCCACATAAGTTATCGTAAAGGGCAAAGCACAGGGTATGATAATACTGTGTACTTAGCAGCAAACCCAACATACCAGGGCACCATAAACTATAACCCCCGAGCCATATTGTATGAACTTAATGGAGGATCAGGAGCGTTAGGGAAATATGAATATTATGATCCCGAAATAATAGGAGCTAAACAACAAGAACAAGAGGAGATTGGTAACAATAATTCGATTGAAATCATTAAATCACCTACCAAAGTGGAAAAAAATCAATATCAAATAGCTCTTGATTCAGGTAAGGTCAAAGGAGGACTTCTTACAGTTGAGAATACCAAGTATTGGTCAGATTATAACAAATTAATTTATAAGCCTAAATCATTGAATTCATTGACCAATTGGAACCATGACCCACAGAATGATTTAGGATTCAATAAACATGGTAAGGAGAGAAAATTTGATACTTTCCATATTGGATCAGAAGAATATAAACAAGGGAAAGATAATAATGAAGATGAAGATCTGATTGAACTTTTCCGATCATTTTTAGAAGAATGTGATTTATTCCAAGGAATGAATATTTTAACTGAAGTTGATTCTGCATGGGGTGGGTTTAGTAATGAATATTTAACTGAATTAAAAGATGAATATTTCAATAATGGGGATTCCAAATATAGTTTTTGGATTTGGGGGTTATATAATTGTAAGAAACCAATGGATTTTAAATTGAAGAATTCACGTATAAAGACCACTTTGGAACTATTGAAAAATTCCACATTATACTTCCCAATAGCTGATCCCAATATCAATTTAAAGAATAATACTATATTGAATGATAAATTTGACAATAAGAGTTTATGGCATTCGAGTGCATTGAAGTCGTTACCAATTGATAGTTTATGGACAATTACCAGTCGTCTTGATAACCCCATTGGTATGAGTCAGATTGAAGACGATTTATTAAGAGGATACAAGAGTAGAAACATGGTGAGTGAAATTAAATTAGTGGATCCATCATCACTGGATCAAACTGGGGCAAATAATGTACTTGCCTCTGGAATAGGTAACATATTGATTGATACTTCCTCATCTTCCGGATCACCATATGATTTATATGCCAATGCCACGGCTTTTTCTGATTCTATGGTTCCAAAAAATGAAGAAAAATCTGTTCAATATACTCAACCATTGTATGAAAAACTCGATGGTAAGTATTTTGCAAAGACTTATATCGTACCAACGGAAGTTAATGCAGACCTTGAATTAATGAATGTTGAGCAACTGAAATTACAAAATCGATTCCCAATTAATGAATATAAGCTGGTAAAATCTAGTATTGCAACCAATTACACGTTTCCCGACATTCTTAATAATCAAACTTCTATAGTGAACGAATTTGGAATTTGTTCCAAACCACGAGCCCTTTTCAAAGATTATAAAAAGTTTTTGGAAAGAAGTAGTAGAATTACCAGTAGAGCATACAGCTACGACGTTGATTTGGATGATCAGAGTTCTTTAATTGAAGAAGCCAACAATATGATCGAGGATTACACGTATGAATGGGATGATGACGAAGACGAAGAAGATTGGGACTAATATAGAATGTATATACTAAAAAAAAAAACATTATAGATCAATAGCAAGTTTAAGTATAAACATTTATCTTATAAAGATTGCAAACTAATCTTGAAACGAATTTGTTGTACAAATGTGTTTTGTGTCATTTCGGGCAAGAATTTATGTGATACATTACAAATTTTTTTGAAATTTTTTTTCAGTTATCCCTGCCACAGAGCAACGAAAAAGCAAAACAGCAAAAATAGACTCTACAGGAATGCCGCGTGTAACGGGCCAAAATTATCTATGAAACACACAGCCACTCTCTGTCCATCCAAGTGAAGATATGTCAAAAGAATTATAGTTTTGGATTGCCTTTTGGTCATCATACATGGGATATCGATCGATGAATACCTTGTTGACGACGACATATATTTTATTTTGTTTTGCATTGCTGCAAATGTAGAATCACCACATTTTTGACAGTATCCGAGTCCCGGAGCTATCCCCACACGCTTACCGCTACACACACTCGGTACACTGAGACTGTGGGATGTTTTCTGTGCGGCGCGAAAAAACAAAAGTAGGGTGAGTAAATCCTTCCCTATAGTTTATTTTTGGCTCGAACCGAAAGCAAATTACGTAGGGTACAAAAATGATAAGTAAAGTTCACAACAATTATAGGAAGTATGCCGGGTGCAATCAAAAGGACAGAAACCCTGGGCATGGGCTGGTAGAACAATCCTGCGTCTGCATTGTTGATAGACTTTTGTACCATCGCTAAACCATTATTCGCGCGGCCCCTTTCGCGCAAGGTTGCTGATTCGATCTGTACTTTATGCACCCCAAACCCCCGCAGCACCTCCGCCATACTGAGTCCCGCCTTAGTTTGAAAAAAAAAAGAAAAAAACAGCAAAAACTGAAGAAAAGCATCGATCTGTTTGAAATAGTATATATATAAGTTTATTTCTTCTTGAAGACCAGAAAAGCTTATCAGCGACTAGTTGGTTGTGCGAGTTTAAACCCGTTTTTCTTAGAAGCCAAGAAAGCTAGACCCCATTCGTGGAGTAAAGTCACGCATTCACACACATCCAAGAAAGTCCCCATTATCCCACTAAACCTTAAAACAGAAAAGTTCTCGGGGTAAAAAAATTGGCACTCTCTCCACATCCTAACCTCCAGTACATCACTCCATATATTCAATATCCAGTTATTTGGGGTAGTTTATTAGTACTGTTCAAAATATTTGAATTTTGGGAAATTACCGGCTTTCTTTTCCACTTTCCTTCTAGAAAATAATCACCAGAAGAAACAGTTGCACACTCGTACTTTTGTTCAGGTAACAAAGATATCAACAACTATAACTATTCACAAATAAGAGACACATATTATCTATTTCTTACACGATTTTCATTTCATTTTCATTTTAATTTTTTTTTAACCATGTCTACATATAGAACCATTTCACTTACAGATATTCCAAGTTTGACAAATAACAACACCATTAACTCTGGTAACGGTACAACACTTGGATCACCAGACCTCAAATTCACTTTAAAAGGATTGGAACTTGATAGGTCTGTTTCTAATCGAACTCCAAAAGGATTTGATTATTCCTTTTTCAACCATCCTATTGATGAGTTTTTACCATCTGATGGGTCTGTAATAAGTCAAGAAGATCAAGAAGATCAAAAGAATGCCATTCTTGAAGATGTAATGGTTTATGGAGATGATGGGAATGAAATACTTGATTTTGATTATAATCATTATGAACTGAAAAGTAAAAAATTACATAGAGCATTTGAAGTACCTGAAAAGGAACCTTTAACAGTTGCAGAAATGCAAAAAAGAGCACCACAATTATTCCAAGAACAAATTTCACTTGATGATTATTTTTCAGTGGAAACATCATTTGCATTGAACTTGGCTCAATGTTATAATAGTATTTGTCCTGAAGATCGGTTTTCACCTTCAGTATTGATGAAACCACTTACATTAACCCAATTTATTAGACATCCAGTACATTACACTACATTGCAAGAGGAAATCGTGATAAAATTTAATGAATTGAATGATGCATGCAAGAGATTAAATGAAAATATTAATGAACAATATATGGAAACAAAATCACATTTAAAATGGGAAATTTTTAGTAATTCTACATCAAATAAGAATTTTGAAAATGGTCGCGCTATGTTTGAAGCTCTTTTGAAGTTTAAAAGTACCTTCCAAGCTTGTATCCATGAGAATGATATGTGGTGTGATATCGATGAATGTATTAATGAACTTACTGATTTAATATGTGATTGGAATGAAACTGGAGACTTGACAACTGGGAATAACAATGAAACTGCATCGAAGCAAGACCGTGAAACATATGTTAATATGGTTAGCAAGTTGAAAATAGTTGAGACTTCACTTCAACCAAACAGTGAATATATCAACAAGAATTGTTCAAATTTTATTGATTTCATTGAGGAAGTTAAGATTGGTTATGAAGAATTTTTACATCATTTCAAAAGTACCTCAAAGGATGGTATCTTCTCATATGAGATTTGTCTGTATGACGATCATGTAAAGGATACACAGAGAAGAAAGTCAAGATCATAGAGCATATTATAAACATAAGAGGAAAAAGAACAATAATAGGGCATAACAAAGTTCATAAAAGCAAACGGTATATACAAAGGGCTATATAGATAAGGAATTCAGGTTTTTATAAATGGAAGTTGTAAGAATTTTCGTACCAAAAGTATGTGTTTTAAAATGATTACCTGAAAGTGTTGCAAACTACGACAATTTCATTCTTGGTAATTCTTTTTTTTTTTTTTAATACTGAAACGTTTTTTTTCTTCTTCCTTGTAGGTACGTGTTCTTCAAGCACGTGACCGAGAAATATGTTGACGTGTACGTATATGTTTTCCATATAGATAAAGTAAAGGGAATAAATTCATTTAAAGTTTATTTATTTAACGGATCTGTTTAAAGATGAAATCCATATTTGTAGCTCTAAGTGTGCTTGCTTATTTGCTATTTGCAGTTGTGGTTGAGGCAGCACCAGATTACTATAGCATTTTGGGAATTAACAAGAGGGCAAATGAAAAGGAAATCAAGACTGCTTATCGTCAATTGAGTAAGCAATATCATCCGGACAAGAACAGTTCTCCTGAAGCACATGACAAGTTTGTTGAAGTTGGAGAGGCATACGAAGTTTTATCCAACAAGGAAAAAAGAGCCAATTATGATAAATATGGTGACCCTGAAGGACCTCAACATCATGGAGGTCCAGGAGATTTCTTTAATAATATGTTTGGTGGCCATCATGGTGGTCAACATGGTGGACAACAAAGAGGAGATAACTCACAACTCAACTTGAACCTTGCATTATCCGACTTTTTCCAAGGTAAAGATATGGATTTTGAAGTGGAAATGGTAAACATTTGTACTGATTGTACTGGATCAGGCTCAAGTGATGGGAAAAAGATTAAATGTAAGAACTGTAACGGTGGAGGTGTTGTGATGATTCGTCGTCAATTAGCTCCTGGATTTGTGCAAACATTCCAATCTCAATGTGACCAATGTCAAGGGAAGGGTAGTATCGTTGCCAACCCTTGTAAGGTATGTAGTGGGAGTGGAGCAAAGAGAGGTAAGAGAAAGTATGACGTACACATTCCTGCTGGATTCCCTAGAGATGGAGTACAGACTATGGAAGGAGAAGGAGATGCATACCCAGACATTATTCCTGGTGATTTACATATTGTTTTCAAAGAAGATTTGAGCCGTAGTTGGGGTTACCGCCGTGTGGGCAACAACTTGTATAGAGACGAGGTTCTTACTGCCAAGGAAGCCCTTGGTGGCGGATGGGAAAGACATATTCCATACTTTGATGAGATAGAAACAGAAATCAAACTTTCAAGAAACGCACAACAAATGGTTAGAGATGGTGAAATAGAAGTCGTACAAGGAAAAGGTATGCCATTCCATAATGCCGATGGATTGGATGACGATAAACATGGTGATCTTTTCATTCAGTATAAGATTGTTATTCCTGGAGGATCCAAGGAAGCAGCCGGTCATGTGATGAGAGATGAGTTGTAGAGATATAGAGATAGAGTATTCTAACTATTGTAATTTATGTATATAATAAATGAGGTAAAGAATAAAAATAGATACACGGAGAGGAGAAGATGTAGACAGATCGAATAGCTTGCCAAGTTTCTATTTCAAGTGTTCTTTTTATTTGATTCTGGAATATATACATCAATAGTGATTTTACAACTAAATTTCCCATATAAAACCTAGTCAGAATATGGATATCATTATGACATGAGGTATGTCAAGTGCAAAATGATAATTTGAATAATTCCATAGAAAGAAATTATGATTGATGGCACAGTCTACTTATATAGTTACTAAGCTTTTTGAATTCAACCACGGGCACAAAACACCCCTGTTGTAGAGAAATTTACAGCACTCTTAACAGGGTGGTTCCAATATACCTGTATTAAACTTTCAGTTTGACTATTACAAACTCTTACTATATACATATATCTACAGTAAAAAATTATACTATTAAAACTCATTTGTATTTTAAATAAACTTAAAGAGTCTTTTCTTCCAAAAAGATACCATAGTCGTCCTTCAAGGTCTTCATGATTGGGTCATTAATCTTGGAAGTCATTGGAGCCCACAAACCTGGAGTGGACAAGGTACCGTCCAAAACTTGTTGAGCAGCAACGGCACATGGAACACCAACCAACTTGGCCATAGAAGAGTAACCATCTGGGTTACCGTAGTCAACCAAAGTGGAGGTTCTGGTTTCAGTTTCACCGTTGGCCCATTCGATACCAAACTTGTGTTGCAAACAAACCAAATCACGTTCACCTTCTTCGTATTGCATCAATTCTTCCAAAGTGGCGCACAAGGTGTCCAATGGGTTACCTCTTGGAGTGATCTTCTTGTCGGAGAACAATCCGAGCCACTTCAAACCAGCCAAGATACGGGCCTTATCTTCATCATCCTTGAAAGTAGCCTTGGCAACAATGGCCTTAACAATGTCTTCTTCGGAGTTGGAAGCAGCACCAACCAACTTGGCGGTAGCATCCTTCCAAGCAATAGCTTCCTTAAAGTCAGCAGATTCTTCATCCTTCAAGAATCCAATGTCAACAAAGACCTTGATGAATTCTGGGAAACCTTGGAATCTTAAAGTACCTCTAATGACAGTTTCAGCTTCTGGAATGTTGTACAATTCCTTGTAAGCAGTGGAGTCACGGTTAGGGTAGGCAACAAAGGCGAAACCTGGGTAGATGAAGTATGGCTTGGCGGTGGCCATCAAGTCTTCAGAGGCAACATTGACAATTTCACCATCCTTCCAGTATTGAGCAGAGTTTCTCAAGGCCAACAAGACACCTCTAGAAGACCAAGAAAACTTGTAACCCAATGGGTTGTTGGAAGCTTCTGGAGCTGGCAAACCACCACAGTAAGACAAGAAAGACTTAATCTTACCACCTTGAGCGTGGACTTCTTCGAAAGTCTTAACGGCGTACAAGTGGTCAATACCTGGGTCCAAACCAATTTCGTTCATGACGACGATTCCAGCGTCTTTGATTTGTTGTTCCAATTCCTTAAGCTTAGGGTTGATGTAAGAGGTGGTGACGACGTGCTTCTTGTTCTTAATGGCAGCCTTAACGACGTTAGCATGGTAGATGTATGGAATCAAAGAGATGACAAGATCAACCTTTGCAACAGCAGCGTCCAAGGCAGCTTCATCAGTGACATCTAAGGAGATAGCATCAGCAACAGAGCCAGCAAGCTCTTGGGCCTTAGACAAAGTACGACAGGCAACAATGACCTTGACATCTGGAGTCTTGGCCAAGATGTCGACAGTTGGCTTAGCAACGAATCCAGATCCGAGTAAAAGAACAGTTCTATAAATGGTTAGTGTCATTGAATTAAATGGAACTGATTAACTCCATTGAAAGAATCAGTGATAATACTTACTTGACCATTGTATTTAAAGTAAAAAATTAAAGTTAATTTTCAAAGAGAAGAATAAAATTGACAGAAGAATTTGCAAATTCATCAACACATCTTTTATTGTCCACTTACTCCGTTCGATATCGGGCTAGTAAGGCACTTATCCTGAATGCAGGAGTGACTCATATCTAAAATGTGCCTTGTCACTTATCACCTAATCGTGAAAAAAAATGATAAATTTGAAAAAAAAAAAAAAAAAAAAACAGATTGTGTATGCACCCTACACAGTCACGTGACACATATAGAATTGTTTAATTGAAGAAAGGAACAGGAGGTTATTGAATATATAATTCTAGAGAGATAGACGAAAAGTAGAATTGAGTAAATTATGAGAAATTGAATGTATTGGGGATGGTTAATTAATTTAAACAGAAAGCCCCCAAGGAAAGTTTTTATAAAAAGAATTAGATAGAAAACCAAAGATTAGTAATGAGGAGATAAGAACCAAAAATGTGAATGTAGGTATAATTTTTTGCTTTATTATTAGAATAAATATTAGCCAAATTATGGGGTAAGAATTTATGTTCTGAATGATATACAATTTCTCTCTACAAATAAAAAAATGTTTTTCATATACTCTATATGCCTTCAATTAGATAAGCAAATATAAACTTTTTCAAGTAGTATTAATATGAAATTTATTACTATCTATGTTTCCTAAAGATTGAACCCAACCAAAAAAAAAACATTATCTAAGTGGTGTATAATAAAGTGAGTTTTCACTTGAACTTATGGCAAGTGTAGCTGTTCCTCGTTCAGAGTCTATTAATTTAAGTTTCAGTTCAAGTTCCGCTACTTGCGCCCGTAAACGTAAAACTTCACTTTTGTAAATGTCATTATCATTATTTTTCTTTGGACTATTGATACGTGTACTATTTCTGTAACTTCCAAATGCAACATTTGTAGCCACTACTGACCACATCAACATATTGATAAATACTAAAGATTTCCATGATATTGGCTTAAGGAACCCATTAATGATATCAGCCAATGTTTCAGCAGTTACTTTAGATCGTCCGATTTTTTGTGGATCTCTATCCATACATTTCTTCCACATTGTACATGATTTCTCCAACACTGGAGCTCGTATATCTGGAGAACAATTGTTTCGATTATATTCTCTTGTGCAATGTTTGATTTCTTCAATTGAATTTGTCACATAAATGTCTATTTTATGATTAACATCCGATGAGATTGTTTTAATAAATATAAATAAAAAGTAAATCACAAATGAAAGTACCAAAAAGTTGAATGCAAATTGTAAATATAAGGAAAGTACATATGGAGTATTTGGATCAATTAAATTGAATTTACTCTTTTTAGAAGATGAAGAATCCCCCAGTTTCCCTCTTCTTCGAATAATAAGTTCAGACTCATCAGATTCATCAGATTGTTCTTCTTCAGTTACATCTACTTCATTCTCTTCATAATGATGAGAATCAATTCTAAACGATCGGATTTCCTTTGTTGGCGAGAATAATACTCTTCCCCTAGCTGAGCCAAGATTATTACCCGAGCTAGTTGAACCTTCTCTTGGAGTTTTAGTTGGACTATTTTTCAATATTGATTGGTACAGTTGACGTGTTGATGATTCATTATTCTTGGAAGGAGTAGTTAAATCTTCTAAATTAATCGGAGATAAGTCAGATGCCGTAGATAATGATTGTTCTCTCAGATCACTCTTTGGAGTAGTGTATCGTGATCTTATCGGTGAATCTTCCGTAAGGGTTGTCCCTAACACATCCAGAGGATCAAGGAATGAAAGACTAAATGAGTCATCAGCTCCCATACTACACTATATCAAGAACGGAATACAATTTAAATAAGATGTTTACCTTCAACAATTGTTTTTGGCTTTTATTATTTATTTTTTATTTTGTCTTGCCTTTAAAATTCTCAAAAGTACAGATCAAAGGAAAATGTTGGGGTAGATGAGATCTCAATGGATTGCGAATTTACATATAAATTATTCTTGATGTTATGGACGGGAAAAATAATGATTTAAAGAAAGATCTAAGGTCTCGTATACAGTCCTTTGGGTTTAAAGATGGGACAACTCAAAGAGTTGACATTGGTGATAGGGTTCGAATTTCAAAGCCATCAAGAATTTCTAAAACTAATTTGAAATTGATCAAGAAAAATTCAAAACCAACCCAATATGAAGATTTACCACCATCATTAAGGGAAGATTTATCGGTGGTATTTATAGGTTTCAATCCTGGAATACAATCATCTCTTTCTCAACATCATTATGCTCATCATTCAAATTTATTTTGGAAGTTGTTCAATCAATCTGGACTTGTATTTACCATTGAACAAGTGAAGAAATTTATTGATGATGATGATTTATTTATTTGTAAAAGGATAAAGAAACGAATTCCTGATATTGATACGTACGTTGTAAATGAACTTCATTCTGTATATAGTAGCCATTTCCTGGCAGATGATGATTATGAATTACTTAAAGTTGGTATTGGATTCACCGATTTGGTTTTAAGATGTACGAAAACTGCTGCAGAATTAACTATACAAGAGAAATTGGATAATGTTCCTCGACTTATTAATGAATTAAAGGAATCCAAACCAAAGTTCATTGTTATTGTAGGAAAGGGGATTTGGGAATGTATAGTTCAATATCTTCATGGTAAACCATTGAAATTACTAGAGGGCGGTAACTTCAAATGGGGACTACAATCGGATATAAAAGATTCTACATATAAAGCAGTTATGGATACCTTACATTCACTTTTAGGCTATCAATGTTCTATACACGTGTTCACCAACACGTCCGGACTTGCTGCAAGTCTCAAGTATCACCAAAAGTTAGACCAATGGACTTCATTAGCTAGTTCTATTTACAGGGAAGAGAATCACGGAAATAAAATATAGTGTGTGTGTGTGCTTTCATTTCAATTCCATTTTTTCGTTTTACTTATTCTTTTGTCAATTCTACTTCCAAATCTTTACAAAGCTGGCATCAACTTCGTCAGAAAATTTGGCATATGTTTGGTCATCAAAATGTTCTCCAAGTTGGCCAAAATTCTTGACAAAAAGATCATCAATGAGGAACCTGATCTGCTTACATTGTTTTATCGAAACACATTCATCATATCTCAATCTTTTCAAGGCCTTAGTTTGTATATCTGTACATGCAGAGTTTAGTTTCATTTCTTTATCACAAAAGGAAAGATCTGCACCTTTCCAATTTTTAAGACAACTTATCACATTTTTTTGTAATTCCACACAGTTTATGTATGTCACCTTCTTATGATCTTCGTTCCGCTTGTAGTCATCGAATTCATATGAATATGGTTCTTTCAGTTGACGTTGTTTAGCCATTTCTACAAGTTTTTCTTCTTCAGCAATTCCAAAGTTTGCTTCATTTTTCCACTCTGGATTTCCCTTATGAAATATATCCTTTAATGAGTCTGGGATTTCCTTTTCAAGATCCGAGGTTTTCTTCCCCTGATTAGAAGAACTGAATGGCCACATTTTATGTAGGAGAATGTTCTTTAGATAAATAAAATTTAATAAATTGTCCAAATTTGTCTAATTTTGAGAAATTTTGATGTACTTTCCTCAACCTTTACAAAAATTCAAAAAATTATCGAAAAATACATAACATCTGCTAACTTCATATTTCATTTGTTAAATGTTTATTTATTAAACCTATGTACACGAGCTCTTATCAATTTTTCATATTCTTTCAAATATCCCTTCAAATAATTTCCCAGTTTCAACTTCTAAAATGTTTAATAATTCTCGAGATGATTTAGTTGAACTTTGAGATAATTTCAATCTTAAAGGTTCAAGTCTTTCTATCACCACTAATCTAAGTCTTGAAGTAATTGGGGCCAATCTAACTGATTCTGTAGTTGACAATTTTTCTACTCTTTTCAATCCTGAATCAAGTTCAGATTCATATCCATCGATGAGAAATGCTAATCTTGTATCAAGATCTTGTAAGATGGTAAACAATTCACCCAATTCAGCTTTGGACTCATTGGTGACTTCTTCAACCAGTTGTGGTATCTCCAATCTTACGATATATTCCTCCAAATCACCCATGATTTTAATTAAATAGTCTGGTTGACCAAATAACTTATTCTTATGATCAATTGAATACCAAACTAATCCTACAATTTTGGAAATATCTTTAAGAAGTGACATCATTGAATATTCTGGTTGATCTTCCACATGTGATCGGATGAATTTACGTTGAATGAATAAAAGTTGTTCATCGATATAATTAATTAATCGACTTTGTTGAGATAATGAAATTGTAACTTTATTCAATTGACCATTGAATTCAGATTGAAGTAATTCAAATGCCTTATCGAATGGTAATGTAAAAGATGGAACTTCAATTGTCACATCTTCAAAATCCTCATCTGAATCCAGCGATTGATTATCCAACACTTCTTCATTACCCCCATCTATATCCATATTGTCATCATTATTATTATCATTATTATTATTATTATTGTCATTATCATCGTCATCATCATAAAGTTCAGGATTCAACTCCAAATTTGCTGCCATAGAGGCTGGAAGATCTCCTTGAGGAATTTCTGTCAATTCCTCATTTGGTTGTGGATGCAATGGAGTTTCTGGAGTCTCAGGAACCACCGATGGCATTTTCAAATAATATACTATAGTATATATATATATCTATCTTCATAATGTATACTTGGGATCTTATTGCTATAGGTGTGAATGCGTGGAAAGGTCACACAATCACAACCCAAAATGAAAGTGTGGACCAGGTCACGTGGACGATCTTTTCTTTTAATGATAAGGATAATAAAGCGGCAGAAGGGTCACTTGACAATCACTTAGAAAAGTCTAAAGGAAAAACTCCAAAAGAGCAAAAAAAATCTAGATATAGATATATATTGATTTAAAATTACTTTTTGATATTATCGAGCCCAGTCCAGTTTTCGTGTTCTGGACCAATATCTAACATCAAGCTACCAAGATTATCCTTGATTGGTAATAGTGCTACGCCTTTTTACTGTGCCCCCCCCTCTTGTGAGTCAGAATGCCGGTCACGGAGAAGCAATACCAAGATGATTTAAAGGCTGCCATTGAACGTAATATATCGTTACAGGACGGTAGAACGCCTTCCCGATTAGGTGGCACTGTTTGTCAAGAACCAATACTGCCCAGTCCTACGCCGTCGTTAACGTCATCGTCAATCGATCAGGGTGGTGGAGGATATGATGGTGGTACTATTGCTACCAATAAGTTACAAACAGTGACATCTAACGATAGTGACGAGTTCAAATTTAATACAGGAGTTCCTCAAGATGTTGTGATATCTCCCAGTAGTCCCTCCGATTTAGATACGAAGGATATGGAAATTCAAAATCGAAATAAACAGCGGGATGTACAATCAAGGGTAGAATCTAATAAACTTCGAATTATTAAATCAAATAGTTCTTTGAAATCTTTAGATCATTTTGAAAATTTGAACGGACCTTCTATGGGGAATAAAATCCCAAGATTTCAAAATACATATCTTCGACCTAATGCAAAGTTTGTTGGAGAGCAACTTTCAGATAAATCAAGATATCCAGTAGAAGTGCAGTTTAAAACCATTGATCTTGCAAATTCTCTAGTAACTGGGTTTTTACAAATTTCTGGACTTACTGAAGATCATCCGGATATTACGACATATTTTAAGGGAGAAATTATAAATAACCCATTAAATAAATTTCAATGGAGAGAAAATATCCAACCAAGGGATGAAAATATTAATAAATTTTCATTTTCTACAGAAAATAGACAATGGGGGTCATATTTTAAAAATGATCTTGAACATTGGGAGATTTTAACTCAAGTACGAGATTCAACTGAAGCACAAGTGATACAAAAACTCCATCAAATTCAAAGTAAAGATCATAAGAATCAATACATCTATATGAGATGGAAAGAGGAATTTTTAGTTCCAGATTCAAGGGTAAAACTGATAAATCGTGCATCATTTGAAGGGTTTTATTACATTGTATTAAATATTGGAGATGGAAGAGTTGGTGGGAATGGGAAGGGTAATGGGAAAGGTTTAGGAAATATCACAACTACTTTGGGAACCCCCGGATCAATTAGTGGGTTGTATTATTATAAGGATTCAGAGAAATTTCAATCTCTTAGTTTGGGGTACGTGAAGGAACAAGGTGGAACTAGTAATTTTCAATTTTGTTAGATATAAATGATTATATATATATATATACATTTCATAATTTAACTCAATTAGAGTGATTTTTTAGCAGAAGCAGCTGCAGCTCTCTTGGCATAGATCTTTGCAGTGAATGGTTCTTCAAAGAATAAGGCAATTTTGTACATTCCAAATACGAAAATAGTAACCAATAAACCAGTTGGTTTACCATACCATAAGGCAGTACCCAAGAAACACAAGGCAGATCCGTTATACATTGGATTATCATTAACATTGAATGGGAATCCTGTTACCCTTGAATCCATAAGAATACCAAAATAATCACCCAAATAAGTTCCAGTAACTCCCAACGCCCACATTGAACTTAAAACTAAAACATTACCAAATCCAAATGATAAAATAGCTATTAATTTGAAAATTGGATTTTCCAAAAATGGAGTGAATGTTGGTTGTCCCTGTAAGGCATCGAAATAAATATGATCTCTATATATACCGAGGGAGAAAATAGTTAACGCGAGAAGATAACAACCATTTCTAGCACCACCACAGATCTTGGTAAGGAAATGTGTGTTGTATTCTAATCTAGCAGTGATATTCCAAAAGATTGGATTGAAGGCAATTGTATAGATGGCATATTTGATTGCAGGATCAGACAAATCTACATATTTGTCCCAATCATTGGCAAGTAACTTGACGTCAGAGACAAAACTGTTGATTATTGAAGACATGGTGCAATTGATAAAACAGATTATAGAAAAAACAAAGGAGAGGAAAAAAAAATCAAGTATAGTAAATTGAATAGCTAAGGGAAATCTTATAGTTTAAATAGATTTCCCCTAATCCACTCATATGCTCTTGACATTTTGCATGGTTTCCCAACAGTATATGCGACTAAGAGATTCACAATGTTAAAAATTGCATGTGATAAATCCATTTTTGATTTGTGGGGGCGTGCATACTCAGAATCTATGGCGCACTGCATACATGATATCTAATCAAAGAATCATTGAAAGTCTCGATTTGGTAATATGTATTGAAACATGTTAAATAATTGATTAAGATGAGGGTATATTAATGGATTGTGGTATAAATAGGACGGGCTAATAAGCCATGTTGTGGGTTTTTACTTTTTCTTATAATTCGAAACAGTGTCAGATTTGTAAGAAATGACGAATCTTGACTTTAAGAATGAAAATGAAAAGATTGAAATTCATGAAGAAGAACAAGAGGAAGAACATGAATTTAAAGAACAATTGAATGAGAATGTTAAAGTATCTACACTTTTCAATTTCACCGATCGGTCCGACATGCCCATTTGGATTGTAGCGATTTTTTTTATGTGTATTTCTGCTGCTACCACACCTATAACTACCTATCTATACGGAGAAATGTTTAAAGATCTCAGTTTGTACTATATGAACCAATATACAAGCTTATCGTCATTTATGAAAGATATTAGGTTTCTTTCAGGGATGATCATGTGTGTAGGGGTTATTAAAATGATTTTCAATTGGGGTGGTATCTATTTTTGGATGATTTTCGGAGAACGACAATCAAATAGGGCAAGAAATCAATTGTATTCCAAAATCTTATACAATCACCAATTTGAATGGTTTGATACTAAACAGAATAAAATGGGGGAACTCTCACAAATCAATCGATGTATTGAAGAATTGAGAAGTGGGTGTTCTGAAACACTTGGTCAATTGAGTGAAACCATTGCGTCAATTTTGGCTCTATTCATTATTGCAATGTTTCAATCTTGGTCCCTTACTTTGGTTATCTTGGCCGGAATTCCATTCATGGCCATCCTGGGATGGTATTTTGGAGGAATTACGCATAGGGCAGCACAATTGGAGAATCAAGTTACTGCCAAATGTTCCAAAATCTTGAATTGGAACTTTGTTCAACATAAACAAGTGAAGCTCTTTAATGCAAGATATCATGAGTTGATTCGATTCAACCATGTGGTCGACAAGTCGGCAAGAGCATACTATAAACTTGCACATGCTATTGCCCTCAACACTGGCGTATTGCGAGGTCTTGCATTGATGATGTTCGTACAGGCGTTTTGGTTTGGGAACTACATGATTAGTGTTGACAAATTAAAGATTAATCAAGTTTTCACTTGCTTTAGTTCTTGTTTAATACTAGGTGGGAATATTTCAAGCATTACTGAATTATTGGCTATTATTCACAAGGCATACGCTTCAGCTCAAAGAATCTCACAATTTTTAGTTGAGGGGGAATCCATCCCAATTCCAAAATCTAAACGTTCAAGCTTTAATAAACCAAATGGGATATACCCAACTATTTCTTCTATGGGGAAAATCTCATTCCATGATGTGAATTTCTTTTATGCTTCCAGAAGTCAACAAATCCTAACTAATGTTTCATTTGATATTCAAGCAGGTGAAATGAACTTTATCGTTGGAACTTCCGGGTCTGGGAAATCGAGTTTGGCTCAATTACTCTTCAATTTCTATAAACCTTCCAGTGGAAGGATTCTGATAGATGGGTATAGTGTTGCAATGTTAAACACCAAGTGGTTGACTGATAATATCACATATCTTCAACAAACTCCGGCCATATTTAGTGGAACCTTACGAGACAATGTAGCTATGGGAGGTGTCGGCTATACAAGTATTGAAGATGTCCCTTCACAATTTGTTGAAGATGCATGTGATTTCTCAATGTTAGCGAGTACAATAAGCGAACTTTCCATGGGAATTGATACAATTGTAAGTGGCGCAAAGCTTTCAGGTGGCCAGAAACAGAGAATAGCAATTGCAAGGGCTAAACTTCGTGATACTCCAATCTTAATTTTAGATGAAGCATTGTCGGCCATTGACGTTCGAACCAAAAACATTTTGTTTTCATCGATAAGACAGTGGAGGAAGGGTAAAACCACTATTGTGATAACCCATGATTATTCTCAAATCAGATTAGACGAATATGTTATCACCATAGATAAGGGTAAGATTATAAACACTGGATATTTGAATGATTATGAACTCAAGAATAGAATTGTGCCAGAAAAGAATGATCTGATATCTTCAAAGGAAGATGATTCAAATGATTTGAAAGAGGATAAACTGACTCATTATATTAAGAATCCCGTAATTCTTAAAGGATTGGAAGAAATATCCACAGAAAGACCAAAGGAAATAAAATCTGTAATTTTTATTTTGAAATACTGCTGGAAAAGTATTAGTAATAAACCACTATTACTTAGTGGGGTATTTGTTTCAATAATAGCTGGGATGGTCAGTCCAGTTTTCTCTTACTGCTTTTCACAAGTGCTTTCTATTATGGTTAGTGCGTCTATAGGAATGAATGTGAAGCTGGACCTAACCAAATGGTCATGCATTGTTATTGGAATTGCGGCGCTGGACGGTATTTCCAACTATTTATCTCTGTATATCCTTGCTTATGCGAGTGAAAATTGGATTATAAACTTGAGGAAATTGACGTTTGCCAAACTTGTTGAACAGGATTCGGCATACTATGATTTGGATAGTACAAATGCAGCAGAATTAACAGCCTTAATCATGAATGATACTAGAGACTTGCGTAATTTAGTTTCTGAATTCATATCTTTAGCTGTGAATTTGTTGGTATTGGTGGTGGCAGGTACAGTTTGGGCAATAGTATCTGGGTGGAAATTAGCACTTGTAGGTATAGCTTTTGTTCCATGCGTGCTTATTCTTACAGGGTTATATTCTATGATTCTTGAAACTTCTGAAAATAATTATAAAAGTAAGATTGCCGATTGTGAAAACCTTGTTCATGAATCTATGTCAAATATCAAATCAATATTGACTTTGGATTTAACTAGAGTGTTTCAATCGAGATTTGAAACTCGCATGGGTGAGATAAAGTCTACTGGGTATGTACGGGCATGTCATACTGGTGTTGGATTCGCTCTTTCTGGGTTATTGTCCGTACTTGCTACAGGTACTATTTTATACTATGGAATGAAACTTGCTGGTCTGTTTGAGTACTCCCAGGGACGATTACTTGAAGTAATTACATTGATAATGTTTACCATTGGGAACGCTGGGAATCTTTTGGGGAAGATACCAGATATTGCTAGAGGTCAACGAGCAGGAACTTACATCATTGGGTTATTGGAACTTGAACAATCACAGAGTGAAATTACAGGTGTTGAAAAACCGTTCCGAAACACCAAGGAATTGGTTGCATTCAATGATGTAAAATTTCTGTATCCCACAAGACCACATGATACAATTTTGAATAAATTATCACTTAAAATCAGACCAGGGGAAATAGTTGCACTTGTTGGTGATTCCGGCTCGGGGAAGTCGACCATTGCTAGCATAATTGCTAGACTTTATTTAATCGAAGACGGGTCTGTATACATAAGAGGAAAGGATATTAATGAGATCGACATTGAATGGCTTAGAAACTATGTGTCCTTGGTCCCTCAGAGTCCAGTATTTTTTGAAGGTTCTGTCTTGGATAACCTCACATATGGATTAGATCCGAATACTATTTCCAACGAGAGATTAATATCTGCCTTGAAGATGACAAATGCCTACGAGTTTGTAACGTCATTAGATAATGGATGGCATACTCAAGTGGGCGAGGGTCAAAGTTCCTTACTTTCTGGAGGACAACTACAAAGATTAGCCATATCCCAGGCATTAATAAGAAATTCAAAACTCATTATCATGGATGAACCAACTTCAGCACTTGATCCTGAAAATTCTAAGTTCATTAGAGATTGTATTCTGGAAAAGTTTATGGATGATGAGCTTACATTGGTGATTATTTCACACGATAGGGAAATAATGCAAGCATGTTCCAGAGTCATCATGTTGAACAAGGGGGAAGTCACCGAGGATGGGCTGTTTAATTCCCTATATGATGCCCAGGGCGATCTATATAGACTTCTTTCTCAGTAAGTAATTTGACGCTATACACTAATTGTTTTAGAAATATCTCTCTACACGTGGGGGCCATAGGGGCCTGGTGTGATTAAATTCACGTTTATTTATATTTTTGCTGTAGCAAACTCTAGATAGTCACACAAATATATGGTACTTCAACATCTTCACCTTCCTTATCATCACAACAAACTTCAAAAATCAAGTTCTTTACATGTGGAGCGAGTTCTTTCTTGCTGACTTCCTTAATCAATTCAGTTAATTTCAATGGCATTCTATCCTTGAGCTTCTTTGGTGGGAAGAAAGAAGCATACAACAAAGAAACACCATGTGACAACATGGAGATTTCAAGACCTTCCTTTTCTTCAAAGTGATCAAGCAATTCCTTCAAGGTGATATCACCCTTGAGTTCAAATCTATCCCAAATTTGGTCATAGGATTTATCATTGTACTTTCCTTGTGGAGATTGGATTGGTTCAGAGAAACCGAAGAATGGTAAGGCCAAGTTAATGAATCCGTTCTTGTAATCTTCAATCTTCTTGGTACCGTCGACAACCTTGTATAATTCCAAACAAACCAACCCAGTAACTAAGGCAGTAGTAGTAGCAATGGCAGGAATGATCTTACCGGCAATGAACTTAGTCTTGGAAGCATCAGCAGTTTCAATGGCATAGTTCAATGCTCTACAGTTAGAAGCAGCAGTGATGAATTCAATGTGATGATTGGTGTCGTCATCCTTCTCAAACTCAATTGGGCTCAATCTGTATCCAGCCAAGGTTGATGGTTCTGGTAAAGAGGCAGCAATCTTCTTGATTTCATCGTCATCGATACTACCAGAGGCATCTTCGGTAGGTTCATTGTCGTTAGCTTGGATCTTGACACCACTACGAGGGGTGAACTCTTCAATCTTAAGTTCACTCAAAACCTTTTGATAGTGGCTCAAATCAGCACCAGTCTCCTTCAATCCGTAAATGGCGGCCAACAAGTTGGCACCACCCACAACAAAGTGATAATGGTCAGGGTTGTTCAAGTCAAACGTCAATGGAGTTGGAGCTCTCTTTGGACCGGACCAGAATTGTCCACCAGTGGAAGTGGTGGCATCCTTAGGGAAATTGAACAACAATTGTTGGATATCGTGGTTATACTTCTTTTCAAATTCAAGTCTGGCCCACTTAATACAGTCATCAAAACTGTAAGGACGCTTGTTTAAGGAGTCAGAAATGTTTTGAAGAGTACCCTTAATATCAGGATTCTGTTTCAAGGTTTGTTCAACATAATTTGGTTGACTCAAATATAAGTTCACATTCTCTGGAGAGTCAGCAAAGTAACCTTGGAACAATGATTTGGCCCAGGCAATAGTGTGATCAATCTTGTTAGGGAAGGATCTCAAAGTACACAATGGGATAGACTTTTCTGGTGGATCTTGAGAGCTGGAGTATGATTCAGTCAAGTTAGGAATGACAACTTGTGTATTACCCTTGGTACCCAAAGTTCCAGATTCCAACAATGCCTTCTTGTAGAAGACACAACGACGATCAACGTATGTTCTTGCATCGACATTGTCCAATGCGTTAGTTACAAAATCTAATCCATTCCAGAACGAATCATCAAATATGTCTTCAGTCTCAGGTCCAACCTTTTCTAATCTGGACTCTATCTTTCCCTTCAATCCAGCGTTCATTATTTGAACTGCTGCAGCTGCGACATCGGACTTGTTCTTTCCAACATCCTTTGGTCTGAAAAGGAATTGTCTATTCAAATTGGATTTTTCAATAGAATCCATATCAGTGATATAAATCTTACCGTCAGGACCGGAACCCAATCCCATCATGGCCCAATTCTTCAACATTTCACATCCAATAGCACCAGATCCTACAAGGAAAACCTTCAAGTTTGAAATCTTTTCTTGATACTTCTTCCCGAAAACGGCAATTTGGCCATCATAACGACTACCAATTGGCTTACAAGTTTCAGCTGTACGAGGGAAGTTTTCTTGACTTGGTAAGGATTCCAAAGAGTCAAAGTATAACCATTGCTTGATTGGACCAAACTTGGATGAACAGCACTTCAAGACTTCCTGGGCAATTAAACCACCAAGGAACGCAACAAGACCTGGGATATCACCTCTAGCTTGGTAGGCCAATTCCTTGATTAATTTAGAGTCAACTTCAACACCTTCTCCCAAGATGTTTGGTTGTTGAGCTGCCAAATCTTGAACAATCTTCAACAATTCAGAGGCATCTTCTTCATTGTATGGCTTTGGTAATTGACCTTGGTGTCTGGTTTGGAATCCATGTAAACCTTGGAATCCCAAATGTAATTGTGGAGGTCTATCAAACTTTGCATAATCAGAAAAGACATATTCTGGGTTAGCTAATTGTTCAGATAACTTTTGGAAACTAATATCCTTTGGCATTTTGACTTGTGTATACAACCCACCCTTTTTATATTCACCGAATGAGCTATCAATCTTGATCTTGAAAGCGTATGGACCCAAGACTTCAATCTTGTGTGGGTTACCTTCGTTAAGTTTATCCATACCATCAATTTCAGAGAATTTGACATAGTCACCATCTTCAAGACCATGTCTATTGTCATCCAACATGGTCACAGTACCGTCAGATTCAATGTCAGATACAATACCAGTAAGTGGTTCTTCACCAGTTTGATCAATGACAGTGAATTTGGAACCAAAATCGACAAACAATTGACCGAAAAGACCTCTGATATCGGCAGCAATAAAGCCAATGTCGTTTTTGTGAGTGAATTCGTTCAATTTGACTTGTTCTTCAAGAGAGACGTTGGTCACAACAACACACTTGTATTGAGCGATGGTAGACTCTTCTAGTTGTGAAAGGACATTAATTGGAACGTACAGGTTGAGTTCCTTCAACTTGATGGCAGACACTTCAGCCTTGGATTTGCCACTGTCAACATCTTCTTCATTCAAGAAAAATTGAGAGGACAAGTCAGTAAGTGTGACTGGAGCAGGATCATAAAGACCCAAGGATTTAACCCCAGCAAGAGCCAAATTCTTGGAAATCTCAACCCCTAATCCATTCAAACCCACAACCAAAACGCTGGCGTTTTGCATCTTCATCATAGCTTCCTTCCCCATCACGTATAATTGTCTGGAGTATAAGCCTTCGTCAATGGCGCCTCCCGGTGGAGGCGAGTCAATCTGCATGCTATCCGACATATTTATGTATATATTAACTAATCTATCTAATGGATAAAAGATGGCAATCTATATCTCAATTAGTAATTTTAGAATTTACTCATTTTTGGAAATGTCGCAAAATTTCGACATTTTCATTTCGACATTTTCCCATACACAAAGACAACTGTTTTAATAGACATATCCTTATATATAGAACTACATAATTAGATTAGTAACTAGTTTAATAATATTGATCATCTTTGTTTAGGTGGGACAAAAATTTTAGGGTTTTGGTTTTGCAACTGTAAAGATTATATAGAGCTTTCTACCCTATTAATGAAAGTAGAGCTTGTTAATTTCATTTTCAAAATTTCTGTCTAGAACTTCAGGAACCTGAAGTATATATTCTTCTATACAACTTCCTTATTACTTATTTATGTAGTTTTCCAAATCTTCCCTGCATAATGCTTTGCAAATGCCAATGGATCCTCAATTTTACCATCTTTTGGAATGGCAAGTTCACTTGCAAATGAAGAAACTGGCAATACCAAAACATCACTAACCAATTTTGGCATTTCAAGTTTATGGAATTCTTTCCAAGTGATTTTAGAATAAATGGAACTTTGCATATAATCATTGAAATATGTCAAGATTACATCAGTCCAACGTCCACTACCAGTCCATTTTTGAAGTTCTAAACTTTTCTGTTGTGGAGATCCTTCAAGTTTAAGTTGTTGAGAATCTTTCTTTTGTAAAGTATATTCAGTAATTTGTGCAATAATTTCTCTTAATATTGGATGACCAGGTTTAGTTTGAAGGATAAATTGTCCAAATTGAAGTCTTCTCCAATGAAGATCTTTCCAATTGGATGCTGTAGAGTCTACATCGATACTAACAATCATCCCCAATTCCTTTGGTGCCACATTTTCTGGAATCCAATTAGGAATAGGTTGTAATGGTACAGTATCAATGTCTGCATAAACCCCACCACGTGCAAATAAAATTAAATATCTAAAGAAATCCATTTTTAAAATGACTTCAGGAAGAAGATCATATGCTCTAACAACCTCTGGAATAGATACATAAAGATGATGAATCATGGCATTGGCAGTATCATCATTAAATAATTCATGAACAAATCCAGGATTCTTCCAAGCCCATTCAGTTTCTCCCTGTCTAAATTTCTCTTCAAACCTTTCATCGTTTAATCCATGTTTCCAAGTTTGCCATATATAGGCGGGGAATTTGACTGAACGGTCATATGGGTATAAATGGACTAATTTATCTCTAAGTGATGAATCTGCTGGAGGTCTCTTGAGACTATTTAATTCTTTAACTAATAATACATTTTGTTTCTCCAACATTACCAATCTTTCATCTTGTTTGGCAAGAAGTTTCTTATGAATCTTCTCCAATTTGAGTAAAAACTCATCCTCTTTACTTTGTGACAGAAGTAATGCACTCAGTAAAAGATTCTCATTAGGAATTGACGTCAACACGTCTTGCAAGTTCTTGGTTGATCCCTTTGAGGTGGAGAGTTTGGTCACCACAAAGAGAAACACTAGCACCACCAACGTGATGACCACCAGTCTCTTCCGCGATAACGCACTAGCCATATCTATGCACACAACGATCTAATGGATGATGGATGACTTGGGTCAATGAAGGGTAGATCTGATTTCGTGATGAATGTTGTTGGTATGTGGTCGTGCGGGAGAGACAAATTTGGTATACGGACTGCAGGTAATCCATATAAATAGAAAATCTACAGATAATGACATACAAGGCAAGAAACAAGATATAAAATTTCAAAAATAAAAATTGAGAGAGAGAGAGAGAGAAAGAATGACAGTATGAGAAAAAAGAAATCAGTGATTAGATTGTATGATTAAAATCTGAACAAATTACCTTTTTATGGTTTTGTCACCAAATATATTTATGTTCCATCACAGTATATCGTTTTATTAATTTTTGTTTGTTTTTTATTTTTTATTTTTATTTTTAACTTCTATTGGTATTACGTAATTGACGGGTTTTTTTTTTATATTACAACTTCATTTATTTTTCTTTTGTTCTTTTGTGTGACTTTTATATTATATCATTAACGGGTTTAACGACTTTCCATATTCTTCATTGTTAAAAAAGTAAAGATGGTTCAACAATTATATGGGGGTGCTATTACTACCACCATTCCTGTTGGATTGGTAGATGTTTCGAAATTCCGTGAAATTCCTGACACTCAAGAAGTTTTCATATCTGAAACTCAAGATGATGCTAGGTTAGATCAATCAATCATTTTTGATCTTCTTGAAGAAGTTATTGCTCCAACTAATGAAGAGGCACTTTCAATTCATTTGTCAGAAATAAGTGAAATTTCTAAACCAGAAACTACCAAAATATCAACAGTTCATAATCCTCATCTTAATATTGATGCTCATTTAACTGCATTCATACAAGCTCCTCCTACAAAGGATAAATATTCAACAGTTACAATGGTAGCTTTGATTAAATTGGATCGTGCTAGCACCGATGTAGTTATTACTGTAAATGTACCATTTCAAGGTGAACTCGCTATCCTGCAGGTAGAGGCTGCACTTTTAAATACTACTGAAATCCCATCAATAACAAGTGGTTACAAGATGTTAACTACAGCTACTGAGTCTTACAATATCAAGGATTGGAGTTTATTTGGTTAAAAAGACAATTAGAGAAACGAACAATAGTAATAGTAAAAAAATGATAAATAAAAAAAAAAAAAGAATGAAAAAACAGAGTGAGTACAAATCGTCCAGCTTTCTCCCGAAACTTCCGTACGGTGTATACACCAACGATTATATCATAGATAAATATTGTATATTACATATATAGCAAAACTATATTTCAAAACTAGTACTTCTTCTGTCACACCTTCATAGAGTCTGATATTAAAAATAATGGTGTACCATTCTCATTTTGTGCTTGAGTATTATTGAGAACATCCTTCCAAGAAACCTTTATCACCTTTTGACCCATGGATTTAAGATCATGGTTTAAAACAGCCATAGTTGTAGAGACCAAGATTTCTCCTGTCAAGTAGTAGAAGCTTCTTTGAATGAAATGTACTATACATGTAGGTAGCGTGCAAATAAGCCAGTATATAAGAACCGCGCACATGGATGCAAAAACAAAATTGAAAACAACAGCCTCGCCATATGTAAGTACTGCCAATGGAGTAAAGTTGCAGTAGTAGCGGTATATCGTGTGGGGTAAATGTGTTGCAATCATCTTTGGTTACCAGACCTTCGTAATTGATGTATCCTCAAGTGCCCCATCTTTCGTTCTTATTGTCAGGTATTTAAATGTCAACTTGCCGATATTTCCGGAACTGCCTGTCTAGTAATGGAAATAAGATTCGGCAAAATTTTCTATATTTGGATACCCACAGTTTTATCAAACAAAACCACGTTATATTTCTGGCCTTGGCCGTTTTCGGAATCGTTCAATCCATGTGATAAAGGTCTCCCATGAATACTTGTCATTTCCGTATATCCAGACTATTTCATCCAGAGATATTCGCACAATCATTGGTTGCGGCTTCAACTTCAGAATCTTATCTGATTGAAATCGGACCATACGGGAAAATTTTCTAGTCCATACTGGAAACTCACTCTCAATATATACGTTGCTGTTACATTTGGACTTCCATGATTTTACGAATTTGAAGGTTACTAACTTGTCATACACCAATTCTAGATCGTTCATAATAGAAATGCTTTTAAATGACCAACGGTATAGATTGTTTGTTGCCCAGGCGACTACATTACGTCTGGTAATCCCTGGATGTTCCAATTCATGTATGATATAGTCTTCAATTTGACCTCTTTGGGAAAGGGATTCCAAATGTCTTTTAAGTTTAATTCCGGTTTCCTCCAATCCAAGTTGACAAGTAAACCATGTATTTTTAAATCCAGGGTGTTTGATGTCCAAGCTTTGAGCTATGTATTTCTTTATAAACCCATATTCACCTCCATCTTCATGATAAAGCTCCGACTCCGAACCGTGAAGCTTGTTTGCCCTTTCTGGTTTGATCTTATTTCGACTCTCAAGCTCTTCCCATGTTGAATAGAATGGTGGGTTACACATAGTATACCCCACTTGAGAATTTTGAGGGATTGCTTGTAGTAGTGAATCAGGAATTATTTCATTTGGATTATCAATTTCTACAAGTGTGATACTTTCATTTAGATTATTACGATCAATTTGGATCTGGGCGTGCTTTATAGAGTTTGAATCGATTTCAGTACCTATAAATCGACTTTTGGGTGCAAGTTTCACACCAAGAAGAGCATAAATGGCACTAGATCCAGTGCCAATGTCTATATTATACACTGGTAATGTAGCAGTAGAGGTAGGATCTCTTTCCGATTGAACTTCTAATTGAGCTTTAAAGCGTTTCTCACACCATTCCAAGTAAGATCTACGATTAGGAATACGTGGACACAACTTTAAACGATCCAACTCAATGGTTAATCCATACACATCTTTCAATATCACCTCGGATAAGTCGTACACAGCACCTGGCTTATCAAAATTGTAATGGTTTCCTATAAAGTTCTTTGCTAGTACTGGATACTTCGTGCGCAACGCTACAAAATCAATCTCCATCAAAATAAATGACTAGATGAGTGTTTTTTTTTTCCCCATTATGTATTTCAAGAAAACTATTTTATCTTTATTGAGAGTTCCTGTATCTCTAAATTATTTTTACCTCATTGATTGTGTAGTTTTGTATAATATCTATATCTTCTCTTCTAGATGAGGTTTTACCTTGATGATTTTTGATTGAATTTCATTGGTACCAATTTCATTTGCTTTATTCAGGAACATCTCCAACATTTCTTTTAGTCTACTCTTCTCTAAATTAATCTTTAATCCCTTCTCTAACATTATTGCCACTATTAATGCATAGTATCCCTTTAAATGGATATCTATATCCTGTGTAGATATTGGTAGTTGTGAATAAAGAGCTTCAAAACTTCCAATATCTATAAATTTATGATTAAATTCCACCACATTTAATTCATAACCAAGACCCAATAATATAAGATTTTTCCATGAATCTGTACAGTTATCCATATTTAACTCTAAGACGTTAGATAATACTGGCTGATTCATTATTTTGTTGATAAATTCCTCATCCATATCTGCTTCAATTCTACCTATCAAAGTCGATATTATAACTAGATATTGTAAGATATTCAAGTAATTGACTCCTTTGGTTGGTTGACAGATTCGTACTAATATATCTTTCACCATTTCTTCTTCTTCTTCCTCATTATTAACATCATTGTTCTCAATCAAGTTCTCAATTATTCTCTCCATGGACGAACCACTCAATAACTTTGATAATTGTTCAATTCCATCAATATTATTTTCAAATTTCGTCACATACTTACAAATGCTTGTAAGAACAATTTGTTTAGAAATCATATAGATATCTTCATTGGTCTTATCTCTACTACAAACCAAATCTAACCCCATCTTGTTCTTCTCAATTAATTCACCTTTCAACATTTCTTTTAACCGTTTGAGATTTTGTTTCGATATATCCAGTAAAGAAACATTTTGATAATTCAAAAACAAAGGTTGATCTATTCGATTGCTAATTTTGGAAATCAATTGTGAGGGTATCTCGTGTTGCTCCGCAGTCTGTAAAGAATGTGCAACAACAATTATAAGTGATTCAATTAAATTTTTCCCATTACCATCGTCAGATTTTAACCTTTCCAATCTTGTCCATATTTTACAAACTCGATCTAAAACTATTTCAACATTCTTCAGTTCAAATCTCCATATAAGTTCCTTTGATCCTTGAATCACATCAATGGCTAGATCTACAAGACAATTGATCAATGATTGGTTTTTCTCAATTGGAGTAACCTTTAAAATTTTTAACCCTTCAAGAAAATATTCTAAATCATCATTAATTCGATTTAATTTCCCTAATGCTTTCAAATCATGTACATCTTTTGTATTTGATTCAACAAAAGTTTCCTCATATATCAATCGATTGTCATCATCTCTATCTTCTAGATAACTTCTTTGATCGCCATAAGTTTTAAATTTATTTGGTCGTTTACGTTTAGTTGGTGATAATTCATTGGATATCTCTGTGTTTAGAGTATCAACCAGGGTTTCTCTACTGGCCATTTCTGGCAGATATAAATGAGAGAAATCAATTGATACTGCCAATGGTGTATCATACAACTTTTCATCTGAATCCTTTGTTTCTGTATCTATAATTTCTTCTAAATCATGATTCAATTTAGATATTAGATCCAATTTCTTTGTTGGTAAAGTTCCTTCTCCTAAACTTGTAAATAAATCTTTCCATGCATCCTTTTCTCTAGGGGTTGTTTTATGAGGTGATACCTTATTAGTTGATTTATTGTTTGATGGAGAAAAAGTTTGATCTATGGATTTTTGAATGGTTATTACCAGTGAATCGTCGTTAGATATTATTCTTTTCCTTGCTCTTCCTTTTTCATTCTTTCTCGGGGTAGGACTACTTGATCTAGATCGAGGAATTTCCTTCATATTTTCAACAATTCTAGTAAATCTTTTGGGAGACTTGGTTAATGTATCTGACTCCATCTCTTGTTGAAATTTCAATGGCAGTATCTTCAGCAGAATCCTTGGTACTTTACGATTAGGTGATAATGGTGTCATACTTATAGTCAGTTGTTCAATGGATAACTTGGTCTTCTTATTCATTTCAACAATGTCTTCTTCATCAGAAGAAAAAATCGCTAGATTTAACCCATTAGAATCTTCCATCTTCGTGGAAGTCCGTTTCCTATATCCCTTCCTCCCATAAGTATTCATATTTAAAAAAATATTATGTATATAGATATACATATGTTCATACCCACTCCATCATTCTATCTATCTAATCTCTGTTGCAAAATATCTTTTTTTCTCTCCGGTATATAATAAAGGCGCGAAAACACCACTCATAACAAATTGCAAATCACCAAAAACACCAAAACAATTGAAATCTCAAGAAAACGACAACGAGACATTAATCTTTCAATTATACGTATCTCAATTTTGTCTCTGTGATGTCTCTTGAGAAGAAAATCAGAAACTTCTTGCAGGGCCCTCGTAAGGGTGAAACCTTCGAGCTCAAGAGCGGGTTGGTCTCACAATATAAACACGAACGTAAAGATGCCATTCAAAGAGTGATTCAAGCCATGACAGTGGGAAAGGATGTATCAGCCCTTTTCCCTGATGTTCTTAAAAACATTGCCACTTATGACATTGAACAGAAGAAGTTGGTTTATCTCTACTTGATGAATTATGCCAAGTCCCACCCGGAACTCTGTATTTTGGCTGTCAATACATTTGTCCAAGATACCGAGGATCCAAACCCTCTTGTTAGAGCCCTTGCCATCCGGACCATGGGATGTATTCGGGTCGCCAAGATGGTTGATTACATGGAGATCCCTCTTACTCGTACCCTTGGTGATGATAACCCTTATGTACGTAAGACGGCGGCGCTTTGTGTGGCCAAATTGTTTGATTTGAATCCAGAAATGTGTATTGAATTTGGATTTTTAGATCTGTTAAAGAAATTGATTGGTGATCCAAATCCTATGGTTGTTGCCAATGCCTTGAATGCATTGTATGAGATCAAGGATATGAATGAAGATCCAAATTTGGAGATTTTCACCACCAATGCCACCGTGGTGAAGAATTTACTTCTTTGTTTGAATGAATGTACTGAATGGGGTAGAATCACCATATTAACCACCCTCAATGATTATCTGACAGATGATGAAGAAGAAGTGTCTCATATCATTGAAAGAATTGTTCCTCAATTGCAACATGTCAACCCATCGGTGGTGTTATCATCCATCAAGGCCATCATTCATCATGTTGATGTCATTAGACAACCAGAGCAAAGAACAGCAATCTTACGTAAATTGTCTGCTCCACTTGTATCATTGGTTAGTCTGCTGGTACCAGAAGCTCAATACGTTGGATTGAAAAACATTCGAATCATTTTAGAAAAATATCCTCAAGTACTTTCCAAGGAACTTCGTGTGTTTTTCATTAAATATCTGGACCCACTTTATTTGAAATTAGAGAAATTAGAAATTATGGTTCGGTTAGCTAATGATAATAATAGTACTTTATTATTGGGGGAATTGAAGGAATATGCTATGGAATTTGAACCTGCATTGGTAACTAGAGCCATTAAATGTATTGGATCTGTGGCAATTAAATTGGCTGGAAGTGTTGTTAAATCGGTCAATTTGTTGTGTAATCTTATTGATCAACGTGGAGGTGATCTTATTATAAACGAAGCATATCTTGTATTGACCAATATTTTAAGAAGATACCCGGGTAAAAATGATCTTATTACCTTAATTGTGCCGGTTATTTCTAATCATGCTGATAATGTTGATAGCAATGAAGCTATCTCAGGATATATTTGGCTGTTGGGAGAATTCCCCAAATATTTCCGTGATGCTGAATCATTAGCCAAATTGAATGAATATGCTGATAATTTCTTAGAGTATGATTCAATGATTCAATTAAATGTATTGACTACAATTGTTAAGATTACTCTTTCCAGTACATCCAATGCATTTTCTAAAATTTTACAAAAAATTTTAGAAGTTGCCACTCAAGGATGTGAAAATGCAGATGTTAGAGATAAGGCATATATTTATTGGAGATTATTATCAATGGATAATAATAATAATGAAGATGGAGCACAAAAGATTATTTTAACTAAATTGCCACCTATCAAATCCACTATATCCACGTTTAATCCAATGGTTTTGGAAGAATTGATCAATGAATTGTCAACTGTTTCATCAGTTTATCATAAACCATCCTTCACGTTTATTAACAAGAACGCTTATAATAAACTCCAGCCAATTAGAAGGGACTCTAGAAAGAGGGGAGACAATGAAATTGAAGATTTGACCAATTTGGCCAAGCAAGAGATTATCAATAACTCCAAGAATGAGAATTTACTTGATTTTGATGATGACAGTGGTAATGCCAGTGGCAATACCGATAACGGTAATGGAGGCGGTTCTTCACTTTTAGATGATTTGAACGACTTGTTTACAAACATTCCTCAGCAGCAACAACAACAGCAACAACAACATCAACAACAACAGCAACATGGCCATTCACAAACCAATTCTGATATATTAAGTTTGTTCAATGGGACAGATGCTAACCAAGTTACCCAGGGGGTGAACAATTTGGACCTTAATTCATTGGCTGCTCCCAAGAAGAGTGGGAATGTGAACAATGACCTTTTGGATTTATTTTAGAGGAAAGGAGAGGTATATGAGATCTAGATGGTTTCTAGGAAGAGATAGAGATAGGATTATCTAGTCTATTTGAAAATACAAACAAATAAAAGGTATAATTTAATTGGTACAGATGTAGATACTGTTAGGTTCCATTCAAGAGTGTCCGACAGCCCGGTAGGGAAAGCCTACGGGGTATACAAGCCCTGCGCTGGCACTATGTGGACCACTAATCCTGGTGGCCCTGTTCCTCTGACGAGGAAGGCGCTGAGTACTAGAGAACTCAAGAGGGGCGGCTTCTAATTCCCGCTCAGGGTGATTAATGGTCTATTCCCTATGCCTCTCAACTCCCGGGGGGGGGGGGGAATAATCTCCCTACAATACTTGACCTTGGCTTGCAAAAATGTTTACTCTCTCCATTTTTTGTTCTTTGCAACCATTTAACCTTTTTTTGACATCGACTACATGTAGGAATTTACTATTATATAATCTTGTTAGCTAAATTACATAAGCAGTGATAGGATTCATGGTTTGCAGCCATTTATCCTATCTACTCCACTGGTGGGAACATTGGTTCATCCTTACAAGGCTTACATCCAGAAGTTGATGTACTGAGGGTTGGAACGTCTCCATAGTAGGTGATCCCGGCATTCATCTTGGAATTAAACCCGAGATCAGTGCCCAAGGGTACAAGGGAGGCAAGTTCAAACAAATCCGGATCATACCCCAATCCAATATTGTACTTCATTTTGTAATCATTTGCCGTTACGGTCAAGATCCCCACTTCAGTGTCATAAGAATAGCTGGTAATTGGGTAGCTGTGAACGATGTAATTCCCATTCCCCCATCCAGCAACGTTGTAGGCATAGTATTGTCTGTCAGCACCAACAAATAACATGGATGTCTTGGATGAAAGATATATGGTTTGCTGTCCAGGGAATATATAATTCCTATTTTGGTATCTGAAAACAGAATCTTCGCCGATGTTAATGCATCCATTGCCCTTGAAGACAACAGGATCAGCATCCATGTATGCATTTCTCAAACAGATCTGTCCATTGTTGGTGAACGCTTTACCTTCACTTCCCAACACGGCACCCCTATTTGGTCTTGAGTCAAAGTACATGTTGAAAGATCCAGTCTTGGTGATTTCCCAGGCTCCTGGGATCTTGATTTTGTTGTCAAAGGCATCTTCACCCATGAAGAATATATCACCCGAGTTTTTCACATAGCTAGTCGTCCAGTTAATTTGGATCCCGGCATGTAAAGAATTGAAGTACATGAGTCCTGTGTTTTCGATGTAACCGCATCCAACAACCCCAAGATTGAGAAGAGTCCCCGTTCTACGGTCATGGAACAAATAAAACGATCCATGGTTGATAAAGGCTCCCCCAAATCCTAAATTGGCGTCAAAAACACACCAAAAGACCCCGCGATCTATAACCACATCACCATAGGATTCTGGAGCATAGATGTCGCTGTAAGTGTTCTTGGAAATACGTGCAGCCGTGGTTGCTGGAAGAGCAATGAGTGCTGAAACGAGCACTGCTAGAATTGATTTGAATTGCATTGTGCCACTAATGGTAAGAAGGCAGTGACCAAGGATTCAACAAGAGACACACATCTATGTATTTATAGTGAAGATATTACTTCAGTTCGATCATCAAGAGGTGTTAATTTCCATCGAGCCATTATGATGATATGGCCCAGAAATTTCATTTCTACCATGAGACGAAATGGAATAAGTGACCATGAAGGATACACCAGCGGGTGGTTGAGATCCCGGTCTGCTGTCCATAGCTCTCTGCCCCAGAGCCGTTGGACCTCCTAGCACAGAGCTGGGCTACCTCGCCCTCAAACTAAGTGACCTCCCTAGAGCATCCAAGAGTGATAAACTGCTAAAAAAAAAAAAGGAAACCTGATTTCTTGATTTTTTACAATGAAACTCGTTCCACCACACAAATTTTTACTCTGTATAAAGATGAATTTATCAGAGATTCCCGCCATGAAGCTCGCTCGCATCTTCGTAAATCCCAACTCATGAGCTACATACACACAGTGCGGCGGCTATCCTTGGAGAATTCGAACAACCTTCACTAGAGCCCGGGAAAGAACAAAACTGGTAGTTGGAGAATCTGCCCCAGACTCATTGTTTCTCCAATTGAATAAGTACCCATGAGGTTAGAGTGATACATCATCTTGAAAAAACTCCTCAATACATTCAGTTTTCCATTTTCGTTGTAGACCAATGCCGATTAATGGCCTTCTTGTTGTCTGGGCTGCTGAACGATATAGAGACTAATTCGTCGACTGCTCCCAAGAAGAATGAACTCAATAATCTTTTAGATATCTGCTAGAATCGAGTTACTAAATATATATGAGATCTTGGCCGTCTCTAAGGAAATATAGAGGTAGTATTGTCTTGTCTATTACAAACAAATAAAAAGTATTGAATTAGTACCGATGTAGATGCTCACTACCCAAAAGAGGTCTCACAACCCCGTAGGTATATAGGTACCACCATATGGAGATTCTAGCCGTACTGGTTGCACACCGTGCACCACTATCCGTGGGAGCCCTGTTCATCTAGCGAGGAATGGCTCTAGACGCTCCTTGATCTCCCCAAGGGGGGGGTACCACATACTGGCTCTCCCCGAGCAGGGGCCAGCGAAGCGTCTTGCAGCACCGCAGTCTAATACTTCCCTACGGGGTCAATATGCTGCTAAGACGCTGGCCGTTGTGAGATGTAGGGCCCCCTCGTTGAGGAACTGGACACCACGCCAGTAGATCTCCTCCCCAAGTAGGACCCTAGGGAGGAACGTATTGCCTCAGTGTGCTGGCCCTTACGAGGAAGGAGGAAGTCACTACATGTAGAGAGACTTTTTGTTGGACGTAGCGGAGAATTTTTATTACAGTAATATACATGGAGCGTCTAATTTAAGAGCTTGGTCGTTATTTCGTTCAAGGTGGCTTCTATGGACGCGTCTGTGCTTCCATCCAGAAGGGATTCTGACGATTGATCATAAGAACGGGACGGCTTGTTGGTCAATCCAGATAATGTGGCGGCTATTTTCTCCTTTACGTCCAGACGTACACGATCAATTTCCACAATTTCCGACCTTTTAGCCTCTATTTGCTTTCTCAAAAGCATAATCAAACTCTCACGGGATTGATGTGGACGGTATGAATTTAGAATATGATTGATATTGATAAGAATAAGCTTCAGGTCCTCAATCTTGAGATGGAACTTCTCGGGTTGGACCGAAACTACTCCGACAAGTTCGAGGAAATTGAGTAGGAGCGAGTCAAGTAACTTGTGTAGTTCCTTTATCTTAGTCTTGGAAGTGATGATATCGTCATCGTCCGGGTAAAGTTGACGTAACCCCATTTCTTTCAACGAGGGGAGCTTGTCTTCAAAGGACCAAAGGTTCCCATACCCACGATAATGGGATCCGGCGGGTGGTTGTGGTGGCACAAGGAACCGTAACTCTCCGGGAGGAGGGGCTGCTATCGAATCATTTTGGTCTCGTGGTTCATCATTACTTTCCAGTGAAGCCTTCCATTCGTCCAATTTGGCCAAATTTTCCTTGGTGAAAAACCTCACATAAGGAGGTGGAGGTGGATATAATGATGAAATCAAATCATCAGTATCAGCCATGATGGAAAATGTCTTAAATGTTTAATAATTTTTTTAAGTAAATGTTTATGATTGTACTACTAAAATTTACTATTATGCTTTATTTCCACTGGGTCACGTGGCAAAGAATACCATTCCAAAAATATCGAGGATCACGTGAGGGAATATTATAAATCATTACAAATCAATAAAAACAGACATGGTTTTCTGTATTTTCTTGAAAAGAAGACAACATTAATCCTATGTTGTTCTATCAGTGGTGACCAATATAGAATCATTGGAATGATCATATATGTCCCATGAATAGATGTTAATGAACTAGTCTCTGTTAACATTTATGTCTTTTGTTCTTAAAGTCTCTCTCACGTGACTCTCTATTTCTTTCTTTCTTGCATACAATTTCAAATGTTTAGGAAAAGGATCACAGAATGGGAAGTTTGAATAAGGTCCCGTAATTTGATAGTGTGTACTGAGGTGGTTACACTCTATATACAATTGATTACCTCTATATTTTTTTATACGCAACCAATTTTTTTTAATTATTTGAAAGAAGGTATATTTCCAGTACACCCATCTGATCAACCATTGCATATAGAACCCCCACCCCTCCATATAATAACAAGATGTCTGAAGATCAAATGGAAATAGATAGCGGTATGTATTTGTGATTGCTTACAAACAGAGAAACTGATATTCTTAAAATACAATTTTTTTGGCCAATACTAACAATAATGCAGCACCACCACCACCACATACACACACACATGTGCATGAGCACGAACACGAGCCCGAAACCGAGGGGTCGGTAGCACAACAACCTGCTGCCAAACAGAAATTTGAGGTGAAAAAATGGACAGCAGTGGCATTCTGGTCCTGGGGTATGTATACTATTAGGGAGAGAGAGAGAGAGAGAGAGAAGTCTCTCGCATTTCTTTTGATTCAATTTTACTAACATTTAGACATTGTTGTGGAAACCTGTGCCATTTGCAGAAACCATTTGATGGAACCATGTATTGAGTGTCAGCCCAACACCTTGAACAAGACAAATGAAGAATGTATTGCTGCATGGGGTCAATGTAACCATGCATTCCACTTGCATTGTATTTCTCGTTGGCTTAAGTCGAGAAATGTTTGTCCGTTGGACAACAGAGAATGGGCGTTCCAGAAGTTTGGTAATTGATTTATGAATTTAGATGTATAGTATATATATTATATGTGGAAGAAGAAAATTTAATGTAGATCCACTACTCTGTTAACCTAGGGGGTGTAGGATGCTCCACTGTAGAGATCCCTCTGTGAGGAGACTCTCTAGAGAGTGTTTGATTGTCTTTTTAATTTTTCGATTTTTCGATTAGTGTCTATTTATAATATCTCCAATTACGTTTAAAAGACCCCAATATCGTCAATTGACACTTGTCGGCCAACTCCTTGAGCCCCTCCTTGACGTTCTCATCCTTGTACAAATTGCCATGGACTTCAGCAAAGAAGACATATTGCCATTGTTTCAAATGTGAAGGTCTTGAATTGATGGATGTCAAATTGACGTCATGCTTGCGAAGGATGTCCAAGGCAGTACAAAGAGCCCCTGAATCGTCATGATTCAAAGTGAAGAGCATCGAGGTCACATACGATGCGTTTTCATTTTCCTTGTCCTTATCGGAAGCACTTGGAGGAGCGTCATATCCCAACACCAAGAACCTTGTGGTATTGTTGGCTATGTCCTCAATATTAGCAAACATCGTTGGGAGATTATATATGTCTGCACTCATGCTGGATGATATACATGCGGTGGTGTTTGTCTTGTCTTCATACACCAACTCAGCGGCCCTAGAAGTGGAAGAGACATCTTCTCGTTGAATGTCATGGCCCACCAAATGCTCGCCTGCAAACTCGGTCACCTGGCCCCAAACCTGCGGGTGGGAATACACCCGCTTAACGTCGGTCCACGACTTAGCCCGGGTTAAAACACAATGATGAATCGCTACAAATTGTTCAGCAACGATTCTAAATGAACACTCCTTACTGAACCAGTCCCGAAGAAGATCGTACGTGTATACAACCTGTCCGTTTGTGGAGTTTTCAAACGGGATAATGGCATAATCAACCTTCTTATCATTCAAAGTTTGAAAGCATTCAGAAATCGATTTCTGAGGGAAGATCTCAACCGATTTATCGTCAGTGGGGAACTCTTGATTGGTAGCCTTTAAAAAATTGTTAGTAACTGGGGGAAAACGTCGAGATTTCAAGAGCCAACACTCATACTTACCTGGTGGGTGTAGGTCCCCTTTGGACCCAAGAATGCAACTCTATAGCCTGACATGTTGGTGTATAGCTGGATTATTGGTTACTTGGTAGATGGAGAATCTTTAGTATGGTAGTCCATATGTGACTCGGGCGTACTGCAGGGTAGTACTATTTATTATTTTTTTTTTTTTTTGTCTCACTCACTGAAGTGTCGCCGGGAGCGGGCCGACACATTTGCGGACTGCTAATCACAAGTAACGTATAAGGTGAAGAGTTACTCAAAGGAGTACTGATCTGGAGATTATTTGGAGGGTTCCAGTGACACTCTCGACCTCCCACCATTCTATTCTACTCTATTATATAGGTTTTATATTGGTATTTAGGAATATAGATTACAAGACAACCCCAGTGGCCCCAGGTCGGGGAGAGTCACTGAGTGGATCCTAGCTCCTCTAAGAGACAACTCCGAAGTTCCTCGTCAGAGGAAGAAAGCCTCCACGGCTATTGGCCCACGGAGTGCCAGCGGAGCGGCTCACATCCCCCCGTAGGGCAGTACTTACTTACATTCCCAGTGGGACTGCAAGCCGCTCCGCTGGCCCCTGCTCGGGGAGAGCCACTGCGTGGTGCCTAGCTCCTCTACCAGGAGATCTGAAACCCCTGTAGCCTTCCTCGTCAGAGGAACAAGGCCTCCACGACTAGTGGCCCACGGAGTGCCAGCGGAGCGGCTTGTAGACCCCGTAGGGTGGCCCTCTTCGCTAGGAAGCTGTAAGCCTCTTCGTTGAGTTCCTACCTGTCTAAGGCCGCTGTGGTTGTTCCTAACTCCACTCCAAGCGGTCCAAAAGTGTAGAACCATTGCTCATCAGAGGAAGAAGGCCCCCACGGCTAGTGACCCACGGAGTGTCAGCGGAGCGTCTTTCAATACCCGTAAGGTAGCACCACTCCCTTCCACATGTAACTGTAAGCCACTCAGTTGGCCCCGACCCACAACTAACACGACCTATAGTCACCATACACCATCTATCGACTCCCTACAATATACATTACTAGTGTCTTTTATTCAAAACTTCCTTTATTTAAAAAAAAGTTCATTTTATTTATTTATATGTTTTTCCATTAACTCCCCTCTCTATCGAATATATACAATTGGAAATCTAGAGGAATTCTCTAGACTTTCTTCTGAAGGCATTACAATCACGAAGCCATTGCTTGTAATGGTTCAAAGAGTAAATCTTCTCTCCATAGTAGTCAGGAACAGGGTTTGACATGGATTGAGAGGAAGGATCCACTCTCTTGGCCTTGATGTGGCGGAGGAAAAGTTGGTTCTTCAACTTGTACAGCTCCAACAAGGCTCTGTTACGCATGTTGAAAAGAGCAGTACCGAGGAATGGACCAAACATATATCCAGCAAATCCTCCAAGACCTACTAACCCACCCATGACCATCAAGGGATCCAACCCCATGATAGGCTTTTCTACGTCCAACTCAATGTTTCCCAAGAAGGTGAGTGTGACAAAGGACCCGCCAAAGGCAGTGATCCCAGATGAAAACATGTTGAATCTAGAGTTTTGTTTCTTCAAGGTGAAGAATTCAGTCCAATTCATGGGAGCAACTGGGGCCTTTGTACTGTTGAAACGGGCGGACACGTGGCGCAAGGCAACGGTTCTTGACTTTAATCCAACCGAGAACATTTTTTTATATACTAAGTTTATTGATTAAATTAGATTATTAAAGTAGCAAAGGGTATTTCATATTTGTGATAATCTGATGTTCAGAAAATTATAAAGACTGACCGGAAAATGAAATGATTTTCCTGTGGGTCATGTGATCCAGGGAGTCGAGATCCGGGGTACTACAGAAAAGGTGTGTAGAAACAATTGAAAAGAGGTATAAGTGGTCACGTGAAGGTGATTAGGGTGTTAGGACATTAGGGATGAACTAATGGGTGTAGAGACATTCCTCGTCAGAGGAAGTAAGCCTCCACGGCTAGTGGCCCACGGAGTGTCAGCGGAGCGGCTCACAACCCCCAGTAGGGGCAGTACTTACTTACTTACATTCCCTGTGGGGTCGCGAGCCGCTCCGCTGGCCCCTGCTCGGGGAGAGCCACTGCGTGGTGCCTAGCTCCTCTACGAGGAGACCCTTGTATTTAGTGTCTTCCTTGGTAGAGTGACAGGGTCACCCGGGGCTAGTGGTCCACAAAGTTCCTAGTGGAGCGGTTTGTGAACTCTATACCGTGGTCTATTTACTTTTCCCTGTGAGAATATACTTTCGGGAAATACTCTACTAGGTTCATTTGTATTCGGCAAGACCCCATTCAGGGTTACATACATACTCTCCATTTATGTATATATACATGTTTTATATATCCTCTGACGGAGGTCATGTGACTAGCAGTGGTTATAGAGTTCTCGTTTAACTTATCCGTATCCTTTCAGATACTCCTTTTTTTTTCATAGTTTTCTGCGTAATTTTTTTATTTCTTGAAAATCACTTTCTTCATCTCTTGGAATATTGTGTTAAAAATATCTGCTTAACTCATTCATAATTTCTAATACTCTTTTATGTTACTACTCTGTGTCTACTCTTTGTTATCTATAGTAGACTGATATCCTTCATACGTCGTTTACTCCTGCATGTCTATCTCCAATCATTTTATTATTTTGCGCGCGCTTTTTTTTTCTAATTTTATTTTTTTTAATTTCTGGTCAAAATTTGACAATTTGTGAACAACTACTCAAATAGTTGTGTACATTATCTGATACATTTAGATAATTGAGACTTTTAGGAGTTTTGACTCGTGGAAATACGGTTGGATATTAGTATTCTCATTCAAGCTGCTACTCTGTAAGAGACAGAAGAGAATTTTGTATAGCAAATTGAAATAAATTAGGGGCAAAAACGGAGGAATCTTTGTTTGTTTTGATTACACCATGATGACTTATAACGCGTATCCTGAACCTATGATGAACAATAATGGGATATCTTTGCCCAAGTATAGTGTTCCCAAGACCAAGGAGGATCTCGATGAGCTTTTGTTCCGGTACCAACAATTGAAGCGGGAAAGAAGTGAACAGGAACAACTGACAATTGTTGAGAATCTTGACATTGAAATTAAATCAATTGAAAAGATTTTATATAAAGTATCAGAGATTCAAAATAGATATATGGAAGAGGAGAAGAAGTTTTATGAAGTTTTGAAAAGGTCATATGAAGGAGTGGAGAGAGAAGAAGAAGCTTCGTCAGAAGCTTCATCTGAAAAGTCTGAATCTTCAACTTCTAATGAATCTTCAACTTCTAATGAATCTTCTATCGATCTCTCTCTTCTTGATAAACAAATTGCTGCACTTCAAATCCTCTCAAAAGATTTGGATCTTCCTGAATCATTTCAACAAGAATTTGCCAATTCACATTCATCTGAAGATTATTCTACTGAAGAAATTCTACCAAGAGATTTATTTAACCTGATGAATTTTGAACAAAGAGCAGAATTATTAGGGATTTCTCTTCCAAATTCTTCGGGAGTGGAAAACCCCATCTATGCTCCATTAGGTAATTTTTACACTGAACAAGGAATTTCCACCAAGATTGCTAATAGAATAAGAGAATTAGAACAATTACCAGCAAATTTAGGAACTTTCAATACTGATACTGTTGATTACCTCATCAATAAGAAACAATCATTAGATGAATTGAAAATTCAAACCTTGATAGAATTGAAATCACTTCGAGTATTGGCCAAACAAAAACAAATTAGGAAAAATATTATATTTGGTACTGCAGCAAAGGCCCATTATGATGTGGAACATTTAAAGGAATTCCCTATAACCATGCTGGCACAAAGATCAATGTATATTAGACCTAAAATCATTCAACCTGATTCTCATAGACTTGCAGCCAAATTAGAAGAAAGAAGAGAATTGGAAGCTAAAAGATTGGAACATGCCTTACATGTACAAAAGGTAAATCAAATCTTATTACTGCTGGAATCTATTATTAATAATAAATGGAATAGATCAAATAAAAGAAATTCCATTGGGAGATCAATTAATAATTTCCATTCTTTCACTGAAAAGGAAGAATCCAAGAAATTGGAAAAAACTGCAAGACAACGTTTACAAGCATTGAAGGCTAACGATGAAGAGGCATATATCAAGTTATTGGATCAAACCAAGGATCATAGAATCACTCATTTGTTGAAACAAACCAATAGTTTCTTGGATTCTTTGGCTCAAGCAGTTAAGGTTCAACAAGTGGAACAAGGAGCAGAAGTTCCAGTGGAGAAGGTTGTAGGAGGAGGAGAAGAAGAAGAAATTCTGGAAGATAATGTTGATGAATTAAGAGAAAAAATTGATTATTATCAAGTTGCTCATAGAATTCAAGAAGAAATTAAAGTACAACCATCGATTTTGGTTGGAGGTCAATTGAAAGAATATCAAATCAAGGGGTTACAATGGATGGTTTCTTTATATAATAACAAATTAAATGGGATTTTAGCCGATGAAATGGGGTTGGGTAAAACCATTCAATCGATTTCATTGGTAACTTATTTAATTGAAAAGAAAAATGAAAGTAAATTCTTGGTTATTGTTCCACTTTCAACCATTACCAATTGGACCATGGAATTTGAAAAATGGGCCCCCAGTGTTAATGTGATTGTTTATAAGGGATCTCAACAACAAAGAAGACTGATGCAAAATGATATTCGAATTGGGAATTTCCAAGTGATTTTAACCACTTATGAATATATCATTAGAGAACGTCCAATCTTGGCCAAATTCCATTATTCTCATATGATCATTGATGAAGGTCATAGAATGAAAAACGCAAGTTCGAAATTATCCATCACTTTGAAGAATTATTATAGAACAAAGAATAGATTGATTTTAACTGGTACTCCATTACAAAATAATTTACCTGAATTATGGGCTCTTTTGAACTTTGTGTTACCCAAGGTTTTCAATTCGGTGAAATCTTTTGATGAATGGTTTAATACTCCCTTTGCTAACACTGGATCACAAGAAAAAATCGAATTAACTGAAGAAGAAAGTTTATTGGTGATTAGAAGATTACATAAAGTGTTGAGACCTTTCTTATTGAGAAGATTGAAGAAAGATGTGGAAAAGGATCTTCCTGATAAGGTTGAGAAAGTGGTTAAATGTAAATTATCTGGTTTACAATATGTGTTGTATCAACAAATGTTGAAACATAATGCATTATTTGTTGGGCAAGACGTTGGTGCTGCGAAATCCGGGATCAAGGGGTTAAATAACAAGATCATGCAATTGAGAAAGATTTGTAACCATCCATTTGTATTTGAAGAAGTGGAAGCAGTTTTAAACTCTACTAAATTAACCAATGATTTGATCTGGAGAGTTAGTGGTAAATTCGAATTATTGGATAGAGTATTACCTAAATTCAAAATGAGTGGTCATAGAGTATTGATGTTTTTCCAAATGACTCAAGTTATGGATATTATGGAAGATTTCTTGAGATGGAGAGATATGAAATATTTAAGATTGGATGGTGGGACCAAAGCTGAAGATAGACAAGATATGTTGAAAGTGTTTAATGCTCCTAATTCCGATTATTTCTGTTTCCTTTTATCCACTAGAGCTGGTGGGTTGGGGTTGAATTTACAAACCGCCGACACAGTCATTATTTTCGATACTGATTGGAATCCTCATCAAGATTTACAAGCGCAAGATAGAGCCCATAGAATTGGACAAAAGAATGAAGTTCGTATTTTAAGATTGATTACCAATGATTCTGTGGAAGAAGTGATTTTAGAAAGAGCTCATCAAAAATTGGATATTGATGGTAAGGTCATTCAAGCAGGTAAATTCGATAATAAGTCTACTGCAGAAGAACAAGAACAATTTTTAAAGAAATTATTAGAAGCGGAAGCAAACAAGGATCAAAGTGAAGAAAATGATGCATTGGATGATGAAGAATTGAATGATATCTTGGCACGTTCTGAAGATGAAAAGATCATGTTCAATAAATGGGATGCTGAACGGATGGCAACTGAAAAAATTGAGTCTAGATCTGGTGGATACAAGAATAGATTGATCACCAGAGATGAATTACCACAAGTGTTTAAAGAAGATATCACCCATCATTTTGAAAAGGATACCAAGGAATTGGCCCGGATGAGAGAAAAGAAGAAGGTTAAATATGACGATGGATTGACTGAAGAACAATGGCTTATGGCCATGGATGATGATGATGACACGGTGGAGGATGCCATTAGACGTAAGGAAGAAAGGGCATCCAAGAGAAGAAGAGCTATGAATGGAGGTGATGATGATGAAGATGAAGAAGGAGATGATAATGAAGAAGGAAATGGGAAAGTTCCAAAGAAAAGAGCTCGTCGTTCTCGTACTCCACAAACTTTTGGTGAAGAAGAAGAGGAAGACCTTGATGGAGAAGTTGACAAATCCGATGGAGATGAAAATGATATTCAAGAGAGAGGTTCAGCTATCATTGAAGAGTTATGTAACCTCAAGGCCGAATCTGATGGCCATAACATTTCTGATATCTTCCTTGATTTACCAGCAAAGAAGCATTACCCCGATTATTATCAAATCATCAAGAACCCAGTATCGATTAATCAATTGAAACGGAAATTGAAGCAAGATAAGATTGAGAGTATTGATCAATTGTTGGATGAATTAAGAACCATGTGTACCAATGCAAAGACCTATAATGAGGAAGGATCCTGGGTCTATGTTGATGCTGAAACGGTTGAAGAGTTTCTTGATACAAAGATATAAATAAAATAAAATTAATGTAATATAATATAATATTGATAGTTAGCAATCTACAACCCCCGTAGGGCAGTATTTACTACATTTCCTGTGGGGTCGCGAGCCGCTCCGCTGGCCCCTGCTCGGGGAGAGCCACTGCGTAGTGCCTAGCTCCTCTACGAGGAGTTCCAATAGTGATTACAGAAATTCCTCGGTAGAGGAAAAAGGCCCCCACGGCTAGTGGCCCACGGAGTGCCAGCAGAGCGGCTCGCAGACCCTGTAGGATGGTGAGCCGCTCCGCTGGCCCCTGCTCGGGGAGAGCCACTGTGTGGTGCCTAGCTCCTCTACAAGGAGTTCCGATTGTATCTACAGAAATTCCTCGATAGAGGAACAGGGCCCCCCACGGCTAGTGGCCCACGGAGTGCCAGCGGAGCGGCTCGCAGACCCTGTGGGGTGATGCAGGGCTGCAAGACACTCCACTAGAACTTCCCTGCAGTCCATCCTCATCACCTAATCTAGCCATCTACCCTAAAACTTCCTAATTTCATGCATGTCTCTAAAAAAAAAATTTAGTCACCCCATTTGTTCTATAGGTAATCAAAATGTAATCAAAACGTAATCAATAGGTAATCAAAAAGCTTCTAGAAACTTTGACAGGCGCGATAGTTGCAAATTGGGGGGAGCTTTTATGCAGGAATATTGGTAACCCGCTTTGTTCGAGTGGAGAGATTACTTAAGGCAAGGTCCACCCACTTCCCCCGCTCAATTTAATTGAATGTTTTTTAAATATAACATCTTTATTAATTAAATAGTTTTAGTTTATTTAAGAATATATTCATTAACTGTGATTATTGAAGGTAATCATTATTAATTGAGTTAAAAATCACCTCACAACTTATTTTCATTTGTTGCTTACCATCTGCTTGAATTTCATTGGTCCCCGATATGTCCGCTATTAGAGTTGCTCCGGTCTTTAGGGCCAAACCATCTTTCAAAGTCTTGGCTGGGTTGGTTGGTTCCAGTGCTGCCGCCTTGTACTTGTTGAATAACTACAACAATAACCACAATGGTGGAGGACATGGTAGACACGTTGGTAAGTCTTTATTGGCAGGATCCGCGTTAATTGTTAACAAGGCTGACCCTCCAAAGAATGCTGATTTTGAAACTTATCAAAAGATTTATAATGACATTGCTGAAAGAATGAGAAATGATGACGATGCTGATGAAGGTGCTGGACGTTATGGATTACTTTGTCGTTTGGCATGGCACACTTCAGGGACTTACAAAAAGTCTGATAACACTGGAGGTTCATTTGGAGGTACTATGAACTATAGTCCAGAATCCAGTGATGGAGCCAATGCTGGATTGGAATATGGTAGAGCATTTTTGCTTGCCATTAGAGAAAAATATCCATGGATTAGTCATGGAGACTTGTGGACCTTGGGAGGAGTTGTTGCCGTTCAAGAAGCCGGAGGTCCTAAAATCAAATGGAGACCTGGTCGTAAGGATAGTACCGATGCCTCTAGAGTACCAGAAAACGGGAGATTACCCGATGCGGCACAGGGCGCTGAACACGTTAAGAATGTTTTCGGTAGAATGGGGTTCACTGATCGTGAAACTGTTGCCTTGATTGGAGCTCATTGTTTGGGTAAATGTCATACCGATAGATCTGGATTTGATGGTCCATGGGGTCCATCTTTCACCATGTTTACCAATGATTTCTTTGTAAGATTGTTGCAAGGATGGCATGTTAGAAAATGGGATGGACCAAAGCAATATCAAGATGATGAAAGCAATTCCTTCATGATGTTGCCCACCGACATGGCCTTGAAAGAAGACTCTGCCTTCCTCAAGTATGTCAAGATCTATGCTGCTGACCAAGATGTTTTCTTTAAGGACTTCTCCAATGCCTTCAGTGCCTTGTTGGAAAGAGGAATTGATTTCCCAAAGAATTCTAAACAATTTACTTTCAAGACTTTGGATGAACAAGAAGAGTAAGTAGAAAAAACAAATTAAGAAAGAATGATTATTTCGAATAAAAGTTTTAGTTTATAAGAGAAGAATAATGGGTGTAGTAACAGTAGTAATAGTAGAGATGGGGTTATATAGGGTATTAAGGGTATGGAGTTGTAGTTCATTTTGTATATTTTTAAAATAATTTTGTTGCAAAAAATGAGAAATTCAGTATTAATTAATATATAGAGAAACGAATAGGAGAAGAAGAAGAAGTCAACCTTTTATTTTTTTCTTAAAGTGTTAGAGTACTAGAGAGGGGACTATCCAAGGAGACAAAAGAATGGGCAAAGACCAGGCGAAGTAGAAGGGAAGTTTTATATCTAGTATGAGTATAATAGTTTACGGATAAAAGATCAGATTACTAGTAGTAAAGAGGCAACAATAAAAAAAATAATGACAACATTTCTACTCGAGTAACATACATGGTGATGAAGTGAGTACCAGATGGTATCCTGGTAAGAGCTAGGCACCACGCAGTGACTCACGGAGTGCTAGCGGAGCTAGCAGACAGACCCCTTAAAGCAGTACTTACTTCATTCCTTGTGGTGTTGCGAGCCGCTCCGCTGGCCCCTACTCGGGGAGAGCCAGCTCCTCTACGAGGAGAATCAGGGCCCTTGGTACTTTCCTCGGTAGAGGAACAAGGCCCCCACGGCTAGTGGCCCACGGAGTGCCAGCGGCTCACAAACCCCGTAGGGCGATACTCTCCCCCACCACGGGCCTGCAAACTGCTCCATTGCCCCCCTACCCGGGGATCTCCACTGGCAGACTGCCTAGCACCTCTATGGGGAGTCGCTCGACATTAGAGGTATAATCTAGCCCTTTGCCCCCCTATGGAAATAGTTATTCAATGTTTGTCCTTGGCTGCAAAAATCGACTCTTTTGCTTTTGTACCACTATCGTATAGTAACTTCAGAACCACCGCAGTAAATTCCAGTCTACTTGTCCTGAGATATTTTCCTTATTTACCTTGTCTGGTAAGATTCTCCTCCGACACGACTTTTGCGAAATATTTTTCTCAATGTGAAAATTTTTTTTTCACCTTGGTGATGCGCACGCCCAACGTATAAATTTCCAACGAGATCCTTTCAATTTAAAAAAAAATTTCTTTCCCTTTTTCCTCCATCAAGAACAACAATGAAGTACATCCAAACTGAACAAGTCTTAGCCATCCCAGAAGGCGTCACTGTTGCCATCAACGCCAGAACCGTCAAGGTTGTCGGTCCAAGAGGTGAATTGACCAAGGACTTGAAGCACATCAACGTTACCTTCGTTAAGCTCAACAACCGTGCTATCAAGATTATTGTCCACAACGGTGACAGAAAGCACGTTGCTGCTTTGAGAACCGTCAAGTCTTTGATTGCTAACTTGATCACCGGTGTCACCAGAGGTTACAAGTACAAGATGAGATACGTCTACGCCCATTTCCCAATTAACGTCAACACTGTTACCGTTGACGGTCAAGATTTCGTTGAAATCAGAAACTTCTTGGGTGAAAAGAGAGTTAGACAAATCAAGATTTTCGATGGTGTTACCATTGAACAATCTGCCAACGTCAAGGATGAATTGGTCTTGTCCGGTAACTCTTTGGAAGCTGTTTCCCAAAACGCTGCTGACATCCAACAAATCTGTCGTGTCAGAAACAAGGATATCCGTAAGTTTTTGGATGGTATTTACGTTTCCGAACGTGGTACTATTTCCGAAGAATAAGCGGTTTGCTGGTTTTAAAAAAGTTTTAATTTCTTAATACACTGAACTCTCGGTTTATATTTTTTTTGTTAGAGTTTACGGGGTTTATAGTCAATTTGGTTTATCATTTGGGTTGACTCCGTCTCCTCGTGCAATCGTTATAGGCTCAAGCAATAAAGAGCCACCAACGATTTGCTTTGTAGGCATTTTTAGACCCCTTTTTTGGGGGTTTAATTTCACTAGTAAAAATTATAATGTTTATTTTCCATGTGATCAGATTAATTGATTGGGTGGAGAATGCGAAGATTTTGAAAGTGATAATGTAGAGAAGATTATATGAATGAATTAAATGGCTAGGTGGTGAGGTCATGACTGTGTTAACAAATTGTGTTTGTTTGAATGTGACGGGATGTTTCAGATGTTTCCTAATTAAGAAAAGTCGCGAAATGTCGTTGATCATGTTTTTTTTTAAATGTAAAAAAATGGTTATGAGCGCGGGGATAATGTCGGGAAGAGTCACGTGAATTGGAGAGAAAAGGGTTTTCCATAAAGGATTTAGTAGAAGGGGATGTGTAGAAGATTGTAAGAAGTAGAAATGAAAGGGAAATTGGGGATCGAGGTAGAAGATTAATTGTAGTTGGTTGACTTGTAAAAGCTCTTTTAAATTGAAGATAGGGAGATGGGGAGAGAGAAAGGGAGGAGGGTCTTTTTGGAATGTGATGGCCGTCCTTTTTGTGTAATATCGAAGGACCCTTTAAACTCTTAGAGGGAGATGACTTATTGTGAGAGAGTTGGAGGGGGGGGGGTATTGCAAGATATTTTTGTAGCCGGAGTAGATATTTCTATTGATGTATGTGGTAATTGGGGGAAGTGTAGCTAAGCAGAATCGGACCGAGAGTGGATGGCGATTGGTGGAGGTCTACGTAGCGACATTTTCTATTTTGCAGCCATTTCTTCACTTTGAGGATGAAAGAACTTGAAGTGCCAATTGGGTACTGTTAGGCCACTTTATGAATCCCAATCAGCCCTCGGAACAACCAGCACCACTACCTATAGAGTAGAGCACTACACACCAATGAAGGGCTATTTGTGGGTGAAGGACAGGGTGTGCCTCCTTCTTCGGAGTGTTCATGTACAGACAGACTGCCTTGCCACCCACTACCCTCATTTCCTCGTTAGAGGAACAAGGCCACCACGGCCAGTGGCCCACGGAGTGCCAGCGGAGCGGCTTGCAAACCTCGTAGGGTGTTTCTGGGCCCCCAGTTCCCTGTGGGCACTTAAGCCGCTCCGCTGGCCCCTACTCGGGGAGAGCCACTGCGTGGTGCCTAGCTCCTCTTCGAGGAGACTTAGGGCCAATGGTTCTTCCTCGGTAAAGTACTCCAAGGCCAATGGACCATTGAGTGCCAGTTGAGGGGCCGTGGGGTGGATGGACCATTCTCTCACTACAGGGATGTGCCAGCCGTTCGTAGTCTTCGATATCCGAGGGTGCCACGGGAAGAAGGCTCATTAGTTCAATGCATGTTCTCTTCTAGCAGGATGTCCCTCTACAGCTGATTTACACACCAGAGGAATCGGTATCAACCCTTCTACCCTGTTTATTCGTGTAATTATGTGGTGTATTCCTATATTGTGGGGTCATGAAACGTTTCTTACCGTATCCGGAATACTCGGACCAGAAGTCCGGAAATGCGACCGGAAAAGAAAATTAGGGCATCTTAAATGCCGTACTCCATTTTCCCCAAAACCGAAGTAAAAAAACACACAATCTACACAACTTGGACACCCAATCGGGCCCCGGGCCGCTATATGAAGAAATTGATATGCCGTAGATGTATAAAAATACCTCGTTAATGGATCCAAAGTGGCCTTTCCCTCCAAAATGAATGACAGTTAGTGATGCACACCCGGCATGTACCGGAGTTTGCCCGGGACCGCGATTTTGCTGCCATTTGATTGGCCGGGCGATCCTGAAGTTAATTATAGACACAAGATAGAGAAAAGAGTAGAGAAAACCAGACAATAGTAGAGAAAGTATGAGAGACACCATATGCAAGACAAGGAATGACCTTCTCTATGTATACCTTCACCATCTAGAGAATTGCCCCTGTCAATTTATTATTATTACTCTCCTCATCCTCTCCCCCTCGTTGCCAAATTTCTCAATTCCTTGGAAAAAAAAAAAATAAACATAAAAAATATTCAATTCCGGGTGTGCGATCTACCCGGAATATACAATTGTTGCACCCATATATTTCACACATTCATTATTCAAACAGAATATAAAACACAATATTTTTAAAAGAAACTTGGTATCCCCAAACCTCAAACATAACCTCAAACACACCCACACAACCCCCCCTTTGTAACCCCCGTCCCCTATTTAAACCAATCATCATTTCCTTGTATTCTCTTTGTCTGTGTGTTTTCTCTTGTTCCCCCGGGGTCATTAATTTCATCCCCGATTATCCCATCCGACTTTGTGTAACTTCCTTCCCCCAATTACACCGGATTTCAATTCGTCTGTTACCAAAAACTTCTTTACAATTTTTTTTTTACAACAACAGGGGAGATATAAACACAATATTATCGTGTATACCCATTACCTTTCCACACCCAGTCCTTCTCTAAGAAACCATGCTTAGAGCTGTGAAATCCATATCACGTTCGCGTGGTGGTTTGCGTGTTATTAACAACCAGAGAGTTATCTCTGCTGCCAATGTTGCCACGCTCTCTTCTTTGTCCCGCCGCTCATTGGCCACTTCTTCCGACGGGTTCCTTCAGGGGAACAATGCCAACTATATCGATGAGATGTATGATGCCTGGAAGCAAGACCCTCAATCCGTCCATATTTCTTGGAATGCTTACTTCAAGAATATCGAATCTTCTGGTGTTCCTGCCTCTCAAGCTTTCCAAGCTCCTCCAACCATCATTCCTACTCCAGCTGGTGGTGCTGCCGGTTTCATCCCTGGCTCTAGTCCTACTTCCGAGGACGTGGTCACCCATTTGAAGGTTCAATTGCTTGTCCGTGCCTACCAAGTTCGTGGTCATCAAAAGGCCAAGATTGATCCATTGGGAATTTCCTTTGGTGATAACACCGAAACTCCTAAGGAACTCACCTTGGAATATTATGGATTCACTGACGCTGACATGAACAAGCAAATCACCTTGGGTCCAGGGATTCTTCCAAGATTTGCCGAAGATGGTAAGAAGACCCTCTCCCTTAAGGAAATCGTTGACAACTGTGAACGTTTGTATTGTCAACATTATGGGGTTGAATACATCCACATTCCTTCCAAGGAGCAATGTGATTGGTTGAGAGAAAGAATCGAAATCCCAACTCCTTTCAAGTACTCCCCAGACCAAAAGAGACAAATCCTTGATCGTTTGATCTGGGCCACTTCTTTTGAATCTTTCCTTGCCACCAAGTTCCCTAACGACAAGAGATTCGGTTTGGAAGGTGCTGAAGGTGTTGTTCCTGGGTTGAAGGCCCTCATCGACACCTCCGTCGAATATGGCATTGAAGACATTGTCATTGGTATGCCTCATAGAGGTCGTTTGAACATGTTATCCAACGTTGTTCGTAAGCCAAATGAATCTATTTTCTCTGAATTCACTGGGTCCAAGGAGTTTGATGAAGGTTCAGGAGATGTCAAGTACCATTTGGGTATGAATTATGCCAGACCAACCACCTCCGGTAAGCATGTTAACTTGTCTCTTGTAGCCAACCCATCCCATTTGGAAGCCTCTGATCCAGTTGTTTTGGGTAAGACTAGAGCCATTTTGCAATACAAGAATGATATTGGTTCTTTCAAGAAATCCATGTCCATCTTGCTCCATGGTGACGCCGCCTTCGCCGGTCAAGGTGTGGTTTATGAAACCATGGGATTTGCCAACTTGCCAGCCTATTCCACCGGTGGTACCGTCCACATCATTGTAAATAACCAAATCGGGTTCACCACCGATCCAAGATTTGCTAGATCCACCTTATACCCATCGGACATCGCCAAGGCCATCAATGCACCAATCTTCCACGTCAATGCCGATGACATCGAAGCCTGTGTGTTTGTGTTCAACTTGGCTGCCGAATGGAGAGCCACCTACCATTCCGACGTCATCATCGACCTTGTCGGTTACAGAAAGCATGGTCATAATGAAACTGATCAACCATCTTTCACTCAGCCATTGATGTACCAAAAGATTGCCGAAAAGCTGTCTGTCATCGACTACTACACCGAGCAATTGATCACCGAAGGTACCTTCACCAAGGAGGACATTGACGAACACAAGAAGTGGGTTTGGAACATGTTGGAAGAATCTTTCAGTAAGTCCAAGGAATATCAACCAACCTCTAGAGAATGGTTGTCTACTCCATGGGAAGATTTCAAGTCTCCTAAGGAATTGGCCACCGAAGTGTTACCTCACTTGCCAACTGCTGTTGAAGAAGAAACTTTGAAATCCATCGGTAAGACCATTTCTGAAGCTCCAGAAGGTTTTGAAGTTCACAGAAACTTGAAGCGTATTTTGAACGCTAGAAGAAAGAGTGTTGAAGGTGGTGAAGGTATTGACTGGGCCACCGGTGAAGCCTTGGCCTTTGGTTCTTTGACTTTGGAAGGTTACCATGTCAGAGTTTCAGGACAAGATGTTGAAAGAGGTACTTTCTCTCAACGTCACGCTGTTTTGCATGACCAAAACTCCGAACAAACTTACACTCCATTGAAGCATTTGAGTGAAGATCAAGCTGCCTTTGATATTTCCAACTCTTCCTTGTCTGAATACGGTGTCATGGGTTTCGAATATGGTTACTCCTTGACTTCTCCAGACGCCTTGGTCCAATGGGAAGCTCAATTCGGTGATTTCGCCAACACTGCTCAAGTCATTGTAGATCAATTCCTCTCTGGTGCTGAATCCAAGTGGAAGCAACGTTCTGGTTTGGTTTTGTCCTTGCCTCACGGTTATGATGGTCAAGGTCCAGAACATTCCTCTGGTAGAATCGAAAGATACTTGCAAATGTGTAACGAAGATGAACGTTATTTCCCATCCCCAGCCAAGTTGGAACGTCAACACCAAGACTGTAACATGCAAGTTGCCTACCCAACCACCCCAGCCAACTTGTTCCACTTGTTACGTCGTCAAATGCATAGACAATTTAGAAAGCCATTGATCATTTTCTTCTCCAAGTCCTTGTTACGTCACCCATTGGCCAGATCTGAATTGACTGAATTCACCGGTGAATCCCATTTCCAATGGATCATCGATGACGTTGAGTTGAACAAGAGCATTGCCGCCAAGGAAGACATCAAGAGAGTCGTCTTGTGTAGTGGTCAAGTTTACACCGCCTTGCACAAGAAGCGTGCTGCCTTGGAAGACAAGACCACCGCCTTTATCAAGATTGAACAAATGCATCCATTCCCATTTGCTCAATTGCGTGATACCTTGGACTCCTACACCGGCTTGGAAGACTTGGTCTACTGTCAAGAAGAACCTTTGAACATGGGTTCTTATGCTTACGTGCAACCACGTTTGAGAACTGTTTTGGCCGAAACTGAAGCCCACAAGGACAAGACTTTGCGTTATGCTGGACGTGATCCATCGGCCTCTGTTGCCGCTGGTTCCAAGGCCATGCACACTGCTGAAGAAGAAGCCTTCTTGAACGAAGTTTTCTCCTCTTAAGAGATGAGATTACCCCAGCCTCCGCCTCCCTTTATGAAGGTATAAGTGTCTACAGTAGCGAGAATATTTATAGTTGAAAGATGAATTAGTTTTAGAATTTTTAAAAAAGAAAGAAAACACCTTGTAAGGAACAGCATTCTCTAGTAGTCGAGTGTTCTTCCGAGGGCCTGAGTCCCAACCTATGGGGTCTGTAAGCCGCTCCGCTGGCACTCCGTGGGCCACTAGCCGTGGAGGCCTAGCTTCTCTGGCGAGGAGAGTCACGTGGATAGCTGTAGTAGAGTAGACGGGACTCCTCGTAGAGGAGCTAGGCACCACGCAGTGGCTCTCCCCGAGCAGGGGCCAGCGGAGCGTCTTGCTGCCCCGCAGGGAAGGGAGTAGTCCCACCCTACGGGGTCTGTAAGCCGCTCCGCTGGCACTCCGTGGGCCACTAGCCGTGGTGGCCAAGCTCCTCTGGCGAGGAGATCAGGCCCCCCCCCTCAACGGTGTGCACTCGGTGGAATTGTCCTCCTTGCTACAGGAACTACCGCCTGGCCTCTGGTGGCCATGGGACTCATTGGAGGGGGGGGGGGGGGCTCTACGCTACACGGTCTACATATCACAGCAATGACCTACAACCACGGGAATGGCCGGACGCCACAATGACCTACAACCACGGGAATGGCCGACGCCAAGGTGGAGGGACGATGACAACCAGGGGCACGGCGGTGCAGTATAGACAGGCTCCCTGGTGCGCATTAAACATAATCTAGGCCATTGTACAACGGGCCGCGACCTACAGTATGGCATGGTACCGGGCCGAGCGGCGCTTCCCCCCCCCCCCCCCCCCCCCCACCGGCATCCCCCACTGGGACCCCCCTCCATCAGCACCAGGGGTCTACTCATCCCTCCACGGAGTGGCCGGCACATTGCATGGGTCCTGTTACGACGTGCTTCTGTGAAGGGATGATCTAAAAGTGTGCATGAATGGGAGGGACAACGTATCGGGAGGGCGAAACAATGGGAACCAGGAATGGATGCTGAATGGGATATGAAATCCCGAGGTACAGAAGATAAGATAATGAAGAAGTAACGGAATTTATGAAAAGGGGTAGACGTACGGCATTATCACGTAAACTGAGGGAAAAAAAAAATATACAAAAAAAAAAGGAAAAAAAAAAAGTGAGCAGGAGGCAGCAGCAGAGAATGGAAAGACTAAATTGGAGAGCAGGGGTCGCCTCAAAAAATTTAAGCCCGTACGCATCGGGGGCCGAGGGGTGGGGGGTCGTGGACGGTGCCAAGATGCTGAGCGAGAGATTCAATGGGTATGGAATATTGAAATACGAAACGTTAGTAACCGCTGAGAGGGTTCTAACGAGCATGTGGAACAGAGGCATGGAAGCAGGAAGGTAAATAAATAAAGAAAATAAAAGAAAATAAAAGTCTAATACAAAAAATAAATGTAGATAAAGGTTAAAAAGGTGCGCGGGAAATCTGTAATAGATTGCACGGAGTGACCAATTGAGGGAGATATAGGGGGTGTACATAGAGGACAGGGGGTGTGTACCGAGGGCGAGAACAATCAAGAGGGAGAGAACGGGGGGGGGGGGAAAACCAGGATGGGGGAACAGGCTGAGGATTGAGGACCGTACGGAGGGGAGATGTAGTGATTAGAGGAGGTAGCTGCTTCCACAATAATTGGTCTTGAAATAGATCTGGATCTCATTGAATAAAAGAGGAATTAAGCGGGGTGGCAAATGGTTGCGGAAGAAGAAAAATAAATTGTTTAAAACATCAATTCGGCGAATTGCGAGCGACGCTATTTGCAGGAAAAAACCTTCTTTGTAGGGGTGTTGCTGCTATTGTATTGAATGATTTTTATTTTAGGGATAGTTTACTCGCCCATAGTAGAAATATTCGATCCTGCAGAATGAACAGCCCCAGACGCACGTCACCTGCACCTTGGCCTAGGCGCCCTCTCTTACGCGGAGCGCCGGCCACATAACGTTAGGTTTCACAAAACGGGACAAAAAAAAATGGGGGAAAGCGAAAGTGGCCAAGTTTTCCAAGGCTTTTTTTTTTCATTTTAGTTATTAAATGTTAATTTTTTTTTTTCTATTTTCCCAAAAGAAATGGGTATTTTTTCTTTGGTATGTAGCTGCTCCTGCAAAGGGGGGATTTTCTTGGTGAGGTCATTGGTGATTGTGGGGTGGTGTGTTCGGCCGATAGCGAGATCGGAGGGTGTGTAAGAGAAAATGTGCGGGATTGGCGGGTTTGGAACGTGGGGAAGGGTAGTGAGGGAGGAGGGGTAGTGGGCCCTCCTCCCCCCTCGCGGAGTAGCTCCTGGAGAAGAAGGCTGCATTTAAGATTAAGGCAGAGAACCGGAGGGGGCTCAAAAAGACTCGTTAAATAAAACTCGCTCCAGCGGCAATCCCGAAAACGAAAAATAAAAAAATAAATCATCAATCCAAGAGAAAGGCGCACCTCCAATGCATGTGCGCAAAGCAAGGCGGGATCGTAAACAAATTTACGACGGCCGTATATCGCGCAGCTAAAAAATATTCGTCCCAAAAATACGTGCATGACGACACTTTAATTCCAAATCAAACATGTATATATATATATGAATATATTTTTTAAAGATTAAAGATGGGGGAGAATTTGCGCCACGAGAGAAAAAAAGTTATAGTTAGCGCAAATACTTCGCTTCTTGTTACCGCGGGAAAAATTTTAGAAACGTAGCCGTCAGCAACAGCAGCAGCAGCAGCAGCAATACTAGAGCACGAGCACCGAGCGCAAGCAATTTGTAGCGAGGCCTCCAACACCACCACCACCACCACCACCACCACCACGAACTGATTCTGGGCCACCCCCCACCCTATGAACAATCTACTTTTCAACATGAATGAATCTGCGGGGCATCCACTCAAGAGCGAGCTGTTTTCGTTTGGAATCCCCATTGTCAAGTATAACGGAGGGTACATGAATTATCCAACCACAGGCGAGGAGGTGCGAGCATCGCAGCAACCGCCACAACAGCACCACCAGCCACCACTCCAGCAACACCAGCAGTACGCGCCAGCAGGCCCACCGGGTCCGCCAGGACTGTTTCAACAGCTCCAGGGCCCACCACCTCCGGCACAACAGGGAGGACACCACACGGTGGCGGCGGCCCCACCGCCTCACGTTACCCCTCACGGCCCGCCCCATGGTCTCAATATTGCACCCCAAACGACCCATTTTGAGCCAAGATACTACGGGTCGCCGGTGATTATGCAACAGAAGCATCCACAGGGGGTGCAAGGGTCATACAACACGACGCCTGGTTCTGGAATCACCCCCTCCACTGCTAACAACGGGACTATATCCTCCATGTCTGCTAACAACAACAATAACAACAACAACAACAATAATAATAATAATAATAACACCCCTGCTGCTAATACTGGATACTTTGACTCATACCCAGTGAATAATTATCTCTTGATCCCACCATCCAATGGAGGTCAATATCCACAAGTGTATGGACAAAAACAGGGACAACAAATATTACCACATGGGACAATTCCTCCTCCAGCGCCACATTATGAACAACAATATGTAGATCATCATTATCAACAGCAACTACAAGCGAAACAAGATAAAAATATTATTTATGCGAATTTTAAGGAGAGATTACGGTCATTACTTCCATTACCGCCACTTTCAAAAGCCGAATTCCGACCAGATTTTAATTATTCAACCAACCAAAAAAGAACAAAGAGGCGATCAAAGTTCACCAAGGAGCAAGATGATTTGATTGTAACGCTTAAAAAGAAGGGGAAAAGTTGGGTGGAGATTGCAGAATTGACCAAGGTTGGAAGCTATTTGGCGGCAAGAAATCGATATCAAGTGATTGTAGGACAACAGGGGAACAATAATTCGTCAAGCTGGGCTGGCGAAGATAAGGAGATTTTACGTAAGAATCTTGATACGGCGGAAATTGAAAAATGGAAATTCCTTGCGATTGAACTTAATAAGGCAACTGGTAAGGAATTTACCGCCAGAGAATGTAGAGAAGTTGTACGCGAGTTATTTTTACAAAATCCTTTGGAATTTGGTGTCAATGAAATGACAATTCAAGAGTGTGAAAAGGAGTCCAAAATCACTGCCAAGGCCAATGAGCAGGACTATCGGCATGGCAGTGTGGAACCGTATGTACTGGCGTTGATTGGCAGAGGAAGAAGTGGTAGTAATGATAGTGGCAGCAATTCGTCGTCTCTTAACTCGACTGCCACGTCTTCAACCGCGGCTTCTTCCATATCCTCGGCATCAATGGTGCCTTCAACCAAGCCTTTTGATCGGCAACAGTTGGCCAGATCGCATTTACTGCTGCATCCTCGGTCACATTCTCTGCCACAAGTGATCACCACTACAAACACAAACACAAACACAACAAACACATCAATCCAACCAGTTGGGGCCGGGGCTGGGGCCGGGGCGGCACCACCCCTTGCACACTACAAGTCTGCCAATTCAGTGTTTGATACCAACGTTGTCCAATATGGGTTTGGCGACGATTACACTTCTGCGCGATCGTCTCTGGAGCCCATGGACGCCACCAATCATACACCACAGTATGGACAACCACACGGCCATCAAAATAGCTACTTTTAATATATATATATATGTATCCACCCCCACAATTAACTTATTCTACTTCTACTACAACGACCCCCCTCTTTGTACTTTTGTTTATTTTTAATACTATATGGAGACATTATTCCCTTTTAGATGACAATTTCTCTTCAACCACTCTAATCTTGTCGGCTGGAGCTTGATGTTTGTCGGTTCTGGTACCAACCCTGATATCACTTTGCACTCTTACAACCCCACGAGAATGTACCAACACATGCATTTGTCCAATCAAGTCCATGACTTCTGTCCATGGTCCAGCAATGGTGGTTCCTGCACTGTGCAAAGTGGTGTCAAGCAGCGAGGATCTGGCAAGCTCGGTAATGGCTGCCACTTCGTCAGATACAGATGCAGTTCCAGTTCCAATCTATTGGTTAGTATTCAGTACATAGCCTCTCTCCCTACTTCTTTCCGCCACCACACACCCCCGCGCATACATACAGGAATCAAGCAGACATCTGCCAAGCAATGAATATCAATAGTCATGTTTAGATATCGACAGGGTTATTTGGATAATATTTCAAACGTAATACTTCAAACTCTCCTACAACTTCCAATTATCTAAATTTATTTTTGATCACCTTTTTTTTTATTTTTATTTTATTTATTTATTTATTTTTTTTTTTGGATTTTATTTTTGTGACTGACAGCGAGTATCATGCGATAGTGCCAATTTCAATTTAGGTCCTCTCTCGTTTTTTTTCGGGCTGAGGAAATCCCACACACAACATATCCTTGTCCACATGATGCATGCCCAGTTACCTGTCCCCCCCCCCAACTCCCCGATGCATACGCACGCAGGTATCCTTGCGGACAGAACGAATAGAAAGCAAAAAAGAAAATCACAAACGAGTGCTCTCACGCATGCGGAATAGATATGTAGAGGCAATCTAAAATGGATGAGGCTCGTGCGTAAAATTTAATTTAATATAATGTTTTTTTTTTTTTCTTACCAGAGGTGGAAAAAAAAGAGGTAGCTCTGCCGAAGACCTTCGCCTCCAGTTTACAATTTTGACAGTACTGTAATTACCGCCAGAGACACTTGAGCTCGGTTGTATGAAAAAGCCTCGTTGAAAACAGTATCCTATACCTTATCTTTATTAGTTTGTATCTACACACTGTCTGGCGTTTAGCCGCCCAATCCGAACACCCACCCTGGTCCGGCAGGGAGAGAAAGTTTAATAAAATGTGGGACTGCCATGTAGGATCGTCCGGATCAGACAGGCTTTTCAGGAAAGGGCGATCGGGTTTATTCTTTGTGGATAGTAGGGGAACTCACACCAAAAGGTTTTGTCCTCCTTTTAACCCAAGTGGACCCTCTCAATCCTTCTCCCCACCCGTGCACACGACGTCTCGTTTATGTAAGTCGGTTGAATGAATTGTTCTCTAGTGTGCCTCCAGAGTCTGGGCCGCGACTGGTTGACGACACCAATCTCAATTCCAATGTGGCGGCGGTCAGCTCCGCGCTCCCTGCAGGGATTGACGATGTGTGTGGCGTAGCTCACTGCAACGTAGTAGCCTAGACATCACCCATAGAGCTCCAGGCACACAACTAAACCGGCAAGAAACTGACACACACACAGGAAAATGCCACTTTTGTTGGCGGCGGCACCACCCAAAATAATAATAATAATAATTAAAAATGTGACATTGCATTAATCTCCAGCTGCGGTGGTTGACTCCCGTCGGAGAGTCACTGGATATTCTCCTCCACCATCGCTTAAATTAACCAGGACCAAAGTCAGAGTCCCTTCCAATCAATATTTTTTTTTTTTTTTGAATTGCATGGTGATCTCTGTGCACTGCAGATCCGGGGCAAACGTTCCTAATGGGGGTGGGGGATCACAATTTTTATTTGTGTGTGCTTGATCGAGACGATGGATTCAGACAGAATGTGTCAAATTTTCCGCCTTGCATGGGAGACTCCCACAGATGGAATTACAAGGACGTTTACTTGGCGTCCAGGTGGTTAAAAATATTTATTGATCACATATAAACAAATTGTGAGTGCATTGGTACATTAGGGCGGGATTAACTGAGTAAGTATTGGCTAAAAAGAGATTGGGAGTAAACAATCCGGCGTTAAAAATAAAGTAGATGTGGCTGGTTTGGTATTATTTGACATCAGGAGATTGGAATAGATAGGAGATGAGGAAATTGATCGGAGATGAGGAAATTGATCGGAGATGTAGATTGGAATAGATCGGAGATGAGGAAATAGATAGGAGATGTAGATTGGAATAGATAGGAGATGTAGATCGGGAGGGAGATATAGGGGTAGACTATCTTCGATAGGGGTAGAGAGATTATATCTTAGATAATAGATCAGATCTTCATTTCATAAAAAATATTGATTAGATCTTCTCTCATAAAAAATATTGATCAATCTTCTTTTAGATAAAAAAATATCAGTCTTCTCTCTTCTCTTAGATCAAAAAAATATCAGTCTTCTCTTAGATGTCAACAAATTCTCTTCCCTAAGATCTCAACAAATTCTCTTCTCTTAGATCTCAACAAATTCTCTTCCCTAAGATCTCAACAAAACCCTAGTCTTCTCTTAAGATCTCGATCTCAATCTTTCTTCTCCTCCTTACTCAAAAATTTACTTGGCAACTTTGAAACCTTATCAAATGAAGCAATTGGATCCCATTGATCTCCCTCATTACTATCAATATTATACTTATCCTTTAAAGATTCTTGATCTTTTACAATCTTCCCAAGACTTAATTTCCCCAAACTTTCAATATTCTTCTTGATAGAAGTTGAAATTGAATTAAATTCATCTTCAACAACTTGTTCAATCTCCTTGAATGATTTAAAAGTTCTACTTGCAGGAATTTGATCATCTCTATGTTCCCAGGGGAAAACTGGAGGAATATTAGCTTTAGAATCTTCAATCTCTCCACTTTCTTCATTTATCTCTTCATCCCATACATTCTCAGTCTTTGTAAACTTTAAATTTTTACCTTCACCATGACCTAAAATTGAATTAATTTCTTCTTTAGTAAAATGTTTTTCAAATTCTTTCCACCATAATTCATGATGTTTATTTGAATGAGATTTACCATGCCATGGTTTAATACCTCCAATGAAATGAATTAATTGGATTTGATCAACAAATCGATCATAAGCAGGGGTATATTGATAAGAATCAGTTGGGGTAACATTATAAAGAAATGGTAATCTATGCCAATTCTTCCCATTTGATTTCAAATTGAAATATTCATTTAAAAGTCCTTGATCAGCTCCATCAAATGTATTGATAGGATTGGTCAGAAATTCCTTTAATTCCTCATATGTTTCATGATTAGGATTTAAAATAATTAATCCTGAATTGAAAATATCGGGCCATCCTGAATCGGGAGATGCAGCAATTGATCCTTGTTTCAACTTTGTACCACCATATTTATCAAATAAATGATCTAATGATTTAATTGGTAAAGTATCTGAATCTAAATAAATAACGGTAGAATATTGAATTAAATCCCAAATATGGATTTTATTAAATGTATGGGAAAGTTCTGGTCTACCAAGTTTGGTAAGGGTATCAATTGGCAGTGATTTGATAAGACGATCAGAAATATCAATCACATCATCAAATACAGACAGAATTAGATCAATAGATGATTTAGAAAGTGATTGTTTATCAATCAAAATTGCAACCTTATGAGTTGTCTTATGATTCTTCTTCAACAGATTCCCAAGGGTAAGAGCTCCTGCAAGATAAGATTCGTTAGTTAGCAAGGTAATAAAAGCGGTGGTCATGATAATATTTTCTGTAAAAAGAAATATAAAGAAGAAAGTAATTTGTATCAGAATTGTTTCCGTTTTTAAGGGGCGGATCAATTTATGTTTAAGGGAGTTGAGCGGCTTTATTAGGAGGGATTAGCGCCGCTCCCGCTTTTTTTGATTTTGTGACATAGATAGTACACCCCAGAGGAAATGTAAGCGAATTGAATATGATTGTGGGGGAATGATGGGGGAATGATGGGGGGCATCATGGGGGAACATCACATCGTGGGGGTACTCTATACATCACAGGATATAGAGATCAATGTAGATATTGAAAGATATTGATAGACATTCATGAGGTGGCTCGACTCTTGTCCCTCAATTGGTTGTTTGTTGTTGTTGTTGTTTTTATTTATTTATTTTTTATTACGATAATTCTTCCGAATCATTCGAGAAACCGTACGAGGGGGTAGAGAGACGAGTAAGTGATTGTGGTGAGCACTATTATTAATAGGAGATGATCTAGAGAGAGGGTTGATCAGAGATAGGATTAACAAGGGAAATAGTTGACGAGGGAAGGGTTGACTAGGAAAGGGTTGACTAGGAAAGGTTAACCTAGTGAACGTCTTCCAATTCTAGTGCAATTCTAGTGCACTTCTAACTTCTTCATATCTTACCTTTCTGTATTGATAATCTTTTATGACCCGGACCGGAAGTGTGGCCGCACCGGAACTCTCACCGAGTCTAACGTTTCTCAACCTTTTGCATATTTATATTCCACTCTTTATTTCTTATCTTCTAATCATTCTCTTTCCTTTATTCAACATCTCCTCACCGACACTACCTTCTAGTTCTTACACCCTTCTAATCCCCAGCTGCATCCAATTCAACACACTCCCAATCGCACATTCAAGGCGGACCTCTAGTCAATTTCTTGCATGCATATCCTCCCACTTGAAAAAAATAATCATTCGGTTTATTGGTGCATATTTACGACGTTAATCTCAACATTCTTTATTGCCACTCAAACACAACAGGCCACTTACCACTTGAAGAGATGATACCGGTAAGATCTAACCATGAATAATGGCTCCACCACGCCCTTCACTATTGAGTGTGTGTCTGACAATGTGATCATCCCCACACTTGACTCATCAAAGAGTTTTCACACTTTCAAATGTGTTAGCTTAACCTAGAGGACTATTCCCCGCGCTATTCATATGCATACCCAATTCTCTCTTATTACCGAGACGTTGGTTGGTGGTACCCTGCTTGTTTACTTCCTTCCAATTGTTCACGCATCTCACATTTGGGTTGTTTCTTACATGTCCCACATTTATTCTTCCACATACATGTATGAAACTCTATTTTGCAAGTACTTGCCACTTAAAGGACGGTAGGAGCATTCTTCATTGTGCATACTACAGGAAGACCTGTACTAGTCGAACACACCAATACTTTAAATTTTCACAATGGAGAAGATTGTAAGTTTTTCAGATATGGCGGGTGAGGGACGGACCGGGGAGCTGAACTACAGCTCCTTAATGAGTCAGAATGTTTTCACTTGCAAAAAAATTCTTTGAGCTATTCCTTGCGAAGCTGGTGAGTGGTTTTTTGTTAATGGAGAGTCCATTTGGATGGTATGGGTGAATGTGTTTGGGTTCAGAAGGTTGAGTGAGTAGACTCGGGTTAAGTGACTTGGGTTCACTATTCTGTGGGATGGATAGAAAACTCCTAGATCATAATATAGAAGGACATGTTCGAACTAGACTTGGTAGCTCCATCAGTTTGTATTCTTGAAACCACGATCAGACAAGCTATTTGAGTAGTAAACCATGAGATTTATCCTGTACAACCCCCATGTAGGTTGTACAGTGGATGTTTTTCTTTCCGAAAATAGGGAGATAACTAGAAGCAAAAACAAATCGCTAGAACTTTGTGGTCCTGGCCCAGAGATGTGTACTTTATACCCTGTAGAAATTCCATATTTGGAATTAGGATGAGAAGTGCTCAAAGGGACGCCCCCTCACCTATTCATCGATGGATAAAAATACTTATGTATATTTGCACATGGAGTACGAACAAAGTTGTTGACTCCATATGTATAGAGTTGTAGACTCTTCCTCTTCTTCCTCTTCTTCTTCTTTAATTTCTCTTTATTCTAGGAGATAATATTCAGTATTAGGGCGCCATTGTAACAAAATACTAATCAAGTTAATCCTAATATAAATCTTGTACATAAATGTTTTGCAGCCAAATTAAATAAACAACCAATGGAAGTCTCTCTTATCTACACTCCCCTCCTTATCTAGTATCATCATCCACAATCTCCATTTGCAAAGTATCAGGTAGTGTTCTCAAAATGACCGATTTATAGTTCAGGGAGCCAGTTCTTGTATCATAAAGTTACCATCATATTTTGAGCCTGTGATTAATAAGACCCTTTAAATATTTCGATATGATCAGATGAAATCATTGAATGTAAAGACAAGACCTCAGTCACCATGTCGAGGTTTTCTTAGAAAATCTAAACCCTTTAAAACCTTACAGAAAGTAGAGTTTACTAAGCCAGAAATGTATTGCCATTATCTGGTGGATTTAATAGAACTAGAAATGGATTATACCTTTTGGTATGGAAATGATCACGTGACATCAATTCCCATTCTTTTTCTCTCTTTAACTCTCTAATCATACTATTTCTCTCAATTCTACTTACCCCTAGACTCTTCATCCAAGATATATATATATATATATATATATATATATTCTCTTTCCTTAACCCTACATTATCAATATCATCTCCGCCTATTAAATACTTACACTTTAAGAAACTCCTTCTTAATCACGTGCACCCTTTCATATTACATAATAAAAAATATACTTCTTCTATAACAATCTCTTTAATAATATACTCTCTTCATTCTACATCCATTTCTTCTATCAATCTATTCTACACATATTCTATACTTGTAACATTTCTTTTTTTATTTTTTTTTATTCATTCATTCTCTCTTTAAATACTTTTTTTTTAAAAAATTTATTTAACTCTAACAATAAAAATATTTCCAAATTCCCTTAAGCCTTCAGGTGAATAGCTCCATTAGATTGTGACTTTTCTGGTAGAGTTGAAGGAGCTCCATTTCCACTGGATGGTACTGCATTTGACAGTCTGTTTGGATTACTAGCATTTTCCTTCAATGCAATCAATTGCTTAGATCTAAAACTTTCATAATGAATTAATGAAGTTGTTTCAATTAAATCTTGTAAATGAGTTCTAGTTAAGAAATCTCTTAAAAATACAAATTCACATTGAGATACATCTTCTACATTAATAGCACCCCATCTTGTTTTTCTACCTCTAACTGCTTCTCCATTGATAACAATTTCCTTTTCAGATCCAACCACTGCAAATGGTATTAAAGATTTAATATCTTCATTTAATTGTCTTTCATCATCATATAAATCTTCATTATCATATGGATAAATATTGAAATTATGTTTTAAAAATGAATTTTGATAATTTTTCTTTAATTCATTTCTTTCATCTAATGTTAAAGAATCAGATTTAGCAATAATTGGTACAACATTGGCAATTTCTGATAATTTTTTCAAACAAATTATATCTAATTCTCCTAATTCTTTAACATGTGGAGAAAGGAAATATAAAATACAATGGACTCTAGAATCAACAATAAATCTTTCTCTTTGAGCAGTCAATTCCTTACGAAGATATTGAGAATGTTGTTCTTTAATATATTTAACAAGAGGTTCCCAACATTTCTCATTATTAATTTGATCTCCAAATCCTGGCGTGTCAATTACATTAATATTTAAACGAACATTATTTTCCATCAATACATGCAGTGATACCTTGATTTCAGTGGTTTTTTCAATAGGTTCGGCCGCTGAATGACGTCCATTTGATTTGGTTAATGAACTTGAAAATAATGTATTTACCAATGTACTCTTACCTAATCCACTTTTACCAACACACATCACATTAAATTGAAATCCTCTTTTCAATAAACGATTTTCAATCTGGGTGGTGATTGTGTCGAACCCGACATATTTCTGGGGTTGTGCAATGACTTCTTCAAATGACATGACTTAAGCTTATATAAAAAAAAACCGGTATTGGTAAGTAGATCAATTTATTTTTGTTGTTGTTGTTGTTGTCAAAATTTAGTGGGTGATTTTGTTTTGAGGTTGTCAAACTAGGAACGAACACAAAAAGGGGAAATTTTTGTTTGAACGCGTTTGTGAACATTCCTGGTATATGCAGGGGAGACTGATACGAGAATGGAAAAGGAGGGGAAGAGTGCACATACTGAGGGACGATAACATTGGTTGACGGGGGGAGGAATCTTGACGAGTCAGAAGGAGGAGGGGGGTGGGGGCGTCTCCGGTCATGGGATAGCGGAGCTGTTCTTGGCCCCGTTAGGGAAGAGAGTAGACTATCACCCTGCGGGGGGAAGTAAGACGCTCCGCTGGCACTCCGTGGGCCACTGGCCGTGGAGGTCAACCTCCTCTATCGAGGAATCCTTCTACACTATTAGACCCCCTCGTTAATAAACTACACATAAACCTACAGCCACTCCCCAGGTAAATGGTAGTTTGTGTCCGCCACCTACCTCCAGATCTCCCAATTTCTTTCCATTCCATTTTCTTTATCCTCAATTTTGCAACTATGCACGTGCCAAGTCACATGTCAAATACCACGTGATAACCTCAATGTTGTTTTATTTCGTCCTTTTTTTTTAATTTTTTTTTTTTTTCTTTGAGTATTTTCTAAAATTTTCGCTTTATCAAAATCTTTAACCCCATTCACCAATCCTACTGACACACTTCATATCTCATATTTATCAACGAGAAGAATGGCAGCAAGCTTATCATTGAAGAACCTCGGACTCCCCTTGATCGGGGAAACCATTTCCGGGCTTTTACCCCGTGTGTCCATCACCGTCAATGGACAACCAATCTCGGAAAGACTTGAAGAACTCTTGAGAGAAAAATTGGGCCAACAAGAAACACAAGAAGGTTCTGGATATGGATCTGGTCTTGACATAGGGATTTTGAACGCTGCCCCAAAGAAGAAGCCTTCCTACAGCAGAACCCGTACAAACTATCTTTCCCCAGGTACCAAGCAAATCAAACACATGACCAATTTGGTACGTTGTCCAGCTTGTGGTCACGTTAAGAGATCACATTTCATGTGCATGCATTGCTTTGGAGAAATCAAGAGCTTTTTGAAGGGCAAGAAGAAGGCCGAAAAGGGCCCAGAAATCGTACCACAATCAAACTTGGATCCTATTGATGAAGCCATCATCTATCCAGGTAAGCGTATTTCTGCCTTTGAAGAAAAGGTTAGAGCCAAGGAATGGGTCCCTCAGAGAGAAGAGCCACTCATGTTCAATGCCGAGAACATTGCCAAGAAGACCAAGAAGGATTACTTGAAGTAGAAAGTTGGAGAGAGTAAGTGAGGGAGCATATAGAGCTGGAAGCTGACTGTACATACGAAATAAAAGAATGACAATGAAAGAGATGGGTTTATGTAGCATATTGTGGGAGATGTTGGATGATTGTAGATGAGGTGAGGGGACTGGTGAGGGGTTGAGGTCTTGTAGGTGATTTACATAAGGAGTTATATGGTGCTTTCCCCGAGTGATAAGGGTGGGCTATTAGAGTGAATGGTTACATACACAAGAGCTAGCTGTTCCACTGGCCCCTGCTTGGGGAGAGCCACTGAGTGGTGCCTAGTTCCTCTACGGGGAGACCTAGAGCTGTAGAACTATTCCTCGACGGAGGAACATGGCCACCACGGCCAGTGGCCCACGGAGTGCCAGCGGAGCGGCTCACAAACCCCGTAGCGCAGTACTTACTACGTTCCCTGTGGGACTACAAGCCGCTCCGCTGGCCCCTGCTCGGGGAGAGCCACTGCGTGGTGCTTAGCTCCTCTACGAGGAGACCTAGAGCTGTAGAACTATTCCTCGACGGAGGAACAAGGCCCCCACGGCTAGTGGCCCACGGAGTGCCAGCGGGGTGGCTCACAAACCCCGTAGGTTAGTACTAGTCACCCAGGTATGGGATTCAATAGTCGCACTTGTTGTTAGGCCCTCTAAGAGAGCGCCTTTGCAGCCATTTCTCACCTTAGCACCAAGACCACTACCACCACCACCTCTAGCCCGCAACTAGCGGACATTTCTTTCATCAGCCCCACTGGGGGACTTCTTTTACACACTCCACCATCTATGACCTTCTCCATGCAATTCCCCTAGATAATGTACGTCAAGTTCCTTTATATTACTTCTTTGTTCACACACACACACACCAACTTGACCAACCCACGACACCCCACACACCAATCATTCCCCCCCACGCCTAGCTTCCCCATTCCTTCACATTATTTCCTCATCTTACATCAGTTCACACGCTTGATTCGATTGATATCACATCTCAAAACTCTCCTCCACAATTTCCACTTGGTGTATATTTGTATATGTGAGCTCTTACCCATTTCTTTTTTTTTTTTTTTCATGCCTTAGTCTCTATATCATACGATACGCATCATCAGTAAAAACTTTTCTCTGTCCAAGTTCAAGCTCTTACTCCGTAATCTATCCTCTAATAATCTAGCCATGGTTGTTGGTACAGTGCAAGGGATCCATACTGAGTTCCCAGACTCAAATAGAACAGTGTCTCTCTTTATGATCAATTCAAGACATCCACTCAATGTCAAGCCATCTGGGAACTCGTGGTTAATGAGAGATATCGACCCCAAGATTCTTCCAAGACATAAGCAAATGGGGGATCTTGCCGTTTTTCCTGATGAATTACTAATGGATATCCTTTCATTTGTTGATGATGAGAAATCTCTTCAAAATTTGTCATATACTTCTCGAATCATGTATGCTTTCCTATACGATGAGGAAGTATGGAGAAAGTTGTATACAAAGAGGATTGTGGAAAGTGGTAGTGGTGGACAAGATATCCAATGGAGAGGGTCCTGGAGATGTACCATGCTTCATATCGATAATAATCATCAAGCAAACTTGCAAATCCCCGACAATTTACTTTGTTCAGACATCTTGTACAGACCATATCAATGTTCTAATGTAGATTATGATAAAGTATTCCACAAGATTGCCCAAGAGGAGGAGAAATATTACTTCACTTCATTAGAGAACCCACTGAATGTATTGGATAAATTACCTAGAGGTAGAATTCCTAGAGTACCAGAACAATGCATGACATTGGAAAAATTCAACACTCAATGGCATGATAAACCATTCATCTTAACGAATGGTAATAAGGAAAGATGGCCAAGATGGGACTTGGCAGCCTTATTGAGCCGGTTCCCCAATGTAAGGTTCCGTCAAGAGGCGGTACAATGGCCACTCTCGTTGTATGCCCAATATTTGAACAACAACAAGGATGAAAGTCCGTTGTATTTGTTTGATTGTAGCAGTGTAGCCATGAAGACACTCCGTGAGGAGTACAAGCCACCGCAAGTGTTCCGGGAGGACTTGTTCAAAGTGTTTTCTGGAGGAGATGATCAAGCGGTTGTTGACGGTCAACTGGCTGTTAATTGTAGACCTGACCATGCATGGTTGATTGTTGGACCTAAACGATCGGGATCTACATTCCATAAGGATCCTAATTACACATCGGCATGGAACACGGCACTCACGGGGAGAAAGCTCTGGATCATGTTACCACCGGATATCACCCCACCAGGGGTAGGTACCGATGATGAAGAGAGTGAAGTGACATCTCCTGTAGGAATTGCTGAATGGGTTATTTCAGGATTCTTCAATGATTGTCTCAAGATTGATCAATGTCAGATTGCCATCACATTCCCAGGTGAATGTATGTACGTGCCTTCAGGATGGTGGCATTCTGTCATCAATCTTGATGATAGTGTAGCGTTAACTCAAAACTTTGTACCACTTCCAAAACTTGCCAATGCTTTGAATTTCTTCAAGAATAGAAGAGAACAGATTAGTGGGTTTAGACCCAAGGAAGTGAAGGAGGCTATGGATAGTTTGATAAACTCCACTACCACCGAGAATGAAAACATAGAGAAACTCAAGGAATATAGTGAGAAATTTAATTCCTTAGAACTCCGCAATCAAAATGAAGATTGTGGAGAAATTCTTTGTAGTGAGCTCCCACCAATGCCGATCTATGAGCTTTTCATAGAACTTCTTGAGCTGAATGGTAGGGGCGAGGAATTGGAACAAGCTAAGCTTCAACTTGCACGGATGGAAAGGAAAGTCCAAGGGCCAGGGAAGAGTGAAGTTTGGGAAAAGTTGCAACAAGAAAAGAGTAGTGGATTTTCTTTTGGATTTGATGACGAGAGTGATGAAGAGTAGGGGCATTGGGAGAGATACTGGCTAGAAGAACAGGACCCGTTGTAGATACTGGGACCATGAGATTAGGGCGGCTTGTGGGTCGCGCACGGGAGAAAGTAATGGGGCCGTAAGACGCTCCGCTGGCCCCTGCTCGGGGAGAGCCACTGCGTGGTGCCTGGTTCCTCTACGAGGAGAGAAAGTTCTTACTTAACCGTCTGAAGAGAACCAAAAAGACAGGCACCATTGGCAGAAAGATAGAGAGTTTTATAGACCGTGTATAGATAATGGGACAATGGAAAGCATAGAGACAAAAATAGGATAGTAGGTGAGAGAGATAGAAAGATCTTCATTAAGGATTTGTATCCTTCCTATGGGGCAGTTAACTTTTCTTAAAATTGTGGAAATTTGGCTGCAACAATCTCAAAGAAAAGCAATACATCCACGAAGGGCACATAAATGGAAATGTCTGTGCCGCTTAAAAATAAGATACGAAAAGCACGCCCCGCATCAACAATCCATGCCCAAAGATCTAATCTCTCTTGTAAAGAGGGGAGATGTGTATCTCACTCACGCATATAGATCACCTGGTGGTCCAATGGTTGTCACACATTTTCCGCACCAAAATGGTGCGATATCATTGTGACTCAGATACAGGTTTATCTCCAATATATGTGATACACATAATCTCTTTTCATCTGTATGTTTAGACGTTTAGCCACCTCTCCCATATTCAAACGAGCCATGTCCACGGAAAAGCCAATCATTTTTGCCCCAGAGACTTACCAATACAAGAAGGGAACTTTGGATGCCACCGATCTTAATGTCAGTCCTATTGAACAATTCCACCAATGGTTTGCTGATGCCAAGGCTACCACCACCAAGGAATCCCTGTTGATCCCAGAGGCTACCACTTTCTCCACTGCAAGACTTCCTTCAGGTCGTGTTTCGTCACGTATTGTCTTGTTCAAAGAACTTGACCTGCACGGATTTGTGGTGTATTCCAATTGGGACAACTCCAAGAAGGCTCTTGATTATGAGTCGAACAAATATGCCTCTTTGACATTTTTCTGGCCACACATTGAGCGCCAAGTACGAGTCGAAGGGGTTATGGAAAAAGTTTCTCGTGAAACTCTGGAACGTTATTTCAACACTAGACCTCGTGGGTCCAAGATTGGAGCATGGTCATCCCCACAATCTCAAATCATTAATGCTCGTGATGATTTGGATAAACTTTACAAAGAGAATGAAGAAAAATTTGCCGACAAGGCTGATGATGAGATCCCATGTCCTGAGTACTGGGGTGGAATGAGAATCGTTCCTTTGGAAGTTGAGTTCTGGCAAGGTGGTATGAGTAGACTTCATGATAGACTTACTTACAGAAGAGACACAGTTAATGGTGAATGGGAAATTGTTAGAATAGCTCCTTAGATACGAATACATGATAGTAATAGATTATGGCTAACTGTATAAGGGTCATAGATATTCACCAAGCAGTGGTTCTTGCTCGGGGAGAGGCGAGCGGAGATTAGTGCAGTGCAATGGGTGGGGGAAGTTGGCAACACTATGGGGTTTGCAAGCCGCTCCGCTGGTACTCCGTGGGCCACTAGCCGTGGGAGCCTGGTTCCTCTGTCGAGGAATGGTAGGAGCTTTCAGATCTCCTCGTAGAGGAGCTAGGCACCACGCAGTGGCTCTCCCCGAGCAGGGGCCAGCGGAGCGGTTTGCAGTCCCACGGTGCCACCCTACGGGCTTGTAAGTGGCTCTATAGGTTGTGTATATGTGGGAATAATCGAGTGAGGACCACTCAGCCAATATATCCCGCCCTAGTTTGGCATCTATGTTTCAACTACCCCGTGATAAGGGTGTTTCTTTGAGGGAGAAATTCGGTTGGGACACAATCAGAAGTCTCCTTCTGAAGATAGGCACATGTAATGTCCCCATGTATTTGGGTCCAGTTGAGCGCATCACACCACCGTAAAGAGAATGTGGTATTGTAATGCTAACACCAATACATCAACAATTCATCTGTGAAATTAAGGGTAAGAACGTGGCTGTAAATTTCTTGTTATTATTTTCTCACTCACTTTTGCAGCCAAAATTCACCAAATCACTTATTTTCCATTTTACTCTCTATTATGGGTACAATCAGCTGCTTTTTGCCAACATCTACAAATTTGATCGATCTCTGGGCCCCCATTTGTATTACATCATAACAACTTTTATCACATTATCAAATTTCTCAAATTTATTGTTTAATCCTGGTGAATATGCTTCTAAACCACCATACAAAGTCTATTAGTTATAGTTTGAGCTATTATTATCTCCCCTAATATAATCATAACAATTACATCTAATTAATTGTGTACGGATTGTGGACTCTGATTTTTATCCCGATATTTTTGCTCATTTCAAACCTAAACCTTAACAGATGTTTCTGTTCCATGAACTGGTTATATAGCGATTACTGAATGTAAACCCGACCACTTGACATTTTAATAACCATAAAAGTGTAAATACTCTTTTCAAAAATTCAACTCCACAAAATACATATGAAATAACTGTTGTACAAACTCTCTCCATCAAAACTGTAGGAGTAAACATTCAATGGATGTAGAGGAGTCCCATCGTGCCATTTGCAACCCCCACCAACATCTCCATTCATACAATACATACCCGTAAGAACAATAAAGGTACTATATCCCTCTAACTGCTATTACTCAAGCTACTCAATCTACTCAATCTACTCACTATGTTCCTATTAACTCTCTTCTAATCAGTGCTAAATTTTAATAGTCGTGTAACTAAATCTCCATTTTTATGTCCTATAACTCCAAATTACCAAACAAGTACCCACACAAATCCTGATCCTAGGAAGTACATCTACAAATAGAGCCCCCAATACAATCTACATGTAAAAATATTTTTAATTGTGTCTGAATATACCATGATTTTAACCGGACTCGCTAGCATTTTGCACACACAACAGCGATCCACCCCATACAAACTACAATGGATTGCTATATTTAACCATCCATCAACAATTGATAAGGCAACGGAATCATCCAATGTCTGACTACCTAAGTACATCCACTTATGTACATCTACTAATGGTTTCTCTATAAAAATATGCAATCTCCCACTGTATATAATTCAAGGGGCGTCATTAATAAATCAATCTCAAATTTTTATTTCTCCCACATTGATAAATCTCCTTTCTACTCTCCCACATCCTTATAATGTCAGGTAAAGAGGATAAAACAACAGCAGAAATTGCTGAAACAAAAACTATAATAGAAAACCCATATACAGAAGAGAAGATCAATATTACCAATGACACAAATCTTGAAGCACAACCCGAACCTGCAACATGTTTAAGAATACAACCACGTTCCAAATTCTTATTAATCTACACTATAGTACAAACCAGTATTGGTCCAATTATGTCGTTTAGAACTGTTCCTATTGGAGAAAAGCGTTATTTTGAAGCTCTTTTATTAACTATATTTGTCCTTTTCATCCCCTTTGTTCCATTTAGTTGGGTTTATCTCAATGGGATTAACCTAACTGTGCGTCCTATTTGTTACTATTTGGGAGCTGCTGCACTCTTTGGAGGGATACGGGGAAACTTTCTGGGACAAATATACTCATATCTTAAAGAAAAGGATGATTTCCTGTGGGTAAACATTACTATCTGTGTCATGATCACCATCATACTGTATGGATTAGTTTTCAAGTTTAGTAGAAGATGTAATTAGAGAAGGTTTTTATGGTAGAGATTGTTTCACAGGAAGAGAAAAGTTGAATATGGGTACCACTCTACTGGGAGCCGCTTCGTGGGTAGGACCCGTTGCACTCATATTCCTCGTTAGAGGAACTAGGCCCCCACGGAGTGCCAGCGGAGCGGCTCACAAACCCCGTAGGGTAGTACTTACTACGTTCCCTGTGGGACTATAAGCCGCTCCGCTGGCCCCTACTCGGGGAGAGCCACTGCGTGGTTCTTAGCTCCTCTACGAGGAGACCTAGGGCTGTAGAACCATTCCTCGTCAGAGGCATCAGGCCCCCACGGCTAGTGGCCCACGGAGTGCCAGCGGAGCGACTCACAGACCCCGTAGGGTAGTATGTTTGATCTACACACCTCTGTCTGTCCCCCGATGTCCAACAGTGTGTGGTCCATCAGGAGATGGTTCTGGATACATGAGTAAATAAATCTCTATGTCGTGTATATTTTCATGAATTCTATATAAATTATTACAACTTGTTGACGGTTTCGTAAAAGGTCTTACCTTGGATTTCAGCAACTTCCAATTCCAAACTGGATGGTTGTCTGGAACCATCAGCTCCAGCAAAGGTACCAGCACCATATGGAGAACCACCATGGACTTCATCAAAAGTGGTCAATTGGGCGAAAACTGGCTTGTAACCCAATGGAACAAAGATGATACCGTGATGGATAAGAACAGACAAGGAGTTGACAACAGTGGTTTCTTGACCACCACCTGGGGTACCGGTGGAAACGAAAACACCAGCAGCCTTACCATAGAGAGCACCCTTGGCCCACAAACCACCGGTGGCATCCCAGAAGGCCTTGAATTGAGCTGGGAAGTTACCGAAACGGGTTGGGATACCAAACAAAAAGGCATCGTATTCAACCAAAGTTTCAGTGGAGGCAATTGGGTAATCTGGCTTTGGAGCAGCGTGCATCTTTTCCAAAACATCAGTAGAAAGAGTTTCTGGAACTTGGAAGATGTCGGCAACACCGCCAGCGGATTCAACACCCTTCTTGACCGCTTCGGCCATGATGGAGATGTGTCCGTACATAGAGTAGATGATGATTGCAACCTTTGGAGCCATTTTTTATTGTATTAATTTGTGATGATTGAGAAAGAAATGAATTGATAACATGGGTAATTCGTTCCTATATATATATATTGGCGAGCCCAGCGCGCGCGCATAGAATTTACCCTTGCATACATTTCAGCCATCAAAAAATTGCTAATATATTTGTAAAATGCATTACAAATTTCTTACCAAGCCGCACCCTACAAAATTACTAAATATTAATAAGGGCCCCCCCCGGCCACCAACGCACATCGTTGTAATACAAGCGGTTGTGCATGGAATTGTTAGTAATTCGCGACTCTCTCTATATATATATGTAATATTATTTACCTTTTCCAACGACATTCTCTATCTCAATAGCAACTTTTGATCGATCCCAACGTGTATCACTCTGTGTTTTCTTTTCCCCTAGCAGGTACAAGTACAACTACCGCGCATACAATTTGTCTATAGATATAAAACTGCTTCAACACTGTACCATGAAGGTTGCCATCATCCAATACTCCACATACGGCCATATCACCACCTTTTCGCAATCAATTGCTGAAGGTGTCAAGAAGTCTGGACTTGCCTCCACCGTGGACATTTTCCAAGTGCCCGAAACTTTGAGTGAAGATGTATTAAAATTAATCCATGCTCCAGGTCCATCCAAGGAGATTCCTCTTGCCACCACACAAACTTTGGAAGAATATGATGCCTTTTTGTTTGGTTTACCCACCAGATTCGGTACTCTCCCAGCACAATGGTCGACCTTTTGGGATACCACTGGATCTCTTTGGGCCTCTGGTGCTCTTTACCACAAGCCAGTTGGTCTTTATGTTTCCACTGGAAGTCCTCAAGGTGGTCAAGAAGAAACTGTTAGAAACTTTTTCTCATATGTCGCTCACCATGGATTGGTTTACATTCCTCTTGGTTACGGTCCAGCCTTCCCATTGTTGACCTCATTTGATGAGATTCACGGTGGTTCTCCATATGGTGCTGGTACCTATGCTGGTACTGATGGGTCCAAGCAACCATCTGAATTGGAAAAGAAAATTGCCGTCATTCAAGGTGAAGAATTTTCCAAGAGTGCCAGCAAGATTGTTGCTGCTACTGGTACTTCTTCTTCTTCTTCTACTACAGGTACTGCCACCCCAGCTGCTGCTGCTGCTGCTGCTACTGCTGCTCCTGCTGCTACTTCCACTGAGGAAACTACTGCTGTTGGCTCCACTACTGAAAAGGAAGCTGTTGCCGAAAAGAAGGCTCCAGCTACTAAAAGAGCTGCTCAATCCACTCCAGCTCCAAAGGAAGAAAAGACTTCTACTTGCGCCAAGTGTGTCATTGTATAGATTGTATTAATAATTAATAAACTAGAGTATAAACAGAATATGACAGTAGCAGTAGAGAAAGGTAAAACTAGAAGGTGAGACAAAGAACTGTAGAACAATTCCTCGTCAGAGGAACAAGGCCCCCACGGCTAGTGGCCCACGGAGTGCCAGCGGAGCGGCTCACAAACCCCGTAGGGCAGTACTTACTCAATTCCCTGTGGGACTGCAAGCCGCTCCGCTGGCCCCTGCTCGGGGAGAGCCACTGCGTGGTGCCTAGCTCCTCTACGAGGAGACCTAGAGCTGTAGAACAATTCCTCGTCAGAGGAAGCAGGCCCCCACGGCTAGTGGCCCACGGAGTGCCAGCGGAGCGGCTTGCTGCCCCGCAGGGAAGTGGACGAATTGTCTTCCCTATGGGGTCTGTCCATGTTTCATTATTTTGCATAGTTAGTAATCGGGTGCTCTGCCAGATTGTCGGGGTAAATTTCATATACATACAGAAAGGAATCCAAGACGTTCTATCTCTTCGAATCAAGATCATCTATTCTACAATATTGACCACATCTATCCACACACACACAACCAAAACAAAACAATAGAAAAAGTTTGCTCCTTCCAGCTCCTGTTGATAACATGCCTTAGTATAGACGGCATTGGATCAATCCTAGATCAGGATAGCCTATCATAAAAGTAGCATGGGAAGGGACCCTGGGCCGCTCCGGAGATGGCCCAGGGAATGGTGTGCATCATTTTAACTCAGACCCTTTCAATCGAATGGTTTTGATTTATGAGATAAACAAAAATAAAACATTGAAAACAAAGACAAATTAAGGAGAAACCTAAAGAATGGAAATACCAAAAGTTGAACTAATCCTTGCCGGAACTGACAATGATAGCATGATAGAGAGAGACAGAGTTCTGTCAGTCCTGGTGATGGCTAGATTGCGTTCTCGGAAGTTCCAAGATCAAGTGTCATGCTTGAACTCACTAGGTATGTGTAGTCCAATCTCGTCATTAGTTAGTCCATGATGGGAATAGGGTGTATGGGTAAGGGAAAGATTGACAAGGGTTTGAGTTAACAGCTAAGAAAATTAGCGCATAATGAAAAGGATATGGGTGGTAAAACACTGGGATATAGTATGAATGGCAAGATTCTAGAGCATACTAAGAAGTAACGAACGAAAGAAGGAGACCAGTGAAGAAGAAGAAGAAGAAGAAGAAGAAGAAGAAGAAGAAGAAGAAGAGAAAGAGTATGTTGTCACTTGATTTTGATAGCGTGTTTTTATTATATATGATTCACGTGTTACGCGCTTTGTTTACATTTAAGAGTAGAGATAGAGACCAGTAGAAGGTTGAAGGACTAGATAGAGGAGAGTAGAAATTTGAATCTGGTTAATATATATATAATGGGTATGGATGATCGGTTTTGGGAATTAAAGAACCCATATAAAAGAGTAGCAGAGAAACTACCTGGGGCTAATATATTTAGTAATGAACCCAAATTAAAACTAAAGAGAATTAAGAAAATTCATATACATGGACTTGATAATGGGAGAGATTTCATGGATTTAATTGGAAGAGCTAAGGATAAGGTGATGGTGGAAAGTAAGGAGAATAGTCCTGTTGAAGGAAATAATGAAATGAACAAGAGAGAGGAGAAACGTATGAATTTACTTGATATTGAATCATTACTTAATTCTCAGAGTAGTCAAGGTTCAATTGAGATGAAAACAGTGGTAAGGGAAGATGAGAAAAAGGAAGAAGGATTTTTAAATGAAGGAGAAGGATTTGAGAGACATATAATTGGTCAGAAAGAAAATTTGGAATCGGTAGATGATTTGGAAAAGGTAGAAGACCCGGAACCGGTAGAGGTGATAGAAGATTCTAAGAAGAATGATGTAGAACAATATTCAGAGAATTATTTAGAGGAACAAGATAAATCAGAGGAATCTAAAGAACTAAAAGCTCAAATTTCAGAGGAACTGCTTTTAAAAGAACAATCAGATCATCCAGATCAAAATCAGCCAGATCCAAATCATCCAGATCATGTAGAAATACCTTCAAATGAACATGGAGTATATATGGTGAAAGGACTAAACCATGAAGATTCCAGGGATAATCTCCAGGAAATGGAATTAATACAATTAAAAGAACCAGATATTATACAAGATACAATCTTGCAACAAAATCCTATAATATCAAAAGAAACATTACAATGTAATGATCAGATAGAATCACAAGGTAATTCACAAAATTGGAATACATTCATAGAGCCGCAAGAGGATATATCAGATCATATTTCACCTCATATAAATACTCAAGATCATATATCACCTCATATAGAGATATCTAAACGAGAAAAAAGTCCAGAATATGTTGAGGATAGTGAAGATGAACCAGATTTGCTACCAACTAACTTACAAAATATGAAGGTAGTTCATAGTAAGTCTTTCCAATTTGAAGTGGAAAATAATGATGTAATTGGGAGTCGAAAGAATTTACAAGATAAAGTGAATGAACTAGAGATTGTTGAAGTTGAGGAACCGGAAGAAGTAGATAATGAACAGGATCATAAAGTTCAAGAGAAAAATGAAGTACTTCGAGAGGATTTGAATCAAAAAGGGGATAAAGTTTTCCAAGACGATCAAATTCTTCAGAAAGATCAACTTGATCAAGAATCTCAACTTACACAACGAAGTCAAGACACAGAAAAACAAATAATCCCCAAATCCAATAGCATAAGTACCAATGAGATTAACTCTATTCCCACAGTATCTGATATTGACGTTCCAAAAAACTCAAACACTTCTGAAACACAAAATACCACCAGAGAATCTCACACATCAACTTCCCCGCAAGGACCTCAAACATCCATTTCAACCTCTAAAATCACCACCAATGTCCGCAAAAAACCATTTCCCAAAAGATTAAATGGTTCATTAGCATCAATCTGCTCGAAAACAAACACTAGTAGATCTTCATACAGAGTTGGACTTTCCAGAAGAACAAAAATAGACTCTCTACACACATATTTGCATAAACCTAAATAGAAATCTTAATACTAAAAACTATAAGGTGTCATATATAAACGAGGGCCCTGTAACTAACTCGTAAGAACTTTGTAGACTGATTTCTCTATCTATGGTCTTATTTTATTATACATCCTGTTGATTAATCATTCTCAGCTCAATGTCTCTGTAGAAGTGGCAATAATTATGAGAATATAGCCATGACTATTAATCTGTTGTTAATTTCTCTTCTTAGAAATGTAACAAATATATTTACATCCAACATTTATTTTCTTTTTTAGTCACTCTATTGAAATTAAGGAGTCTTTACTTCTTCATCTTCTTCAACTTCACCATCTTCACTTTGTTTACCTTCTTCATTTTCCTTTTTACTATTTTCTTCTTGTTTCCTCTTAAGTTCATTAGATCCATCATAAAAATGTGACCAAAGTCTTGCTACATCTTCAAATTCTTTACCTACTGCCACCAGTCCTGCTAATGATCTATTAAGTGTATCAAGATTATATACAACAGATTCCATAGATACTCCAATTTCTTGAAGCAACAAATCTCTTTGTTTTTCAAAATATGCATTTTCTGACATTTTAGATAGAAATTTTATATATCCTCTTTAAAATGTTAGTAACTACTATTTATCTTTATAATAAACTCTTTTGTTATTATATTTCCATATGGACTGTATGTGTCATTATTCATGTACATTGTTTTACTCCTGTGTGTAATGTTTTGTGTTCATCCAGATACCTCAATATATTCTCCTGTATAGTCTACTGTTTTAGGAAATCTTATTCAATATTAGAAATTGTACTTTAATAACTTACATATACCCCCTTTTAAAAGTATCTTTAGAAAAAAAACTGGGATTTGGAATGACCAGATAAAAAAGAAAGAAAGGAACAACTCCACTTTAGATAATTTTATTTAAAGAATAAAAGAAATACTTTGAGAAAGAAGAAAAAGAAACGATTACGAATTTCTAAAAATAAATAGAAATAAAACGAAAAAAAAGTTCCAAAAATGTTTAGTATCTCAAACAAAGACTTACTCTAATGAATGCTGGCTGAGAACAAAGAGAGATTCAAAAATAATGAACAGTTCGATTTACGTCATGGCTGAGCTTCAATTTTAAATGATATCATTCCAAGGAATGTAGAGATATTCCCAACTTCTTATCCACATTTGCAAGAAGGGCTATATTTGTCACACTTCACGACACGAAATTTTAAAGTGCGTCATTCTCACCCTTTACCAACTTTAATATATCCTTTTAAATTTTACCTTGCTCGTCAAACAATGAAACCCCCCCGGTTTTCATCAAAAAAATATTCCTCGATAACATTGACAAACGCGTTTTAATATTCAAAATTCCTCATTCTCTCTACAGATACAGTTTATTTCTTTATCTTTTTTGAACCAAATAATAACATAATATACAAGTTATAATACCCAAGACTGAATAGATTCCAACACCTGTCGGATCCAGTCGTGGTTTTGCACATATTGAAATGAAACCCATTCCATACAATACAATACAAAACCTTTTACCAGCTAACCTATTTTAGATTTTCTTGCTTTTTTTTTATTTGCCCAAGCAAAAGGAGATGGTAGCTGGATTCTTTTTGTCTCCCTTTGGCTTTTGATGACAACGACGTACATAATCCTTCTTCTCGTCAAACTTCGCAAATGAAGTGGAATTCTTCTTCGATGAAGATGATGATGATGACGAAGAAGAGGAAGATGTAGACTTCTTTTTAGATAAAAGTGACATTTCTAATAAAATATTCTTCTTTCGTTCTTTTATTTTTTATTATTTTCTTATTCTTGTACTCTAGATACAATTATTTGCACAACACACTATGGGGTTTAATTTTTTTAAGATCTCACACAAATATTGTGTTAGAACATAATAGTTGGATATAGTGGGCACAAATAAACAGAAAGAATAAAATTAAAAATTAAATTTGTAGCAACAAAAATGTATGTTGACACTTGACAATCACTGAGATGTAACTTGAAAATAACTCAGATAAGAATGATAAACCTCTTATTTAGTTTGCAAAAATAAACAGTAAAGCGTAGTAGACGTTTTACTTTGTTTGTAGTCGAGACTGTGTATTTGTTTGTTTTTTTACCACCAACTAATAAAAACAGAGGGGGATAAATCTTTTTTTTTATATTTTAATATTTGAAATGCCAAACGGTCTTGAACAACCCAGGGAGCCAAGAGCAACCAAGACACTTGAACTGAAGTTAAAGGAAAGTAAATGTAAAGCTTTTTGGCGTTAGGGGTAGCTAAAGTATTAAAATTTTGCGGTCACTTTTGTTTGCGAATTGAACTGTCTTTATACCGATTTTGCTGCTGCACAGGATTTTATTTTGAATTGAGGGAAAATTTTTTGAGGAAAATTTTAAAATAATAAAAAGGTCGTGCTTTGACGAACGTTGTCTATTTCTATACTAATATGGTATGTTGCCCTATTCCCCCCCAATCTACAAGCCTAACGCGGACGGCATGTTAACGTGTCACATATGTGTTCCCAACCACGCACGCGGAAATGTTAGGCATTAACTGCCACATCGTGCATACCAGTCGGTGTTACAATCATGTTACGTTGAGGTATGACGCTACATGGTATTTGTTTTATAGCTACACGAGAAACTTTAACATCAACAGACTCCAAGTAAAGCCGTTCACTCTACAAAGTTCCTCCTTTGATTTGTTGAAAAATTTTTTTTTTTCGTTTGCTTTTAATTCTTTATAATTCCGTTTCTATGAATGGCGAATTCCCATTCTGTAGCCCTTTTTACTTTTAAATAAAAAATTGAATTTTTATTTTTTTTCTCTCTATGACGTAGTGGCGACAATTTTTGAAATATAATAGAAAATTTGGCGTGCATACAATAGAATCGTGGGGACATTAATACACTTGCTGCTAAGCTTGACAATAACTGAGAGGTACTACACCCCTTGGACCCTATAGTAGGGCCAAGAGAGTTACATTCCAAGCAAGACACCCAGCAATGTTGTTTGTTGTTTTATGTTTGCCACCACATGTAAGTCTCCTTGTTTCTGAAAATGGGGATTGTTTTAAAAGCTTTTTCGTAAGACCAATAATATAATTCCCGCATAGTTGGCGTAAAATTTAATAGCGCAGCGTAAAAACCATCACGCAGCCATCGGTGTGTACAGGTGCAGCTAAGACTTTCTTTTAGCCAGTGAATGTGGGTCGTTCTCAATTTTACCGACAACATCTATTTAGACGGTGGTCCTAAGCACTCCCTAATCGGCAATATCCCTGATCAGGTAAGTGTAAGTTTTAGCCAGGAAAAATACTGGCACAAAATTTAAAATGTGAAAAAAAATTTATTGATTCCGAATGGGGCAACCCCTACATTGTTGGATTATTCGTCATACCGCAGTAATGTGTGTGGTACCTTTTCCGTCTACATTGATAGACTGCTTATTCTCTATTCATTGTATTGTGTATATTGTTTGAGAAATATTTGTACAGTGGTGATTGTTCGATAAAAGAGCAACAGCAACACTGTCTTCTATACAGTCATTCTTTTCTTTTTATCAATTTACAATTCTATAATTTCATCTACTCCTATGTTTGAAAACTAATCTCACCTGACTAAACAGTTTTCTAACTGCATTTATTCAGGGGTATCTTAATACACTCTACAACATGATCCCACATTTTCTCTCTCTCTCTTGATTATACCTGTGACCTCCTGACTGTTTTTGTGTAATGTTATTTTTTTACTATGATACACCAAAATTATGTTTCAAATTATCGTATACTAAGAAAATCTACCCCGTAATTTTGTTTGCATGATTTAATCAATACATAAGTACGAAATATTATTTATAAATAGAAATTGTGTATGTCATTTTGTGGAGTATTCGTATACCCCTCATATACATTTTGTAAGGTCGCGGTACTCTTGTAAATCTTTTTAGAACTTGGTGACTTTCTGGGGGTTTGACACTACGATGGTTATGTAATGTTGCAGAAATCGACTGTCATGGACGGATAACGCGGGACGACAAATAAAATTTATAGATAGAACCCTTACAGAGGGTCTAAGAGTAGATAACGAGATAATGTTGTAAATCTGAAGCCTAAGAAGGAACGGCTTTTTACGATTAATTATTTAAACCATCTTTATATTATGTTTAATATTTGATAATCATGAACTCTAAAGCTAAAGATATTTTTAGAAGATAGCTCAATTTGGAGGAGTCATCAAGCCGTCATTGGCAGATGATAGGGTAACTTATCCAGAGACAGCACTTCAATTGGCAACCAATACAACTAGAATAAAGTACTCAACCCGTTCACAAATGAGGAGATGTATAATGCCGCATTATTAGGAGCTTATCCATTTGACAGAGATAATTGGAATTTGAATGACTACAGAGATTAGATAAGGTCGCTTAATGTCATGTTCACGGATCTTTTGCAGATAAAATACCCTGTTTTAGCTGATGAAATATGCAGTGAAAAGGATGAAGAATGGTAGAACATCAAGAATATGTTGACCAGGATTATACATTTTGAAACAAATATGAGTACACTGTTTGATAACGACAGTAGTGATATGGGATGTAAAATAATTAATAAATCTCCTACAGTCACAATCCACAGGAACATCAGGAGGACCCCTGCTTTGTATGTGTGCAAGTACCTCCTAAATTACACCAAAACTTCTATGTAGGGTTGTGTGATCTAATATCCATTACCTCTCGGTTATTTCCAGCCTCCATACCTTCAATCGAACAAACAAATTTTTTTCCCTATTAGTTAGTTATGAAATTATCATTATTCCCTATTTACCTACTATATATTACTTAACCTAACAATTTCTATTCAGATATACCTTCTTCATCTTCCTCTCCATATTCAGGATATTCGCACGCGAATGGATTTAATTCATCCTGTTTAAGAATGGTTTTATCATCTCCCAGATTCAGTTGCTCTGCATACTGATCTAACCAGGGGTTATTAGTTTTGGAAAGGCGTTCATGCTCAGTTTCCAATACTTTTAATGCTTCTTCAAATCCTAAATATTCATTTCCTGAAAGTTGTTTGAAAATAACCTTAAAATATCTCGTTAAAGATTTTAATCCACGAAGGTATCCCATGTCTGGGAGATCTGGATATTCCGGAGGGATTGTTGTAGAAGTTGGGAGTGAATCATCAGCAATAACTGATTGGGCAAAATCGATGATTCTAACCTTGATGTAATGTTCCTTGGCACTGGCTACTTCTTGCAATGGGTCTCCGTCATACATCAACAAGATGGATGACCCATACATTCTATAACCCTTTAATGTCCTAAAAACTTCGCATAGATTACTAAATTTTCTTATCAAATGTGGGATATGACGTAAAATAGAGTAGTTCAGTTTACCATCATATAAAAATTTGGCAATACTCATTGCAAATTCTTGTCCAATTTTAATACTTCTTCCAAAATATTTATCTTCAATAAAGAATTTCTCTTGTACAACATTCCAAACTTGCATACCACAAATTCTTACTCCCAACTTTCTAGATGTAGTATGAAGACATTTATTTCTTTGTGATTTTTGTTTTGAAGGTTTTGCTTCTACACCGTATTGTCTTGTCCCCATTTTCAAATCCAATACACAAGGTTTGCTCATATCTGCCGTAAGATCTTCAAGAAGAATAAATCTTTCAAATCTAGTATGTTTCCTTAAAATAGGATGGCTCCTATCGTTTGTGTTATTTGTACATAATGAGGAGTTCCCAATTTCATTAGTGGGCTTCCCCAATGATGCACCAAGTCTTGGTGAATGATATGCGGAATTACTTGTAGAATTATTCGATGCAAGTGAAGACCTTCTTCTGTTATGTTTGGCCGTTAATGAAGTCACATCTTCGTCATCATCCACGGTTTTCACGGAAGTGGCATCATCGTCATCCATCGAAAAGATCTCATGGTCATTACTAAACAATTTCTTGGGCTTTTTAGGTGCGAAAACCTCTTGAAGCACTTGTGCTTGTAAATCGGTGTTTATCGATGTAGATCCAACTTTATTGAATACCATAGTTCTAGGGCTATTAATAGCCATATGAGGTGGTGATAATGAGGATGGAGATTTCCCTGAAAAGCTGATATTGTCAAGACTTTTAGGCATATCTAAAGAATCCGTTGGTGGAGTGTTTGGAAATGAAGATTTCTTTTCAGAGATAGAATTAACCCCATTGGAATCCAAAATAAATGAATCATGTGGGGATGTATGTGAATATTGTTTCCATAAGGAATCAGGAATGATATGTTTATTGTCATCAAGAACAACCTCTGGAGGAAGGTCTCCGTCAAGAGAAACATCAACATTGTTACTCTTGATACTGGTAGTGATAGTAGTGGTATTAGTAGTAGACTCGTTATTATTCTTGCTCTTGCCATGATCAGCAAGACTACAAGAGTCGTCAATCATACTACCAGTACGTGTAGCCGGTTGACTAGCTGGAGCTTCTTCGTGTAAAATGCTGGAATACCGCACATTAAGTACACCGATATATTTGGGCATAAATTTCAATAGTTCAGGAACTCGAAGTTCAACGGTTTCATACCATAAATTTTCTCGATTCATCAATGCCTTACAAACAGCCTTTTTTGAGAATCTAAAAATGGCCGTATGACCTCCAACCTTGTTCTTAAACGGTCTAAGCTCCACTGCAAGTGGGTAATCCTCGTCGTCTACAAGTGAGAATTGATCTGTATAGTCTTCGTCATATGTGTTCGACATTGATGCCGTGGAAATATCATGAACTTCATCCTTACCGAATGTCACAGTTCTTGAATCTATTGGATTATCTGTTTCTTCTGTTTCTTCTGGAATTCTGTTCTGAGTAGCTATCGTGGATTTAGAAGGGTGGGTACCCACCGATAACTCTTGGAATTTCCCGGGTAATGTTGAATCCTTTTCATTGACAAACTTTTGAATCATGGTAATATCTCCATCATTGGAGTGGTCAAACTCGAGGTCTGCGGTTAAATGCTGTGTTTCAATGGTGTCCTTATCTGAGGAATAGCCGTCAATCGATCTGGCTGGTGTGTGTGGGAAATACGTGGCGGAAGATACCGGTTCTAAGCCGATCCCCAACTCCGATGACGTTGATTGTTTCCGTCCATCGATACTTTTCCGTTTAGATGGCAGTGGTTTCAATGGTGATTCTCTCAGTATCGAGACTCTCGTCCTAACGGTGCCATGATTAGTATTATTAGTTGTGTTGGAGGATAATTCATTGGGTACATCATTAATGATATGTGGGTTTGTCCCTGCCATTACAGCATCGGGCGCAACGCTGTCATCGTCCTCCACTACCCCATCCTTGGCATTGGTAGCAGTACTATCACCTCGGAATAATCGGAGTGATCTGGCAGCCTTACGTCCTGAAACTACAGCAGGTATCACATCGGGTCCGTTACGCTCGGACCCTCCGTTAAACGGCTTGATTTGTTGGTCAGAATATGCCATATTTACAAATTCCATATTGGTGGCAATAAATTACTTTTAAATGACCATAAGCAAATGTTATGATTTCCTTTCTGGTGATGAGATTGCAACAAATAAGCCTTCACGAAATATTTTGAATTTTTTTCTCTCTCTCTCTATAGCTGGTTGAAAATGCAGCGTGTACGGATATCCTCTCTTTTGTCAGTCTATCTAGCTCCTGTATGCCCCCTGTTCCTGTGCTATGGTCTTGTCCAGGTCCAATGATACAATTCTTAAACGGGCTTTAGTAGTAGTGTCACTCTTTTTTTTTTGGCTTGAATTGTTTTTCTGAAATATAAAAAAAAAAAAGATTGAAAAAAAAAAAAAATAATAATAATTCAAATAAAAAAAAAATTAAAATTCTTAGAAATCAAAGAATGTATCTCGATTCCTGTATAGAACACCCGTCAATTGAATCAAAGAAGTATATCAACACGGGAAACGTAAGCCGGGGAGAGGTAATAGCCCTTTCTCTATGACGTAGGAAACACAGGCTGGGACTTCCTGGCTGTATGTTTGTAATGTTGTGAGGCTCTTATTTTTCAATCTTGAAGAATCCCAGTATTAGCAACAATAGAAGGAAACCTTCCTTTATGGTGTTTGTTTTTTCTCACCTATTGTTGCAAATGAGTGTCAGTACCGTCTCAATAAAAAGAATCTGAAACAGATTTATTGAGATTTAGTTGTGTGGTGGTTGGTGAACTGAGAGAAGAATTTATATTCAATAGATAGCTTATGTGTACGTTTAACAAGTTATATTCGAATAGGCAAAATTCCAATAAATTAATAAATTGAGCAAGAAAAACAAATGGGTTGCGCCACTTAATTTGTTTATTCGATGAGCTATATATGGCTTCTATATTTCTGCGTTGTATTTGTTATGAAATTGTTTACCCTCGTGTTACCTCATCTGTTGCTGCATGGATGAGGTGTGTATGTGTATATAAACGTGGGTTGTGCAGAGATAAGCGTCTTTGCGGACGTGGCGCGTGACTCCAGTCACGCCCAGTCACGCGTCAAAGAGAAAAAAGAAGATTATTTTATAGTTCTGGTTTATTATCTAACGTGCGGAGCAGCGAAGACTTTATTATATTAGAAGAGGGGGATATCTAAATGCGAGGAGAATATTAAATTAAACCAAGAGTCTTGCCAGGAATTTTTCAAGCTAACAACATGATTAGGTTGTTTTTTTTTCTCTTTTGAAGCTAGGTACTTACGCCCAGCACCTTTCTATCTCTATCTACAGCTATTTTTAGTCAACTAGCAGCCCCTGCATGATGCTCTGAATCTAAGTTTTGTGCAATTTTTAAGCTTCACATCCTCTGAATCAATTTTCAACAAGAGCAATAGTTCAATAAATGTGTCAATACATTATATATATTTTTACCATTAGACTTGATCTAACTATCGCTAGTGTGGCGAAATACACCGTTGGCTTGGGGGGGTCGTTTGTTTAGTTTAATTTTTTGCATATTTTTTTTGTCAGCTCCAATTAAAACTGGCATTACAAATAAGAATATCGTGATGTTAGGTCTACTACATCTCTTTTTAGTATCCCTAACGATACTTGTGCGGCGCAGTGTAGGGACAACTGAACATCAAATAATCCTACCACTTGATTTCAAGTCATATATCGAATCACAGAAACTTCCACTAATTCTCAATCGAGATCTGCCCACCAAAGATGAATTGGAAAATGCCACATTTGTAGTGCTATGTCGCAATGAGGATCTATATGATTTATTAGAAACCATTCAATCTATACAAGACAGATTTAATAGTAAATATCTGTATGATTGGGTATTTCTTAATGATGTACCTTTTACCAGTCATTTTATATACTCTGTTGCAAATTTCATTACCAATAGTACCCTTAAATTTGGACAAATAGACCCCCATGAATGGGACATCCCTTCATGGATCAATCAAACGTACATGCATCAATTATGGGATGAAAATTATCAAGATACTCCCTATGGAACCAGTGAATCTTATCGATTAATGTGTAGATATTTCCTGGGATTTTTACATAATCATCCATTAATTCAACCATATCAATATTATTGGAGAATCGAACCTGGGGTGAAATACTATTGTGATATAGATTATGATGTCTTCCGTCACATGAGGGAAAATGATCTTTTATATGGATTTACCATCTCCATGTTTGAATATAGAGATACCATCCCCAGTCTATGGTCTCATTTCAAACAATTTATGCAAAATACAAACAGAGAATATGGGGATTTAATTAGATTTGTAATGAATGATGATGATGAAAATTCATATAATTTATGTCATTTCTGGTCAAATTCTGAAATTGCAAATCTTGATATTTTTAGAGGAAGAGTATATAAGGAGTATTTTGAATATTTAGATCAGACTGGTGGGTTTTTCTATGAACGTTGGGGTGATGCACCGGTGCATAGCTTATTCGTACTGAGTTTTCTTGAACCAGAGGATGTATGGTGGTTTGGAGATATGGGATATTATCATGGTCCATATTTGCAATGTCCTCAAGATTCAAAAATATTTGAGCTTGGTAAATGTTCTTGTAATCCAACTAAAGATTTTCTGTTTGGATATTACAGTTGTACTGAACATTTCCTAAAGATTAGAAATCATTTTAAATAATAAACAAAAAAATGTTTTTTTTTTTTCAAAGGGTCCTCCATTGTGGAAGAAAAAGAAAAGATTATTTATATGCTCAGCATATCAAGAGGGTCATATTTATGAGATTTGAATGGATATGGCCGTTGAGAGGTCACCTTTACTCTCGTAAGTATGTCCAATGAAGAGCAATTGTGTACAACGGTGGAAATGGTTGAAAAAAATAAGATCTATTTTAATTTATGTGAGGGAAGAACGCACATGACATTGCAGGAAGGTGAACAAACAATATTTGTACTCCCTTGTGTTGATCGTCAAGGATTGGGTTCCTTTTGTCTGGGTGCAATTTACCATTCACTAATTTCAGTCCAATTGTTCTGCATACGCTAATGATTTTGCAACCCTGAAACTACGACTCCACTCTAATAGAATTTGTTACGAAAATACATTTCTCGTAAAAATAGCTTCATGCGCGTCAACAAGAACTCTAGAATATATATAGATTTTTTTTTATCAACTCTAGGCTTTATTTATCAACGTTCACAAACAGATATAAGTACAGCACTGCCCACACTATACTTTTAGAAGAAGGCTATTTATTTTTTCTAAATAAAAATTTCCATTATTCTCCTGCTACTGTAAATGAATCCCAAAAATAAAATCTACGTTATCCTTAGTGTATCTTTGTGTACACGTTAATTGTTTTTTTTTTTTTTTTTTTTGAGTATTTTTTGGCTTTTTGTGGTTTTCCCATTCAAATTAGTTGATTTTCATCTCCATACTCACGATCTTTTTCATCTGATCTATAATTTGAAGTATTTTTTCCCCACTTGATGGGCTCTATTAAAACGTACTTATTTTGAATTTCCTTTTCTATACATTCAACTATTCACTAATCACAAGAAATTTTTTTTGGAAGAGAAAATAAAAATAAAATAAAAATTTTAGAAAAAAAAAAAAAAAGAAGTGGTAGACGTGGAGAAACTCTCAATCAAAAGAATTTTTGAATAGAGAATACCTACCTAATATTGAGAGGTAACGTGTTCACAAATCCAGAACTGTTATACAAGCAATGCTGCGAGCTTCCAATCTTTATGTGAAGGCTCGGATCTTCAGGCGACGCCATAAATTATTGCTCACCGCGTCCTTGATAGTAACCATAGTTTTGGTACTAATTGGATGCACAAAGGGTCAATTGAGTGAAGAATTGACAAGTGGAATAGAGTCTACTATCAATAACCCTGATCTGGCCTCTTCCTCGGCATCGTCATCATTCTTAGCAGGTCTCTTGGGAACGATATTCATGGCCTTTCAGAAAAAGAAAACCATCCCATTTGCAGAAACTGGAGCAGCTCAACAAAATGAATTTCAAAGTATTATTAAGGCAACTTCATCCAGTCCATTAAGAAGTATGTCAGATGAAACAAAATTAAAACTTATTATAGAATCTCATAAAAGAATAGATCCTGATAATAAGAATCTTAAAAAAGGACACAAATTTTATGAACAAGTGTTTGATGTATTAACCAAGGCAAAACCTAAAATGGAGAAACCTTTGGATAAATATCTTACTAGAAATAGAATTTATCATGCACGTTATCAATATTCTCCTGAAGATGAAGATAATGAAGTTGTATTTTCAGAAAAATATTTATCACAATTTTTACAATTGGATGATGAAGAATTAAAAATAATGACTGATTCACATAAATATGTTGTTGATAATTTAAAAAATGAAGCACCTGATGGTCTTTATAAAGGGAATGGGATTGTTTTCGTTGGTGGAGGGAAATTCAATTGGTTAACATTATTATCAATTAAATCAATCAGAGCCATTGGATCTGAACTTCCTATTGAAGTATTAATTCCTGAAATGGATGAATATGAACCAGATTTATGTGCTAGAGTCTTCCCAGCATTGAAGGCAAGATGTATTTACTTGCCACATGTGTTGAGTGATGGATATTCGCCAATTGCAGATATAAAATTTTATGGATATCAATATAAAGCACTTGCTATAATGTTACTGAGTTTTGAAAATATTCTCTTGTTAGATAGTGATAATATCCCAGTATATCCACCGGATTATCTTTTCGATCTGGAGCCATTTGTTTCCAGAGGACTTATAGTATGGCCAGATTTCTGGAAAAGAGCCACATCACCAGATTATTATAGAATTGCAGGAATCAAGGTTGATGATAAACAATTATTACCCAAATATAATGAAAAAACAGGTCAATATGAACAGATTGAACAAGATAAACAACTGAAATTGAATTTAAATGAAACTCCATTACATCAAAGAATTGGAGGTATACCAGATCCAACGTCTGAATCAGGACAATTGATGATTTCTAAAAAGACCCATATGAAGGCTTTATTACTTGCCCTTTATTATAATATGTATGGTCCCAATCATTATTATCCATTATTTTCTCAAGGATCTGATGGAGAAGGTGATAAGGAAACGTTTTTAGCTGCTACAGTGGCATTGAAAAGACCATTTTATCAAGTATCCAAATTTCTTAATGCATTTGGATATTTCAATACTAAATCTGAATTCATTGGTACTGGGATGGGACAATATGATCCAGCAGAAGATTATACTGTGAATATGAAAAGAAACAATTTAAAGGGGAAATCAGAAGTTGAAATATCCAAAATTTTGGAAAAGGATTCATTACTTCTGAAGGGACCTAGAATTTTATTTGTACATGCCAATTTCCCTAAATTAAACCCTTGGTTATTGAAGAAAGAGAGGAAGATCATCAATGAAGATGATGAAAGATTAAGACTTTATGGTACGGGGATGAAATTGCGTACTGGCTACGATTTTGAAACTGTACAATGGTCAAACATGAAGTTTCTTTTATGTGAACTTAAAATAGATTTAAAGGCATATCAAGAGGTTGATAGAGATGAGCTTTGTGCAGAGATTAATGACCATCTCAAGTTTTTAAAGTCTACCATTGATACATTAGAATGATATAGATACTAGTAAATAGATCAAGAATAATAACAAGAAATAGAGTGTAGACATTACAGGCAGGGACTATTTGGCTGCCAAAAATAATTAAATAAATAAATAGACGTTTAAAAAAAAAAAAAAATTACAATTTGGGCTTGTCGTTCTTTTTAATTTTGTGTTTGTTTTCAAAAGTGTACGTAAGCCAAAAAAATATAAACCAAGATCAATAGTGTATCTTCAGCTAGTACCTACAATATCAGTTAATCAGAAACAGCAAGATGGCCATACAGTTTATGTTCTTGTTGTCCAGACAGGGCAAGATCAGATTGACCAAATGGTATCAAACCATCTCTCAAAAGGAAAAGGCTAAGATTATGAGAGAATTGACCACATTGATATTGGCGCGCCGAGCTAAAATGTGTAACGTGTTGGAATATAAGGATATTAAGATTGTGTACCGTAGGTATGCATCTCTTTTCTTTATCATGGGGATTGAACAAGGCGATAATGAGCTTGTTTCGTTGGAAATCATCCACCGGTTTGTAGAACAAATGGACAAGATTTACGGAAATGTTTGTGAATTGGATATCATATTTGGCTTTGATAAGGCATATCATATATTGGATGAACTTCTTATTGATGGACATATACAAGAGTCGTCCAAGAAGGAGGTTTTGAAACGGGTGGCACAGCAGGATGAATTGGAAAGTATGGATGAGTTTGATAAGATACTAACATAACGGAAATAGATACATGCTGTAGATCAGCTATTAAATATATAAAAGAACAAGAAAAGAAGAATAGATAATTCAATTAAAGAGGTGGATTGTCATTGAATGTAGAGAGAAGATAAAGACCCCCCGGGTCATTGACTTCTTGAGGGAGAAAGAAATACCAATTCAGTAAATGATTAGCTAATAATGAGTATCCCCAGCTTATTTGAGTATATATCCACCAGTTTTTAGACTTTTATGGTACATTCATATATGATACCCCCCGGTCAATTTCTACCAACTTCTCCCAAATGTGGTAACTCACCTCCTCCTCCTCCACTTTTACTAGTTAAGATGTACTGCACAGGGAACATCACCGTTTTTTGGAAACTCTCACATAAATTTTAGAGAGATGAGGTTTGCACAAAAGAAAAAAAACTATCTCATCGTGAAAGATAACGGAGACACTATATCGACAATGTCAGACGTAGAAGATTACGATATTGCGGGAGCTCTTGCTGTGACCGGTTCTGCCTCGGAATCGGATTACTCTGATTCTGATAACTCTGATGCTGAACTTCAAGATGAAATTACCCATAGTGATGATGAAGCTGAATCTAAACTGAAGAAACAAAAACTTAATCCAAAGACAAAGGCCAAGGCCAAGGCAGCTGCTCTTGCCGATAAGCTGTTCCCACTGTTGGAACTTTCTGACGAAGAAGGTGAAAATGAAGCCAAGGACATGGCCTCTTATTTTGCTGTGAACAACCCACAAGCCAAAAAGGCCAAGAATGGTTCCTTCCCATCGTTTGGTTTCTCCAAGTTTTTACTTCAAAACATTTCTAAGAAGGGGTATAAGCAACCTACTCCTATTCAACGTAAGACCATCCCATTGATTATGGAAAGTAGAGATGTTGTGGGTATGGCCCGTACTGGTTCTGGTAAAACCGCTGCCTTCACCTTGCCAGTAATTGAAAAACTTAAATCTCATAGTCCTCGTCCTGGTGCTAGAGCTGTCATTTTATCTCCATCGAGAGAATTGGCCTTGCAAACTTTTAAACAACTTAAGGAATTCAGTAAAGGTACTGACTTAAGATCCATTGTATTGATTGGTGGTGATTCATTAGAAGAACAATTTTCCTCCATGATGACTAACCCTGATATAATTGTTGCCACACCTGGTCGTTTCTTACATTTGAAAGTGGAAATGCAATTAGATTTAAAAACTGTGGAATATATTGTCTTTGATGAAGCCGATAGATTATTCGAAATGGGTTTTGCTGAACAATTGAATGAACTTTTGGCTGCATTGCCATCTTCAAGACAATCTCTTTTGTTTTCTGCCACCTTGCCCAGATCTCTTGTTGACTTTGCCAAGGCAGGTTTAACCAACCCAGTGTTGGTTAGACTTGATGCAGATGCAAAGATCTCTGATCAATTACAAATGGCCTTTATTACCACCAAAAAGAATGAAAGAGAAGCTAATTTACTTCATATTATCCAAGAAGTTATTAAACTTCCATTAGCAACTGAAGAAGATAAAAAGAAATTGGTTGTATTGGATAAAAGAAACAATCCATCTGATTCTGAAGAAGAAGTTGAAGATTCCAATGGTAAGAAAAGAAAGAGACCTAAATTTAAAAAGGAAAGATTACCACCAGCAAATGAATTACCTTCTAAATATTCCACCATTGTGTTCGTTCCAACCAAGCATCATGTTGAATATGTCACAAATATGTTGAGAGATGCTGGATATGTTGTATCATATATTTATGGGTCTCTTGACCAGCATGCAAGAAAGCAACAATTGTACCAATTCAGAGTCGGTTTGACCAGTCTTTTGGTGGTCACTGATGTTGCTGCTCGTGGTATTGATATCCCAGTGTTGGCCAATGTCATCAACTATACACTTCCTGGTTCATCCAAGATTTTCATCCATCGTGTGGGTAGAACTGCCAGAGCTGGTAACAAGGGTTGGGCTTATTCCATCGTTAATGAAAAGGAATTGCCATACTTGCTTGACTTGGAATTGTTTTTAGGTAAGAAGGTCTTATTGACATCCATGCATGATCAGAAATGTGATATTTTGAAAGAAAGACAAGGTTCCAACTATGTTGAACCAACTATTTCATATACTGATAGATTAGTATTGGGAGCTGTTCCAAGAAATGAATTGGAAATTTTCCAAGATCTTTACGATAACTTGATGAAGAACCATTATGAATTACGAGTCATTAAAGATGTTGCTAACAAGGGTGAAAAGCTTTACTATCGTACTAGACAAGCAGCTTCGCAAGAATCGATCAAAAGAGCTAAGGAAATTATGGCTACTGGATCTTGGGATGATCAACATCTTATGTTTGGACCAAATATGGAAAAGGAAAAGGAAAAGTTTTTGGCCAAGTTGAACAATAGACATTCAAAGGAAACTGTATTTGAATTCAATAAGAAGGGTAATAACAAGAAGCAAAAGGGTGCACAAGAAGAAGATGACAGTCTTGTTGAATTTATGAACAAGAGAAGAAGACAACTTGCTCCAATCCAACGTCGTGCTAAGGAAAGAAGAGAATTGTTGGATAAGGAAAGAATGGCGGGATTAACTCATGGTATTGAAAATGAAATCTTGAAGAATGAAGATGGTGAAGTTGGTTATAGTGTTAATAGTGGACAAGTTGATGAAAGAGAATTACAAGATGCCTTTGAAGATGCTGATGATATCATTGAACAAAAGAAATTAAAGGCAAAGAAATCATACAGAGATCCACAATTTTTCATGTCTCATTATGCTCCAGCTGCTGACCTTCAAGATAAGCAATTATCTATTTCCTCGTTTGCTAACGATGCTGCATCTGCAGCATTTGACTTGAATGATGATGATGCCAAGGCCGGAAGCAAGCAAGTCATGCAATGGGACAAGAAGAAGGGTAAGTACATCAACTCTCAATCTACCGATAAGAAGTATATCATTGGTGAAAGTGGTCAAAAGATTCCAGCCACCTACAGATCAGGAAGATTCGACGAGTGGAGGAAACAAAGAAACTTGGCACCTTCCAAGTTTGGATCTGTTGAAACTGCAGTCAGTAACGATACTTCTAAGACTGGTCAAAGATTCAAGCACAAGAAGGTTGCTGCACCAAAGATGCCAGATAAGTTCAGAGATGATTACCACAAGCAAAAGGCCAAGGTGGAGAAGGCAGTTGCTGCAGGTACTTCGGTAAAGGGTTACAACAAGCCTGGTCAAAGACAAGAATTGAGATCTACTGAAGATATCAGAAAGGCAAGAAATGCAAAGGAAAAGAGAAAGGAGAAGAATGCTCGTCCAAGTAGAAAGCGTAAGTAGATGGTATGATAGAGTATAAATATTTAAGTCAATTTTGACCTACGATAAATGTTTTGTAGAAATAATCAGTTTTATTATATTTATATATGTTTGTGTGTTTTTTTTGTTGGTTTGGTTGACTATCTTCTTTTAGAGTATGGGTGGTATCCACCTCTGTCTCTATCTCTACCACGGTATCCACCTCTTCCGCGCGATCCACCAGATGGACCAGATGGTGGTGGGCCTCTTGGGCCTCTTGGACCTCGTGGAGGCATTCTCTTTGGTCCACTAGGATAAGAGCTATCCCTGTCATATTGGGATTGTTGACCATCTTGTTGATATTGAGGAGGTGGTGGAGGTGGAGGAGCTGAACGATCTTCATTTTGTTCCTGTGGGTTCAAAGGTTGTTGAGGAAGCTCACCTGGTTGTTGGCCATCTTCGGTTTGGCCACCAGCTGCAGCTTGTTGTTGGTACATATACCATTGCTGCATTCTTTGCCAGTACTCTTGCATCATATCTGGAGACATACCATTGGTACCAAAGTTTTGTTGTTGTTGGTATGGTTGTCCGTATTGAGCATTATAGTTCCCGTATTGATTTTGAGGTTGGTACAGGTTTTGTTGGTGTTGACCTCTTGGCTCAGCACGCTTAACTTCCATGGACTTACCCTTCAAAGTCAAGTATTTGTTGACGGTAACTCTATCAACGGCTTCAGGAGAGTCGTAAGTAATAAATCCAAACCCTCTAGATCTACCAGTATCCTTGTCAATCATCAATTGAGCGTCAATGATACTACCGAATTGAGAGAAAAAGTCGTTAAAATCCTTTTCATTCACCATTGGATCAATACCACCTACAAAGATCTTCCCAACCTTGTCCTGCTCATCTCTGGCAATGGCCCTCTTAGGGTCAATCAACTTACCGTCCAACACATGGTCGGTCTTGATAACTTCGTCAACGGAAGAAGGGTCTCTAAATGTCAAGAAACCAAACCCACGAGACTTACCAGTGGCATTATCTCTCATAATAGTAAAGTCTACAACTTCACCAAACTTAGAGAAATACTCTTTAAGACCCTGTTCGGTTGTGTCCCAGTTAAGACCACCAATAAACATCTTACCGTGCTCTCTTCCCATGTTGGAAGGTGGCATTGGTTGTTGTGGGGGTTGTGGGGGTTGTGGAGGTTGTTGCTGGTATTGGTATTGTTGTTGTGGGGGTTGTGGAGGTTGTTGTTGGTATTGGTATTGTTGGGGAGGTTGTTGCTGTTGTTGTGGAGGAGGGTAAGAACCATGCTGTTGTTGTTGTTGGCTGTAGTCGATTTGCACTGGTGCTTGTGCTGGAGGTGGGAGTGGTGCTTGTTGGTAAGTAGACTCGGTGGTTGCTGAAGATGCAGCTGGAGTACCACTGGCAGAACCAATAGCGGATCCAGTAGAGCTTTCTTCAGTACCTTTGGATTCACCGGCACTAACTTCTGGCTTGGTGTTGCCTTCTTCACTACTGGCCTTCACTTCTTCACTGGTGGAACTTTCCTTCACTTCATCCTTCTTTTCATCCTTCTTGGATTCAGTAACTGGAGTTTCATCTTCACCGCTAAATAAAGTTAGTACTTGCACATACACAAAAAAAATAGAAAAACCTTCCCCCTCTGACCACATGTCGCAGTGTGGGGTCCGCAATTATAGAGGTAGAATATCGAAAGGACTTAGGGTAGGGACTGGATTATTTGCCGACATATACATACTAGATGTCTTCGAAAAGGGCTTCGTCGTCGTCGTATGACATATTTTCAACTAGCTAAGTACGAATTATATTTCAATCAATTAAGTTTATTGAATATGGAGGAGTATAAAACTAAACTGAATCTATGTATCTTAATACAGTTAGAATCGTAAAGATTACGGTTATAATCTTTCAACTAGCTTGATATTACGTTTGCCACTAGCAATAATTTAATATTGATAATTTTCCTGCTTCCCATTTTCATTGGCCATTTTTGTAATTAAGTAGGGGAAAAAAAAAGACCACAAAAAAAAACCTGCTGTCGTGTGTGTACCGGTTTCTAGAGTTTCTAATTTCGGAAAGGTACACGAACAAAAATTGCAACCAAGTTTAAAGTATGATGAGAATAACTGATTGATAAAGATTCAATTTTCAAAAATACAATTGATATAATTTCTTTGATAGACATAATATTCATATAAAAAACAATGTAATAGTAGTATCACTATATTTAGTTGTATTCATTTTGCTTTCTTCTAGCTTCATAAATGTTCAATACAGTTTCAGCAGCCTTGACACCTGAGAGAGCCATGGCTCCAAAAGTTGGACCCATTCTGTTGGAACCATCAACTTCAGAAAGTTCCATACCTCCGATAACCAAACCTGGGACAACCTCTCTGGTACCCTTGACAATATGATCTTCGGCAACGTTCATATCTAATCCTCTCATACCACCAAGTTTTTCAAGACCTCCAATGGCTACCGCTCTCTTGGCAGAAAAGGCACCAAATGGACCATCATGACCAGTAGTAGACAAAATAACTGGTGCATTAATTGTGTTTGGGTCCATACAGGAGTGGTCATCATGATGCATGGTAACCAAAGTCCAATTGGTAACAACACCAGCAACTCTAATTTGACCACTTTCATCCTTACGAGTGATCAAATCTTCAACACAAGTAGCATTGAACAATTTAACGTTAGGGAAGGCCAAAACCTTTGCCAATAAGGTGGACATGAACAAGGCTGCATGCTTGACAACAACGTAGTCACCTTCATCTTCATATTCAATTTCCAATTCATCCAAGAAGTATTGGGCTGGCTTTCTCAAAACCATGGCGGAAAATAATTGACCACCTAACCAACATCCACCACCTGGGGAAACACTGGCTTCAATAATGGCAATCTTAAGTTCTGGACGGTTCTTGGCCAAGACGTATGCGGCAGATAACCCAGATGAACCAGCGCCAACAATTACAACATCTGATTCAGCGTACTTGTCCAAATCAGCAAAATAACGTCTAGTCATAGCACGAGAAACAGTGGATTCTCTGATGGGTGCAAATTTAAATGTTTCCCAATCACCAAACTTGACATCAGTTGTTTGTTGAGGAGCAGATAAGTTGAATTGGTTGGTTTGCAATTCTCTTGGGAAGCTACCAAGGGCTTTGTCAACAATAGTTGGTGGGATCATTGTAAAAATTTAAAGGGAAAAAAAGAGCTAAATTTGAATTATAGAAAGAATCTATGGATGATTTCAAACTACAATTGCAAATTTGGTGTGAAATAAACTCCTTATTTATATTCAATCAATTGAGGGCACCTAACAAATCCAACCTGATTCTGGAATCATCCAACTTATTTTTGCTGTGAATTTCACTCATACTACAGACTTTTAAGCGCATATACCCTATTACTGTAACCTTTATTAAAAATTAATATAAGAAAAAAAAAAAAGATTAGCCTAAAACGTACTGATAAAAAGTGCGCAACCAACAAACTCACAAGCGCATATCTCTCTTTTTGAGAGGAGATAACCCAATTTTATCTAGAGATAGAGCTCCCCCTCCCCCAATTGAATTGATTAAATTAACTCAAATCCCTATAATTTATCTCCCTACAATTTAACTCCTATTATCTTGGTATTTACTATAATTGTCTTTAAATATGCAGTCTACCTATTTCCTCCATCATCTATTTACTTTTTTCACTGAACCCTTTGAAATATCTTTCTCTAAAATTCTTAATATTATTCACCTTCAATCCGTTCAAGGTTTGACCCTTGTAAGTCTCATCTCTTTTAACGTACACCAACAATCTTCTAGACCATTTGTTGAATTCCTGCTCCAAATTGTATATCAATTCCAATCTCTCGTGTTGTGGAAGAAGATTCACTTCGAAATCATCATTGGCTGTAGGCATCCAGAATGCAAGTCTACCCCCAACTGGGAGTCTGAATGCAGCGAAAGAAAGCAAGTCATGGAGCAAGTTAGATAATTCATAAGGTTTCTTTGGTTGAATGAAATCCTTTCTCAAATGGGCCTTTTCTCCATCAATCACTACATTTTCACGACCAGCTGCCTTTTCAGGATCTTTGGCTCCACATACTTTTAACCCTTCTCTAACCCCATATGGAGGGTCACAAACAATTGTATCTATAGTGAAATCAGAACGGAAGGCATTGTTTGTAAAATCCATCGTCATAATGTCCAAAAATTGAGAACTGGTTTTGTACTGTTTAAAGTTTGCAGGGATAGTATTTTGTCCCTTACCACGTAGTATACGTGGATCTATATCTGAACCAATAGGTAATCCTCCAAAGTTTGCAGCAGCCACCAAAAAGGAACCAGTACCAGTGAATGGATCATAAGTTATCTTACCTGGACCAACTTGTCCGATATTACAACTAACCAATGATAATTCAGCATCAAATGAAGTGGTTCCGATATACTTTCTACGTCTTAAATCATACTTGTCAAGAATGTTTTCTGTTCTAGCACTTAATTGGATCTCTCTACCGAACCACATGTTAAGTGGACTGGTTGCCTTTTCTCTTCCCAAGACATTATATTCTTCCAATACTGTGAAAACTTGGTCTGGGTTCTTCATTCTAATAGGGCCCTTGAATGCTACAAACAGGAAGGATTCTATGATGGCAAGTCTTTCCTTGACTGATCTTGTACCTTTATATCCGATGAAATCAAACTTGAAAGAATTATTCTCATATAAGGGGAACTTATCACTGGATGTAGCCTTGACTGACTCGTGCAATTCTTCCAAGGTTGTTCCATGACCCCAAAGTTCGTAGATTCCTCTACCCAAAATGGATCTTGCCATAATTTTCTTTGCATCTTCATCATTTTCCAAATCTACAATGACAAATGGATTCGATTCATCATGATGGGACAAATCGATTGAAACTCCATGTAAGTCTGCTAATGATTCGAGTTCAGCCTGTCTGAAATTCGGGTATGCTTGAGCAAAGTAAATAAGGTACTTGGGCATGTTTACTGTACTAAATACTAGACTGTTGTTCAACCTTTCAACTGTCAATCCATCTCTTCTCAAATGATGAGGCATGCGCGCACACTCACACAAGCCATAAAAAAAAAATTGAAAAGCGAAATAAAAAAAAAATAAGAATTCATATCGCGGAACCATAGTCGCATACGGATATGTAAGCGCATAAACCCGTAAATGGATATGCGTTTATAATTCTTCAATATGAGGGAAATCTTTCTAAGACTTTTGTAATATTTCCAACAATTAATCACCCTATAGAAGTGAAAAAAATTTAATTGAAAACCCAGCCGTATAAAATTTTGGTAATAGTCCATTTGAATTTCTTTTTATAAACTGATATTTCAATATATTAACAACTCTGATTTAAAAGTATTAGAAATGAGTACAAAGGATGCAAAATTAAATAAGGAGTATGATGAAGCATATGAATTTATCTGTCACAAGGAAATCGATAGTGCGGATGAAACTATAGTTTCAGATGAACTTTCTGTCATATACCGCAAGATTGATCTTAGGATCCTTTCGATTCTTTGTGGGATCTATTTTCTTCAATTTCTCGATAAGACCTTGCTTAATTATGCTGCAGTTATGGGGATTAAGAAAAATCTTGTTGGTAATCAATTCAGTGATTTAGCAACAATTCTATATGTTTCTTATATAGTTTTTGAACCAGTTTCTGCTTATTTGTTTCAAGTTCTTCCCCCTGCTAAATTTTTTGCAGCTTGCATAATTTGTTGGGGGATAGTAGTTGTTATGCATATCTTTTGTCAAACATATGCTTCTTTGATGGTGATTAGAATGTTATTGGGTTGTTTTGAAGCATGTGTTGCGCCTGGATGTATTATGATTACCGGGATGTGGTGGAATAAAAAGCAGCAATTGAGAAGAATGGGACTTTGGTCTATCCAAGCTGGTACATCTACTATTTTTGGAGGATTGTTATCATTTGCGTTCCAACATGTGGACTCTACAAAGACTTCCCTTGCTTCATGGCAAATCTTTTTCTTGCTCATGGGACTTATAACAATCTTATATGGAGTTTATGTAATGATTGAACTTCCAAATAACCCTACATCCGCAAAATTTTTGAATGATAGAGAAAAGATGTTGGTTTTGGAAAATATTAGGGAGAATCAAACTGGTACTGAAAATAAAGTATTTAAAAAGGAGCAAATCAAAGAACTTTGTATCGATCCTCATACTTGGCCAATGTTTTTCTTGACGGTTATAAGTATGGTGGCTACTGGGGCCATTATTACATTTAGTGTTACCATCATAAGTTCATTTGGTTTCACCGCTAAGCAATCTGCTCTTGTACAAATGCCAGTTGGTTTATCTACAATTTTAAGTATCGTTGGTGCAACTTATCTTTGTGCCTACTTTAATGGGAACTATAGAACTTATATTTTTATTTCATTGCTTGTCCCTGCTATAATCGGGTATATCGTCTTGTTAACCACATATAATCGAATTGGTAACTTACTTGCAATTTATCTAATTAACACCGGAACTTGTGTTATTACCATGATTTATTCTTGGAATGGTGCAAATACTGCTGGACATACTAAAAGATTGGCACGTAATTGTTTAACGATGATTGCCTTTGCCATTGGTGCACTTATAGGACCACAATTATTCAAAGCTGAAGATTACCCTCATTATATTCCAGCAAAGATTACCCTTTTGGTATTAACGATTGTCTGTATTCCATTATCCTTGTTTGTAAGATACCTTTCAATTAAAATAAACAGACAAAGAGATTTAGATGTTGAAGGGAATGAGAAATGGTTGAAGGAAGTTGGTGATAACTATCAATTTAAGGATTTGACTGATATTGAGAATAAAATGTTTAGATATTCATATTAATAGAAATATATAATTTTGCAACTAATAGCTACAAATACATTTAATAATTAATTAATTTATAATTTTTAACAGTAAAACACTAGCAATAAAAGATGTTTACAACACAAATCAATCAAGATATTAATAAGTTTTCAAACTTTACTAGACTAGATAAGACCCACCAATCCCTCATGTATAAAGTACTGATAAAATGAACAAGTTAGACGCACAAGGAAATATCATGCGGGCCATGCGCGTTCAACCTTTCAGGAAAAGACTCCTCTCCAATTTACTTCACTCACAAAAAAAAAAAAAAAAAAAAAGACAAGGGGTCACGTGATTTACATTTATAATCATAGCCATCGCGAAGAAGTGACTTACAAAGATAATGATATTCATACAAATCAACTCCTTTTAGTATCTATATCATCTAATCGAATACACAAAATGGCACCAGCTACAATTATCTGTATTGGTATGGCCGGGTCTGGTAAGACCACGTTCATGCAAAGATTGAACTCCCATTTACATACTAAAAAGACTCCACCTTATGTGATCAACTTGGATCCAGCTGTTTTAAAAGTTCCATTTGGTGCCAACATTGACATCAGAGATTCTGTCAAATACAAGAAGGTTATGGAAGAATACAACTTAGGTCCAAACGGGGCTATTGTAACGTCACTAAATTTGTTTCTGACCAAGATTGATCAAGTGATCAAGTTGGTTGAAAAGCGTGCTGATTCATTTGAAAATGTCATCATTGATACTCCAGGTCAAATTGAATGTTTCATTTGGTCCGCTAGTGGAGCTATTATTACAGAGGCCTTTGCCCTGACTTTTCCCACTGTTATTGCATACATTGTAGACACTCCAAGAAACTCATCTCCAACCACTTTCATATCCAATATGTTGTACGCATGTTCCATTTTATACAAGACTAAACTTCCTATGATTATTGTTTTCAACAAGACTGACGTTCAAAGCGCGGACTTTGCCAAGGATTGGATGACTGATTTTGAAAGCTTCCAACAAGCCTTATCTCTGGATCAAGACTTGAACGGTGAAGATGGAACTTCATCTGGATACATGAGTTCATTGGTGAACTCTATGTCTCTTATGTTGGAAGAATTCTACTCCCAATTGGATGTGGTAGGTGTTAGTGCGTACACTGGTAATGGGTTTGATGACTTTATGAATGCAGTAGACAACAAGGTAGATGAATATAATGAATTTTACAAAGCTGAAAGAGAAAGAATATTAAAGAAGAAGGAAGATGATGAAAAGCGAAGACAAACAAAATCTCTTAATAACTTGATGAAAGACCTTGATCTCAAGGATGGGAACAAGGATTCAGAAGTGTTATCAGACTACGAATCGGAAGACGATAAGGATGTCCAAGGTGAGCTTTTAAGAGATGAAGACGAACCAGAAAGAGAATACACATTCCCAGAAGATAGAAACTCCGAGTTGGACCCTGTGACAGATTCAGACTTGCAATCTCGTTACCAGGAAGCCTTTGATGCCACTGCAAAGACTGCTTCTTCCAAGACAGCTGAAGCCATTGCTCAATACATTAGACGTCAATAGACAATGTATAACAGATATAAATAAAAAGAATTTAATGCGTACCTCTTCTTTTTTACTACAATTTATAGATAGTCTGTTTATTGTTTTACTTTTTGTATAAAACCAGATCAATGTCGTACGGTTTAGCATATTCCGGCTTGAATACAAGATGTGGCTTATGCTTTGCCAAATGTAATATCGTTTTACCAAATTCTGAGTTACACCATGAGAACCAAGATCTGGTGTATTGTTGTCCTCCCAATGAGTTTACATGAACACTTTCATGCATGAGCCCCAACTTTGCAGTTGTCTTCATGATAAAGTCCAAACTTTCAAGAATTTCATCATCGTCATCAGTAGTTCTAATTCGGACAAGTAAAGACATTGGCCAAGCATTCTGAATACCAATATGAGGACCACCAATCCCTTCAAAATATCTTCCTTTCAAAAAGTAAGGGTTCCCATTCTTGGATAATATCATCCGTCTAGTATTTTGATACACTTCATCATCAACATCCACAAATCCCATATCTGGAAGCGAGAGTAATGATGGGATATTGGCATCATCCATAGAAACAATTCCTCCATATCCATCAACCTCATAGGCATACACTCTCCCCCACACTGGGTGGTCATGAATACCATACAGTTCAATACCTCTAGATATTCCATGGATCAATTCGTCTACAACGTCAGATAAGTATTGCACCCTTTCTAAATCAATATTTGAGAGTTTATCCAAGATTTCTGAACGGAAATAATTCTTACGAAGTTTTTTCAATTCTGTAAGCATATGTGCATTAGCAGGGATGAAAAATTGAAGAATAGTTGCATCATCACTGGGTCTAAAGGCAGATCTGATTAATCCAGTACCATAATTGACAGGGTTCCCGACCCCTCCAAGTGGGAGGGTCTCAGACCCAATGTTGGTTTGTCTCTGGAATGAATAATAATAATTGATTGCCTGTCCAGTCTCTTTATCAAAGGAAGGTTGTGCTTCACGACGAAGTACTATCAACACTTTTTCAAATGCATCAAGCCATTCAGGGGTGATAAAGGAAAGATCTTTATTTGAATTCAAATAGTATTCGTTGGTTAACATTAGGAATGAAGCCAATGAGTCCAACTCATATTTACATTCAAATACAGCCTTCCAATCTGGTCTTGGATATACCAGATCCATGGCAGTGTCTCCTCGCTTGACTCCAGAGCCTGCAGGTGGATGGAAGGCATTACAATATGGGGATGTATTGACATATTTGGCTTGTGTGTTAATGGCGCCAAGTACAAGGTTTTGTAATGTTATATCATGTTTGATAAATGGTTGATATACAGAAAGTTGACGTGCTGCATCACGAAGCCACTCGGCATGGATATCACCAGTGACCACAAATGCTTCGAATGGTGCTGTCTTTTTATGCCAAAGAATCGTGGTATCCAAAGTGTTCGGTAAACAATTTTCAATCAATCGCGCCAAATCTGGGGTCTTTGCCTTTAACTTGAGGTCATCAACAATCAGCTCCACCGCGGTGGAGGTGAAAGTACGACACTTTGGAGCAGGTCTCATATATGGATATTTGAATTGTCCTGATGCAAATGGAGGATGGGGAAATTTACTATATTCTGTATAGTCTGGACATTTCCTACCAATCAGATCATCTAGGGCTTTTAAGAATGCCTGTGTGATTTCTTCTCCAGTTTCCTTCTCATCAACATGTTCTTGTCTATCACCCCTTTCCTTAACTGGCAATGGTTCGTCTTCATCTTCGTACCAAATATTATCAACTCCATTATACATTGATGATTGATCCTCCCTATTGAATCTACGCAATAATGTAATTATTGCAATCAAACCAACAAGAATTAGGCCCAATCTTACAGGACGAAACCGTCTTCTTACCATCGGCAGCATTGATTAGTTTTTTTAAATTATAAGTATATATGAAGTATATTAATTATAATACTAAAATACATATATATGGAGGGATGAATATAATTACAGCTCCTACACACGCACGTGACCTATACACTCTTCATTAACAAATCGAAGAAGATCATTTTACTTTACATAATCTTGACCTATTACAATACCTTGACCGATAATAATGTTCTATTCTTATATAGTGAATCATATCTAATAACCATTAATCATCCTTCAATAAGTAAATGCAATTGTTTCCTTTATGTACATGTATATGACCCATTTCCCCTAATCTTGTCATGATTTCTTCCACATTCAGTGGCTTGTCATCTTGTAATTTAGTTTTATCAAGCATTTCTTGATAAGTACCTTTATGTGACTCTTGTTGTTGATTCTTGGAATTGAAAAATTGACGAATCCAACCTGAATTCAATGATAATCTCACTCCTACAATTTCAAATTCATCTTGACTTGACTCCAATAAATCCAACAACTCTGTATGTTGACAATTCTTCACCCCACTTTCTATCGTCAACATATGAAATGTAGTATATTTCAAGTCATAGGGTATTCTATCTATTTTATACGATACTCTTGTTTCCTTAATTCCCTGTACAAACTCAACTAATTTCAATTCGATTTGTTCAGAATCTTCCACCACTGGAGTGAAATTTGAATCTGTTACAACTATTTCTGATGCTCTATCTATCGATTCACATAATGGATTATACTCTGATCCTCCTAAATATGCCTTAAATGTATCCATTTGTCGCATTTCAGTCAAATGATATGAACGAGGTACAATCCGACGTCTTCCAGATTGAGATTCAATTACTTTCTGTTTAATCTCCTTTAATTGATTAGAGAATTTGTTTAAGGGTACGTTGATTTGTGCTATTGAATCTTCAGAAAATAGACGATGTTTTTGTGCCAATATAAAGATTATTGGAGTACGATCCAATAATTCTTGATACCAACGTCCAGAACTATTATGGTTTGATGTGAATGATTTAGGGCTGAAATGAGCAGCTAGGGCAGAAACCATATCAGCTTTGTGTTTTGTATTCCCCTGGTAGAAATTACTGGATTTAGCTAATGGTAAATCATGAAGTTTTATGGAATGATCTATTATTTGATCAATAGGTACAGATTCAAGTTCATGCAACGTTAAATCGCCTGCAAATATCGGTTTCACATGACTCAAAGCTGCCGGGGTAAAGTCTGCAACATTATATTTCATTCCTGTCGTTGTCAGAGTCGACGAAAGTTTAGATCTTACGAAATTCTCATGATATGAAGTATCCTTCTTCAAGAAGGATTCCACTTTGGCAGACAGAATGTGGGAATTTTGTCTTGAAACATCTTGGTAAATCGATAAGAGTTTCCGTATATGTCTCGGTATCCGCTCTTTAGTAAGGAACGACATGTCACCTACAATTTCCTCCACGGGGACAAAGGGTATTAACAATTTTTTTTTCCTTTCTTTCCATGTCTTTATTCATGCGCATCATCAAATCTTTGTATATCAATCCAACCTAATTTTTTTTTTTTTTAAGCTCCAACTTCTTTATATCTAACAGAACTAACCATTTTTATTATTCCCAAAATGTCTGATGACGAAATAAGTCTTGAAGGTGACCTTTTCCAAGAACCAGAAAACTATACGAAACCTCCACCTGAACCACATTTTGCTCATTATGATAGAAAGATCGAAGGTGCAGAACCAAAGACGATAGATCTCAGACTCGTTGGTCTGTCACCACTTTGGGGTCATCTTCTTTGGAACGCAGGTATTTATACTGCTGACTACTTGGATAAGCATGCCCAAACTTTGGTTACTGGGAAAAAAGTTCTTGAGTTGGGAGCTGCTGCAGCTCTCCCATCTTTGGTTTGTGCTGTAAACGGTGCAAAGGAGGTAGTATCTACAGATTATCCAGATCCAGACCTTGTAAGTAACATACAATACAACTTTGATCATTGCAAAGATACAAACTCACCTTGGAGAGTGCAAGGATACATCTGGGGAGACCAATTCAAACCATTAATCTACGGTACGGATGAATCTACATGGAAGGAAGAAATTGCTGAAGAAGATAAGTTTGACTTGATCATTTTGTCTGACTTGGTGTTCAACCATACTGAACACTTGAAGCTTTTGGAAACTTGTAGACGTTGTTTAAAGTCAACTGGCCGTTGTTTGGTTGTCTTTTCTCCTCATAGAGCTTGGTTATTAGAAAAGGATTTGGAATTCTTTGAAACTTGTAAAGATTTCGATTTTGAAGCTGAAAAGATCGACTTGGTTAATTGGAAGCCAATGTTTGAAGAAGATGAAGAAACTGCAGACATTAGAGCTAGAGTTTATTCATTTTTCTTGAACCCAAAGTTTTAATTCATATACATATATAGACTACTATAATAGAAAAGCATCAGATATTAAACATAGTGTACCTTCTTCTTACTGACACTAAGAACACCCTTCTCTATCTTAGTATAGAAATCTACCTTTTCTTTGAAAAAAAACTACAATTAATCATTTTCTAACCTTATGTCGTATTAATAAACATAATTAACAAATAATATAACTAAACCAAAGACCTGAAGCTTCGTAAAACCTCTATAATATGAGTGACATTGATTGCGTAAAAGTTTGTGCTAAACTGTTTATTGGGAGGCTGGAGAAGGGTTCATCTTTCTCTTACCGTTAGTCAAGGTGACGTTGATGAATCTTCTGGTGTATAACAAACGCTTGTAAGCTCTACCCTTTGGCTTCTTTGGCTTTTCTTGCTTGTCAACCTTTGGAGTTTGAGACTTAACCTTACCGGCACGAGCTAAAGAACCGTGAACTTTACCCTAAAAAGCTTGTTAGTATTTGAAATGATATTCATGAATTATTTATATGATGACCTTGCATGTGGATGATTTCCAGTTGTGGATTACTATGAGCCAATCTTTCAATGTACGAGCCCACTTCCTTTTGGATAAATTCGGGGATTTATTTCTAATATCTGATCTACTGGTGATCTTCCGTCTTTGAAGATTTTTGCCCTCCAAATATCATAAATTTTCACTTTAAGGGTATGATTATTCTTCCATCAGTCTATACATTTGAATGGCCATAACCACATCTTAGACATCTATCCAGACTGGTCGTCATATATTACTCCCGTAGGTACATACCATTTTGAATGTATATGTGTAGTATAATAGTACGTAAAAGAGGGATAAATCTTTTCAAGTTTCAATTCAAAGATATGGGAAGGATTTTCGCGCACGATCACCAACATTAAACCTGCGCACAGTCACCTCGGTCAGATGACCGAAAAAACGTGATGGATAAAAACGTGAGTGCGACTGTTTAGGGCTGAGCCCTAAACACTGATTGCAACATAAACATACCCCAAATAAATGGTGTTATACAATTAGTAGTTACATATTTATTAATGAATTTTCTTATAATTATTATTTGTAGTAGTACTTTTGATGGGTCCTGCCTATCATATCCGTTTTAGACATATATAATTGTAACTGTAGGAAGTTAAGAGAAGAAAAGAGATGTAAAATCTTCTCTAAGACGTTAACTTGATGCAACAATCATTCCAAATGTTAGTAAAATGATAACAAATATCGTAATAATCAATGTAATTATAGATAATCTACTAGCCGGATAATAGTTCTTAGTCAACATTGCTTGGACTTTGAAAAACCGTATGAATCCAAAGATTAATGTGACAATACCCAAAATTATAAATATTAATCCAAGTGGTTTCCCCATCTTTAAAATAGCCGAGTTGACCTGTCCATCGAGGTTAACATACCCATCTATAACATGGACCAGCGCTGATTTCCTTTCAAGTCTTGCAAGTTGTGTCACACCAATACCAATAGTGATAAAGGCAAGGGATGTTCTAAGCCATGCAAGGAATGTCCTTTCATTGGCCATATGATCTCTTGCTACAGAACCTTTATTTTCTAAATTTATTGATTTAAATTTAAGAACATTAAATGCTTCCAAAATATTCACTTTTTCTAATTCATCTTCAATTTCTTCTCTAGACTCTTGTGATTGTTGTTGATGTTGACCCCTATGTAATATACTACCTCTATGAGGTGATATACTTGTGTGGACTGGAGATGGTGAAGTGTTAACAGGTGAAGTGTATGTTTGATCTATTATTCGACTCAGAGAACCTGTAGAGTCATAATTCCTTGACATGGTAATGAATTAGACTTATATTCTCCACAATTTAGGGAGTTTCTGAATTTCAATTTTAAATGGTTATCATTACCCCTTCTCTATAAACATGAAGCCCTTGGAACCACAGTTGTAAACTGTGAATGGTGCGCGGTCACGAGCAGGGCCTGCAGGTAAACCGTGCTATTCAATTTTTTTTTTTACTTTTTTTAACTAGGGCACCCAAATTTAAGAAAAAGAAATCATATAATAAAATTAACATAGTACACCATCATAAATCTTCGCTTGTAACAAATTTGTTTCAATAAAAGTGTATTACAAAGATATGAAATAATATGAAACTTTGAAATTACGAATTGCATTAAAATGTGGGAACCTTCTTTGGTATTTGAATTTACCACACCGGCATTTTTGCCTGTATGTAGAGCTTGTAGAGTCGCTAAGAAATATAATCCTGTATGAATTGAAATATGCTGCATCTCAAGATGAAGGATATATTTTCTAGCAATAGTACAAAAAATAACAAAAAATAAAAAACCTAAGCACCCCCCTTCTACATCCAGATTAGTTCTTATCATTTAATAATTTATGACGACTATATATCTATCCAAGCCAAGGACCGGTTCCAAGGCTTCCTGTTTATGAAGTTGTGTACTTTTATGCAAATACGCCACGTATACACGTATGCAATTATGTACTATGCTGATGTTTTTATGTAAGGCTGGTTTTTTAATAATTCTTTGTTTGCGCGAATTAGAATGCAAAAAAAAAATACAACTGAATTTCCTATTTTTAGTTCAAAGGATAATTAAGGTGGCACCAAGTGCTACCAAGCATGCAGCCAAGCTAACCACAATTGGGTTAGTTCCTTTAGCCGGTAACCATCCAGTACCTGGGGGCGATAATGGCAATCCTCCATTAGCACTTTCGGTAGTTTTAGAATATGTTCTAACTTTACCAACGGTACCAGAAATAGAACCCATACCAACTGAACCAGCTGGAACTGTAGTAGTACTAGTCCACAAAGATTGGAAGAGTTGAGAGTATGTGGCTTGTGTAGTTCTAAGGATCCCTAATGAGTCGGTACCTGTGACCCAAACCATGGTTGGTTCAACAGATGTAGTTGATGCGGATACCGAGCTAGTGGTAGTAGCAGCATGAACGATGGAAAAGATCATCATGAACACGATTTGTAACGAGAGTCTCATATTGTAGAGTATATGTGTAGATGGTAGATATGCAAAATAATGGATTAAACTTGAGATCCCACTCAAAAATAGAGAGACAAGGGTGGTTGATCGATTTAATTTTCTTGAAATCAAAGATGGGATTCGGGACACTATATGTATTGACGTATCTCCCATCGCGATTCCGTCGTAGTCGTTCTTTAACCCCTTCTTCCAAGCATGCCTATTATATAGCGTGTGACATCTTCATGCATCTGCACGGTTGCAGATGGCGACACAAAGGGAAAAAGAATACGCAGCTTTTTGCACATATTAATTCCGTCGTACTCGCCCCGTATGTATGACATAAGTAATCCTCGATTTTTACTGCATGGACACTAAAGCTACAGCATCGAGACTTCTTTTCTTAGCTCAGGTACTGCCTCCTACAGAGAATATCGCATTACTAGCCTATTTTTCCAAGAAATTATAACCACAAGCCTTGTCCAAGACTTATAATTTTTCTCGGTTTCTGATACGATTCTGTAACTTGATGCATAGGCGCTCACAAGAAAAATAAATTGAAAATTAAACAATCAATGACTATAAAAAAATACAGGTACTGGTTCGGAGCCTCTGACGGGAGATAGGGTATTTTTATTATGATTACAAAAAAATTGAAAATGTTTTTCCGGCCACCTATCATGTCAAGAATATGAATTCCTTTTCTTTTTCAAGAAATATGTATCCCTCTTAAACTTTCCGGACTTTCAAGATCCTTCCTTGAACGAAAGAACAGTTCAGTGAAGTTACATCTGAATCACCCAAAAAATCTAGTCAAATCCAAGAACTATAAAATACGAGAAATACCTTAACGCCGCTGGTGTATTATAGTCTTTTTTTTTGACAGTTTTATTGATGCAGAACATCACCCATTGTCACTTTACCTTTATTTCTTTTTATTGATATTAAGCCCCTCTATCGTAAATTTCGAGAAAAAAATTAAAATGCCAACCCTCTAAAAAGAAAAAAAAATATAAGTCACAAAAATGATGTCACACACAAAACTTGGTGTACACCAGGATGCAGATTCCTCATTACGCGTTGTTCAAAGAAGTAAATAATACTTGGCTTACACGCGTATGTGCTGAGGATAGTGATGGTTGTTTGGTGCTTAGATAAAGTAATCCAAGGCCGGCTTTTTGGATGGAATGGAGGTAACATCTTGGGTTGCCGCTTCAAACACTTTGTAGTTTCTTGTAAGATCGTCATCAATCGTAAGGACCAGGGCCAAGTTGCCACATCGGTAACAATAATTTGGAGCACTCCAAACTGTCACTAACCCTTGATCAAACATTTCCTTGTAGCCCTCCATCACCAACTGATGTGCTCTTGCGATAAGAGAAATGTCATTAACTTGTAGAAATTTGTCCACTTCGTTTTTCCCAAAGAGATATCCAGCACCTCTTGGACTAATGGCCCATCCAGGGACATCTTCAGGATCTGACCATAAAAGATCGCACATTCCTCCCTCATGTGGCACTTCTTGTTTCCTATCTAGTACTCTGATTTGATTTATGGTTTCTATATCTGGACTAAGTCCTCCATGTATACAGAATACACCTCCCTTACCACCAACGACTGCACCCAAGGAAAGATAATCAAATACTTCACAACAATATCTCCACACATTAACTGAACCATATTTTCTTATACATTCATCATAAAACCCATACACGGTGGTTATTTGTCTGGATTCATGATTTCCTCGTATAAGGGTGATTCTATCAGGATACCTTACTTTCAATGCCAAGAGTAATAGGAAACTTTCTAATGAATAGAACCCTCGATCGACAAAATCACCCAAGAATAAGTATCTAGTACCTGGACATTTGCCACCAGTTTTGAAGAGTGTAATAAGATCGTGCAATTGTCCATGGATGTCTCCACATATGGTAACTGGGGTATCCACTTGTTGAATATTAGCCTCATCAATCAACAACTCTATAGCCTTGGTACACAACTCTTCCACATCTTTCTCTGGAATATGTTTGCAGGCATGTATGGCCTCAATGGTTCTAATCGTATTGTTAGTATTAGAAGAAAAAAAAGCAAACACATGCTCTCTATTAAAAACTTTCTCAATATCTTTCCCAAAGTATTTGTATCTGAATTAACTTCTTTTGCATCCCCACTCCCTTTAAGCAAACAGCCCATACAGAGAGAGAACGCACCCTATTTTACTCACTCGTCAAGGTCAAGCATGCTATACTAGAAACTATTCTTATTCTTTAATATTGTTTACCTTGTATAGTGTTGATGGTAAAACATATATGACGCGTATAGTACATGCAGGAAATGCTACTTATATATATATATATATATATGTAAATCTACTTCTTCCCCTTTCTACATAACCGAATATGAGTTACATAACTTCAAATTAGATTTAATTATTTATTCTCTATTATACATTTATATTACATATTCAACCCATGGTCTTGGCCCTATTACAATGAAATATTACTCTCCCATACTCTTGTCTTGCTTTGCCTCTTTATTATATTTTTCTTATGATTAAGCCCTTACTCTTCTTGGCAAGGTATACTTGGCAAATGACTTTTGAAGTTGTCTACGTACAGTAATCTTTTGAGCACCAACGAAACTATCAATACTCACCTTGATAGCACGATTCAAATCGTCAGTACTGACGAAATCAGAAAGTCTCATTTTGGCAAAACTTTCAGCCGTTCTAATGATACTTTCTAAATGACGAACAGTAATTGGGAAAGATCCAGTAGAAATAGATTCTCTTCTTAAGTCAGCATAAAGACGTTCAACTTTTTCATTATCCATTTGATGTAACCTAGGTTGAACCTTGAGTCTAGCGTAATTAATATACTTTGAAAGTAAATCTTGAGCAATTGGTGAAATTTCATTCTCTTTCTCTTTATTTAATTGATTAATTTTTTGTGTTCTTGTTTGTTTACTCTTTTCACCACTAATATTTTCATCTTCACCTTGATTAATATCCATATCATTGGTATCATCTTCTAATTCTTCAGCGTTAGAAGGATGGGATCTCATATGAGAATCAACCACAAAACTAGCAAGTCGTTCATCAACTTCAGGGTCAACTAAATCTCTAACAACACATAAAATATCAAATCTGGATAAAATTGGTTCAGTTAAATCAACGTTTTGTGCAAATGGTAAAGTTGAGTTATAACGTCCTCCATTAGGATTGGCAGCTGCAATGATTGCACATCTGGCTCTAAGAGTAGTCACAATACCCGCCTTAGAAATAGAAATAGATTGTTGTTCCATAGCTTCATGAATAGATGTACGATCTTGATCATTCATCTTATCAAATTCATCAATAAGACAAGTTCCCTTATCAGCCAAAACTAATGCACCACCTTCTAATGTCCATTCTCTAGTAATAGGATCTTTTCTAACACTGGCAGTTAAACCAACAGCAGAAGCACCTTGACCAGTGGCAAACACTGCTCTATTGGCGGTCTTTTCAGCATACTTCAAGATTTGAGATTTAGCAGTACCCGGATCACCCAAAAGTAAAACATTGATATCACCTCTAATGGAATGCTTACCATTAACATCTTTAGAAACACCACCAAATAAAGAACATGCTAATGCAGTTTTAATATCCTTATGGCCATAAATAGAAGGAGCCATTGAAGAAATAATCTTATCAATGATACCTGGTTGACGAGAAAGTTTTCTAAATTCACGCTCATCTTCTTCAGTCCATAAACTGTTTACACCAGATCCACTACCACTTCCACCTTCTCTTCTATTGATAGAGTTGGCTTCCAAAACTGTGGCAAACACTGGGAATCCGTTCTTAGCATTAAGCTGACCATCGTAGTTATTTTTATAAACTGCAGTAACTTCAACTTCTTCACCAGGTTTGGCAACATCTACCAAATCTGCCAATAAAATAACTTCTCTATGTCTTGGTAATCTACCAGGAGGAACAGTTCCTGGAGCTTCTTGTAAAGTGATTCTTTGATAATTTCTGTATAATGTTTTCTCAGAATTTAATTTGAATGGACCCTTCAGTCTACAATTAGTACAGAAGGAAATACGAACTTCAATGTTGGAATCTTGCATGAATGGACCCAAAACAACCCCACATTTAAGACAATCAAACTTAATATACTTCAATTGTGGGAAAACACCGGTTCTTCTTGTAACTACCCCACTAACTTTAACTAAAGAGTTTAAGTTATTTTCTCTTAAATCTCTTAAATTTAACAAGTTAGGGAAATGAGTAATTCTAACATGAATTTCTTGATGAATTTGAGAATAATTTGGATAATGTAATTCTGTAGCTTCCATGGCAACAATATCAAAAATTTTCAAGACTTCTTCCGGAGAAGTTGCTAAAAACAATGCTAAAATCGCCTTTGATTCTGCCAAATGTTGGTACGATACTTCCAATGATTCAGAGTTAAGTTCACCCAATGTTCTAATACGAGCACCATAAACAGAACGACCATGTTCATCAGTATATTCCAATAAGAATGATTTTAATTCTCTTGCAATTGATCTGGAAACTGCTGGTTGAAGAACCCATTCGGTAATACTTGAAGCCTTAATATCAGTCAAACTTTCAAGAGATAATTCTTCATTGAATGGATCGATTTCCATATCATCTTCTTCTAAGTCATCTTGATCTTCATCATATTGTCTTCTTCTTCTTCTTTGAATTGGTAATCCGAATTCATTAGTTCCACCTTCGAGATCATCATCTTGGTCATCATCAAGAAAAGCTTGACGTCTTGAACGATTGGCGTTGCCTGCACCGCCAAGAAGCTCGTCTCGACGGTTCAATTGATTATCTATTCTTCTACGAGTGGCAGCATCCATGGCATCATATTCCTCATCATCAATATTATCACCTAAATCATAATGATCTTGAGTTGTGTTTCTTTGGTAATCATTTTCCATATTTTCCATCAAATCTTCACCTTCATCCTCATCAGATGGATTCAAATCGGCAACATCGTTATGAATTTCATCTTCTTCATCCAAATCATCAAATGGAATGGCTGGTGAAGATGGTGGTAATTGTGGACTTGAATGAAGTCTTGGTGATGAACCAGGAATCATATCGTCATCATCATCTTCGTTCTGTCTCTTTCTCGAGTTACGTGGTGGACTTGACATCTCGATATAGATATTCTATGGGTAATCTGTTTTAATAAGTTCAAGTTCTTCTAAAGGAAAGATATGTTTTAAAAAAAAAAAATAGGTAAGAGGCTCACTGAGACATTGTGAAAACGCGTCTAATTAGCCAGTTTTTTTCCTCTTTGGGATGGAAAGTATCAATAACGCGAGCTTTTAAAAAAAAATAAAAAAAATTGCGCAAACCCGGAATCGAACCGGGGGCCCAACGATGGCAACGTTGGATTTTACCACTAAACCATTTGCGCGTTTCTATTGAAATCGAATTCGCTTCACTTTGCCCGACCAGATGACCCAAATAGACCGAAAACGCCGATTTAATGGCCTATAACGTAACATAGGTGATATATTATTACATTTAATTAATAATTAGTAAGTTTATATATGAATCAGCTTTAGTTTAACTCATTTTAAACCAAACTATGGTAGAATTTGCCACTCCCTATTAATTAAGCTTTTAGGTGTTATATACAGTATTTCCAGTTGTACCGGGTTTTCATAGAGCGCATAGATTAAACCAATATGTAAAGGACACGGAGATTCCTCAAGAAACATATATCCAATTGAATTAATTTTTGATTCTTCTTCATTTTTTCTATTTTGATTACTAGTAATACAATACCATGGAAAAGTTTGGATTTAACAAGGTTTCAAATAAGCCATCAGCTGGGAATCCTTCGATCTCCCACTTTCAACCAGTTGCTCAGCCACTGTTCAGAAAGAAGCAACTTCGTATTGATAGCTCGTCAGCCAACATATATGCCCTTTCAAACAAGGTCACTGTTAACCCTCATGATTTTGCTGACGTTCCTGACAATGCTATTGTCTTATTAGATGGATATTTCGCATATCAGATCGCCAAGACTGATGCTATGGCTGTTGGTCTGGTTGGATTGGCAGCTGATATGAGAGCTTGGGGTAAATGGTCACTTCAACAACCAGTTATTGTTGAACCATATCAAATCTCCAATGCTAATCAGAACTATCTTGGTTCGGTTGATATTTCTATTGCATTCAGAAGTAAAAGTAAAGCTAATTCAAATCCAATCAATCATGATGAACTTATTGAACATTTCCTTAATATTTATCAAAATCAAGTAATTCAACCAACACAACCGATTGTTATGGATTTTAAAGCACAGATATTCTCCTTGAATGTTCTTTCAGTTCAAGCAATTGATATTGCTCTGTCTAGTAATTCATTGGCTGATGTTAAGATCTCTACTGGGATTGAAACTAAGGGAATCCTTATTAAGCAAACTATTGTAAACTTTTATCCTGAAGAAAATGCAACCATCAATATTTCTAAACCTGCTGGTTCTAAATCCAAGAATATACTGAATAAACCAAGGGCAAACCCAATTATAAACCCAGATTTTAAATTGGAAAGTATGGGTATTGGTGGGTTAGATAAAGAATTCTCACAAATTTTTAGAAGAGCTTTTGCTTCAAGAATTATTTCTCCAGATTTAGTAGAAAAATTGGCCTTAAGACATGTTAAAGGTTTACTCTTATATGGACCTCCAGGTACTGGTAAGACTTTGATTGCCAGACAAATTGGTAAGATGTTGAATGTTAAAGAACCAAAAGTTGTTAATGGTCCAGAAATGTTATCCAAGTATGTTGGTGCCTCAGAAGAAAACATTCGTAACTTGTTTAAAGATGCTGAAACTGAATATAAGCAAAAGGGTGAAGCTTCCCAATTACATATTATTATTTTTGATGAATTAGATTCTGTTTTCAAACAAAGAGGATCTGCCAAATCTGATGGTACTGGAGTTGGTGATAATGTTGTGAATCAATTACTTGCGAAGATGGATGGTGTTGATCAATTAAATAACATCTTGATCATTGGTATGACCAATAGATTAGATTTGATTGATACAGCATTGTTAAGACCAGGTAGATTTGAAATTCAAATTGAAATTTCACTTCCAGATGAAAAGGGTCGTAAGGATATTTTATTAATTCATACAAAGAAAATGAAAGAAAATGACTTACTTGCCTCTGACGTTAATTTTGATGAATTGGCTGTATTGACTAAGAATTTCACTGGTGCTGAATTGGAAGGTTTGTGTAACTCTGCCACTTCATTTGCTATCAATAAATTCACCAAGAGTGATTCTATTGCTAAAGTTGATGAAAACATTGCCAAAATGAAATTAACTAGAAATGAATTTTTATTGGCTTTGAATGAAGTTAAGCCAGCATTTGGTGTTAATGAAGAAGATTTAACTAAACATTCACCACATGGAATTATTCAATTCTCTCCAAGAATCAAGAGTATTTTTGACCAAGGACAATCTTTTATTGAAGAAGTTAAGACTTCAGAAACTGAACAATTGATTTCCATATTATTATATGGACCTCCAGGATCTGGTAAGACTGCTATTGCCTCCACTCTTGCCTTAAACTCAGACTTCCCATTCATTAAAATGCTTTCTGCTGAAACTTTGGTTGGTATGTCTGAAGCAGCAAAAATTCAAGCTATTGATACTATTTTCAGAGACGTTTATCGTTCTCCATTAAACATTCTTGTTATCGATAAAATTGAAACTTTAATCAACTATAATCCAATCGGTCCAAGATTCTCTAACGATATTTTCCAACAAATTAAGGTCAATTTGAGTAGAAAACCACCTGGAGGAAGAAGACTTTTAATCATTGGTACTACTTCTCAATATACTGCATTGAAACATATGGATGGTTTAGATGGGTTTACTAAAACCATTCCAATCAATCAAATCACTAAACTTGATGAACTTCGTAAAGTTATGGAAAAAATTGGATTCATGTCTGAAGGAGAAAGAGCAGAAATTACTAAACAATTGGCTGAGGTCTTCTCAAATTCTGAATCCATGCAAGGTAATGGCTCCAATCAACTCGCTATTGGTATTAAGAAATTGTTGCAAGTCTTGATGAATTCTCAATATTTGAAAGCAGACGTCGATGGAGTTGTCCAAAATATCTTGGAAGCTCACATTCAATAGTTAATAAATACATAGAGTAATCAAAATTTTGAATCTTATTATTTCCTTTATTTTTATTTATATTCGTCATCACATGTAAAGGGTAAACATCGTACTTGATAATATTACAAAGTACGTGCAACCAGGTGAGATTGGTAGGTTATACATATATAATATACATACACTTAATCAAGAGTTACTTTTAATTCTTCAGCAGTCAACGGAATGAATCCATCTAAGGATTTTTTCCCACTTCTCAAATTTATTCTCCCCAATGCAAAATCTGGAACTAAATGATGATTTAAATCCGTATTCACTGAAAATTCACGATCATCAAAATCAAATAATTCTGGTAATTCTCTTGAATCAGGTTGTGATTCATATAATTGATAATTTGCTGCGTTGGAAGAATAAGAATTTGAACTGTTATTATGATTATAGCTTTGGTTTTGTTGTTGGGAAAATAACTTTCTATAATTTGGTAGCTTTGTTTCCTCACTTCTCAATTCATCAAAGTATGGATCACACAATGCCTCAATACATGAAACTCTATCAACAGGTGAATATTGTAAAACTCTGCTCAAAAATTGAATACAATCAGATGACATTTTTCTAAAAATCTTAGATAATGGGATTGGTTTAATTTGTGGGAAGGTGTACTCAACATAGTTTGGGTTCATGTTTTTTATTTGATCTCGAGATGGAGTTCCAAGAATCTTGATAATTTCAACCAATTGATCAATACCCAGTTCACCTGGGAAAAGTGGTTGTCCTAAAATCAATTCAGCCATAACACAACCTGCTGACCAGACATCAATCTTGGTGGTATAGTTGGTAGCACCAAAAATCAATTCAGGAGCTCTATAATAACGAGAACAGATATATGATACATTTGGTTCATTAGGGTTTAATATTTTGGCAGAACCAAAATCACAAAGCTTTAATACACCACTGGTTGGATCAATTAACAAATTTTGTGGTTTAATGTCACGATGACAAATCCCTTGAGAATGGATGTAATTAAGAGCTCTCAACATTTGATAAGTATACAACTTGACTTCAAGTGAAGGCATCAGTAATCTTTTGGAAACATAATAATGCAGAGCCTTGTATAATGTTTCCGGAACAAATTCAAGAATTAAATTAAGATAAAGTTCATTTTTTTCATTATTGGTATAAAAATAATGTTTTAAATCAACAATATTTCTATGGTGAACTAATTTCATAATTTGAAGTTCTCTATTTTTAAATCTTTTATCTTGTAAGACTCTTTTTATTGCTGCAATTTCATTTGATGGGACTAATTGAGTTTGAAAAACAACCCCAAATGAACCATGACCAACCATTTGAGATTGGGTGTATTGTATGGTTTCTGGTTCCCCAGTACGTCCATTATTAACGGTTTCTGTGACAACTTCTACTTTGGACATGTTAGTAAATATTCTCCTTATATATGACAAGTTCTAGTTCTGTGCAAAATGAAATCAAGAGTCAATAGAAATGAAGGTTAATCTAGCAAGTAAAAAAAATGCTGAAATATGGATAAACAGAGAATTGAAAAGTTTATAAGATTGCTATCAAGGACTGTAAAACAACAAAAATCCAAGTAATCAATGACGGTTAATAAGATTCTCTGAAACAATCAAAAAGCCAACGTAATCACTTGATGCCAACTAACTGGAATACCGCAACTTTATGAAAAAACAAAAAATAAATGAATGTATATGTGTGTGTGTGTGTGTAGGATTGGGTTTGCGGTTGATGATTCCTTCCAGTTTGTTGATCTCTTGGCGTCTTCAAAAACGGTGTAGGTCTTGCAATGGGACAATCACTCAGAGGTATAAGCACCAATTACAAAGTAGTGTAAATAAATGGCCTTCTTTCAATAGAATTGAGGTAATTGATCTGAAATGGGAAAGAAGCAAATTTGGTGTGTTTTAATCACTTTTCGTGGAGGAGGAGGTGGGAAGCTGAGAGGGGGGCGTGCGCAACCCGAATTTCGGGTCACGCCAAAATTCAGTGAGCAAAACTATTGAGGTTGATGCACGCACATTTCCCTTATTATGGTTCGTATTGTGGGGTACATCAGAAGATGCACAAAAAAATTGGGAGAGAAAAAAAGTTTTAATGCGCCAATGGAAAGGTTCTATTCCTAATTGTTTTGGTTGATCTCTTCTGACGGCATTACCCTTAATTCATTTTGTATTTTAATTCTTTAGTAATTTTGAATTTATCAATCTTAAAATTAGTTGCAAGGTACATCCACACACCCATGTTCTCCCCTATGGTTTATTGTCCCCACTTCACGAATGCAGGACCTTTTCGGTGCTTCCCCGCATTTTCCACATAATTTATGATTTGGTTGTAAAGTAAAACTTATCTTCAATGTTTCGCAGATGGGAAAATTTTAATCATCATCAGACGGCAAAACAATGTACATAAAATATTATACAGGATTCGTAACCCAGTTCCCATCCTGATTTCAAATCATACAGCATTCAACACCTTGCGTTGCATAAAGATAAGGAGGGGCGATCCATATCACCAGCAAGGATCATTCAGTTCATCCATCACACTTTCCATTCCCGAAATTCATATTGGTCAGCCGCATAGACCTTTGTTGCTTTGATAATAAAATAGAATAAAAAAAAAAGGAAAGAGATAAAAATAAAAAAAAAATAATTTGCACAGACTCACACATGAACTTCCTCGAAACCCAAGGTGTCAACAAGGGATGGGTCTGTTCATGTGTAAATTCTCCAATAATGTAGTTCTGTAAAATTGTTAATACGTACCAACTTGTTCGCTTTGTCTTCTGCCATCACTGACTTTCAATTTGTTAAATAATGATTTTGTTCTGCTCTTGGTCATGTTCAGTCTAGTTTGATCGTATGAAGACGATGTATGTAATGCCAAGGACGATGTTCTTGTAGGGGATCCTGATCCGTCACTATTTTCTGATCTCAAAAGACTTCTAAACTTTGTAGCAATGGAATTATTACGAGACTTCACACTGCGACGAGTGAATGAATCGTGGGGGATCAAAGTTGCTGCAGAATCAAAAGGATCTTTAAATTGAAGCCCCGTATCATCGGGATATCTACCAGTAGAGTTTCTCATTGGAACATGATTAGTGGCCTTATTATTGTTGGTTACTGGAATCTCTACTGGTACCGGGTCTGCTAAGGGTTTATCCCAATCTTTGCAAAGTTTAACTGAAGTGGCGGGTTCATTCCCCCTTTTTATAACTCCTTGATCATGACGAAGTGTATTCATTTCTACCCGATGTTCCTTACGAAGCTCCTTCTTTTCTTCTCTTTGGTCCTTTTTAAGTTCCTTTTTCTCTTCCTTAAGAACCTTGTGTAACATCCTCTTCTCCTTTCTACGATCTTTACATGATGGGATGTTTCCCTTTTCAACCTCAAGTGAATCTGACACCGCTTGTCGAGCTGCAGATCTCTTGACATGATCGTTTGCTTTAGAATAAATAGGCTTATTGGCTATCAAGTCCTTGATTACAGGTGTTGAATAATCATAGTTATGGAAATATTTTGGGTAATATTTATGGATTTGAAACTTCTCCTCGAGTTCTTCATAATCAATAGTAGTTGCCTGAGGATTGTAGCCAGGAAGCTTGTTCTTGATAAGGCTAGCCATTATTTATAAAGTGTTGATGCTGATGCAGTAAGTTATATTAAGACGTAATGGAATTTACGGGATTAATATGAGATAATAGTTCAGGTTTTTTCTATTTGTCCTGAAAGTAATGCTATAATATAAGAAGAAAGATCCAAAGTATAAAATCTAAATAATTTTATTCCTAGTTTATATCACTCAGGTTGTAGTCACCAAAATAATCATTCTCCACAAATCTCAATCTTTTTTTTTTTTTTCTTTTCATTCACGCATTTCACTTTTTAGTATATGTGGAACTCCACCCTGTTTCATAAACGAAAAAGCACATGTGCATATATCCGTCATCACTCTTTCCGGGAAATTTTTCCGGGATCATATACTAAATTTTATTCATATTTGCCCTCACTTCATAATCTGAACTCATCATGTCTGTTCTTACTTAACTTTATCAAACATATTCAGCTCAAAATTGATCATTCACTCTCTTTTTTTATTAAAATTTCTTTTTATTTTCGTTTGCTTCTTTCATGGGCACAATGAGGGGAGTCTCGGCTTTGTATACAGGATCTGGCATTTTACGAAAAAAATATATTCCCCCCCCTTCTCGAGGGGTTTCATCGGAGTTGACGTTTCAAATGCCACCGGGCTTACATACAGTACGGCTCCAATTTAACCTTCAAATCATTTGCAGAAGATCGATTGGATGATTCATAAATCATCATATTATTCCAAACTTCCAATATATTTTCAGGACATCTAGGTAACATTTCCTTTGCACTCATACGTTTATTGGGTATGAATTCAAATGCTTCAAAGCTTGATTTCCCCTTCATTTCTGGCCAATATAATTCAATGGATGAATTATCGGTAGTAGATGGAGTACCAAAATGGCGGAATATTGAATCAATTAATGCCAAATCTCCACGATTATTTGCATCAAATAAACATTCCAATCCATCATTTGAATAAAGTTTACTGATTACTATTCCAAGACTCCAAATATCGATTTTTGGACCATAATCAGTGAGCCCTAAACATAATTCTGGAGGCTTATACACCCCAGTACATACATCAGTATATTTATCTTGTAGAGGTTCATCCATTGGAGGTGAATCAAGCTGATATATTATTCCAAAATCTCCAAGAATTGGTTGATCTAAACTTTCTTCATTCTTAAAGTAAATGTTAGAAGGTTTAATATCTCTATGGATGATATTACATTCATCATGTAAATATGATAAAGTTTTACAAAGACTATAAAATATTTTCCCAATAGAATCTATGGGGAACTTATTTCTCAATATAGTTTGATTTTTACTTGGATCATTCCAATTATATTTAATGGAAGATTTGACGTTTTTTTCAATCAATTGATTTAAATTGATCTGATAAAATTCCGTAACGAGAATCTTATCGTCTCCAAATGCGTAGGAATCTAAATATTTAAGAATTCCCTTATTTTCTGTATCTCTTTGGTGTTGTAAAAACTCAATTTCTCGTTTGATATTGTGAGGTTTCACCACAAAATCAACATCTACAATCTTCAAAGCAACCAACTTCCCGCTAGCTTGGTCTTTGGCACTGTACACTTGCGATATTGGACCACTATATACCCTAGTTCGGTCTATATATCGTTTATTTTTCTCCATAACCCCAATTCTATTCTATTCCATTGTACTCTCTTTTCACACAAATACATTTTTATTTAAGAATATAATTTCTCATTTCCTACACAATACTCAATTCCTCAAAATTAAAGGGATCACAAGTATCGAGATCGAACCATCAAATGAGCCAATAAAAATATCCAAGCACTAAACTTAAATTAACATAAAGTATTAAACGAAGTCTATATATATACAATATTTCTTTTTTTTTAGTTAAATGTCAAAAGACGTCTCTTTGTTCTTATTCTTGTTCTATTTATCTTTTTCTATTTATTTTGTTTCTATCATGATTCGTTTACCTTTACCCACATTCATCATTCATCTTTGTCTCTTTCTTGTTTTAGAATCGTCAAATCCGTGTCTCTTCGATACTTGTCCTCCAGAAACAATATCATTATCATCCGTATAAATCCGACGTTTAGGATACTTAAAAGTTAATCCTTCAAATGCATTTTCACTAACTGTTGGTTTCTCCAAAAAAAATGAATGAACAAGAGAATTCTCTGCAGTTAATCTTTCTATAGGATCATATGCAAGTAATCCATTCAATAATGCCAAACAAAATTGATTATTTCCTCCAACTGCCTTGTACCAATTAGCCAAATTTGGATTATATTGATTTGGTAATTGTTGTTTAAATGATGAATATTCAGGATATTTATTAAGTGATGGCCAATTATCCAATGTTGGTGATCCCAAAATTTCTATAATCTTTTGAAATTGATTTGTTTGGAATGGAACCAGTTTTTTATTGTTCATATCCATCTTTGTTTCTTCTCCCTTGAATATTGGTCTTAATGATAATAATTCTGCAAGTATACATCCAACCGCCCAAAGATCAATTGCAGGAGTATAATTCCTGGTTCCTAGTAATAATTCAGGTGCTCTATACCAAATGGTAACCACCACTTTATCCCCCGTATATAAACTTTGTAATGGATTATTGAATTTTCTAGCTAATCCCAAATCTCCAATCTTAACTACTCCTCCAGAGGTAACCATAATATTTGCGGGTTTCAAATCTCGATGAAAGATCCAATTCTTATGTAAAAACAAGACTCCATTCAAAATTTGCCAAATTAATGATTTTACCGTTCTTTCAGGAATTGGACGAATCTCAGGATGCAGATGATAATGAATAATTTGTAATAAATCATGTTCACAAAATTCAGAAACAATATAAATTGATTTGTTTTCAAGAAGAATATCAATGGTCTTGGTGATGTTTTTGTTATTAATCTCTCTACAAATTGACATTTCTCGTATAGCTGATTGGGATATTCCAGTATAATGAATGATTTCATTTCCATTTATATCATGATTATAATTTTTATTGCTCAGATGGTTATCATTTTTGAATTTTTTGATAGCAAAAAGTTGATTATCTTCTGTGTTTGTCTTATTACCGGGTAATGAAGATGATGAAGATGATGATGATGATGACAATGAAATGGGTTGATTGTTTGCTGCCATATGCATTGCGTTGGCCAAAGCATTGGGTTGTCGGTTAGGTCCGTTCAAGCCAGTGTGACCAAGGTGATTATTGTTCGATGAATTTGCATTATTTGTAGTCCCTCCAGTGTTATTGGGGTAATTATGGGTCACGTTTGATGACCCGTTGAAATTCCCTCCACCACTACCACCATTACCTCCTCCAACTCCTCCAACTCCTCCTACACCTACTACACCTCCTCCTCCCAAATTCTTATTCAGGTAAAGGTTGTTTGGATGCTTAAAGTTTTGTGAATTCGTTCCAACTTTACCCCCAGAAGTTATCCCTCCAGAATTATCATTATTATTCGTCAAAGGTTGTTTAGGATTTGTGTCCCCATCGGTAAATTCGGTGTCCTTTCCCTCCTGTGGTCGTTTAGATCGGGCCTTATACACCTTCCCGTACGTTCCGGCCGCAATGTATCCGAGAATCTGGTACTTCGATAGAACTGACTCTCTGGTCAAGTCCTTACGATGCTTGTATGGACCGATTGTTAAGATCGCACTCAGTGCCATAAGCGTTGGTTGAGGAATCATAGACATTCCCGAATATCCTCGAGGAAGTGTTCCCGCCTGATTGTTATTTCCAGAGTTATTTGACCCATTTCCCGCCCCACCATTGACGTTGTATCCTTGGTAGTTCATGGCTATGATGTGGAAAAATCTTCAGATGGATGTATATAAATACCAGTTAAACTCAAGTCATGTCCCGTTGGTCCATCTATAAATCTTATCAGACTGCAGACAATCACAATTTTTCTTGACTGTAACACAATTCTAATTTTTTTTTTTTTTTTGCTTTTGCGACTTTTTTATTTTATTTTACAACCATACAAACAAAAGTAGGGCAAACATAATTGTCATTAAAACTAGGTATACGTATATACTATATATTGTGAATTTCTTCTTTATTTTGTGTGATGTGTGTGTATGTGGTTTAAAAGTCTCTTTATTTGTAAACTCTATCGTCATCCTTACCTTCTAATTCACCTCTGATAGTTTCCATTTGAACGGTTTGTTCAGCCCAAACCTTCTTATCATCAGAAGTCTTGGTGTCTTTTACGAATAAGTTATCATCAGGTCTTCTGTAGGAGTTACCAATTCTATCCCACAAAGTAGTGAATTGACCATAATTATAGTTGAAATATAAATGATGAACGGTATGACATGCAGTACCATTGACGAATGGATCATTGGATAAATATTGACCATCATGAATCATTACAGTCCAAAAGTTAACAAAGGTGAAAAGAAGCAAGTATGAAACCTTGTGTAATGGGAACATGAATGGGAACCAATGATATGGCAATGATTGGAAAAATCCATCAACTGGATGGAAAGCATGGGATGCAAATGGTGTGCACACAATCCACTTGTGGTGTGGCTTATGTAAACGCTTATAAACAGAAGGCCAATGTAACCATCTATGAATTAAGTAAATAAAGCAATCAGTGAAAAGAATGAAACATGGAATTTGAGTCCAAATAGCTTTCCAACCTCCAGTAGATTCATTAATATCCATGTATAATTTAGAAAATCCATTAATTTCAAGTAGGAAAAATGGAAGAGTTAATAAAACCATAACTGGAATAGCAGTAGAAGCCCTTTCAATTTCCAAATAAATTTGATTCTTAAGATATCTTGGATGGTTGAAAATCTTCTTATCAAATACGAAAATATAAGAAAGATAAGCTACTGTAAAGTAAAGTACCCATCCAAAGATAGCAGTTACTAAAAACATCGATAAACCTTCTCTCAAAAGATTTGAACGAGGTAAAAGTGAAGCATTTGTGTAGATGGATTCTGGGAGATATCTTGGAAGTCCATAAATCTCATCCTCTCTTTGCATATTTGAGAATGTATTTCCAACAAACTTTACCGCTTCACTAATGAAGGTGGATGTGGTATCGGTACCATTGCCGGTACTAAATTGAAATGGAGCCGATGCAATCTTGAGCTTCGATGCAAACACATCAGGAAGTTGGGTAGATGCTGGAAGAACCTTGGCATAGACTCTATCAAAAAGATAGTAATCACAAATTTCTAGCACAATATCCATTTTCGTCTATACTATTATATCTTCAAGTATGGTTAGATACCGTTGTATATATCTCTATAAGAGTATCTATCGGAAAAAAAGGACTAGTTCTGGCTTTATATTAATTAAAAGAAACAAAAACATTCCATGTTTAAGTATACGATGTAAACGAGTTCCTGGCAGGATGGGCCGAAAATCGAAATTACACAAAAAAAAAAATAAAAAACTATTAAACGAGATATACGAGATATAAGGTGATGTACATAAACGATCCAAAGTAGACCAGTTTGATTGAGTTTGTGTTGCAAATGGCAGAGCGAGATAGTTTATGATAAATATATATTTGTGTATATATCTTTCTCGATGATTTGAGGTGTGTCTAAGTACATATAACTCTAATCTACCGCTTAGATTTTGTCTTTTGAGTTCCATAGATTGTGATTCTAGGAGGCAATGCGTTGCAGTCCACGCGCACAAAGTCTAATCCAAATACTAAGCTGATGTTCCAAAATACGAATGTCACATCATTTGTATGGGGTATATCTAACAACACATGATGTACGGCTTCTCTATGCAAATTTCCCAAGGTATATCAGTCGTCCAATGTCAAAAAATGCGCCATCGTAAAGTAAATGTATTAGTTCTCTTACACATAAAAATATGACCTGAGTTTAACATTTGTTATTGTTTTTCTATCGCTAAGCATATCTCTTTTAATGTTTATTCATTTGACAATTGATGTAATGATATGGGCATGCGCTTATCTATAATTTGTACTACTCGTTTGATTAGCGGCTGCGAAATGGAAAGTAAAGTAATGAGGTGAAACCTATTCGCCCTTATTCTTCCATCTTCTCTTCTTCTCAGTGCCCTCTAACTCTCAGTCCACGTTGTTTCTTACTTCAAAATGTTCGATTAAATAAAATATTATATGTATATACAGAATTGTCATGTCATTAGAACAGTTACACTCCACCATCTGGAGGTTGGTCTGACTTTAATTATTAGTTCAGATTTTTGTTCTTTTAGACCCCTTCGTAAATAGTAGCACCCTTATTTCAGTTCAGGTCTTTGGTTAATTCTTTCGAAATTAATATCCTTCAAGATCTGTTGAGCACCCTTTGCAATCAAGAGATCTCCCAATTGAATTCCAACTGCGTTAGCTTCTTCCTTACTGGTAACCTTTGCGCAAACTTCATCCTCAACAGAACTGGTTCCATCTGGAGAAACAACCAATCCTTTCAAAGTTAATTTTTGAGATTCTTCATTGTATGTAGTGTGGACACCAATTGGTACGGAACATCCACCTTCTAAGTATCTCATAAGCGATCTTTCAGCGTAACATTTGTAAGCGGTGGATGGATCTTCAAGAGTATCTAAAAGCTTTTTTATCACCATATCATCTTTTCTGATTTCAACACCAAGGGCACCTTGTCCAACTGCATAATACATTTCTGGGGCATCCAAACGAGAAGTGATTCTGCCACCCAAACCAGATCTATCTAATCCAGCAGCTGCAAGTAATAAACATGAAAAGATTCCTTCTGGGTCGTCTAACTTTCTAAGTCTAGTTTGAACATTTCCTCTTACAGAGTCAAATTTTAATTTTGGATAATGCTTCATAAGTTGTGCAGATCTTCTAACTGAACTTGTTCCTACTACCGATCCATCTGGGAGTTCTGCAAGACTCTTATACTTGGAGCCTTGCTTCATGACCAATGCATCTCTAGGATCTTCTCTATCAAGTATACAACCAAGTTCAAATTCTTCTGGTAAGTTAGTTGGCATATCTTTAAGTGAATGAACAATTAAATCTAATTTTGGGAATTCATCCATTTCTTCAAGCAAAAGAACTTCGAGTTCTTTAGTCCATAATGCCTTCCCTCCAAATGAGTATAAAGGTTTGGATTGAACCTTGTCACCAAGAGTACTCAAGGCTAAGATTGAACAACTAAGTTCTGGATATTTCTCTTCAATTATCCCCTTAACAATTTCAGATTGTACCACAGCCAAGGCGGATTTTCTACCCCCGATTTGAACGTGGTTATTAGGAATGTTGAAAGTCATGATGCAAGTGAATAAATTAATACAGAGTGTTTCTCTGTCAATGAATGATACAAAGTTTGGATGGAAAAAGTTTTGATTTCTTTAAGATCTTTATGTGTCTTCCTCTAGAAATTTATTATAAAAGAAAATCAATAAAATTATAAATACAAAGATCTATCTAGAGTTTCAAACAAGGTTGTCTATAATGCTTTATGTATGTAAACTAAGAGAACTGAAAAATATCCAACATCTGAAAGTAAACTTTTTCTCCAACGTCATATTGTGATCAGAGTGAGAAAAAAAAAAATCTTAAAAAATATTAAAAAAAAATAAAAAAAACAGTTGGATCATGTGATTTCTTTAAGGTTAAAATCGGATCAATTGCCGAATTACATTGATTGAAATGGTCATAAAGTGGTTTTTTTCGTACGCACTATTTAATGTCAATGCGAAATATTTCCATAATTGGAAGGAAGATCCCGGGTTCGGGTATTATCAAGTCAACTATCAATTTAATAGATTTGCATAATGATAATGAACAAATGAAAGTTAGTCAGATGCAATACTTCGATAATGTAAAATAAATCTCATACTATAGGTTTTACCAATTTTTTAGTGCTATTTTAACAAATCTTTTTTTTTTCCCACTCTTATTTCATTTTCAAAAGTAAATTATATGTATGTAAATTAATTTGGTTGCAATATGGTTGCAATAAATCTCTATATAAATTTCTTTATAAAAAACCATCTTTATTCTTATTACACTTCATCATCTTCCACGTCACTTATGGATCCTATTGAGGTTACTGACAGAACCTCACTCAATGAAGCTTCAGGAATATTATAGATATCTCCCAAGTTATCATTATCACTTGTTAACCGAGTCTTTACCAGCTGTATCTCCTCGTCATCGTCTCCTTCACCCTCCCCTTGACTTTGGTCTTCTCTTAAATTCTTTTCCTTTCTATTTACAACTTCACTAAATAATGTTTCAATTTGAAGAAGCTTTTCCATGATTTCTGTTTCATTGCGTACATCTTTATAAGTACGATCCTTTAATCGTTTGGTTTCAGTTTTAATACTATCAAATACGTTGACTCCTTCATTCTGACCATATCTTCGGTGAAGCATTTCATCGATGAATAAAGAATCAGTGGAAGCACTTTTAAAATTTCCAAGAGTACTGATAGATTGAATGGGAATTAACGAATTTCCAGCAGGTATTCCAGAGGGATCATTAGTCAAACTATGCTTTCTAACAGACGAATGCTCTCGACCAAATGACGCCTTTCTACCTAATATTCCACCCTTATTATGGAATATATCTGCAGAATCATCGTCAAATCTATTGATATCCGATTCATAATCCATTTCCTTCTTCAAAAAAGTAAAATTCTTTTTACTTTCTTTATCCTTTTGATCTCTTCTAATCAACTGACTAATTGATAGTTCATATAAGTAAATTAATAGTAAGATTGGGAACTTAAATAAATCCATCATCCAATTAATTATCGCAAATGCCTTTAAACTAAATTTCCAAATAATTTCACATACCAAATTAGTATATAATGGATTTTCATTATTCCACTTGTATGTTCTTTTCATGAATATTTTAGATGTTTGTTGATAAATAACAATATTTGTAGCCTTAAAATAATGAAATTCTTCCTTGTTTGTGGCAGAAATCTTATTGAAAACTTCACTTAAAACAATTGCTAAAATAGTTGCAATTACAAATTGAACTAAGAACAAGTACCCCAATTGAGTTACTCTTCCCAAATTATTATAATTACCCCAATTATCCCAAATTGCAGGGGTGAAACCAAAAAAGACCTTCAACATATCAAAAAGAATCATGGAATTGGGCCTGTCAATAGATAAGGATATGAAACTAATATAAAACCCACTAATCAATGATATGAATAGACAAAATAAACCAATCATTTTCCAAACCATTCTTTTGAATGATAATATAATCATATTGAAAAATTCATAATTATTAAAGATTGAAAGTATTCTTGGTAATAAAACAATTGATATGATACTAAACAAGTTTCGAAATACATCTTGTTCAATTATTGAAATTCCGGATCCCCCTAAAAATAATGATAACCTAATTAAGCCAACAAAATCTAACATAAGAATTAATATTAAATCAATATATGTCCATAGGATCTTCCTTAAGAATTTGAATCGAATATTATTCAATTTTATGAAGTTTTCATAATTATAGTTTAATGCTAATAACCAAAATTGTACTTCCAATAAGTTTATAAATGTCCCATGAACTTGATGTTTATGTTTCAAAATCAACATAAAGTATAATATAGTTAACATGATTAACTTTAAATTAATCACCAACGATTGATATTTCGGTACTATTTCCGATCTACGTTTAATTAAACTCATAGTTATTCGTTTGAATTGATAATTTGAAACGTTGTCCAGACTTAGTAGCTGTTGTTCGGAGTCATTATTGAGGTTTTCTTGGTCATGAGTTTTAATGGTTATATCTCCATTGTATATTTTATCCATAGTTTGTATTATGATCGGTTGTGAAAGAAATTTTTTCGATTTAGATAGAATAGATAATTCTAAAGTATTAAATTGATCTTGACCCAATGGCTTAATGAATAACATATTGACTCGTTCATATGATTTATATTCTCTAAGCATCCTAATAGCCAAGATCTCACAAATGTTTGCCTTGGTACTCAATAACTCAAAACTAATAAGATTATTTTCTGATTGAATAATAAACTCATACCGAAGTAATAACAATATAAATACAGCATATTGGGATATGGACTCTGAAATAGTTGTCAGCGCCATCCAAATTGGATTTGATTTAGGCGGTGTTACAACTGATGCCAATTTTATGATCTCAGTAGAGATTGGTTTAGTGATTGACGAATGTATTTCCGGGGTTTTCAATAGTTCATATCGTAAACTTAGTTTAACCTTGCTATTTATTAGTTTTTGGATTGTGAAGTATAAATATTTAAAGTGTATCGATCTATGTTTCTTTTCTTGTGAACTATGGTTGATTGACCCATACTGATATGTGTTTGATCTAGGTCCAGCAGACATCTTACAAATGAGGTAAAAATACCTCCAACTAAACCTGACGTTAGAAAAAGTGATACGTTTGAACTATGTCAAGGTAATTTGCTAATGTACATAAATATATATTTAATTTCGTTGCTATTGTCAACTTCCCCAGAATCCTGTGTTTATCAATCGAGTTCAGATTTTCCTGACGATTGCAGCAATTCTATTTCTTTTTTTTTTTTGTACTTTTTTGGATTGTTTATGATTTTCTTAATGTGTAAAGATTCAAGTGACAATTCTATGCATAAATTCATAAGCCTTCCTTCCATTTTCATCCCCTAATATTTCAATTAGGGTTTGTTGTGAAATATCCACTAAATCTTCAATACTTTTAACTCGAGATATAATTTGGAAGTAATTGTTATCATTTATTCCAGGAATGTTTTTAATTAAATCAATCGAGTCTTCATTGTACACTGGTGGAGATTGAGAAGTTGTCAAAATATTTGAATTCACTCCCTTGGCAATCGCCTCTCCAACATTAGGCTCTTCTTGATTTGATTTTAATGATAATAAAATTTGTGCTGTTTCATATGGAGATGATGACCAAATGATTTTCAATTTGGGGAAAGTAACAAGTAACATGATAATTTTAGATTGTATATCTTGTTGTAGAAACTTTGTAGCAGCAAGAGCTGATTTTGCACCCGAAGTTGCAGCACCACCAAAGGCTCTTGTTTCAGAAAATGGTTCAAACAGAAAAGACTTGTTTTCATCAAATTCAATTAATAGAGTTGGAAATTCGTAATATCTAAACATCTGTTCACATTGATTGTATAACCGCCCACTTTTAAAACTTTGAATTAAATCAGGAATTGCCTTCCTTTCAATACAAATCTTAGGTGATATGATATAATCTCCAACTGTAATCATACAAGGAACAACTTTTACTCCAATTCGATATAATAAATTTGGCAATGCAGATCGGAATTCTCTCACATCCACAACTACTCTTAATTCATCATTTGGATCTCTAAAATTTGATCCACCAGCTATTCTAGTATTGGCAACTTCTTGTCGACGTATTTGAAACTTATTATTATCATCTATAGTTTCAAAATGTTTACTCAATGAAGCCTTTTCTCGAATTAACCTGGTAAATGCTTCCTTTTCCTTTTTAATCCGAAGAAGATGTTTCTGCTCTTCTACAGAATTCCCATAATACATAAAATATGCCTTGGCTGGGGATTCTTTATTCGTGGCTTGGTAAATTTCAACTCTTCTAATAAATGCCAAATCTGGTTCATACATTATAATATATGATGGCAGAAGTTCTTGAAGTAATGAATCATTAGTCCGTTCATTATAATTTTCAAGAATAATTTGATCACTTCTATCGATATGATTGAATTGGAATTTCGCAGTGGTAAATTCAGTTTCATTAATTTCTTGAATATCGTCTTCGATAAATCCTCCTCCTCCAATATCTTCATCAACTTTTAAATCTTCATCTTCACCATTGGAGTCATCTTCATCATCTTGTTCTAATCTTCCCATAATTGAAGGATCTATTTCTGCCGCTTCTGTATATTTTCCATCATCAGTCAATGAGTGAAGTCTATGCACATTGGCAACGGCTGCTGCTCCTCTAGTTCTTCTTCTTTTACTTTGGATATTACCCTTACCTCTGGTAAAAGTTTTAGATGTGTTTAATTCTTCTTCTGGTTCCTGACCATTTAATTTATTTTCTGAATCATCCAATTCCAAAGACAACTTTTTAGTTAATATACTTAAGTCTTTATATGTTAAATATCCACGTAATTTATTTGCCATGAATTTTCTCCCACTAAACCTTCTTTTACCGGTTATATTATTCTCTTCTTTGGTCATTGTCGATATAAACTCTTTTAGTTGATTCAATGTTTTCGAACTTGAACACATAATAACAATAGGTCCTTCATAATTTCTATCCTTATACTGTTTTTCATGCATTATATCGTCCAATAAAATTCCTAATTGATCCCATTTAGGTTGTTCTTCTAAAAGATATTCCTCTTCTTCATATTCTTCATACTCCTTTTCTGGATCATTTTCTATCTTCCTACGTTTTGTTTTCCTCATAATTGCAACCGCTCTTTCCTTTGCATATGATATGATGGTGGTGGCTTCATCAAGGTTAAGCCATGGACTCCCCACAAACTTTCTCCCACCAGCACTTGCTTTGATATTATGATCAAGAATTCCTTGCACGATTTGATAAAATGTCACAGAGTCTAAAGTAATAAGCGAGGACATAAGCCCTTTTAATGTAGATAAATCGTAAATTAACTGTTTAGATGTCCATGATATTCTATGCCATTGTGGATCCAAAGCACTTCGTATTCTAGGAACGAACTCATTGTCATGTACATTTTCAATATCCCAATACTCGGTTGCTAAACTAGGATTATGCCTTTTCAATTCTCCAACACATGCTTGAATACATGATAGAATTGCTGCCTGAATCTTATTCATTTTGAAGGTCATCTTTACATTGATTTCAGTGACATACCTTCTTTGATCTTGCTCCTCCCTTTGTCTTCTCAGGAGGTTTCTATCTTGTAAACTTAATGATGACGAAACTTCGACATGAAATCGTGGCCAAAGAAATACATTAGATATTCTTAAATTCTTCAATTTACTTGCCAACGGAGTGAATCCGTAAAATGATTCAGGATCATCAGTAACAGCCTTAATAAACCCCCATTCATTACCATCCCTATAAAGGTTGACAATAAAAGACTCATTCGATTTTTCAGTAATCTTCTCCGCATGTAACATGAATAACCCAGTGATATCATTAGGAGACAATACCCCAGATAGTAAGTCTACAACGAGAACTCTAGAAGTTAAAGATATGATCCCACCTTTCTCGTATATTCTTGCTCTTTTATCAGCGGTACTAAGTTCATTGGATATAACCACAAATGGCGGTGGCCCATCACTTTTGGAATATATATCAGTATCAATCCAATCTAATTCATTCAATTCTTCTCCAATTTTAGAATTTTCATCATCTCTAGCATTGAGAAGAATTAATAAACTTCTTTTTGAAGGGGTAGGTGCACTTAAAACATGTAAAAGATTGGCTGTAAGAGGTTCCCATCCAAGACCTCGTCCCAATATCAAAAGCCCATCTCTCGAGAGCATATCCTCAACAATAAGATGTTGAAACTTTAACGGTAAATTGCAACTAATTCCCACGTTAGATGATACTTGAGGTTCAGACTCATGTTGAACAATGTCGTTGTTTGAGCTTTCTTTAGTCTCTTGAAGACTTGTGAAAGCATCCACCACCACTGGGGCATCTAAGGCTTCTGGAGACTCAATATGGTTCACTTCATCGGGAACAAACAATGACGTTGAGTCCCTATATTCATCTTCATCTTCATCTACAAACAAAGAGGACATCGAAGATGTATAATTGTATAATATATATACATATATATATATCACATATGTATAAATTTGCCATTGAATCATTTTATCATGCGCGCACCTATGTATCTAAGATCAAAAGTTACACACCACTTTGCGATTATACTCTACTCTCTTCCAATCACACCATGTCTTTTGACCCTTCCTTATATCTTCTGCAAGCGGAGGCATATACACAGGGACCAATACAGTTTCATATTGTAGGTTTAACAGATGTTTCTCACTCAAAACTTTCTCAATTGGATCGATGGAAAGAATATGAAGATCCTAATAAAGTGTCTGTAGATCGCGTTAACAATAGAGGAACAAGAAATCAGATTATCAGAGAAGTTAATATGGATGGTGATAACGAGAATCAACCTCCAGCGTTTACAGGTCAAGCAAGGTTCAAACTTACTTTAAGGGACCAACAAAATAATTATTGTTTTGCATATGAGTATAATGACAAGCTTTCATTTCTAAGACAAGGCACTACAACTACACCATTGCCTATCCCATTAGGTTCAAGGATCCTTGTAAATAAGGGAACTTTAATATTGAACGGGGTTCTCATGCTAAATCGTGCACAATGTCTGTATTTGGGTGTATTGGAGGAAGATAATCAATTATCAGCCCAACTAAACAACGGCATCGTCAAGAAATACATTACTTATCTAACTGAGGACTTGAAAAATAGTAAGTGATGGAAATGTGTTATGAACTCTTCGTATATAGTGGGATGACTGTAATATATGTATAGATTATATATATAAAAGGAAGGAAACACTAGCAGACTCTAAAGCTTAGCTAGTCATTTATCTAACAAGGCATTCCAAAGGGCATATTCATCCTTGAAATCATGATGGATTAAACTGACCAAATAATAGTCTTCATAGATGGAATTCAAGAGATTATAAGATGTTGAATCCTTCTTGTAACATCTTGCCCATTCCAACCACAAAATAAAAGCTTCTTCATTCCAAGCCTTGAAGGAATCAATATCGATCATTGTTGGTTGCAACACCTCTCTCAGAGGGAATACACCCCAAGTGACAGCATTCTTGGAGCTATGCGAAGATCCGTCACGTCCCAATGGAAAATTGGACTCAATATTCCCCTTATTGTCACCCAAGTAATAGGTAACGATTAAATCATCAATGGACGATTGTAATCTTGGTTTTAAAACATTATTCCATTCAGTTTTAGGAATGAAGATTTCTACAAATGACTTTTGATATATGTGTCCAAATTTAGGACCCCAACCAAAGATTTTATCAACTGATGAACATCCATCTACAGCTGGTTGAGAAGCCAAAGAGAACCAGCCCTTGTGATTTAATTCAAACAATTCTTCTTGAATCAATGCTGTCTCTGCAGAGAGTGAAGAGTCTACCCATGGTAACATATCAATCTTACCCGATAAATATGAAACAAATACTTTGGTAATATCTTTAATAGATTCTGGAGTACCCCACTTCACCATGGCCTGAGCAGGCGATTGTACTTTCAATGTAGGTCCATACCCGTCAATTTCACCATAGGCAGGTGAATTGGAATCACCAAATCTACCGTTAGGGAAATCATCCCATACTGCTTCTTTCCCAAGTACACCTTTACCAGTACTAATATCAACCAATGTTTTCTTTTCATTATTTAAAGCCTTACCAACAAGTGCCTTTTGTCCGTCTTTAATAGATGAAGGTGTAAGTAGAGCCGAAGAATCTTCAGCTAAATTATTTTCATTCATTATTGATGATGGTCTTCTCCTTTTTGGAATAGAAACTTCAGATATAGATTCTGAATCCGATTCAAATACATCATTTTCTAAAGAATCACTAGAATATGATAAAACATGTCTCAAGACATCCGATTCATATACAATGGAAGCAACAGCCTTTTCCAAGTTCAAACAGTAGAAGTGATAACCCTTGATCCGTCCATTAGTTTCCGAATCAATTTTAGAAATAATATCTTTCAAAATTTCAACCCCCATACTCTTTACTTGATCATCATCATTACTAACTTGTCTCAAACGATGCAGTATTTCCAAGGGTACTGATGCATGTGATAACTTTGTTGCTCTTGAGAAAACCAGATACGTGGTGACTGGCATTAATCCAGGGATCAAAGGTACAGTTTCAAAGATTGGAGAAGCTTGCTTAAGCATGTTTTCAAATTTAATGAATTTGTCAGCATCGAAAAAGAGTTGAGTAATGACGAAATCAGCACCTGCTTCTACTTTCTCAACCAAGTAAGGAATATCTTTAGCTGGATCTTGCGAAGAAGCATCAGATCCATCTACATGACCTTCTGGATATCCTGCAACACCTACACAAAAGTAATCACCGTATTGCTTCTTGATATACTTGACCAAATCGACTGCGTAGTTGAAGTCACAGTTTGGAGTCCAGTATTCTTCAGTACGTGGTGGATCACCTCTTAAGGCCAAAATGTTTCTAACGCCATTCTTTTTAGCCTTTTCCAAGGCATCATCAATGATTTCCTTATTGGTATTGGTACAAGTTAAATGTAAAACTGTGGTAAGATTAAGCAGCTTTTGACACATGGAAGCCAATTCTAACGATTTCTCGCTAGTTGAACCACCAGCACCCCAAGTAACAGTGACAAATAATGGGTTTAAGGCCAGCATACGGTTCAATCTAGCAAGTAAATTTCTAAACCCTCCATCAGTCTTTGGAGGGAAAAATTCAAAAGAAATGAACTTTTCATCCTGTTTCAAACTCTGGATCTTTTCCTTAACAGTAGCCATCTTTGAATATAGATATGGTTCAGTTCCTTCTAATACCTATTACCTTTGCGAATGTTTTTAGAATTTAATTGATTGGGGTAGTTTTAATCTTTTGATCTTACCTAAAACTGACCGAAGTCAAAAAAGTTCGATGCTCGCACGTGACCGTTAGAGTCATTTCAAGAATTGTTCCCGGGAAGCCCCTCACACCTAAAACAATACATAACCACCACGAATAATAGAATATATTTAACTTACAATTTTTAATTCTTTCATAATAAAAAATGAAATATTACAGGTTTGTATGTAGAATATATATATATATGAATTGATAATTATACAGCACTGTACCCACCTCTATTACTGTTACCAGTCACTTTTTCTACAATTTCTTTGATAAAGTTTGGTAACCCACTAAGAAGTTCAATGAAATTCTCCAAGACTTCACGGAGTGCACTTTGGAAATCAATTGCATTGGATTTATGATATTGGAACCATGCCCCTCCAATTATGTAGATACTCAAAAATAAAACCATAAAGATAAATATCCATGTAAACCAACCCCAAGATTCTCCCTTATCTTCCTTCCCATCATTGCCCTTCTTGTCCCCATCTCCCTTTTTAGAGTCATTTTCCTTATCCTTGATACAACCAGCGTTGGATATAACTTCAATGACCAAGGATTTCCCATCCCAATTTTTAACTTTGAATACATCTTTATCGTCACTAGAATCTTCCAGAGGACATGTGAATGTCAATTTGGCTTCAAGTTTCTCTGGCCCCCATGTGGCATCTTTATAAACCACTCTAACACCTCCTTTCGCATCAGATATGGTTTCATAGTTCTTTGTCAACTTAGAATCAAAACTTATAACTTGAGTTAAGGTGTACTTGTCATTGATAAGAACTTCGGTAATTCCACAAATCTCAGAATCGGCTGGACATTTCTTGGTGGCTTCGTCCTTAGCTGGCTCACAGACCCCCACATACCAAGTTGTCTTGGTTTTCGTTGGTGGCGTCTCTTTTTCTTCTACAATTGAATGAATTCCTTTCAATTGTTCAATATTGTATCGGGACAATTCACTTGCAGAACAATCAACTGCCAATACGGACTTTGCTAAAAGTGCTAAGAATCCAAAAATGTGTGATGTCTTCACCATTTTTTTTAATATTTACTTCGTGTAGGTTTCTTACTATGGTTTAATGGTTGCTAGTGAAACAAATAGGTTGGCTTCTTTTTTTTTTTTTTGCCTATACAATCCATAGTAGTGGCGCGTGATATTGCCTGCACACTGAGAAGTTATCGTTTTCGAGCATTAATCTGCAGGAATAACCACTGTGTGATAGACTTAATAATTTGCCATCAAGAATAAGATAAGGGATAAGAACTATGCAGATATTATTCTAAGAGCAGAAATATAGTTTTTTTTTTCTCTTTTGTTTCTGTATGTGAAAAATTGGACAATAATTCAATGAGTGTATACGGAGTTGAAATGTATCTGAAGATTCGGTAAGGCCATTTTAATTTATTAAATATTTTTTTTTTCTGGAATATTATTATACATAGAATATGATAGATCTTCTTATTGAATATGAATACATTCTATAACCATCATACTTTTGCATTTACTTATACCGAAGAAATTAAATGAAAATGGTATGATCATTGTTTAAATTGTCTATTGCTAATGGGTTGCATTCTCTAGTTGTGAGTGATATATTCAAATGATGAATTACAGTAAATGACTCTAATCAAGAAGATATACCGGAATTATTGGTTCTAATTCTCCACACATATGCGGAAATAAGTACATATACAAATTCTCCTATTCCGAATAATATTGTGTACCCCCTCCCCCTCTATTTGCATTCATATGTGCAATTCCCCCCTCGCAATAACCCGAGGAAGTTTTTCCCCATGTGATCACGTTATGGCAAATGACGTTTTCTTTTTTTTTTTTTTTTTATTTTTCCCATATAAAGCAGTACTAGAATCCCGTTTATAATATCGAAATATACCTGTTCTCCCTCTCTCTCTCTCTCTTTAGAAATATTCATACGATAGATATATACACACAACAATGGTTAAAGTTACAGTTTGCGGAGCCGCCGGTGGTATTGGTCAACCATTATCACTTCTTTTGAAACTCAATGAGAAAGTTACCGATCTTGCACTTTTCGATATTGCTAATGCAAGTGGTGTTGCAGCTGACTTATCTCATATTTGTACTCCAGCCTCGGTTAAGGGATATCTGCCATCCTCGAAGGATGATAAGGAAACTATCAAAACTGCCCTCAAGGGCTCTGATCTTGTGATTATCCCAGCTGGTGTTCCAAGAAAGCCAGGCATGACTAGAGCTGATCTTTTCAATATCAATGCTTCAATTATCAGAGACTTGATAGCCAATGTTGGGAAAACTTGTCCAAATGCTGCAATTTTAATTATTTCCAACCCAGTCAATGCTACAGTTCCAATTGCTGCTGAAGTACTTAAGAAGCTTGGAGTTTTCAATCCAAAGAAATTATTTGGGGTAACCACTTTAGATTCAGTTAGAGCTGAAACTTTCCTTGGTGAACTTATAAATGAACCACCAACTTCATTAAAGGGTAAAATCTCTGTCATTGGTGGCCATTCAGGTGACACCATTGTACCTCTTATCAACATTAACAAATCATTGACCGCTAATGTATCCAAGATACTGGCCTCTGACTATAAAGAATTTGTTAAGAGAGTGCAATTTGGTGGTGATGAAGTTGTCAAGGCTAAAAATGGTGCTGGATCTGCTACATTATCAATGGCTTATGCAGGTTACAGATTTGCTGAGTACGTTTTGAACTCTTTGGATGGTTCTACAAGTGCTGGCTCACTTGTTCCAGACTCAGCCTATATTTATCTTCCTGGTGTACCTAATGGACCAGGTCTTTCTTCTAAATTGGGAGGTGTTGATTTCTTTTCAGTTCCTGTCATTCTTGAAAAGGGTGAAATTAAGTCTTTTATTAATGTCTTTGAAGATTTGAATGTTACAAGCGAAGAGCAAAGCTTGGTTAAAGTTGCTTTAGAAGGTTTAAAATCTTCAATTACCCAAGGTACTCAATTCGTCCAGGGATCAAAGTTGTAATATAGAGAAGAAAATAACAGACATATTACATATTTTAGTAGATAAATTGAGAATATAAAAAAAATAAATGGTTCGGTTTTATTTAGTTACAGATTTGTAAGTAAACACAAACTACATTATCGCTAGTCTTTCCAGTTACCAGTGCTGCAAAATTTGTAAAAAACGATTTGCAAAAAAAACTTGATCTAGCCGAGGATCGAACTCGGGGCCTTTTCGGATTTTACTGTGAAAACACTTGTAAACGAAACGTGATAGCCGCTACACCACTAAACCGGAAGTATGGAAAAATATTTCGTCCAGATTGTGAATCGATGACTGTCAAAAAAGTAATATATGCAGGAATAAATAGCATATACACAACAAAATATGGTACTGGGTGCAAATCCCGACATTTTTCAAGGATCTTCTGTGGTGGGCTATTAGTTTATGGCGTTTGATAGATTATCAGCGCTTTTTTTACTTCTCTAATAATGGTCTATAATAATTGAGAGTTCAGAAAGGACAGAAGAAGGCACCTAAGTCAAAATTTTGAATTTGTATTTGCGAATGCCATATTTTTCATCTTATTCATTGCAGTAATTTGTTCTGCTTGAAAGGAAATTTATTGAAGTTATTAAAAGTCTACACAATACTTAAAGTATATCATCTTTGTATGTGTATAATATACTACTTAAAAGAAAATTTGGATAGTTTACGATGGAAGAATTCTAATTTCTAACGTGACTCTGTAATGGAAAAGTTCCACGAGGATAATACACGTAAAGTCAACGGCAACAACCAAAGCACCAGCAGCTTCTTCAACGACCCAGTGAGAAGTATATCAATCTATTAGGCTTTTATCTGTTTTTTATGCACATTTTCGGGGTGATTGAACTACTATCAGAAGAAATTTATTGCACAAGAATTTATTCTCAGTATATGAGATGAAGTCTATTTTCTCCCACTTAACATGAAGCTCAAACTCAATAATTACAAATAATTACCATGTCAATTCCTAAGTTAACCGCTCACAGTACGTTTTGTATCACAAATAGCAGTCTACCATCTCGATGTTTCCCATCTTAAAATGTGAACTTAAATAAAAGGAAAAAAAAAACATATCCATAGAACTACATACGGTATTTGGATCGAACTCCATATGAACTGTTTGTGCCAGTAGCTCTAAAGAATACACATTCAAAGTGCCAACGTCCTTTCCAATGCGAGTTTGAGTTAGAATTGTGAATCAAAAAAAAATTGATCTAGCCGAGGATCGAACTCGGGGCCTTTTCGGATTTTACTGTGAAAACACTTGTAAACGAAACGTGATAGCCGCTACACCACTAAACCGTAATTTGTATTCTTTTAAAAAAATAAGTAGACCAAGACGAGCAAAATGTAGAAAATTTTGTTGGGCAAAATCCTACCGTTTTGCCAGATTTAAACTCATTTGGACATCAAGATATTTTCTACACAACTATAGTGACCGCAGCAGTCAATCTACTACCATTTAAATGGTTTATTTCTTAATATTTTCTATTTGTATCTTTCAAACCTTTTAAAAATTCCTCAGAATTTGCAAAAACCTTGTTGGAACGGTTACGTTCACAGTAAGGATGGTCACATTCGAAATCATTGTATTAAAATGAGCACTTTGATATTGACTGCAGTATATAAAGTCATTATTTCCTAACCAAATCAGGTAGAACTTTGTATTATAAATACTGTAGAAGTCATAATTCACCACAACTATAAGCCCTCTCCCTGTAAAACCTCACTGCCTCTTTCAGTTTTGTCAATCTCGTTGAAGTCTATAGCATTGTCGTTTGTACTTATCATGGCAAACTATACGAATACAAGTAGTATAGCTTTAATATACATTGTAATATATGGAATACGGCGGAGGTTTGCATATAGTGACCTCGAAATAGTTATAAGCGGACTAAGAGGCGGCAGAAAGTTGGCATTCTACTGAATTACACCATCTTAGATATCACCAAGGCACTGTAGTGGTCACTAAAGCATTCTCTGACTATGTTTAAAGCTTACACCCTTATGTACGATAGACCTACATATCAAAAAAAAAGGAGATATAGATATTACAAGTAATTAGAGTTTTTATCGATATATAAAGAAATAAAAGATCAACAATTGCTATTTAAGATAGAGCGAATTTTAAACCCTTTTGGAGGCAACCTTACAAAAAAACCTAACTTGCCAATGATATGGACTACAAGTTTAATATGAGTTAGGCCGAACCATCCGAATTATTGCTATCAAGTCTTACGCATGTCTCAAAGTCTGATAACTGACCCGGCCTATTAATATTATGTCTACTCTTAAGGAACTACAAGTGAATGCAAGTATCCACTATCATTAGTTAGTAAATACCTACCCCCCACTAGTGTACAACAGTGTATAATTAAAGATAACCAGCTTGGAACTCTCCATGATCCACAATAGAAAAAAAAAATAAGTACCGGACCTTCCAAGCGCTTAAATAATGCGGGGCCGCTATCTGGGCAATTGGCTGCATATGAAATTCTTAAAATGAATATAAAGTAGTCTGTTCCAGTTGTTACTAACATCCCTTCCCCATTATTTTTAAGGAAGTTATCTGATTTCCTATAGAGTTTTTCTGTCAGACATGAAGCGCATCTCAAAGGACAACGAATTGAAGCTATCTTCATCAATAGATGCAATCTTAGCGGAACTTACTACCCCACAAAACTCAGACATATCAACTGCTAAAATCAATGGGGTTGTAGCAGGCATTACAACGAATGTGAAAACGTTATATCTAAAGGCGTATGGGTCAGCCGATGTGAATGAGAAGGAGGAACTTTCAGTTGATCATGTAATGTCGTTCTTTTCATGCACCAAGGCTTTGACGTGTACTGCAATTCTTCAATTACATGAAACAGGACGTTTGGACATCAATGCTAACGCTGCCAACTACCTTCCACAAATAGGGAAAATTGGACTTATTGATGAAGGGCTGGTTTCAGATGAAGACGGGTCTTTTACGGAAGAGCCCCGAGAGCCCCAAAACCCTGTGACAATCAAACATTTGCTTACACATACTGCTGGTTTCGCTTATGCATTCACTAGTATTGATTATTTTTATCTACTGACTAAAAAAGAACCACAATTGACTGCTGTAGATCCAGCACCTGAATATTTCAGTCAGGAAAAGTTACCGTTGCTTTTTGAGCCAGGCTCGAAATGGCTCTACGGTCATAATACTGATTGGTTGGGACTTATAATCGAGGAAATTACAGGAATGAAGTTGGGTGATTATCTTCACGAAAATTTGTTCAAAAAAATTGGTATGACCTCGTGTACCTTCCACGCTGACCATTCAAAGCCATACTTGAAGGTTCATAAAAGAACCGGTAAATTTGGGGTGGTTGTCAATAAGGGACGTTCTGTCAATTCCGACCCCAAGGTTGATATGGGTGGCCACGGATGTTTCGGAACAGTTGGCGATTATTTGAAGTTCATGAGAGTATGGATAAATAAAGGGGTTTCGCCTGACACAGGAGTCAGAATCCTTGAAGAAGATACAATTACTTATGCAATTTTAAATCATTTGCCTCCCGGGTATTCTGTTGATTTTGAAACAGTAACAAGTGCATTATTAGAGGATGGAGGAAATGATGGATTTACTTTATCAGGGTGTGCCTTTACGGCAGAAAACCTTCCTACTGGCCGACCCAAGGGCACAATTTACTGGAGTGGATTAGCCAACCTATACTTTTGGATGGACATTGAGAATGGTATTGCCGGCTTTTGGGGTTCTCAATTTTTCCCATATATGGATAAATACTCCATTGGTGGTTACCTTCGTATGGAGGAGGCAACTTACCAGGCATTGGGGAATGACCTGAAATTATAAAGGTTACATAGACTAGTAGTTCTGATAATTATTTAATTCTCTATAGATAATATTTACGTTTAAAGCAATCCTAATTTTTCCATTCTTACTTGAACGGCATTTCTGTGAGCTTCTAAACCTTCAACTGCAGCAAGGGTCATGACCGCACGACCAATGCTTCCCAAACCTTCCTTGGTAACCTCTTGACTTGTAATGAATTTTTGGAATGTAGCCAAATTCACTCCAGAGTATTGTCTGGCGTAACCATAAGTTGGTAAAGTGTGGTTAGTACCACTTGAGTAATCACCACAAGATTCTGGGGATAATCCACCAACGAAGACGGAACCAGCATTTTCGATTTGACTAGGAACATATGATGGTGCGTTATCGATTTGTAAAATCAAATGCTCTGGAGCATAACGGTTAGACATATCAAAGGCTTCTTCATAAGTTTCAACAAGTAATGTGAATGAATGAGCCAAACATTTGGCAACGATATCCTTTCTTGGAAGTACTTCAGCTTGTCTCTTAACAGCTTCTTCAATTTCTGCCAACTTTTCATCTGTTAAAGCAACACCAATCAAGATAACTTGGGAATCAACACCATGTTCTGCTTGAGATAACAAGTCACTAGCAACAAAGTCAGCATCAGCATTACCATCAGCAATAACCAAGACTTCAGAAGGACCAGCAGGCATATCAATAGAACACAATGCTTGTGTATCATTTTGGACGTACATCTTGGCGGCAGTGACAAACTGATTACCAGGACCTAAGATTTTATCACACTTGAGAATACTCTCAGTACCATAAGCCATGGCAGTAACAGCTTGAGCACCACCAGCCATCACAATACACTTGGCACCCAACTTATGAGCAACATATACAACTTCTGGGGTTAAGCGACCGGTGCTTCTGGCAGGTGGAGAAGCAAGGATAATGTTAGAACATCCGGCAACCTTTGCTGGAACACCCAACATCATAGCAGTAGATGGTAAAACAGCAGTACCACCTGGAACGTACAAACCAACATTTTCAATCGCCTTCGCAAATCTAGAGCAGAATACACCTGGTGATGTCTCTACAGTCATAACTTCTTCTGCAGGTTGTTGAGCTCTGTGGAATTTCTCAATATTCGACATGGATAAATCAATAGCTTCCTTCATTTCTTCACTAATGTTCATCCACTCTTGTGGGAATGGAGCTTCCAAAATAGGGGTTTCCAAAGTGACACCATCGAATTTGGCAGTAAGTTCAACTAAGGCCAGATCACCTTCCTTCTTTACTTTTTCAATAATTGGCAATACCAATTTCATGATATCTGAAGTTTTTTGAACTGGTCTAGTCAAAGCCTTTTTGATGTTTGCTTCACCTTGAGCAGACTTATCAACACGAATAACTTCCATCTTGTAATCAGGAACGATTTCCTTAGCTGGGGCTACTTCTTCCTTCTTTTCAACGTATTGTGGCTTGGCGTCACCTTTACGTCTAGTTACCTTGTTACTCTTGATATCCAAGTTCTTTTCAATATCAGATAATCTTACTCCATGCTTTATACACCAAACCATTGCAAAGTATAATAAGTCAGCAGCTTCCCAAGCTACCTCAGAGTTATCCTTTGCCAGGTTTTGGCCAGCCTCGATCAATTCGTCCAATTCTTCTTTCAATTTGGCAATTAAAAGCTTTTCATCATCAAATAATCTCTTAGTGTATGAACCTTCAGGGGCTGATTGAGATCTTTCATACAAGGTTGAATCTAATTTGCTCAAACCAGTTCCAAAACTTTCTCCCTTATTCTTCAATTGTCCATCATTGAAACAAGTGAAATTATTATCCAAGTGGCAAAATCCAAAACCAGTTCTAGGTTCAACAATGAATTTAACAAGATCAGAATCACAATCCTTTTCTAATTTAACAAGTTTTTGAGTAGCACCAGAAGTTTTACCTTTATACCATAATTCTTCAGGACGTTTACGGGATTGATATACACCTTCACCACTGGCAATGGCTGCCTTGATAGAATCAACAGATGAATACACAACACCCAAAGCAGTGAAAGAAGGAGCTGGAGTGGTGATCAATGTGGTAAATAACCCATCTGGACGATCAGTGGTAAGGGTACTTGTGAAAAGATCAGAAATTGAAATTAAACCAGTTTTTGGAGAAACTTCAGTCAGTAAAGTTTGTGAAGAAATCACTGGAGTATAACCTTTTTGTACAAGAGAGTTAACATTATTTTGATCAAGATCTTTAATGTCCTTAATATAAACGGTTCTGTTACCATCTTGGCTTAAAGACTTAAGATCAGAAACAACTTCAGATACTAATACTGAAGATTCAGGATATTTGGAAATTAAGTCGTTAGTTGAAGAAGCAGCAATGATAAATCTAGCAGCAGGTAATCCGGCACCGATAACTTCTTGCAATTTGGTCTCGGAAACCACTACTTGACTGACACCATTGTTCAACAATTCAATAATCTGGTCAACAGATATGGAGTCTACCGATGTAGTATCCACATTTACTGTAATGTGACCAGGGAATTGGTGGATAAACTGTTTGGATATCTTCACATTTTCAAAATTAATTAAAACTTGACCAATTACGGCAAGTCTTTGGATTTCCTCAGGTTGGACAGAGTCCACAAGAGGTAAGAGTGGGAAAGTCATATCGAACTAACTTGTATACTACTGAAAGAACGGAGGTGGATAAAAGAAGAAGAAGAAAAAAAATCGAACAACGTTTTCAGTCATACAAAAAAATGCTACATACATAATAATCGTCGTGCATGAAAATTTCGCATTGAGTCATATCTCGTTGACTGATTGATAGGTAAAACTTTAGATTACTAAAATATGAAAATAATCAAAAACAACATTAATTTAAATGAAATTATGATTACAAGGAAATTTGTAGTAGGTAATATATTATATCAAGTTGCTACATTTTTAGATTGGTTTCCTAATAAATTAAATTATTAATTACTGATATACATATAATAAATCTTTCTTCATATACTGCACACAACCTTTTTGTGGGGATTACCTGGTAGATTGGGGTTGATGGAGAAACGACTTTTCACTTTATATACCGATTAAAAGTTAAATTCTCCACGGAATTGGTTCAAGTCCATTCCTGGTTTCACTTCGCCAAGCAAGTCTCTTCTATCCATCGCAATGAAGGCACGCTTTAATGTTTCCATCAATGAAGATGATTGATTATTGTTGAGGGTAGAATTCATGTTATCATCGACACCTTCGACTTGATGCATTGAAAGTCCACTTAATAAATGTTCTGCGGCTTCCTTATAGCAGCCGATATTGATACATGATACTCCCAAGTTGTATCTGGCCCTTACAAAAGTTGGTTTAAGTTCCAAAGCTTTGAAGTATGCATCCACTGCTTCTTCAGAACGGCTAGAATTTGCAAGAGATGCACCAAGTCTGTTCCAAAGTACTGGATCATCAGGTTTAATGGTTAAAGCAGCCTTGAAACAATCAATAGTTTTATCGAAATCTTCATTGGCATAGAATAAAACCCCCAACCCCATTTGAACATCGGGATCCATGTTTGCTTGATTTGGTGAAAGTTGTGCAGCCTTCAAGAATAATTCGGTAACTCTTTTATTTAAAGAAAATCTATCCTCATCATCAATCGAAGGATTTTGTTCTCTTGCCTTATCAGAAAGTTGAGGATATTTGGTTGAAATCCATCTTTCCAACGTGGCAAATGCAGCATTGTCATACCCTTCGTTAATATACGAGATAGCCAAGGTCATTAATGCTTCAGAATTCTCAGGACTCAATTCCAAACATTTTTCCAAGGCAGAGATACCAGCAATTTCCTTTTCATTTTGTGTTTGAACTTCCCCAAGCTTTAACCAAGCATTTATATGTCCTTGATCCTTTTGAATGGCTGCTTCAAATGCCAAGGCTGCTTCGGAAAGTTTAGCACCATTTTCCATCAATTGTAATCCAATTTCATAAGCATCTTGATCTTGTGGAAGATCAAGGAATTGGTTATGTTCCTTTTCTTCAAAGTTATAATCACCAAAATGAGCTCTGGTGGATGCATATTTGGCAAAATCTCTTTCCCATTGTGCCATATCAGCAGGGAAAGTAGAGCCTTGAGTAGATTTATAATCTTCATATTGTTGACTAATAAAATCATTTTCAATTGCATCAGAATTCAAATTATCCCACACTTCTTGAAATGTAGCTTGGTATTTATCATCAATGACGATTTCTGGAGAAGCAGTTCTTTCAACCGGGTCAGCTTCTTGTGTTTTACTGGTAAGTTCTTCAATTTCTTTGAAATGATTATCCCAATCAACTTGAGGTTCTTGATGTTGTTGTTGTACAACATGGTTTTGTTGTTGTTGTACCAGGTGATTTTGAAGAGTTGAACCCATCATTGACATTCCACCCATCATTGGACGATATGATGTCATTCTTTGGTTGAATTGTTGAGGTTGTTGAGGTTGCTGTTGCATATGAGGAGTTTGCAGAGTTTGTCCAAACTCAGAGGCCCATTGTGAATTGTTTGGGCTAGCAGATTTACCCATCACTGGTGTATGTGTCACTGGAGAGAATTCTCCAGACCAATTTTGATGTTGCTGAGGTTGATGTTGTTGAGGCAGAGAGTTTTGAATGGCATTTAATTCATGCCTCATTGGTTGAAATTGGAAGTTCCCTGAATTTGAATTATTCATAAATTGATCCATATTCTGTCTATCTCTTGCATTCATCATAGATTCATTTTTGAAATTATTTCCTTGTTGAATAGCTCCATTTGGAACTCCTTGATGTTGGAGAGATCGATCTTGTTGAGTGTGTTTGTTGAACTGCAACAAAGGGTTACTAGCCCCTGAACAGTCGGCAGCGGCAAATGACATTTTTCAGTACAATTATTCTTTAAATTATAGAAAGAAACAAGGATCAAAAGTTATCTTTAATGGTGGCGTTGAAATATTTGCTCAATACTTGTGATATTTTTACTATCTTATTAATGATCCCGGCAACCCCACTATTGGAGCCGCGGGTAGGAGTCATTAGTCACACAAAAAGCCCGACACCAATCGGCACGTGACACCACAATTCTTTTCTATTTTTTTACTATATGAACTTTATGGAATGAACTTCATTAATGATGTTATTATTCAGAAAATTGCTTTTGATCAAATACGTGATATTTATTATGACAACTCAAACGTTCATTCTATACAAAGAAGATTTAAGATATTTTTTTTTTTTCATATTTTCTAGTTATAAATTGGTCCTTGTCTTTCATAGTCTCTCTTTTAATTCAGGTTAGGTGAAGAAGAATCATTATTTTTTTTTTTTCCTTCCCATATTATATCTATTCTTTTATATAATTCAATAAAATTCGTCTTTCAAAACCCGAAGTACCCGATTCTGTTACTTCACATTTGTTTCAAAACTTTCAAACTGTAATTTGTGACAAAACATGAACGCGAAAATATCATAATCTATTTTTAACTACAAGTATAACAGAAAAACAATTCTACACCAGGTACATTGAATAATTCATTAATACTTCAGTTCCTAACTAGATGAGAGAACAATTAACCAGTTTTGTGCTTGAGGGGTTAACTGGAAAAGGACAAATATAAATAATACGCTTTCTATGCAATTTAATATTCGGTAGTAATATGTTACGAAGGGTATGTAAGCAGGGATCATTTACAGTAAACAAACAAAAAAACACATCACACATATACAGTCTACTCTACTACCAAGAAAAAGATTTAACATACAACCCAAAGAAGAAAAATTATTAAGTTAATATCTTCGTCTTAACCTGACGATTACACACTCCTGAAAGTTACTTCTTTCATTTCTAATACAAAGTATTAAAATAGATGTCTATTTGCCTTTTCCGTTATTTATTTATTTTTTAGTTTTTACTTCTTTTTTCCCTGAGGTATTAATTTTTTTATAATATTTTTTTTTTTCGTTCTACGCCTCTTTGTTAATTAGACGGAAGAGAAATTAAAAAACAGTTTTACTTCAAGTCATTTGTTAGTTTATTTCACTTTTCATAGCCTTCAACCCTTGGAATATCCAAGTTACCCTCATTCACAAACGGCACTTATACCCCCACTATATTATTCCCTCCTTATATTCACATTGTTGTTGATACAAACACCTACCCATTCATTTCTAAAATATTAACATGAAAATTGATTTACTTACGAGGATAGCCGCCTTATTTTGCTTGTTATCGATCGGTTCATGCCTTTCACTCTCCGATATCCTTCAGAAAAATATCCTTGGAAACAAGAACAAGCAAATTGTCAGGGCCAACCCTGTAGATATGGAAAAGAGAGCATCTGATGATTCCACATTTTTATTTTCCACAACACAAGGCAGAGACACTTTCCTGTCATTCGATGATAACTCAGGTGGGTCCCAGAGTCCAAACTTTTCCACCACATCAGTTGAATCCAGCTCAAGCTTTATTTTCAGCACTCCAAGTTCAAGTTCTAGTTCTAGCTCTAGCCCAAGTTCAAGTTCTAGTTCCAGCTCAAGCTCTAGATCTACTTCAAGTTCATCCTTTATTTTTACCCCAAGCTCACTGTCAGCCACTACTTTACTGACTTCACTGACCTCATCCCTGCCAAGTTTTTCCTTTGATCCAACCACCTCCCTGTCGTCATCTTTCTTCACTAATAATGAGTCTTCATCAACTACTGATGATTCTTCATCTTCCAATACCCCAACTGAAACTTCCGATGCACCACAAAGTACCAGCGAACAAGAGACTCAACAATCTTCTAGTCAAGAACAAATTACATCCACCACTGGAACTACCTCTGGTACCCCAACTACTAATGAAGGTTCTTCCAAAATCACTACTACATTCCAATCGGTTGATAATGGTAGTACTGTAATTGTTACCCTTACATCTATGGTCACGAACGCTTCATCTCCAACTGCCGCCACCGACAATAACAAGTCTAGCAACTCTAGTGGGTTGTCTCAATCCAATAAAATTGTGGTTGGTGTCGTTGTTGGTGTTGGTGGTGCTATTTTGATGGCTATCATTGCCGTTCTTTTCTACTACAAGAGAAGATCCAACAAGGACTACGACAACAGTGGTTGGACTTTCTGGAGAAAGAACGAAAAGGGTGGCACTGATGACTATTTGAGCGGAGAATTAGGGGTTAGAGATAGAAACATTAATCAAGGTTCAAACTTTTAAGAACTTTTAAGTACAATGTTTAAAAATGATAAATTGTTTTTTTTTCTTCTTTTTGAAAAAAAAAAAATTTTAGGGGAATTATTACTTTAATCCTCTCCTCGACTGCTATAGATCTACGTAAACCGTTACCACTAATAATATATATACCTCAACTTTGAAGATTGTAGAAAATAAAAAGAGCAGGGGTGCATGCTTCGATGGTGTGTTATCGTCTAATCAATAAGAATTTGTGTAAATAAAAAGAAAAGTGCGAAAAAAAAGTGCCTGATTTTGGTGGGAAAAAGCGGTAACTTTTTGAGTGGCAATTTTGTGAGATGTGAAAATATCGGGATTTCTCTATATAAACAATCAGAAAACTACGTACTTTAAAGTTAAGAAAATGATTGCGGCTAATTACTCTAACTCTTCCATATATGCTATCCGAATTTCAGTTATTTTTAACCTTTAACGAATGTCTCAGGCGTGAAGCAACAACCTTTCTTTGGCGGCAATCTACGCGAATATTTTTTTTTTTTAACTTTGAACCACTTCGTACTTTGCGAAAATTCTTAGACATTTTCTGTCTTTCCCCAATACATTGCAGCCTTAAAAAAAAAAAAGAGATTTTTAGTTGAAGCCCCTTCCCTCATTTTATAATATTAATCATTAAAAATTGAAATATAGACACTTCTCTTCTTATTCATAAATAAATTCTTTCCAAAATTCTTATATCTTGCTTCCAATTCGTGCAATATTCAGACTTAAATTAATGACTTAGCTACTCTTGCCACCTACACCCTTAATACTAAAGAAAGGAGACAATAGCAACAACTACAGTTGTATCTTAATAATACAATACCCCCATACACATCAGGATCATCGTGAATTATGACCAGTATATCATACATACTCAATTCAGATGAAGATGATAAATCTATGGACCAAACTTCAAATGTACTGAAGTCCAAATGGAATTCCGTGGATGATTCGTCTTCACTAAATAGTGATTTCTCCTTGGGGATCCCCAATGACGTTAACTCTGTACCGATGTCTTTATCATCCACGCAAACTGAATCATCTTTAGGATCTTTAACTGAATCATCATCTGGTTCTTTAACACCACCATCATCTTCCTCACCACCGACGTCATTGTCGTCTTCATCATCCACTTCGAGGTCATCGAACCCACCTTCAAGAGCATCTACCACTGTAAAACGCAGAAATAGTATTCCTAATAAAAATCTAATTCCTAGATCAAAGATTAGCAAATCACATCTTTTACAGAAAGAACTTATCAAGATTGCTGTACGAAGAAAGGCTATTTCGAAAAAACATGCAAAACCTATTGGATCTTCAGAATCATACTCGAAATTACATGTCAAGTCTCTTGAAGCAGGATTAAGAGTTAAATTAACCTTATCGCCATCCATATTTGCCTTATATAAGAGCTTGACCCCCAATGTCAATGTCAGACACATTAGACCACTTGAGAATTCGTTAAGTGATAATGATAGTAAAGATCTTGAATTCACTGCAAGTACAATTCCTTCACTTATTACGAAGAATGTTCAATTAATTGATAATAATTTAGTTAATATGTCGATGTTTTCAAAGAAAATGTTACAATCTTTTAATAAAGATTCTTGTCCAACTGGGAAAAAGGAATCTGAAAAGTATCCAATTTTCAATTCCTTAAAAACAGCTGTACAATCACTCTTTGGGATAAATGAATTTACATTTATTAGAGTCACCAGATCAACCAGTGATGATACTGAAGGATCCACTTTACTTAAATTAGAAGCAGCCAATCCTGGTGACTATTGGCTTTTAGATGAGGAGGAGTTATTAGAAGAAATGATTTTCAGTATCGGTAAACCAGGTGATGTACCAAACAATCTATTTGTGAAAAAAGTTCTTGCAAGGCCTAGATATAAATCTGATATGAAACTATATATAGTGCCGAAAAAGACTGACGCCTCTTTATATATCGATGAAAGAGTACTTGAAAGAGACATGGTTAATGGAGTAGTCGATTCTGAAGAGTTCAACCAAAGAGCACTATTCTCATGTTTTGATTATGTTCCTATATCAAAGGAAGTTAATGAACTTATTAGTTTTGGAAGGACATTAAATATGTCACCTCCAGTATGAACAAATTTATTTTAATGACTTTATGACTATTGAGATGAAAATGAAATGATTTAACAAATATTATTGTAGAATAAGAATCGATAATAATTAGTAGCATGAGTTTCTTGATATCCAACCAAGATATTCATAGCAAATGTGGGTCAATGGCCATACATCGTGATGAAACTCACATTGTTTCAGCTTAACTATTGTATTTAAATCTTTCTTATATTTTTAACATACACAACTATATATAATTCTTTTTATTGTTTAAACGTTCAATGAAACAGTGGCGTCACTGACAAGATGTTGATGTGGTTCCAAAGCCTTCTTAACATCGTTGTTAATGAACTTTTCAGTTTGTTGTGGAGCTCTACCAACAAAAGTAGATGGGTCCAACAAACTGTCCAATTCATCCCAAATTGGTTCAAAGTACTTTGTGTTCTTGATTCTTTGAATCAAGTCATTGTCACCACCTTCTTGCTTGACAACAGCGGAAGCTTCATGAGACAAAACTCTGATTTCTTCGTGACAGTCTTGTCTAGAACCACCCTTTTCAACCATAGCCATGATGATGTTTTCAGTGGCCATGAATGGCAATTCAGACATAATTCTTCTTTCAATAACCTTAGGGTAAACAACCAATCCACTGGTGATGTTTTGCATGGTAGACAAAAGAATATCAGCAGTCAAGAAGGCAGATGGTAAAGAGATTCTTCTGATAGCAGAGTCATCCAAGGTTCTTTCAAACCATTGGACAGAAGCAGTTTGAAGAGCATCGTTGAATAAACCACCCATGTGTCTAGCCAAAGAACAAACTCTTTCACATCTCATTGGGTTTCTCTTGTAAGCCATGGCAGATGAACCAATTTGGGACTTTTCAAATGGTTCTTCAACTTCCTTCAAGTTAGCCAACAATCTAATGTCAGTAGCGAACTTGTGAGCAGTAGCACCAAGAGAAGCCAATGGGGCAAGAACATCAATGTCAATCTTTCTGGAGTAAGTTTGACCGGTGACTGGGTAGACGTGGTCAAAGCCCAACAATTCAACAACTCTAGCATCAAGAGCTTCAACCTTATCATGGTCACCATGGAAAAGAGAAAGGAAAGAACCTTGAGTACCAGTAGTACCCTTAACACCTCTTAAACCAAGATCGTTTCTGGCTCTAACCATGTTTCTTAAATCCCACAACAATTCTTGGATCCATAAAGTAGCTCTCTTACCAACGGTAGTCAATTGAGCAGGTTGGAAATGGGTCCAGCCCAAAACTGGTAAGTCTTTGTATTCAAGAGCAAACTTAGATAACTTATCGATGACGTTAACCAACTTTGGAATCAAAACATCATAAGCATCTCTCAAGAAGATCAAATCAGCGTTATCGGTAACGAAACAAGAGGTGGCACCCAAATGAATGATACCAGCAGCAGCTGGACAAGCCTTACCGAAAACGTGAACATGAGCCATGACATCGTGTCTAACGATGGCTTCTTCAACACTGGCAGCATCGATTTCTTCATCAGAAATTTCCAAATGTTGCTTCATTTGTTCGATGGCTTCATCAGTGATCATAGTAAGACCAACTTCCTTTTCAGCAATTGCAAGATTAAGCCAAAGCTTTCTCCACGTGGAGAAACGGTTTCTCAAAGAGAAAATTTTGGACATTTCTTCAGATGCATATCTGGAAGATAATGGTGTGGAATACTTATCGTTGGCAGACATTATGATTGTATTTGTTTTATAATAGTTCAACTAAGAGGAAGAAAAAAATAAATTTGCAATTAAAATTATTTATTTCAATGATGTGGGTGAACTTTTCGAAAGTGTTTAAAATTTATTGGGATGAGTGAGAACCGGGGAATATTAAATGTTAATATATTTAAAAGGCGGAAATCTTCTTCAAATTAATTCGGCTAAAGTTGGAATATGGTATATGAGCCGAAGTGTTGATCGTGGGGTTGTGATAATCTTATATAAATTTATACTGGAAATATATATATTTAAATATTTAAGTCTATTCTATTCATTTATATATCATTATTGATAGTAATTATTTGACTCTGAACTCATGTCCGGGTTGCACCACTTTACTTTGGAACCGGAATTTGAGATGAAGCTTCTATGCAGGTCGTGCATAATTACCATTTTAGATTTATATAGATATATGTATATATTTTTTAAAACAACTTACGATGTTGTGAGTAAAGGTTAAAATCTCATTATTAGCGGGGGTGGTTCAAAGTGAGAAATTAACATGGAATTTTTGGTTTAGGTTAATTATGGGGAGCTTTTTCAAACAAAAAGGAAGCAAAGCCATACAAACAAAACTTTCTGTTATTATTTATGAACTTCAATTGAATAAAAAGTGTTGAATAAAGTTCATACTATAAGGAGTTATAAACCTATAATCAACTTTGGATGAAAACCTAATGAAGTTTGGAGTTTTCTTGATGAGGAAATTTGAATTACGGTGGAAAGCCGCCTTTATAAACTATTATACATTCCCTTGATCTTCTTGTTCTTCTTCTTCCAGATATGTAATATTCCCACTGGGGAATTCCACTGCATTTGGTGAGTCTACTTTACGATTATCTCTATCATTTTGTAAATTTAAATCTTCTTCATGTTGAAGGAAAAGTGAATAGACTGCACCTTTGAATAATGTATAAACTAGACCAATTTTCATTTCTAAATTTCTCAAATTATCCAATAATTTATCAGCATTTCCATCCTCTACCTTGTTTGTATTTGCTGAATTAAGTTGTTTAATTTCTGATGAAAGGTTATTCAATTGAGATGCAAGTAATTGGTATTGTGTGAGAATTTGCGATTCTACGGGAGAAAGAAGAGTTGAATTGGCATAATTTATCGTATATATATCCTTTGACGACATGATTTCAGGAAACTTTCTTAAAGATCACAACACAATTTCCAGATAGATAATGATATTCTATTTGTTTTGACATTATTTTATTTGTTTGTATTTCTAACCTTCAGAATTACTGTATATAACCACGAGATTTTGATTTAATAGAAATGTCATAATGTACAGGAAATAAATATATCCAGCACATAAAAGTCCAGAGTCATCATTCGATTACCCTATGCTGATAGTGATAGTTCTAACGAAGTGGAGGTACGGAATTCTTACTCACATCACACACAGTAAATTGATATAAATCAAAAAGTAAAGATAAGACAAAAAAATAAAAGGAAAGAAAAAAAAAAGAAGATATGTCGGATGTACCGCGGAGATAAACAGGGAATTCATTTCCCCCCCTAAAACACTTCGAACATGAATAATCAATTTTACATATATTACCGCAGCATAGTTTGTTGTTATGGACAAATCAAATATTCTCTCAATATAATAATCTTTATTAGAAATGATCCTTTTTCAACTATTATATGTATTTGCTGGGTGACGCACGTGATACACACCACATGACAATACCTCTCTCATCATATTTTTATTTTCTTCCTGTCTGTAGCACAAAAATAAGGGGAAACAATAGGGAAAAAAAGCAAACAAGATAGTGCGCCAAAAAAACTGACACAAAGGTTCATAGAACAAATTTACAAATCTTTTGGAGTTTATCTTTGAAATTTATATACCCTTTGCTATATTAACAATATATTCAATTGTCTTTCTTCCACATGTCATCGACAAAGACTGAATATGCTCCTGTGGCTAACGGTAGTGCTGATGTGCCCACCAATGCCACTGTAGCTCCTGGCGACCGTAAACAGAAACTTGTCAGAAAGCAAACTCAAAGCAAAGCCTGGAAAAAGGCATTGTGGCTCGCAGGTCATTCTTCAGTTCTAGTATTTGGTCTTACATCCCTTGTTTTCCAAGTGTTTTGGCTTCCAAACAAGTATTACATCAATTCTATCTCGTACAGATTGGCATTGGTTGGTGCCATGGCTGCTTTGTTCGCTACATCGTCTCATCGTTTTGGAATGAAGAGTTTACCCCCAATTACTACCTTGTTGGCTCATCAAAACTTCCAATATTTGATTCTTGCAGTAGCGTGGTGTTTGACTTTTAAGTCTATTTTCAAACTCATTCCTTACATTTTGGTTTCACTTTTACAACTTTCATCCTTCCAAAAGATTAACGTAGTATTGAAGCAACAAGATTTCCTTAGCTCACTCATTGCTTACGATGAATTGTTTCTTATAATCTATTTATTGGTACGTACCTTGTTTTTCCGTAACACTTCAGGTTATCAATTGGTTCTTTTCTTGGGATTTTACTGGTTGAGAATCTTGTATAACAAGGAAACTGGTAACTTGTTCATGGCAATTATTGGAAAGTTGGATGGTAAAGTCTCTACTATGAAGAATCCAAAGATTGTCAAGGCTTGGTCAAAGGCAAAGCAATACCTTGAAACGAAAGATATTGACAACGATTCAAAAATGTAAGTTTTTTTATACCGAATGTTTGAATAAAAGATAAGAAAATAAAATAAAATACAATGAAATAAAATATTATGTTTAACGATATACAGAAGTGAAAGAATCGAATAAATGTAGAGTACTAGAGTAGGTTAGATCATAGTTTGATGTGTAGTTCTTGTTGATAAAGAGGCAGAGTAAAGAAAGTCGTGCGAAATATAGACATTTCGTCATGCAGTCCCCCCTTTTGAGGGTGGAGATTTTGTAAAGAAAGTAAGTTAGTTTACATATTTCAACTTCAATTAGTAACATACAAATATCAGTAGAGTCGACTCCTGTTATGTCCGCACCAGTAGTATTCCAATTGGGTCACGAACCTATCAAAGACCATGCCTTTTCCCCAGATCGTCTGATCTTGGCAATTACAAAGGGAAACACGGTTGAGCTTTATTACACTCAATCAGGTAAACCTCAATTGTTGACCACTTTAAAGGGTCACGATAAGACAGTTACCTCGGTCGATGTTCTGCCAGATGGATCAAAAATCTTAACTTGTTCCCAAGATCGTAATGCCTTGGTTTGGGAATATAATCAATCCGAACAAGAATACAAGCCTACATTGGTTTTATTACGTATTAATCGTGCAGCTACTGTTTGTAAATGGTCTCCTCTGGGTGATAAATTTGCCATTGGTTCATCCGATAGAATCATTGCCATCTGTTACTATGAACCAGAAAATGATTGGTGGATTTCTAAACATTTGAAGAAACCATTGAAATCTACCATTACTTCTTTAACTTGGCATCCAAACAATGTCTTGTTGGGTTGCGGTTCCACCGATGGTCATGTTAGAGTGTTCTCTGCTTACATCAAGGGTTTAGACTCCAAACCCGAACCATCCGTATGGGGTTCCAAGTTACCATTCCAAACATTATGTGGAGATTTCATTAATGAAACAGGTGCTTGGATTCATGACGTTTGTTTCTCCCCCAGTGGAGATGCCTTGGGATTTGTTTCTCATGACTCTTCCATTGGTGTGATTTATCCAGCTGGCGAAGAACAACCTCCAAAGCTGATTTTCAACATTAAAACTGATTACTTACCATTCAAGTCTTTAGTTTTCGTTGACGAAAACACTATTGTTGTTGGTGGTCATAATTGTAATCTTGTTGTTTTCCAAGGTGATGAATCTGGTTGGAAAGAAGCATACACCGTAGAAAAGCAAAAGGATTTGACCTCCAATGATTCTACAATCAGAAAGGATGATGAAGATGAAGAAATCTCTTCTCATGATGCTTTGAATATGTTTAGACAATTGGATTTGAAGGGTAAGGTGAACAAACCTTCAGCCCAAGGTTCAAACAAGGCCTTATCAACCATTCATCAAAACACCATTTCAAACATTAGATTATATGCACCTGGTCAAGTCAGTACTTGTGGAATTGATGGTAAGGTTGTTATTTTCCATATTTAAATAATGAATTAGAATAAAAGTATTGAGAGAAATAAGGGGAATTGTATGTTGTAGTATGTCACAAATAGTAGATATAATGATGTGGTTCAATTATAAGAATATAAAATAGTACCCCATATATTATTTAAAAGTTAGTAATACGTATATATGACAGTGTTACTACCCTAAAAATTAAGATACACTATTCAACTATCGAACATACTGAATGAACTCGTTTAGTTAAATCCAAATACAATTTACTATATCTACATTATTTCAATTTGGATATTTCATATATTAAAATACTAATTCTAAGTAGTCTTATAGTTAGTAAAAAAATTCAAATTAATTAATTTTTTCTCTTGTCCAAATAATAAAGTTACATCAGCTAAATGAGCTTGGTAAGGTTATCTTCATGAAATTTTGGTATCAGAAGCAGAACTGAAAAGTAAGTTTTATCATCACAATAACTATACTACTGAACAAGAATTAAAAATCAAATTAATAAGAACATACCAGTATAATATTAGCTGTAACATTGATACAGGTAAATAATACAATATCTATGAGATGGACTATTCACATAAAGAGAATTCGCACATAAAGTCAGATGGTGATGCATGTATTTATCCATGGCTCAGGAGTCACCGGATTGAATGTTGTGTAACGATCATCATATAAACGTGATAAATTCTCTTCTTGTGAAAGAAAATCCCAAATCTTAGTTAGAGTACTATTTCCCTGGATCAATGTTCAAATAGATCTTGGTAAGTTGAATACTTTGAAGAAAAAAGTATAAAGAAAACAAGTGAAAGTTTTCCAGTTTGCCTTTTATATGAGCGTGGACCACAAAAAAATTTTTTTTTTTTTTAATTATCATGGTAAGTGCGGGTAACCTTTTGCTTGAGTAGAACATTTCAGTGGGGGTTTTAGTTAGTAGGGGAATTACAATTGAACAATATTTGCATCCAAAATGGAAAACAAAGAAATAAAAGTAGAATTTAGAATGTAAAACGATAAGATTAAGTAGTCCTATCGTATATATATTTCCATACTATATAACAAGATATATATAAATATATATATAATATATTTTAAGCAAAAATTGGAATGTTGTTCCAAGTCCATGGGTCGTTAAATCTTAAACCTTGTTCAAGCTTAGAAATTTCTTCAATTTCTTCCTTGGTCAAGTCAAAATCGTTGACTTCCAAGTTTTGCAAGAGTCTGTCTGGGTTATTAGACTTTGGAATGACTGCAATATTTCTTTGAGTAGCCCATCTAAGAAGAACTTGTGCAGGGCTTCTCTTGTGAGCATCAGCAATAGTCTTGATAGAAGCATGATCAAAAAGCTTTGGACAATTCAAAGCCTTGGAATGGTTCAATTCCAAGAAAGATTGAGGACCAAAGGAAGAGTAGGCAGTGATGGCAATTCCCTTACTTTGAACAAATTCAACAAGGTTTGGTTGTTGTAAGTATGGGTGATGTTCAATTTGCAATACAGCAGGTTTAATTTCAGCTCCTCTAAGTAAATCATAGATAAGACCACCATTGAAGTTGGAAATACCAATAGATCTAACCTTACCATCCTTGGTTAATTGTTCCAAGGCCTTCCAGGTATCCAAAAGTGGGACATCTTCGTAATGGAAGTTTTCACCATCTCCACAATAGAAACCAGGAGGGTATTTTTCTTCAATTGGAACAAACTTGAAAGCAATTGGGAAATGAATCAAGAAAAGATCAATGTAATCGAATCCCAAATCTTCCAAGACCTTGTTAAGAGCAATTGGGACATTTTTTGGATCATGGAAGTTGTTCCAAAGCTTGGAAACAACGAAAAGTTCCTTTCTGGTAACCAAACCATCTTCAATGGCCTTTCTAAGACCTTGACCGACTTCCTTTTCATTGCCGTAATCCATAGCACCATCAAATAATCTATAACCAACCTTTACTGCATTGTAAATTTGTTCGGCACAGGTATCCTTGGAAACTTTCCAACAACCAAAGCCAACGATTGGCATTTCATATCCGGAATTTAACTTAATAGACATTATTGTGATAATTTATTGTGATAATTTATGTGTAATAAAATAAAGAAGATACTTCCTATGAAAAGAAAAATAAATGTCAGTAGTTTAAATTGTTGACAAAATTTTATACCGACTATCAGGCCGATCTTTTAGAAAGGGGGAGCCACAATGAGTAAGCATGTCAACATGCAAACCTGACACTAAATCGCCCCCACGCTTTGTTCACTAGCCCCCCCCCTCTCTTTCATCACGTGATGTACCTTTTTTTTTTTCTGAAATGTCTCTTTTTTTTTGGCCCTGATCGAAAAGCACTTTAGGGATCTTTTAGGAAATAATGTTCGTAATTAAAGTTCCTGCACCAACTCTATCAATCAAAAATGTTTTTTTTTTTTTTTTAATCTCTTTTCGGGAAATCTTATTGTTCATTATCTCGTCTAAATCTGTTTTGGGTAAGTACGTAAACAAAATAGGTTGTAAATGTGATGGCATTTCGTGTAAATATAAAGATGGAAAGGCTGATCTGACCAAATTTTTTCCAACCTATTTGCTAGGGAAGAGAATTAGACTGAGTTTGAGGAAGAAAAGAGCGTTTTTACACTTAATTATTGGTCATTTCTCATACATCAACTAGGTTTGATCTACTATAAGATATTCTGAATAGACATCACTATTCTCGTAAAGAGAAAATTAAGGTACAGTGCGAATTTGATTGCAAAATTACAGAGAGTGTAAGTTTATGATTAATTAAGTAACATATCAGGCCTTATGTCAATTCCAATATACTTAAAGTTGAAGGGTACTCCACCACCTGAATATAAAATTGATAATAATACATTGATTTATAATGAAAAAATTTATGAGTTTTCAAAGATTTTAAATAATGAAGGTAATGAACAAGATGAACTACAAGAACGCATAGACGATGAATCTGATTCTTGTTGTTATATCTTCATGGGACCTACTGGAAGTGGTAAAACAACCACCATGAAGAAAGTACTTGAATCAAAATTAAATGAACTTAGATCTCTGAAATCTCCAGTATTTGTTTCAGCCATCGAGGTCTCACATAACCGATATGCGATTGATCTACTTGAAAGAGAATTACATCAAGCTAAGAAGGAATATCTGCTGCATAAAGAATTTAATACCAAAAAGGAAAAACTTGATTTTGGAACTAAGCAAGATTTAATTAAAAGGATCTTTAGACAGAGATCAACCCATAAAACCCCATCCAATGCAGAATCTAGTAGATCATGTTTGATACTCACCTTGTCACACAATGGTAAGAGAATCATTTACATGGATCTCATGGGGAATGAAAGATTTGATAAGACCTTATCATCGGCAAACATTTTTGCAAACATGAATATGAGTGCCATTACTTTATTATTAACTGGTAAGCGATCCACTAATGTAAGATCTTCTAATTTGATATCTAATTTAATTTTCAAGAGAAATACTCAAGAAAAGGAAAGGAAAGTCAATATAATACTTGTATTAGATCCAAGTGGTGATGAAAATTTGAATAAATCTTCATTAAGAAATATTGCTGAGTTAGTACAAAACTTTAATGGTGTTTCCAATGAAACGAAGAAGACCAGAAGAGATAACTTTATTCTGAAGAAACATAGTATGGTTGAACCTTGTTTGAAATTGGATTCAATGCCTCATTATTCTAGGCCAACTATTGCTTCAAGATCATCTTCATCTACATTTTCTAGTCCCAGAAGACGGTCACACTTAAAGGAAATTAAGAAGAGAAGCTTATCATTGAGTCCTGAAAAGGCAATCAATAAAGGTACTAAAAGAAGTAGAGTTGATTTTAATTACGATTTAAAAATTGATCCATTATCTTCACCGTTAAAAAAGATTAGACCAAATCTGATTATCAACGATATCAAAATAAACTCTACAGAACTTGAAATTGAGAAGTTAAAGAAGACCATTAGAGAATTGCAAGAGGATTTTATGGGTTCACAAGAAAAAATCAGAAATCTTGAAGAGTTGAATTTAACTCTTCAAAATCAAAATGGAGTACACGAAATGAACATTCAAACACTTCAAGAAACGAACCATATACTTGACGGAAAGAATCGAAAACTTCAAGATGAGAATCAATCAGTTTATGATTTGAATGATGATCTTGAAGTTCATAATAATTTTCTTGAAGAAAAGAATAAACATTTCCAAGAAGAAAATAATTCTCTTTATAAGGTTAATGAAAATCTTGAAAAGAAAAATGAAAGTCTTCAACAAGAGATTGATTTATTCCAAGCTCAAATTAAGAGCCTTCAACATGAATTTGACAAGGTTGAAACTCAAAAGTTAGACTTGAATAATAACAATCAACAATTGTTATCAAAGATAAAGAAATATCAAGAAGATAACATTGAGCTTGAAAACAATCTATTTGAAATTAATCAAAACATTGATTTGATTAAACAAGAAAATTCTAATCTTTTAATTTTAATTGAGAGTTCCAATGAGAAGGTCAATGAACAGAATAATGTAATAATTGAATTGACCGATAAGAATTCTAAGCAAGTCATTGAGAAGAATATTTTGATTCAACAATGGTCTGAATTGAGAGATGACTTTATTGCATTTCAAAGTGAACATGATTCGTTTAGCTCTTTAGTTGAGGCAATAAAGCTTCAAATGAATGACATTAAACGAATTAATGAAGAAAAAATTGTTGATATCAATAAAAAATTTGAAAATGAAACTTTAGCATTAAAGGATGGTCATATGAAATCAATTAATGAATTGAACGATCAATTAACATCAGTTAAAAGATTGAAGAATGAATTGAATTCAAATATCGTTAATTTACAAAATGAAAACGATTTGTTACGTGAAAGAGTTTCAGAAGAAGATTTCTCAAGACAAAGTGATGATGAAGAGAATGAAAAGGAAAAATCTGAATTATTAGAAATTATTGATACTAAAACGGTACAAATAATTGAAAAACAAGATGAAATCACTGCACTTTGCCGGCAAATAAAAGAAATGAAAGAATCTAATAGTATTAAATTATATTCCTTAAATCGGGAACTTCTTCAAGTCAAGAATGAAAAGAATCAAATGACTGAAAAGCTTAATCAAGTGACTACAGAACTAGAAACTCTTCAATCAGGACAAAGTACAAGACCAATGATACTTGACTCATTCACATCACCTCGTGAAAATCAATTATTGCCACACATTGATTTTTTGGATCAATTTACAAATTTCAATGATACTTCGATATTTAATGGATCTCAAATTTACGAAGATACTAGATCAGAAAGTGATCTGCTTGGCAAAATGAGTCCTTCCGATAACGATAGTGATATGGCAACTTCTTCAATGGGAATTTTGGCACCATCCAAATTTGAAAATCTTAATTCATTTACCCTTGATAAGAAATCTAAACATAAACCTTTCCATTCCAATAAATTGCCTAGTTTGACCCCAATTCACGAGGTATGATAAATCTTAGTTGGCGCTCGCTTTTCTTGTGGCACCATGTCAACTTACATCTACTTTTATTTGCGAAAAAATTATCCCCAATATACGCTTTCCATGAGAGAAAGCCTACTAATATACTACTAATACCCACAATACCCGTTTCTTAAAATGACCACTTTTGATGTCATTTGCCAATTTCTTTCCTAATATTATACTTTTTTTTTTCTCCCATTTATCTGTTTTAATACATAATTTTAATATAATAAGACTGTAAAATACTACCAATAATTAATCATTTTAATATTCATTCTTTTATATATACTTATACAGTTCTTCTATCAGTCATGAAACGAACAATGGGTCCTAAACCAGTAATCTCCACAGTCTTTTCAAACCAACTCAACAATAACCCACCTTGTTTGGTACCATAACTAGTACCCATACTCTTGTATAAATACTTGACCAAATTATCTTGTTGAGTTCCATTCAATTGCTTAATAAATCCAGATAAATCATTAGCACTGTGATTATTTTTGATGGAACATAAAACTTCGAAAACAGTTTCAGCATGCAATGACTTGGTGGCCTCGTCTGCAACGTATGGAGGTGTATCCAAGGCAGTGGTGAGTGCTACGAGGAATTGTCCCAGTGATAAAGCACTACGACATTGTTTGGATACTTCCACTATTTCCGCATGAGAAACTGGAGGCAAATCAGGAATAAGGTCTTCCTTTGTTAAGAATTTTTCCGGTTCCAATGCATCTATATCAATTCTTCTCCAATCAGCCATTTTTCAGTTTATATATATATCAAAGTATATGTTTATTTATTAATTATAAACTGTATAATAAAGACTATCTTTATTCCTTGCGTGGCTTTGGGTTGGATTCTCATTAAAATCCATAAGTAACACAAAGCCATGGATCTACACTTAATACATTTTATTTTTAATTATATTTTATTTGTTGGAGGTTCAAATAATCCTAAATCTATATTTGATAGGATATTTCTAGTGTACATAGTATATGGTTGTGAAGTTTCAATATGAGGGGATATGTAAATCAATTTGATTTGGGAAAAGGATTAATAAACAAAAAGTATCGTAAGTCCCTTTCTCTTTTCTTTTTCTGTTCTCGTAACTGTTTCAATTTCTTCTTCTTCTTCTTCTTCTTCTCTTAAAACTGAGTTTAAACTCTCTTCTTTTTCGATACTTGTTGATCTTCTTCTTCTTCTTCTTGCTTTTCTGGACTTGTTTCCTTTCCTACATACTCATCAATGAAAGTTAATGCCTTCTCTTGTAATTCCTTGGAGTCTACAATAACCACAACCATACCATCACTTCCGACCTCATACTTGATATGTTCTTCGTTAGGAATAGCAACAATCTCATCAAATTTATCGAAAAATTTGTTCATATCATCAAAACTTTGAATGGTGTCAAGTAAACGTTCTTGCATCTCACCTTCTGGAACATCAGGTGAGTTTATCACTATAATGGCTCTTAATGGGTTGTCCAAAACGCCATCTTCTTCAATATGTGGAGGCACTTCTGAGTCTGACATGTTAAAATACTTCAAGACACAATAAAATAATGTAGATATCCTTCTATCAAAACTCTACATCTTATGTTTGCAATGTGAGAAATTCATAAAATTTTGATTTCATCGAGGGACTGCACACAGGGTGGCCATTAGTTCATAGTCCTTTTAACCTTTCCTCTAACTAATATTAGCTAACTTTGAAATTATATAAAATATCAGTAAGGAAGTTGCACTCTATATCTACATTTATTTTCTTCCTTCTTTTCTTTTTTTTTTTTCTTTATCTTTTATTGATCGATATCGTTATCATAAGTAAGGGTAAACCAATTATATACATACATAAAAAGAAAACCACTATAGATGAGGTTCTCTAGTCTTAACTAGTTAATTGGCCCATTCCTTGAATTGGTTGATCAAACCCTTGGTGGATGGATCATGAGATTCAACCTTGACAGAGTTATCTTCCAATTCCTTACCAATAACCTTGGCCAAAACCTTACCCAATTCAACACCCCATTGGTCGAATGAGTTGATGTTCCAGACAGCACCTTCGACAAAGGTCAAGTGCTCGTAGTAGGCGATCAAAGAACCCAAGGCAGCTGGGGTGATCTTTTGAGCCAAAATAGAGGTGGTTGGTCTGTTACCAGAGAAAACCTTGTGAGGAACCAAATCACCAGTGGCACCTTCCTTCTTAACTTGTTCTTCATTCTTACCAACCATCAAAGCTTCAGCTTGAGCGAAAAAGTTGGATGCCAACATCTTTTGGTGCAAGTTGTGTTCAATTGGGTTGTGGGATTGAGCAGCCAAAATGAAATCAGATGGAATCAACTTGGTACCTTGGTGGACCAATTGGAAGAAAGAATGTTGAGCGTTAGTGGCTGGTTCACCAAACAAGATAGTACCGGTTTGGTAGTTGGTGAAAGAGTTACCTCTGGTAACGGACTTACCGTTGGATTCCATGGATAATTGTTGCAAGTAAGCTGGGAATCTGTGCAAGTATTGATCAAATGGAGCAACCAAATGAGTTTGGGCACCAAAGAAGTTGTTGTACCAAACAGAGATCAAACCACCCAATACTGGAATGTTATCCTTTAATGGGGTTTCTTGGAAATGCTTGTCAACGGCTTCAGCACCCTTCAAGAAGTCATTGAAGTTGTCAAAGCCAATGTAAATGGCAACAGATAACCCAATGGCAGACCAAACAGAGTAACGACCACCAACCCAGTTTTCAAAACCAAACATGTTCTTGGTGTCAATACCAAACTTGGCAACTTCAGTGGCATTGGTAGAAAGAGCAGCAAAATGCTTAGCAATGTGAGCTTCATCCTTAGCCTTTTCCAAGAACCACTTCTTGGCAGAGTTGGCATTGGTACAGGTTTCAGCAGTGGTGAAAGTCTTGGAGGCAATCAAAAACAAGGTAGTTTCTGGGTTCAAGTCCTTGACAGTTTCAGCAATGTGAGTACCGTCAATGTTGGAAACAAAGTGAACGTACAAACCTGGCTTGGCGTAAGCCTTCAAGGCTTCAGTGACCATAACAGGACCCAAATCAGAACCACCAATACCAATGTTAACAACATCAGTGATGGCCTTACCGGTGTAACCCTTCCATTCACCTGAACGAACTTGTTCAGAGAATTCCTTCATGTGTTGCAAAACGTCGTCAACTTCCTTGGCGGTGTCCTTACCGTCAACAGCCATAACCTTCAAGGCTCTGTTTCTCAAGGCAGCGTGGTAAACGGCTCTGTCTTCAGTGGTGTTAATCTTTTCACCAGCAAACATGGCGTCTCTCAATTTTTCAACACCAGCTTCTTCGGCCAATTTGATCAATTGGGCCAAAACTTCATCATCAACCAAGTTCTTGGAGTAATCAAACAAAATCTTGGAACCATCAAAGTTGGTGAAAGTTTTGGAAAACTTGTCAAAACGTTGAGGATCCTTAGCAAAGGCTTCAGCAACCTTAAAGTTCTTACCTGAAGTATCGTAGGTATTTTGTAAAGCCTTCCAAGCTGGAAGTTCAGATGCTAAATTGAAGGACATGGTAGTATTTTAATTGTACTTGAATTAATTCAATAGAATATTATTAACAATTTGCAATTAAGGTTACTTTTTCTTTCCTTTATAATTTCGGAACGTAGATGTCCAGAATCAACTGATGGTATGCAGGTGGCGAGACGATCTAGAGTTCTCAATTTTATTCGCTCCTTTTTTATTTTTACAAACCCTTACTAATTATAAATAGTAGGTCTCCCCCACGGTCTGCGAGCCAAACAAGGACGAAAACGGTAAGGAGGGGGGGCGGGGGGTTGTACAAACAAATTGTTTGAGAGTGGGGTGGGGGGGGGGGCTGTGGGTAACATCTGAATTGAAAGTCCATGTGTTTTACTAATTTCTATTTTTTGAGGGTATACTCTCAAGAACGTGATTTTCCCACCATTTACTCTCTAATCGCATATTATGAGCCTCGGTGCAATTAATTTACTATTGTTTTCAAATTATGACATAAATTTTGTAAGAGAGAATAGACACAAAAAATAAAAATACAATGTGATTATGAAATGCAGATAAATAAAAGAACACATTACAACATGGTTAGAATCCGTACAATCCGGGATACTTCAATTTCAATAATTCCAATCCAACTTGCAGTGTATACTTGTCTTATGGGCTTATCTAGGGGACTATTGCAACCTTTGCGCATTAGAGGCTATGCATTATTTTTACCCACGGGTTTACGAAGCCGAAAGAAAAGTGGTTTTTCCATAGTTTTATTTTTTCCTCTATATGTATCGCTATCTTTAAGTTTATCTCTCATTTCAAAATTTCTTGCTCTATTGAAGCATTCACTCTTTTGTTTTTTATTGCACTAGTAAATGATGAAAGAATCAGACGACGATTCATCTTCTGAAGAGAGACCCCTTACACTCCCTAGTAAGTTGCATTCTTTGCAGGGCCAAAAAATGCAAAGAGAGTCTTCAACTACCGCCCCATTAACTCATCAAACGTTATCTAATATGCAAAGAAATGGAGGTGCTCGTCAAGTAGAGGAATACTCACCAGAACCATCTACCGCCACTGCAGCAAGAGGGTATCGTCGAATGTCTCAGAATAGACAATCATTTTCTGATTCAAATCAATACCTCCAACAACTGCAACAATTGCAGCAACCACTTCTTCATCGTCTCTTTAGCTCTCATTATGTCCTGGTGACAAACCCAGGTAATTCTGATCAACATCATAGTATCACTCAGAGTACGTCAAGCTTACATCTTTCCCAACCTTCAACCAGACATTCAATTTCAGATGCAGAGCAAGGTACAGAAGATGAAGAAAGTCAACATCGGGCAAGTATCTTAAACAATATGAGACCAGTGAAACTTATTGGGTCTTATAAACCAGTAGCAACTTGGCTGGATCTACACCATGATACGAAAAACATCAAGGATAAAAAATTACGTAAATTTTACGATAATCAAAATGCTTTACTTGAAAGATTCCAAGAAATTGATAATTTTCTTGATGCTGGGAAAATTCATTTCAATATGTTATCCAATTATCAAGCCAATTCGGATCAAGCAGCATTGAAGGCAAATGGAAAGTTAAATGGAAATTCCAACTCTTTAGATCCAACTGAGCCCCTTCTTGGATCTAATCTTGTTCAAAACGATAGTTATAATTCAATTAATTCCAAGACTTCCAGACACAATGTTGTTCCTGGAGATGTGGAGAATGAAGGAGCCCAATTCTTGGGTTATAACCACGAGGAGGATTCACAAGATGTCCTTATAGCCATTCTAGTGAACTTCTTTATCAACTTCATTCTCCTTATTGGGAAGCTTATTGTTACGATTATGACCAATTCTATGTCTGTTGTTGCATCATTGGTCGATTCCCTTTTGGATTTTCTTTCCACATTCATCATTTATATTGCCAATCGGTTATCCAACACCAAGAGTTGGAAAAGTGAACATGCTTATCCTGTTGGAAGATCTAGATTAGAACCTTTGGGGATCTTGGTCTTTTCCATTATTATTATCATTCTGTTCGTACAAGTTGGACAGGAATCATTTAAAAGATTGATATTTTCTACACCAGAGTCAAGAATCCCAGTACAAATCGGATTCAGTGCTATGGCTATTATGATTTTAACAATTGGTAGTAAAATTGGGTGTTGGATTTGGTGTTCTCTGAGCAAATCAAGTTCTGTTCAGGCCCTTGCACAAGATGCTATGACTGACATTGTTTTCAATACTGTATCTCTTTTGATGCCTACAATTGGTTATTACTTTGACATTTGGTGGTTAGATTCAGCTGGTGCTTTAGTACTTTCTATTTATATAGTCATATCATGGTCAATGACTGGTTTCGAACATATCGATAATTTGACTGGAGCTGTGGCAGATCCTTTGGATTACCAAGTTATTCTTTACTTGGCATATCGATTTGCAGAATCTATCAAACAAATCACTGCTCTTAAAGTTTATCATGTCGGTGATAACTTAAATGTGGAGATTGACTTGGTATTTGCAGATGAAGAGTTTGATCTCTCTATTAGAGATTGTCATGATATTGCAGAGGCTTTACAATATGCCATTGAAACATTACCCATGGTTGAACGTGCATTTGTACATATTGATTACATGGAAGGGAACTTTAAAGGTCATTTACATTGAAATCAGAATTGAAAATAAAATTTATTTAATAGTTAAAGAAAATACATCTTTGAAAGGAATTACAGAGTACTTTAAAATATCTTTAGATTATTGCTAATTACTGGAAATTTTATTAACAGACAAATATTACTGTTTTCTTTGATTTAGTTTTATAATAACGCAACAACAAACGCTCCAAAAAGAATTCCTGCAGGTGCCACAAAAGATGATGCCCCGTCTCCATTCAGTTTACTTGAACTAGATCCAGTAGCACTTGCAGAACTGGAATCCTTCGACGATGAAGATGAAGAAGTGGAACTAGCTGGGGCAGTGGTTGAGGAACTCGATTCCTTATTATTTGTCATCCCACTCCCCGTGGAAGTTTGGGATGTACTTGTAACACTCCCTTTTGTTTCAGTAGGTGAAGATGTTCCAACTGTGGTCGTTGCATCTCCAGATGCAAGATCAGTGGGGAGTGCAAAATTAGAGGGAAATGCTGTGAATGCATTGTCAGAGAATTGAGTGAACCAACTTGCCTTTGAATAAAGTGATGGTAATTCGGAGTAATAACCAGTAGGGTTTGCCTGAACAAGTGAAATATATTCCACGTACCAGGAACTGATGGCAGGGTCATTGAAATAATTGGTGTAGGCATTTAAGGCCGTCTGAATTTCAGTAAGATATGCCCCAAGATAGCCAGGGTCCGCGACCGTTGTATCAGCCGCTCTTACAACTACTGCACCAATTGCAGCCATTGTCATGCTAAATTGAATCTTCATTTCAAATTTTGGGATTCTTTTAAATTAGTGAATTAGATGAAAATAATAAATCACATTTGATATTTCTTACAGTCCTTGCCCTTCTTATAGAAAAAGAATTACATAGTGGTGGGTCATTCTCGTGCACAGATTGTCTCCTAACACAGTCTAAAAAATATTTTTTTTCCCTTCAATAATATCAGTAAATAATAATTTCTGGTCACAATGGAGAAGCTTGTTCCCCTCCAATATATTTATTGATTCATTTTATTTCTTACTCCCTGGCACCTTAGATAGTGTCTAATAAGCTTTACGTATATCATTTGGTCATACAAGATTTCAAATACGGCGAATCCCCTGCATATCATCCACCTTCGTGCATTAGACTTGAATGTTGCATTTTGCATTTGATAAGGATTTTGCAGTATACGATTTTCTTCTACGTATTTTAAATTTCAATATGTGAATTTTTTTTTTGGCAGAAAAGGCTAATCTATAGCATGAATTTTGAATAAAAATATAAATCTCTAATTTAGTCTAATCAAAGTAAAGCAACAGCAAATGCACCTAAAATTGCACCAATTGGGGCCACAACACCTGCACCATTACCCTTCAGCGAAGTACCTGAAGACGACGAAGAATGAGAAGAGGAAGAGGAAGAACCACCAGAAGGTTTGGCACCAGAAGAAGTCTTGGCACTAGAGGAAGTTTTGGCACTAGAGATACCAGTCACGCTGGAACCAGCAGATCCAGTGGCACTTGCATTACTGACACTGCCAGTGGGGACAGGGGCAGCTCCAGAGTGAGTCTCAGTGGCAGATGCTGCTCCAGAGTCAGTTTCAGTGGCGAAAGAATCGGTTTCGACATCAGTAGCAGATCCACCAACTAATGATGCAGTTTGTAAAGCATCGACGTATGTAGATAACCACCCGATGTATTGTGCATCTGATGCATACCCTCCAGGGTTTCCCAGCATAATTGCCAATCCTTGTTGAACCAATGAACTAAGTTCAGGGTTTTGCAAGATTTGGGTGTTTGAGTCTGGTGAGTCTCCATCATAAAGCAGCTCCGGGATATCTGGAGCGTCAGTTGCAAATGATACCAGATCAGCGGTAGTGGTATCATCTGCCATTGTAACAGCGCAGAGTGCGCCAACCATAATCAAGTTCTTTAAACCAACCATATTATATTATTATTTCTTATTTTATTATTATTTGTCTTCCACTGTCTTCTGATAACTTTCAACAAAGATTTGGAAAATTAGCTTCGATCAGACTATTTATTAGAAAAATAATCGAGATACATATATGACTCGATGTGGGCTTTCATAGTTCGTAAATATGCGACATTTCTCCTCATGTCCCAATTTGGAACTTTTAAAGTTTCCGCCATGTTTGCAATTTTAACTTCGTCTTCGAAATCCTCGTCGCACGTTTTACCGTTATATAGTTACCAAGGCTTAGTTTAGATATTCGCCTCAGTTTATCTGAAACATATCCCTTATAGAATTAAAAATAGTAGTTGGAACTTAATTCTATTGTCGTCTCTTTGGTTAAGGCGTGCATGAGAATTATCGTACAAAAGAACTTTTTACGACACCTCACCTTTTGTGACATAAAGTATTTACTACTTCTGGTAATTTACTATGAAGTGGGGGTGGGGTGAAAATATCTTTTATTTACATTCAGAGGTTTCTAGAAGTACTTAATCACTCCGACACGAAAGTAAAACACGATTCTTGTTATTTAATTTATTCAACAAATCTGCTCAGCGGTTAAGAGTGCAAATAATGTAAAAATTGTGTCAAGTAAAAATAGGAAAGTATTCACGTATTTAACTGTGGATACCAGATGTTAAAATTAGAATAAGAGCTACAACATGCTAATAATTCGCATTGTGTCGATTATTAAGGTTATACTGTTCCACCTCTCCCCCATATTAATAAAATTTCTAATTATCGTCAATACCTAAAATATATTCCTTGTCTATTCTACTTGGTTTGGAAAACTGATTGGAAACATTCCTCTAATCCTTTACAATACCTTGAGGTTATATCATCAGGACTATTAGTGAAGCTACACATCATTTCGAATTTCTGTATCAACACTCTCATATCTTGTTCAGTTTCATGAGACTCTTGTTGAATTAATTTTCTTTTCCTTTCATCCTCTGTACTTTCTTGAACAATTCTAACGAGAACAATCCCTGCAAAAAAGAAACAAAAATGAATTTGATCCAGAAGATATGCAAAATATGAATCACTTTCAATGACATTTATGAATCTTACAATGCTTAGTGCGTGAATATGCATATTAGTAAATGATATCTTATCTGAATGTTGGATAATAAATGCAACATTATCCTCTCTGAATAGATCTGAAGGTGCATTTATATCTCTCTTGGTTGATAAAGTCGTTCTTTGGTAGATATAAACAAAATGGATCATTAAATAACAAAAATGATAACACAACTCAACAAATTGAGGGGCTGGTTGACTGAAAAGGTAATTCCACTGCTCATACCATGTGTCTACTTCCTTGCATGCCACATCGAATAATTCTTTGCTTTCTTTGACGGTTCCTATATTTGAATTCAAACTCTTTTGTATATATTTGTAACCAATTAAGAGAATTCCAATTTCACTAACCATCCGACCATCAAAATTGGTGGAACTTGGTAAACTTAACGTTGCAGTACAAAAGTTTAATCTGAATTCATCAATAACACACATTCTACCTGAGAAGATACAATTGATTAAATGAACCAAGGTTAAATGGTTATATGTTCGTAATACTGCCAATGTTTGAAATTCTTCAGAGTCAAGTTCGTCATAAAAAATTGTAAAGGGAGATTGAAGTGTATTATCATGTTTAAGAAGTGATCCAAATGTACTCTTTGTAACAAATAAATTTAAGCCAAATCCTGAAAGCAACCAAGGATCAAGGTTTATATCTTGATCAGTAAATAAGTCGACATCACCTTCAAATGCATGGTGAGCCATGGATGAAAGTGATAATGAATAAATAGAAAGAAGTGCTAAAGCTTGTAGAAATTCAATGTGTCCATCTGCAGCACCTCCATTAAAACATGAATACTTTAAAAATGAACTACTCATATCTTTTACTAAATGTTTCATTAAAAGCTTATGGGTGGTTTTTTTGGCCAACAATAGTTCAGAATCCACGATTCCACTCAAGGAGTACCGTAAGGCTAAACAGTAACATGTAGTGAGTAAGAGGGATGACTTGTATCGTATTCTTTCAATAAGAACACTACTCGACATGTTCAAAGGAAACAGGATCCATCTACCATAATTCCTACGAAAATCATTCATAAGATCTATAGCATCGGTCTCGGAAAGTATACCTGCCGATATTACGTCATTGGGAGTCTGCTTGAAATTTCTTGGAGATCCAGGTGTACTAATGCCAATTAATTCTAAAACTGGCTTTGGGATATTTTTTTGTGGTATTTGATTAGCAACAATTGAAAAAACCGACGTTTCAAATGAATTTGTTGGGGTTTGGAATGACAGAGGGTCATCTTGATAGTGTCTGGATTCAGTTAAGGTTGGAACGTTAATAGAAACATTGTCTTTAGTTGAATTGCTTTTAGCATATGAGTCATTCATTTCTCCTTGTTTAAGAATGGTCAACACTTCGGATATAGAACGTTGGATTTGGTCCAATTTAATACTATCAGCAGTATTTGAAGATGTTGTTATCGTTCCAGATAGGTGCGGTACTGGTGCCAACGACCCAGGCAAGTCCAGATCTCGTTCGAATGAACATGGTTTCTTTAGAAATATACATCTTAAACAAGATGTACTATCAGGATCTCGGAAACATCTTGTTTTCTGTCTTCGACACAATTCACATGCCATCAATGTTCGTGTCACTTGAGCTGACTTCCTATTATTAGAGGATTCATCAATTTTCTGTCTCTTCTGTGACATGGTCAGCTACAAATATGTATAAAAGTAATGTTGTTGAATCTTTGTTTAGTCCATTATTGTATCTCGCATGTATAGATAAACTTGATCACGTGCAAGTATGCAGCTTTCTTTTTTTTTTTTGTTCTCCTTTACTTAAATTGCAACTTCAAAGATACGCACAGAGCAAACCCACATTGGAACAAATTCATACTCTTTTATCTTATTTTATAACAACTTATATACCATATAACCCTTTTCATTACCTTGATCTGGTAGTAATAAACTAAGTTCCAAAATTTTCACGCCTCTATTTATTAAAAGATGATCAAAATCAATTGTTCCCTTGTAGAGTAGTCTTCCCCTTGATGAAAGATCATTAATCTTCTCATTATCTGCCAACAAAACCTCACCTTCAAAAACGACATCATAATCTTTACGAGAATTTAAAACTAAATGATGGGTCATTGGCTCAGTAATTGGAACTTCGTGTACTTTACCGCTAGCTCTTTCATGTGTCTTGTTATTTGCAGCAGACCTTTCTAATCGATCTAATTTTAACCCAACTTGTACGAGTGCACCTTCAATTATAGATTTGAAATTCAATGGTTTGATACACCAATTCAATTTCTTGAATAAACTTGAATTATCATTTGATTTTTTCAAATCAATTTCAATCCCAGATATTGTTGGACACTTAGTTTCTATCCATATTTGAAATCTATCAGAATTATCTTCTAATGTTTCCAATGTTAATGGAAATCTTAAGAGCTTTCTAATTGTCCGGTTCGATGACATTATTGTCAATATTTTATATTTGATATTCTCATTTTGTAAATCAATTAATAATTTATCATTGGTTTTAAATTGACTTAATTCTGAGTTCCAATATTCAAAGTATGATTTATCCAAATATTGTAAATCATTGGGGAACTCATATTTGGTTGTGTATATCCAATTAAGATTTAACCAAAGCGGTAAAAATATTCTTTTGGAATTTTCCCCATTATGACTTATCTCTTCATTTTGTAATTGCCAAACCTGCACTGCTACATATAATGACAATGTGGTTACAAATGAGCCAACCACTAAGCCAACTACAGTCCTAAATCGAAGTTTACGCCCATTATTTTCAAGCATCGAGTTTTGGATTCCATCTATTATCACCTGTCGATCATCATTATTTCCAAATTTATTTCGTTCATGAGGAGGAATTATATAGTTCCTCCTATTGTTTAAAGCAACTAATCTCTGTGGGGTAACTACAAAGGGATGTTTCAACACTTTGAATGCAATATGCGATTGCCTGATGCGAATCATTGTCTGTCAATTGCAATACCTACACTATCATTTATTTTCAAATTGACTGGTTTCACCCAATTAAAACGTAGATACAATTCAACAAAAAAAGGGGGTAGGTCAGTCTCTCAATTTCACATCACTTTTTCTTTTTTTTTTTTGTGTGTGAAAATGAAACCCCTCTGCTAACTATATCCCTTGGTATAAACCACAAAATAGAATAACATTGAGAAATCTGGGGTGATAATTTAACACACCATCATCTCATATATCTGTACACTTTATATCTGAAATCTTATATATATTAAACCCGTATATTACTATTAATCTTATTATTATATGTTACATAAAGTCCTTTAATCAGATTCTTCATCTGCTAAATCTGCCCAATTGGCGTGTTTGTCGGTAAGTTTACTAAACATCTCAGAAACTTCTTGTTTTAATCTTGCTTGTTTTTCCTTTTCTTGTTGATCGATAATTTTTTGTCTTTCTCTCTTTTCCTTATCTTTCTTTGCCCGTATTTCTCTTTCTTCTTGTTGTTTCTTAAGTCTATGTTGTTTCTCTTCTTCTTCACGTTTCTGTCTTGGCGTCATATATTTTCCAGGTTTCACATTTGAATTTAAAGAAGATTGAGAATTGGTTTGTGGAGTTGATTTAGTTTTAATTGGATTCTGGCTTGATTGTTTTGGTCCTAGGCCTAATCTAGATGCTAATGATTGACCGGCTGCACCCATTGCTGGCAATGGTTCTGAATCGTGTTCTTCTTCACTGCCGGAACTAATGTCTTCGTAGTCATCGTCATTCTGTACTCTATGAGACTTCGAGCTCTCACGACGATTGCTTTGTTGTTTTTTATGTTGACCTTTCTCTGAACTTGCACTTGGAACCGCTCCTAATCTAGATGCCAATGATAATCCTGCCTTTGATATGGTGGGCAATTGTTCTTCATTATCATTTGTATGATCTCTACGTTGTACTTGTCCTTGTCCTTGTCCATGTCCATGTCCTTGTCCATGTCCATGTCCTTGTCCTTGTCCATGTCCTTGTCCTTGTCCATGTCCTTGTCCATGTCCATGTCCTTGTCCTTGTCCATGGCCCCCTCTCTTACCTCTACTGTCTCTTCTTCCTCTTCTACTTGGTGACTTTGCATGTCCATCTCTTGAAGATGGAGGAGTAGGTAAGTCTGATTTCACTGGTTCTAATTCGGCATGTGCCCATTTACTTTCTAATGGCTTGGATTTATCACTAACTACCGATTTTGAAGGTGAAGGTGTATCCTTCTTGTCCTTTTTCAGATGGACGTTATCTTGTTTCTTCGCTTGTTCTACTAATGGCTCCTCTGTGGCCCATTTAGATACAAGTCCTGTCATAATATGGACTAAAACGTATATATCTTGTCCTTCTACTTTCTTTTAAATTATCCATTCACCCTCTCTTTGTCTATAGAAATTTTCGTTAAACTAAATGTCAAAAAAAAATTGAACTTTACACACAAATTAATCAAGCAGAAAAATAAAATTTCCCTTTAAAATTCACTCAATTTCTTATCTAATGTTGTCAACCATCATACAAAAACAACACTTTAATTTAATCGGGGGGTTTTACCTCTTTCTTTCTTGCTTTTCTTTTTTTCCCAAATGTATCTTCGTCTCTCATAAACTTTCAAGTAATACATCTCTCCCTAAATCCATTAATTTAACCATAGATATAAAATCATCACGATTAAAATAAGCTCCACACATTGTTCTTTTACCAGTAAATTCTGTTCTTGAATGGAAACATCTCCAATTATCAAAAATCAAAACTTGACCAGGTTTCAATTGGTAAAAAAATTCATTTTCCTTATCAGTGATGATCTTATACCATTGTTTGATAGCCTCATAAAACTTTGGTACATCATTTGGATCTTCCCAATTATTCATGGTGGAACGATCTGAAAGATTCCATCTTACTTGAATCAATTTCCCTTGGTCATCCAATTTAAAAATTGGTTGTGGTACATCTGGTTGAATTAAAACAGTTTCCTCTCCTGCAGAATGTGCTGGAATTGGTAATTTTGTTAAGAATTTAAAACTTTCTGGATGTTTCTGCGACATAATTTCTGCGCATTTAAATGCATCAATAAGTGATGTTGTACCACCAGTTCCATCATGATAAAGTAAATGGAATAATTGTAAACCTGGAGTGTCAGACCAATAGGTCCCGTCAGTATGTGAAGAAATGTCAAAGTTTGTGTAAGCAGTGTCATTCTTCAGTAAATCTGATGTAAAATCCCAAAAGCCTCCATAATGTGTTGGTCTAATATAATCTAATCTTTCACATAATCTCTTTGTGTCCTTTAAATTAACTGGAACATTATCAATTAAACAAAATCCATGTTTCCAAATTTTAAATATCCAATCTTTTCTAACATTATCATCTTCCATAACTTGATTAAAATCAATTTTGGGGAGATTATTTTCAATATCTTTAACTTGCCATAATTCTTGATTAATCAGAGGTGGTAATTTTTCCTTAACTATAACTGGATTGTATGCATGTAACGCTAACCAATCTGATTTGTAAATCGATTTATGAATATCTTCGTTATCATCAATCCAGAAGACCGTCAATTGATCCTTCTCAGAAGAAATCAGTTTAGGTTTAATGTCAAGATTAATTAAACATGAATTAACTAATCTTTGTTTGGTTGAATCATAATAACATTTTTGACAATGACAATTATCACGAAGCCAAATTGAATGGAATTTTGATTTACCAACGTTATCAAATTCAATTATAATTTTATCGTCTTCTATTTGAGATGAGCTGATGGTATACTTTGTAGGAGTCATAATGATGAGCTTAAACGATATGATATGGAATTTGGAATATGTGTTCAGATATTAAATATTTATACAGAGGGTTCTGTTGGAGAAATAGTGGGGTTGGTCGTGCACAAATCGACATTTTTAAAGTCTTATCGCAGTGTATGGTAATTCAAAGAGAAGATCCATCAGTGTATGGTAAGTGATAGAGAGAGTCAAAATGAGAAGATAAATGAAACGATAAAAGGAAAGAAAAAAAAATAAACTTGTTTATAACATGTATAATCATTATAAATCTAAACCAGAAAGCAACACAAACTAGTTTTCATGTGGCGGATATCTGTTCCGTTTAGTTTCCGTTTAATTCCGCCTTATTTCCGGCTCCTAAATCTGAAAACCTTTAGGGCCCTACCCTCTGCATTTCATTTTGTAGACGGGCCGACACCCTGACAAAGCGGGAATACTCGGGGCTAGAGGTTGCTTCTACAATAACGCATAAAAATAAAAAGAGTTTTTTTTTTCTTCCCGTATCCAATAAGGAATTGGAATAGGACAATTTAAGCCCCCAAGTTACTAATAACATGCCATGCCTTATCCAAACTTACTATATGGCCGTATTGTAAGTCACTAAAAATGAACAATAGTCCTACAATTTAGTACCACCACATTGTAAAATTTGCCATTAATCAAGTCAGGTCATGGAACAAATCGGAATTTAAGATTTAAAATTTTAAAATTTCGAACTTTTCATGTACGTAATCCTGACTAATTGGGTAAGGTTGTGTGCATAGTTGGAAATCTTACATTTCTGGGTATAAAAAAATTAAAAACATATGTGCAGAATATGCAATTAAACATGGGACAATAAATAGTTTGTGGCATGACAACGTATTTGTTTGAAATCAAACTAGCATCCTCTGATATCCTCCCCCCTTAAATGACCCAACCTCACCCTTGTAAAATTAAATTAATCAATTTATCCCATTAATTGGATGTGCTACGTAATTCTACTTTGAAAGAAAATGTCTGATTTGTAATTTATTGTGTATATATTACCTAATCGATACAACGACAAGAACAGTAAAAAAAAAAAAAAAAAAAAGAAAATCAACGGCTGAACCAAGCGGTTCTAAGTTCCGAAACAACCGAATGGGTCACAAAATCCTGCACACTATTTACGGCCGGCCTTTGGTGGTACCTTAGACAATCATGCGCTACATCGTACTTATTTCCTCTATATATATAAGAGTAAGTATTGGCAAGGAAATTTTTAGGAAAAGAATCAATTGCCACATATATCCTACTTGATAAAATTACAGAATTATTTTTAAAATATGAAATTCAAATCATTATATATAGTATTTTTAAGTTTAACTCTAGCACTTGCGGCTGAGTCAACTAGAGATGAGCATCACCTTCATAATGAGCTGGGTATGGAATTGGGACTGGATATGGATATGAGTGACACCAAGCCCTCCGATAATGATGTGTCTTCTGTTTCGTCGGCGGATGTGTCTCCTACACCTCATGTTTCCCATCATCACCACGGAGTCCCCATCCTTGAAACTAACTTATTACCTGCTGAAAGGGCATACTGGGAAGCCTACAACACTACTACATTTCTTACTTCTGGACAGGGTAACAAAACCAGTCTTTATACACATATCTTATCTCTCTTAACTGCAGTTATATTCATATATCCTCTCGTTATGGTTGCAAAAAACGTTGGATCTAAACGATTTCATATCCCACTTTTTACATTATATTCAATTTTGATTATAATTGCAATTCTTTCACTTTCAATATATGGGAGGAATGCTCCTGATTTATACCCAGGAAATGCATATTATAAGATGACATGGATTCTTACATTCACTACTATTATTCAAATTTTCTCCACGGTATTATATTATTTGAAATTTTCTTCATCTAAAAATTCTATCTCTTATGGTAGAATAAATGATGATGAAGAAATGCAACAATTAGCCTCTGCTAGTTCTGAATCTCCACTTCTGAATGGATCATCATCAGATTGGGAACATTCTGATCGTTTAGAACTTAATCGTATTATGGAGGAAAAGGCTAATAATTCTTCCTCATCGATTTTCAATAAATTCACATCAAATAGATATATTATGATGATTTTAGCCAAACTTGAAATTCTTAACAATTGGTTGGGAGTTTCAAATCTAATCATATTTAATTTATTGAATTGGGGGCATTTCTTCTTTTTCTTGGCTTATATTCCAACTGGTGTTGCCACTGTATTGGTATTAGGTAAAGGAGATACTGTTTTCAATTTATTGGCTCATTTCATCAAGGGAGGTGTATTTTTCTCTCTTGGAATGCTTTCACTTGCTCGTTATTGTGGAGCTTTTGAAGGTCTTGGTTGGGCTTGGAATTGTCGTTATGATTCTAATACTAACTCTACTAAACTTTTACCATTTGTTAGTATGGAAATGGTTGAGAGTTCTTTAATTTTATTTTATGGTTGCACCAATGTCTTTTTGGAACACTTGGCAAACCCAGGTGGTGAATGGTCTGCAAAGGACCTTCAACATGCATCAATTGCCTTTATTTACATTGGAGCTGGTCTTTGTGGTGTAATTACCGAATTAAAACTTAAATCATGGAAACAAGAAAAATCTCTTGAAAAATTATCAATTGCTATTAAAAATGATGATAGTCAAAATAATCATCCTCCAGCTAATCTTGCTACTAAATTCATTCAATGTTCACCTGGATTCTCTCCAAATCCTTTCCCAATCTTCACCATCTTTTGGACTGGTATTTTAATGTCTCAACATGCACAAGCATCCGAATTATCTACTGCCATTCATGTTCAATGGGGTAATCTCTTGGTATATGGAACAGTTTTCAGATTCATTACTTATATCTTAATGACTTTCCTTCCAATCTCTTATAAACTTTTAACAAAACCTTCGAAACCATTGACAGAAATTATTACCAGTTTCTGTTTACTTTGTGGTGGATTTGTATTTATGGAATCTACAGATCCAGTTGTTTTAGGGTTGGAATACAGGGGTTTTACTGCAATGTTTACTCTTAATGTATCATTGGGAATTATTGCATTGTTTATGGCTTGGGAAATGCTGGTATTTGCTTTTAAGGATTGGTTAAAGAAAAGAGTTTAAGTGGTTACTAATATAATTATTCATGCTATTTATGACTGCTACTTCAATTAACTTGCTACTTTAATACCCCTCACATAGTATAGTTAACATGTTTTATTATGCCGTAAAGAAATAGATGTAGGATTACAAAATTAGAAGAAGAAGAAAGAAAAAAGCAAGTCTATAATCATTTCATTGAAATAGGTGATTTAAAAGATGAAATGTTGAAGATTAGCTCCTTAAGAAGTATTTTAGTTGCAATTTTCATGGTTTACATGGTAAAAAGATCTTGTGTATATAATTCATTACCTGTCTCTTTTGTACTTCATTCTTATTTTGTGCGATAAATTTGTTTATCAACCAAAATTGGAGAATTTCATTTAAGGTTCATCAATTCATCAAGTATAAAAACCTTTTCAATAAAGTATTACTATTTGACTTCTGGATATGGACTCTTATCCTCCAAACAATAAGAGATCTAGGGACGAGTTTGACGGTGGTTCTGGTGCTGGCGGACCTCCGCCATTTTCCCATGATGGTCACAACAATGGACATGATGATGGTCTTGCTAAAAGACAACATGTTGACCCAACTACTGAACTTATTGCAAATGTCTGTAAGGATATTCGTAGAATTGGAGAAAACTCTAACCTTGCCACTCAAGTCGATGATATCTCATACATCTCAAACCCAATTGTTGCTGAGTTTGAAAAAATTGATAAATTGAGAATTTCAATTTTAAACACCCTTTACTCAGTTGTTATTGAGCAACCACAAAAGATTAATTCTTTGAGTGTATTGATTTTACTTTGTAACCCAAAGAACTTCCTTGTGGCCAAATATGTGATTGAATTTTTCCATTCTAAAGCTCAAGGACTTATTGATACTTTATTTGAAGAAAGTAAAAAGGAACAAACTGAAGGTGAAAAAGAAGGTGAAAAGGAGGAATCAGCCTCTACTCTCCCACCACAAGAACAACAAGAATTGGAAGAATATGCTGGATCTTTCAATAATTTGAAAAGTATTTTGAAATTTTTGGCTTGTTTATCACCAATAATCTCCAATTACTCTATTGTTGATGTATTTAAACAATTTTTAAAATTGTCGATTGAACTTCAAGATCTGACTCCAGAGGTTAGAAATGGATTAGCTGAAGAAATCTATTATAATACCCTTGTATCATTACCATATCTTTTATGTAATGATTTTTCATCAACTATGAAGGATCATTGTAATGATCTTTTGGCATTGGCTCTGGATTTTAAACATAAAGATAACGTTTCCTACACTTCTAAAGTGTTTGAACCATTCAACTTAAAGGGTTCGAATTTCAGTGACAATTTGCCTTATAAACCAAAGAATATAATTTCCCTTATTTACCCAGCTTTACTTACTTTACAAGGTGAAAATAAACTTTGGGATAATTTAAAAGATAAATTGTTTATTGATTTCGAAGAATTGATTACACCAATTATTGCTAAATCTTTAGAAAATAATCAATTATCAAATGAAATAGTTAAGCATCAATTACCACAATTATCACTCCCAACCGTTGAGAAATTAAATGCTGAATATAAGCCAAAGGGATTAGTTGATACTTTATGGTTCAACACTCCAAGACTCTTATTTCAAGTTTATAACATCACCACTGAATTTGAAACAGTTCCATCGATTGAATCTTATGTTGGGTTATTTTTCAAAGATTTATCATTTGATATTTTAACAAATTTATCATTTAATAAAAATGAAGCATCGATTCAATTATCAATTCTTGATTTATATTTTTCAAAGAATTTATTTGCTCCTCCTGGATCTCCTATTGATCAATTAACTCTTATTAATCAAGATAATTTATCCGGAGAAAATCAACCACCACTTTCAACTTGGAAAATCGAAGATATTGCTATTGAAAGTATTTTAACTATGATTTTCCAATTACCAATTCCATTACATGTTGAAGTGTACTACTACAGTGTTTTGATTTCATGTTGTAGAGAAAGTCCAGATTCTATTGCACCAGTGTTTGGAAGAGCAATTAGATATTTCTACAATAATTTAGAAGTATTAGATTATGAATTGAAAATCAGATTTTTAGATTGGATGTCAATTCAAATTTCTAATTTTGAATTTAGTTGGAAATGGGATGAATGGGTTAAAGATTCCAAACAATTTAAGAATTTGAAATATCATCCAAAGAAGAATTTTATTAAAAATTTGATTGCAAAGGAAATCAGATTATCTAACAAGAATAGAATAAAGGAAAGTTTTGTCACCGTGAATGTTAATGAAAATGGTGGAAATAGTATTGTTCAATTAGATGAATTCTATCAATATTTAAACCTTTCCTTGGTTGAAAATGAAGAAGATTTCATTTTGAATTATGATAGTGAACTTTTTGGAAATTCTGATGAAATTAAAGAAATTTTCCAAACATTATCCAATCAAACTAAAGAGAAAAGATTAGCAAGACTAGAATCATCTACTACTGCTTCTATATCTCCACAAGAAGAATTAATTTACAATTTTTCTCTTCCAACTGTTCCATTGAATGAGATTGCCAATACAGTATATGATTTCGTAGTTGCCAATTGGAAATCAAACAGTGATTTCCAAGATTTATGTCAAGGAGTATTAACTTCAGCAGAAGAAAAATTAGGAGAAAATGCAATTAAGGAAAGATATCTCATTAATTTAATTTTCCAAACATATGTTTATATTGGATCAAGATCTATTTTCTCTGCAGTTAGTATCTTTTCAAGAGACGTTGTTAAATTAAGATATTTAGCTGGATGGAACTTGGAAGATGATGAATATAAAAATGATCCAAGTGGATTCAAATTCACACCATTGGAATTGACAGAAGAACAATTTAACCAAAGACAAACATGGATTACTGAAGCCATATTTAGAGTATGGAATCATCAACCACAAGTTGCATTTTTGATCTTAGAATATTTAATTGATTTCAAAATCTTGAAACCAATTGTTTTGATTGAATATGCTTTTGCTATTAAGAATAATCTTATTATTGAAAATGTTTCATGTATGGAATCTATAAATAGAGTCTTGATAAATCTTTCCAAGAAAGATAGTACAATTATCAATGATCTTTTAATTAAGATTTTTGAATTTATTTGTTCAAATTTGAATATTATTCTGAACCAATTGAATATTCCAAATACTGAAGAAGTTACCATTATCAAAGAATTTGAAGAATCAGACATTGAGAATTTGGAGTTGATGTCTAAAATTGATAATCAATGGCTCTTTTATGAATATTTGGGATTATTGAAGAGTTATCTCAGACGTTATTATTCTAATCTTAATGTTAGTTTAGAAGAAACTACAAAGATTTTCGAAAAAATTGAAAATGAAAAGGTGAAACAAGATGTATTATCTTGGTTAGATGAATTGAAATAAGGAGCAAATGCAAACAAATGAAAACTAAAAAAGAAAATGAATATAGTTAACTGAAAAGTAGTTTAAGGAAGTATTATAAAGATTTAAGAAGAACTATTAAAAAGTTCAATAAATATGAAGTGTAGAACTATTTAAGTGGTATTAATATTCAGATAAATGTCTGTAGGGTGGTAATAATGCGCACAATAATTTAATCACCTGTTCACACGTTATCTCCGAATGTATGATACAATAGACGAAAAATAAAATAAAAGACGTAACACAAGATTCATCTCTTCATACTAAATAAAAATGACAACAAAGGACGAATCATTAGCAATTGAAACTACAAATCTTACTTATAAGTTTGGTACCAGTGAGAAGATTGGCCTTGAAAAAATCAATTTACAAATTCCATGGGGTACTACGAATTTACTTGTTGGACCAAATGGTGCAGGTAAATCAACCTTATTAAAGATTCTTGCTGGGAAAACGTTAATTAAAGAAGGATCCTTAAAGATTGGAGGCTTCGATCCATTCAAGTTCTCGATTAATCGTAATGAGCAACACAATTCCGACATCAATAATCAAATCACATATTTAGGAACTGAATGGGCTGCGAATCCAGTGGTTAAACGAGATATTCCAGTCAAATTGTTAGTTTCATCCATTGGAGGAGAAACCTATCCTGAGAGAAGAGATGAACTTATTCTGATTATGGACTTGGATCCGGATTGGTCCATGGCGTACATTTCTGATGGTGAACGTAGAAGAGTCCAGTTGGTCATGGGATTGTTAAAACCATGGCGTTTACTCTTGTTAGATGAAGTGACAGTTGATTTGGACGTTATAGTCAGATCTAAGTTACTTAATTTTTTGAAGTCTGAATGTCAAACTAGAAACTGTTGTGTCATCTATGCTACACATATTTTTGATGGGTTAGGTAAAAATTGGTGTGATAGAATCATTCATCTTAATAGTGGTAGAAAGACTGATGATGTTGATGTTGGAAATATTTCATTTGTTCACAATGAAAATGGTAAAGATGTAGAGATATCTGAAGAGGAAAAGAGATATCAAATCAAATTGGCAGAATCATTACATCCACTTGCCTTACATTGGTTAAGAGCAGATTTAGAAGAGAGAGGATCTCGTGAAGAGGAAAAGGAAATGATGGCACGTAGACATAATGATTGGAACAATGAAAGAGATGGTAAATATTTTGATGGGGACGCGAGCACTTTGATGAATTATTTCAAGGCTACTAGAAGTTATGAAACTAGAGAATAAACAATACAGATAGTATAAATATGTCATATTTTCAATATATTTTAATTTAATATAATTCTATTATTATTCCTGTTCTATAGTACAAAAGGTAAGATGCTAAATATGTATCAGTCATAAGTTTTCAACTTTCGTTGACCTGTTTCTAAAGTTGCCAATGTATGTGGTGGGGGTATTTAGCTATTAAATTTCCTTTCAAGTTCCAAAAACTTTACAAGTTCATTACTTTTCTTCAATTCCAGTTGAAGTGCCCAACTTTCATATTTACAATGCAAGAGTTCAACGTTTGAATACAGTAGACCTCTAGGAGATGTGTCTTTCGTAATTTCAAATTTCCTTCTAGTTATATTCTTTTGTTGTACAGATGGAGTTGATGGAGTGGTGGGTCCTCTTTTCTGTTGCAATCGATGCTCTATAGGTGCTAAGTTTTCATTGTCGTAGTCATTATCAGTGAATTTATGGCTAGTAACAAGTTCAGGGCATTCCATGGTTACTTTATTAGTGGAAGAAAGAAAGTATCTGTGTATATTTGTTTTTGTGTTTGTGATTTGTTTTGTTTTAGATTGACCTAACAGTAAAAAATAATAGTAATACATATAAACTGTTGATATTTTTGTGCAGGTCCTTGTGGAGGGTACTCCTCTGTTCAAATAAATTCAATAGAATTACAAACTTATATGTAGTTATATTCACGTGAGCTTGTAATACTCAGATTTAAGGATTTCCGGTGGATGAGGGTGTTTTTTTTTGATTATTTCAGTACATATTAGGATGTGTATCCTTTCAAGATTATAGAGTTCATTTGAAACAATCAATTAGAACTTTTAATATTCTATTTATTATTAGAACTCATATTCTGTATTATTTACTATTTGTAGAATATTCCATATAATTTGCATTTTAATAATTTATAAACTTTTTAGAGGAAATCATATTTTTAACATATATGGAAGTTCCATTTTCAAATTAAAGGCTTTTTAAACATTGTTCATCACTATAATATCTTCAAAACAGTAGTAAGAAAAAAATTGGCAATAAGAACGTTGCTAAAATATTTAAGTATTTAAACTGGTAAACTGGGGTTTTCTAAAGACTCCAAAATATCTATGACTTCCTACTCATTGTGCTTATCAAAATAGTTGTAATACCATTAACCATAATAAATATTTTTGTGTTGCAAAACATCGAATGTACAACAAAAATAAAGTTATTCTACAACGACCCCTTTATTATGACTCCCCATCTAACCAATACATTCTACCATTCATATACTAAGATACTAACTCAATAATGAGCTACACGCTTTCCTAACTAGCACGTTTTACACAAAATAGTAATTAAAACTACTTTTTTTTTTTCATTCAATTTATCCCCTCCACCGATTATTACCCCATAAATTAAAAATTTATGGACATACATTCTTATTAAAACATATGTAATATATCCCTTCCAATTCATATCCTTCGTACTTTTTTTTACCTCTCCAATTGGCCTCTTCACAGGTATCTATATAAATCAATATCTACAATATTTCAAGTAATTAACTTTAACTTCACAATATGATCATTATTGTCTCTCCGTAAACTCATAGATCAAAAAAAAAAAATTCAATATTTATAATTAGCCCTGCCCGTTTTAACGACGTGTTCCCAAATTTTTAGTCGTGCCCAAACCAAATATGTGGAAAAAAATTCTCATTAAAGCATAAAGTTGTGTTGTAAATTTCTCCCGTTTATAATTTTTCTTACTGTAGATTTAAAACCTATAATCCAATTAAGAAATGTCTGACGAAAGAACTTTTATTGCTATCAAGCCAGATGGTGTCCAAAGAGGCCTCATCAACTCTATCATCGGTAGATTTGAAAACAGAGGTTTCAAGTTGGTCGGTATTAAGTTGTGTCAACCAACCGAAGCTTTGTTGAGAGAACACTACGATGACTTGCAATCCAAGCCATTCTTCCCATCCTTGTTGTCCTACATGTTGTCTGGTCCAGTTTTGGCCACCGTCTGGGAAGGTAAGGACGTTGTCAAGCAAGGTCGTGTTATCTTGGGTGCCACCAACCCATTGCAATCTGCTCCAGGTACCATCAGAGGTGACTTCGCCATTGACATGGGTAGAAACGTTTGTCACGGTTCTGACTCTGTTGAATCCGCTAACAAGGAAATTGCTTTGTGGTTCAAGAAGGAAGAATTGGTTGAATACAAGCCAGCTATGTTCGGTTGGATCTACGAATAAGCGTGTCCCAGTACTTTTTTAAAATATATGTATATAAAATAAAAAGGAGTAGGTCATTGCTTTAAGCAGTATCTTATTTATTACTTTTCAATGTAGATTTATGTGTGTTTGTAAATTATTGTGTTCTTTGAATAAATAGTGTAGGTAGAGGGGTCGTGTCGATTGTTCAATATGAATCTATGAAGTTCAAAACTAAATGGTTGATAAATATATATGTGATATATACAAACTCCAGTCTAGTAACGTATTAATTATATAGTGAGACTAGATAAAGGGGGGGATGACGCTAGACGACGAATTATTTAATGATCCCGTCAATGACGAAGATATGCTCGAAGGGGACGATGATGATGAAGAAGAAGACGAGGATGATATGAATTTGAAGGATGATGCAATGGAAGATATAGAAGAACAAGGTCAAGGAGAGGACGAGGATGATGTTGTAGAAGAGGAAGAAGATGGAGAAGAAGGCAATGATGATGACGATGACGAGCAAGAAGATGATGATGATGCAGACGATGATGAAGGTGAGGATGGAGACGGTGATAATCCCGATGAATCAAAATATATGGATGCAAAGGAAACACCTGACCCAATTGATGAAGATAAGGAGAATGAAAAGAAGAGAGAGCTTAGAAAAAATAAAGAAGATATTCTCGGGATGCTTCGGGATGATGAAAGAGAACAATCAGAAAAATCGAATAATGATATACAAGAAGATAACAAGACAGATATAAAAAGAGATGAATCCGAGGAAGATAAATCCACAAAGGAGAGTAAGAAATCGTTTAAAGAAAGAATTCAACATGAAGCTGAAGTTGCAACAAAATTTGATATTGTTCCCACTGTAGCTATACCATACTCAACACAATGTCATGCAATTGCCTTCAGTGAAGGACCAAGGTCGATATTAACTGGTGGTGAAGATGGATTCATTCGGAAATATGATTTTATTGCATCCATTGAAGGAAAATCGCCCTTGACCATGGCTCAGAAGCACAATTTGGTTGATACGGTCACAAAGGCTGGGGTAATTGTATCATATTGGGAAAATGAACAACCTCAATCAAGACAAGAAATTTTAAACTCTAATCCAAAGTTGAAATGGGGTGACTTTGCTGCAGGAACAGCCAGTTATGAACCAAAAATCAGCCCAGTGTATTCATTGGACGTCAACAGAAATGGTTACTGGTGTCTTTCTGGTCTGTCATCTGGAGGTATATCCCTCTATTCCATGCGTTATAATGAAGGATCGATACATCATTATTTCATGCATGGGTCGAAAAACCGACAATCTAGTCTTCAAACTGGTCACAAGGACACTGTTTCGGTCATCAAGCTTAATACTGAACAAGATAAGTTTTTATCTGGATCTTGGGATAAAACTATCAGAGAATGGGACTTGAACACAGGTAAATGTATTAATTTATTTCAAGGAAGTTCTGGACAAATTTCTAATATTCAATATCGACCAATGGGTCTCTCAGATATGTCCATTAGTTTGGATGAAGAAGGAGAACAAAATGGCACAGCTACAAAGTCAAGTTCTTCCACTTCTAATCAAAACGAAGACGCACAAAATAGTGACATGGATTCATTATTCGGTGATAGTGACGAAGAAGAAGATGATCAACAAACTAACAAACGTAAATCGACCGAATCTCAAGATACCACAATAAAACCAACCTTCAATAATTCCAAGATATCAAATAAGGTATATGGAAACGAAAATGTTTTTATGAGTTCAAGTATTGACGGAACAATTAATATATGGGATGTTAGATCAAGTGAGAGTCGGAATTCTGTACTTCGATTGGGTGTTCCAGATAACACGCCTCCTTGGTGTATGTCATCTACTTGGTCTAATTGCGGAGAATTTATTTATGCCGGTAGAAGAAATAGTACTGTTGAAGAATTCTCGATAAAAATGCCACACAAGAGATCTAGAACTGGTCATAATAAAGATACTATGACTCCAAATGTGCTGAAAACGCTTCAATTCCCTAAGATTTCGGGACCTATTAGTTCGATTTCTACCATGCCGAATAAGGATTTCTTACTCTGTGGGTCCAATGATAATATCCGTTTATACAACCTTAGTCTTTATAACGGGGTGGAGAATAGTAATATTAGCACTAAATCTAAACCAGCTACACCATTTATGATTATTCCTGGCCATCATGGTGGAATACTTAGTGCCTTATGGCTAGATGATACTGGGAGATTCATGGTCAGTGCCAGTGGAAATAGAGGTTGGGGCCATTCTAACTACACAGAAACGATCTTGCTTTACGAAATTGATTTTGAAAATTAACACAACCATGGAAGTGAAATGTCTATTATAGAATCTTTTTATTTAAAAAACTGAAATAAAATATATCATGAGAGTGAAATTTCCATCTATTTGTTACTTTTTGTAAGTCAAGTTAGATACTATCCATTGAATCCGTAAACATTATTTCTCAAATTTCCTAATCCTACTTGACCAATTGAAACGCTATGCGTTACAACGTCGCTCTCTGCTAGATATCGGAACGTCCCACTAACGGCATTGCTTATTTCAGTAGATAACAAGTTCCCCAACGTAGATACTTCATGCTTGATAGACACTACGGCATTGGATGAAGTTAACATTTTCAGAACTGCATCATGAAACCTATTGTTCTTCGATAATAGGAAATGGAGTATGAACCCAATGAATCCTATAGTGAAACTGATTTTGTAAACATTCCTCAAATATAATGGGAGATGTCCATTAGGTTTTCCTTCTTCGACTTTTGAATCATCAGGTTTAAAAAGTAGTTTTTTAAATAAGATAGATGATGTAGATATGAGCTTAGCATTGACTGCGGAACTGGTGGATGATAAGCTTGATAATGAAGAAGAAAGCAGAATCGACCCGCTATCATTGGATTGGTATTCGGATGCCGAGCTTGCCAATATCTCTTGCTCTCTTAAGATTTCTTGTTCGATTTCATTCGTGTAAATGGTTTGTTTGCATATTTCTTCATCTTGAATCTGGATCCAGCCAGCAAGATCTAAAGAAGAAGTTTCTTTATCTGACAACAAATATTTATATTCCAGTACTTTATCTCTAATTTCTTTCCCTGACCAGCATACGGTGGAAGTAGTCATAAGGACTGAATGTGGGTTAAATTTTTCAAACCAAACACTATATGTTTCATTTGAATTTTCAAGTGTATCTATAGGGTACTTTTTAATTAATGATCTCGCAATATTAAGAATCTTTAACAAATCAGTATCTGTCGTAGATTTGAAAAGATTTGTTGGAGATATTTGAGTATGAACTAAATCTCTGTCAATTTCATGGTAATCACAATATTCATCGTCTAAAGGGATATTTAGATATTGAAAGATATCCTCCTTAAAGTATACGAGTGCTGAAACATACACATAGATGTTTGTCAACACGGAGTTATAACTAAACATAAAGTCCCATATGATTAATATTTGCTGTAGGCTCCCTAAATCATGACTGAAAACAGTCAATATTGAAGATAATCCTTGATAAAATTTGTAATCAAAATGAGTCCCATTGAATAAGAAGAAACCGTTACTAGTTTGTTTAATAAGTTCGAAAAGATCATGGTCTACCGTTTCCAAAATATAAGGGATCAACAGAAGATGATTCACGGAAAGACTGATATCGGCAATCATAAAATCCCTCAAATGATATATGGTAAAATATTCCAATATATTGAATGCCAACTCCTCATCAATGGTATTTAAATCTCTATCGTGGCATACAATCAAAACAATACTGGCAATATCATGAAATCCTTGATAATAATGAAGTGATGGATATTTCCTTAAAATTCTTATAATCAAAGTCAGTAGTTTCTTTTTCAACTCATCTACATCCGACTTGGAAAATATCGCTGTATATGATTCATTATTACCTTCAAGTTGATGGTAAGATTGGATATGAGATAATATTGTGAATGATCTTTGAATATCCAATTTGACTTGCTCCTCATCCTTATGTGGAGGCAAATCAACAACATCGAGGTCATCCAATAAAAAGGACGCCGAGACCTTATCTGATTGAAGCTTAAGCTTCAGTGTGAGCCCAGTGGAATCCACAGACTTGGTCATAGATGAACTCAAGGATGATGAAACTGATGGAGGTACAGTATTGTTTTCGGAAAAGTCGGAATGAATCCCAAGGAGGACGGGCCAAATCTTTGACCTCAACTCGTTATTAATAAGGCCATCGGTCGACTTCAGATACTCAATCAAGGTCTCAATGTCATTCCTGGAGTATGCTTCCTCCAAAGTCTTTGCCTTGAGATTCCTGATAGGCTCACTTAACGGCTGTTCGTCCGAATTATAAAATGATTTTCCCAACTTGTCAATGTCCATCGACACCCAGTCTGGATGCAGCAGATGCGACAATGCGTTGGAGGTGTCAATGGAAAACATTGTCGTGTTTCAATGTCTGTGATACTTAAGTTATTGTTTATATTTGTGAAGTTGTCGCAGAATGAGATACTGAAAATGTTGAAAAGATAGAATTTTGTACTAATACTTCCGCTCACAAGATTAATCAGTAGGGTCTCTAATGTTTATTTTGAAGGAACGTAAATTTCGTTTCTCCTTCTTCTCGGTTTGTTTTTATATGTTCAATATATGGTTATATTTCAGTTTATGAGATGTTTGCTGATGGATCACCCCTCCCCCATAGTTGTGTATAGTATGTAGGTAGTAGATGATCATGTGTGTCGCGCACGACTTTAAGATAACAAAAAAATATACCACTTTTATATTACTATGCTCTAGAGAAATATTAGTTAGTAAGGAGCTACACTGGTAATACTTGACAATCAAACTTTTGTAAATATAATAAATGTATATATATATATATATATATACTTTTTTTTCAGACATTTTTCTTTTGTATTTTCTCTGCTTAAACTTACTTTCAATAATCCTATAACGCATTCTTTCTAGTAAGATAGTCGAACCGAGAATATGTGTAACCAATAAAAGGAAGATCTTCCTTGGCATTTCCACCATTTTTCATGAGTTGTTCTCTTTGTTCTGCTGCTTGAGTTAAAGCAGGAGCATCAGGAACATTCTCAAGTTCGTCAGTTGGGAAGAAACGTGTATCAGTAATGGATCTCAATTTTGGAATAAATGGAGCATCAACTTTTCGAATCGTTTCCCAATCCACCCCTCTGAAGAAAGGATGTTGTTTGATTTCATCTGCTCCTCCATATCTTCCAAGCCTATTTTCAGCACTGCTTAAAAGGCTTCGAATCAAATCCTCTGATTCTGGAGAAAGATGAATATCTTCAGGAAATTGTAAGGATTCTTGCCAATTTAAAATCTTTCTATAAGTTTCATGTGGTGTTTCAGAGCAAAATGGTGGCCATCCAACAAGACATTCAAACATAATGGCACCAAGTGACCACCAATCACACTCTTGACCATAACCTTGATGTATAAAGATTTCTGGTGCAATATAATCTGGTGTACCAACGGTGGAGTATGCCATCAATCTTCTTGATTTTCTCCATGTTTGCATCTGTTGTCTATTTGACATAGTCAAATGAATTGCATCTACCATCATAGAGTTTCTCCCATTGTTAGCTCCACCAGCAGCTGCTGGAGATAAATGATTATTGTTTGATTGAGGTGGCTCCTTTTCTAAAAGTTTACGATAATAATTTGAATCATGAGTCTTATGAAACCCTGTTGAAAGTCCAAAATCGGAGAGTTTAATGTGTCCTCGTATATCAATAAGAATATTATCAGGTTTGATATCTCTATGAATAAAACCTAGTTTATGAATGGCTTCAATTGCTAATACACATTCTGCCATGTAAAACCTTGTGATATCTTCGGTGAAAATTTGCCATCTGATCAACATTGTCATTAAATCACCTCCAGGTAAAAATTCCATAATTAAATACAAATATTGTGCATCTTGGAAAGAATAGTATAAGGAAACTACCCATGGAGAATCAGAGCCTGCCAAAACATCTCTTTCAGCCTTAACATGTGCCAATTGATCTTTCTTGTACATCTCAGATTTTAATAAGGTCTTCATAGCATAGATTTTCCCGGTATCCTTCTTTTGTACTAAACGAACCTCCCCAAATGCACCTTTACCAATAACTTTGACAGTATTAAAATCTTCTAATGCAAGCTTTGTTCTTCGAAGTCTTAAAAATTGAGATTCCTTCTTACCCAAGTTTTGTAATTGTCTATTTTTGCGTTCTTCAGATGATCCAGCGTCTTCAACTGTTAATTTATGTTCCAAATCTAATCTTCTTTGGTTTCTTTCAATAGCATGAGAAACGGACATTTGATAATAATTTTCCAATTTTAACTTCATTCCTGAGGCTTTATCTTGTGAAAATTTACTCAATACGTCCGGATTACGGTCAAAATATACATAATTGTTTTTGGTAGGTACCTGACTACCGTTTGAAGGGTGCTGTTGTGATTGACTCTGTTGAGCTAATTGTTGTGCATGGAGTTGTTTTGCTTGTTGTTGTGCCTGTTGTTGGGCTAGCTGTGCCTGTTGTTGAGCATGTTGTTCAGCTTGTTGCTGAGCTTGTTGTTGAGCTTGTTGTTGAGCTTGTTGTTGAGCATGTTGTTGAGCTTGTTGTTGAGCATGTTGTTGAGCTTTTTGCTGTGCTTGCTGCTGTGCTAGTTGTGCCTGTTGTTGAGCTTGCTGCTGTGCTTGTTGCTGTGCTTGCTGTTGTGCGAGCTCTTGAGCCTTCTGTTGTTCTTGTCTATAATGTTCTTGACTCTCGCCTCCTCCCAAGCTATGTGTACTTGCATTTGCGTCGCCATAAATCCCTTCTCCGTTTCTTCTTATTGGGGGCATGACTCCCGCAAGTTCTCCCTGTGGATGAGAACTTGAGAAATTGGAAGTGGTATTACTTATTTCCGACAAATTTGTATTGCTGATATTACTTAATTGAGTAAAATTAGACATCATGTTTTGAGAATTGGCAGTGGGTGGAGTAAAGTTCAATGAATTTTGAGAATCAATGGATTGGAAGTTTCCATACCCACCGGATTGAGGACCTCCCATTCTTGAAGGACTACTACCCAATGAGCTCTGGAAACTAAACTTACTGGATGAAGCAAATGCAGGAGACTTCTGGTACGAAGTATTTTCCATTGTTGGAGAGCCAGCATATTGATTAATATGATCTACTGTGGTGTCTTCATCCATATAACTATCATCATAATTCGATGGTTGTTGTTGTTGTTTTTGTTGTTGATTTCCGTACAGAAGATTTGGAACTTGTTGCTTAAAGAGTCCTTGTTCGTGTTGAAGTATATGTTGTTGTTGTTGCTGCTGCTGTTCCTGTTGATGTTGTTGCTGTTGTTGTTGGTATTGAAGCTGTTGCTTCTGCTCCGCAGTTAGATAATCGTAGTTCATGGCGCAGTCCAGTTGTAAATCACGTTTGGCCGTCTATAGATTGAATTACTTCTCTCCCTTCGTCTGACAAAATAAGATTATACAACACGATTGGCACGTTGATCAGATATACTCCCAAAGAACTTGCTACAAAAAAAAAGAAATTATTGCAAACTAAAGTACTAACTTTGTAATTAACAACAAACGTATAATCGAGTACTCGAATCAAACCGGAAACGTAAAAAATAAAAAACATAAAAAAATAAAAAATAAAAAAAAATAAAAAAAGTCGCAAGAGAAAAAATCTATGTGATAAAACTGAATTGAAGCAAGTTTATGTCAGTAGCAGTTAGTTATATAATTTTACTCGGTATACATTAAACACACCGTACTAGATATTAACTCCTCTTTGTAAAATCTTATATATTGTTCATATACCAATTATGATGAGCAAATCTTAAACAATTGTATAAATAAAGCCAATAGATCTTGATTATTGCTCGTCAAGTTAAAGTGTGAAGGTTTTACCGCGATTACCTTGAATAGGAGAAACTTCGTACAAGCCAAGTCGCCTCGTATGCACCACACATAAAATTATTTCATTCATAATGAATAGAACTAGTTTAAATCCGACTACATTTAGTACTCTGAAAAAACCATTTCCGTTTCCCAAATACATTATCCTCTACAAATCTTCTACAAAGTCTGTCATTCTCTTTTTCTGTTTGTCATACAATTTTTTATTACAAAACTCTAAGTTATAAAAACCATGCGAAAACACTTGCAAATATATATATAAATGCTTACACAAATAATTTGAACGTCAACATAATTAGAATAGACTTAAAATTGCAAGGCTTGACCCTTTTGCTTCTTGTCACCACCCAATTCGAAGTGCTTACATCTCTTCAAGGACAATTGAGCCTTGGTCTTGCAAACAACACATTCCAATCTCAAGACAACCTTCTTGGTAGTCTTAGCCTTCTTGTGGAAAACTGGCTTGGTTTGACCACCGTAACCCTTTTGCTTACGGTCATATCTTCTCTTACCTTGGGCAAACAAAGAAGCCTTACCGGCCTTGTATTGGGTAACCTTGTGTTGGGTGTGCTTACGACATTCCTTACCCTTACAGTAGGTCTTTCTGACTTTTGGAACGTTAACTAGAATCTTGTTAGTAAAATTGATATTTTTAGAAAATGAACTTGGAATATGAAGTCAATCTAGATGGCCCTCAAGATTCATGACACAGTTAATCGCGAGTATATATTGGATTCCCTTATTCCAATATTGTTGCTTCGATCAGTACAAGCATTAATATTGTCCTTATTATTTCTTTCATTGAATTTCAGTCATCTGGAAAAGTCTTCCAACAGGTTTAAAAGTTATCGGTTTCAGTTCTCTTTCCCACTTCTTTAACATGGGTGGTATCATCCATTGGATCCTTCTAGTCTTGACTATTCATATTATAGTATCACTCTACATACCCATTGTGTCTGATAATTTAGCTAAAGTAAAGTTCAACAATTACAATTTTCCAAAAAAGTATTGATGTAAAGCCTAACCAGTGTATCCAGAGGGTGTGCGTGAAAATTTTCGATGGATTTTGTGTAATATAGTTTTTTCTCACTGTAGTCACATGATTAATTTCATTACTAGGTTTCAGCCCTAAAGTCGCATTTTTCTTGTACAACGAAATAACGTACAGAAAAACAAAAAATAATAATTAAATAGAAATGAACTCTTTGGCCGTCTGACCTGTATACAAATTAAGAATGCTTGCATTCAATTTTGGCTGCAAAAGTACTTAACTAAAAAGATAGTATATACTTTAATTGGAATGAATTATTGATATACAGACTTCATTAATGAAGATTACCATATCTTGTTCTACAGTTCTAATTAAACATTTAATTTTATATTATTAATCCTATAAACAATAAGTAATAAGCTAGGAAAAAGCCATACTTTGATATTGTGTTTCCCTAGTGATGATAAACATAATTCGCTTGATTTGGCAAAAAAAGAATAAGGGAAGAGTAGAAGAAAATGTAGAGAAATGAATAGAGAGAAAGCAACCTTGTCTTTATATTTGTCTTGCAACCTCCATCAGAATACACATTGGTGACCATTTAACTTCTAGTGATAGTGGTATACACGGTTGAAGTCAGAGTAACGGTTTCAATATCCTCATCGTCATAGTAATCGTAGTTCACAACACAAACACCATCTGATGTGTATGTTGATACGTTTTCAAGTATCCATGATCCAGCTGATGTTGGAATACTGGCGGCATTAGTGATAGTTGGACCGTCCGTAGTGCCAGTTTCGGTAGTCTCCACTACAGTAGAAGTTGGTACTTCTTCTGTGGTTTGTGGAGTGGAAGCTTGAGCGGTGGTTGGTGTTGTAACCGGGTCGGCTTGTGTGGTAGTTGGTGTATTTTCCGTTGTGGCAGGTGTGGTTTCCGTTGTAGCAGGAGTGGTTTCGGTCGTGACGGGAGTGGTTTCGGTCGTGGCAGGTGTGGTTTCAGTTGTAGCAGGTGTTGGAGTTGAAGTGGTTGTTTCTGGTACATTGGCAGGGGTATCTTCATTAATAGTACTTGAAGTAATAATGTCTGCTACTGCTGAATCAACTGGAACATCCAAGACTGTGGTATATGTCATTGGGGTACCAAATACCGTCGATGTGACAGTAGCTGTGTAGTGTGTAAAGGTAGTAGTAGTTGTATCCACATGAATGTTTGTCTTGGTAGACATCACACCTTGAACTGTCTGGGTGTCAGTTATGACATTTTGAACAGTTTGTTTAACACGAACAACCACGACGTCATCGTCGTCGTCACGTTTACCGTTTGCTGGGGCGGCAATTGCGGTTGGAAGCAAATATAAAGATGCAAGGGTAATCAAAAGAGAAGAAAACTTCATGGTAAAGAAGGACTGTAGTTAGATGTAGAGAATGCTGAGTGAGCGACTGGAGTGAGTAAAGAGAATGCTGAGTGAGCGACTAAGGTTAGTTTGAAAATATCACTAGGTACTTATCTTTGTTGTAAACTGTAATGTAATTGTACAAGAATTTAAGAGAGAATGTTGAGATATTCGTCCATATATAAATTGAAGTAAATGACAAAGGAGTGGGCTGGTATAATCTTCTTTGGGCTATAGTTGCCCCAAAAACGGGCATTGGGAGTATAAAATAGAAGCTACATGAGTTAATCCTGAATTGCCGAACCATTTAAAGTACCAAATACGCGTCATACATTGTTAGAGAAGGCTGGTTAAAATGCAATAGAAGAGGTACAATCCTCATAGTGTGACATCACTCCATAATAAACACATTTTATACGTCTACATGTAAGATCTGGCCTATCATTGATGGCGGTCCTGGTTGCTAAGGTCACCACCACTATGGCTGGCTGCGAAATTTGGGCATAATTGTGCAGGACCGCAGCTGGCTCTTACCGGATTCAGAACCAACATTCTTGACCGAATTTTCTTGGATTCGGTTTCGAGTTTAGCCATTGGATGTTGAATGGTGGTTGCACCTAGGCGTACTCTTGTGGTAATAATGCTGTTTGGGTGAAAGAAGCAACACATATTCTATTGTACTTCTCCTTGTATCAAAAGAAAAACCCAATTTTTTCGTTAGCTGGGATTCAAGACGGATATGCGCAAGCACGTGATTTTAGTCGAAAAGTGCCGGAATTTACAATTTTGCCAGAGAATGAGTAAAATTGACATTAAAAAAGAGTAGAATAAAAGAATTTTAAGGTTGAAATGATCCGGAAAATGACGTTATACTTCAACCTTAAGCATGATTGAGTTCGAAAGTTCTTTATTCCCTTTTTTATGTAAATATGTACACTAGTGGGAGATTTGGAGATACACATGCTCAATTCCCTATTAACAAGATTATATGGCCCAGAATATATAGATAAATATCTGTTTTTTAATGGCATAGTCTTAGACATTATGTCTATCAGGAGCTGTCCTTTGAATTTACAACCTCTGGTCATGGTGGAAGAGACTAGTCTATCATTCAAGATTATGTGTGTGCGTGCGATACTCAATTTCATAAACGGGGTGAAATCCACTTCCGAACAATTTTTACCGGGTGAAGTAACCCGACCATGTTTATTCCGGTCAAAGCGTAGACAGGATTAACTGCAAAAATATAACATCTAAGATTATCAATTTCCACCACCAATAACTTATTAATATCGCGATCTCATGAGCTATTACCCTTCTAATGGTAACCCATTGACGTTTCCGTCCTATAGTCAAAATAGGCAAGCTCAACAACTCCCACAACAAATCCCACAACAAATCCCACAACAACAACCGCAACAACAAATCCCACAACAACAACTGCAGCAACCACAACAGCAGCAGCAACAACAACAACAACCACAACAACAACAGCAGCAGCCACAACAGCCGCAACAATTGCACCAACAAACTCAACCACAACAACCACAGGCACAACAACCACAGGCACAACAACCACAACAATCACCGCATACCCAAGTTACCACTACTGCCCAACCACAACTTGAAAATACACAACAGCCTCAATTTGAGGAAAAGGTAATAGTAGTAAAGAAAGAACGTAAAAACAGACCAGGTCAAAGGTTTGGTGCCAAAAAGAAATCTTGGGTATGGTCTTGGTTTGTACAAGATGCTCAGGATGCTAATATTGCCGCCTGTGACTTCTGTGGGAAGGTTATAACTAGACTACTGTCTGATAAAGGTTCTCCTAAGAAACTTAGTGAGCATTTGAAAACTCACAAACTTACAAAGGAGTCTATAAACAGTACGCGGCCAATTCCAATAGATGGGAACGGTATAACATATGCTCCGAACGGTATGCCAATGAGCTATGTCACAAACTATTCGGGTCACTCTACTGATGAAACAGATATAAAGCATAAATATCCAACAGGTCCCCCTACAACTGCGACCTCGTCCGCTAACACAGTATCTAGTGGTACTTCAATGGTTGGTGCCCCAGGCTCTAGCAACAATGCCCCGCCTTCTTCAGTAACCTCTTCGGGGGGACCTAATTCCATTAATTCTCTTAATTTTGATCTTAACAGAAGGTATGGATTAGGCGAGTTCGAAAACTCTCAATACACAGCTATGAAATTTCATAAACATATCATGAGCTTCCTCACTGAGAATAAACTTTCAATTAGTGTTATTAAATCGCATTCATTTAAGCAATTGGTTTATGATCTAAAACCAGATTCGGTAGCTGATGTAAAGGAATTAACTACCTTGTACTCTTCCTTGCTTGAAGTAAGCAGATTTGAAAATAATTCTAGTTCACAAATTAATCACATTGATGTCCCAACAACTACAGAATCTAATATGGTGAATACTCTTGCTCGGGTTGTGGAAAAGGGGGTATCAAGTGTGGGTGGTAGCCTTAACTAAGTTCTGGTTACTTTGGCTTTTGTTGCAATTACATTTGCTACTTTTTTGGGGGTAATTTAGGTTTGTACTATAGGGTAAAATTCATTAATAATAATAATAATAATAATAATAATAATAATTATTATGATCAGGATATTTGGGACCACCTCTACAACTTTGAACTTTGCTCGATGATGACATCATTATGGGTCTGAGCAAGTTTCCATGTGTCCACTACTCTTTTACTTATACGTCTTTCAGTTCCTTCTTGCATGATGTGTGTATAAAGTAAATCGATCAATTCTATGGGTATGCATAAAGAGAACTTTGATATTTTCTCTGTGGATGGAATGTAAGCCTTTGCATCATTAGAAAGTAAAATTTCAGGTAATCTCACTTGAGCATTTGAGCATATTACTCCTATTAGATTCCCATTCAGAAAAAGCCCTCCTCCAGAGGATCCATTCCAACATGAGGATGTAGTGATCATTAGAATTGGATATTTCCTCTTGGAATCAGAGAAAAATGGAAGCAGAGATACTGTCGATATCACCCCAGAGGCTACTATTGGTTGTAGGTCATTGCCAAGAAGATTCAAGGTGGGCGAAAGAAATAGTCCAAACCCCACGGTATGTGCCTTGTCGCCGACTGAATACTCTCCTCTTCTAGAAGGTGAAATATTATCCACTGATTGTAATACTTGTTGATTCGCAGTGGATAATTTGATATAAGATAAGTCCAAACTTTCAAACGGAGTTACTATTTGATCATACCCCACTACTGTAGAATTATACTTTGAAGTCACCATGGTCCCATTCATCTTTTCAAACTTCAACTCAATTTTGGTATCTTTATCTAAATAGATCACAATTTTAGATTTGGCCTTTGTGTTAACCACATGGTCATTTGTAACGATGGTGCTTCCATTGTAATATATTCCTGACCCCCAATATACTCTGTGGGTTTTGGGATCTTCGACTGTGATGGCGACAATTGAATTATGTAATGGCTTCCCCCTTGTGTTCAAAGTATGCTCGTCGTGATCTGTTTGACATAATACCTTGAATATTCTATTCCAACTAAGTATACAAGTCAAGTCTCCATCTCCATTTAATTTCCTCAAATTTCCCAACACCAAGCCAACAGAATTTCCTCCTGATTCTTGGACGACTCCACCAATCATATTCTCCAAATACTTGATGTCTGAGAGAAATGCCAATTCATTCTCACCGTCTGATATTCTAAAGTTAAGCATACCCTGAGATAAAAAGTTTGAGAAAAGCGCTGGATTGGTAAAACTAAAAGGGAAACTTTCAATGGTAATAGGCTTATTATTATTACTGTTGTTGTTGTTGAAATTCATTGGCTTCAAAGAAGAAGATACCGATGAATGAAACTTGTTATAATTAACTTTATCCACCATTTTCAAATTCAATATATTAATAGACATCAAAGCCTTGATATTGTTTGTGAGTTTCGTTTCTATTGGGATTAATCTGAATCCATTTTCAAGCATTTCCTTTAGTGTCGTGTACAATTTGTCATCTTCCCCACATTTCAATTTATTGAAGATTGGGAATACGTTATCACAATTAACTGGATACCAGAGAATCTCAGTATCGGTAACTGAAGCTCCAGATGTCAAATACAAATTATAGCCAGATTTCAACTCTTCGTAAGGAATAGAAGATATCGTTATAAAATAATGTTCGAGTGTAGCTTTATTCTTGTCGACAACGTAAATGCCTGAGAATGCAAAAGTTTCAAGACTACCTTTAGGAACAAGCCTTATACAGATAGGGGTATACCAATATCCCATTCCGAGCTCTCTACTTTCCATAATCGTAATTCTTGAGAACCTCCTGTGTCCTCTAAATCTAATCGAAGAAGATATTGTAGAATGTCTCTTCAACAAATTCGTTATCAATTCTTATTTTCTGTTTTTTTTTTTACTTTTCCGATTTATTTTTTTAAAGGGAATAACTAAAGAAATTACAAAGGGATCTTGATCGTAAATCATTTCTATTTAAATCTAAGTATTCACATATATAAATATATAATTATGAATCATTTTGAAGAATCACTTTTAGCAGTTTTAAATTCTTCATGATATGGGTATTGGTGTAAATGGGTAGCTTCATGATTATTTGTGCGCTTGGCTAATGGTGGGAGAATTGGAGGTAGATGTACATCTTTCCCAGTATTAAACACATGAGACTGAATAAACTGTTGTGGTTGTTGGTGTATAGGCTGTATTTGTCCAGGGATTGTAACTGGACCAAGTTCAGATCCAGATCCAGTCCCAGTACCAGTAGTGGCAACTGTCGTCAATCCTGGATGGTGTTGTACTGTATATTGCTTTTGTTGCAAAATATAATTTGCATCAACTTGTTTATTTGTTGATAAGCTCGCAACACTAATCAGATGACGGTGTGGAATTGTATATATTGATACATTCTCTCCTTGGTTATTTTGACTCAACTTTAATTGTGAATAAATATAATCATCAAGAAATTTTTTAAGATTTAGAAATCCATTCGATTGATTAATATTATTATCTCTGTTGTTTGTATTAATCTTGTTATTAATAATATTCATCCAATCTTCCATAATCATATCAAGGTTTTTCAAAATACAATAAATAATTCCGTCAGTAATTGTAAAATCATCATTTTCGAAATTTAAATATTCATCAAAATCTCGTAATTGACATGTTAATCCATTTGGAAGTTGAACCTTACAACAAATTTCCTTCATGATGTAAATAAGACATTGAAAAATATAATTATTGGACAACTCATATTCATTACTTTTTTTTGACTTGGTATTTAAAATTCTGGTTTGATTCATATGCATATCATGAATACTTTGTAATCCTGAATCTTGCAGTGTTGATCTTTGATGGCCCTTAACATTGCCACTATAAATGTTTGAGTCATTTTTCAATCCAATGATCAATTTAACAATGGTCAAATACCACTCTAATAATAAATAATTGAATCTTTTCTTTTCAAAACTATTCCAATGACCATTCAGATTATGACTGATTTTAAGACATTGATGATTAAATAAAATAGGCAAACTTGCAATTCCCAAGTTATTATTGATGAAATGGTTCTGACTTTGGTTATTACTCAATGCTTCGAAAAAATGAGGACTATCTTCTTCTGTATTTTTATTATTTGTATTGTTATTATTCCCCAGATTTTTAGTGAAAAATGGTAATAAATACTTGATGAATTTCAAATATTCATCCTTTTTAACTTCTTCATCTTCAATATTGGTATGATTATCAATTTCATTGAAATCGTTGAAAAATGTTTTGAAGAATTCATTGAATTTAAACTTCAGAAAGATTTGACTTTCCTGAAATTGATTAATATTCAAATTATAATTTTCCAAATTAAACTCTTTAATTGAAATATAAAGTAAGTTCCAATTAAAGCTTTGGGATGGATTGAAAATATAATTATTCAACATTCCTTGATATTTGGTTGGACTATTAATTATCATTTTCTTCTTAAGCATTTCAAAAATATAACTTCCTCCATTGTTATCTGAATCATTGAATGATTTGTTAGCCAATATAATTGAATTGTGTAAAATACTTTTCAGTTTATATACAAACATTTTATCATAATGAATAAAACTTTGAAGCTCATTTGATAACGTAATAACCACTATTTCATTATTAAAACTTGAAAGGCTTTCAATTGTAGAAGTGGTAAGATTTTCCATAATACTAACTAATGTATCAGAAGATTTTGAATTATTTGTATCATTTAAAGTTTTCCCCAATAATATTTTATAAATCTTTGGAGGTGGATGATTATTCATCATGAAATAATTTGATAATAGAATATAAATGCTCCAAAATAAAGACATATTTTCATCTATTATGTTATTGGATCCATTTGCAGTCGTTGAAATACAACTCATAGTTGAATGTAATGATGATGAACTTGAAGATCTGGAGCTTCTTCCGGAGTATGTCTTTTGTACGCTTTCTTCTAAATGAGACATTATAATGTAACTAATATCATCAAGATAATTGAAAATGATGTCAGAACTGATATTATTAGATGATATGTCCTTTAATCTCAGATCTAGTTGGAAACAAATATATGAAATTGTGAACAAATTCTTCAATATCATAATTTGATCATGAATAATATCAAAATTGACTGGATTTGGAACTTTGGAAGATGATCCTGGAGAAGAATCAACATGATTAGTATTGGAATTTAATCTTGGAATTAGATTTGTAATAAGTAAATTCCATGATTTCATAAACAAAAGTATACAATCTTGGATATCTTCATAGTTGGAAGCCCCAATGGCTAACAACGAATATAATAAACATATTTTACATTCTATCTCAAGGATCTTTTGCGAATCAATGGGAGTAATGTTAAGAGAATGGGTATAATCATTAAATTTTGAATAAAATCTTCCAATGAGTGAAATGGTTGAAGAATTGGAAAATGAATCAATAAAATCATCCATTTCATTCCCCAATGTATCAAGGATAGGAAACTTGGACTGATTAATATTCCATGCAAGAAAATAATCATCTGGTTCTCTTGAAGTGTTTAATCCATGAGGTAAAATCACATTGAAATTTGATAATATGTAATGAATTTTAGATGATTCCTTTGTTTGTAGAATTGATATTTTATCAAAATTAGAAAGTACAATATTCAACTTCTTTGATAATGATATACTGTTGATAATTGATTTATGCATATCAGTTGATTTGGATATGGATGCTGATGCAATAGAAGTAGAGCTATTTGGGCCACTAACCGTCAAGGAGGTATAGCAATTTGGAGGGCTTCCAACTCCATTCGAATGTATGGTAGTGGCGGCGGATGGTACTAAAATATTATTGCTATTAGGATGAATGGGTATCATTAAAGAGACTGGGATATTGTCTGGATGTCCCTGTTGTTGTTTGTATACATCGTATGGATCTTCTATTTCTTCAGGAGATACTGGTGATGATATCAGGTTGGATTTCCTAGACTTATTAGACGAATTTGGAACCATGTTGACATTGTGAACCGTCCTGCAGTGTCTTTGAAGAAGGTCTCTCCTTACAAACGCAGATGTACAATATTGACAATGGAATGGTTTCTCATTCGTGTGACTACGTTCATGCCTCTGTTTATGCTCTGATCGAGAGAATGCTCTTGCACAAAATGCACAAATATACTTCTTTTGAGGTGCCATATATGTGGTGTGGTAGTGTGTAATAAGTCGGGCAGGTATGTCGTTGCCCTTGCTGCAAAATTTAACACGCTAGTATATATGTATATATAGATAATGATTTTCTTGTTGCTACTCTGTATAATAAAAAATACAATTTTGGCAAATATCAAAAGTTTCTACTCCCTTTCATCCAGATGCGTTCTTTTTTGACAACTCATTTCACAGATAGACTACTCTATATATTAGTATTAACTCCACTTAGTTGACATCAACTTTATGCCACATATGGAAATTTTGTGCGGCGCACGTTGCAAATGTGTATGCATGAAAATATAAAGGGATTCCCCACTGTGAAAGGCAGTATTTATTTTTTGCGGTTTTTTTTTTTTCTACTTATAAAAAATTTATTTACGGCGGATGTGTGTGTGTTTTTCCGCTAAAATCAACTTGTTGGGTTATGATGGAGACACAAAATTATTTCTTGGTCAAATGATTAGGCTTGGTCATTAGTTCTACAATGTGGACATTTCTGAAATATGCATTGTTTGTTGTGTAGGTGGTTAATTTCTTAATTCTTAACTCTTATTATTACTCTATTGCGGGGCTACAGTGGGGGGGGAGGGGGGGAGCACGAGGTGTTAAAAAGAAAGAGAAAACAAATGTCTATTGATGTCAATGCCAGTAAGTAAATAAATGTCACTGGTTCTTCTTTTGTATTGAAATGGAAGCTTTAAAATATAATTCCCCAATTTGAATTTGTTCAAATTCTCGGACTTCGTATATTGGCAGAATCGTAAAGAATCAAAATTTAACGTGTCTCACGGAGAACCTTGCAGGAGGGGTAATTTCAAATTAGTTGGATTTAATCGCTTCATCTCCGTTCCGAACATTTTTAATTTGCTAAACTCCATGAACTTTTGTACCTTTGCTAACTTGTTCAAGAAGGTTTACCCCAGATTTTTTTTTTTTTTTACACACAAAATAAAGAACGAATTTTAGCACTGTAATTTATTTTTTGTTCTATAGTCCCCAAAATTTTTCATTAAAGTGGGGGGCGTTTACAAATAATTCCTTCACGATTATGACAAAAAGTAAACACGATTATTGTGTATCCTCTCAAACATGCATACTCTCCTATTTTTACATTTAGCTCATCTCTTCATATTCTTTATCTCGATGTTAATTTTACTCGGGTGACATCAATGTCATGCATTTAAAGATACGAATCACCCACGGAATTAGAAAAAAAAAAGTAATGAGATTCGTAACATTCAACTATTTAATAACCTTATAGGGAAAAAACAAACTCCGTAAGAAGCATATGAAATGGATATTTAAGTTTACAAATTTCTCATTTTTAAGGTACATCCTACTAGAAATCTTCCGATTATGGATATGGTAGTATTACAATCTATAACTTAAACCAAAATAAATAATAGGTTCGGTTTAATTTCTCAATCCCCCCTTCTCTAAAGTTTAGCAACTTATCAACTAAAAACGTATCAACATTCAAGTTGATAAGAAATTCAATAAAGTTAACTTAATTCTAAACATCTTGGTTCACTCAAATATGGTATTTTTATCTCCTTCTTGGGTAATAAATTTTTGTTTTGTTTTCTAGAATTTAAAATTGAATTTAAATTAATCATTATCATTCTTCTATTGCTTTCCCATAGACCTAACCCATATATCACTATCATCCATATTTCTCCACAATCTACTTATTGATATTCCCAATAAATATTTCTTCTTCAGTAATTCATCTTGTTTTGCTTTAAGCTTTTCCACTGCATTATTAATTTTTAATCTTGTAGCATAATCAACTTCTACATTATATGGTGGTAAAAGATTTTGTAAAAATTCAATCTCTTTAGTAATTTTTTCAATCTTTTTAGCATATTGATCATATTTTTGTTGAGTGTATGCCATATTTTTTTCTGCATTTGCAGCAGCAATAGAATCAGTTGTAGGACTTGAATTGGATGAAACACTAGTTCCTGAAGTTTTCCTACTTGATGTAGAATACAGATTTGAATCTGGACTAGATATAAGATCATGAGACACTTTCCGTACTGTAAATCTAATAGGCTTCTTTTTAGGAAGGGTACCGAAGGTCTTTGAACTTTCATTTTCTGTTAATGGAGGTGATATTGATGTTGTTTGTGGTGGTTTATCGTTTGCTCGTATCTCTCTTTCTCCTCCTATTGTTTTATTTTCCTTTTGATCTACAGGTTCTAAAGTTCTGTCATATAGTTCCGAATAGGAGTCATTTGGATTGATGCTGACTGGTTTACTCTTGGTCTCTAAACTCTCAATCAAATCACGAGTAGACCCATCACTGGACAATGAAGACAATGATGGAGTTCTATTTATTTCTTTGTCTAATAGTTGCGACATGATTGATTATTGAACAATGAGGGAAGCGTACTGAACAGGGGGAAAAAAAAATATAGTCTTGACAAGTTAAGGTTCCTTTTTTTTGATTTATTTAATTAGTGAATTCAAATCCCCCAAATCTTTCTTGTTTATATGATTTGTAAAATTTACGTGTTTTTTTTAAGAATATTTATTTTTAAATATTATTTAATAGGTCCCCCCTTTCGCGCGGAAGTGTTTTCCTGCATGACGAAGGTTAAAATTGTAGTTTAAAACTAATCTCTAACGTTCGTGAAGGTTCGCGAATAAAATACAAATGTAAGAAAGTATTTAAGATCTAATAAGCGACAGTGTAAATATAAAGACATTTTGTAATGTCCTTCGGGGCTAATTATGTACCAAGTAGGAAAATTTTGGGGAAGAAAAATAAAAAAAAAAATTATGGCACTACTTGCTATTGTAGAATCTTTTGAAGATAATAATCAAATATGATTACTATGTCACCTCTCAATAATGATAAAAAATATATGTAGAAGTAAATGTGGAGAAGTATTTTGGGAAGAAATGATACAAATTAATTATCAATAATATCATTAAAACTATATTTAGTGGAGTATATTGATAAGTCAACCTATCGGGCTTAAATTGGTTTGCATCCCCATTCTTTTTGAGTGCACACGACTAGAAAGGGAAAAGTAATACCATATACACCCTAAATACAATAAACTCATATCAAAACTTCATCAAATTACAATAAATAAATGTTGAATTCGATTCTTCATCCTAGACGAGATAACCGAACAAATCAAAGAGGTGAAGCACCACCAATAACTAACACACAACTTATTCCCACTCTTCGTAGGAGAAATAGTGATATCACTTTGAATACTCTAGTTGATGATTCAACCACAAATAATTCAGATCTAATTTCTTTAATAACAAATGAATCTGAAGAAACAGTATTAAATGATGATATAAGAATATTTCAATGTCCTATTTCTACATATACTAAACGGTTGGAACTACCGGTAGTTTCCAATTTTTTATCACCTGGTGTGATGGTATTTGCTTCTAATGAATCCTTGTCAGCATATCAAAAAGAAATGAATCATAAAGAAACGGTGAAATCAGATGGTGGTATTGAACCAACTACATTGGCACAACCCATCTTGTATACTTCAACGTCAGTATGGAGTATATTTAAGAAAAATTCTCCATTTATGGAAATTCATCAAAATATTTCTGGTATTAGACATGAATTTTGTAAAGTTTACTTTCGTATTCTTGCAACAAATTTAACATGTTATATTCTTAATTTTAAATTTGAAGGTTCAGGTTTAACTAAAACTGTCATTTTATTAAACAATAATAGTTGTAGACCTTCAGTTGATTTTATATATCAAGGTTCCAAAGTTAGAATCACAGGAATTACTGGTGCAACTTCTACATTTGGAACTGGATTCATAAAATCTTTTATATTAGATGATGATACCCCACACCTTGCACATGACTTGGATATTAATATCAAGGGAGGGAAATCGGATCCAATAAAGGAAGAAAATCTTATTAAAAATATGAAAATTTCAACTTCTAGTGGAAATCAACTTGCAAATTTATTGATTGGTGGGAAATCAAACTCAGTTATATTCAGAAATATGATGAATGGGAAAAATCTAATAAATACCCCATTTGCAACTTATTTAGATAATGGAGATAAACGAATTATGGGAACAAAACTAAATCGTCATGGTACCATTGGATGTTTTGAATCACCTGAAAGCTCGAAGCCAATATCTGAAAATTCACTAGTAATAACATGCATTATCTTAGTTCTCCGAGAACAAGAATACCGGAAAAATAAGGGTAATAATAAGCCTACATTTGTTTCCAATCCTACATTACATCCTGGATCTAATATCTCTTAGGTTAATTCAATAATAATAAAAATAAATTAAATCCGCTTATCTCTATCATCTTGTGTTTTTTTCTTTTTTTTTTTTGATCCAATTTTGACACATTTGGCCCAATCTTTTCTATTTGATAACCGAGAGGTTTCGAATTAGGTAAATCTAATTATTACTACAAATAGTATGGTATAGATCAAGATTACACACAAACAGTCTTGAAAATAATTCAATTACAACATTCTGTGGTGCATTTGCAATGGCACCTGATCGCTTTAGCAAAAAAAAAAAAAAACAATTAAATAAACTCTATTCTTTTTTTTTTTTTTTTTTGTAGCGCATGGACAAAATAGATTCAAACAAAATGCACCAATACATTTTTCCTATATTCACCATCTTTTTTTTTCGAGGACAATATTTGAATTAATATGGCCATCTCGTTCAGGGAACAGTTTAGAGGATTTCCAATATGGCAAATGTTCATTATCTGTGTAATTAGGTTCTCTGAACCAATTGCATTTTCATCATTGTTCCCCTATATTTATTTTATGATTAGGGACTTTAAAATTGCAGATCGAGAAGAAGATATTTCTAAATATTCTGGGTATTTAGCTTCCTCGTTTGCCTTTGCCCAGTTCCTATTTGCTGTACACTGGGGTAAATTGGCAGATAGAAAGTTTGGACGTAAACCGATATTATTAGCGGGACTTTTAGGTACTTCTATTTCTTTAATTATTTTTGGATTTTCTACAAATTATTATATGGCATTAGCTGCTCGATCTTTAGCAGGTGCATTGAATGGGAATATATCTGTATTAAGAACCATGATCGGTGAAATTGCCACTGAAAGAAGACATCAAGGGGTTGCATTTTCCACTCTTCCTCTTTTATTTAATTTTGGTAGTGTCATTGGCCCCCTAATTGGTGGTTCACTGTATTTTACAAGACCAAAGAAGGAAAACCCTTACCAAAGTAATAGTTTGGAAAGTTTCCACGATCGCTTTTTGAATAAACATCCCTATGCCTTATCTAACATAGTTGTTGCTTGTTTTTTATGGTTTAGTTTTACTTGTGGAGTTCTATTTTTAGAAGAAACTCATGAGAAATTTAAATATAGAAGAGATATTGGAGTTGATTTAGGTGATAAGTTATTATATAGTTTAGGTATAACTCCACCTACTAGACCATGGAGTCCAGCTTATAAGCAACAGGGCACCTACGATGAACCAGATGAAATCTCACCGTTGATCATTCCTGATATAGACGAAGAAGAAGAAGAAGAACAAGGAAATCAAGAAAGAGGTGAGGAATCAGGAGAACATTCAGTTGAAATGATTGAAAAAGATGACTCAGTTGCATTCACACCTGGTGTAATTTCCGCTATTTCTTCTAATTTTATCATATCATTGCACAGTATAACTTATAATGAGTTTTTACCAATCTTTTTAGCCTCTAGAAATAAGCCAGATGCTCTAAAATTCCCATTTAAGATTGAAGGTGGCTTGGGTTATAGTGCTTCCTATATTGGTAATCTTTTCTCTAGTACTGGGATTGTGGGAACATTTATAGTGCTTGTAATTTTCCCCATAATTGATAGATATTTGGGTTCAATTAATGGGTACAGGCTTTCTGTATCAATATTCCCCACAGTTTATTTCTTGGTCCCATTTACGATATTTACTTTGCATTCCTACAATCTGTGGTTCCCAGAATGGGCCACCCCTTTAATGTTGTATAGTTTAACTTCATTGAAAACTTTGGCGACTGCTACTGGAATGCCTCAAATTATGCTCATAAATCATCGTGCAGCACCTAAACAGCATCGTGCATACGTCAATGGAACTACAATGAGTATTATCGCTCTTGCTCGTTGTACAGGGCCAATTGTATTTGGTTACTTGATGAGTTTGGGAGAGAAAACTTCTTCTGGGTGGATTATCTGGTGGTCGATGTCATTATTGGCTATGATAGGAACAATTCAATCTTTCTTTATGGAAGATTTAGATGATGAATAAAAATAGACTATGTAGAAATATAGAAAAATAAAAAAATAAAAAAAAATAAATGATTAACAAAAAAATAATAGGGAAAAAAAAAAGTTAAAAAAGGTGCCACAGTAAGTGATTACACCTTAATAGGCTCTAGTTAGTATATAAATGTATCCAAGAGTGTGATGTTACGATTGATTTCAGATACTTTTTATCCTCTTCAATTTTTATATGGATTCTTATATTTTAACCCAATGTACATATTTTAAACCATGCAAAGGACGGAATTAGTAATGCTATATGACCGGTTCCCCGATCATGTCCTGCATATTTGTAATCTAATCCTATCAAATCAGTTAGTCATAAGAGCCATAGTTTTTTTTAGTTTTTTATTTATTACTTTTTTTCCCATTCATCGAGAGTTTCAAGAATTAATAGATTGGGATAGAACTCGAGAAATTAGGGCTAGCTTTGTCTTTATATATCATTAGACATTCTTGGTGGTTACCAGTACTTTAATATATATATTTATTATTATAATAATTATTATGACGGATACAAAGTTAACCCTTCGTGAATCCTTACAAGGATTCCCCGCATGGCAAATGATTGTGGTTTGTCTCATTAGGTTCTCTGAGCCAATTGCATTCACATCGATGTTTCCCTACGTCTATTTTATGGTGAGGGATTTTGGAGTAGTTAAAGATGAATCAAATATCTCCGCGTACACGGGGTATCTCTCTGCCTCTTTTGCATTTTTCCAATTTCTTCTCTGTGTACAATGGAGCCGCTTATCGGATAGAATTGGTAGAAAGCCCGTGTTACTATGTGGCTTAGTTGGAACTTCGGTTCTGATGTTAATTTTTGGGTTCCTGTCAAACTTTTATGTGGCACTTTTGGCTAGATCTGCCATGGGTGCACTTAATGGGAACATTGCCGTTCTTCGTACAATGATTGGAGAAATTGCCACCGAAAGGAGACATCAAGGGGTTGCATTTTCGACTTTACCTTTACTCTGGAACTTTGGTAGTGTAATTGGACCGTTAGTAGGGGGTTCGAAGTACCTCACAAGACCTAAAACTTCGGTTGATATTCGTCCTCCTGTACCAGTAAATGATTTTTATAATAGGTTTCTTGATAAATATCCCTATGCGTTATCGAACGTAGTAGTTGCTGCGTTTTTAATCTTTAGTATGCTTATGGGTGCATTATTTCTTGAAGAAACTCATTACAAACTTAAGAAAAGAAGAGATTTGGGGTTGGAAATCGGTGATTGGATTAGAGGGAAACTTGGATATGATATCCCTATCCGTCCTTGGAATAAAGTTCGTCGATCCCGTAATAAAAACTACTTGGTTGTTGATAGAGATGAAGATACCATAGAACCTTCCAATGAAGAAGAAATTTCACCATTGATCAAGTCCCAACAAATTGATTATGCTGCAGTTGATGATGCGATCTATGTAGACGAAGATGATGAAGAAGATGATGTTAATTCTTCTGAATTGGAAAGTCCTCAGGCTATAGGATGTGAAACATCCTCTACAGGATCTGTTGAATCGGTTGGCCCTATCTCTAGAAGAATGTCCCTGGCCATCACTAGAAGATATTCTTCAGCTCCATCTTTAAGACCAACCTTGTCAAGAGCTACTAGTGGTGTCTATTCCTTTATCACCGATACTGAAGCCGGTGACGATGTTGGAGTTAATGTCAGTGGTTTTAATTCGAAAACATTTACAAAGCCTGTCATTGAAACTATCACAGCCAACTTTTTGTTGTCCTTTCAACAATTGGTATTCCTGGAGTTCCTTCCAGTGTTACTTGCTGGTGAATTTATGAGAGATAAGTTAAAATTTCCATTCCAAATCACTGGTGGGTTTGGTTATGAATCTGACACCATTGGTACTTTACTTTCCACCACAGGGTTCTTGGGAGTATTGGTGGTGATTTTTATTTTCCCACTACTTGATAGAAATTTAAAGACAATTGTTGGATACAGATTGTCAACTACTATCTTCCCCTTTGTGTACTTCATTTTACCATTCCTTATTTTTACTCATCATGGATATAACCCAAATATTCCATCCTGGGTATCTAAACTTTCACTCTACGTTTTATCTGCAGTTGCAACTTTGGCTTCTGCTACTGCCTTCCCTCAGGTTGTGATTTTAATTCATAGAGCTTCACTCCCTCAACATAGAGCACTTATCAATGGTACTACCTTGAGTTTGACCTCACTTGCCCGTTGTATTGCTCCATTAACATGGGGTTGGTTGATCTCCTTCTGTGATAGCTATTCTCTTGGTGAAGTTTCTTGGTGGTTATTGTCATTGATGGCTATAGCTGGATTTATTCAAGCTTTGAACATGAAAGAATACAATGAAGATTTGAAAACAATTGAAGAACAAGAACAAGAGGAAGAAACTACAGTGTAAATAGTATAATTAAATTTCTAATATTTACATCAATCAAGAATTGTGGAAGTTTTCATATTCATCGTATAAACTACAACAAAATCGTAAGATTATCACCTCCACAAAGAAGATAAACTACAATATATCACCATTGAGTTTTAGAGTATAATTTTATTAAATAATTAAACATGTATATAAAAGGTATGATAAACAATTCGACCTCCCGCAAAGTCTAGTTGTTTCCGCTTAATTAGTTCAAAAAATATTCCCATAAAAGATTCCCGAAATTAACCCGAAGGTGGTAAAAAAAAATGTCACAATATAAAAAAAAGGTTGTAGATAATAATGTTTGTTATTGGCTTGGATGGTAAAGGTTGGTTGGTTAGATGATTTCGTATTATAGTGCTAGATGTCTGAAAATTTGCAATTGATAGTTACACATTTCGTCATCTCTTCAATAGACTCATTTAAAATCTTTGGTTAGACTTCTTGGCCTTAATCTTCTTGTGGATGAAGATACTCAGGACGGCAACGAAGGCCAAGAATACCAAGACGAAAACTAAAATAACACCAGGTGGTAACATTGCAAACAGATATTTATAGCTGGAAAAGAGAAAAAAAAAGGAAAAGTTGGTTTTATTCTAACAACAAATAGATATATATATATAATCTCGTAACGGGGAAACTGAGATAATTTCTTTCCGAGACGGGGGTTCTCATTGGCTAACGGTTCTCAATTTTGGTTTGTGTATCGGGGAATTCGGAAAGAAAACAAGTCGTGTCCCGCTCAATACATCCACACTGGAAACAATTGAGTGGGAAGAATTCCCGGAAAAGAATGGGAAAATCATGTAATAATTTATCATCTCGTAAAATTTATATAGATATGAGTGTAGAGAGTGTAGAGAGTGTATATCTTACAAGTATTAATGAGTTTTTGACTATATAAGTATTAGTAAGCTTCTTAATACTTTACTATCAATCTCCGATTGAAAAACTTTCATGCATTTCCTCGATTAGATATTGTATGTGGATTTGTGCCTGCGCGCATATAAGTTGTGTTTGGCCGGCCCGACCGGTGATGTCGGTAAATTCACTCTCTCGGTTATGAAGTCCCAATTCAGAAATAATATAAAATACATAAACTTACGAAGTGTGGAACTTAAGATAAAAACTTATTGCTTTCCCTATAATACTCAAAATTATTACTCAGCTCGAACTTAACACCAGGAAATGCTTTTCACGGCTGGATTATGTTTTGTTTTCTAGCAAGCGGGTGGACGAAACTTGCATCTGCAGTTTGACACATATGGAAGGGTTTTACCCTAAAAGAAACATCCGTGCACCACTACTTCCTAATTGCGATTTTCCATTCAGGGTCGAATTTATTGTTAGTAAAAAAAGAAAAAAATATATTCTCGTCATGAATACCCTTGTTCTGCACGATATTTTTCTACAACTTTATTAGTATATATAGTTTCAAAAAGGAAATGAAAACTTTCTATGGATGATTATTATGTCCAGTGGGTGCGGTTTAAAATAACACCATGAACATCCCCGTCTCTCAATTAAACTCTCACGAAGAATATTTAACAATACCATATCTGTAGAGGCACTTAACAGCATATACCAAAATGAAGGAATGTTTTCCGCTTTTCTCTATTGTGCAATGGCTGAACACAAAGTTGCTAGATAATCGAAATTACTCATATCAGGTATTTTTTACCATATGAGTAATGTGATGCCTGCAATTTTGATGCACATCCGTACACCACGTTTTTTTATTGATACCCAAATTTAGTTGCAATAATAAAGATTTCCACAACTTTGAATTTCTATTCTTTAACTACATCGTTCCTGGTTAGATTCGTAATCAGGTAATAGCTTTAATCATTCTTCTGTTGTTCAGATAGATTCACGAAATTTTATGTTGAAAAATAATAATCTTACAGAAATTTGTTAAATTAATAAAAAAATAATGTCGTAATTCGTAATATGTATAAAATGTATCATAACTTTGTATAAAGCGTCAAGTTAGGGTATCAGAAGGAAATCTAATAAGCAACAATTGTAAGGACAAATAAGATAAGGAGACCAGGAAGTAATAGTAATAGTAGTAGTAGGTGGTACTAGGAAGAACTTGGATTAATGACTGTAGACTTCAATGGAGCAATCAATTATAAAGAGTTTGGATATTGGTACCAGGATCAATGATGTGCTAAAATACATCAATTATATTATAGGGTTGGTGGGCTTTCTTATTGTTAATAAATTCAATGTCTTTAAAAGGTTTCACTTGAATGATTGGCGCGGAATACAGTTCAGTAGATACCTTCTTTGCGGGGTAGCACTCGGTCGTTTCATACCGACTGCTAAACTGGGCGAGATAATTTCCCGCCCTCCCGGCTTTATAGTATCGTATACATCTCGTCGCTTTTTCGCATTCAGTGCAAACTCTTTTGCAGGTGCAACATATTGTTCCAATAAATGATCCCCATCCATTCCAATTTCATATTCCTCTTTAAATTTTTTCCTATTGATTTTTGCCTTGGGCTTTGTTTTCAGAGAGCCATATTCTCTTAATAATTTTCTCCAATCCGAGGAGGATTCAGCACATTGCATTTTGGCCCATGTCAAGTCTAACCCATCCGAAAGTTTACCCATTCCTTGAAGTACTGGTATTCTCGGTTTATAAGGAATTTTATCAAAATCATATTTAAAATTCTTATCCACTTTTAAACCGGATGTTTCACTGAATTTCTGTAATAACTGTTCAATACCCAATGATTCACCTGGTGCAATTGATTCTGGATGTGACGGTGTTACACAATCCATTCCAACTTCTTTACGTAGAACATGATCGATATCTACCTCAGAAAAAAATGCACAAGATTGAGGGACTTCATTAATTCCCAATTGTTGGCAAAACATTGCTCTTGTCCACAAATTACTAATTTGTAATAGCAAAGCAACGTCATATTTATACTCCTCTTTGCAAAGGTATCGCAATTCGTCATGGACTGTGATGGACAATCTCAAAGGGATATTGTATTTTTCACTAAGATGCTCCATGGAGACAATCAAGAGATGAAGGTAGTCAACTCCAGAACTTTGGATGGACCAATTAACTCGCGACGTTAAGAATTGATTGGCCTTTAAGTTTGTTTTAGTTAGGGCTGCTGTAATTGATGCACCCAATACTGGAGTTCTTGGAAATTCTTCATAAGCAATGGCTTCCAATTTATTAAACATCACTGATTCAGAACCTCCATAATACATTCTTCGCTCAAGTAACTTAGACGAGCCAGAAGATCCTTTCGTCTTTTCATATAAAGTCTTTGCAGTTTCTGCCGCTTGTTCGTTTGAAATTAACGGATTGCATTGCATTAAAAGTCGGGTCGCAAATTTAACACCGGCTCCATAAATACGACCATAATTGAAAACTTTAGCATCTCCTCTCAGAATCCCCAAGATTTCGGCAGTTTTAGAATGTAAATCTGTACCTTCATTCTTGGTACCTTCCAACGTCATCCATCCTAGAGCGGTAGCACCATGGAACTTGAATTCAGAATCCCCGATTAACGATGCAATCCACAACTCTTCCGAATCAACATCTGCACCTACAAAGGCATAACCCTTGGGCACCTCAATCATAGCCTTTAGCTCTGATCCAATACGTGATTTTTTGGAATTAGATGCAGTCAACCAGGTATTTTCTGTAGCTCTTCTAGTTACTGTTCCCATAGAACAAATCTTTGGTAATATGATCCCCATTTCTGGACGAGATTCAATTTCAGTTGGATTATCAAATATTTTATTCTTTTCACCTTTAATATCATTGTAAACAATAAATTGGTCTTTGATTCTCTTTCGATTTCCCATCCAATATGAAGATTGTGCGTTTAACTTTAAAATATCAGTTGCAAAGTCAAATTCAGAGCTCATCGTACCATCTTCAAAATACCGAAGATAACTCTTTCCAAGAATACCAGTACACCTGTGCGCTGGGCCATCTGGATGAGGAACTTTAAACAATTCATAATATCCATTTTCATTTCTTAATTGATGTTCATATTTTTCCATATCTTCATCATTTAATAATACTCGTGTATAATTCTTTTTCTCAAGTTTTTCTACAATTGTGTCATCAAATGGTACTTTAAAACACCATCCATGAGTATCTGTCCAAAATAATGGATATCCTTCCCATGAAAGTCTTAAGAATAATGGCGTACTTCGTGTACGGATAGTTACAGTCAATTCACGTTCTGTCTTACTAGATTGCCCATCTGCAGGCTGTCTTTTGAAAAGATCTCTATACCATTCTGGATATCCAGTAAGATATGCTTGACGTTTTGCTGGTGTACCATCTTTCTTGAGTTTCATTTCCTTATGAGTCCAATCAAGTTGTGACAACCATGGATCATTTTCCCATTCAGGGGCAGAAATCAGTTTTTTATTTGACGCATCAGGTTGAAGATGTTGTACCAAATTATTCACTTGAAATTTTAATTTATCTAAAACAATATCTCTATTGGCAAGATAAATTCTTTCAGCTGTTTCAATATATCCATCCCATTTTTTGGTACTAGGTAAGAATAAAGTACCAAGATGTCTTAATGCGGCAAATGATACTGGATGTGGGATTTTCTTTCTGAATTCAGGAAATAATTTGGCAGCCACAGAATATGTTACTTCAACATCCTTTGCACAATAATTCATTAGTTTTTGAAAATTATCTATAATATCTTGAGGTGAAGTTGAAGAGAAATAATCTCTATCAGATTTATCCATTTCTATACCACAATGATGTTTTGCCACCACTGCCAATGAATTTGGAGCTGCTTTATTTAACCATGGGTCATCCAATAATTCTTGTGCAACATCGACTCCGGTCTCCTCACATGACATTGCCTCTTTGGAGCCTTCATCTTGGTCAGTTTCAAGGATTTCTTTATTTTTCTTATGCTTAAACCATTTTGGTCTTTGTTGAGAACAGATCCCAGTCAAGGCTACATGTAGAGCCATAGCATCAAGATAAAATGCTTTGGATTGTTTGATATTATATTCATCAAACACTCTTGCTCTGTCATACCCAACATTATAACCAATCATGATTTTTTCTTCATTAAGACAATTAAAAGGTATAAGATGTTCATAATCATTATAATTTTTATCTTTAGCATGTTCAGTTAATAATGGTGATACCCATCCATACCAAGCTTTGGAAGTGACTGCAGTATTCATCACTGCATAAGGCGAGATCTTATACAAGACTTCTACATCGAAAACTATTTCATTTTCTAATGGATATGGTACTGGTTCTGGCTTACAACCTGGCGCATATCTTACCCAACCAGATTGGAATAACCATTTTTTAGGTAAGGGAGGAAGTTTCATCTTTTTAGAAAGAAATGATTCAGCCATCTTAAGATAAGGTTCCGACAGTTTTGTTCCAATTTTATAGAAATGCTCATCTAATGAACCTTCACCAATAAGAGAAGGAAATCCCTTAATATCAATTGGTTCTGTAATTTGAGTAGCTTTACCCAAAAGTCCATTTTGCTTAAGATGTTGTTTTGATACTTCAAGCAATTGTTTATTCTCTTTGATCAGTTTTGATTTAGGAAATATTTTCTTTTGAAGATTCTTTGATAAGTATTGAATACCAACTGCATTTATTCGTGGTGTTTCTTTAAATTTGGTTGTATTATTGAGTTTAATAGATGTATTATGTAGTCGACGACTACAATGTCGTTGTACTAATATACCCCGATACATTCTTTAATGAATGGATGTAATCAAGGGTATTCTTTAAATTGATAAGGTATGGTAAAACGAATCAAATATTTAAAAAATAATAAAGAACTTTTGTAAGGGGAAAATGTAAATCTATCACAACAAAATCAAAAATCAAATGATCTTTCAAAAAATGTATTGATGAGGATTAAACGGAAAAATAATTAGTGGGATGGGATGAGTATAAATTTGAAAACGGAAAACAAAAGATAAAATGAAAAGAGTGAGAGTATAGAAAGCAGTTTAAAAAGGAGTATATTACAGATAGCAACTAGAATACCTTCCCCCAGCCCCGTTGGGCCCCTTAGAATTATTTAAAACGGTTAAGATTTGATCTGAAACAACCATATTCTCAATTACCCTAAATAAAATAAATCATGACAGTGCAAATGCAGTCCTACATCTAAATAACTTGATATGTTTACTTTTCTGATATTTAGGAAATGAACCGAAAAATAATATGCATCAGAAAAGTCGAACCCCTACCAAAGCCTGAACAACCAGAAAAGGAAAGCAAGGCTAAACCACAGATCTCCACCCAAAAAAAAAGAAAATAAGAAAAAAAAAAATCCAAAAAAAAATGGGTAGTGTGCATGACCACAAAATGTCCCAAAGTGGAAATAAGAACATTCAAATGTAAACAAACATGGAAGTCTCTATCCCCATGTTGTGGGCAAACTACGTGAATTGTTAGCAATATTGTTGCGATTCTGTGTTTACAAAATGTGTATGTTTTTTTTTTAAGTCAGTACTTTCTGTTGAACTTCTGTTTTGATTTAGTGCATATCCAATTTGTTTTCCTTTTAAATCATCAAAAGCAAGGATAATCAATTTTTTAATTATATTTACATTGATCTGCAGGAGAAACTAAACAACACTTTTAGTTTGCTTTTCATTAATTGTTTTACAAACACCAATTACATACAAAATGTCTGAATTACAAAGCCTTAAGAAGGCAGAATTGAGTGAAATCTGTCATCGTTTGGGAATCCATTCCTTGACTAAAGACACCAAAAAAGTTTTAGTTGAAAGAGTTACTGAATTCATAGCTTCTAACCCTGATGATGGGATTGCTGCCGTACAGGCAGCTCTTGATGCCGAGATTGGTGACACGGAAACATTGACAGAAGAAGTCGAGGCTGCTGTTGCCGCTGCTGCTGCAACCACCGATGACGAAGAAGAAGAAGAAGATGATGATGAAGAAGACGATGAAGAAGAAGATGAAGAAGAAGTTGATGCAGAAGATGCTGATGATGAAGATAAGGACTATAATGCTCCACCTCCAGTTGATCTTAAGGGTTGGGTTGTTGATCCAGCAATTGAATACTTTGAAACTGCCTACTCCAAGGTACTTGACTTTACCGATAAAGTTGGTATCACCACTCTTGATTTGAATGGTGAATTGAGAGAAAACTTGTCAAGATCAGTTACATTGAACTATTTCGAATTGGCTCTTGAATTCTCTTTCTTCTTGTACACTTTTGTACCATTTGTTGCTATTAAGGACAATGACAGTATTCATCAATTTTTTAAGGATAACATTAGTTTTGTTGGATCTTCCGATATTGCTATTCCAGACTTTACTGCCTTGATTGGTTATGCTCCAATTTCTACTTTTATTAGTTGGGTTTTCATTTCGGTTGTTTTCCCATTGATTGTTTCTTATTACGTTAACTTTACCAGAAGACTTATTACTTTTGATGATGAAACTGAATTATTCGGTAGAATTTACCAATATGATCCATTTACCTTTGCCTTGAGTAAGACTTTACTCTTTTACTTCTTGGGAGTCCCAGTTCATCACGACTTCATTAGAGAAGGTGGCTTGATCAGTGCCCTCAAGAACCACTTCATCATTCAACTTGACTTTTACCAAAAGTTTGCTCAAATCTTGGGTGGTTTCCCATTGATTATTGGATTTTCCAACGTTTTAGTTGCTATTTATTCTCAATTTGAAGAATATTAAACTAGCTACAAAACGTGAGAGTGAGGATGTATGAGAGAGAGAAAAGATTAAACATGTCAGTATAATGTGTGGAATACAATGGAAAAAATTCCTATTAATACTTTTCGTTTTTGTTTCTTTGTTCTTCTAATTAATTCGATCTGATCTCTCTTTCAACTTGCTTCTTTGAATTTACTTCCCGATGCCAGATGTACCCTTTTTAACGTATTTTATTTTACTGTAACACTATATATTTGAACATTTTTTGAAATTTTAACGATTGTAAAACTATGGAGTACAAATAATAATTCGTTCTTTTCGTTTATTTTATGTTTAATTATTCTTTATTTAGAAACTGGCCATTTGGTACTGACACCCATACCTTCCAAATCATTAGTTAACTCATCTGGTCTTGCTCCTTGAGGTGGTACATAATGTTTCATAATCTTAGCCAACAATACAGCTTCTGAATACTTCAGACTTCCTTTATCGGCACCATCAATCAACTTATCACCAGGACCAGGATTTGTGGCACCAGCGGCTCTTCTACCCCTTCTCTTAGGTGCTCCAGATGAATTAGCCTCAGAATTTGTATCAGAACCAGACGTTAATGGATCATATAATGGACTTTGGAAAATATGATGTTTCATGTTGGCAGTCTTGGATGAATTATATCCTTTACCCTTACCAGATGTAGAATTATTTTCTCCAGATGCTGATTTATATTTATTACTTGGTAAATCACCAGTAATTAAATTAAATTCCTTCTCAGAAGCTAATGGAATGAAATCATGTACTAATGGAATTTGTTGTTGAGAGTGTCCAACATATCCAGATCCTAGAGTTAATTCTGGACTGTCAGTGGAACTACTTGTTTGACTTGCTTGTAATCTAATCGTTTCCTTGATATAAGCATTCATATCTTTAGTTGATATCCCAGCATACAATTTTGCAGAATCTTTACTTTTAATGTCGAAAAATGATTGATCAGATTCATTCTCTAATGCCTTTGTAAATAATTGCTTTTGATATTCAAAGAAATTCTTCAACTTCATAAGTTTATTCACAATGAGTTGATTCATGTTTTTATAAGTCTTATTAGAATCTTGATAGAAAACTAACGCACTATTCAAAAGTTGATAATTTTCAAATAATTTAAGTTTTACTAATTCATCATCTCTTTCCACTTCCAATCTTTGCTTCACATCTAATAGTTCAGAATCTTTTATCTCATGATCTGATCCGTTGAACAGAATTATAGATTGTCTAAGATCTTTAAGTTTTTGTAGTTGTTCTCTTTTAAGTGTCAAATATAATTCTTCTTCATTAGATGCTTCAAATTCAGCAATTTCATTCATACTTTTCAATAAATCTTCTCTACGTCTTTCCTTATGATTCCCACTAGCTGACAGGATATCTTTATGCAGATTTGAAATGATTTTAGATAAATTTGAAGGTAATTTCAATGACCTTATAGATTCATCTCCTTCTATCACCGGGAATTCTTGTGGTGGGTACTTCTTGTCTCCCCGTTGTAATCTTTTTGCCTTTATATCGCTAGTCTTTGGAGTAATATCCATATAATCAGGCGGAAATCTAGATCGAATTTCAACGGTATTCCTTGGTATACTTTGTCTATGATATTCATCCCATGCATGTGAAGTATCAACTCCATTGGCATACTCTTTATAATCTTCATATTCTTCGTCATATTCTTCATCTTCACTATCATCATCTTCTAATTCATCTTCATGTTCCAATTCTTCCCCATCACGATTATTATTCGTCTGTTGATTACTATTATTATTATTTCGTCTATTTTTACGAGATGATGATTTCTTTGATGATTCATGGTTTGTTATGGTGAAACCCTCTTGGTCCGCTTGTGCCCGCATGTCATATAAAGACCCAGCTGCACTGGCAACAACCATATCTATACGAGGCAATTTCGTCAGAGCATCCAAAAATACTTTAAACACTTCATTGGGGGTTAAGGAAGAATTATCAGATATTAAAGGATAAGGCATATAATTTGGTGGAGGGAACGGTAATGGTGGTAATGGGATATACGTTTTCGATTTATTGGAACCATATAATGGATCAGATTCACCATATTTATCTTTTATTAATGGAGGAGGTGGATAAATGAAAGGAATCATAATACCTCCTTGAGTCATATGTTGTGGAGTTAGATGACTCGGAATAGGTGGAGGTGGGAAATTATTCACTATATTATTGATTTGATTAGAAGTAGATGTATTCGTTACATCATTTTCAAGATCTGTAAAAAATTCATTTACTTTAAGTGGTGGATGAATAATAGGCAACATTGACTTTGGTGCAGTATGAAGTAGAGGCACCGATAATGGTAAGGTTGGATTGGTCATAGACACATTTTCTCTTATGTTGGTTGGTATAAGACTATCAGTTCCATCCAAATGACGCTTTTTAGCAGGGGTACTTATTGGGGCCTCCAACAGAATTGACAGACGTTTGGACATGAGACTTGAATAATGGTAGCGTAAGTGGGACACGGGTAGAAACCAGTACTTTTTCGGGGGACAGCAAGTATATAAGAGTGTATTGAGAGCTGTGCACCGGTAGCCTCAACAACTTTGTAGATGGTAGCTGTTATGCTATTATTTGTATTGCAATAGTTAAGCTAATATCTACGATTACAGTCGCAAAATCCGTTTGAATTGCAAAATCTGTGAGCCTCAAACTGCCAACTTCCAAAAAAAAAATAAAAAAAATAAATGAATAAGAGAGAGGGAAGAGTAACAAAAAAAAAAAATAAAGGAGTGTAAGGAGAAGTACTCGTATACAGAAGGATTGGTCTAGTAGTCAGATTAAGTCTAGAATGGATTGCCATACCTTGTTTTTTATTACTTCATTTATTTTTCGGGGAACTCGATACGTAGGTACAACTAGTGCACAAGTGTCAATCCACTCTCTTCATCTATATCAATATCGACGATAGATGTATTTGTAGTTGACATTTTAAAGTTCTTGCATATATGTATAGTAAACGCTTGGTCGTGTCACATGTTTAATTGTTCTGTAGAGAATATTTAAATAGTTTACGAATGAAGATATAAAGGAATATGAAGGGAAGGTCAAGAAAGGGGAAATAAAAAGAAAACTGTAAGGTGAAGTATATAAGATTGATTAAAGTATTTTAAAGGGGTTGATATCTCGGTGATATGTATTTGTAAATCTTTAAATAGATAATTCGCTGAGAGAAATGAATTTAGCATTTTTTTTTAATGGTTTTTGTTTTATTTACAAGATTTAAAGAAATTACTGGAAACATCAAGAAACGATATAGGGTAGTAAAATGTCATAATTTACAAAAGTACTAATCAATATTTTTACAGGGAACTTGAAACTATTTTAGAGGATAATAATATTCTTCATGCATATGTATTATTGTGGTCATTTGCAATTCACTGTATACAGTCTATTATTATAATTGTGCGACGGTATTGAGATTAGAATTTCTATTCGATAAATTGCTGAAGATTGTTTGTACAAAGTAGAATTAACGTGAGCATTCAATTTACGTATTGAGGATAAATTCTATTGGGTTTAACACTCTGACTCGGTTTTGAGAAAGGCCATACTGCCGGGATAATATACTAGAGACACGTACGAACACGAAGTATCTCGTTTGGTGCAATTGAACTGTTGCCTACAATCACGAGGAAAAAAAACAAACAAAAAGACACATATTTCTTGGGATAAGAATTAATAGGATTCAATTACACTGTCTATATCGATATATTTGGATATTGTGAGAACTTTTATACGGATTATCTGCTGTTGGTTAGTTGTTAATTTATAAGGGGGAAGGTTACGAGAATTTTTTGAACGCTTTTTGTTTCTATTACTTTATTTTGGAACTGAATTATAAACAATGCCACAGAAACGGATTAAGAAGGATAAATTCGAACCAAAGGATTTGGTATTGGCTAAGATGCACGGATTCCCCGCTTGGCCATCATTTGTGATGCCATTGAATCTTGTTCCTGAACCTATATTAAGAGCCAAGAAAAAGACCACCAATTTTTGTGTTATTTTCATTCCAGATGGAGATTTCTATTGGATGAATGAGAAAAGTTTAGATATCTTAACGGAGGAAGCTTTGGATAAGAAATTGGATAAAATCCCTGCAAAGTATGTCCGGAAGAAGGGGAATGGTGGGAGAACTTTACATGTTAATGATGCACTTTTGGCAGCAAAAGGATTAGATTTTGATGAATTTATGGAACAACTTGATAAGGATCGAGGAGGAAATGAAGAAGAGGAAGAAGAGGAAGAAGAGGAAGAAGAGGATGATGAGGAAGAAGAAGAGGAGGAAGTACAAGAGGAAACATTTGTTGAAGATGAATCAAAACAAACGAATGAAGATGATGATACTAATAATAAGGAAGAAGATGAAAATAATAAAATCTCTAAAGAGGAATCAAATGGAGAGGAATTAGAAGAGGAAGATGAAGAAGAAGAAGAAGAAGCAACTTCACGTCAAGCACGAAATTTAAAACGAAGTCGTCGATTAACACCAGTTCCAAGTAAACGAACAAAAGTAAAATCAGATCAACCAAGTACACCTACTAATGGAAGTTCACCTCGACCCAAGAAGAAAGAAGTTACTAGCTCACCAAAAGTGACCACTAATGAAGAAAGGCAACATCAACTTTGGCTTTGTAGAATCAAACTTCAACGTACACTTATTCAACGGAATCAACCAGTTACACCTACTGATCCCAAGAAGTTCCCACCACCTACTGCTGACGAACTTCTGGTGGCAAGATTAATATTACATCGACTTGCTGATTTCCCCATGACGGTTGACTTTTTAAGATCAACTAAAATCCATAAAGTCTTAAAATGTATACTTCGTAATAGAGATTTGGAGTATTCTGATAGTTTTAAACTTCATGAGAAATGTGATGAACTTCTTTCAAAATGGTCAGAAGAAATTGATAAACTTAGAATTGAAAAATTGAATGAAACGAAACGAGATGAAAAGGTTAAGGCAGATGAATCGGAAACTTCTGGAATTGACTCTATAATACCACTTAAGAATGGGAATAGTCACCTGGATATCATTGAAGGGATTTCCGTAGAGGCAAACACTTGAATAAGAGCACAACAAAAGTAGACTACATCACCCATTTTTATAGATCTCGTTTCCAAATATCATTATAGATGTCGATGATGTTGCGTGTACCGCAAAGGAACGAATAAGAAAGGATGTAAGAATGGAAATGGACCGACAAAAAAGAATTGAAAGGTAAAGAAGAGACTTGAAGAATGGATATTAGTTCTTTTAAAGATGTCTCTAGAGAGAGTGACATCAAATAATAGAAACAAAGGAATAGAGAAAGGTTATAATATGACAAACCGAAATTAAACCAGCAGAGGTTCTATTAACGACCCTCCCCCTATTTTTGTTTTAAATGTTTTAAATATCACTTATCAATACCAATAGGAAGTTTCCTTTGTTGATGATTTTCTAAACAAAACAAAATAATAAACATTAACTATTCCCAGTTTCCTGATTGTCATATGGGATTTCCTACTTCATTTCAAATGTATTATAGTGAAAGTTGCTTATTGTATATTTTAAGATAAATGTAACAATTATTTTTATTATTATTATTACTTGCACTGTAAGAGGTTAATTATAAGGTGACTAGCATTTCCAAGTAACCTGCATATCGTATATCTATATGTTAGAGGTAAACATTCAAAAAGATCATAGAATGTTCAAGCAACATGGAAGATCATCCGTACACCTGAGGTGGAAGGTAAGCTGAGTCAGGGACGTGCACGACCCGGGCCCGGGCAACCAATTAAAGGTCTAGAAACCGTCATATACTGAAAGTTACGCGCGCACACTGAGTTAAGAGGCCCGAAAGTTACGCTGGTCGTGGCGCAGAGAAAAATTTCTATTCCGCATCGCTCAACGATTTTCACCAAAGGATTGGGTGTTAAAAGTCAGACGTATTGAAGAAATTTTTTTTTTTCTCCTGATATCATATAACATAAATTATTCAATATGGCTGACGAAGACGTATGTATACTTTACAGAAGAGCGTATGGTTATGGGCATGTGTGAATTTATTCTAGTCAAGGAGATATCTGGTTTATTAGGAGGCGGTCTTTGAGATTGCTCTTGCCCATGAAACATTTTATGTTAATGGAAATGAGTTACGATGAGATGGAAGATTTATTTAAGATTAACTTTTTAAAACATTCTAATGAAACCGATTGATCTTGACTTGGACGATAAAATCAATACTTCGCCTTAGAAACTCATCGCTTGAATTTATAACAGTAAAAATTTCTAGAAAATTTTCACCTCATGGAAGAATACAATTCTAACTTTATAATAGCACACCTTTGAGACCGCTGATGCCGGTGCCGCTTTGACTTTCCCAATGCAATGTTCTGCTTTGAGAAAGAACGGTCACGTTTGTATCAAGCAAAGACCTTGTAAGATTGTTGACATGTCCACCTCTAAGACTGGTAAGCACGGTCACGCCAAGGTTCACTTGGTCGCCATTGACATTTTCACTGGTAAGAAGTTGGAAGATTTGTCTCCATCTACCCACAACATGGAAGTTCCAAACGTCAGAAGACAAGAATACCAATTGTTGGACATTGATGACGGTTTCTTGTCCTTGATGACCAACGACGGTGACACCAAGGATGATGTTAAGATTCCAGATGGTGAATTGGGTGACAAGATCCAATCCGAATTCGACGAAGGTAAGGACTTGTTGGTTACTATCATCTCTGCTATGGGTGAAGAAGCTGCTATTTCTTTCAAGGAAGCTCCAAAATAAGCCTGTTAATTTTGGTTAATGATTTTGTTGCACATAGCTTTGTTTAGCTGAGGTGTTTTGGTTTCTTTACATTCAGTTTAGTCCTAGTTATTTTGTACATTTACGTATCATACATGGTATAGTTAAAAAAAAAAGGTGAGACCTTGCGTAGTAAATTGAGGATATTTTCCTCAATAATTGTAAAGTTGAATATGAATATCTTCAGCTATTGTTCAGTATTGTTTGACATATTTTTTTCTTAAAAGATGTGACATTAAAATTTAGTACAGGTAATGTTTAAAGAGGGGAAATTAAGAAATGTCCGCAGTAATAGAATATCAGGCTATGTGAAAAATACATATAATCCTATAAATGATTTATTTTTTAAGTGATCACACATAGAGGAAATCGAGCCGTAGTCAGTAGATCTTATACATATTGAATAAGGTTTCATTTTAGATTCATATCGTTCAAAGTTTCAAGAGGATATACATTTTGCGTAGAGCTTCTCCTGCAAAGAAAATAATAAATTAATAAAGTTGAAGGAAAAAAAAAAGGGAAAAACATATTGGAACTTGAGATCCGGATAATTATAGATAGTGAGGAATTAAAAGAAGGAAAAAAGGATCGAAGCCATACAACACTATTAAATGTTTGATTGGTTTTTTTTTCAATAAATGTGTTTAGTAAATATCCTATATAGTGAAAAATAAATCGGTGGAGGTTCACCATCACTCATTATTGTGTATAGTTGGACAGGATTGTCGAAGACCCCCACACTATTTTAATTTTGCATGCATTCTGAGGTGCATGACGCACTGAATCAGGAGTTTTCCTTCATGGTGATTATCAATTTGCTTTTTTTTTGTAAAAAAATGATTTTTTTAGAATTTTTCCCTTGATCCTTTAAAAGAGCTATAGATTTCAGTGATCGAATTTCAAAAGGTTATATTCAATACTGATAAGAAAAAAGAGGATCTTTTCTAGGGGGGTATGTCGTCGACTTCTAGTATCAGTGTGAGCGATAGTCTGCCCAGTAGTTTTATAACGCCTATAAACCCCACACCGTCGCCTAATTCATTTGTTGGCAACACCTCTTCAACAGTTTTATTCTTTTTAGCTTTAGCAGTTGGAGTTTTCATTGCTATATTATTTATATTTTTCACCATAAGATATTTTGTAAGGTCAAAATATGGCTTACTTATATATCCGATGTCACAAAGGGGGTTATTATTATCTTCACCATCTCAAGTTCCGAACACTAATTTTGGACCTGGAGCAGATTCTGATTTACAAGATCATCTTAATTATATAAGGGAAAACATGTATGTTCGAGGAGAACCGTTTGAACGAAGTATGACCGAACGTAGGCTAAGAAGAAGAAGAAGACATAGAAGAAGAAGAGGAGGAAGATATGCCAGGATGAAAAAATTAACCGAAGAACAAGTTCAACTTTTGTTTCCAAAGCAAACATATCATTTATGGTTGAATGGAGGACAAGCTGCCGATCATGAGAATAGAGGCGGTGTCTTGCAAGAAGAACAAGCGTTGAGAAGAGATGGGAAACCAAATGATACCGATTCAAGTATTGAACCGATGAACTCATCACCAACGACAAATGATGAAGATGAAGATGTTATTCATATAGATGAGTATCAACAATTGGAATTAGAACGAACAAAATCCAATATTAATACAGAAACGATAACATCTACCAAGACAAATTCAAATGATATTAATAATAGACCAATTCTGTTCCCAACTCCAGATATTGAATTAAATGATTTAAATATCGAAGAGGGAACATCTTCTGCATTAGGGAATGAATTACATTTCACATCTGGATCTTGTGCTATTTGTCTTGATTTACTTGAAGATGAAAGTCTTGTACGTGGACTTGTTTGTGGGCATGTTTTCCATTCGGATTGTTTGGATCCTTGGTTAACTAAAAGAAGAGCATGTTGTCCAATGTGTAAACGAGATTATTTCTATAAAGATGAGAATAATAATAGTCTTAATAGAAGTCAAAATGAACCATCAAACCCAGAAGAACCATCAAATTCAGGAGAACTTCCAGATGGAGAACAAGAAAGTGATGATGATACTTTCAGTCTTGACTTTGATTCAGTTAGGAATGATCCAACTCTTAGAGCGATGTTGAGAGAATTAATCCCAGTAAATGAAAGAGTTAGATTGATATTACAAAATCCTGAAGTTCAAGCAACAAACATTGAAACTGAAGCTAAATCAATGGTTGAGAAGAAGTTTTCAAATTTTTTAAAGAAAACTTGGTGGAAAGTTATGGGTATATCAAGAGAAAATCTATTCAATTGGGCTGTTTTATTATTATACAAAAAATTTAGAGCAAATCAAATGGAACAATCAGCTCAATCTGAATCACCATTACAACAAGAACAACAGCCAACAGTTGTGGCTGAGGATGAACCACCGACCGCCGCCGTGCAAGATGGCACTACAAATAACAATAACAATCGTTCTTCTATGGATCTGGTACCTGTAAATGAACAATTGGAGCTGAGAGATATCGTGGATCAGAGAGTATAATTTATATAGTCTATATTTTAAGATAATGGATGATTTAAAGTGAAGCGACATTTTTTTTTATTTTGCCCTTTTTCTGTTTGATATGTCGTGAGAATGTCGTCGTCTGAAAAAAAAAATAAAATCTGAAGTTACAAAAAAAAATCTGTAAAGAAAGAATAGAAAAGGTGATTTTTAACATACAACGTATAAACAGCTGTTAAACAGATCTGTTTTATTTCTTGAAAGACACGTATTATCACCATGGGTAAGTAACTTGTACCAAGGACAGGGGTTTTTTTTTAGAAAGAGAAGGATGGAAGACGTATCAAGGAACTTTTTTTTTTCCCTCTCTTCTCTGAAGTGACGACCATCTGATCTAAATTTAAATTCTAGTGTACTAACATTGATGTAGCTCCAAAGAAAAGTGTTAAGATGGACTTAGGTTCTTTCCTTGCGGATGATTCGCTTGGTGGAAGTTCTTGGGCTGATGAAGAAGTCGACATGGCTTCCATTGGTGTTCCAATGTCTACTGCTGCACCAGTTTCTAGCAGAAGACTCGCTGAAAACAACTCTTTCAACAGAGAAGAGCTGTACGGTTCCGGAATGAACGAACAAAGACGTGAAAGACAAGAGTACCCAATCCCAGATCACCCTCCATTCAGAGCTAGAGTTGGTAACTTGGCTTGGGAAGCTGATGAACAATCATTGGTTGACTTTTTCGAAACCAAGTTGCAATCTTCTGGAATTGTTTCCGATGTTAAGCTTCCAGTCGACAACCTTACTGGTAGATTGAGAGGTTTTGGTTTCCTTACTTTCAACTCTAGAGAATCATTGGAAGAAGGTTTGCGTTTGAGTTTTGCTGATTTCAACGGTAGAAAGATTTACGTTGACGTTGCTGCTCCAGAAAAGGCCGATGTCTTTGACATGGACTGGAGAGCTGCCAGAGGCAGTGGACAATTGAGAGGTGGTGACAGAGGTGACAGAGGTGACAGAGCCGACAGACCACCAAGAAGAGAAGAACCAAACTTAGACTGGGGTTCAGCTAGAGGATCTGGTGTTTTACCACCAAGAGAACCAAGAGGTGACAGAGGTGACAGAGCCGATAGACCACCAAGAAGAGAAGAACCATCATTGGACTGGGGTTCTGCCAGAGGATCTGGTGTTTTACCACCAAGAGAACCAAGAGGTGACAGAGGTGACAGAGCCGATAGACCACCAAGAAGAGAAGAACCATCATTGGACTGGGGTTCTGCCAGAGGATCTGGTGTCTTGCCACCAAGAGAACCAAGAGAAAGAACTGATAGACCTCTTAGACCTAAGAAGAACGAACCAGAATTGGACTGGGGTTCTGCCAAGGGAAGCGGATCTCTTCCACCAAGAGAACCAAGAGAACACAGAGAACCAAGAAAGCAATCTACTGGCCCAGCTTTGGACTGGAAGAGAGGTCAAGCTTTGGAACCACGTACCAAGGCCACCAAGAAGGTTGAAGAAGATAACAAGAAGGAAATCAAACCACAAAAATCCGTTTTCGATGTTTTAGCAGTTGAGGGTGAATCAGACGAAGAAGAAGAAGAAGAAGAAGTAGAAGAACCAAAGCCAAAGGCTGAAGAAGAATTAGTCAAGGCTACTGCTGATTTGACTATCGATTCCGAATCTAAGGAATCAGGCGATTGGGAAGTTGTTGGCAAATAGGACGATGAACGAAAAAAATTAAAAGAATGAAATTAACTCAATCTCCTAAATGATTGTTCATGGGCTCTATTAAAGAAGCTCCTTTTGTATAGATACTGTCATGTACTATTTAGTCGTCGGTAATGTGTTTAATATATTTTAGTATAGTAGATTTTTATCTTTGTAAGAAATTCTCCATATAGCACACCTCTGAGGATTTCCTGCACCTACGAAGTTTCACCTTTATATTTTTGAAAATAGCAAAATGTATCAAAGATAATACATTGATAAGTTGTGAATACATAGAGATGGACTCTGATCAAGTAGTACAGGACGGTTCTAATGAGAATTATTATCTTATATCTGACCGTGAGTATACATCATGAAGAATTTCTTACAATTTTATATTGATACTAACTGAATTCAGAGAAGTATTCTAAATCTTCACCTACGCCTTTAGATAACTTGTTGACACTCTATGGATTAGAAGATATTGCCAAATCAATCGCAAGAACTAATCCGGATGGGTCTAAAGGTGTGAAGTTGCGTAAATCTTATAAGAACCATATTCAGGATCTTCCGGGAAAGCATTTAATTCCCGGAAGTAAAGCTGTACCCATGGCAATTCTTGACCCATTAATATCACAGACTGCCAGTATTATTAAGCCTTTGGACCTGAAACTTCTAAATGATGCGTTAAAGTTTGAAAAAACTTCGTTGAATGGAATTCCAGGGTTCAATGCTTCCGATTTAGCCATTAATGATCAACAGGTTTTGATGAGAGGTGACGATATGTCGGAAACAGATGAATATGGCAACAAAAAGAATAAACGTAAAAAGAAGACACAACAAGTTGGCGCTAATATAAAAAGACAGCATATTTAAATGTGATATTACGGGAGATATTTTAATTAATTAATTAATTCTTATTATTTTTATCATTATCATAATTTGATTTATTTACTACACGTGCTATATCAAACTAACTTCTTGGTTAGCTGAAGGGGAAACGGATGGTACTCCGCGCAATTCGGCAACAGAGGTAAAATTGACATATTTCTTTACTGGTCTGAGAGGTCGTTTGATCATATTTTTACCTTTATCCTTCCGTACTTGAAATTTATTCTTCAACAATCTACCAGTATGACTCAAGAGAGCCTTGATGAAGAATTTTTGCATCAACATGGTAATGTCAAGAACTGATACAACTTCTGAATGAATGGCAAATTCTGGAAGATCGATGACAAAATCCTCCACGTTCAATACCCTCAAGAATCCCTTGTGACATTTTATTGACACCAGCACTCTTAATGATTGCACAACCAATGCACCAATACTCATGTATTTTTTAGATCTTGAAACCATTTCTTCCACGTCATTCCCATGTTCAGAGTTGAATTCACTCGATGATGAATCTGTAGCAAAGTGTACATTATTCAATCTTTTCAGAAGTTTACTTTCTCCTGCTTGTGAAGCTTTACTGGTATTGAGAGAACTTGACCGTTCACCTTCCAGAGGCTGCTTATTCGTTCCTTCAAGCATCTCCACATGTACCCCGTCTAGCTCTGGTTCACTATCACATTCATCGTTGTCTTCATTATCAACATCATCGCCATTATTTTCCTTGGTGTGTTTCTCTGCTAATGCAATTAATGGACTTTCGTTTATATCTCCATCACTCTGGAAGATATATTCTAAGAGCTTTTCGCCAGTTATGTCATCGATTTTGATCTTTAACGGCTTAGCATTTACTTGAAAGTCTTCAATGATTTTAATTCCTCCTATAGGTCTGTTCATAGTCCAATCAACAACAATAACATTTTCACTATCGTCATTCACATCCATTTCAAATGGTGCGAATAATTCGGGGTATCTAGCAGTTTTCAATAAATTGAATCCTTGCATCATGAAAATTTCTATTCTGTTTATATTAGAACCATCGTCATTAATAGTTCTTTGGCAAATACCACGGGCCATGCCAACATCAAGGATTGGTGTTCGGTCATCTTCAAGTAGATGCAAAATAATTTGATCTGCTCTGATAGTCCAATGTGACATGGCCTTTGTGTCTCCTACTTGATGTTCCAAGTCACCTCCCAAGATAGACTGCATCATTAAGTAAATTTCAAGCGCAGTGCTACCCTTCTCCAAGTTCAAACTCAAATGGTTGTTCAAATCTTCATTATCAAGAACATGTTGTTTGAATTGATAGTTTTGAGTAAGTTTATCAAGTAATTGATAGTATTTATGTAAATTTATAAGTCTTCCTTGCAATGCATTTAAATCTTGGAAATCAATGGAAAATTTCAATTTTTCGAGCTTATCAGTTAAGTTCTTGCTCAACGGTTCGGAATAAAATAGCAAGCTTATCACAATTATATATAATGTAGAATATTGCTTTGCCGTGGATGTGACAACGAATTTAGGTACATCGATCCGAAGAACGCGGTTAGCACTATCACTACTACTCTTGACGTTAGGTTGTATTGACTTAGCATCATTTTCGCTTTCATCTTGCTTGTGACCAAGTGGTTTGACATGCTCAAACGTCACCATCGTAGATGTCTTTTCTACCAACAAATTGTCATATCCAGCTAATGTACCGTTTTTACAAATCTCTATTCCGAGCCACGGTGGCCAGTTTTCTTTAGATCCATATGGTTTTTGAGCCAATATCAAGTCGTGAGATGCAACCATATCCTTATTCAAAACAAAAATATTTGCATCTCTCATAAGAACACCATACCTATTTTCCAAGGCAACTATGTTCGAAACATTCAGTTTCCCTTGTTCAACTACAGAAAGAATCTTAACGTCAATGTTTGGAGCTGCAACAAGCACAACCGAATCGGGGGCTTCGCTACTTTGTAATTGAATTTGTGGAGAAATGATTTCGATCAAGAAATCTTCCGTAACTGTGTTACCATCAGCAACTCTTCTCAATATTTCATCAAATTTGCCTAATCTTTCTTCCGAGGATTCGTCTTTATTCAAATTCTCATTATCAAGCATCTGTTGACGGTTCATACATTCATTGAGTTCAGTTTGAATGGTTTCAATATCCCCAGGAGCAATATCCTTCCTTTTATCGATAATATCTTGAAGTGTGCGGATGGAATCATAACTGAGGTATTTAGTTATATAACTTTTCCATTGTACAAATTGGATGTATTTCAACAACAAATTTCTATTTTCAATATTCCATTTCAACATCATGCTGATAAGCATAAATCTATTGTGGAACAAATCAGAAATATTTTCTCCCTTGTGAGACTTAACATCAACTTGCTCCTTAATATTCGCTTCAAGAGACTCGATACGAGCTTGTAATTGTTCAGTTGGCTTGCCTTTTCTTTGATTCTTTTTAATTTGCTTTTCCAATTGTGTTATTCTAGTGCGGTACAATGTTAAAAGAGATTCAAACATATTCTCTGAATGAATCTTGCAATTATGACTATCTTCGTTCCCGAGTTCAGGAGAATCCAATTCGGACTCCTTACTCGTGTCTCTAAAGTAAGAAAAGCATTCTGTGTACATCAATGGATATATTTTAACATCTCGTCTATTCTTTTTCAAAGCTGGAATGTATGCCTCTTCGTAGTCATCGATGTCAAACCACAGCGAGTTACCATCAAATGTCCAATATGTAGAATCTTTATCGTCATACTTTTCATCAACTTTAGAATAAATATCATGATCAAATCGAGAATGAACAGCTCTTAAATCAATTCCTTTCAAATGAGATTCACCAATATTGAAGTTCATCTTTTTGATTTTCTTTTTTCTATCAAGTCCTTCGTGTACTTCTATTTGATGTTCCTTCCTTTGATGTAAATCAAGAACAAAGTGCTGCATCTTTCCACGGACTCCAATGCACTCGATTATATCCTTGTCACCATCAACAGTTTCATCTCTATAAATGTGCGAAATAAAGACGTCACTGAAATCAAATAAGAATTTGTTAGTGTACAAGTGTTGGGAGAATTTCTTATCTTCCTTAAGGTCTCCAAATAATGGTCCACGTCTAATAGGAAGCATCATGTTCCCTGAAAAAAGTACCCACCAACTGAACAATTGTTTAAAAACGCCAGGACTTAAATGGATTGCATTATTGCAACCTTCATTATTGGAAGTAAGCGAAATTGCCATATGTATGTAATCACTGCGGAATCCCGAATAGGAGTCATGTCCCTCTTCTGTATACTCTGGATTATACAATTCCACTTCATAATGTGGTTTAGCATCATAAGTTTTCTTACCATCAGCACCATCTCTTTGAAAGAGGAAGCCAAGTTTGAAGTTGATTCCTCCACTCAATTTTAACACAGTTTTCTCAAGAACATCTCTATTCAATAATAATGATTCCTGGCGTGTTGGGGTAGGTATATCTTCCAAATAATATGCATAAGCTGTACTAACAAAATTTTGAGAAGTGGGTAAATACGTAGATTTAGAACTTTGTCTAGTCCACGCGATTAATGGAGCCGCCAAATAATTTGGAATGAAAAACGATACTTTATCGGCAATAATTTCGAAGAACAGTCGAGGATCATCATGTTCGTTAATCTTCCATTCGACTTGATCTCTAAATGCAAGTACAAAACCAGATGAAGACCCAAATAAATTATATGGATCTCTTGAACCCTTAATTGCAATCTGTAAATCACTTTCTCCTTTTACCAGAATATTGAAATTACCATGCATGACATATTTTAATTTATCCCATACACCTAACTTCTCCGATGGATCAACAGGTGGTTTCGAAAATTGGTCAAAGTTAAGAATTGTTTGTTGTAATGCAAATTGGTATGACAGACCCCATACAAATCTGGTAGACTGTTCAGAGGAGAACGAAATTCTTAAATCTGAGTACAACTTAACAGTTGATAATGCCTTCTCGATTATCATTCCATTGTATCCTAATTTAGAAAAATCTATTGAACCAGGTACCAATGGAATTTCCAATCTTCTAACATGTTCCTTAGCAGTCACCAAGTTTTCGGAAATTATTAAATGCCCATGCATAGCTAAACTTGGAGACTTATCAATATTTGCAGGTACATGCAATAACGGAAGTGGATAATCACGGAGATGCAATCTAAGTTCCCCGAGTTTCAAATCAATATATGTTGGTAACATCAATGAATAAACTGTATCCTTCGGAACACCTTGACCAATATCATAAAGAAATTGCGGTAACTCATCCAAGCTAAATTTAGTTGAAGATATATTAACATCAAGGCTTTCTAGAATGGCTGAAAACAATGGGGCTTGGATCATATAAGATACAATCCCCTCATTAAGCTGAGGTGGAAGTGTTGCTTCACTACCAAATAAATACTTCTTATTTTTAATAATTTCTTCACTCAACATTCCCTTAAATACCTTGACCTTTCTGATCCATGATTTGGATATTGTTTCTTCAAGTGTTTCTTTAAGATTGGCATATTCCTGTTTGTCAATTCCTGTCAGTTTGGCTTTATTTTCAAATAAACTTAATTGTTCTAATCTCTTTCTTTGTTCAACTAAACCTAATTGATAGATCATCGCCAATTCAGCTTCGAATGGATCATCTTCCATGGCGAAGAAAATCTTTCTTGTTCTCAAACGGATATTTGGAACATCGAGAGCTTTGGATTCAGTGGGTACAACAATCAGATCTCGATTATTATCACCCTTAAGTGTCTGGAACAAGTGCTTCGCAATTTTAACTGTAATTGCCAAGTTATCAAACAAATGATATACTACAAATTGATGAGGATGGAGGATCCTAATAGATTCCACAGTCACGTCAACAGGACAGGACAATGAAGGGTCATTCACAACCACCTTCAACGAATCAAGGCAAAGAACCCTTGTCCAGCATTGTGATACGGTTGGGGAGTCTGCAAGTAGCCTTGAAAGTTTGTTTGTTAAAGTAATTATACCGTCACTGAAGAAAGCATTAATATCAAAAGTTTGCACTTTAATTTTGAAATCATCACTTAATTCAACTTCAAGTTCAATTTTTGACACATTAGAATCAACATATATGAAATCTTTTGGATGAACGTCATACTCTGGTTTAAATGAGTCTTCTCTAGAAATAATTCTTTTATCCTTTTTCCATCTCTCACCCATCATTTTTATTGGGGTAAGAATGACTTCTTTAACCATATTAACACTTCCAAGAAGCACGAAAAGCTTGTACCGATCATAGAATCCAGATATATCACCAATATCATTGTTCACAATCAATTTGTTTTTTTCATTTATTTTGGCTGCAATAAGATCCAATGAAAGAGATGGAATAGCAAGGAAAGTGCCATCCGTCTCGTTGTTGTTTTGAATACTGACTCCAAAGTGTTCTAATTTAATTGCAACTGCCCAATATGGTAGAAAACTTTTGGTAATTTCACTTTTGCCAGCGTTCATTGTTTGATTTTGCATTTCAAATCTGAAACTTTTATTTTGCAGTTCGTTGGCAATGTACACATGTAGCTTGACTAAGCTTATTGTCATGGTCCTCAAATCCTTATCCAGACCTTTATTAAATTGAGATAATTCTTCTGGTTTCATGAATGGTGATCTTGAACCAAGTTTTAATGATATTTTCGATACATTTATATCTGTTTGTAATAACCAATGAGGCAAGTTCTTGAAGACTTTGTCTTCAAGGTTTAATTCCGGTCTCCTGATTTGACGGGGTCTCTTTCTAAAATATTCTCTCAACTTTTCGTTTAGTTGAACATTCAAGAATCCCTTAGTTAGATTTTGATCCACCATGAAATTTATTTCTTGTAAAAGATTGCTCATACCATGGATCACATCCAATTCAGATAAATCAACATTAACATTCAGAATATAAACCGAAGGCTTAACCCTGAAGTTCCTTAATACATCGACCTTAACATCAAGAGATTCGATGCCGAATATTTCACTCTGAATTATTTTATTGGACTTAGTGTTGGATTTCTCAATATAGTTAATCGCTGGATGCAAAAAGTTACAATTACAATCGTATTCTCTAGTAGAATTTGTAAGAACATGCAAATTCAAATATGAATATGAGAAATTCAAAAGTTGGGTTGAATCGGTTACGTCATTCGTATGTCTAATGATAAATCTTGGTTGTTCAACAACTAATTTGACTTCTACCTTTGGATAGTAATCATACAACAATTTTAATAAGTGATTCTCTGGAGTTTCCGAGGCTAGCGTTTGATTTCTACTTTCGGTATATTCAATCGTTATACTCTCGTTATCATATTCGTATTCCTTTGATACTATAGTATCATCAGACTGTAATTCAGAATCATCGTCATCATATTTATCCAGACTCTCGTCATGCGATGTGCCTTGTCCATGCATGAATTTCCTATTACCCTTTAATAGTTTCAAATATTTCACAATCAATACGATATTATAATTGAATGAGGTAAGTTGCTCAGTGTCAAGATCAACGATGGGACTGCTGGCAGATGAGAAAAGTTCAATGACACAATTCTTGAAACCATCTCCTCTAGCAAGGTGATCCAAAACGTTCGACTTGATGGTACATCCAAAATTAGGTAAATTCAAGACTTCGTCAGTCCTTTTAACCACTCGTTTCTCTAATTCAAACAAAGTAGTGTAGTTCACCGTTAAAAGTTGAACAGACGATATAATATGAAATGGAGTGTCCCTTACTGGGTCGAAAAGAACTTGGAAGCCAGGGGATTGTGGATGTAATCTCAGATAATTTACAGAAATAGATTTAGTTCTCAATTCAGTTGCTGCTGTAGGACTTTTTTTATTGAAATATTCCTCAATAGATTCTTGTGCATGAGGGTTTGCAAATGGAATTTCAAGGATTGCGGTATTCTCGACATGAACAGATACTTCTTCAATGCCTCCATAAAGTTTACGATGAAGTCTTTGTAGTTTGGAAAGAGGACTCTCTGAATCTTCAACGGTTGGCTTGGTTTGTGCTCCTTCCTTATTATTAGACTGGATATCAGTTTGTGATGTTACCTCTTGCAAATAATGCTTCACCAAACTAAATAACAGTACCCTCAAATGATCAATAAAAACCTTGGTCTTTATTCTATACACTGAGCCATCGTTAAGATTAACTTGCCAATGGCATTGAATTTTCAAGGTCTCTGTTGATAATGGAGATTTGGTATCTTGTTTCTGATTAAGAGAAACGGACACATTGTTCAATATTATGATACTGTTGAATTTTATTGTGTCGGAAAATCTTTCTGAATGCCTTGAGGACATTGAAAACTTCACATAATCTAAGGAAGTTTTCCCATTTGGTGTGGTAATATGAGAGTTTCGAATCTGTATATCTATTAATGGAATTCTAGAAAGAGCAAAACGAATCACTTTGGCGAATATTCCACTAGACGGTATTATGGTGAGACGATCTTGATCATCAGAACCATTTGTCGTCTTCTTCTTCTTCTTTCCCTTATTTGTCCTCGTTTGATCAGAATTTGTTCCTCTGTTTTTCACATTTATATGGAGTTCATCAATGATAATCTTTCTGGTGTTTCCCCAAAGTCTGAATCTGAATGATCTGATAGATATTTCAATCTTCCTCGAATTAAAAGAAATTCCATTGAACAGAATCCCATTATTTATTCCAATACTCTTAAGATGAAATCCTGTCGTGAGATAGAATGCATACCAGCCAACAATCCATAATACCAATATGGAAGTGACTGCTTGCACCAACTTCTCAATCGGAAACATCTACGGGTACGTCACAAAGGTAGAAATAATTCTGTCAGATATTTGTCCGTGACTTTACTATACTAAAGGTATTGAAGTGTCATACTATACAATATTTACCTTTTTGCATTACAGTCAAACGAGTTAAGCAATCGAAACTCTGTGGTATTTCCCTGCAGGATTGCTGGCTCGTAAACTCTGCATGGAGCTTTCAAATATAGATTTTTCGCGACTACAAAGGGAATGTTGGAAATAAAATAAATAGTATACAATAATTTAATGCAAGTTTACCGCAAACAATTCAAACTAGTTTAAAATTTCCTAATTAGCAAGAGAATAGACGCTAATTCATCATACACATTTACTTTTAAAATGTTAGATAGAATAGATGTAGATGTACCATACATAATTATTATCAGTATAATGTAGATAGATAACATCTCACTACAAATTTTATATTATATACATGACCTTCAACTATATCTCCCCTGAAAAGTTCCCTATTAAGAAGGGCACAAATAAATTGTGTGGGGTGACTGACGTTCCCCTCAATTGGCCGGATAATTAATGGAAAGGAGAACACAGACAAAAAAAAATTGTAAAACAAAAAAAAAATTACTAAATTAAAATATACAAGACTTTGATTTTGTTGTTCAAATCGTTTCCAGCACGTGATTTGTTAGGGCTTGTTTGGGGTAAGCCCTAATCACCTGACCATATGACCACGCAAATATGCGACACAAAATTGAGGAAAATGTATGCCGAGGTATTGCATATAGACCTCTTTCTGTTTAGTCGTGTTACGCCCAACACCATTCGCACCAGCGAGATACTCACTGTTACAAAAAAAGTGAAAATTTTTTGAAGGATAGAGATATAGAGTCTACACAGATTATCAAGAGTATGTAATGATACATAGACCAAATGGTCGGGATAACGATGGCTTACTCGGTGGACATGTTAATAAAAGAACTGTAGCTGAATGAAGAATGAACAATAGCTATAAGCTTGAGACAAATTGAAGAAATATTGGGCGATGGGATTTCAACAAAATGAATCCAAGAATTGAAACTATGATTCCCCTAAAAATATAATGGAACATTGGTGATACTATTATACCATAGCAACTACATTCACCAGCAAAGCCATCGATGTATTCTTCCAATGTAATAAAGATGAATTTTTTCAACTCTAAATTGATACTAACAAATTTTTTAGTGGCCGCCTCCTTACCACACCCAAAGATCGTCAAGAAGCACACCAAGAAGTTCAAGAGACATCACTCTGACAGATACCACCGTGTTGGTGAATCTTGGAGAAAGCAAAAGGGTATTGACTCTTGTGTTAGAAGAAGATTCAGAGGTACCATTCCTCAACCAAACATCGGTTACGGTTCTAACAAGAAGACCAGACACATGATGCCATCTGGTCACAAGGCTTACTTGGTTAAGAACGTTAAGGACTTGGACGTTTTGTTGTTGCACACCAAGACTTACGCTGCTGAAATCGCCCACAACATCTCTGCCAAGAACAGAGTTGAAATTGTTGCCAAGGCTAAGAAGTTGGGTCTTAAGGTCACCAACCCTAAGGGTAGAGTTTCCTTGGAAGCTTAAATATAGTTTTTGGGTTATTTTAAGTCATGATAAGTTCTTTTAATAAAAAATTGTACATTTAAAAGAAATATTTGTTTGTATACTTTTGATGTATAAATGTAGAAATTTTTAGATATTTTCATATATATATTTATCTATACTATTTATCGATGTCTTGATAAAGACCCTGCAACGGTGGGGACAGTGTCAAGATGGTGGTGCTTTTTTATCTTGTATCCTAATTCACAACATCCACTAGAATCAAATGTTAAATCAGTACTAGATTTTAATTTCTTTGGTTGTAATTCCAACGGTATCGTATTAATTGTCGGGTTAATAGTTGATGTATCTTCATCCACATGAGCACATTCCTCCACTTCACATTCTGGAATGGATTCATCTCGGCTTGATTCGGCGGTTATCTTCCCATCATCGGCAATTTCTTCATTGGTAACGACGGCGTCTTCCGCGACACAAGGTAAATTTCCTGAACTTGAACTAAGTTTTCTATCAGTATCCTCATCTCCACTATTGAAATCAAGCATAGACTTGACTTTAGGAAGGAGCGCATCCACAGACTTTTTACTATCAAAAGACCGGTTTTTTTCAGTTCTCTTAAGACTCAAGGGTATATGACTTAAGGATGAACTGGAATGAATAGATGCATTGTCGTTAAGATTACCGTGTTGGTCATCATGTTGGTGAATATCTCCAGCTTTTGGTAAATCTAACATACTACGGATTGGTGTATGTAACCCATCACTGTCACTAGGTGAAGTAACAGTGTTTCTTCTCGAAGGTGCTTGAGAATTTGACGCAGATGAGTAACCAGACCCTGTACCATTCGATTGCAGTGATAATACAAATGGATTGACATCTTGATCAGGGTGTTCATATACACACATTTCAAGACTATTAAACCAAGAATCTTCGAATAAGTTGTCCAAAGTGTAACGATTTGTCACTGAAGGATCACATAACTTCCAGGCAACTCTGGAAGCTCCTGTCGATTGGAATTGTGAAGCCCATTTGAATTCAGATCCAGGACCCTTTCCTGAATCCGTATTACCCTTGAAAGTTGGGTGTGAAGAACAAAATCGTTCATGATTGAATTTATAATCTCTGAATCCATGGTCCAGTGGACTAGCTGTGGTAAATGGGACACTGGAATAAACAATACAGAACAATAACATTCCAAGACTCCAATGGTCCATTTTGTAAGGATCATATTCCCATTTCTTTAACTCACTATGACTTAAATCTTTCAATTTCATAACTTCTGGAGGTGAATATGGAGGAGATCCAACATAAGCATGAGACTTTTTAACTGGAGAAGTAAGATCGCCTTCTATTTCATTACCATAATCACTGATTCCAAAATCACAAATCTTGGCAACTCCATTAGCATCCAAAAGAATGTTTTCTGGCTTCAAATCACGATGAACAATTCCACTATCATGCATATACTTTAATCCATATGAAATCTGTTTAAAAATACAAAATTTTTCATTTAATGAAGTTCTTTTCCAACCAGGTTTGACAATAATGTTGAATAAATCACCACCACTGCAAAATTCTAAAATAAACCCCCACCCTCTTGTAAGATTAGTTTGAGATTGAATCCTCACAATCGATAATGTATCGACAATATGTCTACATTTGGACAATCTTTTGGAAATAATAAACTCCTTGGTAGCACGTTTATAAAAATCTTCATCAGTTTCTTTACTTAAAAGTGAAAATTTCTTCAAGGCATATATTTGTTTCTTGTGATGTGAAACATTCACCATCATAACTTCTGCAGAACCTCCAAATCCCAATTTAGAATTGGATAAATCAAATTCAAAGTCATCCAAGAGATTAACATGGCCTTGTCTTAAATCATCCGGAAGATAATCATTTGGGTCAGCCATTGGATTGGCAAGTATTCTTTGGCCATCATTTGTTCCAGCCAAATAGAAACTTGTATGTCTTGGAGTTTCAGTAGAAGGACTCTTATTGAGTCCAAAGGGGTTATACTTAATTTTTTCTTGGTGGTGTGCGGGTGGTGCTTGATGTGAAGGAACTCGAACCCCCAGTAAATTGTTGTTATTAGCAGCGGCAGCTCTAATGGAATTCTTATGTGAAATATGTTGTAGATGTGCTATTGTTTCTGCCTTGGTGAGTTTTTTAGGCTCCGGAGTTCTTGCCCCGGAATTGTGGACTGGTTGACTCTTTTTAAGTGAAAGAATACTTGAACTTCTCGAAAGTTTACCAGACCCTGTGTCTGACTTTGAAGAGTTATTATGGTGGAAGAATTTTGAAATACCTGTATGGGAGCTCTCTGAAGATGAAGCACCAGGAGATTCCTCCTTTCTAAAGATATTTCTTATACCATGATGGTGTTCCTTTTCAGTCTTATTGGTCATAATAATGTATGAAGCTAATTGGTTGGGGTAGTTTGGTGGGGTTTGTATGGAACTTTTCGATTGTAAAATTGTATTGTCTAACGTCTTCTTTTCTACTGCTGCCCTCGATTCCTATTCTTATATCCTTTCTTGTGTCTGGGAGAGATAATGTTATGGTAATGTCTAATTCTAATGATAAACCAATCTTAAACAAATAGTCTTTGTTGGCCGATATAGAATAGCAAATTTGTAATCGCGGAGTAATATCCGGAATCTATGGGACTATTCAATATTTGGATCAGATATTTGTATCTGAATATATCTCAATGTCTAAGATGAATATACTAAGTTCCAAAACAATATCACAAAGAATAGCAATTCTATATCTGATTTCTAATGCAGATTAGTAACTTTATGGCTTTATGATCAAACCAAAAAAAAATAAAATAAAATACTTGAGTGCGGAAATAATAAAGAAGCAAAATTAATATATTTAAAAAAAAAAAAAAGTAAAAAAAGGGAACTTCAATCACCAGATACTCAAACCCTGAGAAAGCGTCACACTCTCGGAAAATATTGGTAGCATACAATACATTGATATACAAATTATAAGTGGTTACGAGTTTGAGAAAATTTTAAGGGCATATCAGATATTAATTTCCACACCGTGGGCAAAGAATCTGTGGATTTTATTTTCTCCACGAGGAAATTGCCAACCTTATCTTACGTTAATCTCTTCATTTTGTGAAAAGAATATTTTAAGAATTGATCATAAAAAATAACTTTCTGTGTATTTACTTTTATGCGAGCAAACCCATATGCCAATATTATTGTGCTCGGAATGAAGTCGGTTGGAACTTCGGTGAATATGTACGTGGTGAGACGTGTGTAAGACCAATAATTATAGGCATTTCTCATTCAATACCTGAGACGATTAAATGAATTGACGTGACTCTACAAACATGGGCCGTTGTACTTGCCAAGTCTCGGGCACAATTATCTTGTAAGGCGATAAATGCCGAAAGTTCATTTAGTTAAATTAATTTATTTTTACCCCTTGTAATTCCCCACTGAATTTCTCACTACTTTATCTTCTATTATTCCCCTTTTTTTGGTTGTCATGCTGATCCTATTCTAATCCACGTGTAGCTGCACAGAAGGAAGGTATAATAAATGTGTAGAAGCATTGTTTATGATTCTACTCAACTGCAGAATATTTGTCCATTGTATACTCTTTCATTGGATTATATATCTGCCTGTAGTTAACGCCGACAAATTCCAGTGAACCCCCATTCCAGAAGATTTTTACGTCTATGCTCCACCATTTTGAACCTTTTTTGTTTTTCTTTTATTTTTGGTTGTACATTTAAACTAGCAATTAACTACTTACAATCAAATAATTATTTTGACTATTATCATACAGCCCAAAGACTATAAATTAAATTGTTACTTTTAAAACATATTGTTGTTTGTTTTTTATTCATTTTCTTATCTTCTTTTTTCTCTAGTCAAGCTAAAGAAAGTATTATATAATACAAAGAACCTATATATAGATCTTTCTAAAAAAAAAGTTGATGGTAGATATTACATGGAGAGAGTAAATATTAAACCAACCATCAGGATATTAAAAATCTCCTAAACACTTTCATCGTCAGAAACCTTGGCGTTTCTCTTAATCTTGAAGAATCTAACACCACCACTGCTTTCTTCCTTAAGTTCAGGTTCTGGGGCAGCTCTAGTGAAAGATGATTCATCACCTTCTGGACCAGTAGTGGTGACTGGTGGAGGTTGAGAGTAAGAGTCGTACTCCTTTTGACTTCTTACATTGTCCATGTGCTTCTTATAAGAGTTGGAAATATTAGCAGCACAAGTGTTGAAGAAAGAAAGTAATAAACAAACAACAGCAGCCCAAATGATGGCCATTGACTTTAAACCAACAGTGGCGGACAAATTAGCATCATTGAAAGCTTGCTTGGCTAAAACACAAGCAGCAGTTTGGAAGGCAGCAACACCAGCAGTAAAGAACAAACTAATGGCAACAAAGGCAACAACAACCTTATCAATGGAAGTGAAACAGAATCCCAAAATGTCAATAATTAAGGCAACACCAGCAAATCCAAGACCAACAAGAGTGAAGGCAAAGGAGAAACGAGTTAAATAGTAGAACATATCCTTGTTCTTAATAAACTTTTCTGGAACATCAGAAGTAGTGGAAAAGTTATCAACTGGAGAAATAGGATAAGCTGGACCATTGGTACACTTGGAGTAATCATCCCTTTCACAAACACCCCAGAAAGTCCAAGCAGAGAAACTTGGAGCACCTGGAATACCAGAGGTATTAGCCTTTAACCAATAGAATTCATTCAATGGTCTATGGTTGGAAGAACCAGAAAGAACAGTCAACAATAAAAGTAAAGTTGCACCTGCCAATAAGACGAGATTAACAAATGTAAGAGCAACCTTCATAACGTAGAATAAATGTAGTTGTCCCTGATTGTTTCGAGAATAAAAAAGCTCCTATTAGTAAATTAGAGGGAAACTTTTAAAATAACAATTGCGAAAAAAAAACAAGTAGGGGAGATAGAACTTGTTCTTGTATTATTAAAGGGCTTTGTATTAATCAAAGCAAATAGTAGCAACTATTAATCAAAAGGAAAATCAAACAAATTAATTGAAATTAACAAAAAAACAAGACTATTATAAAAGAAAAACAAAATTAAGAATAATATCCCACCCTTTAGTATGTAAGTATTTACAATGTGTTAAGTTAAGGGTTTTTAACAGAGAAGAGCAAACGAGGCTGTTGTTGTTTTTGTCATTCCTAGTTCGTCGAGCCTGTATATACCTGTATGGGTGGAGAGAATGCATTGTATGCGGCTTCTTTGTTGATTTTTGTCTCCTTTTGGTTTTTTAAAGAACTTATTGGGAATTGACTTGACACGGAACATGCGGGCACAATACAGGTGTAGTGCATAATGGCGATTTGTATGCAGGTGGTCACAGATCGTCAATTTTTCGAACTCAATGTTTAGAGGAATTTATGAGATTCCATTAATAGTAAAAAAAAGAAAAGCAAAGAAAGAAAAAAAAAAAAACATTGAAGAATATGACTACAAAGTTGCTGTGGTGTACAGGATGATGTAAGTATGTAACTGTCATTTTAAAGACAAAGGAATGAATTATGCATGAAAAAACAATTTTTAGAATTGCATTAAATTTGCTACTGTCATCAATTTGTCTTAGACCTAGACTTTTCAAGCCTCATTATTGTTCTTTGCTCTAATTTACACTTTATGAGATTTTCATATTATTATAAATACTATTAAGTTAGGGTAATGTGATCATGCAGTGAAGAAGTAACAAAGAAAAAAAAAAAATGTAAATGATTTATTCTAGTTTATCCGTGGATGCGAAATTCCAGTATATGAAGTGATAGTTGTATTACCAGAATCCCATTCAAGACACCAACCATACCAGGTTCTCTTTAGACATTTCTGAGGAGCGCCAGTAGGGGTACTTGAAGTAGTAGTGGTTGTGGTACTAGTTGTAGAATGTTTCAGTTTAGACAGTGTTGGAGGACTAATACTCTTTGTAGGTGATTTTGATTTATTTGGTGGAATTTTTTCATCATGACTTACAAACTTCCAATTGAAACAATCTCTACATGGAGGTTGATCAAAACATGGAGCAGTTTCATTATATTGAAGAATCACCTCATCAATAACAGTATGGATTCTATGATTCAATAAGTTCACTCTCCATCCTTTATCTGTCACAACATCATAAACACATTGTTTCCCCGTGTGACATGCAGTCTCCATGGCATATCCAGCAACGTTACAAGTACTCGAAGCACCGTTACATACACCCATGTAGATAGGATCAGCAGTATGGCCAATATGCCAAATGTTTTCCAAATGTTTGGGAAGTCCAGGTGGCAGTGGTAAATGTAATCTCTTGGTAGCCAACATTTCACCAGGGGCTTCAAAGGCAACTGCAGGTATACCAAATGTACGACCAAGTAAAGATGCGAGTGCACCACCAAGAGAATGACCCGTAACCCAAATATTGGTGGATTCTGGTGGGTATAATGCAGTAACATTTCGATAAAGATCAAGCACAGCTTGGTAATATCTATCTTGTCTCAAGAGTTCCTTTTCTAAACAATCTTGATTACAAGTATATGCCTTCTCATAACAGTCACATACAGTGGTCCACATGTAACCTACCCTAGCACAACAACACAGGAAAAGTAAATTATCATTTGTCTTATCACTTACAGATGTTTCTTCACTACCACTTCCAGGAAGTCCAGCTCCAGAAGTACCCTTGATACCAATTACGACAGTCTTGGAATCATTACTAACAAATATATGACCTCTAATTCCATCTTCACCCCATCCAAACATCTCATCATTGGTCTTGTTGTCTGCCAAATGCCAAGGTTCACCGACATCTATCCAATCCAGTTTCTTCTTTTCCTCCTCATTCTTGGGTAATCTAACGTATGCGTTTGAAGAAATGGAAGCAAGAGACACCAAGGTATCTCTATCCTTTATGTCTGGAATGACAACTTCTTGTTCTTCCCATTCAAGAGAAATCTTATTCAAAATTGATGGATTCCCCTTAACCTTGATGGCATGTTCAAGATATGATTCTATAAAATTTGGGGTGTGACGTTCAGCCAATCTTTGAATTTTTCCTCTGTTTTCTTGTGCTTTCATTGGGAGTTGTATAGTGAATGGATTTTTCCCCTCATGAATCTTGGGCCAGTCAAGTTCATTATAAATATCTTCTAAACTTGAATCTTCATTTAGAATTTTAAAATTCCGTTTCTTTTCTTCTAACATGGTAAAATGTTCTTCAATATTACTCTTGGCAAGATATTCTGGAGTAATATCTAAACGACGATGAGTCTTATAATGTTTGGCTCCAGTACCATGATGGAAGATATGTTTAAGTTGAAACAAATTAGAGTCGCCACCATTCATATCCATTGATGACTTTTCATTTATCACCTCCTCTTCTAGAATAGTCAGTTTCCCCCACATATTCTTGATATAATTGCCATGATACCACCAAACCATATAAACACTAATAATTATGAAGGCAAACCATCCACCGCCACTACTTATACTAAGTCTCAGTTTCCGTCTATAACGTTCTTCAAATGTCCCCATCTTCCTTTATTATAAGTATATATATACACTCTTAATCCGATTAAGTTTTAGAAATTGTAGCACTCTATATTGCTTGAATCTCAAACCTTGGTGTTTTAATTAATTTAATTAAAAACATGTCTAATTGATCTTAGATAAGATTTAATTACAGTTGAGAGGAGATGGTGCAAGGGTGTGACTGTATACAGCGCATATATTATATAGATTAAATTTAAAAATGTGACCCAGCAAACAAAAAAAAAAAAAAAAAAAGAAAATTATTGTTATCAAAATCTATTTGTGGCGGTAAACCTTCGAACCATAATAAAAAAGAAAAAAAAATAGTATTCTAATTATTGTATATTATTTCTAATTTATCTATAGGTATATCACATCATAATCCAGCACCTGGCTAGGCTCGAGTAAGTATTGTCTCAGAGAAATAATCCGAAGATCTTTCACCACTGTAAAGGGCTCTTTATTTTCAGTCTTTTCGCATTCAAATGTATGTTGCAAAATCTTGTGCAATCTATTTAATACATTACCAAGAACTTTAGGAGTAAGTTCAAGTTGATTATTATAAAATTCATTTGCTAATAAGGCAGTAAATAAATCTCCACATCCATTGAATGAACATTCAATTTTTGTAATTTCAATACAAAATAATTCATTTGAAGATGTATATCCAATTGAATATATTTTCCCAATGAATTCTATTGAAGTAATAACAAGATTACTTACTTTAAAAATTGATTTAAACTTTTCACAAGCATGTCTAATTGAATCTAAATCATTAATTTTAACCCCACTTAATAATTCAAATTCAAATTGATTTGGTGTAGTCAATGTCACGTGCCCGCTGCTCAAGATTTTTTTATAAACTGGAATTATATCTTCCAGTACATATAATTTCCCATTATCACCTAAAACTGGATCTAAAATCCATGTAGGATTCATATTTGAATTATATAATTCACTTATTTGATCGAAAACAATTTGTAACACATCTTTAGATGGTGTGTATCCAGTAATAATTAATTGATAATCCTTGGCAAGATCAATAATATCATTTAAACCTTGGAAAAGATCTTTAACCCCATCTGTAGTACTTTTAGTTCCCTTAAATTTCCCATACCCAGGATGATTTGAATAGTTTGTAGTATTTAATGCATCAACATCCCAGCCTGAAAATTGAAGTGGGAATACCATTGCCCGATTTCCAACATATCCATGGACAACATGTGAAGAAATAGATAACGCTGATGGCATTCTAACAATCCAAACCTCAAAAATAAAATGAAAAGATTTTTTTTAAAAAAGTATCTTCGTTCCCCGTAAATCAAACCAATGTTTCCAGAGATTGGGAATTTTTTTAAAAAAAAAACACAGATGGTTTCAATATATAATATTTTTTGTACGGATTATGCGCCACTCAGATGTTTGACACTGATTTGATCCCCCGAAATTGATACGATAGATTATATGCAAGAAAAAAGATTTCACTCAAAAGACTGTTACCAGGTGGACAAAACAACATAACACTATTTTTTTTTTTTTTTGCTTCACATTCAGAAAGACTTGAAAACATATATATAATTGACTCAAATAATACGCCCATCAATCTGTAAATTCAATTGAGAACTACAAAAAATCGGTTAAGCTCACTGGTAAATTTATAATATCAGTTTGTATTTTTTCTTTTTATAATATTTTGGACTGCATACACAATTCAACACGTAAACTTTATAGCCCACAAATTGACATGATTTAATTTCATATTCTAATCAGACTTATTTCTTATCAAAAGTACTTAATTCATCGCACACATAATGGGGGTGAAAGAGAGTAACGTTTTGGACGTTGGCTACCCGATATATGCCGCCACATTCATCAATAACAAAACTGTTATTGTTGCTGGAGGTGGAGGTGAAGGTAACAATGGTATCCCAAATAAAATCACTGTAGCCAAATGTTTCTTCAAGGCTCCAGATAAGAGTAAAACTTTACAGAAGTTCCGAGAAATAAGCTTACCCAAAAATGAAGACTCTCCAATGTGTCTTGACATTTCTCGGAATTCCGGAAGTGAAGATGATTCATTCTGTGTATACGTTGGATGCAATCAATCAACTGAACTTATCAAGACCATGAATGTGAATAACAATTTGCGTAAGTATATATACACCAAGGATGAACACCTTCGTTTCCTTGACGCAGCTCAATTGGATGACGTTCCATCGGAAAATGTATACCCCAAGGCTGTTTATATTTCATCTCTGAACTCAGTTGGATGTCTTATGACTTCGCAAGAACCATCACAAATTTTTATCTTTGATCCAGAACTTTTAGAAACTAAATTCAAATTTACTCCAAAAGTAAATCTGGAAATTAAGGATTTCCATTTGAGTCCTGATGATGATGGTAAAACCTTATGTTATGTGACTTCGTCTTCTGTTGAAACCATTTCTACCATTACTGGAAATCCAATTTCAACCACAGGTGGTAATACAGAGGTCAATTCCATTTTGAAGAAGTATATTCTTTCCAAAGTGAAGTTTGTTGACAACTCTCATGTAATTATTACTGCTTCATTGAAAAATGGGAAGGGAATTGCCCTTCTTTTATACTCCCTTGCGCATCAAACATTCCTCAAACAAAAAGTGATTTCTACCAAAATCAAAGGTGTGACTGCTATAGATATATCAACAGTACAAGATCTCATTGCATTGGCAGGGAACGATACTTCAATGACAGTGGTTAGACTTTCTGATTTCAAAGTATTGAAGACTTATAATAAGCTCCATGCCTTTGCTATCACTAGATTAGCATTTTCTCCTAATGGAACCAACTTGGCTTCGGTTAGTGCTGCAAATACCCTCAGAGTAATGAAGTTCCCTCCAAAGTATTCACAAGGAAGATCTACCATAGGAACATTGTTCAATTACTTATTTACGATTATATTTATGGTTTTAGTATCATTTGCGTTACAAAAGGGGTATGAAAATGGTCAATTGGAACTTGCATACGATTACTCTAGGGAATATGGTACTATTTTATTTAATTTGGCTCAAGAGTACTCTTCTCAAGGATATGAATTTGTCAAGAACAAATTAAAGGATGATGATCTTGTTTCAAAGGGTACAGATGCTGCCAGCTACTTCAAAGTAGACGATTGGAATGAAGAAGAAGACAAACAAAAGACATCTTTGTATTCAACTCCCCAAGATAACCGGGGGCTTACAATTTCAAATGATCATATTAACTTGGAAAGTACTACAGCTTCTCTCGCAATTAGCAACAGTGACGATTTTTTGAACGAAAATTCTGAAACTGAAACAGTTTCTACTGGTGCATATGCCACTCCTGTAAAGGAAGCTGTTGAAGAAGTTGTATCAAGCTTAACAGAACCTGTGAAGTCTTTTGTTGAAGAAACTGTTGCTCCAGTTGTTGAAAAAGTTGAATCGAAAGTGAAAGATGTAAGAGAACCACATATTGCGAGTGCCCAGCCATCGGACCAAGACATCATTCTGGACACTTCAAGTGAAGTACAACCAGAAGTAGACACACAAGAAGATGTCTCTGAAGATGTTCCAACTGATGTACCAGAAGTATTGGAAGAGGTTGAAGAGGTGGTCGTTGTAGAGGAGGTTGTAGAGCAAATTGTTGAACCTGAAATCGAGGTCGTTGATGCTGAACCAATAGAAGTTGCTCAACCTGAACCAGTTAAAGTTACTGAACCTGAATCAGCTAAAGTAGAAGAGCCTGAACAAGTGAAAGTTGCTGAACCTGAACCAATAGAAGTTGCTCAACCTGAACCAGTTAAAGTTACTGAACCTGAATCAGCTAAAGTAGAAGAGCCTGAACAAGTGAAAGTTGCTGAACCTGAACCAATTGAAGTTGCCGAACCTGAAGCTAAAGTCGAACAGCCTGAACCAGTCAAGGTTTCTGAACCTGAACCAGTCACTGTTGCTGAACCTGAACCAGTCACTGTTGCTGAACCTGAAACTAAAGTCGAGATTGTAGATTTTGAACCAGTGAAGGTTACCGAACCTGAAGTTCAAGCCGTAGAATCTGAACCTGTCAAAGTTTCTGAGCCTGAAGTTGAGGTTGTAGAACCAGAACCAGAACCAGTCAAGGTTGCTGAACCAGAACCAGTCAAGGTTGCTGAACCAGAACCAGTCAAGGTTGCTGAACCAGAACCAGTCAAGGTTGCTGAACCTGAACCAGTCAAGGTTGCTGAACCTGAACCAGTCAAGGTTGCTGAACCAGTCAAGGTTGCTGAACCTGAACCAATCAAGGTTGCTGAACCAATACAAGTTGCTGAACCTGAACCAATCAAGGTTGCTGAACCAATCCAAGTTGCTGAACCAGTCAACGCTTCTGAACCACTAACAGTTGAATCTGATCCAGTAGTTGTGGAAGAAGTTGCTTCTGAAGTTGGGGAAGACGCGGAACCAGTTACAGTTAACGAACCTGAAGAGAAGACTGTTGAAACTGAGTCAGAAGTCGTATCTGAGCCTGTCAATGTTGCTGAATCTACACCTAAAGAAGAGTCTGAGCCTGTACCAGTTGCTGAACCTGAAATTCAAGTCCCAGAACCTGAACCAGTCAAGGTTGCAGAACCTGAAACCGAGGTTGTTGATACTGAACCAGTAGAAGTTGCTGAACCTGAACCAATTCAAGTAGCTGAACCTGAATCTGATGCTGCTAAAGTACAAGAAGTTAATACATCAGATGTAAATAAACCATCTGAGTCTATTAAAACGGATTTGCAGCCACCAGTCGTCACTGAAAGCTTGGATAGTCCAGTTGTTGGAAAGACGAAAAAAACCAAAAAGGTCACTAAAACCGTCACAAAAATAGTATCCAAAGAGTCTGAACCTATTAGACATGATGAACTTTAATCTTATATAGAATATTATCTTTGAGTCTATATTTGTCAAAAGTTTCTCTTACATAGTTTGTATTGTAAATATACCATAAACACATTTGAATCATTTTAATATTTAGTTGCAACATCAAGAGTATTATCTGCAGGATGATATTAATGGCATTGCCATCAATAAAGAAAGTCGTCAAGAGAAATAATAATATGTTATACTACCAAGACTGATGATATGACTTTTAATAGTAATCAGTTTTCTCGGAATCTTGCAAATGTTACAGATCCAACCGACTGGAACCTGTCACGAATTCCAGAGTTAACAGAATTTGACTCACTTCTCAGGTGTTACATATGTAAAGAATATCTACGAGGACCGGTCATGACCAGCTGTAATCACACATTCTGTTCACATTGTATAAGAGAATACTTGGTCAGTAACAGCCACTGTCCCTTGTGTGATAATGAACAATTCGAAAGTAACTTAAAACGAGTGATTCAGTTAGAAGAGATTGTATTGTGCTTCTCAAAAGTTCGGCCATTACTTGTGGATGCCTTGAGTCATGCGATCCCTGATTCCAGTACTTCGCTGCCTGTTAATGTATGTAGTGGATCAGAAAATGTACGACTGGAAGTTATTGAAGTGGAATCGTCGGAAGATGAAGTTACTGGCAAACGACAGATTCCCCTGAACGAGGCCCCAATACCGAGAAAGAAGCAGAAATCAACATCAAATGTAAATGGAACCCCTTCTTTATCTTCTTCTAGTAACTCCATTTTGGCATCCTTGAACTCTTCGGAGAATGCTATACCAACACGAGATCAAATGGTGGAGTGCCCAATATGTACAAAAATCATGCCAGCCGAAAAACTTCAAACTAGTCATATTGATAATTGCTTGGAAAGAGCATCTTCACCTTCAGAACCTTCTGCATTTACTTCATCAAGCCCCTCTCATGCCTTGCAGACCCTAGGCAAGAAAAAGAAGAGTGGGATCACGTCATTTTTCAATTCCACCTCTATTGCTCCATCGCCGATATCGAAGGAGCTTGCAAAAAGAAAGTTAACCAATAATGAAGATTATTATTTCAAGGAAGCATCTAAACATCATAGTGATGTAAAGAAATTACAAAAATTGGACTTTAATTCTTTAACAACTCCTCGACTAAAGGAAAAGATGACTGCCTTAAAACTACCTACCCAAGGCACGCGGGCACAACTAGAATTGAGATATAACCAGTACTATATTCTATACAATGCTAATTTGGATAGCAATCACCCTGTTTCAGACAAGATTTTAAAACAAAGGTTGAGTCAATGGGAACACTCGCACCTGGGATTTGTAACAAATAGTACGGGATCATTATTCGATACGGCTAGTAATATGAGTATGAAAAATATTACTGATAAGAATTTTCTGGTAACTGAATGGCTCTCTTGTTATAGAGGAGAATTTGCAAGACTTACAAGACTTGCAAAGAAGTCAGCAGAAAGAATGAAATTGAAGAATATTGAAATACTAAGTCAATCTCAAGAACTGGAACCAAATCCAGAACCAGAACAAACATCAGCATCAGAACCAACATCAGCACCAGAACCAACATTACAACCTACCCCATCACAACCAGCACTAGAACCTACTCCGTCACAACCAACACTCCATACGATTGGAATGGCAAGTGAAAGGCTACATGACGATTGTGGGACAAACGTTAATCAAATACACTAATTCGCATATACAGTAGATCCATATTTAATAGGTCATGTAAGTACATTTATATATAACTATATATTAATTTATTTTTTAAATGACTTCAAAGGGTCGGATTTCTTTCCTGTAGGTCTCTTCTTTCTATTCTTATTCACCTTATGCTTGTGGAATGGAACAAATCCAATTTTCTTAGTGTCTTGTCTAGCAGCTTCTGGGAGTAAGTAGTCTGGAACTCTCTTCAAATGAGATTGAACTCTAGTTGGGTGCAATTCCTTATCGTGTCTCAAAGAAGCCAAATCTTGAGGATTTTCTTCAAAGAATCTCTTCAACTTGTCTGAATTAAGCAATTCACTTCTCAATTCCTTAATTCTAGCTTCTCGTATAGCGGTTTGTGTTACTGCTCTGAATGCATCTTCTGATCTATATCTGAAACCTTCAACTTGGTTCATATCAAATTGATAAGGCTTCAACTCGAACCCATTACGAGATTGTTGCTTAACAATTCTTCTTAATACCTTTTCATCCTTCTTTGAAGAAGCAAGAGTGGCTGTCTTGTGTTTACCAACCTCCTTTTGAGGCAATACAAAAGATAATGCAATACCAGATTTCCCGGCTCTGGCGGTTCTACCCACACGGTGAATGTATGCTTTAGAAGTTGTTGGTAAATCAAAGTTGAGAACACAGGCAACATTACGGAAATCAACCCCTCTTGAAACACCATATTCCTTATCCTTTCTATTTTTACGTTGCTTGTTATTGGTCTTTTTGTCTGATTCTGGCTTGATTTCACCTTGAGTTTCATCATCGGATTCTTCTTCATCTATTTCATCCTTTTCTGTAGCAACGGTATCAGTTTCATCAGTGGCAATTAATAAATTGTAAACGTTCTTGTTAAATTCTTCAACAATATGTAAACGAGAATTGATAGGTAATTCACTGTTAAGAATACAACATCTAATACCAAACTGTTCTAAAAATAACTTCAAACGATATCCTCTATCAATATTGTTGACAAATACTAAAGTCTTACCCTTAATTAAATGTAACTTGAAAATAACATAAGCAAGTAAAAACTTATCAAATTCAGTAGTTCTAGCATAATATTGAAGTAATTGACTTTGGTTGGCACTTTCATCATTAAGTTTCAAAATAGCTGGCTTTGAACAAAATCTTGATTTTAAATCATTCAAATCATCATTAACAGTGGCAGACATTAAAAATGTTTGTAAATTCTTCTTAATTGGTAAATAAGTTTCAAGTTTTTGTAAATCTTCAAGGTAACCGTAAGAAATAATTAAATCAACTTCATCAATAGTCAAGTTCTTAACAGTTGATAAATTAATTATGTCGGAGCTTACATTTTTCTCTAATACTTGAATTAACTTTGCTGGGGTGGAAACAATAATTTCAGGTTTATTTATCAATAAGGAGTTCAATACTTGGTCTGAAAGAGTTGATGATAAATTAAGAATGTTAACTCTCTTTTGACAGTAAACAGTAAGTTTTTCAAGAACTTGAGTAACTTGATTAGAAAGTTCTCTAGTTGGAACCAAGATAATACTACTGATACCATTATTGTCTTCGCTTTGTAACAAGTTTTGGATAATAGGGATACAGTATGCAGCGGTCTTACCGGATCCGGTAGATGCCTTGGCAATGATATCTCTCTTTTCTTCTAATGCTAATGGAATGGCACTTGATTGAATTAAAGTTGGGTTTTCAAAACCTAACTGATCAATCGCTTGCAATAAACGAGCGTCCAAGTTAAGACTTTCCCAAGTGGTAGAATCATCCATATACGCCGATGAGGCGGCTTGTGTCTTTGCTTCTTTCATTGTATACTTTACCAAGATAAAATTGTCTTGTCTAATTATGCAAATTTAGCTTTTTCATTATCATCATCTCATCGAATCTTTTTTTTGTAGGATGCGCGCATATGAGCCCGGGATTTTAAAAGAGCTGCTGTAACGATATTTTGATCAATGGTTGATAAAAACGATGATGGAATATGACTTTGAATATAATTATTCTAACTCTTTGTACGTATGTGAGTTTGAATATTTACGTTGTAAATGAAAGTTAAGGATCATCTTGAAAGAATTGAAGTAATCCACTCATACTCTGATATGAGACTGAACTAAAATAGTATCGAAACTTAGTGTAGTACTTGAAGTGATTGACATACATATATAAACAGCCTCTAACTGTTGATTATATATTACAATGTATAGATATTTATCTTAATATGTGTGAAATCTCTTTTGTTTGTTAATTGAGTCACCTATTCGCTATTTTCGCTCGTCTTGAAATTCAAATGATCCTATTAATAATTAAAATATAATGAATTCCAGTATTTATTTGTTTTATCAGCTCCGTTAAAGGTATATTTATACTTTGGTTACAGTTTTTCACATTTTTAAAGCCCTTAAAGGCCCATAAAACAAATTTTTAACTTTTCAGATAAGTATCTATAGGTTTGTTAATCTCAAAATTTTAAATCTCAATAACACTGGGCGTGTGGCGTAGTTGGTAGCGCGTTTGCCTTGCAAGCAAAAGGTCACTGGTTCGATTCCTGTCTCGTCCATAGTTTTATTTTTTGTTCTATCTCTCGCTTTTTTTTTTACTGCTCTCCTACTACTACTACTACTACTACTACTACTACTCTCTATAATTTCACCTTATATATTCTCTTTCTATTATTATATACAACCTATCCAGGACTCGCTATATGTTTTTATTATCGTCCGGGTTATATCCCATTATTTTGTATGATTCTTTACTTGAATCAATCAGTGTAGAACCATCTACATCGTCCGTGTTAAGATGTGCAATCGGCAGTATCGATTCTTCGTCTATAGCTGAGTGGGTTGGTGAGAGTACTTCCTTCTTCCAAGGCACATCAGCAACTCCGGCTGCATCATTTGCAGCTTCGTTAGCTTTCTTTCTAATTCCCGCTTTCTGCAATTTATCTTCAACTGCAGTCAACTTTTTCGTTGAACTATTTGAAAAATATCTTGGAAAGATTGATGGTCGTCTTGACGTACTGGCGGTGGAATCCATTCTTCCTGCCCTTTGGGACTCAAGATCTTTCACTATCTTTGATTTTCTTGAAATTATTCGTCGAAGTTTTTCTCCAATATATTCAGCTGGATCTTCTGTATCACTCTCTGTATATATGCCAGGATCATTTTGAGACATTTGACTTGATTTTTGCAGTTCCAGTGGTAGTCTACCAGTGGCAATAGTTTTTTCCCGTGATAATGGCCTTCCCATACCATATACTGGGAATACATTTTTGGGTGATGGTCTTTGACTCTTCATATATCCAGTACTACTTCTAGAAATTGTAGAAAATCTAGAAATAGACCCGTTACTAATGCTGATATTCCTTTCAGTAACTTGTGGGGAAACGTCTTGAGGAATTTGACTTCCTGAACTCATGGTTTGAGGTATATTTTCAAGTTTTTCTTCCAATTCATTATTTTCTAATTCATCTTCTTCTTCTTCATCGACATCTTCACCGTGATGCTTAACTCTAACAACTCTGGAATCTTGATTCAATTCAGGTTGTTCATCTCTGAGTTCAAAGACTGGTAAGTTCAATCTACGTGAATCTCTTTCTACCACAACTATGTGTAAGTACCAAGGTAAAAGTAATGCAAAGAAGGATCCTCCAATAATATTTCCCAAAAACCCTGGAAGCATAACTTTCCATGCAATTTTACCTACAGATATCGGGGCTTTATTAATAAGACCAATCAGAAGTAAAAACATATCGGCAACTGAATGAGTAAATCCCATAGATACAAATGTAAAAATTGGAATGAGCATCATAAAGAATTTTACATGAATAGGTTTAGCCATAAGTTGAAGATAAATGGCTAGGCATACGAAAAAATTACCAGCCATTCCCTTTATAAGAGTTTCGACAAAGGTAAATTCAGCCTTCTCCATAACTATATCTATAGATGCCTTGACAAATGCACTACTTGCAGTAATCAGTGAATAATGACATATGATGTAACAAACAAATATATTACCCACTAAATTGAACCACCAACTGACAATCCAAGAAATCAATAAATCCAATACCGTCACAGCATTTCTAGCAACAGCCACTGTAAAAAATAAAATATTTGAATTGAACAAGTCTACACCCATAATCACCACATAAAAGAGTCCGATGGGATATAGTATACCTTGTAATAATTGGACAATGCCAGGATTGATTTCCATGATTTCAGGGTTTTTGGCTTGAACAAGTAAATGGAGCATGCCCCCTGCTGAGAATAACATACCACCTGTAAAGGAATTTATTATTAATGTGTCTATGGACAAACGAGCTTTCTTCATAGCTGTGGCTACAACCGCTAGAGCTGCTTCATTGGTAGTAATATACAACGACTCGTCAGCCATCCTTGTCAGAAGAATAATATACTATTGTGTCTCTGAATCCGATTGATCCGCAGTCTTTCCTTGTGTAAACTAAGTTCAGAATATTAAATTCAAGTTCATATCTGGAACTTAACACCGAAATGATGCAAATTTTGTAAACGGGAAATTTCTCTCGGATTAGGTTATAAAACGCGGAATGTGAATGTGCAGTATCCGAACACTATTTGCATATATATATATATATATACAGGTTGAACGTTTTTATCTATTTGAATGCTTTTTGTACATTAATGTATATTAATTATTTACATCTATTTTATATGAGAATAAAATATTTTAGTCTATAAATCTGAATAAGCAATATAGAAATGAAGGAATTGAAAGAGACTGTAGACTTCGTGAATTAATAAATGTATATGTAGTTTGATAGGCACATATTATTATTTCCTCTGTTCTTCATATATGTGGTTTATTAAAAACATTGTCTTGTTAGAGCGATCTCCTGCACCCATTGGTAGTTTAAATATCATGTATAAAAGGATTAATCAACCCAATTTACTTAATATCAAATTCCATACCAAATTTGCAAGACAATATGCGGGGAACATTGTACTTTGAGGTAAGAATATAAATGCACAAACTGAGAAAAATGGCCAAAAACAATAACTATATTTAAAAGATTTCATATGAGCAGGCAGGAAACAACCAGAAATTTCACCTGTATCCCAAAGAGCACTTAATATGTTATAGATGAGCTGGAAACATGGGGCCCCAACGATTTGATCGGTGGCAATTCTATAGAATGTGTTTTCAAATTGAAACATAAGCATATCAACCCATAGCACTGTAAGACTTCCATTAATTAACCCCCAGACTATGAATTTACAAACTTTTGATAAACTAAATTTCTTCTTCATATACTGGTTTATAGATTGAGCTAATGCAGCAGATGAAGCTCCAAGCATCATAGGAGCCAATAATCTATGTACCAGAATTAAATCTGTATATTTATAGTATAGAAATAGCGATGTCATGGCCTCAAAGACCACGTATAATACTAATTTCCTTTGAATTGATTTTGCGGTTGGATTGAAATTAACATGCAGAGGAAGAACATCATCAGAAACATCAACATCATGTGTGAACCTTTCACGATGAAGGTTAGATAGTTGTATATCTTCAGTCATACGTGATACTATCTAGTATTAATTAATGAAGTTTTGTATATCGTGTTTTATATATCTAAATGGGTTTGTTGTCCCTTCCAAAAAATTATAAATCGTCTATATGCAGGCTGACGCCTAATATTGAAAATATGGTGTGAAAAATGTAGAACAATTAAATTTGACACATTTGTATACATTTAAAATTGTTTCGTTTAAAGACGCGTACTAAAGACTGAATATAAATTCAAGTGTTGATCTATTTTTTTATACATGTAGTAGCTTTATCTTATTGATTATTTCTCTTGAATATATTCTTATTACTGTTCGTGTAATGGATCGGTTCATAGTTGTAAATCTAAAGTTTCTATTGAAGTGCGTAGATGGCAAGTTTAAGCCGCTATTTCATTTCCACTAATATCAGTAAAAATTCTAACGTGATAAAAAAAATCGTCAAAAATATAAATATGGTTCAATAAATTTCCATGTGTAATACACATTATATATTCTTGGAAGAAGTTTCAACTTCTTATAACATAGTACGATATTAGAAAAGAAACCCAAAAATTTGCCAACAAGGCTTTTCGAAAGGCTGAAGCCACATTAACCAGTTCTATGCACGCCCACCAACACAGAAATCTAAAAAAAAAAATAAAGGATGAGAAGAACAATATACAATAGCATCTGAAATCATTCTGGGAATGTGCAGACGGTCCATGACTCATCAATTGATGTATAATTGAAAGAGTAATTCGGGTATTGTCGGGTGTTGTAAATTGTCTCTTTTAGTCATCACTTTGAACAATATTCGGAATATTAATCTACATCTCCGCAATCCCGGAGATTGCATGGACTTCCCTAATCGGGACGATAGAGATCCGCTAGCGGTCCGTCTGTAAAAAACTGTGAAAAACTAATAATCATAATTCTTCACTACTTATTCAAGGAGTATTTCTTTTATTCTCCTTGCTTTGAATATCACTTTAAAATTTTATTCAACTTGAGATTCAGGGTATACATAAAAAAAGCTTTGCAAACTTATCATTATTATCTCAATTCCATATAAATACTGTGGTGAAATATAGAAGTTTACTTCACGGGATTAATCTTATCCGGATAAGTCTTATTAAATCCTATTGATATCAAGTGAAGCATAAACTTGATTATTGTTCATTAGTTGATACTACTTTCAAAGCTACTTGCTCTACATTCAAGAGCTTTCCAGTCTCTTAATTTACTTTTTTTTTTGACATTCCCATAATGCTGATTCCCCTGGTATCATCTGGGCGTAGTACTGACACATTTTCCCCACAAATAATAGGTGAAAAAGATGAAATGACATTTGAAGTAAGTTTTGATGGGAAAGATGACAAGGAAAACGTTAAAAATTCTTCCCATTTAAGAAAATGGATTATCGCTATTGTTATATCAGCAGTTTCTGTCTGTGTTACTTGTATATCTTCTAGTTGGTCTTTAGCTAGTGGAAACATTATGGAGCATTTTAAGGTGGGGCATGAGGTGAGCACTCTTGGAATAACGTTCTATATTTGGGGGTTGGGAACTGGAGGTATGTTTCTCTCCCCAATAAGTGAATTCCATGGTCGTAAAGTTACCTATGTTGCAGGTTTGTTTTTCACAATTTGCTTTGAGGTGTTAACTGCATTTAGTCCCAATATAGGAGGGATGTTATTTGGAAGATTTGGTTCGGGGTTCTTTGGCTCTTCATTTATGGCAGTAGCTAGTGGAACTTTCTCGGATATTTTCACAAAAGATCAAATTGCATATCCCTTGGTCTTATATACCATGTCTCCATTTGTAGGACCAGGACTTGGTCCTTTGATTTCAGGATTCATCAACACATACTTGAATTTCAGATGGACATTCTACATCATGCTTATCTGGTCAGTGGTAATGCTTGTATTGGTAACCCTCTTAGTTCCTGAAACTTATGAACCAATTCTATTATGTAGAAAGGCTAAACGTTTAAGAAAAGAAACAGGAGATGAAAGATATTATGCCCCATTGGAAAAGTCCGCCACAACTTTATATCATAGTATTGTGGTCTCTTCTAGAAGACCATTCTTACTTTTATTCAAAGATCCAATGACTATTGTCTTGTGTTTTTATACTGGGTTTTGTCTTGCAATCGTATATATGTTCTTCGTTGCCTTCCCTTATATTTTTAGAACAGTTTACAAGTTTTCGCTACAAGAACAAGGTTTATCATTTTTAGGGCTTATTATTGGTATGGCGCTTTCATCAGCAGTAACTCCTAAATTCATCAAAATTAAATATTTAAAGATGATTGAAGCAAATGGTGGTGTATCAAAACCTGAATTTCGTTTTGTTTCTTTATTTGCTGGCGTTGTTACTGTTCCTATTGGATTATTTATTCTTGCTTGGACTTGCTATCCACATGTTCATTGGATTGTTCCTATCATTGGTTCTGGTATTTATGGTGCCGGGGTGACACTTGTATTCAACGGTATATTTGCGTACACAGTTGATGCTTATAAATTATACACTGCATCTGCCATGGCTACAAACTCCTTTGTACGATCATTAATGTCCGGGGTGTTTCCTCTTTTTGGACTTCAAATGTATGAACATTTAGGTGTACATTGGGCAACCACACTTTTAGCTGTTTTTGCTTGTGTCTTAATTCCAATCCCATTCTTTTTCTTCAAATACGGTGAGACTCTCAGAGCTAGAAGTCCATATACATGGTCTGAATAAGAAGCATAATATGTGTAATATAAAAAATAAACAATTATTCATAGTATAAATGAAATCTCTTTGTAAGTCTTGTTTGATGTTTATGAAGTACGAATATATGTTGAACAATTATACAAATTTAATATTATTTCTACTATTTCAATCTTATTACTTTAAAAATATATGTTTTGCAACCAATTTTTTTTTTGTCTTAAAATTACTCTATTTTCCATATTTAAACATCCACCATTGATAATACATTATTTTATTTGTAAATATTCACATATATATACATAAAAAGATCATATTTATTGGTATTAATCATTATTTAATGTTAAAACATTAAAGAAACATCAGTACACCCACATATAATTATGAGCCCTGGACAGAACAATCTGGAAATTTTATGCTCAAAAAAGGTGTGTATGATTTATTGCTTATGTTTCCAATCACCAAGTAAACATCAACTACATTAATATTAACTAAGAATGGTCGTTCATAACCCTAACAACTGGTATGTATACTTTGATTCCATATGTTCAAGTTAATGTAATTATAAGAAGTACAGAAGACTAACCAAGAATCAGGCACTGGGTAGACAAGAACTGTCTTCCATGGTCCAAAAATTACTTTGACAATGAAATAATAGACACTAAAGTTGAAAATGAGATCATAACCGTGACACTTACTGGTGTTGATTCAGTCACAGGTGACTGTGACGTTACCCAAAGAAAGGGTAAAGTTTTGTGCATCTATGACATGAAGGTAACTTTCTCTGTCTCTGGTCAAAAGGATGGTGATGACTTCACGGCAAAGATTACCATTCCTGAATTTGTTCATGATCAAGAAGAAGATGAATATGTCTTTGAAATTGATGCTGAATCAAACAAGGTGGAAATTAGAAAGCACTTTGTCCCAGTGTTGAAGGTTAAGTTGATGAAGTTTCAAAACGACTTAATTAAGGCTCACGAAAAGGATGTCCAACACCAAACTGATTAGAATAGAATACTATTGTAGATAATATACTAAAATTATTATTTTTTTTTATAGAAAAAAATGAAACTTAAGTCTATGTATATATAAATTACCCACCAAATCCTTCAGGAACACCCTTGGCATGTCTAACACCACCTTCCTCTCTATTTCCTAAATAAAGTTCAACCGGCCCATTGTCATTCATATCTGTACCCATGCTGTACCACGGGATGTTCCCTTGCTCAATTTGTTTCAAAAGACGGTATGTTTCCACACTACTGTACGGAATACCATTTGCAGGATCAAAGTATTTGACTTCGGTACCAGTGATAAGACAGTTCTTTTTATTCCCATTAGGTAAGTAAAGGGATGTTGGTGCTTCGGTCTTGAGAACAATTTCAGCAGTGACCTCTTCTTGGTTATTTTCCTCTTCTTCTACTATATCTTCAAAGTCTCCAAACCGGGGTAGACGTTTTAACTCCTCAAAGAGTGCATCTTCCTCTGTTAACTCAGCTACAGGCTCAAAGAGTTTATCCTTCTTTTGAACCACGGTACTGTAAGGATTTTCAACTTCTCCTATTTTAGCAATGGTTTTCAAGTCTTTGAACCTATGGGAAGCAGGGATTAATGACTGGGAGCCAAATAATATAGATTTAATGTTACTTTCAACAAGCTTATACCCAGACTCTTCATCGAAATCTAAAAGTCCTATAGTGTTTCTACACACTCTTTGTGCTGGACCCTCAAATATTTCCTCTTCTTGTTTGAAAAGAATTTCAATGCTAGGCTCCTTTGAATCATCATCTTTAGTTTCATTTAAATCTTCACCAGCTTCAGGACTAATTTCATCTGCAAATTTGACCTTCTTTGTAGTCTCAGTTGTAGATTCTTTCAATTTTGTTTCATCTTCCTCGGATGGCTTCGATATTTCACCCTCGATTCCTTCGGTCTTCACAACTGTTTCTTCAGATTTTTTTTCTTGTTCCACCTTTACAACAGGCTCGACAGAATTTGAAGTGTCTTCAACTTTACCAGAAGTTAGATCGTTAACTTCGTTATCCACACTGGCAGATTCATTTTCTATATCAATATCTTTTTGATCATCATGTTGATTATTAGGTTCTTCAGATCCTTCAAGCTTTTCTGACGATTCTTCCAAATCTTTCTTAGCTTCTTTCTCAGAAGTATCAACCTCGTCAATTTTCTCATGGATTTCTTGATTTTCTTGTTCAGGAGAGTCTCCACCATCTTTCTTAGATGCTTCATTTCCCGATTCTTCAATAGTTACACTTTCAGATTTCATTACTTCATTATTCTCATCCTTCATTTCCACGTCTTTCATTTCTTCATTCTTACTCTCTTCCTCTTTATTCTCTTCATTGTTTTCCTCTTCATTATTTTTTTCTTCCTTTTGTTCTTCAACAGCTTCATTATTTTCATTGTCTATCTCTATATCATTTTCCCTCTTCTCCTGTTCTTCCTTCTCTCTTTCTTTCTGTTTCTCCAACCTTAATCTTTCTATCTCAATCTTTACAGCGGGCAATTCCTTATCAACTTCACCAGGCATTTTTAATTGTGGTGGATCAACCTCCATCTTCTTCTTACGTCCTGGTTTCTTTTTTGATTTGGCAAGTGCTATTTCATAGAGACGTCTAGCCTCCTTTATTTCTTCTGTAGGGGTTACCACTGTGTCCTTACTTACAAATCTTATTACATCGGTAAGTTTCTTTCTCTTCAGCATAAGCATTTGTCGTTGATGTTCCTTCTTAACAACCTCCTGTTCTCGAAATCGCTGCAATGAGATTATATTTGCCTTTTCTGTCTCTACAGCTTCAGCTAGACGTTCTTCTTGAGTTAATTCGATAAACTTAGGTCGCACAACCGGTTTCAAAAGAGCTCTTCTTTCTTCATCTGCTCGGAGCCTCTTGGCTAACGCCTGTTTGTTTTCTACAGCTGCAGATCTGGATGAAGCTCTCTTAGCATTCATTAATGAATTTGCTGTAAACTCAATCTTTGGTTTTTTCTTAGTATCTGCACTTTTGATAGGCTTTGGTTGCCTGATTGTGGGAATTAGGGCCAGTTGCTTTTTAACTTTTCTTTTCTTTAATTTTTCTTGCCTATGAAGTTCCTTTTCACCTTCACTCTCATCAGAGTCAGTTACAGAAAGTTCGGAGTCTGAAAGGTCATCGTCTCCAGCAACTTCTTCATGATTTCTTTTTCTTTTAGTGGTCTCTTCCAGACTTTCTTCTTCATCATCATTTTCATTTTCATTTCCATCTTCATCTCCACCTTGTCCATCATCTTCACCATCATCGTCACCATCAGAGTCTTCTTCTTCACTTTCCTCAAATTCTTCATCATTTTCATCTTCTTGGAAAAGTAAGTTTACATTTTCATCTTCTTCTGTGTAAATGATAGATGACCGTTCTTCAATTGTTTGTTCTTCTAACTCTATCAATTTTTTCAACCTAGACCCCGCGTTTGCACGACGGGCTCTTGTGGCCACTAAGCTATCTTCAGACATACAGACGACACTTTAATGTTTTTAACAAAGATGGATTCACGTTGTTATTTTGTGCACTATTTTCTTCTTGGTTTTGTATGGATTCCATATCCTGCTACTTCTTAGGAAATATCCTGCATAAACACGAATTTGTATTCCTTCATAATGTAATTACTCCTGTATAAATGTTTCCTAATTTTGGCATATCTCTTTTGCTTATAATTACGGAGAATCTAAACTTATTACAAAGAAGCTTACTCGTCATTACATTTTATATTTTTGAATATACAATGAGATATCAACTTTTATCTCTGACCACTTTTTGATATCTACTCTTTAAATCAGCTATTTTCTTTTTTAGTTATAACTATATATTGATATACATTGGACTGAAATTATTAATCAAAAAAGGCAATTCTTAAAGGGCTCTACAACAGTTGTAAAGATCACAAAGGACTTAAAATTGGTTATGACGAAATATATGGCATGATTGGGGTCTCATACAATGGATCATGTGGTGAAGAGGAAGATGAAGATGATAAATATCACAATGTCAGATCTGCAACACTCATTAAATGTTACTGTTATAGTCTTGTAATATATCATCACGTGACACGTAATGCATGATATACATCGTATAATTATTATAATTAGTATTAAAGGAACATCTATTGATCGCAAATTAGCTCACAAGAAAAGTGTACATGGGGTTAGTTATTCAACATTGTGGACCTTTTTCATTGTAACTGTTTGTATACAAATATTTTGTTTCATATATCTAACTTCATAAACATTGCTAGATCCTGCATACGTCCCGTATAGTGAATATGTAAAATTCCTTAAAGAGAGGTGAGGTGAGTTACGACCCTACCCTTTCTACAGCATAATCCCTACCCCTATAACTATATGAAGGTTGCTGGTTCATCTATACTGGTTTTTAACCAGGTCTATAGATCGTCTATTAGATTATATTCTGCTTCAACGGCCCAAAATGCCCTTAAAAACACGTCTATAACCGCTGAAGAAATGTCTCATTTCAATGCGTTAGCATCCTCTTGGTGGGATGTTGAAGGTCCTCAGAGAATTTTACACAAGATGAATCTACTTAGAATGGACTTTATACACAGCACCATAAGAGACCATCTTAAATTAAACAAACCAGGTACTCCAATTGAAGATGAAATATACATTCCTCCATACGGAATTGATTTGTTACCAAAAGAGATAAAAACTAGAATTGTAGCAGAACAAGAATCTAGAAGAAATGAAATCTTAAAGAAATCATCTTTGAAGGCATTGGACGTGGGATGCGGAGGCGGTATTCTTTCCGAATCTCTTGCTAGATTGCCCTTCATCGGTAGCGTAAAGGGGATTGATTTATCAAATGAAGTTCTTGAAGCAGCTAAAATGCATAGAAAGAAAGATCCATTTTTCACCTCGATGCATCCAAAGAAATTACAATATGAATTAACTGCCATTGAAGATTTATCTAAAGGTGAAAATTACGATATCATTACCATGTTTGAAATGCTTGAACATGTCACTTATCCTGCTAAAGTTCTCGAAGAAGCCTTACTGAGAGTTAAGGTTGGTGGCTGGGTATTCATTTCCACTATCAATAGAGATTTTATTAGTTGGTTCACCACTATTTTTATGGGTGAACATGTCCTTAGAATTGTTCCTGTAGGAACACATAATTTAGAAAAGTATATTGATCAAACAGAGATCAAAGATTGGATAGAAAAAGATCACGAGACTCCTAAATCATTTAAAGTCATGAAGTCCAGTGGATGCATTTACCTCCCAGCCTATGGATGGAAGTTCACTTCAAATCCAGACGTTGGTAATTACTTTATGGCAATCCAACGTCAATCATAAATATGTATATACTATTAAGTCATTATGACCACAAAAAGAGTTATAATTTGTAAGAAATTTGTTGCTATTAATATTCTTAACATATTGTATTTGCTTACAAGTGTTATTATTTTACCATTATTAATTTCTTTAGGATTCGTACATATTATAGAAGACTCGCTCCCATCAATTCTAATTTGCAACTTTAGCTGGTGCTTCTGACTCATCTATAAACGTAGGTAAACTGTCACTGCCTATTGGTTCCGTGGAATTTAAGTAGCTTGGCATTCCTAACCCACTTTCAGACATTTCACTTTCAAAATCCATTTCTTCTCCCAATGCATCTAATTCAGCATCAAGTTCAGATTCACTGATATCATCTGGCATATCGTTACTCATCAGTAAGGATTCTTGGAGCTCATTGGATTTATCAATTAGATCAAGCATTTCTTCCTGAAGAGACTCAATCTTATCAATATCAATCTTCCCATAAGTCTTTTTAAGTTGTTTATTGGCAGTTTTCATTGCATCAATAGTGATCATTGTATTTTGTAAATTATCAGTAGTCATTGATGCCTGAGTCATATTCCACGATTGGTTTTCCAATTGATCCTTTTGGGCCTCTATTTGCTTTCTTTGTTTCAATAACTTCAATGCCTTTTGTTTCAAGGCCGATTTCCCTGGTCCGTCTCTCATTCTTGCTATCTTTTGTTGATATGTTGATAATTCCGCATTTATTTTGGATAATTTCACATCAAAGGACCCTACCCTTTCGTCAATGTTTCTGACTGCATCATTCAACGTAGGTTTGGGAGCCGTGCTTTTAGTTCCAAAGATTCTGTTCATCTTGTTTAAAGAGATAAAAGATGTGTGTGGCAAATGATTTGAATTTAAATTAACTTCACTTTTCCGCGCAATTGATAAAGAGAATATATTGAGGCACAATCAAAAATGGTTATTGTAATTTAGTATTAGATTGTAAGTGGAAGACTCGATCAAAGTAGTTGGGATATAATAAGTTCGACAGGCATTAAATGAATAGAATGGGTATACAACGAAAAATGTGACTTGAAGATAAAATTTATAAGATAGTAGTAGTCAGCTCGCAGTTATACTTACCAAAACTTACTAGTGATTTTTTTTATTTAATATACTTATGTCCATAGGTATAAGATCCATAAGATGATTTATCTGTTAAAGTAAACTATTTATTGCTCTGAATGTGGGGTGGAAATAAAACTTATTAATTGTTAATAGTTAGCTTATTACTACAAAGTTGAATTTCAAGAAATATTAGCGTTAGATAGTGCTTAGAGATATTGATCATTTATTCACTTCAATACACCTTTTCATATTAATTGGTTGACAATCATACGTATATATCGCGTGAAACATATCTATCCATCCATAGATACATAATTTTTAAACATTTTACATTTCTATTAGTATTATGGCTTCTAATATGCAACTTGCAACATATCCTAAAATTTACGTTTATCTCCGCATTTCTGTCAAAGTAAAAAATAATTTTAAAAGGAATATCCTTCATCCTTATCTTGACACCATGCCACCGTTCGGGTTCTTATTGTTCCTATTAGCACTTCCCTTCAGAATAATATATGAATTATGCATCTTCTATATAAAAGGTCTGCCTTACAGGAAGTATTCTAAACAATATTTGATTTCAGTCCAGATTTCCTTTTGTCAATGGCTCTTTGATCTCCCAGTCACAGAATCTAGATATTTCTCCCTTTATAATGCCAGTATGATATCCTCATTTCTTGGATTCAAGTATTCATCCATCTTAGGCAGGTATCCTGGCCATGGAGAACCATACGATGATAATTCCTTCTGGTTACGAAAGGCCCCCAACCGAAAGTCTACAGATCCAATCCTTATATATCTTCATGGTGGCGGTTATTGTTTCCAACTTGGTCCATCACAGTACAAGGCTGTTGTGACTATCGTGGAACTATTGGATGCGTCCAAGCGTGAGAACCTCTCAGTGTTGATTTTTGACTACAACTTGGCTAGCTCAGGTTTTACTTTCCCATCCCAATTAGCTCAATTTCATGACACTTATCAAAAATTAACAGTCATCGGAAGTAATTCGAACATAATCCTTATGGGTGATTCCGCAGGTGGTAATCTCGCCCTTGTATATCTTCAATATCTTAAAGATTTACAACAGAAAAATTCATATCTGGCACAGGGAGTAGTTTATCCCTCAAAATTGGTGTTGATTTCCCCCTGGGTGAAAATTCAACCAGAGCCTGAAGATTATAGACCTGGACATTCATACTACGATAATGATACCATGGATTTACTTCGATATGAACATTTTTCTGACTCACAGGCTATACGCAGAGTGTTTGGAACCTCTGACCTTGATAGCTTGACTGTATCACCGGGACGTGCTCCCTTGAATAAATTGGAATGGAGTGGCATAACTTCAATAAATGATGAAAATAGTGATATCTTGGTGATTGTGGGGGAAGATGAAGTGTTTAGAGATGATGTTCTAGATTGGTGTCATGTAATACTAGATTGTCCATTACAAGGTTCTCTTTATCACAACACAAATTCAGCTTTATTCATACCTGCGATTCATGAATATAAATCTTTACCTGACAAAGGGACAGCAGGAGTTGAAGTCTTCGTAGAGCCTTGGGGGGTACATGATGCTACATTTTTATTTGAAGATGATCTTTTAGATAAAATTGATAAGCTTGGATTATCTTCAAATGTCAATGCTGTAGATAGTGATACCTACTTTGGAACTTATAGAATTGTGCAATTTTTGAATAGAGTACTTTAAAATAATTAATTACATGTCAAATATTTCACTTTATGCGTAGTTAATTGTATAATCTATAATTATGAAAGTCTATCTATTAATCTCCAAAGCCGAGTACCGAAAGCAGGGATAAAGCACGACTTGAAACCATCCCTGCAAAGTTATTATTAAACCCATACCATTTAGTTTTGGTATGTGTGAATTTCAGGAACATGTTGAACCTTAACCAATGGTCTGTAGACAGGTTTCCACATTTGTGATTGAACCCATTTCAAACATTTGTTGAAATCTCTTGGAACTTCGACTCTTCCACCGTTTGGCTTCTCTTCGCTTTCAACTCTAGCAGTACCTTCCTTCAAGGATTGTAAAATGATGGCGGTAGCAACCTTGGCGGAAACTTCATCGATTTCTTCCAAACGAGGAAGTAAACCGTTCTTTGGATCAGCCATCTTTGGTGACAAAGCGGCCAATTGGTCGACACCAGCAGAGATCATGGTGTCAGTGATTGTGGTACATCTGGACAAAACGGCACCCAACCCAATACCTGGGAAGGTGAAACAATTGTTGTTTTCAGAAATGACATATCCATCAACTGGTTGGAAAGGAGAACCAGTAGCAATCAATGCATTGTTATCGGTCCACTTCATGATGTCAACAGGGAAAGCTTCGTGCAATCTAGTTGGGTTGGACAATGGGAAAACAATTGGTTGCTTGTTGTACTTGTACATTTCCTTAATAACATCTTCAGTGAAGGCACCAGCTTGAGTGGAACATCCAACAAGAACAGTTGGCTTAACCTTTCTGATGACTTCAATCAAGCTCTTGGTGTCAACACCGGCCCATTCGGCATCGTTATCAGCATATACCTTTTGAGCTGGAGATACATCTTCGTGGGATTCTAAAATCAAACCACGACGGTCCATACAATGAATGGCACCTCTAGCTTGGTCGTCAGTGGCACCATGACTTCTCATGTGGTTGGTGATTTGGTCGGCAATACCAATACCGGCAGAACCAGCACCATAGATAAGAACTCTAGAGTCAAGCAAGTCTCTGTTACTGAACTTCAAGGCTGCGGTCATAGAAGCCATTGCGACGGCACCGGTACCTTGGATATCATCGTTGAAAGATGGAATAACTTCTCTGTATCTTTCCAACATGGTTCTCCCGGTGGTGACACCGAAATCTTCATAATGCAAAACAGCGTTAGGGAATCTACTCTTAAGAGCCTTGATGAACTTGTCAACGAATGTCCAATATTCTTCACCACGAACTCTTGGGAACTTGTTACCCATGTAAAGTTCGTCGTTCAACAACTTTTCGTTGTTGGTACCGACATCAAGACAGATAGGGAGGACTCTACCTGGGTGAATACCACCACAAAGAGTCATCAAACCCAACTTAGCAATGGCAATTCTAACACCACCAACACCTTGATCACCAATACCCAAGATACCTTCACCATCAGAAACGACAATGTAGTCAATGTCCTTATCTTCACCGTAGGCGGCAAGTCTTTCTTCGATCGAATCAGGTTCAGTGATACTCAAGAAACAACCTTCTGGCTTTCTGAATCTGTGAGAGTAACCAGCAATGGCATCACCTTCGGTAGGAGTATAGACGATTGGCAACATTTCTCTGATATGTCTTCTGACCAATTCGTAGTACAAGACCTTGTTTTGGATTCTCATGGAAGTACAGAAATCGTTCTTAGCAAGAGGAGTCTTAAGATAAGAAAATTGCTTGTAGGCACGTTCAACTTGTTCATCCAAAGTGTTAACTTGGGAAGGAAGAAGACCATTCAAACCGAATGCATCTCTTTCTTCATTTGAAAAGGCAGAACCCTTGTTGAAAACAGGAGAGTTCAACAAAGTGAAACCATGGAGATCACATTCAATTGGACCTTCAATGGATAATCTAGTTGTCTTAGGCTTCAAAGCAGCCAAAGCAGCCTTAAGACCAACTGGAGTCTTGATGGTGTGGGTGTGGATCGAGTTTTGAGCATAAGAACGGGTTTGAGCAAGGGACTTCACCACGTTGTTACCCGAGATCTTAGATTGAACTTTCAACATTTTTATTGAATTAAGTTCAAGTCAGATTAAGAAAATTATGTATGTAGAAAAAAAGGGTGCAAAGTTAGATAACCAATTGGTTTAAAATGCAAATGATTTGAATAGGTGAGTAGATAGCCTGGAATAAGGTCTACTTATAATCGAGATAGCTCTGAAGGAAAAATGTTTCAAATAATCTAAATCAAAGAAAAAAGAAGAAGAGAAAAAAAATCCCTGTCAACCGTTGCTAATATATATCATTTATCGAGTTCCGACTTGTGGTCGGAATTGCTGAATATTTCCGGTTGAATTACTCTAGGGCGCGGCTGGCGTTCCGTAAATACCCGATATATTCAGGCTAAAACAGTGTAATTGACCGAAATATAATGAAAGTAAAGGAAAAGAACGTAAGGGAGGGGAAATGTACAATTATGTTAATTAGATTGTTGAGTGGTACCATCATACTTGAATGAAGTAGCAACTTTTCATCGCAAAATCCAAGTAAAGTGGGGGAAATGCTCCAACACAACATTTAGTAGCGGGGAGGAGAAATGATCGGTGAATATAATTAGCGTACCCAAAACGCTGATGGACCGACTTTAAGCCGTGAAAATCCGTTCCGAGTTTTTCCTGAGAGGGGGGCATCTAGATGGAGGGGAAGAAAACGCAACCTGCAGGACCATGCTTTCTCAATTAATTTTAATGAACATAAAAGGGGGAGATCAGAGCTACCTACATAATGAATGTTGGGAATTTGAAGGGTTATTTTACAGGTGAGCGAGACAACATAACTCAATCCTTAAAGGTAAAACAAGACAAGATTTTGAAACATTGAAATGAAATCGCGTCAGCTTACTTTTGACATCTAGATATGCACTAACACGGAGTCGGAGTTCTTTGCAGAATTTTTTTTTTTTTTACATCCTGCATCGCGTGGGAAATTCTCCTCTCCACCCTCGGTTTTGGACACCCGTTTCTAGCGGGTGTACTCTGCATGTGGCATCGGAAAATCTCGGACCAGCGCAATGATATCGATTCACACGCGTATTTACCTATTTTACATAAGTGGATGGGAATCGTGGCTGAATTTTACTAATGGTAAGTGGAGAGTGGGGCGACACCTATTTTTCATAACCTTACGGGAAATAACAACGAGATTGGAATTAATCATACACTGATGTGATTTCGCAGTGGTTATCAAATGTGGGAAGCACATTGAAATGAATTCCGTTTATCACCATATATCGCAAATTCTTAAATTCATCAATGAATGTTTGAATTTCTTTAGTAATATATTCTACCAATTTAGAATTCACTTGTGATTCTCCATAGCATATTTTAAATGATTCCAAATCGAAATAGTTATCTCCTCTTTCCTTCCCAAGATCACACATACAATCAACGTAGAGCAATTCTGATTCACCAAGACTATACTTATCGGTAATGGAATTAAGTAAAATTCCATTTACCATATCAAACCGAATCTTTTTAATGTTTCTATATTTATCAAACATGTTCCCATCAAGATTACCTATCCATACTAATCTGGTAAGAGAATTTTTATGTCGCAAAATACTTTTCAAGTGAGAAAAATTTATTTCGCAGCCAATACTTAAATGAAGAGCACTTAAGTAAGGAACCTTGAAAATAAATTCATTAAACGCGGGAAGAATACTTTTAAAGGAATTACCTCGTCGTAAATCCGTACTTGATATTGACAAGCCACGTAAATTTGGGAACTCCAAGCTTTCAAGGAATGTATTGATTTCAAGTAAAAGTGTAGGCCTTTCCTTGCAAATATATGTAGAGTTAAATCTTAATTGAAACTCTTCAACAGTATCCATGGGGAAACAAGGAGGAGTGAAATTAAAAGTTGTTGGGTCACCTTCAAAAGTCAAAGAAAGTGATTTCAAACCTTCTAGATTGGGGAAATGCATCAAGAGATTGATTGGATTACCCTGAAGATTTAATTTTCTCAAATTCTCGAACAGGGGAAATTCTGGAATATCATTTGATGTATCACCACATAAAGTCAATTCAACAAGAGATTTGCTTAACATGTTAGATATATGAGACCCAATATCAATTATCAGCTTAACAATTCGAAGGTTATCTAGTTGATAGTTCCCTTCCATTTCCAAAATTATATTTGCATTGGGAAATTTTACCAATAGTTTTTCAATAAAGTCATTTGAGTAGACAAAAAAGATTCTTATAGTTCCCACTAAAGATGTATCAAGATGATATAAATTGAGAAACTTCCAAAATTTATAAGGGTTCACAAAAGTCCAATTAGAAGAATCATCTATAATACCATCAGTAACAAATGTATTCAATCGTGGATAACGTCTCGCGCGACATGTGATGAATATTTTATGGTATAACTTGACTTTGGCAACCCCATTCAATTCTTTGTTTACTAGCAGAATACTGCAAATATCAGATTGAGGTAAATAATTTAATATGGAGAATATGCAATCTCTAGGTAGGTCTGTAAACTGAATGGTATTCTTTGGTTGAACATCGATTGACTGACAATAGACAACAACCACAGAAAGGATATAGAACAGAAGGAGAATGCTCCACGATACTTCATATACTGAAATTACAATATATATCATCACGTCATCGACAGTCATAATCTGCCATAATCTATTCATTTTCTATATATGATTAACTTAATCAAGCTTTCTTTTCTTTCTTTGCGATCCTTTCCCATTTGTGTCCTTTTCTTCTTCTTTTAAAATAGTTGGCTTTGGAAGCATTTTTTGAAGATCAGGAGCAAAACAACTTGTTCTGCCACCAACGGTCAAATATTCTACCTCATAGCCTTCCTTTGTCTTTGGTTTTGGTCCATTCTTTCTACGTTTCCCCCAACGGTACAACATGAGCCAATTCTCTGGGAATTTTGTAACATCACCCTCTATCTTTACCGATTCCTCACAAATATAGATAATGGATTCATAAAGTCTGGCAATTATAGGATCAACATTTCCACTTTCATAAGGCGGTAATTTCGCAGATAATACTTCCGCCGGGTGGATTCGAGCGTTATACACGATTTCATCAGAAACCCAATTCCCAATACCAGAGAAGTACTCCTGTTCTTGAAGTAAACTCTTAATTGGTTTCTTTTTGGAAAGCACTAGCTTGTTGAAGGCATCAAGACTAAGCCTAGGTCTACCATGATGATGTGGATCGGGATCCCCATATACGAATTCTTCGTCAGAATTTTCTTTCTTTACATATTCTTCTTCATCTCCTCTCTTGGAATAATCTGGACCTAATGTTTCAAGCGGCTTTTGATTCATGAGTCCTTCATCTGTTTCAACTTCAGATCCTGTCAAAAACCGGACACGCCCCAAACGACGAGGGTCTACAAATGCAAGTTCTAATTTTTTGTCACCTTTCACGAAATCAATATCAAATTTCACGAATCTAGGAGGCCATTCTTCACTTTCTTTAACTTCTTCCACTACAGTCTCAGCAGATTTGAAATCCTTAGAGTCTTCTTTGGCCTTTTGTTCTAAAATTTTCTTGTCACCTCCATTTTCCATAAATACTAAATGAGAATTAACATCTCTAATCTTGATCATTCCTGTCATACCAAAATGCATAAGCAAAACCCCCGGCTGTGAATTGGCCAATTTCAACCTGAGCCAGAAATGCTTCCCATGTCTACCTACGGAGCTTACTGTCGAGTTTAACAATGTACCCTTCAAATCCTCCAAATCATTCTCTGCGTTCGGATTATTTTTCAACATTGGGAATAAGAGTGGATCATTAAGCAATCCGAGTCTATCCATTTTGAAGCCAATGATATTTCTTCTTAACAACGCACATACATGCGAAACCTAGGATGTTAATATCGAACTGTTACTACACACATCTCTTCTAGTACATACTTCTGCTACTTCAGGCATATTTAGTTATTGCTAATGATTCTTTGTTTATCAATCTTTTTGAAAATAATGCGCACGCGTCTTATGAACTATCAATTCGAGGTTTGAAGGCAAAAAATTGCATTTCACAATTTTTGATACATGTAGATACACTACTACTACAATATATATCCAAAAAAGACTTTCGAGGAAAAGGAAATACATAAGAGCAGATGTCAACAGTTGGTGTTGCTGATATAAGAGAGCAAAAAAAAAGAAAAGAAGTTGTTGGAGCAGATGCTCCACGGGAGGCTCGAACTCTCGACCTTCAGATTATGAGACTGACGCTCTACCGACTGAGCTAGTGAAGCAACTTCTGAAAGTGAAATTTCGTATTTGAAACGGGTAAAAATGTATGCACATTTTGAGCTTCGCACGACCTTGTATTTAATGGCTGCAATTACATTGACAACATTGCAATTTTTGAACTCAGATCTGCAAAATTGGTCTTCATTATCGGGGAAACATTTAGGGATGATTAACGATTAAAATACTGTTTTTAGCTTTGCTCGTCTTGTATTAAAAACAATAATTATTAAAAAGAACTTGTTAAGGTGGCTGACAATCTTTAAGTTTGTCACCTTTTGTTGGCTTAATGGTTACAGTCTAAAACATAATAATTGATTTCCTCCATGGTTTAAAAAAAAAGAAAAAAACCGTCAAGAGATATACACTGGCTTTGTGGGGCTATTGATTTATAGGTCAATGCCCGTGGTCCAAATATAATGCTAAAAGATTGTAAGTGAATGTAGAACGTTACATTACCAAGGGATATTGAAGTCCGTATTATTTTCATTTACTTTACAGAAATTCTCTGTAACACTTAATATTTGAGATAGAGCGACTAGTGACCATAATTATATGGCTACATTCCCATAAACTATATAAACATGTACTAATCTTTCATAATACGCTACATGGTGGAGTATTTTAGAATATATATTTTCAAATCATTCGAATAGTAGGATTGAAAAGGTTTAGCCTTCATTGAATAGGAGAATATAATACATCAATCATTAAATAATGCTATAAAGCTAAACCATCATTAACAGAAACGAAATTCAATGAAGGATTAAAATTAATAAAATCGAATAACAATGATTAATAAAGATAAACGATTAAGTATGCGAAGTGAAGTCCCCAAATTGTTGTCTTTGGTTATAATAGTAGTAGACACTGTATATAGAACCATAGCTTGGTCCATATCCATAGTTCTTCAATAATAATTCCGAATTCTCAATTTATATGTTTTTTAGTAAATATTCATCCTACCATTATAGATCTTGACAACTAGATCTTTTATATATATATATCGATCATGAACAAGAAACTATATAGTAATCACCTAGTATCTTTCACTGTTTCATCTAATCCACATACAATTATTGAATCAAAGATCTGTTCAAAAATTTGACAATCTTTTTGGTTGCAAAAAATTCTGTATCATTCCATGAACGACAATCGGCCACTTTATTCTTCTTTTCTAGTGCCATAATCTTTGCAAGTGAATGGTTTTCAAAGAAGAGAGAGTCATGAACTCCCCATGGCTCAACATAGACCTCAACACCAGCCTTTCCTGGTTGATTTGGTCTTATATATTGATGGACTCTTGGATTAAAGTCCATCAGAGTACCACAGTAGGTATTTTCACTATAAAATGGACATTCAAGTGCATACTCTGCAAATTTTAAGATATCATCTCTAAATACTTCATCTTCTCCAGCAATTACAAAAATATTAGAATTTTCGTTTGCAAACGTTGGAATATCCGACCAATCGTCAGCCAGATGTGGAAGCTTTGAATTTGGAGAAACCAAAAGACTTCTTAATGGTTGAGTACCGATTAAATTTGGAAGGGAGGCAGGGGTGGTAAAGTACCTATACCTGATCATATCATACTCATCGTTGTCAAAATAGGAGTAGCCCGGATTGAATTGTTTAACTTCAGGTTTAAGATTTGTCCAAGGTGAGATTAAAACCATAGTTCTTGGATAGATAGGATTTTTAAGAACCTTGGATCTTTCTAAACTTTTCAAATATTGTGTATAAATGATCGAAAGGTTTCCACCAGCTGAATCTCCAATGAACGCAATGTTGGTATTTTTATCTCTTACCGTCAAATTTTGATAAGAATGATGAAGTTGATTTATTTGAGTGGGGAAAGTATGACCAAAACTGACCAACTTATAATCAAGAAGTAATACTGACGTTTTCCGTTGAACTTCAGGATCAAGTAGTTTATACATACCAATGATGGATTCTAATTGTTCCGGAGCAGTTTGTAAAAAGTATCCACCACCATGGAAATAGTATAAAATAGGGTCCAGAGGATCCCTATTTGGTTGTTTCACAATCCAATAAGAATGATCATCATATTTGGTACCATAGCCATGGAAATTACGGGTAATATAATTATATTTACGACCGATGACTCTCTTGAGAATATGATTATTGGTAGCAAGTGCAATGACCTTGGTATCAAGCATGTCAAGTGACAAGGCAGTTCTATAAACTGTAAGCTTCAATGCGCCCCATAAATTGTTTTTGAATTTCCTGAATCGTACCCCTACAGTATAATATTTAATAATGGTAACAAGAAGCAGTACTGGAAGACCAAGTAACTGGAAGATCCCACGCAAACTAATGAAAGCACCCATTTGTAAATACTGGAAATATTATTTAGTACAAGAATACCAGCGCATATTGTCTCCCTTTTATGATGTTGACTTTCAAACATGTGCTAAAGATCTCCAACATGAGATCCATGTGAAGACGATGAAACGCGGGGCAAACCTATCCATATGCAAATCTAAAAAACAAACAATAGTCGAACATATCACTTTTGATTTAATTTCATCCTCTTGTTAAATGCTATAATACGTAAGTGTCTTGATATACACACGAGGAATCCAACTAAAGAAAAGCTTACCCTAACTTACATATTCTAGCTACGTGAAAATTAGGCGATTAGTCAAAAACAAATCATCTTCTTAAGCACATGTAATTTAAAACTGATCAAAAGTATCAATTTTAATCAGTTCCATTATAAGAAGATAAACTAGGAACATTTCAATTATCGATGTGACCTTGTTTATTGAGATATTATGTAGTATATAGAATATTTTCGGGGATACCACATTCACAATATCCTACTTCCATTGGGTAATGCAATGGTACCTGTTTTTTTTTTTTTTTTTTTTTTTTTTTCTAGTATCCCGCACCCCTTTATTATTAAACTTACTATTTAGCGATAAACTCGCCTTCAATTAAAATCTTAAAAACCAAATGTTGCAATATAAAATTAAATACAATACAAGGCTAATATCATTTTCTTTTAGTTAAATAATTGTATGAAATAAAAATATCATTGGTTCACAAGAACTACAGAGCCAAAACTCTATTCAAAAACTCCACAATTCTTTTGGTTGCAAAAAACTCAGCATCACTCCAGAAAGTACAATCAGCAACTTTCTCATGTTTTTCAAGATCCATAATCTTTGCAAGTGAATGATTTTCAAAGAATAAAGCGTCATGAACTCCCCATGGCTCAACATAAAGCTCAACACCAGCCTTTCCTGGTTGATTAGGTCTTATGTAGTGATGAAGTTTTGGATTGATCTCCATTGGAGTACTACCATATGAGTTTTCACTATAAAATGGACATTCAAGTGCAAACTCTGCAAATTTTAAGATATCATCTCTAAACAGTTCATCTTCGCCAGCAATTACAAAAATATTAGAATTTTCATCTGCATAAGTTGGAATATCCGACCAATCATCAGCCAGGTGTGGAAGCTTTGAATTTGGAGAAACCAAAAGACTTCTCAAAGGCTCCTTCCCAAGTAAATAAGCAAGTGAATCAGGTTTCATAAAATATTTGTATTGAATTAGATCATACTTAAAATTGTCATAATATGAGTGTCCTGGGCCATATTGCTCTAGTTCAGGCTGAAGATTAATCCAAGGTGAGATTAAAACCATAGTTCTTGGATAAATAGGATTCTTAAGAACCTTAGATCTTTCTAAACTCTTCAAATATTGAGTATATATAACTGAAAGGTTCCCACCTGCAGAATCCCCAATTAGCCCAATGTTGGTATTTTTGTCCCGTACCGTCAAATTCTGATAAGATTGATGAAGCTGATTGATTTGAGTGGGGAACGTATGCCCATTACCAACTAGTTTATAATCAAGAAGTAAGATCGAGGTCTTACTTTGCACTTCAGGATCAAGAAGTTTATACATACCAATGATGGATTCTAACTGTTGTGGAGAAGTTTGTAAAAAATAAGCACCGCCGTGCAAAAAATATAATATAGGATCCAGCGGATCTCTATTTGGTTGTTTCACAATCCAATAGGAATTTTCGTCATACTTAGTACCATAACCATTGAGACCTCTAGTAATATCATTATATCTACTACCAATGGCTTTCTGAAGAACAAAATTATTGGTAACAAGACCAAAAATCCTAGTATCACCAACGTCAAGCGACAAGGCAGTTCTGATTGCTGTAATCTTCAATACACTCAATAAGCTGTTTTTGTATTTTCGCAATTCTGTCCCCACAGTATAATGCTTAACAGTGGTAATGAGAAGTAATACCGGAAGATAAAGTAATTGGAAAAATCCACGCAAGCTAATAATTGCAGTCATTGTGATGATGGAGAAATGAAAAATCTATCAATATGAACCCAGCATATACTGTCTTATTTATACAGTTTAATAATGTGGGGAAGTATATCTATACCTACGACTAAAAGATAAACAATAGTGGATTACTATGGAGTTATGCAAGATCATCAATACTACAATATAGGTGCATGGAGAACTCCGAGACTATCCGGCTACGTATAAAATAGGAGTCTACCACAAAAAATAATTATTATGATAATGATTTGTTATACTTTAATAAACTTACTTTGTTTTTTTTGTTGGTTTTCAAACTATACACTAGTGCTACATACAAGTCAGATCTAAGTCATTGTTTCTCGAGGAAAAGTTAATCTTGTCTTATACTGTTGATCCAAAGATACAAAACATCAATCGTAGTAGAATAGTACCCCGCAATTTTCCGTCCTTTGTTTCCCGATTCAGTCGTTTATCTTTGGTTTTTTCTTGTCTCCTCAAAAAAATGCAACAAAAAAAACGTTTTTGTCTCTCCTCTTTTACTGTTTATGCATAATCATTTTACACTTGAAAATAAAGACAAACCAATGCCATCATCTGTTTCAGAATATTGACCGTTATATTCTCAAGATTGAACCGTACTAATACCCCTTTGACCCTAGTCATCAACATCGAACTCAAATCTCAAATCTCAAATCTCAAAAAAATATTTGAGAAATAGATATTCGGACTTAGCATGTACTAAACTCCTTGCTTTTACCCCACTATAATATCCAAATTAAATCTAACTACTACGGGATTTGAGGATGAAAATCCCGTCAGACATGACGTAATACATCCACATCATTATGAAACCATCATTGTTTAGATGCAGTAGCAGAGAAGAAACAAAGCCTACACATTTTTCTAGAATCATAATCATGTAGATCATAATAATATTTTATAGCAAACTATATTATCTGGAGAATATCGATTTCCTTGGAATATTGTCAATAATTCTTTTTATGCAATACTTACAACCAAGAATGTTTCATAAGGCGGCTATTCACGGGTAAGATTTAAAAGCATCTCCACTGACGATCACATATGATCCTCATTCTTTATTCAATTTCAATTAGTAGTCGTACAATCGATTATCCAAAATATAATGTCCTGAGGGGATTCATTCTTCAATTGTTACAATTTTTGCAATTCTAGGGAGACTGTCATATTTAACTCAAACTCCGCTTTCTTGTAAAAGATGGTTCTCGATAGATTGTTATAGCTTCTCCCTTGTACAAAATGTTCTACAGAATAAAAACGATATTTACCTTATGGAGTTATATGAAATAAAAATATAAAATGACATTTATAGTCGAAAGGTTAATGGTAACAAGAAAGGGTATATAAGTGCACTAATAGTTAGTGAGAAAAATAACCGCAGCTATAGTATAAAAAGGAAAACGAAAAGCTCAAAACTTCAGCAAAGCATAGTATACCATGACAGTAACTTTAAATTGTCATATACGTTAAGAAAGATATCAAAAGAGTCAGGAGTGTCATCCTGAGTTTGGTTGAACCACCAGTTGATGGTACTGGAATAGTGTAAGCGCCAGTTCCTTGAGAATCATTGGAATCAGCTTGGGAGGTGGACTTGGCAACGAATACAGATTCAGAATCAGACAGAGATTCAAAATCTGGAACACTGGGTGTTGGCTCAACAATATTTGAGGTTGTGTGCGAAACGAGGTAACCTCCTTGACTACTTGGGACAATAATCTCAGTAGTTGGAAGAGGACAGTAGGTAGTGTAGGAAGTTATACTGTTATCAATAGTAGTGGTCACAACTGTTTGACCGGTAGTAACTGGAACTTCAGTGCATTTGTTATCTGAACAGGATGTAATGGTGATAACAGTTGTAGATGGAATTATCACAGTCAGTACTGTAGAGATAATTGTTGAAGAGCCGACCGGTACAGATGAAGAGACAACTGGAGAAGTTGAAGTAACAGCTGAGGTGCTGCCTTCTTCAGTGCTGAGAGTAGTAGTTGTGGAGGTGCTCAAAAAGTCCGACGATGAAGTCTTAATAATACTGGAGGAGTTGCTCCAGTGAAGTGACGATGAAGATACTACTGGGGTCAGCAGTTTAGCAGAAGTAGTTGCATCTGAGCTGGAAGAAGTGATGGCACTTGATGAAGAGATGGCACTTGATGAAGAGATGGCACTTGATGAAGAGATGGCACTGGATGAAGGGTTGTCACTAGATGAAGGGATGTCACTAGATGAAGGGATGTCACTAGATGAAGGGATGTCACTAGATGAAGGGATGTCACTGGATGAAGGGATGGCACTGGATGAAGGGATGGCACTAGATGAAGTGATGGCACTGGATGAAGTGATGGCACTGGATGAAGTGATGGCACTGGATGAAGTGATGGCACTGGATGAAGTGATGGCACTAGAAGAGGTGAAAGTCTCGTGTGGTGGAGTATAGATCTCGATAGTAGTGGTACCATCAGAGTTAGTTGGGGTAATAATACTAGTGGAGGTGTATGTTCCAGTCCATGAGGTAGTAATAGTGGTCTCGTGTGGTGGAGTGTAGATCTCGATAGTAGTGGTACCATCAGAGTTAGTTGGGGTAACAATACTAGTGGAGGTGTATGTTCCAGTCCATGAGGTAGTAATAGTGGTCTCGTGTGGTGGAGTGTAGATCTCGATAGTAGTGGTACCATCAGAGTTAGTTGGGGTAATAATACTAGTGGAGGTGTATGTTCCAGTCCATGGGGTAGTGACAGTGGTCTCGTGTGGTGGAGTGTAGATCTCGATAGTAGTGGTACCATCAGAGTTAGTTGGGGTAATAATACTAGTGGAGGTGTATGTTCCAGTCCATGGGGTAGTGACAGTGGTCTCGTGTGGTGGAGTGTAGATCTCGATAGTAGTGGTACCATCAGAGTTAGTTGGGGTAATAATACTAGTGGAGGTGTATGTTCCAGTCCATGGGGTAGTGACAGTGGTCTCGTGTGGTGGAGTGTAGATCTCGATAGTAGTGGTACCATCAGAGTTAGTTGGGGTAATAATACTAGTGGAGGTGTATGTTCCAGTCCATGGGGTAGTGACAGTGGTCTCGTGTGGTGGAGTGTAGATCTCGATAGTAGTGGTACCATCAGAGTTAGTTGGGGTAATAATACTAGTGGAGGTGTATGTTCCAGTCCATGAGGTAGTAATAGTGGTCTCGTGTGGTGGAATGTAGATCTCTACAGTAGTGGTACCATCAGAGTTAGTTGGGGTAATAATACTAGTGGAGGTGTATGTTCCAGTCCATGGGGTAGTGACAGTGGTCTCGTGTGGTGGAGTGTAGATCTCGATAGTAGTGGTACCATCAGAGTTAGTTGGGGTAATAATACTAGTGGAGGTGTATGTTCCAGTCCATGGGGTAGTGACAGTGGTCTCGTGTGGTGGAGTGTAGATCTCGATAGTAGTGGTACCATCAGAGTTAGTTGGGGTAATAATACTAGTGGAGGTGTATGTTCCAGTCCATGGGGTAGTGACAGTGGTCTCGTGTGGTGGAGTGTAGATCTCGATAGTAGTGGTACCATCAGAGTTAGTTGGGGTAATAATACTAGTGGAGGTGTATGTTCCAGTCCATGGGGTAGTGACAGTGGTCTCGTGTGGTGGAGTGTAGATCTCGATAGTAGTGGTACCATCAGAGTTAGTTGGGGTAATAATACTAGTAGATGTGTATGTTCCAGTCCATGAGGTAGTGACAGTGGTCTCGTGTGGTGGAGTGTAGATCTCTACAGTAGTGGTACCATCAGAGTTAGTTGGGGTAACAATACTAGTAGATGTGAAAGTTCCAGTCCATGAGGTAGTAATAGTTGTAATTGGCTTTGGGCATAAATCACTCTGTCCTTCGTAAACAAATGTGTTGGCATAAACTGGACCGGTAGACATGTCTGGTGTGGTAACTTCCAAGCCCAATTCAGCCCTTGATTGCGCGTTCGTGAACACAATTCTTATAGGATAGTAAGTATCAGCCGCTAATTCGACGGTTGCTTCTGTACTCCTTGCTGGTTCATCCCAAACCTTGTAAACAAAAATGGAATAGTCTATTGGGTCAACAGTTGGGGCGTCTGTACAACAAGCGAAAGCTTTTCCATCTCCAATGAAAACGGCAGCAGAGTCGTCAATCTTGTTCAAGTTAAAAGTGTAGTTACCCTCTTTAACCGCATGATAGAAACCGGTAATCTCCATGGTAAAATTTGAAGCAGTTGTATAGTATCCGTAAATATAATCTTCCATGACCCAAGGATAGGAAGGGTAGGGCTCATATTGCCACATGAAGTTAATATCCTCGACCGAATCGATTGTATGGAGAAGTTTGTTTTTGGTATATCCAGTAGAGACATAGTCCAAACTGGCCATAGTAGTTTCATCATTGAGCTCGTAGGGGTAGAATTTGACTTGGAAACCAGATTTCACTTCACCCTTAGGGGCACACCCTTCGGGAGATGCACTAGATGTACTAGATGCATCGACAACGACTGTCAATGCAATAATAGACAGTAAGAGTTTTAAGAAAATCATGTTTTGCCTCGTTAAAAACCATCTTACAGAGGTAATTCAGTGCCATTCTTATACACGAGACCATAAAGGTCATCAGCTTTGTATACCGCTAAAAAATATCAAGTAGTAGTACCACACAAGTTTAATAGATGGGTGCAAAAAAGACCTTGCATGTACATCGTGTGGTGCATGTCGAAAGGCACGGCACGGAAAAACACACAGTTGTGGAGCTCCAATGAAACCCGGGAAAATGTTCTATCTTTCAACAGGTCATATTGTATCTATTCGGACTATAGGGAGTTAATCCTTTCAAAAGCTTCAACCAATACTCTAATCAGATTGAGATAGTCTCCTATACATACATCTACCCACGCCATTCATGTGTAAGAATATTCCTACCATTTAATGTGTGAGCCCGCCCTCTCTGTACGTCCTTGCCGGGATTTTTTTTTCTCTGGGTGAGAAAAACCTTGGGCAAGAATATGCACATTTTTATTCTATATCATCTTTTATGTACCATTGGTTCAATGTATCATCTTTCCCGATGTCAAGCTTTTGGTGGATTTCTCACTCTAATATAATTTGATATATATATATATTGTTTTGAAATCCTAATACTCACTAGGGTAGTCCATACTAGAGAGATATACACAAGAATGACATCTTGTTCCCTATATGGTTGTATTCGATATGCCAATTACATGACCTAACAATATTTTTTGACAAGAATCTGACGCTAGAAGAAACATGCGTATGAGTACCACTTCTAGAAATTTACACAAATTTATTTTATAGATTGCGCGCTGCCGCCTCGCTTAAATACCCTTGCGAAGCTAAAAAAGAATCTATACAGTTACAGACATTCACGTCAAAATATCCTTTCTCGAATGGTTGAACAAAAGCGAGTCCTACAAGTGCATTTTTTTTTCAACATTATAATGGCCATTGACCAGAATTTTTAGTTCTTGACTACTCTTAAATCGTTCTACGAAAAGTGGGTAAATTCATTATTATTTTCAGATTTCTAGATGTGTTAGTTTTTTTATTTCTTTTTCATCTCTACATTGCATCCATACAGTTGCGTCCATGCACACACTTTTTCCGTTTATCCCGTCTAAACAGCCAATAAAGAATAAACTGTACCATGTAAGTACATGAATCCAACCACCTATTCATTATAATAGAATAAGTATTAGCCAGTGCACCTGAAGTATATCCTTGAAACTGTTTTATCTCAATACTACCCTTCGACAACTTTCTACTTTCCCACTCTCTTTCTCTCTTAAATTGTCGTATTTTGCGGGTTGGCTTCAATTATTTTTTTTCAAGACTTTTCACTTTTACCACTTCTTATCTGAAGGGGATTTTCTTCGTGCCTCACATGATTTGGATTGCTTCCTAACTTGTTGTTCAGATTTTCAACTCATTACATCTACGTTGGCTTGAAAGAAATGAAAGTTAATCACCTTGTAGAAAGGTTTATCTTGTAATTACGTCAAGCTACTATCAGAATCTATTAAATGCCTGATTCCTTTTAGTAAAGAGTTTAAAAACGATCGATCAGAGATGCAGTTCCACACAAAATGGTAGTAAAAAAAAAAAACGGAAAATTATACCACAGGCTAAAGGGTGCAGCTACAATATTTGGAATAGGGGCAAGTGACTTCAATTGACCAATAGCATCAGAAAGCATCCTCGCTGAGCACATGGTTGGTGCTTATTACACATTTCTTCAATGCTTTTGGAACTCCAAGGATCTGTCTGGATCGCAATCTTGGTCCCATCCAAATGTATACTTACAGTGCATCTCAAATAATACAAGAACGGCATCATCAGAACCTTTAATTCGTACACAAATGTGTTAAAAGAATTGCTAGACCAACTTTTGGTAATGAAAAATTATTGAAGTTGATGATTAATAGACTATGAGTAGTGCATTTTTATTCTTCGAGTTACTAGTTAGTCTTTGTACTCGAGACAATGATTGATATTACTGATTTTTTTGATTTTTTTGGAGTTCGACCTACAGAAAGCCTTGATTTATGTGATTGAAGTCTCCTTTGTCCATACTATGGTATAGTACTGGTTGCAAACTAGTTGCTTTGACCACGCCGTGAAAAGCTTCACTAGATGGAAGTTTCTTGGTTGTTTCCAACTCTACATATTCGTCTACTCTATGTTTCAGAATTTCAGAATTGGAAGGGGTGAGGGAGACCTGGATGTTATATAATGCCAGTACCACTTCGAGGTATGCAGTCATTTTTTACCAGTTCTAAATAACCTTTTGCAACCATTATTAGAAAGCCAAAAGACTTTACGAATGTTGAATAGCCAAGACAGGGGGGTGTTCATGAAAACCAATTCAGAATAACATCTGGAGTTGAGCTATACAAAAATCAGTCACCTTTCATTAGTTGGATCTTAGTTGGCGGGGAAGCTGAAAGATATACTCTCGACACCAACCCTTAACCCCGAGCCATTTACAAAATTCGAAACCATTCTCCTGGTTGGAATAGCTAGATAATATATTTAATTGCACCACCCAGATTCCCCATCCCTTTTGTCCGGAACCTATTATGCGGAACCATAATTGTAAAACCAATTTTACAAACAATTAAAATATTTTTTAAACGCATTAAATTTTTTTTTGGGGAAAAACCTCTCGGCGTCACGTGTACCCCAACCTCGAGGAGAGGAAAAAAAAAAAAGAGATCACAAAGTCAACGAACAAATGAAACTTTCATATTTCATTGTTCAATTTTTAGATTCTAATCTATCCTTATATTCAAAAAGTATCTTACTTCACTAAACCACAAATATGTCAGTCGAAGAACTCAAGTCTACTGTTGCCAAGCTTCAAGAAAGAATCACCCAATTGGAACAAAAGGCTGGTCTCGTTCCAAACGTTCCAAAGTCCATCAGAATGGTCTTGATCGGACCTCCAGGTGCTGGTAAGGGTACCCAAGCTCCAAACTTGAAGGAAAAGTTCTGTGCTTGTCACTTGGCCACTGGTGACATGTTGAGAGCTCAAGTCTCTGCCAAGACCTCTTTGGGTGTTGAAGCCAAGAAGATCATGGACCAAGGTGGATTAGTCTCCGACGAAATCATGGTCAACATGATTAAGGATGAATTGGAAAACAACAAGGAATGTTCCAACGGTTTCATTTTGGATGGTTTCCCAAGAACCATTCCACAAGCTGAAAAGTTGGACACTATGTTGAACGACAGAAAGACCCCATTACAATCTGCCGTTGAATTGAAGATTGACGACGAATTGTTGGTTGCTAGAATCACTGGTAGACTCGTTCACCCATCTTCTGGTAGATCTTACCACAAGCTTTTCAACCCACCAAAGAAGGACATGATCGATGACATTTCTGGTGAACCATTGGTCCAAAGATCCGACGATAACGAAGGTGCCTTGAAGAAGAGATTGGTGACTTACCACAAGCAAACCGAACCAATTGTCGACTACTACAGAAAGGCTGGTATTTGGAGCGGTGTTGACGCTTCCCAAAAGCCAACCACTGTCTGGTCTGACATCTTGAAGTGTCTTGGTCAAAAATAAGTTATTTCCTGATACTTGTTAAAACCAATTAGATTTCAACCTGTATAAAATGAAATGATTTATAATAAATGTTACAATAAGAGTATTAAAATTTATAATGGTTTATATATTTATTCTATTTAACAATCCTATGTAATTAGTTAGGTTAGTTTTTTCATTTTCATTTTCATTTTCATTTTTAATTTGTTCAAGAAGTTCTTTCTCTTTTATTGGCATTTCCCCCATCATCCTCAGCACTTCTCTTTTTATTTGCTTCATTGAAACATGTTGCATGGAAGATTTTACGACTGTTTTTCCCTTCACCTGGCGCCTTAACACAATTAACCCATCTCCATTCTCCTGAATCATCATCATAGGTGGCATTGATTTGATCATGACAAATTTGACACTTATTGATCATATTGGTTTCATTGGCAGGAATAACAACGTATGGCTCAATAATTGGATCTGAGTTCCCATTATTCTTATTTCCTGAATTATTAGAATCATTATCTCCATTAGTATTCCCATTAGTTGAATATTCCAATAAATTCTCATCTCTAAACTTTACCCACTCAATGTCATCCAAGTACCAATTTCGACATTGGACAACTGACCCTGAACTAGCAAGTTTCTTATTGATACGGAAATGCCAATCCAAATGTAACCTTCTTTTCTGAATTCCAAATGTATCATTGGAAAATCTTTTACCACATGTTCCACATTTAGATGCCTTAGCGGTATATAATAATGAAACTGATAATTTGGAAGGAGTATTAGAAGTTATGAATTTCTGTATGTCATCTTTACCTACTGCTAATTTAGACAATTCTACATGTTTTAACGTATCATACTCTGTTCTTTGGACATTGGAGTTTGGATTACCATTTGATAACAACTGTTCTAAAGTTGAGGTTGAAGGAAGCCCTGAATTACCATTCGAGGACTTTTCATATTTATATTTGGGATAAACCAATTCATATTTAGGTTTAGAACCTGCAACCAAAGATTGATCTATTCTAACCAACCCGGAAGCAATCAAGATTTGAAATAATTCATTGGCCCGATTTTGTTGTTGTGGAACAGGTGTGGTATTTGAAGTTGTTGGCACCGCTGGAAGTGAAGAAGGATGTGGGAAATTATTATGCGATTGTGATTGAGGTTTTTGAGATTGAGGTTGGGGTTGCGGTTGAGATTGACCTTGTGATTGTAATTGAGAAGATCCCAATTCTTGTTGTTTTATATTTTGCAATTTGCTTTGAATTGCTTGTAATTCCTTAGCTCTCATTGTTTGACTTGAAAGTAAGGTTCTCAATTGAAGTAATGCATTCAATTTATCTGGATTTGTTGACGCTCTACTCTGGAATATCGGAACAAGTGCATCGATATCACGAATCAACTGGCCATTGGTCAATGTGGAAGGCACAGGAGAAGATTTAGGAACGGAAGAAGATGTATTAGAATGATCTACTATCGAAGGTTTTGAAGGCAATGAGGTATTACCACTTGATCTAGCCTTTGCTTGGAATAAAAATTTCTCAATCTTATCAAGTTGTACCTTGGGGAAAAGTGGTAGACTTGTACCCCTTGATTTAGTTAATTTCCAAGTTTCAAACATGTTAATAAGTTTTTGTCTAATTTTGTCATTAACCAAAAGATATACATTAGAGAAAATGTCAAATATTTCATCACCAACCAAGATATTGTATGGGTTCCCAACAGTTTTACAGATAGAATCTAAAAGATAAAGTGGTGGAAGTTTATGATCTGGGATATTTTTAGTAATTCTCATCTTTATAACATTAATGATTCCATCTGCAAATTCGGTATTTTCACCAGCAATCACCGTAAGGTTGTCAATGATGGGCCGTGCTGGAAATGTAAGCTCCAACAAACTTTGAGCATAGTCTTCTAAGACTGTGTTTCTGTCTTCAGATACCATTTTGATGATATGGATGAATAACTAATGAACAAGCTCTGCTCTGAAAATAAATGATATTGATAAAGGAAAAGAAACAACTGTATTCGGTAAAAATTAGTTGGGTCAACACCTAATCCAAACTGTCTTGAAACTACAGTAATTCCTCACTGCAAAGGAATATACACTGTTGATTACTTTGATTAGGGTTTGTTTTATCTGTGGTACTCATTACAATTATGTTGAGAGTGATAGAATACAAGTGACACAAAAGCAAGAATAAATTTTGAAACATGCACGCTTCACAATTTTAGGATAGTATATGAATAAATGAGGGGGAGGAGAGTACGCATTATGTGATAGAAGAGCATAACGAAATTGCATCATTGGTCCGAAGTTTGATTTTTATATGGCAGCATTGATCTTCTTTTATAATTTCAATTGTTTAGAAATATTTATTAGCGAAGAGAATTCCTCACTATGATTTGCACCCAATCCTTGTATAAGATAGGTTTTTCTCTTTCCCTTTGATTAATTGAGGTAACACGTTCTGTACAATATATGTATATACGTACACCTCTAAACCTAAATATCCCCCGTCCTATAGTTTCGTATTTTGAATTTACATTCCATGATATGGTTGACTCATTTTGAAAGATTCCCTTAATCAAGCCACATCACATGACAAAGGGTAAAATTTTTTCAATTTTTTTTTTTTCCACAATTTCTTCTACTTTTGAAAATTAAGCGCGGTGACAACGAGCCCACAAAAAGTGCATCAGATTTCAAAAATTTACAAACTAAACGAAACTTCTGATTTTGATTGAGTTTTATATCATTATTAAATTATGTCTCCAGCCAACTCATCAGACAAGAAGCAATCCGCCGGTGCCAGAATTCTTGGTTCTGCCTCCGCAGGGATCTGTGAAATTGCAGTTTTTCACCCTGTTGACACTGTTTCTAAGAGATTAATGTCTAACCAAGGGAAGATTTCTTCTGCCACTCACTTGAACTCTGTTATTTTCAGAGAACATGCCCAACAAGCTTTAGGTAAGAGATTATTTACTCTTTTCCCTGGTTTGGGTTACGCTGCTTGTTACAAGATTCTCCAAAGAGTTTACAAGTACGGTGGTCAACCATTTGCCAATGAATTCTTGACCAAGAACTTTAAGGATAGTTATGAATCCTGGTTTGGTCCAAAGACCGGTAAGGCTCTTTTGTCTGCCACTGCTGGTTCTTTGATCGGTATTGGTGAAGTTGTCTTGTTGCCATTGGATGTTCTTAAGATTAAACGTCAAACAAACCCAGAATCTTTCCGTGGTAGAGGTTTCCTCAAGATTTTGTCTGATGAAGGTTTCGGTCTTTACAGAGGTTGGGGTTGGACTGCTGCTAGAAATGCTCCAGGTTCCTTTGCCTTGTTCGGTGGTAACTCTTTTGCCAAGGAATACATTTTTGGTCTTTCTGACTATTCTTCTGCTACTTGGTCTCAAAACTTTGTTACTTCCATTTTCGGTGCTTCTGCTTCTTTGATTGTTTCTGCTCCTTTAGATGTTATCAAGACTAGAATCCAAAACAAGAACTTCGATAACCCAGAATCTGGTGTCACTATCTTGAAGAACATGTTCAAGAACGAAGGTATCACTTCATTTTTCAAGGGTTTGACTCCTAAGTTGTTGACCACTGGTCCAAAGTTGGTTTTCTCCTTTGCCTTGGCTCAATCCTTGATTCCAGCTTTTGACAAGCTTTTGAAGTAAACTTATTTATCACTGTAAATAGAGGGAGTTTTTTTTTTAGAGCTCGAATTTTTAATATTAGTATGTAATACAAAATATTTAATGTAAGAATGGTTAGAATATTTTTTTAGTAAGATACATATACATGGTATCTCTTGTACGAGAAACTAATTAGATATATGTTTTTGAGAGACTCAGAGCCATACCTTTAAATTTTCGCAGCAACAAAATTTTCCTATCAAAAATTTCCCCATTTGTTAGTTTAATTAAATAAGAGAGTTATACATACATCCCAATAAGTTATTATAATAAGCGACAAATATTTACCATGAGTTTAAAGTTCTTCTCAAATAGAAGGAAGCTTAACCCGAAAACACTCTGGAAACATAATATACATATGAGGAGTTAGGTACTATCCTTCTTTATTACCTTGTCATCATTTGTGTCATCCGTAATTTTTCCTTTGTAATCTGCACGTTTCTCATCTTTGCATAGTCACAGCTCCTCCGCATTTTTTTATTTACATTAATTTAATGTGTACACATATCATTTTCTTATGTTATGAACATATACATCATCGAATAAACAACCCATCACAATGAAGTTTGTATTATGGTTGATGTATACGCTCAAAATTAACATGCTACACTTGATCGTCAGCAATAGTCGTCTGTACTCGACCACCCTTCAATATATTGATGATCCTATCTTTGCCACTCGTTGTGATTGTCCTGAAGATTATGCTGACAAACTGTTTGAATTTAATAATATGACGGGTATACCTATAATATGATAGTTGTACCCATATCCGATTTACATTAAATATGCCCCTATACGAAAATGATGAACTGAACTGGTCCTGGTTGATTTGGTATGAAGAGACCCTTTGATGATTCTCTCTCTTGTGTTTATTTTTTCTTTTTTACTTTCTAATTTATTCTCTTGTTATTTATTTATATAGACAAAAAAATACATACTGACTCTTATTTCCCTAATACTTTCTTTTCTGTACCTTTCTTTGAATCCTTTCTATAATTAGTCCATTAGAATTCAGTAGGAATAATAATTTGATCAATTCCAAAATTTTTAAAGTATCCCATCTCTGAAAGATATGGAAGTTCAACCACCCATCTTTGTCTTCCTATAATGTTGTCAAGTTCTTGTATAGTAGTCTTATTTTCCAACACACAAAGTCTCAAAACTGCTTCAACTTTACGCTTTTCTCTTAATAATTTTTCTGCAGCTCTTTCTCTTAAACCTCCAGATGTATTAGCAATATTTGCAGCACTTTTCAAAAATGTTTTACAATTTTGAAAGAGAATTTGTTGATTCTTGATAGCAGGTTCATAATTTCCAATCTGTGATCTTTGAAGATCAATATCAGATCTGGCAATAACAACGTCACTGATTTGGCCAATCAAGGCACCAACTCCGAGATCATTCCCACTAACTTGAGTCTTTTTGATTTCTTGTAGTTTTAAATTTAAAAGATCTTGTGCAGATTTATAACTTGTTGTCATCTTGGATAACGCATTCCATAATATTTCAGGATTATATTGACCAGATGAAATGGTTTCTAAATTTATATCATTTCTATCCAAAAAACTTTGAATATTATCAGCAGTACACATGTATCGTTCAGGAGAAATTGGTAAGGTATCGGAATTCCAAATGGATACTAAGCGTTCCAAATCATTAGTGGTAAGTCCTTCAATAGAACTTTTGATCAATTGCATCTCTTGCTGTTGTTCGTTCGAAATAGATTGAATCATTGAGTTTGTATTATTGGTTTCAGAAAATCTAGCAGTCAATTCTTGTGCAGTTTCTTCAAAAGAAATTATAAATGGTTGCATTAATTGAGTAGCTGATTCCAATTGATATGGTTCAGATGAAGTCATGTTTTCCAATGTAGCCTGAACTAATTTAAACGCAGATATCACTGTCTCATAAACATCATTTGGTTGAAGTGATTCTTCACTTTCAAATTCATTTGTTTCAGAATCGGATTCAATTGCTGTTGTTGATATTTCATCTTCATTATCAATATCCTCAAGATCTTTAAGGAATTTTTGAAATGATTTAGTTTGTTGATTTAATAACTCTTGGAAATATTCTTGAGTCTTTGAGCTTAAATTTAAGACTTCTTCAAAGGGCACATCGATTTGATTTTGTAAATCTTCAATTTGTTCAGTATAAACCAATGCTGTGTTAAATAATAAATCCAATGGGATTGAAATAGCTGAGTTCATGGCAATTTGAATTGCACGTTCATGAGCTGCAACTATATTTCCAAGAGGTTGCACGACGGCATCTTCTGACCCACTGATGGCATCATTTACATTCACCAAGGTATACACGTTGACCCCATCTTGTTTGACATAATTGTTATAAACATGGAATAAAAGTCTGCATGCATTGTAATAACTATCCAAATAACCTTTAGGAGAAAGCTGAATTGCTTTCGAATATGAAATATAAGCCTTTTGGAAAAATCTTAAACCTTTTGATAAATCAGAACCGATCCAACGATCTCCAGATTCTTCATCCATTGCTCCCTGTTCTACATATTCCTCAGCGGTTTGCGGAGATGATGAAGGAGATGGAGATGAGGCTACTTCCTTTTGAAGCCTTTTTGGGATTCTAAATCCAGTTTCTAGAAAAATATTTGTTAGTATTAAAGATTCACAATAAGTTTTAGATTCAGAACATACTCTTCATGATAGTATAATTGATAAAATGTTAAAAAACACAGATGATGATCAATTTATGATTGATTTCTGTATATATGTCTAATTTTTGTCTTGAAATTTAAACCTAAAAAAAATAAACGGTTAGATTGTGAGATAAACAAACTAAGAATCATTCTGAATATTCTGCACAACCATAGTATATCACAAGGTGACAATAAAGTGAACGAAAAAGTAAAAACGTTTACACAATTACAATGAGGGAACCACTGGATAGTCAAGTTTGTGACTTTCCTCTACCTCGTCATTTAAGAAGTCCATCAGATGAACGTTATTACATGGAGGTACAGGTTATTTCCTTTGTTGAAGGTATGCGTTCAAAGCTGGATGACGAAGCAGTATTGACAGTAACTGATGGTACTGACCATGACGATCTTTGGTCTTGGGAAGAAGCACATAGAGGTTATGATTTACATAATATCGAAATTCCACGTCTTCCATCAAATGAGATATTCTGTATACGTGTTCCACCTGAGATTGTACAGAAAGTAGATAAAGAATTGAGATCTACTTATTCAAAAATGAGAGAAAATACTACAAGACTTCAGATAAGTAGGTATCCTCATGATAAAATTACCATGAAAATACTTGTTGAGTTGGATAAATATAATGAAAGAATAATATCGAAATTATTAGAAATTCGGTTTTATGGATCAGAAGAAAGAAGTGGTATACAATTTGATAAATATTCTGGTAGGGGTCCACAGACTGAGTCTCCTGAAAATCCCACTCGTTCTACCAAGGACCACGATGTATATTTGACTCCAAGAGAAATGTACAAACGGAGGAAGACTTTAGTGTCAAAAGGTGGTCAATTGTCGGTTTGTTCAAGAGATTCTTCTCAAGAAGAAATGGATGTAGACCTAACCTCAATTCCTGACTTTAGTGAACAACGTAATAAGAAGTCAGGGCAATATATATTCAAAAAATCCACAATCCCAGATTTAAAGAACCTCGTGGATGATTATGTGACCACGGTTCAAATCTCCGCTACATTGAAGACAATCTACCCATCCCCATTCATTGTTAAACCATATGGTAGAACATTGAAAATCGCACCATTTAAGTTATATCTTCAAGAACAAGAAGATGGTTTAGTATTAGAATTTAATTCTGAAAGGGAGATATGTAAATTTCTAGGATTGATCGAGATTGAACAATCTTTAGAATGCTTATCTAATATCGAGGAATATGCGAGAATTCTACAAGAAAAGAGAATTTATGTTGATATTCAAAGGAAGAAACATGAATTAGCTACAGGAGTAACTCGCTCGTATTGGACATGTCTTACGACTTTGGAGGACTTGTGTACTGCCTACTGCCGAGTATAGCCTAGATATAGTCAAGGGGGGGTTACGATCACGTCAGAAGGCTTATGTTTTTTTCATTTATTTCAAGGGGTGCATGGTAAGGCTGAGCTGAGTACCTCTGAAATAGTACAAGTGTGCAACCCGCTAAGAAATTCAATTATTATTTGTGCGTGCATGTAGCTTTTTTATTATCTTGTCATGCCAACAGTTTTATTTCTCAATAAGGAGGGCTGAGCCTACACAATCGCGCTAAAATTAGATCACCGCGTCTCGTTATATAATGTTTCATAATTGCACATCAACATACACACTAGCCAGCATAGAAATTATTAAGGAATAGTAAAAAGATTTAACAATTTTTTTAAATTTCTTTTCAACAATTTACATCTCTTTGCCATACAAACATGCATCTTTCAACATCCATGCTAGCAGACACCACCGTCGAAGTCTTTGCTAGATCATTTTCTTCAGACGTTACTACAACTGCACAATCTTTCAAGAGCTGGGATACATGTCAGCAGAACAAAACATGTAAAATCATATCGATTGTTGGAATAGCCATTGCTGCCTTTGTGGTATTATGGTTCCTTTTCGCCATCATGTCTTGTATTTGTATGGGAAAACAATTATTAGAGGCATGCTGTTGTTGTTGTTGTAGATCAGCCAACTCGAAAACCGTCTATGTCGATAATCAGAGTCCTTATAATAATCCAAACATGTATCAACCAACTCCAGCTCCGCATTTCTACCAGGCTCCCGCACCAGCTGCCCCTGCCCATTTTGCAAATCAAAACTATCAAGGTTACCAGCCAGTGCACAGAGAGATCAACGATGAGAATCCATTCTCAGATAGTAAGGCTGAGAAATACTAGATCTACGATCATTTATGACATTTTATGGGATATATATATACGTTTACTTTATACATATTGGGTATTATTTTTGATAATTGTAGTGTTTTTTTTTTAGTATAGATTTACCCCCTAATTCTAAAACATCTCCCACATTCTCAACTTGGCATCTTTGAAATTTTAAAAGTGAAAATGTGTAGTGGTGTGCGGATGTGCTGCACGAAATGTAGATTTTTCTTCGACTTCGATTTTTGCAACATATTTCCAATTATATTTTTTTGCAACACACAAATGGTTTACCAAGAATAGAATCATACATATAAAACTTTGAAATTTGTTTGATTTACATCATGTCAATAGATGATCCAAAACCTAAAAACATCATCCTATGCTTTGATGGCACTCAGAATCAATTTGGGCCCTTACCGCGTACGAATGTATTGAAACTATATCAATTATTTACCAACAATAGTACCCAACGTTGCTATTATCAGCCTGGAGTTGGGGTTAAATTCCATTCAGAATCTTATCAAATATTAAGTAGAAAATCCAAGATTTTCAATATGCTAACTAAATGGGACGCCGCAATAGGATATAGTTTAGGATGTCATGTTAGGGCCGCATATTTGTACTTGATGAAGCATTTTAAACAAGGCGATAGGATATTTTTATTCGGTTTTAGGTGAGTTGACCCATTAGCCCTTCTTCTTATTGGTGGCCTTGTTTTTTTTTTTCATTACTAACATTATCATAGTAGAGGCGCATTTACGGCAAGAGTTTTAGCAGGAATGGTGGAAAGTGTAGGCTTGTTGCAAGAAGGTTTAGAAGAAATGGTTGCATATGCATATGAGATATATTGTAATTGGGAATACTCGGGTCAACCTTCTCAAAAGGATAGTACATTAACCTTAACTGAGGAGTTCCGTGAAACATTTCTGAGAAGAATTGAAATACAATTAATGGGATTATGGGATTCAATTAATTCCGTTGGTCTTGGATTTAGAGACCAAACTTTCCCTTATACGGCGCGAAGTCGAATAGTCCGTCACGTACGCCACGCTGTAAGCATAGATGAGAGAAGGGTCAAGCATAAACCTGTTTTATTTGATGAATGTTTGGATGGCAATGATTTGATTTTTCAAGGTACATCTAATTCTGATAGTAGGAATTATTTGGGTATACCATCATTCACTGTTCCAGATAGTGCAAGAAATTTACCAACCATTTCTGATGATGTCATCGAAAAATGGTTCCCAGGAAATCATGGTGACGTTGGAGGTGGATGGCCATCTGATCCATCAGGCCATAATTTGTCTGATTTATCACTTCTTTGGATGTTACTGGAAGTCATGGAATACAAACTAAAATTCAATCCAGGTTCATTAAATTTATTCCATGCACAGCATTCGTCTATAGATTGTTTAATGTCATATCACCATGATATTCTATCATACTCAAAGAGGAAAAATCCTGTTTACCAACAGGATGAATTAAGTGAAACTCTGCCACTTTTAAGACCAGATGATAGGGAAAGAAGATGCGGAGTTGAGTCATATAATGCAAATGTACGCAATGGAGAAATTACTATTCGATTCGATTCACATTCTTCGGCAAGCTATGAACAAGATACCGCATCAGATAGTATTCACTATGGTGCCTTCACTGAAATTGAACCTAGGTCACCTGTCCTCAGGTTTGATGCAAGAGGTGATGAATCATTCTTCTCTACAACATTTTGGTATTTCTTAGAATTATTACCCTTTAGTAATAAGATTCAAGACTCAAAGGGTCTTTGGTTGCGATCATACAAGCCAAATCTTGGTCAAAGGAGAGTCATTCCTAACCAAGCATCATTCCATTGGAGTGTGTTCTATATGATGCATTACGTTGAAGATTACAAGCCAACCAACCTTCCAGATAATTTTAATGACAAGTTTATCGAACTGCTACCATATGAATTACAACTGTTGGATGAAATTCAAAAAGAATCAATTTGGCTCAAAATACCAGATGATTTAGGCACTTACTTATAAGTATGATTTTTGCACAACTACAGCAAAATTCTAATGCAGTATATATATTACCAATATACAATACTAAGTATAACTAAAAAGCAACCAAACAAAAACCATAGCAGATAAAAAAAGAGATTAACATGTATAGTAGCTTGAAGTAATTTGAATAGTTGCAATTGTTAAATAGTATAAGGGTCCACTATTCATCTTTTTTATTTCTTATTTATCATTCATCACCATTTTTTATAGAAGACGGGGGGCTTAACCGACTAACAAAGTTTCGTCATCGGTGAAATCGTAAGTTGGGATTTCCAAGTTCAATGGAGCTGGACCTCTTCTGATTCTACCAGAGATATCGTAATGGGAACCGTGACAAGGACAGAACCAACCACCGAAATCACCAGCTTCACCGATTGGGACACAACCCAAATGGGTACAGATACCAACCATAACTAACCATTCTGGCTTAATGACACGGTCAGAGTCAGTTTGAGGGTCTCTCAAGGAGGAGATGTCAACCTTGTTAGCTTCATCAATTTCTTCGGCAGTTCTGTGTCTGATGAAAACTGGCTTACCTTGCCACTTGACAAGAACGTTCTTACCTTCTGGAATAGCACCCAACTTAACTTCAACCTTAGCCATGGCCAAAACATCGGCAGAGGCGGACAAAGATGACAAGAAAGTTTCGACGGTAGACTTGGCACCGGCAGCAGAGAGCAAACCCATAGAACCAACCATGAAGTAAGAGAAGTTACGGGACTTGTCGGTACCCTTGTTGTTCAAGTAACTGCTGAAGTCTGGTTGTTGGTAGTTGGACAAGGAGGTGGTGGTAGAGGACAAAGCTCTAACAGAGCCTAAAATTTGTTAGTATATGTTCCTAATATTCAAATTGAGACAATTATTGCTTCTACATGGCTATCATTGCAGCTACTGCTGAGTAACGATCGAAAAAATTCTATCATGTTGAAAAGTTCAAATAAAACTTCCATGTAGTGCCTAGGAGTCTCTCTATCGACACTTACCCTTAACGCCCAATCCACTTCTCAAAGATCTAAATGCAAGCGAAGACATGTTTAACTGTACTGTTTCTTCAAGCAAATATTGAATTTGAATTTGATGTTCTATGTTAAGTCGCTTGAGTGTGCGATTGTTTTTGAGTAGCGTCTATTGGCTGAAAACGAGCCGGGTAACTGTGTATTTACATGCAGGTTGAGCACACACCCCATTTTTTCAGTTTTTTTTTTTTTTTACAATTCTTTTTTTTACTGTATTATTTTTATTTATTTATTTTTCATCATATCATTATAATGGCTGCAAAGACTGTATGCATTACTTGAGGCCAAAACCAGAACTTTCGCTAATTGCCTGTTGTAGTTTATAGATGAACTTTTTCTTGGAATTGTATTGATAAATTGCCAACTCATTGAAGCATGTGTGAGCCACTGGAAGTCTGTCACTATCCGTGTGCCCAACTAGACTAATCTTGAAATTTAAATTCTGTAATCCTGTAGCTGGAACTCTGTCGGAACCAGTAACAAATCTTAGTATCTTCTGGTGTTCTTTAAATGAAATTGAATTCATATACTCCCAAAACCAAATAACAACTTCGCTATTTTCAGCTTCTATTGAATCTTTCCATCCAGTGTAGTTTGTAATGGATTTAAGAACATTTATATCCAATTGCTTTTCATCACTGCCACATAATAATAATTCAATTTCCTCTGGTAAGAATAGGGATTGTGCATTACCTCCAATAACATCTGAAAACCCTCTAGTAAGTTGGCCAAGCTGTTTCGATATACCTTCAGAAAGGAAAAACATGTAGTACTTTTCAATATACTTATCGACATTTGTTTTATCCACTTCAATTCTGTTTCCATTGGGAATTAACTCATGTGTATGATGCATTCCAATGGTATCATAGAACAGAACTTCGAATGTAAGTGCCAATGAAGTAAGTTCATCCTCATTATATCCTTTCAACTTCATTAAATTGTCGGCTACTTCAGGGAATATCATTCTATAATCAGCAAATGACAACGGCTTACCCAATAATATTTTGTATACCGCTGGCGGGAAATTCAAATCTAATATAGTTGAATTGTATATTGCCAAGCCCATGATTACTCCAAATAGATAGTACATCTCCAATCCGTTGAGTGCAATTACATGAAACCAAAGATAATTTGATTCCACTTCTGTAAACATACCCGCTGAAGGGGTGAATAGTGACTTTGTTAACAATGAAAACCATTCCTTTTTCAAGCCACCAGCATCAATACCAGGCTCGTTAACAAACTGTACTCGGAGCGATTTTTGTAAATTTGCCAAGTTCAATTTAATACATCGTAGCGAATCCTGAACAATATTCTCTCGTCTTACAACTACCCTGAAGTATACATCGACAACAGACTTTTTATCCAACGCATTGATAAACGCTTCTTCAGCTTTTCTCTCCATCTTTATTCTTGCTTCAAATTCCAATATGGTAATTTTTGCACCTAGAGAAATTAAAAATGGGTACTGACAAAAGAAAAAATCTGGAGCACTCATGTATTGACCGGAAGTATCGTTAATGTAGCTGAGTACTGTTTGGATGTCTGGCGACGTGCATTCATTTGGTTTCATTATTTGTAACTTTCTGTTCACTTGCCAAGAGTCAAAATCTATCTTTAAATTCACATAATCTACTAATGAATTATAGAAGACATTACAAGGAAATCGATGCTCTCGAACAAAATTGGCCTTTACAAACATATTTAGAACCAATGAAGAACATTTTAAATGCCAATCATTCCCGTACTGAATAAGTTTGATTTTCACAACTTGTTCTTTCTTAGAAGGTCCAGATCCCAATACATTTGTTATGTGGTTACTATTCGCACCTTGAGAGCTTGAAATCCGACTACTATCAGATGATGTGCCATCATTCTTCTCAATTTCAGTAGTACTAGTCGTAGTATAATTCCTTCTATTGCTAGATATACTTAGAGGTCTTTTCCTATTCAGTTGATACTTTTGTGCTAATGTGTAATATTCCTTTAATTGGATAGTGATATAAAGGTTTAGTAGATCAACTTTTTCCATGAAATCTTCCTTGGGTAACATTGCAAACCAACTACATATATAATTGTTGGAATTTGGAGTAGTTGCATGTGCCAATTTACCTAAAGTTCTAGAGAAAACTTCAATTAATAGAAGTCTTATTTCCAATACATCAACCATTTTGTTTTCTGATTTGCTAGTCATAGGAAGTATTGCTTGTCGAATAAATGGAATCTCTAAAAAGATGAGAAGAAATACTAAGCATCTTGGATCATCATCAGTCAATACTGTACTTCGTTTTAATAACTCAACGGCCGCTGAAAGCGCATTGAATAATGGCTTCTTCGTAGGGAGTCTCGAAAGTAAAATAAAAGTAGAACGTATGGCGCTTCGATCAATGTTTGACGTTGTATAATGAAGGGACTTGCTTTTCCATTTAAGTTTGAATGAATTATTCAAACATTCTTTGGATTTGAAAGATTTATACATATTGATCGATAAAGGTTCGAATACCTCACGTAATGAGTGGTCTTTCTTTCCCTGGGAGATCAAAGTTTCTGCCTTTAACATAACTCTATCGACGTCTTCACATATACTTTTATACGATAGTGGGAGTGGCACAGGGTCTCGCTTATCTGTATTCCTACCTGTAACATTTATAGTGTCACATGCTGAACATTTGAATCTATCAGATGCAACTGGATATGTGAGAATTAAGCCACAACATTGACAATTTGTGATTTCTGTATATTTGTGGTCATCTTCGGGTATACTACTTCGTGGTACACTTTCTGGTATCAATTTCCGATCTTTCCCCATTAACTTATACTGATCGTCACAATCCGATACGGTTTCCTTTTCCCTGGACTTCTTAAATATATCTAGAATCCATTTAGATCTGGTTTGTGAATTTATGGACATCAAGTAAAACACTCAATTATTGCTCCACTTTATCAGTTGCAGCCAGAAACTCGATCTCAGTATTGTCTTTCTCGCCTTATATTACAAAAGGTACGGCAAGATCCTAAATAGATAGAAAGTTGGATATCTTTAAGTTGGGATATATGAAGTATACAACTGATGAAGAAAAAATAATAATTGTCTAACTTTCCCAAGGGTTTGAAAGTTCCAGATCGATCCATTTTTTTTTTGTTCCAGATCAATCACCATAGCCACAAATGAGTACCAAGCTTATCAGGAAAAAGTCAGTTATATACAGGACGAATAAAATGGCTAGGCATACCTGCCAAAAATGATGTAGAAAATAGAATGGGTTTAAAGTACATTACATTCAGGATTTGGCCAAATAATAAATCTTGAATGATGTTAGATGCTATCTATTTGATATTCTGAAAAAGGAACCAGAAAAAAAAAATTAGTGAAGGCTTTCATTCTGAAAATGTATGGAAGCCTCAGATTTTAAGTGGAGAAAAAAGAAAATGATATTTATATGTGCAAAAAATACATCTACTTTAAGTGTAAATTGAAGCCATTGCATTGCCATCTAGGAGTAGCATCAGAGTAAATGTATCTCAGACATCAAGATGACGAAATTATCCATGTCCGTACAGAATTACAACCGAACAAGCAGATCAAACTTGTTTTGAAGGTGAATAATTTCTTGTTTCCTAATGAGGTTTGTGTGGTAACCTATCTGACATTTTTAACATTCTTCAGACTTATTGATGATAAATTGCATAGTTACCAGTATATACACCGATCAGACCTTATGGAAGAGTATGATGGTGACAGCTCAGTGCATGCTATGACAAGCTTTGAGTCCGGGGATGTAACGAAATTGGTGTTGTTTGTTGGAAACAGTATCAAGATTGTCACTTGGAGAAGGGATTCCGAACTGTTTCACATAGTAGAAACATTTATTATCAAGAATAATGAGTTCCCAAAGACAATCGAAACAAGTCCCATATTAATTGCCGGACCACAACCGGCTGGTGCTAAAGCAATCGCATTGCATAGTATTCTGGGGATGGTCACAACCATCAAGACTGAACAATCCAAAGTTTCAAAATTAAATGAACAATGGGTAAATCAGACTTCGTATTTGGGCTCAATAACAGTTTTGTTTATGACATTCTTGAATAGACCAAATGGAGAAGATCAGCCTGTTTTGGCTGTTGTGTATAAGGACTTCAATTTTGCATGTTCCCTTCGGTATTATGTGCCCGATGCTGTCAGTGGGAAATTTGTTGTCAGTAGACAATTTCAAGAATTTGAAGCTCCACCACAGGGTATAGTGGCACTCAAGCAAGGAGGATTATTGGTATTTTCAGATATATATGCCTTGTATTTCCCAGATCCGTTGGTTTCATATCTTTCACTTGACGACGATGTTACAGACCCTAGTCTTTCAGTGAACTCCAACGAAAATGTTCTCACGAAAGTCCTTGTAACAACGAGGGATAGTAGTATTGATATTGCTAGTCTCACTGCTTATACAGTCATTGATTCAAATAGGGTATTGGCAATTGCTACATCCGGGATGACATTTATGCTTCATTTTGATATTTCTCCCCTAGCCTCGGGGCGGAAGGTAACCGTGAGGTCATTTGGAGCCATTAAATTGAATTATACGACACCTGCTAAGCAAGTAGTTCACGTTGATCGTGGGATATTCTTTGCATCTTCTGACATGTCAAGGTCAGTTCTTTTCAGTATTTCATCAACCCATCCTTTCGTTCACATATCACAATATTTCGATACATCACCTCCAGTTCTTAATATAGAAGCCAGAAATAAGCAAATATTTGTATGCCAAGGAGGTTATGAAAGTGGAGAGTTTAGAAATATTTCAAGATCTAAAAACATCCCTAAAGTTTTGCATAAAGCGGATTTTCCCTCTGGGTGTTATTTGAAGACATTTGAGAACTCTCTTGCCATTTTGCTGATTGATCATCAATTACGGGGAATAATATCAATTGAGCAAAGTTCTTTTGTCCAACCAAAATTCAATGTTCTTGAGAATGGTACTACAAATATATCTGGTTATAACTTCGATACCAAAGGGGTGCATTATCAAGCCATAAGTGCAAATGGAACTAATGTAATATCCTCTAGTGGAGTATTTGAAAATGGTAAAAAAAAGTATGATGAAAAGGAGGAAATTATTGCAGGTGTTAAACTACCAGAAATTGAAGTTATAACTACTCAATCTTCAATGAAAATATATATAAAGGATACATTAGAAGATGAAATTTCTCTAACTGAGCTTGACTCGTCTCAAATTGTATCTGTGAAATTTCATACTCATGATAATGATTTTTTTGTATTGCTTACTTATGATAGTGGGCTTTACAAACTTTACCATAAGAAGTTACATTTTGGATTGGTGTCTATGGGGTTTTTGCCCGTTGAAGGTGTAGTTTTTTCAACTGCACTTCAATATCAACGAGAGGCATGTCTTCTATGGATGTTTTTCACTATGCAAGATGGTAAACTTTTACAATTGTGCTTCGATTTGGAAAAGTCAATAATTGAGTCGACGAAAACAGTCGAGGAGCAAATTTCGGAAACTCCACTTCATGTTTTTGCTGCTCAGGATGGTTCCAGTCTGCCGGTATTTATGTATAACGATGAATCCATCTGGGCGCTCACATATGACTTGTTTATTGATTTCTATCAAATTACATTAAACCCAATAAAGAGGAATAATATTTCTCAGATTTCAATTTTAGAGTCTTGTTTGGCAATTCTATACAGCACAGGGAGGATAGAAATTCTTTCCCTTAGTGATGTACATGCTACTTCAAAACTTCGTAATAAGGAACCCAATGCTATGGTGATGGATCAATTAATTTTGAAGTCCTTAAAGTTGACACGGTCGAAGTACACTTTATTATTATGTTCAAAGTACAAATATAATAAGTCAACAGCAATAATTGAGAAGAAGTCAGCTCTAAAATTGATGAACCAAGATGACATGTCAGAGATTACCACATTTCCACTTCCATTCAATGACCCAATCGATGTATGTGAAATTTTATCGTTAGACGATTCAATCAATGTTGTTGTTCTTGACTCGGATGAATTGAACGACCAGCCACTTCTGGTATTCACAATCGATGGTGTAAATATACGTCCCAGGCAGTCGAACTTTAATTTTGATACAATCTCTAACCAAAAGTTGCAAACTATTACTCATGTCACACACTTCAACAAACCAGATAGTTCATTATTTCTCCTTTCGGGTACGTCAAACGTCTTAGTTGAGGTAACCGAAAACTTTAATATATTCTCGTGGGAGACTGTGTCAAACGTGGTGAAACAAAAGACCTTCTCTGCTGAAGTGGCCATTAGTGGCGATACATTGGCTATATCTGATGTAGTAGCTGGTGCTAGCTTGTATGAAATTAAAGAACACTCGTCAAAATGGAAATATAAACTTCAACCTATGGCTTCTGGGGTAGTTGAAGGGGAGCCATTTTCAATGGGGTTGGCTATAACAAATGTGAAGTTAGAGAAGGGGTATTTAGATACACTTTGGGTTGGACTTCCGGATAATGGGATGCAATGTATTAGTCTCTCGGGTGATGAAACTCCTAATTTTGAAGGTTTAGATGGAAGAACCAATGTAATAAAGGCTTTTAATTTTAAATATGATTTTGAAGATCATGGGAAAAATGAAGTCCAACCGTTAGTAGTTGCCGGAACGGCCAATGGATCAGTTTACTTAACGACTGCGTTGAGGGGTAAGAGTAGAGAGGTTTTTCAGGTATTTGCAAGGGAGTATGCCCAAATGTCTGAGTGTTTGACAGAAGAGATCCCAACTGGTAATGCAATTCGAGAATTTGTGGAATTAGCACACATCAACCCTGAAGAACAAGTAGAAGTATTTACAAACACTTTTCAAATTATGAGATCAATGCAGCGACTTGTATTTGATATGGAGAATATATCATGTGATACTAGATAGTATATATTTTTATAACAAGACATGCAGATACTGACACTTTTCCAACGATCATGTATATAGACGTAATATTTGCAGCAAACCAAAAAAATACAGACTAAAAAAAAAAATACAAGAATAATAATTCAAACTCAAATTCTGGTTTGTACACACTCGCACACATCATATTTTTTTATAATGTTTACAACTACAACCTGATACAGATAGAGAAATCATTTCAGCATAAATCAAACCTTTACAACCAAAAATGCCGTCTATGGATGATGTTTCCGATAGCGAAAGCTTCAATGATATTGAAATGCTTGAAATTCCGGAGGATTTTTCCGAAACAGATTCGATCTCTGATGTAACCTCCGATGACACCCATAGTAGTGGGAAGACAAATACTGTTCGTCCAGTACAGCCAGTTCCATCGTACATCAAATTACAAGATTGGTTAAATTCAAACGAAAAGTTTGCATTCAAATTCGATGCCCAACTGTATAAACAGAGTCTCAAGCAAAAGGTTGATCCAGAATACTTGGACTTTTCCAACTCTTTGTACAAAGTGTTCATTCAATTTTCCGACAATGACCTTCTTGGACCAGCAGTTGACATGCAAGAGCCAATCGGTGTTATCAGTGATAGCTTCAACCCATCTATAAAAGAAACCGAAAGATTACGTGCCAGGGCCTTGAGTGATTCCTTATCCAGCGTCATTGAGATTGTATCGGCATACGTCAAAACTATAGATAATGTTAAAGATGACGAAATTGTATATGAATACCAACAACTTTTAAGTGTTTTGGATTGTCTTCGTGCTAACTATTTTTATGACGACGCTAACTCCAGACCTGAATTGTTAGCTGAATGGATAAACAAAATTGACCCTAAACCAGAAACTGAATTAGTTGAATCTGTAATGTCCCATACTCCAAAACCATATTTACATCCTCAATTTTGGAATACATACTTGGCCCAACTTCTTACTAGAGGGCTTCTTTCTCAGGCTGTCCATGCTATTGAGAAATCACACTTTGAAGAACTTTCAAACGGCGATGATGATACAAATGAATTATACCTGATTATAAAAGACTTTTCCTCCATATTGGCCAATTATTCTAACATGTCCTTAAAGCACCAATTTGACGATTGGAAATTGGTATGTTGTGAACTTAGAGATGGTCTTTCTAATAGGAAGATACAAATTTCTAATCCTGAACATGTTAGAATTGTGAGTCAAATTTATGATCTATTATGTATTATTACCGGATTTCCTAAAACTATTGCAGAATATTGTGACACATGGTACGAGATGTACACTGCATTGTCCTTGTATCAAGTTCGTTACGAGGACTCATTATATAAGGAATATTACCAACTTGCGTCTTCCGAGAGACCCTGTAATGTTCTTGGTGAGTCCAATGCTGTATGGGAACAAATATGTTGGAACATTATGGAAGAAAACTTTTTAAAGGCACTAACAATCATCGATGCTATAGATTCACCAGTTGCTGCATATATTTCAAGATTACTTGAAATCAAAGGGCTCTTAAAAACTTATTATAGCTCTAGAACTGCATCTGTGTCAAACTCATTAGAGGAAAGAACCATTTCACAATATTTACTCACAAAGTATTCGTATCAATGTCTCTTAAATCATGACCTTGTACCAATTGGAATTGGTATCTTGCTTAACAAAAACGTTTTCATTTCAAGTCAATCTAGATCAGATAATAGAAAATGTATTGCAGAATTTCTTCCACATTTTGTTTGCAATACAAATGATGATTTAGAATGGGCATTAACTATTTGCGCACAATTAAATTTGAAATCAACTGCACAAACATTATATTTAAATCAAGGACGCAAATCGTTGCTGGAAGGATATCTTTTTGAGGCAATGAATATGTTTGTTAATTGTTACAATCCAGAAGACACTAAGAATTCAAATAACGAAGGAATGAAGGAACTTCATCGTATTGCATGGGACATTATATTTCAAGATGCTTTAATTAATTCAAGACCTATTAGTGATGAATTGATTAACAATATTGTTACTCGTAATGTTGGTGAAGATTTTGAAGTTCATCCAGTTATTAGACAATGTATTTCTCCTTATGCGGTATTAGTTGAGTTTTTCAATTCATTAAAGGGACAAAACTTTCAATCTGGGATGGAAAAGATCTCGAAATTGATTCATTTACTTCGATTCAATTTCTTACCAGCTCGATTTTCCCCTCTTCTTTTATGTCAAATTTTACCCTTCCTTATGAATAGTGGCCAATATCAATTCCAATTACCAGATTTAATTATTATTGTTGAATTGATTGATAGCTATGAAACTCATTCTATAGAAGACAAGGAAGAAGGAAATGTCTTGTACAAGTGTGCAATTGAAAATATTGAAGAAGATGTTCAAGAATATGATTGGAGATTGGTATTAAAGAAAACATATAAACAAATCCCAAAGGAATTTGAAGAGATTATTAGAATTTTACGTAACGAAGTGGTTGCTAAGATAGGAAAGGTTTACGTTGATGAACCTTAAAATTTATAAAAATGTATAATAATAGTATATCAACTATAAAAGATAAGAAAAAAACTTATAAACAGAGAAATAGATAAATATCTAATTAAATTCCATGGAGTTTTCTTTTTTCTATAAACTATCGTAAAATAGTTTTATGTTCTCTCTCTTTTAAGGAATAATATAGCAAGCTGGGAAAAAAAGGAGTAGGATTTTGTTTTTGCAAGTAGTGTTATTAAAAAGAAGTGAAGTTAAACAAAAATTTTGAGTTTATAAATATTCCTTTTCCATTTTAGTTTAACAAACAACATCTTGCTCAGCTCTAGAGTTCAACAACAAAGCGACAATCAAACCGTACAAACCCAAAACTTCAGCGAAAATCAAAATCAAAATCATTCCGACGAACAATCTTGGTTGTTGGGCAGTACCTCTGACACCAGCATCACCGACAATACCGATGGCAAAACCAGCAGCCAAACCAGACAAACCTACAGATAAACCAGCACCCAATTGGATGAAACCGGTGAACAAGGCTTGTCCTTGCTTCAAGGTGTCAGAAACCAAGACAGAAACAACCAAACCATAAATGGCAATAATACCAGCCATAATGACTGGGACAATGTTCTTGACCAAAAGATCTGGTCTCAAGACGGAGGTGGCACAGATACCGACACCGGACTTAGCCGTACCGTAAGAAGCACCGAAACAGGTGAAGACGATAGCGGCAGTACAGCCAATGGCACCAAAAAATGGAGCATAAACAGGACTATTTTGTTAGTAATTGATAGATGTAAGAGATAGAAGCTCCCCTTGAATTGAATATTAACGTCGACATTTTTAATAGGGGCCAAAGTGTTCCGCACCGACAGCAAGCATTTCGAGGCTTGGTGTCAACAACCTTCGACATCAATTCAAAACTGAATGAATTGACCTCCAGTTGTTACCAAGTTCCATAGAATTGATATGGCCAAGTTAACAAGTAGACTTTAAATCGAATTTATAAAAATAGACTCAGCCTAATTTTATTCAATTTGTTTTCCAATCTAAATGGCGTCCGATAAGGACTTCGAAACGTTACCTACCTCAATTCCGTATAACTACCGGTGCCAACATCCTCGAAGGACTTGCTGAAGATATACTCCAATGATCGCGGTAATATCCTCGTTGATCATACCTAATTGGAAGTTTTAAATATTCGTCTACAATCTCGTGGTAACGTTGCCCGACAAAAAATGTCGACTTAATAATCAAACAACAAACTTAACATTCACATTAAACGGCCTCCTGCAACTGAACGATGTATACATACCATAAATCAGACATGGCTAACTAATATAACAAGGATGGATTGAGTTGAATTTAATTGCTTGTGTCAGCTAGTGTATGGAAAAGAACAAGTAAGGGATGCTCGTCCAAAGTGCAATATAACGATAATTGGTTCGCAAACGCGGGTCTCAGATTTACTCTAATCACCAGCTATTTACTTAGGATGTCGAGTATATCCTAGTATATGTTACATGTAGGAAAAATGTGTTTATTGCCACTAATTTGGAATGTCTACATGCAGGTGATTTACGTCCAATTTTCCTTTTTTTTTTTTTTTTTTTTTTTTACAAAGTTAGTATCGTTTTATAAATTTTCGCTCATCTCATCTATCATTCACATCTACCTTTCTTTTTTTTTTCCTTCTTTATACTTTCTGGTGAGCTACTGCAAGGAACCTACCTATTATTAATACTTAAGAATGTCTGCCCCAAACCCAAAAGCCTTCCCATTAGCTGACTCTGCTTTGTCCCAACAAATCTTGGATGTTGTTCAACAATCCCAAAACTTGAGACAATTGAAGAAGGGTGCTAACGAAGCCACCAAGACCTTGAACAGAGGTATCTCTGAATTCATCATCATGGCTGCTGACACTGAACCTATTGAAATCTTGTTGCACCTCCCATTGTTGTGTGAAGACAAGAACGTTCCATACGTTTTCGTTCCTTCCAAGGCTGCTTTAGGTAGAGCTTGTGGTGTTTCCAGACCAGTTATTGCTGCTTCTGTCACCTCTAACGATGCCTCTGCTATCAAGAACCAAATCTACGGTATCAAGGACAAGATCGAAACCTTGTTGATTTAAATAGCATACATTATCTCGTTGTAATATATTTCCTGTTAAGGACAAGCAAATTTTCGCCTGTAGTTAGTATGTAATTTGTAGGTACTGTAAGATAACATTAACTACAAGAAGATAAACTGGTATAATGTACGGAGACTATTCATTTTAATTTGGATGTATGTATATGTGAATTAATTGGATTGTATTTGTTTGGGGATCGAAATAATTTTTAAACTCATCTCAATTTTTTTTGTGAGAAAGATTTCAAACGTTTGTATACCCCCAAACTCTTCTACGTGGCTATGAAGGACTTGGACAGTGCCGAGAGCACTACTCGCTACTTGAGATCGAGTACTGAACCGCTCGCAGACATTGTGGATGTTGCACACTCACTCCTTGGTTCTGACAAGGTTTACCTTCCAAACTTACACATCTTTTTATTTGAATTGGTTTGTGATAGATTGAATGATTCTAACTCCAAAGCGTTCAAAAATTGGAAATATTCCCCTAAGGTATGGGAATTGCTACTTGAGACATGGAATATATTGTCTAATCAAAAATCCTTAAGAAATTCTCGTTATAAACAACTTAGATTGGTTGAAGTACTTTCAACCGTTCTTAGACACTCCAAAGATGAACAGCTTTTAGCAGTTGTATTTTCTACCATTAAGACTATAATGGGGTCTAGTTTCATTGAAGTAGACGAAGTGACCGGTATTGAGCTTTTGTCGTCTTATGTATCGTCTATCCTGGATTCCCATGATGCAATGATTAATTCTTGGACCAGTATCATTTGTGATATCTATCAAATTCCATTTAGTAGAATCAACCACAAATTTAATAAGAAACATACTACAAAGTTCTACAATGAATGTCTTGCTGGGTCTCTCAAAATTGCTACATCTTCAAATCCTGACATGAAGGCAACTCGTGATTCCTTGATCTCTATTGTAAGTGGAGTTATCAACAACAAAGAAGCTATTGGATATCTCAATCAAAATACAACTACATTCTTAAAAACTAAAGATTATACATTAAGTGAGGAAATGATCACTTTATTCTTTCAATTGGTGATACATTCCCATTCCAAAGATTTGAAAGTCTGTGAAGATGTTTTCACCACTATTTCAAAGAATTCAAAGTTACCTTGTATTTCAGAGAATTTGTTGGAAATTTTGACCAAAGTCAACAAGATTATGTCAAGTGAATTCTTGAATGAAATATATGAAAAGGAATTTACAACTGCAAAAAAAGTTAATTGGGGGTTAGTTGGTCATTTAATTGACCTTGATGTTGATTTAGCCATGGAAAAGAGTAATGATATATTTAGTAAAGTTTCTCACACAAAGGGTTCTTTACCTTACACAATTGGTGACAAAATTGTACGAGCTCATATCAAGGCAAGAGAGTTTTCAAAGTTCCTTCAAGTGGGTTGGCCACTTGCTATCAAACAAAGTAAAATTTGGGCACTGGAAGAATTTATGGCTACCGTTTCCAAACATACCAATGAGCTTTCTTCAAGTCAAATTCCTTCCGTTATACAATCCTTAAGGGAATCCGGTAACTCACAAGATAATTCACCAATTATCACTGCATTAGTCAAGGGGCTTATTAATTGTCCAATTGCAAAGATTGATGCTGTCAAATCCGCCTTACAAGCAGAAACTACCAAGTTTGATATCGTTGATTTTAATAGTTCCTATTTCTGGGCTTGTAAATATTATACTGAATGTATTTATGGTGATGAAGATGGTGTCACACAAGTTAATATCGATACCTCAAAGGAAACCCCTTCAAAATACTACTATTTCAGTATATTCCGTTTCTTGGAATTAGGAAAGATTGAAAAGCATGAGAATTATACTAAAGATTTTTTCAAGTATATCCAAGCTAAAAATACTACTTCGGAAACTCTTCTCTCTATTTTAAAGAGATGGCTTGTGTTATTCAACTCTATTTTCAATAAGGGCCAGCTCAATCAATTAATCTCCATCTCATTCTCCAAGCTTGATGAAAAGGATTTACTTGGATTCATGGAAACATATGGTAATGTCCTTTTTGAACAATCTAACTTTGTTGAAGTATTGGTTTCACATGTGACACAAGAACTCCAAAACGACAATTCTACCGTTGCAAACCTTGGATACCTTACCAGGATTCCAATTCAATGTTATTCTAGAAGTCAAAAAATAGAGCTTTTAGAATTGACATTTAAAATTGCAACAAACGGTGACGACACTAATAGTATACTTTCAAGAAAGTGTTTGAAACATTTGCTTGCACAACCATCTTATAAGTCAACTATTGAAGTGAAGTTTGGCTCCTTGCTCGATTTGATCAAAACCTCTGGTTCTGAAGAAGCAACATCCATCTCCTTAAGCATTTGTAGATTGGTTTGGACATTCCATCTCAATGCTCATGCAGAAACCACCAATGAAGAATATATCTCCAGTACTTTTAAATCTCTCACGAAGTTCTTTAACAAAATTAATGTGAAACAACTGAAAAAATCGTTACCTGTTGAGTTTGAAGCGGGTTTGGCAATCATTTCCACAACAAGTTTCAACAAACTTTTCAGACAAGAGATTGAATCTCTTTCTATTGCCCTCACCAAGGCAGTTATTTTCCTTTTAAATAACTACTCAAAGCACGCGGTAACTCATTTGAGCGACATCAACTGGTTGTTAACTGCTCTTTACTCTATACCTAAGGATCTTTTAACTGTAGATATCAATACTGACATCAAGGAAATTGGACGTATTACCGCAGATATGGAGAGTACCGCTGAGGTTATTCAATTGAGAACCAATATTTTCAAGTTGAAGTGTCACATTCTGCAACCGACATTTAATAACTCAGTTTACTTGCAAGCATTATATTACTCGTTGGTTACGAGGTACAATATTGATAGTAGCGACTTATCTAGTGCTAATGAAACATTCTTGGCAAGTCTTGAAGAGTCAATTTATCAAGAATCGCATATGTTCTTATTATATTCTATTGAACATGAAATCACCGTGGAAAACTTATCAGTTTTCTTTCCACTCTTGCTTTGTTTCTTGAACACTTTGAAGAAAGATTGTCAAGTTGAGCATTCAAGAATTCTTGGATATTCATTGGCTTCCCTTTCCAATAACTTCGATTTGATTTCGAAATCGAACGATCGTGCTTTAATTATACAAATTCTTCAATCACTTCGTAAATGTTTGAATGAAACGAACTGGGCATTTAACCAACACTCGTTAGAAACTACCATGACTCTCATTACGAAATTCGCTACTTCATTCGTTGCTGAAGCTGACGATGTTGAGATATATGTACTCCTTACCCAGGTAGTTTCTCACGTTTTACTTTTCCATAGATTCAGATTAACTTCTCGTCATCATATCGTAATGGCGATTTGTATTACATTACTTGAGCCATTAACTGCAAAGAAGACGTCCAAGAAGGGAACCAAGTTAAGCAATTCTCAAGAATCTGCTGCTGCATTTTCTCGTCTTATGGGTAACTTGTGTGAGCCACCTAACACAACAGCCAAGGCATCCTCTAAAACTGCGTTAAGTTCTTCATCAGCCTTGCTCAAGAAATCGTTGAGAAAGCACTTACCGGTGCTCTTGGTAAGTTTCATTTACTTATCCTTGAAGTTCAATTTTAAGAGTGAAATAATGGAAACCTTACAAAGTGGTATCTTTAAGGTTTTCGACGTTTTATCATCGGTGGAATTACAGCTTGTAAGCTCTACATTAGATATCCCAGGTCGTACTTATTATAAGTCATTATATACTAACTACAAGGACAACGGGAAATGGACAGATGTATAGTTATCACAATTTAATATTATAGACATATTTTATTCTTTACGAACTTATGTACCTATTTTCATCATTATGGAGTAATTTTCCTATAGTTTTACGACCTTCAATATTTGCATATACAATAAGATCCCAAACAGAGTCATTGAATGCTTCATCCCGTAGTTCTTGTCTATTGTCGTGTGTTAATCCATGAACTGTGTGCTCATATCGCAATATATCCTTTCTTGATACCAAGCCACAAAGTTGTCCTTTATTCTCTATTAAAACATACCTTGGTCCCAATTTTGCAAATATATCCAATAAATATTCCATGGTGGTTTCTTTATTGATCACAACAGGTGCATAATTTACAATCAGTGCAAATTGGCCACTAGTATTGCTGAAATCACATTTAGAACTCCCTTGTGGAAAGTTCAATAGTACGTGCTCCAAATCTGATCGAGAAACATACCCAATGATTTGAGGGTTATCAAATGAATCAATAATGGGGAAGCCTCTGTACTTGGTTTTAGAAAGAATCACTTGAAGTTGAGATACATCAATCAGCAGATCGTTTTTCCCATATGGTAAGGCAACTGTCACCGTTGACATGGCTTCCACAACAGTGGCATTGAAAGTATGTTCTTCTTTGGCATCGATAAGTGGTAAGCCATTGAATTTAATCATTTGGTCCGCAATTCCACCTTTTCCCCATTTATCATTAATACTTTTGGTAATGGCAACAACTATCATGGTTGGGATAATATACCGAAGAGCACCTGTCAACTCGAACATAATAACAACAACCGTGACGGTGAGATGAGTTATCCCACTTAAAGCTGCTGCTGCTCCCAAAAATGCATAGGTTCCAGGAATAATACATTTATCTCCATTTGCAGGACATGTTAAAAAGATTGATGAGTCTGGATATACTTGATGTAATTTTTCCATCAATAAACCAATTGCTCTCCCAAAAGTTGCACCTGCGGCCATTGAAGGAACAAAAATACCTGCTGGAACCTTACAACCATATGTGAAAATTGTTAAAACCATCCTAGAGATAGTTGCAAAGAGCAATGAAACAACTAATAAAGTCTTTTTCGAATCTGGGTCACAGATAGGATGGTCGAAACCAGACCCACATTCACGGAAAAGAAGTTCCATAGATTCAGTCATATCCAAACGTAAGAATTGATTAAAGTAACAAAACATGGCTGTCAATATAGCCAAAGTTACAACTTCTCGAATTGCATAGTTACCCAAATACTTCTTACGGAATGAAACTACCCGAATATTAAACTTGGATACAATTATACCGTAAATTCCGCCAAATGCACCCAAAAGAATATAGAGTGGGATTTCAAAATAATGCCAATTTTTATCGTACGAGACTTCGAACATTACTAATTGACCAGTTCCAAATGGGTTAATCGATGCTAAAGTTGCCACAGCGATCAAAGAACAGAAATAGGATTTCCAAATTGTAGATAATTGAAACACTGAAGAAATTTCCTCCATGGAAAAAAGAACTCCACCCATCGGGGATCCAAATGCCACTGCCACTCCAGCGGCTGATGTGGCTGTTAAAAACTCCCTAGCCTTCGATGCACTTTTCCTATACTTGGCAAAAAGCTTAGAAATACAATTCCCCACACAAACAGCATAATGTACACTTGGACCCTCCTTACCAACACTTAGACCTGAAGCAATTGCTAGAGGTAATCCCAAACTTTTGATCAAAAGAGTCCACCATCCAAGAAATCCCTTCATCACAAAACCTGAAACTATACATTTAATTTCAGATATTCCTGACCCAGCGGCTGCTGGAGCATATCTTTTCACTATTGAGGCTCCTGTGAAAGACAAGACAAAGGAAAAGAGAACATAAACCATATAGTTTACAATTCCATAGCTAGACCAATTCACCCACTTTTCACATTTCCCTTCTCCTTCTTCTATACAACATAAACTTTTGTTCAAATATATTGCTCCTGAACAATGACCCAATCTTATATTAGCCATCCAAGCAGTCATCACATTCAAACATGCGGCAATTATTCCAATTGTGACCCCCATGAGAGCAAGCACAAACCAATTGAGAGTGGAAGACACCACCCTCTCTCGGAGAGAAGTCCTACCCTGTTGTATACTACTATATTTTGATAATCTATTCTTTTGTTCTTTCAATTCATCTTGCATCCAATCAACAGTAGTGAACTGTTCAAACCTTAGCACTTCTTTGACATCCTGTTGGTTGATCCAGGACCCCGTTTTCCTGTTTCGCACCTCTGTCTGCCTCTGTATGGGATCCCTTATATCCTCACTCATAACGTGGGCAATTTGTCTGATGAATGTGTATTGTGTATCACCGAGAAGTATGTACAGATTCAAAATGTAAAATAAAGGTGTCCTTTGTTTTCCTGCAGGTATTTTTTTTCTTTGGACATAGTGATAAGCACAAGATATTGACTTAGAGGTATGAAACTACATATAACAAAATCTAGAGACATAAGATCATTGGTAGTTGTACAATATTTTGGCAATGATTATTCTCTTTCATATTATATATTATTAAATAGTTTTGGTAGAAGCATAAAAAACTTCTAGTTAGTTTATTAGTTCGGTTGCAAAATAGCAAATTTGGTGGTGTTGTTTTTAAAAAACAAACATTATTAATAAATTAGGTTTCATTCTAAGGCAAACTTTAAAAGATTATCTTTCAAAGTATTAGCAACATCGGTCAATTCAAGCTCTGGATTGTCTATAAAACTTAATACAAAATTCAATCCTCCAGCTTTTGTAGAAACAATATTAAGCATAAAGTCTGCGGCAATGACTGCCAAATCTTGAGAAAATACAACATCAGTTATATTCCAATTACCTGAAGATGCTTGAACAAATCCTAAATTTGAAATCTTGATAGCGTCTGGTCTTGTTTTCCCTGCTTGTGAAGTGAAGATTTCTTTGTTATCGTCAATGGGACTGGCAATGTCATTAAATGCCTTAGATACATTCAATACCTTTTTATTGGCAACACTTTGTAAAATGTTGCTATTAACAGACCTTACTAAATCCCATGAAAATTCCTTAATTGGAGGGAAATTTTCTGATAATCCCATATGTGCCATAGTTCCAAGAACCTTATGGTTTGGATAATTTTCTAAATGTTTACCTAAATCACCTTCAACGGATAAATGACGACGTAAATTCATGGCAACTTTGTGTGATGTGTAACATGAATCTCCAAATACTGGTTGAAGGGTAAGGGCTTCGACAACTTCAATAAATGCCGTTAGAGTGACCCCTTCTTTTTTACATTTTTGTAATATTTGGTTTATTTTAATTGGTGAAATATTAACCAATTTAAACGCTGAACTAAATTCTCTACAACTTGGGAATCTTCCCTTCCATTTTTCATATCCAGGAGGGGTTATCTTGGAGTAATGATTTGGATCATTATTGGAATAATCTACATTATAATGTTCCAAAAAGTAATCAACTGGTGGTGGGAGTGAATATTTTATCTTATCTTGATCTTGATTCAAATTGAAAATTGGAGAATTAATTCCAACCCAGCCATATTCTTGTTCAAATTCAATTGGATTTCTTTGAATGAAATCAAAGTTTTCAATTAAGATTTCATGGAAGTGAACTCCTGCAATTCCATCAGCAATTGAATGTTCAAAAATTGCACAAATTTTAAAATTTCCAAGTAAAATTACTTTGAAGAGTGGCTTATTGGTATATAATTGAAATTGTATATCTGAAACTTTTTTTAAAAATTCTTCAGATATTTCATCATTGATTTGACTTTCAACAATATCATTGAGGTATATTTCCTCGATTGGTTCATAAGAGCAATATTCAGTTCCCTTCTGGATATTACAAGCCAATATATGATAATCAATTAATGTCTTTCTCAATGCTTTTCCTAATAATTCTAAAGAAATCTTTTCAGAATAAGTGGCGGTTAATTGGAAATTTGTATAGTAACCAACTGCAGTTCTACTACGGAAGAAGTTTTCAACAACACTCAATGGTCTAGAAATAATCGTCATATTCAACCTGACTACTTCATGAAAAGAATTTTACCAGATCTCTCTAATCTAATACATTTATAAAGTTTATGACTATCTCTAATTAAGCAGTATGTATGATTCATATCGGCTTTACTTACATAATCTGTCCAAATTGGAGAATGTTTTTTTATTTTTTTTTTTAGTAAAAAGTGGCATTAAAGTGTAGAAAAAGACAATTGAAAGAAAGAATATTTTCTACTATAGTCAGTTTATCTGAAAATTTAACATTCGATAACTCAACTAGTATGAAATAAAAATGAATGTTAGCCCTTTTACAGTGGTTTAGTGTATGAAAAAATGAAAAAAAAAATTAAAAGACAAAAAAAGGAAGAGATAAAAAAGATAAACTACAGGAAAAAATAGGGGGAAAGCAACGTCTCTATTGTGTCTGCCTAGTAGCAAAATATTTCTATCCTCTATATCTAATTTAAGAATTGTACAAGTATGCATACCTATATACGAAATCTCATTCAATAGATTATCGCTCTGTGGTTTCATTTCTTACAAGAACCACCTCGAAATATCTAGTGCTATATTTTCCCTTGTAAATTGATAAGCCCTGCAGGCGGATTTATCTGTAGAACATTGTTTGTGCGAATATCTCCACACCATATGAATGACGGCCTAATATAATGCTATCAGGATTATTTTCATCATTTAAAATTGTGGCCAAACATGCCCATATATAGTGAGTTTCCCACTGCTTTTCTGTAACATCAGACATATATACTAACCATAATAGTTCCTCTTTCTGTCAAAATTGCCGTCACAGCCGGAGCTCTTATTGGCGGCGCTGTTGCCCTTGGAACAAACAAGGAACGTCTTTTAGATGCTGCAGAACAAATCTTCCAAGCTGGGGCTACCTTTTGTAAACACCAGAAGGAAAAAGTGAAACAAGCCAACATGGCTTTTGCCGATAGTCATAGTGACGGGTCATTTGAATACCGTGAGTCTGGGACAATGTCTGAGTTTTCCAGTGGACAAAGTACCCCTGACATCTCTGATGATGAAGAAGATGAAGAAGTTGACCCTGAAGATTTTAGAAAAGATCTTTACATTGATGAGCTTGAATACGATTTGGATTGAAAAAAAAAAAGGGATGGGAAAATTTGGTAACGGACTGGATTTCATTACATTTGGGTTTATAAGAATATCTAAAAATTTTAGTTTAATTAAATATGGTGGATTAGAACTATTGATCTGTAAGATAACTCAACTGATAACAGCAAGAACTATAACAAGAACAAAGACACATAATGCTACGAGTATTATACAGCTCCACTTCCCCTTCTTTCTTTGGTACTCATTTGCCTTCACCAACTCACTCTCAGCCTGCTGGGAGTTTCCATGTAATTGTAAAATATTGTCCTCTATTGTGTCCAATTGCTCTCCTTGTTGGTTTACCAACTCTCCCAAGTCCTTGAATATAGAATTTATCTCCAAAATCCCTTCATTTATCTGACCAATCTCTTGATTACGCTCTTCTGTTAACATAAGATGATATTGTAATTCCGTCTCATTAATCTCCTCTTCTTGTATCTGTTGTTGTTGTTGCTGTTGTAGTGTTTGTGACTGGTCCAGTATTAATGGTGTTGTCTCCGATGGAATATTAGCAGTGGTGGCAATTGGGTGTTCCTTTATAGGGTATGAACGTTTCTTTTCTTTATAGCTTCTTGTCATCACCTGGAATTGCTTATGCAAGTCACTGAGCTCAGACTCTAGACGCTCCTTGACCACCACTTGTCGATTGGTTATTATCAATTTAGAGGCTTCATCTTTTGTGGTGGTATTGACCCCATGCCTTTGACTACGATTAATCACAAAAGAAATATTTTCAATTAAAACATGAATTGCAGATTCCATTTGAGATACTCTAACAATGATTTGATCAAGATTATCTCTTAATTGAGTATTATCTCTTCTTGTTCCGATTTGTTTACGTTGTAAATCAAATTGTGATATTAAACTGCCAAACAGTTCAAGTTGCTTAGATGTGTTATTGATAATCTTATCCAATTCGTTCAGCGAACTCATTTCATCTTCGGGAACTACCCCCAGATCTTTCTTCAACGGCTTTTGTGCTTCATAATCAAAATTAGCGAATGACATTTTAATGGCTAAATATCCTCTGTTATCTATCACAAGATAGTAGATATAGTTACAACTTCAATATACGGGAAAATGGTCTAAAGGGCGCATTCGCACGACTTTTTTTTTAAGAAAGGCTGGCCCGAAAACTGAAAATTGAAAGGATAACAACACCAATTACCAAGAAACACTTACTATAATCTAAAAGATATGTTGGATTACTACATGAATCAAAATTTGGTATTATAGATGATGAAAGAAAAAAAAATGCTATTGCGTAAAACAGCCAAAAAAAGAATAGTGACTCCTAGGCGGTTCGAACGCCTGCATCTTTACGATAGTAGAACTTGAGTCTACCGCCTTAACCACTCGGCCAAAGAGCCCTTTTCTGAAAGTATTAATCTCTTTAGTTTTACTGGAGATGTAATGTGTTTTCCTAATCGGGACGCGAATTTACCCGTTTAATCTGCTCCTTTTATGCATTTATGGTAGATAGAAAGTCGTAATACGTTCCAGTATATCTAGGAGACATTTAACATCTAGCATTTAGCTCTTTTCCTGTACAAAAAAAGTTGACTTATTTTTGAAGATGAATTTCCCTAAATGTAATATAGATGACGTGAGGCCATTCATTGCTTCAATATTTCCCTTCTATTGCCCAGTCATGGTTGCTCTTGTCTTATCTGGTGACGCATGCATTCTTCATCTGAAATGTAAAGTATGGAGAGAGATAATAAGCATTTTTTTACACATTTTTCGTTTTACTATATTTTCTATAATTTTTCAGGATGAAGAAAAAAAAATTATGGTTGCAAAATTTATAGTGAGTTTAATTTCATCATAGTATGATTGTTATTTCTGAAATTGATTTCCGGAGACTAAATACCTCGTCCTATATTGTAATAATATCTCTATTTCCACCTGAAAATCTGATTTTAAAAATCTTCGTTAATGAAATTATAAGCAAGTGAACTAATATATCTCTATTCTTTCCTGAATACGTGAATCAGAAAGAATTCAAAAAAAAAAAACGCAAATGTATAGCAATGCACTGTTCTACTTCCCCATTTTCTTTCAAGCTTCCTAATTCAGACTATATCATCTACAGATCCCAAATGGAAAATTCATATGTATACCTATTTAAGATTTGAAACTATAAATAAAGAGTTGGTTCATATTAATCTTGTGAAGTCAATCCTAAGTTTTCTATCATATTAACCAATACAAGTATGAAATTAACCAAGGTACCTTTATTTTTACTTTTGATTCTTCTCAATGATGTGCAATCTGCACCTTCTAATTCTACCGATAGTCTTACAAATGGTGAATCAGTTCAAATTTCAAGATTGGTATCTGATTTGAGAGTTTATAATACTGAAGCAGGAACTACTGAAATCGAGAAAAGAAACGTTGCCATTGTATCCATTGATGACCTTACCACTAGATCCAACATTCCTATTTTGGATGAAATATTGGCCGCTTTGAAAGAAACTGGATTGGCTAACGTTGTAATTGAAGCTGTTTTATTAAGCCCTACCCTCAGAGGTATTTCGATTAATGCTACAATCAAATTACTCAAGGGTAACTTCAACTTGACCGGTTTACTTGTTTCACTTCAAAAATCAGGTTTAATTTTACTGTTTTTGAATTTAGCTTTGGATGACCCTGAGATTTTACCAGGAATGTTGAGAATTGGTAAAGAGCTTTTTAAAGTACACAGCGGTACTGTTGCAAAGAGATATGACATGGATTTGGTTGAACAGTCTAGCGAGTATACATTGAGTAAACGGGAAAATGATTTGATTACTGAATTGTTGACTGCTTTGAATGATTCTGGTTTAGCTATGGCTGTTGTTCAAAATTTATTGACAAACCCAGAATTATCCGAACCTGCTGCTATCTTTTTGTCTGCTATCCTTAAATCTGGTGCAATTACAATTCGTGAAGTTCTTGTATCTGTGAAGGAATCACATTTGATTTTTGGTTTATTGAGACAAATTTTGGCTGATAAGGCATTACTTGAAAAGTTTGGTCACTTGATTTCAGACAGAATTGCGAGAGGAGTATTCACGCAACAGTACTATGACAGTTGTTAAATAAAACAACATGAGATCAATTAATTTCCACCTTGATTCTCTGTCTCCATTTTATTTTTAATCTCCCTAATAATTTGTGTTTGGTTTCTATCTCCATCTGTATAGCCTATGTTTTAATAATATAAAAAATGTTTTGATAAATTGGTTGCAAAGTGTCAAATTTATACAATCCTAATTTGTAAATAGTACCTATTTATAATGTGCAGAACAACGCGCATTCGTACAGGATAGTTTAATTTTTTTTGGTGCGCGAGTCTGAGAGACGCGTACCACTGACATATAATTGATCAGTGGTTTTATTTTAGTCTTTATTTATATTTGATAAACTTTCCACATTGTACCCCGCCATGTCGAGAGTGAGCAAGTCAGACAAGCTCCGTGCACTCAGAGAGGCCAGAGCGGCCAAATCCAGTGTGCTCAATGTTTCAGACGACGAAGAAATAGAAGGTGGAATTTATGATGAAGTTGATGAAGATACTTATAGAGAACACAAGAGACATCAATTAATGAATGATGATTTTATCGTGGATGATGATGGTGAAGGATATGTTGACAATGGTGTAGACGAATGGGACGATAGCACGAGACCCAAGTACTACTCTGATGAAGACGACGAAGGTACATCCTCCAGAAAGAGGAAGAAGTCCAAACCCATTGGTAAAGTGAAGAAGACTTCCCAAATTAATAATTTTTTCAAACCAGCTGGGTTTAGCATTGAGACAGGTAATGAACACAAGGTGAAGAAAGTAAACGCCAATGTGGACGATATCTTGGAAGACTTCCTCGATGCTGCACCTGTAGCCAAAAAGCAAAGACATAGTAACCTCTTTGGAGCTTCTAAAGCGGAAAAGGGAGAAAAGAAAAGTAATAAAACTGCAGCATTCAATTTCTCAACATCTGTGAAAAGAGAGAAGAAGCCATTGATTATAGACGAGGATCTTAGTACCGAGACGATGGAACTTGATGACACTGACAGTAATCAACCATCTTCACCAATCAAGAAGGAATCATCTATCAAGCTAGATGAATCCAACAATGGAGACTCTTCCCCTACCAAGGAGGAACTTAAGACAGAGAATGAGGAAGATTTGGAAGACCAAGATGATTCCGATGATTCAGAGGATGAAGTCATTGTCACTCGTAGACTGAGAGCTTCAGCCCATAATATACACAAATCTACAAATTTTTCGTCAGTGAAATCGACCGATGTTCCATCTTCATCTCCATCCAGACTAACTGCACACACCGCAGTGAGCTATACCGAGAAATTAGATGAATCGAAAATTGTTGACACTACATCTGAAAATGACTCAGTGAAGATGTTTTGGTTGGACTATTGTGAAGTTGATAATTCTTTACTTCTCTTTGGTAAGGTTCAAACACGTGAAGGAGGGTTAGTTTCAGGTGTTGTACAAGTCAATGGTATATGTCGTGAATTATATTTCTTACCTAGGGAATTTAGGCAAGAGGATGGCGAAGATACCACTGACGAAGTTTCACCAATGGATATACATGAAGAAGTGGTACCTCTTTTGATGAACAAATACCAACTTAAGAATATTCGAACTAAACCGGAAGTTAAGAAATATGCATTTGAACTTTCTGGGGTACCCAAAGAAGCTGAATATTTAAAGGTATTACTTCCCTTCCAAACACCGAAGAATAGAGACTTTTTACTTCCAAGCTCATTAGAAGGACAAACTTTCCTGCGTGTTTTTGGAACTAGTGCTAACTTATTTGAATCATTTGTATTACAGCGTAATATCATGGGACCATGTTGGTTAGAACTTGGGAACTGTGATTTCAACGCAATTACCAACACTTCGCATTGTCAAGTTGAGTTGGCCGTATCATCTCCATCATTCGTCAAACCGGTGGTAGATACCAAGATTCCTCCTCCAGATTTAACCGTTACTTCCATCGCAGTGCAAACAGTGATGAATCCTAAAAATAATAAACAAGAATGTGTCTCTGTTTCCCTTGCAACTTATAGAGATTTACCTCAGGATGCTCCAATTGATGATAAATTGAAACCTGATGACACCATAACGTTGGTTCGTCCCATTGGTGGGGTAAGTGTTCCACCCGGATTAGCCCAATTAGCACAGAAGCAAGGGTTAGCATTGAAAGTAATGCCTAATGAAAAGACCATGTTGAACTGTTTAGCTGCCCTCATTAAAAACCTTGATCCAGATGTATTTATTGGCCATAGACTTGAGAACATTTCTTTGGATGTCTTGGTTCACAGAATGTACGATTTGAAGGTGACAACGTGGTCTACATTTGGACGTCGTAATAGAAAGGCTTGGCCAGATAGATTTGGACGTAATAGCAATGGGTTCAATAACAACCTTCAAATAAGAGAAATCTTCCAAGGTCGTTTACTATGTGATATTGCCAATGAAATGGGACAATCCTTGACTCCTAAATGTCAATCTTGGGATTTGCCAGAAATGTGGGACATTGTTTGTCATAAGAAACAAATCCCTCTTGAAATCAATTTCCACAATTCAAGATATGCTGAAGATGCAAGTTTCCTCTTATTGGCCTTGAAAGAATCCGCAAATAATGTATTAATTACTGCAGAAATTGGATTTTCTATTCAAATCTTATCATTGTCAAAACAGTTGACGAACCTTGCTGGTAATGCGTGGTCTCACACCCTTAGTGGTACCAGAGCTGGTAGAAACGAATACATTTTACTTCATGAATTCACAAGACAGAACTATGTTGTTCCGGATAAAGAAAGTAAGTTCCCTAAAAATGCTAATAACCAACAACAAGCAAAATTGGAAACTAGTGATGAAGATGCTACAACGGCTACATCTAACAAGAAACCAAAGTTTCAAGGTGGTTTGGTGTTTGAACCGGAAAAGGGATTACACAAGAATTACGTGTTAGTCATGGATTTCAATTCTTTGTATCCTAGTATTATCCAAGAATTTAATATTTGTTTCACTACCGTGGAAAGAGATAATTTCAATAGAACTCTCGATGAAGATCGTGACATGCCATTATTACCAGATGTTGACTCATCTCAAGGTGTGTTACCCAGATTGTTGAACACTTTGGTTTCCCGTCGTAGAGAAGTAAAGAAATTATTGAAGGATCCTAAGAATACTCCAGCTGAGAGAGTTCAATATGATATCAAGCAACAGGCATTGAAGCTTACTGCCAACTCTATGTACGGTTGTCTTGGTTATGTTAACTCCAGATTTTACGCCAAACCGTTGGCTATGATGGTTACCAACAAAGGTAGAGAAATTTTGATGGATACAAGACAGTTAGCAGAATCTATTGGCTTGAGAGTAGTTTATGGTGATACCGATTCCGTTATGATTGATACTGGTGCCGATAACTTACAAGATGCAATCAAGATTGGTGAGGAATTTAAAGTTCAAGTGAATGAAAGGTATAAATTACTTGAGATTGATATTGATAATGTTTTCAAACGGTTATTGTTGCACGCCAAGAAGAAGTATGCCGCTTTGAATGCTATCATCGATAGAAAGACTGGGAAGGAAATTTCCATTTTGGAAGTAAAAGGTCTTGATATGAGAAGACGTGAATATTGTCAACTTTCAAAAGATATATCTACTTTTGTATTGGAAAAGATTTTATCTGATATAGATCCAGAACAAGCTTTGGGAGAAGTTTATGATTATTTAGAAGAAATGACCAAGAAAATCAAAGAGAATACTATCCCCGTGGATCGTTTTAAGATAAATACAAGATTATCTAAAGATCCAAAGAATTATCCAAATGGAAAGACAATGCCTCCAGTCAGAGTTGCGCTTCGTTTAAGAGAACAAGGTAAAGTTATTAAAGCTGGTAGTGTCATTACTTTTATTATTACTGCACCAGAAAATGAAGAAGAGGCTAAGAACAGTTCTCCTGCTGAACGTGCAAGAGCCATCCAAGAAGTTCTTGCTAAGAATTCTAATTTAAAGCCAGATCCTATGTTTTATTTGGAAAAGCAAATTCTTGCCCCAGTGGAAAGATTAGTTGAAAGAATTGAAGGGATTGATATGATGAGAATTGCCACATCACTTGGAATGGATGCAAAGAAATTTGCCATTAGGGCAAGAAATAATGAATCTCATACTGGAGAAATCACCCCACTTGAGTCAAATATTAGTGACACTGAAAGGTTTAGACAATGCAGTTACCTAGTATTGGAATGTAATTGTGGAATCAAGTTTAGATTTGGAGGAATTTTAGCATCGAACGATTACAAAATTACTTTCAACGGGATTAATTGTACCAAATGTAACTTTACATTCCCAATGTTCCGAATCACGTCACAGCTTGAGTATACTCTTAGAAACCATATTGCTGTTTATTACGCTGGTTGGTTAGTATGTGACGACTCTGCATGTGGAATCACCACCAGACAAATATCTGTTTATGGGAAAAGATGTATTGGGACCTCAGGAAGAGCATTTGGATGTAAAGGTATCATGAGATATAAATACAGTGACAGGGCACTTTACAATCAATTATTATACTTCCAAGCCATCTTCGATGTGGATAAGGCTAAAAGTAATCAACTTAGACCAATTTATGACGCTCTTGATAAGGCATCTAATGCCCCTACAAAGTTAATTCAGGGTCAAGTTGATGCACTTGCAGAACAGAATAGAGATCTTTTCAATGGTTGTCAAGAGGTTGTACAGAAATACCTTGCCGAGTGTGGACGTCGTTATGTTGATATGGGTTCCATCTTTGACTTTATGAAATAGTATGAGAAAGTTTGAAATATAGATTTTAATGTTATAAGTAATGTATTATAAATTTGATTATGCCCCCAGAACTAAGGTCTACTTTAGTCTAAATAGAGTAACCAATTACATACAAGAATCCTGCATATCAAACACCGAGGTTTTGTAAAACTAAAATTGCACAAATTGTCGCGCGCTTCATAACATTTCAAGAATGGAAATGAATAAGAAACATTGAATTTAGAGAGATTTAATTGAACATTGATCAAACGATATAGAGCCTGCGATCAAATGTATCAGGGACAAGGGCAACCACAAAATCAGGGCGCAATGGACCAGGGTCGAAACTTCCCGATGCTTCCACCACAATTTGCAAACTTAACTCCTCAACAACTTCAACAACTTCGGACTCAACCACAATTCCAAACAATTATGAGAAATTATCTTCAGAAACAACAGCAGCAGATGCAACAACAACAGCAACAGCAGCAGCAGATTCAACCTCCACTCTCGCAACATCCACAACGTCAAAATTCTCAGCAGCCGCAGCTTCAACAACACCAACATCAACAACTTCCACAACACCACCAGCAACAACTTCCGCAGCATCAACACCATCAACTGCAGCAAGTTCAGCAGCATCAACAACCGATGGGTGGAATGTATGCTAACCAGAACCCAATGATGCAACATATGAACTCCCAAGGGGCAGCTCAACTGCCAATGCAACAGCAACAACAAGTCCCGGGTATGCAACAGGTACGGGGTAGTCAACTGCAGGGATTGACTGATGCTCAAGCGCTTCAAGCCCAACAGCAACAGCAACTCTTCCAACAACAATTGGCACATGGGGTGAATAGTTCCATGAGACCCTTTGCGCAGAGACAATCACAACAACATCAACAACAGGGACCACAATCGCACCAACATGCCCAACAACATGCTGCTCAGCAACAACAACTTCTTCAACAACAAGCACAGCAAATTGCACAACAACAAACTCAGCAACAAATTCAACAACAAGCACAACTTCAAGCACAACAACTTTCAGGTCAACGTGTACAACAAGCTCCTGCACAACAGCAGCATCTCCCTCTACATGGAGCTCCCAATCAATATGTTCAAAGGATTCCTCAAGGAGTTGCAATTCCTCCAGGTCCACAGAATGCAATGTACAATAATTTACCTACTCATACTGCTCAAAGTATTAATTCTGGGCAGGTAACTGAGCCAGATGTGACTGAAGCAATTCCTCAAAAGGAACTCACTTCTTTGCATGAATGGTCTGAAAAGTTAAAGCTGGAAGGTAAAGAGGTCCCTACTGATGTCTTGGTGTATGAATCTATTATTGAAAAGGATAGTAAATTTCTCAACAAGATGACAAAGCAAATTCATGGTGGGAAGAAGTTACTTGATGGTTTAGTACAAGATATCAAGACCTATACTGAGATCAAACAATTGCGGATGAATGCCATTGCGTTGTCACACAAGGGCCATTTCAACAATAGTATCTGGGGAGAAGGATATCAAGGTTATGGAAATGGTATCAGTAACACCTATACACGTTTGATTTTACCTAAGGATACCGAAAGAATTTCTAGAAGAGCTGATATTCAATTGACAGATCATGTTGTGAATGAAAAGGTAAAAGAATCATCAAAGTCGGGGAAATATGAGCTTGTTCCAATTAGATTGGAATTTGATAATGAAAGAGATAGATTCAAACTTAGAGATACATTCCTTTGGAATTTGAATGAATCTGTATTACCATTGGATAAATTTGTTACGCTGTTGTTAGAAGATTACAAGTTTATACCTCCATCATGCCATGATGCCATTTTGAGTACCATCAAGGAGCAACTTCGTGATTATAGAGAAAGACCAGCTTCATCTATGGGAGAATTGAGAGTTCCACTTAAAATTGATATCACAATTAACAATACTCAATTAGTCGATCAATTTGAATGGGATATACTTAATTTTGAAGAAAATGACCCTGAAGACTTTGCTACAACCATTGCAGATGAAATGAAATTACCAGGGGAATTTACCACTGCTATTGCCCATAGTATTAGAGAACAAGTGCAATTATTCCACAAGGCATTGAATTTGATTGGGTACAGTTTTGATGGATCTGTTGTTCATGAAGATGATATTAGAACTCATATTCTTCCACCATTAAGGGTAACAGCACCAGGACTTTCAAATAAATTGACTGATAACTTTTATTCGATTTTGAGAAATCCACAGACAGTGGCTGATAATACACCTACATTAATTAAATTAACTCAGCTTGAACTTGATAGACTTGACAAAGAAATGGAGAGAGAATCACGTCGTAAGAGAAGACATAATATTGCCGAAGATGTGGGAGGTGGTGGATCTGGCTCTGGTGGCCGTTCTGGAACCCTGTCTAGAAGAGCAGCTGCCTTACATGGTCATGGAGGAAGAGGTGGAGCTTCAGTTTTACCAGATTTATCTGAAATTCCAAAGACTTTTAGAACTCCTGCACCTACCAGTATACTTCCTGGTGGAGTAGACTTAAGTGTTCCTGACATCTATACATACAATGAGATTGCTGTACAAAGAACCCTGATCAAGAACCCTGACTACCAGCCACCCGTGAACAACGACAGAAGAAATAACCGAGTCAGATACAACCATGACCCTGTTACTGGCCAGTTCTTAGTGACTATCAAACTCTAAATTTGAATTATTTCGAGAATTCAAAAAAAAAAAAAAAAAGAAATTGATTAGCAGAAAAAAGGAGAACCCCGCGATACGAGGCCAACAAAAAAGATAATCAATGCAACATCAAACTTTATATCTTGTGATTTTCAATTTAATTGTCATTTAAAAGGAGGTTTATTGAACCTTGTTTATTTTCTTCTGCCCATAATGATTGGATTAATAGGTCAATTTTTCAATACTTTATTTGGAATGAGTAACATTAATGAACAAAAATTTGCCTTTATTTCTGGAATTGCTACTGGTATTGGTCGAGAATTAGCTATTTCGCTTGCAAAACGTGGATATAAAGTGTATGGATGTGCACTTGAAGGAAGTCTTTGGGAGTCAAACGATTTGTTGACTGAGTATGGAATCACTGTGTTAGTTTGTGATATTACTAAAATAGAAGAAGTTCAAAAATTGGCTACTATTATTGGCGAGAAGACTAATGGTAAGCTTGATATATTGTATAATAATGCAGGTATTGCAAGAGGAGGCCCAGCAATTGAAATGCCAGAACAGGAAATTGAAGATTTATTTAAGGTGAATGTAATTGGACATATGTATGTCACCAAGTACATGGCACCATTTGTAATCAAGGCTAAGGGTAGAATTGTATTTACTAGTTCAGTTGCAGCCCGCGCACCACTTTCATGGATGTCTGCATATGGAGCGACAAAGGCAGCCATTGACCAATATGCATTAGTTTTACATGGAGAAATGAAACCACTTGGAGTTAGAGTACATAGTGTGATTACTGGTGGGGTTGACACTGGTATATGTGACAGTATTGCCACAAATACTATTCGAGGACCATATTATGATGTCGATGCTGTTTATGACAGTTTACGGGCGCTGGCGCAAATGTCTCGAAATGTTAACATTTCTGCTCAAGAATACGCTGAACAAGTTACCAAACAAGTTCTTGCTTATTGGGATCCTGGTTTTAATATTTATCGTGGTGCAAGAGCGTACTTTCTACATTTTTTATCACGATTTCTCCCATTGTGGCTTGCAGAATTTGGAATTGCTTTCCATTTCCGTCAATTGAAGGTTTGGTCTCAAATAAGAAAAAAATTGAAAAAAGAATAATAAGATGTAATATATAATGAAATAAAATGTATAAAATTTACTATTTTAAAGTATTAATTATTATTTGCATCATAATATTTAATTATTATCTCTTTCCTTACAAAGATTACTTCATTGAGAATGTGTGTTTTTATTTTATATTCTTAATCGTCGTGTGTGTAAAATTTCGGTTGTAAGAGATATTTTTAAAAACAAAAAAAAAAAAAGAATAATGCGCGTCTGCATATAACCAGATACAGCGCCCCTAAAATCTTTGTATAGTACAATAGATAGTCAGACGTGGCCAAGAAACTAATCAAAGAAAAAAGAGGTATCAAATTTGGAAGAAGGTCAAGGAGAGGCATAGGAAGAGACCGACATTACCTACACACTCCGATCATTTAGTCTCACGTTACAAATACAACTTTCCTTGTAACTGCATAGTTGTGAATATCCCCCTAAAAACTGCCCTCGTTTAAAAACCCCAACTTTTTTTAAAAAACAACATGACTAGAAGGGATCATCAACAGGGAGTTACAGAGCTATCCGAAATTACTTCTGGAAGGGATGATGCTAACGAACTGTTGTTGAAGTCCTTCGATACACCGGAACCAGGGACGGACTTTGAAGGATCAACAAGTTTCGGTCAAGGTACCTCTGAAGATAATCGGTTACTTCAACCGGAATATGCGGCAGAAGATCATGGTGGAACTCTGGCCTCAGATATAGATCGCAACATTCATGATGCTATCATTGGGAGCTCAAGTGTGAATAATCATGAATATGATGTAAATCAGTACAACCTAAACAATGGTGGAGGTGGAAGTAGTAGTAACACACATTTACCATCATCATTGGAGAGTCGGCAACCAAATACTGGACTCACACGGAAACAGAGAATCATGAATGTATTAAATCATGTACTTCCATTAAGACAAACGTATGAAAGAATTAATAATGGACTCACCACTGGGAGAATGCAGGCAAATATACCCGGTAATTTTGTGGGTCAAGGAACAGATGGAGTTTTCCGTAATTTGATGGCAAAACCGGACACAGACTCGAACCGCCAAGAACAGGAAATACATCCTCCTACGTATGATGAGGCTGCAGCTGATGCAACCCCAGAGTATTGGGAATCAACCGTGATATCACCAATGTACGAAGATGAAGTATTTGTAGAAGGATTACCGGTGGGGAATGTAGCAAATTTTGTATGGAATGGACTTGTTACTGTTGCATTTCAATTTATTGGGTTTGTGTTATGCTATTTGTTACACACTTCACATGCTGCTAAGCAAGGATCACGTACTGGGTTAGGAATTACCTTTATTATATATGGATACAGCATGATTCCTTCAAATTTTGGTCATGCCGATCAATTACCTGACAAATTTGTACCAGATGATCCTAATTTAATTAATATCGATAAGGGAGTTTCTATTTCCAAAGGTGGGAAGATTGATAATTATTCATCTGGATTATTTCATCAAGGAGTGGATGATCCTAGTGTATTTGAAAATAGAACTCCATACTTTGCATATGCTGTGATTGCATTTGGATTGTTTATGATCATGAAGGCATTGGCTGATTATTTGCTTGTGAAACAAATCGAACGGTCTATTCTTTCACCTAATCAGGGCCAACAGCAAACGCATAGCATTACTGAAGAAATCCACGACAACGATGAGGATTCTCGGCAGGCAAGAGAACGCATAGCAGAGCAAGTTTGAATGGGATGTCCTCCTCGAGGTTTAAAATGGATTCAAAATATATTGAACTAACTATGTAGTTTTTTTTTTAAATAGAAAGAAAAATTTCATTATTATGATTAATATTACTATTGTAAAATGCAAAGTCTATCCCATGAGCACCAACATCTTCTCATAGATTGTAAATACAATACCACCACTCAATACCAAACGACCGAGACGAGGAGTGGCTCCTTTCCAGAAAGTGAGCAAACCTTCTTCCTTGAAAATCTTGGCGAAACAATTCAATGTAGAACTGTACAACTTATCGGCACCCAAGGCTTGCATTCTTGTTTTAACAGTATCTATAGGCATGGTTGAGTACACAGTGATGATACCAGCAAAGGATCCGACTGCAAAAGTTGCTACAGAGCTCAATGGTTCGTTTGGAGGAGCTCCACTAGCTTGTTGGATCATACTCTTGATGGCATTATAGGAGCCCAATCTAACAGCCTGGTTAGCTGCTTGTCTCATGGAAACTGGAACTACACCAGCATATATCCCACGGAATCCCATATCTTTACATAATTTGACCGTACCAGCAACAAGTCCATTTTGATACTTTGGCTTAGCAGTTTGCTTATCATCAATCAAGGCGGTTTTAATGGCTTCAAATGGGGTCACAGCAACCACAGATTCAAGCAAACCAGCCCCCAACCCGGCAATGACACCTCTTGGCCCAGACAACTTACCCTCCTTATCCACAAGCAAACCCTTGATGTAATCGAAACCAAGGAACCGTACTGATGCCTTGACAGTATTTCCTACAATGAAAGCAGGACAACCCACATAAAGTGAAGAAACACCTTGTGTTTTAGAAACATTGTAGATTAATACCAATGGGTTTCTGGATGCAGTGGAAGATTTGTCTACAAGTTGCAATCTAGTCTTTGCAAATTCGAAAGGATAGGTGATGGCACCTTCAATGGCACCTGCTGTACCTCCGGCAATAAAGGACTTAAGAGGATCTGGCTTCTATAACTTGTTAGTACACGATTCGAATTGGGTATCCACCCATTCTATATCCATACTCACCTTCTTCTCCGTCATTATTATTTTAGTCTGTAGATTGGTTCAATAAAGAAAGGTAATCACCAGATACAAAAAATAGAGAATCTTCAACAATGCGATTCCGGAGATTTTTCATATGAGTCAAAGAACTGTGAGGGAAAAAAAAAAAAAATAGTCTGTGGCATAAAAAAGCGGGGGGGGGGAGAGGGTAAAACCGATCCAGAGGATGGTTTCGTACACTTCCTATTACAATGATGTATATAAGGATTCTTTATTCTATATTCTCTTCTGTTTCTCTACTGATATGATTCTCTGTTTTTCCATTTATACATCTTCAAAATCATCGAAATCGTCTTCATCATCATCATCTTCATCATCATCATCGGCTTCTCTTTCTGCCAATTGGGCATAATAGGCGGTAAGGGCATCTTGTGCTTCTTTTTCTTTATCTGTCTTTTGAGGTTCTTCAACAGTATTATTGGTGATTTCTGCAGGGGTAGTACTGTTACTTGTGTTAGTTGTTGCTGGATCATTATTTTCTTCCTCAATCTTAACCATTGGAGTACTTTCAATTGATTCATCTCCTGTAATTGCATCTTCATCATCCAAACGTCCCAACACCGATTTTCCAACGGTACTTTCCGAGTGCCAAGATGGTAATGCATTTTGTTCCAATTTTTGTCTTCTTTCTTCCTTTTCTTGTTGTTCCCTTTCGTAATTTTCATCATTAGCAGTAATGGAAACATGAAGGGTTGCTTGTGATTTGGCAGATGAGTTTGCTTGAGCAAATTGGACATTTGATCTTCTAGCAGTACTGACAGAATATGAGGCAGTAGTAGATGCTTGAGCTGGAATAGCCTTCTCTAAAGAAGATTCAAATGAATTATCTTCAATGTATCTATCATCAATTTTCTTCAAATATGAAATTATTGGATCCACTTGTACCATAAGCTTTTCTAATTTAGCTTGTCGAATAGATGCTTGTTGACTTGAATCATCTTCAATTAATATACCTCCACAATTATCACAAACAAAATTTGTTTTATCATCTGACAATAATGAAATTGCATCAAGTTGAGATACCTTTTTCCCACAACGAGGACATACATATCCTTGAGGATTCCCATATTTAGACATTTCATCTTTAATAACATTTACAATCGAATGAACTTTCCATTTAATAGAGTCAATTGCTTCAGTAATATGAATGAAATAATAGGTTCTTTTTGTGAGACGTTGTTGTGCATTCTCTTCTTGTTGTACATGGGACACCAACAAACGGTCTTCAACTAATTTATAACAAAATGATCTAAGTTCTTTACGTTGAATTCCAAGAAGATAAATCATATCATCCTCAGAAAGGACAGAATGTAAGAGTACAGCATCTAAAATGAGTACATATGCTTGGGAATAAAACCCACGTGCAACAAAACGTATCAAAGACCGTACCGTATCATCCATTACAACGGATTATGCTAATTATTATGATTCCCACAATAGTTTAACAGAAATTGAACATTTTAAATGTCATTGTAAATATCTATATACAACTATTTCATTTTGTGTAATAGATCAAGCACGTGACGAACCAGAGAAAATCTTCCAAATTGAAACAAACCACTATATGCAGTCAGCACACAAAAATTGTGGATAAAAAATTTTAGTTTTTCTAGAAGTGGAGAGTAGAATCGATTTTTACTTCAAAAATACGGAAATGCACTTTATGAAGACGTGGTCCTTCAAAAAATAGGATAAGGGGAAAAAAAAGGAAAAAAAGGAAAAAAAAAAAAAACTAAATAGGATTTATTAACAATTACACATGTGGTTCTCAATTAGATTTACCTAATTTGAAACAATTGGGCAAATAATAGAAGGTAGTTTTACGATTAGTTTAGAATAGATGCGTTTTTGATTTTGCGCCACTAGGAAACTTGTACTACCTTTCATCATAAACAAGTACCTTTAATGAAATTCGTATATGGGTAGTGGGGTAATAGGAAAGTAATTCGTGTGTAGTGGTGGAGACGACCTAAGTTCTAACTTCAAACCCATCATTTTCTCTGGTATGGCGAAAACTTTAAACCCCCCAGTTATTAACAAGAGGGAAGTTAGCCACAACTCCAATCTGTAAGTTATAGTTGCTATAGCTTAAACCTTTCTCATAAGTGGCATCACCCGACACGCATTATCAAATTGTGTAGGCCCCTCGTACTGTGTAGAAACAAGGGAAACCCCATTTCAGTGAAACATGTCACGAACTTAGTACATGTGTATCTTCGCGAAACGCGAAACACGCTATTTCGCGTTTGTTTACAATCCCTTACGGGGTGAATTGAAATGCGCATCCCTATGCATGAGTTACAGCTTATAACGGGCGCTATCCGTTATTATACTATGGGTGTCCAGGGTTTTTACTTTTTTTTTTTTCTCCTTTGTTAATCAAAAGTCTTCTCTTGCTTCCTACGCGTCCTTACAAAAAGTAAAACTATATCTTGTCGCGACCTCCGCTTTAAGCTATTTGACCCATAAGAAAGGTATTCAACGATTTTAAATCATTACGCCCTTGGAACCCTATAATATATTAGTTACTGAAAGAGGTCGAACACGTACTCCCACAGCAACTCAACCATCAACCTTCCGACTTACAACAAATATTAATCAAAAATAAATCAAGAAGATATTATTGCACACCCCTTCCCAATACATTTAATTCTGTAGAGTATCTTGATCGGAGGCAAAATATCTACGGCCACGCAACCCTTCCTCCCCTTACCCCCCAATCCATCAATCATTTAAGAAACGACTTTTCGTACATCATGTCGTTATCGAGGATTCCCCTCCAGGAGTACTCAAACACGTACAACCTGCTTACAGAAACACCAACTACTAAGACTTTCCTTCAAAGTTCAGCTATCACAACTCCTCCAGGAACAACTACATCTTTCAGAAAGAAACGTTTGTCCATAGATACTCCCATTTCAAAGAACGTTGATAACACTTCAACTAAGATGTCTGGATCTATCTTACTTTCTCCCGCCTTCCTGTCTCCTCAACAACAAAAGCAACCACAGCCACACAATTTCCATCCATTCCAAAATCAACACCCGCAGTCATTACAACCAGGATATCATCAACATGGAGTTGCTCTTGATGTTCCTCCTCCTAAACCTTCCTTTGACACTGAACCTACCAATAACGTGCAAAGAAAGAAGATAAAAAAGGCCCGAAAGGACGCAAAGGATTCTCCCTTCAATCTTGATTCGACTGATAAGCCTCCTTATTCATACGCTACCCTTATTGGAATGTCGATCTTGAGTAATCCAGAGAAAAAATTAACTCTCTCACAAATATATCTGTGGATATCTGATACTTTTAAGTATTATAAGCGTGAAGATGTAGGATGGCAAAATTCCATTCGTCATAATTTATCTCTTAATAAAGCCTTTGTTAAGGGTGAAAAGTCAAAAGATGGGAAGGGTCATTTTTGGTGTATTCAAGAAGGATGCGAAGATCAATTTTTGAAGTCTCGTAGTAGTAAGAAACATCTGTACCAAGAGATTATGGATCAAATTTATAATTCTGCTAAACCAGGAATTGAGAATGGTATGACTGAGAGTACTTCTAGTGATCTGACCCTGAACGTGACATCTAATCCAAAGGGTAGAAGTAATATTAAATCAATTAATTCTATCCCATCTTCACCAAATATGTCCCTTGAAACAGATTCTTTAACAGAAGATGACACCAAACTGTCCAAGAATAAGCGTGGTAGTTCTTTTATTGAAGAAGCCGCTGATTATGATAGTGAACATGAGCATGACGACTTCAAATCTATTTTGGACCCTCCAACCAAGAGATCAAAGTTGATGTCTGCTAGTACAGGTGACGGTACTCTTGACACCATTCCAAACTTGGGTGCACCATTTCTTCAATGGGGAAGTTCGTCAGATACTCCTCAATTTGTTGTTTCAGAATCGCCATATAAGCCATTACTTGCTGGGAAGAATTTAACTTACACTTCATCTTTCAGTTGCAATTCTAATCTTGAGCTTTCTCCTATTAGACCAAGTGAAACAGGTCCATTGTTAGAACCTCTTACACCAGTGAACAACGTCTATAAAAATTCTACAATCCCAGTCGATGGATATGGAATCCATCATTCGATAAACCCACAGCTTCACTCTAATTTACATTACCATTGTGGATCGGGTAACTCTTCACAATTACCATCTATTCTTCCCAACTCAGTCACTTCAGGCTCATCTGGTATACCAACTACATCAAATTCGACCTCCACTGGCTCTACAAATATACCATCGAATTCATCCCACGCACAACATAATTCGCTGACTCTGCAATCTTTACTCCACCCAACACATATACATACACAACACCATCATGTGAAGACACCGAAAAGCAATATTAAGACACCATTAAGAATATTAAAGACTCCACAAACATCTTCAATATTAAAGAAGTTGTGGAATTCTCCTTCATATTTGGAAGAGTTTTATTATTCTCCTTTAATCACGTCTTCACATGGAGTTTTAAATTCATACGATGATGATGATTTGATGTTACGTGCATTTGAATCGCCAGCAGCTAAACGATTATATCCGATGAATTCGACTATAGGAACTTCTAGGAAATTGTTTGGTGAATTCAAAAAGGTAGAGTTGACCTCTACTAACGAAAACACTGAAAAGAGTACCAAACAGTCTACTAATAATGAATCGAAGTAAACTGTTTGTTTTCTCATTTTGTGGTTAATACGTATACATTTGTTATACATTTGGGTTTTTAATGGTTGGTATTGTCCAGGGTTTCTTATATGCGAGTTTTATTTTTATTTTGCGATACTACGGAGTTTCTATTCTTAAAAGCTCTTTGAGCTTCACTTTTTGTTTATTAATTATTGTTTTGTTAAATGTACACTAGGTAAATATTTTAATGCTATATTATTTCTTTGAATCATTCACCTTTATCTTACAAAGTTAATAGTAAGGGAGTAATCTCCATATTCTATCAATCTGAACTTGCACAGCCTTTACAGCCACAAGTTATGCATTCCACCTTTTCATCTTGTTTATTCTTCATCAATGTCAGTTTCGGTACTCTACAAATGCATGTATTTCCATGATTTTTATCCTTCTTCATAATACATTGAATACAACATAAACTTTCATACCCAGTCTTCTTCCATTTGGCAATGAGGATGGCATCTCCATATTTTTGACTAAGTAGCCACTCGTATAAATCTTTGGATATAGCTTCCTTCTGGTAGTAGAGAGTATATATATATCGAGATATTTGGTGGTTAATTTGTAAGATTGGCCATAACGAGTTATGTTTATCTTCTGCTTTAATTGATTTACTTTGTGCTTCTTTGAGTTTATTCTGAAGTTTGATTAAAGTGGGTTCTATCGTCTTGAAACCTTCTGGAGGGGTTTTAGATCTCCTGGAAGATTTCACAGGAGGCATGCTTTGTTATATTAGGATATATTGAAAAACTTTGCTAAACAAAAAAGAACCTTTTGTTTACAATCTTTGATGAACTATGATAAATAGCATTAAGAAGCAAAAAGGATATTGAGAAAGGAAAAAAAAGAATGACGACATCAGCAGGATTCGAACCTGCGCGGGAAATCCCAATGCATTACTCAAAATATTCGAGTGCATCGCCTTAACCACTCGGCCACAATGCCTGTTTTCTGAAAAAAGAAGTTTTCAGAAGGAGGAGGGGACAGAAAAGTAGAGAATCGTGATTTTTTTAATTTATTTTAATGAATTAAGCCTGCAATTACAAAACTTAGAAGTGATCCATATTGTAAGGCCCCAGGCGGTTCAGGGAAACTAATTTAATAGGTGGATATTAGTAAAATAAAGTAGCAAAAGCCAAACGCAGATTAGTGAGCAAAAACAGTCCGAGAAATCGGACCGGAAGGTTCTAATTAAATATCGCGGATAAGCTAAGGAGTTTGATCTACTGGAAATATGCAATATATATTGCTTGAAAACAAAGTGATATATACAACTCTACTTTATCCGTATTTTTTAATCTACATGATTTTGCTTGTGACAAACATGTCCGCATTTTCTCTTTTTTTGTCACTCTAGGATGTAGATGTAGTTCACATTCTCTTTTCCTGACCATAAATACGATCAAGGAAGTCAGGTTCACAGCTCTTCTTAGACGAATCTTTATTTTTGGCTTCGATACGTCGAGAATGTTTACACAGTATTTACATGTCGAAAAAAAAAACAAAAAAACACACAAATAAACCAATTCTTATTTTTTACTTTTCAGAGTAATGGGAATATCTAGATTTGATGCTTACTGTGTTGAAATGAGTACCAATTATATAGAAACTTGAAAACCTTAATAATCTTGAGTAAAGTAGACTATATTTCGGGGAAGTGAACACTTTGCAGCTCAATGAAAACAAACAAATGGCCGAGAATTAAATTGTGCAGCAAGCCGCGTTTTTGTACCTCATCTCGAGAAAATAGAACAATCTGTCAATCTAAAATTATACCACAGAAGTATCACAAATTCTAAATACGACATGTTAAAATAATATCTTTAAATCTATTTGTTAAGAAATATCCATGTTCTAGGGGCCTTCTTTTTATTCTATATCAGAAAAAAATGGACATAAGTGGGACTGATTACCCTTTACAATGGCCATACAATAAGAAATGATGTAGAGTTGGAACATGGGTTTCGAACCACGGCTGAAGAATCCTGCACGGGCTTTTCGTGCGCCGCCGCAAACGGCAACAAAGAAGATTTTGATCCCAGGGGTAACCCTCCCTCAGAAACAAGGGTAAAATTTATTTGTTTTTCCGGTTTAACTATTGTCAAACAGAACATAAGTAGTATAGCAGAGGCAAGATGGCAAGTTCAACTGCTACCTCTACTTCTGCCGTCATATCGACATTGGTAGCCAATCTCATTTTATTTGGCGTCTTTATTGCTTGTTTTTTAATTCTCAGACTTCGTTTTAAAAGAATTTATTCACCAAAATCATCTTTTGATTTAGTTCCTGAGGAAAAAAAACCAGAACCATTACCTAAAGATCCTTTCAGATGGATCTTTATCCTTTTAACTAAACCTCATTCTTTTATCATTCAACAAGCAGGTCTCGATGGATACTTCTTTTTAAGATATCTTTTAGTTCTCGCTTGTGTTTTCCTTGGCGGTATCGCAACCTATGCTGTTTTACTTCCTATTAACGCTGTAAGGGGTAACAACAATACTGGTTTTGATCAACTTTCTATTTCAAATGTTTCCGATAGTGGTAGATATTACGCTCATGTTTTCATTGGATGGGTATTTTATGGTACTGTTGTTTTCGTTATTTATAGAGAATTGTTTTTCTTTAATTCTTTAAGATCAGCAGTTTTATCATCACCAAAATATGCTAAATCTTTAGAATCCAGAACTGTTCTCTTCCAATGTGTACCAGATATTCTTTTAGATGAAAAGCAATTTTTTAAATTATTCAATGGTGTTAAGAGAATTTATGTTACTAGAACTTGGAGAAAACTTTCTAACAAAGTACGTCAAAGACAAGCACTTGCTACAAAGTTAGAAACTGCTCAAAATAAGTTATTGAAAAATGCTGTTAAAGCTAAATTAAAGGCGGATAAAAATAACACTGTTATTGAACCAGCAAATGATATCAATAGCTATGTTCCTGAATCAAAGAGACCAAGACATCGTCCAGATGGGATGTTTTCAAAGAAAGTTGACACAATTGAATATTGTTTAGCAAAGATTAAAGAACTTGATGTTGAAGTAACGGCAATGCAAAAGAAATATAGATCCGCCAAACCAAAGAATTCTGTTTTTGTTGAGTTCGAGGACCAATACCATGCCCAGGTTGCATACCAATCGGTTATTCATCATAATCCTTTGAGAATGAGCCCTGCTTACACTGGTTTAGCTCCAGCTGATATTAAATGGTCTAACTTGAGAATTTTCTGGTGGGAAAAGATGTCCAGACGTTTTATTGCTGCCTCAATTATTTGTGTTGTAATTATCTTATGGGCTATCCCTGTCGCATTTGTTGGTGTTATTTCCAACCTTACTTACTTAACCAACCTTAAGGCGTTCCATTGGTTGAGATTTATCTATAACATGCCAAAAGCCCTTTTAGGTCTTATTACTGGTTTGTTACCAACCATTCTCTTGTCACTTTTGATGCTTATCTTACCAATGTTTATCAGAGGTATGGCACAAGTTGCTGGTGCTCCTTCTGTACAACAAGTGGAATTATTCACACAAAATGCCTATTTTGGATTCTTAATTGTTAATGTATTTTTGGTTACTACAATTTCTTCTTCAGCAACATCTACTGTTACTCAAATTATCGAAGAGCCACAAAAAGCTTTGAATATTTTAGCCCAAGGTTTACCCCGTGCTTCTAACTTTTTTATTTCTTATCTTATTTTACAAGGTTTATCCATCGCTGGCGGTTCATTGTTCCAAGTTGTTGGTTTATTCTTGTACTACATTTTAGGATATATTTTAGATGGAACTGTTAGAAAGAAGTGGGCTAGATTTTCTGGATTAGGTACTGTTGCTTGGGGTACAACATTCCCAATCTATACCAATTTGGCATGTATTGCCTTGGCTTATTCAGTCATTTCTCCATTAATTTTGATTTTTGCCACTGTTGCATTTATATTGGTTTATATTGCATTTTCCCACAATATTACCTATTGCTTTATTGAAGCACCAGATAGTAGAGGTATGCATTATCCAAGAGCACTTTTCCAAACATTTACCGGTATTTACTTGGGTCAAATCTGTATGTTGGGAATTTTTGTTGTTGGTAAAGGTTGGGGACCAATCGTTTTACAAATTATTGGTATGTTTGTCACCGTTTTCTCTCATATTCATATGAATGCTGCATTTGACCATTTATTAAAGGTGATGCCAATTGATTGTATGAAGGCAATGGATGGTGTTTCTAAAACAGCTTCTTTTGAAGGAACTTCTGAATATCAAGCTAAAGTTTTGGATAGAAAGAGAAAGTCAAAGAGTGTTAAACAACTTCGCCGTCTTGAAAATGAACTTCATGAAGAAAAAATGGCTCAAAAACAAGTTAAAGAAGAATTATTGAATGAAGAGAATGATGAATCATATGAAGAAGATCATCAAATTGTACCATTATTGGCCGATCGTGATAATAAAACCACAGAATCCACAAATCCACTCGTTAGATTCATCAGACCAGATGTTTATTTGAATTATAGACACGTCAAGACAATGTTACCAGCACAATATAACATTGAACCATCTCTTGACGATGATAGACACGCTTACGACGAACCTGTTATTTCGGCCAAATTACCTACATTATGGATTCCTAAAGATCCTATGGGTTTATCAACTATTGAAATTGAAAAGATGTCATCTGTGATCAAGGCAAGTGATGACAATGCTTCATTTGATGCAAAGGGAAGAATTATTTGTTTAGGACCTCCTGAATAAGTTCATCCTATATTTTAAACCCATGATACCCCCTACATAACACATATATATATATATACATTATTAATTTAGAAAAGTAGTAGAACTTGTATAATAATAATTCTCAAAAAGTTTCTTTCATATAATCCCGCAAAGTTTATATTCCCGACATTATTTATTTTTATGAGCATATGATTTTCCAACTTTGAGAAAAAATATCTTATTGAAAAGGCGGGGAGGAAGTTTAAGTATTATCTAGAAATTAATTAATAGAAACTTGAATATATTTTTCTAATGTTTAGCAGGAGATTAACCATGAATTTATCGAGTCCACTTTCTCGTTTACTTGTGACTAAACAACATTTGCAACCTAATCGTCTTAATAGTTCGTTAAGTTCATCTGTAGAACTGATTACTAAAGTGACTCAAGGTACCAAATATACTACTGATTTTAAAAATTATGGTGTCAATAATGGGGAAATTGTTTCATATTTACATGATATCCCACTCAATTTAGATTTACAAAACAAAACAGCAACTATGGTGGTTGAAATTCCTCGTTGGACTAATGGGAAGTTTGAAATTAATACAAAACTTCCAGGTAATCCGATTACTCAAGATATAAAGAAGGGTAAAGTTCGATTTGTTAAAAACTTATTCCCACATCATGGGTACATTCACAATTATGGTGCCTTTCCACAAACTTGGGAAGATCCAACCAATAAGAATGAAGAATTGAACTTGTTTGGTGATAATGATCCATTAGATGTATGTGAAATTGGAACTTATGTTGGGAGTTTAGGAGAAATTAAAACTGTAAAGATTCTTGGTTCTTTGGCCTTGATTGATGATGGAGAACTTGACTGGAAGATCATTGCTATAGATGTCAAAGATCCATTATCTCAAGAATTATTCGACATTCATGATGTATTTGTCAAATGTCCTGGACTTCTTGAAACCACAAGACAATGGTTCCGTGACTATAAGTTACCAGATGGGAAGTCAGAGAATAAATTTGCATTCAATGGTGTTTATAAGAATCAAGAAGAAACTCTTCAAGTGATTGAAGAATGTGTTGAAGCTTGGAAAAGACTCATTGAAGGGAAAGTGCAAGGTGATGACTTGCCTACGATACAAAACACAACTTTCCCAGATACACCTGGCTACAGTAAATCTTATGATATAAAGATTATTGATGAAAGTGAAAAGGAGGCACCAATTGATAAGTCGGTTCATAAGAATTACTTCTTCTCAGTTGAGTAAATCAATCAAACGCACATACTTCCCAAATAGGCAGTCAAACAAAACAATTACATAGTATAAATAAAAATTATCAAACTTCATCTGGTATACAAAAATGTGTGCAGTTTTATATTCAAAGTAGAGTGCGCATTCAAAAACGAAAACGATCATAACGAAACTCTCCAAAAAAACAGAAAAAACTCATTAAGGGCATAAACAATATAATACGAAATCGTGTTGGATCGACTGTGTGTAATGGTAGGACTGAAGCAAAGAGCCATTGTGCCGTTGAAGCCCATCGAACCTTCCCAATTATGGACTTTTGAAAATGCCCTTTCCCTTTTGAAAACATGCAAGGATCAGTACATTTTGGAAGCATTGGATGAATTTTTACTCAATAACAAATCGGTTTTATTAAAGCCTTTGCCCTTTACCAAAAAGGAACTGGTGATTTCTTCGCCATCCAAAGAAGTGAAACCGGTGAAGGATCTTTCATTGAGAAATGTGTTGTATTCAGACATAAACACAACAAACAATAGTGATGCCCATAAGATCAGTGACTTGGTTTCCTTAGAATTCGATGAAGTATTGAGAACTATTTCACAGACGTGTAGACGTGTCCCCGAGAGAAGAGTGTGGGATACAAGCAAATTGAAATCTAAATTACCCGATGACAGAGAAAGACAATTGGAAGAAGACCGACTTGTTCTTTACACGAGTGGGATTCTTAGAGATAGAAGAGTAGTACTCAAGATTGTGGCTGAACTTCTTTCTAATAAGACTAACCACGGAAAGTCTTTGACTGTGCAAAACTTGGGTAAGGAAATCTTTCTCTCAAAGTCGTATATTGAACGATTGATAAATGCATTACAAGTATTAACCGAATCATTGTCTAGTGGATCTTATAAAACTGGGTTATCCGATAGATTAGACCAAGTTATTTATAATGAAACTGTTCTCATTGTTACTGAACTTATGAAGGTATTGGTGGAAATCCTTTATCTGACAAATGAACACTCTAAGAAAACAGTTCAACAATGGTTTATATTCATGAACTCTAATAATTTTATTCTTTCATTAGGCCCATTCATTGAACATTCCGAGCCTTTCATATTAATGCAAGCTCTCAGTACAATTATTTCAATTATATTATTGGATTTGGATAATAATTTTGGTGATAATTTTTCCAATACTGATAATTTTATGAATGATGTATCTATTTTTAAGAACATCAACGATTGTATTACAAAAAAGACCAATTCTAACTCGGTTATTATGTATTCTTGGTCCATCTTGTTATACAGAAAGTCCGTTATTATGAGTGAATATAAAACAGAACCAAGTATTCAGCAATTTAATACTAGTTTTGCTAGCCTCGATCCGTTGATCAATATTCTCAATTCAAGATGTCTTGAACTTGATGTTTTCCAAGATTTGGTTACTTTGAACAAACACCTTGCGTTCGATGAATTGCATGCTGCAGTATTATCCACTGTGATTATTGCAGCAATGCCATTAATAAACATGTCAACCAAGAATTCTTGCGCCATAGTTTCAGTTTTAAAAGAAGCTCCACTTCTGACAGTTGAAAAATTTTTCTCCAATGAATCGGCAATTGAAGCAATTATACTTGCAAGAGCCAAGTTTCCATTGTCTATCACTCCATATTTGAAGCTTGCCTCAATTAATGGGAATTTTGCATTGAATGAATTTAGAAACTTGAAGTCATATATGTCTCTATTCCAAAGGGAAGAATTCACTTCTATCTCACAAATTGATGACGAGAATACTGATTTGGTGAAACTTACTAAACTAATTGATGTATATCCGCCATATGAAAACAATAAGAAGTTGTCATTGTTACTTCAAGAAGATACAAAGGCCAAGGTTTTACCATCTGCACACGAGAATGAGGTTCTTGTAACATTCTTGTACAAGTACAATGGATGGGCATTTTTAGGTAGAATTCTTCAAAATGTTGTCAAGCTGTTCAATAATTTTGAAACTGGTAAAGTTGAATTTATTATTACCCTCTTAGAATTGTTGACACTGGTAGTGAGAGATAATGGCAACGAAGAAGATACAAAGGAAGTTTTAGAATCTATGTCATTATATATTGATGATTCTGATGTTTTAGAAGTTATTTTCAGACTTTTTGAACAAAATTTACATTCACGTAATATCGAAGTGTTGGTTGCAGTTTGTAACTTGTTGACTGAATTAACTCCGATGTTGTCCCACAGAATATGGCCATCGTTGTCTAAATCAGCGTTATTGTCCAGTGATGGGAAGGAGGGCTTTGCAGCCACCATATTCGGAGCAATTGAAATGATCAATGGTGACTACAGCTTTACTATATCATTAATTCACTTGGTTAGTTCATTGATAGAGAATTCAATTTCGCTCGATGAAGAATACAACCAAAGAACCAAGAGCATATTATTAACAAGATGGATTGACTATTTGATATTAATCTTCGAAAGTTTTGCTCACTGCAGATTTAATAATGCCTACCAAAAGTTGGAAATTGGAAGTTTGGTATTAGATATTTTCTCAACAATTTTAACCGTAGTTTATTCAGTTGACGAGAATAGTAATGCACTGGACAAAGTAACTAAGGTATTTGCTGAATCTTCAACCAATATTCTCGATTCCTTTTTAATTTCTGGACTGGAAGATTCAAGAATTTCATTGCCATTATTGTCAATGATTGAATCTATTGGTGATAATTTCAGCTTATATGAAGCTAGAGATTTATCTGGTTATTGGTTTGATAAGTGGGTTCGCGCTTCATTATCCTTTTCTCTGTTGATCATCTCTATTAGATCAATGTTGAAAAGATCACCATCTACTTTCGAAATTTCTATTTTCAGCAAACTTCCAAATTTAGTTGAAGTTTATTCACTTCATGATGATTTGAGAAAGCCAGTTTTGGATTTAATTACAACATTAACCAATGCTGACTGGGGTAAATCGAGTACTCCTTCCCTTTTATCGCATTTGGGTCGTGATCATTCACAGGTATTGCTCTCGTCTTTGATTGCTGACTTGGAAAATTCATTTGATGACTATAATATGAAGATTAGTTTATACAATTTTATTTGTGCTGTTATGGATGGCAAACAAGAGGGTCTCTCGATGTTGTTCATCAGCGGAAGAGATGTTTATGGAGAAGTCAATAAATCTGAGAATAAAAAGAGCGAATCAGAAAAGACAACAAAGAAAACTCAACCATTATTAAGTGTTTTAAAGAAAAACCTTCGCGAAATGAAGTATTATCCAAACTATGTTTCTCTTCACTTGGCTGATGCCATTTCATTGGCATTCAACTCATGGACCATTGTGAGAGGAAATGATGATGATATTGAATTCATTGACATATTAATATCCAAATTTCAACAACCACAAAATGCCAAGGCAACTACTAGTGAAGAATATATTGAAAAATGTTACGAATTGAAGCTTCTTGCAAAGATAGCTGAAATATTGTCGCTTTTCGTATTCACATCCAATAACGAAACTTGCAACAATAAGATTATTAAATTACTTTCCCTGGAAGACTTTAGATATGAGTTCTTGAGAAGATTTGATACTATGGGATACAACCAAACGTTATCTTCTGATTTGGAAAGAAATTTCTTGGAGACTTACTCATGTGATATTTCAAAGTTCTCTAGTTCATTGGTAAAGAGAAATTACTTTGATGATTCTACTGTTTACAATCTTTCGTTGATGGAAAAAATATACCTGAAAGATATCTCATGGCCAACCATTAGAGAACAAGTGAAGGCCTGCAATGTTAATATCCAATACGTAACTGCACAGATTGCGGTTGTGAAATCACATGGTGCGTTATTGACAGCCTTTTGTAAGGTATTTGGACTGAAATTAACTTCAGATTGGGTTTTCCTTGCATCTCAATTATTGTTTTTCGATGTTCTAGTTGATATTCCATCAGAAATATTCACACAAGTCTACAGAGAACGTATTGAATTATCTTTCTTTATGTTGTATACCATGTCTATTAATCCTGAGATTAAGGTGGATACTGAAAATGTTTTGGAAGTAATTAGATTCACTTCACAACTTCTTTCTTCCGCTAGTGTCGATTTCATCCATAGCCTTACAATGGGTGGAGATGGATGCTATAAATCATTATTACGAATCTTATATCTTTCTATAAATATGATTAAAGAAGATACAGAGATGTTGGTCAATAATTTGAGTATTTTCAGGAATCTTTTTGAATTAGTTTTCGCTAGAGGAACTAAAAATTTACTCGTGGAATTACAAAATGATGTTTATCTTTCTTGTACTGATAAGAAATATACTCCAACCAACTTGAATTTAAAGTTTGAAAACCTTACGTTGATACTCTCTATTTTAAAGGTATTTGTGGAATTAAAGGCGCCAGCATCATTACAAGTTGATATGGCTTCTATCGTTAAGCTGCATGGTACAATTAAATCCTTATTAAATCTTTACTCTTGTTCTCATTTGATCAAAACAAATGGAGAACTTGTGTTTGCTAAATTGAGTTTGATGTTTATACAAGAACTTCTGGTAGTTGATACGATTGCTCAAGAATTTATTTCCTCTGGATTATATGTCGTTTTGACTGGTAGTATCGTATCTGGACCCATCCAAGCTGGGAACTTGAGTGTTTCTAACCTGCCTAACACCTACTCCATTTGGACTAATGGTTTACTCCCACTTGTCTTAACATCTTTCGCCAAAATAGGTCCTGAAATTTTACCTGAAATATGTATTTTCCTCAGAGCCTTTGGTAAACAAGTTGAGACTTGTATTCAAAGCTGGTCAAAGGACCTGTCGTCCATTCAAGTTTCTTCAGCAATGATTTGGGAAACTAGACACATTCTTGAGATGTACGAAATGCTTAAGGCTGCAAACATTACCGAATTCTTGGGAGATAAAAATTCCGAGTTAGAAATCACTCCTGAGACAGTTGATATGGTCCTTCTTCCAGGATTAGATTCAGAGGTAAAGAGAGAGGATTTTATTGAGAATATCAGTAATCTTTTGAAACATCCAAAGTTCCTTTCATCTAGAGTAATTGCAAGCTCGGTAGATGAACAGCGTTTGATCGAAAACTCTGGTTCATCCTACCTGCAGTTTGTGAAGTCACTCATTGACGAGATCCGTGAATTAAAGGAGTATTTCCGACAATAGTTTCCGTCACTACGATTTATAGTATCCGTAGATAAATGCATATACAAATACGAATTAAACGAAAAATAGATCGCGATATCGAAATATAATGGACACGAAAAAAAAAAAAGTCAACAAAAAACAAAATGTTGCCTGAGTGACAAAATAGGTTAGAAGTAACACCAAAAGCATGTCTGGAGAACCGTTTGTTGTAAGTGCGCCTGGTAAGGTGATTATATTTGGTGAACACTCCGCGGTCTATGGTAAGCCTGCTATAGCCGCAGCCTTGAGTTTGAGAGCCTACCTTCTCGTGACACCATCTGCAGATGAGAACGCGATTCTGTTGGACTTCCCAGATATCGGACTCTCCCATACTTGGAAGAAGGATGAATTACCATGGGAGGAAGTAAGGAAATTTGTCACTTGTGTCAATGGACGTCCACAAGTTACCGATGAACTTATCCCGGAGATAATTGATCAGTTGAGCGAATCTTTAGCTGATCTTGATACCACGCTCCACTACACTGCTTGTCATTGTTTCCTCTATTTGTACATGAACCTCTGTAACAAAGATACTACTGGTATGTCCTTTAGTGTCAGATCCACATTACCAATTGGAGCCGGTTTAGGATCGTCTGCATCAACTGCTGTGTGTCTTGCCTCATCTCTTTCTATTCTTGGTGGTCATGTAAAGGATGCCAACGTGGAATACGACCAAAAAGTTTCGTTGAAGGAACATTCTGATTCTGATTTCATTGATGCTTGGTCTCTAATGGGAGAGAAATGTTTCCACGGTAACCCTTCTGGAATTGATAATGCAGTGGCTACCCATGGTGGTGCTGTGATGTTCCAACGTATGTCCAACCCTGCACAACCATCAGTACGTACATCTATGAGAAACTTCCCACCCATTAAATTGTTGTTGACCAACACTAAGGTACCTAGAAGTACTGCTGACTTGGTGGGAAACGTAGCACGTATTAATAATGAATTTTCTAAGACTTCCAATAGCATTCTTGATGCTATGGGACACTTGGCTAATGAAGCGTACCAACTTATGATTAGACCAGTATTTGGATCTTTAGAAAGAGAAAAACTCAGAGAGCTTGTTAATATCAATCATGGTCTTTTGGTTGCCTTTGGCGTATCACACCCTAGTTTAGAGAAGATAAAGATCATTTCAGATCTCAAGTGTCTTGGAAGCACAAAGTTAACCGGTGCTGGAGGAGGTGGTTGTGCCATCACTTTAGTTAACGATGGAGTTTCAGAAGAAAAAATATCTGAAGCTATAACTGAATTCGAAAAGGAAGGTTTTGAAACATTCGAAACTTCTTTGGGAGGTAAGGGTGTAGGTGCATTGTATTTCAAACAAGTTGAAGAAGATCAAAGATCAAAGGTTTTTGACCGTGAATTATTTTCAGGTTTCAAGAACCGTGAAGAAATCATTGCTGGACTTGGAATTGATGCCCAACCTGGATGGAAATTTTGGTGATAATAAAAAGATGATAGTTGATAGAATGAAAGGTGAATCTCAAAATAGAATAATAATCAAAGTATAGAAAATGAATCTGTAATTTTGCAGTGTTTGAGAGTTTAATGTAGTAACTCTTTGACATCATGGCCTTGTGTTTCGAGGAAGTTGATAAAATAACTTGGAGAGAATTCCAAGCAGATACAGTCAATTAGCATTTAAGTACTGGTGGATATACGTCTCAATTTTGATATGTTTCTTTACTTTTGAATATATTGGTATACATGTATATACAAGATTCTAAATACCTCTGTTGAAGTATAAGGTGTTGATTTTGTTCCCCTTAGAGTCGGTCAAATTCTGGAATTCAGGCTCCAACTTCTCGACGGCAATTTCTCTCTTTTGAGGGAAGATGGCCAAGGCAAATGGCAATGCAATGAGAGAAGTTGAGAAGATCAACCCGATATTGGCCAAGATTTCAACTCTCTTTGGTTTACCTTTGAATAAACCCATCTTTTCCATCTTGACAAGAATCAAAGGTGGGATAACCATAATTGGAGTTGCGTTGATGACACGACTGGCGGCAGTTTCACCAACGGCATTGAAAGCGGCCGATTTGGAATGTCCCCATGTCTTTCCTTCACTATCGGTGACATCGATACCTTTTCTAATTTCCTCACCACGCATCAAGAATACATTTACCACACCGGCCGAAACAACGGCAGCAAAGGGAACCAAACGACCCAAAATATTTCTAGTGGCAGGCAGAATAGACTTCAAACGTGGAACGATGGCATTAAGTCCAAGAGCAACACCACAAGATGCAGTGACAGCCATAGAATAACTGGTTGCAATCTGTTGGGTTGTCATTGGGTGGGACTTGTTACCATTTGCGGTATTAATGGCCACATTCAATGACTGGTTTGCAACTTGCCAGAAAAGAGTTCCAGCAGTAGTCAAGTTTGGAGTTAACATACCAGAAGTAACCACAAGGTTAGACAAAACACAAGAACTCATACGGAATGGAAGAATGACGGTTTCACCAGTATCTGGATGTATAGCGGAATCCAACACCCTCTTAGCACGCCATAACTCTGGAGTCATCTTCCCGGTGACACCATTCTTGTAATCCCACACCATTCTACGGGCATCTTCGATATCTTTGGAACTATTGAGTAACATTGTGGGGTCTGAAATCTCAGCACAATGCTTAACTCTTCCCCAATATGTGTTCAAGTCGTGTCTTGAGGCAGGGAGTGACACCGGTCCTGGAACAGAAGAAGCCATCTTATCTTATTATTATATGTGTATGGGATAAAGCTTATTAGCGATTTTTAAAAAAAAATGTACTCTATATATTTATTCTTACCCATTGCGTATCATATTGGTTAGAAATTTGAGGTATGAATCATAATTTCATTTTCTATGCTGATGTTTTATTTTTTTTTTTTTCCTCTCGTAGTAGTAGTACTTTAATATATTTACAAGAATCATCGTTGGACTAATCAATGGCGGTTCTGAAGGATGAAGAAGGGGTATAGTACAGTCTTGGGTCTAGGTATTGACATAGTACAAATATCTAGATTTTCATCTCTTTTAAGTAAAGGTGATGGGTTACAATCTCTGTATACTCGAAGATTTGCTCAAAGAGTCCTTCATTCCAAGCGAGAATTACCCGAATTCGAAGCTTTGATTCTTAAAGGGGATATTGAACCATGTGTTAGATATCTATCAGGAAGTTGGGCAGCCAAGGAAGCTGTGTTCAAAACATTGGACCTTGAGGATCAAAAATCGTTCCAATTTAAAGATTGGTATCGATTTAAACAAAACTCTAAACCATTCATTCAAAGTGATATTTACTCTAAACAAAAATCAGAGGAGTTCTTACATAGTTCATCCCATGACGGTGGGGTCTTGATAGCTACTGTATTGAGACAAAAATGGTCTACATGAAATTGGTTTTGCTTTTTTTTTTTACTAAACTTTTTGTATCCTTTATATTTTTAATCTTTAACTCTTTCTAGTAATATCTCTTTTTTAATAAACGTATAATATATTTAAAAAAGGAATAAAAACTAATCTATTCCCATTCAACAGTGGCAGGTGGCTTAGAAGTAATATCGTAAGTAACACGAGCAACACCATCGACTTCGTTAACAATTCTGGAAGCAACTCTCTTCAAGAAAGAGTAGTCGAATTCGAACCAATCAGCAGTCATGAAATCGACAGTAGTGATGGCTCTCAAGGCAATGACTTGTTCATAAGTTCTTTGGTCACCCATAACACCAACAGACTTAACTGGCAAAAGAGCAGCAAAGGCTTGGGAAATGTCCTTGTACAAACCAGCCTTCTTGATTTCACCAATGAAAATAGCATCAGCTTCACGAGCAATCTTAACTTGAGCTGGGGTAACTTCACCCAAAACTCTAATGGCCAAACCTGGACCTGGGAATGGATGTCTCCAAACCAAATCATGAGGAACACCCATTAATTCACCCAAGTGACGAACTTCATCCTTGAACAATTCTCTCAATGGTTCAATCAACTTCAACTTCATGTTGTCCAACAAACCACCAACGTTGTGATGAGTCTTGATGGTTTGGGAAGGACCCTTGAAAGAGATGGATTCAATAACATCTGGGTAAAGAGTACCTTGCAACAAGAATTCAATTTCTTGACCAGAAGCTGGCTTAATCTTGGCAGCTTCTTCTTCGAAAACATTGATAAAAGTGTTACCAATGATCTTTCTCTTCTTTTCTGGGTCAGTGACACCCTTCAATCTACCCAAGAAGAGGTCGGCGGCGTCAACAACGGTCAAGTTGATACCTAAACCTTCAGTCAAGGTCTTGTAAACGTTTTCAGTTTCGTTTAATCTCATAACACCATTGTCAACGTAAATGGCGTGGAAACGAGAACCAATAGCTTCCTTCATGATCTTGGCACCAACGGTGGAGTCAACACCACCAGAAACGGCACCGATAACTTCAGCAGTTGGACCAACCAACTTTCTAATTCTAGAAATTTCAGTATCAATAAAGTTTTCCATAGTCCAGTTGTTTTGAGCCTTACAGATGTCAAGGGCAAAGTTTCTCAATAAGATCTTACCCTTTTCAGTGTGAGTAACTTCTGGGTGGAATTGAATACCATAGATTTGCTTAGATTCGTGAGAAATGGCAGCATATGGAGAGTTACCAGAAGTGGCAACAGTCTTGAAACCAGTTGGTAAAGCGTGTAACTTGTCACCGTGAGACATCCAGACAGTGGAGTGGTCGACATCCTTGAAAAGAGGACAAGATGGGTCTTCGACATTCAAAGTAGCTGGACCGTATTCTCTCTTGTCACCACGGCCAACACCCTTACCATTGATCCAAGCCAATTCTTGCATACCGTAACAAATCCCCAAGATTGGAACATCCAATTTGAAAATGTCGTGGTCAACGTGAGGAGAACCTTCTTCGTAGACGGAGTATGGACCACCGGAAAGAATGATACCAGTAGGCTTCCAGGAAAGGTCGGCGATCTTTTGAGTACATGGCAACATTTCAGCGTAAACATTGAATTCTCTCAAACGACGAGTGATGAGATGAGAGTATTGCGAACCAAAATCAAGCACCAAGATGGTGTCGAAAACGGCAGATACTTCAACAGGAGTGGAATCGGTAGACATTATAGCGGAAAGGTTTGCTTTACTTTCTCTGATGTGGAGCAACAAGGTATAGCCTCTACCCAAACGGAAGGAATACACCAAAAAATTGTGCAAAATGAGAATTTAAATCTCTGATGCCTAGTCATCGAGTGTTTTGTGTAATTTATTGTTTTTTTTTTTTTTCCACTCTCTTTATTAATTTATTTTTTTAACTCGGGTAATTTTTCAGATCATCCCGCAATTTAAAAAAGAATTAGTCTGGTTGTGTTTGAAAGGCTGAAAAAAGTTGGTGAATAACACAAAAAAAAGAATTGTCCTGAGTTCTATATGTTATATACAATTACTGCTAAATTGTACTTCAATTATTGAATTTGATTTGAGTTCCCGATAGGAATTGAACTGTGCTCATGCACGTAGCTAGTATTAATTGGTAGAACTGAAACAATAATTTTTCAGGTATTGCATCAAGCCTCGGAACCTCCGCGGGAACAATACATTTTTTTAAATAGATAAAAGGTTATCAATTAGTCTTGGGGGCTTTAAATCGTATCATTCCGAGCAGTTTTTAAAAGTTTGGGGTATGTAAGAAATTTCGTGTTATCTGTAAGCTGTATGTGGAATCACTTAGGTGTTGTTAATTGATCAGCATTCTTTCAATTTTAAGTATATAGTATTTTTTAAGTGTATTTTCTTTTGTAATCTCCACAAACTCCTTGTTTGCAGCCAAATTATTTTATTTGTAAATAATGTAAGTATGTAGATAAATCTTTTCTGGATAATTATATATTCTGAGCTGAGAGAATTATGAGATCTTTACCCCCACCTAGAACTACAAGGAAGAGGCGGTGGAAGCGATTTCAACGAGCTTTAAAGTCGCTATTGTTTAGAGGTCAAGTTTCGGATCCAGGTGCATTTTTTTGGAGGAGAAAAAAGCCAAATAAAGTAACCAGGAGACACTGGAATAGCGGTGAACATTTCAATTCAGGTGTAAGAGCAGCATCAGTGGCTGGAAGATTGGTAAGAAGAGCGTCGGCACCATTCATAAGATCGGTAAAAAGACCCGCAAGTTCAGTCAACATGACCGTAAAGTTTTGACAAAAAAAAACAATCAAAAGGTAACATGATACCTTATTCCTTATTTCAAATATGTCCATACTAATGTGATTAATTATTATTATTATAGTTGAAGAATTGAGATTAATAAATGATTTGGTTGAAAATATATTTTATTCGATAACTACAAATTTTTAAAAGAATTGAAGAACAACAAAAATAATTAAATTGTAAAAGTGAATATATGATGTACTAGTCAGAGTTGTATTGAGAACTGAACAGTAGAAGCTTTATTAATCAGTATCAGTCAATATATCTAGAGATAATTAGAATTCAAGACCCCTAAACATTTTGAATAATTTGCAGCAATTTGCAACAGTCAAAAAGTAAAAATACAGTAGAAGAAACTGCTACAGCACAAATTGCAAAGGCAAAAAAAAAAAAGAACAACAAATATACAATCTATGTCATACTAAAAGACGCTGCATCACATAACCTAGTAAATTATCTCACTGTTTAATAGTAGAAGTTGGTATGGTTGAGAAATATACTAGTGGGTGGGGTGGGGGACTTTGTAAAGTTGTTTTGTACTATTTTCTCAATCCCTGCACATAAGCAGAGATGAGCATAAATTTTTGTGAAGGATTCAAACTGACAAGAAGAGATGGAAGACCAAGTGATATACATCAAAGAAACTTCTATATAGTGCCAGACATGTCAGAAGAGAAGTCCCAAATTAAGATCAAATTCTTCACCAAGGAGGAAGATGAATCCATCCAGGTTTCTGACGCACCATTGTATGTCCCAGTTTCATTAAAGAGATATGGTTTATCTGAAGTTGTAAACCATTTACTCGGTAATGATGAGGAAACTGATGAAACCAAACCAGTTCCATTTGACTTCCTTATCGATGGTGTGTTATTGAGAACTTCCCTTGACGAGTACTTGACCAAGAACGGGTTGTCTAGTGAAGCTTTCTTGAACTTGGAATATACCAGAGCTGTTTTACCACCATCATTTTTGGCATCGTTCAATAATGATGATTGGGTCTCAAGTTTAGACACCATAAATACTACCTCATCAGCTGTGACCAGCTCCAATATGTCTATTCTTCAACCAAAAATATTGTCCGGTTCCTACGATGGGATTGTAAGAACTTACAATATGTCAGGAGCAGTTGAAAAGCAATACACTGGACATTCTGGTCCTATCAGAGCAGTTAAATGGATCTCTCCAACAAGAATAGTGTCTGCTGGTAATGACAGACAAGTTAGATTATGGAAAACCTCTATTGGTGAACAAGAAGATGAAGAAGATATCGAAGATGGTAAAACTTTGGCCATTTTGGAAGGTCACAAGGCCCCAGTAGTTTCTTTGGCCATTGAACACAACACTAACCGTATTTTATCAGCAGGTTATGATAACGCTATTGGATTCTGGTCTACCAACTACAAGGAAATGACTGCAGTTCAGCCATTAGAATATGATTCTAATGTTATCTCTTCATCTTCCAAGAAAAGAAGAAAGATGGCTCTTCAAGATTCTACTATCAGACGTAGATCTCCATTGGCTCTTTTAGAAGGTCACGCTCAACCAGTTGAAGATGTCACTTTTGATGCTAACGATGCCACTGTTGCCTACTCCGTATCACAAGATCATTCCATTAAAACTTGGGATTTGGTCGTTTCTCGTTGTGTTGATACCAGAACGACAGGATATTCTCTTCTTTCCACTTTACAATTACCTAACTTGCATCTCTTGGTGTGTGGTTCTTCTGCACGTCATATCAACTTGCACGATCCTCGTGTCAGTGCCACAACTACAGAACAAACCAGCAACTTGAAGTTGGTTGGTCATACCAACTTTGTGGTTGGGTTATCTGCCAACCCAACCAACGACTACATGTTCTCCTCTGCCTCTCATGATGGTACTGTTAAGGTTTGGGATGTAAGAGCTGAAAAGTCATTGTACACCATCACCAGAGAATCTAAAGAAGCCGCCAAGGGTCAAGATAAGGTATTTGCCGTTTCTTGGGACAAGGACATTGGTATTGTTAGTGGTGGCCAAGATAAGAAAATCCAAATCAACAAGGGATCTGGAATTACTAAATAGAAAATGTAATATAGACCAATGCATAGAAAAGAATATATAATACAATTGCACTACATATTTGTAAATAATTAAGCATATCGTTCATACTTCTATATACACACACACTATATACATTGAAAGGGTTGATCATTTTCTTGACGTTCAACTCTTATTCTCTTTTCTCTTGGAATTCCAAATATTCAAACCATAATAGCCCTGCCATAAACTTTGTTTGTCAGTAATATAACCAACCAATCCATTCTCTCCATATTGTTTTGGTTTATCAATGGTGGTTACACAATTTACATCTCTCCAACCCATGCTCTTACGTAATTTAGTAAGTTCATCTGCGGTTAATTCAGCTTGAGCTGCACTACCATATTTTAAAGGACCAATATTGATCCAATATCCGTTTTTAATATTATTTTTACTGGTTGGCTTGGTCAATGTTTCAATAGCATCAAAATATTCCACAATATTTTCAGCAGTATCCATGAAAAACACTGATACAACCACCACATTCTCATATTTGGATGCATCTACCGCTTCGAAATATCTGAAGTCATCGTGATTTAACACAAGGTTTTCAGGTTGTTGTCCTCCAGTATTCAATTTAATTGATCTGAATTGAGATTTAGCTTCAGTTATGTTGGAAGATGTATGAATATAGGGGTATAATTCATATGATTTAGCCTTGTCTGATTTATCAGTAGAATTATTATACATGTATGAGTTACATACATGCATCAACCCACTATATTCCACTGCTTGTACCGATCCAAACTTATCATTTGAAGAAGAGGAGCCCAATTCTGCAATAGCATGGGCAATTCTACCCAACCCAGACCCTGGCACCACAACCATGGTCTTGTGACGATCTTCAACGGCGATAGACTCGTTCAATTGGGTAACCACATTATCAACCAAGAATTGAAGTTCAGATTCACCTTCGGGACACCAATCACGAATATAATGACCAAGGGCTTCAATAACACGGTAATTCAGGGATGAGTTATTATTTTTATTGGTAGACTTCAAGAGTTCAAAGTCTCGGAAAGATAATTGATACGTTTCCATGGCTTGAGTTGCAATATCTTTCAAAAGAACTTGATTTTTCGATATTGAAGTATCAATTTTATCTAACCGTTTCAAGTATCCAACATCTTCACATAATTTTTGTTGTCTCCAAGTCATCATTTTAAATAATTTCTTATGTCTTTCATTATTTTTTTTAGAATTAGTTGAATATGATTGAAGTGATTTAATAGCTGCTAAAAGTTCAACTTTAGAAGTTTCCAGCAATGAATCAAATCTAGAACGATTGACAGTTGTAGTGGGTGGTGGAATTGAATCATTCAACATGGATGACAAGTTCAGAACATCAGTGACTTGGAGTAATTTTGTCAAGTGAGGCTCAGCCTTTTCAATCAAGGAAGTGAACACTTTGGTTCTACTAAGCATATTACAAAGGATAAATATTGAAACTAAAAGAGGTACTTGAGAATTCTTCAAGATGATTGATAGAATGTAATATGTCACAGGACATGCAAATACAATGGCAAGAAGGATTTCCCGATCAGATGCAATTGTTTCAGTATGGCGGCGGGGAACAGGCATCAAAATATACACATATGTATGGCAAGAGTAAATAAAGTGGTACGAGGTGAAGGAACTTTTTACACTCTCTCTGTAATATTGAAAGATAAGTGGATTGATAGCGGGAGATCTGAAATGCAGGAAATAATAATTGGAAAAATATATGAAATGGACTGCATAATCATTGGAAAGTCTGTAAAGGGAAAAAAAAGGTATCAAATATGAAACATGGAAATGAATATAAAACAAAAAGATATAATAGAGACTTGGAATATAAAATTCCTTTATTTTTATTTTAACTATATACAATGAATTTAACACATGATTTTCTGGATGTAATTCCTGTTAAAATCAATGAAGAAGAACCACAATTATGTCAAATTTTGTATAGTGATGAATATAAAGAAACCATGGGACTTCTTTTAGCATTATTACAAAAAAAGGAATATTCTGAAAGAGCCTTGGAACTTACACAAGAGGGGATTGAACTCTTAGCTTCTCACTATACCATTTGGAATTATCGATATAACATTCTTTTAAGATTAAATAAAGACCTTTTTGAAGAATTAGATTGGTGTGAGCAATTAGCTTTAGAGAATGAAAAAAATTATCAAATATGGAACTATCGTCAATTAATAATTGAAAGAATATTAGAATTAGAACTTGAAGATGATACAAGGACCAAGAAATTCAATCCATACCACGAATACCCTATTTTAGCAGCCATGTTGGGAGAAGATAGTAAGAATCATCATGTTTGGTCATACAGGAAATGGTTAGTAGAAAGGTTTCAACTTTATAATGATGAAAGAGAAATCTTATTTGTAGATAATTGTCTTAATGAAGATTTGAGAAATAATTCAGCATGGACACACCGATATTTCATAAAATTTGGAAATCAAGATGAAAACAAAGATGACATAAATGTCAAAATTGATAAAGAAATTTCATTTGCAATGGAAGCAATTAAAGTATCTCCACAAAATCCATCTTCATGGAATTATTTGATAGGTATATACAGAAAGTTTAAAAAATCATTGATTGAATTGGAACTGTTTTGTTTACAATTTGCAGATATCAATATTAATGAACAAACAGAAGATGTTATTAAATCTACATTTGCGTTGGAATTATTAGCAAAGATCTTTTTAGAAAAGAAGGAAACCCTCACTGCATTGGAAATATTTAAATTATTGGAAGATAAATATGATCCTATAAGAAAGAATTATTGGCAATATGAGAGAAGCAAACTTGAAGTATAGATTATTATTTTGAGACGTTATACTTTGGAATATTAACCCATAAAACATGAGAACGAATACGGGAACCCATGAACCTAAATGGGAATTAGCAAGGAGATCAAAACGGTAATGGGGGAAGTATCATTTTTAAGTTTGTTTTGATTAACTCTTAAAAATAAGGTATTATCGTTTTTATGGTTTATTTCTAGAAAATATTCCAAAAAGAACAATGCAATATGAATAAAAGACTAAAAAGTAGTAACTTAGACATTTTAAAAAGCTTGTAGGGTATTTGAAAAGGAGACTGGTGTGGCGGTAGGAGTAAATAGAAGGGGGTCGGGGGCAGTGGTGTGTTTAGAGATAACAATACACACACAGCTCCATCTACAGTATTTAAGACGGAATTGATAGAATCTGTTCGTCGGAAAAGATTTATCTGAGAGAATCGGACAAAGTATCGCTAGAATTAGAGAATAGGGGTATGTGATATAGGGGGGGGGAAGTTAACATATGAAGAGGAAAAGGGGAAATATGTGATTAACACTACTAATTAGGGAATTGAAGCGGTATGCCCAAGAAAAATAAAAATACAGGGATTTGAAATCTTGCATAGCAGACAGGACGTTGTAGATTTAATGTAAAATGGTGCGTAAAAATGCACGCAAGAGCAGGTGAAAGTCAATTGATATGAAGAAATGCCAAAATAAACAATATCTCCACTCATATGTACGGCCCCTCCCCCACCCTTTTTCACCTTATCTGTTGATGATAACAACCTATTTACGATAAGCCCTTGGGGCCATATGTATATGTGATAGGTTTTGATGGTATCTCCAACAATTGTGTTACAATCATTTTCCACTTTCCGCAGTTTATTTTTTTTTCAAACGGTATTTTCAAGGCATGAGCGCACTAATGACATTTGGATGTGCAGTTAATGCAGAAAATATATACTAGTAGGATAGATTTGGGTAAGGATATTACAACAGTGTAAATGTGTGATTAGTGAAAATTCTTGTGTGTGAGTATTCGTCATCGTTGAAAAGGCAGTAATTTAAGCAGTTTAAGTAGTATACATTCTTTTTTTGTCTATCTAACAATCCTTGTGTTAGATAGTTCGTATGATGTTCAATTCTGGGCAAGACACTATGATGAAGAGATCCCGGCCGAATAAGTCGTAAGTCCGCTGGAGGGGGGCCTAGACTCATGTGAATCAACGGGGAATTGCGAGTGATGCTTACCAAAAAAGGTCGCATTGCATGGCCCTACCATGTGCGGCAAACTCTCAAACACACGACCATATTGAATGCATACAACAGGTACGTTCGCTTTTTTTTTTGTAATTATTTTGGTTTTGTGTGTTTAGTAGCGGAAAAATTATCTATCCCATCCCATACTCCTTACAAATAGTATATATGTTTGTATATTTGTTTTAAAGTCTATGTAAAAAAACAATGGTTGAAATGAATTGGAAAAATTTCGAATGTGCGCGGAGTATTTTTTGAAAAATAGCAGTACCATTTTAGATCGAGTAAGTCGAACCAGTTTCAAGTCTACTAATGAAGAGATCCTTCGACCCAAACCGGAACGCTTACGATATGCATAATAGTCCCGAGGCTCAAAAACATAAAATGAAATGGAAAAAAAAAAAAAAATTATCAATTCTTACAACTCTCAGACGTGCACAGTGTACCAAAACGAAAAATAAAATTGAAATACTAAGAAAAACAAAAATTTACTTAGACTTTAAAGGCAAGCAATTGATGATATGTAGAGATTTGTTACATAACAATCTAGTCAGGGTGATTGTAAGATGCACAAGACCAGAATATAACTGTAAAAAGTATCCATCGGGTTATCCAGTGTGCAAGACGGTTGTCAAGTATGTCGGTAATTTTCTACTTTTTTAACAAAATTGTCACGATCCACATATGCAATACCTTTATTTTGCCAACAGTTACAGATTTGTTTTGGCGCACCAACTATGTAGCATCGACCGTATGGTCAACATTCTTTATAATTTACAACAAAGAACTTTTTTGGTGTAACCCATTGTTAATTGGATGCATTTCAAAACTTACCTACGTTCTACCTATGTTCTAGGACCCCATATGCTGATGGTGTTATTCTTACTACTTGTCCAATAGTTAGATTCCCCGGCAACGCTGCCGAATCGCTTATATCATTCCCGCCATTGGCAGTCTCAGAGGCGCATAATTTGTTAGATATTATGTATCATAAGCCCGTTTGGTGCTTTGTAAGATATTTTTTTACCTTTTTTTTTTTTTTGGTTTTCGGCCAACCGTACTTTTTTTTTTTTTTTGTGTTTTTTTTTTTAAAAAAAAAAATATTTTTTGTCCCCGTCTTGATTGAACTTCTCAAGATTTTTGGCCGCCGCCCCTTTAAGGTTCTCTTACTGCAGGTGTGGGTTTGGATTTACCGCAAAACACCTTATATCCTTGCGTTTTTGTCACCAAACTTTTTTTTTTCTAAACAGTATCCTTGCCAGATTTGTTTCTAGTGAACGAGTATTTGGATAGATTCATTCTGTATACCTTCAATACGACTTGAATATCCTAATTGATAGAATTTCCGGGTTTAGAATAATTTATTTCGCAGTTGGAAATTTTCAACTGGTGACATTTGAGAGGCCTCGAACATTTCACGTAACATATTGTTGATCCATAAATTAAAAATAAATTTAAAGGGATAGACCTAGAACATATTAAGAAGAAAGGGATAGCCCATTAGACAACCAAGAGAAAATACAAAAAAGGGAAAAAGAATAGGATTGAAGTTCTTGTTTCAAAAGTCATCACTAGTTGGAAACATTAGCGAAGAGCTTAGCGAACGCCTTTGAGAATATTATTAGTGATTGAAATCTCACAAGGATTATTAAATTTATTTAAAAGATATTCTTAACACTTCAATATGACTGATTTTAACGGATTAGGAATACTATTAGAAGAAAAGGAACATCCATTACATGAAACTATTGAAAATATTAGACAAGAAGAATTTGAAAAGGAAATCCATCAAGATCATGAAAATGAAAATATTTCATCAGAAGCAGGATCTGAACTTCTTTTGCCACCATTACCTGATGAAGAAGATATAAATCCAATAGTACCACTGATATTTTCAACAAATACATATACAAATAATACAACCATGGAAAATAAATCATTATCAGGATTTAATTCACCATTTTCAAACACTGATAAAAATCTTGAATCATCATATTTTACCGAAGATTCAAGAAGAGGATCTGATTATTCAGAAATATTACTGAATTCATGTTTATCATCATATGAACTTAGTTCACCAGGGTTAAATATGGATTCAAATACTTTCCAAAATTTCCCCTCTACAAGTGCGAATACCCCCGCAAAAGATGCTTCACAACCTAGCACCCTGCCATTGAAAAGGTTAAAAAGTTTGAAAAATGGAATACGGAAACTTTCTCTTTCTAGTAAATCTGCACCAGTTTCTAATCTTCCTACTCCAACACTTCCTATAAGACCAGTTTTATCTCCAATTCAAACTTTTTCTAAAAGATCAAGTCAAGATAGTAGTGATCTGATTTTAACTGATAATAATTTTATGAATTCAAGTGATAGACAATCTTTCCCATCTTTAACCATGTCCAAGAGAGCAAGAGCACTTTCATCATCAGCTTTAACTCCTTTAACCCCTTCATATTCATCTCCTGTTATAACTCTTTCGGAAAATTTACAAAATTCGAAAAGATCGTTATTAAACATTGAACATAGTTATTTTGATTCACTTCAAACTTCAAAGAATAATCAAAATAATAATTTATCAAATAATATTGAAGGAGAATATTATAAATCAAATGATCGTAATCGATCAATTACAGAATTAAGTAAACCAAGTGAACTTTTGGATTATTTAATGTTTTTAAAAGATCAAAAAAAATCAGTTACTGATGCTTTTGAATTAACAAGACAAAGATTAAAAGATTCAGGTTGGTGTTCAGAACATGATTTGAATAATTTACAATTACAACAAGATTCTTCTTTATGTCAACTTGAAACAAAATTACTTCAAATTAAGGAAAGACTTGATTCAGAATTTAATATGTCATTATTTAATGAAAGTTCACAAATGTGTACTAATTCTAGAAGATTTTCTGAAAGAACTATAAATTCTGACATTGAAAAGCAAGCTTTAAGTCCTTCCCTTAAAACTTTGGAGAATAGATGCTTTTCATTTTCTGAAATTCGTTAATTAGAGATTTACATGATTCGCATGAATAGTGGCTTATTTTTTTGTGAATTTCATTCATATCTTTAATCTTCATTCCCCCACACATTCCCCTCAATCAAAATGGTAGATTTACCTACTACTTCCGATTATTTTGGTGTTGCATTTTTTTTATACTGGTACCCGGGCTTTTTCTACTATTTCTACTACTACTACTACTACTACTACTACTACTTGGCTTTAACGACGCATAGAATATTTATAGACTTTTTTTTTTAAAACTGGATGGATAGCATTGCAAATTTCTTTAATTTAGCGAATGCTTTTGGGCGTTTTTTGTTCAAAATATTTCTTTGAATTCTTCCTAAGAATTTAGAAAACTTTGAAAAAAAAATTTGGAAAATATAAAAATAAAAATATTTTTGATTGTAGGGACTTTTTTAAATTATCTTGTGAAAATGGAATTGAAATAATACACTTCTATCGGACTTACACCAAGCGGCATTACGTCTTTCAAGAATTGTTTCTAAACCATCGGAATACCGATGCGTAAGTGTAAATCATCTACTATGTCATGGTAGGTCTGGACGTACATCCTGTAAGGACTTATTCAATTAGGTAATAAAAGGCATTTAATTAAAATGAATTTTTTTTTTTGAATTTTGGAAATCTTTTTTTTTTTTTCATACCATTTGAAAATGTCTCCGTTGCTAGGGCAACTAACAAATTGCCTAGCTTAGAAATTTACCTAGTTAAGAAGGGCACGACAAAAGAAAAAAGAAATAATACGAAAAAAAAATACTACTAGTTATAATTTATTCAAACAGAACAAAATGTATCGAAAACGCAGAATCCAAGGTCATGCTAGAGATTAAAGCAAGCTTAGTATGAGGTCGTTATTCGTAAATTCTTCTCGCTTTCCTTTTCCCCTCCAATCATTCATTACAGTGAATGGTGCAGTGAATAGGAAGCTTTCGTATCAAAGAAAAAACTTTTAAACATTTAAAAAAAAATTCAAACGTTGCCTTAAATACATAAATTATTGAAATACACAAAAATGCATTTATTAGGGCTTACTATATACAGGGAAATTATTCAAGCAAAACTGCATCCACTCTATAACTATATGATGCAAATCCAATTGATTCAATTGAATCATATCTATATTATTCAATTAATCGTCCATTTAATGCAACTTTTCTTGATTATCTAACTCCTTATTGTCTTTATTATCATCTTTCTTATCGTCTTTATTATGAAGTTTAATCATTTCTTCATGTTTACGTTTCCTTTCATTAGATCCAATTTTCCTCTTGTGACGTCTACCAGCTAGGTGAATTTTATAATTATCTTCTCCAACAGCTGTAAATGGATTCCCATTCTTATCTGTACATAATTCACATGTAAAATGTTTCCAAGAACTTTCTGAACCCAATTTTTTATTACTTTTCAATGCTTCAAGATTATCTGCTGTAGGGAAGACATCTTTCAAATGTTCAGGAGTTTGCATTTCCGTAACTGATTTTGGCCCCGTCGTTAAGAATTTCTTGGTAATATTAACTCCAATTTCTCTAACATTTTGGCTCCATAATGATAAATCTGTAGCATCAAGTAAATACATTTTCCCTCCATATTGGAAATTAAATCTTGATTCTTTATTCAATTCAGTTGCCAATAAATTTTTAATCCATTTAATTTGACTTTTAGCATATTGTCTAGTTCTAATTTTCATTTTTTCTACCCCTTCTTGGAAATCCTCATTAGATGTTTCTAACCATGTTAAAAATTCTTTAAATCCAATTACTTGCCATATACCTCTTGTAAGATCAGGTTTTGGATCTTGTAATTTGTAAAATTCATAAAGTTCTTTAATTTCTTCCAAGGCTCCTATTTCCATCATTTTATCAACTCTAGTATCCAATCGTGGCCTTAATACATCTGGCTCAGAATATACCCATAATACGAGTGTATTAAATTTTAATGAAGAATCTTCTAATTCATCATATTTTTGCTCTAGATAAAGCTCAGAAGTTTTCTTTTCAGTAGTGTAATAAATTTCTAAAGCTCTACGAAGCTTTCTACGATCTTGAGGATGGAACTTCCCGGCAATTATTGGATCAAGACGATTCAATTCAGTGAAAATTTCCTCTACTGGTCCATCAAGTAATTCAATTTGACTTGGAGTTAATTCATTTTTCTCTTCAACTTTAGATCCAATTGTTTTATTGCGGAATAATAAACTCAGCAAATAATAATGGGTACCACCAACAACAATAGGAACTTTCCCACGGCTATGAATGTCTTCAATAGCTGCTGAAGCTTCTTGATTAAACTTATGAATGAAATATTCTTCATCCCAATTAATATGATTCATCACATGATGTACAATTCCATCTCTTTCTTCAATAGGGTGTTTATTTGTTATAACATCCAATTTCTTGTACATTTGCATCGAGTCTGCATTGATAATTTCTCCATTTATAGCCTTGGCTAGGTCTATACTTAACTAATTAGCATGTTAGTACCAATAACTCACAATCTTTGATCTAATTTGTAACAGATTCATCTGATTTAAAATTGTAACATACTTGTGATTTACCAACACCTGTGGTTCCAACAATAGTAATAACATTTTTCTTTGGCTGCATTATTATTCGATTCTTAAGGTATCTTAGATACCTTATTAGCATCGACTATTAACTAGAGATAAATACCATGATAGATGTAAAATATGATCAAAATCCCATATCCAGATCTAGTTTAGAGCTCTATATGCACACCGAAGCAAAATGTACTAAATAAATAGCTGCCAAAAACATAATTACAATTCAATAGAATATAACTTTTTGATGGAGTGAAACATGAATTTTATTGGAATCAGGTTCGTTTTTAAAATGATATGTAGAAAATAAATGAAATTAGTCGTCTATTTAACCAAATTTAATTCCTTGTGAAGGATTCCACGCACCTCCACGCTCAGCGGGAACAAATGTTGGAACCTGTGGTTGTCTCGTATCTTGTTCATGTCCTCTATCTTGTGGTGGAGGTGATTGGATCCTACTTAATGAATTTTCTAGATTTCTACCTCCAATTCTTCTTTCATGAACATATTCATCACAGTCATGCAATACAACACTACCTTTGGCAATGAAGTCAGTATAGAATTTACACCCTTCATTCAAATTGGATATAAGATCCAAATAACTAGCATATGCGGACTCCAAGGTTTGAAGTGCTGCTTGTCTATTTCCATGTAATTCATCATTTCCAGCCATTTCCTTAATGAAAATTGTATTGAGTTCTTCAATTTCTTCCTCTAATTTCTGTTGTCTTTGTCTCAGTTCATCAATGTATGCTAATTCTTGATTGAACATATGTAAATGTCTTGTGAAGGTTTCCTCGAATGTATTCTCATCTATTTCATTCCCATTTTTATCAATTTCATTCAGCCTATAAGCATTAACTATTAATTGAAGAACATTATTTTCTCTTGATTTCATTTCAACAGAATTAATGAAAAATTTCCGATCCTCTTCAATTTTAAGACATTCATTCAAACATTTTCTCAAATCAACAATTATATGATTTAAACCTTGATTAAGATGAACAAAAGTTGAATTTGGAATATATTGTGATAATCTTTCATATCCACCCGCATATATATCAATGAACGGTTTAAGATCTTCATATCTTTGCTTAATAAATCCATCACCTTCTCTAGCTTGTCTCAAATAAAGTTTCATTTTTTCAAGTCTATCTCTTAAACTTGAAGATGCTTCCAAGGAACTAGGTCTATTCCAATGTAATGAACCATGACGGGCTTTTAATGTTTCATCTTCATTTTGTTCAATTTGGAGTCTTTCATAGCCTCCTTCAAGAATTTTCTTACTATTTAATGCCAAATTATCAAGTTCTGCAAATGAACTATCAATAAATTGAAAAGATCCATATGAAATAATTTCTTGTGAATGTTGTATGATTGAATTTGGTAAATTTTCCGGTTTTTGAATTGAATCAATTGATGATGGTAGACTTCTTTCACCAATAAAATTACGTAGTAATTTATTTAATGATTCTATTGGTTGAATGATTTGCTCTCTTATATAAGAATCTTGTCGTTCACGATATGCTTGAGCCAGTTGTATAACAATATATGGGATCAAATCTTTAAACAATGGATCAATAGTTTGATTTGTTTGTAAAAGAAATTCAGGAATAATAGGTTTGGCCATTGATACACCGACCAATGGTTTCAATTCTTCTTCATTAGGTACTGGTTTCAAATATAAAAGATCATTGTCTCTTTCTGCCACCCTCAAACTATTTTCAATACTTTCTGCAAGTCCTTGAAAATCTTCCAAAACTATAGGTTTTACATATTTTCTGTATTTGGCAGCAAGGTTACAAGTTTTGGAAGCAAGTCGAAGTTGTGCAACCTGGTCGCCATAATTGAAACTATCAAGATCCATAGAAGCTTTTCTAAAGTGTGCAGCAGCTTTGAAGTGGCATTTTTTAATCCCTAAATGATTTACCCATTCCAAAGTTATAGATTGTGATAACTTAGATTGTGTCTCCGCTTGTTCATACAATTCAGAAGTCTTGATCGCAAGCTTAGCTATCACCGAACCTTTCAAATCACCAGATACCGCCTTCTGCCATACCGTTTCTTGAGCTTGAGCTTCCATTATCAATTGTAATGCCTTGATCGTATTCTGTTGAAGATCCAGTGGGAGTGTGTTGTGATGTTCTGGGTATTTCTCTTCATTATTCAATATATAATTAAAACTACCCGCAGCAGTTTGGAATAACGAGCACGCCTTCTTTAACCCTTCATCAGTGAATCTCGATTCTTTTAATGCTAAAAGGGAATGAATTGCTCCAATTTGATACACTATGTTGATTCTTTCTACAAAGAGTGATTTGAGCTCATATGGCCCCATCAAACGATAACCTAGTGTATCATACCACAAAAACAGAGCACAATCATCGGGGAACTTACGACCAATCAGCTTGAGATGCAGATAATACACTTCAGTAGATTTTATATCGTCTGTAATAATTTCTGATTCTTTAATTGATCCAATTTGTTTCCTCAATGAATCTATAAAATTTGTATCTTTTTCAAACATCCCCAGCGATTGGAAAAAATCCTTGGATATAGCATCCTTTAATTGATTTCCCAATTCAATCTCTGATGTTTGTCTGAGAGGGATTGCTAATAAATTTGAATTCATCTTGTAGTCAATATTGTAGCAAACTAAACCCTCAAGATTGAAATCAAAATATATTTGTTCTACAAACGCTAGTGCGCGAATCTTATCAGATAAAAGGAAATCCCTACAATACCATATTCTATTATTATTATTATTATTATTTTTAAGTCTTCTATACTTGGAATGCTTACTGTACTCTTCTTCTTTCTCTGAGAATACTACTAGCTTTTTGTTCACCTTGTACTAGCTCATCCACCATTTTTTGTAAATTGTTTGTCCTAGTAGCCATTGCTATTTCCTCTTCTTGTGACATGGCGACATAATTCTTTAATGATATGTCAACATCTTCAATCTCTATAAAAGTATCCTTTATTGCCCGTAATATATTATTCTCAATATCTGCAAACTCCTCATATCCTATCTTTGACGTTAATTCTTCTTGTTTCCTTGTAGCTTCTGAATAAAATTCATGAAGTAAATTTATCACCTTTTCTGCATCTTCAAAACTTTTCCCAACTAGGAATTCTTTCTCTTGAAGTCTGACTCTTTCAGCACTATTGTCCAATTCTTTATTTATTTCATCATGGATTATTGCAAATTCTTCTTCATCAAGATCTTCAACCAATTCAGTAGGAATTTTGGAATCAACATATTTGGCATAATCAGATTTAATTAGATTTGAAACTTCATGTACGATTAATCGATCTAATTCCAGTAATCCAGCAAGTTTCAAGTTCACCTTATCGGGATTCGGAATGTTAAGTCCCCTTTGAACTACCTGCGAACGTCTTAATTTGGCTCTTTCCAAGGTTTCTTGACTTAATTTTGCTAAATTTCGCAATATTTCACCTCTATCATTATTTTCTAAATTCTTGGAAGTTCCTTCCAGAGTTAAAATCATAGTTTCATTATCATCAAAACTTGGTAGTACTATATCATGTACTTGCTTTGGTTTTGGTAAAAGTGAAAATAATTTAGATAATTCTCCCTTAATTGAAGAAGATGATTTTATGGGTTTTTTCTTTTCGATACTTTGAGTTTGTTTTGGTGTAATATCATTCTTAATTGATGATTCAAAATCTTGTTCTTCATTCTGAATTAAACTAGATGTTATTCCCTGCTTTTTCTTAAGTTCCAACGTTGCTTTCAAGATTCTTTCATCTATCCCCTCTTCGTTAGTGTTTGAATCTTCCTTTCCAACATCATTTGGTTCTGACTTTACAAATATTCCAGAGAATGAATGTTGTTCGGCTTCATTTTTAAAATTTTCATTTATAGGTGCTGGGATATTAAACTTTTGTCGTTTCACAAGTCTCTCATCTTCACGTATATCTGCTTCTCCTTCAAATCCTATAGGTTCAAATTGCGATGAACCTCCATCATTTTGGGGTCTTTTCGTTCGTTTTCTTTTAGATTTGTCTTCATTTTTATCAAGAGGGATCCCCAGCTCTTGCACTGACTTAACAAATTGTACTTTATCAGCTAAATTACCCTGTAATTCTTCTTCTACATCATACAATCCTTGTTGTGGCGTAACTTCATGTGGGATATCGGCATTATAATCAAATTCTTTCCTCTTCTTTTTATTCTTCAGTTCAAGTGATACATTGATACCAGCAGCCTTAAGTTCTCTACGTTTTTGTAAAAGTGAAATTCTTTTCGTTTCTTCTAACATTCTTTCTCTTGCCTTACGTTGTGCCTTTTTACCTTGCGTGTTGGCAAGTCTAGCTCTTGCTTCTGAAAGCATTTCCATTTCTTCATCATCCATTGTTTCTTCATCTGGACGCGCAGGCTTACTTTCTGGATTTATATTCAAGTCTCCTGCAATTGCCTTACCGGTTCCTGGGAGTGCTTCTATCCCTGGACCAGTGAAATCAACATCGGTTGATTCATTGACTTCTATCCCACTTGCATCATCAAGTAATTTCTGATATCTTTCAACACAATGTGTAGCGGTTCTACCCATCATAGGAGAAATCGTACGCCATTGATTCGGCACTAATTTTACAAGTCGCAACAACTTTTCATCTTCTTCACGAGTCCATTCTGATTTATTGACATTGGGATTTAGATATTCTTGCCATCTTGCCTTGGCTTGTTTAGCAGATTTTTTAGCTAGAAGTGATGAGACTCTTGCCCATTGATTTAGCCCATATTTTGAAACTGCAGCTTTAAGAATCTCATCTTCAACATTTGTCCAAACACCACCCTTGACATATATTGGAGGCATGTTATATAGATATGAAGCTAAGAAATCCTTCTATTGACTTTAAATGGTTTGAAGAAGTTTGGAAACTGATTGAAAACTTTTAAAACTGTTTCCCTTTTTTACACAGTTAAGCAGTAAGATTAAATGAAATCAATCTATATATGAAAATAATTAAATAATCTGGTCTCTCTCTCTTTACTACTGATATTCTATGGCATCGATATAGCAAAGGGTTATGTGCACACCAAAACATGGGAAAATTACAAATCACAAGCGTGAGCCCACACAATTTCTATTAAACCAACAATGTTTCTTTAAGTATTAGGATTCCCAATAAAATAATAGCAATATCTGCAGTAGATCTAAAATATATAAAATTATTTTTGGATTTTCCTACACCTTTATACTCCCCTCACTTTAAGCATAGGATCTCACATTGCGATCAATTCTTGATTGAGCATATTCCCTAATAAAGATTCATTTGCTATCTCGGGTTTTGAAATTTTGGGAGCTTCAAACCGGTAAAGTTAAAAAAACGCAAGAAATTAATAGAAATATAATATATTATTATACCCAATATCGAGTTCATTAAAAGATGGGGATTCTTCATTCAAAACATCAGAAGCTTATTCTTCAATGTTATCCTCCCGGCAAAGCCGTCGATAAGAAGCCGAACCCTTCTGAATTATCATATCTCCTTTATTATGCATCCACTAGAAGAGTCAAATTGGAGAAAGTTGTTGCATATCTTCATAGTAGAACAACTTCTGATACCAGCAGAACGAGGGCTGGAAATCTTCAAGTAACTCTCAGTATCTTGTCAGCCCTTATTGAGAAATGTTCCGAGAATTTGAATGTATTTGCTAATGAAGTATGTACTATTCTTAGACTCATACTTAAAGTACATGATGTTGCACTTCGTAAAAGTGTTTTGAAAACATATGGGGTACTTTGTGAACATCTTGATGGTGGTCTTTTCTCAGGTGATAAAGAATTTGTTGATTCATTTACCGTTCTTTCTCAATTGCTTATCGATTCGGCAAAAGAAACAGTCGCCGGTCCCGATCTGTTAGATTGGAAACTAATCTCTGTGCTAGCTTGTGAATACGTTTCCAATTGTATTGGGTTTAATATCAAGGTTGCTAAACATTTCACTACTGAATGTATTCCATTACTTTTAGATATTGTTAAACCAAATAATTCAGTTCAAGTTCTACGTGAGCGTTTCCATGTCAATGAGAATGAATTAGCAGGGAAATCATCTCAAGTACGTAAAGATAGTGTTGTTACTGCTATTGTTCATACAGAAACAGATGTTGCACTCACTTCACAAGATGTCGATGAAGCCGCATTCACATCTTTGAAATCATTCTTTGATACGTCCCTTATAAGTCAAATCAGTGCCAGTACAAATGCTGTTGTCAAACATACATTCAACGCACAAGATTGTAGTTGGGGCCGTACTGTTATAGAGGTATGTGCAACATGGATTCCAGTTCAATTAAGATTCGTGGCCCTTTCCACTCTTCTTACTAGACTTAATTCCATTCTGGATGAAGCATCATCCAAAAATCCTCAATATCAATCACAGATCCAATATGCAAACTATATTCTTGGACTTGTATCATCAGATGTAAATATGATTGGACTTTCCGTTTCTGATATTATTCAACAATTATTAAGTTTACAAGCTTCAGTAGCTCTCCATCATTCACTGTTTCTTTCTGAGCTTGAGGTCCATGAACTATTAACAGTATACTCCAATTGTATTTGCAATTTATCTACCCATGTTTACTACTTTGATCAAGTTCCTGATTCAATCCAAGAGATTTTGATGAAGGTCGATTCAGTCTTGGAACAATCATTCCCAATCCAAAATCCTGATATAACTATCAACACAAATGCAACAACATTGCGCTCAATGAATCCCGTGAATGGTAAAAACTTGAAGAATCTTATTATCACCCTTTTACAAAACATAACTATAATCTTTAGTATTTTAAAAAAGAAACCCAGTACAATTTCTCGGAATTATGTTCAATTTGAACATTGGGAAATAAGTCTTGGATTACTCTCACCTGAAACAGATTTCGAAGGCTTTGATCCAAACATCTTGTCCCCAGAAGATGTCTCTGATATTCAAATTGAATATTTACAAATTTTCCGGGATTATATTGCGCTGGAGATATTCTCAAATGAAGAGTATGATCAATCTGGTTCAAATGAAATGATTTCTACTGAAAATATTGTACTTGAATCGAAAACTTATTTAATTCCTGATACAAATAATTATATCAGTAACTCTGATAACTTTATTACTCATTTTTTGGCTCATGTTGATAAACTTTTCCAAAAAAGAGAACCACCAAATATTGAACTTTTAATGTTGGTTTCTCATACACTTAAGGATCTTTCAGGATTACTCGGAATTAATTTTCTTAGTAATTATATCCCATTTTTCTTCCACTGGATTTTAAAATCAACTGAATCTGTTCTGCCAAATCCTGCTGATGACGAAAGTGCAAGAGCACGAGATACCATTGCATATGGTATAATGCATGACACCATGAAGGTTTTAAATGATAAGTATCAACAAATTCCTAATGGTTATTGCTACAGTTCAGATTTCTTTATTGGCATTGAAGAAGATATTGATTATCGTAGATGTAATGGTCTTTGGGATGGTAGACTAGTTACTTGTGAATTATCAGTAGCCCATCAAAAGGAGTCATTATCGCACAACACCACAAAGAAGGGATTCCAAATGTTTGTTAACGGGGATGCGTGGTTACTCTCTTGCATCAACCCATACAATGCATTATCACTCGATACTTCACGCTCATATCTTCGCATAGATCAACATCAAGATGCAAGAAATCATCACGTTCCAGATTTTACATTATCCTCAAATTCAAGCATTGGATCAGATTTCGTATTATCACCACCAACTAATTCCCATTCCTATAGTGTAGGTTTGGGGTTGGGAACTGCAGGTGACATCACATCTATTCATTCTGGCCTTAATAACGGACACTTTGGATCTCAATCAAGAAATGGATATTTCGACAATAATGGTTCGATCGCCAGTAGACAACAAATATCACCTAGAGTTTCAGATTTGAAAGATGCTATGTTCCAAAGGGATAAGATTCCTGCCATCCAATTTGGTGAGAAGTTCAACCCATCATCTGCAAAATCTGTATTATCTAGACAATTAGTTCAAACAGATGTTGATTCAATCCTTGAGGGGTTAGATTCTGATTGTGATTCAGAAATTGTTGTTTAATAGACATTAAAGATATTACCTTTTATATTATATGAATTTAAAGGTATATCTCGGGTTATTCTATGCTATGCCCAAAGTAATATAGTACACAAACCCATCCATTCTACATATTAATAATCCCAATATATAAATATATATATATAACAAATTTATATACACAAAAATTATATCTTTAAAAAAAGTAAACGTTACATTGATTTAAATAAACTAGTCGTCATCATCATCACCCAAAGCTTCAAAGGCATTGAAGGAAATAGTCTGTTTGTCTGCGATGGCATCTCTAGGATCCACAGCCTTGGAGGAGCCCAAGTTCTTATTGTTTGGCTTAACCTTTATTTGTTGTGGATCCTTCAAGCCTTCTCTGAACTTGGTTCTTTCTTCAACAGCATCTTCAGAACCAAAGGACTTCTTTGGCTTGGTTAAAGTAGCCCACCCATCTTCGTCAACCTTGACAGTGTCCACACTCTTCTTTCTCAAATTTGGCTTGGTACCGGTACGGGAAGCTCTTCTTCTATTTAAGTGGTGGTATGGTCTTTCGTTACCACGTTCGTCAATGTAGGTGTCACCATTACCCCATTTGATATTCTTATGCTTTTCATATTCTGCAGCGGCATGTTCCTTAACCAGTTCCACCATTTGGTTGAATGCTTCCAAAATTTGAGGTTGTGGAACGTGGGCCTCTTCTTGGATTTCAAACAATTGCTCTTCGGTGTACTTTCCCATTTTCGATTTGCGTTATAGTGTCCTGTTGAATACCTTTACCTATGGTTCAAACTCCAACCTTTTGACTATTCAATCGAAAAAATGAGGAAAAACTATATTGAGGGGGGCACTACTTGTCACGAGACAGTAAACATTAAATTAATTCTTTTTTTTTTCTTGTCTAAGAAAAAATAAATAAAAAAAATAGGCTTATAGACAGGATGTGGGATGAGGAAGATGTGCTCAGGGAGTGTAATGTAGACTGTTAGTCAATGCTAATAGTGTTTTAATATAGGATCTTCTTTTTTAATTTTCTTGTTATTGATATCCAACACGAATAATGCCAATCGCTCATAGTTTAAATAAAGTTTCCAAGAGTATATCTAAGTCCAAGGGTCTGTTGCATATCAAGGGACGTAAGTTCAAGCAATTAAACAGAGCCACTTTGAGAGATCAAAAGTTGAACGATAGGAAATTAAAGGCTAAGGACATCAGAGATAAGGGACTTTTAAGTGTTAAGTTTTTACAAGAAGCAATTAGAAACAGACCAGAAAGGGATGTTTTCACCCTTGATGACATGAAGTTATTTATCGAAGGATACATTTCAAGATACGATGAAGAATTAGAAACTTTGAGACATGACAGAAGACCGGGAAGACCTGCCACCAGTAGACAACAAATCTTGGAAGAAAAAGTGAAGCATGAACGTCAAATATATGAAACTGGATTCAAAATACCCGACCTTAGTAACAAGGATACTGTAGAAAAGTTGAGACTTTGGACTGGTTCTTCCGGAGGTACCACCGTGATGAAGTTTGTTCACATTTCCAAGGATATGACTGTTCTTCCAACCGCTGAAGTAGAAATGAGCTAATTGAGTTGGTTTAGTTTTAGAAATATGTACACTAGTTTAATGCATTTAATAACATATAAATATCTTACGGAATAGTAAAATACAATGATCTAATTGAAAACATAAACAAATATTTAAAGTGAAAACAATCTAAATAAAAAATCAAACTTTAACTCTCCACACACATTCCGCTAACCACAAAAACCTTTCCACGGTTTATCCTTTCCAATGATACCAATAAGCTTTCCCTTCAAGAACCAGCTTTCCCACCATTTCCCAAATATAAAATAAAATCTACAGTCTTGAACTCCAGAGCCAGCTCTTCCACGACGTTGATTTCTTCACTTCCACAGGGTCAGTACCATCCAGAACTGGGATACTCACCACAGTTTCTTCTGGACCGTTACCAATAACCGCAATTTCTGTAGAAGGAATTTGATTAACTGGTCCATAGGAGACTTCTTCTAATTTTTCCCCTAACCACCAGTTAATCCCTACCAACGAAAGAAACATTGCACCCGTACCAGCAAGAAGAGTTCTTAGCTTAGAAAAGATCCAATCTCTCTTCTCATTACTGTCACGAGCGAAAACCAACAATTTCTCTCCGTCACCTCCACCTCCAATGATCTTCCAATTTCTTCTCTGTTGTTTCTTCACATTCTTAATCAACTTGTGTAAATCATGCCTAGGAAACTTATTCAACACTGTGAACATATCTTCTTCAATATGATTTGGCCCAAGTGGGTTAACAGAGGATTTAATGCTTGATCCATTACCAGTCCAGAGTAAATACTCTTTTCTTCCCCTTGAAGCTGAAGGTTCAGGGAATAATAACCTACTAGAGTCTCCACCAAACGAGGAAAGCGGACTGAAAAAGTTTCCAGATTCCAACGATCTGTGAGAGTTACACATACTAGTACTCCAATCGTATGCTTTACTTTCACGAAATTTCCTTTCTTTTTTTAACTCTTTTTCCTTTTTGGCATTCCTTAAAAATCCCTCCAAGTTTTCCACAGATGTATCATTAGCAATTGATGTTTCCTGACGATAACTTTTTCTAATGTTTTCAGCAGTTAATGATTCCAATTCTTCATCTTCGGTTACTTTTTCACGAGGGTAATTGTACTTTTCTTTCAATATTTTCTCTTGTTGTTCTTGGACTGTGAAAAAAGTATTTTCTTCGAGTGGTTTATTACCCTTGGGAATTTTTGAACTAACGTGTTCAGGGTCATTATAAGTGACATTTTTAATAGAGAAACCATTATCCTTGAGAGTTGCCCTACTAGTCATGAAGTCCAGAATATCAAACTTATTTTCCTTTGCTTGTTCTGCATCTGTAAATAAATGATCTTTCTCTTGCATGGAAACAGCCTTAACCTTAATTGGAGGCACCGAACCTTTACAGTTTTTATAGAGCTCTTCAACATCACCCAATTCTAAAATCGAGTAGCCATTCTTTGCTTTATCAACCAATGAGTACAAAAATAATGGGAACTTCTCAACTTGCGGATTCAATGATTGAAGTGAGGAAATAACAAATTTGAACATTGGAACATTATAAGTTTCATTCTGTTCAACTTTAGATAAACAAGCTTTAAGAGCGATATTGAAATCTTCAGTTGAGATTCTGGCAAATTCTGCCACAGTGAATGATCCCCAATTATTATACTCGCGAATTTGTTTCAATGTCTCAGCATGCTTCTGGACAAGTTCAAAAGTTTCTACCAATGCTGGATCTATTTCATGTGATTCATTTGAACGTATACGTTCATGCTTCAATTCAAATTCCTTGAATACTTTTGAATTCAATATAACTTGATCTAAAACAAATGCATGTTCATTGTTATATTTGAATAGAATTGTAAGATTCCGGAATAGTTTACGATATAAAACTTTTTCAGGGTTTGAATCAGGAATTTCATCAATTATTCCTTGTAAAGATTGTAATATTGATTTACAATCAATACTTGCAAAATTCGAACCTAATGTCTTTTGTAAAGTAATCAATTCGTTAACATATTCTTCCAATGCAAATCCTTCTGGAACTTGAAAATATGTGGTATTTGATGTAGACTTTTCATTTTCTTTTACTATTTTCTTCTCAAAGTTGTTGAATACGGATTGACTGTGGATTAAAGTATCAAGAACTGACGTATCTCCATAATTGATAGAAAATAATATGTCCAATTGATTTTTCAACTTACGGAATTCCAACTTTTGATCTAATCCCAACGTCTCAATGAACTCATCAAGTTCATCCATTATATAATCTTCTTCAAGTTCGCCAAAATCTTGATTACACAACCAGTCGACTCTAAAAGTTTCAAGTTGATCGACATATTTATAAATTTGCAGATCGTCAGGGATCTCAGTATATTCACGAGGGTGCAAACTTCTTTCGTGATCATACTTAGAAACCCAAACGTGGAAAATATTTTCAGCCAGAATTGATAAATTTTCAATTTCATCAATTTTACAATGTTGCATATCATAAACAATCTGTTCAAGTTCTCTTTTATCTGATGCAAGGTGATCTAAACGCTCCTCAGTTAATTTCGAACTAGGACTTTTCGAGGAAACATCAGTATAATACAGGATAATATTCCGTACAGTTGGTCCATGAACGTCAGATAAACGCAGTTTAACATGAGCAAAATCTCTTTGAATAAGAAATTGTCTCATAATCAACAGGTCATCATTAGCCTCGCAAATTTTATCAATCATACTTAATTCTAAATTAGCAAACCTACCTGACCCAAGCAAATTAAACATTTCATCAAATAAGAGTTTACAATCTTCTGTATCCTTCCTATTTTGATAGAGAATATTTAAAAGTTCTTCGGGTCTTAAATCAGCAAACAGTTTACCACCAAGAATGTCTCTCTTCACATAAGATAAGACCAGCTTATGTTGAGAAAGATGAGAAATATCTTGCCTTTGACTAGCGAATTTTTCAGCGATCAACTCAGACTTTGGATCTTCAGCTATATAAGCCAAACCAAGAGGAATTGTATCAAATTGCAGTAAGAATTCTTTTAACGCTTCATATCTTTTGACTTGGATCAAAGCCATAAAATAATCTTCACCTATTTCCCCGGATTCTCCCAACTCATGTACTTCAAGACTCTTGAATTGATTCAATTCGTGTTCAAGAATATTGGCTATCTCATTAGCCTTTGACTTTTTCAAATCAGTAAATTTTGATACGTTTCGAATCTCTGGGATGAATTTCCAAGCACCAAAGTCAAAATAAAAGTATTTGGCAATTTCTTGTTGTAAAAACTCATTTAATTTTTCTGGAACAAGAGATGAATCTTTCAAATTATTTAGCCCATTTAATGAGTATTCACATTCTTCTAAACTGACGGAATCAATTTCACCATCTTTAACTGATTGTGTAAATAATTTGAGATACTCTTCAATCTCAGATATTTTCAAGTGATTGATGCCTAAAATGGTATCCGTATTGTCTAAATTCCGTAAAAATATCTGAAACTCTTCTAAGACAGCTCTATTTTCCTTTGCAAAAGATTCAATTTGGTTCAAATCATCTGGCGTAAGTACTAAAGTTTCGGATTTAGTGTCATTTACTGGGGGTTTACTCCTGAACACATTTGGATCAACAAATCCCTTTTTCTTTCTTTGGATTGCTTTCGGAGTTTTCTTCATAGATATAAGATCAATTTCATAATCTTCATCTTCATTCCCTGTGGATGTTGCTAAATGCCGAGATTGGGTAAGTAATGGTACCCCATCATAGATCTTGGTGTGTACACTTCTAAGTAATAAACAGGAGGAATCGACATTTCTCATCACCATTACGTTGGTCATGGATTTTCCTGCAAACGTTGGAAGCCTAGATATACTAGACACCATATATGTTGCTTTATATCTCATCTCTAAAAAAAGTAATAATTGAAGATAAGATTTACCTTAGGGGGTGCTGCGATGTAATATATCTCAATAATAAAAAGAATTAGATAGATTAGCTTCTCCTTTATATAAAAGCTTAAATAGGAATTGAGTATAAATATATGAATAATATCATAAAATATATCAATATCTATCCTTCTTTTGAAAGGGAAACTTTTATTTATGTGGATGTATTAGGGTGGTAGATTAGGTGTATCAGATCAATTTAGGGGATGTTTCTGCATCTATTCGATTTTGTGTTAGTATCAGCAGTTAGGGAGTTACCAAAGTTTATCTGCACTCCATCACTGTTTTACAATCATGTCACGTGATCACATAAACTGACCTTTGTATAGAAATTGTAACATTCGAATGACTAAGTGATTCAAAGACTAAATTAACCAATATTTTTGACTAGGAATATATATGTATAGGTGAAATATTAATCAATGCTGAATATTACAGATATTTGTTTATTCAAGGAGTTCGTAATTCTACGGTCGTATTCAATTTTAGTTCAAAATTCCTTCTTTGTCGTGTTCGGCTATTATGTAACATTCTGGCGCGCTTGGTGCCGTTTCTTGCAGCGATATATGCACCAAGTACAACTTTTCTATTGCCTCACTTAGTGTCATCTAATAAATATTTCTATCTATTTATGATGCCAGCAATCACCGAGTAGGAGTATAATCATCACTACATACCATACGATGATACCAATTTAATTTAAATTGTAAAACTTAAATCGTCTACACAACAAGTAACGTGATTCTGTCACCGAATAAGTTGTCATTCATAAATTTAGACAGGCAGGTACTACCACGCGCCATAACGTGACAACGGTAACATAGTAAGGAAAAAAAAAAAGGGCTTAAAAACAGTATGAAAAAAAAAAAAGAATGAAGAAATAGGAGCGCGAGTCAATCAGAGAAAAGCAAAAAAAAAAAACAGGATAATGCGAACAGAGGCTATACCAGGCTATACCGGTTAATACTTTTTTTCAACAATTATAGCAAAATTTTATACCGAAGAGCATTCAATGTATTGAAGGTTACTGATGGAGAATTCCACTCGGAGTCGGTATAGAGATATATTTAAAATTTGGATGAATATTTTTTTCCTTGATTCTTCGATGTGATACACATTGCATACTCGCTTAATACATAATTAAAGAGAGAGAATGAATAGTAAGAAATATTTTTTATTCATTATGGAATGATTTCTGATGTATGTGCCAAGATTGTATGGACTGGGGCCTTGTAGTACCGTTTTAAGATGCATATTTTTGGTGGATGGTGGAGATCCCCCACGGCAAAAATATTGCGTCTTCATCCCCCACCGGTTTCGGAGAACAAAAATTATTTAGGCGAAGAAAAATGCGTGACTAATTTTACCCTCCATTATATGTCCACTTAACCGAAGATTTCAAAAGAAATCTATATGGGAAAAATTTTCCAGGGGCGAAGCAGATGAAATCTTAAATTTTACCTGTCTTCTCGATTTGTTTATAAATTAAATTTCAATATTCTATCGTTAGCAAGTCAAACTTTAATTTCTTTGTGTAAAGGCATTACTTTCATGACTTGAGTGAGGAAAAAAAAAACAATTTTATGTACGTTATGCGTTTTCTGCACCATGTACACTTCGGAAACTGACTTCATATAACGATGAACTCGTAATTCATCAGTTTCAAGAGTTCTAGAAAATCTTTTTGCTCTTTTTTTTTTTGACTAATAATTTCTTTTTTTAAATCCTCCTCTATTATAACTCCATATTCTGTACAATTAAAGATTTTCTATCTTTATATTTGCTATTTTGCCCGGAGTACCGTTTTTGTATTTATTTTGATTTAGTCAAAAGATCTCGAAATAGGGACTACCTCGACAATTATAGTAATAGTCTATTTCATTTATTAATTTCAATAAGGTCAGCTTAATTAAAATTAAATTTTATCTAATTCTGACTTTGGCTTTTGATTTATTTGACTAGGGCTACGAACACCCATCACAATCATTCACCACATTGACTTCCACCAAGTTAAAAGTTTTCCTTCTACGGAGTACCGAGAGAGTACATATATATATGGTTAATTGCTATGTCGTCGCCTAACCGGTTCATAGCACCCATCCCAACAAAACCATATACCTCACTGATAATATCTCCTTCGGAGAATCTGATGGTAAATAAAATCCCTGATTTGGATTTGCTTGTTAATTTATGTTTCCAAGTACATTCTAAAACTAGGAAATTATTGTTTTCAGACGAAGCAAAGGATACACATCAAGAGCATATACATTGGGATGATGATACATTATTAGCATATCAATTTGCAAGATATGTTACTTCATTACATTGTGAAGAAAACTTGAGGTTTTTAATTGAAATCTTCAAGTATGAATATCTTTATGATTTAATTCATCCAAACAATGATAACATCAGGTTAAATACTCCATCACCTAAACTAGCATATTTGAGTGTTTCACTGTCAAGATCCATCGATAGACTTGCAAATTCTTCAAAGTATACAAAAAAAATTACCCGTCTGCATTCCTTACAAAAGACCACATCTGGACTGTCTGCGAACACTGTTGATCATGAACCTACTTCAGTATTTGTTTCTAGTATTGATGATATGGGCGAACCAAATTTGTATAAGGAAGCAACTACGAATGTATGGGATGATTTAATGGAGAAGGAAATTGGAGCTATTTCCGATGAAAGCTCATTAGAAGAAGAATTAATAATCGATACAAGTCATATTTCCGATGAAACTACTTTGAAGCTTAATCGAGAATTGATGGCCCAATGGGATCACATTGTACAACATTATATTGATGAAGATGCTCAAGAACAAATCAACATTTCCAATAAAGCATATAGAGAAATTCTTTCAGAAGATCTTGGACCAAAGGGAGTTATTCATAACCCAATAACTCTTTTGAGGGCAAAGAATGAAGTTTTAAGACTTATCAAAGAAAATGCATACACTAGATTTGTTAAATTAATACAAAATGAAGAACCATCAAATAGATGTTTGGCTCTTCAATTACCATGTTGCACGGAAAATTCTTCAAAACAGCTGTCCTTTAGAACATCGAGCTCTTCTCTATCTAGCTCATCACCATATAATTCTATTTTGAATTCACCACATCAACTGTTGACCAACCTACAAGCTGCTGATTCTACAAGTACTATATTGGGTACTAACGCACTTTCAAACAAAAAGACACATACAAGAACGATGTCTAATCTGTTGAATACCGATCTGACACCAAATAATTCTGCGAATAGATCCATACCTATTACACCAAATGCATCACCAATGATTACGCCGGTTCAATCGAGTTCTCAACAAAAATACAAATCGAAGTCGCATAGACTTCGTCACCTTGCATCACCAACTTCATCGTCTGGTTCTTCTTCTTCTTCTCTTTCTGCATTTTTGGGTCATCTTAAACTTAATTCAGGTAGTAATCTGGGAAGTCAACAACATTCTCAAAGTTCAAGCCCTGTTTATGGAGAACCAAAGAGTGATTTACGTCCAGGATCTCCAAATTCTACTGTGAGCAATTCATATGAAGAAGGTGTTAAAACTAAATTTGGAAGAATGTGGAAAATCAAAAAATAATAGAGAATACCTAACAAGAAATGGATTCTAAACAGGAGAAAATAAGAAGCATAATCACAAACAAGCTATATAGAATAGAGGGTACCGATAATAAGAAGGAACAAATTTATAGAATATAACGATGACATTTAATTTAAATGATCCATCATATATAACATTGCATACGAATAATACAATATTTATTCTAGAACAAGTAGGGAAATAAGAACATAATCCAGAATTACAATTCTGAACTTCATCATGTGGAATCACCTAATGAGAGTAGAACGTTGCGTGATTCCAACATCTTTGAACAATCTTTTAAAGAACCTGTATTCAATATATACAAAATAGATTCCGGAACTCAATTATGGGAAATGGGATCATGATGCATCATGTAATTGTTTACATTCACTAATATACGTATAAAAGCATTTCTTTTTCACATTAAGCTTTTCGAGTGAAATTTTTTTTTTCTTCTACTCTTGTTACAATGTCAACCAAATTCCTATACGTAGCAAAAAAAAAGTATTATTGGAAATAAAAACACAAGTTCTACCAACTGAAGCAAACTGCAAATTTTGGTGGATAATTTTCTTATAACAAATTTAAATAGCTACCCTTACTCTACACCGACCTTGGTAGTAGTCTACTTACAAAACAAAGTACTTACCTGAAAGAAAATTTATCTACACTCTCATAAATAGAGTACAACTTGAACTACTCAATCTAATAAGTAAATTCAAACTCTTTAGATCTTATATAATCAACCATTAATTTTTCAGCCTCAAGTCCCTTATGACACATTTTGGTCCACAATTTTTCTCTCTGATCTTAGACCGCGCTTATTGCCAACACTTACTTCTTTGGTGTTTCCCGATTGGTTGATAACGCGCTGACTCATGCACTTTCACAATTTTGTACCACAAATTCGTATACGAATCTTGTATATACATATATCACTGTATATATTCCAAATATCCTGTATGTATTGAGGCTATATACAAGAAAATCCCGATACACGACCCTAAAAGTCTGCCTTTTTTTTTTTCTTCACTTTGAAACCTCTTAAATAGTATAAATGATATTTTTTAAACCTTTTCCCTGAAGATAAAATTTTTCTTCATTAGATTTTTTTTCGTTACCTGTCTGATTCTGACAATTTTCATTTAAGTCTAAGGTATAATCTCTTCAAATCAGAATGCTTAGACATACTATTGGGAGAGCTTCCAAGAGAATCTCTAGATCGACTAGAAATGTTTCTAAATTGGCAACCTCCACTAAAAGTGTTGGAGTAGATACTCAAACTGCGGCCAAAGCTGCCACTGCCAAATCTTACTCTACTCGTTCCACTGTCGTTCAATTACTTAACAACATTGGTTCTAAGAGAGAAGTTGAACAATATCTTAAGTATTTCACATCTGTATCTCAACAACAATTCGCAGTGATCAAGGTTGGTGGTGCTATTATTACTCAACAACTTCCAGAACTTGCTTCTTGTCTTGCTTTCCTTTACCATGTTGGTTTGTATCCAATTGTCTTGCATGGTACTGGTCCACAGATTAATGAACTTCTTGAAAACGAAGGTGTTGAACCTGAATACATTGATGGGATTAGAATAACAAATGATAAAACTATGGAAGTTGTCCGTAAATGTTTCCTTGAACAAAACCTTCGTTTGGTTACTGCTCTTGAAAAGATGGGTGTTCATGCTAGACCAATCACTGCTGGTGTTTTCGGTGCTGAATATTTGGATCAAGATAAATATCAATTGGTTGGTAAAGTTAACTCTGTCAATAAGGCACCAATTGAAGCTGCCATTGAAGCTGGTTACTTGCCAATTTTAACTTCTCTTGCTGAAACTCCTTCTGGACAATTATTGAACGTTAATGCTGACGTTGCCGCGGGTGAATTAGCCAGAGAATTTGAACCATTAAAGATTGTTTATTTGAACGAAAAGGGTGGTATTATCAATGGTAATACTGGTGAAAAAGTTAGTGTAATTAACTTGGATGAAGAATATGAAGATTTATTGAAAGAAAGTTGGGTCAAATATGGTACTAAGCTTAAGATTAAAGAAATCCATGACCTTTTACAACATTTACCAAGATCATCTTCTGTTGCTATTATTGATGTCGATGACTTACAAAAGGAATTATTCACTGATTCTGGTGCTGGTACCTTAATTAGAAGAGGATATAAGTTGATCAACCGTAACTCATTGAAGGACTTTGGTAACCCAGATTTGTTAAGAGCTGCCTTGTTGAGAGATCCGGAAATTAAAGCTGGTAAGTTATCCGCTGCTTCTTACTTGAAGACTTTGGAATCCGTTCAATTCAAGTCTTATGGTGATGAACCATTGGAAGTTTTAGCCATTGTTATTGCTGAACAAGAAGGTAAAGTTGCTAAATTGGATAAATTCTTGTCTTCGAGAACTGGTTGGTTGAACAATGTTACCGATAACATTTTCAATTCTATTAAAAAAGATTTCTCCTCCTTATATTGGATTGTGAATGAAAATGATGCTAACTTGTCTTGGTATTTCTCTAAAGCTGATGGTTCGTTCGTTAAGAATGGTGAGATTTTATTCTGGTATGGTTTAAAGACCAACGAAGTGTCTGAGTTGATTAAGGAATTCGACTCTTCTAACCTTGTTTCTGCCTTATCTTCTTCTAAGGAATCTGGTGTCTTCAGCTCGCCAGTTCAAAAGAGAGGTATTCATACATTCACTAGAACTTTCCAATCTGCTTTCAAGTCTCAAAGACGCCAATATTCCACTTCCAATCCTAACCCACCAATTCGTGAAGGTACGAACACTAAGCCTTCTCGTGTTGCCTTGATCGGTGCTAGAGGTTACACTGGGCAAAACTTGATTAGTATGATTGATAAACATCCATATTTGGAAATCTCCCACGTTTCATCTCGTGAATTAAAGGGTCAAAAGTTACAAGGATATAATAAGGATAACATTGTCTACTCCAATTTGCAAATTGAAGACATCAAGAAACTTGAAGAAAACAATGAAGTTGATGTGTGGGTTATGGCTTTGCCAAATGGTGTTTGTAAGCCATTTGTCGATGCCATTGACTCTGTTGGTACTGGTAAATCCACCATTGTCGACTTATCTGCTGATTATAGATTTGATACTACTGGTGAATGGACTTATGGATTACCTGAATTGAATGATCGTTCAAAAATTGCATCTGCAAAGAAGATTTCTAATCCTGGTTGTTATGCCACTGCTGCGCAAGTTGCCATTGCTCCATTGGTTGATTACATTACTGGTACCCCAACAGTTTTCGGTGTTTCTGGATATTCTGGTGCTGGTACCAAACCATCCCCAAAGAACGATGTCGATTTCCTTGCTAACAACCTTATTCCTTACTCATTGACTGATCATATCCATGAACGTGAAATCAGTAGTCAACTTGGTCTTGATGTTGCTTTCACTCCACACGTTGCTCAATGGTTCCAAGGTATTTCACATACTATTTCCATTCCAATCAAGCCAAAGAGTTTAACTTCGAGAGAAATTAGAAACATTTACCAAGACAGATTCCAAGGTGAACAACTCATTACTATTAGTGGTGAAGCTCCATTGGTTAAGGATATCAGTGGTAAGCATGGCGTTGTTGTGGGGGGATTTGCAGTCAACTCCAAGGAAGACAGAGTTGTTGTTGTGGCTACAATTGACAACTTGTTGAAGGGTGCCTCTACCCAATGTTTGCAAAACATTAACCTTGCCTTAGGCTATGGTGAATACGATGGTATTCCAGATGACTTAATTATTAGAGGTTAGATTAGAAGACATTTAAAAAAGGAAAAACATTTAAAAGTAACGAGAATACAAGAGATAATTTCAAGAGAAAATTTAATATCAATAAAACTGTAGTAAAAAGAAAGTAGTTAATAGTAATATTTGGGAAAGATTTTAAGATTCGAGTTAGTCTAGTTAAAAATAATACTAATGTAATAATTGTAGTGTGGTGATAGAGTCGCATTAATTTGGTTATGAGGTAAAACTCACCAAGTGTCAGGTACTGCATATGCCTGTTTCTATAACCCACATATACATTATACAATCTATAAAGATATGATTGCATATATAATTATTTTAAACTAGCTTAATACAAGGTCATACAGACATGCTTGTACCTCCTGATAACTTTGGTCTTGTGGAGACTGGGATCTATCGATGTTCTAAACTTGAATCGGATCATTTCCCATTCCTTGAGACGTTAAACTTGAAATCTTTAATTGTACTCGATGCTGAGAAACCACCAAGATTATTAAAGACATTTCTTGAAACAAATAATGTGGATTTGTATAACTTGGGAGGACTCAAGATCTCAAATCACCACCATACAGGGGCTAATTCGAGCTTGGGTAATGACGATGATGATACAGAAGGACCACTTTCTGAACGAAGAGTAAGTTCAGCTAGTCAGAATGAAATTGAACTTATTAAACTTGATACCAATAAAAAGAAAAATGATCATTGGATGTTGATTGAGAAAAACCTTATCCTTCGTGCCTTCCAACTTTTACTTAATAAAAACAAACATAACGTACTCCTTGTGGATTCTACCCTGACACTAGTTGGGATCCTTCGAAAGATTCAAAAATGGAATTTCAATTCTATAGTTAATGAATATAGAATTTATTCTGGATCTGCCTCAAAGAGTAATTATTATGCAGAAAATTTCCTTGAACTTATGCAAACAGAGTTAATCCCCTATGAAATAGATCAGTTGACTCTGCAACTGAAACAACCTTCCAAACATAGTCGGAAACATCTGTCATCGTCACAACTACAACTGCTCAATCTTAATGGTTCTCCATTTAGTGGCACTCGTGAAGGAATTCCAGTGTCACCTTCCACGTCAACTACCATGTCTCCAGCATCTGAATCCAGTGAAAATCTGCCTGCATTACGGCCAGGATATGAGCCAACATTCTTAGATATTGATGATGATGAAGATGATGATGAGTTGAACGGACAAAGTGACACTGATACTGATGATGATTTACTATCTGCTTCACCTCAAATTCCAGCAAATCTTTTGAAGTTGGTGGAGAAAAGGAAACAAGAGAAGCAAAGATCTGATCTGATTGATGATGGGAAAAATGGATTCACACCAGGAACGTCACCAAAGAACATTCGAATGAGTCGTCAAACTAGTATATCGAGTGACGTTCTTCTTTCGGCAATTGGAAGAAGAAGATCATCCATGGATACTAAGCATCGACCTATTCATCTTAACAACATCAAATTTCGTAGCAATCTGATTAGTGCCAATTCTCCACTTGATACCGGTGGATCTTCATTCCCTGGACTCAAACGACTCTCTGAGGGTCGTAAAAGGAGTACGGATCATGTTGAAAGTCGAGAAAGTCTCTCATCATTTGAATTGAAACGTGTAAAAGAAAAATATGACTACAAATACTACAAAAACCTTCATAAATTTGCTGTCAAATATGAAAATGTTAATGTGATTAAAATTAAATTACCACCTGATGAGAAGTTACCAAGCTGGTTCATCAAGAACCGAGACTGCTGGGAAGTTAACTTTAAAAAGTTGAACAATTTATAATCAGTATATATATATATGTGATGGAGGGTGTACATTAGATTGAAGGGTTTGTAAGATCAACAAACAAACATATAACAAACATGTAAGATTAATTCCATGGAATAAACATTCGATTAGGTAATTTATCCTCTACCCCAAGTTGCTCTAGATGAACTGGATCCCAGTGCGGAGCTCGAAGGAGCTCCAGACGCTCCGCTACCAGAGCTTGGTCTACTTGAGCCAGATTGAGAAGACGAGGCATTGTACGAATTTTGGCTATACATATGTGCTCTCAAGCGAGAGCCGGTTGTAGAACTATTGGTTCTTCCAAATGCTGGTTGGGCAGGTTGGGTACTATATCCTGATCCTGGTACTGATTGTTGTCTAGATTTATTATACATATCTTGAAGCCTGGATGAAGATCTTGGTGTATATGAAGGCTGTTGTGGTTCAGGTGATGCATTTTGTTGGCCATTCTGTTGACTTGATTGGTATTGTTGCTGTTGTACTGGAGTGTTTCTACTGGTGTACACCGGTTGGTATTGCGAATTGGCATAGTTATTCTGTTGCGATTGTTGTTGATATGTTGGTTTGTACGAGTTATTGGCCACTTCCTTCACTCCTAGCCATTGTGGGAATGGCTCCCCCTTGGTGCTGAAGTATTTCACAAATGCATTATGAATCAAAGTGTCGTCGGCTGAATTCCCGTCACGTTCATTGTTTGACGAAATATTAAGATTCGAAAACTTTGAAGTAAACTTCATTTTGGATAAGAGACCTCTCAGTTCTCCATTGGATGACATTGTCTATATGAGTTTTCAAGATTGTCTTAATTATTTAGTGGGAATTTATTTCTCAATATAGAACCCTGTCCTTCTAATTGTTATCGTTTAGACACAAAATCATCTTCTCCGAAATTTGTTATGGGAACATGCGCTTTTTGTGGTGTGCAGGAATGGGATGGGGGATCTTAGTACTCAATAGTAAATTTTCACTTAAAATATGAATAGACTAGGACATTTCTATCAAGCCTTAAGAACGCCTAAAAATGAATAAGCTTCTCAGGATTTCCAGATTAGCGCGTGTAGTGCTTAATCAACAAGTCTTGGTAAGATCCACTCCAGTTGGGGTTAGATGTTTTGCTACATCACCTGTTTGGAAGAATGAGATAAAAGCTGAACCAGTTAAGATTGAACAAACATCTGAGCTGACAACTAATCAAGAATCCACTACAAATGAAAAACCAGAAGCTACCTCAGAGGCTGCTATTACTCCAGAAGACCTTTTTGAACAAGGATTATTACATAAGGATATCTATAGGGCCATTATTCCAAGATTTAAAACTCTTACACCAGTACAACAAAGAACTATCGGTCCAGCCTTGACTACAGATAAGGGTGTTGTTGCCCGTGCTCGTACCGGTACCGGTAAGACTTTAGCTTTTGGTATCCCAATTTTGCAATTTGCCTATGCAAACAAGGAAACTAGTGGTAAAATTCATTCCTTGATCATTACTCCAACTAGAGATTTGGCCTTCCAAATCCGTGATGAATTAACAAAGATTATCAAGAACCTTCCAGAACGTGCCAAGAAGCAAGTCCGTATTGACTGTCATGTAGGTGGTACCAGAGCCAATAGATTGAGAACTCGTGAAGTTCCTTCTATTTTAATCGCCACCCCAGGTAGATTAAGAGCTAACTTGGAAAACCGTGAATTTGTATCTACATTCAGTGACTTGAAGTTCAGAGTGTATGATGAAGCTGATAGATTATTAGAAGCTGGTTTTGCAGAAGAATTATATTCTATTTCTCGTACTTTGGAACTGGCTCAAGAAGAAAGTGCTGAACCTTTCCGTTCTTTGTTATTCAGTGCCACTGTTGATAACTCTGTTGATAAATTTGCCAAGCGAGTCTTGGGTAATGACTATCAATTTATTGATTGTGTTGATAAAGATGCCCCTGAAGCACATGCTAACATTGAACAAACTCTTGTGAAGACCGCCAATATCACTGAGAGTATCAGAGGTTCTTTATCTTTTATTATGGAAAACATTCATAATCCAAAGTTCAAGGTTATCTTATTCGTTCCAACCACTGCTGCTGCTGATTTCTTTTATGGTGTCATTTCTGATTTAGTTGACAAAGAAGCTTCTAAATCAAAGTTAGACACCACAGTTCACAGATTACATGGAAAGTTAACTCAAAGTGCAAGAGATAGAGCTGTTAAGAAATTCCATTACACTACCTCTGGTATTTTGGTTACCACTGATGTTTCTGCTAGAGGTCTTGACTTCCGTAACATTTCTGATATTGTCCAAGTTGCTCCAAGTTCTACACCTGCTGATTATATTCATAAGATTGGTAGAACTGCAAGAGCTGGTAAGACAGGTAAGGCTGTTATTTTCTTATCTAAGTCCGAAGGAAAATTTGTTAGAACTTTGGCTAGTTCTAGAAAGATTAAGTTTGACAATGAATATGATTATGTTCCAAGTGACAAAAATGATGCTGCCATCATCGAATCTGTTGCTAACCTTTCGATCACTAATGTTGAATTATTTATGAAGTCTATGTTGGCATTCCAAAAGTCTATCCAAACCAAATATCAACTCCCATTCCCACGTATTGTTCAACAACATGGTGACCTTTTCAGATACTTGGTTAACAATTCTGAAGCCAAAATTCAAGCTGACCAATTATTTGTTAAAAGAGTTTTGAGTCTTAGAGGTCCTGAAGTTAATGCCACCTTTGACTTGATGGATCGTAAAGAATATCTCAGAAAGGGACCTGCTTTGAATAAGGGATTCCAGGATGAAGATAGCGAATCAGATTCAAGAAGTGAGAGAAGACACTATGGTAACTCATATGGCAATGATAGACCACAAAGATCATATGGTGAAGGAAGACCAAGATATGATAGAAATGATGGTAACGAAAGATACAATGGTGATGGAAAATCACAGCGTTACTCTTCTTTTGACAAAGGTGGAAGAAACAATGGCTCCAGAAACTTTGGTGGAAGAAATGGTGGATACAATAACAATAGAGGTGGTAGATCAAACTACGAGTCAAGAGGTGGGAGAGACTCCAGATTTGATAAGTACAGAGAAGATTAAATTGGCAGGTACTATATTTTGTATATAATTCGAACATAATTTGTAAATAATATTGATTTTTTTTGAACAAATGGAATTTGTATAAATTAATAGGTTTCTTTCACTTTGTAATTAAGTATTGTATCAATGTTGTTTCTTATTTGTAGCCTTTTTCATTCTCTTTGCAATTTCGGCATTATATTTAGCAAGTTTCCCAAGGTTGCGATTATCATTTGGTTCAACGCTCCCGACATAAACATCTCTTGTTAATATCACATATACTAATAGAATTAAAATTATGACAGAATTGAAGAGAGCGAGTCTTTTTTGAAATCGAAGTTCATTCCCAATTACAATGATTTGATTAGAAGATTCTTCAAGAAGTTGTTTGTGGTTACTTTCTTGTGTTTCCAATAGACTGGTTGTCTCTACTTGGATATTTGTATATGCATCTTTAAAATACGCTAATTGATTAAGCATAGTCTTATTGAAGGAATCAACCAATGATTCAAAATATTGAGATTGTCTTCTCTCTAATTTCGTAAATGCTGTAGAGAGTAATTTGCTTTGCTCTTCAATATAGAGTAAGGATAAACTTGCATTTGATTCCAAAAGTGATAATCTTTTCATAATATTTTTATAAATGGATTCTTGCGTGGTTTTAGCTTCCATTGTATGTGAACTTTCAGGTTCTGGGATATTTACTGCTTCACAATAATCATAGGTGGTTGAATTCACATCTTTTAAAAATTCAAGAAGTGCCAAATGTGGCAATACAACTGCACATTCTTCACTGGTATTGGGCGGGTTTATTGTGGAAATATTCTCCAAGGTTGAATCCATTACATTATTTTTTTCCTGTTCTATTTCAGTGGCTTCCTTTTCTTCTGTCATCTTGAATTCCTCCATCATAGTCTTCCCATGCACTCGTACTACAGAAAGTGGGCAATAAAATTCATCACCATAATGAGAAAGTATTTCTAATTTCAAATATCTTGCCCAAATCAAAGGATTTTCAATTTTAAAAGATTGTAAATCTCTTATATTTTCAGCTTCAAATTCTCCCAATACAGTCCATTGAGTAGTTGGGAATCTATCAGAAACGGAAATCCTAATATTATGAAACATAGATGAAAAAAATTCAAAATTTCCTGCAACCACTGAGTCGATCAATATATCTTGACATAATTCAATTATTACAAATTTGTTGGGCACGGAACACTGATTAAGCAAGTATGAATCCTTATTTTCAACCAAAATGGCCGATGCTCCCTTCGCTTGAGAATTTGTCTTGATAATAGTAGCTGCACAATCAATGGATGCATAATTAAATTTATCTTTATAGACTTTCCCCTGATCTTCATCTAATTGATCCTCTTTTATGGATTCATCATTTAATTTGGTTTGTGAAGGAGCATCTTCTTCTTGAGCATTATTATTTGTTTCATTAGTATTGGTATTTTTAGAATTATTATCAACCCTATTTGAATTAATATTATTAGTATTTTTGTCATTATTTTGATTCTTATTAACATTATTAATATTATTATCTTCGATCAGGGTATTCTTTTGACCTTTCTGATTGAGTTGTGCTGCATCATCTTCCTTCAATTTCTTCCACTCATCAAATGATAAAAATAAAGATTCTGTTGAAGAATTGGAATTATTTTCAACCATTAAAGAATTCAAATCAGTTGAATTATATTCTATTGAATCAAACTTGATGGAAGGATTCTGGTTAATTTGATCCTTCTCGTTAACTTGACTCACTATTTCAGTGACATTGGTAATAATCTTATCAATTGTGCTTTTGTGGGTATTTGTTGAAACTGAATCATTATGATAAGTAGTCATTGCATGAAAAATATTCCCATGCTTTGTAGAACAAGTACTACAAGTTTGAACTTGTGTTAAGGTAGAAGCTGTTAAGCCTCCGATGTTGGGTTGCGTTATGGTATTCTCGATGGAATTTGAAATCATCATTGATATAGAATCATAATCCGCTTGATTAGTATCATTGGTATTTATTGCTTCAACTTGTTGAAGAACAATAAGAACCTCTAGAAATAATGACCAGCACTGCCCTAGTAGTCTCATTTATGCAATGTATATGTGAGAAGTGAATTAAGGGGGGAGTAAATCTCCTTTGATAACGGGATCCCGGAGTTGACTAGTGGGTGTTTTTTTGACGTACTGCATTATAATATCGTGAAGTCTAAAGCAGAGGAAAAAAAAAAAAAATTGCTAAACAGAAAAGAAAACTCGAAAAGGGTAAGAGTATAAAAGAACTTTTATTGTTGGGGTACAGAATAAAATGAAAACATTCCCATTAAACTCAAGAGCTAAGACAACGGCATTAAAGCAGCCAAAGGAACTCTTTGCATACGCCAGAGATGGCGATGGGAACTTTGTTTATGATGAAGAAAAGGTTCGAGAAGAGCATATGTCGTATTATTATTTACCAGATGCCACAATAAATGGGAATGTAGACTTGGGTGCTGGATATCAAAATTTTAAAAAGATTCCTGAAGAAGAAAATCTAGGAGATTTTGCTGCATTTTTAACTGCCATAATGAAATATGAACAAGTTTCAAATACTAAAGTAAAGACAGATATAATTACATTCCGTGGTTTAATGACAAAATTATTAACATTGCCATATAATTTAAAAGATCCAATTGATTTAAATGTGGTTGCCTTTGATGGACAATTATTTATTAAAGCAGATGATCAAATAGAATTGAATCGTAGAAAATTGCAAAATGAACAACATCAAAATGATAAGAAAAAGGAAGAATTTCAACGTAAATGTGAATTTTCAGGATATAAATTTGAAACTATTGCAACATTACCAAAACCATGGGCAGATTCATCAAGACTGATGATACAAAAAAGAAGTAAAAAAGTGGTTACTAATTATGAACAATATATGTCAGTAGTTAGAACTGGGATAGGTAAAGTGAAAGTATTACTTGCAGGTGAAGTTGATTGTTTATGGGATTATATTCCTGAAGATGGTAAAGATATACTCCCACATTATGCAGAATTGAAAACAAGTAGAGTTTTAGAACATCCAGGACAAATTATAAATTTTGAAAAAAAATTATTTAAAACTTGGGCACAAAGTTTTTTACTTGGAATTAGGAAAGTTGTTTATGGATTCCGTGATGATAATTTAATATTACGTACAGTTGAAGTATATTCAACTGAGGAAATCCCATTATTACTTAAAAATGATCCATTTACCGAGGAAAAACAAAAAATTGTTCCTATGAATGCATTGAAATGGTATGGTGCTGTTTTAGAATGGTTAACTACAGAAATTCCATCTGAAGATGTAGGTGCATGGAGATTAAGTTATGATCCAGGTTCAAGATCATTTAGTTTATCAGAGATTATGGATGGTAAAAGAGTTAGAGATGATATTATTTCTCCAGAATTTAGGGAATGGAGAGCATCTCTTAACCAAAAGACTGAAAATTGATTATATAATAACAAATTTGATTTTTTATAATCACTTTCCATATATATGAAAATTGTAGTAGTAAGATTGAATGTATGACAGGTTAATACTCTATATATACAATTGGTAGAATTGTGCATGTAAATTTTTGTGTTTTTCAATCTGGGGTCTAGCCAAAGAAAGGATTAATAATTCATCTTACACGATAAATAATTTTTAGTACATCCTTTTACCCCAGAAATGGTTTCACTTTCCTTCCTCGGTTCGGATTTATCGCATCTCGTCACACAAAGACATATCACATGCCCAATGCGGAGATCCGTTCCCCCCCTCCAATTTCGAAGAATTTGAGTCAAATTATTCACAAATTATTGGGATTGAATTGGATTTTGTTCAATTATTTGTTAGATTTATCTTCAAAGTGAAGAGACCAGATGTATCAATGATATATCATTTATGGTATTCAGTTTTCAAATTTTTAAAAACGCGATTTTATTCAGGAAAATTTTAAGATAAGAATACCTCGGTCCGGATATCCAATCAATACACACAAATGGTCAGCATCTGATTTTGTGTATACAAAATCCTCGATACCCCCTCGCGTGCAGATTGCATTTCCTAAAATTGTCTCACTTTGGCCGTATCTATGCAGTAACACGAACAGATATTGTAGGATGTATGTCGGAAGATGTCCCACGCGGCCATCCCCGCCACCCCGCGGTTTCAATAATGGGTATATATAAGAAGGTAGAATCCGAAATATTTCAAACTATTTAATTTCCCCACGAATTACACATTTAGTACTTTGTTAAATTTTAATTTAATTAAATACAAACTAATATAAGTTAATAAAATGGCTCCAGTATTCACAAATTCTAACGGTGCTCCAATCCCTGAACCATTCGCTACTCAAAGAGTAGGTAAGCATGGTCCATTGTTGTTGCAAGATTTCAACTTGATTGACTCTCTTGCTCATTTCGACCGTGAAAGAATTCCAGAAAGAGTTGTTCATGCCAAGGGTTCTGGTGCTTATGGTGAGTTTGTTGTCACTGATGACATTACTGACATTTGTGGTGCCAAATTCCTTGAAAAGGTTGGTAAGAAGACTAGAATCTTTACCCGTTTCTCCACTGTTGGTGGTGAAAATGGTTCCGCTGACGCTGCTAGAGATCCAAGAGGTTTCTCCACCAAGTTCTACACTGAAGAAGGTAACTTGGATCTTGTTTACAACAACACTCCAGTCTTTTTCATCAGAGATCCATCTAAGTTCCCACACTTTATCCACACTCAAAAGAGAAACCCAGAAACTAACTTGAAAGATCCAAACATGTTCTGGGATTACTTGACTTCTAACCAAGAATCTATCCATCAAGTTATGATTCTTTTCTCTGACCGTGGTACCCCAGCCAACTACAGAGAAATGAATGGTTACTCTGGTCACACTTACAAATGGTCTAACAAGAAGGGTGACTGGCATTATGTTCAAGTTCACTTCATCTCTGACCAAGGTGTCAAGACCTTGACTAATGAAGAAGCTGGTGAATTGTCTGGTTCTAACCCAGATCATGCTCAAGAAGATTTGTTCAAGAATATCGCTGCTGGTAACGGCCCATCTTGGACTTGTTACATCCAAACTATGACCCAAGAACAAGCCAAGAAGGCTCCATTCTCTGTATTCGACTTGACCAAGGTTTGGCCACACAAGGACTACCCAATGAGAAAGTTTGGTAAGTTCACTTTGAATGAAAACCCAAAGAACTACTTTGCTGAAGTTGAACAAGCTGCTTTCTCCCCAGCTCATACTGTTCCATTCATGGAACCATCTGCTGACCCAGTCTTGCAATCCAGATTGTTCTCTTATGCTGACACTCACAGACACAGATTGGGTGTTAACTACACCCAAATTCCAGTTAACTGTCCAGTTACTGGTAGAGTATACAACCCTCACATGAGAGATGGTGCTATGAACGTAAACGGTAACTTGGGTAACAAGCCAAACTACTTGGCTACTTCTGAACCAGTTGAATTCCAATCCAACGTCAAGTTGCAAGAAGATCAAGAAGTTTGGGAAGGTTCTGCTTGTCCATTCCACTGGAAGGCTACTGAAGCCGATTTCATTCAAGCTACTGCTTTATGGAACACTTTGGCCAGATATCCTAACCAACAAAAGAATTTGGCTCACAATGTTGCCTCCCATGCTTCTGGTGCTAGCCCACACATTCAAGACAGAGTTATTGAATACTTCTCTAAGGTTCATTCTGACTTGGGTAATGCCATCAAGAAGGAAATTTTACAGTTATCTCCAAGAAAGTAAACTGTATAGTTTTATATATTATTAACGAATTTGAGATTTTTTATAATTTATGTAACTTCAGAATTAAAATGTAACTTACGAATCTGCGGGGACTTTAAATTCTTCTACAATATTGATCCGAAAATACTGAAAGCGGCTTATTTTTATTAAATTAAAACTATGTGAATACTAGAGAACTATCCCCCAGGGATATTAGTCTTCTATTTGATGATGATGATCTGGCAAATAATTGCTGGATGAATGTACTTGATACACCATCTTACAATTTGGTAGTGTTACATGATTCACAAGAACATGCTGATCCACACTTACAGCTTGAACCACAACAAGATGAAGTTTTAGGACCAGAAGTGGAAGTAGTTGAAGTTGAAGTAGTAGTAGAGTTCTTTCCGCACATTGTTATGTTATTTGTTGGTATATGGTGTATCTACGAAATATATTTTTACATGGATTTTAAGTCATATATAAATCATCAACCACGGAATAAGTTTCCCTATTAGGCACTTCCTCGCGGTTGATAAGAAAATCTACCCACTGAAATACTTTTAAATCAATTACACAAAAACTCAATCAAAAATTTGAAATTTTATGAGCAAAAAAACAAAAAGTGAGAAATTTAAGTATTTTTGAATCTTAAATGGAAAATCAAACCAAAATATCACAAAAGTGTTTCGGAGCTTTTGTGTAACAAAGTTCTAAATTTCAAAAATTTAGAAAAAATTCCTAATTCAGATAATCACGCGCACAGGGATAATTGGAGGCTTGTAATATTTGGTTTTACACACTTCAGAGGGTTAAATTATGGAATGTTACATGATCCAATAATAGAATTCAAGGTGAATTGTATACACCCATAATTAAATCTACTGGTTTTCGGTCAGCCATCTGTTGATTGATGGAAAATTCCCGAGATACTTCAACATAGCCCTTAGGTCGTATTGTAGAGTAAGGGCTCACGGCATTTTTTTTCTTTCACTGTCAATGTACGATTTTATTCTATGTAAAACTTTAAATTACCATTAATTTACAATTTGAGCAATCAACTTGTGCCACATTTCCTTCAAATCAAATATCTCTAGAAAACGGTTCAATTGTCGCAATTGATGAAAAGGGGGTTCAAATGTCTATTCTATATTGAACTTGCTAAATTGCCTGCATGAATGAAACAGCAAAGAACAAAGTATTCTAGCATAAATCACATTTGCCCCCCCACAGTTTATGGTTGCCATGACATAACGTTGCTGAATGTTTAACGTCGATCTGGATCGGGGAATCAAATCAACATTATACTGGTTAGTAGATAGAAAGCCAGCAGCCACCTTCCATTGATTTATTCAAGATCGCTTATTTTATTTTCTATTTTTAATATCCTCACCAAAAAATGCCAGCTGAATGTTTATAGTTTTCTGATTTAGAATTTCAAGTAGTTTAACATTATTTTCACGTGGCTGGCGTTGTATATTGTCAAACTCGCGAAGGGTTCTGTGCCTGGAGAAATTCGCATTGTTGAATACCTGCAGAGAAGGGCTCCTAATAGGCACAGCTGGTTGCAGCCATTCTAAATATAATTATTATCCATTCCACGCATGATAGAGCAATACCGAAATCAGGAAAAGACATAAAAGGGTCCCTCGATCCCTGAAACTTTTATCTTGTTCTTTTTCCTTTTTATCTACACAAGTATATCTTACTACAACTACTAGTTAATTGACTTAACTATAGCATATCTACTGTTCTTTCAAATCAAAATCATATTTTCATAATGGGTGTTAACGCTTACAAGTTTGCTGTCTCTGATATCACTGCTGCTGTTGGTGGTGCTGCTAGTGCTACTAGTGCTGTCGGCGGTGCTTTGGGTACTGCTAGTTCTGCCATTGGTGGTGCTGGTAGTACTGCTAGCTCTGCTGCTAGCGGTGCCGGTCACACTGGTTCCTCTGGTGCTGGTTCTGGTTTGGGTTCATTGACCTCTTCCCTTGCTGCTAGTGCTACTTCTGGTGCCCTGGCTGCTCGTTCTGGTGCTTCTTCCATCACTTCCGGTGCTGGTGGTTCATCCTCATCTGCAGCTGCCTCTTCTGGTTCCTCTTCTTCCACTTCCTCCAAGGCTGGTGCCGCTGGTGGATACGAAGCTGGTTCTTGGAAGAAGTCTGTTGCTGTTGCCGGTCTTATTGGTTTCAGCTTTGTTGCTCAACTTTTCTAAATGATCTAAAATGAAATAAAAAGAACCTATCTTCTGAGTATTTTTATCTATTTTTTTTTTGATTGAAGTACTGTGTACAATATATATATATGAATAAAATTTTGTTAACGATAAAATAAAACCCAACCTTGTAAGCTTTAAGTTTTAGAGTACCCCATTTTCAGTTGTGGAACTTCAGTTGGTGGAACCGTTTTCAATTTATTTCCTGTACACAAGCACCATCTCTCTATATATATATATATATATATATATATGATCACTTTTTACTATTGATTGATAGTGAACATGAGTTTGAAGTTACAAGGGAAACCTGCTAGACTTCAAGTGGATCCTGCCACTATAACTGACGATGATAAGCCACCACAATCTGGAACTACATTTAATATATGGTTTCTAAAATGGTCTGGAGGTGATAGTAGTTCAAATAAAAATTATACAAAGCTGAAGTTTAGAGTCAATATTAAGAATGATTCTGGTTATACTAAATCTAGTTCAAGATCTCCAATCTGTTTATTTTTCGCTCGTGGATGTTGTTACAAGGGTAAAAAATGTCCTTATAAACATAACTTGCCACAATCTGATGATTATATAATTCCTACTCAAGATTGCTTTGGTCGAGATAAAACATCTGATTATAAAGATGATATGGATGGGGTTGGTTCATTCAATAGAACAAATAGAACTCTTTATATTGGTGGGCTTCATCTGAGTGAAAAGGCAGAAACCATTCTTTCAAAACATTTCCAAGAATTTGGATCTATTGATAAGATTAAAGTTTTACATGACAAAAGTTGTGCATTTATATCATTTAAAACTGAACCTGAAGCACAATTTGCCAAAGAGGCAATGCAGAGTCAATCTCTCAATGATGATGAGATCCTCAACATTAGATGGGCAAGTGAAGACCCAAACCCACAAGCTCAGAGACAGGAAAAGAGAAGGTTGGAAGAAGAAGCATTGAAAACAGTTAAAAATCTACTTAATCAAGTAGATTCACAACGTAAACGTACAAAAGTATATGTTGAGGAACCAGAAGAAGAAGAAGAAGAAACTACCCCGAACGTGGGACAAAAACTACTTGTTGAACATAATGATGTCCCTTCTATTCTTCCGAATACTTCGATACTTTCAACTCTGTCATTAGAACAATTAAAGAAATTGAAATTCAAGCAAAATGTTAAAGTTCCTACAAAATCTAATGATCCAATAGTTCCTAAGAATTTATCTACCATGTTGGAGTATTCAAGCGATGAAGAATAACCTCCTATATAAACAATATACTATAGAGTCATCATTTATATTCCCAATCTATTATTCTAAAATATAACTTCTGCATTGAATCCAGGATCATGATTGTGTTAAATCGAAATCTTTAACTTCATGGTGGGATCAATGGTGCCATTTGGGCATTATGTGGGATCGTGGTGGTATTATTCCTACTTAAGACATGAACTAGTTATGGCAAGGATCTATAGCTATTGGCACTTGCTCGCTCGTTAATCCTTCAAGAATTGCACTCTGGTTGATTCATGTCTTAATAACCAATCTGGACACTTTTTACCACCCTTTGATAAAAATCTCTTCAAATCAGGGAAGACTTCGGAATCATTGTCATCTAATATCGTATAACTTATCCCATAATTCCCTGCTCTCCCCGTTCTACCAATCCTATGAATATACTCATCAAATTTCTTGGACATTTGGTAATTCACTACTAGAGAAACATTCGGTACATCAATACCTCTCGCTGCAATATCAGTTGCAATAAGAACATTACTAGTACCATTTCTAAAGTCCTTAATGGCTCTTTCACGGAATTCTTGAGATTTAGATCCATGAATTACTGAATTCTTTGAAAATCCTTGCAGGGATAAAAAATTAGATAACAGTTCACAAGTCTTTTTATAATTTGCAAAAATAATAATAGAAAATTCAGAATTAAATGATTTAGAATGTTGTTTCAATGTAGTGATTAATTTGTTTTGTCTTATTGGATCTAATTCATCCAATGATTCGCTTGAATTGGATCCTAAATATTCGAAATGTTGATCAATATTATCAATTGCCTCTCCAACGGTTCCAATAAATAAATATCCTGGTTGAATAAGATAATTCTTTGTAATTTTTTCTATAGTTGGAGAAATCGTTGCAGTAAACATCAAGGTAATTCTCTTCTTTACTTTGAAAATTAATGAATCATTTGAATTAATTAAATCTTCTGAAGCTGGTAAATAAGACATAATAGATTGTAAAGGTTTTTCAAATCCCATATCTATCATTTTATCAGCTTCATCCATAATTAAATAGTAACATTTGCTCAAATTGACGATCCCTCTTTCAAGAGAATCAACGAGTCTCCCAGGAGTGGCAACTACTATGTGTACCCCATCTTGGATAGCGTGAATCGATTCTTCGTATTGATGACCACCAATAATGGTCACAATATTGAATCCAAGTTGTTTACCAAATTTTTCAGCTTCTTTCGATATTTGTAATGCTAATTCTCTTGTTGGTGCTAAAATTAATCCCAAAGTCTTATTTCGATTAATTTCTTGTGTATGTTCATATTTTATATAATTTGAATCAATTTTAGTTAAATATGATAAGAGAGGAAGTAAAAATGCAATTGTCTTACCAGATCCTGTTTCTGCAACCCCCACCACATCACGTTCAGATAGGGCAATTGGGATAGCTGCACGTTGAATAGGGGTGGGTTCATCGTATTTTAATTCATTGGTTAATATTTTAATGATATTTGAAGGGATTTTAGATTCATCCCATGATCTTAAAGGATTTGCAATATTACCACCTTTAGAAGTAATGCTATAATCTTCTCTAAAGATTCTCCAGTCTCTCAAGGTCATTTGTTCTAGTGGCTTTGCAGACCAATGTTTATCGTCTATCTCTATGGAATCAATGGTCCCTATGTCATAACTAATCAATGGCTGATAATCTGAAGAAGTATCATCTTCAGCTTTCCATTCAAAATTAAACTTTTTAGGCCCTTGAGATGATGTGTTGTTGAAACTTGCTGGATGCTTAGATCTTTTTGAATTCAAATGAAAATCATCTATTTCTTCTATTGGTCTTTTTATAGTATTAGATGGTGGATTTATATTTGCTTTATTCAATTTCTCTTGTTCTTCCTTTGCTAATTTCTCCTTGGCAAGACGTTTCCGTTCCTTTTTCGATAGAAATCTTGGTTGAGAAATTGATTCTTCATTCTTTAGTCTTAATAGTTCTTCTACTGAAACTGGTCTCTTGGACATAATTATGGATGCAATAATTTAAACTTGAAAGCTATTTTCAATTATTTAAACGCTTTTTTAATATTTTGATATCTTTGATTTTGTGTTATTCTCTCTCAAGTATAAAGATTTAGATAGTAAAATAGGTGGATATAAATATATATATATAATTCAACTCGATTCGATGGAATGTTGATAGTATGGCTTTAATTACAGATATATTAGGTTATTTGTTTCATTTGATATAATTAGGAACTAGAAGTTATTATTTTGATTTTTGTAGATTATTTAATACTAGTGGGAAAATTTTTGATTGTCAAGAATTTGTTACATCTAGCTATAATCTGATTGTATATTTATGCTAGAAGTATTCATACATGTAGCAGGTTATCAGATACTATTGGAGATCCCCTCACTACTATATCTCATTGATGAGAAATATTCCACTATATTTGAATATTTAACCCTATTTATTGTATTTTTTGCACCCATTTTTATTAAATATATTATTTAACTCCCAATTTCATTCAACATGAAAAAATATTTATACTCTATTATCTATACCTATGTCTTATATATATAAATATTAATACCACTGAAATAACGAAAATACACAACAAAGATGTGATTTCAAATGTTAATTGATAACACCATGAACCTCTATTACAAACATATGATTTTGATTTATCATCCCAATAATCAGAATTCATATCATAAATCATTCCAAAAAGTTTCGACATAAATGTTAAACCAAATGTGGTACTGGTGTATAAACAACCCCAAATAAAACTATAATTTTGTAAACTGAATATATCAGATACAATAACTGGATAACATGTAAATGTGAAACCATAGGCAAATCCAATCAAACAAGAAATTACCATAAGAATGATATTTCCTTGATAAAGATATTGAAATCTAGATGGGAAACAAAACATAAGAAGAACATGACCAATAAACATAATAATAGTTCCAAAAATTAAACCCCAATGTCTCTGTAATTGAAATTTTTTTACGAAAATATCTGAAACTGGTCCTGACGCTAAACGTCCACCAAATGAAGATAAGGCAATTATTGATACATGTAATGCCTGTAAATAATGCAAGGTTGGGGTATTTGGAGCCACCAGTGGATCTAAATACTTTTCATGAGTATAATAATAATGTTCAGCCTTTAAAATGAAACCAACTGAATAAATATACATTTGACCAAATCCTTGAGTAATTGAAAATATAAAATAATGAAACCAAAAAATTGGATGTAAAAGAGAATCCTTTAAAGATTTATGTTTTAAATCTTGACGATTTCTTACTGTAGTTTGTATCACTTGTGGTGTAAGAGTATTTGCCTTTCTATATTCTTCAGAAATATTACTTCTTGAAGTATTATTAGATGAATTAGCAAGTATATCACTTGTAGATCCATCCATTAATGAAGTTGATTCAGAAGTTGAAGTATCAATATTTTCAAGATATTCAATTTCATGACGCATATCAGCAAGGAAACTTTCTTCTTCTTGATCTACATTATCGATATGACCATCCAATCTAATGAAAATGAAACCAAAAAGAGTTAAAATTCCACAAGAAATTGATAAAATTAATAAAAACTTTTCAGTATCCCCATTCAAAACTTTAGTGGAAACCCACAGATAAATTAAAGAAGAAATGGCAAATGAAGCTATTGTTACACTTTGAGCTGCACCTTTATTATCAGGGAAATTTACCACCACAGCTTTTAAAGAACTAAAATATCCAGATACTGAACCCAAACCAACAAAGAACATGGCAGCCAAAAGTTGAACACTAGTGGCATTAAAGCCTTGTAAATAACTGCAATATAACCAGAAATAACCTAATGAAAGCATAATACAACTAAATAAAATTGGAAGTTGACTGCCATACATATCGGTGACTATCCCTGATAAGATACCACCAAGAGCTGAACCCAAGGTTGCAGATATATTTAAATTCCCTGTTTGAGATACATCTAACCCACATTTTTCAGCTAATTGAGTACTAAAAGCTGAGTATACAAAAAGAGTCCCAGTAGCAAATGCAACTGGGATTGTAGCAACTAAAGTCAGCCAATGATTTGTAGGTGGGAGATAAGCATTGATAGATATGATAAATCTATGTAAGAACATAGTCTAAGATAGAAGGTAAAAGACAAGAATACTCCTTCAGTTGAAATAGAATCCAATATATAGCGTTGTATTTAGTCTCCGATAATATCTCACCCTTGAATAAAAGAAATTAATGGGGTCAATTCAAAATACATGAAATTCTAAAGAGGGGGGTGAGAATAGTATCGCACACAATTCTGATAGATAGTAAGGATAATGGTGATAATGCCTGCACATATGAATGGGAATATTCTTAAAATGAAATGAATTAAAAAAAAAAAAAAAAGAATTGAAATATTGTAAAGAAAAGAGTCGTGTACGAAATGTATGGAGTTGGCAAAAACGACACAAAAAATGACAAATACTGTGAGTTTTCGTTTCGACGAGTTTCGTCGACGATTTTTCATTTGAGGTTGAAAATTATCATTCAACTAAGTTAAAGGATCTTGAATTTTTTTTTTCTTTTCCTATTGAAAACATATATATATAAAAATGCCAGTTGATCCAGAAAAGTTGGCCAAGTTGCAAAAGGCTTCTTCCAAGAAGGTTGGTGGCTCCAGAGTCAAGGCCAAGAAGAACGTTAAGTCCGAACAAGATGACACCAAGTTACTTGCTGCTTTGCAAAAGGTTGGTGCTCAAAAGATCGAAGCCATCGAAGAAGCTAACTTCTTCAGAGAAGACGGTAAGGTCTTGCACTTCAACAGAGTTGGTGTTCAAGGTGCTGCTCAAAGCAACACTTTTGCCTTCACTGGTTACCCACAAGAAAAGGATGTCACTCAATTGATTCCTCAAATCTTGCCACAATTAGGTGCTGAAAACTTGGAAATCTTGAGACAATTGGCTGAACAAATCCAAGCCGGTAAGTCTCCATTGGACGCTGCCATTGGTGGTGCCTCTGCTGGTGGTGACGAAGACGTCCCAGACTTGATTGAAGGTGAAAAGTTTGATGAAGAAGTTGAGTAAATTTAACATTCTTTACTAAATGATCTACTTTTTATAAATGGTAAAAAAAAGTCAACATGAAACTTTTGAAACAGTATCATTAATTTCAAGTCCAAACTGTTTCTCTTATTGATATCTCTAGTACGTTAAATAGAGATGATAAATAGTTTGTGCATAGTTATATCTCATATTTGGAAACTGTAGAATTGGAATTGAACACGTAAAATCGAATAAAATTTTACTAGTTGTAGGGAATCTTTTTACAAGATCAAATAATCACACACTCTCATATTCAGAATCTTCTAGATCTAAGTATGTGTGCATATTAAATTGATAGCATGACGCATTAAGTGGAATATTTTTACTCATGGGAAAAGGATACCCCAAAAAAAAAATAAAAAAAACTACATAAAAAGATTTAACAAGAAAGTCAATTCGAGTTTGAGGATGAAATTGTAACACATTCCCAAGTCTTAGAATCTATGCCAGGATCAAAATTCTAGATCTGATAATATTTCCGTTATTGAATTGACGTAGAACTCATTAGAGGTAGAACCGTATTTTATTAAGGGGGGGGGGGGGGGGGAGGGGGAGGTTTACAAGTAACTTTATAGAAAACATGGGGTAATGGGGGAAGTCGTACATATAGTTAAAAATGAAGAATGGGTTCCAAATTAAATTACATATTCCATCGAAATACATTTATATTCAAAAAAATTCTTTATGTAGGATGTTGAATCGAATCATGTCCCAATACTACACTTTATTCAACGGTTACCCAATAAATTGCTTATATCCGCGTGTTGAGGGTTTAAAAAAATAACCGCATTGTACCGAATTCCCGCGAGAATAAACTTCTTGCATGAAAGTATAGCAGCAATTCAAATTTGACGTATGTGCAAGCCACTACTTTACAAATGTGGTATAAAACAGGCCAGATTTCTCTTTTAAGTTTAAATATGAATTCAATTGACTCCCTTCTAAGAATCAAAATATACCATGACTCTTTCTAAACATATCAATGCTGAAGAGCTTGAAGAGAATTTCTTGAAGAACACCAAGAAACTTCATTTGACCAACCGTGAACAATATGTGTTCAAGTACTCTGGTAATAATCCAATTCCAAAGTACCTGATTCCTGAACAATCAAGTGATGCTCAACAAGTCTATGAAACAATGAAGGAGGGTCTTTCTCTTGATGGGATCCCAACCCTTAACCTTGCCTCTTTTGTCAACACTGAAGTCGATGATATTCCATTGAAATTGATTTCTGAAAATATTGTCAAGAACTTGGCTGATAATGACGAATATCCATCATTGATCGAATATCAACAAAGATGTATTTCAATTCTTTCTGATCTTTGGAACGCTCCAAAGACAAAGGATGCATCTGGCAAAGAAGTTTCCAATACCGTTGGAACTGCAACTACTGGTTCTTCTGAAGCAATTATGTTGGCTGGGTTAGCCTTGAAGAAAAGTTGGCAAGAAAGACAAAAGGCAAAGGGCAAATCTATCCAAGAACCAAATATTATTATGGCTACTTGTGCACAAGTTGCTCTTGAAAAGTTTGCCCGTTATTTTGATGTTGAAAACAGACTCATTAGTATTACTGAAGAATCTGGTCATTTAATTGATGTTTCAAAAATTAAAGAAAATATTGATGAAAACACTATTGGTATTTTTGTTATTTTGGGTTCTACATTCACTGGTGCCTTTGAACCAGTTGAACAAATCTCCAAACTTTTAGATGAAGTTGAAAAGGAAACTGGAATTGATGTTAAGATTCACGTTGATGGTGCTAGTGGTGGATTCATTGCACCATTTGTATATCCACATTTGAAGTGGGACTTCTCTATCGATAGAGTTGTTTCTATCAATACTTCTGGTCATAAGTTTGGTTTGACCACCGCTGGTTTAGGTTGGGTCATTTGGAGAGATGTTAAACATTTACCTGAAAATTTAAGATTTAAATTAGATTATCTTGGAGGTGTTGAAGAAACTTTTGGTTTGAACTTTTCTAGACCTGGTTTCACTGTTCTACATCAATATTATAATTTTATTACTTTTGGAAGAGAAGGTTATGCTAAGATTTATGATACATGTTTGCAAAATGCTCGTTTATTATCCAATGTTTTAGTTGAATCTAAATATTTCGATGTTTTGTCTGTTATCCATAACCCAATCGATAAGGATCAACAAAAGGCAACCTATACCCAGCCAAAATCTAGGGAACATAAGGAATATGCCATTACTAATGAACAATTTGAACCTGGTTTACCAGTTGTTGCCTTCAGATTCTCTAAAGATATTCGTACCAAATATCCAGAATTACCACAATCTATCTTCTCCTTACTTTTAAGAAACAAAGGGTTCATTGTTCCAAACTATCGTTTGAGTCCTGATGAACTGGAAAAGGAAATTTTAAGAGTTGTTGTTCGTAAATCTTTAAGTATGAATTTACTTGATAAATTAATTCAAGATATAATTGAATCTATTGAACTTTTGATTGAATCTTGTGAAACAGTACGTGATGTTGTTGCATCTTCAAAGGTTAATTCTGATGAAGAACAACATTCACTTATCTACAAGTTACTTTTATCCATTGCAAGCAATGGTGTCGAAGACCTTAAGAAGGTTCAAAATGAACACTTAGACAAGCCAGGTACTGGTCACGATAAACACAAAAAGTCTTACAGAGGTCCTTGTTAATAAAGGCTCTTGTTAATCAAAGTTTTAGTTAAGTTTTTTATGCACAGTTATTAGTTATGAATAAAAAAAAAGTTACGATGCAAAGAAGAGAACGTTGATGTAGTGAATTACAAATACAAATAAGCCCGTATAAAAGTCTTTTTATATATAGATGCAGTTAGTGAGAGCGATGATTGAAGAGAAGGTAAAGATTAATAATTCAGCGCATGAGAGGTTTCCATTTTGGATTAATATTGCTGGAAATTTGTGCAAAGTTAAATGATACATTGAGTATACTTATGGGCTATTATATAGTGATTTGTTGAAATTAGTGTTCATAGTGCTAATTAAGTTTCCCTTGACGTGCAAACAAAGGGCCCATGATCAATCAAGATTATCATGGAAACACAGTCAAGTGTGATTCGAGCAAATCTTAAAAGAGTGGTACAGAGATGGAAACCATATATGTTGTTTACATTATTGAATTATTGAATGATTTTCAACAAATGCCTTAAAGTTGCAAACCACTCTATATTTTGGCTGCAAAATTCGAAGTACGGCCTCCTATTTGAAATGTGTATTCGAGTAAATGGTTGCCTAAGTACATCATTAAAATATTTATTTAAAATACAATATAAAACATTTTCATGTTCGTATGTCAGTCATTAGGTCATTGAAAATGTAAAGTAAATGGCACTTTTCAAAAATGCAACATGAAAGATGCTGTCAATTTAAATTTTTCTTCAATTAATTTTTTATTTTATTTTTGCTTATTTCCTAATCGAAAACGTTGTTAGCAAGATCGAATTGATCGATTTGCCCCTTACTCAGTTTATGCGTCAAGACACGAAAAACCACAGTAGAGACTAATTGAAAATTTTGGTTGGTTTCAAAGTATCGCCACCACATTTATTACACCCCTCATAGCCTTATGTCATACATTTAAACTTTATAATACTCGAGCCCCACATTTCAAAAAATCATTGTCATTCTAAAAATCAAAACTAGACTTTTCATTAACATATGAAAAATCATACCATATGTAGAATCAATTGTCTACAACTTAGCATGTACTGAATTAAACCTACATTATTGCGTACTATTAACTAGCCACAACATATTATCCTTGAAAAAGGGGGGGGTGGGGAAGGGATGAGGACCACCATGGTAGTTCAATATCATCACTTGTACGCAAACACGCCTGACCGCAATACTAATACTAAATTCCTCGTAAATATATTTATTTTTTAATACTTTTTTTTTTTTAATTGTGACTATACGTAAGATTGCTCTACTTCATACATACTTTGCAATTATGGGCAAAAAAAAATAATTTGTATCATCACTTCGAATCAAGGAAATATAAAGGGGTTTTTTAAAATTTTTACGATCCATTACTTCCACTAGATCTCGATATAATCAATTGTAATGTCTACTACTACTTCCTCAAACACCTTGAACACTCACAAGGTTGCCACCACCCTTTCTCTCGCCTTGTCTATCTACGGTAACTTCCGTTACCTTGTTGGTCGTTCTCCTTATGACAAGCACTCTGGATTCCATGTTGATAACACTCCATTCACTTTAAACATCCTTGTTACTTTGATCTTTTGGGGTATTTTATACTTCTTACAAGTGAGTTTCGTTACCCAAACCTTCTTCAGTTCCCTGTCATCTACCACTGGTGGAAATGTCAGTAGAAGTGAAATCACCAATGTTGTTGGATGGCATTTTACTGTTTTCAACATTCTTTCGTTTGTTTGGTCTCTTCTCTTTGCTAGAAAGCATTGGTTCTTATCTGAAATTGTTTTAATCATCAACTTTTTGAACATTATCGTTTTGTACTTTGGTCACAAGACTTATGCCATTAAGCCATTATCCACTTGGACTTTGGTTCATTTACCAACTGCTGCCTTCCCACTTTCTTGGTTATTATATGCCATCTTCTGGAATGGTGCTGTTCTTTTCCACATTCACAAGTTTGTTGGTAGAGTTGTTGCCAACGTTTTGATTTGGGACTTTTTACTTGTTCCAGGTTTCTTCTTATTCATTTTCAATGATTATGGTGTTGGTTTCTCTTCAACCATTTTGGCCTTTGGTTTAGGTCTTGGTCAATTATTCACCAAGGCTTTTGCCTTGCAATGGATCTTTGCCTTCACTATTGCTGGTCTTTTGTTTGTTTTGAGTACCATTGCTGCTGTTACCGGTGGTTTACACACCCAAACCAGATCCACTGACGCTGAAGCTGCTCCATTATTGGAGAACTAATGAGTGGAAGAATATCAAAAAAAAATTAAAAAATTAAAATATTCATAATATTTTACTTCTTCTACGAGGGTTTGAAAAATATCCAAATTTTTCTATATAATGGTCATATTATTTTGATTCCTTTATAGGTGCTTTAATAGGTTGAACCATTTTTTTAATCATTTTCAATCTCAATGTTTCTGTAGATTCATTTGTAACTAAGGAATTGTACAAGAGTAAATCATCATGTTGAGCTAATGATGCATACGTATCTCTATGAATATTGGTTATAAATTCATTCCTAGTAGTTTCAGGATCTCCTAATCCAATATATTTAGCTTTTTGTTGATTAAACTGGTGAGAATCTCGTACTTTATCTGCCATTATTTTTAATTTATTAAAAAGAATGTTCACTATATATGTGTGTTTTTTATGTTTATTCTTTTAATTTTGATAAATATAAAAAGTGGTGTGCATATAATCCAAAGAAGACAATAAAAAAATAAAAGTTACACAAAATTAATTTAAGAGATTGGGGTGTTACCATTAAAAGGGAGCGCTACACCATTTTTCTTTTTAAGTATGTGGGTATATGCAACATTTTATATACGTACTGTATGTAGTGGACTAAAAAAACGTATATACATACCGGATGTCAGGATAAGGAATGACACAACGGGTATTAATTTGTTTTTTACCGCCAGGAGCAAAAGTATTAAAGATACTTCCAAGAGGAATGCTCACACTTTTAAATCACTTCACTTAGAATCAACGTTTCTTTGTTATGTTGTTTTTGTATTAAAAAATAAAAACATTTGAGATTGTGTTAGACTTGTTAAAGTATAATCTCCGCATTAAGAAAGCGTCCCTTAAAAGGGGAGTTCTTCTCCTCTTCCATGCTACGTATTCTATTTGCAGTATCTAAATATATATTTAGATATATATATAATGTTTCTGTAATCCCCTCTATAGGGCCCCACATCAAATTTTATGATATTTTTTCAGAGACAATACATTATAGCGCGGCCAACATCTCGGAATTCGGTTAGATTTACCGGCTCGGTTGTCAATGTGTGAAATCTTTGTGCCAACAAATGCTTTTTTTTTTCCAATAATTTGCCCTGTGACCTGCGGGGAGACGCAACATTGAATATTATTTTTCCCTTTGCATTCTCTCAGGTAAGTCAATTTGTTAGGTTACCTAAAACTAATAGAACAAGAATTATTACTAAAACTACAAGCAAAAAAAGAAAAAAAAAAATTACGTACAATGAAGAAAAAATTAATGAAATTAAAAAATATTAACAAGAACCTTTTACTCCGCAATAGAGATAATTTCAAATAATAAACATGAAATAATGAAAATTGACAAGACAAGTCAAATGCCCCAGATTGAACGATATACTGTAGTGTAGCTAATTTAAATTCCAAACTCCCTTGCATGTTGTTTTCTGTTGCCTCAACCAACAGTACCATTTCTTATTATAATCAATTAACAAATCGCTATCAAGAGGGCGTGCGCATTCCCATTTTCTGATAAATTATGAGTACAAGGCGAAGAAGGGGATTTTATATCAAAAGTCTATAATAAAGCACATATTCACTATTGTTTCTCAGACTTACATTACTTGTAAGTAACTAGTCATTAATTAGGGTTTTCTACCTTACACAACACCCCCTCCAGCTTTATTTCTTTACGGCGTTTTCCACCCCTCACTATTATTTTTTTTTTTATTTGACTTGCACAACATGACCCCCGCTCATAGTAAAACACAGGATCAGCAGTTAAGTGCCAACACTATGTGTACGGCAACTTTAAGAAATGGTGGAGATCAACGTATGAACCCCTCTATGACTTCAAATAAAGAAAGCCAAAATCCTAAGATGAAAAATATGCCTGTTATGACTCCAAAGGAACTTATTTTAGACGCTGATAATTCATCATTGTCAATATATCGAATGTATCAAAGAAAGAGTTATTTACCACAATCACAAAGAATCGCCAATATAGCATGGAGAATTCAAAACAGGAAATTGGCCCGATTTAGACAACTGAGATCAGCTTCACATCCATCAGAAAGTTTCACCGCTCAATCTTTAGGAGTCACTGAAGGTATTGAAGATTTGAATGATCCAAATTTAGATGAGTTTGATTACGTTGCACATATACGGCGCATAAGTCAAGAAGAATATGGTCTGTCAAAGAATCAAAAACAATTACAAAATTCAACCCAAGATATCTCTGAACAAGAACAAAACTCCAAGGGGAAAGTTGTACCTCAAGTTTCACCTCTGAATCATCATATATTACACTCACAATCACTGTTTTCAAATTATAGTGCCACCCCCATGCGAGTACAAACAACGAAATCAAATTCGATTGCATCTCCAGAATCAAATGCCAATTCTTTAACTTCACAATCATCATCAGTTTTCTCTTCAAATATGAAAACTTCGACTGTTGCCAATAAAACTGATCCAAACTTTCTTTCTTCGTATATAAACTCACTTGAAAATTCACTTCAACAAGAATATAAAACTTCCAATGCATCTCCAGCCAAATTGAAACAACAAAAAGGTCCACCATCAACAACAACAACTCCATCATCATCATCATCATCGCATCAACAACATAAGAACCTTCAATGTACCAATTGTCAAACAAGGACTACACCATTATGGAGAAAATCAAGTTCTGGAGATTTACTTTGTAATGCATGTGGTCTTTTCTATAAATTACATGGAGTTTTAAGACCACTCAGTAATAATATCAATTCTAACTCAGCAACGAAAAACAATTCAAATGATACCAATAATGTCCCTATCTCCACCAAAAAGGTCAATGATAGAACGATAATGAATAACAATATGAATTTATTCAATTTTGTTAAGGAATCTGCATCTGAAGACATACCAATGTCTCATGAACAAAGATCATCGACATCATCAACCATTCCAATCAGTCCAACGTTAGTCTCACATCATCATCATCTTCATCAATATCCTGAACAAGAATTCACTCCTTCAGACTCACATCAAAGATCTGGACTGGTTAACATGGACTCATTCTTACAAGATCCCAATATGGGACATGATGGTAAGAATACAAATTCTAATGACGTTGGAAACATTGATGATATCGATAAACTTTTGAATGCTAATTTATTTCAATCAGAATCATTCACAATTGGTGGTATTAATAGTAGAAGTCAACAAGGAGTTCATACTGACAATGATCATGATATGTATGATTTCAACCAAATGGGAGAAATGGGGATTAATGATGAAGTATTAATGGATACGTCTGGAGATTCAAAATCTAACAACTGGAATTGGCTTGATTTTGGACCTAGTTCGACCAAACATACATAAGAAGAATACTATGGAAAGTTTGAATATATAGATATTTATATATATTTATTACCGGAATGAAAGAGTAAAAAAAAAAAAATATAAAGAGAAGCATTGGCATTATAGCCTAATCCTTGTAGATAACGACATTCTTATCACTTGATGAGTTCTCGATTGCATTCAAGAACCTCTTTAAATAATCAGAACTAGAATCCCCTAATTTATATTCAACTTGAGAATAAGAAACAGGTTGAAGATCACCAGATTCATATAATTCAACCAATGAATCGATTGTTCTAGTCTTTGATTCGGGATCTTCATACGTATTTCTAGTCAACCAATAGGCCTTGGTGGTCAAGTTCTTGTATAATTGAAGGGCAGAAGTATATTGAATAGGATCCGTTGTCATTTGACCATATGAAACCAAGTATCCATCGGTGGACAAATGATCTATAAGAGCATTAGTCAGAGCACCACCAACAGAGTTTAATGCCAATTTCAATTTCCCACCAGTTTCCTTTAACCAACCGGGGATAATTTTGGTTTTATATTCTTCCGATTGTGATTGTTCTTCTGTGATAACCTTGGTAGCTCCTAATGCATATAATTCTTCTTCTTTAGCCTTTTGATTTGGCTTTCCTCCTCTAATGACAGAAATCACATTTATCTTCCAATGTTTAGCCAATTGAAGGACAAATTTACTAACTTGAGAAGCACCAGCATTTTGAATAACCCAATCTTCTCCAGTTGGACTGAATTTAACATAGTTTTGCAATAATTGATATGCAGTTGGAGGATTTACTCCAATTGTTCCAGCTTCAGCTATAGTTAATTTTGAATCCTTCCTGAGTGAATCCTTTACTTTAATAATTGGTACTGGTGCTTCTTCATTACCAAAGGTAACAATTGCATGACTTCTCCAAGTTCCAAAATTTGAAAGTTTTGTAATAACCCAATCATTTTCATTAAATCCAGAAATATCTTTACCAATCTTTAAGATTTTAAATAATCCTTCATTTCCCCCAATATGAACATCTTTTCCTGAAAGTTGTTGAGTCTTGGGAGTAGTATAAACTCCCTTAATTTGAAGAAGATCCGATGGATTAATTGGGTTGGCCAAGGCTTGTAATGCAACCTGATTAGGCTCCAAATTGACGAGGTCGATTTCAAATTCCGTAACTTGAAGAACTTTTGAAACGTCTAGATCATGCAGAGTGTACGTGATCGCTACACCATTCGTCATAGTAAAATTAATTTTAAGGCGGGATAAGGGTTGTAAGCAACAATAAGAGAAATGTATTACCTCGTCTCTACAACTTTTACAATTAGTGAAGAATTTGGTTGCAATATAAACCTTTAAACATGATTACTAATAAGTAATTTTTTTTTACTGTTGTGGCGAATTAACATTTTGATTTACACACTTTTAAATTTTTGTACACAGTGGAACGAGGCCCACATTTTTCTAATATTTCTCAAATCTAAAAAAAACACAATACAATTATCCATTATAATTATATATCTCTAAGTATCCGTGGACTCCAATTCCCTTTATCTATTTATTTATTTATTTATTCATTTTTTTTTTTTTGCGTTCTACAAGTTAGTTTTAGATTGCAACCACAGTATACTTTAACAGTTACTAAAATTTATATCCGATATTTCCCTATTTCCTGTTTCGCGTGTCCATGTGAGTTGCAGAATATACGATGCACACCTCTCCTAATGGGAAATAGCCGGTTCAACTTAGAAGAACATAAATAAACCCAGCTGCGTGAAAGGTTAAAGGTATACTCATCGAATAACCTTCCTTCCCCTTTAAAACCGATCTCAATTCATCTAAAACGTTGGCAACTTTGATTGTTGTGGATTTCCCTTTCCTTGTGATTATTAAATTGGTATTTGCTTGGCTATGTCATCCCTATACCCGTGCCTGCAGGTCTAAGTACCCCAAACATGTCTATCAATTTCAAGGCAGTGCTAGTATACGAACCATGGTTAATATTAAATTTAATGTATAGACGCCATTTCATGCTAAATTGTTCCAAGTACACCCGGGTTCTATAACCTTTACATCCCATATTGTTTGCTAATTCTATATTATTCAATTTTTTTTTCTATTACTTAATATCGCCTTACCAAATAAAACATTCTACCCAAGAAAATAAATCCCTTACCTCTGCCCTCTCTCCACATAATAAATCTATATACCAACTTACCACTTTTTATTAAAAAATTATCATACACACCTTTCAAAAATGGATGATCCCCTTAGACAATGCTTGGTCCTGCACATGCGCGAAATTATTTTGAATCTTTCCGGATTCAGACCCTTGGAAACGTACCTTCGTGTTTATTTATAGGACATTCGATAATGAGGAAAACATTCCTTTCGGAATTAAAATCTTTATCACTATTGTTAGGTTGTATGACCCATATTTTACTACTTCTTCTATCTCTAAACCTCGCCTCCTGCCCCCTTCTTGCAAGGTTGATTGCTACCATCTATAGCCCTGGCAACATTCAACTGAATTTAGGACAAGTTTACCAAAAACAATAGAAGTTCCACTATTCATCTAACCAGATACATTCCATAAGCGGGAATTGCTAAATTGACACACATTGCAGGCTTTTCTTTTTTGCAATTAATTTTTTTTTTTTCTCTACTAATTTTCCTCGATATTTTTTTTTTTTCTACTTTACAATAATTCACCTCAACGTAACATCTCTTGATTCTAAGGAGAAAATTATATACAACCGAGAAAAAAAAGAGGTTAGTTGAATCCTTTTCCCCGATTGAAGTAACTGCTAGTCCACTCTCCAGTTAAGTCTAACACATTTGACTCTGAAATTGCAACTTAGGTCATTCTATAGTTAACCTTCTTTGCATCGAAGAGAAGTAAATGTACCTGGAATTGAATTTACTTTTTTAGATACTGCAAAAAAAGAGGACTAATTCAACCTGTTATACTTCAGAGCTAACATCAACTAATCATGGGACTCTTATCGAAGTTTAGAAATGATAAAGGTGCCAAGCGGACAAATTCCCATAGTAGAACAAACACAGCAACCAGCTCTTTGGTTGGTAGTGATTTCCTGACTACGGCTTCCGATTCATCTCATTCTTCCACGGAAACTCCCTCTTCTACCTATCATGATAAGGGTTTAAATCAAATGCAAAAATCTCCTCGTATTAATGATGGGATTCCTCGTCATCTTAAGCCTAGTCGTATGAATCAACCGGTTGCTATGAGAAGAAAACCACCACCGGAAGGGGTTGAAACTTCTGTTCAAAGTCCTCGTACTCCTCCACCAACTCAACAACAATTTCAATCGAATGGGAAATTCCAATCCCGTATTAATCACCCAACTTCTTCCAGTAATGGTGCCGGAGATTATCCGATCAATCCATTGATCTCTCCTAAAATCAGAAAGCAACCATCTCCTCCTGCAAATGGACACCTGAAGAATAGTAGTTATTCCAAGAGTCCATTGGGGAGAGAACAAGAAAATGAAGAAGGAATGAATGCACCATACTCTCTTGATCCTTCAACCGGTAAGCCATCTGATGTATCCATGAGATCGATTAGTAACACTTCGTTTGGGAACAATACTACAGACTCAACATTTTCAAGCTCTAGTGAACTTGATGAACAAGATGGAAATAACCTCACTTTGTCCAGTATGGATCCTCTGAGAATTCAACAGAATCTGTACACTCCTCAACATCTTCCACATCCGGTGGAGAGTGACACACCAAAATCATTGAGTTCAAGAAGTTCCCTGGCTAATCTTTATCAAGGATATGCTCCACAACAATATCCACAACAACAACCTCCACATGGATATTACCCGGGTATGGGTATACCACCACAGCAACATGTTCCAGGATATCCACAAATGCCATACTTTAACCAAATGTATGCACAAGGAGCTGGGTATCCTGGAGGCGCACCATACTATGGAGAACCTCAATATTCTGCACCATCAACCCCTAGAATTCAAAGTCGTAGAGCTTCAACTACCCTGTTGAGTTACACTCACCCAGATATGTATGGTCCTAACCCTGATGCCATGTCCAGAAAATCAACTATCACTTCGAATAGACACAGTTCTGCACCTTCATTCGTGGGAAAGAGCCGTGCAACTTCGTCATATAATTTGAATGGTGTTACTGAAGATAAACTTTCAGAAGAGGATGAAGAAAAGAAGAAGAGTTTGAAATCTTCTTCAGGGACAATCTCGCAAGATATGCTGGATTTAAGTTTAAATCCAACTAATTATAGATATATTTCTGATTATGATCGTTATTTCTTTGATGGTAGTGACAATGAGGATAGTAAGCAGCCTCCAGAAGAGGATGCCAAGTTGGAAACTTCTAGAAAATCTTCGACTTCGTCATCGGCTTCATATAATTCCATTGAAAGAGGATCATCTGGAAAATTCAAAGTTGGATCAGCCTCTGAACGTTTAGAACGGATTCAAACATTGTCAAGAAGTAACAAAACCCTGCCAACCAAACAGCAGGCTGTCGATGAAGCCGCAAGAAGATTAAGCAGAAATAGTAGACGTGCCTCTACTTCGGTTTTGTCTTCCAATGCTCAAGCACCTTATGATATGGGCAGCCATGCTGGATCAGTTCAAGACTTTAATTCTGTGGGTTATCCACCAAACCGAATGGGTATGATGAAATCCCAATCTATGGAACCTTTCATGATGGCCGGTATGTCTCCAGGAATGTACAATGGCGGTATGGCAAATTATAGTAATGAATATATCTCGGCTCAAAAAAGACACACCATGGGAATGATGGATCAAAGACGCAACATGATGCCAATGGGATATGGACAATATGCTCAACCACCAATGATGCATTATGCGTCCCCAATGGGAAATCAAAGTCGTAGTACATCCCCACATAGACAAATGATGGGTAATAGCCAACCCCATGACTCAATTTTGAACAAAAAGATTGAAAATTATATTTCATTACGTCGTATAATTGCTTCTGGTAACAAGACATTGGAATATAGATTGAAATGGGTTAAGATGCTTGTTAACTCAACTAATTCCAAATTGTACATGTATATCAACATTAAGGGTGAACCAATTAATCCAGAATCTATTGCACAACATAGAGAATTATTCATCAAATCATCAACTAATCATACTCTTAAATTATTAAGAGAAACTGAAAATAAAGAAAAATATGAAGAAATTTATTCTGAAGTTTGTTATATTTATGGTTGTTTCCTTAAACAAGATTATGTTGAATTATATGAACAAGATTTCAATATTGAAAAGAATGTTGATGAAGCATTAAGATATTTTGAAAAGAGTATTGAAGTTAGAGGTAACAATTTCAAGAGTTTCTATAAATTAGGTGAACTTTATGAAGATGAACTTTATGGGAAATTTGAACCAAATGAAGGAGAAGATTTCATTGCAACTGCCTTGAATTATTATAAACAATCTGCTCAATATGGATATAATAAGGCAATTTTCAGAATTTCTTTACTTTATTTGAATAATGCTGAGCATAGATCTCCAAAATGTATTAAATATTTGGGAGATTTAGCCAATGTTGATACTAATTCCAAAGAAATTCAACTTGAAGATGACGATAGAGATGAATTAGATCATGTTATTGGTAATGCTGCTTTTCAAATGGGTAGAATTTATGAAGGTCTTTATCCTGGTGAACTTACATCTGAAAGCGAATTTGTTATTAAATGTTTACAAATGGCTCCAGTTAATTGGGGTAAAGCCTTAACTTATTATAACAAGGCAGCAAGACTCAATTGTATTCTTGCCCAAGTCAGGCTTGCAAAGGTTTATGAGAACGGTGAATTAGATCGTCAACAAAACCCCAACAAATCTATTCAATGGTTTATGAAGGCTTCTTCCTCTCCAATTTCTTCAATGAGAAATTATGAAGCGATGTTAGGATTGTCCCGTTGGTATATGAAGGGAAGCAATGGGTTAAACCGGTCTATTCCGTACCCAGACCCACCAAAGGCCTTGCTTTGGTGTGAACGTGCATTGGCATCCAATTCTGCTGATGCCTTTTTTGCTCGTGGATTATTAGCAGAACAAGGATTAGGTATTGAACCTGCACAACAATTCTTTGAGGCTGCTTATGAACTCGGCCATCAAATAGCTGGCCAAAGATTGGGGTTGGTTTCAGATGACGAACCAGAAGAACCAATTCCAGAAGAATCTTATGAGTATGATCTTCAGGAAGAATTCAAGGTTGATGAATCTATCAGTACCCCACATTTAAGTACTCAACAATTAGATTGAGGAAAGCATGTGGCAAAAATAAAAATGAAAGAATAATTTTTTTTGAACGAAGTTGCTCAGGAGCAGAAACACTTAAGCACAACCATATAAGCATTTAATTTAATTACATTACAAAATAAAATTACATTGTAGAATCACCTACTTAGAATATTTATAGAGAAACAGTGCATTGAAATAGAAGTACTACCGCTTATCTCTGGAACAGATCTACTAAACAGTGCATATACTTGGAGCTTTATTTAGTAGTTGCACAGATTTTATATATTCATCTGCATATCCTGAAAATCCAGCTATTCTAAAAAAATCAATCGCTAAGTATCCCTTCTGTATTCTATTTTAAGGTCGGGTCTACATATTGCAAAAGTGCTTATCAATTTTAAATTTGGTGCGGCGCTGTCTAAATCATAACCCAACCCATGTATTAAATTGTTTCTTTGTTGAGTATTGAGGATAGTTAATTTGTGATTATTTTTAGTTTTGAATTAAGCATATAGAACCATTGAACCCTAATTTTGATAGAAACGGTTCATAAGTGATATTCACATATTGCTATTATAAACTTTTTGCTGTTTGTCTTTAAAGAACAATCGTTTGGTGAGAAGGGTAAAACTTCGTTAATATGAGTATTCCTCGAAATATACATTCTTCGAGTCCTCCATCTCATGATTTAAGCTCGAGAAGGAAATCGATCGCCAAGCTCACACGGTCGCCACTTTCATCTTCACCACTTTCTTCGCATTCTCCAAACAGGTTTGGATCAAGACCAAGTTCATTTTCAAACAATGGGGCCTTTTTAAAACTTCCACCTCACCTTCGGGATGAAGATACACTGTCTTCAATTAATGAAGTATTCCATAGATCTGATGATGAGAATGATCGTTCTTCTAGTGGGGGGAATTCCGATTTAGCTTCCGGATTAAATGATCCAAATGTTATTTTACAAGCTCAAAAACACATGTCTCTGGGGGGCAAAGGTGTAGATCATCTTAGATTAGAAGGCGGTGATATTACTAGAGAGTTGTACAAGTTGACTCAAGATCCTCAACAACCTAGTCTCAGGAGATCAAAGAGTTTTGGATCCACTGAATCAAGTAGTAGGAGAGGATCAACCGCTAGTTCTTTAAATGTTCCTGGTGGATTTAGACGTGATTTCATTATACAACAAAAGCTTAGCAAGTTCCAAACAAGAGAAACAAACCTTTTAACCAGAAACTTTGTTGAATTTCTTAGTATATACGGCCATTTCGCTGGTGAAGATTTAGAAGACGAGGATGATTTAATTGCTTGTCATTATAAACCATTCAGTCCTCAAGTTGATGAAGAAACAGCATTATTGTCAAATCAATACCATCCTGATAACGACATCAATCCAAACGGTACTGCCACTGATAGAAAGGCATATTTCTTACTTTTGAAGGCATTTGTTGGTACTGGTGTATTGTTTTTACCCAAGGCATTCTCCAATGGTGGATTGATGTTTTCTACATTGACCCTTGTTTTCTTTGGAATCTTATCGTTTTGGTGTTATTTAATTCTTGTGTATTCTAAAAGTGCAACTAAAGTTTCAAGTTTTGGTGAAATTGGATTGAAATTATATGGGAAATGGCTTCAACAATTAATTTTATCTTCAATTATTTTATCACAAATTGGATTTGTTGGTGCTTATATTGTGTTTACCTCTGAAAACTTAAGAGCATTTTATTCAAGTATATTTCATGTGGAAGATCCTTCTTCATTAAATATCCTTTGGTTTATTCTTGTCCAACTTGTGATATTCTTACCGTTATCATTGATTAGAGATATTACTAAATTATCATTACTGGCAGTATTGGCGAATGTTTTCATTTTAATTGGTTTGGTGACTATTATCTATTTCACCTTGTATGAGTTATTAATTAATAATCATGGCCAATTTGCTGGAGGAATTCAATATTATTTTAATCAAAGTGATTTTTCATTGTTTATTGGTGTTGCCATATTTGCATTTGAAGGAATTGGGTTAATTATTCCAATTGAACAATCTATGATTAGACCTAAGAACTTCCCCAAAGTATTATTTCAAGTGATTATGACCATATCAATTATTTTCATTGGAATTGGAGCTTTGGGATATGTCACCTTTGGTGATAAAATTGAAACAGTTATTTTGTTGAACTTGCCACAAAATTCCCCAATGATCATGGTTATTCAATTGTTATATGCCTTTGCTATTTTATTATCTACTCCACTTCAATTATTCCCTGCAATTAGATTGTTGGAACTGAAATTATTTATAAAGACAGGTAAGATGTCAACTAAAGTGAAATGGCAAAAGAATTTCTTTAGATTTGCATTTGTTATATTCACAGCCATTGTTGCTATCTTTGGTGGGAAAAATTTGGATAAGTTTGTTTCATTTGTGGGATGTTTTGCCTGTATCCCATTAGTTTACATGTACCCCCCAATTTTACATTTGAAAAGTTGTTGTGATTATACTCAATGGGGGCTCCTGGATAAAGAAATTAAGAAAAGATATTGGTTAGGAATCTTGGATTATGTTTTGGTCGTCATCGGAGGTGTGGCCATGGTCTACACTACCCTTCAAATTTTGGTTGGTTGAAATACATATATACATTGACTGTGTATTAATTATAATAGTTTTTTTTTCTCTTTTCTTTACATAAATAAAATGATTTCTAGAATAGTTGTGTAATTTACTTTTTAGGTTCAGATAATAATTGGGCAACAAACACTCTTGCATCATGCACAGCAGAGGTGAGTGTTTTCTTTGCACAATCAAGTTGTTGATCAGTGGCCCTTTCTGCCTCTTGGTATTGTTTCTTAAGATCAGTTTGCAAGGAACGAACTTCTGGAAGATGCTTTGCTTCATATGAATCAATACATGATGAAATTTCGGAAAATGTCTTTGGCATAAAGTAGGATAAAGAAGCTCCACCAAATAAAAGAGGGGTTATGAATCTGACTGGTAAGGCTCTTCTATTTACTAGAATAGAACCAGAAAGGGTAGCAGTTAAAACATAAATCAAATTAGGTAACACTGGTTCCCTTACAACGGAACGAATCTCTTGTTTGACAGAAGTCACTTCATTGGACAAGGCAGACTTTTGGGTTTCTAACTCAGCACCATAATAAGACCATTTTTCATGTAAATAATGTCTAGCAATGTTGGTATATTCTTCCAAAATTGGAGTTGTTCTAATGCTCATACCTTGAATGAAGGAAACATTCCCATGTGAAGATTCTTGTTCTTTCAATTCTTTTGTTATTTCAGCATTGAAACCTGGCTTGTTTACAACAAGATCATCATCCTCGTAGAATCCACGTTTAGTCATTTTTGATGTTCTATGAATATACCTGATTGAGAGTAATGATCAATACAGAAATTAAAATACACTCCAATCAAAAGTTCATTGTTTTTCTGACCCGCGAATTTTTGGCAGATAGACATATAAGTTCACAAATACACAAAAGAAGAAAACTCAGTACAACAAAATAGATACAGAAAAATTATATATACATATATTAGGTTGTTTATCAAGATAAATATACTCTCGAATTAGAAATGAAACTTAATTACTTTTTCTTACCGAAAAATCCCTTCTTTTTCTTTTTACCTTCGTCCTTATCTGATTTCACCCCTCCAAGTGGCTTTGCTGCAATCTCAGGAACATTGAGTTGGATTTCATCGTTAAAGCCATCCTTTGAATGCGAAGTTTTAGGTGTATCATTCGTATTCGATGATACACTTGATGTGTTCGATCGGTTTGCATTTGGTGGATGTAAATGTTGCAGTTGTTGTGGGGGGATTTGTAATTCACGAGGTTGACTTGGTGGTGAAAATTGCGACTTTCTCAGGTTAACTCCAGGTGGACTATTTAAATTCCCCATAGATGACATTGGTCTTGCCTTGCCACCTTGTGGACGTTCCCCTGTTGGCCCTGTAGGCATTGGCATTCCTCCTCGACCACCCATATCCATTGCACCTAATCCTGCTGCAGTTGGGTACATAGATCTCCTTGTAACCTTTGCTCCGTTCATACCCATCCCATTGTTTGGCATCATTTGGTTTCCACCAAAGTTTGGTCCCTGCTGACTTGGATCATAATATGAGCCCATTGATGATGGAATTGAACTGAGTCTTTGCTTTTGTGGGTGTCCATTTTGTTTATGTTGTGGCATTTGTTGATATCTATTCACATTAGTCATTGAATTACTTCCTAAAAGTGGCGCTGGTAACGTATTATGTGGTAATCCATTCGAAGGAAGTCCGTGTGGAGGATGTTGATCCATTGGTGATGGTAAAAATCCTCCTTGTCCTCCTTGTTGTTGATTTCCATAATATTGGTTTTGATGGCCATATTGTGGTTGCATTTGCGAAAAATTTTGTAAATTATTATATGATTGATGTTGTTGTGGCATTGGCATTTGTTGATACTGATTTTGTTGATGATGTTGTTGCTGTTGTTGGGGGTTATAATAGTTTTGTTTTGGTTGAGCTGACCCATATTGAGTATCAACTTTCAACTTTTCGCGACCACTTGGTGGCACTTGCTGTGATTGTTGTTGTGGTGGTGGTTGTTGATAGTTTCCATTCCCATTTGGATAATTATCTCCGCCTTGAGAATATGATTGTGCACCTTTCCCAATATCAGATTCTTCAGCAATGTGTTCTCCATTATTTCCCATATTCAATTTTGGAATATCTTCACCATTCAAATTGGCTCCATAAAGAGCAATATCTGACATTTCTTGTAATCCCCTAGGACTGGCAATAAAGGATTCTCTCGAAATCTTTGGAGTAGAAATTGGATCAGTTTGATTTGTAAGCGATGCATTTTTGATGTGTTCTTGTTCAACAAGTTGCTGTTTCTTCTCACTAATTTCTCTATCCAAAATTTTACATTTTTCTTCTTGATCCTTAATAGTAGAAGTTAATGATCTCAAAATAATTTCTTGTTTAGACACTTGTTCATTAATTTCCAAAGATTTCAATTCCTTATTCTTTTGATCAAGATCAAGTGATTTTATTCTCTGTTCCATTTCATTCAAATCTCCAGTTAACTTATTAATATTCTTTGATTTAAAATCATAATCAATATTTAATTGATTATTTCTTTGTTCATCAAATTCATTTTCTCTTCTTTTGAAAAAGATAGATTTTGAACCTTTTCCATTAACTTTGATATATTGACACATTATTGAATATAAATTTTCCAAATATGGTGTACGAATCCCATGATCATCTGCCAATAAAATTGGTTGTAATAATAACAAATCAATATCAAGATCATATTGCTTATAATAATTGTAAAATAAACCAGGCGAATCCAAAAATTTATCGTTTTGATCTCTTGATTCAACTTGTGGATATAATTCTTTCCAAATTTTCCATAAATTAGTTTCATTTTCTGTTCCTTTAACTAATTTACATTCCATCTTTTTAATAATTTTGAAAATTTCAGTAATTAACCCTGTAACTAAAGGTTTACATAAAATTTGTTGAGATAATTGTTCAGGAAATTCAGTTTCAAAAATAATTGATAATGGATTGAAAATAATTCTAGGAAGTGCTAATTTCCATTGATATGTTTGAAATTCCTTTGATGAATTTGCAACTAAAAGTGAAAATTTCCCCTTTGAATCTTCTTGAATTAAATTAAATGCCTTGATAATTTTTTTAAAACTTGAATTCTTATTATTTGTACAATGTCCCAAATACATTCTTGATTCTTGACCTCTAATTTTATGACTATATGTATTGGAGCCAAGATGTCTTACATCATATTCATTCATTATAGAGCAAATACTCAAGTTTTTCAACTTGGGAAGACTCAATGATACAAAGGGTTCAAGGTTAATAAACCCAGTACTTTCAATCATAATGGTGGTCTTTTCATCAATATATGGGATCAATGATTGGCTGGTCGTTTGGAAATCTTGAAGTGAAGAGCTACTCAAAATAACAACATCAAATGGTACTACTCCTCTCGAAATCTGTGATATATCATTATAAATATACTTTGGGGAAAATGATGTTGTTCCAAATACAGATGATTCCCATCTAATTGGTGAGTTTGCATTCAAGTTTCTATTCACCACTGTCACTGTACATGATCCAGTTTCTTGAAGTCTCCATGAGTAGAATGAAACGTTTGGATTTGCACCAACTTGAGGTATATGTTAGTAATTGCTAATAATAATAACTTTGGATCATTCACTTACTTGCTAAGATCTGGAAATCAGCCATTTTGAGCGTGACTTTCTATTTATACACGTAGGAGATATAGAATTGGAAAGATTAGATCGTCCCTTTCAATTGAAACAATACTATATCAAATAGAAAAAAGATCAAACTTCAATAAAAGTGCTTTGATCAATCTGTCGTACACTAACAAATTTTTGTTTTTATTTAAGCAAAGAAAAACTAAATGCAAAAAAAAAAAAACTTAAATAAAATTAAAAAAAAAAACAATTACATAGTATACTCAATCTAGTTAAAAAATGGAACCCTTTTAAAGCAAGTTAGGTGTATGAAGTAGAAGACATTAGGTAATACTTTAGCAAGGTGGGTGATTGGATCGACGTGTCTCGCTTATTCGATGTAGGCTGATTCCTCTCATTTGAATTTCAACGCCTCTTTGCTATGGTAATATAGAGTGGACACTCAATTTTGATCCAGACCCGGGCAGTGCTATGAGGAAAATTTAAATTAAAATGGAAAAATTAAAATTATTAAATAAAAATCATAGTTTGTATGTACATTGAAGTGATATGTGCGTCATTATGGCCAAGTATCATAATTACAGACAGAGCTAGCATTTTCCCCCGGAGTATGTGTAGTGCGCTAGATTGAAAATTTAAGAGGGTAGTTATACGACAATTCTCATGTAAATCTAAAACTCTTTATCTTTGAGTGCTTTATTTTTTTTTGTCCATGAATTATAGTGGGGTATTAAATTGATATACGAAATGTTATGAAAAACACAAAGTATATTGAATATGAAAGTGGATATGTTTGCTGGGAAATGTTCATTATTGATGAGAATAAGCGATTATACATGTGATATGGAATAAATTTAGAAATGATGTATATATAAACGGGGCGGATTCTTTTATTATCACAAAAGTCACAATAAGTCTGTCATTCAAACAAATTCTCTCTCTACATAAATTTGATATTGTTCCTCATTCTCTTTTAAAATGAACAATACCAGATATTGGATCAAAATATTCAATTTTGAAACAAAATAAGCACTTGAAACTACATCTACTTCATAACGTGAGATTAACTAAGAACCAATTTGTCTAATTTTTGTATTATTGGTGTGGTAAATCTACTTCACTTCTATATCTAACATCCCAGAGGTTGCATGTAAACCACATTAATACCTCTAAACGAATATTGAAAAACGGCTTACCCGGATCAACCTAGTATATTTTTTTTTATCGGTGTCCGCACACGACCCCCATACTATATGAACAATTTTTGAGTATCAAATATTTCGAGTATGTTTCCTTCTCTTCAACGAGTCATTTTATCGGCGTCGTCCTGTAGTTGCTTGTACTCGGGACTTGATAGCTGGTGGTGATCTTTGATGGGGATATGCGTTACGTATGTACTCTCTTTGATTATTTGATGATTTGAAGATTAAATTACAGTAGGGTGTATCTCCGGTTGATGAGTTAAGCCATGACTCTTTTTCATAATCCCTTGTACAATTATTTATTTGTAAACTAATGTAGTGTTATAGTTATGTATATACATACGTTTAAATGTATATATATATCATGTATGTAAATCTCTATATGGAATTTCAGAAATCTCAAAAAATGAGATCAGAAGTTAAGATAAAAATAAAAAATAAGTTCAACCGCTCATCAAAAGACGCGTCTAAAACATTAGCACAATGAGAGGTAAACTCATCCTTATAGAAGGTCTTGATAGATCAGGGAAATCTACACAAGCTCAGATACTTTCTGATAAACTTGATGCTTTACTCATTAAATTTCCATGTAGAGAAACAAAAGTGGGATCTATCATTAATGAATACTTAGTTGATTCAACCGTTAAACTTTCAGATCAAACAGCACATTTACTTTTCCTGGCAAATAGATGGGAATTGGCACATTCCATCGTAGATACCTTGAATAAGGGACGATTTGTGGTGATGGATAGATATATATATTCGGGAATTGCATATTCCCTAGCAAAACTGAGAAGTGGAGGTTCTAGTGATTCAGAGATGAATCTGATCGATTGGCTCTATTCTCCAGATAAAGGATTACCAAAGCCAGATTGTACTCTATTCCTTACTCTAGATTTGGAAGAATTGGGCAATCGTAAAGGATGGGGTGAAGAGAGATATGAAAAGGAATCATTTCAAAAAATCGTGAAATCATGTTTTGAAGAAATTTTTCAACTTGACACCCACGCTGTCACCAAGATTGATGTAAATAATATGGATATCCCACAGGTTTCAGAATTAATAATGTCCAAATTGGAATCCATTGGAGCATTACAAACTACTGAGAAAAGTATTGAACGATTCACATAATCAATACTTCTAATATAATAATAATAATAATAATAATGTACATTTTAATCTAACTTATCCAATTCGTATAACCTTTCCAATATCTTGGCCTTTGATATTTCCTGTATTTCTCCTCCTAGATATATTTCATCTAAGATGGCATATAATTTATAAAAATTGAATACTAGGTCCAATTCACATACATTGTTGAAATAAACATCCAATATCTCCACCAAAAAGTGTAAACTTTCCAAATAACTAAGCTCATTATCGTTCAAGTTAATCGATGTTATGAAATGTAACCCTGCATAACGTCTGTATACAAGTTTATTCTTTTGGAATTCTATAAAGTTTGATTGATGTTTCAGATCTCGTGAAGATAATAACCGATGAATGTCCGAAACAAGCCGGATCTTTTCTTGTTGTTTATAAACGTTATTGAACCATTTCATAAGCCGGGTTTTACCCTGTCGGTTTAGCACTAAGATGAATTGTATCGACATGATAAATATATGTGTCAATATATGGATATTTATGTAGAAGGAAGACAAATATATTTATAGATTATCAATTGTAAGAATCGCAATTTGGTTTAATCCTTACTCCACGTCTCAAGAAAATCAAAAAATGGGAATATATACAATCACATAAACAAAATAATAATATAATCCTCTATCATAATACACATTCATAAATATGCTGGATCAAGATCCAGATTTGACATATCGTCAATATGAGATTAGAGAGGGGATTATATTTTTAATTGAATTGACGCCTGATATATTCCTTCCCTTGGAACAATTAAATTATAAGTCTCAATTCCATGAAATATTACTTGCCATTAATGAATTAATATCTGAATTAGTGATTTCACTTCCTAGTACTGGGATAGGGATATATTTGTATAATTGTGCAACCACTGGAACTAATTTTAAAAAAGATTCAGGAATCAATAAAATCTTTACTTTGAATGATGTGAATAGTAAGAATATGAAAATATTGAACGATCTTATTCAAGATGATATCAATAACGTCAAACGACTCGAAGATTTATTTTCAGTGAAAAGAAATACTGATAACGAATATTATGATAATCTTCCGATAGTTTTGAACTCAATGTTGAATATTTGTAATATGAAAACTCATTATAATAATAAAAAGGTTATATGGTTTACTAATAATGACAATCCTTATAATAATGATAAGGGGAAAAAACGATTATGGAAGATCATTAATGATTTTGAGGAATACAAGATTAATATATCTCCATTATTCTTGGATAAATTCGAATCTGGAGAGAAATTACCTTTTGATATGAAGAAATTCCGAAATATATTTCTTAATTATGGAGAATGGCAAGAAGCTAATGATGATCATTCTGGAGATGAGGAAAATACTACAGATATCAAAGTAGAAAACGAGAATAGTCAATATTTTGATCAAGATATGAAAAGAAGAATCACAAGTAAAAAGCTTCGTAAAACTACCCTTTCAACCACATTAAGAAGCTATATTCTTCGACTTAAAGAGATTAAAAGAGTGCAATTTTCATGTAATCTCATTCTTTCTGATGGCACTGGATCCAAGGGGGAAATAGGAGGAGAATTTGGGTGTTCAATCAAGGGATACAGTATGTACAATCATGAAAAGCCACGAAGATTTGAATCTATTTACAATAAAGGTGAAACCTCACAAATTGTTCATGTTAAAACTAAATATATTGATGCAACTACAAATGAAGAAATCCCAACCAATGCCAAAAGTGGTGAGAGTAATGATGGTGGTGATGATGACAGTCAAATGCTTCCTCAAATCAAAAAAGGATATGCTACAAATGATACTGTATTCTATCTTAATGATAAGCAGTTACATTACTTGAAGAATTATACATTCGATCATACTCCAGATGGGATTTCTGAGCCTACTGAAGACGAAGATAAAGATGAACTCGAAACAGCTAAACTTGAATATTCCGAACCGGCGTACTTGAAATTGATTGGATTTCGTAAATTAGAAAATTTCAAGCCATACTACAATACATCAAATCCAATATTTGTAACTGCGGATATTAATAATGGGCTTAGATTACCTTCTTCTGCTGGTGGTTTTGAAAACTCCTTCGCTACATTCTCATCTTTATATCAATCTTGTGTGGCATTGAAAAGGTTTGCAGTTTTATTCGGATGTACCAAAAAGAACTCCACTCCGTCAATGTATGGATTATATCCAACACGAGTTGTTAATTCTACAAAAAATAATACTTCAAACTTTTCGCTGTTCAAAGAATTCCCAGAAGGATTTTTCCTAATAAGATTACCGTGGGTTGATGATATAAGGTCAATCCCTGAGTATATCTTGACAAATGGAAAGTATTTGAGTGACGAAAGTCTTGAGGGTGATGAGAGTACGAATGAATTGATAGAAAACTATAAAATGATGATTAATGAGTTTGGTTTGAAAAGTTATCAGCCCAATAAAACACCGAATCCAACTTTGAATTATTTCTATAAAGTTCTAAGGATGCACTTGCTTCAAATGCCAAGTGAGTCTGATCCAAGTAAGGAGATCGTGGAAAATGATCAAACAATTGAGCTGCTTATTAATGTGCATAATCATTTGTGTGGAAAGCAGAAGGAAATAAATCAAACAAGAAATGAAATTATAAAGTATTTGAATATGACATTGAATCGTTTATCAAATGAATCTATAAATAATAAAAGACAATATGAAAGTGAAGGTGGGGTATCTAAAAAAGCAAAGACAGAGGAGGTTGTATTAACTGATAGTGATGTCCTAACTGCATGGAAGAAGAATACCTGGACGTATTTCAATGTTGCTCAATTAAGAACCTTCATCAGTAAGCACAAGGGAAAGATAAAGAAAGCCACAAGAAGAGCGGACATGATTGACAATATAACGGAATTCCTAGAGGAGAGGTATGGAGCCTCGGAATAAGATCATTTTAAAGTTTTTTGAGAAATACATAAACAAACATTAATACCATACATATTGTAGGGTTAATAGTTAAGAGTATCTGGAAAGTGTATATATCTATTGAATTTATGACGCAACAGCCGCGATATAATATTACTCTCGCCTTCAGGTTTCACAAAGAAAAAAAGAAAATAATTCAACCCTTCTTCGGCTTTTAACCTTGTAATTTATCACGGGTGTGTTGTTGCCCCAGTCAAAAATAAGAACCAACAATACTCTGGATAGAGAGTTTGTTACAGATCAAAAAAAAAAGAATGCGCAAACCCGGAATCGAACCGGGGGCCCAACGATGGCAACGTTGGATTTTACCACTAAACCATTTGCGCAATGGAAATCTCCGCGACGGGGAATTGAACCCCGGTCTACCACGCGACAAGCGGTAATTCTAGCCACTAAACTATCACGGATTTTATTGAAACATTTTTTGCGTGTGATTTATATACCATCTTTATGTCTTATATGCAGGTCTGCAAAAAAGTGTATAATATAGACAAATTATAGGATAATAAACATCGAATGAAGTAAAAAAAAATATATATAATAGAAGGCTTTTTGCGTCAAAGTTTGACCCAAATCTCACGTTTTCGACTGACGTAGGGGATTAACTCGTCTGTTAATTCCCAGTTTTCAAGGTTTACAGGTTGCATCTGTCATTGTCACGGTTTTTTTTAGGTTTTGTTTGTCTGAAGAGTAATTTTATTATGCGTTTGTCAATCGCGTTTTAACAGTGCCTTGGTTCGCGGTAGGGTACCCTTTGCCTTGAAGCAAATCTTAATAACTTAAGAGACCATGTCTACATATACTGCGAAGTTAGTGTCCAAATATGGCTGATTCTTGTACCAAGAAAGAGATCGCAGCTTAGAGAATTAGTTGCAAATACGGAAGTTTACCGACCTTTTCAAAATCAATAGATACCTCGTTGCGATTAAAAAGTTGTTCCAACGTCGAGTATCGTTATATCCACCGTAAGGATGGTCTAATCGGATGCAAGAGGATGTGTATCGTGGTTTAAAGCTACTTGTCATGAGGAGTTTTAACCAATAGTGGGTTAATAATGTATTTGGAAAAAAAGTAAAATAAATAGGTAAGTGGTAACACTTTCCCAAGTATTGGACCCAAAAGGGAACAAAGTGGGTTTTTGTCTAGGACTTATATAGTGGTATATAATAAATGATTAATATATTTATTGCACATTACAATTCTAATTATAAAGCAAATTGGAAATATTTTGAACATAAATATATTAACTGGATAAAGCCAGATTAAAGTAAAATAATAATTTGAGTCACCTAGGCTCAAGCTGATTTGAAACTATGAAGAAAGTAGCCTCAAAGCTCTTTCGCAGCCCCAATAATACGCTATGCGTGATATTTCATCTAGTAGAAAAGATCGTTGATGTCAGCCACAATGGTGAAGGAGAGTTAGAATTGGCGCTGCATATGGAACAGATTTGAGCATGATCTTTAAAAGTGGTTTTCTACTATTTATAAGGTGAAAGCAGAGACAAAAATCATTGAGTACCATAGTTTGGAAGGTGACAAATACTTTTAAAACAATTTCAAGTTCGAAAGGAAGGTAAAACACCAATAAATACCAGTTTTTGCGCCAACGGCTTTTTTCAATTTGGGCCCATTTATTAAACTGAAAATTTTCAAGCAACAGAAATCCTCTTGGTGGCCAAGCTGGCTAAGGCGCGAGACTGTAATGATTAACCTCAAAGTTATCTTGAGATCGGGTGTTCGACTCACCCCCAGGAGATTTCTTTTTAATTTTTTTAATCCCTGGCAGTTTCTATTTTTATACAAAATAGACTTTTTTTTTGCAAAGAATACTTGAAACATAATTTCATCTTCTACTGCTTAAATTTTTGGGTATTGTTTCATTGATGATCTCATGACAATGGTTGCGTGATCTTTAAACCGGTTTATCCGTATGTATATTCACGTCATATTTTCAGTATGTCATTTATTTTTCCTGTCAATCGTACACGTGACTCTAATCTAGCCAATAGATAGCTTTATATTACTAATAATTGGAAACTGTGTATGTCATATAAAACATGAATACACACCGAATTAATAAATTTCTACAATAGAAAAGTTTAATAATCAGATTATTTAATATTCATATTGAATTCCAACGAGAATAGATTGTATGTATAAAAGATAGTGATGATTTTGTTAATGTGAAGTTATTATCGGCATTCAAGTTGCTTCTGTTTTCCCCCTTTTTCTTCAGTATATATTTACATTTTTCCGGAAATCTAATATTATACTATCAATGGTAGGCTTATTCTTACCCTTTAATTCTTATTTTTGCCCTGCCTTTTTAGCATGTTGCAAATAAGCCATGGATCTTTCACCCAGAACTATGTGCAGGCTTCTGTAAAAATAGAAATTGGATAGAAAGAAAGAAAGCCTAGATGTTACCTGCAGTACATCCATCATAATACATACGAAATGTGGGGAGAGCTTGGATTCTCGAAACATTCGGATATCGGACCGAACTCAACGCGACATGCTATTTATTGCTTTAAATAATTAGTTTTCGATTACTATAGCAAACATTGAGTGGATTAATTTCTGGACATGATGTACATATATATTTAAAGGGTTAAATACTAGCCGGTCCGCGTTTCAAATTGCTCTTTCCGACAGTTTTCTTGGTCATTCACCCCTCTTTGTTTTATTTTTAATTCATAAATCATGCATACTAACTATTTACAAGGATAGGGAGCATATATTAAAGTTTACACGGATATTATAAATAGATCCATTTATATTCAAAAAGTAGATTGATAACAAAAATCACTTTTGTTTATGATTCCTTCTCCAGAGTATGTCGAGGTTTTACCTCCACAATATCAAGTCGATAATTCGCAACCACCAAGCTATAAGCCATCATTAAGCTTTTATGGAATAACATTAATGAAAACAGAATTCACGTCTCCTTATCATATCAATAACAAAAAGCGTTCATGGACTCCGGTAGTACTTGAGCTTAATTCGACACAACTTATTGTATATTCTCTTAATGTTGAGAAAAAGTTATATGATCTTTTATTAGCATTATATCATGAAGAGAACTCTTTACAAGAACTTGTTGATAAACTTTGTAAAGACCGTCCAGATAATGACTTTAATGATTATACTTCTGAAGACCCCGATATGTTTGCAGGCGATGCATACGGAGCTGACTTTGGAATGAATAATGGTTCATTACTGCTGAAAAGTAAATCAACTCTTATTAGGGATAAGTTTTTGAAGAAGAAATTAAATAAGAGAATATCTCATGATTTTAATCATTACTTTGATTTATTAAAAGATAACCAGATGTTATTTGAACCTATTACATCAACCATGGAGTATGAGACATTCAGTGCTAAATATCGTGGTGAAAAACTTCATTGTTGGACCCTTCAAAACTTGAGTGCTGGAGAAGCCCCTTCCTTAAACCAAGTTATATCATCATTATATAAAGAGGATAATTTGTATAAAAAGCAAAACTTATCCACTTTAGTGAAATATTCCAATGTTTTAAGGGTAAGAATTGAAATTAGACAAGTTTTATTTCAATTTTGGTCATTTCATGGAATGATTCATTGGTATCAAAATTTAAATATTGGTAAAGATTTAAGCACAACTTTAGAAGATCGTCAATTTTCTAGATTAAAGACGATCCCCAATAGATCAAATCTGAGGAATAATGCATTATTGGTTGCAGCAGCTGCCGCTGCTTATGATGATTCAAACGGAACTAATTTATCAATACAATTCAATGAATCTTTTGAAGAACTGGATGTACTTTCTCTTGAAAGATCCAAATGTGAATATGATGTACAAAGTTCAGTTCAAAGTTCAATATTTGATTCTAGTCATACAATATCATCAATTAATTCTGAAACTTCAAACTCAATAAAACCAAGCTCAAAGCTTTATTCAAGAGATACTTACACATCCTTAGAAAAACAATACATTTCAAATTGCCTTCCTGATTTAAATTCATATGATAGGTGGACTGGCGTTGATGTGGTATTGTCAAATTATCATTCATATCTCAACCAAGACCAAATAAATGAATTGAAAACTAAGACGAATATGGATTTACTCATTAGTATATCATCATTGGATAATTCGAATGGATTTTTTAAAAGGTCAAGGCCAATTAAAAAGAAGCACGTTATTGAAAATGGTTCATGTCGTGGATTCTTCATTCATCAAAATGGTTTAGTTAGCATATCTGTTTAGAATTCAAATAAAATCATTCAATTACTTTTTCGTTTCTTCTTTTGTTTTTTTTTTGACTATTTAATAATACTAGATAATATACATTTTAGAGTACAATTCAAATTATACATTTGAAATTTGTTTTGGAGGTTATTGAGCAGTTTAATACATCATTGCATCATTTGGTTGAGCAGAGTTATCCTGGAAATCTTCTTCTTCTGAAGCCATACCAAAATAATTCTCATGCTCTTGTTGAAATTGAGCTTGAGTAGCTGGGGTTGGAACAGGTGCTTGTGCATGTTGATGTTGTTGATATCCTTCAACCACGTAATTTTCAACTTCATCACCTGGACTTAATTTCATTGCTGGAGAAGGGGAATCTGATGATGTTGGACACATAGATTGAGGGGTACTTGGAGCATAATTCGTTTGAATAGCATTTTGATTGAATGAATGGTCTTGGAAATTCATATCTTCAAACTTTGTCACCATTTGCCCAGTAATAGGGTGGGTATACTGCCTCAATGAACCCCAAGGTGTTATTTTAACTATTCCTCCTTCTGGATGATTATAAATTGGCCATTCTTCAGAAGTGGAGTATTCTTGTAATTGTTCAATTTCATTTCTGAACTTTTTAGTTTCTGGTTGGTTTTCTTGAAATCTTCTCTTTGAACTCATTTAATAAGAATTATATATTTTGATCAAAAATTTTGGTTGTAATATGTATGGGGGATAACCTAGGTATAGGATTTTATTTTGCGTATGAGTAATATTTACTTTCTTTTAGAAAAGTGTTGTTGCAAAATCTAATAGTGAAGTACTCAATACTTGGTATGAAAAGGAATCTATTAGCTTCTAAGGAGGGACAATGGTAAAAGAATGAATGATTAAAATTTTTTTAAAAAAATATTCAAAAGGCAATGATAATCAACTCCGTCCTTATTTCATTATAACGCGTGAAATAGTGCTGGCGCAGCTCTTTTTAAACTGAATGTGTGGGTGAAAAAAAAGGTGCGCATAATGCTACAGAAAAGGTTTGAGGCAAGAAAAAAAAAAAAAAAGAAAAGGAAATTTTTTCTCTCAAAAAAAGATCATAACCAGTGACTCTAGATAAGGTGTATGGATGTCACGAAGGAGTAACAGTACACACGATTATAGGTTGAAAGTACGAGATAGAGGTCAAATTTCCAAATGTAGTTTCTGGGTCCACGTAGTGTGACATATTCCCTCGAGTCAGCAGTGATGAGGGGAATATGAATTGTAAATTATGGGTGATTTTATTCACTTATGACTAATGTAGTTAATAAAGATGATAAACAACTATACTTTGAATTAAAATATTTTTCTTAAATAACATTTGAACAATTTTAAGGTCCTTTTACATTATCTCAACAGACCGTTTTAGTATCGTACATATTTTATCTATTTCTTTTTTATTTTTATTAATTTTCAATTTGTATTTCTTTTTTTTTTTTTTCTCTTCTGCCTCTGTCTTGTAATGTGGGAAACTCGTGATGGCAGAGTATCCGACGGAATACATGTATCTTTTCGATTATATAAGCAAACATATATACAGTCCATTAAATCGCGTATTTTTAAATTTAAATAAAAAATAAAAAAAGAATTTTGAACTTATTTGCAGGACACATATTCACATGACAAGTTGTCACCTGACCAACTGTTTTTTTCTCTTGTTTTTTTTTTTAATTTTTAAAAGTAGCACAAAAGTAAATTCAAGAGAGTATTTCATTAGAAAAGTTTCTACCTGCAGGAACGATTCCGTCCAATTAAACATTCGCATTTTCTCATTGATTATATCAAAATCTGTAAAGTTCTAAATATCAAACTACAGGTTGAATCCAAACACCATTTATAAATCAACAATCTGTAATGTTGGGTAGAAACATTGCCAAGGCTTGCCGGGCCTCTTCCACCAGGAAGTTTGTTCAACATAAACTGTTGTTCAGCACCATCAACCGTCAATACGCTACTGCTGAAAGTAAACCAGCTGAATTTACCAATGCAATGGGTCAACCTCCACAAAGATACTCTTCCGAACCAGGTATGTTTGGAAAGACTACCTTCACTGAAGTTATGGATGAAGTTGATATGACATGGAAGAAAGATGATGACCCAAAGCATGTTGCTAAGCAAAACACAAAAATTAGACATTTCACCATTAACTTTGGTCCTCAACATCCAGCTGCTCACGGTGTGTTACGTTTAATTCTTGAACTTCATGGTGAAGAAATTGTTAGAGCTGATCCTCATGTTGGTCTTCTTCACAGAGGTACTGAAAAGTTGATTGAATCAAAGACATATATGCAAGCTCTTCCATACTTTGACAGACTTGATTATGTTTCTATGATGACCAATGAATTAGTCTTTGCTCTTGCAGTTGAAAAATTATTGAATGTCGAAGTTCCTCTTAGAGGTAAGTATATCAGAACTCTTTTCGGTGAAATCACCAGAGTTCTTAATCACTGTATGTCTGTGTTATCCCATGCTATGGATGTCGGTGCATTGACTCCTTTCCTTTGGGGTTTCGAAGAAAGAGAAAAGTTGATGGAATTCTATGAAAGAGTTTCTGGTGCTAGATTACATAGTGCTTACGTTAGACCAGGTGGTGTTTCCCAAGATTTACCAGTAGGTCTTTTGGATGACATTTATATGTGGGCCACCCAATTCGGTGACAGAATTGATGAAACAGAAGAATTGTTGACTGATAACCGTATCTGGCAAGCTAGAACCAAGGACGTTGGTGTTGTCACCGCCGAAGATGCCTTGAACTATTCCCTTTCCGGTGTCATGTTGAGAGGTTCTGGTATTCCTTATGATATTAGAAAGGCTCAACCATATGATGCTTATGAATTGGTTGATTTCGATATTCCAGTTGGTTTCAACGGTGATTGTTACGATCGTTATCTTATAAGAATGTCTGAATTCAGACAATCTTTAAGAATCATTGAACAATGTATTAACGATATGCCATCTGGACCAGTTAAAGTAGAGGACTACAAGGTGGCACCACCACCAAGATCATTAATGAAGGAAGATATGGAAGCATTGATCCACCACTTCTTGTTATTCACAAAGGGTTACGCCGTTCCTCAAGGTGAAACTTACACTGCCATTGAAGCTCCAAAGGGTGAAATGGCTGTTTACGTTGTTTCAGACGGTTCTGAAAGACCATACAGATGTAAGATTAGAGCCCCTGGTTTCGCTCATTTGGGTGCATTTGACCACATTGCTAGAGGAAACTTGTTGGCAGATGCTGTTGCCATCATTGGTACCATGGATTTGGTCTTCGGTGAAGTTGATCGTTAAGAAGGATGAAGTAGGGGAAGAAGAGGACTAAATTCATAATTGCATTTTGTTTCATTCAAAAAGATATAGAATAAACAGATAACCGTATATTTATGGGTCATATGAATGACTTGCCATTGATAGTATGATTTTCAAAATCCTTGTATCAAATACAATAAATTACAGAATATAATTTAAATTGTAGAAATAATGTTAATAACTAGAATAGATGCCATATAAAATATAAGGAGCTACCAGCTCCCAAAATGGCACATGCTTTGAAAACTGTATTGTCATTGTCAGTCAGTTGCGGCCCATGATACATATGTTGGTTTGTACTAGATGATGATGATGATGAATTTCTTGATGCAAATGATTGTGTATGAGGATTATTGGCATTTTCTTGATTTCTTTTGGCTTGTCTCATTAAATGTTTAGTGAGTAATTCTTCATCAACTTGAGATTGATCTCCGCTTTTATTGAGTTGTTTGATGATTTTCTCTACATCTGAAGCACTTAAATTCTTATTAAGAAGTCTTTGTTCAAATTTTAAATGTTTTGTTAAATGTTCTTTATAATTGAAATGTGGTACATCAAATCGATCTCCATAATTAACATGTCTTCCAGAGAATGTTGAATTATTTAAGTGATCTGATCCAAAATTCTTTGACTTGTGCCTATCTCTATTAAGTCCCGATCCTGAATATGATGAACTACCATTGGCTTTAGAATAATATTTGGCTTCCCCATAGTACTTATTATGCCACTCCAGGTTTTTCCTAGCACTACTATGGTTTATGGGCCTACCTCCATTTAGTTCTAGATCATATTGACGTTTCTTCTTTGCATCCTTGAGTATATCATATGAAGATACAATTAAAACAAATCTATCATTATTTAATACTTTCTCTTCTTCTGTCAAATGAGAATTCAAATCAGGATGATATTTCTTACTAAGGACCTTGAATTGCTTTTTCACCTCTTTTATTGATGCATCTCGAGAAAGCTCTAGACGCTCATAATGTGTTTGTTGTTCTAGAGCACTCAGATACCATCGTAATCCCCGGCTTTCACTCATTATGCGTATCCCGAATCGGACATTCATCTGATTATAGATCATATCCACATAGAATGCAATAAATGTATAAATAGAAAATATAAAATTGCTTGAAAGCTGTTACAGTAACTATTTTCTGTATCTACTTATTTCAACTCAGTATTAATTATATGTTCGAAGAAGAAGAAAAAAAAAGTATAAAAAGAAGTACTGGCAGTGTTGCGTTTATCTCCATGTCTGTAATTTTGTGTTCTTGTCTTGTGAGAAAAAAAAAAAAAAAAATACTTGATATAATCCTTTTTGGAGTGCATACGTTTCTATAGTCCTGCAGAATACTCAGGACAAAACCCAGAAAAAGGTAAAGGTATGCCAATATTCAATATACCGCAAATCCGAATATTCACAATCAATTGATTCATCTAAATTCCCTTACCGCATATGAAAATTCTACAAATTAGGACTAGGTTAATAAATTAAATTATTTATTTATTCCTACAAAGTACTTAACTCCGGTCTTTTCATTGATTCTTTTATTTTACATGACTTATGACTCCAAATTTATTTTCACAATGTGTGACTTAACATCCGCTTCCGGGTCACGTGCCAGTAATATATCTTCTAGCACGTTCGTTATTCGTTGCCACCTTAAAAAAAAAAACGCTATATATATGGAACAAGAGAAAAAAAAACTATTAACTTTTCTGTAAATATTTGTAAATTTATACATATATCAAAAACTTAATAGTACACACATATCAACAAAATGGCCAGACAAAGAAGATCCGCTCCAGCTCCTCAAAGAACCCAAACTAGATCAGCTCACACTGCCGCTGCTCCAGCTGGTCACTACCCACCATCTGCTGCCTCTCACCCAGTCCAAGCTCCAGCTCAACAAGGTCCAGGTTTGTTCGGACAAATGGCTTCTACCGCTGCTGGTGTTGCTGTTGGTTCCACCATTGGTCACACCTTGGGTGCTGGTATCACCTCAATGTTCGGTGGCTCATCTGCCCCAGCCGCTCCAGTTGAACAACAAGTCGCTCCAGCTGCTGCCGACCAATCCTTCCAACAACAAGGTAGATCTTGTGATGCTGATGCTTCTGCTTTCACCAGATGTTTGTCCGACAACCAAGGTAACATGCAAATCTGTGATTTCTACTTGCAACAATTGAAGGCTTGTCAAGAAGCTTCTCGTCACTACTAGAACGCTTTTATTGAAAAGAATATAGTCATGTAAATAATAGAATAAAAGAAAAAAAATTTAGATATAATGAATCTAGTGTAGAGAGCCCCTTTCGATATATTTGTATATGTGGGATTTTTTTTTTATTTGTTTATTTGGTTATTCTCAATATCTATATGGATGTAGTCTTATAAACTATGGACGGACAACATTATCTTTTCACTTTACTTCTTGGCTTGTTGCTTTTGGTAATAATCATATCCAAAGTAACCTAATCCAGCAGCAATCAATGGAACAAAATAATTGGTGGTCTTTGGTTGTGGTTCTTGTTTAGTTTTTTCATAATCTTCATGTTCAACATCTTCCAATACTTGCGATTGAGCACCAGTGGCAGTGGCCTTATGATCCACTTCTCCGTGACTTAAACTAACAACATCAGATTGGTTAATTTCCGGGTTAATTGAAGTTTGAACATACTTATCTCTATTAGCCGGCTTGCTGGTCTTCGACCCTCCAGCATTAGTGTACGACACATCAGCGGGTTCCGATCCTCTATCATGCAAATATTCCGGCTCGGCTCCAACTTCTTCACCTCCATGAACCACAGTGGAATCATTGGCTTCCACTTTAACTGACGTGGCTAATTCCTTATCAAGCAACTCCTTTTCAACCTTGGCCTTCTTTTGTTGAGCAATGTCTTGTTTCACAGCTTCTGGAGTCAATGGTGGGATCTTTGGTTCAGATGTCTTTGGAACAAAATCATATTTAAACTCCCATTCATTGATTGAAGTTTGAGATGGGAATCTATATGAGTCAATAGTAGACTTATCATTCTTGGCCAATTGAATGGCAGAACGATGTAATTGTCTGCTAGCAATTGGGGCTGCTATTCTGGCAATACGAGTAGAAGTAGTAAGCATTGTTTTGCAATTTTGTAATAATATATTAATAGTAATTTTCAAGAGAAAAAGATTGGTTAAAAAATATAAACCTTGTCAAAGAGTTTAAATTAGCAAAGACATATACGGGCCTGCATGAGATTGGGCAATATCCCTTCACTTTCGTCATGTTTCCCCACCATACACCCTATATTAACAGCCCCCCCTCTCTGTATGCAGGGCCTGCATGTAGACTTGCTATCAGTGGCCGAGTTTTCCGTGCGTGGAACAAACTAAAACTTCACAAAAGTTTGAGAAATGTGGGGGATAAAAGTGGGGCAAGCCGTATTCACTAATAGGATAAATTTATAATCATTTTAATGTTTATTGACGTAATAAGTTAAGAAGGGATATTATTTCAGCATGAATGAGATTAAAAAAGAGAAATTGTGATTTTTGAATGATCAAGGAATAGAAATTTTATGAAATTTCTCAAATGTAGTTTATGTAACAACTTAAAAGGAATCAAGAAACTGATCTCGGATGATGCGGATGAGTACATGGTTCTTAAGTTAGAGATAATCTTAATTGATAAATATCGTTTAGGGGTGTATACACGTTGAAAATAGGGGGAAATTTCGCTGGGTATTCGGTCTCATTTTTGTTGATTTTTATACTAATTTCGAGGGTTTTACAGATAAAATATGTTTTCCATTTTAAATACGTTTGGTCTAATTTATACACTTTAAATCTAAATAGGAATGAAGTACAGTTCAATTTGGTTGGTTGTCTGATCTTCACTCAATTAATGTATTTTCATAAAACTCCCTAAAAGTTATCCAATAGCTGCAAAATTGTGTTAAATTTCCAACGCGGAATGGATGAAGGCAGAGACTCAAATTTTAAACATGGAGATGAGCTAATCTTGGCTTCCTTTCAAGTTACAATAGTCTTTTTCTTATGTAGTACTATATTGGTAAACTCTTATATTTAAGTTCATATACCCATAATGGTGTACTTAAATCACGGATTTTCTCGAAACCTCAAATCTCTAGTTTCTACATTCTGTCTAAATATCCCACCTGTTCTATTAATTCTATATATTATCAAGGAAATTATCAAGAATTTGACTTGGAGTTCTTGAAAGTTTTGGCATTGTCGAACGATCGTCGTCCAATTCATCGGGTAATTCAAGACTGATTTCAAAATCATCCAACAATCCAGTATCGGAACCAGACATGTTTCCATCTGACCCAAATCCAGAACCTATAGCAGAAACTTCTCCTGAACGGTTATCGAATATTCCTTTATGTTGTACTGGTAGTTGATATTGGCTCCTGTTTTGGTTCATAACTTCTAATACAGGACTTATGTACATTGAGCCTCTATTATTTGGTTGATCCATAGCGTTCTTGCCTTGCACTGAATTCATATAGGTCCTTCCTTGTGAACTGGCATTTGAAGAAGAACTGTCAGATATATTCAGAGCTGCATTCTTAGCCAACAAATGAAGACTGGAGGCTGATGAGTTTGTATATGGAGATTTTTCAGAAAAATCAATAAATGATGAATTACAACTTGTATAATCACCCCCAGAAAAGAAAATCCCATTGGAATTATGAACATATTTCTCACTATCAGCCTTAGCACGTCTTCTAGCAGACAAACTTATGAAGGTTCTAACTACCAAAATTGTTATCAAAAGGAACCCAATGACCGCACCTATCACAATAAATACAAGGTTATCTGGAAGGTTAGTTCTATATATGTATGGGTTTGAGGTAGATGATGTTCCCAGAGATTGGGTAGGTTCTGAATTTGGCACCGTTAAGGAATATGAGTACGATGTAGTTGACGTCGATAATGAAGGCATCGAAAGAGTTGGAAGTGCAGTTTCAGTCTCACTATCAGAGGTTGTGGTAATCTTGGGTTTATCGTCATTGGTTTTCGTACTTGAAGTTGTGGTGGTTTTCAGATTGTCTTTGGTCTTGGTACTTGAAGTTGTAGTGGTTTTCAGATCATCTTTGGTTTTGGTACTTGAAGTTGTAGTGGTTTTCAGAGCATCTCTTTGGACAACATTAACCACTTGTGTTTCGGTATTTGTTTGAGTTGGAATCAGGTTTCGTTTATGGTGATGGTGATCATGTCTCTTCAACGTGACAGTAGTGAAGGTAGTCATAATCCCTATGGTCTCTATTCAATGAATGAATCTAAAGAGGATAGAGAATAAAAATCAATGGAAGAAATTTAATATATATTAAAAATGTCAATCACAGACACGGTTAACTTAATCTAACGCATTTGAAAGTACACATTACTGCATTACTACACATTTACTATTGCAAGGGATGAGCCACTTGAAGTTCACCTGCATTTTCTAACTCAATATGCATTCTTCTACTACTAATTTAATTGCCATACATAACAAAGTGAACTCCCCTTCCTGTAAGGCGCGTATTTAAGCGCGTATTTATCCTTCATAACGTAAACAAACAACAGAAAAAAAATAAAAAGAAGATAGATTAGCCAGTGTAGCGCGTATCATATTATCAATTTGTGCACAATTATTCTAATCAAATCTGTAGCATCTGGCCCTCAGGGAACCTTAATATTTTTCTAGATCCCCTTTAGAACCCCTGGAACTGGATAATACGCTAAAGTTGCTCTTCAGAGAGAATATTACTGGGTGTAAACATCAAGATTTATTCTACGTCTTTACCTCTATAATAAATATTCTCTATCGTATATTTTGTTTTAAAAAAAAAAGATCGCATATACCTAAAATCTCCAATTATCATCAGCAGATTCAATGGCCCAATTAAACTTCTCTCTCAAAGTCTTGGTAAATAATTTCTCAATTGGTACGTCAAATTTTTTGGAGAACATCACTGTTAAACGAGGATCAATATAATTCATCTTAGATGTACCCAATGAAACTTCAGAATTATCTTCTTTATCTTTCAATTGGAATGTAGTATTTACAATTCTGGTCTCGATTTTTTCAATTTGAGCTTTCAATTTTTCCACAGTATCAGTCTTTTTAACAATTGGTTTATTACTCTTTAATTCTTCAGCATATTCTTGAGCAAGTTCATCAATTTTTTCTAATCTTTCCTTTAATACTGATTCAGGTAAAAGTTCTTGATCTTCAACTTTTAGCTTTTCATTTTCTCTTTGAAATCTTTTATGGGCTGCTTCTTTTTGTCTTTCTATAACTGCTTTATGGATATGTTCTTCATCTTCCTTTGTTAAATCATTAATTTCTTCGAAATATTTAGGATCCTTCTTCTTTAATTTTGGATCCAATTCGATAATCATTTTCTTCAATCTTAACTTTTGCCATACCATTTCCTTTAATTTATCACTAATTCTTTGCACAACAGATCCATGTCCTTTACTAACCGTACGCTGATGGTTACAAAGGATGGCAACGGTTCTATTTGCTGCATTGAATTTAACAACTTTTTCAGCAACAGTACCTTCGTTTGGTATTAAATCAATTTGATCTTGCATGGTCTTGGAAGCATTATAAGTACGGAAAACTTTAGCAGTTAATCCTTTCATATAATTTTGAAATTGCTTATTCAACATTGGTGGAGTAATTCTATCAAATAAATCATCACCTGGTTGCTTAGGTGGCTTTTTGAAAATTCTCAAGTTTTTAAATACTTGCTTTTCAACTTCAACTTCTTGATAAAATCGAATGGAATCTTTACCAAGGAAATCAAAAATGACCTTATTAGGAGGCTTTAAAGTAATATGTTCGTAACGCAAAGAACAACACCCGACAGTATCAGCTTCTTCATCTCCCTTTTCTCCACCAGCTCTAAGAGCAAATATATCAATAAGATAAGTGGCAGTGGCCATTTGTCTATTTTGCATAAGTTCATCCTTAAGCATCTTATTATAATCTTTTCTGATTTCTTCGATATGATCCTTCAATTGTCTAGCAGTTTCAAATTTTTTGAAATCAGAAAGTCCCTTAATCGATGAATTAGCTGCAAATCTAACATATTTGAATGAATCAGCAATGTTTTCCTTCCACATTGCTAACCATGCTACAGCATTATCATGACGAACTTCACCCCACTTGTGACCAGCTGGTGGTTCAGGAATGTTTGCATCCTTACTTAAATTTAAGGTGACATCTTCTGGATAAACTCTTCTTTTCAATTTCCCGGTTTTTGGATGCGCACCTCTACCTCTAAATAATCCAGGTGGTTCAATTCTGAAATTACCAACTTGTTCCTTACGACCGTTTAATAAACATGTCTTGTATGGTTCTTCAAGTTTATCCTTCTCAGCCTTAATAGCCTTCTTTTCATCTCGACTCAATGCCTTCTTCTTTTCTCTTTCCAGTTCAAAATAGGTATACATTTTGGAAAAGTCACACTTGTTAAAGTCTTTGATCTCTACATTGCATCCTCCACACTCCTTAATGACTTGTAAGAAATCTTCAAAGAAGTTATTTTGGAAAGTTGGATTTTTAGCATGATCAGTTTCCAACATAGCTCCGAAAAACCCAGCGACTTCTTCTGCTTGAGGAGGCAAATTCACTACCTTACCATCATAGTATAGCTTGACATGAGAAGGTAATGGTTCATATTCAGGTGGGAAAATAACCCCATTATGATGTAAACTTTCCCATTTTTGTTCACCATCAACATCCTCTTGTTCCCACCATCTATACTTTTCTTCTTCTTCTTCTTCTGCGGCAGCAACAGCGGCAGCTTCGGCGTCCACCAGACTTTCCTTTTCTTCCTTCTTAGGAGTAACCTTTTTAGAATTGGTTTTTTTGGAAACAGATTCTTTTTCCACTTTAACTTTGGAAGTAGATTTCTTAGTGGTTGATTTTTTAGGACTGCCTTCACGTTGGGCCAATGGAACATCCTCATCCTCATTATCTTCATCTTTAATTACAGCAGTAGCCTTCTTAGCTCTTTTTCTTTTCCCTTCACTATTCTTAGCCTTTCTTTTGGAAACCTTTGGCATATCTGAGTCTGCAGAAGTGGTGGTTGGGTCAGAATCCATTTGACTTAATGGAATTGAATCCACTGATGGACTCCTACGTAATTTACCAACTTCACTGAGTGTCATTTCATCATCAGAGCTCATCTTGGATAGTTAGTCTGAGTATAGATATCGTCACCTTTTTTCTAATCTTTCAATGCTCTGCGCGTCACACTATTAAACTTCTACTTGATAGAAAGATTGTTGCAATAACCTAAAAAGATATAATTTCAACAATAAGTCAATTTTAAAATAAATCAGACTTCAACTTTGAATCCAAATAGCAAAAAGAAGCAAATATTTATTTTAAAAATTAGATTAGATAATTTCCCTATGCTAATGTTGTAGAGGCATAAAAAAGGTTCATAGCATCTAAATGAACAAGGAAAAAAAACCTACGTGTCAACTTTTGAGGGTCGCACACCCCGTGTGGAAAACATTACTTCAAAAGAAATGTTACAGACTTACAGTGTAAAGGAAGTCTGCATACAAGGCCAGGCTTTGACCAAGAAAATATTCACCAAGTACCCTTTATATACAGTATAAGTATCAAAGAAAAAATACCACCACATCTGGAAGATTAGCAATAGGGGGCAGACAAGTAGTGAATATATTGAATTGTACCAATACTAATTAGTTTAATCAATTTTTTTCTTAATGTATTTACATGCAACCAATGAGCTACTAAAGAGAAAAAAAAACACAAGAAATATTTTACTTTCAGTTTCAGTTCTGAATTGATTCATTAACAACTCATCACCTAACTTGCTGATATCGATAATGAAGTCTTGTGATTAAAATAGAGTGATCGGAAATAGAGCCGATTATGAATTCCAAAAGAAGAGATTGGGGATATTTCTGGGAAAAAAACAAAAATTAATTATAAATAAAGTGGAAGGGCATCAGCAAAGCTCTTTACTAACTTTGTCTTGTGAAGGGAACAAATGTGTAAATCTGGATCCAATCTTTGCATGAAACATGTATCAATACACCTTGAAAATTACTATTTGTCATTGTATTATGATAATATATTTTCTCTATTCGGATTACTATTGCAGCAATTGACCCGTCTGTACATTCGCTTGTAGAAATTCAATTACAGTCCCTGTTTTGTTTTCGCAACTAAATCAGGAAACGGAGATCACATATACTGCATGAAGGAGACTATATACCTGAAATAATATTTATATACCGGAATGCATCGAATGTTTTTGTGTAGAACGTCAAAACTTCTCAATTCGATTTGTTTGTAAATACCAAATGAGCACTAATGCAGCAAATTGTAAATATTAATGAGAATTACCAAATTTTGCTACATAAACAAGCCTAAATCACATTTATCACTAATAAAACGTAAGCCGTATTGTAATTTTTATTCATCTTTATCTTATTAAAGGACTCCTTTACTGTCGACCTTAGTTTATAGAAACCTTTGTTACTATAACATCTTCCCCCTGATTCTTAATATTCGCATCCAAAGAGCATTTCTTGACGGGAAGTTTAAAAAGAACAAATAGAAACCTCCAATTCAAATAAAGGGAGACAAATTTTTTTTTGTTAATCGCATCGTTAACATTCCAATTGGAATAATTCATTCTTCGTCAACTAGTATCTAGTTTTTTTTATCCTTTCTTAACCATTGATTGGCAATTAAAAAGAACTTGTCCACCAAAGTGATTTGATTCAATTAACATAATCATCATTAATACCACAAATTGGACAACTCTTTAAATTAAAGAAATATTTACAGCATGTCTTTTGCTCGTTCTCAACCATTCCAACATATACAACCGTTGCAACCACTTAACAGTGGACAATTGAACAATAGAGTTAATAATATCACTCCAGTTAAGGCTGCAAGAAGTTTTAAAGAAAATGTCCCAGTTCCCACTCAAGACCCAAAGACAAAAAGAAAGAAGGAAAAACTTTCAACCTTATGCAAGACTCCTCCATCAATTGTTAGAACAAGAACAGGTAGAGATTACCGAAGAGGAACCTTTTTAGGTGAAGGTGGATTTGCTAGATGTTTCCAAATGAAAGATTCTTCTGGTAAAATCTATGCAGCAAAGACAGTCGCAAAGGCATCAATTAAGAATGAAAAAACTAAAACAAAACTTTTATCTGAGATAAAGATTCATAAATCACTTAAACATCCTAATATTGTTAACTTTGTCGATTGTTTTGAAGATGATGTGAATGTTTATATTCTTTTAGAAATATGTCCAAATCAATCCTTGATGGAATTATTAAAGACTAGAAAAAGAGTTTCTGAACCAGAAGTTAGATTCTTTATGGTTCAAATTGTTGGAGCTATTAAATATTTACATTCAAGAAGAGTCATTCATAGAGATTTAAAACTTGGAAATATTTTCTTTGATCCAAAGATGAATTTAAAAATTGGTGATTTTGGATTAGCTTCAGTATTACCAGCAGGCGATGCTCGTAAATATACCATTTGTGGAACCCCAAACTATATTGCCCCTGAAGTTTTAGGTGGTAAAACTGTTGGTCATAGTTTTGAAGTTGATATTTGGGCAATTGGTATTATGATGTATGCCTTACTTATTGGTAAACCACCTTTTCAAGCTAAAGATGTTCAAGTCATTTATGAAAGAATTAAAAAGACTGAATATAGTTTCCCAATTGATAAACCAATTTCACCAGAAGCTAAAGAATTAATTCAAGATTTATTAAGTTTAAATCCATTAAATAGACCAACAATTGATGAAGTCTTACAATATAGTTGGTTTAAAGGTGCATTCCCGGAAAAGACTCTTGAAACAAGTTTAAGTAATACTCCTCAAGGTCTCAATGAAATTTCCAAAGCACAATCTGCCATTAACTTCACAAATACAAAGGCAAGTTCTGGTATTTATACACCAAAGGTTAAGAATCCAGTTGAAATCTTAAGATCAGATTTACATTCTGAACAACCAAGAACCATGCTCCCACAATCGTTGTCACCTGGTGATACTAAAGATAAATATCAAGAGGTTGATCCTACACAAATGGGGAAGCCAACAAGAAAGGTTAACTTTAATGGAACTTATTCAACAACCATTAAACGTCTTAATCAAATATGTTTTGAAACTTATCAAAATATGAGAAGACTTGAATATTCTAAGCATGAAATGTTAGATGCTATGGAATTACCAAGTTGTGAAAACCCAACCTTAATTAGTAAATGGGTTGATTATTCTAACAAGTATGGATTTTCTTATCAACTTAATACCGATGATATTGGGGTATTGTTTAATGATGATAATACTATTTTGAGACTTCATAATTCGGATAAATTTTTGGAATTAATCTATCATGAGAATGAAGGTTGGACATGTATTGAAAATTCATCTAGTCATCCACCTACTCAAGCTAGAAAGCAACTTGAAATTGTTGACTTTTTTGCTAAATACATGAACAGTAATTTATCTAATGTTAGTGCAAATGAAGATAGAAAGGAAACAGTTTTCTTGAGACGTTACACAAGAACTCTGGAATACATCATGTTTGAAATGACTAATGGAACATTCCAATTTAATTTCAAAGATCATCATAAAATTTGCATTTCCAAGTCTGGATCAGCCATTACTCATATCTCACCTTCGAGAATGATTCAAACACATCCATTAATTTTTATATTAAAGCAAGGAAACTTTCCTTCTTCTGAAGTACCGGATTGCTTGGAAAAGATTGCTGTCATTAAGGAAGCAATCAAAAGAAAGGCATTCAAGGAATAGTAAACTTTCATTCATCACTATTTTGCATTAATCACTTCGCATCCATTTTCTTCATCTATATACCACAATACATTTATACATTGCAATTAAGAATATAATATGTGTAAAACAAGAGCAAGATACAATTATTATTCACTAATCACATTAGAGGATTGAAAGTTTTTATCGATTTTTGTATTATTATTCTAAATAGTATACTTTTTTGCTTGGAATACACCAAAAGGGGTTTCACTAATGTACATAAGAAAGATGAATCCCCCAAACTCACCTTTTATATTGAAACGTTTCTTCTTATTGGCTCAAAGCATATATTAAAACTCCCCGTCGTTGTTATTCAACAAAGACTTAAGAGCCCATTCATCCTTGAATCTGGTTTTGATGACATCCAACTGGGAAATTAAACCAGTGCATGCGTTTTTCAATGCTTCACGTGGGGAATAATCATCTTCAGTTTGGATTCTAAGAATGAAGTTAGCGAAAAGAGGGTGTTCCACCTTGTAAGCAGCAAATAAAACACGGTCATCCTTTAAAAGTTGAGCACGTAACAAGTTTGCAAGAGTATGATCTTCTCTTTCAATCTTAACCAAAGCTGCATTTGGCACTTTTGTATCTGGAGTGATCTTAATTCTGGGATGTTAGTATGAAAAATATGACAATATGCGTATATATGAATATATACATCGGTAATGAACATTAAATTATAAAGCATAGACTTTATTTCCCTTTACAACTATTGAAATTCATTATATAGTACTTACTTTTCGACACCATCTGGTAAAATGAAAAGTTCAAATCTATCTGGGGCGTTCATATTGATTTATTGTAGTATATTCCTCAAATATCTTTTTGGTATTTCAATTATTAATCTATACACTTTTAGTATTTGATGTTTCTATAATTATTGTTCAAACTATGTGACACAAAGCCCTCCAGATTTATTGATAGAAAGCTAATAAACCTTCGAGAAAAAAAAAAAAAAAAAAAGAAAAATCAACTTTCGTGCTCAAATTGGAATTTATCAACAAAAGGGTAAGTCATTATATACAGTTGAGAATCTACCAAACACTTTAATATTTGATGATGAGGACTGCATGTAGAATATTACCCGGATACGCGATTTTGTTTGAACTGATTCCTTTCGGGATTGGCATTAAGTTGTATATTCTGTACAACTATTCGATAAGTCAAGTCATTTTGAACTCCTAGGAACCAAACACAACAACGCAAAGCGAGTGTGCGAGGAAATATCCAGCGCTCATTATTATACTGAAATTACTTTTCGACCGTCCAATTTTGGGGATTTCATTTGATTCTTTCTATATCAATTCACCTCTTTTTTTTCGAAAGTCGTTTCAATAAGAACGTCAACTTTACGAAGGACAATAAACGAAACCGATAATACCACTCATTCATAGTCCTTGCTAACCGAACATTATCAAGCGTCTTGTCTAGAGTTCTCATTATCGTTTCCCTTTACGACTGTTTTTTCCCGGGTCTTCTTTTTTTTGTGGTTGAATAAGCAACTTAGTTCTACAGACTCTTGCAATGACCAACCCACAAGAGCATTGGAGTGCTTCTCAGCGTCCACTCACGCAACCATTCAAGTATGTTAAACCCCATTCCTTCGAAATTACGCGCGACCTCGTGCTTGCCACCAATTCCCCTACTAACAAACTTTTAGCCGTCAACAAGGTCACCCCCCTGTGTTACCACCCCCAGCAACACTTGAAACAGGTATGTCTTCATTCAGTTTCCATCTTTTTAATATGCATGACATTTGTTGTTTTTAATACTAACTTTCAGGAACTCAATCGTACTACACGTTGCCTAATCTTCCAAGTTTGGGAAATGGTGTTGGCCACCCACAACCTGGACACACGTTTACTATTCCATCCATTAACTCCTCGAGTGAACCTGTTTCTGTGAATCAAGTATGTTACTTTTCTACATAATATTACATTTGTTTTGTTGCTCTCATTTACTAACCATTTTTCTTAGGTATCCTCGGAACATGGAAGACGTCCTTCTGAAGTTTCTCACAACGGTTCTGCTGCACAATTGCCACCACCATCGTCAATAGCTCCGGAACCCCAACCCCAGCCGCAACTGCAAGGTCAACTGCAAGCTCAACCGCAACCACAACAGCCACTGCAACTGCAACCACAAGCTCAACCACAGCCCCAACCTCAACCTCAACAAGCGATTCCACCACCTCCACAGCAACAACAAGCCCAACAAATTGTTGCCTCTGGTGCTCCAGGACCTCTTCCACAAGGTGTCCCTAATAGGTCCACCACTACAAACATCTACAGACCATTAAATGTGAAAGATGCTTTGTCGTATTTGGACCAGGTTAAAATTCAGTTCTACAATCAAGCTGATGTCTACAACAACTTTTTAGATATCATGAAAGATTTCAAGTCCCAAAGGTATGTATATAATTGGTTTAAGAATATTTTATTTGTGGTTTTGTGTGTGTCTTCAAAGTTTAATTTGTTTTCACTCCAAATTTTGAGATTTTTGCTGTTTTTGCCGAAATTTGAAGTTTAGCCGATTACCTTGAATGCAGGCCGCGATCCACAATCTAAATGTGATTATTCAATTAATTGATTTTTACTAACTTATTTTTTAGCATCGACACCCCAGGGGTTATTGATAGAGTCTCTACCTTGTTTAGAGGTCATCCAAATTTGATCCAAGGGTTCAATACATTTTTACCTCCTGGATACAGAATTGAATGTTCTTTAGATCCATCAGATCCAAACCCAATTAGGGTTACAACTCCAACCGGTACTACCACCAGACCGAATATTAATGTAAATTATAATCAAAACTGGGGTAATGCTGCTGGTCCAACTCAACAAGAAGCAGCTGCTGGAGCAATAAGTTTGAGTGGGGGCGCACCTGGTCATGGCCAAGGTCAACCTCCAATCCCACCCCATCAATTTGTTCCACAAGTGGCGTATGGACAACCACAAGAGCAACAACAACAAGCTGGGGGTCAAGTTGAATTTAACCATGCTATTTCTTATGTCAACAAAATTAAAACTAGATTTGCTAACCAACCTGATATCTATAAACAATTTTTGGAGATTTTGCAAACCTACCAACGTGAGCAAAAGCCAATTGGTGAAGTATATGAACAAGTTACTGTTTTATTTGCCAACTCTCCGGACTTGTTGGATGATTTTAAGCAATTTCTTCCTGATACAAGAAGTCAAGTTTATGTTCAACAGCAAGAACAAGAAAACGGATACTATGGTCCAGGATCTCAATTACCACCAGTTGGAAACTTCCCACCACCTTCTGCCACCTCAGGTATTCCACCATTTGGTGCTCAACCTCAATTTCAACAGGCAGCATACCCAATGCTTGATAATGCTTCTGGAGAATCAATTCCTTCAAGGCCAGCTGATCACCAAGAGCATCACCAACCTGCACCTGTTCCAAAGGATAGAACTTCTGTGTCTGAAGCTGCTGGATACGATGGATATACTCAAGAATCTCAATATTCAGGCGTTCGTTCCTCGATTCAACCGGTTACAAAGGGTAAATCCAGTACACCAAGCAACAATAAGAATGCGGTAGTGATCACAAATCCAACTTTGGTACCTGGTGTCCCTGAGCCTGTCCCACCTTCCGCTACTGTAAAGTCCTCCTCATTACTGGAAGAAATTGGATTCTTTGACAAGGTGAAAAAGGCACTTGGTAATAAGCAAACTTACAATGAGTTTTTGAAGGTGTTAAATTTATTCTCTCAAGATATAATTGATAAAGTAACATTGGTGGAGAGAGTAGATTCTTTCCTTGGCGATGGTCATGCTGATTTGTTACAATGGTTTAAGATGTTCGTTGGATATGAAGAAAAACCACAACATATTGAAAACATCACTTTCAAGAAGCATCAATTGGAACTTTCACTTTGTAAGGCATATGGTCCTTCTTACAGACAATTACCAAAAGCTGAAACTTATATGCCATGCTCTGGTAGAGATGAAATGTGCTGGGAAGTTCTTAATGATGAATGGGTGGGCCACCCAACCTGGGCTTCCGAAGACTCTGGTTTTATTGCCCATAGAAAGAATCAATACGAAGAAATTCTTTTCAAGATTGAAGAAGAGAGACATGAATTCGATTATTATATGGAATCTAACTTGAGAACAATTCAAACTTTGGAAACAATTGCTAATAGAATTGCCAATATGACTCCAGAACAAAAGGTCAACTTCAAATTACCCCCTGGATTGGGTCATACTTCTTCCACTATTTATAAAAAGGTTATCAGAAAGATTTATGACAAGGATCGTGGATTTGAAGTTGTTGATGCCTTGCACGAAAATCCAGCCATTGCAGTTCCAATTGTTTTGAAGAGATTGAAGCAAAAGGATGAGGAATGGAAGAGATCTCAAAGAGAATGGAACAAGGTATGGAGAGAAATGGAACAAAAAGTGTTCTACAAGTCCTTAGATCATTTAGGTCTTACTTTCAAACAAGCCGATAAAAAGTTGTTGACGGCAAAGCAATTGGTCAGTGAGATCAGTACAGTTAAGGTCGAACAACAGAATAAAAGATTACATCCATTGACTCCTAAAGCACAAGAGCAGTTAAATTACGAATTTAAGGATAATGACGTCTTGATGGATATCTTGAAATTATGCGATGTTTTCATCAACAAGTCTTCAAATTACTCTGTAAATGATAGAGAAAAATTGAGCCAGTTCTTCAGATCTTTCTTGTCGCTTTTCTTTGGAATTCCCAGTGAAACTATCGAATCTGCCATGTTGGACAGATCGAAGGAAGCAGGGAAATCTGAAGGCCTTCCATCTCAGCAATCTGCCACCCCTGAATCTAGTTCATCGACCGAGGGTTCATCCAAGAAGCGTGGCCGCGAGCACGATCTTTTACGTGATGTTTTGAAGAAGCAATCAAAGTCCAAGAAGGATGAAACTGTAGATTCTCCAAACCATCAAAGTGAATCCGACGAACAAGAGTATTCTGAAGAAATTGAAAAATCTGGAGAACTCTGGATCAAGACTACCTCCAAAAAGTTTGCGCTTAAAAATAACAACATTGATGTTGAAAAAAGAAGCAAATATTACTTATTCGGTAACACTACCATATATGTGTTTTTCCGCCATTTGAGAACCTTGTATGAAAGATTGGTTGAAATAAAGGCTATGAACGAAGTTGTAGGCAAAGAGATTCGTAGCCGCAAGGTTGTTCAATTTGCTAAGGACTTGAATTTGATTTCGCATCAATTGGAAGACTTGAACATTCAACTTACAGGATCTAAGGACTGTTACAAACAACTTTTGGATTTATCTGAAAAGTTAATTGAAGGTGAACTTGAACACCAGTGGTTTGAAGAAACTATTCGTCAAGGCTACAGAAACAAGGCTTACAAGATTTATACTGTCGATAAAGTTGTTCAAGCAATTGTGAAACATATGCATACCGTGGTATCAGACCATAAAACTTCTGAGATGGTTGTGTTGTTCGAAAATGATCGCTCAAAGCCCACTTCCACCGCTAAAGACCAAATCTTGTACCGTATGCAAGTAAGGGCATTAATGTCCACAGATGAAAACATGTTTAAGATTTCCTTGGATGACACTGATAATTCTGTTAATATTCAGTTTGTAAGTCTTGATGATCTTACGATAAATGACCATCAAAATGCCGAAGAAAAGTATAACTATTACGTAACTAGTTACGTGATGTCACACCCTACCGAAGGTGTGAAAGCTTCTAAAATCAATATGCCATTTTTGAAATCATTTATTGAAAATATAGATGAAGATCAATGCGAAGGTTTTGTAAGTGCAGGCTTGAAGGTTTCTGTTTGTGAAAATTCATACAGATTGTTCTTTGAGGCTGACACTCATGATGAATTTACTTCCAATTTTGTTTATCAAAAGCCTCAAGATTCTTCCAAATCTACCAGGGCAACTAAACTTGAAGCTCTCAAGAATTTGGTTGAAGATAAAGATTTTGGATGGAAGCTGACTTTGGAAGCGTCTGATGATGCGACCGCGTTAGAGGAAAAAGCCAAGATTTTGTTAACAGAGGGTGCCGAGGCATATCAAGAAAAGAGTAAACATGTTATTGAGGAGCCAGTGAAAGAATCCGAAGGTGATGTTGAAATGACAGATGACAAAACCGTGGAAGAAAAGGAAACAAATTCTAGTGAGGGTAATCAAGCCGACGAGACAGCTGTAAAGCCAGACGTTACTGTAGATGCTGATATGACTGTTGTTCAAGGTCATAACGACACTACAATTCAACAAGAAGGAAACGATACCACTGCTGATGACGTGACTGTTAACCAGGAAGATACAACAATGTTTGAAGATGCGCATAACACTACCCAAACGTAATAAAATTGGCGCTGTATTATTTTTATGTACTTAATTTTAAATTTATTGTAAATTACAAAAGTGATATATGTAAAGTTATATTTTTACTTAGTCCTATTTACCTACGTGAAAACACACCTTCTGCAGCAGCTCTAGCCAACCTTTCGGTCGCAATACTATGTGCCAACCTTTCCCGTTGTTCTAATCTTCTCGCCACATAAGCTTTCTGATCTTTGATGAGCAACAATCTCAAAATAATATCTTCCGCAGCTGTTTGTGCACTAATAGGATCAGTTCTAGCTTCTTTGGCTTCTTTTTCGGCTTTCGCTCTCGATTTTGCGGTGGCATTTGCAAGTATAGTCTTATTACGAACAATGGTACCAGCCCTACTTCTACTTCGACTTATTGTGTCCACCTTTCCGATGTGAGGTTCATTAGACTCGAAGTTATTCCTATCACGTAACGATTTAACGAATGATGGAGACAATCTTTCAACTTCCAGTGTAAGAAATTCGACATCTCTATCATAGTAAACGGGCAATAAAAGTAATGCTTGGTAATGTTCATTTTTAAGATCCCTAATTGGTGGCCCATTACCATCATTATGGAAAAAGTCGAGACACAAGTAATTTAACCACGAGAAAACAGTTTCAAGTTCCAGGTTGGTCAACTGCTTCCCAAATCCACTTATACCGATAGAATTTCCCACATTCGCCATTGCAGATGTGACTGCAGATTGCCAACCTCCACTATTTCCATTGGAGTTGGGAGGTGTAAGGTGGGATCCCATACTTGAGAGTTGGAACGTCTTTGCACTTGTAAGTTTAGGAAGTAACAATTCATCGGCACTAGAAATAACAATAAACCACGCGGCCAACATGACATTTAAAAGTAATTGCTTTGACATATATTGCGCCAAAACTCTTAAATTGGAGTTTAGATAATCATATAGTGGTTTCATCGCATCGTCCATCTGCTCTTGGGTAGGTTTAATATTACCATTGTTGCCACATATAGATCTAAGGTTACTTCTCGAAAAGCAAAGATGAATAAATCTAGAAAACTTTTGAACAATCAATTTAATACATCTTTCTTGAGATCTTTTCAAACATCTATGAGCACGACCCATTACAAAGATAGCATCAATCCTTTCACTTTCTACTGCAACTTCGAGAAGAACTCTACCTTGAGAATCTAAATCAAGATATATTTCTTGGGGAAGCCCATCATGTTTGAAATTTCTAGGATCTAATTGTAGTAATGCACGTCCACAAATTGAATGAGTACCAAATCTTTGATCCCAAACTGTTGTTGAAATTGTTAAAGTAGAGTTGGCCGGCAAAGTAAGTTCGAACTCTTCATCCCATTCAGGATTGTCTGTGTTAGTTATAACTCTAGTCTTTCCTATAGTTTTTTTAGCCTTAGTGTCAATAAGTGTGATGTATGGGTGTACATTATCTCCACTAGAAGCAGATGATTTAATATTTTCTGCCTTAATAATTCGGACCGAGAACACATGACTGGTATAATTCTTATTCGAATTTGGCTCATATGTGTCAACAGTTGAAGAGATAAGTTCTGGATCCAAAAATTCTTCAAGCTTACTTAATTGTTCCATCATGGCAGAAAGATTATTAAGGGCAATACAAGTCTCTGGTCGGAAATTGTATGGTTCCTCTGTCTCCAACCTACTTGCACTATTTTGAATATTTGAAACCACGTTCTTCACTTCATTGAACCAGTTTGCACCGCCACCCACATTCTTCTGTCTTTCCAATTCGTTGGCTTCTTTCAATGCTTTTTTCTTTTCTTCTTCGTCCAATTCACCTATGATTTTATCAGTAATTTTTGCAGCATATGTCAATACACCATCAGAAATGCTTTTCAAAAGAGTGGTGTATACTTTTGCTAATTGATATTCATTTGACCAATTCAAACTTTTCAAAATTTTCAAATACTCTTTGATCAAGGTAAATATATCCAATACAGAAGAACTGAATTTCTTTGAATCGTTATCAATATCTATTGGTTCGAAATCATCTCTATTGATAGCTTCGTCAATAATATTACGAATTCTAACCCCACTTTCTTCAACCCATGCTTCCAAAAATGGATAGAAGAATGACTCTAAATCAAATTTGAAGACAGATTTTGAAAAAGAAACTTGGTTAAAAATTTCTCTTATTTCATACAAAGATTTATATGCCTCGATTGCATCTGCATATGGTAAGAATTCATTCTTTTGCTTTGCATAAGCACTAATATGTTTCAAAATATTTCTAGAGTCAGAAGCAAACATACCAGTAATAACCGCAGCGGTAGTACGAGAAACATTCAAAAATCCCAATAATGGACTTTTGTATCGTTTTTGGAGCATTTTTATATCTCCAACAATACTGTCAGAAATATCAAGAATATGAATGATACTTAAAGTATCATCTCTCGGTAAATTCCCAAGCAATTCAGCATATCTTAGCTCTGACACCCGTAATAACGTTTTGGATAACCTCTTTTCCCACTTTTTAGATATTCCAGTCTCTTCAACTTTGAAGAATAAACTATCAGCTTCAAGATATTCTCCAAGGAAAGAAAGATCAGGACCAAATTTCGGTTTAACCGTTTTATTAAAAATCAATTGTAAACTATCCTTAATCAGTAGGAATACCTGATTATAAGTACACGTCAAATTACGACTCCAAATATCTTGATCTTTGAGACTCCAAACCTGTTTGTCTTCCCAGTCGAGTTTTCCCAAATCTTCAATGACTCTTTTACAGAAATGTAACACCAAGGTCGTCCTTTCTATATCAATGGGTCCAAGATCTTTGGAGTTAGAGAATTTATCATTTAAAATTCCAGAAAGATGAGCAGCAGTGTACAATGAAGTTGCTCTGGTTGGGAAATCAATACGCCAAAACTTGGAGCAATGACTAATCAAATCAAGAGCTGGTTTAGAAAATAAACGTGCAACATCATCTTTAGACTCTTGCTTTTCTTCCAGTTCTAAACATTTCCTTAAAAGAACCACAAAATACGCTCTTGTATATGCTGAAGTGGGAAGTATATAAAAATCTTCGCCTGATCGTAATTGTGGAATAGATACAAGTCTCATGGAAGGTGGGATTTGATATTTTGCAAGTAATTGAGTGCAAAATGCTTCTTCCCTGGCCTTCCATGCATCATAATATTCTTTCTTGAGGAAAGATTTTTCCAGATGTTGTCCTAAATCTTTACCTAAATAGAATTGTACTTGTTGGATATCCTTATGTAAGGCTTTTTCTTGAGCCATTTCTTTAAGTTTGAATATATCTGTTTGTAATTTGACTTTATCTACGGAGAATAATTTCATTAATAATTCAATCATCGCCTGTTCCATATCGGAAACTCTGAATGAAGGTTGTGGATACTTTAATGGTGTAGAAGACGATGGCGTAGAATTGGCCAAAGATGCAATGGAAGAATTTGATTTGGAATTGGAATCGGACACAGACTTTCCTGATTTGGATCCACTACTTGGATTCAAAGATTGTTTATATTCATTCAATTTTTTGGTTATAAGTTCACTATTCTTATCCTTTTGAACCAAACTGATTAATATTTGTACAAAGCTTCCAGTTTGTTTGAAAACTGCCGTGCTCACTTCATTTGCAGGAATAGTACCAACTTTCACCATCTCCTTGTTGGAACACGATACAAACTTCATCACTAAATATTCAGGTTTATTTATTCGTGACACTTCTGCTTTAAATTTGGGATCAAGCAATTCACTATAAAGTCTCAAAAGAGATCTTCTTGTAAGCTCATCAAGATGCAGATCTTGTTTCTTCAAAGCAATCAAATTCAAACGTTTCTCCAACAGAGAAATAATATGTGGCGGTAATGCAACGTCATCTTTAGATCCATCTATTTTAGAGCTACTCTTATAATAACTTGAAAATGTGGAGGATGACGACCCGTTCCCAGAAGATGAGTTAGCACTGGCCCCACCATTGGCCCCAGAACCTGCACTCTCGTTTGAAGTCAGTGGCAATGGGGTACGAAACCTAGCTTCGTTACGGTACTCCAAAATAAGAATCTTTAACACGGCCTCATATAATCGATTAGTATCAACATTTTCGTAGGATGTGTCTTCTGCTGTCAATATCATAGTGGACGCAATGCTCTGCGTCCGACTTGACGACTCTCTGACACCCCCCTGCATGATTGAACTGTTTATCTACTTCAAATCGGTATATTTGTTTGTTTTTTAAATATTTAAGAATACCCCTAGTTGCATTTCGCACGCCGCTTCAGTTTCAACTTTATACGTAGATCACAAAAGGTTCGCATACAGTAAATGACAACAATTGAAAAAAACACAATTAAGTGCCAAAACCCCAAAAAAAGTAATAAACATAAAAAAAAATAAAGTTTATAGAATTCGCGCTTCATTTCATTTACATAACAGTACACAATATTTAAAGTATATTTAAGCTTCACTTTCATCACTAGAAGAATTCACTTCAGACGATTCCACGTCTGCAACCAGGTCAAGTTCCAGTTCCGGTGTCAGATCCAGTGCCGTTTCCAGTTTCGGTTTCGGTTCCGGTTTGACCGTCTTACCAGCATACAGCAATTTCTTTATTTCTTCCTCTTTTATGTTTTCTTCTTCAATTTTGAATATATGATTAGATAGAATTTTATTCATTTCAAATGCTCCAACCGATTCTAGAATGTTAGTATTTTTAAAAAAAGATTTAAAGGGAACTTAGATTGATACTCACTCTTTTTAAATAATTTTTGTAATTTATCATCACATATAATTTGTCTCTTATCCTTTGGATTTTGTAATTCATGATCTTTTATATATGCCCAGAGTAACTTCACCACCTGTGGTCTTGAAGTTTTCTCTATTCCAAGAACATTATAAAGTTCATGAGAAAGGGCCATTTCCCTATTAAAAGGGTTATTCTTATTCGGTATAGTCCGTTTGTCTGTCTTTTCACTTTTCTTTGTCTTTTTTTGAACCCTTCCTCCTGATCGTGTAACTGCTGAATATGTTGACGATTTCAGTAATCTTGCAGCCATTATGGCATCTTGTGCCTCAATTTCTGCCTTACGTTCTTCAGAAGTTCGTTCATCTTTCTTCCTTTTATCTATGAGCAGATAGTATCGGTCTAGAATAATACTATTGATTTGTTGCTAAATACTGGTTAGTATAATCTTTGATAGTCTTTTAGAATGTAGATAGATAAAACTTTTATAAAGAGTGGACAGTTCCACTTCTTTAAAATATTGGAAATTATCATGCGGCTGTGTACATCAAGTATGTCTCATACTTGATTTAATGTCAGACCCACTTCTCTCAATTTTTATTCTTAACGAATGATTCCTTTATTATTGACATTTCAAATCTATGAAATATGAACAATAATCCATCCATTTCAAACCTATTACTCCATTCTAAATCCATTTTGTGGTCTCTCTTAACATACCTTATGAGGAGTCAAATTTACATTAAAAAGTTCTTGAAGTGCATTCCTAATCTTCTTAACTGTAATCTTCTCCAAGTCGGCTACACTTAGAATTGCCTAAATGGTTAGTATATGTTTTAATTTGAACGTTTTATTAACACTTTATCAATTGAGAATGTAAACAAATGTAACATGTAAATGTTTTCGTATACTCTACCAAATTGATCCACCCTGACTTTGATAACTTACATCTATCGTAGGCAAATACTCATCTGCATTATAATCACTACTCATACTTGTAAAATATTACTATATTCTCCTCTTGAGTCTTCATGTAGGTAAAAATAAACCTTCATTCTACAGCAGTTGGAGAGATTTTAGACTTACGAGTACTGTGTGCAGGGGGTGACCCTGTCCCTTTCAAAATAGTGATACGAATTATTTCACACATTTACATTCTTGTTAGATTGTTTATATATTTTCCTATAGATATATTATACATGAAATGCGAACTAATGCAATGCCATTTAGAAAAGTTGTTTTCCTTAACTATTGACTTCCCTCTCTCGTTTTGTCTTTCTTTTTTTTTTATTTTTCTTCTTTTTTGATATATAGTTTTTTTTCGCTGGTTGAACCTATTCTTGATGTTTCAAGTTTCTCTTATGTTGTAACTCGTTCTTCTTAACCAATCTCTTTCTTTCAGCTCTAGCCAAAGATCTTGGATCGATTAATTCATTTTCAGTTCCCTTAGTCTTAGTATCTACTTCTACCAACCATTGACTGTCAATATCCTTATTCTTACCCTTGTAACCCCATTTAGGTACCCATTCACCAGCTTCTTCGTCGTAAACCATCTTACCATCCTTGGCCTTAGCCTTAATACCCTTCTTAGCAGCAAACTTCTCCCACTTGGTAAGAGCCTTGGCCTTAGGTATAGCCTTTTCTCTTGGAAGTGGTGTGGTTGGATCTGGTAATTGAATCAAGGTCATGGTGGAGTTTTGTCCGGTAGAAGAATCATGGTTTTCAGTGGTGGTCTTAACAGGCAAAGACAAGATCTGGTTGATCAACAACTGGACGTTGTCTCTGGTAACAGATGACAAATAAGCATCTCTTTGTTCAACATCGTTCAACTTCTTGTTGTCCAATGGGTTTGGATCAAAAGTAGCCAAGTTACCAAGGTCATAGGTGGTAGGGATAGGCTTTTCCACGGTGACAGGCTTGAATTCCTTTTCAGTAGACATCTTTAATGTATTATATCGTTTATGTAAAACAATAATTGTATAAAAATATAATCTTCACTATCAATTTTTGAGATGAGCATTTTCGAAAAAAATTATGTGGATGGTAACATGCAGGAAAATATTTTTAGGCTGCGAAAATACCAAAAAAAAAAAAGAAAAATAAGAATAAAAACCAGTAGACGATGAAGTAGTAGTAATACTTCTGATCAAACTCTAGCACTTTGTACGGAGCTTCTCCAAATCCAAATGGATACAAGTGCCATAACAGTAACTGCACCACCTGCCATAACAATATGTTTCATATTTTCTTGGTCAACATTGTCTGGATCCGTTTCGAGTCCCGGAGTAGCCAAACTAGGGACTTTTGCAGCATCGACTAATTGAATAAATAATTCATGTAAAGAGGATGTCCAAGATGAAGATATATGCAATGGAGAACTTAAAAAGAGATCTCTTGTATAGTTTTCAGGTTGTACATCCGATCTTTGTTGTTGCTTATCTAAATCAGCCTTCAATGCTACAAACACACTAGGGATGTCATCCAAATTATTAGCATATTTGGCGCGTAAATCAACCAAGTATTGAAATGATTCAGGGTCTGATGAATCGTATGCATAACAAACAACGTCACATTGGTCCAATCTAGACTTATTTTCAAGAATTGCCGGTTCAAGTTCCCCCAATTCTTCAAGAATAAGATAACATTGTTTCCCTCCACGAAGTTCAACATCTTTAACGCATAATCTTGGTTTGATGGTTGGAGAATAATATTCACTAAAACTTCCACCTAAAAACAGTTCTAATAGCGACGATTTCCCACATTTGGGCGCTCCAAGAATAAAACAATTAAATACATTCCGATCATTAACTGCTTGTCGATAGAATTTCCCTTGCTTTTGTCTTCTCTTGCGAGGTTTTGTAACTTTCAAGGCTCTCACGGAACTATCATCATCAAACCCAAGATATGCCAAGTATTCAAGAGTTGTTTTGTGATCTAAGAATGTAGTAAGATTCCATTGCGCTAACCATCCTTGAAGTGAAACATACCCTTCTTCATTACGAACAATGGAAGATGGGAATTGAGATTCTTGCCAAAGCTTAGGGATCCCAGGAGTTGGTAAAAATAAATTGGAAAGTTCATCTTCATTTAACCCACCATCATTATCCTTATCAAATTTTAAAAAGAGGTCAACTAAAAATCTATATCCAATAGGTCCAAGTTCAACACTTGCATTTGGCGGAACATCTAGTTCTGGATATAAGAATTTATCATGTAAAGAAAGTGAATTTGTATAATGGAAAGCACGTAAAATACCCCATATTGTTTCATGTCTACCCTTCTCCGCATAGATCTTATTAATTAAAATGAACCCATCTTCTGAAATACCTCTTGATTCTCCCTTATTATTCAAATCTGGATATATGATCTTATTTATTGCTGTCAAGATAGCTTGATACTTTTGAGGGGTTGATGGAGTATTAAAACATTTCAAATGTAATCTAGAAAACTCTTCAAAGTTTAAATATCCATCTTGATCAATATCACAAAGGAAAAACACTCTTTTCAATGCCACTACACATGCTTGCTTCAAGTTACCTTCCTTGGAATCAAAAATGGGTGATATTGGATGAGTGATTGCTCGTTGACATAAATAAAATGCTTCACTAACATTATAATTGATTTTAGCACTACATCGTACGCATGCTTCAATTTCTTTGAACTCGTTAATAAGAGGAATGAACTCCTCTGCATTTTGCTGCTTGGTACCTCCCGAAGTGGAATCCGGTAAATCTGATTTATTGGCACAAAGTACAATGGGTAAACTAACTCCCATGGAACGGAACATGGCCAACCAATGCAATGAGATCCTCTCGTATGTATAATGATCAGAATATACTAACCATATAGCATCTGCTCTTTTCAATTCTTTCTGTAATTTAGTCATATCGGATGAATTTGTATCCACAAGAACCGTCGTTCTGGGAATCGACTTCAGTATATGTAATGATCCATTACTCAGATAAAGATCTTCATCTGTCCCTCTCTTCGGACCATTCGTATCTGACTCCGAACTGTATTCATATGCACTGTCAGCATAGTCTTCACTGGAAATAGTCACTGGAGGAATGACACTTTGAATGTTTGGAACGAACTCTTCCTTGAGTAATGCGGTAATAAGAGATGATTTCCCCACCGCTTCATCCCCACAAACTACAATACGGATACTCTCAGTCGACATTGAATTCGATTAAATGTAATGAAAATAATTTTATTCAATTCTTAACAATCCCTGTATTTGCAGTCTTTTGAATTAGTAAAATAAGTCTCATTATTGGCGTTAGTTCGTTTTCGCGATTTGTATAAACTGTAAGATATCTGCACATCTAGTCAGAAAAATTGAAAAGGTTTTCGATATCTACAATCTATCCCCTTCTCCATAACCATGAGCTATCTTGCCAGAGCCTTCAAACAAGTCAGAGCTGTTCGTTTCTACTCGCCAGTTCCAGAGGGCGCCTATGAAAAGCAAATCTATACCATCTTGGAAGATCGTTTCAAGCCTTCTAACCTCGAAGTTAAAGATGTCTCTGGTGGATGTGGATCCATGTTTGCTATTTTAGTTGAAAGTACTGAATTCAAAGGCATTCCTATGATCAAACAACACAGATTAGTTAACGAAGTGTTGAAGGATGAGATTTCCAAATGGCACGGTTTACAGTTGAAAACTAAGGGAGTTTGATTTTCAAATCACCAAGATCTGACAAATGCATATCCAATTAACATTTATTATAAATAGATTCAATTAACACTTTAATGATACCCTCCCCACGTTGTATATATTCATGTATGTGTTTAATATATGTCCCTTATAGTCCATACACTTTCTACTTATAATTTTTTCTTTCTATTTTTTGTACTTGTATCTTATATTTATATCTAATACTAAATCTACTCAACAACTTCTTCCTTTTCTTCAATGATGACTTCCTTGATTTCTTCGATAAGCTCAGCTTGAACCTCGTTCTTTTCTTCGCCGTTGTTGGCGTACTTACTTCTGTAAGATCTCCATTCTTCCAATTGGGAACGACGCAACAAGATGGCTTCTCTGGTGGCAGCATCAGCTTCCATAGCATCAGCTTCATCGAATTGAGCACTGTATTCACGCAAGTTCTTTCTAACCTTCTTTCTGTCGGCAGCATTCAATAAAGAGGCTGGTCTTGGTCTCCACAAAAATTCCTTGAATTGATCAATGGATTCATCTCTCAACATAGTACCAGTGAATTCGAAAAGCTTGTAACCATTTTCCATGGTGTGCATCCAGATGGAAGACCAAGCAGCAACGAAACGTCCGGATGGATCCCATGCCAACAGGGTCATACCTGCAAACTTTTCAGCTCTCATCAACTTAACGTTACCGTCAACCTTCTTGTTTGTGTTGGTCTTGTTATCATCTTCATAAGAAGTGTCGTAAAATTCAAGTTCACCATTGTTCTTGGCAATAGTGGCAACTACGACATATCTACCCTTTGGAGCCCATGCAATAGTGTTGGAGTGCTTGTCTGTCACTCTCAGGAAACAAGTGTAGTTGGAACTGGTAGATGCATTGGCGTTCTTACCCTTTTGTTGGATTTCTGGTCCGTAAAAGGAAATAACATTCTTTGGAATGGAAGCATTAAGGTTACCATCATCCATTCTAGAAATGGTAACAAATCTTTCAGATCTTGGTTCCCATGCAAAATTGTACACAACATCCTTTAATTCTAATTTTTCAACTGGAATATCCTTCTCAGAAAGTTTGAAGAATTCCAAATTGGAGAAGAAAGTCTTCTTAGACTTAGTATGACGATCAACCTTAACACACAAGAAGTTACCTTCATCTTGCCAGTGCATCTTACAGTCACTAACTTGGAACAAGTTAATGGTTCTGATAACCTTTCTGGTTGGAATTTGCATCAAGGAAACTCTAGCGGTTTGATTAGTACTTTCTGGAGTCCAGTAAGACAAAATGTGTTCACCTTCTTCCTTACGAGGACCAGCCAAATGGACGGCAGCTGGAGCCCATTCAAAGTCAACAATGTCATCAACCTTGACCAACTTCTTGTCCAACAATTGGAATGATGGGGTTTCGTAAATGGCTAAAGCACCAGGACCTTGACGGGCACAGTACTTGTCATCGTGAGACCACTTAACTAATGGCCATGGCATTTCCTTTTGGCCTTCCAAATGTGGTGGTAAGGCAAAGGTTCTAACAGGTTCACCAGTGATCAAATCCCAAATAACCAACTTGTGACCGTTACTTTCGGCACCGAATGGGAAAATAGCTTGCTCTTGAGGAGAATCTGGCAAGGAAATCGGCACTGGAGATAAGGAAACCATATAACGTTCATTTGGAGAGAAATCAATCAAACGAACTTGGTTGTGAATAAACTTCTTAACACTTTGGAATCCAGCACCACCCCAAGATTGAATACCTTGTGGGTGAATAGAGAACAAGAAAGAACCCTTTGGAGAAAACTTGGCATAAGTGGAAGTGAAACCCTTTCTTGGTTCAATGGCTGGTTCTGGATCATTCTTCTTCTTGTTCCAGAAAACACCAACAGTTTCAGAAAAGTGTTCAGCGAATTGATCACGTCCAGATTCATCTTGAAGCCATGATCTCAAGTATCCCAAATCTTTGTATTCTTCAACTTGTGGTTCTTCAAAAGTTTCAGAAATGTTACCTTCGGCACCGTATCTTTCGATGTCACTCAACTTGTTGACTAATAATCTGTGCTTTTGATCCAACTTCTTACCGTTTAATTGCTTAATGGCAGCTTCAGCCATTTGAGCGGTCTTGAATTGAACAAACAAATATCCCTTGGACATACCGTTTTCTAACGGCATGTAAATCCCATCGTCACCTTCGACGACTTCACCAACGGTGTTGAAGAGCTTCTTCAAAACCTTGGTCAAGATTGGAACCTTGGATTCTGGGGCAACTGGAGCACCATCAACTACAACATAGTTGTCAAGACCAAAGTCGGCACTGACTTGGTACTTGGCCTCTAAGTCGGTGAAGTCAACGTCATCCAACGTGATTTGCGACTCGAGGTCTCTAATGTACTCTTCTTCGGTCATGTTAGCCATTTTGTATAACCTTTAGATGTAGATACTTGTAATGTGTGTTTTTTATTCATCGTTGAAAATTTTTTGATCGCTTTTTTTTTTAATTTTTTTTTAATGTGCCTTTGTGTTAGATCACATATATAACACAAAATAAACACAAAGAAAAGAGAAGTATGGTGGTGAACTGTATTCTTTATAACTCAACTACTCATATAGTAGATAATGAAACGGAAGATTAGTTAATTCCCAATGTATATGGTCGTACATACTAAGTATTTTTTAACTATAGAATTTTTATTATTATTTTCTTTCCCAATCCTTTATTCCAATCTTGATAACTCATTTCGTAACTTGGCATTTTCAACTTCCAATTCTCTTAATCTCTTATGTGAGGCCTTATTCTCGTATACTCTTGCTTCTCGTTCAGCTTTCCATCTATTTGTCAATTCTTCCAATCTCAACTTGGTACGTGGTGATGTTGAGGTGGTTTCATTGGCATCCGTCGTGGATTCAGATACATCGGTAAGCGCGTCATTGACTGCATTAAGTTCTTCAATGCGTTGTTGCAATTTTGCAACATAATCTTCAGTTTTCCGATTCTCTTCACCTTCCTTTAAAAGTAGCTTGACATGGTCATGAACTATAATATCGACTGCACGGGTAAAATATTCAAATACGGATTTATGGTATTGATAAGGTTTCTTCAGATCAGTCATATCCCATTTCCTTGAAGGACCTTCACTTTCATCATTTGATTTCAATACATGTTTAGCAAGCCAATCAATTTTCTTCTTGGGGTCTCTAAGTGATGCATCATCTGCAATTTTTACAAATGAATTCAATAATCTTTGAAATTTTAAAACATCAAACAGGAAAAACTCTTCGAATTGATATTCTAAAATGTTTAATTTCTTCAACAAAACATCATCGGATCCACCCTTTTCCACCGTGTATGAGGTTATTTTATCAGTTAAATTAGTAATATTGGATTGTAAGGCAACTTTATCGTTTGTAAGTGATTCAACTGAATATTTAAGTCTAATCTTTTCTGCTTGAAGTATTCTTTGTTTTTCAACGGCAATATCCAACTCTTGTCTAAGCCTTTCATTTACAATCTTATCAGTCTTTAACAGAATAGTTTCTTGTTTCTTATTTTGTAATTGGTTTGTTAAAGAAGATATGGTTTTCGAAGTGTCCACCTGTAACTTTCGATATTTTTCAGTCAATTCATGCAATTCATTATGAAGTTCATTGACTTCTTTATGACTATTTAAAAGTACATTATGCATATCCGTAGTATCTACTCCTGATGCCTTTGTATTGATATCCAGCTGTTCCTTTAAATTGTTGACTTCTTCTTGAAGATGATCGATCACTCGTTGATATTCATCTAATTTCAAATCAACTGATTTGTTTAATTTAGAAAGCCTTTGATTCTCTACTCGAAGTGATTCATATCTATGACTTTCTCCAATATTTGAAGGTATTTGATTTAATTCGATTGATTCACTAAGAGTCTTGAATTTTTCAGTAATAATTCCATAATTATCCTTCAATTGTCTTGATATTTCAATTTCTCTCCTTAAATCAGATTCAACTCTTGTAGTATTATTAATATGAAATTTAATTTCATTTTGTAATGTGGCCAATGTTTTCATTAAATCTTCAATTGTTCTAATGTATCCTTGAATTTCCGTAGAACTTAATTTACCGTTACTGTTATTATTATGCTGATATTGATTTTGGTTATCTCCTGTTGTTGAAGGTGGCAGTGGATATATTGCTCTTTGTTGTCCATAGACTTCAATTTCTCTCTTTATTATTTGAAGTTTAGTATTTATCGCATTGGGTGAAATTGATCCTTCGTCATGTTCAAATATATCACGTATTTCACTGATCACTTCAATAGAATTGGAACTAGTTAGTATCTTACTCAATACCTGATCGAGAAATTGGGACCATTCTTTGATTTGACCATTGGTTCTATTTAATAAACTTTCCTTATTATGTAAATCATTTTGAAATGATTCCAAATTTGAATATAAATCTTCATTAAGTTTGAAAATTTCATTATATTCGTCTTCTTGTTTGTTATATAGAGTTTGTAATTTTTGATATTCTTCTTGTAAATTACTTAATTCTCGTTCTTTACTCAGTCTATCAGATCCAATTTCACTTAAATTGAAATTATGTTGTAATTCTCTAAGATCTCCAATGTTAAATTCATCATTTTCTTGATTATCTTGAATAATTCTTTGTAAAAAATTCTTTAACAATCTAATTTCAATTCTATACCCCATAATTTGTTTATTAAGATCTTCAACTTTAGCATTGTTTGAACTGAGATATGATTCCATTGGTTGAGATGTGGTAGTGGTAAATTTGGATTTGATAGAAGGTGGAGAGTTGATGTATAGTTTGGATGATCTTAATTGTCGCCATGGGGCAGAACCATTGGTATGATTTCCTGTATAACTATATCTCTTTCCTTTATCTAGATATGATTTTTGAGAACTAGTACTATCAATATCTAAATCACGATCTAATTGATACCTTGTTTCATCAAAATGTGCTGAATCAAGTGTATTTTCAACAATTTCCATGTCATTTATTGGTTCGGCAATACTTTCTTTTGAATTATCTTCTTCTACTTCTAATTCTTCTGGTAATTCGTGGTCTCTTTCGGGTGATGACAAAGTACTATAATCTTGTAGTCGTATATCTTGTGGTACCACAATATCTGGATTCAGAACAAATGGACTTGATGCGTCAAAAGATGATGAAGATGATGATGAGGATGATGACGGTGATCTAGAAAGAGGTGTGTGTGACGCGATAGATTCCTCACGCTTTGGTGTATTGAGCAGAACTTTCGAAAATTCAGGTAATATTTCCAGCTGTTCTGACTCTTGTGAATTGATTATATCAGATAACAGGGGTGATTCAGTTGTTACTTCTTCCGCTTCCTCTTCGTCCTGTAATTCCTGGTTACCTTCAATGATTCGCATACCTGTCTCGGCTACATTCTGATCCACAGCCAGTATATCATTTACCGACTCAAAACCAGTCTGCAGTTCCAGCTCTAAACGAGGCTGGGTAGCTTCTGATACACTCACATGGTCTATGTCTGACATCTTGTTTCAATCCTGAAACCCACTCTAAACTTCGTTATCTATATATCAAAATTTAATTGTAGCAGCATTGTTTCACATAAAAATATAAACATAAACTATGCAGGTCATTACATCCTAAAAAGAACAATAACGCCAATTCTTATCCTTTGGGTTTTTGTTTTGTTTTTTCACTACACTATCCCGTGATATGTATATATCGTTATTTTCTTTTCTAATCTAGTAATACTACGTTTCCATTTCAGCATCTTCTTCTTCTTCTTCTTCTTCCTCTTCATCATCCTCTTGCTTGGCAAGTCTAATGGCCTCTTGTAACAATTCTTCAGGAACAGCTTCGTGTCTACCACCAGTTTCCTCTTTGGAACACCAAGTGATTTCCAATTCATAATCCTTATCTTTGTTATCTTCATGTGCTTGTTCAATAATTCTTGCGGCTATGATTACTGCTTCCTTAACGGTAAGTTCTTCAAAGTTGAGCTTTTCCAACTCTGACTTGGCTGTTTGACGACCTTTCCCCGTGGCAGCCCCGGTGTACCCCCAACAAGTTCCACTTGGTTCAATCATGTACAAATGAGGTCCATGTTCATCCACACCTCCTACAATCGCCACAATTCCAAATGGTCTCACGGAATTGTAACAAGTATAATTCTGAACATAGATCCCCAATCTATCCATTAAATGAGGTACACTCACTGGACTCTTGTATAATGACTTGAATGAAGAAGCTTCGTCTCTACCTCTGTTAACAAAATGACGTCCATCTGGTAAAAGACCAGAGTATGCCACACCAATATGTCTATCAATGGTTTGGATCCGCTTGTTCTTTCCTGGAACAAGCAATTTAGAACTTATAATCTTTTCCACTGCCAATACAACCCCATCCTTACATTTGAGTCCAATGGATGTACCACCATTTTCAACTGCCTTCATGGCATATTCAACTTGGAAATTTCTTCCATCTATATTTGTTAGTATTAAGTACAATAGAAATATTCCACTGGTAAAAAAAAAAACACTTCTTATGACATTACATACCTGGTGAGAAAACACTGTTTGATAAATCGTATCCAGTTCCAATTGATGTCTATAATTTTTCGTTAGTATATAATTGATTCATATAATATCTTAGTCAGATACAATCACACTCATTTCAACATATCAACTAATTAAATATAATAAATAACTTTTGGAGTGTGATCCATATCTATTGAATCTATACGTACCATTGTATATGTATATGACTTTGTTTATATGTTATTTTAAATATATAATATGTATATGTTTAACTTTATAAATTGAAACCTTCAACTATTACACTCATATCGATCGCCACCGCGAACCCATTGCTAACAAACGAGGAGACGGGGTTTTTGTGTAATTTCGGTTATATGTAGGAAATATGGATTTGCAACAAGGTATCCTCAAAAATACCTGGTAACTTGCCTATTCTTTCTATAAATTTTCATAAGATATCTATTCCTTCCTAGATCGAAAAGCTTTAAACTTTTTATCGATGAGACTGTTCAAATGGCCATGGTTAGGGGTACTAGTAAGTTACATTGTGATCCAGTCCGGGATTGCAAAATAAAAATTAAAAATAAAAATACTTTAAAAAATATATCTTTGATTCAAAGATAATTAGTTAAATTTTGTCTAGACCAATATCATAAACTAACAAATATTTTAGATTCCATGTACTCTTATTGCTATCCTTGGATATGGATCACATTACTTTGTGTTCAGGAATCACATGTCACCTGAACGGCAAATTGTTTTCCAGGTCTGCTTGACCTTATTATGGATATCATATTATCTTGCGATCGTAATCGATCCAGGCTCACCTCCGAAAAACTTTGAACCTCAACAAGGAGAATGGAGAAGGTGGTGTAAAAAATGTGAAAATTATAAACCAGAGAGAACTCATCATTGCAAAACTTGTAAGAAATGTGTGTTGAAAATGGATCATCATTGTCCATGGACTTACAATTGTGTTGGACATGGAAATTTACCACATTTCATGAGATTTCTATTTTGGGTTATATTTTGCACTTCATTTGTATTTATTGAACTTTCTAAACGAGCCTTACAATACTATAGAGATAGTAATTTACCATCATATTTGATAAGTAAAATAGAAATGGTTGCTGTGATTACTTTACTACCATTGGACTTTTTCGTTCTCATAACCATTTCCATATTATTTATACGATGTATAATTAATATGGTATTCCGTGGTATGACTCAAATTGAAGTGTGGGAAAAGGAGAGAATTGAATCACAATTAAAAAGTGGTCGTATATGGGCCCAAATTAAAAAAAATTACAGAATCTTGCATGGGAAGGACATGCCAAGATTGATTTCTTGGAGTAAACATTCTAGGTATTATGAAGAAGAAGGGATGGAAGCAGTAACCGAAAGTGAGGACATGCAAGTTCTCGAGAATGAGCATGAAGATGAGCCATGGAAGGACTTCACAATTGATGATTTGGTATTCCCATACGACTTGGGCATGTGGATTAATGCAACAGATGCATGTGGTACCCCCCTTGTATGGTTAGTACCGTTTGGATCTCCAAAAATTGAAGGATTTCATTTCAATAAAAATGAATTTGTTGAAGATGATCAATTGGGATTACCATGGCCACCTGATGGGGGACATCAAGAGAATATCCCTATAGAAGATGAAGAAATTGATGGTGAAGGTACTCAATTGGAAGATTTGGGACTCGCAGAATATAAACGCAGATTATTCCGCGACCCAAGGGTCAATCTTAGCAGAAATGAATGGATGAACGACTTGGGAGAAACTTTAGACGATTTTGGAGTTGATCTAGAAGCGGAAGATGCAGAAAATGATCAACTCATTGCTAAATAGGGAATTCCATTTACAGCTACATACTTTGAAGAAGGATTAACAAATCTTATGTGTAAACTTCTTGTAATTGTTATGGAAGTTCTTTCCTCGAGGACTAGAGCCTTTGGAGGTTCGTCGGACTATAAAAGTGCCATCCATTTCATTGACAATGACTGTACAATTTCTTATTCTCTATAGCATTTGATATTATCACTACTGCAAACAATGAGATTTTCTACCATTTCTTTAACTACTCTCACCTTAGTTGCAGCCACATTGGCTGCAACAGTTCCTGTTGACGCGAATGAGGCTATAATCAAGAGATCTGTTGGAAACAGAGGTTCCGGATATATTGTTGATAAGACTTTTATTATTAAGAGAAGTCACGATAACGATGACAGCAAGAGTAAAGGTAACAAGAAAAAAAAGAGTGGTAAGCACCAAAAGGGAGATCAAAACAATGGCAAAGGTAAGAATCATAAGAAGAAGAATGGTAAGCACCAAAAAGGAGATGACAAGTATGCTACTGATCCAAATTACCAACATGGTGAGAAGGATGACGAGTACGACCGTTCATACCTCTTGAGATTTAAAAGATTTTTTGGTGCTGGTAACGATGAAGAGAATGATGATGATGATGTTGATTGTTATGCTGGTAACTCCAAGAGATTCTTTGGTTCTGGTGAGGATGAAGAGAATGATGACGATGATGATTGTTATGCTGGTAACTCCAAGAGATTCTTTGGTTCTGGTGAAGATGATGAAGATGACGAAGATAATTGTGATTCAGGTAAATATAAGAGAGGAATGCAAGGTAACGAAAAGAGATTCTTCAAGAAATTCAAGACTACTTCCACCAAAGAAGAAGACTGTACTACTGAAACTCCAGCTCCAACTGACGATTGTGATGACAAGGAAAAGAGATTCTTCAAGAAGTTCAAGACTACTTCCACCAAGGAAGAAGACTGTACTACTGAAACTCCAGCTCCAACTGACGATTGTGATGACAAGGAAAAGAGATTCTTCAAGAAGTTCAAGACTACTTCCACCAAGGAAGAAGACTGTACTACTGAAACTCCAGCTCCAACTGACGATTGTGATGACAAGGAAAAGAGATTCTTCAAGAAGTTCAAGACTACTTCCACCAAGGAAGAAGATTGTACTACTGAAACTCCAGCTCCAACTGACGATTGTGATGACAAGGAAAAGAGATTCTTCAAGAAGTTCAAGACTACTTCCACCAAAGAAGAAGACTGTACCACCGACGTACCATCTACCACTGATTATGAAGAACCTGAACCAACTTATTCTGCTGATTGTGATGAAGAAGGTGGCAAAAGTGATGAAGATTTCGAGGATGAGACGGATGATGATACTGTTGAAGCCTACGGACAAAAGGCGAAACGATTCTTTTTAAAAAAAATGATGGGTAAGCAAACAACTTCTGATGATTGTACTACTACTAAAACCCCAACTCCAACCAGTACTGAATGTACAACCACTTTAACTTCAACCACTACTGAAATTACAACTGATTGTACTACAATTTCTACTCCATCTCCATCTCCATCTGATGGTTGTGATGAAGATAAAGATTAATTTACAAAATTTATTTTGATTCTAGTTTTAGTTGCTTGTTTATTTCGCTTTTTTCGATAATTGATGTTCTCTATTCCTACCACAATGTAGATTTAGTGCAGGGTTGCAACAAATGCAACTCCCTGCAGGTAAATTTGAGATATCTATTATTATTATCCCCGCAAATTATCACTATGACATGGGAATTTAATACATGGATGTTGTAAATTCTCCCTTAATACATACAGTTTCGTACTATAATTTCTTGTTATGCACATCATATTAAATGAAATCTCTTTATATTTGATATTATCATGAATCATTATTTTAAAAAATTCGAATCATTCCCCTCCTTGATTTACGTTTTCTCATAATTATTTTCTCAAAAAGAAAATCAAAACCCCCAACTAAGAATTTTGAGCCACATCTTATAACATGTTTTTGAATTCTTTGAAGAGCAGTATCATCTTGGTCATATTCTATTATTGTAATTCACTTATTTATCTTGTATTTTCTAACCATCCCTAGATAAGTATATTTGCCAGCTGCACGTGAGCACAATTATCACCTGCATGATAGTATCCGGACTATTTTAACAGAGTACGCATTGATATTACCACCTCACGTGCCGTTGGATAATTTATTAAAGGTATGGCATGGGGCGAACGCTGAAAAGTTTATAAAAGGCATATCCCTTCAATTGAACAATTGAATTTATATTTTTTGTTGATTAGGTATATTCCACACTTTATAAATATTCAATCACATAATGTCCGAAAAGGCCACTTTACGTTTGGGTTCTACTGCCCCAGATTTTGAATCTGAAACTTCCAATGGTAAGATTTCCTTCCATGATTTCATTGGTGACTCTTGGGTTGTATTGTTTTCCCATCCAGATGATTTCACCCCAGTTTGTACCACTGAATTGGGTGCCTTTGCCAAGTTGGAACCAGAATTCTCCAAGAGAGGTGTCAAGTTGATTGGTTTGTCTGCCAATGGTACTGAATCTCACAAGGCTTGGATTAAAGACATTGATGAAATTACCGGTTCCAAGTTGACTTTCCCAATCATTGCCGACCCAGAAAGAAAGGTTGCTCACTTGTACGACATGATTGATTACCAAGACGCCTCTAATGTTGACGATAAGGGTGTTCAATTCACCATCAGATCTGTCTTTATCATTGACCCAAACAAGAAGATTAGATTGATCTTGGCTTACCCAGCTTCTACTGGTAGAAACACTGCTGAAGTCTTGAGAGTTGTTGATTCTTTACAAACCGGTGACAAGCACAGAATCACCACCCCAATCAACTGGGTTCCAGGTGATGATGTCATTGTCCACCCATCTGTTTCAAATGAAGAAGCCAAGACTTTATTCCCAAAGTTCAGAATTATCAAGCCATACTTGCGTTTGACTCCATTGGATGTTTCTGAACAAAAGTAATCTTCTAGCTGTTCCCTTTTTTAGTTTCTTTTTATAGCTTACTGTGTATAGCTTTGAAAATGTGTATTATTGTGTGAAATTGATTGTAATAGTTTAGGAGTAGTTTTAAATTTTGGACTGCAAATATATATGCGCACGAAAAATGTGAAGTTGAATAAAAGATTGAATGATTACAAGTTCATTAGATAGTTAAATTGCCAGAACGTTTTAGAGACAAGGAGAATGCAATTTGCATTACGAAGATTGAAAAGGTTGAACTCTTTGCATAACGTCCCACGTCGACGGTGGATAAATTCATCTCTCAAGACGGTTCCTGTTTCTGTATCAAAATGGTCAGTTTATAAGTGGCATGATGTTGATGATATTAGTAGTACAAATATATCATCCGATGCTAATAATTCCAAGGATAATCATACAGACATCGATCCTGAAAAGCAGGAAAGAAATGCTAATTTGGGCTCAACTGTAGAACAATTAAGAGAACTTATACCCCATATCGGTTCTAATTCACTTCCAAAATCTTTACTTTCCCCACATATTTTACTTCAAATTTGCCCAACTCACTTTGATGAATTAAATTCTTATCTTCCAACTATTAAAGGATACGTTCCTTACTATGCCACGTGTAAAGTGCTCCAACTTGCACTCACGTCTATTGTCTTGGCGCCTAGTGTTCATCTTCACATTCAATCAATAAGATCATTTCCGCTTGGTACGGGGGGGCCTCGATTACCATCTTGTGTATACCCTGAGGCAACTAAAATCGTCGTTCGATGGACCACATCGTTGGATGGTCGTACAGAACTCAATCTGTACTCCGATGCGTTGGACCGTCAAGGTCTGCATGTTCCACACGGATGGTCAAAAGTCAAACCAGTCGAATTCGTCAACAATGGTGATGAATCAAAACATTTTGCATCGTTTACAGAAAAGTTGATGGAATTGTCCACCAGTATTAAATTATTGGCAAAGGATAAAGATTTAGATCGAGTTATATCTGGAATCTTTGTGTTTGAGTTAAATGAATCCAATGATCAAATTATTGTCCATACCATCGAAGATATTAATATCCTTGAACGTACTGAGACCCAAGTAGATGGTGAGTTGAGAGTTTGTTGATCAAATCCTCTTCAATTCGTTCTCCTTTACATATACATATATATATATACCACTTCCTTGTACATATCATTAATGCTAAAATTCTTTATATTAATTTCTTTCCATAACAACATAAAACATATCATTCATTTTTTTTTTACTTTAAAATTACTTTCTTTGCTTTCGCTTTTGATTTTGATTCTTCATCTTGTGAATTTTATAAGAGCTCCCCGATAACTTGTCTTAACCCACCGACGTTAAGAATCTCTTGGTAGTTAAATTCTTGTGCTTGGGATTTAAGGTCGTTATACAAATTTTCGAAACTATCAAATGTTCCCCGGGATTTCTCTGAATCCTTTTGGAAAAGCAAATGGAGTTCATGAGTAAGATATTCAATCTTTTGAATAGAATTCAATTCCGATCCCTTGTTTTCCTTTTTAACCCATTCCCAAAGCTCTGAATCAACTTTCTCCACCTCCTTTAATTTCTCTATGTATGCAGTTTCATCAATCGATTTATCCTTGGTAAGTGCTTGTGCCATAAATACCAAATGTGAACTAACAAGAAGTTGATTTCGAAGTAATTGATTATTTTCATTCACAACTTTGAATAGATTAAGTTGAATTATCAATAACATTACGAGGAATGAAAAAATAAAGTAACATACACCAACAATATTCTTTCTGATCAATTCATTGAATGATAATTGAGCAGTTGGAATCACTTCACGTAATGATGATTTTGAATCAATTGTTTTAGATTCAATAACCTTGGATGTTGCTTTAACTGTGTTTGAATCTGAGATATCTTGGACTTCCATCTCCTCTTCTACAAGGTATGTAGTCTTTTCAATCTCTTTCTTTAGTAATTCTAATAAATCTCCAGTAGCTGCCTTTTGTCCGGACAAAGATTGCTTTTCAATTACACTTTTAATCCAAGATCTTCCGGTCCACTTGATATAATATGACATATCAAGGTTGGTTTGATTGTTGGAAGCCCAAGTTAAACAATATCTGGTTTTAACCGAGAAAGAGTTCCCCAGTGGGACATCAGGGGTGACAGTACTTGTAAGAATCACGATATTGTCATTCAAATTCATATGTTCAATTGTTTCATTCACTTCACATTTAGTAGATTTGGGACCAATTGAATACCCAAGAGCCCTTCTATATGTGAAATTTCTTTCCAATTTTTTTGGATCGGTTTCCAGTGGGTGGAAATCACTATATGGTGAAATTTCTGAAGCATCGTGTGATTCTAAAAATTTCTTGTGGAAAGATGTGTTAACTGATCCAAACAAAATATCAAAGACCACCCCCATAGGAGCATCAATCACTTCATTACATAAGACTGTTTCACTATTTTCACTAATGTAGTCTGTGGTTAATGTAGTGGGGGGGTGTGTGTCTGGACCTCTGTTAATATATTTACATTTTGGCTTGAACTTTCTAACCTTGGTAGATTTTTTCACTTTCCCATTCGACAGCTTCCCATTGGACGTTACTTTATGCATTTTTCCGTCTTCTACTTCCTCGCCCTCCACATCATCTCCATCATCTCCATCCTCATCTTCGTCATCTTCATCGTCGTCCTCATCATCATCTTCATCATCATCTTCATCATCGTCGTCATCATCCCCATCCTCAGATTCATTTGAATAATTGGAATCTGTATCTGGTTGAACTTCATCGTCATCGATATCGTTGTTCTTATCCTGATCATCTCCATCGATAGATAAGATATAAGATTGGAATTTAGACCGAGACTTGGCGTCTTCAGGATCTTCAGCTACGCTGTCCATCTGGAGAATACCATTACGATCTACTGAGTATCCACTTGTACTCCTTTCCGAGCTGCTATCTGTCGTAGGCATGATTTTACCCGTTGCACCTTGCCAAACTTGTTTCATGAATTCAAAGGTTGCATCTCTAGATATAAAACTAGCAAAAATATGCTTTGTATCAATGGTTTCAATTATAATTCCATTAGGAAATAATCCAGCAGTGAACTTCTTCTCAAATTTAACAATATCTTTCTGTGGAATTACTAAATTTGTTACCCACCCAAGTAAATTGGAATTGAAACATACATAGTTTTCACTCACATAAATTCGACCTTGTAATAAAATTTCACGACTTAATGCACATGAAAAATCATCCAAGAGTCGATCAGTCAAGTCTAACAGTCTAAAAAGTTGATGGAATTCAGTATTTCTCCGAATTGTTGCATATCTGTAACAAGTATCTTTATATTTCTCTTCAACATATAATTTCAGATCAAATTTTTCCTTTGGTGTAGAGAATACAGAGTTATCATATTGAATACTACCATCACTATCTGGTCTTCTGGACTTCCTATAAGCAATTATCTTTGGTGAACTTACTACACCACCGTCTCCATCTTCTGAAGTAGCAGTTGGAGATGAAGGAATCGCCAATATAGTCGATGGACTATTGGTGGATGTAGGTTCCTCGGACGCCAATTGCAAGTTACTACTAAGTGAGTTCCGGGCCACACTCATATAACTTGTCTTGGGAGAACTCAGTGTTGTTGTTTCCTCCTTATCCTTTGATATCACTGAATTGGCATCTTCCCTGGTAGTTAATGCCTCCGCTGGAATAGACTTGATTAAAAAGGGTGATTGTAGTGGCAGTGAAGACATCGATGACGAGTTCTGATTTAGCAAATGTGGTCTACTATTGTCTCGTAACTCAATTGGTGATAATAAAGGTGCTGATCTTGTTGTACCATTCTTCGAGGGATTTGTCTCATCACTGCTTGGATTGGACTTGTGACTTAGACTTTCGTCATCTTCTTCAGTTTCGCCATCTCCCTTCTTGGTACTATTGGTTCTTAATTGAGATTTAGGTCCATCTTTAATGGAATCTGTTGTCGTTCCCTCGTTTGTATCAATAGGAGGTAAAGGCGCAATCTTACTTTCTAAGGGCAAGGCTTCATTGGATGGAGGAAAAGAGTATGACCATGCATCATCTTCTTCATCGTCGTTAGAATACTTATCCATTGTAGAAAATCCCAGGTTTTGAAAACTTTTACCCGTGTCTATCTATTAATTTCAATCTAAAATAAAGTTTCCCCAACTCTTTATAACATTTTGGTTGCACAACAAAATTATCCTACACATATACAAATTATGAGGCGCAACATACATTGCACCATAATATTTGAATATAAACGACAATACATTCATAATATTTCACTTACAATCCTACATTCCATCATGAAGATAAAGGAACTCTAAAAGACTTCTAAGAGATCTCTTACCCTTCTCTATTGATAGATTGTTTGTACTTTTTTTTTTAATAATTCTTTCTTTCTTTATTTCTTACAACGTAGCATTAAAATAAGCAATATACAAGTTTTTTTTTCCTCACGACATAAACTAGAAAAATAAACCCAAAAAAAGAAGAAACGTCTCACCCCATGGCGTTTTGTATGATTTAAAGTTAGCTATTGCTTAACAATAACTAACCCGTAATGTTTTAATAATTTGAGTTATATGGAGAATGGTATGCTTAGACAGTTTCCAAAACAACATCCTTGAAACCACCAGCAGAAACCTTCTTACCCTTTTCTTCGGTAGAACCTTCACCGTGCAAAGCTAACAAAGCACCCAAGTCGAACTTTGGTTGCTTCAACAACTTGACCTTTCTGATGTGGACATTTTGCAATGGGAAGATGGTTTGGGTAGACTTTTCGATTTCACGTCCAATGACTTCTGGAATCAACTTGGAGGTTAATTGAGCCAAAGTACAGTTAGAAACTTCTCTTTGCATGATTTCAATCATCTTCTTTCTAACTTCTCTCAACTTGGAAGATTGAGCGTAGGTAGTCTTTCTGATTTGGTTGGCTTGTCTCTTGGTGAAGGCAATGGCGAAGATTCTCAAGACGTAGTCGTCAGAGGTCTTAACGGTGACGTTGGCTTCAACCAAAGATTGCCACTTTCTAACCAAAGATCTCAATTTGTCAGTGGTGAAGTCAATACCGTGGAAGTTGGTCAACAAGTTCTTACCTTGGACTTCGTCAACTCTCAACTTGACCTTTCTGTAGGAGTGGTCTTCGGAACCTTGCAAGTCAGCAAGACAAACTTCGACGACACGGCCCTTCAAACCATCAGCGGCGTTCTTCAAACCGGTAGATCTGTTGATCAAAGTCTTACCGACGGCTCTGTTTTCGAAAGTGGAAGGAGCCTTAATGTCGAACCAGTCCTTTCTGGTGAAAGGGTCAACGACCTTCTTCTTCAAACCCTTCTTACCCTTGGAGAGTCTCTTGTTCTTACCAACAGCCATATTGTATTATTATTTGGATGTGTGTATATATGAATCTATTAAAAAAGAGCGAAAATTAAACAACACCCATTAGTTTTTTTTCAGGTAGTTGAGCCCAAAGTGAAAAAATCAATGAAAAAAAAATTAAAATCTTTTCCGAGGTGCGGTGCACGTGATTCCAGCATAGTCGAATCTTGCGAATTTCGACTTAGTTCCGGAATTTTTTTGAACATTCGCAAATCTTCCAATGTGACTGTAGGGCTTCAGCCCTAAATGCGTTCTTTTTTGTGTAATTATAATAAATATTCTTTAAAATTCTTTTAGTTTACAACACTACAGGTGGCTGCAAAATTACATCAATTAATATGTACAACTTCTTACATAAACCATTTAAGTTTTATATCGTATATGGATATGATGTCATATTACTTTAGAAAACATCATTATATCTTTATAGTAAAAATCTGAAATCTAAATAGTAAATATACATATCTCTCCAAAAATAAGAAAAACCAAATCTTGAACCACATTGAAAATAAACTCCGGTTCTCTCGGCGAGAATTGTTTTGCAACCAGTTGATTCAGTTATTTATTTTAAAAGTAAACTTACAAAATAATTATTATAAAATTAGAGAACATGTTTATTCAACAAACTGATTGTTCTATGCTAGCTATGTAAATTTTGTATACCAATGTAAACCCAAAGTATAAAAATGGTTAAAAAAAGTCATTAAGAATTGAAATACCGAACAAAAACAAAGTCATTCTAGACCATTAGTTGCATTATTGAAGGTATTAAAAAGAGGGGGGGGTGGAGGTAGATGAGAAAGATACATCTATTGGTTTTCTGGACGCAACTTTCTGACTTCCTTACCAACCTTCCAGATTTCCATTTCTCTGATAACCTTCAATTCTTCTTCGAACTTGTCACGGTAGTCTGGTTGAGAGTTGAATTCCAAAGATCTCTTGGTTTCAGAACCGTTCTTAACAGATTCGTACAAGTCAGAGAAGACTGGCTTCAAGGCATCCTTGAATCTTGGGTACCAGTCCAAAGCACCTCTCTTGGCGGTGGTGGAACAAGCATCGTACATGTAGTCCATACCGTACTTACCAACCAATGGGTACAAAGATTGGGTAGCTTCTTCAACAGTTTCGTTGAAAGCTTCAGATGGGGTGTGGCCGTTTTCTCTCAAAACTTCGTATTGAGCGAGGAACATACCGTGGATACCACCCATAAGACAACCTCTTTCACCGTACAAGTCAGAGTTGACTTCTCTTTCAAAAGTGGTTTGGTAAACGTAACCAGAACCAACGGCAATGGCCAAGGCAATAGCCTTTTCTTCAGCCTTACCAGTGACATCGTTCCAGACGGCGTAAGAAGAGTTAATACCTCTACCTTCCTTGAAAAGGGATCTAACGGTTCTACCGGAACCCTTTGGAGCGGCAAGGATAACATCAACGTTTTCTGGAGTTTCAACGTGAGTCAAGTCCTTGAAAACTGGAGAGAAACCGTGGGAGAAGTAAAGAGTCTTACCTTCAGTGATCAAAGGCTTGATTTCAGGCCAGGTTTCAGATTGAGCAGCATCAGAAAGCAAGTTCATGACGTAAGTACCCTTCTTGATGGCTTCGTGGACATCGAACAAGTTTTCACCTGGAACCCAACCATCTTCAATGGCAGCCTTCCAAGAGACACCGTCCTTTCTAACACCAATAATAACTGGCAAACCGTTGTCTCTAAGGTTCAAACCTTGACCGTAACCTTGAGCACCGTAACCAATAAGGGCAAGAGTGTCGTTCTTGAAGTATTCAAGAAGCTTTTCTCTTGGCCAGTCGGAACGTTCGTGGACAACTTCTTCCATACCACCAAAGTTGATGGTCTTAACACCTCTAACAGCCATTGGGGCCATAGATTGCTTAGCAACCAAAGGACGGGAAGCGGCAGCAAGAGCAGAGAGAGTTCTCTTGGAAGCAACTTGCTTGGTAGCACCGGAGGCTAATCTAGCCATGCGAATAGAAGTATTTCTGATAGACATTGTATTTATTTGTTTAGTAACTAATGAATAAAATAATTAAATGTTTTAAATTGAGCAATAACCACGGGTCCTTATATAGAGTCCAATTTTTTCAGGTGGACGAAGTGAAATATCAGAATGAGTAATGGTCGTGCAAAACCCGACGCAACTATTTTTCACATACGGACCGGTAGCGGCTTCCGGAGGGGCGGAACAATATTGCGATGATTCAATTATGATACTATGGAAGTATTGGTGACTCAATGACATATGGTATGCAGCATCAATACGTCCTACTTTGTCTTGGGGTTTTAAGCATTAGTTTGTAGTATTAATATCATTTACTAGATTTAAATGGTAGAATTGACCTCACCTAAGAATCCCCACTACCAATAGAGGGGAATGTCGTAGGTACAGGAATAAAATTTTGAAATCTGGGAAGTGGTTGTCACGGGGCCGTGTCCCTGTGACGTCGACGTGTTCTCAATGTACTGTGACGTGTCCTGCCCGATTCCGATTCCGGGCCTGTACCGTTCGGGCCTGAGTCGCAATATTTGTTGAACGCCGATGCGCGAGATAGGGAAACATTCTGTAAGGCATTTTTGAACGAGGAGGGGCAGGGGCTTTTGATAATGAAATGTGGGGCACTGATCATTAAAAAAATCAAAAATGTCCAATGATGAACTTCGCCTTTGTATTCATTTGTTATGTTTTTTTTTTGGTCAATTCATTAACTATGTTCATCCTCTCGTATATTCTAAAATATTCTTGTTCTCCTATTGACTCTATTGATTAAATGACTTTTTTTTTGTCTGTCTGGGTTTATTTGAATCGGAGTTCTTTGTAAATATTAATTCTACAACTTGAATGAGTTTAAATGTGTATTATTTATGTGTAATCTATCCTTTCATCATTATATAATTCCTACACCCTGTAGGTATGCCAATCGTTAATTTCGTTGTTATTGATTTCTCGTTCATGGATATTGACTCCGATCTCTCCAAGTTTCCCCTTGATGTTTGATTCTTCTTCGATTCTAGTCAATCCTGTTCTTGAAATCTTCATGCCTTCTACCAAAGCACTTAAGGAATCTTCGTCATCCAAATCGCACCAAGATTTTCCCGATGATGACTCTATTAACGAAGGAATAGAGTTGGGATAATTTTGTCTGGTAGTAGGCGTCTTGTGTCCTGTAGTTGGAATACTGATTGAATTGTCAAATGAGTAATTCGAAAGATCATCGAGTTCAGACTCTTCACTGTCATAGGAAGCTGGATCGACCAATGAATCTTGTTTAGCGTCAGTATCATTTGATGATAAATCATCATGATCCATGTCAAATAAATCTGATGTTTCAACACTATGTGGGAAATCTAATGAATCTATTTCTTCTAATTCATATTCTTCATCAATAGTTAAACCAAACTTCCAATTAGATTCCAAATCTGAAAGGAATTTATTTAAATCTCTCGATCTAATCTTAGTCATGTTATCAATTTCATCAAAATCAATTCCTCCAACTTTTAATAAATTCATAAAAATCATAAAGCAATTCTTATTCATAGTTGGATAAATATCATATAATACTTCAGATTTTCCATAAAGGGCAAAATTCTTGAAATTATAATCAGATTCCAAAGATTTATTTTCACCCAATGGTTTAAATGGTGAAGTACCAAAGACAGCAGTAAGTAAAGTAATACCTAAAGACCAATAATCAGCATATTTAGTATCATACTTGCTTGATTTTGAACGTTTGAAACATTCTGGTGCCATGTATTTTTCAGTACCAACATCAAAATGAGAACTTTGTCTTGTTGTTGTAGCTAACCCCCAATCACAAAGTTTAACTCTACCATAAGCGTTAAACAAAACATTTTCTGGTTTAATATCACGATGATAAATCCCAAGGGAATGAGCATATTTAACCCCATTAGCAAGTTCCTTAGCAATATGCCAAATGTCAACTCCAGAAATAGATAAACCCGAATGAGTCAAGTCATATAAATCTCCATTAGAACAATACTCCAATACAAGTACAATATATTCAGAGGTTTCAAAATGATCTAAAAGCTTACAGATGTTATCGTTAGAAGATCCCAACTTGGAAAGAATCTTAATCTCATGATGAGCCATTCTCTTAGTTTCTGGAAGATTCTTGTACATCATTTTCATTGCAACTTCAGTTCTGGTTTCTGTATTATAAGCAAGGGTTACTTTCCCGAAAGACCCTTCTTGGATTGGAGAGATATACTGGTACTTTCCATCAAGGAGGTACAGTTTCTTCTCATATGCTGTGAATTCAGAATCTACCATTGTATGAAAAAGTTAAAGTATCAAAAATCAAAATCAGTTCAAAAAGTGATTGCGTGATTTCTTATCGTTGTTGGCCCCGCAATTAAATGGGAAAGGACTTCCACAAGTATCAAATCGTATTGAATATACACGATAAAACAATTCTAATATCACTAATTAATACAACAACAACAACACGGGATTATACTAACAAAAGTATAAAGAATTTCAAAATGTTCAATGAATCAAATAAAATATGTGGGAGGTTTGGTTGTCATGTAGATGAGGTGTTAGCTATATAGGGGTGATACACCATATGCCGGATTAACAATATTGGGCTCAAGTGACTCAATAGAAGGTGATCGAACTGCGGGTAAGGATGTCCTTAATAGGTTTATGCAGGTAAATTCATTCCAGAACCTTCAAGATTATGTGGCTTTAGGTTAGCGCACGACCAAAAATATCCAAAATTGGAACAAAAGGACTAATGTGGTGGTGGCACTAAAAGTAAATTGAGATTGAGTTTAAACCCTAAAAATATTTACCATAAAAAGAACATTTACTGATTATAAGTTTTTAGGGGAGAGATGTTAAAAGCAAAGAATTTGAGTTTATATGGAGAAAACATTTTAACTTTTTGAAAAGGGATTGAGAAATTATTACATTGAATCAATTATTTAGAATGACTATAAAATGGCTGGCGGGGGGGATGTTGTGGAGATCCAGATGAAATTGTTATCATGATGGTCATTGTTTGTATTTACCTATTATTTTTTTTTGGTCCTATTCCCCTACCGTGTAGTATGCAGTATTTAAGTATATGCAGTAATGTTGGATGGATAAGATAATTCCTAAATAAGAGTTGGCCCCCCCAACTTCTTTGAAACTATTAAATTTAGGGTTGTAGTCTACCCCTTTTTTTAAATAACCCGTAAGTTTGACATATTTAGAACATATTTAGAACATAATTCAGTATGTTTGAAATTTTTTATTGAATTTTATAAAATATTGAAAATATTGTAAATTATCAATGATGTCTATTTAATCTCAATTTAGTATAAAATTGAATAATTATAATATTATTCAGGATAGTATTAAAATCAATTGTAAATTATCCCCTTTAGTATTCTATTGAACTATAATCAAAAAATTACTGCTTTGGAAACAATTAAGTACCCTTAATGGATATTATCAAAGATTATACTTTAAACTCTTTGCAATACTTTTGAGATTTTTCTCATACATGACATAATCACATGGGAGTTGAGGAGACCCAAAAGTCGTTTAATTATGATGGTTTACATTTAGAATATATTGCATATATCTGTATTTATTCATATTAAACAGTAAAATAGCTATGTAAATCCAAATTCCATCATTTTTTAGTAGTATTATATTATCAATTTAGTCAGTTTTTCTTCTGTTCAATAAATTATTTATCATTTGCCTTATTTCTTCAATAATTCATCAATCTTTGGAGCAATAGACAGTGGCTTGGTTAAAGAAGAAAATCTTTCAACAACATTTCCTTCCTTATCAATCAAAAACTTTTCAAAGTTCCATTTAATACGGTTCAATCCCAATAAACCAGACTTTTGATTCTTCAAGAATTTATAGACTGGATCGGTATTGTCACCATTTACATCAATCTTGTGTAAGACTGGGAAAGTTACACCAAAGTTTAATTGACAGAAAGAGGCAATTTCATCGGAGCTACCTGGTTCTTGACCACCAAATTGGTTACATGGGAACCCTAAAATTTGAACATCCTTACCTTCGTATTTCTTGTTCAATTCTTCTAATTCCTTATATTGTGGAGTGAATCCACACTTGGAAGCCACATTGACAATAAGGACAACTTTCCCCTTCAATTCCTTGAATGGGAATGGTTCATTCTTGTTATTCTTTGGTTCTAATTCGTAGAAGGAGGACATTTTGCTTGAAGTGATTATGGTTAAAAAGAAAAAAATATTATTATTTTAACAAATATATCCCTCACTTTAAATACTTTATAAAATAGTAAGGTAACTCCTCCATCATTCATTTTGTATTACTATGATTTCTCAGCACTTCCTGCATAACCGGGGGGCCAGATCTATATCTCTTAATAAGCTAACTTATGATTTTCAACTATCGATGTTACAAGTCATGAACATGCATCTTACAACCGAGTCTAAGGATCTTGTGCCGCATATATATTTGGCATTCAATAAATTCTATTTTATGGAATTAGTTATATAATTTCCTTTAAATTAAAAATATCTATTTACTTTCGCCCTCTCTATTTCTTATTTCTAATTTCTAAAGTTAACTTAACTAATGCATACAAAATTTACTAGTACAATTTATCATAATTGAAGTACATATGCCTTCCTTTTAGAAGTGGCTGATTTTTTTATAAAAAAAAAAAATTAAGAGCAAAAAAAAATTAAAGAGAGCATAATTCGGCCGAATACTACTAGTACCAAAAATATCACCGAGGGACATTTCTTAGCCTCAAAGATACCATCTCGTCTACGACATTTGTAATCCAACTTACTTATTGAACAGTATATTGACTAAACTATAACTGTAGAGCCTAGAACATTGTAAGAGTCTTAGTTCTGCCAAAATTTCGTTTGCAACGTAATAAAAGACTATTTTCATACTTATAACTCTTTCCCATACCTGTCCCAATAATTTATATTGAAAGACAAAACAAATAACCCCCCGTAAACCCAGACTTCGCATATCAGATACTAACAAAAAACAAATAGAGAAATCATATTAAAAAAAATGTGGTAGAATAGTTATCATTCAAGACAAATTGAGTAGCATGAATAATAATAATATTATTCATCGAGCAATATCATATTTCATAGTATAATGATATACTCAGTGTTTCCCAAACTGCCTCCCCGCGTCTGTTTACAATAAATAGTAGTCACCAATTAAACCAACTGTGGCAATTGCAAATCCGAGACCAGTAATAGCAGAACCGAGATAATAACCAAATTGAACCTTTTCCAAATCTGAAGTGAATTCTTTCTTTGAAAGAGCAATATCAACTTCTTCTTCAATCGATAAAGCCTGTTGCAATTTATCCACTGAGGCAACCACTGGAGCTTCAGATTCTGAAGGAGTGGAACTAGAAGAAGACCCTTCTTCAAACTCTTCATGAGAAGAATCGTCAGAAACATGGATGTATGATTTACCCAAGTTATCTTCTTCTGGTAATTCAGTAGTAGTGGTAGCGGAAGGAGTTTCTTCCACAGGTAACATTTGATCACGTAAACCAGATTTCTTTGCTGCCTTTGACTTGGCTAAAAGTCTAGATTCATGAGAATATGACTGATAGAACGCAGAAGCAATTGCCAATGGAGCACCTAAAGATGCATAGATCAAGTAAGGGTGTTTACCTCTTGGTGGAGATACCACAAATGCTAAGGAAAGAAGGGTGGAAGCCAAAGTACCCAAGGATAAGGAGGCAAGACGAGTGCTTTGGATCAAGTAAGCAGCCTGGTCAAGCAAATTGGATTGCAGCAAGCTGGTCAAGTGAATATTTAATTCGTTGATCAAGGCTGGGATTGCTTCAAATGCTTGATAACTTAATGAGGCAGTTAACAATCCTAAGGATGAAACACCAACAAATTTAACGGTGGCAACGCATGTTCCGGCCATTTTTTACAATCGATACAAATTCGAAATTTTTAGTTTGTTCAATGATATTCCCGCAAGATGTATAAATGCAATGATGCTTTCAAGATAAAGCTAAGATCGCAAAAATATAATTGAATAGGTACAAATTGTTAACCTTAGTGACGTTCCCCCCATCATAAAGGACGTGTATTTGAGTAATGCAAAGAAATTGATTGAGGGTCGTGTGGTTGGTCAAGGTGTGTGTGCAGGTAGAGTTGCTACAGTAGATAAGATAGCTCATATATATATAGTATGACTAAACAAAGTTCTATATCGTATGGAGCTCACTACGATGTGATATTGAGGAATCCCTACTGACCAATGTATCACTAGCATTACATAAAAATATTGGTTTTAGGAATATAAAAAAAAATAATGATGTATTAAAATAGCTGCAATCATACGTGACATGTGTGAAACAAGGCAATTCCGCGGTAATTCCGAAGACTATAGGCCGTTAAATGATTAGGTATAATTGTATTTAATGATTGGTTAATAGGTAAAAGTGTAATTAGATATTGACGATAAAGTATGAATATGTTCTAATTCTCTCTAGTCAATCAGGCGATTCAAAAAGTCGTTCAATTTGATTTTATAAGTACAAATTTGTTTCTAAACTTCAATCCTAACTTCCTTTATAGTATTCACAATCTAAATGATATGACTATATTGTAAATATCTATACCTCCATATATAAATATGCGTGTGCATGTAATTTATTGTTTTATTGAGACCCGTCAGGGGTATCAATATCATGAGGTTGATATGAATTCTTCTCCGCAACCTGTGGTTCACTGAGAACATCCATATGACATCCGCAAATACTATCACAAATCCCTGACGGAATATGAGACTTTGTATATATATATATATATATATATGAATGAATGAATGATTTCCTTTTATTGAATGCTTTAGTATCAAGCTAACCATTCAGGAATAGCTTCTGGATCTATTGAGACCAAATTTAAATCAAAACTTTCAATTAATAATTCAACCAATATTCTCCCTCCTCTTGCTCCTGTAAATCTTCTATATTCTTCACTGACACTTGCAAGATTCCAACCTTGTAATCTTCTTAAGCAACCTATCACGGTCCCAGTTCTGTGTCTACCCATCCCGCAACAAACAAGCAATGGGTAGTTCTTCTTGTCGCATATTAATTCTAATGCCTTTTTAATGGTTCCCTCAGTTAATGCATCCCATGGATTAACCGTTTGATAATTATAATCATTCATCATACCAACAAATTCAATTTCAATATTATTTGAAGAACAATAATCCAAGAAATCTTCTTGTGGCTCTTCACTAGCCAACCATAGTATAGTTTTCAAATTTAAATCTTGAAGGAATGACTGATTTATTATAGATGGTTGTCCAGATCTATATAAATGTTTCTCAATTGGACAAAAATTGAGCGGGGGGATGATTCTAAGGGCAGGTGGTTGCGATAATTTCCTTTGTATCTTTACGTCTTGAGTGATACCATCAGCATTTGAAGATCTAGACTGTTGTTCCAGATCAACTGGAGATATTTGAGAATCTATTCTAATTGTCCTTGAACTCGGACTCTCGGATATAATACCAGTCATAATTCTTTGTAAAGGAAATTATATTTCTGTTAATTCAATTTTGTACACAGATCGATAATAATATAGAAACAGATAGATAGTACTATTCTCTTAAATAATAAAAAAATAAGACAAAACAAATTATCTTTAATAGTCAACGGTTTATAATTTTAAACTAATAGTATATAACCTATGAATTCTATTTGAATATGAAAATGACACAAAAAATTGCTACACGGTTATTAATTCAAAAATTTATCGAAAAGTTGCGACCTTTTAACAAAACAAAAGACAGCACACCACAACAAAATTCACCAATAATAATCAATCTAACTCGTCAATAAAATGGTGAAAAAGACAACAACTACCGGCACAGGCGTACAAAAGAAAATCGGTCAACCAATCCATGATTTAGTGGGAGCAATTTCCACTACTTATGACTCGTATTTTGAAAACTTAACTCCAAGATTAAAATTAATAGACATATTCTTAACATTTTTAGTTCTCTTGGGGGTGTTACAATTTGTATATGTTATTTTAATTGGTAATTTTCCATTCAATGCCTTTTTGGGTGGATTTATTTCATGTGTTGGACAATTTGTATTGACTGTTAGTTTAAGATTACAATACATCAATTCTTTACAAGCTCAACCATTAAAGGAGTCCAAAGTGGCAGAATTGAATGAAGTTGTTGACGTTGACGTTGACGTTCATGCTGATCTTGATGATGTATCCACTTCTAGCAACGTTTTCGAACAAGTCAGTCCAGAGAGAGCATTTGGTGATTATATATTTGCTAGTATGATTTTGCATTTTACTGTATTCCATTTTATCAATTAAATTAAATTAAATAGAACATATACAATTGAATAGGATGAACCATTTGTAAAGGATTAATTGACGCGTAATTGATCTATGTAATTCATAACAATATCTACACCTTCAATTCAATATCTCTATTCATTCAATTAGAGCTATACTTCTAACTAAATCTACATCTTGTATAATGCTTTGTTTTATGAAATAACGATAAACATATTTTTTTTTAGACTGAATTCAAAGGGAAAGAAACAATGTTCTTGAAGAAACTTAACATTAAATTAGTCCCGAATTCAAGTCATATAAACTAAAAATCACATATACATAAGTGAGAAGAAGCAAAATTTAGTTGAGACAAGAAGAAAAGTTATTGTACTTTTTCAAAAAATTAATTAGACAATAACACAACAACCAGCCTTTTCCTTACTTTCAGCACCAGCACCGGCAGTAGAAGATGGCTTGTTTGGTCTCTTGGCAGCAGAGTTGGAGTTAGCAGCAGGAGAAGTGGCAGCGACAGGAGTGGCGACCTTTGGAGGAGCCTGTGCGATCTTGGAATCGGAGGTAACTTGTGCATCCGATTCAGGTATCACTTGAGATTCTATTGGTCTTGAAACGGCTTGATGTTCTGACCCATTAGCGACAGCTCCAGAGCCAATAATGGTTCCGTTACCATTGGCAACTGGAGTCTTTTCATCGAGTGTATCATCTTCAATTGGCTTGTTTTCATCTCTAATAGATCTTACTAATCCGAAAAATGCTTCTTCAACATTAATTCTTTGTTTAGCAGAGGTTTCCAAAAATGGACAATTAAAGGAATTAGCAAGAGCTTGTCCCTCTTCAAAACTAACTTGTCTTTCAACTTCTAAATCACATTTGTTACCAACAACTAAAACTGGAACATGATCAGAATCCTTAACTCTTTGAATTTGTTCATAAAATGATTGCAATTCTTCCAATGAGTTACGAGAGTTGATGGAATAAACTAAAAGGAAACCTTCACCAGTACGCATATATTGTTCACGCATAGCAGAATATTCTTCTTGACCAGCAGTGTCCAAAACATCAAGCAAGACTTGTTCGTTATCAATGGTACATGGCTTACGGTAAGAATCCTCAATGGTTGGATCGTACTCATCGACAAAATGGGATTGGACAAGTTGGATGGTTAAAGCAGATTTACCAACACCACCGCCACCAACAACAACTAATTTGTATTCTTTCAACATTGTATTAAAAAGACCGGCTAATGTTAATGAATATTAATTTTATTAGGCCACGTAGTCTCGTCCTCTGAAAGATTAAAGTTGACTGGGATTATGAAAAATATAAATTTATAATCCAACCGAGGTCAATTGATTTCCGTTTGAAGTTCAATGATCCTTTTTAAGTACACTTTAAAGATTGCTAATGGTCGTTGTGTCCTGTCTTTTTTTCCTCGTTTTTTTTCAAACTCAGCCAAAAATAAATATAAATTAAAATAAAAGGAAAAAAAAAAAAAATTAAAAATTAAAAATCTAATTGCCGTATCTAAACTTGAACAGGAAAAAATCATAGTAGAAAATAAAATTATACCTTTCAAAGCTCGCGAAATTACAAATGGTGACCTAGCTGGCTTTGTTTAAATCGAGCATCAATGAATGTTCCCCGAACTTAAATTTAAAGTGCAGAGATAAGAATTTGGACGTATCCAATTACTTTCGAGTATTAAAAAAGATATCGCGTGTTTGTCTTTATTTTGCAATATTAAACACGGTATTGGTTATCGCCTTAGAATTTTCTTTTAAACCCTAAATATTCGAAAGTGGGGGTGGTTGATCTCTGAGGGTTGCATCACGAGTGAAACTGAAAAAGAGAAATACTATTCGACACAACAAGCTTGATATTGACGCACCTACGGATTTATGTCGCTTGGGGTTCTACAAGGAGTCTAGACATATAACTAAAAAATTTCTGTGTGGGGCAACCCAAATATTTTGGGCGTTATGACGAATAGTGTATTTATGACGATTGCCAACTTCGTGAGACTAATAGATTTTACTTGTGTATTTGATTTATGGGTACGTGGTTTTTATTTCTGTCTGTTTCATTAATTCATCATGCACTAAGGTCTTGTTGCGGGGCTACATTTTCCCACTACCGAGAACTAGTGCAGTTAATAAATGACCTTACAATCATTTACTCGGTGGTGCCCAGCTTACGTCGGAACTTTTCTTATGCGTCAACTTCCGCGAAATATTAGGCGGTGTTTTGCAGTATTGTGATGTAAGATTAATGAGAAAACCCCACCCCTTAATGTAAGAAACTTCCACACTGACATGTAGAATATTGACGTGTCAATCCCGCGTACATATTCTACTCTTCTTATGTACTAAATGCCTCGGAATATATGCATCGATATTTTTTTTTTAAAGACTATTTTAGCGTATCGCTGTTTTACTTTAATTCAGTTTAAATTTTAATTCACCCCGTTCCATTTCATAGTGAGGTAGCATGACTTTTTTTTTTCTATATCAACGGTGGTTTCGACACGAGCTAGTACTGCTATCAGAAATTGGTTTTTGAAAATTTATTCTGGACTTGCGTTTACTTTCTGATTTTTTCTTTAGTAGTGTACAAAATGCATAGCCTCGTAATTCAGAAAGTACTAAAAATAAGCCTTCAAAATTCAAAAAAATAATGGAGAAAAGAATTGCTGGTGTGTTAATGATACCCGCGAGATTCGAACTCGCGCCTCCGGAGAGACCAGGACCTTACCCTGGCGCCTTAGACCAACTCGGCCAGAGTACCCAATTCCTGTTGTGGTTTTCGACTTGCTTTGACAGGCCAACGTAATATTTTGAAATTTGCCGAATTTTTTGAAGGCAATTTTACTTTACTTAAACCTAGTATTTAGTTGTTTTACCAGTGTAATTGTTATATAGCCATCAGGAAGAACTTCGTTTGATCTTATTTAGAGTTTTTAAATAAGGGGGAATGAACTTTTTTTTTGATTTTCATTTTCCCCATTCCTATTCAGAACATTTACTACTACTTATTTAGCATAATACACCCTTTTCCACGCTAGAAAATGCATGAAATAAAATAAGTGGTAAAGAAAAAGGTGGTGCCATTATTTCTTAAAAATTCAATGAACTCAGTTCAATTAAAAAGCGAATATACTTCCAATATGACGACGGTAAGTTTTTCACGGTGATTAAAGTGCAACATTCCTAGAATAACTCTACCTCTTAATACACATACTATTCTAAAAGTGGAAGATCAAAAATATTTCAAGCTTGCTCTCTGTATATTCCAAGGTGTAATCGACAAAGTTGGCTTTCAATACTCCCTATAAAATTGGCTAAATGACTCCTTCCAAAAACAAAAAAGAATGGTTGCAAATACATCAAGTTATATGTTTTTACGATTGAAAAGGCATTCACGCATACGTTGTCAAGCTTGGAATGATAACTCTTGGTTCGTATATTTAAAGCTAGAAAAACGATAAGTCCTAAGTAATGGTTTTGACGTTATTAAACCGTTTTTGCTGATTTTGTATATTTTCGTACTTCTTCTCAACTTTTCTTAATAAAATATTGTAAATACTATTCCAATGATCTAAAAGATTTTAAAAATCTACTTGTTTTCACTTTATTCATTTTAATTCATTATTAACAATATTATATATATACTCTTCTCAATCTATCTTGTTTTATATTTTCTTAGTCTTCTTCATCTTAACCAAGCATTCATCACAATACCATTTTCCCTTTGGAGGGTTCTTGAACCCAATACATGGCAAATGAAACCATTCTCTCTTACAATCATCACCATCACATCCAACCATTTCCCCAAAAGAGACTTGGTTACAATAACAATAAGTAGGCTCATTATTTTGAGTTGATGCATTCCCATGTGGGGTTTCAGAAATTGCCAGTTGATCTTCTTTCTTTGGTTTAGTTGCTCTCTTCTTTGAACCGTTAGATCCAACCCCTCCATTAGGAGTTCCAGGTCTTGATATTTCCTCTTGTTCCTTTCTTGGTCTTTTCTTTGATGGTGCACCAACGTTATTGTTTGTACCAACTTTTGTACCAGTAATTGGCCCGCCAACAGATGGTACTGCATCTGTAGCTGGACTACCATCCTTGTTACCATTAGTATTGTTATTATTATTGTTGTTAGATGTCTTCTTCTTCTTCCCCACAGTTGCACTAGAAGAATTAGTACTTCCATTCCCATTTGAATTACCAGTATTAGGCTCATCATCTTCATACCCGGAATCCTTATTGGCCTTCTTGGCAGCCAATGCTTCTCTTCTACTTTCACTTCTTTGAGACTGAGCAGATCTATTTGGATTGGAATGATCAGATGGAGAAGATGAATCCATAATCATAGCAGGATGATTTAAAGGTCCTATTCTAATTGCTTCAGGAATTTCATTATTATTGAGAATTAATTTATAATCATTATTGATTCTAAACATGTGCTTGTGAAGAGAGTCGGTGGCAACTGATGTAACATGCATTTTCTCTTCCAAACAAGGAATTATTTCATGAATTTTATCCCTAATATTTGTTAATCGTTTAATTTTTGATTGTTTGGTTAATTTTTCCACTTTTGGATTACTTTCATGTAAGCAATCAATATAATTTTTGATAGAGTTATTAATCTGTGGTACAGAATTTATACATTTGGCATCTATCTCCTTTAATAAAGTGAAATACTTGATGATATCAAGAGGTAACGCTTCAAATGCATCGGAAATATCATTCAAACCAGGTAAAAGTTCGGTCGCATTGGTGATATTCCTAGCACGTTGCTTATACCGATTAAACTGTTGAACCTTGCTGGACTTCATCTTATTGATAAGACGTTGTGACTTTTGACGAGACGGTAAATCTTGATAATTTGACATTTAAAGTATATGATTTGTTTTTCTGTATAGACCACCTTTGCAAATAAGAAAGGTAAAAAAAAAATTAAAGATGAACTTCTCCTCTGAATTAAAAGCAGGAGTGATATGTGACAAAATACGGATCCTAATTCAAGAATGGTAAGCTTTCTAACAATTATATGGTTGTATGTGATATATTCTTATTTAGAATGAGTGGGTTTATTCACCTCTTTTGAGTTTTCCTTATATAAAAGCCTAATCTCAATTTTCTTTCTATAGTAATTACATACAGGTACAAACATATACACATCCTATTCATTCAATATCAATATACAGTACCAGATTTCAATATTATATGCAGTTATAGTTATCCAATTTTTTTTTCTATTTTCAATTTAATAGTGTCTATTTTCTTGCCATTTTTTTTTTTGCAATTTTACTCTATTGCAAAATATCACGTGCATACAGGCAAATGTTGCAATTCACTTGTCATCTTTGATATGAATTCACAACGTTCGTTAAAAGCAAGTATCCACAGTTTCAATTACGAGGTAGAATTACTATTGAATCTCCACAGGGTCTTCTCCATAGATATTTCAGATATCCGATTTGATACACAGGAATATGGAATGCAAATATATATATATTGGTCTTTAATACTTTTATACTTGTATCAATAGGAAACCATACATCGCCCCCCCTGATTATATTCATAAGATAAAGGAAAAGATACATATTAGAGATATCAATTATAATATTAAGAGATTAGTTTATTACGTTTATATTAAAGTTCTTCTTTTCCCGAAAATAAAATTCAAGGAAAGTATAGGAATTAGTTGACAGTTAAAGAAGAAACGAATATTTTAAAGTCATTTACTCTTTTTTGTTATTACGCTATCAATTTGTTAGTAGAACAATAACATAAGCGTATTTCTGCTTCATCGACGCCACTTTTCCTATTTTAAATATTCAATACAAAAGTGCGTTCTGTGTGTGGGTGCATTGATACTTAACTTCAGACTGTGGCTCCATACCAATAAAAAAAAGAACACAACCTAGCGCGTTGGTGCCGTTTACTAATCTTTTGTATTATAAACCCCCAAATATCTTCCTTTGTTAGATTCAATCAATTCTTTGTTGATATCGACTTACTATTTAAATTCAAGGGGAAGATAAATTAATAAAATACAATCAACCCATCACCCCTAACCCTACTTTTCATCACGAAAAGAGATAAGCACGCAGCCACCATAAATTTATGGACCATATCAGGCCCCAATACCCTCGATCTCATACCAATCCAGAAGGTGGTCTACCCAGGTCTCCTTATTCTAATAATTCGGAAAAAAAGGAAGGCAATAACATGAGCTATCCTTTATTCACTTCACCTCACACTGGGGGTCCTTCAAGTCCCTTCAATGCGGGTGAACTTCCCCCTCCTCAAAAAAAAAGTCGGACTATTGGTCAAGATCAAGGTACTCTGAGTCTGAAATTCTTTTTACCAACTCAAAGGCTGAACATTGAACCTAACGTTAGCTATACTAGAAGCTATAGCTCGAATTCAATACCTTCTTTACTTGCTGGCCCAACTACTAGTGCAGGCGCTAGTGCTAGCACTAATATAGGAACAGAAAATTCTGCAACTGAGTGCAATAATTCCTCCACTTCTTCAAAATCCAATCATAATTCATTTTCAATTAATTCAAGGCCTCATCAACAAAGACATAATCTGGTGCATGAAATTCAAAATTCAGGTCCAAATACAAAAGTGTCTTCCTTGTCTAATATTACGCAATCCAATGGATCTAACTCTCAGTATAGAACTGTTCCTATCAGTCACCTAACTTCCCATTCTCGTCTGAGTATAGGAAGTGAAAGTGATGAAGATGAAAGGTTTTTAAGATTGGCAAAGGAAGCACTAGTTGCCACAGCGGGTGCAAAAGGTGTTGCAAACAATTTGATGGTAGATCCTACGATCCAAGATTTATTGAGGAGACTTCAATATGCATCGTCACCACATGGAAATCCTATCAAGAGGTCGAAAAAGATTCATGCGAATGAAAATGGTCAGCTTCAAATCCAAGGGTTCTATAAACAGTTTCCAAATTTGAGTAACAATATATTCATGGAATCAGAAGGAAGTCACATTATGAATAGCGGAGCTAACCTATCCGCTACAGCTGGGAATTCTTCGACTATTACAAATGGGGAGGACTCCTCTAAACTGTTGCACCATCCTAGTAACTCTAGAAGTGAAGGATGGAATTTCTTAGTTGGAGAACCTATGGTTTATAAAACCCAAAATACAAGAACAGCAGAAGACGTAGAAGATGAAGAAGATGAAGATCTTAGAGATGAAAAGGACTCTTCTGAAGAAGGAGGTGAAGAATCTCGTAAGTTTTCTTGTGAAAAATGTTTAATGTCATTTAGACGTTCCTCAGATTTAAAAAGACACGAAAAGCAACATTTATCTATCCCACCAAATATTTGTGAGCTTTGTGGCAAGGGTTTTGCTAGAAAAGATGCCTTGAAAAGACATATGGGTACGCTTACTTGTAAAAGAAATGCAGATAAACGATTATACATCGAAAACCTCAGTTATGTGAATAAAAGGAAAAAAGATGTACCAGGTAATGGTCAATCCTTCCGGTCAAACAATAATGAAAATGATTGGGATATTTAACTAATTATATGTACAATAATATAAACAATATTTATAATACTTAAACAAAACAAGACAAAACAAAAAGTTAAAAAAAAAAACATTTATATAGATTGATCTCTGCAACTTGGTTGAAAAAAAAGTAAAAAAAGAAAGGTCGTACCCGGATTCGAACCGGGGTTATCCGGATCAAAACCGAAGGTGATAACCACTACACTATACAACCCGTATTATATTCTTTTAAAATTTGCACATTGAGAAAGGAGAAAATCCGACAAAATGATCACGTGATATACATCATGTCTATCAAACTTGTCCTTGTCCAGTGCAGCCACTGATTATCGCCTACTCCAACACATGTACTCAGAATGTAAAGTATCACGTCAAATATGGGACGAAATATCACGTGAGAATCTCAATTTACTGATAAAGCTATTAGTTGCAAACTCGACATTGTCAATCCTACAATATTTAATTGTAAATCGTTACCTCCAAGCAATTCATCGTTTCTTTCGGGAACGACGACAGACCTCAACAGCGTTAAGGACCCCCTTAAAGTCTCGCGATATCACTGCTTGGGTTACGTTCTTTAAATCAACAATTAGATAAAATAATATGAACAATAAATTGTGAGAGGTTTTCAAAGTCAACACTTTTTCCTCTCACTCAATAACGTTTATTATAGGGCAACTATAAAATGAATAATCAGAAGGAGGTTATATAGCCAATATAACCAATGATTATATAGACAAACTATAGGATAATAAACATCGAATGAAGAAAAGAAAAACGGTAAGCCCCATACCTTACCTATATTATTGTAAAAACCATACCCATTGCTTTGTTTACGATTTGAGAATAGTTTGAAGACAGACAAAATGAGCTTCTAGAGAGTATGAGTACCTAATTGAATTATAGAGATGATAGCGACCAATTTAATGTTCGTCTTTTTAATTCTTGGTGTTTCTTTCATTTCGAATCATAGTTAGTGGTGGTGCATAGAAGAATTTCAATAAATATTATCGTCCTTCTACAGGTCATTTAGTATCGTTAGGAACAGATTGGACGAGAGAGAAAAACATTTAGAAGTCAAGATGAATACGAAACTCAAATCATGAAGAGAAATTGTCTAAAGTAATGCCAGAATAAAAGGAAATGAATACGTATAAAACCATCGATGTGCAATGTATGTAAATCCATACCACTTCTATCCGTGGGAATTGGGTACTTGAAGATAGTACCTATCGTCAAGATTGCTAATCGTAGTGACCTCACATGTCCCCAAGACCTGAGCGGAATTTAGATCTCCTAAACCAATAACGTTATTTTATGATCAACCACAATAAACCCATGTGATTTTTTGGCTGACTCGGAACATAATCATAATTATGAGCAAAAAAAAATAATAAAAATCAAAGTACACAATCTCCTGCGTGCTCATACCGTTAGGAGTACCTTCCCCTCTGGAGAAGAAGAAAGTCCAATGAAACGGAACCTCCATAGAATAAACAGATAACAGCCTTACTATCGCATTTAACATGTATCAGGAGCTCGGATGCACGGATCTGTGGGTTGTCGGATGTCCTGCACTTAAACATAGCTCCTCCACCTCATGACGTAAGGATGTCAGTTGACACCAAAGCTTTTAGGAGGAAGGTGCAGACTGAACGTAGTATTAAATACTAGTACATGCGTAATGTGGGCCATTCTACTGCGATTAATGTACCGTTAGTTGTTCTAATGCTTCCAATCGGCCAACATTTTTTTATTAATTTTTTTTTCTTTTCTTATTTTCTATTTTTTACTACGCTTTTCTTTTTTTTTTGCCTATTTTTATTTCTTTTTCTTACCAGATTAAGCAAGTCCTCGCTGCAAAACCTAGACCTTCATATTGAGTCGTCTTTCCACTACAATGTCAGCCTCGGTAAAATGACTCTTTGTAACACAAAATCGGGATCCCGATAATGACTTAAAAACCGGTCCTGCCCTCCCAATCTTTTTCAATGATTGTCAATTTAAAATCATCCCTTAGAGTAAGAGTTATCTCCAACAGTTTCTTTCAACTCAAATCAATTTATAGAAAGACCATCCGACAGGTATTTACTAGTACGGATACAATTAAATTCAACAATCGAAACCGTTATCACACCCAACGATTTAAAATGACTACTACTGAAGCTCAACATAAAGTTGCCGCCGAAAGATTGCAACATCTTGCCTCGTTGCTTTCTACCAACCCAACCTCCGCTCGTGAGTCCTTATCGCCAGTAAGACCATTCAGAATAGCAGTTATTGGTTCAGGTAACTGGGGTACTACCATTGCCAAAGTTTGTGCTGAAAATGCTGCTTCTAGACCTCACCTTTTCGCTCATCATGTGAATATGTGGGTCTTCCAAGAAAAGATTGATGGTGAAAATCTCACTGATATCATCAATTCTAAACATGAAAATGTCAAATACCTTCCTGGAGTCACTCTTCCAACAAATCTTCGTGCTGAACCAGATATTGTAAAAGCTGCCAAAGATGCTGATCTTCTTGTTTTCAACTTACCACATCAGTTTTTACCAAAGATCTGTTCCCAATTGAAGGGTAATTTAAAGCCTCAAACCAGAGCCATTTCTTGTTTGAAAGGTTTAGAAGTCACTCCACAAGGTTGTAAGTTGTTGTCAACTTATATTACTGAAACCCTCGGCATTCAATGTGGTGCCCTTTCTGGTGCTAACTTGGCTCCTGAGGTTGCTAGAGGTAAATGGTCCGAAACCACTATTGCCTATAAGTTACCAAGTGACTTCCAAGGTAAGGGTAAAGATATTGACCATTTTGTCTTGAAGGCCGCCTTCCATAGACCTTATTTCCATGTCAACGTCATTGAAGATGTTGCTGGTGTTTCTGTCGCCGGTGCTTTGAAGAATGTTGTCGCTTTGGCAGTTGGATTTGTCGAAGGTTTAGGCTGGGGTGATAATGCCAAGGCTGCCATCATGAGAGTTGGATTGTTGGAAACCATTCGATTCTCAGAATCATTTTTCCCAGAATCTCAAGCCTCCACATTTACAGCTGAATCCGCTGGAGTTGCTGACCTTATCACCACTTGTGCTGGTGGTCGTAACGTCAAGGTTGGTAGATATATGGCTGAAACTGGTGCTTCTGCTTTGGAAGCCGAAAAGAAATTATTGAACGGTCAATCCTCCCAAGGTATTATTACCTCAAAGGAAGTACATGAATTGTTAGAAGTCGTCAATAGAACTGACGACTTCCCATTATTCGAAGCAACCTACCAAATCATCTATGGTTCTGAATCTATCGAGAACTTGCCAATTTTGTTAGAAAGACGCTAGGTATAACTTGGCTCTCTTTATGCTTTTTATTATTTATTTCCATGTACAATAGAAGGATAGACTGTGATTAATACAAGATTATTTTAACGAAAATTTAAATTACTATCATCTTAAATTTACTCTACTCTCATACTGTTTTTATTTTTTTGGGCTTTTTTTTCACTCTTTTCTTCCTTTTCTCAATTCTCCTGCTTCTTCTCTGTCTCATCTAAAGTACCCCTACTCAACCCTCAGTTTCTTGGCCATAGTTGAACTTCCTTCAGAATTCTTTCTCTTGGAGTTTTTAGTTCTATATTTGACCAAAAACTTCTCCATATATATTCTGGAGAATTCATTGACCTTTTTAAGTTTATGCTTGTCAAGCTCCGTTGGTGGAGTTGAGCTCTTTTTGATTTCTTTCTCGACTAATATCTTAACAATATCTTTGGCACAGGACTTCAATGACTCATGTCCAATTTCCTGTTCATGTTTCTTAACCATATTTGGAACACATTTTGCAAATAATCTAGTCCACTGTGAATTTGCAGAATTTCCTTCAGTACCTCTACTAGACTTTCTGCCTTGCAGAGAACGTTGATATTTTTGTCTTTGTCTCTCCTTCTCCTTTTCAATAGCATCTTGCCTGATTTTCTCCTCTAATAATCGTTTCTCCTCTGCTTCTTGTTGTGATTTTTTAATGAGTTCTTGAAGTAATTTGTCCTTCGCTTGCAACTCTTGAAATTGTCTTTCTCTTTCCTTTTTAAGCCTCTCTTCTTCTCTTTGAGCGTATAAAACTTCTGGGTTCTCTTTATTATTATTATTATTATTATTATTATTTTTGTTGTTGTTATTATTATTATTGTTACTGCTGTTGTGGTGGTTATGTCCATTATGATGTTCATCTTTCCTTTTGTTATTTGAATGTCTTTCAGGAGTGCCATTTCCATTCGAATTGGTCTGTTCTGCAGTCAATGTAGATCTAGGTCCACGTGGAATAGCTCCAGTAGGTTTATCCCATCTAGAAATATTCAATCCTCTGTGGAAATAATATGTCGATAAAGATTCTGGATCCACTGCATATTCCCAACCTTCAGGTAAATCTTCAACGTCTACAATCTCAGCCTCTTCATCACCTGCATTGCTGTTATTGCCGTTCGTATGATCCACTCTTTCTGGACTTCTTGATCTAGATCCATGAACACGTCCATAAACAGCTGGTGATTCTGAATCCCGAGAAAAGTTCTTTGGGATACGATATGCCATCTGTAAGTTTCCCCATTCTCTAAGTAAACTGGCAGAAAGTCTTTTAATGGTTGAATCCTTGGTAGATTTTTCAATCTCCTTAACTACATCTTCAATCTCTGAAGATGAAATTTTATTTTTAGTTACCTTTGGCCATTTAAGTAAAATTTCCAAAATCATTTCAACTAAATCTTCTTCAGTTGATCTGAATCCTTTAAGAAGTTGAGACATGGTCTTATATCCATGCATACGAATAATCAGAGAATTCACATTAGAATCATTGGTTAAATAGATCCTCCTTATCAATTTGCTCACAATGTAACGATCTTGCAGCTTCATCAATGCACCCATAACCTTTGAAACATTCTCCAGGTTGGTAATTTCTCCAACCTTGATTGAATTCACAAATGCTTCGTTAATGATAGAATCATCAGATTGTTGTTTAGATCTAAGATGTTTATTTTCTTTAAGCCATTGTTTTTCTTGTTGATGGGTAACCCCCAAGGCCTCGGAAATCCCTTCAGGGAGAAGTAAGGCCGAGTCGGTTTGTGTCTTACCCCCCATGAACTTGAGACAGTTCTTTTCACCACAATAACATGGTTGGGATTGTGCTCCATATCGGTCAACATTATAATCAAAAGTGATTTCTTCACCCTTTAAAATCTTCCGTTTAGCAAAGATCCCCATTTTCAATTTGTCTCCCACAACCCATTTGTCAACATAAGCATTCGGGTTACATGAATGGTTACAGAATCTTGCCAATGAACCCTTGACGGTGGCGTCAATAAACGAATCCTTCTTCAACATCATAAAGTAAAAATGCTTGAACTTGTTCGTGTCATATTCTATCATACGTTTACGGAAAGTCGGTTCGTCGATAACCTCACCAATATATTCGTATACAAACCCAGCCTCTGGGATGTCTTCCTGTGCACGTAATCCATAACCCTTCTTCTCTGTTTGAATAACAGCAACTTGTGCGTATTGTTTCCGTTGAAACCTTTGATTTTGACAGTTCTCACCGCAAGTACATTGAGAATTGACACATTCTACAGAGGTAACTCGGTTGATACAGTCAGAATCTTCTCCACATGCCATATTGCATTGATTTTCGGAGTTCCATTCCTCCACACAATCACAAGTCATGATTTCATTTTGTCCTGAACTACCAATGTTTTTCCGGGTGTAGTTACACTCGGCCAATTCTTGGAAGCTTTGCAACGCTTCGGCTGTCTTATCTTTGTAGTCTAGGTAGAGCATAGTCGTCGGGTTGCCGTTCCAATAGATATATAGAGAGAGTTTTCCTCAAAGAAAATAAAGTGAAAACAATCAACACCCACAATCAAACACACGCACTGTATTCCAGTTTATTGATAATTTTTTTCTAGAAATTAATTTCTCCTGAAAGAATATAAATATTTCTATAACAATAGAAATATATCACTATCAAGCTCGCGTTAATTGCACAAGTCAATAGTATCAATGATGGATATATCGATTAAGTGTTGAAAATTCAGTAGACACGCCCTTTTGGGTTTTGCATAAGTTACACAAAATATTCAACCATACTACATTGATTTATTAGATCAAACATTTTGTTTCTATTTGCTCATTCGTATATTTACATTAAGGGTTTAACGCTAGTTACTTTAATAAGCTCAAGACAACTCGCGCGAGTTGTTCGTCAGTGTCCTGCTTGTTGCGTGATGTGAAACACATGTTGATTTCATTAAGCTTGTTTTCCACTTGATTAATAAGTTGTTTATCCCCACAATTTTTTTGTGGTGTATATATTTTCTTCATGGTTGTCTTATAACAACTATTTTTATTCGTAGTATTATTAGAATTTCCTTTCAATTCCGGAACCCTTGTACCCATAGAATTGCTATCTTGTGAATGATAATAATTGTAGAAACTATTCATTGGTGAAGCACTGATGGCAGAATCTGGTGGACCACTAATAGGAGAATTGGGAATCAATGGAGATTTATCTCCTTGATCTTCTGTTCCATTGGTTGCTCCACCAACACTCATCTCTATAAGTTTGATTTCTCTTGCTCTTAAACTTATAAATACTGTCTTTGAAACAACATTTTCCACGGCACAATTATTTTGGAAAAACAATAAATCATTCTTCATTGCATTCATTACAAGTGATTCCAATTTAGGACTCACAGGACATGATTGTACCACAAATTCTGGTCTAAATTCATCTGAAAAACCAACGTTTGGAGATAATGTTTTCCTTTGAAGTAATTGTCCATTATTCATGTCATTCGCTGGACTAGTATGGAATTCAACTTTCAATGTACCATTTTGTTCTTCCTTCTTAAAACTTGGTTTGGTTTGCATAATCGACAAACATTTAGAATGAATTATATTCTTATTATCTTTTACACTTCTCGAATTCGGTTGGGTTTGACCTTTCGCTTCAGCATTGGTTAAAAATATGCTTGATTTGGTTCTCTTGATATTTGAACCTCCTCTAGCTCCTTCAGATATAGTATTCACACTCATTCTTCGTCCAAAGCTTGGGGAGTTATTGTAATTATTAGTATTATTGACATTATTGTACATGTCAAGCATTGACTGAGCTCTTGATAATTTACCCTGAGATGACAGATGGACTGGCGTAATGTTCCCATTTATGTTATTCGAATGTTGCCATAAAAATTCATCATGTTCAATGGCAGGAGATGGAGTTCGTAAGGAATGGATAGAAACCCGCTTATTTAAACTTCCAAATGTCATAGCTGGTGCTGCTGGAATCGTTTCACTAGGGAAATAACTATTAGTTCCAGAAACTGAGCTGTGCATGTGAGAATTAGCCGCATTATTACCACTTCCACTTCCACTTCCTGAAGTAACGTGTCCACTTCCACTTCCACTTCCTGAAGTAACGTGTCCACTTCCAAAAGATCCCTTCCATTTCTCCAAAAAACTTCCACTCAACTTTGATAATGAGTAATTTGAAGCTGACGAAGATAATGATGAATTTAACGATGATGAAAGGTATGCCATTGAAGATGATTTGGAAAGTGAGGAACGATGGACTGGGGCCTGTTGAACTATAGGAATTACTTTGGTGTCCGTCTCAAACCGAGTATTGGACACTTTCCCCGGGGTTGTTGATGTACTGATGGATGACTTATTGGGTATTTCCCATCCTTTAATTCCCCCTTGTGTTGATGATGCATTTGAATCTGGCGAACTTGTACCTGAATTCTGGGTTGCCAGACGAATTGGGATAGGTCTAGCTCCACTAAGCATGGACAATGATGGTCGTGCCGATATTGATAGTGAGGCCATTGAACTAGTTGACGTTGACACCGTCACGGGAGAAAGCATTTCCGGCAGGGTATAACGCGGTGAGGCAAAAGTATTTGTATTGTAATCTTGAAATTGGTATGTCTGTACTCCATTATCAACTACTACTTCTTCTTCTTCTTCGTCATCTTCCTCTTCTTCCCCTTCGTTTTCTTCTTCGCCCACCTCACCACTATCAACACTAGTTTCTCCAATACTTTGAATTGATAATTTACCCATGGACTTCCTTGGTGTATCCTCCGATGCTTGAACATCGGTGGAAACTTTCATGGATTCTATATTGTGATCTGGAATCAATCCATTAATCAAAAATATAAGTTTCTTTGCAACCATTGGATTCCCCGTCATAATCACAACCCTGGATATTTCTCTTCTCTTTGTTTGTCCTCCTCCAACTAACGAATCAAAGGGCTTGGACGTCAACAGGTCTCTTAACGGGATTAATAGGGCCAACAAACTGGCAAGAAATGTATTGGACTGCCCTCCATCATTGTTAATGGTTATTGGGTTCAAATTCTGGCTGTACGAATTCTGTTGTATGGGACTGTTTTGAAATGATGAATTATTATAAAAATTCCCTAATCCATGAGTACCAACTTTCCCATCTTTGAATTCCAACCAATTTAAAATTTCAGATATCCAATTATAAACAGTGGAATTGATTATAGGAGTAACCGGTGAGAGTGATTTGAACATCAAATTGTTTGAATTGATTAATCTTGGAATGTTGGCATTGTAATGTATAAGTTTAATCAACTTCAATACTTGATTATTCAAATCAACCTCGTTTTGAAGCACATAACTCGGAAATTGAATTCTTTTATTGATGATATATGGACATTCACCTCCTCCACCAGAATGTAATTGTGTTTCACTGGCAATGTTTAAAATGTTTATAAGTTTTTTGATAATAAATTTTTGTAAGATGATCAAATAATGAGAGATTTCATTCCAATTATTAAAGATCACATCCAGAATATCTTCATCCATAGATTCTATGGGTATGATTACCCCAATGGAAAACCTACTATTGATTGAGTTGGATTTATTATTCAATTTCAGATTCCCATTGTTGGGGATCCCTGTAACTGTTCCCTTTCTTCTTGCGACAATCATATTCTTAACCGATGTTTCCTTAATGGGTAACGTTGATGTGGGGTGCCAATCATTTTCTGATTGTTTATTTATATTCTCGGGTTGGTCCAAATTTTCACAAATCAGAAACAATCGTGTTATTAAAACCAGTTGATTCAGTCCATACATTTGATTATTTAAGGTGGGTAAGATATGAATCTTTGTACTTGATTGAGATTCATTTGTGGGTAATCCACATCCAAACATATAATCATTTAAATCATTGACATTATGATGCAATTTAGATGTCAAGATATTCTTAGAGTTAATACTATTGGTACTATTTGAACTACCATTTCGTTGCAAAAGTGGTGCTACTGCCGATGTGGAGGAGGCCACTTCATTGGCAGAAGAGTCGTACAACACTTGTTTTGATCTGAGTGAACCTCCATCTTGTGATACAACCATTCTGAAGAATTTATTATTGAATGTGTATGGTTGTAATTGAGATGAATCAGTTGTTCCGTATAAGATTTCTCGCATATATGAATCATCATATGAATTGTTCATCCCCGAGTTGGGTATCCCTGCGGGGTGAAGATGATGTTGTGTTCCAGATGAATATGGTAATGTGGTAGATGGGCCATAATGACTATTGTTCCCCGATGAGTTGGACGCCGGTTGGTTCAACGATGAAGTTGAGCTTTGTTTAAAAAGTCTTCCCAACATGGTCACGGTCTATAATAATAAATAAATAAAAGAAGTGACGAAAATTAAAAGGTGGGAACACCGTTTATTCGTATGGATGTAGATTATTGATGTGTGGGGGGGTTTTTTCTCTCTTGCTAATAGTGGATATTTACCATGGTCACCGTTAAAAAAGATTAGTATGAAGGTTGAGATTTAGAAACGGACCGCGGGGTTATAATTAGCCAGTACCTAGATTGGTCTGGTCGCCAATAAAAATAAAGGTGGAGTATCAAAATGAGTGGTCTGAGTTTTTTTTTTGGTGGAGTTAGTCTTTTAAGCGGATGCGTCAGCGATAGATCTTTCTGAGGCGGGCTACTTTGGTGACTTGAGACAGGGGGGGAAGACCACGGAGTATCGGGAAAAAATGTGTCACAAATGAAGTACACACCCGGGCTGGTTTTTAAAAAAATAAATATGTAGATGAAAACGAGGCTATTTTAGACGAGATTTATTGTATCTCAATATGTAATAAACCAAGTTGATTAGCTAGTTCGATTATGAAACACAAAAAATTAAGGTAACAACAGGAAACGTTTTGAAACGTTTTTTTACAAACGGGATTTAGTATGCCAAACCGATTAATCTATTGCGCGCAAATAGATCGTTAGCGCCCTATTTACTTTAATTTTGTGCAATTTAGCGGCTATTCGTTATGGTGCACACGACATTAATCACGTTACACCTCCACTAGAATGGGTAACACGGATATAGAGGAGATATCCTTTCCTGAATGGGTGTACTAGAAATAAATTTATATTAAATCAAAACTTTTTAAAAAAAATATACATGTACATATATCATTATTAAACTTTTCTTTTCGTAGTGAAGTACTCCTCTCTTATTATGTGTACAATTTCTTCATGATATCTTCAGTTAAGGCAAGGAAAATATCAGCATGATTCTTTTCAAATACCAAAGTTGGTCTCAATCTAACTGCAAAATCACCACATCCACCCATATTAATACCATGAGCACGGCAAGAGTCCAAGAATTCTTGTCTTTCACTAGCTCCAATGAAATCCCAAGCAATAAAAGTACCAAAGTTTTCACCTCTCAAGTTCTTAACCTTGGTTGGGTATTTGGCCAAAATTTCCGATAATCCTTTATATAAGTAATCACCAACTTGAGCAGTTGCTTCAACAAGGTTGTTTTTAGAAATTTCTTGATAAATAGTTCTGGCAATCAATGCCTTGGATGGATCTCCACACCAAGTGTTGAATTGTCTGAATGGTTGATGAGGTTGTAAGTCTGGGTTTCTGAAATAGAAACCAGCGGCTTGGAATTTTTTGGAAAAGGTAACCATATCTGGAGGAGTGGTCAAATTCCAATGTTCATGGGCCCAGAATTTACCAGTGGCTGCAACCCCAGTTTGCACTTCATCCACAATCATCAAGATTTCATACTTCATAGTAAGATCTCTAAGACCTTGGAAGTAACGGGCAGATGCATGGTTATCACCACCTTCAGATTGAACCGGTTCAACAATAATGGCAGCAATTTCCTTTGGGTATGAATGGAAAATTTCTTCCAATTCAGCTAAACAACGATCTTCTTCAGCTAAGTTTTCATGTTTAAATTCATCCAATGGATATTTTAATTTTGGGAATGGTGCAACTGGCCATGGGAATGCAGGAATATCCATTTTATGGATTGCCTTGGATCTAGTGGTTGATAAAGATCCAAATAATCTACCATGGAATCCCTTTTCAAATGATAAAATGACTGCATCTGAAGCACCAGGAGTTTTATTTTGCATTACTGAGGTCAATTCTTCAGCAGTGAAATCCATTGATCCTCTTCTCTTTGCTGCTTGATACATGAAGGCAGCTTTAAAGGCGGTTTCATTGGCACAAGACCCGGAAAGTGCAGTCCATACTTTACTTAATCCAGGTGGTGCAGCTGCCAAAATCCCTTCCTTTAATACTTTCCCATAATCAGTCAGAGGGAAACAAGCCAAGGCAGGTCTATTGATCAATGCAGTGGCCATTTCGTCCAGCTTGGCGGTTTCTTTCAATGCTGGATTGTTGTATCCAAGAGCAATCGATGAAATTTGTGCATAGACATCCAATAAACGATTTCCATCAGCATCACTTAAATAGTTTCCTACGGAATTAGTATAGTCACTGACAAAATAAGCAGCTCTATTATCGAAAACTTCACCCAATTCCTCGTTAGAGGCAAGACTCTTAGGTCCTGGAATTGAATCAGTGATTAATTCTGGAGATTTTGGTTCATTTGGAAAATAAGTGGCCGCAAGAGAATAAGATCTTGTGGTTTTTAAACCTTGTCTTGCTGCGGAAACAACAGACTTTTGAAGGTTAATTCTGCTGAGCATAAGGGGCACTCTCTCTCTTGATTGGTTATGATAAGGAAAGAGAGAATATTACAAAAAAGAGTAACTACTTGAACTCTCTTTATATATTAATAATTTGATGATTATATAAATGTCGGTTTATGGAACTGGCCACCCGAGCGGAAGTGTGTATGGTGGGGCAATCCTGCAGAGACCTGTTATCGGACTGCATCTAGCGGACGTCATGCAGATCCGTGGGGTTGAAGTTTGCGGATTCGGGTTTCCTACAATATATAAATGTATAGAGAGTAGAAGGTCTACCCAGAAGTGAAGGGCGGAATATTCCGTTTAAAGAATAATTATTGGGAAAAAAAAATTGATTTCCATTATTTAGATATACAAGGAAGGTTATGATAGGATAAAGAAATTGAAGGATAAGAATGTAATGTAATTGAATGTAAAATTCTTGTGTAGATAAATGATCCACTTAGATTGATAAAGAAGATAACAGTTCAATGTGTTTATATACAAAAAAAAAATATTCTCTGCGTGTAGTGTAGTGTAGTCCCAGAATTAATAATATGATATAGATGATAATGTCTATAAATAAGTTCTATTCTCTTGTTGAAATTAAGGGGGTCATATCTTTTTTTATTACTTCTACCAATAGATTTGAATTTTCCCGCGACGAAATGAAAACAATTTGGATTGAGGAGGCGCATTCAACAAAGTTTATGTATGGTTAAATAGTTCATTTGCATATATATATATACAACGTTCAAGAATCTAATCATGGCTGAAGTTCATAATTCTGGTGGTGGTAATTCAATGAATAAACTTTTTAACAAGATTACTCGTCAACCAGACTCCTATTCAAGGAAATCCAACTTCACATTTGGTAGAACCTTGGGTGCTGGATCCTTTGGAATTGTACGTTATGCAAGAGATGTAGTTACCGATGAAGAGGTTGCAGTGAAAATCATTTTGAAAAAAGCCCTCAAGGGTAATGAAGATATGATTGTTGATGAGTTGCATTTACTTCAAAATCTTCATCATCCACATATTGTAGGGTTTAGAGATTGGTTTGAATCTAAGGATAAATTTTACATAGTGACACAATTGGCAACTGGAGGAGAATTATTTGATAGAATCATTCAACGTGGAAGATTCACTGAACATGATGCATCTTTGGTAATTGTTCAAATGTTAGAAGCAATTGAATATTTACATGGAGAAAATATTGTTCATAGAGATTTAAAACCTGAAAATATTTTATATTTAACTCCAGAACAAAATTCAAATGTTGTATTAGCAGATTTTGGTATTGCCAAAAAATTACATACACCTGACGAAAAATTAACATCATCAGCTGGATCTTTTGGTTATGCAGCTCCTGAAGTGATTTTAGGTACTGGTCATGGGTTCCCATGTGATATTTGGTCCTTGGGGGTTATTACATATACATTACTTTGTGGATATTCTCCATTTAGATCTGAAAATGTCCAAGATTTCATTTCAGAAGTGAAATATAATAATGCAGTGATTTTCCATGCTGATTATTGGAAAGATGTTTCCAAAGATGCTCGTAGATTTATAATTAAGGCATTACAATTTAGTCCAGAACATAGACCAACTGCAACTGAACTTTTAAATGATCCATGGTTAGTATCAATTGCAGCCGTTCATAAAGAAAATGATTTATTACCACAATTAAAGGAAAGATTTGATGCAAAGGGTAAATTTAGACAAGCAATTGAAATGGTTAAATTAAATAATCGAATCAAAAAATTGAAAGAAATTCAAACTGATGAAGATGATGATCCAAATGAAATTAACTTATTTGGAGAAGAAGGAGGAGTTGTTTCAAATACAGAAATTGAAAATTCACAACATAAGCCTGAACATAAGGCACCATTATTTGCATGGAAGGCATTTTCAAATGCTTTAAATAAAATTGATGATCAATCTAAGGCCTCTTTAACTGCAGGATCTCCGGTAGATGCAACTGTTAGTAGTGGGAATAGTAAAAAATCTACTCTTGCAACTAGTGCATTCGTTCAATTGGTTAATACTGCTAGAGAGAACAAGGAAAGAGTTGCCAATTACAAGGAAGACACTAAAGATGAGAAATAATAATATTAATAATAATACAAGAAGAAGAGAACTATGTCTATTTATGTAATTTAAGAACTTTATAAAGTGTAGGTAAACTAAATGGAAAATATATTGGTTCTACAAGTAAGGTCACAACGGCTAGTGGCCCACAGAGTGCTAGTGGAGCGACATGTAGACCCCATGGTGCTACCCACCAACTCTTTTCCCTAACCACAAGGGTACGAAAGACGCTCCGTTGGTAATCCGTTAGCAATTACTCTTACAAGGAGGACTTTTACAATTAGTTTCTAAGTCTTATCCTATGAGGTCACGTGTTGTGTATTTGTTATCAAATTAGTAAATTAAATTCTCAGCAGGAAAAGAATTAATCCACAGCTTAAACGAAAAGCCACAACTTTACTTAATTTCCAAATAATACACACATTTTGTATAGTATTCTCCTTGAGATACTCCTATCCGCATAATACATCAACTATATATGTTCATTTTTCCTCTATTCTTTATTATAACCATTACCAAAAAGATATTATTAGATGTTTTGTAATAGAATAAATTTTCGCCGTTTGGTCACGGATATGAATAAATCCGATGGATAAAATAAATCGTTCTATTTTGACATATGTCAGAAGTTATGTAAGCCTATATGATTTTTTAGTAAAATGAATTACAAATTATTTCTGTTTGTGTAACATATTTGTAATCTTAATAATCGAAAACTGTGATTGTGGTGGAACAACTAGAAAGGGGTAAGGCTTTAACCTAAATGTCGTGCTTTTAAGAATAATCATGAATGTATATATAAATGTAAAGATTCATCTCAATTAATCGTTAATATTTTATCTCTTATCTTTATTAAGACTTTGATCTTTTAAATATATATAACCCTCTAATCTCCCTTTCTTAATCTATTATGTCATCATCACCAAAAGTTGCAATCCTTGGATCTAATGGATTCTTAGCTAAGCCAGTTCTTGATGCCTTTACCACTACATTTAAAGAAAAGGTTGACTTCCCAATTCTTGTTATTACTCGTTCTGCAAAGGATAAAGTTTCAACTGATAAGATTAAGTATGTTGAACTTGAATTAATCGAAGAAAATTTGGAAAAATTATACAAAGCACTTGAAAGTATTGATGTTATCATTGAATTAACTCAAGTTACTCCACCAATTATTTCTATTGTTGAAAAAGTTGTATCACATGTTAAGCCAAAATTGTTTATCCCTTCCCAATTCGGAACTGAATTAGATAAGACCGAAGAATACTTACCAGGATTTTTAGGTATCAAAGATAAACATTCTGAAACAATCCGTAGTTTCGGAGTTAAATCAATCGATATCATAACCTCTTTATTTGCCACACCTGGTGCCTTTCTTTATGAAATTGTTGGAAGTGTTGGTGTTGATGCGGAAGCTAAAACTGTTCAATACAGAGGTGATCCAGACTTGAAATTCCCAGTTAGTAAATTGGAAGACATTGGTAATGTGGTTGCAGCAATTGCAACCAATCCTAATCCAACTGAACTTCCAAATAAAATTCGGATTTATTCCGATTTGGTCTCACAAAGACAAGTGGTTGAAACTTATGAAAAAAATCATAATGTTAAACTTAGTGAAAAGGAAACTATTAGCGCTGAAGAATCTTTAAAAGATGCAAAGCAAAGATATGCTAAAGGATTTTCATTTGCTGATTTCTTGTTTTATCTTCATACTATTTTAGCTCTTGGTGAAGATAAAGGTTTGGGATTTAGTAGTGATGAAAGAGAACTTATTAACCCAAAGCAAAGTTTATGGAAATGGGGTAAGTTTTGATATAATTACATAATTGAATGAATGTTGCAAGAAAGAGAGAAAAAAATAAAAAAAATAAAAAAAAATTGTAGTATCTTTCCCGCTAAGGCAATGTAGCCAAAAATTATTTTTATTGTAATTTTATATCCCGCTAATTTTGCAATCAGATGAACCACTTTCCGCGGTTATTGATTAAAAAATAAACCAAGCGGAAAAGTTTAAATTTGTGGTTCGTAAAGACTAATTCAAACAACTTGAATCCTTCTCGGATTTCCCTATGCATGGTGACATACCGTACCTTAGTTGAGAATGCGTAGAGCTTAACAAAAATAGATTACAGAAGAAATATCTAACTTTAGTATTACTGAACTATAAAATTTCTTTGCCTTCAATACCTTCCATCCCGGAAAACTTGTACATTTCTCGGATATTTGCTCTTTATCACGTCTTACATATACTAGCCGCCATTCCTGACGCCCTTCGGCTATTGCCACAGAACAGAATAAATTCCCTACCTGTAGAACCGGTTAAACATTGCGTGACGCTAGCCGTACCCCAAAAGTAATACTATTATTTTTTTTTTCTCCACTACTCTTGAGGGGTTGTGTTGAATGCCCTAGCCTCCCCCGCATACTAGCCACATCTCATTTGCCCCCTTTTGACCGTGAGAAATATTATTACACAAACATATAAAAATTTCATTAAACATTACATTGAACTCGGTTGTTCTTTCTATTTAATCAAATTTCACATTATTTTATTACTGCAAACGATCAAAAGGTAAAAATTGCTCAGAACCGTATAAAATAAAAATAATGAAATAAAGAATAAAAAAAAAAGCTAATCATGTATTCCTTCTTTGCCACAAATGTTGACGTAACCCTTAATCTTGTGAAATTATCGTGAGCCCTTACCGTGGCGAAGTACAATCAACAGTAAAAAGAAAATAAAATAAAAATAAAGGAAAAAAAATAAAAAGCTAATCATGTACTTCCTTCTGTGCCACACTGGAAGAATGTTGACGTAACCATCAATCTTGTAAAATTTATCGTGAGCCCTTACCGTGGCAAAGTAAAATCTGAACAGTAAAACTTTAAACACACTACAAAGTTAATATGTTGAGAGTTGCTTAATTCCTTTCGCTGGATTATTTATTTTAAGATTTGAACGATGAGAATCTTGGGATGAATTGCCGAGGGGCTTCTACGGGCTTTCACGTATCGGCCAGGTGTCGAAAGAATATGTTGAGCCTCTTATTAGTGCATGTACGAAGCCATTAATCCATCGTACCCCTTAACCTGTAGTATGTACTTTTTAAGCGTAATGATAGTTTTAATTATGTCATGGCAACCGCATCTTTGTACCCCCAACAACATACAATTCTAAACGAAAGTTAAATCAAGGGTCCCATTACTGCAGGTAGAAAGCAGAATGAAAGTTAATTCCGGTTATACGTATAACTGCAACGGCTAAAAAAATGCAAAATTTAAAGCAAGGTATGGTTTTGAGAGCTTGGACCAACGTAACGCATGGTTTTGAGAGCTTGGATCAACATGTAGAGTAACGCATGGTTTTGAGAGCTTGGACCAAAATTCGGTTAACTTATCATCCATTCGGAGAATCTTATCGATATCAATTCAACGCTGAATCCAGAATCTTTTCAAATGATTTTCAATCTGCTAAGTTGTATCACTTCTTTCACTACGAATTTCCTCCATCTACCTCTTCCAGATGAACTCAATCCAGTTTCTTCGTCATATATTTTCTTTCACTACAAATTATCTCCAACTACCTCTCTTCCAGATGATCTCAATGATATCTCTTCCTTGTCGTCATTTCTTCATTGTATCAATCTCTTAATCTACAATATAATTAAAGTTGTAAAAATTATTATTAAAGAATCTCTCTATACACAATAAGATCCTAAAAGTTCATCAAAGTCCCAAATTGACAATTTGTGGGTTTTCATCAGAATAGCCAGCATTCCAATGAGTTTTAAACATAGAAGAAGGGTCTACCACTTCATTGTTGGTTCCATCATAGAAATTGAAATCAGAGCCAAGTACAGGCGCATTCACAGTATTCATAGGAAATGTAGTATCCAATGTACTAAATGCATCCATGCTTGCAAGAGATGAAGAATTTGTAAGCGATGATGGGCCATCAAAATCAAACTCTGGTGCAAAGAGATTTTGTGTTGGTGGGGCCATAGTTGGAAGAAAGGTAGCAGCACCAGTAGAGTCATATGGACTCATATTTGGCTCTGAAGTACCGCGTTGGTCAGCATTATTGAAATACATGTTCAACATGTTATTGTCAAGAATGTCTTCAAATTCCAAGGAAGAGGTCCCTTCAGTTTCTGATGAGTATGTGGTGGTGGTTGGCTTAGCAATGTTGTTATTGTTGTTGTTGTTGTAGGTAATGTCAAATTCATTCTTGATTGGAACTTGGAAACCAAGGTCCAATGGATCGGTGGCAGTAGGAGGTTGAGTATTATTAAACGATTGTTGGTTGAATAAAATGGCAGCTAGTGGTGGTTGTTGTTGCTTGATAGAAGTAGGACCCCTCTTGGAAGGAGGCATCATTGGGGAATCAAAATCATTATCCAGTCTCAGTCTCTTGTTATTGGTTAAAGAAACTTCAGCTGGGGTGGATGGATGTGAAGTGGCAGAGTCTTGTGATACGGGAGTTTCGTATGCAGAGCTCAAGGTGCTGGAATAACCAGTTTCATTCTTTTCTTGGGCATGCTTGAGAAATTCAGCACACTTGTCACCGTAAGTCTTGGGAGTATAACTAGTGACAGACTTAAACACTCTATGAAAGTGCCAAGCAGATAATTTGGATTTGGCAGCAAGTTCTTTGAATCCCAAAACACCACCTCTTCTTCTTCTCTTCTTCCCTGGAGATGATCCACCAGTAGCAGCACTGGTATCCTCAGGAGAGGCTGTACTCATCTTTGGATACTTCAGCAGATATACATTCACAGCAGCGGCAAGTGCCAAGTGACGACAAGCTAAATCAACCAATCTATAGTGATCAGAGTCATTCTTGGAAAGCGAAGCATTTTCAAAATCCTTCGAATATTTACCCTCAAAATTCACCACTGGAACAGAGGCACGTCTACCAGCAGCCTTACTAACCACTTGTGGTGGTTGTTGTTGTTTTGGAGCCTTTCTTGACCCTAAAATGTTCTCCTTAATTCTTTCATTATTCTTATCCTCATTTTCATCCATGAGGGGTGACATAAATCCAATCTTCTTGTTGACAGAAGTGACACAATGAATCAAAAGATTAGTGTCAATAGAAGGAGGGTTCATGGGGTCACAAGATGAGCAAGGAGAGTAACCATAAGCAAGAGCAGTTGAAGCTTGGTCAACAAACTTAATCTCCGCCTTGAGGTTGGTAATTCTTCTACCATCACAATCAGGACGACAGAAAGTTTGAGAAATCTTATTGCAAACAATAAAGGCCCCAGCAGCAAAGGGGTCTGAAAATTGATAAGCTTTCCACTTTGCGTTGTCAGTAGAATAAGGCATCACTATGAATTGTATTTACGAGTTCAGGACAAGTCAAAGGGGGATGACTGGTATAAAAGGGACAATTAAATCGAACCAACAATTATTGGAAGTACTAGGACTAAGCGAATAAATTGTATTTCCTAAACAGGTTAATGGATAAGGTACAAGAAACAGTTTTTATGAAAAGGATAGACATTGGTATACTTATATATATTTCTCATTACCCATTGATGATGCCGAGGAACCCCGTCTCCTGCATCAGTGACCGGGGTTCCGTGCGTCGGGAAGAGACTATGCATGCACGGTTACAAACCCTTGCATCATGCGGCCTGCATATCTTCAAATATGTAGGCGCCAATACCAAATATGCATGAAACCTTCTTGATTACCTGCATTGCATTCGGGTTTTCTTGCCTTCTATCGATGACATTTGTGGATGGCCCGCCATATGCACGTGGATAGTACGGTGAGTGAGTATCCTTAACGGATAAAACTACTACAATAAGCTTAGAGATGATATCATCAAGAGAACACTCCTCTTGACAAATAAAAACGAAGAAAAAAAGAAATGTTCTAGCGATTTTCATTTTGTGGTATGCAAAATGTGTGCATTTCCAATTGTAGTAGTTGGGCAAAAAAAATCAGTTGGCCATTTCCATACCCTTCATTGTATTAATCTACAGGGTTTACCAATATCCAATGAAATTTGAATTTTTTCAAGGAAATACTTATGAATAATAATTCAATCCCTTCTTTAACTTGCACAACCCCCGTCTCAATTCGCCAAATATATTATTACCCAAAATCATTGATCATTCATGATGCAGAGGTAGACGTATAATGATGTCCACGGACTTGACATTTGGGAAAACCTCTTACATATGTCTGCGGAGAACAAGAAATATCATTCGGGTATTGTGGTGGTGGCGAGTAAAACAGAGAATCACCCTTGGTACAGCGCAATGTCTAACTTTGCAGTATTCTCGAATCTATTAGTTCTACTTTGCATATATGTGCAGCGGAGTACCGATCTTTGGAACATTCTTGTCGAAAGGGGCCCAAGCGGAGTTATTACAGCGATCGCTTTAAAACCAAGGCGGGCATCGACGTGGTAAACATGGGAGAGGTCTATCAACACCTACATAGTCTTGCATGCACCATCTTGGACTATTAATAGTTGGGAGATGAGGGATAATACTATTTTGTGAAATGTGTGAACTTTCCTTTCTTTCGAGCTCTGGCGTAAAGCCGTTTATCCTTTAGTACATGTCCATTGACGTAAAGCCATGAGAACTGTTTAATAATAAAAAGTGTACAAACACGTAGTTGTATGTAAGTATGCATGCAGTATGCCACTATAATGACCTGCACGCTGTGTGTGGTGCGGCAAGTTACACATTCAAATAGTTCTAAATGTGAATAAAATGCCTAGACATGCATCTGCATGTACGGAGTAGTCTGAGAACATTCATAAGGGTCCCCCACGCAATGGCATTGAACTCGTAGTTTTTGAACTAAGGCAAGGAGAGTTCTAGAGTGGTGTGGTTTTTTTTTTGTTTGACTTTTTTCCTCTTGTACGAACGATATATTCAACTTTTTTTTTGATAAATGAGAATAATCCTCTGTATACACTCCCAGTGGAAATATTTTGTGTAAATATATATCCAATTTATTAAATGCTACATTACGTATACGATTATGGAAAAGAAAGTAGGTAGTGTAAAAGTTACATATGTGACTACCTACATCTTGACGCCTAAGGAAGATCCAATACCTTTGGCTTCATGTGAAATTTGGGGGACCAAATACCAAATATGACAAAAATCAAAAAAAATAAAAACAATTTAATACTTTTTTTGAAAGTCATCAAATGACATCACTGGTCGTGTGGGCCCAAAATGTCTATGACATCAACCTAAAATTAACATTCTGGCGATCGATTTTCCACACTCAATCCGGCTGGTCCCTCCCAATGTGGCGAAGTACATCGAGGGGTGTAGCCAAGTGCATAATACATTCTTTGGGGCATGTGTGCAGGTACATGTGGCCGCGGCTCTTTACATCTTAAACTTCTTCTTCACGGTTAAATTACTTTATTTTTTATGGAAAATCCCAGTCGCCCGAGTAATGAGGTTTCATTACATCATGATCACTCTTTTCAATTGAAGGGATGGAGGTTCATTTTGAATTTATTTTCCAACCTTGTGTAACAGTGGCATCCCCTCTGCATCTATGTACGATCAGCACGGTGTACTCCATCGGATTTCCGTGGCATGTACAAAGTACCCGCCTTCCTGGCCCAAACACCTCCCCCCCAACTTTATGCTCCCCTTCCCGCCTCAGTGTATTTTATTTTTGTTTTTGAACCTCTTGCACGCCACATTCAGATCCCAAATTAGGGGGCAATTGAGAGAGCCAAACATTTAAGGAAAAACATCTTTCCTACAGGACAGATCTCTCTTGCACTCGCCTCATTTAAATCTAGTCATTTCAAAGTAAGACATTTTGAAATTTAATTTGTTTGTTTTTTCCGGGAACACTCGCCCCCCCTTCCTCTAAATTTTTTTTTGGAATTGATCCTTTTTTTTAATAAATTTGAGGAAATCTCACGTGTTACAATAAATCTTGATATTCGGAAATTTTATGATTTCTCCACCAATTATGTAAGATGGCGGTTGGAGCTTATATAAGCTGTAATCATAAAAACAAGATTATATAAGCTAAGCAGGATAGTTAGTTGTAGTAGTTAACATCTACTAATCTCAAATGATTTATCATTGATAATATATTTTACAACCAAATTCCGAATATTCAAAATATCTTTTATTATCGTTGATTGTACGTATTATAATTGTTATGTCTGATTCTTCCCCTCTATACGCGAGACATGCGGGACATCATCATACAATCAATGTTAAGTATGGATATTTTATACTTTTATTATCGGCAATTCATGCGGGTATAATCTTTACTCTGATGTATATATATGTTAAGAATTGGAATAAAACTGGTTCTGTCAAGCGGGTTTCCTGGTTACTGCTGCTGCTGATCTTACCCTTGCTTGCCACAGTAATTCTTTGGGCTCTTATCCTTACCGGGACTTCCGTATGGGCCATAGATTGGAAAGATAATTATACCGTTTTCATTAAAAGAACTGGTAGACTTTGTGTCGCATTGATTCCATTTGATATGTTTTTAGTAATTAGATCAAGTGGTTATTCATCTTCACCAACTTCAGGTCAATTCTTTAATTATTTGGCTCATATAAATCTACATAAATGGATTTCAAGATTAATTATTTTATTTTCATCAATTCATTCAATTGGATTTATTTGGAAATGGATTCATGAAGGAGTTCTTTATGATAAGATTTTTATCCTTTTAAATTCATTAGGTGTTATTGTATGGATCACATCTTTGATTCTAATTATTATTTCTTTAAAATATTTTAGATCAAGATATTATCGGTATTTTTACCTTTGGCATAATATTACAGTATGGGGCTTTGTTGTTTTAATTGGATTCCATGCCCGTCCTGGAATTTCATTATATTCATTTTTATGTATAATGATCCTTTTCTTACAAATTTATTTAAGATTTTCTCAACAAACTACCCTTGAAGAAGTCCAAATTGTTAAACCAAATTCTAATAGTGGACTTTATGTGGTTAGAATTAATAAATTATATGTTCCACCTTGGTCTCCAGGATCTCATATAAGAATATCTGAATCTAATTCATTCAAACAATATTTATATCCTAGTCATCCTTATACAATTGCATCAACAATTGATGATTCCACCTTAGATTTGGTGGTAAGAACTAGTAAAAGATTTCAATTCCATCAAGGAGTGAAATATAATCTTTCTGGTCCATATACTTCTCTTCCAGATCCATTTTTCTCCACTGCTGAACAAGTGGTAATTATTTGTGGAGGATCTGGAATTTCATTTGGATTACCCTTAATTAAAGGTTTAACTCTTAATTCTAATGCTAAAGTTGATTTATTTTGGTGTATTAGAACTATTGGAGATTTAGAAATTTTGAAAATTTTACAAGTAAATGAAAATATTAATGTTTATATTACAGGAGTTGAAAATGATATATATACAGAAGGAGGAGATGAAGATACTGTTTCTGAAGGATTATTGAATAATCTGGAACAAACTGATCATTCAACAAGTTTTGAATTGGATTCATTGGAATCAGAAGAAGAACAAATTAATAATGCTAATAAATTTAATCCTTCAACTATCATAAATAGAGGAAGACCTGATTTTAATATGATTTTCTCTTCATTAATTGAAGGAGAATCTAAAAATAATAAATGGATAGTTGCATGTGGTCCAAGAGGATTGGTTCATGATGCAAGAAAATGGAGTGATCAAAACAAGGTTCCTTTTATTTCCGAAGTTTATGAGATGTAAAACGGGAGAAAATTGGAGTTCAAAAAACAAAAAGTGAAAAAAATGGAAATGGGAACGGTAAATTAAATGGCATGATATATAATTAATGTGATATTTAATGTTAATTTTTGGATTGTAGAGAAAGTTATAGAAATAGGCATATAAAGTAAATAGATTGTATTTATTATACTAGTGGTTGTTTAGGAGATAACCAAATGTACTGCACGTGACTTTCACATCACAATGGCATCGATTTATGGATAATTTTACAATAAAACAATCATGATTACTGATAATATTACATGATACCATGTCTGTTGTGAACTATGATGAACATAAGGAATGTTCACCGTTGGTAACATCACCTGTAGAACAATCACAGTTTAAATTTCGAGACCTTTCCCAATTAAATGATCCATTAAATGCTTATAAACTGCCCTTATCAGTAATTGGACATATTGATCTTAATGCATTTTTCGCTCAAGTAGAACAGGTTAGATTACAACTTACATCTGAAGATCCTGTAGTATGTGTTCAGTGGTCTTCACTCATTGCAGTCTCATATGCAGCTAGAAAATATGGGATTGGGAGAATGGATAATGTATCCACCGCAAGACAGAAATGTCCTGACGTAATCCTTGCACATGCAGCAGTTTTCAAAAAGGGAGAAAAGCATTGGGCATATGTACCTGGACTCCCATCACAATTCACTCATAAGGTCCTGCTTGATCCATACCGTAGAGAAGGAAGGAAAATCATAAAGATATTCAAACAAAATTGTGATATGGTTGAAAAGGCAAGTGTAGATGAATCTTATATGGATTTTGGTAGATTAGTTTATTTTAAATTGATGGAATTATTCCCCAATGAATTATCAGGAATTAACCATCGATTGAATGAAACAATGCCATCAATACCAACCATATTACCCAAGGAATTACAATGGGTGGGGGAAATCGTCAATAATGATGAGGAAGAGAAATTAAATGAACATGATAATTTAGTCAAGGGTGGCAATGATGTAGAAGGTTATATAATTAAAGATTGGGATGATATTTGTATGTTAATTGGATCGAAAATCATTTTCGATATAAGAATGGAAGTATATAAAATCTTGGGGTATACTACATCCGGTGGGGTTGGACGTAATAAAGTACTTTCTAAATTAGCTGGTGGATTGTTTAAGCCCGATAATCAAGCAATAGTTAGAAACCTGCTGATCAATAGATTCTTAAATCAATTTCAATTGGTTGATATCACCGGGATGGGGGGTAAAATTGGAGATTATATTCTGCAAAAATTAGAAGTACCTACATCAAGAGATGTAAGTTCAATTACTTTTATTAGAGAAAATTATTCAAATTTAAGAGATATTGAAAATGGTTTGAATAATGATTTACAATTGAGTAAAAAAGTATGGGATTTAATTCATGGAGATTATGCAAATGAATTAACGCTTAAAATCGAATTGAAGTCTATGATGTCTCGTAAAAATTTCCCTGGTAAACCTGTGACTACCTGGAAAGACGCAAATGATTGGATAATGGTATTTGCAGGAGACTTGTACAATCGTATGATTGAACTAGACGATGAGAGTATGAATATATCCATGCTGCAGGAAAATAAAGAGAAGCCTAATATACGAAGACCGAAAACAATAAGTCTTCAATATGGAACTGCAGAATATCATACGCACTCCAAACAGGCAACAATAGGAGTATGCCGAGACTTGGAAAAATTAAGAGATAATATTGAAATGATGGCAAAACGATTATTACAGGATTTATTGGATACATTCCAAGGGATGAAAGATTTAAACGATGGAATTAAATTAAAGGATGCAATAGAAATGGGGAAAATAGGATTAAAGATTCTTCCATGTACTTCAATGTCACTTACAATATCAAATTTCTCTAAAACTAGTCAAACAAGTTTAATTGACACTTTTTTATCCAAAGAATCAGGCCATGTGGCGAAGGAAAACAATACTGCACCACCGTCCTCGCCACAGGGCCTGTACAAAGAGTCCACTGAAAAACGAGGAATGTTGATGTATGCAGATGAGACTTTAAATAACTGTACAGGTCTAGGCTCGCGTAAAGTTGACCTACCCCAAGCACCTACAAATAATTCAGGGAAGGAAATCGCGGAGAAAGATAAGGAGTATATTAATTCATTATTCAAGGAATTCAATTCAGACAATGTACACAATGAGTCTCAAACAACCGATTCTATATCATCGTCGTCAACGAAAAAGACATTGTTTACAAAGAAAAATGGTGGAGGTAAGGGAATTGTTGATCAATTGAATCTAGCGGGTAAAAAGAAAAGTGTGGCCGCGAATGGGAACGGGAGTCCGCTCGGAAGTACTCCTCTTGGCAATAAAAATCAGAGTAATATTATTAATGATCTACAAGAATCATCAATGCATTCCAACCTTAATTCTGAAATCCCATCGGATTTAATGGCGACCGGGAAATGTTCTAGATGTGGGATATCTACCAATGATCCAATTGAACATCATGACTTTCATCTAGCTATGGATTTGTCAATGCGGTTGAATGGAAATATCGATCCTACTTCTCAAAATACTAACTTTAACAAACCATTAAAGTCCAATAAAGTAAAACGTCGTAAACCCGATAAGGGTCAAACAAAGTTACCATTTTAAAAGATTATCTCTAAAGAGAAAAGTATAACTGTTAAACAGTTTAAACTATGATACTCGCCACAGACACATACGAGCAAAAACTGAGGGTGTACTGTTGTTGTCTGTGTGCCGGAATGGGCGTGCACGTCCGATTAGCCTTTTGCGATTGAGTTTGTCAAGGCGGGACTGGTATTTAATACTACTAAAGTAAAAATTAAACGATTAAACAACCACTGGCAAATATGAGTGATAGTCCAGAGAGATCTCTCCCCTTTGCGGACGCCGCGACTATAGGTATGTATTGAACTTGAGATTGTTTGCCAGGTTGATGGGCCATTATTTTTATTGTTTGCGATTTTTATTTTTTTTGGTCAACCTAGAGGTGTGGGGTAACCCTTTAAGTCATTTTTTTTCCCTTGAATTTTAGTATTAACAAGCTATAGTTAGGGCGCATCAGAAGGATGCATACTTTGAAACGTCATTCCAAACACAACTTCAGGAAGTCTTGCATATATTCAAAGGATCAAGATTTGTAAATACACATCCGGAAGAAATCACCGTTGCCTCGAAGGCCATTTACTTGGCATTGACCACTCTTATAGGGGCTAGAACCTTGGGTGAAGAGTATGTGGACCTTATATATGTCAACCGGAAAGGTAATCGGTTCCCACGACTCTTGGGCCGGTTGGGATTCCTACTTTCGTATGCAGTTCTTCCATATCTTGTGACGAGGTTCATCCGAAGAATCCGTCCAAATGTTGGAGAGGAACAACACGAACAACAAGATAAATTAAGTACTTGGGGTAAACTTACAAACTTTTTAACGTCATACCCTAAAGTATTGGATACTCTTTTAAACTTACATATAGCCATTTTTTATTTCCAGGGAGAATTTTATTCATTATCGAAAAGAATATTTGGTTTAAGGTATGCCTTTGGACATAATAAGGACAGAGCAAAGTTACAATCTGCTACTGGTAACTATTCATTCCTTGGGGCATTGATTTTACTTCAATTTATGGTAAAATCATTATTTAAATTCAAAAGTTATACTGATGAAAAGAAACGAACTAAGAAGGAGAAGGAACTACAATTGAAGGGGGAAGGTAAAGAAAATGAAGTAATTGATAGAACGAAAATCTCTGAAATTCAAACTTTAGATAAATTTAATCAAGAATTAACTTCCAGTTCAAAAAAGCTGTTGGTTACTTCTGCCGTGATTGATTTAACAAATAGTGAAGAATTACCATATCTCCCTGAAAATTCAAGGTCTTGTATGTTGTGTTTATCACCCATGGTGAATCCTTCTGCAGCTGTGTGTGGGCATCTTTTCTGTTGGGAATGTATTGTTGATTGGGTTAGGGAACATCCAGAATGCCCATTATGTCGTCAACAATGTTTGGAACAGAATTTATTACCGTTACGCTAAATAAGAAAAAAATATATTGCTTCTTTGAACTGCCAATTCTATGGCATGAAAGAAGTTGATTATATAAGATGATATGAATCTTCAGAAGATGTATAAGGTAACTTTTTGAAGGTACTAATTAATAGAGTATTATCTGGAGATCTTTATATTTTATTAGTCGAGTGGATAGGTTATATCAATAATGATGACATGAAATACTGGAGAGTGTAGAAGGAAATCAGGGAGTGTGATAATAATACTTTCTAGGATAATCAAAGATAACTATAAAAGATCTAAGTTAAGCCATAAATGATCTTGAGTAGTACAATAAATAAGAATAAATGAGATCTGAGAAGATTTCATTTTTTTTTTCATATCTATTTGAATTTTGTTTCTCAGTCTACAATAATCTTCATTAACTCTTCATAAACTTAAATACCTGAAATACTCACATATATAATCATTATTAAAAGCACTTCAAAGACTTTTGCAACAAAGAATACCCAAATATAGCTTTTGTGTAATTTGGTGGCACACGAATATTGTTGACATTTTTAAATAGTTCGCGATATAAACGGTTAAAATCTCAACATACAAGAGAATCAATTCTAATATCTAGGCTTAAATAGTATGAGTGGTAAAGAATTCAGCTTGCCCTACTCCATGGGCGAGCAGGAGCTTGAAGAGGGGCTTGTCAAAGACATAGGAGAGAAGTCGAGTACGATGCGTGCATCCAAAAAAGCCAACGCTGCGTACGGCCACGATTCAGGAGATGCGTATTCAAATACTTTTAAACCACATCAACATCAATCATTGGTGCTGAGAACTAAGGCCAACTTGAACTCTGCATGGAGAGAAGTGCAGGAGTACGTTGCCGAACACAAGAGAATTCTGGTGGCGATTCTTGCATTGTTGTTTTTATCATTGTTCACTTCTGCTCCATTGATACCTCATATTCAATTAAGTGATCCTAAAGTTGTTATTATTTTGGCAGCAAATGAAGGAGGTGGAGTATTGAAATGGAAGGGTCCACAAGAATGGTCGGTGGAAAGATCGTCCATTGCCAACAAGAAACAATATGCCAAGAGACATGGATATGGACTTACAATAAAGGATATGACCATTAAAAAGAGATATTCACATGAATGGAGAGAATCATGGGAAAAGGTAGATATCATGAAACAAACCATGAGACAATACCCAAACTCCGAATGGTTCTGGTGGCTTGATTTGCATACATATATCATGGAACCACAACTTTCCTTGGAAGAACATTTCTTGGATCATTTAGAGAATGCCACTTATAGAACTTTGGAGACTTTCAACCCGTTAAACCTCCCGGTTGATATCCCATATACTGATTATAGTAGTCCAATTGATATGGTGATCACTCAGGATTGTGGAGGATTCAATTTAGGGTCCTTTTTAATGAGAAGATCATCATGGTCAGAAATGCTTTTAGATGTATGGTGGGATCCTGCATTGTACGAACAAATGCATATGCAGTGGGAACATAAGGAACAAGATGCATTGGAAACTTTATTTACCACACAACCTTGGATTAGAGAAAGAATTGGGTTTTTACCATTGCGTACCATCAATGCATTCCCACCAGGAGCATGTTCTGATAAGGCAGATGATCCTCAATATTTCTTCAAAAACAATGATTTCGTTATAAATATGGCTGGTTGTGAATGGGGTAGAGATTGTTGGGGAGAAATGGAGCATTATAAAGCTTTGTCTAAGAAATTACATCGTAAATGGTGGCATTTCTGGTAGTATTTACATAGTTCTTTTTAAAGTAAATAAAAAAAAGTAAAAAAAGAAGAAGAAGAAGAATCAAGAGAAGTGATGAGGGATTGTAGACTTCTTATTAAAGAATATGAACATTAGTGGGAGTGAGGTGGATTATATTATTATGCTAGGTAGTAGTATACACACATTTTACAATATTTATCGGGTAGTGTCCCGCCCAAGTGTTTTTCGGGGTTTCCAAATTTTGAGGTTTTGGGACTTTTTGCGTTTTAAGAGTTCAAGATAATAACACAAGTCGTAGTAGGAATCCAAAGGGTAGTATGAACGATAACTTCTGGTTCAATGACAACGCGTTCCAGGGAAGCAATTCCGGGCCCAGCAACAATGCTGGGGGTTCCAATGATGATGATTTCATAAACAATTTCTTTGACCGCGCCACGCCTAACCAAGGTCAAAATACTCAGAATTCACAGAATCAACAGTTTCAACAATTACTGCAGCCTATGGCACAGCAATTCCAGACCATACCGCAAGATGAAGGCTTAGATCTTCCCGGGCAGAACATCAATCCACAGATGTTTATGAGACAATCGCAACAGCAAGTTCCTCAACAACATCATCAACAACAACATCAACAACATCAACAACACCAACAACTTCATCAGCAGCAAGTTCCACAACAACAGGTTCCACAACAACAGGTTCCACAACAACAGGTTCCACAACAACAGGTTCCACAACAAGCACAACACCAGCTCCAACACCAGCAGCAGAGTCTACAAAACAGCCAAATTGGGAATGAAATGAATACCATGCAGCTGGACCAAGCTAAACGTGACCAACTCATGAAAATGAGACAACAGATTATGCACCAACAGATGCTTCAGGCTCAGAAACAAAAGCAGCAACTTCAACAGCAGTCTAGTCCACATCCAATGAACCTGCAGATGCAATCTAATGGAGGTAGCATGATGAACATGGGTCAGATGAATCATTCTCAGGCAGCACAAGTTTCCCAGGCTCAGGCTCATGCTCAAGCTCAGGCTCAGGCTCAGGCTCATGCTCAAGCTCAGGCTCAGGCTCAGGCTCAGGCTCAGGCCCAGGCTCATGCTCAGGCTCAAGCTCAGGCTCAAGCTCAGGCTCAGGCTCAGGCTCAGGCTCAAGCTCAGGCTCAGGCTCAGGCTCAGGCTCAGGCTCAGGCTCAGGCTCAGGCTCAGGCTCAAGCTCAGGCTCAGGCTCAAGCTCAAGCTCAGGCTCAGCAACATGCACAAGCTCAGGCGCAAGCTCAAGCTCAGGCTCAGCAACTTGCACAAGCTCAGGCGCAAGCTCAAGCTCAAGCTCAGCAACTTGCACAAGCTAGATCTCAAACAGCCCTTCGACTCAAAAATATGGAGAGACATGATTCTGTTGGTGGGACTTCAAGGACATCCTCAAAATCAACACCTGTTATTTCAAACAAGCAACAACCACCGGCCTCGTATTCTGGGAGTCCACACACTGCCACGCCACAACAAATGCAACATTCTCCATCTCAAGGGAGTTATGTTGGAACCCCGAATAGTGCTATAATTCCTCCAGGAAAAATTGGTGGTGCCCCTACCCCTAGCCAGTCTGTTGGTGGAGCTGGTGGTAATCCTGTTGGGTCTGCCCCACAGCAACAAATAGCACAGCTTCAAATGGAACTATTCCTTTCTACACTCTATGATTTCATGGCTCGTAGAGGAACTCCAATTTCGCAAACTCCGGTGGTTAATAACAAAAAGGTAAACCTTTTCTTTCTCTATTTATTATGCCAAAAGTTAGGTGGGTCCCAACAACTTCTCAAGAGTGTTCAAAACCCACATCAATCATCTCCCTGGACTCTTATTTGTCAAAAGTTGGGGCTTTTTGAGAATGTAGATATTCAACTGGATCTTCCTACAAAAACACGTATTGAAAGAGAAATCAGTACATGCTTCGTACAGACCTTACATCCATATGAGCAGTACTTCTCTACGCCGGAGGGTCAAAAAGATATTCAGCAAAGAAGACAGCATTTCCAAAAGCAGATTGTAATGAAGGTTCAACAGCAGCAGCAACAGCAGCAGCAGCAACAACAACAGTCACAACAACAGTCACAACAACAGTCACAACAACAGCCACAACAACAGTCACAATATGCCCCACAACAACAGCAGCAGCAACAACAACAACAACAACAGCAACAACAGCAACAACAGCAACAACAGCAACTTCAACAACAACTTCAACAACAACAACTTCAACAACAACAACTTCAACAACAACAACTTCAACAGCAACAGCAGCAGCAGCAACAGCAACAGCAGCAACTTCAACAGCAGCAACAAGGGCCTTCGACGTTCAAGAATGATTTTTCTAACAGAAATTCCCCCCAAGTTACTACACAATCGCCAGCACCTAGTACATTTATCAACACTGCGCCAACACCAGGAGTTTTCCAACCTGTGGCTGCGCAACAAAGTCCTGGTTTGAGTCTGGCACCTACCCCTCAACAAAGAAAGTTGTCCCGCTTCAGCAATGCATCGAACCATAATTCCCCTGTCGCTACGCAACAGACTCAGTTACAGCAATCTCGAGCTGGAAGTTTTGGGCAACAAACTCCTATGGGTTCTTTCCCAGAGAATGCAGAAATTCAGCAACCAATGTCAAAAGTTGCATCTCCACAAGTTGCTGTAAAAGAACCTAACGCAATCAAAAGTTATTTGCCATTGCGCAGAACCTTGGAGACTCATGGAGGGCATGATATTAGGGCGTTGTCTTCTGTTGCTGGCGAAATTGAAATCACAAAGCCTGTATATCTTTTTGCCCCAGAACTTGGTTCGGTAAACATTCATGGTTTAATTATGTCGTTGAAAGGGTATACCGGAAGTAACAATGGAGAAGTTTCAAGTGCCTTGAATACTTTACTTGTTACTTCATCGGATGCTAATTTATCATTCAAAATTTCGGACTGCCCGGAATTACTTGATTCGTTATCTACTTTAGGATTGAAAGTGCTTGATAATATAATTGAAAATAACTCTAAAAGTATTGTTGAAGAGAAGGTAAAATATGAAGATACTGACAAGTTAACTACAAATTCTCGTATTGAGGATATTTTCAAAAGATATGTTGATAAGAATGAGGATGCTGAAGATGATGGTCTTATTGATGAAGACGTTGTATTTGTGGTTGATTCTCTTACTGGGGAAGTTGTAGTTGGCAGTGATGAAGAAGAATCGGATGATTCTGACGTTGAAATGGATGAAATATTCCTGCCATCAAAGGCACAGGATGGAAGTTCTACTGTTGAAGACGTGACTGAACCATCTGTTAATATTACTGACTATATGACTACCTTACTTGAATTCAGAAATGAAAACAAGTATCATTTCAGTAAGATCCAAACCAAGAGTGCTAAAGATGATGAGATTATGTTGGTCGATCAATTGATAACAATAACGATGATTTTAAGGAACATATCATTTGCTGATTCCAATAAAACTGACATGGCTGCCAATGACAGGTTTAAAGATTTGCTCTTTGCTGTAGTCAAGGCTGTTGCAACATTCCCCGATAAATTCATTTTTAGTAGAAAGAGGTTATGTTTATTGAAGGATTGTTTATTAATCTTAGATAAAATTGCTTTCAGTATGGAACTTCGGTCTTTAGAAGAAGCATTTTTGGCATTTTTATTGACTACTTCATTTGGGCCCAAGATTGAGGAAGATGGTTCAATTCCATATGGTAATTTGGAAGTTTATTCTTACTTGTCATTTGGTATTGATGCTTTGACAAAGTTGCTTGTTAGAGCGCCTCATAATAGATCTTTACTTCAAGCAGTCTTGAATGGTTCATTAAATATCAATTCTTCGTCTTTTGGTGCATCTATTCAGGTTTCTACCGAAGATCAAGAACAAACTGCTCAATTGATCAAGTCATATTTCAAAGGAGATGAACAAGCATTTAAATCAGGGAAACTTTTAACTAGATGTTTCCAATTTTTCCTTTCCGTTATTCCATTCCAACATACCACATTTGAATTCTCGAAATTCCTCCTTATAAGAGCCCCAACTGTGTCACAAGCACTCTTTGGTGTAAAGCTTATCATAGATATGATTCCAGTTGAAGAAGTTTCTTCGGCAGCAAGATTACTTCCTACTCAATGGTTACTTGCTAATCAGGAAGTTCTCTTATCTAATTTACTTCGAGTCTGTTTAAATTTGGTCACTGATACTACTAAGCTTAACAGACATAGTCATGAACATAATATCATATCTTTGGTTATTTTGAAATCATTGGTGGTGATTAATTCTTTACTTGGATCTGCCTTGGTATATAAGCAACAATCAGATTCTGATCCTACTTTAATTGAACTGATTGAAACAATTTGTGAGATTGCTAGAATTACTCCGGAAAAGGAATTGGCCATGGAGGCGTTACTTAATCCGGCAATCGACCCTGATGTTGGAAAGGAAGTTGTTAGATTACTAGGAGTTATAAAGGGATTGGCTGGTGAAGATGAGGTTGAAGAAGTTTATGATCAAGAAAAGTCTAAAGAACAAACAAAAGAAACCTTGACAGAGGAACAATCAATGGAAAGTATTACAGAAAATAAAAATGTCCCAGATGATTCAACTAAACTGCCTGGGATTGAAAACATTCCCACTGATCAATCTGTTCCACCTAAAGATGAAATAAATTTAGAAGTGTCAAAACTGGCAATAGAATCCGATGTAAAAGAGCTGAATGAGACTGGATCTCAACCGCCATCTACAACACAAGTCGAATCTGTGCAAGAAGATATCGGAAGCGGAATATTACCAATGGAGACTGATTAATTTTAATTAATTTTTGTCTATTTTTTTCTATGTATATTAAATAAATGATAAAGTTACCAAGATAAGTAAATTGGTGGGGTGTTTCGGAGTAATTAGTTACACATTTACAAATTTTAACAAGACTTGGCTGATATTATCAAATGAAAGAGTAAGAAATTAACGCTTTTAGGATGAATATGTAATAAATTTTGAGCTTTTGCAACAAGCAGGAAAATATGACTTTGTTCAAATAAAATTCCAGTACGGAATTTACAATAAGTGAAAAACTGTAAAAAAACCCTTAACTTGTTATCTACGAAATACAATACCAGAAATTCTTTCCGAACCGAAGGTAGATCAGGACTAAATTAGGAGATAAATTCAATACAGTGAGGGTCGTGTTTGTGCCAAGATGGGACAAAGATAATAAAAAAAAGAGGATTGGGGTTCCCGTTTAGGAAGTGAGATCCTACATGAATTTAGATAAGAAACAGTTGCAAATAAAATTAGGTGATATATAATAATAGCCGAATTGCTGCTCAAACATAACTTTGAATTCATAAGAATCATCGATATAAATACTAACTTTATATTACTACCTTATTAATACTTATTGTTTAACAAATCACTTTCTTAAAAATGGCCACTGCTGTTGCTCCTGCTCCTGTTATCTCTGCTCCACCAAAGGATAACCCAGAGGACAAGCTTCTTCCAGGTGAACACACCCTTCCTGCTAGTTGGTGGACATCTGAAAAAGTTTTCGAACTTGAAAAAAGATCTATTTTCAACAAGTCATGGATGTTCTGTACTCACTCTTCCCGTTTTGCAAAGGCTGGTGATTATTTCTCCTACACTGTTTGTGGAATTAACTTTTTTATTATCAAATCCAAGGTTGACGGGCAACTCAAGGCTTTCCATAACGTTTGTCGTCACAGAGCCTTTCCAGTTGTTAGAAAGGAACAGGGATCTTCCACCATTTTAGGATGTAAGTACCACGGGTGGTCTTACAATTCTGATGGTGTCTTGACCAAGGCTCCACAATTTGAACAAGTTGAAGGTTTTAAGAAGGAAGAAAACTCTTTATTCCCAATTAAGACCCATACCACTGACCAAGGTTTAGTCTTTGTTAACTTTTCTCAAGAAGAAGATGTCATTCCATTTTCTACTTGGTTTCAAGGTATTGAAAAGGATTTCAGTGAATATGACTTTGATGACTATGAATACAACATGTCTTATGAACTTAATGGTAAATTCAACTGGAAAACTTTGATGGACGGTTACCAAGAATGTTACCATTGTCCAACTGCTCATCCAGGATTATCCAATGCTTTCAAGATGGAGACTTACAAGGTTGTTCCAAAGACTAGATATTGCCGTCATTATGCTGAAGTTGTCCAAGAAGACGTTGAGTTTGTTAAGGATGATGCTGACGCAGATGAAGAATCATCCTGGTTTGGTTTTGGAAAGAAAAAGGAATCTAATGCGAAGGTTGAAAAGATTGCTAACCCAGGTGGTGAATCCAATGGTTTATGGATGTACCTTTTCCCAACTAATGGTATCAATTGTTACTCTCCAGCTTACTACACTCTTAGAGTCTTGCCAATCAGCGCCACTGAAACCCTTTTACATTACGATGTTTACACCAAGAAAGGTTTATCTGAAGAGAAGCAGAAAGAATTCATTGACTTTTTGCAATTGATTGAATTGGAAGATTTCAACTTGTGTGAACAAACTCAAAAGAACCTTAACCAAGGTGTTTACGGTACAGGCTTCTTGCATCCAACTAAGGAAAGAGGTGTATTGTTTTACCAAGGTTTAGTTCGTGATATGGTCAAGGAACACTTTGCTGCGGAACAAAAGGCTGGTAAGCAAATTAACCCAGCCTTTGTCGGAAATGCTACTACCGAGAGTGCTTTGGAATTGGAAGAGATCTGTAACAAGTTGGACTGTCTGACTGAAAAGACCGAACAAAAGTTGGATTGGTAAGTATGATGAAAAAGAAAAAAAATAAGTATATATGAAATATGAATATGTTTAAATTGTTTCTCAAAATGGACGATTGTATTGTAAATACTGAGAGTTGTCTTCGAGAATGGTCGTATGCATCTGTGACACTGTCATTTCTAACTCGGAGCCTTATTAATTTTTTACTTTGTTGTGTTGTTGACACTTGGATGGTTTAAGGTTTAATTCGTTTTGGAAATTGCTTTTTTACATTCTAGAATGATTCCATGCATGAAAGAAAATGAAATTAAATTTAACATTCTGCTGTATAAGGTGCTAAATTCGAATTGAAATCGTTCTAAGCTTGTTTTAAGACTCTTTGCAGTTACGGCTATACGATAGTAAATGTAGATAGAGTTATCAATAGAACCCCTGCTTTACGCTTTGATTTACGGAAAATAAAAAATTCTTACGCTCTTGCACTAATTTGTAGTAGAATTTCATAAAGTAGTATATGTGCATTTACTGTCACATAATTGGGAAAATAATCTTTACTTCCATGACAGGAACGAAGAGTTTAATTTTAGACGTGGTTGCAACTTGTGCGTAAGTCCGTTCACGTGATTTTTCTTATGTGCACGATGTGCGAGAAATTATCGATCTTTCTAGAACCTTCTATTTTGACCATGAATCGAAGGTTCCAGAAAGGTATAGAGAAAGTTGCAAAATGACATGACAGTGGCGAACTGATTGATATGTCAGCAAATAATTATATAAAAAGAGAGTATGAAGTTTATCATTTCAATTCAATCTTATTTATTATCATTAGTTTTATTCTAATAACAAACAATCAATACAACAACCAAAAAACATAAAATGTTCGCTTATACTCCATATGATAACTGTCAATTCCAACCAGCTTTCTCTGGTAACTTACAGATTCCCGATGCATTTGAGCAAGTCGTTGACTTGTTTAGACGTAGAGAAGCTGAAGCCCAAAGACAGCGTCAATTGGTAAGACCAAGAATTGTCAAGAAGGTTGAATCTGAAGATAGCTTTCAACTCCAAATCTTCAAGGAATATGGCAACTTCAATTCCTATGAAGTGCAAGTTGTTAAGAAGCCTGGTAATAAGGCTCATTTGATTATTTCATCTGAAGAAGATGAATTTCAAAAGATTTTTGAATTCAGTTTAGAAGATATTGATGTCCAGAAAATAGATTGGGAACATTACAGTGCTGAAAAGGTTTTAGTTCTTAACATCCCAAAAAAGCAAAATGCTCCTGAAGTTGTTTGTTACACACATCCATTCTTTAACTTTATCCAACAACAACAACAACAACAACAACAACAACAACAACAACAACAACAACAACAACAACAACAACAACATGAAGTTGGATCTAAGAAAGCACGTGAATACAGACAAAGAGTAGAGGCATCCAAGCAAAGGGCTCAACAAAGAAGGGCTGAAAAGAGAGCTGAAGCCGAACAAAGAAGAGCAATTGCTGAACAAGAAAGAATTGAAGAAGAGAATAGAAAGAGAGCTGCTCTTGAGCAACAAAGGGTTGAAGAAGAGAATAAAAGAAGAGCTTTCATTGAATTGCAACAAATTGAACAAAGAAGACAAGCTGAACAAAGAAGATTAGCTCAACAAGCCGAACAAAAGAAATTGGCTGAACAAAGAAGATTAGCTGAAGAAAAGAGAAGAGCTGACGAACAAAGACGAGCTGAAGCAAAGAGGCAATCTGCTATCGAGAAGCAAAGACAATTGGAAGCAAATAAGAATTCTGCCCCATCTCAAAATATCCGCCTTGAGGCTGGCAATGCTGAAGACTTTTTGCAACAACTCTTTGGTGCAATGTTTGCCGCTCAACAGCAAACTAACCAGCAAGGGCAAGCAGAAGTTCAAAATTCTAATTCATCCTCTCCAGTAGCTGAAGCTCCAATTTCTCCAGTTGTGTCTACTCCAGAAGTTCTCAAGCCTACCAGTTACGAATCTGACACTGAATCCATTGATTCGGAACATGACATCGAAACTCCACCACCATCTTCTCCAAGTTCGACTGGTTCCAAAATCACTAAGCAACCCTCCTTAGAAGAAGTTGAAGATGAAGAATTTATCCTTCTTAAGAAGAAGTTTGGACAATAGATTTCAGTCTGTTGATATACATAAGTAAATAAAAATGATTAATAATGAAAAATATTGAAAAATCTAAATACAATAATGTAGACTGTATGTGGGTGTTCGGATGTACCCCGGATTAGTTTTTCCTTCTCCTTATTGTTGTACAATATTGAGATGAAACCCACTTTAAACCGTGGATTATTGAAAGTCAGAACATCTTGTATTATATTAGATCTTCAATTGGTTGTAAATTCTCATTTTGTTTGATTGGGACAAATTGTCAATTTTACTTAGTGCTCTTAACAACGAGACACATTTCTTTTTTTGTTCAGAAATATACGAAAAATATTCGATATATATGTTATTTCAATTTTTTAGAGAAATATACGAAAGGAAGACTTAGACGTGTATTTCTAGCTAGAGTTTGCCCAAGACCGAAAGATATAATAATGGTGGAAATTCTGATAATGACTTATAAGAAAATGGAATACTGGTGTATCTATATGTTATTGTCACGTGACAAAACGGAAGCAGAAGGTCGGTTTCAATTGAAAGATCCGATTCCGTTCTAACATAAAACGGTTTGAATATCCATTTACTACAAATTAATTCAACTACTATTTACATCAAGATGGTTGGTATTACAAAATCTATTGCTGTATTTGGTGGTAATGGGTTTCTTGGAAAGAGAATTTGTGAACAGGGTATAAGATCTGGATATAACGTGATATCCTTGACCCGTTCTGGAATTGCTCCAAAGATTGAATCTCATCATGATGCTCATTGGATCAGTAAAGTCCAATGGAAAAAGGCAGATCTTTTGGACCCTAAAACATACAAGGAGGCTTTAGGAGAGGTAGATACGGTTGTTCACTCCGTTGGGATGCTTTTCGAAGACCAACAATATAAAAAGGTCATGAACAGCAATCCAAGCATACCAGACTTGCTTAAATTAATCAAAGGAGGCAATCCCATGGCTAAGGATTCAAAGACCACTTATGAATCTATTCAAAGAGATTCAGCCGTGATAATTGCAGATGCATTTCTTAAAGAGAATTCCAAAAAGAAGAATAAGTCACTCTCGTATGTGTATATTTCAGCAGACAAGTTACCTCCATTTATTCCTGCTGGATATATTAATACAAAAAGAGAAGCTGAGGTTGCACTCAGCTCCAAGCCTGGCTTAAGAACGATACTTATGCGCCCAGGAATCATGTCTGATGAAACAGAATCTCTTACTTCTCATCGTAATAAAATTACATCACTCTTGTCATATGTATATGGGGCCAAAGAGTCAATCTTTGGTAAGAATGTGCCCTTCTTAAATGCTAATATAAGGCCATCAGTCTCAACTCAACAAGTTTCAAGAAAAATCTTTGAAAAATTGGAAGATTCTAACTTTTCTGGCGTTGTTTTATTAGAAGATATTGCCACCAAATAATTTAATTCGTTATAGATATGTACATAAAATAGTAAATTTGAATAAGTATGTTTTTTAATTATCGTTTGTTATTAGTAGTTGTTGAATATTTAAGAATATAGACTTGGTGAAGCATGTGATTGGAATATGTGAAAGTATTCTTTTCTTTTAAAAGTTATTTAATCCCTAGCTTCCATTAAAGCTCCCAATTATGTTCGCTTTATACTGGAAGAGGGCCTTTCAATCTATTTTGAAGAGTACAGAGCCACTCAATTTCAAGTTCAGAGAGGTCTACTTCTTCTGGAACCAAAATTGAAGTCGTCGATAATTCAATTGATTTCAATCCTGGGATTAACGTAACCCCTTCTCGTTCACTCGAAGTGTCTGATTTTGGCTCCTCAACAGATTCTTGTTGTCCTTGATTCTTACCCAAAGGTGATGGAGACCACCAGTAAGAAGGATATGTTCTAATAATGTTTCCAGTAATAAGTGCTACGAAGACTATCAACACTGAAGATACAATCTGCATAGGCAAATACCACCAGCTCATATCTCTAATCTGTTCATCTATTGATGGGAGGAGAGCAGATGCACCAGCCGGTGGATGAACACAGTTGAAAATACTCATAAGAGTAGATGATACCCCAACACTCAATGCTCCACTAGCCCAATAGTTAGCCCTACCACCTTCCGATAACAGGAAAAGTTTCTGGATACATACCCCGACTATGGAAGATATTATTTGGCCCATCAAGACATTTCTTGGTTGTGCCAATGGTGCACCAATGGCATTGAAACAAAGAATGGCACTGGCACCATAACTGGCAATAATCATAGGGGCATTATGGTTTTGAAATACTGTATGACTTTTGAACACCCCTTCTAGAAGAGCAATACCACAGAAGGATGCAACACAAATCTCTATCCATATCCAGTAATCTGCAACCGGCCTTGTCGAATGTTTCCCCAAAAATCTCGCTATTGGTTTTGGAAGCCTTGACACTTGGTTGGACGGTAAATATTGATTTATGACATTATCAATAGTGAACTTGAACACCATGCTTTAGATGAATTGCTAATATTACAAATCTACACCGACCTACAAATTAATTAAACAGATAAACAATGTCACATATATATATATACAAAACGGAACTGGGGAAGTGTTCCCGTTTCCTGTACTGAAGAAAAACCTGCAGTCCCAGTCTAAAACGGGTTTTGATGTATTCCGAGTCAATGGATGGCAAATAGCTTCCCGAAAGAGAAGGCTGGAACCTTGTTTCATTCACGGTAATAATGAATTGACAAGAAATGTGTCATGGTTACATATATTATGACATGGCGCTTTGTATACTTGGGGCCCAACCCGGAGAACTTAAGAAGAATAATAAGAATGTACTAGTTAAGCTAAAAAAGAAATAAAATAAAGTGGAGAAATAACGCGGATAGATATTTTTAAAGTGATGGTCACCTCATGTTTTAATTTTTCGATATACGTCTATAGCATGTTATGTAATACTTAAATATGAACTATTTAGCGGTCTATATATAGCACTCTACTCAAACAGAGAATCCAAAGTTTGTGGTTGTAGGAATAATCCTGCGGGAGTAGTACTTTCTGATTTCATCAGCAATAAATACCGTACTTGTAAGAAGAAGAAGATGTAAAATATCACTCAAGTAGAGCGCTTCTGTTTGGAAAATAGATTGGAAGAATGGAACGTAGACGGCACAGAGTTGTCCAACAAGTGAACCTGCAACGGCAAAGTTAAACATCAGATTTTTTAAACCGAGTTCAAAGATAGATTTGGAATAATGACGACAAGATAAAGCATTGAACATGTCAAACAATACAAAACAAGTGAAAGTCATGGTTGTGTCTCTTGCGGTAATTTCATTGTCAGTCAGTTCTCTTACAAAGACATACAAGGTTCCAATGACAATCATGGCAGCAGATTGCAAGACTCTCTTGATAACTTGTTGTGTCAAAATCTTATCGTTACGCTTTCTAGGAGGCTTATTCATCACTTCGTGGTCTACTGGTTCAACACCAAGGGATTGCGCAGGTGGTCCATCCATGAGAATATTGATCCATAAAATTTGCATGGCATTCAATGGGTTAGGGAAACCAAAGAAAGTAGCCAAGGCAATAAGAGTCAAAGCAGCAATGGAAGTAGATAATTGGAAAGTGATAAAGTTTTGAATATTGTAGAAAATACCCTTACCTTCTTCAATAGCACTTAAAATAGTGGAGAAGTCATCGTCAGTTAATACCATATCAGCCGCTTCTTTGGCAACATCAGTACCATTCTTACCCATAGCAATACCAATATCGGCCAATTTCAAGGCTGGAGCATCATTGACACCATCACCAGTCATAGCAACGATGTCACCTCTTTTTTGGAATGCCTTAACAATGGAAACCTTATGTTCTGGAGTAGTTCTAGCAAAAACGGATACATTATGGATTGCTTCAGCAAGAGCCAGTTCACTAAGACTTTCCAATTGGTCACCAGTCATAACGGAATCCTTTGAAGTTACAGGCATTCCAATCTGTCTAGCAATATTTACAGCCGTGGTTGGGGCATCACCAGTAATCATAATCACTTGAACACCACCTTTCATCAACATCGCAATGGATCTACCCACATTAGGTCTAGGTGGATCATTCATACCAATGAGACCACAAAAGATTAATTCTTCTGGATCTTGATCGTTCTTAGTTCCGCTTGAGTACTTGAGGTTGTTTTTAGCAAATCCCAAAACTCTTAAACCTTCCTCAGCTAACAAGTTTGATTTGGCAATAATAGTAGTTCTAATTTCATCAGTCAATGGTTTAACCTCGGAATTATTATCGTAGTAACGATTAGATAATTGTAATATTTTTTCAACTGCTCCTTTTGCTAAAGTTTCAGCCTTATCAATATCACCACTATGAACACAGACAGCCATATATTTGGTACGAGAAGAAAAAGGTTTTTCACTAATTCTTTGTCTTGCACCTCTGACATCTTCTAAACCAAAATGAGGTAAAGCTTCCACAAGGGCAATATCACTTGGATTACCAACATATTTTTCATTTTCAGATGAATATCTTGCATTATTACAAATGTTTGCAGTTTCCAAAATTTTGTTGATATTATCAGTGAGATGAGAACTCAAATCTGAATCCTTTAATTTTTCAACCACCAAAAATGGAGAATTATGAGATCCAGAGAAATCAGCAGCCCATAATTTGGTAACAGTCATATGATTTTGAGTCAAAGTACCAGTTTTATCGGAACAAATAACATTGACACTACCCAAGGTTTCAACACTAGGCAATCTTCTGACAATGGCCTTGTGACGAGCCATTCTTAAAACTCCCAAGGCAAGAGTGACAGTGACAATAATTGGTAAACCTTCAGGAATAGCAGCAACGGCAAGAGATACAGAAATTTGAAACATATCAAGCCATGAACGACCTTGAGCAACACCAATAAGACAAATGATCCCAATCACCACGAATGAGAAAACAGACAAATCTTTACCTAATTTATCCATAGCTTGTTGAAGTGGAGTTTTTGGTTTTTCAATTTCAGACATCATTTCGAAAACAGCACCAAATTCGGTTTTAGCACCAGTGGCAACGACAATACCAGTACCATGACCATCTCTGACCAAAGTACCCATGAAGGCAATTGAAGTTCTATCAGTGACTGGAACCATATTACCCAGAATACTACTGGTGGAAGTAGCACTTAAGGTTTGAGCGGATTTTTCTACAGGTCTGTTTTCACCGGTTAAATTACTTTCATCGATCGATAAATGGACAGTTTCAGTCAAACGGATGTCAGCAGGAATTCTATCACCTTGACTGAAATGAACCAAATCACCAGGAACCAAGGTAGAGGCAAGGACAGTGGAAGTGTTACCGTTTCTAGTAAGTTTGGCCTCGGCGGGGACAAGCTTATTAAGAGCTTCAAGAGATTTTTCGGAACGGTATTCTTGAACAAAACCAACAGAGACAACAATGAAGATAGCCAATGTAATGGAGACAGCATCATCTACATTACCCATCCAGAAGGAAACCACTGCAGACCCGATAAGCAAAAGAATCAAAGGGTCCTCGTAAAAATTCGATATGAACTTCAACACAATATTTTCATCTTCATCACCAGAGAGTTCGTTTACACCATGGATTGATCTTCTGGTGAGAATATCTTGATTATTGGACAATCCATTGGTAAGGTCAGTTTGAAGCTCAGCAACGGTGTCCTCAATTGTCCGTTGACAGAACTTTATGGATGGAGAGCTTGCACGTGGGGCAAGATTTCCAAACGTCTTTGGAGTGAAGGGATTTTCGCTCATCAAGACCTAGATGAATTACTACCAAGTTAGTTCGGAGTACTTGTTTAACTGTGAGAAAAAAATTCAGTTAAGGGTAGTTGGCCTCTTTTACTGTCTATTGAGCAGTTGTTTGTAAAAAGTGACACAAAACACGCGTATTGATGAGTGAAAAAAATGTTAAGTAAGAAAAAAAAATAGCATAAAAAAAAAAATAAAAAGAAAAGAAAGTGGAATAGACAGATAAAACGGATATAGATCAAGGGGGATATTAGAAATATAAAAAGTATAAGTATATACTTCGATTAGTGCGAGTTGTATTTAAAATTCAAGGAAAAATATATTTGAAACTTGTGGGGCGATGAATATAGAGTTTTACCCTGTTAACATTGCTTATCGGAGTTTAATTAATAAGGTAAATTTATCCTTAAAGTCGTGCCCTTATCTTATTTACTTCAAAGAATAAGGGCAGTGCTTCGAACCTGATGTGCAATACATTCAATATTTGGCAGCCATTTACATGAGTATGTCAGATGGGTATCTTTTGATGAAGTTTATTCTAAACCTTGTAGTATTAATATTTGTACGATTATTATTATGTCTATTATTATGCTTATTCATTATTATTATAATTATTACTATTTAATATAGTTCTATACTTCATTCTTTCATATATTCTTCCATATATTTTATCAACTCCTTACTAGCTTCCATCACTCCCATCTATAGTTTCAAATGCAGCCTTACTCAATCTATTCATAACTGCTAATCCTTCATTCACCTCTTCAATTCCTTCAACTAATATTAAATCAACTTCTAATTCATCCACTTCCCGGAGAAGTCTGAAGATACTGCGAGACATGTCAAGACCGGTCATACCCATGTTTCTCTCAATTTGAATTCTATCACTAATACTAGAAGCATTCCCAAACTTGGCAGCTCTAAGTAATGCAACTTTGGAAGTTTCAGGAACATTTTCTAAATATTTTGTAATTGCGATTTTCCCATCACCACAATTAGTGAATAATACAACTTTAGCAGTGGGGGAATAATGTCTATATTTCATCCCTGGAGTCTTTACAGCTTCTAATTTCCCCGCAGTCTTCTTCGCTAAGATAACTTCCTTCCATAACGAACCACCAATAGTCCTTACTTCTTCCACGGAAACACCACCTGGTCTCAAAAGCATTGGTGGGTCCACTAAGCCATCTATCACTGTAGATTCAACCCCAACATCACATGCTCCACCGTCCAAAATATATGGGATCTTGCCCTGTAAGTCATGGAAGACATGAGAGGCTAATGTGGGACTAGGTCTAGTCGAAGCATTTGCCGATGGTGCTGCCAATGGGGTGTCACTAAGAGCTATCAAAGCCCTGGCAACTGGATGATTAGGTATTCTAACTGCAAATGTATCCTGGTTAGCGGTGACCAACTTGGAAATGGGTGAGTTTTCACCAATAGGAAGTAATATCGTTAATGGTCCTGGCCAAAACTTGTCGATCAACGCCTCGTAAATTGCCGGGATCTTATAGTCCTTGGGAAGGATTTTCCGTTTCAACTGATCCACCGAAGAAACATGTACAATAAGAGGATTATCTGAAGGTCTATTTTTCGCTCTATAGATAGATTTAACTGATTCATCAGAAAGAGCAGATCCACCTAATCCATATACTGTTTCAGTGGGGAATCCAACTACGTTATTTGTCGATGTAAGCTCATGGGCTGCCAACTTGAGGTTTTTCTCCGTTTCCAAGTCACTGATACATACTGTATCACCGTTAAAGGTAATTGAATCAGTCTTAACCTTGAGTATTTGAGTATTAAATGATGTCATCTTGTTACGAATTGGAATAATTTGATGTGCAAATGGGTTGAAAAGTCTTAGATTCGATGGATATTTATGACTAATGTTTCGTACCCAACGTATCCTACTTAGCATGTATCGAAAATCCGTATTTCAAACCAAGTGAATAATAATAAAAAAAGGAATCTTTAGTAGTTGAATCAATCTTTCTCTTTTGTTCTTCATCTCATCAGTCATTGATTTTTAATATGGTTGATCACGTGACAAATCTAAAAAAAGAGTGAAAGAGAGAGATATTTTGCTTCGTATAAGTTCCCAATTATGGATTAATATAACTAACATATAATCATTTTTACTTTATATACCATGAGATACACATAATTTTATACATATGTACACTTTTTAATTTATGATTATATTTAATATTAACTTACTAGCTCTATTGAATTGTCCAGTCTATCTATTTAATCTTCTTTCTTTCTTTCTTTTTTTTTTTTTTTTCTCGTACCTCATTTGGCTGCGAAACTTTCTTCTATCAGTTAAACACCACATTTTCAGTTATAATCTTTCTTTCTTCATCATCAAGTTGTTCATAGTAAACTTGGAAATTACCCAAGTTCTTGGTAGTGCACATTTTAAAGAATTGTGCAAGAATATTCTTCAAATCTTCAGAACCATTTTGATCATCATGTTCATCATCTTCTATGTCAGAATCAACGTATGATTTCAATTTTTCATAATTGGGTACTCCAATATCATCCATATCTTCCCAACCATCATCCCCACCATCTTCTGCTTCAGAACCTCCAAGTTCATTTTCTTCAGGAAGATAATCGCTTGCATCGGGCTGTTGGTATTGAAAATTTAATTCACTAACAAGAAGTTTCAAGATTTTAAGAGATGCAGATATTTGTGTATATTGATCTGGCATTTCTCTTTCCATAGATCTAGTACGAATAGTGTTTCCCAGATATGGAATGATATCACCATTTACAATAATAGATTCTACTCTAGAATCTCCAAGAGTGAATAACTTGGCAATAGCCAATGTATTCTGCTTAATTTGTTCGTATCCTCTAATGACCTCAAATGAGGAGAACCAAATGGGGAGAACTAGTTCTAACCCATTCTTCAATTCTCCAGTTTGTGTGTCTGGAAGTTTAATGTTTTCAGAAAGAAAATTAATCATATCTTCTGGAGACGATAAAACTAATTTACAAAACACTGTCATTAAATTCTCAGTAGTTACAACTTCCTTTGCAATAAGTAATCTTCGAACTGTGGCCTCTAAGATTTGTGACAAGAAATTGTTTCCTAAAAGAGACAGGAATTTTTCAATAACCGATAGGATAATTGATCCACTATTTAAGGCAGCACTGTCAGATAATTCTGGAGATAAAAATTTGGAAGTGATAGCCAAAACAATATCCAAACCAGATTGATTAGTTTCTGAGTCATTGTATTCGAGTAAAATACGGTCACCCTTTTGAATCAAATTGTTAAACACTTGTCCACCAGTTTGAAGAATTTGATCTTCGGTACATAAAAGCAATAATTTCTGTAATACTGGGAATGTAAAGTTAAAAATTTGGTCTGGAAATGGGGTCGAATCTGTAGCAGAATCGATCACTATACCAAGTAATTCCAACGCTAAATCTAATTCAGGAGTGTACTCAATTACATTCTTGGTTAAGGCATTTTCAATGATGTTGAAAATCACTGGTAGGGAACTTTCACAACATTTCAAATAATCATCAACCAGGATTTCTTCCAAGATTGTTCTCAAGCATTCTGCAGCATCAATAGTTAATTGAATATCAGCTGGTGCCTTAAATGAGATCTTGAGGATCAAATCAATTACAGTTGTTTGTCCATGTAAAACAGCTTTCACAGCATCGGTATGACTGATCCCGGAAGCCACGGTGATTGCTTCCAAAAGTACTGGTAAAGTATCCTCTTCACTATCCTCAAGCAACGAGAAAACAATTTGGAATATAGCCAATTGTACTTCGCTAGCATTACCTTGTGGGATCACATTCTTCAAACTAAGCAAATTTTGATAATATGTAGCACATACTAACACGGATACCTTAGCTAAACGGAAAACTTCAGAATCTTCTTCATCACGATCCTGATGTTCCATAATAAATTGAATCATCTTGATAAACCAACTGCCAGCAAAGTCTGAAATTTTCAATTTCAGTGAGAATTTTTCAAAAAACTTTGGAAGCATCAAGAAACATCTTGAACTGAGTAAATAATGAGTATCATACGAGATGAAAGTAGCAAAAGTATTCATTAGTTCAACCAATGGAATGTTAGGACATAAATCTTCAGCATCTTCATTCATGAAAACACTTTCCAAAACAAAAAAGTAGCTCTCCTTAAGTTGCCAAGAGGAAGAAGAAGAGGAGATAGAAGTGGAAGTGACTTGTTCGACGACTCTTTGAGTAATTTCTTGAACATCTGCTTGATTCAATTCAGCCAAAAATTCATTGACAGAGTCCCGAGTGGTGTTCACAGCAGATAGACCTGTGATTCGAGTTACATAAACATTGAAATCCAATTCATAATCTTCAATACTATCCTTTGGAAGGACCGTACAAGTAAGAAGATCCCGAATGAATTGGTTGAAAAAGCCAGGTTCATGTGCCCCAATGCCGACACTTTGTTGTAAAACAGTAAGAGTGGACAATAATTCAGAGATCATGAATGTAATGGTTTCCTTTGGTTCATTCAAATCAGAAGTGGTTTTATAATTAAAAGTCTTAGAACTGGAAACAGCCACGTCGTCATATAATTTACTGGTAAAGTTAAAGTCTTGTAAAGTCAAACGAAGAAGAGTTTTCTTGTAATTAATGTCAACTCTTTTGTTGAAGTTTGAAAGAAAAGTCCCCAAGATTTTATAAAGATGGCCTCTAAAATACAAGTCAGTCAATTCAAACAGGGTATGCGCCACCGAATGTTGCTTGTAAGAAGTCTCGAGAAGAATGAGGAAAATACGTACGGATTCATTGATATGATGACGTACAGCTTCCTTTCTTTGCTCAGTTGCAAATGCTTCCGGACTTTGCAACGTGTTGACCACATTTTGGTAAAGAATGATACAATGGGTCTTTGTTTCTGCAGAAAGCAGTTCACGGCCAAGAAGTTGGGTGATATGGTTGATGAGTTCTGTACCAACACCACCTTCCCAAAATTGCTCTTCACTGATAAGATCATCAAATAAATCGTTCAACACTGTGAGACCTCCAATGACAGAAAGCTGGTCGTCATAACGAGTGGTCAGCTCATATAAGGAATTCAAGAGATTTGGCCATTCATCGGGGAAATCAGCAGCAGCGATTTGTACAATGACATAACCAGCACCATTGCGAATTTTAGAAGATGAAGAAGATGTTGCAAGTTGGAGTAAGTTGGACCGAATGGCCTCTTTCAACTCCTGCTGGATAGGTGGACCTACAAAAGATCTAAAACCACCGGACCAGTATTTTGGAACACATCTTTTCAAGTGTAACAAGCAAGATTGTCTGATATCTATGGGGAAATTTTGCTCATCTACAGCGATCTGGATCAAAGTGTATGCGGCTGCAGTGGGGTCTTGCGCCACCACCTCGTTAAACCGGAGTTCGGCACCTGTTCTGACATTGTTATTGGGACTGTTTTGCCCTATAACCAAGTCCAAGATATCTTTTTGCGGTCCCTGCATGACGTGATACTGAATAAAGTTTGTATACTATTTTTTATCTTAGGAATGAACTGAAAACTTGGTGATGTTTGACGCGCGCGCGTCGTGCTGTACAGAGCACAGAAAATGTGAGCAAAATCAAAATTAAAAATCAAAATTAAAAAAAAGAGTGCGATTTCGAAGGCAATCAGGAACAAATATCCCCTTAGTTAAAGGCACATACATCTTTTATTTAATTGATAACAATTGTACACACACACACACACATAATGTTTGAGAAGATGGTGTACCCCGCGTTAGAGGAAGCACAAAGCTCACTTTCTCCACAACAGTTGGAAATTCTCAGACGTCAAGTTGAGTCAGAAAAGCCAGACCCAACCCCACAGTCTTTATTCAATTATGCTTGGGGGTTAGTAAAATCATCTGATTCTATATTGCAGAAAAAGGGACTTGATATTTTTGCAAGATTGTATCGAGATGTGCCCTCCATGAGACGTGAATGTTTATATTATTTAGCACTTGGATCGTATAAATCAGGAGAGTATTCTAATGCGAGAAGATATGCAGAAACATTAGTTCAAAATGAACCAGATAATGCGCAAGCTAAGGCTTTAAGACAACTGATTGAAGATAAAGTTACACAAGAAGGCCTCATAGGACTTGGGATTGCAGGAGGTGTTCTAGCTTTAGGTGTCGGGCTTCTTGGCGCATTGATAAGGAAAAAGCGTTAGATATTGTTTAGTCAATGTATACTTTCAATGATACATTTACAGCCATTTTTAAAGTGGCTATAACTTTTTTTTTATTTTTGTTCTCTATTTTATTTTTTTTTGAATCATTTGAATTTTTTTGTTGTTTCCATGACATAGATCAAGTAGTACCCATTCCCCCCCCCTCCCATTGTATACTATGAAGAATGATGAATTGGCTAGCAAAGTATGTGATTCCATAGTGTCGTGCTATAACAAATTACCACCAAAGGGGAAACCTACCATAAGATCTAATGGGGCAAAAGAATGGACTGTTCTTGCTGGAATTGCAGCCGTCTTTGAACATGAAAATCGGATTGAACCCATTTGTTTGGCTACAGGAGTCAAGACTCTACCTGAAAAGACCAGAAAGTACTCAAATGGCTTAATGGTGCATGACTTGCACGCTGAGATACTTTGTTTGAGGTTATTGAATTGGTTTTTATTAGAAGAATGTGGGAAAGTTAGAGATGATTTATCAACCATTTGTGTAGAAAAATTGAATGAACTGGAGTTTAAAATCAAGGATGGAATACGATTTGCCTTGTATATAAGTGAGCCACCATGCGGAGATGCGTCCATGGAAGTAATGGTCAATAGTCTCGATAATAAAGAAATTTGGGATGTGGAAGAACCACCACGGAAGCAACGCAAATTGGAACAAGATACAAACAATACCTCCGCTGAACTTAACATACTCAGAGGAAGGAATGGATTAAACAAAGTAGGAATAGTTAGAACAAAACCAGGAAGAAACGATTCAATGTTAAGCTTAAGTAAATCTTGTTCAGATAAGCTTTGTATGAAGCAATTGATCGGATTGACCAATTCCATAACTTCAATGATTTTCCCCCAGGGGGTGTATTTAAATTATTTGGTGATACAAAGGGGTAAACACAATGTTAAAGCTCTGGAAAGATGTTTTAATGAACGATTTATCCAAAAGTTAAACGAACCTTATTTAGATAGAGTTGTACCTTTGGAAATCCTAACCTACGAATCGGATGAATATGAAAATCATAAAAGTAAAGACGTTAGTATAACATCGCCTTTATCGTTAGTGTATATTGTTCCTACGAAGACTCATCAAGTATTGAATAATGGAGTTAAAGAGGGTGGGTTTTCCAAAGGGAAACCACCCAAAAGAGGTGGCCAAAGTTTTATTTGTAACCAAGAACTTTATAAAAAGGCTCAATCATTTTTGAAACATGATTGTGTATCCTATCATGATATTAAACTGAAGAATACTGAACGAGAAAATTTGAAATGTCTAGGTCAAGAAATATTGGGGGATTGGGTCCATACGGGACTAGATGATTTCATATTACCAACAAATATCCCTTGATAATGTTCTTTGAAGTAATTGTTTGCATGTGTGTACGAGCAGTTGTATTATTCTCATAGATATCTGATAGAATGATACACATTACCCTACGCTAATCTATTTTACTATTACGCATCCCAATTCTCTATTTCCTATATCATTTATTCTTCTATTTATATGCTACACCCTTCAATCAGAGTCTGAAGCAGATCCTTCATCATCTTCATCGTCTCCATTTTGTAATTGTTGTTCTGGTGGAATTTCCATAGAAATGGCATATTCGGCACTTTCCAATAAATCACGTAACTTATCATTATCCTTATTCACGTAATCGATAGGTTTCAAGCCGTGCTTGTTCTTTATCCGTGGATCCGACCCAGCATCTAACATACCATCAACTACAAAAGTTCCATGTTCTGGCTCGTCAGCAGAATACCTCACTGCAACATGCAATGGAGTATCACCTTCGCGGTTAGCCGGATCAATTTCAACCCCCTCAATGTCCAAAATGATGTCAATGAACTCCCAATGGCCCGAATGACAGGCTATGTGTAAAGGTGAGTTATTGGTGATCACTTCATGGGTCAGATTGATCAATTCAGAAAGCTTCACCTGGTCGTTTCCAAGGGCTGATTTAATAGAAAGTAATAATTCAGTATTATTTCTTCTGGAAGATTCCAAAAGCTGTTCCGACAACGAAGCCCCTTCTTCACTTTCAACCATTTTCTTCTATTCAATTTATTCTTTAAATAGAAGTTATTCTTTAGTGTGAAGTTGGTAATCTCTCCTGTTTAGGAGAAAGCGGCACAGTTTATTCGATTTGAACGCGACACGACATTCTTTACATAACTGTACGGATAAGATAATAAAACTACATACTATTTAATTCATAATTATTCTCTATTACCACTCTTCTTCATGAGCGTCCATATAGATATATTCTTATATATTCTACTCCATTACTTTTATTTTGAGATTGTTACTATTCTACTTTCTCTTTTTAGCCTTACCCTTTGCATCTGTAGTTGCTCCACGCTTCTTTGCTCCACCCTTTGTATCCTTCTTTACGGTGGAAACAACTTGGAAAAATCCATCCAAACGTCCTTGAACTCCACCTTTAAGTCCCTTTTTCAATTTTTCAGCCCCACTTCTCATTCTTTCTTCACTGAATCCCTTTTGTTTCACCATATATTCAATAAGTCCATCTACATCTGGTTCAGACCATTTTAAATTTACTTCAGATGCAGCTTCCACTTCTGGATGTAAAAATAATTCTCTAGCTTCCTTATATGGCCAATTTTCAGGAACTTTAAATTTGGTCTTATCAGGATTTTGTTCAAGATATTCAACAAGTTTCTCCAATGATCCATGTTCCTTGATAAGTTTGAATGCTGTAACTGGTCCAACACCACGAATGGTCTCACAATAATCACATCCTAACAAAATACACAAGTCAACAAAGGTATCTTGATCCATACCTAATCCTTCCATAGCTAATTTATAATCAATTTGATCAATTGGCATTTTTCTGGCTTCGGAAAAGGTTAAATGTCTAAGAAGAAATGGTGGTTGATAACATAAGGTATCCATATCTTCTGATGCTGCTGCAAACACTTTACCATCTCTGGCAAGCACTGCACATTGCGCCTCAGCTTCACATGGTGCATTAACATATGGTATACCCATTAAGTCAAGTAATTTTTTTGCTTCATCATTTTGTTCTCGCGATACTCTAACTTGTCTCTTTTCATATTTCATAATCTCTTCCACTGATCCTGTTTCTTTAATTTTTTCTTGTTCCTTTTGTGCTTCTTCTCTTCTTTTCAATCTTTTTTCTAATTCCCCTCCTTTCAATACTGGTGGCTTACCATCAAATACATATACTGGTTTAATACCATTTTCAACCATTCTAATTGTTCTATAAAACATCCCCAGTAAATGTGACGTGGTTTCCCCATCTTCATTAGTCAATTGTTGACCATCAGATTGTCTTACAGCAATCAAGAATTGATACAAACACATTGACGCGTCAATGGCAACTTTTCTACCGAAAAGGTTTTTAAGTTGATACTCTTTAAATGCTGATGGTGCATGTTCCTTTATCAATTGATTAAGACCTTGAATAATGTTAATAAGATGGACTTTTCTATTGTAAAAAAACAATAAATAATATGAATCAAAATCAATCTGCACTATTTAATTCCTCCATACCGATTATTACTTACCTTTAACACCCATATTTACTCTGTATTAATTCTTTAAAGATCAAGTCTCTCTTCTTCATGTTTCTTTTTTTTTCCCCAGTCTGATTTTGATGCTCTTCAAAAAAAGACGCGTCTCAAAATCCGACGACTGCAGGTAAGAAACAACTATAAGTATAATTCTAGGTCTAACGTACCCAACTACGCAGCCCATCATCTACCGATGATTCTCATCTAAATCTTTTAGTTCATGCGTATATTACTACAGGTTATAGATATATTTGTATATGCACATCATGACATACGTTTCACAGAGAAAGTCCAATTTCCTGTAGGTGGATCGTACAGTCTAAATTCCACTTCAGGTGTCTTCTTAAGTCTTTCAATATGAATTTTCACAACTTCACTGTTTGGATCTAAAACAGGAAGCTTATCCTTCTTATTAATTGGGAAACATCCTTCCAAAGTAATCTTGGCAGGTAAGTTCAACCCTTCCCCTTCCTTTGGTTTAAGAGTTTCATCTGGATATACCAAACATGTTCTTGATCCAAAGGTAACAATATTACCAGCAATATCATCCAAGTTAATAAAACTAGTCAAGTCAACTGGCTTCAAAAATTTGATATTACCATAATGTTTACGGCCAACTGTGAAATTTTCAACACTACGTAATTCTGAAATTGGCTTGGATTTCAATTCTTCAATAGATGGGGATGTCCAATAACCATCTTCATCATATTTTATAACGTCACTAATCTTTCCAAATGTATTAGAAGCAGTAGGTTTTTCTTCTTCAATCTCTGGTGTAGGTGAGACAGTAGCACTGATTTCAGAAGGTGAAGGTGAACGTTTATCAACGATAAATGATACTCTCTTGGTACCATTTGTTACATCAGATCGTTGAGAAATCAATTGTGTTGATTCAGAATTCTTATTTCTGTTCAATACAAGTTTCTTAAAGTCAACCTTTGGAGCGAAAATATCTGATGAAAAGATTGCTCTATCGGTGGCATTGGTAAAGACACTCTCTGAAGATGGAGCAATGGTATTGATTACACTCGATTCAATTGGAGCAGAAACATCTGGTTGTACAGGTTGTGCCACGGCACTTGGTCTAAACAATGGAGTAACTCTGTATGCTGAAGACAAAGTGACTGGCTTTTTGTGAGTCTTGTTAGATCCCAAACGAGTTGCCATTGGCCCTTGGTTACCTTGTTGACCATTTGACAAACTAGAAAACAAAGCATTGTCTCCATATGGATTTTGTGCATTGATGTTGGCCATTGGCAGAGGTTGGTTTTGTTGTGCAGTTGCTCCACCAAATAATCCACCAGTAGCATTGTTATTATTGTTGTTGTTATTATTAGTATTATTGAGATTGTTGTTGAGGTTGTTATTGTTACCACCAAAAAGTCCTCCAGTAGTACCATTGGTTGGTGCCTTGTTTCCAAATAACCCCCCAGTAGCACCGGTGTTATTATTGTTACCTCCAAACAAACCCCCACTAGTAGTAGAGTTATTGTTGTTACCTCCAAATAACCCACCAGAAGTGTTACCAGTGCCAAAGTTGTTATTGTTATTATTGTTACCCAAGTTGTTACCACCTCCAAATAATCCTCCAGTAGTTCCAGAAGCTGCATTGTTGGTTGTGTTTCCACCTCCAAATAACCCACCGGTGGTACCAGCAGGTTTAGCACCGCCAAACATTCCACCAGAATTGTTTTGACCAGTGCTTCCAAATGCATTTCCACCTCCAATAGTGTTGGTTTGAGCACCACCTCCAAACAATCCTCCTGTAGCAGGTTTGTTGGCTCCAAAGAGGCCACCAGCTTGTTGGCCGGTAGTATTTTGCGCACCCCCGAACATACCACCCAGTTGTTGTTGCTGTTGGTTATTGTTTTGTGCTCCAAATAACCCACCAGTGGTGGCAGGCTTATTGGCACCAAACAACCCTCCTCCTTGTTGAGTATTGTTATTTTGTGCTCCAAAGAGTCCTCCACTTTGTTGGCCATTATTGGCACCAAACATACCTCCCAGTTGTTGTTGTTGTTGGTTATTGGCACCAAATAAACCTCCAGTAGTGGCTGGCTTATTGGCTCCAAACATACCTCCTGACTGTTGGTTATTGTTTGCACCTCCAAACATCGAATTACCACCACCAAAACCTGTACCACCAGCAGCATTGTTGTTGTTATTGGCAGCACCAAATGGTGAAGCATTGTTGTTGTTATTGTTTGCTCCAAATAACCCACCACCAGTGTTATTATTGTTACTGGCACCAAATGCACCACCCGTGTTATTATTGTTGGCACCTCCAAACATGTTGTTTGAAGTAGAGGCACCTCCAAAAGGTGAGCTGTTATTATTATTATTAGCAGCTCCAAATGCACTATTGGTGTTACTACCAAAAGCAGAGTTGGTGTTGTTATTGTTGTTGGCACCGAACAATCCACCACCGGTATTACCTCCTCCAAATACAGAATTGGTACCGGTATTGGTGGCACCAAAGGCAGAAGTCTTTGGGGCGCCAAACGCACTAGACCCACCACCAAATGCACCGCCAGTGTTGTTTGCAGCACCAAATGCACCACCAGTATTGGTATTGGCAGAAGCACCTCCAAATGGAGATGCAGTACGTCCAAAGGCACCGGCGGTGTTATTATTGGCACCTCCAAATGCAGAGTTTGTGGCAGCACCTCCAAATGGAGAAGTGCCAGTGGCAGTAGAGCCAAACGCACCACCAGCATTGTTGTTGTTGGCAGCACCTCCAAATGGGGAAGTACCAGTGGCACCAAAGGCACCACCAGTATTGTTGGCAGCAGCACCTCCAAATCCAAAACCAGTGTTGGTTGCTCCGACGTTATTCCCAAAGGCCCCACCGGTGGCGGCACCACCAGGAGCAACACCATTACCATATCTTCTATTTTGTTCATAGTCTTGCAATCTCAACTCTTCGAAGGAAAAGTTTCTATATTCAGGTTGGGCAGAGATGTTTTGGAAATAATTTGTAGTTCCATTTGCTTCTTTGTCTGCAAAAGGGGTAAATGGAACCGTGGCAGTTCCATTATTGACTCCAGCACCCGCGGCACCAGCTCCAGCCCCAAAGGCTGAGCCAGAAGCAGCTCCAAATGGCGAGGTGGCAGTGTTGTTGTTGGTGGGGGTACCGAATGCTCCTGTACTTCCACCAAACACCGACTTGTTTGCATTGGAGGCTCCAAAGAGTCCACCACCGTTAGAAGCTCCAGCACCACCAGCAGAACCAAAGGTTGAGGTGGCAGGAGCACCAAATGCACTTCCGGTATTATTGCTCGATCCAAATAGCCCACCTTGAGTGGCCCCAGTGGCTCCACCGGTAGAAGCTCCAAATGGAGAAGTTCCAGTGTTTGTGTTGGTGGAGGCACCAAAGGCACCACCGCCAAACGCACTGTTAGTTCCAGCGTTCCCAAAGATTCCACCTGTTCCAGTGCCAGTTGCAGCTCCTGTACCGGCTGTGTTGGTGTTACCAAACGGAGAAGTGGCATTATTATTGTTATTGTTGTTGTTGGAGGAAAACGGAGATGTAGTACCACCAGTGGCAGCACCAAACCCTCCAAATCCAGACGTTGATCTACCCCCGAACATAACAGACAGGATTTGTAGCAAAGATGATTGTTTTAGTTACTCCAAAAGCTCGGATGCGTTCAAATCAAGTTGACAATTGCTTTACAATCCGCTACTCAAAGAATGTCAAATCTGTTTAGCGTTGTAAAATTTACCTTTAGTTTTTTTTGATTCGATTTTGTGTTCTTTTCTAAAAAAAAAAAGGTAAGAAAAAAAAAAACAGAGTGTGAGAAATAATATTTTGGGGTGTTGTCAAAAAACGAGGGATTGGCTGCTAAATGCACGGGACAGGGTAGTAGTATAAAGTAAACGGTAAATATTAACTTAAATGATACGTATAGAGACTGTATATGTTTCCAATATATATTTATTTACTTCTCTTCTTTAACCTCTTTGGTCTCTTCAATATCAGCCTCTTTCTTATTGACTCCTTCTTCTCCTTCTTCCAATTCGTCCTTAACTTCTACTTTACCCTTCTTTGTCAACATTGATCCAATATCAAATGCTCCTTTACGCTTTTTCGTTACAGTTGCCTTTTTCGACTTTTTAACTTCAAATTTCTTGAGATGTTCCTTTCTTTCACCAGCACCATTTGCTGATAATTCCTCACTTTTTTTAATAAATTCTTCATCATTAATTTCCTTACCTTGTAACCATTCAAGTAATTTAATTTCATGTCCATACAATGTATCATCGTTATCAGAAGGAGTTTCCAACACAATTGGAATATTCTTTAATTTATCAAAGTTGGCAATAAGACGGAACGTTTCCAATCCTAAAAACCCTAACCCTAATTTCTGATGTAAATCACGATTGGCTCCCAATGGTGCCTTTGAATCATTAAGATGGATTGCACTCAAATATTCCCACCCAATAATGTCTTCAAATTTTTGCCAGAATTCTTTAAATGATTCAGCGGTACCGATTTCATATCCTGCTGCAAAAGTATGACACGTATCTATACAAACACCAACTCTGGATTTATCTTCCACCATATCTATCACATCTCGGATATCTTGCAAGTCGGAACCAATTAAATTCCCATGACCAGCCATATTCTCAATAACAATCTTAACAAAGGAAGTTTCCTTAATGGCCAGGTTGATATTTTTCGCCAATTGAACCAATGCCTCACGGTGATCTCCATCTAAACTAGATCCTGGATGGAAATTATATAATCCAATATCAAGTCTCTCACATCTTTTCAAATCATCTAAAAATGATCCATATGCTTTAGCTTCTTTCTCGGTGTCAGGATTGGCCAAATTGATGAAATATGATCCATGTGGTAAGATATCTGTACGTGGATTGTATCCATGTTCTGCACAGAGTCTGGCAAACTCGGCTGCTTCTTCGTCCTTGATCTCAGGTGAGACCCATTTTCTTGGAGATTTCAAAAAAAGTGCAAAACTATTTGCTCCAATGTTCTTTGCATTCAATATGGCTTTTGAAATACCTCCAGCAGTACTTACATGGGCCCCAAATCTATAAGGACAGTCTACCACACGCTCAAACTCTATTTGAGGAACTTTTGATTTCTTTGCCACTGCCATAGTCCGTTTAAATAAGGTTGGAGTCAACACACGATTCATATAAAGAATGATGTTCACTATCAACATTTTGACATGTTTGTGCGAAATCATAATTTTTCCTTTAAACGTGATTAATGAAATCAATCAATACATAATTTACTGACAGTTCATCCATAACACTGGTCTAATTCGTATATATTTCTGCTTCTACTGTGAAATCTAGTCTGTGTGTTGCTTTGTTTTTTTTATTATTTCTCCCTTTCTTTGTTTTCACATTTTTCTATTCTCTATATCATTTCTAACTACTCACCATGCTCTTTATATAAAATGGACCCATCCTGTATGGTCACCTTTCTAGCAGTATCAGTAAACTTTTCTTGTCTCTTGAGTCTTTTAGCAGCTTCAGCTTCACCACGCAGTTTCTGAGGGGTTGGGTATATGGCTGGGGGCACTACATGTGAGTCGATCTTTTTTGCTCTTCTCGCGGCTGGATCACACCAAACTAACGCAGCAAGTAAGGTGTAGTATGCATCATTGGCGGCATTATGAAGATATGCATGTGGAATATCCATCAATCTTAAAACACTTCTTAATCCTCCACCATTTTTCCCATGCGATAAATTATAGATCTTTAATGTATCCACAATGCCTCCATCCTTTGGGAACTCCACTCCAATGCTCTGAAGCCACTTGATATCTCCTCCAATATGATGACCAACAAATACTGCCCCACGAGGATCTTCAAAGAAATATTGACGAATCATTTTGTTAAGAAATACTTTTGCTTCTCCTTCTGGAAGCACGTGCGATGTCCCTCCAACAAAGTTGTTCTTATTGTTAGGTACAAATCTACCATTGTATTTGCTCTTATTCTCATCAATAATAATATGGTACAGAGAAATATTGGGGAAAATGGCATTCTCTTGTCCCTTTGGATCATAAACTGCAATCCCGATTTCTGTCACCAAATTGTTATTCCCCTCCCATGCCTCAACATCAAAGCAAAAAAGTGGTTGTTCTCTCAAATAAACCCTTTCCATATAATGACGAAGTACTGGTATCAGAGCCTTATTCATTTGGAATTTAGTGGTGTTGAAGTATTCATCCAAATTGGCCTTGAAAACTGATTCAGTATGTCCCACGTTGGGTGTAGATGTCGTCGGTTTGTTCGTGTTTCGACCACCAGTGGTGCGAGGACGTGGTGACGGCAGTTTTCCCTTGACTCCCATTTTGGTTTCTACAGTGATCTTCCTATTGTTGATGGTAGGTAATGTTACGGTTGTACTTGTAACGTTGATGGTTGAAGTCTTCTTTAAGTTGGGAAGTTTATTGTTGTATCTAGTGCACGATTTGCAAAAAGTTCTTCCAAATCGTATCATTCAGTGGAACTTCAGGTCCTATCTTCGAATTGATAGAGTTAAAGGGTAATAGAATAACTTGAAACAATGTATAGATCTAATGGTTGGTCATCGGAGAATTACTACACAGTCATCTAGGTATCTGCAGGATGAGTCAATGTTACAGAGAAGGATGTAAAAAGATATCAACCAACTAAAGAGAAAATGTATACATAAATATATATATATATATACATTATACTATTTTATACTAATTTCAAGCCAAACATTAGTATATTATGAAAAATTAATATCTTATATTCATCTTGTAACATCCTCTACTATCTATATCTTTGACATAATCCTGTACATTATGAATTCTTGTGTCACGTGACCCGGTCCATAGAATCTCTATATGGGATTATCCTGTTAGATTTCATAATAAAACTTGCAACCTTTTATGAATTATATAATTTGTAATCTTCCAAAGGATGAGTCTGGAAATCTTTTCAATATCGATTGAAGAATTCGATAAGATAATCAGTATATTACAAAATGATCCATCAGCATTGGAAATAGACGAATCAATTGATACTTTGTCACAATCTAAGTTGACATCAAGCTTACAATTAATTCTTGTAACTACATTATTGAACCATTTGATTCCAAAAGTGTATATGAACTTACCTAGAGATATCCAATCTCGAGTCGTTCTGGTGCTTCGATCTATAGTTGGATTGGGCAATTTGCTTGGAAGAATATCAATCCTTTGTAAGAATAACGACCAACCACTTCTCAAACTATACGTTGAAATACTTCAATCTGTTATTTGCCCGAAACTAGTTAGTGACCACTTGTTATTACTTTCAGATGAGGGCAAATTGGGAACAAACTTAGTTGAAGCTAGAGAAGTGGATAAATTATTATTCAAGGGGAAATGCTTTGCCATAGTAAATGAAGCTCAATCTCTTTGTGAGATGAACTTACGTTCACCATTCATATCATTGGAAAATCATATTGAGTATCTTACCAAGGAATTGATCTATATGTCATCCAAGGCCGGGACTGATAAATCTATAAATAAAGGCATCAACTTATATTTAAATTCATTAACGTCATTAGATATATCAGGATTTATTTATGAAACGTTATTCACTAAATCGAATTGGGAGTTTTTCTATCGATATCTTGTTGATATGAGACAATCTGAACGGAAATTACAAGTGGCAAAATTATTAACAGTGTATTTGCCCAACCGATTCTATAGACGTGGTAATGACAAGTCTAAAGAAAATAATAATTTAGCGTTGAGTACCATATTACGTTCATTGCAAGTGGAAAGAGTTATAGATGATCCAATAATATCACGTACCGTTAACCTTCAAAATTATTCATTATTAGCCTTAATTGCATCCTTGGTGGCAGTCGATGAAACTATTCTTACCCGTCATATAAACCAATTATTAAGAGTCTTCTCAGATTTAAATTTACTGAAAACTGAACCCATTAGTATACAAATTTCAAGAACAGTTTTACTTGTACATATGATATCCTATCTGAAATCTGTAATGCAGATTCTGAAGGACAAATTGTTCTTGGAGGCAATTTCTAATAGACTTGGCTCCTTTTCCAATGCTGTAAAATCACTTGCAGTAGCATTGGCTGATAAAGTTTGTGAATTTTCCAATCAACCCAAAATATTCAATATGGAAAATTTAGATGGCTTTGATGATAAATTATTTGCCACAATTACTGCCGTTAAAGATACTGAAGATAATATTACAGTAAATGATGCTTGGGAGTTGTTACAACTGCCGGAAGTGGAAGAAGTGGAAGAAGTGGAAATTGTATCATCGAAATTAGATACTATTCTGTTAAAGAATGTGACTATTGATTCAGATGACGAGAGTGATGATGATGACGTTACAGTGACCCCTAAAAAGCGGCTTGTAAAACCATTATATGTCAAGGACTTGCTCAATTATTTATCAGTGGATACCAAAGATGAATTAGCTTTCGAGAAGAGGCGTCTTGCATTAACGACAGCTCCGACATTACTTAGACAAAAGGCACATTTTGGAAATGAAGTAGAATTCTATGCTCATGACTTACTTAAACAATTGGTTGCATTAACTAATCATTATGAAGAGAAGGACTTTGATAGCTTGCGATTAAATGCAATGATTGGGTTGGTTGTGAGTAACGTGGAATCTGCGCCATATTTGGTTGAATTATTAGCCACAGGTGATTATTCTCTTCAGCAAAGAATGTGTATCTTATCTACACTTTCGTTGTCAGCTAGAGAGTTGAAAGGGTTTAAGGATGAAATTGTTTCGCAATCATGGGAACCAAAGACTTTCCCGACCAACAAACTTCCCGGGAATCTTCATAATAAATATTTGGCGTTAGATGGGATTGCTCAAGACTTACCCGCAAGTATCATAGCTCCTATGGAGAAAAGTATTCAAGACGATTTGATGAGTGGAGTATCAGAAGATGTGAAGGAATTCTCACAGGGGAAAGTTCTTAGAATTCTGAGTCGACTCACTAAACTGAAAAAGTCCAACCCAACGTCTCAGCCGATTGCCAATTTCTCTAAAATAATAGGACCTAATTTTTTTTCTCCGTTGGTTAATACGTGGCATGCCGTGGGTGGAGATATCAATATAGGACATTATTCTTCAATATTCATTGCTCATTATATTAAAACGTTGACATTAATTTTACATTGTGCCTACCCTAGTGCTGTTAATTTAAACGACATGATTAAGGAATATTTTCTTATATTGACACCACTCGTGCTAAAAGTAAGCCTGGATCAAATCCAATTAGTGGAGAGTATAGTAACGGGTGTGCTATTAGTTTGTGATATCACAGATGGGCAATTTCTTGTATCAAATTATCATGAGAATTTACTTATTTTTCAACAATGGCTTTCATCTTCGTGGGAAAGTATTATTGATGATAAAATTAAAAGTTTAAGTGCTGGATTATTACTTCGTTTGAATTCCTTAATGGAGTCATTTGAAAGAACTTTGTTAGATCAAACGAATTCCTTATACTAAAGACAGTGCTACAGTTTTTTTTTAATTTATCTTTTTTTATAATAATACAATACTAATATACATACTTCTTGGAATCTATAGCAAGAAAACTATAAAACATTCAAGAAAACACTAACCCCAATAACACCGCTTACAAGCATAACCTTCTTCCAAGTGTAGTCTCTATCGGTGATGAAACTACCTTGAAGTTTGTTAGCATTGGAAGTGTTGTTGTTTTTAATAGAAACGACAGCAGATGAAACTTTTGAGCCAGAAGTAACCGTGGAGGCAGTTGTGGGAGCCTCCCAAATGGATTGATCACCAGTAAATCCCCATTGATTATAGGTAACATGTGCTGCGGTAGCTTCAGTTGTTTCTGCTGGCTTTGTGGCAGTTGTTTCTGTTTGAGTAGCGGCATGAGTTTTCGCAGCCACTTCAGTAGTTAATGTGTTTGGAACCCCTTCAACAGTATCAGTGTTTGCATTTGCAACTGGTTGTCCGTCAAAACTACCGTTGTTTGCAGCTGAGATGCTAGATACCAAGTATAATACTGCAAAACAGGCAGAAAATGAACTGGGAATGGAGAGAGAATGTGACATTGTATGGTGCAGAGTGAATTAAAGTTTAGTATTTTTTTTAGTGAGATAGTTTCAAATCCAATTTTTTTGGCTACAACATTCCGATCCTATATATATATAAATTATTTTATACTGTTTTATACTATTTTATAGACTCTCCTACATACATATCCCACAACCTCACCAAGCCGAAAGTCTTTTGCATAGGTAAACACCCCCTTTGCTGAACCGACCAGCCATTAGCAATAATAGATGATTCAAAATCCTCATTACATTGCCTATTTGGGAAATTTGTAAACACCATCCAGATCGGCTTCTGCAAGAAAATGCGCAACAAGGCGCTTGGAAGGTTATATTTTGTAGGCATACAAAGATTCTACGTGAAATAAACTTGAAAAAATAAACGTTTGTATATTCAATGACCATGGTCTATGAACAATAGGATGTCATTTGAGTGGAATGGTTCTCCATCCACTTCGCCAGACAATAGAGAGAATGTAACCTATTGTTATGACAATCGAAATGCACTAGAAGACAATCGAAATGTATGAGAAACAATATATCTAATCACGTACCAAATTAGGTAACTTCTTGGTGGGACGTATCCACAATTTCGCGGGGATTGGGTATAACATTGGCAACCAGCACCTTGTTGTTTAGCCATCTACAATCATACATGAGATCATTTCCGTTGATACCGAATCGAAATGGGAAGCATACCGAAAATGATGGAATGATGTCATGTACTTGGATTTCAAATTTTGCAACGTTTTCTAATGAATGACCATTATCTATCTCCAAGTGTTTAAAATTATCTGAGAATTCTATAGAGATTGTAGGAATGTACACGTTGTGATAGTACTTATTGAAAAACTCTGGTAATTCGTCTGCAAATGATACAATTGAATCAAACAGATGCGAATATAAGCCACCAATATGTTTCTTGAATTGACCACGTTCTGAATCAAAATCACCTTGAGCAACTTTTCCTACAATGCGTTTGGCTATTGTGTCATTTCCTTTAATAGATGCAAGGTCTATTGATACCTTTTCACACATTTTGGAAAGAGTTGTTACCACTTGTGCCTCAGTAATCAATGAATCTTCCGCGAGTGTACAGGTATTGACAAATAGTACCCTCCCATATTGGTTATCCAAGGTCATAAAAGAAAGTAATTTATTACATTTGTTTAGAGCTATCTCCAATTGTTGGACATTATTGGTGAAAATCTTATTGGAGTTTATTTCATTAGGGAATACGGTTAGCTCATTTATGATAATATCCCATCCATCCCACAGTGCATCTGCACAGCCAGTATAAGTCCCCAGTCTCGACGACTTTCCTTCTGAGTCCACACCAGTACAGATTAGTCCCAATTTATCGTTGGGACGTAACGAGGCTCGCGCTTCTTTCAATATCTGAACTAAACTTGTTCTATACAACGTATCATCCATATCTGAAGTGTTTACGACAGTGATACATATTATAAGATTGACCGAGAGTGGACTGTGGGGTATTGTTGTGTTTACTTGATCATCTGTCAGAATTGGCTTTTCCTTTTGGATTTCTTCAGACAACAAATCCCATGCATTTGAAGTTATTTGTGTAATTGGAACCAATATATCATCAGGTTCAGTTTGACATAATTTTTCCAAGTAAAATTTCCATTTGGCAAGAATTTCCCATGCCCCAATCAATTCAAATTCAGGAAGGTCGGATCTGAGGAGATTTAACACAAGAGATCTCTCCTCTTCTTGCGATAAAGTGCAAATATCATCCACAGCAAGCTGGCATATAACCATATCATCCAATGCTAAAACGACCAAACTTGATTTTGAAAGAAAACATCTTGACTTACCATAGTTTTCACCGTTTAAATTCACCTCCAAATAGTCAAATATAACAGTCTTTGAACATGAAAAGTTCGGGATTGTAGGTTCTAGGATTATCGCTAGATTTTCTTGTATACGACGAGTCAATTCAATATCTATCATCGGAGCTGCAGAATTGAAAAGAGTTGGGGATTCCACTTTCAATATACAATCCATGACATCTTCACCTTTGTCATTCGTATTAAATTCCAACTCGACATTTGGTCTCGTAAGTACATCCGACTTAATCATGATATTTGGTAAAAGTGGAGTATATGGACTAAAACTATCTAATCCAATTTCCAAATCTGAATATTCAGGGGTATGGTAAGCGACAGGAGAGTAATTGTTTAACCTTTCTTGACTAAAACGTTCTCGAACATCTGGTTCTAAACACAGAGTATATTTCCTACAGGTGGGGCAAACAGATTTGATATCTTCATTTTTGGGCGTTATGAGATGTAAACAATTCAAATGACAAATGTCTCCGCAGGTAAGCTCCACACGAACCTCATTGTCAAGGAGTATAGAGAGAGACTCTTCACATATGGCACAGGTATCGAATGTCAATTTCCTTGGTTTTTTACGTAGTCTGGGGGTAGAATTTGCTGATGATAAACTTCTTGTGAAGAACAGAGAGTTCCCCAATTCAGGTGTTTTTAAACTTGTCATTATCAATGTATTTGGTTCTGATTAAGGAAGCTTACAGCATAATGAGTAGGAATATTAACATTGAATATATACGTATATATAAATAAAAGTAATAATTTATACTAGGACGTATTAATTAAGATCAAGGGGCCCCACACATACCCTTTGTTTAGATAAGGAATTAAAGTTAAAATACAATCGCAGTACATATCTAAATACGCATATATACGAAAAATAATAATATGAAACATCCCACAAAATTCCACCAATGTACGAAAAACGTGTGAGATTCGTCTAAAAACCCCTTTTGGGCTTAATGTGTTAAAATTTTAAGCATGCATTTAAGTATTTCCAAAGTAAAAGTACACCATTATGAAAAATTTGTGGCCATATGCATATATTGTGTGGCATTCATATATATGGAGGTATATAAGGGGTTAAGCGATTAAACAATTCTTAAACGGACAAGTTAGCTGTTACTCTCCTGATGGCCTTGGATACAATTCCAAGCCAATGAACAAATCGTTCAAAATCTTCATCCTCTGCAGCTTCTTTCAAACCTGGTAAGGTTTGACCAGCATATCCGGTAAATCTTCCACTTGCAAACACAATGTGTTTGAACCAACTTCTCTCGTGTAATCCCTTATGAACTAAAAAGTTTCTTTCATAGTATTGTACAACCTTGTTGTGGCCCTTGATTTGGAAAAATAACCTAATTCTTTGCCACCAGTGCAAAGAGTCCCGCTTGTTATAGCGCTCTTGAAGCAAAATTGTTTCGGCATCAAAAAGAGATGAAACATTATGTAATTGAGAAATATCATTAAATGTAGTATCCAAAAGGTCATGCAAAGTGGCTTCTTTATGTTTGGAGGGGTTGACCATGATCATACCTCCATGATGCATACATCCAGACTTTTCCAAATATTCAGGGAATGGGAAAAATTCACGACGAGAATAATAACCTTGAGTAATCTTATTCATGTAGTCAACTTGTTCACCGTCATTATTTAAATAATCTTCCCATATTGATTCCTTATCAATGGTCTTGTAAAGCCATTTCTTAGGGATCAACTCAAGTGTTTCGTTGTAATAAAGAGACAAGTCATGGGAATAATCCTGTAATTTAAAGTCGATCAATTGATGTTCACTTAATTCCAATACAGCTAATCCCAAGAATTTGGCAGTGGCAGCATGGTAAATAAAACCTGGATCACCAAATTTGGAAACCCAATGATATGAATCATAATTAGAATGGTAATGATAAATAGGGTCTCCCTTACCTCCACCAAAACCTAAGTCAACTGATGGAATTCCTAAATGTTCAAGAAACACTGTGTAGTCAGATCCAGAGCCCAAATTCCCAATTCTATCAGATCCATCATGTCTTTCCAAATAATGTTCATAGAGGGTTTCTCCCTTTTTAGAGCCAGGGTATTTAACTTGTTTAAGAGCCTTTTTCAAAACCTTATTCAAAACTGGCGATGAACCAAGATCAAGGTTTTTACCTGTAGTAGCTACATCCAAGTTGAAATATGCAACAACATTCTTTTGCAAAGTTTTAGCTGCATATTCACCAAATTCAGTAGAACCTAATAACCCATATTCTTCTCCATCCCATGATGCAAGAATAATAGTTCTCTTGAAGACGTATCCGCTAGCCTTTAATGCACCAAAGGCTCTAGCAACTTCAAGAAGGGTGGCCAGTCCAGAGTTTGGATCACCAGCACCACCCTTGATCCATGCATCACGATGGTTACCAATAATAATGACTTCGTCCTCGATTTCACCCTTGATTTCTCCATACACGTTCCATAATGGCGTGATGGTGAAATTTTGCTCGTTAAACAAGTTCAAAGTCACATTGGCATTTGGTCCAATAGAATAATCGAATCCTTCCAATTCACCCTTCCAACCCTTATCCTTAGATTGAGCCCCATGACCGTTAAGCTTGGCCAAAATAGGTTTGACTTCACGATAAGAAATGGCCAATGCAGGAATACGAGGAATGGTATTGTGTGGATCCTTTCTTTCAACACCAGGCTTGGAACCATAACCTGGGGTGGTTGGGTCACCAGGAGCAGCACCAACACCACCTAAGAAGAGTAAACTTCCTCTTTGAACAGAACTCTCTTGTCTGGCAGGACCTTCTGGATATTGCTTGTATCCATTTGCAGGGGTAATTCCATAATCATCACCAGGATCAGAGTATAACAATACACCAACAGCTCCATGATCTTGGGCAAACTTGACCTTCAAACCACGGTAAACTTTACCGTATCTAGCAATTACAATTTTCCCTTCAACACTGACCCCCAAGGATTCCAAATGTTCAAAATCTTCCTTACTGGCATAGTTGACATAGACGTATTCGGCAGTGACATTACCATTGGCAGAATAACCTAAAAAGGTTGGAATCAAATCATCACCCACAGAAGTTTCATCTTCCTTGATTTCATCTTCCTTCAAGGGAGCTTGGTACAAGACCTTATCAGTACCGGCCTTGACAAGTTTCAAATCTTGTGCCACTGGATAACTGACATAAATGTCATAGGTATCAATCAGAGTTTCAAATCCATATTCTTCAAACTTCGCACGAGTCCACTCAACTAACCCGTAGTTTGTACCTGCCAAATGTGGTTCAGCAGTGTACTTCTTGGACCAATTACCGGCTAAATTCGTTTCCAAAGCATTGAAAAAGGGGGCAAATTTAACCTTATTTTCAGCTAATTCCAACAAATCTTCATCACCGGCAACAACGTTGAAAAAATGTGAGTAATGACACTTCTTCAATGTGAAATATCCAAAGTATAACAATACAAAAGTTCCAATCCATACCCAAAGATTCAAGAACCTTTTTTTGGTTTTAGTACTACGAACTTCGACATTGTCATTGGTTGACTTGTCTAAAAATTGTTCGATTTCATCGAATTCCTTATCAGAATACTGATCAGATCCTAATCTCATGTTATAGAATCTAATTAGTATGAAGTAGATGATAAAAATATTGTTTTTATAAAACTATTTACATATAGCTTGCTTATATCCTTTGGACTAGACACTACTAGATAACGATTATGTAAGAATGGAGCCGTTTAATAAGCGCGGTAAAGAAAAAAATGGGTAGGTGTGGGGATGATAAGGAAAAGGGGGTAAAAGTGTGGTGGTGGTGGCGGAAATGGCAATATTGGCTGAATTCCATATATGTGTAGAAATTAGCGGATTGATCAAATAACATGGAGAACTAGAGATTATACTCAAGTATGCGATTAAACTTCAATTTAAGGCATTTTCTTTAGTTAACTAATTAATTAGAAATATATTTACAAGGAGGTTATATAAGGTGTAAGGATGTGGAAAGATTTCACACATGAAAAGCGTAACTTGAATTCGTGTATGTTTACTTTGCCTAGGAAACATTTGAATCACATCCCGCTTATACTTATCGTAAGAGATTATTCTTCTTCTCCATTATATTATGATTATTTACTGAGAACAAATCATTATAATCAATGTGTAAGTATTAGTATTCGTAGAATTGATGTATACAGTCTATATATATCGCAAGATACTGAATATCTTGGAGCATACATCTCGCCACCAATTATTACGAATGAGAAATTGACATTTTCATTTTCTGCAACCTAGACACAGCCATGGCTAAAAATAATGTCTAGACTCTTTCTAAGTTTAGAACGTGAAGAAGATTTATCGTTCGAGTAGTCGCTTGACGTACAATAACACCATGTTGAATTGTTTGTTCGGTTTAAGTCTCATTTGTGTCGTTTCTCTTAATACCGACTAACCGAGATCTTTTCCCTTATTATTTTTTTTTTTTTCTTTGGTGCGTAAAAGATGCAGACAGAGATAAATCGAGATCCTTTATTGTAAACGAGAAAGAACGATATACAGACAATTGGCCGAATCACAAGAATAAACTGAAGTTAATTTTTTGAGTGCTATACCTCAGCCCTTTGTCATGGTAGCTTATGTCCAGAATCAATACTAATCCCTAATGTTTCAAGACGCTTAGAGATTCTTACTAGAAATATTTATTTTCTGCTGCATGAAATTACGCGCGAATTGCATGAAATTTTTAAGGTCAATGACGTTCAATGACTTGAAAACATACGTGAAGTTGCTGCAACCACATTGACCACAATCTTGTCTACTCACAATCAAGCCCTGATGGATTACTTGGTATGTTTATTGTTATTTGTAATATGTAGGGCTCGGAAGTTGTTTTTTGAGATCAGCAAACGATTGTAAGTAATTTGACCCAGAGAAGGGAAGCTATCCAAGTCCGAATCAGTTAAAAGTTGTGGGCTAACTAAAATAGCAAAAGGGTCCTCTGTGTATTTCAGTTCTTTTTGGTGGTTTTATTCGGAAATATGCATGGCTATTTGTACCGAAAGTTGTTATCCAAGGCTCGAATCAGCTGATTCATTTAGTGAAATTCAGCTAGTATTGATTTAATCCTGAAACTATTAAACTGGCTAAGAAGTACTTACTTCAACAGAATTTATCATTATTTTAGTAATAAAAAAACTTCATCTAATAATACAATGAAAGTATTGAATACTGGAGTTCTACTTCTGGGACTTATTGGCACTTCAGTGGCTGCAAAAATTAACGGTTGTTACCCTGGAGGTGATATACCAAAGAAAAGTGGGTTTAGAGCAGTAGCTTACCCTTATGTCCTTTATGACTTAATCACCCTGGCTGAGGTCGAGTTTGTCGGTGGAGGATACAAGAACCAATCTTCAATTGCAAGTATTGACGTCGTACCTTCTATCAACATCAATTGGGAAAAGCCAGGTGATCCATTTACAATGGGCATTGCCTACGGTAAATTATATGGTGGTCCAAATATTACCATGTCAAACTTCACTGTTGAACTTCAAGGTTACTACTATGCAAAAGAATCTGGAAGTTACACATTTGCTTTGCAACAGATCGATGATACTGCAGCTGTATTCATCGGAGCTGGAACTGCCTTTGATTGTTGTAAAGACACGCCATCTGGAAATTCCACTGACTTTCAAATTTTTGCTACAAAACCAAGTGATGGTGACCCAGCTGATAACAGTAAAACTGTTGAAATGTTTGCCGATACTTACTACCCAGTGAGAATTATCTACGTCAACATCATTAGTCAAGCTGTCTTTAATATACAGGTAACTTCTCCAGACGGTGTAACAGGGCCACTTGATGGTAGTATTTATGTAATTGATGAGCCACTCGACACTCCAGATTGTCCTGCTTTCCCTATCATTACCACAACTCTTCCATGGACCGGAAGTGATACTGTAACCTCCACCATTACACCATCTGGTGCGCATGATACCACCACAGTTGAAGTGTTAACTCCTTTCCCTACTATTACCATCACGACTTTATGGACTGGATCTGAAACTGTAACTAGTACTGTTATTGGTAGCGATACAGTCACGGTAGAAATCTTGACTCCGGAGTTTACTTCTTCATCAATTGAGTCCTCGACTTCTGAATCTTCATCTGTTGAATCCTCATCTGTTGAACCTTCGTCTGTTGAACCTTCGTCTATTGAACCTTCGTCTGTTGAATCTTCATCTGTTGAATCCTCATCTGTTGAATCCTCATCTGTTGAACCGTCGTCTATTGAACCTTCGTCTGTTGAACCTTCGTCTGTTGAATCTTCATCTGTTGAATCCTCATCTGTTGAATCCTCATCTGTTGAATCCTCATCTGTTGACCCTACATCCTCGGACAATTACTCCATTGTCACCAAGAATGAAACCACCGTTATTACAGTCACTTCATGCTCTGATAATAAATGCACGGAAGTTCCTTCTACTATAACTAAGAGTGAAACAACCGTACTAACTATAACTTCTTGTTCTGACGATAAATGTGAAGTTACAACATGTACTGGAGATAAATGCACAGCACCTTTAGAGACAGCTACTACAACTGAAGTTGAAACCACCGTCATTACTGTTACCTCTTGTTCAGAAGACTCTTTTACCGTTGTGCCACTTACAACTGGAAAGACTGTCATTACAAGAACAAGTGATAGTAGTACTACAGTAATCACGACATTCTGTCCACTTCCAACGCCAGAAATTGAAAGTAAGTCTACGGTTTATGTTACACGTACTGTCTGTTCAGAAGGTTCTTGCTCTGAGGTGATCGATACTACGGCTACTCAGCATGGTTCTGATATCCCAGTAACCGACACCACTACTTCAGCATCTTCAGATACTTCCGCAAGTCCTGCAGTACTTCCATCTGTTCTTCCTAATGAGAACTCGATTGGGAAGCTTGAATTTTCACTAAGCACTCTCATTGCAGCTTTATTAGCAGTTATTAGTATTTAGTAACCTTCTTACATGATATTTGCTTTAGTTTGTTTTTTTTTCCCTTCTTCTTTTATTGTTTATTACGTATATTTTTTCTTTCAATTGAATCACTGATTCATCTACTTTAATCTTATTTCGAATTTGAAAGACTGCAATATATTACTATCTTCTTATCCATTTGTATATTTTATGCTCATTATTGATTGAAATAAATATAATAATATGATTTACATACACGTACTACTTGTATCATTTCAGTGATTTATGTATCACTTCGTCATGGTTTCTAAGAATATGTTGTGCGCCTATATCTGGGTGTAAGGATGTTTTAGACCTCAACATGTGGTCCATATCTCAATAATACATATACACCCCATCTTCAATAAAATAAGTCCATAATGCATCAAAATGCTGGTGACAGATGGACTTCAAGTATAAATTAGAGGAGAAAATAGTGCTTGGTAGTAAATAGAGTATACATGTTTCTCTTTTCTTTTAATTAATTAAAATTGGCTGCAAAAATTGTAATAAACCTATATTATAGCAAAATATACTAAAGGAAAAAACAAAAGAAAGGAATTCTACTAAAATTAGATAACTATAACCAATAAATATTTATCCACGTAAAGCGGTGACCAACTTTATAACACAAGAATCAAGCCTAGATTCAAATGTACTCGTAGTTACTGAAAATGAATAGTGAATTTTAAAACGTTTTAAAAAGCATAGTAAACGAAAACCAGCTAGAATTTGAGTTTCATAATATCAAGGCTTACAAATATTTCATATAATGGGTTGCTTAGAGTGCTCCAGCTGGATCCAGGCAACAAAATGAACTTGATGGGTAGATGTAGTTGACACAATAATTTTCTTCTAGAAAGGAGTTAAAAGTACTTGAAAGTTTTAAAATATAGGGTTCCCGTATTCTAATGGCATCACTTATTTGGCTTAAGTATATTAAAACATCGTGAATACATCTATACGTCCATTAATTCAACAATCAATTTTTTTGCCCAAATTTGGGCCTCTAGGCAAATCGGAGTGAAAATTTTCAAACAACAAGAAATCCTCTTGGTGGCCAAGCTGGCTAAGGCGCGAGACTGTAATGATTAACCTCAAAGTTATCTTGAGATCGGGTGTTCGACTCACCCCCAGGAGATTTCCCATTCTTTTTTTTGTTTTTGCTTCTTATTTTTCTGACCTGAAATATTAATTTTTTTTTTTGAGATGTACCACTGCGATGGCTTCACACACTATATCTGATTTTTTTTTTCTTTTCATTGAAGAGTATTCTAACGGTTAAGGACATTCTATTCACAACCATGCCTTCCAGAAACTCCATTAATAGACCAAAGGACAAGCTCATCCGTAACGGCCACGCTGCTGCCATCGGTAAGAAGAGAACTTCTCGTGCCAGACTTGCCGCTCCAACCAGATCTTCCACTTCTCGTTACAACACCGAATCTTCTACTGCTCCAAGACCTTCTGAATCCACTGCTCTTGCCATGTACGTTGGTTCCGCTGCTTCTCAACCAACCGGTGTCATCACTAACAACACCTTGTCCAAGAAGAGATCCAAGAAGATCGCCAGAAACCAAAAGTACATCGCTCGTAGAAACGAACAATTGAACATTGACATCACTGCTAAGCACGAATCCATGGATGTTGATGCTGAAGATAAAGAAGTCAGCGCTGTCAAGGCTGCCACTCGTTTGGATAAGGTCAAGGAAGCCTTATGGTCTGTTGTTGCTGACGGTGTCAGTGAAGGTTTGGCCTTGGGTTCTGGTAACGGTACCACTTTGGGAGTCCAAGCTTTTTAAAACTACAACTCCTTGAATCCATCTGGGTGTTTCATTCTGTATATTAGTAACTTAATCTATCAAGTAGCTCACGAGAAAATGTAGAAAAGATCCGACAAAAAAAAAAAATATTACAAGTCGATATAAATAATTGGGTGAACATCTCTCATTCTAAAGAGAATTGGTATACATCTACTTATCTAATAATCCCTTTTCAGTCAAACTGTCTTGCACGGTGGATCTCAAAAGAGAAATCATTTGGGCTGGATCTTCAGCTTTAAACACAGAAGTTCCTGCCACAATGACATTGGCACCAGCGGCAGCAGCAGCAGGAATTGTTTCCTTACCCAAACCACCATCGACTTGGATGTTCATGTTTGGGAATTTAGCTCTTAATGCAGCCACCTTAGGCATCATTTCTGGCATGAATTTCTGACCACCAAATCCTGGTTCCACAGTCATAACCAAGGCCATGTCCAAGTATTCAGCCAATGGGTATAAAACATCAACAGAGGTTCCCGGTTTGACAGCACAGGCAGCCTTCATCCCATGTTGCTTGATCAACTTGACTAATGCAACTGGATCCAGAGTAGCTTCATAATGGAATGTGTATTGATCACCTCCAGCCTTGGCAACTTCTTCGACCCATTTTTCTGGCTCAGCCACCATCATGTGGCAGTCGAAGAAACTGGCCTTTGTGGTTGATTTAGGGATCTCTTGTCTCAAACTGGAGATAATTGGAGGTCCTAACGAGATGTTGGGGACAAAGTTACCATCCATAACATCAACGTGGAGCCAATCAGCACCACTGTCATACATACGATGACAATCACAACCTAAGTTGGCGAAGTTGGATGCAAGGATTGAAGGGGCAATAATAGCTTTGACCATGTTTATATATATAGCTTAAATGATGGAGAAGAAATTTAAAGATCCAAATAGTATGGTTGACATAATCGGATCTCAGTACCCCCATAATTTGCGTCACGTGGGTAAAAAGCTCAAAATAAAAGCGTGGGGGATTCAAGGAAGGGGGAGTCATTCAAATCAATTAAAGAAAAGGTGAAATGAATAATAAATAAAATAGTTATATGATTTGAAATTTTAATTTCATATATAGAGAGGGAATGAATAGGATTAGTTTAGGTATGATAGAGATATAAATAGGTGTAATAATTTACTCTTTATACTTCCTACTCAATTAGTAATGACTACCCAACAAAGGTGTAACGTGCAGGTGTCTTTATGCAGGTCTTATCAGATATATATATATATAGAAACCAGATAAAGTCATATAGAAGAAATCAATCTATGGAAAATGTAAAATTTCTGGCAACGAGAAAATTGTTTCAGTATAGAGGAGAAGAGAGAAACAGACTGTAAAAGGAAAATAAAATAAAATAAAATATATATTAACAATGTTGTGCTCCATCATAATTTTTCTTAGATTTCTTCTTCCATTCACCACCAGTCAATTAATAATACATGTTCCATATTCTGTCACCTTCATTCTACACTACTTTCAATTACTTTTCATCATTTCATTTATTAAACTCTAACCACCTCTAACTCTAGGCTTCTTCTTTTCAGCTTCAGCTTCCTTTTCAGCTTCAATTTCATCTACATATTTCTTGATTTCATCAACTGTAAGCTTTTGGATTCTGTTTCCAGACTTCAAGACGGAAATTTCAATGTTTTTAGCCCCAGTTTGAACCACCTCCAATAACGATTTAATGGTCAATTTGATTGTTTGTTCATCTGTTAAATCTTCCAGATAATTCTTTTCTAAAAATTCTCTTACAGTTTTAGAGGATCTACCAATAGCATTAGCCTTCCAAGCGTTATAAACACCAGATGGTTCTGTTTGGTATAATTTGGGTACCGTATCGTTGTTATCGAAACCAGCAATCAACGTGGCAATTCCAAACGGTCTAACCCCTCCGGATTGTGTATATCTTTGCTGGACACCGGCCACATATTTCGTCAAGTATTCAATGGAAACTGCATCTTCAAGGGTCAATCTATGGGATTGTGCTTCCACTCTGGCCTTATCAACCAAAATTCTGGCATCAGCATTTAATCCGGCAAATGCCAATAACGCATGGTTATCAACTTTACAGATCTTAGAAGGAGTAATACGTGGGTCTTGCAACTTCAATGTGGTTCTCTTTTCACATCCGAGTACGACTGTTTCTTTACCCTTGACACCAACGGCACAAGTTCCTCTTTTAACTGCTTCAGATGCATATTCAACCTCTATAAAATTTGTTAGTAATTGCAATACAATGGATAATAAAATGGGAGAAATGAAGAAAGTCAAACAAAGTTTTGTAGAATAAAAAGATTTTTTAAAGAAGACATTCATCAAAATGAGTGATATAGAATTTAGTGGAGTTTGTATTTGGACTAACTTGTGCTCAAAAGTGGAGAGATTGGTCCACAAGGTCAGCTTTCAATTTCCTTGCCATTGAAAAGGAAACTGAAGGATCAGTTCTCCTAGAGACAAATATGCAATACTCCTAGAAGAAATCTATCAATGTCCTCTATTCCCAGAAATATCTCTGATGGGGGTGAGAAGAGACTACCTCACACAAGTACATCAATCAACACTCCAAACACAATTGACTTCCTTAATCATTCAAAATAACATCCAGAATATGTATACATACGGAAAACGTGTCCATCAGGTCTAGATAATTAGTTAGTAAACGTTCAAAAAAGGGTTCGAGGGGGTTGAAAGTCGGGTGGCAACTACTAAAAAAAAGTTGCCCTCAATTCAACTTCAGCTTTGAGCCATGAAACTCGATACCACCCATAAAAAAGTTCAAAACCACTTACGAGAAAATGGATAAAGCACTATCGTAACCACTCATTATATATTATGTTTTATTTTGTGTAGATATATTAAGTTTAAAGTGGATTATTTCTTGTAAAGTGGTGAATCTGCGATTTCCATGTTGATCAAATTCCCAGGAAAGCGTGGACTGCAGGTAGTCACATGACGAGTGTATATAACTTTCAAGAAGACAATGAGTTTATACAGTTGAAAATATTATGAAATAAGGTTAGAACTAGAAGATAATAAATGTATTAAATGACTAAAGATATAAATATTTATATAATCCTAGACACATACAATATGATATTATGTAAAATCGGATCTAATTATTCACACTTCATATTATTCAAGTCACGTGATCAACCAAACCAGACCCATTTATTCTAGTCACGTGCATGGAGTTAAATATATAGATATATATCAACTACAAACTATCTTTATAACAAGAGAATACTAAAAAAACAACACTTCCAAATGTTTATTAATCTACTTATTACCACATTCTACTACTGTCAGTATATGGATACTCTCTTGAAGTCTCTTAAAAGAACCTGATTTCCCAATAATTAATAATTTCATTGTCTAGGACTGCACACAGTCCAGCTCTTTACATATATTTTTATATTAAATTTATTTTGGCAGCCAATCCATCCTTGTTCGGGAAAGGAAACCTTTAATAACACATACATATGGCAGGGAAACAGAAGAAGCAAAAGGGTGGAGGAGGTAATGGAGGTGCCAAGCCTCCAACGACTATTCCGCATAAAGATCATTATGCGAGAATCTCCTACCTATACCAGACATCAGCTCTTTTCAGTACTCTGAAGAAGTATCAAGTTCTTTCAAGAAATTTGGCAAGAAATGTAGATTTGGTGTCAAAGAAAACAGTTTTGAAGCTTACTCCGGCTATAAAGAGGAATATTTGCAAACGGTGTAACACCAACATGATTGCTGGGATCACCATGAAGATGAGTGTGGAGAACAAGTCCAAAAGTGCTGATGGTGGTGGAGGAGGTGGTCTTGGGATGACCAACGATAGGAATGATGTTCTTGTACATGAATGTTTACATTGTGGGCAGACCAAGAGGTTCCCGATCGGTAAGGATCGAGAGTATCGGGTCTTCAGCGAGAAGGAAGAGGTGGCGTTACCAGTTGATTGATTGATAGTGAGTGTTATTTAATGAAATGTTACGACGACAAAAATAATATAGAGTGGCTACAATGTAATTTTACAGATAAAAACACATCTGCTTTACTCCATTATTAATTCTTCTTCTTCTTCTTCTTCTTTTTTTCTCTTCGTTATATTAAGAAACAAGTGCTACTCTCTACTTAATCCTTTGGACCAATCATATTTTCAGGTCTGACCCATTCATCGAATTCAGCTTCAGTCAACATGTTTAATTCCAAACAAGATTGCTTCAAGGTCAAACCCTTCTTGTGAGCATTCTTGGCGACCTTGGATGCGTTATCATAACCAATCTTTGGGTTCAAAGCAGTGACCAACATCAAGGATTCATGCAAAACCTTGGCGATCTTTTCTTCGTTGGCAATGATCCCTTCAACACAATGGATACGGAAGGAACGACAAGCATCTCCAAGTAATCTTACGGAGGACAACAAGTTGCTGGCCATGACTGGCTTGAAAACGTTCAATTCAAATTGACCCAGAGCACCGGCAAAGGTGATGGTAGTATGGTTACCCATAACTTGGGCACAGACCATGGTCATGGCTTCACATTGGGTAGGGTTAACCTTACCAGGCATGATTGACGAACCTGGTTCGTTTTCTGGAAGAGATAATTCTCCATATCCACAACGTGGACCAGATCCTAAGTAACGGATATCGTTGGAGATTTTGAAAAGAGAAACAGCAAGAGTGTTTAAGGCACCCAGGGCTTCAACAAAGGCGTCATGGGCAGCCAAGGCTTCAAACTTGTTTGGAGCAGTCTTGAAAGGCAATCCAGTCAATTTGGATACTTCATCGGCAACCTTGACATCAAACCCGATCTTGGTGTTCAAACCAGTACCGACAGCAGTACCACCTTGAGCCAACAAGGATAAACGAGGTAAGACAGCTTCAATTCTAGCAATACCAAAGGTTAATTGTTGAACATATCCACTGAATTCTTGGCCCAAAGTTAATGGAGTGGCATCTTGTAAATGAGTTCTACCAATCTTGATGATATCCTTGAATGCTTGAGATTTAGCTTCAAAAGCATCACGTAAGTTGGTCAATGATGGAAGCAACTTCTTGGAGATTTCAGTGACAGCAGCGATGTGCATGACAGTAGGGAAGGTATCATTAGAAGATTGTGACATGTTACAGTGGTCATTAGGATGCACAGGAGTCTTAGAACCTTGAACACCGCCCAAGATTTCAATGGCACGGTTAGAAATAACTTCATTAGCATTCATGTTGGATTGAGTACCAGATCCGGTTTGATAGACAACAAGTGGGAAATGTTCAGTCAATTTACCAGCAGCAACTTCAGAGGCGGCTTGTTGAATAGCCTTGGAAAGCTTAGCATCCAAGAGTCCCAAATCTTCGTTGGCAAGTGCAGCAGCTTGCTTCAAAACACCAAAGGCACGGACAATTGGTTCAGGCATCTTGATGTCACCAATGTCAAAGTTACCCAAAGATCTTTGGGATTGAGCACCCCAGTACTTATCAGATGGGACTTCGATTTCGCCAAAGGCGTCGCTTTCAACTCTTACAGACATGTTTTAGTACAGCTTGGAGGTGGGAAGTAAAAGTATGAACGGGCGGGAAAATTTGGGTTGGTCTCAATTTTTTTTTTTTGGCCATATCACATATTGCCCGGAGTTTGATGATCCCGGACAAGAATCGGTGAATTCCGGGTACAATTGACACATCCGGGACGCAGCATACAGGAAAACGATATCGGAGTTGTATACGGATGTATACCAGATGAACATGTTTATGTAAGTTTCACAGAGTAACAGATAACTGTAGACAGTTCTAACTACTTTGGATGTTGAATTCGGGACTTTCCCAAGGTGGGGAGAACTCCCATAATGTTTTTTTTTTTTCAAAATAAGTTATTATATGCTCTCCTAGTGTGTACTTAAAGAACCATTGAATGTGAACCAAACATGATGATAAAATTAGATTATAGGTCTGCTCTTTCGGGCTCTGCTGGGTCTGCAAATCTCCAGACTAGATATGTATTTAATAAACTACATCTTATGTATGTTTTCAATAAATCATTAATATATAAAAATAGAAGAATTAGACGACTAGGGGCATATACCGGCCAAATCTGGCCCCCTTTTTATGTGTAAATATATATATATAGTTGGGCAATTTGGGGAAGGTGGGAGCCGAGATAACGAATTCATCACCAAAGATTTTGTGCGTACCATTATAAATTGTGCTATGGAAGAATATAACCATAGCCAAATATTGAAAAAAGTGGAATGCACGTGACAATGCGATATCCGGTCAGCCTAAAAACAATTCCGGTCATAAAGTGGAATTATACTTGATATCTCCTATCACTAGAACTTTTCGTTTAAAATGTTGTTCTGGTTATAAATAGACACTCTAAATCCCACATAATGCTGCCCAAGGCACTATGAACGAATTGGAGCAGTTTCCAAAACCCACAGTCTTCTCTATAAAAATTGAGACTGTGTTTGCTTTCTAGTCTGAGTACGTCTTACAGGAACCACTCTAGCTCCTAACCAGCCATAACGGAAGCCAATTTCATGGGCAAAGATTTCTCCGAATCCCAACATCACCCCATTGATGAATGGCAATACTAAATTGATCGCACTCTTCTTCAATATCGCCCATACGTCGACGGTAGTGGGCGCAGTCATGGTGGTCGTATAGCCCTCAGAGTAGTCACTTGAGTAATCCTCATCTTCTTGTTCATCTTCATCCTCTTGACGTCCTTGTTCAATCAAGATTTCTGTCTTAATGACATCGTTATCACTAACAAGTTCATCTGCAGACATCTGACTTCTTAAGACCGTCAAGTCATTTTCTTGAGTCTGCTCATCGATAGAAGAGTAGTCTGTGGAGCCTTGTAAGAACAGCTCGTCGTCGTTTGAAAGGAACTTATTATCTGACATTTTTATTGATTGATATATTAGAGATCAATGTTGAATGGTGACAGACTATTTCTAATTTTGATCATACCACGAAATATATGCAGGATATCAATTTGTATATAAATTAAAAAAAAGTGAAACTTTGGCAACCCCTTAGAGGATTACCTCCACTGTGGGACAGAAAGCTGCTCAGCTGGCCAATTCTCGAGGAGAGTCACTGAATGGGACCTAGCTCCTTATAGAGGGAACAAAGCCTCTTAAGACTACTAGCCCACGTAGTACCAGCGGAGCGGTTTGCAACCCTCGTTGGGTTGTAGCTACTGTCTATCTCCGTCTCAGACTGAGGGTAACTTCTTCTTCTTCTTCTTCTTCTACTACTCTTCACTATATATACAATAGATGTGTAAATATTTCTAATTCATTTCTATACAAGTCATAATCATTTCTTAACACCAACAGATAATCCATTCTTTAATCTCTTTTCAGTTAAAGCAGCAATAATGGCAGCACCAACACCAGACCCATCTTCAGCAGGAACAATGATAATTGGGTCTTCCTTGATTTCAGGACCCCAACCGAAAAGTTCTCTCAAACCTTGAGCAGCTCTTTCCTTGAAACCAGGGTATCTGTTGTAGACAGAACCGTCAGCAGCACAGTGACCAGACGTGTAACCTCTCTTCTTACAGATGGCAGCAATACCACAACAGGATAATCTGGCAGATCTGTCACCAATCAATTCGGCAAGACGACGGATAACCTTTCTTTCACCAGCGGTGGTGGAAAGATTCAAGACACTTTGGAATAATTCTTGAGTGTCAGACAAGTTTTCAAATGGATCTTCTTCAATTCTAGCAGGGAAAGAGGTATCCATAATGAAACTTTGTTCCAATTTAGACAAATCTTGACCTTGGAAGAACAATTTCTTTTCCTTGGAAAGTTCCAACAAGATTAATCTCAAAACTTCACCCAAGTAATAACCAGAGATCATCTTTTCAAAAGCTTGTTGACCTGGTCTTGGAGATTCAGCATCGATTTGGATATCGTACTTGGTACGAGGTAACACTTCATGTTCATTATCAAAGGAACCATATTCACAATTGATGGCCATTGGAGTATCAGCAGAAACATCAGCTGGAAGCTTTCCTTCCAACTTAGGAATGTCACCACAAACGTCGTAGTAAGCACCATTACAACCAGTACCAAAGATAAGACCCATCTTAGCTTCAGGGTCGGTGTACATGGAGGCAACAAGAGTACCGGTGGTATCATTGATCAAGGCAACAATGTTAATTGGAACATTTTGTCTTTCCACGGCAGCTTGCAACATTGGGACAACGTCATTTCCTTCAACACCTTCAATGTCAAAACCCTTGGTCCATCTTTGCAAGAAACCTTCGTTGATGGCGTCTTGCAGGGCTGGGAAGGAAAAGGTGAACCCTAATGGGAGTGGTTCAGTGACACCTTCTGGGAATTCTTCATCGACGAATTTTTTCAAACATTCAGCAATGAAATCCCACAAGGCTTCAGACTTGGCGGTTCTGATGTCGCTAGGCAAGGCGTACTTGGATTGAGTGGTGTCAAAATCAGAGTTACCTCCCAATTTGACCAAAACAACTCTCAAGTTTGTTCCACCCAAATCAATGGCAAGGTAATCACCGGATTCCTTACCAGTAGGGAAGTCAAGGACCCAACCAGGGATCATAGGGATGTTACCACCAGCCTTGGACAACCCCTTGTCGAGTTCAGAAATAAATTTGTCGGTAATTTTGTGAAGAGTTTCCACTGGAAGGGTCAACGACTCTTCAAGCGCATGAAGTTCGGAGATGAATGAGGCTGGGACGTCAGTCCAAGTTCCCTTTCTGTGTTGTGGAGGTTTAGGGCCAAGATGTACCATATTGTATGAGTGTGCGTAGTATGTAGTAGTGAAGAGCAAGAAGTCAAACCGAGGCGCTTTCGAGTGTTTTATAAGCCTTTTATATAACGTGACGACGTCGGAGCACAAACACCTGTTGATGCACAATAATCTCGTCGGCGTGCATATCGGTGGGGAACATTTTTCACCACAAAATGAACCGCAGAAAAAAAAAATTTAAAAAGCAGTAAAAAAGAGGAGTCGGGAATCTTTGTTCCGCGGGTAAAACATACCCAGCATAAATGATACAGTGGGTTGGGTCTGTCTAGCAGACCCATACAACTAAGGCATTATGCGAAGAATAATGTATACATGTAGCTATAGATTTCTTTTTCATATTCCAGCCAGTTGGATCTTGTGCCTAGAGCTTATTTTGATTTAAATTTGCGGTGGCCGTATGTGTTGTTTTTTTTTTTTTTTTTCCGTCACGGTTTTTCCGGATCGATAACCGCATCTGGTGGTGGTATGCAATGCTTTTATGAATACCGGAGGTTAATGTGGGGGGTTGATAAAGCAAAAAGAAGACAATCTGGTTGGTTATACTGCCCCATAATCAATAGGACAAGTGTCGTAGCTACAAAGATGTACACGGAATAACAATAGACATAGCCGTATAAAGAACATGAGGTTACATACCCTGAGATTGAATCTCATGAACTGCGCTTATAATGTTTTTTTTTTTCTTTCGAAGTTAATCCGGGGGCGTGGGGGGCTCGGACCACCGAATTTCGGTTGGATAAATCTGCCCATGACGTCTCAACATTTTCAGGGATAGGGGGGATAGATTTCCATTTTCGTACAGCACACAAGTTGCCCCATAGTTTTTGACGTAACGTTGCCCCATACCCCGTACCCCCGTACGTCCCCCACTATTCGTTAGGTCATGAATGGTCCATCATCTACACGTCTTGTATTCAGGGCCCCCACAATACCGGGCATCACCTAATGGTGGAGATCTAGTGGTATGATACTATCCTGTGTAGTCCATCTGTAGTTCTTACCGCATTTCTTTTGTTCTTTCTTTCATTTTGGTTGTTTCTACCACAAATCTCTTGTAGTTTCATCAAAATTCTTCATTGCCTCCCCAACTGTGTTTAATTTATCTCTCATATCTTCAATAAATCTATCTAATTCTTTTAAATCTTGTTTCCTATACAAGATATTTTTAGAATTATTACCATCATGACCGAAAAATTCTGCCATTTGTGTAGATTCATTATTTGATTCCTCGCCCCTTGTTTCACCCTCTTCTTCCGTTTGAAGTAAATCAGAAGAATCATTGGTTGTCTTACCAAGAGTAGAATTGTTTTGTTGAGTTAATTTGTAAACTTGTTCCTCTTCCTTAAGCTTTGTATGTTGTAGAGCCAATACTTCAAGAAGTTTATTTTGACTGGCTTTCAATTGGTTTAATTCTTCATTAAAAGAATCATTGAAGAATGAACCACGAAGTTTGACTTGATTCGACATGTTTTTAACATCATCCAACACATCTATCTGGGTCCAGAGTTTGTCCAGATACGTGACACTTGGTCTTGAGCTGGGTACGGCATCAATGGATCGTTCACTATGTTGAGTATCTTCCGAAAGAATTGTATTGGGATATTCGGTGTTATTACTAGTGTTTGTTCTAGTGATTCTCAAGAGAGAAGATGCAGATTTACTACTTCTATGACGATTGGATGTGGATAAAAATTGTGGGAAGACATTTATTTGTGGTGTTGTGGATGATTCACCAGTGGATGATGAATGAGATCTTAAAGTTTGAGGTCTTGGTACTGATAAGTTTGACATGGTGTAGAACTATAGAGCGTATATCTGGACAAATTGGTAGGATATATTCTACTTGATTAAGCACACTCTCTTACTCTTACACCAACTCTTACTCTTTATTACTTCTTATTAAAGTTCGCACAAACTCTAAAGTTTGTATACAACTCAATCTTACAACTACTACAACTAGTAGTTAACTTTCAAGCTAGAGATACCATACACTATCACTTTATGTCTTCTCATTTATCTCCACCCAAGATCACCAATGGATCTAGAGCGGAAAACACACCCTCACCGTCTATAAGCCCGCATTCTTTACATTCCAAAAATATTCATAACCCATCAATATCACCAACCCCAACCACTCCAAATGCCTTCCATATCTCCTCGTCATTCTCAGACCCACCAAGATTCTCCTTAAGAGCGAAGGATAAACCTCTAATGACCCGTCATCGCGCTCCTTGGAAGAAACTTCTCTACCTTCATCAATCATACCCTGATAATTACACCAGTGCCTCATTCCTCTCACAACTTAAACGGAACACAACCGTCATTAAACATTCATATTGGAAATTGGTGGATGATTTCGCTCTTATTGCTCAACATCTTTCCTCCATAATGGCTGTGATTGTTCTTTTTGTTGGAATTCATTCACAAAATATTAACCCAATCCGTCCCACGGTCTATACCACCATCATAACATCAGTGGCATACATGGCAACCAACCAACATTCATCCAAGTCTCTCAAATCGTCCTTGGTACTACTCTTCATCATTTTAATTCTTTCCCCAGTCCTCAAGTCCCTCACAAAGTCCACTTCTTCAGATTCAATCTGGGCCATTTCATCATGTCTTTGTCTTGCCAATACTCTTTTCCATGAATATGCCCTTGCATCTCATGTGGCAGACTGCAAGCCTATCATTTCCACCAACATTTCACTTGCCAATGCAGTTGTGTTAGCTTCAAGACTCTCATCAAACATCTCAGTGTTTTGCTTTGTTCTCTTTTCCATTCAAGTGAACATCCTTCTACCACTTTTCGATTTAAATTTACGTCATTATTACCCAATGAATTATCATCGGACACTTTTCATCTCATCTTCAGTGGTAATAGCCACAATGATTGGTCGAATCTTGGGCCTCAAACTTCTATTGATTTGGATTTCGTTTCAAATCTCTTTGGTTTTCATTCTTCCAGCTTATTTTATATTCCTTCAACGATACAAAAATGAACTTCAAGGCCCTTGGGATCCTGCAATTCCAATCACTTAGAAAGGTAGTTCCGCAGGGAAGGGGCCCTCCCCACGGCTAGTGGCCCAAGGATTGCCAGCGGGGGTAGCGGCTTGGGGCCCCACAGGATCGGGAGTAGTCTCACCCTACGGGGTCTGCAGGACGCTCCGCTAGCCCCTGCCCGGGGAGGGCCACTGGCATGGAGCCTGGCTCCTCTACGAGGAGACCTCTAGCAGTGTGATTCCTCGTTAGAGGAAGGAGGCCCCCACGGCTAGTGGCCCACGGAGTGCCAGCGGAGCGGCTTGCAGACCCGCAGGGTAAGGAGTAGTCCCACCCTACGGGGTCTGTACGACTCTACACTGGCACTCCGTGGGCCACTGGCGTGAAGCCTGGCTCCTCTACGACGAGACCCTTTTTTAAAAAAAAGAAAGAAACCCCCCCCCCCCCCCCCCCCCCCCCCTAAAAAACACAAGCAACAATGAATAAAGATTAACGAAGAATGACATATTTACAACTTATTGAATTATACATGTAGCTATTAATATATAAACTGTACTGTTATTATCTCTGTCTATTATACTGGTTGCAATATAAACGACATTTTCCACTTTGTGTCGCAAATGCGACATTTTTCCAATTCCGGTCAAAATAATCAAAAAAAAAGTTGATTAAAACGATCAACATTCAAAAAGTAGAAAAGGTATTAATCAATCAATTAATAATGGCTGGAGATCCAATCAATGACCCCAAGATGGGAGGCAGTGGTCCAGGACAGGCCCAGAACCGGGCCCCAGCTCAACAGCATCCAGGGATGGCCCGTGGCCCTGTGCCACGACCAGTTGGTACAAACAATTCTTCAGGATTACCAAATTCTACAAATATACCAAATTCAAATGTGCCAGGAGGTATGGGTGGTCCAAGCGGTGGTGCACCAACTAGTGGTGCACCTGCTCCTGGCGGTGTTGGTGGTGCCCCTGGTGGACCTTCCACTGGAGCACCCCCTGGAGGAGCCAAACCAGCACAACCTCAATTTTCTCAAGCAGATCTTAATAGAATTGTTTTGGAATATCTTAATAAAAAGGGTTATCATCGTACAGAGTCGATGCTTAGATTGGAAAGTTCCAACACTGCCACGCCTCCAGTACCCAACGTAACTCCAGGAAATTCATCGTTAGCAAATCCAATGGAAATATCTCGTAGAGAAAAGGAACTTCGTGATAAGGCCCTGAGAAATGAAAGAGAATTACGTGATCTTCGTGATAAACAAATGAGAATTGAAAGAGAATTACGTGATCTGAGAGATCGTGAATTCCGTCTTGCCAAGGAAAAGGAACTTCGTGAATTAAAAGAATATGAAGAAAAGAAAAAACGTGAAAGTAATCCAGAAACTTACCTTCAAGCATACTCCATGCTTCGTAGTTGGGTGGCTACTTCCTTGGATTTGTATAAGCCAGAATTGAGTAGAATCTTGTATCCAATATTCATTCATTGTTATTTGGAATTGATTTCTAAAGGCTTTGTTGCTGATGCTAAAAAGTTTTTAGATAAATTTAAAGATGATCATATGATGTTACATGGAGGAGAAGTGAATCGATTATCTGGGATTAGTACCATAGATCATTTGAAAGAAAACAAGTTGGCTCAAGCATTTAGAACCAACAAGTATAAAATCATTGTTTCTAAAACAACCATCAATTTATTATTGTTCTTTCTTCATGAAAATGAAACTGTTGGGGGTGCAGTTCTCATCAGAATCATTAACCAATATTTAAACCCAGTGATTGCCAGTACTAAACCTGACAAAAAGGATCTTGAAGGAGAATTAAATCCAGAAGAAGGAATTCCAGGATTATATATTTCCAATGAAATTGATAAATTTAATGATCAACCAGTGAAATTAGGTAAATTACCATTAGATCCAGAAGTTGAAAAGGAAATTGAAGCGGAATTGAAAGTTAAAGATGAAAGAATTGATAAAGTTGATGGGAAAAGTTTATTGGATGAATTTAAAGAAATGAATGAAAATGAAGAAGGTGAAGAATCTCCAGGAAGAGATGCCCTTCCATTACCCATCAAGGATTATACTGATATAAAGAGAATGATTTTGGGTGTAGAGGATTCTAGAAGTAAAATACGATTGGGAAGTGGAGGTGTTGGTGGTAGTTCACTGATTCAAGCATCTGCTCCATCTGTCTGCATGTATACCTTCCATAACACCAATAACGATATGACATGTGTTTCATTCAACCAAGATTCGGACTTGGTCGCTGCTGGGTTCCAGGATTCTTTCATTAAACTTTGGAGTTTAGATGGGAAACCATTGAAATCCGTATTTAAACGTGATCCTGAAAATAATGAAAATTGTCGTAAATTAATTGGTCATAGTGGTCCAGTGTATGGGGTTTCATTCAGTCCAGATAATAGATTTCTTATTTCTGGGTCTGAAGATAAAACTGTTCGTCTTTGGTCATTGGATTCATACACTGCACTTGTTTCATATAAGGGACATAATCAACCGATTTGGGATGTTAAATTTTCTCCTATGGGTCATTATTTTGCCACTGCTTCACATGATCAAACCGCCCGACTTTGGGCTACTGATCATATCTATCCATTAAGAATCTTTGCTGGACATATTAACGATGTGGATTGTGTGGAATTCCATCCAAATTCAAATTATGTGTTCACTGGATCTTCTGATAAGACTTGTAGAATGTGGGATGTTTCCCAAGGGAATTCCGTGAGAATCTTTTTAGGACATACTGGACCGGTTAATTGTATGGCTGTATCACCTGATGGACGTTGGTTGGCACTGGCGGGTGAAGATAGTGTTGTCAATGTGTGGGATGTTGGATCTGGACGGAAATTGAAGACAATGAGAGGTCATGGACGTTCATCTATTTATTCTCTCGCATTCAGTAAAGATGGTGGAGTATTGGTTAGTAGTGGTGCGGACAATACTGTCAGAGTTTGGGATATTAAACGTAATACAAATGAATGTGGACCTGAACCAGAACCTTTTAATAAGGAAGCCACTTCAAATAATAACGAGAAAACTGAAACAACTAATGTCAAGGGAAATAGAAAGGAAATCTTGGCTACTAATGACCACATGACCGCATATTTTACAAAGAAGACTCCTGTTTTCAATGTTCATTTTACAAGACGTAATTTATGTTTTGCAGCTGGGACCTTTTTAGGTTAGAATCTACAAGATAGTCAGTCAGGATTGTAATCTGGTACATTTCTTCATGAGGGAAGAACATATATAGACCTTACTCTCCCAATGGCCCAAGTATAGCCTTGAAGCTCATTTCTTTCCCTTTAGAGGCGGGTGTGTTTGAGAGAGAGATATATTTGAAACTAGGTCTCAGCCGCCTGAAACAACATTGTTGTTTAAATTTCACATGACATGTCCGAATCGGAATTAAACTGTGGTGGACCAGCTACTTTTTCTCCACCGGGATCGGGGTGTGTGGATTCAAATTGAGGGAATTCTATGGTGGCTATCACTAATCGGTAAATTCATACATAAATAATATACATATACGGACTAATCAACGTAAATTCATGTTATGTTTGTTGCTGTAAAAAGGTCAACTTAGGGGCTTAGATACTAGAATGCGCTAGGAAATGGCTTTGGAGGCTGAAATGAGGTATTTTATGAAGTAGTGCTTATGTTCCAAAAATACTTGTCGCGATAAATTTAGATTGACACATGTGTCATTCTGCACGTTTTAAGAAGGAATATGTGAGTGCTAAAAAGAAACAACCACCTTAAATATTAGACAGAGAGAGAGAGAGAGAGAGAGAGAGAGAGAGAGAGAGAGAGAGAGAGAGAGAGAGAGAGAGAGAGAGAGAGAGAGAGAGAGAGAGAGAGAGAGAGAGAGAACCACCCAGAAACTCGTAGAGCACGGACTAGACTGTAGGGGCATGATACAAAATAAACTATTATATAAATTATTAAATAAGTTATTAACTGTAAAAACGTGTGGAGTTCTAAATGTCTGATAATATAAATTTAGGTTCATTTTCAAACCTTAAAATAATTCTGTAACCGCCACGATTTGCTGTCAAATTAAAAATATGATACAGCATATACGCTTTTGATAACCACACATTACTACGCCCCCCGTTTTCCAATGTGCATATTTGAATCCGGGGGAGAAACCCACTATAAATAGGGAGGTAGGTATCCTACAAGAGAACAGGAAAGGAGAATAAATCACTAATTCTAATAATTTGAATTTTTCTTGACCACCATGAAGTACACCACTCCACTTTTCTTGCTTGCAATTGCATCAATTGCCAAGGCTGCCTCCTCCTCCGAAGCTGCCTCCTCTTCCGCAAAGGCTAGTGTGTCTGAATCCAAGTCTGCCAGCGCCAGCGCCAGTGGATCTGCAGGAGCAAAGTCCGAATCGCACGCCGTTACTTCTTCTTCATCTCCTTCTTCTTCTGCAAAGGCTGCATCAGCCACCTCGTCGGCAAAGGCATCTTCTTCAACAAAGGCAGCCTCGTCCGGTAAGAAAAGTTCAACCTCGTCAAAGAACGATGCTGCAGGATTGACCGGAGTTAACGTAGGTGCATTGGGAATGATTGCTGGACTTTTATTAATTTGATCTTTTTGCGACTCAATTAGTTTTTTTATATTTTATATATCATCCAATAATAAACGAGTGTGTGTTACACCTTGAGGTTTTGTGAGGCATTTGGCTGCAACATAGATTTTATTTTTTTTTCTCGTGTGTCACCATAAAATTTTCTATTGAATATGCATCAGTAGTGGAAATTGTATGCGAATAATTACTTCTGTTGGGTTTTCGTCACGGCACTATTACCCAAATATACCCAAACTAAATGCACATTGAGAAGGCGAAAGTGCTTCACTTCATTGTTTCATCAGGCTAGAGTGAAAACGAAAAATTTCACCATCCTTCATTTTACAAGTAGAATCGAAACATGCATGGTCCCGAGAGAATGCTTTACTCCAGGTTTTAATCTCATGAACAAATGCTTGGCTTAATTTTGGTTCCCCTCCTGTAATGGCCCGGTACGGTCCCCCCACATCGCAATTGTGTACGCGAAAAAAAAAAAAAACAAACTGTGAGTGGCTCTCGTTCGGCCTCTTTGTCGAGGAAATGGGCATAATGTCGCGAAAAAAAAAAAAAAAAGAAAAGCATTACACTAAAACAAAAACACTCCTAAATAGTAAAGGTGAAATGCCCCGCTTTGTCTGTCTGCAGGAGCACCGCGTCATGCATGCCATATAGTACATACGCCTAAATGTTCGCCATACATACTTCATATGGAAATTCTTCGAAATTTCAAAACCTTCGATGACAGGTTGAGTATAAAAGGACACGGGAATCTCTCATGTTAGATTATCGATATAGTTATTTCTCTTTCTTTCATAAATAAAAAAATATATATATATAATAAAAATGCAATTATCTAACGTTGTTTCTGCTGCCGCCTTAGCTGGTGTTGCTTCTGCTGCTGCCAATGCTCAAGAAGTTGCTTTCTTCACTGCCTTGGTTGGTGACTACCAAGCCAACAAGTTGCAATACATCCAATACATTGCCACTGCTAACGATGTTCCAGGTGCTGTTTCTTCTCTTGCCATGCAAGTTAGAACCTACTCTGCTGATGACACCTCTTACACCACCTTGTTGAACGACGGTAACATTGACATTCCAGCCTTGGAATCCTTTGCCACCAACGTTCCATGGTACTCTAGAATCGTTTCTGACGCTGGTGCCACTCTTGGTGGTGCTTCTGCCACCGGTTCTGGTTCTGGTTCTGGTTCCGCTGCTGCTACTGCTTCTGCTTCCGGTTCCGGTTCTGCTGCTGCTTCCGCCACCTCTGCTGTTGCTTCTGCCACTTCTAAGGGTGCTTCTTCTGCTGCCTCTGCCACTGGTTCTGCTGGTTCCGCTCTTTCTTCTGCTGCTGGTTCCATCACTTCTGGTGCCAAGTCTGCCACCTCTTCCGGTGCCAAGGCTTCCTCCGCCGCTTCCTCCCATGGTTCTTCTTCTGCTGCCGCTTCCTCTTCCTCTTCCTCCAAGGGTGCTGCTGCTGTTAAGTACGGTTCCGTCGGTGCTGTTTTGGCCGGTGCTGCCATTGCCTTGTTGTAAGCATGCTAACTAATACACGAGAACAATTTGGTCTAGATGACCTTTGCCTACGCTGATTACGACCCATGTTTCAATTCATAAAAATTACATATATAGTTCATAATTAGAATACCCTTCTATGTAATTAATTAAAAATTTATGACTATGTACCCGAATTGAGAAGTTTGTAAACATTTGTCAAAAGTTTAACCTTTGTATGTGGAAAAGGTTAAATGTGGGAATTGTGAAATGCGGGGGAGGGGAAAATGGGGAAAAAATAATAAAATATTTTAAAACATGTAAGGAAACATCCCGGGGTTCTTAATCCTAAAGAGGCGTAGTTTTTCACACAATAAGAATATGGGTTCATACACCTCATTAATGATAAAATGTGGGGTAACTGTCGAGGAATTTTAAAAACGTGGATAAAAGAATTAATGGGGTGAAATTCTTGATGTAAAAAAAATTGACGAAATGTATTGAAAACTCCTCGTAGAGGAGCTATGAACCACGCAGTGGTCCCCCGCAAGGGTGTAAGTATTAATCACCCCTACGCGGTTTGCAAGCCGCTACAAGGAGAGTAACTTTGTAAAATCTATTTCTCTATTCTGATCATCATCTATCTATTTAACATGTTAAAAACAATGTTAAAAATTGAATATTCCATAACAAATTATCCATACAATCAATTGGAATTCTTTGTTGTAAATTATTTATTCTCTCCAGTTGAGAATATCGTTGATGCATTTCTGTAATAATATTTATAATATTCATCAAATTCTTATTCAATAATGATAACCCATATTCAAATTTAGAATTTTCATATATATAATTCTTATTGATGCATACATTTTCAGGTGGTGATCCCAATTTTTTGATGGTATCTTCCATATTATAATACAAGGGGAATTCCATCATTTTCTCTTGTTCATTTCTTATGGTGGGATCAAAAATCGTACAATAACTACCATTCAATCGTATACGATATTTTAGATTAATATCACAAACATCGGCAAATATGGTTATTATCTGTGATATGTATGAAATCCCGGCATTTATCATATTTATCTTTAGTAAATGATCTTCTCCCTCCATTAATCCATTCAATGGATGGATATTATAATAACATATTTCTAATAATTCCTTTATATTCAGTGGGAATTCAACCCCCATAATTCGAAATCTAACAGTATTGGGGATATTTTCTAAAATTATCATTTTTTCAATAACTTTAGTAATTTGTTTTAATTGTAATAATATTTCAGGATATATTGAATTTGTTAATGTTTCTCTCATAGGATCTAATGTTGTATCCAAATATTCTATCTCATCATTTTTAATCTCTATATTATTATTCAATTTCTTATCAATAAGTTCTTGAATTTCTCTCATTGATACTTTTAATTTCATAATTTTAGATGATATGGTATCATTAATCATTAATTGTTTCTTAATAAAGTTTTCAAGTTTAATCTTATTATCTTCATTAAATTGTTTATTATCACAAGATGATTGTTCTTTTAACAATTCACTTATTTGATTTGATAATTTTCTCTTAGATCCAATTAATTCCTTATTAGATCTATTTAAACTATTGATTGATCTAATCGAATCAAATGTATATGATGGTTTCCTCTCTAATGGAACAATTCCATGATATTTTACATATTTACCCCTTATATATTCTTTCATGGTGTAAGTTGCACCATTATCGAAAATCATAATTATAGAATTATTTTCTAATTCTTCTTCTGTTATTGTTTCATTATCTATCGGTATTAACTTCAATAAATCAATATTTATCTCTTGTAATAAGATCCAATCCTCTATACTATCACTTGGTTTACACCATACTTTCACTTTAATTAACTTTCCATTCGAATATTCCATACTCAATTCTGGGAATGATATCTGTTGGAAATTTGGACTAAGATCATTATTAACCACTTCACTAATATATATCAATTGATCTCCAAGACCAATATGGAGCGAATAGAATGTATCCACCAGTTGTCTAGTATGTTTCTGTACACCATTGCCCAAAATTTGACCAAATCTTCGACTAATACTTTCCTTTCTTTCTCGAGATGGATGATCTTGTTTCAAGTTTGTTTCATCTAAACATTCTACACAAGGAAGTAATATATTTCGAAGATGGATCAATCGAATATGTCGCACCTTACCATAGGTCATGATTACTTTGTTTTCACAACGGATTTCGCTTATCAAGAATAGATTATCATTAAAAATTGATCACCTTTTTATTATGCGAACTGATAATCTTTAAACATAAACAAACCAAAAAAAAAAAACACACTAATGACACATTGTAACTACTTCTTATTACTATTATGCCATCTCCAAATTATATAATATGTCTTGCACATTTCTGTGAATTACATGGTCCTTCCACCATTGTATGCACACAAGTGACCACCCCTCAACATAAAAGTGACTTCTTACTTCCAACAACTTCCAAATTACAAACTTGTGCTTCATGTAAATTATTACTTCCAGATGATTCAGTAAATCTTGAATCATCAAATGAATCCGTTTCATACGTCACCGCTCAGTATCCATCATGTCAACTGAGATACTCTTCACTTTCAAAATTGGTTATGAAAACCCTTTCAGTGGAAACTACTGCTGATAGTTCCAAACCTGTTTTCTTTGGTGATAATGTGAATGGATATTGTATTAATAGGATGTTTAAGATTTCAGATATTAATGCCAGAGGTGGTGAAAGAAAATATTCTCTTATGGTGGTTTCTGATGATGAGAAGGAACTCCTTTTACATTGGGAGACCGTCAGTCTCTTTTTGAATGAACTTATATCATTAATTCAAGAACAAGTTCTGATTGTTGTTGAAGAGAAAAGACCAGCCACGAATTCTAAATCGAATGGAACATCCGGTAATATGTTTGATAATGAAAGGTATCTTCGTCGGTCATTAGTAAAGCCTAAATCTTTAATTGAACTTACAAATGATAACAAATTGTTTGTTAAATTACATTTATGGGCAATTGAAGTATTGAAACATATTCAGTAGTATTAGATTGATGATTGCGAATTAAAGTATGGATTTTAGTGGGAAAAAAAACAGAAGATTTCTAGGTACCCAATTATATAAATGGAAAGAAATACTTCTATGGATGGAGAAACGAGGTATAGGGGACACAGAGAAGAAAGAAATCAGTTGAGGTATATCCTTTTTTTTTGGATATAATTGACATTCAAGTAAATTTTTAAAATGTACACAAATGAAATTCTTTTCCAATATTTGTGAATTATCATATCTCTCTTCTTTCAAGTAAAAGAAAGAAGATATGTCAAGAATCAGAATAAATAACAGAAAGAAGAGAGTTAGACTCTTCTCTATGTTAATATCATTTCTGATTTCTGTTTTATTTACCATTGAAGATTTGAAATTTCAAGAGTTGAAAGTTAAAGATATAACATTCCAAGAAATTGATTCCTTTTATGAAACTAAATTAAACTATTCAGTATTATTGAATACTTCCTTTATTTTGCCTGTGACAGAAGGGATAGTTGCCGATCATGACCCAAGATTGATGCCTTCACTCTGGCTTGAAGGTATACACAAAGAAATACAAAATAATAGTTGGAATCCACAATTTACATTACCATTCAGTTGGGATTCTTGGCTAGATCTTTCCAATAAACTATCTCAATATGAATATCAATCTTGCCGTGATATATCTCGAATGTTTAAAATTCGTAATATTGATACTATTTGCCAAGAGAATGATTCGAGAAAGGGTTACATATTAAAACCTAACGATGGCCATTTTTCAGAACGAGGACGGAGATTCATGGGGGCCAGTTATTTATTATATACCAGTCCCAACCCTAAGAGATTATTATTTTTAAACGTTGGGCCCAATAAAGAAGGTGTGATAGTTCCAGTTGATGAATTTAGTAATAATGATAAAGTGTATTTAATTGAAAAATATGCCAAAGATGTGGCATTTGTATCGATTCAAGACAAGTTAAACAAGTTAAAATTAGATGAAGCAATATGGCCACAAATTGTAACTGATCAACTTGGAAAGTTCCAATCTATTACGCCACCGTCACAACTTCAATTGAATATATCTAATGTCGATTTCATATCAGACCTCCCCAATGCTAATGATTCTCTTTATTCATTAGTATTAATGGATAGTAGAAAGTATTTCCATGAAGCAGAATTGCTTGGAACGTACATGGGATCTCATTTTGATTGGAGGTTTTTCCAAACACACAGAATTTCTACATATGATCATCAGGTGATATTACATCGTTTAACTCGAAGTTGGTTAAGATTTGCCAACACAATCGGAATCCAGACATGGCTAGCTCATGGTACTTTATTAGGATGGTATTGGAATGGACTAACTATGCCATGGGATCTGGACATGGATGTACAAGTAAGTATGAAATCCTTAATGATTTTGGCCCGTCGATATAATCAAACATTGGTGGTTGATACTAGTATTCAAGATGGTTATAACGTTGGGTTTGGACAGTACCTTTTGGATGTAGGACCAACGTTATTCCATCGAGAACGTGGGAATGGGAATAATGTGATTGATGCAAGGTTTATAGATATCTCCACTGGAGTGTATGTCGATATTACAGCCTTATCATTCACTACAGCTCTGAAAAATGTTATATTGAAAAAAGATCAACCAACGGAATTCAAATTGCTATTGGAAAGTATAAGCAACCGAGAAGACTCTTCTAATGTTGATTCTTATGATGATCTTTGTTCAATTAGAGGTTCACTTTGGAGAAATAAAGAGATATTTAATTGTAAGAATAACCATTTTTATACCATTGATGAATTAAACCCATTGATCCCTACCATACATGAAGGAGAGATTGCGTTTGTTCCCAAGAAATATGAAACTATTTTAAAAAGAGAATATAAGAATGGGATCAATAGTACCGAATATCGAGAATGGGAGTTTAGTAATGTGTATAGAATGTGGATCACCAAGGTTCAACGTGACATACATGAATTGACTAGTCAATATACAAGGTATTCAATGTATACTTGGCAACATGAAAGAACAGGGATAGAGCTAAACAATAGGTCATATATACAACCATTTCTTATAGACCCATATATAATCCATAGAAGTCGGTTAATAGAATGAAAAAAATTATGTATTTATTAAAGAAAGTTGTATGAGTTACGCTAAGAGGTCTTGAATGCGGTCATCTTCACCATTATGTATTATGTCAGCTCCGAATCTAGAAGGCGGCCATATGACGGCAACAACTTTGCCAGTCACCAAGCCTTGACTTATAGGACCAAACGTGTTCGAATCTATGGAATGGAAAGTATTATCTCCCTCTACCCAAAGATGATTTCGAGGAACTCTAGCTTCAGGACGAGGATATGGAGGACTATGAGTACGAATTGAATCACCTTGAGTAGCAACGATTCTCTTTGTAGCCAACTTTTCTGGATCTTGCGGACTATGGAACATAACAACATCACCACGCGATAGTGAACCTGGCTTTTTCACCCCGAATTTCTGTACTAGTACCACATCTTGAGTGGTTGATGATGTATTGGGATTAAATGTAGGAGACATTGAAATCCCCTTGATCTGACATGGTTGATAGATATGGTTTGAAAAAGTATACACCACGGGGAACCATGTCAATGTTATCACAGCTGTCCGTACACTTCTAGGAAATCCACCTAGTTTGGAAAAGAATGACATCTTTCTATACAGACAATCCTTTCCTATTGATAAAGTTTCACTAGATATATATTATATAACAGGGTTCAAATCCGACCATGTCATCACGTGACTCACCATACAAATGATAACCGAAAAAAAAAATAAAGAGAGAGAGAGAGAGGTGGTGGTGGTGGTCCCCGATTGCCAAAAGAAAAAGGTAGCCTTTATTTATACCTATTCTACCACCCCTTTTTTATATACTCTCCTTGTGACAATGTCTGGCGCTGCAAGTCCATTAGATCTGATCCTTCTTGAGGACATTGCCAAAAATTGTCCCCTGGAGTTTCTCAGTTTCCACGAATGTATGGGTAGAAAAGATGCCGATCCGCAACATTGTGCCCTTCAACAATACAATCTTGCTAATTGCATCAAGAAGCTGGTCCCTGCATTCCAAAGAATCCAGAACATTTGTGCCGGGAAGCTTCAAGCGTACGAAGCTTGCTTACGTATGAGTGGGAAAAAATCTGCGTGTGAGCAAGATTTGGCCAGTCTTCGCCAATGTGCTAGTGGATCTTTACAATAAATAGAGAATTGGTCACGATATCCATTATTAGAATAAGTGTAGAGAGCAGGTTGATGTAAAAGATTTCCTATTAATTTTGTTTACTTATTTCTTCTATATTTGCTAGGAACGTTTTCAAGGTTAATGTTGGAGAGATAATTTTTAGTAACTTCTCTGATCTGTGGTGCATTATTATGAGATTCTTCTATTTCATGTTCATGATGTAAAAGTTCATGTTCAATGTCTTCTTTATGTTTGATTTCCACGTCTGGATCTTGATCCTTATGGTATTTATTCCAATGATGTTCTTCATATTCAGCTTCAAAATCTAAATGATGTCCTTGTCCATAGTTAAAATCAGGGAGATCACCACCTCTTTCAATGAAATTCCGGTATTCTTCTAATGAAACTTTACCATCTTTATTTTCATCAATCAATTCTAAAATGGTAGCAACGACTATATCTTTAGCATCTTGAGTGATCACTTCTTGTCCATGATCATGAGTCCCCATTCCAGACCCATCTCCAACTATGGTTTCTCTCATCAACCCGTACAAGTTTAAGATTTCTCTTGAACCCCATTCTCCAGTATTGGCTAAATCATGGAGCTTGAAAAATGTAGTTGCATCATATTGTTCTAATTGATGTTCCTCCAACATATGCCATTTTTGCCATGAAAGTCCCTCTGGCTTTGTTTTTATCTCGTTATGAGATCCATGTGCACATACACTAGCAACTAGAGCTAAAAGAGTAGTTGATATGAACTTAACCATTATTTGATATTGGTTTGATGTAAAATGATTGGTGTAAAGGAAGGAATTAAGGTACGTTGATCTATTCTAGAAAGTTGAATGATTCGTATGGGTGTTTGGATGTGATCACTGTGCAGGACGAGAGAATGTTCTAATTATGGAATATAGAGTCCATTTAAACAACAATAAATTAAAGATAATATCATATATTATATTGGAATACATTGGTAACTTGAGAATTAATAGAGTTTCGTCATCCATTTATATGGCTTTTATAACTTCATGAATGATATCTTTTTCAAGTAATTGTCCATTAATTCTCATAACTAAATTAAACATTCAGAGGATCTTGAACTTCAATTCTGTCTAACAAAAAAGGAATTTCAAACTATTCATACAGTATAAACTTTGTAACCTATTCCAAATATTGCTTCTCTAAAAATCCCTTCATTTGTCATTAAAAAGTAATTTAAACATATTCTCCATACAATTAAAATAACGCACGTGACTTTACCTATCTCTAGACTTCCCCATAATTTTTTCCCACGTTTGTTCCAATATTGTACTTTGGTCTTTAATTTTTTTTTTTTTTTTGTTTTTCCCCGTTGTTTGACTCATACGATTACTACCTTCTTTAGTCTACCACCAGTTATATATTCTAAACTATTCAATTCCATGTCTATAAATCCAAACTTGCCAGAAAAACCAAAAGAATCAAGAGTTGGCCGTACTAACCAAAGATACAATCCGGAGACCGGATCTCGGATGGTTGCCGGATGTGTCTGTCTCAATTCAACAAAGGACAAAGTGGTGATGATTCTGTCATCGGTCAACCCAGGAAAGTGGGTCTTACCTAAGGGAGGAATTGAGCTAGACGAGGGCGATGACTTTGTTATCACCGCGGTTAGAGAAACCTGGGAAGAAGCTGGGTGTGAAGGTCCCATTGTCAAGAAATTACCAGTTGTTCTTGATTCCAGAGGAATGAAGGCACCTATACTTAAGGAAAAGGACTTTGATCCTGAAAAAGTGATACCGAAATCTGAATTTCATTTCTACGAGATGCAAGTCACAGAATTGAGTTCAAAATGGCCCGAAATGGATCAAAGACAAAGACGTTGGTGTACTTACTCCGAAGCTAAACACGAGCTTTTAAAGGCAAAGAGACCAGAATTGGTTCTGGCATTAGATCTGTCCGGTATAATCAAGGACTATGAAAAGGATGAAGATTTATACTGATTGTCTTTATTTGAACTACTACCGGTCTAGAGGTTCAATCATTATTTCTATATGTATATTACTACTATGCCACTTAATGCATGCATTTTTATTTACTTTATTTTATGTATTTTTTTATGACTGTCTATTTGAACAATCCCCCCATCAAGTTAGCCAACATGTTTTGATTCCCATTTGGATTCCCCAATTGAACATTATAGTACAATTTAGCCAAATATTCCACTGGTGCTAAGAGTTCAAAATGAGTTAGCACTGGTTTATATTGAGAATACAATTTCAAAAATTTCTGCTGAGAATCACTCTTTCCTAAAGTAATAATAAGAAGTTGTAAAAAGTTAAGAAGTTCATATCCTTTATAATTGTAGATAAAGCTTCCATTAGCATCAATTTTTTCAAAATTTGATACTTTCAAGTTCAATTTATCAATGAAAATAGTTGCTGCTTCATTAACAAATTTAAAATTCTTCAAATAAGAATAATTCATAACTGCTCTAGCCAAAAACACTCCTGGATCAATTGTTGGGTCATTTTGTTGTTCATACCATGAATACAAAAAGTCAACATAATATGGTAAGGATTCGTGAGTCCCCAAGATTAAATGTAATTCAGCATAAGCGAAAAGCTTTGCACGTTCTTCTTCATCTCCAGTGGCAATGTAGATGGCTCTACAGAACTTGACACCAAATGCACTGTGTAATTCAGTGTCTCCGAACTTCGAGTCACTACCCTTGGTAGACCAACTAATACTTTGTTTGGCCAAATCTGCTAAACTAACATCTGTATCAGGTAATAAATTGATAAGGTCAATGAGTTTCATCTTGTAATCCTTGGTACATGTAATCTCAGCCTCTTCAAGAACTTGAATGAGATATGTTATTAAATCACTAGCAGATCCATATTCCTTCTTTTGGGCAAGTATGGATGCTCCTTGATATAACAAATCAATTGCCTCAGTATATTGTTTCGATTTCACATATCTATTTGTGATGGTTCTTAAGGTTTGATGGGCTTCATAATAAGCACCACCATCAATTTTGGCTTGGAACCTAGCAATGGTTCTTTGTAATTTAATATCTGACATGGTCTAGTTATTTTGGTACCATACGAACGTGTAACTAAAGGAAAAGGTTGTGTTCAAAATTGATTAAATTTAAAAATTGATTTGGACTGCAGGTAATGAAAACATTATAAAGAAACCACCCACCCTAAAAAATCGTTAATGACCAAACTATTTCCTTCTTATATGAATCCCATATTCTTTCTTATATTGGCAATATGTCTTGATGTATTTGTAGTTGTCCAGAATCCAATTCCTGATGGATATATTGTATATAGTCCTCCACTTAAAGTATCATTAACTAATATGATGTAATGATTTTGTACAACATGTCTCCAAGCATCTAACAGATTCCCAGATACTCCATCTAATAAGACGATCCCCAACTTTGGGAAATCTTTACAATAAATAGGATGTTGGAAAATGATGATGAAATCAATTTTTGATAATTCAATTGCTTTTAAATTGAAATAAAATCGTTTAAATATAGTATTTAATAAATGTCCAAGATTGGTTATAGATCTTCTCTTTTGCCGCCGTAATAAAGTATTTAGTCTTGTTAACAACACCATCTTGTTACAAACTATTCGAATGCATTGTACTCGTTGAGTTGGATCTGGAATTATTGAATTGAGAAGATTTGGATCATTATTATAGATATGTAATGAGTTCAAAACCTTAACATCAAGAATAATAATCAAGATTCTTAAGTTCTTTGGAATAAATGTAATATATTGTATAATATCCATGGGGGTACCCATAAGTGTAAGGCAATCTAAGGAAGTGAAATTAGACAATATTGGCAGACTTAGAATTGGTAATGTTCCTTGAAGATTCAATACTTGAACCATTCGACATATTTTGCTATCCTTTTGAAAAACGAGACATTGGCAATCTTTGCGAATGGTGGTAGGCTCCATCTGGTATATAATTGGTGCAAATTGATACAATTCTTTACAAAGTAATACAAATCTAATAAAATGAATTCTTCCTAATCTTTTATGAATCACATAAAGAATTCGTTGAATGATATCATAAGGGAGGTCAAGAAGTGCTTTCATTATGTGTAAGGAGGAGGTCCACGCGCCTTTTTAAGTGAATATGAGTACATTAAATCATAATACATAACTTGTTCATTTGTGTTGCAAATTCACATACAATAAAAAATTGCAACCAAAAGAGTGGGGAGGGAATCGCAAAAGTAAAGAACGAAAAAAAAAGAACAAAAAAAAAACAACAATTAAATAGAGTAAAACCATCTGTATGGGTTTGTGTAACTACCCGGAATCTCAATAAATCTCACAAACCAATAAGAATTAAAAAGCTTTTGAATATACTGGGTTTAATATCGATACAGACCGATATTTATACATACATAATGAAAGCTTCAGTCCGTGTATTTCAGCGTGTTCCACTCATCAAGTTTGTCGGTGGTCCACATCTTGCTCCAAGTAAGTTAACAACTGGTAGTTAATAGGACTACTCCCATCAATAAGGAACCCCGGGAAGTCTCGGGATTCTAGTCAATTGAACAACTACTAACTTGATTTAGAGAACCTTGATCACTCTGTGAAAGCTCATTCCCAGGCTCCAGATGGATTAAAGCCATCATCTGCTAAATCCACCTACTTTAACAGTAACCCAATCGAACCAGAGGAAGGTGTTTTCTTCTCCAGATCTCAATTACCAGCCAGATTTAAGTACTCTCCTCCAAAGCAATCTGAAATTGACAACGTCATTAGCGGTGGTGCTGACTTGGTTTTTTAAACTGAATGAACCGACTCATACCCTTCTCCACACAAACACACACAAACACACATAAATATATATATATATATATAAACAATATTACGATCTGTACAGTATAAGGGTGCAATTGTCCTTTAAAGGCAAAAAGACTTTGGTTGTAAAAAAAATAAAAAAAAGTAGACAAAGATAAAAATACCTTCACAAGAAATTGAAATAAAAAGGGGACAAAAAAGTTTCAATTACAATTACTACAATTCTTAATTTATAACTAAACTATACTACATTTATATCTAAACCTTTAACGTCCTTATCTTACCTATATACTAAATATTAATCGTCACTATTGATTCTTTTCTCTTTATTTCTCTTTATACTCTCAAATCCTGCATATGTATACACACCCTCATTTTCATTCTTTTGCCACTTTGAACATTTGAACAAAACTCCAACAAAAACAGTGAGCTGCTCAATCCTTTGTAACAATCAATTGCCAGATTTATTTGAAGGATTAGAAATACATCAATTCCAAACCAAAGATTGACTCAAGCTAACTGATTTATTACTTTCAGATACTCTTGATTCCCAATCGTTTACACGTCACCTACTAATCCTTTTTCTAATAACAGTAACCACCACCACTCTATAGAAAAATGAATCACGATCCATACAAGTGGGGTAGACCCAGCAATGAGACCTATGGTCAATACAATCATCACATAGCTAACGCTTCCATTCAAAACACAGAGTCAGCCAACTTGGATAACTTTCCTAAAATGAATACTCAACAACCTATAGTCACCGGTACATCTGTCATTTCTCTCAAGTTTAAAGATGGTGTTATTCTTGCAGCAGACAACTTGGGTTCATATGGTTCTTTGGCTCGTTTCAACAACATCGAAAGACTTGTACGGGTTGGTAAGCAAACGGTGGTTGGGATTTCAGGAGATATTTCTGACTTGCAACAAATTGAAAGAATCTTGGAAGAATTGGAAACTACAGAAGATATCTATGATAGTGATGGAGGTCATGAACTCCGGGCTCCACATGTACACGAATATTTGTCCAGAGTGATGTATAACCGTCGTTCGAAGATGGACCCATTATGGAATGCTCTTATTGTTGGAGGGTTCAATGATGATGGATCACCATTTTTGAGATATGTTGATTTATTGGGAGTAACGTATGGTTCATCCACCATTGCCACTGGGTTTGGTGCTCATCTTGCCATTCCATTGTTGCGTCAATTGATACCATATGATAAGGATTATGTTGATATCACGGAAGAACAAGCCCGTGAATCGATCTTGAATGCTATGAAGGTTTTATTCTACAGAGATGCTCGTTCTATTGATAAATTCTCTATGGTTACCCTTCGTCACAATGGTGAAGCATCTTTTGAAAAGAATTTGCGTTGTGAAGGTCAAAGATGGAAGTTTGCCAAAGATATCAGAGGTTATGGTAGTGCCCAACAATAGATTATATATCATTATATAATAGAAACAGATATAAAGATCATAGGGGTGTAGGAGTAAGTAGGGACTGAAATAAGAGGTTTGTCGATGAATATAGAATGATATATTAATGAGTATGGGGGGACGAGTAATCCAAGAATGAATTATTGAGGTGTTGATATAATCTGAAAATATTGGAGGTGAATTAGCCTGAACAATAGTGCGTTGATATATTCTAATTTTCCATTGAAACCCATATATAACCAGTCTCAACAATGGAATATCCAAACCTCCAACAGATTCTCCACTGGTGGCAATCCCAGTAGCATTTCCTCTTTTGACTTAACAATGGTTAATTACTCCCACGAAGGGAGTCATGATAATACCATTGCCAACACCAACACAGATAGATAAACTTAAAATAGATTCTGCAAATTACTAGATAACAGTATTACAGAGAAATTAACTACTCATTCAACCATTTGAACAAAATGTACAGTACAACCTCAATCCACCCATTAAAAAATTTATCCAAATGCTCCGATAATTTACAGATCTTTACAAAGGATAAATCTCCGATGATATAGAAAATACGAGAGTTTTGCAAATAATTTTTGTCAGATAATTTAGAAATAGGAGAACATAAACCCATACAATACTACCAGTAAACATATGAAAGTACCACATTAGAAAGAAATTTCATATACGAATAGAATTGTTCATTACCCCTCTTAGTTTTATTTCGCTCGCCCAATACATTGCCAACTGATTGGGGGCTAATGAATTTACTACTTTTAACTCATTAGATCCACATAATAGTCGTCATCGTTACTTTAAGAATGTTATGGCAAAAAAAAAAAAAAGTTTTGGGTTGTGGGAGTTCCACACGTTAATGTGCATCTGAGGTTGGGTGACACACGTGCATTATTTTAGATATTGCAGTAGTAATTAGGAAATATCGCAACAAGGGAGATGTGGAAAATCCAACAATGTGGTAAATGTATCAGAAGAACATTTCCGTGTTCTTCGACGATGATTGCCCAAATTGTTCTTCCCCACTTTTCCAGGAAGGCGGCTCTTTAATTTTTCTTCCTTAATGATTCTAGAAGAAATGATCGCCTGACGATTAGTATATAGGCATGGCGTGTAATAGGAGGGTGAACGACAAAAAGAACAACAAAAAAAACGACTGACAGCAGAATAACCTTGGCGATTTTTTGTTCGGCTTCGGGAACATTAGATCCCGATATTCGGTTGAAAGCATGGAACACGACCATGGAATTAGTTTAAAGTTCGCAATTACCACGATTTATTGTAACATCTATGCACGGTAGTATTGTTCTACCAAGAGGAAATTCACGTGGAAATGAAATTGGCTTGTAATCGTACCACGCTATCGCTTGAATTATCGGCTTTACCCCCCGAAAATGGTACTCTCTTCATGTGCAAATTGATAGGAGAGAGAATTTGCCCCTTTCTTGGCAGTTGAATGCGCTTACAAGGACGAATCAGCTTTTGGATCTTATGGAATATCAAATCTCGTATCCACTCATATGTAAAGAAAGTGTGTCAAAAATTAAAGTTGAACGTACCTATCACATATAATAATTACCACTGTTCCAAAATCGGAAATGACAATATTAACTATGGGTGAGTATTGACGAGGCGCTTCTATGCAGAGAAACTCTGCATGATACTATGTATTACGTTCCACAGAGCGCACAGAACCACCCGATTATAGTGCAAGGAATACCAATTACGAATGCCGGGTCTAAGATTGCAGTTTCATTTCTGGTTACTAACTCCGAAAGTCGCCGGTTTCACCACCGATTGGCCAGTTCAAGACGAGTTTCTTGACCCCCTCACAACTACTCTAGTTGTCGAACTAAAGCAAGTGTGCGTCCCCCGTATGCGATAGCTTTGTTATTATTTTTATTTTTTCTTTTTTTCCTTAATTCCTTTTTTTTTTTGACGGGGGACGCACTCTAATTTTGAGTATGAACTCCGCGAATTAGGCCAACAATTTGGCTCCCAGTAGACCTGCTAACATGAATAAGTCACAAGAAAGATCAAACTTAAGCCATCAGTTGTTCACCTGTTTCATGCGCACAACCGCTTATTCCCAAACTTACTGTCAGTTGATTCCACCAGATCCTCAAGATTTAATGACATGAAAAAGTAAAACGTAAAAATTCAAATTCAAAATAAAAAAAAAAAAAAAACTCACTTTATTAGTACTAATAGGCTAAATAGCCAAAAGCAAAAAATAAAAAAAAAATAAAATACTTTTTTGAGCAAAAAATAAATTAAATCTGATAAAATACTTATAGTTGACATAGCGGCCATTTTAAAAACGTAGTTCTATTTTATTCCCTCCGCCGACTGGTTGTTTTCTAATTTCAACTTTAATTTTGTTGTTTTGATCCCGTTTTCTGCAGGACGACCCACCCCATAGTTGCATGTTTGATCTAACCTTCTTAGGGGCGTCTGGGGGCCCAGTAGAGGGCACTACTTGCTCTCTCTTGATAAAGCCGTCCCATATCGACTACAATGCCATACTATCGCAAGACTTAAAGGATCAATTGCTTTGTGTAGACGCTGGCTCGGGACTACATCAATTGAGTGAGGCCATATATCAGGAAAAGGCTCTAGAAACTGCAAAATCACTGCTCCTATCTCTCTATGATGATACATTGCCCTTGCAAGATTACGTAAAGCTGGAGGTAGTGGTACCATTTGCGGGCTTATATCATCCCAAGTGCCCGACCCCGTTCTCACTAGCATGGAAGGTTCTATCTATGATCAATAACTATCTTATCACACATCCACATCTTGATCATGTGGCAGCTCTAGCCCTCAACTCTGCGGGGTTTGACCCAACAGAACCCACAAAGACAGTGATTGGTTCGGATTATACCTTGGGAGCGCTTCAAAAATATATATTCAATGGGATTATTTGGCCCAATATGCCTCTGTTTGACGTGTTGAGCCTTTCTCCGAGAGAATTTTGGCTTCCCTTCAATGTTGGAGACCATTATAAAGTCACCATGTTAGACTTGCTGCATGGCAAAATCAACTTTGGTCATCAAGCTGAACAACAATTAACCACTAAACTCACTTCTGGCCACGACAACCCTTCTTCACCGTACACCTCCGATGATACATATATATCGTCCGCCTTTCTTATAGAATATTTACCTGGAAATGGTAGTGTACTTGTGTTTGGAGACTTTGAATCCGATTCAGTTTCCAAACAACTGAGAAACTTACGCATATGGTCTCTGATTTCCCCCTTGATAATCAACCATACCCTTAGAGCCTTGGTTCTTGAATGTTCCATGTGTACCTCACTGTCGAACAGTGAAAAATTATACGGGCATTTGATGCCATTACATCTCATCAAAGAGCTTCAAACATTAGAGTCGCAATGCAAGCACTTGGACCCAACCATATCACAACCATTGAATGGTCTTCAAATCATCGTCAATCACGTCAAGGAAAGCCCACATGGTATCCATGATCCTCGTAGAAGGGTTCTTCAAAGTCTTGATACCATGAACGAAGAACATGGCTTGGGTGTCAAGTTTTCCATTGCTCTAGGTGGAGTGACCATTAGAGTTTAAATCCATCAACTATTTCATTTCAATTCATATATTGCATATATATATATATACACGTTTAATAAATTTTTAAGCTTCCTCTTTTACTAACAAATCCTTATTTTTATTTTTTCTTTGAAACTATAGACTATCTATTTAATTAATTTGATAACCATCACTGTTGAGAGTAGAATGCAAGTCAAATGGTAAGGATTCTTCATCTTCACCACTGGAAACAACATCCAAAACTTGAACCTTACCAAATGAAACATCAGTGTCATCAAGTCCACTTCTAATTACCTCAAATTGTAATTCCATTGGGAATAATGAATCTTCATCCGGTGAAGGAATAGAGAATTCAAAGGATCCCAGAGGTTCACTTAAGGAAATCTCATCGATATTAAAGATTACTCCATAATCAGAAACTTCAAATGAGACATTTTCTGGGTCATCCTTCAAGTTCACATCATGAGATTGGATTGGAACCAAAATTTGAACATTTTCCAACTTTTCTTGGGTTGGGTGTCCCTCAGTGTAACTGGAAGTTAATTCATATTCCAATGTTACGTCGGCCACTCCATCATTGACATTTACCCATGCAGTGATAATAACAGGCAAGTAGTTAGTATCATCCTCCTTACCAACAACTCTCCATCTTAAAACACCAAGAGATTGATCGTTGGATGGGAAGGACTTGGACTTATCCTTCAAGGCAATGATCAGTTCTTGTGTAAACAATTTAGTGTCAACTTCAGGACGGGCCTTGTATTGAACACCTGATTTGGCAGTCTTTAAAAGAATCTTAGAGTGAGCGTATTCAGGGTTATTGATTCTCAATTTCAAGTCACCCTTGACTTCCGTCTTGACAACAGCACCTTCTCTGGTCAATTCTGCATTAACCTTTTCACTAATTGTGATTAAAATACCGTTATTAACCACCTTAGGTGTTTGTGGAGCTGGAGAAGCAGTGGAGGATTCCACGGCTGAGTTGTGATAAGATTGTGAGGCTGCAGGTGCAGGTGTGTGGTGTTGGAATGTAGGTTGAGATTGAGTTAACAATGGTTGGTTTACTTCAGCAGGAACTGCTCTATTATTGTTGGCCTTCTTACCCAATTGTAACCCACCTCTGGTTGGTCCATGTCTAGGAGCTGGTACCGCTGGTGCATTATCAATGATTGTGTTAGACTCATAACTAGGAGCTTGCAGGTAGTTTGAGGAAGAAGTGTTGTTATTGTAAGAATCATAGCCGTATGTATTTTGTGATGGCACTGATGGCATCTTTTCCATAGTTCTTCTAGCCAATTCCTTTCTATGAATTTCCTTGGCACGTCTCTTTCTTTCTTCAGTGGCCTCCAATTCCTTGTTTCTGTCAATAACTTCTTGGATCTTTTCTTCATAAGAATCCATTTCCAAAAAGGTTTGAACTTGAGATAAGGTCAAGTTTTCTTTAAACCCTAAATTAATGATTTCATCAAAAGCACCCAAAATCTCAAATGCATTGTCAAAGATTTCTCTTTCGTCAATCGATCTCAACAAGTTGCTCACAGTGGAGGCAAACAAATGTAATGTGTCAATATCTTGAAGAATATTGGAGTTCTTGGTGGTAATCAAGACAATGTAAAACTCTTCTAATGGTTGGTAAACATATCTGACATGTTCATCTTCCACGGTGGTGTTCTGGGAGCCAGAATTGGAGATCAAACTGGGGAAGTTGGCCAATAAGGCAGTGATACGGTCTTTACTCAAGTCTCTGAATTGTCTAGACAAGAGAGCCTTTCCTCCGCGTGTACATATAGAAGAAGCTAAAACAACCATTCTTTAAATCTGTGGACTGGATTGGTTGGGAGGGGAACACTCGGATTACTTAAATTTCTCAACACACGCAGTATGTTCCTAGATCAACTCCTTTACAATTGAATCGTTTGTGATGTATACAAACACTTTGATATTGAAAGATCGAATCGTGTCAACAAATTATCGAAAAGCGCGGTCGTGTGTGGGCGATATTTTACCATACAAATTATATAGTGGTGTTTGGTGGAGTGTGAAATACTATCATTTACTGGTAAGAATACCAAGTTTAGTACTGTAATGACGATATATAGAATGAGGAATAGTGTGTAGAAGTAATATTTGAATGGACTTCTTCTATTTCTTTTTGAAGTAGTTCGAGAGAGTGTAATAAATTAAGGTGTTTTTTTGAAAAAAAATAAAACTTCGCGCCGTAGAATCGAACCCAGAACATTAGTATCACCACTTATCAGTATGTTCCTATCGAACGGGCAAAAAAAAAAAAAAAACCATCAGGTTCCAAGGGGTAAACAAACAACGGGTGTAACTTTATTTTCAAAGGTGAGTGATTGACTGAACCAATATTTGATCTGATCACCCATTGGGGATTTTTAAAAAATTTTCCATCAAATAACATGTCACAATTCAGCGAGTTTCGCCCCTTTAGCGAATATCTGATTTACGATATGGCAGTATTTGACGCAATTCACTACATTTACAACCCATCAAATGTTATATTCAATTACATGTCTCCTGACACATTGGCCTCCTCGGTCATGGTTGGTTCATGTATGGCATTAGCAACTGCTGCTGCGTATGCGACTATATCCAAGCCCATAAACGCGTTAGACCCTGCAACTGACGTCTATTCTCCCGAATGGGATCCTACTGATAGAGATTCATCTCAATCCATTCAACTTGATAGTGAGGACTTGAAGAATCTTAATACAAAATATGTATCACCCTACACGACGATTTTCCATTACCTTCAATTGAGTTCACAATTCACTGATGCTATTCCACAATTTCGATATATCCTGGAGGGCCTTGCCTTTAGCTTTCCAGTTGTGAGAGCCTCAGGTTGCGCGGGGTTGCTTAATTATATGTTTACCGCTGGAATAAGAAAAATTCTGTATTGGAGTGGAGTTGATTTCAACTCATTCAGTATCAATAAGAGATTCAAGCTCACTTACGCTACGGAAATAGACCCAGAAGTTAGCGCTCCCTTGGGATTTGATAAAGGTTCCATCAATACTAAGGATCCAGTCAAGTATAAGCTCCTCAGAGAACGTGAAAGATTCTACCGTAAACGTGGCGTACAAGTGTTAAAAAGACGCGATATTCCCTCCGATAAACAGGGATTTGTTCTCAATCTTGATATAGTAACCATCTTGTCTATTCTCGCTCTGTATGCCTTCACGTTCCACCTCGACGGAAAAATTGACAGTCTCTTCATTACCAACTTTGCCGCTACTTCTTATGTCTTTTACCAATCTATTTTCCAGACATACCCAACATTTAAACAAGCTCAATTGTATCATTTTGTCCATCTTCTCATTTCCACTTACCTTAATAAATCGCCAGATAATGTGAATTATTATTCTTGGACATTGTCAATTCCATCTGCACCAAGAAATCTTCAATTGACTTCACATGATAGTTTCCAAAAATTATTCTCTGGACTTGATACTATTCCATGGATCATGAGTGTCCCAATTTTGGATATTTCATCTACCGCATTATTTTTAGGGTTATGTTTGAGATTTGATTTATATAATCATCATTCCAAATCAAAAAGGGCCTTCCATCATCTTCTGTCTTTCTCCAAACCATACTTCTGGGCAGCTTTCATTGGGTCATCGTTGAGATTTTCAGGGTATATATTTGACATTGAAGCCCTTGGTCTGAAAAATGTGTCATATCTTGTTCCTTTACCAATCATCTTTGTGTTAATAACTTCCCTTGTCAGAGGAGAATATGGACTTCTTCGTGAATATAACGAAAAGGTTGAAAACTTCGACGCAGCTGGTGAAGAAGGAGAAGAAGAAGAAGAACAACAACAAGAGGATCAACTTCAAGATAAGTTCAGTTTGCAAGAACTCTTGGCTAAAGATTTTGGTGAAGAGGAAGAAGAAGAGGATCCAACTTATGACTATGAATTAGAAGTTGAACCTGAACGTGACGAATTGGAATATGATGAAAATTACCACGATGATGATGAAGCTGCTCCAATTGACTATGAAACTGATTTGGATGTTGTCATTCAAAAACCAGTATATGTGTTTGATACAGACTCAGACGATGATACTTTTAGAATTGAATCTGAAAGCGAACTGGATTCAGACGTTGATGTAATCCCACAGAATGAAATCGACATTTTAAGGATTGATAATCGGTTTGAACCAAGGATTTTATATTCAGATGATTCTGAAATTTGATTGATACCTACCACTACTATACGTTTATATTATTTTGTATTACTTACGAGACTCTAACTTTATATACAACCTTGTAGAGGGGCCCTTATTTACTCTTTCTTTCGGAACTAAGCTGAATCTCCACTTCCATATGATCGTTCTTCTTTCTGTTGGCGCTCTTGCCTTCATCAATTAATTTCTTTTCTCTGAAGAGCTTACCTAATTCAGTTTCAATCATACCAAGTAAATCTTCATATCCACAAGCCTTAGATCTGACTCTTGCTTCACGAAGTAATCTTTCTGCCTTTTGATAGTCAGAAATATGCAAATTCAATACCCCCATACCATACGTGGCCAATGCTACCGCTTCATTGATATCGTTGTTGGCGGAAATGACGTTGGCGGGTAATCCCTTGGCACATTCCAAAACGGATTCATATGACTTCATTGACAATTGAATACAATTCTCCTTATTCTTAACAGCAAGGTTATATTCTTCTTCTTCCGCAGTAGACTTCTCGACTACCTTATTGATAGTGTAAGCCTTGCTCTCATACTCTTCTGCTTGAATGTAAAGGAGGGCAGCCAAGTTACATTGAGAAATCAATACTCTTGAAGGTTCCACATCAGCAAGTAACATCCACTCGGTCATAGAAATTCTAACTTTAGATGCCATGGCAACATCCCCCATGGTTAAACATACAGCCATCAACAAGTCCATGGCACTAAAGAATTCTTCTGTAAATGGTTCCCAAGCCATGGGGTTTCTTTCCACTTTCATCACCACTCCATCGTTAACTATTTCAATAAAATCTTTATCGACGATGGTTTTGAATTGTACTCCTTCTTCCATGTTGTCAGGGCCTGATTTGTTATTGATGGCCAGTTGTACAAGCTTTCTTAAATCATTATTGGGTCCTAATCTTTTTTGAACTTCATCCTGGGCAATCAATAAATGGGTGATCAAAATCGCCTTACAGAGTTGATGATTGCCCAGGTTAAGAGAGGCAAGCTTGATGGCTATCCGCAAGTCCTTTTGAATCAAATGAGCCCGATGTTCTTCATTCTTGATCCTTTTGTGATCGGCCGAGTTTGGGGCACTGGTCAACACCTTCAAATACATGGTGGCAATCTCATTGTATACAAATGCTGCGTCTTCCAACATGTTCAACCGCTCAAACATCTCGGCTATTTTCAATTGAATCCCGGTATACTCATCCGATAACGTATCCATTTTGATTTCGTCACAATGTTTCAATGCCTCCAAATAATGTTTGAGTGCCAATTGGAAGTCCACTTCTCCATTTTCCGATTCAGCCCAAAGTCCTTTCCGTAAGATTTTGGCTACAGACGATGGAAAGGTGTGTTTGGGCCACCACATGTAATATCCGTAGGCAGAGAGCGCCGATAAGCCTACAAAGGTATACATGATTCTCTTTGGCCATGAAGTTTTTGGAGGTAGTTGATATTGGTTGTATTGATTGTATGAATATTGTTGTTGGCCAGTGGAGTATCTACATCTTGGTACACCGCCACTTATCTTGGCTCTTGGTTTGAATTGGGCCAATCTACTTGTCCTAATCATTTTTGTTGGAGTATATATTTAGTGAGAGAAGGATCGGAAGAGAGGTTGTAAAGAAATCCTATATGGGGGGAATCTCACACCTGTAAAGTTCGCACTGTATACAGACTCCATACCATCCGAGATACTACCTTATATATGGTTAATGGATTGAACACTAAGACTTAAGGGAAAGTTAGCATGATAATGCACATTAGAAAGGAGCTTGTTCCCTTTGAGTGAATGGCTTTCAGCTAGAGCTATCTCAAAGCCATTAAAAAACGATTTATTTACCGATACGCTAATATCACATGTATATAAATAATAGCAACTATAGAGAACATGGAATCGATATCAACCTTTAATCTATGGAGAACAACAAATTCTGTAGAGGTTGATAGATATTATAAAAGAAATTTTAATACTAAAGTTGTCTATCTGTTGCATACATATTTACATCATCAGTTGTGAGAGCTAAAGAAAAAAAAAATATATTGAGAACAACCGATTTTAGAACCAGCTGATATTAGAATCATTATTGAACTACTTTTGGTTTTCTAAGGTATTTAATAATAGAGCATCATGTCTAACATTCTCTCTGTGTTCAACCCACCGCCTTCGCGTCAATTAGATACAAACGAGGTGAATTGTCTCCCATGTACTTTCATACAATCCATGTTTGCCACTGGAGGTGGGATCTACCTTAACTCTAATATTCCATTCAAGGGCACAGATGGTAAGGTAGATTTCAAGAAGCATCCAATTTGGTGGCAAAAGTCTGTGAGAGGTATAGGTATACTACTTATTGGTTTGGGTGCCTATAGATTTGGAGAAGTTGCACAGATGGTATATAGGGATAAGTTTGAATAAATGTACATAAAGTGATGTAAATGTAAATAAAGGATAGAAAAAAAAAAGAAGATGGGAAAGGAGGGGGAACGTTATATTTCCTTGACTGAATGATTTGAAAAAGTAAGTAATTTATTTGAGTGTTCTAGAGGATTTGGTTGGGAGTTCCTTCCACATAGACAACTATAGACGTTTGCCACAATTCATTATATCTCATTTTGTGGTTTTGTGTACTAATAAATTATATAGTTATCTTTTGCTGCAAAAATACAATTGTGTGCAATTTAGCTTAATTCAGTTGAGATTAGTCATCGATAGAAGGTGTGAATAAAAAATACTATCACAACAGAATTGGGAAAAGCCTTGCTACTTTTAAAGTTAATTATATTACTTCACTTAGTACAACAATACTGATCAGATCAGGGTGTGTAACTAGGAATGTACTCCCATTACATTCTATGAACAAGAATACTACGTAGGTATATATTGCTGGATAGTTTGGACTCGACACCATAGACCATGCCATGAAGAATTGTAATATCCAACAAATCAAACGCTTTACATCCCTAATTGTAATTTTAGCTTTGTTCTATTCTTTTTTATCGTTGATTAGTCATTTGTAAGAAATCTTTTATATACACACTTCTCGTTTTAAATCAAACTGTGTGTATTTTACAAGGACCTTTAAACCATGCGGCTAACAACAAAGATCTGCTTGTCCCTCCTTGGGTGACTACAGTTTGTAATCCTCATTATTTTTTATTGTTGTGTGCTTTAAACTTCTCGTAAAGTATGCAATTATGACTATTTTTGGGGGGAACATGCCGTAAATTTGCCACCCTTGATAAATACTGATGTAATACACGAGGGATTGAGTATGTGAAGCGTTTTGTGCTATTTAATATGTTGAAGCCGTGCTACACCAGCATCTGATTTTATTTTATTTTTTGTAGTTTATTTGCCGCCCCCACACTCCATAGTAATTACAATGTAGTATTGACAGTAATTGAGCCTGAATGATTCAATAGTAGCAATTGAAAGTCTAACTCAACCATCAATGATCATAGAATTTGTAAGAATTCAATTACCCTACTATTTAAAGTTTAAAACCCAGATTGTACTCTCAATCTAGGTTTCCATATTTTATATCTTAAACGTGGAGGGGGGGAAGAACGCATGAGATTAAAATTTAGCCAATCATGTTACGTGTCCAAGAATAATACTTTATTATGTTCCCAATTGAGAAAATAGAGATGTATGTTTTAGTAAGCACCACATCTTAGTATGGGTATCTAGTGTGTTATGACTCTTCTTAATAAGCATGTAAATAATATAAATATAAGTCTTTCCACTACTGATTCTAATCTATTAACAATCATTATACTTATACAAAACATTCCATTACAAATGTCTAATTCCATAAAGAAAAATTCCCTTGAATCCAGCCGCTCTAATACTTATTCAGTGAATAGTACAGTGACTTCTATAAAATCATCTTTGAAGGCGAAGTTTCAAAAACATTCAAAGCCTGAGTCTGAGTCTACTTCACCTAATTCCAAAAAGAAGGAGAAGTCTATTAAGACCAATTATAGAACTACTTCCGAGTATCTAGCATTAAAATAACCAATTCAATGCCCAGATCTTCATTGATATGAAATTCTCATTATAAATGTTTTGAGCAAGGCGGCTCCGTATTTTTTTTTTTTGCAGCCATTTAAAACAAACTAACTAGTATTTAATTATTTATATAACAATAGAAAAATTTTAAAGGGAACACTTGTAGATGTGATGTAGTTGATTTTAACGTGACTGAACATATTCAAAATTATGAGTTTGGAGTGTCATAATAAAATATTTTCATGAAATTTTATTGAAGAACTATAGAAAACAATCAACAACAATTTTTGCCAAAGCTTTGCTATCTCACCAGAAAACGTATTCAAACAACTTGGAGTAGTTAGATTCTGTTTAAATAAACCGAATCAGTTGAAAAGGGATTTTGGTTAATGTATATATCGAGTATTATCATTGTAAAAAAAACTACAGACCCATTTGAGTATAGGCACGTGATGCTGCACATTTAAACAAATTCTAGTTATTCTACATGTGTTCCATCAATCATCATCAGACTACAGCACCCTTTTTCATATAATTTCGGATTCACATTCAAACTTCAAATCCTGTTATACCGGTGATGATTGTGTTATCTTATGGATATTTAGTGAAACGATGCATTTCAACAATTATCAATTCAAAAGTTGTCTCTCCGAGTAATGATATTGGTGCTTCTAAATATTATGCTGCTATTGTTTACAATGGAGATGTACCAGCTCGCAGTACTTAAGCTGCTTTGTAAACCATGCAAAGACAAGCCAATGATCTCTTATTGAATAATTCATTTTTTTTTTGCAGCCACAAAGTGTGGGATTTACTCATAGCCAATGTTTGAGTTTAGTTGCATTATGTATATATCAAAAGAATGGTATTTATGTATGACTTGAGTACATGTAGGTTTACCTACATATATCAGAACAAAGTTTATTCATTTTGCTGAAGAACAGTGAACAGTCCATTAAAATAGACAACTAATCATCTTGACTTTTGAAACATTGGCAACTTTTATGACTCCCTCTACTACACTCCCATGGATAGAAATCGAAATCAGTGAATCTATATCAGCTTAAGTGCTCAATTTATTTTAGAGTTATATATGTGCATTTTATCTTAGATCTGATATTTACATCGATATCGAGATCATCAACTTAATACATAGTTAAATGTATCAAGTTATTCCAAATTCCAACTCCGCCTCTATCAACCAAGAATACGTTACATGGCTGCATGATTTAGGTTATTTTCTTACATTTCAAACGTTCTATTTTTAAGAGCCCTCCTTCGTTAATGTTATTTTCCTTCTTGTTTACTGTTGCTCATAACTCACGTGGAAAGGGTCCAGCATATACGAGATCAAAACATATCGTATGGGAATGCCCCCATTTACAGACACATTCTCGGAAGTTATCACAGCCTCGATCCAGTTATTGTACTATGAAGTTAAACACATATTTTCTTAAAGCATAATAAGATATCTGTCCTGTGATGAAATCGAAAATTTACTACGAATCTTTCTTTAACGACAGTGCCCCACGCTAGAATAAACATACGCTCTACACGACCAATACATCTAAACATCTTTTTAATATGCAAAATTGTTTTTATCCTTCACCAGAAACGTTTGCAAAGCGTTACTTCAAACTCGTTTTAGTCAGGTACGGTACCGTTTCGATACTATTGTTCGTTGCACACGGGGTAAAAAAATACCCACATACGCGTATCTTGTTGCAGACGTGCTCATAATCCCAACGACTATTATGAACGGGAAGAAGGAATATTTCCCATACAATGCTCAGACAGTATGGGGGCTGTACAGCATATATGCACGATAATTTCAACTTTGTGCGTTTCATTCCGCTTCTCTCTCTATTTTTTATTTTTTTTTTAAAACATTTATTTTTTTGCTGTCTGACGTAATACCCTTTCGCTCATTGAGACGGCTGTTGCTGACCATATCTACTAAAAGAATAGATAAATTAGAGCAACAAATTTCATATACATGCGAGAACGACCCCGTTGCCCATTTATTTTTTTACTTGCGTTTCAAAAATCGTAAGACAAATTTTGAATTGACAGGATCAACGATAAAAATAAACCGAAAAAGAAATTTAAATAAAACAAAAGATTGAGCAAAAAAAAAAACAAAACAATGGGGTACCATTCTTTATCAGAGTCAACATAGTTAGGCTAAGTATAGATTTGTCATCTACTGCGCCGCGTGAAATCGAATTTGCTTTTAGCAAAAAAAAAGGTCAGAAGCAAGAGTAATGGAGCAACACAAGCAAATGCTATATATCTATATATATATCCTGGATAACCACTAGTGTCGTCACAGAATACTCCACTCCCCAAACCTTATTTTGCCTTACTACGCATACAGAAAAGACCACAATTGTAGCGTACAGGATAGAAAATCTTTTTATAATTGCGGTTGTTTGTGTGAATATCGTGTTCCTGCACGACCTATCCCTTTATAAAACAACAGTAGAACAAGTTTGCGGTCAAGTTCATAACCAAAAGCAACACACGCATAAACATACACTAGACGTACACCGGACTGAAGCAACAGATCAGATTATACGCACAAATACAAGACAATAATAATCATATACATTTTTCCTCACTTTTCTTTACAACTTTGTAACGTGTAAGCTGTTGTTTTTGAGCTCCAGCATAGGACGATTTTGAATTGCTTGGAAACGTAAAAAGTTCCCAGTAGCCAGTCACCCGACCACCTTCTCACACATACAACAGTTCTAGTCTCTCCAAATGGACCAGCAATTTCTTGGAGTTGACACGCATTTGGACCCGCAGCTTAACGGGGGTCAAAACCGGTTGGGGGTACCTGAGCCCGATACCAAAGTACAATATGATCTTGCCAATCCATCGAACCCAGTGATTGCCACTGCACAGGCGTTGCTCCAGGGAGACCAGCAGTATCAACAACACGCACAGGCACAGCATGTTCAGCAACAGGCACAAGAACGTGCTCTAGCACACACCACGAGCCAAATCCAGCGTCATCAAGACCATCATCAACAACAACAACAACAACAACAACAACAATTACAACATTTGCAGAGGGTTCAAGCGGCACAGCTACAGGCCGCTGTCGGCCAACCCTCAGTGCAAACTGGGGGGCCACTTTTGCCACAGGAAGCCTTGCAAGCTCCCACAACACAACCTGGAAGAGTTTCGACCCAGCAGCAACAACATCATCATCAAGCATATATGCTTGCACAACAAAGACACATTCTCAGCAACCCACAGAACCAACTTTCACCTGCCATGGGGAGAAGTCAGTACGATTCTATCACGGGCTTACCCAACATTGGGCCCATTCAGTCAGGAGTAGGAGTTGGAGTTGGAGTTGGGCTTGGAGGTGACGGTCAATCTATAGGAGCAAACACAGCTAATGATGGATCAAATGTGATTTCACTGGTACTTCCTATGAATGGGAACAATGGTGGACACCAAGATCATCATGATGATATTGGAGAACTGAAGGCAAATCTTGTGACACCAATCCCCCCACTTCATATCCAACAACAACTTGTAAATTCACATTCAGATGATACTAAGCCGATCAATAATCGACCAGATGGAGGCGATGGGAATCAAATATACCGTAGTTCATGTTCAAGATGTAAAAAGGATTTCAATCAACCATTAATCATACCTCATAGCAATGGATCGGAAAGAGGAGGGAAACGATTGGCTGAACCTAAAATTTTCAAGTTGTGTCAACATTGTCGTGACCTTCAACGTCAAAGATCGAGAAGATGGCAAAAGAAAACGAAGGACAAGTCTGGTGCATGTCGTAGATGTGGGGCGACCATTCCGCCAGACCTTCAACATTTTGTGCTTTGTCCTCAATGTAGAACGAATTTACGGTCTAGAAAGGCTAATCGAGCGGCCCAGGGGAAATGTGTGCATTGTTCAGGACCATTAGATGCATCAATCATCACTGGGACAGAAAAACGTAAGGAGAAGTATAAAAGTGGGAGTTATAAAGTATGTCAGCGATGTCGAGAGAATGATAAAATTCGTCGATCCAATTTGGAGAAATTGGGGAATTGTAACCGTTGTGCAAAGTCTCTTGAACCAGGAGATGTGGGCAAACATAAGGTTTGTGTAGGATGCAGATCACGTAAAAAGAAGGCTCCAAGTGGAAGTCCAGGTCCAAGTGCTCCGTTGATTGAACCTGTGGGATATGCACAACAAGGGTTCCCACAACCACTGCAGCAACAACAGCAACAACAGCAGCAGCAACAACAACAACAACAACAACAACAATATGCTGTAGTGCAAGCACAAGCACAGGCCCAGGCCCAGGCACAAGCCCAGGCACAAGCACAATATAACCAAGCATTTGCACAACAACAATTTCAACAAGCCATGGTTCAAGCACAGGCTCAACAAGCTGCAAGATACCAACAAACATCTAATAGTAGATCAGTAGAAGAGATGCAAAACATGGTTGCTGCAGCCGCTGCTCAGCAGAACATCCCATGAGAGTGACTCTATTGTATAATTATAAGAAGACACACATATATATTACGTTTTCATTTGACTAGGAGTAGATCCGTAGAGACCATTAGACATGACTTTGTGTGATTCACGTGTTGAATCTAGATCGCGGATATCACTACAATCTCAAAAACAATCCAAAAGAAGCGATCAAGTGACAAAGCCCGTTTCGACGACGCGACCCTTAAAGATACGAAATCATTGAGGAACTTGTACCAGGGGTCTCTTGATAAACTGCACTACATTATACAAATACTTTCACAAGCACATACGCACCTCCCCGCAGAGAAAGATCCATCGAAATAGAGAATATCTATCAAAGTGTTTGCCTTACCCTTTTATTGACAGCCTTGACTATTTTGTTTTTTTAGAATTGTTTTTTTTTTGTGCAAACAGAAAGGACAACGGCAATATCGCTCCCCTTTCGGAGACTTTTTCTTACAACAAATAGAACACCAGTAGGGAACCCAGTGCACCAATCCCCTCTCCTAGACCACAGCCTGCTACCCGTAGAGTTGATTCTATATTTTGGAGAGCGTGTCTTCTTTTATTTTGCATCATGGCCACGTTCCATAATAATTCGTCACTGTCGTCATTAAATTCTGCAAAGAAGGACAAGGAACTTCCTCCAATACCGCCACTTGTTGCCGGTGGAGGCGACGCAATTCTCGAGTCCAAGACACTCAAGCGGAAGAACTTCAAACAGCTTTCGCTTGGGGGCACATCGACAGGGTTACAAACATCTACACCTTCGATTACCACCACAACTCCAACTTCGTCGTCTACCATTTCCACCTTCACCTCAGATAATGATATGGGACTTCTTTCTAAACTGTCCCTCACTGAACGTAGAAATAAACTCAGACCAGACAAATTGGTAAACTTTAAAGTTGATGTGGATAAGTTAAATAATTCCAATTCCAATTCCAATTCCAATTCAAGTTCAAGTTTACAAACTCCTACGCATAATTTGATAATTAATCAAATATCCAACCTTGAACTATCATCCGGGAACGCCACCAACAGACCAATCAATGCCATTGGGGTTGTCGGGTCAACCACCACCCCAACAAACAACAACAACAACATCTTGGTGAGTAGGAAACGCCAAACGGTTATTTCTCTGATCTCACCAACAAAGTCAATATCTTCTATCCCTCTGTCTGCATCTTCCATTAATTCGGGGCAAAGACTCAACTTTGCCGAATCATTGGTCAATGATGATGCGTTGGCCTCATCTCCCATATCCACCACATCTTCACTTAAACTCAACAATAAGGACTTAGTAACGTTGAAAAACCTTGGGTCGGGTAACTCGGGTACCGTTTCAAAAATCCTTCACATTCCTACAAAGAAGATTATGGCCAAGAAAATCATTCATATTGATCTGAAGACTGTAATTCAAACACAAATCATTCGTGAATTAAGAATTCTTCATGAATGTCATTCTCCATTTATTATCGATTTCTATGGAGCCTTCATCAATAACAGTAACACCATTGTCATATGCATGGAGTATTGTAATTGTGGATCTTTAGATAAGATCTTGCCATTATGTACACCATCACAATTCCCACTTTATGTGTTGAAGAAATTAACATATTCCATTTTATCTGGATTAGCATATTTATACACCACTCATAAGATTATTCATCGAGATATCAAACCATCCAATGTTCTTATGACCCATAAGGGAGAGTTCAAGTTGTGTGATTTTGGAGTTCTGAGAGAATTAACCAATTCTTTAGCTATGGCTGATACATTTGTCGGGACTTCCATGTATATGTCCCCCGAGAGAATTCAAGGGCAACATTATGGGATCAAGTCAGACATATGGTCCATGGGATTAATGTTGATTGAATTAGCCAGTGGGTCATATGTTTGGAACGATGATGATGACGATGAAGACGAAGATTCTACAAATAAACCTAAATGTCCGAATGGGATTTTGGATTTACTACAAAGAATTGTTAATGAAACTCCACCAAGTTTAACTGGGAAAGTGAATTCCATTACCGGAGAAAAATACGATGAAAAATTATGTCAATTGATTGATTCATGTTTAATTAAAGATGATAAGGTGAGAAAATCACCATGGGAACTTTTGCAAGATACAGATGGATTTTTGGATGGAGTTGAAGATGGAACGTTTGATAAGGATGTAAAATCATGGGCCAAAAAGGTTCGAAAGAACCACAAAGAAAAGAATGAAGGTGATAACCACAAAGATACTACTGTATAGATATAGACAAACCAGAAAAAAAATAACCAAATGCATATACACAAAGAACATAACCAGTATAGAGGAACAAATAGTAAGATGGCTCTAACAGTATTTGGATACCCCGAGGGAAAATATACCAAAGAAACTACGTATCATATTGGCAAGGAATTATCATGGATGAAGATATTCCAAACATATGTTGTATTCTCAAGTGAAGACCAATTCAACCAATATAAAGAATGTATTGGTGGGGCCAAACCCAAACCAGTTTTGACAGGTCAGTTCACCCCGTTCAATTGGAGCAAACATATGGTAATTAAGAATGGAGACGGACAAGAGTTTTGCTGGGTAGAATCTAAATGGCTAATTCATTATCATTGTCGACGATTTGTGCTACATTTCACCCCAAACCTGAACTGTCCTGAACAAAACTTTGACATAGTCTTATTGGACAGCAACTTGTGTACTTATTCGGATACTATCTACAAGAACACGCGAATAAGATTTAGTGGCACTAGCACTACGCTTCATGAAGAAGGGGTGAATTATTTCCGTTTGGTACTACTTGAGAACGAGGAACTTGGACTTTTAGATAACTTATCCGAATCATATATGCCCAACACACCTCTCCTCACATATGCTAACCATTTACCAAACATTATCAAAAGGGCAGTGTTATCGATCCCTTACGATGGTGATAAAGTTGAAATGATATTTGCTGCAGAGAATCCAAAGAGAGACACTTCACCATTTGGAGTATATCGCGAGTTGTTCTGGCATGATCTTACCTGGAGGGAAACAATCAGCAACTTCCGAAGAGATTCAACCATGTCTTTACGGGAGATTCCAGAGAACGAGAACATGCAAGATTCAATGGTGATGCTTAGTATAGTTTTAGTTTTGAAACAACAAGACAATGAACGACAATTCAATGAAGCCAAACATCCCAAAAGATTCCACGAACATAGACGTGACAAGGTTTAAAATCAATATTTAACACTAATACAAGACATATACAGTAGATGTTCATTAACATTGTGATTTCATTCATTTTTTAAATAGGATATACATTAGATTAGTTGAGGTAGTCTGGGTTCATGGCAGTTTCGTAACTTAAATCTGGTTGGAATTCCCCGTAGATGGTTTCTGGGTCACCAGACATGTGCAAAGTGTAAGCAGCAACGTCGTCGTGGATGATTTGCTTCTTCTTACCGGAGGCAGTGGCAGCATCAGCCAACAATTGGGCATGACAAGTGTTTTCCATCAAGGTGAACAAATAAGCAGCTTCATCAACGGTTTGACCAACGGTCAACAAACCATGGTTTTGAAGAATGGCAGCAACCCCGTTTTCACCAAGGGCTTCAGCAATTTCTTCACCTTCCTTAGCATCCAAGGCAATACCTCCAAAGTTAGAAAAGACAACGTGTCTGTTGTAAAGTAAACAAGCATCTTGGTTGATCATGTCCAATTCCTTACCAAAACTCAGGTAAGCCTTACCATAGATGGAGTGGGTGTGACAAGCAGCAGCGATACCTGGCTTGGCCTTGTGGATGGCAGCATGGATGGAAAATCCAGCAGCGTTCACAGCAGCCTGGTTACCGGTAGGCAAGACGTTACAGTCCATATCAACATGAACCATGTCACTGGCCTTCATCAATGAGAAGTGCTTGTTCAAAGGGTTGATCCAAAAGGTGCCTGGTACAACTGGATCCTTGATGGAAATGTGTCCAGCAGAACCTTCAGTGTAGTTCTTTCTTCCGAAAACTCTGAAGGCACCAGCCATATGTTGAAGCATCCACTTACGTTTGGCAAGAAGATCAGTGAATTCAGGAATCTTGTCTGGATGTTCCAAACCTTTGGCAAGGTTATGGGAGCCAGCAGCACCAAACTCGTAGTTCTTGGATGTGTGGGCAGCGGTATTTTGGGCGGTAGGAGACATGTTTTGTGAGAGATGAAGGGATGATACTAACACAGATGGGTCTGTTGAAAAGAGAATCGGTGTACCTCTTTATATATCCGATGGGCCTTCCTGTTTGTGACCCAAGAAAAAATAGGCGCGCGGTATTCTCAAATTTCTCCTCTTCGCTTACTACCCCATTTGGAACGGGATTGAATTCCGGTATAAGTGGGACAAACATAAATATTATCTGGCACTAGTAGATAAAGGATAGATCTGATGACACGGAATTTGATAACTCATGATGCCATTTATTTTATAATTAATATTATTATTATTAAGAAGATGTTTTGTGTTTCAATTTAGACATGTTTATTCTTTATTTTTTTTTCTTTTAGTGTCAAAATGTTAGATGGTTTTCAAAATGTATACGTGTAGGATTAGTAATATTATTATTCGTATTAAAGTATTATAGATTAGTATACATGCAGATGGGGTATTATATAAGGTTAAGCCTTATGGGAAACATCCTTTTCCACGGCAAATTCCCCATCTTCGGCAGTTTTCTCGGATGAAGAAGTGGTGTCATTGGCTTGAGGAGCTGGGGTAGCTTGAGCGGCAGCAGCAGCAGCGGCAGCTTTATCGGCGGCCAATTTTTTGAAGAATGCAGCGTAACCGTATTTGGAACTTCCTCTAAGTTTAGCACCGTAGATACCAAACACAAAAGGTACAGGAACCAAGGCAAGGGCAATGAATCCAAACAAGGAACTGGCCCAATCAATGTGAAGTCTTTCATACATTTGGACGGTGAAAAGAGGGAACACAGCAGCCAAGACATAACGTAAAAAGTTGTTTGCAGCCAAGGCAGAAGCAACTGATGAAGGTGGGAAAGACATGGAAAAGTACAAAATGACAGTGAAAAAGATCAAAATCAAACCAAATCCGAAAAAGATACCGGATAAAGTTGGAACAATCCAATGGACAGACTTTCTTGAAGTCCAACCCAACCAGAACAAGGAGATTGGCAAACAAACAGCACCAACCTTCCCAATGAACAAACGAGATTCTGGAGCATCCCAGATAATGTTACCGTTTTCATCTCTCTTACCTCTAGTACCATCAGCATTCTTTGGGAAATAGTAGACTTTGTCCAAGTAAATATAAAAGACAACCCCAAGCATTAACCCGAAACCAACTCCAATAAATGGTAAACCAGAAATACCTTGGTCCATACGATAGACCAGGATGAAAATGATAGGGAAGGCTTCAAAGAAACCGAAAAGAACGGCGAAAACAAAGGCAATGTAAATAGAGAAAACCAAAACAATTGGTTCAACAAACAACATTTCCATTGGCTTCAACATGGTGAATACAAGAACCTTCTTAACGTATTCAGAGTTGACTTCAGGCTTGACAAGCTTGATACCTCTCTTTTCAGCTCTCTTGGCCAAAAGAACTGGCTTGTAAGTTTCTGGCAAGGCAAGAACAAATGGAAGAGCGGCACCGGAAAACATCAAGGAAACCCACATGGTCCATCTCCAATCTTTGTATTCAGCGGCAAAGTTACCGATAATTGGACCCAAAATAGGACCCAAGAATGGAGCAAGACAGAACATAGCCATGGCAAATCCAATTTGATCTGGAGACCAGATATCAGAGATGGAACCACCAGCAATGGCCATGGCAGGAGAGGCGATCAACCCACAGAAAAACCGCAAAATTAAGATGGTTTCAATGTTTTGAGCTAAACCAATACCCATGGTGAAAAGCATAGAGACTGGCAAGGAGACGATATAAATCCATTGACGACCAATCATTTCCGAAAGAGGAGCAGCGAAAACTGGACCAAAGGCCAACCCAATCAAGTACAAGGTCAAACCAACAATGGCCAATTCTTGAGAAATTTTGAAATGATGTTCAAGTTCTGGAACACCAGAAACGTAAAGTGATGAACCCAAAGAAACACACAAACAAATGGCAGCGACGGAAAAGGTAACGTGCCATTTTCTCCATTGAGGCCAGTTTTGAGGGTTTTCCTTGTCATCTGGACCATCCCATTGAAGCAGGGAGATTTCCACTGCTTCCGGACCATCAGACTTGTGGGTTGAGTTCTTGGTCAATTCATGTCTCAATTCAGCTTCAGCATCTTCGTCAATCGATCTGTGAGTGGCAATTCTTTCGATGGTATATCTTCTGTTGAGAGCGTCTTCACCGTCCAATTCTGGAGCTTCGAAATCTTCAACAGTGTTGACGGCAGATTCAGTGTCACGAAGAACGGTTGGTTCTTGAATGGTTGAGTTGTCATCGTCAGATGGAGAGACAGTTGGAACTACACTGTCAGTGACTGCACCAGGAGCAATGCCTTCGCTAGAAACAGCTGCACGTTGTTGTGGCTCATCGGCCATCGATTGCTCATCGTATTCGTCAGCAGTCTCGTATGCTGATGATCCGGTGTATGAGCTGGACGATTGACGTCTGACACCAGATGATTCATCAACACCAGCAGCCGACCTTAAATGTTCTTCTTCAGTCTTATTAGTACCTAAAATACCCATTGTGAAATATTATGTGTATTCAAGTTTTATGTGTGGGAGACTAAAATAAAACGATCGGTAGCGCCGTGGCCAGTATATATACAGTGTGAGATGCACCGGATGAGATAGCCTCGGCGGAAAAACACACTGAAAAATAAAATGGAAATAAAATGTGTGATGCACCATGCATGTCGCAGTTGGACCGAGGGAGGGAATAAGATACATTTTCAGCCATAAATTGTGGATGCTTACAAATACTGGCTGGTTTCTCCGAGATTCGCATTTGACATAGCCGGTGTTGTCAACATGGGACTTGAAACTCTATAATCAGGTCAATGGACGGGTCAATCAATTTTTTTCCAGAAGGATAGTTCGTATACTGAGTGGTCTTTTTTAAATTGCTTGGTTTGTATTTTTTTTTTCTTTTTTTTTTTCTTTGTGCCTAGTTCCCTTTTAGTTTTTTTTTTTTTTTTTTCATTTCGTATCTGTTTGTTATTAGTGTGTGTGTGGTTGTGCGTTTGTTTATTGTGGGAATACTGGGGGATCCACGGGATATTACTTAAGTACACGTTGTATTCTAGAATTCCACCGGTAGGATAAAGGGGTCAATCTACTCCTTGATTGGACTTTTCAAACTCTAATTTGGTAAACCTTAAAGACATTGTAGATCGCAACTCGCATGCGGGAAATCGTGACCTTTGTCTGGCAAAGACAGAAGACAAGGATCGTATTTCATTGATAGATGAATGCCGAGTCGGCACTATTGGCCGCGAGTCCCGACTACTGTGCTTGCACAGCCCAGGAACAGAACCCAACGCCAACTTTCCCCCAGAGAATGTTCTCCCAACTTTCATATACAGATTCTTGACGGAAGAGCCCATCATGCGCATTCGGCCGAGGGCACCGAAAGCCTCGTCCGAAACGGGCGTTAAAACCGATTTGGCTGCAACAGATGCCAAGTTGTTCATTCAAATTTTATTTGCTTTCAATTGTTAAATGTCAACGGTTCCCAGTAGCTGGTTGCATATACCTTATCTCCGTTGACAACTAACCAAAATAATAGTTAGTAATCATTTCAATATGTGTCGTTGTCTATTAGATCTAAATAATTTTTTCTTTTTCTCACTTTCTTTTTCTTTTTAGATTTGTTTTTTTTTTGCTACGATCTAATTTTAAAATTTCAGATTATAAAATTTACACCTGGTGACATTGAATGGTGAGGCTGTGCATTTCTTAACTCCCTACCTGTCTCTGAATTTCATCTAATTTCTTCCTTTCAACTAATATCTTACTTTCACCTAATTTCTAACTTCTTACTCTCAACTAACTTCTCACTCACTTTCTCTTTATTTCTGATACGAAAAAAAAAGAAAGTCTTATTGTTTGTCGGAGTTTAGTTGAACTACAATAGTCACCAATGGTTATCGGTGTTTACAGTGCTGGACATCAATTGCTATTTTTACCCCCCCATGGTAGTCAATTCTTTCTAAGTAACTTTTCCTATTCAACCCTTTCCCTTTGCCCATCATCAGTATCTTCATTCCATCCATAATATGCCTTGGCTCGGAAAAATCCAAACATGAAATTGCATGCAAATAAAATACATACAAATCCAAATAATACCAAGAAAAATTTCAACCCTAATGGTTCTACCAATGAATTGATAATCATTCCAACCGTTTCTGCACTGATCAGTGACATGTTACCCCCCTCATAAGGATTTTGGTTTATACATCTTTGTAAATTTGCACAATATTTGGCCGTTGCTGGCACAACATTATCACAATGATTCTCAATATATTCATGTTCACATGCAGCAATTCGCACCATAATATCGGTGGCATGTTGTGAAACCTTGTGAGAAATATCCGTTCTAACGGCCCTCACCATGGCAAATACCAAGTACCCGACGTACCCTGTAGCGACAAAATTTAATAATAATTGTATATATGAAGAAAGTATGTAAGGAATTCTTTCATGTGGAGTTGAATTGGATTGCCAAGGTTGTGGGAGAGTGCCAAGTTCTCCATTATTGTTATCTTGATGTATGACATCAAGTCTCTCTTGAACCAGCCCTCTATTCATAGGTGTAAGCTCTTGTATCTTTTGCAGGTACTCCAATGGAGTCATATGCGAGAGATTGGAAGTTTGTGATTGTATCAACATATCTCTAGTGGTTTGCGGTGTACTGTAGTAATGATGATGATGTACTTGTATTGGAGTGGCAGCTGAAGTCCACGATTGATTGCCTAGTGAAGGCGAGTTAAGAACTGAAGGATATTTCGATCTATGATTAAGTTGTGCAATCAGAGCTCCATGGGTCGTACTGATGGACCCACGTTTTTGCTTTCGGTAGAGATAAGAGTCATCTTGGGAATCGTATTCCCCCGTAGCAGGGTTATATATAAGCTCTTCGGATAAGGAGTCAGCTCTGGATCTGATATTGGACTTGTATTGAGATCCAAATGACTTCATTTCAGACTTGTCATCAATTATCGTAGGTGCAAATACAAGACTTGGGTCAGTTGTATTGGTGGAAAATCCAGAGATATTGCGTATTTTGCCTAGTTGTTCAGGTGGACTGGCTGTATCATATTCATAATCTACCAACAGATCTTCTTCTGGTGGCGGTGCAGGCATCAATAATTTCTGTTTCCTTGTACTCCCCTCCAAGGCAAATTTCGCCCCCAACGTTGTTGGCAGTAGTATCGACATTGAGATTCCAGAAATCGAGCTCTGTGATGTATTTGCAAGATCGTATTCATATTCATCTTCTACACATGTTTCAAAATCAGTCTGATCGTCATGGGTAAGAATCTTCTCTAGATCACGTTTCATTTCATCTTTTTCCACTTCTTTCTTCGAGGCAAAGTCCTTGTTCGCCCAAACTTTCCAGTCGAATGGCGTACTCAGTACGGCACCTTCCAACTCCTGCTCGGACTCCGGTTCGGGCTCCGGCGTGTGGAAGTTGTGGATTGTTTCATTGTCGTATTCATCATCAATATCCATATGATCTGACGTGTTGGCAGCGGTCAAATACTCCGTTTCGTTCGTCGTTTCATTCAATGAAAGTGCCAGGAAAAACGTCCCATCATAATCCGTCGATCGATTGAATGCCATGTTATTCAATCAGAAAAACACTTCTTATCTTATTCTTCTCTATCTGTTTGTGTTGTTTACTTTGTGTTTACTTTGCACGTTATTTTATTTTATATTTTTTTTTTTTTTCTGTCAATTCCCAAACAGGAACACACTCATCGAGAGAGAAAGAGTCCTCATCTCCTCATCCAACTACTACTCCATCTTTCTGACCAAACACCATGGGATCCAAACGTAAGAAGGCTGAGAAGCAAAAGGATTTCGTCAAGAAGAAGCTCAAGGTTGGTAAGACCGCGGCCAAGCCAGATAATCATACCGATACATCGTTCACCGCTAGGGCCATCTCACTTCCAAATCAATCATTAAATAGAAAGCAAGCCGTTGAAGGACTTGCAGAAGAAAAAAGAGAAGAAGTTGATCTTTCCCATCATCTTGCCCTTGTTAAGCATCACTCCGCATCCACCCGTAAGGAGGTTCTTATCTATATCGAACAACATTTACCTTCCAACCCATCGCTTTACAAACAAATCATCACTAGCATCGTCCCACTCATTGTGGACCAATCTCAAAATGTCCGTAATGCCCTTGTGTCACTTTTAAATGCATGTGCCCGTGAAAAACCTGGTCTTTTAGACTTGCATCTCAAAGCTATTGTTCTTTTCATCCATTCTGCAATGACCCATATCCAACCAGATATTAGAAATTCAGCTTCAAAATTCCTTGCTGTACTCATTGAACATTCTCCAGATGCCTTAGTTCGTTCATATTTCATCAAGACCATGAAGGCATATTTCACTCTATTGGCTTGGACTCTCACTGATGATAAGAAGTCTGTATCATTAGCAATCACCACCAGTGCATCCACTGGAGGAGCCACTAAAAAGGCAAGAATTGGCCATGTTGCCGTGTTCAAGAAATTCCTTGAAGCTGCTCTTTTCGCTAATGAATCAGATAATGCCACACAATTGATTGACATCACAAATACTTCCCTTATTCATCCATTATCGGGAAAATATTTAATCCCAACCGCCACCAGAGCGTATTCTCCATTGAAACTCTTTGTCAAGGAAATGACCACTAATAACAATTCTTCCAGTACATCCAGCGGTTCTGGAACTTCTGGAGCCAATTCCGGCGTCGATGATGGTTCATTCACCTTGGATGATCTTCCATCGCTCAGTACAGAAGATTTGAGTACCAGAAGAAAAGTAATGATTGACGTTTTCAGTAAACCTTCAGTTAAAAACTTGACAAATTTCATCAAAGAAGGAGGAGAAGTTGGAAGAGAAGCTCATTCATGTTTGGCAGTCATCACCAAATTGAAATCTGAGGAAGTGGAAAAGGCTGCCACCGTTTAACATGGAATGTTTGTTTCTCTATTTAATGAATAGTATCGGGAATGGTACTCTGTATAGTAAATATGAGTGTTTATTAACCTCTAGTTAATGAGATATATCAATAAATCGAATCAGATGTAGAGAAGTATGAACTGGGAGACCTAGCGTCGGACAGTTATATGTGGAAGAGAATAGTCCGGGTTTGCAAGCCGCTCCGCTGGCACTCCGTGGGCCACTAGCCGTGGAGGCATTCTTCCTCTGTCGAGGAAATTGACAACCGGTAGATCTCCTCTTAGAGGAGCTAGGCACCACGCAGTGGCTCTCCCGGAGCAGGGGCCTGCGGAGTAGCTTACAGCCCCACAGGAAGTGAATATTAGCAACCTTACGTGGTATGCTCCCCTGAAACTCCGTGTATATGAGTGCAGCTCCTCTACAAGAAGAAAATTATTCTATTGAAGAGTCTTCTATTACATATTTCCTTTGATGCTGGGATATCAATTCCATATTCAATTTCTATTCGTTCATCGTCATTCTATAGTTCCCCTGTTAGGCTGCGAAAGTGTTGCAAATCTCATTTCCGATTTTTTTGTCCTCAAGTTCTGGAGTTATTTTTGTCTCCGACAATGGACAAAGCACCTAAATCTTTAGTACTTGCATCATTCTTTCATCCATATTACAGAACATTTTTATTCCCAGAGCAACTGGATGCATTAGAAAAATTCTTGAGCATGAGGATGAAACTTACAAAATGGCATCCAATTGGTGGAAGAGTTTTTCAGCCACACTTGTTGAATCTGAGTTTGATCTATATTGGATTAGAAATTGGCTAAGTTTTCTGGTAGAGACCCTGTTATTATCTTGAATGAGGATGATGGAGTTGATATAGAAACAGAAGATGTTAAAGATGGTGACTACAAGAATTTTGATTCTACCTACCTGAATAATAATATAGCTGGAGGTAATTTGAATGGTATTGAAGTTATCGAATCATGGATGAAAAAAGTTTACAATACCCAATTTTGAATAAGTATGCTTTGAACTACCTTTCGATACCTACTTCAAGTACTACTAGTGAAAGGGTATTCAATTGAAGCACTCTAGGTAGAAACTGCCTCTCAAATGAAACCTTCGCGAATTTGCAGGTTGTAAAACAATGGTCAATATTATTTTGATATTGATAGAGAGTTAGCTCCATTGGAGAGCCCAGATGAAATGAGATGTCATGACATAGAATTGGTTATTTAGAATATGTATGAAATAAAAAGATAACCTGATTCTCAATTCTGGAATTACCCAGAAATGAATCATCGATTCCTGTTACAAAAAGTCTGGAGAACCCGTTATGAGCCAGGCCACTCTCCAATAAAAACCGGACGCGGCAACGTTACACACGATACATAGGTTACATACACTATCAAGTATATATTATCACGATTAATTACTTAAAATGCTTCTTAGGAACGTCTTGACCAGAAGCATAACATGCGCCACCAGGGTGCCTCGTAGCTCGTTCATCACCCCAGCCCGTTCCTTTCAAATCTCATCTTTTGTATTGGCCAAGAATAAGAAGAATTCTTCAAAAGGTTCCTCTAAAAAGGGCAAGAATGAAGACGTTGAACAAGCAATTGACCCAGATGCAAACACTCTTGCTCTCGACTTTGATGCGATCAAATCCAAATTTGAAGCCGTTGTGGAAGAATTTAATAAACATGCAACCGAGGCAAGACTTGGGAAAACTAACCCAAACATTTTCGATAAATTGAAAGTTGAAGTAGATGATTCCCACTTACCATTTACTTCGGTGGCTCAAACCACTATTAAAGGTGGCCGTAATTTCTTGATTACTGTCTATGACCCAGCCCATACACAGAGTGTGATCAACGCCGTTTTGGGCTCGGATTTAAACATGAACCCAATTAAAGACCCTGCCAACAAGCAAATGTTGAAAGTGCCCGTACCACCACCAACTGTAGAAAGTAGAAAAGAAGCTTCAAAGCATCTCAAGGTGATTTTTGAAAATTTGAAAAATGGGAAATCTGGATCTTTATCCAAGGTTAGAGCAGATGTTCGGAAAGATATTGATAAGCAACTGAAAAAGAAGAAAAATCTTAGTGATCAAGAAAATGCTCTTGTTAAGGAGTTTGATAATTTACACAAGGATTTTACCACCAAGCTTTCTGATGCTTTCAAAGCTGCGGAAAAGACTCTTTCAAAATAGATGAAAGTAATAAATAAATGAAAAAGGAATATGTTGTGTAGGGTGTACGAAAGAGTTCGACCAAGCTTCAAGACCCATTTAAAGTACACTAAAAGTAATAATATATATATGAAAAGGAGCTATATTATGTATATGTAGATTAATAGAGTGTTTAGAAAACAGCACCAGTTTCAATAAATAATCTCTTGCTATACTTTTCACACCATTTAATGATCTTTAAACTACGGTTTATAAGCTCACGTGTACTCACCGACGACACATCACATAAACAATAGAATTCATAAGTATCACCGAAAAGCATAAACCCAATCATTGAATGAGGTCCTTGACCCATACTCTTCATATATGTAAATCTTTTATTTTGGTTTTTCGGTCCCATAGGTGGGATCAGTTTAGTTGGAGTCAACTTCATTGCATTAATCTGTGTATTATGTAAGGTTGAATAGAAATGTACCAATTTCAAAATTGAATTGGTTTGATCTTCTTGATCCAACCCACTAGAGACAAATTGATTACACAGTTTCAGTTTATAAATGAAATGTTTAATGACTGTTTCTTGAAGATCATGAGTTAATGATATCCTTGATTTGGATAATTCTCTACAGAAATCTTCAACAAAGATTGGATTCTTGGTAAGTTTCCTTACCAAATGCTCTGATACTTCTTTCATTTGGAAAAATGAATTCTTGTTTCCACTAAGAAGAACAATTGTGACTGGAGTGGTAGAATCCAATTTAATTGTTTTAATGAAGGCATATAGAAACCCTCCACTATTGAAGTACGGCATGCATATGGGCACCCACAAATCTTCAGTGGTATCGTTCGATTGGATGGAGTGTTGTCTTTGATTGGAAACCATAGCCAAAAGAATTTTCAAATCTTCATTCTTCAAATTATGATGTTTTGGTTTCATGGCAGAAAGGATTTTATCAGTAGAATTCAATAAAAGGGCAAATAAAAGATCTTCCGCTACATACAGCTCATGAGGAGGAGAAGCTGTCCCATTAAGAAAGGGGATAGAATCTTTAAGTATAGAAATTGGTTGTGATGATGAATTGGAAGTATTAGCGGGTTTTGTCTTTAATTTTTTGGTGGAAAGCAAGATTGAATTCAATTTCTGTCTTGTGGTATTGGTAACTCTAGCACACTCAATGGCAGAATCGAGCAATTGACCCAAGAAAACACCGAATCCCAGATCAAGATCTCCTCGTGAAACAATTTGTCGATCAATACCAATGGTTAACCCATAGGTCAACTTCATGCAAAGAGAATCCAAGTTTTGGAAATCTAATGGAGTTAAAAGTTTCCGAAGATCATAATTCATCCGATTATGGAAACTCTTTGTAATGGTATGCTTTGAAATAGCCGATAATAGATAATTATAAAGGGTGGTTAGTTGATGTGATAAGATACTCTCATTTGTTCTACTCTCCATTTTTTCATATCCAAGTTTTGTAATTGTTACAAAGATCAACGGATCTTTGTTCATCACTACTATCTTTACATCATTATATGTGATAGATTTAATTTCTTCATGTGATACTTCTTTGAATGTTGAGACCACGGTTGTTATCAACCCCATGTATCCGAGAATGACATCATCGGACCCATTCATGGAATAGATGGGCTTTCCTGCCGATGATAATATGAACACATGTTTGAATTTATCATGGAATGCTTCTGAATCATCTTCTTTGGTGAGTGATATGTAATTCTCAATGATAGTTTGAGGGGTAACATTGTCGTCTACGGGGAAGATTTTGTAGTCGGTGACTGAGGAATTCCCCTGTATTGGAGAATGGTGTTGACCAGACATTGATAGAGACTGTGATACAGTTGTATAAACACTATGAGGTTCTTGTCGTATCAAATCCTTTAAAATGTTGTGCAAATCTTCCTCTTCCTCTTGTTGATCATTATTCTCGGAATGACCATCATTTGCATATTCCGCATCGTATGGTCCGCTTCCTGCTAATGAGTTGACTTCTTCGCTCATCAATGACGCCAGTTTAACTGGGAGTATATCTAGAGCAGAAACATTGCTTACATTGTGCAAGTCCACGGCAGTGGTGGGGTCCCCCACATAGCTGGGATGACGAGTATATTCCGGGGGGTCAATTGTTTGAAGAAGAGCTTTCGAGAGACCCTCCGGAGGTACCATCGGCTGTTCGCTGGAAGAGTCTAATGGATCTACGTTCATGTCACTGGGGGAAGAAGAAACGAACAGTATATAACACTACGTCATTTTATATAAATATAAAAATATATCTCATAGTGCGAAAACTATCAGAGATAAATACAAAAAACCCAATCTACAGATAAAGAGTATTTATATATTGGTACCTTTATTTATTCTCTCATATCTCCTATTCTCTCTACTTTAAAAACCAATACCACACTATGAATACAAAAAATAATCCAACTCCAACAATTGGAACGTATTGTCTTATCAATGCATCAAAATTAATCTTTTGAGCATGTTTACGATACTTGATAGAATCGTTACGTAAGCTCGAAGATAAATCACTCATTTTATCAAGTGAATCTCCACGATAGAGTAAATCTTCAATATTTTTCGTCATTACTTTCTTGACATCTGCTAAATCATTATTTAATCTGTCAAGGTTGGATTGTGCTCTTTGGTCCAGATATACTTTCTTTGTCTTGCCCAAAAAGGTATCAAACGAGCTGAATCCAAACGGTCTGGCTGCATTAGATAACGCTTCTTGACCATGTGAATGTTGGAATTCATGAGAAATTTCTGACAAGTATGAAAATGCCAATTTACGTGGGTAAGACTTTTCACAAATACATAAATAAATAATTGAATTATCAATGAGATAGTGGATGTTGTAGGCTCCGGATTCAAGCGTGGCTTGTGGCTCCAGGTTTGGAGTCACCCTACTGATGATTATCTTACATTTCTTTTTTTGTTCAACAAGGGCTGGATCATTGCTATCATCTACAGATCCACAAAGTGGCAAGGCTGACGGTTAGTAAAAGAGTTGGGAGAATTAATCGACACAAAAAATAACAAAAAACACATATGTGCATGATACACAAAATTGAATATAAAACATACCATCATATCTATATATCAAGGTAGATTGAACCATTGTTGATATAAATATCGTAGTAACCAAAACAGTGAAGAAGCCATGTCAACCAGTTTGAAACTTAGACGGGGCGCGAGTGCATACACCGTGCCGTGCTGGGTCATGTGACCTCGAGAATGTCGTTTTATTTATTTTCTCTCTCATCATCTAAAAATAAGAAAATTGTTAGCGGGACACAAATCCAAATTAGGATTATCTAAACCCAATTTTTATACAAGTAATAATATTTATTGATCTGGTAGGAAATAATTATCGATCTAGACAGTATAGTAGAAGAGATACCATGGACTTGTCGGGACTATCATCGAATCTCCCGCCCACAAGGCCAATCACACAAACCTCGATAGATGACTTGAATCGAGAACTTACTAATGAATTCAAAAATGCTGCCAAGTCGGTTGCTGCACTTTATAACAGCACTTCTTCGGCCCCAGTGAACCCTTCCAATGAACCGACAACGAGGCAAAACAAGGCGGAGTTCGCTAAGGCTGCCAAATCTGTCACAGCCTTGTATCGGTTGACCAACAACTCCAACACTTTGGTGAGACAAAAGGGGTATTTAGATTGTCTTGACGACATGTTACAAGTTTTAACCAATGGAGAAGATGTAGAAAATTGGGTTTTAGCTCGTAGAGCTGAAGTGTTGAAGGAGACCGACACGGTGCATTATGGAGCTGTATCGACTGCAGCACAGGGCCCATCAGCCTCAGCCCCTGTGACAGCTGCTGCTCCACTGACAGCATCTACTACTACAACCAATACCACCACCTCTCCTGGGAACAATGTTCTACCAAATCTTGACTCTGAGGACTTTCATTTGCCTCTTGATTATGAGTTTTCCTTTGCACTGGACGTTTCTCCTCATTATCATTTCAGACCAAGTTTTGCTCCACTCTCGGTTCTGCATTCACATAAACAAAGAGCCTTACATTCTAGACAATTAGCCCGGAAATTAAGAGGTGTATCCTCTCAGGACTCGCATTCTTCGTCTGAAGAAAGCGATAGGGACAAGGATAGAGAGGAAGAGAAACGAGAAGAGAACATGAAGAAAAGAAGAAAGCTTGAAGAACGAGAAGAAAGACGTAAAACAAAGAGTGATGATTAAATTTTCTGGCATGGAATAAGTTCAACTGGGTGGACGGAATCGGTTTAAAGAACATGATGCAGTGCATCGATGTTTAGGAGTATTTATGGTAGTCAGGTACACATATAGAGATTTTCAATTTTACATATTTACATCATTAGATTTGTATTTCTATTTAGTAAGCAAACAACCCATCTGAGTTGTCACCATATTCGTCCAATTCACCTTCACTTCCAGATCCAGATTCGGAGTCGTCTTCTTCACTATCGTAATCATCGGAATCAGATTCAGATCCCACAGCGAAATTATCACCTTCGTCACCGCCAGCTACAAGCCCTTCTAAGGACAAGCACAACAATGATTCACCCTTGGCCTGAGTACCCTTGGCAACTTCGAGAGTGGATTCGATATTACAGGCAGTTAATCTGGCCTTACTGTGAATAATAACGTTGTTCCCCACTATACAGTTTTCCAAATGAACATCATCTTCGATTGTAACGTTGTTAAGAATGACACATCCAGTCAATTTGACCCGCTTACCGATCTTACAGTCAGTACCAACAACGGTACGCTTGACAGTGGTCTTTTCATCCAAAGTGGTTGCATGTCCAACAAGAGAGTCTGCACCGACATTGGCGGAATTCTTGTCCTTTGGAGGTTGTTGACCGGAAGATTGAGCAGCAGTAGTAGCAGCGTGCTGTTGTTGTGCTCTCAGAGATGCTTGTAACTTCATGAAGTAACGGTTTGCCTCCATAAACACTGGTGTGTTGTTGATACGGAAGAAAGTGGCTTGTTGGGGTAAGATAAGGAATCCAACGTTTTCACGAGGTTCAGAATGTTTCCATGAACGCTTGGCCAAATCACGGATGACCTTGGTGGCAGAACGATGACGGAAATAAGAATCAGTGAATTTTTCCTGAGGATTTTCAAAAATGGGGAAAATCAATTCACCAGATCCGAAAAAGATGCATGAGTTCAAGAGCTTGGTGGCTACAGTGGAGTTTGCATGTCTCCAGCACATCTGGGTACGCAATTGCAATGCCTTGTGGAAGTCGACATCTTCACTGGACATAATATCCAAGAGTCTGGTTTGGCCATCATCAACGTCGGTGTAGATGGTATAATTTTTCTTGAAAATCTTTGATTTTTTGTCTTCTATGTTATCAAATTGATTACGGTAATGCACCAAGAGACCCAAATCTGATTCAGATTTGTTTCTATAGGCCTCAATAAGTACTTGAGGTGGTAAATCTGTAACAAAATCACATGGAAGTAAAACAAAATTTTGAAATTTCTTGAGAGTTGATGTCTTATACAAATGATGTAAGATTTCACCACTATGTTCAGTGGTGAGAGTCACCACAGAAATGTTTGATGGGGTGTCGTTGGCAACAGCACCGGAAGAGGCGTTGTTGGAGGCACCAACAGAGCCAGGAACAGCTCCATGGGATCCTTCTTCCTCGGCAATGAGTGCCGCCTGTTGTTGTTCCCGTTTCTTCTTGTACTGCTCCAAGGCACCCAGAATGGCGTCCTTGGAGTCATCGTCACAAACCACGGTGACTTGAGGGAAAAATGCTCTGTCACACCATTCCAAAACATATTCTATCATAGGTCTATTGGCAATGGGTAAAAGAGCCTTTGGGGTTCCGGTGGATCTGATCAGGGAAAACGGAGTTAATGCCTTCCCAGGACCACACAAAATGACGGCGTGAAACTCCATGTTTGAGCTTTCCTTGCTAGAAATAGATCAACACTTTTGTATTTCAAAGTTGAGTAATCAAAAGATCAAATTTGATATTGACTATGGTGATCATCGGTACAAAAGTCTGACTGATATTTTGGAAACGTATGCAGGACATAGTGTTAGGTGGTACATAGAGAAAGGAGCACAAAAAAAAATTATCAAGACATCAATAAAAGAAAAAGAAAAAGAGAGAGAGAGAGAGAGAAAGAAAAAAAAGAAACTGGTAGGGAAACAAGTAAAATGTAGAAACTTAGTATACTTAGTTAATATTACAATTACTTACAAAATAATAAAAAGAATATAGGTATTTCTGTTAATCCTTTTATATATGTAAAAAAGTATGGGTCCTATCTGCAGTCTCTCACTTTGCACAGCTTACGTGTGCGGCCCAAATCCGCGTTGGCGTTTGCCACTACCATAAAGGTGCCCAGTACCAACAGACAAAAGTAACACCCATAATCTCTTCATATTAGGTTACAATTCCTTTAGAATTCAACCAATAATCCATTAATCAGACTTCTCACGTCACACAGTATACTAGACTGGAAAGACCCTGTTTATATAATTCATATTGTACAACCTAGAAGAAGTACCACTACCCGATCCCTCACTAGTACCACCACCACTACCACATATACAAATTTATAATTTAACATGAGTGAAGAAGATCCACTTTTGGCAGCCTTGAATGAGGATGCAGGCGAATCAATTGCCACCACAACGGCTCCTGCCGACCCTGAGAGAGAAAGAGCCTTGTCCAAGTTCAAGGATAAGCTCATTGAACATCGTAAATGGGACGCCCGTTTGAAGGACCTTCGTCTTTCCATACGTGACTTGGACAAGAACTACGACAAGACAGAAAATGATATCAAGGCCCTTCAATCCGTGGGGCAGATCATTGGAGAAGTTCTCAAGCAATTGGATGATGAAAGATTCATTGTAAAGGCTTCAAGCGGACCACGTTATATCGTCGGGTGCAGGAACACCATCAAGAAGGAGAGTTTAAAGAATGGAGTTAGAGTATCATTAGACATGACCACATTGACCATAATGAGAATTTTACCCCGTGAAGTGGATCCATTGGTGTATAACATGACTACTTTCGAGCCAGGTGAAATTTCTTTCAATGGAGTTGGTGGATTGACTGAACAGATTAGAGAACTTCGTGAAGTAATTGAATTACCATTAAAGAACCCAGAATTGTTTACTAGAGTTGGAATCAAGCCACCAAAGGGGGTGCTTTTATACGGGCCACCGGGTACTGGTAAGACTTTATTGGCCAAGGCTGTGGCTGCCACCATCGGTGCCAACTTTATCTTTTCTCCAGCCTCTGCCATTGTAGACAAATATATTGGTGAATCAGCTAGATTGATTAGAGAAATGTTTGCATATGCTAAGGAACATGCTCCTTGTATTATTTTCATGGATGAAGTTGATGCCATTGGTGGACGTAGATTCAGTGAAGGTACTTCTGCTGATCGTGAAATTCAAAGAACTTTGATGGAATTACTTAACCAAATGGATGGGTTCGATACTTTGGGACAAACCAAGGTTATCATGGCCACCAATAGACCGGACACTTTGGATCCTGCTCTTTTAAGAGCCGGTAGATTGGACAGAAAGATTGAAATCGGGTTACCTAATGAAGCTGGAAGATTGGAAATCTTCAAGATCCATAGTTCCAAGGTTGCCAAGCAAGGAGAATTCGATTTCGAAGCAGCTGTCAAGATGAGTGATGGGTTCAATGGTGCTGATATCAGAAATGTCATTACCGAAGCTGGATTCTTTGCCATTAGAGAAGAAAGAGATTACATTGTCCAAAATGATTTAATGAAGGCTGTAAGAAAGGTTGCAGATGTCAAGAAGTTGGAAGGTAAGTTGGACTACGAAAAGTTGTAGTGTAGAATATACAAAAGAAAATAAAGAATAAATTAAGAATGATGTAGTAGAAGACAACAGTCTACGTTATGCGTTTAATTGTTTCTCATTTATTGTATATACATGACTATTTTGCATCTCTCTATTTAGAAGCTTCGCCTTCTCTAATCTTCTCCTGTGTGACTTCAAAGTCTGGGATCTTGACACTGGATAAGTCTTCCAAGTGGGCAAGTAAGTGTGGGTTTTCAATCTTGTTGATGTGGTCAGCCATCTTGGATCCAATAAAGTCTTGGATTTCTTCAGACAAGCTTTCGTAAACCTTCTTTGGTTGTTTAGCCTTGGCAGCCAAGTAAGCACGTTGGGCGTCAGACAATGGCATATCTGGGGCCTTCATCTTTCTGGCTTGGAATTCCGAGAGAACTCTCTTCTTGTACTTGGAGTATGGGTTTCTCAATTGTGACAAGGCTTCCGCTGGGATTGGGGAACGAGCCAAGGTTTGCAATTCATAGGTTCTTGTGAATGCAGCCTGTTCCAGGGTGGAAAGTGGGTCGTCTTCGGGGGCCTTTTCTGGAGATGGCCATGGGATTTCAAGGTTAGGATAGTTCTTGACAAATCTTTGTGGTAACCATTTCTTGTATTGATCATTGTACACCTTGTTCTTCATTTCAATCTCATCGGCAACAAGATAGTAAATCTCACCCTTTTCATTCTTATCCTTAGCGGCAAGCTTGACTTGGTTACTCTTGACAAACTCTGGGAAGTCGGCAAGATGAGTTGTTTGGTTTTCAGCCCATTGAAACTTTGGAATAGCCTTTTTAGAGGTAACATCCATAAGCATAAACGAGTCATAATCAGGAATATATCTAATGACTTGGGTGATCTTACCCTTGTGAGGACCTTCGGAAACGTACACAAGATCACCTCTAGTGATACCTACTTCTTCCCTTGAATATTTTCTATCCTTTACTGGAACGGTGATGGCTCCCATTTGTTGGTGAGGAAGGGCAAAACGTTCCATCTTCTTTTCCATAGCTTGACGGTTACGGAGCGGAACGCGCTCCAAGTCGTGTTGGAAACGTCTCTTAAACCCGTGCCAAACCGATCTAGATGACATGATGTGTTATTTACAAATTAGATGGGGGTAATAGATGTCTTGAAGATTGTATATGATCTTTTGTGTTGACTGAGAAATCTTACTACGATTGATGAAAATTTAAAATTGGTGCGGGCACGCTGAATATTATATTTGGGGGTATCGGATTCCTGTCCAACACATTTGTTCCTGTACAAAGATATTTGTGGTAGTCTACTTTACATTATGTTGCACTACATTGGAAGTATCTAGCTAACAGTAGACGACAAGACTTTTCTTCTTGTTTCATTTAATATTTCTTCTAATGATAACTTCTCTTTCCCTTTCTCAATAACTCTTATTATTTTCAAGAAAAATTCTACTATATTACAATACTATATCAATCTTTAAGGTCATATATGAACATTGACAAAATACATGCTGCTTTTTATACTTTTCTTTTTACTACTATTATCAAGTATTGATTAGCCTCTTATTTATACTTAAATGGCTACCAAGTAATTTTGGATACTACCTATTTAGATGATATTCTTTCCCATCTCATTCATTAACAGTATTAGTGAACAAGTATCTTTACAAAGATAGCCATAGTAAATCAGTAATTTTGCGGACTAGTGCAGTAGTACACCCCGGATACTAAATCTGCTATAAACAAGCATATTGATTCACGTGCACACACATGGCACTTGACTTATCTATCTTCAAATTTTATGATCACTTCTGTATTGCCGTCATTTAATGACTTCCCTTTAGCGGATAACATTCCCTTAAAGTACCCAATGGTCATCTCATCAGTAGCACTTTGGTCACCCATCTCATCCTCAAGTTCTCTGATGTAATCTTCAGCTGCTTCAAATGACGCAAAATTAGTACTATTTAATGTGTCCAACCTAGCATGTCTAACAAACTCATTGGATATACGTAAATACTTCCCATCACTATGCACGGCCCCAATTTGATACCATTTCCCGTTCACTTGCATCTGTGCTGTATTTAGTTGCAACTTATAAATGTCACCCTCACTGATTGCTGCTGGTCCCTCATCATATAAAGTAATTTTGGTACCATTCTTTACCTCTATGACGTACGGGTACGATGCCGCAGTGTCTAGTATTGGATACCCTAAGGCACTCCAGTTTACAGGTTGTAATAGTAATGGGCCTGCCATAACTATTTTAAAAGATTACTATTACTAATACAGTTAGCATGTAAACTGTCGTAGAGACGGAACTTACTAGTCCAGGTTTAGTTTGCACTTTATGATTCTTATTGAAAGTGTGAGGAACATGGCTATTTATACTTGATATAGTAACCTATGGATTTCTGCCTAATCCATTTACACCTGTACCACGGCGTATTTGTGAAATTCTAATAAACTTTGGCACAACTGATTACGAAAGTTTCTTCTTGTTTCATGTAATGTCTCTTCTACATTTGTTTACCTTACATAATAGTTCTTATTTATCTCCATACAAACTATACTATAATAAAATGTTATCCTATATCAAGCTGTAAGGTCGTTAACTTACATTGATATATCAATATATACTACTCATTATACTTATATTCTTATTACTTTTTTCATACTGTTAGTTAGCCTCTTAAATAAACTTAATTGTGTTGGTTAATCATTCAGCGCTGCCAAAGCTCGAAAGCCGGCCGAAACCAGGCTCTTTTCATCGTCTTGGCAACACTGGGCAGTGCAGGGAGTCTCTGGCTATAGAGCCATTCCGGAAAGTGGAGAATATACAGATACAAGTATAGCGTCTATTGATATGGTAGAACGGCCCAGGGATGGATAAATCGGCCCGGGGCGGGCTTTATAATGCTAAAATTGGACGGTGAAATTGAGCGGCTACTGTCGTGAGAACTTTGCAGCAATCTTATTTTTTGATTGTACTTGACATGAAATAGCCTCAGTGTAGAATAGATATCTAGGGAAAAAAATGAGAGTAACACAAGGTAATTGGGGAGTATTAGACTTGCTGAGTTGCACTCTAAACCAATCATTTACAAAGAAGCAAAACATTTAGAATATACAATTTAACATATATTTATTAAGTATAGTACAGTCTGCACATCCACGTGATTCCAATCACCTGCAATCCTGAACGACTATCATTCCGATTGGATCCTGCATATCCAAAGGATATCAGTATACAGGCCGTGGGTCACGAGACATCACCATAAAGAATGTACAGAAACAACAAAGACAAAGGTTACCAATATTTATCTGTAGAATTCGATATTGTAGATCAAATAAGGAATTTTACTCTCATTAGTTTGAGGATTTTAATTATCATCATTAGTTTATTTTATTTTTTCTTGTTTTTGACTTTATTCAGTACAAATATTTATGAACTCTTGTTCATTGACTAGAGTAGTTCGTTAGTAAAATGGTTTTTCTCTTTCTCTGGATCTATAAAAGGATTATACGTACTTTCTCCATCTTCATCCAAATCAAACTCATCGATCATGGCTCTGAGTTCGTCGTCGGTCAAGTTTTCTCCTAATTCTTTGGACACTCTTCTAAGGTTTCGTAAACTGATTTTTCCGGTGTTATCATCGTCAAAGAGCTTAAAGGCACGACGGATTTCATCCAAGGGGTCTCTATTGACAATCATTTCCCCCACTATAATGTCTAGTTAGTATTTGAATTTGTGCAATTGGTCTGAGAAAAGAAATACATACCTGCTTGGAAGAAGTTTTCATACGTGATCAAGTTACGATCTTCAGTATCATATTCATGGATGATATCCAACACTTCACGCTTGGATAAATCAAAGCCCAAAGCTCTGAAGGCAACTTTAAGTTCATGGTAATCCAAACATCCGTCATTATTCATGTCAAAGAGTGAGAATGCCTCTCTAATCTCTTGCTTCTGTTCGTTCAAGAGTTCAAGCTTAAGATTTCCAAGTGCTCTCTTTGGAGTTCCAGACGCGTTACCAGACGCATTTGAGTGTGACATTGCAACGATATACGAGGACGATCAGAATAATATATTGGAAAGGGACGTGTTTTAGAAAGTTTGTGTGCGTTTTAGGTTAATTTTCTGATGGGTTTTGTTTATTTGTGTGCGCGTATCTCATGAAACCCATATTAGGTAAATAGAGTGTATGAAGAACCTTCAGTACTGACACTTTTTTATTGACACTTTTACTTCTATGACATTGTCGGTGGGTCAACGGGTCCGTGTGAAGAATAGTCCTGGGATAATCCGATATTCTGGTGAAACACAATTTTCTCCAGGACTTTGGATCGGAGTTCAATTAGACACCCCAAATGGGAAGAATGATGGTTCAGTGGAAGGAGTCAAATATTTTGAATGTGAACCCAAATATGGAGTTTTTGCCCGTCCATCGATGGTTATCCTGGAGGAAGAGGCGAAATCATTGCCCATTACTTCACAAGGGGTAGATCGATCTCCAGACTCAAGACTTCATACGATTATTGACAAGCTTCAAATCAAATTGAAAACAGCTAGTAAGGAAATTGAAAGCCTCAAGGCTATTATAGACCCATTAAAAGCCAATATCTCTCAATTGGAAGCAACCATTGAAATGCAATCGGTAGATTCGAATTTCTATTTGGAAACTAATCGAGAATTGACTGCAAAACTTGAAGATTTAACCAATAAATATAATGAAGTTAGAATTGATTTACAACTTTTACAAGAAGAAAATGAGATTAATAAACAAATTGAATTGGAAGTAGAGGCACAATTGGGTACTGACGTCCCAAATTCAAGCGATTTAGTCGCCTTGAAACAAAGAAATAAAAAACTTGAACTGGCATTGATAAATCTTGAAAGTGTTTTGAACCAACAAAAATTGACATATACAAATGAAATTAATTCATTGAAAAATTCAACCATTAGTCAACTGTCATATGATGAACTTCTGGCAAAATTGCAAAGGGCAGAACTGAGTATCGTGGAACTTCAAGACCAATTGGAATCTACTTTGGATCTGGAAAAACTTATAGAACATCTCACATATGAAAACGAAGCCTTACAGGAAAAGGTCTCCCATTTAAAGAAAACAGTGGCGGAATTATCAGAATTGAATGAGCTTGATAAGTCATTAGAAGAAAATCATAAAGCAGTAGAACAAGAACTTCATAATGAAATAGCTCTTCTCATGAAAATGATCTCCAAAGATCAACTCACCATTAAGACATTGGAAAGTAAGAATAAGGACATTCAGGACAACTTATTGACTATGGGCCAACAACAGCAGACTGGTGACTATGCGGGGTCATCAGAGACAACAACCCTACTTGCCAAGATAGAATCACTTCAACTTGAGATTAAAAAGTTGCTGGTTGGAAGTAATTCCACGAAGATATCCCTCAAGGTGAAAGAAGCGGAATTGAACTGTTTAGAAGATCATTTCAATTATATGAAGATGGACGCTCTGGATCATTCATCTACATTGTCTGTACTATACATCTTGAAAAGGTGTCTATCTAAAGTGGCCATCTTGATAAATATTGATCATGGAGAAGTTGTTTCTGAAACAAATTTCAATTCCAAACTTTCCATACTTACAAAGCTTTCAATTTCATTGAAATCCTTGATATCTATGTGGGAGTCGTCGTATAAGACTCTTTCAATACATGATAAACCATGGATTACCAAGCTATCTGATTTAGATTTGGAATTAAGTACAATGATATCTAAAGTCAAAGAAACTCTGTTTGAGAGCACAACGATCAAATTTGCACCCATATTTATAGAAGAGGTGTTTTCATTATTTCAAAGTGTCTCTGAATCGGATGTTGTCGATGGTAATGTATTGAAGTTTACTTGTATGATGACAATGGAACAATCTATGATAATATCAAAGCTTGTTCGAGGATTGTTGGGATTTTTACAAAAACAAGAAGAAGAACTTGCAAATGGCGGTGACATTGACTCTCAAGATTCTAAAGTAGTTGCACACTTGACTAACCAACTCCAATCTATAGTTGATGTTAATGCAAAAATATTGGCTGAACCAAGAGAAATTTTGAGGATTTGGCAGGATGGAGGTATTGTATATATGGGGAAATCTGGTATTAATCAACTATACAATTCTTTGGAATCTATACTTTCCACCGCTGGTCGGCTCCAAAGAAATATTGAAGTTGAAATGTCTTCAATTGGAGATCCCTCCTTCGATCTTGAAGTAATATCTGATGTTTTTGAAATCGACAACAGATCAATAGAGGTGGTTTTAGAATCATTACAAGAAATTCAATCCACAATGAATATGAAGTTTGAAATGGATGATTCAAAGGAAGATACCAAAAGATGTATCTATGATGTATTGGCCATTCCTAACGAAGTCATAGATGCTGATAAATCCTCCCAAGATATCTCTGCCGATGTTTCACTTGATATGAGTTCACAATTAAAAGAGTGTTCAACATCGATAATTGAAAAGGATAGAAAGATTCTGGAACTACAATTGAGTATTCAACTTCTTGAAAATAATCTTTTATTAACTCAAAATGAATCAAATGTATCCATTTCTGATTTGAAGCAAGCGTTGATATCATTGGAGAAGAAACATCAAGAGTCAATAAAGAGTTATAATCTCTTGATGTCGGAGAACAAATCATTACAGGGACAAATTGAAGACTTACTACAGGCAAATCAATTACTCCGCGATAAAAAATCATTGGAAGTTGGTGGGTTTGAAGATATTTATTCTGAAAAGGAAAATACTGATAAATTGGCCTTAATAGGTGAACTTCATCTATTAAGAAATATGCTAAATTATTATACATTCAATAATATGAATGTGGAAGAGGATTATGGATGGTTGAAAGAACCTATTATGGATCATAAAGTGGTCATTAATGAAGATACATTGGCAAAGGCTGGACATTTTCTCAGGAAAATATCTAGTGATGCAAAGACTGCCCGGTTGTGTAGGAAAAATGGAGATTGGCGTCCACGAGAAAGTATCCCACGATATTTGGCACTTCGTATAAAAGAAGGGCAACTCGAATATATGAGGCTCAAGAATGAAGCTATGCGTATATAGTAGTTTGGGAAAGCATATATCTTTTATGAGTTAGACATATCTTTGAAAAAATTGGTTTCATCAACACTTGAAGGACTCTTCTCCAGATCCACAAGTCGTGGATTTCTGGGCCATTTGGATGCCTTATCGATATTCTCTGCCGGGTAGAACCATTCAAGAATTGTAAATATAAATATATCAACGACAACACAAAGAATGAAAAGCTTTCCAGCAACTGGTCCACAACAGTAATATTTCTGTAGTCTCTCTATCAATGGCTGGTTAATTGTATTCAGATCAAGTGATCGATATACGTTTTCTGTTCTCTTGGCAATATTTGCCCAACTGTACATCTTTGCCACATCTTCATGGAATGTGGATAAGTCCAAAGTTCCTGATGAAATAAGATCCACCGCCCTTAAGGTAGATTCAGTCAATACATCTGCCTCGGGTTCTGAAAAACTGATCATATGATTCGGAAGAACTTCAGGAATTCCACCAACTTTCGTAGTCACCACGTATAATCCACATGATGCAGCCTCAACAATGACGGTACCAAAGGCTTCAGTGAGGGATGGGTGTAAGAAGATATGGCCCTTAACCATCACATCTCGAACTTCTTCATGTTTGATAGCCCCCATCAAGGTGACTCTATCCTGAAGGAAATGCTTCTCTCTCATTTGAACCAAGTCTAGATACTTGGGTCCATCACCAGCTATAAGGAAGTTAACGTTGGGCTTTGCCTTGCACACTCGAGGCACAAGTGCTGTTAAAAGATCGGCTCCCTTGTTGGGGAAAAGTCGAGAAATTGCCACAATTGTTATGGTTGATGTTGATAACTTTTCGACTGCAGGGGTAAAGTCCTTGGAAATGACAGCATTAGGGATCACGGATACTGATAATGGATCTATAGACGCTCTTAATACGGTGTTTTCCTTGCACGTGTTCGAAACACATATGACATGACCGATATCACTCAAGGTGAATTTAAGAATTTTATTACCCATGATGGCCGAAACACTGGCAAACCCGAAAAGGGAATGGTCGGTAAACACCGTTTTAAGCCCCATGGTTCGACCATGAAGGATGGCTTCATGACATAAACTTGAGAGTGATCCATGACCATGAACAATTTCAATGTCTTCACGAATGAAGATGTTTCTTAATATTGGGAGCGCCAGAAACACCGTGGGCGACGCTGAGCTTCGGTAGAGAGAAAAGAACGGCACGTAGTACACTTTAAGTCCATTTGCAAGGGTCCGAATCCCATTCCGATTACCATAGGAATGAGTAACAATCACCACAGAATGGCCAAGATCAATGAGCTTTTGTGACAAATGGTAAACATGGAACTCCACTCCACCCGGTTGAGGGTAGAAGAAGTCTGTCACCATAGCAATATTGTAGCCCATGGTTGTATCCAGTAAATAGGTTTAGGTGTATATTGTTTGGTAACACACATCCACCTCAGCTTAAAAGATCCATGTCAATAGTCTGTCACGTGAGCAAGAAATAAAGTCGTCTACAAGAATATTAATGGGTAGATAATTTATTATGTATGTATGTAGGCTATGTAAGTTTGTCTCCAAGTGTAGAGATTGTAGTTTATGTGTTCTTTTTTCTTTTGAATTAATTCCCTTCTCTCAACGAAGGTGCCCTCCCCACCCTTGCAAAAAAAACTTTGTTCTCTTATCACATGTATGCAGTTGGTGGGAGGGTTGCCACCGATTGCTTGAAGTTATTGATGCATTGTTGGTAGTCCCATTGACTCTGTTCACAGAGCATGATGGCAAATTGAAAGTTGAGCTTAGTGTCGACCAAAACACGTACCAAGATTTGTTGTTGCAAATCGTTCAAGTTAGCCTTGACATCTGGTGGAAGATCATTTGGAGTTGGTGCACCTGGAGCGGCCGCTGGCACTGCAGGAATTGAAGCATTTGGTACAGCTGCTGGTACATTTGTAGGTACTTGTTGAGATGGAACACCTGCTTGAACAACAGGTGTTGGAGTTGGTGTATTCCATGCATCTGCATCGGCGAAAAGCCGCACTGTAAGCAAATCACTAGCAACAATCATACTTCCATTTGGACCAGGGATAATCACAAACGTTCTATCAAAACTCTTTTTCCCAAGTGGAATCTTTTTATTATTATTCTTTTGGAATCTATTTCTATTGTTTCCCCCCAGAGAAGAAGGATTGGTCACGGCACTGTTATCATCAGGAATGGCAGTTTCTTCAAAATATCCATGCAAGGTCAAAAGAATACCTCCTAGTTGTGGGTAGCTATAACTTTCCAAACTGAAAAGATTCGGATTAGAAAGAAGATCATGACGAGTCTTGGGGAGTTGTGAAAACATCTTGAAAATGTTTTGTTGACCAACGGCTAATCTGGCCATCTTTGACTTGACTGAAGACACCTTGGTGAGATTTCTAGAATGTGGAATATAATATCCAAAGGGTGAGTCATTATTATTATTGGAATTGTTGTATGAGGAGAAAGATCTCAGATTGGTGGAGGGACCTGACTCGATCTCAATGACATGTGGGTGAGAAGAGTCCACTTGCATTGAAAATTGGGACTCTTGTTGGTATAAAATCATCAATTCTTGACGATTTGTATCCCATAAATTGAAGAAATTGGTGATGAAATTGGTGGAAACTTGTTGGATTGTTTCATCTTGGAAAAACATTCCTTGAGTTGCAAATGGGAACGAAACTAGTGATAAAAGTTTATTCTCATCTCTGACAATCTCACCATTTAACACGACAAGTCTTGGGAAGTTTTTCATCATTTCCAATTTAATGTTATCTACCTCATTTGCCAGTCTTAGGTTGCTGACCAATGGGTTATTCATCACCACTAATTCACGTAAGAAGTTAAGTTTTCTTTTCCAGAGTTCAAACGTTCTAATGTTGGTGATGTTGTTATTCAGAAGAGCAAGATTTTTCAACAAGGGGAAAGTTTGAGCCAAGGTTGAAATCGATGTAAGATCTTTTAAATTATTTCCTGAAACGTCAACACTATCAACTTCTAATTTAAGTTCATCAGCAATCTTCATTAATGCAGGGAAAAATTTGGAAGTAGTTGAAATAGATGCGAAAAACCCCTCTTGTTGTAATTGAGGGTCTCTATCGACGGCACTAAGGTTCAAGAGTTTCAGTTCAGGGTTATATCTTGACTTGAGAAAAGTAGTTATGGTTTCGATGGTGTTGGGGGCCTTGGAATTGTTGGTATTGGTTGCAACTCCTAATCCCATTTGACCAGAAATTGAATTTACTGCAATTGCCTTGGTGATTTTAAGTGATTGACCGGCGAATTTAACCCCAGACCATTGGGTAAGTTCATCGGCCACAGCAGCAGTGCGTACATATCCTCTAAGAATGCCCGTTTGTTGATCTACAGATGCATTCATGACGGAAATTTTGGTCTTTCTGGCAATGAAACTGATACATTCTTCTTGAGTGGCATTATTCCAGCCTAAAATCTCCACGGGGACCGAATTTGCAGCAGCAAACTGGTCAACATTTTGCTGGGAAAATCCTCCCCTGTTTCCGTTGTTATTGTTGTATCCTCCGCGTCCTCTGCCCCTATAACTCATGATGATTGATGATGTAGATGAAGATTGAAAATTGCATTTTTTTTCGTATTTTGATATAGAGGTGGGTCGTGCCAGGCTCGATTTTGATTTTACAAGAAATTTATAAAAAAGTTAGAAGATGGAATTTGGCAACCAGAGTGAGAGATTAATTAAATTAATTGATAGAATAGATGATAGTATTAGATGATATTATTAGATGAATAGATTAATTAGTCTATGTAGGGACAGTATGAGAATTATATATATATATATATATATATATATATATATATATATAGTTTATAGTTTATAGTTTATAGGTGATTGGGGTGAAAAAAAGGTTTTTTTATGCCATTCAAAAAATACTTAATCATTTTATTTACAGCCATTTCTAAGAAAAGGCAACCAATTCATTTTAATATCCTACTTTAAAACTTATCACTTCTACAAAATTTTATATACTTCTCTTTTATTCATTCATATTAATTCTCATTATTTAATCTACCTACCATTGGATACTTGTTCAGGAAATGTTCTTCCCATCCATCCAAAGCTTCTTGTTCATCCTTTGATAAATTATCTAAAGTATCAAGTGGTTGATCAATTGGGGTCAAACAATCCTTTTCAAATGAATTTTTGGCAAGTCCTCTGGATGCGTCTCTACCGGCAAAGTTCTCGTATGGACCTCCAGGACCGTAAAAACTTGCACCTTGAGAAACGTCATAAACTTTTCCCTTGACTGCAATCAAGATTTGAGGATCATCAGATCCATTGAATCTGACTAATGTTGCAGGAGTGAATTTCCCTTCAACTACTGGTTTCTCATCTTCCCCTTGAGTATTTACTAATGGATTAGATGTTGGCATTGCGGTGAAATAATCACGATAAAAATATGCGAGTACAACAAGGATAAGAACTGTTGTTACACTAATCATAATAGTAAAGAAATAAGATTTGAGTAAATTATTAACTATGAGGATCGAAAATTATTTAATTGTTGGCAGACTACGTTCCTTTTTAAAGTGTGTATGAAGATTTAAAGATTGGGTTTACTGATCCGCACGTGATGGTAATCTATACGAAGAATACGAATAAGAAAAAAAAGAGGCAATAAATATCATAGATCATGTCCGTTATACAATGACTATTCTCACTTCAAATACGCTTCATACATTAAATTTGCAGCCAAGAAACAACCCATATTTAAAGTATGGCATAATTGGTTTGGATAGTTTAAAAGTTGCACTATTTCCATGCAGTGGCTGATAAAAAAAGCCTCTGGATTCCAATTGGCTATACTCTGTCCACATTTTTCTTTGAATACTATGTAACAGAGTCCATGTTACCTTAGTTATGAAAAGTAAATAGTCTAATGCAATAGCTGAGATACGAGGTAGCACTACATGTACTCCTTTCAACTACTAAATCAGGATGGACTCATTATACTTTTACACTGATTTTCGCAACCTCTCGGAAATGCAACGTTGCAATTGATGGATAGCATTGAACTCAAGTTGAACACAAGTTATCACATTCTTCTTGAATATCCTTTCCGTACTTACCATGATCAATGATATCTATGCACATAACCAATATACAATAAATATTTCCACCGATGAAAAACCTCAATATTTTCTCTTTGGCACGACGGAGATTTCTAAGATGCTGAACCAACTCTCCTTATAGAAGAACTAGGGAACACGCAGTGGATCTCCTCGAGCAGGGGCCTAGAGGAGCGGCTTAAAGCCACCAAGGAAGCTACCCTACGGGGTTGGTAAGCCACTCCGCTGGCACTCCGTGGGCCACTAGCCGTGGTGGCCTTCTTCCTCTGACGAGGAAATTCAAAACCTGTAGATCTCCTCGTAGAGGAGCTAGGGACCACACAGTGGCTCTCCCCGAGCAGGGGCCAGCGGAGCGGCTTACAGCCCCGTAGGGAAAGGCGTACTGGCAACCCTACCGTATTGCTGCAATTCACTCTGCTGTCACCAAGTTGTCCGCCGTGACCTACATCACGTGCTCTCCCTCTCTCAAATTCATTCAACATGATTTTTCTCATTTACTCCAACTAAGATAATCTTGTGCATCTACCTCAATCCATATAAAGCTTACCATGCCTCGTGAAATCATTTCTCTAGATGACCTTACCGTCAACAACGTTGGTGTGTTCAAAAAAATTAACTCCGTTACTCTTCCAACAACTTATCCTGAACAATGGTACAAAGATTCTTTAACTGATCAACTTGTCAAAATTGCCTTTTACGCTGAACTTCCAGTTGGTGCCATCAAGGCCAGAGCCATAAATTTCTCTGCAAAGCAATCGTATGAAGCCATTTCTCTGCTGCCATCTGCCAGCTCCTCTGCTACAGCCTCGTCTGATACCACTCCTAAGATCTTACCTAATGCCGTATACATAGAGAGTTTGGCAGTCTTGAAAGAATATCAAGGACTTGGAATTGGTGGGAAATTATTGGATTTCATCATTGAAGAAACAAAAAGAAGATATATACATGAAGTTGTCCTCCATGTGAGCACAGAAAACTCAAAGGCCATTGATTGGTACCTCAAGAAGGGCTTCACCAAGAAGGAGGAAGTCAAGGACTACTACAAAGAGCAGGGCTTGTCTCAACCAGACGCAATCATCTTGTCGCTCTCCGTATAGAATTATCTACCCCCTCCCACAACAGTAAAAATATATCACCTTTATAGAACATATATATATATAGCTATATAAAAAGACCTACTCCTTTTCGTCTTCCGTATCGGTGTTGATATCGGTGAAAATACTTTCGGTGTCACTTTCTGCGTCATTGTCATCGTTGTTTTTGTCGTCCAGCAGCTTAACGTTACCTCCTCTGAATGCAGCCAAAGCACCAGCAATGGAATCTTCTTCTGGGTCGGAAATATCACTTTCATCGTCTTCATCTTCTTCCGATGAAGAGCCAGAAACTTCCATGATCTTCTTCTTTTCCTTACGGTTATTGAAAAGCTTTGGCACTGGAACTTCGACGTTCATCTTGATTGGAACATCCACGTCACATCCAAAGTATCCATTGTTCTTCAATATAAGACGGAAATGGTATTCACCAGATGCACCTGGAGTAGGAGTGGTAAGAGGAATGTTAAACTTCCCAATCACAACTTCTTCTCCACCATTGATATATTGTTCTTGAGTCAATTCCAAGTTACTCAAATCCAAATTCTCCAAATATGCGGCATTCATTCCTTCTACAATCTTATTATCCTTTTGTGAGATCAAAAATCCAGTCCAGTGATTACGAGAACTGTCAGGGAAGTATGGAGCATATGTGTATGGTAAAGATGGTTGGCTATCATTGACGGAGGCAATGGGGTTTCTCAAGTATTCAAGAGTTTCCTCCGTTTGAAGTCTTCTATCATCATCAGCAATATCTGGACAAGATTTATGTTTAGGAGATTTCACTAAAAATTTCAATGAAACATGTGCACTAGCCACTGGTGGGATGATTTCTTCACCGGGGACTTTAAATTCAGCCAGAAGAATTCTTAAAGTTGGGATACGTTCAGCAATTTTTAATGCTTGAGATAATTTCTCATCTTCTTTAATTCCCAAAACTTTCTTTTGTTCATCCTTTGACAAGGTGAAAAGTTTACCCAATTTTTTAATTGGTTGTCCTTGCACCACTTGTGAATCTACATATGGTAATTGTAACAAATCTTGGTATTTACCAATTGGTGGTACTGCCTGTGAGATACATTTTTGAAGGTCAGTTGCAGCTAATAAGACATCAGTATGTCTGAAAACAGTGGCAATATCAATTAATCCACTAATTAATTTGGGTAAATGAGAAATAATTTTAATTTTTTCTTGTTCCAAATTGACATTATTAGATGGGAATGGTTCAAAAGATCTAAATAAATGTCTTTGAATACAATCTTTAATCACTGGACCGGGTAAATGTTTGAAAGAAGTTTGAATTTCATTGGAAAGACAAATCCAATCTAATAAATCATAAGGAGTAACAATCTTGGCAGGGTTTTTATCGGTCAATTTTCTGGTGAAAACGGCAGCAGTATCGACATGGAGCCCCTTACGGGTGTGGGTCTTGGCATTGTTCCACCACAGACCAACAATGGCTGGGAGAAGTCCTCCAATGAGTAAGAAATATACAATCACCATGATAGGGGAATATTTACCTTCAACAAGGAAATTTGGAATGGCAATACCATGTTTAATTTCTTGTGGACCATCTGGATGACCATATTTCAAGAAATTTTCCTTGGTAGTTTCATCAGTCAAGGCCTTATAAGCCAAAGTCATTTGAATGTAACTTGCTTCCATTTCCTCTTTCAATTTATCAGTCATATCCTTGGGGAGTTTATCTGGATGGAATTTCAATGACAATTTTCTATATCTTGATTTGATTTCCTTTTCTGAAGAGAATGTTGAAACATCTAAAATGGTGTAAGGGTCAAAAGCTCCAGTTAAATTGGCTTCTTGAGTATGGACAAATCCAATGTAAATCACAAGGAACCAACCAACGATTATGGCCAACAACGTCTTGTTGAGAACCTTGAACGACTTCTGTTTACGCTGGTACGAGTGTATGGCGTCCCTGTTCTCAATGATCACGTCCTCGGACACAATGGACCCCTTTATCTTCTGATTGACTGTGATTGGATTGTCTTCATTGAAGATCCGATACACCCATCTAAAGGTCAATGGCAATAAAATAAACGTGAGCACAGCCATCACAAAGAACGGCCATGTCTCACCTTCCTCGTCGTACGTGTATTCGGAGGCCATGGTGTGGGTTTTAACTACTGAAAAAAGAAGAAAGAAATTGGACTAGGTTGAACTTTTGACTATGATTTTTTTACAAATTGGCGTTCTAGAGGATTTTCGCTTTGTTGACGTGTTGTTTGTGAGAAAAAAAATTGGCTTGAAATACACGACTTTTGTAAGTTGAAGAAGATGAATTGGGGGGAGGGTGTTGTACATTAGGATAGGATAGCGTAGGATGTAGGGACTTGAAGTAGAAGGAAAGAGATGATTCGGGTAATTGTATTAAACTTATTGTTTGTGTAGTGTTTTTTTTTTTTGGAGGAGGATTTAAATTAGTTGCCACTGGATGTAGAGAGTGCTAAGAATAGAATGGTGAATAGAGTAGAAAGTAGAGAGGAGAGTAGAAATAGTAAACAGAAGAGAAGGAAAAAAGGTCGTTAAGTGGTGACATGGTAGCTGGGTAGATATTCCTAGTGTTGCGTTCCTCTGTGTGGATTGTAGGGGGGTATTATCGTCTTCTTGACCCACATGCTCACATGGTTGCAAATACCACTTCCAAGGAATATGCCAAACAATCTTGAAGGAAAGTTGTCTCCTTCTTTCAAGCTGAAGATCTCCTCGTAGAGGAGCTGGGCACCACGCAGTGGCTCTCCCCGAGCAGGGGCCCAGCGGAGCGGCTTACAGCCCCGCGGGGAAAGACATACTTGCAACACGGGGTTAGCAAGCCGCTCCGCTGGCACTCCGTGGGCCACTAGCCGTGGAGGCCTTCTTCCTCTGTCGAGGAATTGGTTGGCCACTATGGTCTCCTCGTAGAGGAGCTAGGCACCACTCAGTGGCTCTCCCCGAGCAGGGGCCCAGCGGAGCGGCTTGCTAACCCCGTAGTGCTGCCAGTATGCCTTCCCTGCGGGGCTGTAAGCCGCTCCGCTGGTTCTTTTCTTCTTCTCTTCTCTCTACAGTTCCTACAATTGTATACATTTTCTAACGTCATGAGCATTCAACTAAAGTACAAAACTGCAGCTCAAACAGCTTAATGGTGGAACAAACGGATAGGATTTTCAACGTAAACCATATCGAAGGAATCGGCAGCAGCGAAAACAGCCTTGTCCATGACAGAACCAGATGGAGCGGCGACAAACTTGACACCAGATCTGGCGGCTCTGTAAACATTGTCTGGGAATGGGAAGAAGGCATCTGAGGACAAAGCAACGTCCTTCAACTTGCCCAACCATTCGGCTCTTTCAGCCTCGGTCAATGGAGTTGGCAATTCAGCAAACTTGGACTCGTATTCAGTCTTTTCTGGTTCAGTGGTTGGGATTTGACCAGTCACAAACAAATCAATTGCGTTGGACTTTTCTGGTCTCTTGACACCCTTGGCCCACTTGAAGCCCAAGACTCTTGGGTGTTGTCTGAACCACCAGTTGTCGGCCTTGTCACCGGCAAGTCTGGTACAGTGGATACGAGATTGTTGGCCAGCTCCCAATCCAATAACCATACCGTTCTTGGCGTAACACACAGAGTTGGATTGGGTGTATTTCAAGGCAATGGTGGCCACAGTCAAGTCGATGGTACCTTGTTCGGTCAAGTCCTTACATGAGGAAACAATTTCCTTGAAAGAGGAAGACTTGATGATGGCGTCGTTACGCTTTTGTTGCAAGGTGATACCGTAAACTTGTCTGGATTCCAAGGCATCAGGAGTGAAGTTTGGATCGATTTGCAAGATACAGTACTTACCACCCTTCTTCTTCTTCAAGATTTCCAAGGCTTCTGGAGAGTAACCTGGGGCAATGACCCCGTCACTGACTTCCTTGGAGATGATTTGCGCGGTTGGCAAGTCAACAATGTTGGAAAGGGCGATCCAGTCACCAAAGGAAGACATTCTGTCGGCACCTCTGGCTCTGGCATAGGCGTTGGCCAATGGGGACAAGTTTTCAATGTCTTCAACAAAGTAAATCTTCTTTTCCACGTCTGAAAGTGGTAACCCAACGGCAACACCGGCTGGGGAAACATGCTTGAAAGAAGCGGCAGCTGGCAAGTTCAAAGAGGCAGACAATTCCTTAACCAATGGCCATGAGTTCAAGGCATCAAGCAAGTTGATATAACCAGGGGATCCAGATAAAACCTTGAAAGGTAATTCACCTTGACTGACAAAGGCTTGTGCAGGCTTTTGATGAGGGTTAGCACCGTATCTCAATGGTAATTGAGAAACGTTTTCAGAGTATTGTTTACGGAAGAAATCAGAGATGGCAACGTCATAATCGGCAGTATGTTCAAAGGCCTTGAGAGCATATCTGTTTCTAGCATCAGCGGAAACTTCTCCCTTCTTCAATTCTTCCAAAAATCCAGCATAATCGTTTGGATCAGACAAGATGGTGACTCTGGAATGGTTCTTGGCGGCGGCTCTCAACAAAGTAACCCCACCAATGTCGATTTCTTCAACGGCTTCATCAATGGTAACAGCAGCCTTGGAAACGGTTTCCTTGAAAGGATACAAGTTACAGACAACAAAGTCAACTTTTTCAATGCCTTGAGCAGACAAATCAGCTTCATCACTTTCCAAGTTTCTGGCAAGAATACCCCCATGAACAGCAGGGTGCAAGGTCTTGACACGACCACCCAACATCTCAGGAGCATGGGTGATGGTGGAGACGTCTTCCACTGGGAAGCCGGCCTCACGAACTAACTTGGCAGTACCACCAGAGGCAAGAATACGAACGTTGGCGGCAACCAAACCCTTGGCAAGATCCAAGAGTCCAGTCTTATCGTAAACCGATAAAATGGCAGTTTTGGAGTGTGGCATTGTTGATAATTAGATTGATTCGACACCTGAGAGAGATGAGGGGAAAAAACCTTTTTCTAATGGGATACAATAGAGGGAATATGGGTCTCTTTATGTGGTTATCTTTGCAATTTATTGATGGGTGAGACTGTCTGTATTTTTTAATTAATTGGCAATGCACGACGAGTCAGAGTCAGTAGAAAAAGAGTCAGTAAAAAAAAAAAAAAAAGATGTGGGGTGAAAAGGAAATGGAGGTGCAAATGAGATGGAAATGCGGTAGGGAAAAAGAGAAGCTATGGAGTGTGTAGGTGGAATAGAGAAGTTATGATTATCTATGGTGTATATGTGTGTTTGTGTGTGTGTGTTTTGAGGGTGAAGGTAGAGACGCATGATGTGGGAGTTACCGGTTGTTAGGTTTAGTGAGAGATGGGGAAAATAATTGATGGCCCGTTTGTGCGATCAATGCTCATAATTGGTTTAAGTGGGAGAGATAAAACCAGAATGAAGAATTTGAAAAAACAAAGGTATACGAGTTGTTTATAAGGAGTGAGAGTATTGGCAGTTTATTGGAAGTTTATTCGAAGATTATTGGGAGAATCTTGGGAGAATCTTGAAAGATTAGTGGAATATATTAGAAGTACACTTTATAACACTGGGGCTTTATTAATGTGTGATGGCTCGTGGTGTTGCAAAATTTTCGTGCAAATTGTTCAAAAAAATTTACCGCACAATGCAAAAGACAAGGGACTAAATGTTGCCCGCCCAGGTTGTAAAATGGAAAGGTGGGTGGCTTGTTTGTTGGAGGGTGGTTAGGTTCTCCCTTTTTAAACTTGTTTAACTCCTCCGCCAGATAAATATTTGACAGATCTTTAAATTGATAGAACTTTAAAGTGACAGATCTCTAAATTTATAGATTTCTAAATTTTTGCAACAATAACTCTGGCGGAGCTTCAAACCTTATGAGTCAATACAGGATTAGACTCTGCCCTCTTTCACATACATCTCTTTCGTTCCTTGTATCTCTTACATCTCATGAATCTCTTTCAACCGGTAATTCTCATACAGCAGCTTGAAACACTACCCCTGTACCTACTCCTTTTAATATCATATCATCTCTATTGTTGACTCTGCGCCGATTTCTAAAATCTCTTCAGATCCTCCATATCCTCCTTCCACCATCACCATCTACACTCTACTGACCACGGGGTGATACTCACTCCACACCTCGATAGTCCCCGGTCACTCTCCGGGACTTCCACCTCTTTCCACCACTCTCCTTCCTTCTTCCAAATACACGATCAAATACACGATCACTTGACATTTGACTCGCTCTGAAACCTCCCCACCACTAACCACACGTACAATCCACCTCTAGTAGACCCACACAGCCCCCGCGGCAAAGTAAGGACTACCGACCCTACGGGGTTAGCAAGCCGCTCCGCTGGCACTCCGTGGGCCACTAGCCGTGGAGGCCTTGTTCCTCTGACGAGGAATTGGTTGGTACTAGGGGGAGTCTCCTCGTAGAGGAGCTAGGCTCCACGCAGTGGCTCTCCCCGAGCAGGGGCCAGCGGAGCGGCTTACAGGCCCCACAGGGAATTGAGTACTAGCTACCTTACGGGGGTTAGTACGGCTGTACTCTACATTATATTGGATCCAACATTTGTGTATTTACTATAAAACTCCCTTCACAAACAGCTCATTAAATTAAACAGCAAAAACATTAAGTAGAGGAAACCATAGAAGTAGCCGAAAGGGGCTAAATCTAAGATCTGTATCTCCACAAGGACAAGGTGTTGTTTCTCTTCCAAGTGTGACGACGACCGGCCTTGGTGTTGTTGTACAAGTGACCCTTGTTGATACCTCTGGACTTCTTACCAGCGGAGGTAAGACCTCTAGCTTCTCTGTGCTTGTGGACTGGGTTAGCGATCCAGTTGTATCTGGCGTCTCTTCTGATGGCCTTGTGGGATGGGTCGATCAAAATGACTTCAAAGTACTTGTAGGTGGAGTCTTGGTTGACCCAGTAAGAGTTCAAGACTCTCAAGTTGGCAGCACGACGACCGACACGTTCTTCGGCAGTGGTTCTCAAAGACTTTTGGTACTTCAATTGAGAGACACCGTGGTTGGTTGGCTTACCGTAAGTGGCACCCTTTGGAGCAGGTCTCTTTCTACCACCTCTTCTGACTCTGACACGGAAGATAACGAAACCTTGCTTGGCCTTGTAACCTAATCTTCTGGCCTTGTCTGGTCTGGATGGTCTGGAAGCTCTGTGGATAACAGTCTTTTGTCTGTATTCCCAACATCTGACACGATATAAGAAACGCATAACATCAGATTGCTTCTTTCTTTGCAATTCTTCCAAATACTTGTAGGCACCCATTTTAACTAATTTAAGATTTTATTATCTACAAAGAAAAGAAGAGAAAAAGTTTTGAAAAGTTTTCGAAATTTGAAAAAATTTTTCAATGAGATTTGTTGATCGGTGTGTGCAGGAAATGATTTTGTTTTTAAAAAAAAAAAAAAAAAGTGTGGAAAAAAAAATTTTGAAAGCGATGTTTGTCCGGGTAAACAAGTTTTTTTGAGGGCAGACTGAGGATTACTGAGGTGGACTGAAAAGTGAGAAATGAGGAAAAAAAGGGTCGTGTGCGAGGCTAGACCACCAGAAGGGATAAGAATAGTACGTTGTAAAGGGTAAATGTAGAGTGGATATATAGAGGATATAGAGTATATAGAGGATAAGTGGAGGATGTAAGTATATGTAGAATATTCTAGAATGGATGGGTATTTGAAGTAGACCAGTAGTCCAGGAGAGAAGTTTGAAAGTCCTCCCTGTTTGTGGTTGTAACTAGTAGTGGTGTATATCAGGATATGGATATGCCAGTCTAGTCTAAGTAGATAGATTGCATCAAAAGATGCATCATGTATGTCTAAGTCTATAGTGTCTAAACATTTCCATTGTTGGCTTCTATTTCTATCTTTTGTTTGTGTGTTAGGAACATTGGTGACGTGTTCCTCTTGACTTTGTTTTCGCAGCCAATCCGCAGGAGAACGCGTAGATAACGAGGTAGAGGGAAGAACAACTTCCCATGTAGATTAGAGACGATTTGGGAATTTGGATAGGGAGTGGGGACTTCATGAAGCACTTTACAATGTATTGCCCATACAAGATAAAACAGAAGTTAGATGTACCGTGGCCAGTCCAGTCCGGTAACCGGAATCATTCTAAAAGACGGTGCGGTTAGTAGGGAAAACAGAGGGAATATATACAGTGGGGACCCGGGCGGGCCACTATCCATCCAGCCGAAAATAGTAGTCATGACCCGTAGGATGGGACGATGCTCCCGTTTCGCTCCGGGGCTTGCAAGGGCATGCCGGGGGTCATGACCGAGGAACTGGCCATCAGGGGCTGCTCGTAGAGGAGCTAGGCACCACGCAGTGGCTCTCCCCAAGCAAGGGCCAAGGACAGCGGAGCGCCCCACGGTCACGCAGGGGAGTGAGTACCAGCCACCCTACGGGGTTAGCAAAGCCGTTCCGCTGGTACTCCGTGGGTCACTAGCCGTGGGGGCCCTGTTCCTCCGAACGAGGAACGGTGACAGACCCCCTGCAGCCCCTTGGGACTGACTGCTTCGCAGAGGAGCTAGGCACCACGCAGTGGCTCTCCCCGAGCAGGGGCCAGCGGAGCGGCTTGCTACCCCCCGTAGGGTAAGGGTCCATCTCGGATCCCTACGGGGGGTAGCAAGGCCGTTCCGCTGTCACTCCGTGAGCCACTAGCCGTTGGCAGGGGGGCATCGACCTCCGACAAGGAACGGTGACAGACCCCCTGACACCTTGGGACAGTGTGCTGGAATCTCCTCGTAGAGGAGCTAGGCACCATGCAGTGGCTCTCCCCCAGCAAGGGACCAGCAGAGAGGCTTGCAACCCCCGTAGGGTATTGACTACTCGCACAGGGCCAGGAGAGTGAGGTCTGTACTCGCAAAAGAAACCATTGACGGGGATCGGGGCTTGCGCGAGTGCAGGGGAAGCACGCTTGGGAAAACATTCTCCACGATCCGCCCAACATTCCCATTCTCGATTCGGGACCTCAATTGTCGAAAGTTCCCCTGTGGGTCAATGAGGTATGACCTCTAAAGTGGTACCATCGAAATGTGCGCCAATAAGGCACCGCGCTGCGTAAGCTGCACGATGAATCTAGAAACAATGATCCTGTTCCATGCACTTGTTCTCTCCTTACGGGTGGTACTCCGAACACTGCACCCCTAGAGCGATTAACTGGTCTGCTTCACCAACCGAAGATCCTTCCAGGTCAGGTTATTATGCATAGTTTACCACTTGGTGCGTAGAGTCCCACACTAGCGCTCTACGGGCAGTTCCCCGGAACCTCCCGAGTCGCACATTTTCCCACATATCGAACTTTCGTGTGGGACACTTGCCACACTTCAGAGTTCGTAAACGTACAAGTTGTAGGATGCATGTAACCCACCACGGATCTAACACCCGTCTGTTGTACTTGTTCGACAACTACCTTCGTATGCATATTATCTAACCGATCCACTGCACGTTATCACCTGTACAAGGAGTGCCCTCCAACGGGTGACATATGCAAACCAAGGGCCCACTTCTTTGATATGTGCACCAAATGAACGGGTGATCCATACAAGCGTCTCGGCACCCTACCTGCAACGGGTCTCCCTTGTCCGCCTTCATTGAGTTTACCCCCGATTGCATTTTCCTCGTCAGAGGAACCAGGCCACCACGGTTAGTAGCTCAAGGAGTGCTAGCAAAGCGGCTCAAGGACCCGCCCCCGTATGATTACCAGTACTTCCCCCTTTCCTGTGGGACTGTACGCCATTATCAGGTGCTTTAGAAAAAGTCTCCGCTGCTATCTACAGATTCTAAATCACACTAAATAATATTTTCTACGATATTTTCCCAAAATTAAGTAAAAATTTTTGAAATTCTTCCTTTGTATTAAGCGTTCAACTACTTACCCACGCACCCACGCACCCACACACCCACAGGCTCCAACCCTATAGGATATACCTAGTCTCTTTGCCCAATGGTTGCAACCTACTGTGTCCCAGTATAAGCTTCAATGGTTCCCCTCAGGTCGTGCGCGGCCCAACCAACTAAGATAATTTCGCGTATGTGTAAATTTCTTCTGTTGTCAAAAATTTTTTTTACCACATGCATGTAATCAAAGAAGCGTCACTGTGAGAATTCGGTAAGGATACATCTGAGTAGGGAATTGAATTTTTATTTTTTTTTATTTTTCCAAATCAAGGAGAGCGAGAAAAAAAAAAAAAATTTAAACTCAAATTTATTTTTAGTACTATTTTTTATTTTTTGTTTCAGTTAGATATCCCCATTTGCAAGAGGATGGAGAGGGTCGGGCAGGCGGACGAGAAAAGTGGATAGTGGAGGTGGAGTGATATCTACGTAATGGGACTTGCTTCCAGGGGTCTCTTCAAACCAGGGCGCGGAAGGGATGAATGGTGTTTCATGTTGTACGAGCAATCAGAGCAAGCTCTAGTACAATGAATGTAGTATTGCTTATGCATGGTCTTGAAACATGGGTCCGAGAGGCGGACCTGGTAATAGAGCTGGAGCAGGGAAGGAGTTCCAGGTGGGAAAAAGTCAAAACCGTGGACAAGGTTCCGAAAGTAAGGTTTAGAAGGAGTATCACAAGAGAATCAAAACAATAAGAAAAAATAATCTTAATAATATTATTAGAGGAGAAGAAGGAGCGGAAGTAGATTGGAGAGGGTTTAGGGCTGAGAGGAGAGGAGTGTAGGAGTGTAGGAGAGGAGTGTAGGAGTGTAGAGACTGGGAGGTGAGACGTGTAAGGACTGGAGAAGAAGAAGAAGAAGAAGAAGAAGAAGAAGAAGAAATGTAGCAGTAGTGTCTGTTAGTCATGTGTCTAACTCGCTGATCTCTAGTCTTGAATGCAGGGGAATCAAGTGATCTAGGGGAACCCTCCCGAAGGTGTCCGGATGGAAACCCTAATCATTATCCAGGCAACGGAGACAATCGCACGAAATCATTGCCCAGTTGGGTAATCAAACACGAAGGGTGTCGGAATTAGTGAGTATCTGCAACCTTAATCACTCAATGCGTATGCATGCAGCGCAAGAATACGGGATAGAGAAGTACCGGGAATCCAAAAAACAAAAACATTTTAGCGCCCGCAAATTTTTAATTAGATTTTGTAAGAGATTCCCCTATGTGCAGGTGCATAAGGAGTTAAGGTCCGTGTAAGTGGGACAAGTATAAACGGGAGGCTTTGGTCCATACCAAGAAAAAAGAGCATGGTTGACAGGCGGAGGTTTCCTTTCAAAAGATGGAGAGTGGGTGGAGTGGCGGGGAAGGTCTGAATTAGGGTGGTTGCTGGAGGACCACAATTCGCAGTGGTAAGAACGTCTAATGTAACCACTTGAGAGTTGTTGGGAGTTTAGCATTGGGGATAAACGCGGTGCGGCGTAAAAAATAAATGAGAAACCTAAACCGGAAGCAAAAGAAAAAATAAAAGTGTAAGAATTCAGCAGAGAAGAATACCGATTCGGTTCTGTACGTAACTCCTGAATTTTTAAGCTTTATTTTTAGCGCGAAAAAAAAGATTTTCGCAGGGTTGGTGAGCCGAGGTGTGAACAGCCCTCCCCCCACTCTTGTGTGTAGGCCTAGCACCTCCAGGCTGAGGGCCTGCTCCCAGCTAGAGCTTGCTGGGGGGCGGACACACAGGGACCACTCGTCATGGGTGGTACATGGCGGCCTGGGCTGTGTGCGTGGACCATGGTCTTCGAAGCTTCTGTGCATGGGCAGATGTCGCCGAAGTTGGCGGGGGGGGGGGGGGGGGGGCTTTCCAACCACAAGTTTTAGAGGGACGGCCACCAACAGACCAACCACAAGTTTTGGCGAGGAGGGCGAGCGAGTGAGCAGACCGAGAAATATTTTGTGAGAAATCTGAGAATTGTATTGACGACGCAAACCCGCGATTCTCCTGGGAATTAAACTCGGACGAGATCTGGCGCGAGGGCGACGAGGATCTGGGTATCTCCCAGCTCCGAGGAGAGGTGCGACAGGATGATGGCAAACAGTACGGCCGGTGCAGTAGCTCGTGGACGGAGGGGAGGTCGTCCACAAACATGACAGGACACCTCGCACCCCCACTGCCCCCTCCCCCCCGTCAAAGGTGTTGACGATGGGTTCGCTGCACGGAATTGCGCTACGAACCATTCGCTTCAAAGTTGTAGAAAATTCTTACAGGAGAAAATAAAGTTTGAGCGTGCACGTGCATGAGCACCCATTTGGGAAAGTAGCGCTCCGTACTGGTAGTAGTGGAAAAGGGACGAGGGTACTGGTGGGGCCATACTCTTGCCGCGGCGGTGCCTGGGGGTGGCCGGGGGGGCCTCGTGCGCAGAGGGTCCCCTCGACGTCAACAGTGCCTGCTGGCCACCTACTAAAACGGCAGTGAATCGATCTCGATTCATCTGATTTAGTGGTGACTTTTGACCGTGCGTGGGCAACTTCTCGCATATATTTAGAGAATCCAACTGGAGGTTTCGGGTGGAGGGGTCTGCAGATAGTGCACGGCAGGTAGGAAAAATAGCAGCCAATGGGTCGTTGCTCGAGCGTGGTCACCTCCTCCGTCTCGCCTCCCCCGCTGCTTCAGCCCCCCCAGTTCCAGTTCCAGTCTCAGTCCCACCGGCACGTCACCAATAGGGCGCACTAAGCACCGGGATTAATTTAACCCTCTTCTACACCTCATCATCGAATTATGATTGCTTTGGGTATTAGGCGCACGCACTGGGGCGTATGTGAGAGAATCTTCTGCACGAATGCGCGCGCACGGACATAAACAGGAAAAAAAGAGCGCAAAAAAAAAAAGAAACTCTCCAGCTGTGGCATTCTGTCTAATGATGTAGGAGCTCATTCGTCACCACCTGGATGGTCTAATTGATGGCCCCATCCCAGGGCTGTCGTCCCAGACTGCTGCCCTTCTGACGTGGGCGGGGGGCCCACCCCTGGACGTCCCCTTCAGTGCTGCCCATTCGCACGTTGGAGCTGCGCTGAGCTGCGCTGAGCTACGCTCAGCTATGCTCAGCTATGCTGCACTTCGCTCGCTTGTCCTAGATTCGGACATCTGGCACACCACTCCATGTCTCCAACAAACCCGTACCATTGTCTGCTTTCCTTGTCCTCCAAACGAGCTTCTAGAATGCCGCGGCAAGCCTTTCCCTTCAACATCCACACCCCCAATGCGCACCAAGCAGATAAGTGCACTTGCTGCACAAAGAATAAGTCCTTCACGCGCATTGTCCCCGACGCATGCGCGTGCATATAGAGTACCTTTTGAGCAATCTCAGCGTGTCAAAGACAAAAGACCCACTAAGGCTCCTCTTTCGTACTGTGCATGCGACCAACAAACAGATACCCATTGTTGCCGCATCATCCACTCTAAATACCTTGTATCATCCTGACGCTGCTCCCGTCGTGCAAGCGACCCTGCCTTGGTGCAAAATTCCCATCACCAATCCATCCGCCGCCCTACAGATCTTTTCCTCTATCTCTCTCGGTCTTACGCGACGACAGCCCCCCCCACCCCATCTCTCTATCTCTCTATCTTGATCTCGTCTCTGCCATCTGCTCACCTTTCCTCTTGAAAAATATCTCCACCACCACCCCACGCTGCTGCTGCTGCCACGTATCGCTGCTAACCCCGTTCTGCCTGGTCCCGTCTATTCCTCTCCTCTCCTCTCCTGGCGGAAGCCTCGTCGCCCATTATTTTTTAAGCTCCCAAATCCACGGCCCGCTTCTCTTGGTCCTCTTGGTAGAAAGTCCCTGCGCCAGCCGGGGGCACTTTGTGTCACCCACACCAACTCTCTTTTTTTTTTCTCTCCTTTTTTCCGAAAACGAATTTTATTTTTTTTTTTGCTTTCTTTCCTTTTTTTTTTTTTTCTGTTTTTCCTGCTCGCGTTTATTTTTCTGGCACATACTGAAGTCCGTCATGCACAGCATTAAGGTTTCCCCCACTTCCTCATAGGGTTACCTAAATATTTTGGTATAGCGTGTGCGCCTGCGCCGCGCGCATCTACCTATCTTGCCTGCAGTTCTCCTGTGTGCCTATTTGAGACATTGACTGCTAAACCATCCACCCACAGCTTCCGACAGCCTACCATTTGATAATTTGATAATTTGGTTGGCTCCTCCGTCGCATACATGTCACGCTACAATGGCATCGACTCACGCTACAGATCCAAAAAAGAAAACTGTGAAGATTTTTCCTGCTCCTCAACGGTGGGAGACGTAGCGCTGCAGCAGCATGCCTACACTTCTTTTATTCTCTTCCTCCTCCTCCTTCATTCCTCCCCTTCACTCGCTGTATCTCCCTCCTCCCTCGCCCTCGCTCGCTCGCTCCTCCTCCTCCTCCCGAACTGCGGCCGCAAAAAAATATTATCTCCCTCAACTTCGGCGACTTTCCCAATTCTCTCCCTCTTAATTTTTTTTTTCCAATTTTTTTTCGCTTTTTTTTTTTTTTTTATTTTCGCTAATTCTTCTCGTCCGTAACCCCGGCATGCGCTTGCCGGGACTTTTCTTCTCCTTGCTGCAACCCAGTCTTATCCATGCAGATATTCGCTTCTAACCAAATGCATCATCCATGCAGCATGTACAGACGCCTGAATCTTATCCCAAATTTGGCTCGTACAAGAATTTATATAATCTACCTATAGTTCGTGTAAGATTGGAATTTCAATCGTATTATTGTTATTGTTGCATCATAAAGTGTTGCAAGTGGATCTCCATATATATTACTTCTTGTCTCCTCTCCTCGACGACAGACCTCCTCCCCCTCCATACAACGGCCTAGTGTTTATCGTTGCGGTCCTTCTCCTCGCGTAGAGTGTGCACCCCTTCCTCACACCCCCACCTCCCGTCTCACACACACACCCCCCCTCCGTCTCGCCCCCACCTTCTGTCTCGCCCTGGCTCACCCTACCTGACCCCATGGAATTATTAGACTATCTGGGCAACGCAGGATTCAATTTGAAGAGTTCTTCTGAGTCTGAAGAAGAGTACCAAATCATGAGTACCTATTTCCATTCCCAGGCTTCAGACAATGATCTGAGCTACACCAATGACACCGACTATGAGTACAAGCAGCCAATGGCCTTGGTCTCTGGCCTGGGCCTGGGCCTGGCTGTGAGTCTGGCCGTGAGTCTTGTTCCCTCCCACCAACCAGCACCCATCTCCCTGACGTTGGCAACTACCCACAGTCATGGCCACACCCACACCCACAGTCATGGCCATCCTCATATCCATTCCTATACACAACCAGAATACAGTTACGGCCAAGCGTTTGATGATGAACTGTCGATCAGTGTCCCCAATTCCGCCGTGGTCCCAACTGTACCGATGATGGATCTCTATTCCCTGAGTCTTCTTGTCAAATCTTCACAACAACCTCCTCTTTTCCCAACTTCATTCTATCCTGAAGATCCAAGACCTCTCCCCATTGCTGCTGCTGCTGCTGCTGGAGCCTCTGGTGGAGCCAGTGCCAACACCCCGGTGGTTAACCCGGTGCAAACCCCATCTCTCAGACATCAACCTTCACCACCACAATCAACTCCAACCTCACAACAAACCCCATCCATACAAACCACCTCGACTCCAGCCTCGCTCCCGATCTCGTCGCCACAACTCAACATGCATGAATACCCGGACATGACCACCATGGTGAATTCAAACTCATCAATGGTGGTACCCATGGTTGACTCAACCTTTGTTGATCTTCACATCTGTACCATCTGCTCGAAGCGGATCACCAGAGACATGTCCCGTCACATGAGAACCCACCAGATAATACCGAGGTTCCTGTGCACGTTCCCCAAGCTGCAATGCAACCACAAGTCCGGCCGGTTCAATAGACCATACGATTTCAAGAAACATTTGTTGAACCGTCACTTCAAGTTTGACATCCCAGACATAAAACGCATCCACAACTTGAGCGACAAGTTGGACCACACCGGCTCATGTCCATGTGGGTTGCGCTTTGTGGGCAAGGACTGGCTCGACTTCCACATCCTCACCCCTGACAGATCCAAGAGATGTCCATGCATTGAAGTCTCGGCATAGAAGCTTAATAGATACAATACGAATAATAATACGATACGAACTTACTCTTCCACTGTAGTCCATCCTCTTCAACTCGTCACCCTACGGGGGTCTCCTCGTAGAGGAGCTAGGCTCCACGCCAGTGGCTCTCCCCGAGTAGGGGCCTAGCGGAGCGGCTTGCTGACCCCGTAGGGAAGTGAGTACTAGACACCCTACCCTGTGGGACTGTAAGCCGCTCCGCTGGCACTCCGTGGGCCACTAGCCGTGGAGGCCTTCTTCCTCTGACGAGGAATTGGTTTTGGCCACTGGGGGGGGGGGGGGATCTCCTCGTAGAGGAGCTAGGCTCCACGCAGTGGCTCTCCCCGAGCAGGGGCCAGCGGAGCGGCTTACAGTCCCACAGGGTAGGGTGTATCTACATTCTGGTTACATTACATTCGTTTATTTATTGATCGTATGGGGTTTAAAGGGGGGTTTTACAATTTGGCAGCCAATTCGACAATTTCTTGTGCTTCCACGATCCGAACTTCAGACTCAGTGCCCTCTTTCAATGGTTGTAAGGCCAAATGAAGTGCAACCTTGGCAACTTCATCGGCATGAGTGGCCTTGACAAGTGGGAACAACCACAGGTCACGGGTCCAAACACCAACCTTGACGGCAAGATCATTCAAAAGCCCCTTGGGCTTGACACGATCGCCAATAAGAACACCAGGACGGAGGATGATGGTACGTTTGAATCCCAAGGAAATCACATCATCTTCAAGCCCTCCCTTCAACTTCAAGTATGGGACAATCGAGCCCTTGTTGGCACCCACGGTGGAAACCAAAACATACGTGTCAATGGTACCATTTTTGGCTGCCTTTGCCGCGGCAAAGTTGGTATCAATATCAATTTTTTTAAAATTGTCAATCCCTCCAGCGTCAGCCCTGGTGGTACCAAAGGCAGAGAAGAACACCTTGTTGGTGGCACTCAACTTTTCGATTTCAGGGGTCCATTCAGCAGTGGTGGCCTTGACAATGGAGTTGATTTTAGTGCCTTCAATTTGACGACGAGAAATTGTATTGATGGTGGAAATGGCGGTGGCGGCTTCTGCAGCCTTGACCAAGTATGACCCGACCAATCCTGTACCTCCGATGATGGTAACGTTCATATTATTATCACTACCACACGATTTGATATGGCCCCTTGTAGCAATTTGAAACAAATTTGCCGCGAATTTCCTTCTTTGCGCGAAATTGAACAATTTTGATCATTTTCAATTTTTTTTTAATTTTTCTGTGGGGGGGGGGTCCCTTGAAAAAAATTACAAAAATCGGCAAAAATGAGGAAATGTGACATTATAACGAAGAAAAAGAAATGAGATTAATGTAGGAGTTAGAGTAGCATTCCTCGGCTGAGATGAACCCGGTAGGTGTTGTACTTGAGCCATGTAGAAGCGGAACTTGGAAATAGTTTATGTAATTTGAGAGTTAGTCGGGGGGGGGGGGGAGGGTCCAACCCCAATTGCAATGTTATGATTAATTTTTTTTTCTTGATGGGGGAAGAACGCCTCTGTCTTCTGTAAACAGCAGTTGGGTGACAAGGTGGCTCGGTGCGGTCTCCAGATGGCCTGACAATGGTATGCCTCTAAGTTAACTTTAGAAGTTATTTTCAAGGTTCCTCGAATGCATAAGGTACGGATACGGCGACTTACCTGTTTGGGCACGTTGAATCTTTCGAAACAATCACATTCTCGTCAACAATGTGACCCATGCACGAGGGTTCTCGCCAAGGGCCGATGGACACGTCTGAGATCACCTATTCCAGTGTGTGATGCATTGTCTGGATTGGGCGATACGGGACTGTTCCTGGCGTGAGAATAGCCAGCATCTTTGTTTAGGCGACTCTTTGTGTTCAGGGCGGTTCTTTCTCCTGCGTCAGGATTTGTTTATTTTTTTCTTTTTTTTTACTCGTCTTGCAGAGGAGGTGTAGCATTTTAGCTGAGGTGCCAGATACGATACGTTGAGGGTTGTCTCCGATGAAGCAGGCACAAGGCTGCCCCGAGGATCTTGCGCTGGGAGAGGCGGTCAAGGCGAATGTAGTATGAGGAGATTGAGCGAAAGGCGTTTTGTCCTCGGACTTATGCGGGCTGCTCGTCGCCCCAACCCCCCGTCAATGTAGACTTTGTAGTTTCTCCACTGACAGCCTCCGAGGGTTGTTGTGACATGGGAAGACGGGTTGCCATGTTGTTGTGATGGCCATTGTTGCGATGGTCATTGTTCTTCTGTAGCCATGGTCATTGTTGTGATGTATTGCTCCGGTACCTGAGTTTCATCTTGGTTTAGATGCATTCCAGGGGTAAACAAGGATTCTTTGTTGGGGGCAAGGTTTCCCATTTTTAAGTTTAGCACGTGGAAATGGAAGCATTCACTAACACTCGAGGAATTGGGAAGAAGACATTGATATAAGGTTTGATTGATTCTATTATTAGATTGAAATAGGACACAAGGACACTCTCTCTAATCTCTACAGACAACCCCTTCCCTCCACCTCTGCTAACCTCTACAAGTATCCACTGTGTCCCCGAGCCACTCTCTGCTACTGTCTACTCTCCACACCCTCTGTGGAGAGATTCAGTTGTGGATTCAACTCGTGGTATGATTTCCTGTAGTATCGGTCCTCGTGCAAAGATAAATAGATCATTTCGTAGACTGTAAGCTCCTGCACTGTTCCTTCCTCGCTAGAGGAACCAGGCCTCCACGGCCAGTGGCCCACGGAGTGCTAGCGGAGCGGCTTGCTAAACCCCGTAGGGAAGTGAGTACTAGACACCCTACCCTGCGGGCCTGTAAGCCGCTCCGCTGGCCCCTACTCGGGGAGAGCCACTGCGTGGTGCCTAGCTCCTCTACGAGGAGACTCTAGCAGCCAGTCTCTAGATGGGAGGTGGTCTATCACCGTTCCTCGTCAGAGGAAGAAGGCCTCCACGGCTAGTGGCCCACGGAGTGCCAGCGGAGCGGCAGGCTAAACCCCGTAGGGAAGTGAGTACTAGACACCTTACCCTACGGGGTCTCCAAGACGCTCCGCTGGCCCCTGCTCGGGGACTGCCACTGCGTGGTGCCTAGCTCCTCTACGAGGAGTCTCCTACGACTACAATGACAACTACAACTACAACTACTGCTCCCCAGGGTCCGTCTAAAACGCCGTCTCAACTTTTGAATTTTTGGCCGCAAAAAATTACTCGCGGAGTACATGACCGCCAGAAAAACAAAAACCAAAACAACCACAATAAAACATTTCTACTCTTTACAACTGGTGTACCACCCCGCGACAAAACTCGCTCCCCCAGGCATCCCGTCAATCACGGTCCTACTCTCCTCGCACCCACACTGATCTAACCCCCAGCCCAGCCCAGCCTACTCAAAAAAAAAGAAATTTTTTTTTTTTCTCCCAGCTGGCCTGCCCCCTGACCTTGCCCCCTAGGCTGCCTAACCTGCCCCTTGGCTGCCTGCCCTGGAACACTCTTCTCCACTCAATCCCCAGTCTTGTCCGGCATATGCAATTTAGCGCGCGCTCGCGCCGCGAACAAAACTTCCATCCTCTTTGTGTAACCTAAGCCCTATCACTGCACCCATTCAAATTACATCCACTCAATTCTCTGGTCCTAGCTCCACCTCCACCCCCGCCCAATCAATCGTCCCCCAGCCCCCCCCAACGAGTTCCAGCGCTGACCACCACACTCGCCGCACACCCGCAGCACCCACTGTCCGAGTCCGAGTCCCTCCGAGCCCCCGCGAACATCCCCAGTCCCGCCCCCCGCTTGATTTCCCTGGCGCTCCCGCAGCATTCTTCCCATGGCAAATCTCCGCCAATCCCAAGCTGCCCCTCCTTCAGAAATGGTCTCTTCTTCCTCCTCGCCCGCCCCGGGGTCCTTCTTCGGCTACGAGACGGTGCTATCGCACCAGCAGGCCCTGAAGAACCCGTCCCAGCAGACCTTGCAACTGCAGTACGATCCGTACGATCCGTACGATCCGTCCTACAATTCTATTCAACCACCCACTCTGAACCAGAGCATCCCTCCATATAATCTGAATCATCCAGTCGAAGGTCATCGACAAATTTCTCAGCAGCAGCACCTCCAACAGCAGCAGCAGCACCACCACCACCACCTCCAGCACCACCAACTTCCCCAACATCCCCAACATCCCCACCACCAGAACCTCCAGCACCACCCTGCTCCTCCACCTCCACCTTCTGCCCCACCTTCTGCTCCACCTCACTCTACTGCACCACCTCCTTCTGCTCCTTCCTCTCATTCTGCTACTGCCTCCAACTTATCCTTCCCTTACACCACCTCCATCCACCATCCAAACCACCCACAACATCAAATAATCCGCCCTGGACTTCCTCCCTCGTATTCCTATGATTCGGGACTCCCCATGCATCAACCTTCAGACTTGTCTGCCCCCAAAAGGAAACTCTCGACTCGTGCTGACAACACAAAATTGAAAACAAATCGTTCAGTACGACATGGTCCTTCCAATCACAACCCTAAGGATGAACTCAACCAATACATTGACTTTTCTCCTGGACCCCCCAAGTCCCTGTTCACTCCATTGACCTTGGAGAAAGATCTCCCTTCATCTACTGGTCCTTCATCTACTGGTCCTTCATCTACTGGCCTTTCTTCTACTGGCGCTTCCTCCACTAAAAAGTCTAAACCAGAGTTTTTCCTCCCCTTGGACAATATCAACGTAGCACCACGTCTCACCGAGTTCTCGGCCTTCTCCGACCTGTCGGTGGCTGCCTATGAAAGGATGAGGATCATGGAACCTGATCTAGGCTTTGACTTTCTAGACGATGACACAAACTTCTACCATTTCCAGGACAATGTCACACCCATGATGAAGCCTCCAGGCACTGCCAATGGTTATTTTGATTCCCATCTGCCCCCTGAAGGTGAGAAGCAGACAGATAATCAGCCAATGGATCGTTTATCTTCTCATTTCGATTTCCCTACCGTCACCAGTGCCCCGGTAGTTACACCTACCACTGCTGTTGCTGCTGCTGCTGCTGCTGCTACTACTACTTCTACTTCTACCTCCACCACCACTTCCAATGCTGCTGCGGCGGCTACTGCGGCAACTTCTCTGGATTTTTCCTTCACCCTCAATGACAATTTCGACCTCCCATTGTTCCCAGATATGTCCAATATCCCCTATGACCAATCCCCACCAACTGAGGACCCTGTCATCGACACATCTCCACGGTCTCCGTCTGTGGAAACCGCACAACCAAACGCCCTCTTTGCCTTGCCAAGGCCTCAATTTGAACGGAAAAACTCCAACCAGAGCATCACTAGCTTGAGCTCTACTGGTTCCGCCAAGGACTCGGCTTCCACCGCGGCAAGCTTGTCCACGGCCACCGTATCAAAGAAGAAACGATTCCCCAAGGGCTCCATCTGTATGGTGTGTGAGAAGTACATCAGCAGAGACATGACAAGACATATGAGGATCCATGACGAACGTGGGAGATTCCAATGTGTTTATCCAAAGGACATGTGCAACCACAAGACGGGCAATTTCAACCGTCCCTATGACTACAAAAAGCATCTTCTTCACATTCACTTTGAGTTTGATGATCCTCGTGGACGCGCTGCCCATACCCTCACCGACAAGCTCCCGATGACGGGCAAGTGTAAGGCGTGCAAACAGCGGTTCACTGCCAACGACTGGTTGGAGCACCACATCCTCTCGCTGAGCGAGCGATGTGCATTTATTGAATAGATGTAGCACCTCCCAACCCCTACCCTGCGGGGCTGTGAGCCGCTCCGCTGGCCCCTACTCGGGGAGAGCCACTGCGTGGTGCCTAGCTCCTCTTCGAGGAGACTCTATCAGCCAGTCCCAAGATTGGAGGGGATCTATCACCGTTCCTCATCAGAGGAAGAAGGCCCCCACGGCCAGTGGCCCACGGAGTGCCAGCGGAGCGGCTTGCTAAACCCCGTAGGGAAGTGAGTACTAGACACCTTACCCTACGGGGTCTCCAAGACGCTCCGCTGGTCCCTGCTCGGGGAGAGCCACTGCGTGGTGCCTAGCTCCTCTACGAGGAGACTCTGGTGTTCCAGCAGGGATGTCTTATGCCCTTCCTGTGGCCCCAGCCTTGATATTGTATATATACATTGATGGTTTATGTACGAGAATTGAGGATTCTTGGACCTTTCTGTTAAGAAAGGAAGAGAATTCTCAGCATAGAAAGAATTTGTACGTGGTATAGATCAATTTTAATTCATCAGTAAACAAAGAGATTTTGGGTTTAAGCCCAATTGTAGAGAAGGAATATGGTGACCAACACATGGACTGGAAGACCTACTTCGATACACGTAAGCGTCCCAGAAATCATCCATCTACAAGGTATTCTGGTCACTGATCAGCGCCCCTATTCGGTGACAGCCCCTGTCCAGTGACCAGCTCACGTACAGGGCTATCATTCCTCGTCAGAGGAAGAAGGCCCCCATGGCTAGTGGCCCACGGAGTGCCAGCGGAGCGGCATGCTAACCCCGTAGGGAAGTGAGTACTAGACACCCTGCCGTACGGGGTTAGCAAGCCGCTCCGCTGGCACTCCGTGGGCCACTGCGTGGTGCCTAGCTCCTCTACGAGGAGATCCTACTGGCGGTCAATTTCCTCGTTAGAGGAAGAAGGCCTCCACGGCTAGTGGCCCACGGAGTGCCAGCGGAGCGGCTCACAGCCCCGCAGGGTAGCTAGTACTCACTTCCGATCCGGGCGGTATGGTGCCCAAGTCCACTTAAGTGGTCCCGGAGCACTCGCTTCTAAATGCTGCTTTTGGCTGCCATTGTGTACCTACTGCTCTACATTTGCTTTCTATTGGCCTACAACACTACACGTTATTTTCTACCCCCCGCCTTTCATTTCATTATTAGCCCACCAAGAGCAAATATTTACTTGTTAATAGACCCATCTCGCTAGTCCGTCCAAACGGGTCCTTTAATTTGCTCATTTTAATCGATTTAGCCGCCCCTAAGTGGCGCGATCACCTAACTACCGATGAATAGCGCCGCCCCACTGGTCCCTGCAACTTACCTTCCCGGGTTTTGTGTCACTCTTCTTATGTTGCAAATGAATTTAGTGCAACCGTTGGACCGCCTTCCCAATTGGGCAGGCGGGTCCGCACCGCGCGTACACTTAATTTTTACCCACCACTATGACAACGGGTTAGTCCAGTTTGTTAGGGACATTTTCCCATGCTTTGAGGAAACTATAACACCGTCCAAGTAGCACCCACACCCCCTTGAACAACTCACCCGCCAAGATGAAACAAAATGTGCTCGCCTGTACTTTCCCATCCTCATGAAATCACCAGCTTTAATTTCCCTCCGACTCGGTCGAGCACATTTTTTAAAAATTTGCTCTATGAGCAAATTAATTTGGAAAATGTGCCAATGTATATAAAGTAGCCGCTATCATTCTCACTATACCAAATTTAGATCATTAGAATTCAATTAAACCACCCCCTCCTCCTTATATATACCACAATGGAAGTAGTGAAAAGACACGGGATGGCCATGGGCTCCTCCTCCGCCTCAACCACCATGACTATGGCTGGAATGGCTGCTAGTACCACCATGGCCGCCATGGCCAGTGGGACCAGTACCGGAATGAGTGCCATGGATCATGGCCTGGGTGGTATGGACCATGGTATGGATATGGTGGGAATGAACATGTACTTTACCACCAAATATAACAACTACCCTGTCATGTTCAAGCTGCTTCTGGCCGACTCCAAGGCCAAGGCATTTGGGATTTTTGTGCTTTTATTCGCATTGGGATTTTTCCTTCGTGGTTGTGAATTTTATCGTAACTATTTAGAACAAAGAGTATGGAAGAACCCAGCCTATGTTGGTTCGTGTCCGCCGGTTTCACGTGCACTTAGCAACAAGGCTGCCTTACAGGAGAAGGCAGCTTCTGCCAACTCTGGCGGCTGTTGTACCACTACTGCGAATGAGTCGTCCCTGATCAACAAGCTTTCGCATGATATTGACGACACAATTTCTGCTGGTACTGGCTCAGAAACAGAAACTCAACAACAACAACAACAACAATTACCACCACGTCAACTTCTGTTGGCATCCTCACTTTTCCGTGACGCCATCAGACTCATTCTCTGCATAATCCCGGACCTCTTTGGCTATGCCTTGATGTTGGCAGCCATGTCGTTTTGCTTGGTTTACTTTTTCGGAGTGGTTTTGGGTTTGGGTGTTGGTCGGTTTGTTTTTGAGAAGCTTTCTGATCGCACCAAATTAAGAGCGGTCACCAGTGGGATGAACAGCCACTGTTGAAACTAATAATGATGTAATGTGCATACCAATAAATATTCTTTTAATAACACACGTGTAGGACAGGCTAGAATTGGCGGTCTGGCTGGTGGAGCGACTTACAGCCCCTCAGGGAAGTGAGTAGCTACCCTACGGGGTTAGCAAGCCGCTCCGCTGGCACTCCGTGGGCCACTAGCCGTGGAGGCCTTCTTCCTCTGACGAGGAATTGGGCTGCAAAAAAGAAAAGTAGTTGGATGGGTAGAGAGTACACCAACACTCCATCATACAGCCAGAACAGCGTACCATCTACACTCTCTCTAACATTCCTCTACAGCCCACCATATCTCCTTTCTAAACTCAATACGTCTATTCAATTACTAATATACATCGTACCATGAAATTGTCCATGTAGGCATGGGTCTCCTCGTAGAGGAACTAGGCACTACGCAGTGGCTCTCCTCCAAGCAGGGGTCAAGCGAAGCGTCATACAACCCCACAGGGAAGCGAATACTGCCCACACTAAGGGGATTGCGAGCCGCTCCGCTGGCACTCCGTGGGCCACTAGCCGTGGAGGCCTTGTTCCTCTGACGAGGAATTAGTTGCAACTCCTAGGGTCTCCTCGTAGAGGAGGCCCCACGCAGTGGCTCTCCCCGAGCAGGGGCCAGCGGAGCGGCTTGCCAACCCCGTAGGGTAGGTGGTGGGTGCTCTCTACTGCGACCCCTCGTGCTCCTTAAAGGAATCAGAAACCTTTCTTAACAACTCACTATATTTTGTCCTGTTGAAAGAAGAACCGCCACCTTCCGCCAACTTCTCACTATATATCAACCTCACCAAGTTCTTCCAGTCCTCCTCCTTGATCCCAAGAGCATTTCTTTCCTTGACTTTCTCAATGAACGCATGTTCATTTGCTGTGAAATACTCGAAAAAGATCGATGATCTGGTGAAATTGACTATTTCGGGCTGTTGCATCACACTACGTAACATTTGTTGGAGTACGAAAATGTTCAAAAGAACTCTCTTGATCCCGTGGGCATTCATCTTTTGCACCACATACAGCCCCCGAAGAATCAATTGTTCAATAAACTCTGGGAGTCCACTGAACATCTTTTGATGTTCCTTGGCCGTGAGCATGTGTCCCATCCGAGTCTCGGCAAGGAACACCTGCTTGTTGTATTCGCTGATGTATTGGTCACAATCCCCTGGTTCTGAAGTAGGCGCCCATTCACACATCTGGTACGATCTACCAACATAGTAAATGGCCTTACATCTCAAGTCATATCTTAAAACCAAAAGAGCATGGTCTCTGATGGTTTGGAATTGTTCCACCACCGAGTCGAATTCCCCAACGGTTTCTGAATTCAATGTGAGAAACACATGTGCCCCATCAACCAGTCCATTACTTCTCCCATTCTCCAAGAAACTCCAGTCATGTTTCAACTTATCCACCTCAGAAAGCTTCACATCGTCATCATCGTCGTATACAGTGTAATTGGATTCCTTTCTCATCCCAGGGAGCCATGTGAGAATCCATGACGCAGTCAATACAAGATGACACACTTGAGCAAACGCATCACCATCAAGGAAATCATCCTTACTGATTTGGAACATTTGTTCAGGTTGCTTGTTCTCAATCATAAGCAGAATTTCTCGTTCTATGGCTTCTACGCTGGATTCTTCAAGCCCATCGTTCAAGATCGATTTCGATGCCTCGGAGAGCGCTGGAGTCTTCATCCAAGTGTTGATTTGCAGACTTGGTTTACCATTGGTGTAGGCATCAGTATGTTGATCTGAAGGTTCCAAGAGATCCCGATAAAAGGAGGTATACGATTGGGCAAACCGACCAAGATACCTCAAACATAAACCTCCAAAGTCTTCTCTATAGGTCAAGGAAGTATTCAAGACAAAGCAGATGTATGTGAACATACGTCTGAAGTCCACAGCATTTTGGTATACCATGGCTCCTGTAAGATCATTACCATCGTCCGATGGTTCAAGGTAGGTCAAGTTGGTTTTAAACGGTTCAAGACCACTGTTTGCACCCTTGGTGGGTTCTTGAGTAGTTGTTCCTGATTGTTCATCTCCTTCCAATAACCCGCCCAACGTGGCGTCCAACTTGGGTAAGAACGAAGATCTCATGAAAGAAACAAAGAAATTGAGAGCTGAGGAGGAAGATTGCTGCTTAGAATCATTCTTACTGAATAATGTATGGGCCCCTGCCACATAAACCAAAAATGATTCCAAGACAATTCTCATATTGAAAACATTTCTAGGCACCAACACCTCAACCATGGCATTGAAAGACTCGTTTTTAAGGTATGGAGACAGGTCCATAGACCCTACCGCGCCATTCTCATTAAGATTAAAGCCGGGGAACATCTCCAACAAGATGGACTTGAGTTCATCGGCAGACTTACCCGACTTGTTGTAGGAGACATCTTCAAAGCGGAACGTGTCATTTCTGACGATCTGGTGGATTGTTCCCCCCAGAGTTTGCCCCCCTAGAGTCGAAGTGCCGCTTGTGGTTTCAAACACAGAGTTGTTGTCTATGTAGTTCAAAATGAGTGTTTGGAGTTCCTTTTTCATGGTGTTCCAAGCGTTATCAAAGTAGGAATGGACCACAGAGTTGATGGAACTAGTTCCATTGGTGTTACTACTAGTAGGTACACCACTACCACTACTGGATACCAGATCTCCTTCAAATACTACCCTGGCAATCTCACTGACCACTTTTTGCCTTTGTAAGACCGCCAAACTCTTGACAAACACCGTACCAAACAATGCTTCCAATACAACCACTGCCAGGTCATTAAAGGAGTTCCCATTCAAGAAATCAGCGACTCCATCGTGTCCAAAGCCCTGGATCTTGGCCAATTTGTTCAATTGTTGCGTGGTGGTCAACTTGGTTTCATTGATGGTGGTGTTGATCAACGAGTGGTACTCGTGCTGATTGGTATTGTTCAAGATCTCCAACACCTGAGGCAACCGATGGAGCTTGTGTGCGGTGTGGAGCAACATGTACACATAATGGAACGACTCGGTGCTGCTGTCCAGGGTCGAGTCAAAGAGCACCCCGTAGTCAATGGCCTTGGTGCGCCCAGAAGTGTATGTCTTATGGAGACGTGCAAGATGATTGTCCAAGAAATTGGTCACCGGTTGAGAGAAACAATCGGCAATCTCGGCAATGTCTACATTGGCCGAGTTATACACGTATTGTTCAAGGTTTGATGATTGGGTAAGAAGGGTTTTAAGTGAGGACAATTGAGGAGATGGTGGTGCCAACGTTTGGAATAAATGGCCAAGAGGTCCATCTGTGGAGAGAGTACTCTTACTAGTGGCAGAATTCATCGAGCTCGAGGTGTTGACAACACTACTGCCAGTGCTTCCTCCAACACTTCCACTACTAGCACCACCACCACCACCACCATTGGCCATACTGCCTCCACTACCGCTCCCACTACTCCCGCCGTAAATCTCACTTCGTAACTCATCTACAATCATGTCAAACAAATTATTCAGCTGGGTCTCAAGATACCCTCGAATGGCCGCCATGGCCGATAACGACCACAAATTGTACTGCTCGGCAACCTTGTAGGCTCCCAGAATGACGTCGTACACCTCGTGGACCTTCTTCTGCGCCACGAGCAGCTCTACTTGTGCCGGTACCGAGTTCACGGCGTCCATGGCATCCAAGATCTCCAACATCTCCAGATATCGTGCCGACGTATTGTTGAGGTCATTGAGCACGTCCGACCGGTCATGTGTGTCCCTGGTGGTGTCTGAAAGCAGGCTGCGTATCGCTGCCGCGTCCTGTTGGCAATCCTGGAGTGTTCCCAAGAGCGTATTGTACGACCCGACCGAGTTATTGAACACCTCATGATGTTCATTGACCACCTTCCGTAACGTCTGTTGAACCTGTCTCAGAAGGTCCTGGAACTCGCCCGCCTTATGCGCAAGCCCAACCGATGAATCATCAAGCAAAGAGACGGCCATCTCGATCGGATTGGCGGACTCCTCGAGGCATTGTGGCCATTCATATCGCATCAATGCAAGCGTTTCCTTGAGCTCAAACATTGTCTCGTCCAACTGTTGCTGTTCACTCTCCAGCGCAAGCCGCGGAGGACCCGCGGCCTGGTAGTTCATGCTGTGTGATCTATTGCGTGACATAGTGTCCTAGGCCAGTATTCCACAATGCTGTGTATGATGGTTCTATCAACCAACTAACTTCTTTCTCCACCTTAATCCTCTTTGAGTAACAAACTCCGTCTGTTGATTTTCGCAAAAAGCGCGCGCACTAACAAACCGGTGCACAACATCAAGGACCCCCATATTTTTTGCAGCATATCCCCCCCTGCCCTACTGAGAACTTCCTCGACAGAGGAAGAAGGCCTCCACGGCTAGTGGCCCACGGAGTGCCAGCGGAGCGGCTTGCAAGCCCCGCAGGGAAGTGAGTAGCTACCCTACGGGGTAAGTAAGCCGCTCCGCTGGCCCCTGCTCGGGGAGAGCCACTGCGTGGTGCCTAGCTCCTCTACGAGGAGTTCTTAGTGACCCATGTCGAGTCGTATACTCAGTGAATGGCTCATCTATGTTATGGACACGTCTCCAATCTCCAGTCTCCAGTCTCTCGTAGTTCTCTTGTTATTCATTGATCTGATATCCTGCATGTGGCGGCGAATATGAGTTGTTGCCAAAACATCAACTCTGCAACCATCACCAATACACCGAGGTAAACACGTCTTTTATAACTGTAAATGGATACCAACCAGGTTGTGGTTGTAGGTGACACCACACTAGATCTGGTATATGCGCCCGAGGTTATTGAAATGTATGTAATCTGGATATTGAGCGAGATCAAGAGATCAATGGGGGAAAGGTTCAGCTGATGAGTTGGTCCGATTGCTCTGGACTGGGCCCCCCTTCCCTTTCCTATACGTGTGGATGTCCACTTGCGTAGAGTGTGGCTCTATTCCTCTTCAGAGGAAGAAGGCCCCCACGGCTAGTGGCCCACGGAGTGCCAGCGGAGCGGCTCGCAAGCCCCGCAGGGAAGCAAGTACTAGTTACCCTATGGGGTCTTCAAGACGCTCCGCTGGCCCCTGCTCGGGGAGAGCCACTGCGTGGTGCCTAGTTCCTCTTCGAGGAGTCCCAAAGCAGAGATCTCGTACCATTCCTCGTGAGAGGAAGAGGGCCACCACCGCTAGTGGCCCCACGGAGTGCCAACGGAGCAGTTCACAATCTCCCCGTAGAGCGCCTAGTTCTCTCTCCCCTGCGGGCCCGCACACCTACTACTTCTCTACAGAGTCTGAATACTAACAATCTAGCCTGAGTGATCAATCACATGTAGTCGAAACACGTTCACTGCCCAAACGCACAAGAACTCACCAAAGAGCGTCGCTCTTCTCAAGTCCATCGCTATGTCTCCTGCCAGTGGTGGAACGACGTCCTCAGGGGAGGAGTCACCCCGTAGCGGAAGATGTCACGGATGATCTCCTCGATGATCATCTGGTGATCCAACCCACTCCTAAACAATTGACATATCCAAGTCTTTTGGAAGAACTTGGGTTGAACATAACCCTGGAACCAAACTCTCTGCCCAGGGCAAACCCTACTCTGGCCAAAAAATTGTTTGTTTCGCCCAATTCTACAGCAATGTCTCTTAGCATTTCAAATGGAGATTCTACAGAACCAGTAAAGAGCTCTAAATCGAGAATCTCTTCATCTCCTTCCAAGGAATCACGGTCAGGATTGAAAAGACTGAAAGTCCAACACACACAGTCGAGATTCTCATCGTCATCTCCAATAAAGAGTAGTATTGCACCACAAATCAACCTTGATACACCAGCAAAGACAAATATTTTAGATTTTGATAATTGGTTTTCTGAAAGTGATGGTAATTCTTCTTTAATTAAGGAATCAACAACGCGTGTGATTCTTCGACCTGAACTCTCAGATCCAATAGAAACGGCATCTTCATCTCCCTTTAAACCGATAAAGAGTAGTGTAAAGCGTTCCAAGAAGGTGGCCCATACTCCTCACTTCCCTTCCAATATCAAGTATTCCACCAAGGAACTCAATGACGCTAATAAGGTCAATCGGACCAAAGAGGAACTTCTATCAGAAATGGTAGTCGAAGTGTCTCAAGAGATGTACACACTCTTCCAATGCGAGTATTGGACCACCAAGTTTGGGTCTGCATCAACCACTTTGCGCCCAGTGCCACGAACAACTCCCGGGGCCATCTCATGGAAACGGAAAATCACTGCCATTTACTCTCCAGATGATGATATCTTTATCCCCTGTCTCCCAGTTGAAAACGAAGAACTGACGGTATTGATGCGATTTGAAGCAAAGGAGTTGGTGGAAGCATTGGAGGATGGTACCATGTCATCCTACATTGAAGCAGCAAGACAAGAAATGGCACCTTTGATCCCTCATATAATTATAATCATAGAGGGATATGACAAATATATTTCCAAGATCAGGGCAATGGAGGAGAGAATATACAAACAGAGAGTGAGACAACAACAACAACAACAACAACAACAACAACAACAACAGCAGTCACAATCACAGTCACAAGTTACAATGGATGGTTCACCAGCTCCTCCTTCACTGCTGGGAACTGATTTGTCCATCACCAATCAATTAAACAAACTACAATTGACCCATCGAATCAATATTTTCTTCACCAAATCACTCCATGATACCATTGATTGGATCCATTCATTCACCTACACCATTGCATCTACAAGATATGACAAATATGAACGGAATAGCTCTTTTGCCGGGATCGGTAAAATCAAATCGGGAGCCGATACCACCGCTACATTCCTTCAATCCCTACAACAATTCAAGTTCATTACAGAAGTCAAGGCAGAAAAAGTGCATCAATATTATAAATCATTACGTAGTATACATGAGCGGTATTCGAGAGAAGACACGCTAGGAAAGAGTTCTGATGGAGGTAACATTGTACCCCCGTCCACTGATCTGGCCATGCGTACTTTTTTCAAGTCTATTGATCCAGAAGAAGTCATGGAATAGGTATATGTATATGTGGGTGTCCGCTTATCAGAATGAAAAACGAGACATTGTTGGTAGCTATTAAAATAGCTAATCTATGCTAGGACAGTCTATCAGTGAGTCTGATCAAGCCCATACAGTCTTTACAGCTTCAAGATCTTCCTCGGATAATTGATCTTTCAAATGAAGAACTCCAGAAACTGAGGATTCTAATTGTTCAAGTTCAGAGGCAGTGAATTTGAAACCTAAACGGTGTAATTGAGTGACAATGTTCAACACCTTGTCGATGCATCCGACGTGAGGCTCGCTCAGCTGGAGCACCAGTACAAGTTCTGCAACAATGCCACGACTATGGATCTCCTTCTCCTTGTTGGCATCTAATCCAGTGGAAAGAATGGCTGAAAGTACCGATAAAACTCTGAGAATTTGCTTGGCAGCAACAGTATTATCAAATTCAACAACCTTCCATCCGCCAATGTCAAGGAATTTCTTACAGGCTTCTTCATCGTTTCTAATGAGTGAAGAGATGGCAAAGAGAGCCTTCAAGTAAAGTTCCTTTGGCTCGGTAGGAGTAGCGGTAAGAACCAAACTCTTGAGACCTTGCTCGTGTGAAAGGAAGGCCTTCTGTGCCAATGGGTTGTTTTGCACGGCTATCCCGATAATCGAGGCAGCGTATACACGAAGAGATGTGGGGACATGAGGTTCGAGTTGCAGAATGATGGATGGCCATAACTTGATGTTTTCGATATTGTTGGCATTATCCAAGTTTTCAATAAGCATTTCAAAGTTTTCCAAGGCAATTTCTTGGTTCTCCAACGTAGCTTCAGGGTTTGTGGCTACAATGATTGCTTGTTTCATCAAGGCAGGTTCATCAGGACCTCCAAGACCAAAGAGTTGATCAAGTGATTTGGGGTCTGGAGTACCAGCCTTGGCGATGGCTTCCTTGTCGCCAGTTTGTTGAGCAATGGACCATTGAAGAAGTTTTTCCATTTTATATGTATATGAATAAAGAAGAAGTTATATAAAGTTATCTAAAGTTATCTCTATAAGCTTACTTGATATATATGAGAGATGGGATTTGAGAATTAACAGTAGAAGGTTCTAGAATGTTCTATATGAAAAGTAGTTTATATGTAGGATAAAATGAAGATTGTAGTTCTAAGCGCATAAATCAAAGTGACAAACTATACGAATAAGGGGAGAATAGGAATAATCGGATCTATTATCATAATATTAATAGATTTTCAAATACATTAACAAAAAAATTTTAATGTGTGAAAGTTTCTTAAAAAAATATTAATACATCATTTGTAGTTGAAAATTTACACATTATCCTCCGTTCGTCCATGAGAGAAGAGAATTGAGTTCCTAAATTATCAAATACCAACTACAATCTACAACCTACAATAATACAACCTACAAATCCCCCCTCTTTTCGCATACTCACAGCCCGTGTTAACCCTCCTACTCTCCCTAAACTATATCACCTGTACCTTTACTCTCTCCTGATGCCGCAACCTTGCAGCCATCACGTGTATGCCCCGGAGTCTCCTGATCCGGAGAACCGACCCGGGCACGACCACCTCTCACCACTCCACGTTCCACACTATAAAGACACCCACTTCTACCCTCCATTATTCATCGTCCCTTTACTCTTCATTCTACAACCGTGTTTAATGTATGTCCTACACCGCCCAATGGCCCTCCCCTCCGTCTTCAACCCTTACTAACCCTCTAGCGCCTAATATTAAGAATGTCTTTATCTAACAAACTCTCCGTCAAGGACTTGGACGTAGCTGGAAAGCGTGTCTTTATCCGTGTTGACTTCAACGTCCCATTGGACGGTAAGACCATCACCAACAACCAAAGAATTGTTGCTGCCCTCCCAACCATCAAGTACGTCTTGGAACAAAAGCCAAAGGCTGTCGTCTTGGCCTCCCACTTGGGTAGACCAAACGGTGAACGTGTTGACAAGTACTCCTTGGCTCCAGTTGCCGCTGAATTGCAAAAGTTGTTGGGCAAGGACGTCCACTTCTTGAACGACTGTGTCGGTAAGGAAGTCGAAGACGCCGTCAACGGTGCCAAGGACGGTGAAGTTTTCCTTTTGGAAAACTTGAGATACCACATCGAAGAAGAAGGTTCTGCCAAGAAGGACGGCCAAAAGGTCAAGGCTTCTGCTGAAGATGTCCAAAAGTTCCGTGACCAATTGACTGCTCTCGCTGACGTCTACGTCAACGATGCCTTTGGTACCGCCCACAGAGCCCACTCCTCCATGGTTGGTTTGGCTCTCCCACAAAAGGCTGCCGGTTTCTTGATGGCCAAGGAATTGGAATACTTTGCTAAGGCCTTAGAAAACCCAACCCGTCCTTTCCTCGCCATCTTGGGTGGTGCCAAGGTTTCCGACAAGATCCAACTTATCGACAACTTGTTGGACAAGGTTGATCTTTTGATTGTTGGTGGTGGTATGGCCTTCACCTTCAAGAAGGTTTTGGACAACATGTCCATCGGTGACTCTCTTTTCGACGCCGAAGGTGCCAAGCAAGTCGAACACCTCGTTGCTAAGGCCAAGAAGAACAACGTCAAGATTGTCTTGCCAATCGATTTTGTCACCGCCGACAAGTTCGACAAGGACGCCAAGGTCTCCACCGCCACCCAAGAAGAAGGTATCCCAGACAACTGGATGGGTTTGGACGCTGGTCCAAAGTCCAGAAAGTTGTTTGAAGAAACCGTTGCCGAAGCCAAGACCATTGTCTGGAACGGTCCACCAGGTGTCTTTGAATTCGAAAACTTTGCCGCCGGTACCAAGTCTCTCTTGGACGCTGCCGTCAAGTCTGCCGAAGCCGGCAACACCGTCATCATCGGTGGTGGTGACACCGCCACCGTTGCCAAGAAGTACGGTGTCGTTGAAAAGTTGTCTCACGTTTCCACCGGGGGCGGTGCCTCTTTGGAATTGTTGGAAGGTAAGGAATTGCCTGGTGTAGTTGCCATTTCCAGCAAATAGCAATTAAAGTTGTAATTAACTAGAAAAATAAATAAGAATTAAGTAAACAACTGTAATCTCTCAGGGGTAATTAATATATCATACATTCATTTGTCAACTCTAAAAAAAACTAGCTATCGTCATCCACTACAATTTACTTGCTCCCTTTATGATCAGATCCCATGAGTCCTCCGTCAACTCCTCATATCTATCGCGGTTCAACCAGTAGATGACATCCTTCCCATTATCACCCCGGGGCAACTTCTGGTTCTTATATTGGTTCTTGGGCACTTTATGATTATGGGAAGATTCAATTTGTTCAATAATCTTAATAAATTGAGGAACAGCATATTTGGGTAAACTCTTTTGAGCGTGTTGGTACACCTTACCAAGTAATTCATCGGTTCGTGTTCCATTCAAATATTCATCCTTTGGTTCAATTACTGCAAATCCAGCACGTCCCTCATGGTTGGGCACTCGTACCCCAACAACTACCGATCCCTTGATAGCCTGAGAGCCCATAAGTTCATTCTCCACCTCAGACGCAGAAACATTTTCTGATTTCCACCGGAAGGTGTCTCCTAAACGATCGACAAAATATAAAAGCCCATCACCATCCTCCTTCAATAAGTCTCCTGTTCTGAACCATGCATCTCCCTTACGGAAAACATCTCGGACAACCTTGGATGAAGTGGCCTTCTTATTCCCATAATACCCTTGGAATGTGCCTTCAATATTCTTAGTATTCAAAATCTTCATCAATAATTCTCCAGGTTGGTTGTTCTTCGCCCGAATGGCATATCCAGTGGCTGGATCCCTCCAGATTTCGTTCTCATCTTCTGGGTCCATCTTCACCAACACTTGACTGAAGGAAAGAATAAAGTTGATGAACCCTCCGTATTTCCGACACGCTCCAACTCCATAATCCCCATATTGTAAACTGGTGGTGGCAATAGGGGATTCTGTGGAAGCATAAAACTCTCCAATTGCCTCTATATGGAATCGTTTCTTAAAATCGAGCCAAATATCCTTCCGAAGCCCATTCCCGTATGCAATCCGCACGTTATGGGCCTGTTGGTCTGGATGTGGCTTGGCGTGTAAAAGATATCTACAAACCTCACCAACGTATTGAATATGAGTCGATCCACACAACTTTGCCTGGGTCCAAAACGACGTGGCAGAAAACTTTTGTGAAATGGAAATACATGCTCCAGTCAACAATGAGGGGCAAACACCCAACATAGCAGCAGTTGAATGGTATAATGGCATGGCTGTCAAAACATTGGATTTATTCTCAATCTTCATGATGTATCCGAAAAAATTGGCCGCCATGAAGGCCTTTCTCCACGACATAATTCCAGCCTTGGGTAATCCAGTGGTACCAGAAGTATAGATCAATGCACAACACGACAGATCGGTATCCTCCGGTCTTCTGGTGTGGTCTGGAGCTCTATACTTTGGAGTCGCGCGGTCTTGAATAACCCGTAACAACTCTACCTCATTCATATAGTGCAACTTCACATTGGGAAGCTCAGTCCGGATCTCTGGTTCCGTGTCTCTGATAGGTCCCAGACAATCCGGATCAATGAAAACTTGGGTAACATTCAGGATTTTCAAACAATGAATCAAGGGTTTATCCTTGGTGTTGAAGTTGAGAAACGCTGGTAATGCCCCAATGTTCCACAACGCCAACCACAAAAAGATGAATATCGGCTTGTTCATGCAATCCAAGGCAATCGTCTGGTCTGGAGTCACACCATATTCATTCTTCAATATATAACTCAATCGTAACACAATGTCATACAATTCCTTGTATGTGTAGTTTTCCACTTCAAATTGATTGTCGTAGTTTTTCACCCCGTTCGAGTCCGTTTCTATTGGTGGTGGGTTCTTAAGTGGTCTTGGGAATGAAATTGCTCGGTTGGATCCGTTCCTTTGTGCAGATTTCTCAAAATAATACCAGAAACTCGCCCTTCCACGAGCACAGTTGATAAGGTATGGAATTGCAGATCGGACAACCTTCTGTACCAACAACACATCATGTTTGATCAGGTACTTTGCGTCGAGAAGTTGCGTTCCTAAAAGCGCAGCTGCGGCCAATTCAAGGGTAGACATCTTATACAATCGTTTGGTTTTGTTACTCGGACTGTTTTTCTAAAAAAATCTTAATCACGCTCTTTATATCTTTTCTCGCAAGTCTCCGCACTACCCTCAATTTGCATATGTTAGGTGTTGCGCAAAGGAGTTTAAATGTTGAGCATATGTTCTTACACGGGAATTATCATTCGCTAAGATTTACCAACTTCCTTTCGCCCCCAATCCCCTTCTCTTCAGATGTTTTTTTTTTACTTATTCCCATTTCTGGACCAATCTATCATTTGTCAATTACCATTAATTCCTATATCTCTCCAATTCTCTTACTTCAAGTCTTACTACTAATCAGAATATCTCTGGGGAATCACATGTTTCATTCTCCACTACCCATGTGATTTTCTTTCACATTTAGTCAACCGAGCGTTTTATTTTTTTTTCCCTTTATTCTCTCTCAATGGTACCCAAACTGTCTCAAGCTTGGCGACCGCGTCAATGTGGGCTCCTCTTTGTTGGTTGACCATGACCCTGGAGTCACTGACTTTTTCATGATTCCAAATTCTTCTTCAATTTCAGCCGCGGATGGTACAAGAGTTTTCCCCCGTTCCACTTCTTCTATCCATGAATTGATCTCATATCCTTGCAGGGTAAGAAAATAGTAGATTCGATTAGCTTGTTCGCAGATTCTAGCATCATTCCGGTGCCAAATTCCATGTTGTATCAAGGATTTTAAATCGGTTCTAGTATCTTCAATGTATATCCTCATACAACATCTATGATGTTTCTTCACTATCCTAAACACCATCTCATAAAAGGTAACTTTCGTAGCGACTCCTGTACTGATATTAACAGCCTTGGCTATCATTGGGATATATCCTAGATAATCATTACAATTTGATTCATTACAAATATGTTTCAACAATAATTGTAATTTGAACTCTTGATCTCTGTTCTTCAACGCATGCATCCCTAATTCTAAGTTGCATACCACTCTGAATATTGTATTCTGATTAACAACATTAGGGGTTGAATTCCAACGAGTGAATGTTTCTTCTATTTTAGAATTATCTCGAGTACGATACTTCCATTGATTCCAACAATATGTCAACACCATACACATCAATAGATGTCTAGTCAAGTCCCCACTTTCATCCAAAAGATTGAATATATCTCCAGAATCAACCATTGATTGTATGAGTACATTGAAAGAAGTTAGATAATAGTTTGGATTGTCCGGACTTGTGGTTCCAATGGACAATATGGAAACAAGTGATATCGATCGGAATATATTAGGCGTACTATTTGTGGATGATTCATTTAATGCCATTGCCTTATACTCGTTAATACACTTATCTGCTTCATAAATGGTTGCAAATTCAGTTCTTGGTACTTCCAATCTGCCTTTTAAGAGTTCCAATAATCCAAACTCTTTGTAAATTTTCAAATCGTGAGCCTTGAATGATTGACACACATCATCTTGAATGGAATATAATTCATTAAAATTATATGTAATTTTCTTCGAACTGGGAATTTGAATTGGTGTAAATTCGTTATTTAAATATTTGGTGATTGATCCACCAGTGAATTCTCCCGAAGTTAAGTCTGGTTTCACCACTAATAAGCGATCGAATTCGTAGGGTTTTTTCTCTGGTTTCAAATGTAATGGTGATAATGGTGGGATATTTTTCAAATCTAGATTATCAAATACTTTGGTTGATATCTTTATTGATGGAGAAATCGATCCAGAATCTTCACTATATGTTTCATCGGGGGCCCCCTCTTGAGGTATATCTTCTTTCAAACAGCAAGTACTTGGTGGTTCCATTTTCTCTGTTACATGATTTGTCAAATGGTAGCTTGGTTGTTGTTGTTGTTGGTGTTGTTCCTGTTCGATTGAATTAATGACATCGGACAGGTTTTGACTATTCCGGAACGATAGAGAATATTCTCTTGCAGCAAAGAAAACACCTCCCAAGATAATGGTAAACATCACCAAGAGAAGGAATATATAAAATGTGTTTGCTAATAAATCCTCTTCTGTGTAAATTTTAGCAAGATCCACGGGAGTTGTATCACCAAGAATCCAGTCGGTTCCATCTCTACGAGACAATTGATGCATCTCATCTATTTCTAACTCGAACCCTTGGCCCACCCAGAAAACCGGGGAGTTTATAACAGCCTCAGAATCTTTTACACTATGTGTACTAAAGGGGAAAGCCATTAAAATCTAGTGTAAAGAAAAGAAAAAAAGAGTTCTACTGAAGGAAGGGAGGGCCATTCTTTGAATGTAATTGCTGCAAATTATAACCACAAAAGCACGCGCAAAAGAAAAATTGCTGCAAAATTCAAATAAAAAATATATATATAATAATAATAATAATAATAATAATTATATCGCCACTCTATGAGACGCTCCGCTAGCCCCTGATGGGGGGATCGACTACATGGTGCCTAGCTACTCTACAAGGAGACCCTAGTAGCATTGAATTCCTCGTTAGAGGAAGAGGGCCCCCACGGCTAGTGCCCCACGGAGTGCCAGCGGAGCGGCTGGCTAATCCCGTAGGGTTGTGAGATGTCCCCTACCCTGTGGGATTATATGACACTCCCCTGGGCTATGTTTGAGGAGATCCACTGTGTAGTTCTTAGAAGGATTTTGAGAAAAATTTTACATTGGTAATTTACTCTCTAATTTTTGAATGATTTCTCTGAATATTCTTTATTGTAAAAAAATAATCGTAAAAGCCATTAATTTTAAAAATAAGTTACATCCAGAATACCCCCACGGTAGTGAAAAGCTTACAACTCGGGAACATACCCACAGAAACATAATCTCTATATTCTTATAAATCTTAGCTAATCATTTCTGACCAACCATCTTCTTCCTTATCATGCTTACCACTTTGTCCTGCATCAGTCCACTCATCCAAACACCAAATGTGCTCGTTCCCGTCACGTGCACATCCTGCACACCCACCCAAACATCATGCTATATTACTAAGGTGGATGAAACCTCTCTTGATTACCCCCATATTCAAACTATCATTTAGTGTTGGGGTTCTACCATGATTTCCAGATCCAGATGTTTCTTCTCGAGAAACTCATCGGTGCTTAGTGCCCTCCGATTGAACAAGATTTCTCAGAAATGTATGACACCTGTGAGATCATCACAATTCAATTATAAATCATTTTTTTCCAGTCGTAGTTATTCCAACATTGGAGGTGGTGTTCGTTCTGAATCCTCGGTGGCAACTTTGGCAACTAAGGCTGCCCCCATCGCTAATGCGGGTAAAAGTTCACCCACCATATCCTCGAACGCTGTTGGTTGGTGGCTTATTGGAACCTCGGGATTGGTGTTTGGTATCGTTGTACTTGGTGGGCTTACTCGTCTTACTGAATCTGGATTATCTATCACCGAATGGAAACCAGTCACTGGAACTATCCCTCCACTTAACCAAGCCGAATGGGAGCTTGAATTCGCCAAGTATAAGGATTCTCCTGAGTTCAAACAACTCAACTCTCATATTACTCTTGATGAATTTAAATTCATCTTTAGCATGGAATGGGGTCATCGTTTAGTTGGAAGAACCATTGGTGTATTGTTTGTGTTGCCTGCCCTTTACTTCTGGACCCTGCGTAAACTTAGTACGCATGTCAAATGGAAAGTGGTTGGCTTGACTGGTCTTCTTGGGCTTCAAGGTGCCATTGGTTGGTGGATGGTCAAATCCGGGTTAGATGAAGAACAATTGGCAGAACGTAAGTCCAAACCTACTGTGTCGCAATATAGATTGACCACCCATTTGGGGGCTGCCTTCTTGATGTACTTGGGTGTATTATGGACCGGGTTTGAGATTTTGAACGAAAATAAATGGAAGAAAGCTCCAGAACAAGCTCAAAAGCTCTTTGCTCAATTAAACAACCCTGCATTGAATAGACTTCGAGGTATTGCTACTGCCTTGCTTGGATTAACCTTTTTAACTGCCATGTCCGGAGGAATGGTTGCCGGGTTGGATGCTGGGTTGATTTATAATACTTTCCCTCATATGGGTGATGATTGGATCCCATCCACAGGGGAATTGATGTCTCCTGTGTTTGCTCGTCTTTCAGACGAGCTGGACAAATGGTGGAGAAATCTTTTAGAAAACCCAACTACAGTGCAATTAGTCCATAGAGTATTGGCCACTTCCACTTTTTTCTCAGTCTTGGGACTTCACATGTATGCCGTTAGACATAAGGCCATTATCCCCAAGACTGCCCAAAGTATGGTTCACACCATGATGGGCTTTGTTTCGTTGCAAGTTGCCCTTGGTATTACCACCTTAATCTACCTCGTACCAATCCCATTGGCTGCTGCCCATCAAGCTGGTGCACTTGCCCTTTTAACCACAGTCTTGGCCTTTTGTTCTCGTTTGAAAAAACCAAGACAAGCTACCTTGCAACTTATCCGGACCATGGCTAAGAAGTAGAAGAGTAAAGCAATATAAATAATTAATACGGGCTGGGGGAGAGATCATTCCTGCCAGATCGTGAATAAACTTGTAAATAGTACTATATACTTTAGATATGTTTGTAAATAGAATGTAAATTTATTTTATTATGAATTGAAAGCATTAGTTGTAATATTATCTACCAGATCCTCTTACTTGACATCTTGTATCTCATCACCTTGCCCAACTTATCATCCGTTGGTTCATCGGAACTTTCTGCAAACATCTTATTACGTTTTTCTTCCACGGTTAGGGGAACTTTTTCGTCATGATCAAAGAGATAGGAGCGGGTGTTTGGGTTGATGGAGGAAGCCTCTGTATTTGGTACCCCGGGAAGAAAAGAGTCATGAAGCGGAGATCGTGGCGATTGTGGGGTTTCAGACGGCAGGGTTATTGGTGTAGACCAAGGGCCTGACCGACCAGAAGATCGTGGAGACGGTGTGTGGGTGGTGGAAGAAGTGATTCCAGGAGTAGGAGAAGACGTGGAAGAAGAGTCTGGCACCGCAGTTTGAGTATCAACTTGAGGAAGAGTTTCTGAAATTGTCATCAAACTTGATTGATAAAGTTGATTTTTCACTTTAATTTTGTTGGCCCATTTAAGAATCACTAGTCCTAAAATAAGACGAGTAAGTAGAAGTATAGCAAAGGTAACCAAGCAAAGAGAGAGCGAAATCACAAACGAATATAGTTTTGATGGTGAAGACACCAAAAAGATTTGCTTAAGATCGGGAAGAGTCATTCTGAGGAAACAAACAATGGTGGCAAGAAGGGGTAACCCTATTCGACGGGTCAATACAATGTAATCACTTAAATTCCCATTCACAGAAGGAGTTGTGGACCCGGACCCGGACCCTGACCCGGACCCTGACCCCAGAGAACTGGTTGCCTGGAAAACTTCCAAATAATCCAAACTTAAAACATATGCAAAGTTCAGATAGACTCTTGGTCTGATCATATTAAACTTGGAAATATAACAATGTTTGAGCCAATCAACAAAAATCTCACTCCCTATGACCACCACGCCAGGTCCAATTATGGCGCCTAGCCAAAGGTTCCAACTAGTCCAACTATTTGGGATTAGACCGGAATGCACCAGACTAATTTGAACAAGGTTTCTCAAGGCAATAATGCCAAGCATCAACAGAAGTTGGAACCTTTCCGTCAAGTCGGCCATGGCAATCTGGAAAAGACCTTCTCTTTCGAATTTTTTAAACACGGACAGTTTCAACTCGGCGAATTGATTGGAAAGAAGAAGCGCTAAGAGGGCATTCAGATATGAATTTGCCGCCACATTAAGCAGCACAGCCTGATAGACTAGAATATAGCCATGACAGGTGAGATAAATGGTGGAAAGGATAAAGAAAACCACAAGCTTAGGGTAATTTACCGAAGGTCCAGAGATCTTGATCCGATATAAGATGTGAAGAATATCTTGACCAATGGTCAGGAAAAGCTTATCAGCCACTTCGAGCACCCCAAACATGACATACAACTTGATGTGGGCCAGGCCACGGACGTCGTGGTAGAGTCTTGATATGTCAAAGCCTGGGAGAGAAAGAATTGACACTGCCAAGGCGATAAGAACAAGGGTATAAAGATCTCTTTTGATGGTGGCTAGTCGGCCAGCCCAGGCGTTCCAGGGGAGTTGTTCCATGGTGGCTTGGGTTATCACCACTATTATCTTGAGAGGAGCCAACGTGAAGAGGGTAAGTAACGAATTGAGGCATATAAGAAGCCCAAAGGCCATGAACAGTTCCAAATACATTGGAATTTTCACGAGATTATAGATCTGTTCCAAGGACCGATCTGATTCTGAATCCGACATCCCCAGCCCAGATAGGTGGTCTTGCGTTGTAGTTGTTGCCGAGGTTGTCTTGGGTAGGTTCAATTCGACTTTCAAGAGCCGGTATAGAGAGATTAGTCCATCATTATGTCGTTTCAATGCTGGAGGATTGGTAATAAATCGCGAGATGAATGAAGACGATCTTGACCGTGCATCTTTGACCTGATCCGAATTCGAACTAGCACGCGACGCAGACCTCGACCGGGAGGCTGCCCTCGCACCAGATCTAGAGCGTGGAGTCATGGTTTAATACAGTTGGAAGTCGGTGAAGTATGTTGCCAAAGTCTAAAAAAAAACTATAGGTTACATGTCAGCCTGCACAAAACACTCAGGGATATGGCGAAGAGTGGGAGTGATCAAGTGACCCATTGTAACCCTCCCATACATTGAAACGCCCCCCTATATTAGTATAATTAACCTAGCCTACTACTCTACCAGAACCCGCTACTACTCACTCCGTTTCAAGCCGACAAAACTTGAAACCAATTGATCTTTTATATTATGATTCTCCTTACTATAGACGCTCTCCTCTCGCTTCTAGCACCTCATGCTAATAAGGAGAACTTGAGCCCCACAGATGCCTCCAATGTTCAACTTTTGATCACCGAGCTCTTGACAGATCATCACGTCGATCTCCCGTTGTTGAAGTTTCTCAGTCGATTCCTTACCCCACAAGCCTATGATGAAATAGTCGAGGAAAGAAATATTGAGCACTTATGCGGGTACATAGTATGTGACAGCTCACCACGTCAACCGGCTCGTAGGTTTTCCGCTGGGACCCACACTTCAGTGACAGTCCCCGGTGGCTCCTCCGATGGCTCAGGAGCATCCTCAGGGAGCACGTTCCAAATCTACAACCGGAAACCGTCAATCATTCTTCCCAATACCTATCGATCGCAGTATTGCTGTAAGGAGCATTACCAGGCGCTGCTTTTTTATCTGAACCAACTTTCACATGAGGCGGTCTTTGCCAGGAAGCATATACTTAGTGCGCGTCCATTCCCCGACAATTACCCTGCCACGTGGTATGAGAACGGCATTACGTGTCTCGAGGAGGTTCTTGCTAAACACCGAGAACTTCGTGACCAAGGTAAATCTCTTGGTGATATAATTCTGATGATGAATGGTTTATCCGTGGTAGATACCGCCGCAAGCACCGGTGAGACTCGTGACTTGGTCCAACTTCTTCAAGACTTTGATATTGTCGAGAAAGAAGGTGGCATTCAAGGGGAAGAAGAAGATTCTGAGGAGCAACCCGAGTCAGCCCAGGAGAGTGCTCGTGGGATTGATGGTTACGTCACTACAGACCGCTGCTACGGCGGTTATGTTGTGTAAGTTGGAGTCCAATTTCACTAGGACGAACCCTACACTTCCGCATTTGCATGTCTAATGACTCATGACTCGATTTCTTTATACATATTGTACACTCTATAAACGTTTTTTTACTGTTAACACGATGTCGAAGGACTACCGGACAACTGTAATGTCTTAACTGTAGTCTTCCTCTACTAGCGGGGAAGCTCCTTATCATATTTGTGGCCCCATTGGAAACCCCTTATTCCATTTTCTTCAAGGTAATCTCCCAACTGTTTCCCTACACCGTTTCTTTCTCGCTCAGGAAGTGATAAACGGTTCTTCTTCATTTTCTTGCGTTCTTCTCGAACTACAAGGTTTCTAAGATTCTGCTCTACTTTCTCACCATTGACAATCTCTCCGTGTTTGAATACCGAGTTATTGACCAAGCTAGACTCTAACCGTTTCCCACGTTCAACGAGTTTATCATAATGAATATTCATGTCCTTCTGCAACTCTTTTTGTTGAATGAAAAGTGGAGAATCTCGTTGAAGTTGTTTCCTATAATGGTTGAAATAATTTTGAAGTTCTTTATCAATCGTATCACTAGCATCATCCAACACTTGCGTCCATGAATGAAGATGTTGAGCAAAGTTGTTCAGATTATCTTGCTGCCATTCCCATAAGGCTTCCCATTCTGCCCATTCTTCGTAATGCACTCGTGGGAACATTCTTTCTTCAGAACTAAACCCTTTACTCCCCACCACGACAAAGCTCCCGTCCCGCGCTTGCAGTTCAGTGATACTTTTGTCCTTTCCCGATGTTGCATTCCACACAGTTTTCAATCGGATTAATCGGGTCAGACGTTTGATATCCATGGCGATTTCTTTCAATTCGTCCAATTGAGGGAAGGGGACCTCTAGGTATGCCATCAGCATGGGCCCAGCTTCAGTGGTGCGGACATTGACCCGGAACGGCCCTCGGTCATTCAAGATTCTTTGAAATCTTGGAAGATAATGCATTTTGTTGATATCGTATGCTAATGAAGGCTTGACCACAGCCTCGATGTACTCCCAATCGTATGCCTGGCGGAGAACACTCATTCGCACCGAGCCACGCATAAGAAGCGAACTTCTAACCATGTTATGCACTGGACCCAAGGGGTATTCTTGAGTGTAGGGTAAAAGGAATGGGTTTGGGATCTTGTGATGCAATTGTAGTTGTTTGAAATACCTTTGAATGAGTAGTTTGGAGTTGTGAGCACTCTTTTCAAGTTCCTGTTTAATTCGTTTGGCTTGTTGGTTTCTTGTGAGTGTGCCAAACCGCGATGATATTACCCTTTGATCCTTCTTTGTGACCTGCTCCGTTTCCAATTTACCTTGTAGTTGCTGTGCTCGTCGTTTTTGTTCCTCATGCTTACGCTGACGGTATTTAACAAGGGTTTCCATCACTGGTACCACGGTAGTGCTCTTATTATTCAATGCATCCAAATTCTCATCCAACTCAATTCCCTCCATTAATCGTTCTCTCATTATATTCACATTGGTGACTCCAATAGACCATTTCCCGGTTCTAAACTCTACCTGAACTGCTCTCATAAGTTCAGCTCGGAGATACGAAAGGTAGAGCTTGGTATCAGTATTATATTTTCTTATTTCCTCCTTCAATGCAAAACCTTTAACCACCTCAGACTCCATTCTTGGATCCATCTCTTTCACATTATCGTCTATTTTGCCACAGTTCCGTCGAAGACTCCTATACAACGACACCACCGCTCGTCGATGGGCATGTTTGTAAGTCACCTTCATCGTTAATATACCAGTAAATACCCTCTCTTTATCAGATCTAAAATGCATTCAACTAGACCCATCCATATCGCGATTGTGTACACTCCCCCCGCTACAAAGGCCCTTTTCCGAATTAATCAATACCAAGTAAGGTTAACCCACGACCTTCCCACTCTACAATCTATTCATCTACAATGGTATGTATCCCAGCTTCCCCACCTATCCATTCTCTTCCATTTCTTACTAACGATTCAAGCCCCCAAAACTTAAAGCTAAACCAGTTCTTGTCACGATCCTCAAGTTCAAACGCAAGAGAACAACCTACTCCATTCCTTTCAATCTATCCGAGAAGAAGGTCACATTAGATTGGTTCATTTCCACCCTTAAAGACACAATCGAGAGCTCTGGTGGGTTACAAGACGACAATGACACCACCGAGCTTGGCGAAAATAACTTGGAAAATGAAGATGACCTTGACATTGAAATACCCAAATCTGAACTCATTGACGAACCAGAGCTTGAACTTTCAGAACCAACCCCTGAAACCCTCACACCTGCCCCAGCTTCAGCCCCACTCATCCAGAGTAAATTAAAACTAGCCATTGCTAAGGACAAAACTGCCCCATACGATAACAATTGGGTGGAACTTACTACGGATGATCAACTCTCAGCAATCATATTCAATGACTATGATATTCTTGCCTTTAGTTATGATGACGAACCTTTCCATATAGTCGAGGCTGCATACGATGAACCCCAATAGACCCTTAAAAAATAACAGTTCTACAATTTACATATCTATATCTAATTCTAATTCTAACAATACATTAAATCTATTTCTCCTATATTTTCCGCCCAGTCCCACTGGCTATCTTCTTACCAACTGGTGATTTGTGCAAATGCCCCGCCTTGGGTTGAATCCCTCCCGATGACGCCACTCTCGATGAACTTGATCTTGACTTGGGAAGCTTTATACTCCCATGTGGAGAATTCATGGGTGATGTATATGAATTGCTAGTGGTACGACTCTTTGTTACCAGAATCCCATTGTTCACAGATATTGATCTTAATACTTTCCAATCACTTCCAGTATTAGATTCATTCCTGCGTGGAGGACTTTGAATCTCTACTGATCCATCATATCTGGTTTCCTTTTCTTCATCACTATTATTATGAATCTCAGAATTGGTTGGATTCACTGGTTCATCGTCATCTCGTTCATTATATTTTCTTGGTTGACCTGGAGATTCATTTGGTACGGCTGTTTGAATCTTGGCAGCTAATGCTCCACTAATCTTTCTCCTTCTAATTGGGGTTTGGAATGACAGATCAAGATGACTAAGCGATGAATTCACTTGTTGACTATGTTGTAATTTCCTTTGTTTGGCTTCTTGCTTTAATCTATGTTTAAATTCTTCATACAGAGTAAGAGAATATAATCCTCCAATAAATTCATCTGGACGATTGTCCAAACACATGGTATGTCTCCAATCTCTGAAATCATTTTGATGTAAATATAACCAATGTTGCTGTGGTCCAACAACCATTCCTGGACGTACCATTCTCATATATCCAATACATTCATTAGCAGTAAATCCATGGGTATAGATTAAATGTGCTCCAATTAAACATCCAGTTCTCCCCAATCCTGCCTTACAATGTACGGCAATCTTACCTCCTTTATTAATAACACATTCAGCAGCTCCAATGAACTTATGAACGTATTCCAACGTTGGACATGTCCCATCATCAAATATCATATCGATATGTTGAATTCCTCTCTTGGTAAATTCTTGGGCATCATATAAATGAGAATTTAATCTAACCACAAGTTGAACATCATTAGCAATAAAATAATTAAGAACCTTTTTAAATGGTTCATTCAAAACGTTACCAGATTTTCTTGATTGTTGTGGAGATGCAAATGCTATAAAATCTTTGGAGATAACATTGAAATCTCCTTGATCAACTCTTTCATATTGTTCATATTCTTCCAAATTGAAGCTTGTTAAGTCAACCATTCCTCTTTCCTTGGCTCTCCACATCCCATAGACTACGTCTTGAATGGTAATTTCAAAATCAGCATTAGAGTATCCAGCATCTCTAAAACTTTGAAGTGGAGGATCAATTTGAGAAATAGGTTGTAACACTTGATGAGGCAGCCATGATTGAACAAGAATCATGTAGCAACAAAGCAAACATGCAGCGTTAGCTCTTTCCTTGGGTGATGTGGTACTGTACAACACGATAGCCTTACCATGGTTAGATTCTTCGTTCAAAATGTTATGTAAAACTACTGCAAAACGATATAAATGACCGATATGTAAAGGACCGAAATCCAAATGGAATGCATTAAAGGGGAGTGCTTCCTCCACCGTGAAATAAACCAAATCTTGTGTATCAGTTGGTGTGTAATCATAAGCACCGAGATAGATTCGATCTGGAGATTGTTAGTAAAACGATAAAAAAGGAAAGTTGGCGGCTCAGTAAAAATTGTTAGCGATCAACTAGAGGCGCCATATATCATACATACTCTTCAAGAACTCGACTAGGGGTATAATAGACTTGGGCATGGTGTTCTAGATCTGTGTATGCTTTTTTGTTCTTCTTATTTTTTTCTGATCTCTTAGCTTTATCTGGTGAGTAGTGGATAAACTACTACTTTCTCTTCTTCTTCCTCTATAGCAATGAGAAGTACACAAGAAACTCAAATCAGAATAATGATGGTAATAGCAACTTGACTGGGGTCAATAAGGCTCTCAAGATATGATGTAAACAGATCCGCAAAACAATCATCAGTGTCTTTGTTTTGGCTGTTTGTGTTGTTATTGTTTTGGAAGACTCGCACGACCGGGTGTCCTGATTTGTCCAAAAAAAAAAATAACAAGGAAGCCTTAATTGCTGCAGCACGTCACGTGTGTAAGCGCGGGTGATCTGCCCAAATTAAAACACCTTGGATATGTGGAGGTTATTAAAGTAACAATAGAGGAATAGAAAGAATAGAACGAATAGTTTATATATATATAATATTTGACTAGATTCTTGACTTGGAATAACTATCTTTAAATTAAAGTTTTATTATGGTACGTTGAGATCTGTTTCTTTATTCTTTTTTTGATAGTTGAGGTGAGTCGGGTGGAGAGGGTCGCCATAAAGTTAGAATGAGAGTTTGCCAATGGTATGCCACTAGTTACGGGTGCTGCATCTTTGTGGAGAGTCTTGCTGGAATAATACTGGACGGGGCAACTTCTCGTGGACTTTCCAGATTTTAAATAGTCTTGCTTGTTTGTATATCATCGTACCTGTTGATTAAGGGATGAATTGATAAAGTTGAGCTGTATATCCAGAATGGAATTGCGAACATCTAAGGCGCTACCCTTTGGCTTTCCTTGCCAGTGGATTGGCCTGATAACTGCGCCAGGGGGGAGTAGGTGACAGGTCATCCTACAGGGTTTGCAAGTCGCTCCGCTGGCACTCCGTGGGCCATTAGCCGTGGGGGCCATCTTCCTCTTTTTTAAAGGAATTCGTTGCTACTAGGGTCTCCTCGTAGAGGAGCTAGGCATCACTCAGTGAGTCTCCCTGAGTATGGGTCAACGGAGTGACTTGAATAAGGTCGGACTACATGCTTCTCTACATCTTCCGGTGTACATAGAACCCCCTATTGTTCCCCAACGCTAGCTCCCAACCATTTCATCATGTCCATCTACTCATTTCAATTCCAACTACCTTTAATTTCTTCAACTAACAATTAGGCTCCTTCTTTATATACATTCACATCAGAGACTCTCTCTCAATTGCAAAAATTTCGTTTTGCAAGTGCTAGAGCATCCAAAATGCAGGCCATCATATGTATGTACCCTTTTACGATATACAAACGGAAGCTAAATGTTTACTAACAAATATAAAAGATGAAATCGATAAGGAATCCTACGAAGTGAGAAAGGAAGATGATGAAGTATATGACAACATCGAAGACCTCATTGAAGAGTTACCCGATAATAGTGCCAGATTCGTAGTGTTGTCATATCCATTCAAGTTACCAGATGGAAGATTAAAATCTCCATTGGTTTTAGTTTACTGGAGACCACCAACCAGTGGACAAGCAAGCAAGATGTTATATGCTGGCGCAGTAGAATTAATTAGAGACAAGGCTGGAGTATCAAAGTATGTATTAATAAGGAAGGAAACCGTTATAGAGACAATACTAACAATACAGATTAATAGAGGCAACTGAAGAGGAAGACTTTGAAGATTTAGAGAAACAATTACAATAGAGACAAGAGACAAATAATTTAATAAATCTAGGGATGAATAAATGTTCTCTCAAGGTGAATCGTAGATATAAAATTTAGGTTGTAGTGTTGGATAGAAGTCTCGTAGGCACATAAAATCAATCGTGAATAAATAATACCAATAAAACACTATGTATAAATAGAAACAATATACTACTTCTTGTTCATAAATCTACTATACTCCTTTAGTAAAATGTCTATAATTTAATCTTTGTGGTTGCAAAAGCAAAAAAAAAAAGAACAGACCTAAAAGACTACTCATCAAAGGGTGGTATTAACTTCACCAAGATCACACAAATTTATTGTACTGAAAATAAATTTTATAATTAGACACTAGAAATTTTAACTACAAGACTATGAGTTCTAGGTATTGACTCGTTGTACATCTTTCATCGGATCCCTTAATCATCTTTATGGTTAAACTACTAGTCTCAAATATACGCAGGCAAGAATATTTCAAACTGCATGGAATCGTGTCTCAACCATTAAAAGTGAAAAGTTTTCGCTTTCTGAAAATTTTCATGCTGGTCGCACTGCGAATATAAAAAGGCAACGAACTCCCAAAATGAAAGTTTTTTTAAAAACCTTTTCCTATCAAGAAAACTAATAATAATCAGTCAATATGGGTCGTATGCATTCTTCTGTATGTAACGAAAACTACCATGACTAAGCGCTATCATATACTTGATATTGGGAAGGATCGATTCGGTGCCTCGAGTTTTAATGGCTCGTAGTTACGGTGGTCTCTTCAAGAGTAGGTGATGAATATGCATCCCGGACGTATGTGCCTGGATAGCTTTATTGCCATTATATACGCTCTTGTTGATTGATACACTATTCTACGAGTTTCTCGGTGGAGAGCTGGTTGATGCCACTTTTATTGAAGTGTAGTGTTTCTAAAACTTGTGTCCTCTTTTATTTTGAAGTTTCAGGTCTTGAATGAGCATTCAATTTGGAATATAATGGAAAGCTGAGAACATCTTATCCATGATAAGATGAACCTATGCAAAAATTTTCCATTTCCAAAACTGGATTTTTCATCGCAAGGTCTTGAAGGAGAGAATTAATTTCCCTTTTAGGGAGATTATATATTAATCTACTTTGAATAAGGAGGACTTTAGAAATCGGTAGGGTTTTGTCAGATGCTTTGCATCTAATGAACCATTTACTAACATGTATTATAGGGTAAGGGTATTTCCTCTTCCGCCACTCCATACTCTAGAAACGCTCCAGCTTGGTTCAAGTTGACCACTGAAGACGTTGTTGAGCAAGTCATCAAGTACGCCAGAAAGGGTATGACTCCTTCTTCTATCGGTGTTATCTTGAGAGATGCCCACGGTGTTTCCCAATCTAAGGTTGTCACTGGTAACAAGATCTTGAGAATCTTAAAGTCCAACGGTTTGGCTCCAGAAATCCCAGAAGACTTGTACTTCTTGATCAAGAAGGCTGTCTCTGTCAGAAAGCACTTGGAAAGAAACAGAAAGGACAAGGACTCTAAGTTCAGATTGATTTTGATCGAATCTAGAATCCACAGATTGGCCAGATACTACAGAACCGTTTCTGTCTTGCCACCAAACTGGAAGTACGAATCTGCCACCGCTTCTGCTTTGGTTAACTAAGCTTTTTTCTTTTGTTTTAAGCTTTTAATAGTTGTTGTTTGTAATCAATCGATGGCGTAATTATATGAGATGTGTAGATTTTTATGAAGATTGGTTTAGATTCATAGTGTATGAATTTATCTAATAAATGTTGTCTCTGGGCGAAGAGACCGGAATGAAAAATGAATCATGTAGAAAGTAGAAAGAGTTGAAAAAATTGTTTACCACTTGTGAAGGGCCTACATTAAAACTAGGTGTAAGTATCCTCTGAGACTAGCGAAGAAAAAATTAAAGTAATCATCTTACTGTCAAGTTGCATGTTCTAGAAAACCTCCACAGACAATATGTGTTATTCTTCTCCAGATTAAATTGATTATTGACTCCCCTCCTCCACATCATCTTATTATTTACGAAATATTAAACTTGTGGTACAGCAAAAATGTCTTGGAATATGCACTTTTGTGTGGTAGTTTTTATTATGTGTAACATGCAAAGAGTGACTAAGAACACCAATCGTACATGGAATCTCCTCTTACGTATGAAACGTTCACTGAACAAGCTTGTATATCCACCAGTACTAGGGTCTATAGAGTTCCTGGTACAACTAAGTGGGTGCATCCCAATGCTAGGATGATTTTTTTACAAAAAACAAATCTTGCAAAGCTGTTTATCTTTGATGTGTATTGTTCATGCGGAGATAAGATTAATTCCGCGCGTGTGTAGGTGTTTTAGACTATTCCCTCATGCAAGGGTAAACTATATTAACCCTATATTATTACCATTTTAAAGCTCAATTGACTGCTGTTAGTGACTTTAAGTATACGGTGGATCAATTCTAAGAATGGTCTCTCTCCCCAATGATGAAAACGATGTATCATCATCTGTTAAAAGCAAACTCTTATCTATCAAGGAGTATGTCCAAGAGAATTGGAAGTACTTTGTCAGTGGATTGATTGTACTTTTACTTTCAATTGTCTTGTTATCATCCAATGCAGTGGGATATTTGAAGATTGCCCTTCAGCCAGTGGATGATGCGTCCATCTGCCCGATGCATGAACCCTTGGCCCCAGAATCCTTTTATCAAGATAATTCGACCGTTCTTGCCATTCTTCGTGATGAAGAATTCCGTTTGAAATCAGTTAAGAAATTGGCAGGTGCAGTTCAAATTAATACCACAGTCACTGACAATCAACCTGACGTTCCAGATGCTCCACAACTCTGGGAATCCTTTGGTGATTTCCACCTTTACTTACAATCCACTTTCCCCAAGATCTTCACTTTACTTGACGTTGACTATGTCAACACGTACGGGATTGTCATCCATTGGAAGGGCTCCAATAGTAACCTTAAACCCGTAATGTTGACTGCCCATCAGGACGTGGTTCCAGTACAGAAGGACACTTTGGAAGACTGGTCCTATCCACCATTTGAAGGTCATTATGATGGACAATATTTATATGGTAGAGGATCTTCAGATTGTAAAAACATATTGATTGCAATCTTGGAAGCCATTGAATTGTTAATTGAACAAGATTTCAAACCACAAAGAGGAGTATTGGCTGTATTTGGTTTTGATGAAGAGGCATCTGGCTTAAGAGGTGCCTTCAATCTTAGTAAGTATTTGGAAAAGAGATTCGGTAAGGATTCGATCTATGCTATTGTAGATGAAGGTTCTGGATTGATGAAAGATCAAATCACAGGACAAATCATCGCCATGGCTGCCACTGGGGAAAAGGGTTATGCAGACCTTAAGATTGACTTGACCACCCCTGGTGGACATTCTTCTGTTCCACCTGACCACACCTCGATTGGATTAATGTCAGAGGTTGCATACTTGATGGAAAATGATAAGTATGAACCCATCTTGTCGGCCAAAAACCCAATGTTGAAGTATATCCAGTGTTTGGCTGTTAACACTGGGGATAAAATCCCCAAGATGACCAGAAAGGCTATCTTAAGAGCAGGATTTGATAAATTGGCAAACAGTCTTTTGGTTAAATCCTTTTCGAAATCGCCTCTTACTCGTTATTTGATCTCAACCTCTCAGTCAATTGATCTTGTTCGAGGTGGAGAAAAGGCAAATGCCTTACCAGAGGCCATAACTTTAGTTGCCAACCACAGGGTGGCAATCGAGTCTAATATTCAAGAAACAAAAGATAGATTTGTTTCTAGAGTTCAGATTGTTGCTGAAAAATATGGTTTGGGATTGGTTAGCTTTGGTAAGACCATTTTGGAACCAACTGCGAAGGGTACATTTGAAATAGATTTCTTCAGTCATGCCTTAGAACCGGCCCCAGTTTCACCATCAGATGATACAGTTTGGAAATATCTTGCTGGAGTTACAAGACATGTTTTCGAAGACTTGGTTTTCCCTGATTTGGACTATCCTCTTGTTGTGGCCCCAGCTATTATGCCTGCAAACACCGACACAAGATATTATTGGAATTTGACTAAGAACATCTACAGATATACTCCAGCATACTCTGAAGATGTGATGAAGGAAAATCACATACATAGTGTTGACGAAAGAGTTAGCGTGGATGCACATTTGGAAACCCTTGCCTTTTTCTATGAGTATGTCCAAGCCATCAATACTCCAGACGCTGACAATTCTTAAATATATCAATAATAAAAATATGCTTTCTATTTCTTTTTTACCAATGTAGTCTAATATAGGGAAAATCTGTATGAATATGAATTATCAGTGGAAGTCTAGTATATATTTGTATGAAGATGCTAGCCATACCTTTGAATAGATATTGATACTCCAACTATATCTCTATCATAATCATTCCTGACAACAAAAAATATTAATAAATATTTGCCTACATCATTTTGAACCATATCTAAAACCTCTAATACTACAGAGTTTTGAATATACAATCTTTTACTTCTTCATCATTCAACTAATAATGTCTATCTTTCCTGTTCTTGTCTCCGCTCCGCTATCTTCGCGATAACAAAATTCGCACAAATATAAACTACCACTGAAAACATAAGTGACCCAATTTATATACTACTTTTTTATAGTTGACATTCCAATTCTAATCCCAGTCCTCATGGGTGCACGATTATCCTTGTTGGCCCCATCCGCGCCCACAATTGCCGTATCCTCGTACGTCGATGTTTTAAATGGTGTCCAGTACATTGAGGTTGTGAATAACTCGCGGTTTCTTAAAACAATTAAAGCCGTTGATAAAACTTCAGGCTGTTTAATAATTATTAAGATTCTTATCAAGCCAGCTGGTAACAGTGCAATCAACTTACATGATGTTGCCGAGTTACTAGCTAAGGAGTCGTCCATTTTGGCCGCCCCTATAGCTTCAGTCCTTCCCTGGAGTAGAATCATTGAAACCGATCGGGCTGGTTATTTGATCCGTCAACATTTAAAGACAAACTTATATGATCGTTTGTCACTCCGACCATTTCTTGAACCAGTGGAGAAGCTTTTCCTAGTCTATCAGATGATCCGGGTGGTTCGTGACATCCACCAATTGAAAATCCATCATGGTGATCTTCGTTTAGAAAATTTCCTTGTCACCCTGTGGAACTGGCTTATGTTGACTGACTTTGCCACTTATGTGAAGCCTACATTCTTGCCCGAGGATAATCCTACAGAATTCCTGTTCTACTTTGACAGTTCCGGTCGAAGAGTCTGTTACCTTGCCCCAGAACGGTTTTACCCTCTGGTTGCAACTGGCCCCACTCAACAGAATAATATGAGCGATGACGGTAAATATAGTGGCCGAGACGCCCTAACCGATGAAATGGACTTATTTTCCCTTGGATGTGTGATAACAGAACTATATATGGAGGGAGAGCCAATGTTTACATTGTCACAATTGTTTAAATACATGAGAGGTGAATATACACCTGACCTTCTGTCAGTGGGGGATCCTAAAATTAAACAAATTATTCTTGCATTAACCTCGCTTGACCCTGAGAAGAGAACAAGTGCAGCAGAACTTTTAGAGCTGGATGTTTTCCCCTCATTCTTTGGTGACTTCTTGTACGATTTTATGGCTGGTTTGAACAATAATGACACTTTCATGGTACCTATGGGCAATGACAATGTTTGCGCCAGTGACTTGAAGGTGGATATGATATATGCAAGGGTAATAGCTGCTCTGGCGAAGACAGTGGGTCAATCAACTACAAACACAAGCGCATATGTATTTGATGGGTCTGTTGAAGCTGCAGGACTGCTTATACGGCCTCATAACCCACTGGCTTTGAAAGAATCTCCTTCTGACCATTCAAGGCGAAATATTGCAAATGATGACATTAATCTGGATCGAAATTTTCAGAAATCACCCTCTGCCCTTCCACTCAAATTGAATCTCCCTGGAGGCCCAACTAATTACACCATTTCACCAACTCCAACAATTACATCCGCATCTTATGATTACCCATTGATCATTTTAAATATTATATTTTCTCTCCTCAAAACTATGAGGCGACCATCCTCAAAGCTTAAGGCATGTGAACTTATTCTTTTACTTTCAGAACGAATTACCGATGAATGTAAATTGGATAGATCGTTGCCATACTTGTGTTATATTCTAGATGAGTATATTGAAGGAACAACAAACGCAAATAATTCCAATTCAAGTACTATCGGTGCTTTTTCCTCGGATTCAACTTCCCTGGTTTCCACCACGGTTGCTTGTTATGCACTCAAGGCCATAACAACTCTTTTAATGTCATGTACACGAATTACTCCATTAAACGCACTTCTATTTCCAGAGTACATCCTTCCAAAACTTTCAAATCTTTTGAATATTTCTAGCTCATCAGGTGAAGAGAAAATTTTGGTTAGAACTACCATAGCTACATGCTTGCCTCAATTGGCATTTGTTGCAAAGAAATTCTGGACAATTTCTAAAACATTTGACAATGAACCTTCACATTTTCTTCATGATACCAATATTGATTCAAATAATAGCTTTAGTATTTCTAAAGAGCAATTGGATGAAGATTTTGAATATTTGGCACTTGCCCTTTTGGTTGATTCGAATCCATTGGTTAAAATTAATTTGGTTGATAATATTCTCCCTCTATGTGAGTACTTTGGAGTGGATAAAACAAACGATTTAATCTTGCCTCATCTTATTACGTATTTAAATGATTCAGATACTCAATTGAGACTTTTCTTCTTGGATAGTCTTGTTGAACTCAGTCCATTTATTGGGGTTTTGGCCTTTGAGCAATACCTATTGCCACTTCTTATTCAAACCCTTTGCGATCAAGAGCTTTTTGTGATATTGAAAGTGTTGGAGATCTTTTGCAATGTCATAAAGAACAGGCTTATCAATCCAAATGCCGAATTCAATGCATTGAATATGTACAATGAAATCCTTACAAATTGTGTACATTTGATATTACATCCAAATGAATGGGCCAGACAGTCTGTTCTAAATGTAATACTTGCCGTTAGCGATAACTTAACAGATGCAGAAAGGTACTGTTTTCTTTTCCCGCTCATCAAAACATACTTATCGTATGACGTTACACAATTTACTTGGAATACCCTTTACCCTTGTTTGACAAAGCCACTCACAAAACCTGTATTTGAGTTGGCGATCACTTGGAGTATTCAATCTACTGGGAAATCATTGTTTTGGAAACAATCATCATTCACCAAGTCTGTCAAAGGTATGGCTCGTTCTGTATACGCGCCAAACAAGGAAGTCACTTTTACAACCTCTAATGGTAGAAATTCTACAGTCCCACTCTCTCCAGAAGATAAACAATGGCTTTTCAAATTAAAATCGGTAGGGTTGGAACATAGAGAACTTTGGAAGATATTTGTTATGAGAGATTTCATATATCGACTTAGTAGAGCCAAGTCAGGTACCAAACTCCTTAATCATTTCCCTCTGGTTGATATGATTCCCAGGAACATTTTCTTTGAGCTATTTTACAAATCAGAGCCTATAGGAAGTAGTACAACGGAAACAAATGTATTGACCAAGGAGAGGAGAGATTCGAATTCGTTACTTTTACCAAACTTTGGCAAGGTTAAAGCATCTGTACAAACAGTCCAAGCCAATGTATTTGCAGAATTGGACAATGAAACACATCCGCATAATCATAACTCTTATGGACAGGCGCCTGTACAAGGTCAAGGAAATAGCCATGGACATAATAAAGTATTCAGTGTGAACAATGAAAAGGTGATCACTGCGAATATTCGTCACAGTTACTCTGGTTATAATCCATATATGCTTAACTACCTTCATTCACGGGAATTCCAACCATCTATTGATTCCTTCTCTGAATTTGGACCCTTAATTAAAACATCACGGATAGGATCAACACAACCGGATTGGAAACCTAAAGGTATTTGTGTTGCACAAATAAATACTAATGTAGGGAATGATATTGACGGTATAACTTGTTTGGCCATGTGTGATACCAAAGAATTTTTTGTTACTGGATCAGAATCTGGATTATTAAGGGTTTGGGATTGTTGTAAGCTTGAAAAGAATGTTATTGTGAAAAATGCAAACCTTGTATTGACTATGGGTGCAAGAATTACTTCTATCAAATTTATTCCAAGACGTTATGTATTTACTGTTACCACTTCTGATGGGTATGTTCGACATTATCGAGTAGATATAGTCCGCGGGAAATCTAAAAAGATTATCAAATACAACAAATGTGCTTTGATACGTGAGTACCATCTTCCTATTGCTGAACAAGGGTATTTCATTTCATGTGAGTATATGGTTGGTGCATCTAAAGCACTTCTTGTGGGGATTACATCTACTGGGAAGATAATTGGACTTGACATTATCAAGATGGAGAAAGTATTCGAAATGCAAAACAGTTTGCTTCATGGAACCCCGACTAGTTTTGTCGTTGATCGTCAACTTTGTTGGTTGCTTGTGGGTACTAACAAGGGGGTTCTCAGTCTTTGGGACTTGCGATTCGAGACATTGGTGAAGTCTTGGGAAATTTGCACTGACAGTACGGGTGAAGGTTCCGGGCTCCCAATAAAGCAGCTAGTTAATGTACCATCTAAGGATCCCAAACAACCGTACCATGTGGCAATTATAGGAGGTACTGGCGAATCCGATGTCTCTGTATGGGACATGACTTCATTTCAATGTCGCCAGGTTTTCAGCTCATACGTGACAAATCCTCATGTGAAAACATACCAACTTAAGGAAATAGATAATCGTCCTGAATCGACCATTAGTAAACTTCTCAAGAGTATTGACATAGACGATGAAGCCGATGAAGGAAATCAGCAGGTAACAGCTCGTGATAGTATGGCATGCATACTGGGGGTGATATCTGAACGGTACCTTTTGAGTGCAACATCAGATAAACGTATCATTTACTGGGATACTCAAGATCCAGTATCATCTGTGACTTTGAATAAACCAGACGGTCAAGCCGTACATTTCACTAACCGAGCTACCAATCGTGGTCTCAATCTCGTAAATGAACGGTTTGGAGAAAATAAGAATGTACATGTAGGGCCAAAGTCTACTGCCCATCAAGATACAATAACAGGATTGGCTACAGGAAATATCCCCTATGATTTGGTGGTCTCCACTGATCGGAACGGGAATATTCATTTATACATGTAAATTTACTACAAGAATATATTAATTAATATTATAGCTTAATATCTTTTAGATAATTATCGTATTTTAAATCTGGTACTTGTATAAATCTTATACAAGTTATCTGCCGCCGCGCGAACCGTACATTTCTCTTTTATCTCGGCTAAACATCCTTACACCAGAACCGGCCGAAAAAACATCCATACATCACGAAAATATGCAGAAGAAACCCACACACCCAGCCATAGGGTGGAATGAAGAGGCAACCTATCCTAAAGAATACTTAAAGTGGAGTGTCTCCTTAAATATATTTTTTTTGTATCTACACAAACATATACATAATGCCATTTGACGACGCTAAGGGACTTGCCATTGCCATAGAAGAGGCTAGAGCCGGTACGTAGGGAAAACAGGTGTTGTGGAGGAATACCAGAACAAAAAAAAAAAAAAATGAAGAACAACGATGAACTAACAAATAGGTATGAAGGAAGGAGGTGTTCCAATCGGGGGAGCCTTGATCAGCGAGGATGGAACTGTTCTTGGTAGAGGACACAACATGCGTTTCCAAAAGGGATCTGCCATTCTCCACGGTGAGATGTCTACCCTTGAAAACGCCGGCCGTCTTGCTGGTTCCGTGTACAAGAACTGTACCATGTACACCACATTGTCTCCATGTTACATGTGTTCTGGAGCCTGTGTAATGTATGGTGTGAAGCGTATTGTCATGGGTGAAAACTCCACTTTTGTCGGTGGTGAAGACTTTGTTCGTGCCCAGGGCATTGAGCTTGTGAACATGGACAGTCAAGAATGTAAGGACATGATGGCTCAATTCATCAAGGAAAGACCATCTGACTGGTTTGAAGACATTGGTGAGTAAATATCAGGGCGCGCAAACCCCACCTTCTATTGTATAGATCATCCTTAGCATACCATAGTATACCTGTATAGTACTAATAGAGTTTTTTTTTGAAGACGTAAAGTTTCGCATAGATGTGTATGGTCAATCTGTTCTGTAGCATATATTCGCAAGGTTACATATTCGCGAGGTTTATTTATTAAGACAACCCCATCCCTCACAATTGTTTCTTTCCTCCAAAAGTGTCAATTATGGATGCGATATCCGAGAGTGTTTTCGTCGATGTAGAAAGTGGCGATGTTGCTGTTGATGACCCTTCATTGCTTACGGTGGTGGTTGATCTTTCACCACAAGGTTGGTACAACGTACGAGATCAAATCACACTTCAAGACGCCATGAAATCTCTCTTGGTGTTTCTTAATGCACATCTAGCTTTGAACAATGCCAACCAGGTGGCACTAGTTGCTAGTACACCTCGTGGCTCAAGGTTCTTATATCCAAACCCAGAGAAGAAATATGACTTTGATAGTGGAGCTCCAAGTTTGGTCAATAAGGATATGTATCGTCAATTCCGTTTGGTTGATGAAGCTGTGTTGGAAGAGGTGAACCTTGTGGTGGAAGAAGAGGCCAAAGCCATGGCTGCTGAAAAGGCTGCTGGTAAGGAAGATCTGCCCGTGGTAGGTTCGACCTTGGCAGGAGCGCTCAGTATGGTTCTTACATATACCAACAGAATGCTTAATTTGGATCAGACGATTTCCACCACCAAGGACTCTGCTATAAGTAGCAGTACAAACGCTGCCGCCTTGGGCCGCCTGGCTGCCGGAGGTGGAGGATCTAGCGGTGGCTCGGCGGGTAGTGGCTCGGGCTCCGGTTCTGGGGGCACTGGAGCTGTGTCGCATCTCACATCAATGAAATCAAGAGTTATGGTGCTTACAGCTAGTGATGATAACGATGTCAACTATATTCTGACCATGAATGCCATCTTTGCTGCGCAAAAGATGCGACTTCTGATCGACGTGGCTAAATTAGGACATCGTCATTCGGCATATCTCCAGCAAGCAGCAGACACCACCAATGGGATCTACTTGCACATTGAACATCCTCAAGGTTTAGTTCAGGTTTTGGCCACCGCCTTCTTCATTGAACCATCGATCCGTCCACTCATCATCTTGCCAACAAACGCGAACACAAACTACAAGGCCAGTTGTTTCATCACCGGGAAATCTGTAGATATGGGGTATGTTTGTAGTGTTTGTCTTTGTATCATGAGTGTCATACCTGCCGATACCAAGTGCCCCACATGTGACTCGGAGTTTGACCAAGCTACTGTGGCACAGTTACGCCGGGGGCCTGTTGTTGCTCCTAGAAAGAAAAGAAAGACCGACAGTGGTGGTACAGCTACTCCTGTTCCAATGGATGTTGCCACTCCAGAATAGATGCATAAATTCTTTAAATTGGGCCATATTGACCCCACAAATCATGATGAATTTCTAGGAATAGCTACTTGGAAGAAAAGTAAACAAACTTCACACCCTTAATAGGATAGGAGTTTCGAAGAAAGAGACTAAAGTTGCACATTAAAAAAGACTAATTAGGGTCTTACAGATTACTACTGAAAAGGTTTATTAATTTACTTAGTATACATAAAATCATTCTAATAGAGAAATAGAGTCCGTTAAGCCCCGATGTACCACATTGAACCTGTAGTTTCTCGGATAGTGATGCTTATCAATCATGTGTAATGTTCGTTTCGTATGGTTAGATGACCTTTTTGTGCATGAGGGCTCAAAGCATCGGTAAACCTTATCGCCACGATCCTTTTTGGCGGCGAAGTAAGAGCTATGTACCTCGTCAACATGTATATCTAGTATGGTTTCAGTTGGAAAACTCCGATGACATTGGTTACAGACATGAGTATGGATGGATAAAACATGGGCCTCATATGCCACATAAGTCAGGAAGTACACATCGGTACACAGGGGACATTTTATATTGCTATTTTCAGTGGTGGGGTTCACGGGGTTATTGAGGTCATCTTCTCGTTGACGTTTACTCATGAGATAACAATTGATAAAAGATTAAAACAACAGACATTGTAAGTCGCGGATCTTTTAAATAAAAGAATGATGATGATGATATAGTGCGCAGTAAATTTTCTTAGATAGACAAGAGTCTAGACATTCAAGTCATGAGACGAGCTCAGGATATTCGAAGTGATGCCCGGATTAAAAGGTGCAAGACTGACGGTTCAGAAGGATTGAATCATCAACATGCGGACCTGAGTGACAAACAATACACTCAGGGCCCACTTGATGAGATATTTGGACAGCATTCAGCATTCCCAGTGGAGCTTGATGGAGATGAAGAAAGTAACGAAGTGATGCAATATCTTGCTTCAGTGCGGAATGAAGCCGAATTAGATACCCCTGTACATTTTGTAAAGCGATCCAAGGAGAAAACTAAAGATGATACAATTGTAAAACAATCGAATGAACAGAACTCTACGATTGATTATAATACTACAAGCACTATTCCTGATGAAATAAATTGGCAAGAAAACTTACTCTCTACATTTTTATCGTTGAAGGAAGAAGTTCAAATACAAACTATTCTTCCTAATTCAGCAACATCTCAACCACTCCCATCATCAGCTTCTGCCTGGAGAGAACTAATTTTTACCTCCAAGGAACCACCCACAGTCCGGTTTTTCTTTACAGAATTGGACCACTCTACGACCATCAAACTACTTATCTACAGCACCCAATGGCTCAGTACAAACACTCCATCGATGTTATCTCGTTGGATATACATGTTATTTCTTCGCTTAGATAATCTTCTTGATCATAATGAATGCGCAATTGTTCGCAGTTTGGCTCAAAAGGCTATTAAATTACGTACCAAGCCAAATTTAAGTCCTATTTCTCGTTACACTATCGATATGATCATTACAATCGTGGGCAAGTACTATCATCAAAAAGATCTTTTAGAAATATTTCAAACTTCAAATGATCAATTAAATATTTAATGAGCCACATATCGATTGATCTACCCATATATGATATATTCTCGGTTATATGCAGTTGGTCGTTGAGTTTAATTTTAAAGAATCTCAACACTTTTAAAGATTGTCTTAACCTAATTGAAATCACTCACATATACATAATCCATTAACCATGGCTCCTCAAATTCCTAGACCAGACTTGGTGGTACCGTAAGTACAGTGTTTGGGTATCCTATTGATTCAAACCATGACATGTTCTAAAGTAGTCAGTTACTGCATATGCCCACCTATCAGCTATCTCTGATGATAGCCGGTTTTCACTCACCCACCCACCCCAATCTCGCAAACAAAAACTAACATAAACAGTTACAAACACACACCTGCTAAGGCACGTTCCGAAGCTTCGAGTATAATCTCCCAGAGTTTACCAATGGCTGCCATGTTCATGAGAAACAAGATGTTATCCTGGTCAGCCTTCTTCTTGGCGGTTCAATCTTATTTGAATGAACCTATCCACAAGCAAGAAGAAGAAGCCAGTCTGGGCCAACAACCTCCTTTGTTGCGTGTGTTATTCGCCATTATTGCCTTGTTCTCTTGTTACGTTGACATTTTCTTCCCATCTGCTGGTGCGGCTGGAAAGAAGGCAGTTGTTGATGCCGCTGCCGCCGCTGCTACTTCTTCTTAAAATTTATTAATTAATAATACACTATCTATAAACATACAATGTAAATCTTTGGAATTGTGAACGCTAATATTCTGTTGCATTTCCATTCTTTTGATTCTTAAGACCATCAAAAATGGTACAGTCTAGACACCAGTAACTGGCTGGCACACTGGATAAAGAGAAATGGACGAACTTAGAAGATCTGGGTCACGTCTTTCAAATGCTACTTTGCCTCGAGAAACTCAGACCTTCAGATGAATCTTTTTTTTTATTGCGTCATATCCTTTTTCTAAAATTCTGGAATCGGACAAAGAGTCGGTTTCATGGCAACTCCAACATGATTGACCTTCACATCTTTCTAATTAATTGACTCTTTGAATGTATCACCAGGATAAAATCACTCCCAATCAAACACTATACTGTCATGGCCCTTGTACGAAACACAAACCTTATTCGATCGTTTACTCCACGTTATGTCGCATATTCCTCTTTCTGACGTTGATGCTACATCATCAGCAAGCTTATATTCTCCCACACAGTACAACCACTTTGATCTGCCTTGTGGATAATGATCAAGTGAAATATCCCAAACGGATACCCTACCTGAATCATCACCAAGCACAAGCCATTTGCGGTTCAAAGAAACAGTGGCATTGAAAATTGAAATACCCTTTGATTGCAATTCCTTTTCATCAGTATCTTCAGGTGTCTTGCCTTCATATTGGAAACTTTCAGGACCAGCAGCCGAAACATTGGCACTGATTAATATTTGTGCTTCACCTCCCTTCACATTCCAAATGTTCACCACTCCATCCATAGAAACACTTAATAGTATATACTTATCTATCCACTCCAATGTTACTATAGGAGCCGCATGTAACGTATAATCCTCCAGAGCCTCAACATTGAGTTCCAAAGAATGTTGAAGCAGATTACTCTGCCAAATCTTGATGTTGTAATCAAAATCTGAACAAGATGCCAAAAGTTTTGATATATGATTGAATTGAAGGATTGAGATTGTATGTTCATGGCCAGAAAGGAGTCCTAGTGGCTTGGCTGGAATGTTCTGTTGTTGTACTCCATATGGAGAGAGACCTGGTGAGCCACTGGAAGAGATTCCAAAGATTTTGATGCCATGTTTCATTGTTGAAAGAGCAAATCTATTGTCATCTAACCAGCAAGCAACTGTTGGAATAATGGTTGCTGTAGATTGACCAGGTAACGGTTCTGCTGCAATCTGTTGCACCAATTGAAGGTTGGATCCATCCCAAAGACAAACATGGTTGTTAATATCTATAGAAAGAAGAAACAGTCCAGACTCGCTCCAAAGAAGACTAGAAATCATCGTAGAAGCAGAGGGTTGTAATTCATCATCAGAGGCTAGGGTTGCAGTATTGGCGATGTTTTTCAATTTTCCATCTGGTGACCAAGCTCTCAACTCTCCATTGATGGAATTAGTAATTATTACATTCCCGGCTGGAGCCCAGGATACAATGTTAATTTCGTTTAATACATCACCTGTAAGGGTAGGATGTCTGAGTGTGACAGACTCTGCAATCAGATGGTCCAGTAAAGCCACGATTACGGCGGTGGAATCCTCCTTCCCATAGGCAAAGACCTCGGATTTTGGATGCCAATGTGAAGTAATCAGCTCGGGGAATGATATGCTTGGAGAAATCTCCCTGGTGGTAAACTTATGAGGTGGTAAAGAACTTGATGGAGATTCAGATTTGACTTCATTCTTGTTATTATTATTATTATTATTATTGGTAGAAGTGGAAGTACCATTCTTATTCAGAGACTCTACATTTGTATCGTCAGCATCCACCATATCCACATCTTCATCATCCCCAACTTGCTTTGATTTGGTTGTGGCAGCACTCTCATTAACATTTTCCTTTATTAATTCTCTTTCCAACTTCTCACTTTCATTCAGAAGTACAGCGCCAAAGAACGTTAGCACCGAACCTAGAGGGCTTTCCTGCTCTTGTTCTTCTTGTCCCAGTCCCTTTGTTACGTTCTTCAGTGCTCTCTCGGATAAGGAGTAAAGTATTCCCTTTTGAACCAATTCAACCAAACAACCAGGTTCTATTCGTTTGATAATATCCAAATTCTTGTTGTGCTCATAAGACAGACATTTCGAATGCTTTTCAAGCGCATATGCCGCTAGGTCATGGCCCGACTCCTGAAGATATCGCCACACCAAGTAGTTGAGCTCACTACTTGATAAAGACATGAGAATGATGATAGAGTTAAGGAATGTTTATATATATTTAAAAGCTTCACAAAAACTTTATTGTCATAGCAAAATATGTGCGTGTGTGCACCAATATGGATATTTGTTTACTATCGAAATAAAGTGGAGTTGAACATATTCAACTAGTAGTAATTCATTGATCTAGAAACCATTTGAATCAATTGGAAAATTCTACGTAATACTTCATAGTTGTTAATTGAAGTGGTGGGAAATAAAAGAGAGCAGAATATAGGCTACATATCGAAAAAAAAAAAAGTTTGACGAGTTGATTTACACAAGTGTATTGCATACCGCACGCAAGGAGTAACAAATTTCAATGGACTTTGATACCAAGGCTGCCCACAGAAAAAGTAGGGCCCCTTGGCAGTCCAATGCGGTGAAGTCCAACCCGTATGCCAACGCAAACACCTTGCCCAATGAGGGGATTTCCAATGTAAATCCGTATAGCACCTATGGTAACAATAGCGCCAGCAACAACGTTGTTAACAATTCGAATACAAATATTAGTTCCAATACTTTACAAATACCTAAGAATCAGCGTGGTGTTAATGGGGGTGCTGTGGGCGGAGGACCTTCGAATGCGGTAGCCGGTACCGGCGCTTCTCGTAAAGTTAATCGTCGTCTTAGTATCCATGCTTCAGCTGCTGCTGCAGGTCATGGAAGACCTACCGCGGGAGGGGTGGCTACGTCACAACTTTATAGAACCACTACCAATCAATCAGTCACTCTGGTAATGTCTAGGGTTGATGATGGCGGTGGAGCATTTAACCCCAATGCAAAAGTATTGGGTGATCTTTCAGGGGGAACTGCAGCAGAAATTGATGACTATTATAAAGTTCTCACCAAACAACAAACCATAGTAAATAGAGATATCAAAGATAATATTAATGAGAATCAAAAGAATATTTTGGAACTCACTAATGACTTGAAGGAGACTCAAGAGGAATTGTTACAATTGCGAGTGACTACTCGAGAATTGTATGAAATTTTGGATGATTTTAAAGACGCTGCTCAACGTAGAATTGAGCTTGAGAATGAAAATGCTAGCATTCACAATGCTCTGGGAAGTATGGCTGGTACATCTATGAGAACACCCTCCCAGAGTCTCCGAAATGGGGGGAAAAGACTGGTGGTTAAGAAAAAGGATCGTTCCTCAATCATTTATCTTGAAAAAATGTGGAATGATCAACTTCAATCACTTTTCAAACATGTAGAAGGGGCATCTAAATTTATACAGCCAATCCCTGGTCGCCATATATTGGCAGAAAGTGGCCGTTGGTCTGAAGTTAATGTTGGGAATTGGAAAATTGTAAAACCTGCTCATCTTTTCATTTTGAATGATGTTGTATTGGTTGCTACCAAAAAGTATTCTTCTGGTACAAGTACTGGAAGTCTGGAGGCTACTGCCACTACCCCTACATCGTCCACGACTCCTATGTTACTGGCGCCAGCCAACTCCAAGTCAAAACTTCAAGCTGTGTTTTGCTGGCCCTTGCATGAAGTTAAATTCCTGGAAGTGTCTACTCCATCAATAAATCGTGGACGTGACAATAGAGATGAAAATAAGACATATCTGGTTAATTTGAAATCGAATTCAATGAGTTATGTATATCAAACTGATCGTTATGATCATTTCTTGAAGATCCTGGAAGCGTTCAAAAAGGGTCAACATGAACTTTCACAAAGAGATCGTGCTTTTGAAATCGCTCATGGTTCTGAAGGTACCTCACGCGATTCTGAAGATAAAAAGCTGTTACGTGAATCATTAAGAAATTCTGGTATTGCCGAAAATAGCGACGATAAACGCAAGAGTATATCAGGTAAGAGAAATAGTGCTGAGGGGTTATTACAAGATATATCTGCCAAGGTACACTCAAGAAACAGATCTCATGACTTCAAGAATGGCTCACCAAAGTTAGGTGGATCAAATAGTGGAGGAACAGGACAATTTTTCAATGATTTGAAAAGAATTGAAGATCGTATTGATGAAGTTGATGTTGAGATAGCACACAATAAATACGCTGAATCTGCTGGATTGATCCGATACATTGAGAATAAGATTTCGAGTATTGAATCATCTCTTGATATTGGAATTAGTAAACAATCTGATTCTGGTAACAATAGTTTAGAAGATGAAGTAAGACTTCTTATTGAAGTGATCAATTTGAAAATCAATACTAGAAAGACAAAAATTCAAAAGAGTTTGACATTTGAACTTCAAAATAATGTTTCGGCCCTTTCTGGTGAAGAAATCTCGGGGATCATGGAATTTTTCAATAATTTGGAACAACTTGATCATGGAGTGGCGGCGTATTTACATGCTATGTCTGGTCACCTTAATGCTACTGCGTCACGTTTGGTGGTGGGGGTCCAAGGCTCAACTAAAATCGATGTGGTCAATTACCTTGGGAATTTGGTTATCATATATGTTTCCATTGTCAGAAGAACTATTTCCACTTATAAAGACTATATCAGCCCCATATTAGCGAAAGATCCCAACAGCGTCTGTGATTCGAGTGGATTAATAAACTGGTGTAACGATGAAATGTCACGTTTAGTGATTGGAATCAAAAAGCATTTATATGGAACACTTGTATCAATTGCAGCAAGGGATCCAATAACTGAAGAACCTGTTTACCAAGTGAAGGATGTGAAGCTCTTCAATGAATTCATTGGCATTATCAAACCACAATTGGATGAATTGAAGAATGTTGGAGTAAACTTTGACTTTTTATTCCAGGATATCTTTTTCCTCAAGTACTCATAAAATAGAAAAATAGTATTAGTAGGAATATATAATGCAATTAGTAATTAGAAAAATAAACTATAGACGATCGTATAATTGTCCCAAATCATATTTTTGACGGAAGTATTGTCCATTCTTCTTCAAGATGTAGATTGTCCCCGATGCAACACACACAATACCCATCAAGATTGAGAAAAGTATACCAGGACCAATCCCTTTCAAGGCTGGTTCCACCACAAACGTTGCAATTGCAGCAAGTATCATCCGGACCAAGTTATTGAGTGCAACTCCAGTAGCACCTCTTCCAGGAAGTGTATCCACTAAGTATGTCACTGAAGCACCAATGATTAACATGGATGCAAATCCATAGCAGGCAGTTCCAATTAATGGGGTCACCCAATGTTTCTCATATTCTAGACACCATCCAAAAATTAAACAAGCAGGTGGTACAAGCCCCACGGCAAGTACAAAATTCCATGACAATCTCGACTCTGGCACCAATTCTCCATTATGGGCTTTGGCGTATTTATGAAGCAACCTGTCAGTCCATTTACCACCGAGAATCGATGCAACGACATAAGTCACTGAGTTCGGAATATAAAGAAGCCCAACAATGATCTCCTTGAAATGATATGGTTTTCTACCATATTCATAGGAAATTGCCATATTGAAGAAATAAATAACGCAAAATGATACCGCAGAGAATGCAATCACTAGAGCCACTGGTGGATATGACAAGAGAATAAGTGAGTGTAGTGGGCGAATAGTGTAGTCGTACAGTTTTGTTTTCCAACTAATTTCTTCACTTTCATCCATTCTAGAAAGGATTTTCTCCATGGCGTCCTTATTTGCCTCTCTGACAACCTTACGAGAATATGAGCTTTTATTGGTTGGTAATCGAGAAAGCGATGGCATGACAGAATCAAGTACTGGAGATTCTTCTTCATCGTCGTATTGTATGATAGAGCGAGTTCTTGACCTACTTCTTGATAAATTGGTATAGACTCTGGAAATTTCATCTTCTGTTAACTCATGGTTAACGGTGTTCGTTATATTGGCGGGAACGCCAGTCTTTTCCCGCATCTGCTCCTCATTATTCTCTTCATCGGTATTTTGTCCACCATCATCTTCGTGGTCAGTATTTTTCAGATCAAGTTGTTGACGAAGCATCTCTCTTACAAGGTTGGCATTGTCTTGCTTTCTGAGAGTTTCTGGAAGTCCAAATACAATGAGCATAACGTTACAGCCGGAAAATATCACCATAAGCCATTGTGTGGCTCTCCAGTCCCATACTTGGGCGACAACCCCTCCTAAGATTGGAGCAAGAAATGGTCCCATAAGGGGTCCTAAATAATAAATACCCATAGCTGTTCCTCTTCTTTCTGGTGGATACAAGTCACCTACGGTACCTGCACCAACTGCTTGTACAGAAGCTGAACAGCCTCCACATAGCACCCGGAATGCAATAAGTCCACCAATATTAGGGGATAAAGCTGAACCTATGGAGAAGGCACAAAAAAGAAGAAATGAAATAACATAAATATTTCTTCTCCCTAAAGTTTCACTCAAGGCAGACCACCATAGAGGGAAAATTCCAAGAGAAAGTAAATAAATCCCCACCGATACATTAACTGTGCCAACACTTGTATGAAGTTCTGCGGCTACATTATCGATTGCAGGAAGCATAATGGAAGTACCCATGGGCCCAGTGATGGCAGCAAAGGCAATAATAAAAATAATAAACAATTTTATTGATTGTGGATATTCTCGAGCATCGTCATATTCTGGAATAAGGGCAAATCTAGCCAAAAGACCTCTTCTTTCACTGACTGGGATAATATGAGGGTTCTTGGATGAAGCTGAAGACTTTACTCTGGATGCAAAAGTGGTCACGGAAGCTACGGCAGATAGTCTGCGGGTGGTTCCACCAGTCAGACCTTGAGCGGCGCTATCATCATCCACCGTTTTCGATTTTTGTGGAGGTATTCCAGAATTCTCAGGTGAATTATCGAATGGTACGATATTATGTATTTGGTTCTCCGTCGAATCTATCGACTCCAAGGTATGTAACGACAGAGCATCTTCTGACGACATATTCCTTTCTATCATTATGCCAAACCCCTGAAAAAAAAAAAAAGGATAGTAGAAGTTGGGGAAAAAACGATCGTACGAATAAATATGACACATTGAACTGGCAAATGCCGATCGTGTGCAACTTTTAACCGATCGGCATTAATCAAGTTCCGTTCTGTGTGTATATTGTGTGGCTGCGTCACGTGCTATCCCTAATAGGCAAGTCCATACATTGGTAGGAAATTTATACTTTTCTCAGCGAAAAAATAAAAAAACATCAATGTAAAGAATTTTTTGGATTTGTAGATTATGATTGAATTTGTTGGATCTTTTAGTTTATTTCAAGGACTAAAAAATGATATCACGTGGCACTTGTTCAATATAATTTGTAGATATGATCCGAAGAAGACTGACTGATTTTCAGTTATATGTTTTTTTTTATTTCCATTAATCATAAGTTTAAGAATTTAACATGTTTCTTTCTCCTTTTTAATGTTATTCCTATCATCATCTCTTAGGTGCGCAGACGTGTGTATTGGTCATCATCGTCCGCGGTATCGAAATCACACACAAATTTAGAATTGCGACCATTCAGTTAAAGCTAGATAGAAAAGATTAACTTCAACATTTACTAAAAAAACTCGAGTTTATTCTGGTGGAATCGGTTTTATTTGTATTTATATAAGGTACTCTTATCCATATGTAGAGCTATAAAGTAACAACATTGCTTATTATTGTTTGCAAATTCTTTAAACAAATTTGACGTCATCCATTTTGTGTCACGCCCCCACGATTTCATAATTTTTGTCCTTTTTATGTGCCCTTTAAAAATTTGTTGGTTAATTTTCTTCTTCTATTTAGACCTTAGACTGGAAAGAGGGGAGATAAAGAACGCATAACCCTGTTCAATTAGAATCTACCTAAGATTGTAATTTTGTTGTCGTGGAAAGGATTTTTTGCCATGATATCTCGTCATAATTATGCTGTGGCAATTGTAAGGACGGCAATTCTCGGCCCGCTCTTTCTTTTAGGCTGTGCTGCCATTGTATTTACACAAGAAGTTTCTGCTTTACTCCTTGTCAATTCACCCAAAAGTCTTCAAGCTGCCGTTAACCTCTCCAAAACACATTTCATATCACTTCTTACATTCATTGCTCATATCATTTGTCCTTCTGATGTCCTGATCACTTATGATGAATCTACTAAAGATATGGCCTTTTCTTCAACCAATGGTCATCTCTCGGGCTATCTCATGCCCAACTCGGTGTTGATTTCAAATCATCAGATCTATACTGATTGGTTATCATTGTGGCACATTTTAGCTTCCACTCATTTGGGTAATAGTGTTTTCATATTCCTTAAAGATTTATCTTGGATTCCAGTACTTGGACGTGGAATGAAAAATTATAACTTTCTCTTTTTATCAAGAAAATGGGAAAAGGATAAGATTGTCTTGACAAATCAACTTTTAGAAATAGATGCCAATGCCAGAGGTTATGGACCTGCTAATGGTGTAAAACATGTGTTTTCAACATCATTAAATCAACAGGATTCTACCACGTTACAACCTCCCATCCAACATTGGCCAAGTGGTAAAAACTCAAAACAAATTTGGCCCTATGAAATCCTTTTATATCCAGAAGGTACTGTTACTTCACCTCATACTAGAATTAGATCTGATAAGTTTTGTGATCGTAAGGGACTCCCACATCTTAAACATGTTCTTCTTCCTCGAGTTCGTGGTCTCTTTATTACTTTACGGAAACTCCGGAATACTGTTGAAGTGGTGTATGATATAACCACCGGTTATTCCGGATTGAAACCAGGTGATAATGGTGAAGATATCTTTACTCTTAAACAATTTTTCCTCTTGGGATATGGTCCAAAACGTGTTAATCATTATATACAGACATGGAAAATCGCTGATATCCCATTAGGAGATGATGATTGTGAAGATATTGATGCAGTTAAAGAAGAAGATGTAGCTAAGTTTGAACAATGGCTTTTCAAGATTTGGTACGAAAAGGACGAAAGAATGGATCTTTTCTATAAGTCTGGTTCTTTTGAAACTATCCCAAATACTAAAACTGTTATTGCAGAGATTAAAAATAAAAGTATTTTGGATTTACTAAGTGTCTTCACGCCAGTAATTATTGGAATTTTAATTCTTCGGTTGATTTGGTTAGGAATTTCTAGATTAATTTTCTAAGAATTCCCACTATTACAAATTATTTACACCTTTTTTCTACATAATAACTACATAGATTGATATAATTATATGATAAAGCTTCTTAACTCCGTATCCTTCTCTTTGTATCAGAATTGTTGCAAAAAGCGCGAACCAGAAAAAAAAAAAAAAAAATTGTTTCCAGGCAAAGTTATATGTCGGATTACATGAAACAATAGTCTAACATATTGGTTGCAACATGTATGTATATATAGATACATAGATAGAGCAAAGATGACCAAGTTTTACTATAATATAGAGTAATATACCATGATTTTCTTTCTCGTTAAAAAACTTCCAAAATATCTTACAATTCTACTTGTATTTATATCAATTGTGCTTTTATGCTTTATACTAGCTGGTTCATTTGATACATCCCCAAGTTTTTCCAACGTCTATGTGCTAGAGTTTAAGTTCAATAGCAGTTCTGAATACTATCCAATCATTCAAAAGTCCTATAGTCTTCAAAATTCTTCTTCGACCCTCTCAAATATGAAAATTAGAGTGGGGTACCTTGGCATGTGTGTTCTTCTTAATGGAAGTTTAACGTGTTCTTCCAACGGGAATCTTGGTACACTTTCCAGTTATTCTGGGGTATCTCTATCAAATCTGACAAATCCGGACTCACAGTTAAATTTGGTTAATTTAGCAAGCACTTTTGCTAACATTTGCCATCCATACATTTTAATGGCAACAATTATTTTAAGTATAATTCTCTTTTTCCTTGTATTTTGGGCTTCGTTCCCCTTACCTGGGAAAGTTTTAGTTCAAAAATGCAACTGCATAATATCAATAACTAATGTCCTTCTTTGGGGGTTAGGTTCAATGTTGCAACAAGAGGCAACTACAGCTGTTAAGAAAATAGTAGGTCCTGCATCCATGCACACAATAATTGCAACTGTGGGAACAAGGTGTATGGCAATGACTTGGACAGTTTTTACATTCAATTTGATTGTTTCTATGGGTACCGTATTTGTGTTTGTAAGAGGACTCAAACAAGCAGCACAAATAATTGAGCCCAAATTTTGATATGTAGTTACTTTAGTATATGAATGAATATATAATTTTTGATTTATTTTTCAACTCTAAAGAGAAGAAACAATTCAGAAAAAAAAAACCCCTTTTTGGAATATTTGGAACTCAATATAACCTGGAATTAACTGAGAAGGGGAAAAAGAAAACGCCCCTAATTCCAAATACTGTCCAATATATATTTATAAAGAACAATCTAAAGAGGAGTCTGGAACTCCCCACATGATATTATCAATTGAATATTTCGAATTAGGAACACCTGAACACCTAGCCAAGTACAGTCACGCGTAAATCACGTGAAAACTTCAAATTTGTAAAAAGCGAATTTCCGGATTTTTTTCCAACGCGAATAATCTGAACTAGAGAGTGTGTTTACCTTGATATATAACAATATATTTAGTCCAGTCTAGAGCTATTAATAGGAAGGAATAAACCTCTTCCAGCCTGAAACAGTAAGGAGAAAAACAAAGTATAGAAAAGGAAAATTACCATCCTCATTGTTCTGTCATTTCTATCTATCTAAGTTGTTTTTTTTTGATCCTTTCAGACCCTTGTTGATATTTCTTTAGTCTAAATGTCTTACACGGCTCAATTGGATGCGTTTGTATCGCGTCTTAACGAAGATGCGGACTATAAGACCTCCCATTCCGTGTTGTCGGAGCTTCTTGACATGATTGAAACGTTCAATGGAGCTTCAGAGTATGAGTATTTCTTGTCGAATCTCATGCCAATTTTCATTCAACGTTTGAAAGAGGTACCTATTTCATTCAATAGTAATTCTCTCGAGCACAAGTTACGTAACTCTATATTGGAGATTATCCATCGTTCTATCATGAATGAGACATTTGAACCATATTCAGAACAAATTCTTAACACTTTAACTACCATTTTAGTTGATGAAAATGAAGATAATGGGGTATTGTGTATGAAAATCATTACTAGTTTACACAAGGCTTACAAGACAAAATTAAATGAAAAAGTCCAACCTTTTGTGGATATTATCAATGACATTTATAAGAACATGAATCAAACAGTTCAAGAGGTGTTTGCTACTTCTACTGATGAACTGCAGGATGCAAGTAACAAGGAAATGTCGCCAAATTCTTCCACTTTTACTGATGATACATCTCCTCCAAAGACTTTGGCTAAAGCTATGTATTCTTTCAAAACATTAGCAGAATGTCCAATCACCATGGTTTCTTTGTATTCTTCATACAAAAATTTAGTACAAACTTCATTACCAACATTTCTTCCAAATATTATTAATATCTTAACTTTACAAGTGGAAGAACAACGTTTGTTTAGAGAGGAAGCAGAAAAGGAGGGTAGAATTATTACTTCAATCTCACCCAAAATTAAGAATAGACAAGCTTTTAGTGATCTTATCTTGGGTCAGGTGAAAGCTGCATCATTTTTAGCGTATGTTTTCATTAGAGGATATGCTAATCAACAACTTGGTCAAGAACAAGCTAAGTTAGTACCTGATGTGATACTTCGTCTTTTACAAGATTGTCCTGCTGAACTTTCAGTAGCAAGAAAGGAATTATTACATGCCACAAGACATATTTTATCTACTCCATTTAGAGTTCAATTCATTCCAAAGATTGAATTATTATTTGATGAAAAAGTTTTAATTGGTGAAGGGTTGACTTCATTTGAAACCTTAAGACCTTTGGCTTATTCCACAGTTGCTGACTTCATCCATAATGTTAGAAATGAATTAACTCCAAAGCAAATTTGGTCAACTGTTAGAATATACTGTGATTTACTTAAAGATGATTCATTGGCATTGACAGTTCAAATCATGAGTGCTAAATTATTACTTAATTTGGTTGAACGTATTATGAAACTTCCCAATAAACTTGAAGGTAGACAACTTTTCATGATCATTATCGATTCATATGCCAAGAGATTTCAAAGTTTGAACAGGAAATATGATTATATTCTCAATAAGCATAATGAATTTGAAAAGAGAAGATCTAAGAAAGAAACTGAGGCCAAAAAGGCTATTCAACGATACAGTCCTAAACGTTCTGACAGTTTACAACTTCAGTCCAACCTTGAAGTACTTGCCATTAAGAATTCCGCAGAAGATGACGTGGATATGGATGATATACAAGAAGTTGATGAAAAATCTAAAACTGTAACTGAGGGAACTGTTGTCGGAAAGATTAACGAGGATGAAGATATGGAAGATGCAGAAAGTACCAAAAATATAACCTCGGATACCGACACAATTGATTTGTTCAATATTGATGAGCTTTCTCCTATTTCATCTTCCCCAGTGAGTTCCAATACTGATCTTTTGAAAGATGCTCGTTACTTATTCCGTACTTTGATGACGTTTTTGAAGTCAGTAATCTTTGGTCTTAAGAACTGTAATCCACCGGTTCCACCACAACCACTTCCAACTGACCCTAAAACTGCTGGCCAGACTGTGAATTATGACAAATGGAATGATTCAGCTAAGATTACCTCTTACGAAGAGGTTGCTATTTTGAGGAACTTATTTAGAGGCGGGATTAGCTGCTTGAGATTCTTTTCTGTAGCAAAACCCAAACCAACTACACCTCAACCAAAATCTTTTGATTTCTCAACCGGTGGTCCAAACTTACCAATAACTTCGTCCAAGGAAGAAAAGGATTTAATGGAAATTTTTGCAACCATATTTATCCACATTGACCCTGCTTCATTCAATGAAATCGTTACTTATGAACTTTCATTCATGTTTGAATCTATGCTTGAGAATGCTGCATTACTTCATTTGCCCCAATTCTTCTTGGCCAGTGAAATCACCTCTGCCAACTTTTCTGGAATATTGATATCATTTTTAAAATCAAAATTGGATCAACTTGGGAGAGTTGAATTGATAAAGTCAAATATATTAATTCGTTTGTTCAAATTGTGCTTCATGTCTGTTAATTTATTCCCAGCAGCTAATGAGAGCGTGATATTGCCTCACTTGAATTATTTAATTTTGGAATCATTAAGATTAGCAACAAAAGCTGAAGAGCCAATTATATATTCTTATTTGGTGAGAATTTTATTCAGAAGTATTAGTGGGGGTAGATTTGAGAACTTATACAAAGAAATCATGCCAATTCTCCCAGTTTTATTAGAGAGTCTTAATAAGATGATTGCTAACTCTCGCCGTCCATATGAAAGAGATATATACGTGGAACTTTGCTTAACGGTACCAGTTCGTCTTTCTGTTTTAGTTCCTCACTTGAACTTTTTGACCAGACCTTTGGTGTATGCTTTAAATGGATCTCAAGAATTGATTTCTCAAGGTTTGCGTACTTTCGAATTATGTGTTGATAATCTTACTGCTGAATACTTTGACCCAATGATAGAACCGGTAATCGATGAGATAATGGCTGCTTTATGGAAGCACCTTGAACCGGTACCATATCACCATCAACATTCGCATACTGCCATCAGAATTTTAGGTAAGTTAGGTGGTAGGAACCATAAGAATTTCAAGCCATGTAACAGCTTGGTATTTCAAACTGAACTCGATCAAGATATTTCAGCTCTTTTCAATATCCATGGCTTAAATGGAGAAGTACCTGTGTCCATCACCCCGGGAATCCGTTCTGCAATTGATTTATTGGAAGATCCTAGATTGAAAGTCCATTACAGAATCAGTGCCTTTAAGTACTTATCTGGTATCTTGAAATTATTCATTAACACTACCCCTATTCCTGATAATTATGGTGATTTCATTCAAGAATGTATCAAGACACTTAAGGCTGAGAAGCTTGATGACTACGTCCAGTTGAGTGACTCTGATGTGAAGGATGTTTCCAAATTAGATCGCCAACAGAAACTTTTCTTGCGTCTTTTGGAGATTTTATTCTTTTCGGTTTCGATTCCTGAAATCAAGGATGAGGCAAGTGAATTAATTGATGGTATAACTACCCATTTCTGTTTAGCCTACGTCAGTACCTCAGTGGTCGATAGAGTTAAGAAAGAAAGACCATTCTCCGTTAACGATCAAGAAGGCAAGGCATATATTGACGAAACTGCTTTCTTAAATGCAATCAACTATGCTTTGAGTTTCTGGGACAAAGATGTAAGAAACAAGGGTATAGATGCAATTAAGAGAATCTACAATACCACCGTCATTATCTTTGGATCGGAAGAGAATGCATTGTACTCTCCAATTTTCCGTACAATGTTTTACAAGTTCACACACTGTTGCTACAATGAATACTACCATGCTAAATTGGGAGGTATTCTAGGACTCAAGACTTTATTTGAGGATTTATCCATCCCACCTGCTTGGTTTTTCAAGCGCCAATTTGAGCTTGTAAGGTCCGTATTCTTCATTCTCAGAGATACACCAGAAACAGCACCATACGAAGTTCGTGATTTAGCAAAGAATTTAGTATTGAAATTGTTACACAGTTGTAACGTTGAATTATCGAAGGAAGTTATTTTAGAGAAACCATTTCAAACTCTTGTTGGTGCTCTTGTTTATGATTTGGCTAGTGCAAATCCATTAGTAAGAGAAGTTTCTCAAAAATCGCTTAAGGTTTTGTCGGATACAACAGGGGTTCCAGTTGCAACTATGATGGGACCTTGTAAACAACTCTTATTGACACCGATTTTCGGGAAGCCTTTAAGAGCGTTACCGTTCCCTATGCAAATCGGTAATATTGACGCAATAACCTTCTGCTTAGGACTTGAGAATACATTCTTAACATTTAATGATGAATTAAATCGTTTGCTTCTTGAAGCTTTGGCTTTAGTTGATGCTGAAGATGAATCTTTGGCCAACGTGCATAGACTTCACGAGTACAGAACATCCAAACAATTGATTGAATTGCGCGTGGTTTGTATTAAATTACTTTCGTTAGCACTTACCAAGCCTGACTTCTCTTTAGGGTCTTTAGCAGAAGCAAGAATCCGAATTTTGGGAGTTTTCTTCAAGGCTCTTTCTAATAAATCCACTGAAATCATCAATGCTGCTCATTTGGGGTTGAAATCCAGTCTTCAAGAGAATGCAAAACTTCCAAAGGAATTGTTACAGAATGGACTTCGTCCAATGCTTATGAATCTTTCTGACCACAAGAAATTGACTGTGTCAGGACTCGAAGCTCTTGCACGTTTGTTAGAGTTGTTAATTTCTTATTTCAGAGTTGAAATCGGTAAAAAGTTATTAGACCACTTGATGGCTTGGGCACAAATCAACACTCTTAGACAAATTGCTAGTCAGGATCTTGAAAATAATCATACAGTTCAAATTGTTATGGCAATCTTAAATATTTTCCATCTTCTTCCAGCAAAAGCATACACTTTTATGGAGGAAATCATTGGAACTTTGCAATATTTGGAAGGTCACTTAGATCGTCATCAAAACTCACCTTTCCGTATCCCAGTTTCTAAATTCTTGAACAGATTTCCAGACAACTGCTTGGAGTATTACTTACTGAACTTTAAGAACCGTAAATTAGGGAATATGTTAGCATCCTTTGCGGGTATGGAAGACTGTGGTCAAATCAGAACTACAGCAAAGGCAAAGATGCAAAGTATTTATGATGATGTTAACCTGGAGACTGATCCTGAAATTAAGGTTGTTAAGTTTGCTAACATCGTTGATTTACTCGATGCCGTATCTTCTCGTGATTCGGAATGGCTTGGGACTCAGAAAGAGCTTTTACTCAATGTATCAAAATTAATCGAGACCATCACTTTACTGAAGTCTGCTGCTCCATTAGTTTCACCAAGACACTTCCAGTCTGATCAAGCCATTTCAAAACTCCAGAAGATTATTGTGAAATACTTGGTCTTGAATCCTAGCGATACTGAGATGGTATTTTCTACTGTTGAAAGACTCTCGTCGCTTCAATTGAAGATTCCTGCAGAATTAGAAGACTTTATCTTCGAGCACGTCGTCTGTTCATCAGATGTTGAACATAGGGAGTTGTACTTAAATAAGTCTATCGTGTACATTACTGGAGAAACTTCTAACTTGAAATCTAAGATCTTTTTCTTAAGACGAGTTGTGAACTCTACATTTTTGTATGAGATTCACAAGAGTGGAAATGCCGATGCGTTCTTTAATAATGAAGAATCTAATCCTCCAGAGTGGTTAGAAAAGGTTTGCAACAATATTTGGCGCTCTACTAATGATATCATTACTGACCACACTTCAGGAACGATGGATAGTTACAGATTCCAACTTTTAGAGATGACAGCAATTTTACTTAAATGGTGCACTAAATCTATCTCTAATTATAGAAAGGACGTGATTAAGTTCAGTTGGAATTATATTAAGCTTGAAGACAATATAACTAAACAAGTTGCATACGTTACCACTTCTTTTTTTATTTCTGCTTTTGAAATTCCAGCCAAGCTTGCCACACAAGTGTTTGTTGCTTTGCTTCGTACTCACCAAACAGACTCCAGACATCTCGTTAGACAGGCTTTGGATATACTTGCCCCTGTTATGTCTGATCGGATGGTGGATGTCGAGGCTCCAATGAGTTGGTTGAAATGGCCACGTCGTGTCATATCTGAAGATGGATTCAATGTGACTCAAGTTCTTAACGTTTACCAATTTATTGTTCAACACCCAGACTTATTTTTTATTGCCAGAGAACATTTTGTATCTAACATTATCACTGCTATGGGTAAGTTGACCATTTTAGCTAACCCTGCCTTAGAAAACCAGGTTCTTGCCATTGAATTATCTGAACTTATATTGAAGTGGGAAAAGAAAGCATCATTGTTGAAAGAATCAGAGAAAATTGAAGAAGTCCAAGATGATGACATGGAAGATAAAGTTAGCTCTCCTAGTGAAAACGGATCTGACTTTACTACATCATCTACTTACAGTATTCCATTCGGTCAACGTGAAGCATGTGTGACATTTTTGATTAGATATGTTTGTATCAGTCCACAGAGAGCATCTGAAAGCGAACTTGGTCAAAAGGCATTGGGAATTCTTTATGACCTTTTGAGTCCAGAACATTGGTCTGAAGTTTCTGTAAAGTTAACCTTCTTTGAGAAGTTTTTATTGTCAAACGACTTGAACACTTCTAATTTATTGGGATATTGTTTGAATGCGTTAGAAGTCTTGGGAGTTGTGCTTGAATGGAAGAAACCAGAATGGATTGTTACCAACCTTTCATATCTTCAAAAATTACTTGAGAAATGTATCAAATCTGATAATCACGATATTCAGGAAGTACTCCAACGTGTATTAAGAATCATTCTTCAAGCCATTAATGAAGAGAGAGGCTCATCGTCTACGGATGACGAGGAGGACGAAGTCAAGGAATTCATTTCATTATTGACTTCTACTGTTTCTGAAGATCTTGGTGACATGCCATCAGTCGCAGCAGGTGTTACGTTGTCGTGGACTTTGGCAAATTACAGGCCTTCTACTTTGGACTCCCTTCTACCTCTGATTATGAGAACATTCAGTAAACTCTGTAAAGATCATATTACTATTACTCATCAAGGATCGCAATCTTCATCAAAAGACAGCTCAAATTCTGAATTTGAAGCAAAGATGACTACTAAGTTATTGGAAAAGATCCTCAACTTGTCATCTATGAGAATTTCTAACTTGGGAGATCAACGTCGTATATTTTTGTCATTGCTAGCCCAACTTATTGAAAGATCCTTAGATAAGGCTACTCTTGAAAAAATTATAAAGATGGTTAAAGATTGGGTCTTTTCTAGAACTGATTTATTCCCAACCACAAAAGAAAAGGCTGCTATTTTAGCAAAAATGATGGTATTTGAAATCAGAGGAGAACCTACCCTTTCTAAAGACTTTTATCAAATTATTGTGGATATCTTTGAAGATGACACCTTTAGCTGTACTGAATTGACTGTACGCATGGAACAACCGTTCTTAGTTGGAACCAGATCTGCTGATGTATCCATTCGTCGTAAGCTTATGTCGATTTTGAACAACAGTTTGGAGAAGGACATAAGCAAGAGATTATATTATGTTATTAGAGAGCAAAATTGGGAATATTTAGCTGACTACCCTTGGTTAAACCAAGCTTTGCAATTACTTTTCGGCGCCTTTGACATGGATAACAAGGTTAAACTTGTTGCAGACGAATATACCTTACCACCATTGGATACTTCGCGTCATCTCTTAGAATCCCAAAAGAAGGACTCTCTGGATAGTATGGATATCGACACTGAAGAAGTTACCGCTGACCTTAAAGAATTGATTAACCAGCATGGTAAATTCTTGCAGAAAATCTTCGATATAAAAGCAGTAGAAATTTTGGAGCCACTTATCGACATGTTCTACCAAAGTAGCAGTAGTATTCACCGTGCTTGGTCTATCATTTTCCCAATTGCATTTCAATCTATTGCCCGCTCAGAGCATTTGGATTTCACTCGTTTCTTGGTCATTCTTTTATCAAAAGATTATCATACTCGTCAAACTGACAGCAGACCAAATGTTATTCAGTCATTGCTTGAAGGTGTTGCTAGAACTTCCTTACAACTTCCACCATTTGCCGTGGAATGTCTTGCTTCTAACTTCAACTCTTGGTCTCAAGGTATTCATATCTTAGAGAACATCGAACAACAATCGGTCAATGGTAATGCCGATATCCGTGAAGTTACCCAAGATGCGCTCGCTAAATTGTATTCTTCTTTGAAGGAAGATGATATGTTCTATGGTTTGTGGAGAAGACGTGCCAAATACTCTGAAACAATTGCAGCACTTTCTTTTGAACAAATCGGTTTATTTGATAAGGCTCAGCAACTTTATGAGACAGCCCAAATTAAAGCAAGAAGTGGGGCTTTACCATACGGTGAATCAGAATATGCACTCTGGGAAGATCATTGGATCTTGTGTGCTGAAAAACTTCAACAATGGGATATTCTTACTGAACTTGCTAAACACGAAGGTTTCTCTGATTTACTTTTGGAATGTGGTTGGAGAGTAGCAGATTGGAATACCGATCGTGAAACTCTCGATCAAACAGTGAAGAGTGTAATGGACGTTCCGACACCACGTCGTCAAGTTTTCGAAACATTCTTGTGTTTACAAGGCTTTGGACAAGAAAAGGAATCATTACAAGACTTATCAAAGCTTTGTGATGAAGGTATCCAGTTAGCCTTGAGAAAATGGCACGGGTTACCACAGAGATTTAACAATGCTCACATTCCACTCTTGCATACATTCCAACAGTATGTGGAATTTATGGAAGCTAGTCAAGTCTATGCTAGTTTAGTCACTACGAATGCTCAAAACTTAGATGTCAAATCGCAAGAACTTAAACGTGTTCTTCAAGTTTGGCGTGAAAGATTACCAAATACTTGGGATGATATTAATATTTGGAATGATTTAGTTACTTGGAGACACCATGCATTCCAGGTTATCAACAAGGTTTACATGCCTTTCATTCCATTGCTTCAACAGACAAATGCCGGTGGAAATGCCAATTCTTATGCTTACCGTGGTTTCCACGAAATTGCTTGGGTCATTAACAGATTTGCACACGTGGCAAGAAAACATGGGATGTCTGAAGTTTGTGATAGTCAATTGAAGAAGATATACCAGCTTCCAAACATTGAAATCCAGGAAGCTTTCTTGAAACTTAAAGAACAAGTTAAATGCCACTACCAAAATCCAAATGAGTTGCATAAAGGGTTAGAGGTAATCAGTAATACTAATTTGGTATATTTTGCTGTGCAGCAAAAGGCAGAATTCTTCACATTAAAGGGTATGTTCTTAAGTAAATTGAATCAAAAGGAAGAAGCCAACAAAGCTTTCTCTGCTTCTGTTCAAATTGACCTTAATTTACCTAAAGCATGGGCTGAATGGGGTATGTTCAACGACCGTAGATTTAAGGAAAATCCTAATGATATGGTCTATGCAAACAATGCTGTTATGTGCTACTTACAAGCTGCTGGTCTCTATAAGAATGGTAAAACAAGAAAATTCCTTGCTAGGATTTTATGGTTTATCAGTTTGGATACAGGAACTCTTGCGCAAGAGTTTGATAAGTTCCAAGGTGAAGTTCCAGTTTGGTACTGGATCACTTTTATTTCCCAATTGCTTACTTCATTATCTTACAGGGAAGCTAGATTGGCAAAGCAAATTCTTATTCGAATTGCTAAGAGCTACCCACAGGCGTTACACTTCCAACTTCGAACTACGAAGGAAGATTTTGCCGCCAAACAAAGACAGTTTATTGACTCTCGTCAAAGCTCCAGCAGAGGCAGCTTACCTGTCAAGAACGAGGCGCCAAAGCCCGAGGTCAAATCTGAGAATAAGTCTAATCCAAACGAACCCAAAAAGGAGGACACAAAGCTATCAGATGGTGTTTCATCTACTGGACCTACTAGCAGCAATAACAACAATTCTAGCAGTCAATCTACTGGTGTTGCTTCTACTCCTGCGGCACAAGCTACACCAATTTCTGGATCTGTTCCTGGATCTGTTCCTGGATCTGTTCCTGGATCTGTCCCTGGATCTGCACCTGGATCAATTCCGGGATCAGTTCCAGGGTCTGCACCTGGTTCAGTACCAACTACTTCAACACCTGCAAATGCTGCAAAGAATCCACAGGCCGGAGCAATTCGTCAATCTTGGGAACACGTTGAAGAAATTATGGGTATCTTAAAGACTGCTTATCCGTTATTGGCTCTTTCTTTGGAATCTTTGGTTGATCAAATAAACCAAAGATTCAAGTGTACCGCTGACGAAGACGCTTACAGACTCGGTGTCGCCTTACTTAATGATGGTGTTCAATATCTTAACAGACTTGGAAACCCCAGAGAGGACGCCAAGCTTCCCCCTGCAACCGAGGCCAATATCACCAGATTTGCTGAAACTGTATTACCAAAACAAATTCGTTCTGAATTTGAAAAAGACTTGGTTATTGGCAAGCCAAATTTGGAAACTTATATTATTAAGTTGAGAAAATGGCGTGACCGTTTGGAGGATAAACTCGATAGAAGATTCTCAGAAGTAAACTTGGAAAACCTTTGTCCTCATTTAAGTGAATTCCATCACCAAAAGTTTGAGGATATCGAGGTACCAGGACAATACTTGTTGAATAAGGATAGTAATGCCCACTTTGTAAAGATTGAGCGCTTCCTTCCAACTTTGGACTTGGTTCGTGGTACAAATGCTTGTTATAAGAGATTGAAGATTCGTGGCCATGATGGTAGTCTTCATGCCTTTGCTGTCCAATTCCCTGCCGCTCGTCATTGTCGCCGTGAAGAAAGTGTTTTCCAACTTTTCCGTCTATTTGGAGACACATTATCACGTAAGGTTGAGACACGTCGCCGGAACATACAATTCACTTTACCAATTGCTATTCCGTTATCTCCTCATATTCGTATTGTAAATGATGACTCCAGAGATATTACAATGCAAAAGGTATATGAAGATTTCTGTCGTCGTAACGGCAAGAGCCGTGATGAACCATTTGTTTACACTGTTGAAAAACTTCGTGCAGCATTTGATCCTCGTTTACCTAAGCCTGATATTATGAGTATCAAGGTTGAGATTTTGAGTGCCATCGAGTCTATGTTGGTTCCATCCACAGTATTGAAAAACTATTTCATTGACCTTTACCCACAATTTGAGGATTTCTGGTTGTTCCGTAAACAGTTTACTGCGCAATATGCCTCTTTCATCTTTTCTACGTACATGATGTGCGTGAATACTCGTCAACCTCAAAAGATTCACGTGAATAAGGGCTCAGGTAGCGTCTGGACTTCAGATATGCTCCCATGTAAGATTGCAAGCAAGAATGCATCTCTTGATGGATCCCAAGGTGGAAAAGCAGCACCATTATTCTATAATGCTGAACTTGTTCCTTTCCGTCTTACTCCAAATATTCAAAAGTTGATTGGAGAAACTGGGTTGGACGGAATATTATCAGTCTATGTTTTGGCAATAGGTAGAGCACTTACTGAGCCTGAATCTGATTTGGAGCAGTACTTGACCTTATATGTGAGAGATGAAGTCTTTTCTTGGTCTACTCAACAAGATCCACCTCGCCCAATTCCTCAAGATGCACAATTGAGAGAGATTGTCAGAGTTAATGTCGATCTTATCATCAAGCGTGTTATGTCGATGGGCCACATTTCATCAGGTCCAACTACAGCAACTCAAAATGTATTGGAGTTGATTTCACAAGCCGTAAATCCACGCAATTTGGCTGCGGCTGATACTTTATGGATGGCTTACTTTTAAATTAAATTGATATAAAGAACGATAAATTAAATATAAATTTTGTATTAAACTATGAATTGTAAAGATTTTCGATCTTCGTAGCTATATGTGGAGGGAGAACTGTAACCATTTCAAATTCTGGATCATTCTTTGATCTGCGGTCATTTCTATTTCTCAAATTGGATAATCCTCGGATAGTGATAAGTGAATTCAAAAAGGAAAATGCAAAAGCAACAGCTGTTGATACTAACAATAGACAAGCCATTACCTGGACATATGAAGTAATTTCAACCTTAATAACTTTCCCAGTACTATCTGTTTCTTTCAGATACATGACATCTACATTAAGGCAAAACACCACCGAGGCGACATTTAGGGCCACTCCAAGAAATTCTAGAATACTCGTAATCATCTGACACACTTTTGTTGTCATTGTTGGGACAACTGAAGTAGACATGGGCAACAAACACGCACAAATAGAGAACTAGATGGTTAGATATTAGGTGTATATTATGAGTAAAAGGAGCATATGGAACTTACAATAACAAGGGTGTACATCACTGCTAAAATGGTCACCGGAGGTCTATTTTCTATGTTATCAAAGGGAACCGATGCAAATGCAATAACATACTGAAGAAGCAACGAACACATAAACCCCCGAAGGGAGAACCTAAAGATCTCTGAGTTATATAAACCTTCGATACCTTGAAGCCTACTTCCATCCTCTAAAAGAATTGGTTGATTCCTGGGAAGGCGAGCATCAAAGAACAAGTTGTGCCGATACGAGGCCATTCAAGGTGTCAAAATATTTTAGGTAAGGAGAGAAAAAAAAGAGAGACTTCTATTTTACTCTTGTGGAGTTGGGGGATTATATCTGTTTTGGGGTTCTCTGTTTGTGACAAGCCTGGAGTACAAATTCCGTTCAAGGCTGGGGAATAGTTTTTGTGACTGTTCCACACCATCACTCAACCAGATACCCCACGATCCCATCATATTTGCCATGAGAATATCGGTGAAGAGTCTGTCTCCTATGACGACGATTTCAGAGTTGGAAATGCCTCTTGCACTGAAATAGTCCAAGATTTCGGAGTGACAACCGGGCTTTTTAGTAGAGTGTCTTAAAACAGTTACACCAGTGTCCCTTTCTAACTTCTCAGCTTGTTTGTGTTCGATGTCATCGTCTGTACCAGCAGAGTTACTCACAATGAGCAAGTTTTCCTTTGGATAAGCATCTTGAAGTCTTTTCCAGGTTTCCTAGAGCAAAGTTAGTAAATCGGTGGTAAAAATGTATAATGTTACAAATCTTCTCCAACTATTCGATAAACGTGTTGATGATTCCCAATTTTAATATTTAGTACTAGAAACCCCAATTTTCTAACGCCTCGGATATAGTGTTTCATCCAGACTTATAGTTCACTGCTATAGATAAGTGATTGTATACGTACAGTGTATTCAGGCCAAATTTTGTCATCATGATCTTTAGCAAAACAATTATCTTTGTCCAACACAACACCCTTTATGTTTCCTGTAGGGAAGCTAAAGGGAATTTGGAGAAGGTCGAAGGACTTGAAAGTAGCATGAGGCAAACAAAGCGAAGGGTTGTAGAGAAGACGTGAAACGTTCAAGGTTGCACTGGCGTTGAACATGGCGATGTCAGTTGGATGGGGGTGTAGTCTTTGCCGTTTATTAAACTAATGATTGCGAGTTGTATATTTTCAAGAGTGTACAAAAATTTTCGATATCAGTCATATTAGAATTGCATAGATTTTTTTTCTTCCTTCTCTGATCCACATTCAAGTAATTAGAAATAGACCACTGGGAAAATGCTGCTGCAAGGAGAGACTTCAAACGGAACCAGGAAATCGAGAGTGAGCCGTGGAGGTGCCCCTAGAGGGGATCTGCGTTCAGGAAGGGGATCTCATGGGAATCGAAGAAACAATTCCAAGACTAATCTGAATGAGACAGACGAAGGTTTAGAAGATGAAGATATGTGTATTATCTGTGCTAACCGCATCAACTATGCTGCGCTTCTGCCATGTAACCATACTGTTTGTCACGTTTGTGCGTTCCGTCAACGTGCATTGTATGAGAAGAAGGCTTGTCTTGTTTGTCGTACTGATTGTGAACGAATGATTATCACGGAAAGAATAAAGAGTAATTATACCGACTTCAGTGCGAAGGACTTTGAAACTCATGATGAAAAGTATGACATTGACTTCACCACTCTGTATGCTTCTAACGACACACTTGGTCTTTTAGAATACAAATGTAAAGTTTGTAATGAAGTTGAACCCCTGTTCAAATTACTTTCAGAACATGTTAAGAACGAACATCACAAGTACTTTTGTTTAATCTGTGTGAATAACCGGAAAGCATTCATTTCAGAATTGAAACTTTACTCGTTCAAACAACTTCAAAAGCATCAAGCGGAAGGTGATGAACACGGATTCCTCGGACATCCAGAATGTAAACATTGTAGAGGTAAAAGGTTCTATTCGGAAGATGAACTTAATATTCATATCAGAGATAACCATGAAAGATGTCATATATGTGATCAACTTAACCCTAAAACTGCGGACTATTACAAAAATTATGATACCTTGTTCCAACATTTTAGACAAGATCACTATGTATGTAACGTTGCCTCATGTCTTGAAAAGAAGTTTGTTGTGTTTAGGGAAGAATTAGATTTAACTGCTCATATGTTGAAGGAGCACGGAGGTATCTCAAGTGGAAATAAGGTGATTATCGGAGCTACAGGAAGACAATACCAATCACAACTTTCGACATTCTCAGGTTTTGGAGAGGCTTCATTGAGTGCTGGAGGCAGAAACAATAACAATTCAAACCGACAAAATTATACTGACGATGTGGACTCATATGATACCAAAACCAAAAGATTAGAAGAAAGAGCCAAACATTACCTTAACTACAATACCGGTGATATTAAAAAGTTTCATAAACTTAATGCTAATTTTAGGTCAAAGAACATAACCGCCCGAGAATTACTGCAAGCTTACCAGGATCTTTTCTCGACGAAGGGAAATGAAGATATCAACCTTTTATTATATGAAATGTCTGAGCTTTTCCCAGAACTGTCATCTGAGAGAATGTCACTTGCATTACTTTGCAGTGAACTTTTGACAACAGCTTCTCGTGAGCAATTTCCAGCTTTGAATGGAACTTCGCTGACTTCAACCGCCAGTGTACACTCATGGGGTGCCGGTTCGGGAAGTAGAAAGGCAGGTGGAGGAGCAGAGCTTTTCCCAGCTCTTTCTAAACCAAAGGCTCCACCCAAGAAACTTGTATCCACTAACCAGCCAATAAGGTACTCCAAGGTTGTTAGAAAGGTTGGAAGCAATCAATTTTCTTCAGTTAAGATATCTACTACCCAGGCACCAAGTAACTTCAAGCCATCCTACCTTGATAACGTCAAAAAGACACCATCAGTAGACTCACTTCCTATTCTAGGAGGCAGCAACAATAGTAGTGTGGGCTCTTCACGAAGCAGTAGCCCACTGACAGTCAGTCCAGTTGTCAAGAAATCTTCTAATAATGCTGCGTTGTCACAATCAAAATTCCCCACTTTAGAGAAAAAGCTGACTAAAAAGCCAATTCCAAGAGTAAATCCCGTGATTCTTCCTACTACATGGGGTGCACCACTTGCGAAGAAGGAAATTCCATCCAACAATTTGGACTTTGGTATCCCAATTGTTGAAAAGAAGAAAGGGAAACAAAGGAAGAATTAGAACTGAAGAATTAGCGCTTGTTTGCTTGACATTTCCTATACATAGATTGATAGATATATACTAGGCATGGGCTTCTCCTAATAGAACAATATGGTCGATGAATAATACATGATTTAGCTATAGTGCAATTGAATTGTATGAGCTGTGAGTATAGCTCAATGTTTAAAAAAGTTTATTTTTTTACAAAAATGGAATCAACCCACGGAGGCAATTACCTATATTAAGCCACTATTTATAAAATGATTTCTTGAAACCTTAGGGAATTAGTTGTTGAGTGATACTACTTAGCCATTCCGACTCTTCAAAAACTGACAGTACATTCGATCCAAACCGCACCATGATACACGGAATATCACATTTTTTAATATGTGAAAAAAAATAATTGATTCTGCGATTATTCCTAAATTTAAATTGATGGGACATACAACCATGCCTTAGAAACAATTTAAAGTTGTTTCGAGGTATATGGGCAGCCTATACCAGTTAAAAATTACAGATTCAAAATAGGGTGAGCCAGTATCATAAAGTGCAGATATTATCTTTCAAGTTGAAGCTGGTATGGCGCAGTGGTAGCGCAGCAGATTGCAAATCTGTTGGTCCTTAGTTCAATCCTGAGTGCTAGCTCCAATTTTTTTTTGCATTTTTTTGCTTTTAAAACGGCTGGTGGTCGATTCACCACCAATTCGTAGAGATCTATTCCCAAATAATTCATTATAGTACAAAAGTTTAACTACATGTATTAAATAATTTATCATACCAAAGTGTATTGGGTATTGTATATTTATGAAACTATGAACTTACATTAGGGTCGTTCTACCCCCAATTTCACTGCTTGGCGTGCCGTCTGGCATGTTACCATCTCTACCAGATACAAATTGATTATAGATACCAGAAAGTTTTTTCATCTCACTAGCTGAAATGGAAGGCTTAGTTTCTTTCAACGATTCTTCAAAGTCCTCTTGTCTAATATAAACTACTGGTGCCGTAGAGACTATTTCTTTAGTTTTCGAATCCGTAGTCTCATTTGAATCAAATAATGTCTTAATTTGCTGTAACAATTGGACTCTATCAGCAGGTCTAAGTTTCCTACTTCTAAGTTTCTCGGAGTTCACATGGAAGAATTCGTAATTGTCAGATGCCTTTGAAGAATCTACCTCTGTATTTGATGCTTCCTTTTCGTCATTTTCTAACTTGACATGGACAGCCTTCAAGTAAGCATTATAACCCAACCCTTGCATATCAGCACCACTGAAACCGTTAGTTCTATGTGCTAATTCCTCCAAGTTGACATCATCGCTGAGATCCATTTTTTTGGTAATAGTACGTAAAATGTCCAACCTATCTTCATAATTTGGCATATCACATATAACACTCTTATCCAATCTTCCTGGTCTCAACAAAGCAGAATCAATGAGATCGGGACGACTCGTTGCAGCCAAGACATAGACTCCATCCAAGCCTTCGGCACCATCCATTTGGGTTAACATTTGATTAACAACTCTATCAGTGACACCAGTAGAATCATGGCCTCTCTTGGGGGCAATAGAGTCAAACTCATCAAAGAAAAGGATACAAGGCTTTGCAGATTGAGCCCTTTCAAATAATTCTCTAACGGATTGTTCAGATGCACCAATATACTTATTCAAAATCTCTGGACCTTTAATTGATATAAAATTTAATCCACATTGTCCGGCAATGGCACTAGCCAATAAAGTTTTTCCACAACCGGGATAGCCATATAGTAAGATACCTGATCTTAATCTCAATGGACAGTTTGCGAAAATTGGAGCGTACTTTGTTGGCCATTCCAACGTTTCTAAAAGAATGTTTTTTGCTTCCAGTAATCCTCCAATATCTGACCAACTAACAGTTGATTTCTGTAATTTCACTCCACGTAAGTTGGATGGTGTATATCCCTTAATCGCACTCTCAAAAGCCTCCTTAGTCAAATGAAGCCCCTTGAAACCGGCCGAGTCATCTCTTGAAAATAAAGATTCATGGTAAATTCTATCACCCAAAATTTTAAGATCATTAGGAAGGTAACCCTCAGTTTCAGAGACAATATCCATTATATCAAAGTCTACCAGACATCCAAGCTTTTCCACCAAATAGTAGTTTAATAATTCAAGTCTTGTGCTCTTGATTGGGGCGCTTAAATGATGAAAATGCTCTAACAAATGGCTTTGAAACAAGAGCTTATTCAAAGATTCTTTTGAAGAAGCTGACAATAATATGGACAAGTTACTTTCTCTTTGAGAATGTATTTTTTGAATTTGAGATATAAGAAATTCTGCCAATTGGTTCGACTGTGTAGAGTCTGTGTGCTCAAGTTCTGCCGATAAAATCTTATCAACATTGTCTAATACGAGCAATGAAGGTTTGTGCCATGAACATTCCTGTAACCATTTTAAAATATGATTATTTGAAAGCAGTTGAAAATTTTCATTCATAATAGTTTCACATTGAGCAAATTTCACATGATATCCATATGTGTCTCTAACCTCTTGTGAAATAAGTTTCAAGAGCAAGGATTTACCACTACCGGAATTCCCAAATATTAATGTTCCTGAGTTTTTGGTTGTTGAAATAACATCTAAGATTTCCGTTTGCATCTTCTCCATTCCCACGGCGAGTTCATTTGCGTCTGATTCATCTTTATTAACTTGCTGGAGGAAACTTTCATTTCTCAACAAATCTTCACCAAGTTCTAATCTAGGAAGCTTCGAATCAGCCGAGGGCCTAATCCAAGCATTGGCATCATCATTTCTCTTGAACTTCATCAATCCACCGTGTGGCAAGTACCCTGGAATAATTGGTATTTTGCAATTATTAGTAATGGGGGTAGCATTGCTGAGTATGTCCAGCGACAAATATTTTGAAATACCTTCTAAAGTCTTGAAATCTTGGTCTTTTTTAGATGTAGAATTTAAATTGAGTGCATTATTCTTCTTCGTTTGGGTAATATACGGATGTATGGTCAATGAACTTGGCTTTTTAGATACTGGCAGTACAGTCGGTTGTAAAACAACTATATTACCCAATTGTAATTCACACCCAAGAGCGATTGCCAACTTCTGAGAGAGTCCAACGGTGTTTGTTGGACTGGAGGGAAAGTTCACGAGTTTAGCAATTATACGCTTATTCTCCTTTAAAGGCTGAGTACTTGGCTTTTCCTTGGATGATAAAGTACTAGGAATGGTAGCATTTTGTTGTTGATTCTTTTCTTGTTGACCAGAACTAACAGTATTTGTCTTCGTAGTAGGTCCAGGAATAATAGAAACCGCAACAAATTTTGAATTATTCAACGAATGCACCACTTCAGCAAAATTGACATATACTTCATAGCCTTCAGAATCACTATGTGGAAGAATATTGTCGTATATCTTATGAGGTAAGCTGATACTTCTTTTCAAAACAGACGGGAGAGAAGAGTAATCTTCTCCAGAAGATGATTTACCCTTCAACGACTTGGCCGATTTGGTAGAAGTAGAACTTTTAACCCGAACCTTTGGGGCGATTGCCACTTCACACATAGGTGATATTTTCGCAAACTGGTGAGTCTTAGTTCCTATGTCAGTGACGACTAATCTAGCTGAGGAAGTTTGGGTTGGATACACCACCAACGTTTGATTAAGAGAAACACACCGAGTTTGTGAGAGTAGTTTATCTTCTAATATTTGAGCATGTAATTCAACCAATTCCCAATCAGAGGAGGATACTGGCTCAAGATTAATCAGAATAGTTTCAAAGTTGTCAAGTTTTAAATTGAGTGTAACATTGGCCATATCTGAGAAATTCAAGGAACGTGCAAATGAAGGATCCAACTCAGCTTCATCAATCGAAGAGGAAGTCATCCCTGACCAACCAGCATACAGTTTGGTACCAGTGGACGAAACGATTTCTACTATGACATCTTGAATGTTGATATTTGCATTGTATAGTAAATTGCAAAGCGGAGAGGGCAAGTTGAGAAGATTGGATCTCAATGGCTTGAACGCCAATGAAACTTTATGTCCTTCCATGGTTTTAGCTAAGTTTTATAGGGCCGGTATATACTTTTATCAGGAGAAATTAGTTATGTGGAGAAAAATAGCCCTACTTATAATGTGCGTCACAATGTGCGGTGCTTCGACAACTCCGCTCCAGATTTTCGAGAAACATTTTGTGGAGAGCCGCGGATAAGTACAACCAAATTATAACGATGACAGAAATACCTTAAAATTTCTACTTAAAAATATTTACAGGATTATATACTTTAGATAGTTGAATATCAAGCGGGATATTGCCACAATTAGATGTTTAGCATGAGTATATATCGAAGGTAGTACACAAACAAAGTAACACAACCTTACAAATTAAAACATATAGGCAAAAAAACAAGAAACGTTAGTCTCTATCAACGATAAATTTCTTTCCACGTCTCGGATAATTCGTAAGATTCAATTTGAGATATGGTATACTTTCTATTCCTTCTTGGAGTTGTTGTTTAATTTTTCCCAAGTTCCTAAACCGTCTCCTTGTGCAGCTTCCTCTATTTTCTTTGTGTTCTTCTCTTGGTTGATTTGACGTGCACGTTCCATGTTTTGGAATCCCTTTCTTCGTATAGATCTACATTGTTCCCATCCAACAATGTTTCCTAAGAAGAATCCACCTACAGCCCAGTTAGCAGCCTTTCCAGCATTTTTATGAATCAAGAGAGTAACAACACCCAATACACCCATTGCCAGGAAACCGGTCAACATAGCATCACGGAAACATGGAATCATGACCATATTATTTGGTGAAAAATCTGACATTTTAATTGTCGATAGCACGTTGGTATACGTTGGATCTTCTTGGTATGATGTAGTTTCATTATCTTCAAACTTTGGAGGGAGATCTTCAAGATATCTATCCTTTTGTTCTGGAACTTCAGATACAGTAGAGACTCTACTTGGAACGCCACCGAAAAGTCCCATTTTGTGCAGTAAAAATTAAATGATATATATCTTCCAGTTTATTATTTTACCTATTTAGTGGGTTTTGAAAACCATTTAGAATTAATCTGTGTAGAAAACTCTCCACGCACCAAAACATTTGATAGATTGACAAAAAAAAAAAATATCTAGCGCCGCCTGGTTTCGATCCAGGGACATCAGGGTTATGAGCCCTGCGCGCTTCCACTGCGCCACGGCGCTTTCTAGATATTCATTTTTGGCTCTGGTTTGAGTAACGCAATATGTGCCAAAAAGCGAATTGCCGAAAATGCCCGATATACGTCATATTATTCCATTTTGAAGCATGAATTGTTTACCACATTATACTAGGGGCCCATTCAACTAGATATAAAGTCCTTTAAATGACAATTTTCACCCTTTGTATACAACTTTATAAACTCATGGTTCGTACTCTAATATGCAGTACATATTGATTTTAGCGAGTGTTCAGATTTTGATAATGCTATCATTACAATAGGATATCTTTCAGTGTCGATTGATCCCAATTCAAATTAGAATATTACATTGAAATGTCACCAGATCTCCTTCTTGATCCACAACTTAAATATTGGGTGCTATTACCTATATCCTTTGTTATGGTTTTAGTTGGTATCTTGAGAGCTAATGTTACTCAATTGATGATGCCAACGCCCAAGTTAACTCCATTTAAAGTTCTCAGAGAGAAGTATGTACTATTTATTTTCTGACCAGAGGCATATAATCAATTTACTAACGACTCCTAATAGACTGTTTTTGAGAAGAGCACAAGCATTTAGGGCTAATAATAATGTGTTAAATAAAGAAGAATTTGAGGGAAGACAAAATTATCTTATTGCAACACTCAATTCAGACCATTTTTATAGCGAGCCAGTACTCGATGACGATAAACCAGCTAACCCATTCTCTGACCCTTCTACAAACGATGCCTTAATGAATATGATGAAAGGTAATTTAATGAATTATATTCCACAGACTGTCATTATGGGTTGGATTAACTACTTCTTTGCCGGATTCGTAATCATGAAACTTCCATTTCCAGTTACCGATAGCTTCAAGCAGATGTTACAAACAGGTGTTGCCACTCCAGACTTGAATGCTCGTTATGTTTCTTCCATTTCTTGGTATTTTGTAAACTTGTTAGGGTTAAGACCTATCTACACTATATTGTTACAAGATTCATCTGCGGTAGATCAGTTAATGCTGCAACAGCAACAGCAGCAACAAATGCCAGCTATTGGAGGACCAGGTGCACCAAAGGTTGATAAAATTTATAAATCAGAGGCTGATAATTTGCAGCTTTTAACTCATGAATCAATTTTCGATGGAATTGTTGATAGAGTATTAACTTTAAATTAATTACAATTACAATTACAATTATAAATATAAATACACACGAGTAATCCAATACAATTTCCTTTACTTAAATCCCCATTTTTTCAGAGTTAGTAGATTAAATATTAACATTTAACTTTGAGTTGTGCTAAATTTTAACACAAAGTTCATTTTTTGTATCTACGCATTTTATTGTCTATCACGGAAAAAAATAACTGAAGATCAGTATAACCTCTTTAATCTACCACTATTTATCAGATTCTACCTATAAATATGGCTGAATTATTGAAGTATGTATATATTTAGACAGACCCACTAATGGAAAACAATACTAACATGTTAGACCAACAAAGACAAACCCTAGAGGGATTCCTGAAGCTCCCTTTATAGATAAGGTTGAGAACTTTATCAAGAACCCAGAATCTGACTTTGATAAGGTAATGCAAGCATTTCAAGATAGATTACAACAGTACAAGTACATGGAGTTATCCAAAAGACAACAACTTGGAAACTTGAAAGTGAAGATTCCAGATATTGAGAAGAATTTGGAAATAATAAGTCACATTCAAGAAAGAAAAGAGAATGACGTTGAAGACGATGAAGAGAATGTCATTGAAACCAACTACGAAATTAATGACACTTTGTACACCAAGGCAACTATCGATGTAGAGAACTTGAACTCGGTATATTTATGGCTTGGTGCAGAGGTTATGTTGGAATATCCTATTGATGAAGCAATTTCATTACTTGAAGAAAGATTACAAAATAACAAAGAGCTGTTGGCAATTGTAAAGGAGGACTTGGAATTCTTGAAAGAAAACATTACAACTATGGAAGTTAACACTGCTAGATTGTACAATTGGGATGTGGAACGTAGAAAGAACATGAGAATTACTGAGGAGCGCACAAAGAATTTAAAAATCTAGCAGTAGAATTGAAAGTGTACATACATACAAAATAAAAGTTTAACGTTAAGTATATTTATGTATTTTGTAACTCTCTATAATATATTATGTTCGGAAGGTATCTAAAAATTGAGTCCCCAATGGTCTTACGGGTGTTTCTGCTCTGATTACGACACCATTATTACTTCGTAATTCATCAAGTGTTTCTTCATGTTCATCCTCTAAAAGCTGACTATTAGCCAAAGTATCCGAAGTCACTGAGTTGCTGAGCCTGTCATAACCACCACTAAGACTTGAAGAAAACAGTGTATATAAATTAGCAAACAATGAAGTTGGGCCAACGAATAGTTTATATACAACTTTTGGTAATACCCATTTTGAACCGGGTAAAAGTTCATTAACATATAATTTACCCAAGAATAAGCCCACAACACATGGGATAATTGACTGGATGCCATGGTTCAACATTAACAAAGTGTAAAGTATATGTATTTGAACATGATTGTTGAGTGTCAACACTTTCCCCATGCGAGAAGGTTGTGAATCCGCAATATGGGATCCAATATCAATACCTTCTTCATCCTCTTGATCTTCAGGGCTCCTTTTGTTTGGTATTGAAAGAACAATGTTGAATCGATATGAGACTGGGATAAATTTCCCATAGCAAACATAAAGAGATGAGACAACCCCCAATGGTCCAGGAATAACTTTATTGAAAAACCCACCATCATACCAACCAGTTACATCACTCAAGCCAAGATAGGGCCGTATAAAATCCATGGATATACTTGCTATGATCTGTCCGAATGACATGAATATGAAGCAAATCAATGCATTGTATAAGGAAAATATTACAATAAGCGAAAGGTACTTTCGAGATCCGAAGAATCGTTCTAAGATTTTGTACAGAAACCACAAAAAGATACACAACATAAAGTCTGATTCATTGATGACTGTTATCAGATAAGTCGCGATTCTCCAATACTGGGAGTACTCTATTATAAATGGATCAATCTGCAAGTTAAATAGATACTTTACCTGCACTATAGATACCAACAATGCTACCACAGTCGAGGCTATACATACCGATTTGGACACAGGTGTATTCACAAACCCACGAATTGGCGTAAACTGTACCATAGCTGGGAGTTTATATTGTTATATTGTTCCTTTCCGGTGGCAATACTAAATATTGAATATGCTATTAAAGACAACAATTCGATTAACTACGAATCTCCTATGAAATATCGTACCTGTTACAACCCTATGTTGTTTGGACGAATTCGAAACAGTTGGGATATGAATATCTAATGATAAATGCAGTAGTGGTATAAATGTTGATTTGGTATAGAAGATAGCACATATTCCAAATACAAACATTAGATATTGAGACTCATATCTCCTGCATACTACATTACAAAAGGTAATGGTATATTATCTATGTGGGGAAAGAATAAGAAAAACTATTAGTTAGAAAATAGGGAACAACATCGAGTATGAGTAGCAATTCTTTTATTAATATTCAGAATATTATAAGATGATTGTTTTTACAGCTACTTTCTGAAAAAGTACAAAATACTAAACAGACACAGTATATTTGAATGTATTTCTGGGAGGAGGGGATATGAAGGTCAAGATTGTGCAGCATTTTGAGTGGCATCACGTGAAGGGCAAGGAGGGCTCAACCCTAACCATCACATGATTTCTTGCTTTTTTTTTTTTTGAAAAAAAGAAATCTCGCAGTACAAACTTATTTGGTGAAAAATTCATTATTGTGTAACATCACGAAAATTTTCCACCCCACTGCCTGAGTCTCACCGGTAACCTCTCAATGTTTTTTAAAAGCGAAATTTCTCTCATCTCATTCACCTTTTTAGAACTTTTACTATAGCTTACACACGTTACAATGGGTAGAGATCACACCACCAAGCAACACGCCAGATCTGGTCACAGAGAAGCTCCAAAGTCCGACAACGTCTACTTGAAGTTGTTGGTCAAGTTGTACTCCTTCTTGGCTCGTATGTATTAATCAAGAATTATAAAAATTTTCAGAAGATCAATGAGTACCAAATGGATATAAAAGGAAAGAGTTTAAACTCGAGTACTTCTAACGGATTCGCAGGATATATTGAGATTTCGTTATTGCTGGTCAATATTCGAATTTTGTCAGATTTACTGTCTCACTACCAACAGATGTACTTCCTACTGGTAAACAGAAGGAGCATCTTTAATTCTGCGAGTGCAGCCATTTTGTGTTTATTCACGAGTGCGTTCCTTGTGCGTCTTCTGAGCAGAAACAAGAATCCTTACTAACATATTACAGGTCGTACTGATGCTCCATTCAACAAGGTCATCCTCAAGTCTTTGTTCTTGTCTAAGGTTAACAGACCACCTGTGTCTGTTTCCAGAGTCGCTAGAGCTTTAGGCCAAAAGGGTGCTTCTGACAAGACCATTGTCGTTGTTGGTACCGTTACCGATGACAACAGATTGTTGGAATTCCCAAAGGCTACCATCGCCGCTTTGAGATTCACTGCTGGTGCCAAGGCCACCATCTTAAAGGCTGGTGGTGAAGCCATCACTTTGGACCAATTGGCTCTTAGAGCTCCAAAGGGTCAAAACACCTTGATCGTCAGAGGTCCAAGAAACTCCAGAGAAGCTGTTAGACACTTCGGTATGGGTCCACACAAGAACAAGGCTCCAAGAATCCTCTCCAAGGGTAGAAAGTTCGAAAGAGCTAGAGGTAGACGGAGATCTAGAGGTTTCAAGGTCTAAGCTAAATGTCATATTTAGCTCTAGCTTGTTACCATATACTTCTTCATTCTGTAGGCCTTTTAAATTATGTATAATAAATATAAAATTTCTGGGTTTATCTATTAATATTAACGTTTATCAAGGGAACGATTGACTTGTAGAATGTAAACTCTTGCTTTCTTATAATTGTATTGACAACTAGGTTGTTAATAAGATTATGGATTCAATTATATACAGGTGCAGTGTGGCATACTACTTGAAGTTTGAATCCTTATCGGATTTCAGGTTTACTCCTAAAATTTGAATTTGTATCAAGGGGGGTTGATAGAAGGACAAGTTATCCTGGTGAATTGTTTGTATTGGATGTTATACCGGTCAAATCGGAATGAGTTCAAACTGTTCGTTTTTATCACTCCCTTCGGAAATCATTAGTAATATTATATTCTTTGCAAGTAATGGTGAGATAAACCCTCATTACAATAATCATAAAAGTAGCTATCAAAAGAGATCACCGAAATATTCCTTCCGTTTAAATAGTCAAGGTTTTGAAGATGTATACAAATCACTTATATCATTGTCTTCCACTTGCATTGCGCTCCGGAAACTACTAGGACGGCAATTGTTCCAATCATTAAGTTTGATTAGAGAAAATGAAATTGATTCCTTGTTGGAAAACCCACCATATTTGATGCTTTTTTCTGATAAGAAAACATATCATCGACAGTATTTAACAGAAATTTTAAATCGTGGGTTCAATGAATGTTCCAAGGCTGAATTGGCCAAGGGAAGCTTCAAACTGGGGATCAGTGGAGATCCATCCTTTCGAAGTAGGTATAGACAAGAATTTAGTATCAACAACTTTGTAACATACTTGGAATGTGATAATTCTCTACTTAGAAATGGGGATATTATGTTATTCCCATTGTTGACAACGCTAAATGTTTTAGATTTTGCAATCTCAAAGGATATAACCAATCGAATAGTACCTTGGGAAGGATTTCCAAACTTAAACGCTCTCACTTACTTGTCGATAAATGCAAGCAGTTTTAGTAATGCTCCAGAATTGAATACATTAATATCCTCGCTTAAACGACTTGACCTCTTTTGTCATGAATCGGAGATGAATGCTGTTGATGGATTCAGTGCAATTCTTGGAAACGCAACTACAATACAAATTGAAGAACTTAACATTTTTATAAGTGATACTTGTTTTTTAAGGTACACAGAATTTCTAGAATTCTTAAATAATATAATCCAAAGGGGTCCTAATCTTCAAAAATTAATGATTCGGATCATCAGGCGGAAAGGAGATGATTCTGGATCTCATTCCATGGGCCAATGGGAAGTATTCCTGGGATTAAATGGTGAAATGTTGGTTAAAATAATAAACTCGGCACCCAAATTAGTACATTTCGGTATGAATCTTGCATTATATTACGCTCTAGATTTTTCAGATCATTTCAACATAAACGAATCAAGGGCCAGACTTGGGAAATTTACTATCCTGTTGATTGAACCATCACTTTCTGTGCCCAAATTAGCTCGTACCGAGAGAGTTTCTGTATCAACCTTGATTTGTAGAACACATGCAACCACAATTAGATTCTATTATGGAGAGGTAATGGAACAGTCAAATATTCAAGCGCTTAATCTTGTACTGGAATTAACTCAATATTTGGATTTTATGAGGAGAAACGGTGAAGGAGTAGCAATAGAAACTGTGTCAACTGAAATGTGCTGGTCTGTAAGTGATGATACAGTACGGCGAGATTACTACATTAAATTACAGATGATTTTAGAACAATTGAATGCTAGCGGTAATCTGAAAAAGGAAGATGCAATTGCATGTAGGAAGAAGTTACTGACGGGGACCACATGGGGTAGACTACCAGTCAATTCTCCGAGGTATAGAGTTTGTGAATCATATCAAGTTGATCATAAGTTGTCAACAAATGCAAACTATCAGTTTCTTTGGTCTGTATGGCTCAACATGCTTCCAACACAAGAATCAGAATTAGTAGAAGGGTATGTACCTATACTCAACCAGAATTCTTTAACACAATCGGACATAAATGATAGCAAAGATTTCTGGAGTGTCGAAGCCTCATTGACTGACTTGGAAGAGTATGCACTTAAACCAAGAAAACGAAGTCGACTATGGTTAGATGGGATATAAACGAATTAGACCTATAAATCTATTTACACTCAATAAATTATATATACGATACCTTCCATAGTTGGATCCCTTAAACATACCATGAGCAACATAAATGGTTGCAAATTCCTGTACAAAGGCGTAAACTGTAACAGTTTAGAAATGACCACCTATCCTAAACATTGAAATACGCTGGACAAAAAGTCATTTCTTACAAGAATAAACTAGGAAGAAACATGTTCACCGTAAATATCCTATATCAACTGTTGTCATCTAATTCATTGAAAATATGTAGTACAAGGGTATCCCTTCTCTATGTATTTAATAGTAAAATATAATATCTGCAGGATGGTGCCACTTGTGACTGCTAAATGTTTGCTCTGCGTAATTCGAAAACCTCAGCGTATTTTCCAGAACTAACAAAATATACCACAAAAACATTTTTTTTTTGACGCGCGAATGCAGTCTTTGTGTAATTTTCATATCCCTCACAATGCTCGCAGTAGAGTATTCATGAAAAAAACTTCTACAACTTTTGACTAGGGTATAATTAGATAGACATACAATATAGCCATCATGCCAGGTGTTTCCGTCAGGTATGTAACAAGAACAGTAGCCATATGAGTGGATAGATACCAATGTAACAAGATAATAAGACCTGGGCTTTTCAGAGTGGAAATTGATAAAATTCAAAGACAGTGAAAATTTCAAACAAAATCAAAAGAAATCAAAGTCAAGGGAGTTTTGAATACTATATTCAACCAGTAAGACATTCCATAATGTGACCATGAACGAAGTAAACCAAAAGAACTAATGGGAGGAACTAAAGTTCTATTCCCAAGAATATTTCATCCAACGAAAGTTTTCAAAGAACCCAAGCCCTAGTACTTCGTCACAATAGAAAATAGTATCCATAGGACAATCATTTAAATATCTACTCCACTCCATATGAACAGCTTACACTTTATCTTATTTTTTCCTTTATAAAAAGTTTGAATCAGCATTACTAACAATTTTTTAGAGACGTTCCAGCTCAAGATTTTATCAACGCTTACGCCCAATTCTTGCAACGTCAAGGTAAGTTGGAAGTTCCAGGTTACGTCGACATTGTCAAGACCTCTGCTGGTAACGAATTGCCACCACAAGAAGCTGAACAATGGTTCTACAAGAGATCCGCTTCTATCGCCAGACACATCTACTTGAGAAAGCAAGTTGGTGTCGGTAAGTTGAACAAGTTATACGGTGGTGCCATTAACAGAGGTTTCAGACCACACAGACACGCTGATGCTTCCGGTTCTATCAACAGAAGATCTTTGCAAGCTTTGGAAAAGATCGGTGTTTTGGAAATCTCCCCAAAGGGTGGTAGAAGAATTTCCGAAAACGGTCAAAGAGATTTGGACCGTATCGCCGCTCAAACTTTGGAAGAAGATGACGAATAGATTAATGTATTTTAATATTAATTAAATGGTGTTTTATAAAATCGTATTATGAAGATGTTCTCTTTTTCTCTGGTTTTGTATTTAAGCTCAATAAAATACGCAAACGCATTGTAAAATATATATACTTGTGTTTATTTTAAAAATATAACTTCAGTGATTGAACTCTTCTATGTAAATTATTTAAGTTAATGTAATTATTAAGTCTGTGTCAGTTGCAATTTGACGGCAATTGCGTTCGCGAACTTGATTGTCAACCTTATTATCAAGACCTATCCAATTCAATGGGACGTTATCTGGTAAATGTTCAGCCCATTCAATATAACCTTCAATCAGATCACCTTCTGGTGGATATAATGTAGTAGCGGTAGATTTGGTGAATTCATTTTCTATAAGGTTGAATTCTAAATTGAACGCGTTAGCATTAAACACTGTTTGTGATAATGAAATGACGTAATTCAAATCATCTACATGATCAATCTTACCACCGTAGGTAATATTTGCAATCAAATAACGAAGATATTCCCATGGGAGCGAGGAAGGCGATATATTAGTCCGCATCGTTCCCAAAGAATCAAGTGCCTTATCGATAACAAAGCATGCTGCCTTAAAATCTGATATGGTAATGTCGTAGTTTGTTGCAAATGAAATAGGAACATATTTTAATCTTTCTTGAAGCATTGAATGGAACCAAATCAATAAGAAGTAAATACGTCTTCTCTCACCGGGATTTTTCTTCAATGTATGTGGTGGTATAGAATCCAAAAGATCTTTGAAACGAGTTCTAAGACCAGGTTGATCTTCAAACATAAATATTTGGGATTTGCTTATCAAGATAGAAGGAATATTCGAAGTGGTAGTACAGGTCAAAAATATCTTAAACCCTTGGTGAAATTTAGTCAGGTCAAGAATTTTTTGAAGTTGACTCAACCAATTCAATGACATATGAACATTCTGAATCAATACCCAAGATCCTCGGGTTGCAGCCACTTGAATTTCCTTCGTGGCGATGTCAGTACCTTCTTTTGACCCCATTGAAATGGTACTTAAATGTTGAGATTGAAGTTCCGCCAATTGCTGTATTTTAAATGTTGGGTCTAAAAACTCTGGAGAAACTATGATAACTGGCTTTGAAGCAGTATTCTGCTCTTTAATAAGTGTGTTCATGTCAAACTTCGAACTATATTCCCCAAGTCCAGTATAAAGGAAGCTTGTGGATTCCACATATATTTCTGATAATCTACTACCGTCAACAATTCCTTTTAAGAAATTAGAAAGTAAGTTCAACGTAGTGGATTGGCTATTGGCCAAGCATATACTTTCAATATCGCTGATTTCAAATAATTGCTTTTCATAACCCAAAATGCCATTTATCTCAAGTACCTTCAATATACTATCCCCTTGGACTCCTCCGCCAATTGATTTCAAAACATTTGAGAACGAAACTTTAAATGTATCGCTACCCTCTAAGGAATGATACAGAGAGAAGAGGCTTAGGGCGAATGTCACAACGTGTGCATGCTTTAAAGATAAGGAGAATCTGGAGAATGTCTCCTTGTAGAGCATTAGCACAAACTCAATTGTGTTCGAAACATCGGCAGTGATGACTTTGGTGAATACATCAGTAAATGCATTCAAGGAGAAATTATAGAATCGATCAAGGCGCAAGAAAGTCTTAATGATGCTAAAAATTTGAGATGCATGTTTAGAGAGATGGAAATACTCATTTCTCACCTCTTCAACCACGTTCATCACGTCATTCGCTTCATCCATCTTTGAATCAATATCTGAAGATTCAGCTTTCAAACTTTCGAGAGTGCCAAGTACAGAATCATCTTCCAAAATATTTCCGGATGATGTACTAAGTGAAGATAATAATTCTTCTTCAAGAGTAAACAAACGTACTTTATACTTCCCTTGTAACTCTGTTAATTCCCTTCTCTTCACCTCGATGTCTGGGCGTTTTTGGGCTAGTGAGATATTCAAAACTTGATTCTCAAGACTTGCGCTAGTCACCGTAAAGTTCACGATCGCAGTTCGGCCTGATAAGAATGATGATACCTTTACCAGCGAGTCTCTAGTGTGCAAAAAGAGTTTAAAATCAGGAGAGAAGTCAATTTCTTGTTCCTTTAATTTCACAACAGTTCGTCCACCATTTTTGTAAGTTTCACCTCTCAACACTGTATTGAGGATAGGGTCAAAATATTCCGCATCTTGAATTAAAATATGACCACCAAAACGTAAAGCATTTTCTAGTTGCTGTGAGAAGTTCGAATCCAAGAAGCTACTAATTATCAACTTCTTAGTATCATAATTATTCCGTAATACTTCGATTGCTTGAGCTGTTGGGTCGATAATAAGGGGTATATGAGCAGACTTAATCAAAACAAAATTTTCTAAGAACAAATCATCAAGTTTAGTTTCGTTGGCCTCCCATTCCATAACGTCATTAGCAGATGTCAAATAAGTGCAAATGTTGAAATTTCTGTCAAACGAGATACCACATGAGGTCAAATGTGTTCTCCATGCTTTGAAGAGAAGATCTCTTCTCTTTTGATCATGAACTCCACCGTACGTTAAGAATGCAGATGCAAGGATGGAGTCACCAACTAGAAGCTCTCTTTCCTTGCTAAATTTTTTAATGCTTGAACCCCATCTTTCACGTTCACTTGTTAAATTATCAATCAATTGTAAACTTCTGTCCACCTTGGAAGAAACTTTTCTCATATCCAGTTTCACGTTTTCTGCATCTCTAATTAGAGAACTATATGCCTCTTTATATGTTTCGATACTTTCTTTCAATTCATTGATCATTTCATCAATTGCAATCAATTGTGCCTTGGTTTTTGTGGTTTTCAGCTCCAAAATCAGAACTTTCTCTCTCAATGGACCAATATTCTCTAAAATTTCAGAGTATGATACCTGTGCCTGGACCCATTGCATTAAGGGCCCACATGCCTTACTGGCTCTATTCACTGCCTCGAAATTATAGTCCTCTCGAGCAAGGTAAGTTTCCTCCATGTAATTACGTAATTCTGGAGTAAGTTGTACCTCGTTATCAAACGAAACAATGTTGGCAATGAAATCATCTCGCCGAACAATTAATTGCACATCACGCCAGGTTGATACCTGGTATCCAATAAGCACACATACCGACTCCATTGTCATTTTCACAGCAGATGGGGGGTTGGACATAGATCTTATTTCGGTGAGATGTTGTTTCTTGATGTTTTGAACCCCTCTTTGCGCTTCAAGAACTTGAGGTTCGGCCAATTCCAAATCCTTCATAACTATCTTTTGGCGTCTCTCGATTTCTACCTTTTGCTTGGATAATTCTAATTGAGTCTCTATCGAAAATTCTTGTTTGCGTTCGGCTTCATTCTGGTCCACCAACATTCTATTAAGCATTACCTTAGCCTCATTGTCTTTCCCAATTAAGTATTCCTTCTTCTTAGAAAGCTCGATCTTTAGCTCGTTTACCTGCAACATGGTTTCCTTCAACTTATCAAGACCAATGTTGATATGTCTCTGGTTTTCCTCCGATTCGTACAATTTTGATGAATAGATCTTAACAAAACCCTTCACAAATTTAATAAACCAACTTGGAAGTGGGTCTGTTGGAAGTAGTTGATCGTTTGCTTTAACCTCATATCGATGAATAAAGACCAAACACTCAGTGATTACACTTCTTAAATCTGAGATTTGCACATCAAACTCACTCTCAAACGTAGGAGGAACAACATAATGTGATACATCTAGTGGTACATTACAAACGATAGTGGATGCAATGTCAAAAAGTGATTTGTTTGACCAATCACCCATCCAATTCAATACACATCTGTTAAATAAAGCTGGCGATGTAGTGACACGAGGAGTAGTTGCAGCTTTAGTTTCACTCAAAGTGAATACAACATGCAAATTGGTAGCAATTTGGTTGGTAAACCACTTATATAACTCTTGATGGGTGTCCAAGTACAATCCTTGTACGTTAGATTCTTCTTGGCATAGTTTCAACAATGAGTTATAGTCGTCCCCTTCAAATAATCCAGGAATTTCAGCATTGGCCAACAAAGTGTTCATTCTCTCAATGAAAGATGTTTCTAGAACACTTGATTCATCAATCATGAAACAGATTCTCTCACCCTTAGCACATCGAAGAAGAATTGACCTTAAAGATGAATCAAAATCGACCAATGTATAGCCTCTATGGACATTTAACTGAATTACTCGAAGCCCATTAATCCACGCGACAAATCGGGTTAAGGTTGACTTTCCACTGGTACTTGAGCCAACTAAAATCATATGCCCTTGTGGCTGTCTCAACACTCTGTCTATTCTAAGTGCGTGGTCTAACATTTCATCATATAGAATAAGATCAACATCAATCTCTTCTTCGCTAAAAACACGAAATCTTTCCGATACAAATGAAACAAGATCGGACCTATCAGTATGTTCATAGTCCAGGCTTAACCAGTTAGAAAAGAATACAGGTTGTTGCATAGCCATTACCGGATCAATATGCGGAAAAAACAAACTAATAGTCGTAGCAAAGAGATCAATGGTCCATTTGCGTTCTTCTTCTCCAACTAGTCTATCGTAAAATAAGCGTAATCCTTCGTGGTACCATAAACGAACTAACTCTTGCATATTTGAGTATTGATGTGATTTCATAGCCTCTAATAACCCCTTCGACCATCTTGTTAATTCACGAGGGGAATATACATAATGCTGTTCTATCGTAGGGGTGAGTCTTTCACGAGTTCTAGTATAAACTTCAATCATTGAATCGGTAACTGCTTGAGTAAATCCTCGGAGATCTGGAGCGCATTTCATCACCGCTAAATTAAATGTATTATAAATTTGCGTCAAGGAAATGCTTCCGGGGTAATCTACTAGAATCACAGAAGCGTGTCGTAAAAACCTACTTGAAAGAACATTTCTTCCGGGATCGGTGGGAGGGTTACATGCGCCCACAAACAGAATGTTCGAAAGGGTGACCCATTGTTTATCCAGTACTCTCCAGAATCCACCTTGTTCGATCATTTGACGAAGCAATGAAATAACTCTCTGGGTCCCATAGGCATCAACGCCAGGAAGATTTATTTCGTCACAGAATACAACAACCCACTTATCATTAACCTTTGGAGCCAATGTTAAACCGGTACTTAATTTCTTGTACTCGCAGAATTGTTCAAGGGATTTCATTAATAAGTCTGGGGTCGTATCCTTCGAAAAGTTCAATGAAAGGATGTCTAAATCTGGGGATTTTCGAAGCGCTTCGAGTAAAATCATTGTTTTACCAGAACCAGGAGGTCCACATAATACAAATGGTCTATGTTCATTCAACATCGAATAAATAAGACTCTCATGACGAACAGTGTCTAATGTGGGTACAACCACACCGGACTCAGAGATATGGCGTGGTTCCAAACTAATTTCATTTACATTCAATAGCCAGTTTTCCCATGACCCATCTTCCATTTTCACATCGTAGTCAATGTAGCTACCCTCGCTGAGTTTATCCATGGATCCAAAACAAGGCAATTCGGCAATGAATGTACCAAAATTTTCTCTCTCACTAAGTTTACTGTCGCCTGCAAATGCCCATACTAGTGACAACAAAACACTTTTAGAAACATAGAGCTTAAAGTTTGAAAGATCCTGAGAATCAGAGACATACTTAGAGTATTTCCGATAGTATGTCCTCAAAATAGTAGAAAATGTTCCTAGGTATCTATGAAGGTTGATCTCCATAATGTGACTTAATAATTGAGATTTATCAAAAATTACTCGCAAAGTCCCCGGCGATAAAATAGATTCAACTTCAGAAACAAAAATTGATAATACTTTTGTATCAGAAATTTGGGATTCGGGTTGATTCAACTGAGTATCAGCAAGATTGTCTATAGCATATTGGAACAACGAATCTAAGTTAACAATATCTTCATCAATCCAAACCATACCACATCTACTAACGGTAGCAGGGGTGGTATATTTTAAGCTATCCACTTCAAAAATTAATCTGACGTTTTCAGGTAAAGCAATTCTTTCACCATTTGGGAGAGTTAAAATCTTGTTGTCATCCAACACACTGTTCAAATTTTCTGCCCATTCAGGATCGATATCACCATCGAAAACTATCCAAATTCTTTTAGATATTTCACCTCTCAAATTAGAAGTTATTTTTCTAAGAATACTTGTGAATAAGCCATCAACCCATTCACGAGTCACAATATCCAATGTTCCATAGATTTCATCCTTCAGCATCACTTTACAATCAATAACATAAGAAATATTTTCCTTTTCATCAACTTCCAGTAATACATCTAGTAACAGTTTCCATATGACACTTTTTCCGCATCCAGCAGCTCCTACGAGCATAATCCCGTGGTTACTATTCTGAATTCGATTCAATTGCAAAGCCTTCTCAATCCAAGAATCAGTAGTAGTATACTTTCTTGACTTTCCATATTTTCTGAGTTGTTCAACTAACACGAGATCACCAGATTCGTATGATACTCCTTTAAAGTGTTCTTCGATCAACTTATGTACAACACTTTCATCATCTTTAATCAATTTTGGAAAAATAGTCTCATGTATACTTCTTAAAACAATTTTAGTTTCACTCATTTTCAATTCTTCATATTCTCCTTCAGTTTGGGATCGTTTTATAGCACCACATCTAACTAAGGTGCTCTTCAATGCACGCAATCCGAAATCGTAGTGAATTTGCTCGCTTGTTTGGCTGTTTATGTCCGAAAAAAATGGAACTATGACTGATGCCAATTGTTGAGCATGTACAAACCCGCTTGAAGTAAGAAGCACTTCCACAATCACTTCACTATCTGGCTTTTCCATCGAAATACTTCTAAATAATCTCTTCAAGTTTTCAGGCAACTCGGAACGTCCAGCATATCCTGGATTCATCGTGATGAATATTCCTGTATCCGAATGTACAGTAATGTTCTTTCCGGAGAGCTCAACTTTCCGAGATGTTGTACTTAATCCAAGCTCGATACTCTCAATTTGAGAAGATACCGCACTGAGAATATTTTTATCCAATCTATTAAATTCATCAAAACAACCCCAAGCACCGACTTTACAGAGACCAAGAAAGATTCTACCAATTGATTGGAAATCGAAGGATTCGTCACAGCAAAACACGATTACCATTTTCCCTAGATTATGACCAAGTGCTTTTACGGATTCAGTTTTACCTGTACCAGCCGGACCAAATGGAGATCCTCCTAAACCTTGTCCAAGAGCTTGGGTCATAGAAAGGAAACATCTGTTTGTAAGTGGAGTATAAGCAAGTTTATCGGTAATTCCCAAATACTCAAACCCATATGTGAACTGCACATTGGCCTGCTTCACTACAAGTCGAATAAGTGGATCCTCTTCGGACTTGTTATAATAGAAAAGTTGTTGTGTTTGCCAAAGGAATTTAATCTCAGATTCAGATATACCTTCTTTTGTTAATGAAGAAATAACATCTCTTTGATGGAGCAATTCAATGGTTAAGCTTTCCAATTTCTTCCTCTGAATTGGGGAAATATCAGAATTAATAATATCTGCGACAATCCTTAAAGCATCAACAAACCACTGGTAGATGTCTGAATATGACTTTCTTCCTATGCAATCTTCTACTTTCGAAGTGAATTCTACTTGAAACGCTAAAACCACAATCTGAGCTGGATAAGCATTTATAAAATCCATCATTTCTTGTGTACACATAGATTTCCAAATATTCTGAAGCTTTTCGATTGCATTTCCGACAAGATGGGAAAGAGTCGATCTGATCTCCATTTCTAGCTCCTTTAGCCACTCGTGCAATCGAGAAAAGTGGATTAAAGAGATTGGGTTCCCTAAAAGAATTTCTTCTCCAAAATCACCATTGACACCTACGACTGAAGAGCTTTCAACTTCATACTGAAGGCTCAGTACCCCTGGAAACATCTTTCTAAGGTGCTGGCTAATCTGGGACATATCATTCCCACTGCCGACTATTTGTAACAAATCCTCATTTCCAAGAAAGTAGAACCGTGGGAAGAGTTCTCTTTGTCTTTCAAGGTACTCGCTCAAGGATTTTCTTACTCTATGTAGACTTTCAAGAGTTTTGTCGATTGTTTGCTGAATGTTTGGAAGAGTAAGTACGTCAATAACCAATGGATACTTTTGTGCATTTCTCAAGAGCAGAAAGTATTCATGTGTAATATTATTGAATCGATTCGATTCAATAGGAAGCAAGTTCGTAATATCGGCACTTGATCCAAATACTCCATCCAAATACACCCATTCACGCTGAACTTCAACCCATGAATCTAACAATACATATAACTTGTTCAATTTATTTTCGAGTTCAGTTGCCTCTTTTTCAAAATTGCTGTAATAAACAGAATTATGCATATTGGAGAGTGCTGCAATATCATTGTTACATTGGTCAAACAATTTATCCCAGCCTCGAATCAATCGCCGCTTGTTTTTGAAATTGAACATGTCGAAGCTGATTGCTGACCAGGTCTTTTTTATAGTCTCTAAGTTCTCTTCAAGTGTCTGCTCCATATGAGCCTGGTTTAAGACAGATTTAACCACCTGTTCGTTAAGATTTAAATCAATATCCCAAACGTAACCGATAGTCATTTCCTTCATATCTCTACTTGATGTATGCAATTGAGAAAATAAAGATTTCCAGTGGCGGGGTTTCATAGCCTCGCTCATGAGATCAGTGATTATAGAATGGTTTCGAATATATTTCTTAATCAATTCGTGAACTGTATCGAATGCAGAATATTGACGTGTGGTTGAAGGTAATGAACGTGCTGACATTAAGATATCATCTAAGTTTCTTCGAAGTGTTCTAGGAGATGTTTTCGACCACGAGAGTTCTTTCAACGTTGATAATTCGTTCCATAACACGTCAAGAGACATCCAAACATTCAATAAATCTTTTATTTCTTCAGTAATCTCGTAAACATCGTAAAAGGACAGTACGTTAATGCTAAGAATGGTACATGCATTAGTTAAAGCGATTCTTTCATTGGAAACCCTTTCACAAGAATCAGAAAATTCATGTAGAATAGAGATAGCATTTGAAGGAGCCAAGTTTCCAGAAATTGGTCTCTTGACTTCCCACAAATCTTGTAACTCCTTCATCTGGCTGTCTAGTTTTTTGGATTCTGAAGTCATTCTTGGAGATAACATATCCAAGTGTTCTAAAATAGTTGCCTTCTTCTTCAGGGTAATATCTTTGATAGCAGACAAATTACTTTCCAATTGTTCAACGAATAGCCAATCATTGGGCAACTTAAATCTCAGTTTCTGTAAAAGAGTTTGAGCCTCCAAATATGTGCTTATATCTGACGTCCAATCTTCTATCTTTTCCATATAAGAATTGTTGGTGACGATCAGTGATATTAACTTTAAGTTTACTCCAAAATCAAGAACATCTTCCAGGGAAAGAATAGCTTTCGATAGAAGTGCTTCAGTCTCTCTAATTTTAATAGATAGTATGTCTGAAAACCTAGCGAATACTTCATTTTGCCAGCTATCATATCTTGAAGAAATTCTAGATTGTACATATGAATAGTCCATCTCTAATATCCCATTTGATCCACCACCCCAGCTTTTAGATGATACAGTGGTATCGAAGATAGTTCTCGCTTCACGAATTTCTTTGATTTTCGAAATCCACATGGTCATATCATTATCCAAGGATGTAGTAATTTCGTCAAGACTGAGTTCCCAAAATCTTTGTAAGTTTTTCCAGCTTTCAAAGTAATTTTGACCGGACATCATTACAGTTTCGATTGCATCGTAGCAAAGTGAAATACATTCGGAAACTATTTCAGCAATATGATTAAATGAGTTTTCATTTTCATACCTGATTAGATTCTGCCCACAAACAATGAACAATACTTCATTGATTGTTTGAAACCAATGCTTCTTACAATTTTCAAGGGGGGGTGACAAGCTAAACGTTTGATCTTGAAATACAATTGTCACCGTCTCTCTTTTAAGTATGGAAGGTATTTCGATCAGTGGTAAGGTGGAGGAGAATACTTCCCTGATGTGATCCAATTCCCGTGTACACTTCTCCACTAATACAGTCTCAATTGATGAATTCACCAAATCATAGAATCTTGGAATATCCAGAAAATCACCGTAACAAAATTGAGTCACCATATCTTGAATCGAAAGCATACAACTTTGAATGTCCACATTAGTAAATTTACAATTTTTCAATTGAAGTAAAAATTGGTCAAAGGATTCGCCGAATTTTCTTAATGCAGCGGTTTTTGAATAAAGGTTGTAGACATCTTCCATGAAAGACTTCAACAATAATAAAGATTTTGATTCCACCAAATTTGAAAGGTCCTTTGACTTTAGTTGCGAATCAATATCTTCGGAATCTGTGATTTGTTGTAAATCGATAGCTTGTGATAAGGTATTCCAATTAATTTCTAGACAACCCTTCAATGAATTAAAGAGTTTCAGTCTATGTTTATCAAGAAGAAATCCGTAAGTTTGGCAGTGGTTTGAATTTATTGAATGCTGACCGACAACGTCTTTCAATATACCAACATGTTCGGTTAAATCAGAAACAAACGGGTAAACTTTATCAACTTTATTGACTTGGTTTGAAGCTTTTGAAGGTATTTTAAACCCAAGAGTTGATAATTGACGAAGTTGGTCAGAAAATTCAATAAGTGAATAATCAAAGTTTACCTCAAGTGCAAGAATTTCACTTCCAGCTTTTTCGGTAGATGTAATTCTTAAAACAGGACCCATGATTTCAAAATTTGGACATGCTTTTAAAGTTAATTCAACCCAATCTTCAAATACTTTGTTAGGGTCAGAAACCATTAATAGATTCGTAACTTCAGTTTGAATTTTGTTACCAATACTGTATTGATCCCAATGAGAACCGAAAAAATTATCAAGATTTGATTTGTAATACTCTAATAGATTTCTCAAACTTCTCATCCAAAGAATCTTTGATAATACATAGGGTATATTATCCGATTTTAATTGAGTTTGTAATCCCCAGGAGTGAATTCTATAGAATTGTTCAATAGAATTAACCGGGGCAGTTTTCTTCCTGTTCAAAGAGACAATGTTTTGAATTTCCAAATCCACAATTGCTAAACATTTTAGTTTCTGTTCATCACTAATAAGCAGAAGAAGACGATCTGAATTGTTTTCCTTTGAATTTATAGAGGTGGACATAAATGTATTGAAGATCGCAAGATAGTCATTAAAGTTATGGCAAGAATCAAGTAAGCTATTCACCTGTGTAACCACCAACGATTTAACTTCATCAAATGCAGCTTGGTATAAAGATTCATTCAATGACCAAATATTGTTCCCGGTTTTGGAAAGGTCAACTATGTTTATAGAAACAATATATTGATTGTAAGCATCAATCAATCTCTGTGATACTTCTTCTTTGTTTATTATATTGTCCACAGTAAGGAGCAATCCATTATGACGAGTTCTAAATTTCAAAATATAGTTTAATCTATCCTTTAGTTGTAAAATATCAGTTTGATCAATCCTTATGGCAATGAATTTTTCTTGTCTTTTTCTCAATAACTCTCTAATTAAATTTACCATTGATTTAACATTCATATCAATATTTTGGAAAACTTTTAGAATGGATTTTTCATATAAGGATACAAACTTTTCCAATGGTAAAGACATAAGGAACAAATTAGAAAGAATTTCGGTAAATTTTCTGCTGATATCTAACAAGATTGCTTCCGTTAACTCAATGGACCTTGATAATGGATAATTATTGAAATTTTTCAATTTTTTCAAATGGTTAAACACAATAGATATACTATCTTCAAATTTTTGTAAAGTATCTGAATTAGCCAAATTAGACGAAATTGAAAGTACCTCCTCGATAGGTAATTCTCTTAATAAACTGTTGTAATTATTTGCTTCTTTTACTTTCTCTTCTAACCCAATTTCGTTGGCAAAACTCATAGTGACATGATATCTTTTAGCACGTTTAAGAATGTTTAAAGTTGTTTGTACTTGATTAGAAGATAGTTGTACTGTTAATGAAGATAAAGACTCATCCATAGACTTCCAAAAAATGATTTCTTCTATGGTTGAACCATCCAGAGGGGAATGGTTTAGACTAGTAATAGATTGAATCTGTTTAACCCAATTGTTTGCAATGGTTGTAAGCTGGTTTAAAAAAGTAGTGTCATTAAGTTGTTCTTCTGAAAACAAATCAATTGGTGTTGTTATAGACGTGTTTGGATCTGATTCAAATTGTATAAGAGTTTTCTCTATTACCAGATGAGTTGTTGAAAGTAGATCAGGAATATTTATTTGTTGTTGTAAATGTTGTAATGTTAATGAAAGTTCATTAAATTTTTTTCTTGCTAATGCAACTGATGTAGATTCATTTTCATCTTCAAGTGGTGAAGAATCCAGTGAATTTTGTTGAGCTGAAATTAATTCAAAATAAGGCGAAATTCCCAAATTTATCAATGATCTTATAACTTCAAAAGAACTTGATTTTATTCCACCAATATAATTTGCTTTATTAGATGGAATGTTCAATAAATTCAATTGAGAGTTGAACGGTTTATTTGAGGTTATTGGATCATTTGATTTGATCAATGCAATGACGGAGATAAAGCTTTCAGATGCCTTTAAATCGCTCAGTATCAAAAATTTATAGCTTCCATCATCTATTGATGAGTTATCAATGACTTTTAGTAAATATAATGTCTCTGATGATGTACTTTTAACAAAATATTCACACAAGACGAGATTCTCTGGGGTGTTGAAAACATTCCCTTCAAATCCATCAAGCCCTTGAAGCAATTTGGAAGCTTGATATATAAATTCAAGCAATTGCTCTGGAGTTGCTAGCTCATCTGTCAGTGGCCCTTCTCCTGACATGATTATATGTACAGTTTGTTCTAGATTAAGTTAGTTGATATACCCAAGTTTTGTATACTATTAAATCAAAAACAGTAAACAAAAAGATGCATGTCAGGTTATGTGCAGGTACTCTCGATTTAGAATTAAAAGTAAAAGAACAGAAAGTGAGTAACTTGTATGCACTACAGGTTGCAAAAAAGAAAGATTGTAATGAAAGTTAAACTTTTTGGTTATTCATAACGTTCAAGGTATCAAAATCGGTAGAAAATCATATAGAGAATTTGGAATTGAAGATATGTATCAATGGAAAATATGGATCATTATGTGATATTTTGAAAACATTTTAGGAAAAACCCTATTTTAACAATATTATAATTTTATAAATATTTGAACATTTATATGTAAAAATTCTAATAATGATAGAAATATGTATTCTGGAAATAAGGGGAATTGGAAATGATCTAGTACATTGATTAAAAGAAGTGTGGCATCTTGGCATAAAGTTCCAATTTCGCCAATCATTTAAGCCAAGGCACCTACTTTCTACTATGGAGTTACATATTCACATACTTTAGCTAGTACTGTAACTAGGATTTTTTTTTTTTTTTTTCACAATAGGGCTAGTAAACTGTATACATTCCATGCCAAGTCTTTTTAGTCTAAACGTATGCATCAATTTAAATATAGATGCTTGAGTTTCCATACAGAAAACACTGGAACGATCGTATACAAGAAAATTTCTAGATGCAAGAACAAAATAAAAAGCCGAAAAAAACAATGAGAGGGATGACGAAGCCCAAATCAAAAAATTGAAGAGTAAAGGAAATGGAAATTGAACTACCGTCAGAAAGTCTTCGTGAGTGATACTGTATTTGTTATTCCGCTCTACGGAGATGAAATATGTAGTTCTCCAATGAATACACCTTTAACTTATTAGAATGAGCTATTAGAATGAGCAATTTCATATACATTGCAACGAAATTGGTAAAAATTCCGGCCGATGCAAGATAAATCCGCATCTCCGCGAATTGTCGGATTTAGTAAATTTTGAGGGTCTCGTTTTTGCCACTCTAAAGAATTTTATTAGGTTGTCTTATTAATTCGGGAAAAATAATTCAAAAAATAAAATCCGTTCCGTTTGTTTGTTTTGATTTCAGGAATTTCAGACTGGGTGTCCGGATGTCAACCAAAAGAAATTGGACTTTTCGGGTACCGATATGCATCCGGATGAAAGCAAGTCTTCCGGTTCATCGCCTCTTTACTATGACAAGTAACCTCCCGCATTGTTTTGTTCTTCCATATATATATATATAATATTTAGGAATTCATTTGAAAAAATATTGGTACCTTCTTATTCTTAAACTACTTGAACTATAGCTATTTAGATATTTCCTTATCTTGAGATTGATAAGTTTTTTAATCACAAATTATTGAATTTTATTAATCGGGCAAGTAAGGTCAGCCGTGTTTATATAACTTTGGTGGACGACTATCAATTCTACAAAAAAAATAAAATAGAAATTGAATAATTCCAAACCTAGTGGATTCATATTAGAAATATCTGACATGTCCCACGGAGTTGAGGACCAAATATCTGAGACAAACTCTGTTACAGAGTTTGTACCAGGTGAACATTTGTATGATGGAATTGATGAAAATGCTGCTTCCAATATTCAAAACTTGGCCAGAACTGTTTCGAGAGCAAGTATTGGATCTTCAAAGACTAAAAACTCTGAAGATTTGATTAGATATCTCTCACACATGTCCCAAGTTCCAGGTATTTCACCTTATTCAGAAGAAGACATAGTACCAGAATTGAACCCAGAATCAGACCAATTCAATGCTAAGTTTTGGGTGAAGAATATGAGAAAATTGTTTGATTCTGACCCTGACTACTATAAGAAGACTTCCTTAGGGATTGCTTACAGAAACTTACGTGCTTATGGTGTTGCTGCTGATTCAGACTATCAACCAACCGTTACCAATGCTATCTGGAAACTTGCTACCGAAGCTGTTAGAAGTGTAAGAAAGAAGGATGAATCTCGTTATTTCGATATTTTGAAGAGTATGGATGCTATCATGAGACCGGGTGAAGTCACTGTCGTTTTGGGTAGACCAGGTTCTGGTTGTTCTACTTTATTGAAGACCATTTCTGCCCATACATATGGTTTCAATATTGGAGAAGAATCCAAAATCTCTTACGATGGGTTGACCATGAACGATATCGATAAGCATCATAGAGGTGATGTAATTTATTCTGCCGAAACAGATGTGCATTTCCCTCACTTGAGTGTCGGGGACACCTTGGAGTTTGCTGCTAGATTGAGAACTCCACAAAATAGAGGTAATGTCGATAGAGAAACTTACGCAAAGCACATGGCCAGTGTATACATGGCAACTTATGGGTTATCACATACCAGAAATACCAAGGTTGGTAACGATTATGTTAGAGGTGTTTCTGGTGGTGAAAGAAAGAGAGTTTCTATTGCTGAAGTCTCATTATCAGGGGCTAACATTCAATGTTGGGACAATGCTACTAGAGGTTTGGATTCTGCTACTGCTTTGGAATTTATTAGAGCTTTGAAGACTTCTGCTGCCATCTTAGATGCCACTCCTTTGATTGCTATTTACCAATGTTCTCAAGATGCTTATGACTTATTTGATAACGTTTGTGTTCTTTACGAAGGTTACCAAATCTTTTATGGTAAGGCTGACACTGCTAAGGAATTTTTCATGAACATGGGTTACGATTGTCCACAAAGACAAACTACTGCCGATTTCTTGACATCTGTTACCAATCCTTCCGAAAGAATTGTAAGACCAGGTTACGAAAAGATCATCCCAAGAACTCCAAAGGAATTTGAGGCTTACTGGAGAAAATCTTCTGAATATACTGCATTGATTGCTGATATTGAAGAATATTTTAAGACTTGTGAAGCCAAAAATGCGAAGGAAGTTTATCATGAAGCTCATGTTGCCAAACAATCTAAACATCTTTCTCCAAAGTCTCCATACACTGTTTCTTTCTTTATGCAAACAAGATACATTATGGGGAGAAATATTTTACGTGTTAAAGGTGATCCATCCATTACTATCTCCTCCATTTTCGGTCAATTCATTATGGGGTTGATTTTATCATCTGTCTTCTATAATTTGCAACCTAATACTGGGTCGTTCTATTATAGAGGTGCCGCTATGTTCTTTGCTGTGTTATATAATGCTTTTGCATCTTTGTTGGAAATCATGTCTTTGTTCGAATCCAGACCTGTTGTGGAAAAGCACAAACAATATGCCTTATACCGTCCAGCTGCCGATGCATTAGCAAGTATTCTTACTGAATTGCCCACCAAGGTGTGTATGTCTATGAGTTTTAACTTTACCTTTTATTTCATGGTTAATTTTAGAAGAGATCCTGGCCGTTTCTTCTTCTACTGGTTAATGGGTTTCCTGTGTACATTGGTTATGTCTCATTTATTCAGATGCTTGGGTGCTGTTTCCACATCTTTAGCAGGTGCTATGACTCCTGCTACTGTGTTATTGATGGCTATGGTTATTTTCACTGGTTTCGTTATCCCAACTCCAAAGATGCTTGGATGGTCTCGTTGGATTAATTACATTAACCCAGTTGGTTATGTATTCGAATCGTTGATGGTTAATGAATTTAACGACAGACATTTCGAATGTACTTCTTATGTTCCATCTGGTCCGGGCTATCAAAACATCCCCGAATCCTCTAGAATTTGTTCTGCTGTTGGTTCTGTTCCTGGTAGATCTTACATCGACGGTACCGACTACCTTGCTCAAGCCTACAGATACTACAACTCTCACAAATGGAGAAACTTTGGAATTACTATTGCTTTTGTTGTCTTTTTCTTGGGTGTATACATCATGTTGACTGAACTTAACAAGGGTGCTATGCAAAAGGGTGAAATTGCACTTTTCTTGCTGGGATCTTTGAAAAAGCACAAGAAAGAACAAAAGACCAGAGCTGTTAAGAATGATGTCGAAGAAGGTGTTATGAATGAAAAGATTGGATATGCAGAAGAAGCTGAAGCTTCCAAATCTGACGAATCCCGTGGCGATTCTAGCCTGGACGTTGACATTGTCGGGAAGAATATTTTCCATTGGAGAAATTTGACTTATCAAGTTAAGATTAAGTCGGAAGACCGTGTCATTTTGGACCACGTTGATGGTTGGGTTAAGCCAGGTCAATTGACTGCGTTGATGGGCTCTTCTGGTGCTGGTAAGACTACTTTGTTGAACTGTTTGAGTGAGCGTGTTACTTCTGGTATTATCTCTGATGGTACCAGAATGGTTAATGGTAATGCTTTGGATTCTTCTTTCCAAAGATCTATTGGTTACGTCCAACAACAGGATTTGCATTTAGCCACCTCTACCGTTCGTGAAGCTTTCCGTTTCTCTGCTTACTTGAGACAACCTGAATCCGTGACAAAGGCCGAAAAGAATGCGTATGTTGAATACATTATCGATTTGTTGGAAATGTCTGACTATGCTGACGCTTTGGTTGGTGTTGCTGGTGAAGGTCTTAATGTTGAACAACGTAAGAGATTGACTATTGGTGTTGAATTGGTTGCTAAACCAAAATTGTTGTTATTCTTGGATGAACCAACTTCTGGTTTAGATTCTCAAACTGCGTGGGCCATTTGTCAATTATTAAGAAAGTTAGCAGACAGAGGTCAAGCTATTTTGTGTACTATCCATCAACCTTCTGCCATCTTGTTGCAAGAATTTGACCGTTTATTGTTTTTGCAAAAAGGTGGTAAAACTGTTTACTTTGGTGACCTTGGTGAAAACTGTCGTACTTTGATTGACTACTTTGAAAAGAGTGGTGCTCATTCTTGTCCACCAGCTGCCAACCCTGCTGAATGGATGTTGGAAGTTGTTGGTGCCGCTCCAGGTTCTCACGCCAATCAAGATTATCACGAAGTTTGGAAGAACTCTCAAGAATTTGTCTCTATGCAAAATGAATTGGAAACTATGGAACGTGAATTAGTTAAATTACCAGTTGACGATTCTCCAGATGCACACAAAAAGTATGCTGCTTCTCTTTGGAAGCAATATCTTATTGTTACCTGGAGAGTTCTTCAGCAAAACTGGAGAACTCCAACTTATATCTACGCTAAGCTCTTTTTGGTCATTTCTTCATCTTTGTTTAATGGTTTCTCTTTCTTTAAGGCTGATACTTCCATGCAAGGTTTACAAAATCAAATGTTCTCCATTTTCATGTTTATGATTCCTTTCCAAACTATTGTTCAACAGACATTGCCTTACTTTGTGAGACAAAGAGATTTATATGAAGTCAGAGAAGCTCCATCTCGTTCTTATTCTTGGTTTGCATTTATCACTGGTCAAATTTCTTCTGAAATCCCATTCCAAATTGCCGTTGGTACTGTTTCATACTTTACTTGGTACTATCCTGTTGGTTTGTACAAGAATGCCGAACCTACTAATGCTGTTGCTGAACGTGGTGCTTTGATGTGGTTGTTTATTACCGCATTCTACGTTTTCACAAGTACTATGGGTCATTTATGTATTTCTTTCATTGAATTGGCCGATAATGCTGCTAACTTGGCTACCATGTTGTTTACTTTGTGTTTGAATTTCTGTGGTGTTTTGGCTACTCCTGATGTTTTACCAGGTTTCTGGATTTTCATGTACAGAGTCTCGCCATTCACTTACTTGGTCCAAGGTATGATGACCACTGGATTGGCCAACACTAATGTTGTCTGTTCAAAGTACGAATACTTGGTTTTTGACCCACCTTCAGGTGAAACTTGTGGTTCCTACATGGGTCCATATATGAAGGTTGCAGGTGGATATTTGACTGATGCTGCTGCCCAAGCTCATTGTGAATTCTGTCAAATGAGTTCTACTAATGCTTTCTTGAAGAGTGTTTATGCCATCTACTCTGAAAGATGGAGAAACTTTCGTATTTTTGTGTCTTACATTGCCATCAATATCATTTTGACCATTTTCTTATTCTGGCTTGCTAGAGTTCCTAAGGGAAACAGAGAAAAGAAGGAGAAGAAGTCTGACAAGAAGATAGCAGAAAAGAAGTAAGACATGTGTTCATCATATATTCCACATTCCTTTATTCCCCTTAATTTAATATCCCTGCTTATTTAGTCGATTATATATTTATACATCTTTATGGTTTAACTTTTCTTGTAGCTAGTTTAGGAGTCTAATAGTTTGTAAGCGTATATCAGCAAAAAAAAAAAAACAACAACAGAGGGTTTGTACGAGACAGTCATAACTATTCAACAGCTAACTTGTAAACGTTAACATATTAAAAAAAAAGGGGATGCAATGAACCGCTTGATGGCCTAGTCATGCCACGAGTGTAGTGGTTCCACTAATCATTCGATTTGTAGAAAATACGCAAGAAAAAAAAAAAACCTCTCACCAAAAAAATCATTGAAGGGCGAAAAAAATCAAAAGATTCTTAAACGAATAAACGAACTGAAGTTGATCTGTGAATTATATAAGATAAGTTAATCCGGACGTCTTGGCAAGAAAATCAAACTCTTCCAGACTACATCACTTACAACAACAACACAGAACAAGGATACCTAGACAGAACATGGTAACCCCAGACAAGATACACGACACTTCACTCCCAATGAGGGAGAGAATGGAAGCTCTTATCCGTTTGAAGCAACAAGAAATCACTGCCGGTATAGCTGGTCTTGATACCGTCGAGTTCCGTACTGACAGCTGGACTCGTGGTGAAGGTGGTGGTGGTGGCCAATCGATGGTCATTCAAAATGGTACCACTTTTGAAAAGGGGGGAGTGAACATTTCCATTGTTCATGGGGTACTTCCACCGCAGGCGGTGACTCGTATGAGGGTCAACCATAAGAACATCGAGGGATGTGGTGAGGATGGAAGTGTCAACTTCTTTGCCTGTGGTCTTTCATTGGTGATCCACCCAATCAACCCACATGCACCAACCACTCACTTGAACTACCGTTATTTCGAAACCACCAACCCTGAAAGTGGTGAAGTTCAAGCCTGGTGGTTTGGTGGTGGTGCTGATTTAACCCCATCTTATCTCTACGAAGAGGATGCCAAGAACTTCCATCAATTACACAAGGATGCCTTGGACAAACATGACACTGAATTATATCCAAAGTACAAGAAATGGTGTGATGAATACTTTTTCATTAAACATAGAAACGAATCAAGAGGTATTGGAGGTATTTTCTTTGATGATTTTGATACTAAGCCAGCTGATGAAATCTTAAAGATTGTAGAATCTTGTTTTGATGCCTTTTTACCATCTTATTTGCCAGCAGTCATCAAGCGTAAGGATTTACCTTATACCGACGAACAAAAACAATGGCAACAAATTAGAAGAGGTCGTTATGTTGAATTCAATTTGGTATTGGATAGAGGTACTCAATTTGGTTTACAAACCCCAGGAAGTCGTGTGGAGAGTATTTTGATGTCACTTCCTGCCACCGCTAGTTGGGTCTACGATCACCATCCTGAAGAAGGCACTGAAGAAGATAAATTGGTCAAGATTTTACAAAATCCTATTGAATGGGTATAATAAAAGACATTAAAATAAGTAGTTCCCCATATTTGTATATAGTTACTTATTTTTAAGTTAATAATAATTTATGAAAATGTACAATGACACATCTATTGTTAGACGCTTCTGTTTGTAGAAGGCTAATTTTTCCTTTTTCATTTTAAATCTTAATGCATACGCAATTTTAGGAGACTCACATGATAACGGTTACAGTAAGTGGTGTACAACGCCGTGTGTAAAAACATGAGGAAGTAAATTAATTCTTTTTTTTTTAAAGAAAAAGGAGAGATATTCAAGGAGAAGCCTTATTGGTGACACATTATCTGACACATTGGGGCTAATTATACATATGCAAGCTAAGCCTATACTCATAGGGGCAAGCCCGTGGACGTGAACGGCCCGTATCCGTATAACCCACATGTGGTAGTTGGATGAGAAAGCCTGTCAAATTAGCGCGAAAATTTTTTTTTAAACTTTTATTTTTAATCTTTCTTCACTCTGAAGCCTCTTTTCGCTCTCCTTTTCATTTAATCTCCTCATCGTAGTTGACGTTTTTTTTTCCACCCTGCTAGCTTATTTAACTTCAAGGCATTCCCACTAGATATTCCCAGAGAAAAAAAATACAAATAATTTTCTTATACTCTTAAGAAAACTGATCTCTATTACTTGTTATCGAATGCCTCTGTGTGTAGCAAGTTTGAACTTACTGCGCTGACTCTTTTACCCAAAGTTGTTTACCCTAATTTTACACTCAAGTGGGACATGATCACACGTTGTTGACTTTTTTAAAATCACAGCAATCCACCCACTATCAATTTACCACACGCACGCACTAGTGAATTCCTTTGTACAACCAAGGACTTCCAACAGCACCATTTCAACGATAATATCTTCGGATAGAAACCATCACTCTTAGTTAGACCATGTCTGACTCTGAAAGTCACCGCTCTGCATCTCTTTCGAGGGATATCATCCACAGAGCTTCAAGAACAGACGAAGTCTTGAATGATCACCGGAACCAACCTGCTTCCTTACCCATTAGAATGGCTCCCAACATCTCTTCAGATGAAGATGAGTATGCAGTTGAAAGTGACGAAAATCAAGCCTTGGAAATTACTCCTTCTTCCAAAAGATTTCCTAAACCTGAAGTGGAAGAAGGTGAACAATCTTCAAGAGGTCAACAGAATGTACGTTCTTCGAGATTATCTGATCCTCGTCAATCTGGTATCTCATCTGGTAGTAAGCACTACAACACCAAGTCTCTTCGCACCGACTATTATGCTCAGGATGATGAAGATCCTCTTGGCGAGGGAACCATTCCCATTGTCAAAGGTGCAGGTGGCTCTTTAGCGGCAGCTGCAAGAAAGGGTAGATCTAGATCTAGATCCCATTCTTTCACTGAACAAGTGAAGGCATTGCAAAACCCAACCACGGCCAAGCATTTCAATGTTCCTAGCGGAGGAGGGGTTAGTGGTGGGCCCGGATCTGGCGCTTCGACTGGAAACACTCCCGGCATTTTGATGAATGCTCCATCCAGCAGTGGTCAAAAGAAGCAAAAGCCCCCTCATCAAAGACAAAGAAAGGGGTCCGTAGCAATGGAACATTTGGACTCTGATATAGTTTCACCTATGACTAAAATTAAGACAAATGAGAGTGGTAACTCTGAAAATGTTGTCTATACCAAGAGGGAAAGAAGAGCATCCAGATCATCTATTGATTCAGATGCAGACTCTCATGCTTCTAGATCTTCTCAAGAAACAGAAGAAGATGTTTGTTTCCCAATGTTACGTGAACATGTGAGAATCAAAGGGATTGATTTTGATGAAATTGAAGAATTCATTAAAGCGGAAAGAGAAGAAGAAGAATTCATGAAGGAACAGCAGTATATGATTGCTCAAAAAACTGCTCTGAGATTCAATGGTACTGGTAATCAAAGAGGTACTAATGGGGGACCACCAAGACCACTGACCAGTGCCATGAAATATACTCCTAAGAATATTCTCAGAAGAACTACGACTGGTTTGAGTAAGATTACTTCTAGAAGAACTGAATCTGAATCCTATCATGACCCATCTATTATTGGTGGTGCCAGTGTTCCTGATGTTGGTTCTCCTTACCCTCCTCTTGAGAAAACTTCGGATTCATCAACTATTCAAGACGAATCTCCTGATGAAAAGGCTCATAACTCGATTAATTTCCATGGACATGAAGATGATTCATCTTCAGAAAATGTGAAATTCGGAGGTACTAGAGTCAATGATGGTTCATCCTCATTACCAGACCGGTTTTCCTTTTTCAGTTCCGAATCTGATGAAACCATCCATGCTCCAGATATCCCATCTTTGGTTGGACCCAATCAAAGTGTCCGTGAATTATTTCATAGTGGCGAGGGAACTTGGTGGTTAGATTGCAGTTGTCCTACTGACGCAGAGATGAAGATGATTGCCAAGGCTTTTGGTATCCATCCTTTGACTGCTGAAGATATTCGTATGCAAGAAACCAGAGAAAAAGTTGAATTGTTTAGAAGTTATTACTTTGTTTGTTTCCATACCTTTGAACCAGATAAGGAATCTGAAGAATATTTGGAGCCTATTAATGTTTATATTGTGGTCTTTAGGGATGGGATCTTATCATTCCATTTTTCTCCCATTTTACATCCTGCTAATGTGAGAAGAAGAGTAAGACAATTGAGAGACTATGTTGATGTAAGTGCAGATTGGTTATGTTATGCCCTTATTGATGACATTACTGATGGTTTCGCACCAGTTATTACTGGTATTGAATATGAAGCCGATGCTATTGAAGACTCCGTGTTTGTCGCAAGAGAACTTGATTTCAGTAATATGTTGAGAAGAATTGGTGAATCCAGAAGAAAAGTAATGACATTAATGAGACTTCTTTCTGGTAAAGCTGATGTTATCAAGATGTTTGCCAAGAGATGTCAAGATGAAGCAGTTCAATCATCTACAATTTATGGTTCTGCTTCTCATTCAAACTTATCAAACATGGATGGAATGGGCGGTCATTCACTGGTACCACATTATCCAAATTCTGGACCACCTGTTGTGGGCGCTGGTGTTTCATTTGGTCCTACCCGCAGTACTGGCGGTCTGAACTTTCATCAATCAACCTATTCTCATCCTATTAGTAGAGCACAACCAAGGGCAGATATTGCATTATATTTGGGTGATATTCAAGATCACGTGGTTACTATGTTTCAAAATTTACTTGCTTATGAAAAGATTTTCAGTAGATCTCATGCTAATTACTTGGCTCAATTACAAGTTGAATCGTTTAATTCGAACAATAAAGTTACACAAATGTTGTCCAAGGTTACATTGATCGGTACCATGATTGTTCCATTGAACGTCATTACTGGTTTGTTTGGTATGAATGTCAAAGTTCCAGGTCAGGATGGTAGCGATTTGAAATGGTTCTTTGGAATTGTTGGAGTAATGGTATTTCTTGTGATTATGTCATTATTTTTCGCCAAATTTTGGCTTCGTGATCTTGATACACCTCCTCCAAGACCAGGAAGTTCATCCCGTTCAATTAAGAGTTTAGGACTTCGTACTCGTACAAAGGAGGCAGCAAAGTCTATAATTAGTTTCCCTAACAAGTATGATTAATTGTATATATGTTACATATGACTTAATTCTAATTGTTAGTTTTTTTGCAACCTTTTAAAGATTATGTAAGATGATTTTATTTAGGAAACATAACGCGAAATTTTGTACAAGATAACATACAAAATTTACAAGGTGGAATTCTTGTCTACGCGGTCACCTTCTATTTTAGAACAATTTCATTCTATGTATCAGTAAGATGAACTGTAACGGTAAATTGAAGCGATAATCCGTGATAAAACCTGATTGATTTCAATTGTGTGGGGGGAGATAATGGTATTGCATTTCGAGTGGATAATAACAAGATGGGTGGAGAACAATTGGTGGATCGAACAGTTTCCAATTGAGTCCACCACGCTATTTCCTTCTAAATTGGTGATTAGAGAATATGAATGAGTAATATGTATGAGGTAAAAGGAGGCGACCTTTCTTCTGAAAGCCGATTTATAGAGTGGGGAAATATATTGGTGGATCAAGTACAAAGTAGAACGATGCTTATGAGCACAGTAAGGAATACAATTCAATTAGAATTAAGAAAAATACGGGTTCACTCTGATACTTCACCCCCCCACTATTTGACATGGGAAATTAATCACACATTGAAACTTTTCGTTAGACGGATAAGAGTATGACTATTCAAAGACAATTAAAACTTAAATGGATAGTAGAATTGTGTCAAATATAAAATGGTAAAAAAGACCAAATTAACGAAAACGGACTTCTCGTAAACGCCGTATAAAATCTAGATACTGATAATCTTTTAAGGCAATATAATACGAAACAAGTCATAAAAAAATGGAATGAAAAAAAAAAAGCAATACAGAATGGGGATGTGAGCCGCAGACTAGCTATTTTTGTGCTTCCCCCCAAGGAACAGATCACCTCCTTGAATTTAGCCAAGAGACTAGATTAGTCGCTTTTCAGATCCGACGTCCTTTATTTAGGTGGGGAATTTCTCATTGAAAATAACCAAGAGGGGATTAATATAAATGGAATTTCTGTAAAAATATATCGCCACGGCAATACACTTTTTGTTTAATTATTGACGTAGAATTATTGAATGTATGCAGTAAAGAATATTAATGCCGAACGAAAGTTTTTATTTTTCCTGTTGTGCGCCACGCCTTTGCCGTGACTTCGCGATGAGTTGTGCTTAGCGTAATTGGACCAGATAACGATAAGTTGTTGCATGTAGATACCCCGAGACGCACCTTGGAACACTATGAACAAGTCCAAGGAACCAAGTAAGCGGTCCTTCAATCCTTAGAATTGAGCTATAATCCATAATCAACTGCAAATCCCCTCGTAGATAATAAATGTTTGCATGTACGCGCCCAGAACAAACGGCACCGAATCTGGTAAAAGGAAAGAAATTGAAATACTTAATACAATAGTAACAACGGCATACACCGAGAATAAATTATGCAGGGTAATTGTCTGCCTGAGGTATATACTAAAAATTCTAAAATTTTTATTATATAAGTATGGGCATAATTTCCCACTATCATACTAGTTAAATCTTTGATTTATTATTATTTGAGGTATTGTCCTTTTGGAACTAGTCGTTTATACATTCCTTTCTCATAGAAAAGGTTTAAACCTTGTTAATTATTATACGCACATTCTTATCTTTAATTAGCAATTTCTAGGAATTTCATTGTTCCGTTTGAATTTGTTTATTATAACTCCTGTTCGTCTAAAATAGAAGGAAATTTGAAATCAAGAGATTGTATCATAACAACAAATCTTGCATCAATTACTATCTATTACATACAAGTTTATTAAATATGACAGATATCGAAAAAACCGCCGGTGGTAGCGGCCAATACATAGGACCAATGAATCCTGCTAAATCTCCAACTAGTGAAAAGAATGTCCAATATCTTTCAGACACTGAATCTAATAACGCTCTTCTTGGGAACATCCAAGATTTTGAGGTCAAACGTACCCTTAAAACTAGACACATTTCCATGATTGCCCTTGGTGGTACCATCGGTACCGGTTTGTTTATCGGTATGGGTTCTACTTTGGCAGATGCTGGTCCAGTTCCTGCTTTGATTTCTTATCTTTTCATGACAACTCTTGCCTTTTCTGTTACCCAATCTTTGGGTGAAATGGCCACTTATATCCCAGTTGCTGGTTCTTTTAACCAATATATCGCCAGATGGTGTTCTCCAGCTCTTGGTGCCGCCAATGGTTTCTGTTACTGGTTTTCTTGGGCTATTACATTTGCCTTGGAATTGTCAGTTATTGGTCAAGTTGTTGAATATTGGACTGATGCTGTCCCAATTGCCGCATGGATTTCTATTTTCCTTGTCATTTTAACCGCTTCAAACTTGGTTCCTGTCAAGTTTTATGGTGAAATTGAATTTTGGATTGCCTCCATTAAAATCATTGCCATTTTCGGTTGGTTGATTTATGCCTTGTGTATGGTTTGTGGTGCCGGTAAGACTGGTCCAATTGGTTTCAGATATTGGAGAAACCCAGGTCCATGGGGTCCAGGTGTTCTCGTCAAGAACAAGAACACTGCCAGATTTTTGGCTTGGTTGAGTTCTTTGATTTCTGCTGCTTTCACTTTCCAAGGTTGTGAATTGGTTGCATTGACCGCTGGTGAAGCTAAATCCGCTACTGCCCTTCCAAAGGCTATTAAGAAGGTTTTCTACAGAATTGTGATCTTTTACATCATGTCTCTTTTCTTCATGGGTATGTTGATTCCTTATGACAATGCAGACTTGCAAGGTAGTGACACTGCTAACTCTCCTTTCATCATTGCCATTAAACTTTGTGGTACTCCAGTCTTACCTGACATTTTTAATGCTGTCATTTTAATGACCATTATCTCTGCTGGTAACTCCAACGTTTATTCTGCTTCTCGTATTTTATACGCTTTGGCTGAAGCTAAGGTTGGTCCAAAATGGTTTGGTTACACCAACAAGCACGGTGTTCCATACGTTGGTGTTCTTTTCACTGCTGCATTCGGTGCCTTGGCTTACTTGGTTTGTTCCAATGGTTCCGCTGTTGTCTTTGACTGGTTACTTAACATCACCGCTGTTGCTGGTTTGATTACTTGGGGATGGATTTCTGTTTGTCACATTAGATTCATGAACATTTTGAAGAGTAGAGGTATTTCTAGAGATACTTTACCATTCAAGGCTAAGTTCATGCCTTGGGGTGCTTACTACGCAGCTGTTGCCATCTTCATTCTTGTTTTCATTCAAGGTTACTCTGCTTTCTTCTCCATCACCGCAGCTGGTTTCTTCACTGCTTACATTTCTGTTATTTTCTTTGTTGTTTTCTTTGTTGGTTTCCACTTTTATTATAATGGATTTGGAGCTGCTGCTTGGACCAAACAAGCCTTCTGGATTCCAATTGATGAATGTGACATCGACTCTGGTGTTAAGACTGTCCATGACTTGGACTGGGAACCTGAAGAAGTTCCAACTACCTTGTGGGGTAAATTCTGGGCCTTTGCCTGTTAAGATAATTTTTAGTTCTCTTTAATTTCATATAAATGCATTTTTACTAATTTTGTTTAAAAAGGAAACCATTGTAATTAGCTTTAATTACGTAGTTAATCTACATACAATGAATTGTATTCTTTTATATTTATTACTATAGTACATTTTATACATTCTTGGAAATGTCCTACTTTTTACGCGAGCTTCTTCTGACCAGAGTAGTTGCTGGCGAAGAATTCTTTACCGGAGTAGGTGCTGCAGATCTTGTAGATCTACGGGTGCCAGCCCTTGTAGTGGTAGTGCCAGATGTGGCGGTTGTCCCTTCTGGAGGAGTTGCTGTGGAATCAGTCGTCTGTGCATCGTCTTGGGATTCTTCTTGTTGATGGGCAACATCCGATCTAGTTCTACGTCTTGTATTGACAGAAGGAGGCGGAGGAGGAGTAGCTGTTTTCAGTTTCCTTTTAGATGGTGGTTCTATTTCATCTAATTTTGCCTTGGATCTTGTTCTCTTCTTTGGAATAGGTTTAGTTTGTTTCCGAGATCCGCGTCTAGTTCTCAGAGTACTCTCTTCTTCCTCTTCGTTTTCTCCTTCACTATCATCTTCATCGTCACGTTGTTCCTTATTGTCTTCATCTTCATCATCCTCTTCATCATCTCCATCTTCATCCTCATCTTCATCCTCTTCCTCATCATCATCTTCATCATCTTCCTGTTCTTCTTCATTACTCTTTGTATTTTTCAGGTTTCTGGTCTTCCCCTCAGGGGAAGGCGTTTCATCACTAGGACTATCCTCATTATCACCTTCATCTTTATTACCCACTTTGTCAGTATCGGAACCTGCCTTCGACTTCCCATCACTTTCACTGTCACCTTCCTCATCATCCTCAAGCTGGCTCAACCGATCAATATCGTAGAACTTTGTCAATTTCTGCCATATATCTTGTGCAGTAAATGGATCTGAATTATCTTTGTTCATCTGTTGAACAATTTCCTCCATATGTTTATCTTTCTTCGAGCCTGCTGGCTTATGTTCACATATAAGATTAAATAAAAGTATTTCATTTTCAATAGTCCATTCACGGACAGCTCCTGATTTCCTCCGTTTCACCACCATTTCAAACGTACAATCTCTAGAATTAAAATGAACTTCTTTAATTATGAAATGTTGTTTCTTTGGGCTCTCTCTCTCTCTCTCTCTCTCTAACTTGGTGTCCTGTCTATAGACTACCGAGTTTGTGCTCTCTCGATTTATATTTTCGTTTTTTATTTATTTTTTTTTTTTGACTCTTTTTTTTTTTTTTTTTTCACTCACCTTTACCAACGAAAAAAAATCTATTAACATCAAAAAGTCCAATTTGGAGACAACTTACCAAACCTTCCCCATAACTCCACACATAAACCATCATGCCCAGAAAGGCGGAAGTATTGCAGTCTCTCGCTAGAGGACGTGTGCGTGCATCGATGAACAAGTATAACTTGTTCAACATGTACAAGAAACCAAGAACAAACTTCCAAGGGAAAACTTTGTATCAACAAAAATGGGCTTCCAAGGCCGATACTAGAGCCTACCATGGTGAACATTTGACTGAAACCAGATGGAAACAACTTTTCGATCCTAAATTGGAATCTGTGGCCCAGTTGGATGCGTCCTTGAAGGGTGTAGCCGTGGAACCAACCCCAGTTACTTTACAAACTTATGCCGCTTTGGAAAAAAGATTGGAAGTTGCAGTATTTAGATCCATGTTTGCCGCTTCTGTAAGACAAGCTAGACAATTCATTCTCCGTGGAGATGTCCAAGTTAACGGTGTTGTTGTCAAGCATCCATCTTTCACTCTTCGTGCTGGTGATGTATTCAATGTAGCTCCTGAAAGAGTCTTACAAGCCATGGGTAGAAGTAAACCAAGTTTAGAAAGAGCCATCAAGACTGACTCTCTTCAAATTGGGGCTTGGAACAACTATGTTAAGGCCGCCCGTGAAAACCCAAATGATGTATGGAATAAGCAAAAGAATAAACCAGCATCATTAAATACTCTTGGTTCAAATCAAAGTAAAGAATCTATACAAAAGTATAACGAAGGATTACGTAAGAAGATGCTTGATGAACAAAATAAAACTACTAGAGATTTAGTATTACAAAGAATTCTTGGATCTAAATCTGAAGAAGAAATTAAGGTTGAACAATTTGAAAAATTGTTTGGTAAGCAAAATGCTGAAAAATGTTTTAAAGTTTACACAATTCTTTCAGATGCCAAGAGTGACTTGATCAACAAATGTACCATTGCTGATGCCAAGAAGTATGTTTCTACCAAGTCCTCTGACATGACTCCAGAAGCTCATAAGATTGCCACTTCTGTCAAACAAATTCTTTCTGAAATTGTCAAGAGTCAAACTGAATTTATCCGTAAGCTGTACAGTAATAAGATGTTGGGTGAAGACTCGAAGAACATCCCATTCAACGGTAACTTTGGTAAGAACTTGAAGACCCATTCCAACTTGGATAAGGAAGCCATTTTGGAAGATGAATCCAAGGCTGTTGTAAACTTGCCATGGCAAAAGGGCTTATTTGGACGTCAAGATCCATCTAAGCATTACTTCACCCCATGGACTCCAAGACCATTTATTGGATGTTTTGCCATCTTACCTCATCACATTGAAGTTTCCTTTGAAACTTGTCATGCTGTTTACTTGAGAAACCCAGTGGCTAGACCAGGTCACTCTGAAGTTATTTCTCCATTCCCTGAGTCTGCCCACGAAAGAGCTTACATGTACTACGCTAGAAAGGGTATGTAAGTAGACCAAAGAAACCTGTATATATATAGTATCTGAATAAAGATAGAGTCAAAAAATTCATATAGCGATTGTAATATGTAGTATTGAGAATATTTCGGTTGATATGAGATTTGAGATTTGAGATATAAACTGATTCAAAAAGTTCCACATTTTTTTTTTAAATTAATGCCATGAGAATATCTCCTAGGTTGATAAGGGAAGCAAGAAATCATTCGCCTTTACTCCCGTACTTACTTCGTGCCAATCGAAACATTGAACGGGCAGCACAAGAATTGAAATGGATTCAAAATGAACTTGCACCATCACAATGGAAGAATGCAGTTATAATGAGACATAACCTTCATCCACTTCAATATATTCTTGGGTCTCAACCATTTGGATCCTTGGATATAAAGTGTAGAGAAAATGTACTCATCCCCCGTCCAGAGACCGAAGAATGGGTATTGAAATTATGTAGCATTTTACAACATCGTCAGGGAAAACAAAGAAAACTCCAAATAGTCGATGCATGTACTGGATCAGGGTGTATTGGCCTCTTGACCAAATATGAACTTCAAGATGATATTAGTATGACAATGTTTGACATATCGGAACATGCTGTAGAATTGTCAATGGAGAATCAGACTCAATATTCATCTTTAGATGCAAACATATTACAATTGGACTTGTCTGATGTAAACTTGGCTGATAAACTCCCCACTCAACAAGATTTGATTTTATCTAATCCACCATATATCCCACTAAGTGATTATAAACGTCCTGTTTTATTGAATGGTGTGGAGGAGTCGGTTAGACTATATGAACCACAATTAGCATTGGTGGGGGAAAATGAATTTTACTCCATGCTATTGGAGAATCTTGTTAAACCAACATCAGCAAATGGATTTGTGTTTGAATTGGGTTATAGAGAACAGGCACAATTCATACGTAATAACCTTGGTGATGATTGGATATGTGGAGTTTATTATGATTACAATGACAATATACGGTGTTCAATAGGCTGGCGAGTTGGCTCCGAAATGTCTTATTTGCAAGATATGTGCAACGAAATTCTTAAAATTGATGAATAAATGAATAAATTATGTTTATTGTACTCTATGCTATTAATTCTCGTCTACAACCATGTCGTCTGATTTCTTTTCTTCAGATTTTTCTTCAACCTTTTCTTCAACCTTTTCTTCAACCTTTTCCTCAACCTTTCTCTTTTTTGATATTCCTCTACCAATGGCGGTAACACCACCTTGTTTAGGGAAAACTCTTGTACCCCAGAGAACATATCCACCAAATCCTCTCATAGACATAACAGGATGCATTCTACCTGGGATGGTTTGGTGGGGTCTTACTCTTGTTTCAAAGATAGATGGGGCCAACACTCTCTTGTCATCCAGAAGACTGTGTTGAGCGTCCAAAAGAGTTTCCTTGTATGGACTGTAAAGAACAATTGGACGGGAACCACCGGCACAAGTAACCAAACTAGGAAGTAAGCTTGGTAAATGTAACGTAGTCGCCACAACAACGGCATCGAAATTACCGTCTTGAACTTGTTGAATGACAGAATTGACCTCGGTGGCACGCTTATTACGACGGTCGTATTGTTGCCTCTTGGCAAACTTCATTTCTTGTAATTCCTCAGGAGTGACAGGTTCCCAATCAATCTTCTCTTCTTCAGGTTCCATGAATTGCAACCAATTTATTGGCTTGACCATATCCAGGATCATTTCAGGTGAATAATTGGAGTATCTTAAGGCTATATGGTTTGGATGTTCGTTATCATGAGCAACCACAATGGTACCCTTACCCTTCATACGTTCCATCATGGCATAAAGAACAACACCACCAGTTTCATCAACCAATAAATATCTTCCTCCAGGACTAATGTTGGCGTAGTTCAAAAGAAGTCCCAATGATTCTTCACTCATATCCAACACTCTTTGAGCATCCTTTTCAATATAATATTGAAGAACTTGGGAGGAACCCAAATATTCCACAGTAAATCTACGCAAGAACTTTTGTTGCTTACGTTTCAAATACTTTTGTTGGGAAAATATAGTCTTTTTGTCAAAACCTTCATGACCAGCAATCATTTGTTCAATGATTTTCTGTCCTACTTCAGATGAAGCTCCAGATTTTTTCAATTCATCAACATCTTCTGGTGAAAGCTTTTGAATCTTAGATCCGATATTAATGATGTTTTGATTGTTTTCAGCCGAGTTGGAGAACAAGGTAGTGAGCTCATCCTTGGTCAACTCTGGTTCATCTTCATTGGTAGTGGCAGAAGTTTCAGCCTCAAAAGTAATGCTTTTGATAGGTGTCACCTTATTATTATCAAGGATTTCAAATGTTTGACCAAATGGATAACCAAAGATTCCATCAACTTCGAATGATCCGAATTTACCCAAACTAACGATTCCTCCAGGACAAAGATCAACAATCTTCATACCTTCAGAGGGAAGCTTGATCAAGGCATATTGGTTAGGTGATATGATGGTGGTACTTTTTGGTACAAATGGTACTTCTGGTGCCCCTGGAGTCGGGGAAACTGAAACTGGAGTATCTGACATTCCTTAACAATCTTTAAATATGTGAATTTTTTAAATTTTTATACCTTAACTAAGGTTTAAAGTAATTCAAAATGCAAAAATTATGGGTCCTCAATATAGGTTTTTTTGGAAATTTGTATATTGATACTTACCACCTCTACAAATGATACTCTACTACTCATCATCTTTATCGTGGTCGTGTTTGGCCAAACTGAAAAATTTAGTTTTACAAAGTCTCTCAGTTTGTGCGCGCTCATCGCATCGAGTGCACAATTTGAGATTTTTGTAGGGATAAAGAGATTCATAAAGATTATATTCATCTGATTCATTGTCTTTAAATCACTTGAACAGACATATACAAGATGGGTAGAAGAGCTAAGAATAAGCAGGGTGTACCGCCATCCTTTGATGAGTTCCAAGCCAAGAAGGAAAGAAAGGAGCAAAGGGACCAAAAGAAGAAGAGAGACATCGCCTCTGTTGGTAAGCCAGAAAAAACTCAACCAAAGCAAAAGAAACAAAAGAAGCAAGCTCCAGATATTGAAGAACATCCAGTTGATTTGCCCGAAGTTGACTTGAAGGAGTTGTCTGATGCCAAAAAGTCTTTGTTTGACGAATCTGATGCTGAAGAAGAAGAACTTGAAGGTGACAACGATGAGTTTGACATTGAAGGTGAAGAATTCTACGACTCTGATGAAGAGGCTAGAGCCAAGCCAATGTTTTCTGACGATGACGAAGAAGACTCCGATCTTGAAAACTTGAACGCTGCCAACATGGAAGCTCTTTCCAAGAGATTAGATGAAGAAGATGAACTCGAAGCACAAGAAGCTGAACAAGAATTGTTGGAAGCTGAACAAGAACAGCCAAGAGCTATTGTTCTTCCAACTGCCGAAGAAGAAGCCGAAATCGAAGCCCTGGGTGCTCCACAAGATGTCACCATGGTGCGTACACGTATGATTGAAATCGTCAAGGTTTTGGAAAACTTTAAGGACATGGCCCAAGAAGGTAAATCTAGAGGTGATTATGTTAACAGACTCCTTAAGGACATATGTGAATACTTTGGTTACTCTGAATTCTTGGCTGAAAAGTTATTCAACTTGTTCTCTCCATCCGAAGCTATGGAATTTTTCGAAGCTAACGAAATTGCTAGACCAATCACTATCAGAACTAACACTTTGAAGACAAGACGTAGAGATTTAGCACAAACTTTGGTTAACCGTGGTGTTAACTTGCAACCAATTGGTTCGTGGACTAAGGTTGGTTTACAAATCTTTGACTCCCAAGTGCCAATTGGTGCCACCCCTGAATATTTGGCCGGTCAATATATCCTTCAAGCTGCTTCTTCTTTCTTACCAGTGATGGCTTTGGACCCACAAGAAAACGAAAGAGTTTTGGATATGGCCGCCGCTCCAGGTGGTAAAACAACTTACATTTCTGCATTGATGAAGAACACCGGGTGTGTGTTTGCCAATGACGCCAACAAGGCCCGTACTAAGTCTTTGATTGCTAACATCCACAGACTTGGATGTAAGAACACTATTGTGTGTAACTACGATGCTCGTGAATTCCCTAAGGTTATTGGTGGGTTCGACAGAGTTTTGTTGGATGCTCCATGTTCTGGTACTGGTGTTATCGCCAAGGATGAATCAGTTAAAGTGAGTCGTACTGAAAAGGATTTCATTCAAATTCCACACTTGCAAAAGCAATTGTTGTTATCTGCCATTGATTCTGTTGACGCCAACTCCTCAACTGGTGGTGTCATCGTGTATTCCACTTGTTCCATTGCTGTTGATGAAAATGAAGCCGTGGTAGACTATGCATTGAGAAAGAGACCAAATGTTAAGTTGGTTGAAACTGGTTTACAAATCGGTAAGGAAGGTTTCACCTCTTACCGTGGTAAGCACTTTAACCCTAAGATATCATTGACCAGACGTTATTATCCTCACACTTACAATGTGGATGGTTTCTACGTTGCCAAGTTCAAGAAGATTTCTGCTTCCATCCACGATGTCTCCAAGGCTGGTGCTAAGGAAAAGGAAAATGTTGCCAATGCTGAAGCTGAAGAAGAAGGTATCATTAACGGTGACTTCGCCGCTTTTGAAGAAGATGAAGATAAGCCAATCATTGACCAGGCCATCAAGAGAAGTATGAGAAGAAAGGGTATCAACCCAAATGCCAAGAAGAACTAAATATTTTGTACACTTAGAAAAATACATTAAGGATTTAATAACCTTTCATTGTATATCAATATCATTATATATATATACATATAATATATCTACATCAAACAGACATTTCCTAAACCATGCTCCTTGATATATTCTGGCCCCATTTCATCGTATTCAGCGCGAGTAACGTAGCTATTTGTACATTCCTCGCTGCTGGCCCATTTCAGCATACCTCTCCATGCATCAGAAACAGGGTCTTTTGCACTCCGCACTTTCAATGGTGCACCAACTGGTAAGAAGCTTGTGAAATCCTTTTGCAATCTTTCTATGAAATTCGGCCATTGAACAAGTCCACCAGTTACGAAAACATCTTGAATTAAACTGTGGGCTTGACCACCTGCATTAAAATTACCATCAAGTCTACGGTATAATAAATCTTCCAGTAACAGTGTGATACCGGCTTGATCAATACCAGCAATATTTGGTTGGAAGAGAACTTCTGGTACTCGTATTCTTTCAACATTCAAATGAATCTGGTGATTCCTCTTGATAATCTCAGGATTACTTTCAAGTTCTTCTGGTTCCACTCCTTCAGCTTGCAACTTGAGTGTGAGGTTTTCTCGAGGTCCATGTACAAATTTGTGTAATGTCAGGTTCTTCCAGTCGAATTTTTGAGATGCACTGAATGTATCTTCATGATTAAATTTAGGATCATATTTCAATAATTGTTCTTCCAATTTCAATACTGCAGCAGTATCTTCTTCTTGTTCTTCTTCCAATGAGACGTTAGTGATGTCTCTATAAACACTCCAATCATCATCATTTGCCCCAAATGTATCATTTGGATCGTTATCAATGGTTGAATTAGCATTACGTCTTCTCTTTCTCGATGCAGCTGAAGTAGATCCACTTTCATCATTTGCTAAAGTTGCAATATTCTTCATACGTTGTTGAGCAGCAACAGACTTTCTATCTTTGAATGCATCCATTAACTTGCTTCTTTCCTTCATTTTAGATACCAAATCTTCCAATTCCATACGTTTAACTGCACACCAATCTTCCAAGTCACGAGCTCTCCATTCTTCTTGTTCCTTTTCAAACTTGGCCACCAATGCTTCTTCTTCTCTCTTGGCTTCTTTAGCTCTTTCTCTAGCATCAAAATTCGCCTTGAGAAGACGTTGCTTTCTCTTTTCTTTGATTTGATCTTCATCCAATTGATCGTCTGGAATGTCTACCAATGGCCATGATTGTTCATTACCTTCTTCATTACCTTCTCCACCAACATCTTCATTTCTAGCTCTTTTCAAAGCCTTATCCAAAGATGCCAAATACTTATTGAATGCTTCTATACTTTCGAAATCTTCAGATAATACTCTTTGATGTATTTGAGTTTTATTTAATGATTCAAATTCAAGTTTTAAATTTGAATAATATTCCCATTCTTTCTCCTTTTGAACAAGTTTTTCCAATCTCTTTTGTTGAGCTTGTAATTGAAGTCTCTTCCCTTGTTCTCTTCTCTTTTCTGCTTGTCTAGCTAATTCTTCTTCTGATTTTTTCTTTTCATTTGGTACATGTATTTCCACTGGTGCTTGTAATACAATATCATTACGTTCCAAGTTAGGCATATCAAGGTATGTTTTCAATTCTTCTTGATAATCTTGTGACACATAACAATGTTCCTTAATTATATGAGATGTATGAACCGGGGTGATTTTAGATGGGAAATATGGATATTTCATTGCCAATAATTTCAGTGCAAATTGCAGTGATTGTGATCCACCCCAATCAAGTCTTTTCGTTTGCAGGAGTATCCCCTTACCGTCCAACACTGGGATAACATGAGTCAGTTCATGTCCGGTCCCTATAACCAATGAATTTGTAACTTTTGAATTATCAGTATTAGCATAAAGTGAGAAAAGTGAATCAATTCCAAACGTAACTTTAGGAGCCAGATATGTTTCAAAAAGTAATTCATACATGTTTTTTCTTTGTGAAAGTGGACAAGCTGGAGGTTCAGTCATAATCACTGGATTATTTAATTTCCCATTATCACTTGTCACTGAGAGATGTTCAAATGAATAATCCAACATATCTTCAATATAATCCCAATTTGTAATAAGTGGCCCGTCAAATGGACTCTTGATCGAGGACTTAAATGCTGGATCTCTATGGACGTCATTCCCAATAATAGTAAGGGTTTTCTGAGCCTTACGATCTCTATAACGTGAGAGTAAAGCTGGGAATACATTATTTGGAGATGTGTTATTGGTGAGTCCCACCTTGAATGAAGATGAACCAAGATCTAAGGCAATGGGCACATTTTCTTGGTAATTGTCGTTGAAAGGTTCTGGATTTTCTGGAGAAATGGTTTCTTTAAGTGGATATATCCGCTGTGGTGCTGGTGGGTCAATCAGTGGCATTTTTTTTATTTTTTTTCTACTGGCCAATTCTTCTTCTTCTTCTTTTTCTTTTGGTTCTACTTTCTTTCTCTTGTCAACTATTGAAGTATTATACTTTCTTTTTATTTCCACACCTCCTTATGATTCCTTCAATGTTCTAAATCTATCAATTGTGATAAACTTTCACTTTCTCATAGACGGGTTTTGTCTAAGTCGTGCACATCACAAACTAAATAAATGTTTATTGGGTGTGTACATGATCCCGAATTATCGTCCCAAACCCTGATTGAAATCTAACCACGCGTACCGAATTCTTCAATTCAAAAAGACTCATAGCCACCCCTGACCCCCAATATGTCTGAAGAAAGTCCATTTAACTTGCAAGGATATAACATCGTGACCATTCTTAAACGTTTGGAAGCCGCCACTTCCCGTTTAGAAGACGTCACCATTTTCCAGGCCGAAACAGGCAACCAATCTAAGGCTCCTAATGCTCAAAAATCCATCAATTCCAATCCTACACCAGCATCTGATGCAGACGAATCTGTAGTAGTGGTTGTCCCTGAACCCACTGCTAAGCCCAAGTCAATTGTTGAATTCCAAAACTTTATCACTGATAACATCGCCCCCTTTGTTGAGACTTCCAAGGGTATAGACTCCATTGTTGGTGAAGCTGCAGGCCATCTTCAAAAAGGGTTTGAAGCTCAATTGGAATTCCTTAACATTGCATCGAAGACCAAGAAACCAGATTTCTCTAACCCACGTTTCATGGAACTCCTTGCACCAATTAACCAAGAGATCCAAAAGATTTCTGAAATTCAAGATGCAAACCGTAAATCCGAGTTCTACAATCATTTGAGTACTCTTGGTGAAGGTGCACCAGTATTGGCCTGGATTTTATCTGACACTCCAGTCTCTGCCATCCCAGAGTACAAGGATAGTGCTCAATTCTGGTCCAATAGAATCATGAAGGATTTCAAGGAAAAGGATCCAAAGCATGCTCAATGGGTTAAACAATTCCTTTCCATATTTGAAGCTTTGAAAGTGTATGTTAAGGAATTTCATACTACTGGAGCTTCTTGGAATGCCAATGGTAAATCATTGGAGGAAATCTTAGATGAGAAGAATGAAAGCACTTCTGTACCTGCAGCACCTCCTGCCCCTGGTGCTAGTGCTGGTGGACCACCACCACCACCTCCACCACCTCCACCACCATCCAACTTGTTTGAAGAACAAGAGAAGCCAGCCGGAGGAATGAATGCAGTATTTGCGGATTTAAACCGCGGTGAAAACATTACATCTGGTCTCAAGAAGGTTGACAAATCAGAGATGACCCACAAGAACCCAGAATTGAGAAAGCAAGCTCCACCAGTGGCCAAGAAGCCAGCACCACCTAAGAAACCAACTAGTTTATCATCTGGACCTCACGCCACAGCTCCTAAGAAGAAGCCAGCCAAGAAGGAACTTGTCGACGGTTCTAAATGGATTATTGAAAACTTTACTGAATCTGATGTTTCAGCTCAAACTCCAATTGTAATTGAAGTTGAAATGAGTCAATCTGTTTTCATTGGTAACTGTTCGGGAGTTACCATTCAAATCAAGGGTAAGGCAAATGCCATCTCTGTTTCCGAAACCAAGAATTGTGGCATTGTTATTGACTCTTTGATTTCAGGAATTGATTTTATTAAATCATTCAAATTTGGACTTCAAGTAGTTGGTACTGTTTACATGATTAGTGTTGATAAGTGTGATGAAGGTAGCATTTACTTGTCTGCAGAATCTGCAGAAGTTGCACAAATCTTCACAAGTAGTACTACTGCTTTAAATGTCAATGTACTGGATGCAGATGACTACACTGAACTTGCTATTCCAGAACAATTTAAGCATACCTTCAAGGATGGAAAGATCATCAGTGAAGTTGTGGAACATGCTGGTTAGAATCGAAAAGGAAGTAAAGAAACACTGGATTAAGAAGTAAAATTTTTTTACATGGTGAACAGTACCTTAGATATGTATGAGCTTTCTACATGTATATTACGAAAGGATCAAAGTACGATTATAAATTTTTTGTAGAACTGAAATGTTTTGTATTTGAGTGCAAATAGTAGATGTAAGGGGAGTAGTATGCAAGAAAGTTTCTTTGGTGTAAATATGCAGTCATATACAAATACAAAGAAAAAAAAGATAAACATTATCTGCAATACATTTCCATCTATACACAGGATGGAGGCAAATTTTTCGTGGAACATCATGGAAGGTTTGTCTGATAGACACGCTTAGAAATTCGAGGACAAAGATTTAAGGGATCTAACTTTTTTCTAAAGATCAGCTATTCATTTGTAATATAGAGGACGTAAACATAAACGTTTCGTAAGAAGACAAAAGCTCTTGATATACTAGATACGATCTCGATTTCGTTCTACTAATAATATATTTGATTAATACATAATGGTTAAAGACACCAAATATTACGATCTTTTGGGAGTTTCTCCTTCTGCTTCTGACACTGAATTGAAGAAGGCCTACAGAAAGGCTGCCTTGAAGTACCATCCAGACAAGAACCCTTCACCAGAAGCTGCTGAAAAGTTCAAGGACCTTTCTTCTGCATACGAAGTTCTTTCCGATGAGCAAAAGAGAGAAATTTACGATACCTATGGTGTAGAAGGTTTACAAGGTGGTGGCCCAGGTGGTATGGGTGGTATGGGTGCTGATGATATCTTCTCCCAATTCTTCGGTGGTGGTAGCTTTGGTGGCATGGGTGGTGCTTCTCGTGGTCCACAAAGAGGTAGAGATATTAAGCACTCCATCTCATGTTCTTTGGAAGAACTTTACAAGGGTAGAGTTGCCAAGTTGGCCTTGAACAAGACTATTCTCTGTAAGGGTTGTGAAGGCCGTGGTGGTAAGCTCGGTAAGATCAAGAAGTGTTCTTCTTGTAACGGTCAAGGTGTTAAGTTTGTTACAAGACAAATGGGTCCAATGATACAAAGATTCCAAACTACTTGTGACGTTTGTCAAGGTAGTGGTGACATCTGTGACGCCAAGGACCGTTGTACCGACTGTAAGGGTAAGAAGACTCAAACTGAACGTAAGATCTTACAAGTCAACATTGATCCTGGTATGAAGGATGGTCAAAGAATCGTTTTCTCTGGTGAAGGTGATCAAGAACCAGACATTACTCCAGGTGATGTTGTTTTCGTTGTAGATGAAAAGCCACACGAAAAGTTCACCAGAAAGGGTAACGATTTATACTACGAAGCTGAAGTCGATTTATTGACATCTTTGGCTGGTGGTGAAATCGCTTTCAAGCACGTTTCTGGTGACTACATCAAGATTACTATCTTGCCAGGTGAAGTTATTGCTCCAAACGCTCTCAAGGTTATTGAAAACCAAGGTATGCCAATCTATAGACAAGGTGGTAGAGGTAACATGTTCATTAAGTTCAGTGTTAAGTTCCCAGCCAATGGCTTTGCCGGTGAAGACAAATTGAAGTTGTTGGAACAAGTTTTACCTGCTAGAACTAAGGCTGTTATTCCAAAGGGTGCTGAAGTTGATGAATGTGACTTGGTTGACGTTGACCCATACAAGCACAACTCTCAAAGCAGACGTGACGCTCATGACTCAGATGATGAAGAAGGTGGAGCTGGTGGTCCAGGTGTTCAATGTGCTTCCCAATAGGTGCAATAGCTATTTATTTTATATATTAAGTAAAGTTGCGATCGGTTTATGTTGGACTGTAATTATATTGGATTCTATTTAATTCATTATTCGTAGTTTTGTTTCAATTATTTGATTAATTTCTTGCCAGTTTGATGGACCACAAACCATAATACTAAGGTTCCTATCGCACAAAAGCCACCCATAATGGTGTAACAACCCCCTTCACCAATACCATCAACAATACTTTGTAACACACCAACTCCTGCAGCTCCCAACAAACACCTCATTAAATTAATACAACTTGAACTTGATGATCCTTGATGAGGAAATAAGTCCACTAACAAGGTTGTAAGTGCACTCATGATACATATAGCACACGTTGAGTATATGAACGCTGCAATAAGAGGGACTGCAATATTTACTCTATATTGAATGCACCATCCAAAAACAATATAACATGCAATAGCTATCAATGAAGGGATGATACAAATATGCAATCGTGCTTTGTAAATGTTGAAAATAGGAGGATTTTCGACTCCTTTAATTTCTTCATCATATTGATCTTTCTTTTGTTTATAGATTAAATTCAAGAGCTTCCCGCTTGCTAAGGAACCTATCAAGGATCCCAATCCTGGTGCTAAGTAGCATAAACCAATCTTGATGACGGAGAAGTCGTACTTGCTGCTGAGACTAGTAGATAATGTAGTGAGACTCATAGTCCAAGTTGTGAATTGAAGCCCCCCTGGGAGTAAGATGAAGAATATGGTTGGCTTAAAAAATATCACAAATGGAGCAAAGGCATTTGACAATTTTGAATTAGTTGATGGTGTAATGGAGTCAACATTTCCAACAAGTCTACTTCTAATTGTAGGAAGATAAAGAATAGGCAGAAGATTAACCAATCTTTTTGGTTGCACCGACATATCTCCAACAAGCAGTCTGCTGGTTTCTGGATACAAAATTAATGCAAGGATGAATACAACCCCACTTCCTATGGCAAGGAATACAAATATACCACGCCAACCAAAACCAGATACCAAACCAGCACCCAAAAGCCCACCAAAACCCTGACCCACCAATTGCAAGCCAGTGACTATTCCAACAAATACCCCTCTTTCAGATCTAGGACATATATCTCCTACAACCCCAGAAGATATCGAGATGACGGGAGCAATTGAAAGGGCTTGAATACACCGGAGAACAACCAAAAGCCAATAAACGTTAGTTCTCGAGAGTCCAATACAGGTGGCACAATATGCAACAAGACAAAAAAGGACCGAGGGCCTTCGTCCGTATTTATCTGCAATGGGAGCCATAAACGATGGCCCTAAACCTTGAAAGATCAAGTACACCACAACCGACACATTGGTAATACTAGCAGGTTCTTTAAATTTTTCAGAAAGTATAGGAAGTGCAGGGAAATAAATTGACGATGAAAGAGTCGACCAAATACCTGTTAATGATATTAATACAGCTAAATAACCCTTTTCCCTTTTCGTTAGAATGGAATATGGAGGTTGTTCCTTATGCTTTAACTCCTCACAGTTGACTAATGATGATGAGGAGACCATACTTTTTTTTTTTTTGTTGCATATGGAAGTTCACTTTACCCGGTCTATCTTCCACTTTTATATTCATATACACTGACCATCTAATATAGTTCAGTTCAGTTCAATGTTTGAGTTAGCTCCGAAATCTCGGTGATATGTCCGAATGGGATTTAGCTTAAAAGAACTGTAACGGCTTTTTAGCGCGAAAATACTTGCGTAATGCTGTCAAAAACATAGACGTGAGAATTACGACGACTGAAATCAATTACGTAGGCCCAGACTTGGATAAATAATTAAGTACTATATCGATGGAACACACCATTGGGAACTAGCTACTAAAAATAGATGGAAGAAAAATGTGTCAATGTAATGAAAGTGAATTTTTAAAGATTACTTGACAACGGGATACTCAGTCCTTGGACGGACATAACAGGAGGCTAAAATCCGTTTGATTAATGCATATGTGAACTCATTTAAGAATTTAGGCTGTTCCATGCACACCCAACATCAAAAATAGCTCTTGTTGTTGATGTTGTACTTGAGTTTCGTAGTGAAACTTCACTGAATCTTCATGTTTCTCATATACATCATAATGAGGGGAGGAGTGTACCTTGTGCTTAGAAGTTGCTTGTAAACTGTGAAATGGTGGCAACAGCCGCATGTATTTGAATTAGTACGTTTCTGTTTGTTTCTATAGTAAAATAAATAAGTTAATAATATATATAGTGATTCAAGTATAGTCTTATGACTTGTCTATGATTTGTCTATCTTTGTATCTGTAGGGGTTCCAGAATATAGTACCACCACTACTAGAAGGATATATGCGATGGCACAAAATCCTGCCATTAATGTGTAACAACCCCCCACACCCATTGCAGAAGTTAAGTTTGAGAGGACACCTGTACCAACAGCTGCCAACAGACATCGCACCAAATTTAAACAACTCGTCAGAGTAGATCCCTTTCCTGGATAAAGATCAACTAGCATTGTAGTGCCCGCAGCCATAAATGAAGATGCAGAAAATGAAATCATACAAGATGAAATTATTATGGATATAATGTGTTGTTTGTACTCTAGACACCAACCAAATATTAAAAGTCCACTAGTCATAATAATGGCCCCAGGTAACAACACATCCAATCTTGTTCTATATATATTAAATGGTGGCCTCTCACTTGGATCAATTGATGCGTATTTCTTATCATAAGCCAGCTTTTTTTGACAATAATACCAATTTAAAAATCTCCCAGTTATTATAGACGCTACAAGGCAGGCAATTCCCTGAGGTAAATATATAAGCCCCACGTGCAAGATCGAGTAATGATATTCCTTCTCCAATACTGTGGAAATAGATGTAAGGACCATGGTCCACGCAGCAAATTGTAAACCACAGGCAAATAATGTGAATACAACTGAACGTTTAATAAGAATTCTAAATGGAGCCAATAAATCCAATGATTCAGCTTTATCTAAAGTTCTATAATCATTAGTTAGACGTTTCTTTATAAACGGAGCATTCAATATGGGCAGTCTATTAATTAATTTTGCAGGCATGATTGAACAATTACCAACTATCAGTCTTTTCGTTTCAGGTAAGAAGACAGAGGCAACAATTAAAGTACAACCTCCACCAATTGCCAAGAATATGAAAATGGCTCTCCAGTCAAACAGAGCCATAAGCCCGGACCCAATAAGTCCTCCGAAACCATTCCCCATTAATTGAACTCCACTGATGATTCCTACAAATCCTCCCCGTTCCGCACGAGTGGTAATATCACCGCCAATACCTGAGTTGATGGCTATGACGGGGGCTATACCCGCTGCCTGAACACATCTCAAGACTGCAAGTAACCAGTACACATCTGTTTGAGAAAGACCTATACAGGCGGCAATGAATATTACAAGACTAACAAGAATAACAGGTCTTCTACCAATTGTATCAGCAAAATTCAGGGAAAATGTAGGAGCAATGCCTTGCAGAAGTAAGTAGGCCACGACAGATAAATTCATGACGGGCTCAGACACTTTAAAGTACTGTGAGAGAACAGGTAATGCCGGGAAGTAGATGGGAGAAGACATAGTAGACCAAAGACCAACCAATGATAAGAGCACTACAAAGAAAACTCTTTCTGTAGGATTAATGATAGAATACGGAGGTATATCCACGTCTTCTTGAGGTCCTTCATCCAACGTTGAAGAAGACACTCTCAGCAGAGATTCACTCATATTTGTGAATTAATATATAGTGTGGATCATAAGAAGATAAAAAGTAAATGGGAGTAGAAATAAAAAAAATTTAAGGATCGAAAAGTATATCACACTCCCGCATATTTTTTTTATAGTTTCTAGGTTTCACCTTCTACCCGGAAAGCATAACTAATAATATATATATATATATGTATATTGTTTACACAAAAGCAAACTTCATGTGATACCCAGGGTCTACGCTACTTGAAGTAGTCTTATAGTAGAATCGGAAATGTATTTAATTTACCTATCGCAACGGTTTTCGGAGAGAAATGGCCATCACCGAAAATCTTACTTTTATCTCCGAATAGATTTCGCACTAAAAAAACAGGTTTAGCCACACATTGCACGGCATATTCCTTAATAGTAAATGAGTCAAAGAAGTATTCTTTACGATCACACCGTTGTGTGCATAGAAGTAAAACAAAGTGAATATCCAACGAATTTATAAACGAGGATGGCTACACATATCTACATAGATTTTCTTGGTTGGTATATATGGCTGCAAAAAATTATACATCTATTGTCGTGAGTTATTATACTTCTTTGCCGGTGGGTTTTCTGGGGTTGTGATCATGAAATTAATATTTGATGATTTTGAAGTTTGCTTCAGCTTCTTTGTTGGTGGTTCCTCAGTCTCTTCCTTATCGAATCTTAAAATGCTCCCACCCCCTGGTACTTTACTCTTTTCAGATTCAGTTGAAGTTGTTGATGGAGGTGCTATTGGTGCCCCTACAAGTGGTGCACCAATAGACGGTACTGGGGGAATTAAATACTGAACTCCTCCCTTTGGCGGGGTTGTAGTAGCGTAGTATTGATATGGTGATTTCTGAGGAACATATGCTCCTCCATACTGTTGCAGCTGTTGTGGTTGTTGCTGTTGCTGTTGTAACGGTGGTTGTAATTGCTGCTGTTGACGAGTGAATAAATATCTCTGTGGAGACAGTTGTAAAGCTTGTTGTGGTGGCAGCTGATTTAATTGCTTGGAGTTTTGAGGTGGCAGCAGTTGCGATACAATTTGTAAAGGTTGCAGTTGAAGTGGAGGCTGTTGTACAACCACTGGCTGTGATGGTAAGTGTTGTGGTTGTTTCTGGGTATAAGGGGATCCAAGGAATTTGGATTCAGTTCCTGGAGGACTAACATTATAGTACAATGGGTATTGTGGTGGCAGGCTTTGATAACTCGTAAGTGGTAACGGCAATAAAACTGGCTTGGGATTGGTCATAAGTGGAGAGGCATCCTTTTCGCTTGTATCGGACCGCACTCTTCTATGTACAAGTAAAGACGGCAGACGAGTAGGAGATCTCACTGGTGATGCAGGACGGGTAGTTCGTTTTATGTTTTCTTCTGTTTCAGAAAATGAAGGTAATATTGACGAACTGATTTTCCTCTTTCTACCCTCTGAAGCGGCTGCTTCTTCAGTAATTCTCTTTACTACAAGTTCTGTTTCACTCAGAAGCTTGTATAATTTCTCACGAAGTTCTTCAGTTTTAGTATCACTTAAGAATATAAATGGTATGATTTCTGGTGAAAGATTGAGCGATTTAGCTAATTTTAATAACTCCATGGTTGTACCTGCCAACTCATTTTTAATCAACTCACGTTTAGTGACCTCTTGTTCAGTTTTAAGCTTTATAATCTCATTAATTGTTTCAGTGGAATATTTCCCCATACTATCCACATCTACATTTAATATGTCTGCGATATATTTCTCAATTGGCGTGGTGGTATTTGATTTATTCTCAAGGTCTTGAGATGCTGGCACTGGTAGGTTCTCAGTTTCTATTTTTAACCCTTTGTCTAATGCTTGTTCTTTATCCTTTTCATCTCTATCCTTTGCTTCTTGAATGATTTTCTCCAAGGACTTTGAGGTCATCAGAGAGCCATGCCCATAATGATGATATTTTGACCGATCAATTTTAATGGTTTGTAACTCAGACAATAGTTTTTGATTAGTAGGTGATGGCTTTTGATGCTTTTCTTCTTTGAAAGACTCGGGGCTAGAATCAATCTTCAGTTCATCTTCTGTATCATTAGACAGCGAAGAAAGTGAGCTAGTACGTCTTGTAGATCGTTGACCACTAACATGGAATTTGCCGCCAGCCGAAATGTCGGTGGATTTTGGCGTGTTCATTAGACTTAATACGGATATCAACTTGTCTATTTCAATAGGGTATATGCAATGGAAAGTGTGACTTATTTAAAATCAACCAGTTTAATGTGGGGAAAAATATCCTACCAACGTTATCTATCCAGATAAATCCGAAGACAATTACGTTTCACTCTGTCTAGTGTGTAACGTCTCTCTAATATTTAACCACCTTAACAAAGTCTCTAGGACAAAATGTGGAAATTCTAAAAAAATGAAATGTAATAGGAAATAATGCAAACAAGGGACGTTTTATTCCGTTTCCCTGGTACCAGTTGTAGATGGTGCCCAAAAAAAAAGAAAGAAAAAATACGACTCAACAAAATGGGAATAAAGGGGGTAACTTTTTAGTTACAGTGGAGTTATTCAATATCAACTTTGATTGTAACTATTGTTGGGGGTGAGGCGTTCAAAGCTCTGCCAATATTGTATGTGAACTCCAAATCTCTTCCAGATATCCCCAATATAGGAATATTGATATGGCACTGCTATATTTGGTGCAATAGAAATTCAAAGAGGGGAGTGGGTCACTTTTATACTCATTGCCCCTGGTTGCTATTGGTGTATAAAGTTTGATACCATATTTTCTACTTTGAGCCGTTCATTTCTTCTACTTTAGGGTTTACTTCTCCGTAATTGATGGTACAATTTAGCAAGGTGCAGCAGCTTCACTTCCGAATTAGGAAGTCTTGACGCACGCAGTTTACCGAAAGTGGTAGAGCTGCAAAATTTGTTTGAGAAAAGAGTTGGATGATGTATTGGACCTAGTCTTCAAATGCGTACCCATGTAATGTCAGGCTAGCTTCAAGTACTAACCACCAAGGCTACTAATTTTACAAATTCATATGTTTGCCAGGTTTGCATCCTGTTTGATCTAGATTTTGGCGGATATCTTTGCATAGTCGCCCGGAAGCTAAAATTAGGAACAAAAAAAGGTAGTCTGCACTCTGTACTAAACTATACACGCCTCGTTCATAGACAATAAACCCTCAATGTAAGTTTATAATTTATCATCTCCATATCATTATTACTTTATTTGATACTTTTACTATTCACATTCCCGCTCACGATGATTCTTTGACCGAGGCCACCTGCATATGGGACAAACAGTACTTTCCTAATGGGGAAGTATAGCACAACTAGTTAAATCAATCTTATGTATCATTCGATCCCCCTGTTACTTCTTGACAACTGTTGTATTGCGCATTCTAAAGTGAAACAAGGATTCTGAAATTCAATGGCTGAATACTACTTAACATACAACTATTAAAAATAAAGGAAAGGAAAAAACAGATTCAACCATAAATTGATAATGATTGATTTCTTATGTATCGACCTGTATACAAATAAATCTTTGCGTCACGTGCCAAAATGACAAGAAGGGACACACTTTGATGGATATAATAACTGATAGAGTTATTATATCATAATTCATTTGTTTTCTTTCATTTCAAATGACAAAGTCGAATCCAATAATTATCGCGCTTTCAGGGCCATCTTCATCTGGGAAAACTACTATAGCTAGTTCATTGCATAATCTTTTCAAGGATTCTATTCTTATTCACTTGGATGATTTCTATCGTCCAGAAGATCAAATTCCAATTGATGAGATAAAAAACGAACAAAATTGGGACTGCCCGGAAGCAGTTGATTTTGAGAAATTCACTAGGTATATAGAAGACATCAAGGAGAATGGTATCCCAAATTCTTCCAAGCATCAACCAGAATCATTAGAAGGAGATGTTGAATTGAAATTATCACTGGCTGATATCGACCATTTTAAACAACAGATTGACACGAAATTAAATACCATCAGGGAAGAGCTGAATGAGCCAAGAGAAATTATATTTGTGGAGGGGTTTATGTTGTATCATGATCCAAAAATAATTTCACTTTTTGATATTAAATTATTCTATTTCGCTTCGTTTAAAGTACTTAAATCTAGAAGGGAAAGTAGAAAATATAATACAGATGTTGGAGTTTGGGTTGATCCACCGCACTATTTTCAAGATATAGTATGGCCAGAGTATGAAAAATATCATAAATACTTATTTGAAAATCAAGATGTCAACCATACGTTAAATGAATATGCAAAGAATGAGCTTGTTATAACTTCTTACAAGAATGACGAGAAACTGTCCTTAAGAGAATTAGTAGATTGGACCATGAATCAAATACTACCACGATTATAGATATTAGCAAACTTCATGCCTTTTATTAAAGATGCACTTTATTTATTCTTATTTATATGTCCAAATATACATAGACAATACTATATTACAACAGAAGCATACTACTTCTTGCTCTTCTTTGGCTTCTTACCAACACTCTTCATTTCCAGTTCAAAGATTTCACTGGCATTTTCCAGCTTTCTCTTGGAGTTCTTGTTCTTAACACTGACAACACCCTTATTCTTGGCAGCCTTAGAGACAGACTTGTCAGCAGCATCCCAATCAGCATCTTCGGCGATAGCATACTTATCCAAGTTAAGGGAGTCAATCAATTCACGTTGCTTTGACTTGAGTTCCTTCAAAGCTTCATCACCAGCTTCTTCCAAGTCATCATGCAACTTTTGTTCAATAGCTTCGTAGTCAATGTGTTCAGCTTGTCCATCCATTTCCTTGACAGCTTCATCTTCCAAGGCTGGCATGGTTCCTTCAATTGACTTACTCAAGACATTTCTAAAGTAAGTGGAGAATTTACGGACAATTTTGGCAAACATAGCCATAGATTGGTTGGATGGTAAGTTCAATTCCTTGGAAATTTGATCCATATCCTTATGTTGCAAACCAATAGCCAATAAGATAGCAGCTTGAACAGATGATAAGCTAAGTTCACTAGTGACCTTCTTGGAGAAGTATAATTGAGAAATCAAAGGAAGCATATCAACAATAACATGGTAATCCAATAAATTGTTGGCATAAGAGTCCAATCTCTTCAAATCGAAAGGAGACAACACCTCATCTAATTGTTCCTTAGTTAACTTCTTGACTTCCTTAGTCAAGTTTTCACCAAGTTCTGCAGATTCAATCATGTTCAAAGATTGGATAGCTGGGAATTTCTTAAATTCATAAGACAATAATTGTAAAAATCTCTTATGGAAATCCTTAGAGAATTCTTCCAACCAACCCTTCTCACGGTTAGGTAAGACGTTCAACATGACAGAGGTGTGTTCACCAGTCAATTCGTTGGCAGTTTGTCTGAGATAAACAGGAACGAAACCAGATCTCTTCCAGAACTTATGTAATTGAGGAGTTAAACCATATGAAACACCCAAGTAATGCAAGAAGTAAGGTGGCTTTTCGGAAAGTTTCAAGAGCAAAGGAGGCAAACTCTTTGCATCTCTCAACTTAATTTCATCCTTCAAAGATCCATTTGCCAATTCACTTTCAGAAACTCTGGTAATGGTATGATCATTAATTTCAGAAGATTCACTAATGTCAGTGAACTTACCTTGGTAGTAATCTTGCAATAATTCAATAGCTCTTGAACCATAACCCATACCGGCATATTCTGGATTGGTGGCAATTCTTACAATTCTGGCACCAGATAAGGAAGCAAATTCTTCATCTTGGAATTGTTGAGAAATTAACCATGGGATTAAATCACCACCAGCTCTTTGACCACGAGAAAGAGACTTACGAACACTTTCCTTAGAGATTTCACCTTCCAATGCTAATTGAACCACACAGAGTGGGTCTGGAATCTTGTTATCATTTTCATCAATTGGAGGTAACAAAACAAATAATTGATGAGCAGGGGCATCACTCATTAATTGTAAATCATTTGGAGAGTTTTTGTAATGGGAAGCAACATACAAGGCCATCATTTTCTGCAAGAAAGTTTCAGAGACTGGGTGGTATGAGAATAAAGTATCTCTGTTGACGTAGAAAAGGTTACATTGAGAAGGATGTGGAGTACCCTTGGTTGCAAATCTATTGTTCTTGGACAATGAAACATCCAAACACAATAATTTATTCAACCATTTTTCAACTGGATCACCAGGTGCGTATCTAATTGGTTCATCCAAAACAACCTCACGTAAAGTTCTTCCTCTAGATTCATTTTCATTACCACGCTTGTTATCTCTAGAGACAACAGCAGTATCATTCAGGTTGGCACCACCAGTTCCATTGGATTGATCACGTAATTGTTGAATCAATTTTAATGATAAAGATCTACCAGTACCTTCGTAACCATTGATGGTAGAAGCCATGAAAATCAAATATGGACCCATCAATTTCTTAACGACAGGCAATGGAATAGCAGCAGCTTCATCAATGACAACCAATTCGGCTTGACCCAAAACATGGTGATCATTTGGAGAAATATATTGAATGGTTTGACGATGACCACGCTTAATATCAACTCTAACAATAGACTTGTTGAAAGATGGATTAGTGGATTGGATAATGTCATAATCCATATGTTCAGTATAACCTAATGCATCAAAACCCTTGAAGATGAATTCAAACAAAGTCTTCAAGTTTTCAGGAGATGGAGAAGTGACAAAAATGTTGGAGTAACCATGGGATACAGCTGCAGCCATAGAAATACCCAAAGCAGCAGACTTACCACGACCTCTACCAGCAGTCAAAGTGACAGTGCTTCTTAAAGTCTTTTCAGAAATAGAGTCAATGAAAGTCAAGATGGCTTGAGCTTGGTTAACGGTTTTAGCCAAGTTGACCAATGATCCAGCTGGTTGAACATCTGCCAAACTTTCTTTCAATTCCTTCAATTCTTGTGCCTTTGGATCCAAGATATCTTCATCCTTAGGTGGTAATGGTTTGATGTGCTTACCTCCAGAGATTGGTAAGACATTAAGTTCATCGTCAACCACTAAACAGTTTTGACAAGAGCCCAAGGATAACAAAAATCTTTCATTGAATCTGGCAACGACATCGTCATGAGCTTCAGTACGATAACGAGAATGAATGTCCATAGACATGGTATACAATTGCTTTAAAGAGGACATAGATTTCAAAAGGATAACAACCAAACCACCACCTTCAACAGTTTCGATGGTTCTAGCCAAAAGGTTTGGGGTCAATGCTTCGAAATCTTGCAAAATACACATACCATATGTGTTACCCAAGATCTTTTCAGTTTCCTTATAGTAAACATATCTAATGTGTTGATTAGAGATGAAAGCTTCGAAAGGATCTTGCTCGTTAACGTCTCTAATACCTCTCTTGATATCCTTCTTAATCTTTGCTTCTCTCTTTTGTCTATGAGAAGTAAAGCCCAAAAGTTTCTTTTTGTAGGCCCATAAAACAGATTTGTTCATCTTTAAGTCTGCACTCATCATCAAATAGTGCAAGTTGGGGAGCTGATTTCTAGCTTTATCCCCTACGATGAAGAAAAAACTTCTTTCCTTTTCCTGAACACCATTACGGATAAGGGATGGAATACGTGCGTCAATAGCCTTCTTTCCCATTTCGTTCTACAGAATTTTCAGTTATTACCACTGTCTAGATATCCTTGTGTTAGTGGGATATGAAAAAATATCGATATAGTACTACACGATGAGTCGTGTGTTTTACAAATAATCCTGCAGATACAACTAGTGTACAAAATATTGAATCAATAAAGTTGAATTTATAATAAAAGGATAGAACAAGGAATAGAATAATCAAAACTACTTCTAATAGATCATAAGATCAAGGGTTTATCAATATGTATTAATGGTTTGGAATTTATATAAACGAAGAGGGTCTTAATCCCCCTTTTAATTATTGGTAGTCTGAAATTTGGATAGTTACTAGCCCAATCTTTGAGTGATTGGAGAGCAAAACAAAAACAAAAAACATGCACCTAATTCCTTTTATATCCTTTGATTGAATATGCATACATTGGTTTATGAAATCAATTATTTCTTTGATGGTCTTCGTTGACAATCTATATTCAAAAAAATAAAAATACAGTGAAGTTCCTGCACAGAAGAAACTGGATTTTTTTATGGCTGCAATTTCCCTTGTGCACAAACGATTGCAAAATCACAAACATAGAAGTGATTCATTTCAAGTTTTAATTACCCCCTTACGTGATATTAACACATTAAACGGAAGATATACATATTTGAACTTCTCAAACTCTTTTTTGTAAAAGATTCAATATATCTCTTCTATTTGTGGAAGAGAAGTTTTCAAAAAAAAAGTACGATAAGGAGTATTTTTTTACTTTCATTGGTATTTGTGTTGAAACAAATATGGGTAGACATAAGTCGAAGAAGAATATTAAACCCAAGACTCCAAGGGTTTATAAGCACAAGGTTAAGCGTGAGGATAGTCTGTCTGATCAAATTGACTGTGATGACGATGACGATGACGAACCTTATGAACCAGACCCGTGGCAGAAAAAGGGTTCAATTTCCACCAACTCTAAGACCAAGCCAAAGAAAGATAAAATTGCCCCTAGATCCAGTTTACAATTTAAAGTTGGCCCTTCCTTTGAAAAAGTATTGATCGATACACCTCTTTATAGTAGATCCTCAGGAGCAACAATAACTCCTGTAATTAATTCTAGAGTTGATCGTGGGTTTGATCTTATAGATGGAGAATGGATAGGATATAAGAGGAACTATTTTACATTGGTTACTGCATTTGAGTTCAAATATCACAGTAGAAAGCAGGTTTTAAATGATTCATTTTTTGTGATGGATTCTGATGGTCGCTTGGAAATTAAATTTTTTGCATTAAGAATTGTCTCAAAATGTGTTGAGGATGGCATCATGGTGAATCTTATTCAGCACACGGCGAAACGAGACAAGGGTCCACAGATTCTGCCACCTGTGTACCCTTCTGTTCCCGGAACACTACCCACTCATTTCACAATAAAAAGTGCTGCAAATATTAGAAATGATGCTAAAATCGCTCATCTAAATAAATTATTCTTTCTTTCCAGTGATGAGGCAATGCATGCATCTCCAAATAAATTATTAAGTACTTATCCAATTGGACCTATATCTATTGCAGCGAGGTACGAAAGGATTCAATTTTCCACCTCAATCAATTGCCGCAAATATTCAACAGTCAATAGACATTTTATATTGACAGTGCAATTACTTGGCTTTTTTGATGACGATAAAAGTGTTATATTAGCACATTCAAGTACCCCTGAATTAGTTATTAGAGGTAGATCTCCTTCAAACTATCAACTAGAGTTATTGAATTCAAATAATAGATCAGTAAACTCGAAAACAAGTGATCCTAATGGAGTTGAGACTTCACCAATGACTGATCGAACCTCATCAGTATTGCAACCAATTCTGCTTAATTCTGTCACTAGAGATGATCATCAAATGAATAACAAGAGAGTTACTGAAGTAAGTCCAAGAAAACCTAAAAAAAGTAGAAAGGAAATGCAAGATGAAGAATATGATTTATATCACTATACACCACAAATGTCTTTAATGATGAAACAGGGGGAAAGGATCTCTAAACGTCGCAAGAAGAGAATTGATGACATTGAGAGTAGTCAACTTCTTAAACCAATCTGGGATTCTAATGAATTTGCGGATGACTTATTAATGACCCAAGATGAATATGACTGTACATTTGAACGGGAACAACTACATCAGCATGAAATCAAACATGCAATCCCGAATTACTTTGAGGATGAATTTCAATCGACTCCAAAAAATATCATATATAATGAAGGTAGACCAAGCTCTCTGAATCATTATGTTCTTGAGCACTCCAAGATTTCACAGGAATACTCTAAAGAAAAATTACAAGACGATAATGAAGAAAAGTCATTCAATGAGATAAATAATTATTGTATATCCAAGAGAAACTATATATTAGAACTGAGTTTTATGCCCGAATGTGAGATTGATGAGGATGATCCGGAAGAGGATAGTTTCCTAATATTCCAAAGAGATTTTGAAGAAGCAAGACGTCAAGTATTTAATGTGCCAAAAAGTCATTAGAATAGATGCAACAAACTAAATTTCTTTGAAAAAGAAACAAATAAACAACATCATGAAGAGCCATTTACTAACTAATTAGAACCATATAATACAAATACAAATAGAAAATAAAATAAAATAAAATAAAGAAGAAAAAAAAAAAAAAAACCTCAAAAGATTCTTTCATGATTACATAAGCTTTTATATTTACCAAAGAAATAATAAGTAGTTGTAAGTTGAGTAGTACAAATTGAAGGTTGGAACCTATTTTATTGAAATATAGCAACTGAATATATATATATATATAAACATATATAACTAGACATGTTGTTTTTCAGTTTTTTCAAGACTCTTGTTGATCAAGAAGTTACCGTTGAATTAAAGAATGACATTGAAATTAAGGGAACATTAAAGTCCGTTGATCAATACCTTAACTTGAAGTTGGACAACATATCATGTGCCAATGAGTCAAAATATCCACACTTAAAGTCAGTCAAGAACTTGTTCATTAGAGGTTCAACCGTGCGTTATGTGCACATGAACGCCAACTCTGTTGATTGCACCTTGTTACAGGATGCTTCTCGTAGAGGTATGTTTATTTTATTTTTCTATTTACACCATTCCCCCAGGAATATACTAACAATTAATCTACAGAGGCTATGGTACAGGCATCAAAATAACCTAATAACGCTCCCATGTATTATAGTTTATAGCAAATTAAAGGAAAAAATAAAAAAAATTGATAATAACAATAACATGAAAACATGATTGTAGAAAGGAACTATGGAAAATTGTGGTTATTATTTGGATTATGCGTAGGCTCTTTCTTAATTATCACTTCAATGGAGTACTTAGTCTCGTTAAACACTTAGCTCGAGTATGTCCTTGTTTCTTACAGTATGAACATATTTTCTTTGTATTCCCCCTTTCTTTGACTGGTGGTGTATATATGGATTGCTTAGATTTATGGGCAGTAGGTATACTAGCTGAATGTCGTTCCTCTTCGTTGATTGTATTATCGAGTTTTAAATTGGCCAAGTCATCTTTTAACTGTGAATCATTTGAAATTAGTTGTTTTAATTGGGCCCTCGGTATCACGATGTACTCTTCTGTATCTAGCTTCAGATTACAATTAGAACATTGGGAACTATTCACCATATCCAAGAACTCTTCATCGTTGATTTCAGAATCATTTGAAGTTTGAGGAAGTGCAAGTTGTTGTATTTTACTGAGATAATGGTTCATTTGTTCAATCTTTGCATTGTAGTTCTCTTTAAGTTGGTCCAACTCTTTGTTTTTGCTCGTTACAGCCTTAGCAAGCTGGTCGACACTTTTCAGTAATTCCACGATCGACATTATTGACAATACAAAAGGGTTGAAATATACTTTAATATAGGGTAGGTAGGATGAATATGTTAGTTAGTAAAGAAAATTCTAAAACCCATATATAAATTTCCTGCAGATGCTTTTAAATGTATATGGGATTCTCATAATGATAAGGATGGGAATCGTTAAAACAACAATATATACAAAAAAGTAGCTTAGAATTCATCTGTTTATTACTGCAGTATGAGTACCAACATGAATATGAAACCGTTCATAACGGGACATGAAGATCTTATACATGATGTCAAATATGATTTCTATGGGAAGCATATAGCTACAGCATCGTCCGACCAACATCTTAAGGTATTTGACTTGGACTCAGCTACCTCTACCTGGGTTCTCAATGACCTGTGGAAGGCACATGATTCCCTGATAGTTAAAGTATCATGGGCACATCCAGAGTTTTGTGCGTCAAAAATGTTTGCCTCATGCTCATATGATCGTACCGTGAAAATCTGGCAAGAACAACCAGATGAATTACACGGGTCTGGTCGTAGATGGATAAAATTGGCAACTCTTGCAATTGAATCTTACGGACCAATTTATGACGTTGCATTTGCCCCGAACCATCTCGGTTTGAAATTGGGATGTATAGGTCTGGATGGTATCTTCCGCATATATGAATCTTTAGAACCAGCAGATTTGAGTAATTGGGCCCTCACAAGTGAAATCCCCATGTTACTGCTGCAATTACCAGCAAAGAACTTACAGAGTAGTTTTGCCATTGAATGGTGTCCGTCAAAGTTTACCCAAACTGAAAAATTCATCGTGATTGCCTTAGACCAAGGGTTTATATATGCATTGAATTCAAGTGCAAAAAGCTCTCAAAAGGATTCACAAAGTTCAACACTCATCCCCAACGATTTGGACAATCGTATCGATATCGATGAACAAAATGATTCTATTTCTACTGCTGCCACTGATAACAAATACGTCAAGATATGTAATTTACCGGAACACAACGGATTGATTCGGTCAGTAAGCTGGGCCGCATCGATGGGTAGAAATTATCAATTAATTGCTACCGGCTGTAAGGATGGATATGTTAGAATATTTAAGGCTACAGAATCTGCAAATGGTGATTTGAAAATTGAAACTATAGCCTCTTTGAGTGACCACAAGCTGGAAGTGTGGCAAGTGAATTGGAATTTGACGGGTACAATCCTCAGTTCAGCAGGAGATGATGGTAAAGTGAGGTTGTGGAAATGTAATTATCTTAATGAATGGAAGTGTATGAGTGTGATAAACAGCAGTAATAGAACAGAGAATCGTTCTGATGACAAGGACAAGGGACAACAAAAATAATATAACCTCGATAGTATAGCAATTACAATTACAATATACAAGTTCTCAATGCAAATATTCGTTCTATTGATCTTTTCGTTCTATTTATATACTAATTATACCCTTCTCTTCTTTTTAGGTTGCTCATCTTCTGCAACATCTCCCAATTGGTTCCATAATTCTTCTTCTTCCTTTTCGGCATCTTCTTCGATTTGTTCTCTAGTTCTCTTTGGTTCAACGACTTCATTTTCATCCACTTCATCTTCATCATCAAGGATGATAACCTCATTTATCTGGGTTCCAATGTATACCTTGGCGACAACTTCACGACTTTGTACGTCGTACACTCTTAAGTATCTGTCAAGACCACCACTAGCGAGTAAATCATTGACGACATCGAGACCATAGATAGCACCAGTGTTACCTCCAGTGTATTTACCCAACAATTTGGCCACAGGTTTCACAACCTTACCGGCAGATGCAGAATTAGTCTTGTATGCCTTTTCGTCTACAGCTGTCAAGGAGAACTTGGCAAGTAAGCCATGGGTATCAGTGACAACAATGTCATCTTGCTCAGCAGATGTGTATCCTACTTCCAAAATAGCTTTGTCACAAATAGGGTAGTCCTTGATTGGTCTCTTTCCATGAGTGGTATCGTAGATACGCAATTGTCCATATCTTGTCACGGTTAAGAAGTCATAGCCTTGTGGCTTAGCACTATCTAAGAATAAAATCTTACTTATCCAAATTGGAGATCTCAAGTCCAAGTGATTATTTTTAACATTTTTAGCAGTGAATAGCACTACTGGCTTGAAAAACTTGGCTGCCTTCTTTTCACTCTTGAATAAAGCATGGCTGATAGTTCCTTCGTATAACTTGATCACTTGGGCATCGTTTTCCTTACCACCACATGCGATGATTCCAGCTTGGGTTGGATGCATGGTCAAACAAGATATTTGTTTATTTGTTGGTAAAGATAAACTGATAGGTGGTAAGTCAAATTTTTTATCATTCAAGTTGACAAGGAATACTTTTCCTGACTCAAATGCTACAATGATCACATCACTCTTTTTGTCTTCCACAAGTGAAACAGATTTATCTTCCTTCAGGAGACCTTCAAAGGTGTACACGTGAAGTAAATCATAAGTTTCTGAATTCAAGTCATACACACACAATGTACCACCAAGTCTGGATGCAACGAGAACATCTCCAGTGACTTCCATTTGTAATACTCTAGTCTTGAGGGAAGCACCTTCTTCGTTACAGATATTAGTTATTGATGTTGGTTGCGTAGCATCTTGCTTTGATGTGTCGGTACCACGAGAACATACAATCTCTTTGATAGATCCCGTATCTTCAGATGCAGTCAAAAATTTCATTATACGTTAATAATTATTAGTTGTATAATCCTTATTGTTCTACAGGTCTCGATGTCTGGAGAGATGAGATGCCCTAGTTAAATATCTAATGTGTGTGTGAAAATAAATTGGTACATACACGAACACAAAAATACTGATAATGATCTATATTAGTTGAGGTTGCACTAAATGATGCAACTTTGTACTCTAAAAATCTTAATTCGCTAATCCATTGGCTTGAAGTCCTGTCTTCTTTGTCAGCTTCGCTTTTCTATTATGATTACCAGTTCTAGCTTTATTTTTCTCATTTCGAGCATTTTTTCTCTTTTCTTGTTCTTTGGATTGTGGTGCGCTTGAGCTACCACTGGATGGTACTGGTGATCCTGAAGTCAGCCTAACATCATCACTATCGCTATTCGTTTGCTTCTGGGGTCTATTTGGATTTCCTCCCATCAAGAAATCTTCTTCTAAAATTTTAAATCTTCTAGGCACCTTACTCATCATGCGGAACCAACCTTCAATTTGTTCATCGGTCCAACTAGTTGTCTTTTTAAACTGTAGACGTACAGGAGTTCCACGTTGTTGTTTAGTGAATGCTGATGGACCTTTGGTTTTATATTCAGCAAATAGGTATCTCTCTTGCAGCGGCACAACAGCACGTACAGTTTGTCTCGTCCTTTGTTCTTCCTTTTCTTCTTCATTATTCCCATCATAATCTTTAGATGTAGCTTCCAGTTCATTGTAGATATATGAATCATCTGGCTCATCTTCATCACTTTCATACATCAATCTTAAAGCTGCAGAAAGAGTCTTTTTCTTCAAATCTTCTGGTTGATTCGTAGACTCATCAGAATTCTTTTTGTCCAATATTTCTGCATTGGCAATATCAAATTCTGCAAATCTATCAACCAATGATTGATTTAATAGAGCAGAACTGGTATCATCAACGTCGTAATCTTCTTCAAATTCTTCTTCTTGAATAGAGTCAATTAGGTCTGGGTTCTCTAATAAAAGATTTGTAACATGATCTAAATCATCATTATTTTCTTGAAGTATAACTTTCGATTTTCCATGTGTAAGTAGGGGGAACAATTCCATTAAGAATGTAATATGTTCTTCGGACACTGGTGGCTCACCGTTGTCCTTCTTACCACTAGAGTTTTCTTGAGCAACTGCTCCAAATGTAATGGTTCTTAAAAATGGCAAACGTTCCTCCAATCCCGGGAATAATTCCTTAAATGGTTCGGAAATTATAAGTGAACTGAAAAGAGGACATATAATAAATGCATCTACATTCGTGATTCCCAAATCCATCGCTAACTTAGCAATTCTTGCCACTGATAAGGAAATGAGAGACGTTATCAAAACATCCTTCGATGTATTAGCGTATAATCCCTCGCCATCAGCGTGAATCTTTTCTAATAATTCAATCCATGCCGAGTTCACAAACAGTTCGGCGAATGGTAATGCACTCGAGTTCTTTTTATTAACTGTTCGATTCTTGGTATTTGGTCCACCCCCAGTGACATTGATAGTCTGTGATCTACCTGAAAAGGATGCATGCTGTCCTAATAATGCACTAAGTGCTTCCAAATCCTGTTTGGTGAATTTCCCATTAATTATGGTTTCATTCAAATGCTTATGGACTAACCCTATGGAACTAATGTTTCCGGATTTCTTATTATCATTATATTTGGACTTCATAGATCCATCCACAAGCCCTCTCACTGTGGTAATGTTTCCAGATACGTATATTAAGACAAAATTCCAAATAGAATCACCAGCTAATCCTAGTTTAATAAGACTGAAATTCTTAATGAATTGAAATACATATGCCTTTAAAGTGGTACTGTTTCTTCTAATGTCAGGGTTTATTGCACCCAATGAGAACACCTGAGTATCTTCTCTTGATACTTCAAACAAAAATACCTTTAAGAACAACTGTAATTGTTTCTGAGACTTGATTGATAATGTTCGAATGGCATCTTCTTCCTTGCTATTCAAAAACTTGAACAATTTGATATATGATTCCAACAAGTGAACCCATATAACTGGATCCTTGTCAATCAAGGAGGACCTTAGCTTAAAGGGTGGGTAATGAGGAATGTTAATATTAAGCTCTTGTTGCATTTTGGTTCGAAAGCTCTCGAAATATTTGCCATCGAAAAGTTGCAGAAATATTTGAATATTGAGACAAATTGTGTTGCACCTTGAGTCACCAAAAAAAAACAAAAAAAAAGCGATCATAAAAAATAATACTGTTTTTTATACTGGTTTGTAGATATCTTGCCAAAGAAGAAGATGATGATGCCATATACAAATATTTTAACTAATAGTGGAAAATAAGTATTCCCCAATAGGCTGCATAAATCATTGAATGAAAAAAATAATTGTTTTAATTCATATTGTTCAAGGAAGTCTGTTTCTCAAAACACAATGAAGATCTGAAGTATTGTAAATCACCAAAGTCGATTATACATCTAATGAATTTGATTCATTACAAAAAAATATCACTGCTGGTGTGCTTTATTTGAACTGAAGGAGTATTGGGTTTTATATTGTCTTCTATATCTAATCAAGATCTACACACTTTTTCTACTGGTTTGTGTATTCAGATTTTGGTTGCAAATTTTAGTCCAATAATGGAATTCATAAACAATTAATGGTTTTCCCTTTGAAAGAGGTGGGTGGGGCTGCAATTCACCTTCAAAAGGGTTAACAATATGAGGGATTCAAACCTATCTTGACATAGACTATACGTCTTATCAGGAATTACATAAGAAAAATATAATGTTGCGAACATAATACTTTCCCGCTTCTTGAGGTAAAACCATTCCAGTCTGGATATCTTGTCACTAGTCACTAATTCTGGATTAGCTACTTAATCAGTCTGCCTGGTCTTGATCTACAAATTAGGGCCATAATTCCCAAGATGTTGTCATACGATCGCTACTGTTTACATTCATATTTCAGGAATATATATACCTATTTCGATAAGATATTCTTAAGTTTCCAGTGGAATCTATCTACCGCGTGTCTCATTTTAATACTCATGTATACCAATAGATGAATATCTTCACCTTAATCAGACTTTGACAGGGAAAAATATGTGCCCAATGCAAGAAAAAAATGAAAATGAGCACTCGATAATTGAAAACAAATCCAATTTGTTAGCTCATTATGTTGACGATATCTGTGACTAGGTGCATGTCTTCGACAAAGTATTGATTGATTTCATCAACTGGTGCATGAGTGAAACAAAATTTTCATTTAGAAAAATAGTGTTTTGCTGACTCCTGAATCTGGGTATTTTGAAAGATCGAAAATCGAGCGCAGTGGCGCAGTGGAAGCGCGCAGGGCTCATAACCCTGATGTCCCAGGATCGAAACCTGGCTGCGCTAGTCTCGTTTTCATTTTTTTTTTTATTTTTTATTTGATTCCCAAATCTTCTATGGTTGCAAAAATTGTGTTTAGCAGGTTACATCTTGAATACTAATACCCGTATTATTTTTTGAATATTTATTAATGTCATATTAACGGTCATCCCAGTTATCAACCAATTTCTGACCAAATTCTTTCACCCTTCTTATGTTCTCTTCAGTAAGAACAGGGAATGGTCGACCTACAGCTACCTTGGTTGTATCGACATAGCCTAATTCAGTTAACCCTTTGAGGTATTCTGGAGCTTCTAATCCAAGAGTATGAAATCCACGAGTAAGACCTTTAAAATCGAGGCGATCTGCGTACCATTTTTTCTGGTCAGCCCTTGTTGGTAACGCTATCTTTCCGGCAAGATATCTCGCTACCAAAACTGCTTGGTATTCAAATACTCTAAATGATATGCCATCTATTGGCATCCCAACGAATGAAATCAAAGGTTCATCAATAAGGAATGTATGTTGGTATAAGTTTTGAATAAGCGCACCTTCCTTTGTAACATCTCTTCCATTTTCGGCCAACAATCTATTTAAAAAGGGGAACGAAAATTGATAGCCAGTGGCATAAACGATATGGTCAGGATTTGACACTTCACTATCATCTTCGAAAATAACCTTGAAGTTTAGCTTTTCTCCTTCCTTGCTCAAAATCTTAAATTCCTTGATTAGCGGCTTTTGAGTTACATTACTCTTCTTCGTACGCACTCTAGTGTTAGCTAGCGTTCTGATGGAATGGTAAACATTATTAGCGCTATCTGCTAGATATTTGGAAAGATCAGCTCCGGAAGCCCTTGAACCCACAACAACTACGGAATCTCCTTTATAGTGTGCTCGATCTCTATAGTATTTGGCGTGGTGAACAATTTCTGGAGCCAATTTTTGAACTGTTTCTAATCCTTTTACGAATGGAATATATGGAACAAAGTAGTGACCCGTTGCAACAACAACTGAATCATATACTTCTTGCCACCAAACTTCATGTTCTTCATTGACTGGTTGCCTTAATGTAAGTTTAAATTGGTAATCAATTTCACCTTCTTGTGCGTCTTCCCTATGTATACGTTCAACGTCTTCAACGGAAGTTCCCTTTATTACGCTAACTTTTTCGTTTCCAGTATTTCTTTGAATATACTTGTCAATGTAGTCTCTAACCACAAGTCCTTCAACGTAAACGGTTTTTTCTGGGTCTGTTATTCCAGGAACTTCCCATTTATCAAGATCACTAAATGTCATCACATCTTGAATTACATTGGTCTTAATCCCTTTGTAGGAAGGCGTTTCTTCAAAACGTTCTTGTGTAGATCTCTTCTGGAAAATAAACCTTTTCTTATCACTTAAATGAGAATTGAAAGGGTTTTGTAATTGAGGATCAGTTTTGTCATGAGTAAAGCCCGGCTTAATAATATCATGTGGAGTTTTCTTTACTTCCGGATCAAAATTCCAAATCCCACCAAATTCTTGTCTTCTCTCAAAAAGGGTAATTGACTTGATGTGATCTTCTTGTACAAGGCTATCTAACACAATTGATCCCGATGCACCACCTCCGATAATTGCAACCGAGCGAACTTGGTTGCTCGAAAGTTGAACAGGTATATCAGTTGGAAGCTTGTTGTTAGCCATTTTATGAATCGATAAAGAGATACTTTGTAAAATCAATATAAACCCCCCCTTTTACATCTTATCAATCTTATTTATATGGTGTATAATTAAATATGCCACAGTTCTAAAATACACAGTTCTAGTTTATGATGCAATTAAAATACTTCGACATTGTTGGTCTGCTTAATAATACTTTACTTGCATATCGAAGTACGGTTTACATTGGCTCTTATATTTAAGCTACCTGGCACGTACTAGAGCTTAAAGTTGGGTACATTCAATGTTGGTGACAGAGATAAGGTCACCGGTAATCTACAGAATAGTGAAAAATAAAAAAAAATATAAAAATAATAGGATGAATATACTGTTCGGAAATATCGGAAATACGGCGATCAACAAGATACAATTTAAGTATTGTAAATTATATGATTGATAAAAGATCATATTATCCGACTTTATCCTTTTAACTCCGAATGGGCTAACTTTGGAGTGAGCCACAGATAGTCGCAAAATTTTATCAGCGTTGCAAATTTTCAAATTTGTGACAGATATATGGACCTAAGAAAAACAATTTGAAGGAAATTGAGAATCGTAAAGTTACAAAACAATACAAATATGACAAGTAATGAAAATTTTATGGGGATTCTGTATGTGGTGATGCATAACCAAATCCCATGCACCACTAAACATCCAACTATCATTCTGCAGGCCTTAAAAATGATTCAAGTAAGATATATATATTCGATAACCTTCCATACTTAATAAAATGGTTGTCAAGACTGCATATACCAAAATTGATTCGACCCACCTAGGAAGGACCCCACGTGCTAATAAACTATTGATTACCATGTCATGCAGGATAAGATGGGCGCCATCATGATAAAACCAACTCTACATCATACATTTTTGAAAAAGATACAATCTCTACTCAAATTGCCCTATTCTAACAGGAAATCACTATAATGGCTATCCAGAAGACTCTTAATTTGAACGCGCCGTTGAATGCCAACACTAGTGCCACTCTCAAGAGTACTGAACTTGTTCCAGAGCTTGCAGAAGCCAGTTTGACTTTACATGGTGATAACTATAGACAACGTCAAGTTCGATGTAACAGATTTGTATTCTGGCATCCCATTTCAATGACTTTCTTTACAGCTAGTTTAGTCTTGTATGTCTGTGTTCAATATAGAGATTATGTTCTGCAAGCTGACTCCATTGGTGAATTTTTTGAGTTTGCTCTTGATGATCGTGATTTTCTTTTCCGTTTATTCATGACTCTTCCTGGTATTGTTTGTTTAGCTGCCTGTGTTAGTTGTGTTGCATACTTTCTTTCTGACGATTTTAGAACTATTTCAGACAAACTTCCTGAACATGGATATGTTAATGAGCTCTATGGTTTCAACTTACGAAACTATGCTAAACTTCCAGAAGGTGGTAAGAATGTGACAACTTCCACTGAAAAGGAATTATTGAAGAATGGGAAGAATTCCTCGCTCTTAATCTACCGTGACTCTCCTATTGCTATTGCTACCGTCAAACCATTGTTGGAAAAATCAGATCAAGAGAACTTTTTTGTACTGGTAACTGGTTTACATATTAGAAAAGTCTTTGCTAAAGTTGATTTCGATGACTTGTTGCTCGATTGGGTTAACCAAAGAGCCACTGAGTTGTTGGGTGAATATATCAAAACTAATAAAAAGAATAAAGGTGCTAAGGTAACTATTTTAGTCGAAGTGTTTAACTTTGAAAAGGAATTTATAAAGACTTTAGAGAGCAAGTTTTATTCCAAGGTTAATGTTTCATATGATTTAAATACTTTCCCAGAAATAGTTGCTGCTGAAAATGCTAGTCATGTCAAGAACAGAACTAAAAAATCTACTCGTTCTGTCTTAAAGGGTGTATCAATTGAAGCTGCCAATAAATTATTTGGACTTCAAAAATTCACATATGCTCTTACTGTATCGAAAAAGACCGTTGTTGAAGATATAGTTCCATCCACTAATGACACTCCATTAAAGAAAAGAAAGTAATAGCACTCAAAATTAAAAATTAAAAAAAACGAAATTATTCTACTACTTATACTAATATACTAATACAACTTACAGAACGTACTTCCGTGTTTCTTTTTATTTTAATTATTATTATTATTTATTCTATCTAAGCAAAGTCATTCGGCTTTTTATTAAGTTATTGCACGACGAATTCTATGAGATAGATAGAGTCATTAATCCAACAACCCTGTGGTACGGTGATTTTTTTGTTTCTGCACTCGGTAAACGGTGAAAACTACCCATGCAAGTAAAATCACCAAGAAGAAATAAAACAGATACTTTAAAAGAATCCATACTTTTCTCAAAAGGTTCGAGAAGAAAGTTGCTTCAGCATCTCCATACTTTTCCAACCTTAATTGACGTTCTCTTTCTTTGATTCTTCTTTCAGAATTCCTTAATCTTGACAATGTTCTTCTTTGTTCCAGAGGATCCTTCCTTTTCTTTTTGAATAATCTTTGTCTACCACCTTCATTCAGGATTTTCTTTGGAATTTCTTCTTCATATTCATCTTGTTGTGCAACCATTTGCTCTAATTCATCAATAGATCCAACAAATGAACCATCATCCTTATACAATGCAAAGACTCTATTTTCAATGATATCATTGTTTTCTGATAATCCACCAGTTTCACCACTAATTCCTAAATATTTGATTTGAGGAAGTTTAACATCATTCAATGTAACACAATTTCTCCAATCATTCCCATTTCCACTATAATCGAAGTCTAATGAGAAGTATCCATTTTTAATGTATACTAATCTTGCCTTTGTCTTACCTGATTCTGGATTGACTACATCAACTTTACATCCAGCTAAACGAGTTTCAAACCCATCTGTATGCTTATTATAAGATGATTGACCATCTCCAAGCATCAAGTTAACATAAGGAAATTGACCTCTCTTACCATTCTTATAAGTATCAATAAAAATACCCAACCCATTAAATTGATTTTTAGCACCAAATACATCACCAATATCAGATTTTTCATCAATGAACCAAATAGCTAATCCATCACCTACAAACCCATTCTTAGTCTTACCATGAATATGGAATGTAAGTTCCATTTCAAACGATTCAGCTTGGATTGGTAATTTAGAAAAGATACTACCTGCTTGATGTTGGAGATCACTAGTTAAACGAATATACTCATGATTCTTAACCAATGCGGTTCCTTGTACATCCCAATGTCTTGGTTTATAACTAGATTTTTCAAGATATGGAGTCAGTAACCCCAATGCAGTGAGCTCTGTCTTTTTAATACTAACCACACTTTTATCTTTATTTTGAAGTATTGAATTAATTTCTTCTGGTGAGTATGAGTCCGATCCCGCACTTGAAAAGAAAAAGAAATAGGATGCAACTAAGAGAACAAACACAATTAATCCTTGTAATGGACGGGACCTCTTTACATTGGTAATGACACCCATTCTTGCTTTCTCTCCGCCTAATGCAATATTCCAAAAAAAAATAAACCTGGAAGAAGAAAACCTCGATGTACAATAAAAAAGGAAAGTTTTAAGAACGTGGAGTATTCTCCAAATACTCATTTTGGTAGTTTACGATCGCGAGCTACGTGGCATTGAAAATAGAATTGAAAGATCTGATTAAAGAAACAATACATTAAAATTTCCAATTATTTTTATCGAATTACATATTCTCTACAATATAAGATAATTAATGGTGTACAGTGGTTACACGTTATTAACATCGTTTCTTGCTGAAATTGGTGGGTTATTTCTTTTTTTGTAGTGTACTACTTATCACTATATGTGTGCGAGTATTTCTATTTTTTAAAATCACCCAACTTACAAATCTTGAGAAATAAACGATCTTCTAACAGATATTTATATAGGGCAGTTCAAGTTTATCGTCGCCTTTTCTCTTTTAACACATCTTATCTTTCTACTTTTCACTTTATCTATCAGTTAGTTTTGTTTCTTTTTCGTTTTAAATTTCTGATCATTAATATTAATATACAATCTTCTAGTCACTTATCTATTTACAAACAGAATACAGAAAAAATACAACCTTGCGACTATAAGGCACCTTCTTTCAAATAAATAGAATCAACTTATTTCCCTTTGAGAACTGTTCTCATGGCGGTAAACAATGTTTCCTTCTTCTCACCACGGATGTCAGCCATAAGACGGTTATAGTATTCTGGGTTACCCTTTGGGCGCAACAACTTGTCATCGAGTGCGTAATAGTTCTTGAATTTATCATTGACCAAGTCTCTCAATGAAATATATTGTAATTTAAGATCCTTTTCGGATACATTTGCCATTTCTGGAGAGGAGAAACGTTTGATTTGGACATCTTTGAAAGATGCATAATGCTTAAGACGATCCTTTGGTAAGGTCTTCAAGAGATCAATGATCTTCTTTGTGAGTTCCTCTTTCGACATGTTTATTGAACAGAGTTATTTATTGATTGATTTAGATTACTAAGTGTGAATATAGAAATTATCCTTTGATAATATCCAGAGAAGGGTACACAAAGTAAAAAAAAAAAGAAAATTTAGAAAAAATCACATAATAGAGACCCACGTGATTCACCTTGGCCAAAATCCTCATTGACGCATAGATTAGAAAGATTTAACAATATGAAGAATCATCACTTGATACAATAAAAAGAGATATACTTCTAAATTTTTATTTAAATTTTGAGATTTGTCAATTACATCTACAGCATTCAATATGACCCATGCCCCTTGTCCTAGAGTAATTTTTGTTCGTCATGGACAGACTGAATGGTCCAAATCCGGTCAATATACTTCAATCACTGACCTTCCATTGACCGATTTTGGTGTTAAACAAATGAGAAACACTGGTAAACATCTTATTGGTACATCTCCATTCCAACTCATCAAACCTAAAAACTTGAAGCATATTATCACCTCTCCAAGACTTAGAGCTAAACAAACTGCTGAGTTGCTTTTGGAAAGCATTAGTGAACAAGATAAGGCACATATTAACATCAGAGAAGAAGATGAGATTAGAGAATGGGAATATGGTGATTATGAAGGTTTGCTCACCTCTCAGATTATTGAATTAAGAAAGTCAAGAGGTTTGGACACTCATTTGGAAGGAGATGACGTTTGGAACATTTGGAGAGATGGTTGTGAAAATGGAGAAGTTCATTCTCAAGTTAAGGAAAGAGTTGATTCTGTCATTGCAAAGATTAAAGTTGACCACAAGAAGGCTCTTGAAAATAACGAAGCTTGTGATACCATTGTAATTGCCCATGGACACATTTTACGTTGTTTTGCTGCTCGTTGGGTGGGAAGAGAACTTAACCGTAACCCAGATTTCTTGTTAGATGCCGGTGGAGTTGGTGTTCTTAGTTATGGCCATCGTAACATCAACGAACCAGCTCTCTACTTGGCCGGAGCATTTGTGGTTCCTGTCGAAGAACAAAGTGCTGACCTTTAACGTTAATAGACATATATAGATTGATAAGAGAAATAAAACAAGTGTAATAATATTTTTTGCGGGGTATCATGAATGATGATTTCCTCTAAAATATGTTTAGGATATCCGAGTCTGGCATCTTCGGTTCTTTCTTTATGTTGGGCGGGGAGAATTTCAATTGCTTGGGCCCAACTTCCCCCACCGGTCACTCGCATAGTTATTTCCGACTTACATCATTTTATTTATTTTTTTTTTTTGATTTTTTCCTTCTTGATATATTTTTTAAATACGTATTCGAGAGCCCGTGTATAAATGTAGATCCTGTACTTTACATAAAAGTTGCAACTCTTTTTCTTTGTAGACTTAAAAAAACATATATTGAACGAACAATGACTCTTGGCCAAAAAGTACCCATTTGGCTCGATTGTGATCCTGGTAATGATGATGCATTTGCAATCTTGTTGGGAGCATGTCATCCACAATTTCATATGGTTGGAATCTCCACAGTGTATGGGAATGCTCCATTGTCCAGCACAACTCATAATACCTTGGGATTATTAGATATTCTTGGATTCAAGCAAGATGAAATAAAGGTATACTCTGGTGCTAGTGAACCATTAGAAATCCCACCAAGATTTGCCCTTAATATACATGGAACTACTGGGATTCAAGGCGTTTTGTTGCCAAAGAATCCACGTGTATCCGAATCCAATGATCAAACATATCTTGAAGCTATGAGGGAAGCTGTTTTGAAATATAAAGGTGAATTAAATATAGTTTGTACTGGTACATTAACTAATATGTCCAATTTTATCACTGAATATCCTGAACTTCGATCTAAGATTAAACTTGTATCCATTATGGGTGGCGGGTTAAATATCGGAAATGTAACTCCATATGCCGAGTTCAATGTTAGATCTGATCCAAAGGCATCCAATATTGTATTAAATGATGAAATCTTGAAGAGTAAAACTATCTTGGTACCACTTAATATCACTCATAAGGCAATTGTAACTGAATCCATTCGAAATGAGATTTATAATGAAGTGAATAATTCTCATATAAGACAAGTATTTTTTGATATTACCAATGAATTTGCTAAAGTTTATAAACTTGTCCAAGACTTTAACGATGGACCACCAGTACATGACCCATTGTCAATGTTTGTATTATTGGCGATGTTGAACCGCCAACAGAATGAAGACGATTTTAATCTTGAATTTTTAAGAGGAACTATCAGTGTGGTTCAAACCGGTATTAGAGAAGGTGAGACAATCTTCTCAGATGATGATTCAAATGGTTTGTACATCGCTACCGACATTAATATTGGTTCATTTTGGAAATATACATTAGAAGCACTTGATTGTGTTGATTTGAAACTCATGAAGAATTAATTTGATATATAGTACATAAAAAAGTTCATAGATAGATAGATATAATAGTGGGAATATATGTGATAATTAATGCTATTATTATGGAGTAGGAGAGTTCTTTTCCTCTTCTTTTTCATTTTCATTTTCTACATTAGCGTCACCTTCTACTTTCACTTTTTCGGGTGCATTTTCACCGTATAATGCAGCAAGCTTGTCAGTCATGACATATCCGATTCGGCCAATAACATCTTCAGCCCATACAACATCCAAATGTGAGTGATCATCCAACTCAACGATAGTCAAGTTAGAACTCTCCAGGTATGCTTGGCGTTCATAATGGCGCATATGAGTAGAAAGTCTATCACCATCAACCAAAAAGTCCAATTGGCCAGTGAATATTAACATTGGTACAGTGGTACTTCTTTCATCTACACCAAACCATGGTTGTTTATAAGGAAAGTATGTTTTCGAGTCATCCTTTTCTTTGACTTCAATTTCTTGTTCTCTAGCTTCATTCTCGGCTTCAATAAATGAAAGTCTTGCCAGGGCAGCATCAGCAGCCGAATTCACAGGAGTAAATGCACAATGGTCACCATTTAAGTAAGCAGCCTTGGGTTGTAATTGATTAGAAAAACCTTCTTCCACCCAATCACTCAACCACCAATTCATCAATTTTGTTGAAACATAACTTACATTGAAAATGAAATGACGATGCCATAATCTATGATCATTCCCCCATTTACTTCCATTCCATCCAAACAAATATTTGAACATCATATATGACATCGATCCAAAGATTCTCGTACTAAACAATAAATGACGAATCGAGGTTAAGTTTGGCAAGAAACTACAAGTACCAAACACAATTTTGAATGAAGTTGGACCCAAACTATGCATGAACTTGATAAATGAACGATAATGGAATAAACTTCCTGGAAAAATGGCTGGGGCTAAACAAACCATTAAATTAATCTTCTTATGAATCTCACCCAAGTTACCATTTTTTAACATTAAAAAACTTTGAGTACAACCTTGAGAATGACCTGTAAGAGTAAGCTGGGAATGGTTTGGCTTATGAGATAATACATTTTCAATAAGACAAGGTAAATCATAGTAAGCAAGTTCTCTTACATCCCAGTCCCAATATTGTTCATTATGCATGAGGTTTCCTTCCAAGAATGCATGCTTAGTTTCAAACCAGGATCTATTGTTACCCATCCAAACATCATACCCACTTTCAACCAAATAGTAAGCAATTGAATTATAACCGGATGTAAGATAAGCACCAGAACAAGAGAGTAATCCATGTTGTAAAAGAATTGGGTGCTTATGTTGTCTTTCAATGTCTGTATCCTTTGGATTAATAAGTCTGTGTAAAGTAAGGATGAAGCCATCTTCAGTTGTTACTTTATATTCTTGCAAGTCAAGTTCAAGTTGCAAGGCATAATAACGTAAATCATCAGTAGCTTTCATTTTCTTGATATTCTTATAAGGTTGTCTTGGGGTGAAATTTGGAGTTGAATTATCTTTAACCTTATTAGTTTCAATCCCCGCAATCTTCTGATATAAATGGTAAAAAAGGGCACCTATTGAAAGGAATACAACGAAGATGTTGGAACATATAGCTGACAAGAAGATAATCCAATACTTGGTGAAAGTACCTCTTTGAGGTTTCTTCTCTGGAGGGGTCAAGTTCTCGTACGACATATTGAATCGAGATGTGTACTTGAAAAAGCTCCACCAATTGGTAGTAGCAAGTGTTTATATATAGAAGGAGGTTATCACAAGACGATATATCTCATTAATATTTATTGTATTTTATTTTTCTTTAACCGAGACCTATAAACAATACGATGAAAAATGTAAACATGATGGGAAAAAAAAAAAATAAATAAATAAAAAAGATTATTATTACCCGTAGAATAGAGTAGTGGTTGCACGATTTAATGTTATAAGTTTTCTAGAAATGGAAAAAAAAATTTAGGAATTAGGTAGTGCTCGACATAACTAGATATATTCACTTTGTAGATAGATCTCCATGAAACATCAATGAAAATAATTTGTGATACATAAAGTATGTGAAATATCACAACCCCGCTATTCGATACACGAATTAGGAATAAATTAAAAAGAAGACGACTAACATATTATACAACTTACGTAAGGTACAATAAACTTTAATTTCATTCTAAATTGAATCTATGCTTATATTATATTTTTGAAATTTATCATATTCATTTCTAGGAGTATTGTAAATTTCTATATTAGATATCCATTGGATTAGTTTATTTTAAATTGATATATGTGATCCTATATATACGTATATGCCTGTGTATATTTTTACTCCTGCATATCACCATTTTTTAAAAATAAATACTGTATAATTTTTGAAAAAAAATTTTTTAGAAACATTGGCTTTGGCCAAGTGGTTCCAACCTTTCTCAAAGCGTTCTGCATTTACCCGTTCTTCACAAGAAAGTGGCCCTGTGCTGCATATAAGCGGGTGGGAAATTCGGTGGTACACTCCGTCCAAATACATTTAATTTTATTAAATGACTGATACTTTCAAGTATTATGCTCTTGAGAGCTCCTAGCGTGCAAACGCTGGGCGATGCCATCAGAAATCAATAAATTTTCGGATTTATATGGGAGGCATCGCGGACGGTTGGTCTTTCATTAGAGGAAGGACTATTCAGTGCAATATGCGGAGTTGTGTTAAGCAATCACCCGATACCGATCATCGTTCTGAGTAAGGTTTATATTTTTTTTCTTGTTTTTGTTTTTTGTATGTCATATCTATTGTAGATTTGTTTTGTGTAAGTCATTTTTTTGTACCATTAAATTTAAAGATAAATTATCGATTTAATCATTACTTTTGCTATCAATTCCAATGATCATTGCTAGTATAAGAAGAATATTTGCATCCTTCCGAACTGAAGAAGAGGAACGTGCTTATTCACGTCGAGCATTTTTCAATTTACTTGGTTTTCTTGGCTCATGTGTAATATTTTCATTTGTTGCACAGAAATTATCTAGACAACCACATGATTTGGCACATATTGCAAGATTAAAATCATTTACATAATACTTATTCATTCATTATATCTTTATCTTATTATGTACATATAAATATCTTTGACTTATTTCAATGAGTAGCCCCACATTCACCTGCTAGAATGAATATCGGGTACTGGATAAGAGCCAGGGGGGAAAGAGGTGGTGCATTTAATGAGGGTAGGGGGTGGCGTTAAATAAAAGGGATATTCATACCCTAACAAAGTTTTAAAATTGTTTCATAATATATTAATTTTCATTCCTTTTTTAGGTCTTTTGTTGCTTCCTGTACTAATTTCTATTAATTTTTCAATAATAATTCCTTTGCCATTTCATAAGCAGTCCATGAAATAGCAGTACTTGGAACATTAAAAATAATTCTTGGTTTTAATCCTCTAATAAAAGCTTTTGAACCACCTTCTTTAAGTAATGCCTTTGCAGCAGATGAAAATCCTGTAACAGCTCTCATCTCTGGATTTGTTGAAATACCTCTTGTTTGTAAGGCAGTCTTGATACAATCAAATGGATTGGTCAAGGCAGCTGCAATTCCTCCAGCAATACCACCAGAAACACAATGTAAATAAGGATTATAAGTATTTCCTGGGTTTAATATAGATGAAAAATATTCATAAAATCCAAAATTTAAAGCAGCAAATGGAATATTTGTAAATAAAGTAGTTGGATAAGAAATATAAAATGCTGAAAATCCTTCCTTTCTATATATTTCACTTGCAGATTTTAATAATTTAATTGAATTATTTCCCGGATGTTGTTGAGTTGATGCTTGAATTCTTTGCTTTAAAACATCGAATGGAGTCATTAATGCATCTGAAGCTATAGTGGCAGCAATCCCAGCTCCACTAGCAATTAATGGATGGTTTTCATCAGTAACTATCTTATTTGAGTTACGACTATCGGTAAATCTATTTACAAGTAAAGTTTTAGTTGCTTCAAAAACGGAAAAATAAACCGCATGTGCTGGACCAGCTCCTAAAACTACTGATGATACACCTCTCCAAAGAGAATAAGCACCTTCAGATGATGAAATCTTAGAAATCGACAGAATGATCGATTTGGAAAGTTTAGTAGTACTAGGAGCAATTTGCATTCTTGTTTTCAAAGAATCAATGGGGAACATGACCGTATGTTCCATTACTCCAGCAAAAGCTCCAGCACATAAATGAGCAGCAAGCGAAGCATCATCAGGTAAGGATTCATAATCGATTTCAATAGCATCATTAGTGGGTATGAATCGAAGTTGTTCCATCTTGATAGAGGATGTATATATAGATTCCCTTTCCTTAAATTAAAAAAAAAACTGATTACAAGTTGAAAAAAAAAAGAGATAGATTGTTCTTTTCGTGGAGATACCGAAAATTGTTCAAAGAGTCTGTGAGAGTCAAAGCGTCAAAGAGTGAGTGAGAGAATAAAAGTGAAGGAAAAAAATTAAAAATTAAAAAAAAAAAAAAATAAGAAAAAAACTAGGGTCACAAAGTGAGAGAAAAGATAAAGGGATACAAGAGTTACATATCAATGCAAGTACAGCGACACAAGGTGGTATCTACAGGAGGTCCGGTAGTGTTTTATAAGGGACTTTGATTAATTCTTGATGTTTTTAATTTACTCCAGCCCTCGCAGTTGGTGCTACCTAATTTAGGATAGTTCGGAGATTTACAAAGAATGCTAGCAATTTAAATTTAAAATTTTAACGTTCGTTTAGGGTAAAAACTCAGAATAGGAATAAATTGCCTATCGGCGCCGTTAAAAAAAAAATAATCCTGTATCCTATTTTTTTTTTTTAGTTTTTCGAGAGTAGTCATAATTTCATAATAAAAACACTACAATAACAATGATCGACAAGATTAATTAAATGAAAAAATGAAGAAAAAAATTTAAAGTTAAGCATATATATCAATACATAGTAAACAATACATCACTCCGAGTCCATAAGATAGGCTGTTTATTCTCTATGTAATAAGTCAAGACACCTTGAACGATAAACCAAAGTGCATGTAACTTTTAAATCCCGGTGTCGGATTTCAAATTGTGAAATACTGCAGATAATATAGATAAAAACGTGTGGGTCAGTGCCGCCAAATAAGCGGCAAGCTTCCGATAACGGACAATCTGATAAACATATTTGGAATTTTAAAATGACATTCTATTTATGGTTACAAACACTGACTCGTATCTCTAAACTAAACTTACATAATGACTCAAAAAAAAAATTAATATTAGTTAGATTCACTTATAAATAAATTTATTTAGATACAATTGGCTTAACTGCCAATTCAGAAATATCCTGTTCCGGAACAATGGTCTTAACTTTACCAGTCTGAAGAAATTCAGTGACATTGCTGATAACCCATTCTTCCATATTTTGTATAGCTTCATAAGTATGAGTACCCATATGTGGTAAAGACACCACATTTGGTAAATCCAAGAGTTCTTGAGCAACTTCTGGTTCACGAGCAAACACGTCAGATCCAAAGGCTCTGATCTTATTATCCTTTAAAGCTTGGTATAAATCCTTTTCGTTGATAATGGCACCTCTTGCAGTATTGATAATGACAACACCATCCTTCATCTTGGAGATAGTTTCCTTGTTGATGAGGTTTTCAGTGTTTGGATTCAATGGAATACTAACCATAATCACATCAGATTGACTCAAGAAATCATCGAATTTAGTATATTCAGCACCATTTTCTAATTCTGGAGATAAACGAGAACGGTTATGGTAAATGACCTTTTCATAACCAAATGGCTTCATTCTGGAAAGAATGGCACGACCAATACCACCTAATCCTAAAATCCCAAGGGTTTTACCCTCAGCATCATAACCAATTGGTGCACCAGCACATTTTCCACCTCTGGGCCATTCACCCTTTACAGTCAAATCATGACCTATTTGAAAGTTTCTTGTAGCAGCTAAGGCCAAATAAACAGCAGTAGTGGCAGTAGGTCCCTCGACGGGAACTGTAACGTTGGAGACTTGGATCCCCTTATCGGTATATGGTTGAACATCAATTTGATCGTATCCTGCACCACAATGACTGAGAGATTTAACTGATTCTGGTAAATGTCCAGCAAGTTCCTTATCAAATCTACCAGTTTGTGAAACACTGGCAAATGTTCTAGTAATTGATGTAATCTCACTATATTTAGATTTCAAATCATTTATAAATTCTTCTCTATCTTTGGATTTACATTCAATAACTTCGGCAATTTGGGAAAGTTCTTCCCATTTTTTATGAGCAAATTCAATAGATCCGATTCTTAAAACTTTTGGTTTAGCAGTAGTCATAATTGTTCGTATAAAAGAAATCCGAGTAATTGTATTGAAAGAATTCTTAATTGTTAATTTAATCATGGATAAATAGAAGGAATTTCTTAAGCTTTATATATTAACTTCATCCCCCTAAACCACATGGGAAAAGGGTGGGGGGATAACAGAATTCCGGGGCTTGTCACGTGCTGATTCTACCTTTTTTATACGGGAAATCCCAAAAAAAGTCCGGAAGATCGATCCGATCGCTAAATTTTCCCCCACGTATTTATTTAATTGTTGACGTGTGGGGGATATTCGTGGGGGATTATAAGACGACTTATATGTTTCCCTTCCTATATTTATTTTCGAAATGATACATCATTGCGGGGTTATCTCTTCATTAGCAAGATATTTCGGAATGATTCCTACATTGCTACTACAATTAGGTTAACTCCTTAATTATACATATATTTCTTTTTTACTATACTTTATTAATTCTAAATGATTGTATTTATGTTTTAAGTTTTAAACAATAAGGGATGAACCACGGAACTTAAAATCATCACTAACCTTATTGGCAGTAGATTCAGTAATTGGTTCTCTTTCTGGGAAGCCTTCAAAGGAATCGGCAAAGTAACCAACAGAATGAGCAATTAACTTGGTATTGGCAACCCATGCATCATAATCTGGGTTCAGTAAATCATCACAAGCCAAATGGTAACAATCATCAAATTGATGGCCCTTCTTACCACCGAACTTACTCTTACTCTCAGCATTCTTAATACCTTCAGCACCAGTGGCAATTCCTCCTGCAGGAATTCCAGCATCAATAAATCCAACATAATCTGATCTACCATCGAATGGGATTAAAGTGTAATTGTAGCCATGGGTAGTGTACCAGTCAACAAAGAAGTCCTTAATATCACCAGATCCATTTGGATGGTCCTTGTTGTTAGCGTCGTAAACTTCATATTCATAGTTTGGAGAAGCCATCATATCATAATCTAAGAAGAATCTTAACTTTTGGTTTTCTTCAGGAGATAAACTTTCAGCATAGTAGTTAGAACCAAGTAATCCTTCTTCTTCAGCAGCCCACCAAGCGAATCTAACGGCATTCTTAACCTTGAATCCACTCAATTGCTTAGCAACTTCAAGAAGAGAAATAGTTCCGGAACCGTCATCATTAATACCTGGACCAGCACCAACAGAGTCAGAGTGTGCACCTAAGGAAACGACATTGTCGTGATCACCATAAACAGTTTCAGCAATAACGTTCAAAGTAGTGATATTCTTCACATAGGAGTCAACATATAAAGTGGTTAAAATTTCAGCGGCTGGGTCAGCAACCAATTGGTCAATGTATTGCTTTGCGTCGTCCAAAGTAATAGAGACAGTGGCGACTTCATCGCCAGTTGGAGTTCCAAGAGTACCATGAAGAGCACCACCTTCTGGGTCGTAAATGATGGCACCTAAGGATCCAGACTTACCAGCATTAATAGATTTATCACCAAATGGACAAACACCTCTCTTGACCAAGGCGATGCTTCCCTTGGAATTGGCAGGGAAATCTTCCAAGGAACAACCAAAGTTTTCGACCAAGACCAAGTTACCGTGAACTGGTCTGTGGTGAAGGGTAGGAGGAGTTAATGAAAGTGCTTCTAAGGACTTTGGCTTGACACCATCAATCAACAAGGAGAAAGAATTCACAGCCCCGTCAATAGCAGTAAAGCTTTGGGTTTCAACAGTGAAATATCCTTTCAATTTTCTCAATTCACTAGTGATATAATTGATGGTTCCCCAATGACCTTCGGAGCCGATGACTCTTGTTGGATGACCATATTCAGGGATAGAACGTTCGGAGATGTTGTAAAGGGCAATAGCTCTCTTTTCTAAAGCTTCCTTAGTAACAAGAGCTTGTAAAGCCTCGGTGTCAACTTCAGGAAGAGCCTTGTACCATTCGGGGTGGAATTCTTCTGATGGTAAGGAGGAATCCTTATCACCAAAGATAATTGGGATTTGTGGGAAACCAAATGGTAATCCAAAACCTAATGGGAGAGCATTGACGGAGGATATGATAGCTAATGAAGCCACCAAGGAGAAAGATTTAAGCATGTTGTCTTTTTAAAAAATGTTCACCTTGAATGGGAAATTTTTTTACAATTAAAGGAAGGAGAAGAGAAGGAGAGCATATATAAGTTAATCATTTTGAGATGTGGCTCACGATAACATAAGGACCTCGAGCCCAGATAGGCCAGAGTGTGTGCAGTACCGGCATGCCGAAAGAATGAATGGCACACCTAAAACGGAATCATGACCCGCATAAAACGGCAGAACACAAAATTAACAGAAATGGATTGATAATAATAAAAGAATAGGGTGACTCATTTGAATATTTTATAAGACCTGGCGTGATGTAGGTAGAGAAGTAATGCTTTGTAAGAGTTTCAATATGGGCTAATTAGATTTCAATTTCTGAAATGATAACAAAATAAGAATTTAATGTGAGATTCGTTAAAAATTTTAGATAACATGTATAAAATGTAATAGAATGTGGTTGCAAATTGCAAAATGCTAGGTAAAGTTTTGCTTCCACAGTAAAGAGAAATATATATACATAGTATTACTTGAATCTTGAAAGGTCCACAGTAAAGAGAAATATATATACATAGTATTACTTGAATCTTGAAAGGAATTATTTGTCTATCATGATTCTTTCTTCACATTAGTATTCATCTATATAAATATCTTCGATTACACCAATACCTTCTCCTAAGTTCTACTAATCTTTTAATCAGTCTAATAATCTTTTAACTACTCTACTTATAATAAATTAACCAAATTTCATTCCTCCATGCATGAATTGGGAGAAGAAATCATGACCTCCTCCACCTCCGAAACCTCCAAAATTAAATCCTTGTTGACCACCACCACCGAAATGATGTTGTTGTTGTCCACCACCTCTATCATACTCTTCTCTCAGTTCCTTTTTAGAAAGAACTTCATAAGCCAAATTGATTTCTTGCATTTTGTTTTCGATTTGTTCTGGAGTTAAGTCATTCCCTTTATACTTATCAGGATGGTATTTTAATGTTTGGGTACGATGAGCCTTTTTAATAGTTCTTTCATCTGCATCCTTTGCAACATCAAGTACTTTATAATAATCAATATCATGGTTAATATTATTATTTTGTTGCTGTTGTTGCTGTTGATGCTGGTATTGTCGCTGTTGATGCTGTTGTTGGCGAAAACGTTGTTGTTGCTGTTGATGTTGTTGTCTTTGTTCATACTCGGCAATTTTCTTTGATCTAAGTTCAAACAATTTAGAATGTCTAACATTTTTATTGAATCTTTCCAATAATCTCTTTGCTTCATGGAAATTCTTCTTCTTTAATAATTTATCAACTTGTTGCACATGTAATGGGAAAAATGGATTTGATGATGATTCCTTAATTTCTGAACAAATCTTGTTGGATGATTTCCCATAATCTTTAATTTGAATATATGATTCACATGCCAATTCTTGAAGATCATCTAAAAATGATACATATGGTAATTGTTCATCTTTACCAAAATTATTAGCTTTGTACTTTAAATATTCAAAATTATTATTAATTGAATATGGTAATTTTTTCTTGTCTAATTTTGAAACTTTTAATTCATCTTCAAATAAAAATTTGTTAATAAATTTATAATCTTTTTCGTCAAGGATAATCTCAGGATCAATACTTCCAGCAGTTTCTGTTTCCATATAATAATGCCCATTCATAATGGAATATCTTTCCAATAATTTTAATAAATCTTGAAATTTAAAATAAAATTTAGACAAATCTCCACATGATTTATATTCATTATCAATTCTTAAACAATTTTTAACATATGTCCAAGAAAGGTCAAATTGAACCTGTGTGAATAATAAATATGATGATAATCTATCATAGATCATAAGGTTTTGCATAGGTGATGTGGATTTCTTTAATATATGTGACATGCTTTTAATAATATTTCTAAATGAATCATTATCATCATTATCATTCTCCATTTGTAATTTTAACTTCAAACATTCAATATGTAACTTATAAGAATCCAAGTTACTTGGTGATATTATAAATACTTGTTCTTCTAGTATACTTGAACATTGTTTGTAATCCTTTTGTTTATAAAACTCTTGAGCCTTCCCATATGAATCTTTAAATTGTTCAATTTGATTATATGTTTCTTGATCTTCAGGAAGAATGGGAGTGCCCTTAATGACATTGGATACTTGATCAAAATCCCCTCTTTCCATCAACAAATCAACAAGTCTTTTCTTGGCTGGTTTCATCTTTGGATCCAATTTTAAACATATCTTCAAATCCGAAATTGCAGAGTTAATCTTATTCAAGGAGATAGAAATGATGGCCCTTTTAAGATAGATTTGAGGTAACTGACTGGTGATTGTATTGTCCGTATCCACTTCTATTTCTCTAATCAAATCTTCATAGAATTGAAGTACATTGATAGTTGGTCCTTCAGTGGAAAGTAATGAATTGGCCTGCTGGATCTTCAGCAAAAGGCCACCATCACTAGCAATAACAATATTAATCAATACAAGAACCTGCACTGCAAGTACGTATATATGTTTCATGGTATTTAGAGGATATCAAGTGAAAGGATTACGTATTCCAAAAAAAAAAAGAAGTTAATGGGTGCAATAAATACTTTATGTATCTTTATTTTCTGCTTTCGTGTCAGATACAGTCATGTGACTTAATGCCACTTGTAATATAGAAGCATAATTTGTGTAACAGTACAGATATTTACACAGTAGGACTATTGGTATATTCTAGAAAGATTGTAAATTCTCTTATATTCGATTCTTTCACTTCTAGTTTAATTCAATTAAAATCAATATATATATATATATTCCAAGTTGTAACTTTCTTTTTTAATTTAATTTCTAGTCTTTTATACGTTATCCCACACTACATAATTTCCTTCTACACCGACGCCACCTCATTGAATATTGAATCTAGTTTATTAACACTTACTACATTTAAATTTCCTTGTTTTCATCTTTCGTATATTTCTCTATTTGAACAATTTAGCTAAAGAAACTGCACCTTCATCATTCTTATTCATAACCTTAGCAACTGCCAATTCAAAATCTTCTTGAGTAATATGTATTCTCCTTTCTCTTAATGCATACATCCCTGCTTCAGTACAAACACCCTTGACATCAGCACCTGAACATCCATTCATTTTTTCAGCAATTTTTCTTAAATTGATACCTCTAGTCAAATTCATGGATCTAGAATGAATCTTTAAAATATCAGTACGGGCTGTAACTGTTGGTGCTGGGAATTCAATCTTTCTGTCTATTCTCCCTGGTCTTAAAAGAGCTGGATCTAAAATATCCAATCTATTGGTGGCCATGATGATCTTAATATCTTTAGAACTTTCAAATCCATCCAATTGATTAAGTAATTCCAACATTGTTCTTTGAACTTCTGAATCTCCTCCCGAGGAACCTTCAACTCTTGATGATCCAATGGAATCAATTTCATCCATGAAAATAATAGATGGAGCATGTTCTCTGGCCATAATAAACAATTCACGAACCATACGAGACCCTTCACCAATATATTTTTGAACTAATTCTGATCCAGAAACTCTAATAAATTTACATTCAGTATGGTGAGCAACCGATCTTGCCAACAATGTCTTACCAGTTCCTGGTGGCCCGTACAAGATAACCCCCTTTGGTTGAGCAATCCCCAAACTTTCAAACAATTCTGGATGTTTAACTGGTAATTCAATCACTTCTTTGATTTCTTTGATTTGTTTATCTAATCCACCAACCATATCATAAGTTGAATCGGGGACTTTTTCAACCATCATCAAGGAAACCAAAGGATCAACCTTATTGGGCAAAATCTTGTGTAAATCATAAGAATCAGCCTTCAAACATACTCTTAATGATGGGGTAAGTTTCTTAATATCTATATCTTTGGAAATGTTGACAATATATTTCCCTTCTGGATGAATCTTAACAAGAACTTTCTTTAATCCCATCACCTTCACAACTTCTCCAACATATGAGCCTGGTTCTTGAAGTAATCTCAATTCATCTTTTAATTGACGAACTTTATTGTTAAGTTTATTACGTTGTGCTTCTAATCTACGAAGATTTTGTGTAGTGGTTTGGATTTTAAGTTCAGTTTCTTGGATTTGTTGCTGGAAGTATGGTTTGATCCCACCTTCATGAACGTATGGTTTTTGCACGGCTGCCACAGTCATAATCAATACTAATAATATTAATTGATTATCTCTTTTTTATTCTCCTTTATTGTTGAATTCAACTGGTAAATGCGATTAAGGTTGGTTTGCCTCCCAGAATGTTTTCCTGTAGATAAAATATTACACAAAATAGAGCAAATGTCAAGCACCTGGTTACAATACAATGTATCAAACCCTATTAAATTAAGATACCTCATATAACCATATTAAAATAAGTCATTCTACTCTCTCTCTCTATATATATATATCTTTATGAGAATGTGAATCAACATGTTAATCTATTCCCTACATGCTACTCATTTTACAATACCCATTTATTTACTCATCACAATTTCATTTCAATGTTCATCCCTTTTCTTTACACACATCCCCAGTATATTTTTGCCCTCCAATTCCTTTTTCTTATATATATATATATCTAGAATCTTATCGATTGATTTGCATCGCCCCTTTCAATTGCTTATAGTCACCCATAATCGATTCCCCGTTACGCGATCTATCTGTCCTAATGCATACGCGACTGCGAAAAAACTTTTCAATACCAATAAAAACCTCACACTATAGTGGGCAAAATGAGAAAATTTTCGTAACAAAAATAATATAGGGTAGTGTATGAGGACACCTTTTTGGTTATAAACGGCAGACTTCAAACAATTTAACCACAGTAATCAGACTAATAAAGAAATACAGTGGACCAAATTTCTTAGTTAAATTTCATTACATACATTTAGCAAATCTAGTACATACCATATCAACACATATCTATAGTCTTCCCCGTACATACATTCTGTAGCACCTCTCTTCCTCGCGTTCTAGATACCCGATCTACATTCTACATTTCTACTCACAATATGTGTTCATAATAGTTCATATCCTCCCACATCAATATCCCACAACTTATCCTCTCCACCAGACGAAAGATGTTTGTGAAATCACATTTAAAATTTTTTTTTAGAATTTTTTTTTTTTCCCTGCTTGTTCATTAATTTTTTTTTGTTTGAAAAAAAAAGGTGCTATTTCGAGGAGATCAAGTTTTTTTCTTTCTTTTTTTAATTACTTATACAGAAATACATAATTTTTTGATTATGTCTGATAGTAAGCAACAAGAGGGTGGTAGCGCCGCTACCGCTCCTTCCACAGGAGGTGCTCCAAGCAACGCTCCGGCCGCAACTTCTGCTGAAAAGATTGTAGAAAGCGTTTCCAGTGAACAAGGAAATTCAATTGCTAGCAAGTCTGTAGAACCATCAACTGGCTCTACCGAAGAACCTGCAAGCAATGCCGGTGTCCCAGCTTCCCAGCAACACCCAAATCAACAACCGCACGGTTACAACAACAACTACAATGCCAACAATGCAGGTGGTAAGGGATTCAACAAGCAATACAACGGAAGACATAACAACAATAACAACTATGGCAACAACAATAACAATACTACCGGAGGTAATAGACAAAACTATAACAGAAAGTCAGGTTACAACAACCAGAAGGTTAATCACAATGCCAACCAACAGTACGGCTACCCTCAACCATACGCTCAAAATATGTACTCTTACGGTTACTATGGAAACCCATATGGTTACATGGTTCCAGCACCAGGTCCTTATAACCAAGCTCAAGCCGCTCTTCAAAACCCTCAAGCTCAAGTACAAACTCCATTTTCACCAGTGGCTGGTAACAAGGTTAAAATTACTGACAGAGAAGGCAAGGAAATTGACTTAGAAGACAAGAAAAAGCTTTCTAGTTCTAGTACTCCAATTTCATCCCCTGCCAACACCATTGCATCTCCTGCTACTTCTACTCCACCAGCAACTGCCACCATTTCTGCTCCAGCTGCTGTCGCTAGCGCCACCCCAGCTGCTGTATCTAACACACAAGCAACTAACGCATCTGCCCCAGCTGTGACTGAAGCATCATCTTCTACTCCAGCTGCCGTTGCTCCAGCTGCCACCGGAAAGTTATCTATTGCTGAAGAGTTCAAGAGAAAGATTTTAGAGAAGGCTGCCAAGGCTGCTCAAAAGAAACCTGAAGTGAAGGAAGAACCAAAGGAAGTGAAAACTGAAGCTTCTAAGGAGGTTGCTCAAGAAGAACCAACTCCAGTCCCAGCTCCAGCTCAAGCTCCAGCTCCAAAGGTTGAAGAACCAAAGGAAGAAGTTAAGGCTGTCGAAGAACCAACTCCTAAGGTTGAAGAAGAGCCAACAGAAGTCGCCACTGAAACTGAAAAGGAATCTACTGATGCCCCTGTATCTGAAAACGTTGTTGAAGAAGAACCATCAAAGGTCGCCGCTACCGAAGAATCTACCGTAGACGCTGAAGCTCAACCTGAAGCCAAGGATGTCGAAAACCCCGAACAGTCAGCTCCAGAACAAACTGAACAAACTGAACAAGGTGAAACTAAGGAAGTTGAAGGTGAAGAATCTACTCAAGGTGAAGAACCTGTAGAAGAAGAACCAAGCTTCACTCTTTCCAACTTCTTTGAAAGAGTTAGCAACGCTACTCCACTTGAGGACCCACTCAGTGTATCCTACCCAGAACCATTACAAGCACCTGATGCTAAGTGGAAGCATGACCAAATTAAGTATAGATACGATCCTGTTTTCTTGATGCAATTCCGTGACGTTTGTCAAGTTGCTGTGGATCTGGAATGGAAGACTAAGTTAGAAAGCTTGGGTATCACCGGAAACAAAAGACAAGGCTCATCACAATCATCTAGAGGTGGTATGGGTAAGTTCGGTAACAACAACTCTATGGGTGGTAGATTCAACAGTGGTCCTCTTGCTAGAGGTCAATTCAACGATGGAAGACAAAACTCCAGAAATGGTTCCAAGAGAAGAGGTGGAAGCAGTGGAGGTCCAAGAGACAAGTCTACTAGAAAGAACCAATCTAAGAGAGGAGGAAGAGAAAGAGAATCCAAGAGTGACGAGCCATCAAAGCCATTGGAGGATGTTAAGCCATTGGTTGTTTCTGAAAATAGATGGGTTCCAAGATCTAGAGCTACTAAGACTGAAGTTAAGACTGCACCAGATGGTTCCGAATTACTTGAAACCGAAGATATAGAAAGAAAGGTTAAGTCCTTGTTGAATAAGTTAACCTTGGAAATGTTCGAACAAATTACTGACGACATTATGAAGATTGCCAACCAATCCAAGTGGGAAGAAGATGCCAAGACTGTGAGACAAATAATATCATTGACTTTCGCTAAGGCCTGTGATGAACCATACTGGTCTTCTATGTATGCTCAATTCTGTGCCAAGATGTGTAAGGAAATGACTGATGAAATCAAGGATGTTAACATTATTGTTAAGGGTGGTGAAATTGCCAAGGGTGGTGATTTAGCAAGAAGAATCTTATTGGCTACCTGTCAAGTCGAATACGAAAAGGGTTGGACCGATAAGTTACCTACCAATGAAGATGGTTCACCATTAGAACCAGAAATGATGTCTGATGAATACTATATTATGGCTGCTGCCAAGAGAAGAGGTCTTGGTCTTGTTAAGTTTATTGGTCACTTGTACATTTTGAATATGTTGAACGATCAAGTCATTTTGCTTTGTTTGAGAGATCAATCTGGTAACACCGATGATCCTTCTGAAGACCGTTTAGAAAACTTGACCCAATTAATTAAGACTGTCGGTGCTAGATTGGAAACCAAGGACAAGACTAAAGCTGCATTAAATTTCGTTTTCGATAACGTACAAACAATCTTGGATAACTGTAAACTTGCATCAAGAATTAAGTTTATGTTGATGGATTTGATAGATTTGAGAAATTCCAACTGGGTCTCTGCTAAGAATGAAGCTGTTCCAAAGACCATTCAAGAAATTCACGACGAAGCTGAAATCAAAAAATTCGAAGATGAAAAGGCCGCCGCTGAAAGAAGAAGAAAGAACAAGATGAGTGACTCTAGATCCAACTCTTCTAGAGCTGGCTCAAACTGGGGATCCCTGAACTTGAAGAAGGACATGAGAGCTCCTCAAAAGGACTCCCGTGGCTTTACTTCTGTCCAATCATCAAGATCTCAATCCAATAGACCTAACATTGTTGAAAGCAGCATGTCTCCAAGAGACAACTCTAAGAGAGCTGACTCTATTCAATCTGCAGCAAACATGTTTGCTGCTTTAGGTGACGAAGAAGACCATGAAGATGAAGCTTCTGAAGAACAAGAAACTCCAGCAGAAGTTGCCCCTGAAGTAGAAAATTAAAGTATGCAAGCACACTTGCAGTAGTATGTAATATAGCATCTTCCTAAACGAATGATTTATATAGTATCGGTTCTGTGTTTTAAAGTAAATTGTTGTTTAATCTTTATATATTTTTGCATATCAATGCTATTTAATGCAATATCTATTTGTTACGACTTCTCTCTTTTCCTTAGAGATTGTAGCTTTTGACCAAACAGTCCAAAGGCAGCATGTTTCACATCCATTTCATGATCTGGGACAATTGGGTTCTGCGATATGCCTGAATCAGGAGTATCCATCTTTTTCTGATGAGTACTGAAAATACTTCGAGAAAAGTATGATTTGGGGCTTTCTTGCGGTACTTTTAGTTCAACATCATCTGTCACATTTAAAGGTGCTATCGAAGCAACTTCACTGGAACTAGAATATCTACATACACTGAGATTTTGCTCAAATATAACATCTAAGTTAAATTCATTTTTCAAGTCAATATTCTCCAAGGGCATTAAAATGGACGTTTCGTTATCAAATTGTGATCCCATAATCGAAATCTCTCTTCCTGACCAGAACAATACATGCAATGCTCTCAATCTTAATAAATTATTTGAATTGTATATACTATTTGGTGGGGCAGTTTGTCTTTCAATACGCATAAAGTTGAAAATGGTACGCAACACAAGAAATGTTGCAATAATACCCATTTCAATTAGACTGAGAGAAAGCAATAGAAAGCATTTGTATAAATAGAACACAACTTTCCGTCCCTTAAGTAATAAACACATGTAAACAAGAAGTATAGATGAAATAAATTTCAATAATTTGAAAACACTACCTTGTATGATATTTTTGACACACCTTTTTGTGGGAACGAATTGAGCTGAGTCTTGATCAACTTCCTTCATAGAATGTGAGTAAAATGCCAGTTCCATGGTATTTCTGTGGAATATGACGAGATATAAGGCAGAAGAATAGATCACCAAAAACACGCACACACAAAAGCAGCTACTATGTATGCTTATTCTTGTACACAAAGACATATTTGTGAACATCCTTTATTAATTAAAAATCTACCACTTGGAGATCACCATGCTCCATCGGATCAAAGTCTAGAATGGGCAAGACAGGGAACGTATCACTTTCTGGAGTTGTACCAAAGTCTAACTGGACAGTCAAATCATCTACTACAGACTGTTCGTATGAAATTGGAAGATCTGGCAGCATTATATGTTCCGTACCAACCTTCACCTCGGCAAATTCTTGCACACAATATGATTTGATAGCTTTTAATCTTCTCACAGGATCATGGTATGCATCCTTTATAGGGAGCTGACGTGCTCGTGTGATCCTGTGAACAAGATTGGCCAACACTTTTCTAGGATCAGCAGATGTATGTTTCAAGACTTTAATCATAGAAGTTATTTCAGGTAAGGGCAATACCTTGCAATCGGGATATAAACATGTAAATAATATCAATTGTTTCAATAGAAATAAAGGTGACTCCCCTCTTTCAATAAGCCAATTAGTCTGATAAGTTGCTAGAAATGTATACCTATCAGTATCCAGAAACTGATCTGCAATACCAACTTCTTCAGAATCACACAGTAGCTCATCATTATCACTTATGTCACTATCGTCAGAGTTTTGAACTTTCAACAAGAGTTCATCGATTGGATATTTAGATAATAATTTGGTAAATTTTGTAGACGAGCCAGCTCTTCTACGTTTGATTACTTTAGAGTTTCCGCTCAACTTTCTTCTATGAGGCTCATTATTTAACTTGGCGTTATGACTTTGCACCTGCACTTCCTTTATCAGTGATTGAGATACAATTTGGGACTCATTGAATACCACTTGTGAACTTTCTTGTAGCTTATCAGGTGGAATTGTGGTTTGGGAACTTGTAACAACTCTTGGACATGGTGACATAGATTCTGAAGCTGTATTCTTTGTAGGTTCAGTAATATCCTCACCTTCTTCAATCTCATCATATTTATTTCCATCTCCTACTATTGATTCCTTGTCATCTTCATCAATATCAGTTGATACTTCATCTTTGTCAATTTCAATATGATGAAGAATCCTTCTGCGTGAAACATTTTTTAAACTATCAAATAACTTGAGAAGTAAATTCAAATTTCGCTGGTCCTTTAATCCACTAACATTTTCTCTATTATTTCGTAATATATTGACAACAGTTTCACATGTAACATGCACGGGATTGTGATCACCTACAGTGTAAGTTGTATCCGATCCACTCACATGTCCACTTATAAGTTCCACCATATTAATAGCTGAACGGGAGTCACCTTTACACCTGGAAACTATTAAATCTATCGCCAGTGTTTCAAGTTCAATAAACTTAATTCTATGAGAACAACGACGTCTGATATTTTCAAACAAAATTGCTCTTTTAATAACACGAACTAGATCAGCATTAGTTAACGATTTGAGTTGAAATATCTGACACCTCGAAAGAATCGCTCTACGAATACGCAGTTTAGGATTTACCAGAGTTGCGCCAATAAACACAAATTGACCATTTTCAATATATGGTAATAAGAAATCTTGCTGTGTAGTAGAAAACCGATGGATCTCGTCAATAAATAGAACAACCTTCATCGTATCTTGCTTCATTGCCTGCCTTCGGCTGTTTTCATTCTCTATATCTCTCAGGATTCGTTTTAAATCTGCCACTGTCCCATTGGTAGCCGATAATTCCAAAAACACATATTTTGTTTCTCTCGCCAAAATTGAGGCAATAGTAGTCTTACCAACACCTGGTGGGCCATGTAAGATCATAGAAGGAAGATAGCCGAGTCGAATAAAGTTCTTTATCAGACCATTCCCATCATTAATTAAATGTTCTTGCCCAACGTACAGTTTCAAATCGGTGGGTCTCACCAATTCAGCCAAGGGATTATTAAACAGACTTAATATATCATCTTCGTGAATGAGATCAGGCTCATCTTCTGATTCAATCCCACTCCCAATAGAACTCTCCAGTGTAACTTCCATGGTCTCTAGGGTATCAAATACATGTGTATCTTTCTCTGAATGTAGATGATCTGATTGTGGCAGACTTACAAGATCAGAGATTTGATTAACAGATTCTAATGTCAGGGTAGTTGTATTTAAACCCGTTGTATCTACATCCATCCCTTGTTTCGTGTCCTCTAGATTTTCGTCTTGGTCCTCTTTATCTTCCACATCAGCCGAGAAAGGTTGAGAGTTCATCCCACACAGTTAATATCACTATAATAAATTGTTAAGTTATCAATCTGTCGCGCTTAAAATTTCAAAAATTCATATTGACAAAACATCCAAAAACCTTGTAATTTCTCCTAAACTTCTACACTACAAATTATCTGAAAGAAAACTATTCAACATCTTTATACGCATGATATTATCATTATCTATATAGATATATACTTATGAAGCTTCGATAAAATCGTTCTCACTTCCGTTTCGGACCCCCTTTATTAATACCATTGGGTATACCACTACCCATAGCTAACGGACTACCTGCTGTTCCATTGGCAGACATACTGACCTTTCTTTTCTTTATATTGGGCTTGGTATCACCAAATGTTGAAGGTGATGGTGAATTATTCAAACCATTTCCATTACGATGAACCGTCCCCCCTAAAGACTTATCGCCAGGGATGGTAGCAGCCAGCTGCTGTTGCGATTGATTTTGTTGTTGCCCTTGTTGATTGAATTGGTTAATCATATAGAGTTCCATGGCTCTGATTGGCGAGTTGACATTCCCACTGCTGGAAAATGCCATTAAAGATTTGAGATGTGACATGACATCTCCCACATTTAAAATCCGCATAGCATTTTCATCTAATCCAGAATTTGCTGCTGATGTCATTGCAGGAGAAGACCCATAGAGTTTATTAAAAAACTCTTGTTGTTGAGAAATATCAAATTTTGAATTGGGTCTTTGAGCAACTCGATAATCATTCCAATATTTATCTAAACCAGAGAAATTAATAGACGTTTTATAGCCAGAAATATGGCAATCTACCCATTCGATGCGGAATTCCCTATTCATCAATAATTTGCAATTACCAGTAATAGTAGCTTGTGATTCATCGCTGTAAGTTATATTCAATGACATCCGACAAGCAATAAGTATTGAACCATTATCAATGACTTGACATTTTAATCCTGGAAGACTAATAGTGAACTTACTGACATCATTGGATAAAACATTTGCCAAAAAGAATCTCGAAGCAGTAGATGAATTTAATTCAAACAGAAGATGACCGCCATATAGTTTGTTCGTGCTTGGGATTGCGCTACTATATCTAAAGATTGAAGATGGGGTAAAGTATGCTTGCATTAATCTTTGCCAATATTCAATTCTGGTAATATTTTGTGAGGATTCATTTGATATTTGATCAACTAAATCAAGAATTCTAACAATAGCAGCATTTCCCAAGTTCTTCTTAAAAATCTTAGCATTTAATTCACTTTGTGGTTCCAGTTGACTCCCAGGTTTATTAAATTGACCATTGCTTGTAGTTGGTCCACGTTCCGTACCTCGTGGGGATTGATCCGGTACATTCGGTACCGAGCTTGGAATCTGTGCTTGAGGTGCTGGTCCTGCTCTTGGTTGGCTTTGTGGTGTTGGTTGTTGTTGTTGTGGAATTACAGGCGTAGCCGTTGATCCATTCACTGAATTAGCATTAGAATTAGAGTTTTGCAGTGATACATTAGGGACGGGTCCTTGATGTGGCTGGGGTCCTTGGAGTCCTTGATTTTCAAGTTCGGCCTGAGTTGGTGTATGTGAATTGGTGGTTGATTGAATATTTTGTAATTGCTTCGATGGTTGATTTTGAGATCTAGCTTGTACTTGTGCTTGAGCCTGGGCTTGTGCTTGTGCTTGTGCTTGGGCGTGGGCCTGGGTTTGTGCCCTTGCTTGAGCTTGAGCCTGGGCCTGTTGGGCTTGGGCTTGTGCTTGGGCTTGGGCTTGTGCCTGTTGCGCTTGCGCTTGTGCCTGTGCTTGTGCCTGTGCTTGTGCCTGGGCTTGTGCTTGGGCTTGGGCTTGTGCCTGTTGCGCTTGCGCTTGTGCCTGTGCTTGTGCCTGTGCTTGTGCCTGTGCTTGTGCCTGTGCTTGTGCCTGTGCTTGTGCCTGTGCTTGTGCCTGGGCTTGGGCCTGTGCTTGGGCCTGTGCTTGGGCCTGTGCTTGTGCTTGCGCTTGCGCCTGTTGCGCTTGCGCTTGTGCCTGAGCTTGTGCCTGGGCTTGTGCCTGAGCTTGTGCCTGAGCTTGTGCCTGAGCTTGTGCCTGAGCTTGTGCCTGAGCTTGTGCTTGTGCTTGTGCCTGAGCTTGTGCCTGTGCTTGAGCTTGAGCTTGTGCCTGAGCTTGGGCAGCCTGTTGTGCCTGTGCTTGAGCTTGAGCTTGTGCCTGAGCTTGGGCAGCCTGTTGTGCCCGTGCTTGCGCCTGTGCTTGTGCCTGCAGTTGAGCTTGTTGGACTTGTTGAGCTTGGGCGTGTGCTTGGGCCTGTAATTGTGCTTCTTGGGCCTGTTGGGCCTGCGATTGCTGAGATTGTTGCAACTGGGCTTGTTGTGCTCGTGCTTGTTGTGACTGTTGATTCATTTGTTGTTGATGTTGCGGGAGTTGATTCTGCATGGGATACATCTGTTGAGGTTGGGACTGACTAGCCATCTGAGGAGTATGATTCAGAGAATTACCACCCGATACTGGTATAGAGTTTGGAAGTGGAGCTGAATTTGGGGCTGTCATCATTACATTAGGACTATATTGGGCCGTTTTACCCCCTTGCATAGCTCCTGGATTCGGACTGAACAGTTGACCCGTGTTCTGTCTTTGCATCGACATCGGCCTCTGTTGGTGTTGATCTTGTTGCATATGTTGGTGTTGTAATTGTTGTTGTTGTTGTTGTTGTTGTAACTGTTGTTGTTGTAATTGTTGTTGTAACTGTTGTTGAATTAACATCTGTTGATGCGATAATTGTTGCGGGCCCCCAGGATAGCCTGACCCATTATTATTATTATTATTATTAGCCCTCTGTTGAGGTGCAGAAAATTGCATGTTTGGAGATCCTTGGGGAAATGCTTGTTGTGGGCCAAGTTGTTGAGATCCGTTTTGTTGTTGCATGACGGGATTCACAAAGTTTTGATTCTGTGGAGCCATTGCCGTCATCTGGTTGTTCAATCCAGAATTATTCATATTATGTAGTATAGACTTGTTTCAACTTCGAGGTCAATTCAACATATATACTTTGTTAGGGACTATTGATGAAACTAAATGAGACAAGAAAATGCCTGACAGAAAAAAGAAAAGAAAAACAAAACTAGACGAAAAAGCAATGAGTGTATGAAGGCCGGTCCTGTCGCTCGGCTGAAACAGATATGTTCTATGGAGCTTCAAGTTCCCTGTGCTTGGGGTATCTAACAAGTATAAAACTTCAATTTAAATGATTGATAAATTTTTCGATACGTCAATTACAAAGTCAAAACTAACTCTAAGTATTTTGTACGCACTGCCAGATAACGAGCAAAAAAAAAAAAGAATTAAATTAAAAGAGTGAGTGAGAGAGGGAGGAAAAAAAAAAAATTCAATTTTACTCAAAAGAACCACAACTCGCTAAAAATCCCACCTTAAGAGGAGTGCGGCTGCGATGTAGTCATCTGGGTTGATCCTAATCCCACTAGATAGTTTGAATCCAGTTAAGCGTCGCAAGTCGTCACCTAACTAGTATACAAACTTACAATCCACCACACGTTAAAAGGGCGGGGGAAGAATCGCCTCATCACCATGTGGTATGTTTATAGAAACCGCAAAAAAAAAATATTGTGTGTAAGAAAAGGAGGGCCCTGAGTTTTGGAGGTGAAGAAAAATCTAGGTTGTGTGCCCTGGTGCAGTAAAGTCCTCTGTTCTATTTTATTTTATCTTATTTTTTTTTGGAATGAAAGATAGATTAATAGGGGATGGTGGAATGATGAGGGGATATGTAGAAATATAAAATAATCACGGCCATTGGTGAGAAAGTGGAGAGAGAGAAACCTTATCAATTAATTGGATTTGTATTAATTAATTTGGTGGTTTGTATGCGGTGGGGAACACTCGTAAGATAGCGGTCATTGTTAACAAAGGTTGGATAGTTGTAAAGTACTTTTGGAATTAATTTCTTTTAATATTTTTTTTTCGTTCATTTATTTTTTTTTCCGGATTTGGGATTCCCTTGGAACCCTGGCAAAATAATGTGAAAGGTGGTTTTAATATTGGTGTATGGGGTCCCCCTCTTATCCTATGAAAAGAGTTCATTCCCCTGCACCCTATTATTTATTTATATTATTATCAAGCATTTATTTTCTTTATATTTCATTCTAATGGATTTATTTTGCTTGGATTTCTTCATCTTATTTTCTTGTTTTAGTCCCTTGTTTCATATTTTTAGTGATTCTCATAATAGAATGTGTCTAACACAGAGTATTATTTCTATGTCTATCTCGGAAGAATTCCCAAATTTTATAATAGTATTGATATATATAAATGTACTAACTTCCTCTATATCTTATTGTTATTTCATTCCTTCAAGGAATACCAACTACAGAATTTCCCTCTAAATTATTTATCCAGCGGAATAATGCAGGGTGGCGAAATTCGGGTCTTCTTGGTTTCAGTAACAGCAGTTGAGGTGTTTCATCTGTAGGATCTCCCTTTTGTACTTCTCGAGTCTTATTGGCTCTTCTCTTTAATAATTTGTTTAAAGTATCTCTTTTTTCTTCTTCAAGTTGTTTATTTTTATAATCTTGTCTTCTTCGATTACTTTCTTCTTTTCTTAATGCAGCTTCTTTTTCTGTTTCTTTACGTTTTGTTGGAACCTTTTTCTGGGTATTTAATGCATCAAGTGATAAAAATTCTTCAGTACTATCAAATTGTTCTGCATATCTTGCCCTTTGTCTTTCTGTCATTTTTGTTGGATCATATTCACCATGAGGATTATATTCAGTTTCTTCATCAGTAAGAATTAAATCAGCATCGAGTTCTTGTGGTTGAAGCTTCCTTTCAGGCATTTTAGATTTCCTTGACATTTTAGGTTTAGAATATGATACTTCTGGTTGTACATCTTCATCTTCATCTTCATCTTCTTCATCATCTTCATAATAAGTAAGTTTTCTTTTCCTTGATTCTCTACCTCCTAAGGTCTGATTAGGTTTGGACGTGCTAGTTGCAATGACTGTACTTACAGGAGTTCTAACTTCATCTTCGTCTTCATCTTGTAATTCTAAATCATCATCAATTTCATCAGGATCTTCTAATTTATACGCGTCTTCATCTTCACTAATTGATGGTATTTCTTCATCTTCTTCTTCCTCCTCTTCTTCTTCCTCTTCTTCATCTTCTTCATCTTCTTCATCTTCATCTTCTCCTACTTGTACTTTGGCATATACATCACTAATTTCTTCTTCATCTACTTCCTCTTCTTCTTCTTCTTCCTCCTCTTCCTCTCCAACATCTTCCAATTCATGTTCGACACTCAGTAAATCAGAAAGGTCGGAGTCTTCAGTGTCTGGAGCTGTATTTCTAGCCATATCTATAATATATTCTTGTAATTAAACTATTATTCATGTTATATTACTTCCTTGAATATCTCTCTATACGCTGAATATTATCAAAAACTCGTGGTCCTGTATGTAATACCAGGCCACTTACTCAAGATTCATTTTTTGTATAACAAATAGTTACCCCCCCTCTATATTGAGTGAAACGAAGAGTAATATGACAACCCATATCGTTTGTATGCCTTCTATCTCTTTAAAAAAAAATACTTTTTTACTTGGAATTTTATCTATTCATTTATTTATTTCTTATATGCTCTACACTTTACCACTAATATACATCCCCTTTATACTTCTAATTTCATTCTTCATTTCTAAGGTTAAATTCTTCTTCCTTTTACCATTAATTCCTTCTGTATCAACTGTAAAAAATTCTCGATTATTAAAATAAATCATATCTGCTTTATTTTGAAATTCTTTAACACAATATCTAATTGTCTTATAATGAGGAATTTCTGAAACCAGATATGAAGTACATTGATTTAATTTTTCTGATAATTGATTTAATTTATTTGCAAGTTTATTTTGTGATAATTTATCATTTTCTTCATCATTATCATTTCCATTTAAATCAATTGTTTGAGTGATTGCATCAGCATATAATTTACCACTGCCATCATTTTTATTAATCGCAACAATGGGGATATAACTAACTTTTCCAATTAAATTAAGGTAACAATCACGTAATTTCGCCCTAAATAGTTCTAATACTTCAAGTCTTCTATTTGCAGTTAATTCAAGTAATGGTTTTAATCCAAATATCCCAATCAAATATATTAATGTAAGTAATATGGCAGATCCATTTGTTAATTTGATAAGAAATCCAAGTAATCTTGATCTTCTTGCATTATTAGAATGGAATCCACTAGGATCAAACGCAGTTTCGGGAATGGTAAGTATAGGAACCATCAAAAAATTAATAGAATATAATTAATATTTAAATGATATTGATATAGATAAAATGAAGGTTTAAATTTGATTTTATTTCCTATATGACCAATTTTGTGGAGAAGAAATCTTGAATGAAACTTTACCTCGGTAAATTGATTATGTAATGAATTTATATACATTCATATTTATATATATATATATATATATGTATATAACATATTTTGCTCTATATGCAAGAAGTCTATTATACTATGTACAAGTTTTTAAATATGTGAAGGGTGGGATTAGATGCAAATATGATGAAGGGTTGAAGATAGGATTTAATATTCTTCAATCAATGATATCTCCGGTATTTTTGTAAAAATTCAGTCTATTCATAGACTTCATATTACGTCGTTTCTTATTTTTATAGAAGGAGTGGTTAATATTACTATCATATAACACTTTACCATTCTTTTTAAATGTGTTACTTGTTTGTGCTAATTTATCAGTTATATTTGCCATTTTATGATTATTATTTGAAACAAGTTGAATTTCATTCAAGTTGACACTTTTATTATATGTCATTCTTTTTCTTGCAAGTGAAATATCTTGAGATGTTTTTGATCTTCTTTCTTCACTTTCTCGTTTAAGTTCTTGTCCTCTACGTAAAAGTCTTTCATTTTCTTCACTATTAGGTACCCATTTAGAATGCAATATCCTTCTAATTGCTTCTGGTGAGATTCCAAAATGTCCTGCCAAATCTATAGTTTTCATACTTGGTACTTGTAATTTTAATTGTCTAACATTATTCATTTCTTCTCTTGATAATTTATGAGTTGGTTTCCATTCTCCATATCTTTTTTTCAATGTAGCTGATCTTTTTTGCCATTCTGGTAAGTTTTTCAATTCTAATTTCCTTATTTGATTTTGCTTTTGCCAAAATGTATGACTTATTGGATTAATTTTATTTGATTCATTATCCTTTTCCTCAGGTTTAATATCATTAATTTTATCATCATCTTCACTTTTCTTTGATATTGACCTACTTGATTCTATACGAGACAAGTTTAATGCTGGGATGGATATTCGGCTAGCATACAAGAATGGGTTTCTATATCCTACCTTCAGCAAGTTGAACATATTCTGTAAATGTATTTATTTCAATAGAATAGTTAACCCATCACCATCATGTTAGATGGAAATTTAATCCAAAATCACAAAATGAGAAGAAAATAAAAAAATAAGAAAATAAAAATAAAAATAAAAAAATAAAATATCGATCAAAATTCTGTGAGTGAGACTTGCAACAATTTACTTAAATGTAAGAGAGGACTTCATTAAAATTTGAACAACGACATAAGTATGAGTTAATATCAATTCTCTATTTCCAACGATATATTTGACACTAAACCATTTTCTCATTTTTTTTGATTTTAATGTATTCTATTATATTCTACTCTATTATTTAAAATCCATCGTCTAATATCTCAGAAAATAAAATGATAAGATTTAAATCATCTTGTAGATCTCTTCAAACACTAAAACCCAATCAAAATAATATATTGTATCCATAACTAACTTATACAAAGAGCTCGAGTACTTAACCGAATCTATCTAACTTTTTACTTACTTCCCATTATTCTACTTATCCTAGAGTAATCATCTTAATGAACCGTCACGTGACATTATCAATATAAAATGATAACACATAGTTTAAAAACATAGTCATCATCAAACTAATTTTTTTAAAGATTATCACTCTCAATTAATTGATTGTTTGGATTTTATTTTTATAAAATAAAGCTGATACGGTGATACAGTTTCTTGGACTTACTTGTGAAAGATTTCACACTTCTATAAAGTCTATCAGAGATTACCATAAAGTTTGAGTGACCCGCCCCCCTAAACTTCTTCTTTCTTTTTTTTTTGCTGTTAATCGCCTTTCATTTTCATTGAAGGGGGTTTATAAGGGTACAATAAACGATATAGTATCCTGAACCAAGAATATTAATCAAAATGAATTTTTTGAAGAAGTTCTTAGGTTCCTCACCAACTGATGAAGTTATTCTGATTCCATCTGGGAAATTATTTCTTACCAGATCCCCACAATCTCCAAAGGGTGAACTTGAATGTCTCTATAATGATGCATTTGCTTCTATTAGACAAACAACTTCTGCATTCTATTACCGATTAGTGATCACCAGAGTTTATCAAGAGGGTGAACTTGCAGCTCATGGAGATAGTGGGTTTGGAGATTCAGATGATGAAGATGAATTTAATGATCATGACACTCCGCATTCTATATCTGATTCAAATATTGGATTAGGGCATTCCAAAGATGAATATGTTTTCGAGATTCTGGAAGATTTGAAGATTCATTGTTATGATAAAGAAGATGGTACTAAAGCTATTTCTTGGAAAGATCTTGATGGAGATTTGGGTGATAGATTTGAATTTATTGTTGATGAAATCACAAAACAAACTGATATTGATTCGTTCATGTTAGCTTTGTATAAATGTCAATATGAGAGAAAATATCATAAATCATCATTAGAAATCACAACTACTAATGAATTGAAAGAATTTGTTTATGATCCCAAAACTGAATTATTAAGTTTTAATGATCTTAATAAAGACATTCATGATTTTGAATATGAAGAAGATGAATATGAATATGAAGATGAGACCAAAGCTACTGAACCCCCCAAAGTAGGGGCTGAAGCTGGAGCTTCTGAGGTTGAATCTGATGGTGACGATGAATTCCATGATGCTGAAGGCTCGATTGGTGGGACTAATACATCAATTGTTGGTACAGTAGTTTATGAATTCAAAACTAATCTTGAACTTTATTTATTCAGTCCTGATACTGGCACTTTTATTATCAAGGGTAAGAAAAATGAAGTTTGTATTAAAATCCTTGATTCTGGTGATTGGAATTATTATTTAGTAGTTGACTCAATTGATGAAAATGGGAGACCTTTAAAATTCGATTGTCCATTTACAAAAGATATGAATCCAACCTTTAACTTCACATATAATTCGTTTGTTTTCAATCATTTCGTACAATCAAAGGGTCAATCAATTGTATTTTCATGGTTATTAAAATTTGAAGAAGAATCTCAATTATCTGAATTCCAAGTGAATTTCCTGACTCAATTATGGCAAGCATTTAATAAGACAATTTATAATCCACCAACTAAGGATACTACTGATTCTGAAATGGATTATGTTATGGATACCTTGTCTAACTTCAGAATTGATGATGAAACAGGACTTGATGAAGAAGATGAAAAGAATCTTGATGATATGAGTGATGATGATGGATTAGATGATGGGGCATTTCTTGAAGCAGAGAAAATTATCAGAAATGGAAAACAGAATTTATTTGTTCCAGAAGATGATGAAGATGATGAATATGGAGATTATGAAAATGATCGTAAATTATCTGAATTTAAACAATCAGATAAAAATTCTAATCTTTCTGTTGGGTATTCAAATGACAGATCATATGTTGTTAGAGGTAACAAGTTGGGAGTGTTTAAAAATGACGATGATGAAGTTTCATATCAAACTACAATTGCCAACATGACAAACTTAAAGGGTAAAGATTTTATTCCAAAATCAACTATGTTACATATGCAAGATCAATATATGATTATGCAAAATCCCGAATTTGATGATAAAAAGCTTTTCAAGATGGATTTAGAAAGAGGGAAAATCGTTGAAGAATGGGATGTTCATGATCAACAGGCAATTACCTCGTTTGGTCCTAATACCAAGTTTTCGCAATTAACTGCTGAGCAAACCTTGACTGGTGTTTCCAAGAATGGTATGTTTAGAATCGATCCTCGTTTACCAACTTCAAAACTTGTTAATGACAATACTTTTAAGTTGTACAAGACAAAGTATAATGATTTCCTGTCAATGGCTACGACACAACATGGTCATATTGCGGTAGGGTCCAAAAAGGGTGATATTCGATTATATGATCGATTGGGAATCAATGCCAAAAGTGCGTTACCGTCTTTGGGAGAGCCTATCATTGGTCTCGATGTTTCAGCCGATGGTCGTTGGTTACTTGCTACTTGTGAAACTTATTTACTCCTTATTGATACCAAAATTGGAGATAATCAAAGGAATGCAGGGGAACTTGGATTTTTGAAATCTTTCGATAAGGATAAGAAACCAAAGCCAAGAAGACTCACAATCAAACCAGAACACGTTGCATATATGTCATTAGAAACAGGTGGGAAACCGTTATCGTTTACTAAGGCTCATTTTAATACTGGGTTGGATTCTAAGGAAACATCGATTGTTACCTCTTCTGGTCCATATGTGATTAGTTGGTCATTAAAGAAAGTGTTACAACCACCTAAGAAATCCAAAAATACTAGTGGATCCCTGTCAGTTGTCCCAGAAGATCAAAGTTATCTTATCAAGAAATATTCACAAAATGTCATTGCAGACAATTTCAAATTTGGATCGAATGCCGATGTTATTTTGGCACTTCAAGATGATGTCGAAATGACTAATAAAAAGGTATTTAGTAGACCTTCTAAGATCATATTTGGATCAACAAAGAACAGCATTGTTAAGGAGTTTTAATTTGCCAATTATATAGTTTTTCTTTCTCTTTCTCTTTTTCTTTTGTTTAAATATTTAATATACATATCTTTCAATCTTAATTTCTTCTTCCAAATCCAAATGAACGTTTAAATTCATCAGCCCAAATGATTCTAAATGCATTAAATTTTTGGTACCTTGTAGGATGGAAATCATTCAAATTTTCAACCTTTAAATTTTGATGTTCTTGTTGAAGATGTGGAGGTGGAAGTCCATTAATTCGAGCATGGACTCTTTTCACCCAGTTGTTAAATGCTGGGGAGTCCATTAAGAGCCTGTACAAATACTCTTCTAGGGATCTTGGGGGTGGTCTCATAATAAATAAAAATATAATCTTATGGGTTTAACATTGACATTTATAAAAAGAAATGAAATACCTTTACGTTATATAACGACTGTCAATATTACACGGGTACATTTGATAGAAATATTGACACAAAGATAGCACGCGGAACCCCCAAACAAATATTTGAAATTTTACACGTATGTTTAAAAATATAACGAGTATACCTACTACAACTTTATACCTATTTCCATAGCATCACATACAAAATGATTACTGATGACCAATTAAATACAATTGTTATTGCTTTTGGAATTTCTTCCATGGTATTGATCTTAATTTACCATGCTATTTCTACCAACCTTACATCTTTAGAAAGTAAGAAGACTAAGAGTTCCTAGAGTTTTGATAAAAAAATAACAAGAAACCACATAGTACTACCACATTGACTCTGTCGGAACTCCTCCGCCCGTTCTATATCATATCTTTCCAACTATTTTTTATGACGGATACTGTCCATCTTCCAAAATGGAGTCAAGTGGTACAAAAATATATAAGATGTTTTAGAATCGTTTCAAATTTATAGAAGAAAATCCACACAAAAAATTGTTCACCTCCACCTTTGATTCTTAAAGATATATATATATGGCCTATATTTATACTTCTTTCCCATACATATACATATATATATATTATATTATTATTATTATTATTATTATTCACATCTATATTTTGTTATTATCTATACGTAAACGATTTACTACATCTATGCCATGTCGTGTATTCACCGATATCCAAACTGTCTATTTGTATCGGGCAAATAACAATCATGAGTTTTTTGACAACATCATAAACAATCATTAAAAATAAAAAATAAATTCTTATGAGAGAAGTAATACCTATTAGTTTAGATCAATCTTCAGAATTAGAATCTCATGAAATCATACCGAAACGATGTTCAAGGTGTAGAATAAAACGATATAAAGAATCTGAAGATGAGCTTATAAAGTATGCAACGTGTTTAAGTTGTAGATTGAAAAGAAAGATCAAAAAGCCAATAGACACTATAGTATACGATGATACAAAGACCTTTAATGATTATCATAGATTTCTTCAACTTTTAAAAACAAATTTAAAACAAGATTTAAATGATATTAAATTTAATACTATAACTGATCCAAAGGAATTTCCAAGATTTGAATTTGAAGATATATCAAAGATTAAGGATTTGAATACTTTTTATCTGAATTATAGTAAGAAATTAACCGAGTTATATATTAAACCAATCAGTATGGTTACTGGGTACAAGTTCCCCATACGAGATTATCATAAGGGAGGATCGAAAACGAAAAAAATTACTATAATGTTTGTTTGTTCACAAGACAAGACAAAGCAAAGAAAATCACGTAGTAAAGATAAAAGAAATGTACTTAACAAATTAAAAATATTTAATTGTTTTAGTAAAATTAATTTATGTTATGATTTGATATTAGGGAACTTGTTAATATCTTATACTCATAAATCACATATTCAGTCAAATATATCAACTTATGAAAGAAATGAACCAGAACAACAACAACAACAACAACAAATACATCAAGACTTAACACATATAGATCACGTTCAAAGTATTCATAACCACTCTATTCAATCAATTGCAGCAGCTGCGGCAGCTGCGGCTGAGGCGGCGGTTAATACAAACTTGTCTAGATCAGATGACCTCAACCCATCTTTAGAGTCCACACCTTCAACTAATAGTAATGTAAACATAGATGACAGGCTCATCGACTCGTAACATGGTTTACGAATTCATATAACCACACCATATATAAATTCTCTTACGATTTAATGAATACATTTTTCAAAATTAAAATACTAAAAATTAAAAGTTGAACTAATTAAAAAAAAAATTTTAATTATAGTGAATTTAATTAATCACAATTTGCAAAAGATATACGAATACAAATAATAGGTTCATAATAGACTAAATCACTAAATCACTAAATCACTGGTGGAACGCTAAATCCTTCCATTTTTTCATGTTGCTTATCTTTAGAAGAAAAGCCACCATTGGCTTTGTACTCTTTTACAGATAAACAGCCCCCCGACAAATATTCTTTGTAGGCTTAAAATCCATCTCTCTACTACTTGCCATAAACAAACTTATCGCATACTGGTGTACGGGTTACCACAGGAATAAAAGATTTTGTCTTCTGCATAATTAAAATGGTCATGATTTTCCCATATCTAAAATTATGACACCATAAAACATCGCGGTAAAGGGGAGAAAAAAAAAATGTATTGTTGAACTCATCACTAATATTCTATTGTAGAACATAGCAGAACATTTGTAGATTTTTCAAATATATATTACCACTCTTAGAAAGGTTCCTTTTGGGAGTTAGTTTCTTCTGATAGCAATCTTGTGAGGAAATCTAAAATGAACTGAAATTCTAATGGTTGGAGAATTCCTTATCAATTTCTTCTCTGAAGATGACATTACTGCACGTGCGTACTAATGCTGGCAGGAAATATTTTTATCTTGACTCCTGCACTTGACGAAAAAGTTCGTAAATCTTTGGCCGCCCTCGGTCCCCCCACTCCCCTTTGATTATCTTCAATTTGGTTTTTAGATCTCATCCAAATTCTGGATATTGATGACTTCATGTGTAAATCAGTAAGCTAACTTTTGAGCCCCTCTCTTTCCCCCTCTATCTCCTCCCTTAAATGTGCATTAAGTTAAACTTTCTTAGTTGGCAACGGTTGTGTGGTGGTAGCGAATCCGATGAACCGTTACCATGCGAAATGCAGAAGTTAGGAGCCTACATCGCCATTTTGTTATTATTTTTTTCTGCACTGCGGGCGCACTAATTAGTCGTGCGCGCGCTTCCGAGTCACTCAATTTCGTAGGGGGGACACCCAGTTATCGGGGAATATCTACAAAATCCGCGTACAACAGCAAGTTTTAGGAACTGAAACTGCGCAAACATCGGATATGTACCTACTTCTTATGATCTAGAAAACCTCACACTAGTACCAAGCCAAGGGCAAAAGAAATTCCCCTCATGAATGATAAGCATTGTGGGTTATCGTTAACCTTTAATCACACTCCGCTAATCGGCTTGTAACGTTTTCAACGTTTTTACAAAAGTGCAGGTTTATTGACGCAGGGCGGTAAAAGTTTCACTTACTCTTTTAGACCTTCAATTTATTGTGGAGACCCTGGCTGTGGACAATTTCCCACTAGTTTTTTTTTTTTATTTTTATTTTTATTTTTTTGTTTATTACCACTTTTTTTTTAACGCACAGGTTAGAAAAAAAAAAAAAAATATATACTAAAGGGTTATGTATTCCAGTTTTATCTATAATTCTTGATTTTGGGATATTTTCCTTAGTTCATGACAATATTACCACCTACCAAAGACTATTTTGTATTAAAATAAGTAATATATAAGCTTGACGTTTATATGACAACCCCAACATTAAAAGAAGTCCTCTCAGGGGAGGGCCTTCTTCCATATACACTCCCTCAATTTGCCTCGTATCTTGAATCATGTCACTGTCTGGAGAACCTTGAATTTGTTCTTGGAATAGATAATCTTGTAAATTCTACTGGGAATATTCAACAAATATGGAATAGAATATATAATGATTTTCTTTTAGAAACTTCACAAAAAGAAGTGAATTTACCCTATAGTCTTAAATCTGAACTCATACAATTCAAGCCTGAATCTGGACAAGTACCTACATTGGATATAATATCTGAAACCACCAAAAAAGTCTATGAGTTGTTAGAAAACTCATATAATGACTTTAGAAAACATGTAAGAAATAATAATATTGGTGATAATTCCAATCGAAGAATATCTGAGGCCATATCTCCTTGTATAAATGTTAAATATGTTGAATTACCAAAGAGTCCAGAATCTTTTTCAAGTCAATTACAACAAAGTCAAAATCAGTTTCATATTCAAAATGAAGTTGAAATGGCTTCATCTCCTACATTATTTAATCCTACACCAAGACCATCATTTAGTCATTTCCAACTTGATAATAACTCCAATAACAATAAACTTACACATACGTCAAGATTGGTACATGATGATGGACTTTACACCCTGCCCCGTGCTCTGCCTTCCCCAAAACCATATAGAAGAGCTTCAGAACCTGTACAGGAGACAGATGAAAATCAAAATGAATCACTTACATTTACCGAAGTTACTGCGGTTAGCACCGGTGTATCCAAGTCCTCGCGTCAAAATAGTGCATCTTCATCATCAAGGGGATCATCATTTGGTTCAATAGTGGAAACAATTAAAAGTGGGGAACACATTAATTGGAGACGTGCAGTAAAGAAATTCAAAATTAGAAGATTTCTGAATGAACATCTCGATGAAGAGTAGATAGAAAATATTAATTATTTTCTTCCTTGTTACGACCGTTGCGCGTATAATTGCATAAATACCCGGGAGAATTTTTATAGACTTGGGAGTATTCATTACAATTTGGTCGACCGCCAATTTATAATCGAATTCCAATTAGATCCTCACATTAATAGACGATAATGATAATGCTAATGATAGTAACTGTTGTAGAAAATTAATACTACGTAAACTATTGACGGGAAGCCAATTCTATTTACAGTTTCGTGTTTGTATCAAATTATCCCACTTGTGTGATTATTTTTACGCATGCACCAGATCCCCACACTTTTTTTTCTTTTTTTTGGTCTCAGTCAAAGACACAGTTTTACGATAACCCCTCATTGATCCAGCTATAACAATAGTTTTTTAGACTTGAACCGCATCTACGTACATTGCAGTGTAATTGATGTCCCCTCTTTTGTTGCATATGAATGATTTCAATTAATGGATTAGTTTGAATGCCTTTTTTTTTTTAACAAAGAAAAGAAACGAAAATAATATTCGGCTTTTTATCATCATTTTAAAGTTTTAAATTGAATTTTACTTTAGTATTTCCCCATTGTAGAAATTTTTCAATTTTAATTCAAAAGTTTACTCAAGTTGAAAGCTGTGTAAAAAGTTCTAAAGGGGGTACCTAAATATGCAAGAATGTTATATATTCAATGGAGATGCGTGGATGATTAAAATTGAAAGATAAGGGGTAATTAACGAGATTTCTGTGAAAAGGCTCGTTTATTAATAATTATGTAACAATATTTTTTTCGTCAACAAACCTACACGGATTAAATTCAAAACATCTTAAGTATTCTAGGTCTACCATTTCATTATAACTGTTTATGTTGAGCTTGTTAAGAGTTAACAGAAAATAGTATATTAATGTTTATAGTGAAGAATAGTGTTGAGTGGAGTATCCATAATGAATTGGATTCATTTCTATATTTTTATATTGAATAGAACTGAAGTGTAATTGACCACATACTATGAATGACCTATGATTAGGTCTATTTCAGAACAAATTCAAGCTTCGAATTTACTCCCAATATGTAGATGTATATTGTTAGATGATTTGTAGAGTTTTTCATTGTTTTTTGGTTTTGGAATAGGTCGGTTGACGACCATCGGAGTAATTTCGGAGAAATCTCGAATTTCGCATTTTGCAGCCAAATCTGAAAATAACGACAAAAGTACCACATTCAGGGGTTAACTATCAATCTAGTTAAAGCTAGTAATAGAGAATTTATTATTTACGAATCTAATATGTGTGAGTGGGTATTGAGAGAGAGAAGGTTCTCTCGACTTACGGGGTACATTTTTTTAGAAACATATTTTATCAATATATTGCGTAAAATAAGTCAAAAAAACAAACACATATATTTTATTTTTACTGTTCAATGAACAGAATTGTATGTGCCATCCTTTCAAAGACTGGAAAAGATTATGAAACATGCAGTTTTTATTTGGAGATTGAAGTTGTATATTCCAATAAAACAATAGTAATCTCTATCCATTTTCCTAATCAAATAACCTACATGAAAATTTTAGAATAGACCAAGTGGTCTCATTTATATTAAGTCTTTATCTCAATATTAAATCAAGTTTTAAATATAGTATATAGAATTGAAAAGAATACATTCTATTGATGTACCCCATTGAAATTATTATCTCCTTGCTGGGCTCTTTGTTTAAGCTGTTTTAATTCATCCTCAGATCTCTTACTACCCTTTTCAACAATTAAATTTCTTAATAACTTATTTTCCATTTCCAATTGTTGAATCTTCAATTCCAATCCATGAGTTGCATCATTTAAACTTACAATAGTTTGTTCCATTTCCTTTTCCTTTTGTTTCTTTTTAATTCGGAATCTTGCAGATGCAGCAGTATTTCGACGTCTTTTATCCAAATCTGACGACGGTAAACCATCACTGCCATCCACAGAGCCTGCTCTTTTATGGTTAAATGGTACATTGAAGCTTGATAAATTGTTTGGAGATTCAACCTTTACTCTAATTGAAGAATTTGATGATGATGTAGTTGATGAAGGGGTAACTTCTTCAAATTTAAATGAATCATTCCCATCTGTAAAAGTAGAAATATGATTATGTTGTCTTACTGGACTCATCAGATCAAACTCAGGAGTATTTGCAAATGAATTGGTTGATGTAGGTGCCTTATTCACTATGGGTGCAGTATGTTGATGTTGTGCCACTAATGCTGCCAACAAATCAATTTGATTTTGTGATAATCCTGCTGCCACTAACGATGATTGAGCTCCTGGAGGTACTGGTACTTTAGGAAGTTCAGCAATATTCACAGAATTAGAATTCGAGTTATTGTGATTATTGTGATTATTATGATTATTATTACTTTTGTTATTTGAATTGGTTTCATGAATTGAAAATGGTTCATGATGATTATGAAGCAATGAAGAAGGCTTATCAAGGAGATTTGATAAATTTAATTCATTTATGTTTGAATTATTTGAAGATTGATTTTGAAGGTGATTTTGATTCTCATTTTGTTCTTGAGGGATGAAATGATGTCCAAATCCAAGATTATCATGTTCATGTTCATCGTCATTATCTTTATCTTTTTTAGGTTTTTCCGAGTCTGGAAATATAAAGGAATCATCAGCAAAAGCTGCAAGATCCAAAGAGAGTTGTCCATCAACATCCAAATTAGGGGTATCTTCAGAAGTATTGGTCATAAAGTTATCAATATAAACCAATTGCTCTAGAAGAGCAGATGACGTCCCCTGATCTCTATCATGTATATGGTGAGACATATTCACACCTTTTTATTATCTTATATCGAAGCAATTTGGGAGTTGCTATCAATATAAATATATCAATAAATAAAAATTTTATTGATTTGTTTATATCTTTCTTGGTTGCAACTGATAAGAAAACTATCACCTAACAAACACAAACTCACACTTGTTAATGTGAATTGTAGAAAATGTGGGAAAATACGATATTCAATTCTCCTTAAAATGACACTATGCGATTGTGAATACAATGATTCGATTAACGTTGATATATATTTGATCTCGATCAATCGTAGCCACACTTCAATACCACGAGTGGTTGTGAAATATGGCTTTAGGATAAGAGGTAGTATTACTCAAATGGATGAGAACATGCCACGTGCAATGACGCGAAAATTCGCAAAAACTAAATTCTACTTTTTTTTTGTGTCAAAAAGTTAATCACCATCATCAGAATTTCAACCTAAAGTTTCACATTTAGATGCACTTCTACATCAGAGTCAGGTTAGAGTCATTAGTCTTATACAATACCCTTTCTATATTTAATTTTTTTTATTTATTATATTTTTTTTAATATACCATATTTTAAAAACCAAACTCCTAAATTCTAAAGGTTTAAAAACTACCAGAGTCAATTTAAATCCTCGAATCCTGCACAACACATTTTTTTTTTGTATTTTTCCTTAATCTCCTGTTTTTTTTTTTTCCTTTTGATTTATCAGCAACTTAATCAAAGATCAGATAACGCACGTGAAAGATGAGAAAGTGGTTACCGAAAAAAAAAATGCAGTAAAAAAAAAAAAAGAATTTAATTCTTCAAGACATTAGTTGGAGCAGACTTAGTAGCACCAGTAGAAATAGTAGCCTTACTTCTGACTGCCAATGGCGATTGGTTAATTGCCTTCAATCTGTATTCAGCAAATGAGCGGAATGAGTTTCCATTAGTTGGAGCCCATTTCTTGTGAGCCACGTTTGTGGTGGTTGGGTTATTTAAAGGGAACCAGTTTGGAACTTCCTTTTGGAATTTGAGTACTCTTGTAGTTGAGATGAATCTTTTGGCGATAGACATTTAAAAATTGGGTTATAAGTATGAGACTAACAAACTTTGATAAGAAACCTTTTCAACTACGTGAAAAGTTTTTTGTAAAAAATCTTCTCCTCTTATAGTTTGAATCAAAACGTACGAAGTGAAAAATATGGCGTTAGGTGAGGGGACCTGCATGGGGTGACTTGCGACTACACGGGCCGTCGGTACGTTGTGTGGTTGCTTTTCGTTGCTAGTGGCGCGATAACAAAAAAAATAGTGCAAAATTCAAATTGCATATGGTTCGGATATTTATGTCCGAAAATTAAAGTTAAACTCCAGACACAAATTGCCTTTGATCGGATTAGAGGACCCGAACAAAATTTATTTATTTTTCTGGTAGAGAAATGAAGGCTAAGACTAGAGGGGAGAGAAATAAATTATATTGTGTTAAGTTTGAAGAGTTCCCTTGTTATAAACTGTAAATTGGTATCATCTATAGAGTATGAAATTACCAGTGCTACACAATTCATACCCCTTTTTTCAAGTATAATCTTTTCAATCTATATAATTTTCTCTATTGCTTGCCACACATTTATTCTTTAGTAGTCAGATTCTTGTATATAGATATAATTGATTACATTCTGTATGAATGTTGCAATTTTGAAAATGAGTATAAACTTGGAAAGTGGGGGAGAGGATTCCTGCATATGTATGCCACTAAGGGATTGCTCTACATACAGTCCAAATACCAAGAGTCACGTTTAGGGCATTTGTAGAATTAGTGAATTTTTTTTTTTCAAAATTATTGCAAAATATCGCATCAGAATACTCCGAGCCAATCGGACTTGTACAGGAAGATGACTCAAATATATAGAGAAAACAATCATGACTACGACAATAATTGTGCATATTCCAATGCACACTTGTGATGATCTCCAGTTTTCCAAGAAATTTTTCATCACCGTGTAGTCTCCTGATATATAGGAATCAAAACTTTCATAATGTTAGGTGATTAAATTAATGTGTGAATCCGTAGACGGGTTACTTCCCCCTCCTTTAACCCCCGCTATTTATTTTACACATCCAGTACCATCGAAACAATTTCATCGAATTCTGAATTTTAAATTTTAAATAGCCGCAGAGACTCTATGTACGGTCGACATTGCCCCATAAATATTGATGCAGGTGAGGTAACATCATTCTCCCTCGGTCTCGGACTTTCCAATCATATGCTTATCTTTTTTCCTTTATTATTTTTTAATTTTTCTAACAATAATATTTTTCGGAACTTTTGGCCTGTAGCACACATCCTCTGACCACATATATTGAGTAGGTGAAATCCTTTCCGTTTGCTTCTGGTTTACATTCTTTTCTCTTTTTTTTTTCCCACGCTCTTTCTCCTGTAATCTATTCTTACTTCTAGTTAATACTACAGATTATTTTTGAAATCAACTCTTGAACGTCATTTATTGATTACTATTAATCTTAATTTTAATATAGAAAGGAAAAGGAAAAGCTAAAGAATAAGAAGAAAATGTCCTTACAAATCCCAAAAGAGCTGCTGCAAATCAATCAGATGAGAAGAGAATCTACTGTTCTTGGTCAAATGAACAAGATTTTGGTTGCTAACAGAGGTGAAATTCCAATTAGAATTTTCAGAACTGCCCATGAACTTTCCATGCAAACAGTTGCTATCTACTCCCATGAAGATAGATTGTCAATGCATCGTTTGAAGGCAGATGAGTCTTATGTCATTGGTAAGAAGGGTCAATTCTCTCCAGTGCAAGCTTATCTTCAAATCGATGAGATTATCAATATAGCGAAAACCCACAACGTGAACATGATTCACCCTGGTTATGGTTTCCTTTCTGAAAACTCGGAATTTGCTAGAAAAGTCGAAGAAGCAGGAATTGCTTGGATTGGACCAACCTATAAGACCATTGATGCTGTTGGTGACAAGGTTTCTGCCAGAACCTTGGCCATCAACAACAATGTTCCAGTTGTTCCAGGTACCCCAGGTCCAATTGACAACGTTGAAGAAGCCCAGAAGTTTGTTGAAGAGTATGGATACCCTGTTATTATCAAAGCTGCCTTTGGTGGTGGTGGTAGAGGTATGAGAGTGGTTAGAGAAGGTGACGATATAAGCGATGCCTTCAACAGAGCCACTTCCGAAGCTAAAACTGCCTTTGGTAACGGTACTTGTTTCATTGAAAGATTTTTGGACAAACCAAAGCATATTGAAGTTCAATTATTGGCTGATAGTTACGGAAATGTTATTCATTTGTTTGAAAGAGATTGTTCTGTTCAAAGAAGACATCAAAAGGTTGTTGAAATTGCTCCAGCTAAGAACTTACCAAAGGAAGTCAGAGATGCTATTTTGACCGATGCAGTTAAGTTGGCTAAGAGTTCTAACTATAGAAATGCTGGTACTGCTGAATTTTTGGTTGATGAACAAAACCGTCATTACTTTATTGAAATCAACCCAAGAATTCAAGTTGAACATACTATCACCGAAGAAATCACTGGTGTTGATATTGTTGCTGCTCAAATTCAAATTGCTGCTGGTGCTTCTTTGCAACAATTGGGATTGTTACAAGACAAAATTACCACTAGAGGTTTTGCTATCCAATGTAGAATCACAACTGAAGATCCTACCAAAAACTTTCAACCAGACACCGGTAAGATTGAAGTTTACAGATCTGCAGGTGGTAACGGTGTTCGTTTAGATGGTGGTAACGGATTTGCTGGTTCAATCATCTCCCCCCATTACGATTCTATGTTGGTAAAGTGTTCTTGTTCTGGTTCTACATTTGAAATTGCTAGAAGAAAGATGTTGAGAGCCTTGATTGAATTTAGAATTAGAGGTGTTAAAACTAACATTCCTTTCTTGTTGGCCTTGTTGACTTATGACACTTTCATTAGTGGAAATTGTTGGACTACCTTTATTGATGACACTCCATCTTTGTTCCAAATGATTTCTTCTCAAAACAGAGCCTCCAAGTTGTTGAACTATTTGGGTGACTTGGCAGTCAATGGATCTCAAATTAAGGGTCAAGTTGGTAACCCTAAGTTGGAAACTGAAGCTTTGATTCCAGAATTGCACGACCCAAAGACCGGTATTCTTATCGAATTGAACAACCAAGTTGCTCCAAGAGGTTGGAGACAAGTTTTACTTGAAGATGGTCCAGATGTATTTGCCAAGAAGGTTAGAGACTACAAGGGTACTTTAATCATGGATACCACTTGGAGAGATGCCCATCAATCCTTATTGGCTACCAGAGTCAGAACAATCGACTTGCTTAACATTGCTCCAACCACCGCTTATGCCTTGAATGGTTGTTTTGCATTGGAATGTTGGGGTGGTGCCACCTTTGATGTTTGTATGAGATTCTTGTTTGAAGATCCATGGGCTAGATTGCGTCAATTGCGTAAGTTAGTTCCAAACATTCCATTCCAAATGTTGTTGAGAGGTGCCAATGGTGTTGCTTACTCTTCTTTACCAGATAATGCTATTGATCAATTTGTCAAGGAAGCTAAGGACAACGGTGTTGATATCTTTAGAGTTTTCGATGCTTTGAATGACTTGGAACAATTGAAGGTTGGTATTTCTGCTGTTAAGAAGGCTGGTGGTGTTGTTGAAGCCACTGTCTGTTATTCCGGTGACATGTTGCAACCAGGTAAGAAGTACAACTTGGACTACTACTTGGGCTTTGTTGACGAAGTTGTCAAGATTGGTACCCATTTCTTGGGTATCAAGGATATGGCTGGTACTTTGAAGCCAAAGGCTGCAAGAATTTTAGTTAGTGCCATTCGTGAAAAGTACCCAGACTTGCCAATCCATGTCCATACTCACGATTCTGCTGGTACTGGTGTTGCTTCCATGACCGAAGCTGCCAGAGCTGGCGCCGATGTTGTTGATGCTGCTTCTAACTCCATTTCTGGTATGACTTCTCAACCATCCATCAATGCCATCTTGGCTTCTTTCGAGGGTGAAATTGAAACTGGCTTACAAGAATCGTTGGTTCGTGAATTGGACAACTATTGGGCTCAAATGAGATTGTTATACTCATGTTTCGAAGCCGACTTAAAGGGTCCAGATCCAGAAGTGTACCAACACGAAATTCCAGGTGGTCAATTGACCAACTTGCTTTTCCAAGCTCAACAATTAGGTTTGGGAAGCAGATGGTTGTTAACTAAGGAAACTTATAAGATTGCCAACAAATTGTTGGGAGACATTGTCAAGGTTACTCCAACTTCTAAGGTTGTTGGTGACTTGGCCCAATTTATGGTTTCAAACAACTTGACTGAAGAAGATGTTACCAAGTTGGCCTCAGAATTGGATTTCCCAGATTCTGTTTTGGATTTCATGGAGGGTTTAATGGGTACTCCATATGGTGGATTCCCAGAACCATTGAGAACTAACGTTTTGGGTAACAAGAGACCTAAGTTGACTACTCGTCCAGGTCTTAACTTGAAGCCAGTTGACTTTGTTGCAATTAAGGAAGAATTGACTTCCAGATACACCAGTGTTACTGAATGTGACATTGCTTCATACGTCATGTATCCTAAGGTTTTCGAACAATTCAAGAAGACTCAAGAAAACTATGGTGATTTGTCTGTCTTGCCAACTAGATTCTTTTTAAAATCTCCAAAGATTGGTGAAGAGATTGTTGTTGAAATTGAACAAGGTAAGACTTTGATTATCAAGTTGCTTGCAGTTGGTGAAATTTCTCAACAAACAGGTTGTAGAGAAGTTTTCTTTGAATTGAATGGTGAAATGAGATCCGTCACTGTTACTGACAACACAGTTTCAATTGAAACCAAGACCAGACCAAAGGCAACTCAACCAAATGAAGTTGGTGCACCAATGTCTGGTGTTGTTGTTGAAGTCAGAACCAAGGAAGGTACTGAAGTAAAGAAAGGTGACCCAATTGCTGTCTTATCTGCCATGAAGATGGAAATGGTGATCAGTGCTCCAGTCTCTGGTAAGGTTGGTGAAGTTCTTGTTAAGGAAGGTGACTCTGTTGATGCTAGTGACTTGATTGCTAGTATTCATCAATAGACTCTGAAGGTGTTGTATATTTATTTCGATACATAGCAAACACAAAACTAGTCAATCTTTGTCAATACAAAGGTATGTTTTATGATATATTAATGATATTTGTTATTTAAAAAGAGTAGTATACAATTATTTAGTGTTATGGTACAAATGGATGGATGGATCTTGATTAATAGTTCAACGATAGCCACGATCCCTGGTTGTTAGCTTGGTCCTACCACTGGAAACGTTTCTAAGGCCCAATTCACGATGTCTCTTATTCAGTATTTCACGTTTTCTTTGTAAATCTAGAGATTCTTGTTCTTCCTTTCTACGAATCTTTTCTTCCAATTCTTGGTTTTCATTTTCAAGCTCTTGCAAGTTCTTGACTAATTCCCGCTCTTCCTCTATTTTGATTTCTAATTCCTCATCACTTACGCCCGATGTGCCCGACCAGTGTGTTTTCAGAATGATTTCTTGGGTGAAATGGGTCTGTGAGAGGATCTTGATCCATTTATCCAATAATTTATCGGTGTTTTGAGTAGTGTTATTTGTTTTCAGAATGTTTGACTTTGTAGTTTGAATAGTAGATATTAAGGTGGCCACTGTATTATTAATATCTGTAAGTTGTGCCAACTCTTTCTCAAGAGCCAACTGTCGCTTTGATTTGGATTCGGTCAGCAGCAGCATGTTATGTGGTATTTTATGCGATATAATCATAAAAGAGTGTATCAGATTGTTATATTGTTTGTGATAGTAGTCGCGCGCGCGTGATTGATTTGTATGTTGTGTATGTAAAGATCAAAATGTTTTAAAATAATTAGTTACACTTTAAATATCTTTGATTTTAAAGTAGGTCCATAATTAAACCATGGAAGAGGATGCGTTACCCACAAGATGGGAAATAGAACTTGAGTTTGTGCAATCATTGGCAAACATTCAATATTTGAATCATCTTGCACAAAATAACTATTTACAAGATCCGCAATTTTTAAAATATTTAGAGTATTTAAACTATTGGAGAGAACCTCAATTTGCCAAACATTTAGTATATCCAAATTGTTTACATGTGCTAACATTGTTACAGAATGAAGATTTCAGAAAGAATATCATCAGCCCTGAGTTCATGAGCACGGTTATGAATGATATGGTGAGAAGATGGCAGGATACAGAAAATGTTATTGATACAAGTCCTACTGAACCTGCCATAAAGGATAATTTACCATCTGTTAATTCATCTTAATATCACAGGTGTAAAAAAGAAAGCAAAAAAAGGGAAAAGACAAGTAAAAAAAAAGAAAGAAACCGTTAACGATTGCAGAGCAAATAATATAAAAAGAATCGGTACCAAGAAGAATTAACCGTAAATAGAGTATAAATCAATTAATTAAACAAAGAAAGTCGTATAAAAATTTAACATAACTTAAAGAATACATAATATATAATACATACTTTTTTTATTTTGGTTTTAGGTAGTATATACATATAGTGATTGGTATTACCCAACATATATGGTGATGTGCCCCACAGACACCGATATAGAAATTACTTAAAAGGAATAATGCTTGTTTCTTACACAAAATCAAACTATATTTGCCACGATAATAAATGCGATCTAGAAGTTGCTGTAGTATCATTTATGGATATAAATACTTGAAGTTGTCATCTCGAAAATCATTCTTGGGAATTTAACGGATATTTGGTTTTTTTATTATGCCACCAACTAATCAAGTACGCTATGATAAGGACTTGCAAAAATTAAATTCATTCACTCAACATGTGTCCCAAAAATGGAAGGTTACCATTACAGAACTTGCATACATCTCTTCATTTGTAGTAAGTGTCTTGGTGGGTAAAGTAATTCATGTTTGTTCACAAAAGGAAGAAGTGTACAATTATTTTAATGATAAGAGGAATTTCTTTAACCAATACTTTGTGAAGAAAGGTTGGGGCTGGACTACGTTGGTGATTGTTATCTTTTACGCTCTTACATTGAAGAAAGGTCTGAATTTGCCCATTGGGAAAGTACTTAGAAGAGCGGTAATTAACTACTTGTTGGTCACAGTGTGGTGGATATTTTTCACCCAATGGTTTTTCGGATTCCCCATTATGGATAGGGTATTTTTATGGACAGGAGGGAAATGTGCTGGTATTGAACATGAAAGATTAGTGGATCATCTGACATTTACAAAGAATCCTTCATTTTTCCAACAATTAGAAGAAACTACCTTATTTGAAACTCAAATGGTGTCTTCATATGTTTGTAGATCACTCAAGGGTTCATGGAGTGGTGGGCATGATCCTTCTGGCCATGTGTTTTTACTTGTACATTCATCATTATATTTGGTATTTGAATCTTTACCATTCTGGGAATCTTGGACCAGGTTGAAACTTAATACAAGACAATTAATATCTAATGTGAGAAATAGTCCTACAATAAGTTCTAAACTTTTCAATTTATTGAAATTTATTGCTGCAAACCCAAATATTTTGGTAATATTACTTGTATCATTATGGTGGTGGATGTTATTCATGACTTGTATTTATTTCCATTCTATTGCAGAAAAGTTTGTGGGACTTATTTTTGGTTATGCTGCGTTTTCTGTATTGTATATATTACCCCGGTGGATATAGTGCGAGAAGAATAAGAAAAAATTAGAATGGGATACTTAAATAGAGGGATAATAAAATACTTGATAATATAGATATATATATTGAAAACATGGAGTAATAATCTATATATGGTACGTTCTTGGGAAAAAAAAGAAGCAACTAAAAAAAAAACCCATTTAATTAGGTAAAGGTGGGAAGACTGGTTCATCCTTACATGGCTTACAAGCAGCAGGTAAACTAAGGGATGGAACATCACCGTAATAGGTAATGGCGGAATTGAGGACGGAATCACCAATACCTGGACCCATGGAGATAACTGGAACAATGCTAAACAAATCTTCATCATATCCCATACCAATGGTGTATTTCATGGTGTAAGAGACAGTGACAACAGTTAAGACCCCATTACCAGAATTGTAAGAAAAGGATTTAATTGCCTTGGTGTGAGCAATGTAGTTACCACCTCCAAAACCGGCAACTGAATAGGCAATGAATTGTCTGGTTGCACCAACCCACAAACCAGATGTTGGGGTTGAAAGGTAGAGGATTTGTTGAGCTGGGAAAACCTGAGTTGCATCTTGATACTTGAAGACAGAGTTCTCACCAATGTTAATACAACCATTACCCTTAACTAACTGACTGTCCATGAAATAATTTCTCATACAAATTTGACCGTAGTTAGTAAAAGCGTTACCAGCGTTACCTAAGATAGCACCATTGGTTGGTCTGGTATCGAAGTACAAGTTAAAAGTTCCACTTGCTGTATTTGTCCAAACACCAGGAATCAACATCAGAGAAATAGGAGCATTTTGACCAAGGAAGAAGAAATCACCGGAGTTTGTAAAAGTATTGGTAAGAAAGTGAATGGCAATGGAAGCATCCACAGACTTAAAGAAGGCAATACCAGAGTTCGAGAAGGTATACATTCCTCTAATTGGCATACTTCCCCGAGCAGTGTCATGGAAATAGTAAAATCCACCAGAAATAACAAGAGCTTGAGGAAAAATAATATTAGCATCATAGATGGTCCACCAAGCATTTCTATCAACAATGGCATTACCTGTAATAGTAACAAATTTACTATCAGTAGTGTCCTTGGTAATATGCTGAGCAGCAGAAGGAGCAGCCACGAGGGCTGCGACAAGTAAATTTAAAACAGATTTGAATTGCATTTGAATGGTAATAGAAGATAATATTACACTATTGAGAGATTTAAATCGCAATTTATAGTGAATGATATTACATAGTTTCAAAGCACTTCCAGTTAATTTCATAAAATGGGTTTAATTCCGCAGCCAAAATTTTAAGTTCATGAAATTATGCAGCCCGAACCACCGAGTGAATCTGCATTGTGTTCTACACACATTTCATATGTGGTGGGTAACAGTAAGGGTTTCCAGGTAGGAGAGCTGGTACAACTGTACACCCATACTATCCGACTTCATAGATTTCATGAATCTGTTACAGTAAAATGGATCTGAAGTATTGTACGATTCTCACTTAAGCGCCGAACATTATTATGATAACGAATGCCATTAGTGCGAATATAATTGAATTAAATTCTCGTTGTTAGAGTAGTGTGAAATATCTAGAATAGTTTCAACATATCCACCAAAGGATAAAATGTTAGCGGTTGTCAAACATTTTTTCAATTGCCGATTCTCTCAGCTGTGGGAATTGCACCAACAAAGAGGCTTTGTGATATGAAGTGTGCCCACAAATACACAATCCACATGCATGCGTCGAAAGTAAAATGAATTTAGGATACGAGAAAACCCCGATCCTTGAGTTGCCTATAGGCGCGAGTTCCGAATGAGTGGAGCGTGTTTACATAATTTAACGTTGTAAGATTCTATTTTTCTTCTTGGAAAAATTACGGGTGGTGACGCCTAGGTTTTTACAAAACTACGACTAGTTTTGAAACTATCTACGGCGAATCTACGTATTTCATTCACTTACATTCAAATTGAACAACGGAAAATAAAAGAGATGCACTTGGTAATTATATTATGAACGAAATGGTGTATGATATACTCTCTACAACATTTGCACTACTATTGGAAGATTTAATAAAATAAAAACAAGGATACACCCAATGTTATTACATGAAGTTTATTTGACCACTTCACATGTAGTATTTGAAGCTACAAATTCTAACTCATGTATTAGGGAGAATTTGTTATAAAATGGAAGAAGATACCAACTTTATATCATTTCATAAATGCGGCTGCTTACGTACTTTGTAACTAAAAGGATGAAAAATAATTAATTTGATTTTTTTCCGGGCCATAGTTTTTTTTGCAACCAAAACCAATCACGTGTACACATGCAGCATCGCGGACACCTATACATTTCTCATTTTACCAAATCGTTCCACAAATCAGTACTATGCAGTGCTCTTGTTTATTTGTGATCATATCCACCCGCGCGTCTAGTAGGTACAGTGGTAATACGGTGAGATGAAGACCTGAGATAATTTCAGCCGACACTTGCCAAGAATGAATCTTTCGAAGTACACGGGTATTTGTAGAGATTCGGCTCACATGAAGTGATCTTTTCTAATAATGTTCTTATATATATATCTAGAGTAGAAAGCCAATCAAAAAGATTTGTAAGGAAACTAATCCAATTTAAGCTATAAAGATTATATCGGTTGTTTTTCACCAATACACGGAAATTACAATGGTCGTCACTAATTTTACCCGCTAGTACGTACAACTTATTTTGTACACATTTAATTGGGTAACTAATCCATATCTTAAAGGTAGTACGAAAAGTTACTGTATATACATTTTGAAAATAGTACTTCTTGATAACATGCAAGCAGCTTCCCCAGCCTTGTTTTTTTGTGATATTTGTCTTTCCATTCTTCACATATCAGTTGTTATTTTCGTCAGTTTCAGAATGTATTTTTAAAGTTTTCAGTAAAGACTCGTAAATACAAAGCATAACAACCTATGTCATACATTATACAATTTACTCTACAACTACATAATAGGTGTATACACAACATGTATCTTCAGTGTAATTAGAAATATATTTACTCGTCAATTGTAGTATACTCCTTGTTACTTCTCAAGAAGTGGTTGACTCTCGAGTAGTAGATGTGGTAGGTTTCCTACATATAACCATTCTAATATGTGTTCCAAAATTGAATGCCCCTTGGAATGTACGCGCGACGCGATTTAGGTTGCAAAAGATTCGCGACTTGTTTTCATTATTTTGCATCAACGCGTGTGGATACGATTCTTTTAACCCCTTGTGTTTGAGTGTAGCATTTTTTTTTAGATCCTGCGTCTCGTTTTTATCTAGTGCCACAGGTGAATATGGCTGAAGGAGCCAATGAGTAAAAAAAATCAGGAGTCTAATTTTATTCATTGAAACTCTTCTTCTTATACCAAGAACTTTGAATTTTGTAACAACCCTTCCCCAGGGGATAATAATACTGTCGTTGGCTATTAATACCGAAGCTATTAGAGTGCACCATTCGCTTTAAGACACTCTTACTGCAAAAATAGAAACCCGACCCAGTCTACATCTCCCTTACATTCCTTTAATCTTTCGTGTGGAAAAAAACAAATAATTCAACTTGACAGAATAAACAAATCTATTCTACAATACATATCTTATGTTGGTCCCTTTCTTAATCCTCATTGCGAGCGTCAGGGCATCCTTGTACATAGGGTTCCCGTTCTCTGAACAAATTCCTGACGTTGCTCGCGTGAATGAACCTTATAACTTTAAGATGGCCAATGTTACCTTCAAGTCAACTACCGGACAAGTAATATATACTGCTTCTAATCTTCCAGATTGGCTTAATTTCGATGGTGATTCAAGGGTGTTTACTGGTAATCCAACGGAAGCCGACGTGTCTGATAACGTCGTGATTACCTTGAATGGCCGTGACTCAGTGGACAACTCTACTATATCCGCCGACTACTCCCTTGTTGTTTCTCTGGACCCAGGTTTGGAATTATCATCCAAGGACGTTATGTTCACCCAAATTGCCAAGTATGGCGATACCAATGGAGATGATGGCTTGGTTGTCAAGCCTGGTGAAGATTTTAACATCAAATTTGATAGCTCTGTATTCCAAATGGATCCTAATTCAGACAGAAAGATTGTTGCTTACTACGGTAGATCAGCAGACAGATCTTCGTTACCAAACTGGATTCATTTCAATGCAGATGAAATGTCCTTTTATGGTACAGTACCATATGTGACCTCTGACATTGCACCATCGATCGATTATGGATTTTCATTCATTGGATCCGATTACGTTGGTTATGCTGGTGCAGTAGGTAACTTTAAGTTGGTTGTTGGTGCCCATCAATTGAGTACCTCCTTGAATGAAACCATTAAAATTAACGGTACTTTAAAGAGTGAATTTGATGTTTCTGTACCAGTATTGTCAGCTGTGTATCTGGATGGGATTCTTATTTCAAGGGAAAACATATCTAGTGTCACAGCCAATGATTTACCTTCCTATGCCACTCTTAATCAAGACAATTATACTTTATCGGGAAGTTTCCCAGACCAATCAACTTTTGACAATTTCACCATCTCAGTTCAAGATAAGTATGGTAATGTTGTTGAACTCCCATATTCATTCGATGCAATTGGTTCTGTCTTCACAGTTAGATCATTGCCAAACGTGAATGCCACAAAGGGTGAATTTTTTGACTACCAACTTTTAAATTCGTATTTTACAGATAATTCAACAAATGTGACTGTTGATTATAGTAATGCGGATTGGCTTTCCTTTGATGATAAGAATAGAACCTTCTTGGGTATGGCTCCATCTAACCTTGGAACTGTTTCAGTTTCAGTAAGAGCTGTTTCCGATTATGATGATGAGACGAAAAGTTTTGATATCAAGGGTATTTCTGCCAAGGATGCATCTCTGACCTCTTCAACAACCAGTTCTTCTAGTACTTCCACTTCCTCCTCCTCGTCACTGGCATCATCCAGCACATCTGCTACAGCCGCAACCGGAACCAAGAAACTGGGTGGACTTTCCAATAAAACCAAATTGGCAATCGGTCTTGGTGTTGGTATCCCATGTTTCCTTTTGTTAATTGCTGCATTATTTTTCTGCTTATGTTGCTTTGGAAGAAGAAGGAAGAATAGAGACAAAAAGGCAAATGATGCTGCCTTGGACGACGAGAAGAGAATGCCACCTCCAACTAGTCCTAAGATCAATGGACCTGGTTTTGGAACAACCATATCTCAAGATGATCATGACGAAGATGCAAGACAATTGACAGCTTTGAACGTTTTGAAGCTAGATGAAAAGAAAGATACATCCGATACAAAGAGTACATCGTCTTCAATCACACAAGTGGAATCCGATTACAGCTCAACAAATTACTTTGATGCATCTGAAAGACCAATCAAGTCCTGGAGAGCAATTGACGCGTCAGATGCGGCAGTAGCTGAATCAAACAGGGCTAAATTAAACAGAGCATCTGCTGCGTCAGCTAGTACTGTGAATACTGAGAATTTGTTTTCTGTCAGATTAGTTGAAGACAACAATGTAAGATATTCTACTCAGACATATGGATCTCAATTCATGAGTAGCAATTCATTGAACGGTTTCTTGAAAAGAGATGACTCAGGAAATATCCAGAGATTAGACAGTGATGGTAATATCGTTGACCAAGATCTTCTGCCTCGTGAAACAGTCAAGATGTCTCGGTCGAGATCTACCTCTTCCAATTTAGAAATCTTATTAGAAGAAAATTCAAAGGATTATACCAATTCAACTGTCTATCACAGTGCCGGAAACGTGAGTAATGACAACAACACAGAAAACAGTTTCAATATGTTATCAAAGTTTAACAATTCAAATAATAGTTCAGCTGCCAACAGTGACCAACACTTGCATGGCAAGTACTATGACAGTGATAATAGTTTAGTGGATGAATTCAAAGCTATTCATGCCTCCAATGGAGAAATTCAATGGTCGGAAGCCAATACAGACAGTCAAAATAGCATTATCCTTGAAGATGGACACAATGATACAATTGGGTCATTGGAACCATCTCCAATGAGAGATTCAACGATATCTCTCGGCACGGGTGCCGCTACTAGACCCAGCTACGAACAAAGATACTCTTCATCATCTCTTGGAAATAAAGCAAAGCTAGTTGATTTTACCAGGAAAGGAAGTTTGAAGGATGCCAAACATAAGGTGGATCATACATACTTCCAAGGTGAGACAGCCTACATTCATGATGACGATAGCGAGTAAAAATCGTAAATAATTTGGTTTAAATAAAATTGGGTTCTATTCTTTTGGTGTTTTTCGTTTTACTGGGTTCATGGACTTATATACCATGTAATATAATTGTATAATAAATAATATACTTGATTAATAATTTTTAAAGATAGACAGATAGCTGTAGATTGTTCTATACCACTATGGACATTACAACTCACCAAGTTTTGGTAAAGTATCAACATAATTAGCAGTGTCTTGTGCTCTTCTTCTACCTTCAACATAGTCCATCATTTCAGAGTAGGTCTGTGGGATAACTGAACAGAAACCAGGCTTACCTTCGGCAATGGCACTCTTTGGTACAAAGAAAGAGTAAATGAAAGTTCCAGACTCCTTAGCCTTAGGACTATCCAAAGGTTGGATGGTCGTATCAACCTTAACTTGAATCAAAGTACCAGGTTCAGATAAAAATGCATCTTTATTTGGAGAAATCTTGTTAGTTGCTGGTAATGAGAAGTCAAATGGAGAATCAGCTTCGACGTATTTAGAACCATCATGTATGTGTTCAGTGTATGCAATAGAGGCGGTCAAGGATAAAACAGAACCAACTGGAACTGGGGCCTTGAAAGTGGTAGAATCTAAAGAAACGAATCTTGGAGATGAGGAGGCAAATGCTGCAGATGCACAATAGGCCAATTCAAAAGATTGTCTCAACAAATAGCCACCAAAGATCATGTAACTGTGTCTATTTCTGTATTGAGGTTGCATGAAAAGAGTTGAAGTAACTCTTGTTTCATTCAGGAATCTAACGTTACTTGGTTTGTCTCCACCATTGGCCACGATAGACTTTGAGTTTTTCCATAATTCGTAAATAAGCTTAGATTCGGAAGAAGAAGGTTCTGACATGCCCTTGTTTTTAGCAGCAAGCTTCTTCTTAGCATTGTGTGATTCCGCTCTTCTGTAGTCTAACCATTCACCTTCAGTTACAGGAAGTAATCTGTTGATGGCAAATGATTTATGAGTGATTGGGTTTCTGGCAACAAATGTAAAGTTAGCAGAAAGGAAAATGTTTTCATCAGGAAGGGCATCTTCAGTAATATGTTCTGGGATTTGATCTTCAAATGCATAACCTTTAACGGTAATTTCCATAGATGATCTACCAGTCCAAGTAACTGCACCAGCCAAAACGAAATTATAGTTGGTAATTTCATCGACCTTCTTGACCATATAGATTCTATCAACAGAAGCAGTGACATTAACTGGTTCAGCAGGAGAACAATGTCTATAGGCAATTCTTCCAGCCAAGGCATCTAAATCTTGGAATAATTGACCAGCTCTTAAACGACCAGAAGCATTGACATACGCATCACAAAGCCACTTATCGTCTTTAAATGGGAGTGTAAGATATGTGAATGATTCTTCTCTAGTCTTTTCTCCCACTGCAGTTGTGACTGGGTTTACGTAACTATAACTGTCAAGAACTTTCCCCTCAGCCAACTGCTTTTCACGCTCACGGATAGCTTGGATCCAAGTAACCTTGTTTGGAAGCTTTTGCATATCATTTTGGTCAGCAAGAATGGTTGGAGTGGCATCAGCCGCATCAGCAGCATCATTGGAACCAGCTTCGTCTGGTCTATGGAAGTTTGCTTGACCAACACTGTTGGAGGTATGTAACAAACTAAATTGTTGTGGCTTAAGCCTTGGAATGAACCTAGGTGTACGTATAACTGATCTAATCATTTCTTAGTTGTGATTATACCAATAAAGAAATTCAATGGTAATGAAAGGAGTATCAATTCAAAAAAAAAAGAAATAATGGGTTTATCTTTGCACAACGTTCTTTTTGAACGGTATATACAGGAGTCCGATATTGAGTGATTAGGGTAAAGATGTGTTGGATCTTTTTTGTATATATATATATATTAATTTTTGAATTGGATACAAAAAAAAACAAAAAAGTGGGGGTTGGAGGTTTCAAGATTGATTGACAAATGTATGGAAAATGTTTTATGAGTTTAATATTATATATTTGTTTCAACGATAATATGTTATCTTATATAGATGGAAAGAAATCGGTGTCATGTCTGCATATAAGTAGGCTCAACATTTGAAAAGAGGGGCGATACTAGAGAGGGGGTTGGAAACTCCCGAAAATAACCGGGAAGACCCCGGAAAATCGCGGAATCAATATCTACTTAATGATTTACCTATATAAAAAAAAACATAGATCTCCGGGATATGGTGTAGAGTTGAGTGTAGATCCCCTCAATTAAACGAGATATATACAATATTAATAATATTATTTGGGGGGAGATTCCATATGCATCAATGAAATGGAATTTGCAAGCGATACATTTTGACCGCGAAATTGAAAATGTAGATAATCGTAGGAGAACGCTTCTGAAGAGGAGAAATAAGATAAAACAGAAGAGGCAATCCATATTTTTTCTCTCTATTTTTTTTTTTTTTTCGTTGTTAGCTTTTAATTTTGTGTAAGATATCCTCTTTTTTGGGTACCTTGAGGGGGACGACAAATGTCGTTCGCATATATTTGTTACACCACGACATTTCGCTCAAAAATCGGAATTGTACCTCCGTAGGTCGTGTTTACACCATGCGGTCCTCATCGTTCCGTACCCAAGGGATAGGCTATAATCTCAAAGATACACAACAATTCTAAATAGAATAGTGATTTCGTTGATTGAATTTGAAAAACAGACACTCACTGCAGAACTAGAGGAATATTCCAATCTACATTCTTTGTTTTTTCATTCTTGATTGCATTTAGGTTATTTCATTCCAACCCCTATAACTTATCTAATATTCATATCCCATAAACATCCTTAGAAATATGTCTGCCATTTCAAAGACTGCCAAGTTGGCTGCTCAAGCCATCAAGACTTCTTCTACTGCCAGAACTCTTCAAGCCGCTGGTCAATACCAAGCCTTGAGAATGACCGGTGAACGTACTGCCTCCCTGGCTTCTGGTCCAAAGACCATGACTGTTAGAGATGCTTTAAACTCTGCCATTGCTGAAGAATTGGACCACGATGACGATGTCTTCCTCATGGGTGAAGAAGTTGCTCAATACAATGGTGCCTACAAGGTTTCCAGAGGTCTTTTGGACCGTTTTGGTGAAAGAAGAGTCATTGACACCCCAATTACTGAAATGGGTTTCACCGGTCTTGGTGTTGGTGCTTCTCTTGCTGGTCTTAAGCCAATTATTGAATTTATGACTTTCAACTTTGCCATGCAATCCATTGATCATATTGTTAACTCTGCTGCCAAGACTTACTACATGTCTGGTGGTACTCAACCATGTAACATTACCTTCCGTGGTCCTAACGGTGCCGCTGCTGGTGTTGCTGCTCAACATTCCCAATGTTACGCTGCTTGGTACGGTTCCATTCCAGGTTTAAAGGTTCTTTCTCCTTACTCCGCTGCTGACTACAAGGGTTTGCTTAAGGCTGCTGTTAGAGATCCTAACCCAGTTGTTTTCTTGGAAAACGAAATTGCTTACGGTGAATCTCATGAAATGCCAGAAGAAGCTCTCTCTACTGATTACGTTTTGCCAATTGGTAAGGCCAAGATTGAAAAGGAAGGTTCTGATATCACTTTGGTTTCTCACTCTAGAAACGTCATGCACTGTCTCCAAGCTGCTGAAGAATTAGAAAAGCAATACGGTGTTAAGGCTGAAGTTGTTAACTTGAGATCTATTAAGCCATTGGATGTTGAAACTATCATCAACTCTGTTAAGAAGACCAACCACTTGGTCACCGTTGAAGCCGGTTTCCCAGCTTTCGGTGTCGGTTCTGAAATCTGTGCTCAAATCATGGAATCTGAAGCCTTTGACTACTTGGATGCTCCAGTTGAAAGAGTCACTGGTTGTGAAGTCCCAACTCCTTACGCTAAGGAATTGGAAGACTTTGCCTTCCCAGACAGAGAAGTTGTCATGAGAGCATCTAGAAAGGTTTTGGGTTTGTAAACTGGAAATGATATTATTTGAAATAGAAATGATGTAAAGACTTGTCTATATATATATATAAAAAAACCTTTACTATAATATAAAATGTACACAGTAATTACAATTATGAGTAGAATTGATTGTAAAGAGAATGTTGTAAGGAGTATTTACTTCTATGTTTAGAAATATAACCTGCACAGTGCTTTTTCAATTACGTATTTTTCTTTTGAACGTGTAACACTTTCACCATTTTTTACAAACATATTCTTATTTACTATAAAAGAAGAATGGCAGGGGAAAATCACGTCTATAAACGAGTTCATGGAACTGGTGACTCTTCCAATATACCAGAAAACCAATTTATACCAGCTCATGCAGCATTTGATGAAGAAAATGACGGATTACTTCCAGTGTCAATGCAGGATGTTTCTCGCAACCCCACAATGAAACCTTCTTCAAGTAATAGTTTGCCAGCAAAAGATCGTAAGGCTTTCATTGTTCTTGTCATATTATATCTTCTTCAAGGTGTACCAGTAGGTCTTGCCTTTGGATCAATTCCATTTCTACTCAAGGCAAAACTTCTGTATTCTCAAGTTGGAATCTTTTCATTAGCTGCATATCCATATTCGTTAAAATTACTTTGGTCCCCAATAGTGGATGCCATTTATTCCCCCAAGGTTGGTAGAAGAAGATCTTGGATTATCCCTATCCAAACTATTTCTGGACTTACATTATTATATCTTGGTCTGGTGATTGATCTGTACGTACTGGACCCTGCACAAAATCTTACAACTATAACATTTTGCTTTTTCCTTTTAGTATTCTTTTGTGCCACTCAAGATATTGCCGTTGATGGTTGGGCTTTAACATGTTTATCCCCAGAGGCTTTATCTTTTGCATCTACCGCTCAAACAATTGGTATTAATGCCGGTTATTTCTCATCATTTACAATTTTTTTGGCATTAAGTTCTCCAGATTTTGCCAATAAATATATTAGATCCACTCCAATAGATGAAGGATTATTCCTGCTTGGTCTGTATCTTAACTTTTGGGGTTGGATGTACCTCATAGTGACTGGTGTTCTTTTACTTATTCCAGAAGATCCACCACATTTGGCTAAATTAAATCAAGCCAAATTAGAAGATGAAAAGGCAAGAGTTGAAAAATGTTATAATAATTCAAGTTCAAATTGGTCAGCACTTAAAAATGTATATTTTTCAATGTATCAAGTATTGAAATTACCAAATGTTCAAACATTTGTGGTTATTTTACTTTTTGCTAAACTTGGATTTCAAGCTAATGAAGCGGCTACAAATTTAAAGTTATTAGAGAAAGGGTTGTCTAAAGAGGATTTATCTATTACTGTATTGATTGATTTCCCCTTTGAAATGATATTTGGATACTATGCTGGTCGTTGGTCTAATGGGAAAAGTCCTTTGAAACCATGGTTATTTGGATTTGCCGGGCGTTTAGTAGCTGCAGCATTTGCACAATTGATCGTTCTTTATTTCCCATCTGATGGTAAACTCACATCTTCTTACTTTTTACTTATTATTGTGCAACATCTTTTATCTTCCTTCATGTCAACTATTCAATTTGTTTCGTTATGTGCATTCCATACAAAGATTGCTGACCCAGCTATCGGTGGAACATATATGACTACTCTTAACACTTTATCAAACTATGGAGGAACTTGGCCAAGATTGATAATTTATTATTTGATTGATAAGTTCACATACAATGAATGTATTGTTAACGAGAAATCTGTCGATATTGCTGCCGGAGTAACAGTTGAAGGGTTTAAGGAACAATGTAAAACTTTAGGTGGAGAAGTTCTCACATTAAGAGATGGTTACTACTACACAAACTTTATTTGCGTCACTCTTGGTGTAGTTATATTATTGTGGGTGAAACGGAAGGCCACATATTTACAAAGTTTACCCAGTAGCGCATGGAGAGTTGTTAGAGAAGATTAGAAGTATATTTATTTATATAAAATTTTTTGCTATAGAATAGAGAACAATATGCATCAAGAATTATTGGATAAATATGTATATGTATAGAATTAATTATTATTTATGCTGGATTGAGATCCATCAACGGAATGATGAAAATCATCATGTAAAAAATCAATTGGCAGAAATGGAATCTTTGCCTCATTCTTCATCTTTTTCGACACGGACGAATAAGTACCAATGATCAGTGGTATGAGTGAAGTTGACAGAGGTGAAGTGGCAGAAAAATTCCCAGACGATGCAATTGAAATTGCAGGTGACTTTCCTGGAATTGTGGTATTAACAGGTTTTGACCTTAAAAATGAATTGGAAAGGGATTGTAAAGTATTTGAAACCACATTCCCAGATGGTGGACTCATGTATGTGGAGTGCGATGAACCCGTAATATAATGCGAGGGAGGTGCTTGTGATGCGATACTAGAATATGTCGAGTGTTGAGCCGATGACAATAATCCACTAGTATCACTGGGCCGGGATTTATGTTCACGTCTGAATCTATCTCTATGCATGTGATTCTCATCTAATTGTGAATCTGGAAATTGAATATGATTATTTGTATACCAATCCGGTTTTTTGAAATGGTTATTTTCTCCACCACTATGTCTATTATGATCATTGATACTTATATCTAATTCTTCTCCGTCTCCATATAAATTTCCATGTATAGCAGAAGAAGTAGACGACTTTCTCCCGTTATCGGAATACAACCAACATTGGAATAGAATCAAACAATCAAATGACACAGTGCCCGCACTTCCAATTATAAATGGTAATTGCGAATAAAGGGCATCCCGGAAAACCCATTCATCTAAATATCCATTATCATGAGCAATCAAATACAAATCTGTAACTATACAGATGGTATATAGGGAATTACCCAACATGGCAAATAGGAATAAATAGAGTGAAATTCCTTGAGTTGATTTACTTTGATAATTCTTAATGATCTGAGGGGTACGCGATGAGATGTATAATGCTGTACAAGTCCAGGCCAGAAAGCGACCAATACCAGCCTTGTTAATCTTAGTTTGATACAAGGAACACATGATCGAAGAGAAGAAATGCAATATAGATGTGAATTTTTCCTTGCTTGAAGTTTCTTCAGAAACATTAGTAGGAAGGGCTTTAGCCCCCTTGGGGATACTACCCACAAAAAGTGCTCCAAAGAGTCTTTTTGTTATTGAATTATTTACTTCGGGCATTCTCTTTCTTCTCCCTCCATTAATATCCATGGGTGAATGTGACCGTTGTGATGTCAAGTCTCTAAATCTATTTGTACGTAATGCTATCAGATGTGGAGAATGCAGGTTTACTGGTCTCATCATATTTGGACTTTGAAGTAAATTATGATGAACTCTTTGATAAGGATACACTTTGGTATAGTACCAGTATTGAAGTGACAAGATACAGTCAATAAAGCAGTAGTAACTGGCAAGACATGTTTGGAAGGGGAGTGCACCCGTTAATATACACCCGATTAGATTTGTGACATCTCCACCCATCCAACACCCCAAAAAGAGGAGTGAAACACCATTTACTGATTGGTTTAGATGGTTTTCTATAATCTGTGGAAGTTGGGCAAATAACCAAACGAAAAGTGACATATATCCTGAAGCCTGTGACACTGATGCTATGATCTTATCTGTATCAGAAAATGTGCCATTTCCCACCTGAATTCCTTGTATAAGGAACAGTTGACTCATCGCGTTAGATCTAAAATGGGCAATTAAGGGTAATGGGTCTCTAGTATTGGTGATCTATTATAAGTATTGCAGTACAAAATGGAGTTAGATATATGTACAATCTCCCAGTGTTCTAACAATTTTGGTATTTAAGTTTTAAGTTTGGATAAAAAAATTTTTGGTGTCTAAAAGATCTTCACCATGATAAGCTCGTAGGGGACAAAAAGCAAGAAAAAACAGCCCGAGCAGCGTATTAAGGTTCTATTATTCGATATGTGTCCCAAAAGGTGTTCAGAACAGTGTATATATGAGCTGACGTAACTAGGAATCCGTTTGCAGGTGAAGACGATCGAGGTCAAAAGTATATAATGTATTAAAAATACAACTCTAAATATAGTGGTTAAGAAAGAAAAGGATCTGTTGGAGCTTCCGATAGATAAGTGAGAGAAGTTTTTTTTTGCATGTATCAAGACAATACGCAGAACAATATAATTTTCAGACACAGCAAATAGAAATTCAAAGCATGATGTTAAAAATATATGCGCGGAATTCATAAAGGCACCACAATGGAATATTATTATTTGCAAACTCCTCATTTCAACCCTGTAGACGTTTTAGAATTTGATATTGTTAAAAAGGGATATCTTTAAGGAATATCTAATATCTGAAGGTGATCAGTACTTCACATCGTCATATTCTTAACTATTAGTTCAATTGCTCTTCCAAAACTTTCAGTGCTTCTAGAAGGAAAGTGTATGCGAATATGGGACGTAGATATGCAGTCCTTCACCTCGAACGTAACATTTTGTAAGAAAACCAAAAAAAAAAGGATTCGTGAAATGTAACCTATTTTAACCTTGGAGGAGAAATTAAAATGATTGAAGTATTAGCTAATGACAGACTTGGTAAGAAAATAAAAGTGAAATGTCTTCCTGAAGATTCCGTAGGCGATCTCAAGAAATTGATTGCCCTTCAAACCGGTACTTCTTACGAAAAGATTGTATTGAAGAAAGGATATCAAGTATATAAAGATCATATAACATTGGATGATTATGAGATTCATAATGGATTCAATTTTGAATTATATTACAATTAATTCATAAATTATTATTATTATTATTATTATATTACTATTATTATTATATTACTATTATTCAGGGCACCTTTACCTTGACTCATAAAAAATACTCAGTATGTCTCTTTTTACGAGATGTAAAGTAATCCCCGAATAAATCACCTCCTGATGTATCCATGTTATCTGTAATTAGCCCATTAACGCCCTTCCCATTGAAAGTATCCTGATCATTTTCTGGAGATGCCTCAAATACATTGAAAAATTGACCTGGTAGTACTCCTTGTTCATTTGATGAAGTTTTATTATTCTTCCCACTTAAATAGTTTGAATTCATAATTTCTAATACACTTGCCTTATTACCACATCGATAACAATAATTTGGTGCTGACCATACAGTAAGACACTTACCCCTCCAATAACTTACATAACCTTCATTACACAATTGATGGGCCCGCACCAATTGTACTAAATCATTATCATGACAAAATTTCTCAATAACTTCATATCCAAACAAATAACCTGCACCTCTTGGAGATAATTTAAAGTCCATGATTTCTGGATCTGGATCTGACCAGACCAAATCCGCCATGATCCCGTCATGGGGGATTTCTTTAAATCTATCGACAGCTCTGATTTGATCTAATCTTTGACAACTGGGGGATAATCCTCCATGAGTGGCAAATACTTTCCCATCTATAGTTGCGCCAAGTGGTAAATAATCAAATAAATCAGTAATATATTGCCAAACATCTGCAGAACCTTCATATTTATTGATTACTTCTGAATAGAATCCATAATTCGTAGTGATAGTTCTTGATTCATGATTCCCTCTTATTAATGAAATTCTTTCAGGGTACCGAAGTTTAAGAGATATTAATAATGTGATCGTTTCTACAGAATAATATCCTCGGTCAACATAATCACCTAAAAAAAGGTAGTTTGTAGTTGGAGGTGCTCCACCAATTTGGAATATTTCAAGAAGATCATGGTATTGTCCATGTATATCCCCCACTATGGTAATTGGAGATTGTATGGGGATAATATTAGGCACTGATAAAAGTTGTGTTTTGAGCGTATGACATAATTGTTGAACTGTTTGAGGTGGTAATAGTCTAGGGGGTTTATGGTCTAATAACAATGCCAAACAATGGTCCAAGTCAGGAATAGGTATTTTGAACGGTACAGTCATCCTGTCTAAGTTCTATACTACCGCTCAATCTATATGTTTTATTTATATATATGTATAATGAAAAATGTTTGATCAACAAAACACTTTGAATTTCATTTTTGTGCATGTTATCGGCAATCCAGAGAAAAAAAAAAATTGAATGGAAAAAAGACGCATCAAAAAATCAGCAACACAAGTTATGAGGAAGAGTCAATTTGATAACTCATTCATAGAAAGTTTTGATCTTAGCTATGTTTCAAAATATATATATATATATATATATGGAAATATGATTTCTGTCATGCGATGATATTGGAAAATCTCTATGAAATTTTCTTTCTCTATGTGCTGCAAAATGCCTTGACTCTATTATTTATTAGTTAATCAGATCTAATTACCAATATGATTTCCACCATCCTCTACACATTTTTTATCTTAAAATCACTGTACTTTTTTTCTCATTATCTACTTTAAATATCTCTTCTATAAAGGTATTTCACCAACAACTTCATCAACAACTTTACTTAAAATCTCTAAACCATTTTCAATAACATCATTATCAATGTTTAAAGCTGGAACAAGTCTAACAACATTCAACCCAGCTGTAATGACAATAAGTCCATTTTCTCTACATTTAGAAGAAATGATACCAATATCGACATTAGGTTTGAATTGAAGTCCTAATAATAAACCTTTACCACGAACTTCGGTGATAAATTCTGGGTATTTATTGGCAATTTTGGTTAATCCCTTGACAAATTTTTCAGACTTATTATCAACTTCTTTTAAGAACCCAGAGTCACTTACTTGATCAATAACATATGAACCAATTCTTGACCCAAGTGGATTACCACCATAAGTAGTACCGTGGTCACCAACCTTTAATGATTTTTCAACCTCTTCAGAAATCATGGTAGCTCCAATGGGGAACCCATTACCTAAGGCCTTGGCCATGGTAAGAATATCGGGGTGAGCCTCCTTTGGTAAATAGGAATGGGCCCAAAGTTTACCTGAACGTCCCAAACCACATTGAATTTCATCATAAATCAATAAAACATCATTCTTAACACATAATTTCTTCAATTCAATTAAAAATTCAGTATCAATTGTTTGAACACCTCCTTCACCTTGAATAGGTTCAATAATAACTGCACAAGTCTTATCCTTACTTATCAATTTTTCAACACTTGAAATATCACCAGCCTTGGCAACTTGAACCCCAGGAATAAGTGGTGCAAATGGTTGTTGATATTTTGGATTTGGAGTAACAGATAATGCACCCATTGATCTACCATGAAATGCATTTTCAAATGTAATAATTTCAATTTTATTATCATCAATCAGTTTACCATATTTACGAGCAAATTTTAATGCTGCTTCATTTGCTTCAGTACCAGAGTTACATAAAAATACTCTTTGAGCATCATGCATACCCCCACTAGCCTTGGTTGCAGTGACAAGTTTGTTTGCCAATTCACCGGCATGAAGATTATGAAATAAATTAGAGCAATGAACAAGTGTCTTTGCTTGCTTTGCAATTATATCAGCAATTTCAGAATTAGCATGCCCCAAACCAGTTACTGCAATACCAGCTGAAAAATCAATATATTCATTATTTTCCAAATCATACAAATGTGCCCCCTTACCATGGGTGAATACTATATTAGGACGAGCATAAGTGGTAACTGTATATGGATTGGTAATGGTAGTGATATATTGACCAGTAGCAGAATTTTCAGCTGGATCTGGGGTAGAAGCTAACCGAATCGAGGAGGTTTTGAGACCACGCTTCAGTAAGAATTGTGTCGAAGAGCTCTGGATCACCTTTCTAAGCATTTTTTCCTATAATATACTATGAAACTAAATGAAGAACAATATTTTGAAATTGTTTAAATAGTTTGAACAGATAATTCTCAGTTTTTATTGGAGATTTCGCATCGCGGTTGAGTCACCAGCGTTTCCTAATTGGGCATGAGGGAATTTTTTTTTTTCAGTATTTTCGATTTAGAGTACAAACTGTGGGAAGCATTCCTACTTAACATCAAACATAGTTGAATATGATGATTCTGTAGTATGTTGAATATCCTTTTTATTTGAGCTTTCGATTTGCTATTAATATTATTTCGAATATTGATAAATTTGTTATTAGGAATTTGTATGTAAAACAAAAATCTGTAATAGTCTGTTGGAGATGTAGGTATTATTATTCTATATTATGGTGAAGAATGTATCCATCTATTTGTACCCCAACTAAATATACCCCATGAAAACAATATTACAGGATTTTTATCTATTTTTCCTTGATTTATCACTAATATAGAAGATATGTGGATTATTCTTGTAGGTGCCTAGTATAATCTCTGATGTACTTATAAATGGTTGACTTCTCTGGATAGGAAGTTAGCTAAATGATTAGACCTATATTATCAACATCAACAATACGAAATAAATCATTAGAACTTTTATAAAGGTTCTTGTTGTAGCGCAGGTTATACACTGTGCGATATCTAGTATTCAAATATGCTAGATCAAGTATTTTGCAAAATGGCACTCACTTTAAGGAAAGGGAGACTGCCATTGATATTTAATGCATTATCTTCAGCAACAGAAATATTTTCAAATGCAAGATAATATTTGAGATCCACATAATCATAAATTTAACCGTAAGGTCAATAAACTGATTTGTGATCTACAACATGGAATTAAATGAGCGGATATTGTATCCGATTTCTTGGTTTCTTTTATACTACTTCATTCCATTATAGCTTTTAGATTGGATCAGGTTTTTGGATATACATTAAAGAATATCTTTAAATAGTTAATATTGTGCAACATACAATGTATTATGAGCTATCTATTAAATATGCAAACTCCTAAGAATCATCTACTCTCCAGTTCAGCTTCTTTGAAAAGCTTGAAAATATTGTTAACGTCATTCTTCATACTCTTGGTAAGTTCAACTAAATCAGTATCGGACTTGTTATACATGATACAATTAGCAAACATCAACATTATATCTCTTTCAAGTTCTTCAAGCAGCAGGTATTCTGAAGGTTCCTGTTTCAGCTTGATACTTTTCATAATATTTTTCAAATCCTTAGGCTCATATATCATTTCCTTATAATCTGGAGCATCTTTATGATTCACAGGTTGTAAAAATGGCGATGAAAACCTATGAGCTTGAATACTATTGATAAGATTGACTGAGATATGCTGGAACCTTTTATGTTGTTGTGAGGTAGAAGGAGAGATCGAACGTTTCCTGGTTCTGGTTTCTGGACTATTAGTCTTTTTACTATTCCTTATACTCTCTAATTTTTCAGTAAGTTTAGATTTGGATTTATCTTCTTTCTCTATTTTGGTAGTTTTACTATCTGAATCTACTTCAGATTCTGTACCTTCTTCTTGTTTGACCCCTGGTGTTATATCATTAATTTTATCATTTTCATTATCCTCAGCATTATTCTTATTTTGATTTTCATCAATTTGTGTGTCAGCATCTTCCACATCTTCCTTTTCTTTGACATCTTCTATAACCTCTTGTTCTTGTTCTTCATTTAATTTCTCATCACTATTTTCTACCCCTACTTCATTTTCCTCATTTCCATCTTCTTCATTTTCTTCATCTTCATCTTCTTCCTCCTCGTCTTCATTCTGTTCTTCTTCTTCTTTTTCTTCTACTTCTTCTTCATTTTCCACTTCTATTTTTTCTGAATTGGCTTCTTCATTTGAATCATTCACTTCTTTCTTACCGATAGTAGCTTCCTTTATTTCTTCTTCATTTATGGTGGTAACTTGAGATTTAGACTGCTCCTTGGATTCTATATTATCATCAATCTCATCTTCTACTTGATTACCTTCTTCGCTATCTATTGATTCATCTTCAGCTACTGAAGTTTCCTCGTCTTTATCCTCAGGTTCCAATTTTTCATCTTCATTCTCATCCATAGAATCATCAATTATGGATTTCCCTTCTTCTACATCCTTCATTTGCACATCTTGTTCTTCATCTTCCTTCTCTTCATCTTCTTCTTTCTTTTCCTTTTCAACTTCTTCTTCCTTTACATCCATCTCATCTTCTTTTATTGCATTATCTTCACTATCTTCTTTCTCCTGTTCCAATTCTTCATTTATAACATTCATTTCTTCACTCACTTCCTTCTCCTCCTCTTCATGCTTCTCATTTGAAACTTCCTCTGTTTTTTCCTTAATAGATTTCCAGATAGTTCCTAAATCATATATATTTTTTGTCAATATTTTCAGGTATTCCTTGGAAGATTCAAGAATAATCTTACTAACAATAGGTTCAAATTTGGATGTTTCCACCGTTAATTTATTACCTGAAACATTCACACAATCAGTGAATTTCCTTTTTTCAAAAATATCAACAAGGTATGACTTATTAGGTTCAGTCACTTTATAATTTGTTATATTATAACTAGTCAAATATTCATTGATTTTCATTTTAAGATCTTCCAAAAAATCATCAAGATCTAATTCGACTTTATGTTGATTCCCAATTCCCTTGGAAGTTTTCAACGAGTGATTTAAAGTAGATGAGATGAGCAACACTGCTAGATTAATATCAATATCCACAGAAGTCATATTTATGTTGTTTACTTTAATAATTCGTTGGTTGTTTATCTACAAGTGCTTTACAAAAGTCCATAAATTTTGTTGTTTTCATGCACGCCTACTACACAGGAAAATAGTTATAGTTAGAACATCGTTAATAATATATAGATAGATATATTCTAACTAAAAAGCGATATGTACAATAAAGAAGATTTGCATGGGTTGGGGTAGAATGTAGAAACATATCTCCAATAAAATTACAATTATTTGGGATACGTTCAAACAATAATAATAATTTTTTTTTTTCATTTTGAATTTATATGTCCGTTCCTTCATCAAAATTACCAAACAATATTCATTCCGGAATCAACTCCTACCCTTAAATAAAATAAGACATCATTAACGTTTTTGCATGTTTTGCATCAACAAAGCGCTAGATTGTTAGTATAATTGTAAAAAAAAAAAAAACTATTGGTGGGTGAAATCAAAGCTCCATTTCTCTCTCTCAAATTTTGCCCCCATTCTCATATATATTTCATCTTTCTAATACATACTTTTGCTCTTGGAATCTTTGTCCAACTCTTTCAGAATGCTTCAAGAACTTTTCAGAACACTTGGTAATACAAGAAGTTTCCTTGGTGGTCAAGTTGGCAGAAGTGAAGTCGTTAACACAATCTTCGAAACACTTAGAGACCAAGTTGGAGTATAATCTCATGAAATCCTTCATTTGCTTTTGTTCAACAATTTGTTGAAACTCTTGTTGTTCCTTAACGTTTAATTGGTCCATGATTGATTGTTTGTATCTATAAAGAATAGGATGGCAAGTTTATCACTCAAGAATTTCTGTTTGCTATACAATTTAAAATGTTGAAAAAATTGAGAAAATTATGTAAATTGTTATGTAATAACTTTTCTATCTATATATACAGGTTGGGGTAAAATTGTATATGAACACTGTTACAATCTTATTTTTGTCTTTATAATTTCAATTGGGGGGTTTTTTTTTTCTAACATTGACAATGTCCTGGAGTTCTTGGGAATGGGATTGTATCTCTAATATTCTCTGTACCACTCAAATACATTACTAATCTTTCGAATCCAAGTCCAAATCCTCCATGTGGCACAGTTCCGTTTCTACGGAGTGAAATGTACCATTCTAATGCCTTTTTATCCATCTTTCTCTCTTCTATTTGTTCCATTAATTCATCATAATCATGTATTCTTAATGATCCTCCAATTAATTCACCAACTTCAGGGATAAGTAAATCAAAACATGCAACTGTAGGCTTTTCCGGATCATATATCTCGGGGTTAGATTTCCTCATATAGAATGGTTTTTGGAATGATGGATAATCAGTAACAAATACTGGAGTTTTAAAATATTCTCCAGCTAACCATTTTTCATGTTCAGTATTTAAAGTGGCACCCCATTCTAATTTTTTTGAATTATCGGCTCTTTGAACATCATTAATTATTTCCAAGGCCATTGAATACGTAATGGTTGGCCATGACAGATTAGAATTTTCAAATGTGGCCCATCTTTCTTTGATTTTTGCCATTGTATCTTCATTAGGGAAAGATGATTCCATTTCGCTACTAAATGTCTTGTGTGATTTCATATCTTGAACAATACTTTTAAGCATATTATCACATAATGTGGTTAATTGTCTAACATCATCAACATATGCTACTTCAGCTTCCAACATCCAGAATTCACTCAAATGACGGGTAGTGTCAGAATTTTCAGCTCTAAAACATGGTGTCATAGTCCATACTCTATTTAATGCAGCAGAGAGTACTTCAAGATGCAATTGTGTCGATACCGTTAAATATGTAGATTTTTTGAAAAAATTCTTCTTCCCAGTTGATCCAACATAGAATAATTCACCAGCTCCTTCACAATCAGATCCTGATATTATTGGAGGACTAACTTTTATAAAATCTTCTCTTCTGAAATAATCCATAAGACTTCCTTCAATGAATGACCTAGCTCTGAGAATTTGGCCAAGAGTTCTAGTACGATGTCTCAAGGTTGGTAATGTCCTTAAGAATTCTAAAGAAGTGGCCTTCTTTTGAATTGGATATCTGTCTGGCACTTGTCCAATGATAGAAACTGAATGGTTGGCTTGAGATGGATCACAATGAATTTCCAATCTTTGTTTCACAGGCAGATCCCTCCATTCTCCGTATATTTCAACCGATTGTCCAACTTTAAGATTATAATTAGCAATTGAATCTTCACCTGGAAATATTACATTCAATACTGCACTGGATGCACCGTCTGAAATATCAACAAAACTCATTTTCTTCATTGTTCTACAAGTTCTAATATGGCCCGATAATTTTACTGGCTCACCATGAACTCCGTTACTATCAACTATCTTTCCAAGAGTTGGAGTCAATGAAAAATCGGCAACATCATTAATTGTTGTAGATATGTATCTTGAATTGTCAATGTTAGAATGCTTCCAAAGTGGTGATATAATGTTTGGTATTCTCAACCCACAAGGTCTTGATCTAGTACTAAATCTTAAGGCTCTCGCACGTAACATCCTCGATAATATGTACAACCTCCTGGTTCTTGTTAAATGAAGCTGTCAATATAAATCTTACAAATTATTTGATCTGAAAATCAAAAAAAAAAAATAGAACCAAAAAGAGAAAGGAAAAAAAAAAAAATGATTCACGACTTATAGTAGTCATGTACTTCATATAAACCTGCCTAATCTAGTATCGACCAATATTGCCCCAACAAATTATTAAACCTTGTTGTCTTGGTAAATCATAACTTTGTATCTCATCTAAGATGCATTCACATCATTCACATAGTGGGGATTATGTCTCCCATGCTACGGACAATCTAGAATCAATCATTGATAAGGCAGAGTCTATGGGATTCACTCACTATTGTCTTACTGAACATATGCCTAGATTGCATGATAAGTTCTTGTATCCTGAAGAAATAGAGAAAAATTATACCTCTAAAGATTTAGAGTCTAATTTTGATAGATATGTACAACATGCAGTTTCTATACAACAGGAAAAGAATCTGAAGAACCAATCATCTCCCACCACAAAGATCATTGTTGGACTTGAAGTTGAGGGCTTAAACTCTGAACATATTGACTATACAAGCAAATTACTCGAAAAATATCATCCACATATTAATATGACAGTAGGATCTGTTCATTATGTTAATGAGATCCCCATAGATTTTTCTCCAGATTTATGGATTGAAGCGAGAGATTCATTACCTGACAAGACTTCAAGATCTCTCTTTTTGCAATATTTTGAACTTCAATATGAAGTATTACTGAAATTGAAACCTACCGTAGTAGGTCATTTTGACTTAATTAGATTGTTTGAACCATCAAATGAAGTCGATCCAACCACTGGGAAATTAATGAAGGACATTCTGTTGGAACAAGATTGGCCAGATGTTTGGGAATTGGTGGTACGGAATATAAAATTTGTTGAGTCATATGGAGGATTGTTTGAATTAAACTCTGCTGCTATCCGAAAGGGGTGGTCAAGTCCATATCCAAAGCAAGATGTAAGTGAAGCCATCGTTGAATTCGGTGGTGGAAGATTTTGTCTTTCAGATGACTCTCATTCTATTGCTCAAGTTGGCCTCAATTATCACAAAGTATGGGAATATATAAAGTTTGTTTTAAAGTTGACACTGATATATCATTTAGATATAAATGAGAATGGTGAGACAATTGTGGCCAAAGTTTCAGTTTCTGAATTGGACAAGAGTCCTTTCTGGAAACAATACATTTAGAATATAGTAAGTATTTATTTACATTAAATTAATCGCATTCACTATGAACCTAATAAGATCTACCAAACATACACCAGTACTTAGCCTTTAAGTCACACTTGACACACTTTTGGTTTGGCTTGAATGGTGGTTGAAGCTTTGGAATACACAAGGACTTGGCACCCATAGATGGAGCCTTTTCGTCAACTTCTTCTTCTTCACCGTTATCCTTCTTGGCGGAAGAATCCTTGATGTCATCTTCACACTCAGCGACACCACACCATGGGGAAAGAATGACATTCTTGGCATTCAAGGTTGGAACGAAATCCTTCCATTCTTCAACAACAACACGATGAGCATCGAAATCCTTACGGGCTCTTTCCAACAATTCCGTTTGCATTTGTTCCAAAATTTGAGGAATACGGGTTTCTAAGTCGGCCAACTTGACAACGTACTTGGAACCGTCATCACGTCTAACAGCAGTGACTTGTTCCTTTTCCAAATCCTTTGGACCAAATTCTAAACGAACAGGCAAACCCTTCAATTCCCAATCAGCAAACTTCCAACCAGAAGTAATGTTATCTCTGTAGTCACCGGTGGCTCTAACATCGACAGCGAGTAATCTCTTTTCGATCTTTTCGGCACCTTCGTTAATAGCCTTCTTTTGTTCATCAGAGGTCTTACTGTTCAAACCAACTGGCATGACAGCAACTTGGTATTGAGCAACTCTAGGTGGCAAGACCAAACCCTTGTTGTCTGAGTGGGTCATGACCATAACACCAATGACACGGGTGGACAAACCCCAAGAGTTTTGGTATGCAAAAATTGGATCCTTATCGGCACCTTCTGGGTTTTCAACGGAAATGTTGAACATCTTAGAGAAGTTAGTACCCAAGTGGTGAGAAGTAGCACCTTGGATACCTCTACCGGTGGCGGCAATGAAACCTTCACAAGTGGTGGTGTAATCACCACCGGCAAACTTTTCGTTTTCAGTCTTTGTACCCTTGACAACTGGAACAGCAAGTAATTCTTCGTAGATACCAGCATACAAGTCCAAGATTTGGTCAACTTCTTCAGTAGCACCTTCTCTAGTCAAGTGAGCAGTGTGACCTTCTTGCCACAAGAATTCACGAGTTCTCAAGAATGGTTGAGGGTGTTTAAATTCCCATCTAACAACAGAGTTCCATTGGTTAAGTCTCAATGGCAAGTCTCTGTGAGATCTAATCCACTTAGCATAGTATGGGTACATGACAGTTTCAGAGGTTGGTCTAATGGCAATATGTTCTTCTAATTCAGAACTACCAGCACGGGTAACCCAGGCAACTTCTGGAGCGAAACCTTCAATATGATCCTTTTCCTTTTCCAAGACCTTGGCGGAAACAAACATTGGGAAGTAGGAGTTCTTGACACCTAATCTCTTGATACGAAGGTTAAACCAATCTTGAATTTGTTCCCAAACATGGTAAGAGTTTGGTCTAAGAATGTAACAACCGGAAACATCATAGTAGTCCAACATTTCACCCTTGGTGACAACTTGAGAGTACCAAGTGGAGAAATCCTTAGTCTTGTCTACAGTGATACCAATAAGCTTAGCATCTTCAATTTTGGTAGCTTCCTTTTCCTTCTTGGCGGCAGCCTTCTTTGCGGCAACGGTAGCAGCATCTGGAGCAGCAGCTGGAGCTGGGGCAACACTGAAATCAACTGAAATGATTTCAATAGAAGTGGATTCCAAGAAAGTCTTGATTTCAGCAACAGTGGCAGTCTTCTTTTCAGAACCCACGTTGATTTCAAGAGTAGCCTTTTCATCATTGAAAATGTTTTGATCAACCAAAAATTTGATCTTACCATCTAAATCTTTGTTCAAATTGTAGATGGAAACTTCCTTAGCGGCAACGTTGAAGAATTCTTGAACAAGGTCATCCTTGGCCAATCTTGGTTCCTTAGCACCGGCAGCTTGGGCAATGAGTGGAGATGGGGTTTGGGTGCTTTGTAAGGCAAATACAACAATTGGAACTGGAGTGGCAGTTTTAGCGGTCTTTGGCTTGAACACCAAGGTCTTGGTTGGGAGTGGAGTCAAAGATAACTCAGCCAAGTTTTGTTCTAACGACATTATACAAATATACGGCGGGGGCGGTTCCTTCTTCTATTATTGATCTAAAAGAGTATTTCTACTACTTGTCGTAATATCCGATAGTTATATAAATATAACGGCTAACGTATTTGTATTTTACTCTCAATTTCTTTCAGTTTTCTAATTCTTTTTTTTTTTTTTTTATTTTTTTTTTTATCCGAATCTCTCGATTCAATTTCTTGAAACATTTCCAAAACAGAAAATAACCCTAAAATTCAAAAAATAATAAAATATAAAAAGAGTCATACTCTGCAGTACGCGAATGAGTAACCTTTGGTATGATTTTGTGTGAATATTACACAAAATCCATCTACGGAAAAGTTTATAAAACTTGTGAATCGTCAGTTTAGAACAATTTCTTCAAGTTTCAATTTAATTAATCAATGTCTGTCTACGTTAACGAAAAGACTGGTGCCGATGTGGCTGAAACCGCCGGTACTGAACAACAACCGTTCCAAACTGCAGCTTTTGCTCTTTTTGTGAAACCAGAAGCTAAACTTTTTACTTACAAGCAATTGGAAGAATCTGAAGAATTTGGATATGTTGAAATCTCCAGTTCTGCCTTGAAGAAGGCCAAGAAGGGTGCTGAAGGTATCAAGAAGAAGCAAGAAAAGGCTGCCAAGATGGAAGAGGAACAAAAGAAGAAGCAAGAAGAAGCCAGCAAGAAGTTGGCAGAATTGGATCTTATTACTATTGAAGAAGATAAGTCTCTCCCAGAAGCTAAGAAGATTAAGTTGAGAAAAGTACAAGAAAACATTGGAACTAGAGTGTTAGTTCAAGGTTGGGTTCATCGTTTAAGATTACAAAAGGGTCTTGCCTTTGTTACCTTGAGAGATGGTACTGGATTCATTCAATGTATTCTTACTGGAGATTTGGCCAAATGTAGAGCTACCAATGAATTAACTTTGGAATCTACTGTTGCCATTAGAGGTGTCATTAACAAGTTACCAGATGGAAAGTCTGCACCAGGTGGTGTTGAATTGAAGGTTGACTACTATGAAGTTATTGGTTTGGCTCCATCTGGTGATGAAGCCTTCACTAACAAGGTTCAAGAAAACGCTGATCCATCTTTATTATTGGACCAACGTCATTTGACTTTGAGAGGTGAAACTCTTTCAGCTGTGATTAAGGTCAGAGCTGTTTTATTAAACGCTATAAGGAAGGCTTATGCCGAGGAAGAACTTGTCGAAGTTACTCCTCCATGTATGGTTCAAACTCAAGTTGAAGGTGGTTCCACTTTGTTTAAGATGGATTACTATGGTGAAGAAGCTTACTTGACCCAATCTTCTCAATTATATTTGGAAACTTGTTTACCTGCCTTGGGTGATGTTTTCTGTGTTCAAGAATCTTTCCGTGCTGAAAAATCCCACACTAGAAGACATTTATCTGAATACACTCATGTTGAAGCTGAATTAGGTTTCATTGACTTTGACGACTTGTTATCTCATATTGAAAGAATTATCACCAAGACTGTTAAGTATGTTGTTGAAGACCCAGTTGCTGGTCCATTGCTTAAGCAATTGAACCCTAACTTTGTTGCTCCATCCTTGCCATTCAAGAGAATGGAATACATTCATGCTTTGGACTGGTTGAACGAACACGGTATTACCAACGAAGAAGGTGAAAAGTTCAAGTTTGGTGATGATATTGCTGAAGCTGCTGAACGTAAGATGACTGATATCATTGGTCTTCCAATTTTGTTGATCCGTTTCCCAGTTGCCATCAAGTCCTTCTACATGAAGAAGTGTGCTGATGACGAAAGAGTTACAGAATCTGTTGATGTTTTGATGCCAAACGTTGGTGAAATTACTGGTGGTTCTATGAGAATTGATGACTTGGATGAATTATTGGCCGCTTTCAAGAGAGAAGGTCTTGATGAAAAGGCTTACTACTGGTTCATTGATCAAAGAAAGTATGGTACTTGTGCCCACGGTGGTTACGGTTTAGGTACTGAAAGAATCTTGGCTTGGTTATGTGACAGATTCACTGTTAGAGACTGTTCCTTGTTCCCAAGATTTACTGGAAGATGTAAGCCATAGTTAGCGAATGTAAGTTAATAATAGAAATCATTTAAAAACAAAAAAAAACCAAGAAAATAGCCAGAATGTAAATTCCCGTGTAATATCTTAGATTAGCACATGGTAGATGTTAAGATGAATATCGTACATGGAAAGTGACTAATCTTTTAAGCTTCAGTTTTGTATTCCGATTGAGAGTATACTCCCAAAAATAATGGTGGAAACGAAAAAAAAAAAAGTCAAAGAATTCCTGTATATGCATATGTGGTTGTGCGGCTCAATGAAAAATGAGTCAGGTTAATTAGGTAATTGGAAAAATTAAGCGCGGTAACGAATCAATAAAAGGTCGCCAATATCCATTCAAATTTATCAAAGTTTCAATTTTTCTTCTTAAGAATTATACTTTCTTTGAAGATATATATACAAAAAACATATTTCATTCGACTAATATGTCTGAACAACCTGCTGAAAACAAATTATGGGGTGGTAGATTCACTGGGGCCACTGATCCATTAATGGACTTGTATAACGCTTCATTGCCATATGACAAGGTTATGTACAAGGCCGACTTAACTGGTACCAAGGTTTACACTGAAGGTTTAAATAAGATTGGATTGATTACTACTGAAGAACTCTCTGCTATTCACGAAGGTTTGGAAAAAATTGAAAAAGAATGGGAAACTAATACCTTTGTTGAAAAGGCTGGTGATGAAGATATTCATACTGCCAATGAAAGAAGATTGGGAGAAATTATTGGTAAGCATATCGCTGGTAAGGTCCATACTGGTAGATCTAGAAATGATCAAGTTGCCACCGATATGAGAATCTATGTTCGTGAAAACCTCACCAAGCTTTTACAATTCCTTGGTGATTTTATCAAGACTATTTTAACCAGAGCAAAGAAGGAGATTGATGTATTAATGCCTGGTTACACTCATTTACAAAGAGCTCAACCTATTAGATGGTCTCATTGGTTGTCTTCTTATGCCACCTATTTCACTGAAGATTTCAAAAGATTGAAGCAAATCTTGGAAAGAGTGAACCAATCCCCATTGGGTTCTGGTGCTCTTGCTGGTCATCCATACGGTATCGATAGAGAATTTTTGGCTGCTGGTCTTGGTTTTGAAGCACCAATTGGTAATTCATTAACTGCAGTTAGTGACCGTGATTTCGTGGTTGAAACTTTGTTTTGGTCTACTCTTTTCATGAATCATATTTCTCGTTTTTCTGAAGATTTGATTATCTATTCCACTGCTGAATTTGGTTTCATTCAATTAGCAGATGCTTATTCTACTGGGTCTTCATTAATGCCTCAAAAGAAGAACCCAGATTCTTTGGAATTATTAAGAGGAAAGTCAGGTCGTGTTTTCGGTTCCCTTTCTGGATTCTTAATGTCTCTCAAATCTATTCCTTCAACTTATAACAAGGATATGCAAGAAGATAAAGAGCCATTATTTGATGCTATGACCACTGTAGAACATTCTATTTTAATTGCTACCGGTGTTATTTCAACTTTATCGATCAATAAGGAAAAGATGGAAGGTTCTTTGACCATGGATATGTTAGCAACTGATTTGGCCGATTATTTGGTTAGAAAGGGAGTTCCATTCAGAGAAACTCACCACATTTCTGGTGAATGTGTTAGAAGTGCCGAAGAATTCAAATTATCTGGTATTGACCAATTATCATTAGAACAATTTAAAAAGATTGATGAAAGATTTGGTGACGATGTTACTGATGTATTTGATTTTGAAGTCAGTGTCGAAAGACGTACAGCCACTGGTGGTGCTGCAAAATCTGCTGTTTTGAAACAGTTAGATAACTTAAATAGCCAATTGAACTAGATTCGAGGAAATAATTAATGTCATCCAATCGAAGTTAATATACTTCGATGGGGAAAAATAAAGGAAATTGAAAAATTAAATGAATATAAAGCTAAAGTTGTAAGTTCATATGCAATTTATTGATATAAGCTAGCATTCTATCTCTATATATCGCTTTTGTGGTACGTGAAGTCAAATTTAAAGTAATTAGATTCGTCAAACAGATGAGGTCGACGTTTTCTTTTGTGAGACTGTTTATCAGCAATGTGTTTGGAAGTAGTTGGCGCCAGACAAACATGTGTAGGTTCAGACTTCAAAAACTCCATCAAAGTTATCGGCAGTTCCTGATTAATCGAACTAGCTGGTGAAATATAATTTGAAGTCGATTTCAGACCTACATCACTATGGACATCCAAAGACAAGGCAGATATAAAACATAATTTTGTCAATGGAGTTGTTGTGTCACCTGTGGCTGGTGGTATTGTTCTTGGAGACAGTTGTTTTGCAAGATTCAACTTCTCTTTAAATTTATCAGATTCAATGGTAACAACATCCAAATCAATAAAATTATTCTTACCATCATATGTCGTATTACAGTATTGTGCAGCCAGACCTATGGTACTGGGACTATGTAAACTAAACTGGGTTGTTTCTGATTCGTCATTGCTAGATCCGTTTCTGAGACAAACTGATTCAGATCTTCTATGTCCAAGGACAAACAGGTGAATAGGAGAAAGGCTCTCATCATTCTCTAAGGAATCTGTCGTAGATAAACCAAATGACTTGTTAACTGGGTTAGTTTCTTCAAACATGATATAAGGTTTGTTTTCCGAAGAAATCCTCTGAAGATTCATCGAATATCATCTTTATATATCGATTGATTTTCATTTCTTTTTTCGTATCCCCTCCTCATCATTCAAGTTCATCTTGTTCAAGGTCAACTTATGTGCATCAATGTACGATTCTGCAACTTGAAGTTATGCAGCTTATGGATATAAACGAAATTAAAGTAGGGGTTCTCTAGAAAAATGAGTACACTTAGGTGCCTTCCAACCGGGACTAAATGTGTAATTAACTAGACTGATGAGGGGTTGAAAGACAATAATAACACATTCAACAATTATATTATCCAACTACTTCATACCCTATTAGTACATTCTAAATTTATACTTCCATGCATCAACGAAAATTTATTCGGTGCAGACGTAAATGCACTAAGGGTTGACTCGATAATTCCTCGCATTGTACGAATTTCATTTGCACAGCCTAATAGTTAGATCTGATACATCATAGAATTAGTTATCTTTTTGAAATTAAGCTTCACTTAGAACGACGTACCTTTATTATGTACCCCGATGCACCCTCATTACACACTACTCATAAATTTCTTTTTTTTTTTTTTCTTTGTGTACCCTTGCTTTCTTGAGCGTCAAATGTGTGGTAAAATAAAGCAAACCTTAATCTAAAGAATCATCATATCTGGTCAATGTAGTCTTAGATTCTTCTGTGGAAGGTCAAATTTGTCCTATAGAGCCACTACTTGTCCAGAGGAAACTGATAAGAAAAGTTCCATGAAAATTTCTCTTCAAGTGCAATTTCTTAAATGTTGAAAGAAGGAGAAGTGAAGTATTGACGTCACGCAAAATTTTCCAGCCACTGCAGGGTTTTTCATTTCGGTTATCACCGACAAGTTGATGTACAAACCTCATTAAATGGTTCTGGACCCTTGAATAGGACCTCGCAAAAGTAAGAATAAAGATATTTCAACACATAAACTTTTCAGATGTGATGAGTGCCACAGTATCTCGCGATTTCTGGGGTAGATCACATGGATATTAAATTAATCGGATGATGTTTCTTACATTCATATGCTACCAGAAGTATCGAAATGCACCTCTGGGTAGAAACGGAATTCAGACAAATTTGCAACCCAATGTATGCACTCCTTTTGAGGGGTTCAAGAATTGCAACAAATGGGGAAATAAATTCTTGGTAACAAATTGTAGTGTAACAGAAATGTGGTAGTAATATTATTTTTTTTGTTTTACAACCATTAGTTGTCCCCCTGAAATGCAATTTAACGCAGTATAAGTAGATAAGTGTGATCTCCAACTAGATTGTACGCTTGCTTTTTTCCCTCTTCTTTCCTAGATACATTTTTTTGCAACGATGAGTCTGAAAGTTCAACCCTTGGTAGCACTTCGCAACATTCAACAACAGTTTCAATTAGTTGAATTGAATAATTGTGATACTGAAAATTTAGATCAAATTGTTAAAGTTTACAGAAATTTGGCAACCATTTTATCAAAATATAAAATCAAAATTAACCAACTTAATAGTGACGATGATTTTGATTTTTTTCCAACTTTATCAAGTCTTGTAAATCAATTACACTACCATGATGAGATTTTGGAATGTAAACTGGAACTATTACATGACATATTCCCCATGTTGTTACTTCATTACTTAACTAACCCAAATTTATTTTACTTTATCGCCAAGAAATTGCAAGATAATGAAACATTGCAAAAGATTTTGACGGTGTTGTGTGAAGGTATTGATCCAACACAAGAGAGAGTTGGTATTTTAACTTTTTGGAAATTGTATAGTATCAATAAGGATAATCGATCCTTATTAAGAATGCACGGATTTTCCATGGTTTATTCGGTGGTTCCAACATTAATTCGTAGCTTTGGAATTGTTGATAATATAAGAACAAGTTTAATTAATTTAGAAAATCAATCCAATGAATTACTTTTCCAATCATTGAAATCCTTTTTATCTATTGAACTGCAAAATTCTAAACAATTACTTTCAATCTTAATTAGAAATGATCATGCATTAATTGAATCTTTAGAACTTGCTATTTCAAACCCCAATACTTCGGAAATTTGTCGTAAATGTATTATCAAATTATTTGAACTGGTTACTAATACTTTAATAATCCATGGGATTGAATTTGATCAAGAATTTGATAATGTATTGATTTCTAAAATCCCGAATGAAAATTGTATTAAATTTCTTATTGATAAGGATAAATTGCAAAATTCAATTTCATATGCTTTAGAATGTCTTGAACATGGTAATGATTTGAATTTTTTAAATTTATTTAACATTCTGGTTTACTATTTCCTTTCAATGAATAATATTAATACATCATTATATGATAATGAATTGAACTTACTTGAAACTTTCAATAAAATGAATACAACTATTTCTTTTAAAGCATTTTTAGATAGTTCCATATATTCAATCTCCAAGCATTTATTGACCAAAGTTGATCGAAATTTTAAAAGTTTCCCTAAACTTATCCAAATTCAATATGGAAATTTTGAATTACCACCTCTTTCTAAATCAAATTATCTCTTTGATAATCTGTGGGATACTGATAATTTTAATATAAATATGAAATTATCAAATAATAAGTATAATCTAAACCTTTTATTGTCGGGATTACAATCATGTTGGAATTTACAAATTCAAACAATTGGAAATGAATTGAAATCATTATCAAGTTTTAAAGAAGTTCCCCAAGAAATGTATCTCAACTTAATTGTTAGATCTGTCAACAATTCATTAGCATCATTATTTGCATTTGCTGCCATTATAAATACTAATCAAGTTGATAATAGTATTAAACAACTGAGTAAAATTCTTATTGGAGACTTTTTAGAAAAATTGATAACTTTTAAAATTGAATCTACCAATGAATGTGCAATGATGATGTGCTTTATAAATTTTTCATGCTCTTTGTGTCAATCAAGTTTGGAATATCTTGATATATGTGATATGATTATTGGATTGGTAGTCACCCATGATTCACCAACGTTGCAAAACATTTTGAAGAATTATATTGTTGATGTTTCTTTACGTAGATTTGTCACAATGCTTGATAAGGAAGAATGTAACTTTATTACCATCAGGAAATATTTATCATTACCAGTAAGTAATAAGGCTCCAACTTATTTAAATGTTTCAATTAATACTTTCCAGTCATTTTATAATGAAGATTTAAACCAACATAAGAATGATAAACTTCAACCAATGTCGAATACTAAAAGACGTGAATCTGAAGTCAAGCAAAATCTTAAGAGTAACCAATCTTATGATTATAACTCTGATATTTATAAATACAGAGAGAAAAGATAATTTACATCTACCCCAATTGTGTGGGGCTGCTAACATCATTTTGGCTAACAATTTACTGCACACAACTTATGATTTCCATTTTAAATTTTTTTTTTTTTTTAGCTCTTTTCTGTTTTGTATAGGAAAAAAAAAGTATACTTTAAGAAATATCTCATCGCGAAGAGGTCAGACTTTGAACTGTAGTATACTTAGCATTTAATATCAACAACCACGATGGTATTGAAATCTACTTCTGCTGGTAACGTTTCAGTGTATCAAGTATCTGGTACTAATGTTTCCCGTTCCTTACCAGATTGGATTGCCAAAAAGAGAAAGAGATCGTTAAAGAATGATATTGAATATCAAAATAGAATTGAATTAATTCAAGATTTCGAATTTAGTGAAGCTTCCAACAAGATTAAGGTCTCTCCAGATGGTCAATATGCCATGGCAACTGGTACCTATAAGCCACAAATACATGTTTATGATTTTGCCAATTTATCTCTTAAATTCGATAGACATACTGATTGTGAAAATGTGGACTTTATCATCTTATCAAATGATTGGACTAAATCAGTTCATTTACAAAATGATAGATCTATTGCATTCCAAACTAAAGGTGGAATCCATTACAGAACTAGAATTCCAAAGTTTGGTAGAGATATGGCTTATAACCCTATAAACTGTGATTTGGTCATTGGTGCTTCTGGTAATGAATTATATCGATTAAACTTGGATCAAGGACGTTTCTTGAACCCATATGTTTTGGGTACTGATCAAGGGGTAAATTCTGTAGAAATTAACAGTGTTCATGGGTTGATAAGTGCAGGTTTAGAAGATGGTACTGTTGAATTTTGGGATCCAAGATCGAGACAAAGAGCAGCTAAACTTTTCGTTGCTGAACAATTAGGAGAAGATCTTCAAGTTACAGCAACTGCTTTCAGAAACGATGGTTTAAACTTTGCATGTGGGACTTCAAATGGTAAGTCTTTAATTTATGATTTAAGAACATCAGTTCCATCTATTGTAAAGGATCAAGGTTATGGATTTGAAATTAAGAAAATTATGTGGTTAGATGAAAATGATTCTAATTCTGATATGATTTTAACTACTGATAAAAGAATCGCCAAGGTTTGGGATAGAAATGATGGTAAACCATTTGCCTCGATGGAACCAAGTGTTGATATCAATGACATTGAATATATTAAAAACTCTGGTATGTTCTTTATGGCAAACGAAGGTATTCCAATGCATACATTCTATATTCCAGAATTGGGTCCAGCTCCAAGATGGTGTTCTTTCTTGGACAATGTAACAGAAGAATTAGAGGAAAAGCCTTCAAACACTGTTTACTCCAACTACAGATTTATTACCAGAGACGAAGTAACCAAGTTAAACTTGACTCATTTGATTGGTTCCAAGGTTTTAAGATCTTATATGCATGGTTTCTTCATTGATACTGAACTTTATGATAAGGTTAATCTTATTGCCAATCCTAACTCTTACCAAGATCAAAGAGAAAGAGAAATTAAGAAGAGAATCGAAAAGGAAAGAGAATCGAGAATTCGTACCACTGGAGCAGTTACCAACACCAAGATTAAGGTCAACAAGGACTTGGCCAGTAAATTGGAAGAACGTCAAGGTTCCAACGTTGCTGAAACTGTTATTAATGATGATCGTTTCAAGGAATTGTTCGAAAACCCAGATTTCGCTGTTGATGAACAATCTCATGAATATAAACAACTTAATCCAGTTAAATCTACTAAGGATAAGAGTGAAGGTAGATCTCGTGCATTGACTGCTGCTGAAGAATCTGATGAAGAAAGAGCCAACACTAACCCTAACAAGGAATCCAGTGATGAAGATGATGAATCAGAAGAAGAAGAGGAAGATAGTGAAGAAGAGAATTCTGAAGATGAAAGAATGAATGAAATGCAAAAGAAGAAGGTTCAAAAGGAAATGGAGAAATTACGTAGAAAGAAGGAATCAAAGGCAGAAGCTGATAGATTCTTAAATGAAATGAAGGCTGTTGCATCTGAAGATAGCACCAATCAAAAGGCCAGTGAAACTTTTGGATCTCAAATGAAGAAGAATGAAAGAGAAGCCAAGTTGAATAAGAACGACCGTAGTGATACTAGATTACGTCGTCATGCACGTGGTGAAGCTGAAATGACTTTTGTTCCACAGAAACAAAAGAAACAAGCTAGATTTAAGGAAGAAGACGAAGAAGAAGATGAAGAAAAGACAAAGAACAGCGGTAGAACCAAGCAAAGATTTGATGGACGTAGAAGAGCTTCTAAGAATGCGTTCCGTGGTATGTAGATTAATAGAATATAGTGGTGTGTATAAAAAGAGAAACATTGAAGCTATAATTGTGTAGACTATATTTTTTTTTTTTGTTGCTTGTTCTATTTTGCGGAGTGCGCAGCTGATAGGAATTTAAAAGAATATTCATCTTTCAAACTTTTTAATAGCGGGACATACTACAGAAGAGATGTCTGCAAATAACAAGGAAGCGCAGTCTGGGCTCAATAGGTATCTTGCCTTGAAGAATAAGGAGGCGGGTGTACTAGAATCAAACCCTAATAATAGACCTAAATATGTACAGAATGAAAAGTCATTACCTCAAGCAGATCGATGGAGGTCTACTGTATTGGGAGAAATATCAAGTAAACTCACCAAAATCCAAGACCCAGCTATTAGTGAGTTTCAAGTGAGAGATTTGAACGATGACCTTAACCGGTTATTCAAAGAGAAGCGAGCTTGGGAGTATCATATCAAAGATTTAGGGGGTGTTGACTATAAACATGTAAATAATAGTGAGGTGACAGGAATACAGGTGAATGGGTATAGATATTTTGGGAGAGCTAAGGAACTTCCAGATGTTAAAGAGGTGTTGGAAGAGCAAAAAAAACATAGAACAGATCAACAAAAAAGGAAAAATACCGAGAAAGAAGCTACTGATGCTCTTAAGGCTAGAGAACGAAGAATCGATGCATCATATTATGGGGTTTATGACGAAAATAGTGTTGAAAGTGTTGATGGAATAACCAGAACTGTATTAGATCAAGTTCACAGCATATTAGGTGACATAAGCCCACTGGAGCATGAAATCCATAACGAAAACTACACAAATACAAGCATTGAAAATGATTTATTAGAATTTGAAAAGAAGAAAAGTATTAAATTACTTCAACTGGAACATAAAAAGAAAGGTGGAAGTAGTCCCAAATTGGAAATTCTCCCACTGGATATCCCAAATGCTCTGGATATATCCAAATGGTTAGTTCAACAACGTAAAAAAGAGCTCCTTTCAAAATTAAACAAGGCTTAACTTTGTCACATCATCTTCAGTTATAATTTTAACACCAGCATTTTCATATAATTTATCAGTGGCATTATCATTTGATGGTTGAACACTTTTACAACAACTTTTCACCACATACGAATTAAATCCGAGACTTTGGCAGTCTATGGCTGAATTCAATACACAATAATCATAGGCTAAGCCAACAAATACAACATCTTTAATACCATTATCAGTTAGATAGTCCTTAAGTTCAGTATAATGTAATTTCCAACAATCTCTGAAACATGAATAATATTCACGATCTTGTAAATATCCCTTATTCACAACAATTTTTGGAGTTGTAATTTGTTCAAATTTCTGGGAAAATTTAGATTCAAGTTGTGCTCCTGGAGTGTCTTGTACACAATGGTCCGGCCATATTGTAAGCAGTTGAGTTATTGGATTCCCATCTCCATCGATTTCTCCAAGTGGATGGTTAAAGATTAAGTTTGTAAATGGTTGGACGCCATCATGTTGGGACACAAATGAGTTATGATTTGATGGATGCCAATCTTTAGTAACAATAATTGAATTCCATTTTAAATCTAAAAGCTTCATGATTGGCTCAATTATATCACGGCCATCTTTCACTGCAAGAGAACCATTCTCAGGAAGAAAATCTTCTTGTAAATCAACTACTACTATGGCAGACATTTCTATGATTGAAATAAGATCAAATATTTTGAAAATAGATTAGAAATTATATCCGCACTTAATATTTTTGGGAAGATAAGACTAAACAAAAAGATACCTTTATTTCATATATTTAGAGGTTTGCATTTTATTGAATAAAAGAAAATTAGTATAAATACATTAAAAGATAAAACATAGCCTCTATCTTACATTCTCTCATCTTCTGGTTTCCAAGAACCCAGGAACAAGTGCTCAGCATAAGCCATAGGGTCAGAAGTAGATTGGGCACCCATTTGGTTAACACCTGGAGAGAAAGAAGTAATTGGAAGAATCATCACATCATCAACAACAACAGGTAAACTAATACCAGTGAAAAGTTTCCATGTAATTGGATCTTCAGTACCAGCATGACCTTGAGACAGTAATACAATATTGTTTAAGTACTTAAACACAAAATCGGTGAAAATACCTGGACCGGTCCAATTCATAATATCACCTCCTTCATCCTTTCCTAAGACTTTAGTCAATTGTCCATTTCTCTTACGGGTAAGAGTGGTGTCTGTAATGTTGGCAATAAGTTCTCTAAGTAATGGATGACCCTTCTTAGCTTGAATGGTCCATTGACACAATTGAATTCTTCTGGCATACCAATCTTCCCAATCAGGTCTATTTGGATCAGCTTCAATACCAATAGCAATACTAGTTGGGTTTTTCTTATCATAAATCTTTTCATCACCAGACATCCATTTGTCAATAGGTTTAATACTTCTAGTATCAATATCAGAATAAACACCACCACGAGCAAATAAAATCAAATAACGGAAGAAGTCAGCCTTAAGAATACTCTTTGGCATACTGTTGTATGCTTCAACAACATGAGGAACAGTAGCATACTGTTGGTTAATCAATTCATGACAAGCATCATCAGGAAGAACATAATGTTTATAATCTGGGTTATTGGTAGTCCAAGTCAGTTGTAATTCCTTGAACTTTGGTGGGAAGTCAGGATCATCAAGTGGGACCTTCCAAGTTTGCCAAATATTCTTTTGGAACCCCTTGGCTGGTTCAAATGGGAATTGAAATGAAAGCTGCTGTCTCACAGTCGATTCTGCAGGAAGTCTTGCCTTACTATTTGGTCTGAATAATTTCCCATTGGCACGGAAATTTTGATAAGTTTCAAGCTCTGCATATTTTCTAAGTTTTTCATCGGTAAATTCAGATGATAATACATCTCTTGGGGTATGAATTGTACTGAAAAACGCGTACATAAGTACAACCAAAACCACCAAGAGTACTATCGATCTTATTCTTTTGTCAATCATCTTTAAAGAAAGAAAGAAAGAATATTTGAAAAGTTTAACTACTTTCTTGTATTCTATCTACTTTATTAGAAAGAAATATTGATTGAAAATTGTAATTAAAATCCTACAAATAATCTCTCTATTTCTTATATGAACCCACAAACTTTTCTCAAACCATCTACGTGGAGATTACATCAAAGGTGGAACTTTGCTCCAAAAAAGAAAAAAAAAATAAAAGCGCATATGCAGGCCCGCCAAGATACATTTACACCAGATGTACATGTTCTCTACATGACCATTACGCGCAACTGCAAGCTTCAAAGAAAATATTTACACCATCGAAGCACGATCAAATTTCAATTTAAAATCGATCGATAAATATTTTACCCTATTCCGCCTTTGTGGGTTGAAAAATAATTAATGCCACGCAAATTATTTATTGAAATTGATCTTCAAAAAAATAATTAAAAATAAAGAAAGACATTGAAGAAAAAAATTTCTACATCAAATATATTCAAACATAAAACTATTTGCATTTTGAAATATATACGTATATGGTATGCAATAAAATAAATGTACACTTGCAAGATGCATTTTCAACAAAAATATAACCCAATGTCTAAATCCAAACAAATACTAAAAAAACTTTTTAAAAACCTCCAGACAAAAAAAAGATTTATAAATAACCCCATTAACAACTTTTCTATAATATGTTTCTCTTTTAAACAAATATTTCTTTCTTGACAATAATATTAATACAGATGAGTAGGAGATGTAATTTATCCAACTCATAGAAAAAAAGACCAGTAAAAGAAACACTCAGTTTTCAATAAATATGGAATAATCAACATGAAAAGAAACAACCAAAAGTTTTTAATGCAATATGATAAAACGAAATCTTTTGCTTTTCCTCCGGAAATACAACAGGATCAAGACATCGATGGTAATGCAATTTTGATAAAATAAAATTTATCAAAATCAACATAAAAACAATAAAAATCAAACAAAGGGACACGAAACAAACTTGAATAGGAAAAAAGAATTGATAGTTTTAAGTAATCAATTATTTGCCGAACAAGCTAATAGATCGTGTCTAGCTTACCACCAAGAGTTGGAGGAAGCAGATGGGTTCCCGTATGAAGAAGAGGAGCCACCGTAGCCACCAGAAGAGGATCCTCCGTAACCACCAGAGCTACGTCCACCATAAGAGGATTGACTGTCACTGTTACCCCAACCACCAGAGGAGGAAGAGCCACCGTAACCACCACCGTTACTTCTTCTGAAGTCCCTGATAGGACCTCTACCACGAGAAGATCCACCACGGGATCCACCTCTTCCACCACCAAAGGCACTTTCTCTGGCAATCTTGGACAAAAAGTCTGGAACTTCTTGGTTAGCTTCAGTTAAAAGGTCAAGCATACCCTTAACAATGTTCTTGTTGTTTCTGTTAAAGAAAGCGGTGGCGATACCAACATTACCAGCACGACCAGTACGACCAATTCTGTGAACATAGTCATCAATATCACTTGGCAAGTCATAGTTGACAACGTGAGAAACGTTAGGAATATCCAAACCTCTAGCGGCAACGGCAGTAGCAACCAAAATTGGAGCAGTTCCACTCTTGAAGGCAGCCAAGGCCTTTTCTCTTTCATATTGAGATCTGTCACCATGAATGGCAGTAGCTGGGAATCCTTGATCATACAAGAAATCAGCCAAGTTATCAGCCATTCTTTTAGTTTCAGTGAAAATAATAGTTAAACCATTTTCATTTGCAGATAATAAATCTAACAATACAGATTTCTTTTCTTCATCTTCAACGTACAAAACCTTTTGAGTAATGTTTTCAGAAGTGGAACCAACACGTCCAACAGATAAGAAAATGTATTCCTTCAAGAAATCACGAGCCAACATTTGAATATCTCTTGGGAAAGTGGCTGAGAACATAAGGGTTTGTCTATCGTTAACACCTGGCATGTCACATTCTTGAACAATGTGTCTGATTTGAGGTTCGAAACCCATATCCAACATTCTGTCAGCTTCATCAAGAACCAAGTATTTAATGTTCAGTAAGGAAACACGGCCTCTTTCCAATAAATCCTTAAGACGACCTGGAGTGGCAACCATAAGGTCACAACCACTTTCCAAGTTTCTGATTTGGGAACCAATGTCAGCACCACCGTAAACTACACATGGACGAACCCAAGATCTATAAGAAAACTTCTTAGCTTCTTCAAAAATTTGAGAAACCAATTCTCTGGTTGGAGCCATGACAAGAATGGTTGGGTGAACCTTATGGGAAGAAAAGGCACCACCAGTTTCAGTGACTGGAGCTGGACCATTCATATAAGATTCAGACAAAACTGGGAAAAGGAAACCACCAGTCTTACCGGAACCAGTTTGAGCACAAGCCATCAAATCTCTACCAGCGGCAACGATTGGAACGGAGTACTTTTGGACTGGAGTTGGTTTGGTGAATCTAGAAAGAGTAACGTTTTCAACTAACAATTCATCCAAAGGAGGGGCAGTAAAGGCAGTGATTGGTTCTGGAACACCTTCACCAGAAGCTTCAACTGGAATATCATCATAGTTATCAAAGTTAATACCAGAAGATTGGAAAGTTGGATCTTCCTTGACACCAAAGAGTTCCAATTCCATCTTTTCGTTACGTTCAGATGGAACATGCTTACCATCGACCCAACGACCTTCACCAGCTCTTCTTCTACCACCAAAGCCACCACGACGGTCACCGTAGCCACCACGACGGTTTCCACCACCGTAGCCACCACTGCCACCGAAACTACCGCCACCAAATCCACTACGGCGATTGTTATCGTAGCCACCACGACGACTGCCACCGAAGCCAGAGTCATTGCCACTACCATTACCCATAGATTCAGCACCTCTACCAGATCCACGAAGGTGAGGAGGAACGTATTGGGAACGACGCGATCCTTGCTGCTGTTGTTGAGGCTTTGGGGTAGCGTCACCAACAGAGAGGTTGTTCATTTGCTGAGTAATATCAGACATATTGTTTTATTTCTAATAAAGTATAAAATCAAAGTATAGAAAACTCGTTACAACAAAATTATTTACAATGGCAAAGGAAAAAAAGTTCAAGGAACATCAAAAAAAAAAAAAGAAAAAAAAAAGAAAAATTTTTTGTGTCACAAAATCACGTACTTTGGACCAAAAACCCAAAGGCAAAATAAAAAAAAAAAAAAAAAAGAAAGGTAAAAGTCAGCCATTTATCGTGGCTGTATATAAAATCATGACAGAAATATACAGTGGAATATTAATTTAATGAAGCCATTGAAGAAGCTGAGCTCGACCGGTTAGCATTCTTGGGTTAGATACAGCTACCGTACTCAATTGATAGTTTACTTAGAGTCAATTGATCAATATATCGGTACCAAGGCTATGTAGCAAAATTGTAATAGAAAATATGTAAAAAAAAAAAAAAGAAAAGAAAAAAAAAAGGAAGTCTAACAAAAATTATCAGGGATGAAAATTCAATTACAGCAGCAGCAAAATTGGCAGCAAATTGGTAGCAAATTAAGATTCAATTAATGGCAGTTTATAAAAATAGTATCACCGTTAATCTCATTGTTTGTTGTATATATGTATATATAAAGAGAAAATTAAAATGAATGTAATATTAATGAATGGAATCACTCTTTGATTGAAAACTCTAAGTGCATAAATACAACGTCATCTCAAATATTCTAATCTCGAAGAGTGATCTTTGCATTTGGATGTGCAAAACAAGTTCTATCATCCATATTATAACTATGGGTGTGTGTAGGTGGGGTACTTATACCACTACCAATTTCTGGAAGGTATGGACTTTGTTCCTCATCAGATATCAGGGAAGATGACCAAGTTTCGTACGCCTCTTCCTCCAACTGTTGAGCTTCATCATCATCATCTTCATTTGTATTTATATCAAATTCATCATCATCCTCTTCTTCTTCTTCCTCCTCGTCTATATGTGGTTGACCTGAAATATCACCAACTCCATCTCCGTCGATGCGTTTAGACGTTTTCTTTTTCTTTAAAAGTGAAGTAAATGGCTTTTGCGCCTCTCTGACATTCCAATTCAAATTTCTGCTCACACTATCTATGTAATCTGTTTTAGAGCTGATAACAGTTGGGAATGGGAATGGACTTGCCTGGATGGTAACATAATCACCCTTATTTAATTCGGTTCTAACTTTACCGTCAAATGATGCCCAAGCGGTAGATCTACTGGTTTCCGGAACCTTGACCTTAAGAAGCATACCATCAGGAAGTAAGATGGGTCTGAATGACAATGTATGGGGGCAAATAGGTGTGACACTGATGGCACTTACACCAGGATGTACTAATGATCCACCAGCGGATAATGAATATGCAGTAGATCCAGTAGGGGTGGCAATGATTAATCCATCAGCTTGTGCTATTGTTAACAATGAACCATCTCCATAGAGTTCTAAATTAGTCACATATGGACTAGGACCTCTATCTACCACCAATTCATTCAAGACTTGTTGTTCACATACAAGTTGTCCGTTTGCCCTATGAACTCGACAAGTGAATCTCATTCTTAAATATGCTCTTACTCCAGCATCAACTGCTTGTGACATTTTCTCTCTAAATTGATCAAATTTAAAGTTTGTTAAGAAACCTAATGATCCAAGAGAAAATGAAATAACTGGTGGAACCACTCTTTGAAATAAATTAGATACATATAATACTGTTCCATCTCCTCCCAAAGTGACAACTAAATCAAAATTCTCTGGATTTCTAAAGGCAAACTTCCTATCCCAATATTTAAGATAAGTCTCAGCTCTAGGTGTAGTTTTAATTAATCCCTCAGCATCGAATCTTTTCAGTTTAGCCAAATTTCCATCAACATACACCACGATTTCTCGTTCACGTGTCAATAACCATTCGGCCACTTCACGTGTAAGGTATATCAACGAGTTGTCCCTGGCCTTGGTGACAATCATGATGGCTCGCACATCCAACTGGATGGTAGCTTTTGCAAGATTTCTAGCAAGCATTCTTACTCCATTGGCTGTTTGTGCTAATTCAGTATGGGATTTCACAGACTTGAGATCATCTGACCCAAGTTTCAGTAGCACTTTCGTGGCAGAACTTGAGTTTGGATTGGCCTTAATACCACTAGTCTTCACTCTAATTTGCTCACAATAAAGTTTGTTATGAATGATTGGTCTTCTCTTTTCATCAGAAGAGAAATTTATTGGACTATTTGTACCACCAAAAAATGAAGATCCATTCTCTGAGTAGCTATTATTGTTTGTTGCCGGGATTTCATGAGTCTTTAACACTCTTCTATGGCTACCTCTATTCTCTTCTGCGATCTTGATTGTGTTAAGTTGAGCTGAAAGGTGACTAATTGGATCTCCCCCACCATTCAAACTCGATTCTTGTCCAGTAGACATGGTGATTATTATTGAGTATGGAACAACACAAATAAAACGTGAGAATCTGAACTATGAATCTGAAATATATAAGCAAGTTCTATTCTTCCAAACGAAGATTTATAATAACTTTGAAGGAATGTTAATATAGTTCTTCAAATTCTCTATATCAAAGATTAACTAAAGTTTTCGATATTGAAAGAAAAAACGCGGCAATCGGATTTCTCCTAATAATTGCATATGTACGACAACTAAACGATAACTAATTAGTAGGTATGTATGGATATATATATATATATATATATTTATTTACTTATTTACTTCTTCCTCTAAGTTTCTCTTCTAAGCTATTTCTTTAACCTTACACTTCCAACCACTTGCCTTTTGATCTAATAATGGCAAGGAAGCACCTAAACACCAACCAAGTTCATTGTTGGCAATCTTACTAGCAGTCTTCAATTCTCTAGATAATGGGATATCGTATCCAGTATGCAACATGGCAACCATGAAGGACAAGTCCAAACACCATTGAGGTTCCTTGTTTAATTCGGCAATGTGATCGTCAAGTAAAATATCCTTCCAAGATTCATCTCCACTACAAACAACCTTGGCCATTTCACTCAATTCTTCAACGGTGAAAGATGTTGGCAATCCAATTGGGTTGGTTCTATCGTAAAAGAAGGAGAACACATACATATCGGAAGTTCTTTGGAAAGCTCTAGTAAGAGATGGTTGATGGACACCATTGAAAGAACATGGAGCTTGTTTACATTCAGCATCCTTGTTCAAGATCTTTTCAGACATGGCACGACATTGAGCACCACCTGGGGTGGAAGGTCCCTTCATGTTGACCACATAGTATTCATCCTTGCCCATTTCAACAACAACATCAGATGCAGTGACCCCTGGTGGGATACATGGGTTATTAAGAGTAATGGTTGCCTTGGCATCCTTAGCAGCAGACTTGGATAATTTAGCGGCAGCCAATTCAGTATTCTTCTTTAATGCAGATGAAACAAGGTATGAGTTAACCTTATTTCTACCTTCCATTAATCCATAACCTAAATGAGAGAATTGATATAAGGTAAAGTCTCTGCCACCAAAGGAAATTTCAAACTTATGTTCACCTTCGGCCATTTTTTCATTATTACCAAATTCTGGTTCAAATACAATTTGAGTAGAACCACCACCTAAATCGAATACAGCAGCAGTTGGAGTCTTTTCAGAGCTTCCAATGTTACCCAACAAATAATTGGTAGTAATCCAAGCATAAACACCTTCATTCAGACCTTCCATGATGGAAATACCATCACCTGGAACAACTGCAAATGGATAATCGTTTTCTAAATGGTTTCTAACTTCATCCAAGATTAATTTAGATTTTTCTACACCAAGTTTTCTTAAACCAGCAGTGGCCTTAACTGCAATTGGAGTACAACCTTGCTTATCCTTTGGAACAGATTCCACGGCAACCTTCAATAATGGATCTAAAGAGCTGGCGGCACCCTTGGTATCGGTGTCAAATGAAGATAATCCAGGCTTTAACATTTCAAACTTTTCACTGATCAAAACTGGTGGAGAGTGACAAACATCAAATTTGTATACATGAACACGAGAACCAGAAGAACCGGCATCGATCATAACAACGTATTCCTCCTTGTTACAAGGAGTGTTGTCGGTCTTATCTTCAATGGAAATATCTGGTTTGTTAACCTTTTTAGATTCCCCTTCATTTGAAGACTTATCAGCAACAAATTTAGGCTTTGAATCAGAGAAAGGGGCCTTTGCAGCTCCAGCTGCAGGGGCAGCGGCGGCATCACCAGCTGGCTTGTTTCCTTCTTGGGAGTAAGGTGGGTTAGGAGAGTTGTTAGGAGTACCCTTGAGAGTGTTGGCTACTTCATCATCATGTTCACCTGAGAAAGGGATAGAATCACCAGAAACGGCTGGCTTTAACTTTTGAATGGATGGAGAAAGAGAGTTACGAGAAGTGGCAAAAAATGCAATGATCGAGAAGACCACAAGCACAGAGACCACGACTCTGAAGTTTCTATTGTTGAGCATGATCCAATATAAACTAGATTATAAAGTCTCTACTGATAGTAATTAAAATAAAAAAAGAAATTTGTACACTCTGATAGATGTGATACACGCGAAATTCAGAAAAAATCAAGAAAAAGAAAATATTTCGACAATAGACAAGAATCGCGTTTTTGTGCAGGGTAGGGGATCACCAATTGTATAGAATTGTACTATTAGAGTGATTTGAATAGATAAAAGTATTGATGAAAAGGATTTATAAAAAGAATTGATAAAAAGAATTGATAAAAAGAATTGATAAAAAGGATTGATAAAAAGGATCTCACGTCTTTTTTATTACTACTGAATTGTTTATCACACTATGACTTCATTTAATTATGTAATTATTTGATTTCTAATAATTTTTAATTTCGATCTATTTTATACATATACATGATCTTACATACAATTGTTCATAACTTGTAATACTTACCTCCTATACTTTTAGTTCTATAAATATAATACATTTATTTTTTAAAGTATTATGACTTCATTTTGCTATTTTTCCTGTATGCACCGAGAACGAGGGGAGGATGCGGGATTCTTACTGATTCGGTCACGTGAACCGCCCCATACTTAATCAGGGAACCACCGGATTGAATTCCGACCATTGCTGTTAATTTAAACGCAATGATTGCTATAAACTACTACTATAAAAGGATCCAAACCCGATCTGAATTTTAATTTAATCTTATAATTAATACAAATATTAATAATAAAATTAATAAATTCCAAAATGTTCCGTCAATTAGCCTTACGTCAATCAAATATCGCCACCAGAGCAATTGCTGCAAGAAATGTTCAAATTTCAAGAATTCAACAATATTCTGTTGTTGGTAGTGCAAAGGCAGTTTTAGAAAAGGTGAATAAGAAGACAGGTGAAGTTCTTGCAGATGGTATGGATAAGGCTGAAAAGGCTGTTCCAGATGTTACCGTTGGTGAAGCCATTTCCAAGGCCAACAAGAAGGCTGGTGAGGTATTGGCCGATGGTATGGAAACTGTTGAACAAGCAGTTCCAAACACCAAGGCTGAAGCTAAAGCACAAGCTAACGACGTTGCTGATACCGCATCCACGAAGGCTCAAAAGGCTGGTTCTAAGGTTAAGGGTGCTGCTGAATCTGCCGCTGATGATGCCGCTGAAGTTGCCGGAACTGCCAAGCAAGAAGCTAATAAATTCGTAGCTAAGGGTAAGGAAACTGGTCATAAGGTTAAGGAGCAAGCCAAGCAAGTTGCCGATGATGCAGCTCAAACCAAAAATGAAAAGGAAATTAAGGAAGATATCCTTAGAAAGTAAAGATAATCAATTGGCATCTTTTTGCAGGTCAAAAATTAAAAGAAAGTATCAAGTTTAAATCTTTATATGTAACTTGTATAAGGAAAGAAAAATAAAACCAACTAAAAAATAAATCATTGTATTAAGTTTATAGTAAAAAGAATCATACATATGTTAAATGTTTTATTTGAATATATATAGATATAAAGACCCAATAGCCTGACCGAAGAATTGAATATGCTGATGTTTGTAGTAAATTAATTAGTTAATTTTGAAATTTTTGAAATTCATTGACTGAAAATCCTTGACCTTGCTTTTCATTAGTCCCTGGAACATTGGTTGGGGTTATTGGTGCTGCTGGAGCCTCCACGGCCTTTGGTGGAGTTCTACGTTCAACTACACTAAGGTAGTTCAGAGGTACGTATCCCATCTTACCCAGTCTTGATCTAACTTTCCACCATTTACTCTCATTTCCCATTGGGTCCAATTTAGATAAAATTGCAACCAATTCATTTGGTTTAAGTTCAATTTCAATGCTAGGGTTTTCAGGATTGAATTCATATAATGCCTTGGCAAATTGTAAATTTGCTGGATCCAATGGATTAACACCATTCATTATATTTTGTCCTGTTAGTAATTCTTGCTTTTTCCGTTGTTGTTCAGCAATTTTTTGAATAGCTTTACTAAGTAAATATGGGAATCCAATAGCTGCAGCTAAAAATAATAATAATGGCTTGAATGAAATTCTCTTTGGTTTACCACTTTGTTGCTTTCTGATATTTTCTTCTAATTTCTTTTGAGCTTTTTCAAATTTAGCAAATTCTCCAGCATTAATTCCATAATTATAAGTTTTTCCAGTAATCTTATAAAAGATTTTCTTAACGAATTTGATAAGAGCATAGATTCCAAGAAGAGATCCTAATGCATTTTTCAAATTACCAAATTGTTCAGCTAATGAAACCATGGTAAAGAAAGATGAATGAGTGGCCATATATGTTGCTTCCAACATTTGTGCAAAGCCTCCTACGGCCCCGATGATAGATTCGATAAGTTGGAAAGTAGCTTGAGTTCCTTCAGCAAGTCCACCTTGACCTGGACCCATCCCCATACCATTTTGACCATACATGCCACCAGCACCACCATAACCTCCCATACCGTACATAGAAGAGCCATACCCTCCACCATACATAGATGATCCATATCCACCTCCATACATCGAAGACCCGTATCCACCGGCTCCATACATCGATGAACCATAGCCACCGGCTCCATATCCCCCACTACCATACATAGATGAGCCATATCCAGTGGAACCATATCTAGATCCATATCCACCAGATCCATATCCTCCACCCATACTAGAAGTTCCATATGGGGATGTGTTGGACATAGAAGAAAGGTCGGTCACTCCACCGGATACACCACCTAATCCTGCTGGTCTATCTGGAAGGGTGGTATCTGACGTTCCACCACTTAATGAGGGGATAGCATGTGCAGTGGTTGAAGTTGTAGATCCACTAGCATTTCCACCGACTGTTGAAGCAGCTGACGTTCCTGATGCTACTTCCCAAGGTTTTGTTCTAGGTACTGACATTAATAGATCTTATAATACTCGTTGAATGAAATGTACTATTATAGTAGAATAAAAAGAAGTTGTTATATTTTATAAGACTCAAGCTTGAAACTGCTGCGAGACTTGTGTAGAATTTTAATCGTCATTTTTGTGTCGAATTTGATAAACTTTGACAAAAAAAAAAGGAAAGAGTGGGGGGCGCGGAGATAGTGGAGAAGGGGTCACGTGCGTTTACAACCGAGGATAATAAAATTCGGACCATTGAGCATGACGATAATAAACTTCAAACTAATAGATATATAAAAAAGAGATGAAGTTATTCATATATATTCATGGATTGTGAAGTTCTCTATACACAAGTAGTTGTGATCCTTATTATATATATAAAAAATATTATAAATAGTTTATTAATTTCCATTCTGAGTATTCCTTTGAGAATTGTGTTCCACCTTATTTCCTAGCTACTCTTTCATTTACCTTGAGAAGTAAACCTTCTTTTAATTAGATCATCCTCCTTTAGAATGGTGATCTCAACACTTGAAATGCTTGATGGTTGTCACCTAATTTAATAATATTTGAACCCCCTCTAATGTTTTTTATTCCTGTCTTAATTAAATATAATTAAATTAAATTTTTGCAACCAACAATAAAAATCATAATACTCGCTGATAATATATCGTACATCTCAACTACACTTACTTACTAAAATTTAATCATAATTTCTTTAAACGTAACTTTTTCCGTTATATATCTTATATACATCATGGTAATGGTTCAGACGAACTACTAAGCCTATTCAAATGAAGATAAACATCTGTACCATAACCTTCCATAGAAATTAATTTAAGATCACCTCCGAAATATTGTGCGTATAGCCTTGAAATGGGTAACCCGTAACCAAATCCTGCCATTGGTGCCTTAAATGAAGTTTGACTATATTCCGGTTCTAAAACTGGAGTTTCACTAACAGTCGTATATAAATATGTCCAAATCAATGGGACTTCACTTCTTGCAATTCCACCCCCTTCATCACTGATTTTAATGGCTATATCTTCAGATCCTTCAGAGATAATAACCTTAATAGGAGGGAAAGTTAAATCATTGATATCGATATCTTCAAATTTTAAATCTGGATCTTGTGCACACATTTCTGCCTTTAATTTTGGCATATGGAATTCAATTGTTGCTCTTAATGAATTTTTCAAAGTTTCAAAAAGCATATGAATTAAATGACCTGGAACGTACATAAAATTGATATCATTTCCAGGGGCAATGAGTTGGATTTCTGGAGCATCAAATAAACCATAATATTCCTCACAAATATATTTTGCTGTTTCAATTGCATCTTCTGCAATCTCTCCAACATTACAATCAGTACAAATGACACCAACATAATTTGTTCTTTTACCTCCAGCCTTACTATTATTCCCATTCAAAAATGATGTTAATTTAGTCTTAGCTTGTGATGCTTGTGACATATTTAATGCAATATGTTGTCCAATAAGCATTCTTATACCAATTCTAGACATATAAAATCTATCCAAAAATGTTTGAATCAGTGAATTTACATGAATTGTTTCATTATCTTGTTTCCATTCTTGAACACCTTGTGCCATGGTAGCTACAGTGGCATCATGTCTCTTTTTAATCTTGGATAATGCATCGAATACTTGCTTATTATAATCATAAACTTCCTTTGGCCAAACAATATTTACAGGACATGAAGTAAAATATGTCTTACCAAATGTTGGAGATTCACTTCTTAATTTCGAACTCACCCCCATACTTGGTACTTGATTAGATGAATGTGTAAATGTGTTTGTTGATGGACGGACAACTATTCCATCATCACTAAATACATTATTAATCGCAGGATTATCTTGTTCAGAATTAGCAGGATTTGTTGTTTCTTCAACTATAGTATTATCATCTTGTATGAACTTTGTTGTACTTGAATCACTTAATTGATATTGTTTATGTAAATTCCCATTAGAATTAAGTAATTCTAAGAGTTGCTCTGATATAATTGGTTTTGGTAAATCAGTTAATTCTTCAAATGATTGAGCATACCAATTTTTCACCTTTATAGTAGATGGCATTTTACTTAATCCCAAGGGAGCATTCTCCAAATCTTTTACTTTCAATGCTAATCGAATTGGAAGTTCTTCTACAATAAATTGTGAAGCTAAAAATATTGAACCTGGTGAAGGGTTTGGTCCAAATTGAACCATTTGTCGCAATGATACAGATGTTTGTGGATACAGAGCATATTTGTAAATCTTTTCTCTTAATACCTTGGTTAATTCCCAAGCTGTCCCCATCTTTTTATTTTCAAATAAATGCAATTAATGTAAAAAGTATTATTATATATAAGAAAATGGAAAATGGTAACAATTTTTGCTTGGGGTAAATTCGGTAATGCGGGATAAAATAATGATACTAGAAGTACGAAGAAAACAAATATGATTTAGAATGTGAATACTATTTCAAATTCCCCCACAATTCAGTTGTTTTCGTTAAAATTCAAAATTATCTTGTAAAAATTTAACCTCACACCCGAATGATAATAGTGTTTTTAATTATCTAAGAATATAGGTCGATAAATCTTCCGTTTCCCCAGATTCATATTCCCCGGGTAATCGGGGTATCGAAACATTTTTTTACACGCCCTTTTGGGCCATACACACAGAAACCTATACAGGAACAGCAAACTTCCTTGTATCCTAAGTTACACAAAATTCAATGTAGAGTTTAGGGGACTGTCGTCATATCGACAGAGACGGTTAATTCCTTTATTAAGGAATACTACAAGTTTCAATTTATGGGGAGATAATTCGGTACCAAGGAAGATGAAATATTCTACTTGCCCGACATCTACATGAATGTTCTAATTTTGTAAAAATTTTCAATTCAGAATTCTAGATCGTAACCACGTGTGGGAAATTGTTCCTCGGCCCGTTTGACCGACTATGACTACAGTGTGAGCAATATTAAAAATAAATACACAAACATACTCTTTGAGGCTTTGTAGGAGTCATACGTTAGCATAAAGCTTAATTTTTTTTTTTTACAATGCTTTTTCGGACCTCGGATTACGTGACACACGACCAATTTTCGCATCTCCGGAGATTTTACTGACGTATATGACTAGTGAGTCAACTGACGGATCTGCGGATCCTGGGGTAATATAAGAACGGCAGAATTTCTCTTATTTTTTTCGATTCAACTTCTTTCTTTATTATACCAATACAGTTTTGCAAAACTATCTTGTACAACACTTTTACACAACTTACAACCTATTACAATGACTCGTCAAATCTTTAACATTGCTTCCTTCAAGACTGCTTCTAGATGTTGGTTACCAGCCAATGTCAAGCCACACACTCTTCGTCATTTTTCATCTAGACAAAGATGTGTGAACTTTAACAACTTGAACGAAAGTAGAGTTGTTGCAAACGATAACATATTAACTCATCAACAAGAAGAGAGTTCTTCTGCTGATTTCGAAACATTTGAACCTACTGTATTTTCTTCTGAGGAAATCCACACAGCAGGTCCTGTCAACAAGGCTTAAAAACTATATATATAGAGGTCTGGTACCTATTTATTGCATGAATATATGATTTAACGATTAAAATTATAATAAGTAGATTTTAAAAATTGTATACTATTGAGTGACGTAATTTTATTCTCATTTTCCAAGAAATTTGCAATCTTAGAAAGTTGCCCGAAAAAAGGAGTGGAATTTGGTGTGTGTGCGAACGGGTAAAGGGAACAAGAAAGAATTACGTTTCACAAAATAATCATTCTTGATTTTGTGTAATAAACGTATGAGATAAGATATGAAACGAAATTGAAATAAAAAAGTGTGGTGGTGTTTTCAATCACGTGACTTATCTCTATCCTCACTATCATATTGATTGGTAATCATTTGAATACGAAAGATACACACAAGTTTCATTTATTTTCATAACCATATATATATTTTCTTATTAAATATATACTTATGTCAGGTATAACTTCTAAAAGTCTTAGAGTTGCTTGTGGACAACTTTGTTCTTCATCTAATCTTACCAATAATGCAAGAATTATTAAGAAATTAATCCATAAGGCAATTGCACAAGATGTTGAAGTACTTTTTTTACCAGAAGCTTCTGATTATATATCAAGGGATGCGAAACATTCAATGAGTCTTGCAAATTCAGTTCATAATGAATTTGTTTCAATTATACAAAATGAATTAAAAGCATTACATAGTAGTGATAAAAAAGGTATATATGTTTCAATTGGGATCCATGAACCTTCTAATTCCAAATCAAATACATCTACTGATTTAAAAAAAGTTCAAAATAATCAAATTTGGATTGATAATAAGGGAGAAATTCTTCATAGATATCAAAAATTACATTTATTTGATATTAATATCACCAATGGACCTATTTTAAAAGAATCTAATTCTGTTGAACCCGGTAATAAAATCCTTGATCCATTTGTAGTTGATGATTCTAAAAATAAAGATTTTAAAGTTGGGTATGCTATATGTTATGATATTAGATTTCCAGAATTATGTTTAAGACTTCGTAAACTTGGTGCTAACATTATAACATATCCATCAGCCTTTACCACCAAAACAGGAGAAGTTCATTGGCAAACATTGGGTAAAGCAAGAGCAATTGATTCCCAATGTTTTGTAGTTATGGCAGCTCAATGTGGTGAACATGATGTTTACGCAGATTTAACTGAGGAGCAGAAATCAAAAGAAAATGAATTAAACAATGGTAAAAAGAGAATTAGTTATGGAAATTCTGTTATTTTTGATCCTTGGGGGAAATTATTAGCTGAATGTAAAACATATAGTGATGATTTATCCGAAGATTTAGATTCTGAAGGTGATTATTATGAACTATGTGTAGCAGATTTGGATTTAGATACTGTTAACAAAGTACGTACTGATATGCCTCTTTTAGAACATAGAAGACCAGATGTTTTTGGTTATGAAATTTAATATACATTTTGAAGTTTAGAAAATATTGTAGGTTAAAGTTGCAAAATAATATCTACAATATAAATTAAGAAATTATAGATAAGTAAAAACTACAGAGTGACAGTTTTTGGAAATTGTACACAAAGGAGTGTAATAATTCCCAAAATGAGTTTCAGTGCGAAGCATGTGTGCACTACGCATAAAAAGTACCTTGCAGGTGTCAACATTTATAATATTCCGAAACATCACAAACATATATCACCTGTAGGATGAGATAAATTAAAATTAATAAATACCATCGTGGGTAAGTGGTACAAATACTTACTCTATTTGAAACACCCAATTCTTACATCATTTCGTAACATAGCCTTGATATGTATGCTAATTCCTTCTTTGGATAAAGAATAATAAATTGCAATCATTCTCATATTAAGGGTGTTGAAACGTAAATATTATTATTAAACAAATTAAGTTGTAGCCAACAAGATATATCCTGAACCCTGACTCATATTGCGCCCTAAGTTCAAAGGGTCTGGAATCTCCAAAATAAACATTAGTGTAACGGAAAATCCCCGCCCGATGGCATACAATATTGGTAGAAGCAAATTAATCCCCTCCTTACCCCTCCTATTATATACACACTCACCAACATATTGTGGTTCAAATTTTTTTTGGTTGCACTGCCACAAAAATAGTTTCAGAAAAAAAAATATGCGTAGAATGAGTAATTTGCAGAGAGATAACGAATTTTCCGTATGGAGGAGGCAACCAAAATGTCACAGATAACCTATGTTAGTGAAAAATTTCTTTTAGTATCGGGTATCCAAATCCTAGATTGCGTACCCATAATGTGTAAACCAACAAAATGGGCGCTCTAGATTCCACCAACTGTCCCATAGATGTTGGCATAGACCCCTCACCTCGTACAAAGTTAAGTGAGGGGGAGGCCAAACATACTTTGAATGTGGATTTCGTTTAGTTTCTCTATACGCCTCTCTCGCTTTCTTCCCCCCCTTTTGCGATTTTCCAAACGGTGCTGTATTTACTTTTCTTTTTTTTTGGTCGTATAGATGAGGAGATTTTTTGACAAGGAGGGGGGGGGTAATTTTATTCTGTGCAAAGTGTGCGCGCGCTCATCCAACGCCACCCCCCACTCTGATAAAATGTTGGTCCGGATTATCCTACTGCAGAATATATTATTTAATATATATATGTCTAGCCCGATCTTATAAAATTCCTTTATTCTTTTCTTTATTCAACCAGTTCCTTTCAATTTATATCTTCCACTAAAATTTCATTCAACTGAATTTTTTTACAACCAAACTTCAATCTAACCACGTTTCTCAGCCCGAATTTTTTTCTTATCAGTTCGGACTTTTTGTTCCATTTGTGAAATTAATTCCACATACATACCAAGAAATTTAAATTGCGATTGTTGCAAAAACCATTTAACAAATTTACACCATGATTAATATCTTCCGCACATTTAAGTCTACACCACTTTCCAAAGTTACTATCTTCCACAACCCAAGTTCTGCAACTTCCAACCATCTCTTGTCCAAACTTAACAAGTTTTCCCAGTTGCCATGTACAAGTAACAGATATCTTGGACCAACTGCTCGGGCAACCACTAGAGAATTGGGTAAGTTTTCTGTTGATCTTCATGAAGATAAAATGCCAACTTATGAAGAATATCTTGAGATTCATGATTTACTTTCAGTTCACCCTGATAATGCTATTGCCTTTGAAAAGATTTTCCCACTGATGTATGATCATCAATCTTCAACAATTTGTAAAAAATCTGCCTTTACTACAAAGAAAAAGCAAAAATATTTGGGTGATTTACAAGTTTTCAATCAACAAGATTATAAAACTGTGGAAGCAGCATTTGCAGCAGAAAAACTGGATTTAATGTTTAATGCTCCATTGATTATTGATTGGGAAAATTCCTTATTGGCAGTTGATGATGCTGGCTTAGATCGGATTATGGCTAACTATTTATCTTGTGGAACACAAGATTCTCACAAGAGCAACTTGGATAATTATCGTCCCATAACCAAATCGTACAAACAAGAACAAGTGCATCCTCATGTTGCTGAATTTGCTGACTTGTTCTAGGGGATCTATATAGAACTAGATGTTCAAGGGTGACATCTATAAAATAATAATAATAATAATAAATAATATAATTTTAACTGTTTGTAAAATTCTTCTACATATATCTAAATAATCAAATCAAATCAAATCATTATTTACCTTTAATAACCCATTCTCTTTACAACATATTCTTGTGCCAAAACACCAAAACTTAATGCTAAACCATCCTTAATCCAATCCTTAACCCATTCACTTGGATTGATGTTTTCATCAGTACTAGATTCGCCATTGAGCCATTGTGCCCATATTAATGAAAATGGTTGAGTTTTGGTAATAATGGTGATATTATTGGTAATATCCTTCAAAATAAGAGTAAATGCAAAACTATCCTTATTATTGGATTCAATTAAAATTGGGGAGTTTTCATCCTTTGGTTCTGTTTCTTCATTACTAGTACGACTAGTAATTGGTTGAATTGAGATGAATATATTTGATTTATTAATGGTTTGACTAGTATCCTTTGTTTGATCAATTCCTTCCTCTTTCTTTGCATTTTCATCTGCTAATGTATAACTTGAATAATCTTTAATAGATGATTCTAAATTGGCAAAGCAAAGCTTTTCACCATCAATAATTTTCCCATGAAATAAATTTAAATTAACTTTATCATTCTCTTGTTCCTTATGATTAAAATTATTTACAGTCACTCTAATCCCACCTTCAACTTGATCCATAACTTTATTAAACTTGAGGGCACATTCTTTATCCAAATAGTTGACATTATACAAGTCATGAACTAATAAGATATTCAAGAGTTCATCATCTGGACCAATTAATCCTTGAGTAATTTGTTGAGACATATTGGTAAAGACAGAATTTAATCTTTCCCCCAAAGAATCTAATTGTGTGATTTGATCAGCATTAAAATTATGTTCAGATAAAAGTTTTTGACGTTGTTGAGAGATTTGATTTGTGGTAGTTGAAGCAATTTGATAAGTAGTATCAGTGATTTGTTGAGCATTAGAAGCAATTGAACCCCAAAGAGATGAAACTTTATTAGAACCTTCCTTATTCCACCAGGTAGAAATACTTCCAATTGGATCAATTTCTGGTTCTGGAGTACTTACATCTTGACCACCATCTGAAGATTCAACTATTGGGGTTTTAATTTCCACTTCATTTTTGGATTCCTTTGGTTGCTTTGATTCCTTTGATTCCTTTGGTTCCTTGGATGTGGATGGTTTTAATACAGAATTGACTACTGGCAGACCTGTAGATGGTTTACTTTTATCATGGGCTGCTAATTCATCTAAAAATTCCAAGAAATCTTCACTATTATCCTTATTACCATCATCAGTTGGCTTTGGAGTTCCAGATTTTGAGTCTGGTAATGAATTAATAAAGTCTAAAACATCATCTGCATCATTTGATTTCGGTGGCATCTTTTAAATTTAAATGGAAATATTGAATTATAATTGTTTAATATCAATATATATGTAATTAATAAACCCTTTTGTATAGATTTGATCACACGTAAACGAAAATAGAATAAGTAGTGCATATGAGAGAGTCACCACCAAAAGCAAAAAAAAAAAATGTAAAATCACGATATAAAATTGAGAAGAATTACATAAAAAAAACCCAAATAAAAAATTGAATTCAATACAATAGAGTGTACGAACTTTGGGTAAAAAATGCATCCACAATTAGATAAACGTAGATTCGAAACATGCGAGAAGTTGATGGATGCTCTTGAAGAGTGTCATCGTATAGAATTTGTAAGGAAACTTATGGGGATGTGTAATTTTGAAAAAGATGAAGTTGCAAAGTGTTTACAATATGTTAGATATCAAGAAGCCAGAGAGAGAGTCATAGCATCTAGAGCTAAAGCTAAGGTTACGGATCAAAAGAGAAAGGAAAACCAGGATGATTTATACGGTAAAAATGGTTATTTGAAGAAAATGATTGAAAAAGAAGCTGAAAAGAAGTTAAACGGTGGTAAATAATTTATTGATACAACAAACAGACATGTAAATAGTTAAAAGAACAAACAATATGATTTAATGAATATCACTAATGTAGATAGATAAAGGAAGAAAAAAACAAACAGAATAATGACCTACATTCAAGGTAAATTGTTGGTATTTGTAATCTACATTTTTATTACTAATAGTTAAATTTTCGTATTCGTTTATATCTCTAATCTTGACGTGTTCTCAAAACCCTCTTAACCACCTTATCCTTGGTAACAACATAGACAACTGCACCCCAACCAGATAATGCATCTCTATCAACCGCATTTAAAAGGGCTTGACTTATAGTTTCAAATAAATCTTCTGGTTCCAAGTTTGGTTCATATAATGATTCACACATACCATATAATTGATCGGTAGCAGTACCACTAACTATAAAGTCCTTAGCAAAATCAATACAACCAATCAAATCAAATCCACAAATAAATGGCTTGTTTGTCTTTGAATCTAACCCCGCAACAATAGGACCAATGAAATATGGACCAAATCTCTTTTCATACAATGTGGAACTGACCAAATTAGCCAATGTTTGTGGTTCTATTTCTCTTTCTTCACGAAGTTTATATAAATTATTTTTAAATCTGAAAACTTCCAGTAAGGTTAGAACATCTGATGCTAAACCAGTCAATCCCATGAATGTTTTATCACCATATTGAAAGATTTTTTCAAAGTTGTTAGATAAACCTAATGATTGGTTTCCTAACCGCAAATCACATGCAATAGCTATACAATCTTTTCCTACCATGGCAACGGCAGTACCACCTATTTTATAATGTTAGTAAATATTCAACATGAATATCAAGAGGCGAAAAAAAAACAGTGTGTCACATACCATTAATAGAACTTGGGTCAGACATTGTGTATGTTTATAAGGTTATGATAACTGGAACAATTGATGGTAAAATAATATGATTAGTTTTCTCTTAAACTTTTAAATGGTTATTCCTTCTTTGTAATTATTAACAAAAGTCAACTTTCTGAGTTTTTAATATTTGCCTCCAAAAATTGATCGTGGTCAGAATTATGTGCAGGAAAACAAGGATTCCATATATTTAAAAAAAAGACGAGAAGATATTTAAAGTGAAGTAGAAGCGAATTAACAGTACATATGAATTGATAAATAAATTTATGGTACTCTTATCCATCAATTTAGTAGAATATACAAGAATTACAATATGATTATTTTTCCTTTTTTTTTAGGTATCTTTTTATTTTCTTTCTCTTAAACAATTATTAAAAATTAGTAGTACGAATTGAAACTATACTATTTACTTTAGGTAACCTTGACTATATGAGCTTTAGCAACGTTTAAAGTAGTAGGGTTAACGGATTTAATTGACCCAGTTAACGAAATTGCCGAAAGAGAGGCATCTGGTATTTCACCAATTCCAGAATCAGAATCCGGTTCTTCTTCTTCTCTGATGGTATTGGTACTATGGCTGTGAACAACTTCCTTTTCGGCTGCTTCAGCTTGATTACTACTCTGAATCAATTGAGTTATTGGACTTTCATCATCCTTATAATTGGATAATGTAAATGTCTTTGGAGATTTAACCAATGGAAATTGAGAGTTTGGATCTTCAGCATTGCCCCTTCTAATTTCACTTAAATTATTCAATGAACGACTTGATTGAAATGTTGGAATAATTTTACCAATATCTTTCATATTAATAAATAATTTGCCAATTTCAGATTTAACAAGTAAAGATAAGTCAGATTCCTTTGGCAGTTCATTTACTTTATTACCTTCAGAATCCTCTCCATCTCCACTAAGATTGGTCTCCTTATCTTGTTCTTCCATATCAAATCTTAGTTGTAATCCAAATCCCAATACAATTAAATAATTCTTGTACTTATTTAATTCAAACTTGTAATGTTCATTCTTAATATCATAATTACCCAATACTCTATGGTAATTTGAAGAATTTGCAATTCCCTTAACATTAAAATTTTTGGTAAATTCATTTCTTAAAATATTAAAATCTTTGTATGTCTTCTTTAAATTATTATAATAATTTAAAGTACGAACAAATTGTTTCATCATTCCTAAATGATTATCTTGAGAACTATTCATTTCATTGTTCACAACCATGTAATTACTTAAAAATGTTCCTTGAGGTAATTGTTCCCATTTTTGAATATTTTTCATCTTTTTGAAATTATCTTTATGATTAATTAATTCATCTAAATTATTCCAACCATATTCAATGGATGAAACACTTTCTTCCATAGTTGGAATAGCAGTAATTTTAGATGCCCAGAAATTACATGTATTAATAAATTCCAATGCAATTTCTGTAGTACCTGCTTCAAAAATAAATTTCTTTGGTAATTTTTTAGAAATTTTTGGAAATGTTAATGACCATAATACTTTCTTTGCAGTTGAAGAATTTTGCTTTTCTAATTGAGCAAATGTTGAACAAAGATTATAATTACCAATATTTGCAGCATTTTTCAACCAATTACCATCTCCAATATTGTCATCATCATCTTCTTCAATTTCTTGATGCATCTTTTTCAACTTGTGTTGATGTTTCTTAATCACTTTTGGATCAAATGAATACAACAGCATTTCACCCTTGGAAACAACAACAAAATTTTCAACAAATCTACTAGTAACATGAGAATTTGATGTACCAGCTGTAGTTGAACCAGCTGAAGTGGATTCTTTTGATGTATTATGAGATTTAGAAAAGAATGAAAAAAATCTACCAGTGGCAGTTTGATGTTCAGGAACATTGGGTTGACTAATTTCGGTGGAATTAGTAGTTGAATTATCAAGTTGATCATTATGTAAAATCTTCAATCTTAATAAACCTTCTTTCAAATATGGTGAACCTTGTAATTCCAAAGTTAAATCATATTGATCTTGATAATCATCAACATTAAAATCATCTAAGTGTTGACGATGATGATCTTCATCAAAATCCATATCATGAATTTTAAATGTATCCAAGGATAATACAGAAAGAGTATCATCACCATTCAATGAAGTACCAGATTCTTTGGATATTATAGAAGCTCTTGAACTTCTCTTATTAAGGGTATTTGAAACTGGTTGTTGAGGTGCACCTCTCAATTGATTTAATGAATTACGATTTCTAACGGTATAAGGAATGTTACCTAATCTTGCATCTGCATTTTGATAATATTTCTGATTATTTTGATCAGAAAGTAAAGCTCTTGTAAATCCAACTCTAGCAGTTCTGGTTGACCCAAGAGTAGATGAACTAGTATTAGCAGCAGTGTACAGAGAAACTGCAGAGGAGGTGGTTGACATTCTTTTCATCAGTAATGATTGTCTACGATTGCCGTTAGTATCGGTCGACCAAATAGAGGATCCAGATATTTGTCTTGATAAGGTCGGAAATTCATTGGTATGATCATGAGGTAATGGGGGTAATGGATGGGATGCAGATGCACTGGTGGCACCATTGCCATTGTTATTGCTAACACCACTGGTTGAAGTTGAATTAGAAGCAGAACGGTGCGAATGATTGTGATGATTAGAGGCATGCGTATTGCTAGTATTAGTGGTGGAAGCTGTAGCAGAAGATGAATTTTGATGGTTAGATGTAACAAATGAACTAACTGATTCAACAATAGAAACACGATTCTTACGTTTTTCCTTTTGTTTAGGCAGATGAAGGTGGTCAGTAGTTGTAGGTTCATCGGATTGTTTCAAATGTAATTCATTCTTGGACAAATCTTCATAATAAGTACTTAAAACTCTTTCAATGGTAATTCTTTGCTTAATTGTAAGTTTCTTCAGACTTTTTGGATTTTGTTGAATAAAAGTATTAAAGGTATTTTTAATATAATCTGCTTGAGAAATCTTTGATTTCTTATTCAATTCAGAATTATGTAAAGCTGTATTCAACAAAATTAAACTGTACAACACAATATAAATCTTTTCAAAATTCCTTGTACAAAAGACGTTTGTTGGATGTTGCTTGATATAAGATTTTGTAAACGATGAGAGAATACGATCTATTTCTTGAGACTCACCTTTGAGATATAATTTAGAACAAAGCATTCTAGTAGATTTAAGAAGATTAGCATTCCAATCAAATAAATCCATATAATATTCTCTAATACTAGTTGATTCAGCATCATTTGCTGCCAAAAATTGGGTATATTCTTCAGGTTGAATTGAAACAAATTCTTCTTTAAACAATTTAGATGCGATTTCACGATGTTCAGCTTCCGCAGCAGTGGAATTATTAGTAGAATCTTCTGTTTCATTAGTGGCAGTAGTTGTTAAGTCAACTTTTGGAGTATCATTGCTATGAAGATCTTCTTCATTTGTGGATGATTTTGTTGGAGTTTGAAACTTCTCAGTAGAGCGAGAAGGTGAAGGAGGAGTTGTTGGAGGGGTATAATCTTGTCTTGAAGTTGTCAGAACAAATGTGTTTGAAGATGTTTGATCTGTTACTGGCGTCATTATAGCAAGAAAGACAAAGGATTCAATTTGGACGCGTAAAAAAAATAATAATGGGATATAACAATAATTATGGTAATAAAAATGAATACAATTGATGTAACCACAAAGTAATGGTTTATGTGACTTTCCCCCTTAGTTCAAGACTTTGGTTAGTATTCCAGTAAATTAGAAAAATATAACAAGTAAAGAGAGGAGTAAATGAATGGCAAGCTTTTTAATAAAAAAATTAAAAATATAAAAAAAAAAAAAACTTGACAAGTACGCCTAAACTTTTCGAGAAAAAAAAGCCAAAAAAAAAAAAGATCCCAATATGTGAAGTTGGTGGTGTTTTTTTTTATTTTATTGTGGTGTGGAAATAGTATAAGCCGTTTCCTCCCTGATAAAAGCTTTTTCATCAGGAGTTGAGTTTGCTTTTTATTTTCTATTTTCAATCCCTTGCTCTTTGATATTATTACAACATGTAGTTGCTCGATAATCATATTTCATCAACAGCGAGGTAAACGGATCGTTAGACGACATTCCCAATCACGATATATGATTTAGAATATTAGATTTCAAACATTTGATAATGTGTGGTTTTTTTTTTAATCCCCATTATTTTTATTTCATATCGTCGTCTTGGGAACTCGTCTAATAATTTTCATGGTGTTCTTTCGCGTCAACATAAAAAAATGGCAAAGCTAAAAAAAAACCCCGTATAAATAAAATATTGCACCATAGTAAATCGTAAATTTGAAGAGGATGATATTTAGCCGATACTTACGATTGAAAAGTTCAAAACTTATTTGACAAGATAAAGTAAAAGCGTAGACAATAATGGAGTGAAATACATACATATATATATATATATATATAGACAAAGGGATTTTTATTTAGACGCATTCATCATTGACGTACTCCACGTTAAAGGAAAGAATGGATATTTTACAATGTTTTCAAAATACAATACTGAGAGTTCCACCCAATTGTGAGGATGTATGACTGCCTACTTGAGATATTTGCCGAACGCGTAATCAGGGTTGAGGCGATAAACTACTTTTTAAGGTGCATTCATGCAGGTACATTGTGCAGGCACTATGAAAAGAACCATTTTTACATGTGACTACACAATGGCTCATATTAAAGTGGTTCTGAAGTGGGAAGTGTAGTTTTTGCTCATGTGATCTATAGGGTGGAATTAATAATTAATATTCACCGGTTGCAATTTTGTTTAATTTTCTTGTTTTTCTTTGTAAGATTATTGAATTTTACCATATTTGATCAATTACTGTACTTTACGAAATTAGTTGGAAGTACAGTTTGTTTGTTATGATAAAGTACACTTTATAAGGTATAAGATTTGGTATATGTAGTATGAAATGTACTTAATGTTGAAGGAAAACTGTCTTAATTATTCGGGAGAAATAGCTTCAATCCCAATTTTATGAAGATGTAGAAATTTTAAGAAAGAGAAGAAAGCGGATTGAGTCCGAACACGCAAGACGATAACCCTTATCAGTACATGAAATTGTTAAAGTAGTAAATAGTAAATGTTGTTATGTAGAATTCCGTTTTTTTTTAGGTGCAAATAACATTTAGCTTTTTTTAACATGTCGAAGTAAGGTCTAAAATGGTCAAGACCCGAGCCAAATGAACGTTTCACTGTTGACGAGATGTTATGACGTATATGCAAGGGTTAACGTCCTGAGGCATTGTTACTCTACCATATTCATTACTAAATCTATGTGAAGGATCTATTAAAAGTAACTTCGATGCTTCGGGGTCCTTCGTTTCATATACTCTAGGAATTATAACGTACTGCTTTACCACTAAATCTACAATTCTTATCATTTGTAGTTTTTTTTTCTATGTTTACAACATAATAAGTAATGGAGCTAGAGTCACTTATTTTCGTTATCATCTATGGAAAGTGATTTATCATTATCTTCTCTGGTGTATGGCTCTTCCTATTGTTCATTGACTCGGTATATGTGAAAGATAGTTATTTTATTCATCGGTATATTCACAGTTTCAATTATAACTTATAAGCTTTTGAAGATACTTTCCCTCAACATGTTTAAAAATTGCATAGTCAGAAATAGACCCACATTAGCAGTCCAAATTCCTATAAGGAATTTTTAAGCAACCTCAAACCCCAACTTAACTCTCAATCGTAAGAAAAAGCACAAGTCTAATACCACACACGCCTTTTTATAGTAGATAATCCGTATATTGAATCCCAACTCTGGTTTTTGCAGCCATTTGGTGCGAAAGGTTTATAAAGCATTTTGAATTCTATTACTGATTCAATAAAATGCCACTAATACAAGAAGGATAAGAGGAGGATCTATTGCTAAAATACACATTAGAGGGTGCATAAATCAATATTGTTTAATGTGAACCACTATGAGATTTATTCATTCTCAAAGGAATTGTATAAAAGTACATTTTGTTCAAACAGAACACCTTTAATTAGTGTCGACAAAAGAGCTATGGAACTTTTCTTCTCTTTTCTAAGATATATCAATTAGAAGGGTCCCAAACTACAATAAAATAATTGTATACAATATGATATATCCGTCATTTTTGTAGACTTTAGAACGTCACATGACTCAATAATACCTTGATACTTTTCAACCTTTTGTAATATCATGTATATAAAGTAGTATGTTTGTCTACGTTCTGATGTAATTCCAATACAACGAGAGATGAATATTTCTCTTTCGTATCTTCAGAATTGAGACTCCTATGGTATGAAACTCGCGTTAAAATTAATATTCACTATCCATAGAGAGCCTCCTTTGCTCCTAGACTAAACTTCTATATCTTTATATTCTTTTATGGGACAGATATTTTTGTTATACCTTTGATATGAATTGCCCATGAATCACGTGACAAACATGAATCTCTATGATTACATATTAGATTCAAACATCAGACAATCAGGATTTGTGAATGCAACACTAATTATTTATAGAATAATGAACTTCATCTCTTTTGAACTGTATATCAATGATATAAATAATGTGTCAGTTGATGATACAACAATTTTAGATTATTCAAGATACTTTACCCACAATCCTCAAGAAGTCTTAAACCATAAATCAAACTTTACTAGCTCTATTATCCCATCAATAAATGATATAATCATTAATAATCCTTCATTGGACCCAAACATGTCGTTGTTAGAGCTCTTGAACTCAATTATGGTCATATTGCCATTTGAAGATATACAACTAGTTTATCCAGAATCAATGATATTAGAATCTATTCAATCTTCAAATCCTCAATTAACATCTTTAATTATTCAAATTGTATTAGAAAAATCAAATGAGAGGGATATGATTGAATTCTTGGAAGATTCCGAATTCCTTGTTTATGCTACAAGAACATACTTTACAGAATCTGATGATATTCAAAATTTAAAAGTTTCAAGTACTTATGAGAACCTACTTGCATACATTGCGACAGTTTCACCACATTTAGTCGATAAATTATCAAACCCGGAGCTCGTATCATTGTACAAAAAAATTAGAGATGATCCCGAAGGGAATAGTACTTTATTCTCAAGATTACTTGATTTTATAATTATAATATTCCCGGTGTCTCATGAATGGATCCCTACAAGTTTATACAAGTTTTCAAAAATTGAATTTAGTATTGATGATCCTTTGTTGGTTATCCTTTTAATATCATTCTACAAAAAATTCATTCAGCAGATCAATATAACTCTGGTCATCTTAACTACTATTAAACCTTCGTTATATGATATTATGGAATTGTTTACAAGAAGGCAACAAGATTCATTGATTGAATCCTTTTATGCGGTCGAAATCGTGGTTCTATTATATCATTGGTCTCACTCAGACAATAAACTTTTACTTGGATACTTAGGCGAGTTAACTGATTCATTCAAAATTTTCAAATCATATAATCTTTATTTGGATGAATTAGCTTCTGATATTGAACTTCTTGCATCTTTTAATCCTGATCAAATCAATGATAAATTAGATTTTTTGGAAGATATCATTCAATTACCATTATTACAACAAAGATATTTCCCAATATTTTTGAATATCTTGTCATCAAAGGATTTATTCGGAAAGTTAGTTGAATTGAATAAATTGAATATCAAGTCAATTTCAAAACTATCTTTGGATATGATATTCAAATTATTATTCACAATATCAAATTATAAATATTCCACACATTGGCTACTTTCTGATGCTCCACAATTGATGTCTGACTATGTAATTGCCTCTAGTGCAGCAATTAGTGAATCGGAAATTTGGAGTTTAAAAAAATCAATTCTTGAAAATTTATTGAATAAGAATTCATCCCAAGAATTAGGAGTTTGGAAGGAGACTATAGAGTCCACTTATAGTCTTATGAAGAACGGTAGAAATGTTAAAGATATCATTCCAAGAGTTGAAGTTGCTACTGATACTGGTTAAGTATATCAAAAAAGGAACACTCTAATATGTTACTACTTAAGTATAATAAGCTGTCTATAAATTATTATCTATATTGAAAAGTAAAGATTATATAGGATAACAACAGTTTTCAATAGGAATGCACGATTTTTAAGTACACAGAATACATATACCACCTCATTTAGAGGGCTCTTGTTCAACAAGCACATCATTACTTCTTTCTTCACTTATTCTACTGAATTGATCTCCTAGTTGTTCCTGTTCTTCTTGTTGCTGTTGTAATTGTTCCAATTCTTGCTTTTCCTTTGCCTCCTTTTTCTTTGCCTCTGCCTTTGCTGCGGCATCCTTTTGTCTTTGCAGTTCCCATCTAACATTGAATACCAAACAAATGTTGGAAACAACAATCCATGTTACTAGAATCCCCAAATGTCTACCTAAGTGACCTTTCCAAGTATTGAAAAGTACAACTTTTAATGCTTCAAAAACATTATACATTGGTAAGGCATACCCATACTTGAAAAATCCAGGACATAATTCTAATGCTGAAAAAGTAGGGGCTATATTAATAATAATGAAGAAAACCATCCATGGAGCCAAAAGTGTTTTCATGTCAAATGAAAGTATAATCATAACGATGTTTTCATTAATCCCACCGGCTGCAGATATGAATAGATACATAAACATCCATAGCACGACAAATCCAGAGTCTCCAAATGTTAAGTTCACAGGAACTTTGAACGCAATTGTAACCAACGCATATACTAAGCCTAAAACCAAATAGTTGATTTGGGATGATAATAATCGATATATGATAAAATGTCTGAAAACAAGACGACTTCTAAGGTATTGATGGATTTGCAATGAAAAGTTGAATTGATGGAAACTGAAAATCTGTGCATAAATGAGACCAAGTTGACTTGGTCCGAGCGCTGATGATGAAAGAGTATGTGAAAGATCTATCAAATTAAATGTGGGAGGAGAAGTCAATATTTGAATTGTGGAATCATTCTGAAGTAAAGCCAATTTTTGGTCCAGCGAAAGGTGACCGACTAAAGGATCGAAAACCTTCGAAGAAGTGTAATAACTTAACCAAGTTTCTTCTGCTTGAACCAAATGTTTATTGATGTATTGAGTAAGTGCAGAATAATGTCTACCATCTTCAAATATGACATCGATGAAGTTGGATATTTGTCCATTTTCCACTAATGAAGGGTTGGCATTAACAAGAGAGTCATATAACTTTGCAGTGGAATTGGGTTTAATGTAAATAGCTGCCCAGCATTTTTGATGATGAACAAGCCTTTTGAGTTCTGCTTCAAGAGTAATATTATGAACATTAGCGGCAATCTGAATTTCATTTTCGGTATGGATTTTCCACCCAGCAAGCTTGGAAACAGTTTCATTGTTCTGTACCATATCTATAAAGGTTTCACCAATATATGGTTCTATGGTTGTACCATTGATTTCGGTGCTGGCATCTCCCAGAACAACAATGAAATTTAAGTTCGTATACCTTGAGGGACGATTATACATAGATGCCCAATAAAGAGATAGAACCCCCAAGAAAAGACAAAATACCTTGACATATACCTTAAGAAACATCAATGATAGTTTCAATCGTTCGGCCCAAGTGATTGGAGCATCTTTCTTGGTTTCCTTTCTTTTCTTATCTTCTCCTTCCTTTTCAGTAATCTTCTCTGAAGTAGTTTCGTTAGCAACATGATTATCCTCAGTATTCACTAAATCTTCTGGACTATTCCCACCACTCTGGACAGCAAGGACATTACCCCTTAAGCCATTATCATTTCCTATAATTCTCTCCGTAGGGTTGTAATCGCCAACATTCGGTTGCAATATATCATTGACTTGATCTTCAGTAAACTCTTCGGGATCCAAGGGATCTATTGAGTCTTGCGTCATCGCAACAGGATACTTTCTTTCACACCGTGTTCAATATACTACCTTTAAATTCATATACAATTTCAGTGTTTTGCAACTCGTATGATTGACATGTACTCTTGTGGATGACTCCGCACAAGAACAGGAAAAAAAAATATACATATAAAAAAAAGAATTAAAAAAAAAAAACAAATGATGGCTTAACGGCCCGAGTGGGGCAGACTACTATAGTGGAATTTGACTCGTTAAAAACTGTTTGGTGGACCTCTCTCATTACATCACAGATATATATTTTGCTAGTGCATCACGATAACCTCTAAAGTGAGGCGGGTACTATCAAGGCAAGAGCATAGGGCGGTAAGCTGTACCCCAGATAATAAAAAATAAATTAAAAATAAAATATAGAATGAACAGTAGTGATAACTCGGACATCACGTCACTTGCAAGTGAAGAGTCAAGCTCTGATATTTCGGGCCCAGTGCAATATGATAGCACTTTTGCAAACAAGCCATCTTTTCTCCGAAGAATCTCAACGGGCCTTTCAATCCAATCAGAAAGGCTACGAGATTTCAATGATGTAGAAGATGATCAATACAGAGATTTGTTAGCGTCTCTGAATCCATTAGAAGATGACCAAGGAGATTTCTTTGGAGCGCAAATGTCTCGTAGTATCACTCGGGCGAAATCCAGGTCGGATTTGGAAGATTTCCCCATAGCATATGGTGGAGAAGGTGCAGAAGATGGAGATCGGAAGTTTGTGCCCGCCCCTCCACAACGAAGAAAGAGTACAGTAGTGTCAACCATTCAAGCTATCACGAAAAAGATGGGGTTTTGGGATGATGACTTCCATGCTGATAGGATCAAGATTATTGTTACCTTCTTATCCAACTATTTATATCTCTTGATTGGCTTTGTAATCGCCCTTTGTATATATTGGGGGTCATACTTTGATAGAACAAGTCGGTATAAAGATTTAAAATTTGCAGTCATCATTGGAGATTCTCAAGTCGGAGACCTCCCACCAATTTTGGGAGAAACTGTGGCAGCATTCTTTACAAATGTCACGGCAATCAAGGCATTGGGGAATTACCACATTATAGACTATAAAACAATATCAGAAGCTGCATTGTCTCAAAATAGTACCATTAATGAAGAGGTATATCGTCAGATTCACCATCAAAAGTATTGGGCAGCCTTTTATGTAAAGGAAAACTCTACTCTACAATACTATCAAGCTTTGAAACTGGCATCTTCAAATTTCAATACTGGTGAAACTTTACTTGAATTAGTTTTTGAAACAGGTAGTAATTTCAATGCTGTTAATAACTATATTCAAACCATTGTTGGAACTCTAACAAAAGCATTCTATTCATTTGTCCCACAAACTCCATTCCATGCTACTCTCATGGGCTTACTTAATGACGAAGAGAAGTTGAATGTGATGAATAATAGCCCCCAATTAGTAACATCAATTCCAACATTTAGATGGGTTGATAACATCCCGGTAACAAATCAAATTTTTACCGGTGCCCTTACTATCGGATTAATTTATTTGGTTATATTTTCATTCTTTCAATTTGTATTCCTGATGTCTATTCATGCGTACATTGCCTCCAAAATTACAGGGATTAGATATTTGGTATTCAGAATGCTTGCATCTCAAGTTGCTTATCTTGTGATTTCACTTTCATTTCTTACTTTAAACAGAGTCTTTGGTATTCATTATAACGTAACTTTTGGAAATCTGGGATTTTTCGTTATTTGGGCATTTTCATTCTTAACTATGTCCTCTTTGGGCAGTCTTATTGAAGCTCTTGCGCTTGTTTGTGCAATTTTCAAACCACAATTAATCGGATTTGTCATGTTAATCGTTGCTGTTTTCAATGTTGCTCCAACCGTCTCTCCTATTGTTCTTTGTCCAAAGTTTTACAGATATGGTTACGCCATGCCGGTCTATAATACTTATGAGCTTATGCATGTGGCTTATTTTAATTCTTGGAAGGGTAGAGTTGGGTTGAATATAGGGATTTTATGTGCTTGGATTCTTGGTACTAATATACTTATTCCTTTTGTTATGGTATGGAAGGCAAAGAAACAAGATGCTATGGTAGCCGCAGCCGCCGCAGCAGCAGCAGCTGCTGCTGCTGCTGCTGCATCCTCTGAAAATAATGCCGCTGACGCTTCAAACACTTCTGATTCTGATTCTAATCACCCGGAAGATTCAGAAGAAACAAACCGTGATATAAAAGATGAGAATTGAAAACTTTATTATAACAAACTATAGATAAATAATTACTTCATCTCATTCTTATCTATAAACATTTTAATACATCTAATTACAATTTATCCAAGCACTTCCACAAATACATGTTCTTTGGAATACCATTGTCCAAAGCCCAATTGTTGTAGGGGATGCAAATGCCAATGGATCATTGACATACGATACCGAACGACATCTAGTACATTTTCTAATTTTGGTTTGTACAATTTGTTGTTTCGAATCAGGTAAAACATTAGAATCAAAATTTGGCCCACCTTCAAGTACAACCTTTCGTAAGCCATCAATATAATAGGAATTAGCAAAATGAAGTCTTGGCTTTATATTAGCACTTAAATTTGGATATTGTCTAATAACATTTTCTTCCGTGCAATCAGAATTTTGCTTATGTTTACATACTTCATTTGTTGTTCCGATTGATAACCAATCTACATCATAAAAGAATAATTCGGAAATTTTCAATTCTCTTCTAATGCTTGTAGAATATTTGGCTACTACTGTTCTTGCCACTTTTTGCATTTCTCCAGATATTTCCCCTTGACAAACCAATTTTTGTTCTAATTTAACTGGGAAATTCTTCCCACGTAAATTAGATTCTTTGGTAACTTCAGCTGTAATGAATGCATCACACTCACGTAAAAAGTTTTCAAACCAGGGTACATTGAGTGGAGAATTATTATAGATAGTGAAATATCTATTCAATGCATCTTTCATAGGGGTGTATACTTTATTGCAATCGGAAAGATCCTTATGAAGCTTTTTCAAGATTTCGTTGGTCTTCCCAATTGATGAAAGAGCGTACATTAGAAATAGTCTAGGGATTTTACTCAAAATCACTGGAAGAACAACAGAATTATTGAATGATAAAACATTTTCAGATTCATGCTCATTTACCTTGTTAGATAATTGAATTAATTCTTGATTGAGATAAATCATCAAGTCAATCAACCATTTCACACTTCCAATAAGCGACGTAATACATTCAGCTCGAGTTATAGAATCTTGTAAAGTGTCTTCCGCGGGTTTCTTTTTGGAAATTTTACGATAAATACTTGACAACAGAAACATAATACCAAAACTGGTACTTCTTAAATTAAGAACAATCCATGCAATATCACGAATAACCTTACCTTGTCCTTGAAATTCCCCTAAAATCAATTGTAATGAAAGCAATTTTTGTAGTGGAGGATTTGAAAGTAACTTATCAACAGATTCTCTCCCAAATACATCTAATTGAAAGCTTATAGCCTTATGGGATTCACAAATGATAGATTCGATGAACTTGCTCAAAACAGTATCAATACTGGACTGTTTATCAGGAAGTGTTTCGTGTAAGATTTTTCTAATTCTTATCACCTCAATTTGAATTAAGGCCAACAAATCGTCAGAACATACATTAGTATAACAAGCGTAAGCATGACGGAATGCAAACCCCACTGATGTAATGAACAATTCCTTAGGTGTGATGGAAACTTCTCTTTTGGATACAACAACTGAGAAAGTTAATTGTTGGTGGGGATTTCTAACATTGGTATAAACTAATGAAGTAAGATTTGGAGAAATTGCAATCATATTTGGACCTTGGTCTGAATTGATCTCAGGAAATTGAAATCCAATATCAAATAGAGATGTGATTTTCAATGGTGGGACTTCAATATGAGCATTTGGATCGTTCACAATAGTTTGAGCTTCTCTATCAATCACATCTATTTTCCCATTTTCATATGTTATTAATATGAATGAGTCAGAAATAGAAGTATCGATCGATTGAAGGGTGCCTTCTCGAACAATTTTGTCCTGTAAGGCAAGAACAAATTTATTAGTTGCTACTTGTGGTTGTTGGATGTTCTTTCTAGCACCTAAATCTGCAAAAGCTTCAGAGATCCCATCCAGTGATATCGCAATTCTATATCTAAATATGGTTGTCGAGTGCACCCACAACAGGTTATTTGAAGGGAATGTCTCATAACTTATCAAGATTTCCAAGTCAGAGTCAGCATTTTGACTAGCTGAGATTATATCAATAGATTGTAATTTCCCTATACGAGCTGCTGTCGTTGGAGATATCTTTTCTGATGTTTCATCAACTTCCATGTCATCAACATTAGATTTTACTGGTTTATTATAATTTCCGTCTTCCTGATTCTCTTCATCTAGTTCATTCACTTCTGATGTCATTGGAGACATCGCATTCAAATTCCGAACAGTTAACGTTGGTAAAGTCTGTGCCGCAACTGGAGTTTGATAATGTGGATCTAATTTCTGCTTTTGAGCCGCTTCAACTAAATACCCCCAATCAATGGCGGCAGAATATGACTTGATCATATTGGAATAAGTATCGTAACCAGTGATATAGATCTCTTTACCCTTATTAAATCCTATAGATGCCGTTGCAAAATGCAATGCAGTTGCATCACCTTCAAGTTTACAGGCCAATTTATGATATTCCACCTTATGTTCTCCTTGATAATAAAAGTCCATTTCACCATTCCTACGCAATGCCACACAAGCCTGCTTGGTTGGAATAGGGTGGGTAACTCCTTGTGGTGGAGACTGTGACACTCCATAGTTGTATGTAAATGGAGAATTAGGGGCTTGATTTGGTGCCGAATGAGTAGCTGGTTTATTCAAAATTTGAGGTTTTTCAATGTTTAACCATTTGAATGCAACTATAGAGTTATTGGATTTTAAAATAGGTGGATGTTTAGGTTTATCCACTGTGTCTCGATATATCATTTCAAGATGATTATAAGAAGTAAGTTCATAGCTTAATGATGATTTCATATCAGTACTTGTAGAAGGGGCAATGTTGGATGATGAAACACCATCTGATCCATTTGTACTAGATCCATTTCCATTTTTCGTCACCTTTTCAGCCGAAGATGATTCCGGCTTGTCAAGAACACCAACCCCTGCCAAATATATATAAAAATTACCAACAAGATCAGAAACTGCCAAGTCTGTGTTTAAATTACTCCAAGAAACCAAGCTAAGTGGGTAACATTGAGACGACTCAGTTGCCGGTTTCACACTAATCCTTTGTGATGGGGCCAATTGCCATGAACCTTCATCCACTCTTTCCAAATATGTTAGCAAAAGATTATGTTTATCTATCGAGCCTGGAACTGCGTATGCAATAAATCCATTCTTTGACCATGATATACATTTTGCAAATTCAGATCCGGCCTCAAGGGAAAGGGAAATATCTTCAGGTTCCGGCTCAGCCAGGTTCCGCAGAATGGTCTCTCCAAGACTTGACGACATCAATTACAAGGCTAATGTTGAGAAAAAACTATTCTATAATTTATCCTTTTTTGCGATAGATGTTTTTTCCGTTTCTTGTTAACTTCGATATAGATTTCCCTCTTTTAGAACATACACATTATTTTTTCTTTAATTTTTTTTTTTTTTCATATAAACTTTAATTATAGTACCCTGCAGGAACTCTATCTATGTGGTTGCAACTTCTTTACAACATAATCCTTTCAAATTACTGTATATATTTATCTGTCAACAAATACATTCTAAATACAATTAAAGGTCACCTGGAACTGGGTAAGTAGATGCCCATTCGGAAACTTCCTTGGCCAAAGCCTTAACTTCTTCACTTTCATCAGCCAATTTCTTGAATGAAGCCAACTTATCCTTGGCAATGGTACCTTCTTCTTGTTCCTTCAACTTCAAAGAGATATCAACAGCTCTTTGGAAGTAGGCGGCACATCTGGCAAATTCTTCAGCACCGAAACCTCTGGTGGTCATAGCTGGAGTACCAACTCTCAAACCGGATGGGAACAAGGCAGACTTGTCACCTGGAACGGTGTTCTTGTTGGCGGCAATGTTAGCTCTTTCCAAAACAGCTTCAACTCTGGCACCATCAATGTTCTTGGATCTCAAATCAACCAAGATCAAGTGAGTATCAGTTCCACCAGAAACCAATTTGAATCCCTTGTTTTCCAATTCTTCAGCAAAAGACTTGGCGTTTTCAACAACATTCTTTTGGTATTCCTTGTATTCAGGAGCTGTGGTTTGCTTCAAGGCAACGGCCAAGGCAGAAATGGTATGGTTATGTGGACCACCTTGATGAGCTGGGAAAACGGAAAAGTTAATCTTTCTTTCCAAATCATATGGAATTTCCTTACCCTTCTTAGTAACCTTTCTAATACCCTTTCTGAAAAAGATCATGGCACCTCTTGGACCTCTCAAAGACTTGTGAGTGGTGGTGGTAACAATGTCAGAGAATGGGAATGGAGTTTGAGTGTATCCAGCAGCAACGATACCAGAAATATGGGCCATATCAGTCAATAAATAAGCACCAACCTTGTCGGCAATTTGTCTCATTCTGGCGTAGTCAATGACTCTAGAATAAGCAGAGGCACCAGCAACAATAACCTTTGGTCTGAATAAAGTAGCATTGGCTTCCAAAGTATCATAATCAATAATACCAGTTTCCTCGTTTAATCTATAAGGCATAGTTTGGAAATATTTAGAAATGTAAGAAATCTTGGTGGTTGGAGTTTGGTAACCATGAGACAAATGACCACCATGTGGAAGGTCCAAACCCATGATTCTGTCACCAACTTCTAAAATAGAAGAATAGGCGTACAAGTTAGCTGGAGCACCAGAAAGAGGTTGAACATTGACACCCCATTCCTTTGGATCCAAGGAGAAAGCTTCCAAGGCTCTCTTTTGACATAAAGCTTCAGCCTTGTCAATAAATTCATTACCACCATAGTATCTTTCACCTGGGTAACCTTCAGAGTACTTGTTTTGCATTTCAGATCCCAAAAGATCCATAACAGCCTTAGAAGTAAAGTTTTCAGAAGGAATCAAAGTAATGGAGTTCTTTTGTCTAGCCTTTTCTTGACTTAAGATTTCAGCCATTTCTGGGTCAACATGTTGAACAGATTTGGAAATGAGAGCTTGAGCAGAAGCAGATAAAGCATAACTTCTAACAGGGGTTCTCAAAACATTGCTTCTAAAAGTAGAACGCACTGAAGCCTTCAAGGACAGGGAAATCATTTTTGGTTTAAAGATGGATTTTTGAATTTAATTTGAAACTATCCAAACTTTTGAAACTTTTTGGCGAACCTTTATAAACTTTCTCGGAGATGACGCATACTTTAATTTTCAATGAAAAAGGACTAGAGTCACGTGAAAATATTCACGTGCCCAGTATTGAGTCGTTCCATTACACTTTGTTTTTTGTTGTTTTTTTTTTTCTTTTTTCTCTTGAGGGGAATATCTCACGACTTTGGAACAGGATATGACTCTGGATTGGTGCTCAAGATTGACTCTGGGCCCGTTTCAAACCATTTGTAACGGGAGAAGTCAAGAATAGAGATTCTTTTACTGGGGTTTGACTCGAGCATATCTTGTAAGAGGAGTAAGAAGGATGTTTGATCATGTTTTAACCCCTGAGTGATACACTCCTCTTTGGTTAATAAGAATGTTGGTCTATTTTCAAAATCCTTATCAGAATGATTAGCCAATTTCCAAGGAAATTTACCCATTAAAAAATAATACAAAAGAATTCCAATTGACCATATATCAGCTTTCATACCATCATATCTAATACTCAGATACATTTCTGGAGAAACATAAGCCTCTGTTCCAACAAGTCCAACTGCTAATTCTTTAGTTGATGTTGCAGCTCCAAAATCAATCACCTTGAGCACGTGATCGCAAAGGATAAGGTTATCTAGTTTTAAATCTCGATGACAAAGATTAACAGTATAATGTAAATATTTAATTGCATCACATAATTGAAACCAAAATGATAATAAGGTTTCAATATCAAATTTAGATTTAGATTTCATAAGTTGTCTAAAATCAGTTAATCCTGCTTCCATATAAACAGAAACTATAGACCCTGTTAAAGAAATCTTATATTTATATACTTCCACAATATTTGGGTGTGATAGCTTTGAAAGAACCATGTACTCTTCAAGAACACGTTCATGGTATTCCTTTTTAGATTCTTGTACTTCTTTACCATGATATGTTTTAACTACAAATAAAAATCCTCTAGTTTTACTTTCGCAAAGTTCAACTGATGCTGAAATACCTGAACCGATTTTCCTTCTAGATCGCGCTGTAAATCTATTCGTTTGAAAGAAGCTCATATAATTAGATGTATTTGCATCTCAAAAGAGATCCCACTAGTCCAATGATAAATATATACAATATAAGGTGATAAACATGTCCATCAAGGGTAAAACATTTTCACTTGTGATGGATGTGGTACTGCATGATGCGGTTGACTCGGGAGACGGGTCCGCACGGATGGAAAAGCTTGTGTTGCAAATACATTAAAACTAGTGTTATAATAATTCTAGCTTTAAATTATAAAGACATATTAAAAGCAACAAATTCTTATAATGTGAATTGAAGTATAACTCCTATAAGAGAGAAACAAACAAAGAAAAATGAAAAATGAAAAAAAAAAATGAAACGGTATTTTATCAATCCCCTTGTACTATCACCAGCATTTGTAGTTGTAATACAATAGGAACTATTATTCTTAAACATTCTATATTCAACTAAATATAATATGTTCAGACCTATATCTTCAAGATTCTAATATTTCTACTCTCTATTAAAACCCAACTATCATAAAAAGAATCATTCATAATTGGTAACCACTAAAACTTGAAATAATGTTCGGGCATCCTGCATTAACCGCTTGGCTTTCCTTGTACGGCCCCAATTTCATCCGTTTTCGGATTATAATAGTCTGTTTTAAGGGCTTGCCACCCACTATATACAGTACATATCTGCTTGCTATCATTAATTTGTACAAAGTGCTAAGGTGGGCTATAATTATCCTTATCGCAGAGAAGTTAATAAAATTAATTTATTTCTTTCCTTAACTCTAATAGTTGAAACCTACTCAATTATGAAGTTATCGATTTCCCTCAACACTGTAGTTGCAGTGATGGCTACTGTCGGCATGGCAGATGCCCTCACTCTTCCTAAATTTAACGATCTTGCTGGTATGCAACAAACTCTTGGACTTGGAAACATGATGGAATCCTTGGACATTGGTCGCAATGCTGTTGTTGAGACCATTGCTAAGTACATTAACCAACCTATTGAAACTGTTACTCCTGAAACTACCAGTCTCTGGAACTCAATGATGAACCAATTCCCTGAAACTATTGCCAAAATGAACTTTAAGATTTCTCCAAATAAGTTTAAGAAGATGGCTGCTTCCAAGTATGACTTCCATGTTTCCGATGCCAAGCATCCTAACCATGAATTGAGAGTCAAATCTACTCCTAGAGACCTTGGTGTTGACAGTGTTAAGCAATACACTGGTTATCTTGATGTTAAAGATGAAGACAAGCATTTCTTTTATTGGTTTTTCGAATCCAGAAATGACCCAAAGAATGACCCAGTTATTCTTTGGTTGAATGGTGGTCCAGGTTGTTCTTCTCTTACTGGTTTATTTTTCGAATTGGGATCTTCATCCATTGGTCCTGGTTTAAAGCCAATCTACAACCCACATTCTTGGAATAACAATGCTTCTGTTATTTATTTGGATCAACCAGTCAATGTTGGTTACTCTTACTCTGGTTCTGCTTCTGTCACTGACACTGTTGCTGCAGGTAAGGATGTCTATGCCTTTTTAGAATTGTTCTTTAAACAATTCCCTCAATATAACAAGAATCAAAAATTCCATATTGCTGGTGAATCTTATGCTGGTCACTATATTCCAGTTTTTGCCACCGAAATTTTGAGTCATGATGATCGTTCATTCGACCTTGCTTCTGTTCTTATTGGTAACGGTTTAACTGACCCATTGACTCAATACAAATACTACGAACCAATGGCATGTGGTGAAGGTGGTGAACCATCTGTTTTGGAACCAGAAGAATGTGAAGCCATGCTTGATTCCACTCCAAGATGTTTATCTTTGATTGAATCTTGTTATGAAACCGGTTCTGTTTGGTCTTGTGTTCCAGCAACCATTTACTGTAACAATGGTCAAATGGGTCCTTACCAAAAGACTGGACGTAATGTTTATGATATTAGAACAATGTGTGAAGGTAGTTCCTTATGCTACAAGGGTCTTGAATACATTGACAGTTACTTGAATGAAAAGGAAGTTCAAGAAAAGATTGGTGCTGAAGTTGAAGAATATCAATCTTGTAACTTTGATGTCAATAGAAACTTTATGTTTGCTGGTGATTGGATGAAACCATACCACAAGGCTGTTATTGAACTTTTAGAAAAGGGTCTCCCAGTTTTGATTTATGCTGGTGACAAGGATTTTATTTGTAACTGGTTAGGTAACCAAGCTTGGGCTAACGATTTAGATTGGTCTGGTCATGATGAATTTGCCAAGCAACCAGTTAGAAAGTGGAAGGCTGGTAAGACCCATGCTGGTGATGTTAAGAACTACGAAAACTTTACCTTTTTAAGAGTCTTTGGTGCTGGTCATATGGTTCCATATGATCAACCAGAAAACTCTTTAGACATGGTTAACAGATGGATTGCTGGTGACTACAAATTCTAAGGTAAAGATTGCTGAGAATTATTAAGTGCAAATTTCTTTTATGATAAAAAAAAAAAATAAGACTAAGAGAAATATAACATAAACATTCTATATTAGACGTTTTAGATGATGTATGATTGCAGTTGTATTTGAAACTTGTGTTTATCATCATCTTTTACAGTTAATGTATACTTATTTGTTTGGTAACCAACTAGTGATGCCAGGATCATTAGACCCGTAAATTGTAACATACAGGAATTCGTAAATATAAAATATTATTGCAGCATTTTTCCCCTTTGGGATGTATTGTAAATAATAACAAACAGAAAATGCAAATGAAGAGATGATAGAAGCCTGCGATTGACAAACCCGCCCGCAATCCAGTTGTATTGGGCAACGAATGTAGAGACTCCTATCACATAGACATTTTGAAATTATCTGTTCTTATCAATTTAATTTCGGATCAATTAAGAATCCTACAGTGAAGGCTCTTACACTAGCCTCAATTGACATATTGATCTAGAATCTTATAAAATATTACACATTTACAATAACGATTTCACCTTTAATATACTACACAAGATATACAGAAAATAATTATTGAATCGAGAATCACGAGTTTGCTTTCCGTCCACATTCCTAAAAAACCTAAAAACTCTGCACAATTGTAACTGAGTCCCAGGAACATTACACCTATTACACAAGCTAGCATGGATAAAGAGATTATGGGCGTGTATTACGGGATACCGAGAATGCTTCTACCGTTCTGTTTCTCGGCTCTCGTCTCGTCGTTAGGTGTATCTCTTCAACCTTCAAAAAATATTCTGCTATTGGTGTTCACCATCTCAGGGTTCATCTTGTGTGCTGGAATACCAGTAAGTTTAATAATACACAATTATCGATATGTCCAGCTCTCGCAGGCGATATTGGCTGTTTGTTTGATATTCCAACTAGTCAGTGGTCTTATATGGCTTACTGATTTAGTAGGCATCGATAATAGCAATGATTTGAATAGTTCTAATGGACATCATATTGAACAAGCCATGGTCATTCTATTCATTCTTAATCAAATCATTAGTTTTATTTCACTTACAACTATTTTCATGGAAAAATTCAATCATTCAAATGATATAAATGATCTTGAAAATGATAACAAAACCCTTGGTCATGAAGAACATTCACTTAATCAAGAATCATTTGGTGTTACAAAAAAAATATCCGAACAAACATTGGTTGATCAACCAATCAAGAAACAAATGAATTCAACCACATACAATGCTAACAAAATAAAACATATTAGTGAAGAATCAAATCAATTATCTGCATATTCCGATATTATCAAGTATTCTATCGAAGGAGCTTCTAAGGGTATCCCTGAGGAAGATCATAGTAACTGGATGGATTCTGGTACTAAATTACATACATTAACCCTTCCAACCCATATTACTGAGATTGAATTGCAAAATAAACCAAAATTGCAAGACAATAATCTTCAGAGAAAGCCATCTTTCAATAGACTTGGATTAAAAATTCTGAGTAGTACTGGCAAAAAATCATCAAATATGAATAATCTCATTAATACCGCTGATAGTACTAAAAATCTTCATATATTAAACACATCGAAAAGCGTTCCCAATTTCCCATCAAAATTGAATTCTACTTCAACCGAAGATGACTTTATTGAACTGAAATCTTCATTTAAAAACTTTCCAACCAAATCTGTTAGTATTGAGAGTATTCCACAATCCCCAATTGAAGAAAGAACTAGAAGAGTATCATTGATTGAAACTACTTCTGATCATTTAACATCGGATTTGAATGCTTCTCATGAGAAATGTATAGCAAACATTAGGAATCATTCGAAAATTGAATCACAAGGTGAATTACATGTGAAACGATCAAAATCTACTAGTTATATTAGTGGGCGTCCATGTAAAATCAGAAGAAGTGAAGAACGGTGGAAATCAATTAATGATGAGAAAGTGTTTTTACTGCAAGTAAATGAATCTTTACTTCCTTCGGTATTAAAAACTGGTGAAAGTCCCATCATGGCATCAAAGAGGAGACAACAAGAATTCTTAGAAAATGATGGCCAGAGTCCATATATTTCTCATGAATTAAATCATTCAGTTTCACCAGCAAAGTCATTGCCCAATCGAATTTTTTCAAATGAAAAAATTGAAGATGATAACGATGATGAAAACTTACCTTATATTGATGAATTTGAAGAAACAATTGATCAAACTGAATTTTGTGACTTTACTCAAGATACTTTAATGATTCAAAACGAAACAGCTACTAGTTCACCTCGAGGTAAAAAGAAACCATATAAGTTTGGAGGGTTCGATTATGATACTCATCATGGAGATGATTTAGATGGATTAGAAACAATACCAAAATCTTCGACAAAAGATTCACCTCTTTGGAATAAAAATGAGGGAAATATAAAGAAATCATACATATCTGCTGAAGATTGGGAAAATAATGCAGAGAAATGGAATGAAAGTCGAAAAAGAATTGGATCTTCTACACATGGAGGAGTGAAATTAATGATCAATGGAGGCGTATATACCCCTGAAGTTGGCAACCCCAAATCAGAACGACCTCCATTTTTGCTACTGAACAGATCATTTTCTGCGCCATCATTGCATACATTCAGAGATGTATCTGGATCTTCTAAATCAAGTGGTGAAGAAAAAATCGCAACTAATTCAACACATTTGACTTCAACGGGAGAAGAAAGTTTGAGTAAATGTAGAACACCAACTGATCAAATTGTCGAGATAAATGAACCTCACACCGGAGGTAGTTCTTCACCCATCAAACGGTTTTTCCAAGAAAGTCCCAAGAGGTTAAGCAGTGCCTTAAGAAGACAATCAACGGGGAAAAGACAAAGCTTTGAACTCGGCAATATCAAAGGATTGGAAGCAGGAACTTTCAGTCATAAACATAACAGTTCACTAGTTTCTAATCCTTATTCAGTCATTTCTGGAATATCATCTAAATCTGGCTCTCCTAAAAAGTCTTTTAAACAATTCCTTAATAAGAATTCGTATCATAAAAAGCATTCATCTGTACCATCCGTCATATTAGCACCTTCTTTGAAAGAAGATCAAATACAACCATCTAGTTGGTACAATAGTCCAAAACTTTACTCCTATGAACAACTGGCCTTCGAATATCATGGTCCCCAGCCTATCGATATGTGGGATATGGACCTTGAAACTACAAGAAGTTCTAATAAATCAAGAGTAAGTTCATTACCAGGTTCAGTTATTGGAGAATATGATAAAGAAAAATGGAGAACTATGAAATCACTTCAAAATAATGAAACAGTTGCATTGAAATTAAATACTATCGATATTTAATTTTCTAAATCTTAATAGACTTGCATTTATAAACAAAAAAATAGTAATAACGAATACTTCCCACAATAAAAATTTAGCATAATATAATTTATAATTGTAGTATAAATTATGTAAAGTTAATACTATCTGAAAACCTATATTGGTTTATGTTGCATAGATTCTTTATGTCCTGCGTATAAGTCCCAACGCCCTATTGGTGTTGAGCCCTGATGAACGAAATTTTTAAGAAGACCTCAAATAGTTGACTATGTACAATATCTTTCAGTAAATATCAATAAACCATTAAAAGAAGTAGGTCAAGATGGATGGTGACGATCTTTTCGACGTCTTTAACGAAGCTCCAGTCTTGGATGCTCCAGTTGAAGAAGTAGAAGAAATTAAAACTGAGGAGATAAACTCCAAGAAAAGAACTGCTGGAAGTGGTAGTGATGATGAAGTCATCGCAACCAGTACAACTGAGCCAAGTAGTTCTGAACCTCAACCAAGAAAAAAGAAAGATGTAAAGACTAAATCTGAAATTAAGCCAGTAGTTTTCGATGCTCTTGAGATTGAAGCTTCTAGAGAAGTTGCTGTATCCGATGGATTGATGGCACCTTCTACAACTTCCAAGCCAGAAGGTCAATTGAAATTAAAGCATCAAGTTAGACATCAAGTTGCAGTTCCACCTGATTTCCCATATGTCCCTATCGGGGAACATAAAAGACATAACGAAGCTAGAACATATCCGTTTGTATTGGATCCTTTCCAAGACACTGCTATTTCTTGTATCGATAGAAATGAATCTGTATTGGTTTCTGCCCATACATCTGCTGGTAAAACAGTTGTAGCTGAGTATGCAATTGCTCAATCTTTGAGAGAAAAGCAAAGAGTTATCTACACATCTCCAATTAAGGCCTTGAGTAATCAAAAGTATAGAGAATTATTGGCAGAATTTGGTGATGTTGGTTTGATGACTGGTGATGTTACTATCAATCCAGATGCTGGATGTTTAGTCATGACTACTGAAATTTTGAGAAGTATGTTGTATCGTGGTTCCGAAGTTATGAGAGAAGTTGCATGGGTTATTTTCGATGAAGTCCATTACATGAGGGATAAATCTCGTGGTGTTGTTTGGGAAGAAACCATCATTTTATTGCCAGATAAGGTTCATTATGTTTTCCTTTCTGCCACCATTCCAAATGCCATGCAATTTGCTGAATGGATTGTCAAGATTCATATGCAACCTTGTCACGTTGTTTATACGGATTTCCGTCCTACTCCTTTACAGCATTATTTATTCCCAGCTGCAGGTGATGGAATTCATTTGGTTGTTGATGAAAAGGGAACTTTTAGAGAAGAAAATTTCCAAAAGGCCATGGCCTCTATCAGTGACAATGTTGGAGATGATCCATCCAGTGGAGATAAATCCAAGGGTAAGAAGGGTCAAACATATAAAGGTGGTAACAAAGATGGTAAGTCTGATATTTATAAGATTGTTAAAATGATTTACATGAAGAGATACAATCCAGTTATTGTTTTCTCTTTCTCCAAGAGAGATTGTGAATCTTTAGCTTTGAAAATGTCTAAATTAGATTTTAATACTGATGATGAAAGAGATGCCTTGACTAAAATTTTCAATAACGCTATTGGATTATTACCAGAAGCTGATAAGGAATTACCTCAAATCAAGAATATATTACCTCTTTTGAGACGTGGTATTGGTATCCATCATTCTGGTTTGTTACCAATTTTGAAGGAAATTATTGAAATTTTGTTCCAAGAAGGTCTTTTGAAAGTATTATTTGCAACTGAAACTTTCTCCATTGGTCTTAATATGCCTGCTAAGACCGTTGTGTTTACTTCTGTACGTAAGTGGGATGGTAAAGGATTCCGTTGGGTATCTGGAGGTGAATATATCCAAATGTCTGGTAGAGCTGGTCGTCGTGGTTTAGATGATCGTGGTATTGTTATCATGATGATTGACGAAAAGATGGAACCACAAGTCGCCAAGGGGATGGTTAAGGGTCAAGCTGATAGATTAGACTCTGCATTCCATTTGGGTTACAATATGATTTTGAACTTGATGAGAGTGGAAGGTATTTCTCCTGAATTTATGTTGGAGAGTTCTTTCTTCCAATTCCAAAATGCTGCATCTGTTCCAGTTATGGAAAAGGAATTACAAGATTTAACTCTTACCTCAAACCAAATTCATATTGATGATGAAGGTGTTGTTAAAGAATATTATGATTTGAAGAAACAATTGGATACTTATCAACAAGATGTTCGTCGTGTTATCACCCATCCAGGCCATATCTTACCATTTTTACAAGCTGGTAGAGTCATTCTGGTTAAGATTGGTGATATGGATTATGGTTGGGGGATGGTTACATCTTTCACCAAGAGAAATAACAAGAGAAATCCTTCACAAGTTTTCACTGATCATGAATCATATTTGGTGAATGTATTCGTATACACCATGTACGTTGATTCTCCAGTCAATTTAATCAAACCTTTCAACCCAATGTTGGCTGAAGGTATTAGACCAGCTAAGGCTGGTGAAAAATCTAGAGCTGAGTACATTCCAATTACTTTAGATTCTATTGAAAAGATCAGTAGTGTAAGATTAAAGGTTCCAGATGAATTCAAGAGTTCAGCTGCCAAGAGAAACCTTCTCAAGACTATGAAGGATCTTCCAAAGAGACTCCCAGATGGTATGCCACTTATGGATCCAGTTGAAAGTATGAAGATTGAGGATTCTGACTTCAAGTTACTCTTAAGAAAGATTGATGTTTTAGAATCAAAATTAGTCAGTAACCCATTACATGACAGTACAAGATTGAAAGATTTGTATGAAAAATACACTGAAAAGGTCCAGCTTGATGCTAAGATCAAGGTTCTTAAGGAAAAGGTTTTGGAAGCACAAGCAGTCATTCAATTGGATGATTTGAGACATAGAAAGAGAGTTTTAAGAAGACTTGGATTTACTACTCAAAATGATATCATAGAATTAAAGGGTAGAGTTGCATGTGAAATCAGTACTGGTGATGAATTATTATTGACAGAATTGATTTTCAATGGTAATTTCAATGACTTAACTTCAGAACAATGTGCTGCCTTATTGTCATGTTTCGTTTTCCAAGAAAGATCTAAGGAAGTTCCAAGATTGAAGCCTGAGCTTGCTGAACCTCTTAAGTCTATGCAAGATATGGCTACCAAGGTCGCCAAGGTTTTCAAGGAATGTAAGATTGAACTTGTTGAAAAGGAATACGTTGAATCATTCAGACTGGAACTTATGGAAGTTACATACTCTTGGTGTAAAGGGGCATCTTTTACCCAAATTTGTAAGATGACAGACGTATACGAAGGTTCTTTAATTCGTATGTTTAAGAGATTAGAAGAAATGTTGAGACAAATGGTCACTGCGGCCAAAACTATTGGAAATGCTGCCTTGGAAGAAAAGATGGAAAAGGCTATGGAAATGGTTCATAGAGATATCGTTTCTGCTGGATCTTTGTACCTTTAGATTTGTATATTATAATAATATTATATTTAACCCCCGACATCTTGCTTTAGTTACTCTTTAATGTAGTTAATCAAATGATCACACACGTGATATGCAATTTATAGACATAATGATGTAAGGGTTTTTTTTTTTTTTATTTTTGGTATTTAGAATTACTTTGCCTCCCAAAAATTTAGCAATACTTCACTAGTATTAAATAATTTCTATACAACCAATTGACTTATAGGACACTTCTTTGGGATTAAAGGATTAAACTATATCTATATATATAAGTATGGTTCCTCCTAAGAAACGGATTTTGTTGAGTTCCGAGGTTGAATTGCTTTATGCTAAATCAAAGGTATATCTTCACCCCACAACTTCAAAGAAGGATAATATAGTTGGATATTTGACACTTTCAAGAGGAAATAATGCAACCAATAATGACATATTACTCTCTTTCACTCCTGAATCACAATTGTCAACTGAAGAGCTTAAAATCTATGCTGAAGTAGATGTGGATGATTTGCTGATGGATTTAGCTGCTCTTCTGTTGAGTGGATCTACTAGTTCCAATAGTGCCTCGATTAAACCACTTCGAGCAGTTTCCAAACCACCTGTATCGGTCTTATCAAGCTATAGTTTCAGTCTCCCGTTGTCATACATATACTCGATTCAAGTAAGAAAGCCATCTGTTGGATGGTGGTTTGGATCAATCATTATACATTCGAGAGCAGGTGAGAAACTCCCCATTGTATTTTTCCATGATGATGAATCTCCTTCAACTATAAAACATCAAAAGATTAGGAATCAAAGATTTGATCCATTTAATGAAAATGGAGATGTTCTTTGGGGTGGACTGGAGTTTATCAATGTATTGAGTAAATTTGCAAATGTTGAAAAATCTGCTTTGGAACCATCAGTAATATTGATAAATCCAGATTCTTCTGATTTAAGAAATTTTTCACCATTTGGTGGCCAAAATAAAGATAAGAAGAATGAAGTTGCTGCTGAACCATTTAAATTACCAGATGTTAATAAATTCTTAGCCAATGCCAAATGGAAAGTATTGGAAACAGTTGCAACTTTTTCAACAAAGGCTAGAACTCAAGTACTTGATATTGTTGAAGAACATGCACCACCTCAAATTAAACAAATCATTAAAAAACCAGAGATTCAAAGAATTAGCGAAGAATTTGATAGTGCAAGAGTTTATTTAGCTAAATGGGCAGCTCAAGTGAAAGAAGAAGCAGAAGAATCACAAAGGAAATTCATGTTGGATGATGAAATTTATAATAAAATTAACAAAGAAATTGGATCGAATGAAATTTTAACTGAAGAAGAAATCAATACAACTTCAAGACGGAAAGTTGTTAGTAAAGTTGAATGGGAGAGCTTTTTCGATCATTCGGGTAGATTATGTGTTACTGTCAATGAAGTAAAGTCCAGAATTTTCCATGGAGGTTTAGAAGATTCCATTCGAGGTGAAGCATGGTTGTTTTTATTGGATGTATATTCATGGGATTCTTCAAAAGAAGATAGAGAAGCACTTAAAAAGAGTTATGAAACTGCATATGATGAACTTAAATTGAAATGGATCTCAGATGAAGATAAGCGAAATGAAGAATTTTGGAAGGATCAAAAGCATAGAATTGAAAAAGATATTAATCGTACTGATCGTCATCTCCCAATATTTCAAAAGAAGAAGAATATTGTTGTTCAAAGCATTGATAGTGTTGCAGGACCTTCTACTAGAGAATCTTCACCAGAAACTCCTGATGAAGATGATGAAGACAACTTTGATGTGTCAGATATTAGAAACCCACATTTATTCAGAATGAGAGAAATCTTACTCACTTATAATGAATATAATGTAAATCTAGGATATGTTCAAGGGATGACTGATTTACTTTCTCCACTTTATGTTAAATTTCAAGATGAATCCTTGACATTCTGGGCATTTAGTAAATTTATGGATAGGATGGAAAGAAATTTTGTTCGAGATCAATCTGGAATGAAACAACAAATGCTTACATTGAATGAATTAGTTCAATTCATGTTACCAGACTTGTTCAAGCATTTAGATAAATGTGAATCTACTGATTTGTTCTTCTTTTTCAGAATGCTTCTTGTATGGTTTAAACGTGAATTGGATTGGGAAGATGTCATGAAACTTTGGGAAATTCTTTGGACTGATGTTTATTCTGGTCAATATCTTCTTTTCATTGCTTTAGCGGTATTGAGTGATAACGAACGTATTATCCGTCAAAATCTCACAAGATTTGATGAGGTTCTTAAATATATGAATGATTTATCAATGAATTTGAATTTGGATCATATACTTATTCGTTCAGAACTCTTATTCCTTAGATTTAGAAGAATGATTGATATAATTGATCGTGAAAATTCCATTAAAAATCCTTCTTCAACTTCTTCTGGTGATAAAATTAAAATTAGTCCTGAATTACGTGGTTTACTTTCAAGAGATTTTGTTGTACAAAAGGAAGTTGAAAGACCGGAAGGTGTTGGAGGGGGTTAAATGCTACGGAATGGTTATTTTTGTTTTGTTTGCTTTTTACGTTTATTTTTAACTTTCGTCTCCCTACATATTCTAAAGTTGGAGATTCAAATTGGGAGTTTTTATATTTTGGGTGGTGGTAATTGTTTGTGTTGTATTTTCATTCATGTTTAAAACTATTATTTGCAATGAACTAAATTGGTAATTGATTCATATTTTGTAGACTTGAAAGATATAATAGATGAGTAAGAGGAAGGTGGTGAAAAATAATATCAAATTGTTAAAAATAATACGGTAGCTTGTCCAAAAGAATAAAAAAGAATTCGTCACACATATAGGTACTGAGAACTGACTTAAGGTTGAAAATGCTTTCTGATGTTTTTTTGTGGTAACGATTATAAGAATTTTTGCTCATTAATTTTAACTGGTCCGTCATCTAATTCGTGTATATTTGAAATCCGTCTTTAGAAATTAGACGTTATTTTTGCCGTCCCTACCGTTTATGTACTACTGACGATATACGATAGTACAGGAATGCTATCCTATTTGGTTGCAACGTGCATAAACCTACGGTTTTGTGTCAATAATTGAAGTATACAAAATGAGAAGAGATTAACTATAATGGTAATTGACGATAGGTTCTTTTTTTTCTTTATTCTGCCTTTTTGTTACATATTAGCGTATCATGAGTGGAGAACGACAACCATTGAAGCAAACAAATAATTACTATAATGAAGAAATATACTATGAAGATGAAGAACCGGAATTGTCTCCAACCATGAAATACTTGCTTTGGGCTGTAGGGATCTTTACATCAATCTTTTGTATCTTTTTATTTACTGTCTATATCCCTCTGGTATTTATCCCTGAAGCTCGTCCATTAGAAGGAATTCTAAAAGTATCTGAAGTTGAACATCACTTGACTACAATTAGTGCTGAAAGAGTACGGGAATTGGGATTACACAAGTTCCAACTGATTGTAAATGATGAAGACGATGATTCAACAGAATCAATGGAAGAAGAGGATATAGAAGATCAGCTAGACATTGACTTAACACACACTTTCAAGTCAAAAGGGGTGGAGAGATTTATTTTAGTTGGAGATGTACATGGAGAATACAATCGTTTAATGAGTCTTATGAAGAAAGTTCAGTTTAACCCAAAAAAGGATCTTGTTTTACTCCTAGGTGATTTCATTTCAAAGGGACCAGACTCTGTCAAGGTTATTGAATGGGCTTCGCTGAATGGTGTTGAATGTATTCTTGGGAATCATGAATACTATGCACTTGGAAATTACGCAAAATTCCACGGTCTTTATAGTCCATTTTTTGTTAATCCTAATGATAATGATACAACAATTGTTGGAGAAAAATATTTAAATGTCAAGGGGTTTAATGATGATCCAGAATTTTTAATGGCTAAGAAATTTCAACCAGAACATATTGCTTATATTAATAGTTGTCCAGTAATTAGACGATTAGGACCTGTCCCATTGCACAAGCCACGGAATAATAATGGTAGTTTAAATTTTGTTGAAGGGGTTGCAGTTCATGCTGGATTAAGATGGGATTTGGCACAAGCAAAAGAACCACTTGAAGAACAAAATCCAATTGATTGTTTAGAGATGCGTAAATTATTGCCACCATTCTACAATGAAACTACTGATGATCCACATTTTCCAAATGCAGTTGGATGGACTGGATTATGGAAAGATACTCAGAAGTTGCTTTCTCGCAAGGATAGACAGGCGGTTTATTACGGTCATGATGCGAGAAAGGGTCTCCGTCTCAAGAAATATACTAGAGGGTTGGACTCAAGATGTACTGTGGGGGGTTATTTAAGTGCAATGGTAATTTGGAAAGAAGAACAATTATTCAATGGGAAGCTCAGAGAATTCTATAAAGAGCAAGCCTATCAAGTCAAGTGTTAAATTAATCTATTTAATTAATATTCAATTCTATAAGAGAGACAAAATTTGTGGTCTTTCCTTATGTGATATTCGATTTATAATACAATCCTAATTCTTTTATTCCCGGTAACTACTTTAACTTTATTTTTTTTTTTTGGTTTTCTTCTATTTTTAATGAATTAATTCTAAAGTAATATTTTATTGCCTTTTTTATTATGACTATAATTTACGGTACGTACACGCCGGTCACTTTTTACACATCAAAACACCCTGTTTGTTTAAAAACAGATAATTTGAGCAAAACAAATATTGTTTGCAACCTATAGTTTACAATTGCAACCACATTTTATAAGGTAATCATTCAGGAAGCGACATCGACGCTGCTTTATCGCATACTATTTGAACGGTGACTAGGTTATTTTAAACATGAGTTTCAATAATTTAGGGTACACTACGACCTACAATTCACGCACCATGATACCGGTGTTTACCCTGTCACAGGGAGCCATGCAATTCTTTATTCCATATGATGAGCCAGGTAGAGATGATTTAGTGAAATTGATTTCAGACCATGGTGGTAGCGTATCCGATACTCAAACTTCTGACCGAGGTGGAGTTATTGTTCTTTCATCCAGATATAAACATGGGGCGGACATTTATAAACCGGGGTATGTTTGGGAATCAGTAAAACAAGGAATGACTTTAGAACTTGCACGTTTTAAACTCAAGAATCCTCTTGACCTGATTGACTATAGTGAAATGTTACAGCAACAACAACAACAACTTCAACTGCAACATCAATTTCAACAACAACAACAACAACAACAACAACAACAACAACAACAACAACAACAACAACAACAACAACAACAACAACAACAACAACAACAATTACACCCACTCCCACATCAAATACAACAACAGCAGTTACTTCAACAACAGCAACAACAGCAACAACAACAACAGCAGCAACATCAACAACAACTCCATCAACAACAATTACATCAACTTCAACCATATCATGACTTGCCTACTACTGTGGCGAAAGCCTCAGAACTTAAAAGGGGTACAAATGCCAAGCATTCATTTACTGCTGAAGAAGATGATTATATTTTGGAACAAGTCAGGCTTGATCCAAGAAGAAGAACTAGTCATAAGCTTTTTGATGAAATTGCACTTACTCTTTCTGCTCATACGGGTAATTCTATTAGATATAGATACCGTAATCAATTAGAAAGTAAACTTGGGTACGTATACCGTACTGATCCACATGGTAGATTAGTCAAGGACACTGCTGGACATTATGTTAAAGAATCGATCGATAATTTACCAAAGACAATGAAAAATAGGTTTACTGCAAATGATGATTATGCATTGTGTGTGAAAATCATAGATTATAATCATCAAGAGTATCGGAAACTTGTGGAGGATGGACTTGTTGATCCTGAAGTTGAGCCACTTAATTTGGAAGGTACTCTTACAGTTCCTGTTTCATTTTTCAGAGATATGGAAAGGCAGTATCCAAATCATACAAGAGCTGCATGGAGAGACAGATACAGAAAATTTGCCAGTAAATATGGGATTAAGAAATATGCTGATTATTTTGTTAGTTCAAAGGATCCACAACCAATGAAGGACTTTACCAAAAGAGATAATATTAAACAAATTAAATCGGAAGCCGACCAAGTGAGGTCAATTCTTGATGAGTATTCAACCCCAGATGGACAAGTACAACAAAGACAATCACTTGCGCAATTACCACAACAAGCGGGTAATGGAAAAGAAACTACTACTGATGGACATGCCTTGGATGAAGAAATTGGAGAACTTAAGAGCTCTAATATTGATGATGCATTAATTCTGAATAATAGTACTAGTCAAACCACTCAGACTAACGTAGAAGGATCACTTGATGAAGATGGAGAATTATTTGTTGATGCTGAAGAGGGAAGTTCACAAGATTTTAAACCTTCAAATAAGAAAAAGCCAAGTCAATCTTCTCAACTCATTCAACAACTTTCTCAACCAACCCAATCTTTAGAAGGTTCACAAGAAGAAATTGGGTTTTCATACCCTCAACCAGGGTTAACTATTGATGATATTGTTAGTTCGCGTTATTTTAGAGTAAAATCCAAAGAAGCTGCTCTTAAATTAATCAAGGAAATTATTGAAATTGGTGATGAAAATCCAACCAGTTTATTCGCAAGACTTCAAGATGAATTAGGATTTACTGAATTATTTTGTACTGTTATTATATTGTATAATAATGGTGATTATTCCAAGATTTGGCTTTATCTTAAGGAAGTTTTCAGAAAGTTGCATGATCAAAACCTTGAATTAAGTCAATCTGAAACTTATAAACTTTTAGAAATTGAAGGTATAAATGGTGTTTGGAATAAAAAATATGATGATTTATTAAGAAGTGGAACTGAAGAAGACTTGGAAATTTTAAGAAAAGTTCATGATGATAAACAGATTGAAATTAGAAAGAGTTTCCTTGCCGCTGCAAGAGAGTAAAATTGTATATCTTTTATATGTTGTAGTTTTAGTTGTGTAATTTTAGTGTAATAATTTTAAGGAATATTTTGATTTAATTTTGATATGTGAGAATGTATGCGATTTAGAAATTTAAATTTGATTGTTTAGATTAATAATTTTTATATAGAGATTAGAAGATTATAATAATTTTAAATGACTGTTACCAAGCTGAAGGTAACAAAGCCAAAGGTTGTTAAGAAGGCTGCAGTTAAAAAGAGTACTACTAGTGCAGGTGGTAAGCCAGTACCTCCAGCCACTTCACATGCCTACAAATATAATGCTAATCCAGATACTGGGAAGAAATATTGGCTTATAAAATCAGAACCAGTAACAAGAATTGATCCTAAAACAAAGCAAGACGTGAAATTCCCACTTTCTGATCTTATTGGAAAGGATCGAATTGAAGGTTGGGATGGTGTTCGTAACTATGAGGCTCGGAATAATATGTTAGTTATGTCCAAAGGTGATATAGCACTTTTTTATCATTCAAATTGTGATATTCCTGGAATCGTGGGAGAAGTTGAGATAGCGAATGAAGCACATATAGATGATACTCAATTTGATATAAAGCATAAATCATTTGATGCCAAATCTACACCTGAAAACCCAAAATGGTGGTGTGTTGATGTTAAATTTTTAAGAAGATTAAGAAGAAAAATTTCATTAGCTGAACTTAAAGATCGTGCATCTGAATTACCAGATTTTCTTCTTCTTACTAGAGGAAGATTAAGTGTAATTCCAGTCGGTTATGAATTATATACGAAATTGGTTGCAATCGAGCAAGAGGGACAAATTGCAGATGATTTAGATTGTGACATTTCTAGGGATTTAATAGAAGTAAAGTAAATGGTGAGTATGAATTAATTCCTAAATGGTCCTAAATTGTCTGTATCCGTCAACAGTACAGACTCATATCTCAACGTGCATTAGTTACGGAGTGTAACCATGTATTAGTGCATATCTCTTACAGTTGATAAAAAAGAAATGCGTTAAAAAAATAAAAAATTTTATGAAAAATTTCCGGCACCAAATAACGTACATTATGCATGAGGTAATGGACCCATTATATCACTTCTAGTGCCAGTGGCACTACACAATAGAGTACATCTACCTAATAAAATATGTAGTATCATAACTATAAAAACTTTTTGAAAACATTTTGCATAGGAGAAGGGGGGAAAAAAGTGACAAATCGATGTACCAACATCAAAAGTACTACACAGTAAACGATCCTAAGCTTTACATAGAATAGATATTTTCAAGTAAAAAACATTGTAATTTTAAGGTATAAATCTTATATGGGAAATCATAAAATCTAGTTCAAGATACCCCAGTATTGTTCGGCGTTGAAAGCACCTGGAGCCTTCCAGACGTCATTGTAAGCGTTGAACAAAATAGCATCATCACCACAAGAAGCCTTGATGGAAGAAACAGCAGCGGATTGGTTTTCTAAAGATGGGACAGCCTTGTTGTTGCTGTCACCTTGGGATGGCCAACCAGTTTCAGTAATAACGACAGTCTTGGAGTTACCACAAGCTTCAGAGACACGTTGGATTTGAGACAAAACCCATTCACCAGCTTGGTCAGCGGCGTAACCACCATCGAAGAAAGCGTGAGCATTAACGGCAACGTAGTCAGAGTATTGACACAAAGATGGGTTGTTAATGACAGCAATAAAAGTGTCAACGGAGACAACTGGACCAGTGTAACCAGCAGCAGAAAGAGCAGATCTACCGGCCTTAACGTAAGATTCGATTTGGGATGGGTTAGCTTGACCGTTGTTAACCAATTCGTTACCGATAGAAACAGTAGAAATTTCGGACCATCCACCGTTAGCCTTAACAGCAGAAGCTAAAGTTTCAATACCGGATTCAATGTTAGCAACATCAAAAATACCAGCGAAAACCTTTTGGCTTGAAGTCTTGGCAGCAAGGACAGCAGAGACTTGGTTACAGTCAACACCGTACAAACGAATGATACCAAAGTCGGCAAGAGCACCAATTTCCTTGGTAATTTGGGAAGTAGACTTACATCCACCATCGTCAGAGTATGGGGAGTAAGTGATACCCTTAGCACCAGAAGCACCAACTGGGGTAGATGGAGCGGAACTACCAGTGGCAATAGTAGCTGGAGTAGCTGGGGTGGCAGCGGTAGTAGCTGGAGTAGCAACGGTAGCTGGGGAAGAAACCACTGGAGCTGGAGCAACGGCATCGGCTTGAGCTACAGCGGTGGCAGCTGGTGGGTTGGCACCAACAGTAACTTGAACGATTTCAGTAACAACCTTGACATCTCTCTTGTCTTGATGTTCATGATGTTGATGTTGAAGAGGAGCAGCGATGGCGACACCGGCTAAAGCGGCAGTGAAAACAGATTTAAAAAGCATTATATATAGCTAAAAGATTGTGAGAGTAACCAAAAGAGTGAATGATTGACTAGCAACGCTGAACAGATTCTAGGGAGCGAAAGGAGTGACTGTAGAAACTGATTGGGAAATCTATCTAATTAAGAAGAAAACTTTAAAAACTCGTCAAAATCAACACTGCGAAACTCCCAGTATTTGAGAAAACAACAAAAATGGCGTTTTTGTGTAAATTATTGTTTTGTGTAATTCCGTGTAAAGTATTCGTTGCGAATTGAGATACTTTCAGTGTATGCAATGGGGCGACTAGGTGGCATATCCTGCGTGTATGCGCCTGCAGCCTGAAATTAGTATGGGTGTACCATTTTTAATAGGGGATGCGGCTCAATAACCCATGTTCCTTGGCAGGTTTTTCTTAAGGGATAATATTTTATACACAATGTTGATGCTTGCAACGATATTTCTAGTCAGAGCAGTAATTTACTACCAAAAGGTACATTATTATAACGTGGTCTTTAACTAAGGGTGTTAATATAAACATTATTATTGCACCATTTACTCCTGAAATTTTATTATTTAATTTTGCCATGTATAGTAATGAGACTTACCGTTTAAGTATATATTTTTGAGTTTCGATTATAATTTTGTTTATTGTCTTGTATTGTTTCTTTCTTGTCTATTCTGCATATAGTTGTATGATTGACTTTTTTTCTTGAATAAAATTACGTACTTCGTGCAGGGTGACAGTTTTGTAAATTAGATCTAGAAGCGATACCTTTTGGGATTTTTACCGCTACTGTAGTTCAAATAGAAAAAAAAATTTCAAAAAAAAAAAATTAATAAATAAAATTCCGGATGATGCAATGTACATTGTAAGCCATACTTCGCACATACTAATGGCTATATTAAAGCTAGACGATAGAAAGGAGTTCTAAAAGAGAATCCTTGGGCCATGAATTTGAATGTAAATACTGTTTTGGCATCAAAAACGAAAATAGAATGAAAAGAATCATTTTGCACTGCACGCGCTCCTCAAAAAGCCAAATTTGGTAATTTTTTGTTTACCATTGGAAATTCTTTGCATAGGTTGTTTATCTTTATTACAAGTTCTAGTCTAAATAGAGCAAGACCCTTCTCCAAATGCAATCCGTCACTATACATACCTGTGTTTATATATCTGTACCTACTTGATCACACTTTAGTTGTATGTTTGTTTTGTATTTTAGAAGTTTTAGATGATCTAACATTAGCAACTATAAAATATTATTCATCTGAAAAATAATGGTTCCCCTTCTACCCCCTGGCTGTTATACGAATATTAAAGTTCATAGTACATTTTCAAGCGACAAGGAACTGGTAGTATCGAGATACTTGTCATGAAAATACTCTATGTTTCAAAATATAGGAAATTATCCGGAATGATATGTCCTCCATTTTCACCCCTATTGAGATTTCCTATCTAATTTTTACGTTATGAAACCTCTGAATGTCCTCTACGTTACATCAGTACTTTACAACGTGCTCTGTTCTAAAAAGGAAATTCGTGATTCTTATTCTTCAAGCTATAGTAGACTAATTAGTATGTAGATACTTCACCTAGACTCTCATATGAATATAGATCCTCATATGAATATAGATCTTGAACCCTTTAACCTCTCATCCAGACGACAATATTTTGCAGGAAAATATTATCTAATATCATATAGTTGTTGTGATTATTTTACGTTTTCCCCATATTTTATTTCATCTTCACTTTGCAGCCATTTCCATCAAAACTATATATTTGCAAAATATCATCTAAAATTATATTCAGATACAACTTTCCTAAATTATTTTTAAAATAAGGTTGTTTTCAAACAACTTCCACCTTTTCATTGGTATAAAATATAATCATCACCTTCCTGGTGATATTTCTCTTTAGTTTATCTGAACATTCTATTTAGGGTTAATCACGTTGGCACTTTACACTTAATTCCTTAGCTATATACAGGAATTATGGTTTATGTACGCAAAAATTAAATTGCTTAATAGTCACCCGATTTAGATTGGCAGATCATGAATCTAGGAGAGCACAACTATAAAGAATAAAAATCATTTATTTGATCCCTTTTATATATACTTCAATCAATTGTATAGTATTGGATATTTATAAGAGCTTCGATCGGATTAATTATAACCATATATCAATTGAATTTGGTGTGATTCTTATATTTAAAATTTTTTGTGTCACATAACACTCCCTATAATCAGTATATATTACTATTACTTATAAAGGAGTGAATATTTTCAACAAGTAAAATTGATTGATTGGAATCATTTTTATCTTACTAAGAGATTGGTCTAGCAAAATCTGAATTGAGTATCAATTTGAAATTCTTAAGTTTAAACCTTGGAAGAATTATCTATTTGATTTGAGTGACCCTTTTACTATTCTTGTGGGTGATAATATAAGGATGAATAAGAATTCGGTAATGATTCATGACATACAAGAAGACGAAATAATGGATGTTGACCTTATTTCCAATGAGATTGAGAATGAGATCATCACCGTTGACGATGTAGATGAAGATGATGAAGTTATTCAAGTCGATGAAGACATCGAAGCAGAAGAAGGAGACAATGAAGACGATGAAGATGAAGATGAACTTGAACTTGATGATGACGATGACATAGCAGAAGATGAAGTAGAAGTCATTGAAGCTGGAATTAAGCGGAACAACCAAAAACCTGTGAATGGTGGCATACTGGATAGAGTAAATCCAAAAGCGAATAACTTTAAAGATTTGGCAAAACGTCTTATGAAACCAATTCCAGATTACCCCATATTAGAGGAAACTTGGAATGTGTGGGAAATTAAGGATTGGAATAGTTTGAAGGAAGATAAGGTTCGGGGTCCAACCTTCAAGTGTGGGAATTATGAATGGAATATCCTTCTTTTCCCCAATGGAAACAACAACAATCAATTGGCAGTCTATCTCGAACCGCACCCATTGAATAAAGATGACTCTGATTGGTACGCCTGTGCCCAATTCGGATTGGATATTTGGAACCCGAATCACCCTGAATCCCATATTTCAAGTGGATCATATCATAGATTTAATCGGAATGAAACCGATTGGGGGTTCTCAAATTTCCTTGACTTGAAAAGTTTATATTCACCATCATTCTTAAAGCAACAATCACCACATGTCACCAATGCAATTCTTGAAAACAATAAAGTTAACATCACTGCTTATGTGAAAGTTATCGATGATACTTCAACTGGTGTATTATGGCATTCATTTTTGGACTATGATTCCAAGGAATCATCTGGATTCGTTGGGTTGAACAATCAAGGTGCCACTTGTTACTTAAATTCGCTTTTACAATCATATTATACTACCAAAAACTTCAGGAAACTTGTTTATCAAATTCCTACCGAAACTCATATCAAGGGGAAATCAGTTCCCTTATCACTTCAAAGGATTTTTTATCAACTTCAAAATTCAAATGAACCTGTAGGAACATTAGAATTAACAAAATCGTTTGGTTGGGATTCTAGCGACGCGTTTACACAACATGATGTTCAAGAATTAAATCGTATTTTAATGGATAAATTGGAAAGTGCTATCAAAGGCACTCCAATTGAAGGTGAACTTAACAATATTTTTGTTGGGAAAATGAAATCGTATATTAAATGTGTTAATGTACCATATGAATCATCCAGAGTGGAAGACTTTTGGGATATTCAATTAAATGTAAAAGGATTTAAAACCTTGGAAGAGGCATTTAAGAATTACATTGAAGTTGAAATGTTGGAAGGTGAAAATAAGTATCAAGCTGGAGATGAATATGGATACCAAGATGCTAAAAAGGGGGTTGTTTTTGAGTCATTCCCACCGGTATTACATTTGCAATTAAAAAGATTTGAATACGACTTCATGATTGATGACTTAGTGAAGATCGATGACAATTATGAATTTCCCGATTCAATTGATTTATCACCATATTTGGATGAAGAACTCCCCACTAGTATTAAACAAGAAAACTGGACTTACAAATTGCATGGGGTTTTAGTTCATCAAGGAAGCATTTCAAATGGGCATTATTATGCTCTTATTAAACCTGGAGGCACGAAAAATGAATGGCTAAGATTTGATGATGATAAAGTATGGAAAGTTACGCCTAATCAAGTATTTTATGAAAATTTTGGAGCAAATGAATGTTCTCCTGAAACTCTTGTTAAAATGCAAAAATCAGAACAGAATGAATACATTATGAGACGTACAACTTCAGCATATATGTTGGTGTATTACCGCGAATCTGACTTAGCAACTGTTTTACCCGATGATAATAACCTGATTGATGAGGTTATCCCTGAACATGTGCCAAGAAAATTAAATGCTGAATTAGAAGAAAGGGCTAACATCGAACGTGCGAAACAAGAAGCTCTCTATTATATTAATGTCAAAATTACTACGAATGATAATTTTAACAATTATAATGCATTTGATTTATTTCCAGATTCTACCAATGAGAAATTTTATGAACCAAGTTTGTATGATCCTAAATCTAATCCTTTGATAATGAAAGTTAAACGGGAGGAATCATTTAAGATGTTTTACTTGCAAGTTGGAGTGCAATTGAAGTATATATCCGAGTCTGTTTTGAAAGAACCACTTGAAACTATCAATATCAAGAATCTTCCATACAGATTAATTTCGATGAACCATCGCCAAAATCATACAAACCGTTCAGATACACCTGTACCGGATGATTTGTTCGACAATACAGTCGTGCAAGTATTTTTGGAATGTTTCAATAGGAAATATGATGAAATGAGTTTCTATGTCGAAGAAGCTAACAAAGATTTACTCACTATTGCCTCAAAATTATCCGAAGGATTAAAGACACCCAATGAATTTAATTTTAAGGATGTGCTTCTGAAACTTTCAAGTAATAATGAACCAACTACTGATGGAAATGAATTTTCAAATATTTTTGAACGTTCACCAAATATTTTATTATTTGTAAAATATTTTGATCCAATCACTGGTGAAGTTAGAGGATTAACTCATGCAAATGTTTTAAAAGATGAACCAATTAAATCATTGATTGACCCAATCAATAAATTACTTGGATTTGTCAAAGATACCCGATTGATCATATTTGAAGAATTGTCTCCTAACAAATTAGAGGCCTTACAAGTTGACTCAACTTTTGAAAAGAATGAACTTTCTAACGGAGATATTTTATGTATTCAACCATATGACTATGACTCTACCGGAGTCAAATATGATTCCTTAAAATCTTATTATAAATTTATTTTGACCAGATTTCATGTGGCAGTGTCTCCATTTTATCCAAATGAGGATGAAGAGGACACTGAATTTGTCAAGTCCGATGAAGATGCTACCAAGTTTGCCAAAGATGGTACTCCGATAGCAACTAACCCAACTTCTGGGAGTTCCTTCGACTTTTGGGTGTCCATGCAATCTAGTTATATTGAATTTGCCACAGAGATTGCTGATAGAATTGGTGGAGGTGTGGATCCTGAATATTTAAGAATTTTTGCCGTTAATAATCAAAGAAGATTCCCATTGAAGCGTTCAACTCCAATTTCTCAAATATTTGGAAAAGCAGTCCTTGCTTCACAAATTACTAATTTTGAATATGAAATATTGAGCATTCCTTTAGAAGAATATGAAAACATGAAATTAATTAAATTGAATTGGTTATCAAGTTTAATTCATTATCAGACATTTGAGTTTTTAGTCCCAAAAAAGAGTATTGTTGGTGAAGATTTAATGACTAAATTATTACACAAGATTGATATCAACCCAGATCATTTGGGAGATATTCTAGTTTGGTCTGGTATTAATCATAAATATGTCGACTTGATAAAGTTTGATAGGGAGATTAGTAGTATTCCTGATACATTTGATCTTTTCGCTGGAATTTTCCCAGCTGAAGTTGAAACTTTAGTCAATTATGATATGCTTAAAAGATTTGATGGTCCAAAGGAAGAGTTGCCTTCTACAAATGGTAGATCATCTCTTACTCCAGAGCTTGAAGAAACTCATGGTTACGAATTGCGTCAAGTGAAATATCATAACCGTAAATTAAATGTGATTCCTGGATTCCATTTCCATAAGAATTCATCTTATCATCATGGTATTCCATTCATTTTCCCAGTATTCCCATCTGAAAAATTCAGTGATACAAAAGCTAGGTTACGGTCAAAGTTGGGTTTAGGTATAAAGGAATTTGAAAAAATAAAGTTTGCCTTGGCCGATATCAATGACAAGGGCCGTTATATTGACCATGAAAATGATGATTTCATATTATACGAAGAGCTTAAAAAGCACACGGAACAACTTTCATTGGCATTAGATCACCCTGATAGATCGCCTCGTAGGCAATCTCAATTTGATAGAGGTATTTCCATAAAATGATTTCCATTCCATTGATAGTTATCTAATTACATAAATGAATAATATGAGGGTTTTTTGATTATTACTATTATTACTATTGTTTTTTCATAGATTCTTCCTTTCTAATATCAGTAGAACTCAATTTCCCTTCCCAATTATTTTCTTCATTCCCTTGACCACCAATAACTTCAATTTTAATGATTTTAAGAGGTGGAAATTCCTTCTCCTTTCTAAAGTTGTTTACAAAGTCTCCACCTTTTGCCGATTCAGCACTTACAATTAATGCATCGATTTCCTTAATGAAACCAGTAGGTCCACATACATCTTCTATCATGTAACAATCGAGAGCAATAGTTTCACTCGAAATCTTAGTTATAAAGGATTTCACAGTTGCTTCTCTAACGTGATATGATTCGAGATATTCCTTATATTTTTTATTTACCAACAATTTTGGTCCAGTTATCCCCACAATTAAAGTCTTTGAAGTTAAAAAGCTCGCCATCGAGAGTAAGATTTTATGACCATCATGCATATGATCAAAAGTACCACCTACTGCAACCACAGGGAAATTTTGGAAAGTATTATCACTTTTCTTGTGGTTATCGATATGTTGTTTCTCAACAATTAGTTCATCCAAACTTTTTACACCTTCATACTTCTCAACAGAAACATCATTAGATTTCAGTACAATGGTATATTGATCAACATTCACATCCAATTTATTAAATATAACATTTATTTCAAATGTATAATCCAAACCTAACTTTGTAGCCTTTGATCTTATTGTTGAATATATATCCGATAGTATGAAGTTAAGATCATCCGAATTTGATATTTGAGATATGATTAAAATATCAATTAATTTGATATCTGGATATAATTTTGAAAGAAATTGAGAATATATATTTGAGTAATCCTTCTTGATTGGATTGTTCAATATAAGAATTCCACTCATTATATGTAAAAATAGATTTAGATAGGTAGAAACAATTGTGGGGGTGTACTTTATCAACTGTCACAATCATTATATATTTAATGTGCCACACACGACGCACAACATGTACAGGAGGGTTATATTGATGAGATGATGAGTGATGATGGAAACATATCAAAGGATAATAATTATATAGAATAAGAGATAGAAAAGAGGATGAATATATCTAATGATGAATATCTTAGAACCTTAAAGTTGAGGGCTAGAGGAGAAGAAAATCATGTTATAGAATCTACCAATCAAACAGAATTACAACGTCAAAGATCGTCATGGAAATCAATCAAACAAACTATTGATGATTTACTCTATAGTTGTAACCCTGCTTCTGATGTTAAGGACATTGTAAAGAAATTATTTGAAATCAATCTATTGAGAGCAAAGGGACTTTTAATTCGTTCAATGATGAAGATTCAATCCAAAAATATAACTAGACTTAGTCCAATATTTGCATCAATTATATCAGTTGTTAATTCTAAAATACCTGATATAGGGGAACTTTTAATCAATAGATTAATTCTCCAGTTCAAAAGAGCTTACAGAAAGAATAATATTCAATTCTGTATGGCATCCATAATATTCATTTGCCATTTAGTAAATCAAAAGGTTAATAGTGAAATTCTTTTGTTACAAATCTTACAGATGTTGTTAACAAAGCCTACTAGTGGTACGTTAAAACTAAGTGTAACGATTTTAAGCCATTCTGGTAAGGCACTCGATGAAACTTCACCAGTTGCCAATAACATGATTTTCGAAAAATTACGAAATCTTTTACACGAGGGTAATTTGTCTAGACCAACTGAATTAAATATTGAGAGATTATTCAAGATTAGAAAGTTTCAATTTAAAGATTTTCCTATAATAATGGAAGGATATGATTTAGTAGAAGCTGAAGATCAAATAACTCATAATATTTTATTTGATGAAGAAGATTTAAAATCCCAAGATAGATTAAATGTGTTTAAATTTGATGAAGATTATGAAAAGTTAGAGCAAGAATATAAAGAATTAAAGGATGAAATATTAGGAAATGAAGAAGATGAAATTAAACAAGATGAAATAGAAGAATCAGAAGAAAATGATAATAAATTAAAGATTTCTGATATGACAGATTCAGAATTACAAAATTTCCAAAAGACTGTTTATTTAACAGTAATGTCCAGTATGTCATCCGATGAAGCTGTACATAAATTGATGAAGTTATCAACACAAAGAAAGAGCAAAGATAATGATATAACCTTGGTTGATATGATTGTTAAATGTTGCTCACAGGAAAAGACATATACAAAATATTATGGAGTTATTGGGGAAAGATTATGTTACCAGAATGAAAAATGGCACCAAGCATTTATAATTAATTTTAAGAATTATTATGAGAAGATTCATCAGTTTGAAGCAAATTCATTAAGAAATATTGCTAAATTTTGGGGTCATATGTTTGCACTGGATAGATTAGCTATTGATAAGAGTTGGAATGAAATACAACTTACTGAAGAAGAAACAAATGCCGCTAGCAGAATTTTCATCAAATTTATGTTTCAAGAGATGGTTGAAGAATTGGGCATTAAAGAATTGAAGGAAAGAGTTACAGAAGACTTTATTAAACCTAGTATTCGAGGAATTTTCCCAGTGATAGACACCAAATGGGATGATGCGGATAATTTAAGATTTTCAATTAATTTCTTCACTGCCATTGGCCTTGGTGTATTAACTGAAGAAATGAGAGATGTTTTAAAGAACCTTCCACCAGAAGAAAGAGGTAGAAGTAGAAGTCGATCAAGAAATGATTCACGTTCAGGATCTTCGAGGTCATTTTCAAGATCGAGATCAAGTTCATATTCAAGATCGAGATCAAGATCATACTCAAGGTCTAGATCAAGATCATATTCAAGGTCAAGGTCAAGGTCAAGATCTTATTCAAGATCAAGGTCAAGATCTTATTCAAGATCACGTTCTGTATCACGTGATAGATCAACATCACCTAATCAATCTGAACCAATTTCTAGATCACCATCAAATAATAGATCAATTAATCCAAAACTCAGTAGATCTGAGTCAAAATCCCCATCTAGAGATTCAAAGAAGAGGAAAGTTGTGAGTTAATGTTGTTATAGAAATTTTAGGTTAAAATGAAAAATAGCAAAGTTATGAAAATATACAAAAGACTTATCGGGTCATTTTTTTATTTTTATCTCGGACATATCGGGCATGCGGGCGCAACCGGGTCCCTCGAATAATCAGAATATGCGGAAATTGGCGAATAAGAGCACTTAAAAATAATACATACTGTATATTAACTCAGTTATTGGATATAAATAAAAAATTTTCGCATTTGTGTCACGTTTTTGTAGTTTAGTATAAAGGGAACACAATTGTACTTGAGATGTTTTTTCAATTTTATTTTGATTCTTTAGTTACTAGGTTTATATCAACTAACTTATTTATTCATCAACATGCCAGCTCCATTTGAAAAAGGTTCCGAAAAGAAGGGTGCTACTCTCTTCAAGACTAGATGTTTGCAATGTCACACCGTTGAACAAGGTGGTCCACACAAGGTTGGTCCAAACTTGCACGGTGTTATGGGTAGAAAGTCCGGTTTGGCTGAAGGTTACTCTTACACTGACGCCAACAAGAAGAAGGGTGTTGAATGGACTGAACAAAACATGTCTGACTACTTGGAAAACCCAAAGAAGTACATTCCAGGTACCAAGATGGCTTTCGGTGGTTTGAAGAAGGCCAAGGACAGAAACGACTTGGTTACTTACTTGGCTTCTGCTACCAAATAGACAATAGAATAACCTCTGTACATATATAAAATAATATCTGATGTCGCTGTGAACACTATTTTCGTAGAGCTTCAATTGTATTTTTATTCATATATATATTTTTTTTTTTCATTGATCGTATATTTTGCTCATGTTCTATTTTGTATGGGGAATAAATTTCGCGTGGCTCAGTCTTTTTAGAGAGACTCATGATTTGAAAATGACTCTCTTACGTAATTTCTTTTAGTTTCATTTTTTAATTTTTTTTTTTGTTTCTCCAGGAATTTTAAATATACTGGATCCTGCGTACAAATCAAAGGTTTTTCCACCATACAAACACTTTGATTAGGAAAGAATTAGATTTAGTTTCTATATATACATATCTATAATATAATAAACTAATATGGATAATTTCAAGATACCAGTGGAGGTGGATCCAACTGAAGATACAGAATGGAATGATATTTTAAGAGAAAAGGGAATTATTCCTCAAAGACCACCTTCACCAACAGAAGAACTTGACAACATGTTGGAAGAAGCAGTAAGAAAGCAACATGAAAATAGACTTGAAAACAAAGATATGGATGAATTAGATGCACTTGAAGAAGAAGAAGATGAAGAATTTTTAAATTTCTATAAACAAAAACGGATGAAACAAATTGAAGAACTTACCAAAAAACAAAAATTTGGATCAGTTTACCCAGTCACCAAACCAGAATACAAAGAAGAAGTTACCGATGCTTCTATGGATAATTTTGTATTCTTACACATGTCACTTAGTTCTAATTTACAAAGTAGACTTTTATCAGCATTGACGAGTCAATTAGCATCCAAATTCCCAGAAATCAAATTTTGTGAAATTCCAGCTAATAGATGTGTTGAAAATTACCCTGAATCAAATTGTCCAACCATTATCATATACCACAATAAAGATGTCATCAAACAATACGTGACACTTATGCAACTTGGAGGTAATGATGCCAAACTTGCGGATTTGGAACGCGTCTTGGTTGCAGTAGATGCGGTTAAAGATTCAGACAAACGTTTACTTTCAAATCAAGAAGATGAAGATCTTGAAGAGGAAAGAAAAATGAGATTTGTAAAGAAATCTGTAAGAGGTAGAAGTAATTACTATGATGATGAAGAAGATGATGATTTTTATGATTAAACCAATATATAGATAGGGAAGGATAGAGAATGATTAAATTTTGAATATAGAGCTTTCACTTAAGAATTTTATATATAGTAGTCTTTTAAATATTTATTGTTAGTTTTCATGGGTCTACTATTGTTAAATTTACTTTTCTTTGTACAATTAATAATATTAATTAATATTTTTTAATTTGATATTTTTCAATATCGTCTATACTTTACACAGTACGAAATCGCTATCGGAGGATTTGAGAACATTACCAAAGAAGTCACAGGACCACTAAACTAAATAGAAGCACCTTTTAACACACCCTGAACCCATCCAGAGTCATTGTTCAAGCATACAACCTCTCTAGATCATCTTGACAGAGACTACAAATATATTTAACGGGGGAATCATTATATCATTGAAACGTTTACAGTTACCCATCTTCATTCAATCTCATCAATTGTGATTCAGTTTCTTTTTTTTTTTTACAAAAAAAGACCACAGGGTGAACTCAATTTTTAATACATATATCATACTTTTAACCGTCTACATTCAGATCTATGTCATCGAGAAAGACTCTCCCCGGAGGTGGTGCTGTTCCTGAAGGAAAACCAATGGTACAAACCACTCAAGAACGAACCCCTCCTCCCGATAACTTCTCCAGCATTAAACCTTGTTCACATATAACAACCGTTCTTGATTCACAAGCTAAAGATAATGTATTTCTTACCTATAGACATGCAGTGAACATCTCACAGGTTATGGCCGACAATAGATACTATACACAAAAGAAAGATGGCACTAAGGTTGCCAACAAAAAATTACTTGAACTTAAATCAGAAGCACTTCATTGCACAGATTGTTCAATGAATAATTTCCATAATAATTTCATTTGTTTACAATGTCCACACGTTGGATGTTTTAATGAATTGAATCACTCATATAAGCATTTCAAAAATAACCAACATTTTTTTGGCATTGATTCTCATAATGGATTACTTTATTGCTTTATGTGCGGAAACTATATCAATGATCCCCAACTAGAAAAGATTAGATTAGAAGCAATAAATGGGGGAGTAGGATCAGGAGGATCAGGAGGCAATGCTCTTGATGAAGGACTTGATAATTCTGCTGAGATCGATTTGCATTATACTGCACCCCATTACAAGGCCACTACAGGATTGAAAGGATTTGTTAATTTGGGATCTACATGCTTTATGAGTTGTATTTTACAAACTTTTATTCATAATCCAATCATTAGAAATCAATTTTTCAATAATGATTTACATTATTTTAATTGTGAAAGTACATCAGAATATCATTTCCCAAATGGTTCCATCGATGAATCAAATGCATGTGTCACTTGTAGTATTGATAGCATATTCAAAAATTTTTATGCTTCAAGTGATACCGAAGGGTTTGGGATGACAAACTTACTTCTTACAGCTTGGTACAAGAAAAAATCACTTGCTGGATTCCAAGAACAAGATGCTCATGAATTTTGGCAATTTATTTTGGATGAATTTCATCAAGATCATGAAAGAGTTTTAAAACTAAGTGGAGAAAATTCTAATACTTCATCATCTTCTACATCCCCAGATGATTGTAAATGCATAACTCATACAACATTCTATGGACAATTAGAAAGTTCTATCAAATGTTTATCATGCGATTCTGTTACCAATACGATTGATCCAACAGTTGATTTATCATTGGAAATCCGCAGAATTAAAAATAAAAATTCCAAAGAAGAGTTAACCCTTTATGATTGTCTTGATTTATTTACAAAGGAGGAAAAGCTTGATGCTATGTATAAATGTCAATATTGTGGAGAAAGATCCGAAGCAACTAAATGTTTGAAAATTAAACGAAACCCTCCAGTGTTGGGGATTCAACTAAAGAGATTTGCTCACAATTTAACCAGCGATAAATCTACAAAAGTCGAGACACCAGTAAAAATCCCATTGTTTTTAAATATTAGCAAGTATACTACATTGTCTTTAAACAAACAATCCGAGGAAATTAATGGGAACGAAGTCTACGAATTGTTCGCCATGGTTTGCCATATGGGATCTGTAAATACGGGACATTATGTCGCAGTTGTTAAAGATGGTAATGGACAATGGTTTAGATTTGATGACAGTGTTATTTCATTAGTTTCCCAAGAAGATGTGATGAATACAAATGCTTACTTGTTATTTTACATAGCACATAAAATTTAATATTACTAATAACATAATAATTCACATTATGACAAGAAAAATTCTGAAAGTACAATGTATACAAGAAAAATAAAAGTAAATTCAGTAGAGTAATAAACAATAAATATAGCAAGTGAACTAGAACTTATATGTTGCAACTCTCCATTCATTCAACAGAAGAGGAAAGGTTTCGAGCGTGTATTTTTTTTTCCTGATTTTAAGGCACGCACAATCAAATAGATTCTAAAACAAAAACCCGCAGTATTCCGACAGTTGACATGCACTGTCAAGTTGCCACAAAAAATATATCCCTGTATTAGTGAATGCGTGTATTTCTTTTGATACTTTGAACGAAGGGTTAATTATTTTTAACTGAAATACAATAAATACCTCAATTTACCAGGAATGAAAACAAATAGATAGAACTCTAATCCGAGGGTCCAATTTTAGACATTTTATGGTAGATCACCTTTAGTATGTTTACGTTCCATACAGAAATGTGTTGCGATGCAATGTCGCAGCCTAGATTGTAGGCAAGTATATTTTATCCGATTTCTTTTTTTTTATTTTATTATTTTTCAGTTTCGTTTCCCGTTCTAGGTATATGAGAATTTTAGAATAGTAATTACGAGCCTAGATTTGTCAGGGATACCTGCTTTTACTACTTCAACTTTTCCATGCATGATAGTACGAATAATAAGAGACAATATACGTATCAAATTAACAATAAATTAGCATTATATTTGAATCTATAGACACCTTTTGTATCTTCTGAAGAATGTATCAGCTTGCTAGGGTGTTACTAAATTGTCCCTGTATCACCCTACTACAGCTGTTTCCTGAACGAGCAATAGAAAGGTTTCAAAGTTGCATGTGTTTTAGATTGATCCGCGATGCACCTTTTCGAAACTGCGGCTCTCCTGGTATGCCAACATAGGAAATACCACCGATACTGCCATCCCTCACCTCGCTTATTTCGAATCAGGTATAAAATTCCTCTCCTATCCATTATTAAGGTACTTAATTCCTTCCATTTCCCCCTGAAATATTTCAAGCTTCTACTGCTGCTAGTAAAAATAAATTCCTTCCATTTCCACTCTTTACTCCCCACCCTCCCCGGTATTCTTAGTTACACATCGTTTTAGTAACGCGCACATTCACTCCTTCAAATTTCTTTCATTAAATGATTCTTATACACGCAATTTATTTGCTGTACTTTCTTGCTGCAGTATTAGGGGCACCTATTGGACAAGGCTTTAATCCTTATTCTGCATTTGATGATGCCTTCAATGCAACATGGAGTACATTTTGGAACTGGGGTCAACAAGGTTGGACTGGATCTAGTTGTCCAGGCGATGCATTTGCACCTCCTGCACTTTGGGATCTGGCGGTAGCAGGTGGTGCAGCAGTTGCTACTAAAAACCCATGGTTGGCCCAACAAGTAACCACACAATTGCTTAGGTATAAAAATGCCGAAACAGGTGGATACTCGGCCACTACAGCGGGTGATAAAGATATGTACACTGACGACAATGCTCAAGTTATCTGGGTATATATTGATGCTTATGGATACACTGGAAATAGTGATTATCTTCAAGAAGCACAAAACATTTTGTCATTCATTAAATCTCAGTGGGTGAGTAACGGCGGAGGTGTTAAATGGCTGTACACTGGTGATTATATTGCTTCAATTTCTAATGCTGAAGCAGCATTAGCAGCATTGAAGATTTATGAGTATTCTCATGACGATCTGGATTTGGAATTCGCTAAAACTTCAATCAATTGGCTTGCTGATAATTTGGAAGACCCTTCGGATCATTTATTTTATGATGGGAAAACAATCTCTTCTGGTGCAGTGAATAAGGGTAAATTATCTTACACTGTTGGTGTCGCTATTTCTGCTTATGCGTACTTGTATAAGTTTGAAAATGATTCGAAATGGCTCCAAAAGGCCAATGTTTTAGTGAATGCCTCCGCCAAAGGTACTGGAGTTCTTTATGCAGCCAATGGCTACTGGAATAATCAACTCAAATACTTGAATTTATTGTTCTCTGGCCTTGCCGATTTCGCAAACATTTCTCCCAATTCTATCGACCAATGGAAAACTCAACAAAGTGTGGTACAGGAAATAAATAGACAAGCAAAGTTTATTTATTCTTATTATCAAGATGGTACTTCTGGTACTTATTTTGATGATATTAGTACCGCCCCACAGAATGTCTATGCTAAATATGCAGCTTCTTTTTCAACTTCTGAATCAAGTTCTCCTGCATCTCTGTGTTCAAATGGTGCTACAAAGTTATCTTTATTAACTCAAGGTTCTGCTGCTAGAATCTTCTATGACGTATGGAGGGCATAAATTTGATTCCATATCTCTGTTTAGATACCCACAAAATTATTTTCAGTTTCTTTTATAATAAACTTCTTTAAGAAGAGTCTTTATGTTAATCTATCTCTTTTTTTATAAACCCCCAAAAATATTAAAGCACGTTCATCTTTGTATAATAGAATTTATCAAGTTTCATTAGTTTTCGTGTAAGCAGATAATAATTCTTGATCTAAGGCGATAACTTCTTCCTTCAATTGTAATAACTTTTGATTTTCGTTGTCTTTCATCCATAATTGATGCACCATTTGTTCAGATTCGACATATTTTAATGAAACTTCATTTACAAGGGTTTCCAATTGTTTTATTTCTTCTTGATATTTTTCTTTGATTTTCTTTATCCGATTTTCATGTCTTTTAGCATAAAGAGCTTTATACTTTTTCATCGCAGAGTTAGGATGTTGTTGAGACGCTCTCAATTCTTGTAGGATTTCATTCAATTGGGTTATTTTGTCTTGAAGTTCACTGTTTGTGAATTGAGCCTGCTCAAAATCTTCTTTACTGATTAAAATTGAAGTATTGGCAGTTTCTATATGTGCGCTTGTATTAACTTCTGAACTTTGAAGATCAAGACGAGTTGTATTTAATTCTGATGTAACCTCTTTAATTTCCTTTTCTAATAAAGATATTCTTTCATGTAATTTGCCATTCTCTTCAACAAGCATTTGTGCACTTCTATATGCATTTTTTGCTTCATTTCTTAACCCAGATTCAGTTTCTCGACCTGTGATTGTTTGTTGAACTTTTTCAAATGATTTTTGCAACTCTTCACGAAGTAATACAACTTCATGCTCCAATCGATTATTTGCCTCACCATCGTCCAAAATTTTATTTCTAGACTTCTTTTCTTTAATCCCTTTGTCAATCGTTTGTTTCAATTTCTTATTTTCATTTGTTAATAACTTATTTTCATTTATTAATGACTTCTTTTCCTTCAATAATACTTTAATATATTCATTTAAATCTTTATTATCCTTTTCCATATCCTTAACTGTACTTAGTTTATCTATGTCTCGTTGTAAGACTTTAATTAATTTCCTTTGGTTTTCAATTTCTGCTTCTTTCTTACTCAATGCTCGTTGATGAATTGAATCTTTTGTAGTTGAAACTTCATCTACAAGGGATTCTTGTCGTCTATCCCATTCATAAGCAGTAATTTGATTTTGTTCAGATTCTTTTTGTAAACGGGAAATAACTCTCTTTACACTTTGGAAGAAACTTTCCCTAAGTTTTAGTTGTTCTTCAGTATTTTCAAGTAAATATTTGAGTCTTTCCTTATCATCTCTCAAACTAGATGCATTTCTTCTACCCTTCTCATATGTCCTTGCCTTATCTTCCACCTCTGCGAGCTGCCTCGAAAGTTGCTCTAGATCAGTCTCTCTCGGCATGACTACAATTGAATATATTATATTATTAACGGTTGCATTTTACTTTTATAAATTATTTTTAAATTCAATATTTCTCACAGACGCGAAATCCCATTTCATATGCATATAAAAGTACTAGTAATATATCTTACATTTGTTTTATTAGTAGTAATATATTGGGTATTATAAACTTATAAATTGATATAATGTTTAATCTAATGTACAACAAGAATTATAAGAATTTTAAGAACCTTGTAATTCATTTTAGTTTTTTTTCTTCTCATTTTGCCTCCTAACCAATTTTTTATTCTATTCGTTAAAAGATCCAATCCATTGGATACTATGTTTATTCAAAATCATAGTCATCAATGTCAGCCTTCTCACACATAGTTCTGAAAATACCAGCCTTGTTGTATAAGTTACGTGGAGTATCTCTTTGGATAACACGTCCTTGATCCATAACCATGATTCTATCGTAGTGTAAAATCGTCTTTAATCTATGAGCAATACACAAGATGGTACATTGTGAGAATTCATTTGCAATTGTTTGTTGAATCTTTGCATCGGTTTCATAATCAACAGATGAAGTGGCTTCATCAAGAACCAAAATCTTTGGTTTACGAACCATTGATCTTGCCAAGGCAATCAATTGTCTTTCACCAAATGAAAAGTTAACACCTTCATCCTCAACGATTTGATCCAAATGGAATTTATGAAGTGAATCATATCCAAGATTATTTTCATGATCAACTTTACTAGATTTAACTCTAGCAAGTTCATGTTCTTCAATTAAACCAGATCTTCTAAGAGTGTCCCACAAGAATTCGTCAGAAAATTCTTGGAATGGATCCAAGTTCTTTCTAACAGATCCTTGAAATAATACTGGATCTTGTGGAATAATAGACAATCTTGATCTCAAATCAAATAAACCAAGTTCACTAATATTCAAACCATCAATAGAAATAGATCCACCGTCTAATTCAACCAATCTGTACAATGCAGTCATAATCGAAGACTTACCAGCACCAGTTCTACCACAGATACCGATTTTTTCTCCTGGGTAAACATCAAAGTTCAAGTTTTTAATTGCAAGTGGCAAGTTTTCTCTATAACGCAAAGATACATCCTTAAATTGAATGTATCCAGATGGTGGCCATTCAGGTGGTGGAGTAAATTCAGATTTCTTGTAAGCAGCTTCTTGTGGAAGGTTATAAGCATATTGATATAATCTTTCAACAGAATTCATTTCATTTTCAACTTGGGTCATGGATCTAATAGTCAAAGATAACAAACCAACAATTTGAATGACATAGTTCAAAAGCAAACCTGTTGATTCGGGACTAATGTCAAATTGTTCAGTGATACACAACAAGCAAATGATCAAGGCAAAGGCAGCAGCAATGATATCTAAATGAATACCTAACCATCTTTGGTTTGCAATCGACAAATAATAAGCTTCGTTCATTTGGTTGATGAATTTGTCATTCTTCTTGATAAAGGTATCCTCAGCATTGTAAGCCTTAATTGTACTCAAACCAGTTAAAGTTTCATTAAAGTTGTTATAGACAAGAGATCTTTGAGTAGCTTCGAGTCTCTTAATTTCTCGTGAAGAACCTTGGTAAAAATCAGCAATCAACAAGAAAGCAAATCCTAAAAATGGAACTGCAACAGCAAACCAAGGTAAATAACAAATACACAAAACAATGATACCAATGATCATGGCCATTGGGAACAAGAATAAACGTAATTGTTCACCAAGTTCATTATCCAAAGAGTCAGTATCTTTAGTGAATCTATTCAAAATTCTACCCATTGGATTAGTATCCATGAAACTCATTGGGGTATGTAAAATCTTTTCAACAGCACCAACATTCAACAATCTAGCAGAATTATTGTTCATGTAACCCAAGAGTGAAAATTCCATTGCTGTGAAGATGACAGTTAAGAAAGCAAACATAATGTAGATGGCAACGTAAAAGTTATCTGATCTACCAGGGAACTTCTTCTCTTGCCAAAATGATAACCAGGTGTTGGTGAAAACTTGACAAAAGGTGGAAATTGCCATTACAAGAAGAAACAAAGGAGCACCAGCAAAACCAAACATACCATTACCTAAGGAAATGTACTTTTTGTAAATATTCCAAGATATGGCATTAGTGGCTTTATCTTCATCTCCAGTTAATCTACCATTCAAAGTATCTTGTTTCCGGTCATTAATAGTTGCACGGTTGGTATTTTTGATTGGTTCTCCCTGGGAGTGGGAGTCGTCTTGATCATCAATACTCTTGGCATCAGAACTGAAAATCATCAAATTTCTAAAACGGTAATTTCTAGCTTGCAACTCCTCAAATGTTCCAACATCAATTGAACCATCACCATTCAAAAATGCAATCTTGTCAGCCTTTTCAACCAAAGATAATTGATGAGTAGCCAAAATTCTGGTACGATCACACAAGTATCCTGCAAACAAGTTGTCCATAATGTGTTTACCAACTCTAGCATCTACAGCTGACAATACATCGTCAAACAAAAGAATTGGAGAGTCGGAATAGACTGCTCTGGCCAAGTTAATACGTGCCTTTTGTCCACCAGATAATGTGATACCTCTTTCACCAATTTCAGTAAAGTCTTTTCCAGGCAATTCATTGATATCATCAGTTAAACAACAAGCGTGAATAATCTTTGAATATTTGATAGCATCAAATGGCTTACCAAAGAGAATGTTTTCTCTTACAGAAGCATTTTGAATCCAAGGGGCAGCACATTGTAAAAGTTTGTGATTAATGTGAACCTGTCCGATCCCAGGATTAGACATTTTCATGACTCCTGCCAAGGCCAGTAACAATGAAGATTTTCCTGAACCAATAACACCAGTTAAAATTACAAATTCATTCTTCTTGATTGTTAAATTAATATCACGCAAACCAGGGAAATTGGTTACATTGGACTCGTAATTATCAGAGACAATTGATTGAGTTGGTTCAAACATGGTATCATTTGAAGATCTAGATGAGTTTCTATACTCGTTGTAGATTGGTTGAGGCTTCAGTGGAAGTTTAACATCCTTTTCATTGAACTTCTTACCTGCTTTCTTCTTTGATTTTGGCTTTTCATCAATTTCCCAAGATGAAGTAGATCTGAGACCGTCATGGAATGCCTCCCAGGCAAAATCAGCATGCATAACTTCAATTGCAATTGGGTTTTCTTCATCATTTTCTTTCAAACTAAAGTTGAACTCGGAGTTAGTTTCACGAGCGAGTTTGTCCTTTTCATTTTTATTAATGCGTTCCAGTTCATCTTCATCTTCACTAGCCAGTAAAAATTCAGTACAACGGTCAAATCCAATCAAGGCATCAGCACCAGTAGATAAAGCAAATGGAACTAACATGATACCCTGTGCCAAGATGGTGAATAAAGACAAGGATGCAAAGACTCTTCCTGCATTTCTGGTTTTACCAGTAGCCCAAAGAACAACAAATGAAAGCATAGAAGTTAATGTTGGTAAAGTAACTGCATAAGCAGTGATGAAATTTCTCAAGATTTTGATGGTGAACAAGTGTTTCATTTCACGAGTACGGTTTTCAGTAAGCATTCTCTTGTATGCAAATTCCCAGGCATAATACTTAATAACTTTAATATGTGTAAGCACTTCTCTCATTAACCCAACTCTCATGTCGGTGAATTTAGAAACCTTTTGACGAGTTGTGAACAAGACTTGAGTGATAGCCACACAAATAACCAATGAGACGAGAAACAACCCAATACCTGCCAAAGAAGTGACACCAATGTTGACTAAAAGTAATACAATGGAAATAATGACTGGAATTGGGAAACAAACAATCAATGGTTGGTAACCAATAGCCAAGTCAATTCTAGCCAAGTCAGTTCCCATCAATGATGTTATTTTACCCATAGGGAATTCATACTTTGCCTTAGCATTCATCTTGAATGATTTCAAGAGAATTGCCTTGGTTAAAACAGCTTTAGTTTGAGCACCAGTGATCATTGCGCTGTGGAAGAAATGGTTGACAAAGAAACCATTCAACAGAATTAAAGCAACAGATCCAATAGTTAAACCAATACCTCTGTTGTAGGTGGTGTAAATACCAAAGTAACGGTATTCAACAAAGTCAACTAAAGCTCTCGATAATAATGGAGATAATGATTGACAACAGAATGATAATGCAAGATAAAAACATGAAAGAAGGTATTGAACTTTAAATGTTTCGAAAATGGCAATGATAATCGCATATCTTGGCCATTTGAAATTATCAGTATTTGGATTAGTCTTTAAATGTTCAAATCTTGCCTTATCAAGTCTTTTGTTTAAAAATTTTTCAAATTTAGCATGCATGTACTCGACTTTCAATTCATCTTGTAAGAAGTACAAATCAGCAGGGAGTAAAGTTCTTTTATAACCCTTATAAAGTATAGGGTATAACCATAAGAACATGGTTTGGGATATGACATTGGAAGTGAGCCAAGGATATGGTTTACGTTCATCTTCGCTGGGTACAGTTGGAACGGATTTTGAGAAAAGAAATGAAAAGAGTCTCTTTTGATTCTTTAATCCTCCAGTATTTTCAAAATCTTGAGATTGACTCCTTGATGAATATGTTTGGGTATATGGACCATCGTTTTCAAGATTAGTTTGTGATGCCATTTGGTCATGAGAATTATTAGAATTCATTTTTTCTTCTTTGTTATACAGATTATCGACAAATGTATTAGTTGTATCTGAGATATCTGAATTATTGGTATGAATCAGTGAAGAACGGTAATTTGACATATGGAATCTAAAAGAGTGGAAACCGATAAAAACGGAGGTGAAGTACGTTAAAGTGAGTGAATGTACTTTTTTTTGTGGAGAAGGGGGGTAACAGAAACTAACAATTTATGTCGTTAGATAGTAAAGATCTAGTGACAAAAGGATTGTTTGTTTTATACTAAAGTCGCTTCAGGGTATAAGTCTATGCGTTCAAGTCATTTCCAAAAAAAATCTGGTAACCTGGTACTCACTTCCCTTTTATTCTTCTCCCCAATTTTCTCATGCAATATAATTAAGGTTCATTTAATTGCAATTCTGAAAAACTGCCTATTTGAGCAGGAGCTGATTTGATTGTTAATCCAAATGTGACAGAAATTTTTCTTTCACGCTGGGTGTTCGGGTGTGCTGCACGCGGGGAACGCAACTCATATATTACTTTATAAGGAATAAGAATATTTAAACTTAGGGTGTTCTGATGTACAACATTTCCTCAGAGAAGAAATTATAGATGTTATTTTATTTACATTTTGCTACTCCACAACTCAAATCGGGAAAGGGCCTCGACATTAATGAAATTACATCACAGATATTGTACACTACAATTCTAACTATGGATTCCATATACATTTATGTATCTTTCTGCTCTAGAAGTCTTTCATTATGGTCTCGAATAAGGATTGTAATTGGAGTAGTATTTAGGAGTTGCTAAGAGTTACAGGTGGTCACTCCAAAATTATGAAATTTGCGTTTTATTCAAAAAAGAAAAAAAAAAAGAAAGTAACACTCCCCCTCGCTGTACCCCCCGTCGTATTTGCGCGCAGTTAAGGAACATGTGAGAATCGGAGTTGTCATCGGAATTATAACTAAGATGGATGGCTTTGATTGAACATACAGTACTATAGAGAGTGGGCTTAAGTTTCAGAATTGTAGGTAAGAAGCTGTTCAAGAATCTGGCGACTTTGATTACAATTTAGACTTAAAATTGGTGATCCAAGAAATTGGATTAGCATAATTATCGTGTGACTTATTTAAATTTGTATATTACATGTGTAGAATAGATGTAAGTCTGTATGTATGAGAACTAGTGTCAAATATGCCAATCAAACTAGATTTGTATATATCAGAAGTCATGCGACCTAAGCGAAATGGGATTCATTTAGTCTGCCCCACATTAAATTTTTACTTACTCAGATAAGATTAGAAGCACCGCCAATACAATAGAAAAAATAAATAATAGTTTTAAAGCCATTGACGATACTGTTAAACGAAGGAAACATAGCCCCCTGGCATGCAGCCCTGACGCTGTCTCCACATCCTCCTCATCCATTTTCGACCCCTTCGTTCACTCATTTTGTTCCCTCTCGTATTTTTTATGGTATTCTGTATTAGGAAATTTTAAACCTCCGCAATTTTCCTTTTTCGGACAGAATAACGTACATCATCGTCAAAAAAAATACATATCAAACAAGTACATACCTATATACCCCGCGAGGGCAGGACATCGAAGTAGTTAACCAGCTGCTCTGTGTATTGGGTAGTTGTTTCAAATTGTTATTCACTAATCGTTATTCATTCAATATATCATATATGTTCAATAATACAATGTACAGCTAAGTTTTAATTTGGTGATTTAAAATCCAAACGGCCCCAGACCCAGTCCTGAACCTGAACCTGGACCAAATCCAAAACCAGACCCTGATCCTGATCCTGAACCATATCCTGGGGGTCCAAAGTTTCCCTGAAACCCAGGTCCCCCGATACCTTCAAACCCATCACCTGTGGTTGGGTCGTCGTATCTAGCACCGGGGGGAACTCCTGGTGGGCCAGATGGTGAACCACGTCCAAACCTTCCACTGAATAGCGGATGGTTTCCTGAAGGGTGCATCCCACCATCGCCGTACCCAGGACGATGGTCAAGATAAGGTTTCATTTCAGGGTGTTTGGGGAGACCTGGTGGGTTCAAGTCATCATCACCTATGCTTGGGAATGCATCATATGATGGTCTGGCCAGTAATGGCTCTCTACGTAATATTTCATATTCATCATCAAAATCTGGCATGTCAGGGGGTCTATTTCCTCTGTGTAAAGGTGGTTCATTATTCGATACTGTAGGAATTTTTGGTTCTCGTCCTCCATCATCGCTATCTCCTGGTCTAGATCTTTGATAATCGTTTGATCTTTGATGTTCAGTACTTATGTTTGGTACTTTTAATGTTTTAATGATAAATTCTTTCAATTGAGATATTTCTTTAATAAATCTATCTTTAAAATCTGAGGGAAGTTCCTCATTAGATCTGTCGGAATTAACCTCAAATTGGAAATCCTTTTGCCCTCCATTAACTGAGTCCAAAAATTTAATTTTAATTATATCTTCATTTGTAAAATCAATGTTAATGATAAGAGCACATGTTTGCCCTTTGAAATAAATTAATTGAGCTGTGTTAGGACCATTGGTTGACGTTCCGGTCACCACCCCAGTTACATCTCGGATCCATTCTTGAAGAATGGATATGCTTTCTTTTTGAACTTTCTCTGATGACATTATATTCAATGGAATTTATAAGATAAATGTTTGAGCTTTATAAAGATTAACAAAAAGGTATATCTATCTATCTTTGATGGCAAAATGCATATAATGTTTATTCCTGTGTATTTACTATATCCTGTATAAGGGGATAATCTGATTCAGGTTTACATGGGGAAGAGTTTGGGTAGCAATATTATATTTGTTGAGTTACAACTAGTTTATATTAATAAATTTCATTGGAATTCATAAGTAGTCTCTTAATAACCATTTGTAAAAATAATACAACAAATTATATTTATTCAAATTTGAATTTCAGATTTGAATTTTTGTTAGATATTTTTCCTTTCGATAAATTTTTATTATTTAATGTTAATTTATTAGTAAAAAATATATATATTCTTTTGAAATCAAACGATTTACATCAAGCGAATATCTCATGAAAACATGCTTTTCTAACTCTCTTATTTCTTCTTAATCTTGTACGGCTAAATATTGGCGGGGGAGCAACAATAGAAATGCTGCAGCTCTAATCAACCCTTAATTACAGATATATTACAAATAGACACAAAATCAAGTACACAAAAGTGTGTTGACTTTATATGGTGGAACAAAAAGTTATACAACGTACAGTAGTTACTAGATTCATACATATGATTACTCAAGGCGTAAGCCAAATCTATCCCGCAATGTACATGTGTTAATGGTTGTTAAATGCTTTTTTTTATTTTTTCATTTTTTAATGAAACTTTAATTATTAATTTCTTTTATATTTTTTAGATAAAGTCCCACCCCTCCTCTGTAAGTTGTGAGTACAACTAGTCGAAACTCAACAATTGAACAATACCTAACAATTAAACTTTTAATAGCTGATGAAAATTCTGAAGTACCTGTATATCGTTGTAACTCCTCTAAGACTTCTTCTAGCTAAAAATGAAATTTATTTGTACTTCAATAAATACGTATTGAATAAACCTTCATCTACAAATTTAGCAGTTTTCTATAATTAGTTGTAAGACGTAATCAATACATTTTATATGTATCAAAGACCTATCTTTTCAAATATGGAATATATGGTTCTATACTAGAAGGTTCTGTAATCTACATTTTGTTTCTGCGCGTGCAGTACTATCCCTGAAAAAATGATCCCTGATTGTCCAGATCTAGCTATCTATCACGCCGCCTTGCATGTTGAGCACAAAAATAATAAATTGATTTCAACAAATTTATATCCTCTTTTCTTATCACATCCACCATCTAACTACACCGCTATAATACTGCGGGCTGGGGATAGACTAATAAACATCAATTGTGTATCTTCCTGTTTGTGACTCAGAAATCTTTTTTCTTTCCACTATAAATCAAGCAAGAAAAAAATTACAACACACTCAACTCACCACATCCTTTTTACCCTGAGTATCGTGGCCACACACTACCCACTTCTTTTTTTTTTTTTTTTAAAGCTTGGTATCCATAATTACTTGAAGCAAAAAAAGTTGAAGACAGTGTTATTCGTTTGAATTTTACTTTCTATATTACATACCATTCATTGAGTAAAGATTTGAGTCAGTACATTTAACCGTTCCCCTTTTGCTCCGTTTAAATTATATTATTATTCTTATTTGTCATTATTAGTACTGGGTATTATTCTCGGAGTAAGCTTTTTCTTGTGACAGATTGAGAGAAAGAAAGAAAGAAAAGCAAAGAAAGTGTTCAGAAAGAATAGGAAAGAAGATTAAGGAATCTAACTAAGGGCAAATTTAATTTATATCGTATTTGCATCCTCAACTAGAACATCCGAAGTTATCCGATATTGAGGTTTCTCAGATACCCTTGATTAGAAATATCCCAATAAGAAATTAATAGAAAGTTATGACTACAACTGTTCCATTAATATACTCATTTCCCGAGTTTCTTGGAGTAGCGGAAGCTGTGACAGATCATGTAATCTCTGCTCAAAATATGACTTTGTATAATTCCTTGGATCCTGTACAAATAAAACTTGTCAAAGAGGAACTCTTCAGACAAAAGACACTTGCTTCATCAAGCGCAATATCACTTGCCAATGGGAGTGGTAAAATAAAGAAGGAAAAGAAAAAGAAGCAAGAAGTTCGGTTTAAAATTGCCATTTCAGGAGGATCTTTAATTAAAATCTTAAATCAAGGCTTACTATCTAGACAAGAAGAAATTGAATGGGATAAATGGGATATTTATTTTGCAGATGAAAGATTGGTTAAATTTGATTCTCCAGACTCTAATTATGGACAAGCTAAGAAGCAGATTTTCGATCAAATAACTGGTGATAAAAAGCCAAATGTTTATCATATCGATGAATCATTAATTGATGATTCACAAGAATGTGCTGATGCATATGAAAAAGTTTTAATTGATAATTTTGCCAAGAAGGATTCTGTTAAATTACCAATGTTTGACCTACTTTTATTAGGTTGTGCACCTGATGGTCATATTGCTTCCCTTTTCCCAAATCAAGGAGAAATTTTAAGAGAAAAACTTGCATGGTGTTTACCAGTTTCAAATGCACCAGCTGGTCCAGAAAATAGAATAACATTATCCATTCCAGTGATTTGTCATTCCCATAGAGTTACCTTTGTGGTTGAAGGGTTAACAAAGGCACCAATTATGAGAACTATTATGGAAAGACCAGAGAAGGGATTACCTTCATCCATTGTGAATGAAGGTGCGGCCGGTAGAGTGACGTGGTTTGTAGATGATGATGCATTGAATGATTGTTATGATATTACCAAGAAAAAGTATAAATTCTTATCAATTGAAGATCCTAAAAACCATTAATAAGGGGCAATCAAGCAAATCTTACAACATGTATGTATACAAGAGTTATTTATTGTATCCTCTTCAGAGCGCTCACTCTCTAAGATGTCTTTCGACTATGAGGCTATAGAATTATTTTTTACCCCCCCTGACCTAATTTATTAATGCTTGGTACTATTTAGGAGAGTTTACATATGTATCAATACATGTTTATGAAATTTAATATTAAAGTAGTTTCAAAAATTAATGTTTAATTCAAATAATTTTATCATAATATTCATCATCAATGTAACCACCTCTCATTGATTTTTTCACATTTTTAGTGAATAATGCCTTATTTTTAGATAATACATTAGCAGCATCTTTATTTAATGGATCATTTGGATTAGGTTCAAGAAATAAAAAGTTTAATCCAATCAATACAGAATTCAAATTTAATACTGGGGACCAATCTTCTCTAAGAATATTCAAACAAACATTACCCGATAAGTCAATATTTGGATGATATATCTTATCCATACATTTAATCTTGGGAGGTTCCATGGGAAAGTTATTATTTACTTCCACTGTGAATCTAAATGTTCCTGATTGATAATAACCCTCCTGAGGGCAAATTGAAAGTTGGAAATTAAATAAATCTGCTGGATTTGGGAATGTGAGTTTGATGCTTCTAGGAATGTCAAGTTCCGTGATGTCCTTTTGTAATCTAAGCTGAGCTGGTGTGATTTTGGTGGAACTATTATATCCCACTGAATTATTGTTATGACCATCAGCCGATCTAGTATGACTGGAAATAGTGCTTGAAGAATCAGAAATTGCAGCAGCTGAAGCCAAGGCAGCAGCAGCAGCCGCTGCTTCTTCCTGTTTCTTCTTCTGAAGTTGACGGATCTTCAACTAGAATTAGTTAGTATAGACTCATCTCTAGGATCCCTATAGATTCCTTGTTTTACATACCATAGTTGTATAAATTGCGTGATTGTAACTACATCAAAAGTCTCAACTATCAGTTTTGTAAGGTTTCAAACGGTCGCACCAAAACAGAAAAAAAAAATAATAAATAAGTACAAAGAAATAACTACAGTTAAACACAAGTGAGTGTTTAAAATATATATATATATATATATATATTGTACTATTTTAATGTTGTTGGTGCATGATACCATTATACTTGTTACAAACACGTTCTAATGTATCAACAAATGCTTTTGAAGTTTCGTAAATATAGGACTCACACAAGTTTTTCTCTTTCATGGACTTTAATTCCTCTTTTTCCAATTCAATCGATTGACAGATCAATCCATAACTTTCGTTCAGTAAGATACTTATATATGGAGTAAATATAGTACATTTGACAGCTAGTAGCCATTTCGTTTGCGACTGGGAAACCCCCAGTGTATCCAGACGATGGTATTGATGATGATGATGATGGGTTTGATCTGGTTTAAATTGAATTTTTTGAATCCCAGAAATATGTGGGGATATCTGATCTACAAATGAATTATACTCCTCAATGGCATAATCTAGTCCTTCCGGTTCATTCACCAAGAGACCAAGCACAGACCATAGAGAAGAATCGGTTAGATGTCTATGACATGCTTCAATTAACTTTTGTTGTGCGTATTCTTCCAATTCATAATTATGATTGTAAACCATTCGTATGAACCATCTTAAACTACTTGCAGCATAATAGTTTGAGAAATGCAATTCACAAGCTTTAATGGCACTATCAATCAAGATTTTAAATTTTTCAAATGCATCAGCCGTTTGGTTCCCATTAAATAACGGATTAAATACCATAGTAATTGAAAGTTTTCTCAACCATAACCATAGGGAAGAACTTTTATTAATTTTCTTTAATCTACTCGTCAAGAGTGCTATTATAATCTTGAATTCTTGCAAAAGAATTTGCGATTTCTCTCTCTCAGTAGCCTTTGATAACATTCTCAAGAGAATCACTTCATGTAATCGTATTATACTATGATTCTCATTGGTGGTTAAAAGATATCCAAACGTACAATAATAGGTGTTCAAAGAAATATCACCAGCATTGACTGAATGCCAATAAGAGTGTGATTCCTTGAAGATTTTAAGAAATGTTTTCTTTGGTATGCCTATTTCAATACATTTCCCGTCTTCTGATAGGTGAGTTAAGAAACATTCCGTGGTCTCAGGTATTAATCCGATCGTACAATTTTCTGCCCCTAGTATCAACTGGCATAATTGGTAACATAGAGTTTCCTTATAACTCATATGTGTTAGAGTATGCGGTGGTGTTTGTAGATGTTTATAGGGAAGTTTGTGGGGATGAGAGGACATAATGCATATTCTTGATCACTTGATCTTTATATTGATACGAGTGCGAATAGTTTTGGAATCGATATAGTGGAGAGATGCTTCTCAATTATTGATCATTGTTTTTTTTTTCTTTTGTTTATCTGTCTCTACGTATTGTTCTAAGTTAACATGCTTACTTATCGAGACGTGTTCAATATAGATGATGGAGACACAATCCCTCCTTCTGATCCTACAAGTGAGAATTTTTACAATTTAATAAAATCGGAACAATTCAATGTGAAGAGTACTAGCGATGACTTATCGTATAAATCAAACATATCACCAGAAGAAAAACAAGTGATTGATGTTGAACCGATGAATATAGATTCCCAGCAGCTAGTAGTACAAAATAAAAGATCTACAGTGGATAATAAACAGCAAGTTGTCTCGCAACCACAGTGGAAGCTTTCAAAAGTCATTGCCAATGCCCATGAAGGTTGGGTTCGTTCTTGTACCATGGACCCAGTGTCCAATAGATGGTATGTCACGGGTGGTTCAGATGCAACCATTAAGGTATGGGATCTAGCCACTCTGCAGATCAAGGCTACTCTTACCGGTCATATAATGGGAGTACGATCTCTAAAAGTGTCCCTGAAATTTCCATATTTATTCTCTGGATCTGAAGATAAGACAGTCCGTTGTTGGGATTTAGAGAGAACTAATTCCAAAGCTGGATGTCAGATCAGAGATTACCATGGGCATGTTGGTGGTATTTATGCCATGGACTTACATCCCGAACTCGATATATTATGCACTGGTGGTCGTGATTCTGTCATTAGAGTGTGGGACATTCGATCTAGAACAGAAATCATGTTATTGAGTGGACATAGGGCTGATATAACGAGTATTTCATGTAGTGCATCCGACCCACAAATTGTATCAAGTTCAATGGATTCAACTATTAGGTTGTGGGATATTAGAAAGGCAACCACTCAACTTGCCATTACACATCATTCAAAGAGTATTAGACTGATGGTGTCACATCCAAATGAAATGACTATGTGTTCTGCCGATTCTGCTGGACAATTCAAACAATGGGTTTTACCACGAGGTGATTTATTGAATGAATTTGCCACCACAAATGATGATAGTAAAATTGTAAATTCCTTAGCAATTAATCCATCAAATGATACACTCTTTGCCGGTTATGACGATGGAAGAATGGAGTTTTATGATTATAAATCAGGAAATCTTGTTCAATCAACCACGTCAAAGCCAGTACCAGGAACCCCAGAAACTACGATCTATGCCTCTACTTTCGATAAACTGGGATCAAGACTTATCACCTGTGAAGGTGACAAGAGTATAAAAATATGGGTAGAAGAGGGATAGAATTTTGGGAAGAAAGGAGAAAACAAATACAATACTTACAAAGATAGATTGTCCATGTGTCTCATTATATTACAAAGTGTAAGTGACATCACTCCACACTATTACCAACCAAAACGTAATTGGTTTGCCGTAAAGGAAGGAGGAGTCCAATTAAGTTTCCTTGCATCCAACTCATGCTTTTTCTTCTCCTTCACTTTCTTGATCAATTTCTCATACAACACCATCACCAGGTCTGTTATCACAATAATATGTTGCCCCTTATAATACCTCAATATTTGCAAAGTTGTCAAAGTGTGAAGAATATCGGTGGTGGTCATACATGTTATTGACGATATCTCTTCAATTGTGATTTCACTGGAAACTGATGGAACATGAACTGTTGATCTTGAACTTGGAGGATCTGGACTTGTAGAAGAATCCTTATCGTTGTCAGTATGATCAGGTTGAGGGTTGTTTTTCCTGAATAATTGTGGACTATTTCTTTCAACTAAAAGCTTAACTAAAGTATCTGTCCAATACGCACGGTATGATAACAATCCTAAATCAGATAATGGTTTTTCAGGAGAACCCACCTTATTTTCCACATGAGAAAGCATATAAGAAAACTGCATTAAAAGTTTACCATAACCTCTCTTTTGATAACATGGTAAAGTTAAAATACACGCCACATTGTATCCATCAGCACTTTCCTTTTCCTTTGAGAAGTATCCAACCACATGGTGACCCAGAGGAGATTGAATAGTCATAATGTAGAATAAGAACGGATCAACGTCGTAGTATAACGTTTTATGATCCAAGAATAACTTCAGGAGCAAGCACAAGTTTCTGCACCAAGTACGCTGTTTTCTACCGTCAATTTCCCAGAAACTGACCATACTATCTCTATATATTTCATTTCCTGGAGGATGCTTCATGGAACATTTAGATCTGAAACTTTGGAATTGTCTTTTCGATCCAAAATATGATAATGTAAAATCACAAATGTAAATCTCATCTTCTTCTGTGAGTTCTATCGGGTATGGAGAAAAATACCATGGTTCTATAACATGTTCTCCAAGTATAATTGCAGATAAATTTCTCACTCTAGCGACTTCCAGATGATTTTGAGTCATGGATCCACCGGTACGAAGTTTTTTAATCTCATCCTCTCTACTAACTTCTTCTCCAGGTCGTTTAAGACCTTGTACATTTAAATTATCCAAATCCAATTCTTCATCATTTTTCACTGCTGAATTACTTGGTTGTGGAGTACCACCATTAGATTCATTATTTGGTAATGCCTTCGTGGCCTGTTTAGACTTCAGTGACGGTTTCTTCAGCTTTGTATCTTTCTTTTCCTCCTTTTTGTCTGCCTTAATTTCAGGAAGGATCATAGCACGCAGGTAATCAATTCTATCCGTACCAATCCATTCATCCAAACGTTTGTTGAATTCCTGGTAATGGACGTAAAACACCTTCTTACCCTTCTTTGTATGGGTTTGAAGAATTTCTGCAAGTCGATATTCATTGTCCTTCGATACATATACTTTACATCCTATAAGTATATCATCAGCGTCGAATTTCTGTGATTTATCATTTTCATCAATAGTGGTGATTTGAATGGTGGTACCGTTTGAAGGTTGGGTAGCAGCCCCCTTATCATCATCTCCATTACTTTCACTCACCGCCATGATTAAGATAGATTGTATTACAAAATATCAAAGATAATTCGTGTATTTCTTCACCTCTTGTTGTTTATCATATATTTTGATAGAGTCCTAAAATTTAATTATTTTGTATCATAATACCGACGTATGCAGGATCTCTTAATTTGATAGAGAAGATTGTATAGAATGACCAAAGTCACGTGAATGATCAGGTTTCTAGCGATGAAGTCATATCATTTTATATTAAAAAAATCTAATTATCAAGGTCTATATACACTGATAGGATGAGGGTTCAATGAAAAGTAGGATTATCAAGTTTCCACAAACGATTCAAATCATGAATTTTTTTAGTTTCAAATTGATCAGTAGATTGTAAATGATTGAGACCAATATATCCCACATTATATTTTGGGGCATCAAGTAACCATACCAATAGTTTGAATCGAAGTTGATCAACATAATTTTGATTCTTCTCCGCTAATAATTTGGAGCTTTCCTTGACATCTAAAATGAGATTTCTTTCAAGACAAGCAAGTACAAGTTCTTGTTCTGATAGATTCCACACATTTCCAGATGTAGAGAGGAAGTTATCATCAACTTCTAAGTAGTTATAGTGTGCTTGAAGACGTCTACGAAGAACCGGTTCTGGATAAAGCGCGACTGGTACATATTTGGATACAAGGCGCAAAGAACGTACGAGCACTTGAACTTGCTGCTTTGGGATATTGTAAGCTGTTTTGAGTGCTAAATCTTCAAGATCGAATTCATTAGACTCTAACGAAGATTTCCGAAGTTCCACCAACTTCTTAGATGCGTTGGAATTCCATAATCTTGGTAACATTGTAGGGAGTACACAAGTCAGAGGGGTTATTTCTGGTAATGCATAACAAAGAATTGGAGTCATTTCAACAAATATCATAAAGATAACTGCAAATGTTGGCAATTTTAAGAAATCTTTTGGAGTACGTTTAAGTAGTTGGTATTGTTCACGAGTGATATTAAAAGACGAGGATGTAACGTCCTTATCATTTTCAAGATTTGTCTTTTTCACCATAGATGTCTCATTAATTAATGTTTTACCCACTTGTTCTTGCTCAATCTTTACCATATATAAATGTTGTGCCAATTCTTGTGTAAGCTTAGTAAAATTTGGAAGTCTTATATTTTCTCTTTCACCTTTAGAATTGATTTGATTAGAAATCATAAATTCTTTACGTAAAGCTCTAATTTTGGTATTATTTTTCCATACATTGGCAACTCCTCCTTTATAGAATCGGAAAATGGTTTTACCATAAGTATAGGATTGTTTCCATTTTAACAGCAAACCAGTCGCCCTTGTCTCTTCAGCAACTTGTCGGTTAATTTCTTCTTTAGATTTGATAAGCACCGGTAATGTAGAAGGTGCATTTATAGTATCACTTTTGGTGGCATACCAAATGGTGGAAAGACCAGTTTTCTTACTGGCTATCTCCAGAACCAATGCAGCTTTGGTAGGAGGGAGTGAATAAAATTTCATCTGCAGTTTGATGGAAAGTAAAAAAAAAAGAGAAATACTAAACTTACAAGGTTGAATTCAAAACCATTTTAGAAAAATACAATGAGAAATTTAGAAAATAGATTTGGTTGCACAAGTTTTCAAAAATTGAATGTTTTCCTTTTGTAAAAATATCTAACCTACACTTGAAACATATACGATGGAGTTAAAAAAGAGAATATATACTAATGAAGATCTTGAAAAGTGGATAGATTCTCCATCTTATAACGATCTTATTAAGTTTGTTTGCCAATTACAAGATCTGGTAACTGGATTACCAAATTCAACGGAAGTACATATGTCACCAGAAGTATCTAAAATTCTTGAAGTCTTAGAACTGATTGAGAATGCGATAACCAATAACCCAGTGGTACACGAGAAGGATATTTCCAGATTTGGGAAAGTTGAATTCAGAGATTTTTATGATCAAGTCGAGAAAGATTTGCCACCATTACTTGAACAAAAATTTGATACGAAGGGTAAGACAGATGAACTTGTAGGGTACTTATCAGAATCCTTTGGGAATAGGACAAGAATCGATTATGGATCTGGGCATGAAGTGAATTTTATTTTGTTTCTCTTTTGTTTAGAGAAATTGCAAATCATTACTGAAAACTCACCTGCACTTATTCTCCAGGTATTCAAAAAATACATATCTATTATGAGACATCTTCAAAAAACTTATTGGTTAGAGCCAGCAGGATCTCATGGAGTATGGGGGCTTGATGATTACCATTTCTTACCATTTCTCTTCGGGGCTTCACAACTTGCTACACATCCTCATATGAGACCTAAACTGATTCATAATGAAGAATTGGTTGAACAATTCTACAAGGACTACATGTATTTGGAATGTATTCATTTTATTAATTCTATTAAAACTTCTACAAAGGAAGGTGAGAAATTGAGTTTAAGATGGCATTCTCCAATGTTGGATGATATCCTGTCTGCGAAGTCATGGATGAAGATTAAAGAAGGTATGGTTAAGATGTTCAAGGCTGAAGTCTTGGGGAAATTACCTATTGTACAACACATAAAGTTCGGTTCATTATTTGAATGCCCAGAGGGGATTTCAGATCATACAGAATCGGTTGATGACCACGACTCTTGTGGACATGTCCATGAAACGGTCAACACTTGGGGAGATTGTTGTGGGATCAAAGTTCCTAGTGCATTTGCTGCTTCTGAAATGACAAAGATCCAGAAACATATCCCATTTGATTAGGAAAAGATTAAGAGTCCCCTCCTCCAACTAAAAATGATAAAAATAACAAAAAGTGATAAACCAATGACAGAACAAACGAAAATATATAGTTTATTCCATATATCTAATTCCAGTGACAATTAAAATGTTTCTAGGTAATGCACCAGGAACTGGTAATAAAATTCTCATTTTACCCTTTGTATCATCCACATCAGAAACGTAAGCATATCCCATAACACATGTATTCAATAAATTCTTTCCCAGTTTATCATTTTGTTGTAATTGAGTAATTGCAAGAATAGTATTATTGAGATCTGAAGCTGTAGGGTTTGTAATTGGAGAATAATATCTCTCAAGAGAGAAATCATCTCGTTTATCAGCTTCAGTCATATCTGAATCTTCAGGAGTGAATGAATCGCCTGAAGGTAAAAAGGCAAAATTAGAGTTGGATTCAACATTATCTACAGACTTAAAAAGAACCACATCTTTAACATCAATCACTGTGTTATAAGGTGAGAGAGGACTCTTCAAAGTTCCATAGAAATACTCTCTTATAGCTTGTTGTTGAGAATTTCTCATAAATGAATCATCAATTTCAACCACACCTCCACTCTTTGCAATTTTAATTACATTTAAAGCACCAGTTTGAGTCTTGTGTTTGAATTTCTTCTTTAAATCTATCAATAATCTTTCATTACCAATTACCACAATGAAATTAATTTCATAATCTGATACAATATTCTCAATAACAGTAATATCTTTCATGGATAATGGAGGAGTATCCACCAATAAACCACTATTTTTAACATTGATATCTTCCTCCAATCTAGACATAACAGCTACTCCTAGTTTAGAAATTTGATATTTATAAAGTTCAATATTTTCATTAAAATTTTCAAAACCATAATTTTTAACAATTGGTTGCTTTGGGTTATGGAACGTAGATCCAGATGTGGTAGTGTTACCCCAACCGTTTGTACTTTCAACGTCAAACAGATCGCTAATAGGGGTCGCAGTGAGTGATCCAGGAAGTGAGAAGACACCTTCTTGAGGGTTTAAGTTGACCAAAATCGGACAACCATCCATCTTCAATGAGTATGATGCTAATGTTTTAATAAGTGATGTCTTTCCAGAATGAGCACTACCAACAACAAGTACTCTAGGTCCCTTTTTCTGATCCCAAGTGTTTTGAGCATTATATTCTACAGCTTGTTGTCTATATGATTCAAGAGCAAAATGTAAATTAATCGTTTGATTCATGGTGGTTTCATCACTGATATATTCACTAATTTCATTATCATCTTTATTATTTGATGAACTTTTCACAGTGGTACTATATTGAATTTCACATCCTTCATCATCAGGAGTATATAAACATATTTTGGCACCACTGAATTGAAGTTCAACGTTTACAGGGAGTTCAGTACCAAAAATTTCGACAATTCCTCTTGTTACGTTCAATTTAAGAATCGTATGAAATGGTACTTCTACTCTCCAATCTGAATGTCCAGCAATTTCAATTGTTGTTACCTTCTTGGTACCATTATCAGCAGAAACATCTACAAACTTCAATCCTTCTGATGAAAACCCAGGAATTTCAGACATGTTTATGTATTTATAATTGTATTCTTTATTTCATAATAATCTTGACAAATTTAATGTTAAACTTTTTTAACCATTAATTCAAATACAAGGATGTACTGCACACAGAATTTTTATGAAAAGATGTATAGTAGAAGTGATTTAATTGATAAGAGAAGTGGTTATCTATAGGTAGTCTATTCATTATTTAAAGGCAAATTTATTTCATAAACGTATTTTTAAGAGAGATAAATCGTTCCAAAAAATAAAGCAAGGAACAATTGAAAACTGACTTTTTCTAAAAGAGAAGGGTGGTAAAGTTTATTCTACAGTCTTTTAAGACATTTTATTACATTTGATTTGATCAAATCTTTTGAGTCTCCCATTTAATATTTATTCTTGGTATTGTATTTCTAAATGCTGGAATATTATTTTCATCAACTTTTAGTTTGTTTTTCTTTTTTTCTTATTTCTTTATCCTATTTGTCCCTTCCCACAATTTCCATTTATTATCACATTAAGGAAAAAAAGTCCAACTTTTTAGGCTTTATGGTTGCTTGTTCAGGTGATAATTCCACTATTTTACGTTCCCCTGTTTTATTATTTACCAATTCCATATGAGTCGAGTAATCAATGGTTCCACGTTTAATAGGGGTGGATTGTAAACTATTTCTTTTTGGTGAAAGGAAAGGGTTATGGATCTCCTTTAATTCGATATTATCCTCAAGAGTTCCTGACTCTTCTTCATCTGATGAAATTCCAGAGTTGAATGATTTACCGTGCCAGCGGAAAATAGTTTCATCATCTATGAGTTGTGCCACTGGAGTTTGAGGAATAAATGATGTAGACTTCTTCTTACTAGTGGGTGAGTTTTCTATATGGTCATATTCTATTGGTTTCATGAAATTCATATTATTAGTTTTTAAGAAATTTGATGATGAAGTTTCATTTAATTGTGGAGTAACTGGAATTGGGGAAGAAAATGAATCATCAATATCAAGATCTTCTTCATGGGCAATGTCTGCAAAGAACGACGTTTCTAACAAAGGAGGCTGTTGTTGCGTCTTTGAAGGTTGTTGGATATGAGTGGCCCTTCTTCCCGATCCAACTGTGGACTGAGCAGGTAAGAGAAGGCCAAATGCACACTCTTTCAATGCTGGTAACATAGGATCAGTCTTTGAAAGCTTTTGCATGGGGAGATCAGTGGTAATATCATCTACAAATACCCGCTTTTTACGTACAGAACGGTTTGGCGATCTTAATGGAGTAATTTCAGGAGACATGGGGAAAAGGGTACGTCTTACGGAATCAACTCCAAGTCCTTGCTCAGAGGTAGTATTCATGCTACCAATTTTCCCTGTTCTATGAGGTGTTTTCATCATGGGGTTCATTAAGACACCACCCTTTTGGGTCGAGATTGGTGTGGTGAAAGGACAATCTCCATGTTTTGGCGTCTTTGGAGTTCTAAATGTTGTATGGAATACTGGTGGACTAAATTGTGTTGATCTAGTGGATGGTCTAGTCCTTGGGGGAGTTGCTGGTGGGTTTGTCATTGTGGATTTAATAAATAATATACGGTATTATACTCTTATACCCAGAAGACCACACTATAATGCAGAAATGCAGATCTTGATCCAGTGTCTCAAAAGGGAAAAAGAAAGAGAATCTGTCAATATATATATATATGTACAATAATGATCCGATGGGAAGAATTGTTAGGATGGCTGGTTGTATAGATTTGTATGTAGGTCTAAACTAAAAAAATAATAAAATTAATTAAGAATAAATCGCGTTCAAATGACGCGACTTTGTGTATCCCAAGACCCTTTTCCTTTCTGATCCTTATATTACTTATTCACCTAGCAACCATTGTATCTTATTGTTATAGGCATTAAGATGAACCGAGACGAAACCTTTAGAGAGATAAATTACGGAAGGGTAACGTTACATTCTACCGAATTTATGCGCGATATGGGCTAAAATAATACTAATTGTACATATTTATGCTTCGTCGAGACATATGCATATCTATTTATTCCTAATTAGTTTTAAATTGTCTTGTAAACGTAAGATAACAATAGGTAAATTTTCTCGAGGGTTTATCTCTAAAATGATAATTTGATTATCTCTATTATTCTTTATCTCTTAAATGTATGCACACTATTAACACTAGCCTTATGTTTAGTGGCATTAATCCCTAAAGATACTTCAATATTTTCATAGAATTCTTCAATTGAACTTTTAGTTCTATCATTTCGAAGTATTAAATTCTTTGTAAGATTTAAAGTCTTCAAATTTGAGTTCAGAACCTTACTAAATCTCAAGGATTCAATTGAATTAAATCCAAGATCTAAAGATTCCAATTGTGCAAATGATTTTGGTATAATTAATTCTCCTGTAAGTGAATTTTCCTTAAGCAGCAAATTACGCAATTTTGGCGGTAATTTTAAAAAATTGTCTAGTTTCAGAATATTATTTAATTCTAATTGCAACTTTTGAAGTTGCAAAGTCTTATTGTTATTATTTTTTGATTCTGATTGAAATAATGGTGTATTTATCAGAGTCAATTCATTTAATTGGTTTTTACCCAAATCTAACATGTGCAAATTTGGTGGTGGAAACCAATTTTCTAACGTTGAAATCTGATTTAGGTATAATTCTAATGATGATAATTTAATTAATTGACTCCAACATATATTACCGTTTGAAGTTGAATTAAATTTAATGTTGTATGAATTTAAATCTTCGATTTTATTCCCACATAATGAAAGTTTGACTAATGAACTTGGAAAAATAAAAGTATCAAGACTCTTTATATTACACTCATCCAAGTTTAAACTTGACAAATGTGAAGGAAATCTTATCCTTTGGTTAACACCATTACTAGTTGGGAATATTATATCATTATAACCAAGGTTTAAAGAAATTAAACTTGTAGGAAATTGGAAATATTGAAATGATTCATTATTTACAATTTGATCAAACTGTGATAAAACATTCAATGAATTTAATTTGGTTTGTGAAATGTCCAAGTATTCCAAAGTATTTGGAATATTTTGTAAATGAATTAAATTTGTAAATTTATTATGATCAAGTTTTAAAACTTTCAAGTTCAATGGCCATTTAAATTTGGATAATGATTCAAGCGCATGATTATCAATTTGATTATGTGATAATAAGATAGTTTCAAGGTTTGGTGGCCAATAACCTTCACCTTTCGACAGAAACGTACTGATGGAGTTGCACAGTAAATCAATGGTTTCTAATGTTTTAGGAAGTGAATCAACATTTAAATCAATTATTTTATTATATGTCAACATGAGGGTTTTCAAATTCTTTGGGAACACTTTCGATGTGAAAATCTTATTTGTTATCCCACCTGCTTGATTCCAAAATATTTCGGTGATAGATTCTGGTAATGGCAAAGTCAGAATATCTGATTCCTCATTCCATGAAACATCCAATTGTTTTAAATTTGGAGGTAATAGAACATTGGTCCAATTCTTAACTTTATGACCTAAAAATACGATTTGATTAAGATTATTCAAATTTGATAAATAATTTGTCTTTGTTAAAATTTTTAAGTCAGCACCAGTTAATTGTAATTTTGAAAGATTCTGAAATGAAGTTAATAATTCAAGATCTTTAGCATTTGGTTCATATCTTTCAATATGAAAGTGTAGTTGTTTTATCTTAGATGATATTCTATCATGGAACTTGTTTAACAAGGTTTCAAATGATCTGAAATCACCTCCAGTGATGATTACTAATCTAGAAGGATTGATATCTGGATGATCAGTGAAAAATTCATCTATTTCAATATAACTTGAAAAATCAATCAATTCACTAGTTTGATCGGAATGGGTTCCACAATAATGAGGTCTTCTTGTTGGTGATAGAATAACATGTAACTCTTTTGAATAATAGTGTTCGATTACAATTTGTCTAATTGGACTTGATTTTAATTCAAGAAAGAATTCCGATATATATTCTGAAGGGAGGAGACTTAAGATCTGAAGAACCACATCATATGGAAGATGCTGTATCACATCTTCTATTAGGCTTTTGATATTCATTTATAAAGGGAGTACATTCATACATGTGTATTTTAGAGATAGAAGAATCTTAAGATCCATATTGATAAAGAAATATGATCACAAAAGGAAAGCCAGTGCGAAAGAAAGATATCAATGCCAAAGAATATTACTAAACACTTTTTTTTAAACATGTTTGGCAATATACTCTGGTAATGAATATTGCTCATGAAGCATTTATCAAGTTGTGATACATGAATTTTTGATTTTTTAGACTTTTTTAAGTTGCTGTTAACTGTATGCTTTATGATTTACTAAGTTGCAATGCATGAATAAAAAAAAAGTGTAACCTTGTTGCACTTAATTTAGAATTCAAGTTACAACTCAATTACAGTACATTACAAGCATATTTATCACTTAACCAGTTAAAATAATATTAATTGGGAGTGGTGACTTAAGCGAAATTAATAAGAGTATGTTCTCGTTTCGTATTAGGTAATCTTTCGTGATTGAATTTCTGTTGTTTATTTCTGGTAAGATTGTGTAGGAAAAAAGAAAAACGTTGTAATTTCTTTTGTACACGACCGAGCCGTACCGATTTGAACCGCGAGCGATACAAATAAGAATTACCCAAATACAATAGTTATTCCTATATATTGATTATATATTTCTAATTTGACATCTGACGATATTCATCACATCTAAAATTTGTTCCTTAAAGCTTTTCCAAAAAAGATAAATAAAAATAAATGATAAGGGTGCAATAGTATTGCGCAAGTAAATTTCTAAAATAGCCAGCAAAATCCGAAGATAGCAAGAACGTCCGCGGCTGGTTTTGTATCACATTAATAAAATTTTAACGAAACTATCGCTCGAATTCAACTCAATTTTAAGACTAACTTTGAATATATTGTCATTCTTCCCCATTGAAACTTTTACCATTCCAATAGGTTTACTCTAGGATTTAATTGAACGAATTCGGGGTAATAATCCAGCAAGAAAACTACCAGACGGGTTAAAAAGTTAACTCTTTTTAGAAATAACAGCGAAAACGAATTACGAGAGAAAAGTACAAAACGATACAAATTGTTCACAAATAATCTCAAATAGAAGATAGATACCACCGATATCAGTTAATTGGATAGAAGTGAAGAAACAGACGAAACAGACTAGAGAATATTCCTTAAAGATAGGCATTCCAATCTTTTCTTTTTATTCGCTACATTATTATTATTATTATTTTATTTCACTTTACCATTTTTGTTTTGATATAGGAGAATGAGTATCATTTCTTCTTTATTGTGTTGTTCAGTTGACTCTAAAGATGATGCTGACGACAGGTATGCGCAACAACTGACCGCCAGAAAGACAAACTCACTGAATAGAACCTCAAAGGTGCAGACTGCCACTAATGGGAAGGATCCAAATAGCAACAAGGTTGATGCTGGCAATATAACAAAGGGAGAACAAAAGGATAAACAAGAACTTTTGGATGATGAAAACTCCGTTAATGAAACCGATACTATAACTAATACTAATGAAGAAAACACTCCTGGTTCGAATTCTCACACTGCTAATGGTGAACATAAAGCCACCACCACCACCACCACCACCACAACTAATAATAATAATAATACTAATACCAATGAGAATGACCCTTCTACCATAGCTTCCCCATTGAACTCTGCCGATTACATAACAAGTGTTGATGAAAATGGAATTGATGAAGTCTTGGATGAAGACAATGATCTTGAAGATGATGAATCTTGTTTAGATTTAACAAAGTTACAAGAAGGTCAATCATTTGACCCAACTACTGGATGTCTTTTGGGGAAGAAAGATAAGAAGTTCGGTAAGAAAAAGTGTCTTATTTTAGATTTAGATGAAACACTTGTACATTCATCATTCAAATATTTAAGAATTGCGGATTTTGTAATTCCAGTTCAAATTGATAATCAAGTTCATCATGTTTATGTGATCAAAAGACCTGGGGTTGATGAATTCCTTAAGAAGGTTGGAGAATGGTTTGAAGTTGTTGTATTCACTGCGTCAGTTCTGAAATATGGAGATCCATTATTAGATAAATTGGATATTCATAATTCAGTTCATCATCGATTATTTAGAGATTCATGTTATAATTACCAAGGGAATTTTATCAAGAATTTATCTCAAATAGGGAGACCATTGGCAGATTCCATCATTATTGATAATTCGCCCGCCTCATATATCTTCCATCCTCAGCATTCTATTCCAATTTCAAGTTGGTTTAGTGACACCCATGATAATGAGTTATTAGATTTATTACCATTTTTGGAGGATATTTCCAAATCCAATGTTGATGATGTTGGGCTTGTATTGGACATTTCATTATAATGCTAATTAATATAAATCTACCCGAGAAATGAAATGCTAAAGAATTTTAAACAAACAAGAAAAGAAGAAGAAGAAGACTAATTTGAGCAGAATTCAAACGAAGTTCACGTAATATTTCAATAATAAACATAAGCTGGACTTATACCTTTCATGTATAAACTTAGTTTGTTTGGTTCCATGAAGAAAAATATTCCACTGTTACTCGCCCTGTTTGTTGTAAAGTTTGACTAATTTAATTATACAAGCTAGCGAAATAAATGGTACTTATAGAACATATATAGCGTCGTAAATACTAGTAATTACTACAAGAGTAAAAAAAAAGAAGATCTAGAAGATGCTTTGCTATATTGTGTATGTGTGCAATTTCATACACTTGTATGAGAGAAGTAAGGAGAGTAGGAATTAAAAGTTTTAAAAAAAAAACGAATAATAAATTAATTGTAACAAAAAAAAAAAATTCTGGAAATGCGACAAGAAAATATCAAAGCTCATCGGAAAGTTATAGAAGAGGAAAGGAGTAAACTTATAATCAAGGACATATTTAATATACAAGATGAAGATCAAGACTGTGAGCAGATCTTCCGACACATATGTTCCTGTGAGGAACACACAGGAATCATCTCTTCCAAGAAACTTGAACCCAGCCTTGCACCCATTTGAAAGAGCTAGAGAGTATACCAAGGCACTTACAGCCACCAAGATGGAAAGAATGTTTGCTCAACCATTTGTAGGACAGCTTGGTGATGGACACCGTGATGGTGTCTACTCGATTGCCAGAAACTTTTCCACCACTAACCAGGTTGCTACCGGATCTGCTGATGGTATTATCAAGTACTGGGACATGACTCTGAGAAAGGAGGCCATTTCCTTCAAGGCTCATTATGGGTTGGTCAGTGGGTTATGTGTTACCCCTAACACCAGCCATATGCTTTCTTGTGGTGACGACAAGACTATTAAGCTCTGGTCCGTGAACACTGATGATTTTGATGGTAGTCAAACCGACCAAGAACTTTATAGCAAGAAAGGTAGTGGGTTGACAAAGACATTCCTTGGTGAACATTCCTTTAAGGGTATTGATCATCACAATGATGAAGGCTTGTTTGTCACAGGTGGTGCATCGATTCAACTTTGGGATATGAATAGATCAAAGCATATTTCTAACTTGAGTTGGGGTGCTGATAATATTAGCACTGTAAAGTTCAATAGAACAGAAACAAATATTATAGCATCAGCAGGCTCGGATAACTCCATTGTTCTCTACGATGTACGGACAAACTCTCCAATTCAAAAGGTTGTGACTAGTTTGAGAACTAACGCTATTGCATGGAATCCGATGGAAGCATTCAACTTTGCATCGGGATGTGAGGATCATAATGCATACTTGTGGGATATGAGACGTTTAGATAGATCTTTGAACGTTTATAAAGATCATGTAGCAGCTGTGATGGACGTGGACTTTTCTCCAACTGGTGAAGAATTAGTTACTGGTTCTTATGATAAGACCATTCGTATTTATCGTGCCCGTGAAGGTCACCTGAGAGATATCTACCATACCAAGAGAATGCAACACGTGTTTTGTGTCAAGTTTACTACGGATTCTAGATATATTCTTAGTGGATCCGATGATTCAAATGTAAGACTTTGGAGATCTAACGCTTCAGACAGAGCTAGCATTAAATCCTCAAGACAAAGAGCTAAGCTCGAATACGATGCTGCCTTGAAGGAAAGATTTAAGCATATGCCAGAAATCAGACGTATAAGTAGACATCGTCATGTTCCAATTGTGGTTAAGAAGGCTGGTGAGATTAAGAGAGTGGAAACAGATGCATTGAAGAAGAGACAGGATAATGCCCGGAAGCATTCGAAGCCTGGCTCTAAACCTTTCCAATCTGAAAGAGAAAAGCATATTAGGGGAACTGCAATTAAGGAATAAATTTGATATATAGAAGAAGAAATTACAATAGGTAATAAACAGTTCAATCGAGTAACGCTATTTTTTTCCACATATCAAAGTAGTTCTGTTTTTTTAATTTCTATTTTCTTTTTTTTTTTTTTTTTTGATTCTCGAGTGACTTGGTCTTTCAATATATATGGAGTACCATTCACAGAAGATTCAAGTAGACTTTTAGAAAAGTTGCATAAACACAAACTGACCACCTTCTGAGGTGTTATGCCCTCTGGAACCCTTTTTCAGAATCTGTGTGCAGGTTTCCGTGCCGGATCCCGGTTGCAAAATTCCGACAAATGACATTGCTTGAATATCATGACATATTCGGAACCCAAAAGTAATTCAAAGTGGGACAGATTCTATAATGTCTGCGTAGATTTAAGAAAATGCGCGCAATCACACGATTAAGTGGAATTTCATTTTGCGAGAGCAAGACCAAAACGCATTTTCGCGGCTATCGGATGTTCCTCCCTAAGCGGGAGAGAATTTGCAATGGTTTCCTCCACACAAGCCATTTGCGTGCAGGTATAGAACTAAATGAGACGCCAAGTTTCAAACAGGTGACCTTCAAGAGGGGCTTCAAAACATCTCGTGGAGAATACATTAACAAGTTAAGTTGCAATATATCCCATCACTAGTTTCAGGTATTACTCCAAGTCTCTTTTATTGAAGCTAATAATCTAGTATATGGGACGTTATATGTATATACTAAAACATAAAACATTACTACTGGAAAGCTTAAGTTGTTAATATTACATTACATACATTTTACTAATTTATAAAGTGTGTATAAGTGAAATATATTGATTATAAGGGTGGAAATCATCTTAATATAGTGGCTATACTTATCTTCTTGATTAGATATTAAGAAGGTATTCCATCTAAGTCTAAACTTATCTAAGCACATAAAGGTCATAGTGTATCGAGAGTCACTTCAGATTAGTCATGCCTGATAAACACAAGATTAAACTCTTTCTGCACTTCAAACACCCTTCTGGTGATGAGGCACTTGAACCTTCTACATCTAACCAATCCACTGGTAGAAAGTTTCTTGGATTCCATATTGGGAAGCATGACTCATCTGAATCTTTAACATCACCAACGTTAACCAATTCTTCTGATCATCATCCTCTGCATAGTACTCAAGAACCTCCACAAGGACTGGTTGTAGGTACTACTCCGCATGGAATCAATGTACATGCCCCTCCAATCAATAATGCACAAGGAAACCATTTGACAATGGAAGATTCCAACCATACATTTATGAAATCAAACTCCATGGTTGAATTGAAAAGATTCTTTAAACCTACAAAGAAGAACTCAATATCACGTAAGCAACATGAAGGTCAATATACCAACAACATCCATTCACCACCTCCCTTGGCTGCTGGTGTGTCAAGTCCTGGTGGACATTTGTCTGTAACAAATAGCAATAGGGAACAATCATCTACTTCACTTGCCAATCTTATTAATCAAACTTCAAGTCAACTTTTACAAAATGCATCACACAGTAATAATCACAATCTGAATAAAGATCCATTTACTGATGATGAATCACCCTTGGTGAAAAAATATGGGAAATTGGAAAAGGAACTTGGAAGTGGGGCAGGTGGATCTGTACGGTTAATTATTAGACCTTCAGATTTGAAAACATTTGCTGTGAAAGAATTTAGACCGAGAAGAAATACTGAGTCATTGAAAGATTATACTAGAAAATGTACTGCTGAATATTGTATCGGCTCAACTTTAAAACATCCAAATATTATCAAAACAATTGATATAATTCATGAAAATAATCGATATTTTGAAATAATGGAATACGCTCCTATAGATTTTTTTGCTGTCGTTATGAGTGGAGAAATGTCTAGACAAGAAATTAATTGTTGTCTTAAGCAAATCTTGGAAGGTGTAAGTTACTTGCATAGTTTAGGGTTGGCTCATCGTGATTTAAAACTTGATAATTGTGTATTGACTACAGATGGTATTTTGAAAATCATTGACTTTGGAAGTGCGGTTATTTTTAAATATCCATATGATCAATTTTCTGGTTCTAAAGAAACTGTACATCCATGTCATGGGATTGTTGGTTCAGATCCTTATTTGGCTCCTGAAGTATTGAAAAGTCCAAATTCATATAATCCACTGCCGGTAGATTTATGGTCGATTGCTATTATCTATTGTTGTATGACTTTAAAACGATTCCCTTGGAAAATTCCAAATCCCGAGAAGGATAATAGTTTCAAGTTATTTGCAATGGATGATGATAATTGGCATGATTACAATTTGAGTAATGAATGTCATAAACTTTTATTGCAGCAAAGAAAGTTGAAGAATTTACTTGTTAGACTGAATAAGAGAAAGAAGCAACTTTTAGAGCAAGAAGAAGAAGGAAGAGAAGGAGATGGTGAAGATTCCGAGAATCATAGTGGAGATACTGAGAATGTTGGAAAGGATAAAAAGGCTGTTGAAGATACTACTTTGACATCAAACAATGAAAATAATGAAGGAGATAAAACTCATACGAAGAAATTGTTAAAGGAGAAATCCGCTGTAGTGGCGGAACTCTTGACAGAAGAACAAACTCGTGATATCACTGCTCAACTAAAGGCAATTGATATGAAATTGGAAGAGTATGAGGTTGCTAAAACAGAAATGAAGGCTAAATTCACCGAACAAAAGCAACTTCAACAATCACAACAACATCCACAAGACTCCCATCATCCACCTTCTGGAGAAGGTGAAAGCAAAGATATAGAAGGAGGAAAGAAGAAGTCATCACATAAACAAATCCATGGACCATATAGATTGATGAGGTTATTGCCCCATGCCTCGAGACCAGTCGTCTTCAACATGCTTCAGGTTGATCCTCGTAAACGTGCCACTATGGAAGAAATCATGAATGATGAGTGGATTCGTGAAATCAAATGTTGCACTTTGAGTAAGAAAGGATCAAAGTCGCAAACAGATTTGGGTGGAGACGATGGTGAAGAAGACGATGAGGCAGTTGTGGTTGTAAGTGGGGTTCCACACCATACGCATACTTCCGTTGTAGATGAAGCTCCAGAAGATGCAGCATGAGCTTAGTAAATATAAGTAAATTTAATTTATTCAATTATAAATTTTATGTATTTTATGTATTTTATGTATTTTTTTAGTGTGATCTATTGGTATTTGTTAGCGAGGTTCTGCACTTATCATATTTGAAATTAATTTTGATTATCGCATTCAAATTTTGATAACCACAATTTAATTTGAAGATAATAAAGATTAGGAAATATCTTTGACCATGGCACCTCCTCCATTAAATATTCAATCTAAGCTTAAGATTTCATTGAAGACGGCTATTAGTAAATTAAAGTTTATTCAGGATAAGAAAACTGCATTGGCAAAACAACAACGTAGACTGTTGGCAGACCTTTTGAATCAAGGAAAAGAATCAAGTGCAACTATTCGAGTCGAAAACCTCATTCGTGACGATATTTATGTTGAATTACTTGAATACATTGAGCTTTATTGTGAACTCTTATTAGCTAGAATAACCCTTGTGTCAGATCCCGCTAGAACTACTTGTGACGAATCCTTAAAAGAAGCAATTCAATCAGTAATTTATGCTTCACCTCACACGGAATTGAAAGAGATTGCAGCAATTCGAGATATTCTTGTTCACAAATATGGACCAGAGTTTGGTAAGAGTGCAATAGAGAATGAAGATGGACATGTTCCCTCTAAAATTGTCAGTAGATGCGAATTCACTCCACCTTCAGAAATGCTCGTTAGGCTTTATTTGAGCGAAATTGCCAAAACTTATAATGCACCATATTCTCACTTGGAGAAGAGTGAGCCAAAGGATGAAGAGAAGGATAATTCGGACGATAGTGATGACCCCACTGGTGGGGAATCTCTAAAGAACCTTGAACAGCCAATTGCAGTTGGTGACTCAAGTACTGTTTCAGCTCCCAAGAGTGCCGCTGCAGCTCAAAGAGATGACTTTGATGCTCTTAAGGCTAGGTTTGCTGCCCTTAAAGGTTCTAGTTGAACATGATATATGACTAACGCCTTTCAACTCTTTTTTCAAAATCAAAGAACAAGAATATTTTTTTTTGGAAAAGTGTACAATATACTAAAATCTATATAACAGAAAAGATATATATATCGTCAATTAGATACAACTACTAATAAACTTATGTTTAGAATTGTAAATCCATTGTATGTATATTATAATATTTCAAAGGTTAGATTTAAGTTTAAGGTCGTGTCTGGTCCGGAATATGTATAGTCAACAATACTCTGGGGCACTATGAACTATCTTCGATCAGATAGAGTGAATATATTAGACATTAATTCTTAGAATTGGGGGGACTCTCTATTGACACTCTGTAGAAGACGAGTTTAAAAGATGTCTCAAATCCTAACCGGAAAGCAGCAAGAAGAACTCAACAAGGCAATTTTGCAATACTTGGAGCCACTTCTCACAGAGAATTCAAATAGTCGAGACCTTGTTGAGCCACTTGCACAGGCACTTAATGTATCTACGGCCGTAGCCACAGGGGATGGAATAATCCCAAACTATTTGGAGAAAAAATGGTCCACTGTCTTACGTTTACAAAGGCGTATTTTAGATTTAGAGTCTGAAACAAATTCTTTAAAATCAGCACTTCAATCAAAACCGAATTTACCAACTTCAGACGACAAACTGAAATTTGAATGGACTCCTAGTACAACAGCAAAAGAGTTTGCCATGCAATCGTCACAACTAGTGTCATCTGTGCAAATACATCCTCAACTACCACTAATTTTCAATGGATGCTCAGACGGTTCATTATTAGTCTGGAGCTTGGTGAGTGATAACAGTGATGCAGGGATACCTGAAAAGAGTATAAAAGCCCATACAAGAGGTATTAATCGTATAAAACTTTCTGGTGTGCCTATTAATCTTTCAACTGTTGACTCTCAGTTTAATTATATTCTCGCTACATGCTCAGCTGACTTAACGATTAAAATATGGAATAGTTCTACTTATCAGCAAGTCCGTACACTTACAGGACATGACCATACTGTATCATCCATTGCATTCTCAAAGATACAACCAACTAGACTTTATTCCGTATCTAGAGATAAAAGTACCAAAGTATGGGATATGACGAATGGATCGTGTATCAAGAGCTTTGTTGGTCACAGTGATTGGGTCCGTGATATAGATGTCATTGCTTTGGAAGGTGAGAAGAACACATTAGGGGACTTCCTACTCACATGTTCTAATGATCAATCTATCAGACTTACGCACGCTGAATCAGGCACTGGGATTGCACTTCTTATTGGCCATTCACATGTCATTGAGAGAGTAAAATTCTTACCACTTTCTTCCAATTATATACTAGACAAGTATATCAAGGAAAACTCCTCTGCATTTCCAACCATTCCACAAGACTTGGTTGATGATCCAATATATACAACGACGTTGGGCTACAAATATTGTATTTCAGCGGGCAGAGATAACACAATTAAACTCTGGTTACTCCCACCACCAGTTTTAAGACCGCATAGAAGTCCATTGCCAACTCTGCATAATAACTCACAAGGTTGGCATATTGCTGATCTAATTGGACACCTGTCGTGGGTGAAAGCCCTTGAGGTACATCCGAATGGAAAATATATTTTTACGGCCGGGGATGATAAGACGATAAAGATTTGGGATATAAATGCATTACTTGAGAGTGGATCAGTTCAATGTGTGAAGACTCTAATTGGACATAAGGGTTTTGTAAATGATGTTAACTTTGCACCAGTAAACAACGCGGCACAACCAATAGAGGACGGTCAAAACTCAGGAGAAAATGAAGATTATGATACATTTAAAGAGAAAATGGGGAAGCAAATTCGATGTATATTTGTTTCTGGTGGAGTGGACAATAGTGTCAAGGTATGGAACTAGTTTATTGATTTATAGCCTGTTTTTCTTCTTTTATGTACTACTACACATCAGTTATAATGAATTCACTTGGTGCTCTTTGGGCCCATTCAGTCCAACTTCCATCGTATACTCTGATTGGTACGGTGCTTCCGATAACGGACTCGATTGCCACTCTTAAAATCACAGCAGTTACGCCAGTGCCGCACAGAACAATAATACCGTGTTTTTTGGGGAAGTCACTCGATTCAAAATCTATTCCATAATCATTCTTGAAAAGTTCTATCAATTCTGATCTAGATTTAAAAGTTTTATCTGTATTAAGAACTTTAGTAAATGGTAAGGAAAGTGAAGAAGGAACGTGTCCAGATGGTAAACCTGGACGGGGTTCGGGCAGTTCACCCGTGAAACGGTCAGTAGAACGAGCATCGAAGAATACGTAATCTTCTTCCAATTTTCCCGATTTAACTAAATCTAAAAGTTCTGTGTATTCAATTACTTGGGACTTATAGTTGGAATCGAACTTTTCATTGGAGATTGTTTCATATTGAACGTTTTCGACACCATTATTAGTATCAATTGATTTAGTATCTAATGGATATTCACTTTTTTTATATGTATTGTAATTATCCAAGAGGTAAACGTTTTGGTGTCCAAATAATGAAAAATTCCAGGCAACACGAGGACTTGAAAAGATTCCTTGCTTATCATACACAACGACTTTATCATCCTTTTTGATCCCCAATTGTGAGACAGAATTCTTAAAATGTTCAAATGTGGGTAACATATGTGGATATTTTGAGTCTGGCAATGCCACTGAGTCAAGATCAAAAAAGACTCCATTTTCTAAACGTTCTTCTTTAAACTGTTTACGTGCATTGTGTGGGGAATTAGGCATGTACCATGTTGCGTCCACAGGGATAACTCTTGAAGTGGAGGATGCACCAGAAAGAAGTGCGCGGAACCCCTTGGGGGAAATTGTTAAAAGATTCTTTGACATTGTACCTAACTCGGAGTCGTTTGGTTGAAATAAGGACTGATCAATGTGCATTAAAATTTCAAGAACCTTTATCGGCTAAATAATTGAGCCACATGTTTTGAGCTTTTCAACTGTAATAACGTGCGCACACATGCTAGGAAATTATCCGATCACTACATTAATATACTATAACTTTGAAATATATTTATTCTTATATATTGTCTTATTTATATTTTAAAATTACATATTTATTTGTCTTCACGGACATTCAAGTTGTCACTGAGTCTAGATGTGTCAGCCTTCATAAATTCTCTCAATGCCATGGTAGCATATGAACTTACACCAAGTTGAATCTTCAATACAACGGCAGTCTTTTCTGGTTTACCTTCTTCGATAACAGCATCAATAGTTCTCTTTTCAACGTACTCTTCACCCTTAGATTCTGCTTCCTTCTTCATTCTCAAAAGTTCCAAGTCAGTTCTGACCAAAGGTTGGAAATCATCAGTATATTTGACAAGTTCGTAAGATAAGCTTTCCGGCTTACAAACAATCTTTCTGTAAGATCCAGCTAAAGAGAATTCACGAACTTTTCTAGCCATGTTATGAGGATCTAATCCATCCTTCTTCATAACATCCACATAGACTTGCGATAATTCTTCGTTGGTAGGATATAAGATATCAAAACCTGGCATTGGTAATACAATATCATAAATGGAGTATTTCCCACTTTCAACATCTTCCTTGGTCAATGCCTTAGCTCTAACAAACTTATCGACAGCAATATCTTCTTGGAAATCATCAACGTCATCTAAATTAGATTCTTCCTCGGTTTTCTCGGCAATTACCAAATCCCCAACTTGTACTTCAAGCCCAAACATTTCAATTCTTTTGGAAGTTACTTGATTCCAAACATAAGATTGGTAAGCATGAGCATACATGATTCTCAAGTTTCTAGGAATGGCCATGATACTCTTAAAGTATGAATTAGAACTGTAGTCACCATCTTCATTGACCTTTTCACGTTCCAAAGTGCTCAAAATGGAATGTTCAGCGGTACAACGACGTGGCATCTTTCTAATGGTTAAACTTGGGTCATGAGTTTCGGCCCATACTCTACGAGCTTCAATAGAATCAGGAGTGACAATATCTTGTTCTGAAAGAATGAGTTCTACAGTTCCCTTCCAGTCTTCTTGTAAAATCTTAATTCCGAGAACATGGGTGGAAATTGAAAATGTACCAAATCTTTGCATACCATAGTAATTGATATATCCTTTACCTTGCAATGATTCGAAACATTGTTCAACTACTTCTTCAAGTTTGTCAGATTCATTAAGAGTCTTTGCATCTCTAATGGTAATGACAAACTCATTACCTTCTAATTCACCTAAACTCAAAGGCTTATCTTCGTATGTGAATCCACCCAAGACAGATCCCTTCAATCCCTTGTTCAATGAACTGACTCTAGCAACTTTACCCTTCTGAATGGAAAATCTTTGACAAGTAACACCTCTACGGTCCTTAGTACCACCGTATCTGATACTCTTGGAAGGAATACGTAAAAACTTGGAAATAGTGGAGGCAATTTCCATAGTTTCTCTATTTTCCTTATACACAGTAAAATGTAAATAATTTTTGAATGCACCTAATCCATAGTTTACAACTCCATTTTCATCAACATGGTTGATACTTTCTTGTGGGTTTCTTCTTCTTGGATTGGAAGAGTTCTTGGCTAATGCAACTCTGAAAGTATTTTCTGGAGATGTTAAAGAATCAAGCTTACCTTGGAATCCTTCACGTAACAATTGATGTAATTTACCACGAGTTTGCTTTTCTGGGAAGGTAGTCTTGGTTTCCATATTATTACCAGTGGAAAATAATTCTTCAATTTGAGCCAATTCTTCAGCAGTTATAAGTTCCAAGAGTTTTGTCTTGTTTTCTTCACTTAATTCATATTTTGGCTTGTTTTCTTCTTCGGCCTTCTTTAAATCCTTGATTTGCTCAACTTCTTCTGGAGTTTTGTTTTGTAACTCAGCACGTTCCAGTTGTCTCTTTTCAAGATTACGTTCCTTCTTAGATTTACCCATGTCAATACCTTCATCGGTTAAATGAACAACTTTTCCATTAGTATCAATCTCATTAACCAAGAAATCAGAGTATCTCTGTTTGATGGTACCAAAGAATCCACCGCTTCCGGAATTGGAGTCATTCAAATATTTGGTGATTCCCACATCTACTTCTTGGATTCCCTTTGATTTTCTATCAACCTCGAGCTTAACCTTCTTGGAACTATCTTCTTGATCTGTGGTTAACAGTCTTTTATGACTGATTGGAGTGGCCATCTTTGATTGTCGCTTAAAATTCTGCAAGATGTCTCTACTATAGGTAAATAGTTATTTATTACGTCCTAACATCCGTACTGTTGTAGTGGGTTCAAGTTTAGATGAAAATCTAATCATCTCATCTTGCGATTTTGTGTGCTGCGACAGGAGGACTTTTGAGATTTCTATATATTTTGAATTGTTTTTTTTTTTTTTTCTGTTTTTTAGATCCCAATGCCATTTCAATTTTGTGGAAATAAAGACATATATCTTATCTGGTAATACGACTCATAAGAAAAGTACTGTCTTCTCTATTGTAGATGTTATATATATATGTATGGATTTTGAGTAGAAGTGTAATAATACTTGTGAATTTCTCCTGGTGATTCCTTTTGTAATTTTATAAATAAGCTATTTCTTTTGGAAATTATTCCTTTTGCAGCCAAATTCAAATGTTTGTGGACTTATCATACTCAGTATTTTATAGGTAAACAAAATGTAGGATTTCTTCTACTTTCATCATTAACCTTGCTTGATATTATTATCTATATTAACCAATTCTGCTAAATATTTGCTATTTTAATACACCCATGTTCCGAAGAGTAGGGGAACCTTTTTCAATTTCTGGAAGGTCAGTTTCTGGTAAACAGGAGGTTATGGTATCAGAAAATGATTCGCAAACATCAGGAACTCCAAATTATTCAAAGGGTAGTGTAAGAAGGTTTGCCAAATCACTCTATCAATGGAGTCTGACCGATCTGGGACTCACTCAGCGTGATGGTAGTGTTCGTACTAAGAATACAAAGGATATAATTGATAAGCTATTTGAATTTTCTGTTAGTGACACATGTGACCACGACGATGAGGAACTAGAGGAGGAAGAGATCAAGCCAAGAAATACCCAAGATTCTGTCAAGGGGAGAACATTAACTCTAAATAAACTGAATCAATTGAGTGGTTTGAGTAAACTGAAAGTTTTGGGTACGACAAACACTGAGCCACATATAAGAAGGGTAGTTGTTTTAAATGATATCCCACCTTTGACCAGTATAAGCAGTATCTTGGCACAGCTCTGTGGTGGACCATTAGAAAGAGTAATATTCCGTAAAGACGGCGCAAAGGGTTCAAATACTTGTGAAATTTACTTTATGTTCCCTGAACATGCTGCAAATTTTTATGAATTCAGCACAAGAACAAATCTATTCATTTTAAATGGAAAACAAATCGCAGTAAAATGGGCGACGAGATCGAATACAAATGATTTAGATAACTCTCATCCTTCTGTGCCAGTGTACTTACTAAATGAATTTGTTCAATGGGGCGCTAGACGGTGTTTGGTTTTTTCCAAGGCTGTATCTACTAAAAGCCCAAGAAATTCTTCAACAATGCATTACCCAAATGCAAAAGCAAACTTCTCAAAAGGAGTATCATATGAAGAGATTAAATCTGATTTATCGGTATTTGGGGAAATTGTGGAAATAGCTCCAGTGATATCCAGGAAACTATGTTTCTCTGTACATTTTGCAGACATTCGATCAGCTATAGTAGCGAAAAAAGTTTGTGAAACCCCCAGCACTCCTCTAAATATTCGATATAATGATTGGACTCTATGGTATGGAAAGGACCCAACCGATACACCCTGTCATTGCCTATAGAAATATATAGCCTTTAATGATTGAGTCTTTTCCTTGCTGCTTTAAAAATGGCAAAAAAAAAAAAAAGAAATACATGTGAAATTAAAATATCTCTATTGATAAAAAAAGAACGAGGCTGTAATATGAAATTCTGTACTTAAATGTAACGGATTTTTCAACTGTATTGTTATTCGCACTCCCCAGTGTTTTTTGTAGTCATTCAATCAAAAATATATGAATCGAAAATGATTATGAATGTTCCCAAATTTTTTGTAGTTGAGGTTTTTGCAGCAATTAACACTATAGTGGTAGTTCGCATAGTGGTGCATACACGATTGAAAATCGTGATTCAATTGAATCCAAATCAGGACATACTCAAAACAAACGCATACTGCATATTCAAGCGCTTGTTTATGATTTACAATTTTTTTTGACGGAGACATACCACAAGATGCGTAGTATTCCATTGTAGTCAATACTGTAGACGAGTTAGGACTAAATTTTATTTGGAACTGTGAGGCAATTTATTTAGATTTGTCTTATCCCGTTCTGTGTTTCATGTATTTTATAAAATAATCAATTTTTAATAACTAAAGGTCAATTTTACATATCATGTCATATCAAAAGACTCCCTTGAGATCAAGATCTTCATTAGGATCTTACTCGACTACCACTGGAAGCGGGTCTTCACTCAGTCGATCAGGCTCAAATCCAACCCCTGGTGCTAAACCTCACGTGAAAGTCACAGATTTAAGAAGACCACCATCGTCAAGAGGATTCCATTCAGGATCGCCTCAACCTCAACAGAAACAACAAGCTCCTCGCTCTAGACCTGGATCAGCCATGGGGTATTTTTCCGGCGGAAGTAGCAGCAGGCCTCCTACCCCCTCTTTCCAAAGACTAGAACCATATACTGGATCCATTACTGTATCCATTAGACCTAACCCTTACAGTGTACATCCATTCCAACCAGCACCTTGGGATCTTGATGTTCGAGAAAACTCTATATCTAATAAGCAAGATCAATCTTCTTTTTCATTTGATAATGTTTTCCCTGCTGATGCTTCTACAACCAATTCTCATGTATATCAAAAGTCATGTTCTGAAATAGTTAAGAAATTTCTTCATGAAGGTTACAATGGGACTGTATTTGCTTATGGTATGACAGGATCTGGGAAGACATTTTCTATGCGAGGTGAGAATCACGATCCTGGGTTTGTTAAATTAGCCATCGATGATATTTTCCATATTATTGAATCTAATCTGATGTCCAAAATACAATATAAATTAAACGTATCATATTTGGAAATATATAATGAGAAGATCATTGATTTGTTATCCACTAATCCGTCTTCCAACGGTTCAGATTTAAAAATTAGAGATGATTCAATGTTTGGGAACAAAATTGTTGGCATTACATCTCCAGATATTATATCTAAGGAACAATTACTTCTGCTCATCAAGAGGGGAGATACTAATAGAAAGACTAGCGCAACCGATTTCAACGCGAGATCCTCACGTTCACATTCTATCCTTCAATTGAAGTTGACTACAATAGATATCATGTCAAATAGTGAACAAAATGCAACCTTGTCTTTATGCGATCTTGCAGGTTCCGAAAGAGCAACTTCAAGTCTTGAGAGAAGAAAAGAAGGTGCGTACATCAACAAATCATTACTTGCCTTATCTACGGTCATCAATAAACTTTCCGCTTCTGCTAGCACCAGTGCCAATACACCAGCACCACCGCCTTCATCAGAACATATTCCATATAGAGATTCCAAGTTGACAAGGTTATTACAACCTGCCTTATCTGGATCATCATTGATTTCAATCTTATGTACTATCCATCTTGGTTCAGGAAGTGAATCAACAAACTCAAATAATCAGTTCATATCAGAAACTTATAATACTTTAAGATTTGCTGCAAGAGCGAGAAATATTGTTATGAATGTCCTGAGAAACAAATCTTCATCACTTGGTGAAAGCCCAGAGACTCTTAAATTAATTGAAGAGCTTAGACGTACAGTAGAAACGCAAAAAACTGAATTACAATTATTACAGAATCACAATGGAATGACAGGCATACTGAACAATACATCAACTGGCTTGACTGAACAGAATCTTAAGATTTCACAACTTGAAGGTGAAAATGCAATTTTGAATGAGAAATTAGAACATTTAACCAGACTAACAGATTTACAAAAAACTGAAACAATTATTTTGAAAAATGATACATTAAATGATTTATTAGGATCTGGAATTGAGAACAACGCACTGCAAGTTATGATGTCTAACTTGGAAGAATTTTACAAACGTGTGAATTATGAAATGGACGAATACAAGTCATACATAAATCATTTGGAAAATCAACTTGAATTGCAACATCTGAAAAATTCACTTTCGAGGGGGAACGAAACAAGCAAGACTCTTATTGAACCTAGCGTACCCGACCCTGAAATGGAAGCTGTATTAAAGGATCAAGAGGAAGAAATTTGGCATCTTAAGGAATTAATTAAGGATAAGGATCATATCATTAAGAGTTTGACTAAAACCACCAAATTACGTCGCTTGATGGAATCAAACTCAGCTAATGTACTTGAAAAGTCAGAAGATCATGCTCTGAAACGAACATCAGTGCGAAATTTAGATGCAAATGATAAGGAAAATTCAACATTTGGAGAGTTGAAATCGTTTAAAATTAGCGGTTCAAGATCTCCTGATATTGAAGAGAGTTCACGGTTTGTAATGTAAATATATAGAATAGTGAGAAATAATTGAAATATCTATGATTGTTCGTAATATAAATATATGGTATGTATATCTAAATATGTATTATTTATTTTAACCCATCCACGAGTTTGTTGGACGTTCCTGATCAACTAACAAGTCTGCACGTTTTGCTTGACTTACTTGACTCTTTTGTGGACTTTTATTTGCTTTCGATTCATATAACTTTCTTTGTTGTCTAATTTTCGAGTTAAAATTACCTCCAGTAGAAATTATACTCTGCGATGTATTTCCAGTCCTTTTCGAAGCAACAATAGGTACAATATTCCTTCCAGATGATTGGATTGCTGAATAATCCACGGGCGCCATTGATTCAGTCACAACACGTGGTCGAAGACTTATATCTGATGCATCTTGTTTCAAAACATTAACAAACCGCCCATCCATTTCTTTCAATCTTTCTCCCCCATTGAAAAGTCCAGTCGAGTCTACTATTTCAACTTTGAAACTCATCAGTTCATGAGTTCGTGCATCATTAAAGAAGTCCAAAACGTCGTCATTGAACAATTGAACTTTTCTATTTTTACCTAGAATGACACCATTAACAAAACAAGAATTAGTACTACAATCCAATAACCAAATATCATCTAGACCTTGGGCAGGACTCTCAAAAATAGAAATTTCAACCACAGGATGTCTCTTCTTATTGAACAAACAATGAATCTTACTCATCCTATCATCGTTTATGAAAATATCGCATGTTTCATTTCTTCCAATTGCAAATGGATTTATACCCTGTCGTATACAGATCGCCTTTTGAGTAATAGAATGTGGTAATGGTTTTAATAATATGAACGTGTCAATTGGAACTGATTCATTATCATCACTGCGCTTGGCGACAGTTTCATTTTTATCAGATTGCATAATATGAGACGTATTCCGCCAAACATTAGAAGTTTGAGGAACAGACTGTGAAATACTCAATTTGGCAACTGATACCATTTCTGGTTTTATTTTCTTTCTTTCAGGAGAGTTTTGACCTTCTAAAGATCGTTTACGCTGTTTTATAATACGCCCCTTTGAGCTCAATGGGAAATTTAAATCTGGACTATCATCACTGGAAAGTTGAAGCTCTGCAGAATTACTTTTGCTCTCTGATCCTTCATCATCATCATCATTTTCAACATCCAATTCTTTGATGGGATGAGGAACGCCAAGAGAATCATCTCTACTATCTTGACTTTTCTTGTTACTAAGTTGCGATGCAGGTTGTTGAGATTGAGGTAAAGGTACAACTCTTTTAGGAATTTTAAACTCTTGCTTCTTAGACTTATCACTTTCCAATGGTCTAACCATAATATCTTCATCTAATTTACTCATCGACATATTGAATACACCCCCTCCATCAACTTTTCTAGATTGTTGGGATTGGGATTGTGATAAACTTATAGCTTGCAGATCAGAGTCTTGACTTTCTTCAATCTCGGACAACCAAGGATGTTTGAGGGCTTCAGAGGCAGAAAAACGTAATCTAGGGTTAACTTGAAGACAACAACTCAAGAAATCTCTAGCCTTCTCGGATATCTTATAAGAGTTCAATGGAGATTCATGATATTCACCAGATTGAATCTTTTTAAACATTTGATCTTGAGTTCTACCACTAAATGGTAAATGTGTTGTAAGAAGCACATAAACTAGACAACCAAGCGACCATATGTCAACAAGACAAGAATAACTACTATGTCTAGAGTGATCTTGTGGTTCATATTTACCACTAATAACTTCAGGTGCCAAATAAGCTAGAGTACCACAAAATGATTTCATAAATGTGACATTATCACTTATTTTAGCTAATCCAAAATCGGTAATTTTAATAAGAATTGGATTATCTTGCATAATTAATACATTATCTGGTTTTAAATCTCGATGAGAGATACCCAATTTATGTACGTATGCAATACCATCTAGGATTTGTTTAGTTATAACTTGGGTGGCATCTTCTCCAATTGCTCCATTAGCAGCAACAAAATCCATAAGATCTCCACCGGGAACAAACTCCATTACTAGATAATAATTATCCATATCTTCATAAAATGATTTAAGATGAACAATGTTTGGATGATTTAATTTACGTAAGATGGAAAGTTCTCTATCAACACCGCCTGCAGCACCGTTAGCATTAAGTGCTTTCCTTCTATTAATTATCTTCACTGCATATGATTCCCCCGTAGATCTCTCTATTACCTTTTTAACAGTTGCAAAAGCTCCTTGTCCAATAATTTCATTTTTAACAATAAAATCCTTGTATATACCTTGATCTTCAGTTGCCACCGTACCATTTGCTGATGAAGACTTGGATGGATTATAACCATCAGCAAACAACACCACAAACTTCACTATATCCTTGGGGACCCCAACACCTACTGCAATTTCATCTCCTTGGTTAAGGATATAATTTGACCCTTTTACAAGTCTATGATTGTTCAAATGAGTACCATTAGTAGATGTATCTTGGATCCAAACAGTTGTATTCTCTTGATTAAACCAGAGTTTGAAATGCCGATTCGAAAGCCTGGTACACAGAGTTAACACCACGTCACAATCTTGGTTTCTTCCAAATACCCATACTTTTGATGGTTTATCAATATTCAAATCAAAGAAATTATATTGTCCTGTAGTACAAATCAATCGACAGATGATGTTTTTTTCCAAACCAAGGGAACCATCTTCTGCAAGTGGAGACTGTTGAGTTGGCTGGGTCTGCGTGAGTTGAGTTGACTCCATCTTTACTCAATCTGGAAGACTGCCCTTCTTTCAATCGCTCTATACTAAATATATATTATATATCATTATACAGTCTGTTGTCGTATTGACAAAATATTATTTTGAGATACAAAAATGACGCGTTCGGGAGATGTGCATATAAGCATGGGATTGATTATAACGGAATGTTTATTACAACCGAGATCAAGAATATAAGAAGTTTACGTAAAAAAATACAGGGTAAGAGACACCTGTCTAAAATAGAGATGAATCGATAAAAGAAATTTCTTACAATAGATATTATCTTATGAATTAAACGTATTATTAGGAGTTAATTATTGTAATATACAGGATGAGGGGGGGGGGGGGAGAAAGCTTAAAGACTCTTGACAGACTTTTGCATAGAAGCAATTGGGTGGAGACCGTGATCATATTCGTCTTCTTCAATGGCATCCAACATGTTCAATTCTTCTTCCTTGTAGTTGTAATGCTTGAAAGTCATCCAGAAGATAATACCAGCAAGGAAACAGGAAACAGCTAAACCAGTGTAATTCCAGACGAACTTTGGATCAACTGAAACAGAGGCTAAAGCAATACCAATGGCGGAACCAAAAGCGTTGGTAAGCAAGAACAAGGACATAATGAAAGACTTCATGGAAGCTGGGGCCTTGGTGTAAGCGTATTCCAAACCAGTGATAGAAGCCAAAATTTCAGAAATGGCAATCAAAAAGTAAGCTGGAGTTTGGATAGCAACATGAACTCTGTTTGGAGTAGTAGCAAATTCTGGAGAACAACCCATTGGGAAGTCGTAACATGGACCAGCTTTGTAAATGTAGTGTTGCAAAACAGCAGCGTAAACCATGGCAGCAGCACCAAAGAAGAAACCCCAGGTAATCTTGGTGATGGCCTTGAATGGAGTAAAACGACGAATAAATGGGTAAATAAGACGTTCACAGATTGGAATGAAAATAATAATGGCAATAGAATCAATGGCTTGTAAAATATCATTTGGAAGACCATGTAATTCCATAGTACCAGCTTGAGAAACAAAGTTATTCAACATTTGACCGTAAACAACCCAGTAAACTGGGTAGAAAAGGAAAACCTTACATGCGAAAAGAGCTCTGGTGACTTCATCAACAAACTTATCAGTCCATGGGTATTGCATTTCTGGGTTAACAGATGGCTTAGCAACGTCCATATTAAGCTTGTTCTTAAGACCAATAGCAAGAACCTTAAAAGACTTGGAGATAATCTTGTCACCAACTGGAACCTTAACGTAGTATTTTCTACCTAAAACCAAGGTTAAAACACCAACGAAGAAGAAACAAAGAGGTAACAAGTAAGAGGCCCAGAAACCGATGTGAGCTTCCATTTCAGTGGTAGCAATAACAGAAAGAGAACCAATGTTAATCATAAGGTAGAAAAACATGAAAACGGATTGAATAGTAATGTTTGGATCTTGGACAACTCTAGAACCATCTTTCAAAACTCTAATGACTGGCTTTGTCTTTGGAACTTGGTCAGCAATTAATGGGGCAACATTAGACTTGACACCACCGGTACCAATACCAATAATAATGATAGCAGCAATATAACCACCCAAAGAAGTACTCTTGGAGGCGACAGATGGCAAGGAAGTAATGAAAAGAATGAAAATACCAGCAATGTAAATACCACAAGAAACACAAATGGTGTTATATTTACCCCAGTAAGTATCAGCCATGTAAGCACCCAAAATTGGAGTAACGTAACACCAAAATTGGAAAAAGTAAGAAAGGGCAGTAGCACCTTGGTTACCTAATTGTAAAACACCAGCTGGAACATCATTTGGACCGTTTTGCATATAGTTTTGGAAAGGACCAGTCAAACCATAGTAAGAGAATCTTTCACAAAGTTCAACAATGGCAACTAACCAACAAGAAAGTGGAATCTTTTCAGCAACATGTCTGAGAGTCTTAAGTTCGTGTTCAGTTGGAATTCTTCCTTCATCATCTTCGAAGGAAGCAATTTCTCTTCCATCTTCTTGAGTAGCGAAGACTGGAGCTTCTTCTTTTTGAGCAATATTCTTTTCTTCTTGGGACATTGTTCAACGTATAATTAAAGAAAATAGCCGATAAGAATTAAGGAAAAGTGATTACCTTTATACTTCCCGCAAAAGAAATATAAGTACGGCTTGTCAAGATTTCATATATTTCTTATCTATGCGCATGCTCCAAATGACGCTCAACAATTCGGCAAGACCATTCATTGCGTGCAAACTTACGATTCATTTTGGAATAGCCGTGTAATTTGCGCCATTTGATGAACGGCAGATAGTTGCGGCGATTTCTATATGGCATTTTGACCTGCTTGAGCCGCACTCCATGCAAGAATAAACGGAAAAATAACTTTACATAACTTTTCTGAGGGCCCCTGGCCGCCTACAAGTATTACAATATATACATTACAATGGTTCAAAGAGTAAGGATCAAATGGAAAAAAAAAATGGACTGGATTCCATTTGAATGAACTTAGTTTTGTAATAATCTCTTATCTTTTCCTATTCCAGTGCTCATTGCTTGAATGTGAAACTATTGTCATCTCATGCATGAATTTCTTTTGCGGAAATTTTCCTTCCGATTTTCTCTTAATTTGCAAAATGGCACGTATTCCCCCGAAATTATACATATCGCTTACACGTGACCAGCACCCTATGTTACATTGCAGGAACGATGAAATATTTTGAAACGGCATTTGGTATTATATAGTCATATTTAGTCTTGATGCCGTTGATTAGCTACCGGAACCGGACTATCAAACGAATCTTACAGTACATGAACTAGTGAAATGCGGAGTAAGAACGGCGATTGATCGATAAATTGATTCGGCCTTGAGCGATATAGGAGCTTGTGATGAACCACAGGTGGATTATAGCAAGCCACCGTTTCTTATATACATCATCATATGTGTATTGCGAATCAATTTACAGCTTGTCATTTTACATGTGCTATCTACATACATTGTAATGAACGTTATATATTTGTAATAATGTCTGTTTGGAGACAAAGATTTTCATATCTAAATATGATATATAATAGGTAACATGCAATGAAATACTGGGTCCCCTCTTCGGCGTTTGATTTTCATACCTATATACAGGAAAAATATGATAACTCATTAGTAGATGAGGAGTAGCACCAATCACATATTATTTTTTTTTTTAAAAAAAAACTAACAATAAAAAAGCAGGAATGCCTTGCACAAACTACGCCGTTACAATAGAATGTGTGGACAATATTAAACATTATTGTTTGATTACTAAATATATACCATAAAAAAAAGATAGAATTCACACTCAAATTCCGTCCACGTGATCATAATGTTTTAAATATATTGTAAATCATAAATAATTGTGTAAGGTGTAATCTTAAAATAGTAGTGAAAATTAGGTCAATCTACCAATTTAAGATATCTCTATATAGTCAATTTAATGAACTGGCCAGTAACCTGGTAAAAGGAAGTGCATTTTTTCCAAAAGTTCCTTCTTAACTCCATGTGGACTAGTACTGACAGAATACTTCATAGTACCAACTAAATCTTCACCAATTCCACTAGTTCCCTCTTTCAAGTCCTTACTGATGACAGCAATCAAATGAGCAGCCAACTTAGCAGCATTGGCACCATTTGACTTCAAGTTTCCAACAACGGTTTCAACAGTAACTGGTTCCTCGGATTCATTCCATGAATCGTAATCAGTAGACATACAGATCATTTGGTAAGCAATTTCGGCTTCTCTAGCAAGCTTACCTTCTGGTAAGACAGACATATTGATGACAGATCCACCCCAAGTTCTATAGAGTTTCAGTTCAGCTCTGGTACTGAATTGAGGACCTTCCATACAAATGACAGTCAAATCTTCACCCTTATTAGTAGTGTGCTTAGTATGGAAAGTTGGAACATGCTTAGAGTCAAACTGTTCTAAAAATCCAGTTTGTGGAACATTTTCACTGATAAGTTTGTTTAATTTTAAGTCAAATGGTTCACCAAACATAGCATGAGCAACAAAACCCTTTTCGAAAAATGTATGAGGACGAATTCCCTTAGTTCTGTCAATAACTTGTGTTGGAAGAACAAAATCACGAGGTAAGATTTCTTGTTGTAAGGAACCCACAGCAGAAAAGGCAACAATTGCCTTGACACCAATTTTCTTCAAAGCGGCGATGTTAGCTCTGCTTGGGACATCAGAAGGTAACAAGTCGTGGTGAAGACCATGTCTAGCCAAGAAAGCTACTGGAACACCATCAGCGGTTTCAGAGATGGTAATAGGAGAAGATGGGAACCCCCATGGTGTAGATACAGTTAATCTTGCAACTGGGTTAATGTTTGGTAAATCATAAAAACCAGTACCACCAATAATTGCCAAACTGACAGGCTTGTCGTAGTGGTGTGGGAGAGACGCAAGGTCGATCTTTTCTCTGTGAACTGACATTATGTTGAGATCAATAAAGAAGTAGTGATGTTACAAAATTTGGGAGTTCGTTGAATTATAGCCGCTAAATTATTGAAGGGAAAACGTTTCTGTGGCTTGTTTGGCACGTGATAGGCAAAGGAAACGGTTGAAGGTAGAAAATAAAAAAATAAAAAGCAAAAAAGTTAAAAAGGGATCAAAAGCTTGCAGAATGGATAGTCAGCCTCACAAAGGGTGAATTCAAAATATAAAGTTTTAGGGATAAAGGAGGAAGAATTCAAATAATGAAGAGTGGGGTATTCAGGATATAGTTTGGTATATTAATAGTATGAAATTGAATATTGTAGCTTACAGAGTAGGGAGTTTTTTTTTGCTATAGTAGACGAAAATATAAAGATATTAAAAAAAAGAAAAAAAAAAAACATGATCCTTTGTTTTTATACAATTACTAGTAGACATCAATAAGAGGAATGTATAATCTTGAAAAAGCAAAAACATTTTAATACAAGCTAGTAGTTAGTACTCATAATGAGTATATCCAATAAAATCATGCTTAAGGATTATTTTTTGTATTGGTTGCTTAGTCGAATATTGTGCGAGGTGATCAACCTGCAGTACCTTATGTCATTCAGAGAAAATCAAGCTGAAGCAAAACTGAGGAAATCAAAGTGGAGTATATCACCCCATATATACATATAATATAAATGTTAGTAACTACACTTAGGATACCCAAAGGGTTTTCTATGACCCGGGTGGCATGGGTCAGACAGTTATCATCCAAGCCACCATCTTCAGCGCTGTCCAACACCACTGGAACTGACGATAATCCCAACACTCCTGGCGCCACCAACCTGACTCCAGGAAAGAAATCTTCAAATAATGTGACTGGTTCAGAAGGTAAGAAAATGAGATTATCCGAATCGGATGAAAATCATGAGTTATCTTCGGTACAAGAGACTGGTACTTTGGACAGTAGATCACCTTCAAATAGAGCTTCAACCACTTCAAAATATATATCATTTAAAGATTTTCCTCGTGCTCCTGCTGCCATTAGAAAATCGTCAACAGATTCTTTACTTGGTCTTATTGATAGAAGAGCATTTTATTCTCAAAATGAACAAGAACAGAAAGATATCGAAAAGAATATATCAGAAGCAACAAAGCCAGTGGAAGTAAGACCATATCATAGTTTCCAAATCCCAAAACAATTTCTTAAGGGACATAGAGATGATGAAATAGAAAGAATATTAAATGAAATAAATGATTATTCATCATCATTTATTCCATCTGAATTTGTTGATTTAACTAGACCTCCATTTGCAGAACATCCTCTTAAAAGATCATGGTCCAATTTAATGCCCTTAAACCCAGGGTTACATTCTATCAGTAACGAATATTTGTGGGAAATTGTTCCAGAAAATAAACTCTTCAAGAGTCCTCCATTTGAATCTGTTCAAAATAACAAAAATGAAGATGTTTTGTTTAGATATAAGAATTGGGAAGAACAGAAGAAGAAAGAAAAGACCAAACAACTTCAAGAAAAGCTTAACGAACAAAAGGAAACTGATGAAGCAGTGAAGGAATTTCAAAAGAATAATTCATTCTTTGCAGTTTCAGGAGGACGTAAAAAATTAAATCGTAATCTTGTAAAGAAGTTTAGGAAATTGAAACAGGAAGGGAAATTGGGAAAAAACACAGAGGATGAGGATTAAATAGCATCATATTTTATATTGACTTATTATATTATTATTATATTATCATATTGTATTAGTACGTATACACTTATATATCAGGAAGGGCGAGACTTGCCTGCAAAAGCCGCCAAAGCTAACATAAACATATATATATATAACAACTGAACATATATTTAAATACTATTCAATGATATTCAACTTAACATCACCATATCCAAATCTATGTTTGTTGTCTTCATAAACTCTTTGAAGTTCTTCGACATAAAGTTTATGATAATGGTCCAATAATTCTGCTGGGATCTTTTGCTTAGGTGGTGTTGGCTTCGAAGGGACCTTATTCTGGTTCAATTTGAACAAATTGGAAAAGGAATTACTTCTACTGGAAGTCTTTTGAATGTCAACAGCTTCAGATCTTGAAAGTTCAGCAGCTGCACTTGTCAAATCTACATCCGATTCAGGATGCTTTGCCCGATACTCTGCCAAGGCTCCACTGGGAATATATATAGGTTTCCCCATACACAAGTTGATTGGATTTCTATAAGGAAGGAATCCAAAATCATATATGAATACACCACGAGCACTGAAAAATGGCACAGTGAAACTGAATACTTTCTTCATCCATAATTGGAATGTATAACCCATAGAACCCTCTTCTGGGATGTTAACGTTATAAATATCAGCTTCTCCAAATGCAAAAATAGGCACTAAAGAGATATTACCCAATTCAATGGCAATCTTGACAAAACCTTTACGTTTATTTAAAACCAATCGGATTTGTCTTTCAGGTACTCCTTCTGATTTTTCAGAGTCTTTACTATTAGCATTTGATTCAATTTTTTCATCCTGGTTAAGTTTATCTTGTTGCTTTTCATCAACCGAATTCGAAGGGTAAACATCATCAGATTCTGGTTGTTGCTTTTTATATCCATTACCAATTTTAGAATGTGAAGCAACCACATCATTTAAAAGTGATTCTTGAGCACCACCAACAACAATAACGACTGAGTTATCACCATTGTTGATTAAACTCTTGATGTTTTTCGCAGCAGCACTGGTTAAGCCTAAACTTAAAAGATAATCTCGGTAAAATGGTAATGTAAATTGAGTACTTAAAGTTAAGGGGAAAATCTTTTCAATATTTGGAAGTAATCTTGGTTTACCATTTGGATCATGGAAAAAAGGTTTAAGAAATTTTGCAGGAGGTTCAAATGGTTCATTTCTAATTGCATTAGTAGCAAAAGTCCCCATTACTCCCATAGAGATGACTCCATGTGGATGATATCCAAAGATATATCTTGGTCCGACTGAAACTTTTTTGAACTTTTGTTTCCTACTTGAAGTTGGAGGTGGTGAATAGGAATCAATAACATTTAATCTCTTTTGAAGTCCTAGTTTCTTGAAGATAATATCAATCAAAGTTCTTGCATTTTCCGAAACAAGATCTTCTTCATCATCAGGTTGAATTGCAGCATCTTCAACAGCAACCGTTTGGAAAGTTGGTTCCAATTCACATGATTTATGGACACTGATGGGGAAATATTCAACAAACCATTCCCATACAATTAGATTTCTTATCCATTCACGATACCGGTATTGAGCTTTTCCATTCGATGGAGTATGCATATCAAATCCATACCACCAAATGAAATATGGAAGGATTACAACTAACCAGACAACCCATCCAAGATAAAGTGTAAATAAGAATAATATAATGAAAAATGGGATCGAAATTGTATGCCAAATAATTCCTATAGTTTGTAATCTATATTTCATTGGAGTATTCATGGGAGCAATGTTAAGAAGTGGTCCCTTTGATTTTGACTTTGATTTAGGTCTGCGAGATGGCAACTTTGCAGTTGAATTTTGATGAGAGTTTGAATCATCTTTAGATTTGGTTTCAGGGACATTAGTCCTCCTTTTCAAAGTTGATTCGTTATCGTTACTCATAGTTTTGTAAAAAAATATATATATCAATATATTGTGATAGCAACTATCAAATCAGGATGTTATAAATCAAACAATTTAGTAAAATATCAGATAAATTCCTTTGTAGAAAATTGAATATGTTGAAATAAATTTAACAATTGCTTCAAATACGTTCAAATCTTCAATTAATATTAACCCCTCATGTAACAAGAGGGTATCTTTCAATTACGAGATTAGGAATGAAATAAAATCAAAGGGGTTAAATGTCATGCAAGTTTCAATTTAAAGAGTGAAACAGGAACAATTTAAAACCAACTGTACTTTAATCAACCTAAATGTTATTAATGTTATTAAAGAACTATTCGTCAATGTTGGATAAAAAGGTAAGGGAGGGGGAGAGTTAGTTACAATATGCTTTAATCCAATCAATCCTGTTGAGGTTACATACACTCTTTGTGGAAATGAGGGGCACAAAATGAGGGGTGGGCGGCGCCCTTGTGGGGGAAAAGTGCTTAACAATTAAGGAAAGAGCGGCTATACAAAAGAAGGAATAAAGCTTACTATTTCCTAAACTGCAAAATCAGAAGTTATACCATATACAGATAATGTAAAGTACTTTTAGTTTTTTGCAACAGTGGTATGCATAAGAATGTGTAACTTTACTTTGCATGTGTTTACTTGCCTTTGATATACAATAAATTGATCTAGTATGTGAGTAAAAACTTTGCAGTACCTCGTATATATTTAAAAGAATTCTTGAGTACCAGAAATAAATGTATTTATGATATTCTTCCCCATTATTCTTTGAAGATTAGCTGCATTACCATGGAACATTCCCAATTGAATTTACGAGTCTACGTTTAATTGAACGGACTTTACTCCGAATGAAATGGCGCGATTAAGGTTGTTTAAAAAATAATGGGGGACTTTTTAAAATATTTTTAAGGATGAAACCTGAATTAATTAGTGGACCTACCTCTACTAAATGTGACAATCGCGGATTTAGACCCTCTTTCCTATTGATCTTGGGGAGATCTTTTTTTTTTCTTTCTTACACTACTTCGCTAAAGTGAGGATATCACTTGAAAATAATAAGATCAAATTAAAGTTAAATTCCTGTATAGGCTATTATCTGACTTTTATTTATTATTGTTTTTTTTTTTTCATCTTTATTTTATTTCATTTTATTTTTTGTGAGATTTTGTATATACACCATTTATGAATTTATATAGATGATTAAAGAGTAAAAGTAAGGACAATAGCATGAAGCGAATAGATGCTGATTCCCAAAGCACTCAGTATTGGATAAAGAAGCCCAAGCTATCCACCGGAAAGGAAAAGGGGAATGATAGGTATGAGACACCCTTTTCACAACTATTAGGCGGTAAGGAGCCACTAGATCATGTTGAACTTCGATATCGACTATTAGAAAGTACTTGGCGTAAGCAACAAGTAAAGATTGAGAATATTTTAAAGCATGCAAATGTTGATTTATTCAAGAATCTATTGCAATATGTAACAAATATCGAGTCAGCATCTCAAAAATTACCAATTGGGTTTCTCCAGCTTGGTTCAAATATCGCCAATAATTTAAGAATCTTCAAAGAACTTGAAAAATATTTATTAGAGAATGAAACTGAGAAGGAATTGAAGATTGTCAATCTCAGTTCAAGTACTTGTGCAAACATCAAGGCTACAATTAGGGAGATTGTGAAACAAGTTACCTCTGAAACCGAAAAGAAAAGCGGTCAGGATCAATACAGTAATTCTGATGATTCATCCCAAGATGAAGAAGACGAAGAACAAGAAGATGGAGAAGAAGATGATGAAGATGAAAATGAGCAAGCCAATATTGATATGGTTGTCAATGAGGGGAAAAAATATCACGGAAAGATTAGTTATGATTTTGATATCATTGCTGATTGGTGTAGAGATTATTATAAACGAGAAAATTCATCATTTGAAAAGCTTCGAATTGTAATTGTTATTCAAGATTCAGATGCATTACCAAACCAATTATTGAATCAGGTTCTTCGATTAGTTTTTTCCTACTCAAAATCTATACCGATGCGTCTAATTGTTGGTTTATCATCAATCAATAGTAATATTAGTACATGGCTTAATAATAATCTTAATAATGAATTAAGAATTTTTGTTGAAGGACATCTTTACCGCACAGAAGATAATAAACTGTTGGGTCATAGTATTTGTAATGATCTTTTCCTTCAATATCATGAAGATGAAGATGAATTCGATACAGACGATTCAAATGATCATAATATCCTATTACCAGTTTTATCACCAAAGTTAACTGCAACGTTATTAGATAGGTTCGAAAACTCCAATAATTCAATTGATAGTTTGGTTTCTTCTTTCAAATTGGCCTACTCAACTTATTTTTATCAACTGCCATTACCTGTTCTATTAAGTAATAAATTTAATGATAAAAAATTCGAGTTATATGTTGATACATTAAGGAAATTACCAAGTTTTAAAAAACATATAGAAACAATCCTTGCTCGAATTTCAGACTTGGATCTATCATCTAACAAGGAATCAATTGATAGTATGAAGAAAGAAATCATTGATTTATTTGAAGATTCAGGGGCAGTTAAGGATCTTCTTTCTAAATCCATTAAAAAGAGTAAGTTTGAAACATTTATGACAATTAATGCAACTAATTTAGTGTACTCTTTACAAATGCAAGATATACAGAATGGTGGATTAACCTTTGATGGATCAAAGGAAAAAATTGAAATCTACCAATTGTTAACTACAAGACAAATATTTTCGTCATTATTTTTAAATAATTTACTCAATTTTGTTGGTAGATTATCAGCTCAAGGTTTAATTCAACAGATAAGATATATTAATTCATTACCAAAGGAAAATTCATCTGGAAATGATCAGGATTTAATTTTACTTATTGATGAATTAAATATTCAACTTGATGTTTTACAACAACAATTTGAACGTGGCACTTATAAGAAATATTCAGAAGCTGCTTCTCCTAATAATAAGAATATACCTGAAACTGTGAGAGAATTATTGGATAAATTATCTAATAAAATTATAACTTGCTATAAGAAGTATTTTAGAAAATTTACAAATGAAAGTCAACTCCCATTTTCTGAAGTTTTCACGGTTTTAGGTGGTACAGAAGTTGACCCAACACAAGATGAACTACCAGAGAGAACCTCTAACCTTATTCTTCGACTTTTACGACCAGATCTTAGATATCTGTTGGAATTAGCACTTGAAGATTCAACTGAGTACCTTTCAAATTCTTTAATAGCTAATGATATCAACTCTGAAGAAAAGTATCGAATCTCTCATCCAATCCTTACAAGATTATTTCATGTTTACAAGGATGCACCAGTTTCGATAAATATTTATGATTTCTTCTCTGCCTTTAGAGAATCATTTGAAAAGGAAAAAGATTGCCGAATATTGATTAAATATTTGAAGGAAAATCCTACAATAGAGGAAAGCTCCCGTCTTATTGATGAATTAACAAATATTGTTGATGGAAAAGATAAAAAACATCAAATATGGGATAAAATAGTATACTCATGGTTCTTACAAGGTTGTTTTGAACTACATCAAATGGGTATTATTAAAGAAAAACCAAAGGGTGACTACCTTGAAAAAGTCATATGGAAGGGAGTTTAATTAGTTCATAAATCATTATTAAATATATATTTTACAAAGTTATTAATCCTTATCTGTAGTTGGTTTCAATGAAGGATATCCGATGTTTCCGAGCTTGTCTGTGATGTTATCAAGCAATTCTGGGTTGTTTTTAACATGTTGATGTGCAACAAATGCTGTAAGGAATAACAACAGGATGAAAAATGCCAAAATCAACACGATTACTTTCCGTTGAGCCATGAATAGCCTATTAGAAATACTCGTTGAGTTAGCTAGAAGTGTAGATGATCTGGCCATTGTGATTGTAAGGATTCAGATTATTTTTGATATATCTATAATTCTAAGAAATTTTGATTTGGAAATGGTGCCCAAAATGTGCCAGTATCACGTGACCAGGAACGTAAACAGAATACTTAGGATATATATACAACAATAGTAAAGTATTGCATTCCCAGTAATATTTTTACTATTTTATAAAAAGAAACATAATTGCTACTAAATTTATTTGAATAATTGTTCGTCAATTTGTGGTGAGAGTCTAATTGTATTGTGCTAAATGGTCTTCCACCATGAATTTAAAAGCTTGAAGATATTCATTGGGTTGTATCCACCATCAAGGTATCTGATTAAATTCCTAATATTTTTCTTACTGTACCAACCCTGAATACAAGTGTATAAATATATATATGTTATCCTATTGTTTTCTCATAAAATCTCACATTGACTTCAATTTGAAGAATATTTAACTTGCAGTTTGGATTTATCTTATTTTGAATTGAATCCATTGTCTTTGTATCTATAAAGTCTATATCCGTTCTTCGTTTTCTCGTCAAATTTTTCTTCGTGTTTTCATGGGTCATCGATTCCTCATCTTAATTCTTCTTAAAGTCTTCATCTGACTTCATTTCCCCTTCTTCCTCTTTCTTCTTATCATCTTCTTCTTTCTTCTTCTTTTCATCCTCTTCCTTCTGCTTCTTTTCATCTTCTTCTTTCTTCTTCTTTTCATCCTCTTCTTTCTTCTTCTTTTCATCCTCTTCCTTCTTCTTCTTTTCTTCTTCTTCCTTCTTCTTCAAATCCTCTTCTTCCTTCTTTTTCTTCTTCTCTTCATCTTCTTTAGCCTTCTTGATAGCTTCTATTCTGTCAATCTCAACTTGCTTGTCACTTCTAAAATCAAATGGATAGGTCCAAATACCTCCAAGATAGTCAAATAATTTTGTTTCATCATCAGTGTATTTAATGTAAAGACCTTCTTGTATATTATTTGTCTCACCTTCTTTATCACTACCAATCAGAGAGTATGCACACCAAGTATACCCATTACAATAATTTCTTGCATTAACCCAACCCCTCGATGGTTCATCATCTTTGTTTGGTTGGTCCATTCCAATATCAAAATTAACAGGTGGGATAACTGCTTCCTTAATACCAAGCTTACTTGTGAAAAATGCTTGGAAACTGCTCAAACTATTAAATTGAGTGTATCTATCCTTATGTTCAAATTCACTTTCAAAATCAACTTTAGCAGTTTGACCACAAAATTGGAATCCCGAATTAAACCATAATAATGTATGATCATCTTGATCATTAATATGAGCGGGATGATTTGAACAAATTTCTTTGGACTTGAAATTTGGCTTTTTCTCTTTAAGATTGGCATTTCTTTCACGATCTGGTGTAACTTCTCCGATAGCTGCACTGAAATGTTTATTGAAATAATATGATTCATCACCTGAAACTGTATGAGCTAACCAGAACAATTCTTTGTCTCCATAAAGTCTATCATGAGCAGGTTTAATCGCATTTAATTGAGCCATAATGAACCCTTTAGTAAAATGACGTTCTCTGTTTATAACAACAAGGCCACTTTCCATATAATGTGACATACCTTTGAAGAATTCTCTTTTAAGAGTATAATCTGTAATTTGAGGTATTCCAAACATAGCAGTATCCAATTGGGATGGCATCATTTTACGGAAAAACGTAGTATCATCTTTTGGTCTAAACTCAGCTGCACTTCTATCTTTGTAATAGAATGTACCGTATTGCTGATATTTAGGTAAATTGAAAAAATAATCTGGAGCTTTAAGCATAACTGTATCAGCATCAACCAATATGAATTCATTAAATGAGTTAAAAATGGTAGCCAAGATTTTATTACCAAATCCACCAAATTTACCATGATATTTCTTATTTACAGCCGGTGAAACATCAACAAACCAAAGTTCTTGCGCTTTCAAAACTTTACCGCCACCATCAGAGAGTGGCCCTCTACTTGCTTCAATCAATTGATTTCTCGATTCAGCATTTAAATCCAGTACGTATATGATTTCAATTGGGAGCTCATTATCCAAAGCTCTTAATAATCTAATGAAACGAATGGCCATGACAACATGGGAATTACTGATGGTAAGTCCAATACCTCGTCCATTTAATCCTTGTCTAAACTTTTTCATAAAGCCTGGCTTACGTTCAACAAATGATGATTTAATGTTTGCTTCAGCATTAACAGAAACACATTCCTGTGCTGTATATTTACACATTTGTGGCAATGCATTTTTAATTACTTTACCATCCCATCTAGTAAAAGTTGGAAGTACACCAGTTAACCAAGGATAAATTCTCGACTCTAAATCTTGAAATGATTGGGAGTTTTTCAATGACTTTGATTTTGATTTAGACTTTAATTTCTTAGATGTTTTATCTAAATCAATATTAGCTAATTCAGACTTTTGATTATTAACAAAGTTAGTAACCGAAACCCTTTCAGGAATTGATGAAGATAAAATATAACATTTGTTAAACACTTTAACGTGAGTTAAATAATCATGAATCAATTTCTCATGTTCAGCAATTCTTGCAACAACTTCTACATGATTAGCTTCAATTTCTTTAATCTTTTTATCGGTTACTACCACTTCAGATTTCTTAATTTCTTTTTCCTTTGCTTCATTATTTTTATATTCTTCAATTTTCTTTTCTTTATATTTCTCAAGAGTGGAATAACCATCTCTATCAAAACTAAAATCATAATCTAGATCAATATTCCAGTTTGGTTTTTGTTGATATAATTCTTTGAAGTATAAATCACATCTTTCTTGGAAGGTTGTATCTTTAAGTAAGTATGTTAAATCATACTTTTTAGTCAAGTTATCATAAGTTCTTGAATGAACCAATCTTCCCATAGGGAATGCTTCGTTATAAGCAGGCTCTAAAGACTTCAAATATTCATCTATTGTTTGGAAGTTTGTATGTGACTCTAAATAATAATCTTGTAAAAATTCATCTTGAAAGATTGCTTCAGAATTAGATTGGTTATCATATAACCAGAATCCAAGCGTTATTAACCAAATCAGAAGTATGATCCGTAATGACCATGTTCTCACAACTTTCGAACGGAAAAGTGATGACACGGTCAGAATCAATTTGGATTTATCAAATTGCATTTAGATGAATACCTCTTCTATTAAGAAAAAAAAAAAAATCCAAGCTTAAGAATAAGAACGCTTTATTTCCATTAGTTTAGTGTGTTCTTAACTTGATGTGAATCCTTTTCTTGGAATCCGGAGTGAACTGCAGATAAAGCGGCTACGCGATTCTAAACAACACAAAAATAAAAATATACACAGCCTTTGCAACAGAAAAAATGTATTTATAACTCACTTAAGTGGAATGAAACTTTATGAATGGACCCATTTTGAAAACAGAATAGGGGATTCTATCAAGACACTCCGCCAGTTCCCTCTTTTTGTATTTTTTTGTGAGATTCAGCCGCACAAGAAGTAGGTGTATATAGTGGAATAGTCAGGGTCAAAAGAAATATGGATCTTGTGCGAGATCCACTGCATAAGCCTCTCTCTCATTGCATTTGTTTAATGAAAATGGTTCGACTAATATTTCTACAAAAGAAGTTACACATGAATGGAAATAACGAAATAATTCCCATCAATCATATATGAGTAACATATGATTACTAAAAAATAAAAAACCAAATAGAAAAAATTAAGTAGTAAAAAAATTGAGTCAATCCAAGTATTGAATGACAAATGAACACATAAATGGTAGCAGGAATTTCATAATCCACATTTATAAATATATTCTCATTAATAATATCTCGATGTTCATAAATCGTGGGTTATAGGGAATTCTCTAAAATTTGTAAGCTATTTTATACCTAAAAATAGTTTCATATACCATTGAGTTGTGCCAGTAATACGCGACTTTCATCTCGTTTTTTTTTCTGGCAACACAATAAAACGACTTGGAGAGAGAGTCCATTCGTCGTGCATAGGTAATGGCATTTGTTTAGTTTTGTGACATTGATGAATAAGGTACTATATATCACTACATGCAGTACGCGAGGGCAAATCGTAAATTCTCTAAACTAAACTACAAAGCTAATGTCTTACATTAACTGCAGGCTGTTTGAAAGTGCCGTTACCGGCCCTACTTTCTAACATTATATTCTTATATCTATTCTTTAACGAAATTTGTAAAATGCATATATTCTCATTTTTAGGCGCCAATTCCGCGGCAACAGAGAAAAAAAAACATCGGACATACTTTACCGATCATGATACCACTTCTTGAGGGCTCTTCCAACTTCTAATATAAACGATAATAAAAAAAAAAAAAAAGAATACCACTTTATCTATTCCGGTAGGGCTGCAAGTATTTTTTCATAATCTTGCATGGAGATTTTGTGACCCGTAACAGATTATAATATGTTGTGGTTGGTCAACCTTATCGAATCCTGCACTCAACAATACAATCAAAGGTTGTGGCTTTGGTCGATATCCAAGAGAATTAGAGAATAATTTTCTAAGAGAAGCTGTAAGCGAGGCGCTTGAACCTTTTACAAGGTTTCTATTACGTTGAGCGTCATAACATTTAAGTTTACATGATCTACACTTTAATAAAATAATTCGTATGTAGCACAAAATATTAGAAGTTGGTATGTGAACTTGCTGTTACTATCGCTCTTATCACTACTTGATTAGATATCAGTTTATGCACGTAGTACAGAATAAATAGTTATTTTAACACTACATATTTGTGGCATGGAATCGCCTCAAGGACCAATGTAAGACCTTGAAAAACTGCCAAGCAGACCCATGACTTTCTTTTGTTTACGGCGTTTTTTTCTTTTTTTTCCTTTTTTTATTTTTTTTTTTTTTTACCAAGAAAAATTCTTAACGGATAGTGTAGTATTTCCTTATTTGTTAGCTCGTAAGGCGTTTTGGCACAATTTTCGTCGTATATGTTACGATTTTTGCAGGTGGAAAACTGCGTACAAAAAATTGGAAAAAAAAAAATACTGATTGTGCCTTTCAAGTATCTCCTTCATAGGCTCATAGAATGTCAGTGGGGTAGTGGGGCATACACGAACGGCATTGTGACATCGATAACCCCTGTCACAAGTCTACGTAAATTGCCCCACCTTTCTTTATGGCCGAGGAAGGAAATATTTAGCAACAATTATTATTCTAAACTTTAAGATATTATTTCATTCTAGCAAATAAGCCTCTTTCAAATTGGACTAGAAACATTTAGTGACTATTCGTAAACCATTGGGTGACCACAAACACACACGCAGTGGTACGGCGATACCTATAGACAGGATAAAAAAAATATTTTGTGATCGATATGGTCTGCATACCCACTGATAGAGACCTTTATCATTCTCTGATAAGAACTTTTTGGTAGACGCACGTAGCTGCAGTATTGTTTCCCCATTTTCATGCAGTAAGTTTCTATTTGGGCGCAAAGTAGCCTGTAGCCAAAGTTTGGAATGTTGTGGGTTACTTTGTATAAAAGACATGATAAACCGCCTCTTTAATTACAATGATTTAAATTTGATTTTCTATCTTTTCATTAAGACTTTTATCTAATTAAGAATTTATAGAATATGCCTGAAAAGGAACTTGATTATATCCGTTCTAGGGATGCTGCTGACGGATCTTCCACTGAAAAAAATGGTGGTGTCTATATTGATGCCTTTGACAAGGGTGACAATGCTGAACCATTGACTGGTTTTGCTAAGTTTTTTGACTCTTTCAAAAGATATGATGCTGAAGAACTTGGTTTGGATCCAAACTTGACTGAAGTTGAACGTGCAGCCATTGTTACTGCCAACTCTCCATTGTCTCGTTCTCTTAAAAACAGACATTTACAAATGATTGCTATTGGTGGTTCCATCGGTACTGGTTTATTCGTTGGTTCAGGTAAGACCTTGAGAACCGGTGGACCTGCTGGTGTTCTTATTGCCTATATTTTGATTGGTACTATGATGTATTGTACCGTTCAATCTCTTGGTGAACTTGCTATTACTTTCCCTGTCTCTGGTGCCTTTGTTACTTATAATACTCGTTTTATTGAACCTTCTTGGGGTTTCACTATGGCTTGGAATTATGCCTTACAATGGCTTGTTATTTTACCGTTGGAATTGGTTGCTGCTGCCATGACTATTCAATATTGGACAACAACTATAAATCCGGTGGCGTTTGTGGCCATCTTTTATGTACTTATTGTTGCCATTAACTTTTTCGGTGTTAAAGGTTATGGTGAAGCTGAATTTATCTTTTCTGCCATTAAGGTTCTTGCCGTTTGTGGTTTCATCATCTTGGGTATTATCCTTGTTTGTGGTGGTGGTCCAAAGGGTGGTTACCTTGGTGGTAAGTACTGGCACAATCCAGGTGCCTTTGCTCATGGTTTCAAGGGTGTTTGTTCTGTTTTCGTTACTGCCGCCTTTGCCTTTGCTGGTACTGAACTTGTTGGTTTAGCTGCTGCTGAATCCGCCAACCCAAGAAAGTCTTTACCAAAGGCTACCAAGCAAGTTTTCTGGAGAATCACTCTTTTCTACGTTGTCTCTCTTACTCTTGTTGGTTTACTTGTTCCATACAACGATGAAAGATTGGTTGGTGGAAGTTCTGTTGATGCTAAGGCTTCTCCATTCGTTCTTGCCATTAAGAATGGTGGTATTAATGGTCTTCCATCAGTTATGAATGCAGTTATTATGATTTCCGTTCTTTCTGTTGGTAACTCTTCTGTCTTTGGTTCTTCTAGAACCTTGGCTGCTCTTGCTGCTGCTGGTCAAGCTCCAAAGATCTTTGGTTACATTGACAAACAAGGTCGTCCTCTTGTTGGTATTATTGCCCAATGTATCTTTGGTCTTTTATGTTTTGTTACCGCTTCTGATAAGTTTGGTGAAATTTTCGATTGGCTTCTTGCCCTTTCTGGTTTGTCCTCTCTTTTCACTTGGGGTTCCATTAACTTCTGTCTTATTCGTTTCAGAAGCGCATTGAAGGCTCAAGGCAGAGATACCAATGAACTTACCTTCACTTCCCAAGTTGGTGTTTACGGTGCTTGGTACGGTTTCCTTTTGAACGTTTTGGTTCTTATTGCCCAATTCTGGATCGCTTTGTTCCCATTGGGTGGAAAGCCAGATGCTTACGATTTCTTTGTTTCCTACTTGGGTTTACCAGTCATTATGGCCTTCTACATTTTCCACAAGATTTGGAAGAGAGACTGGAAGTTGTACATTAGAGCTAAAGATATTGATATTGATACCGGAAGAAGAGAATTAGATTTGGACTTGGTTAAGCAAGAAGTTGCCGAAGAAAAGGCTATCATTGCTGCCAAGCCATTCTACAAGAGATGTTACCACTTCTGGTGTTAATTAGCTCATGTGACTCTTTCAATTCTCCTATCACTTCCTTGTATTTAATAAAATGGTATGTATATAGATATATACCTGTTAACATAGTGACATTAATTTTTAAAATTGATAATTTGCAAAATATAAATTACTGTAAAGATATTAAAATCGTATATTCCATTAGAGTTTAATTTTGAATTAAGTATTGGATTTTCTCTTTAAGCTATTGGTGGTGATAAATAATCTATATTCATTTTCTTACATTTAATTAACGATTCTATTTGTATTGATATGTAATTTAGTAAATTTATTTCTGGTAATCTTCAGGGTAGAAAATTAATCTTTCGACACCCTTTTCAGTCAATATAACCATTCTTATAACACCACCAGAGGAGCCATCCCATTTGATTGCCTCGGCCAAAGCAGTCTTAATAAATCCAATACAGTCATCCTTTTCCATCATTGGCTTGAAATTTTCGTTACACCAACCGTAGATAAATGTAGAACCAGACCCAGCAATGGCATATTCTTGTTCATGTATGGAACCACCAATTGGAATCAGAAATACTGAACCTCCATTTTGTTTATCATACCCAGCACAAATAATACCAGCAGATAAATTATCCTTGTTATTGTAACACATTTCTTGAAAGATACTAGCAGCCATCTTTGTGCTTGGCTTCTCTCCATATGGTAATTGTGAAGCATACATTTGCAAGTAATATTTGACCATATCGGCAACTGCTTGAGTATCAGCTGCCGATCCTGAACGACAACAGTATATCGTATCATGAATTTGAGTAAGCTTATCTGTAACTCTATTGGCAATGTATGACCCGGTGGTTGTACGAGAGTCAGCTCCCAATATAACACCATCCTTGAACTTTACCGCCATAATGGAAGTACCCAAATTGACTTCACCTTTCTTTAAGTGATTGATATCGACAGAGATTCCATTCATGTTAATATTTTGATTTTTTGTTGGTGTCGGTTAATTTGATTATCGTTCTACGAATTGAATTCTATTTTACTGTAATTTCCAAACAGTGAAAAAGGTACTAGTGTTGTTTTAGACCCCTCGATATATAATGCAAGAATAAAAACACTTAATCAAGTACTCTTGTATTAAAATGTTGATATATATTGTTCTCAAATCTATCTGTTCGCCACTAAAACCCTCACAAGTTTTGAAAAAGTATTTAAAATATAAGAGTCCACTTTGTGTAATATGACTACATATAAACAAAGGGTATATGTATGTAGCAGTTTTAATATAGACCAAGGGTAAAGATTTAAATATTTCAATTTATAAGATTAGAATTAATTAATATTATCTACAATGAATCTTCAATATTATTGGTTACTATTCTTAGTATCTATTATTTCGGCAGCATCTGTTTCTAAAGAGTTTTCTAAAATCACTGAAAGTGAATTAAGTAACTTAAAGGGTGATCCATCAATTACTGAAAAAGTTATATTTGAAATTTCAGAAAAGATAAATGATGAAGCGAAGAAAGTTGGAACCTTAACTATTGGTTTATTTGGAACTGTAGTGCCGCTTACCGTGAAAAACTTTGTGGAATTGAGTAAAATGACACATGGGTTTGGGTACAAAGATTGTATATTCCATAGAATTATTAGTAACTTTATGGTTCAAGGAGGTGATTTTCAACATAGTAAGGGAACTGGAGGTTATTCAATTTATAACGATTTTGGCCGTTTTGATGATGAGAATTTTGAACTTAGTCATTCTAAACTTGGAAGATTATCTATGGCTAACGCAGGTCCAAACACTAATGGTGGCCAATTCTTCATCACAGTTAAAGACGATTGCACATGGTTGGATGGTAAACATGTTGTATTTGGACAAGTTATTGATGGGTTCTCTGTCTTGAAATATATGGAAGAAGTACCTACCCAAGCTGGAGATAAACCAGTTAATACTCTTTACATTAGTGACATTAAGGTTTATGAAGTAGAAGCGTCTGAACAAAATTCTGGTACTGAATCCAAAATATCCTCATCTGAAGCTAATCCTGAATTCGAAATTCCTGTTGTCAATGATGATAAGGTACCTGAAACTAGTAATTCATCATTTTATCGTAATTTGATAATTTTCTGTGCGTTAATATTTGTCGGCATTTATGTGAGAGATGCTTATAAAAAGGGGATATTACCTTCGTTATCGGGTTAGATTGAGCTACATAGTAGAGAAGATATGTATTGACGGATGGAGAGTATTATAGCAATACGGTTTGCTGTATAGCGAATACAATCACTTCACAACAACGTATCATTGGAAAGTATAGGAAATCATATACAAGACTAACATTCCGTTAAGTTTACATACATGGAAGAATCTTAATCGCCATCTATTAAAAATTGGTTAGAATCTTTATTTACTGACAATTTTTGAAATTTGTGTTACATGTTTTAATCTATTATTCAAAACATTCAATAAATTTGTTCACAGAATCACTTCTAGAACTAAAAAAATAGTTACATGATATATAGAAGCACTTGAATTTCAAGCTTCTATCTTTACATATTGAACATTTATTGTAATGGTAGTGCTTCTTAGATTTATGCCTTTAAGTTCAAAATCTTTCAATTGTAGGTAGGTTAATTTCGGGAAGACACTTATGAATATCCATGCGAATACGAATTATTATCTTGCCCATCTTCAATGCATTTGAATTTATCTTACTGGAAGACTTTCATCATCCAATATCATTCAGAAAGCTTCAGCTTCTCTCTCTCTTTTGTATCTCGAGCAAGGTGGCCTATTGAACTCTTTAATATTCAACTGAATCCTGTATGTGAAACAAACGCCTGAATTTAGAACTAAAACTATCATTTCAACTATCAGAGAGGTATGGCCGTATTATAAAAGTATTCTTAATCTACAACTAAATAGCTGAAAGTTGTCAATATGGGAAGCATTACCCTTCCTGTATTTATACTATTGTACTATTTAACTTAATCTGTCAAATAAAGGGTTATTTCTACACACAAACAATGGAAATTATACAAAATCAAAGTATATCTAACTACGACCTGCCAAAACCATATTATGTACCAATACTTAGAGCCACACGTACCATTACTTTCTATTCTAGGTATGTTTTATTTGATACCAGTAACTCTATACTATCGAACAAAATATAAATCCTGCATGTGCAGCACAAAGTTGATGTATAGTTCCATCTTCCTTTGTATTTTTGCATTCTTTTGAATCTTCTCTACGTTTCAAATCATTAGACTATGTCTTCCAAACCCTCTGAATTTCCAATAGTTCTCGTGAAAAACTTGCCATATAATACATCTACTGATGTTTTGTTCAACTTATTTGTTAAATACGGTAATATCCATCAATTACGAGTACCCGAATCTAAAAGTGATGCACCACCAGGAACATGTATTGTGGTATACAGCAATATATCCAATGCACTTCAAGCATGTAAAAGAATAAATGGGATAAATTTTGAAGGAAGATATTTGGTTTCGTCCATGTATCAAGTAGATCCTTCTAAATTTATAAAGGAAGATTTTGTTTCAAGAGTCAATGATTTAAAGAAATTGAAATCGGAATATGAAATTGAATAGATATAGCGAGGTTAATTAGCAGGGTATAGTATATACAGTAAATGGATTCATATGAATTTGATATATCTGATGGTATATACAATCACTACCATCTTCCTGGATACCCAGTAAAGTTAGAGAGTGTACATATCATATGGATCCCATCTACCAAATACTTGTTGCTCCACTACCAAATTGATAGGATGCACCCACTTACCTTGAGGTACTATGGTTGATTACTACACACCATCATAGAAAAGGAAATAATGTATATTCCACATTAAATGGTCTAGCAGGGCTCTAAGATTATAACAAATCACCAACGAGATTGTTAACTTGATAGATTAACATCATCATTCTATATATGGGTTAAGGATCTTTTTTTTAATCTTATATTTTATATATTTTTATATTTAATTGGTTCTTCTATAAAGGGATCATTTCTTTTCAATGGAGACATCGATTAAACTTAAAAGGTAAAAACTCATCAATCCAGTGAATACGAAGCCTGAAATTTTGAATACCTTCCACCAATAACTGCTTTGAGTGTATTTATATTGAACATACAAATCAACCTTAGATAAGTCATCAATCAAATCTTTGAAATGTAAAGAAATCTTAACATGACCACTAGAAACATCCAAATATGATAACTCTTCACCAATAGTAATCAGATCGTAGTCAATAGCAGAAGAAACACCAATAAATTCAGCATTTTCTGGTAAATAGAAGTTGACATCAACTTTATCGTAAGTAATATCATCAATAGAATTCAATAATGGGAATTTAACAATGTATGTATCATCGGTGTTAGCAATCTTATGAACATGTTGAGCAACTGGAGAGTACCATCCAATGGTAAAGTTATAATTCCATCCACCAAAGATTGGGAATCTTGGGGTTAAAATTAAATGGTCCAGATAAATCTTTGAAGTAGAAACTTGACCAACTTTATCGGTATAATAAATTCCTTCTGGAATATCTTCAGGGAGTTTAATATCCAATTGAGAAATAGCCCAGTGATTACGAGTAGAATCATAATGACCTCTCATCCAATCAATTCTCAGGAATCCAGAAGACAATTGTGCAGCATCATTAGTTAATTCATAGTATTCTTCAAATGATACCTTTTCAGCATTGGAAGCAGGAATCCATAACGATCTTTCCAAGGAGTTCACCTTGGCTAAAGGTCTGTTGTGTTCATATAATAAGCCCATTGGTTCAACAGTGTATGCGTCAAGCTTTTCCAAAACTGGTCCATAAACCAAAGCTTTGTTTTCCACTCTAGGTTTAATGGTTGGAGTGTTTTCAGTTACTTTGATATCTTCAGTGGTAAAAGTAAGTAATTCCATTTCTTGGCCCTTTGTAATACCAGTAAAGATCATACTATATTCCAAGGTAACATATGGGGAATAAACAAACTTATTAAGTTTCAAAAGTAAATTTTGAGTTTCAGCCATTTCAATTTTAGCTGGGAGTGGTTGGATGGCTGAAAGATATATATAACGAGCTTTGAATTGAACTGAAGAGCCTGGAGCTACTGGAATTGGGAATGTGAGTTTATACAAATTAGTGGCTTCGTCAACAATTTCAGAATCAACAACAACTGGTTGATCAAGTAAAGTGGCAACAAATGCTGATACTTGACTAATTTCTTTCAATCCATCATTCAATGTGAAATAGTATACATTCTGTGGTTCATCTCCAATATTCTTAGCTTGGACAATACATGTCTCTTTAACGTATGACTTTGCAAGATCTACTGAACGCGTGTATTGAGAGTTCTCCCATGATCCAATGGAAAGACCAGCTGCTAAGGTACACGCCCAGAGGGAAACAAAAAGTGTGAGCCAATACTTCATTCTTTTATTTTTATAAAGAATTGAGTCGTCAACAAGTTTTGGTATTACTCGTTATTCTTTCAATCCTTTGACTTTCACACTGCCGCCAAAGTTACTTTTGTATGTGAAAATTCAAAGTGCGATTTTGTGTAATATTTATTGAACAGGTGTCGTGAATTCATATATATAACAATTAGAAGTAGACTAAAATCTAAAAAGAGGAATGAAATTGTTGTTGGCAGTCTCTTTTTTTTTTTTGAGAATAGAGTTTATTAAGGTTGAAACATATTGTAAAGCGTTTGCATCATAAATTCGAGATGAATATGGTGATGGGGCAATAAAATAAAAAAATCAAGATCAAACATATTTAGGCGTGGCCCTCATAGATTATCGATTAAGATGTAATATATTGGTTTTACTTTTTTTTTTTTTGCAACATGATATACAAAAATTGACAGAACATTTACCACCTAAAAACACACATACGAGTTACAAATTTTATAACACCAATTTATGTTCTTGATGGCTATTCGAGAGATTGGTACACTTGTTCATCTAAATAATCTCAAATCCTATTAATCTTTTGACTCTAGTATGACCTTTCTTTTTTTTTAGGTGACCATATTGTATTTTTTTTTTTTTTTGTTGTGTTTTTTTAGTTTCAGGACCTTAAACTATCAATGGCAAAACGTAAACAGAACTAAACGTAAAGAACGTTAAAAAATATTTTCAATTTTCATATAGGGAGATAGACTGTTTTTTTTTAAAAAAAATCCCTGACAATTGTACTTGTAAATTGCCAAGTTGTTTCATGATCGATTAAGATAATCATATATTATACTACTCTAAAAAAATGTTGCCTCCTCCTCTTACAGTAGCAACTAAATGCAATAGTACAAAAATAAAAAAGAGCCGATTGGTTCCCGCACATAAGTACCAAAAGTTTCACGGCTAGTTTGTAGGATTGTTTTTTGTCGCTAGCCAATCTAAATTGAAAAAGCAACTCCATACTCACAATTGACGCCACCAATAACCTTTTGAAGAATTTATATATATATCATTATTCAAAAAATTTGGATTTGTTGAAAGTGTAAGATACTATTTCAATAATTAGAACAAAGAAATTTAATATTGCACATATTGAATTGTTTTCATTTCCTTACTTCTTTTTTTTTTCTCCAGTGTCAACATCGATATTGAATCGTTGAAGAGGGTCTCTAATTAGAATCTGGGTTTTGTTTATATTTATTTTAAACGAGAATTTTTTAGGTATTAGTCAACAGTCAAGTTTCTTAGCTCAAGATGTCACTTCAAGATCTTATTCCTGTTGTTAACAAACTTCAAGATATTGTCACTTCGACACAACTTGCTGATTTAGATTTGCCTCTTTTGGCAGTGGTTGGATCACAATCTTGTGGGAAATCATCAGTATTGGAAAATATTGTTGGTAAGGATTTTCTTCCTCGTGGTACTGGTATTGTTACTCGTAGACCACTTATCTTGCAATTGATCCATATCAATCCAGATGAAGTTGGTAGTGAAATTCCATCTCAAAGTTCAACACCTGCTTTCAATTCAGACGTGTCTTCGTCAGAAAATGAACAAGAAGTAAATCTTGAAGATCATCTTAGACGTCATGCTAATGGTGGAAAAGTTCCAAAGCAAACATCATGGGGTGAATTTCTCCATATCCCAAACAAAAGATTTTACAATTTTAACGAAATCCGTAATGAAATTGCCAATGAAACCTCAAGAATCGCAGGTCAAAATAAGGGAATAAGCAGACTACCAATTAACTTGAAGATCTTCTCCGATAAGGTACTTAATCTTACTCTTGTTGATTTGCCTGGTTTGACAAAGATTCCAATTGGTGATCAACCAACTGATATTGAACGTCAAACTCGTAATTTGATCTTGGAATATATTTCTAAACCAAACTGTATTATCTTGGCAGTATCACCAGCTAATGTTGATTTAGTTAACTCTGAATCTTTGAAATTGGCAAGACAAGTTGATCCTCTGGGTAAAAGAACTGTTGGTATTTTATCTAAACTTGATCTTATGGATCAAGGAACCAATGCTCTGGATATTTTAAAGGGTAATGTTTATCCTTTAAAACTTGGATTCATTGGTATTGTTAATAGATCTCAACAAGATATTAGTGATAATAAATCTATGGAAGATTCTTTGTTTTCGGAACAACAATTTTTCATGAATCATCCAGCTTATCGTCTGATGTCAAATAAATGTGGAACCAAATTTTTGGCACAAACTTTGAATAAGATTTTAATGAATCATATTCGTGATAGATTACCTGATATTAAGGCTAAATTAAATACTTTAATGGGTCAAGCAGAGCAAGAATTGGCTAGCTATGGTGAAATACCATCTGGTTTGAATGATTCAAAGGAAAGTAGAGGAGCTCTAGTATTGACATTGATGACCAAATTTGCCAATAGTTTTGTTAACTCTATTGAAGGAACTTCAATGAATGACATTTCCACCAAGGAGTTATGTGGAGGTGCAAGAATTTATTACATTTATAATGAGGTTTTTGGTTCTCAATTGGCTTCCATTAACCCAACACATAACTTAACCATTCATGATATCAGAACAGCCATTAGAAATTCTACTGGTCCAAGACCTTCATTGTTTGTTCCGGAATTAGCATTTGATTTATTGGTAAAGCCTCAAATTAGTCTTTTGGAAACTCCATCGCATAGATGTGTTGAATTGGTCTACGAAGAATTGATGAAGATTGTCCACAATGTATGCTCATCTAGTTCAAGTAGCTCCATTGGGATTGAATTGAATCGTTTCCCAAAATTACAAAGTAAATTGATTGAAGTTGTTTCAGATTTATTAAGAGAAAGATTGGGACCAACCATTAAATACGTTGAATCTCTCATTGAAATCCATAGAGCTTATATTAACACCAATCATCCAAACTTTGTGGGTGCAGCAAAGGCGATGAGTATTGTTGTTGCTGAGCGTCAAAAGCAAAAAGAACTTGAACTGAGAGCAAAATTGAGACTTGCAAGTGAAAAAATTTTAAACGGAAAGAAGTCGGAAAGTATTGAAGAAGAAGTTGAAGAAGCTGAAAGAGAATTAAGTGATGGAATTGAAGATATCAACCAAGTAGATGACGAAATCAAACCAGTTAGTAAACATAAGAGAAGTGATTCCAACAAGACAACTTATTCTATCAAGTCCGAATCTACACCAAATTTGAGCTCATCCAATTCACACAACCACCAGTATGCAAACACTAGTTCTAGTTCAATTAATGCTCAAAGTCAAGAATCATATTTGAATTATTTCTTCGGAAAGGATCCAATAACACATCAACAACATTTACAAGCCCAAGCGCAATTAAACCCAACCCCATTCAAATTCCCTCAATATCAAGAATCTACTTTACAATTTACTGATCCTTCACACATGAACGGTGGTCTTGGTAACGGGTACATGTCACACTCCCAACCTTCGTTATCATCTGACCTCAAGGCAATGCAATTAAATGAAGAACAAAATATGATTGAAAACATGCAAGCAGAAGATTCATTGAGTGAATTGAGTGAACGTGAACAACTTGAATGTGAATTAATCCGTAGATTAATTGTTTCATATTTTGGAATTGTAAGAGAAATGATTCAAGATCAAGTTCCAAAGCTGATTATGTGTTTGTTGGTCAATTATATCAAGCAACACATACAAAACAGATTGGTTGTTAAATTGTATAGTGCAGATTTATTCGATGAATTGTTGCAAGAAGATGCTAGTATTCAAGTTGAAAGAGAAAAATGTCTCGAATCTTTGAAGACTTACCGTGAAGCTTCAAGAATTATTAGTGATGTTGTTTGATATATCATTTTAAATCTTAAACTATCTGTACATAGGCATTGAATCTAGTATTGCTATTCCATATATGTATACTTCTTTTTATGCACTCTGAAGCTCCGAAAGGTTGTTTCGCTTCAATACTCTGTTGTACATATGCGTATATTATTTATATATATATAACGAAAGTAAAAAAAAAATAAAAAATTAGAGAAAAGAAAAGAAAACTCCTTTATGGTAAAAGCAAATTTTCACCAGATGCTGTATTATGGACATGTAAAGCTAATCTCTACTTTTGATTTGACTGTCGCCAATGTGACTGAATCTAATGGATTCAAAAGTGAGTATACAGTGGCAAATTTTGTCATATTATCAGATGTCCTTGCAATTCGCCTTCTTTTCATGAAAGTTTTAAAATTAAATGCGCAAGACATGTACAACGAATTGAGGAGCAATTTCGTAGCATTCAACATGATATAAGTGAGTTATATAGTCATAAAATGGCCGCGACTAGCATCTATCACCTTATCATACTTTTGACATTATGATTGTGGTCTTTCATAGACATATAGATCAATTGGTCCTCCAATATCATCCAATAAATATTCACTAGTATATTTTATGGACATATTCGTCTTTTTATTATCTTTTTGATTTTCTTTTAAGAGTGATTCTTCTTCATCTTCAACTAAAACTACTGGATTAACATAAGATTGTTTAGTAACTAATCTTAAAGTTCCACCAGAATTTTTGACACCTAAGTACTTTTCTGCTATAATGTTATCCTCCAGTGATAGTCTAACCCCTATACTCACTCTTAATAGTATTAAAAACTTTATGGATACAACTAAATGTGCCTTCCATTTCGATTTATTCAAATCGATACAAACAGAAGTTGATGGAATATTTGCAACATCTTTTGAGGAAGACTCCTGAATTAGAGAATTTATTGGAGAATTTAAAAGAACATTTAGTATTTCCTCCTCAGTAGATTGGGTAAGAGCATTTATATCTTTGTTTGAAAGCCTAATAAAGTTGATTTTCTTCAAAGTGACAATTGCTTTAGCTCTTTGACTCAGTCCAATTGTGGAATCAAATATCGAGGACAGAATTAATTTCTTTCGATTCACATGTATTCGAAGTGGCACCGTAGATCTCTTATTTAGTCTTACAAATGTTGTGGTTGGTGGCATGAAGAGTATATTTTAGTATATTGATGCAAGCTGATAAGAGATTTATTTTAAGTTTTCAATCATCTCAATAGTATGTTGTACCCTCGCAATATGCAGAGACAATATAGTTGGGGTATATGATTAATAAACTACTTATAGATTGATTGGAAATAGTACTATAGTATAGACTTGTAGTAGAAGATTATATATTATAATTATTATAGAAACTTTGTTTATCAAATCTGTTCCTTTATAAAAATTATAAGATTATGAATAAAGAAATACTTATCCTAAAACATTAAATTGTTATATTATTCATAAAGTGGTATCTCCATATTCCCATTCACAAAAAACATATCATTCCATAAGAAGAATAACTACAAATTATTTTGACTAAAGTTAACACATTAGACAATTAGTTAACACATTACCATAATTATTAATACTCTTTTCTCCCCATCAACTACCACATTCCTCACCTCTGAAACTACTACTTTTCTTCATAAGTCCTGTATGAAAAACCTTACTTCCAAACAAATATCTCAGTTTATCTAACTTGAGGCTTTTTATATAATAAATGTCATATAATATATGCATTAGAAGTGGGGCACATACATTACAGTGCTCCAGATATACTTGGCAAGTAACACACCACCATTTGAAGAAGCAGAACTAGTGTGTGGATCGTTCCAGTGGTTGTATATATATATCTAGAAGAATTACTTTAATCGTATCTAGGGTATTGATGTGATTGATAAATCTTACAGTAGGTTTGCCGAGCTACATTCTGCTACCAATCTATCTTTGATACTAAAAACGATAAGAAACCCCTCCTATCCGCTTTGGGAGTTGATCCAGTGGGTTTTGGGGAATTTTGGCTGTAGTAGGGGCAACCCTAAAATGACACATTCTCCGCATATTTCATCTACCTTGGCCAGTTGACTCTTGACTTGAATGGATCAACTACTAATTTTTCAAACTAAATCACTTGTTCATGATGATCAATTGCTTTATATGCGAAAATAATTTTGGAAATAACTTACACTTTCTTCCCACGTGATTTGATCAACCCATAATCTCAACCTAAAAATATTAAAAAAAAAGAAACAAAAGCAAAACATTTAAACCTAATACCATATCTTGCTATTGTTGAATTTTTTAATACGATCACAGTTCATAACAGTTGAATAGAAGCATAAAACGACAATAATAATAGGTCGAATTCCAAAAATGCCCTACATGGTACATTAAATCTTTTATATAGCATTTCTTACACTACACTCAAAAAGGTAACTTGCCAGCTAGACGATCATACTTCTTTTTGAAAACACAATATTTTTTTCATTCTTTTTTTTTCAAAAAATAGAAGATCCGCACTAGGTACAAGGGGATAAAAAGAAAATATTTTATTACAGCCGAAAAAAAAATATCGCCCAACATGCAGGTTATCTCCGATTTACTACGAAAACCAAGATAAAATATGAAATAAAGTTCATACTTAAAACAGGCGCTATATTATTTTATTTTCTTCTTGGCCGTACGTCTTGAAGCAATGTCCTTCTGCTTCAAAACAATTTTCAATAGCAGTAGGTATATAACAATAACCCCTCATTAACATGTAGTATATATACATATATACAGATATATATATGTTATATATAGATTTTTTTTTTTTTTTTGCTATTGCATTTGAGTATAATTGGAACGTTCGTTAACGTGCATGAAAATTAAAAATATGTCATAAATTGCAAATGATATGCAGGACGAGCTCCTCACAAAATATTTTTATTATTGTCGTAAGGGTACGACCGTGGCTGAGGAAAATAACACATATCAATAGTTTAATATAAATATCTGAAAGATAAATCATTGTTAATAGCTGTTTTCTCCATTTGTGCTCGTATTGGACTATAAATCACCGATTTTTTTTCAAAGACTGTGATACAGTTGGACTTTATTAATACATGAAATTTCATTAAGGTATTCCAAAAAGAAATATAACTTGTTGGTGTGTTATTAAGAATTCTACCACTTATTTACTTTTAAAATAACACTTTGTATTGAAATTCAGGAAATTTTTTACCGTTCCATTCAAAATAATATAATATTCTTCCAAAGGCATTCAGTCATTTCTATTTATATCTCGTAATTTCCCTAGCGATGTCTCAAACACAATCCGCCACCTGGTTTAACATGGTTGGAAAGAAAAAGGGTTATTCCTTGATAGCCTTATTTATTATTGTACAAATAATTCTTTTAAGGCATAGCTTTGGATTCGATGATGAAAATCTTACTTCATTGAAAAATCCAAAGGAAAAGGTTGCACAACCACCAGCATCAACTTCAAATATTGAATTGGTAAAACAATCTCCAATTATTGAAACAGAATTTGTTGAAACAGACCCAAAATATTCAAAATTTGTATTTGAAAATAGAAGAATCCCTCAATCCATGAAATCAGGAGAAACTGTATTGGTTATCTCAAGTGTGGTTAATGAAGAAGCTTATGGAAAGGATAGAACATTTGATGATTTTTTCGGTTCAATTATTGAACAAGAATTCCCTAAAAATTCCATGTCACTTGCATTTTTATTTGGAACTGCTGATGAATATTTAAAAGCTCAAACTTATTTTAAAAAGTATTTTAAACCTTTAAACACGATATCTGACCATGATAAATCGCAAGCAACTGTTTTGCAAAAATTTGTGCGAAGAGTTACCCTTATTAATGCTCCATTTATTGATGATGATTTTTCTGTTGATAGAGCTGACAGACATTTAGACAATTTCCAAAGACTTCGTAGAAGAACTATTGCAAGATCAAGAAACTTTGTTCTTTTCAATTCTCTTCAAGATGAAAGATATACATTATTTATTGATAGTGATATTGTTAAATTTGAATCTAAAGAGATGTTAAAGATTTTCATTGAATCTAAGAAAGATATAATTGTTCCAAGAGTTCAAAAGGGTGGAGATTTGGATTATGATAAAAATTCGTGGGTTGGTGAACGTACCAAGCCAAATGCAGAAGAATTGGCCATACTTGATAAAAATGATTGGGATCACTTTACATACGTTCCACGTGATGTTGATGCAAACATGAAACATTTATTCCAATTGTATAATGAAGGTAGAGAAAACGAATATAAGAAGCAAGGTAAGGATAAGAATTCTGCCGAAAGTGATCAAAAGATTAAATTGGATCCAGCCTATAGTGTTCAGATCGATTCTGTTGGTGGTGCTGTTCTTTTCTCACGGTCATTGATTTACAGACAAGGTATTGCATTTCCACCCACATATATAATTGGAACTACTTGGGACCGGTTAGAAGGGTACGATGGGATTGAAACTGAAGGTCTTTGTTATTTAGCAAAACCACTTGGTTACAAATGTTGGGCAATGCCAAATCTTGTTGCTCAACATGATACTGGTTAATCCAACTATGCACTAAAAAAATTAATAACTCTAATACCTAACAAATGTACAAAATATGAAAATAATCCATCAGTTGTTTTTTTTTTTTTTTTTTTTTTTAGTTTTAATATTGTTAACCATATTGAATTAAAGGGACAAGTAAACATCTCAATTAACTTAATATACATACATATATGCATTACAAAGCAAAGTTGACCAAATGTAGTATGTGCATATATATTCATCATGTACATTGGGCAGAAAGCTGCAATATCAAGTGGGTGTATGTAGGAAGAGCATATTGATTGATTGTAGTCATTTGAACTAGACGCTGATGTTTATCACCCTACAAGAAAATGTTCAAGAATACTCTCATCTCAAACCGGTATATAGATAACTCACTCCATAAGGATCATTTGGTTCAGTTCGATTATTCTTAAAACCACTTTGCATTTTTAATAAATCACGTGGAAATCTCGAATTCATAATTTTGGTGTGTTTTTCTTTCTCGATTCACAATATTTCTATGCTATGGAAACAATAATCAATTCAAATATTTAGTAATTATAATGTCAAATTCCCGTCCATTGACAGCTATTTTAAAGGAATTTCTTCCAAAGGACTCCAATTTCAAATTATTGCATCTTCAATCTTGTGCAAAAGAATGTAAACATCTATGTCAGTACTCGAAGAAATCCCCCACAAAACCATCATTAACTTTAAAAGTGAAACATTTCATTACATTGAGTGACGTTGATGGAACAATATTGATGGGTATTGAAATTTATATTTACCTTTCTATCTTTTCAGATCATACAGATCATCATCTTTTCATTTCAAAGGCTGATACTACAGGTCTTAAACAATTAAAGAGTATTCAAATTAAAGTTGGAGAAATCATTTCAAGTATTTTGAAATACTTAATATCAAAAGATATTCAAGAATACATTAAAGATGTTAAGTTAAATAAGGAAGTAGAGGGTGAAGATAAAGATAATCAAGTAAAGATCACAAATAAGTCTGATAATGAAACTGTCAATAACTTATTGCGAGCAGTTGAGAAATTGAAAACACCAACAATAAATAAATCATTTTATGATAGCTTAATTGGAAAAGGTGGGGATATTGACCATGATAAGAAGAAAGAATCCATTGAATTGCCTACTAACCTTGTTAAGATTAGAATATCATTATTTACTAGAGCAGAACAACAATACTTATTCCCTGACTCGTTTAAGAATGAATTTAAACACAACATAGATGGTAGACAATTATTATCGTGGTGGATGAAAATATTAAATGAAGTACTTGAGAGTACCAAAACCAAATATACTTGTAAATTAGCAATACCAGGAGCAGATTCGGAAAAGGATATTTCAAATTTCCATACATCTTTAACAAAATATCCCAATGTCATATGGTCAAATGGTAGTATCTTTTCCAATGAGGTAAATACAGAAGATTTGGCTATTTACAATATTCCATTATTTCCGGATGACCCAAAGGGTCGGTTCTTGGAACATCTTGTAGTTGAGAATAGATATAAAACTACATCCACCAAACAATTTTGGGAGGAATTGGGGATTAGACAAGAATTCAGATTAGGAAATTTGGTAGGAATTATTGGATGTGATAGTGAAATTTTATCATTTAATCAAACTAATCAAAAAGATGATGAAATAATGACATTAAGAGATTATAAAAAAGTTTCAAATATCATAAAGAGCATGACATATACTTCAATTGGAGACGTTAATAAAATGATGAATTTGGAAATTCCAGAGGTTTTGAAAGATTTGGGCTACAATCATAAGATTATTGCAATAACTGGGAACAAAGTAAAGGTTGCAAATAATTTGTCGTCGACAAGTAATTCTAGCGATAAAAGAGTTCCTGTGGTCAATAACCTTAATGGGATGATAAAAAGAAGAAAGAAGTAGAATAATACTTTTTTTTTTATTTAACTGTATAAAAGTCGTATATTCATATACATTGAAGGATTTTATCTGTACTCAAATCATGCAAATACTCTTTGGTTTCTTGACAAATCAGTTGTACAATCTCCTTTTTCTTTATCGCGTCTCGCTTTGTTTGGATCATTGGAACGTTTGCCACCTGATAAGTTCCTTTTAGACATTGTTTGTAGAACATTCTAGGAGTCATATGCGTATATATTTTAAAAGTTCTATAAAAATACCACTTTGATATTTTCAATTCTTTAATGATTTCATCTATATCAAGTGATGTCTTTGACAGAGCATACTCATATATCATGTTACAAGATTTAATAACAAAATTATTTTGTGGGTTCCATTCAGTAGGTACATCTGGTTTGCAGCGTTTACATGGTCTAAATGAATCATGTATAGCTTCTTCCACATTTTGGTAATACTTGATATTTTTTCTCAATGCAAGTCTTGATGAACAAGTTGGTCTACAAACTATCCCAGTAGAAAGTACACAATATACAAATGAACCTTCCGCCTTTGGGTTCCTATGTTTTAAAGCTTGATATTTATCGTCATCAGTGAGAAACATATTTGCCCCTTTTCCCATTCTCTCCACATAATTTATGTTTCTTAATTCTATATATAAGTGAGTCAAATTATTTATTTGCCTTGAATTTTTTGCCTTTGATTTTTTGCTCTCAATGTTTAACTTAAATAGATAACGGGTTCAGAAAAACTGTTTTAAATTTTTCGATTTTTGAGAAAAAAAGGAACATAGATAAGGTGAATCATGTTAACGTATACTATTATAGAAGCTTCGTATACAAAGGCCTTGTTGGTAATGGATAAAAATGGCTCATTGTATTATGCTTCGCTTGGTAATGATGAGAGAGAATTAATTTTTGCTCTTAAATCTGATTTTAAGAAATACAACAAAAAGTCCAAGATTGCAAATTTGCAATTTCGAAAAACAATCTCGGACAATATTGCAATGGAAGAGACAATAAATTTATATAGAAATGCAATTGAAAATCCTGAACAAATTGATATAAATCAATTTAAAATAAAGTTGTTTAATCATACTGAATTTCAAGAAAAAATTTGGAATTTTTTGATGTATAAGACTAAACCTCTGAAAACTACAACTTATGGAGAGATTGCAAAATCATTAGGATTGACAACATATTCAAGTCGTGCAGTTGGAAATTCATGTGTCTCTAACAAGATTGCGCTAGTTATCCCTTGTCATAGAGTGGTGGGGAGTACTGGTGCACTTACTGGGTACAAATGGGGTGTAAATATCAAACAAGAAATACTATGGAGAGAAAAGTTGGGAAATCGAACTAAAGTTAATAATGCAGAATAAACGAGTAAATTTCATATTAGTTTTGATCTTGAATTTTGAATCTTTGGATTTCAGTTCTTTAGCTTTGGGTATATGTCAAAAAGTTGTTTTATTTTTTTGTTTTCTCAAAAAAAAAAACTAGAGTTGTTGAGTATGGCATGTTTTTTGGTATTAAGATAGGAGTTCAAAAATTTCTCAAAATTTCTCCTGTGTAACATTTCTTGTTTTAGGGGTTTCCCTTAAACATGTCATACTCGTATACACACCTTGAAAAGTATGGAATTATTTTTGGCTTAAAAAAAACTCGTACGGTTATTTATTTAAACTACTTGAACAATAGAAAAGGGGGTATTTGAAATCAAAAGCATGATACAAATATGTAGCAACTGTTTTAGTTAGTGAATATTTTCATTGCTTCTCTATTGTCTGTGTTGTATGTCCTCTTTCCAATTCCAGAACATTCTCAGCGGCCAAAACCATGGCTTAGAAAATATCAACTGCAGTAAAAAAAAAAAAAAAAAAATATCAAATCCGAAAAGTCCGACTCGCCTGCAAGATGTAATCTTGCAGGCAACAAAAACAACCTCCTGAGGAAATGAAGCTTGATATTTCTTACTCTTCTCTAAGGTCTAACAATGAAATTTGGCAAGATTTTAGATATGTGGGAAATACATAATAAACTGAAAGACGCTGTTTTATTTTTGCCCGTAGAATTAGAATGTAGTGCTGTAAACTCCGTAATCATCTATATTTTTTTTGCCTTCCCCACATAACCCAATTTGAATCCTTCCCCGTGTTCCAAATTTCTGTCTAACCATTTCCAGATATATTCCTTTGTTCATAATATAGAAGATATCTCCTCTTTGTAATCCGAATCGAATCAGCTAACACATTATTGAAATTCACACATCGTGTGTTTGCAGTTTTATTATTATACTTTTTTTTTGATTTTGATTTAACTGATTCTTACTTCGCTTATCATACCTCATCAGTTTTAAGGGGTTCCTATATATTTTTTTTTTTTTTGGTTTTGCTGTTAGTTTGCCCTTCTTTTAAAATTTTGTGGAAACAGTTCTTAAAACTCAACAAACGATCCAACAAATTTTCATTTAACTAGTGCATATCACTTGAAGTGAAAATCTACCCAACTCAAAGAATTCTTCTACAGACCTTGATACCTCAAAGTGAACAAATATTAATAGTTTTATCCTTAAATTTTATTTTTCTATTTTTCATTTTCCAATATAAATACAAGAGTCGGGCAGCTTATTAAACGATCAATAAACTGGAAGGAAATAGAATGCTTTCTCCTAAAACAAAGTGTGTGACACCGGTGAATCGCCCCCGTACTTCAGAGCCTTCGATTGGGCACAGTTTATCGGCTTCAAACTTACAATCATTTAAAAATGTCTCCACAATTTCAAACGAATTGAGAATTGGTAGACATTCATCAATAACAAACAACAACTATATACCATCCAGTGCATTATCTGATGCAAGATCCAATAAATCTCCTCATGGAACTAGTCGAAGGTATTCGTTTCCTGAGGGAGGCGCTACACCATCTGAACATATGAATCTTCGTAAAATGAGTAATGAACAAATCATTGATTTAATGGAAAGAGAACAAGATGCAATAGTTTTGAAATTAATGAAAGAAATTGAATCTTTAAAAGAAGAAAATAAATCTTTGAAATCATCACTTTCAAACGCTCTACAATCATCACTGCTCCCAAGAAGAACATCATCCTTATCATCATCGGTAGGAGAGAAAGAAAGTACAAGGCTGTCTATATCAAGTAATTCATCATTTCTAAATTCAAAGGATGAAATGTTTAATACTGATAGAAAAAAATTTAAAAGGAAACCTTCAAATGAAATTCCAAGGAATTCAGTAAAGAAAGAGCATTGATAGGGTTTTGGAGAAACATGGTGGGTCAAATGGATAGAGAACATTTTATATATAAATATAGTTTATGGAAATTACTAAAGGTGGAATTTGTAGGTGGTCTTTTGATTCTTTTGATTTTTTTTTTTTTACTTTTATTTTATTTTATTTATCAAAATGCAACAAACACAATTCTGTGTCTGTGGCAAGTTAATGATTTATCTGAAGTACATATACAATAGAATTGTAGATCTAACAATAACCCATTCTATTTCTATTTATCCATTGAATAAGTTCTTTAAAATGAAATTGATCAAATTTTGTATATGGATATCTGCTTACCTAGCAGTTGGTTCAAGTACAATTTTAAATCGGTTGCGAAATAAGAGTCCACCACAATATAAAAATGAAGATATAGTTATGACAAATACCTTACCATTCCCACAATGGTTAACAGATTTCACAGGACTTAAAGAATGGCCTGGATTGGACCCACCATATATCCCATTAGAATTCATTAAATTTGATCCTACTCAAACCTCTCCTTTACATACTCAAGGTCTGTGTGCACAGGTTAAACCAGAACATTGTTCATTTGATTGTATTAATTGTATTTCCTTTGATGATATATTTACTTGTCCAAGGTTATCTCAAACATTTGACGATGGACCTACTGAACATACAATGAAATTAATTAACTCATTGAAAAGTAAAAGTACATTTTTCGCTCTTGGAGTACAAATTATAAAGTATCCACAAATTTATCGAGAAACTATGGCTCGTGGTCATATTATGGGATCACATACCTGGTCTCATAAATTCTTACCATCACTAACAAATGAACAAATTGTTGCCCAAATTGAATGGTCAATCTGGGCCATGAATGCTACCGGGAACCATTTACCTAAATGGTTCCGCCCACCATATGGTGGAGTTGATAATCGAGTGAGATCAATTGTACGTCAATTTGGAATGCAAAGTGTTTTATGGGATATGGATACATTTGATTGGAAATTATCAGGTGGAACTAGAACTGAAGCTGATATTGTAAAAGAAGTAAAGAATTTCCAAAGAACAAGGAATGGTGCAGGTATGATACTTCAACATGATGCAACCATTCAATCAGTCGATGCAGGTATCAAAGTTCAAGAAATAGTTGGTCCTAATCAATTAACTGTACCACAATGTGCAAATGGAATAAATTATATTAAAGTTTTTCAATAGATCTACAAAATTCAAACATTGCTAATTATACTACATGTGCATTGTATATATATATATATATATATATATAAATATATATATTAATTAAAACAAAAATTGAATAAATCATAATTGGTTAATGTTTAAGCCTAACATAAATACTCCAAAAGTTGTAGTTTCATATTACCCATCCCAAGTTTCTCAAAAATAAATAAATCCCAATGTAAAACAGAAATTAAAACTTCAATAAAGTAAGAATAAATTAGTTCACTGGAATGGCGGAAGATCCACTACTGACACTGTTAGCAATTTCTTCTCCCTTGTTGTTAATGGTAGAGATACCGTTGGAGATTCCATGCTTAGCCTCAGAAATCAATGCATCAGCCTTATTCTTGGTGGTGGTAGCAACATCAACTACGTAATCTTGAGTTTGAGTCTTCAATGGTTGAATGTAAGATTTGTTCAAATCTTGAGCTAATTTAAGAGAAGTCAGGTAAGATGCAGAAACATGCTTTTGAACATTGTTAACTTCCTTAGATGCTTTATCAGATAATTGTTCCAATTCTTCATTGTAAGTTGTGGTGAGATGAGAAGAAATTTCAGATGATTTGGAAGTAACAAGAGTAGTAAGTCTTGAAGAAATTTCCTTTCCAATAGCAACAGATTTAGATAATTCTGAAGTTTCAGTCAATTCAGATAATTTGAAAACTGGTTTGTTTTCGGTAACTGTGGCTGGGAGGTATTTATCAGCAGTATCATAGACAATGGTGTTAACAGGAGCCAATACATTCTTACTGGTAAAGGTAATTGGATTCAAGTCAGAAATCGAAGCAATGACTGGGAGATGAGGAGCAACATAAGTGTCAACATTTCCAAGAACCAAGGAATCAAACTTGGTGTCAACAGTAGTTAAAAGATCTCCGAAATAAGGAGTGACGGCTTTCTTATCGGCAACTGCATAAAGACTAATAAATTGTTGATAAACATAATTAATCAATTGGAAAGAAAGTGCATAAGTAACAAGACTTGATACTGGAGGGTATGATGCGATGTGGTTAACAGACTTAGTGTAAGACATGATAATTAGTATTCTTTAGAAATAAAAATAATTTTAAATTTGAATTAAAGATATAGCAATGAAGATTTTTAACTTCTTTTAAAGTATTTATAAAAATTAACAATAAACAGATTATCCCTTTAAGAAGAGTATTTTTAGGGAATTTGGCAGCCAAATGTGGCTTTGTGAAACATTGGCATGTGAATACGCCTTAGTTGCGATTATGCACAAAGTAAAGGACAAAGCCGCTTGGGAAATGCGATGGTTTTTTGCGCAGGGAGTAGCCGCTTAATTATTGTGGAAGTATTTTCGGTAACCTAATGACGATGATTGAGAGGACAACGTCGAGTGATGTTATGCAAATCCCCGTAAGTCGCAGATGGTACCTAACCATTTTCACTCACAATCTCCAGCAACTTTATAAAAAAAATTTTACGTACAGACTATTTTCATATGACAATTAGAGTTCAAATTTGGTTTTGTATCCTTTTTTTTTTTAATTACCTTACATCTATATGTGTAAAATGTTTTCTATTTTACAATTGTGGTTTCCCGATATACGCTTTCCAGATTGATTTACGAGTGTTCTATATTCTTTTAAATCACGGGGTCCTTAAAAATGCCGCCAATAATAACCATTGTGCCTTTGTAACCCCCTCTATAGGCATTATATCCTCGGTTGATATTCTACGCAGTGGTGGATGGCGAAAAAAATAACAAAATAAATGGGTGGTTAATCCCCCTCTCAAGAAAATCAAAACACATCCACCATCACCCTATACCGAGGCTCGAGGAATGAGATACCTATTGACATCCTCGGAATGGCCTGATCCGATGAGATCTTAATATGTATGATTTCGTAATAATTTTTTTCATTTCAAGATCTCCCCCGTCGCCTCCACTTGGCATATTTGATTGTTATCCTTTGTTCCGGGCTCGACGCTCGGGATCAGTTTTAAAACTCGACTAAAATAGAATTTCCTGATTAATTTTGTTTCAAATTATCCTTTAACATTTATTTTTTACCAAATTATTACATTTCCTTATCCTATTTATGCATAAAAATATTTATACTTCGTAAAAGATCGGAACAAATTTAAAACATATTCAGATTTAACAATAAATGTAGTATATCTAACACAGCCTCTATTTCAATATACTTTACAAGGGAATACCATATTCTCTCTTCTTTTATTCTTTCAACTATTTAGCATCTAAAACTACTAACGATTGTTTTCAGGGGAAGGACGAAAAAAAAAACTATTGTTGCTTACATTCTTCTTTTGGAGCTTCTTCTTCAGCATCAGAATCTTCGTCACTTCCTTCTTCTTCACTGTCGTATTCTTCTTCATCTTCAAAGTCTTCTGGGAATCCAAATCCAACTGCATCACCAGTGAACCAATCAATGGCACGTGGGATCAAACGGTCCTTAATTTCTTCTCCCAATTGGTAATCTAATTCTAAACGACCTTCCAAATCTTCATCTTCTTCATCTTCATCTTCTTCATCGTCTTCGTTAACATCTTCTTCATTAGTTGGTGGCTTTGGTGGGTCGAAAAAGTTAAAGAATGATTCAGTTGGAGTAAGCTTTTCAATAGTACGAGTTTGCTTGGTGTTCTTATTTCTTTGCTTTCTTCTTTCTATAGTAATAGTGACATTTTGTTCCTTAGATTTCCAATTGATTTCAACACCATCAGCATGGTCATAAACGAAATCACCAGAGTATCCTAATTCAGCTTGGTAGTGATAAGTCTTGGTCAAAATTTGATTGGTCAAGAATGGGTTTTCATTGAATTCAAAGATCAATTCAAAACCTGGAGTTTCAAGGTATTCCATTCTAATATCCTTAAGATAATGCAAGACTTCGGAATCTCTATCAGTTATAGTTTCAGTGACAGTTGGAAGGTTTTCCAAGGCAGTTAACCAGAAACCTGGAATACCCTTTTCGGATTCTTCTTCATCTTCTTCTTCTTCATCTTCTTCTTCCTTAACTTCAGAAATCTTTGGTTCTTCATCATCTTCATGTTCATTTTCATTCAAAATTTCACCTTCTTCAATTTCTTCAACTGTTGGTTCTTCATCACCATTAATGATCTTCTTTCTTCTTTCGTAAAGAGGTTCATACTTCTTGAAATAACGCTTTTCCAAGTTCAATAATTCCTTTTGAAATTCAGCTTCCAATTGCATTTGCTTTTGTTGAATAGACTTCAATCCATAAACTCTGTTCTTAACTGGCTTAGCTAAAGAGTCAACATATCCACTTTGTTGGCCAACAAGATCACCCAATTTCCCTTGGATCATTGAAAGTAAGACAGGGTTGTTGGCAAGTTGTCCAGACAATCCATTGCTATCTTCTTCATTGATGGTGGAAACGGTTGGGGGTTGAGACTTCAAGTAGGAGTTGGTCACAGAGGCTGGAGTGTTTTGTGGGGTTGGGGCCTTGGAAATGTCTCCCAGCTTCTTTCTGATAGGTTCGGACATGGTACTAAGATTGATTGATATGTGTAATCACAAAGTAAAGAGGTGTTCTTTTTCCTTAAGGGGAATCATTAATGTTTCTCATTCTTATCCGCGCGTCTCTGTTTCGTTCTCATCGACACACAAACCTGGAAAGGGCAAAAAAAGAAAAAAAAACTTATAGTGCAAAAAAAGAAACTCCACTACATGTAGGAAAAGCCGGAGTTTCCTTATACACACATGTTCTTTTTATTATACATAACCACCAATTTTGTTCAAACAATTGCCAAAAGATGAATAGTTCGATGTAATTGATTGATTTTCATATATGTGGTAGGTCTCATAGTCATTATTTTATTTGATCTTCTTGGATATTATTTCATAAACGTGTAGGTCTTTGTACCTCCGAGCGTATAATTACACGCGTAGTAAATGTATCACAAAAGGAATATTGATCAGGTAAGAGTGAAGCGTATTAAATAGAATAATATATATATATATATATATATATATGTTCAATATAGCAATTCACTTTATGAGTTTGTATCTCTCTGATTTTTAGTAGCCATCATAAACATCTTTAAAATTAAAGTGATGTTATTACTCTGCAAATATATATTATTTGGCTGCAAAAACAATTATACCATTCAAAATTAGAAGATTAGAGGTGATTAATAAAATAATTTTTGCAACCTTTATGATATCTTCTCGATACTAAATGACAATCCAATTTTCACTTCTACAATTTCTTTTATAAACCGTCTATTACCTCCAACATCTATATCTATATATTAACAATTTTACACTTTACAACATCCAAATCTTGACCAGGAATACCTTTTGTAAAATCGAAAACCAGAAATATACCCTTTCTATCCACAACAAACACTCTACCTCCATCATTGGAGAATTTGATCGACGCTGATTCTGAATGCCTTTCAGCGTTTGCAGCCTCTCCTAATTGAACCACAATTTTTTTCATTGGAGATGTTGGATGAAGTTGAAAGTTTGGAGTAGATACTAAAAATATATGTCCATCTTTATCCAAGAAAACCATCCCGTCACCTCGAGGCAGGAGAGCAAATCTATGAATTGTAGACCCAACTTCAGGGATTTTCATTATTGTCTCTGATGATATGATCAGATTATGAGAAATATCTTCATCTCCATCGTTTTCTTGGCCAGTTCGACTATTTACACTGCTAGTACCCCCAAATCCTGTACCAGCAGTTCCAATTGACCCTCGTGTACCATCGATGGATACACCATCCAATCTGATAACTAATGGTGGTCGACTTGTGAGTGAACAAGATGTCAAAATAATCGTATTCGAATGTAAAGAACCAAATTGTAAATCTGTTATACCTTCATTCCCCATCATCATATCACTATCATCTTTATTTTGAGAATCAAGCTCAGTTCCATCTTTCATATCCATCGATTTCTTTCTACTCTTGCTCAATTCTGACCATATTAACCTTGGCTTTCGATAATTTACACTTTGACCACCATTAGTAAGTCTTATAATTAAATACCTTGACTCCCAAACAGTGCAACAAATGAGAAATTGTGAAGTAGAATTAAAGTTGATAAACTTTATTGGATCTCTATATGGAATTGTGATTGTTATTGGTTCCACTGATTGTAAATTTCTCGCTGACACATTTGGATTCAACTTGTGCAAAATAATGAAAGGTTGTTCCTTACCTGAAACTCTTTCTCTTGCAGTTATACCACATGCAATCACTGCTTCATCTGGTGATATATTCATACATCTGATAGGGAAATTTGTGAAATATGTATAGAGGGGTTTACCCAATTCTTCAATACTTCCTGAAATATTGAATACTCTCATCACTCCCTTTGTTCCGGATATTATTAAATAATTGTTTGAAAGTGCACAATGGAATTGATCCCATTGAGCCAATTTCTTTTTATTTTCATCTTTTGAAGTTGAATTTTCTCTTCCAATGGAAGTAGAATTACCCAGACCTCCAAAATCATTACGAATAACAATTTCATTATCACCTGGATCACTGGTAAGATTATTATAGTCTTTACCATATTCCCCTGTCAGTTTGCCACAACAGATCATTCTAGGTTTTGCAGTTGATGAGTCACGGCGTTCTCCAGCTTGGATGGAATACTCATACAATTCCCATTTCTTTTCTGAAATTAACACAAACCTAGTGATTTCCTCACCAGTGTATAAGTCAATTCTACTATGAATATCACTCCCAATAAATCTACTATTTTTCTTCATCATGGATCCAGATTTAAAAGAACTCGAAAATGATGAAAGATTCATTTTCACATGTTGTGTAGGGAAAGTCGATAATTTCCTATAAAATGGGAAGCATTTCGAGAAATTATACTCTCTTTCTTCACCAATACTAGTGACAAAATTTGGATCATAATTCTGAACTGGGGATTTCCATTGATCTTCATTATCAATACTCATTGATGTTTCGTTGAATGGAGACACAGAAAGTGAATTATACGACGCAGGATCCTCCAATTCCTCGGGCTTAGAAGGTGATTCAATGGTAATTGGCTGTACAGTGGACGCTGAAACATTTCCCAATGAAGTCTCATTATTACCAAACAGTTCAGAAATTTGTGTCGTTGAAATCCCAGTCAGTGGTATTGATTTAGAATTGGACTCTTCCTTGGCAAACTTATAAAATAAACTTATCAAGTTCATGGATTCAGCAACTTTTGGGGTAGATTGTTGTTGTTGTTGTTGTTGTTCATTGAAGTCACCACTGAAACTCTTTTTAGACGTACTACTGACCTTTGGTAGAGAACTTGGATTACTCTCTGGCATTCGAGCATTGAGCTCAGTAATAATTTTATACAACGAACGAAGTGGTGCTACCTCTGATATTATTCTCACAGATTCTGTAAAACATACTGGGCAATGATTCGTAGATGTCTGTAAGGCATTAAATTGTGACTCAGACACTAGACAGCCGCATGTTAGTACGGATGCATCCTGGATAATCTCTCCCTGAGGATAACCCGGAAATCTTAAAAGAGATTCCAATGTAGATATCAGAAGTCGATCCATATCAAAGGAAGAGTATGTATCTCAGCAGTGGATAGGAAAAGATGGCACAATGTCCTACAGACTTATCAATTTTACTACAAAGAGAAATGATTTAAAGAGAGATAAATTATTATCTATAGTCAATTTGTCTGCCCCCTCCCCCCCACAAACGCGAAATATATACACTCCATATTCTCTGCAATCATATTATTATTAAGATATACACATTTATTCTACCACATAGCACATCAATTTCTTCATATATATATATATATATATGTGTGTATATAGGTGTACATGTTCATCCATTATTATTTTCTACTCATCTTTCTTTTCTTTTAAATTGACACTATTACCATTGTAGGTTCTGATTTCCTCATCTGGAGGGCCATCAGCATTTGGAATAGATCTGAATCTTGTCTGAGAACTACCATTAATTGGCTTTGGGGTTGAGCTTCTACTTGGATGTGTTGAGCCATGCACACTACCAGGATTGTTATCGGTCTGTGCTAAGGGTGAGCTTTGAGTAGGTATAGATGGAATTGTTGGATTGTGTATATCAATCAAGGATGCAGATCTCAGGACCAATGTAGAGTCTGAATGTGGACCATGATCAACTGAAATTAAATTTGGAGTCCCCACAGTTCCACCGACATTTATTGTTGAGAAATAATCTTCAACCGTTCTACGATCATTTGAATTAATTTGATTTCTTGTAGACCTTGTATTATCATCTTCCAATCCAGGACTAGAACTTCTCACGTTGGTATCATCATCTTGTTCAGGGAAATGTTCTACGCCATAATCAAAGAAGGAATATAATGCATTCCCCACTCTTATTAAATTTTCATAAATCCATCGGTAGATTCCTCCAGGGGTTCTCCCATTAGGATACGCTTTAGTAGCACTAATATCTTCATATATAGGCTTTAATATCAATGCAGACCGTGGACATAATTCCAATTCTTTCAAAGAAAGGAATTCTTGTTCATCGGTGTAGGTAATACGAGGCAAAACTGGTCGATAGAATACATAATGAGTTGGCATTGGAGAGGACGAAGTGGCAAATGATGGCATTGAAGCTGAATCATCTGGAATAATACTATTATTGGTTTCCATATCAAGCCATTCCCGAACATGATTCAAGGTTTGTAAAGGAGTAAATTCATGTACAAGTGATTTCCCGTCCAAAAGCTTTATTGAAAGGACGCAAATATCTTTTTTATTATTAGTGGTTGGCTTTTTCAAATCTTTTCCTTGATTTTTTAATTTCTCCCTATATTCCTTTGCAATTTCTTCTTCTCTTTTCTTTGCTTCTCTTTCCTTCACATCAGAATTCAATAAATTACGTATTCTTTGTGATTCGAGTTGTTGTTCATTTCTCATATTCCTATATTTTTTTTGATGTTGAAGTAATGAAGGTGAATTGTTGTCTATAGAATGTGTTGAAGTGGAATTATTAATTCCGAATGAACCAATTGGTTGTGTAGTAGAGGGACTTGGGCTAGTGGCCACGTCATCCTCAACCAATGGTGGTATGGGCAGAGACGATTCTGACCTTATAAATGCATCAATTCTAGTTTCAAATTCGGCTGGGTTACATTCATATGTTAATACATCCAACAATTTACCCTTCTCCACTACATAAAAACTTGGAACTTCTAAATTGGGGAATATTTGCTTGAAAAATTCAAAATCAGTAGTACCTTCAAGTAATTTGATACAAACAAAGTTCGTTTTGAGTTTATGAATAATCTCTTCATTGACCGAACTATCCGAATATAAGAATTTCTTGATAAATTCACTAGAGATTTCTTGGTCATTGGTCAAAAATGCTAAGAGAGGCTTCCCTTCCGCCAACGATATTTGAACCGCTTGATTTACAGACGATCCAAAAAGATCTGCTATATTATTCATCACAGCTGATTGATGGTTATACAACGCTTGAATACTGTATTTCAAATATGATTTGTATTATAATAAGGAGTGATCTTAAAATCTAGGGTCAGTTTATTTAACAAACTACGCAATCAGTTTCAAGTGTCAATCTCGTGTTGCATACAGGAATCGTAAGAGTGACAAAATTTGGGGTGGTTCCTGTTCTATAGTTTATTTTCCTTTTTTTTTTTACGTTTTGTTGCGTTGCGTTCCGTTCTTTCCTTTTTTTTTTCTCTCTCCCCGTAAGTTATCAAAAATAACTAGCAATCTTTGCTCCATGGCTTAAAATGTCCCCCTATTTCAATAACACATATTACTCAAAAGTACTAATTACAAATTATGTGGGATTATTGTTGGGATAATTGTGATAAACTATGAGTTTCCTAATAAAAAGGCAAAAAAAAAGAAAAGTTCATTATCTCAAAATTGCGGAGTAAAATCCCCCTAACTCTTGAATTAGCCTTTACGAAGGGGAGGGGAAAACAATGGTAAATGTAAAAATTTTGTGTTAGATCTTTTACATGAATCAGTGTCAGAATTAAATGAAACATGTCATTTCTATGACATGCATAAGAATCGAGGGGGAGATACAATAGGTGAAAAAAGAAAATATTCCAATCCAAGGCTTATCCACCAGAAGAAAAAATAAAAAGTAGAACAAAGATAAGAATCATTTAATTACAATTACACATGATATTCTACATGAAAAGAAATATGTTTTTATCCTAACCATGGTAGTTTTGATTTTATTGATTTGGTAATTGTGCAACTAATTTGATCTAGATTTTAAAATCTCTCTTTATAAAATCTCTAGTGTCAATTCCCGGCATATTTCGCAATTTAACCTCATTTTGGTATACAGGATCAATATTTATATGTTTATTTTTCCTTCTCTATATAATTTTGATTCCTCTCCTTCTTCTCAACCATAGATTATCCATTATGACAGATACTAGTGAGGGTAATATTAAGGTTGTAGTTCGTGTGAGGCCACTTCTTCCTCGAGAAGACGAGAATTCACATTGCTTGGTTACCATGCCTGAATCGAATCCTAAAATTACTTTACTTGAAGTTCCATCAACATCTTCATTTTATCAAAGAGGGAATTCAGAAGAAACACCAATCAAAAAATATCTGTTTGATGAATCAATATGGTCGTATAACTCGAATGATCTGAACTATATTGATAACAAGAAGTTTTACGATCAAACATCTCCACAAATAATTGATCATGTATTTCTGGGCTTCAATGTTTGTTACCTTGCATATGGTCAAACAGGATCTGGGAAAACACACACTATGATGGGTGATCCAGAAACTCCAGGTTTAATACCACTTTTAGTAAAAGATTTGCTTCGTAGAAGAGAAAAATTGGTTAATGAAAGAATTAATTGTCAACTTAAATTTCTGTACATGGAAGTTTATAATGAACAAGTGAAGGATTTACTTGGGAATGACAATAACAATAAAAAATGTAGAGTAAGGGAACATCCTATAACTGGTCCATATGTGGAGAATTTGAGTGAATACAATATTAATAATTTCCAATCATTTTTAGAATATTTACAACGAGGGAATCAAATCAGATCAACTGCTCCTACTTCAATGAATGATAGTAGTTCAAGATCTCATGCTATCATCACACTTTCTGTAATTCAAACCAAATTCAAACAAACTAATGATGGTGGATCCGATGACGATACTACCATTGGGGAAGCTGATGAAGAAATGATATCTAATATAAAATTGGTAGATTTAGCAGGATCTGAAAGGTTGTCTAAAACAAAAGTTTTCAAACAACAAGATAGATTAAAGGAAGGTACTCTAATCAATAAATCACTTACTGTTTTGGGAAGATGTATCAATATCCTTTCAGATACTAATAATCAAAATAATCAGAATAATTCGCCAATGGTTCCATATAGAGATTCAGTATTGACATATATTCTAAAGGAAAATTTGTCAGGTAATTCGAAAACTTTTATGTTGTTTTGTATTTCACCAGTTGATTTTGAAGAATCTTATCAAACCCTTAATTATGCAACACAAGTTAAAAAGATTCGTACAAAGGCAAAGGCCAATAAAAAGAAAATTGTTGGTGGAAATAAAACTCAATTAGATTGGAGTACATTACAAGACGAAGATCTGGAAATAGTTTCTGATTTGAAGGATGAAGTGCGACAATTAACTGAAGAATTACAACTGCTTAAACTGTCCTCGGTTAATCAACATGAAAATGATCAAGAAAAATGGCTAAAATTGACACAATTCCTTGAATCTCAAACTGAAACAGTAAGGTTTGAAAATAAATATTTACAACATAAATTAAAGCAAAAATCAGCAGAGATAAATGAATTGAAGAATCAGGTTGCATACATGTATCGAGAAGTGGTGGAGATTGTTGAGACGTCAGAACAAGAAAGGAAACATATGAATAAGAAGATGATCAATCGTCTGGCAAATGTTATTCTAGAACAGTGTCTACTTGGTCAAAGTGAAGTACATGACGATATAAATAAATTTGATCCAAAGTATGTATTTTAGAAACTATCACTATACAATAATTATTTATTACAATTGTAGGATCATTTCCCAACTTCCTATCAAGCTGTTAATGTTTTTATTTTTTTGTTTTGTTTTAATTTTTTTTGTGTTCTTATTTCTCTCATTTTTTTCTCTCGACTCTTTTTTGAGGTGTTTTCATTTTTCGTTGACTAGCTTAAGATTAAAATTCTTAATACAGTTTATAGCGGCAATTGAACAAAGGTTAAGAAAATGTCTGAGTTTATCAATTACAAGGTGAATATCTTTCTTCGAGATGGGACCCAATCAACGGGAACAATCACTCATGTTGATAGTCAAAAGATTGTATTGGGTTCAGAATCTTCCAATGGACCAATTCATATTGACAGTCATCAGATTGCTGACCTTAAAGTTGTACAACTTCCTCAAGATTTCTTGAAGAAACTTAAGAACAATAAGAAGGGGAAGAAGGAACAACAACAACAACGAGGTGGTGGTACTCCGGTTCCTGGTTTATTGGATGATGCCATTGTATTTGCTAAACCCTCATCAAATCAAGTTCAAAAGGTTCAAGACAGTAATAGTAGATCCAACACACCAAAATTAAAGCTGCAAAAGTCACATCAATTCCCTACACCATCCACAGGGACATCAGACCCAGTTGATTGGAATAATGATTCAGACGTTCAACAAATCAAATCATCAAATGAATTTGATTTTGCTGCCAATTTGGCAATGTTTGATAAAAAATCAGTATTTGCCGATTTTCAACGTAACGATAATGTTAGTCCAAGTGAAAGACTTGTTGGTCACAATAAACTTGAAAATGTAGAAAAGGAAAAATATAAAAATGATGAAATGGTTCTTGATAATACCAAATCGGACAATTGGCATTTAATAGGAGCTAAAACAACTCAAACAAACAAGAAATCCGGAATGACCTCAGGAGGTCGTGGTACTCCTGTAGATGAATCTTTCTTAGCACCAGTTAAAAGAACATTTAAGTTGATTAACTCTGAGAGTGGAGAAGTTGTACCATTATGTTCTCCAGTACAATCTCTTGAAATTGAAAGATTGGCCTCTGAATCTTATGGAATTACATCAGATATTATGTCAGAGAATGGTGCAGTCAATTTATCTCAACTTATTTTACAAAGTATTCTTGGAGGCCATAATCGTTTGAGTAATAAGAAGAATCATAATTTACCTCCATTGGTTCTTTTACTTATAGGCAGTGGGAAATGTGGAGCCAGGGCATTTGCTACAGGACGTCATTTGACAAATCATGGTGTTAGAGTTCTTGCATTTGTAGCCAGTGGAGAAGAATCTGAAGAAATACTTTCTCATCAACGTGAAATCTTTGAAATGGCTGGGGGAAAAGTTATCTCATCTGATTTCCAACAATTATTGAACATATTGTACAATGAACTTGATACTCCAGTTGAGTTAATCATTGATGCATTACAAGGATACGATGACCATTTGGAAGATATCTTCTTCCAAGAAGAAGATGTAAAGGTGTTACAGAATATAATAGAATGGTGTAATGAGCCACTTCAGCAAACAAAGGTCATGTCTCTTGATATTCCCTCTGGCATTGATGGAGGTTCGGGCACGGTGCTGGACTTCGGCTTGAAACTCAACTGTAAATGGTGTGTCTCAATGGGTCTCCCAAGTACTGGGTTGTTGCATGCCTACAAAAATGGACTTTTACCAACAGGTGTAGAAGGAGAAGTTTTACATTATGTTGTAGATGTTGGAATCCCCAACAAGTTATTTAGTAGTAAGGGTAACTTGAGAAAGTTTGATAAATTCTGGTTTAGTGCTGGTGCTGGTATCAAACTTGAAGTTAACGTAGAATAGACTAATTCGAATGCATATTTATACATATATATAATGGACTATATTTTGAATGTATTTGGAAAGTGCGTATAAAAAGGAATCACTGCGTAATTTTCAGTACTGCGATACACGACCATAGAAATCAAAATGTCAACAGTATCATCACAAATATTTTGAAGACGCAGATCTAGTTGCATTTTGAATTTACAAGAGACGAAACAAAAAGCTTGAGTAGCTTAAGTGTTTAAGTTTCAATAGAGCAGTTTCATTTCTTTATTTCCTTTCCCATTTTTTGAAACTCTCAATGTTTTCTTCAAACCCTCAAAAGACAGACAATAGTTGGGGCTCAGCTACTGGGTTTGGAAAGTCTTCATCTTTCAGTGGACCATCATCTGACCCTAAAAGAACACAATCTGGAGGTCTATTTGGATCTAGTGCCACTGGATCTACTGCACCATCTGGTGGATTATTTGGATCGAGTACCACTGGACCCACAGCACCATCCGGTGGATTGTTTGGCTCTTCCACTAATAATACATCATCTACATTTGGAAATACAAATTCTACATCAAACAATACCACAATTGGGTCAACACTGGGTGGGTTGTTTGGCAACAATACAGCACCTGCCAATCTGTCCAATAGCACAACTGGCACACTGGGCGGCTTATTTGGCAACTCCAACACCACGTCAAATGTAGGGTCTGGGTTATTTGGAAATTCATCCTCCGGTGTAAAGCCCACTGGTTTGTTTGGAGCTGCTCCAAAACCAAACCAATCTGGTCAACCAAATGGTTTGTTTGGCTCAAATAACACCGCTACTAGTAATAATATTATGGGTCAAGGCTCATTGTTTGGGGCACAATCTCAAGGGATTGGATCTCAATCAAATACAAATCCATATAATTATAACAATTCGTTCGGTAACATTAAACAAGATGTTTCTACTATGCCGCAATCTATTACTGAAAATTTGTTTCTGAATTCTTCTCGAATGGAATCAACTAATAGAAAGAGAGTATTTTCTGATACCACCAATAGTAATTCAAGGGCCACAAATGGTAATTCTACTGCAAAGCTCTCTCTTTTATCAAGATTGGGACAAACCATAAAATCGTTTAGATCTTCAAAGAATGCACCAACTCCATTGCCAGAGACAAGTGCGGAAATGAAAGGAATTTTCACTCCATCTAATTATGTTAATTTCAAGAACGTAAAAGGTGGCGCCAATCATTTGAGATCTTCATCTTTGGGAACTAAGTCAAGTAACGCTCTCCATTTACAAAAGGGAAATACCACTGGTAATCATAGTGATGTCAAGAGGTTAGTAATTAAATCCAAACCACTTAAATTCCATTTGATTGATACTGACAAAGTCTTCAATACCAAGAGAAGAAGAATCTTAGTGGAGAACTCAACAGCTAAGGTAATTCTGTCTGATAAGATTCTCAATGGTGGTTTTGAAAGCGATGAAGAAATTGAAAGTGATGATGATTTAATGGAAGGTAAATCAAAATTAGAATCTCTCTCGTCAAGATTCCCATATCGTAAGCATAACTCGGAAAGAAGGCTTTCGGAGACAGTTGATGGTTCCAACATTGTTGAAGATAAAGTTAACTTGGATGATAAGGACCTTAATGATGGATACTGGTGTAGTCCCTCCATCAAAGAACTTTCCGGCTATTCAATTGATCAATTGAGTGAAGTTGATAATTTCATTATTGGGAAAGTTGGATTTGGTCAAATCTCATATGGCTATCCCGTTGATTTATCTGGAGTGCTGGTTAGCTGTAAGGATAACGGTACCACTTTAAATAAGGAATTATTTGGGAACCTTGTACAATTTAAGAAAGGATGTGTCTTGGTGTATCATGGTGATGCAAATAAGCCACCTATTGGTTTCGGGTTGAATGTACCTGCAACTATCACTATGGAGAATATGTTCCCAAAGTCATCAGAGACATCAATTGAGTTCATTAAAAGGTTGCAAATGCAAAAGGGTATGGACTTTGTTACTTATGATCCAATTACGGGGTATTGGGTATTCAAGGTTATGCACTTTAGTATCTGGGGGTTAATAGATGATGAAGAAGAATTAAGCCCTGATTTGGTTTCCATAAAGAGAAAGCAGGATGAATTAGAAGCTGAGGCTAGATTAGAATCATCAAAAATCTATGAAACGGATGAATACAGAGAAGAATTGAAACGTCAAAGAGTTACCAGTTTTACCAAGGGTGTTCCTGGTGGATGGGGTAGCACTGAAAAGACACAACCGAATGCTGCTCTTATAAAACGAATGACTGTTGCTAATGAAATACAGAATCAATTAGAGCTCTTTAGAGAAGAACAAACTAATAATGTTCTTAATCATCATGATGGTGATATTACTGTTGATTCTGATCGTTCACTGAGATCCGATTCTCCAGCTAGCTTGGTCTTCAGTTGTCCTGTTGAGGATACCTATGGCTACAAAGAAAAAAGTGAACCAAAGTTTAAGTATTTGAAACAGCTTGTGAGTGTATTGCCAAATAACATTCTAATGGATGATTTGGTTGATGAAAAGGCATATGAAGCAGAAATTTCTAATGAGGCAATCTTTGATAATATTCAAGTAAGACCAAACATTGCAATTTCGGATGATTGGTTAGTTCAATTAGAGTTGGCTAATGATCTTAACTCTTCATTGAACCCACTCACTGGTGACACTTCTGAAAGTAAACATTTATCTGTTGATATGATGGACAATATGCTTTTTTCTGGTGTTGATTTATCTATGGGCAAAACCACGTCTGACCGTATTATGCCTGAACATAGTGATAGTACCCAAAAGAGTTTGGAACCTTCTAGTATTGGTGAATCTAAAATCATTAACACTTTACTTACCAAAACTGATGTATCAACTCGCTCAGTCAACGGATATCCTCAATTGCCACGTAAACTTAATGTCACTTTCAAAGATCTTTTGATTGAAGAATATCAACCTGAGGAAGAAGTTCATATAATCAAACTTTGCTCTGCATTATTTGACAAGCACGACGTTTCCTTAGAAGGGGTGGAGTCTAAGGACATAAAATTAATTAATCATTTGACTGGCCTTAATCGTAGAGAGATTTTTTCTGAGTGGTTAAGAGCTTACAACGTAAACACCATTGAAAAGCTTACGAAATCATCGCAAAATGATCCATTAGATCTTATTTATATTCAAATCTGCGCTGGAGATCTTAAAAGTGCAATTGAGTTAGCATTGAATTCAAATAACAATCATCTTGCTGTTTTGTTGACTCTTTTGGACGCAAATGATTCCGGAGTTAGGACCGTTGCATCTTCTCAATTACAATATTGGCAAGAATTTCTGTCATCATCTTTTATCCCAAATACAGTTACTAAAATATATCAAATTTTATCTGGTGACTTTGATGAAATTTTATCTGACTTACCTTGGAATATCGCATTTGCATTGAAATATTTCTATGGTGATTACAGTCAAGATTTGGGAAATTTGATTCAAGAATTTAAAAATAAATTAAAACCTTCTGGTGTAATTTTTGAAACATTAGAACTTTATCAGAATATAGAAACTATTGGATTATCTAAGGCTCTTTCTGGTATCAATTCGACCCACTTAAGTATTTGTTTGAAATGGTTTATCACTATAATTTTAGGTGGAGATATTGATACTCCTTTGGATACGGAGGATACACTTACACACTTATATGGGAAATATTTGACTAACCTCGGGTTATGGAAAAAGGCTATATTTGTTTATTCCCGCTTGGAAAATGACAAAGACAATGAAACAGCCATTCGCAAACTTATTTTTGATAATATTACTGATATTAATATCAATGATGTTGAAGAAGAAAAGTTCTTTACAAACCTGTTACGTGTACCACATAGTCTTATTTACGAAGCTGTTGCTTCAAATGAAGGAAAGCAAGGAAATCACTGGGCACAATGTGAAGCATTGTTGGTTGCTAACCTCTGGGAAGAAGTTCATGAATGCATAGTATCAAACCTTGGACCATCTACAGTAATTACCAATAATGCTGTATTGAAGACGCAACTTCTTGATATTGTCTCACGTATTCCAAGTCATGGGTTAATTATCCCACAATGGTCACAGGGAGCCGGAATCTACGTTCAATATGTTCAACTTGTTAATTCATTTGGTGAAAACTCTGAATTTTCAGTCGTCAGATCTCCAGAATTCAAGAAAACTCTTGATTCTCTTTTGTCAAACATTCCGTTAATGATCCCCTTATCATTATCCTCCTTCCAAAACAAAGTTGCTTTGAAAATCATTTCTAAGAGAGTTGGGGACTGGGCTCTAGTATCTTCAGGAGAACTCAAGGATAAAATAAAATCGTTACCATTAGGTGAAAATGAACGTCAATATTTTGATATTCGTTTAGCCACTGCATGATAAAAGCTGCTCTATATACATATATCTAATCTAATCTGCATATAACTTTAACAAAAAGAAAAAAATAAAAAATTACTGTACCAAACTTTTATTACATAAGCTAGAACATGATTAGTGATCCTTTGATAAAGGAAAGTGTATAAAAACTTCATATCATTGAATTTTAATATTTATTATCATACGTGTATACTCAACTCTAGAGTTTTTTATTTCCTTGAAGAATATCCATTTCCTTCGCAAAATATAAAAAATATCCTTATAGACAAATACAAACGAAATAGGTATGACCCCATCAGTAAGTGAGCCATTAAAAGCTCAGTTGCAAGCACCAGAACCTGAACATTGTCCAGGTCCTGAATCGGAACAAGCCGGGAAAGGAGATGCATGTGATGGATGCCCAAATCAAAATATATGCTCCACTCAACTTCCAAAGGGTCCTGATCCTGACATGCACCTCATAAACCAAAGATTATCTCAAATAGATCACAAGATACTCGTTCTCTCGGGTAAGGGAGGGGTTGGTAAGTCGACTTTCACATCCATGCTTTCCTGGGCACTTGCAGCTGACGAAGATCTTGAAGTTGGGGCCATGGATTTGGATATTTGTGGACCATCCCTTCCTCGGATGCTCGGTGCAGAGGGCGAATCGGTGCATCAGTCAAACTCTGGATTGTCTCCTGTGTATGTAGCAGATAACTTGGGACTTATGAGTATTTCATTTATGCTCCCAGATCCTGACTCCGCAGTTATATGGAGAGGTGCTAAAAAAAATGGACTTATTAAACAATTTTTAAAAGACGTAAATTGGGGTGAACATTTAGACTACTTAGTGGTTGATACTCCTCCGGGGACTTCAGATGAGCATCTTTCTGTCACAAGTTACATGAAGGAAACCGGGATAGATGGTGCTTTGATTGTCACAACTCCACAAGAAGTTGCACTTTTGGATGTACGGAAAGAAATTGACTTTTGTCGTAAAGCCAATATAAAAATTTTAGGACTTGTAGAGAATATGTCAGGATTTGTATGTCCAAACTGTCATGGAGAGTCTAGAATTTTCAAACCAACCACTGGAGGTGGAGCTCAACTTTGTGAAGATCTTGGTATCCCATTTTTAGGTTCAGTTCCTTTGGATCCTAGAATTGGAAAGGCTTGTGATTCTGGAAAGAGTTTCTTTGACAACTATTCGGATTCACCAGCCGCTACAGCCATTCTTGATGTTGTGGACGCCCTACGGGACCAGATTGAAATTTCAGTTGAAAAATTGACTATATAGATCATAAGCTCAATAAATGCGATAATAGATAAGGAGAGAGAAAAACAAAAATCAATAGAAACGAAATCAATAGGAAACTAATTTTTTTATTCTTTTTTTTTTTCGATATAAAGTGTGGTCATTTTAACATATACACATACATGAGTCTTCAAGACAAGATACAGAGTCATCCTTCGTTCACAAAGACTCGTCTCAATTCTCTTTATTCAAACTTTGAACGTTTAAAACATCTCAACCCTGAAGGATATGAAGCAAATTTAAAAGCATGGGAACAATTGCTTCTTAAGTTCTTACGCCTGGGTGACTTTGCCAACGTATTATCAATCCCTTCGACTTCTCCTAGCTTAATGCAAGCATTATCTATTCCTATTTATGGTTCACCTCAGTGTTTGGGACTTGTTCTCACGGAATTGGTTAAAAGGGATTCATTGGTTCCTCTTTCGTACTACTTGGTAGAGGACCAACTGTATAGTAGAATCATTAACAACAAATTTGCATTAACAGATTACATATCAGCGAAGAAGTGGATTCTGTGGACATTAAAACAAATTGGTATACAAGGTGAATTTCGTGCCACGACTACTTCTTCCTCATCATCTCTAGATGGAGGATTGGTCCCTGAGAATTACTTAAATTGGGATTATACATGCGAAATAGGTGATAGAATTGGTGGTTTATTGTATAAGAAACGACCAGGTAATTACAGTAACAGGTTGTACGATGGGATTGAGTTCCAAGAGTATATTCAAAAATTGACCAAGATGTCCTTCACTTCAATTGATTATGAGATAATATTAAAATATCTTTCTAGGGATGTCGGTCTAATTGCTGTAAAAATTGACGATGAAGGAGAGATCTGTATAAAGTTACATGATTCCTTGGCTAAAAATAATGTAACAACATTAACTATATCTGAAGATGATATGGGGATTATAAAAATTAAAAGACAAATACAAAGATTGGACCAACGGAACAAAAACTTTGAAGAAAAGATAGAAGATTTAAATGATAGGATAAAGAAACTAATTATTCCGAATAAGATCAATGATAAATCGTTTAAGGAAAGAGCAAAATATCTTTTACAGACGAGGAAAATGTTTTCTGATTCATATTCTAAATCATCAGCAAGTTTAGATCAATTAACTCAAATATTATTACGTCTTGATGATGCATCTAGTAATATTGATGTTTTTTCTCTGTTAGCTTGTTCATCTGAGATTCTCAAGACATTAAACGAAAAAATTAACCAAGATGAAATAGATGAAGTTATGATGAATTTGGAAGAAAATATGCAAACAACTAATGAAATTTCTGATTCATTATCGAATACATTGAACACTTACGAATCAGATTCTGAAGTTGAAATTGAATTAGCAAAGTTAACTTCAGAATATGAACATAGTGTCAAGCCAAATGTTGAGACCAAAACTCTGAAGAACGAAGAGTTGCTTACAACATTAAAGAATATGCATATCGATGGATCTCAACATACAATAGAAGATAGAACAGCCAACAAGGATGAGGAGAAGAAAATGGAGAAATTATATACATCATGATATTTTAACATAAATAGAATTTTATTATAATGAAAAATGTAAATTAATATAATATGAATTCTAAGAACCAAATATATAGTAAATTTTAAAAGAGAGAAGCAGGACTAATAATAGCAATAAACAGCTTGATATTAACCCAAAATTTGTAAGATTTGTTGTGTCAAATTGAACAATTCGACCTTTGGATCATCAAATTGATCATTCAGATCGTTGTTGGCTGAATGCAAGTTTTGTTGGAATTGTTGTTGAGAAGTACTCAAGTTCTTAATACCAGATAAGATTGATTCATTTTCTTTTATCAAAGAATTAATCTCTACGTTATTGGATTCCAAAAGTTGTAGAATAGTCCACAAGGCGATATGCTCAAAAGTGGCACTTCCACTTTGTAAAAATCTAAGCAAGAATCCATGAATACCTTCATTTGGATGAGTCCAGTTATCCAAGATGTATTGTTTGTGTTCGTTAGAAACTCTCGAGCATAAATTGGCTAATGCAGCAGCAGAATTACCACAAACTTCACCATTTTCACTAAAGGTTAATGGAATCAATACATCTATTATATGGCTTTCGTAAAGATTAGGCTTGAGGTCATCGGCTAATGCTAAAATAGCAAAACATGCCAGGATTTCCAGTTGAACAGTAAGAGGAACTTTCAACACTAATTCCTTACATTTGTCTACTGCACCAGCAGCCAACAAGGCAAGTCTATTTCTTTCACTTGAAGCGGCCAAGTTACGTAAGGTGGACACAGCGTGGCATTGGATTTCTTCCAGGTCGGTGTAATCCAACAAATCCACCAAAGGTGTCAAGAAGCCGGCATCGATTATTAATGCTTCATTCAAAGGATGAATTGAAATATTTCTGATACATGCAACAGCTGCAAGAACCAAAGGTTGATGGTTACATGTGAGCAAATGTACCAAATGTGGTAATCCTCCAGCTCTGACAATTTCAACTTGGTATCCGGAATCAGAAGCCAAATTTCTTAAAGCAAGGGTTGCTTGACATTGTACTCTTGGAGATGGAGAATCCATCAAGTTAACCAATTGACTTACCAATCTTGGCTCGGTTGTGGAAAGTTTCTTCCGGTTCATTTCGTCAACAGCTATATTTGACAAGGCAGTAGTACAATAGTATTGAACATCTGCATCCTCATTAGCCAACAACGAAACCAAAACAGGGACCGCTCCAGCATTCACCAATTCTTGTCTGTTTTCACCAGAATGTGTCATGTTTAACAAAGCACCAGTTGCATTTCTTTGTACTCTAATATCCTTAGATTTAGCCAACTTAGTCAATGGAATAAGGGCACCACTCTTAGCGATCTTTGATTTATTGTCATCTTGTGTGGCTAAGTTTGTGATACATCCCACGGCATTACATTGAACCTCAATGTTTGTTGACATCATCTGTCTAATAAGTGGTTCTAATCCACCCATTTCTACAATAAGTGACTTATTCTCATTGTTAACAGCAAGATTACCGAGCGCACCACATGCGGCACGTTGAACTTCGGAGTCTGCACTTTGAAGAAGAATAAGTATTGGCTCCAAAACATCTCTGTTTACTTCTCGGACATCCTTTTCGGTAATCTCAGCAAAGGCCAATGCAGCACTTCTTTGTAAGTCGATATTCTCCGAATACACCAAGGTACTAAGAGCTCTCAACGGACCATTCCCGAAGAAATCCACATCTGAACGGTTTTCTAAGTATTGTAATAATGCTGAAATGGCTTCTCTTTCATTTTCGGCTAAAAGAAGTGGTGGATACTTACCATCACCATGACGGGAAGATAAACAACTACAACAGGCACCCATATTTAAATAGCAGTTATGAAGAGTTTGGTGGTAGTTCTGTAATAGAAGGGCCTCGAGTTAAAATTTTCTATTCGTTACACGAATAAGTAAGGAAAGGATTCTGAAGAGGTGTTTTTTGCTTTTTGCTTTCTCGAAATGCAATCAGTATTATAATAAGAAAGGTACTCGAAAAAATACACAGGATCCAGTCCACTATATTCCAAGGGGTTGAAGAATTCGAATAGAAATAATTGCTTTCCTTATAAATACCCGAGATAGGTTAAAAAAAACTTCGTTAGGGGGTTTCGAATTGTTAAGAATACTAAACTTTCTTCTGGATATAGTATGGAAGTCAGTTGCAACTAATTGTCAAATTGTTTGATTACAGTTGCAATTCTTTAACTGTTGTTTTAATAGATTGAGTGGTTTAATAAAAGTACTATTTAATTTGCCTATCGTTTAAACTTCTAAAGAATAGATTATAAAACTGGGCGGGTATTGTATATAAGACTATCAAACTTTTCTAAAAAAGTCGCGAATATAATGACAACAGGAGCAATTACATTTTAGGAAATATTGAGACTTTTTTGTTAATCTCATAACTCCTTTTCCGATAACAGCGGGTTCCACAAAATCGTACCATTCCCCACACTCATCTACACACTGGGTTGTATCATCATTCCTGATCGTTAGTTTCGTTATTTTCAATTCCTACTTCTCGAGACTAAGCTGCATGGCATCAACATGTATTGTTATTGTGTAGTGATCCTTCATTGTTAATTTAATCGTATATTTGTACTATTTTTACAGGGTTTAAGCCAACTCTTCTCCTGCACGTAAACTTCACATTTTTTTTTAATCTGGGCCCCAGTTTTTTAGAAGGCATGACGTACTCCTTCGATTTCAGATTAAAATACAAACAAAAAATTACATATTTTGAAGATGGAATAATATATATCTCAAAGATTCCTCATAGTGAAGTTGTAGTTTGATTCTAGTAAGAAGTGCCTCTGTTTAGAAACAGCCAAAATTACTAACGTTTTTTTGTACTTTTTGCAGCAATACGGGTATGTTCAATAATATATAGAAAGGATAACATAAGTCTAGCAGAAGGAGTAGTCCGTCACTCATTATTATCCTTTTGGTACTTCAACAAAGAAATGTACTTTAAAGCAGTACATTGCTGATACAAAAACATAGAAAATACTCGGATTGTGTTGACAACATCAATACAAATTGTCATACGTTACCAAGTCAATACTAAAAACATAATTGCATCAGCATGAGAACCAAAATAAAAGAAATACTTATATACAATTATATAAATGCTAGATAAAAAAGGATAAAAGACAAGGTTTGTTCTTTGTGATTTCTAAATATTTATTATATTTTCGACATTTGAAAACATTTATGATTTGAAAAAGTGGGTAAAAATTTTTTTTGATTCTCTTTAAAAAAGTCTAAAAATGATAGGAGCCTCCATACTAACATCTACTATGACATCCTATACATAATTTATAAAACATATCCACTAGAAGGGTAAAAGATTGGAATATAATAATTTGATCACGTGATACTTAAAAGTAATGGTTTAAAACCTAAGAAAAATAAAAATTCCAGAAATAGGGCGTGTGGTCTAGTGGTATGATTCTCGCTTTGGGTTACAGTTGGTTTACTAGCTGATTTCATCAAATATGCGAGAGGCCCTGGGTTCAATTCCCAGCTCGCCCCTTTATTTTTTTTATTTTTTCAAAATTGTTATAAGTCTAATTTGTAGTGGAATTCAAGATTGCCCGCTCATTAAAATCCGAATTCGTACATCCTGGTGTTTAGGTAACTACGGATCACTACTTAGACATTCTTTTTATTTTTTTCCAATTATTTTGTACTGTAGCCAGATCTCGGCATCTGAGTGACCACCAAGAAAATCCGAAACCTTCCGCACCGACTTTGTGTCACTTTCAAATTGTGGGTGAAAGGGGCAATGGTTCCCCATTATATCTCATGATATCAAGTGAGTACTAAAGTTGAATAAACCGTTTAAATCATATTAAAATGGGTATTAATAATCCTATTCCTAGAAGTTTGAAAAGCGAATCAAAGTAAGTTATACTACCCAATTGAAAATATTAACATCGCTCTTTTACTAACTCTGTATAGGAAAGCTGCCAAAGTTCTTGCTTCATTTATTAAGCCGAACCAAGCTTTTGGACCGGATCAAATTATTCCTCCACAAGTTCTCAAGAATGCCAAAGGTCTTGCCGTTATCACTGTATTGAAGGCAGGCTTTTTGTTCTCGGGTAGAGCTGGTTCTGGTGTCATTGTCGCAAGATTGCCAGATGGTTCGTGGTCTCCTCCATCCGCTATTATTACTGCAGGTGCTGGTGTTGGTGGACAAATTGGTGCTGAATTAACGGATTTTGTTTTCATTTTGAACACTAAATCAGCCGTTGACTCTTTTGCTCAATTGGGATCTGTGACATTAGGTACCAACGTATCTATCGCAGCAGGTCCACTTGGTAGAAATGCAGAGGCTGCAGGAACTGCCTCTTTGAAAAGTGCATCCGCAGTATTTGCGTATTCTAAAACAAAAGGTTTATTTGCAGGTGTTTCTTTAGAAGGATCTGCTATTGTGGAAAGAAGAGATGCCAATAGAAAGTTTTACGGACCTAACTGTAAGGCTCGTACAATTTTATCTGGTGCCGTTGATGCTCCTCCAGCTTGTGAATCTTTAATGAGAGTTTTGGATAGTAGAGCGTTTAACAATAAGCTCGCTGGCGATTCAGATTATGATGACGATTATTATGATGATATCCCAGATGATTTTTCAGACTCAACTTCTTCTACATCTCCACGTAGGAGAACGGGAGGAGGAGGAGTAGGACGTTCTAATAGAAGATATTCAGGCGACAGTTATTCCGATGACGATTATTCGGATTCATCTGACAGAGACTATAGAACCAACTCCACTAGACGTACTAATGCAACCAGTAGGACCTCCCAATTCTCGAATTCGAACGTTTCAAGAAAATCTACTTGGGAAGATGATATTTACGATAGAAACAATGGTCATTCCGAAGTTGATAGATTGGGTAGCAGATTCAACAAGACTCATATTTCAAGTGGTGGACCAACTAGACCACCATCTTCAAGCAAACCAAACTTTGGTGGCAACGCCAAGTCTAACTCCAGTCAAGCTATTGCCTTGTACACATTCAAGGGAGAACAAGGGGGTGACTTACCATTTAGAAAAGGGGATGTCATTGACATTCTTAAAAAGTCTGATACGGCAGACGATTGGTGGACTGGGAGAAGCAATGGTGTTACGGGTATATTCCCAGCTAATTATGTTGAGTTGATTTGAAGGTAAAATGTATGTATACACTAAACAATGTACTTATAGGGATTTCAGAAATATATTATTGACTAATGTAAAAACAAAACGCAATCTCTCTTCCTTGAAATTTATACGTAATATGTTACCGTATGTGTATTAGAAATTCCCTTTTATTACTATTTAACGCCCTTAATGTCCTATACTACCTGATAATTTCCCATTTTAGAGTTTTGTAAGAACTTGTTCAACAAAATGTTTAACTACCGTCTTTCCCTCTTCATAATCTGGATCTTCAATCTTTACAATGACTGCTGCATGTGTAGCCTTAGTGTTTCGAATAAGAACCGGGAATTTATCCCATGAAAGTGAATTCAAATTTTTGATAATGATTCTTTGAGCAAGTGATAATTTTAATTCAAACTCAAGGTTTGGTATTATTTGCTCTATCACTTTAGTATTAATTTGATCTTGACTTGATTGAATCAGATCGGAGATAGCCGAATAAAACTTTGCTAATCCTGGATCTGAATCGTTATGATTTTCTTTATCATGAGAAGATACCAAATAATGATGATTAGAATATTTTTCGCTGTTGATAGCGTCAAACACAGACTCAATGAGACCATCAGTTTGTAGACTTAAACGGTCAGAAATGGCAAAATTATTGGTATCACTTTTTTCAGAGGATAAATCATCTTCATCCGCCTCTTCATAATCATATAAATGTAACAAGTTGTTTGAAGCATCGTGGAAGAACGTTGAAACTCTTCTATTCAATTTTATTCTTTCCAAAATTGACCTACAAACAAAATATCCAGCCCAAATCGGTGTAAAAATTACCAATTTCCCCAATACTTTGACCCAATTTAATTTCCTACGTAAGAAGTTTGATATCCAAGATTCATTTTGAATAGACAGTTCAAACTTGGTTTCTTCATCTTCATTTAATTCAATTATCGTTATCGGTTTTTTGATATCGATAACAGTTGGCTCGTACCCGGGCACATAATCGAGATCATATATCGAGCAACTTTCATTCAGCATAGATTGGAAGGGATCCATAATTGAAATAGCTGATGTGAACCAACAAGTACGTTTGTCATTAATAATATTGGCATATAACGATCTATGTTTGAATTTTGCTAATGCCTTAAAGAAAAAGGATTGTGGTTCAGCCATCCAAACCAATAGAGGTAATTGTCTTTTCTCTATATTAATATTTTCCCTTGATGGAACCTTAAATTGTCTTCGATCAGTTAAAAACATTTGAGACCCAGAATGTGCTAAAAAGTAGGGTACTACAAAGTTGAATAATCTTGCAGCAATTCCAGTATTTGGTGTTAGGACCCCTACATGTGGTGAACAGAATGTTACAAAATGAATTGGTTCAATTGATTCAAAGTAATTTAGTGAATGTAAAACACCAATTGCATATCTTGCAATCAACCCACCTAAAGAATATCCAACAATTGATATCTTGGTCACTTTATGATCTCCATCAGTAAGTCTCTGGGTTTCAGACATAATCTCATCACATACTCTCTTCCCATTGACATCAATTCCATCGTATGTTAAAAATCCAGAATGGGATCCTGTCTTATAAACGACTACATCTTCACCTTGTGACTCAATTTGACTTTGAAGATATTGCATGTTGGAGTAATTACCCCAAAGTCTATCGATGTTAGTGATATTTCAGATAAAGATGCAAAATAAAAAGAAAAATAAAATCGTTTAAAACTTTTACTACTTACCCATGAACCAATACAATTAGATGATATGATCCCATATTTTCTAGTCAAATATTCGCTTAATTGTGTCAAAATTCCAAAAGAAGTATTTTCTAGTATTCGTTTAATGCAATAGCGAGTTTGGGGAATCGTTCCCTTTATGAAAAACCGAAAAAAAAAAAATCAAACAAAAAAAAGATTGAGGGAGGGGGGGCGTCGTTTATATGGTCAGGGGGGGGGGTGTTAATTTTACACTTTGAGATAAAAACCTCCTATTATTCTTATCTTGCATACGTATTCACATGTTTACTGATAGATTTATATTTATAGTAATAATTAAAATTTATTCATTGTGGGGATTGTTAAACCAAAAATATGTACAAACAAATTTCCAATGAATTGCAATGAAAATATACCTTTTTTGTAAAATCTAACCTAAACATTTTGAAATTAACAAGGCTGTAGCAACACTTGCATTCAAGGAATCAACAATTCCACTGCCATCTTCCCTACCTTGTTCAAGTCCAACCAAATAATCAGAACGAGTGAACAAATTGGTTCTAACACCTAATCCTTCACTTCCCATAACCAATAACACAGGAGCTTCTTGACAAATATTATTCAATTCATTTGCATGGATTATCATATCATCTAACAGTTCAAGTTCAGAATGCTTACTTAATAAGGATTTCTCTTCAGATTTATTTAATTTCCCCGTAGTTGAAATCACAACCCATCCATTTTTCTTACTGCTTTCAATGAACTTCAAGGATGAGTTTGTTTTGTAGACACTAAGCATATCAAGTGCACCGGCAGAGGCCTTGTTACAAACAGGTCCTAATTTAGCACTTTCAGAATCTGGAACTACCACAAAATCAACTCCCATAAAATATGCTGATCTAATAATGGCTCCAACATTTTGTGGATCAGTTACTCCATCAAGATAAATTCCAAGAGGGAATCTTGGAGTTTCAATTTCAGTTTCAACTTGATTAGTTTGATTTGTTGATTTACTTTTAACAACTTCTTTAGATAATTCTTGTACAGAATTATATAATTCATCTATAGATGCCAATTTATAAGTACCATCTTGTCCATTACAAGGTCCTAAAGTAGAAATTAACGGGAATTCAAGTGGTTTAGACTCCAATACAACCCCGTTATGTACCCCAAACCCAGTTAATCCATTTAATGTCCCCTTCGGTACATTATCTTGAATAGATAAATTGTATTGTTTGGCAAGCTTTAAAATTCCAGGAGGTGCTTCCTTCCTATTATGTTGAAGATATAATGTATTGAACAGAGCTCTCTTATTAGCAACTAATGCAGATAACACGGCATGAGTTCCATAGATATATTCACTTAATGGATTCTTTGGAACTGTAAGTCTTTCTTGATAATGTACAGTTTTTTTGCTATAATATTCTCGATCTGATTCTCTTCTTTCATCACGATGACGTCTTTGTCTTGCAACTTTTTCATTAAAGTTATCTCTACGTTGTGTACTCATTTTGGCATATTTTTGTCCAAAAAATTCATCTTTAGTGATGCCCTGTACATCCCAAGGTTTCTTCTTTTCATATACGGGGAAACTTTTTTTAAAATTAGTCGATTCTTCCTTTTTTTGGAAATGTAACTTCACAGCAGATCTAGGTTCTCTTTGAGATACCCTAGCTACACTACTAAACAATCTTTTCGTAATATTCATTGTCGATGAGTTAACTTAGATATTTAAAAGTGTCGCAAATTTCTTTCTTGTCTCACTTTCTTTTAAACTTATATGAGGAGAGTCATTATATACAGTACAACCGAAATCCTCTATAAAGTAGTTTTAAAAATGAATTCTATAATTATTATAATAAATGATGAATATGAAGGTTGTGAGGTAAAGTATTTTATAATTGGGATTTATCTAGAATAAAACTCCTTTTGTAGATGGAACATCGTTAGTTCCATTACTTGAAATGGCTTCCTTAATGGCAACAGCAAGTGCTTTGAAGGCACTTTCTGATTTGTGATGATCATTAGTTCCTCTTAAACAATCAACATGAACAGTGATTTTGGCACCTTGTGCAAAACTTTCAATAACATGAGGAATCATTTCACATGAAAGATCACCGATCTTTTCACGAACTAACCCTAATTCAACCACAGCGTATGGTCTGTTTGATAAGTCAACCACTGCTCTACTGAGAGCTTCATCGAGAGGAGCAAATCCAGAACCAAATCTCTTGACTCCCTTGACAGCTCCAAGTGCTTGATGAAATGCAACCCCCAAGGCAATACCAACATCTTCAGCAGTATGATGATCATCAATGTGTAAGTCTCCAATACATTCCACAATTAAAGACCACCCAGAATGCTTAGCCAAGGCATGAAGCATGTGGTCCAAGAATCCAATACCAGTATTGACGTCGATACGTTGAGATTGAGTTGCTTGAGATGCATGTTCATCTTCTTTCTTATCAGGGAATATCGACTTCTCTACTGCAATATGTCCCCCATCTAATGAAATGACTATCTGGATCTTGGTCTCATTCGTATCTCTCTTCACAGTAGCTGTACGCATTTTAAATGTTATAAGTTTTGTAGAATAAAAAATATGGTATGATATATAAATATATTTTTCATATATGAAACTGTTTTCTTACCCCCGCCAATCTTTATCATGACTCAGCCAGAAATAAAAAAAAAAAAAAAAGAAAGGGAAGCGCATTTCTTGCATATAACAAATGTTTCAATTTCAAAATTCTGATCTTGGTGTAACAGCAAAACTACGGAATTAATTAGGTTAGCTAAGCGAAATCAAATCTCAAAAAATGTGATATACAAGATTGGATCTGGAATCAATCACAATTTCGATATATATAGATTATGACTTTATTGTAAATTCAATGTTGTACCTTCATTTACCTTTCCTTGTACAAACACAGTCAATATTGTCTTGTAATCGCCACATCTTGATCGAATCATTAAATATTTAGTTGGAACAGTAATCGTTTTAATTTTTTATTTCTTGAATTTTTTTTTTTTTAATACGCAAAAAATTAAAAAGTAGAGTCTGGATCAATTTCACAGTTGCGTATGATACAGCGGTAAAATTGAAGTTAGTATACAAAAAGCGTACAAGAAAAAATAATCTTTATCGGATAGTTCAAGTGGTAACGGGTAACTTAAAAAGCATTAATCAAGTTCTATTCTATCCATAATAGCAATTTATTTCATCTAAACTCTTTTAAATATATGTTGCAATGAACAACTCAAACTCATTGTTCAAAAGAACAGAAGTTATAGGTAGAGGAAAGTTTGGAGTAGTCTACAAGGGATATAATAAACAGACTAAGCAAGTAGTGGCAATTAAAGTACTTAATCTTGACACACAAGAAGAAGAAGTATCTGATGTACAACAAGAAATTCAATTTTTAACTGAATTAAAAAATGTACCAAACGTTACTCATTACTATGGATCATTTTTAAATGATACTAAATTATGGATTATTATGGATTATTGTGCTGGTGGATCAATTCGAACACTTTTGAAATGTGGGGTTTTCGAAGAAAGATTTATTGGTGTTATAGCTAGAGAATTACTTATTGCACTTCAATCAGTTCATAAATTAGGGGTAATTCATCGAGATTTAAAAGCTGCCAATGTTTTAATTACTAAAGAAGGAAATGTACAATTATGTGACTTTGGAGTTGCTGCACAGATCACATCTTCATCTTTGAAAAGAACTACAATGGCGGGAACTCCATATTGGATGGCTCCCGAGGTTATCAGAGAAGGTGATGCATACAATGTTAAGGCTGATATTTGGTCATTAGGGATAACAATGTATGAAATAACTACTGGGAATCCTCCCTATTCTGATAAGGATGCGATGTGGGCTATGCAAATGATTTCCAAACTGACTCCTCCTAGATTAGAAGGCAGAGAATATTCACTGGTTTTAAAAGAAGCAATTGCTCTTTGTCTTGATGAAAATCCTGATGAAAGACCTCTGGCAGAAGATTTATTGAAATGTAGACTTGTTAAATTATATAAAAACCATCCATCTTCAATTTTAAAAGAATTGGTTACTAAATATCTTTTATGGAGGGATCAAAATTCAAGACGGGATTCTATTGCATTTTTAAATTTAGAAGAAGAACAAAGACAAAATAATGAACTGTCTAATCAAGGAGGTGATGGTGATCTTGAAGAAGATGAAAGTCAATTGCAAATTAAATGGGATTTTGATTCTTTAAGTTCTCGTGAATATATCATTGAAAATGATATTGAAATTGATAAGGTAAAAGATAGTTATAATATGTCCAATTCATATGTTCTTGATGACGATAACTCGAATTCAGAGACTTTTATTACCGATCAATCCTTTTTGACGAGACCAGGAGTGTCCACTGTAACTACAGGCACAAGATCGAAATTGACCAATAGTTCGAATACTATGATCACCAGCACACTAACCAATGGTGGGGCCAGTACAGTAGTACCAAATGCATCCCTCAAACAAAAGCAGCATGAAATCCCCAAATCATTATCACTGTTATTTGAAGATTCTGCGCCTTCTTCAAAAGATACAGACAGCTCAATACATCCACCAAGTGGACTCGGATTGTCAAGCTCCGAAAGAGTAGACTCTCCAACCATTGAAATACCGGATATGGATAATCTTGTAAACTTCTCAGTGGCAAAGCAGCAGCAACAACAACAGCAACATCAACAACAGCATCAGCAACATCAACAACAACATCAGCATCAGCAACACCAACAACAACTTTCTACAAATGGCCAAGGAAGTTCTTCCACCTCAACTTTATCTATAGGACGACCTACCCTCAATAAACCGCCAAATTTATATCATACTCAATCTGCATCTGGAAATTTAGAAACCCGATTTTCTACAACTGCAAACCGTCCAAGAAAGAAAACAATTTCCAATACATTAGGTAGTGCGGGATCTGTCAATTCAAGTTATTCAGCATCAACTACCCCAATCCAAATGGCTTCTCAATCGCTGCAGCAATCATTGCAACCACAACAACAACCACTTCCTCCACATACCCCTCCTTATACCAATACTACACTGAAGACACCATCTCCCAAACCTATACCATCTTCAGGATATATTAGTGGTTTGGCAAATACCAATTCACCTTCCAAGTCAATGAAAGCCTTACAATACAACACAAATCCATTATTACAGCCTATAAATTTCAAAGCACCTTCAGGAGATCAAAACATGTCAATCAATGTGACTACTACGGAAGCACCCACTGTCGCATCTAACGGGAGCGGGTTAGCCACATCTAGCGTAAGTGGTGGAACATCAGAACCTTCATCCACAACCAAAAAGAAGAGGTCACGCCCTGGACTTCATATTCAAATGCCTACGCCATCTAGTACTCTCAGTAATTTATCTGCATTGACAAATAATGAATTTGAAAACCAACAGGGTACAGATAGTAACGTGAATCAATTCGGGATTAATCCATTACAGGCAACGTATTCACAAATGACTATGACTCCTGTGGCCGAGAAGGATGCTGCGAGTCTCCCATCTGTTGGTGAATTCCATGACTCTGAAACCACCACATCGCTGATGGCACCTGCTAGAGAAAGAACGGAGTCTATTTCATCTACGTCTCTGAGATATTATGGAGGATTGCAACCCAAAAAGTTGGGTTCCACAGTTGCCTCAAATCCAATATTTCCAACTAGAAGCACATCAATTAGTGCATCTCCAATTAATGTCAAGCAACCACTACGATTTCCTGCAATTCCTGCGATCAATAGTGACTTCTTTAACGATTCTACACCAAAGCAAAAATTAGTTAATGAGTTAGATTCAATGATCAAGTTGTTTACTCAAGGATTAGAAGCTTTGGAAGATAACATCTAAATAAAATATTATAGTCGCTCATACAGCTGGATCTGGTATATAGATTTTGAATACAAGAATTGGTCACACTAGTCTCTATGTTTTTTTCCATTTTGCAACCTAAAATCATAAAATGGCAACCAAAAAAAAAAACAAATACGAAAAAACGAAAAGCTACTCCATTACGTATTTTTTCCTGTATATGGTTAGCGGCTCTCTTATTTTTATTTTGTTTTCATATTGAAATTCATAAATGTTCAAACTGTATTTGATAGAGAGAAAGAGATAGAATTATATAGATGGCACCTCGGATCCGTAGACGTATCACGAACGCCAAGAGGGAGGAGATCGAGAAACAGGAAAAGGAGATTTCTCTGGCCATTGTTAGACCTTTTGAAATCCTTTCAAACTTGCCAGTATCTTTCAATCCTCCACCCAACGGACATTATGAAGATGTACTTAAACAACCATTAACAATCAAGGACACTGGGGTGTTATACAGGTCCCTAATGAAGTCAAGAGAAAACTACATGCAGACTGCACCAATGTTTAAATTATACTGGTTAAAGCTCACTGCACACGCGAAGAAATTACAACAAATGGAACTTGAAAACCGGTCTACAAAGGGCAAAAGCACAGATCCCGTGTTTCAGCGTAAACCAATCTTAGGCACTGAAGTCAGTGCGAGAGATGTCATGGTTAAGCTCTGCGATGCGGCCATAGATCTCGGGCCTCATACGTTTGATATCAGGCTATTTATTGCCAAGGATAAACGATCTGATAAGGATAAAGAGAAACTGAAAGAGGAAATAAAGCGAGAAAAGGAAAAGGAAAAGGAGAGATTAAAACTAGAGAAAGAGAAAGAGAAAGCAAAAGAAAAGGAATCTAGTAAAGGTAAGAATGAGTTGGGGCAGAATAGTATACAATCTCAAATTCTGATGGGTCCACCAACAACCACGCCAAACGCGTCTGCATCTCCAAAGGTACCTACAACATCGCCAGCACCTGATACGCTTTCTTCTACAACAAATAATACCGGACCGAGTGAATCTGGGAAATCGATAGATCCTAAGCAGCAGAGTGAAGTACCACCATCTACTATTCAAGCTCAAAGTCCAAACCCTTTAGGGCAACCGAACGAAAAGAGTCCAGATGTTAAAGATCGCCCCAGTACATTCAAGACCAACGCACAAACAACTGCAGATCCTCTGAATGCACAAGCATCGATAGTAACAGTTAGTCCGAATCCACCTACTGCCTACGGTAAAATAGCAAAAACAAATTCCCCACAATTCCCCCCGAAAACTTCATCTCCATCATCATCTACGTCAAATGTAATTAATTCTTCTGAGAAGATACCCATTGCTTCACCAATAATATCAACGAGTAATTCTTCTCAAATCACAGCCCCAATTGCTTCGGCACAGACCCCAACACCTAGCTCGAATGACAGTCAATCAATGACGCAGACACCATCCACCACTACACCTGCCTCTCGCTCACAGGTTGAACCTGCGGCATTATCTTCGAATCCAGCCCAACAGTATTTACAACCATCATCTTCTAGTCAAACTTCTACAGAGCAAGAGAAGTCTTCCCCTTCTGTTAATCCTCAACCCACTACATCTTCTCGCCCACAAATTAACCAGAGACAGTCTCTTCCAGGTCAATATACACAGAGCCATTCTCTGGCTGATGGATCTCCTGGTTTGTCCGTCTCTACATCTCAAACAAGCACTACTCAAGGAACTAATGGACAAGTACCTCCCCTCAAACCATTCTCTGCTCAAGTAAATAGTACACAGGGCCAACAAACTCCAACGTACACATCGCAAAGTACAACTACTCCAATTCAAGGACTGGTACCAGGGGGATATTCTCTGCATAGTACTGCTACCAATAGCACGCAATCTCTGGGTCCTTTTGGTCAACAAGTTCCAGCCCCTCAAGGTTACCCACCACGGGGTCCGCAAATTCAAGGACAAAATATACAGGGTACACCAGGTCAAGGTTCTTTGGTTCAAGGTCCTCTTATTCAAGGAACCCCAGTTCAGAGTCTTTCCCTTCAAGGACCCCCCGTCCAGGGACCTGCCCGTCAAGGACCACCTATCCAAGGACCACCTGTTCAAGGACCACCTGTTCAAGGACCATCAAATGCCCCTCCTCCTAGGAGTGATCCTAATAATATGCAATCAGCCGAGAATACTATCATGATTGCGAACTTGAATGCAATTGCTAGAGTTGATCAATCTCTTAACTCTTTGATGAAAATTGTTGCACTGGGAGCCGCGTCACCACAGCAGATCATCCGATTTCAAGGATATATTCAACGTGCAAGAGAGATGGGTCCACAACCACATCATTCACAGCTTCTCAATATGAGGCGACCAGCTCCACCACCTCAACCAAAGAAGCCTCCAAAGGAAAAGAGAACTTACAACACAAAAAAGCTGAGTGTTGCCAAAGAACTTAAATTGACTGCATTCCAAGAGAAATATCTCAATAATGCAACAATTTTGTTTGAATTTGTGGATAACCCTAATGTAAGGTACGCTTTACCTAAGGATGTTATTTGCGAGGTCACCAAGGAACCCAAGCCTCCTGTTGATGAAGATGACGAGCAAGAAACTGACATACTCTTAAGTTTCATATGGATTCACAATCTGATAGAAGTGGAGAAATATGAGGAACAACTTGCCAAATACGAGGCAGCCGTTAAAGAGCGCGAAGAAGCAGAAGAGGCAAAACGTAAAAAGGAAGAAGAAGATGCTAAAAAAGAAAAAGAAGAAGAAGAAGAAGCAAGAAGAAAAGCACAAGAAGATCTCGAAAAGAATAAAGAAGGAGAATCTGTCGAAAATAATGAAGTTAAAAAGGAGGAGGTTGAAGAAGTTGAGAAGCTGACTCCAAATTTAAGAGCTAGTCGTACCAAAAGAAAGGCTGCACCACCACCAAAGAAACCTAAACCTCTCAAAAAGCTTGTACCCCCTACTGAGCCTGACATTAAATTCACTTGCATGAGTTTCTCTATAAGAAATGTCCCAGGAAGGTTTGTCCCAATTCTTTTAAATAGTGCAAAACCATTGGAGAGTGTTCAGAAAAACATGTCCAACATTATCGCCAAGGGAACCCCGATGTCCAACTATTATTTATGGTATCAAGTTGACGGGAAGCAAGATGAGGCGTTGGCCGAATCGCTTAGAGTTGAGTTGAACCAAGAAGAAAAGAAAATGAATGGTGTTGTATATACTTCCAGTTCAGCTGCTGATGAAGCTAATATCAAAAAGAGAAAGCAAAAGGAAGAAAAGGAAGAAAAGCAACGTTTGAAAAAAATGAAGAAGATGGAGCAATTAAAACAGAAAAGTGCTTTGAAATTGGAACCTGGATCTAGTGATGGTACTCCAGTTGCTACTGATAAAAATGATACCACTACAAGTGAACAAAGCCTTGCTAATGGAAAGGCCCCTAGCACAGAACCTTCACCTGCATCTGCAGAAGTAACAAGGGAAACAAACGGAACCAGTGAGAGTGGTAAACCAGAAGAAACCTCATCACTGGTTATGACATCAAACCCTCAGACTGATCTATTAAGTCAGCTGTCTACTCCACAACCATTTATTACCCCATCGCCTCAAATCGACACACCAAAAAAGGAGGAGGTACAATCAGAGTCAGTTCAAGATTTACACCCCGAGACTCAATCCCCAAAAATAGATCAACAACCAAAGGATGTTGAACCAAAGGATATTGAACCAAAGGATATTGAACCAAAACTTGAACAAGGTGATTCTACTATATAGATAGCTACCTCATTTTTCGATTAATTTATAGAATATCTATTTTAAATTTATACACTTTTACGAAGTAATGATATTTATATACACGGGGGAAAATTGTAAACTTTAATGACTAATCAAGTTCATCAAGTTACGCAAAGCAATGCTGTCTCTTCCATTTCTTTCAGAAGCACTACCAAAGTTTGGATTAGATGGTTGGTAATTCGATCTATCGAGTGAAGTATCTTCAGCACCAGTTTTTTGTAACCAAGAACCGACCTTGACACCGTCAACATACATTCTAACACCACCTTTAGGAGTAAGTTCAGCTTCAGTGATCTTGAATGGCATGACAAATTGACGTTGATGCTTTCCTGGGTAACTCTTGGAGTAGTTACTTTGTAAGATAGTAGTACGATCATTTGACTTGGCGACGAAACCACCAATAGCAGCTTCTCTTTCGTTGACCATTCTACCAGGAACAATAGCTCCATACTTCACACCGTTTGGAGTATTGTTGAATCTACCCTTGAGCATATAGGAGAAACCTGCAGTCCCTTGAACATCAGCTGCTGGAGCATGGTTAGATCTCTTACCCAATTTTCTAGAAAAATCCATTAAGGAGATTTCATACTTTGCAATTTTATCAGCAGGAGCAGACTTTAAGAACTCTCTCAAATTCTTTAAAACTAATGAAGGGTTTGAGGAAGTTAAAGCTTGTGGGTTGTTGTTTAAAAGCCAAGTTTGGAAAGATTTGTACATGTCAGGGTTACTCTTGATGAGACGCTTGACGTCGGAGACAGTGGCTCTATCGCTCAAGTTCAATGCGGACAAGAGGTTTTCAGAACTCAAGAGACCGGTATGGTTACTCTTGGTTGATGGAGATGGGAACAAAGGGTTTGTTTCAGTGAAATAATTCTTGACGGTTGCACCAGTTTCTTGAAACTTAAGTCTGTTATAGTATGCACCGGAGTATTTTTCAACATCAGGCATGTTTTTCTTGTTGTCTATGTCATTGAAAACAATGTGTGAATCACCAATTTTCTTTGGTAAGTAACTCTTAATACCAAAATTGGATCTAATAGCACTTGACTTTGGAGTGTAAATAATTTGGTGAGTTGGAGAATGGGTGTTTTGTCTCAACTTTGGCTTCAAAGGAGTGGCAACTTGGGCCAACTTCGAGTTCTTGAACAACTTGTATAACTCCTGATTATTCATGCTGGGCCACGATTCTCCTTATTCGGTCTGAAAGGTTGATAAGTTAATTCAATCAACTTTGAGTATGGATGTTGAAATTTTTGGATGTCTCAAAACGTACACAAAACTAAAAAAAAATAAAAATAATCAGGGCCAAAAAAAAAAAATAAAAAAAGATTGGTTAGGTAAAATAAAAAAAAATAATAATTGGAGAACTTGGATCTTTAAAAAGATAAATCAGGATTATGGAGAACAATGTCACTAATGACATTAAATATTTGTACAAATAGTTTGGTTGTAAAAAAAATTGTCTATCGATATTAATTCTAATTTACATTTCTGATTGTATACTTTTTGAATCAACTGGCATAAGAAAAACTTATTCCAATTCTGTTCATTTCTGGTGCATATGTGTGATGATTATAAGAAAGTTGCACCCCAGTGCTGACCAAAAAATCTTTAAAACGACCTTCCCATAATAATTTAAGTACTTTATCGTTTACACTGGTAGATATTTTCAAGACACTTGCAAAATCACTTTCGTTAACAAGATTTTTAAATTCTGTCATGACACTTTGATTATATTGATCTGGTGTATTTAATTCTTTCCTCTGAATCTTCTCATCCATAGACTCATGTTCATGTTTACTAGGAAGTAGTGTAGGATTTATATGATAGTAATTATCAAAGTTTTGGATTGGATTCATGATTTGTGGGTTTTCCTTATATGAAATTGGACCTATTGGTATAGATGGTTGTGGCTGAGAAGGTGAATTCAGTTGTGATTGTGATGATTCTTGTCGTATCTTAGATCTCATTAATTCATTTGAAAATTCTTTATGATATCTAGGATTACTATAATTATACAATTCAAATCCCAATGATAAGTTACTGGCATATGAAAACCAATTAAAATCATATTTAGAACAAAAAGTTGAAGATACACTTGTTTTGACAGTATAAGTTGACGAGATATGACCCAAGATCGGGTTACATGCAAGTGTCATAGTTAAAGGTTTCCCCGTAGATGTAGATCTTGTAGAATATCTAAAAGCAGTAGATAATCCAGGACTAGTGCTCAAAACGGCGTACCAAACTTCAGTGCCAATAGACATGACAGAATTATCAAATTTAGGCATAAGTTGATTGCCACCATTAGAATTATTATTAGTGTTAGTAGTAGAATTATTCCCAAGATTATATAAACATCTAAATCCAAATAATGATTCATTTGTTGAAAAAATGAATTCTCTCAGAAATCTTGGAGTATTTTTCTGTAAATAAACAATCATGGTACCACTTTTATTCAAATATGGGTTACTAATACATTTAATCAATAATTGAGTTTGAGTTGAAATTCTTTTTATTATCATTGCCTCCAAAGCTGAACCCGGGAAATACATTCTTCCATAAAGTAATGAACTTTTTGTACTTAATGGATTTGAATTTATTTTCGAATGTTCATTATTTGGTTCTATAATCTTGAATCCAGAGATAGCATCTTGTAATGAAACATCCTTTGTACCCATGGTATTCTTCAATGGTAATGAAGAATATAAATATGCTAGAGATCCATTTATTGAATGATGATTGGAAAGGGTAAAACTTGAAGCCAGAAATGCAGTGGCCTTGGAGGAAACATCAAGCTTCACTCCATTGGGGATATTGAACTCTAAAAGAGCTTGTGATGTGGCCGTGATATTGGAGAAGATGTTATCTTCATTCCAATTTGTTGAATTGTAGAAACACTTTTGTAAGTATTCCATATATGTATACATTTAGAATTGATATAGTAAAATCAATATGATGTAAAGGATAAATTTAATTAGCGTACATATATGTAAGTACTAATATGTATTATTGTTAATATTATTATGATAAGTATGATTGATCTACACTTTAAGGTTGTTTATAAGTCCTGTGTTATTTTTTATATATAGTCCCCACCACTATGCAGTCCTTGGATTATAAGTTCTTTAAATCATCCAAATTCTCAACTAATGCATCAATACCTGGGAATACATCTCTGAATAATTCAGCTTTTTCTGTGACTGAGAGTTTTTTAGCCAGAGATGTTGTACTATAATCGAAATTAACCTCATTTTCGTCAACCAAATAGAAAAGTAAAAATTCAATTAATTTAAAATTTAAATCTTGTTGATTTTTAATGAGATTGGAAGACATAACTCCACCAACTGTAGCTTTTTTGTTTGGAGATGATAATTCTTGCAAGTTTAATTTTTGTATAACTATAGGACATCCATCACAACTTTCAAAAGTTCTAAAATTATTTAAATTTTTCAATAAGATATGAACTAATGTTGAAATGAATGATATGATAACATTAAATGAGGTTGATTGATTTTCTGATTGTTCTTGTTCATTTATAAAATGTAATATCAATTTCATATTTTCCTTTCTAGAAAATAATTTCCTTGATGGTGGATGTATGAGTAAAAGCCCTTGTAATAGTCGATTACATGTTAATAATATTTGAGTTGTTTCAGGATTGTTTGAAGATTGCTCTTGTTTCAGTAATGTTTTATATATTTGGAGCAACAGGGATGTTACATTGTATTCAAATGAGTCTTGAAGGGCTATAAATCGTACAAGTGGACTTTCTGGATTTATTGTGCTTCCAACCTTTTGTTGCTTTTGTAAATATGGTACCAACAGTCCAAGTAATTTATCCAATTGCTCTATCCCTTGTTTATTTCTTGATGATAGTTCAATCTTTCTACTTATCGAAGACGTTTCATAAGGTGCCTCTAAACTCTCAATAATATCAAGAAGTCCTTCTTCACTATCCATGTTGTATATTAATCTGTACTACTCTGAGGTTTGTTGTAGATTTATTTAAATTTTTTTTTTTTGCTTGCTTTTTCTTTGCCAGAGTGTAAGCAACACTCCCCACAAAACATAAATATTCAACCTGCAGATGTTGAGGTTACATTTGAGAATTTTGAAATGGATATAATTCTTTTGTGTCTTTTATCTGAAGGGAGGTCGTGTAACCATGTCACAAAAGTTCAGCCTCTTCTGTCAATATTCCCAACTTTCTTTAGATAGTATGTCAAGTTGTGCGAGACAAAAATACCAAAAAAAGATAATAAAAAAAATACAGCATACACTAGCTAACACTACTCCTATTTGCATTTCATTTAAACACACAAAAAAAAAAGGAGATTATCTAGTGCATGTGTGTGTAAATGTATTGAAGAATTAGTATATTTATAAATATAGTGCCTGTTATTCACTTTTTACTGTCCATTACTCATATTTGTTTCTATTTTGTCTTTGATTTGATCAGAATAATCTAAACGAGTGTAAGTACAAAGCAACAATAAGAATTTGAATTAAACAAATTATCCATTTGAATTTGATATAGAACGGGGCTTTTTGGACTCATTTTTTGCTATTTACCAATCTTGTATACTTAAAGACAGTTGCAGATTCAAATGTCAGCCACCGTGTCACAATTTGAAGGATCTACTTCTGCCATCATATTAGGATGTACTGTTGCAGTGGTATCATCTGCTATACAATCATTAGGTATCACCCTTCAAAGGAAATCACATTTAATGACACATTCTAATCTACCAAATCATCATCATCATCAAAAATATAAAAGAAACATGTGGTTGTTTGGATTCTGTCTATTTATAGTTGCCAATATTTTTGGATCTTTAATTCAAATTACGACCCTTCCTCTCATTATATTATCACCATTACAGAGTATTGGACTTATTTTCAACTCTATATTGAGTTGTCTCTTATTACCAGGTGAAAAATTTACCCAGAAATTAGGATGGGGGACCATTATCATATCTATTGGTGCATTTATAATTGCATATCAAGGAGGTGTTGAACCAAATGAATCTCCAGATCGTGAAAATTTTGATAAAGTTCTTTCACAATTACTTCGAAAATCATTTATATGTTGGTTTATTGCAACATTTTTATTGATTGGAATTTTATTACTTGTTAATTATTTCATATCTAAAAGAAGAATGTTTTTAAAGCAAAAGAGAGATTTTTCTACTCAATTAAATCTGAGTAGAATGAATTTAAAATATCAAAGAATTTTGAATAGATATCAGTTTTTAAAGGGAGTTAATTATGGAATCATTTCCGGTACTCTTACTGCTCACACATTTCTTTTTGCAAAATCATTAATTGATGTTATCATTGCTGCCATATTAGATTCTCAACATAAATCACTTCATAAATTATTTACTACAGCAAATCTTACTCCATATCTACTCCTTGTGATTATGTTGATGATTATTTGTTGTCAATTAACCGCTTTTAATTTAGGATTATCCCAAATCCTGACGGGGATATTATATCCCTTATGCTTTTTGGTATACAATCTTATGAATTTAATTAATGATTTGACTTTCAACTCTTTAATCTCAGATGGGAAAATGAGTCTAAGTCAATTAGGTTGGGTTATTATTGGATTAAGTGGTGTTTTATTTGGAGTGGTTTTGATTAGTTGGGATAGTGCATTTGGAAAAGATACAATGTCAGGAAAATTGCAATTTCAATCTAATTCTGATGAAATATTATTACATCTGAAATTCCCTTATACAAACAATAATGAAACAATTTTAACGACGACAGATCAACCTTATTGTGATGAACCAATCCCGATCAATGCATCTGCTTCTGTTAGTCTCGAAACAATGAATGATTCAACCATTCCTGAACTGCCAAGCTCACTTTGTGGATCTCCAGAGAGCAGGACCTCTTTGGATATAAATAAATCTAGAAATCATACATTTGTCGGTCCTAAAAGAATACTATCTTTTGAACAAAACCAATTATTAAACTTATTAGATATATAAGAATCATATAAATAGTCTCATAAACATTATATTTTACCCCAAACTGGAAGTGGGATTGGATTAGCATTGAAATATGAATTTTGTTTGGTTGCGGTACCAGCAAATGCGTTATACCAACCACAACATGCAGATATAACTGCCATAATACCACCAGCTTTAACAATTTTAGGATTTCCAGTAAAATTGCCAGCAGCTAAAAGGATAAAGGTTAAATCTAAAGTAAGGAATAAACCTAAGAACATAACGGTTGATTTAAGACAACATAAAACCAATAAGAATGTGAAAATTGACCAACCAACCAAGAAAAATCCAACTGCATTTGCCATTTGTTCTGGTTCATCTTTATAGGCTGCTTGTATACCAAAACTTTCAACATATATACTTCCAAATGCAAACCAAAATGGTCCATAACTTGCCAAGGCAGTTCCAGCGAAAACGTTACCAATTGCCAATTCCCAAACACCAGCAAGAAATTGTACTATACCTCCATAGAAAAATGTAAGTCCAATAACCATATTTGGAATCTTGATTCCCATAGCACCAGCATAATATAACCCCAATACAAACGTAGTCATGGCAAACGATGATAACCCCATAGCAGCAGCATTGGCAAATTGATGCTTAGGATAAGGAGCATATCTTTCGGCTGTAAGGGTACCACCAAAGGCAGTTTGAAGTTCATTCTTATAATATTTCTTTCCTCCCAAAATTATAAACTCACCATCATGTTGAATACTTGCAACAGAATGCTCTGCTGAAACCTTATCAATAATAGATTGTGAACCAGAAGACATGTTGTTTAATTCCCTATTTTTATATTGCAATAGTTGTTAGACCAGCTAATTTGTGATTGAATGAAATAAATGGAAATTTTTAACAAAATTTTAATTGAAGTTAATGGAACTTCAAATAGTACTGATATCTCAGGAATAGTTGCAAAATGATATTGTTTGTACTTGGAAATAAGAAAAAACGAAGAGATTGGGAATATGAGATAAAATACATTGTTTTTAAACTAAATGGATGTATTAGGATTCACTGTTGAGGGGCTGTGGGTCAGCAGGTGGGGTTGCAGAATTCTTTGTGATCGTTTAATGAACAACCCCCATACATTTAGAAACACCCCACATTCATGATGATGCCACCTGAGTGCGCAATTTCGGACTTAAGTTTTTTTGGGAAAATGCCGACAATTATCTTTTTTACTTTTGTAAATCATTGAATTGTTTTGGATAATATTTTGTAAATGTAAGCCTCTTAAAGGTTGACCATCTGTCTGTAATATATCTATTGGAATAATAATTCCTTTCTGGTACTACAACTACTATTACAGTTGTTTAATTCATGTTACATTATATTATATCCTGCATGTTACACTGCCTTTTATTTTCAGATTTTATTTTATTTTTTTCGGTTTCTTTTTTTTCAACACTTTCATCATTTTAATTCCTCTAAACTCCTAAATCCAGTGGGGAAAAAGGAGTTAAATGTCAATTATTCTATACTTTAACTCCATGCACCTGATTATTATTATTATTGTTCTTCGGTCTTTTGTTCATTCATTGTTTAATGAACAAAAACATTCCCTTCTCAAAGTAATAAATTTATTATTGCCTCTCCTCTTTTTGTTGTCTATCCTTAATTATTGTTTTTTTTTTATTGCTTATGTCTATTTACCTGTATATAAAAATCATATAGATGGGGAATCTCTGTATAGTACTAACCTTGAGATATGGATATTACTTTATCGATAGAGTATGTCCAAAGTTAATAAGAACCCGGTGGTGACCAGCTATAGGTCTGTACAGGACTTGCTAACACTTAAAGAATGGTTATATAATTTCAATGAGACTTTGGATAATAGACATCGAGGAATACAAAGAATTAAAGCCTTAGGTAGTAGAGGAAGACTTCCACATGCAGTGGAAATCACGGCATTATTAACATCAGTAACACTTTCAGATCCTCATGATAAGGGTAACTTTACTAAACAATATGATGCAAATATCTTACAATTATCATATACTATGGCATTAATTCGATTTGTTAATGGACTTCTTGATCCATTTCAACAATCTAATTTTGCTATACCACTTCATCAATTAGCACGTAATCTTAAGTTGCCCAGTTTATTTGTAGAATTGAGACATATGGGAACTCATGAAGCTTTACCAAACCTTGATATTTTAAGAATAGCCAAGGATAAGGCCATGAACTGGTTATTTGACAACTACTGGTTGACTTTAAATGAAAACTTAGGTTATGATGATGAAGAAGGAGATGATGAAGAAGGATCAAATAATGAAATTGGTCCTGTTGAAGGGAAACTTTCTGAAAAGGATGAAAAATATGTTCTGAAAGAATATAATAAACTTGCAGAAGTATGTGATAAAATTATTTCTGGATTGAAAACTTTTAAAAAAATAAGGAAACAAGATCTTGATAAAGATTATAAATATGGGAATACCACTGAAATAGGTTCAAAATATTGGAAAGCCATTAAGAGTATTAAATACTTTTATGAGGATGATAAAAACACTCTACAAATCGTTCAAACTCTCATGTATAAGAACTTTTTGATTTATAATTTTGATAAATTAGACACAACCAAGAAACCAACCAAAAAGCTCAACTCACTTCTCATAAAGCTCTACAAGCCGTTACTTGATGAATTTGGTATAAGGTTCAAAGTCCTTCTCTTATTCAGTATTTTTTATACCTTGAATCATAATGAAGGTGATTCTCCTGAAGTTGATTTGGATACATTAGTGAATTATAGAATTGGTTTCACCATTCGTCATCCTGATGAAATAACACAATTATTGGATTGGACTAAATATTTAATGGAAGATTTAATTTCATATGAGCCAAAGTTCAGTTTCACCACTATGCGTGGAAGAGTTATTGATTCAAGAGTGGATATAATAGAAACTTTATTAAATGATATACCATCTGTGGTAAATTCAAAACGATTAGAAGTTCTTATAGCACTTGAAACTTCATTCATAAAATCCAATTTACAAAATGATACAATAAAACATCAGATAAAAGAAGCTATAACAAATATGAAGAGAGAATTAAAGATTAAAAATTTTGCACCACCTCCATCTTTGGATGATATACTTGGTTTGGAATCGTCATCTGACCAGCAAGATGAACCATCACAACTCAAGCGAAAACAATCAGAGGTAGACGATGATGTTAAAAGATATAAATCAGACGATAAAGTAAATTCTTTGCCGTCAACTTGTTATCTTTTCGAACCTGCCAAAGATTGGCAACCAACTGCATTTGGGACATTTACATAATTTGAATTTTAAAAATACTTCCTATCGATTTGATGATGGGAGTGGCATTTCACTAATTAAGAATTTTCTCAAATCATTGTAGGTTTCTTTAAAGGTTGGGAACATTTCTTGTAGAAAAGTATCCTTAACCTCAGTCATTGAAGTTTTAAATGCTGGTAGTAGATCATCTTTGATTGTAGATTTGACTTCGTTATATGTATTATTGATTGTGGGTAGGACTTCTTCTTTGCAATCAGTCCAGCCCAGCTCTAATTCTAATTGAACTTTTTTATATTCCATAATCACTTCATATTGAAGAGTTTCTAATCTTTTAAGAATTAAAACAAATCCATTTAATGAGTTATGTTGTTCATCTTGGAAATCTATTGTGCTATCTCTTGGTATGTCATATCCATCAAGGGGTACATTGGGGAGTCTTGTTGGCTCGAAATGAGTATTATCATGAGATTCAATGTCATCTATCCTAGATTCATCATGTAGAATTATCTTTATGGAATAATTTTGAGAAGGAATTTCATTAGGTGGTGAGATCAACATAACTGCCTTGGTATTTGAATTAAGGGATATATTTCTTTGTGGTCTATACAGAAAGGAGTAATATATTCCTATTCTCGATAGGCCGAGGTTATCCAAGTTTATTTCAACAACTAATTTAAGAGGGGAAGAGGTGGACTTATTCAGGTACAAAAAGAGAAATTTTTTTTTGAAATAGGAATATTATGTGGCACAACTTGCAACAATGCATTAAATGACCGCAAGCGATGAAATCAAAGGGGGTAGTTGGTGTTAGTTTTCTATTATATAATCTTGCAGAGAAATCTACTTTTATTATACGATACAAAAAATTTATAAAATCTGAGCAACAGTAGATATATATATACACCATTCTATTTGCTACATATCTTAAAAGAGGTGAGATATGTAGAGTATAGCTACGTAAGTCTACTATCATACAATTTGTTTGCCGCTATTATTTTTTGGCTTGGATGCAAACTACTCAGGTCCAAATTTAGCAAGACTGGTCTTAAACATAGGGAACAATCCATCTGCAGGATCCTGATTGTGGCGTGCACATATGTCTGTTATCTACAATCTATGATACAATCAAAGATTAAATACTACATTCTATAACGAAATATAATACATACAATAGGGAGAAATTTGGTTAAGTGGGATTTCTAGATTATTGTAGGCTGGTCCCAATAAATATATACAGTTGCTATTTTCCCTTTCCAACCCCTTTAAGAACATGAGTCCTCAGTGGATTCCACAAAATATACAAAAACGACTTCTTCTATATGTGCTCCATCAATTATCTTTGTTTCTGGAGATTGACTTACCAAATCTTGAGGAGGTTTCCTTAAACAATATACTTCTAAGAGATGTTCTGATTGACCCAGAGAAGGTTGGGAAACTTTCAGGATGGAATTTAAGGTATGGTCAAGTTGGCCAGCTTGAATTGAATGGAGGCGTTATGGGGGGTGTTAATATAGATGCTACCAATGTGGAGTTGGTAATAGCCCCCGATCTAGACACTCTGAGTGGGTCCAAGGGCTCTACCCAGTCCAAATTTCTGATTGCCCAAAGCACAGCTGATCTAGCCAACACCGTCATGTTTGATGGTGATCTTGAAGGAGATGGTGCGGAATCAGCAACTGGTCTGGAGCAAGATGATTCTGTCCTGAGTCTAGGAAGCTCAGAAGAATCTACATCGACATCGTCATCCAAACCTTCTGCTCTTGGTGGTGTCATGGCTAAGGCTGTAGAGATTGCCTTGCTGAGACTTCAAGTGAGAATTAAAAAATTCCTGATAAAAATTGTATCGGAAATGACTGATATATTAATTGAAGTTGATGAAATATTTGTGAAAACAAACAATGGAACAAGAAACATTTCAATTTCTGGAATAAAAGTCTTATCATTAAATCAAGATGTGAATCCTGGATCAAATCTGAGTGAATCACCCTATGAAGTACCCACAGTTGGAGAACTGGATGAAGAAGAAAACGAAGGAGACTACGATGAAGATGATGATGGGTATGGAGATGAATCATTGATGGATAGCATGGTTTTCACACACGAAGAAGCCAGCTCGATTTATATGAGTGCCAATTCAGAATCATTCGCAAAAGATGGAACGAAAAAGCCTGCCCTTGCAAATAATACACCACCAGTAGTGTTCTATATTGATGAAATTCATTTGAATTTTGAAGGATTGACTAATATATCCAATCTTGAAATCTCTGTAGGTGAACTCAAAGTTGCATTGGTACCGCTATTCCCAACAGTGATATCTATACTCTCGAATATAACAAGAGCTCTCAAATTAAAAACACATCAACGGAAAAAGGAAAGTCTTAACCTTAGAAAGAAATCAAGATTCCCTCAATATGATGCTGATGATGAGGACTTTCAAAGTGAAGGACAAGAAACGACTCCTGGGGCAGGGCAAAGTGCAGGAACCCAACACCTGCAAGTGCCTGACGATGAACCAAGTTTTAAGAAACTTCATGTTCGTGCTATCGTATTGAGTTTAACATCCGCATTATTGGCAAATGGTGAATTTGCATCTACGAACTCACTCACAAATATTACTTTGAAAAATGTACATGTAAAGCAAAAAAGCCATACATTGACTTATGGTGGCATAGAATCGCTTAGTATTACTCAATATATTGATGGTAAGTTGGTTGAGATATTAAAGTTTGTTCAAGCTTCAGCAGATCAGCTGCTTCCTGTCACCAGTGTCTCACCAACTCCGGAACTGACTCCAGCTCCTACAGCCCAATCAAAGGCAGATATTCGATTTGAACTTTTCACAAACGAAGAAACACAAGATACGGAATTTACACTCCTATGCTCCAAATCTTTGAAAGTCAATATATCCAAGGACAATTTGCCTTTATTGATTAACTTGGGTGCGTCCATAATGTCTACATTTGAACATATGTCATCACTACGGGCGACTATGGATGTACGAAAGAAAACTTCCATGATACCATCCCCCAAGGACCCAAAAATTGAAGCTAATGGATCCACTGTTGGTAAATTTAACACCATATTCCAAACAGCATTGATTGAATTGAATATAAAATTAATGGATATTAATGTCAAGACTATCATTATGCCTATCTCGTACAAACTGGCTCAACATTATGTGAGCGTAAGAAAGGTATTGATCGATTATATTGAGAATCAGCAAGAGCATCGGATTGTTACACTTTCTAATATAAGATTGACTACAAAGTTGAAAGAATTTCGATCATATATATCAAGATCTGGAACAAACGACAGGTATCCAAAGTCTATTTCCTTAACTTCTTCCTTGATATTAACAATTCCACAGATAGATGTCAGCATTCTGATGAAGAAACTTAAAAAGGTCCTATCGAACGTTAAATTGTTCTCTTCGTGCCTTGAGGGTCTTTCTTCAGCAGTAAATTCACTGGAGAATTATTTTAAATCCTCTACCTCATTTGCATTCAATGGAAATCAAAACTCTACTCAACTGAGTACATCAGTATCTCAATACTCAACGTATTCGAATCAAAGAAGACCGAGAAGATCTAACTTAGTAAACTCTTCGCACAACCTCTCCATGCATCATAAAGTTTCCTTCAGAATTGCTGTTAATGGCATATCAGTTCACATACTGGATGTTTTCCCCAAATTTGGTGCTTTAAATACTGAATTTGAAAAGGTTTCATTTGATTTTTATCTGGGAGGGGATATTAAAGGTTCGATTCATTCCGTTTCACAAAATAGAGTATTTGGTGAGACGGTGGACTCCTTCCTTCGTGAATTTCCAGAAAATACTACCCATAGTCAGCCATTGATTTTATTATCCATTAAACGTAATGAAAGGGCCACTATTGTTGAAACTCATTTGAGAAACTTGTGCATCGAATATTATACATTATGGTTGCAGCTAATTGAAAATCAAGTACATGAGCAACCTCCTGTTGATGTATTCATTGACGCACTTCCACATACAGCAGTAAAAACTGAGTCTAATAATTCTTCTACAAGGGTGCAGAAAAAATTTGAAGTCAGATTGATTCTTTATGATCTTGTAATTGGTTTAACTCCCGGTAGATTACCTTGTAAAGGGTATGTTGTTGTTGAAAAGGGAAATTCAGATATTACCATGGTAGAGAATTTATTACTGGTTAAAAAATCATTACGGGGTATTACTTTGTTTCTTATTGATGATGTCAAGAACATGAGACTTGTTAATAATAATAATAATGATAGTGATAATAGAGGTACATATACATATCAAAAGGCAGCGTCCCCCAATTCGATTTCACCAATGGATTGGCTCGTTGATTCTGGTTACTTGCATCTTGGTACTATTAACTGTACTCACGTTGGTATCACCATTAATTCTGACATTGAGGCAATGAAACTAAAAAATCAAAAGTTGGGAATTAAGAATAAATTATCATTAGTTGAAATAAAGATAAACCTGGATGAGCATCAATTACACTTGTGTGCTGATTCCGCACATACTCTACTACAATTTATTAATGATTTGAAGCAACCAATCTTATTCCTGGATGAAGAGAAATACAAAGTGAAGTTGTCAAAGACTGTAAACTTACTTGAAGATGTTGAAGATATGTTTTCGAAAGACTCAATGCATTCTAGTGGACAGTCTCATACTCTGTCGAGTGATCGAATATTGAACATTGTTGATGGTTATTATGATAATTCAGCATTGGGGAGTCAAGCTAGCTCTCTTGTTCAAGATTTAGAAACACTTACATTTGATACAGATGGGAAAGATGGATCTCTGGTCCATTTTGAAGAAAATCATTTCACCACTAATTTATCTCACCTGGATGAAGGGGGTTTTATTCCCCCAGTTCTTATGTATGTGAATGCGTCAAAGACTAATATATATCTATATGATGGGTATGATTGGAAAGACACACGGAAAGAAATTAAAGGGGCAGTGCAGCGTGTTGAAGAGCAAGCAGGTAAGGAAATAGGTGTGGGTAGAAAAGATGTTTCAAAAGATCACATACAACATGTGAAATTTGAGGATGACGACAATACATCAGGAAGTATAGAGAAAAGTCCAGATTTGATCAGCGAGACATTATTTCAATCCATCCATTTATCAATACCAGCAGGTACTATACCTTCTAAATTGACACATAATATCAATAAAAACATGCAGAATGACGATATGAAAGAACAAACACCTACACTGATAGATGAAGGTAATAGCTATAAGAATTTATTATTGCGCCGCTCTAAGTTTCACAAAGTTCTGATAGAATTGAGAAATTTGGATGTGGTTGTGGAAGTATTATCAACTAGAGACCCAAGAAATGAATCAGTTGATGAATCTAAGGAGGTGCAATCAGAAATTGTGAATTCTATAGAAGTTAAGATAGAAAACTTTCAAGTCTTGGATAATGTTCCATCATCAACATGGCATAAATTTGTTAGTTATATGCGAATGGCAGGTGAAAGGGAAATCCTGACTAGTATGCTTAAGTTATCATTGAAAAATGTCAGGCCAAATTGGAATTTGTGTTCTACAGAGGCAATTCTTGATATTAATATTTTGCCCTTGAGATTATATGTTGATCAAGATACTTTAGATTTCCTAACAAGATTTGGAGGTTTCAAAGATTCGAGATTTCACTTACCAATAGATGATATTATTTACATTCAAAAGTTTAGAATTAACAATGTCAAGGTGAAATTGGATTATAAACCGAAAAAGGTGGACTACGCTGGAATAAGATCTGGCCATACATCTGAATTTGTCAATTTTTTTATTCTTGATGGAGCTGAAATAGTTTTGAAAAGTGTTACTCTACATGGAATATTAGGATTTCCAAGTCTTTCTCAACAGTTAAAGAGTATCTGGACACCGGATGTCCAATCTACTCAACTTAGCGGGGTATTAGCTGGGTTGGGCCCAATCAGATCCCTTGTAAACATTGGTTCAGGTATGAAAGACCTCATTGCCATCCCTGTAAAGGAGTACAAAAAAGACGGTAGATTAGTAAGAAGTATACAAAAGGGTGCATTTTCATTTGCTAAAACTACAAGTTCTGAATTATTAAAATTGGGTGTGAAACTTGCTGCTGGTACACAAGTAATTCTTGAACATTCTGAAGAAGCTTTTGGGGGTGAAGGATCTTCAGCTCGATCTCCTCATCCAGATATAATTAAATCTGAAATTGAAAAAGAAGAGGATGATATGTACTACACTAATAATAATGGAGATCAATTGTTTGCAATCAGGGCTCGTAAACCGGTCGAAAATGATTTATTAGCAAGTTCACAACTTTTGAATCAAAGTGTTCAGGCTGATACTTCACATTATGGTGGTAGTCGGAAACTTTATTCGTATGCGGAGATTGATGAATCTACATCAATGGATAGCCATTTACTTCGTAGCTCTGCAATGATGTTAGCACCATTGGAGGAAGGATCTGGTAATCAACAAAGAAAAAATACAGATTTAATGAAAACTAATCTGGCAGATTTAGATTCTGATGAAGGACAGAGAAATGTCAGTTTATATTCAAACCAACCTATAGGTGCACAAGAGGGTCTACAATTTGCCTATGGTAGCATTGGTAGAAACTTTAAGACTGCAAAAGTAGCAGTGATACAAACACGTGATGCGGTTACTGATGCAGCAAGTGTTCCCGAAGCTGCAGTTGTCATCGCAAAAGCCGCACCAGTTATTCTTATTCGTCCCATCATAGGAGCTGCAGAAGCTGTCCTGAAAACTCTTTTAGGGTTTAGTAATCAAATCAACCCTGATCAAAGGCTTGAAAGTGAAGAGAAGTATAAGCCCAATTAGTCTAAAATTTATAGTGAAATAAACTTTTTCAAAATAAACTACAAAATTTCGGTGATCGATAACCGAAAGATAAGTGGAAAAAAATTTTGCGCACGTGACTAGAATATATGACCTTGCAGAAAAAATAATAATAGTCAAAAAAAAAAAGAACTGTAAAAAAATAACGTCAAAAGTCTACTTATTCAAAATAATTAGGAGCGGATAGTATACCAAAGAGACAAAGTGAGGAACTTACAAAATAATGTAAAAGATTAAAATAACTAAAACAGGATCTATTGAATTGTTTCATTTAACCCCTCACAAGACTCTTAAAAAAATGGCCATATTTTTACCCTTTTAGACGTCAGGAAATTTCGTACGGCACACCGAATATGCAGAACTTAGATAACGCCAACGCAAAATTGCAATTGCCCTACAATCGAAAATTTTGTGCAGCACAAATGATGAGGAATGATTAATTCATATATAACAGTAAAAATTCTGCTTCAAATTTTTAAATTATTCTTTTCTTCTCTTTCTTCTCTTTCTTTTTCTCTTTTTCTTTCTCTATGTATACACATTAACATCATAAACAGAACTTTCTCTAAACCTAGGCAATTGCCACGCTTGCTGTAATATAAAATGTCTGAAATTGAAGAAGCTAAAGTTGCCCGTGCTGTTAGTCTTGAAGACGGTTCTGACAAGGTAGTTCCTAAAGATTTGGAAGACTATGTCGACGCTCAAACCACTGACGAAACTGATACCTCCTCTATTTCATACGTGAACCAAATAAAGTCTCGTTTCCCCCATTACAAGTTGGCCATTCATATCTTTTGGGGATGTTTTTTCACTGCTTGGTGGATTTCCATCATCGCTCAGGATAAGCACAGACCTAAATGGTTAATTCCAACCATTTTCTGGGGGATGATGATGGTTAGACTTATCACTTTTCATTCACGTATTTTATATATTTTGCTTGGTTATGTCAAATATGTTTGGGACTATTTCTGTGACATCATTTACACAAAGCTTTTCCCTTCAAGACCAATTCGTTTACTTGTTGGTGGTATTATCACCCTTGCAGTAATTTTAGTTGGTACTTTTGTCCCTTCAGAAACCGAATATTCAAAGAGAGCAGATAGAGCTGTCTCCTTTTTCGGAGTTGTTGTCACCATTGCCGGTCTTTACATTACATCCAACAATAGATCAAAAATTCAATGGAGAACTGTCATTGCTGGTTTATTGATGCAATTTATTATTGCCTTGTTCGTCCTTAGAACCAAGTGTGGTTATGACGTCTTTAACTTTATTTCCACTCTTGCTAGAGAATTACTTGGTTTTGCTAAGGATGGTGTTGCCTTCCTTACAAATGCTGAAGTTTCTGCATACGGGATGTTTTTCTTTGCTGTCTTACCAGCTGTTGCCTTCTTTGTGGCTTTCATTCATATCTTATACTACTTCGGTATCATGCAATGGTGTATCCGTAAGTTTGCATACTTTTTCTTCTGGGCTTTGAAGGTTACTGGTGCTGAAGCTGTCACTGCTGCTGGTTCTCCTTTCCTTGGTATTGGTGAATCTTCTGTTTTGGTTAAGGATTTTATGCCATTCTTAACTAAGGCTGAAATCCATCAAGTCATGTGTTCTGGTTTCTCAACCATTTCTGGTTCTGTTTTAGTTGGTTACATCGGTTTAGGTTTAAACCCACAAGCCATGGTTTCATCTTGTGTTATGTCTATTCCTGCTTCATTGGCCATTTCCAAATTAAGATACCCAGAAACTGAAATTGCTGTCACTTCTTCAAGATGTGAAGTTACTGATAACATTGAAAATGAAGAAAACAAACCGGTTAATGTTCTTCAAGCATTTGCCAATGGTGCCGGTCTTGGTTTAAGAATCGCTGGTTTTATGATGATTCAATGTATGTGTATCATTGCCCTTGTTGCCTTAATCAATGGTGTTTTGACTTGGTTCGGTAAATTTTGGAACATTCATCATTTAACCTTGGAACTTATGCTTTCTTATATTCTTTACCCAGTTTCATTCTTACTTGGTACTCCAAGAAGTGAAATTTTACTCGTTTCTAAATTAATTGCCACCAAGATTATTCAAAATGAATACAACGCTTACTCCATCATGCTTAATGATGCTCCATATAATGAAATGTCAAAGAGAGCGACCATTATTGCCACTTATGCTTTGTGTGGTTTCTCCAACTTGGGTTCCATGGGTATTCAAATTGGTGTCTTGGGTACTTTAGCTCCAAAGAAGGTTAAAGATATTGCATCTGTCATTGTTTCATCCTTAATTTCTGGATTGTTGGCTACTTTGTTGTCAACTGCAATTGCTGCTATGGTCATGCATGACTTGGGTGGATTTGTTGTTTAATTTATACCTTACCTTTATTTGCATTTACAATAATTTTTACAGAATTCGTAGAAAAACATTAATAGGAATAGTCATGGGTTTATTACACACATATCTAGGCTGGGTTTTATAGGATATTTTATAGATTTTTGTTATACTTAATTATTTATTTATTCATATATTTAGTACTTTGTAAAGGTATTTCCCGTTATGTGAAGAATCGTCTAACAATTAAAAAAAAAATCAAAAAAAAAAATGAGTGCGACTTTTTTGATAAGGAGTTCAAATTTCGGTATATGGGTGACACAACATCTTAATACGTTTGACCTATTGCCATCGTAAATAATTGAATTGCTAGAATCATCATAATGGCACCTGACACTGAACAGAAGTCATTACTTCAAGGATGCCTAGCCAATATATCACATCAATCGTCATTGATGAAACAGAGTCTTCTGGAAAATAATCTACTTCAAGCGTTAAAGCATTGTTCGAATTATTTGAATGAACTTAGAACGAGTCAATTGCCTCCTAAGCAATATTATGAGATGTATATGGTGGTCTTTGACTCCTTGGAGACGTTGTCTGCGCATTTATTGGCGTCTCATAACTCCAAAATGAAACGTAGGGCATCTTCCAGTAGTGCCACTCCCTTTCTTGCTGACTTGTATGAATTGGTACAATATTCTGGGAATATTATTCCAAGATTATATATGATGATAGTTGTAGGAACGACCTATATGTCTACTAATGACGCCCCTACTAAGGAGATCATGAAAGATATGATTGAAATGTGTCGTGGTGTCCAACATCCAATTCGAGGACTCTTTTTAAGATATTATCTTTCTCAAAGAATTAAAGATTTATTACCATTATCAAATAAACAAGATCTTGATGAAACAGTTGACTTTTTAATTTCAAATTTTATTGAAATGAATAAATTATGGGTTCGTTTACAACATCAGGGACATTCTTCTGAAAGAGAATTGAGATATCGTGAACGTAGAGAATTGAAGATTTTGGTTGGTTCTAATCTTGTTAGACTTTCACAAATCATTGATGATTATAGTGCTGATGTTTCTTATATTCCAGTGGATTATTATAAGACTAGAATTTTCCCAGTTATCACTGAACAAATCATTCAATGTAGAGATCATTTGGCTCAAAGTTATCTTATTGATGTGATTGTTCAAATCTTCCCAGTAACATTCCATTTTTCTACATTGAAGATGTTACTTAATGATGTATTTCTTAATTTAAATCCACTGTTAAGAAAATCTGAATTGGTTTTAACTTTAGTTGATAGAATTGTGACTTATTATAGATTTGAGTCTGATTTATCAAATGATTTAGAAACGAAAATACAAATTGAAAAAGAAGTTTCTGGAAGTGATCAGGAAAATGATGATAAGAAGAAGGAAGTAGATGGAAATGGAAATGGACAAGAAACGAAGGAAATTGAGAATAAAGACAAGAAAGAAAATGACAAGGAAAATGAAAAGGAAAAGGAATCATTGACGGAAGAACTGATTGAGGAACCAATTGAAGAATCATATGAATTTGATATAAATGATTTATTCTCATTATTTTGGGAATTTTACTTAAAATTGATTGAATTAGATCCAGAATTACCAGCTGAAGAACATTCTACTATGTTGCAAGCATTTATTAAGCTTTCATTGACATATGATCCTAAAAATTATCAAAATTTGGACAAGATTTATGAATTTGCTTCTCAAATGTTACTGAAAAAAGATTCTTCAACCCTGAAAGAATTAGATTCAGAACAACAACAATTATGGTTACTGCTCTTACTTGTTCCTATAGATCATTTCAGTTCTATGAAAGATCTTTTGAATTTGAAACACTTTTATCAATTCTACATTAACTTGAATAGTGCAAAGTTCCAAAAACAAATTTCTTTAGCAATTGTGGATAAATTACTTTCAAGTAGTGTTGACATGGACTCGATTGAATATTATTCTACTGTGGAAGAAATTGATGGGATCTTCCAATTCTTAGTGGTATTAATTAAAGATTCTAATTCTAAACTTAATACTTCGAAAGATTTAGGAATAACTAAATCATTTCAAATTGAAGGTGGTGATAGAATTGTTTCTAAAGATTTCTTGAATATTCAAGAAAAACTATCAAAGATTCTTCATTTGGTACGTCATCCTGATAGTTACAAAAGTTTAAGTAATTTGATTTACATTCGTAAGAAATATTTAAGTAAAAGTCCTACGAATATGATTTTTACTTATCCTACTCTTATCGCACAATTGTTGAATCATTTAAGATTTGCTGGATATTCTAGAACGAAAAATAATGAACAAGATAATTCTGATTTACTTCTTACGAGTAACTTTAAGAATTTATCAGTTACTATTGATGAATTATATCAACATCATCAACAATTTCATCTGGAAATTATTTTAAAATTCTATTTAGATGCAGCAGCGGTTGCTGATCAACTTAAAAAGGAAAGCATTGCGTATGAGTTCTTCACTCAATGTTTCATTGTTTATGAAGAAAATTTAATTCTTAACAGTGCTAGTAATGGTGCAGGTATTCAGAACCCCCATAATACAATGGGTGGATCTATTCCATTCCAGCTGGTTCTTGCAATTGCCAATAAACTTGCATTCCTGAGATATTTCAATAAAGATAATTATGAGAATCTTATTACGAAAGTTACATTATACGGATCTAAATTATTGAAAAAACAAGATCAATGTCGATCTGTATATTATTGTGCACATCTCTGGTGGTGGTGTGATTTATTGATTGAAGGACCATCACCTACTGTAGTGGATGAATCTGCTCAAGATATTAAAGAAGAAGGAGAAAACAGTGTGAAGAAAGAATCACAAACTACTCCTTCACTTTATCGTGATCCTAAAAGAGTATTGGAATGCTTACAGAAATCTCTTCGAGTAGCAGACTCTTGTATGGATCCATTTTTATCACTCAAATTATTCATTGAAATTTTGAATAGATGTCTTATTTTCCATGTATATGGGAATTATCTTGTGGATGCAAAATATATCAATGGACTTATTGACTTGATTAAAACTAATTTAGAGAATTTGAAGTCAGAAAATAGTGATGAAAATGATGAAACAGTATTTTCTACAATTGAATCATTATTCCAAAGATCTTTGTATTATATTGAAGAACAAAAGGCAATGGAAGGTAGATTTCAGGATATTATTATTTAAAAAGAAAAGAAATGAGATCACAATTTATTTTTTAGAATCTTGCAGTCTCATTTCGGACTATGCCGAGCTTTGAAATTGTAAGATTATAGTGAAGTCAGGTGAAGGTTTTTACGAGATTGAGAGACAGAAAAAAAAGGGTGTAGGGAATAATAATTGGGAGTTTGATTATCAAAAAATAAAATATATACATATACTAAAATAAGAATAAATTGTACAGAAGCGTATCTAAACGCAGTGTAATATGTAAGTTCTTTTGATAACGGCCACCGATTAATTAAAATAATTTCGTTATCTGAAAAGTCGGGCGGCTTTTGCCACTACTTTAGGAATTATTGTAACACAATTAGGAATCCAATCCTGCATAATTGGTCACAATACCGGCATCCCGATAACTACACATTACATTGCTTCACTCACAATATATTTTTTAATTTACTATATAAGTAGTTAAAGGGAGGAGTTCACAGTATCGCAAGTATGAAGGCCCACCTTGTGAGAGAAAACTCTATCTGGAATATGATGTTATTTGGCAAGGCAAGGGATGTTGTTGTCACACCAAATCTGCCACAAAGTGCTTTTAAAGATGATAAGAAAGAAAACTATCAAGAAGAGCCTTTAAAATTTGCCAAGGAGTATTATTCTGAGAAAGTGCAACCTTATCAATTTGAACCAAGGAACTCTTCCAGATTCTCCTTGAAAAACAAGATTTTCCTAGTTATTATTGGTGCTTTATTGTACTTTCATTTAAACCCATCGGTATCATTTTTCCATACTTCGAACTTTAGCTCTCTCAATTACATCCAAGATATTGTTGATGATGGAGAACTTGTCTTTGGTGCTTTTAATGCATCTACTCCTAGTGTACCTCCTACTGAAGTTTTCGCAGTGTCATTCCCGCTACTTGAAAACCCAGTGTATGGTACTCCTGTACACTCATCTATCCTTGTGAACCACACTTTTGGTAATTCATGGGGTCATCCTGCAATTGCCAACTACAGTCCACCAGCTGGAGTTAAATTCAATAAGGTCGTATTGACTCTTAATACTTCGGTTACTGGTGTACAATACGATAGATTGGCCAATTTGTTTGTTGGAGGTGCACAAATTTGGAGAACTTCCACTGCTGAACCAGGTGGGAAAGAAGTTTTCTCCTCCTTCAGTAAAGATGTTTCCAAATACTTGAGTTTATTCACCAAGGACTCGAAAGTGGTGTTCCAATTAGACAATTTACTTACTCCAAGATTAACTGGTTCATTTGATGTTCAATTGATTGCCCATTTCTATGATTCTCCAATCATTGTATCTGAAAGTGGTAATGTTAAATCTGTAAGTCCATATGGTAACGGAACCAAGTATGATTTACTTTCTCATACTCAACCTGCCTCTTCTGTCTTCCCATTGATTTCTCTGGGATCTAATTCTGGTAAACCTCCTTTGGCTTACTTACCTTCAGATAAGATTCACGTCAATTTGCCAACATTCTCTCAAAATACAACTAGATTGACATTATCTGTGTTTGTGTCTGGTAACTCTGCCGAAGAGTTTTGGTATACTGATGTTTTGGAACAATATACCCATCGTTTCGATCAATATGGAAAGACTTTATTGGGACACGGACCTGTCCGTATAGTCAACATTTTTTTCAATGGAGAAAAGATTGCTACTCAATCTCCACAACCATTTATTTTCACTGGAGGTATTTCACCTGCATTATGGTCACCAACCGTTGCCATCGATGCATTTGATTTACCAAGCATTGAAGTTGATCTCACGGCATTGTTGCCACTTCTTTGGGAAAACCAAAGCGTAGAAGATAGATTTATTGAAATTGAAGTCAGTAATGGGTACGATGAACTTAGTTCAACTACAACTCCTCAAGGTGGAATTGCTGAAAATTGGATTACATCTGCTAATGTTTTATCTTATGAAAACTCTAAGGTTGTTGGTGCTACTGGAGAAATTAAGAATATTACTGATGACATTGACATCACTACATTTGCAATCTCTCCTCCATTCTCTGGATTCCTTCAACAAATTATCCATGGAAAGGCATTTGCTGAGATTACCAGTAGCTTGAACTTTACCTTGGTAGATGGTTCTATTCTTGATACCACTATTTCTCTGTTTACTGAAGCCCTGATTACCAATATTCAAAGTTACAAGAGTTTTGGTGAAAAACAAAGTTTGGTCCATGTTGGAGGTTCTGAAAAGTCCATTACATTTGTAGACAATTCAATTGATGAAGATTCATTGTCTACAGTTATGAAGAAGAAACATAAAGATCATAAATTGGCTAACAACACTATTCTGCAAGTGAATACCTCTTATGCTTATCCTCTTGTTGCTCAATTAACTGAGAAGAACTACACTGTAATCCCGGGACACGTCAATATTGAATATGACGTCCAATTGTCCGTTGTTAAGGGACTCGAAGTATCTATTGATGGAACTAAGGCCCACAAGATCAAGAATGAACAAAATGGTACTTCAACCTACTTTATCACCAGTGATGGCAACCATGGATCTGGTTCATTAGATACAAAGTATAAGGTTCTTCTGGACTCTCCATTGCCATTATTCAACTACGAAAGAGATGTGAGTGCAGTCAACGGAACGGTCTTATCGGACGTTGTTAAAGGTGGTTTCAAGAAGTCAGGATCTGCAAGTGTACCAGATTTTGTTGTACATTCTGATCAAGGTGACATCAATAATGCAGGATCTAATTCAAGAGAAACAGACTATGCATTATTTGCTAGTCTCATGGCTGAAAGTGATCTTTCAGTAAAGCAAATTTTAGAAATTGCTGAAGAATGTAACATTCCTGAAATCATTACCGTACTCGAAAACGAAAACTCTCATTGTTCTCACATGAGTAACGAAAGAGTTTCACAATACCCACCTCCAAAGGAGCAAAAGTTCAAGAAATTAGGATATTCGATGAAACATCAAGTTTAAACGTCGTTAGCTTAATATTTTTAGATTCCTTTAAATTTTTTTTTTTTTTTAATTCTGTCTAACTACAAAATTTTGACACTATATAATATATGATTAATAAATACTTCTAAATTTAACATTGGCGTAGTCTGCTGGCTTTGAATTTAGATAGGGGCATTGTTTCAGTACATCACAATACGACGCGTTATTTCATTATGAATAGAATTAAGATCTGTACGGCACCATATGAAATTACAATAAAAAACAACAAAGTAAAACGGTTATAGAGAATTTCAGGTGCTTACTGATAGAAATGAAAAGGAAAAATATAAAGAAGGTTGATCCCTGTAACCCTTACTATATTGTATTGTTTATTTGTCATCTATGAAAAGTACAAATATGAATTATAAAATTTATACCCAATCGGTATTAGCAATCTTTGTGATTGTTTCATTTTTGACTTCAATTGAAGCTTCCTCGGTGTTTAATACGCGTAATCTCGTATCTATAAATGCAGCAAATTCTTTTCCTGCACTTAAGCATACTAGTAGGGTTCCACAGTTTGCAACCAAAAGAGATGATGCTTCCTTCCATACAACTTTCCAGGTGGGTTACCCCTATATCCCTGGGTCGTACTATGGAGAACCCGTGAGTACCGTTTTACTAGCAACACATACTTTTGGTAACTCGTATGGAGTTCCGTACACTTTTACTTATACTCCTCCAGGAAACATTTCATTTGATAGTTGTCTTGACCTTGAACACATCCATTAAGGACTATCAATACGATCGATTAGCACATATTGAATTTAATAGAGCTGAAATTTGGAGAACTTCCACCATTGAGCCACTGTCTACCACGTATAAGTCTACGTATAGCAAGGATGTTTCTACGTATCTTAAATATTTCACTCAAGAATCTACTGTAAACTTTGAGCTTGGGAACATAATATCTTCCGAATTACAAGGAGCTTTCGATGTACAATTATATGCAACATATTATGATACCAATGGTGAACCAGGTGCTCCATTCAATATTGGAGATCTGATAGATGTATATGAACCAGACTCGTTTTTCTCCATTGCCAAGCCTGCTTCTGAAGTATTTGTTGTCACTGGAGGTGGATCAAAATATCTTCCACAGGATAGGATTCATGTTGAGATCCCCAAAGTATCTCAAAACACTACTAGATTGGTTCTTGCAATTTTCGCTTCCGGGAATTCAAATGAAGAATTTTGGTATACAAATACATTCACTGAATATGCTGATTTATTTGAACAAGTCAGTGGACAGTTCCCAGGGTTTGGTCCAGCTAGAATAGTTAACGTATATCTTAATGGCGAGTTAATTGCAACTCAAGTGCCACAGCCATTTATTTTCACCGGTGGAATGTCTCCATTTCTCTGGATGCCTATGGTTGCAAATAATGCATTTGATTTAACCAGTATGGATTTAGATTTGACAGCTTTAATCCCTAAATTATGGGATGGAGATTCAAATTTCCTTGATATTGAAATTAGCAATGCTACTTCTAATAATTTCAACCCTAGTTCCCCGGTTATTGGATCAGATTGGATTGTCACAGCAAACTTATTATCTTATGAGAATGAGAATATCACCAGCGCAAAAGGTGAAGTTAGCTCAATCAGGAATTGGGGAGGGGCAAACACATCGGGGAACGTACCCAGTAATGGGACTTTGGTCCAATCAATTACAGGTGATTTCTACGCTGATATCTCTGGTCATATTGAATATTCATTGAAAAATGGTTCTAAAGTATCATCTACAATAATTCTGGGTACTATAGCAAAGGTAACCAATAATCAAAATTATAAACAATATGGCAGTATTCAAACTGTGGAACATCTTGGGACCTCTCAAAGAAATATAGTCATACATTCGGGATTGAATACTCTTCATAAACGTCAATCCACCTTCACTTATCCATTGAACCTTGAATTCTCCTATACAAATAACACAACCCCTACGGGTGGCTGGCTTGTGGAAAATGTGGTGAATATCACCCTTTCAAAAGATATTGACATTGTTGAGAATGGGGGGTTAGTATTCCATAGTTCTAGCGATCAAATTGGTCATTCAATTATTGATAGTACTGATTCAGGAAGATCGGTAAAGAGTGGGATGTCCACAGATTACACACTCCAACAACAAAGTCCCTTCCCACAAGCATCATACAATAGAGTCGTTGATTCTTCTAATGGACTTGTGACTTCGGATACTGTCACTGGTTCTTCACTTAGAAAAAGATTCCCACAAGTAAAACCACCTCAAAACATTGTTGCTCGTGACCTATCGAATATTGATCGTTTAAAACTCGGGAATAGAAAATTCAAGAGAATTAGTTTAAAAGTAGAAAGTACAAAATGAAGGCGTTTTTAACCAAATCCTGCCCATTCAATAGAAAAGCATTGTTGTTTAGATTCCTTTGTAAAGTCTTCTACCGTAGGTTCCTGATCGTTTGTCATTTCTTTGCTTTCCCCCAGAGTATCACCTACTAATACCCACACTTTCTTCACCCCAGTGGCAAGTCTACCACCAGTCACCAAATCCAATAAATCAAAATCCTCTGCATGTTTGATGATGTAATGGGCATGATATCTCAATGGATCATTTGGATATCCAATGAACTTCCCCCCAAACCTCAAGCCTGGTAACAAGTAGTATCCCTGGTCCTTGACTGTTCTATAGACATGGTAGTTTATAATTTCTTTACGAAGTTGTTCATTTGATTTGGACTTCAGTTGAATAAACTCATCCAACAGAATGATCACTTCATGTAATTTTTCCGGTGCTAATGCTGCGGTTGTATTTGGGATCTGGATGAAATTGTTTTCCTTGTTTGCCAATTTCAATTGTTCCTTTCTTGCCTCCAATTGATCTTTAGAAAGATTGAGTGCTTCTAATTTCCGAATCAAAATCGCATCATGATTTTCATCGGCAACAGCTACTTTCTGGGCACCATTCCACTCCTTTAACGAAATAGAGTCCATAGAAAGAGTGTGATATTTCACACTATCCACCAACACCCCATGTCCCTTCTCTACAAGCCATATAGTATCCTCAAAACTAAGTTCTAATGGTAAACCCAAGAATACATTTTGTTGTGGAGCGGCAGATAATGTCCCACTTAAGACACCACAAATCCCCAATTTTCTCAATCTTTTAACTTCTTCTAGGTCAAAGATCAACACCCGATTACCCACTACCGGCAACAGTATTTTAGGGTATAGCCCCATGTTTTCTATTCAAAGTGGTAAAAAAGAAAAAAGAAGAGAAGAGGCTCATCATCATAGATAGGAAATTTATCATATCCCATGATGATTGTATGTAGGAGCAAGACACCCACACACCCATACTGGCACCACCTTTCAGATATTACAACTAGTTAAGGAAATATTATATTCTTGTAATTAGGTTCTTTATATATATACTTCTATGGAGGGTTGATGGTTGGAATTAATCAATTAAACTTGAAACAGCTATTTTGGTTTTACGTTTTCTATCATCTTCATCATCAATAGTTTGTTTTAAACTCAGCTGCCTTTCTGAATCTGGAACAATGCTTGGAAGCGGACCAGTGGCGGTAGGGTTGTTATTGTTGCGTGACGGACTCGTGTTACCGGCAGTCGGAATATGAGGGATGTCCTTTGGAATCGGAGGAAGTGGTTTAAAATTGATGTTGGAACCAGAGGAAATTGGAAACTTCCCAACTCCAGATGGAGCAGATATTGAAAACCGACCAGATGCGGTGACTGATGGTGAAGTGAATGAATTTTGTGAAACATTTCTCTTGTGCAGATGTGGTGAATTATGATTAGTTGAGTTTGTCCCACCACTACAATTACCGGATGTGATTGAATTATTGGTCATTGCACTGGCAGATGTGTTTGTACTCATTTCCTTCAAAGGATTGGGGAAGAAATCAGGAGCAATTGAAGATCTTCTTGAAGCAGCAGAAGAATTATTACTAGAATTCGTCAAGGTAGAGAATTCGAAATGTGATATAGAATTGTTTCTAGAAGGCTGGTTACCCAAGAGTAAAGGTGAGCCATAATATGGGGAGACGTTTCCCGTGGAGCCAGATCCCGAGGTGGTTGCATTCATCGATACAGACAGCGTCAAGTTTGGATTAGAATTGGTGTAAAAGGCAGAAGAATGAGGTACTGAATACATGGTATTGGCAGTCGAATGTCTTCTTGTGGTTATAGAGTTCTCATCCAATAATCTTCGCTTGGTTGGTAGCATGGTAGAAGGTACTCCACCCGGTCCTTGTTGGTACATGTATTGTCCTTGAGCCAGTTGGTGGTGTCCATGGCCTGTGACGTGGTGTGGTAGATGCGAGTGGTGGGGGTGGTGCGAATGGTGTAGGTGTGGCAACGGCTGTTGTTGGGCTTGTGGTTGTTGTTGCTGTTGTTGTTGCTGATGGATAATAGAAGGCAACAAGTTTGACAAATGAGGTAAATTATGCGAATGGATATCAAAACTTGCCAGTCTTAAATTGTTCGGTCTGATTGGTGGTTGTGTTGTGTACGGAGGAGTATTAGTGCCATCAACTTTATTGATTTCCGGGGCCGAGCCAAACATTGACGTATTGAATGATATCTGTGGGAGTTGTTGCACTTGGGGATATATCGATGGAGTCGTGGTGGAGTGTTGTGAGGAGGAGGCGGACGACGAAGTCGATTGTGGAGGTGGCGGTAAGGCATGATTGTTTTTCTTTTCTATAAGACTATTATTTGAACTGGTGGTGGTGCTCCCAGTGTCAATGGTGTTTGCTGTTGCATTGGTAGAAGTTGACGAATGGATAGATTGTTGGTCTTCGTCATCCAGCTTGATCCCCACTTGGGTACTGGCTCTTCTTCTTCGGTTGGCTCCACCATTCCACCAATTCTTGATGGCATTATCGGATCTACCATTCAAATGTCTTGCAATCTCCGCCCATTTCTTCCCGTATTTGGCCACCAACTTCTCAATCATCTCTCCCTCCTCGTTAGTGATCGGCGTTCTATTCAAGGACGGCTTCAAGTTCTGGTGGTATCTTTCTCTACATTGCTTTGGAGTTCTAGTATTCAAAGTGTTGGAGATTCTTACCCAGTTGGAAGGACCGAATATTGAGATTAATTCCATGAGTTTGCGGTCTTCTTCTGGCGACCAGGGTCCTCTTCTATTCTGGCCAGGGGTCGTGCTATGCACCGTGATGGCTTGTGACGGTTGATTTTGCATTTTTTGAGGTGGGTAGTATTGATTAGTATAGCTCATTTTCAAATATCCTTTCCCACAAAAAAAAAATAATAGATTAACCTAATTAATAATGGCTCAAATACTTTTTATGACAGTCTGAGCTGGTCTGTGGAGAAAGCCGTGGTTTCTATTAACGGCTAGACTACTGAAAAAGTTCTGTTAAATTGTTCGTTGGTTATCAACCAATAAAATTCAAATCTCTCAGTATTCCCTTGGGAGTCGTTTCCTGTTACTGGTAAACTTTTTTCTCAATGTGGGTGATAATCGCGTTATGAGGGGTTCGAGTGCCAGTTATCTGGGTGGACAAGGCACTATAGCAGATAAATCCCAAAACAAAAAAAATCCCACTTGAAAATAATTCAAATATGAACACTTTTCAAAATGTCAATAAAAATATCTTGGAAAGGCCTTTGATGTCTAGTAATATAAAAGAAGTTGGCAGTAAGTACGGAAGGAAAAAAAAGAAAATTAAAGGTAAAAAAAAAAAGCAACTGAAAGGGAACATAAGGGAAAAAAAAAAAAAATAAAAAAGATTCTATACGTAGATCACGACACGCAGGATCTGCACGGTGTGGTGTTAAAGGATACATCAGAGGGATCTAGGAGGTAAATAGAGAACCGGAAATAATTGCATTAATATTTTTTAGCACAATACAAGAAATTGCACAACGAAACGGGAACAATGCATACGGGGATGATGTCGACTTCCATGAGAAGCAAAAAAAATAATTAATCGCAAAATCAGTTCAACTGACGATGTGTCACTCAAGATACGAAAGAAGAGCATTTTACGAAGACCATCTTCTGATTTGACTTATCTTAAATAAATTTATTTTTTTAGGTATGTACAGAAGATAAGTATAGTCATGACCAATCAAGAAGTTGTCTCGTGGTCTTACTTTTACCCCGTAGTCGTCTATGGGCTGATGTATCTGTGAAAGGGGATATCTGTAGGATTGTTTCCATTCTTGAAGATCGTTACTGGTTTCGCGTGAGCATAGCGGCGAAAATAACAGCGCCGGTAGGTTTCAGGCGTTTTCAAACAGGCGGAAAAATCTCTGCATACTTTAATAAAATCTTTTTTTTTTTTTTCTTTTTGCCTGAATATATTAATTATTTTTTTAAATTCTGGTATTTTTCTCAACGCTGTTGGTTTCTATAATCAGGATTAAATTTTAGGGTGCATCGAAGGGGTCCGAGACTTCGCGCTGATTGGCAGGAAAGTGGTGGGGGAGAGAGAAAAAAAAAAGAAAATAGCCACACTACCACATTGACTATCTAACAGCACTCTCTTTTCAGGGGGGAAATCTAAGTATGAACGTTGTCGATTTATTTGCTCTATCAACCATCATCTATGGATGTTCGGCATCGTATCAACCAGCCCCTTCTATGCTGAAACGCTAGAATTATGCTATCCATTATAATTTCATTGAGGGGATGCTTATTGATACCCCATTGGGAATCCCGTTATGAGGGCCTGTCTACCATCACTAACGATTTTTTAGAACAACAATTCATGTACTAGGCTTATAGACAGGATTTACAAGACGTTTTAATTTTTTAATTTTCCCACAATTAGGGACTGATTAGGACAAATATACATTTAGATCTCTTAATTTAGAAGTCATGCTTAACAATACTGTTGTAAGTGAAATTATGAAAACATGAAACACAATCTGTAGAATGTAAAAGATTGAAGAAATACGAACTTTTCCGTCACATGTGGATAGAATCACAATAGAAAAGTCTAAAGATCTTTTAGAATTGATAGAAACCCCTGAACTGTTACAGAAATATGGGACCATTTTTCAATGCAAGCGCATAATTGTTGGTTACAACGTACATGTAGATTGGATGTTCCTCAAGGGAAATATCTGCATCTAGTTGCCATTATAGTTATCATGAAAAACGTTTTTGTATATTCATGCATGTTGTTGCCCTATAAATTCCCCAATATACACGAGAAATCAAAAAAAAAAGTTTAAGTAAATTAACAAAGCAGGAACGCTAGTTTGATCGTAAGGAGAAACAAGAGATAACGCTTACAATTGAGAGAACTTGGACACGTTTCTCTAGTGGATGTTTAAGAATGTTCAAACAATTTATTGTTAGAGCAGTTCATTTTCTTTCTTTTTTTTTTTTCTTTTTGTACCATAAACCCTTTATTTCAATAGAAAAGGGGTAGTTGATCATACACAAGTTGAAAGTTAATTTTAAAAATAACCCTCCAACTTAATATTACAATTGTAATGTTGGGCTTGTGAAAATATGCAACGGTAACTATTCACAAACGTCCGTCGCTTCCCCCATAATAGGTATTTTATTTTTTTTCTATTATTATTATTATTAAAATGAGTTTTACATACTGAAACATGAAACTCGGCTTACATAACAAATTAATGTGTACATAACGGTTTGAAGATGCACGGAGAGTTTTTCTATTTTCTGTCAGAAATGGGTATATAATCCAGCAATTATAAATCCGGTAATAAGGAGTGATATAATGCAATCTGTGGGTCCCGGGGATGACTACCTATTTAGAAGATGAAAGGTTTGTATCCATTTCGGTGGAAACATATCGATAAACTTTAAGCTTTACCCGTTACATAATTTGTTCTACCAGCCCTGGTAGCGAGTCTATCATTGAACAATTTCAGGTTAATTGTTATCTATGCACACACATGTAGTAAGCAAGGGGTGAGTATCTATTCCTTTGTGATGTAAAGCACGTGAATCTAGACATTCTATTGTTTATCAAAAGATTTTTATTGTGATATTTTCTACAACTACATTATATAATTTTTTTATATATTACTTTAATATTATTATTATTAGGATTGTTATTGTTCTATTAAATTGGTACCTCTCCTTTTAGATTTATGTGGGAGAAATTTACTTGAAAAGTAAAAAAAAAAAATATTTAGCGAATTCAATTGAGAATAAAGGATTTGACCAGGTCACGTGCCTCCATTTATCTCATTATATGATAATAAATCAATAAAATTGTAAAATTATTGTTAAATAAGTTGAAGATATGATAAATTATCACGCTAGTATGAATCTTGGTTTCAACAACAAGAAAAAATCAGTTGATTCCTTCTTTTTTTGGTTGGGGACCAGGAGATTTTTGTGTTTATAATGATTGATTCCATTACGTAATCAGTCCGTTACGTAATCCAAAACTTAGCTCTTCCTTATTTTATCATTCAAAATGGTCTGAATGAAGATTGGGGGAAGACTTGAATTAGTAGTGGGAAGATTATTCAAGTATGAGACTCTACAAATGTATCAGCTAGGATGACAAAAGTATCGATTTGCATCAGATACTTATTTCTCTCCGTCGAGAACTTTCTCACTAACTGGTAAAGACTATCACCAACCTTAGACTTCGTTACACTTAATCTAATTGATCATAATACTCTTTCAAATCTTCAGGATCAAATACAACACGAACCATCAATGAACAAGATGGACAAACAGCTATATCATCACCATCTTGTAAATCATCAATTCCAATGGCAAATCTATCTCCACATGGACATGGATATTGGAAAAGTTGAGTGGTAGGGTCGAAGGTAAAGTCTTCAATTTCTATCTCATCATATATTGACTCCATTATTCTCTACTTTTTTTTTTTTTTAAGATGTACAACGAACTTTTTGTTTGTAAAGTAAGAAAGATGTTACAAGTTTATGTTATCATTAAACCCCATCACGATTTTTTTTTTTTTTTTTTGAATTTTCAATTCTTTTCTTTTTTTACCACAAACCTCGAAAGTGTAATGCATAGAGATTAATTGAATGAACATCCTGTATATATTAAACTAGTACTCTTTTTTTTTAAAAAAAAAAAAAAGAAATAGTTTAAGAGTTACGAGCCATGCTCGCGCCGCTAGGGCTTCAGCCCTCATTGTCACGTTTGCACTTTGATCAAAGGACAACTTTTCGATTACGGTTCGCACACATTTTTACTTTTGTGTAATTTTATTGGACAAACTCTGACATTCTGCATACTCTGTGGTCTGTGTGCCAGTCTCACTCTCACTCTGGATTGTACCCGTCGCTGGATTGATTAAAAAAAAAACTTTCAAGTTAATTATCATCACTATATTCTTGAAGACAAATCAGTTAACCTTAAATGTATGTAACCACCACCTAGTCAAAGAAAGAGAGAAAAGTACTGTGAATAAGCATTACAAGAGTGTGTGTGAAATGTCTTGAAGAATCATCAATTAGAATTTGAAGCATGAAAATTTTTCGACTTTGAATTTTTACCTTAGATATTGAAGATCTAAAGGCTAAAGAATTAGAATCAAAGTCATTTCTACAACAACAAGATTCAATAACCTTGTACACTATAAGATTGAAGAGTTTGATTTATTTGCCAATCATTGCAAACGAAAATTTTTTTTTTGCGAAATAAATTTTCACGGCTTCACAAATTTTCTCCCATCTTTTAAATTTTAAATATACTTTCTCTTTATCAATAGTATACTAACAAACTTAGCAACATGGGTATTTCTAGAGATTCTCGTCACAAGCGTTCTGCTACTGGTGCCAAGAGAGCCCAATTCAGAAAGAAGAGAAAGTTTGAATTAGGTAGACAATCTGCCAACACCAAGATTGGTGCTAAGAGAATTCACTCCGTTAGAACCAGAGGTGGTAACCAAAAATTCAGAGCTTTAAGAATCGATACCGGTAACTTCTCCTGGGCTTCTGAAGGTGTCTCCAGAAAGACCAGAGTCGCTGGTGTTGTCTACCATCCATCTAACAACGAATTGGTCAGAACCAACACTTTGACCAAGTCTGCTATTGTTCAAATTGATGCTACTCCATTCAGACAATGGTACGAAAGCCACTACGGTCAACAACTTGGTAAGAAGAAGGCTGATGAAGAAGAAATCAAGAAGTCCAAGAAGGTTGAAAGAAAGTTGGCTGCCAGAGCTGGTGAATCTGTTATTGAAACCACTGTTGCTTCTCAATTTAACGCTGGTAGATTGTACGCTGCTATCTCTTCTAGACCAGGTCAATCCGGTAGATGTGACGGTTACATCTTGGAAGGTGAAGAATTGGCTTTCTACTTAAGAAGATTAACTGCTAAGAAATAAGTAATTAGTTAATTAGTTATCTCTTTGATGTTCATAATAACATGAAAAATATATACGTGTATATTAAAAGACGTAGTATTGCAAGATTTAGAGACAGTAGGTTAACATTTTGAATAGGATATGTTAAAGACTAAGAACGGAACAATATCGACGGGTTCTGGGATTCAGACTCAAATTTCTTTACAAAGACTTTTAAATTGTTTGCTTGTAACTCTGAAAAACTATACAGAATAATGAACCTAATCGAAAATTAATAAATTCGACAACTTAAACTTAAAAATATAAGTCCAATTCGGACGTATATATCTTGTATATATCTGATACAAATCTGATACAACAATACTTTATATTTGCTACTACAATAATTTACACTACGTTCTTTCGTTGGTTTCTCTTTCTGATGCCGTTTATTAATAAACTATTAATTAATGATTCCTTAAAAGTTAGTATATTTTCCAAATGATTAATGATAAAAAAAAATCGTTATAGTCAATTAATTTCAGTAAAGGCAATAATTTTATCTGCAGCTTCCAATTCCGTAGAAAGAGAATCAGTACAGGTCTGTGTTATTTGTTTCATCCTTAAGATTGTCCATAAGATCCAATGTTAGATGTAAAACTTACAATTTAGAGTACTTAATGGTAAAAGGAATAGTAAAACTGGTTTAAAAAATTTTGTTGTTCAATTTATTTAAATAGTATTGGAAAATTTTGCGGGTAACAAAATAAATCTTACAAGAAAAAACGTTATGAATAGGGCTGGTATATGCAGGCATTATGTTTTATATTTAGTTAAAAGTAGCTAAGGCACCCATTGGATCCCATGGTGGTAAAGTTGTGGTAGTTCTTGAAGTATCATTAAGGATATCAGAATGTTCCTTAGATAATTCTGAAGAGTCTACCACGATTTGATAAACATATTCTTCAAAATAAGAATGATCCATAAGATAATAACCATCCTTACCAGAATCTTTACCCCATGAATTTTCAACTCTCCATCTAACTGGTAATCCTTGTTCATTGACATGAACTGCTGTAAGCACCATAGCATGAGTCATCAAAGATTGATGATATTGAATTCTCTTTGCCTTGTTTTGCTTGGTTTCGTAATTAATCAACTTGTAGTTGAATAATGCTTGATCCATAATACCTCTCTTTTTATCCATATAGATTGGAGTATGAGTACCAAAGAAAACGGCTTCATTGTTTTGAATACGTTTGATGGCATAGTTAGCCAAGTCCTTACTGTCAATGTTCAAATACAGAACTGTCTTACCATTGACCATATTACCAAGGATATCAATGTTAATCACTTGATCGTATGGATTACGAGGATCATTCAATAATGAAACACATTTACTCAAATCTTCACCCAAAATCTCTTTATAGAAAGTAGTTGGAGTGAATGAAATAGATTGATATTTAGAATCTTTATCAACAAATTCCCAAGTCAATTGATCATTTGGAGATGGTGGGTTACCCAAAAACATAACCAATAATCTATGGGTTTCCTTTTGCATAGATAACTTTAACTCATCTACAGATTGTCCATTCTGTACAGCTTCTCTTAATATTTCCGCATATTCTCTAAGCTTGGTGGTAATCATGAAGTTAAGTTTTCTTGAAGCAGTGGAAGAAAATACATCTGGGAATGAATCAATTGGGATTAAACCATATTTCTCAACAATGTTAATAAACATATCGTATTGACCACCATCACAAATAGGATCGGTCAATAAATGTTGGACAAGTCTAGATTCAACATCTTCATCAACACTGTTTAAGATTTGTTCTAAGAAATAGTTTGCCTTTTCAAGTTTATCGTAAAAAAATAAGAAAGATTGAGAGAATTGAAACTCTTTAAGGTTATATTTTTTCATGATTTTAACTCTCAAGACATTGGTAGCGGCGAAAAGCCAACATCTACCACTTGCCTTTTGACTGGTAATTGGTGCACCTTCTAATTCAATTTTATTATTGAATACATTGATCGAGTTCTTAAGAAGAGTGGCACGATCAATCAAGGTTTCATCAGCATCAAAATTTCTTAAAGCAGCAGCTCCAAGTTGAGTGTTGACGTCGGATTCTAACGAGGAAGACCATTCGGCCAAAGATTCAGTTGATAAGGCAGCAAATCCGGACATAGATAATTGTGTATTGAGATATTTTTACTGAAGTTATTTTGGGTTGGTAATCGAATGTTGCAACTATATATAGTACCTTGTCACATCATGCACAGTCTTCTTTTGGGGCTTACACGACAGAGCCATGCGATCATGTGGACTGTACCCACCAGGTTATAAATAATAAATAAAGAGATTGGACAATGTTAAAGAAAGGGCCAAAGGCAGATCATTGTAATGATGCTACTAGTGTACCTTGTATATAACTATTTGAGCCCTCTATTGTAGTTTGTATATCTCTTGAAAGTCAAAATTTTGGTTTTTCCTCTAAAAATATATTTTACGTAAAAAATCAACTTTTCAGAATTTATTTAATAAAATTTATTGTGGGGGTAGAATTTTTTTTTTTACTTGTCAGCCAGAAAGAGTACAAATATGACTTAGAGAATAGAGTTGTCGAAGTTAGGTAGTTGGGTGTCATAGCTCTAGTAGGTTGAAAGGATAGATATTGAGAATGTATTGTATTCAATTTAGTGTAAGTATCCGTATACTTCCTCTATTTTATATAATTTGAAGAATTAGCCATTTCCAAACGTTTGAAAATGATATTGTATTTGTCTACATGTTTATCCCATAATATATTGCATCTCTTTCATTTATTACCAAGTGTTGAATGGATCGAAAAAAGAGATATAGTAAGAAACCTACAATATTACCTATAATTGAAGTTCACCACACTCCTACTACACACCCTTATACAGCTCAAGAATAGAACCCCATAAGCCGGACTTTATCTATATATTTGGGTGCTTTAACGAATTCCACGGTATACACATTCAATCGGTTGGTGTGACTTTTCCATTTTTTAAATAGCAGTGCTAGTAATTCTCTGCTCCATATCTAGTAATACACAATGTTGCATTATAGGATCGTCCAAGCTGTTAGAAGAACCTCGGCTATATTCCTTTAAAGCTAACTATTGGGTTACTCCATTCATTTTTAACTTTTTTCTCTACTTTTTTTTTTCTCTTTAGATGTTTATTATACTATAATATAACCATATCTTTCTCTAAAAGGTCTTCGGCATTTGAAATTTTTTGACAGGTCGTGCGCTGGAGAAATCCGGGGACCCAAAACGTCATTATTTTCACTTAACAAACACCAAAAATTTAAACTTCGAAAATGGTCCCTTGGCCCAGTTGGTTAAGGCGTGGTGCTAATAACGCCAAGATCAGCAGTTCGATCCTGCTAGGGACCATTTCTTCAAGAATTTCAAGGGCGTGTGGCGCAGTTGGTAGCGCGTTCGCTTAGCATGCGAAAGGTCTCCGGTTCGACTCCGGACTCGTCCATTTTTTAATTTTTTTGCAACCAATTCTTGTTTTTTTTGACTACATATCCAAACGTATATGTTTGTTTTCTTTTATTACAAGATAGTCAACTACAAGCTTTTAACCACTTAAAATGATCCCTGCATTATTCACTAGTATAGCGCAAAGTTATCAGTCGAGTTTCACTCGTTTCATCAATACACCCATTAATATGATACTCTCAGGAACATACATGTTTCCTCTCTATGTATGAGATACCTATTTTCAAATTATTGTCAATTACTTACTAACATAAAAGGGGATTCACTACTTTGCTACGCACCCTTCACTATGGGCGTTTTACGTTACCGTGATAATCCCGCAATTGGTGTTCATTTTTCTCATCTATACATTGACTTATGTAATGCTTTATCCAATTCAAGCGTTTTTTGCAGTCATATTTTCGGGTCCAGCTGGACTCATCACTGTATGGTTTACAGTCTTACAACAAGCAGGATTTATTTCCACCTTTTTATGTGCAACACTTCTAATGCCCGAAATTCAGAAAGTTGCATTCGATGCTGTTTTGAGTAGAGAATGTCAAGATGATGTTGTACTTCTTGGGAAACTACGCAGAATAGTCAAAGTTCCATTTTTAATTAAGTTTGGACATACAGTATTGGCTGTCCCTCTGATGATTATACTTCCATTTATTATTTTTAGAGGATTTATCTTCATATTGATCGGATCCATTCCAATACTTGGTCCTTTCATTGTGAGTATTATTCAAGCCCCCACGAAGGGGCTACAATCACATTCTAGATATTTCGTACTTAAGGGATTTGATGATAGGCAAATCAAAGCACTCTATAGAGAAAACACAGGCCAATATATGGGTTTTGGATTGGTTGCAAATATTCTTGAATCAATCCCATTTTTAAATATTTTCTTTATGTTCACCAATACAATCGGAGCAGCACTTTGGGCAGTGTCAATCGAGAAAAATTTGAAAAAGAAGAGTGGAAAGATTATTCTTAACCAAGAATAGATTGAATTTGAAATGATAAATTCGATGTCTATTATATATTTGTTAGTAGTCTAAAAATAAAATGTATAAAAATTTGGATTAGTGTTGAACTGAATTAGAAATAGAAATTTATTTATCAGCGAACGGCAGCTAATATAAGTAAATATTGTCAACACACCCAAAGCCCGCTGCAACTCCTCCTTCATCACTAGAGCTAAACTTGGATCTCAATAACCATCCAGCATTTTCATTTTGTAAAATCTCACCAGTTTCCTCATTGAATAAAATTGTTCCAAAGACTCCTAATTCAGAAATGATTTCTTCATTATATACGGTACTATTACGAAGAATTTTGTTTTTAAAGTTAGAAGGATGAATAAGTTCCATAAGAATGTATGCACCCCAATCTTCTTCGGGTAAATTTTTCAAGAAACCAGGAATATCATCCTTGTATATATTATTGCCGCCACCTTCTCTTTGGGGCTTTAAGACAAACTTTTCTGGAGATTCAAATGCCAATTTCTTTGCAATTTTACCATCTTCAGAATCATCTAATGGATATATGTTCACAAAAGATGACATAAGCTTTGTAAATTCAGATTCTGATAACCCAGGTAAGAATTTCTTAACAGTTTCGCTTTGAGTTAACAATTGTTGAATCTTTTTAGATCCACTCAATTGAGTCAATAAAGATGGACATTTAATAGCTTTAGTATCTTCCAAGTAAAGTCTAGCACCCCAAGTCAATTCAGGATTAGATTCATAATCAGATGGAGAATATCCAGATCTGTAATAAACAACAGATACTTCATCCATTGTTTCTTTAATGTATAATTTATCTTGATTAACAGTGGTTTTCTCTTGAGCATCTTCCAATGTTAATCTATATGACTTAATTCCATGGAAATCAAGTAACAGATATTCAATATGTCTTTGATCAAAACAATTTCTTTCGCCATCTTGAACAATGAAAAGAATAACAGTCTTATTGGCGGTAGACCCAGAAGAATTATATTGGGAGTCTCCATATGCTATACCATCGGCCAATTCTTTAATTGAGTTTGAAATTGGAATCTCTTCATCTTCGTAATACTTGTATGAATACTTATCATCATATGCTCCGTTCTTATTTAAGTAGTTATGCAATTGCCCCACCTTAGTTGATAATCCTCCAAATGAAATACTAACTGTATTGAATTCAATTTGTTTAATTTCAGGTTGCTCTTGATTATCAATGTCATTAACCATATAATCCGATCTAAATAAACCTAAAGATAACGGTTGTTTAACACCACGGGCTTGTGATTTCTTGTATGCATCAAACAAGTTACCCGTGAAATCAGCGTCAAACTTTGAAAGTGATTGTAAGATATTAGTTAACCATTCCTTTTGATGGGTAACAACATTAATATACAACTCATTAAAATGCTTTTGAATAGCAAGGGCGTTTTCAAATGACTTCTTTGGGAAAGGTGTTGGGAATAAAGTAATTGGAGCAACTGATGCACTATAACTTTCAAAGTTTGGAGGATACATTACTAAGCCATTCGCTAATGACCAATGTTGAAGTTTTTCAACCAAGTCATTGACTTGAGGTTGACTCAATTCAGGGAAATCCTTAGGTGCCATTTCTATGTTCAATCTATACTCTGAGAAAGTCAAATGGACAATTTAATTAGAATGGAGATCGTACAGTTATCATTTGATATCCACTTATCTTAGATTCGATTGCACGCCGCGATTTCACGTGCGCCACAGCTTTCCACATTTGTGTCTTTTTGTATAAAGTTGGATTAGCTTTTGCAGCCAAAAATGATAATGAGAGATATTACAATTCGGTAAGAAATACCAAAGCTAAAGTTTATGTTATCATTCTATACAGATTGTTATCAAGGCATGTAAAAGTGAATACGCTACAATACATCTTTATTGTACGGCATGCTTCAAAAAATCATAATATAAATAAAAAAGAATGGCTAGGTTATATTATGTCCCCCCCGCCCCCGATCTACACAATTGCTAGACATAAATCAAATTATAACCAAACTCTAGATTGTAATCCATGTTATTTTATTTTCGATACATTCCATTCATATTTAAGAGCCATAAACGTTTCTTTATCTCTTCCTTAAACTTGAGAAATACAAAAAACCTAAATTTAATTTATATCCTTAATTATTAATTCATAATTTCTGAATGTATCCTTAAATTGATTTCAGACTGCCATATTTGATTTGTTATATCTACTAAGTACAATGACATATATACACCTTCAAAGTTATTGAAGGTACCTTATATCTAATATATTTGAATTGAGAAAGGCTTGCACGTGACAGGTGACTGCTTTTTTTCATGCTCACAACGACTTTGTGTAACAAGATTCAAAATTCTTCACTCAATACTAGTACTGAAAAATCAGTTTGAAGATCAATACTAGGTATATACGAAATCATCATCAAAAAGTATGTATAGAGGTGCCACATGAGATCTCCTGACGGAACGAGAGAACCGTTCCCATTCCCCGAGTCCTCCGATATGAAATATACAACTTAAGATCTATAAGTTTAAATTTAAATGGAATTTTTTCCAATATGATGTCAGAAATTTAAATACTGTTGAAATAGAAACCAAGTCTTCAAATCGGAAGTGATCATGAATTTCCAATTAAAAGAGTGAAATTGATTGAACGAGAATGAATCAACCGGAATAAGAGATACTCTATGATTAAAATGTATCAAAACAACTTGTTACTAACAAATTTCTAGTGAAATACTTAGCTGCTTACTTATTATTGCTCAACGCCGGTAACGCCTCCCCATCTGCCGCCGACATCAAGGCTGTTTTGGAATCCGTTTCCATTGAAGTCGATGAAGAAAAGGTCGCCAAGTTGTTGGCCGAAGTCGAAGGTAAGAACGCCGAAGAATTGATCGCTGAAGGTACCGAAAAGTTGTCTTCTGTCCCAACCGGTGGTGCTGCTGCTCCAGCTGCTGGTGCTGCTTCTGGTGCTTCTGAAGAAGCCGCTGAAGAAGAAGTCGCCGAAGAAAAGGAAGAATCCGATGACGACATGGGATTCGGTTTATTCGATTAAATTAGGTTAGAGAGAAGAACCGTCCATAATATATAAATATTGCAACTTTGATGACTTTGTATAATACATGTTGATTAAAAAAAAACAATCAAACAACCAACAACACTACACATATTCCAATTTGATGGACTATTGAATTATAAAGTGTACCGTAATATTGTCATTTTTATTATTTCTATTTAAAGTTCATCAGCATAAGCTTTACGTAAACCCATTGGATTACCAAATACAATGTGCCTAGCTTCAAGCATTCCTCTATCAAAAGCCTGATCGGCCAGGGTGTATGAAGAATCTCTTTCTTTGTTTTTACCACTTTTAGCCCTTGTATCTGATTCTGCTGCGAGCCAACTAATGAATTCCTTATTTGCCTTTAAATTCTTATTATTTGTATGGACTTCACTTAATTTATTGAAAAATAAACGAAGTTGAGTTTCTGAATTAGTCTTGCCACTAAGTAATCTATCTTGTAAGAAATCAGAATATAGTTTCTCTGGACTAGTTGAATCTTCAATTACTCTTTTAGAGTTGGAACTTCTATCAATATTAAGTAAATTAGCATCTTCTAAAATATTGATTAATCTAGTTTTTGATTGTTGACCTAAACTTGGGAAAGTATCCACCAATTTATCAAGTCCGATACCTCCACCATTAATGTATTCGGCATTGAAATGGTCACTTTGGGTTAATGCATGGATAACACCCAAAATTCTTTTTTGTAATACATCAGATTGAATGGATCTCAATTGAGCAAACAAAGTATCAAGGAATGTAGATGATTGCTTGTTTAAAACATTATCCACAGCTTCTGGGTTGTTCCGAAGTGCAGATCCCATGATCCTATATGCCTTTTCTTGAATATCAACCATTTTAAGAGAGTTAGTAACCTTAGTACCAATCCTAAGAAGATCTTGAAAGATCCTTTGGTCCAGAGTTAACTTGGCTCCAAATTCAATATCATGACTTAACTCAATCAAAGTATCAAGAGCAATAGATATTCTATCTAAATCCAAGTTAGAACCAAGTGGCGAATCATGTATTTCAGTCACTGCAGCTTCATAATTATTCAATTCTTCAGGGGAAGCTCTGGGCTTCTTGACTGAATTATTCTCCTTTGCCTCACGAATCTTTCTTTGGATTTGTTCTTCCATGGTTTCTTCTACAATTTCTGGTTCTTCTGTAATAACAAGATCTTGTGTATTTGCGTTTGAATCGTCTTCTTCCGATATCTTGGCTTCCCTGGTAGATGTTTCCAAGTTTAAGCGAACGTGCAACCCGGCAGGAATCTCTTGGCCCTCTTTGATAGTTTGCCAATAGTTGGTAGGAACGAATACTTTTGGATAACAATCACTTGGATCAGTTGGAGAACAAATCAATTCGGAATCAGTTTGAACAATCGAAGCTGACACTGATAATAAAAAGTATGAAGCAACAATAACAGTTTCCTTATTGAACTTCATTTGAATTTTGGAAACTAATATGAAAAGAAAACCAATCTAAAAAGCAACTAAAACTTATATATAAAGTACCTTTATTGAAGTAGAAATCATTTTATTTGATAGTTGCCATGGTGTCTTTCCCCCATACTCTGAATTTATATACAGGAAATATCACACGTATTTCTTTTACTCATTTTTCTTTTTCTTCTTCTTCTTCTTCTTCTGTTTTGGCTGCAATCAGATATCCAGATATCTTAGATTTACAATTTCAAAACAATTTTCTAATCACTCTATATCTCATTATATCTTATTATCTACTAAATAACCCGTTTCTATTTATTTGGCAGACTTTTCCAAAGCCTGTTCAATGTCCCTAAGTAAATCATCAGTTTCTTCGATACCAACAGAAATTCTGACCAAGTCATCGAAAACACCATTAGATTCTCTTTCAGCCTTTGGAATACCACCATGGGTCATAACAGCTGGAACTTCAACCAAGGATTCAATACCACCCAAGGATTCAGCCAAGGTGAACAACTTGGTGGAAGAAGTGAAGGCAGCGGCAGCTTCAGCACCACCGTTGATTCTGAAAGAAATCATACCACCTCCCAAGGAGTCTCTGTGTTGCTTAACAACAACATCATGGTTAGCATGAGTCTTCAAACCTGGGTAGTTGACTCTGGAAACAGAGTGGTGTTGAGACAAGTATTCAGCAATTTTTTGAGCAGAAGTAGCAGCTTGTCTAACTCTCAAGTGTAAAGTCTTTAAACCTCTGTGAGCCAACCAAGAGTCAAATGGAGATGGGATAGAACCAATAGCATTTTGCAAGAATCTGAACTTTTCGTGCAATTTGTCATCGTTAGTAGCTAAAACACCCATAACAACATCAGAGTGACCATTGATGTACTTGGTAACAGAGTGAGCAACAACATCAGCACCGTGAGACAATGGGTTAGAAATGTATGGAGACAAGAAAGTGTTGTCAACAACAAGAATGATCTTGTTACCAGTGGAAGCTTCATGGTCCTTCAAGATTTGAGAAACCTTGGAAATGTCAGTAACAGTCAAGGTTGGGTTAGATGGAGTTTCAAGCCAAACCAACTTGGTGTTTTCCTTAATGGCAGCCTTAAGGTCATTGGCCAAGTTACCAACGAAGGAAGCAGTGACACCGTGAGTGTGAGCAACTTGGGTGAAGTATCTGTGGGTACCACCGTAAACGTCACCACCAGAAACAATGTGAGAACCAATTGGGAGAGATTGGATGATCAAAGAGGTGACAGCAGAACCGGAGGCAAGAGCAAGACCGTACTTGGCCTTTTCCAAAGCGGCAACAGCAGTTTCAAAGTTGTCTCTGTTTGGGTTAGAAGATCTAGAGTATTCGAAAGCACCAATTGGAACAGATGGTTGTGATTGGGCAAAAGTGGTGGAAAGAGAAATTGGTTCAATCACAGCACCAGTGTGTGGGTCGATTGGGGCACCGGCATGGATGGCTTGAGTACCGAAGCTGTATTGGACGTTGGAGTCTTGAGTCATGTTTAGTTTTGTATATTTAGTTTGTATACTTGAGTCTCTTTTTTTTTTTTAGAAAGTTGTGGATTTGGCTCTCTTATGTGCTTCAACTTTGTAACCGTTATTCGTTCTCGATGAGACGGCGCGCCACGGAACAAGAACGCCACAGTTTCTTTTTTTGGATCTTTTTTCCATTTTCCGTCATATTACAAATCACAAAAAAAAAAAATTGCAACGAGAAGGTTCCTTGGCTAAGCCGTAAAATAATTAGATAGTGTAAGCAAACATGAAAAAATACCTAATTTTCTAGAGAGCAATTGATACAAGTTACAGTGTTCGATGATATTGGATCATATTATCCCCAAATAGCTAAGTTGAAAAACAATATATTTTTAACTTGTGCTAGCACGTTTTTAAATTGACCAATTTGTTGTTGGCGCTTATAGATATCGTACGGAAAAACATGTCCGTCTGTGTGTGCAGGGCGCCCAAGCATTACAAATGCAATATGTGGGTATGTAGATAATAACCAACCCACATTACATTACGCCATATCTGGGGAGGATGTGGAGAAAAATTAAATTTAAGCTGATGGTTATGCTCTTAAGAGGAAAGACTTGTAGAATGTTTTTGAGACCTTTACATTTTTCTTATATTAGTTTTAGGTAAAATTGTACGGAATGTGAATTCTTTTTTTTTTATGAATCTGATTTTATAGAAATACGTTTTCGCGGTTAGTATGATATTATGAGAAATGTACTATTTCTGAGTGTAGTGCTGAAATGAGTCAGTACAAAGTATTAAGTTGTGGATCCAATGGATTAGGCCAACTTGGAATAGGGTCGGATGATGATCAAGACACTGTTCAAGAATGTAAATTTGAAGGTTTTAATGAGATTTCCATGAAACCTGTATCGATTGCCTGTGGGGGAAATCATACTCTAATCCTATTTGAATCCGGACAAGTATTTGCTAGTGGTGATAATACATATGGCCAATGTGGTGTTGATGTAGATAATTCTAGATCGAAATATTTATCATTTGTGAAGATTCCTGGATCTTGGGTTCAAATATCTTGTGGATGGGAGTTTTCCGTTTTAGTTAATAGTAGGAATGAAGTATTTGTATGTGGGAATGGATTAAAGGGAGAGTTAGGATTAGGTAAAAAAACCACTAGTATTAGAGAGCCAACAAAGGTAGATATAAATTTCCCAAGTAAAATAAAGGCCATCAAAAGTGCCTTAAACCATACTGTGATACAACTTACAAATGGAGAGTTTTATGGGTGGGGGGTATCTAGGAAAGGTCAATTGGGGGTAGACCGAGAGAAAATTACCTGGGTGCCTGCCCAGATCAATTGGGGATTAAATTTAAACCTTGAACAATATAAATTCGTACTTGGTAGAGATTTTACCGTATTATACAATGATGAATTCCATCTATTTGGCACTCAAAATAAAATTCTGGATATGATAGAATCATGCACATATTCTAAACGTCAACTTTCCATATGGTCAATGTGGTCTTCAATCCATATTATAGATGCGGATGGAAAAGTGGTATTTTTAGGTAATAATAGCCATGGTCAAAAATTCCCCTCAACATGTGTTTCAAATTCCCAATTATTTTGTACTGGGAGTGAACATGGATTAACTAAATTGGAAAATAAAGTATATGCATGGGGTTGGGGAGAACATGGGAATTGTGGAGTATTAAAGAAGGAAGACGAAGTGGTATTTTCAAATCTAAATGAAATATATCAAAACGACAATATTATAGATTTAGCATGTGGATGTGCTACTAGTTGGATCATAACCAAAAACTAAATAAAGACGAATTATATAAAGAATGATCACTACATTGTAAACAAAATATCACGAAGTATCTTCACCAAATTCATCTAATGCTATGGGGTAAACCTAAGCTCAAAGATGGAGAATATGTTCAACGTAGTTTATATAGGGCAAAAGTATCACCAGTTTCACCAGGAGTCAAAAAGAAAAGGTCATACAACCTTTTCTAGACAAGTGAACCAGCTTCTTAATGGCCCGACAATGTGTACAACAGAACAACAACCCTTTGTTGGAATATCATACCCATACAACGAAAAGAAAATTAAAACATTAAAAGAACATTCAAGATCCTTCGAGAAAATTTATTGTCTCTCCATCTCTCGCTCACCCAGGGAAAAAATAAATAAAAATAAAAGGTCCACCGACGTGTATAAACCAAACACCTCTATCTGTAAAACATATAGGGCTGAGAAAGGATAAGGTGACTCCAAAGTTCAGATCAAGATCAACATATTTCCATTCATTGATAGCTAATATCATATTTTTTTTTTCTTAATAATTGAGAACTTTACTTTACAACAAAGTAGTCTCATTGATCATAGTAAATTTATTATATTCCAAACTACAATTTTAATTATCAGCAAAGGAGATGTTTGGAGCCGTTTGTTCAGGTAGACCTATACAACTTGCAACTCAAGTTGAACCAACAAAATACGTCATTACAATTCCAAATGCAGCACATGTATCTCATATTGCAGTATTTTTATTGCCACAAACTGAATTCACTGATCCCAATTATACTGGATTAGTATATATTCAAATGCCTGGATCATCAGAATTTATCTTGCTGGGCGGTTTAAACCCTCTTAAACCATCTGGAATCTTTAAATTGAGTCAGGGGAAAATCACAACAGGCGAGGGCCAAGATCAAGTTATTGATGATGTGGACATGAATATAGATGAATCCGTTGCTACAGGAGGAGATGTTGAAGCTACAATTAATATTGGAATTTCAATTGAACCCACCCAACAAGCAGAAATACTCTTACAAGAAGAAAAGGCAAAGAAAATGGGTAATTCAAACCAAATGGTTCCTACAAGCGCCAAACCCACAGTCGCACCTACTACTACTAAGGTAACTCCACTGGACACTGCCGTTTTGGCTAATCGAATCGTAACCCATGCCTATAATTATTTGGGAAGTTTCTTGGATGATTCAGGGAAAGTACCCATGAAGGCTTTTGACAGTTGGTGGGACAAATTCAAAACCAAACTACAAAACAATCCAAGTTTTCTCAACGAAATGTAAAATTTATTATTACATACATTGTACATTTGTCATCTCTACACTTCAGTTCATTCCTTATATAGGTTAGCATTTAATATATACCTTGATAAATCACCATGCCTATATAGGCTGCGAAATATCTATGTATGACTTTTACGTGTCGAGGCAACTCTCATCGAATTTTTTATTTGTTTTAATACAAACGCGACACACGCAGCAATTTGGATCCCTAACAAAGTTGTGTAAGTTTAATAAAACGTGTGTTTGTTTTGACGACAAGAGAACTGTTTCCATCTTGTATAGTCGACTCTTTCAATAATTGTCTTTTTGAATAAAGTCTCGATTTATATCTGCTTATGAGTTGGTATAAGAAAAACCTGCAATCATCAGAACAAGACCAAGCTCCGAATAATGGCTCACTGAAGGGATCCTATATTCAAGTTCCAAGTTCTTCACCAATTCAAGTGAAACCATCACCTACAAAATCAACAATCGACTACAAACCACCTAGCAGATTACAAATGAGTAGTCCAGAGATAGATGCTGAAAAGCAGCGTCAGCTTGAAGCCAAAAGACAAGCCATTCGAAACCACAAAGACTTCCCCATGGTTCGCAAAAGATTTTATTATTTGGAAGAAAGTGATGTCTTTAAAGGCTTTGTTAAAGGAAGAGGAGTATTACGAGAAATCACTCAATGGTTGACCGAGAACTACAATAAGGAAGATATTCTTGGAAGAAAACATGCCGAAGAGCAAAAACAGTTGAAGTTGAGAGCAGAAGAAAGAAAAAGGGCAGAACAAGAAAAACTTTTCCAAGATTTAGAAAGTCGCCAAGAGACTCAGAGAAAGATTGAAGCGGAAGAAACTATTGAAGACGAAAAACGTGACTTTTCAGAAAATGAATCACCAATGAAGATTGTTCGTGGGAAGGCAAGAGTGAAGGCACCTACTGATTTTACGTCTGAAACTAAGAATTCTACTTCATTTTCTTCATCTTCGATAAGAAAAACTGAAGGAGATAGTTCATCAACCAATGTTAGTGTAACGAAACCAAAAGTTTCTATTTTGGACAAATATAAGTACAAGCCTAAGTCACAAGGAACACTTGCACAATCAAGACTTGATGGACTTTTCACCAAAAAGGCAGAACCAACGTTGAAAAAAAGAAGACTTGTTCGTGCTTCAAACCTTGACGATTCTAACGGAACTGACTCTGAAACTTCCGGTACTGCTACTCCTACGTCAGTTCCACCTTCTGTTCCAGGGTATATGGATTCAATTCCTAAATTGAAATTGAAATTTCCTGATCTGGTAGATGAAGAGTTAGGATTGGTAGCTCTGGATGAACTGGATGAGGGGATTGTCGAAGATGATGACTTAGATAGACTCGAAGAGAAAATCAGGGAAAATAGAAAAATGGCAAAGGGTAAGAGATCGTTACAGCTCGAAGAAGATGACGATGATTTAGAAGATGACATTATAAGTGATGGTATGTCTGAAGAAGAAGACGATAACATGTATAACACTGGTTTAACTTCCATTGATTCTCAAATTTTGGAATTTTTAAATAATGCTTCAGTGCAAGATTTGGTAGAAATTTGTCAGGTTACACCCTCAATTGCCGAAATTATTGTTTCCAAAAGACCGTTCCCAGATATTTATACCGTCTCGGAAGATAAATTCGAGTCCGAAGACTCTTCAGCTGATGGAGGGTCCAAAAAGAAACGTTACACCCGTAAAACGTTGGGACAAAAGATCATCGAAAGTACTGAATTCAGCTTGAAGGGATACAGGGCTGTCGATTCATTGATTAAGAAGTGTTCTGAATATGGAGATCTCATTACCAAACAAATGGAAACATGGGGGGTTACATTCACCAAAGGATTAGGAGAACTTGAAATGGTTGACATCGAGAATCCTACTGATGCAGTAGTTGAAATCAAAGACAACGAGGACGAAGATAATGAAGAAGATGATGATGATGACGATGAGGACATCAAGATAATCAGCACAAGAGAGAAGAAGTTGGCATATGTAGCTGAAAAGCCAACAATGCTCGGAGAGGATGTTATTCTTAAGAACTATCAACAAGTTGGGATTAATTGGCTTAATTTGTTATACCAGAATAAACTTTCATGTATTTTGGCTGACGAAATGGGATTGGGTAAGACCTGTCAGGTTATTGCTTTTATGGCTTTACTTAAAGAATCATCACCATCAGTCGGCCCACATTTAGTTGTCGTGCCATCATCGACTCTTGAAAATTGGCTTAGAGAATTCCAAAAGTTTTGTCCTGGTATAAAAGTACAAGCTTATTATGGATCCCAGAAGGAAAGAGAAGAACTTCGTTACGAATTACAAGATGAGGAGTACGATGTTTTGGTCACCACCTATACTATTGCTACTGGCGGTGCAGCTGATTTCAAGTATTTAAGACATCAACCTTTTGATATGATTGTTTACGATGAAGGGCATATGTTGAAGAATTCTTCTTCTGATAGATACACAAAGCTTATGAGATTGAAGGCAAGATTCAGATTACTCTTAACTGGTACACCATTACAGAATAATTTGAAAGAACTTGTATCGTTATTATCATTTATGTTACCTGGCTTATTCAGTGACAAACGTGAAGACTTACATGGTCTTTTCAATCAAAAGGCAAGTACCAATGACTCCCATAAAGATTACAATCCATTACTTTCGCAACAGGCAATTAATAAGGCGAAGACTATGATGACACCATTTGTTTTGAGACGTAAGAAGGATCAAGTATTAAAACATTTACCAGCCAAAACTCATGTGGTTGAATATTGTAAATTAACTAAACCTCAAAAGGAATTATATACTGAACATTTGGAGAGAGCTAGAGAAAATAGAGCGGAGCGTGAAAGAAGAAAATTATTACCAATTAAGGAGCTCGCGGTCTTAAACAGAACTGATCCAATGCCAACATCAACAAATGTCATGATGTCATTGAGAAAGGCTTCGATGCATCCATTGTTATTTAGAAAGCAATATGATGACGAGGTTATCACAAAGATGGCAAAGGCAATTATGGAGGAACCTGAATATGTGGAGGCAAATCAAGAGTATATCAGAGAAGATATGACTATAATGTCTGATTATGAATTGAATAGTTTGTGTAAGAAATTCCCCAAGACATTAAGTTCATTCCAATTAGATAAATCTGCTTGGTTTGAAAGTGGGAAAGTACAAAAGACTGTTGAGATTGTCAACAAAATTATTAAGGAAGGGAATAAGGTTTTAATTTTCTCCTTGTTCACCCAAATGTTGGATATTCTTGAAACAGTTCTTTCTTATGAAAAAATCAAGTTTTTACGTCTTGATGGATCAACTACTGTTGAAACTCGTCAAGATATTATTGATCAATTTTACGATGATGAAACCATTCCAGTATTCCTTCTTTCCACCAAAGCTGGTGGGTTTGGGATTAATTTGGTTGTTGCTAACAATGTCATTATGTACGATCAATCATTCAATCCTCATGATGATAGACAAGCCGAAGATAGAGCACATCGTGTTGGACAAGAAAAGGAGGTGAAGGTTACAAAATTGATTACAGAAGGAACCATTGAAGAGAATGTTTTCCAATTAGCACAAAATAAATTGGCATTAGATCAATCTATCAGTGCCGATGGTTCGAATGAAAAGCAATACGAAGAGAAGGCCGCTTCTCTCTTTGAAAAAATCTTGTTTAGTGATTTCCAAGGTTAATCGTAGATCAAATAGATAATGCGTGCATATAGACTTTCCAAATTATTTTTATTATATGTAAGCCAGATAATTTCTCCTAAAGACATACTTCAAATTCTTTCCTCCATCCAGATTTAATAGATGTTATTATCTAAAGTCCCCAAAACCGTGGGGTTGCTTCGGAAACCTGTTAATAATAGATTATCGCCATTCTTAATTAATTTCAGAAATTTATTTATACAAACCGCTGATACTCCAAATGATAATGCCTTGAAATTCTTACCATCAATGCCTATTCTCGGAGAAAATCAAACCAAGGAGTTTTTAAGTGGAAGAGAAGCTGCATGTTCACCCTTAGCACTTCGATTATTTTCTATTGATGGGATTAAATCAGTCATGTTTGGACCAAATTTTATAACTGTAGAAAAGGTAAATCTGGATTTACATTGGACAATTCTCAAGCCTGAAATCTTTTCAATCTTAACTGAGTTTTTAACAAATGGACAACAAATTATAAGCGACGAGGCCGCATCCACACTTTCTAGTGATATGGCCATCAACGAGGATGATGATGAACTTATTTCTGCAATCAAAGAACTTATCTTCACCAGAATCAGACCTGCCATTCAAGACGACGGAGGAGACATTGAATTTGTTGATTTCTTACAAGATGGGACTGTTTTATTGAAGCTTAAGGGTGCCTGTAGAACTTGTGACTCCTCATCTGTCACTTTAAAGAATGGTATTGAGAGTATGTTGAAATTTTATATAGAAGAAGTTAAAAACGTCGAGCAGGTAGAAGATGATTATGTTATAGATCCAAATCTTTCATTTAAAAGTGATGAGAATTCTTTGGAAGTCTCTACTAACTCAGATGGTAATTTAACCACTCAACATTTCGAAACGGCCGTTTTAAAGCCGGTAAAACGCGAGGACAATGAACCTCCAAACTTGTAAATAGCCACCCACTCCAAAGTAGTGAGCTCTTGTTTATTGTTGGAAATCTACTACTACAACTGTTAATCTTTATATGATCGTTTTTTGCGTTGAATAAATACCATATAGATCCATTTTGTATCATTAGTACTATCGTCTTTTTTTTTTTCTTTCTAATATCTTTTTGGAATTTTGGTTGCAATTCTTGACTACAAGAATCATTTTTCTTTCAGTTTTAGTTTCTTACCTAATTTTTTATTATCAGCTTTAGGTGTTTGATTGGACACACCAATAGGGTGAAAATATGGATATATTGGAAACATATGAGGTTGACCTGGAGATGGTGGAATACCATACATCATTGGATGTGGGGGAGGTCCTTGAGGAAAACTTCCAGGAGTACCTACATTTGCACCTTGTCCATCAGTATATGAATCTTTAAAAATAGGAGAGGTCACAGGAGGTGACAGATAAAATGGATAAGAATGGCCAGGTGGCGGAGGATGCACATATCCATTTGGAGGTGAAATACTATCTTCCTCGTTAATATTATCTTCTTCACATGGACTAGTTTCCTTTTCAAATGACATCCGACCCGGAATAAACGCCTGATACCCATAATTAAAATTCATATATGGATTGAAAAAAAAAGTATTAAAATCTGGAGGTGGTAAATAGGGCGTTTGTATTATTGTAGAACCTGGAGGATAGGTTAACATTGGATCATGATTTGAATTTGTATTGCCATTTTGTAACAGACTTGGTAAACTGAATCGTTTGTTGGAGCCACTAAAAGATCCAACTTGAAGAGGAGTATGATAGAAATGGTGGAAACTTTGGCTGTGAGCTTGATTATTTCCATGTCCATGATATCCATTGTTTTTCTGAATAGCAAAAGATGTTTGAATCTCAACCATTTGTCCCTCTGAATCTATAATTGTCTTCCCATTTGTTAACAAAATAGCTTTGATAGCCATTTTAAAGTTTTGATAGAATACAAATCCAATTTTACCAACTAAATTAATATTTTCAGATTCAGGTTTTGGTTTATTTCCACCACCATTCTTATTTGAAGAATAAAATTGAGGTTTAATGATCTTTGCCGATTTAATTCCAAAATTTGAACAATCCTTTGTTCCAAATTGTAACCAAAATGATTCCCAAAGTATATCATCATTGTTAAAAAGAATCGAAAAATTATTGACATAAATATTTGTTTCTTGGTAATTTGATTTCTTAAGGTATGTACTTAAAATTGTACTTTGTAAATCTGGTGAAACAATATCAATAGTTGAATAATTATCATGGAATCCACGAGTAAATGAATATTGATCATGATTAAACTCATATAGATAATGGTTATGCTTATGCTGTGCAATGCAAATGTTAAGTACAGGCAAGTTCGTATTTGAATCATCATTAGAATTCATACTAGTTGACGATTTTGAATTAGATTTACCTTGTTCATTGAGGTCAGTTTTTTCTTCATGAAGCATTTCTTGTTCAATTGAAATCATATCATTTAAAATATCGTAAACATCTTCCTTATTAAATTTGAAAAATTCTTCGTAATTTAATCCATTAAGATAATATAAAGCCTTTAAGGAATTTTCATTACTTTCATTATATTCAAATGTAATATATCCAACATTCGATAATTTAAAGTTTGGAACATCATTTGATTCTAATTTTATTAATGGGAAATAAACAGAGGAAATTTTTCCGAATATTTCAAATTTCGATAAGAATGAATCAATAAGTCCAATAGAAGGATTTAATTCAGAAATGAACTGATTTAAATTCTCAACAAAGATAGTTCTATAATCATGATTATTATTGATATAATTTGAATTTTGTGCAGGTGGTTGCAAAATTGATGATGGCGGTGGCGGTGGCGAATTTGAAGATGAATGAATGACCGGATCAGATATAGAAAAATTTTGAAAATTTATATCATAATCTTCATTTAAATAATCTCTTGATTGTTGACGAAGTTTTCTTTCCTTTTTAGAAATGTATCGATTTATATAAATTGATTTTTGGTCAACATGAAATTGATTATTGTTAAATTTTAAATCAATAAAATAATCAACATCCAAATGATTACTAAACTTTAAAAATGCAAATGATTCATTATTCTCTTGAGGGAATAATTTGACATTATTCAATGATTTATATATGGAATTCTCAAGAAAGAATTCATATAAATGAGATTCACTTACTAAACATGTTGATAAGTTCTTTACAAACATATTTCCTGGATGTGAAATAAATCCATCATAATTGAAGTTAATGGAAAGTTTATGATCCTTTTTTTGCACTTCATCTTTGAATTGTATTAAAGATTTATACAATTTCTCTGCCAATACTTTATCATATACTGATATCAAGATAATTGAATCAAGTGTTTCAATATCTTTCTTAAGATCAATATTCATATTTAATAATTCTTGATCTGATGAGATCATCGATACTATATCTTGGTATAGTTGGGCTGTATCTCCTATAGTACTAACAATTATTTTCACTGGGAAATACGTATCGTTGATTGGTAATGCAGTTGACAGCAGCAGCAGTTGCAGCAATGGGATTGAGGTCGATGAATTTATTGTTTTCACGTCTTCTTCTTCCTCTTCATGATCTTGTTCAAATTCAGTATCATTTGCATCTCTCTTATTGTTTTGGTCCAGTACTAACTTCTTATTAATATCAAGAATGAATTTTATGTTTAAATCATTAGTTGTCATGATAAAGATAAAAAAAAATTAAAAATTAAAAAAAAAAATAAATTAAAAAAAAAAGATAATATTCACAGACAGTTGGAGTAGGGGACCTTTGTTTAATTATTTTCTGACAATTGGATTTGTTTGGAGAACCTCGATAACAAAATATGTGATTGGGTTTGAATGATAGTATCGAGTCTGTGGTTTATCAAATTAGCAGAATTGTTCCAGTAGTTCAATAATTTATTTTTAATGATGATTTCGATTGATTATTAATTGAAATTTTTAAAAGTATTTCCGAGCCCCGCTTAAATTAATGTATTGTTTAATTAATTTCAGTTGCAATTAACTAAGCAAGAGATATTCTTGGGTAGATTTTGAGGAGGGTTGACAGTAATATATCAAAAGTTTCAGGATGTATACGTAAACAGTAATTGGTTTTAGTGTACAATATCTGAAATCAATTATAAGGGATCCAAATTGAATGAATATGCAAAGACACGGGAATTGAAAAAAAAAAAAACGTCAAACACTCAATTGATAGGGAGGTAATTGAGTTCTTGGTTTTACTTCGATGAATAAGTTTCAAATAACCCAATGGAAGTGTTTATGATATGCTTATTCCAATAATTAAGTCACAACTAAGTCTTAAAGTCTCAATTCGTGCAGAACGATATCCTTGAATTATATATAGATCTTTTTGTACTGTGGTAAATAAATTAATGGTATAAATTAATTTCCTTCTTTGACAACAATCAAATAATGTTCTTCTTATTATACCAATTGAATGTATAAGTTATAAAGAATCGATATTAAATATGTATATATAATATGAATACTCTTGGATGTATAAGGGTTTGGTATAAACTGAAAAATATATAAGGGTAAAAATATAAATCAAGAAAAAATCCACCGAACGGCGGGATCTATTGTTCATATATAAATGTAAACTACTACATTGAATTTATTTTTATACTATGTGATATTATAATAATATACAGATTCTAAACTAATATTCTCTCACTTTCAAAATTAAAGATTCGATCCTAAATCGTACGCAAGGGGGTCTATACGGAAATCGGACCGCTATTTTTCAGATGCATACATCACGTTTGATTATGTAAGCGCATGTTCAATGCAGCCTAAAAAAATGACTGACAAAGTATAGAAGAATGTATCATCTATCTGTTTGTTTATAAATTTTAACTTATACTACATGAAAGTAAAATATTCCATGATTGACAATGTATGACTAATATTGTAGAAGAATGAAGTCTAAAAATGGTTACATTTAATAAAATAATAATTGATATAAGTTAAAATGTTACATTTTGCCACCAGAATTAAAGTGAGTAATATCTTTATACGAAAAAAAATTAAAAAAATTATTATTATAATAATTAATGCGCGTACTATTTGTGTCTAGGCATTCATCGTGGTCATGTGGTAACTTTAATACCGATGGCTCTAATACCTAAAAGGGTTATCGGCCGAAATTTATCTCCATCACTCCCGACATTAACGGAACAAATCAGTTTTAGAGCAAATAAAAAATAATATATATCTGAAAGTATATAATGACCTGACATTTTCAAAACCGGATCAATTATAGCCATTGACGTTCGTGGATTGCATTACTTCGGTTATCGAATGTATAGATAAATATTAGAATTATGTCACCCCTCTCCGCACAAACGGTTTTAATAAAATGTAGAGAATCATAAATCAGGTTAAAAAAAAAAAGGTGGAATTAATTCCATCTTTCTCAATGTGTGTTTTTTTTTATATTCTTTTTTTTTTTTTTTTTGTATAAACTCCATATAATCCTCCACTCTGTGCCTCGTAATGTCTGCGGCTCTAAGACATCCTGAAGCGATCAAATATTTCTTATTTAGAATTTGACAAGTGTAACTTTATTTCTATAACAAACACTTAAAGAACACGAAACGCATCACAACTTCGCCACCGATATAATAAAATACGCGACGATAAAGATAAACAAATTGTCCACCACTTTCAATTGACATATCTAAGCCAAGGTTGAAAAATATTGAGTCAATTAGAGTATACTATGAGCCCGCAATATCTTTTGTTTTTCAATCGCCAATTGTACCAAGCTTCGTACATTTGAGTAAAAAATAATAGGATTATTAATATACATTGCATACTTGGGGGGATCATGAAAAGCCCCTCGTATAATCTGATATGGTGGCAAATTATTTTCAGTTGTTGCCGTATGAACGGAACAAACTCAAGTCACTCTTCCGATATATTTTACCTTTCTGTAGTTTATTTTATTTTTTATCACATTTTTGCTTTTCTTATTTTAGTTCAATTTATTTTTATAATTTAGTTGTGTACCACCAACAAGTTTCACGTGCCTCAATTGTATATTAGGACTTGTGGAGAGAGGAAGTGTGCATTCCGCAGATTCCAAACGCCGTGTACAGATTTTAAGATAGATGAACCCCTAACTTCTATAGATCATTCGTCTTATACAAATGTGGCGGAAAATTGAAATTAAAGATTAAATGATAAACATTATACAAACAATGAGAGAGATATGTGTTAAAAATGGCATTTACGGTCGTGATAGAGTTTTCTTGGTTTTGCAATATGATTTCTTTTTCGTTATAGTCCGTAGACCAAAAAAAGTGGGGACCCTCGCAAATTAGTCCCACATAACTTTTGATAGTTATATGCAGTACTCGCGATCCATTATGTAAGCGATATATTCAAAATGGATTATATTCAGAGTTGTACATAAAGCAGAGTTGTTCAAAACAATAATAAATCCAAATTGACAAGAATGTCCAATTATACCACTTCTGCTACCACGTCATTATCATTACCATTGTCTGGAGCGTTGGATTTGTCGGTAATAATACCAACCAATCGACCAAAAAACAATGAACGTAATAAAACTGCTATTTCTTTATATATAACTCAGAATGGCATCTATCAACCAATTGGTTGTTATGTGTATTCCATACCAAACGTAAGTTCATAGTTATTCTTTTTTTTTCCACTTATTTTAGATGAAGGAATAAGAGACTCGGTATACTAACAGAAAGGCATCAAATGAGATTTATAGTACCATATTAAATAATTCGAATGAAAACCTTGTTGATTTAACTAAAAAAATGTCAGCAATTTTATCTAAACGATATAATTCTCCTACATATGTTAATCTTAATGGATCATTTTCTATTGAAGAATTTACCCCACTAATCGGTGATGTAATCAGCTTCATTGAAGAGAATTTCAATTCAAGTATCGAAAATGAATGAATGAAAGACAAAATCAAATAAATAAAAAACACAGGTACAATATCTATGAAATAAAGAGGAAACATTAAGGAGAAATTTGACTTACTATCTATAGACATCAATACCATACACATAGAAGAGGACCAAAATAACCCATGATAAAGGATTGGTGTAGTGCGACATTTTTATAGATTATATATTTGAGACGACATTTTCCGCTCTTCGCGACATACCTCATCTCTTAAGAAAAAATACCATATCTCATCACACTCTTTCTCTCCTAATAATTGAACAATAATAATGGAAGTTAATAGACCTCAGACTAAACTGCAAAGATCCAGAAAGGGTAAGAAGGCCTGGAGAAAGAATGTCGATATTGATGATGTTCAAGCTGGTCTTCATGACAAAAGTGAACATGAAAGAATCTTCGGTAAGGAATCTAGTGATGACTTTGTTTTAGATAATGAAGGTGATTCCAAACTTGTAAGTAAGAACCAACCTAAGAAGTTGAAGAGTTTAGAAATTCTTGATAAGAGATCCAAGTTCCCAGCTTTGAATGTCGTTAGAAATAATAAGAAAATTCAAGGTGTTGATAGATCTGAAGTTCATAGATTGATGAAACTTTCTGGTAGAGTGAATGGTATTACTGCAACTGAAGCTAGAATCGCCAAGAATGGTATAACATCAACCAAGGTGACTGACCTTTGGGCTGAAGAAGAAGAAACCGTTGAAACCCCAGAAATCTTGAAAAAATTCAGTAGTTCAGAATGGACTAAAGCTAAGAATATGCCAAAGACTTTGAATGAATCACCAATCATGATAAAAAGTGCAGACAAGATTATATCAGGTAAATCTTATAACCCATCATTTGAATCATGGAAGGCATTATTAAACGAAGAATTCACAAAGGAAAGTGGCAATGAAGAAAAACGTCAACTTTTGAAGGAACATCAAGAAAAGATTAAGAATTTAATTGCTAATTTGAATGACAATGAAGAAGAAGATTCATCTGATGATGAAGAAAGTGAGAAGAAGGCAGCAGTTGAAGAAGTTGAAGAAGTCACAAAGGATTTCAAATTGTCTATAAATAAGCCAACTCAAGTCAAGATTAAGACCAAGACTCAAAGAAATAAGGCACTTAAGCATAAACAAAGAGAAGAATTACAAATGAAGTTAAAGGAATTAAAGCATCAAATCCATGAATTGAATAAATTAGAAGAATATGAAGTTGAAGTTGAAGAAAAACTCTCTAATAAGAGAACTAAGAGAGAAAAGGCACCACTGAAATTGTTTAAATACACCAATGTTAATGATCAATTGGAAATAAAATTATCTGATGAAATATCTGATTCTTTAAGAAAGTTGAAACCAGAAGGTAATTTATTATATGATCAAATGAGAAACCTTCAAGATAGTGGTAAGATTGAAGCACGTATTCCAGTCAGTAAGAAAAGAAAGTACACTCCAAAGATTACTGAAAAATGGACTTACAAGGATTTTAAATAATACTTATATATTTATCTTTTTTACTTCATATTATTTAAGAGTTATCTCTAATATATAATCCATTTCGTTTAATGTTTTGATCATGTACTAATACCCATAAAAAGAATATTGTTCACAGTCATGAGTGCTCATACAAAGAACACCCAGTTTAGTATAATGCAATGACTTCAGTTCAATATGAACCGTTACCTTACGACAAGTCCCATTCTCCAGTGACATATCCCTTGTACAATCTTTCTCTCAAGAGGAAGAATTGGTTTCTGTTGGCAGTCCAGTATTGTTCTAATTGTGGTTGGCTAGTCTTGAAGGCTTCAGGAGCAACAGCATCACTGGTTTGACCTCTTCTAACACCAGTCAATAAGAAGTCTCTCTTCATCATCTTCTCATCGAACAGGTCCAAGTCAAATCTATCGTTCTTCCAACCATTGTCCCAATATCTTATAAATCCAACCCCGTGTCCGGCAAGGCCGAAAAAGGCCGCCATAATGGTGTATGGGATCAACCCTTCAAATGGAATAGCCATGTTTAATGTGTATTAAATGGAGTATATCCTTGTATATATTAAATGCTTAAGTTTTGATGTCAACCAGAAAAAATTAAATTTGATTGGATAGAAAGTTGTGAATTTGTGTAATTTTGGCAAATGTGTCACGTGCCCACAATAAAAGTGAAACAAATATACAACATTCATGCAAATAGATTGACATTATCGGATAGTGGATAATTGAACAACATTATAGAGTAAATTTGTTTTGATACTAAATTTTTTAATTCTGTCGTACATTTTTGGTTACTTTTTGTTTTTTCACATCCATATAAGTTCTTCCTAATTTATTCTCTTGAATTAATCACATAATAAAATCTACAGTTTATTTCTTTTACTCTTTCTTATCATAATATTTCACAATATTCTAATCCATTAACTTTTGTATCCTTCTATTGGGATTCATCCCACAATCGTTTGACAAACCTATCCATTCTAACCTTTACTTTCAGTTGGGTGAGACACCATTGATGTTTTAACATTTGACTAGGTGAAGGTCTATCTTGTGGATTTTTCTTCAAACAGTATTTAATAAAATTTTTAAATGCTGCTGACCAATAGATATCATCTTCTGGAACATCTTTTAATTCAGGCTCATATTCCAAAATCAAAGATAATAATTCAATTGGTCCCATATTTAATAAATTATGATCAGTTCCAGTTCCAGTTCCAGTTCCTGCTGAAAATGGGAATTCACAAGTAGCTACTTCAAGCAAAGTTAACCCCAAAGACCATACATCACAAGTAACTGTATATGGTTTGCCCATTATTCTTTCTGGTGCCATATAGTATTGTGTACCAACAAATGTAGTCGCTAAAGAGTTCACAACTTCGCCACTGACTCCAAAATCACATAATTTCACATTACCTTCAGAGTCTAATAAAATATTTTGAGGTTTAATATCTCGATGAATAATTCTTTGCTGATGTAAATAATCTAATCCCTTTAGCACTGATTCAGCTATTTTCCCCAACACTTTTTCATTTATTCTATTTGCTGGATCCAATTCAATAACTCTATGATAAATTGCATCTAATGATTTACCACCCATATATTCCATGGCAATACCAATCATCAGCAGTTTTTCAATTAAGAATGTTCCATAATATTTCACAATATATTTACTATCACATGATCGATTATATTGTAATTCTCTGACAATTTGCTTTTGAATTTCTGGATTTGGATCTGTATTAATCATTTTAAGGGCAAATATAGTATTACCATTTTTGAGTTTACATCTTGAAACACTTCCTCCATTCCCTTCCCCTAATTTATTTAATTCGATAATTTCATTTTTTTGGGCAACATCATGCCAATCTTCTGGTGCCAAATCTTCAACATCATCAGTTGAATTTCTTCTTGGAATTGGTGTCGATTTTTTATTTTCTGTATTACTTTCCAAATTAGAACTATTAGGGTTGCTAGTTGGAGTCAATACAAGATCATTATAAATATCATTTGTTTTTGTCACTGTTGTGGTCTTATTAAAATTGTCGTTAGAAGTGAAAGGGGTGACATCATTTTCATTAATAGTATTGATCTTTAAAGTATTATTATTATTTTTATTTGGGATATTAATATCTCTTTCATTTTTATTATGTTCATTAAATTGTTCATTATTAGTTGGTTCATTTTTGTTTGAATCTGGAGTATGATTTGATTTGCTTGGAGATGTATCGATCTTTAGATCATTTGACGCTGGAGTTTCCAAGTATGAATGTGACCCGCTTATTCTCAGAAAATCAATTGGTGGAGGTTTCCTTCTAGGAGGCTTTTTAGCAGATCCTAGTGATAATTGTTCCATTGGAAGGGTATCGGGATTCAGTATTGATACTGGCAGTGGGATGAGTAATGCTGGAAGTTTCCCATTATTCTTGGAATAGGACGGCACATTAAACATATAGGAGTTATTAGACATACTTCTTCAAACTGTAAAGACAATCTTCCTCTTATAACACTTTTAATGAACGTGATTATATATATATATATCCCCTATATTCTGTCCCTTGTCCTGTTTTGGCCTTTACGTTTTGGTTGGTATTACGGTACCTAAATTAACAAAACCACAGAATTTTTATCGTCCAGAGAGAGAGAAAAAGAAATCTTCTTATTAAACAATCTGACGTGGGAGATATTTTATACAACTTGAACCCCCCAAAAAATATTATATTGATAATATATTTAATGTTAAAACAATATTAGAGAGATTGAGAGGAAAAAAAAAAAGAATTTGAGAAATAGACGTTCCTCAAAACATAGGAAAGGTAACATGGATGAAACTCTACACAAAACCTTTTCAAATTTATAACATCTAAATAAGTTTTATACTGGAATCGTATCGCATTTATTGCGTTTATAGTATTTAAACACCCCTTCCACATCCCTTTCCATGTATCTTTCTCTAACTTACACATGTATAGTTTCAACCCTGAAGTTGTGTGTACACGACCTTTTCCACTATGTTTCAAAATTTTTGAGACGGCAAAATACATTACAAAAATAAATAAATAATAAAAATGATAATAATAATAAAATTTGAGTACCCCTTTACGCGTTTTTATAGAGCGGTTTCCTAAGACAGATCAAGTAAATGTGGGTATAAATTCATTTGAGTCCCCGCTAATTCTTCTATAAATTTTGCCGATTATATTTAAATAAAATACAAATGTAACATTGCTACGCTTTACATGGTACCTTAATGGTATTTGTTCATTCGGCAATTACGTGGAAGATGTCTCTTCGGTGCATACCGCAACAGAAAAATGCATTGACTTGCATAGGAATATATTTTTTCCGTCTCTACTTATTTGCTAACCATCACTACAGTAATAATGCATGGAGTCCTATTCAAATTAAATTATATTTACTTCGTTGTCTTTTTCTTTGTAGCCTTCTTTGGTGCAGCCTTACTTTTGGTCTTTACTTGTTTAATCAATTTGTCCTTTTTAGCATCAATCTTATCATCACTTCCATTTTCCTCTTCATCTTCATCTTTATCATTCGTGTCATCTTCGATTACATCTTCAAAATCAACTTTTTGCTTAGTTCTAGTATTTCCAACAGAGTTACCAGTTTTATATATGGCAGTTGGATGTGCCCTTGAATTGTATTTTCTTGTAAATGCAGTTTTAGTCTTTGTAGTAATTTTCTTCATATATGTGTCACTCTTGGATGGTCCAATACCAAACTCACAAATTGCATCCCAATCTTCCTTTGTAAGATAGTAATGGTCCATAATATCAATCACCTTATCAATACCCAATTCTTGTTCTTTAACAATCGGATCAGTAAGTGTCTTGATAAGCAATGGCATATAATCCAAACGAAGTTCGGTTTTATCAGTAAATGTTCTTAATCTGGTATGATATTGCAACTCTTGTAATAATCTTTCAAATTTCATAGTTTTGGAATTTTGTCCTAACCAAGCAGAAAAATTAATTCTTTGAGTGACGGATCCAGCGATTTCCAGGGATGGCTTAATGGATGACATGACTGCATGGAATGGTAATAAACTCCATTGTTGTTCACTTGATCTAATTAACGAATTAATGTGATCTGATTGTGAAATATCATCAGCTGCATTGGCAACTCTTTCTAAATGTTCAAAAGTTGATGTACAATTTGATGGTCTGGTACATATATAGTTTTCTTGAATCATTAATGGAGTGAAATCAATATCATTGAAATACAAATTAATCTTATCGTTAAGTGAATGCTTTGCCAATGGACTATAGATTTGTCCATTTAATAACTTGCCAGCAATATCAAAAGGTTTAAGAATAGTTTCCTTTTTCCAAGATTCAGAAATATCTTTTGTTTGATCATGCCCAATTACTTTTTGAGTTTTAGAAACTGTTGAAATAAGATTAATCATTTGACGGATATCGTTATTGGTTGCTCCAACCAATTGTCCAATCACCGAAGGATCAAGTTTAACCTTTTCACGAAGAGCAATAGTCATTAATCTCGCCTTAACTTCATTTTCTGATGGTCTTCTAAATGGTAAATCAAGGGTAATTCTATCAAATATTCTCATCTTAGGTAATGATTTATCATTACAGATCAAGATAATTGGCATCTTAGTTATTCTACAGAATGCGGATAATGCACCTGCACCACCATGATCACCACTAGACATACCATCAACTTCATCCATTATCAAACAAAACTTCTTTTCATTAACGCTGTGCTCCTTGTCGCCTCTGTGTTTAAAGAATCCAACAACTGAAGTATTGTTTAAGACTGACTTGATGCTAGCATTCAATAGAGACTTGGATCTTACATCAGATGCATTTTTTTCAAGAACATCAAATCCTAAACTTTTCGCAACCAAATGAGCTGCTGAAGTTTTACCAATTCCTGGAGGTCCACTGATTAAACAAGCACGGAAAATTCCGGATCCATCACTCCCTGGATTTTTAAAATCATGTTTGGAATGTTCAAACCAAGCACTAAGCCAGGATCTTAATTTGTTAACTTGTCCCTTATTACCACATAATTGTGATAATTCTCTTGGTGCATATTTAACGGTCCATAATTTTTCACTATCTGGAATCTCCCGTTTTGGAGATGCAGCTCTTTGACTCGAAGATGTACTAGACGCAGCACTTCTTGCTCTGCTGGCTTCTTCTTGTTGTCTGGCCTTTTCTTTGGCTCTTTCTCTTGCTTCTTCAGCTTCAACTTCTTCTTGAACCTTTCTTTCTTCTTCTTCTCTCTTTTCCTTTGCCTTCAATGCTGCTTCACCATCTCCACCTTCAGCTGGCATGCTTGTAAGTAATTGGATGAATCCTTCTTCATTTATGGCTTTAATGTTCAATTTTTTGATCTTGGCAACCTTGGATGGCCCTGCTTCATCGCCTATGACTACCAAGCTAGTCTTACCCAGAATTGCCTTGGTAACTTTGGCCCCATACTTCTTGGCCATATTTTCAGAGGCATCACGATCTAAAGTAGGAAGTACCCCTGTAAATACAATTGTTAAACCAGAAAGACAATTTGGTGCGGCCTCTGGAATACTAGGAGCTTCACTAGACTGTCCTCCAGCATTAGCTGCACCGGCTTTCTTGAAAAAGTTGAATCCCTTCTTAGCCTCTTCTGGATCTTGATCTGGTAAATCAGCATCTGGGATTGTAGCCAAGACTTCTTCTGCAGATTTCGACCCTGAACTTCCTGAATTAGTATTGGTACTAGCAACTACTGGCTTTGCAGCTGGCTTCTTCTTAGGACTTGGTTTTGGCTTCGGTACTGGAGTGGTGGCTCTTTTCTTTTCAACAATTGAAGGTTCTTCAATTTCAATAATTGAATCATCTTTCATATCTTCTACTTCTGCCTTCACATCCAACATTTCATCGTCTGAAAATTCCACATCATCATCAATGTCAATTACATCTGTAGGTTTGAATTCATCTTCACTATCACCATCATCGGATTCAACTACATAAGTAGTCTTCTTGGCCGTACTTCTACGAGTTGGCTTTGCAGATTTCAGTTGGAAGTATTCACTTGCTACTTTATCAGAATCTGAATTCTTTGGCTTCTTAATCTCTGGTTTATCTTCAGCGTTAACTGTACTACTAGTACGTTTAGTTTGCTTCGCTTGTGGAGGCTATAAAGAATACGGTTAGTATAAACTCAAATCAATTGAATCAATTGTATCACTTACTTTCAAGGGTTGCTTTTTCGTTGCCTTGGGACCTCCTAATAAGTCGCTGATATTAACCATGTTCTCAAAGGAATGTCTCTTAACGAAACTAAAATCAATTAGTGCTACTCTAGTACTCAAATCTAAATCACTACACGCACAAAACCTGAAATTGTAATGTTTGAAAATATAAAGAAAAATAAAAAAAAATATATATATATTTAAATATTAAGGTAACTCACGCGTTTACATTATCTTGATGAATGGTATTTACTTTTATATATTTATACATATATATGCTATTTAGAACCTTGTGATGACTCCTTTTCCAAGTAATCTGTCCAAAGGGAAATAAAACTTTCTCGGAGAGGTCTTTCAGCACCTTCAGGTCCCAGGGATGATCTTCTATGTTTTTGTTGTGTAGTATTAGAATTGGCCTGACCATGACTAAGACCAGCTGCCACCTTTTTGGATTCATCCCATTCTAGTAATGCACTGATTAATTGTAAAGCCTCGAATTTCTTTGGGTCCCCTCGTTGAAACTGTAAGAAACTGACAACAACGTTTGATATGAGCTCCTTATCTATACTGTCCTTCAGTGAACCCAGTTGTTGTTTAATCATAGTGAGAGATTTAGTCAAATGTTCATTTAAAATAACCGCTTCATGACGTAATTTCCCAATAATTAACAGTTTAGTATGAACTTCTGATTCAAGATTAGATACCTTTTTCATCTCTTCTTTATATGTTTCAATCTCCTTTTCCTTGTCAGAAATTGAAACATTTAAATTTGTGATTTCATTTAAGAGTTCTGTCTTTTCTCCATTAAACTTTTTAATAACATTCTCATGTTTATTCTTTTCACTATTGATTTCTTGATCTTTAGTTTCAATTAAATCTTTAGCCTTTGATAATTCATTATTTAAATTTGAAATTATTGCTTCTTGGTTATTAACCTTTTTTTCAAGTTCTTCAATAATAACATTTTTATTCTTGGTTTCCATTTGTATTTCATCATTTACAATTGATAACTCTTGAATTTCAATCTTCATATCTCCAATCTTTTTGTTTAATCTAGCATTAGTATTTTCTAAATTATACTTTTCATCCAGTAAAGTGTCATCTTTTGCCTGGAACTCCCTACGTAATTGTGTCAATTGTTGACTTAATCGGTCACATTCACCATTCAATGTTGTACTTTCCTCTTTCAATACACTGACTGAATTGTTTAAACTTTTATTTTCTCCTTCAAGTTCCTTTACTTTACCTTCAAGATTTTCATTGGATGACGTGGTAGATTCCAACTTTTCTCGAACAACTTCAAGTTCAGTTTGTGCCTCTTTCATCTTACTAAAAACAGATTTCATTGAGCTTAATTTACTGAGAAGGTTATCATATGCTGATTTAATTTCTTGTCTTTCCTTTTCAGATTCTTCAAGTTTGTCCTTCAAATCATTTAATTCATTGACATTATGATGTCCATTTGATTTAGAAGTAACTACTTCATCCACTAATTCTTCTTCTTCTTCTTCCACTTTTTGTTCTTCATTTTCCTCTTCATGCTTTTCTGCTTCACTTATATTTTCTCGTATTTCTTCGCTAGTGGTAGTATCTCCATTCACAGATGAACTTGATATTGTTGTTGACTTGTCATCTTGATCATTAAGAGATTTATCATTAATGATTTCTTTATTGACATTTGACTTCGATTCCTCGGAAGCTTTATTTGTCAGCTTCTTCTTGTTCTTTGCCATTTCCTTATGGAATAATGTCCTCGAATTACCTTATTATTTATAAATCTTATTAATGTATATCACCCCAATATTCATTTTACGTAACTCAGAAAACAAAAGCCGCTGGACTGCACACACAAAATCCATTTTGCGATCTCATTCTATATATCCCCAATCTACAGTTTATTTTCCTCAATCTCGAATTTGAACCAGTAAGGAAAAAATTACCTTGAGACAATATATCTAGCAATTAATATACTAAAACTCTCAAAATAAAATAATCCACTAGTAAAACAGAGATATTATTGAGAAAATAAAGAAATAAAAATTTGGACTTAATAGTCCTTTTGTAACATTAAACTTTTTATTAAGAGTAGAAGAAAAATTTCATTTTATACACACTGACATGATAGTACAGCAACAAGGTAAGCTTTACCTAGCTCTCCCCCCAATACTTGAATAATATATATTGTTATATCTTTATTGAGTTGGTTTAGATGTTAGATGGGTACAACATAATTCTGACGGAAGCACCGAAAGTCTTAGATGGCAAGTTCTTCTTGAAGTTAGCTCTGACGAGACCGTTGTTACCGTGAGTTCTGGTGACCTTACCCCAGATAACTCTAATCTTAGAACCTCTGACTTCCTTGGAAGCACGGTAGACGTAAGCAATACGCTTTCCTAAGTAGAACTTAGCGTCTTGTGTAGAAGAGACACCTTCGATTTCAACAATAGAGACGTTAGGGTTGTTAACGCTCTTAGAACGTTGGTATGTCAAGTGCTTACCTTTAACGTATACTAGAAAATATGTTAGTAAATTGAAAAGAATATTGAGCTTGTAAAGCCAATCGATAGAAATGTAAAACTCTTTGAATGCTTATCCTCAGAATGAAAATTTTTGCCCTACCAAGAAATGAAAATTTTGTACAATCAAAAAGTATAAGCCTGATAAGTTTCATTCTCGGCAAGGTCAACAAAGTATTGATAGACCTTGTTTGTATTGTAAGATACTTCAATATTGAAATCTTATTATCGATCATATCACACTTTATGTAATAATTTTTATGGTCAAAGTGCCACCTCTAAGGTGAATTTTCAAACCAGCGTTTTCAATATCGTTTCACACTTCCATCGTTGGTCTACTTCATTGCCATTCATTGATGGTATTGCTGTGTAATATGGTACATACATCTGTGGGATTCAGCCATTTTAACTTGTGTGTCTAATGTATGAGTATATCAAAATTGTAAACTAAAAAATCTGAAATTTTTTTTGTCTAAAGGTCCTCCCAGGGTAGTATACAGTTCGTTGTGCAAAACGGATGTGAGAATAATTCGCATTGGTGGGTGTTTGGATGTTACGCAGTTTTTCGGCACACAAAATTGAAGGTCGTGCAAATATAGTGCGTAGGTGAATTAATTCGGTGTACTGTAGTCACATGACAAGCCCTAGCTTTTTGCACGTGAGTATGGAGAAGCCCTAATCTCAATGATAAATCATTTATTGCAGCATTAAATGATACTGATATATGGTTGCAATTGATTTTATTTAATAACCATTCAATTGTATATAGATATAGATGTATTTAATTTAAAAGTTATTCGACACAATTATATAGAAAGGTCCTTTTCTGCTGCCCATTTTTCAGTGTTAAATCTCCAATGCGTAGCAGAACCGGTATCATATTTTGATTGTAGTAATGATCCCGATGGTCCATTGTGTATAGATAAATTACCTTGGTTGGCCAAACTCAAGAATTTATCTTGTCTATCTTTATTAGCCAAGTAGTCTACATTGTCAAACCATCTAGCATCCCAAGTAACCTCAGCTTCTTTCTCCTTCTTTCTTAATTCACGTTGAGCATTTTCAATTATAGTCTTTTCCTTACTGATCAAATCATAGTCTGACTTCTTAATTGCTTCTGCAACCTTAGCCCAAGCTTTTCTAGATTCCAATTCATTTTGTTCGTTAATTGGCTTCACAATTAAACCTTCTGGCTTTTTATTTTGTGCGTCATAAAACAATTCATCAGACTTACTTGATGGAGTAGATGAGCCTTTACAGATATAAGATTTGTCTGACCATTGTCCTGATATGGTAGCTAAAGCAGACTCCTTGTGAGCACTAGCAAGCAGGTCACGGAAAATTCTGGCTTTATAAGTATTCTTCTTCCCTGAAAAGTAACCTCTTCCGGAAAAGTCAATTGAAGACATGAATCCAGTAGAACTTTGAATATAAGCAGTGCCTTCAAGTTCTACAAATGGAGCAGCAGTAATTAAACCTTCAATGTGAAGTGGTGGTAAAGTAATCAAATAAGATTCACCAAGCGACTTATATTCAAGGACTGCATGGCCATATTGCTTTACAGTAATACTAGCAGTTGAAATTGTGGCTCTGATCCCGTTGTACCCTTGAAGTAAGACATCATTCTTTTCATTTCTAATTGCATAAGCAGTCACTGGTGGGTGGTGGGATACTTGTTCTGATATTAAAGTTGTTTCACCTAGTTTGCCATCAGCGGATTTATCTTCCCATTTCCCAAGGAATACTTCACCAAGAAATGGATTGAGTGGTTTCTTTTCAGAACCCATACTCTCATTACGCAGACAGTATTGCGAACGTAATGTTGAAATGAACCACCTGGTAACTGCAATAATTCTCTTTAATGCAAGTGCCTCCTTTTCTTGGGAATCGGAATTTTCGGAAGAAGCCAAATGAACTGGTTCAATCAAAAGATCTGGATGTTCCGCCCAGTATTGTGAGTATTCCACCAAAGATGTTGGTGACAAAATAAATGGAGGAGCGGTCAAAGAAGCCAAGTCACCATTGAATGATGCAATTGACTTGAGAAAGGATGACCAAGAACTAGACTGTGTTACAGACATCTTAATTTAATTTAATCTAATTTATTTTATTTTAGCTGATCGTTTTCGTACGGATCTTGACTGGGTTACTTAATAGTCTCTTCTCACTACGCTTCAGAGTACAAAGATTGATACTAAACAAGTATTCCAGATTGGATTTGATTGATGTTAGTACGAATTCACTCCTTCAGTTGAAGTGTATACGATATCCCATACGAGGAGATGCGTGCGCTGGCCAAGCCAAGATACCGGAAGTGTCAGTAGAAAGTGCGATAACCGAACTTCTGGTCTTACAGAGAATGTTTTGCAACCATAACCATTTCAATATATATGTATAATTCTGACTTTCTATTAAAAGAAGGTTGTGCATTGTTTAGTCTCTCTGACATTTTGTTGAAAACGTAATTGATTTTATATACTATACATCACAATTTTAAACTACTATGCTCACTTTTTATATAATTTTATATTATATGTAGCATAAAATCTGTTAAAAATCTGTTAAAAATATGCTAACACTATTAAAGTATATAAAGAAGTAACCATCAACAATATCCAAGAAAATGTAGATATAGTTTAACAAAGAAATGTTAAAAGATCAAGTGTTTTTAACTTTGATACTCGCCATTCAAGTTTTGGCATTTAATTTTCACAATGGTTCAATACAACATGTTCAAAGTATTCCAACTACAAATAATGTTAAAGTCCAAAATTCCCCTGAAACTCTCTATAAGTTCAATTCAAAGTCACAATTAAAGACTAAGCCACTGTTATTAAAAGATTTGAATAGCGTATTCCAATTTAAGGAGGAAAATCTGGTTATTTCTTACGATTATAAGGAAAAAAGTTGGTATGAATATGAGTTTGATGATAGAGCAGTGCTTGAAGTTTTTCCAGATCTTGTACCTGTAACAATGTGTTTCGATAGTTTCAACGGTACAGGGGGAGGAAGTATACAACAAAGCTATTCATTTTCCATGACGTTTACAAATAAGGTATATTCTGCAATTAAATTCAACGTGTCTGATCTTACCATTAGTGCAGCCTTGGGATTTGAATTAGCATCATCCGTCTCATTTACAGGGTCTTATAGTTGTGATATTCTGAATGGTCAGTATGGGCAGATGTTTATTGAACCATTCTATGTTGATGTCCCTGAGGGAACTAGGCAAAAAGTTTATTATAAAGATGGAATTGTTAAGTATGACCAAGTTCAAGAGAAGACTCCGTCTTTCAAAATTCTATCAACTTCGAACCCAAATCATTATTGTATTGTTGACACAACTCCAACTACATTGCAATGTGATAAAACCATTGGACAATGGAATCCACAACAGTTTATCTAATTGTTTCCATGTTTTTGAAAAAAAAAGACAAGCAAATTCTGTTGATGCAAATCTATTAATTCTTTAACTATACTTAAATCTTAATATAAATCTTATTCTTATTCAAAAGAATAGCCACTGTTGCCAAGATAGCCCCATATGTACATAATATACCAAATGCAACCGCATCTCCAGTATCTAAGGTGTTGATTGTCATGTTTACTAGACCAGTGAGTAAGTTTCCTAATAAGAAACATAATAACCCGTTATTGTTTGTAGATTCAAGTAGCGTGGATCCAGTTTCTCCATTCTCACGACGAACCAACCTATCAACCAAATTATAGCCTAAGAGAAATGTAGAACTATGAGAAACAACCCAAAGAACATATGAAATATTTGCCATTCTTCTTGAAACGTTATTGAAAGATGGAGATTCTGCCACATATCTGTATAAAAACTGATAGAAGATAGTTGATATAATGAGCCCTTCAGTAGTAGAAACGGTTAACCAAGATGAAATAGAATTTTTTCTCTTTTTCGATTGAACAAATTCAGCGTATGTTGACATTTTAATTAAATTTTGGGGAGTCTTAAAACTAGTTAATACAAATGATCCAAATGATTGACCAAAGATAAAGATACTTAAATATCCAAAGAATGAAAAGATACCCTCTTTATTTTGCAGAATCAATGAATCCATTCTATTATCAGTTCTTAAGATAAATGTTAATAAATCAGTTTTTGTTAAGAAAAGTTCATATGTAGAAGTAATGACAAGCGCAACCAATGCACGAGGGAAATAATTAAGGATAGGGTCTAAAATTCCAATGACGATAGGAAGAGCCCCTAAGGTGAAGAAAAAATTCCAATGAATACCATATTCGGTAACATGTTCTTGATATTCCAATGACTTTACACTAACAAGTCTAATGAGACCAAGAGTTAAAACTGGTAAGGATTTAACAAAATTTCTCCATACTAATGAAAGATAAGTACCAAAATGGAATTTGTATTTTGAGTTTGAAGGGTCAAAAGTCTGTCTAATAAGCAGTCTTGAGTTTACCAACCCCATTGAGAAAACGAAGGCACCAACCCCAATATCCATTAATGATGTACCCCACGTTTCAACTTTGGCAAACCTTCTGGGGAACACAGGGAAATCCACTGCAAGGATGGCAAAGTTAGTTATGATGATCATATGAGATCTATAAGCAGTCACAAACGATTTCCGTTGAAGGATATTTACATCCTTATTATTTTTCTTGTTTTGATTAACCTTAGGGTCTTTTTGGTACTGATACGAAAGAACCAATGCCAATAAAGCAGGCACTGCGATTATAACATGGAGGTATTTGGGGTTACTACTATACAAGGTAATACCAAGAAGGATAGAAACTGCATTCAATGCGTAATCTATGGGCAAATTCAAATCATTTTGATTGAATTTTTGCAACAATGCAAATGACATGTATGCGGTTAGTGCGACACCAGTTACAAGGTATATTTCATATTCTGAACCTCCTAAGAGGTCGGAAACAAACTTTTCCTTTCTTTCCTTCAATGTCAGCATGGCAATGGTATTGTTGGAAACTGAATTGCACAACAGTAGACTTAGAGACTAATTGTCTATGGTGTATTTATTTTATTTAATGACCCACAACTGATGGTATTCATGTTGACAAGTCAATGAATAATGAGATTGTGTGCGCGCGTGTAGTTACGTGGATACAGTCGTGCACATGTGACTTAAAAAGAAAAAAAAAACAGGATTTGGGTTAGTTTCGCACACGACCACTCAGCAAAATTATGGTGATTACGGCTCCAAGCCACACAGTTTATGATAGTGAGCATCAATACATCTATTTATACTGATCTATAATAATTCCCAGATCAACACTAGGCGGATATATCTGATTTGGGGTAAACAGTCCCATCGGCTAATTTCTGTGTCATTTCACTATTACTTTGCACTAGTAATATTATCATTACTATCTACAATCTTCAAATTATTATTATTTTTTTTTTTGTGGAGTTAAAATTAACCCAACGTCCAACAGCCAAAACGTTGAGCAAACAGACACATATTTAAAATGCCGGTAGATAATGATGGTGAGCTGTTCCAGTTTCAATCACCTCACTCTACCCCGCTGTCTCCAGCACTTTCAGCGTCTGATTCGCTCATGAATATTACTCCATGTACGTCACCATCGCCAGAAGATGAGTTTGTGATTTACTCTGATTCAGATGCTGCTTCACAAAATTCTCTTTCTTTGAGGGCAGTTAACTCTTCCGTGTCCGACACAGGTTCAGCAACCAAACCAAAGATTAAAACAACGCCATCCAGAAGCCGATCTCCAAGAAGAGATTCTTCTGAATCCACACCAAGTCCTAATCCAAAAAGACGTATACGACGGAAATCCAACAAATCAGATGTCAGTGAGAAGTCACATCGGTCTTCCTTAAGAAGTCCAGACTTTCATATTGGTGCAGGCTATACTCTGATGCCTGCTACCGGGAAAATATTCCGTAATTTACTTATCTTAGAGGAAAGCTTGCGAGAACAAGTTATACAACAAAGAGCATTAAGAAGGAAATATTTAACGTTTCTAGCAATTCTTTGTTCGCTTATTGCATCTATTTCCCATCATCTTTACTTTATTGATCCTAATTTATCTGCTAGTGGCGCTATGCGAGTTATTTTCCAATTCACATTATTTGCCTTACTTGTAACTTTAATGCTTTATCATCTTTCTGGTGAATATCAAAAGACTATTGTGGTACCGAGAAAGTTTTTGTATTCTACTAATAAGGGCTTAAGACAACTTAATGTCAGATTGGTTAAGATTAAAACTCTGTTGACTGATGATGCTACTGATATAATTCGAGAATTTCTGCTTTTCATCGCAACAATGTGCCTTAATTGTCTTCATAAAGTATACCCGTCTATGATTGAAAATAAGAATTCAAAATTAGAAGTGTTTTTAGTATCTTGCCAACTGCAATGTCAACCAAGAATTGGAGTTACCGATGTAAAATTGGTTCTTAATGCCAGAGTATTCAGTACTGATGTGAGAGAAGGATGGGAATTGTACAGAAGTGATTTCTGGATTCAAGAAGGAGTTAGACGCCGTCAAGGAATGATGTCATTCACGACTGGTAGTAAAGAAATTCCACTTGATCGAGAAAAATTATTAAAGAAGGATAGAAAGGAACGTAGAGATAAGAGAAAGAAATCTGTTAGTCAAGTCACTCCTACAAAATTAAGTGAACTGAATTTACAAAAACTTAATAGTAGTGAAAGTGATAGCATATCTCCACAACTTTCAGGAATTGGAGAATCTGCATTTGGTGAGAATTGAAATATTTAATTAATAAATGATCGCTGGTCGAAGAACATAAAATTTATACATGTAGAAGTTATGCATAATTAATAGTATTTCTATTTCAATATTTTACTTTATTATTCAATTTAAAATCTCTTGAATTCTCTTTGCAACAACTTTTCCAAAAACCACGCACTCTAATAAAGAATTACCACCTAATCTATTATATCCATGAAGACCACCACTAACTTCACCAACCGCAAAAAGATTCTTAACAATGTCACCCTTTTCATTAAAGACTTCACCAAATTTATTGATTTCAATTCCTCCCATTGAAAAATGTAAAACTGGAGTAACCAAGCCATAATAAACTTCAGTATCTAAAGAGATAGAATCAAATCCATCACCAAAAGTTTTGCGTCCAAATATATCGTCATCAGATTGAGATTTAATTAAATTACCATAATCAGTTAAAGTTTGTAAAATTGCATTTTTAGAGACATTTGGATTTAGTTTGGTAATTACCTCTTGTAACCCTGATATAGTAGATTTATACATTAACCCCTGAGACATATAAAATCCAATATGATTAGTTGCCTTTAAATAATCTTCCTTATTTACAACAATTAATGCAACTTGACTGTTTGGATTAATACCAAGTTCATTATGCAGGATTTTGCAGCTATTTTCTATAGCTTCAGTAACTTTATCACGAGTATTTAATTCATTTATAAATCTTGAACCAGTTTCTGGTGATATTAATACACCTCCAATTCCTCTCATTAATTCACCACATAAAAATTTCCATTTTGCATTTGGATCCTTTTGTAATTGGATAAATCCAGTAGGATGGATTTGAACGTGTTCCATATGAATTAAATTTGCATTCACATCTCTGTGAGCAATCTTTTGACCATCTCCAGTGGTTTGTTGACCATTTGTCAGAGGCAAATCAATTAATTCAGGTCTATATTTAGCAAGTAAAGATGAAGATTTAGTAAAATCAGCAGAAAATCCACCAGTAGCCAATACAACGATATCACTATTAAGTGATTTTTTAACTGTATCACCTTCGGTAATATATTCAATTCCCTTTACAATATTATTCTTGTCATTAAGAATTGAATCTAAACGAGAGTTTTTCAAAATCGTTAATTTATCTGATTCTAAAGATAATTGTTCAATTTTTTTAGTTAATGCAGATATAATTGCAAATCCTGGTGGTAACTTACCTGAACCTCTATGAGTTCTAGCATGTGAATGTCCACCTAATTGATTCACTAAAGAAAGATCAATTCCATTATCAGCCCCAGTTAACCAATTGATGGCTTCCCGAGAGTTTCGTGCAAGAACTTCTACTAAATCCTTATTCGATAATCCTTTACCTGATTTAAGAATATCATCAATGAAAAAATCTACAGTATCCCCCTTATCATTTTGATATTGAGTTGGTACTCCATTAATCCCTGAAGATGCTTTAATTGAATTCCCACCAAAGTTCCCAGTTTTTTCAATTAGAGTTACTGAAATTCCTTTATTTAAAAGTTCAAGAGTAGTTGTCAAACCTGCTAAACCAGTTCCAACAACAATTGCGTTTGATGACATCTTATTTGCAAATAATATAGATACAAATTGTCGTTTTACACTTGAAACTGTCCGCGTAAAGATTTGGGAATTATACAACAACACAATGAAAATTAATACAATTAAATGTTTGAACTTCACTTTGGCTGCAAGTTGATAAATTTTGAAAATGTATTACAATCTTTTAAAGAAGTAAAAGATTATAAGTTACGTCCGAATTCAAAATAAATCAATTCTATTTGCTTTTAAATTAGCTAATGATTTATATTACTTTAAGAAGAAATATATTTTGTATCTATCATGACTTTTCTTTTTTTTAAAAAAAAATTAAGTATACGAGTTATATACATCTTAATTTACTGTGAATGGCGTGACGAAAGTCATACAATCTAATCATTTTCTGTACTATTTTTTTTTTGTTTTTATAATTATTTTATTTTCCATTTTTTTAGTATTATATCTGGTTTGCATATAATGGTTTGCTGACATCATTTAAATAATGATTTCTAATATGAAATTATATAAATGTATAATTGTAGTATAAAAGAATATCAAGTAACTCAATAGACCATGCTACAAACTAATTCTATAATAAGACCTAATACAACCAATAGACCTTTCAAATTCGAATCGTTTTTGAGGAAAGAATATAATTTTGGCTTAAATCCAGAAAGACCAGTATGCCCGCTTTATTCACCTCAAAATCCAAATTCATGTCCAAATGGTGTCAATTGTCCCAATAAACATGTCTCATCCATGTATTCTAATAAGATCGTGTGTAAACATTGGTTGAGAGGATTATGTAAAAAGAATGATCATTGTGAATTCTTGCACGAATATAATCTTAGAAAGATGCCTGAATGTCTTTTCTATTCTAAAAATGGTTTTTGTACTCAAACTCCTGAATGTTTATATTTACACGTAGACCCACAACTGAAGATCCCTGAATGTATTGATTATGAAAGAGGTTTCTGTCCCGATGGTCCTAAATGTGTCAAACGTCATATACGAAAGATAATGTGTCCCTTATGGCTTACTGGATTTTGTCCAAAGGGATATGAATGTGATTATAGTCATCCAAGATTCGAACATATGATAGATAGATTAAGAATACAACCAGATGTGAAAAAGGAGCCTGAGAGTAAGTCAGAGACCCCAGAAGAGAATGAATCATCTGAACAGAACAAGAAAAGAAAGTTACACTCCACATAAACCATCATAGCATTAAGAAAGAAATATAAACATCTTTCTTCCCAAACCCCCATTTTACTTACATACAATGTACATAATAATATTTAGATCTAATAATTTACAAAAACAAAGTATTTAATCGGTAGTAGAAAATAATATAAATATCTTTTCCTTCATTATAATTTTAATGTCTATACTCTAAAATTTCTAGCCTTTTTACGTTCCAAGGATGTTAACACCCAGTTAATTCCCAGTAAATCATTTTCATCATCGTCATCTTCATCCAATTGCTCAACATGTGATGCTCCAGATTGCAAGCTCATTTCATACTCATCATCATCCATTCCAACCAACATCACGAGTTGTGTGACTCTAATAAACTTTTCTCTTAAATCATAATTATCTTCACATACTTCATTAATTAAGAATGATAAATCCTTTTCTAACTTAAGAGCACCAAGTTCATTAATTTTAAATCTATCCAACACCAACATGAGTTTCTTTTCAATTAAATTAGTTAAGTTAACCACAAGAAGTCTCAAAAGTTTATTGAATAATAATGATTTGTGTAACGTTTGCTTATATGGACGTATCAATGCTTGCCAGGAAGTTGCAAGCTTTAACATAGTTGACGTATCATTCAATGCACTTGATGAATATATCAAGTAACTTGAAGGTGAAGACTCTGGTAAAAAGTCCCCAACTAGTTTAATCAAGTTACTCTTGATTGCTTGATTATAAAGAACAATTAAATTTTCTTGAATCAATTTATTTGTAGTGGTGGTAAATGGATTCAAGAATTCATCTAAAAGAATTTGTTCAATTTTATTTTTATCATTACCAAATGGGAAACTATTTTTAAGATATTCAGGATGTCCTGTAATATTTTGAATGATTTTGGTAAAATACTCCTGTCCCATGGCAACTGTATTAAGTATCAAAATGAAATTTAAAAGTTTAGGATTTTGCTGTACAGCAGTAGCACTATTGACCACTGATGTCACACCTGTTCCAACAACTGATCCAAGCGCACTAGAAGCACCTTTGAAAAATCCCATTCCACCACTACCAGCATCAGGAGCTGGTGTACTACTTCTGGTGACGCCTGGGCTATTTAAGCCAGTTGAACTATTAATATTGGTGGCCCCATTATTCATTCCACCATTTAATGAACCAGGTTGAATTAATTGTAATAATGAATTATATCTTGGTTGATTATCACGTAAACTTTTCATGAAATAACCAGCAATAAGATCATTTAATATAATTTTGTAACCTTCAGTGACAAAACGTTTCACTGATGATGGTTGAGAAGTATCAATAGTACATCTAAGGGTATTATTAAGAACCAATGTAACATCTTCGATTACCGATGAGCATGGTGCTTGATCTGGGAATGTTGTAACTAAAGGACTCAAATATGGTTCAAGAGGAGGTAATTCCTCGATACTTATGGCCTTTTCTAATGAACGATTGAAATAATACATGTACATTTTTTCAAATGAAGGTTGAAATTTGGATTGAATTTTTGCAGTGAAATTTGAATTCATAATTAAATTTGGTAATTTAAGTCCATTTTCAAGGTTTAAAGAAGATGATGTAAAATATTTTGAGGTAATAAATTTACAATATAATGCCCAATAATGAAGTATTGATGCTAATTCTTCCATATAATCCCCAACTGTCAACACTGAAACAGTTTCTTCGGAATAATCAAGATCATTACCTTGGTTATAATCGATGACTACTGAATCTGTCTTAAATTCTTGAAGTCGGCGAGTTAAAATAGGAAATTGATACAATTGAATATCTTGAAGTACTTTATCAATTCTTCTCATATCATAAAAAGTATCACCAATTAATCCAATTTGAGAATCAATCTCTGTTTGAATTTTCCCAAGAACATATACCAAGGCATTAGGATAGGTTGATCCATAATATTTTTTAATCATGGGACCATGTTGTGATAACATCATCGAGATGCTTTCAAATAGTTGCAGTGATACTGAGGAATATATCCCAGTTTGTGATTCATTTCCTGATCTAGATATAGATCCAACCAACGACCTCAGAGTATCAGCAACAATCAGACAAATGAATTTGGAATAACATGTAAGTCCTACTTCTTCTCTATCTATAAGTGGGAATAATTGGAAATATTTAGTAATTTCTGGAACATTCCTTTGGTTTGCAGCTTCATTGAAACATCGTTCAAATTCTTTAGATAATTGTTCTTTCCATTGACCAAGAGTTACGTGTGGTAGCTCTGGGATGTCAGTGGATGGTATTACTACCGATGCAAATTTCCCATTAATGATTTCCTCGAATTCTTTAGAATGTACATTATGAATACATTGAGCCGCTAATGTCCAATTCTTATGTTCCAATGCATAGTTTGCCTGATTGATATTATTCTTTAAAGTTTGAATATTGGTAACAAAGTCCAAAGTTTCCTTTACTTTTTGAATCTCCAGATCAAGAGTTTTAATTTTATATGTTAAAGTATTACCTAAATCATTTGCTGAAGATAATAATTGAGATAATTGATCAGAATTTACAGTGGCATTGGAAAGTTTTGCTCGATTAAGTTCAATTCCAGAAAGTTCATGTTGAAATCTTCTCAGTTCCACTATAGTTTTATGATTAAGAGACTTATCTATGGCTCCAGTAGTAACATTGATTTCTTGTAAAACGGCATTCAAGTCATCTAAACTGGTGGCAGTACCAAAATTATCAATGATTTTCATACATTGTTGATCAAGATCAGACTCCGATAATGTGGGGAAAACTAACGTGGGCCTGTACCCATCTCCTATTCCCAGCATATTCAGCTCTATTGATACCACTTACTAAAGGGTTAATTGAATATAATTGGAATGATTGTCTCAAAATCGTCCGACTGTACTATTTGAGAAATTAGTACCAAAAACTAAATACGTGTAAGTACTGCATACCATTATTGGCTCAAGATCACTTTAAGTGGGTTACAAAAAAATATTCAAGTGCTGCAAAAATGAATATTCTCATTCTCACTCATTAAGAGTAGTGGTGGAGCACATCTACATTCGAAATACTCTTCGTATTGTTTTTTTTTTATTCTGATTTTTTTTACCGGTCTTTATATTAACTATGTTACAATCTAAGCTCTTGGTCTACCATTACCTCTTGGAGGTCTGGAGCCAGATGGTTTGGATCCTCTGAAGTCTCTGCCACCTCTGTTGGAGTTATCTCTGTTACCTCTGTTGAAGTTATCTCTCTTGGAGTTATCTCTCTTGGAGTCCTTTGAATGTTCCTTCTTGGCTTGTTCACTTTCTTCGTTTCTAGCCTTCTTAAATTGAGTAGATCTGTCTCTAATTCTTGGCTTCTTTACACGACCCTTGTTACCCTTCAATCCCTTGATACCAGCAATGTTTTCACCCTTGGCAGCTCTTTGACCTTCCATGATAGGTCTAGATCTACCAGCAGTGGCTCTGTCGGCCTTACCCAAAACACTTTGGGCACGTCCAAGCTTAGTCTTTTGTTGATCAGTCAATTGCTTTGATCTGTTGGAAGCATATGTCTTTTTGGCATTATCTATGTGATTTGGAGAAAGAATGGATGGTTTAACATGAGCCTTGGCTCTACTAATACGTAATTTACGACCCTTCTTTTCACCTACAATCATATGTTTATCATTAAGAAGAATTGCCTTATTCACAGACAAGGTATCTTTGAATTGAATCAAGGCAAACCCTTTACCCAAATTAGTTTTAGAATCACGAATAATTCTAACAGATTCAACATCATTATCAGTCTTACTTTGGAAATAACGCCACAAGTTTTCTTCCTTTTCTTCGAAATCCAAGTTACCAACGAAAATGGTTCTCTTGTTATCCTTTGGAGCTGGATGAGCGACATGATCAGTACGTAAATGATTGTGTTCGAAAACAGATGCATTCAATTGCTTTGCAGCCTTCTTAGAAGGTTCCTTATCAGCGAAAACAACGTATGCATTCAAAGTATCTCTGGTGTTATGCAATGATTTCTTGGCAAATGCAACCTTTCTAGGAACAGCATCTTCAAATGAAATAGATCTAAATCTAATGGATTCAATTTTACCAAATTTGGAGAAAACAGTCTTGAATCTCTTGTATACTTGTTTGGAGGTAATAACAGTGGCTGCAACATTCCCAACAAAGATAGTTCTTTCGGATTTTTCAAGTTCAGTTTCTTTAAGATCAACTTGAGTAGCTCTCTTGGACTTCTTTGATTTTGGAGAGTCAGAATCAGAGTCAGAATCAGAATCAGAATCAGAATCGGAATCGGAATCAGAACCAGAACCCAGATCAGAACCTGCTTCAACGTCAGATTCAGTTTCCTTTACTTCTTCCTTGTTAGCTTCTTCGGATTTTTCACTCTTGAGAAGTTTATCGAAATATCTAGCTTCTAAATCTTCATTGGCATCCTTCTTCTTTCTACTCTTCTTAGCAGCAACGGCAGCAGCGTTAGCGTCCACTACTTCTTCGTCATCTTCTTCGACATCTTCATCATCTTCTTGTGCGTCTTCTCCAGTGGAAGTTGGTTGTTGTCTTCTAACAGGACGGTCAATGACAGTTCTATCTCTAATCAATTTACTCTTTTCAACAGGACCAGTTGACTTCTTGAATAAAGAGTCAATCGATTGGTCAACATTGGCATTAGAAGCACCAGAACCAAAAAGAGAACTGAATACTGACATTCTAAGTTTATATATAGATTATTAATAAACTTTTCAATATTTCTAGAGTATACTGATTTTTCTCACTAACTCTATCTCATCTCAAAAAAATATGTGGTGAAGAGTGTGTATGAGTGTGAGTACTTGGGTAGGGGAAAAAAAAAAAAAATCTTCGAAAAAAAAAAAAAAAAAAAAAAAAAGAAAAAACATGGGTGTACCTGTATGTAGTCCGTATCCACCAGAATGGGAAACAAGGGAACTTTAGTTGAAAGCATTAAATAAAAGGAATAAACAAAACCAACCATTGATAACTACGTTTAAACTCTATTAATACTTTAAGGACAAGAAATTGATATAACTCATATTTGTATTAATTTAAGATAGAAAGGTAGTATAGAGGATAAGACTTTATTGTTGTAAAGACGTTTCCAAATAGAAAGATTTTGATAAAAGATAGTCAGAATCTCTATTCAAATAAACGTGTATACATTCCAATGTCCACGGAAGAGCCCATATCTTCCGTAGCATCACCATCTCCTCCTCCACCGCCAGCTAACAAGGAGTCTCCACTCACGGATATTGCCACATCGCCTCCTCCATTTTCTTTACCATTGGAGGATACTGAACTTGAAGAACATTCAGCCGTTGACCGTTCTACTGCTAACGAAGATAGTTCTGAATTAAGTGACCTTGAAGAAGATTCCGAAGCAGAAACAGACAAGATGGATTTCTTGGAAGACGAAGGTAATTCTAGTTTAGATCATTCAACTCTGGATTTACAAGCATTATCTAAATTAACTGAGTTTGCCAAATTAAAGGAAGTTGATGAGATGCAAGATGATGAAGATGGAGTAGATATAGAAGATCTTGAGGTGAATAGTAGCGGTGGTATTGAGAAGGATCTAGATGATATTTCTAGAGGGACGAAGAGGAGAGTGGAGGAGAATGAGGATGAAGTAGAAGTGGAAGTGGGAGACATCGTGGAAGATGATAGTCGAAAGAAGCAAAAAGTTGAAGAAAATATAACAGTTCCTGTTGTTGATCTGGGAGATGCTGATCTGGAATCGGTAGGTGATCAAGTTAAACTGAAGATAGGGAAACAAGCAGATGATGGAGAGATTGTTCCTGGGGATAATGAAGTATCAAAAGAAGATTCAAATGAAGATGAAAAAATTACAAAGATTGAAGAAGTGACTACAAATGTGGTGGACAACTCAGTGGTTGAGCATGAAGAAAAAATTAATGAAGAGAAAGAAGTTGAAGGTAAAGTTAACGTTGAAGTTGAAGCTAAAGAGGTTGATATGGAGACTGAATCTCAAGCTATATCTGATATTACACCTGAACTTAAACAAACTGAACCTCAAATAGAATCACAAGTTGAGTCGCAAGTTGAATCGCAAGTTGAATCGCATGTTGAATCACAAGTTGAATCGCACGTTGAAGATGAAGATATTGTTGAAGAGGAGGAGGAGGAAGAAGAAGAAGAGGAAGAAGAGGAAGAGGAAGAGGAAGAGGAAGAAGAGGAGGATAAAGGAGAAGAAGTAACAAATGATAAATCTTCCAATTTGAATGTCGAGACAACTGAAGAAATAGATTTAAATGAACAACGGAAATTAGCAATTGAAGAACTTTATTCAATTGAAGAAGATTTTGCACAACTTCGAGATAAATTATATCAAGATAAGCTTAATCTTTTAGAACATGAACTTCAATTATGTCTTGAAGGATCACATCCTGAACTTTCAAAGATATACTATAAAATCAATGGGTTTTATCAAGATAGTTTAAAACATGCAAATGCTAATCTTAATTATAAATTAAGATGTATTGATCGACAAACAGTTGCATGTAGAACATCAATACATCAAGATTTTCTTAAGAATTTGATGGATACCAAAAATGATATGATTGCTGATACTACTTCATTATGGTACAAGATAAATAAAGAAAGGAATCAAATGGATCAACTTGTGCCTGATTATAACTTTAGTGCAGTTCCACTGGTAGCTACCATGACAATGGGGGCACCTGAAGAGATTGGAGAAACTCCACAATTGGTACCATTATCTAAAAAAGTTGTTAAACAGAAAACGCTATTTGAATTGGTACTTCAAAGAAATAATCTTAATCATGAATTAGGAATACAAGGAGGATTACTTGAATTCCATGGATTTCCATCTGCTGTTGCTACTAGAATGGCAGATGATGATTTTGAAGAGAATGAGGTGATTGAAGAGCTACTTTTGAGAAGAGCAACTGAAGATGAAATCCAGGATGATCTCAAGGCGATGGGTATAACCATATGATATATAGAAGATTCATACAGTATTATTATTATAATTAAATTATTATTATTATTATTATTATTAACGTAAGTATCTTCAATCAATATTTAGAAAACTTGTATGGTGTGCATATTGCAAGATTTTTTCCATAGTCAAACTGCCCCTCAAACAGTTAAACACGTAAACTTTGAGATTTAAGCCCCACGAAAGAGACGAAGTAAACAACATATTATCAAAGTAATACGAAATTAAATTAGATTAAAATACAATGGTTGAAGTTTCGTTGACTGTAGGTAAGTTGGATGCCTCTCTTGCATTGTTGCTTACGAAGGATCATCATCTTATAGAGTTCCCTACTATTCTTTTACCAACTGGAGTTAAAGCTGGTTCAATTATCAAAATTAAATGTGATCAAGATTTAGAAACTGAAGCTAAGGAAGCTAAACAATTCCAAGAGATACAAGATGAAATTCTTTCATCTTTTGGAAAGAATCTCCCACAACCACCGGTGCTTAAATTGAAGAATGTTACTCAAACACTGTGTGTATTAGAGTGGGATTCATTAGAATTAGGAACTGCAAGTTTAAAGAATTTACTTCTTTTTAAAGATGGTAAGAAATTAGGAGCTATTCCTCAACCACTTACAAATAGAACCACCAAGTTATCTGGTTTACCTATTGATAAAACATTCCAATTTCAATTGAGATTTGATACCACTGCTGGGGTATATCCATCAGAAGTAGTTGAAGTGACTACACATAAGATGACAGACTTATCAGGGATCACAGTTTGTCTTGGGGATTTTGCTGCCAATGAGAGTTTTGGAGTAGAAGATATTGAACTGACTTTGAAGAATATGGGAGCCAATCACCCAGCACAACATAAGATTAAGGTTGATACTACTCATTTCTTGTGTACTCGTGAAAACAAGCAAAATCCAGAATATTTAAAGGCCAGTGAAATGAATATCCCAATTGTTAGACCAGAATGGTTGAAGGCTTGTGAAAGGGAAAGAAGAATTGTTGGAGTAAGAGATTTCTATGTGAAAGATTGTGTTTTACCTGATTTATTTGCAAAGAATTATTGGGGTAAGGTTAATGGTGTAGAGAAGGAATCACTCCCACAACTTCCAGTCGAAACTTCCAATGAAAATGTTGAGAATAATCATCCTGAAATTCCTGAAATTGTAGAGACTGCACCAGAGGAAGAAAAAGAGAAGGAAGAGGCAAAAGTAGATCCAAAGGAAGAATTGACTGAAGATCCAAAGGAAGTTCCAAAGGAAGAATTGAATGAAGATCCAGAGGAAGCTCCGAAGGAAGAATTGAATGAAGATCCAGAGGAAGCTCCAAAGGATGATCCAAAGGAAGAGCCAAAGGAAGAGCCAAAGGAAGAGCCAAAGGAAGATGTAGAAGTTGCTGATGTTCAGGAAGAATTAGAAGCTGTGTCTTTGGAAGGTGATATTACTGAACAACACAATGGAGATATTGGTATTGCTGATGATATTCCAACGGAAGAAACCATTGAAGTATCTGAGCCTATTCAAGATATTGTTGAACCTGAAGAGCAAGACGTAACAAAGGATTTAGCTGAAACTGCAGAATCACCTACTGATGAGCCAGTGCTTGAAACTTCCGTTGAGGAACCAGAAAGTTTGAAAGAAGTAAAAATAGACGAAGTTTCTAAACCACTTGAGTCTGAAAATGGAGAAGCTGGTGAAGATGAGGAAGAAGTAGAGGAGGAGGAGGAAGTAGAGGAGGAGGAAGAAGCTTCAACAACCATTCCTGATGATAAAAAGGAAATAAATTCAACTCAAGGTGAAATCAAGAAAAATAAGAAGAATAATAAGAAGAAGAAGGGAAAGAAATAAAGTATATATTTAGATTGAATACAAAAGGCGATCATATAAAAAAAGTTATTACGTACTCCAGTTTTAAATACGTGTATATTGTTTCTATGTAGACTAGGCCAGTAGCGGCAAAGAAGTGAATGATTGGTATGGTACACCAAGATAACGTTGATTATACAATTGATAGTTACTTTTTTATATTTTGCTTGTGTTGAAAATGATGAGCTTAGTCAATTACTTACTCACCAAAAAGTCTTCTAACCTTCTTTAAAATGGAATCCTTTTCTGGATCGTATGGGTGATCCTTTGAAGGAATTTCCAAGATTGCCGGGAAAGCAGCCGTGTAGTTATCAACCCTGTATCTGATCAAATCAGCCAAATGCTGGTTGATCAACAAGATTGCGATGTCGTCCCTTTCGGTAGTAAACTTCTCAAAAGCTTCTTCAATTTCTTCAGTGGTGGTCTTACCTGGAACAACGGTCAAGAAGTTTGTTTCCTTACCTGGTTCAGTGGAAACTTGACCAACTCCAGCCAACAATAAGCCAGTGACTGAGTCTTCGTCGGCAATTGCAGCTAAGAGCGAACGTTTGGACATAGCTTCGGCACTCATCCTGATATATCTGTCTTAACCTTATTAACAATACTTTCCCCCTTGCCCACTATCTCTGGTCAACTGTAAATTATCCGATTGTACTGCGCATATCGTGGTTTGCGCACTACCGTCAATTTCAATATATTTTGCTACTACGCGAACAGAAAAACTAAAATAATAAAAAAAAAAAAAAAACATCATATAGTAAAGTCTCATACATACTTTAAAGGACAAGTGAAGCTAAAAAAAAAGTGTAAAAAAAAAAAATGGTGTTGAATTGGGAAAACTTTGGAGGTTAAAAATGTTACTGTTGACCAAGTTTAGAAACAGTGTTCCGATTGTTCAAAGGTTTGGAATCCATACTTCGAGTCTGATATTAGCTGGACATTCTAAATGGGCGAATATTAGACATGACAAGGCTAAAAATGATGCGAAACGCGCAAAGGAATCATATCAAATGGCTGCACGTATTTCCAGTTGTGTACGACAATCAGGAGTAGATGGGAATGCACAACTTGTCACCTTGATTGAAAAGGCGAAGAAGTTGAACTGTACCAAGAAGATCATTGACAATGCAATTAAGAGAGGGAATGGGGAATCAACTGGCGATAATGTTCAAACATTTGATACCATGTATGAATTCATGGGTCCAGGTGCTGTTGCGTTTATAGTGGAAGCCAATACTGACAACAAGACTAGAACCATTGCTCTTGTTAAGAATGCCATGTCCAAGTTTAATGCATCTATTGGTGGATGTCTGTATTTGTTCCAAAAGAAAGGATGGGTTATCTTTCAACCTAAGGATGAAAGTGAGACTTTAGATGATATTTTTGAAGTTGCTATTGATGTTGGGGCTGAAGATGTTGAAGAATTTAGAGATTCTGAAAATGAATACCCTGGTGAAACTCTTTATAGAGTATTTGCAGAACCTGGAGAAACTGGACCACTTTCAAATAAATTAGCTGAAAGAGGTTACAAGTTGAAAGATGTGATTACTGGATATATTCCCGATCCAGAATCCACTGTGGATTTCCCAGAAGAACATGCAAAGGGATTTCAAAAGGCAATTAACTTACTTGATGAAATTCAAGAAGTTACAAATTACTACACAAACATTAAAGAGGAAGATTAATTTTTAATCATCTTCTAAAATCTACAATAGAAACAAAGAGGAGAAATCTCCTCTTCATCCATGTACATAAAAAAACATATTATCTAGTTCAATCTGTATATTGCAGAATCTATACCTTGCAGACTACTGCCAACTAACATCGTTTATTTTTTCTCTAGTAAACCTAGAATGCAATAAAAAGAAATCTCACCTCTCTTCAATTTAAGAAGACCATACTATTTAATCCTTCTTTTCGGCAGCAGTGGCATCGTTCAAGACCTTGTCCAAAGTAGACAAGTCAGCGTTCTTCCATAATCTCAACTCCTTGTCGTAAGCAAAATGTCTGTAAGTGAAGAAACAACCAGAGGCCATGGCAACACCAACAGCTGCGAACAATGGGTACATTTCAATTGGAACAGGAATCTTACCACCCTTCTTGGCGGCGTTGAATAAAACTTGGGCAGATCTCATGGCGTGTGAATAGTTTAGGAAAGTTACAACAAACTAAATTCCAATAAAGGTATATGTAAACATATATATATATGGATTACCTTTATTGTAAAATCAATAAATCGTATCACATTTTAAATGGTAAGTGCACTACCGATAGTATTCAAAAAAAAAATTCAATAATTCAGTACTTTTAAATTGTTTTGGTTGGCTAGTTGGATTGACTTTGTGTAAGTTAATAGATTATATAATAAATTATATTTTATTGGAAAAGACGACACTTGACAAGACTATCATGCAGTGAGTGTATGTAAGAAAAGGAGAACAGAAATGAATTTGTCTGGTGAACATTTGAAATCTGGGGTTAATCAGTAATTATTAAACTATTTTTTTTTTTTGCACAAAGTAGACATCTACGTATGGATTACAATAATGATTATTATTGAATAATTTATTTCTAAAATGAATATATAATACGATGGTACATTGTCTTCTCTCTTTTTCTGGCTATTCTAAAGTTTATTATTTTTTTCTTCTTCTTCTTCTTCTTTTACTACCACTTGTCTATTTTCTCTTTTAAAGTATCGTAACATAACCAACTGACAGCCATAGATGGTACAATTTTATATAAATTTGCAGTTAATCCCTTGTATGCCCCAAAGAAGCCTTCATTTTTAAATATTGAAACAAGAGCTTGCAGAACAGATTTATATTGGAATCCTAATTCTCCACCTGCCATATTTGCAACCTGATATCTTTTTCTTAAAACATCAAGTGGATAAATCAATACACCTCCAATAAATGATGAAAATGCACCAGCAGAAAGTTTCCATATAGGATTTGAATAATCATATGATGATTGTTGCATATAATCACGGAATTTTTCATACAAGGCAAAATTGATTGCAACATATGGTGCTACTCCTAAAGTTGTGGCAGAAATACCTCTATACAACCCGCAAAATCCTCCTTCATTCTTGTAAACATCTTTAATTGTTTGCATGATTCCAGGGGCTTGAGCAAGCTTTCCCTTATCTAATTTTGATAACGAAGCCGTTTGAATTGTTATACGGGCTCGTACAAGATCAAGCGGGTATGTAACAGCAACAGAAACTATTCCTCCAATTGATCCAGCAATTAGTCTTTCGTATGCATAGTTTTCCTTTCTTCCAGGGTCTCGAGCTCTTAAAACTTCTTTACATTTTTCAAACACAGAATATTGTACCGCACTATATGGGAAAATACGTATACAATTTAATAAATTCCCTCTAAATAATCCCTTCCATCCTTCATCTGCATACATCTTGAATATAGTTCGAAACATCCCATTATATGCATGTTTACTTCCTGGTCCTTGAAGTTGAAGTAAAATCTTTGCGCGTTCAAATGGAGAGACTACTGTCCTGGAAACGGCACCTGCAATGCCTCCAGAAATAAATGATGCATTAGATTCTTGCTTGATGAACTTTTTAACGCCAAAGTACAAGTTTGAGTGATTTTCGGTACTCATATCCTTTCAAATATTAACAAACTATGGAATATTTCAACAAAAACAGTATTTCTATTCTTCGACTATAAAAAACTTCCAAACAGCAGACAGTATAAATTCAAAATGCCACACTTCTTCTACTTCAATATAACCAGTGTGCAATATCCTTTGTCTCCTGTTGGTGTGTTTGAATATAGAAATATACACCTCTAGATCAAATTTGATCACATAATCTCGATATGTCTCTATTCGTTATTTTTTCTTGACTTTGATTTGACTTTTTTTTTTTTTTTTTTTTTTTTTCGGTTAGTTCCATTCATACGCGCTCTTCATCAATAGTAACTATTGTTGCTGGACCTGAGCTTGAATTAGAGAAATATGACTTTGTATTGGCAAGTAAAAGTCGAGAAATAGTAGCCGAATATGATTGTAAACTTTCTTCTCGATGTTCAATAAGTCTCTCACTATAGAAATTAAGGATTGCCCAATTATGGACTTGTGATTGTTGTCTATCAATTTTCAATTTGCAGTCATTGATAGATTGTAATTTTAAGATAAATTCTTCAGTATATTTGACAATTGATTCTTCTGAGCCATAACTAATAATAGTTCCATACTCGGGCAATGCTCTTTCCCATATCATGGTATCGACCTGACCTGGGAATAACCCAGGTACAATTTTGAACCCCCATTTCTTTATCAATCTTAGATCAATATAATCATTTGTAGGTTTAGTTAGATCTGTATCATTGAATTCAAATTGAGTTATTGGAGATATTAATAACAATATTGAAGGTTTCGAATTAAAAAATCTTTTCTCAATTCGATTTTGAATATCGAGTTGTAAAGACATTGCAAGTGTCGCTCCAATGGAATCCCCAGTGATAACAATATGACGATTTGTTTTACTTAAATTTTCAAATGTTGTTATCAATGAGCCTGATTGCGTTTTATTGTTGGTTATTTCAGGTGCAAATATTGCAGGATTACTAAATCCTTGCTCTTGTAAAGTTACAACCCAAAGCATTAAATATTCAATATATAAATCGATTGTACCACCAAGAATCCAACTTCCATGGATATATATAATCACTAAATCGTACTCTTCACCTCTACTTTTAGACAGTAACCAAGAACCACGTACAGGGATTTGTACTTCTTTATGAATTATATCACCTAATCCATGACCAAATTCTCTCAAATATCTAATTCTATGAAGGAGTCGAAATACTGTACCATGAAGAATTGCCTTTACCTCTTTAGAATTGAATTGATTGAAGTTGTGCTTAAGTAGCCTTGAAATTATAAATTCCCAGCCTGTTGCTCGTTGGCATACTTTACCCTGTAATGGAAATGGAAGAAAGTATCTTTCAGAAAGATATTCATATATTACATGATACCAAATCCACAAATGAGTTAAAGATAGCCTAATAAAGTGAACGATTCCATACTCATAAATCATAAACCCAATTGTGAAAACAAAGTAAAGAATAGAATCCATGTAGCCGTACGCTTGCATTATTATCAACTTTTACCGATAAAGAAGACTGTATATCTCAAAATAAGTTTGTATTTATTCCCAATTATTATTATTTACTCTATTTATATTTGTGGTTGCAAAATTGATTCAATATTTTACTATTGAGAGCGAAACCCCTTAGTAACCAGACAAAACCTTTTCAATACCAGCAACCAAAATATCAGCGTGCTTTTCCTCAAAGACTAAAGTTGGTCTCAATCTGACAGAGTCTTCAGCACAACCACCAATGTTAATACCAACAGTCTTCATGTCACTCAAAAACTTGTTTCTGGCAGCACCATCTTCTAAAGACCAAGCAATGAAAGTTGCACGGTTCTTACCTCTCAAGTCTCTAAGGTGCTTTGGATACTTAACTTGCAAAGCTTCCAACTTTCCAAACAAGTAAGAACCAACCTTTTGAGCCTTGGCAGCCAAGTCGTGTTTAAGGATTTCAGCACCGATGGCACCAGCTAAGATCATTCTAGCTGGGTCACCACACCAAGTGTTGAATTGACGGTAAGCAACATTTGGAATGATTTCTGGGTCGTGGAAGTAGTAACCGGCAGATTGGAACTTCTTGGAGAATGTAACCATGTCTGGAGCTGGAGACAAGTTGAAATGTTCGTGACACCACATAGTACCAGTGGCACCAACACCAGTTTGGACTTCGTCAACAATCATCAAAGCGCCATACTTTAAGGTAATATCTCTTAAACCTTGGAAGAATTCGTTAGAACCATGGTTGTCACCACCTTCAGATTGAATTGGTTCAATAAGTAAAGCGGCAATTGGAGCGTGCCAAGTCTTGAAAAGGTTATCGACAATGGCTAAACATCTCTTGTCTTCTTCGGCATTTTCAGCCACATGCTTGTCCAATGGGTATTTGTATGATGGGTATTCAGCCTTTGGCCACTTGAAAGATGGCATATCGAGCTTGTGGATTGGCTTGGAACGAGTACAAGAGGCGGATGCAAACAATCTACCGTGGAAAGCACGGTCGAAAGACATAATGGCAAGTTCTGGAGAACCTGGAGCAGCGTTTTCCATGACAGTCTTGTTTTCTTCAGCACTAAAGTCAGTGTGGAATCCTCTCTTTTGAGATTGGTACCAGAAGAAAGCAGCCTTAAAAGCCAATTCATTGGCGTCAGCACCAGAGAGACCAGAAAAGATCTTATCTTGACCCTTTGGAGCAACCTTGATCAACTCAGCAATGATTTCTTCAGTGTCAGCACCAGGAAAGTTGGATAAAGCAGGACGGTCAACGATTGCTCTAATCATCTTATCGGATTTAGCAGCTTGGATAAGAGCTGGGTTGTTGTAACCAAGAGGGATGGATGCAATTTGTGCGTAGACATCAAGTAAAGTGTTTCCGTCAACGTCAACAATGTAGTTACCGACAGATTTTTCATAGTCAGCAACAAAGTAAACAGGACGGTTGTCCATATAGTCACCAAGGGAGTTAATCTTGGCTTTAGTTTGAGGACCTGGGAACTCAGTTGACTTAACAACTGGAGCCTTTGGCTCTTCTGGAAAGTATTGTTCAGCAATGGACATTGAACTTAAACAATAAAAAAGATAGATAATATAAGAAGACTGGAAAAAGAATCGTGGACGGATATAGTGCCCTTTTATATTGCAACCAACCGTCGACCATAATAGGTAGGAAGCGCGCTAGCGGATAACCAAATTAGGATCTTTTGAAATTTTGTGTGAGAAAAGGAATTCTTAGCGGATAACGGGTGATACTACCCGCTAACGTTTTTTCAAACAATTATACCAAATATCGGAAACACATACCTTATCCGACGATACCTAAAGTTATAAATTATGGTTTTCAGGAGATAAACGGAAAATTGACTTATTATTCAATAATAATATATATATATATATGTAAAGAACATTAAGTAGATTTGAATAAGTAGATTTGATTGATGTCAATTTACATACAAAACTTTTTAAGGTATCATATTAAAGCTTAATAATGAAGAAGAAGTATAATTAAGTCTGAATCTGTTTGTAAAGTACTTCATATAATGTCATCTTTATAGTTTCTCTCTCAAAAAAAAATCCATACTCTCAGTAAAAGATGTTAGACTACCTAAAGAATTGATTTCCTGTATATAATTGCGATGCCTATTCTAAAAAACATCATAACAAACATATAAAGATTAATACCTAGAGACCAAGGCATACGAGTTTAGTCTGACCGTAATCACCATATAATATAATAAGATTGAAAAGATGAGTTCAGAAAATGCCTACCATCAAGAGAACGGAGAAGGACATTTTGATAACCATGTTCAAATTGATAATACTTCTTCTGGTGAAATTACAGGGGTATCTGTAGAAGGTGGGGTCAACTCCCATAATAATACATCTGAACAAAGTGGACTTGAAAAGAGTTCCGACAATACTCAGCAATCTGAAAGTGGAGAACATCAATTGTCACAACTTTTAGAGAGACATATATCAGTACCTAAGCAAGAATCCAACCTCAGTATAGATGACATAGATAAAATGATATCTGAATCGATCAGACAAGGCAATGACATACCTAACTCTGAATATACTGAAGGGATTGAAAAAAGAAGAAGGGATGAGGCCGAAGAACTTGAAGGTAATGATGTCCATAAAAGGCAGAGACAAGTGGTCGAGGAGCAAAATGTAGATAATTCTAAAACTGCTGAGGAGCTTGAATTAGAATTTGAGAAAGCCATTGAAGATCATCATAGAGAGTCATCCGCTCCACCTGCTGAAATATCACAGGTGAATAGTGAAGAAACCGCAGAATTGCAAATGATTGCTAATGAGCTACAAGAGGCTACTGGTGCTGGTGGTCGAAAAGACCCTGCACAACAACAGTTACATCACGATCAACAGCAGCAGCAATTGCAACATAAACAACAACAGCAGCCTCAGCAGGGTCAACAGCAGCAGCCAGAAGCTCAACTTCAACAACAGGTTACGCTTCAAGGACCACATCAAGATAAACAGCAGCAATCACATACTGTTCAGCATTCTCATTCGCATCAAACCCAACTCCAACATCAGCATAAGCCACCACAACAAGATGGTTCAGAGATTGTAGCTCATGAACAAGTACCAGCTGCAAACTATCTTGTAGAACAGAAGAAAGATCAACTGGCGCATGTAACCCCATTGCAAAAGGATCAGTCTAATGACCAAACTTCCGACCCTTCTCAGCAAGAACATCAACCAGGACATGACCAAAAGCAAAAGCAACAGTCAGTTGAACAACATGAAAGACAACAAGAACAGAATGATCCAGTTTCAACTACGCGTCAAGATAATTCTAGAGATAATCATACGGAACAACCAAATCAAAACGAACAATCTAAGCCACAATCAGCTGGTGTAGTTGTTCATGAGGGCCTTAGTGTTCCCGCTGATTCAGAACTATTGAATACAAATACTGCATTGGCAGCTTACAATGCTCTCTCAAGTCAATTACCACCACTTGCTACGTTGGCTAGTGCCCATCTTGCTGCCTTGCCATTACCGATAGCTTCCCCTGATTTTTTGCCTCCGCGTATTCAGTTATTGATAAATACATTGCCTACATTGGATAACCTTGCATCACAGTTATTGAGGATTGTGGCAATAGGACCATACCAAAAGATTCTTGATTTGGTAGCACAGCCAGATACACCTGCTGGGGCAACATATAGGGATTTAACATCTCTCTTTGAATTTACTAAGAAGTTGTATTCAGAAGAAGATCCATTTTTATCAGTGGAACATTTAGCACCTGGTATTTGGAAGAGTGGAGAGAAAACACCATCTATGTTTAGAAATAGAGAACAAAGTATTGAACTGACATTAAGAAAAGTGAATTTAGCCACATTCCTTGGTGCAACTTTAGGTACATTAGAAGTTGGATTCTTTTACCTTAATGAATCATTTTTAGAAATTTTTTGTCCAGCAAATAATCTTGATCCTGAAAATGCATTATCTAATATGAGTTTCAATAACATGAGCTTACAAGGTGGTTTAAATACCGCCATTGGTGACACAGTGGGGAAGTTAATGAAACCTCAAGCAGTTTTATATCTTGATTTAAAAACTCAGGCATATATTTCTGCCATTGAAGCTGGAGAAAGATCAAGAGAAGATATTTTAGAAGATATTTTACCAACCAACATAGAAGAAGTTTTATTGCATAGAAGAGGTACCAAAACACTTACACCTACAGAACTTGACTTTTCTGATCGTTGTAAAACTAGAAAGGAGAATTTACTCAACTATCCTCCAGACAAGGATCTTAGTGAAGAATATGAATGGCTTTCATTTTTGAAAGAACTTTTCGAGTATTCATCGAAAAATATGGGATTCTTGATATGGGGTAAAAAGGGTAGAATGACAAGAGAAAGAAATATTGGTGATACAACAAGATTATCCAATGTAGATCACATGAGTTCGCGCACTCCACATAGTCAAGAACTTCTTACATCTGATGAAAAGGCAAGACAAGAAGAAGCTGAGGTTGAAAGACAAAGAGTACAAGAAGCCATTCGTAGCCATGATATTGATGATATTGCCCGTTCTTTATTACCATCAGAAATTCAAGAACAACAAATTCACCTCCGGATAAACCCACTTTCAAATGTAAGAAATCTCCTGAGACGTCCATGGACTAGAGATGAAGAAAAGGCATTGAGACATGCTTTAGAGTTAAAGGGACCACAATGGGCGACAATTCTTGAACTTTTTGGTGCTGGGGGAAAGATTTCTGAAGCATTAAAAAACAGAACTCAAGTTCAACTCAAAGATAAGGCAAGAAACTGGAAGATGTTTTTCTTAAAATCTGGGTTACCAGTTCCTGCCTATTTAATGAAAGTGACTGGTGATCTTGAAAGAGAAGATAAACTGAAATCGAAGGTATCTAAAATGAGCAAGAAAACTGCCGCTGCTCCAGTTCCTAGTCCAATTGCTAAAGTTCAAAAATCTACATAGTGTAAAATTCAAATACATATTTTTTAAAAAATGTACAAAGTATTCACACATATTTTTCATCGTGCATAAAAAATATGCGAGATCGTGTATTGTTTAAGCGCCTTTGTAGATATCCCTTTATCTAATAATTCCCACACTTGTGTTTCATATAATAGATCTAAGCTTAATTTCCCACCTGCGAGACTCGTGTATATTATGGCTTGGGATGATGATCATGAAATTTGCTTCACACCTACCACATTTGGAAATAAATGTTTTATAAATTCTCTCTCATTGAACATTATTTCTCAATATATTATTGTCTCCGTGTTTTATTCTCCACCTATTGTTAAACATGATCATGTATATTCTAGTCCCAGGTTAACATGCAATTATAAAGCCGATCCTAGTATTGAATTTGTCTGTCACATTTTTTCCCATTTTTAATAAACATTATGCAACGTAGATGCAGGGTGCAAATTGGTGCCACATTTGATCTTTCAGGGTTTCGAGGGGTTCATACTACATTCATTGTATTGATCATATCTTGTTCAATTAATCTACTATCTCTATGTATCTCCTATAGTCTATATCCATCTTAGAAAATAATAAAAATAAGTAATGACTTTTGACGCTCTTGTTACAGAAAAGAACACAGCTCGTTCGTTGTATAAGGAAATAGAATCGGTTAGAAAACGCACAAATGATATTGATTTAACTAGTGCAGCAATAGATGTCTCTCCATTACCAGATCATAGGCTTAGTCTTCGAAATCATGACACATTGAAGGGGCACATAGACAAAGTAGTAGATATTGATTGGAGTTCAGATTCTTCTCGATTATTGTCTGGATCACAAGATGGGTTAATGTTATTGTGGGATCCTGTTTCAGGTTATAAGAAACATGTTATCCCACTTCAAAACCAATGGATATTAACATGTGCTTATTCTCCAAAAAGGAACTATATTGCCTCAGCAGGCCTAGACAATGCATGTACTATCCATAGAGTTCATAAAGATCCTGAGTATGGTGAATCATTTTCGACACTGTCCGTTTTCAAAGGACATACTGCTTATATATCAGCTTGCCAATTCCTTTCAGATGATTGCATTGTCACTGGTTCTGGTGATATGACATGTGCACTTTGGGATTGTAAACGAGCCACGAAAAGTAGAGATTTTGTTGATCATTTAGGAGATATACTTTGTTTGAGTACTAATGTAGAGTCTCAAATGAATCCAAATATATTTGTATCTGGAGCAGCTGATGGGTATGCAAGAGTGTGGGACGTTCGTCAACAGCCATCTTCTCAAAGCTTCTACACCTCTGGAACGGATATAAATTGTATTAGAATGTTCCCCATGGGACATACTTTTGCTGCTGGGTCCGATGATGGAGTTATACGTCTTTATGATATGAGAGCAGATTGTCAAATATCAACATTTAGTCTTCATGATGAAATGAAGGCATTTGCTTCGCAGCTGCAGGTTTATAGAGAAACACAAGGAAATTCATTTGGCGGATCTCCGGAAAGATCGAGTATAAACACTTCATATTCTTCATTATATTCACCAGGGGTAAATTCTCTCGATTTTAGTAGACTGGGTCGTATATTATTTTCATGTTACGCTGATTATGGCTGTGTTATGTGGGATGTTCTTAAATGTGAAGCAGTTGGAATGTTAGGAGGTCATCAAAGTAAAATAAGTCAGGTTAGAAGCAGTCCTGATGGAATGGCAATTGCAACTGCTCTGTGGGATTCAACAATCAAAATTTGGGCTGTATGAAACTCTGAACAATCTTTGAAATATAAGACTTTAATATAGTAAAAGACTAATATATAAGAAAAGTTACCCTACAAATTTAATTATGTTTACTTCTTCATTATATATGGAGCAACAAATGTCATCATTTGATGGCTAAAAAATACTAGTATAATCTTCTTCCCTCTTCAATTTTGTATTATGGCAAAATACAACTTAAGCTTCATTTGTGTGCTTTTTCACATATTCCCACAAACTCTTCAATAAAGATTCTGGTAGAGTGAACAAGTCCATGGTAAATTCACCATTATCCACATCATTTTTTATGTTCATATCATTCGTTCTGTTGTCTGTCACCATTTGTACAATAACAATTAAGTCATCTTCAGTAAGTTTTGTTAACCCATTTGATAATTTTTCCAAATCAACCACTCCCTTTACTGATACACTAGATCCATTTTTGGACTTCTTAACTTTTGAACCACCAGATACATCATCATTTCTACGCTTATTTTCGGCAATTCCATCAAGTCCTCCAGGAACAGAACCACTTTCTAATAAAAGTTTAGATAAAGCTTGAGATTTGTTTGTAGGGATAGAAATAGTATGATCAACAACATACTTTTCCAGTAAGAAATTCAAATCATGATTGAATTTTCTTTCTCCCAGTTTGCCTGGCAAACCGACTAAATGAACAGCAATAGGAATATCAAACTCACCCCAACCTTGTTCTTCTACTCTAAATGGGTGTGACTTTATGGTTCTCATTGGATTGGCAAATGTTGGATGTAAACTATATGTAACCTTGTCCAAGATATTGGCAGGTATTTCATGGCCCGATTGGTCCAACATTGAAATCTGAATCGACCATGATCTCATAGGATAGTTTTCAACAGGAGGTACATCCTTCAAGATATATTGCTCTGTTGTGATTCTGAGGGTTCTTTTAACCTATTTTGAGTTAGTAAAACTATTGGAAATAATGTTGCATGACGTGTGTGTGTGTCTCCTCATTAATAAAAACTTATATATAATCAATTCATCATACATCGATACTAGCAGTACTAGCACTCTAATTCAATCGAATTATCTATTTCTTCTATATTAAACATACTTCTGACATTGATATATTTTTCTATAACTAAAATGTTTTCAATTGAAATCCCCTTAACATCGTTTATTCTTTAATGAACAAAACTTTTGTGTTTGGGAAAGAAAAAATGACACAAAAAAAGAGAGCAGCAAGTACTTAAATTTATTGGAACATTACTATCAATACAAAAATAGCCAATAACAAAGTACTAATGGTTGTTGTTGTGGTAGCTCCTAAAGCTCTAGGTGATCCTGCCATATATGATTGACTCCAATTATTTCTCACTGGACCATTAAATTTACTTTTGGTAAATTTTGGAATGGGCTTTTGATTAAGAATGGTTGTGGAACTACTAGGTTTCTTGATATATGATTTCGAATTCTTTATTTCCAGGGAATTAATTGGTTTTGTAGTATTCTTGGGAATTTTTGATGGCTCATAGGATGATATATTTGTAAATGAAGTTTGGGTAGATGTAAACGTACTTGATACCATTTCCATCAAACTTCTTGTTTCAATATAATAACCATGTTCTGATAAGGTTGAAGAATCAATCTCAGTAATAAAATCATCAAAATCAATCTGAATATCGTCATTGGTTTCATTATTAAAATCTTCCGGTGGCGTAGTATTAATTGGAATCTCTGTTGTTGTTGTTGTTGTTGGTACAATTCCAATTTGTAAAACGCCATCATCACAAACATATGGTAAATTCTTATTTCCTTCAACTTCAGTAATTGGATACCAGAATGAAGTAGTCGATGGCAAAGGTAAAGAAGAACCTACGTCAAGGGTACTAGAATTTGTAATTGAAAAGGTAGTTGATGTATTAAATAATCCAGATAAATCTGTTTCATTTCCAAAAATTGGTACCCAAAAAGTTCTTGTACGAATTTCAGTAATCACTTCAGTATAATACCTTGATTCTAAAGTTTTCGTGAAATTCATTGTAATTCTCTACTAGGTAAATATAAAATATAAGTGTTATCATTCTTCTATTCACATGATTGTGGTTCTATTTTCTTTAAATCGTCCTTCGTTTATTTGCACCCAACCACAAAAGTATCTTATTGTGGTGTGAAACCTATTTACAGTACCAAAAGGACCTTTTTAATATAAAGGTATGGGGGGCGTCTTTATTTTTGACTCAAAGTCTTGTAGAACTTAGGAATAAGTGCCTTGATAATCTTAGGAGAAGAATTCCAACTACTGGCAAGTTCTTCCAGGACTGCACCCATGATTTTCCCAATTGGTGGAACCTCATTTTGAAGCTTTTCCTTTAACCACTCTTCCACTTTTTTTTCAACTTCTTCGGCAGATGCAACAGGCAACTTATGAAGATATTCTTCGATAACAGAAGTTTCAAGTTGTTCCTTTTCGGCCAAATCTGATCTATTTAATTTTTGATATTCAGCAATGGAGTCCTTTCTTTGTTTAACCATCTTATTGAAAACACGATAAAGTTCAAATTCAGTTTTTTGTAATCCATTAATTTCTTCATTCTTAATGGTAGACATGATACTCCTTATAGTGTCCTTCTTAAGAACATCTTTGGCAATCATAGCCTTCTTAAGATCAGTCTTAAAAATGGCAAGAGCCTCATCATATGCCTTGGTGGAGTTAAATCTGACAAATGAAACTTGACCAACAGTACGTGGAATAGTTCTAAATCTAAACATGTTTTTTTTTTATTTCCCTTTTGTTGGTTATATAATCTATGGAAAATAATCTACTATGAAAAAAAAAATGTGTATATGAGTTAAAGTTAACAGAACACTTGTATACACAACTATTCCTGCATACCAACAGGTTAATTACCCGCTATATATCATTTCACATTCTCACCTCCTTATGATGATGATCCTGAACATCAGTACACAGTAACCATTCTTTAAATATTATAATTATCACATACACTTTCTCTTCAAAAGTTTAATACATTTTATCACAACAACAAAAAGTCTAACTGCGTTGCTAATCCCGGTCGTTAAGGTACGTGAACGACGGGAAGACATTTTACAATTATATCATGTACATACCATCTGGAAACGTCATTCTTTTACAGATTTGCGAACACAATTTGGCATATGCATTTTATGGGGGTTTTTTAATATTCTGTTAATTTCCAATTCCAATTTAATAAATGTCTCAAGAAGTCTATTGTTGTTCTAATTGTCGAACTTTTCGCACGTTTGCACTACAACAATGCATTATAAAAGTATTACTGGTTATTGTCCAACCCCCTCGTATGTTACGCGTACAAAGTTCTAAGATCTATATTCTAAAAAAAACAATAGTTCTATAAAAAAACTTCTGCTACATAGAATCACTTTTTTTTTTTTACTTTCCCCCCCGCCTCCCCCCACATTTTACTTTTCTAAAAAGTAGTTCAATTTCGTCGTCAATACCAATTGTATCGGATTTAAAAAATCATCTGATTATTCTACTTAGTTAAACCTACTTTCGTATCAGGTAGTAAAATTAAAAAGGATTAAGATAAGAGTTTTTTTTTTTTTCCGGAAAGCAAACATAGTGCAACCCCCCGTCAATCTCCTTGTTATTGTTTATCTGTACCACAACTTAAGATAAGTAATCGCTGAGGGAGATTTATGAAATAATCGTATTTCTTTTTCTTGCCTTTTTCGCTCTTTTCTCTCTAATTTGGAACTCAGTATTTTGTATCTATAACGTTTTACTCCTTTTAGTCAATTCATTAATGAATTAAAATGTATTTCTTATTTCATCAATATTCAAAATAATTTTTAAATTAAATTTCGTTGCTTTGATAGTAGGCGATAAGAAATTCAGATGTTGCACAAAAATGAAAACTACTCCCTTGGCTAAGTGACCAGAAGCCTCCATATTGTTTCATATTGTCGCCAACTTGTTTTCAATCACACATACATGCCATATATAAACCAGCTATTAATAAAAAATAATAATATGTACAAAACAATACCTCAAAATGTGTGAAGCTCCGTATTGTAAACTCGTCAATTAACGAAATAATAATTATCTTAATAAAGAGATAATGCAATTTTCAAAAAAAAAAAAGAGGGAAAAACAAAAATTATTCTTAAACAGTCTATGATATCATGTTTTTTTTTTATTAAAATACTATTATGCATACCAGAGGTTCGGACACAAACTTTATTTTTCATAGTAATTTGCTGCCTTGTGACATTTTTTAAAATTTCTCCTGCGTTATTTTTGAGCAGACGCTCAATCTTTGCGATTGACATACCAAAAAGGAATAATACGAGATTCCACTTTGCTATTCCGGCATTGACATTCATGTTTGTAACCAATTCTCTTCACGGTGGAGGGGGTATTATCGATTTCAAATGTGTTTGAGGGTTCTCCCCACTGTGCGTATTTTCTGTAATCCTGCATTTATGTGCTTGCTTTAACACTTTTTGGCTGTGCGCCATTACTTTTAAGCTTTTTGCTTCGGCTACGCTCTAGAACGCAGATTCAAGGTCAATTAAACCCTATTGTGGTTGCGGCGGTTACAACAAAAAAAAAATTGTGGATAAGATATAATAATCAGAGTAATGAACTTTGAAAATACATATACTTTTATTTGATTCTAGACAGATATAAAATCTCTCTATATATATATATCCTTATCTTATCGTTAACGAAAAAAAAAGATTTGTCGCAGCCATATTGAAGGTACTACTTTATTCATAATTTACCAACATTGCTACAAGAAGAATTTGTATGGGTACGACAATAGTGAGATATGAATTTACTTTTACAACATCCCCCAAAGTCCAAATCAACATTAACCGTATCAAACCACCATGCAACAAGCCCTATTGATACTACAAATATACAATCAACCATACATCAGAGTAATATTACATCCCTGCTGCCCGTAACATTACTTTCAGAACTTCTAGACCCACTGACTGGATATAAAACTGGATTATCGGTTTCATCGGTTCATTCGGTATCTACAGATAGCATTCTGCTGCTGATGGATAATCATTCAACTAATTTAAATGATGATATGTCATTGCTACTGCAACATCACCAACGGATACAACACCCTCCACAATTAGGTTCTGAATTTCAAACAAATCTTAAATCAGTCTCAGATAATATCTTCATAATTAATAATGTTAGAGACGCGTTTAGATTATTAAAATTTACATATTCAGATGAAAATAAGTTACCTACAACTTCAGAAATATTTCCTTATCTTCATGGATTAAATAATATACGGCAAAGGATATTTTTCGATGCAAAACTCAATTCAGACTATAAAATTAACCAAGAATTGGCAGGTACTTTAAGTCTTGATTATTATAATTTAAGTGAATATTCAAATACTTTAAATCCTCCTGAAATGGATCATTTCCCGTTAATGATAATATCTTCGAAAGACCCTATTTGCAAACAATCTGAACAACTTCTGAATACCATTCCATTTTCCGAATTATTCACAGTGGAAGATGATAATGATGAAATGGAATTTATTGAACTGATTCAATATAAACCGTTTTCAAGTATAAATAATCCTGGGAAGAATACATCGACTGAATTGAATAATCGAAATTTCAAAAGTCAAATTAAAATGGTTGCAACTTTCACAAATTTTCTTGTTTATAATAATGACAATGATTTTGGATTAAATTTAAAAGCTGCTCATACTATTGCTAAATCATTTGATGAACATTCAAATCAAATTTGTTATATTCTTGATATCCCAGACTGGACGATTCTGTTAAGAAAATATTTGGAATCAAATTCTATTTTTAAAAATCCTGAATTTATTTCCAATATTAATAATGATGATGAACCATTTTCTTGTAAATTACTTGAATGGGAACAAAACTTGATTTGGAAATTAAACAGTATGAGATGGATAGATAAAAATGTTTGCTTAGGTACATTAGTTGATTTTAATCAATTAAATGACTCAAGTAAGAAACAACAATATCAAAAGAAGTTTAAATTATTTATAAATTGTCATCAAAATGCTTCTTTTCCAGAATTAGCAGCCCTTAATCAAATTCTCCGTAAACTTGAAGATTATTGTTTGAGAGGGGATCAATCAGAAGAATTGGAACCAATATATATGGAATTCCCATTAAGTGGTTCATTAAGTATTTCAACCATTACATTTGAAGAAACTTTAAGTTATTTGAATGTATTGAAATTAATTTATTTCTATGTGAAAAATATGAATGAAAATGTGTTTATCCTTTGTTATGATGGATTCACTGGTCTTTCACTCCTTACTGCTTCGTTGGCATATTTGTTAAGTATTGAATCTGATATTAAAGTCACCATTGAAAGTGTGATTTTAGAATTACTTTCAAATATTCAAAATGATATAAGACTTTATTTCTTTAAAAATGATTTAATATTTTTGAAAAATTTAGAAAAATTCATAAGTTGGGTATACTTTAAGAAGCTTGGACATAATGACAACATCGATTTCCAATTAATTTTGAGTTTAGATTATAAGGAAATTGCTCAATTTAATAAAAAGGGGAAATCTACCATTGAATATGACTGGTTTGATTTAAATCAAGATAATAATTTCCCATCAAGAATCTTATCAAATTTATACTTAGGATCCTTAAATCATGCATCCTCAATAACACTTTTGAATGCTCATAAGATATCAAAGATAATCTCATTGGGGGAAAAGCCAACTTGGTTTGCATATTTAAACGATTATATTATATTCGAACATGAAGTTAACCTGAATTCAATCTCAAAACATAAGAAAATTATTCAACCGATTCATTCATATGATTTTATTAAAATCTATGTTTTAGAATTGAATACAAGAAATTCCATCAAATTATCAAAACTTCCTCATTTAAAAAAAATTGTTTATATTTACAATTTAAAAGATGATGGAAAAGATTCAATTCTACCTCTATTAGTGGATATTCCAGATCGGGTTAGAAAGGAAATTCTTATAAATCCAAAGACTAGTAAAGATACAACTTTAATTCATTGTAGAATTGGAGTTTCTAGGTCTGCAACTTTGGTAATTGCAACATTGATGAAATATTTTTCTTGGAATCTTCTTGATGCTTATATGTATGTAAGGGTTAAAAGATTCAATATTATAATTCAACCAAATCTTAAGATTTTTTATGAATTGTTTTTATTTGAAGAACATCTTCGAAAATCTTCGGGTGAAAGTGGTGGTCTGAGATCTATGTGTTGGCCTTCATTATGCAATGAGATACACAAATTGAACAATCACTATATTGCGAGCAACAACTAGATCTGGAATTTATATATAGTTATACAATGTGTTGTTGGTGTTAATAAATTATTGGTATTATTATTTCCTTGTCCATAAGGTGTATCTGTAACTATAATCATTTTCTTCAATAGGAGTATCAGACAATTGTAACTTGGTATTTTCCTTATCTCCAACAAATTCAAGAAGATCTTGAGTTGAATTTCTTTCCCAAGTCTTCCCAGTGGTATCAAATTTGAAAAATCTATCCATTGGAGGTAAGTCATTCAATGCACTAATTTCGGTAAGAAGAACATGAGTTAATCTTTGATCATTTAGTATACTATTATATAATTCAGCTCCCCCGATAATATAGATTTTATCAATATTCTGATCTTGTAATTTCAAGAGAGCTTCATCAAGTGAACTTGCAAGTATGGTATTTTCAGTGTCAGCTATTTCATCCTTGGTATGTGAGCGTGAAAGTATTACATTTAAACGGTTTGGAAGAGGTCTAAACTTGGAAGGGATAGATTCCCAAGTCTTTCTTCCCATTATAACAGCATTTTGATTTGTAGCTGATTGAGTAAGAGACGTGACTGTACGAAAATATTTCATTTCTTGTCTAAGTTTCCAAGGAAGAGTTCCCTTAAATCCAATTCCAAGTTCTGGTAATAAGGCAGCAACAATTATAACTATTGAAGGTGATTTCATGATTTATTGACAATTAAATTTGATTATCATAAAAAAGATTCAAACATGAATATCTATTGGAACTAGTGTCAATCATTCAATGCAAAACTAAAATATATAGCGCGCGCGCGCCTTTTTTTTGTATACATTCACGTTTTCATTTTACTCTTAAATATAATTTTTTTTTGTAAACAAAGTAACAAATTAATATTAACACTAAAAATACAGATCTGTTTATAACATAAAAAACACAAGATTGCCATAAGTAAAAGGAACAATTATTCTTGTCCTAGACCACTAATATACAAAAAACACACAACAAAAAAAAGGAAGACAGAATTAAAGGTATCAAAAGATGATTTAATCAACAAATTGGCCACATTGTAGAATGATGATTGGTTGCAAATTAAAAGGAAAAGAAAGTTTCCCACTTTTCCTCACACCAACCTTTAACAATAAAAAACAACAACCTCAAAAAACAAACAATATACTATACCAGTAAAATTATTGACATCTAAAGTTATTTTCTTTTTTTGGAACAATTATTATCCATTGAATTATTTCTTAGCAACCTTCTTCTTTGGAGCAGCCTTCTTGGTTACCTTAGAGGTGGTAGCAGCCTTCTTTGGAGCAGCGGCTTTCTTAGCGACAGCCTTCTTAGCTGGAGCAGCGGCCTTCTTGGTCACAGTCTTTGGCTTGGAAACAGCAGCCTTCTTGGCAGGGGCAGCCTTCTTGGTAGTAGTAGCCTTCTTGGCTGGAGCAGCCTTTGGCTTGGTTACCTTAGCTGGCTTTGGAAGGGCCTTTTCCTTCTTAGCAACCTTTACTGGACCGGATGGACCCTTTGGTTGTAAGAAATCACCAACTTCAACACCCTTACGCAAGGCAGTGTTGAAGAGAGAATCAAAGTTAGCAGCCTTAATATCATAGTTTGATTGAACGTATTTCTTCAAAGCTTGACGAGATGAACCATTTCTTTCCTTAAGAGTAGCAATTGCTGACTTAATCATATCTAATATAAGTTAGTACACTTTTTTTGCCCTTTCAATAACAAGTTAAAAAAAAAATCCCCTTTGTTTATTTAAATAGAGCACGTTTTCTTCATATTGTTCACAGTTTCCAATTGAGACCAGTACATACCCTTATAGGTGAGCTTGGAGGCTTCTGGAGCCTTGACGGTCTTAGATTTAATGGCCATTTTTGAATAGGAGTATATTTGTTGTAGTAATTAACAGAAAAGAAAAGAAAATTATAACACTTCTGGGGGGGGGGACCAAAGATATAAACAAATGATTGTTTTGAAAACAAAAATTCGCGCACAAAATCTAATGACACAAAATGCGTGACCAGGTTGAGACACGCTTTATATGTGGAGAGATATTTTTTTGACTGCAATTTCAAAAGTTGGGTTTTTTATGATTTATTAACCAATGATGAACAGGAACCAGTTCTCTCCTAATACTAACATGTTTGTATAATGTTGTTCTTGTTTTGTTTGTAGCTATTGTTTCTTATTTTAGTTTCGTATTGTATTATACTGTAATTTGTCCCATGAGGGTATTATTTGTGAAACCGCTATTGCTATCGTTATTCTCACCCATGTTTAGAAGTAAATTGTACCTTTTCTAAAACTTCAGTACTATTGTCGACTTTCAATTTTTTTTGCCAAATCATAAAATATTACCCCTCCTCATCATATTTACTCCTCTTATTTCTTTTGAAATAAAAATATAACCCTCAAGGAGTAGTAAGGAGTCATTCTCTTTCAATATTTGTGAACTGATCTGAATTGAAAGCTAATTTCTAGACACTATGTACATATACTAATTATATTTAATAAAAACTTTAGAATTACCAGTTTGGTAAATCTCCTTTAAATATTTTCCCTGATTTTTAAATAATTTAATGATGCTCCTCTTTTGCTTATGGACATACTTCATTTTCCTTCCACATTTGATAGGAATCCTTTTCATAAATATATCTTCTATCCTTTTCCATCTCATATAAATCCACATAATCTGTGAAAAGAGCAATAATGGCAAAATTATCCATACCTGTTTCTTCCTTCTTCCCATCAACTCCTCTACTTATAGAATCAATAAGCTTTTGCTTTTCATTATCAATTTTTGTTTTTGGCATTGGTTTTCTAAATGATGATTTTAATTTTTTAGACAAATTTGACCATTGTCTTAAAATCTCTTGATTCCATTCTTCTTCACTTGGTGGAGTAAATTCAACTGACGTAAGATCATGTAAATTCGTGTACGACAAATTATTAGCACTTTTATATTGTTGTAAGGTTGTTGATAATGATGGCGATATGAGATGATGATGAATAGGACGACTTATTGGAGGAATAGCGCTATTTTGAAATTCTAATACAGTTTCTTCTTCGATACTTGAATTATCATCATCTGAATCTGAATCTGAGTCTGAATCTGATGCTGAAGCTGATCTAGAATTTTCAATAATATGTCTAGGACTGATACTAGATATATCAACTCTTGGTTTATGTTCCTTATCAATAATACGAGCAACTCCTCTAAATCGAAATTGTTTTCTTGATGTTGGGAAATAAAATACCGCTTCAACTTTATCATTATTCAAAATTTCTTGGTATTTACTCATTCTTCTATCAGTAGTAAGAGAAATGATATTATTAGATTTATCATCAAATAAGAATCCTCGATAAACAAGAGTTCTAACATGTGGGAATCCTTGTGAATCAACTGTGGCAAGTTGACATGTTATAAATGGAGTGGCATTTTCTTGATTTAACTCCATTTCCAAAGCGGAAGTAAATCCTGGCACCCATCCTGCCATATATTGATTTTGCAACATTATAAATGTATATATATAATTTAATTTGTTCTTCAAGAAATTACATTAATAGCTTTCAATGCTACTTCTAACAAAGATTATCTCACTTTAAGGGTTGATCGGGAGATATAGAACTTTATGGTTTAACCTTAAATCCGTCTCGATTCAAATCCAGGATCACAAAAAGAATTTTATGATTCGGGCCGAAATTTATTTAATCTCCTTTGCTATTTGTAAATTAATAACAAAAAGAAAAGGGGTATATTTGTATTGCTTATTGATTATAAGCACTTATCGATATTCTAGGTACTGACTTTGTTATTCGCACTCTCTATCTTGAAGAAAAAGTTACACACTGCAACTTGGATTGATTCAATGTATTTTATAATGGTCATACGACCATTATTTTAGTCGTCTCGTGAGAATCATTCCTGCAGAAGTAATAATTAAAAACGTGGGAATTTTTATGAGCACGGCATTTTATTTGCCTTCTCTCTCATGCGAATTCCACTATAAAAAAAAGTGTTGCAGATGTTTAGAGCTATATAAAGCATATCTGAATTACATTTAAAAAAAATGCAATGCATTACCCAACTATATTGACAACTCTCTCTTATAAATTGCTCCTTAATTTTGACAGTTAGTTACCTTAATAATTAATACCCTTCAAATTCCGTACGGCACAGTATCTTTTTGGAGAAAGTGAAAAAAAAAAAAAATTGAAAAAAAAAAACATTTATTAAGCGCTCTTCAAGAATTTGGATTTTAAGAAACATATGATTAAACCCATTATATACTAAGAAAAGTGGACATTTTATACTCTAATGGTTTTCTTTCAAGATATTTAATATATGAAACATACTTTTGAGGAAGTTCAAATTTAGTTTTAAGGCGTTTGGTCGATTTTTTCTATTTTTAGACTTCAAGCCTGTTAAAAATGCTATAAAAAATAAAATTTCAAGAATTGGGTACTCTGGCCGAGTTGGTCTAAGGCGCCAGGGTAAGGTCCTGGTCTCTCCGGAGGCGCGAGTTCGAATCTCGCGGGTATCATTAAACACCAGCAATTCTTTTCTTTTTATAATTTTTTTTTTTATTACTTATTATCCATCGTAAATTTGCTAATATATTTAGTACTAAAGGAGCTTAGCATTCATAAAATATCCTATTGTATATTTAAACTATTATTAATTTGTTCATGTTCTTTCAATTAAAAAGTGAACTTTGTTTTTGTATTATGGGTGTATGGATGTGGCTATATTTTAGCATTATTTTGCAACAATCTCAAATAATTATATAAAAAATTAATTCTATCATATTGTAAAAACTAAATATTCATATTCAAACATTATTTGGGTTTCCCTTTCTATATCATTAAGTCTATATTTACTATTAAATCAGAAAATATTATTCATTAACATCTATATAAGTTTTTACTTTATACAAATTGATATACTTTTGAGATAAACGTCACCGGGAAGTATATCTCACAACAAATTAAACAATCAAGTAATAAGGGAACTTAAGTCTAGATAAAAAGAGGAAGCAGGAAATCAAACGTATTCGTCGAGGTATTTATTTGTTTTTGATTTCTGTCATGAATTTACATTATAACACAACATTTTGAACCGGATTTTTCCTTACCATCTTCAAATTCACCATTTGACAGATTTTGTTTATTTCGAGAAGTTTTGGCCAGTTTATCAGTATCATCATTTATGTCCTTGGTATTTTCTGAAGCATTCACTCCCAGATTCTCCAAAGCATTTTGCTTTTGAAGTTGTTTTTGTTGTTTCTTTTCAGCATTTATGGCTGCTTCTTTACGCATAATTTGTCTAACAACATCGATAAATGATTCATCAACATTTGTCTTATACATAGCACTAGTTTCATAGAATGGAACACACCCCCAATCTTGAGAAACTTTGATCCCATCTTCTATACTTAAGACACGATCGTCTTTTAAATCACATTTATTACCAATTAAAACCATTGGTACATTATCAGAATCTTTAATTCGTAAAACTTGTTCTCTTAATGCTAACAATTCTTTTAATGAGTTTTCATCTGTAACAGAGTATACAAGTAAGAATCCTTTACCAGATTTAATATATAATTCACGCATTGCAGTGAATTGAGCAACACCAGCTGTATCTAAAATTTCTAAATCACAAGCCCTACCATCAATTTCGATTTGCTTTCTGTAAGAATCTTCAATGGTTGGATCGTAACTTTCCACATAAACCCCTTGTACGAATTGAACCGTCACTGAGGATTTACCAACACCACCAGCTCCTAAGACAACCACTTTATAATCTAGAATGTTAGTAAACTTTGAATATAAAAATATTGTAATTGCAAAAAAAAACTAAATTTGTGACCAAAAAATAAAATATCACATATTAATAATAATCTAAGCCCAAATAGAGGTGAATATTGCGCGGCTGGTTAGCTAACCAAAAAATCTTTTATATTTTTGAATGTAATTTTAACTAGGGAAAAACACGATAGATATTTAACCCCCTCCCTCCCTTCCCACCATGTCAAAAATAAATAACAGAACGCTTTGAATTCATAACAAATAAACAAGTGCTACCTATGGGTCTCGAGTATCACACCGTCTTCATCATAGACGATGTCATGTAGTTAAATTTGGCTGGCTAATCGGGCACAATGTTTCTTATTTTTTTTTGTTGATAATATTTTAAAACCCCAATATATGACTTAAATATTTAATGATAAGTGGAAACCGCGTTACATACCTCTCATATTGCAAGTAAACAGTTATTCTGTAGTTTGTGTATTAATCAGTAGACCTTCTGGAATATATGAATAGCAATTGAAACCTGTATGGCGATATTCAGTCAAGTTTTATTCTTTGGAATCTGAATTATATGACGTTGGAGGTTTTTAATCACTTAGACGACTCTTTCAATTTTCGTGTCGCGGTTATACACAGGTCCACAGCTCGTCTAGGAATATTTATCATTTTAATTATTCACGCACCTCGAAGCCTCTATTTTAATGTCACATGATGCAGCAAATACAATTAAAATGTGTATGTTTGTTAATTGGTTTTTTTTTTTTTTTTTTTTTTTACTACTATAAGACATAGTTTAAACAATAGAGATATGTAATAGTTTACATAAACATTAATCCAGGGGTTTACATTGTAGTTTACTAGAATTGAAAATATGATTCATATATATCGTTTAAAATCTCCTAAGGATAAAACTTATACCTATATATTGAAAAAAAAGAAAGTATTTCTCATTTTAATCATCTAATGGAAAAATGTCTGGAAGTGGTCCAACTGGAGTAATTGAAAGTGGGTTAATTTGAATATGAGATTTTGTGTAGTGATACTTGATATGTTCAAAATCAGTAGTTTCTTTGAAACCAGGGATTTTCCAATAAAGTAAACGTAACCAATTATGAATATGAGGGTAATCATGTCTAATCATACGAATGTTACACTTGAAATGTTGATGATAAACTGGATCAAAACGAACAATGGTGGTAAATAAACGAATATCAGCTTCAGTTAATTGATTCCCAAGTAAAAATTCTGGAGATTTTTTATTCAGTTGTTGTTTTTTCAAATGTTCTTCAAGTTTATCCAAATGTTTGAAAACATTTAATACTTCTTTATCATAAACTTCTTGCTTAGTTGCAAAACCAGCCTTATAAACACCATTATTAATGTTGTCATAAACCCAAGTATTTAATTCATCAATTTCAGATTGTAATGATTCAGGATAAATATCAACTTCAGCATATTCAGATGGAAGAATCAGATTGAATTCAGTATTGAAAATACGTAAAATCTCACTTGATTCATTATTAACAATTGTATTTAATTTTTTATCCCATAAAACTGGAACAGTAAATCTACCGGAATATTCGGGTTCAGCCTTAAAATAAATTTCACGAAGTCTTTGGAAGCCATTAACATGGTCAATGGTACCAAATTCTTGATCACTGGAAGATTTTCTTGCTTTAAGTTCTTCTTCATTGATAAATCTCCATCCTTGTTGATCTAAGTGCCAATGTACTACAGAAATAGGAATTATCTGAGTGAGACCCTTGAGTGCTCTTGCAATAAGGGTTCTATGAGCCCAAGGACACGCAAGGGAAACATAAAGATGATAACGTCCAGCTTCTGGTGCAAATCTTGCCCCTGGAGCAGTTGAAATAGTATCTCTGAATGAAGATGCTTGACGTTTGAATTCTCCAGTCTTACTGGCCCATTTAAGTGTATCGATCTAAAGAAGAAATTGTTAGTATGTTACTTCAATTGTGATCACTACTCTGCCTTCAATTAAACTTAAATGTACATACTTTAGACATTTTTAGATTTGATTTATTGGTTATAGTTCTTATTATTTGATAATTACTTTTTAAATATTTTATTAGCAACAGTGTAGTGGTTATATATATAGGTGGGGAGTTTGGGGTAGTCGTGTGTGCCCCAAGTACTCATTACTACATAATCTCTAATTTGTAGTCATTTTTGAAATGCAGGTTTGCATATAATGGGCCATTACAAAATTTTACAAATAATAAAAAAAAAAAAAATTAAATGCATCCACAGTTAGTAATTTATAGAAATTTAAGATTTTATTATAGGGATAAATCTTTTTAATTACTCGATTGATATAAGTAATCAGGAATGTTTCTTGTACTTATCATTGCCGCTGATCTATCCTTTGTTACACTTTCTATTCTTTTCTTTTCTTTCTCTTCTTCTGTCTAATTATATTAATTATAATGATGTTTATTGTAGAGGTGTTGAGTTATAAGTTTATGGGGTACATTCGTGGCTGCGAAAACATATTTCAATAGAATGATATACTATCATTGAAATGAGACATTATTCTAGATAGTTGATAGATACTTTTTGTGGAAATGTATTAAAAACCCTTTATACATTTCAATACACATTTACACTTGAATGAGCTCAAGGAACCGTGAGGTGCCCTTTACTTTAATTTCTATAGTTTGTAAAGCATATATTTCCAATGCGATGATCGGAGTTAGGAATACAGCAGGAAGGCTGGGCGCGTTATAACAAACATTCACACATACATATAAATATAGAGAATAATTGATTTAAAGAAAATAAATGACACCATTTTGATATCTGAATATTTGAATCATGTATAAGTTCATATTTCCGAAAAACTCACATGAAATTCACCTAATTTACCATTATTGTTTAGGGGGTGTGTCAGTTCAAAATATTTCTCTCGGTTTTTTCTCACCGGTTTTTTTTTTGGATTCCGTGCAGAACCAACAAATCCTCACGGAAAGCGGCTCATTTGACATACTTCTCCTCTGCTGCTGCAATATACTATACCCAAACGACCTAGTGAAGTAGGAGGAGTTCACTAACAGTGGTTTTCCTAGAATTTTGCACACAGTTCAGCCACCATTAGGGACAAAGAAACAGTGTTAAGGAGGTTTTTGGTTCACATAAATCCAATTATTAATCAATTTAATTTGTTATTATTGGAAAATTTTCTTCAACTATACATTAATACTTCAAGAGGAGTACTATGACTGACAAAAACGTAGGCTCTGGCACATCACAAGCATCCATGTCAATTTCAAGAAATGGAAGCTCGGAAAAGGAGGATAAACTTATGATGTTGCTGTTACAACATGACCAACAAAAACAACAAAGACTTCAGAAGGGTCAACTGCAACAACAACAACAACAACAACAAGTTTCTCAACAGCAAGGTGTGTCTCAACTATTAGCTGACCAACAAGGTAATACGATTCCACTCCACCTTCAACAACAACATCAACAATTACAGCAACAACAACTTCAACAACTCCAACAACTTCAACAACAACATCAACAACTTCAGCAACAGCAGCAACAACAGCAACAGCAACAACAGCAACAACAACAACAGCAACAACAACAACAATTTCAAATGGCAAATATGAATCAAAACCACCCATATGCTTCACATCAATTGCACCAAGCCCAATCACTGATGTATCATTTATCTCCAAATAATCCACAGGCTCAATATACTCAAAACCAACAACTATTACAGCAAGGGTCATTTGCGAATGGAAATCAAGTACAACCAGTATATAGCTCTTATGCACCATCCAATACAGCTCCTAATATAGCATACAACTATGCATTGGGTTACAACACAAGATATCCATACAACTATGGAGGAACATTTGGACAAATAGGGTCACAAACCGATGCATCTTCAACTGGACCTAATACGAATACTATACATGATCAACTTGATCTGACGAATGCCCAGTTACAACCATCGCAACAGCAAACTCTGTCGCAAACTCTTCAACAAGATGTTGTTCAACCACTGCCACAACCTCCACAACAACCTCAACCCATCCAGACACAACAGCCACAACCTCCACAACCACCAGCCCATCCACAGTCTCAATCTATAAACAATCCTCCATATGGAAATATATCATCAGATAATTTCACTGTAAACCAATTCCTGCCACCCATTCCTGCAAATGTTAATAATTTCAAGGTTGGAAAAGTCACAAAAAAGAGTAAATCTCTCGACAGCCATACCAATAACACCAAAACTAAACAAGTACTGAAACCGAAAGCTAAAGGACCTGTTAGAGATTCATCATCAGACAGACCTTACTCTTGTGAATTTCCTGGATGTGAATGGGCCTTTTCAAGACAATCAGATTTAAGAAGACATTCTAAATCACATATAGAACCAATGTTCCATTGTCCATATTGGAGAAATGACCCAACTTGTCATAGAAATGGTGGTGCTTTCAATAGGTTGGATGTTCTCAAAAGGCATTTAAAATTAGTTCATTATGTTCAAGATAAACTGCAACTTATTCATGATTCAAGGGACGATCCTGGCTGGTGTAGATCATGTCAAAGAATGTTCCCTAATTCAAAATACTTTGTTGATCATTGTTTAGAATGTGCACATCTGGGAACTCCTGTGGAATGGAAACAAACTGATTCTTCATTCAAATTACAAGGACAAAGACCACCAAATACCACCACTAATAATCCTTTAAAATCCAAAAAGCAAGCGGAACCAGTATATCAAACAAACACTCTTAATTTCCAAGCTCCAGATACTATTCAAAGTAAATCAAATGAATCTAATAATCGAAAAAAACAAACTGTGTTACAAAATGCAAACATGGATTCAAACTTAGATCAGACATCTAAAAAAATTCCTACTTTCGGCGGAGACACTGTGGTTGATCAAGTTGCAAATGATATGTCCGTAATTGATTCAATGAACCTCAAGGAAGCTCAAGCCAGCGAAATCTTAGGTGGCTTGACATCAGCTTCACATGTACTTGACAAGGAGAATAAGGTCATTAGCAATGACAATCAATCCAAAGATTGAAGTCGTCTTTTTTTTTTATTAAAAATATATTGGATAGTACATATGAACAAATTTAATCTTTTTCTTATAATTAATATACACAAATAATTTCTATCTTACATAATTTATTCATTTTCCTGATCAGATTCTCTAGGGCCAGGTTGGTCAAAGAAATCTAAAATAGCACAATTTGGATGCAAGATATAAACTGTTCTAGTGTTTGTCGCTTGGGCTTGAACACCATCTACCAGAATTGGAAGATTGCTTTCTTCGTCCACATTATTGGATACACTCATCAAGATTTTATCCTTGACCAATCTCTTCAACACCTTGAAACCCAATTTTCTTTCAATATAATATTCTTGTTCACTTTGAATGTCATCTTCTTTTTGGGTCAAGTACCATTGAACCAAGTCTTCAGCTGTTAAGCCTTCTCCCCCTTCATTGTCATCATCAGATACCTTTTTTACTAATAAATTCATCATGGCCACATACTTATCGTACGAAATTGCCGTAGATTCTTTCTTTTTAGATTGTTCCACAGAAGCTGCTACAGCTTCTTCGGACACTTCAGCTGCGGCTTCTTCCTCACGAACCAATGAAGGATCTTCTTCTTCAATTTCGACATCATCCATTTCAACACGAATAATAGATTGTCTCAACAAGTCATACGCTTCGGCAACAAAACTTGGAGTAATTTCATCAGTACAATTAGCTCTGGCAATTGCTTCCGACAATCTAATCATGGATTCCAATTGTCTGACTGTAATTCTGTAGGAAGATCTACCAATTCCTTGAGCATCATCGTTTCTTAATTCCTTATATCTTGTCACCAAGAAATCTCTTGCCTCTTTAGTCATTCTTGGTTTAAAGGTTTTGGCGTATCTAATATAACGAGCAACTTGTTCAGCAGAGTATGGTGGATTAATTGCTTCATCTCTCAACATATGTAAATCCACAATGTGTGAAGCAAGTTGAGTATCAATCTTTTCATTACAATCATCCAAAATGACAAAGAATAAATCAAATCTTGACATAATTGGTGCAGTCATGTTCAAATTAGATCTCAAACCTAATTTCCTATTATATCTACCACCAATTGGATTTGCTGCAGCTAAAATAGAGGTTCTAGCATTCAAAGTAGCATGGATACCAGCTTTTGCAATCGAAATAGTTTGTTGTTCCATCGCTTCGTGAATGGCAACTTGATCACTGATATCCATCTTATCGAATTCATCAATTGCACAAATACCATTGTCAGCCAACATTAATGCACCAGCTTCAATGGTGGATTCTCCACTTTCTTCATCCTTGACAACAGCTGCAGTCAAACCAGCAGCAGATGAAGCCTTACCAGAGGTATAAACAGCTCTAGGAGAAAAGCCACATACATATTTCAAAAATTGAGATTTGGATGTAGAAGGATCTCCAACCACACAAATATTAATATCACCTCTCAAATTAATTCCATCAATGGTTTCCTTGTGTACACCACCTAAAAGTTGAAGTAAAATACCCTTCTTTACAACTTCATGACCGAAAACAGCAGGGGCAATGGATTTAACAAGTTTATTGTACACATAGTCATCCTTAACCATTTCCTTTAATTGAGAAACTTCAGAATCTGTCAAAGATGTTAAGAATACTTCTTGTTCATTGGTTCCCTGGTAAGCAATAGCAGAACTATTGGTTGTATCATTTTCTTCAGTTTGTTCACTTGAATTATTTTTATTAACAAGAGAAGATACATGACATGCCAAGAATGCAATCTTATAAGTAAGATCTCTTACACCAAGACTTTTCAACCCACTAACACCTGAATTAAGTTCTGACAGGAACCCACCTTTATTTTCCTTAATCGATTGCGCCTTTATACCAGGTAAGCCCAATTGTGAAACATCTGGAATCACGATTTCTGTACCAGTAAATTTACATTTATCACCTGGTTTTGCTCTTTCAACAGTTTCACCTCTTAAGATGACATCTAAAGTACGAGGCATGGAACCAGTTGGAATTTCATTTGAATTTTCTTGAATTCTAACTCTTTGCCAATCAATAAATTGAGACTTTGATACATTTAAAGTCCAATAAGATTGATTTTCACATGATGGACATGCGGTTGGTTCAGTATATCTAAACACTTGTTCAATCCCATCAACCACTGCAGAACACATGTCACATGTGAAAGATGCCTTATACAATTCAGGACGAACTTCTGAAGTTCTAGTAACAGTACCCAGAATTGACATCAATGAACCAATTCTATCAGTACGGATATCACGAATTCTATTAATGGTCGGAAGATTGAAAAATGATATTTGGAAAGTTCTTTCATCAGCTTGTGAAGTTGTAGTAGAATCAGATGAATTTGTCTTTGAATCTCCATCTTCTGAATTATTAGGGTTGTTTAACAAACTAGTGTATAAAAGAGTTGGTGCATATTTTTTCAAAAGTTTCCTTAAACCTTTTATTAAAAATGGAGAGAAACGATAGTATTGTTCCAAGATAGCAGAAGCTAAGACACCGTTTTCTCTACTAATCAAATGTTGGTAGTTGACATACAAGGTACTCAATTCATAAGATTTCATGACTGCAAATTGGGCAACATAAATTCTTCCTTGATATTCATCATCAGTACGAGCAGTTTCTTCATCAATGAATTCTTCTAGAAATTGTTCAAATGATTCTTGAACTTTTTCACCAGTTAAATCAACAACTTTAGGCACAGCGATTTTTCTTCTACGATTGACAGGTACGTTATCCTCTGGTACTGGGGTTTGAGCATGTTGACTCATATTAGATTCGGAGAAGAGTACATTGTGTTGAGGAGTAAAGGCACCAGATCGACCAATGGATGATGGTGGTTGTGAGGAATGAAGCAAATGCGCAGCATCCGATGGAATTCTTCCTGGAGACGAAACAAGATTTGCCATGATTCAGGATATGTTATTATTACTAGGTTGTACAAAAGATAGTGATTGTAATGATGGATTCAAAAATCTAAATGGATTGATACATCGCCAGAAAAGTACTTGAGCTGGGAAAGGACGCGTTTTTTCCCAAATGGGCGAAATTGCATTCTAAAGTGCAGGAATAGTCAACAAAGCTATCTAGGTCATATATACAGGAAACCTTTAGATCTTACCATAGAGAGAATTATAATAATTGAATCACTAACATGAAATATACCCACTAACGCATCTTAATTGTTAATTATTTGAATAATTTCCTTGAATATGTTAAGAATTTTTAGATCTCGTATACGGTCATATTCGACGACTACTCCTATATGTATGTTTATTAATTCATGTTAAGATTTTCTGTTTTCTTTTTTCATTGACTAACATTTTAAAGATCCTCCATCATTACTTAAATTACAAGTTGGGAAAATTCTTCAATGTGAGAAACATGAGAATGCAGATTCTCTTTATGTATCACAAGTTCAAGTTGGGATTGAAGAAAAAGTTCAAATTTGTTCAGGATTGGTGAAATTTTATAGACAAGAAGAAATGAAAGATCTTGATGTAGTATTACTTACTAATTTGAAACCATCTAAAATGAGAGGTGTAAAATCAGAAGCCATGGTATTAGCATCAGAGACTGGGGCTGAAGAAAATATTGAAGTTTGTGTGGTATCGCCACCAAAAGGTGCAGAAATAGGAGACAGATTATATTTTGAAGGATTTTCCGATACTACACAAAACACTCCAACCAAACTCTCATCAAAGGCATGGAAGGATATACAAACGCATTTACGTACGAATTCAAAAGGGGAAGTAGTATATGTAACAGATGATGGCGAAGAAAGGAAACTTGGAATTAATGATAGTAGCGCCACATCAAAAATTGTAAATGCGGCCGTACGTTAGGCAGGCACACAAAACATTGAAAATTATAGATAAGAGCCAAGACTTTTATTTCCCTCAATATTTCTTGGCTTATGTATGTTTTCTTTCATATATATATATATATATATATCTTATATAATGTACATAGGTAATAGACAATTCACAGAATTAAATTTATTTCAAAATCTATATTATTAAAATCGTTATATTGTCAATATGTGTGACAATTTAAAAAGTTGGATAAACATACATATACATATATTTATATATGTGTACCAATTTACCACTTAGCTGGTCCAAATGATTCACCAGGGAGAAGAGTGTGAATCCAAGCAATGTTTTGACCTTCAACTGTGTCGGCAAAAACAGTGTTACCCCACCATACTGGAGCATCAGTATTGGTTAAACTGAGACAACAGAAAATGATCAATGAAGACCAAGCCAAACCAATGTCAAGGCCAGCGGACAACGAGTAGTTGTACTTGACCCACCAATGGAAGTACTTCTTCTTAATCCACCATCCAAAGATTAAACCAACCATACAGTAGGCACCATAGTTGTATGGGGTTGCTGGTGGAATGTAACCAGTACCGGAGAAGAAGACAGGCCAGTTCAACCATCTGATTGGGGAGTTTGGCCATTTCTTCAAGATGAGCCAGTTCACAACTGGAAGTAAGGCACCAATGAGGAAGAAGAAAAGCAAACCGTAGTAAAGTTGACCAGAAGAGAATTGTCTTTGTGGACCAATGACACCCCAAATAATGGAGGCATTGAAGAAAACCTTACCGTTTGGACAAGTGAAGTGAGAAGCTTGGTCTGGTTGACAAAGGTTTTCAATGGCACCATAAGACCAACGCAAAACAGCAATTTGAACAATGGAACCCCAAATAGTAGCACTCATTTGGACGGTAAACAAAAGTCTTGGAGCCAACTTCATGTAATGACCCAATTTCATGTCTTGAACAAAGTAAATGGCTTGAGAGTTGGTAATGTAACCGAAGGTCTTGAACAACATCATAGCAAGACCCTTACCTGGAAGCATGTAACCAATGATGAATTCAGTGACAACATTCAAACCAACAGCCATGTTGGTAAGAGCGAAAATGACACCAACTGGAAGTAAAAAGACAATGGCAATAAGAAGAGCGACAACAAGAGCCCAGACTGGGAATTCAGTTTCCCAACCTTCAATGGTGGCAATGGCCATAGCAAAGAAAATAACAAAGACAATGGCGTACCACCATTCTGGGACTTCCTTGTATCTAGCCATCAATCTGTTGTGGACATCTCTCTTTTCTCTTTGTTGGAGTTGAGCAATGATATCCTTACCGTGGAACAAAGCAGTGTGAACCAAGGTGGCCAAAATGGAAGCAAAAGATAAACCATAAGAAATGGCAAAAGTAGTAGACAAGAACAATGGAGAGTAAGCTTCATAAGCCTTCTTGTCAAAAGTTAAAGTACCTGGCTTAATAATCTTGTGAACATTATATGTTTCTTGGAATCTGTCAAATGAACCAGAAGATGAAATTGGCAAGTACTTGGCGTACCAGGTATTAGAGTAGTAAAGACCTGGAACAACAACCCAAAAGATAATCACCATAGAAAGCAAAATGGAACCAATGGTACCTGCAGGTGGAATCAATGGGGAACCAATGTAACCAGCAACTTGCATCCAGTCAAAGGTAAGTGGGAATAAACCAAGACCAGTTTGAGCACCGAAAATTTGGTTAACAATGACATTCTTTGGAGCAATCCAAGTAATCCAAGAGAAGTAGGATAAGGCTTGGAAAAGGTAACCTGGGAACCAGTACCAAACGAATGAACCAATGAAAACAAACAAGAAAAAGAGAAGTCTTGAAATTCTCCAACCGTTAGCTGGGTGATTTTCATTAACATGCATGTTGGTTAAGAAAGTGGTAGCAACCAAGTTTTGAGGCCAAATCATAGATGGAGATTCAACAAGGACCTTCTTGGTAATACCAGCCAAACCGAAACCAATACATTGGGTCGAAAGAATAAGTAAAATGTCGAAACCCCAACCGTAATCTTGGAGGTAAAACTTATTTTGAGATAAAAGGATATCGGTAGCATAAGCGGTACCACCAGCAAAGTTGACGTTTGCCATAATGGAGATAAGGGCATGTTCTTTCAAGTTGAATGGACCAGGGTTCAATGGCATACCAAAAATGCTAACATTTGGTACACACCAAGCCCAGAATCTACCCAAAGGCCAGGCCAAAATGGATGTGACGTACATAGTAATGGAGAATGATGGGGAATGAAGAGAGAAAAGGGTGTTCATACCACAACCAATCATGGTTAAAAGCATACCAATGACCCACATTCTGATGGTGTTTTGAGGAAGGTCAAAATCATCAGTAGATGGGACGGAAGCTCTCACTTCAGCATAAGGAGAGTCATCTTCCACGGTAATAGCAGTATATTCATCTTCAAGGATGTCCTTTTCTAAGTGAGAGGTGACAGGGTCAAATTCCTGAGATTTAACAACACTGAGAACAGCAGCGTCGTATTCACCCGCGTCAAGTCTCTTGCTCTCGACAGTGTCAAGAGCGGCATCTTTAGAGATGACGCTTCTAAGTTTTTCCATATTATTACTTTATGAAACAAAGGGAGAATACAAATAAACTACAGAAAAAAATGAAAAAGAGTTCTAGTAAGAAATTTGAAACAATATATATATATATATATATATATATACTGAAGGGATATTAGATTAATCACAGAATGAGGAGCGAAACTTCTTATCAGTTACACAAAAGACGTACGGCGTAGTGGCTGCCACACACAATCTGGAGAAACAATACGGCACCCGACAAAAAAGTTTAAAAAAAGCTCCTCTTCTTGATATGTCATGAATGCAGGTCTGCAGATATTTTCTTTTATCAATGGGTGAAATTGGATTCTATGAAGATTGGGTCAAGGTTATCAGGAAATTGAATATTATATACGTTGTGCATCTTCTTAGGGACATTTGAAGGATGGGTAGTATAGAATAATGCTTATATTGTCTAAGAATATCTAGGTGTGTCACCTTGGACGGCATTTCGAACATCTAATTCAATATCAAAAAAAAAGAAAAGCCCCGTACACTGGCGCGGCACTCGGTAGTTGCGACAACAAAAAGCTGCATATACCTGCCATATTACGTTCTTTTTACATTCGCAAGGCTTATATGCCAGATAAAAGGGCCGATTTGATACTTTTGACCTGTAACGGTAAAAAAATATATTTAGGCTGTCAAACGTTTGACGGGACATTGAGTAGGTATACAATTTACAGATTTAGTCAGAGGGGCAAATAATTCTTTGAGGTCACCTTACCTGAATATGTGGACTGATCTAGAAGAAATTTCGAAAGAGCTGGACAATAAAAGATGGAGACGATGCGAAGGTGGAAATGTTTTATCACTTGAGCAACTTCTGCCATCACCACTTTACCAAAAAAAAAATAAAAAATCAGTAGAGCGGAAATTCAATGATACATAATTATATTTTTAATGTTGTTAATTCCCCTCCGCCCAAATTATAACGTCTACGTGCGTGGCTCTACATTATTCTACGGCACTAACCGGCCCTTCTATCAAGTGGCATACACATTAGAAATACATCTTTGAAACGCATATAGATCTGGAAGGCTCGCTTTGTGCCAATATTTGGTCATCACTAGATGCTTGCAGGTCGAGATCATATTTGAATAGTAAATTACCACACATCACGTGTACGTCATATTTATTTTTCGTAAATTATCTGGTATGATATTCCCATAAAATGAGGATTTTTCTGTAAAAATGTTTTCGAACAATGATAATAATTGAACCTCAAGATAACTTTCAAAAATTTTTTTTTTCCTGTTTCTTAGCAACCCGAACACGTGATAAACACACGTGACAAGCACATGCAAAAAGAACGTGACTAAATATTTTACTCATCTCTTTTCTTCAAAATATTATCAATATAAAAGTATTTCATAATAGTCGTAGTAAAAGATATAGATCAAAATATAAATAAAACCAGATGAGACAAAAGAGAGCCAAGTCGTATAAGAAGCAAATAAATGTATATGTGCATACATTTAAATTCAGAGAACCATTCCAAACAATTGTTGATTCTGAATTAATTCTCACATGTCAAAAGGCATCATTTGATATTGTAAAAGGATTAAACCGTACAGTTCAATCTGAAACGAAACCGATGATTACCCAATGTTGTATGCAAGCTCTTTATAGTTCAGGAAACCAAGAAGCTATTAGTATTGCCAAAGGGTTCGAAAGAAGACGTTGCAACCATCAACCATCAAGTCCTGAAGAACCTGCTGCATGTATCGAATCGATTGTTGCTATCGATGGGGAAAACAAGCATAGATACATTGTAGCATCACAAGAGCATGAACTCCGTAAGACACTTAGAAAGATACCAGGGGTACCACTCATTTTCATGAATAGATCGGTAATGGTAATGGAACCTCTTTCATATGCAAGTGCTAAATTTTCAGAAAATTTCGAATCAAAGAAACTTACTCAAGGTTTAAATAATACTAAGAAAGTTAAACCAAATAATCAATCTAATGATAAACCATTAATACAAGTCACAACTGAAGGTGCTAAAAAACGTAAGGGACCCAAGGCCCCTAACCCACTTAGTATGAAGAAGAAAAAAGTTGAACCTTCAACTAATAATAAAATTTCTAAACCAGAAACCAAGAGAAGAAGAAAGCATCGTACAAATAACGATTCAAATGAATCAAAGGCTCAAGAATCATCAACCAATGCTTAATACACCTATATAGAATAGCAATAGAATATTCCATTTTTACTGCATATAAAAATGCTTGGTATTATTTTTATTTGTTTTTTTTTTTACTTTCCCTTTGGTAGCTTCACTTTTGGTTACATAAGCTGAAAATTTTGAGGTTTGCCTTGGTCATATGAGGGAACCCAAAAATTGAGGTAGTTAAGAATTTACATACATATATATTTAAAATATAATTATTATATATTTATTTATAGCATAATTAGAAATGCAAAGAACTTTATTAGCATCATTATCCAGATCCACCAGATCTTACAGGGCTGTTGCCCCTATGGCCAGAACCGTTAGACCAAACGTTTTGTCCATGGCCACCCCAAGATTTGTTCGTTTTGCCTCCACTGAAGCTCAAAAGGAAGCTGAAGGAAAGCAAGAAGAACCAGTCAAGACTGAAGAATCCGCTGAAGCTGAAGAAGCTGAAGTTCTGCCAACTGCCGAGTTGGAAGCTAAGTTGAGTCAAAAGGATAAGGATTTGGCTGACATGAAGAACCACTATGCCAGAGCTATTGCTGACTTTAGAAACTTACAAGAATCTACCAAGAAGGAAGTTCAAAAGGCAAAGGATTTTGCTTTACAAAAGTTTGCCAAGGACTTGTTAGAATCTATTGATAACTTTGGTTTGGCTTTAAACGCCGTCAAGGAAGAAACTTTAAAGACTAATGAAGAAGTCAAGAACTTGTATGATGGTGTTAACATGACCAGATCTGTCTTTGAAAAGACTTTGTCAAGACACGGAATTGAAAAGGTTGACCCTATCGGTGAAGTCTTTGACCCAAACCAACACGAAGCTACCTTTGAAATTCCTCAACCAGACAAGGAACCAGGTACTGTTTTCCATGTTCAACAACCAGGTTACACCTTGAACTCTAGAGTCTTGAGACCAGCCAAGGTTGGTATCGTTAAGGATGTTGAAAACTAATTCCATAGATGGAATCCTCACACTCATGATCTTGTAAATACATAACATATAGCTGGCGTATGGTCCAACACTTAATGATTCAAAAGCAAATTATCAATACTTTAATTTGTACATTATATTAGAATTTCTTTTTTGTATTGTAAAATATTAAATGATATATTGAATTAGATTATCTAAACCTCATATTAAGAGAATGTTGTAAAGGTATGACTGAAATAAAAAAAAAGTTAAAACAAAAATTGAACTGAAAGAATATAGTATGCACAAACAATTAAATGATATATTAACCCACCCGTACGCTTCTTCGCTTGAAAAAATCCATAACTTTTCTAGCAGCGCTTGCTTCCTTACCAGCTGCACCAGTGCTAGTAACTGTACTAGTAGTAGATTTCTTTGATGTATTGGAACGTGAAGATCCTGCAGATCCAACTCTTTTCTTTTCCTTTGCAGTCATATTTGGTGGGGAAATATTCATTTCTGTAGGTTCCAAAATCTTTTTCACTGGCTGTGGTGAAGGAGTTACTGCTTGAGAAGCAATATTATTGGAGGAGGAGTTATATGTACTATAGAAGGAAAGAATACTGAATCGATTCCTCTTTTTAGTTTCTTTATCCTTATTTTCCTTATCCTTATTTTCTTTATCCTTTTCTTTACGTTCACGTTCTTTAGAATCCTTACGAGAAGGAACTCGTTCAAAAGGTCTATCTTGTTTCTTGGATGATGATACCTTATCTTCCTTTTTAACAACAATCTTCTTGTCCAGAGATAATTCTTCATTATTTACAATTGATTCCGATTTGACAGGAGGTTCTTTAAAGGCATTTAATTCAACTTCTGGAGATGTTGGTGATACTACTTGTCCATCAAAATCAGGATATTGATCTATCTGAGGAGTAACATTAAGTGCTGATCCAGATTTAGTTGGACTATTGTTATGACTGTTACGATCAGATAATTCTAATGCTTCAATTTTATCCTCCAAATAGCAAAGTACAGAGTTTCTATTTTCTTGAGAAAGGTTCGTTTCACTCGTCAAAACGCCATTAACGTTAATTGGAGTTACAAACGAACTTCTTCTTGAATGAATAGAGGCTCCTGACTTGACACCTGATGATGGACTTCCTGGAGTATCAGCTACCACTCCTGTAACTGAAACAGAATCAACATTAGTAGATGTACTCGATTTCGTAGGTGAAGTAGATAAAAACTGAGGAATTGGTAGATTGATGGGAGTAATATAATCAAGCAACCCAGTAGAGCTTCCATGACTAGACGATAAAAGTGTAGAAGACATAGAAGATGGATGGTAAGAAGTTGGTCTTGGTTTCTTCTCAGAATGTGGAAGTCTAGTATGTTCTCTAGTAGCGTTATAACCACCTGCTCTAGATGGAAGAAGTGCAATGAATGTATTGTCACTATTTTGTCTTTGAGAACCGTTACCACCAGCAACAGCAAGCATCGCAGCAGTTACTGCTGTAGAAGATGAACCACTACCAGAAGCCCCATTTCTAACATCAATAGCTGGTGATCTAGCACCGGCTCTTGTTGGACTTTCAACAATAGTAGAAATAGCTGAACCCGTGTAAGTACTACTACGAGAAAGATTCATTGGAAGTTGATAATGAGGCTTTGATGAAGTTGAAGTTGAAGAATATGATGGTTGAGTGCTGCTGAGAGATGTAGTTGAATTGATGGAAGATATTGAATTTCGTTTGAAATTGTTATTATTCTCAGTTACCACTGCCTTGAGAGCAGTACTAGCAGTTGGATAAGTGTTTGAAACAGATGCAGATTTCGTATGTCCACGTTGGAATCCAGAATTATAATAATTTCCAGATCCTGTTGTTGTACCATTTATAGGAGAAGGAGAAGATGGCCTTATTGGGGTATTTTCTCCTACATTGGAGCCAGATGGTGTACCATTTAATAATGGTAGGGCAATGGCATTTGCCAAAGATGAAGAAGTGGTTGGAGCTGGAGGGTTTGAATATATTTGATTGACAACATTTGAATTTGACATTGATCTCCCACGTTTTGGCATTAATGCAGAACTATTAGTTCTTTCATTCAACATTGAGAATCTCTTATTGGTATGACTATTCAATTGAGTAATCGAAGCAGGAGTCTTATTTTCCTTATGAATTCTATCCCATTCAGGTTGTCTAATGGATAATAAATTAACATGAGGAGTAAGCCATGGATGTGATCTAATATCATTAATATTAATTCTCTTTTTTGGATCGGGAACAATGATTTTTCTTAATAAATCTCTTGCAAGTGGAGAAACATATTCAGGAAATGTTAATGGAGTCTTACATATATAATGATATAATCTCACAATATCCGCACCATCTTCATTTTCTGGATCATCATCAAATGGCAAATATCCTGAAAGCATAGCATATAATATAACTCCTAATGACCAAATATCAACTTTACGACCTTCATAAGGCGATTGAGTTAATACTAATTCAGGAGCTGCATAACATGGAGAACCACATGAAGTTTTCATAAAATCATTTTTATCCTTATTATAAGAATTTACAAATCCAAAATCAGATATAATAACATTTTTATGTTTATCCAATAAAAGATTTTCAAGTTTTAAATCTCTATGAATTAAACCCTTTGAATGCATATAATCAACTCCTGATACTAATTGTGCAAATAATTTCTTTGCAACATTCTCCTTAAGATATTTATGATGTAAAATATAATCAAAAAGTTCACCTCCTGATGCATATTCGAGTACAATTCCAATATATTTCCCACTCTTCATCACTTCAACTAATTTAACAATATTTGGATGATTTAATAATTTAAGAGAATTAATTTCTCGATGAACTTTAATTTCACTATCAGAATCTTTCATAATGCTATCTCTTTTGATTAATTTGATTGCCACTTGAGATGGTTGTTTACCATCTTTCCTCCAACCAAGTTTAACTTTCCCAAATTCACCTTCTCCTAATGTAGATCCAAGTATATATGATCCAAATCTAACTTCTCTATGAACTCTTTTAGCAACTGAAGAATGGGTTGCCTGGGAATTCCTTTGAGAAGCATGTACTTCTTCCACAGTAGAAGTAGTTTGTGACATGATATAAAAATGTTAAATGTTTTTGTTTTGCTGATCTATCAAATATAAATCTATTCAATATGTAAAACTTGTAAATAAACAATAAAATACAAAACAAGCACAGTTATCACAAGTATGATATATTATATCTAGTAATAGGATATTCTTTCCAAAGGTTAAAAATGTTTAACAAAAATTTCTTGACGAAGATAAAAATGGAGTGACGAGGTTTTGGTGTCCTTTGTGTAAGGGGAAGACCTTTGTATAGCCTAAACCAAGTGTGCTCCGCTATGAGTAAGTTCGCTTTGAAGTCCCTTGTCAATGAACGGCTGATTTCGTACAAAAACCTGTTGGATAAGTCCCTGTGTCACTAGATGAATGTCTCTTCGAAAGAGAGGAATGTCTAGTTAAATGAATCTGTTAGTTTGGTATTTGTTTACAAAAAAATATTCGGCTGCAAGTTTGCGTGTTTGAACCAAAATTTGCTCCCTAGAGAATGTATATATTGACACAAAATCATTGTTTTTGATACTAAACGTAGTCATTTTATAAACAGAGAGCTGCGGGAAATCGGCCACATTCTTAATTAGGGGAAATACGCCTACAATGAAATTTGTTCTTTCAAAACATTACAGTATGGTGACTTTTTTTTTTTTTTTTTTCTTATTATACTTAGAATCCAGTAAAGTTTTTTTTTTAACCAGGAACAAAGAATTCCCATCAGTTCATGTGTATGATGCATTAAACCCTCTCCGTAGAATCTACGTTAAAATAAAAAAAATCAGGTGTCCCAACACATTTTGATAATATTCTTTGTCTACATTTGTCTTTCATACATCTATAATTACATTGTTGTTATCTTCTTTTCCATTGTATTAACCCGCCCCGATAATGGTTGGATTGTAATGTAGTTGCTACCTCCGATCGGTTTCCAAGTACTGTTCGATACACCTTCAAATCTTATCCTTATAAATTCTTAAATTATCCTTTAATCCTTTTTTCTTATTTGGGTTACCCTCTGTACATTATTTTTAGTAGATTGTGAAACTGACACGCATGGTGAAGACGTGGGATGAGAAAAAAATATGTAAAGATACGAGATATGATCATATTATTGAATACTGTCCTCGTGATATGAGGTATAACCACCCACCATCAAGTTTTCCTAGAAAAAAATGGTGAAGTATAAAATCAAAAGAGAATACTTTATACTTCATGGATAACAAAGTTCACTTTTCTTTTTTGAATCTATTTTACAATCTAATAAACTTTTGACATCGGAAGAATTTACATGACTCTTACCTCTACATCATCGATATACAACCTGGGTTATAGTTCCCAATTTTATCTCCTTTGAAACGCGATCTATCGTCGTCGTCATCAATACAACTGCATTGATCATCCTTTTTTCTTTAACGACGCAATTGTTAGACGATTGGCATCACAACCAATTTGAGAAAATAAATATTGATTCAGGCATTCTACGGTACAATCCCGTAGTAGATATTATTTACCAGCTTCAATACCAAGAAGAATTAATAATAATAACAAAGGATACATATGTAGACTTAACGATTTATACGCTGGCATCTGCAAAAGATACGTAAATCACAACCTTCCTCCATTCAAGCAATGCTTCTTGCTTGCGTGGCGTTTTTCTATAAATCCGATCAGTACCATCCCTAATCCACAATCCACAATAATTCCCCTCGCGGATTTCTCATTTTACTCTTTGCATCTACATAGTGGAGAATAATCAAAACTTTGAGAACCCCTCGCTATTTTTATTTTAAAAATCTAAAATTTTATCCTTTTTTTTTTTTTTACTAATGAATCAATGGCTTTGAGTTCTCTTATCCGATCTTCCCCACTTTCTATTGATCCAGAACAGACTGTCACATGATGTGACCCATATACACACCTTCTGTTTATAAAACGCGTTAATAAAAAAAAACAAATAACCAAAAGAGCGAGATATTTTTTTTTTGATTTTTAAATTTTAATAGATATCGCCACTCAATATTATACAACGAATATATCTTAAATATTACATATATTTATATATTATACATATATAATGACACAGAACGAGCTTGACACTTCAGCACACCCACCTGTAGTTGCTGAAGATGAAGATGAATATGCCCTTAGTGGCCCTATGCTTATTGAAAAACTTGAAGGCAATGGGATAACATCTGGAGATATTAAAAAGTTAAAAAGTGAAGGTTATCATACGATTGAATCCATTGCATACACACCAAAGAGAGCACTTTTAACCATTAAGGGTATTTCCGATGCTAAGGCTGATAGAATCTCGATGGAGGCAGCCAAAATGGTCCCTATGGGATTTACTACCGCGTCTGAATTTCACACTAGAAGAGCAGAATTGATTTGTGTTACGACTGGTTCAAAGCAATTAGATACACTTTTAGGAGGAGGGATAGAAACTGGATCTATTACAGAAGTATTTGGAGAATTTAGAACCGGTAAATCGCAACTTTGTCACACACTAGCAGTTACATGTCAACTCCCAATTGATATGGGAGGTGGTGAAGGTAAATGTCTTTATATTGATACTGAGGGGACATTCCGTCCAATTAGACTTGTTTCTATTGCTCAAAGATATGGATTAAATCCTGATGATTGTTTGGACAACGTTGCATATGCTAGAGCTTATAATGCAGAACATCAATTACAACTTTTACATCAAGCAGCAGCCATGATGTCTGAATCTAGATTTTCATTACTTATTGTTGATTCAATCATGTCATTATATCGTACTGATTATTCAGGCCGTGGAGAATTATCTGCTAGACAAACCCATGTTGCTAAATATATGAGAACTCTTCAAAGATTAGCAGATGAATTTGGAATTGCAGTAGTTATAACCAATCAAGTTGTCGCACAAGTTGATGGAATGTCAAGTATGTATAACCCTGATCCTAAAAAGCCAATTGGAGGTAATATTATTGCCCATTCTTCAACTACAAGATTATCCTTCAAAAAGGGTAGAGCTGAACAAAGAATATGTAAGATATATGATAGTCCATGTTTACCAGAAAGTGAATGTGTGTTTGCTATTTATGAAGATGGTATTGGTGATCCAAAGGAAGATGAGGAATAAATATATAGATAAGTGACTATGAATTGCGATTTGTGGTGGGTACTTATACTTAGAAACAGTTTGGGAATCTTATTAAAAAGGAATGAACTTAATTCAATGCACCGGGTTTTGTGCAATCATAATTTCTCTACATATAGAGTAATAAAATTTTATGTATAACAAGGGGAAAGAGTCAACCGAAAGGAGAAGAATGAAAAATTAAAATTAATAATATAAAAAATAAATTAAAATAAATTAAAATCTGGGCATTGCATTTCTTTCAAAAGCTATTTCTAATTTGTACATTTTGTCCCTTTTGTAAGGAAATACATTTTTCATTCATCTTTATAGACATATATATATACATGTCATTATTCTATCTGAACTATTGTTAGCCTTCTATTTTGGCGAGTCTACATATATGTATCAATTAATATATATATATATATATATATATATACAAATAATTTCAAAAAAGCGTACGGCCAAAGTAAATGCCGCATTTGCAAATTGTAAATTTTTTTTTTTTTCAATTTCATGTCTTAACCACAATCTTTTCCGATCAGTAAAATTATCTTTTCCATCTCATGCAGAGTATGGCCGGGTAAGCTCTATTTTTGGGCTGTATGCAATACTGTCGTGTAAAAACGGAAAAAATAAACCGGGGCTATTCATAGTGAAAGATTTCCTAGAAGGAAAGGAAATGATAAAATTTTCCGAGTCTAATTGTACAACTATTCATAGTCTCAGTTAACACGAGAAAGTTTTAAATTCGTTCTAAAGAAGATTCATACACCCTATTGGGCTAAGATCGAGATTTTGACCATTTCCGTTTGATTCTTTTTTTTTTTTCGGGATAAAGTTTCTTTGTGATTAATTTCATCCCCCACTTTATCAAATAGAGCTTTTTTTTTATTTGCGTATCTTCAGATCCGACTTAACTAATAAGAATATATTTGTGAAGTTATACTTATTGACAAAAAGATTTGATTCGATATAGCGAGAATATTCCTAATTCAAATTAAAATTGGTATTATTATTATTGCTTGTTGGGTTTGATCTATAATTCTTACTAATCAGCCGTATTCCAACAATGGAGAAATCAAAAGTTAAATCTATCTTACCAAAGCCATTACCTTCGCCTGGTGCTGTTGGGACTTCACCCTCTGCACCTCCTAACAAGAGAAGGACGGCCTCTTATTCCCCAGCTTCTGATTTTGCTGTCTCTAAACGACAAAGATCCAAGTCCTCCAATTCTGTACCAACATTTCCTGATAATGGTGATGGTAAGAATGGACATCGTCCAGTTACTTCATGTACCTTTTGTCGTCAACATAAGATAAAATGTAACGCCTCGGACAATTACCCCAAACCATGTCAAAGATGTGAAAAGATGAATCTTAAATGTGAAATTGATCCAAAATTTAGACCTCAAAAGGGATCGCAAATTCAAACACTCAAGAGTGACGTTGATGAGCTTAAACTCAAGATTGAAATGCTCACTAAGAATGAATCTCTTTTAACTCAAGCATTAAATCAACACAATTTAAATTTCCTTCAACAACTGCAACAACAAACAAACTTTAGTATGAGTCCTCAACAACCTAGTTCATTCCACTCGACACCATTACAGAGACCAACAACGATGTCCGATGGTGTGATGGATTCTCCTCGGCAACTTCAATTGGATAACCCATTGGCAGTTCCAGTACTGCAACAAGTACCAGGAGGTCCACAATATCTTAAGGATGCAACTCAAAATCCTATCCAGGTAACTACTCAACTTAACTCATTACATCACTCATCATTGGATAACTCACCAATGTCACATGTCAAACAAGAAGAATCACCAAAGATATATCCAATGATATCTGAATTTGTATTAGGAGGAGTTCATCTTACATTAGAAAAGGCAAATGAACTTCATGAAAGGTTTATTACAAAACATTTACCATTTTTACCAATATTTGTTTCTAATTCAGCTACTGAACTTTATCATAAATCTCAGTTACTCTTTTGGTCGGTGATACTTACTGCCTCATTATCGGAACCAGAACCTTCATTATATATGTCATTGGCTGCTCTTATTAAACAATTAGCCATTGAAACATGCTGGATTCACACTCCAAGATCAACTCATGTTATACAGGCATTGATTGTTCTTTCTATTTGGCCCCTCCCCAATGAAAAAGTGTTGGATGATTGTTCATATAGATTCATTGGATTAGCCAAGAAACTTTCATTACAATTGGGATTACATCGTGGTGGTAAATTTATCCTGGAATTCAGTAGAACTCAAGTGAGCTTAGGACCAGATGCAGAATGTTGGAGAACTAGATCATGGTTGGCCGTATTCTTTTGTGAACAATTTTGGTCGTCTGTACTTGGATTGCCACCACTGATAAATTCTACCGATTATTTACTCGAGAATGCAAGAGTTGATACTACATTGCCCAACAATTTCCGTTGTTTAATATCATTATCCATATTCCAATGCAAATTGGTCAATGTCATGGGGGTTTCAGTTACTAGTCCAGATGGATTATTAGAACCACTGAATCGTGCTGGATCCTTGAACATTTTGGACAGAGAATTAGAAAGATTAAGATTTAAATTACCTATTGAAGATGGCTCATCAATTGAAGTTTACTTTTTATATGTAAAACTTATGATTTGTTGTTTTTCATTTTTACCAGGGACTCCAATTGAAGATCAAGTTAAATATGTTAGTTCTGCATATCTTGCTGCAACAAGAATCATTACAATTACTTCACAAATGATTAGTAATAACACTATTTTATTGATTGAACTTCCTATTTATGTTAGACATGCCATCACTTATTCAGTATTGTTGTTGTTTAAGCTTCAATTATCTCGTTATTTGATTGATAAATATGTTGATAGTGCTAGACAGCTGATTGTTACAGTACATCGATTATTAAGAAATACCACTACATCATGGAAAGATTTACAAAATGATATATCAAGAAGTGCTAGATTATTAGAGAATTTGAATATTGTATTATATACATATCCAGAAATCTTTTTATCTACTAGCAATTCTGAAACTGATGGAGCCGGATGCAGTATAATTTCTAGAATGAGATCACATTTAACTGCTTCTTTGTTTTATGATTTAGTATGGTGTGTTCATGAGGCTAGAAGAAGAAGTCTTTTAAATAAAAATACTGCACAAGAAGAAAAAATCAAGAAATTGACTCTTTCTGAAGAAGAGCAACTTGATTATAGGAAACCCGTACCACTCCCATTTTACAATCAAATCACCAAAGATGATTTTAAAACCATAACCACAACTACACCTAACGGAACCACCATAACGACATTAGTTCCAACCGACCATGCACTCAATCAGGCAAGACTGAATGCAAATGCCACTGGACTGAAGGAACCACTTTCTATTAACGGGATCCCATTAACAATGCTTGATGCAACTGGGAGTATGAACGATACAGATTCAAAGAATAATAAGAATACTACTACAAATAACAGCTCCGATAATGGAGAGAAAATTTCTAATAACAATAACTATAATAAGAGCAATGATATTAACCATGCTTCTAAATTTACCAACGCTAATAATAATAATAAATTACAAAACAATGGCACAAATTCGATATTTCCAAATTCTAATCAATTAAATAATTTTATGGATTTACCAATACAATCACAAGCACTGCCACAACAATTCCATCCTACAACTACATTTGTCAATAACCTGCCCATGCTTATGTCGGACACGACGGTGTCGATCAACCAGAATCCAGGCACTACACCATTCAATTCTGCCAATTCTCCTGCCATTGGGGATATTCCATTTAATGACGATGTGGCTGCAAATGTTCGCTCTACAGAGGTTGCAGACCACATGGCAAATTTCCTTCAACAACAATCTAATGGATGGTTAAATAATGAAAATTATGAAGATGATGATTTCTTAGGTTGGTTTGATATAAATATATTACCAAGAAATGAGTAATGATTTAAAAGTTTACATATGCATATATATATATATATATAATGTTTGATTATTAGATTATACATGGTACACTAAAAGAAAATTAAAAAAAAAAGAAAAAACAGAGTAGTATTATTAATCTAATCTCGCACGTGATATTAGCAATATCGTTTAATGCAGGTAAATATGTTGCAATACATCCTTTGGCTCAAATTCTCGTAGTAAGAAAAAAGGAGGAGTTATTATTGAGTACCTTTTTATTCCCTTTTGAATTAAAAAACTTAAATATACTAAAGATCATGTTTAGCAGACAATTATTACGTGCTTCATTGGCACCAATGGCCAGAAAGTCATTTGCTCCATCTTTCACTGCTGGATCCCGGTTTTTCTCTTTCACTGCTGAAAACCAACCAAGAATTAGAATTGGATCTGTAGCACCAAACTTTGTTGCTGAAACTACTCAAGGTAAGATTGATTTCCACGAATACATCGGAGACAATTGGATTGTATTGTTCTCTCATCCAGCTGATTTCACTCCAGTTTGTACCACTGAATTGGGTGCCTTTGCCAAATTGGAACCTGAATTTACCAAGAGAGGAGTTAAGTTGATTGGATTGTCCACTGAAGGCGTTGAGAGTCACAATTCTTGGATTAAGGACATCGAAGACGTTGCCACCGGTGGCAAACCTTTCGGTTACCCAATCATTGCCGACGCCAACAAGGAAGTTGCCTTCAAGTATGACATGCTTACTGAAGAAGATTTCAAGAACATTAACTCTGGATTAGTAGCCACTGTCAGATCTGTCTTCATTATTGATCCAAGTAAGAAGGTTAGATTAATCATGACTTATCCAGCATCTACTGGTAGAAACTCTGCTGAAGTATTGAGAGTCATTGATGGATTACAATTGTCTGATGCCAAGGGAATTGCTACCCCAATTGACTGGTCTGTTGGACAAGATGTTATTATCCCACCATCTGTTTCTGATGAAGATGCCAAGGCCAAGTTTGGTGAATTCCAAACTTTGAAGTCTTACTTGAGAACTACCAAATCTCCATTGTAAACTTTAAGGACAAATAATAAAATAATTACAAAAATTTATATATTCTATACTTGTACTTCAAATCACTACTAGCTCTAGATTAAAACAACTACCCATATTAACCTTATACAGTTACATCATTAGTGATTATATGCAACCCCTCACTTTCCTTCTTTCTTTTTTTTTTTTTTTTTTTTTTTTTCACTCTTATCAAACGAAGAGAAAATTTAAATACAAGACTCATTTGTACTTCTTTTTTGCCACCAAAAGACAACAGTATGGAAGAAAATTCCCCTGACCTGCTACCGCAACGACACCTGCTATCAGAAGAAGATAGCAATAACCCGGTAATCGAAATAGAAGAACATACTTCCAGAGAAGAAGTTACCTTGAGTGCTGATCAAAGTGACTCAGGGCTGCTTCTTACCACTGACCAAACTTATAGTTCCCTGTCAGAAGAAGATGAGACTTCAGAAGATGATGAAGATGATGAAGAAGAAGGTGAGGAGTCGCTAGCTAATAGCATCATGCAAGACATCCAAGCAGGTACCTACACCTGTTTGGTGTGTACATCTGAGATTGATGCTTTTTCAAAGATTTGGTCTTGTGATGGATGTTACAGAGTGTATGATTTGGATTGTATTCGTGATTGGGCTACAAGAGGTTCTTCCACCGATAAAAGCAAGAAAAACTGGCGTTGTCCCGCTTGTAACATTGAAACAAATTCTGTTCCAAAAAAATTTACTTGTTGGTGTGGAAAGGTTACAAACCCTAATCCTAACCAACTTATGCCCTTTAGTTGTGGGAACCCTTGTAATGAACCATACAAGGAATGTATCCATCTGTGTGGGTCCCAGTGCCATCCTGCCATGCATCCGGTTTGTGGTGCCATGGGCCCAATGATGAAGTGTGCGTGTGGGAAGTCTGAACGTCAACTCCCTTGTTTGATCACACCATATAAGGATGGATGGCAATGTAATAGTCCATGTGATACCGTCTTGTGTACTTCTGGCCATAAATGTAAAGGTGCATGTCATCTGGGATTCTGTGGACCTTGTGATGAATCTGTTCCTTCCAAGTGTTATTGTGGGAAAAGTACAGTAGATGTTCTCTGTTCTGATAGACTTCCAAAGAAATGTCATGATCAATCTGGTGAAAATTGGATTGGATATACTGAATGTAAAGAAATCACTACCATTTTCCATGATTGTGGAGTACATCTGGAAGAATTTTCATGTCAACCATTACCAGAACAAACCCCAATTTGTAAATTTTCACCAACTGAAATTAAAACTTGTCATTGTGGAAAGACAAAGGTTGATCCTTTAAAACGTACAAAATGTACTGATGAAATCCCCGAGTGTGAAAATGTATGTGGGAAAGTCCTTCCTTGTGGTTGCCAGTGTAAAATGAAATGTCATAGTGGAGAATGTGTTTGCTTTAATGTTTTAGAAAAATCATGTTCTTGTGGGAACCAAGATTTCTTGGTTCGTTGTCTGTTCTTACAAGCTGGATACACTCCAAAATGTAAGCATAAATGTTCAGTATTATTGAATTGTCGTAAACATTACCACAAGGAAATCTGTTGTTCATACGAACAAGTTGGATTGAAACGTGAGAGAGAAAAGAAAAAGGCGGTTAGAAATGGTATTAGATCAAGTTTGGCAGATGATAATGAAATCATGACGATTGAACCTGCTCATATTTGTACCAGAACGTGTAATAGATTGAAGCTGTGTGGACTCCATCAATGCGAAGGTTTATGTCATAATGGGCCATGTGGAGTTTGTCTTGAATCTTCAAGTGAAGATTTAGTATGTCATTGCGGAAAGACTGTAATTCCTGCACCAGTCAGATGTGGTACTAAAATTGAATGTCATGAGCAATGTAGAAGACCAAAGGATTGTGGACATCGCTTAGAACCACATAAATGTCATGAAAATGATATTGAATGTCCAAAATGTACCAAATTGGTAACTAAGGAATGTAATTGTGGATCTAGAAAGGAAATGCCAAATGTTTTGTGCTCACAAACAAATGTATCATGCGGAAGAATTTGTCAAGTGCCAAAGAATTGTGGACATGCATGTTTGAAAGTTTGTTCTGAAAAATGTACAAAGGATAATGTTCATTCTAGTTCAACCCTTTGTCAAAGTATGTGTAATCTGGTTAGAATTAATTGTCCACATTTATGTAAACAAAAATGTCATTTCAATAAGGTTGGGAAATCTAAGAAATGTGATGCTACAATTTGTTCTGAACCAATTCTTCTCAAGTGTTCTTGTGGTAGAAAATCCAAGAGTGTCAAGTGTGGAAGTTCATTAAATGACACATCTCGAATTGGAGACGTACTTGAATGTGATGAAGAATGTTTAAGTGCCATTCGTGATGCTGAATTGAAAAAGGCTTTCAACCTTACCAATGAACAATTGTCACTTGAAGAAGAAATCTTATACCCAGATTCTGTCTTGACAGTTTTCGAAAAGCAAAGAAATTGGTGTAGTAGAGTTGAAACTAAATTAAGAGAATTTGTTCAACAATATACTTCATCAGTTGATGAAGAATCCGATGATTCATTACCAAAGGTTAGAAAATCTTATCATTTCCCTCCAGGATCAAGCCCACAACGTAAATTCATCCATGAACTTGCAGATTCATATAAACTTTATTCTGAATCTCAAGATAAAGAACCACAGAGGTCTGTTTTCATTGTGATTACTCCATATACCACCATTCCTGTTCTTTCTATCAGTTCAGCAATTCAACGCAAACGTGAGATTATTGCAGAAAATACCAAGGCAGAGGAATTGAAACAAAATGTCATTCAAGAATCAAAATGTAATGCCATTTTAATACAAGATGCATTTTTCGGAATTACAAAAGATGAGTTGGATAAAGAACTTAAAAAAGTTCTTGAAACAACTAAACTTGAAGGTATTGAGATCCAATGGCTTAAGGGCTCTTCATATGTTGCTACGTCCCCTCAAATACTTGAAAATGTTGATGAAATCATTGAAAATGATCTTTATTTGTTAATGAAATCATTTAAACTGATTATCCGGGATAAATCTTTGGCATTTGATTGTAAACTTTGCTTGGTGGATAAGAATGTTGAATACATCTTAAAGACAGATGAAAAGCTTAGAGTTAAGGAAAAGCCAGTTGAAGTGACAGTCGATGGCTTTAATACAGAGTCAGACACTACATCTATCGAGACTCCTTCTCCTGAATCTGTGTCTGTTAATGAAGAAGAGGCTGCGAATTTGAATGATACAACTCTTGAGGTTGAAACGTCATTAGATTAGCATAAAAAGTTTAAACCACTATATATTATAGATATAGATTAGTCAGATTACATATAAGTAGATTGATGAATTTTTTTATGAATTGATATTGATAACCTTTAAAGTTGCATTTAAGGTTCCCATGTAGATGTCAAATAAATATAAATCCAAAAGAAAAAAAAAAAAAATTCCACAACTATCCACCTCCGCAATCGCACTATCCTGCACGTGATGTGACTCATTATCGGGGTACGATACGGCATCTTAGGATTCTAATCGGATGGATAGACAACATTGGACAACTGAATAATTTTCAGTATAAATTTTTCAATCGACAGAATAATTTATATCTAAACTATCAAACACATATATACATATAAACATGTTGTCTGCTAGATCTATCCGCTCATTCTCCACTTCTGCTGCTGCCTTCAAGACATTGAAGATTGGTTTGATTGCTGGTGACGGTATTGGTAGAGAAGTCATTCCTGCTGGTAAGGCTGTCTTGGAAAATCTTCCATCTAAATTTGATCTTAACTTTGAATTCGTTAACCTTGAAGCTGGGTTTGAATTGTTCCAAAAGACTGGTACTGCTCTTCCAGAAGAAACCGTTGAAACTTTGAAGAACTCTTGTGATGGTGCTCTTTTCGGTGCTGTCTCCTCTCCAACCGTCAAGGTTGCTGGTTACTCTTCTCCAATTGTTGCCTTAAGAAAGAAGCTTGGCCTTTACGCTAATGTCCGTCCAGTCAAGTCTGTTGAAGGAATTGGTAGACCAGTGGACATGGTTATTGTCCGTGAAAACACTGAAGATCTTTACATTAAGGAAGAAAAGACATACAGAGCTCCAGATGGAACCAAGGTTGCTGAAGCCATCAAGAGAATTACTGAAACTGCCACCATTAGAATCGCTAAGATGGCCTACAACATTGCTCTTCAAAGACAAGCCATTAGAGAAGCTAACCCAAACTTGAAGTCTCTTCACACTAAGCCTTCTGTTACCGTTACCCACAAGTCCAACGTTTTGTCCTTGTCTGATGGTTTATTCCGTGAAGTCTGTAAGGGTGTTTACGATGTCAATGCTGAAGAATACGCTGGAATCGACTACAAGGAACAAATTGTTGATTCTATGGTTTACAGAATGTTCAGAGAACCAGAAATCTTTGATGTTGTTGTTGCTCCAAACCTTTATGGTGACATTTTGAGTGATGGTGCTGCTGCCTTGGTTGGTTCCTTGGGTGTTGTCCCATCTGCCAATGTTGGTGACAACTTCGCTATTGGTGAACCATGTCACGGTTCTGCCCCAGATATTGAAGGTAAGGGTATTTCTAACCCAATTGCCACTATTAGATCCACTGCATTGATGTTGGAATTCATGGGTTACCCAGAACCAGCTGCAGCCATCTATGAAGCTGTCGACGCTAACTTGAGTGAAGACCAAATCAAGACCCCAGACTTGGGTGGTAACTCTTCCACCACCGACGTTGTGAATGATATCATCAAACGTTTATAAGTTTATGTACAAAGTTTAAATAATTAACGAATAAAGAAAGAGTAACTTATCTATTATACCTAATCAAATCCAGACCATTCTTCTTGTTCTTCTATTTCTCCTCTTTGTTCTTCTTGTTTTTCTATTTGTTGTACCTTCTTCTTCTTTTCGGCTTGTTTAGTGTCATTTTTCTTTGCCTTGACATTCTTTACATCTACAGTGTTACCTTCTCCCTTGATGAAACATGCAGCGAAAAATCCAATCCCACCATCAACTTTTGGTTCGGCTCTAACACACCCTCCAGCCAATTTTTCAACCATCTCTTCATTCTCAGCACAAGATGAAAACTCTTCCTTCCAACCTCTTCTTGGCCAATCTGGAATAACCACACTTCTATCAGCTAATTTCCAACCTTGTTTCTTCAATTCTGGATCCAGTAAAAGATCCACAACAACTCTTTCATTTTCATGTGGATGGATAGAACATGTCAGGTAAACAACTTTTCTAGCATTTGGGAACAGAAGTGCATGTTTCACTATTTTGAATTGGAATCCTGCTAATTTATTAAGTCTTTCAGTATCAACTTCTTCCTTATCTTGTTCTTGTTGAGAATCTTGTAATGCTCTACCAAAAATACCAGATCCACTACATGAAGGATCAACTACAAGTCCAGTGACGTCAGGGAAATCCAGAGGGTTGGTAGTGGTAAAATCAGCATGAGTAATTTGAATAAGATCCTTTTTAGCCTTACCAGTGGCCCTTTCACACATCATTTTTAAAACTTTAACTCTATTGGAATCTCTTTCAAATGCATATACAACTGGACTAACTTCTTCATTAACTCCTTCAGTTGGTAAATATGAAGCGGAATGAGTAGTTTTATTACCTGGGGCTGCACATGCATCAATTACACTACTATGTATATCTGATGAATCATAGTTCAAAATATGGGCCGGGAAACAAGATGCTCTATCTTGAATAATAAGTTCTCCCTTAAGATATGCTTGAGTTGAAGTAATCTTCTCACGAGGATGAATACCATACAAGTTAGGAATGTAATCATCTTTATATATGACTCCAGTAGTTGAAATTTCTTCAATTGAACTAACTGGCTGCAAAATCTTGAAGGTCGTGTGTTCGGAGAAAAACTTCTTTTCGGTAGTTTTAATAGTATTTACTCTAAACCATCTAACTGGAGTTTCATCTCCATCTACATCGGCGGTTGGAAGATCTTCCACTGATTTGGCCTTGTGCTTTAATTTTAATTTAATAAATTCTGCTTGAAGTCTTGTCTTGTGTAAAAGGAAGGCATCTTTTATTGGATGTTTCCCCAGCTGAATTCTTCCCTTTGCAGAAAATAATAAATCATGTACAAGAAGAAGTAAGAGTTCATCAGAAATCTTAAGTTTCTTTGTCGTAAGGGTTGCTTTAATCTTGGACTTTCTGATAATTGTAGTAATATATTCCTTATATTTTAATGTTGAATATACAACTGCATACACATGTTTAGGAGATGAGGTAAGCTTCTTATTGAAAATTCTATTTTGAAGTGATCCATGAGTTGATGGACGGAGAAACTCCTCGGCTTCAAAGTATAACTTCATTATATAAAGGAATTATTCTTCTGGAATCAATGGAGAGGAAGTTCAAATGTTCTAGTCTTATATATTTACTTCACTTTACTACAACTCTCTTCTCTTGGTTAATCACCTTTTTAATTTTTCTTGGATGGTCTGCATACAATCGGTATCTTACACAAAATTCCTCTTGTTTTTCTTCTTCCTTTTTTTTTTTTTTATTTAGTATTTTTCTTAAAAAATCCAATCTGGGAGAGTAAAACACAGCCAGAGATCACAGTGGCCTTTTTAGCTTATCCGAAAATTACGACTCTTTCAACTACATACTAAAAATATATCGATAAAAAATATACCGTTTTTTTTTTTTTTTTGTTTTCCTTTTCCACCAGACCCCGTTTGTTTTAGAGAAAGTAGAGTAGGGTTTCATCATGCCCGTACCACCACCAAATGCGTATGCTCCAAATACAATTCTCACTGTTGGTAGTCATTCGGTTAAGATCATCAAATATATTTCTGCAGGAGGCTTTGCTCATGTATACACTTGTACAATTGATCCACCATTCCGTGGCAATACCACAGCTTGCTTGAAGAGAGTTGCTGTGCCGAGCAAGTGGCAATTGAATCTCCTTCGTCAAGAAGTGGATGCAATGAAACGACTCAAGGGGAACAAGTGTATTGTATCATACATTGATTCCCATGCATCCAGAATGGAATCAAAACTGAAGCAAGAGCAACAATACGAAGTATTTCTTCTTATGGAATACTGTTCTAGAAACGGTCTTATAGATTTTATGAACACTAGACTTACCCATAAGCTTACAGAGCCCGAGATTCTTGCAGTAATGCGTGATGTAACTACTGGTGTTGCCATGTGTCACCATCTTCAACCTCCATTATTACATCGGGATATTAAAATTGAAAATGTTTTAATTGATCATGATGGTACATATAAGCTTTGCGACTTTGGTTCTGCTGTCAATTATCAACCAGCTCCTCAAACTCCGCAAGATGTTCTGGCTCTTAGAGATGATATTATGCAATATACCACGCCACAATATAGAGCTCCAGAAATGTTAGATTTATCAAGAGGCTTCCCCATTGATGATAAGCTGGATGTATGGGCACTTGGTTGTCTCTTGTATAAGTTATGTTATTATACCACTCCATTTGAACTGTCAAGTCATAAATCTCTTCAAGACATGGAGAATCAAATTTTACATGCTGATCATACCTTAAAAATTCCACATGATCAACCGGGCCTGATATTTTCACCTCGATTGAAACATGTCATTCAATGTTGTCTTCGGGAAGACCCAAGGAGAAGACCTAACGCTGTCCAATTACTTGGTGAAGTGTGTAATATGCTTGGACAACAAGTTCCTGATGTTATTCCTTCGGCATTGAAACATCATTCTGAACGTAGAGTAAAATCTCAAGAAGAAAGATCTACATCTCCATATGTCCCAGCACGATCGCCTAGTAAGAAGTCTACCCCAACTCCAATCACTTATATGGCATCATCGGCTCCTCCCACTTTTATTTCGCAATCGTCCACCATGTCAAATGACTTTCAAAAGCCAAAGCCGATACCAAAACCACAACCTAAACCGCAACCAAAATCAAATGATCCATTTGCTTCTATTGATAAGTCTAAACTTTTACAACTGGATAGAATGAAACCAAGGCCAAAATCTACTTACTTTGAATCAAAGAAACAATCGTTTGAATCCAAATCATCTCTCCTGCTGAATTATAACAGATATTCTACTTCTGCATCATCCTTAAAGGATTTTGTACAAAAGCAAATCGATGACAGTTCGCAAGATTTAACTGCTATTCGTAAGTCGGAAGATGATAATCGTGGAACGTTAGATTTCCTTAGAGGTAAACAAGAAGAACAAAGTACTGGAGGTAGTTTCAAAATGTCCTTTAAAAATGGACTCCGGAAAATTAGTACAGGAGGTATTGGAGCAAATGGAACTGGCGATAGTGCACACCATTATAGAAGATCTAGTATTACTTCCTTAAAGCAAATTTTAACCGGTGGATCAAATAGAAAATTGAGTACCAATAGTCCAGATGAGGATGATCTCAGTCAATTGAAGAGTGAAGAAAAACTTCCTGAACGGAAGGTATCCATCAAGAAACGAATGGCAATGTTATTGAACAGTAGTAAAGACCTGAATGTTGACAAAACCGCTCATGGGTATGGTAGGTTCACTGACCTATCCAAAAGAAATGACACTGATGATATAGAAGCAATCAATCACCCAGTTACTCCTTCATCTTCTTCAAGTTCATCTAGCGATGAGAATTCTAAAAAATTGAATGTTCTCAAATCTAGGAAGCAAAAACAATTACCAAAACCACCATCAATTCCCCCAAGTTTGACGAGTGCACCATTATTGAAAAGTAAGACAGTCCCTACACTTAAAAAAGCACCCCCAAAACCGAAAAAGCCTACCTACTTAAAGTCTGGAGCTGGCAATAGACGCTTAAGTACGGGAAGTGAGATCTCTCTTCCAGATATAGACGACCTAGAGAAGGAGTTTTCTAATCGCTTCCCAAGTAAGGTATTATAAATATATATTTGTAGTATATTTACATACATTAATAGTATTACAGATAGTATATAATGAATTTTGTAAAAACCTTAATTCTTGGTTGTTTCTTTTCCTTTTTAGGCTAATTCCTCAATTACTCCCTTCACTGCTACTATAGTCTTCTATGGAGTCTAAAACAAAATCCATACCCTCATCAAATCGTTCTGTCACGATGTCCCAAAGTCCATCAGACTTTGCTCTCAAAACTCTTCCGAATTTTCTTCTTGGTCTTTTTGAAACTTCCTCGGATCCATTAGGTTCTGAACCACCATTTGCAGACCCATTGCCACTACCGTTTCCAGTAGAATCACCACTCCAACATGGATTCAAAAAACTAGTGAAAATCACAGAATTTTGGTAATACCAATCAACCATGGATTCATCCATTACAGGGACAAGTGGTTTTAATGTAGAGCGATTCACGAATGCAACAGTACCCTTAACCAAATCCTTAATATCTTGTGATGGTCTTTTAGCATACAAATGCACTATAGATTGGTAAGCGTCGCCAAATCCTACGAACACCAATTTTTCCAATTGTGAGAAGTAAGATAAGTAGTTATCCCAAACATACAAGATCAACTCTTGTGCAAAAATTGTCGGGTTATAATTAGAAGGTTGGGAAGTGCCTGACTTTAATGAAGAAGAGACGGGTAATATAAATGGTGGGATATTAATATCAATAAACCCGAGTTGAGATGTGCTCTCTTTATCAACTTCCTTCTTTACCTTTTCAATTAATTGTACCAATGGATGTTCTAAAATCATAGATGAATTGACTTCAATAACCCCATTTTTGGGGTTCACATTAGCCCATACTTCAGCAGGGTCATGAACACTAACAATAATAGTTGTAGCACTATAAATATCTGGACTTGCTAGTACTAGGTCTTCGCAATGTGGAGGAAGGTCAGTAGTGAAGAATGAACTTCCTGAATTTCCTTCAGTTGCAGCTGAAGAAACTATAGGCATGTTTATAAATGAGTATCTGTTGAACAAATCATTAGCTTGTTGAGATCTTATTGGATCAGCAAGATTAGTCAACTTAAATGGTGCATTTTCATCTAATGGTAAATCATAAAAGTCCTCGAAATTGTTCTTAACAAATCCAGGTTGCATACACTTCCAATACTTGGATTGTACCTTTATAACTTCATCTATCACTTCTAAAGTATCCAGATGTGGTTGTAAACTGATTGTCTTTTCTGGTGGTTCTCCAACCAAAACCTTTGCGACACCAAGGGCACTTTTACTGATAGAATCCAAGTTATACCCCCCTTCTAATACAACACACATTTTCCCTCGTTCAATTGACTTAAGCATATGAGCCATTGAACCATATCCTGCGGGTGAGACGTGACATCCTCCAATAATATCACCATCTGCAGCATCAAATCCAGCACTCACAATAATCAAGTCAGGATCAAACTCTGAAATAATTGGAATGACAACTTTATTAAAAGCATAGAAGTAATCACCATCGTGCATTCCTGCAGAACGCCAGGGTATATTGACCGAATAACCTTCACCAGGGCCTTCACCGGTTTGGTCACTGTTACCATATTTTGTTCCTGGATAATACTTCCCATTCTCATAACGATGCAAGGAAACATACAATACTCTTGGGTCATCATAAAATGATTTTTGAGTACCATTACCATGATGAATGTCCCAATCCACAATAACAATTCTACGAACAGTTTCAGGATAACTTTTAAGAATATTCTTTGCTGCCACGGCAACGTTACTGAAAAGACAGAATCCTCCTGGAGTATCTGGTTCTGCGTGATGTCCTGGAGGTCTTACAATTGCCATAGAATTCTTCACACGACCTTCAACTACAGCTTTACATGCCTCTATAGTTCCTCCACAAGAAAGTTTTGCCGAGAGGAAAGAATCATTGTTGACATAAATAGAATCACCTTTTTCAGTTTCTTCCAAAAGTTTTTCTCTAGTCATGGACTCGGTAGATTCGATATATTTCAAGTGTTCTTCTGTATGAACTTCAAGAATTTCCTCAGACGTGGCTTCTCGCACTGGTATCTTTACCATGAGTGGGCCTATATCGTCGGTTCCAGAGAGTGCTGAGTCTTGAATCAATCCCGCCTCGGCAAGAATCTTATAGATTCTATAAATACGTCTAGGATCTTCCGGATGAGGATCGATATACTCAAAATAAGATGTGAAGATCTTAGCATGATAACGCATCCGAACGTCATACGCAATCCCAGTTTTCAAAGTTGAGTAGAAAAGTTGAGGCTTCGTGGATGGAACCACAACAAGAGGGGAAGTATTTGTGGTGTCCGTGGAAGTTCCATTCAATTTAGGTTTCTTCTCGAGTTCATTTTCAGAAGCTCCTGGTGAAACCGGTCTCTTGTTGTTATTCAATCCATCGTCTGTTATGGACGACACTTCATTTTCAAATTTCACTGCTGGTTCAGACATACTCAATGGCCAAAATAAAAAGGTTAAAAGGAGTCACAGTATTAGCCCAGTATTCTCTAGATAGTATAGTCTAACCTCAGCTATATGATGGTTGATATATATATATGTGCTATTCTTAATAACCGTTTAAAATTATTTTTTTGTGTCTTGAACAAGCGTTTCTATTTTTTGTTTGTCTAGTCTTTTTAGATAAAACAAAAGAAAGATTGTATCAATGTCGCTTGGAAGAATACCCCCCGAAAAAAAAAAAAAATGTACTATGGATATAGTACAAAAAAATAAATAATAAATAATTATAATAATATGAATATGAATACAGGTGGGCTTGTCAAGAAATAGACCGGCCAAGAATATACATTCCCTTAATAATCAAAACTAATAATATTGCAGGGCAGAAACAAGATACTTGAAATGAGGTTCTTAAAAACAAAGTTTAAACACGAATTGAGTCTCGACCTGAAGTTAAAATTGATTAATCAATGATAACAGAAAAGTTTTAGAAAACAACAGAATCATATAAATTATGTATCGTGGTGAGATTGTAATATAACGACTGGAAATCTTCTCCGCAAGGTGTTCAATAATTGAGACTTCTTTTAAGTACTAATGCACACACTATCGTATTTTTTTACTTAGAGAAAAAAAAAGGAAAAAAAAAGAGGAATAAAACAATTCATGCAAATGTGAACCCGGGAGAAAATAGTTCTTAAATTGTTTCGGAATAAATAGCGTAGTAGCTTCATAATTGGATGTATCACCCTCTCCAATCTTTCTATGGATTTTTATTTGAGCTATTCCGTATTGTTCTACTATTTAAGTTCTGTACCTCCTGTGAGGTTAAGTAATGTCTGAGTATTCCGAAAAAAGGTGCATAAACACTGCACCATCAAAACGGTTGTGTACAGGATTACTATTCCCAATTGGTACATTGGCTACATGTTGTTACAGATAGTGGTCCATTGAGAAAATAACTAGTAGTAATTATGTGGTAGGTTCACATAAGGTGAAACTCTATCCCCTTAACTAAACTTTAAACAGTTCCAACCTACTAAGATGTGTTAATTATTTCAATTGCATTTTATTTATCTTCTTATTGTGTGATACTTCTGACAACCCTTGCCTCAATTAAGCTTTTTTCTCAGAACTATAATATTTTACCCCTTAGATAAGCATTCTCATATATATATATATATGTATATATATATGTGTCTCTGTGTGTAGGTTCACAATCTGTAACTTTCAATCTCCATTCGGTAACTAATGTCAAGTGTATCAGAAGAATTTTCAACTCCAAGCACTGAAGAAATACCACCACTTGGTGGTAGCTTTTCAGATTTGGAATTAACAGATTCAGACGTAAGAAACCAAATTAATATATCTAGCTTTACTCCGTCATTAAACTCTTTTGAAGATTTGAATTTGGATGAGGTAAAACTGGAAATTACAGCCCGTGAGAGAGCCCAATTGGTCGTGGATTGCATGTCGCATGATTTAATGAGTTTACCATCTTTAAATCTGGAGTTTGCAACCATCCATTCTTGGAGGAAAGTGTTTTCATACTTATTTTCCAATCAGACACTTTCCAAAACTTTCATTGATTCTACATCAAATGTCGTTGATATTGATACTCGATATTTTTCCAACCAATGTCGTATCCAATTCATGAATAGATTGAGATGTACGTCAAAATTGAACCGAGTTGCCATCTCATCATTCTCTGATTTATATGATTATATTTATGACCCCAAGAAGAATAATCAATATCAAATGGTTACATACTATTTCGAAGACTATAGAGAAATTCAATCTATCTCAAGTCCATTAAGAATAGGGGCAGAAATGTCAAGATTGAAGCTCTCTTACAAGGAATTTTATTCATTTATGAAATCGATTGATATTCTATCTTTATTTTCCTTGGAAATGAAGTATCCTAATTTCATTCTTAAACAAAAATTTTATCTTGTTTTAAATGAAGCATTTTCAAGGTACCAAAACGGTGAAGAAGTGACTTTGACCGATTTGACAACTAACTTAAATACACATGTGTGGGAATCAGCATCCAAACGTGTTATCAATACAAGATATCGATGTTTACAACCTCAAGTCAAGTACAATCCTCGGTGTGTGAGTGTCGGACCAAATGTAGATAGTTTAGAATTATTTTTCAAAAAAGGTTTATCATTAATATCAGAAGGTCTTGGAGAAAATGAATTGAGAGATATTAGGACTTTTATAAGTTGCAAAGTCTTGATTGGGGATGTTGTTATATTTGTTAAAAATTCTGGTAAAGATTCGATTATTAACAATAGCTCACTATTGGTTGAACTTATAAGGATTTGTGACACCACTAAACAAGTTATAATTGCAAGCAAGGAATATGAAGCTCTCACATATGGAAGAATCTCGATTGGAGCTCAAAAGGCGCAAGTCAATTCTCACGCTTATGTCTCTCCTGAGTTTCCTTTCAATTTGCTCAGTGTGGGTGGTAAAGGTTATGGGACGACTCCAACTAAGTTATTCAAACTGAGATTATCAAAAACGTATACCATTGGACATAAGATTCCCCATATAAATTATTACATTGCTGATAGTTACTTTGTGATGAAAGCTCCATGGATGGAAGTCACCAGATCTTAGCCAAATTGGTAGGTATGCCTCCCTTTTTTTGTTTCTCTTCTTTTATTTTGTATATGTTGTGATTTGTTTCTTTTATTTTATTTCATGATTATACTAATTATGAATATATACTATTATTTTGAATATACGTGAAGAAAGCTATTTAATCTTATTTGCAGCCACAACACATGACGTGTGCAATTCTCATTGTACCGATAAACTTTCCAATATGTATGTCGCAGGTTTAGAAATTTTAATTATGTACGTGGACCAAACTAAGGAAAAGAAATCTAACAGCATGTCACTCTTGATTCCAAATAAAAGAGATTGGGTAGATGCCCATTCTGACTTGGATGAAGATGTACTTTTCCATGAAAAATGGCAAGAGTCAAAGGTAAATTTGAATTCATATTGGAAGTTTGAACCTGTAGCCAATTTTTTCAAACAAACTGATGAGTCAACTGACGATATGGCGTTTAATTATGCAACTGAAGATTTTGGGATAAAATCTGATTGGGAAACACTTAAAGAAGAACTCAAGGAACTCAATGCATCTTCTAAATATGGAGAGAAATATAAACTTCTATTCCTTGCAAGACATGGGCAAGGTTGGCATAATGTAGCTCTGGTAAAGTACTCACCCGAGGATTGGTTTAATAAATGGAGACTTTTAGGTACAGATGGAGAACTCACTTGGGGGCCAGATGCAAACCTTACTCCATTAGGAGTGAATCAGGCAAAGGAAAATAATCAACTCTGGAAGGAACAACTTGCTAAAGGTGCACCTTTCCCCACAAAATTCATTGTTTCTCCACTTCAACGTTCGAGTCATACATTAGTACATACTTGGGAGGGAATTAATATTCCGAACCCAATAGTTGTGGAGAAAGTCAGGGAAACAATTGGTGCCAATATTTGTCATCAGAGAGCAACCAAGACCATCATAGGTCAAAGGTTCTCCACATTTGAATTTGAACCTGAATTCACTGAAAATGATGAAATATTTGACAAATTCACTCCAGGTAGAGAGAAACTTCATCAACAATTCCTTCGTGTCAATGAATTTCTTCAAGAATTGTTTGAAAACGATGATAATACAGTTATATCTATTACATCACACGCTGGAACTATTAGAGCATTTATAACTGCTGTTGGTCATAGAAAATTTACCATTCCAACTGGAGGAATGATCCCAATTGTAATTCGTGGTGAAAAGATTATCAATAACTAGACAATTAGAATTATAGAAATAATGTATATGTTTATTTATTTATTTGTATTTGAAATGGTGATGTTCTATATAATCTAATATGGTTTGAAACGGACGTCACTCTTAGACTTTTTCTTTTCCTTCTTGTCCTTTTTATCTTTCTTATCCTTCTTTTCCTTCTTTTCCTTTTTATCCTTCTTTTCCTTCTTTTCCTTTTTGTCCTTCTTTTCTCTCTTTTCCTTCTTTTCTTTCTTGTCTTTCTTTTCCTTCTTTTCAGATTTCGATTCAACCTCTGATTCTAATTCTATGTCAATATCAGAAGTCTCAGCTTGGTCGCCAATCTTATAAAATGAATCAAAATCGAGTTGATAAGGTAATTCCCAGGATCTAATATTACCATCTTCTCCACATGTAAGTACAGATTTCGTACCTGGGATAGCCAATACGTCACGTACAACTTCTTCACCGTGTGCGTTGGGGAACCATACCGGTCTGGTTAAATCAACCTTTTCCTTAGCAGAATCAAATGGATATAATGAAAGTTTTTGTTGAGTGTTTGCACCATAAGCAACAAATCCTGGATATATATCTACAATATATTCACAATCTGGCCATGTCGATCTTACATCACCCAAGTCATTAGGTGCTGGTTCTTCAATTTCTTCATAGTTTGTGTTATTCAATTCATAGAATGCAACTGTTTCCATATGTGATAGAACAGCAATTCTACGTTCTTGAGTGAAATGACATGAGTGAACGGAGGCATAATTGATGACTTGATGTAAGGCATCTTCTTCGTCGGCTTGGTTGAGATCATAAACGTTGACATAGCCATCGGTAGATCCAGACATAAGGTATTGCAGAAGGGTTGGATGGAATTTGATATCGGTAATATCATCATGATGAGAATCTACAAATGATCTTACAACTCCAGCACCAGGATTTCTCAAATCCCATAAATGAAGTTCAGCATCAACACCTTGAAGTTCAGTTCCACCAGCAATCATAGTTTCAGAAAAATTCACACTAAGGAAGTTTGAACTCTTTTCATTTGAAAGGGTATGAGATGCAGAAGAGCATGAAGTACGTAAATCCCATAATTTTACACCATCTGTGGAACAAGATACAAGAGTGTTAGAGTCAATGCTCTTCATTGAATTTATACTGGATTCATGGGCTTTAAAGGAAAGTGTTGGACTATTGTTGTTCAAAGCGTATACATTGATTGATCCAGAACTTGAAGAACAAGCAAAATTAGAGTTTCCAAGAAGGGAAAGGTTTAATGCCCATTGGTCTGCACCAAGGGTCCATGAACTTTGAGAAATAGCTCTCATTGAAACTGATGATTTTATTTATAATATAGGAAAAATAAATGAAAACTACTCCTTATTCTTTCTTCAAACCTTCTTGATGAGCTGCTTCTTCTTCTTTAGTTACCCTAAAATTGTTAGGCTTTTGTGTAACTTTATGGTTTTTATGAGATGAGAAAGTTTGTTGTGATAAGAGAGGATCATAACAAATTATTAAACGTTTTTATAAGTATTTAAAAAGAGATTCTCATTAATTCCAACTCCTTTACCACGACACCTACAAGATAAACAATAACGAAAGATGAGTAGTGTTGTTAAAAAGGGGTCACGCTTTATGCCAAAGTTGAAGAAACAACCATTGAAGAAGAAATCCGTAACTCCCTTAACTCCCCCCACAACACAAAAGGAGGAATCAAGTCAACCCAGCCAACCAATAGAAGAAAGTAAACCAGAGACACAAGAAGAACAAGATGAAGCAGAAGATAAGTTTCAAGATGCAGTTTCCTCACCTCGAGTAGACTTTCGGTTTGCAAAGAGTAGTACAGCCAAAGCAACAACTGAAGATATAGATCCAATGGACACTAGTTCCAAGATTTCACCGGGGCCAGGCGGATTACTACCTGGATCTGCACTTCAAATACCTGGCAAGGATTCTAGTAATGACGCAGCTGTGTCCTCTGGTGATGATGATGACGATGAAGATAGAGACTATGGAGATAATGATATTTTCAAGAAACCAGAAGATAATATAACGTCAACGGCCAAGTTCAGAAGACAGTCATCGATTCAAATGCAACGTAGACTTTCAGGTATTACTCCTAGTATAATACGGCATCGGTCTGGATCGATTTCACATACTCCTACACCTTTTGGATCTGTTCCCCCTGAATCTCCACGAGGAAGTATAAGTGGAAGTGCAGGAGGTAGTGTTAATGGCAGTATTTCTGGACAATCTCAAGCTCCACCTGCAATTAAAATTGGTATTCCGATTTCTAAACCAAGTAAAAGAAGAAAATCATCATCAATTGCGCGTTTGAAGAGAAACCTGTTTCTTTCCAATGCAACTGCTTCTGTGATTGGGGTTCCAAAGGAGCCTACTCCTGAAGAACCAGCTGAAGTGGAAGAGCCTCCTAGAGAAAGAAAGAGGAAGTTTTCCGTAGGAGTTGATCCAAGTACACAAAAGTTGACAAAGTATAGGATTTCAAGTAATATTGCAGCAATTCTTAATCATGATGATGTGAGTGATGATGAAGAAGATACTAATAAGCTGAAGGATGATGGTGGTGTAGAAGGAACTAATAAAGGTACTGCAGTTATCGCAGAAAATGTCAATGAAAATGATGAAGGAAATGTTGAAGAAGTTGAAGAGGAACAGAATGACGAAGGAGAAACTGAAGGAGTTAATACTGGAAGAAAGAAAACTAGATCTGTAACCAAGAATATTACTGTCAAACAAGAAAAGATTTCAAAGAAAATTGATTCAATCCCCAAGAAACCAAAGGCTAAACGACCAGTAGCGAAGAAACTTGAACAATTAAAAATTGTACAAGGGAAACTTACTGCTACAATTGAATCTATGACACAAGTTCCTCGGTCTTTCAAGGATGAAGATCCTAAAGATTTAGAAGAAGTAACTATTTCTGAAGAAAAAATGAAGATGTCTGATTTATGTCAACCATCCTTTTATATTGGGAAACCAGGAACACGATATCAAAAAGTTCTTGAAGCTGAGGAGCATATTCAAAAAAAGAAGATTGAAAGAAGAAAAGCTAGGGAACTAGCACGAGAGCTGAAGAAATCCTTAGAAGAAGTAACTGGAGAGGCGTTAGAAGAACAAGAAAGAGAGAAAAAGAAGGATTTATTTGGGGAAGGAGGTGCACTTGCAGGGTTGGATCAAACACCATCTAATAATGGTATTCAACTTAAATTAGTTGGTGGTCAATTGGAAGTTGATCCTGAATCTACCAGTGTCGATAGACATCTTCATAATGCTAATCTTGGGAAAGATCGTGAAGAAGCCAATCCGTTTAATAATCCTATTACTTCATCATCGTATTCCAAAAGAAAGTATACTGATAGATGGCTGGATGACGAGGTCAAAGAATTTTACAAAGCATTATCTACTTGGGGTACTGATTTCACCTTTATTGCACAATTGTTTCCTCATAGGACTAGAAAGCAAATTAAACTGAAATTTAATTTAGAAGAAAGGAAACATCCAGAAATTGTTGAATTGGCGTTAAGAAGAAAATTGCCTGCAGACTTTGATAAATACTGTGAAGAAGCCAATAAATCTTTCTTATCACTTGATGAATATAATGCTCAATTAACTGAGATCCAAGTTATTCATAAGAAAGATATGGAACAATTTGAGAATGATAGAAAGAAGGCTAAGGAGGAAGAAAAGGTTCGTGAAAGACAATTGGAAATTGAACGTAAGACAGGTACTAAATCTATGACCAGAGCTGAAAAGGTTAGGGAATTACGTAGAAATGAAACTGTTTTAGGATCTATTGAAGATGTGAAGAAGCAAAGAGATGATGAAATCCCCAAGGCATGATAAACTTCTTTTTTTTTATAATTGTATGTATATATATTTCAAGATTACTGCTAGTATATGTTCAGTATTACCGTGCCACACTTTTTTTTTTTTTTTTTCTCACGATAACGAAAACTCACGTTTCTCCAAATGATTTAGATTATGACTCTACAGAAAAGTGAAACGAGAAGATGATTTGAAAAAGAAAATCATATAGGTGAAAAAAAAAGAAACCTTGATATCCACAACACCTATCTCATAGAGAAGATATGTCTTCTGGAAAAGACTTTATCTTGGACATAGTTCCTAAGGAAGCTAGTCCTGATTCTAGTGTTGTCAAGTTCATTGTGAAAGATAGGGAGAGTGCATTTTGTAAATACATAAGGACGCCATTATTGGGTATATTGGGTTCAATTTTGTGTGCATATTTTGCATATGTCACGTCTAAAGTATATACTCCTAATCAGAGTATATTAACTTTGGAAGGACTCAAATATTTAAGCACTCAATATGAGACTCGGGATTTAATAATTGGCGTTGTGTTAAGTATAATTATATTGATGATTTACTTGAGACAAGAAAGACAAGACTCGATGGTTGTAATGAAAGATATTGGTATACAACTCAATTCGCAGGGAAGGTGGAGACTAATTGGGAAAAACACTGATAAGAATTGCTTTATTCCTCAAACAGAAATTATTGATTTAGTAATTCATGAAGGATTCCATGGATTTGGTCAAGTGATATTTTATATGTGTATTCTCACAAAATCTCAAAATAGTAACAATGACACTAGCAAAGTGAAGGAACAAATCAAGATTAACAATAAAAACTGCAATCAAAATGAGAGCATTATAAAAATAGCATTCCCTGGGTTCCTTCCACGAAAAGATATACTTGTGGAAGTTTGGAAGCAGAGTAGGAACGTTTTATTTGGGGCCAGTCGTCGTTATTGGCGCCGCGTTCCTGGACAGGGTCTAAAGGAATGTAATTAGATATGATAGAAATAATTAAAAAGAATAATATACAAAGTATAGTTTCAACAAATCTCTACAAAAAAATTTAATTAATCAATGGTTTAATACATAAACCATTTATAAATCTTTATTACACTAAATAATATAACTTCCATAAAATCTTTTCAATCAGATTATCAATGAAATGTGAGTAAGTGTGTATGTATCTGTTGTATTATAACCCCATAAAAATGTGTGAAAAAAAAACCCAATCCTCTATTAATCCTAATAGTTTACCAGTCCCCAAGTTGTTTAAAGATGTAGCCCATGTTTTTGCTTTCTGCAATCTTAGCAACCCCTAAACTTGCGGCCAAGTAGCCACTGGCGCTTAAAGCAAGTTTGGTGTTGTTAGTCATATTGTTTCCGAAATTTGATGAATAAGACATGGCGCGAGCCAAACGAGGAAGAGCCAATCTGGTTGCAAAAGACATTATTGAAAAGTTTGTTTGTTGTAGGTAGTTTTAAAGGAAAAACTAAAGTTGTTGATATTGAGAAAAATATTAGAGAGATAAAAGGATTGCTTATTCTCTTATATTTATATAATTATAAAATTAACTAGTCCGCCTCAGAGACGTATAGAAGCATAAGGTGGCACAACATCGAATTTATCCTACACCCGGAAAATTCCTTCGGACAAACAATTCCATTAACGGACTTTCGCCTTGAAAGGTTAAATTGTTCCGGTTCATTCCGACATCCACTTAACGCGAAAAATAGAAAGATTTTTTAAAAAACTAATTAAAACTCGTTAATGGAATAGGGCTTAACTGTGAAAGAACACACCACTGCCGTCTTATGATGGATTTCGCGGAATATGCAGTTAAACATCCCTCACCAGTTTTACTGGAAAAACAGACCATTATGCAGGAGGTGTTGAGTTCTTGTCACATGATATCCTTAACTCGAAATTTTATTCAAGAAAAATAGTTTTCATTTTAGATTTTCAATTTTGTGCTAAATTCATGCATATGACCCGGTTGCATTTTTTAAAAACAAGGTGAGGCAGGAGCATTCCAACTTAACGCCCATTATGGAAATGTATACGTCACAAATATAATAACTCCCAATACATAAATTCCAAGTCATCTCCAGTGTCATAAATGTGTTTCATATACGTTGTTTTACGTTTTTTTTGCCCTTCAATCTCTAGTCTATAGTTAAACTGTATTAGATATCTCCGTCACCAACCATTGTTTGATAGGGTATTGTGCGAGGAGGGGGGATGCGTTGTATCTCCTATACCCCCTCCCTATTATTCAACTTTGTTAACTCAAACATCAAATTTATTTTAGGTAACACATAACAATAATAACACCAAAAAAAAAAAAACTAAGCAGGAAAAAAAATTATTATTTAGCAAAAACGACTGAAAGAAGAATAAATAGAAAAGAAGGTTGAAGCGAAGAAGGGAAGTGACAAAAAGGAGAAGTAAAAATTAGAAAATCTTAGTCTGGGGGTACCTCAATAAAACACTTATATACTGTAAAAGTCTGTAATCGAGTTATTATTTTAGGATCATAGTATCGAAACCAAAAAAAAATTGAATCCCCTCCTAAAACGTCGTGCACATCAACAAATCCCCCAAACAGGTCGCGAAAACAAAAATCCCCAATAATCAAAATAGAGGTTTCGTTTTTTTAACCCGTAATTCCACACCAGCGTGTATTAATTTGTATACTTTACTTAGTGTAGCAGCAGTCTTGCTTGCGTGAAAGTATAAGCCGAGCGCAATATACTACAACTGTATTTATCCTGGGCACTTCTCGTTCTGCACAACAGGAAAAAAAGCACATTTGTTATTTGTGACCTGAATCATCAGAGTACAAACATAGGAAGAAGAGTCTCATTGAATCTATCGGAAGACCAAGATCCATCCAACTGATCGAATAGTAGAAGAAAGGTGTCAATCGAGACTTTACCTCGAGCAAACCGTTTTGCAGTCTGATAATCTGTATTTTTACTTACGATTAAAGTTGTATCGTAACCCCAAATAATATCGCATGCATTGAAACTATCTACAACAAAAGAATAGAATTTCCAACTAACTAGTCACTCATTTAATTATAACCATGAACTCACAACACACTCTGGGCACTGGAACTACTCAGACAAGGGAAGTACAGACCAGTAAACGTCCTTTGAAACAAACTGTTTCACTGTCACCGTTTGCGCCGCATCAAATCCCTCCAAGCCCTTATAATCTTGAATCTTCGAATGGTTATTTCCCTACTGCTGGACCAAAACAATTTAATAATAGGCCCTTACATGCTCGTAGTCATAGTCATAATAACCCCAATACCTCATCGTCTAATTGGACCACGTTAATTCCACCATTGCCTAGTTATCCTCAACAGGCTCAAAAGCCTGGACAAAATGGAGGGAATACTTTGGTTACTCCAAATCAAAGACATTCGATAGCAGTATCGCCGATTTCCCTGCACAATGGAACTAATGATGGCATACCAGATAGAGGGTCATTAACACCACCTACAATGTATTCTCAACCTCCACCTCACCGTCCACAGCCTTCAACCTCTTATTCCCAACCAGCATTACCATTCCAAGGGCAAGCGAAGCCTCCAATCCAACTTCAACTTCATTCACAACCCAAGAGCAAACCTTCACCTCAACCACAAGCTCAACCACAAGCTCAACCACAAGCTCAACCACAAGCTCAACCACAAGCTCAACCACAAGCTCAACCACAAGCTCAACCACAAGCTCAACCACAAGCTCAACCACAACCACAGTTACAACCACCTGCACCTACACATCCACATCCTCATCCTCATCCCCATCCCCATCCTCACCCTTACGGTCACTCACAATCAAATAATCCATTTCTACAACGAGGACAAGGAGAAGATTTGAATGTTTCAAATAAATCAATTGGAGATGTTCAATCTTCAGATTTACTGGTACCGGGAGCTGTAAAGAAAACTAGGAAAAGAAAGAAGATTTGTAAAGCTTGCGGTAATGAAATTACTGGGCAGTTTGTAAGAGCTCTTTCGAATGCTTATCACGTTGAGTGCTTTTCTTGTAATGAATGTGGAAAGCAATGTGCTTCAAAATTCTTTCCCTATGAAAAAACTGATGAGGACACTGGGTTAAAGTTCCAGGTTGCATTATGTGAATATGATTACTTTAAGAAGCTTGATCTTATTTGTTTTAATTGTAACTCTGCGTTGAGAGGACCATATATCACTGCTCTTGGCAATAAATACCACCTTGAACATTTCAAGTGTGCTGTATGCCAAAAGGTTTTCGAGTCTGATGAAAGTTACTATGAACATGAAAGTGATATTTATTGTCATTATCATTACTCTAAACTCTATGCATCTCATTGTGAGGGGTGTCATTCTTCCATTGTGAAGCAATTTGTGGAGTTATTCAGAGGTGGGCGTAATCAACAATGGCATCCTGAATGTTATATGGTCCATAAATTTTGGAATGTTTATATAACTGCAGATTCGGTTGGTTTACAGAAGCATTTACGTATTTCCAACACTCAAACGTTGAATATGAAAAATTTAAAGGAGTCGGACAATATTTCGTCAGAATTATTATTGGCTGCAGAACAGCAAATTGAGAACACTGTAATGAATTGTTGGTTAACATTATCTGGTTATGAAGAAACTACTGCATCTTGTATATCTGATATGTTACTTAATGCTTGTATTTGTGATCAGGCTAATGGTTTACTTTCTACAGGAAAATTAATTATAAACATTGAAGTACTTTTTGCAGCTATTGATACCGTTAGAAACATTTGTTCGAAAATGAATGTCTTACCACCGTCATTTACGTCAGGATCAGAGCTGCCTCTGGAAAGTGAAGTATTTCAACCTTTGAGAAAGGAACCTCGTAATATATCTGGTAAAGTTATGAGTTATTTGGCCATATTGAGAAAATCAAAACAAATATCTACATCAGGGAGTCTTTCTGCAGAATTATTATCAGTTATCACAGGATGTGCACATTATTTAAAACTTTTGATACGGATTGGTCTTAATAATGCATTGAAAGCTAATAAATTGAATGGTTCTACAGAAGCAACTGATTTATTCCTTTCTTGTGTTAAGCAGCATGAAACATTTACCAGTAATAATAATAATAAAGCCAATACGAAAAATGTTGATTCGAAGAATATTTTGGTTGAAGAAATAATTGATAAGAAATTATCAATTCCAATGAATGCTACCGATGCATGTCAAAGTTGTGAGAAGAGTATTGAGAAAGAATGCGTTAAATTTCAGAACAAAAGATGGCATTTAAAGTGTTTTCAATGTTCTCAATGTACACAAACAATCTCTACAAATACGGGAAATTTACGTAAATGTGGATATAATACGTTAGGTGGTTTGATTTTATGTGAGGAATGTATCCATGAAGATACCGATGCGAAAACTGGTTTTGAATACGTAAGTGATTTATCTCAATTAGTATACTTATTGAAGATCGCATTGGCTAGATCAAAATCTGTTATGAATGCTGCGCAACAAACTTCAAATGAAGAATTGTCCCACAAACGTAATAAGAGTGGTACGAATATGTCTACCATTGAAGAAGATCATACACGTGCTAACACTGAAAGAGGTTATTCGAAAACTCTCAATGATGTCACTAGATTAAGATCTAAAAGACAAAGTCAAAAACTTTCAGGTTCAATTAAGCAAAATGCTCGTAAATCAGTTATTCTAGAAGCTCCGGAAGCAGACAAAGCAAAGGAAGGGGTTCAAAATGATGAGTTGGTTGTTGAAGGTGACTCAAAGGAAGATCTCTCGAATAGCCGAATTCGCAACACAAGTTTCTCGTCTCAATTATCTTTCACCTCGCAAGAACGTGAAAGTGATCATTTCAATCTCAGTCAACGTAAATCTTTAAAGATAAGAGATGTCCCTCAAAGACAATTGACAAATAGTCACCTTGATAGAACTTCTGACCTTTTAAAGAATGAGAAATCATTGACTTTGGATGATATTCCTAGAATTGTGGCAGCCGAACAGGCAAGAGAACAGAGACCAAATGCTTTCAAGCACCATAATAGTCTTTACCAGGGACAAAAGCCAATGCAACCAGTGAAAACGGTTGCAGCTGCAACTGGTCGTAGTAATACAAGAAAATCGACTCAAAATGGAAGAATTGAATCCAACCCTGATTTCCCTGAACCAAGAAAATCTAAATATTATTCTGAATTATCAAAATCAGAGCATTTTATTTTAAGACATATCGCGGTTGAAGCCTTAGTTCAACTCCTGGGAAATAAATTCAATAAAGAAGTTTTATTGGGATTAATTCAAACCAGAAAACTGCCAACTTTCTGGGATAAATTCAAATTTGGTGGAGACCCGAAGAAGGAGAAGGCTACTGCTGTATTTGGTGCAGATCTCCAAGAGCTCACAAATAAATATGGGGTGGATTCTGATCATGGGGTTGGACCATCTCCATTGCGTATTCCAATTGTTGTTGATGATGTGATCAATGCATTAAGACAAAAGGATATGTCTGTAGAGGGTATTTTCAGACTTAATGGTAACATCAAAAAGTTGAGAGAGTTAACAGAAGAAATTAATAAAAATCCATTGAGATCCCCTGATTTTAGCAAACAAACTGCTGTGCAATTAGCTGCTTTGATGAAGAAGTGGCTCCGTGAGCTTACAAACCCATTACTCACATTCAATCTCTATGAACTTTGGATTTCATCTCAGAAGGAGGCAAATCCTGAAGTGCAAAAGAGAATCATCCATTTAACATATTCTATGTTACCTAGAAGTCACCGAAATTTGCTTGAAGTATTATTATACTTTTTCAGTTGGGTGGCATCTTTTGCTGAGATAGATGAAGAAACAGGTTCTAAGATGGATATTCATAATTTAGCAACAGTTATTGCTCCAAACATTCTCTTTTCAAAGCAAAAGTCACAAAATGAACAATCATCTACTGTAACTGGAGATACTTATTTCCTTGCAATTGAAGTTGTGAATCAGTTGATTGAGATACATGAGGAGTTAACCGTCATACCTGAAGATCTTTGGGACTTCTTTGAGAATGAAGGATTTTCTAAACTTCCGGAAAGCGTGACAACTAAAGAAATCATGAACAAATTAGAAAAACTGTCTAAGAATATACCAGTCTTGCACTTGAAGGACAAGGAACAAGCGCCTGCACCGGTTAATATACAAGCCAATACCATTGCTAGGGGCCACTCGAAACACATTTTGGAATCACATGGAGAAACTGCAGATATATAGTGAATGTAAATATTCTAAAGATGTATAAATAAAAGTGTATGAAATTCTGTAACCTTATCAAGTTGGAAAATAATGATTGTAAAGTGCGCGCCTGATTGGGATAAAGATTTGTAATTCAAAAAGAAAGGCCTATAGTTTAATTCAAATTCTTCTCTATAACATCATGTCTATAACAACTGAATCTTTAAAAGCAATCATTGAGGAGAGGCTCGAAGCCACTTTGGTTCAAGTTGAAGACATGTCCGGTGGTTGCGGACAAGCTTTTGCCGTCATTATTGTGTCTCCAAAGTTTACTGGAAAGAACAAATTAATGAGACACAGATTAGTCAACAATAGTTTGAAAGAAGAGATTGCATCCATTCATGCGTTCACACAAAAGGGATATACTCCAGAGGAATGGAAGGCTCAAGGTGGTCAGTAAGAAAAATACTACATAAAGAGAAGGAGAAATAGAAAAATAAATCAGTTTTGACATTTCGTTCAAGTATGACCAAATAGAATGCATTCAGAGTCCCCACCGCCTTGAAGGGCACGGTACGTCAGAAAATTTACCATACTTGCAATGTAAGACACATATATGTACATTTAAAGTATATATGTGAGTAGGTGTTAGAGTCATTAATATACAATCTAATCTAAATTTACTCCACACCATGTAGTGTATTGTTTATAGTTTGTTGGCACTATAGTTTGAGCCATACTTTTTTATAAGAACCACCCACATGAACGAATTTAGTCCGGCAATCATCGAAATAATGACAGGGAAAAGATCCAATCCCAAAGGAGATTCAGCAACTAGGCCTATTAGAAATGGTATAACTGCACCACCTCCACCTCCAAACGCACAGATGAATCCAATTCCGGCAGTATGATACTTTGCAGGAAGAGTTTTAAGCAGAGAAATAATGGTAGTTGGGAAAATGGGACCAACAAAACACCCTGTGAAGAAGGCAACTGGATAAAGCAAGGAGGTGTTCAGTCCCAAAGACATTAACCAGAATGAAAAGTAGCCTAAAAAGGTAAGAATTGTATACGCAAAGTTTGCCGTTAGTTCAGTATTAAAGACACGCAAGGTGACAAATCCTAAAATTATTCTCCCTGCTGTAAGACCTGCCCAGAAAGTTGAAGTTAAATGTGAAGATTCCTCATATGAAAGTGATTTGACCCGGGTAAGGAAACTAATCAGCCAAGATCCAAATGCAACCTCATTGCCAACATATGTGAATAAGAACAACGCAAAAAGCCAGATTTGAAGTGATCTGACAACCTCTCCAAACGATGCAGAGCTATGTTCTAATGAATCATCATCTACTGGGGGTGAGGAAGATGTACTTCCTGATCCATTGTCCCCAGAAAGATCTTCAAGTTCAACTTCACTTGTCGATTTACTACTCGTCATCAGAGTATAACGATATTTTTTGGGAGTCTCATTTTTAAAGGCGACAATCATCAAAATCACGCAACCAGCTCCTAAGCAACTAAGTACAAGGTAGTATTGCGGCCAAGCCCAAGGGTGAGTTTTACGTTCGAGTAAGGAAGTGATCAAAGTAGGTGATATCATACAGCCTATCCCATAGCAGCCATGCAAAATCCCCAAAACTTCATTTGAATCTACTAATTTTCCCATCCACATTCCAAGACTTGCATCAATACTTCCAAGTCCAACCCCATGAAAAATGTACAAAAACACAACTGCTGCAAACGGCGGGTAAGTTGAAATACCCAAATAGGCAAAAGTCATAGACACTGTTCCCATTACAAGAACTCCTTTAACACCCAAATTGGTGTGTGATAAGTCACTCAAAAAGGCCATTATGAAGTATCCAGCGACTGATGCCAAGAAGACAAAACTTGCCTGTATGTCATTGATTTTATAGTGTTCTTGAAACTTTGGTATCAAGGTTCCTACTGTCTGTTCTGCGAGGCCAAATAGTATGAAGACAAGATACCCTGATATGATTTGAAATTTTAAGAAATTGCTATCTCTCCAATCTGAGGAATCTATATAAATGATTTCGTTATCAAACTCAGTTGTATATTTCCCAAAAAGAGACTTGTTTGCATCCAACAGACTCCCCAGGAGACTATCGTCTATATCCGGGTATGCATTGGAATTATCTACCATTTCAATCCCAACTACACCCCGTTAATGAATATCAATTTTTCTAGTAGTTCATTTTTATTTACCCTTTTTTACTCAAAAGCCTTGATGGGGTAGGGGCTGTTTAACCTCACACCCATACACGCATTTGCCTGTATATGGAAGGAGCTTCCGCGCGGGATCTTACATATTTTACCGAACTACCACATTGTACATGGTTGACTAAGAACAAAGTTAAATTAGGATGTGATTGTTATATTGTTATAAAATATTATACTAAATTGATTACTCTTCTTTAATGTTTTGTAATTCCTTGTCTAGTTGTTGTCTTTCAAAGAAAAGAAAAACAAACAATATCAATAAATACTCTTCAATTCAGTATACCATCCGCACACCACGCCCTTATCTCTGTAGTTCTTTTCAGGACAAGAATTTTTGATTGAATATAGTCACATCAACACAATAGTCGTCTTTTAAATTCAGATTTTGTATACTATAGCTTCAAAGTTGCATTTCGTTTTATTGGTTGTATAATCTAGAAATAAAATACTTTTTCCTTATTTTTGGTATATTCATTATTTATGACTTTAACCTTTCATATTAGTTTCTTATTAGGTAAGTCTTTTTTTATTTTTCCATAGTTCAATACTACTACCTTGTTCAACACTATAATCTCTCAGGAATTAAACCTCTTTTTTTCAATTTAAGATTTTCTTCTCGAATTTTCATCTCTACTGCATCATCATAATCCATTGGTTCACCATTCGATCTTCTTAAAACCTTACTGTTTTCCAGGGTTGCAGGTCCAATCTCAAAACCGAATACAGACTTACCAGCAGCTCTTACAGTCTCAACGACTGCCTTACTAACTCCTGGGTATAGAAGATTACTATACCTCTCAGTTTTCAGACACCCATTAATTGGCTCTTTGCCTTCAAATCTTTTTGTAATCCAAGCAACTGCAGCGGGTGCACCTAATGCAGCCTCAGTAATGTGTCTGGTTGTATTTGAAATGGAAAGTTCTAAAGATTTAATTCCCATTTCTTGCCATTGAGTATATAAAATGTCAGCATTAACAGCAGGAACAATGTTGTCCTTTCTTCCATGGTACCAGAATACTGGAATTTGTGGCATATCATCTATACTAACACCCATAGTGTTATTTCTAAGAACAGCAACAACTTCTGGTTCCTTAAAGACAGCTCTTCCAGTGGGGACCCATCTATGCTCACCATCAAAAACTTGAGAATATAACATATAAGCCACTGCCGGTGCCAAACAAGAATTTGCAGCCATATTGAAAATCCAATTATACAGTTTTGGAAGTACGTTAGCAATATATTTGGTTAGAATTGGATACTCTCTACTCAACCCAGTGATACCAGCACCCAAAATTCCGGCATAAAACCCTCCATCAATAGCATCAATTGTATGAGTTATATTTGCTGGGAACCCTCCAAGACAAACACCCTTGAGCTGTGGAGTTAATTCTGGGGCATAATTCTTCTGGAGACCGGCAGCCCATCCTGATGCAAGAGAACCCCCCGAATAACCCCAGAGTACAATGTCTGCATTCTTTTCTATGGCCACATCATCAGTTTCGGCTACATTCCTAACTGCCCTGATTGAATCTAAAACTGCATGTCCTGCTAACCTACCAGCTGTAAATGCAGACTTAGGACCTTCATAATCTGCAGTATTGATCCACCAACCTTGGTCTAAGGCAATTTGAATCAAAAACATTTCCACTTGAGAAGTGACCGTCAGCATACTTGCACCATATTGAAAAGCATAGGATGCAGGGCAGTCAACAGATGCAGAGTCTTGAGCAATCAGGTATTGTACCAATCGTGTAGAGTTTGCATTGTATGGCTCAATTAAGGTGGTGATAGCATATGTAGGTTTTCCTAATGTGTCAGAAGTTCTGTACATCATTTGCCACGCATTTTTAACATTGAGTGAAAGATACACACTCCTAAGCTTATGAGGCGATTTCCGTTTCTTTATCACTTCACCCAATTTGTACTCAGAATAATTCTGGGGTGGCGTATAGAACGGATCTTCTGAAGGTGAAAGAACTTTCTGTGGAGCTGCAGACACAAGTGAAAATGTGGCTGCAAAAAGAATGAACAAATAGAGAATCGATCGCATTTCGGAGATAATAAAAGTTGCTTATTTTCCCAGTAATAAAGACAATTATACATATAGTTATACACACAGATATACATACCTATATATATATATATATATATATATATATATGTATTGCAGGATTGGGGTTATGGTGCTTTTTAGATTATTACACTCACATGGAGACGACAAATCGCCCAATGAAGTAAATCTTAACCTTTTTCGCGAAACGTTGGAGAAGTAAAAGTTAATTCAATGACCACCTCAAACGTAAATTCCGTTTTACAAATAAGCTTCGAAATTCAACGAGAGTCACTTACCGAGATTCATAAAAAGGCTTAAAAGCGACTTTAACAATTACTTCCCGCTATTTGATCGTGGAAGACAAGAGACTGTCGAGTAGCAGTAAACAAGTTTAGCCGTTGCTGCATAGCTGAGACTTCTCCAACAAATTGTACTCTCAAAACTTTTGCAGTATAGTACATGTTCAGTTGATTCTACAATACCACATCGGGGAATAGTCTTTATAAAGCAGGAGGAGAGAAGTAAAGCCTAATTAGTTGCAAAAATATACGGGGGTGATACAGGGTGGAGCCTAATCGTGCAGGATTTCAGGAACATAGTTCCCAAATGGGAAATAAATTTGTTGTAATGCTTCAAGTGGCAATGCATGGTAGAGTACTCCTGTGGCTTAAAATACAGGTGAATATCAAAAGAAAAAGAAGATTCAACTCATGTGAAATTGTTATTTTAAAAGTATATTCAATGGAAGGATCTAGAAGATGGAAGATATAAGAAGAAGCAAAAAAAAAAACAAAGAAAAGGCTGTGAAGTGTTTTCATTCTCGCACTTTATTTCCGAGGTATCTCCACTAATCCCCGTGACATAATTCTGTACAGGTTGGCCATCACCACTATCTTTGCCTCTTAATTCATATTTGTATAAAAGCTAGTCTCTAACTTAAAAAAAACAATTATTTCAATCCCAGTAACTAACACATCACTTTCTCTTTAGATTATGACACTCGAAAGCCCTGAACTAACTTTTAATGCAATCCAATATGCAAGCAATAGAACTCCCTTGAAAATTGAAAAAGATTCTATTGCATTAACTAAAGTTGATGGTGGTTACTCTGTTAAGCCCTGCGAGATTTTAATTAAAGTCCACTCTGCAGCTTTGAACCCGGTGGATATAGTATTGTACAATTCCGCTCACCCTTTGATATCTAGAATTAAAGGTGGTGCATTACAGGGAATTGGTCGTGATTACTCTGGTACTATTGTTGAAATTGGAGATATCGCAAAGAGCAAGTATAACTTCAATGTCAGTGATAAGGTCTGTGGGCTATACAGACATCCATTTGGCAAGGGAACTGTCTCAGAGTATATTCTCTTAGACCCATCTGTGGATCCTGCCATCACCAAGTTACCTAAGAACGCTAGCTTTGAGGAGGCCGCTTCATGGCCATTGGTATATGGAACTGCACTGCAAATGATTGAGACTGCAGGAATAAATCTGGAAGAAGTTGGCGCAACATCTCGTGTGTTAGTTATTGGTGGGGCAACAAGTGTGGGCCGTTACGTTATACAATTGTGCAAAAATGTGTACAACGTCAAGGATGTTGTTGCAATTTGCTCAAACTCTTCCTCAGACATGGTTAAGTCTTTGGGTGCTGATTCAACTATCGACTATAAGGTGCATCCTAATATATTTGCACCCGTGAGTGAGTATGCAGCCCAAAATGGGAAGTTTGATGCAGTCTTTGACTGTTGTGGGAATTCCGATCTCTTTACAAACATGTCTGCAATTTTAAAATCTTGTTCTAGTCATTATGTGACCATTCAAGGTGATAGCAAGGGAGACTATGAAACTGTAAATATGGCTAATGCCGTGAAGAAGAACCTTGGTTTAGCTCCTCGGATGTTAAAGAATAGTTTAGGTTTTTTGGGGTACAAGTACAAACTTTTGATGTTAGAACCCGGTGAATGGATTCATGAAGGAAAGAAAAATATTGAAGATGGCAATGTCAAAATTCAAATTGATAGCGTTCATAAGTTGAATGACTTTTCAGTTGCATACGAAAGATTGAAATCAAACAGAGCTTCGGGAAAGATTGTTATCAATTTAGAGTAGGAAACTATCCCCTAATTTTATATATTTTTGGTGTAAAATCTTTTTATAATTAGTGTCAACTATTAATATTATTTATTGTGAAGTGTGAAGTACCTGTAGAACATAAGAACTTGTACCTTTAAAACCTTCAAGGAAATCAATTATTATACATACTATTAAATAAATAAAAACCCTTCGGGTGCAATACGTCGGAAGTTACCCTACCTATTTATTCAATTTTTTTTCAAATACAGACCTTAACCTAATAATTGGTTAAGAATCTTCATTATAAGTAGCTTTTAACCACGATACCCATCCCCTCCATCCGATTTAAGGGGCATGAAAGCCGATTCGAGTGGCAAAGCCCAAGCCGTGATTCTTCCATCGAACAATTTTGCATATTTTGTATTTAAATACTTTTTATTTTGCACATTTAGTTAGAAATCAATGAATAAATTGGACAGAAAGGTAGATAAAAGATAGATCTTACAGTAAAAATAACTCCTACAACGTAGGGGGTACTAAAAGCCTTCAAAAAATCAGAAAAATTTACTAAAATTAACCACTCTCGAGAGCAAAAAAAACAAAAGTTTGTATAAAATAGCCTCTTTAGCTTAGTGGTAGAGCGTTGCACTTGTAATGCAAAGGTCGCTAGTTCAATTCTGGCAAGAGGCAATTTTCTTGCGCAAATGGTTTAGTGGTAAAATCCAACGTTGCCATCGTTGGGCCCCCGGTTCGATTCCGGGTTTGCGCATTCCTTTTTTGCTTACAATAACTAGAGTGAACTAACTTGAAAGTATTAATAGAGTTTGGTATCCATTATTTTTTTGTTTAAATTATACTAGATGCAAAATAGTCTTGAATTATGTATTAAATTTTTTTTTGAGATTATTTTTGATTATCTACAGGAGTTTGTTAGTAGTGAAGAAAGTACATATGTGCGAAAAGAACACTAACAAGTATGAAGAGCGATAGCAAACGTAACTAAAATGTCAAGAGCCGTTGTTAAGAGAGCTGTTAGCGCAAGTGTGTATAATGGAGAGCCTGGTATTCTACGCTATAAATTATAAAGATTTAATTGCTATGGTAAATCACTTTCTCGTACTAACAATTTATAGTTCAAAAGTTTTATCCAACCAAGTTGGCAGATAAATCCTGGGATAATACCGGTCTTCTCGTAGATGCAAGCACAGAAGATGCCCCTGGAAGCAAGGGTGACGACCCACTCCGTGTCTTGCTTACGATTGACTTAACTCAATCAGTTGCAGACGAGGCAGTCAAGAACAAAACCAACCTTATCATGGCATACCACCCATTTATCTTTAAAGGATTGAAGTCTATTACCCCATCTGACCCACAACAAAAGTCATTGATCAAGTTGATCCGTAACGATATTAGTGTATACTGCCCTCACACAGCCGTGGACAGTGCCAAGGGTGGTGTGAATGATTTCTTAGCTGATGGAATCACTAAGGGATTCAGCGAAAAATCAAGAGAAATCATTCAACCAGATAAGAATGAAGAAGACTGCGGAATGGGTAGAATAGTCACATTGAGTGAGCCTGCATCTTTGCATTCATTGTCAGAGAACATTAAGTCTAGTTTGGGATTGAATCACATCCAAGTTGCCGTAGCTGCTGGCCAAGATAAGAACCATCAAATCAGCCGTATTGCTATTTGTGCTGGATCTGGTGGCTCAGTATTTAGAGGTGTTGATGCTGATTTATTCTACACTGGTGAATTATCTCACCACGAAGCATTGTACTTCACAGAAACTGGTTCATCTGTAGTGGCTTGTAACCACACCAATACCGAAAGAGCATTTTTGTCAGTTATCAAGGATCAATTGACAAAGGAATTACCAGAAGGTTCTGAAATTATAATCAGTAATACTGATAAGGATCCATACGTTACTTGGTAATAGGAATCCTCTATAAACCGGTACCCCCGGATTTGGAATGGGTTGCACGTGCTTACTACCATTTTCATAAAAACCAAATAGTGTCTATACTAAATATTAAAGGAGAAATTCAATTCAAGCCTGATATTCCACTTTTTCAAATATTTACCATTGTAGCTTCAACTTGAACTAGATATATGAAGTTTTATGTTGAAATTGTACTGTCCATCTAAAATTACCTACATATCCGGATTCATCAAACCCGTTATGCAGGTATTCTCATTATTTATTGTTAAAATATGCTTATCAATGACTAGAAATATTTCATCACTAATACAAAAAATAGGTGAACTCTTGGTATACAAATTCATACTCCCAGTGTACCGGTATACCAGTTACCAGATAGATTAAGGTGCTGTATTGTTTTACCAAAGTACAACAAATAAAGCAGAACAACCTAGGGATCGTTCACAGGCATCAGTTTGTTGCAGTAGAGACAGATTGAATAAACCCTCTTAGCATTAACAAGAGAAACGAAAAGACTACTACAATATATCTAAAAAGGAACTTGTATATATACTTTATACGTCCATTTTGACTCTAGATTTGGAAAGGAGTTGATATTATATTATATAAATTGTGGTGGAGTTGTACCCCACATTTGAAATCATTCTCATTATTGGATATAAACTTTTATCAAAAAATGAACAGTTATCAAAAGGGTGATATACTTGAAGTGGAAAAGATAAACGGACTGGCTCCAATGTATAATTTTAAATCCACCATAGTGTCGTGTACAGGGACAGATTATGTATTCCTTTACGGAGGATTCGATGAGTTGGATAATCTAGATAGTAATGTTTATCTCCTCAACACAAAGACTAGGACTTGGGAGGTAGATGACAAACACCCGGGATTATATAGAGAGGGACATCTGGCAGTATATATCGGACAAGGAAATATTTTGGTTTTTGGTGGGATCCCTCATGATGAGTTCCCCACAGAAACATCTGTTCATTCGATTACCGGAAATGGGACTAGATTTGAGAAGGATAGTCTTATGATGGTTTACAATATATTCAGCCGAACATGGGTCGGACCTCCTCCATTTGCCTTGATAAATGCACCATCATCAAGATCGCGACACGCCTGTTGCTTATCACCCGACGGTACGAAGGTCTACATATCTGGGGGACTAATAGATTCAGCACCCTTGGATGACTTATATTGCTACGATCTAGTTGCTGGTCTGTGGACTGGACCTATTGTATTTGTTTCTCGATTTAATCATTTTATATCCGAGTACGAAGGGAAGGTTTATTCATTTGGCGGATTGAACAAGGATATGAATCATGTTAATCATACATTGACATGGTTTGATTTAAAGGACCATAGTGTAGGGGAGCTTGTAATTTTACGACAACCCATGGTGAAAGCCGATAGTGTAACAGATGATTATGAAGATAATTTTGAAAGAAGAGCCCTTGAAACTTTTTTTTCTGCTGACTATGAACAAATATATTTGGATACATTCAGAAATCCGGCTGTGAAATTGGATATTTCTGTACCTCGATCACCTTATAGCAATAAAGAGTTCTCCATATCTGCATATGATGTGGTAGATTCCCGATTTACTCCATTGTTCAATCTGAAATCATTGACTGGTTTTAATGAAGAGATATTTCTCAATACATGGAAACATTCCATTGTATCAGATCAAGAAGGGAAACTATTTCTTATTGGTCACCCAGCGAGCCAGATGCCACGTGAAGAGTCAGCAGAAGAATCCTTAGTTGATACAAAATTATCAGTAATGATATCCATCAGCCTTGCAGATTTAGGCATTCCGAATACCACCTTAATCGGAGATAATTCAAACCGTAAAAATGTAATCGGGAATTCTTTATCTAATGATTTTAAGAATTTACTTTTAAATAATGAGTTTACGGATTTCCAAATTCTCACACTCACAAATGATACGGTCAAGGAAGAATATAATGATAACCCAGAGACTTTTGAAAATGAAATTGAATTAATTTTGAAAGATAATAGTTATTCTTATTCCAGAGAAAAATTTAGTGTTATTAGAGTTCACAAGGCAATTCTTTTGGCTCGTTGGGAACATTTCCAACGAGTTATATCAAGTGGAATGAATGAGACGATAAAGGATTTGATGTTCATTCCAGAACCTTACATGTGGGTCCAAGGAATGATATATTATCTTTATACAAACACAATTGAATTTGAGCCAATGGGATTACCTGGTTATTCTATTATAGACTACTCTGGGTTATTAATTCTATCACACGTTTACTCACTTCCAGAATTGAGAACCAAGGTTTTACAACAGTTATATCATATGGCAAATATTCTTGGAACTAGTAACGCTAATAATATTTCCGAAACAATGATAGAATTAATATTGAGAGTTTGGGAGAATGTTGAAATTGCCGAAGAGCCAGTTTTTTTGTTGAAGATCACATCGCTCATTCGTGACAGATGGTCCACCATTATACGATCCAAAATATTTAAGGAGTTACCCAAGGAACTGATCATACGATTATGCCAAGAATGCACTGCGGTAGAAAATAACATATATGAACTGAAGGATTCTTTGTCTGAGTTTAGTAGAACTGGATCAAACACTCCCGAGCCAGACATATTCCGGGCAATGAATATTTCACCATTACCCGAAACTCCCAATGGTAGGACACTTCGCCTGTCTCATGTCAACTCTCCATTTTTACGCCTTGTTCCTAACACTACAACACACCTGGAATTAAGAACTATTACCAATGGGTTTCCTCTACTCCTGCAAGCATATGACGAGACAGCAACGCCATGAATTTAAATGATCAATATTTGCAGCCGTTATCGGACCGTATCGGATCGGTACTCGGACCGACTAAACATTTTCAATAGTTGGAATGATAAACCATATTAAAAACTTATACTTTAATAATTTAAATAATTGGAATGTATGTTAACATAATACTAAAATGATTAATTGTATTTGTAGTATATCGAAGGAAAAAGAACCAAACAAACAACGATGTGGTAATAGTTGTAGAATATATTAACGGGTGAAGAACTTAGTTTCCTGCATAATGCACTGTGGAGTTTTGAATTTATGGGGAAAGCTTATATAAAGAACCCCAAAATCACTCTACATACTTTTATCTTCTTTTTAGTAAACAATATAATTATAACTTTTACGAATATTTAAGGCCATGGTTTCAGGTTCGGATGTAATAGCTCAAACACTTGAGCGCCTTGAAGTTGATACAGTATTTGGAATTGTGGGGATTCCAGTAGTGGATGTTGCTAATGCATTGATTGCTAGAGGCATTCGTTTTATTGCATTCAGAAACGAACAAGCAGCTTCATACGCGGCTTCGATGTATGGGTATCTTAAGAAAAAGCCAGGTGTGCTCCTTGTGGTGGGAGGACCAGGTGTAGTACACGCCACCCCAGGTATATTTAATGCAAACTCAAATGCATGGCCGTTACTTGTTCTCGCAGGTTCGAGTTCTTTCACAGAGAATCACAAGGGTGGATTCCAAGAATTGGATCAAGTTTCCTATTTATCTTCAGAAACAAAATTTTCTTCAAGACCTTTTGGAATCACTCAAGTTCCTCGTTTGATTGAACAAGCTTATAGAACTAGTTTTTTCGGGAAACCGGGAACCACATATGTAGATCTTCCTGCAAATATCATTCAAGATGAAACAGATGTTAATTTACCACAATTATTGACCACTATTGGCCCCATACATGAAGCTCCTAAGTCACAAGCCGACCCATCGAAGGTGATAGCTGCAGCAGAAATAATCTCCCGGGCAAAATCTCCTCTTGTGATTATCGGTAAGGGAGCAGCCTATGGCGATGCATCAGAAAGCTTAAAAGAATTGGTTTACACCAACAAACTAGGATTTTTACCAACTCCAATGGGCAAGGGTGTACTTCCAGATGAGCATGATCTTAATTTATCCTCATGTAGATCCTTAGCACTTGCATCTACAGATGTCGTAATCCTTTGCGGGGCAAGACTTAATTGGATCCTTCATTCAGGAGAACGATTTGGCGAAGGGACGAAAATCATTAGTATTAATAATCAAGCCGAGGAAATAGGTTACAACAGTTCTCATTCTACCAAATACGGACTTTATGGAGACTTAGATTTGGTGGTGAAACAACTTACTCATGAATTAAAGAGTAGAAATTATAAGCCTGTTCCAATTTTGACTACATTGATTAATAAGAAGCATGACAATACGAAAAGAGCATCAATTAAAGTGGACAGAGTAACTCCAAGGGGAGAACTTCTTTCCTACCATAGAGTTTACAAGATTATTCGAGATGCTATCATTGCTTCCCCTTTCCCAGAAAAGGACACTACCATTGTTTCTGAAGGAGCTAATACAATGGATATATCCAGAACTTCATTCCCATTGAATTATCCACTGAAAAGATTGGATGCTGGAACCAATGCAACCATGGGAGTTGGGTTACCATATGCAATTGCAGCCAAAGTAGCCAATCCAAATGAATTAGTCGTAGCTCTTGAAGGTGATTCTGCCTTTGGTTTCACTGGTATGGAATTAGAAACTATTGCAAGGAACAAATTAGGAATGATCATTGTTGTGATGAATAATAGTGGGATTTATCACGGATCTGACCCTTCATTATATGATCAAGAAAATTCCACCCCGCTCCCATCCACAGCATTATCTCAAAACACTAGATATGACCTTGTTGCACAGGGATTGGGAATCAATGGTGTATTGGTGAAGGATGAACTGGAATTATCGGACGCCATAAATGGAGCGTTATGTTCACTCAAAAATAAGAATGAATCAACTTTGATCAATGTATTGATTGATTTGGGATTGAAAACAAAATTGTCATTTGGATGGCAGAACAAGAAGAGTAAATTGTAAGTTTTTAGAGTAGAATATAATTTCATACGTATTCACATATTTATATATAAACATAAATTATAAACTTACTGGTTACCATCGAATATACTACCGATTGCATCGCCAATCTGTCCAGCGACATCTCCAACAAAATCACCAATATCATCAGTTAGGTCTTCAAGCAGCTCACCTATTTTACCAAGCCAACCAAATTGACCACTATGTTTATCATCATCTCCACTTTCAGGCGAGTCTACCACCTCAGGAGAAGACTCTGTCGAAGTTGTTGGTGCTGGTTGGTTCGTCCAATCCGTAGGCTTTGGTATATGTTGCGAGATAGAAGCTAATGTGGATTGTTTGTCTAATGATGCCAATGGATCTGTATTGGTACTCACTTCTACAGTTTGTGGCTTCTTTCTTTGAGGTTTTTTCCAAAGTAAATCGTATGTTGCATCATTAACTACATGATCAACCTTAAATGGAACATTTGGATACTCTAATAAATCCATCCAACCTTGTGGAAGTGAATTACTAGAAGAAAGAAGCTTTGTAAAACTATTATCTTGAGTGGTCCTATCAGTCACAAAGGTACCATTATTTGGTGCTGGCAAAAGACCAAGAGAATCACAAATCAAATTGTAAACCTCAGTATTAGCAAATGGTTTTATTCTTTTCGATTCCATTAATTGTTGATCAAAGTATGGCCCTTGTCCAAGAAATACTGCTCGCATAAGTAATTCAGTATTGTTGTATCCATGCACACCTTTTGGTTTATATTCATATCCATTGTCTTTCATCTGTTTATGAGTCGTGACCGAATAACCAACTTGTGGAACAATCCAGAGAGGTGCAAGTCTGTAGTTAAACTTGTGTTCATCCAACGAACCTCCAAAGTTCCATTCCAGTGGAAGATCCTCAACTTTATAGATTGTGAAGTGATCTTTATGTTTTTCCGTCTCAAGGTTTACTTTCAATTCTTTCATGATTTCATCAACACTATATTTTTCATATGGTCTTAAACCAAAGAGTGGCCAGCCATCAATATGTTCAATTTTATTCAAATCAAGAATATCATCCAAATATAAGAGTCTTTCATTATCAGTGGGCGCCATCCCATGATCACTCACAATGATAACGTTGGCAATATCTTGTAAATTTCTATTCTTCAATTCATGTTGTAACAAATCAACAAAATCATCAACGTAGGTAAGAGCTTCTTCCAATTCTTTCCCGGCAATTCCATATTTATGACCAAACAGATCAATTGTTGGAACGTACGTAAGGATGAGTTCCGGACGTTCAGATATTTTTGGAGTGTCAAGCCAAGTCATAACACGTCCAACTTTAGATGAGAGTTTTTCAGACCCGTTGTATCGATCGACATGAAGTGGGCCATTACCAATTCCAACACCAGGCACTTCACTACCTGGCCACATATGAATAGCAGAATTGACCCCTTGTCTCTTTGCAGTAGCCCAAATAGGTTCACCTCCTGTCCAAAAATCTGGATCTAATCCACCAACTTTAGGGTTTGTGTTTACAAATTGCTTATCCAAGACAGGGTCATAGAATGTATTGCCCACAATCCCGTGCTCTGAAGGGTATAAACCAGTGACAAGAGTCCAATGGTTGGGGAACGTTGAAGAAGGGAATGATGGTGTCATGTATGGCGCACCAAATTCATGAAGCATCATATTGTGGAGAGAAGGTGTGAGCTTTGGGTTAATGTAATGTGGATGGAAACCATCTAAGGATATGACAATTGTAGTAGGATGGAAATCATGGGTAGAATTTGACAAGATAGTTTTAAGTATAGGACTTTGACTTCCATCTTGGAATGCGAATGGGTTTTCATTGAAAAAGAGGAATAACAAAGTCATTGCCATAGTTGCAAGGATAAGCAACGAAGTAATTGTCTTTTTATTCCTCAATGGACCAGACTCTTGCCCTAAAATTCTGTCATTAATGGTATTATCACTACTTTCACTACCCAAATCTTGCATTTCATATGATTCAGTACTTCTTAGCGATCTTCCGGCATTCCGCACCTTTGATGCCCACCATTGTACTCCAGTGGGTGGTGTTTCAGATTCTCTTTCTTCCATTCCGAAAGCTCCTCTTATTCTTTCCTCAGCTGGTCTCAATTTAGTTTTCCACCAGTCCAATCCAGTGGGCTCTGGTGTGGGGGTAAATGCCTGTTTAATGTATCCAAAGAACCCCGGTCCTTGTTCTTGTTGTTCCTGCTCCACCGGCAAGGTTTCCTCGTAGTCGAGACCCTCTAAGGGATCGAATGGTTGACGCAAGTCAGTATTGTAGTCATCTTCTCGATCATCCAAATCTGTCACCGGTACATCCACATCATGGATCTTTGAGTAATGAACTGACATTATCTAAAAGTACTACCAATGAGAATTCACAATTAAATCTTCTATTCAGAATGACCAAAAAGCAAATGAAAATATGGAAGGTATATGTGTATTTAAAATGATTGTTATGTAATTCAATCCCTATGGTTATTTCTGTGCCTCTCTCTAAATATCTCACTATATATTTTATTTTATTTTTTTTATTTTTAATTTTATTTCGATTAATATTATTATTATTATTTTATTATTATGTAAATCATAATCTATCAATATTGGAGTCCTTCTTATGTTGCACAGCAAGATGAACAGTAACTCTCAATTTCATTAATTCGTCTGGTTGTAAGTCCTGGCGCGACACATTAGCTCTACACCCATCAATAGGACAAGTATTTTGTCCCTCACCTATTCTACTTAATATATTATCTTGTTCATAAGTATGTTGACATCGGCGCGATTTGACAGGATTTTCAAAATATTTCAATGAAATAGGATCTTTAAGTGATACTTTCCCCCCTTCAACTGCAAGCTCATCATCTTCCACTTCATCTGCAAGTGCTTCTTCAGGATGAGAAAGAATAAATGAAACATTCTTCACATATTGATAGTCTTTAGAAGATCTTAAAAGTTCATTAAATGAATTCTGTTGATTATGTAATTGAATATATTGTGAATAATCTGAAGTTACAGCATCGGCAAAATTTCTTTTATCCGAAGTTTCTGATTCATTTTGATATGCTTGTAATGTTTCAAGGTTCAATGGTTGTTCTGTTCTAGATTCTTGTCTTATTCTTGATCTTGATTCTTGTAATGAATCATTAAAGTTTTTCAATGTATATTTTGTTTTAAGTAAATTTGTTAATGCCTTGAGATTATTGGAAAGAAGTTGTTCATCTATTTTCACTGGTGTACTTCTTTCTCCATCTAATATAAACTCTGTATATTGTTTAGTTGATTTGACTAATGATTGAATCGCTTGATCTACAAGCTCCATAGATTGTGCTTGCACCAGTGAAGTTTGAATGGTTTCAAATTTCCTTGAAAGTGATTCATGTAAGGGGAAATACTGAGGAAACAGGAAATCACTATCCAGAGAGATTTCTGTAGACATACTCTATATATACATATGATATAGTTAATTTACTTGTCTATTTACGTTTATATGGTTCTCTTATGTACGTGTATTGTATTATCATCCACACGACCAAACTATTTTTTTTGTTTTTGTGCCAACAATCAAAAAAAAAAAGAATATCTTGAGAGAGAACAAAATATCGAAGATATATAGATATAGAACGGAATAAATATAGTAGCGATATGTCTTCTGAACAACCTGGAAAGGATGTGCCGTCCAAACCTGTCAAGGAAACGGTTCCTGAAACTAAACCCTCAAAACCTCCAAAGAAACAATGGAAAAACCCTGCACTTAGAGCCATGGGTATACCCAGATTTTCACTCCCATCTCGTAATTGGATGATCTTTTGGACTGTATTGGCCGGTATTGGAGGAGGAATTGCCTACGACAAATACGAACAGAAGAAGATCAGAGAAAAGTGGATGCTTGAAGTGTCCAAGTTTGCCAAGGAACAATATCCTAATGATAGAATCCCCAGAAAATTATCTATTTTCATTGCCCCACCTCCAAATGATTTCTTAGATGAATCCTTGAGGTATTTCAAGAGATACATCAAGCCTGTCCTTAATGCAAGTGCTGTAGATTTTGAAGTTTACACCGAAAATAGACAAGGTGATATTCGTAGTGAAGTTGCTGAAAAAATTAGAGAATTGAGAAGATCAAAGATTGCAAAGAGTGAAGATGATAATGAAAAGAAGGGCGATGATAAACAAGTTGATAGTAGTAACTGGCTCGCATACAGCCACATCAACAAGAGTAATAATAATGCATCTATTGATGATGAAGGTCCTCTTGTTAGTCGTCAAGAATTATATACACCAGCCGATGTATTGGGATTATATAAGGTTTTCAAACCGCTTGAAGTTGAAAGAGATGATGAACTTAATCCTGAACAGGCTGGTGGTGTGATTTGTATCGGAAGAGGTGCATACAAGGAATATATCACAGGTGTACATGAGGGATTACTTGGACCATTAGAGAAGCCAGTAGAAGTCTTAGAAGAAACCATCAACGATCAAGGTGAATCTGTCCCAGTAGAAGTTAAAGTTGAAGAAGATGACTCTGATGATACTGATGAATCTGGTGCCAAAAGAGCTCCAGTTCCAAAGCAATATATTTTACCAAAGGATTATGCAAATGCACAATTTGCACCTGAACTTAACAAGAATGAAATCATCAGAAACAACAAAAACGTACCAGTTCTTTTTGAACAACCAGTTTACGTTTTCCCAGTACCAAATCTTCTCGGATTCATGAACATGCCTCGTAAGATTTACCGTTTCTACACGAAAAGATATCTTGCTGATGAATATGGATTCCGTACTACCAGTGTAATTGAAAATCTTACCAGACCATTTGAATATAAGGATTCATTTATGGGAGGTGAAGAAGAAAGAGACTGGCCACATGGTTGGGTTGAAAAGGGTAAACTGAAGAACTCAGAATGGGTTCAGGAATTGGTAGTTGATGAACGAGTGACTTCTAGAATGAGAGTTTTTGATCATGAATTGAAGGAAAAGAAGAATGATGAATTCTGATTTGATATGTATATAGTTAAAATAAGACATTTCATGGTTTAGAGAGTGTTTTTTTTATTTATTTTATTGTAGAGAGAAGAATGGAAAGTTAGATAGAAAACAAATCCATGATCGGAGATCTACAGAAAGATATTCACGTGAACACATATCACGAGTGATTGTTGGAAGAAGCGGAATTTATTGGAGATACGATATGCTTGATGATGTATTTGATGTCAATTCGCCGTTTAGGTGCAGGGTAATTATTTATTTTATTTACCACCAAGCAATGCCGGAGTCAACCGAAGAATTATATTTACACAATTTGATCAAGAAATCCGCCTTTTTCTTTGGTTATGGTGTATAATTTTAGAAATTTATACGCATTATTATGACCAAGTCTCTACAACAAACTATATATGATGTACAGTTGATCGGATATTCTTTCCTTGTTAGTCTGTTAAGTGTTTTGGTAGTAGTGGCCTTGTAAATGTAGCACGATTGCGGTTATAGATTTATGCTCATAGGTAACATGTAACATACAACAAAAATCACAGACCTCCTGCATATACACACCAATCCGGCGCCGATTCGGTCCGCACATGGCCCACTTTATGTCGTCATGCAGGTTTGAGTCACAACGTTTTTTTTTTATCTGGACTACAAAGCACCGATTGGCTTGAGACAACTAAACTACTGAAAAAGTGCCGAACCGATTTGTGCAGTATTAGCACTCGGTTGGAAGCGAAGTAAACCTTACAATGTACACATTAACAGTTGCAATTATTCATAAACAACAGAGGAGAGGTCACAAGAATTTCGTTTCACAACCAAGAAACGCTTGTAGCTGAAATACTCTTTACATCTCTCATCAATAGGAACCATCTTAATGTAAATTGTGGTAAATTTGTAACATTTATTTCCCCACGATAAAGTGAAACATGACTCAAATTTCGTTAATTTTTTTTCTTCACATTAAAAATATTTTCCATAATCGCAACTCCGCATGCAGGCCCTGTACCGGCAAAATCATGATACCCCACGCTCATTGGCCAGAGATATAGATTGTTAATGATTCCTACCAAGATCTTTTTGCAAAAGGAATCAAGTCTGAAAGCATAAAAGGTGGTGATGATCCAGGAATGTCAGTCATGTAGCCTCTTCTTTTTTTTCTTCTCCCTATAGATCACTTCTTTTCTTAATCCAAATCAGCAACAATGGTCCTTCCTCACGAACCTGAATTCCAACAAGCTTACAACGAACTCGTTTCTGCTCTTGAAGATTCTACTCTTTTCCAACAAAACCCTGAATACAAGAAGGTTATTCCAGTTGTTTCCATCCCAGAACGTATCATTCAATTCCGTGTCTCTTGGGAAAATGACAAGGGTGACATTGAAGTGAACAATGGTTTCAGAGTTCAATTCAACTCTGCTCTTGGTCCATACAAGGGTGGTCTTCGTTTCCACCCAAGTGTCAATCTTTCCATTCTTAAGTTTTTGGGTTTCGAACAAATCTTTAAGAATGCTTTGACTGGTCTTTCCATGGGAGGTGGAAAGGGTGGTTGTGACTTCAACCCAAAGGGTCGTTCTGACGCTGAAATCAGACGTTTCTGTACCGCTTTCATGAGACAATTGGCTCGTTACATCGGTCAAGACACTGACGTCCCAGCTGGTGACATTGGTGTTGGTGGTAGAGAAATCGGTTTCTTGTTTGGTGCTTACAAGCAAATGCAAAACAACTGGTCTGGTATTTTGACTGGTAAGGGTTTGACTTGGGGTGGTTCTTTGATCCGTCCAGAAGCCACTGGTTACGGTCTTGTTTACTACGTCGAAAAGATGATTGAAAAGGCCACTGAAGGTAAGGAAACCTTCAAGGGTAAGAGAGTTGCCATTTCTGGTTCCGGTAATGTTGCTCAATACGCCGCTTTGAAGGTTATTGAATTGGGTGGTACCGTTGTCTCTCTTTCTGACTCCAAGGGTGCTATTATCTCTGAAAAGGGTATTTCCCCAGAACAAATTGCCGACATTGCTTCTGCTAAGCTCAAGCACAAGTCTTTGTACGACATTACCAAGGAAGCTTCTGTTTTCTCTGGTGCTAACTCCGTTGAATACATTGACGGTGCTCGTCCATGGGTCCACGTTGGCCAAGTTGACGTTGCCTTGCCATCTGCCACTCAAAACGAAGTTTCTGGTGAAGAAGCTGAAACTTTGATCCAAAACGGTTGTAAGTTTATCGCTGAAGGTTCTAACATGGGTTCCACCAAGGAAGCCATCGACGTATTCGAAGCCCTGAGATCCAAGGACGTCTGGTACGCTCCTGGTAAGGCTTCCAACTGTGGTGGTGTTGCCGTCTCTGGTTTGGAAATGGCCCAAAACTCTTCTAGAGTCCAATGGACTTCTGAAGAAGTTGACTCCAAGTTGAAGAACATCATGTACTCTTGTTTCGACAACTGTTACGAAACTGCCGTCAAGTACTCTGTCCAAAAGGACGCTGAAGGTTTGCCATCCTTGTTGAAGGGTGCTAACATTGCTGGTTTCATCAAGGTTGCTGATGCCATGTTCGACCACGGTGACGTTTTCTAAATAGTTTATGGGTTAGGTATAAAAAAGTAATATAAAGAGGTATATCATAATAATTTTTATTGTAAACGAATTAACATTTCTATATATATTTCAGTAATTCAGTTTGTAAATCAGTTTCAATTAAGCTCTTACCAATGAAAACTAATTTATTTTCCGTTATCCCTTCTACCAAGGTACCCCCTTCTATAATTTCGTATGTATCTCTTACACCTTGAACTACTCTTACATCGTCATCATGAACCAAGACTCCCTTGACTCTATGAATCTCAATGCTTTTCCCATTGGCTACACTTTCCCAAAGAATGTATTGAAGAAACAGTTCAATCTTGGAAAACCCAGAGGCATCTTGGAAGAAGGGAAAAGTAAGGGTTACAGTTCCAATATTCCCATCATGGTATGTTGAGTCATGTGCGTAGTTGACAGAGTTGGTGAATTTGTCCAAACTAGCTTCAAAAGCGTGAAGATCAAGAATCTTATCAAGTCCAATGTCACCAAAACTGGTTGGATATATTGGACATGTGCTGTTGATAGCACGAATTCTCTTTTCAATGGTGGCAAGATCATCTCCATCTTCCTTCTTTCCTACTCGATCCACCTTATTAAGAAGAATAGTATCGGCCAAGGCAATTTGGAGATGTGCAGTAGAGATTCCTTCTTCCAATCTTTCCCGTTCATTAGCAAGTTCAGTTTCAGTAAGATCCTCTACGTTGGTGCTTTGACTTTCCAAAACGTGTTTATTTTCCCGATGCCAATGTCCACCGACATCATCTAGACATTTTAAGATATTTTCAGAATCTACAACCGTCACTACCCCATCGATATAAACTGAAGAGGCAAGTCCATCGTCGAGCCAAAACATCTTGGCAATCGGAGCAGGGTCTGCAACCCCTGTTGTTTCCAAGAGAATGTAGTCGATCTTTCCCCGTGAGTTCTCCACCAACTGCTCAATAGCAGTAACTCCGTTGTCCTTGACAGTGCAACAAAGACATCCATTTCCTAGATCAAGCCATTCTTGAACTGAGTCTTGTGACTGGGCATCCTTGATGGTCACAGCCTTCTCAATGGCAGAAGAGTCACCAAACTCATTTAAAATGATCGCCAATCTCCGATCAGAGTGTTTCCCTATATAGTCCAAGAGTGTAGACTTCCCGGATCCAAGATACCCAGTGATGATTGTGATGGGAATCTTCTTTATAGGCTCATCGTCTTTGCCATCCAATTTGGTCAGATCGATCTTTTCAGATACAACCTCTTTCCTCGTGGTAATTACTCCATCGGCTGGCAACTCCACAACCAAATCTGGGATGTCGATTTCATACGTATCCATGCTTCAAACTGAAAAATTGGTTCTTGTAGAGAAAGCAACCAATGAACACCGTTGATGTGCTCATTATCTCCACAATCGCCTTCTCTATGCCGTACACGGTTTTTTCTTCTATTTTTTTTTTTTTTAATTCTCGCTTCTTTCACAATCCCGCTCAATTACACGGCAGCAGCTGATCTAGAGATGCAGGAGAGCTTAATATGCGCCGTTCCAGTTATGTGTCCATAAAACTAAACATTGTCAGTAGAGTAGTAAAAAGAAAAAATATCTTCCCATTCTATAGTCCAAGATACTGCTCGTAACGTCATTGCCATGTATAAATATAACAAGGTTCTCGACGCTGCCACTCTTGCAGCCATTGGGTTCTACTTAGTGTTGGCCCCATACTCCAAGGTTGAGGAGTCCTTCACAACTCAGGCCATCCATGATATTGCCAATTATGGTGTCTTCCCACAATCAACTGTCACAGACAATTATGACCACATCCAATTCCCAGGTGTAGTGCCTCGTACATTTGTAGGCAGTGTTGTCTTGGGATTTGGTGTTCGTGTTATCAGCACTATTCTTAACGCAACTGGTGCAGCTGAACTATTATCGTTCTCCTCATCTGACCAACTTCATCTTCAATTCGTCGCAAGAGCTCTTCTTGGGTTTGCAAACTTTTGGGGATTTCGTAGCTTGCGTACAGCCATCAACGCCGTTACTTTTAGAGATAAGAGTTCCAAGGTCAAGGGACTCATTGGATTCTGGTTCTCTATACTCCTCCTTTCTCAATTCCATCTTTTGTTTTATTCAACCCGTACTCTTCCTAACTTTGTTGCACTCCCAGTGGTTCTTCATGGATTTAGTAAGATCATCCGTGGTGATGTATCCGGATTGACTTGGTTGGCCTTTGTTGGTGTTGTTTTCCGTTTGGAAATCGGAGTCTTAGCAGGTCTTATTGGTCTTGTTTCCTCCTTGGTATTTGGTCAATCTAATATCTTTGTCAACATCATAATGTTGGTAGCAGGTACCCTTGCTGGATTAGCCACTTCCTTCTTTGTTGACTCTTACTTCTGGGGTTATTGGGTAATCCCTGAACTTGTAGCTTTCAAGTTTAATGTCATTGACGGTAATGCATCTTCTTGGGGTGTTGAACCATACGGTGCCTACTTCACCGATTATCTTTTAGTTTGGTTTAGACCTCCAGTAGTTCTTATGCTTGCCATTCCAGGGTTCCTTAACGACCCAGCCGATGATGGGAAAAGTCTTATTAAGGAAGCTGAAAAGGCTACCAAGGAAAATAAGCCTATCGTTACTCACCCAGCAAAGAACTCCCTTCGTATCTTATCGATCTCTTCTTTGCTCTACGTTCTTGTTATGTCCTTCCAACCACACAAAGAATGGAGATTCATCATCTATGTTGCACCTATTATTATCTTGCAAGCAGCTAACGGTCTTGCCAATATTTCCATTAAGTGGTCCTTGTCAATTTTTGTTAAATTATTGACTCTTTTGTTGATAGCCTTGGTATACTTGGCCAGTATTTTATCTGTCTTTATGGCTTATGCCTCTAGTTACAACTACCCTGGAGGATATGCCCTTGCCACCCTTAACCAACATATCCTCGAACAACATAGTACTGACAATGTTACTGTTCATTTAGGTGTGGCCGCTTGTATGACTGGTGCTCTGAGATTTGGACAACTTCATAATTCAAACGTTATTTATGACAAGACTGAATCCAATGAAGCTCTTCTTAATATTTGGAACGATTTTGATTACTTGGTAGCTGAGGCTGGACTTAGAGACATTAACGGACCTGAAAAGCTCATTCCATTTGATCAATCTAAGTGGGAATTACTTGACGTTACTACTGCCTTTGGTGGCGTATCTCCAGATGCTATCATCACTTTAATCAAGGAACAAAGCCAGAAAAGAAGCACAATTCCATCTTTAGTCTCCCAAATTGTCCATGAACTTATCAACCAACAAACCTCCCCAACATTCTTGGCATTTGCAAAGACTTTGATTATCGAACAAAACTACTTGTACATCTGGAAGAGAATTGGTGCTGATGACCTCAGTAACCCTAACTTTACTCAAGTTAACGAACCAGCTGAGGATATCAAGAAGGAAATTGTAGATGAAACTGAGGTAAAGATTGACGACATTGAAGAGGAAATTAACGAAGAAATTGATAGATTTGAATCTGCTGAAAGAGAGTACGCAGAATATGTCGAAGAAGAGCAGAAAAAGGAACCTGTTGAAGCCTAAGAATATAATAAAAAAAAAATCACTTATTATTTCAAAATAACTAGATAGTAATATATAATACAAATTGTTTCTAATTTACAGTTTTTGTTGGTGTAGACATGGCAATGCTATCAAAGGTTGGACTTCCATGACGCGAAATTTGACCAATCCGTTCTTTTAGTTTGCTAACTGGAGAAAACCGAGGAGCCATATCCTCCTCAGATGGAATGAAAATTGGAGTGATTCTCCGAAGCAGCTTCGCTGTTTCTATAGTTGACGTATCTTCCTCGTCATAAACTGGACTCAGTTTTGTAAAGATTGACCCCGACAGTTCATCATCACTCATTTCAATATTTTGAGATAATCTATGGGTAAAGTTGGGTCTTTTCGGAGGTTCAATCCCGTATGACCGTCGTTTAGGCTGGGTTATTTGAGCTGCACTTTGTTTCCTTGGGCTGAACAGTGGAGGTGGTAAGCGCCGAGGAGAATTGGACCCCTTAACACGTTGATAATGTTTAATCATTGCATTCAAACGGTCTGACTTCAATCTCTCAGTTGTTTCTTGGAGTTTGGTTGGACTAGTTCGAGTGGCTATACTAGGTGTATATGGCAAACGTTCCCGTCGTTTCAAGGGCGTATTCAAATAACTTTCATCGCCCCTTGACCGACCCCCTGCCAGCTTATTAGCCAATGGAGATTGATTCGAAATCATACTGATATTACCAGCACCTTCTTCATCTTCATCGTCATCATTATTAATGTCGACATTATTCCTTTTTCTTTTCGATTTATAGAGCCATACTTCAAACATAGTTCGTGCCCTGGCAGTCTGCCATCGATCTAAGAACATTTCACAACTTTGTTGGTTCCTTCTAATATTTTTGATGTATTTCATGGACCATCGGTGTAAAAGATCTTGAGCTGTAATTAAATCATGTTGGCTCAAGTGTGTTTCTGCCATCTCACTCAAATATTCTTGCCGATTGAACTTGTCGTACCATAATACCAAATGTTTTTTGAACAACACTCGGGAATCAAATTCAAGGGACCTTTGCAATAATTCTGTCTTTTGAACAGCCAACGCCAGCCATTTTGTAAAAAAATTCGTACATATTGTACTACGCCGAAGAAACTGATTGCAAACCAAATTCATTTCATACTCTCTCTCTTGAACTTCATTGTATCTACCAGCCCAAGTTTCAAATGCACGTGAAAGGAAAAATCTTCTGGAAACCTTCTTTTGGAAATGCTCAACAATTTCTTCATTTGCAATATCAAATCTCTCACTATAGTTGTCATGCCATTTGGTTATAATAGATTTGAGTATTATTCGGTTTCGGAAAGTCATTTTTGACTTTTTAGAAAATTGTTCTGCCTTTTTCTCATTCCAAAGTTTCTGTGACTTTTTGGCAATCATTGAATTATAGTACTTCCGCTGTACATTAAGATCAGCAATCATATTTAATTCTTGTTCTTGATTGTACAAGTTTGCCCATGTCAACAAGGTAGAAGAAATGAGCCTCTTAGATCTAAAGTTGTCCGCACGATCTTGCGTTCCTTGTAGATCCCTTCTCTTATTATCCCAATTGGAAAAATATTGCACTGCAAGGTTTTCACTTTGCTTCATATGGAATTGCTTTAAATTTACAGCAGACTTCCATATATTAATATAGATAGGTGTAATATACTTGGAGTTATTCAATAGATGATTCTTTTCACGTAGTTTTAATTTCCACACTTTAAAAAAATTATTTACATCTTTACTGGTTCTGAAATTAACTGCCTGCTGATTCATGCTGTGTTGCTCTTTCCAATTTTGATACGCATTTAATAATACTAGGTTATTGACTGAATTCAATCTTTTAACTGCCAACTCATTTAATTCGTACTTTTTTCTCCATTGGTGGGCAAATACAAATTTCACAAGTGTTTGATCATTTCTATATTTCACTTCTCGTACTCTTTTAGCGAGTGATGTATTTCTTTCCCACTGCTTAATATATTTGGAAGTTATAAACCTCTTTTCAAGGTTATTTAAAACTCGCAATTTTTGACTTAGTGTAGGTTTCTCATCTTTAATAGTTAATTCTGGCACTGGTAGTAATATACGAGGTACACTTTCACTCGCTTGATAAAGTTTACCATTCATTTTGTCATACCAATGCCTGAAAGTCAATTTCATGGTATAATGCGCACATCTTTGTTCACTAGCCTTAGAGAATTCATCACAGGTTGTATTCAATATCTTTCGTTTTTCATATCCATTTTTGATGGCTGCATATGCATCTTCCATTATATGAGTATTGAAAAACACTCTTCCTTCTTCATTCATTTTGCTTGTCTTGACAAACTTGTCTTTCCAAACTTCAAATCCTTTCTTAGCTTCAATAAGGGCTGCCTTGGTAGCCATAACTTGATGTTGATTGGTACGAAGTAACCACTTCTGTTTAAAGATATTGTCCATTTTCCTTAATTCATAATAATTCGTAGAAACATCACCCAATCTAGAATATTTCATGTATCTACTAAACCATATTTGAAGGATTTTCTTCTTCAAATTCCGAGGATTCACTACATTAACCAAATTATATTCCATAAGGTCAAGTTGACTGATTGCAACCGTCTTATAATTCCATCTGGAAAAATAATGAGAGTTTATCCTTGAAATTGAAAGATATTCAGTAACTGCTAATCTCATCAATAAAGTTGATTCAAATTTAACCTCTTGATAACCATTTTTCACCAAGTATAGATGAAGCTGATAAAATTGATCCATTGCATCATGTATATTGAAATCTTCACTGATATCACCATTCTCATAATCAATGAAAATATTGACTAAACGAAGAATCTTGGCAACATAGGCACAATTATCTTCATACTCAAACTGCATATCATCGTTTTTTGGTTGGTATAATATATTGAGGAAATGTCGCATGGTTTGTGGATATTCCAAATCAAAACTGAAATAATCCACCATTTGAGGAATTACTAGTTTCAAACTATTCACAAGTTTCGATTGGTCCAGCCTCGAAAGTTGAAGAAGTGGTTGTACGTCAGTAAGAGTGTCATATGATTCCAGAATAGGTGGTTCAGTTTCAGTTTCAGTGATTTTGATATCACCGCAATTTCCAACATCTTGCTCGGGGAAAATATGAATTTCTCGAGCCAATTTAACAGACAATTCATAGTATTTAGTAGGTATCAATCTACTTTCAAGTAGAAATTGATTATAAAAATAATTAAATTTCAAGTCTTTGATATGGAAATCATCAATTTCAAGAACTTCTGTACCAACTTGTTTCTTATAGAGCTCAATCATGATATGTATATACTCTGTATGATCCAGAATCTGGGCAGGGCCTTGTTCGTGGCTTTTAAACATACACAATTGGAGAAATAGTTGATATAGTTGAGTGAACAATTGATCAGAACTGACGCATATGGGCAGGTTATTGGCTACTTCCGAACTCAGCAAGAGTTCTACAGTATCCACCACTTCAACAGTTTTATATCCTTCTACATTTCTAGCCACTATGTTATCCAAAGATTTAACAATTTGTTGAGTGTCTTCATCTCCGATTTCCAAATCGGAATCAATTCTTGATTTCAATGATGAATAGAATTTTTGTTCATGTTGGAAACATGTGTTGATGTATTCAACCAATCTTCTTTCAGATTCACGATGTAAACGTATGAAGAAGTCTATCAATGCAGAAAGTTTGCTTAATACAGGAGCATATATAGTATCATCAGCCAAGAGACTTTGTAAATGTCTTTGAATCGTTTCACGAGGGTGATTGTGAGAAACAGTATAACTTTTTAAAAGTTGGAATAAAGAGTTCGGAGTGTTTGTAACCTGCCTCATATCATCAGAAGCCCCGCCCGTCACGTAGTACAACAAGGACAAGTCACCTATTGGAGGACTTGACTTTAAATTAAGGTGTTTATATTTTTTGGAATGGAATCCAAGTAACTGCTCCACATAGTGTATCGATTTGTAAAAGATCCTCTCATATTCATCTGGAGAACCAGTAAACAGATGAAGTCGACTTAATTCTCGTAGAGTTTCGTTGAGTAGAGCTTCTAACCCCCCATGCTCTTGTCTCATCCCATAGAATAGAGTTTCTCTTTTCAATAGATCTATAGTTTAGACTCTTGTTTGCGTAAATATATCTCAAACCCATATACACACACGCGCGCACTCTATCACACATAAAAGTTTACAAAAATTCAAAAAAACCGTTCTACAAAAAGACAGCACCAGCGCTCACAACGCAAGATAAATATAGTCTCTTACCAAAAAAAGGGTGTAGTATGTATATATAATTTTAGCGACACTATACAACCAGGGAACAATTAAATGGCACGCCGAGAAAATCGACTCTCGGTAAACTACGAGAGTCGCAGAATTCAAACTCCAACTTCACTGGAAAGTGGGAGTTCTGGATATACACGAGTGGCCTCCGATGGCGTAATCTATACGAGTGATACACATTCTCCAAGTACATATAGAAACGTTTCAGAACCGGAAATGTATAACCAATATCAGTACAGACGACCACTATCGCATCAACAGAATTTCCAGAATGTACAGCAGCAACAGCAACAGTCTCAACTGTCACTGTCACTGTCACTGCAACCACCTTTAAAGCCACCTACCAATCGAAGAACCTCTTCAAACTCCTCCACATCATCCAATCTTCCATACCCTGAACATGACTACTTTGATTTTTCAGCAACAGATCCTTCTTCGGTATCGACAAAGAAGCCCTCACACTTGACTGTAAATACCTTTGTGAGCCCTGATACCAACTTTAGCTTTTCTGAAGAACAAGATATGTCACTTAATGAGTTCCAAGTATCGCCTACAAAAGGAGATTTCGATACCGCTGAGCCATCACGTCTAAGCAATCAAGTGGAACAATACCAACTGTCAGTGAAATCTCCTAGGGATACCCAAGGCGAAGGATCTTCCCAACCACATCTTCCACTTGTTGAAGTACCGGAGTTTTCACCAAGTTCAGACTATCTGCAATCGAATTCCCCCACAAAGTCTACAAACTCGAACACTATTGGACTGATAATTGGTGGTTACAATTATAGTGGCACATCTATCGAAAGCTCACAGTCATACAATGTTGGCGGTTCGGCCTCAAACCTCTTAACTCCGGCTGGATCAAGTGCACAACCGCACCAACCATGCAAATTGAGGTCTTCAGATAGACTTAATGATCTTCGACTCCCATCGCCGGAAACTTATGAGCTGAGACATGATGGGAGTCAGTTGTCCACTAGTTTCAACTATCCTGGTTATAACTCAGGGCATGCTCGTAACAGTTCTGGCTCGTCCACTGTATCCACGTCCTCGCAGTCAACATTAGTTCCCTCTTCGAAGGACAAGAGATTTGTGCGTTATGTTATGAATACTTCGAAATCTTCTACTGCCAGTAATTCTAAATGGAATATGAAGAACGTTCTTCGGTGGTTAGACTCACACAATTTCAATCAATCATGGAAGGATACATTCAAGCGGAATGAATTATCTGGAAATAGATTCCTTGAACTTTGTAATTATGAAATAGATCTGATGGTGTGGAGACAATTTGGGAAGTTTCTCGTCATTGACTCTGAACTCAACTCTATCTCGAGATTCATTACATTATTGAAATTAGAGGTGGCTCCACAGGAACAAACACACTCACAAACACAACCATCGTCTTATGAAGAAGGAAATGATTTCCCTCCACATTGGTCTCGAAAGAGTTCATCTGAATTGAACCCTTCTCAGCAAATACTGCAACAACAACAACTTGCTCATCAAAAGGCGGAGAATAGAAAGTCCACTCCAATTTTCCAAAAACATTTCCTGGGTAGTAATTTACAACCTTCAAACTTTGGAAACAGCTTAGCATTACCAAGATCTACCTCAGGTTCAGCTTCAATTGGTTCATCCTCTGCACCAATAAAGCAACGCCCGTTCTCGTATATCAATCCATCAACAAGTAAGGTGAAGGATTCGCCACAAGCATATAAATTTTTTAGAAAACACAACCGAACTTCTTCTACGGATTCTCCTCATGAGAGAGAAAGAGAAAGGGAAAGAGATTATAGCAGCACTCCAAATTCTGCAATTATTGGTAGTTCTCACGAGTTTCCTATGAAAAAAGTAAATAAGCCTGCAACATCCATTTCATTAAATGATGATGTTATCTATGGAAGGGTGCCATCTGGACCAAATGGTTCCAGTCTGGCCGTTTCTTCTGGGAATGGAGGACAAGCAACTACACCTACAAACACTACAAACCCGGTTAATGCACCAGCTTCGGCCACCACTCCCACCACTACAACTATGAATACCCCATCCAGCAAGAAGGATCGGTTGTTAAGTACTTTTAGAAAATATGGGGGTGACAGAGCAGCAGGGATGGTTAAACACGGAGCCAGTTCAAGAAACAGTATCGCAAATGCATCTAAGGGTCAAAATGCTACAAGCAGTTCGTTGGACCAGGTGAGTCCTCTCAACATGCAATCCAATTTACAACATCGTCGGGCATCAGATAACAACTCTCTCAATTCTCACCTATCTTCTTCATCATTACCTATCGAGAAGAAGTTTCAAACTTCTGCCAAACTGATACATTCAACGCCAGAAATTGAAATTTCTTCGGTTATGGATCCCATCCCGACTACATTGGATGAAAAATATTTGCCCAAACCTAAACATACGGGGGTTTCCAAACCTATATTAGTAAGTAAAGACAACCACCAATTCTTCCCTGTATATGTCAAATTGGATAATATCTCCGAGATACAAGAAATTAGACAACTTGTTATAAAGACACTCGATCTTATTGATATTGGATTGATAACGTTTCATCTTACTGAAATTGGATCTGATGAGGGGTTAGCATTACCAGAGGAGTTCATCTTGAATGTACTCCAAATGCATGATCTTCCAAAGTTTGTTATCAAACAAGAGTTATCCTCCCCATCGGTTGCAACTTTATCTACAACATCATCAGATTCCAAGTCTTTTGAGTTGAAGGGTGAAAATAATGATGAGAAATTCTACCCTGCCACGCCGCAATACTTGTTGCAAAATAACTATAGTAGTGACTCTAAAATTGATTATTGGAACTTCAAAGAAGTGGTTTCAGAAAGGTTACCTAAAATTCAAGCATCCCCAAACTATCCTACGTCTATTCAGACTGCAGCTAGATTGCCACATGTTCCATTAAAATTAGAAATCCCACACAATTTCAATAAAGATACAGAAAAGCAACCGACACTTCTGATTAATACAAAGGTTGAAGATGAAATAGTCGAGGAAATTATTAACAATACAACAACCGATCAAAGAGGTATACCTACTAGTTCCTTCAGAGTTTTAAGAAAAGAAGGAAGAGAAATTGACTTTGACAAGCGGAGAAAATCTCCATTCGAAGCAAAGGCGCCAAAATTGATACCAAATATATACTCTTCATCTGTAGGTGACTCTTTGAAATCACCAATAACAGCAACGACAGTGTCTACTCTCAAAGATAACGATCCTTCTCCTAAGGAACCAACTAGTCACTTAAAAGCCCCTCCAATAAAACCAAAGGATCTTAATCTTTCTTTACGCTCAAGATCGAATTCAAGGAACAGTACAAGATCTATCGGAGGTGATTCCATTGGCTTGGATTCTTCTCCCAAATCAAACAATTCTATTATTGCAAAGAGAGCCCCACCACCTCCCCCAAACACACTTAAGCGTTCTGGGTCTCTGGTTGTCCGCAAATCTTTATCTAGATCAGTGTCGAATATTGGTCAGTCCTCTGTTTCTGCGCTTTCGCAAGAACTGTTAATATTATCAACTAGATCTAACAGTAGTAGTGATCGATCCATGAGTTTTAGAAGAGCCACCAGTAGATTGCGTGGAGGAAGTGTTAGTCGGAAATCGACTATGAGCCGTGATGACGAATTCAAACAGAATGAAATTTCTTTTGAAGAGATACCAGATGATGGGATAGCTCCAAATGAACTTTCTGATGAAGATGACTTTTTCGTGAAGCCAGTAAAAAGTAAGGATACTACAAAGAGGATAACCCTTGACCCTGCAAATAGGAATGGTAAAGATGTTAATGATAATGACGAGGATGATGAAGAAGATGACGATTTCTTCATGAAACCAATTGAAGGTACACCAAAACCTTCACTGAAGATGAATGTGAGACCTCCGATTGATGTGGTCTATAGTAACCTTGAAAAGTATTTTCCTAATACGAATTTGGATAAACCCATTATTGATGATACTCCATTATCACCAGTGTTGGGTACATCCGCGAAAGATCCAACTGAGGTCACCAATTCACAACCTATGAGGAAACCTACTATATCAAGAACGTTCTCAAATGCCAACATTTCTCCTAGTCGCCCTACAATGGAGTCTGATAATGAATATTTCGGGGAATCACAATCCAAATTAAGTCGCAGAAGAATGAAGACAATTCGTATTGTTGCTAACGAAGCAAGAAGGAAACGCTTAGAGCAACAAGCCGCCTCTCCATATGGCACATATTTATCAGATGTTTCTCGAAACAATAGTAATTTAATTGGGAAGGCACATGGAGCTTCTGCAGTAGTCAATGTGGATGGGGAAAGTGGAGGCGCAGTTAGCCGATCTACTACCTCATCTGGTAATAGCGTTGGATTATTCCGTACTAATACTAAAATGTGGGGTCAACGTGTGGTTGAAGTGACATCCACTGAAATTGAAAAGGGATTTGTGAGTAAGATTAGGAACAATAAAAACGGTCAATTTGAAGAATTTGCATGGATAAAGGGTGAGTTGATTGGCCGTGGATCGTTCGGTGCAGTCTATATCGCTCTTAATGTTACCACCGGTGAAATGCTTGCGGTCAAACAAGTCGTTGTACCACAAGGGTCACATAAAAAGTCACTGAAGACTTTAGAGGGTATAGAGGCCTTACACAAAGAAGTCGAGACTATGAAGGATTTGGACCATATTAATATAGTGCAATACCTTGGATTTGAGCAGAAGGGTAATGTCTATAGTTTGTTTTTGGAGTATGTTGCCGGTGGATCTATTGCTCTTTGTATGAAGAGTTATGGGCCATTCGAAGAAGGCCTTATTAGGTTTATCACGCGTCAAGTACTTCTTGGACTTGAGTACTTGCATAGCAATGGGATTTTGCATCGTGATTTGAAAGCTGATAACCTTTTACTTGAGGTAGATGGAAGATGTAAGATTTCAGATTTTGGTATCTCAAAGAAATCAAGTGATATTTATGCAAACAATGCCGAGATGTCTATGCAAGGTACAATTTTCTGGATGGCACCAGAGGTCATTGATAGTATCGTTGAAGATAAGAGACAAGGGTATAGTGCAAAGATTGATATTTGGTCACTTGGATGTGTTGTTCTTGAAATGTTTGCCGGAAAGAGACCATGGTCTAACGAGGCGGTGGTTAGTGCAATTTATAAGATTGGTAAAACAAAATTGGCACCACCAATTCCAGAAGATATTGAAGGTAAAATTTCACCAGAAGCAAAAGATTTTATTAATCAATGTTTCACAATCAATCCAGAAAAGAGGCCAACAGTACAGCAGCTTCTCCACCATGACTTTATGCGACAAGACACCGAGTTTGTCTTTGAAGATACAAAGTTAGCTCAATTGATCAAGTTTAATCTGAGAAAGAGTGCTTATCTGGACAAAAAGTGTGACAAAGTAAATAATTAACTACAAAGATAATACTAATAATAATTAATACTACACGTTACCAGATTTCTAAATGTTTATTTGATGTAAATCTCTCTATGTATTATACTGAGTTTGTTATAGGATGGATCCTTTCTATGTACACTTTGCTTTCCTACTTCAATCTCAATTCGTTAATCATCAAGTGGGTTTGGAATGGTTCCACTGGGATGGTCTTTCTTCTTCTACATCTCTTCTTCCTACGTACAACTTCGTAGTATGGTTCCTTTGTGATTTCAACAACTTTGGCCAGCACTTCACATACTTCTTGTGGAATTCCATTATCGCATTGGTAGGTGTATTGTGGGGAACCCAAGGTGGTGATTTCGTTTAAGATAAGCAGGTCACCAACTTCGGCGTCCTTGAGCTTGAATGGTAGCACGATCTTGTCACCCTTTGTCACAAGGTAAGGCTTCTTGTAAATCTTGACTACCGAGTAAAGGTCTTGAGAATTGTTGGAATCAAGCTTCATGGCTGAAAGGTCTGGGATAGCGGCAGCGGTGCTAGTGGCCAAGTTTGCACTAAACACCCTGTTGGAGGAGAGGAGAGTCCTCTTAGCAGCGTAACGGAACATTAGTGTTTATTACGTTGATTTAAAGGGTATGCTTAAACTGAAGATGTTTTTTTGGTTTTTTTTTGGATACAAGATTTTTTTTTTTTTTTCCGCCTTTTTCCAAAGTCTTTCGAGAGGCCGGTCACGTGAAATACTGAATGTGGGATAATTTACACAAAAGACGTGAAGTTAATAGATGAACGGAAATGAAAGATTTAGCAGTGGGTAAGAAGAAAAGATATATTGGATATAAGGAAAAGCTAAATATCACGTAGCATAGAGAGATTGAGAGTGATGAACTGGCAATATTGGAGAAATAGACTGATAGTGAATAGAGACATATACTAAATAAAGACTGGTACTCCACCGTTTAATTTATACTAATACTTTTTTCTAGAATATGCATATCTTGAAACAATACAATAGATGTAAGCCTTTAATTTTATATATGTTCATCATTTTAATGAACAAACTGTTAAAGGTAGAATCTATCTGCATATCTAATTAATTAGTAGTGTATGTATTATATAATATCTCGTGCGACCTCGCTCAATGTTCTTCATTTATGTATTATTCCCAAACCTGTTTCCTGCATGGCAGAGTTTTTTTTTTCTGCGCATGAACATTTTTGAAAGGGTTAACGATCGAGAGTGTCCATTCTGAACTAGTTTTTTTCTAAATAAAGCCAGGGAATCTAGCGCCAGCCAGGTATCACCAGCGTAGCACAGCAGAGCAGAGCATAAGCTATTCCCTGCGGGACGCCCAGATACAACGCGCACTATCCATTGTCTACCCCGTGTCCGACCACCAATTACAAACATTGTATTTTGAAGGAGAAATCTCTTTTAGAACAGCAAGAGAGGACGGAAGGAAGCAAAGAATAAAAAAGAAAGTGAGGCAACTTTCTAATAAGCAGTACACATTATTTTTTTGTCGAAACAAGGTTATTACAGACCCAATTAAAGGTATTTTAATCCATATTGTGGAACTGGAGTCCCTTACCTAATATATCCAACTAATAACTTGTACAGAAATTAAATTTTTAACAGAAATCCAATAGATTAACTTTACATACCCATATATTAAAATTGCTAACTATGTCAGGATCATTTTGGAAGTTCAGCAATGGGTACACTTCACTTTCAAACGTACTGACTCTTTTGGAGCAGTATACATCTGCCAAGAATGAATTGAGTGATGATGATGAAGCCTTGGAAGATTCAGAGAATTCAATTGAAAGCGTCTTGGAAAAACTTTTGGATGAGAATGATTTACTTCAAGAACTTTTATCTAACAATTCAATGTTGTTGGAGTTTTTAAGAGACGATCAAGTTTTGTCATTATTGGTTGCTTTAGTGGTGAATGAAGGTAAAGCAAAGGAAGAAGAAGACAAACAGGAGAATGAAGAAGGAAAGGAAACAGATGATAAAGATGTAGAAAATGAAGAAGCAGTTGGTGAAGAAAATAAGAAAGATCATGAAGAGGAAGAAGAAGACTCAGCTGATAATAATGACGAAAAGGATAAGCATCAAGTCAAGGAAGATGACGAAAATGATATTGGAGAAGAAATAGATTCTGTTGAAGATTCATTTGATAATCAGTCAGTAGAAGAAGACTCAGCCGATGATTCAGAAACAGAGGCTGAGAAACAAACCCGTCAAGCTACATTGGCGGCAGAAATCCTCTCTGCTGACGTTTGGTCTCTCACTGATACTGTGATGGAATCAACGGCTAACCTTAACACACTTTGGGCAGTACTTGATTCACCATCTCCTCTTTCAATTAATCTTTCAACATATTTCATGAAGATTATGGAACACTTGTTGGACATGAAATGTGATGAAATGATAACATATCTTATTGACAACCAACCTAGACTTGTTGCCAAATTCATGAACCATTTATCAAACCCACCATTGATGGATTTTTTACTTAAACTTATCTCTACCGATAAACCAGACAATTCTACTGGAATAATAGATTTCTTACAGAAACAAGGATTGATAGGGAAATTAATTTCTTCATTGGATGTCAGTTATATTCCAACCAATGACGAGGTGGATAATCTTCCAGAGGCTGTTGAAATCAATGGAGTTACGGAACCTGAGGCTTTATTAATGAGACAATCATCAGCAGCAGATTTCCTTAAGGCACTTATTACCATTTCAGCAAACTCCACCACGGACAACTCCAGTATTGGGCCAAATGAACTTACAAGGGAACTTGTATCTCATGAACAAATGTTGAAGTTGTGTAACATTATGTTGAAGGGAGATTATGCATTGGCAAATGGGGTAGGAATTATCATTGAAATCATTCGCAAAAATAATTCAGATTATGATTTACTCCCAGTGTTGTATATTACTCTTGAGAGTCACCCTCCAACTGGTAGAGATCCTATATATTTAGGACATCTTTTGAAAGTATTTGGTGAAAACATTGATAAATTTAACCAATTACTTCTCAAGTCACCTTCATCTAAATCCAATGATTCATTACTGATTGATCAATTGAAAAATGGGAAATTGAAGACTCCATTTGGAGAAATTGAACCTTTAGGGTTTGAAAGATTTAAAATCTGTGAATTGATTGCAGAATTGCTTCATTGTAGTAACATGGCACTTTTAAATGATAATAAGGGATTCAACATTGTAAAGGAAAGAGACCAATTGAGAGAAAATATGAAGGAATATGATCCAATCAGTTTCAAATACAATGAAGTTATAGTCTTACCAAATGAATGGGAAGCCGAAAGGGCCATACCATCTGAAAAGAATGAAACGGACCAAAATGATGATGATAATGATGATCTTACTAAAGTTGATAATGACGTTCATGAATTAGACAGATCCATTCAAGCTCTTCAAGTTGAAGACGATATGGTGGAAAAAGTTGAAGATGTTGCCGATGAAGCTAACTACGATGATGACGAGAGTGAAGACCCTCATAAGGACACAGTAGATTCTTTCAATTCTAAGGATACCTCATTCCAATCGCAGCTTCAAGAAGATGAAGAAGAAACACATGCTAATGCCAACCTTACAGAAGCGCAGATTCGTGCCAAACCAGTTATTGGTGATTTCTTGAAAATTTCCTTGTATGACACTCAAATTGTTTCTAATATTTTAACTATGTTTTTCAAATTCCCATGGAATAACTTCTTGCACAATGTTGTATTCGACATTGTTCAACAAGTTCTCAACGGGTCTATGGATATTGGATTCAACAAGTTTCTTGCTATGGATTTATTTGATCGTGGTGATATTACTTCCAAGATCATCCGTGGACAAAAGGAATGTACTCAATATGAAGTTTCTCATAATGGGTTAAGATTGGGATACATGGGTCATCTTACTTTAATTGCGGAAGAAGTTGTTAAATTCATTCAACTTTATCCAGCCAACTCTTTAAGTGAGTTGATTGACGTCAAGGTTGAAGATGAAGTATGGGAAGATTATGTGAGTCATGTTCTTTTCGACACCCGTGAAAAGTATAACGCTATTCTCGGGGGTGGTGAAGATGACGAAGATGAGAGTGCTTCAAATACCTTTGATGAAGGTGTTGGCGAAATCCTTGAAGATGAAGATGATGAAGGACACAAGGGCGTTGCGATGGAAACTAATGGTCTTGTTTTCGATTCTGAAGTTGACCACGACATAATAGGTAGTGGATATGAAGAATACGATGGCAAGACTTCTAATGCCAGAGATACTGTATCATCCAGTGATGAATCAGAATCTGAAGAAGACGATGACCATTTTTCTAATTACATGTCACTGCAATTAACCACCGCAGAAACAAACTTACCTTCACCAACCACGAAATTATCTGACGAAGAAGAAGAAGAATCCAGTGAGGAAGAAAACGATGTTATTCGTGGACCTTCACCAGTATCTGTAGCTTCTGCATCTTCCTTTGACGATGATTACATCGATCCAAACGACGATGGACTCTCTTACAAGAAGGCACATCCACTCTACGACACACAGGGAAGCCTTATTGGCGGGCCCGATGACGATGAACTTAGCGAGGACTCGTCGTCGTCTTCCGACGAAGAATTGATAGATACGATCGCTGATAATGCTAATGAAAAAGACACAGGTAACAAGCTTACCAGGGCGGCGAGTAAAAGTTAAATGTCGTCCAATCAATAAATGACCTCCGTCAATGAATCCATGATAAAAAAGGGAAAAGAAAAGAACGCTTTACAGTTTTTTATGTAGGATATTCTTTATTACTTACCAGTGCACAGCACAGCACATAATACATATATATATATACATATATATAAATATTTTCCAAAAACTAAAAGTTAATATACAGCAGATGTACGACCTTCTCTTTGAAGAGGTGGTAGAACATTGATTGATGAGTCTACTTCGTTTTCGACAGTGGAGACAATTTCTTCTTCGGCAGTTTGTTTGGCGAAAGTGGTCTTCTTTGGTACGCCGCCCATCAAACCCTTACTCATTGCCAAACCAGACGATCTTTCAGCGCCAGAGTTGTAGAATTCATCTTCGATTGGATGCATCAAGACCGTGTTATTGGTACTGATGGTAATGACGGTGTTTGTTGGAACACAGATCCAGTCACCTCGTTCAAAAGTCAATGGTTCACTTGCCACGAAGATGACATCTTGAGAACGGTTAAGTCTCTCCATTTTGAAAAGACCAGGTTCATATTCAAAGAATCTTGATCCGGTACTGAAATGGAGAGATGCTGCTTCATCGGTCTTGGAAGTGATATATCTACTCACAACCACAGAATCACCGTCAGTCACAGCAAAGTTGAGTAAAGAAGGTTCATCAGTGACAGCAGTCTGCCAGTTCTTTATGAGCTCAATGGTTCTAAGTAAGGCTCTACGAAGAAGGTTATGACATAATTTAGAAGAAGTATCTGAAGGATCAAACCCTAATTTGTGTATAGTATCCAAAAAGAGGGCAAAGCAGCACTCGGAATCTGTTGAGCCTTGAATGAATAAGAAATACTTATCATCCAAATGATTTATAAGTTTCTTCTTGATGAGATGGAAGGCCAGAATACCCCCATTATGCATGAACATGAGTTTACCAAACAGGAAAGGATGACAATTTGTTTCAGACAAAACACCTTGAGTGGAAGCTCTAACATGACCAAACACCAAGTGAGATTCTGTGCAATGAGAAAGATTGTTAAGGTTAACGTTATTCCAAGCTGGAGTAATAGCCTTGAAGATGCAAGGTTGGTTGTTTGGGGTATAATATCCAACTCCAAATCCATCACCATTGATTGGATTTCTCATATCGAGACGGAGTCTCGAATCAAATGATTGGTTGATGATGGAATGTGCTGGTTTGGTAAGAAGGTCCGATAATACCATGGGGTCATGGCCCTTATATATCATGAATCGACACATCTTATATGATTGGAAATTGTATAACAGTGTGGATAATAAACTGTGTAGCTTTTAATTGTACCATATATTATATTTGGGATTTCCTCAATGACGCCACAGATTCGTAAAAAGAGCACCATCCATTTCTGTGTGCAGGCAATGTGTCATAATTGAAAGATGATGAGATAAGTTACAAAATTCAAGTGGTAGATAAGGTGGAACTTTTGAGATGCAAATAGTATGTTCTACATGGAACTGATGAATTACGAGGAAATAAACTTTTAAGGAAAGCGTGTAGTTGTTTGTACAATATGGACTTTAGAAATTGAACATTGTAAGAAATTGAAACTTCAATTGTTTGTTTATTTTCTTTAAAAAAAAATTGGTCAGGATAAGTTTAAAGCATGAAGTTTGAAGAAGCTTGAAATATAGAGTCAGTAAAGAATCAAGATAGATATTCTAGGATTTCGTTATAGGGTATGAGTTGTTATTGGCATACCCGGGATAGAAAGTATACACTCTACTAATCGATGACACTTAAGGGTTCAGTATACTTTTTTGGCCGTAGTGAGATTATAGAGTGAGTGAGAAAGATAGAGAACTAAAGACTCTCTTTGATACTCTCAAACTATATTTTACTCACCCCCCGTTTAGCTAAATCAAAACAAGCTAGATAGTTTGTTCGTATTTCTTTTGACTTCCTGCATATATAGATTTAACGTCAGTCTGTGCAACAAAAATAAAATCTGGGGCAATAATTTCAATGGCAAACTCAATTTTTATGCACTAATATTCGCGCACCTCCCTTGATGACTCCTCGGGTAGATGATAACCGAAAATTCCCCCCCACATACACTCTAGACTTCAATCAATTCCATCACCATAGATCTAATCGCCACTTCTAGTTCTTTCGTAAAAAAAGAAAAATATGGACAATTATTACGCTTCTAAAATTTTATTCATTTTCCATTGGACCGAGGTTCATGCACCCGAATAATACCGGGAGTCATTCATACTATCCAATCTCTTTATAAATGGCTCAAACTTCTTTAATTAATTATTATCATATCTAATTCTAATCAATCAAGTATTATCAAAGGGGTTAATTTAATTGAATTAATTAAAAGTGTGCGTGTGGTCCCGGATATCAAAAAATTCTGAAGCAATCTAAAATTCAATAAATTTGATATTTCTTCTTCTTATTCCCCAAATTCCAAATCTTAGAACCTTATTAAAATGTCACTCTTTAAAACCCTTCAAAACTCCCCAGCCACCATCTCAATCTTCCATAACAAGAAACTCCCTGCTCTGGGCACTTTGTACAGAATTCTTGAAAAGGCTGATAATAAACTCAATGCTTCAACACAACAATTCCAAGTGGATTTAATGACCGATAAGATGCCAACTTTTGATCAATTCCAATTTCTTGTCAACTCATGTACTGCGGATGAACAAGGTAGATCGGTGTTGTTGGATGCATACCCATTCATGTCAGAAAAGAAATCGTCTAAAGATAGGCTGAAGGTTACTGTACAGCCCCCTGTTGGAGTGCAGGGAACAAATTGGAAAACCTTCACTGAAGGAGAATATGCCATAGTTCATGATGCCTTTGAACATCTTTTAGCAGAAAGTAAATCCGACAATCCAGACCACGACCCATCCGAGGTTTTCCGTGCTCCTTTAGTGGTTGATTGGGATCAATGTCTTGTTGCTGGCGATGTGACTTCCCTTGAACATCTTTTAGCCAAGTACCAAGGCCTGAAATAATGGTCGCATTGTTTAGTACACAGTACTCGAAAAGTACAAATAAATAAATAAATACATAAATCTAAAATAAAATAAAGTCTAGTAGCACTGCCTCTCGCCGCGCAAGTTGAGTTTGCGCACTAAGGGACTTCTTAGAAACTGCGGTCCGACATAGACGCACTTCTGAGATCCACATAGTAGTTTGCCGCGCGCGCGCTCACACTTGCTAATGGAGTTGGCTAACCGCGCCCCGTCTCCCGTTGACAATCTCATTACCTCCACCATCTCGCATCGTCATGATTAGATGAAAACCAGCCCTGCTGGAAAGTCCGCCCTTTGAATAGGAATGTAGCTTAGCACTCTGCACATCACGGAGTGTTCATTCTCGTCAGTCACACCACCGACTTTCATCGCATTCCCGTCAATGTGTAGTTATTTTTAGCTTCCGAAAATCTCTTCTGCAATTCGCGCCAGTACAAAAGAAAAAAAAAATAACAAAAAAAAAAAAAAATAATAATAATAATAAGAAAATCACCTAAATTGTGTAGCAGCCGCAAATTTGTGTTATGTATCGAGCTTCAAAATATGTACAGACCTTTGCTGTCAAATTCTTTATATTTTGGTAGAACATCCGTCTTTATTCTAGATTTTTTCTCAACTTTGTCAAATATTTATTCAACCCCACAAAACATGCGCTATCTTGAAGTGTATAATGGTGTTTCCATGTACTTATGGGCGCGTCTCTTAGGATGCACTTTACTCGATGTGTGGGGGTATCTTTGGATGAACCCTAACACCATATATGTCTCTTGGACCTACCAGGGCTACCCTCACAAATTCTTTGTGGTGTTACAGACAATCACTGTTCTTTTCGAACTCATACATTGGTTTATGGGTCTAGTACCGTCTCTGATCAGTACCCTATTGGTACATGCATCTGGTAGACTCATGATAGCTCTTGCTATTTCTTTCTACCTTCCTGATTCAAGGGCAAATTTCTCACCAGTGTATGCCCTTCTCCTCATCGTGTGGTCTACAGCTGATATCACCAGGTATAGTGTATATCTTGGGAAACAGCTCCAGATCATGCCGGCCTTGTTGGAACGTTGGCGATACTCCATGTTCATCCCATTATACCCCATTGCCCTCGTCTCCTCCATGTACTTAATCTACTTGTCATTAAACGATGACACGGGTTTCTACTTTGGCTTCTTGCTTGCTCTGTCAACATTTTATGGATGTGGCTACTTATGGGTGTTCACACATATGTGGGAAAAACGACTCCGATGGATCCGCAGAGTCGAACAATTAAAAGAATTTGATTGTGAAAAGAGCGCAATCTTGGGGGTTTAAAACTTCTCACATCTACATATACATTCATCATCCCTTACAAAATGGGGATCCATTCATACTACATTCTACTGCATCGCTATATAATACTAATATATGCTACAATACTTCAGCCACTAACTTGCCCCTTACCGCACTCTATTTTTTTTTTTTTTCTTTTGATGTTTCTTCCTCCTACTAAGAATTTCCTTGGTAAGGTCTCTTCTTGTTTGTATTTTCTTTATTCTTACCACAAAATTTTTTTTTCTTATTTTTTTTTATTGTTTGTCATTTAAAAAAAAAATATGGCTGTTCCTGCATGGGGAACCCAACATTTATAACCATATATCCAAGACATAGACAAGAAATCATTACCCTTTACTTATTACCATCAATTCAGCATGTCCACTCCTAAAACCCTGGCTCCTGCCACCAGAGAGGCTCCTCCTCGTTGGCTCATCTCATACAACTCCATCTCATCTTCTCTTTGGTCAGTGGTTTTGTTCAACACTATCTTTCTTGCATCAATTGTAGGACAACCATTCCTTTTCACCAAGACCAATAAAATCACCACCTATATTCAATGTTTAGCGGTAATTGAGATATTCAATGCTGCCACCGGTGTCGTTAAGTCTCCGTTGTTTACCACCACCACTCAAGTCTTCTCCCGTTTGTTAATTGTCTTGGGTATCTGTCAATTACTTCCAGACTCTCCAGCCAACTATCATTGGTGTTACACCACTTTGAGTTTGTCCTGGTCTATCACTGAGATCATCCGTTACTCCTACTACGCCGCAAACTTATCCTCGCCAGGCCAAGTCAACTCTTGGTTGACTTGGGCCCGTTACACCACCTTTTATGTCTTGTATCCTACTGGGGTCACTTCAGAAATGTTGATGGTTTACCTTTCTCTTGGTGAAGCTACCAAGACCGTCGGTGCTTGGTACTCATACTTCTTGATTGCCATCTTATTCACCTATCCTCCAGGTTTCTACATGTTGTACACCTACATGATCAAGCAAAGAAAGAAGGTTTTGGGTAAGACCTCTACAAAGAAGACGGAATAAACTCATATATATGTATACATATTATTTTTTACGTACGAATTCAATCTGTTCTTAATGAATCTATCCATGTTAGAACCTCTTCCACGTGATCTATGATGGTATCTCCCTCAGTAAATTCTCCTGTTTTCTTTGATTTATCACTTGTTGTACCCCAAAATCCTCCAAGAATTGATTTCTTATTTTTGGACTTTGATGAAATTTTGTTTGTTTCAAACACAACTCTCACTTGTCCTCTCACATAAACAACATCATATTTTAAACAAAGTTTGCTAAGGATCTTCATCACTAAATGATTTGGAATGTACTGATACCAACGATAGTTCCAACTCATAAGTTTCATCAAGATTAAAAGAATAAAGTCCACTGGTAAAAGTCCTTCTTCAAGCTCCTTGATGAAAGAATCTCGAGACTTGGGATCAATAAGTTCCAATAGAAGCTTGTTACTGTAGAATTCTCCATCATATACTTCATGAAGACTATCAATATTGGAATCTCGTACATCACTTAATACAAGTTCATCATAAATTTGTAATAATTTAATCGTTCCAAAATAATCAAACCCTCCTGCCATTGAGCTCCCTTTAACACTGGTGATCATTGCACATATAGATTCCTTGATATTATACTTGACAGACCACCCTAAAAGTCCAATCATGTTCCATTCTAACGCACTATGTTGTTGTTCCTTTGTGGGTGCCGTGATTGCCATAAGACACTTCAAGTCTTCATATACAATGAGAAGTAACTGATCAAGCCATTTTTCACATCGAGTAGAATGTATAGAGGTTGGGGGGCCACTTTCTTGAGATTCAAACACTTTTTCTTTACTTTGAACTATTTCATCCCATCCAACAAGTGCCACAAAAAATGTAATAAGATCATAACCACGACCCCATGTACATTTACGATCAAAATCAAGAATTGATGAAGAAGCAGTTCCACAAGATTGTGCTGCAAGGATCATTTTGGCTGATGAAGGTCCACTCACATTTATGATGCTTCTATCGACAGAAGAAAGTTCACGAGCAGACGCATTCAATAATGGTGATTGATAAAACACATTCCCCGAAAATGGATGTCTATCGTTTGGATTGAAGAGAAAGAAATCATTCCATATTTTACTTATAGATGCCAGAGGAACTAGTTTTGGGGTCGTCGATGAGGTTGATGTTGTGGTGCTACTTATCGGTGTCAATGATGATCTACGACCTGCCTGATCTTCTTGTGTTTGCACGGGAGTTGGGAAATACTCTTGGAAAGTCCTTTCAGAAATTGGAGAATCATCAGCGTTTTCCAACCGAGATAAAAATGTTTTAGTAAACAAGTCAGGTATTCCTTCAATCAGATTATTTTCCGGTCCTTGAAGTATACCTGCTCGTTTTGGTGAATGCAACAATACAGGTATAGAATTGAACATTAACAATGCCTTGCTATTTTCCCCACAAAGTATATAACTCAATGTGAGTGCATACCATGCATCAAAGTCTAGTGGGAGAGTTTTAACACATAGTTCGGAAATTTTCAATGCTAAGCGATATTCTCCCTTCCCAATAAGAAACCGCACTTGTTCAAGTAAAATAAGCGTTCTCTGTGTAGTGTTTCCTGATTGAGCAGATGTTGTAAGGTATTTATGTATAAGCTGGATATAGTTTTGCTCTTTATTGGCTCCATTCTGAGTTTTCCAGATTTGAAGGATGACCCACGTCCAATTCGATAGTCCTGCTTCTCCAAATTGACGATGGATTTCATCTACTGCAATATCATTAGCTGCACCCGAACAGTCCATTTGACACATTCGGAGTATGGTGTCAACTAAACTGTTTTTATATTGACTAGTCTTACTATATCCATCTCTCTTATCACCAGACCCGCTACTATATCCATTGGAAGCTCGAAAGTCTGTCATTCCTCCTCGTGGTAGGAATCGTACGAGATGACGTACGCCTTCCAAAAGTAAATCCCGAGTCTCCACAAGATCTCTATAGTTAACCAACCCCATTAGTTGTCTCGAAGGATCATCTAGATGAGAAAAAAGTCGGATCAACTGCGAAGCACGAACTTCATCCCAATATGATTTGGAAAGTTCTTGGATTGTATTTACATTGAACAGGAAGGTCTTCCCCTGGTTATTTGGTACCACCAGGTAGCTTCTATCTATTTTGACCGGTATATCCCCACTACTATTGTTCCCACCAAAATATATCACATATCTTGCTCGGAAATCTGATTTATGGAAAACGTTATAGGTACAAAAAGTCACCATCATCTCTCGTTTCAGTTGGTTATCCGGATTGTAGGAGCTATTAGATGCAGCAAGTGCGGCAGCAGCCGCTCCAGAAAGGTTATTAGTATTTCCTTTGCCTTTATTCTTGTTCTTGGATTTGCTCACCACGTATCCTTCATTCCCTGGTCCTCGAGTAATGCCAATCAACAGAAATATGTACTCTTCAATACCCTTCTCGTCTAGGAACCCAATACCGTTGGCATAGTGGTAGTACCCAATATATCCATCATCATTTTTTCTAAACTCGGCGTCCTCGGAACTATGATTGGAAATGAAATCATGGTCCAAGTATTGAGACGACCGGGTACCGTAATAGCGACCCCAATGCACCAAATCAGGAGCTCCAATGAGGTTTTCCAGCCACATATCGGCTTGAGCTTTAGATCTAAGCCCTAAGGTTTGCCCATAGTACAGTTCACGAAGAGCTGGAGTCGTTTGTTGTCGCCTAGGGTTGGGTGTGATGTTATCTACTAACACATCTTGACCAATTGTCTCCTCCGAAACAGCGATATTAGACCTGAGCACTGACGACAGTTGTGGTAAAGAGTACACAGATTGTTTCAGACGTTCGTGTGCTCTAGTCAACTCGCTAATTTGGCTCATTGTCAAAGGTCTACCTGGTTGTGTAATGTTGACTTCTTGATCTCAGTCCAAAATTATATCCACGTATTTGGATGGTACTGCATGTGCTACTCCACCATACAATTATATTCTTACACAGTTAGCTTCACTTCTACCAGTGAATAATATTATTGTAAAGTCCTCTCTTTATTATAAATATATATAATACGTTTAGTTATTTCTTAAGTCGTCTATCTATATTTCTTCGATTTTCTTTTGAGTTTTTTGCACCTCTGTTGCCATCATAGTCAATTCTTGTACCAAATCAAATACAGACTTTGGTGCGCTTCCAGCGAATTTCCCTGTTCCGCCACTCTTAAGACTCAATTCTTGGCGCAATAGAAGTAGGGCCACACAGTTCTCAATACGAGTAACAATGTGGTTGAATAATTCCAATAAATCTGATTCTTTGAATGATAATTGTCCAGATATCTTTTCTGATGAAGTTCTCAGGAAAGAGCTAGCCGGAGAATCGCCTTCACTCAAGGAAACTTGAATATTTTCAAGACGAAGGGATATCGAACGCAATCCATATATGCATTCAATAGGGACAGCCCCAACAATTCGGCCCTTAAGGTCCTGTTCTTCTTCCTTACTTTCAAGTTGTTTAGTGTACATTTCGTAACGAATCTTAAGTTGATCTGGATAAGCAAGGGTGATAAGTTCTGGGGTTTCAAGACCCTTCAACTTTCTTTCTCCGATATCAAAGTATGAACATCCCATTTCCTCAATTGAAGTAAGTTCACGTTCAATGATTTCTCCAGCTCGTACATTACCAGAATATGCCTCTTCTAAATTAATTTTATTTGAAGAAATATCTTCATGAATACGGAATAATCCTGTCATTACATCAAGGAAATCAGAACTGACCGCAATTTGCCCACCATCTGCAACGGCTTGGATTCTAGCAGCACGATTAACCATAGGACCAAAATAATCCATTCTTCTGGTAACCACGTCAAGTTCATACACTGGTGAACCCCAATGGATACCCATTCTGACAGATAACCCACGGTATATGATATTTTGCTTTGTATCAGTGATTTCCCAACACAGATCAGTTTGAAGGATTTCAGAAGGCCAGTCTGCTTGAAGAAGTTGTTGTTGAACAGAGAACGTCCAAAGTAACGCCGAAGATGGAGATGGGAAGGAAACCATAAAGGCATCACCTTCTGTCTTTACTTCATACCCACCCACAATACGAAGTTGTCTTCTCATGATAGCATTATGGATTTTAATTGCTGAACGCATGGCAACAGGATAAGCATCCCATAAAAGGGTGGAGTTTTTGATATCTGTAAATACAAGTGCCAACTCTCCAATAGGTGGGTCAATTTCTTCATCGAGTCTACGCAAGGTAGAATCACCCGCTTGTAGAATACTTCTGTCCCTCCGCTTCTTGTTATTATTCAAGTAGATATCATCACGTCCCATAGTGTTATTGTACAAGTTCGAAGAATACTTCAGCTTTGTACTAGATTTGTGTTCACCCAAGGTAATCACAGTTACATTTAACTTATCGGTCGCTCCATAACATATAGCATAGTCTCTGAGCTTCTGTGCCGCCTTCATTGGATCATCCTTCTCTTGACGGATAATATCCACTGCCAATTCATATGAAATATAATCCCACATAATCTTGGTAGCAATGATAATAGTATCATTAGCTCCACCAGTGATTTCATATTCACTGATATCAGGGCCCAGGTGGGTGTGAGGTACAAAGTCAAAAAATCCAACACCTCTTGAAATAGGAAGTTCTCCATCCAAAGCACCATCACCGGATACGTAACCTCCAGATGCTCTGATTCTTTCAAACTCACTACGGGTGGTAGGATCATGTTTGGTAGTCATAAGTATATGGTTCCCATTATTTCTGCATAAAAGAGCCTCGATATCACCAACGTTGGCGGTATACAAGACTTTATCCCGAATATAAACAATTGTCACAGAACACCCACACTTTGAGTCATCACGCAAATTCAACTCAGCTAATTCTTGGCGAATTCCCGTAGCAAGTGCAGTAGTTCCTGAAGGTGCAGCATTGTTCTTCAATGCGGATAGTGCCCCATTAATTTCTTTATTCATGGCCAAGAATGCACGTCTAATGGCATCATGAACACTTTCTTCTGGTTTCAATTTGTTTAGTTCATCCGTGAAAGAAGGTACAAAGATTGCCTTCGCAGCAATGGCAATTTTATGACCTACAGCTGTGCCACCTAATTTACCATCAATTGCACAAAGAAGTGCTTCATTGTCCTTTCCACGGAATTTCTGGATAAAAATATCTCTCGTCAGAACAACGTCCCGCATACCCATAGAGTCAGACACACCATATCCAATATTCTCTGATTCAGAACCAGTGGTTCTAATTCTCATTTCAGGGTTCTGATCTGGAACAGATGTCGTGGTCAATGTGACATCAATCAATCCCAAAACCTTCAAATTCTCCAACACAAGCAAACTATCAAAGTCTTCACCAGTTTCCGGGTTTTTAATATGACTCAGTTTGATTTCAAATCTCTTGTTTCCTGAGAAATTCAAATACTTCAAAGCCTTATTCCAATGCCAATTCCAATCATATGGCCAATTTGAAATGTTATACTTCAATTGATTAGATCCAACATCGAGTGTAGAGAGGTTTGAAAGTTTGGCCAATTCAGCAGGTAAAGAAACAAGTTTATTGTTATTAAGGTGCAATAATTTCAAAGATTTCAAATGTTCAAAATCATCTGCTGGGAGTGATGTGAGTTCATTTCCAGAAAGGAAAAGTTCCGTAAGCTTTGTCATTCTTCTAGTAGCACCTTCTGGGATTTCTAAAAGATCGTTATAGGACATGTTAAGAGACTTAAGTTCAACCAAGAAAGATATAGACTCAAAACACTCATCGTTCAAACGATTATCAGCAACAGTAAGTACGAGTAATGAATCTGCCAACGAAGAAGAAGCTGTCACTGGAGAAGCAGTGGAATTTCCGCCACTGGATGGAGAAATAGCCTCCGACATAGAATTACTTGAAGATAATTCCATTAATTTAAAGTCTCTATCAGACTCTTGAATATTTTCAAGACTTGCCTTAATTTCAAGGAAATTGGCAGCAGAAGATATTCTCTTAATCTCCGACATAGGGGGTTTGGGGAATGAGGTCAAAATATTTGAAGAAATATTTAAGACGGATAAAGACTTCAAGTTCCAAATTTCCTCTGGTAAAGATTGCAAGTTATTCAGGTGCAAATCAAGATATTGCAAAGATTTCAATCTTCCAATAGTAGAAGGTAATGTTTGCAAATTGTTACCATACAAGGACAAATAAGCTAATCTTGGTAAATTACCCAATTCATCTGGTAAAGTGACTAAATGATTTTTATCAAAAACCAATTTCTCAATGTTTGGAATCTTGCTAACGAACTCAGGAGGAACACTGGTAATTTTGGCTTTTGATAAGTCAAGAACTGTCAATATTGGAAGTAAGTTTTCAAACTGTAAGTCTGTAATTGGGTTTCTATCAAAATGAAGTAATCTAAGATTTTCCATTCTGTCACTGAAGGCAGAAATATTATTCTTCGAAGCATATGCCACTTCAAGGGTAGGTAAACTACCTAAAACGTCAATGTTCAGAATCTTGTTATATCTGATATCCAAACGCTTCAAAGAAACCAAATTGGTAAGGTAGTCGGGTAAGGATTTTTCAAGCTTATTTGTACAAAGATTCAATTTAGTTAATTTTTGAAGTTGACCAATTGATGGAGGAAGTTCAGATAAATCATTATACGACAAGTCCAAATCTCTCAAGTTTACAAGTTCATTAATTGCCTCTGGGTAACTGACAAAATAATTAGATGATAAATTCAAACTGGCAAGGTTTTGTAACTTACCAAATGATTTTGGTAAGGACGAAAGTTGATTTGAATTTAATTTTAAATTAGTTAAATTCTTCAAATGTCCAAATTTAGATGGAAGTTCATCTAAAAAGTTCTTTTCCATATCGAGATGAGTTAATTTTCTTGCCTCCAAGAAATTCAAGGGGAATTTCAGACACCCATTCTTTGAAAAAATGATGCTTGTTAAATTATTACAAGATTGGATAAAATCAAGGGGGATATAAATAGAAGGATTATCAGCAACATTCAATTTTTCAATCTCATAAGTGTGTTGATGGAAAATAATCGGGATGTTCTTCAAGTTCAATCCAGCAATATTCACATCAACATAATCTTTCGAAAGAAGAATTTCTTCCTCATGGGTCAAGTTTCTCAAATAAATATCCTCAAGAACGAATTTACAGACAAATGATAAATCTTCACGTCCAATGATATTCAAGTTATCCTTATCTGAATATCCACTGAGCAATAACAAACCCATTTGAATCTTGAGTGGTTTCTCGAATGGTTCAAGAACCTTAACCTTGGATCCAATGTATGCAGAAATTTGATAATTAGCCACTGAATCAAGGAAGAACTTCTTTTGAACAATGGTCAAGAGTTCCTCCGTTGTTGCATCAAGCGGACTACGAATGGTTGAGAAAGTATTATCTTGCTTAAAGATACGAACGATGTGATACATGTTTTTCAGCTCTGGGGCCACATGGTTCCCGTGTTGCTTCCCGTACAAGACCGGGAGGTTTGGACGGAGTGCTACAACTTTAGAACCTGCTGCTTTTTGTTTGTGTGTATGATGATGGTGGTGGTGACGATGGCGATGGCCGTTTTTCTCGGCGCCAGTTTCGTTAGGTGGAAGAGATGACTTTTCATTTTCCAGATCTTCTTCATCTTCGGTACTTGAACAACTGATATTAGAGAAATTATCTTCATTGTTATTCTCATCATCGTGTTTCCTATTCATACCGCTATTGGCTTCATTGGAGGTTCCTGCCGCGTTAGCATTCTTCATGGCATCAAATTTAACATCCCAACTCTCTGGTGCCTTCCAAGACCCTTTGCTCAATTGCTGGTCAATGCCACTACTTGATAATGATTTTTTTGCTGGTACTCTAGGAACTGCCACTGTTGAAGTATTTGAAAATGATGGTAATTTTGCTGGTTTAGGATTCAGAGCAGCATCGCCAACGAATTGATAATCTGCATCTTCTGCGTCATTCGTTGGGGACTTGACAATCCCATGCATTTCATTGAGATCCATATCAAGGTTGAAGGCCGTGGCCACCCGGGGAAGAGTGACCCCTCTCTCGGGCAGTTCATTCTCATGTTCTACTTCGGTTATTTCGGGAACTGTGGATGATTCCAGGAAAGAGGAATTATGTCTACCACTGGACCCACCATTATTGTGATGGTCAAACGATGAGATTGATGGAATTCTAAACTTATGCTTATGAGAGGTGAACGAAGAACCTGATGAACTTCCATTGCGCTTGTTGACACTGTTCGAGGACATGGAAAGATTAGGTGCACGAACAGAGCCCAAGGATGATGACCGAATTGTCGGAATATGCAAATGTGAATGTGTCAGCTCTTGTGAATCCGAATCATTCGATCCAAGCTCCCCTCCAAACTCGTCGTCTTCATCTTTTCTACTCGAGTAAATGAACTTCCCCAAAAGCGAGCCTCTCTTCTTTTTAAATCGTGGCTTGATGGGCTTGCTCAAGGGAGGAACATTTCCAAGTCCTTGCGGGAATTGATTAGCATGGAACCCACGATATGTATCCTTCAATTGAGGCAGTGAAGAGTCTGGTTCATTGTTGTTGTTCTCAAGGTCTCCGCCCTGCATGGAAACAATGGACAGTCTCGGACTATACAAGTTCTCCATTCCCGGTGGTGTCTTCCCTGGTACTAGGCCTTGTAATCTTCTACCGGAGAAATCTCCCCCAAGACCTGAAATGTCGCTTCGCAGGCTCTTCATGGAGTCTTCTCCATCATTATAATGGATATTGAAATACGGTTTCTCGGTTTCGGTATCCTTGCTCTTAGAGTTGAAATCCTCATTGGGGACCGATGTCAGTCTTTCTTGGTTTGATTTTGCAAATCCGACATTGGTCGGAGATAACGGCAGTTGAGGGGCTCTATCGAATCCAAAGCTATCGTGAGGGAACTGTCCGGCAGCACCCACGGAAACTCGCATATTGCTACGAGACTTGTCACGCTTTAGGAAACTCATAGTTGATATATAAGTAGAATAGATTTCTTATTGCCCAGTGTTATAAATCAAGTTTATTGTCACCCAAATTGAACTAAAAGTCTCAAGCTATCAATTTATCTTTTCAAAACTTCAACGTTTGTTTTTGTTCTTTACTTGAAATGCTAGCGGGTATACTTTTTCCTCCACAAATCTTCTCTGGTTGTCCAATTGTCTGTATAAACACACAATCTAGATCGATTCAGTGAAAATAAATTTACTTGGGGTATTGCTTTTCCTTGCAAATTTCTTCGTCTTTGAGCCCTTTACTCATTTTGAAATTGATTATTCAAACATCATGTGCTGATGGTGTGCAGGATCGAAGATTCGCCCGTGTGGGTGTCTTGATGTTGATAAAAAAATTCTGTTAATTGCGTTTTCTTTTGTGGTTTGTGCGGGTACTTCGATGAGACCCTCATTTGATTAGGATGAAAAATAAATAATTACATAAGATAACACAATAACATCTTAGAAATAAGAGGTAATAATTACTGGGGAGATTGGTACAGATCCTTTGGGAAAGGGGACAAAATGAAATTATGTAGAAAGTGAATTAGATCGATAATCACAATCGGGGAAAACGTCGGATCTTCGAAAGAACCAGACCATGGAATGGACCGGATCATGATGGATTTATTTTTTGTGGAAGATCAAATTTCATGGTGGGGTACGATGAAATTTATAGGATTATATAACCAGGGAAAACATTTAAGCGGATTGTTATCTCGGAATCGATATCTTTCTCTGAACAAAAAATTTCAAGGCTAAATTCTATTGTAGAACTACTAATTGCGCGTAAATTTACGGAAACTGATGTAAGAACCGGAACTGATGAGCTTTTCCATATAATTTTCTCCAAATTGGGGTTTTCATTAAACTACAAATGGACTTATGCGGCTTGCACGTCCAAACTAACAATCCGTAACTATGTAGGCTGTGTATGCATCATCTATGTTCTCACCCCCGGGGATATCGTACTAGTGACTCTGTATACTTGCCTCGAAAGTATATTGGTTGTGTAGTGGTGACTCGTTCGCTTAGACCAAAAAAAAGTGGCAAAGTTAAAGAAAAAAAAAAATTAAACATCTCCGTGCGATATAATTAGAACTTGGAAAAAAAAAAGACCCTTGCAAAGATTATAGCTACTTAACAGAATTTCAGTGATGAAAATTTTCAATCTTTTTTTACAAATTGTAGTACGTGGAAGGAATATGTAAGGTAGAGCCGACATGTTTACCTCTGGTATTTAAGATCTGATGACCAAGATCAGCCCACCACCATCCGCACAAAATACTTGAACGCCTAGGTGTCCTTTTGTGCGGCAACACTCTATCCTGGAAAGTTTTTGGAAGCATAGTGCAGTACAATTTTGCCGTAATGTATCGGAATTCTCTTTTATATGGCTCTTTGGGCGGGGTAGTGCATATCCTCCATTTGAATGTCTTAAGTACATGCGTTCCATATGCACAGAGGTTGAACTAAAATTCTACCATCCAAGATTAATTAACCCTATCAGGAGAACGGACGCGTCAGATTTGATAAATCACTAATGATCAATGTCGACTTGGGTTTTATGAGAATTTATTTTTTTTCACTTAAACCATAATTTATGTACTCGAGGTAAAACTTTATCGCTTATAATTAGACTAATGACGTACAAAGGTATACTCGTTTCCCCCTATTCCGAGTATCTCTCTACTTACCTACACCTTTTTCTAGAAACTCCACATGGTCAATACCGATGATTTGTCCATTTCAACTAAAGCTTGTTCCTCCTCTGCAGCAAACGTTCTTCAACGCCTCATGGGCGAACCTGCACGTTGATGTCTGTCATTGTGTGAAAAACCTCTCCAAAGAATAAACTACCCAGACTCCATCCAATACATTAATTTTTTTTTTGTCTGCTGTGTACTCTCCCCTCCCCCTTGTTTTATTCACTAATATATATATATATATAATATAATATAACCCTTCTAGTCTGTCAAAAAAGTAAAAAGGCTCTTCGTTTAATCTTGCAAAATTTACTTTTTTGCGATTTATTGCTTACGTGCGACCTTTTTAATTTTGACCATATTTGGCCATTTTCGCTATTGACGATCTCCAGATAATTTTTGAAATTTGTTGATTCCATTGTGTTCAGAATTCATCGTCTTTCATTCAATATTAATTTTCATATATATCTTCAGGATTGATATTCATATCGGATTTTGATTCAATCTAAAAGGGCTTTTTTGCTGGTCTTCAATAAACCTTATCTAATCATCTAGAATTGCTCGTCATGGCTGATTCTTCCAGAACTATTAATCATAAACTTAATGATTTATTAAGTAAAAGTATGTAAATACCTCAAGGCTCCCCCCTTTGAAAATAAAAATTGGGGATTTCTTCAAAAAAAACCAATAATTGCATTTTTACTAACCCTCCCACAAGATAACATCTCCAAGAATAAGTTGGATGCTACCACTGCTTTAAGTTATGCTAGCGTACTTAAGGCCAACATCCTTGGTAAGGATAAACAAGAAAAGGTCAATTCTATTGTCGTTTTGGCCAAACTTCTTGATTGTATTGTTGGAGGAGATGCTGTTCTGAATGATTTCACTAGAGTATTGGATCATACCCTTTTCTCAACATTATTTTCAATTGTATCTCCAAACATGTCCACTGAAACATACAAGGCCATTCTTAAAATCGCCGTAATTCTTATCTCGGGCACAATTTTCAAGACTAGAGATGATGAACTGGCACTTTCCATAGACAAGTATCTCCCACTTTACGAGTGTTTGATTGAATATCTTGATGTTTTAGACATTATGACCTCAAAATTGTACTTGCAGGACAATAAAATTACATACAATTCCATCAAGTTGGTATCTGACTTGATCAACAAGGCGCTGAAACATGAATATAATGGTATCATCACCTTGGCTGGTCGTCTTAAGCACGTGGCGTTTTTCTCCACTGTGGGGAACTTGATTGATACCGATGATCGTTCAATTATCGATGGGATCCATAATTTAAAGATCTCCTATTATAATTTGAATGAATATCTTAATAGAACACATTTTGATCTTTCGATCAAATCCCATCAAGTCATGCTTACCAATTTGTTTATCTTCTTGGAAGTTTCTTTGAATGAATTTGGTACTGTGGCAACCACTGAAGAATACATTAAGGCAGGATTCACCGCAGACCCTAAACAATTTGTAGTGGATAACTTTACCGTTCTTCTTGCTATGGATTTGAAGATTTTCTTGAAAGATCCAAATATGACTTTCAAGAAAAGATTCCATGAAGAATTAATGATGAGTAATCATAATAGAACTTTCCCATTGAATCTTTTCATTGAAAAAGCTACTGATATGTGGATGACTATTTTCCATCAAAAGGAAGAACATCCAACCATCTATGATAATATTTTATCTTGGGAACTTATGATCTTTTACACCATGAATAATTGTCTTATTTTATGGCAAGATACCAAGGCTAACTTGGAAAATGACCATGATATTGATCGTATTTTACAATTACTTATTTCACAAGTACCTGCATTGGAAGTTGAAATGGCTTCTGATAAAAAATCAGTTGAAGAATGTCTTAATATTACTGCCACAAATACATCTTCAGAATTAAGACACAATCAAATTTTCATTCTTAAAAAGGATCATGAAAATCGTTGGAAATCCCAATTTACTGAATTTAATCGTGATTTATCAACAGAAGTAATGGATTTTGTTTGTGAGCAAAGAGTCATTCAACTTTTGAAAGGTTCTTGGGTCCATACGGAAGCCCATGGAGAACAACTTCTCAAGGTTAACTCAATGACCAACTTTAAACTGCTGGTAGCTAACAAATTTTATTTTATCATGTTATCTCCTAACAGAAAATATGTTTATTATAAGGAATTTCCTGAAAAGACTCTGATCAGTCCTTCATATGAAGAGATGGAATCTCAATCTATTCGTTTAATGGATATTCAAGATTTCAAATCTACAAAGTTAGGTGAACAAATTGGGGCTGCAGAAAAGCCTGCGTCTCAATTGGTGACCATTAAGGGTACCATTTCCTATGAAAAAATTACTCTTCTTGGTGAAAATAACCGTAAGCTTTTAAGTTTCTACACCGATACCGAAGTTAGTAAGTACGTTTGGCTTGACGGGTTGAAGATGTTGAGGGGAATGATTAAAAAGGGACAACTTTCTCAAGAAACTGAAAAACAATTACAACTGTTGGTTGAGATTAGAAGAAATGCCCAATTATTGAGTCTTGAAGATCAAAAGTTTGGCGGAGAACTCAACTTTGATACAAAGCTCTTGGAGGATTCTGATGCTGATGAAGATGATGATGAAGAATTCTATGATTTGGATGAGTTGGTATCCATTACTACAGACGGTTTTTACTATAAATAGGTAGAGAAAAAAAGTGACACATTTAATTTAATTTATACATAGAGAAGGAAGAGAGTAGAGTAGTTAGGCGATTCGAGTAGAAATACTCAAAGGTTCTTAGGAAAATGGACCATGCTAACCTAGAGGTGAAATTTCGTGCTTTATACTTACCTAGGCAGTCTATATCAATTCTTTCTAATTGTGACAAGTGAATGTTCACAGGTTGGATTGGCTGCGAAGTCAAAAGGGTGTCTATTGGACATGGCATCTATGGAAGTCTAAACTACTACTTGGAGAGGCCCGGTGAGTGGAAAACTTCACATGTGATTATTCGCATATGCTTCACACTATTCCGAACCTTTCCTTTGCTTGTTTGTTTTGTTTGTTTTTTTTTTCAATATGTGTAGTTCACTTACAGCCTATATTATAACTCGAACCTACTACCAATGACCAATGTGTAGTGCATCTTAAGGTTGGGGCAAATCTTTTTTTTTTTTTTTTTGATTTTTTTTGATTTTTTTTTTTTTTCGTTTGAGCTCATCTTAATGGTGAGATGAGATTCAAGTTACAAAAACACTTTGTCTAACACTTTAAGAGACTAACAAAACAGACACAAGATGGCAAAGAAGAGCACTCAAAAGTCTGTGGAGAAGACCAAGCGTGTCGCCAAGAAGGCCCCAAAGGGAGACTTTGTTTTAACCATTGATAGTGATTCTGAGGGGGACAATGTTCCAGACCTTGAGGATGAGTCTGAAGACGAAGAAGAAATGAAGAAGGTGGAACCAGTGAAGCCTGTGAAGGGCAAGAAGAAGGGTAAGAACCCGGAACTTGTTGTCAAGGAAGAAGCCGAGGAGCACGAGGACATTAACCCAGACTTTAAATTTTCTGTAGATGACTTTGAAACCGAAAAGGGTTTCGAAGGTTGGGATTTTAATGTCTCCACTAAGGATAGTGAAGGTGTTCAGCAAGCCAAGAAGGATGTTGACTTGGACGGGATCTTGAGAAGAAAGGGTGGGTTGTTAAAGTTGGCCGGTAGAGACGAGCCAGAAGAAGACGACGAAGATGAAGATGAAGAAGAGGAAGAGGAAGAGGAAGATGAACAAGACGATGAAAATGATGATGAATTGGCCATGGATGGATTTGGTATGGGTAAGGAAGAAGAAGAAGAAGACGAAGAAGAAGAAGAAGAAGAAGAAGATAAGGAAGAAGATGATGATGAAGAAGGTGTTGAAGCTGACATGGATGAAGAATATCCAAACTCCGACACTGAAGCACCAGTTGTAGACGAAGATACTGCCGAACAAATGGCTGAGTTTTACGCCGATGAGGAAGAAGCTGTGACTGCCAAGAACCAAACTCATACTACTTTCCAAACACTTCAACTTTCTAGACCTGTTTTGAAAGGTTTGGCTCAACTTGGGTACACCAAGCCATCTCCAATTCAATCTGCATCCATTCCAATTTCTCTTTTGGGTAAGGACATTGTTGCCGGTGCTGTTACCGGTTCCGGTAAGACTGCCGCCTACATGATCCCAATCATTGAAAGATTGTTGTATAAGCCAGGTAAGGTATCATCCACACGTGTGATTGTTTTGACACCAACTAGAGAATTGGCCATTCAAGTGTGTGACGTTGGTAAGAAGATTGGTAACTTTGTCAGCAACTTGAGTTTCGGGTTAGCTGTTGGTGGGTTGAACTTGAGACAACAAGAACAACAATTGAAGACCAGACCAGATATTGTCATTGCCACTCCTGGTAGATTGATTGATCATATCAGAAACTCTCCTTCTTTCAGCATAGAATCATTGGAAGTTTTGGTTATTGATGAAGCTGATAGAATGTTGGATGAAGGTTTCCAAGTTGAATTAACTGAAATTTTACTGTTGATTCCTAAGCATAAACGTCAAACTTTGTTGTTCTCTGCTACCATGAACACCAAAATTCAAGATTTGATTCAATTATCTCTTCAAAAACCAGTGAGAATCATGATTGATCCTCCAAAGGCTGCTGCCAACAAGTTGGTACAGGAGTTTGTTCGTATCCGTAAGAGAGATCATTTGAAGCCCGCTTTATTGTTCCAATTATTGAGACTTGTCGATCCAAAGCAACAAAATAGAATGGTTGTATTTGTGGCCAGAAAGGAAACAGCACATAGATTAAGAATTATTCTTGGGTTGCTTGGTATGAAGGTTGCTGAACTTCATGGTGCCTTGACCCAAGAACAACGTCTTTCCAGTGTTAATGACTTCAAGAGTTTGAAGGTTCCAGTGTTGATCTGTACTGATTTGGCTGCTAGAGGGTTGGATATTCCAAAGATTGAAATTGTTATCAATTACGATATGCCAAAGACTCATGAAGTTTATTTGCATAGAGTTGGTAGAACTGCCAGAGCTGGTAGAGAAGGTAGATCCATCACATTTGTTGGTGAATCCACCCAAGACAGAGCCATTGTCAAGGCTGCCATCAAGTCACTTGAAGATGAATCAAGCGGTAAGGCTGTTTCTCGTAATGTTGACTGGAAGGATGTAGAAGACTTAAACAAATTGGTTGAGGCCAAGACTGAGACTATCCAAGAAGTTCTTGACGAAGAAGTCCAAGCCAAGGAGATCTTGCAGGCTGAGATGGAATTAACCAAGGCATCGAACATGATGAAGCATGAAAAGGAAATCCAATCGAGACCAAAGAGAACTTGGTTCGAAACTGAAAAGGAAAAGAAGGCCCATAAGACCCCAGTCATGCAACAACTTACAAAGCATGGGAAGGCCATCAACTCCAAGAAGAGAAAGCAAATCGAAGCCAAGAAGGAAAGAGATGGTGAAAGATCGTACAAGAAGACCAAGGTTGATAGAATGAGCAAGCCACAACCAAAGGGTAAGGGTAAAAAGAAGGGCAAGAAATGAAGTCAGTGTGTACCATAGATAAATAGAAGAAGACTTTTTTCTTTTCATTAAACAATAAACAAAACGATAAAGAGATATTTGTAGTAATTAAGACATGTTTCATTATTAATACCAAAGTTAGTATTATAGCGCTCCTCTGAACATGTGCCAGAATCGGTGATCATAGAGAAATGAGTGTAGTTCATAAATAATGTACTTTATGCGCTCTTGTGTGTGTATTTCTCAAACTGGTGGTAACCTCACTCACAAAAAAATAAAAATAGTGCACCGTAGCTAAACCCATGTAAATGGATAGGATTGATCAAGTAGAATGTTATTCAGCAACGGCTATAGGCTTCTTAACAATGTGGTGTCGTCGGATATGACCAATCCATCGAAGCTTCTCTTTCAAATCGTGGTGCTACAATGTTTTTACTACTTAACTGCACTTGTGATATTCTACCTCGTCTCTACATTGAACGGTTACAACTTCAAGATTGACTGGATCTTTCTGTGGGAGTTGATCTCGCCCGAGAATGCAATGGGATTGACCTTATTTGTGTTGTGGCTCTTTGACTCGTTGCTCTGTGTGATTTTCGTGACGATTGTGGTGGGTAGGTCAAAGTTGGCGTGGGATTTTGCCATCACGGTTCACATTATCAATTTAATCGTGGTATGGGTTTATACCGGCAAGTTCCCCACCTCTGCTCTCTGGTGGTGCTTACAAGTGCTAAGTGGGGTGATATTGGTCACATTGTCGACATATATGACTAGGTGGAAGGAGTTGAGAACAACCTTTTTCGATGATATGTTGGATCAACAAGAACGTGGCGAAGTTGATCATAATAGAACTAACAACGGTTCTCCTCCTGTGGCGATTGAGATGCATGATTTACGATCAGGAACGTCGTCCCAAACTACAAAGGGCTGAATGTAAGCTCCTATTCTGTGTATATTATAACAATATAAATAAAAAATTATTCCTCCTCATTTAAAACTATAAGTCAAGGCATGGTCACTTCCTGTGACCAAGGCACAATTACCCATATCCAATTTCTTTAGCTCGGCCATGGGGCTGATATCGAAGTCAAATATATCCATTGGGATACCTATTGTGGTGCACGCATTGGGGACATCCACTATCCCCGCAATATGACCTTCAATAGGTGCTGAGCTTAAAAGAAGGTATATCTGGTAATCGTTGTAACCAAAACGTCTCAAGTACTCAATTGCTCGAATACATGCTTGTCTGTACGCAGTAGTGGCACACAAGAATTTTTGTTCCCCCTCTTCAGTTACGGAAAACCCTTCAAACGTTAAATATCTCGAAGGACCATACTGATTGGGGACATCACCGGGGATAAACATGGGCGATTTCAAGGAAAGCAGCTTCATTCCACCTTTGATGATTGATGTTTGGATGGTAATGACCCCAGGCATCTCAATGGCTCCACAAAATGTGATTTCTCCGTCTCCTTGGGAGAAATGTAAATCACCAAGTGAAAGTTTGGCACCCTTAACGTAAACGGGGAAAAATGCCTTTGAGCCTCTGGAAAGATTCTTAATGTCACAATTACCTCCATGTTCTGGTCTCCCTGGAATTGTTCTTGCACCTTCTTTTGCAATTTTGGCGGCAATTTCCCCCGTGGCAGATCCTGGTGAACAATTCTTTGGCTCAGGGAGATTTGCCACCAGAGTTTCGTGTTCATGTTGAATGGCAGCCTTGAGTCCGGACTCACGTGCGTTCCACTCTTCTAAAACTTCATATGATGGAGCAGTGCCAATAATTCCTGGATGAATCAAACCGGAAAACTTAACATGCGGGATGTGTCTCGAAGTGCAATGAATTCCTTCAAAGTCAAACACCGCCTTGGCGCATTCAGGGTAGAACTTATCGAGAAATCCACCTCCATTTTCCTTATGGAACACCCCACAATACCCCCATGGTTGTCTCTCCAATGGCTGTACATCCTTAATCTCAACCACCAAACAGTCACCAGGTTCTGCACCATTGATGTTGAAAGGGCCTGAGAGATAATGAATTTGTGTAAGGTCAACATGTCTCAAATCATCAGCATTGTCGGTGTTTTTGATCTGATTTCCGGTCCAATCCAAACACTCTATTTTAACAGTTTCCCCAGGCTCTATCGTTTCAGTAAATGGAACATCAGGGTGCCATCTATTATGGAGTTGAGGTTGTTCACCTCCTGGTCTAGTCAAATCGACTTTTGTAACGTATCTAAGTGGGTCCTTTGCCATTGCGTTTATTTCTACAGAATACAAGTTAAATGGAGGATCTCTAATTTATCTCCATATATAAGCATGCTCCCCCACTCTCGATTACAATTCCAACTGATAAGAGAATTGGCGCGGGATCTAAAAAAAAAAAACTCAATGCGGTAATTGTCAATTAAGACTAGTGGTGAGGCATTGCAAAGATAGACGTTAGTCCACTGATTCGTTGATTAAGAGAAATTGACTTCGTTTTATCGCCGATTGATGCTAAGATTGGTTCGGGTTTAAAGTAAGTACAGAAAAAAAAATCTTGGCATGAGAACAAGAAATTGACCTTTTCAAAATAAAACGGAAATTTGAAACAAAATGCCTTTAACGATTTAACCGTTTGAATTAAATTAGTGCTTTTTTTTTCAAAAACTGTATATGCACATAAATATAGGAGTTTTGTCACTGACTCTTTATACTACTAAATTTTACAGTAGTTTCTGGTGATATATTTTCCTTCTCTTCTTTTAACTTCACATCCTACTCTATAAATACATGAGTACTACATTTCCTTGCTAGATTGTTGCCCTCTGAAAGTGATTGTTCTACACATTACTCTCCCAGAATGTAAAGATCCATCCTTGCTCAAGAGGGGTCACATAGTAAATTTAGGTATATATGAACGGTGCCCCGTAGTAAATTATCAGCTGAACTGTGCCTCGTAGTACATTATTAGCTGAATATGTTTCAACCCACCATACCCTCATCCTTATCTACAAATAGGTGAGATTTTTGTAGCCCCCTACTATGGACGTGTACTTCCAAATGAAATTCCGGAATGTTCTCATTTTTTAATAAGTCCGATTCTGAACTCCACACGTCAATTTCGAAAGTACAACCTTAGCTTTTACATTCCACAATCCACACCTTAGGTGCCAGAAAATACCAAAGCATACCGAATAAAGGAGGAGGTTGGTTCCAATATGCTGCAAAGCTATTAAAAGATTGACACACCAATGCCATTTTTAGAAGTAAGTAAACTTTATGAAAGAAAACGCGTCGAACAATGCAATTACCTTTAAAATTATTTATTTTTGCACAAATCCGTTCGAATATTGGAACTACTGCATAAATTTGAGAAACGGACTTATTCCCATGTGAAGGTACATCCCGCAGTAATAAATTTAGTTGTTTCATCATTTCAAGTAAAAATGTAAACATATTTTAATGTGTTAATACTACGTCAAATCATGGCTCCTACTCAACATATTGTAAAGCTCCATAGTGGATCTAGAGAGTTCTCAACCCTCTCTAACTACTCGCAAGAGGATATCTTCGTCAACGAAAACAAAAAATGGACTCGTATTGTCTTTTTAATTCATGGATTCCCAGATATCAATTCTTCATTTGATGCTTCATGGGATACTATCTTAAACATCCTTCCAGGAACTTTACTTCTTGCACCAACATTAAGGGGTTACGAACCTTCCAGTCAAGGCAATCTTAAAGACTACAAGCTTTCTCAATTGGCAGATGATGTACGTTCATGGATTCTTGAGGTCTCGCCAGAAGGCACCATCCCAGTCCATCTTGTGGGCCATGATTGGGGTGCGGGTGTCTCGTTCAAAACTGCCCATACATACCCGGAACTTCTTGCTTCGATCTCAACCTTGGCATTCCCTTATCTTACCAACATCAAGCCATGGGAGATGTTGTGGTATTGTCCTCTACAAATGTATTACTCCAGTTATATCTTTACTATGCAGTTTGCCTTTTTATACAAGAAGAAGCTTACGGATAAAAGTAAAAATTCGTACATCAATAAGTTGTGGAAGTTCTGGAGTCCAACTTGGAAATTTAGTGAAGATGACATAGAAGAAGTGAAGGAAACTTTCCAAAAACCAGGTGTGCCGGACCTGGCCACCGCCTACTACAGATGTATGGATCTCAAAGAATTGGCATGGCCCGTGGACTTTGATAAAGTCCCTACATTAATCCTTGGAGGTGATAGTGATGGATGTATGACCAAGCTGGTGTATGAATTAGAAGCTAGGAAATTGAAGAATGTTCCGAACGTTAAGGTGCAATTACTCTCTAAATTGGGACATTTCTTACATAGACAGGACCCTGTGAAGGTTGCTGAGATTTTCTCTGATTGGATCCTTAAGCATGACGTATAATGTGTATTAATAATTTTGTTGTAAAGATGTTGAAAAATCATTTGTAGCAGAATGCGAGTCGTATTGCACATAAAATGGTAAAGAATCAACTTATTTCATTGGTCGTGAACGTATAGTAAGTTGATGAATCTTTTGGTGATATGTAACCAATTCAAGGTAAAAGACTCCCTCTCTAACACCCAAGTTAGTGATAAAAAATTGTGTCAGCTATGATCAATAATATGCACCTTTCGGACATTGTCCAAATGGGTGTTGATTATGTACATCACAGTCAATTGTACCTGAAAACCCGTTGAGCAAGTATTAAACTATATCCATATTAAGTAGTTCCTCGTGTCTCATGCAAACTCTCCTATGTATGCATTTGATGTCATTGCTCAAATAATAGAAATGGGGAAGTAACTACATAGAAATTTCCCGATTAGGAAATTGTGTTTGCAACTTCGTTCGATGTTTTACAGGACCTTTTTGCATCACTAACATTTGCGCGGTGAATATCATTTTGCACCAGCTACAGTTATAGAGAATTGGCAGGTAGAAGAGCTAGAGTTGATAATGTTGAATCATTGGGTCACTTTAACAGAATATGTTATATTAATTTTATAAAAACAAACTCTTTAAACAAGTGTAGTCTTGTACAATTTCGTTAGCCCATGATTAAAGTTTAAAGCATGTGTTCCAAAATGGAAAGAACTTTCCCCACATAAAGCCTAAAATTGATGCAAAAAATGAAGAGTGGAGTACCATGATAATATAAAAGATTTAAAACGAGAGGTTGTTCCTTGCTGTTATTAATAATCTTGGCGTTACGTTCAAATTTAGGATGAAGCTTTTTTGGTATTTAGTTACATCATTTATTATCTGGGTAGTAGAGGCTGTTCCAGTTATCCCATTAGAAACAAGATCACTGTTAATACCACCATCAGATGATCCATTTTATAATCCACCTGTTGGTTTTGAAAAAGAGCCCTTGGGAGCCATCTTAAGACAAAGAAGAAATGATCATCTGTATGGGTTCTTATTTCTTCCGCAAAATATTGAAGCGGCTTACCAATTCTTAGTGAGATCCGAAGATTCATTCGGTGAACCAATTGGAGTAGTCACAACTCTCTTTGTTCCTCACAATGCTGACCCTACAAAATTGTTATCTTACCAGGTTGCAGAAGATTCCTCCTATAAAAATTGCGCTCCATCCTATGCTATGCAAAATGGAGCCCCACTCTCAACAATTGTAACTCCACAACTAGAGGGTTTCTTGACTCAAGCTGGTTTGAATCAAGGATGGTATGTAGTTGTTCCAGATCATGAAGGTCCCAAGTCAACGTATGTTGCAGGGTACCTGGCAGGTAAAGCTGTGTTGAACTCTATTAGGGCAGTTTTGAGCTCAGGAAATGATACCGGTATTGATCCAGATGCAGAAGTAGCTCTTTGGGGATATTCTGGTGGGTCTCTTGGTACTGGATGGGGAGCGCAGTTACATCCAACGTATGCCCCAGAATTAAACTTGATCGGTGCGGCTTATGGAGGAATTATTGTAAATGTTAGTAGTGTTGCCAAATATAATTTGGGGAAAGCTACTGCGGGGCTTGTATTCTCTGCTATAAATGGGCTTACTAACGAATACCCTGAATTGAATACGTATGTCAACGAGAATGTTTTTCCACTGAAATTAAAAAAATTTAGAAAGCCTCAAAGTGAATGTCTCATTCAATACGTTCTCCCATTTGCATTCAATGATTTGAAAGATTATATACCTGAAGGGGACAACGTTTTCAATACAGATCTCGTTAGAAATATATCTGATCATAATAACATGCTCCTAAATGGTATGATTCCTGATATTCCAATCTTTTTGTACAATTCCAAAAATGATGAAATTGTTCCTCCAGGAGACACTGACGATTTGTACGAACATTTTTGCTCCCAAGGGGTCAGTGTGGAATATAGACAAGATAGATTTTCGGAGCATATTCTGACGCAAGTGGTTGGATCCGGTTGGGCATTTGAATGGATCAGAGAAAGATTTAATGGCACAGCTCCAGTTTCCAAATGTGTGAAGACGACAGTATTTACCTCTTTGACTGAGCCATTAAATCTTGCTGGTTTAGAATACATCGCGGGGCATGCTTTAGATACTCTTAAAGGAGAACCTGTTGGTCCTGGACAAGGGACAACTTCTTAAATATAGACATGATTTAGGTTATAAGTAGAATTAAGTAATAAAATCTTCTCCACCATAGTAGCATCATAGGAGCTCCCTTATGTATCTATTTGTTTTTTTACAAGGTAATTCTTATTTCGATATCAGGCATTCAATGTCTTGATTGAGTGCATGATATGATAAGTAGTGTTTAAGATTTTCGACGTAAGGCACTCAGTGTGTGAAGGAAATCCCTCCGATTTTCTCCATCCATAGTGTAGTTCTTGAATGGGTCATAAATGTGTTCTGGATAGTATTAGATATTGAATATAAATAAAGACAATGCCAGAGTTCATCGAGGTGATACTGTTGCACCTTGTTCATATTATAGGTATTTCTATTTTATCGCGGAATGTAAAAAAGTGGGCAAATTATATATCACTTGCAGCACACTTCCTGTTTCAAAAACTTTATACTGATAGGCTGCTTACTACACTACACACAAAAGATTTTGATATCCTTGCTCACACATAGTTTCACTAAAGTATTAATGTCATATTTTTAAACCAGTCTAGTCTTTGAGTGAATTCCAGTACATATATCGCACGCAAAATTCACACACCTTACAATTTTTAATTTAGAATGAGTTCAGCTGCAAAAGAATAAACCTAAAATCCTAACACCCAGCAAATCTGGTGGTTTTGGTAGGAATATTCAAAATTTCAAATTTCTAGAAACCGAGAAAAAACGGAACATCTGAACTTCTGAAACCTGAATTTGCTGTCAGTTTGCACATTGCGTATGGTCAAGACGTAGGGACGGCATCATTGACCTGATATTAAACAATACAAGTCATTTTAAGAAGCGAAACGTATATGCTTCTTTCATTGGACCGAGGATTTCGACAGGTTGGCCTTATCAAACGTTACCTTTTAACGCCTTAGCTGCTAACAAGTAGCCTCAAACCTTAACAGCAATGTTTGTTTTGGTAAACAATAACAAGTGATTATGTAAACAATAGTGATTACTTTTTTTTACGAACAATAGCTTCGATTACTGCTTTGAAGAAAATAACTGATGCGGGAAGTCAACAATATGCACAACTTTGCCCAAGGCTACCTCCATTGGGAGTGCTCCATTTACCTAAAAAATATATGTTCTGAGAAAATGTATATTCAGGTACAAACGGCTTCTAAAGGTGGATCTAGATTACACAGTGTTACTGATATTACTGTTGTTTTCTAAATTTAGTATACTGGGCCATGACATGGGTACTCACAGAAGTATCAATACTAGTGTGAACCAAGTAGTGACTATCTTGCTCTACATAATTTCAGGTCGACTCAAAATCGTGTTGAATTTAACTACTGAACGCGTCCATGCATATTCTTGCGTCATCATGTTCATTAATATTAGCATCCATTTTTAACACCACCAAAAACCCATTCACCTTCGAATGAAAAAAAAAGGTATAAAAACGTTGCAAAATATCCAATTGAGTTTGTAGTTCACTGTTCTGTACATCAAAATGAGATTTTTAATAGTATTTCTTGCTTTCTTAGCATCTGTCCTTGCCTTTCCACTCAAGTCGCCCACCAAGCCCTCTGATGATCCCTTCTATTCTCCACCAGATGGATTCGAAAGTGCAAAGTCTGGAGAAGTTTTGAGATTCCGTAAAATGGATAATTCATACGGTGCGTTATATTTACCTGTTAATCTTGCTGCAACATACCAATACTTGGTGAAATCTGAGAACTCTTTCGGCGAACCTGTTGCTATCGTTACTACACTTCTAGTTCCTCACAACTCTGACCCAAATAAAATTTTGTCCTATCAAGTGGCTGAAGATTCCACTGCCCTCAACTGTGCCCCACTGTATGCATTACAAGTTGGCTCTAGTGCAACTACAATTATTCTTACTCAAATTGAATTTTATTACATGCAAGGTGTGTTAAATGAAGGTTGGAATTTAGTGGTTCCAGATTACCTTGGACCAAACGGTGCAAATTGTGCAGGCTACTTGGGAGGTAAGGCTGTTTTGAACTCTATTAGAGGTGTCTTAAGCAAAGCTGCTGATACTGGTATTAGTAGCTCTGCTGGTGTTTCTCTTTGGGGATACTCTGGAGGATCTTCTCCAACAGGTTGGGCTGCCCAATTACACCCAACCTACGCACCAGAATTAAACCTTATTGGAGCTGCGTACGGTGGTATCATTGTAAACACTACCAGTGCTACCGTTGGTAATATGGGCAAGCTTTCTGCTGGACTTGCCTTTACTACATTGAACGGTTTAGCAAATGAATATCCAGAGCTTAATGATTGGATTGAGAAGGCTGTGAAGCCAGAAAAGCTTAGTCTTTTCAAAGCTACAAATAGTGCTTGTTTGATTCAATACATGCCAATTTACCTTTTGGCTTCTTGGTCGCAATACTTTGTTGATGGTGCAAAGGCTATGTATGATGAAGTATTCCAAAGAATCTCAGAAAAGAATAATATGTTGTTAACAGGATTGGTTCCAAAAATTCCAATTTATCTTTACGATGCCAAATTTGACGAATTACTTGATAGTACAGATACTGACAAGTTATATGATCAATTCTGTGCTGGAGGTGTTTCTGTTGAATACCATCAAGATATTGTCTCTGAGCATCTTATTTCTTTTTTTTCTGGGGGTTCTGGTGCCTTCAACTGGTTAAAGGCCCGTCATAATGGAGTCCCAGTAGCTAAGAACTGTCAAAAGAAAACTTCCCCTACTGGCCTCCTCAGCCCACAAAATATTCTTACACTTGCTAAGTTGAACTTGGAACTTGGAGTCAACATTTTTGGAAGACCAATTGGACCTAATGGCCCTCAATAATTTATTTAAATAAATATATGTGTTTTATTTTCTCAAAAATTTCATACGTTGTATTTTAAAAGTGAAGAACAATCAAGCTGCATATCTAAACTATTCTACATACTTAGTATTGTAGTATTGCAAGAATTACAATTGCCCCACAGGTACAGGTTGTCTGGTTTAAATGATTTCTATTCCATTCTACTAAATTCATCACCTAATGAATACACATTTTGAGGAACAAAACGTGGTATTGCGCATCGATTAGTTGTCATAATATTTGGTAGAGCCTCTATTGGATCTCAAATGCTTATTCTCTAAAATAGCACCTACTACAGTCCGAAATCGCCTCATTTGTCGCAAATTTTCGACGTATATGCGTTGTGAATTCCTATTCGAAACAGGATGTTCTCACCGTCAGTAAGTTGCTTTTTTAAGTTTATGCAGGGTAGCAACTTCAAATTCCCGTACATGTACACCAATGTGCATAGAGAGCATACTAAATCCGATACCCCATGTTACCATAAGTAAAATTGGGTAATAAAAATTATGTAATATAGAATGGTTGGATGATATGAGCCATGATTCGTAGAAGGTCTCATAACTGTCTTCAAATTAGTTAGTCGCTTAAAAAAATTTTAGATTAAGATTTTTGTTTTTCAATAAAAGTTCAAATATATTACCAAATATAATTTTTTTTTTCCATCACATAGAAAAAAAAGTACAATATAGCCAATGATGGTTATTATTTGAATAGAATATCCCTCACAGCGAAAAGAGTAAGTACCTTTACTTCAAGTACAATTTTGATTTGAATTTATGAAGAATCTATTTTTACTCATAGATAAAAAATTTAACACCAGAAATTCCACACTCTATATACAAAAGGTTTGCTTGCAATAAGATTTCTTTCTTCTTCAATTTCTTGTTTCAATAGGTCTAAATCCTTCATTTGTCTCCCTGTATCAATATCAATATCCTTCCCTCTTATATACAATCTCCAATTTTTTGTCCAAATTTTATGAGAACCATAAAAAGTGAATATGATTGGAAAGGAAAGATACGCCATGAAGAAATCATTTGCATTCGGTTTTCCTCCAATGGGGTAAAGGGCAATCCAAAATTGTGCAATAAGTACCAAAATAACAATCGCAAATCCGTAGTATGAACCATAAACACCTGCTTGAGCTTTGTAAGTCAACTCAGTGGTATCTCTTCCTTGAGCTTGTAGAGCGTATCTAAATCGAATATGACACAAACAAATAGAGCCCCACGTAAATAATGACGAAAGCCCACCTATAGCGGACAACCAAGCAAAAATTATCATATCGTCGTCAGTGGCAACAAGGAAACAAAGGGCACCAACAAGGCATGAAGCAATGATTCCGAACAATGGGCGTCCTTGTTTATCTATATAAGCAAATAACTTAGGAGCTTGATTTGACTGTGCAAGACTAGTAAGCGCCCTACTTGATGCATAAATACATGCATTTCCAACAGAAAGTACTGCAATTAATATAACAACATTCAAAACAGATGGTAGACCTTTAATACCTGCGTCAACGATAGCCAATACAAATGGAGAAGCATTTACATCAGCAAAATTTGTTGCCGAGAGTAATCTTGGATCATTATAAGGAACTAACAAACCAACTATTGTTAACGCAACAATGTAAAATAAAAGGATTCTCCAGAATACTTGTTTGGTAGCTTTTGGAATTGATTTACGAGGATTTTCAGTTTCCGCAGCAGCCAATGCAGCCATCTCAGTACTTCCAAATGAGAATGCTGCTGCAACAAAAACGGAACATACACCTTTGAAGCCATTTGAAAAGGCGCCTGGATTGTAATAGTATCGAGCCCCGAGATATTCATGGTTAGGTCCCCCACCACATATAATGACAATACCGAGTATTATGAACCCGACAACGGCAACTACTTTAATAATAGAGAACACGAATTCTGCTTCTGCATAACCTCTGACACCAAAAAAGTTAATCGAGCAAATAATAACATAAAAGATGCAAATAATAGCTGCCAGATTGACACCTGGATTCCAATAACTAATTGTCATAGATGCAGCAACAAGCTCGACTGGAAGTCCGATCAAATACCCAATGGCGTAATTCCAAGAAATTGCAAAACCCCAAGAAGGGTCAATAAAGCGACTACAGAAAGTGAGATAAGCACCAGATACAGGGAATGTGACTGCAAGCTCACCTACTGCTTGACATGTGGCATATATCATGGAACCAATTAACGAGTAACCAATAAGGACCCCGGCTGGTCCACCAGTGTGTAACCTACTTCCTGATGCAACAAACAACCCAGTACCTATAGCCCCACCAATAGAAATCATTTGCAAATGTCTACTTTTAAGGGTACGCTTAAGGGGCGAGTTTGCAGTCAAAATTGCAACTTTTTCAACATCAGAAATGTCATCCTCAATTACCAATTCATTGACTTCTTGGCGCCTGAATGAATCTTTAAACTTCTCCCATGCATTCAATTTAGGCGTAGTCAGAAAACCCCCCGTCGAATATACTTCAATGATAGAGTTCTCCTTTTTCATAGGGGCAGAGGACCCTGAAAGGTTATAGTCTGAATGTGGCATTACCTTAGTTAGCTCATTTAAATTTAAGGTTTAATATATTTGACATATTTTATAGTACATCGGGCATAAGTAGGATTGAAAAATTTGTAAAATATGTAATTTTACCCACAAATCACATAAAAATTTTCCGAATAAGTATCCACAGTTTTCTACTATAGCGAAGTACTTTATTGGTACACATTCATTTTTGCAGATATTTATCGATGTTTTAAGAGTCACAGACTCTGCATATAAACTGACCTAATTACCACAGTCTTATCTAACTGTGTTATTTGCAATTAGTGGCGTTATACATGTTCGGTTCTTGCACGATACTCTAGTTATCTGCTGGGTCCTAGACTTAGACACAGATTTCAAAATGAAATTCCACCCAATAAAATTTACCTACGTCAGAAAGAAAGGGAAATTATGAAGGTTATGCTGGCAGTTTCGTATTTACATGTTAAACTTCGTAGAATATGACACTTTAATTAAGGTTTTAGTGAGAACGAATTATGCGTGCATATGTGGAACAATAAATGTGGCTTATTTTTAGCAAATCAGGTACAGAGAGAAAATTAGTAATTAATGATTTTTGTTGAAGGATACTCCTTATACTTTCCAGCGTGGATGACATATTGGTAAATTTAGGTATATCAGAATACTAGTTCATTTATAAACTATAAACCTTTATCTCTATATAATATGATAACTCGCAGAGTCTTTATATATTTGGACTCTCACTTATTTCTTCACCAATGTGATTATGTCTAATAATCGGCAACCGAGAGCCTAGAGCCGAGAGCCGAGAACCGTGTCTTACCAACCGAGGAACTCGGTTCACAATATCATAGATGTTATCCAGACCATCAATACCATGTAGTACTATACACAGGATAGTGAGATTACTAAATTACAATAATTTTGTGGCGCTGAAATTTCTGGTATTGTGTATTGTTTAAGCTTATATATCATCTATATTTCGAGGTTGTCGAAGATACTCCCTACTCCATTCGAGATGAATGATTTCAGCTTCTTAATTTACCTTATCAACTGGATTAATTTAACAACGGTAAGAATGAGACAAACAATAATTTTTGTTGAATTTCGGTAATTGTGCGATCCTTCTTATCGTTAATTTCAACTTGATGCAATAAAACTTCAGACAATAGTGCAAGATTTAATCTGCCCCTAGCTCAAACTAGTGTGCACACATTACAAACAGTAACGTATCAAAACTGAAATGATGCAATCTGATTGCAGCGGAAACTTGAAAATGGCACGTCCGTCTAGCATTTGCGGACTCAGAATATCAGAAAGAAGAGCCACTAGGTAAAACGCTTATGTCATTTTTGATTTATCTTTAAATTAAGGTTAACATCTATCGTCGTTCTAACAGTTGACAATGTAATGAATTCAGAAAGCTCTCACATCTACGTCAAATTTATGGCCACTAATTACAGTGCAAGCTCAGCAGTTAATCAATACGGGTTCTATGATCTAAGTGGTCTGCCCGACTAACAAGACCCTTATAACCTTGATACAACCATAACTATCTTTGATGTGGCCCCTTATATTTCAATTGTTAGTGCTTTTGGCAGAGATGGAATCACTACTGGAACTCTCACTTACATCTTGAATGGTATTAACACTGATGTTCCAATTGATAACCTCATTATTGATCATTGTTGAAGTTACAGGTGGGTCTGGTCTTCAAATTCAGTCGTCTTCTGCAATTTCAATTCTTGGTGACAATTCTTTTATAGGACAGGTCTTTTAATACAGTTTGTATATTGAAAGTTTTAAAGACTTTTAAATATTGGAGCCTGGGAGGTAAATAAGTGAAATTTCCCCTTCATCTCTATGTGTATAGTGATTGTCATTTCCTCAAGTTTAGTCAATATACTTTTATTTGTCGTAAAAGGACAAATGATTTTGTGTTAGTGTATTATTGCACAAAAGCGCTTGGCTCATGTATGGGTGTA